ACTCTTTGTACCAATACCCGCTTCCAATTTCCTCCTACTCAAGTCTTCGTCCTCTTCTTGTCTTAGTGTCTGCCAGTCTACTTCCCTGTGCTCCCAGATTACAATATCCTTCCACGAAATTGTTCTCCATCATCCGATCCGTATCTCAATCTGTCGTACCTAGTTCAGCCCACCCAAATCTGCCTACATCTATCTGCGCGTTTTACCTTCCTCCTTGTTGTATCTTGTAATGCTCCTAATTACACATGCCACTCCGATCTCTCTACTCTGTTATTACCACTCCTTGTCAAAATGTCTCCTACCAATTGCCTGCTCCATAAGAACCTTATCTCCCTGTACTAAATTTCCACTCTACACATATGTTGCAATTCCTCCTTCCACATCCCACCCGCATCAACATATTCTCTTTGCTCTACATGTTATATCCCTTGCTTATCATAATCTATACTTTCGTATTTGCCCGCGGCGCAAGAATATAATGTATTCTATAAAATGATCCACTTCCACTGCTTGGCTTCCACTACTCATTGCACACTACTAGCTCAAGATACACTATTAACACTTAGCTGCAATCCAAAACCCTAATGTGTCCATTAACAACATCCACTTCCGGTGCTCGGTTCTCCGAAATATGCTAACAGCTAGTATAAAAAGTGGGTCAACTTTCACTAACTTTCTTTGCTCAAACATCCTAGATTAGTATTGTTAATATATTGTATCTATCTATTGATCACCATAAGCAATACAAACTGCTACTTTCTCTCCATCTTCCACTCATTGACTCCCGTGTCCATGACTGACCTTCGTGTCCTGCATATAATAGTAATCGCGCTACCAACACTGTCCTGCACACAATCTCTCCTATGTTTATTATCACTTTCTTACAAATTATATTTAATATTCATATTATTTTATCTATATTTTATTAAATTTACTAATATTTCTACCAAATATATACTAATGTTTTCTCTACTTCATTCTCCCTGAAGTATCATGATACTATATGGTACGTAGTATTACTACTATTTCCAGTCAATTGCATGTTCCTAGCTCCCAAATCAAAATAGCCCTTCCTGCTATCTTGTACACCCGTCCCGCCCATTCATGTTGTATTGGTTGCTACACTGTGATCTCTCCTCAAGCAACTAGAATGTCAACGCATCGCTGTTGCTCCCCTGATCAGCTTGTATTAACTCGTAACAAACACCTTCTCATACTCCTTAACTATCTTTAGCCTTGATTTCTGCCCATGTCTACTATTTCAGTGATCTAGTATCGCCGGTATTCCCCTTCGGCCTCTGGAGCTGGTTGTTCTGGCATTGGTGTTGTCATCTCCTGTACATTCCCTTATTTATTATTCTTGTCTGTCATGTTTCATCCAATCTGTTCTACATATTTTAATCTACATACAATGTCTACAACTACTGCTCACATCTAGATAGTGCTCCGGTATAGCTCGCCAAACTACAGTTCTCGTAAACCATCTCCAAATGCATAACTTCCTAATTTATGCTCATGTACTGATCTATGGTTGTCATGTTCACGTACATCCATTGTATGATGAAGCTCTCTTAGTTGCTGAAGTGATGTATTGAACTGCTCTTGTCATGTCTATTTACATCATAACCCAGACAGTTACCCATTATCGGTCAATAATGTTGCACTGGTCTATGCTTGTCATGTATATTTGCATCCTAAACCTTGCAGATGCATGCTTGGTCACTATTGATGTATTGATCGGCAGTTGTATTATCTATTGAGACCCATTGTACCGTGTAGCTGAGCTATGGTTCACTAGTGATGTACTGGTGTCTCGTTGGCTCGCCTATTTACATTCTAGACGATGAACAAATACTCGCTTGGTCACTAGTAATGTTCCACAATGACATAATCGACCTGCATCCGCCTACTCTCTAACCGCTGTGTTCCTTATCCTATTGTCAAGTAAAAAGAGATTACTAATGAAGTCGGCTCGTGTAATCCAATGTAATAATAGCTATCATCCTCTGATTTACAAAAAGAATATCTATTATGCGCTATATATTGCCGTTGCTGTTTGAAGTCTCTCGAATCAGAACTAAGCATGCATGAAAAACACAACTACCGGTTTAACTGTAGCAACGAATTTCAAAAAAAATAATGTTTCACTATGTAAACCGCAACTAATCCTTTGTGCCCCTGTTATGTATAGAAATGCTGCCTGGTTCAACACTAAAAGTTTGCGCGGTATTTCCGTGTTCGCGGAAGATTTAAGACCTGCATATTGATTATTTTGCAACCAAATCGCCAGAACTAATGAATAAAAAATATTTTTTTTCGTGGTTATAACCGCTGTTGCTAAACAATGCCACGAGAAATTTCATTTGTGCCCACGAGTAACAAGCTTGCAAGATGAACGATAGGTTGTATACATTACACTTCCAAATTCGCTAAATACAATGGGTTATCTCGAACTCAGTTATGATCCAGTAGACCCAAATCTGTCACCTACTGCAAGTCCCAAAGATCATGAGAGAAACACTAATGTAAAAGACCTCTCAAACCAAAACCCTCATTTGACTCTAAAAAAATAAATAAATATAGTTGCTGAGCAATTTTCAGACATTTTTCACAAGCGCATCTGTTGGGTGCACAAAAATAGCCGCTGAAAAATAGTATATCGTTTTTGCGCGAAATATCGTATGTGAGATATAATAAGTATGATTGCATAGAAAATATTCAACTTATCAAACAATGTAAAAGTTGAGTTATTTTTTTGGTGTTTCGATGGTTTTATTTTTTCTCGAAACGTTTTCACACGCAATTGCTCCCGGAGCGGGTGTTTACTTGTTTTGGCTTTGGAAGAGCCGTTCCATAGATCAAACTGTGGGGTAATGATATAATTACCGCCTCGGTTTTAAGGTTTATTACTTAATAATTCCTGAATACTTATCTTCATCCTATCGGCCAATTCAACACCGAAAACATGTTCTACCAGGTACTTTGCACATGATTGCTATTAGACTGGGCCAGTCATTGAATGACATATTATGAATCAGATGTTGTGACAGAGAGTAATTAAGAATACCAGTAAGTTGATCGACTGTGTTTAGCTTAAATGGTCACCCGACTGCCGTTCACACATAGTGGTCCATCATATTAACAATGCTTTAGCTTGAACCAGCAACCCAATCTTTTGTCTAATGCTCACTCTCAAACACTGAGTCAGATTCTTTCTGGGCACTAAAAATAATATTTAAAGGAATAGCAGTATAACGTACATCGTTCAGCCGTTGCTAGAAATTATATGTTATATTAAAGTTGGCATATAAACAGAAAACTCCATTTGGTAAATGGTAAATACAAATTCGGTACTTCCGGAAACGTTTAGATTACAAACTATTTACTGATTATTATCTAACCCAGAATGTGGTATAGCACTTGTGTATGATACAAAAACAGTATTCACCAACGCCTCGAACAACAGTTCGATTACTCCACCACAGATTCCAAACACAGCTGGAGTTACCACCACAAAGGTAATAACACCACCAAGTCTTTTCTCTTAGTCACTAATGGTTCAACAGTATCCATTGAGAACCAACACGATAAGTAGGGACACCAGGTGCGACTATCCAAGCAAAGTACAATCAAAAAGTATTTCCAAGTTGTCCGCGAACCGTTCCAGAACACAAACGTGTATAACTCAAAGGATCACTTCAACTAAAAAACCAGGTATACGGCCCAGACACAGAGTATCTCTCATGCCGTTTACCATAATCTTCCAAGCAGTCATCACCAGAGAACACATTGCGACTAACGACGCAGCAACAACCATCTACTACCAAAGCACCACAAATATCAGCATACAATCCCTACTATCTCTGAGTAATAGAAAATAGCAAAACAAATGTCATGATAAATGACAGTTATAGAAAAATAAAGCAGTGGTTGGAAAAGAACTTAAACTAAATCAGGAAAATCAGCCCTATTTATACTTTTTGCTGGAACAAAGTCGACAATTTCACTTAACAAACGTGGCCAACACTAATTTTTATAATTGCTATGGCGACCCTAAATACCAGTCATCTAAGTAAAGCTCATTAACTATGGTTACAACCCGTAATATGGTATGTAGATTTGAAAAGAACATGAAAATCGGCCATAAATGACGTCGTAGATATTTCTCAAGTGCTCCCTGTTGCCATACAATCCCCAACGGCCCATTAATCATCTATAAATTTCCCATCACCTATATCAACCATTGAACTATCATTCTAGACTAGTTTCATCAAATTCCATCAAAACAGCGAACTCGATTTGACCCTGTATTTTCAAAAAAAATCTGATCTCAAAAAATATTTTTTAACTGAAAAACAACTAGATTGTACAACTCAATCATGGCACATAGTTAAGAATATTTTTTAGAAATCTACTCGACTCTTAACTATGCGATTTTTACAACAAAGTTACTCGGAATTATATGTTGTCACTGTTGTCAATGTTCATACAGTTAGATGGCTATTTCAAGCTGGTATACAAACCTGTTATTATTGATCAATTGTCGGTTTTAGTATAACTACTACGACTGAAATTTCTGCTCTTTATATAAAAAAATGAAAATATGCCAAGATTTTTTGTATTATGAAATTTAAATATATATACAACTGCTTCCCTCATTGGATGATTCAAAAAACCTTAGACGAAATCAGAGAAATAATGCTTCAACATTTCTTAAGTTTACTTAGATAAAGATATTTCAAGTGCAAAGATGTAGTAAATAAATTCACAGCTTAATACTATGTTCTATCACATATATACTTGAATCATAATTAGCAAATTAAATCATAACTAATTAGTAGATTTAAAATACTTGTATTTACTTTCTAATTATAAGTTACGTCATATTCAACATGGTTCCAGATAAAATTGTATAAATCTTCAAACTCTCAATTTGAACATTTAATTTACATATTTACAGCGCCAATGCGAAAACAAATCTTCAATTGATAAACTACACACTAATACTTATTAAATATATCTTTCATGGTCATATTCTTGGCTTCTGGTCCTAATTGCATATCCAACAATGAATCTTTGATCCCTTCAAAGTAATCTTTTGTAGCTGCAGAAATTCCAGGGTAAAGCAAATTTGATACTCTTGATGTATGCGAACATCCATTAATTGGTTTTCCTCCTTGGAGTAAACGATCTAACCAGGTCCATGCAGCAGGTCCTCCAACTAATTGTTCACTAAGATGACCATTCAATAAATCTTCAGCAAATTCAAATGAGCCAATTCCCCAATTACACCAGTTGTCATATGTGACATAGACATCTTTGATTGGAACAACCATGTCCAATGTACCATGGTAGACAAATATAGGAATTTCAGGAACATAGCTGGAATTTAAATAAACAAGAGAGTTTGACTCAATTATTGATTTCACTTGACCGTTTGCTAGTAATGAAAAACCAGCAGGAACCATGGTATATGTTCCAGTAAGAATATGGNCAAAGAAAAAGTAAAATATTGAAGGAATAAGACACTTATTTCCAGCTTCATTAAACTTGGCTAAATGTTGTGGTGCAACGTTTTCTTGAACGAGTACTTTGGCTTGAGGGTATTCATTACTGATTCCAGTCAATGCCACTGGGATTAATCCGGCAAATAATTCTCCATCAACAATTTCTGCAACAGCAGTAATATTGGTAACAAACCCTCCAAGAGAAGCACCAACTAAAGTAGATTTCAATTCAGGGGCATATGATGGTTGAAGTGCAGCAGCCCAACCAGATGCTAATGCACCGCCTGAATATCCCCAAAGTCCTACCTTAGCATCATTGTTTATCCCAGTAAAGTTTCCTGAATTTATTACTGCTCTTACAGAATCAAGCACGGCCTGTCCTGATCTTCTACCTACTGTGAATGCAGAAATAAACCCTTCGTAATCGGGACTAGCAACATAATATCCCTGGTCAAGGGCAGTCACCATAAATGTCATATCATATTGGGTTGCTATTGTGGAAATTGGTGATCCCGATTGTAAACCATATGATGGTGAACAGTTTAAGCTGGCCGAATCTTCCATTGTTTGGTATGAAACAACTTTGGATGGGTCAGCATTAAATGGTTCAATGATAGTTGTAATAAACGCTGTTGGTTGACCAAATGAATCTTCAGATCTCACCACCAATTGCCAAACATTTTTAACATTGACGGGAATGAATAGACTGGAAAGTTGGGCAGGTGCTGGTCGAATTTTCAAAATATCACCAGGAGCTGCTGCTTCGTAACCTTGAGGAAGTGTGTAAAAGTCATCATCTAAAGGACTGCTTAACTGAAGTGGAATTGCAACTGATTGCAAAATATAAAGGAAAAAGAAAATAATAAAAGTCATTGTTGGTTGATTTGAACTTTTCTAAATTCCAAGCTAAATCCCAGCGACATTGGATCTTTAAATAGTGATTCAGTGTTGGGATGATGATATTAGGAAATACCTGGACAACATGATGTATGGTGTGTTTCAGAACTGTGTGTCATGCTAAAGAGTGACGGTCACTTACTTATCCACATGATCATGATGATGTAATTCACTACTCGTCTCACATGCCTTCATATAGTCATCTCAATTCAAACATATATGCCAATATATGCATCTCTTATACAGTAAACGTTTCTTTTTCTAATGACATATTGCAGATTCTGTACATTTGGCACATTTATGTATGAATAATCAATATGTTGGTCATATTCATCATGTGTTTCAGTGTGTAACCATAAGAGACTGACTCCTGGATGGATCATACTCAAACATCAATCATCGCCCGGTTTTGTTTCTTGTGTAGTTTGATGTTGTCCGATGCAATATCACCTATTGAGTAATGCTGGCACTAAAATGTACTTATATTAGGTAAATATCATATGGTTTGATAAACTCATATCTCAAATGATTCATAGCTTTCACAATTACGTAATTCCTTGAAAGTGGTTGAATATCCTATCCAGTTTATGTACTATTATTTTTGATTAATTCTTGTCTCATTATGGACACATTTGCATAACTAAATTATCTACACTGTAATACGGATATGTAATATTCTACAGTCATCACATATTCCATTTCATACTGGCTATAAGTATCGTCATGGTGTATAGAATATTTGTAAACCATTTTTTTTTGTCTGCATAAGTAGTGCAGAATGGCAAGAAATATTGAAATTATTCTAATCGTCTTAAACTATATTCGATATATCTCTACTATACTTCCTCCAATCAATTGGTTATTATAACAAGATCGACAGTTCTTTAATTATACATATAATAATTCTCTGTATGCAATCCTATTTTATTCAAGATGATTACTATCAAAGTGAAATTGAACAGCCGTTTTCTAGAAGTTAACCAACTAAACTATGTCACCTATAATATTTTTATTTTGATAACATTTCTGCTACAATTTGCAATCAATTAGCTGTCTTTTTTTTTTGAAAACTACAATACGAGTAACCTTTTCATGGGTACACCAATCCAACTTGTCCATAACTCATCACTACAAACTCGAATTAGATTCACCAATACAGACACATTTTCAAATCCATAATTATTTCTCAACTAAAAACTAATATTTTCCAATCGCATCCACAAAACTGAATTCTCCTAGATCAACTTTGAAAAAAGAATCAAGAATTCCTGCAAAGTACAGACTAGTAGCAATTGAGATACCAGGATAGAAGAAATTTGATAATCTTGGGGAATTAGAACAACCATTTATTGGTTTTTTCCCTTGGAATCGAAGTTCTAGCCAAGTCCAACCAGCAGGTGCACCAATCAATTCTTCATTAACATGACCGTTCAGGAGGTCTTCGGCAAATTCAAAAGATTTAATTCCCCATTTACACCATTTTGAGTACGTTTTCTTCACATCCTTGATTGGAACCACTTTATCTAAACTACCATGGTATACAAATATTGGGATTTCTGGGACATAACTACGGTTCAAATAAACAATGGAATTGGCTTTTACTATTTTTTTGAGAACGGGCGTTTTCAATAAATCAAATCCGACTGGAATCATGGGATCTTGTCCAGTAAGAATGTTGTTGGAATCATAAAAAGGAATAGCTGGTGTAAAGCATAAACGTTTACCTGCACTAAATCTCTTTTTATGGTGTGGAGCAACACTATCTTTGATAATCTTTCGAGCTTTTGGATATTCATTACCAAGTCCAGTTAATGCAAGAGGTATCAATCCTGCAAATAATGTACCATCTACAATTTCAGCGACAGCAGTAATGTTGGTAACAAACCCACCAAGAGAAGCACCAATTATATTTTTCTTTAATTCGGGAGCATATGATGGTTGAAGTGCAGCAGCCCACCCTGATGCTAATGATCCTCCTGAATATCCCCAAAGACCAACTTTGGCATTTTTTTTAACTCCGCTAAAACTTCCAGATTGCAAAACAGCCCTGATTGAATCAAGTACTGCCTGACCAGATCTCCTACCTACAGTAAAAGCCGAATTGAACCCTTCATAATCGGGGCTATTCACAAAGTAGCCATTCTTGAGAGCAATACCCATGAATGCCAAATCAACTTTGGAAGCTATTGTATTTGAAGGTGCACCAAATTGGAATCCATAAGATGGTGAGCAGGTGATATTTGCTGAATCTTCAAACGTCTGATATGAAAGAACTTTAGATGGATCTGCATTATATGGTTCAATCAAAGTGGTAACAAAGGCAGTTGCCTTTCCAAAAGAGTCTTTGGATCTTACCACTATCTGCCAAACATTCTTGACATCAATGGGAACCAAAGGACTGTCGATTTTATTGGGAGCTGGTCTAACTTTCAAAATATCACCTGGTTTTGCATTTTCATATCCTTTAGGGAGTGAATAAAAGTTATCATATAGTGGACTTTTAGGACCATTTGGAGCTGCAAATGTTTGCAAAATGTAGCAAAATAAGATAAATATAGGGTAAAGCATTCTTGGTTCTTTAGTTCTTCGACTTTTCCAAGAAGATTGGTGGAAAAGCTAATTATATACCCAAAAAAATGGAGTTGTCAGAGTGACGATGATGTTTTGATACCAAGTGGTTGGTTCATATTGGTATTCGCATAATTAAGGTTTTTAAAAACTTTAATATTATTGTCTCACTATTATACTACGCGCGGGTCCAGGAATGTATGATAACAAAATTTTTCCAGTAATATTTGAATAGGAGTTTCAATAAATTTTCTACTTTTATGTAGTTTATTAATCATTATATACTAATTGTAATTCGGGGCTTTGTTTGAGAATATATGCTACGATTTCCCTTTTACAGTTGAATTGGTGCATTTCCAATTTTGCACAAAACACACATTTAGAGGAATTCGTTACGAACCCTGAGTTGCATCTATTGTTTTTGTTTTAGTTTTACCCCAAAAATTGGCTTAATTACCGATGGGCTGAATGGCTGCAAGAACTGGGAATTATAACAAAATCTAGACTAGTTTTTTTTTCGTGTAAATGGACAGTAGAAATATGTCTGTCTGTTTCCTATGACTAGCAATTTACAATGAAACATAGACGAATTCGATGATTCTTTGGAGTTTCAACTTTTCATAACCACAGTGCTGCATTTTTGTTCCAGTTTTGGGCATTTTATGCCGTAGATAATAATTTTATAGAAATTTTTAGCATCAGCTCCAGGAAAGGTGGTCTAATTTTTGTCAGCTTCTGTTCTTATCTCTGTTGATTTTTTGAATTAAACACCGTCTTCATATTCATTGAGAGATTGTGTGTATAATACTTTATAGGCAACCATTGCTTGGTAGTTAATAGTTCTAAAACTATATTCTGGAATCATAAAGCAATATACGACCCTTTAGCATAACAGTTGTAATTTCTGCATAAGTGAAAAGCTACTTTTTTCAATCCATAATCTTGAATTTTGGATAAAAATTGATTTAGTTGTAAGCTTTCTGAATTTTATATGCTACAAAATATCTCCACTAGTAGCAGACTTATTTTGTATAATGAAATGTATTAAAAAAAGCCTTGTCCATTTTTTCGCAGCATTGAGGAAAACAACCGCTTTACAATATACAACGAAAACCACATAATTACTCTTTGCAAGTATTTTAACAGAATCGTGATTGATATACAAATGTTCTGATTTAGCAATATTTATATTGATTGGATTTTCTTTCAGTTGTTTGAGGCTTTGCCTTTTTTTTATAAATTTCGCAATTCCTTATAGGAAATTGAATCAACCTTACGACATGATCCAAAATAACTCACAACACAAGTTCAATTAAGCAACCATCTTAGTAAAAACCCCAAAAATCATATACTAAACATCTTTAGTCAATAAATACCATTAGAATATTAAATCTACTCATTTTAGAATTACCACGTGACTAGACGCCGGCACTAAAAACCAGGGAAAAAAATTAGAAAAATTGGCTCTGTGGCCGAGTGGTTAAGGCGGTAGACTCAAGTTCTACTATCGTAAAGATGCACGCGTTCGAACCGCGTCGGAGTCATTATTTTTTTTTTTTCACTTTGCTCAATACGATTTGAAAAGTTAAAGATTTTATTTAGTACAATGTATATGCTTGTGATAAATGAATCTATTACTATGTACTTTATAAAAAAAAACAAGCTATGCAAGAAATTAACGAGTTCTCTTTCCTCTTCTGGTCATTTCTGGTAATTTAAATGGTACACGTAAAGTGGCAATCTTATAAGTACCAGCAGCACTCTTGGGTATTCCAAATGCTTCAGCTTCACCAACAGTGGCACTCTTGATAGTTGCACCTAATGCTTTAAATAAACCAACCAATCTAGTAGGTTTCATGTTCAATTCATTGGCTAATGGTGGTAATTCAACAACAAAATTGTTGATATGAAGAATAAGAGCTAATAAATAACACAATAACTTATCTTCATGATGTGGATCAATAGTGAATGATCTGTCTTTGGATTTACCAAATTGAGATGCACGGGAAATGGCAAATTTTTCTAAAATACCATCAACCAAAACCTCAGAAGGTTTGTCTTGTAATCTTGTCATAAGGGCCTGTTTATCCTTTACACGTCTGTTTTGATAAACACCAAATAAGAGAGAAGCATAATAAAGTAATTGTATTTTCTCGATATTTTCTTGTTTCACCAAAGATGGTAAATGCTTCTTAACATATTCGGATTTACCATATGGGAAAGCTTCCAATTGTTTACTTTCGTCGGTTTCAGATAAGATTGAACTGACACGCAAGTATGCCCATTCTTTTTCTGGTATGATATTATACAATGGGTAAACATCTTCAACATTCTTGGCATCGACATCTGCCAATGGAGTAGGTCTATCATTGACAACATCCGAAGCCATTTTTTCTTTAGTTGGCAAATCTTGACTTGATTCTTTAACACTATCAACAATATCCATTTCCAACCCTTGTAATTTCTCAGCATCAATTCTGTTCTTTTCCAAATTGGTAATGGCAGCTTTGGCTTTCTTGGTACCAAAAGCTTCACCTAAAGCATTACGTTGGGTAATCAGTCTGACACCGGCTTGTCTTACTTTAGGTCCCTTGTATATTCTGTTCCTTTTAGCAGTGACTTTAGTGGAAAGGTATGGAGATTTAAATAATTCAACAGATTTATGCACAGGGTCATAGACACCAACCACATAATCGTTTTGGTCATCGGTAAGTGATTCACCATTGTAGTCTAAAGTTTCTGATTCTCCATGAAGGACATAATTGTTTTGTTTCTTGTGTTTGTATAAATCAAATTCAGTCGATGAAGGAACAGAAAGTCCATTGAAAAAAGATCCAACAGCAACAACTGGCTCTTCAGTAAAGGAAACCACCCTAATATTTGAGGTACGCGATTCTTGTTTCGATGGAGACATGGTTGTTGTAGAAGGGGATCATCGCAACTTGAGATTTTTTTTTTTTTTATTTAGGTTTGGGTTTGTATTTTTCGGCCCCAAAAAAAAATTTCGAGATTTGTTAACTAGGCCAACTCGACCTACTCATGACCAAAACATACTATGAGCTATTAGGTATTAGCCCCACTAGCAGTAGCATAGAAATCAAACAAGCATACCGTGAAAAATTATTAACAACACATCCTGATAAGGTAAATAATAAAGGTGTCCAGGATGAAATATCACTCATAAAGGAAGCATATAGGACATTGATTGATTCAGAATCTAGAACAAACTATGACAATCTGATAATACAAGGATCTAAATTGAAAGGATTTAACTTGAATGGAGGTGGACTTGATTTGTACTCTCTTGAAGATTTTGAATTTGACGAGGATAATGTCATATGGCTGAAGACTTGCCCAAGATGTCAATTTCCCGAGGGAATCAAGCTTTGTGAAACAGATCTTGAACAAAATGGAACTGCAGATAACCAAGGTGGATATGATATTATTGTACAATGTAGCAGTTGTAGTTTGTGGATTCAAGTGAAATATTACGACGCTGTGGAATCAGACTAGTATATTTATAGGATAATTAAGACTTCTATTTAACAAGATAGAACCATCCATTTTGATTCTGCTGAAATCGGAACGTTTGTCAATTCCATGCCTAAAGTGTTGTTCATCATCACTAGATTCCAGAGAACTCTCCCAATACGGGTCCAGGAATTTCCAATCTGGTTCCAGAGCGCTATCATCATCTGAGCCGGAATCATAATCGTTGCTAAACATGTCTTGAAATAACAAGCGGAGGAAAAGCTTTTTGAAGGAAAAGTACTTTGGCAGTTTGTATTCTTCTTCTGAGGATGAATCCGTTCCGTAGCCGTCTCCAAAATGTGAATGTATTCGAGGATAGTCAGCAGTAACCATTGATATAAGGAATAGGTATAGTATTAGCAATGTTATCTTCATAGTTTGTTTGTAATACAAGAAAAAAATAGCCGCTTTTTGTAAAACCTCTCACTTTATTTTCCTTTATTTACAGCGCTTTCTACATTATGTTCCAACTGTTTTGACCACTGATCTAACTCGGTGGTTATTTCTTCTAATATTGCTATTTTGTTTTCAATACTAATCAATTCTTGAGAATGACTTTCAAATTCTGCTTCTATAAGGATTCGTTAGTGGGTGTTTGTTGACCAACAACTTTAGCGTATACATACTTAACTGTTTTAGTTGATTTGAATTGGTTTCCATATCATCCAAATTCTTTTCAAGTTTAATGTAGTTCAATGATTGGTTTGTGTTGAGGTTTTCCAACAAGTTTAAGTCAATTGTTGACACATTGGTATCAGATTCTACTATCTTGGAAGCAGCATTCAATGCAAGGCTTACTAGCTTGGGTGTATCCCTCAGGGTTGACATAACACGATGATAATCTGATTATAATTTACGAGCCCGCCTTTTCCTTGTGTAAACTATTTATTTTTTTTTAAAAAAAAGTAGGTTGAGTACTATATTTACAAGATATTTATCTATACAAAATTATCTACACAAAATTATCTACCACGGAATAACTTATACACTGGATTAGTCTTATGTGCTTGGATATTGGCCCATTTCTTGCTTGGTGTGGCATTCATTTGAGCAACATAATTGACTGGTTCTGGTTTATCAACAAGACTTTTAAGACCAACTCTAACTTTAGATTCAGGTGTGATAATTTCATAAAGACCAGGCAATTTATCAGCTGCTTTTCTCAAGGCTTCTCTAGCAGTTCTATCATGGATATCGCCCTTGATTTCAAACAAGACTTTACCGGTTGGGAATCTGGCAGCCCAATGATGGAAACCACCCTTACCTTTACCCATTCTAGTTTGATTACCTTTTACACACACGGCAATATTACAAGCAAATCTAGTTATCAATAATGACTTGGTTGGTCTCAACTCTCTCCTCAATACTTTATCAGCAGCTTTAAGTTGGTTGGCAGATATTCTTAAACCTTGAGATTTCAATCTTAATCCTAGTTTTCCAGATTCAACAGAATTACCTTTAGTAGATCCTCCAGTTCTAACTGGAACTCTTCCCTTCATGGCTTTTCCGATTCTATTAAGTCTTGGTGCATACTCATGGGTATATCTCTTGAATACTCCAAAGTTTTGTGTATTTAAAAGGGAGCTTGGTGTAGGAGCATGAATTGTCCTGAATGAGGAAAACAAGTTTCTTGCCAATCCAAGCATGTTTTGTGTGGTTGAATTGGTAATACTGTTTGAGCTTTTTAATATCAACTGAAAATAAAAAAATTTTTAATTGGAAGTTTTGATTTCAATTTGGAAAATACATCACGTGATTAGCACATAACTCCGTTGTATAAGAACAGGATACAGATAGATCAAAAACTATGATGGAAGTAGTTACAAGTAGTATCCAGCTTGTATAACAAGAACTAATCGATCTAACATCATATTGTTTGTCGTATAATATACTAATTACAGACTCCTGGGAGGTATCTCGTATATGCAGTCCGTAATCCACCCTTTCAGATATTCAGGACACAAAAAAGTTACATCACCAAATTAACTACCTCCACTGATCCACCCACCACACAATGACCAAACCTTACCCCGAACCTAATCCACCAGTCATACTTCCCTATGGGGATGGTTCATACAAGATCTTTGGAATGGAAAACTTTGGTAATACATGCTATTGTAATTCCATTCTCCAATGTTTATATTATACAGAGAATTTCCGCAAGAACCTCGTGCTGCATAAATTCACCAAACATGAACCGAAATTGAAAATATCTGGATCTAAATTGCATAGTTTCAGTAACAAGTACGAACAATTATTGCAAAAGAAGCTCAAAGAACAAGGCAAAGTCCCCACACAAACACCAATACTGGCTGGTTCAGTTGTAAGTGGCAGTGGCGGATTAGAGGAACGTCCTAAACTGTCGAGAAAAGGGTCATTATTTGGAATCAAATTTAACAATTCATCTTCTACAACAACAGCTGCCAATGTTATTGATAGCAAGACTGCAAGTTATATAAGAGAAGCTAAAGATTGGGATGTACTAACCTTGGAGCAACGACTCAATATCAAAAAGTGTGCAGAATTTCAGAAATTGCCGATTTTGATGACAAGACCTACAAACCACGAAGTCAACCCTTCTGGTAGAGTTGACTATTCCCAAAGTTCATCCATGCTTTTAAATGGCGATCAACCGCAACAGACCCAATCCGAAGGTTCCATCAGCTCTACCTCAAGTGCAATCATTGTGGGGATTCCTCACCCGGAAACAAACTTATTAGTTCCCATTAATCCTTTCAATGTAAATCCAGGTGCCGATCAAAGAAAACGATCTGCATTGATCAACGGTCCTATTATAAATCTTGATGCTTCTTTGCAAATTGGTGAGCAACATGAAGATTCCATATTGATGTACGCACTCAAGGATATATTTGAAAGTATGATTGAAAATAAATCCACCATTGGTGTAGTATCACCCAATTATTTTATTCAAAAACTTAAAGATAGGAATTACTTGTTTCGTCAGAATAATATGCATCATGATGCTCATGAATTTTTCAATTATTTAATTAATGAAATTATCGAAACCTTGAATAGAGAAGTTGGCCCTGAAAACAATTGGTGTAACAATATATTCCGGGGTTCAATCACTAATGAAACTAAATGTTTATCATGTGAAACTGTCAGTTCAAGACATGAATATTTCCTTGATCTATCAATTGATATTCCCCCTGGTGAAAGTGCATACTCGTTAAGTTATTCCCTTAATAATTTCTCGAAACTGGAAACATTGACTAATCAGAATAAGTTTTATTGTAATACATGTTCATCACTTCAAGAAGCCGTGAAAACTATCAAGTTGAACAAATTGCCTGAAGTTTTGGTAATCAATTTCAAGAGATTCAAGTATGATGAAACCGTTGATAAAATGGTGAAATTATTTGATTCAATTAGTTATCCATTTAAATTGAAATTGTTCAACACTACCGACGATGATCAGGAACAACATTTATACGAATTATATGCGTTGGTTGTGCATATAGGAGGAGGACCCATGCATGGACATTATGTGTCCATCTGTAAGACCAAGTATGGATTATGGCTTTTATTTGATGATGAAACTGTGGAATTGGTTGATGATTCCTATGTTATGCGATTCTTTGGCAATGGGCCTGGATTGGCAAGTGCATATATTTTATTTTACAGCAAGTGTCACGAAACCAGTGACGATGTTGTCGATTTTGGATTTGATATTTCCAGTATTTACAAAGGAGATGATTTTGGATTACTTCAACAAGTTAATAATAACAGTGACTTATCGTTGAAGAAACCAACTACTGCCGAAGAAGTTGAGCAAGAAAAATCAGAAACATCATCGGTCAATTCTTACAATGCGCCAGAGGCTAAAAAGCAGGGAGTGTTTAAACCATTCAAATTTGATGGCACAAAAGAAGAAAAACCACTCTCAAGGTCCAGCAGTAATAAAGAACCTAAAGAGAAGAAGTCTTGGGGACTTAAATGGAAAAACTCGTCGGACACAACAAACTCTGACAAGAAAGCCAGTGTTAGTGGTGCCTCATCACTGGGTGGAACTATTGAAAGCCCAGTTCCTGAACGAAAGAAGTCGATTTTTGGGTTCAAACGGAAGTAAAGAAAAAAAACAAAAAAAAACTCACGTGATGTAACGTCATGTACAAGGCAAATTTAGTTTTTTGATTACCAAATTGGCGCATCGCGGGAGAACTACAACCCCACCGCCACCAGATCTTATATAAACACTGTGGCTCCCCCTCTGATTTCTTCGAGCATTAGATATATACTATTCTTTTTTAATACAACAATGTCTGTATCAACTATATCATCTACTTTGAAAACAACACCAACCTCGCAATTAATTACCTTAGCTGCTGGATGTTTCTGGGGGGTTGAACGTGTGTTCAAGAAGCAATTTGAAAACAAAGGATTAGTCGATGTTAAAGTCGGTTATGCTAATGGTATTCCAACTGTTGGTAATGTCAACTATGAATTAGTATGTTCTGGATCTACTAATTTCGTCGAAAGTATACAACTTTCTTATGAACCAGCTCAATTGAAACTTGAAGATATTTTGGATATATTTTTTAGAATGCATGATCCAACCACTGTTAATTCACAAGGTCCAGATGTTGGTACTCAATACAGATCAGCTATTTTAACTCACAATGACCAAGATAACGCATTAGCTTGGAAATTAAAAGAAGAATACCAAAAGACTTGGTATCCAAATGACAAGATTGTTACTATAATAGAGCCAATTAAGGTATGGCACGATGCTGAAGAGTACCACCAAAAGTACTTGGAAAAGAATCCAGCTGGGTATGAATGTCCATCTCACTTCATAAGAACTAAACCAAAGGCGTAAATATTTATATAGTTAAACAAAATGTATGGTAATTTTTTTTTTATTTTATTATTTAATTTTTTTTTTTTTCGTACACTTTTTTAGACAACCAAGATTAAACGCGTCTTTCTGTTTCCTACTTCTTTTACAGCCATCACTGAATCATGTCGTTGTGGGTAGACAAATATCGTCCGAAAACTCTAGATCAATTGTTATATCATGACTCTATAACTCAAAGCTTGAAGGCATTATCTAAATCAGGTGATTTTCCTCACTTGTTAATCTATGGACCAAGTGGAGCAGGTAAAAAGACAAGAATATATTGTACTTTGAATGAAATCTTTGGATCCCTGGTTGAAAAATTAAAGATTGATGTTAAAACATTTGTTACTTCTTCTAATAGAAAGTTAGAATTCAACGTGTTGAGTTCTCCTTATCATTTGGAGATTACTCCTTCCGATATGGGTAACAATGATCGTGTGGTTATTCAAGATTTGTTAAAGGACATTGCATCAACTGAACAAGTTGATTTCAATAATCAAAGTTCGTCCAAGACCAAACACAGATTCAAGATTGTTATCATCAATGAAGCAGATTCGTTAAGTAGGGATGCACAAGCCGCATTAAGAAGAACCATGGAAAAGTATTCATCTAATATCAGATTAATCTTGGTTTGCAACTCGATCTCCAACATTATTGCTCCAATCAAGTCAAGAACTCTTTTAGTGAGAATTCCAAGTCCTTCCATTACTGATATCAATTCCATCTTGTCTAATATTTCCGTCAAAGAAGGTATTAAGTTCAGTTCTAATGACCTTGAACCATTCTACACCAAAGTTTCTACTGCTAGTAATCGAAATTTGAGAAGAGCTTTATTAAGTTTTGAAACTTTGACTATGCAAAATGAAACTATTAAGCCAGAAACTAACCTTTCAATTATTAATTTAGATTGGGAAGTTATAATAAAGAACATTGCCAATAACATCAAAACCGCTAGAAATGTTGCTACTTTGGCCAAAATAAGAACAGTATTCTATGAGCTTTTATCGCATTGTATTCCTGCCAGAATTATTTTGAAAACCTTATTGTTTAATTTGATTGAGATTATTCCTGATGTTAGAGTTGTGCAAGAATTGGTTAATTTAGCCTCAGTATTTGATGAAAGGTTAAGTTTGGGACAAAAGAGTATTTTCCATTTAGAAGGTTTTGTTGCAAAATCAATGGTAACTATTGATCAATATAATTAAAACTGTATAACATTATATATTTAAACTAACGTTGTATCTTATTATCGGATGAACCCTTGACGTCAACGGCAGGGGCTTGTAATGGTTGAACAATATCTTCATATGCAGGAAGGTCACCAGCTAATGCATCATTCTGTGGTCTTGATGATGAGCTTCCTGCATTTCCTTGCTGTTGTGGTTGTGGTTGTTTAAGTTGTTCTGGTTCATAGAAACCTTCTTCCTGAGCACCAACTCTACTTTCTTGATGATGATCATGATCTTCGTAGAAACCTTCTTGTTGTTGTCCAAGTCTTGATTCATCATCATCTGGAAGTCTATTATAACCGCCTTGTCGAGATTGAGGAAATTCAATGTACCACAAATAGTAAAGGGTAAATATTGCTCCTGGAATATGTCCAAACATGGTTAATAAAACACTAACCAAAAATTCCTTGTTCCAGATACTGTATTTTTTGGCAAGAAATATTGCCAAAGGAGGCAACACAAGTGCCGCAATAATCAAGATGAACTGTTCCTGCTGAGGTTGTGTGTTGGCCATACTGAGGGGGGGGGAGTTGTATTGAATGTTTTTATTTAAAAAAAAAATTGAAATAGTTGATAATCTTTTGAATCCTTTGGTAATGATTTCTTGCGCCTCCTTGGCAACAATGTACCTAATTCATGTGTCATTTGCCCTTTTGGCGCTACCAGTTGAATACAACTTTTACTATCATTTCAACAGACAACTTCCTTTCAAGTCTATAAAGCTATTTGATTAAGCTTGTTATTGGTATGATTTAATTTCCTGTTTATTCCAGAAGAATGTCTTGTTGAAATAGTACGTTAGTTACTGAAGAAAAGTGAACGAAAAAAAAAAAATAAATACAAAACTGCCACACTACTGATAAGCAAGACACACCCTACTATAAATCATGGACTTTATAAAGAAACAGATATATGGACCGGATCCCAAAGACCAGGTATGTTAAAGGTATCTAAAGAAGGTTTCAATCTGTCAAATACTAACATATTCTTTAGATGAGGAAGATCAACCAGCTTCTTCGGAAGAATAAACGAGAATTGGACAGGTCCTTGAATCAACTCCAACCTTTAAAGAAAAAGACTGAAAGCTTAATAAAGAAAGCAGCTAAGGAGAAGGACTATAAAACTGCCAAATTGTATGCAAAAGAATTAATTGGTATCAATCGCCAATATAACAAATTATATACATCTAGAACCAGAATAGAGTCAATTAACATGACCATTAACGAACAGTGGCAAATGAACAAATTAACTCAATCTATAGGTGCACTGACTTCTGTAATGAAAGATGTTAATAGATTGATCCATGTTGGTGCCGTGCTGCAAACTATGCAAGAATTATCCAAGGAATTGATGAAGGCAGGTATTATTAATGAAATGGTGGATGATATGGTCGATGTCGATTTTGAAGAGGATGAAGAATTAGAATCCGAGTCACAAGAAGAAATTAACAAGATCATAACCTCATTGACTGAAGACAAGTTCTCGAAAATTAGTCATGAAGTTCCAACTACTAAATTGGAAGAACCAGCTGAAGAAGAGGCTCCTGAAGAGGAAGATGAAATTGCATTAGATGAAATGAGACAAAGGCTAAAAGCATTACAATAAACTATAATCGATAAACATTAGTTTAAGATTGTATAGAAAAGAATACACAACAACGCCAATTTGAAATCTGCCCTAATAGTGTTTACACCCGAGGTGTCATCAAAATATGGATCTTTGTGAACATGAACTAATGGTTTCTTTGAGACTCGAACTGGTCGAATGTAGTTGGACAGAATATTCTTTCTTTGAGGAAGGAATGGATTTGTGGCTATTTGTCCCGTGAACAAATTATGACTATCAGGATTGGCTCGTGACACCATTTGAGACGCAGAAATTTGATACTTGGCACCACTGGGAACATCTTGGATACTGAACGGTAAGAACCACAATTTCTTCTTCTTCTTCTTCTTCTTCTTCTTCTTCCCATCATCATCGTCGTCGTCATCCTCATCATCACCACATTCACAATCATGATCATGCTCATGATCACTATCATCACTATCAGTACAATGATGTTCTATCACAGGAACCTCTTTAATTTCATGAATTTCTTTGTTCACATAAACCCCAGCACCAACATGCCACATGGGCTTCTCTTCTTTCACCTTTTTCACTTCTTGGCTTTCTTTAATGTATTTTCCTTGTTTGTCATGTTTTCCTTCTTTGCCATGTTTCCCCTCTTTCCCTTTTTTCACTTCCTTCCCTAGTGCAACAACTGTAACATCATCAAACTCGTTTGTCCCAGTAGTTAAAAGATCCCCAGTATCAATAACCTTAGTAGACCCATCTCTAGATATGATTATTGCTTGTTTGTTTGTTCCTGCTAACTCGAGTACCTGAGGGGTTAACTCTTGTTCCAAAGAATCATTTCGTTTTAGTGAATTTTGTTGCTCCCAATTGGCAAACTCCAAAACTTGTTTAAAAAAATCGGCATCTTCATCAGAAGCTCTGCTAGGAATTGCAGATGCAAATGTATATGACAATATCAATAGCCAAATTAATATATTCATAATTATAATTATTATGTCTAGGAAAGAGTTGTAAACTACAAATTTTTTTGCTTTTGTGGAAAAATCTCTATATATATTTTTTTTTTTTTCGCAGCTATCTAATTATCTTGATCATACACTAACCCATTTTCCTTTCTAATTTGATCCATAACACCCATAACTAAAAGAGTTTCAGCATGTGGAATAGTATCATTTTCTAATTTACCATCACTAATGTCTTGTGCAATAGCATTGGCTTCATAGATAAATCCATTGTATCCTGATTCATCCTTATACTCGATTGGTTCTCTACCATCTTTAAAGAAAATTTTGAAATGCTTGGCTCTGGCTGGATTATCACTATACATTTCCGCCCAACCTTTAGTACCTTCAAGACGAATGTATGCCTTTGGACCATCAATTAATTCCGAGGTAGACAAAATTGCATGTTTACCATTTTCGTATTTGATAATGATGGAAGAAAGGTGGTCAACTTTATCAACTGGGTCTAATGTCATGAACGATTTAAATTCAAATTTGGTATGTTCGTCACCAACTTTATCATCTAAAAGAATTCTTGAATAAGTAAGTGGGTAAATACCAATATCTAATAACGCACCTGCTGCCAAGGTTCTATCTCTAACACGAGAACTGGTAGGTAACTTGGTCACATCAGCATAATAACTAAAGTCTGCAAATAATCTATGAACTTCTCCAATAACTTTTTCATCATACACTTTTTGTCTCAACTCCTTAACGGCTGGGAAAAATCTGGTCCATACAGCTTCCATAAAGAATTTCTTTTTCGATTTAGCCAAGGCAAATAATTCTTCAGCTTCCTTCTTGTTGACAGTCATTGGTTTTTCGCAAAGCACATGTTTGTTTCCATTGAGACAACCAATTGCTTGTTCCCGGTGGTAAGTATGAGGGGTTCCAATGTAAACAATATCAATGTCGGGATTGTCGTAAAGCTCTTGGTACGATTGAACAACTGGAACAACTCCATAGTTGTTAGCTTCAGTTATCTTATTGGCAGTAATAAAATCTTGTCCCTTTTGCTTGTTGGAACAACCAATACTACCAACAACATGATGAGTTTCGGATTTACGCTCATTACTTAAAAGTAAATCAAACACAAATTGTGAAGAAATGTTTCCTGCACCTAAAATACCCCAACGTAAAGTAATTGTCATTGTAACTATTGAAAGAGAAGATCGATCGACTTGAATGAAATTTTTTTACTCGGGAGAATAGGGGGGGTTTATATGGAGTTTAAATTTTTGCGGGTTTAAATTTAAACAATGGGGCAGGGTGGGGGATCTGCCATGGAAAAAATGTAACGTTACAAATATTCTTTATATTTATGCGGCACAACAAAATTGCCTTGCATCTATTTATAAGCAATATATATAACCTAAAACTTCAAGTACAATGGGTCCAGCAATTTAACTTGGCAAGCTTCTCTAGTCTCTTCATCCAAGTCTTCGGCTGCTTGTATTACGGCGTTTTTATCGATATTATTGTAAATATAAGGGAAGGTCTTTCCTTGGTCATATTCATTGCTTGTGGTTATATGGCTATCATTCATGTCATTTTCACTTAATATAGTATCATTATTTATCTTTGGGTTTGCATTGGGTGAGTTTGTGATTGACATTTGACTTTGGGATGGTCCACCACTTAAAAACGAGGTGACATCAATAAGCTTATCAGATAACTCATTCACAATCGATGCCAACTCTTGTTGTCGTTGCTGTTGTTTTAGTATTTGCTCTTCTTGAACATAGTCACTGGTATACTGATTGTCTTGATTCCTTAATAAGGATGTAGTTTCGTTATATTCATCATCGTTTGTGTGTTGAAGACAAGAAAGACATGCACCCATTGATTATATGTCACTTTGTTAGTCCTAAGGAGGGTAATTATATAGAATCTGTGATTATTTATGTATCACTACTAAGGAATACGATGTATCAATCTATCTATGGTAGAAGATCTATTACGCTGGTTATGGTGATATTCCACAATTTCCTCTTTGGTATGGAAAAAAAATAGTTAGGTCGTGCGAACAGTACAAAGAATCTTGACGTATAAATTGCAGGACGTACTCGTTTAAAATACCTAAATAATATTCCTGACTGCAACTAACATAGCAGTTGATCTGAAAGCAGGAGTTTCTTTGCGTTTTCCCCCTCCCCATAGATTTTACAACTTCGGCTACACCTATATTTGTCTCTTCACTGGGGCACTATCGTACAGTTACCGTATGCTTGTTCACCACCTTAGTAAGCTTCTAATATGAAATTGGATGATCAATAACTGTAATCGAGATTAAATTTCAAAGTCCAGCAGCAAAATTATTTCTTGTTATGTGCTATAAGCGCCATTTCTTTTATGTCGGCTTGTATGTAGCCTGAGTTAATTTGGTGCGAAATTTGAAACTTTCTTGGAAATAATTTTGCAACTGTGATGGTTATGGGAAATATATATCTTCCGAATGTCCCACATTTCACCTCCATAGGCTTCTAGGACGTAAAAAGTAATGATTGCTTTTAAATTACCCCCAGAGTTGATTCAACTTACACTTTCATTTTTAAGTCCCCTGGAAATTGATGATTTGTTCGAGATCAATGAGATATTCCATGATTGTCAGGATCGAGATGATCCATACTTTCAAATTAGATTGATTGCATTACAAGAATATTTTCTGAATAGGAGATTAATGCTTTCCAATAGCTATTATCTTCTAGATTATGTCGAGATTACGTTAGAACAGATCAAGTACCTCAAAAGAGAAAATATCATGGTGAATCCACGCGAAATCTCAGTTTTTATAAGTGATAGACTCGTCACTACGGACGAGGTTGAATTTATTAAACAGTTATGCTACGATGATTTGTTACAGTTTGTTACTTCATGGTCGACAAAAAAGTTAAAATTTCAACTTGAGCTTATCAATACTGTTGGAAAAGAAGCACTTAGTGAAGTATTGATGTTAGTTTCTTCCATTAATTGTAAATTAGAAACGTTCTTGTTGAAATATAATGGGAAGCTACCATACGTGGAATGTGATTTTAGCATTGACGTGAATAATTTGAAACTACAACTTCCCGGAAGTCCTGAACTTCTCCAAGATATTAATAGAAATGATTGTTTTACAAACATCACCTCGTTAAACTTATCGTTCAACGGAATTTCTGATTATAGTCTTGGTCAATTCAAGTTTCCTCAAAGCTTAGTACAGCTTAATTTATCGAACAATCTCCTCACAAATGTTGATGATTTTAATTTTAATTGGAAGTGCTTAACAAAGTTAGAAAGCTTGGATTTGTCTAATAATAACATCCAACACTTTAATTTACATGGTAGAAGTGAAAACTTGTATCAACTTACCCAGTTAAAACTATCAGGAAATCATTTGGTTACTGTTCCCAAATTATACAATGCATTCTTCGGTAATTTGCGAGAACTTGATCTTTCCCGGAACATGCTTTGTTGTTTGCACCGATTCCCTGGCTGTTTATTGAAATTAAGTTTACGAGGAAATTATTTGACTCAGTTTCACACCCAAGTACAAGGTGACATATTCCCAAAAACATTAACCCATTTAGATTTAAGTCATTGTAGAATTGGTTGTCAACATGAACTCACCACTGAAGAAATCCTGAACCATTTAGTTAGTGTAGAGAAACTATACAATTTGTCTGATTTGCAGATTGAAGGCTAAAAAAAAAGTTTTTATATGTTATTCTAGATTTTGTAGTATACACGACTTATTTTTGTATTTTATGCAGGGCCAAAACGAAAGTAAGGGATATTGAAACAAAAAGAACGCAGGATACATTTGCTGAATAATCACAATAAATCAACAATTTCCCGTCATGTCTAAGGCATTATGTTGTTATGCGTTTGAAACATTGATCAATAAACTCAACATTGAAACTCACAAGGTCCCATTGTCAACATATTTTGATGCCTTGAATGAAAACTTAAAATCCTTGCCCAAATCTGCGCCACTTTTCATTACTTGGAATAAGAACGACAATTTACGTGGGTGTATAGGTACATTTCTGGATTTCCCTCTTGAGTCTGGAGTTTCGAAATTTACCATCAGTGCAGCCATGCATGACCCTAGATTCCCTGCCATATCGAAACTGGAAGTCAATCGTCATTTACTGGTTAGCGTCACATTATTGGCTGATTTTGTTGAGATTCATGATCAAAATGATTGGACTATTGGATTGAATGGATTAAGAATCTCCCTTAAATATGAAGGTGAACATTACCTGGGAACATTCTTACCATCGGTGGCTGAAGAACAAGGATGGGATAAAGTGACAACGTTGTACCATTTGTTAAAGAAGGCAGAATTCCCATTAGCTAGAGCCAATGTTGAGCAGTTTTACGAAAAGGGTTTAAAAGAAGGGTGGTTGAGATTAACCAAGTATGATGGATTAAAGGATCATTTAAGCTATGATGAATTCTTAAAGATTCGCAATCAACTTGTTTAAAGTGATCCATTTATATTTGATAGCTCTTTGTGCAATCTTTTTTTAAAAAAACCCCATATTATTGTCCCGCATATTCCCGGTGCGGATAAATGCGGATTGTATTTTTTTTTTTGTTTGTTTGACATATTTTAATAAAGCATTTTGTATTTCCGCAAATATTTTCATGCCCCAAAAAGGGTAATTCCGTTATATTATCTTGTGTAGGAGCATCAACATCGTAAGACCATGTTTAATGGATTTGTCTTGCTTTAGCCGAGTAAGAAGTAGTCGATCCTTGCATGTACCAGATCACTGTGCGCAGTACCCGTCGCCCTGAATACAATGGACTGTAAAATCAATCAAAGTTGACTGATGAAATTTCCCCACTTTATTTGTATTTCCGATGAATGGAAATTTTATTTACCTTTACCGGAAAAGTCAATATGCGGAAATCGGGCAAAAATTTTTGCATCAGATATAAATATCCTTGTTTCCCCATAATCAACGACACAATGAAGAATTGATCAGTAGAATCCATCAACCAAATATGTCACTCCCATTATTGAAGAAATCAGCCAACGATATCGTTGTGTTATCAGCATTAAGAACTCCAGTCACCAAAAGTATCAAGGGTGGACTCGCCAAAATGTTCCCTGAAGAATTACTTTACCAAGTTGTCAAGGGTTCTATTGAACGTAGCAAGATTGATCCAGAATTAATTGATGATGTTTTGGTTGGTACTGTTTTACAAACTTTAGGTGGTCAAAAGGCATCTGCATTAGCCATCAAGAAGGTTGGATTCCCAATCAAGACTACTGTCAACACTATCAATCGTCAATGTGCATCCTCCGCCCAAGCTATAAGTTATTCTGCTGGTACTTTATTAACCGGTGAAAACAAATTTACTATTGCCGCCGGTGTTGAATCCATGACCCATGATTATTTCCCTCATCGTGGTATCCCAACCAGAATATACGAACCTTTCAAGAAGGACGCCAGTGAAGAAGCCCAAAACGTGTTGATGCCAATGGGTCTCACCAGTGAGAATGTTGTTTCTAAATATGGTATTTCTAGAAAAGCCCAAGATGAATTTGCTGTTGCTTCTCATTTAAAGGCTGCCAAGGCTATTGAAACTGGCCATTTTGCTAAGGAAATCATTCCTGTTCAAGCCAGACAATTGGATGATTCCAAGACTGATTTGGTTGAAATTTCCAAGGATGACGGTGTTAGAGCCGGTTCTACTTTTGAAAAATTATCTACTTTGAAACCAGTTTTCAAAGAAGATGGTACCACTACTGCCGGTAACTCCTCGCAAATCTCCGATGGTGCTTCTGCTGTTATATTAACCACCAGAGCCCATGCCGAACAACTTGGCATTAAACCAATTGCTAGATTCATTGGTTCTGCCGTTGCTGGTGTCCCATCTGGATTAATGGGTATTGGTCCATCCGCAGCCGTTCCTCAGCTTTTGAAAAGAAAGGGACTTGAAACCAAAGATATTGATATCTTTGAATTAAATGAAGCATTTGCATCCCAATCTATTTACTGTATAGATAAACTCGGTCTTGACTACGACAAGGTCAACCCATACGGTGGTGCCATTGCCATTGGTCATCCATTGGGTGCCACTGGTGGTAGAGTTACTGCTACTTTACTTAACGGATTACGAGCACAACAAAAGGAGTTGGGTGTCATTTCCATGTGTACATCCACTGGTCAAGGTTATGCTGCTGTGTTCGCCAACGAAGCATAGAATAATATTTATAGAAATAATACTTAATAGAAAATGCACAAAACAAAAGTACAATGTGAGTATATTAAAAGAAGTAAATGTAAACCTTATGAACCAATATATAAAAACATTAAAACTCTATATCATTCAAACATGACATGCTTTGACTAGCCAATAAAGGAAAGTCCCGCTTAATACAGGAATAGTAAAATTGTCGTCAACGCCCCAAAGATCAATAAATTCAGAAACGCTGGCACCTACACCACAAAGTAATGCATAGGCATGGATATTCAATTTACTGGTTTCTGGAGTCCAAAATACATCCTCGGGTCTATTGACATTGTAGTTTGGTACGAAATAACCATAGTATAAGTAAGCAACCAAAACTCCAGTGACACAACTAGCCAATGATCCAGCTACTGATTTGCCATTACCGAGCTTAGGAGTGTATTTACCAAATTGTCTGCCGAAAGTAGAAGCAGCAGTATCAGCCCAACTCAAAAGTAAGACACTAACAACTCCAATATCCTTGGGGAAAAAGTAAAACACAATCAAAACACCAGTCAAGTAATACAATACTCCGTTGTAGGTATTGCGTTCCTTTTCTCTGATGATAAACCACATAAACTTACATATTATCTTGTTTAATTCTGGATGATGCAATCTAATGAGATCATTGGCAAGAACAGCGCAAAAGATTGTGGAAAGGGGCAAGAAAAGCTGGGAAATGTCAACACCAATGGTATACAAATACAACGTAATCACACCAATTGAAGAATGAAAGATTTTTCTTGGTATTTCGTGTTTTACCAAAAAGGCTCGGAATTTGGATTCTTGGTTGGTTGGAGTTTTTTGTTCAATTGTTGGAGATGCAGAACGAACTTTTCCAGTGATGTATTCAGTGTCGTCTATTTCTTCATCAAGAGTTCCTTCATCATCATCGCTAACTTCAACTTGACCTTCCGCATCAGTGTCTTCATCGACAAGCAGAGAATCGTCAACATCATCAGAATCATCATCGTCAATAATGGAACTGCTGTAAATATACGTCATGTCTTCCTCTTCAATGTATGACGAATTCAGGTCAAAGTCCATGATGGTAGCTTTAATCTCGCTGCGCAATCTCTGCTCTTGCTCTATAACAGGGGAAATATTCATTGTAATGTTAAAGCGGGAAGGTTGTAACTTTCTGATGTTGTCACTTTAACGTCTTTGCTCTCTTTTAAGTAAAAAAAAAAAATACTCAAAACTTAAAAAAAAAAAAAGAAATGCGCAAAGGGACTATTGTCTAATGGGAGGCACGGACATAAAATGAGTGACTTAGCTGAGTCGCGCGGACAATTCCGACAATAAAATTGTCCGATTTTAACCCAACAAAATAAGATAGTCATTTTTCCGGTTTAGCCTATTCATGTGATTTTTTTTTTTATTACAGTATATCGTCATCTAATTATAATTAATACAAACACATTAATACACTTGCTAACAACCATATTAGAAACGATTTCTTGTAGTGATTACCTTGATTCTCCAGTACATCCAAATGAAATACATCAAAGTCAATGGTCAGATTATTATTCCTAAATCTATAATCTCTTCTTTTTGTCACTGTGGCTGTTGCTGTAACTGTAGTTGTGTCCTCGGTTGCAATTGGCGTTTCAGTTACGTCGCTTTGAGTTGACTGTGTATCCTTTGAAACTTGTAATGATTCTGTAACATCATACGTGATAACGTAGTCGTATGGATCCTGCACTTCCCCGGTCTTTATAGGTGCAAAGGGATGCAAATTATCTTTTTCCGGCTCTGGGGTAGGCGCAATGCTTATTTCATCAGAGGTTGTTGTTTCAGTTGTGGCAGCTACCCCATACCAAGGAACTTTCGGTTTTGCATATTCATGATGGTACACATGGGTACTATGTTCCTCATTTTCTTTTCTATGATTCTGGAATTGCGGAACTATCAATACGGAATTTGATGGATTCTTTTGATTCAAGATATTCTTACCGTGGTTCTTTTCATGATCTAGCCCAATTACATTTGTTGTTTGTGCTGTTTGTGTTGTTTGTTTCGTGGTTGTAACTTCTTTTGTTGCATTATATATCGACAACATTTGAAGTCGAAAGTTTTCCTGTTGAAGTAACATTTCCTTCTTTAGATCTAAAAGTAATTGCTCTAGTCGTTTAATTTCTTCCATTGCCAATAACTCTTGCTTCGAGATTGGCCGTTCTTGGTTAGATGCAACTGCTGTCTCAGTCGTAGTGAACGTTTCACTGGCAGTGTAATAAGGAGATGGTAAAGTAGTTACCATGGAGCTATGCGCAGCAGTTGTTGATTCAACGTCCGTTATTGTATTTGAATCCACTGAAGTTTCTGTTGACGTGGAGTCTGTAACCTCTTCTGGTATCACTGTTGAGAAATAAGTTTCCAACTTGGTAATGAAAACCGTTCTTTTAGGAACCTCTTGTTTTTTCATCTTTATAGGAACATGACTATTATAATGAAGTGGAACACCACCATCCAGCACCAATAACAATGGTCTCGTTTCTTGGAATCTCAAATGTGAATGAGGTAACAAAGTTTTGAATACATTAATGTGATTTCGAAATCGATCTCGCGTTAAATCAATGTTAGTGTTATTTGTCAATTTCTCTGGATCTAGGGAATTGGCTAAAACACTGAATATTAGAAATAGTATCAACCACATTAGCAATGAGTACCGGGTTTTAGATTTGTTTATTTGTGAATGCTAAATCGAAATTTCTACAGAATTGCCGCAAAAAAAAATAAAAATCACAAAAAAAATGAAGGACAAAAAAAAAAACAAAAACAAAACCTAACAAAGTTTACTTGGTAAAATCTAATATGGATCTGGCAATATCAAAATAAGGCTTGACACTTTCTGAATCGGGATTAGATATCACTATGGGTTTCCCTGCATCTGATTGCAAGCATATTTCTTCATCTAATGGTATAGATCCAAGGGTCTTTAAGTTATGTTCGTCGGCTATTCTTCTCGCACCTTCCGATCTGAAAATATGCGACTCATGCTTACAATTGGGACATATATAATGACTCATGTTTTGCACAATTCCAATTATGGGGATATCCACTTTTTCAAACATCTTTATCCCCTTGACAGCATCAATTAATGCAATATCTTGGGGCGTACTGACAATCACGGCACCATTCACTTGCAAGAGCTGGCCAATTGACAATTGAGTGTCACCGGTTCCTGGTGGCATGTCAATGACCAAGTAGTCAATCGGTGACCATTCGACTTCAAAGAGCAATTGCTGGAGCGCTTTCATAACCATTAACCCTCTCCATACTACCGCTTGCTCTGGTGATACCAAGTACCCCATTGACATCGATTGAACTCCGTAATTGGAAAGAGGGATTAATTTCCCACTAGATGACAATCGAGGCTCACCCTGTAGGTTTAAAAGACGAGGCACGGAAGGTCCAAAGATATCTGCATCTAGCAATCCAACTTTTGCACCAAGACTGTTCAATGCCAAGGCTGTATTTACCGAAACGGTAGATTTACCTACTCCTCCCTTGGCTGACGAGACTAGGATGATGTTTTTAACGTTGGGAATTTTTTGCCGTATAGGGAGGCCCTTTTGACTTCGGGGCATGGTCGGGGCTGGTCCTTTTCCAACGCGAGGTATTCCCAATGGATTTTCATGATATGCACGAAGTGACAGCACAATGTATCTCCTGCTTAGTTTGAACATGATTGGTGTGTGTGTGTGTATGTTAGAGGAAATGTTGCTGAATGTCAATACAAGAATATTTTTTTTTTTTTGGTTTCGCATCTCGAAAACAGTCTTTCCTCCCCCAGTGTTTAGCAAATGTCCCAACGACTACTACCTTACATTCAGCGAGTGAACTTTACTACAAGACGGTTCTTCAGTCAGGTGGTAGAAAAATCACTTCTGCCCACAATTTATGCCCTTTCCACCAAATTCGGCAAGTCTGCCATCGCAGTAGTTCGTGTATCCGGACCCCAATCCGCCTATATCTACAATAAACTTACCCATTCACCCCATCCACCGAAGAACAAAACTGCTAGTTTACGTCGATTATACTCTTCGGACAAGGCATTACTTGATGAAGCATTAACTTTGTATTTACCCTCACCGAGAACATATACGGGCCAAGATATTTTAGAACTTCATTTACATGGAGGGATCGCCATTATTCGCTCCGTTCTCGATGCTATCAAGCAGTTGCATGACCCTCATAACGGAATATATATTCGCCAGGCTGAGAGGGGGGAGTTTTCCAAGCAAGGGTTTTTGAATGGTAGGTTTGACTTGACAGAATTGGAAGGGATCAGTGATATGATTGATGCGGAAACCGAGTCACAGAGAGTGGCTACGTTGGCATCGATCACGGGTAAAACCAAGAATGAGTTTGCCAAATGGAGAGAAGATATCCTTAAGAATATTGCCATGTTGACGACCTTGATTGATTTTGGCGAGGATCATGATATAGAAGAAACCAACCAATTGTTTGACGATGTTGAAGCGGATATCATACAAGTGGAGCAGGAAATTAACGAATATCTTAATAAAGTCAGATCGTCTTCAATTCTATTGCGAGGAATTCAATTGGCATTGCTTGGTCCCCCTAATGCAGGAAAATCTTCCATTCTAAACATCCTTGCTAATAAGGAAGCAGCTATAGTTAGTGAAATTGCAGGAACAACCCGAGATGTATTGGATATCCCGCTTGAAATCGGAGGATACAAGGTAGTCTTGGGAGATACCGCTGGTATAAGAGCATTGAATGCAGCTGATAAAATCGAACAGGAAGGTATTAAACGTGCCAAGGCAAAATCTTTAAATTGTGATTTTGTTGTGGTTGTGATAGATCCATTACAAGATATGGATATGGATGACATGAGACTGCATTTACAATTATTGTTACAGAATAATAAACCAATGTTGGTTGTGTTAAACAAGGAGGATCTTTATCCGGGCGAGTCAGAAAGATTAATCAACGAATATTCTAAAAAGTTTAATATCTCACCAGACGTATTCAGATGCGTGTCTTGTGAAACAGGCGCCGGAATAAGCAAGTTAAGAGATACTTTAATCCACCAATTCAAGCATTTGTCTGATTCCGAAACCTCTGATCCAATCATTGTTTCTTCGAGAATCCAAGATCTTTTAGAGAACGATGTTTTATTCGGGTTCAACGAGTTCTACCGTTGGAAACAAGAAGATGATGTCGTGCTTGCAAGTGAATCTCTTCGACAATCTGTGGAAGGTATTGGGAAAATCACCGGACAAGCAATAGGCGTAGAGGAAATACTCGGGGTAGTCTTTTCAAAGTTTTGCATTGGTAAATAGTGAAACATACTGTACATAGAGAGTAATACAAGGGGGGGGGGGGTGAGGGGGTTACTAAGCATTGTTACAGACAACATAAAACGTAATTTTTTCAACGTCCCATGACATTTTCATTTGTTGTAATTGGTGTCTTGTATGTCTACCGGCAATTTCTTCGTTTGGCTCTGAGACAGCAGTAGGTTTGATTTGCTTGGACAAGTGTGGGGCTACTTTACATTCAAAACTCAACACATTTAATCCATAACTTAATTTAACGTCATACTGGACTCCCAACACGTCATCATCGGTTCGTTTTTCTTCAAAACAATCGTTGGCATTGGTGACTTCTTCATCATTAACAAATAATTTACATTGGAATTCTTCGTCGGATGTCAGGTTTAAATAGCCATGGCCATTGACTAAATCTTCTCGTTTAACTTCATAGAGTAAGTTGTGCAATGATGCTTTGAATGAAACAAATGGCAGTATATCGTTAGGCAAGGCCACGGTGTATGATTGTGAAGTGTATCCATTGGCAGGAACCTTGTATTCAAAGATTGTCGCCATGGAATGGAGGGGTTGTGTAGGGAAAAGACTCTTTTTTATATCTTGATTTCTTGGAAGTGGGAGTAGGTTATTTGGTATAGTTTTCTGTTGAACATATTGGGCAATTTGGGTAGATACTGGAACCGAAGAGAAGATTGAAGTTTCTTGAATGATTGAACTTTCACGTGGGAGTAATGGTAAAGTTTTACCTAGAGTGTTGTGAATTGAAGGTTCCACTATGATTTGCTTAGCTTCTTTCTTTTCAACCGGTTCGGTCTTGACTTCATCTGCAACATCTTCTTCCTCCACTACTTCGTCTTCATCTTCCTCCTTTGGTTTAACTTCCTTCTTTTTTCTAGGTTTCTTTGGAGTTTCTTCCTTATGTACACTAAGCTTCAATTTTGGTTTAGAAATCTTAAGTTTTAATTTGGATGAACCTTCAGCCTTAGTCTTTAATTCATTAAACTTTTCATCAAAGTATTCTTCCAACATGTTGGCATCTTGATGAATTTGAGCTGATTCATCATTATAAAGCCTAGCATTGTTGAAGATAAGAGCGGTGGTTTCATGGAACTTTTGCAAGTTGTCAGATACACTGGCTTTAGAATTAAACAACTTCTTCTTTTCTATTAATTGAATCACCTTGTTGAATGACATTGGTTTGGTCACAAAGTCTAAATAGTCACTGTAGTAATCAGTATCCACATCTTCAATAAAAGGAGCACTAATCACGCCTTCGTCGTCAAACTCATGATCAATGACATCATTCAAGATGCCGAGACACAAGTCGGGAAGGTCAGCATTGGTTATTCCCACTTCTTCTTGTTGTTGTGGTTCTTCCTTGACTTCCTTCTTTTTCAACTTCAACTTGATTTTGGGGTGGTGCTCTTCCTCGGTCTTGACTGAAGAATTTTCAAACTCCTTGACTTGATCTTTGACGAATTCAACAATCTTGTTAGCGTTAATCACAATCCAGGAATCGGCGTTGTTATACTTGGTAGCATTATCCAATAGCAATTGGAAATCAGCCAAGAATTCATCACAGGTGGTGTATGTCTTGATCCTCTTTTGGATGTCTGAGAGCGATATGGGCTGGTCAATAATTTGATAATAGTCGGGATATAATTTTTTCGAAGGTAATTTGACAAAGGGGAATGCCATTTGTTCGTCGTTTTCTTCTTCACGAAGGTTCATAACTAGGGTTAATGTCGATTGGAAGAATTGTTTCAAGTCCTCGGTAGAGTGACTCGAGGGTTGTTTAGATTTTTTAGCTGATCCAGCTGATGCGGATGCTGCTTTTCTCTTTGGTGCCATGTTGCAAGGTGAACGATGGGTGTTTGATTGGCTTCTGGGAGTGAGAACTAGAGATTGTGTTTACGTTTGAATTGTTTTGTGAGTAAGAAAAAATTCGCTTCTCAACGCAAGTTTGGAAAAGCCCTTGACTGGTGCTACCATGCGAGATGGCCAGCATCGAGAGTAAATTGCATACACTTGGCTGGGAAAGTTGTATAAATTAGAATAGTCACGGAAAAGATACCATACAAAGTTAGACAAGTTGTTGTGAAGGAGTTTAGCACGATGTATGTCTGTTTTGTACTGATTACTCTAGTGGTTGACATAGTACGCAGCGTTTGCAGTTTCCACGCGAGCAAATAAAGAAAATTTTGCAGGTTGGAAACCAGATTGAAAAATTGACTACTATCACATTAATCTCGTGTATAACGCACATGCTTCCCACAATGTCAGACCAGATCACCATATTGTACGGCTCGGAAACCGGCAATGCCGAAGAGTATGCCCGATATCTCCACTATAGGTTACGCAGAATGAACCTTAAACCGACCTTATCTCAACTTGACGAATACCCTTTGAAACAATTGATTACAAATACTACCCACTTGATAGTCATTTGTTCTACTACAGGACAAGGAGAATTGCCGAGAAATTCCAAGAAGTTTATGAAGTTCATCCTCAAGAAGAAGTTGCCTTATGATTTATTCCAACATTTGCGGTTGACCACCTTGGGGTTGGGCGATTCTTCATATACCAAGTTCAACTATGCTATACGAAAGATCCACGCGAGATTGGTGCAACTTGGATGCCAAGAACTTTCTCCAAGATGTGAAGCAGACGAAATGTCTGCAGAAGGAACCGATGGCTATTATCAAGAGTGGGAGAACCAACTAATAGAGGCGTTACAGAAGGATTTTCCTAAAGCCACCGGCATTAACGAGGACCTCTTGTTAATGCCCCAATATAAAGTGTCAACTAAAGCACAATCTCTTGAACAAGATTTCGCCCAGTTGAAGGTTTCACCCGACTTACAAGCAGGAACTGTAGTGTCAAATGACCGCATTACCACCCCAGATCACTTTCAAGATGTACGCGATTTCAGGATTAAATCTACCGATTTGGATTATTTACCCGGTGACACAGTATCGTTATATCCTGCAAACATGGATGAGGACGTAGAAGCACTATTGCAACTGCAACCAACCTGGCTTAAAATTGCTGACAAACCATTAACTATCTCCAGCCCACCGAAAATTGAAGGTGGATTCATTCCCAATCTCACATTAAGGAAGCTTATCAAGTATCATCTAGATATTATATCCATCCCCAGAAGAAGTTTCTTTTCATTGTTGTGGCATTTTGTGGATCCCTCGACCGAAGATGGACAACGTGAACAAGAGAAATTGCAAGAATTCTCCAATTTTGAAGACCCGGAATTGCTTTATGACTATGCAAACAGACCAAGACGGCTGATTCTTGAAACTGTTGTTGAATTTGAAAATAATTTAACCATTCCTGTGAATTATGTGTTGGATTTGTTTCCATTGATTAAACCGAGAATGTTCCTGATTGCCTCAAAACCTAGCTCAACCGAGTTGGAACTTGTTGTTGCTATAGTAGAGTATAAAACAATCATTAGAAGAATCAGACGTGGGTTATGTACCAGATGGATAAAAAGTTTAAAACCCGGTGATCTAGTAAGGTTTTCAATTCAAAAATCAAGCTTCAATTATAGAAATGAAAATTCAGCCCCACCAATAATAATGGTTGCACCTGGAACCGGTGTTGCACCTATGAAATCACTCATTGGCCAAGTTCTCTCGGAGCAAACCAACCAAGAACTATACCTTTTCTTTGGGTGTAGATTCAAAGACAAGGATCATTTAATAGACACGTTTTGGCCAGAATCGTATCCTAATTTACACATTTTCAATTGTTTCTCGAGAGATAAAGACAGCAAATACAAGTACGTTCAAGATGCATTGTTTGACCAGTATAAACTCATGGGTGACTTGATCTTGAACGAAAATGCAAAGATTTTTGTATGTGGATCAAGTGGGAAAATGCCCCGAGAAGTCAAGTTGACATTTGCAGAAATTGTGAAAAAGTACAGCAATATCTCTGACGAAGAAGCTCAGCGATATATCATAAGTTTAGAAGATAATGGTCGATACAAAGAGGATGCGTGGTAGTTATAGACTTTAGATCCAGTAAGATTCTGCATATAGACACCAAAAAATAAATCGCACACAAATTTTCAAAATTTTCAATATCCAATCTTCTCCACCAACTCTTGTAACCAACCAATGTTGAAGTTGTTTACTCCACGATCGCTTATATCGACAGTCAGATGTACGGCTAGAGCTTACTCCGCGCCCGTGAAATCCCTTACTGTTGATGGTAAGACTTATCCTAGTGACGAATGGACTAATATCCCCCCATTCATCCTCGACTTGATTCAAAGAAAATTGCACAAGAACCCTGACCACCCCATAGGTATCCTCCATGATTTAGTCAAAAAGAGCATGAACGGAATGGGATACACTATATACGATGAATTCCACCCAATAGTCACCAAATTCCAGAATTTCGATGTGTTGGGATTCCCCGAAGACCATCCTGGCAGATCCAAGTCGGACACTTATTATTTCAACAAGGAACACTTGTTAAGAACACACACCTCCGCCCATGAACATGAATGTTTCCAAGATTGTAAAACCCCGGGTTATTTAATCACTGCAGACGTGTATCGTAAGGACGAAATTGACCGTACCCACTACCCAGCATTCCACCAATTAGAAGGGGCAAGATACTGGTCTAGATTAGAACCAAACTACTTGGAGAAGATCCAACAAGACATTGACTCAATCCCTAAAACCAACATTATTGTCGAAGATCCATTCCGTGACCAGCCAATTACAGAAAACAACCCCAAGCAGACTTACATGACCCCCGAGGAAGTCCGCCTCGTGGCTACCCATTTGAAGAAAACCATTGAATATTTAGTCAACCAAGTATTTGAAAATGCAAGGGAGTCCGCCAAAAAGGCAGGTTCCACCGAACCATACCTTAATGAACCACTCAAAGTCAGATGGGTGGAAGCTTATTTCCCCTGGACAGGTCCATCATGGGAGATTGAAGTGTGGTGGAAGGGCGAATGGTTAGAATGTTGCGGTTGTGGTATTGTTCAGCGTCAAGTGTTGTTGAACTCGCAATTGGGTGAGGATAAAATCAGTTGGGCGTTTGGTATTGGATTGGACAGAATTGCGATGTTGTTATTTGGCATTCCTGACATCAGATTGTTTTGGTCCTTGGACGAAAGGTTCCATAAACAGTTCAAACGCGGGGAAATATCCACCTTTGCTCCGTATTCAAAATACCCTGGTGTCAAAAGAGATGTTTCGTTTTGGTTGCCTAGCGAATCAACTTTACATTGCAATGATGTCATGGAAATTGTTAGATCTCATGCTGGTGATATGGCTGAAAGCGTTGAAGTCGTGGATGAATTTGTCCATCCTAAAACCGGTAGAAAATCTCAATGTTACAGAATTAACTACCAATCCATGGAAAGAAACTTGACCAATCAAGAAATTAACGTGATTCATGGTAACGTTGAGAATGACTTGACTACCAGGTTTGATGTTGAAATTAGATAAATCCTTACATGTATATAGATAAATGAGGATACTACAATAAAAGTAAACTCTTTCATAGAGTTCTTGTAGAACAATCAGTGGCAATAACTACCACATGTAAAGGCTGTTGGTTACCCGAGTCAATATAATATCAGGTTATTTGTGAATATTATTTTTTTTACTAGCTCGTATATTAGCTGCAAGTATAAAATGGGTGGCAAACTAAGCCCATTAGGGTTATTACTATAAATACTCCTTATTTCTCCATTTCTCCCATTACCAATTCATTTCAATTATCAATATTCTAGAAAGAATAAAAGTCAATTGAGTAATCTATTCATTATGAGACATCCTGGTTTTTATGGTCCTGGTTTTTACAGACCTGCAGGCGGGTTTGCCAAACTCGTGTTAATTTTTGCAACTGTTTACGCTGCCAATGCATTATACCATCACAATCATGATGGTTCCCATTCCCACTGCAGAAGAAGAAGAGACAGAGGCGCAAGTGGACCAGGAAATAGTGACGAATTCAGAAATTACCATGAAGGAGGTCGTGAACCCAGCGCAGATTACCTTGACAATGGTTCCAATAGGAGATAAGCTATTAGTGGTACTTGTATATAGTTTAAATAAACCCTCATGTATATAGAAAATGAATAGTTTATCGGTTTTTATGCAACTAATCTGAAGAAAATTTACTGTAATTAAGAATATTAATCATATTCAGTCTTTGTTCTACTGTGCAACAACGTTCATTCAATATTTTACCTGTTTTAGATTAGTACATTTTAACTTTTCTGACTAAGTAGAACCAAAAGTTAACCAAACATATATTGGATACATCTAATTGATGTAAATGTTCTATTATCTCAAAAATTAAATGTATTAGAGCTATATTACATGACTAAAGAGTCTATTTACAGTAGAGTTTATGACTTGTACGGTTAGCTTTTCAATTGCAAGGTTTGGTCATAGTAATTGTTTTATGTATGAGAATTGATATGTTGCAAAATATGAAACCATGAATCATATAGTTTGACCGAAAAAGAAAACTTCATATATTTATAACATAGAGGTGAGCTTTACACCATACTGTATGCGAGCTATCCAAGTTACTTTTCAAACTTGTGAAGGTATTTTTTTAAAATTTTTAAAATTTGATACTTATTTCGAAGTTCTCACTCTAAAAATTGCTACAATATATATTCAACAAAAATTGAGACTAGATATCAATCAATAATTCAATAGTACTCTGACATTACTTTACAACGTTAAGAACCAACGAAAACCTTGTTAATAAGTTTGGCTATTCTTCCCATACAAAAAAAGTCATGCCATTTTTTTTAGGTTGCACTCCCCTCTTTATATCCCGCAAAAAAAACAATTTGCAATCGTACTTAATCTGCTTCCACCCCTCCTTGAAATTTCGATTTTTGTTTCCACATCTTAGTTCAACCCTATATTGAACGCGCATTATTATGGTTCCTGTTAGTGCTGTTGTTACTGTTGTTGGGGCCGGATACCTTGGCTACACTCTCTGCAAGACAAATCATCCTCAATCGTGTCATTATTGCCATCATCATTCTCGGTGCAAGACGTGTAATAAGGAATACGATGATATGAATTTGGATTTTAGAAAACAAATGTCCTACTGAATATTTACTTTTGATTAACTACAAGTGTATAGTTTTAATGAATGTTATGATATTATGTCAATAAATAGTAGATAGGTGGGTCTATCTGGAAATTTAAGACAGTGTTTTGTAAGATCTGACACAGGGAATAAGTAAACAATTGTTTATGTTTTTGAATGCGGCCCACCTTTAACGAATTATAACTAAAAAAAAAAAAGAATTTTCTACAACACTGGCAAACTCTATTTCTAAATCTTGCATAGACCATGCAACTCGCTTAAAAATAAGTTGCAGCACAACAGAATTCAGCACAATGGATAATAGAGATTCTGTAATGAAATGAAATTAGCAAGTGTAAATTAAATCAAACTACGGTTAGTTTCTTTTTTTGAACAATTTATAATTCTAAACGGTTACTTAAATATGTTAATTACATAATTATCTAGATCAAATAAGCGACAACACCAGCAAGGGCACCAGCAACGAAACCATTGGCAACCAAGTTACCAGCAGCATTAGCAGAAGTAACGGCAGAAGTTTCAGTTTCATTGGATTTCTTAGCATCTTCCTTGGTAATGTTAGCACAAGTTAATCTAGAGTTGTCACTGGCATGGATAACAACAGATAATCCACCAATGTAAGCAGCATTGTCTGGGTTTAAGGAGATGTAGTTGTCGACAAATTCAGTTTGGAATGGACTAGTAGTGATATTTCCGTGTTTACCGGCTAAATCACCAGCTTCCTTACCAGCAGCAACGGTAGAAGTGGTGGTTCCATTGAATGGGTTCAAGTGACCCAAGGTACCAGTACAGTTACCATCGCTTGGAACTGGCTTTTCGTGGATGTGGTATGGGAATGGACCACCTTGAGATGGCAATCCTTGAACATCAACATTGACCAAGACAGATCCATTCTTGGCAGCTTCGAATTGAACGGTACCGGAGATGTTGGACTTGGAATTTGGAACAAATTTAGCAACATAAGTTACTCCTTGCGGAGAATCAGTAGAAACTGGGGCATTTTGAGCTAAGGCGAGACTGGAAAGGGCTAAAACGGTGATAGAAGATGTGGAAACCATGATGACAGTTGATTGAAGAGCAAATTTCAATTACTAGAAGGGGAAGTTGGAAATATGCTCTATTTATACACAGTTTAAGCGTTTAAGCTCTTACACATGTTTGTTTCTTTGTTCAACCTTAAGGTCAACAATTAACAATGAAATTCATGGGTGCAAAACTAAGCTTTTTTTTTGGTTTTTTTGTTTTTCCAATTGTTTTCCCAATCAAGTAATCGTTTAATTATACAAAAACAAGCCCCTGATATTCAACAGTTTTATCTATAAGATCTAAGCAATGATACACTTGAAATTGGTCAATGTGAAGTCTCAACCAACTTCATATATCTTACTTTGAATCTCACGAAGAATGTTACAGATATTGATACAACCATATGATTAAGTCAAGGCATAGTTATTCTAAGGCGTTATTTCAGGGGATCTGTAAGGGGAACAACTGTCACCGATAACAATGGGATCTTTCTGAAAACCGGATATTAATTCGCTTACCGGGAAGATCCAACAATGTTGACTTCGTTGGTATGAAATTAATGTAGAGATTGGTTGAATCTTGACGTGCTCATTGTTTTTAGTTTTTGTGTAATTCCGGTGATCGTTTTGATGCCAACAATTCAGCCAATGACAGAATTGTAGTTTCTATTAAATCTATAGTTTGCGAGGGAGATTCTCTGATTCTCGCCCTTTGTTTGATGTTTAGTCAGATGTGCTATTTTACCGAGGACCAATTAAATGATATGCTGAATCTAACTGATGCCATCAGATAAGCTGCTAGCAATATTTTAACGGAAGCTTTAAGGAACTCACCCTGTTTTGAAAATTCCTTTCCTGGGAATTGAAAACTTATAAATTCAATTGCTATTTGGAAAAGGATAACATTCTCATTTTGTAATGAGCACCTCTTGATTGAGTAAGGCTGACTAGGAAAGATTCTAACAAAAAAAAGAAACCCGACTCTAGGTTATTGGTTTGAACAAGTACTGCATATTGGTCCGATTAGAATTTGGCAAGATTTAACATTCACTTTCAAAACAAATTGACCCACTTTTTTTGGTTGTTAATCAATCCAGTTCTCCATAATGGAATCCAATGGGAAACACCCTACAGTAACCAATTAACACTCACATGATCATATCTAAAGACTAGAACTAACAGTTATACGATGTCAATTGTTGGGTTTGAATAGTTTGCCAGGACGACTTGCGAATTGAAACTTACGTTGATCTGACTAATTACAACAAAGTTTTGTTCGCTCACTAATCGTATGGTGTTGTCACTTTCTACCAAGTATCAGTTAATTGTCTCATTCTCGTTTAGAATAGGATGAATTTGTTACAGTGTTTATAACAAACATCGGTCCGACAGCAAGGTTCTGCATATAAGAAAACAGGCACCCCATTGAATTTTCTTGATTGCTCAATGGCGAAAAGGCTGGGGGAACACTCTCATTTGTGACATGTGATGTTTTTTTTGCGGAAAAACCAGTATCACTAAAAATCTCACATTTCCTTGCTTCCCGATTTGTACTTAAATACCTACAAACACCTTAAGAATGTCGATCCCTATTCTTGGTAGATTACATATAACTGATTGGCCAATCATCGCCATCTCGTTCTTGTTAGCCTGGATTGAATTCATAATATCGATAATTACTAATTCCTTACCTTCACATGTGATCGATGTGTTCACTGTGGTTACCAAGTTCATATACCGCTTCACCAGAAATCCAATAAATTTGATCATTAGACATAAGAAGGACGATATCCATCAAGATGAAGAGAAGTTTACATATCTGTACATCAACTCAGATTTGCCTAATCTCACTAGAAAGCAATACCAAACCATGATTGAGTTGTTAAATGCTGATAGAATTGAACAAATGGTTCAGTTGTTTGGATATGATATTGAAAGTCGAATTGTCAAGACCAAGGATGATTATTTGCTTACTATTCATAGAATTAAAGGCCGTGATAGACCCAGCAATGGCAAGGTTATTTATTTGCATCATGGATTGTTGATGAATTGTGAAATCTGGTGTACTATGATTGAGAAGTACAACAATTTGCCATTTTTGTTGTATGATTTAGGATATGATGTATGGATGGGAAACAACCGTGGTAGCAAATACAGTCAACGTCATTTATTTTACAAGCTGAATTCTGTCCGATTTTGGGATTTCTCTCTTGATGAATTTGCTTTGTTTGACATTCCAAATACGATAGATTATATTTTAAAGGTTTCTGGAGCTGAGAAGTTAACTTATATTGGGTTTAGTCAAGGTTCTGCTCAAGCATTTGCCAGTGTTTCTGTGAATATTGATTTGAATGACAAGATTGACCAGTTGATTGCTATAAGTCCAGCTACAACCCCACATGGGTTATATTCCAAGTTTTTGGATATCTTGTTGAAATCAAGTCCCAACATCACATATTTGTTATTCAGCAGGAAAGTGCTTATGCCGTCGTGTCTTTTCTGGCAGAAGATTATGTATCCTCCATTATTTGATACTATGATTGATATTTCAAATTATTTGTTATTTAATTGGAAGGCGGAAAATATTGATAAGTTGCAAAAGTTGAGTAGTTATGCTCATTTATATTCCACTACCAGCGTTAAGTGTGCTGTTCATTGGTTTCAAGTCATGAGTAGCAAGAATTTCCAGATGTATCATGATGCAACTACCAGCTTGCTGGGATTAAATCCAATTAGTTATCCATTAAAGAATATCCAAATTCCAATCCATTTGATTTATGGGACTGCTGACTCATTAGTTGACATTGAAGTTATGAAGAGCCAGTTACCAGATAAAACGACTACTGTGCACCCGGTGCCTAATTATGAACATTTGGATAATCTTTGGGGAAGAGATGTTCATGAATTAGTGTTTAAAGAAGTTTTACGTCGATTGGGTGAAAACACCGATGATTTGTTTTATCGGTTAAGTCTTTTGGAGAATGATAGGAACCCCAAGTTGATTGAAGATATTATAGTTGACGTTGGAGAAGACGAGGCTACTTTGAACCAACAATCATACTTGAAGATGGCGAACAATAGCAATAGTAATGGACTTAGCCCGGTTAGCCATGTAGAAAATTTAGATTACGGAACTGACCGACGTTCTACAGTGGGGACTGGCATTTTCACATAAGCTTTACGATGTTTTATTTTACAAGAGATACCGGAATTATTACGGTACACAACTATTAATAGTTAGGTTTATAAATTATATATACACTACGTTTATAGGAAACAATTAGTTTATAAATGGTTAGCACCGTAGTTTGTTGTTGAAGAGCGTTGCAGCAAAAAAAAATCAAAAAAAAATCAAAAAAAAAGGAGGCAGAGACAAAGGAAGTGGCGCATTTACGCATGGCATATATTAGTAATTGCACATTCTTACGAACCAGCTCTAGAACATCGAACGTCTTTGGCGAGTACTTTAGATTAACTCGACTATAGTTTAGTTATAGTATACCACAAACAGGTCCGATTAAGCTTTGGTGGGGTCAGAAAGCTGCCAGGACAGGATACTCCTGCATATTGCTAGAGCCAAATTTTGCAATTTTGTGTTACTTTTGAACTTGTTGCACAATTTTCTTTTTCCGGTTTCTTTTCCAATAGCAGCAAAAAATTAACACTGATTTTTTTTTTTATTATTTTTGAGCTTTAATTTATTTTTTTTTGCCCTGTTCAAAATTGTCATTTGGCAAAAAATTAACTCTAGAGTCACCACCCATTCAACAACAATCAACTTCTTCGTCAAATCACCTGCAGTTATTCCCAAACGTCACATCCAGCTGCATCATCCATCAATCTATACCTGCAGCCATGACTACTCAGACTAAGGATTTGAGTGACTTTGTATGTATTCGTCAATTAACGTGTGCACAACAATCCAGTGGCTGTCAACAGTTTCATCGACCCCCCTCCACCCCTGGATACCAAACGCTCAATTTACTAACAGAACAACAGTGTCTATCCTTCCCCAAACCTATAGATGAACTACATCCAGATGGTATGTATTATATGTGGAAATAAACATTACTCCAGAAGCTATACTAACACTAATTAGAACTCGTAAAGAAGATCAGCCAACGCATTCCTCGCTCATTGCCTGCTTGTGACAATTACTACCATGCACCTGCACCAACAAATTCAAACACAACTCCAGAGAAGGAGGATCCTATCGTAAAGGAACTTCTGAAGTTGTATCCTCACAAATCAGGTGTGGTTACGTATAGGGTTGACCACCACGAAGAAAATGAAATCGTGGTGTATTCCGGCAAATTGCAAGAATTGTTGTATTTACTTCTTGAGGAGAAACATCTTGATGATAACATCCGGATTTCAATTGAATCTTCCTTGTTTGACTTGACCTGTTATTTACCTAATCCCCAGGTTGAAGAGCAACCAGAGGAACCAGAGGAGATACCTAAATTAACCAGGAAACAGAAACTTCGAAAACAATATTTGTTAAAACCAAACGATGCAGTATCCCACTTGTCGTATCCTAATAACTACCGGTCGAAAATCGTCATTGACAATTATGAATATTTACTTAAATTTTCATCCACCTATTTTAATCTTTCCCTTGCATCCCACATCACCAAATTCATGGTTGAGTTGATTTACAGCTTGAATTACTGGGAAGTAGTCCATTTAGTTTATATGAACCCGGACATAACTTACTTTTTAAAGTTGATTGATTTTGAAATTATCGAAACTTCATTTGGGCCTTTGATTAAACCCCCTGAAAATTATTTATGTGATGACATGTTACAGGGATTACAATATCCTTTCCCATATCCATTTTACAACTATTCCTATCATTCATTTGACTCGAGAATTGAGCAGAACAAGTTTGATTCTGTCAAGATTAATCCATACTTGGGTATTAGTTTGAAGCAACAGGATATGGAACCACCAAAGAAGAAGAAGAAGCGTGGAAGAAAACCAAAGTTGAGATTAGAAACTGAAGACATTGAGGAACCAGTTGATGAAGAAGCCGTAAGTCCCAAGCATCAAGATTCTCCAGACTATGAGGAACCACAAACATTTGAAGTTGAAAGAGATGATGATAAAGATTTGAGCACGACTGAAGAAATTCAATCTGTCAAGGAAGAAACTACTTCGATTAAACAAGAGCCACAACAAGAATATTATGATACACCTACTTTACCGGGTCAAGTTCAGCAAATGCCACATCCACAACAGGAACAAAATGTTCCCCCACCACCACCACCACCTCCTCCCCCTCCTCCTCCACAAGTATATGGGCCTCCTCCTTCTTTGGCAATGTATGCCATGAGTCGACCCATGCAACCTCATGAACAATATCTGTACTATCAATATCAACAACAGGATCCCCAACAAGGTACATCTCCTAGAGAATTACCTATACCACGTGTATCTCCGGATAACCAGGGCCAACAACAGCAGCAGCAACAACAACAGCAACAACAACAACAGCAACAACAACAACAGCAACAACAACAACAACAGCAACAACAGCAGCAGCAACAACAACAACAACAGCAACAACAGCAGCAGCAACAACAACAACATTCTCTTCCTTCTATCCAAGTGCAACCTGAATATCAACCGGTTTTGATCAATCAACGGTATGAATATCGTCCTGGAGAGGTGTTACCTCCAATAAATAAACTAACTGAACCCCGTCAAATACAAGATCAACAGCTGCAACAATCACAACAAATGCCTATGTTTCCATTTCAAAACCAATTGAAATTCATTCCCCAATCACCCAACCGTGCTCAATCCAGTGGTGGCCCACTTGCGATCAATACCAGTTCTATTTCGCCTACCATTGACTCTCCTCAATCTGGATTGCTTGGTTCTCCTCGTGTAGATGGAGATTCAAGCATGCATCAAATGATGGATCAATCATATATGATGGATGATAAGGGCAAAAAGAAGCCTGGGGTAATTCATCAGTGTCATTTGACCGATCCCACCACCATGTCGAAATGTCTCAAGATTTTCTATGGAAAGAATGAATTGTTGAGACATCAGGAATTTGTTCATGCGACGAAAAAGAAGATATACAAATGTATTTACTGTTCAAGAAACGGGGCAAAAGTGCAAAGCTATCCTCGTCATGATTCATTGGCTAGACATATCAGGAGAAAACATGGGGTCACTGGAAAGGAAAATAAAATGGCGGTGAATTATGCCAAGGAAAATGTCGAGATTATTGATGAATCGAACCAATTGGTGACCCAGCCTCATAATTTTGTTGAGCCTTTGCCACATCCTGGATTTTTGAATCAGGATTACCTGGTTAAGGATACAGGTGGGTTTTGGCTGTTCAGAAGTAAAGGTCAGGGTGAAGGTGGATATGAACAGCAGCAGCAACTGTCGTCACCGAACCAGCAACAGCAGCAGGCGATTCTGCCAGAAATTCAACAAGGACCTCAGCAAGGACCAATTATATCATTACCTCCATTGGGAGCCAGAGACGATGGACAATATCAAGGACAACCGCAACAGCAATCTTCAATGCCAATGTATATGCCAGTGCAAGCTACTTTAATAGGTGTTCCTGAATACCGACCCAATGCACAGGCACAAGCACAAGCACAAGTACTGCCACAGGTTGAACAACAGCCTACACAGCAACAACAATCACAGCCTAATCCAACGAGTGGACGAACTACCACGGTACTTCCACTGATGCATGAATTGGATAGTAGTCATTCCTTTGGTATCCACAGTAGACCATTTGCAGATTCGGATCAACATAAATCAGGAAGTTGAACTGAATACTGTTACTTACGTTTATATTTAGTAGCATATATAATATATTAAACTAATTCCATGTGTAGATTGCTCGTATCGCCTTTACTAAAATACTAACATAGTTTATTTTTTCGTTTGGTTGCAAATTGTTCCAACAAAAAAAAAAAAAAAAAAACAAAAAATTGGTCACCTGGGCAAAAACTTTAATTTTTTAGTTCCGCTCCGGGTAACAATACAAAATGGTCGTGTATTGGTGCACAAAATATTTCTTATTTTGTAGTATTTGGTTTTATCCTTTTTAAACTTTGCAGTCTGCTGGTATTTTAGAAGTGTGTAGCAGCAGGACTAGCATTGAGCAAACCTATAAAATAGTTTTGTAGATTTAATAGAATCAATTGTAAATGAAAAATATATTAAAGAAGAAGCGAAGGTGGTGGTCCATGAAATGTGTATGGAGTTGTCATTCATATTTTAAGGATTTTTATTATTTTTGGTTAATATTTTTGCATTCTATTACGTCAAAATCAAATACAAACAGATACGTTGTAAAATATACAACAGAAATCGGTTCTATTAGATATATATCCATTTGACTTCTCCCATTACAACAACTATGGTCCATCTCATATTAAACTCATCCTCGTATTTCTTATCGTTGGAAATTCACTTCCAAACTAATTCTGATTTGACCTTAAAATTCTTAGCCTTTTTTTTTATTTTTTTTTTTTTGCATTCTCAAATTTCGCATTTTCGCATTCGCTTTTTTTTTGGTTGTTGCTGAAAAAAATTGCTAAAGGTTTCCCTCAATTAAAATTAACATAAAACCAACCTCAACAAACTATCACCATCAAGTGTGTCTACACTAGCTAACCTTCGGCAACAGTATCTACTGATATATATAATTCATTTGATCCGATAGATTCACGAGATCAGAATACACAGCTTGATTAATACGTCACCACTTTTGCAAAGTTAAATTCAAAATAGCTATCAATTGCCGCACCCCTAACTTATCAACCACGAGTTTAACCACAACACTAACAACATCTACTTGCTTCTCATATTATATCAGTCAAGAATTTCTGTTTATTCAATTAGCTAGATTGTTTTCTCCATGATTGTTCCTTCCCTTGCATCTCAGGCTCTACCAGTCCAGTCGTCATCCGTTTCATCCAATCCATATTATTCGCCAACAGTAAACATGGCTCCAACATTACAATCTGACCGACCGCAACTCCCATCAAACACAGCTATGCCAGTTGCGTTTGCTTCCAGTGGCAATACAGCTGCTTCCACTTCTCCTGATACCACCACCAATTTAAGTTTCCCACCGCAAGAAGAAATCGATGACCGTCAATTGTCATCTCAATCGGACCCCATACTGACCATTCAGGAAAAATCCATGCCTTTGAGCCAACAGATATCTATTTTGACAGTAGCTAATCCGTTGAATATCACCGAATATGCTCACCATTTGAACCGGTTGGCGAGGTTATTGTACGACAATACCGAGAACCCCCAGGTTAGTCCACAGGAATTAGAAGCAGTGAAACTGAAATTCTTCACATTGATGGATGAGTTGTACAAGTTTATTAATTATGATGATCCCGTAAATTCAAAATTGTATTTGATTATTCAGTATAATTTTGATATTTTCATTACAATTGCCACAAATTGCAAAACTTTGGAAATCGCCACCAAAACAATTCGATTTTTAACATCGGTGATTATGAATTTGAATTACTGGGAAATTTACAATTTATTGAATTGGAAACCGGTGATTTATCATTTTTTAACCGTGATTAATTTCGATTTGAATGATTGTTATACCCAGTTTATCAACGATTATCAGAAATTCTCCTATTCTAAAGTACACCAACCATTACCCAGACCACGCGAACGGTCTAGAAAAACCCGAAGAAGTAAAGTAAAGAGAAAATCTCACCCTCTGCCAAGCTCAGACAATACCAATGAGTTTGATGAAGAAGACGACGACGTGGATGAAGAATTGGATGAGGATTTCTTTAGTTTGAATCCAGATACTGCTGAACATGATAAATTTGTCAGTGACCGAGTGGCAGAATTGACACCAAAAGAAAAGAAGAAATTGCGAGCCGAAATGAGACAGCAGCGAGAAGAAACCGATGGCAAATTACAAGGCCATAAGATTATTAAAAAGACGCAAATCAACAGGTCTAATAAATCTTCTAATTATGACCCAGATGTCGTGCATGAATGTCAATTACCTTCTCCTGATGAACCCAACAAGTTGTGTCTTCGCCGTTTCTCAAGAAAGTATGAATTGATTAGACACCAAGAGACAGTTCATTCGAAGAAGAAAAAGCTATTTAAATGTTATGTTTGTGTTAAACAAAATCCTGGCGTTGGCCCCCGAATATTCACTCGTCATGACACATTAGCAAAGCATATTCGAGTAAATCACAAGATTTCTGGCAAGGAAGCTAAAGCGGAAGTGGCATATTCCAAGAAACACGCCGAAGTTGTGGAAGAAGGAGATATAACCGTTCATGTAGGTAGAAGAAAGACTAAGGTTGATTTTGAATTGAGAGCTCACATGGAAAGAAGAAAAAGTGGCGGCAAAGATTCTCCAGAAGGGGACGATTCAGGTTATTTAGAAACGACTGATTTGGACTCTGGTGACGAAGAAGTTACATTTAATAATTAGTATATATTTTTTTAATATATGTTGTTCTAACTATACATATTTATACAGTTTTACAAACTGGCTTCATATTGTTGTTGATCAATAATTGCTTGTTTGATTTCCTCATCGTCAATTTCCGCTAATAACTCCTTGGAAAGTTTCAGTAATCCCGTTACTGGTTTAACCAGGCCTACCATTTTCACGTTGTATTTTAATCCTGGTTCCGTTTCACCATCATATTTATATACCTTATAATGAGTTGGTTGACTGGATTCAGGATAAAAGGTCAAATTAGAATATATATCCTTAACACCTTTATTCATCAATTGTGAACGATGTTCCATTAATTTATGATTATATTCTTGGGTCTGCTTGGCAATTTGATACATCCAAGAAGGATCAGACTGATAATTAACAATAGGTGTAGCAGTTAACGGGGTTGCACCACCTCCACTGCCCACAGAAACCCCATCACCAAATATAGTGGAAAGTTTACTTTGATTAGGAAATAATTCATTTGGATCAGCATAGTCTCCAGCGATATCACCGGCATCAATTGCTCGTTGTTCCCAGAAATCATCAATAACTTTCTTACCTTGTTTAATCATCCTAGCTCCAAATTCACGGAAAATAGACCTAGCGGCAACTAAGTTAACCGATCTACCTTTGTAAGAATTAGGAATCAATCCACGGTTTATTAAGTCCATCTTCTCTTCATGGGTACACACTTTCTTGAATAATGTTCTATGAGTCTTGAATAAAAGATAGGAATCACGGAATCCAACCAACCGGGCAGGTTCAGTCGATATCATATACAATTTATCACCTTTGCCTAACAATTTGAATGTCTTCATTCGGAATTCACGGCCACCTTGTAAATTCCCAAATTCATCAATCTTTTCTTTTCCCTTGGGATCTTCATGATTGATAACAACTTCATCGTCAATGACACTAATTGGGTTCCCATCAGCATCAAACACACCTTCTTCCAACACAGTGAATTTAGTACGCTTTCTTCCTCGTTTTTTTGGTCCAGTCTTGACTTCTTCTCCCTCTGCTGGTTCTTGCTTGACTTCGCCATCTTCAGGCTCTTGAGTTGCTTCTTCTTCTTCTTCCTCCTCCTCTTCGTCTTGGTTTTCTTCATCTTCAGGTTCATCCTCTTCATCATCGTCAACATCACGAGAAGATGATTTTCGTTTCCTGGATCGACGTTTGATTATGGAATCTTCGTCCACGTCTTCATCTTCTTCTTCCTCCTCCTCGTCTTCCTCAGCTGCTTCTTCCTCTTCTTCAACGTATTCATCATTCACGTCATCTTCTACTTCATCAACTTTGACATCCTCAAGCTCGTCGACTTCAGGTTCTTGTTTGATTTCACCTCTACGTCCTCTTTTCGCCATGGTGTGTTGGTTGTTTTGACTTTAATCAAGTGAATTCAATTGTTAATTTTTCGCACTTAAAAATTTTCTAGTGCGAATTCCTCAACAAAATACATTGCTACGACTAATTTCATATATTTCTATTTACAAGGTTTAAAATATACTTATTCATTATCCTTATGCTCATTTTCAGGTTGGTTATTCTCAAATGCTGGTTTTCCAGCAAGGTACTTGTCAAATGCATCATTATTCTCAGGGAACGGTCTCTTTCCCAACAATCTAATCATGTCTTCTCTAGTAATAAACTCCTTCTTTAACAATTCTTGAGCAACTAATTCAACTTCAGCTGACTTTTCAGTTAATAACTGCTTACATGCTTCGTAGCAATCACCCACAATCCTCTTAACTTCATTATCAATGATTTTATTAGTAGCATTACTGAAAGGTTTAGTCATGGAGTCATTTTGTCTCGAGTCAACATAATTAACCATCCCAATCTTAGGCGACATACCAAATCTCAACACCATGGCTTGGGCAAGTTGAGTCACCTTCTTGAAATCATCATATGCACCACCAGTGACAGATGGAAAGTGTAATTCTTCAGAAACACGTCCACCCAAAGTCATAACCATACGGTCTCTCAATTGTTTAGTATTCATCAAATGTTCATCTGGGGGTAAATATTGAGCATATCCAAGAGCAGCCAGCCCACGAGGAATAATAGACACTTTCAATAACGGATGGGCGTTTTTCAAGTACCAGCCACAAACAGCATGTCCGGCTTCATGGTAAGCGACAATCTTCTTTTCTTCAGGATTCAACAATTTAGACTTCTTTTCAATACCACCAATAACACGTTCAATGGCCAATTCAAAATGTCTCAAGGTAACAGTTTCAGCATTGAATCTAGCAGCAATTAATGCAGCTTCATTACAAACATTGGCAATGTCTGCCCCTGAGAAACCAGGAGTTAATGCAGCAAGTCTACCTGGTAAATCGGAATCAATATTTGGTTGTAAAGTAATCTTCTTTAAATGAACTTGGAAAATCGCCTTTCTATCTTCCAATTCTGGATTATCAATATGGATATGACGATCAAATCTACCTGGTCTCAAAAGGGCACGATCCAAAATATCAGCACGATTAGTACCAGCCAAAACAACAACATGATCAGAACTTTCAAACCCATCCATTTCCACAAGCAATTGATTCAAAGTGGTTTCACGTTCATCAGAACCACCAGAGAAACTTCCTTTACCTCTCAGTTTACCAATAGCATCAATTTCATCAACAAAGACAATAGAAGGTGCGTTTTCTCTGGCAGTCTTGAATAAATCACGAACTCTGCTGGCACCTACCCCAACAAACATTTCCACAAATTCAGAACCGGAAACAGAGTAAAAAGGAACTCCGGCTTCACCGGCAGTGGCCTTAGCAATAAGAGTCTTACCAGTACCTGGTGGACCAGAAAGAATAGCACCACGAGGAATCTTGGCTCCTAATTTCTCATATTTTTCTGGATTCTTCAAAAACTTGACAAACTCCATAACTTCTTGTTTAGCTTCATCCATACCAGCAACATCTTTAAAGGTTATATTGACATCAGTCTCAACATTAAATTTCTTGGCCATAGATTTACCAAATCCAAATGCGCCTCCTCCCATTTGGGACGATGCCTTTTTTGTCATGTAATATATGGCCCCAAGGAACAATATAGTTGGTAATAAGTTGATAGCCATCTTGGACATACCACCAGCAGTGGTGTAAACAATAGGAATTCTCATGTTTGGTTCAATACCATACTTGTCTTGCACATCACGGAGGTTACGTTCAAATGTTTCCACTGAACCAATTGTAAAGTAGAATTTACCTGGATGATGAGCATATTGTGCTAATCCATTTTGATTCAATTCAATAACTGCAGTTTTGTTGTTGACAACAACAATCTTGGACACAAGATTCTTGGCTAAGAAGTTTGAGGTGAAGTCTTGGAAAGTTATCTCATTCGAATCATCCAGTTTAAACACATCACTTAATATGTACAAAGTAAGCCCTATAAGAACACCCACTTGGAACAACTTCTTAGGATCTATTTCTATGCTAATTACCTTAACACCCTTTTGCAGGTTCTTTTCCTTCTTGCTAGATCTCAGTTTTTTGCCTGAGCTCTTTGGACTCTTTCCATCTTGGAAGAACGCTTCTTCAAATCTCTTGCGCGCTTCTTCTCCAGCTTTAAATGCTTCATATTCGTTTGGACAAAGACCACATGTTAACTCGCCATTATTGGCAAATGGAACTGATGACAACACCTCAAATATGTTGAACCAGCCTTCAACGGCCTTATCTGGGAGGTGCATTTGCTTAGCAACTGAAGGAACATCGGCTTTATGGTCAGCACCATTCAATGCATCGTATTTCACAAATAACTCCCTCACTTTCAGGTTACTCCATTCCAATTCATCCAAGTACAGGTAGTTATTAGCAAGGGAATAGTAGACATGGAAATTAAACAAGATTTCCTCCTTGGTTAATTCAGAATATTTGTCCCCATATCTGTTGGCAAATTCTTTTTGAAGATCTGAAATTGAGGTAGCAGCAGCATATCTGGCAACCACATCTGAATCAAGGCAAAACAGACAAAATTTTTCCAAGGTGTATCTGTGAACAATCACTGATCGTTCTACATACTCCAAGTTGAACGGATCTTCCGGCAATTGGATCTTAGGAGCCCTCGTTATCTTGGGATGTGGAGGACCTTCTTGTGGGAATATCGAAATTGGGTTCTTTTTAAGTTTTTCAAAAAATGAATTGAGTGGGTCCCGGTTGTCATTCTTGTTCAATGCAACCGGGGTGACATGGATGTTTCTTCGAAAGTGAACAGCCAGACAAGCAACAAGGTTGCGAGTTGGCCTTGCTAACCTTCTCAAGCCGACTAATCGACTTCTTGCAGTGATCATACTCATGATTTTATATGCTGTTATCTGGTGTATGAGATAATCCATGAATCTTCAAATTTTTTGCCTCTGTGAAGTTTCCAGTAGATTTTGGGCCTTTTGCACGACAATTTTTTTTTTTACAGCATTGGGGCGGATGGCGGGGCGGAGATTGAATTTACTGCGAAAAAATGCATCAGTCACCAACAAACCAATACCACTAATCAATATTCGTTAATTAAAAGAATAATTACGACATATTACAACCCAAAAAAAATACTAAGCACTAGACTAACCGCCAATAAATAGAGTCTTAGTATTGTTAAACTGAAATTATTTGATGAATAATTCAGTTCTCCGTATATGTCAGATGTAGTTGTGTGCCATTGGATCTCTCCATCATTACTTACAATAACTTTACCAGGGCAAGTTTCAGGTTCACATTCGGTGAAATTAGTGGTAGTGATGCAAGTGATGGACTCAATTGTACCAAGATCTATGGTAGTACTGAACCTTTTCCCTTTGGAATTAGTGACCATAACTTTTCCAGTTCTACTTGCTCCAGCCTTGTCTACATATGTAGTAGTGTAGGTTGTAGCACCTTCTTTATATTTCTCAGATTCTGGATTCTCGTTGGTTTTAGCAGAATTTGCTTCTTTTGTTGCTCTAGTAAGCATTTCAGGAGCTACAGTCTCATCACTTTCAGCATTCGTGTTGTAAAACATTTCCTCCAAAGTATGAATCTTGGTATACCAAAGACCCCGTTCATCCGTTTGCACTTGCACAATACCAATATATGTAGTGGCTTCTCTTTCAAATGTGCTAGTATATGTTGATGATATTGGGTCCAGCTCACATTCATCAACCAACAATGGAGAATCATAAGGAAATACCCCACAATCACTGTCATCATTTGCATCAGGAGGAACTTCTCCCTCATAAGCTACACGATAACCAGAGTCATCAATTGTAAATAATTTTAGGTCATATCCCTTACCGATAAAAAAGTGAGTAGATCTGTCTACCGTAGTTAAAGTCAAGTGTCCAGACTCAGGGTTGTACAATATAGCATCAGGCCCCGGAAGAAAGTATTCCACTTCGATAAATTTACCCTTGCCAAAATTAGAAATATGAAAGCTTCTTTTGTATCTATTATGAACAGTAAAAATGGTATTATTACCCAAAACATAATTTTGATTGGTACATTCAGTAAAACTTTCTACTTCACACCCATCGTTAAGATATACACATCCTTTTCCTAAAACATGTACCGAATCAATATAATATTTCTGTCTCTGCAATTTTATAATACCGGTATTTGTCAAATTATGATAGTTTCCTCCTTGGATGTACTCTCCTAGTATTGGAGATTCATTTCTGATTTCAATCAACCCTCGATTTTCCCAATCAGGAGCCTCTAATGAGTAATAATGTCTTTCAAGTCCATCGCCTACATAATCCAAAATCATAGTTCCAGTGTTTCTGAACTTTAATGACTTAATATAGTAGATGGATGCACCAAAACTTCCTTCAGAGTGCAATGTGAAATTTCCCGTGTTTTTAAAATCTCCAGTCCACATAAAGTCTAAAGGGTACGGTGAATCTCTAGTGGACGCCATGAAAACACCATCATTTTCTAAAATTCCTGTAAGAGAAATAGTTTCACATTCCAAGAAAATATACTGACCAGTTTCAGTGATCTGGACGTCGAATTGTTCTCTGACCATATGTGTCTGTGGATGTATAACAAATTCATCATTTACAACTATAGCCAGGATAGCCAGTAGAAATGATACTGTCAAAATACTCAACATAATTCCTGTTGGTCATTAAAACCTAGCATGAAAATTTTAGAACTTCGGAAGAATTGTTATCGAAAACTGGCTCTTTGAATTTAGTTTTACAAACTTACTGAAATTATCTCCTTGAAGTATTGTACTCATTTTCGAAATAATATAATTCAGGGTCATAACCATAAACTATCGTTACTTGTGCTCTAGTTCTCGACCAATCGCGGTTGCAAAAATTGCATTGACTTTCAATTTCAATTCATTATAGGCAGAAGAAACTCCTATATTGGAAACCTAATTTGTTGCTACAATTTGTGTGATATTTACTACCTTAATCCATACATAATGTGTGTGAAACAGTCATCGAACGATTATGATTGTGTCCAGGCTAAACATGCTTGTTATGAGCGCAGCAAAACAAAATTTGTTTTGAACAACAGTTATGTTGGTTTGTATACTTCAAAAACCAGGACTTTATCCTTAGTGAGCTAGATATGCATATTTTTCCAGAGCTTATATTTGGTTTATAATGTATAGCTTTCAATTCTCCATGTCTAAAAAGCGGGTTAATTGAATCTATTCTCTGTTTAATTTGCAATTATTTCTCAGTTTTTTTTTAGCACACAATAACGGAACACCCGCGGAGGTTCCGGGTGTGTTTTTTGGTTTCCAAGCAAGAATACACAATTGTGGAGTTCGAATAAATCTATAAGATGTTACAAAATCAACTGATAAGGATCAATGATAAGATATAAATACTCATAAGTTTTTTCTTTTGATTCAGAAATAGAGATATACTTTAAACCTGTGACCAAGATATGATACGAACACTTACAGAGAAAGAATTTCACGCAGATATAGTTTCAAAACATACTGATGTTATCGGTGAGAAACTAGGAGGTAAAATCTTGTCATTTTCTGACGAATTCTTTGCTGATGCTGAAAACCTCATCAAGCCTAAACCTCCTATTAGAGATGCAACCAGATTCACTTATGCCGGTGCATGGTATGATGGGTGGGAAACAAGAAGACATAATCCTGAAGATGCAGATTGGGTTACTTTTAAACTAGGAGTCAGCTCAGCTTTTTTGATTGGTTGCGAAGTAGATACCGCGTTCTTCAATGGTAACCATGCCCCTTATATTTCAGTTGAGGCAGTTCAAAGTTTTGAAAATGACAATTTAGAAAATATTGGTGAAGAGGATTGGGAAGAAGTGATTCCTAAAACAGAATGTGGACCTTCCCAAAGACACTTCTTCTCGAGAGACAATCTAACTGTTAAGAATTATACCCATGCCAGGTTAAGAATGTATCCTGATGGAGGGATAGCCAGATTCAGATTATATGGTACGGTGGTTCCAGTTTTTTCAAAGTCGGATGAAGGAACTCTCATAGATTTAGCTTCAGTTAAAAATGGTGGTGTTGCAGTTAATGTAAGTGACCAACATTTTGGTACTGCTGATAATTTGTTGCTTCCTGGACGAGGACATGATATGTCGGATGGTTGGGAAACTAAAAGATCAAGAAAACCAGGACATACAGATTGGGTGATTATCAAATTAGGAACCGCTGCTAGATTACAACAGATTGTAGTAGACACTGCTCATTTTAGGGGCAATTTTCCGCAATTGGTCAATGTTCAAGCTGCCAGTATTGAAAATGATCAATTATTAGATCTTGCAAATTGGGATGTCATTGTTCCTGATTCTAAAACTGGTGCTGATAAAGAACACCTTTTTAATATAGAAGGAAATTTTGAGGATAAGGTATATACGCATATCAAATTAACCATCATTCCTGATGGAGGTGTAAAGAGGGTTCGAGCATTTGGTGAAATTGCAAATATAAACTAGAAAGAAAAAACAATGTCTAGAGATCTGTTACATAGTAAAGTAAGATCGTTATTTTCTGTCGAGCATATGACTAATTGTCATTGACTAAATTATGGTATCATGTCGTTAGAATGGGCAATGTATTAGTCTTGAAAGTGACAATTAGGAGGTAATATTCAGCACATTTTAAACATGGAGAAGTAATCTTATTTCTCGAACATTGCAAAAAAAAAAAATTTAAGACTGAGAAAAAAAAAGTTTATATAGATTGTTCAATAAGTATGAATAAATTATTAGCTTCTTTAGATCAGAGGGTTCCAGCGAAACTGATCAGTTTTGAAGATAATTATGTTCTCTCATACGATTCACAACTCTCCATTACCTCCTTTTTGAAAAAATCTATCATCGGGATTAATCCATACTATGCCAAATTATTTTTACGAGAATATATAAATAAAATAGAACAAGGCAATGAAGAAATTTCAGACGAATTGTATGAGTTGTATTGTGATCCAGATATTTTAAATGCCGTGGAATTGGGTCCATCTGATACAGACCTTTTACGATTTTATATCAATGGGCTAGAAGAAGAATACAGTCTGGCAGAAAACGAATCGATCTTGATCAAAGAGACTCCAAAGTTAATATCTGGTAATAATACCACCGGGTTACGAACATGGGAAGCAGCATTATATTTGGCCAACTATATCAATAGAAAGACTAATACCCCTTATGACTTTAAAGACAAAACTATATTAGAATTAGGATGTGGTACTGGATTAGTTGGACTTGCTTTACTAAAAAATTACAACTCACGAATAGCCCCAATAAAGGAGTTAATCATGACTGATGGTTCTACTGTAGTATTTGATAATGTTAAAGATACTTTGAAGTTGAATTCTTTAGAGAAGAACATGAAAGTACATTTCCAACAACTCATCTGGGGACCGGATTCCTTTACTGAAAATTCTGACAAACAAGTAGATGTGATTCTTGGTGCAGATATAACATATGATTCTACGGTAGTAGAGTCACTATGTATTAGTATTAAAGACTTTTTTGTACACAGAGGTACAAATCTTGCAGTTATTGCCGCTACAGTTAGAAATATAGACACAATATTAGCGTGGGAACTTGAGCTTAATAACTATTTCAATGGCAACTGGAGAATAACATCAAAGGTAGACAAACCCGAGCATATTAATTCAACATGTTATTTCAAACCAGGAACTCAAGAAATACGAATTTATGAAATTGTAAATAACTAATAGAATTATAGACAAATACATAGAACAGTTTTGTTCATTCTAAACTAGAACTGGTTAGTGGTTAAAATCAACACGACCACACATACGTTATATGTATGTTGGTCCTGCATACTGCATCATCCAATAAAAGGGGATTATTCAGTGCGCGAACACCGGTTTTCGTACCAAACACAGAATGCTGAAAAAAAAATTCACCGAACAGAAAAGAAGGTATAGTTTACTAGCTATTCTACATTCAAGAATTCAATAGATAAAATGGCCTTACCAAGATACGGATTCCCACTTGTCAAGACCTACTGGCCATACTTTGCCGGTGGTATGTAGCACGCTTTTCCTTTTTGTTTGTGCAGCAACTCAATTGAAATGAAGAATACTACAATCCAACACTAAATACTTATATGTTAGAGAACCTTTTATACCTGAATTGAGTTAATAAAACTACAACCCATTGAGATTGTGAACGACTACTATAAGCAATATAGTACAGTTTCATGAATGCACTAATTCAATTTTAGATTTCTTTTTTGGACGAAACATATACTAACCTTAAACGCAGCTGGTATAACTTACTTTTTGATCTACAAGGCATCCCAAGCTTCCATGAACTCTGCTGAATTTATTAATGATCCAAGACACCCAAGATTTGCTTCCGGTGCTAAAGTCATTGATTTAGAAAACAAGGATTAAGTTGAATAAAACGTTCTAATCTTCAAAGTTTGTTTATAATACAGATACATACAATATACAAAAAATATTTCGTTTCGAATTGTTGCACTTACAATGTACTTCCTTATGATTAACCAAAGTCCAGTCTAGTTATCCTGTAACTATGTGAATGCTAATAATAGCTATTTATTTTGTTGTTCCCATCGAAACAGTCCTCTTTATTGAAAAGTGAGTGTCTGTATATTAACATCTACTACTATTCAAGGATTCAAGGCTCATTTCAGTCCCACATCTATACCATTAACGTGCATTCTTCGTACTTGCTACTTCTGGCTTTGTGTATGTTTTCACGTGACCCGATCTATCACCAATCAAATTTTTCTTTAGTAAGCAGTAATTTTTTTTTTTTCCTGGGGACCATATCATCTTTCCCTTGCTTCGGAACCGAATTCCACTTGGCATATCATTTATATATATAAAGTGGTTCTCGTACAACTCTATCAGATATAATCAAATCAGTAACAATGTTTACCTCCTTTCAGAATACCCTTTTACGCCTGAATCCAATAACCAAAAGATTCTTGTCATTCAAAACATTACCTACACCAAATCCAAATGCGTTAAAATTTGTATCGCCCGAATGCTCCATAATACCTATTGAAAACAAGACGTTTGAATTTACATCTACCTTACAAGCCGTTCATTCTCCATTAGCATTAAAGATCTTTAAGATCCCAGGTGTTAGATCGGTAATGTTGGGTCCCGATTTCCTCACTGTCAATAAGCAAGATCATATAAATTGGGCTAATTTAAGACCAGAAGTGGTTGACTTGATGGATGAGTTCTTGACTCAAAAGAAAGATCCAGTCATAACTAAGGATTTACTTGAACAAATAAATGAAGAGGAATTGAGTAGTGAGAATGATACTGAAACTGTAGCTATGATTAAGGAATTGATTGAAACCAGAATAAGACCAGCTATTCAAGACGATGGTGGTGATATTGAATATAAAGCATTTGATGAAGAAACTGGAACAGTATTTTTAAAACTTCAAGGTGCTTGTAAATCATGCTCCTCGAGCGAAGACACCTTGAAGCATGGTATTGAATCCATGTTGAAATACTATATTGAAGAAGTTAAAGAAGTTGTGCAAATTCTTGATCCAGAGGAAGAAATTGCTTTGAAAGAATTTGAAAAATTGGAACAACTGTTGATGAAGAACAAATCTTCCCCACTGGTTCCTCCATCCTTATAATTTGTGTTATTGTTAATGTATTTGGGAATTTATAGAAATATATACTTTTTTATTTTTAATTTAATTGCTCTAAAGTTTGTGTCCGCAATTCAGCTAGTTTGATATCTTTGGCTAATCTATTGTCGGACTGCTTCAAAAGACCCTTTTCGATACACTCTTTACTTAAACATACTCTGATTTCTTCAAACAACTCAGTTAACCAATTATGAGTAAATTCGATCCAGATTCGGGACACTTGGTTGAAACCAACCACTAAACCTAATGATAAGAGTGCAATGGATGCATTAGCACTAAACCCAAAGAATTGATAAGATAATGCAGCAATGATTCCTATGGGTAATTGGTAATATATAAAGGCAGATGCTAAAGTTTTAATAACCAAAGGTTGAACTTCTTGGCTAACACGTTCATTTATAATAGTGGTCTTTAAATCAGATAATGGATTAGATAGTTCGTCAACATCGTTAACTCCGGCGATTTTCCCATTTAAGAAATTATACTTTTCAATACTTTTATTCATGAAATGGGCATTAAAGAAATCCTTGATATCATATTCAACATTGTCATTCTTGTAATATAACCTCCACCAGTTTAACTTCTTCTTAAAGAATTGTTGAGTTTGGGGCTGGAATTCATCCTGAAGTTCGCGGTTAACAAACTCGGCAAATTTAGCAATGTCTGTTGCAGCAATTCTATGGTTTTCTTGTGGTTCCTTGGCAGATTTTATATACTTTGCAATTTTAGTCTTTATATTATTCAATAAAAACTCATTAACAGTATCCTTGTTCAGCATCCAGGTGATTGCCTTTAACAATTCGTAGATATTACTATCCCTCATATCTTGAAGGTACTCAGAAGCAACAGCCACATCTTTTTCAAGAAACTCTTCAATACCAGTAACCGCTAGTTTACTATTAATCTTTATTATATTGGTATTTGGTTCATTAGTGAATGCAATCGGGGTATCTTGAATACTTGGTGGTGAATATGATTCATTATCAATCACATTCAAGAATATTTTGTTTTGAGTCTCTTCATTAAATTGATTGAGTTTGATTTGGTCATCGACACATATCAAGAAGGTATAGTTAGTAACTTTAACTGTTGAAATATCCTGGTTTATTTCGTCTATTATTAAATCATTAGGAAATTGCTCAGGTTCAAAGTTATAAGTGGGTCGATAAATTCCACCGAGGATAGGTGACGGGACATCACAAGTATTATCTGATACAACTGCCGTAGGGGAATATTGAAACAGGACAATTGGTGATTTGTTTCTCTGTTGTATCTTGTTGAACCAGGGTTTGTTATTATCTGAAAGTGGATCTGCAAGGATTGCTTCTATAATTTTAGAGCTGGATCTCGACTTTTCGTTAGCATAGAAGATCCCAATTCTCAAGGTCAGTGGTTGATACTTTTTAGTTGCCGAATTACAGTATTGCGTGATATCATTATTGACTAGTGTATCTTGCGGAATTGTACTCTTGTAATTTTGAAGGGTGTAAATTAGTGTTTCAGGTGCTTTCGAAGAAGATGATACAAACCTTTCAATTGCCCTAAGTGGTAGTATATTATTCTTGATTGAGCCTACTGTAGCTGTAACAAACCCGGCTCTACGCAATATTATCATGTATAAGGTTGTTTGTGTAGTATTTGTAAAGAGTTGGCAGATTTACTATCAATTTTCATAATTGCGCGTTTGCTTCTTTTTTTGATTGGTTGCCAAGTTTAACAGGATTAAGATATAAAGTCTAGGAAATATAGCCCATTTGACCCGTTTTGGAATTACAAATGGGTAATTTGAGTTTATCATGTATGTATTACCACCCTTGATGCGAGATTAATCTTTTCCGGATTGAGATTGTTATTATTTGCACCTACTTCTGGATATCCCGGATTACCATACGATTTTTGAGTGACATCATGAAGAAATCCCTAAACAGAATCATACAACACTTTACTGAGATTAGAATATAATAGCAAGTACATCATCAAGCAAAAATGAGTCAATAATTAACATACATAAAAAGAGGAAAAAGTTGTGAATATACTGACATTGTCAATACATGGTAGCATCATCTGGCATATACTCAAGTAAAGTGGTTTTTTAAAGTAAATATTAATGATTCGTTCTTATACAGTTTCTGTGACACCACAAGTCAACCGTCTTGGCGTTTCCAACTGCGCATTTTCCTGTACGACTGTTTACGTCAATCTTTTGCTGACTTTTTTTGTTGCCATCGCGATTTATTCCGTGTTTCGGAACTCTCCGTCTAAAATCAAACTAGAAAAATCAAATCCCCTTTCCCGTCCTGCATTCACTTGCAGACGCACTAGATTTAAATTGACAGGAACTTCTTTGTTTAGTTTTGCTTTCTTTATCAGATTAATCATTGTTATCACAAATTGGCATCATCATGTTAGAACTGATACAATTGAAGCGGTCTAAAGTGCTTCAGGTACTAAGAAAATACATGTCGTTTATTGGCCCGGGGCTTGTTGTTAGTGTTAGTTATATGGATCCTGGTAATTACCAAACTTCAGTGTCTTCTGGGTCAATGTTTGAATATAAACTTTTAATTGTCATATTTATGTCAAATTTGTTTGCCATTATCTTACAAATATTATGTGTCAAGTTGGGAACAGTTACTGGGTTAGATTTAGCCGAGATGTGCAGATTACATTTAAATCCCAAAGTGAATTTGTTTATGTATATATGTGCTGAGATTGCTATTATAGCTACCGATTTGGCCGAAGTTGTAGGTACTGCCATTGCATTGGAGATTTTATTTGGCATTCCTTTATTATATGGGGTATTGATTACCGTGTTGGATGTTTTGATCATCTTAATGGCTTATAGAAAGGATGGAACTATGAAACAAACAAGATTCTTTGAAATTTTCGTGTCTATTCTAGTGGCTGCAACCTGTGTTTGTTTTGTCACGGAATTGTTCAAATGTGATTTCCCACCCGGTACAGGCTGGCAAATCTTTAAAGGCTTCTTGCCAGTGAATGACGTAGTGTTCACTGATTCAACTGCTTTATTTCTCAGTTGTGGGATTGTTGGAAGTACAGTCATGCCACATTCCTTATACTTGGGATCTTCTTTGGTCCAACCAAGACTCAAGGAGTACGATGAAAATCACGACAAAGAAGTTGTTGAAGTTGATGATGATGAAAGGCTCTTTCCTCCTAATACCCCCAGACTTCGAAGACTTTCAGATAGTTCCTTCCTTGCCAGAAAATACAAGCCTTCGTACGCAGCTATCAAATATTGTTTGCATTACTCATATTTTGAATTGGTATTGTCCTTATTTACTGTGGCTGTTTTTGTTAATTCAGCCATTTTGATTGTAGCTGGTTCCTCATTGTTTGGACAACCAGATGCTGCAGATGCAGATTTATTATCAATCTATAAAATGTTGTCCTACTACATATCACCAGCTGCCGGTCTTGTGTTTGCACTCTCTATGTTATTTGCTGGTCAAAGTGCCGGTATAGTATGTACTATGGCTGGACAAATTATTAGTGAGGGATTTATTAATTGGAACATGAAGCCTTGGAAAAGAAGAATCATTACTCGAGTATTGGCGATTGTTCCAGTGGTTATAGTCATTGGTATCCTTGGACGTGAAGGAGTTTCAAAAGTGATGAACTCCTCTCAAGTAGTTTTAAGTTTTATTTTACCCATTGTGAGTGGACCTTTAATTTACTTTACGTGTTCCAAAGAATATATGACAGTTTATGAAACTTCTTCACAAGCCACAGAGTCAACTTCATTACTAGAAAACGACGTGCATTCAAACCTGAGTCTGCCTTGCAGATATACTTTTGAAAATGGGAAATTTTTACGTACAGCAAGTATTTTGACTTGGGTAATTATATCATTTCTAAACATCTATTTAGTTATTGCATTCGCTAATGGAGCACAAATATAGAGACTTTTTATTTTTTTAGATTGGTTAATATCTTCCTTTGGTTTTTTTGTATGGTCCTCGAATACTTGGTAATCTGCCCGGTTTGGCAATAGAAGTACCAGTACTAATTCGGTTAGGAGCAACACCTGGTAAAGTACCACTATACTCAGAAACCAATACTGGAATTCTCTTGCTGAATTCATATGAAAAACTCAGGGGTGATATTTTGTATAATTGTATAGCCATAGTAATGTACTTTTGTAATCTAGTGTATAATTTGTATTCAGTAGGTTCAGGAGCTAATGGGTTTCTGATATCGCTTCTGAGATACCTATCTTGACGCAATTTGTTAAGCTTTATTAAGGAAATTGAAATTAATCTTTGAAGTTTGACCGGATTTATAATGTCCTGTTTTGATTCTTTCAAAAATTTCAATTCTTTGATCTTGGAAGGATTCCATTGTAATAAATTAGCAACATTGATAGTAGCATCAGAATCCAATTCAGTTTCTATTTCCATTTCATTACTTTCACCTTTCACTACTTCGTTTGTAATTCTAGCTTCTTTTTGCAGTTGTTCAAGTTCTTCTGGTACTTCTTCTTCTGGTACTTCTTCTGCTTCTTCTTCTTCTTCTTCTTCTTCTTCTTCTTCTTCATTATCTTCAATCTTCTCTTCAAGATATTGCAGTCTAATCTTTTCAATCTCAGCTAATCCTAAATGATTGAACCAGACTCGGCCCTTCAATTCTGAACTAATAATAGAATCCTTCAGATCTTGCTGAGGAGCAAATGAACGGAAATTATTACCAGGGGCCCACACAAGCGATGAATGCTCGGACAATAAGGTAGAATCAGTATCATCTCTTTGTTGCAAGACCTTCAACTTTTGATTTTGATGTTGAGAAGCTTGTTGAGGAAGCATGCTAGCTGGTTTTATGATTTGGGCACGATAATTTAACCAAGTTGGAACGGTGATGGTGTACCATGTAGGATGGAAGAAATCAAACAACACCATTGATGTTTGACTTTCCAAAGGAGTTGGAATTTTTGTACTTACAGGGGAAAGATTATCCAAGATTGAATCTGATTTGCTAACATCTTTAATCATAGGAACAGCTTTTGCCACTGAAAATGGATCTGGAACAATAGTACGTTCAGGGTCAAGTTCTGATTTCTCAATGATTGATGAGAACAAGGGTTGAATTCGTTGCTTTACAACTGGATTATGTTGAGAATACAAGTTTGCATAACCTACTGGTTCTGGTTCTTCGGTTTTGGAAATATACGTTATTACTTCTCCATTGCTGAGGTTGTAAGTGGTGACAATCTTGTCAAAGTCATCATCCAATTGATGTTCAAGTTCACTCTTGTTTCCATCCGAATTCACCGTTATTAAAGTTCCAACTTCTCGTAACAAGACTTCTGTAGTGAATTTGTAAAAGAAATCTAATTCCCTGTACTCCTTACTACCTCTTGCATGTTTCTGTATTAAGGCTGAAGCAACGGCTTTGATATCATGGTAAACTTGATAAGGTTTAGTATATTCATTGTTGGCAAATTTTGCTTGGATACTAGTTGTCTCAGGCTTGCTCTCGAGACGTTTCTTTAGTGAAAATACAATGTCGAAAGGGTTTTCTTCATGAAATTCGACTGGAAGAACTTCACTTCCAAGTACATTCAATTCTTTATCTGCATGTTCGTAAACTGTAAACAAATCTGGCAAAATCTTTTGAAATGAAGAAGCTGAGGTTAAGATGTTAGTATTGTATTCATCATCTATTGGTGAAACAGGAATAAACATACTTGAATCTGTTTTTTTCTCCACGGCGTTAGTCATGATTTCTTTATTCCCTTTTTTCCTAAACTTTTCGGTATTTCCAAGTTGGTGATTATTGAGTTTATCTTTTTTATGTGGTTTATTTTTTTTTTTTGCTCTGGTTTATTTTCATTCTCTTTGACAAATTTTTTCTTCTGGTTCAGACACGCAAATTTCAAACCACTATGAGTGTGTGTTCTAATTAAATGAAGAGTAGGGTGATAGTGCAAAGCATACTTCATGATTTAGTACCATCAGAAACAATCTCATTGGTGTAGCCGTTTCTGGTCCGGTCCACTTGTGTAAACTTTCTTAAGGATCAGCAAAATTGTAAACTGTTTGCATGATTTGTTGTTTAAGAATTATTTGCCTTTGGTTTTAGATCAAATTTCCAATTGATACTTTGTTGACTTTTCTCTTGAAATAGGTCTGGTATTGGCTATGACAAAAGGATCATATATTTCAGATTCATTAGAAATATTGTTACTACATCTTTCTGTGTTGGCTGCAGCAGTTGTTAGATCTGGTTTTTATCCTTCCTCTATCGAAGATTCACCTGATGGAGTTTATTGGTTGTCTATACTTGCTGTTGTTACAAGTAAATCATCATATAAACTGGAACTCCATTAAATCTCTTCTATTTGTTGAGTCATTTGTTGTTTATGGTTGAATGTGTATTTTTTTTTTTTTTGCAACACTCTTCGTTTTTGTCAAAATTCTACAGAAAAAGTCACAAATATGTTGATTCTGGAAATCCTTTACAAATTGTGGGGAAAATATATAACCCAATTTTACATACTTGCTTTCTTCAGAGTGACGACATTAACTAATGTATTGAAATCAAGCTACCACAAACTATACTTCTAAATGAGATTTTCATTTCATTAACTATACTAGCAAAATATAATAGACCAAACAAGAAGAAACGCGGGGAAACATTTGGTCTAATTCATACTGTTTGTTTTATTGCTGAATAATTTGTAAACCCCCAAAGTTGTCTCATTTCATGTCATTCTGCTGAAAAGTTTACTTAAGATCCGAATCTCGAAACGAAGTTTGTATCTGACGAATTATTTTTTTAGGAATTTAATTTCCATAAGGCTGTGATTATTGTTCCGAAAACAACCCTCCACAAATTTTTAGCGGGGGTCCCTCCAACGCGGGTTATTTGCCAAGAATTTATCAAACAAAAACTTCCCATTTATGGTAACCGTCTATTTTAATTTCATAATGACCCACCTAACCATATGGGTTATTTCAATTTCATTTCAGGAACCACAAAACCATTCAAATAATTGTATGTTCCTAACGAGAATATTTCAACTTGCAATTTCTCGTTTTTCATAGTTCTTTTCTATTGTGATTAACAAATTCAATTAGTACGACAATGCCCCCAGTTCCTACTTCTACTATGCACCAAGATAGTCTGGATGGTTCAGATGATGAAATCGCCATGATTGGTCTTGAACCTCGCGTCGATTGGGAAGCTCGAATGGAGCAACAACGACGCGAGCGAGCACGTCTTGATGCTTTGCAAGTGGGGTCTCCCTTCCCACATCCTTGGTGGACAGCATTCGCATTGGTGGGTCCAAGCCCTAGATGTCTTGATGAATGGTTGATTATTGAAATTTCTCTGTCAATCAGAGCCAAACCAGAGTGGAAAAGGAAATATAAGGATAATGCCATAGTTTCTAAATGGAAACTGGAAATTAAAGAACAATGTAAGGACAAGACAAATTATATTGACGAAGTTATTGAATACGTTATTAAGGAATTGGAGTGGTATGAGGAAATTGAGTCGCGTTTTATGGGTACTTCTGGGTTTGAAGTTGGATTCAATGAGTATATCCTGACCTCGGATACTACTATTACCACTGAAATGAAAGAGAAATTGAAGAAGGAAGTTCTGTTGTTAGTTGAATCATTCGGCGATGATTTGGATTACCATCCTGGTTCCGACGACAAGGTGTTAGATTTGGTCCATCCTTCTTTATTTCCATTGCAGTACGACATAACTCCAATAATCAACAATAACAATAACGTTGAAATTGTCAAGTTCACGGAAAAAGTTCAATATGCCAAGAAAGCCGTGGAAGGATACGGAGTTTCGCAAAGATTCCAGTGGCTTCCTGCACTTATGAAACTTGAAGATGGTAGATTTTCCTTTAAATCTTATATTAATAATTTGCACCCAATCAACCACAAAGATTTGTATGGTTCAATTGAAAATATTTTCAATTCTATCTTACCAGGATTGAATTATACCTTAACGCGTTACGCTTCCAAGGAGTATCTTCGTGTCCAAGTACCCGTTGGAAGCGCAGCTTATTCAGAAGATTACCATAGGCAGATTAATGAAATGTACGATCGTTTAGTTGGCGATGATGCAGAATCTGGCCTCGAAGAAAAGCTAGAAGAATTCGAGAGTGATAAATCGGCATATGTTTTAGATATAAAGCCTAGGTGGGAAGAAAGACCAGAGTTTGATAAGGTAATTGATTTAAAGACTTTTGAAAATGTGAAAGTTGTTGTTAAGTTAGCAAATATTGAATTGACTCCCGAGCGTCCTTCGTATAGTGGTGGTTCATGGCATGTTGAAGGAACAATCAATGAAGATATCATTGCAACTGTATTGTACTATTATGATATGGAAAATATTACAGAATCTAAACTTTCTTTTAGAACCGCTTTTGAAGATCCTGGGTATGAACAAGGAGATGCTTTTTATAATATGTATTTCTATGGTCTTCAAGATGAAGATGTTATGGTTAGAAATATCGGAAGTGTTGAAGCCAAAGAGAACAGGGTTGTTGTTTTCCCTAATATGTACCAACATCATGTTGATGCTTTTGAATTAAAGGACAAAACAAAACCAGGTTACCGAAAGATTTTATGCTTTTTTATTACTGATCCATATAATTCTAATGTGGTAAGTACTGAGAAAGTCCCTCCACAACAAAAGGAATGGTGGAATGATGAGGAATTAAATTATCTTTACCCAGGTAATACTAAGCAAGATATTTTACAATTGAAGCTTGACCTGATGTGGCCACTAACTATGGAACACGCTAAAACTGCTAGAAGAGAATTAATGACTGAAAGGAGTGCATATCATGACGAGGATGATGAGGTAGCTTTCCAAAGACACTTTTCGTTATGTGAGCATTGATTATATCTACCATATCATGTAGATAGAAGTTAGCCAATTTTACTATAAATATGAATCAAACTTGGATAAAACAAAATAAAGTCGTAAAATTTTAAATCATAATGTCAACATAAGTATATCTAGATTAGAATTAGCAATCCGATTTTGTTATCGTAACATCGCTTGTGATACTAGTAACCTGCAATTTTTTGACTAGTTCTTGTCTACCTTGTTCTCTTTGTTCATTGGTAATAAAACTCATTTTGGCTCTCAATTGCCAGTCTAGAAGACAATAACCAAATATAACAGCAAACACGACACATGCATAGTTCATGTTGTCAGCAGCTACAGGCATAACCGAAGGAAAATTGTAAAACACGAACGTAAATATTGTCCAACCAACAGTAATAATATTAGAATACCACCCAAGGTTATATTTTAAATAAAATGGACCTGGTTTGAGTTTACTTCTATCGAAAACCAAGAATATCGTAGGAATCAGATATGAAATTGCCACAAACAACACACAGCAAGTCATTACCGAATTAAAAGCAGTATCAGATCCTAAATAGACAAACCCAATAACTCCACTCCATGCACAAGACATCAAATGACTGTTGACTACACTTCCAGTTTTTGTATTAACTTTTGACCACCATCTAGAGCCTGGTAACCCGTTATCTCTAGAGAAACTCCAACATAACCGTGCCTGCCAGGTATGGCAAGAAATGTTGCAACCAACAGCAGTTAGCAATACAAGGAACTGCAATCCAAGGGCAGCACCTTTAGAACTTGTAGCCAGATAAAATATGTCCATGATTGGAACACCAGTATTTGAATCAGCAATAGAATCTAAATTTTTCATGCAAAAGAACATAGCAATAGCAAAGCAAAATGAAGTGATAAACCCAATCACCACTGTCATACATATAGCCTTAGGAATATCAGTTCTTGGCCTGGTTGTTTCTTCTGCAATGTGAGTAGCAGCATCCAAGCACAGGAAAGCCCAACTTGGATTTACTAACCCTGTAAAAAAGGCAATAGCACCAGAATTCCATCCAGTCATATTGGTGAAATCAGAAAATACAAAACTAGCACTTTGAAATTCTCCACCAGACATTGCCAAGACCGTAATTATAATGATAAAAAACGAGGATAAAGAAATAAATAAGGCACTTTTGGAAACGTAAGGCTGTGCACGTTCGAAGATATTGAAAATCAAAAGGAAAATGTTGACTGCTTCAAAAAGTAGAAACACTTGCCATTTTTTAACTGTTTTTTGGGGATTCTGCAATACTGACATTCCAATTATTTGAGTAGCAATAGACATAGTAATAGATGCAGAAGTAAAGACAGAACCAATCCATGCAAATGACCCACATAAATAGGACATTAAAGGTGCCCATTTTTTAGGTGCAAGTTTTCCTGTCCAGTAGTACTGACCACCTGAGTTAGGCATGGAACTTGCCATTTCACTAAGAGTAATACCAATACATGCAGCCATAGCAGCAACAACTATTGTTCCATACACAATCATCATAGGTCCACCACTGCTTATACTTGTAATAAGACCAGCAGATATACCAAACCAGCTGTTAGTTAACCCAAATCCTACTCCTAAAAGAGATATCAAACTAAATCGACGTGTCAATTCAGGAGTGTATCCTGATTCTTCAGCAAATTCCACGTTTGCTCTTGCTTCTTCTAAAAGATGCGCCGTTCTTTTGTCATCAAGAGGGATATCTTCATGACTGGGAACATGATATATTTCAATATATGGTTCCTTCTTTCCAACAAGATCAGACATGGTTAAATAGTTAGATGTTTTGAAAATAAAAAGTCACCATTGTTTGAATTGGTGAAAACATTGTATATTTATATCTAGAAATGTGATAATTCATGATGCGAACACAGTATATTATGTGTGGTAATATCACTTCGATACATCAGACTGGACACCTACTTGTAAAAAAAAAAATAGCAAAAAAATTTTCCAAGGGATAGAATTACTTGAATTGGAAACTCCATTTTAAAATGTGGGGAATTCAAAGGGAATCATTTGATCTGGTATTTAAAATATACATCAGCACTGGAGAGGGGGCCATTCTAGCTACCATTGTTTCAAACTACATGGTTTACACATACATTTAGAGCGAACAAAAGGATAAATTTATTGTGCTGCAAAAAAAAAAAAGCCATGTTGTTCCCCACAATAATTGTCAAGGAGAATATTTTTAGCGCTTTGCATTTCAAGAGGGCAGTATAATCCGGGTGGGTAAATTTCAAAGTTTGTTATATACACAACTTTAGTTCATCTTAATGTTATAGTTTAACTGCTAATTTTTCCTATATCGTGTTAGCCGGTGTAAATTTATGCAAAGAGGTGGCTGAATTTATTATGCCTTGACCAACTAGCTTTGGCCATCCAGTTTACAGAAAGTAATTAAACAAATATCTATTATATTCTTGTAAAAACTATGCAAAAAATCCCGTAACATCATCGTTGTCATCATCCTCATCACATTCTATTAAAAGACCGGCTCGAATTAAAATCTCTTCCCAATCACTCCAAATAATAATACCAGTTTCGGTAATTCCAATCACGGCCATACCTACACCAATTCCGATCCATAATCCAAACAACTCTAATCCAATAATTTTACTTAATGTAAGTGCCAAGGGTAATCCTAATGCGTAATAAGCAACAAAATTGATTAACCCACCAATCTTTTGTCTTCCTTGAGCTCGTAAAATACCACTATTTACACAAGCAACACCATCACACAATTGGATAACTGCAACTAAAGGATTAAACAAATCATCAATTAGCTTGATAACATGGGGATCTCGGGTAAAAATTTGGGCAATTTGTTTCCGGAAAGTGAACAAGGTAATACAATTAAAACTGGCAACAATAAGTGAGGCAGCCATAGCTACCTTGGTTGCCATTATTGCCCCTCGTTTATTTTGACCACCAATGAAATTAGCAATTCTTGTCAGAGCTGCTATACTTACCGCAAATGGGATCATATATGCTAAACTAGCAATACTAGAAACAGCACTTTGAGCAGCAAGTTGTCTAGTTCCAAAATACGATGCAAAAAGTGTCATTATTTCATAGGCAATATACTCTGATTCAATCATAATAATACCTGGAATGGCCAATCGATAAAGTTGACTCCAATTACTAATCAATTCCGTGAATTTGGCAATTCCAAACCAACACTTGTAACCATCAATGAATCGAACATACATAATCATTAAGAAGCTCATAAACCAAAAGTTTATTGCTGTGGCAATTGGAGCTCCGATGTACCCCAATCCATAAGTCTCGTTCCAAACAAGAAACCAAGAAAGAAGAATGTTTAAAGGTGCAGCAATAAACAAAATTCCAGTTCCGGCTTCAAATATTCCTTGCGATTGTAAGAATCTTTTCGAGTTCTCAAAAAAGATATACCCTGGACCGCCCACAATTAATATCCGTAAAAATTTACTGGTAAGCTCAACGACAATTTCATCGTCAATGATAAATCTGAACAAATGGGCCGAATACCACCAGAAAAATGCACATGGAATGTACAATGTCCAAGAAAATAATATACTTCTTTGAACAAATGTACACATCAACTCGGGGTTCCCTGCCCCATATGCCTGAGGACATAACGTGTCCAATGCAGTTGCCGACCCTTCAAATATAGCAAATGTAATGGTTGAAGTCATGGTGGCAAGCGATACTGCTGCAAGCTCACTGGTTCCTAATTTCCCCACTACAATCAAACATACAATGGAGAAGAAATGTTCAAGGATGAATGTAATAATTAATGGGAACGAATGACGAAATAGGGTCAGGATTTCAAGGGGATAGGTAGTTCTTAAATGAATGAAATCCTTAATGCTAGAACTAGCACTTGATCGCCTTCTCTTGTGTGGATGATGTTCCTGTTCTTCTTGTTCTTGATCGCTGAGATCTTCTTCATCATTGGAAAATGAAATTCGTCGATGTTCTTCAACAAGCCAACTATGGAAACTTTCTTGATCGTCGATTGTACTTAAAGAAGACGGAAGGGATCGTGAGGTTGCCACACTTACAACATCACTGACATCATCCGATACATATTCTGACCCTGCTTCAATAAGGGAAAGGAAAGAACGTTGATCATCGCCTTCACCATACAAGAAAAGGGGGTATTGAGTCGATGGAGGTATAAACAATCTTCTTCTTCGACCACCAGGAAGATTCAAACCTGTACTTGGGTTTGCTATTCGATTTATCGTTGGAAATAATACCATATCGGGATATTGTTGTCTATACTACACTGCGTTGCAGAAAGAAGAAAGACTCACAATTTTTTTTTTTCTTGTTTTCTGGAAGCGTGGTGATGATAACGGGCTTTTAGATTTTTGCGCGCACAAGACCAAAACACCCATTGCGGTAACAACATTTGCGCTTAATAGATAAGACAAGGAAGGAACTTGTTACTGTCTACTTGACACTAAGAAATAATTCAGTAATAGAACTTTATATATATATATAAAACAAAAACTATAGTGAAAACTTATAAAGTACTGTAGAATCGCTTTAGAAGATCATCCATATAGCTCCACCTAAGATAACAGCTAAAACAACAGCAGTTAAAACGGCAGCACCAGCCCTATCTTTACCAGTAACAACAATTTCATTCTTATTGATGGCATCTTTGGCCTTGGTACCTGCATCAAAATCGGTTTTGTTACTACCTCCAGTCTTCACCGACAATGGTTCTTGGACAATTAAGGACATCAAAACTTCCAATGCAGAAGTTTGTTCTCCTAATCCATAAACACCATCCCATCCATTAGCGGCCCAATTTTCACCACAAGTAACACCATCACTACCACCAGAACATGATTGGGCAGCAGCTGCAGAGGAGGCTTCCAAATAAGGTGCGATTACGGATTCGGTTTCTGGCATGAGTAACGTAGTTAAACCAAGGCATCTTGCGAAAAGTGATCTGAAAGATCTCTGATCGTTATTACATTTGTTGAATGGAGCACAAGTAGTTTCAGTCATAATTTTGTTTTGGAAGAAATAACTAAGAGAAGCCTCCACAATTTCATTAGCTCTTGTTTGCCACTTTGTATCTCCAGTAAAATTGTATAAATAAGCACATCCGGCCATAAAAATACCATAAGTATACGACCATCTTAATTGGGTGACATCAGTACAATTGGTTTCAACATTAGCCCCATCAAAAATTCTAAAATTTCCATTATCTTCTTCAGTAAGGAATCCAACTTCATCCATCCAATCCCAAACTTTTTCAGCTACATCAAGGTACACGGTACTATTACCGGTATATCTTGCTAATCTTGCCGCAAGATGGAAAAGACATCCATTGGCAATGGAATTCTTATAGTTATAACCAGAATTCCAAGTAAAAATTTGCCATCTAAGACCACCATTACAGTGGGATGTATCCCATCTTGCATTCATGGTGTTGAAAATAGCTTGAGTTAAAGAAATCCAACTATGATCCTCGGGATTAGTGAAATTTCTTTCAGCAGCTTGCATAATACCCATACCCCAAACACCTTGGTCATCATTTCCTTCAGTCATGGATTGATTAGAAGGAACGTAATTGTAATTCTCACCTGCTTGGTGATACATTCCATTGAAAATAAGGTCCTTTAAAGTATCATTGTTTGGATCACAGAATGTGTAGTAGTCGACGAGACCACCAAATGCTTCACCAGCATTCCACCAATAATTTGGAGGAGCAAACATTCCAACTACACCACCATATTTTAATCCTTCATAATAGTTCCAAATACCATCAGCAACTACTTTTGCTGCGGCACAGGTACTATCCTTATCACCAACGGTTAATGGGACTGCTGAAACAAGACTGGTGAATGTCAAGAAAACTGATATATATGTGGTAATACATATATTAGGTATGCGTTTGAATGATACCATTGTGTGTATATGTGTATGATTACTCTATATGTAGATGTGGCAGTGCGTGGTGTATGGGAAATGTTTGTAAATTATCGTAAACCAAAAAAAAAAATATGACTTTTTGATTTTGGGTTGAATTTTTTTTTTTTTTGGTTCTCCTTTGTTTTTATTTTAAAAAAAAATACAAGAGATCTGGAAGCGTTAATGTTTTAAATTTGAATTAAAATTAAATGGCTGTGTTGAGTAAACAATAGAACAACATGTGTATTTGACGTAATTGTTTATGTCAACTCTATTTTACAAAGATCTTTTGTGTGTGGTTGACTTAACGTGGCTATGACGTCTTTTATATTTATTTCTAAAAATAAGATTTGCAGGTCGTGCGCGTATCACCTTTTTCAACCTAGCACTGCCCGTTGCAACCATTCGGAATCTTACTATAAACAGGTCTTGCTCAAATGTAACCTAGCGTTCTAGGTACGTATTTTACAATTGAAAAACTGTTGGTAGACATGTTAAATTGCTTATAATCATTCTATCGTCGTTTGTCATCAGGATCAAATCTTCATTGTAACTATTCTCGTCACGTTGCAAGTAGATACCATTCCAGCCACTAGCGATACATCCAATGAAATCCTTATCATGTGAATCACCAATATGAAAACAATTGTTTCGATATGTTTTATCGGGAATTCCAGCATCTTTTCCATATTGTTGCTTGTACATGGTTTCTACTACCACATTGAAAAAGTCAATACTAGGTTTAACATACCCAACATCATATGACAAAAAGATATCCTCATGGTTAAAGTAATCAATCAAGTTTAAATACTTTAAAATCTCAAACACTCGATAATCTGAATTACTTGTGATTACAAGTTTGACGTTATTCCTGGTTAATATATCCAAAGTAGGAATGACATCGTCATATACTCTATAAGCCTCACCAGAATAGAATTGGATTAGTCGATCACATAGAGCCTGAGTCTTTTGGTCGTTTCTTTCCAATTGAAATAGCCTAATAATCAACTCTCTCCACCAACAATCCCACGATTTCAACACCCCTTTCCCGTAATTTGGATATTCCATGAAAACTTCATTATATACAATGGGTAATTCTTTATTTATAGCTTCCAAGGATTTATGTCGGATATTGAACTCATCAGTGGCTATTTTGTAATATGTTAAAGGAACTGACTGTTTGGGGGTATATAAAGTGTCAAACAAATCAAAGGAGATAAAATTAGGTCGCGGGTATTGTGGTATTATATAACTAGTAGTGATAGTCCTGATTATTGTTTTGTTTAACATTGGCATATCAATTCCTTTTTTGCTTGATACCTTGGCATTACTCTTTTGATCTAGCCTGATAACGCATATGCGTTGGAGAGAGAGAGGGGGGGAAGACATCAGTCCATTTTAGAGTAGGTCGTGCAAATTGGCTAAATCTGAAATACTGGTTTAGTAACGCCATTTAAACTTATATGTTGATTTTGCAGCAATTTAAAAACTAGACAGTTACATTGTTTTAAAATGCAATATTTCCGATGTTATCACTTTTGTTTATAACCAACCATTATTGGGAGTTCTGTTGGTGATGAATTTTCTCAGAAATTAAAACAAAATTTACAGAATATTTGCTAATATAAACAAATTTCTCCAGCAATACACTCATTTTGCACTTAGTTTGAGAAACTTTCTGACTCATTTTATTTACAAAACTTATTAAAATACATGGTTTATATTTATCCTAATAATACTTCCCAACCCCATTCTTTCATTACCATACTCCAATGAGTTCTTGAATTAATACCTCTAGTTTGCAATAAAGATTCCAGATCGTTAAGAACCGCCATTAATCCACTCAATTGATCATAGTCTTCACCTTCACCTTCATTTTCCTTAACCGAACTATGTGCACTATTATTCTCACTTGCATTTTTGGAATCTTCCGAATCATCTTGATCTTTCCGTTTCCAAACTTCTTTAACTATATCAAATGCTCGTTCCACATTACCAATACCCATTTTCTCAAAAAGAATTCTCCATCTGTCAATACACCACTCTCTTTCTTCTCCAGGCATGGCCTCGCATGAAGCCACCAACAATGGGAATATAAGCACCACATGCATGTTGGAATCTTCAGGTATTGAAGCCATTAATATAAAAATCTTTTGTGCTAATTTATGAGAAGATAATGACGGAATTTCCGGTACTGAATGATGCAAGTATATTAATGTGGCATACTTGTAAGATTCCGCAGTAGCAATGCATTGTGGGATATCCCAAGTAGAATCATTATGACTAGGGAAATCCTGATCGGTTGAAGTGATTGGTGGTTTCCAATTAATCAACTGTTGTTTCAAGTTTGATGCTGTTGATATAGTAATCAACGAGTTTCTAGTGGATTTGGATTTACGGATTTTGGTACTGAGATTTGCAACTTTACCCATAATCAGGAACAATGATTGACCACAACCTAATAATGGATCAATAAATTCTGGGGTATAATTTGTTGAACTGAAGTTATCAAATAAAGGAGATATGGTGAATGGATCCGTTGAAGGTGTTGATTCTGCAGACTCAGATTTAGACATTGGTTGCGACATAGCCGTTATAGCAGCAACCAAATCAACACCTTTATCATCCTGGTTCAAATTAGCTGTCATTTGTGCCAATACTTCTAAATATATCCATACATTAAACAAGAATTGAATAGATTTTGGAATGTACAACTTACCCAGCGTTTGACTAGCACCAAGCTGCTCTTCATATTTATCCACAAACACTAGCTTATCACATTCTTTATCGCTATCTTGTTTCTCCATATTCAAGATTTTCAAAACACGTTCAATCATACTTTTCGCTCCTCGCAAATGTGCAATCCCACTTGTGGTAGGTGTATACCAAGCATCGATAAATGCAAGGTTAAGAGAAGTAACTAGAGCAATATCTGCTGGTAAAGTACTTTCTTCTGGTTTAGTATTGGACAATCCCTTTAAAAGGTCAAACACACATTTCTTCATATACGAATAACCTTTTGCTCTCATATCAGCTGCTTGAGCGCTAGTTGAACCAGAAAGGTGGAATAATGTCATGGATGCAATTGAATTATATAAACAGGGGTATTTCATTGCCTTGGGCAAGATTAATTCCCGCCATGGGTTTTCTCTAGGGCCATTTTTGATTGACAATATGTGACACGTATACTCGGAATAAAGAAAAAGTAGATGTTGCTCTTCTGATGTGTGGATGAGTGAGTTGTTAATGGGATGCAAGTCGAAAGTAGGTTTGGCGGGAACAACTGCTGTTGATGTGGGTGTTTGCGATTCAATCAAGTTCAATGCGTCGATATCTTCAAATGCGAAGTTAACAATTGCAGAAAATGAAGACGGAGTTGCACCAAAATCATATTGTGGACTTAGGTCAGTTGGCTTGGTCTTGTCCAGGGCGAATTCTGAAGTGGAGAAAACCAGAGAAGCTGACCCAGGAGTATTTGGTAAACTGGCACCGGGCTTGTCAATTATGGATGTTGCTGCTTCTACCAATGAGTTTAATTTAGTATTGTTTGAGTCAACTGGGGTCGACAATGCTGATGGTGCTGGTTCTTCTTCTATCACATTGGTTTCATGAGATTGTTTACGTTTATAACTATTAGGATTCAATCCTAGAGATATCAAATGGTTTTCTTTATTGATTTCATTGATTGACTTGCCAGTGACTGATATTGACACTAATTCCAAATGCTGTTTCAATTCAACATTGTTTTTTGTGGCGATTGGACTTTCGTGGTCGGAGCCACTGCTATGAGGTGTGGCGGAGGTGGTTGTGGCCGCTGTCTCAGTTTCATTAAAAGATTTCCATTTAAAGTTAACAGCATATCCACCACATTCAATTTTCCGTTTCCTACAATTCATACATGCAGGCTTTGTTTCATCACACTTAAGTCGTTTCCGTTTACATGTATGACATCCATTTCTTGATTTAGTGCGTGGTCGTGAATCGGATTTAGGCATAATTGACAGGTATATATGAACTGATTTCTAACTTATGGCGTGATTTCTGGATTAACGGAATACTTTCGGGATATATTTACAGGGAGTACCAATAAAAAAAAACAAACAAGCAACTTGACGGGTACTGTTTAGCGTATGCCAGTAAGTTTGTATGTATCTTTTCAGATCTCATGCTGCCGGGCGCTAATTTTTCCCGCTAAGAGATAAGATAACAGCGGGGACGGCGCCGACTCGATTACTAAATTCGAAATATTTTTTATTTTATTTTATTTTATTTATCTCCACTGTCGGGAAATAACTACCGAATTAGGCAAGGAAAAGCGCACAAAACCAGGATCAATTATCTATACAATCGACTCAAGAACAATAACTGTCATAAATGATCCCCTTAAACATTATATATAATTACAGATTATGTAAGTGCTTCCCCCTCATTCCACTATGAAATTATCCACTCCTAATTTAAATCTATAATAACATTGTCTACCAGTAAATCCGCGGGAGGTATCAGAATGAGAAGATTTGGTGATATATCGTACCCAAGGAAAGCATGGATATTTCAATTGTTCTTCTTCAACACTTAAATACGTTAGTTTCAACCCGGAATATGTCATCATGGGTATCTGGAACGTCAATTCAATATCATCATGCAATGATCTTGCCGATGATGCCGTAGATATTATCCTTTGTGTGGTATTGTTTATTTTATTTACCCCATAAAATTCGTCCAATTCTTGCTTAGCATTGTCTTGGATGTCAGCAACTTCGGTAGATAATTCGGGAATAATCCTTCTATTCACATAATTATCAATCTTCTCCTTAGATACTTCTTTAAGTAATGATACTTCGGCCATCATTCTTGCGGTTTTTTTTCCATCTATACTGTCAATTCTCCAAACTATCTCCGAGGAGTCCACTTTATAAGAAACTTCACCTAGTTCGGCTTTATATTTTAAACTATCACTTCCATCATACCTAATTTGGAAATGGTTTTGATTAATGGGAATCTTAACATACAAATTCTTACAATGACGTCTTCTGTTGAAATTTGTATTGATAACACACATGATTTGTAGTTTGTGGGATTGGTTTATCACTTTGAACTTTGGTTTGACCATAATTAATGGAAGTTTCCGCTTTTGTTTCTGTTGATCAACATTGTACGTCATGAGAATGAATTTATCGTCAGGCGGAATAAACGTGACTAAATTATCCTTATAAACTTTTGATAATTCTATGCATTGATGAAATTGAATATTACCAATGGGAATTTTGCGTCTCAGTTTAGACTTATCAGAGGGTTCTTCCAGATCTTCAAGGGCAACTTCTTCCTCTTCATCGTTATCATCCTCAAGTTGTAATTGATTTTTGGGAATTTCTTCATTGCTGGTCACTTCTGATTCACTTATCAATGTCATATGCTTCTCATTAAACCCAACACGACATATAGGCATACCTGATAAATATGACTTCACCACGCAAGTACCGTAGATTTCATTCCTCTTGATGATATTCGTGCTCAAATCGTATATAAATTCACAATCTTCAATCATGTCAATATAAATTTCATTTTTAGTATAAAAAATCCCCTTGGGTCTCCAATTTATGCTCAGGGAATAAGTTCTTAGAATTGAACTGTTTATGAGAACATCCGAGGATTCAATCACATCTGTTTTATTTGCCTGATTATGAGTGGACTTTACTGATTTAGGTGCAGTATTTCTGACTTTGGAATCTTCATGAGATTCATGGTCTTCTTCTTCTTCCCCATCATGAACTTCGTCACTATCATAGTCAGTGAGCGATTTCGGTAGATTGACATCAACTTTAATAAACTCACGTAATAACTTATAATCTGTCATTTGGACAATTCCGAAATCTAAACATTCATCTAGTAATTCAAATATCAAGGTAAGATTGTCAGTGATCATATCTCGATCCAACTTAACCGGTTCATTTTTGTCATCATGCACCAAATATGAAATCAAAATCTCGTAAAACTTGGAAAGGAAAATCATCAACAGCATAACATTTATATTCTTTGGTGTCACTCCCATTAAAACTATATCATGATCACATCGTATAAACGCATATGAAATTCCATTGTAATGCAACACTGGTGTTTTCTCATGTTCCAGCAATTGGTGTCGTAACTTGTCTAGGTTGTTTAGTATAATAGTATCACTAGGGATATTTTCATGATATCTTCTATTTAGAAGCAATTGATGATATGTAGATTCAGGCGGAAAATGTAGAACATAAACCGCAGATATCATTTAAAGGATGCTGCGTGGTGTTTGGTACGAGTGTTGTCTCGCTCGCTTTATTTTCTAGTCTGTGTTTTGGAAAATTGCCTGGGAACAAAAGATCAACTAAAAAACGTTGTCCAACTAGCACAAAACCAATGCCAATAGAAAGACCCCACAGGGAACATCATATAATGTACAAGAGTATGGTGGAAGCCTTTTACTGTCATTATCCTACTTGATAGCGATTGGGCTATCTTCTAATACAAAAATACTACCATTGGTGGTGTGTCAGTGGTTGTCAAAAAAAAATGCATTAACTCAGATTATTCTTTCCGGAAATAAATGTGTTATCAGCAAGTATGCCCAATTCAATTGCCACAATGTTACTTCGAGATAGATTTCCAGTTAAAAAAAGCCGTTAAAACTTATTCTTTCCTATTTGATTCAGCTTTTCGTGAAATAGCAAGTACCAAATATTATTCTGCACCATCATATTGTATTTAGTTGAAAAAAATCTCTTCTACTTTAACAGCTGTCTATATACCCTGACATTGTCGTTTATCATTGACTTGTTGTTTTTGTGGTGATAATGAGTTTACAATACTCACAACATAATCATGTAGATGTGAACGGTACAATTTTTCCAATCAAGAACGATGAAAATAGATCGATTTTATCTATGCCATATGATTGCATTTTTGAAGTATTACAATACCTAAATCAGATCGATTTAGTTAACGTCTGTTTGGTCAATAGAGAATTGTGTTACTTAGCAAGACGAAAACTTTATCGATCCATCTTCGTTGTGATTCTTGGTCCTCCGATTGAAATCAAAATGAATGTGTACAATTACTTCTACACCAATTATACTATCATGAATCGTGCTGATTATAGAATGGACCATTTATTAAAGAATCCAAACTTGCAGTTTTGTCAATTAATAAGATTTAATTTCATCAAACCCGTATTCTGCCAACGTGTTCAAAGACTATATCCTCGAATTAGAATGCACGTAGATGTTCAAATCAACTGGTGGGTGCCTCTGATTCCATTGAGTATGATATCATACTATTCTGAGCTAAACCTATATGAGCTTGTAGCAATGAAAAACACCAGTTTCATGTTACCACTGGTGAGGAAAATCAGGGTAGATAAATATACATATGACTACGTGACTTCAAGTTTAGTGGCAAGGTTAACAAACTTAAGGCTAGTGGCCATTTATAGTTGTAAAGATGTATTAGCAAGGTTGGAGTCAATTAAATTAATTACGGTCAAGGAGGTAGAGATTCACAATTGCATTACCCGACCAGATGCGTTATTTTCATCTATTGCAAAAACTTTTAGCTTGAAGCTATTAACCAAGTTTTACATTGGATTCTGGAAATTTGAATTCAATCCTCCATCATTAGAAGATGAATTGGCGGAATTTTGTTCGCAATTGATTAACTTGGAGCAAATATATCTTATTGTACTGAACATTGATTTTGCACGAATTATTCGTAACATCAAGCCAAATTCGTTAACGACAATATATATCAAGTCGATTGCACAACGAACTAGAGGTTCTCCATTGTCGATGCAGGATATTTTGAAAACCCAAGAACGTACCATAAGAAGAGTGTATTTATCTAATAATAAATTTGGATGGGAGAGAAGAATACCATTTCGAATGCGAGAGTTTGAATGGGAGAAGAAGCAACCATTTGGAACTGAAGAATTTGATCGGATATACTCTCCTCCTACAAAGTATACAACAAAAGATATGACAGCCGAAATAGAAAACATCAGAATGCTTTTAGATAATGGAAAGAGATATCCCTGTTTGAAACAGGTATTATTGAATCAGAAGTATTATATTATCGAGCGACCAGAACCAAATGTTATTAGCATTCGGAGTTGCACTAATATTGGATGAAGAGTATGGATGGTACTGTTCATCAAGTTAAAAACAAGACTAATGGAAGTTTGCATTGGTACTTTGATAGTATTCATGTTAGGCCAATTCTTGGAATGTACAATTGTATAGCTTCCGATATATAATTTATACAATTATTGATCAACGTAAAGTACTTACGTTATAATATATCTCAAGATAGTACCTTTTTTTTGGTGTAATCCCTATTAGCAAGAAAGTCTTACAGTGTAATCAGCAACGAGAAGGAGTCTAGAAACAAACAAAATCTGAAGTAATTGCAAATCAAAGTTTATAACTTGGTTCAAATTAACAAGATATTCATTTACTCTAGATAAATAGAAAGAACAATAATAAATAGAAAGATTAATTATATATATAAGCAACCGCCATAGCCAACAACTTAGCAACTCAACTCGGAACTTACTATCCCTTGATAGCAGTGACAATAGCATAGAACACAGTTGTGCATAAGCCAAGTGCAACAACACCTGGTTTGATCGTATTCCCTAGTCGAACCATGTTTTCAAGGCCTTTGCACAATTTAGGATGTTTGGTGTTGGAATTGTCAGATTCCTCTTCATTATTCACCACCACACCGACATCTTTCATCCCAGGCTGGAGATTGTTTGGTCCTTGCACGTAATTTTGATTTAAGATTCCAATTAGGTTGCCCAGACCATCATAAACCAAAGGATCAATACAACAGGGAGAACTTCCTGCCAAAATTAAGTGATCAGAAGGAATCAAATGGTAATAACCAAGATAGTTACCGTCTTTGTTAAATACAGACTTAAGCTCGATATTCTGACCAGACATGATTAGTTCGTTGGAGTTTGTTGTTGAATATGGATGAATGTTTTGCAACACTTTTTTTTTTGTAAACGCCATGTAGAAAAATCAAATTTATACTAACGCGGCTTGGAAGGAAAAGTTTACAACCAAAACTTACAACCAAAAATGAACATTTCATACATAGAAGTTCAAACTGCTATATCTGAACAAAACCATCTCTTGAATCATTCTCATTCGTCTGCAAACTTAGTCATCATTCAATAGTTCACCTAACATTTGTAGCAGTCTCACATGTGTCGAGCAGCGGAATTGAACAGGAGATAATACGTTAGATGCCTCCTCCGAGTAGAAAACCATGGCTATTAAACTTTGTGCAAATTCAAGCAGTCAAACAAGTAAAGGATGCTTATAGAACTATGTGTTTATTTACTTGCTTATTTACTTGTTTGCTTGTTTTATATATTCTTCATGTATGGACTTGGCAAGATCTAAGTCAAGTTCAGTGATATGATTACCAACATCATGTGTTGTAATTTCTAAATCTATTTTGTTATATGTGGTAATTATTGTAGGATGATGTCGAGCTTTAGCAGCTTGTTGTGCGATACTGTTTAGAAATGTCCAAGTTGATTTGAATGTAGATAATTGATAGTGAACAGATAGTAATTGGGAATTAGAACGGGTAATTAGTTGCCATTGTGGAGCACCTGGTTTGTTAATTGATACTAAACTTTGGTGAATCAATTGGTCTGCTATTTTTACTAATGGTTTGTGGGCCATACTGATAATTAGTAGTATATTTTGTAGTAGTTTTACGGAAACTTGAAAAATAAATTTGGCTGGGTATAATGGCGGGATAGGTGTAGGTACAACTGACATTTTTTTTTTTGAGAATATGTGCGTGCCTTGTTCAATTGATGCTTTACTTAACGTATACTTGTTAAAAGTAGATTTACTATACATTTGGTAGCATTTAATGTTCTACTATAGAAAACAATTTATACAACTCACCTCACTTTCTAAATTGTATTTCTAGTATCTAAAAGGGGGGGGATCTCCCTTATATTTATATTAGAGTCTGAACCATATGATCACACGGAAATATCATAAGTGAAAATTGCTGATTTGACCAGAGTTCGATTTCTATAACTTTCTATTACACGAAAAAAAAATATTTTTCGCATTCTCGCCTGAAATCAAACATTTTCTGAGGACAAACATGGATGCCTATTTGTATCTCTTTTAATGACGAATAGGTTCTACTTAATTGGCTTTTGAAGTTAGTTTGTTATCGATGACATCAGATACCAACAGGTATTTCTGGAATGAAACAAATGAACTATTAGACCAGTGATTAGTGTGTTGTTATATCATGGAATTTAATAGTCGTTTGATAGGTAGAATATTCTAGACACCAGAAGCAATTCATGTTAAAGTTGTTGGATTACCAGCAAGCGAAAGTTATACTGTTTAGGGATCAATAGATGTGTCATGATTATTTTATTAAGAGGATATAAAATTGACTGTATGGTTTCTGATATTTAAGAAATCCAGATCTTTGTTATACGTAGGAAGAAAGTATCGGACTTAGGACATAGTTGTATCAAATTACCACCATTACTTTCTGCATATACATGAACATAATGTGGAATATATTCCCCCCTACTCATACTATTCTAAATATTTGGAGGATTTTTAATACCTACTCTTGGCATCTTCCTGTTGGAAGTACTACCTTCAATATTATCATAGTAACCAAAAGCGGTAGCTGACCATCAAGAAGTTCCAAGAAATCAATATGTATGAATTGGAGAAGAATTTATCAAAGTACGACAGAATTATGCAGCTAGGATCCATTCCAGTGGTGATAATTATCACTAATATTTTGTCACGGTCATATCTCTAAGTACTGTTGCAATCTAGTTGGTTTTGTTTGAATTATATTCCTGTATATTGTATTGAATCTTCGCAGCAAAAGACTTAATTAAACCATTAACTTTCATGCTCTACTTACTGAATAAGGAAACCAAATAATATGCAAATTGTTTGAGGCTCTATCGAAAAAGGGTCATTGAATATGCAAATAACTACTACATGTAAGACATGTAATTTTAACAATTCCTTGCTATTTTCTTTATTTTTCTTCTTTCTTACGGTGTTTTCTTTTAGTTAATGTCTCAAAACTGGTTGCACTTAGAATTTGCCGCATTTCAATTTTTGTTGCAAAGAAGCAAGATACAGATGGTAGAAGAATACGCAGATTATCTGGTGGTCATGACTGACTAAATCTCTGCTTGGCAAATATTCATATAGGACGTAGTTACCTCGGATATATGTTCCCCAATCACAATACGTAGTCTATTTATGGTTGCAATCTCGACCAAGTTTGCAAAATGTTGCAATTTCAATTCGTTGAAAGGGTAACTGAGAATGTAGAGATTTGGACCACGTTCAATTTCTTACGCTAAGGGATGAATTCAAGATTTATATCTCACAAAAGTTCTCGATATTTGCTCTTTTTGTTCTCCATCAGAATATTTTCAAATAATAAAGGTCAATTATTAACTCGTATGTCAAGTATCAGCAGAAATAGCGGAGTTCGTTCTTTGGATAAAATGGAAAAGGAGATAGGGACAGATGCTTATTATCCGTTAGTTGAATCAAAATGGCAAAAAACGCAACGTTATGCAAAATCTGCGTTGGTTTTTTATAATGCATTCGTTCAGTTTTTTTTCAAAACATTCTTGTTGGCTCTTGTTATTGCCATCATTGTGATTTTTGCAAAAGCAATATTGAGTAATTGAAAGTTAGGGAAGATATTCTTGAAGGAATTTTACAATTTATAGGAGTTATATTCAATACTCAGAGTTTATATTAACCCATACACGATAGAAATGCCACCAAAATGTTTTATTTGTATTTGATACATATATATATTGAAGAATAAATAGATGGATAGAGATTAATAGGGAAAATAAAAAGTTTCACTATTTATGACAGAAAAAGGTACCAGTCTGAAGTATCTGTTTGCTTTGGAATTATATTTAAACTTCGGGTTTGTTTCTTACTGGAACAGTTTCAAACTTTGAGTGTTTTCGGCCTAGCTTCTATTATAGAAATGGCTATTATTATATATTGCTTCGAATCTCCCAACGAAATACCAATACTAATCAGTTACCAATGGGTAAACACAAGGATATTTCTCTACTCCTATTCAAAAAATACTAATGTGTTGTATTTCGGTTATCATATGTATTCTGATCATAGGGATATATTCGGTTAAATATTTTTTTTTTGTAGATAACGATAGACTATTTGGTATTTTCACCTCCTAAACAGACAAATTAACCAATTTCAATTAAATACTGGCACATATCTACCTATTTTGTAACATCATTGAAGTAAGCTTTGGTTAACAAATGGGGATTGATATTAAGTACTTTCTCAAAACCAATGTTGGAATAATTATCAAGTGAAACAAAAGTTCAGAAATTGTGTAAATAAAAGTCATATTCTCAAATTCCAACATAAAGAAATCTTAAATGACCAACCAATATTATTTTGTGATAGATGTTAAATGTTCCAAGCCAAAACGTATTTGTAATGGATAGGAATGGTTCTAGTGGAAAAATAGAGAATTTGCGAACCTTTGAATTGTTGACTGCTCTTAGTTTAATTGATTCCAACTTATTTAATACAACTTCACAGTTGTAACTAGTAAATTAATTTAAGTTTAGAAACCTTGCTAATAAAGTCAAATTCAGTTTGAGGTAGGAACATTTACCTATTATCAATATCTTTGCCTGTGGAAGACATGGTATTCAAATTTTCAATTGCCGCAAACTGAAATATGCCTAAATTAGAAAAATAAGGGAACATTCTTAATTGAATCTGTGGTATCCAGTAATCACATTGCAACTAAATTTTTTATGTAAGCAAGCAAGTCTTATCAGTTGACAAAACTGCATATTTGGGTTCCTGACTAAACTTTCATTTCTCTGATTGACATTATTCATGATAGTGAAGTTGGTGTAAAAAGGATTATACACACAATCATATTGATTTCAATTCCTATTCTATGCGTAAGGAAGATGGAGCTATAAAGTTTGAGGTTTGCTAACACAATACTCTATTAACCAAACAGACGTTAACTAAATCGATCTGATTTAGGTATTGTAATACTTCAAAAATACACTCATATGGCATAGATAAAATCGATCTATTTTCATCGTTCTTGATTGGAAAAATTGTACCGTTCACATCTACATGATTATGTTCCTTATGTTCTGTTCGTTGGAAACTCATTATCACCACAAAAAGTAGGAAATATTGTATACCAAATATTGAATATAGTCCTTAAACCAAGACGATCAACTTGTATCAACTTCCCATTTCAAAGTTAAATTGTATAACTTTCTAGTTGAAGATTTCATGGAAGCTTGTAGCAAATAGGAAAGAATAGAGCTGACACAGTTTCCCAAATCCTAACCACCCGTATGCACCATGATAAAAGCGTAAGAACAGCGACACTTTTCACTACTTGTGCACGACCCTCACATCTTGTTTGATTTTTTAGATGTGAATGAGAAAAAATTCGCCTCGGTTTCTGTTTGAGTTTTAGATGAAATTAAGAAACAGATTTTGTTGTAGAGAAAAATACTCGTTACCATGAGCTCTAAGGAGTTAGAGACAACATAAGGAATGAAATTTTATACAATGGTATGATATACAAATTAATTTCAATATCAGGGATTTTCCCTTATATACCAAGAGTATATTTTATGAAGTGAGTGAATTTATATATTGTTTATTATAGTGGGACCTTCGACGCTACCAAGTAATTAGTAAACCTAAACGTTAAGAACTGTTACGCTAGACCGTGCACCAATGGAGTAAGACACACGGTTTTCCCCTTACTCGATTACTTTCTTGCTAATAGGGATTACACCAAAAAAAAGGTACTATCTTGAGATATATTATAACGTAAGTACTTTACGTTGATCAATAATTGTATAAATTATATATCGGAAGCTATACAATTGTACATTCCAAGAATTGGCCTAACATGAATACTATCAAAGTACCAATGCAAACTTCCATTAGTCTTGTTTTTAACTTGATGAACAGTACCATCCATACTCTTCATCCAATATTAGTGCAACTCCGAATGCTAATAACATTTGGTTCTGGTCGCTCGATAATATAATACTTCTGATTCAATAATACCTGTTTCAAACAGGGATATCTCTTTCCATTATCTAAAAGCATTCTGATGTTTTCTATTTCGGCTGTCATATCTTTTGTTGTATACTTTGTAGGAGGAGAGTATATCCGATCAAATTCTTCAGTTCCAAATGGTTGCCTCTTCTCCCATTCAAACTCTCGCATTGCAAATGGTATTCTTCTCTCCCATCCAAATTTATTATTAGATAAATACACTCTTCTTATGGTACGTTCTTGGGTTTTCAAAATATCCTGCATCGATAATGGAGAACCTCTAGTTCGTTGTGCAATCGACTTGATATATATTGTCGTTAACGAATTTGGCTTGATGTTACGAATAATTCGTGCAAAAATCAATGTTCAGTACAATAAGATATATTTGCTCCAAGTTAATCAATTGCGAACAAAATTCCGCCAATTCATCTTCTAATGATGGAGGATTGAATTCAAATTTCCAGAATCCAATGTAAAACTTGGTTAATAGCTTCAAGCTAAAAGTTTTTGCAATAGATGAAAATAATACATCTGGTCGGGTAATGCAATTGTGAATCTCTACCTCCTTGACCGTAATTAATTTAATTGACTCCAACCTTGCTAATACATCTTTACAACTATAAATGGCCACTAGCCTTAAGTTTGTTAACCTTGCCACTAAACTTGAAGTCACGTAGTCATATGTATATTTATCTACCCTGATTTTCCTCACCAGTGGTAACATGAAACTGGTGTTTTTCATTGCTACAAGCTCATATAGGTTTAGCTCAGAATAGTATGATATCATACTCAATGGAATCAGAGGCACCCAGCAGTTGATTTGAACATCTACGTGCATTCTAATTCGAGGATATAGTCTTTGAACACGTTGGTAGAATTCGGGCTTGATGAAATTAAATCTTATTAATTGACAAAACCGCAAGTTTGGATTCTTTAATAAATGGTCCATTCTATAATCAGCACGATTCATGATAGTATAATTGGTGTAGAAGTAATTATACACATTCATTTTGATTTCAATCGGAGGACCAAGAATCACAACGAAGATGGATCGATAAAGTTTTCGTCTTGCTAAGTAATACAATTCTCTATTAACCAAACAGACGTTAACTAAATCGATCTGATTTAGGTATTGTAATACTTCAAAAATGCAATCATATGGCATAGATAAAATCGATCTATTTTCATCGTTCTTGATTGGAAAAATTGTACCGTTCACATCTACATGATTATGTTCCTTATCTTCTGTTCGTTGGGAACTCATTATCATCACAAAAAGTAGGAAATATTGTATACCAAATATTGAATACAGTCCTTAAACCATGTTGATCAACTTGTATCAACGTCCCATTTCCAAGCTAAACTGTATAACTTTCTAGTTGAAGATTTCATGGAAGCTTGTAGCAAATAGGAAAGAATAGAGCTGACACAGTTTCCCAAATCCTAACCACCCGTATGCACCATGATAAAAGCGTAAGAACATCGACACTTTTCACTACTTGTGCATGACCCCTCATATTTTAATTGAGAAACAGGAATTTTGTGCGTGTCCTACTCAATTGGTATTTGGTGTAGCGTTACGGTTGTCAGCATTTGGGTTTATTAATTACTTGGTAGCGTCGATGCACCCACTATTACAAACACTATAAATTCAGTCATTTCCAAAAATATACTCTTGGAATAAAAAGGGAAAACTACCTAATATTTATATTAATCTCTGCATCGTACTATCACATTTAATTCCATTTAATTTATAGATAGTTTCTCATTGATCAGATACCTACAATGATGGGTATTCTGTTTTAGACTGGGGCCAATTTTTCTCATTCTCATCTAAAAACCAAACATATTTCAAGCACCCAAGAAAAACAAAAAAGAAATTGAGTAGTCTACAGCATTACCATGTTACCGAAAGTGCAAGCTACTCGCATAATTTGTAACTAGGGTTGGGCTAAAGTACATAAATAATGACAATAGTGCTTTAATGTTTTGGTGAAGGTCTTGAAGTAATGAGTTTACCTGATAGTTCGAGGCACAAATGGTTAAGTTCATCCAGAATTTAGAAAATACTGTTTGGTAAGCTGGTTATTGGTGTTTCTATCAAAACTTTCGAACTACCGTGTTATGTTTAAATCTGAATTTACAAATATCGGACTTGAATATTATGATAAATCATAGTCAACTGTACGTTGAGTCATACATTACACTTTTTGGGAAGAAGAGCGATGAGTCTTTAACCAAGTGTGTAGGTCGGAGAACATCACTTTCTGGTCGGGCAAGACTAAATGTGACATCTTCTTGAGATGTGATAACTATTTGATGTCTTTGCTGGTAACGGCATGCATGGTCTTCTAAGTTTAATCTGAAAGTCAGGCAATTCTCTAGGCGAGTATTGAAGTGCAAGTGTGGTTCTATAATCAATTTGCAAAACTCATGATAAATAATTCTGAAATGAAATTGAGTATAACTTAGTTTCTAGGAGATATTTATCATATACCAGAAAGCAACTATTGTGATTTGAGTAAAGGATTGCTAAAATTGTTTGGATAACATGTTAAGACGACTATTTTATATTTCAAGGTTAGTTGGTTTTATTTACCTTACTGAACAATGTTGAATCAATTGTTATATAATTACTAAGTTTGCAGACGAATGAGAATGATTCAAGAGATGGTTTTGTTCAGATATAGCAGTTTGAACTTCTATGTATGAAATGTTCATTTTTGGTTGTAAATTTTGGTTGTAAACTTTTCCTTCCAAGCCGCGTTAGTATAAATTTGATTTTTCTACATGGCGTTTACAAAAAAAAGTGTTGCAAAACATTCATCCATATTCAACAACAAACTCCAACGAACTAATCATGTCGGCTCCAAAATCTATAGAATTGGGGGATGTAACCTATGATGACTCATCTGACAATATTGGTGTTCTTTATCAATTTGAAAGAATTAATGTGAATGTCGATGGTAATATTATGTATGAGTTGCGGAAATTCGGTTACGATGAAAATGTGAAAACGCATGGATTTCTTCACGACCAGAATGATAATCTTGTTGCGTTGGTATATGAACGCGTGTATCCTGGCTCAAATGAAGCCATAGTTGCTACTGGGGTCGCTGGAGCTTCTGGGGGCGCTGGAACTGTTGGAACTGTTGGAGCTGTTGGTACTGTTGGAACTGTTTCTGGTGGTCGGAAACATGATCGCATTTGGAAAGAGTTATGGGGCGTTTTCAAGCCTTGGATCGAAATTTCCATTATTAGTACTATCGTTGTTTGTGAAATCATAGTTTCGATTGACAAAATCAGAGGTAACTAGGTTTGTTGTTGCATTCGCTTACTTTATTAGCTATAATTATTGTTACATAATATCATTTTCTATTTATAATTGTGCTTAACTAATTAAATTTGTTGTAAAGCATTGGACATAGCCCTGAATGTAAATCTGATAAGCTCTTCTGTAATTTTTAAAGGAATGGAAACTGAGAAGTGCTCGTTAGAAAATTTGGGTTGTGTTGCCAAACATGTGTTACCTCGGTATTGAAAAGATCATACATGGATAACAATACAAATATGATTCTACAAAAGTGAATGGAACCTCTAGTTTAAATGATTTATAAATGGGTGGTAGTATAGTTGAGTTATTTAAAGACTGGTATGTAATTTTCCTGTTGTTGGTGGAATAATCTCCTCCATTCAAACTGAGAGGTTCTAAACTGTAGTGCATTACAAGTAATTACACAGAGAGCTAGTAGTGTATTTCCAAAGTAAATATAACACCAGTCAAGTCCATACATGAAAGATATCTAAATCAAGCAAATAAATGATTTATGGTATATCGATTCTATTTATTCTATATAGGTAATCGCTCTTGATGCTTGGCAATATTTATCACGAACTTCGATTGCTTCGTAAGTCCCTTCAAGACTTGCCGGTATGACTATTTCATTCTCCCAAATATCCTTGATAGTTTCCTTTTCAACTAATTTCTTTTGAGGTTTCTTGTTTAGCAATATTTCTACTGTTCGTATATATGTGACTTGAAATGGTGGAGTCCCTATAAATGTGAATATCAATTCTGTTTGATCCCCTTGATGTAAATCTTCAATTATGTAATCACCTTTGTTTATTTCCACAGTAGGTAAATCGTGAACTTCTAGTTCTAAGCTAGAATATTTATCTGAATTGAAGCTTACTTTACATTCACTGGCCCCAGAATCTTGTAATGATTGAATTGAAAGTTTTCCTGCTTTGCTTGATAATCTCCTGAACTCATAATACAGCTGGGTGGTCTTGACCTTGCTATTGAATTGATAGGTTATGGTGAAGGGTGGGATACCCGTCAAATTATACGACACGTGATCACCAATACAGTAATGATACCTGTTATCACTCTTGAAAATATCTGGAGTTTCTGTAATTGATATTATAAACTTGTCGTTGGCACTGAATTTTGTTTGTTCACACCCATTTCCATCAACAATCTTACTGAATCTTACTGAATAATCACCTAGTGAAAAGAACTGAGAGTTCAATAATTTCAAATATGGTTCATTTACACTCTTGAATTGAACACTTTGTTCCTTCCCAGTTTGCTCATTCTTTAAAATCATGTCAATATCAAATGGATATTCGCCAGATAATTCAACAGGTAAAGTAGCTATAACACCATTTTGCAACTTGTTTTCACAAATTTGAACTAATCTGTTGTCAAGTATAAATTTACCGTTTGGAAGTGAATTAACTTGGTATAAGATCTTAGGAATAGTTTTATCAACAGCTGTATTCCTTCTTGTATATAATGCATCAAAAACACGCATAAACTGATGTTCATAGATTCCACTTCTTCTGGTTGGTAAGTTGATCTTAATTTCGTCAGTTTCAATATTCATGGTATGGGATTCGACCTTTCCATTTGGTAACTTTATTTGGTAGTCCAATTCAAATGGAGCTTTTCCAGTAAGCTTCAAGGTAATTTCGTTAGAGCATCCAACGCAAATAGGTGTCAAATGAAGGGTATTATGGTCCCTATGTTGCTTAAGCTCATTGGCAACAATTTCAATGGATGGTTTAGGGTAGTATGATATTTCAATCGTCTTCTCCAGAGATATAATACCTGGGCATCCATTGTTTGAAAATGAACTTAAAGAATAGTTTCCTGCTTGTTTGACAATAATGGAATTTCCTCTCATTACAGCAGGAATAACCTTAGTTGAATCCCCAGAACTAAACTTGACTTCTATCTTATCATTTCCAGTTTGTCCAATTGATGATTTGAATTTGAGTGGAAGTCCCACTGAATCTCCTTCAGCAATTCGAATATTTTGCTTGATATTAGTAAATTCAAGTTCTGGTATATTTGGACGACTTATAATTCTTACTGACTTGTCATGAATTATTGCATCACATCCAAATTTGTCTTTTGCGTTCGATACTTTGACATCATAGCTCTTTCCTATTAGATTTTCTGGTGTGTTAATTGTAAAATCTTCCACATTGTTCACTTGTTTTGAATCAAGAACTTGGCTAGTTCCAACTTCTATAAACTGGTAAGTAAATGAAAAAGGACCATTACCTTTAAAGTATAAAGGAAGTGATGAGGTTTGTCCAAAACAAGTTGTCAACTTCCTGTTCTGAACCTGGAATCCTACTTGTGATGCCTGATTGAAATATGTCAGATAGGAATACTTTTTCTTGTCCAAAATAGTAGGAACTTGTTGATAATTTGCATCAGTAAGTTGATGGAAGATGATAGTATAACTTCCGGGATCATCTGGTTTAAATTTGAATGAGTACTTGTAATCATTAGATACTAAATTTCTTCTATTTTGGCCTAAAGCTCGGAGTGTTCCTGATTGATTATGATATACTTGGTATCCCACTCTAAAAGGTGGCTTTCCTGTAAAGTTGAAATCAAAATTGTATCCAATATTACCAAGACATTTATCATTCACTGAGCGTGCTGAAATATCTAACAGCGGAGGTAATGCTAATTTGACAGTTATTGGTTCAGCAATTATCTTGCAAGGACAGAAATTATCATGAGCACTGATTAATTTATACAAACCAGGCTGGTTTACTTTAAATCCCTTCTCTAATTCAATTCGAGAATTAAATGTGTGTGATAACTCGAACATATTGGAGCTGTTTGAAAACTGCGCTGTAACATCAATTGGGTAATCTTGAATTTGTTGAATATTGTCGAATTTCAAAAACAATTCTCCATTAACTAATAAATCCTGTACCATTGGTTTAAGTTTAAGGGTTGATGCTTGTTTAAGTTGTAATTTATACCAAACGTCTTTATCTTTAGATAATGGATTATATCTTTTCATATTACCGAATGAATCAGTAATATCAAGTAATTGGAATTCAATATTACTACTTCTTCTATTAGTTTTGAACAAGTCATTATACTTGGAAAGCTCCGCTTCTAATACATTCTTAGTTAATTGAATCGGTTTTAATGGTAAATCATGCTGGGATTCCAACGTTATATTTAGAGTTTTCACATCTGATCCATCTTGTTTGACATTAACTCTAACATAAGAAGGTATTGTTGATACACTATCCAACCAAGGGGCATCAAGCGAGATATCTTTTCCCATACATTTAACATTCTCCAAATTCGCTGGATAAAAGAATTTCACCAGGGGACAGTTTGTGATCATGAATTCAGATTTGTAAGTTCTAATATTATTACCCTTCTTGTCCAATACTTTTGCTATTCTATATTTTCCTGGTTCCGATATTGGATACTCTAAATAAAAAATGTTCTGATCCGGCTTGAACTGTTTATATTTCTGCAAATGGGAATAATCCTGTCTAAACATCTTTCTTAAAGAATTTCCAGTGTAATTGACATAGTTTACCTCATTATCGGCAGTTGTTTGTTGAATTTGCAAATAACCAATTCCAGAAGTAGTATTGAATTCAATGGGCATTGGAATAATACTGTTCGATTCAAGACACATTTTATCATAATGGAATGGGTTCATCTTGGCCGAGGAATCAGGTAAATAGTGAATGGTTAATTTACCTTTGAAGTGAGACTCGATATCTATCACTTTGTTTCTGTCGATAGACTCACCAACTATATTAAGCTCATTCTTTTGTAAGAAGAATTTCCAAATTGGCAAGAACAAGTTTGACACTAAAGGAAAACCAAATGAACTTATCATAAACCAGGAAATGGTATAGGCAACAAATGTAAACAACAATGTCTTTAATGGAGTAAAGGTTAAATATTGAATGTTGAGTACAGGTAATATCCACAAGAATAATCCATCAAGTATGATATATTTGAGCATAAATGAATAACTCGTTAATTGTGTTAATTGAGTGTCGACAAAGGTGTCGGATTTAATCAAGATTAAATCATATATTTTCCAACTTTGTATAAGAATGAATAATGATACAATGAATATTCTTTGTTGGGCTTGGTCTAATATATGTGTCGGTATTAATGGAGAATCTTCGTACTTATTGGAACGAAGTTCATCCAAGTAAATTACTTCGTCATCAGAGTCATCCATGGTCGGCTGATTCTTGAAGTGGTTGCTATTAAATCAATAAGAGATGAAGTAAACAAAAAAAAAAATTACTTGTCAAGTGAGGACTGCATATAGTCAAAGTTGTGGTGAGCGAAAAAAAAACAAAACAATCACCCCCCGCTAAGTTTTGCAGACAACATAACTGTACTAGTTTGTTCTTTCCAAGAGGGAGTGGGTGAGATAGGAACTATAGTATCTATCTTCAATACACCATTTTGAAAGTCAATTGCTGATTATAATCACTAATCTGAGTAAGCTATATCCATATCGCGTTATCTGTCCATTTAAAAGACTCAAATACTAATTCAGGTAAGCTTCAACCAATAATTTTTTACTAACCAGTGTACGTCTCTTTGTCACACGTAAACTTGATATTGGTTTTGGATGTTAAATTTTGTCACAATGCTCTTATATTTTATCTTTGGTCATCTGATTTAGTGATTGTTTTCAGGATATAAACACGATATTAATGAGCATGAACTAGTTGTATTATATGTGTTTGGTTGCAAATTGGAATATGGGTGTATGAATATATAAACAAAGCTGTTGAGAATTCCAAATGATTCACATTAATAAAAGCTATACATGCGTGTCACAGATATCATTCCCGTTTGTATCTGGTTTATGTTTTTTAATGTTGTGTTGGAATAGTTTCCGCATTTTATAATCACTGGGAATAATCATACTAAACTGTTGAGCAAACTTTGGAAATGTTATCCTACAGCAGAAAATATTTCAAGACGTTGTTGTCAATATAAATATTCCCTGCAGATGCTTGGTAACTAAATGAATAACGTATCTGATCAAACTTGATTCAATTCAACTCTACTTGATTGGCAATCCTGGTCGATAAAAGCTATGGCTTTTGGCATTTTATTTAAACTGGACTCTGCAAAAATTAGACTATTAAACTAATAGTATACTTTGATCAAAGTGTATCTTCTGCGAATTGGTATTTTAAAATGCCTGTTTCTTTGCTTTTGAAATGGAACCAGCTTAAACAGAACACTGTTTGCTTTCTTTACTTGGTCAAAAAAAACGAGGTCCCACAACACGGGTATGTTTTACTGGTTAATATAATTAAAGTGCAACAGATTAACCACTCAACAATTATGATAAGTCTGTTCAAGGAGTGGCTTATAATTATTTCTTAATTGACTCGGTAAGAATTATTCAATAAGTCGATATCTTATGAGAGAGACAGAATATGAATAAGATTTTTGTATACTTCAGTCTTCTATACACATGCTTGTCTATACATTTACCCAGGTACCTTTACGCTTTTCTTGTATGATTTTAATAGCAGGTAAGTCCCATCCAATACCACCACTACCGATAGCCGCACCAAACCTAGGAACAACATAGCATTCTCGTTTAGTTGGAGTTATGTTCTTAGGACCATATGGGTTACCTAATGGTTTTGAATAACTTATTAACTTGGAGTTTTTAGCAATGTTGGTTAATTGCTTTCCAGTTATGTCTACCAAAGGTTTCATTCTAACTTTAGGATTTTCATCTTCAGATACTTGAGATTTTGTTGTCAATGCCTGATAAACCAAGTATGATGGTGGTAATTCACCACGCTTGTTAATTATTGAATTTGGATGGATATATACAAAGGGACCTTGACTGATTCGCAATACCGGACAATAAGGAATGTTTATAATATTCATCTTATTGGTAATCTTCACTTCTGAACTTGCTAAATCCCCCCTAATAGAAATTTGATCAATGAAACCAGAAGCGATCATTTGCTTAATTGCAGATACTTGTTTTTTAGAAGGTACTGCCAACTTGTCTGAATTGGTGATTACGCCAGTGGTCGAGGTTTCTACTAAATGTTGTACTTGTTTTCTCAACTTCTGAATTTCTTCCACAATTTTAAATCTGAGGAAGTTAGATTGTACGAATTGGTCAACGTTATCCTTTGCAACGTGATCGAATGCACATACAACAGACAATAACATCAAACAATCACTTGCAGAATCTAATCTAGAAAACAAGGATCTTGATTTGTTAAACTTTGACTTTAAATCTCTAACTTGATCTTCTGTCTTGTTGGTAAACAACTCTTGCTCAGTTAAAAATGGATCACCAACCGATAATGCAGATACAATAGCAATGATATATTCCAAACATCCTTGTTGATTTCCAATGATTAAAATCTTGCTGAATCTTGGACTCAATGGGAATAAAGACATTTTCCTACCAAGGTCAGTAATACGTTTATCTTTATCAAGAGCTCCAAGAATAACCAACAATTCCTCGGCTTGTTTCAATGAAGATCTATCTGGAGGAGTGGGGAATGGGAAATTAGTAATCTGGTCAATTCCCATGGATTTCATATTCAAGACAATACTTTCAAATGGCATACGTAATATCTCAGGAACACTAAATTGGTTAAAGAATTCTTCAAATACTGCCGATGAGTATAATCTATAACAATGACCTGGTCCTGTTCTACCAGCTCTACCTGATCTTTGATCTGCTGAAGCTTTTGATACCCAATCAATTTCAAATGATTGAACTCCTGTTTCTTGATTATATTTTCTTTCCTTAGAACGTCCACAATCGATAACATATTTGATTCCTGGAATAGTTAATGAGGTTTCAGCAACGTTGGTGGATACTATACAGAGTCTGCTTCCCTTTGGTGGAGTATCAAATACTTTCATTTGTTGCTTAGTAGGAAGTAAAGAATATAATGGTAACACATACAATGGACCAAGTTCTTCTTTCTCTTCTGCTTCTTCAAACCCCTCTTCTTCTTCTGAATCAGAACCTGATTCTTCATAGTCGTCATAGTTCTCATCCTTTACTTCAACACTGAATTCTACATCTTCAACTTCATGTTGAACATTTTCTGATAATCTAACTTCAACTTCTTCATCATATTGTTTCTTTTTAATAGGGAACTCTTGTCTCAATCGTTTAACCAAGGTGTTGATCTCAGCTTGACCAGTTAAGAAAATCAATATTCCTCCTTCAGGAAGTTTCTTATGAATCTTACAAGCTTTGTTAAATGCCTCCTCGAGATAATCATAATTTGTCTTCTTGTTGAAATGGACCGATACGGGATATTGTCTGGCTTGTACATTGATTATAGGAGGTGCTTGTTTGAATAATGCTGAATTTTCTGAAAAGTCAGATACTCTTAATGTAGCTGACATGATCACCAACTTCAAAGGTTTATACTTGGAATCTTCACTATGGTACTTTCTCCTTAATTTCACAACTCTGGTTAACATACCAATCAAGATATCAGTATTGATATTTCTTTCATGCGCTTCATCGATGATAATACATGAATATTTCGTAAGTAAAAAGTCACTCATCATTTCACGAAGCAAAACACCATCCGTCATGAATTTCAATGCTGTACCATTCTCAGTACCTTCATTCTTAATAGTACTGTCAAATCTAATCTGATGCCCTACTCTATGACCATGATTTCCTAATTCATTAGAAACACGCTGGGCCATGGATACAGCAGCAACTCTTCTAGGTTGGGTAACACCAATCATACCTGGGTACAAATCATTGTTTAAACTTCCAAACCCTGATTCATAAAGGAATTGTGGGAGTTGGGTGGTTTTACCGGACCCGGTTTCACCACAGATAATTACACAATCATGGTGATAGATTGCTTCCATGATTCTATGTTCTTCGGCAAAAACTGGAAGTTGCATTCTTTGCTGTTGGATAGAATCATCTCTATCGATTTCAACAAAGAAAGCCTTACGATCAAGTTTAGTGTTTATAGGGATGAAATCTTCAGGATCGGAAGCAAGGTCTTCGTCACGAATGGTTTGTTTGGCATATTGCGCTTTAATTTCTTCTGAGACTTGTGGAGTGGCTGTAAGGTCATTATCTCTTCCTTCAAGGGTTCTGATTTGTTGTTCGGCCCATTGTTTGAATGTTTTTGCAATACTTGAATGTTTTGGTTTACTAGCCATTAATTTTGATTGCTCTTCTTCCTCTTCTTCCTCACTTTCTTCTTCGGATTCCTCCAGAGAATTTTCTTCCTCTTCTCCACTCGCATCATCTGCTTCCTCGTCTTCCTCTTGATCTTCGTCTTCTTCCTCACTTACTTCTTCGGATTCCTCTTCAGATTCCTCTTCAGATTCCTCTTCTTCAGAAGAGCTAGCAAAATCTTGTTCATCCTCTAATTTCAACTTCTTTTTCTCTTCCTGTTCAACCTTTTTCCTCCAACTATACTTCTTCTTTGATGCTTCTTTCTTGATGACAGGTATATTATTAAACCCAAATCCTGTTCCAAACCCACCAATTGGTCTATTATCAACAAATGTAGACTTGACTTGTTCTTCTTCCGGTTCGTCATCGTCAAAATCTTCCACCTCGGATTCCTCCTTGTTGACTCCAAAAGTTGCTCTCAATTCATCATCACTCATCTCGTCATAATCTTTAACTTCACGTTCTTCATACAAAATCTCTTTAGTCCTCTCATCACCTCTTCCTTGTTGTTCCAATTCTAAAGCTTCAATCATCTCTTCACGTTTAGTGAGTTTTCCTTTACCCAACTCTTTCAACCCCGACAATTTAGAAGTATCTATTTTAGTATGGGAAAGTTTTTCAAGAAGGATTTTCTTTTCTTCACGCTTTAGTTGATGTTCAATATACTTGTCAAGCCTTTTCTTTTTAGATCTCGAGAGCTTTGATTCTTGTGCATTTTCATGGTATAATGTTTCTTCAAGGACTCGTTTACGTTCAAGTTTTTCTTCTTCCGTCACAGGTTTCAATATTTCTGTGTTGGAATCTTCATTATTGAATATGGTGGTGGCATCGGTGGTTGTCTCTGATGGTTCCTGTTCCTGATCCGGTTCTTGTTCTCGATAATACAGTTTGTTTCTGGCTTTCTTTAATGCTGCCTGTTTGGCAAGCATACCTGCTCTCGCCTTCTCATTGAATCTTTTCCTGTATTTACCCATGATTAAGTTGACTCCAATGTAACCATAGCTCTAGTATAAAAATCAATTGCAAAAACATATTTTCAATAAGGCGATGGGATGAACTGAGAAAAGTTGGTCACATGAATTGCATCACATGATCAATGGTCATGTGATGCAATGTCACATGACAAGTATTTTGATTTTCTGTCTCTCTCCCCCGGCATATATGGGGAGTGGCAGAATAACCGATGGTAACAGTATGTTACAAATAGACTAGTGGCAATGAGTCATTCAGATCTATATAAACATGGTAAGTATAAGTGAAACAAGCTTGATCAAGTTCAAAGTATTAACACTCTTAGTCATTCATGTTACATTAACTGTTAATTCAACTACATTATATACATACGAGAATCATCAACTAATTCCCTTGTTAAACAACCTCAACTGTTCTGAACTAATCAGCCAAGAATTAGGGTTGATTAACTCACTGAAGACCCTTATTGGGTCAGTTCCATTGTCAGCTAGTTCAAATTACAAGCTCGTGTTGTATTTCATAAAGAAAGTCATTGCTAATTCTGATGGTAGCCGAGATTTAATTACGGTGGTGGTCATATGTCACTATAGCATGAACAAAACATTAGTGTTGAATATCTTGAAAACTATCATGGATAAGTATATTGAGTTTAGAAAAAGAATAGAAGAGGAACTGTCAGGTAAGAATGATAAGTTGAAACTTGGCGAGTTCAAACTTTATATGAATCAGATTATAAAGTATGAGGAAATGAATTATGAATCCAATCAAAACTTGTATAATTACGGAAGCACCGAGGAGACAATAAACCCAAACCAGTTACTCCTTGTTAACGAAGAAGTTGATGAAGTTAGGCAGTTGATGCTTGATAATATCAACAAATTGTTGAGTCGTGGTGACAAGATTAACCTTCTTGTAGATCAAACAGATAGGTTAAATACAAGCTCGCTGATGTTTCAAAGAAAAGCACAACAAATTAAACGAAAGATGTGGATAAACAAAGCCAAATTTATCTTGATGTTGATTGGGGGGATAATCCTCTTGGTTTACTTGGTTATTGGAAGTCAATGTGGGTTTCCTTTCTTTGGACTGTGTAGACACAATCCTTAACGTAAAAGTATAATATATACTCATGTCTAACTTAATATACTACATCGATTCATGGAAACTAGTTCTATTCTACATCACTATGCTCTTCTTCTTCTTCTTCTTCTTCTTCAACTTCATCGGTTGACTCGTGTGATTCTCCTTGAAGTTCTGCTTCTTCTTTTGATAACAACTCAATTGGATTACCAGTAGCGTCGTCGTCTTCTTCGTCTTCTTCAACTTCGTCAACATCGTCTTCTACCTTTTCATCTGGTAGCTCTTCGTCTTCTATTATTTCCTCGTCAACGTCATCGTCGGACTCAGCTTCAGTAGGAGCAGTAACACCTTCATCGACTTTAATCTTCTTGGCGCTTGGTTCGTCTGTGTCCTTCAGGGCAGATTTGTCTGCTCGTTGTTGTTTCTTGACGCTCAACATTTCCTCATAATTGGCGAGTCTGGTCTTAATTTCAGGTATAAACCCACTGAACTCGGCTCGTTCAACAGCAGCCAACATATCCTGGGAAGACACAGTCTTTCTTCCATTTTGTTTTGATATAGCTCTAGCATGAAATAACAAATGCGATACGAAAACAGTAGCACTTCTTTGTAGAGCCAACGAGGAGTCCTTGGCCAATAACATGTTATCATCAGCAATCATGGTTTTAGCCAATTTCTGTATAGTTGATTTAGGGAAAAGAATCTCATCGATGGATATCAACTCAGTATCCTTGTTAGGTTGTGGATACTGACCCTCTGCATTCTTTCTCCATCCCTTTGGTGGCATTGTGGCTATACTTGGTTGGTGATAGTGATAAAGTACGCGTTAATTTTCAGTTTTAATTCTTTTTTTTTTTTTTTTTTTTAGTTTTTAGTTTTAACTTCTAGAGAACATGCTTCATTAATGGTGCAACGACAAAGCAAAGACAAGAAAGATACATCGTATTATGGCCTCCTTCAGCATCCTAACATTGACAAGGTAACATTTGGTAACTATCAGTTTAATACCTGGTATGGAAATGCAGCTTACTTTAGTAAAAATGATCATACCATGTTAGGATACCAATATAGTAATAAACTAGCCACTGATCCAACCCTACGGAAACGGAAATTGGAAGATGCGAATGATGTGTGGTTGGACAATTTGTATGTTTGTGAATATTGCTTCAAGTACACTGATGTTGAACAGGAAATTAATGCGCACCTGGTTGTATGTTCATACAAGAAGACACGACCTACTGTGGGAAGACTAGTGTATTACGATGACAAGTATATCATACGAGAAGTACGTGGGTTTCAAGATAGACTATTTTGCCAAAACTTGTGTCTATTTGCAAAGTTATTTCTTGTGGATAAGTCAATTTACTACAACATCGATTACTTCAACTTTTACATAATATACGGGTATGACAGTGGTACATACAAACCGATGGGGTTTTTCTCCAAGGAAGTACTAAGCTATGACAATGATAACAATCTAGCATGTATTTGTATATTCCCACCATATCAGCGGTTAAGACTCGGCTCTATGATGATTGAGTTTTCATATGAGTTGGCAAAGCTAACACCGGGGCAATTAACTAGTGGACCTGAATATCCATTATCACCATACGGAAAAATAAGTTATCTACGATATTGGTCGAAAAAGTTGGCACGAATACTACATGGCTTAACTGATAACGACTCAATTACTATTAACCAACTTTCTAAACAAACGGGGTTCAGAAAAGAAGACGTCTTGTTCACATTGGAGTACATGAAATTGATACAGTATAATCCACGAGGAGATACAAAACTATCGCTAGCAAATCTAAACGACTGGTGCTTGAAAAACAACTTTGATCCAAGCAAAGAACTCAAAATGATAAATCGTAATTGTTTGGCTATATAAATCTATCTAGCAATTAACGTAATTGCAGAAATGCTCCAAGTAGTACTGAAGAACTCTGTTCTTGTCGACTCTTTTCAAAAACATTCCAAAATCGTAACGTTTCATCTCCAGCTCCGGTAACTATAGTTTCTCCGTCGGGTGATAATGATAAATATAATACCCGATATGTATGTCCAGTTAATTGGGCAATTTGTTGCATGGAAGGGTATTTCCATACAATTATTTGATTACGAGAATACCCATGGGTTGATACAAGTTCATTGGAATTCTTGGACCAAATCAAATTACAAACTTGTGAACCAGTATTGACATCATTAACTAAGTTCCCCGTGAGAGTGTTCCAGATCTTAATTGTCTTATCGGCAGTACCACCTCCCGACGCAAGTATGCCTCGTTGATGAGGTGACCAGGCAATAGCCTTGACAGCGGCAGTGTGATCAGTGAAATGATACAAAGGCGTGGGATTCAATCCATCCCACACAAATAAATTATTATCATTACCACCACTAGCCAATTTATTCTCTTCGACATTCCACTTCAATCCACAAACTTCTTGTTTATGCAGTTCAAACTTATTAACATAATGATCCTCTATACGAACATCACGGTTTAAAATACTCCGGTCTCGACTACCACTCGACAATATATGCTCATTCCATGCTAATGAACTGACTCGAAGTGAATGTCCACTCATGGTCCTAATACACTTAATCTTGGTGGCATCCCAAATCTCAACCATCCCTTTCAAAGTCCCGATTGCTAAATGAGTACCTGACCCAATCCAATTCAAACTGGTGACTTTATCCTTGTTCAAATTGCATAATCGATCCACTGATTGAGTTGATCCATCCCATAGATATACGGAATCACCCAACCCCACAGCTAATATATCTTGAGCACCCCAGTCAACAAGGTTTAGATAGAAATCATCCAGCAATTCAGGAGCATCAAGGACACGATACGGTACTTTTGAAATCGTTCTTGGCTTCTTTTGGGGAGACAACAAGATTTTCTGAGTATCATGCCGTACTGGGGATAATGAATACAACTCTTGTTGCAAATCTCGAGAAATTGGTCGTGACTTTTGTGGGGATTGGTAGGTGAATAAATTGACTTTACGTCGAGGTGTACTTGTTACGTCATCTGTGTCAGCAGCAGTACCAGAGGCAGCTCCGGCCCCTACATTTGGAGTTGAACTTGCACTGGCACTTGATCTTGGTGGTGTACCTGTGTTACTTGTAGATGGAGATTCTCGGGTATTATTTGTGTTATTCGGCCTTCCCTTTACACCTCTGCCATTTAATAAACTACTGCTAACCACATTATCGCCAAACAACTCGGCTTTTAAAACTGTGGTAAACGTCCTATTTGCCTCTTCTTCTTTTCTAATTTCAATTTCATTGTCAATGTTTTTATTGGTCCCTGGTATTATTTCATCGTTGGTCAAACTAAATGCCGTTTGAAGATCGATACCTGTCCGGTTGGGTATATATCGATCGCTAAAGATATTATTTTGCATTCTCCTTCTTGGAGAGGTGGCAGTTGTCGGTAATCCCGCTTCCAACCTTGGTGGATCCAGTATTCTCGTTGAACGAGATGGTGATTGTGGCGTCTCATATCCAAATGATTTGTTGGTATTGCCATTCCGCAGCAGCAGCAGCAGCAGCAGCAGCACACCATGGGGATTAATGTTCTGGCTCATTTAAAAAGAAGAAAAAAAAAAAGAAACGAAGGTATTCAAAACGAATGGGGCGGGTATATACTGCTTATGTGAACAGCAAAAAAATGTATAGCAAAGGGGTGATCCTGGGGTTTCTTTGATTGATGTGGTGATAAAGGGTGATGGGTTTTATGTTATGTGAAGCTGCACCGTGGTTGCAGTTGCATATGTGTGGGAGAGATTGTGCTCTTTTTTTCTTTGGCCCTGTTAATTTCAATTTTTATTTTTCTTTGATATTTTTAATCGGGCCAGTTGGGTTCTATGCAGGAGATGATTGATCTATGTTTTGCTATTATAGTAGACGACTGTTGTCTGGATGATTGATGGTAATTTTGTTTCAGTAGTTTCACATACCGAGGTTTTTGGTGTTTTAATTTGCCTCATTTGTTTGAAGGTATTGTTTTTGAAACTTTCCATGGTTTTTATAAACTGTTTTTTTACCCAAGATGAGCTGAGACAACCCTAGGTCAGTCGGCAAATGCTGTATATCTATTTATAACGTTCAGAATCACATTCTGACTATGGTAGAAGATTCTCTTGACAATTTGGTAAATCCTCATTCCAATACACTCTACTAGGAACACTTCTCTTTTGACACTATTATTAAATGTTTTGTCCACAAGTAAAAAACATTTCAGACAATTCAAAACTCAAAGTTGTGTACCCTGCCAGTGGCCCACTTAAGTTAGTTATTCTAAAAGTGCTCTAAACCTGGTTATCCTAGGAATTATTATTATTATTACATTTCACGTGTAAAGTTACCCCTTAGCTTCTACAATTTACATATGATACAAATACACCCAGTGTATTGAATACATACAATATAACATAAAACATAAAAATATAACGATATGGAGAATAATTACCAATGATAAGAAAACCAAACATCTCGTTCATCTTCATCATCCACATCATCGTTATCAACCCCATTTCGTTGCTATCCTAAAAGATTGACAAAGTCATCCATATCATCAGAATTGGGGTCTTCTTGTCTCGACTTACCAACACCTTCAAATAAATGAACATTGTGCATTGTCTCCTTCATGGACTCATTTGCTTGGTGGAATGTGTCCATTAAGCCGTGTGATTCTTCTTGGACTTCTTCCTTCATGTCTTGTGGTGAAGGGACTTGTATTTCGTCCTCCTTCTTAGAGTTTGAGAATGAAAATAAACCCATAGTTATAGAGTATACTACTTGTATAAGAGAAAGAATGAGAAATAATCCCGAACCCTAAAAACGAGCTGTTTCAGGGATATTTATATGAGTACAATAATATTATTTCAAGGGTTACGAGAATACTTCAACTTAAACCAGTCTGCCTTATCAGGAGGAGAAGGCTAATTTCAATGTATTTCCCTCAAATAATACGATTTAACCTTTCTAGCAAGTTCTTCCCCACAGAACCACTTTTTTATTGTGAATGACTACCCTTGGTCTTCCCCCCTGATTATTATTTTTGTTTCATCACCCCACATTTTTGTTTGAGCGGTCCCATAAATTGCCGTTCTTGGAACAAGGTGCGATTGGCGAACTGCTCCTTATTTTACCACATGGTATTCACGGCACGCGATGGTACAGGGGGGTTGTAAATCACTTGATCCAATGCATGTGGTTGCCAATGCTAAGTTGCACTTTATTGGAAGTACTGGTCGATGCCGGCATGTAGATTCCCCTCCTTCATATTTGTCTTATTCCTGTATATTAATAATTTCAAATTTTTAGTGGGTGCAACTTTTACATCAAACGTACGTTGCTAAAATTGCAAAAAAGAATCGACGGCGAGGGGAGCAATAAACTATGCCTTATCTTCTTGTGCTGGAAATATGTAGTAATATTTTCACTTGAACTCGGAGTTGATCTAGAAAATTACTTCCCCGATGAAAAATTTTGGATAATTTTCTGTAGAAATTGTAATTAAATTGTGCAAATTAAACATTGCACCCCCGGGTGTAAATTAAGTATGTTGCACTGGGATTGAATCATTAATTTAGTTCTACTTATACTTCGGATTAATCAGTCTTGATATAATTGAGAAATTTCTAGCAATTGTTTTGTAGATTACTCACTACTTCTTGTAAAAGTGTCCAACTTGAGTAAATCCCAAGACAGATAAACTCTGCAATTATGGCACTGCGGAGGTAGATTATGATTAGAGGTGATAAAAGAGGACAACAGTTCGATAAACTTAGATATGTGACTATTACTGGCCAATTCCCTAGTTTTCTTGGGCAATGGTCGCGACATAAAATAACGTCGCATTTATTAGGTAATGTCCATTCCTGCACACAAGTCCATCCAATCAACTCAAATTAATTCATCCTTACGCAGTGTGAAAAAAAAATTTCTTGCAACTAAACAATAAATAGAAAAAGCCAATCAAGCAAAGCCAACAACACAAGGAAGAAACCAAGTAACTGCTTCAAATCAAACCAGCTAAAAAGCACACACCATCAATTCATAATTTCTACTATTTATTAGCTTGCTTTTTTTTTCCATATATCCTAACATGTTGTCTCGTTATATTTCCAAATCAGTTGGTCAAGTATCCACTGTTGCCAAAAGATATTCCTCCATCATTTCCGTTCATAGAGACACCACCGAAGATAACCAAAACATACCATTTGAATTCAATTCCGAAAACTTGAAGAGAGCCCAAGAAATCATTGCTAAATATCCACCACAATATAAAAAGGGAGCATGTATGCCATTATTGGACTTGGGACAACGTCAATTGGGATTCACATCTATTTCCGTCATGAACTACGTTGCTAAAATGTTGGACATGCCACCAATGAGAGTCTATGAAGTTGCCACTTTCTATACCATGTATAACAGAAAACCAATGGGTAAATACAACTTGCAAGTTTGTACCACTACCCCATGTCAATTATGTGGTTCTGACGGAATCATGAAGGCAGTTAGGGACCATTTACAAATCAAACCAGGTCAAACTACCCCAGACAAGTTATTCACTTTACAGGAAGTTGAATGTTTAGGTGCATGTGTCAATGCGCCAATGATTGCTATTAATGATGACTATTATGAAGATTTAACTCCTGAAGCTACCGTGGATTTATTAAAACAATTACAAGCAGGCAAGGAATTGACCAAGATTGGACCAGTTTTGAATAAGAGAGAATCTTGTGAACCATTCAGCGGACCAAAGGTTTTGTTAGGTAAAGAACCTACTGATATTAGAAAGTTCACTAGAGCTGACTTGTAAACAAAAGACTAGCTTAAAATCTCTTTGCATTCTGTATCATAAATAAGTTTTAATTTATATTCATACTACGTGACTGTGTGTGTGTGTGTGTGTTTGTGTGTGTGTGTTTCTCGTTGTGGTAAACCGTAGACAGTTATCTAAATCGTTGAGATGGGACTGATTCTTCTTTTGTTCTTTGCTATTGTTTCATTAGGGACAAACACAAGATAGAAAAATAGCAAGATACCATTCAATGCATATTCACAAGCAACTCGGTTCAATCATGTATACAATAAGAAAGCTGTGTCTAACCATGTAAGATTCTTCATCTCTCGGTAATCGGGACAAATAGCCGGTTCAGGTGCAAATGTGTCACGTGATAGCACCGAATTTCACGCTCGATCCACCACCACAAAATTGTTTCTTTTTCTGAGTCAGAGCTATCGTAATTTCATCAAAGAATTCACTCATATTGTGTGGAAACTAGCCAGCTGTTATTTTCAGTATTTTAGTTGTTTCTTCAAAAGAACATCGTCTAATAGATCATTATAAACACAACAAATCATAATGTCACCTAAAAAGTCATACAGTCTTGAGACTGAATTGGTGTTTACCAAATCTGGAGATCAATATAATGCCTCAGTTGCTCCCTTGTACCAATCAGCTACTTTCAAACAAGACTCCCTTTCACAAATGGGAGAATATGACTATACAAGATCAGGAAATCCTACAAGAACTCATTTGCAAAACCATTTGGCTAAGATTATGAAGGCACAGCTGGCATTCGCTGTCAGTTCCGGGATGGGATGTCTCGATGTTATCACAAGACTCTTAAAGCCCGGTGATGAAGTGATTGCTGGTGATGACTTGTACGGTGGTACCCACAGATTATTGACATACTTGAACAAGAAAGGAGACTTGATTGCTCATCACTATGACACTACCAACACTGAATTGATTAAATCCAAGATCACGGATAAGATAAAGATGATTTTCTTGGAGTCTCCAACCAACCCCTTAATTAAAGTCGTCGATGTTAAATCAATTACCGAGCATGCTCACAAAGTCAATCCTGACATTGTTGTTGTATTTGACAACACCATGATGTCACCTATATTAATGACACCCTTGGAATTAGGAGTTGATATTCAATACGAGTCAGCTACTAAGTACTTGAATGGACATCATGATATTATGGCAGGTGTTATTGCTACCAGATCCACAAAGTTAGCTGAACAGTTATACTACATTATAAATTCCACTGGATGTGGATTATCGCCATTTGATTCATGGTTATTAAGTAGAGGATTGAGAACTTTAGCTATCAGAGTGGAAAGACAACAAGAGAATTGTGTACGTATTGCTAAATTCTTGCATCAAATTGGGTTTAAGGTAAGATACCCAGGTTTGAAGTCGCATCCTCAATATGAGTTACATAGCTCCATGTGTCGTGGATACGGGGCAGTTTTAAGTTTCGAAACCGGTAATATTAAATTGTCAGAGAAGATTGTTGAAAGCACGGATATTTTCGGTATTGCTGTTTCTTTTGGCTGTGTTAATTCGTTAATTTCCATGCCATGCAAAATGTCACATGCTTCAATTGATAAAAAGACAAGAGAAGAACGTGAATTCCCAGAAGATTTAATCAGATTATGTATTGGTATCGAGAATGTCGATGACCTAATCGACGACTTGACCAAGGCCTTGTTAAAGAGTGGAGCAGTTAAGATCAACGACAGAGATGAATTGTATAACGCTGTTGGATTACAACCTAAGTTGTAAGCAATCAGCGTATATTTATGTTAAAACTTTATAAACTTGAATACAAAACATTTTTATAGAATAACTTACTGTATTGCTGTAGCTTTTTCATAATGAATTGATACTAAACTAATTGATTAGAATATGGTAGCATAGAAAAAAAAAACACTCATCCTGCATACAACATGACAACGGCAAGAGTGTTTTTCCTACGCGTATATATATAAAAAAAAAGTCAGCCAAAAGAATCGCGTATCCCTCAATTGCTTCATCCATACTTGTCTCACTCTGTTGCAAACTACACTAAGGAATCCTCAGACAATATGACATTGCCTCCACTTACTACTAATGCGTTAAAGGATATTTTTTCCACCACTGCAAAGGATACGGTCAAGACTCCACTTATTCTTCAAGTGACCAATATCAAACACGTTGAAGGCGGATCCAGGTCATTCCGTGTTTTGTTATTTGATGGAGTGTTTAGTGGTCAAGGTTTGGTTGAAGAATCATGTGGAACTTATTTGAAGAACAACGGATTTGCCAGATATCAATATATTCAAGTCAATGATTTCTCCACCGTAATTACCCAAAGACATATTATTATTTTGAAAAATGTTGAAATCTTGGGTCAAGGTGAAAAAACTGAAAATCAAGCCAAGCAAATCGAAGCTTATTACAAGGAACACCCAGAAGAAGACTTTTTGGCTCTCCAAAAGGCCAAGGGTGAGACCTACCCTAATGCTGATGTCGCCAAGACGCGTTCTGAATCGCCATTCACTCCACAAACTACCACTTCTACTCCGGCCCCTCCTGCACCTAAACCGGCCCCACCAGTAAGTGCCAGTGGTGCCCCTATTAGAATTACACCAATTGAAACCATATCCCCATATCAAAACAATTGGACCATCAAGGCTCGTGTTTCTTATAAGGGTGATCTTAGAACGTGGTCCAATGCTAAAGGTACCGGTCAATTATTCAGTGTTAACTTCCTAGATGAGTCTGATGAAATTAAAGCTACTGCATTTAATGAAACTGCCGAAAGAGCTTACAACTTGTTAGAAGAAGGTAAGGTTTACTACATCTCCAAGGCCAGAGTTGCAGCTGCCAAGAAAAAGTTCAACCATTTAACTCATCCTTATGAAATCACCATGGAAAAAGATACCGAAATCACAGAATGTTTTGACAATACCAATGTTCCTAAACTTCACTTTAATTTCGTAAAATTGAACAAGATCCAAGATCTTGAGTCAAATGCCATTGTTGATGTTATTGGTGCTTTGAAAATAGTCAATGAGCCATTTAAAATTACTGCCAAATCCACTGGTAAAGAATTCGACAGAAGAAATATCACCATTGTCGATGAAACTGGGTTTGCTATTGAAATGGGATTATGGAACAACACTGCCGTTGAGTTTAACATCGAACAAGGATCAATTATTGCTTTCAAAGGATGTAAGGTCCAAGATTATAATGGAAGATCCTTGACTTTGACCCAACAAGGCTCGGTTATCCCTAACCCAGAATCCCCAGAAGCATACCAATTAAAAGGATGGTACGACAATCAAGGTATCAATGAAAGTTTTAAGAGTTTAAAGGTTGAATCACTGGGTGCTTCTTCCAACCAAATTGAAAACAGAAAGCTGATTGCTCAAGCTCAAGATGAAAACTTGGGTAAAGGTGAAAAGCCAGATTACTTCACTGTCAAGGCAACCATTTCATATACCAAGCCAGACACTTTTGCTTATCCTGCTTGTCCAAACGTTGTTGCTTCCAATGCTGGTTCTCAACAAGCAAGACCTAGTCAACCTTGTAATAGAAAATTAGTGGAACAACCAACCGACGGTACTTGGAGATGCGAACGTTGTGATATCAATTATCCTGAGCCTACTTACCGTTATATTTATAACTGTTCCATCTTGGACGAAACTGGTCAAATTTGGGTTACCTTGTTTGATAATGAGGCTAGAAAATTATTTGGAATTGATGCTGGTGAATTAACTAAAATTAAAGAAGAAGATCAAGATGAATTTACTCGTAGAATTGAAGATATCAGTTTCAAAGAATATCAGTTCAGACTTAGAGCAAGACAAGATACTTATAATGATCAATTAAGAGTTAGATACCAAGCTGTAGGTATCGATTTCATCGATTATAGCACTGAAGCTGAATACTTGTGTAAGCAGTTGGATAATTTGTTGAACTAGTTGTGTTTACGTGTGTATTTGTGTGTATTTTGCTTTCGTTTTATCTATTTGTTTTAATAGTCAATCAATTTATTAACTTTTAACCAGTAATCCCGGAGTAAATCATTAGCTACTCTTTGACCTCTAGTGACCATCAATCTGCTAACAAATTGTTGGATTTCAGTATTGGTTAATTCCACTTTCCCGTTATTACTATTATTTTCAAGAAAATACAATACCCAATTTTTCAATTCCATAGGAAATTTCCCAATTAAGTTCCGGAATAAAGGATAATAATATTCTAAAGCTGATCTAGGAGCATTAATAAACCCAACCATCAACAGTGAAACTAATTGGTAACCCAATGGAATTCCGTCAATTTGCAACTCTATAAACAAATAATTTTTGATTTGTTGATCCTGTTGACTACCCCGCTTAAGGGTCACAAAATTTGTCCAAAATTTAACCACGGCTTTAATAATAAATGTTTCATGATAGTTCTTTAATCCAATCAATGCATAATTCAATACCTTGTCTTGGAAAAGTTGACTGGTGAGTATAAGTCCCGGTGTAGTTTCAAGTATGGTAGAGAACATCTCAATTGATGACTTGATTAAATCAACGTCTGATTCTAATACTTGATACATATCACTGAATGTAGGTATTAAAATGGTCTCGATATCAGCAGAAGTCAACTCCTTCTTGTTTGTCACCACCACAGTTTCAACAAGTTTATAAATATATGGAATTGATTGTAAATTGCATTTTTTGATCTTGGCAATGAGGTACTCAAATATCACACTGTAATTAAACTTGAACGGTCCATTGATAGGTTCACTTAATCCACATTTGAGAATATTGCAACACTTTTCGGTAATGATTGTCTTTTGCACCAATGGATCAAATTGTAAAGAAAATTGGTTAAGAGTGGTTAAGATCATTGATTTGATAGATAATGGATCTTCATTCCAGTATGCATTATACTGACCAATTTGTTCTGGAGTCAAGTAATCCTCCAATTCTTCAGGAATTACCATAGCCTTACCAATTTCATATACACAACTCAAGAGAGATGTGGTGTATTCCTCAAGGTATTTATCATATTGATCAATTTCAATATCAGTTAGTAAACTATTTGGGGTATTGACCACAACGTTATATTGCTCAGTAATTTGTAATAATATTTGGTAGATCTTGTTCCCAATATCAATTGGATCTTTAATCAGCTGAGCAATTGATATGTATGAATTGGTTAATCTTTCTCTAATTAAATTATCAAATCTTGGATTCTTTAACATTTCAATAAGAATTAATTCTAGATTAGGTAAAAATGAAACCAACTTATCCTTTGAATCTTGACATATTTTAAGTATAGTACGTGATGAGATTAATGATAGTTTTGGATTAGTATTTTCTGACAATATCATCAGAAACAAAAAGTTGAATGTTGATGGGAGATATGTACTTCCTGTGTCACTCTTGAAAAAAAAGTGAAGACAGGATAGCAAATTGAGCAATGTCACGCTGATTTGATGGTTGTGATAATTTGGTATAGATTCAATAGATTCAATTAAGCCTTGACTAAAGAATCCATTAATTAGTGGTACTAGCGTATTCATGGCAAATTCATCATCGTAAAACCTTAAATCATCAGTTATTTTAAAGATAAGATATAATCCAGTTTCTAAATCATTCATTGCTTCAGGATTGGTTTTGATAATTAGTAAATTAGATTGTACTATATCACACAAGGTTGAATAAATAGGGGTGTTGATTAAGGAATAAAACAATATGAACAATTCTGCAATTTGGGTTCTATATTGGAAGAATTCTTTTGCAGGCGATGCACTTGTGATTTGTGCCTTTTTAAAATAGATCTGACTTATTTCCAGAAATATGGCAATCTTTTGATTATTAAATCGATCAAGGGTGTCCTTATCGAATATGATATCACTAATAGCATCTGCATCGTCGATAAAAGTGTCGGCAAGATCCTGCCAAAAGGGAATTAATTGCTCGCTTACTTTTTCATCCTCAATTGGAACACCAGGAAAATCACTAAGTTTAATGACAACTTTGAGAATATTAGAAATTGAATCATTCAATATGTTTCGGGAAATATAGACAAGATTAATTGAAAGATAAGCAATGACTAAATTAACAAAGTTTTCAATTTCCAGACTGTACAATTCTGCAAATTCATTATTGGTAAAAATGAGATCAACAAACTTCATTCCAAACTTAGTTTCATTGAATAATAATTCCGAGATATGCTGTTTAAATGTATTGACTAGCCGGGGGATATTTTCAAGAAATTCCGCCAATACAGTAAATGACTTGTTATAAATTTCCATATTTTCTATATTCAACTCATCTTGGAGATATTTGAGAACATATAATAAGAAAATATCCATATCTTCGTGGGAGTATCGTTGGGTTGAATTACCTTCAGCAGTAGCTATGTATACCACCAATGAAGTTATACAATCCAATGACAATAATTTTGTTGAATAAGGCAAGGATTCGATGGTTGATAAATACTGGTATATTAACTTATAATGCTCAAATAATGTGGAATGAATTGTATTATGTAATTCTGGCAAATTGGTAGATTGTTTGATGATATCTTCAACAAGTATAGACAAGAACAACAAAACTAACTCTACTTCATTCTTGCTTTGCAATCCACGAATCAAATCATTGACGGGTTGTTCTCTCCCTAGCATCATCGCAAGTAACTTATAAAGAGGATCTTGAGTAAATGTTGCAAAATTTTTGATATAAAGTAATGACAAATTGCTTAATAGCTTCCTTATAATGAACAAATTCTCGTCGTATCCTTCATGGACAAGAGTTAGTACGTTGTAGATTACTGCATTAAAGGGCAGGTCTACATCAGGTAAATCATGGTTGTTAAAATAAACAGTTAAAGTTAAAGCCCCAAAATATTTGACATTCCTGCTTCCATTCTTTAATAGTTCGGTTCCGAGTAAGTATCCCTCATCACTTCGCTGGTATGTTTGTAGTCTATCTTGCACGGAAGCAATTTTGCTAGAATCATGGGAAGAATAAAGAGTATCAATATCCTGAATTTGTTAGTAAAAGAACAGCAAAAGAAAAATTCAATAATGCAATATAAAGCACTTACCTCTAGGACATTCCGTATATCCAACTCAGAAGACATAAACGAAACTAGTCAATTGATTACTATACAACTCACTAGCACTGGTTGGTTTACCACAACAGTTTAAGGGGACGTGATTTTTTTTGGCAGCAGTCACGTGTGCATGAGGTGATCACATGACCAAATTGCTAAATCGAATGACAAACCCCAGCCCTCCTGACCACACCAAGAAAAAAAAAAAGAAATCCACTTTTCATTGTAGCCACTCATGAAGCATTTTGAAGTTTCCATCGCCATAACAACCGATCTAACGCTTAATCAGATAGAGATTATATTTTTGTCAAGTGTTTTTCCTACTATTCAATCCTAATCTACTCAAAAAAAAAGCTATTCCTAGTTATAATGCGTAGAGTGTCCCGTGCCCAATGTGCCAACTGCACCTGTTCTCCAGGATTATTGTCAAGATCACGCAGAACCAGTGCGGTCTTTGCCAAAAGAATTAGTCTTTCCAGAGAAAATTCTACCGGTAGTAGACCAGATTCACGTAAGAATTCCGTGTTCACCCTCAATCCAGCTTCCTTATGTTTACCTGAGGCTAAAGAAGTCAACACTAGCAAGCGTTTAGAAAGTTTGAGACGCCAGATGTTACTGCACGACTTGGCTATTTACATTGTTCCTTCTGAAGACCAACACCAATCTGAATATGTTAGTTTGTTCGACCAAAAGAGAAGCTTTATTAGTGGATTTTCTGGAAGTGCTGGTATTGCTATTGTTACTAGAGATTTGAATAATTTTAGTGATGTGCCGCAAGGAAGTGCGGCTTTATCCACTGATGGAAGATATTTCACCCAAGCTATTGATGAATTGGATTTCAACTGGACCCTATTAAAACAAGGTGCCAAAGATGAACCTACCTGGGAAGAATGGACCGTTGAACAAGCTATTCAATTAAGTTTGGATAGTGGTGCCAAGGTTAACATCGGTGTCGACCCAAGATTAGTTACTTATAAATTTACTCAAAAGTTTAATGGAATTGTTGAAAAGAAACTCAAACAAAGAAATGATAAAAGCATTGAAATTGAATTGACTGCAGTTGAAGATAATTTAATCAACAAGATTTGGGAAGAATTTGAAGAATTACCTGCATCTCCCGCTTCTAATGAAATTAAGAGTTTGGATATAAGTTTTACTGGACAAGAAACTGATGATAAGATTGCCGCAATTAAGAGTGCTTGTTTTAAGAACAATGTTGAAGGTATTGTAGTGACTGCATTGGATGAAGTTGCATGGATATTGAATTTGCGTGGTCAAGATATTGAATACAATCCTGTATTTTACAGTTTTATGATTATCACCAAGGATGTAACTAAAGTATTTGTTGATGAATGGAGATTATCGGCTGAAATCAAAACTAAATTAAAGGCCAATAATATCATACTCGAAAGTTATGGTTCATTTTATTCTGAGTTAAACACCATATCCAAACAATTCACTGTCAACAATAAACTGTTCTTTATTCCAGATAATGCCAATTGGGAAGTTGTTCGTAACTTGAAGTGTGCATTTGTTCAAAAACTTTCACCAGTGGAAGAATTAAAGGGTATTAAAAATGAAGTGGAATTACAAGGTGCCAAGATTGCCCATTTAAAGGATGGTCGTGCTTTAGTGAAATTCTTTGCATGGTTAGAAGACCAATTGATTAACAAACAAGAATTGATTGATGAAATTGATGCTGATGAAAAATTAACTGAATTTAGAAAGCAAGAGGACAATTTTGTTGGATTATCCTTTGCTACTATAAGTGCCACTGGTCCTAACGGTGCTATTATTCATTATAAACCAACTAAAGGCCAATGTGCTACAATTAACCCTTCTAAGATATACTTAAATGATTCCGGATCTCAATTCTTGGAAGGAACTACCGATACCACTAGAACTATTCATTTTGAAACACCAACCAGCGAAGAAAAGAGAAATTACACCTTGGTCTTGAAAGGTAACATTGCTCTCTCCACTTTAAGATTCCCGGAAAATACAACTGGTAACTTGATTGATTCCATAGCAAGACAATATCTCTGGAAGTATGGTATTGATTACGGTCACGGTACGTCCCATGGTATTGGTGCTTATTTGAATGTTCATGAAGGTCCTATTGGAATTGGTCCTCGTCCTAATGCTGCTGCTAACGCCTTGAAACCTGGTCATTTAATCTCCAATGAACCTGGGTTTTATGAAACTGGTGAATACGGTATTAGATTGGAGAATGTTATGTTTGTCAAGGATAGTGGGTTGCACTATAACGGCAGAAACTTTTACGAATTTGAAACTATCACAAGAGTCCCATTCTGCAAAAAGTTGATTGAGGTTTCCATGTTGAGTGAAGAAGAATTGGCCTGGTTAAATAACTACCATGCTACCATTTGGGATGAATTAAGTGGTACTTTTGAAAAGGACAGTATTGTTTACAAATGGTTAAGGAGAGAAACCGAGCCATTAGCTTTGTCCACATAGATGATATACTAATATACACTCTTTTCCTACTCTTCAAAAAGAATTTGAATCTCTTCGATTCTTCTCTTTCTTCTTTCCTCTTCTTCGGCAGCAACTGCTTCACCAATTTGTTTCTTTCTTTCCTGAATCTTTAACATTTTTGTCTCTATGCTGTTTTCCATAATGAATCTGACAACTTTAACAGTTTCATTCTGGCCAATTCTATGAATTCTATCAATTGCCTGATCTTCAATACTGGGTGACCACCAAGGGTCCATCATGAACGCCCGAGAAGCAGTGGTTAAATTTAAACCTACTCCACCAGCTTTCAACGAAAGCAACAAGATTGCAATTTTACCATCCGACAATTCCTTATTGAAATCATCAAGTAATTTCTGTCGTTCTTTTAAATTCAACCGTCCGTCGAATTTATAAATTACAAAGTCATTGTCTTGCTGGACCTTGAGTTCGGTCTCTATTATGTCTAGATATGATGAAAACTGGGAGAATACAATAACTTTCAGATTAGGTGTTTGGGATTTGATATCATGTAAATGTTTAATAAGGGCTTGGATCTTGGATGAAGAACGATTAGGATCGTATAAATACAATTGGAAAGGGTAATTCTCCGCCTTGGGCTCCTTAGTATGAAATCGTATTTCATTGGCAGTGGTCTTTTGATTACGTAAACGGAATAGTTGATATTTGGATATTGGTTCTCGACAGTTGGGACATGTCTTGGTTGTAGTTGGGAAATCGAGATGTTCAAGAAGACAAGTAAGACAATAGCTATGACCACATGGAGTAATGGTCATCTCTCCAAATGGAATCGGAGACTGAGTACATATTGAACACTCTGAATTTTCAATATCGACTTTGGAGTATAATGAATACATGGTTTTCTTAACCGCATGATCATTCTCAAACCTATTTTGTTGCTGTTCCTTGATTGACTTCAAAAATTTCTTCATGTCTTCATCCAGTTCCAAATCTATAATCTCGTCATCCATTTCATGGGCACCACCAATCAAATCCACATGGCAACATACTTGCCTTAATCGCAAAATGTGTGTCAAGATTTGTGTATACTGACGCAACAATTGACCTGACTTCAAACCTTCAGCAAACGAATTGAATGCTCTAGCTTTGAAATAGCCATACAATTTTTCCTCCTGGTCATTAAACTTAATTTCTTCAATAATAACTTCTTTGCTTGGTAATTCCACAAGTGGACGACCATCGCGGCCCTTCATTGCTTTGGTTCTTCTCAAAAATATTGGTTCCAAAATGGATTTAATCACATCCAAAGTCTGGGAAATCTTTCGTTGTTCAAAGGGTAATGTAACAAATGTCTTCCAGTATGAAAAATTACTCCAGGGATCCAATTGAAGGAACTTGGTGAATGAGTATAAGTCATCGAGTCGATTGACAATTGGTGTACCTGTCAATATCCATTTCCTACTCAGCTCCAACTCATACAATGATTTGGCAGTCTTGGTATTTCTATTTCGAATATTATGGCCTTCATCAATTATAATCCTAAAGAATTTGACAGAATAAAGACCGATAGGTGGTAATTCTCCCTTTTCATCTCTTGCACGAGCAATCCTCGTAAATTCATTTAAAACAGTACCATAAGTTGTAATCATTACTGTAGGGATTTTAGCATTTGGTTTCGTAGAACATAATGACCATGTTAAATTAGACTCGATTTCATCACCATAATACAACTTACAATAATGATTGTTGTTATTATTACATTTTTCAAATTCTTGTTTCCATTGGGATAAAAGGGACATGGGCACAACAATCAAGGTTGTTTTTGATGCATAAGGTTTATTTGACTTCTCTGGGTTAGTATCGTATGGCACCGAATTTACCAAGGCCAATGCAGAAATAGTCTTACCGAGACCCATTTCATCAGCAAGTATTCCTCCTCTTAGACTATTCTTAATTATTGGTTTTTCAACTGAAAGTTCACCATTGTATACGTTGGCGTAGAAGAATTCGTCCTCTCTTTCTTGGCTGGATTGTGTGGATCCCCCTACGCTGACTGCGAATGACATATTCTTGGGCCATTTGTATTTCCTCCAAAGTGGGTTCATAGTCCCCGATTCATTTTCTTCAATATCCCTTTTTGATTGAGTTGATAATCCTTGTTCGGAAGATAGTTGGTCCAATGTGCTTATTTCGTTCTCCCTTGTTAACATCCACGATAATCCGTGTTTCTGATAGGTACGTAAATTCAATTTGAAATTGTCCGATGGGGGTACAGTAGTTTCAGGAAGGCTTTCTAACAATTTGGATTGGTTATTTGCTTGGTAGAATTGTTTCAATTGATCCAAATTTAATTGATCGGGTGTACTTTCAACCTGCTCATTCTCATCGTCTGAATCAAGAGATATTGGTTCGTCTGAATTTTCTTCCTCTTCGTCATCATCATTTAACCGAAGTGGTTTAATGCGGAGTCTGTCAAATAAGCGGGAGAGCGCATATTGGCGTAGTCTCAATGCAGCTTCTCCATCAGTTTCACTGGTTGCATGGAAATTACTCAGCTTAGCTGCTTTGCTTGCTGCATTTTTGTGTTTACTCAAATTATCAATCTTTACTTCCAATGCATCTAAGTTCTTTATAAACCCGGTATTTTTCAAGAAAACATCAATTTGAATAAGAAATGAATCAGCAGTGGACAATCTCCTTTTTGTTCCTTCTAGAACAGAAACTTCAAATCTGGCAATATCTAAATCGATCAATGGTGAAAATATTCGGGTTAAATCCTCGGGTATTCTCGCTATCTCTCGACCTCCATAGTGATCTATGGTTGATAATCGAATGATTGAACTTGATTTCATCGACGAGTTCTTCGGGATCAATCGCTTTAATGATAACTTTTCTGCATACTTGAGTGGTGAGAATGTAGGACGTGTAGCCCATGCTTGGACATCTATGGATCCAATATACCTATCCCAGGTTTGTTGAGCCACTTCTTTCTGGTGTGCTTGTGAAGCAAGATGGATTCGCTTGCTTAGTGATTGCAATTGTTCATTCACATCATCTGTTGGTCTCTTTTGTGTGGGTGGTGCGGGAGATTCAGTTTGCTGTGTTGAATTTGGCAACAATTCATTAATGTCTGGTGGGCATGTAAGTAGTTCTGAAACTGCCTGTTTCACACCATCTGACTGGTTTGAGTGTTTGTTGTATAAATACGATAGTATTTGTGGTGATATATCACCTACTGTTGCTTTCAACTCTGTTTCAAATTGGCCAAGTGGTATTTGAATTGGTAATGGGGTCACGTCTGATTCGTTATCAGCTTCGTCTTCGTCATCGTCGTCTTCTACGAATAGTGATGTGTTGGGGGACAATGCAGTACTTTCAACAGACAGTTTATCGTCTAGCGAAGGAACAGTGACCTTTTCTTTAGGAACGAAGAAGCGTTTCTTGGTTACGGACATTAACTGATTCACGTAAAGAAAGATTTAAAAGAGAGTATTTTTTTTTTCATGAACACGGAAATTTAAGTGCGCGTTGGTGCAGAAAACGCGGCAATAATTTTGCATCCATCGGGGTCCAAGATAGAACGAGCTCGATTTCTTAATGAACAGCAGTTGGCAAGTTGATTGAACTAACCGGGTTCGGTTTAAGTTTCTATCTACTTTCAGTTAAAACCTAATATTTTATAAATTTTATTACACAGTTTACAACCTTATTCTAATTATTAAACATGGTTCGCTAGCAACGACATTATTTCTTCTTTTTGGCAAATGTATTAATTGGATTAGCAATATCAACAACACCAACCATACCGATGAAAGCTTTTCCCAACCTAGCTCTCTTCCTATCTCTATTTCCACTTTTACGTACAAGTTTCTGTTCGTGATGTTCGATTTCTTCCCGAGAAGTAGTCTTCTCAAGTAATGCTCTACCAACATTGTTTGCAATGGTGCCAAGTTCCAATGGGACAGGTGCTTGATGAAGAGAACTAGGGTTGTTTCTTTCTTCTGCATGGTGATCTCCATTTTCAATTGGAGCAGTATCGGTGTTTACTTGGTTGTTGTGCCTGTTTTGGGATATATATCTTAATTCTTTCATTATATAATCTGGAAAACTTGGCGCATTAATTTCATCGGAATCCATACTGACCTGGAGATGATTGTATAAAGCTAAAGCATGCAGACGTTTTCGAAAAGTAAAAGTTAAAGCATTAGTGGTATTTTTGGCTGCTGTTGAATCTTTGGTGTTATTTGATGCCATTTCACCTTAGCAAAAATGAGTATAGCGAAAGAGCACTAAGAAAATTTTGCAACAAGACACAGTGCTCCGTTCATAAATAATTCCTCAGCTGCGTAACAAGAACTTTTCAAACATTTGATTTAACCAAAGTTAAAGATATTCTATACTCGTATGCTATGGAAAAAAAAAGCCTAGCAGTACCTATCAAAAATGTAAAAGAGTTGCCATATCATCTAATTGGTGCTCACATTATTTGTTTTTTAGCATCGCATTGAAGTTACTACCTTGAACAAAGTCGACTCTGTGCTACGGAGTCGGAAACCGACTTGTTAAGATTACATCTAGAGTATTAGTGGAAACTTCCTGTATCATTAATCATTAATTACTAACACGATTGTTCCAGTAATATCAATCAATTAGAGTGAAATATGGACTTATTTGAAAAGTATGGTCACAGTACAAGGATTCATTTTGTTTTAAAAGATCAAATACAGATAAATTCTACCTGACTAATATTATCTCAGAAGTCAAGCAAATGCTAACAGCAAGACAGCCATTTCAAAGTTTATTCCCTAACGTTAGTTCTCAATCTTGGTTCCTATTTCATTGATCCAAACTAGCATGCTTTTATTCTGAAGGTGATGTATTGTATGAAATCCACGAAATTCAGCACTTTTTGGTGTGTGTGGGGAAAATTCTCCAGGATTAGTGCAGATTGTATTAAATAATGCTTGTTATTTTATTGATTGTAAAACTCTGAGACTCGGACATGTCGGCTTTATTGGTAGAACAGTCTGGTAGTACTTTATTCGTTACTTTATTGTTACTTTCCACGAGCACAGAATGTGATTACTTCCACTCCTTTATCTCTGCTGCTTCTAATGTATCGTCTGATATATACCTATATAGTTTATTCAAATTTTTAGTTTTCAACAAATGCGATAAGTCATATTGTGTAATAAGTTGAGACAAATGTCACTTGATGCAAGTTTACATTACCGAGAATGTTCTAGAATTGCTGCAAATTTTTTTTAAAAAACACGACATTTAGAAATGAGTTAGGAGTTTCAGGACTGTCACCCCAAACACATTGTATTTCATTCATATTGTGATTAGTAATAACATAGAGCCTTGCTGTGGAAGTGTGGCGGGAGAAATACAACATGTATGGGCTTTGATAACGCGGAAATTGCCAAAACACCGTCAAAGAAAAATTGAGTCACATTTCCCGAACAGAAATAACTGCAAAACCCAACTGAGACCAATGGCATACATGACACTACTTCTCCCCTCATCCAGTGGTCGCTATCTTGTTTAATTGTCAAGGAACAGCAGTGACTAATTTCCACAACTTTAAAACATTGGGGTAAAAATGTCGCTAATATTTCCTAATTGGGCTATCGGCATTTGATTGACTCATTTGCGGACGGCCCCCAAGATGACAGGAAAAAAAAAAAGTCCAGGATAAAAATAAACCCGTCGTTATCAAATCAATAAAATTTCACTCCACTTCTTTTTCTTTTTCTTCTTCTTCTACATCTTCTTGCTTACAAAGCAAAACTAATTCCCGCAAATATTCAACACCATGACCGTCGCTAAACCTCAATCCAAGGACTTGACCCATTTGTTATCCGATGAGTCCAAGCTGCGTCAAAACTCACCTTTGAAGTCCGCATTCAAGTATTTCAACCAACCAGGTATGACCTTTCTCGGTGGTGGATTACCATTGTCGGACTATTTTCCCTTTGACAAAATCACCGCCGATATTCCAACTCCTAGTTTTGATAACGGTATCGGGGCTCAAATAACTGAAGAAACTAAATCTGTCGTAGAAGTGTTCAAGAGGGTTGATTTGAATGATCCTGCTGCCAAAAATGTCCCTCTTGCCAGATCATTGCAATATGGTTACACCGAAGGTCAACCGGAAATCATAGATTTCATCAGGACCCATACTGATTTGATCCACAAGGTCCCATACGCTGATTGGGATGTCGTTGCCAGTGTTGGTAACACCGAATCTTGGGATTCTACTCTTAGAACTTTCTGTACAAGAGGTGACTCCATTTTGGTTGAAGAATATTCCTTTTCTTCTGCTTTGGAAACGGCTCATGCTTTAGGTGTCAATACCATCCCAGTAACCATGGACGAGTTTGGTTTAATCCCAAGCGCCCTTGAAGAATTGTTGAAGAACTGGATAGGAAAGACACCAAGGTTATTGTACACTATTTGTACTGGTCAAAACCCAACTGGTTCTTCATTGAGTGCTGAAAGAAGAAAGCAAATTTATGAAATTGCCTGCAAGTACGATTTCATAATCATTGAAGATGAACCTTATTACTTTTTGCAAATGGAAACCTACACCAAGGATAAGTCTTCTCGTGAAGGCAACAAGGTGCACGACCATCAAGAGTTCATCGACGCATTAGTTCCATCTTTCCTTTCTCTTGACGTTGAAGGAAGAGTGGTTAGATTAGACTCGTTCTCTAAAGTTCTTGCCCCTGGATTACGTTTTGGTTGGATTGTTGGTCAAGCTCGTCTTTTGGAAAGATATGTTAGATTGCATGAAGTTTCCATTCAATGTCCATCTGGGTTCACCCAATCTCTTACCAATGCATTATTACAAAAGTGGGGACAATCAGGATACTTGGACTGGTTGATTGGTTTACGTGCCGAATACACCAAAAAGAGAGATGTTGCCATTGACACCGTTGACGAACATTTCCCCAAGGATGTTTGTTCCTACAACCCACCAGTTGCTGGTATGTTCTTCACCATCACCATTGACGCATCCAAGCACCCTAAATTTGACGAGTTCGGCCAAGATCCAATCAAGGTGGAAACTGCCATTTACGAAGAAGGTATCAAGGAGGGTGCATTGATGATTCCTGGTTCCTGGTTCAAGAGTGAAGGACAAAGCTCCCCTCCTCAAAAGAACTTGCCTCATAATCCAGCTGGGAAGACTCATATCTTCTTTAGAGGTACCTATGCTGCGGTTCCCTTGGATCAATTGATTGTTGGGTTAACCAAGTTTTCCAGGGCTGTCAAGACCCAATTCCAAATTGACCATTAGAGTTTATGTTATTATAGAGTAGTACCGTAGTTGTAAATTGAAAAGAATTGTATATTTTAACTTAGTATGGAATTTGCAACTGTTTCTTTGTATGAGAGGGTATACAATGACGCATGGTAGCGCTTGTTTATTTACCCGCCCAAAAAATAAAAACACAGTTTTGTTCAAACTTCACAACCAGACAACCAAGTGGTAGATGACAAGATGCACATATTAAAACTACCGTGGCTAGGTCATAAAAGTAGGTAACTGTCATATTGGACATTTCTAGAATCCATACTAACTATTTTACAGCTGAGAATAAAGACATTGAATGTTATGCCGTATCCGTCAACCAAGATGGTACAAGGCTAGCTCTGGGTGGTCTTGACGGCACCATCAAAATATGGGACACTGCCACTATAGATTCATTCGTAAAGATGGCAACCACAGACACAAAAAAGTCCAAGCAAGATCCAACACTCCCTGATAAATCTCTTCGACGACCATTGTGTTCCATGTCGAGACACAACGGGGTAGTTACGTCAGTCAAATTCCTGCCTGATGGACACTACTTGGCCCTGGGATCCGATGATAAGATCTGTCTTATATGGGAGCGTGATGAAACACCCAGGAAACAGTTTGGAGTAGAGGAGCCCGATTTGGAGCATTGGACTGTGCGGAAAAGACTCGTGGCACACGATAATGATATCCAAGATATTTGCTGGTCTCCTGACGGGACATTGCTCGTTACTGTCGGGTTAGATCGACTGATTATCATCTGGAACGGGATCACGTTTGAACGTGTGAAGCGATATGACGTACATCAGAGTATGGTGAAGGGGATCGTGTTTGATCCAGCTAACAAGTTCTTTGCTACGGCGAGTGACGATAGAACCGTGAGAATATTCAGATATTACAAGAAGTTGAACGAGTATAACAATTACGAATTCCAGATGGAGCATATCGTCACTGATCCATTCCGGAAATCTCCCTTGACTTCCTATTTTCGAAGAATGAGTTGGTCTCCCGATGGACAACACATCGCCGTGCCTAATGCCACGAATGGCCCTGTTCCCAGTATAGCCATTATTAATAGAGGTAATTGGGGTACAGATGTGTCTCTTATTGGACACGAGGCACCAGTGGAAGTGTGCTCTTTTTCCCCACGATTGTTTCAAATAGACAAGAAGGAAGATTCATTTCAGACTATACTAGCTACAGGAGGGCAAGATAGAACATTAGCCGTATGGAGCACTTGCAATTCCCGCCCATTATTAGTAGCTCAAGATATAGTCGATAGTAGTATTACTGATATTTGTTGGGCGCCTCTGGGAGAAACGCTTTACTTTGGATGTTTAGATGGTCTGATTACTGTGGTTGAATTTGAAAAGGGTGAGTTGGGGGATGTTGTCAGTGATGATGTAATTGGTGCGCAATTGACGAGATATGGTGCTGATCGAGAAAGTATGATATTTCCCGAGAGTGTTGAACAGTTGGTGCTAGAAGAAAAGACCATTCCTGGACCAAAGAAGAAGGATCCTACCCCAATACAGATAGCTTCGCCTGTTGTTAGCACTCCAGTTGTTGCCAAAGTGGCTACTCCAATAGCACCTTCGAAATCGGATGACCATGTGAAACTCCGTAAACAAACTGTAACAATAACCAAATCGGGAAAGAAAAGAGTTGCACCGTTGTTAGTGTCCGCCTCGTCTGCTCCCCCCACCAATATCCAACAACAATGGCAACCACCGTCCAAACAACAAAAACATAAGATCCTGAAAGTATCCCAATCCAATTACCTCTTGCCCAGACTAGGTCTTCAAACATCAGTCTATGGAACCAAACAACGAACCACGACGGCCCACGCCCCACAACAAGAAGTGGAAGACGATAATGACATCGATGACATTGGCGACAATGCCGCTGCCAATGGAACTAGTGGAACCACCACAGTCTCAGATGCAGCCCTTAAACGACAAAAGAATAGGTATAAGCGAAGAATGATGGAGAGACGATACCCGCATTCGTTCAAGTTTGTGTCTACCCTTCCCGAAATGTTGTTCAACAATCACATGTTGGTCAATGGCGAGATCAATCGGATTTATAAGCTGTACTCTAAGGATTTGACTAGTGATATATCCCTGGGCACTGCTGTTGAGATTGATGAGGATTTGTTGTTTTCCGTGGTATTTTCGCATGTTGTTCACATGCAACCATCAAATGACGTGCTTTCCCAGGAGGAAAAGGTGGTAAGTACATCTGTTGAAGTGAGAAATGGCAAGCCGTGGAAGTTGGAAGATGATGAGTTTGAATATAACGATAAAGTGGACTTTGATGATCCTACTCGAGTGATTGTATACGACAATACCGATGCTACAAACCGGAAGTTTAACTTGTTCTTTCCGTATAGAATTCAACATGTTTTACCAATACTCGTTGGTGATGAATTAAAATACTTTGTTGTTGCTTCTTGTCAAGGCACAATCCAAATCCTTAGTTCCACGGGCCGATTTGTATGTCCTAGTTTCGAAATTGGGGAGACAATCATATCAATGATGTACAGGAACACCTATCTTGTTATTCTCACCAGTCGAGGATTATTCTATTCATGGAATCTCGAGCTGATGAAGTTCCAACTCACACGTGTGTCAATAGCACCGATATTAAACATGGTTGAAATAACGGGTGAATCAGGGGATTTGAGAAAACCGACCAGCTTTGTGCTTCCCGGAGTGAAATGCATTGATGTAGATCCTAGAAATGGTACACCTCTAGTAGTTCTTGAACAAGGCTGGGATGTGTTTGGATACAATTTGGACTTAAAGAGTTGGATAAAGATTATAGACGGGTGGTACTTTTCTGCTAACGAAGAAGACATTGAAATAAAGGGTAATGAAGACGAATATCACACTGTGCTTCTGCGATTGGTTAACAAGTGTAAATTGGCATATACCAATGAGGTTCAATTGCAGCGGGCCTACGCTTATGAATTGAACGAATCAAGTGAACTCATTCAAGTTATGAAACAACGACAATTGCAAACTATAACTCTAGCGTTAGAATAATGTTTCATTATATATACATATACATATACTTATATATATCAGCAATTAAAGAGACTTTTCTTCGACGATTTTCTTTTCTGGTTTAGCTGGCTTGACCTTCTTACCAGCAAACGCAAACGAAATCAAGAAAAGGACGTTGGAAAGAACCAGATTGACGGCATACATCCAAATAGTCAATCCTACCGCACCAGCCGGAAGGAAAGGCAACAGCAATACCCGTTCAATGTACCAGGGGAAAATTCCGGAACTAAAGTAGAATAAATGAGTCTTACGGCTAAAGATTCTAAAGAACCACAATGGAAGTGTGGTGGACAACATGATCAACCTTCCCGTCAACTTATCTATGCTGGCCCTACTTTGAGAGATGTCCTCAGTCAATGAGGCGATATCTGCAGTGAGTTTATCGCACTTTCTATTGAGCTTAGTCCATTTTGCATATTCATCTTGAGCACTTATAGTACGTTTCTCCTTGTTGAGCTGGTGCAATTGTTCTTTAGCCTGGGCAAGTTGTGTAAATTGGGATGAGAAGTTGAGTTTGGTACCATAGTGGATATATCCCAACCATAAGAATTCCTGGATTGTTGATTTTCCAATTTGTTTGATAATCTGCTGGGTAAGTAGAATGACAAACACTGAGACAACAACAGTGTATGGATCAATGTCTAACGTAAGCATTACTGTAAAGGAAAGTCAGTCACTGTTTTGAGGGTGAAACGGTGCTGTCCTGTTTTACAAACCAACCAACAACAAAAAAAAAAAAAACTTTTCTAGGAACTTTCAAATCCATCAACAACGACCAAACCAAAGCATTACCATAGAGCATCGTCGCAAAAGATTAGTCCCAAGTTGCTTCTTTTACTCCTGCAAAAGACAACAATTGATTAACAAACACCCGGTTGCAGAAAAAGTTTACATTTACACCGCAACGCATCTAATATATTAATACCACTACATTCCTACACACACACACCCCCCTTCTCTCCCCTCCATCACAGCAATGCCTAGCGACGAAGAAGACTACATCCCTTGGATTCAACAGTTCTGTGAACTCTTTGGCCACGACTACTTTGTCCAAGTCTCTCAGGACTTTATTGAGGATGATTTCAATCTCACGGGCCTCCTGCTGCAGGTTCCTTACTATAGAGAAGCATTATACACTATACTAGACTATCAAGTAGAGACAGCTGAAGATTCACCACAAGATAACAACTCTATCCCCGGTACAGCCAACACCACCGCCACCACCAACACAGCCAACACCTCTAGCTCCAAGAAAGAAGCCAAAAATGAACTTCCAAACAAGGCATTACTAGCTCATTCGGCAGAGTTGCTCTATGGGTTAATTCACGCCCGTTACATCATATCCAAACAGGGACTCACCGCCATGGCATCCAAGTTTGAGCGCAATGATTTCGGCTCGTGTCCTCGTTACTTTTGTGATGGTATGCATTTGATCCCCGTAGGTCTGACGGACATCCCGGGGCAAGAAACGGTGCGATTGTATTGTCCTTGCTGCAATGACATTTACATTCCTTCCAGCTCACGTTATTTGAATATCGACGGTGCATTCTTTGGAACTACGTTCCCAGGTTTACTTGTTAAAATGTTTCCTGAAATAGAAAATCAGTGTCGAATCAGAATAAATAAATTTAGTGCTAATGATTTCGGGTTGAAATTGTTTGGATTCAAGGTGAATGAAACCAGCGCCAGTGGACCGCGGATGAGATGGTTACGAATGCATCCAAAGACCGACGAGGAGAAGGAAGAGTACGAAAACTGTGAGTTCAGCGTACCCAAATGGGTATCTGATAGTGATATGGAAGATGCCAATGACGATGATCAGGAAGATGGCGATGATCTTGATGATGATGAAGACGACGAAGACGACGACGATGAAGAGGAGAATGATGATGATGATAAAACTATGGCTAGCGAGTAACCTCGATAGAAACACCTACTCGTCATGCTCTATGTATATTTACAAATATAAACTATACAAATGTATTAATTGTAGTTCAATGAGTCAAGTTCATTGGCTTTCCTGGCTCCCATTCTTTGATGCCGTTTCGGATATTAATCCAGTATTTCAATCGGATGGCAGTCATCATGAGCTCGTCCCAGTCCTTGATTTCGTATTTAATCATGTCAGCAATCTCCGCTTCTGTTTCTTCAATCCGTTCCTCATTTTCCACTTCTAATTCCTCCAATTCTTGTTCCAGAGTGGCCAATTCCAATCGTTCATGTACCTCAAGAACATTCATCAATATCTCCTTGTATGCCAAACTGCTTTGGGTGGATTTACTTTGAAACTTTTTGATCAAATCCTTGGAAATTTCATCGCGAGATAGATCAAGATGAAGTGGGTGGTTCACCTTTATGAAATGCACTATTCTCGAATATGGGTTTTTCAAAGTGGTGTAGGCCTTATTTATAACTTCACTAAGTGATGCCTCATTCGACACGACTTCTGAATTGAGGATAGCTGACCCGTTCAAATCAGGGTGGTTCTCACTCTGCAAATTTCTATACTCTCTCCGCAAATGTTTCGGGTTGATAATGAATGAGTCCTGGGGTGGACCTCCATGAGGGAAGTTCTGAGGAAAGAGCTTGAAGTAGGATGTTATTGGTTTGGTGGAGTACCGCCGAGCAAGTACGGATATTCTAAACATGGTGTACTTGCTATAAAAGAAGACTCTATTTTACAAATTCCGATTCGGTGAGTTTTTTTTTTCCTCCTCTGTGTTTATATTACTCATCACCATGTTTAAGAAGAGAACAGTCAAGGGCAAAGACGATCAGTCTAAGAAAAGAAGGCTTGAAGAAGATCTAAATGATGAGATAACTACTTCAATACGACAAAAGACGTTTAAGAAGGTGGAATCTGCATCCAAGCACAAACCAGTCAGCTCCACTGCTGAAGTACTTGCCTCCAATTTGCAATCGAACAATGAGCCAGCTACAGAAGTAACTCCACGTACTAAAGGAACTATCAAGGCACCTCCCAAGAATATAAATGTTACTACCATAACAGATTTCCAACCTGATGTGTGTAAGGATTTCCTTCAGACTGGATACTGTGGGTATGGTGATACTTGTAAGTTCCTCCATATTCGAGATGAGTCGCGACAAAAGAAACCTATTGAAAAGGAATGGGAAAATGTAACCAGGAAGGAAATAAAGGATAAACCAGTAGAGGAAATACCGTTCAAATGTGTTCTTTGCAAGAATGAATACAAGTCACCAATAAAAACTCAATGTGGACACTTGTTTTGCAAACCATGTTTCTTGGATGAGTACAAACAGAAAAAGACAAAGTGTTTTATATGTAAAACGGAAACAGATGGAGTCATGGTACCGGTTCTGAAACTGGAATTAGAGAACCTTATTGGTAATAAATAATGCATTTCTATTTACATAGTTTATACAAATCCAGATTGTTGTTGCTGTCCTACCACAATCGCATTCGGATTGTTCCTGGTAAACTTAGTCCGTCTCTCATTTTGAGGCTCCTGTCTCTGGTAAGTCATTCCCCTTGACCCAAACTCGGGCTGTTGCTGTATTGTACGTTGGGTTCCTACATACTGCACACCCTGGGCCGATGCCCTAACCTCGGCCATTTTCAGCACAAACCCATAAATCAACCCGGCATTCCGAGTACTACATCCATGCAACCAGCCAAAGAAACTACCAATAAGTGGCGGAAACGTAATCACAAGATCAATTACAATATTACTCTGTAATCTTGCCACTAGCTTATTCGGTAAATTGAAATTCTCCTGGGCCAACCTAATCAATCTCGCATGGACAAGGTATAACATAATTGGGCCCAACACCGGGAAAATAAACACGACAATTGGTGCCAATCCCAACCCACAATCCATGCCTACTCCACACAGTCCAAGAAAACACTTGTCATGAGTCCATGCCTGGCTCTGGATCTTCTTCCACGCTTTTTGTTCACGTTTGTTGGTGATGTCGGCGGGGAGCTTCCGCTTATTGCCGTCCTCATCTTCGTACGGATCGACCGAATTAAAATGCTCTTCGGCATAGTCATTGAAATAGTCCATGACTATGTCATACCCAGGTATGTTCTCTAACTGTTGCTGTATCTGTGACATGGTGGCTATACGTGTTAAGGTTGATCCGGGAAAAATCTCGCGCAGGGCCCGATGGTGATCTTATAATGTTGCTCGGCTAAAAAGAAAATGACACTTATGCGCTACCAAATCAAATTTGTTGGCCGATACACGAGTTTGTGTCATGAATGGTGACATAATTCTATTGGATAATGGAACAAGCCTTGTTACAATAACATAGCCTATTCAATCAAATAAGTGGTCAATATGCAAATGATGAGAAGACATTAGGTTTGGTTATTGTAGCTACTAGCACTGTAGCAGTCAATTACTCATTTAAGCTGGGAGTTTTAGAAGTTGATTATGTGTTCAAGCAGTTAACTCATGCATGAATACCATACAAAGGGATCATCCAGTAGGTAGTAGTCTAGAATAAGGAGTGTGTGCTCATCTGCAACGCTTGCTGTTTTTCCAGCGTTATGATACTTGACTGGTTATCAGGTGATAAATAAGCATTTCTGTGCGTAGCATTAAATCACGTTTTTGCGTAGTGAGCAACGAAGTTGGGGAGGCGAGGGGAGGGGGGGGTGTTATATTAATCATAAAAATCACCCGGTTGAATCACATCTACAAAATATTTCTCACATTAATGTTCTTAGATCCATAGTTATGGCCCCATCATTTGCAAGTTCAAGAAAACCCATACCTAATGAAGGCGCAGACCTAACTAATCAACGACACTTGGACCGGCTTGCCCAAAGTAAATTAAAGCAGGAACAGGAAGCACTTGAGCTTCGCAAGATAGCGGATGAAGAGTATAGGAAGTATTATTCGTTCAGTTTGAATATAGTAGGAATTGGTCTTGGTGCAGTTCTACTTATCCTGTTTGCAATGATAGCATATCAGATCCGTCATGAAGTTACTGTTTAATGTTTCCCAATTACATCTTAGGCTGGTCCAGTAATTATAATAATAAAGATTAATTGTTACGTTATTATATAGTTTCTTTAATAGTTACATGAATTGATGGTAATAAGGTTATTAGTACATCTCGTAGTCATGATAATTACTCCTCCATATTACACCGTCGTAAGCAGGCAAATGTTGGGTCGGAATTAGTTACCATGTGAAGAATCGGAAAGCCTCGTTTATGCGCGTTTACAAAAGCAACGTTTTTCTTTTTTTTTATTTTTTTTTTTTTTTGATTTAAAAATATTTCACCACATACCTTCGATAAGACAACTACGAATCACAACATGTACGAACGTCCAGAAGGCATTGAAAACTGTCGAATTTGGATCGATGGTTGTTTTGACTTTGCCCATCATGGTATGTCCGAAAAAAAAACAAAAAAAAACACTAATCCTTAGTTCAACTTTGTACTAACTTAAGATAGGCCACGCGGGTGCGATCCTCCAAGCTCGTCAGCTCGGTCGTGAACTCTATGTCGGAGTTCACTCCGATGAGGAAATCCTCCATAATAAAGGGCCACCAGTAATGCGCCTTGATGAAAGACTCACTGCAGTGTCTGCCTGTAAATGGAGCACTAAGGTTATCCCACTGGCACCATATGTCACCTCCCTCGATGTCATGGATGAGTATGGGTGTAAATATGTGGTCCATGGAGACGACATTACAACTGATGCCAATGGTGAAGATTGTTATCAAATTTGTAAAGATATGGGAAGATTTGTTGTTGTTAAGAGAACTCCAAATATAAGTACCACCGATTTAGTCGGGAGAATGTTGTTATTGAGTAAGCTGCACATGTTCCCCAAATTAGATAAAACCGGTAGTTCTGTATTGTTCAGTGAAGAAAACTTGGCCAGATTCAAACAGTATGCCACAGATAATACAGGATTGGCACCAAAAAGTGCTGTTTATGTCAAGTACAACGATCATCTCGATCAAATTGTTGCCCCTAGTGCAGAAATTGAAGCCAAATTGAAAAAAATAGTTTACATTGATGGTGGCTTTGACTTATTCCATCCAGGCCATATTGAACTTTTAAAAGTGGTTTATCAACGTGCAGGAGAACACAATGCTTCCGTCGTTCTTGGTCTTCATGAGGATGTAGTTATTAATGAATACAAAGGTATGAATTATCCAATTATGAACTTGTTGGAAAGATCCTTGTGTGTGTTGCAATGTCGTTATGTTGATGCGGTCGTATTGGGAGCTCCATATAAACCAACCAAAGCATTCCTTGAAGAATTACCAGGAGAAGTGATCAAAGTATGCCATGGTCCAACTGAATTGGAAACAGAAGGGGTATATGAAGATACCAGTGACCTTTTTTTGCAAATTGGACCGCACAAGTTTGATGAAATGAACACTGCATTCATTGTTGATCGAGTATTGCAAAACAAGGCCGCTTTTGAAGAAAGACAAAAGAGAAAAGGGTGGAAAGCAGAGAAGGAGCGTGAACTCAAAGCCAAGGAACAACAAACAAATAATTCGTAATTCATAAATTCGTTATATTAGTATATAGTAGTATACAAAACCAAATTCTAATCTTTTAACATTTCTTCGTCTAATTTGTCATTCAAGTTGTTTAATCGTTCTTCATTCAAGGCATGGTTGGAATTTCTTCTTCCAGCTGACTTATTGAAATTAAATTCATCCTTATCCAATTCATCACCTGGTTGACCCCAATTGTTCTTACCAGCACCGTCCTTTTTTACTTTGGTTGGGTCACTGTCGTGATAGCCATGATGAGTAAACCATTTTGGTTCTTGTTGCTTTTCGCTTACTTTATTAGTTCTGGTCATGTTGACTAATTGTAACTTTTTGTTTTTAGTTGAGTTGTTTGTGTATGATACAATGTTTATAAATGTAAAATGTTGATGGAGAAAGAGAAAGAAGGAAAAAACTTGTTGGGGAATGTTGTTGAGTTTATATACGGGGAAAAGGGGGTAGTGCGGGCGATTAAGTTTGGGTGCGTCATTATTCCATATGGAATGCGAATGACTCCAATTAATTTTGTGCTACAATTGCAATAACCAACGATCTGGTGACACAATTGAATTATAAATGACAGAAATCAATATTGTGGCATATGTAGACAACTGGGCTGTGTATTGCTGTTACTATTATTGGTTTGTAAGTTGAAATTACAAGATATGCGTCATCCACGACGCTATCTGAATTTCTTATTTTTGAAAAAAGTGTGGGGGCGAAAATACTATGGACGATCATACGAAAAAAAAAAATTAGGGTGCAATTTTGTGTGCTGTCTTTTTTTTTCTTACTATAGAAGTTTACAGAAGAAATAAAGTGGGGAGACTTTTCTTGATCAAATTCAATTGAATGAACAGGTGGTTGTAGGAGCTGCCACGAAAGCAGTAATATAGCTATTCATGTTACTCAGTTGAGAATTCATGTTGATATAGAAATGTAACCCTGTTTATCTCGTTAAAAGTCGTTAAACCATGCATAGTCATAGTGAAAAGTCTGAATTAAAAAGAAATCAAAATTGGTAGTCATAATTTCCCACCTCTGATTTATTGTCACGTAAACTAAATTTGTGTCGCAAACTTTGATCTCAATATGCGTCACGGGGGGGTTTTTTTTTTGCACTACAAAATTCTCACCGAAATAACTCGCACACATTATTTGGCTGTGCTGTGGTCATGCCACAATTTCTTTGTGATACATTGCCAGAATTTCTTCAGAATTCTTCCATTTTATTTGCTTGAGCAAATATGAACGTCCTGAAGAGTTCGCAGTTGCTAATTGAGAGTACTTACTCTAGATCTAGAAATGCAATTCGTAACTTGTAAAGAGACTTCGGAGGGTAAACTTCGGAAATATAACTTATCATTCCGATGGCCGAGTATTCGAGTATTCGAGTATTCCTGCACGTCGCATAATTTCTCGTCTCGAACTTCTCTGATATTCTTGCCATTCGGAACCTACCTCTATGGTATCTCACGGAAACTTATCCATTATCCGAATAATCTTTGAGCTGAGCATTTAATTCCTTTTTCGTGATGCTAATTTTAATAAGCTGGTTAATTGGCGGCGTTGAACGGAGTTATAATACTCCGGAAAGAGTTCCGAGATCACAATATCATTTAAACAATTTAAATTACATTAATTCTTAAATACAGGGAAATTTCTTGCGTGACTAAAAGAGAATGTAATAATCTGTTTTTGGCCAACCTAATTTGTCCCTTAAAGTTTGAATTTCTTTTTGCATAACCCCTATTTCTGCAAGGTACGTGGTGCTAGGGCGCGCGTCTCTCAGTACATTACGGGATGACGTTTACAGATACGTTATCTCGTCGGCTTCTTGTTCTGGAATCTTGATGGGGCCAGGTATTTTTTTTATTTTTTTTTGCACGGACTTTCCTCGGAACAAGAGTGGTTGGGATGATTTGCTATATCCAGATTTACGAATTACCAAAGTAATATCCGTAAGCTTTATTGCTCTGAACCTATAATCGGTTCAATTTATGCATAAATTAATAGATGACTCTGATCAATGACCTCATTAGTCGGGCATATCAAATGCTCAATTACATCCACATGCATCCAGCTTTCATCTTCCTGTTGCACTATAACATGGGAAATGATATGTTAGTTTTGAAACTGCTCTATCCGAGCCATTTACTCTTTGAGAGCACCGATGACGTTTAGTGATGTCATTTTTAGTTAAATCATATTAATGTGATTTATTCTAATGAATATCGCATATTCCTACATATAACCCTCGATCGTTTTAACATTTTATGTCCGCTTAGGTGACTAGATATCGATTATTCATGACGGATGTATATTAAGTATGAACACACATATTCCTCATTGTGGTTGAGTATAAGGGGATTTTCATGAGTGACGCCCTTTCTACGATGAGTGATTGCAAAATCTTTACCCTAATAATATATCGTATTAGGGCCCCTTTCGATGATCACCGGCTACAAGTTTCTCTTTTGCTATTTCAGAGTCTAAAACATGAGTAATTACAGTCGGCTAATTTAAGTTATTGACTTCTCTCGTTAACTTCTACATGACTCTTTACCTGTATTGACAACTACGAAGATTCGGAACGGAACCTAGATCCTTGCAATTTAAGGAAGAGGAACGGATAATTGCAAATAATATCATATTGTATATCCGTTATACTCAACTTGATTACATTGGCAAGGCATTCATGGAAGGTACTCTGACTGCAAGGCGCAAAGCAATACAGCTTAACTGCCGGAAATGTACTTCCAAGGTGGAAATGCCGTAAGGCACTAGAATAATCGAAATTATACGATTCGTTTCAAAGGCGGCGTTGCATTTTTCCGGCACTAACTATAAGATTTTCCCGGTACGGCTATAATGCTCTATGTTGTTACATTTCCACTAGATGTTCCGATGAGGTGGAAAGATTCTAGTCGGGGGAGGGTTTTCACTTATCCGGGAGTTCCCTGTTACCGGAATAATTCCGCGAAATTGCTATCGTTTCTTTTTTTTGCAGCTAAGTTGGGCATAAGCTTCTACTAGAAAATATATTTCCTGAATTAATGCCCGTGCTTGGGAATTTCTTTTTACCTATAATCTATATTCAATTTAGTAGACCCCGCTTTCTTCTGAGATTGGTTTAATGATACTACTAGTGCGAAAAATATCGAGAGTGCCTTGGCGTTCTTCTGCGCATGAACTAAGCACAAATAATGGCATGCTAATAAACTAAGCCGGTGTAAAGCATATACGAACAACGTGTTAGTATTGTTAGACCGAGGTCGACCTCTCTTTTCTTGCTCCAAGAGCCTGCATCTCTTCTCGGGAATAAATTGCTGCAAAAATTGTACGATTTTGAAAATGATTAACTAGGGATGTAAGTAAATTATTTTCTAGAATCTTTCGTACTGCAAATCGTACAACTTTGCTATCTTGGATCGGATTGCTCGGATAGGGGGTTCTTTGTCTATTGTTTGCCATAGTCCATATTTTTTTGACTAAAATTGTCATCAGGAATTAGTATGTGCGATAATGAACGGGCGTAACTTTGCAGCGGGCAGTATCTTGCTTACAATTACTAGATCTTATCATCACTTCTTGTAGATAGAGAGGGGTGGATTCATGAAGCAGTTCGGAACCTTCCAGTTTCTTTATCATTGCTATTATGAGATAAATTTACCCGAACCATCCGGGTAAATTTCTTTGTTGTAAATTTGCCATAAATAATCCCGAAATTCAAATTATACGAAACTCACGAGATAATTCAAACAATCATCAACCATGAGTCTTATTAGTTACTTCGCAAAAAGAACATTGATATTTTCTACAATAATCTTTTGAAGACGTTTAATGACCCATTGATTTACATCCCACGGATGTTCTTTTGTATATTAGAAATTGTACCCGCATGGAAACTACAGTTAGATGACGTGATCTGATTCTGGTTTCTATAATAGGCATGAGCACCACAATGCTGTAAACTACAGGCAAACGTCATCACAATCACATTTCCAGGTCATCAAGAATAAATTTCCAAATGTAGCCATGAATAATATTAAGTCGATCTTTGGTCATCTCTCTTAGGTAGTCATCCTTTTGTTGCAACTTCAAGATAAGACAATCATTTTGTTCACCTAATCTAAAAATTATCGAAAACATTAAAAGAAAATTTGTTGATGTTTTTGACAAACTGGGTAAACAATAAGTGATTGATTTGCGAAATTTACGGATAACAGATGATCAAGGTGAATCTTATTAAATTTTCGAATAATTCTCTTGAGATCACCGCCTTGCATTAAAAATATACTTCACCTTGAATGATTCCTAATCGTACTCCTCTATGAACTCTCGGTTCATACCTACAACGGGGGTAAGGGGGGTTTGGTTATTTTACAAAATTGCACGGCTTTATCACGGAAAGATCGGAAGGAAAGTTATCAAGTTTTATGTTCCACATTCCACGTTTGCTAAGTAAACAATATAATACTAAATCGAGGTTTACGAAATTTAGACCAGATATTTTTTTTTTTGCATAGCAGCAGCCTTTTAACGGTTTTGCAATGTGATTCTGGGAAGTCTAATTTTTAGTTTTAATCTACTTTTGTAAGGGCTTGTTCGATTCAGATTTCTAGTAATGAGTGATATACAGTCAATTGGTCATTATATGCTCCGATTTGCAATAGTAATGTATACAAGACTAGATAATTTTGGATTTCTTCGGGGGTAGTAGACAAGCTCCGAGAACCAAAAAAAATAAAAATATAAAAAGAAATTGTTAGTCACTTATTAGCATTACATGGATGATGCAGAGATGAGTCCTTAATTAAGTGAATAAATGAGTGACTTTGTGAGAGGGGTAAGTCATCCTAATATTTTATCACTTGGATTGTTACCTTTAATGCGTGATATTGTATTTTATTGGCCGTTATACGAGTTTGGGTCTTGAAATGTAGCTCCTGCGAATTTAGTGATCAAAGTATTTCGCAATTCAATCTGTGTTATCTTTGCTGGATAACTTACGAGTTTTGTAGGTCCAATTTCTTACCCTATTCTATTCAGTTATTTCCAAGTTGGTTGCTTTGTAATGCAAAGGCGTGTGGCTATTATAAAAGCATTGTGTACACAAAATTAGACGGGGAATGTAGGCAAACAACCGGTGCATATTCGAGGCGGTCACAGACAGAGTTTTCAAATATCAGTGATTGATTGTATCACTTCGCAATTCCTTGCCAAATAATCTCCAATATTCGGGCCAAAGACTCTTCTAGCAAACTTTTTCTTCATTTTTCTAAAATATCAGGAGTCATGACTAAAATATACGAAGATCCAGGATGTATGACTTTATAAATTGATGTCATCTAATGTTTACATAGCACTGCAATTACATATTGTGATGAGATTAATTAATAGGTGATCAATATAATTTGAAATGAAGTCACGTTGCGATGGAGTGTCCGGATACCTCGAATTGAAGGAACTTGAAGTCACCTCTTTTCGTCAATGTGCAAATTTTGATTCAGACGCCTTCGTATATTTCTGATTCATTAATCTTGTTGAAAGTGTGATCATATCTCAGCTGATGACCAATTTTTTTTTTTAATTACCTCTGTTTCAATGTTGGAATTCGAGACTATTTTTGCTCATCCGTCTGTTCCTGTAATTACTTCTGTGAACGTGTGACTTTACTGTTTCTTATTTCTCTTACTAATTCAATCAGCAAACTTCCATTTGTCATGATTCAAGTAACTCTAATAGCTTCCCCTCTTTTATGTTTATATTCCAGATGCGCTTTCGGAGTATGTGGTTTCTGTCAAGATCATACTATGACGGGCTCCTGCAAGATTAGATCGGAACTTGCGGATTGTTTGTATCTTCTTAGGATCTATCGGATCATTGAACTTGCATAGGTTTCTATTCTAGAATATTTGTATTAGAGTTAATCCTAATCTGCTGCTTTTGGTTGTTCCGAACGTTGGAAGATCGAACAACAATTTGGCTTAATTCATTGCTTATAATATACTCTTGGTTTCGGCTCAAATACCGCCGTTGGCAAAAATACACAGTTTGCATAATTTGATAATTTGAGTGATTTTGTTCTAGGCTTGGAATGACCATTTGCAGCACCATTTTGATATGCTGATGATATTTCTCTCAATGTTTACTTTTATACACAGCAACAAATTTTTTTTTTTTCGCAACCAATTTCAACATTTTTTCGCAGACATTTTTTGAGATATATTTTCACAAATTCTCAATTATATTTCTTTCTTTCTTTTCCTTCTTTTCCTTTTCTTTACCATAATTCCTTTCAACTTTCAAGTTTAATCTTCAAGATTCTTTTCAGACTTATAATCATCCTCATACTAGTCTTCATACTCCTTTGAAGTACTATCCACATTTACAAACTAATCAAAACTTTATAACAACAAATTTTAGCCGCTTTTCACAATCATGAAGATTTTATTAGCGTTAATCTATATAACTTCCTTCCTTGCCCTTTCACTAGCTAATAAAGCTCCCAAGATTAAGAAGAATCCCAAGAACATTGTTGCCATTGCTGATTTCCCATTTGGCGGTAATACTAACGTTCGTGGAAATGTTGTGTTTACCGCTAAGCAGGGTTCGTTTGTAAATGTTCATGTTGATATGACTGGGTTGCCTGCTGATGGAGGTCCTTTTTACTACCACATTCATGAGATTTCTGTTCCTGGCGACGGTAATTGTGAAGCAGTTGGTTTGCATTTCAATCCTTATAAAGCTTCTCCCAAGTGCAGTGAACAGAAACACGATGGTTATTGTCAAGTTGGTGATTTACTGGGAAAACATGGGGTTATTAACGCTACTTGCTTCGAAATTTCTTATGAAGAACCATATTTATCCTTGAATAAAAAGTCCAAGTCTTATATCATTGGTAAATCATTGGTATTCCACTACGCAAATATGACTAAGATTGCTTGTGCTGATATTGCACTTGCCGATGACATAAGATTACAAAGTCTTATTGAAGAATATACACAAAGCTCAGATTACCAACCATTACAAGAATTAAAGGAACCAGTTGAAGACGGATACAAGTTTGATGAATTGGAAGCACTTGCCGCTGAAGTGTATGAAGCTGATCCAGAGTTGGTTTCGAATGGGAGTCATCATGGACTTTCCCACAGAAGAAAGAGTGCTACTTTGTTCACTGGCGATCTCTTGAATACGACTAGCAATTATACCAACATTTCTCAAAATCAATATGGTCCTGGTTGTGAAGAAGTTCCTAATGGCGGTAGCATGTTGTATATACCCTTGTTTTTGGGTCTATTTTCTTGGTTGTTCATTTAGGGGAGATGTTTTCTTGTTTGCATTTATTTATTTTATAACCTCTCACCAACGTGACGTATTCTTCCGTTGGCATTAATTAGCATTTACAAGAATATACATTTAAAATAATCATTACTATTACATGATAATCAATCCATTTTGTACTTTGTCTAACCCAAACAATCTAATGCAATCAACCACTATCGCTCTTTCCTCGGCCGTTAACTCTTTCCATATAAACGAATCTGTTATATTTTCATACAGATAGAAGATTTTGACTTGGAAGTTATTATCAATAATTCCAGTTTGAAGCCAGGTTAAAATCTGGGTAAGTGGGATGATTCCTGGGGCAATAAGAGGAATATTATTTGGTTCAAAAGCACTATGTGCTATTTGATACTTTCGTTTAAGCAACTCTCCGGCCATTCTCGCTGCTTCTTTGATGTCAGGGCTGTTGTAAAGTGATTCAGCAATGTTGATTAGCGGACGTTGAAAAAATGGACTTTCTGTGTAATCTACAGGATGACCATCATTATCCAATTCCAATTCATGGTTGACATTCTCTTCTTTATCGCCAATGACAAACAATCTGCCATTAGCCATGTAGGGTTTAACCATATCCATAGGGAAATACACTTCATTACATACATCCAAAACTTCACCTCCAAATTTAGCCTTGTATTTCATCTTGGTACAATCGTCAATGTAGTAACCCAAGTAGTAATACCCTAGATTTAATTCATGACACATTTGTATTTCCTTGAGTCCAGAAAGAGTGCCTAGTGATAAGTGGGCATAATCTGGGTCCCAGACAAAGTAAATTGACGAGACTCCAGTGGGTAAGAAATCAAGTACTGAGAATGCAATTAATTTGTCATCAAGATAATATAATTCATGAGTAGGACCGATTCTTCTATTAGGTGAAGTGGGATTTTCTTGATCAGGTTGCCAATTCTTTACCCAGTTCTGGAGAAATGCAAATTGTTGTTCGTTTCCAGTAACTTCGCTCATTGGGAATGGAGAATCACATAAGAATCGACGGAAAGACTTTTCTTCAACTTCTTCTGGCTTATCTCCATGCACACTAATCTGATACTTTTTAAATAACTCATATTTTTCCTGCGAGAACCCCGATGGTTCGAATCTAGTTCTAAATCTGGTTGATTTCTGTTGTGCTTTAATCAATTTTGAGAAATCAAATGCAATACCTTTCTTAGGCTCATGATTCGGTACCATTTCCGGACATATCTCCTTGACGAATCTATTGATGACCTTGCGATGTTCCTTGGTTAATTTCAAGTAGTCGAATCGGGTCCGGATAGTATATTGTCGACAACAAGTACGTAGCAAATCAGGCTTGTACAAAAATATACCTGATCTTCTGAATCCCATGTTTATCAACTCATCATAATCTTTGGATGACATAGAAAGTACTGATGTGCCAAGAATTACCGATTGGGAATGCGTGTTGCTATCATGGTGATTCTTTACACTTTCAAGAGCAAAATAATCTGGTTTGCTGCCGTGACAGTATCCACAGCGTCGTTCCAGAAGATTTCTGGGAGTGTCCATTACAATAGGCATTGTGTATGCTTGATGTATCTGTGGGATCTGGGTGAGTTGTCCACATCAAGATTTTGCACGAATGTAATTGTGGGTGAGGTTTAAGTTATCGGGGGGTCGTGCGACAAGAACAAAAATGGGGATGTGGATTTAAGACATTTGAATGGGCCCTAGTTAATGGAACAATCTAGGTCAGACAAGCAAGTGCTAAATTCGTAATATTGTGGTCAAGCTCATCTTATACAAGTCTTCTGGTTATTGCAAGATCTTATTGCTAAAGAAATTCCATTGTCATTTGGTAAACAAAGAAAATGTAAGACATTGCTGCCGAATTTTTAACAAGGGAAAAAACGATCACCAAAATTACACCTGAACCATCAACTCTACTTTATTGGCCAAGGAAGCGTGCAATCCACCAACCAATCATCAATCCAAGCTTGTTACTCACTCATAGAAAGTTACTGCCCAACTCGCACCTAATATTTTATAGACAAAATGAGCACAGCTAAAACTGTGAGTCCAACCAAGAAACTTAAGAAGGAGCAGCAACCTACTGTCAATGATACCCCTGATGAAGAAGCACTTCAACTGCAAGCAGATGATCCCGAAGACCCATCGATATTATCAGACCCTGAAGACTACTTGGAAGAGAACGAATCTCTTGATATGAATCTCACCGGTGGCAACCAAAAAGTGTGGTTGGTTAAACTACCTAGATACTTGATGGAGAAGTGGCAAAATCAGGAAGAAATAGATGGGAAACAGCTAGGCATGGTTAAAATCAAGAAAGACACAGGGTCCAATGGGAAGTTACAAGTAAAGTTGGTATTGAACAACCAGGAAAACAACATGAATGATATTCCTCAAGAATATGATATCAAGATATTAAACACTCAAGTGAGGAATACCTATGCATTCAGTGAAGAGAACTTGAAGAAGTTTAAACAGGAATTGACTGAAGTTTCTCAAATGCCGGAACAGCCACAATTGCCAACCGACAAGGATGCATCCAAGAAGAAGTTTGTTCCTCGTAAGAAGTTCAAATTCTTTAGAGTTCAAAAGACAGGTGAAGATGGACAGCAAGTTCGTAAATATATCCCATTCGTTAAAACCATCCCTAAGAAAACAGCATTGATGGGTAAGATTTGTCATGATTGTCAAATAATCCCTTCCAAGTCCGATCTGAAATATGGGGAAATATACATGAGAAGACATAACATCACCCAGGGCCCACCAAGGCCAAAGGTAACATTATTGAATGAAATTCCTGGGGTTATTCAATCGAATGCTGGACCTTCCATCAAAGGAAGCAATACCTCGGTATTCCTTAAATCTACCATTGCTAAAGGTAAAAATGAAGGTAGGGCAATCAGAATGCCCAAAAAGGATCTTTTGGACTTGTTGTTTAGATTGTTTGAAGAGTATGAGTATTGGTCAATGAAGGGGCTTAAGGAAAGAACTAGACAGCCAGAATCATATCTTAAAGAATCTTTAGATTCAATTGCAAATTTAATTAAAAAGGGACCTTACACATCGAAATATAATTTAAAGCCAGAATATAGAAGATTGAGAGATGCAGAACGTGCAGCTAGACTTGGTATTGATTTTACCGAGGAAAAAGAGGAAGAAGAAGAAGAGGATGAGGAAATGGAAGATGTGGTATGAATAGAACATTTTTTTATGTAATAGTTTTAAGCTTTGCTTTTGTAATTTCAAAATGTCAACGAATCTCGTTATATATTAAATATACATAGATGATGGTAGCAGTTAATTCACAATAAAAAAAGACGGAAACAACACTTTTGTATAATTCTGGATTAATATGTGGTCTCTTGGTCTTTGTTATTCACCTCCTGCCAGAAATTATGAAACCCTTTTTTTTAACTTTAATTAATAATCCTATCAGTTAAATTACAAGTTGGTGATCTTTAAGGTTGGTGGTAAAGATTGTTGTAACTTCTTGGCCTTGGAAGCGTCGTTGACAACCAAAGTGTATTGGTACTTGGAACCTCTAACCTTGAACTTGGTTTGCTTGAACTTCTTACCGTTGGCGTTGATCTTCTTGTTGACCTTGACAACAGCAGACTTGATGTCAGCTCTTCTGGCTAATTCGACGAATTCCTTGATATCCTTGATTTCTCTGGCCATCTTTGATTATGTATGTGTAATAGTAATAAGTAACCTTGTAAAGTATGAGATTTTTTGAAATATTAATTTTTTTGTTCTGGCTGTTTGGTGGTAGACCAAGATTTTCGGTACTGCGAAAAAATTGCGCAGAGGAAAAAAAAAAAAAATTGCACAAAAATGCGATAATGTTTTAGGGTTAAAGCCCTATTGTCATTCCTCCACGTGACCTGATCCATTATCAATTCTCTCCTTGGCAGTAATTAACCGCTTGATACTAGTTATCCATCGTCTCGTTTTATCATCAATCATAATATTAGCTTGTTTTTTTTGACCGGTGATTCTCTCTGCTGCACTTCTAGCATGGATCCCCACGTTAAGCACACCAATGGGCCAAGCGACATTACCTATACTTAACTTCATATAGCTTTCGTTAGCACGACGATAGTCTTTTTGCTGGATGTAGTATATTATAGTAGTTAATGAAGTTAGAATGTCTTCCGAGAGCTCTCCTGTTCTTAATCCGTATAATAACGGTACTATATCTCGTTTGGTTTCGAAAAGTAGCGCGGTTTGTTGATCCAGCGGATGTGCTTCATTGCAATCCTGCCATGACTTGATCATTTCCTTGATATATACTCGAGCGAGAACATTTACTTTGTCTTTTCTGGATTGTAGATTTGAGATGAGGTCTAGTGTGACCTGTTGTTTTGTGGGGTCTTGATAATACGGTGCTTCTTTATCTAGCCATTCCTTGTACTTTTCGTTTCTACTCTGATATCGAAGTAGTTGTTTCAACTTGGTAATCTTCTCTTTGGTTGTGAGGTTGTCTGTAGGTTGATCAAATTGTGATAGTTTGTAGTCTAGTTGCTCTTCGGTGAGTGGTGGCTCCTCTGTAGTCTTTGTTGTATCTTCGGCTGGCTCGGAGATTGTTGTAAACTGTTTCTCATCAAGCGAAGACTTGAGCTCCGGCTTCTCTGCATTTGTCTTCGGCTTTTGTTCTATACTTGTAGGCTTATCATTCCTCGGTGTGGTCTTTGATTTATGAACTTTACCCACTTTCTTTCTCTTTTTGTTGATTTCTTTCGATATTAAACTTGAAAAGTCCATGATACTTCTTAGTTTATATTAACTTTCATCTACTGATACTTTATTGTACGACAATGGCTGGTTGTGCTTATCGGCATATGCTCATAATCCAATTTGGTGCAACCAGAAAAATCACACGAATGCGTTACACGTTTTATTTTTTTGAGGGGGGGGGGGAGGAGAGAGAAGTGTTGGGTATCCACATTTTAATCACCAGTCTTTTCCCAAAGCACCCTATCCCAACTAGACTGAATAAATCATCTGGTAATCCCTAATCACATCAGTTCTATCGATATTTCAACATGTCGAAACCGGATACCAGTCCCAAGGTGAAGAAATCCGAAAATTCCGCCCATAACATTGAATCCGCCATCAGCGAAACCGACAATAAAGACGACCAAACCAATGCCACTGTGGAATTGCGAGCTCAATTCGCATCAGATAGCCCCAGCAATAAACCACAATCATCACCCTTACTCGTATCTACGCCTCCCGCCGTATCCAAGGCATTGATTAAATCATATCCTTATTTACTTATCATAAATAAAATCTTGTCAATTGCCACCTGGACAAACGACGACTATTGGGTCAATATCGTTATTCTTTGTTTGTTTGCCCTTGTTGTGTTATATTTTGAAAGTTTGGTGGTTTGGATAGGACATCTTATCGTAGTGGGGATAATCACCTTGTATGCATTGTTGAACAATCAAATTATTGAAGAAACAAACATGCATCCTACTTTGGATGAAGTTGTCCAGGCATTGACTGCCACCTGTATCAAGGCAGACATGTTGTTGAATCCAATCACGTCGTTATCGTTGACTGCATATGATATAAAGAGATTGTTATTCACGACATTTTTCCTCACTCCACTATACCTCATCATCACATTTTTGATAATCAAACCACGGATAATTCTTCTAGTCACGGGGTTATACCTTTTATCCTACCACTCCTCATACTCCCGTGTCACCAGACGAATCATTTGGAAAGTCAAGTTGGCTCGATTGATAGTGTATTACCTCACGGGTTTGGATTTCCTGAGGGCCAAGAATCACTCATTGTTTGCCGCTGCATTCGCCAAAGTGCAAAAGAATGCTGGGTTCGACACTAAAGGTGCAGGAAACAAGCCGGTCCGATTCACTTATGTGATTTACGAAAATCAACGAAGATGGTTGGGGATTGGCTGGACGTCAAATTTGTTATCATACGAACGAACGGCATGGACTGACGAATTCCTTAATGAAAGCTCATCGATCGATACGTTTCAATTGCCCAATGCTTCTGAGGATAAGAACTTCAACAACCCGTATGAGGATTCAAGCAAGATCAATTCGGCCACTTGGAGGTGGGTGGATAAGACCTGGCGGTTGGATTTGACCAACGATGGTGCCATCACCTTACCTAATGCGAAAAGATCCAAGACAACGGCTAATCCAGGATCTGACGAGGGGTTTATTTATTACGATAACACTTGGAAGAAACCTTCTACCGATGATACATTTTCCAAATACACCAGAAGAAGAAGATGGATCAGAACAGCCGAGTTGGTTTTTGATGATTCGACTGCTATTGAGCCTAAGATTAGTAATGAGAGTGTTGTTACCACCACTGGTGCCTCGATTGCCGATTCTACCGCATCTACTAAAAAGACAAAGACTTTGAGGTTTGCAGTTGAAGAAGAAGTTGAGGAACAACCAGAAGAAGAAGAGGTTGAAAATAATGAAGATGTCGATATTGCTAAGAAAATTGACTGATTGAGGTGTGTATAGTTTAAGTAAGATTTAGATATGACTAATGAAGGAGCTTAAAAAGGTTGTCTAGTTTCTGGGATATTCCTACAGAAAATGTATAAAAATATATCAACATATATCCCACAATTACAAGTATCAGGAGATTTGTAACTCTATGTAATACCTAGCAAATTTTATTCAGATATACGATAACAGAGCAAGCTATAGCAACATAGGATAATTATGTAAATTGGTAGCAACTATCATGTCAACTCCGCGGAGGTTCCGGTGTCGTCATAGATAACGAAAAACACACACAAAATCAAACCCCACTATAAAAGTCGTAGTTTTCCTCCCTCCCGAAAGCAAACATTGAATCTCCATTCTCTTTATCCAATAATGCTCATCTCTAGCACCTACGGTAAATCCAATGTCAAATTCCTTAAAGTTCACCGAATTGATGAAACAAAACACAACATAATTGAAGCTAATGTTGAAGTACTTCTTCGTGGGAGCTTCGATATTGCTTATACCAAAGGAGACAACACGCCCATCGTCCCTACTGATACCGTCAAGAATACTATTTTAGTATTGGCTCAGAAAGAGAATACGTGGCCCATTGAAAGATTTGCTGCTACTTTGGTAAATCATTTTGTCAACAAGTATGAACAAGTTGGCGGTGTTGAAGTCAAGATTGTTGAGAATAGTTGGAGTAGGATCGGTGATCATCCTCATTCCTTTCAGCATGAGGGTCCAGAAACAAGGCGTACTGTATTGGATTATGAGAAAGCACTGGGGAAGTTGCAATTGGCTAGCTCAATTAATGGATTGACTTTGTTGAAATCTACTGGGTCAATGTTTTACGGATACAATGTATGTGATTTCACCACGTTGAAGCCAACCTATGATAGAATATTATCTACTGATGTTGACGTTAGTTGGAGGTACGATCCTGATATGATATCTACACTTGGTTTAATTGAGAAATATGCCGATTCTGGGTTGTTTGATGATGCTTATACCAAAGCTAGAAACACAACTTTGGATATTTTCTGTGAGGAGAAATCCGCTTCGGTTCAAGCAACCATGTACAACATGTCACAAAAGATTTTACAGTTGGTTAAGGAAGTAGCTGATGTCAGTTATGAATTGCCTAACAAACATTACATATTGTATGATTTGAAATGGAAAGGAATTGACAATGATGTTCTTTTCTATCCTTCTCCTGATCCCAATGGTCTTATCAAATGTACTGTTGGTAGGAATTAGAAAGCTGCAAAAAGTTGCTTGCTCAGCTCAGCGCGAAATCAAACCAAAAAAAAAAAAAAAAAAATGAAAATTATAAATGAAGTAGTTAGTTAGTTATAGATTACACAGCATGATTAATAAATCGGTTCTATTGTCAATTATAGCCACTGCAGCTGTGACAGCTAGTGTATTAGAATTCATACACTCATACCAAACCAAATCAAAACCACAACTAAAAGCAAAGGAAGTAGCTGCTTCTCCAAAGCAACACTCAGAAGAGCTCATTCGTGAACAACTTGCCAGAAACTATGCCTTTCTCACTGAGGAAGGAATGACCAAAGTCAGATCACAACGGATTATTATTGTCGGATTAGGTGGTGTTGGATCATGGGTCGCCACTATGCTTGTCCGTCTGGGTGTCAGTCACATCCGTGTCATCGATTTCGATCAAGTCAGTTTATCATCATTAAATCGTCATGCTGTGGCTACCTTGAGCGACGTGGGTATTTCCAAAGTCGACTGTTTAAAGAATCACCTTTTGCAAATCGCACCATGGGCGGAAATCGACACTTGTAACCAACTTTGGAATATGGACTCCGCTGAAGAATTGATCTTTGGAAACGACTTTAACCCAACATATGTCATTGATTGTATTGACAATCGCGACACCAAGCTCGACTTGCTTACTTATTGTTACCAAAAGGGTATCAAGGTAGTTTCCTCTGGTGGGGCCGCATGTAAGTCCGACCCAACCAGAATCAACGTGGCCGACATTTCCAAAACTGAGGAAGACCCATTAGCAAAAAGTATCCGTGTCATTCTTAAAAAGCGAGGAATTGTAGACGGAATCCCTACTATATTTTCCGCAGAAAAGCCAGATCCTCGTAAAGCCAAATTAATTCCATTGTCCGAGGATGAAATCACCAAGGGTAAAGTCGATGAATTATCTGCCCTTCAAGATTTCCGGGTCAGAATCTTGCCCGTTTTGGGAACCATGCCTGGTATGTTTGGACTTGCTATTGCTACCCATGTATTAACTACTGTTGCAGGATATCCTACTGAGCCAGTGGAGGGAAAGAACAGATATAAAGTATATAATGATATTTTGCTATCGCTCGCCGGTCAACAATCGAGAATCGGTAAGGAAGATCAAAGAATTCAAATTGCCTTAAATGATATCAATTACATTGTCGAAGAGGTGTTCAGGGGCAAATCACCAATATCGAACTTCTCAACAAGATTGGCATTGAGTAGATGGAATAAAGATGAGGATATTTCGTTTCAGAATGTGGTTGTTATGACTAAGGAAGAACAAAAAGAGCATGAAAAGAGAGTATTGATTGGTGGTGAGCGTGTTGAAGATGTTTATTCTGAAGAAGTGTTGGCAAGAGTTAAGCAAAGATTTGCCGATGAAAAGTATTATTCGCAATTCAGATAGGCCCGAAACAGCGGATGGTGCTGACACGAAAATAAGCTTTAACTGTTGTTGCCAGACGCTGTAAAAGTAAGTATGCTATAGCTAAGTATTAATCCGACTATTTCAAACATATATATAGAATATAAACTATTAGATACGTAACACTCGTACTCCTCCATCATTCGCCATCGGGAGATTTCGGATTTAACTATTTTCACCACCACTGCAATTCTGGAAAAAAAAATCCTTACTTTTTTACAACCAACTTGAATCACCAACAACAATGTTCCCCTTTGCGCCACTAAGAAGGATACCATTTAGGATATCCAACATATCACGAACTGTTCGCAATGCAAGTACAGCCACAAAACCCAAGGGGATAAAAGCACTTACCAAAGCCTATGGTCTCCCTGCCCTTGGTATCTACCTTGGCCTTTCATGTATTGATTTGCCAATCTGTTATATATTTGTTCATTCAATGGGCAGTGAGAAGATTGAGATTTATGAAAACAAAGTTAAGAATGTGTTTGGTTATGGCGTGAGTGAAGAAGAAGTTTTAAGACGTCAAGAACTGAGAGTTAAAGAAGTGGTTGTCGAAGATAAAGAACAAAGTCTTTGGAAAACCGTGGTCAACCTGTTTTCATGGACGGAGTTTGCCATTGCCTACGGGATCCACAAGAGTTTGATCTTTATTAGATTGCCCATTACTGCAGCCATTACCCCGGCTGTAGTAAGAACATTGGCCGGATGGGGATTTAATATTGGTAAGGGTGTAGTGAAAACAACCTCCGCGGGTGCTGCCGGTACCACTGTCAAGGCATTTGATGTCACTGCATCCAACCCTAAATTTGGTACAAGACCTACATCAAAGAAAAAATGGTGGTGGTTTTTCTAAATTTCGTGTATATACAATAAATATTATGCAAATCTTCTAGATACAAACTTCTTCATCCGTTCGTAGACAAAGAAGGAACAACTAACCATCGGGATAACCTTCATATATCCAATACTCAATCCGACGAAAAACCCTCGGATCCCACTCTCACGATAGATTAACTTCGCGGTGGACTTAAACCCGACAAACTGGCCTTGGTTGACGGCACCTCCTACTTGCATTCTTCTCCGTATGACTTCAAATGGGTATGCTGCTGTTTGTGAACACATACCGGCCAATCCACCCGCAACTAATTGGGCCCATGTGGTGAGTGGGGCTCTTGATTCTCGAGACAGTTTCGTCCCGGCTTGTTTGTTCTTGTTAACAATTTGAACCTTACGATGGACATGTTGTTGGACAGTGTATTTTGCGAGATACTTCAGTCGAAGTATATCATGAAGTAGATCGTGGGTGTAGAAAGATACACCGGCATAGGGAATCATCCCCATGATCGTGGGAGCAAATCCTCGATAAAAGTTGGAGATCTTTTGAATCTGGGGTGGGAAAGTGTCCCTCATGTACTTTAACCATCCTGGGTCATTGATCTTTGGTGGTGGGTTTTCATGATAAATCATGTTGATAGTACTTGCCAACCTTCCTTGGTGTCTCTTCATGAACTGGCTATGTTCTGGGTGTAGTTGTAAATGTGTCTTGGTGAGATTCCTAGTTTCGAACGCTAATCTAACTCTGACCAAGTCCAAGGGGTAGGTAAAGAAAACTGACATGAGACCCGACAAGGAACCAGCCATGAATCTTCGAGCAGCAGTTTCATAATTATCATTAGGGATAAGCAACGTTCTAATCTGTTCGTAGGCAACAAACTTTATCGCAGCATAGGGAAATATACGGAGCAAAGTTACCGAGTGCCCCTGGTACAACCCCCAAAGTTTGTCATTTCGCCAAATTTGTCGTCCAGCAAGAAACAACCCGTGACTTGTGCCACGATACTTCAAGAATTCGGGGTTGGACGTCTGGAACAAAATCTTGATACGGTCCAAGGGTGCAACTAACGATTTCGCCGCTGACCCAGCTGCTCCCCCAGCTATACCCAGTATAAGCACATACTCCAATGATTGTTTGTTAATGATTCGAACATCTTCAATCGGAGTTGATTGATCATTACTATAATGCCCTGGAGCAGGAACAAGCTCGTATGGTTCTTCATGAATTGGTGGTATTGATTCTATACTCGACGGTGACGGATCACTGTTTCGTATCTTAACCATTATGTGTCTGTTTATGTGTCTATATGTCTATGTACTTGTGGTTATCCTCTTGCTTTGTTCATCAGTTTTTTTTTCTTTTTCCGCATGTTTTGTTGGAAGGGTTTTTGACTGATTCGAGAAAAAAGTCTGGGGCGATTATTTCATGCAGGAGAAACAAGTGTCTGTCAGTGTCTGTCAGTGTCTGTCAATGTCTGAATCTAATACGGTAATGTCTGTCTGTGTATAATGAATATATAAATAATATATTTAGATATATACATTTATGTTTTTGGGGGTTTTTTTTCTAATAACAAAGTAAATAATAATAATAGTACAGAGAAAAGCAAGCAATGTGGTGGTGGTCTGTATGGGACATGCGCGTAGTGGGGGGTCGGTTGTGTCTGTAATATAAGCACAAGCAAATGAGCTTATATTCTGTAACCCACTTTTTGATAACTGCTTGGAGATCTTCCTCTAATGATCAAAGGAGGAGTTTCCACCGAACTCAACAACACCGGTTGGATTTGTCCCATTTGTTCATCTTCGATAATCCCCAATAACTCAACATGTAAAGTAAAGAATCTCGAGTTGAGATTAGAACTCTTTATTCTAATAGAACTTGTGAATTGGATTCTTTCAAATCTAGCAACTTTAGCAATGGAATCAGAAGGGTAGTTTCTCAAGCACGACTCATCCTTCATGGTGTTCAAGTTGTATTCATTGTAGTACTGAGCTCTATCGAAATAGAAAATCTTGTTCATGGCATCAATCTTGGTATTGTTACGCTTGTTACATGATGCCTTGACAGTTTCATGATCAGGCAAGTTACCGGGAACAGCAGGGTAGATTGGTGGTGGGAATTGAGGACCCTTGTCACGCTTGGCAGTGTGTTGGATCAATGAAATGGAAACATCGTCATCAGAACATTTTGCAACTAATCTAATGGCAAAATAGTTGATATCAACACGGAATCCCTTTTCACCTATGGTATAAAACTTGTTATGAATAAATCTATCAAAATTAAAATTATCAAACATGAAACTGGAAACTAAAGTGAAATAGTTACGTTTGTAACCAATCCAAGTTCCGTTGTCACCCATTTCGAAACCTCTATCAATACGGGCAGTCACAATTGGGTTAACTTCAAGGTCATTACCGGCACAGTAAATACGTTGGTGGTGTCTAGTCATGGTGAAATGAGGACCAATTCTAAACAAGTCACTGGATCTAGGAGCAACCTTTCTAGGAGTGGTGCTACTAGTGGTAGTTGTAGTGGTAGTAGTAGTGCTGGTAGTAGGAGAATCCATAAGTTCTCCGTTTTGATCATGGCCAAGCATATCTAAATGTTGACTATGAAGAGCTTGTCTATGAAGTTGTTGTTGTGGGAGCTGTTGTTGATGCATTTGTGGTTGTCTGATGTGTTGTGGCATAGGGGTTTGCAAGTGTTGCTGTTGTTGTTGGAGCTGTTGCTGCATAGTTAAATGGTGTAACTGTGGTTGTTGGTATGATAATTGTTGGTTGAATTGCATATTCATGTCAGCTTCAACTGGAAGGTGTTGTTGGGTACCTTGCAAATGGTGTGGTTGGTAGTAAGTAGGCATTTGTTGTGGTAACAAGTGGTGGTGTAATGGTAATTGTTGGGTGGAGTGTTGGAAGAGTTGTTGTTGTTGATGCTGGATTTGTGGTTGTTGAACTTGCTGTTGAGGTTGAGTTTGTTGCTGAGATGGTTGTTGACTCATAGGTTGAGGTTGAGGGGTGTGTGAGTTGGAGTGAATCATGGATTGAGGAGTGGCTGTTCCTGCTGCTGCTGCAACTTGCTGTTGCTGTTGTTGCTGCTGTTGTTGTTGTTGTAATTGTGGCATATGCATTGGATGATGGTGCATTAAATGGTCATAAGCTGGATGGTGTTGTGGTTGAGGTTGTTGATGCTGCGTGTGTTGTTGTTGTTGTTGGTGGTGAATGTACAGTTGGTGAAGAACATGGTGGGCGTCTTCTTCCTTCATATGTAAACTAGTAGCGGTTGCTGCTGCGGCCACTGCTGCTGCTGCTGCAACTGCGTCTGCAGTACCATTAGTAGTTGAGTCGTTGTTAGTATGGGCAGTGGTAGTGGTTGTAGTTGTAGCTGTAGCACTGGCCACACCACCACCAGTTACAGCGTCATTTGCCATGGACATCATTTGCATGGTATTCTTTTAACAGATGGATCTTGGGAAATAATAAAAAAAAAAAGACAGACTTTTTTGTGAACGGTTTTTTTCTTTTGTCCTCGGACGCGATGATTTGTAAACGATGGGAATAAGGTAGTGAGTGAATGTATAGTATCTTTGTCTTTAGGGAGTGACTTGGATAATTTAGATTATATCTCTGTGATTTCTATAAATATTACACAAGGATATAAGATCTGGTCCAAGAAAACAAAAAAAAAGAAAGACACTGGGTTGAGTTTTAAAAGAAGAAAGAGAAAAATTTTAGAAATGTAGGAAAAAAAAAGAAACTCAAAAATGTAAACGGAACAAATAAATGGATCAGAAATCTCGAGCAGGAAAAAAAAAATAATTGCTTTGTGAAAAAATTTTATGCTTGTGGTGTTTTAATGTCTGTCAAAAAAAAAAGTGATTACTTTCTTTATTTCCGAGAAATAGGCACCATTAATCTGCAAAGTCTCGCAATGTGCTTAAGTTAATTCACAAAATCTGCGAATAAAACCAAGATCTCCCTAGAGGGGAATATGTTTTTGGGTTATGTTTTACAGATTAGCCTAATTTTTATTTTTGTTTTTGCTAGGGTTTTTTTTATTTTTATTTTTATTTTTGTAGTTTCTTTTTTTTTCATTGTCGCCTGGAACAACTGTCGGGTCATATACAGGACATGATGAGCTAGGACAATTTAGTCGGACATAACTTCTGATTCGCCAAAACGCCTGAAATACACAAACTCCGTCACCTTAGACCCCCCATTTAGTTACCCTAAAACTTTAAACTTATTGTTGATAGCCCTGCTCTTCAAAAAAAGACAAACCCACTTTCTTTTTTTGTTATCTAACTAAAAAGCTAAAACAAAAATTGTTGTTTGATCTCGATCTCTTCCTGCATATAACGTACATCAAAACCGAGTGCAAGATGATATCATACTTGAACGTGCTTGGCAAGACATCAGCAAACATGAGAACAATGGACTACTCCTATTTTTGTATCCAGTTCGCCTAAACCCAACGGTTGGATCCCCAGCTGAAAGAACGTTGGCACATGTAGGTGGCCCACCTCCGCTTTCGGTCTAATTTTTTTTTGTTTTAGGGACGTTTAGATGCTGCTGCGGTTAATGTTGCGCCATATAAATTTATTTTTTAACCCAACGGTATTGTCAGATTTCCAGTCGTGTGCACGATATTGTCGAGTGTTGTTTTTTTTTTTTGGTTGGATCCCACGGGCAGTGTACTAGTATAAGGGTTCCAGTTTGCAACGATGAGGTAAAACGGGTTGAATACGAAACAGGAAAATCTTCCCTCCGATCGAACCATTTGTCGTATATTTTGCCTGGTTTCAGGCGGATATCCAATGATCCAAGACAGGAGTAATCACCGAAAAAACCTGCGAATTGCTAATTAAAACAAGGTTAGTTTGTGTGATGAAAGCAAGAATGACATGATAATATTAAGATTAAACTTGGGGGGGCGGTTACGTGTTTGAGGTAAGTATAAGAGATTTTACTGTCCCGTCTGATCAGTCAATGATATGCACTGTCGGTTGTTTTCCGGCTGTTTTTCCCAGTTAGGAGACAACTCCGTAGAATACGGGCTAATTGACCGTCACAAAGCAACATCGGGGAATAAGGTTTTACTCCGAGACGATTCAGATCCAAACAGAAAACTTTCCATGTTGCGCGGTAATCTAATACGATCCATGGAGATGTTTCTAAATATAGATGTGTCTGTGTACAATGTGCTAACTGGAGGGGAGGAGGGGGGAGAGGGGAGAGGGGAGGTGGTGTGAACGATATTAACAAGTTCTAGTAATTGGAGCTAGTTAAAACCGTATTAACACCATAACAAAGTAGTAAGCTATGGTAGTAGTCAAATCTTTGCTTGTCTTAGATATTATCTGTAGATATGTTTGTAGATCTGTTGCAGAATGGAGGTAAATCCGACAGTCTTTATTTAATTTTTTTTTTTCCTTTGGAGTTTAAACAAAATTTTCAGACGTGAACATCCAGAGAACCTCCTGTACCAACCCTACTGACCCAATGAGAGATGTTCAAACCAGATAATCAACAATACCATAATTATCACGCATACTCCATATTCCCAACTAGTTCTTCCATACGTGATGTCATCTCGGTAGTGTTCATCCTCCAATCATTGCCCAAGGTGGTATCATTTGTATTATTGCTCGTGTATATCATACTCGGGTCCAACTTCATGGGCGGGAGATTCCTTATAAACTTCTACTTGCTCAAATCAAGTCTATCTGAGTTATTCACGCGATGGAAGCGGGTCGTTTTATCCCTTGGCAAAATGCTCGTTATAGATTGCGTAATCTATGTCGGATTGACGAAATATTCCGACAGTCAACGAATGTACTTCACTTACTTGACGACACTAGCCCATCTGATATTTGCCAGTGAACTAATCGGGGTTAACTCCATCAACTATATCAATACCATAACCATCAAGAAGATCACCACCAAGATCCAGTATGATAACAACTGGTTCATAAACCAACGATTCATCAACTCATTAATATGCTTTGTGATTATCAACTACATCACCTATGTGTTAAACTGGTTGAATTTCACCCTAAGACTTAATTTAACCCCGCCAATCAGTCAGGCAGACAATTTATATTTAACAATTTCAATTCATATCATACTTCAGACCATCTTATTTAAAAACTCATCCATCATTCAAAACTCGATCCCCAATTTGACTGATGAAGTCAGTGTCAATGTCGATGACAATAAGTTATTAGATATCGACATTACCCAACTTAAGCAGATCAATCCATCCAACCAATCCATTGCCGTTAAGAATTTTGAGAATTTCATCATATCCCCGATCAACAGCAAGTTGTCTGTGCTTAGCAAATCAGACAAGGTAGTCACCACCAATAGCAAGTCTAATAATGTCACCACAATAAACAACAAGATTGTCATTCAACCATTCTGGAATATCATTGCTGCGTTCAAGTCGATACTCAAGAATAAGGATTTGTTTAATCATGCTGTCACGGATGATGAAGAGATTGCCGATAGTGTCAAAGTATCGGTTGTGATGTGTAATTCCAACAAGGTTGTTCTTCAATTATTTGACCCCGTGGAAAGATTATTGGTGAAGCTTAATCAAATCAATTGGATGTCGTTCAAGACCATTGACAACTATTTGATAATTTACGACTTGGCCCTGGCATTCAAGTATGAAATCGTTTTGTATCAAGATGATACCCCTGTGAACAAAACTGTGGTAGTAACCACGGGTTCAGTATCTTTCGCTTGCGGCTCCGGTTCTATCGGTACGATCCAAACCTCATTGTCAACCACCATGTCCAAACTCACTCAACTCCGACAAAAATTCAAAAAGTACAAACGAGATGAGAACAAGCGGATTACAGAATTACGTAACTCCATTGACGTGATAAAGACCCGACTCACCAAGCAAAACACCCCCAAGCATAATGATATCAGGTTAGTTGGGAAAATCAAGGGTTTGAAACAGACGGTGATTCAATTGGAACACGACATTGACCAACTCCTGGCTGAAATCAAACAATTGACTATTCAAGAAAATGAAATTAGTCAACAGTTTGAAATCAAGGATGAAGAGTATGCCAGTGAGGTGCAACTATTAGAGCAAGAATACGAAGACTACTTGTCTCGATTGAATAAATTGCGTGCAGAATTGAAGAACATCAAGGGTGAGTGTCAGACAATCCTTGCCAAGAACCACAAATTACAAGTGAAGCAATTGAACAAACAAGACGAAATCAAGACATTAACCAATGAACTCAACGACATCAAGTCCCGTGAAATACTTGACAAATTCAAAACAAGAACCAGGAAAACCAACGACAAGTTTGACTACATTTTACCGAAATTAATTCACGAAACTGAAGTATTGACAAAAATGTTCTCCGACAGACAATAAATAATGTGTATATTTTATTTTTTAAAATTATTTACAGGTTAACTAATTTCCTTTAATGACTCCCCCACACTGTGGAACCCCCGATTGTAGTACAACACTCCTCCTCCTCCTCCACTTTTTTCATCTCCTCCACGTAAGATATCCACCACGTCAACCACCCAAATTTCATGCAGGTCAACCTTGAAATTCTCCCTTGCTTTACAAATAAACACAATCTCCGCCTCGTTCAAAATGGGCACCTTTACGTCGTCCACATCGTGATATCGAAACTCGTTCTGTTCCAACTTCTCAAACGGCCTTGTCATTTCATGGAATATTCTCCCATCCCTGATCTCCTCTTTGCTTGTTCCTAACACTAACTCTTTCTGGTTATCTTGCTTCACACCCTTGGCGAATATTCGCAAGAGATGTACGGACTCGGCACTGGGTGGCAATATGTGAATGGCACATATTCGACATGAATGTAACTCGCGCGAGGTGTATGATGGTAAATGTAAATTGAACTGAAGTACTGGTTTAGGATATATCGATAGCGAGCAGACACTACCTAGAGTCATTCCATGGAGTTGGTTTATTGGTGTTGCATGGGGAGTACCTGATGTCAATATCATTGCTTGTTGGGAGACTCGCGACATTGATTGTCGGAATTGGTCCGATAGCACTTTCATGCTATATAGTCTGCGAAACATATTACTTGTGCTAGGTTAAATACAGCAATGCAGTAACCCGCCAGTTCAGTTTTTTCATTTTGTATATATATGTACCGTCCATCTCTAATCACGTGATCTGATTGGATCAAGAAAAGGAGGGGATGAACTTCTTTCATGCTACCAAATGAAAGAATACGCACCATACACACTATCTCTCTCTCGCTTTCTCTTTCTTTCACGGTTTCAAAAGAATATTGCCGGTTATGCATACTATCAACTGCATTGTCATGCTAGTTTTGAGATGCTATTGAAAATATCAAACTATGTAACTATATGCGCTATCATATCAAAAGAAAGTGTAGACTATCAAGGCTTAGCCGGATCTATTAATAGACAAAGGGGAAAAAAAACGTTGTTACACTTTTTTGTGATATGAACAAAGGCGTATAAAAATCCCTCCAGCTTTCTCCTGTTTTTCTCCAAAATAGTTATAGTGTATGCATCATGGATAAAATGTTTTCCTTATCTGTTATCACATTATACTTATTACATACAATCACTGCTGCCAGCTCACAAGTCAGTGCCATCCAGTTTAACAACTTCGGATATTCGGGAGCATACACCCCTGTGGTTGACTTGGCCAACATCTACGATGACACTTGTTCATGTGCAGTTGCAAGTAAGCCTACCACATTCAGCGGTACAAACACTCCCTTGAACGAGGAAGTCAGTGTCCATTTCCGAGGCCCTTTGCAGTTGTACAACTTTGCCAGTTACGTAAGTCAAGATTTCACCCTTGGCGATAACTCGGGTGAGTTCACCAGATTGTCATTTTATGATAGCGCAGAGGGAACTGCTGACAATGTTACCTTTTTGACTCGTGCCGGGAAAAATTCTAGTTGTCTTGGCTTTGGGTTGACCTATGCCGATACTGATGGGATCTCCAAGGCAAATAGCCCTACCGTGTTAGCCGATGATACGCTTATCAACTCCAATCAGGAATATGTTATTTTCTCAAACTTGACTTGTGACAAGTCGGGTGTGAATAACGACTGTGGGGTGTATCGTGAAGATATTCCCGCATACCATGGTTTTTACGGAACCACGAAAATGTTCTTGTTCAAGTTTAGTATGCCCAATGAAACAAAATCGGCATGGGATGTAGCCAACTATAACATGCCGGCCATTTGGCTTTTAAACGCGCAAATCCCCAGAACTGCCCAATACAGTAATGATGTCAACTGCTCCTGTTGGAGATCGGGATGTGGAGAATTTGACGTGTTTGAGGTGATGAATGTTACTGAATACACCCATTTATATCTGACCATACACGATTACCAAGGAACTGACGATATTGAAAGTGGATTAGCTGGAAATGGGTATATTGACCGTGATTTGAATGGAACTATGGTTGGTGGTGTGGTTTTTGATTCCACGGGAAAGGTTATTGTTTGGATGAGTGATGATACAACGTTTGACGAAACTGTTCAAGCTGGTGATTTGAATTCTTGGATCAAAGGTGCGGAAAAGAATGCCGTGACTACTACTTTGCCTACTGCTTCGTTAGCCGTGGCTACTGAAACAGGAACTGGATCAAGCACTACCAAAAAGAATAGTGGAGTGGTTGTTGCTCGTTCGTCTTTGATTACTGTTCTTTCATCACTTCTTTGGTTTATATAGATTTATAATTGACTAATTTGATAATCAAGTCTGCTAGTTCGCTATGCTTTTCGTAGTCAACAAACACTTGTTCAATACCAACAATTGATTTGTCAACAAGCGTAACTCCATCTTTAATCTGTACACCTTCAACATCTGTAACAAACACACCGAACTTGCCAGACTCTGGCTCTGTATCTTTAACGTCCTTGGCAAGCGCGTGGATTTTATTTCTATAGTACTCTTCCACCTTTTCCGCAAAGTCGGGCATGAATCTCATCCCATCCAGCCCGATCTTATTCCTCATCAAGTACTTCAACGGGATATACGTCCCCAACAGCTTACTAGCAATGGCAGACCGAACAATCGCTTCCAGGTTGTTGATGTATCGCTTGGCTAAGTACCCTTTTCTATCCAACACCGGGAATATCTCGTGGGTGTTAGCCTTTGGTTCTGCTGATAGTTGGATAGTGTTGCCTCGGGGTGATCGCAATCGCGCTGCTAGTCCGACATTGGAATTCAAGGCTAAGGCATAGGGATTATTCGTAAGTGATGGATAGAATGTGGGATTGTAGTTTGATGCAATGTGTTTCTTTGGTATTGGGATGTGTTTTGTAGGATTGGTGAGGAGAGGGTGTTTTGTTATATTCGACATTGACGGTATTACGTTCTCCATAGTGATCTGATTTTGTAGTAGGCCAAAAAAAAAAAATAAATAAAAAATACCATCGCTTTATATCATCGCAAAAAAAAATTATCATAATCTCTAAAAAGTATCACTTTACTATTGCAACAACTGAATATGACAGCAGATATATTGGGTAATCTTGAAAAGAACCCTCATGGAATCTTCTCAGTTAAGGATAACAATGTGTTCAACAAGATAACTAAGGATTTGTTGGATCCTATAACTAGGAAATACTCCGTGTTGGATGAGATTTACATTGATGGATTAGATTCCCTGCAAGTGTTTGGTCAGACTAAGATGGTCTTGGACGGAGTTGGAGGACTGTTGCTTGATCGTATTGCTGAGTTGAGACAAGCAAATGAACAAAGTGAAGACGAAGATGAGGAAGAAGAAGAAGAGCAGCAAGAAGAACAATATTCAGATGAGGAAGAAGAGAAAATCTTTGACCAGCAAGAATTAAACCACGAAATAGAAGATGAAGATTCAGAGGAGGAACAATCAGAAGACAATGAAGAAGAACAGTCAGAAGAAGAAGAAGAAGAAGAAGAAAACGAAGACCAAGAAGAGCCTACCCATACTAAAGATTCCTTCGGTCTTAATGATGGGTTTTTCGATATCGACGAATTTAATAAACAAATAGTCGCATTGGAAGATGACAACAATGACGACGAAGAAGAGGTTGACTATTTTGATAGCAATTCCGAAGAATCTGACGATGAAGTTGACTACTACGACGATTTCTATGACAAACCTGGTAAATTTAAATCTACCAAACAAACCGAAGAACCAGAAGAGGAAGAGGAAGAGGAAGAAGAAGAGGGATTCGCAGAAAAGGACTACGATAATGCAGTTGGTTCAGCTATGAAGGACCTTTTTGCTGATGAAGATGAAGAGCCAGAACAATCAACCGAGCAACTTTCGTCGTTTGAAAGACAACAACGAGAAATCCAAGCAGAGATCTCCAAACTTGAAGCTGAGCTTGTTGCCGACAAGAAATGGACCATGAAGGGTGAAATCACATCCACACAAAGACCCAAGGATTCCTTGCTTGAAGAAACAGACTTGTCATTTGACAGAACCGCCAAGCCCGTACCTATAATCACTGAAGAAGTCACGGAAACCATAGAAGACTTGATTCGTAAACGTATCAAGTCGGATGAATTCAACGATCTACCAAGAAGGATAATCACTGATATTTCTAAATTCCACAAGACAAACAAGGTTGAAGTTTCTGAACAAAAATCATCCAAATCATTGGCAGAAATTTACGAAGATGAATACAATAACGTTGATGCTGCTGCCCAAGAAGTCTCTGACGAAATCAAGAAACAGCATGACGAAATCACCGAGTTGTTCACATCAGTCAACCATAAACTTGACGTTCTTTGTTCTGCCCATTTCGTTCCTGCACCACATCAATTTAAGACTATTGACATCAAGGTTACTGATGCTTCCAGTCCTTCTATTTCCATGGAAGATGCCCAACCATTATATGTATCTTCGGAATCCACTTTGGCACCACAAGAAGTATACAAGATTGGTGATGACGCAGTAAAGGCCCAAGGAGCCGCCGGAAGATCTCAAGTCCAATTGAAATCCGGTTTGTCTTATAGTAAAGATGAATTATCTCGTGATGATAAGCAAAGATTAAGACGTGCCGCCAAAAGAAAGAAGGCCAAACACTTTAACGAAAGAGAAGAAACTAAACGACAGAAATCTATGCAACAACAAGCACCCTCAGGCAAACCAGCTAAAGTTGGTGAAGTCATTGACACGTTGGCCAAGGCTAAGAATGTTACTGTTATTGGTAAAAAGGGTCAAATGACCGATGTTAGAGGGAACATTAAGAAGAATGTTGAGCAAAATTCAAATAATTTTAAATTATAGGTGTTTATAGAAATAGTATAGATCTATCACAGCTCAATTCCGTTGGGGTGGTTTTCTCTTTTTATTTTTGGACTTTTGATTTAGTCTCTGCTCTTTGTTATTACCTCCATACTTAACCAATTAATCCACTCTCGTCAATCTCCAAAAAGCTCTTGGAAATTAAAGAGTGTAAGGATTATCTGAGGAATCTCTCCGGTAAGAATGATGAGTTTGTAGAGAAACTTAGTTTGATTACAATGATTGAGTATTCCTTCGTTAGGTGTATCTCTGAATCTAAAAGACTTAAACACCATGAAGCAATGTTGGAACACTATAGTGATGAGTATCGAAGGTATTTCAAAGATCTTTTTGGGGTATAAAGCTTAGCGTTTCACTCGCTACCCTCGAAGATACACTCATTGGACGGTCGAGTAATATAGTTACACGGTTTGTCCAACTTTCAAATAGGCAGACAATTGCAAACAAAGCTGCCAAGCCTAAAAAGAAAACTTGAAACTGGAAAAAAAAGGTGTTAGATCAAGAAAGACATAGTCAAGAAGATATATATTTTAACCTAATCGGAGTTAACTCAATCTAGATTTACCAATGAAGTGTATTTAATAGTGAAAATTCCAGTACAGTATCCTACATTTGTCATCACAATGAATCTGAGGTGTGAGTTGTGGTACCTTGTTTTGTTTTTTTGCACTTACGAATTTTTCGTATTTGGATGAACACCCCCTATTGACATATCAATTCATTGTTGACTTTACAATAGTTTAGTTTCGTCTATGTAAGATTCTTTTTACTGATTTGGGAATAGTTGCTTCGGTTTGTCTAGCAACGATAAGACGGATATTATTGGATTTATACATCCCCTGAATTTTATTATTCCTTATCTCCAGCTAATAAGCTCAACACCTAACCCGTTTAATAAAAAAAAAAGTTCGTATGTGAAATAAAGTTAAGCATCCCAAGCCCTGTTTGGTATAATTTGTCCCCCCACACACACAATAAACCCCCCACAAAGATTTGCGGAGATTTGACTATCCCCGTTATTTTTCCGCATTTAGCAATAACTGCGAAAAATAATTTAAACTAAACTATAAATACCGCTTCACTTGCCTCTCTCTCCTCTTTTTTTGACACATGGACCCCCTTGCCTAGCCTCCCCTCTCCTGGCATAACCAACCGTCAACATGCTTAGCACAGTAGCTCGTATTTTATGGCTCCCCTACGTGGGAATCAAATCAGTGGTACAGTTTTACACCACGGGAACAATATATTCCGTCACCAATCAAGAATTTGAAGACTCCCTTTACAAAAATGTCCATCTCGCTATCATTTATCACATGTCCCGAGAAATCACTAAATTTGAATCAAAATATCTCATTCATAAACCAATCACAAGTATTTTCCTGCAATATCGCAACAATCCAATTGCTCAAGGATTAACTAACTTCGGAACTAAGTTCGATGATAATGGTTATTGGGTACACCAAATTCCAAGTAGCCAATCCAAAAAAGTTTTGATATACCTTCATGGAGGTGGTTACCAATTGAACATGACCGACTCTCAATTATTATGGGCTGCCACTATGCATTATGCCATTCCTAAAGAGTTGGCAAACCAGGTATCAATTCTTGCTGTCGATTATTCTCTTTCCATGTTTGATCATGTCTACCCAACTCAGTTATGGGAAACTTTAAAGGTATATAAGCACCTAGTTGAACTGGGATATAACGAGATTCACATCATGGGAGATTCCTGTGGTGCCCATTTGGCACTCTCGGTTGCTCGTGCAATCGCATATCCTGATGAAGCAGCAGAACAATTCTCTCACTTTCCGAAATTCCCGTTTGATTTCTCCCAGAGATTACCCCAGCCAAAATCCTTGCTTTTGGATTCACCATGGGTTGAACCATGCAACAATGTGAAACTTCCATGTGCTCATGGTGTAGATACGACAGGAGATTTGGGATCGCCTACATGTACAATGGGGGATAATTTTATTGGCGATAATTCAAAAGAATTAATCAACAATTTCTTGACATTCACAAACACAAATTATAACGACCATTGGGCACAGGTTGAACCTATAACCAATGGGAAAACTGTTATTCTTGTCGGTGAAAGAGAAGTTCTCCGTGATGGAATTGACAAATTCCACCATATTATAAATAAAGGTGATAACGTGGCTTATTACGTTGAAAAAGGAGGTATTCATGCAGCAATTGCATATGTTGAAACTTTGGATTATATGAGTAAAAGTGGGGGACAAAAAGTAGTTGATGGAAATTTGGGGAATAAATTTGGTATCACTTTGTTTGCTAAATATTTGCAACAATTTGCAAGTGAATAATCTTTTCTTTTTTTAGAGAAATATATATATATATATATTTATAAAGATCAAGTTTGTACTATTCTAGTGATGTGGGGTTCTCAATTAAATGTACATTGTGAGTGTCTAATATGATATTGTTAGATTCTCTGGTTGAATAAGTGTGTGATGACGAATATTGCCAAATTTAAAACGCCTGTATAAATTTCTACTACTAAATGAATACTGTGTATCTGAAAGAATCTATCAAGTTGAAGAAGGAGGTATTTGCAGAACCCCAGGATAAAAGAAAATCTAGCTCAAGTGGGACTACTCTTACAAATCAGATCAATTGTCGGTATATTGATGAACTGCAAGTTGTAAGTCCAAATGCAATATAATTCATTTAGAAATTGCAATTGATTTACGTTGATGCGAAATAATATATGTAGCCTTGGAATTTTGGGCACAATCTTACATATCAATAAAAATTAAATCCTATATGGGCCAATTTTTTAAATAGGCACCCATCTTCGGTTTTTCTCGGTTAAGACTATATGATATCTCGAAGTTGTATCTCTCTGTCTTAAAATGTTGGTACATACAATATAATAAAGGTACATAATTCCAAGAAATGTAATGTGCATGGAATAATATCTTTTGATGAGGCGAATTTCAAGTTGCGATGATTGTTTTTTTTTCGGATTATTGCTCCCAGAATATTCAGGTTCCGAACACAGTTTTTAACCGGTTCACCTATAATAAACAGTTGCCACTTCGGGCATACTTGTAAATAGATCCAATATACTATTTGTCTTTCCATGCTTGTTTGGGGGAGACTCAATAAGTTCTGTAATATACTCTTTTCATTATTGGTTGTACCAAACGAATGCAATTTTGAAGTAAATTGGAAACATTTTACAAGAAGCAATTGATATTTTCATACAGCTACCACAGTAACATCTACGAGGTGCAAGAGATCTAACTCCTGACTCTGGCACGCTTGCATGATCAGATAATATTAGTCTAAAAATAATTAGGTGTCACCAACGAAATCAATATATCAAATCTGGATAACGGAACCCAAAAATAGATATTCCCTACTCCGAAACCATCTGATTAATCCGTAAATCAACACTTCTGGCGAATGACATCATCGTGCACTGTCTTGAGAAATCGTACGTCATTCATAGATTTGTGAAGAAAAAAAAATACAGATATGATGTGACAAAACAATATTATATAACAGCTTAATATAATATTCCACCAAGAAAATATCATTCTGGTTGTCTCCTTAAGTAAACAAAACTTTTCCAATGCAACAGAAGCGCAGTCCACTTTTAAACTTTTGAAGTTTTAGGGATTATAAATTTCAAGTCACAGACGCTTTGACGCCTCTATAAAATTTGTTCCGCTCCAGAAGTACCATCATTGCTTGAGTTTAATGTTTAATGATCACTCATGATACACAATGATGCGCGCATTTTGCAGCCTCAAGCAAATAAAAAATAAAAAAGTACTTAGAAAATATAAAAATATAAGTGATCAACTATCCTAAAGGTCATCACGATCTTCATCACGATCTTCATCATGAATAATATATAAAGGGAGGCAAATGTGCTGATACTTGGAAATAAAAAAGCTTGTGTCTAACAGCAAACAGTATGCAACAAATTTTACTACTTTTTAATTTACTTATCTATGCTCTCGCATTCCCAGTTCTCACTGAGAACAAATTGGTGAATGTTACCTTGAATGATACGTTTGGAGATTTAAACATAACCATGCCTGCCCGGTTGGATAATCTTACTAATTACACCGTGAATATCGAAAATGTTATTGACAACGATCTTTTGAACAATTTTAAAGATGACTTCATGCAGCTGGTGAAAAACAACCTTACTCAAAATGCATTTTCAAGAAACTCAATACAGGATGTTATAACTAGAGATGACATTAATACAAAATTGAGAGATCAATTCATATTCAATATTGATATAGATATGCCTAATTCTCCATATAATAATCAAGGGGGATCTGAAAGATGTTGGGTTTTTGCTGGTTGTAACGTACTCAGAAATGAAGTAATTAGAAAATATAATTTGACTACAGACTTTCAACTTTCTCAGTCTTATGTGTGGTTTTATGATCAGTTAGAAAAAGCAAATCTCTTCCTTGAAAAAATGGTGATCCTAGCAGATGAACCATTTGATGAGGTTGAGTCTGATTTACAGAAACCAGTTGATGGTGGGGGGTTTTGGGACAATTTCGCAGCTTTGGTGCTTAAGTATGGATTGGTTCCTCATGACGTGTTCCCAGATACTTATCAAGCAATAGACCCACTGACGTTAGTAAATGTTTTAACATCAAAGCTTCAAGAGTTTGGTCTTAAAATCCGGCAATTGGGTCAAGAGAATCCCGATCAAGTTGATGATTACAAGGAAGAATGTTTACAAGTTATTTATAATATTCTTGCATTGACATTAGGAACCCCTCCAAAACCGGAGGAGGAATTCACATGGGAATTTGCGAATACAGATGGTGAAGTAACTAGTTTTAATACTACAGCGCTTGACTTCTATGAAGACCACGTTGACTATAATGTCACAGATTTTTTTGTTATTATGAATGATCCAACAAAAGAATATAATAAATCATACGTGGCTAGTGCGTCTGGTATGGTTAATCATACTGCTGCCATCGGTGTCAACGTTGAAATTAAAAAAATGAAAGATATAGCTATTGACATGTTGAAAGATGGAAAAGCTGTTTATTTCGCAGCCAAATATGACTTCAGTGTGAGTGAAACTAAAGGTGTTTTCGACACTGAAATTTTTGATTTTTATTCTGCCTTTGATTTTGAATTGAATTTGGATAAGAAAGAACGAAAACTCCTAAGTATTGGTGCTAATCATGCCATGGTCATTGCTGGTGTTCATATTGACCCAAATACCAATGAGCCTGTTAGATGGAAAGTTCAAAATTCGTATGGTACTGAGAAGGGACATAATGGTTGGTTTTTGATGACTGATGATTGGTTTGACGAAGCTGTCGATCAAATTGTTTCAAGTAAAGACTATGTCAGTGATGAGATTTACGATATTTGGACTAGCGGAGAATATTACGAGTAGTGAGCATAAGATTATTTTTATACTTGACTATTTTTTAATTCATTGATATTTACGTATTAATGCAGCACATAACCATGGCTGCGAAAAGTAGAATCTGAGCGCAATAAAATGTGAGTAAATGCAAGCGATCAAAACCCTTCCCTTGCTAGATATATAATAATATAATTTGGATCATGATTAATTACACAAAATCTAACTATAATTATTGCAGTACTATAATTCAATAATCATTTCTGAATCAACAGACATGTTTCTAAAAGCAGATTAATAGACAACAAAAGCAAATAATTGCAGGAGCAATATATATTTACCTATGGGCTGTTGCAACCCCATTGAATAATGTCTAGATTGTTAGCACCCTGTATATTTTGTAAAGCTACTAACCATTCCTTGTTGTAATCAAATATAGAGATGTGTGCTCGGTAATTTTTAATGCCCAGAAAAAAAAAAAGAAAAAAAGAAACGTGTTAAAGTAATGAGATCACGTCACAGTACGAATTTTCATGCCTTGTTTTCGTAAATACTTCTATGAACATTTAAATGAGTCGAATTCTTCAAAACTGACCGGTAAATTTTGTTCACTTAACGAGAATTAACTTCTGGCATGATGAGTGCTGATTTTTTTTTAAAAGTCGTGACGATACCATATATCGTGGCCAGAATCACATTTGAATACTACACATACGGTACCCCTTATTCAAAAACTAATAATGAATTTAAAAACTCTCTCTACAAAAACTTGTTACTTGCCATTGAATACCATGTGTGTGGGAATTATAAAAAGCAAGACATGAAACTTGTATGCTACCAACCAATCGAAGATCTCTTTGCCAAATATAAGTCACTGTTACTAACTGCGCAATTAAATAATTTTGGTACAAAATTTGATGAACATGGCTATTGGATTCATCAAGCAGAAACCAAGGATAACGTATTGGTTTATCTTCATGGTGGAGGATATTTGTTGAATTTATTTGACTGCCAATTGGTGTTTGCTGGTGCGTTACATTATGCCTTGGATGATCATACCCAAACCAACACTTCAATTATGGTTCTAGATTATTCATTAACAATGTTTGATAAAGTTTATCCTACCCAACTCTATGAAGCACTTGTTAACTATAAGAACTTGGTAGTTGGTGGATATAAATCTATCTCCTACATTGGTGATTCAGCAGGAACCCATCTTGCTCTTGGTGTTGCTAGAAGTCTAGCATATCCCCATGAAATTATCTCCCAGTTCACAAATTTCCCAGAATTCAATTTCAGTGCCGATTTTTTTAAATTAAACGAACAAGAACAACTCCCTCAACCAAAATCACTCATTTTAATTTCACCTTGGGTACAACCTTGTACACCTCCATTAGTTCCCAACCGCCGTGGTATAAATACTTGGGGGGATCTAGGCGCTGAGGATATAACTTTGGGTAATTTCTTCCTTGGTAACAACAATATTCATTTGATCAATAATTTCTTTACATTTACGAATACCAATTTCGATGAACATTGGGCTAAAGTTGAACCGATCAATAATGGCAACACTATGATCATCGTTGGTGAAAGAGAAGTGTTGCGCGATAGTGTCGATGACCTTTACGAAATTATTAATAAATTGGGCACAATAGAATATTATGTGGAAGAAGGTGGTATCCATGCAGGGTTGGTATATGTTGAAAGCTTGGATTATTATGGTGATTCTGGAAGTAAGAAAGCCATCCGTGGTGATTTTAATAATAAGTATGCATTTAATCTTGTTGCTGATTTCCTTAGTAGAAGAAAGTAATTACTCTAAACTATAGAAAAACTTATGTCTAATGAAATATTTAATCTGCTTTGTAAATTAGATCTAAATGTAAAAGATTCTCGGGATACCATTCTCTCCTCTTCTAAATGAAATATAATGATATGGTAAGTTCTATTTTTAGACTGATTTCAATAAAGGGGGGGGGAGGGTTTTAATTGCTTTAACAAACGAAGTTTTAGATGAAACGAGGGATGTACACATTGTTAATGAGATCCCTTTAGCCTCTTACATCATACCACATCATACCACCAGAAACTTACTTTTATTGCTATTTGAAAGTGTCTGGTGGTGGCTATACGACCACTTTTTTTTTTTCAAATGGAGAATGCGGTTATAATTGCCGAAAAGCAATGCCCACAACAAAGAGATTACATAAATGTTGGTGTTGAACTTGGTACATAGTTAACCCTTGCTTCTAACAAGGCTGTGTGTATATATTTGTTGTTTTGGCTTTTGAGACTTTATCCGTAGTATCCGCTTGTAAGAAACGTGAATTCTATCTCTTGCTAAGTCCTATTCTGCAATTTTCCCAACTTAATAATATTTATTTTTTTTTCAACTACTACCCCTAGATCACAAAGGGAACATTTTCTGGCTATTACACCCCAACAATTCAAATAATAATTTAGACCCTCCTTCTTTCCCCACGTTTATAAACTAACAGCTGTTAATTTCTACAAGATTATGAAAAAGGAAGGTTTCTTAATTGATTCTACTTTTTATCTAACCAGTCAAAAATAGTGGCAGTATCGGTAGGACGGTGCCAAGAAACGATAATTAACCTGTCAAAATCTCCCCTCGCTTTGGCCCGTCTGTTCTTCCTCAAAAGATCATTTCTTTGTTTATGCACCAACGGCGTCATATTGCATAGACAAATTATCATCAATTTTTCTTGGGTTTATGGAATAAAAAATAATTCTTCCCCAGCTTTTATCATTCCGAATATTTTCCCAATCGCAATTACAAGTTGTTCAGATTTCATATAATTTACTGGAAATACGGAGATTGGATAACAATGATTATTACATCCCCCTCATTTATTGAATCGGGTAAAAACTATAAATAGACCAGCTCTCACTCAATTAATGTAGATATTCTAAACTCTTTTGGATTCCTCATATCAAGCTCTGTTTTTTTTTCGCAACCTTTAATCGATCGCTTTTAAAAAAAAAGAAAAATATGAAATTATTCAACTTAATTATCTTAGCATTATCTGTCAATGCAGCACCTGTAGTTGACAGTTCCTTCACTACCAAGACCCCTACTGATGTTACTAGAACTGCGGGTGGTCTTGTCTTGTCTGATGGTAGCTTTCGTACTGCATTATTTGATTTCAATGGAGATCTTACTTTATCAGTCCAGACCTTAGATCCCAATGAGAAGGATATCGGTCCAGCTCCACTGGGTTCATTAAATGTCGGACAAGTATCTGATGGCCAAGTTAATCAAATTTCTGATGGTCAAGTGAATGCTGCCAACCAAAAACCTGATGGACAAGTCAATGCAGTTAGTCAAATCTCAGATGGACAAGTTAATGCTGCCAACCAAAAACCTGACGGTCAAGTCAATGCAGTTAGTCAAATCTCTGACGGCCAAGTCAATGCAGCTAGCCAAATTTCTGATGGTCAAGTGAATTCTAATCAGGCACAAGATGGTCAAGTCACTGCCCTGGGTGGTTTCTCTAGTGTGTGTGTCTCTGGTAATTCTCTTATAGTCAAATTATCCAATGGTATTCTCACTGATTCTCATGGAAGAATTGGATCTATTGTTGCCAATCATCAATTCCAATTCGATGGTCCACCACCACAGCCTGATTCCCTTTTTGCTGCAGGTTGGAATATTTACCCTAGTGCTCAGGGTCCACTTTTGGCTCTTGGTGGTCAGTACATTTTCTGGAGATGTGCAATCCAAGGAACAACATTCAACTTATACGATGCTAGTATTGATAACAAATGTGAGAAAGTTGTTATTCATTTGTTTGCTGTTTCTTGTTAAGTGAACCTTCCAAAGGTGCCACTTCTAATTAGTCATTTATTGTCGATTTTAGTTTATTTCGTATTAGTTAGCATTACTTTTGACCACTAATCTTGTGAATTGCTGGTCTTCGTTAATAAGCTGCTTCCTCTATTAATACATGCATGTTCTATTATTATTGTTTTTTGCAACTTTTGTAGTCACGCCAAGACAAGAATTAAACGTCGGATTACTCATCCTGATTTACATCGTGTTTGATGGTAGAACAGTAAAGAACATTTTAGAAGTATAATTGACCCGTGTCTACCCGAGTGCCTTTGTTTATACTAGTGTTTTTTTGTCTGCATATTTTTTTTTTTGCAGTAAGCAAAAATAAAAGAAATTACCTTATAGGATTCCCAAACCCGTGCCATGTATTTGTTGGGTTATTGGGTCATGCCAGTACGTAATAGGGGATAGCAACTCAAAAGAAATTATGAAATTAATGACCCAATTGACGTATATGGATTCTGTAAACTGATAGTACACCATAGTAGTAACATTAACATTGTTGAAAACTTGGGGAAAAGGCTCAATTAAATAGGCTTAGAAAGACACTAGCTATTTCCTTCAATTATACTAATAGGCTGTTTGTCAATTCTAATTACAGCCGAGAGATATTTTCTAGGATGTAATTACCCTACCCCTCTATATTGTGGGGAAATTCATGGTTCATCTCGGTTGACAACTGGAGCAACGTTGATGCCAAGCATTATTTTGCAAATGTCAAGGTCTCAACAAATGATCTTACTCTCTTTGAATTTCAATGTGGGTGAGGAGGGGGAGAGTTGGAGTACCTTTCTAAAGAGATGGCTTTAATAATAGAAGTAGAGTTGTGTATATTGTTTACTATGTTAATACTATTGTAATGGAATGCCTAATTATACGGAAATAATATCGTGCGTGTAAAGGAAAGATCTCCGATCAAGGATCGTTTGTTTTCATTTTCTTTTTGCAACCAATTTTTAACAATGACCTGAGAGAAAATACAAAAAGTAAAAAAAATAAAATAAAATAAAATCACATATCTGGTAACCCCACAACCAAAACCAGACAGAAAACATACCCACATTCCAACAAAACCCCTGAAAATAAACAGACACTTACAAGGTGGCAATTATTCTCCCATTTCTGGTCTATAAATATGAGTTTAATTTCCTTCGTTTCTTTCAATTTTAAATTCTTTTCTCCATCAAGTTCAGTTTCAAAACAACAAAACTTGAATTCCTCTCTCAAAATTTACACATAATGAAGTTTTCCACCTCTGCTGGTATCGGTTTAGCATTGTTCTCAATTGCTCATGCTGGTTATATCAAGGATGCATGGACTCCAAAACCCCCTTCAGATTGTTATGGTGCAAGTGATGGTGCTGTTACCGATGTTAGTTACAAATTTGAATTAACTGTCAAGGTTCTTAGTAATAATCAAAAAAGAGGTCATGAAGGGTATGTTGGTACTACTGTTACTACTACAGCTTTAACCACCTTAATTACTACCGAATGTTCAACCTCTACCACCGCACCACCACCACCACCTCCTCCTCCTCCTCCACCACCTCCACCAACCACCACTACCTACCCTGAAACTTGTTACACCCCAGTTGTCACACAAGAGCCAGATGGCCAAGCTGAATTCCCAGATTTTACTATTCTCCCAGATACTCTCCCAACTAACACTGCTGTTCCTGATGATGATGATGTCATTTTCCTTAAACGTTGGGATCAACAAGGCTGTGGAAAGGATAAAGATGGATTCTACCATACTTGCATCACTAAGAATGCTTTGCTCTTAAACTTACACGATTCTATTCTTACTGATGCTAATGGAAGAATTGGATCCATTGTTGCTAACCATCAATTCCAATTTGATGGTCCACCACCACAACCTGATTCTCTTTACACTTCTGGATGGTCTATCATTAACCAGGATGGTAATTACTTGTTGGCTCTTGGTAAACAAACTGTCTTCTGGGAATGTGCAGCAGGTGGATTCTTTAAGTTATATGATGCTTCCATTGGTGCTCAATGTAAGCAGGTTGAGCTTGTTGTGTTGAAAGCTGATTATTGCCAGAAATGGTAATTTAACATGTTTGGTATGATCTTGCAGTTTAATGTGTGTTTAATCCTTGTTTGTTTTTCTTCGGTTTCGTGCTTTATTTTATTCATTTCGGCATTGTTTGTTATTTATGTTCATTTGTTTGGTTTAAATCTTGATTGGTTGCTAGTACTTGCTGTATTTTCTTGGAAGTATTTTAGCATTCCTAATTTCAAATTTTGTTGATCTTTCGGTTATATTAGTTGAAGAGTTCAGTGTCTGTGACTAGCAATTAATATCATTTCTTCTATTTATTTTCCTCTATTAAACACACAAAAGTTATATCTTGTATATATTTATAGGAATTAACATACTGCATTTGGGGGAAACAAATAAAAATATAACCTTGTAATCATTATTACGAAATAAAATTCTAGGTTCTTCAAATTATTTCTTCATTTTAATCATAAACCCCCCAGTTTAGTATGTATCTGGCTATTTTTCTTGTTGAAATTTTTGCAATGATATGCTTATCTAGCTAATTAGGTTAGATACTTTAAAGTTTCGGAGAACGGTTGCAATATTTTTGTGGAAAAATTGCAAAAGATGGCAGAAATTAAACCACTCTAGAAACTTCTTTTAAAAGTAGAATACATACTAAAAAAAAACTCTATCTTATTTAAATAGGATTTATATACTAGATAAGAAGATTTACAGAGCATTAAATACATCTATTATCAAATAAATTGCAATTTAATCATCTGATCACGTGAATTACTACAAGGCTGATTTTTAAAACCAAAGAAAATATTTTGAAAAAAATTGGGTTCTATGGTCTAGTGGTATGACGTCTCTCTCACTCAGAGAAGGTCTCGAGTTCGATCCTCGATGGAACCATTACTTTTTTTTTCAAATATATTATTTATAATCAAATTCTGAATTACAAAAAGTTTATCAGGTATAAATAAAATCATTATTTTTTTTTATTAAACAACCAATATATATCCTATAAAAGCGTACACAACCCAAAAAAAGAATAAAAAAGTAACTATCTTTCAACCTAGTTTTCTTCGTCATCATCACTCTCTTCACTACTGTCATCATCTTCATCAATGTGACTTCCACTTGCACTATCTTCATCGTCATCTTCTTCTGGATTAACTTCTGACCACTCCACATAATTCTTATTAACAATTTTCTTACTGGTAGGCAAAACCATAGGATCAAATGGAAAATAAGCTTCCAAATCCAAAAATTCTTGTTTTTGCTTGAAGTTACCTACGGCTGAAGGTAAATTCATTGATCCATTTGACTGTAACATTCTTTCTCTCTTATTATGTTCAATAATTGAATAACAATAACATACATTCAATTTGGTGGCCAATTTAGCAAAGATGTAAACCACGGTCTCATCACAAAACTTCAATGGGTTGAATTTGGCAATGATTGCACGTTGGAAGAACTTGTCCAAGTCACATTCCCATTCAGAACCACTTGATTGTTTGGTCTTAAAAGAACCAGATGGGGTATCAATTGTTGGTAAACTTTCTCCATTTTTGAAAAGAGTATCATGTCTAAAACAGAAAATATAAAGCAATGCTTGGAAAGTGGCATAGAACAACTTGAATCTTTCCATACCTCCAACTTGCTTGTTATCATTACGACGACTTGATTCAATATCGGCAATTTCACACTCTCTTTCTATGATATATTTGTCCAACCATCCAACAAGATAACTAACAACAAACACAATTTGATGACGGGAAAGTTGTTTGGCTCTAGCAATATAAGACGACAAATATTGAATTGCTTTCAATCTCTTTTCCAAAATTTCTTTAGGGTTAAATGCAACATCAATAAGAAGAACCAAATAAGAATCAGCCAATTCCGGATGATACTGGGAGATATGGAACAACACAAATTGAATCAGCTTAGTGAAATGGGTAGGCAAGATATGACTCTTGAAAAGGGAAGTAATAGTATTGAATAAATTAACTCCATTACCGTTATTCAATTCGTCTTCAGTAAAGGAGATTTCAGTATTAAGCAATAATTCATTCATTATGCTATCCAACTTTGAAACCAAAACTTTGATGTTAGTAGTTGAATTAACTGGATCAACCATATATTCAACTTCTCCATCCATTTGATCATCATCTTCATCATCATCTTCATCCTCATCTTCGCTATCGGAGTTGTCGTGAATTTCCACGTTTAATTCGATATCACCATCTTCATCCTCGCCATTGATTAATTCTTCAATCTCATCGTCATCCAAATCATCCAACTCATTTTGAAGTTCCACATCCAATTTAATACAACATTCAATAATCAACTGCCAAATACCAAATTGTAATTCCGGACAATAAGACACAATATGCAATAAATTGTTGACATAGTTAGTCAACTCAGTGGTGGAAGAAGACAAATGATGGGGGAAATTCTTTTGCAAAGTTTGAGGAATGGTGTTTATGCAAGTAGGGATATATCTTATTATTTTGCCCAAAATATCGTGATGATTTATAATAGACTGTTCGCGATGGTTAAAGGAATCAAATTCACTTATGACTTTAGTAGTCACTTCCAGTAAGTATTTGGGTAAGGTTGACACCAAAACTGTTAAGAAGTGTGAATATAAATCTATGAACGTAGCATAGGAGGTGTCTTGTTTGAAATCATCTTTAATATCCAACCACCTGTATCGAAGGATGGCGAATATTAAATTATGACATGCTTTATTATCTAATCTAGATACATTGGATATAAGACATTTGAGCACAATAGTAAAATGTGCCAAATTTATAGCATCGGGGTTTCCCAATGGTAAACTGATCTTATCAGTCAAGGTATTTATTTGCAAAGGTTCATTCTAAATTGAGTTAGTAATCACTGCGACTGGGGGGAGCACACATAATCAAGGTTCATTGATTCAAACAAAAGACATACCTTTTCCAAAGACAATAATGCAGATTTTACATATGCAGAATACATTTGTTCAGAAAATGCGGTACTATGCTTATCAAAGTCATCACCTTCTATTGACTTGAGGTCAAGATTTGTGGTTGCCTCATCCCTTATCTTTGATTTCTTGATCACTCCTTCTGTGGTATTTGTATCAAGCACTCGTTTTCTCGCTATGGGATCATGTAGTGACATTATCATTATTTAAGATTTAACTAGTAATTTAGTCCGATTTGTACTGGTGTGTACGTGCTGAAGGTTGTAATCTGATGGTAACGAAGAAGTAGAAAACTTTTTAAGAGAAGAGATGAAATTTTTTTCTTTTTAAACTTTTTTTTTCCTTAGGGGGGGGTAGAGGAAGTGCAACACAAAGGGCTACTGTACATTTCACGCGAGGAGACAAAAATTTAACGAGCCACAGATTTGAAATGGGGGAGAGGGGGGATGCTCGACTACAACTTTGATGTGGCTCTAAAACGCGTTGTTTGATCTAGAGGGATCACTTATGATATTTGCAATATATATATAACGATATGTTTGGCAAGGAATCAATTGGAATGCCAGTTCCTCCATTGTTTCAAAAATTTATTTACTTTTGCTACGTAACAGGAAAATGTCGTGGGGCTGAAAATGTCTTACTTACTTAAAGGGAAAGTTAGTTGATAAGGGACCAAAAAAAAAAAAGATTTAGACATTTGCTATTTCTGCCTAACAAAGAATACATTATTCCACCATTGGTACCATGACTTCTACCATATTAATCCAATTGCACCCAGTTGTGCTTTTCAATATATCAGATATCATATCGAGAGAAAATAACTCGCCAGTAGGAGTTTTATTGGGTCATGCTGAAGGCGAAAATTTAGTAGTTAAAAGTTCATTTGAAATCGTTCAAGATTATGATGCTGTGGATCTCGAATACTTATACAAGAGATTCAATCAATTCAAGGTGGTATTTCCTCAATGTAAAGTAATAGGAATATACCAAATTTTAGCAGAGGATGAAGGATCTAATGACTTAGTTGCAGATGCTTTTACCATTTCAGTTGTACAACAAATTCAACAGTTTGTGTCTGCTTATGAAATACCAACTGATGGTCCCTTATTTTACACCATATTTGACAAAAGTAACTTGAAGCACTATCAGCATGGAACTTCAAAACTATTCAAGTCTTACACATTTGAAACCTCACAGCCATTAAGAACAATTATTTCAACCACGGATACTGAGAGCATTGCCGCCTCAACAATTCAAAAGAATAAAAACTATTTTGCAAATTCCAAGGAGAAAGAGTCAAGAATCCCCCAGAATATTCCTGTTGCTAAACACACAGCAGAACTTACAACCTCATTGAACCAATTGCAAGAAAGAGTAGTAAAAATCCTTACATATTTGGAACAAGAACGGGGTCTTCCCGAGACTAGAGAAGCCCGACAAGAAAAGATAAATATCGAGAACATGATTGTACATTTATCCAACAAGTTAACTTCATTCAAGCAAACTTCGCAATCTGGTTCTGACGCCATTACATTGACAAAACTTCAAGCTTCAAATTTGGCACTTCTTACAAAACAGCTAACTTTATTGGAACAACAAAAAGTCGCTACAACAAAATCGATATTAAGCAATGACCTACATCATCAAGGCTTAAATAGATTTGGATAATTATATATAGTTTTAACAGAGGTTAACTGGTTATACATTTATCTGTAATGAAGAGACGCTCAGAAACGAAAAAAAAATAACCATAATTAAGAATTTATAAATTTTCAACTTCCAACCTTAAATAACAGGATAGTGTATAAAAGTATGCTCCTTAAGTAAGATTAGTTAATAAGTTGTGACAAAATTTATAAAAAAAAATAATGACTCCGACGCGGTTCGAACGCGTGCATCTTTACGATAGTAGAACTTGAGTCTACCGCCTTAACCACTCGGCCACAGAGCCTGTTTTTTTATTTTTGTTTTTTGCTGGAAATATACTCCGAGTCTTGTATACGAACGATTGGATTTGTGCGAAGCCTAAGGTGGAATTGTGTGTACTGTGATCGCACAAGATCTCAGGTTCCCGTTTACCTTCTTCACTTAATAAAAAAGACATTACACCACATTTGCGGTTTTTAGACTTAATGAAGATAAGGTGGAGTATCAGAAACTTATTCGGATGAATATAACATTGTATAAAAGTACCTCTTACCTCTCAACTATTTATCAGATACAGTATAGATAAAGTATTAGAGTGTCGTTACCCCACAAGGTGGTTAGGAAGGATATAGATGTGAAGCTAGACGAGAGAATAATATTTAAATGGTTGGATTTTCCCCCAAAGTCATTTCGGGTTTGTTTAGGTGGAAAAAAAAAACTTGATTAATCTAATTTTAGATAATACATACTCGTCATACTCTTCTTACTTTACTTACTACTATTATCTATATTAGAAAGGACCTACAGGAGAATCTAATATATTTATTCTATAATTAGGTCCTTAGTAGTAATCAATGTTTACTCTGAATAAAGATCCAAAAAGAATGTATAAAAACTAAATATGTCTTCAGCAGATTGACTCTTATTTATAGGCAGTACCGTTAATCTCCAAAACCATGAACTTAAAGCAATTCAACGGATAATAACTTAAACAGATACTGATGACTATACTTGAGCTAAGGTCGCCATCGATCCTTTAGATCCGGATCACAGTTAATACTTTAGACCGATTCAATCCCGCCGGAATCTATTACAATGATTCACCTTCAATCACCAAACTAATTATTTCATATCAATAAGCACCAAGCCAACCAATTCTATACAGACTAAAGGTTCGATAAGAACTAAGTTATTCTGATGATATGTCCTGGTGTTTGGTTTGTTTATTGGATTGTTTTGAATTAGTTAATAGCATGGTTTGAATTGTTCAGTTTATATTAATTATCTCTACTTGAGGAATGGGATATGTCATTATGTGTTTGGTTGTTCATAATTAAATGTATTGGTTAGAGCTTTGGGAAATGATGTTAGCAGTCATTATCGAACCGTACCATTCTAACTAACTTTTGCCATTGTTGCAAGGATATGTAACTTGATTGGTTTAAGGGGTTAAATACGTTTTTCTTTAGTCAAGATTTTCTAGTTTTCTTTATTTAACAAACCGAATATCGTTATCCGTCTAAGTATTCGTTCATTGTTATCTTGTTATTCCACAGAGACCCAAATTATAAAACATATTTAAGTTATTCCTTGGGGTTTCAGATACTGTTGCAAATACACGTGATAAAATATCAGATGACAGTCGATATTGAATAATATCAACAATTGACCATATATTCTGCAATACTATTCTATAAGCAAATTGTTTAGGTAAAAGTAATTTCTTGCGAAGACCTCCTCGTATAATAAAGTTAATTCTAATTATTGAACTATTTGTGACATTATTAAATGGGAACTTACGAAGTAACATTTAGAATGCTGGATCTTTCTAACGTCGCACACTGGGGTCCAATTGAAAATGACTAGAGATCTGATTAGTCTACTTTTGTCGTTCACAAGTATTTTTACTATTCCAATTCCTTACTGGCAAATGTATTTGAGAGAATGAAGTACTAGATTATGCCTTTCAATTCCAGCGTCAGCAGGTTAAGATGTCTACATATTGATCTTTTTTTTTTTTTTGAAAATACAATGATATGCTGACTAGTACTACAGCTTTTAATAAATACTTGGTTAACACCAATAAAGTGTCTGTGATATAACAGCAATATTTCTAAGTAGATTCTACAAGTTCTTAAATTGTCAAAGACTTCAAGAATTAGAGGTGAACATACAAAGATCAAACTTTATAATTCATAATCGCGAATATAGACAAATATATGCATTTTAATGGTAATACTTCAGCTTAAGCACTTCCAAGATAGAAATCCTTTTGTAAGTACATCCAAATTGAACTGACTGAAGCAACAATCAAAGGACCAGCTAACCCTTTCCCCAACTTACAAGTCTTGTAGATCAACCATTCACTGAAGAAATGCCATCCAGCAACAAGGTAAGTGAATTGAACTAATTCATAAACTGCCTTATTAGTAACATTGTAAGCACCATAAAACCTGACAATTGAGGTGATCAAGGTCCATGTTCCAAAAGTACGAGCACTAAGGTGTGTCACTTGGGGTTGAGATGGTTGGGAAGGAGAAGATTCATTTTCATAAACACGCTTGGTAAGTTGAAGATCTTTCGATTGGTATGTTTGGTATGAGTTAAAAATCGAAACAATCGAGATAAAGAGAAGCCAATATGGAAGCTTCCCCCCTTGTGGAGTGGTGTATGGTAATAAAGATTGAAAGTATTCGATCATTGTGCGTAGATCAAGTGTAGAAGTGTTTATGTAAAAGTACCGGAACTTTTTCACTTTTTTCGTTGTTCTCGGAACGATCGTAGAGAATTGCTACAGAAATTTATGTAAACTTTCATGATACGTTATAATTATTTAAGAGAATTTAATATAAAAAAAAATTTATAAAGGCAAGAAATCCCAACAAAATTCAATTGCTTCAATGTTATAAGCAGAATTGTTAGCTATTGCAAACAACTAATCATAAAAAAAAAAGGATAAAAACTCCAAAGAAAGTGGGCAAGTAATGCGAAAAACCTCTAATTAACAGTAGTAGCTGCATCATGACTCTTGGTAGGATCTTGAGCTTTCAATACGTCTACAGCAGGTCCTAACAATCTTTGGAACCCCGACTTTCCTAAGGTTGCCACAATAACATTGTCTAATGCTTGGACTGTAGCCTGTCTTGGTAAATCATTCAATAAAGCAACTTCACCAAAGTAATCACCTTTGGTTAATCTTGCAAGATGTCCTCCCAGCTGACTGTAAACATCACAATTACCACTTTCAATCAAGTAAAAGTTTTCCCCTTGATCACCTTCAGTAACAATTTTATCGCCAGCATGGTACATTTCTGTCCATAAAGCATCTGCTAATTTGGAACGTTCATGATCAGAAAGTGATTCCAAGACTTTAACACCCTTCAAGAAATCTTCGTACATCAATCTTCTGTTGAAAGTACCTTCTAATAAGATACGACGGAAAGTTAAACGATCCAATGCCCAACATGTAACATCAGTGGCAGCAATAGCGGTAGCTGCTCTTGGGGCATTATACATCAATGCCAATTCCCCAAAGGAAGAACCTTCACCACTGGAGTTGACTTTAGCATCGTTAACATAAAAGTCAACAGTTCCCTTTTCAATGATATAGAAATAATCACCTTCATCCCCTTGTTTAATAATAACAGTGTCTTTTGGGAAATGTCTAGATGACAAAGCAGCAAGAACAGTTCTCTTAGATTGAGCATCCAACTGCTTAAAAAGGAAATTGTTCTTTAAGTTTTGTGCCAAAGTTGCTTCTTCTTCAGCAGATAAATTATTAACTGGAGGTTTCCAACTTTCGGATTTCAATTTGGCAGGGTTTAATGCTTCTGCAGACACGGAAGTTCTTCTATTGGCATTGAATGCAATGGGTATTTTACCTGCTGGTTTAAATGGAAGAGCCGATGGATGAGACGAGGATTCACCGTTTGGAGATGAAGGATCAACTTCCTTTTGAATCTTAGAAGAAGAAGAAGCGGTTCCATCAAAGTTACTCTTGAAAAGAGAACCTGCTGGTTCAGAATTGGCAGATTGAGGGGCTTGAGTTGATTGTTGAGGGTTGAAATTGGAAGCTGGGGCATGTGGGTCATCATCATGGTTCAGATGAGGATCGTTCAATCCGAATGGCGACTTGAAACTTGGTTGTCTATCTTGTAGAAATCCTATCCCGGAAGCATTAAGACTGATATTAGTAACAGGAGGAAATAAGTCAATACCAGCTGCATTTGCCTTGGCTTGTTGTTCCCACAAGTGAGTTCTTTGTGCTTGCAATTTGGAGTTGAAATAGTTGGCACAGAACTGTAAAATATCAGTGGGGTTCTTGGTAAGAATTTCCCTTTGCAATTGAGACAATTCCTCTGTTATGAATTGCTGCTGTTGTTGATGCGACATGGACGTATGTTATATATGGATTTATTTGATGGATTTATTATTGGAAGGTATGTTTATAAATAAAAGTGAAAGGTGAAACGGCAACAACTTGTGTGGGAATGATTTTCCTCTCCTTAATTTTTTCTGGCCAATTTTTTATTTTTTTTTGTTCGCTGTGGGTCAAGATTATGGCTGAGTTTGTTAGGACAAAACACCGTAGTATACAAATGGTACAAAAAAACTAATACAGCTGTTTTAGAAAACTCTCACAGAGAAGAAGGAGAGGAAGAAAAAGGAATAAAGAAAATTAATTAGTTCAGATGGACGGAGGGAGGAGAGAAGATTTGAAAATTGTTCTGTCGTATGGTCAACAGTCAATAGAAACTTCTCCCTGCCGGAAGAGCGGGGGTGGAGATGGAGACATTTCTGTCAAATGGAAACTGTGTCGTTTTTTTTTGTTTGCGTGCCTAATTAATTGAAAATTCCATATTACCAGTAGCCTAATTTAAGATAAATTTTTTGTACCAGGAGGGGGAGAAAAAAAATTAAATAGTTACAAAAGCATCGAAGCAAACAGAAAGATCGAATTAAAAAAAAATTCCACATACTTCACGAGAGATCACGACAAAAGCCTTGACAATGTACACCCACCCCAGAACGAAAATAAAAGTTTGGAGAAAAATGCTCAACTGTTTTGTGACGTTTTTACCTAATTAGTGCAAGATTTCGATTTTAGTTTTTCTTGTTCTGGTAGGCGCAATTCACGTGACCTTTTGAACACGTCACATTTATTGGAAATTTTGTTCTTGGAAATTCTATGAGGTATAGAAAAATGGCTATATGCAGTCCCAGCACCATAGTAAATGCTGCGTTGTCAACAAATTAACTGTTACACGTAATGATTCCGAAAATTTTCAAATTATAAAAAGGCACATTCAACCTCATTTTTATTTTCTTCCCAATTCCTCTTCTTCTCCTCGCTAAATTTAGATTTGTCTTCTGCTGCTTATCCCCGTAGCGTTTAGCAATCTTATACATATCATTATTACATCCGGCTTTGCAACTTACTTTCAAGTAACGCAAATTTCGAAGAGGACTTATCTACAACTTTTTCAGAAAAAGAAATAGAAAATAATATCCAATCATCATATACAAACATAACCCAAAAAGGATATTCATATATTTATATTAGATCAATCTCCTACCTTCCCGCACAATTAAAAATTTATAGATCAAGATGTTGAAGAATTTCCAATCTTCTTGGTTGCCACGTATTGGGTTGCTTTACGTGGCGCTTGCCCTTATAATACCATTGTTGGGTTCTTCCAACAACGTTTTTGCCGTTGCCGCCCTGGCTGATGACAACGGTACTGAAAGTTATGGTACTGTTATTGGTATCGATTTAGGTACCACTTATTCCTGTGTTGGTGTTATGAAGAATGGTAAAGTTGAAATTTTGGCTAACGACCAAGGTAATAGAATTACCCCATCCTATGTTTCCTTCAATGATGAAGAAAGATTGGTTGGTGATGCTGCTAAGAATCAAGCTAGTTCCAATGTTAACAACACTATTTTTGATATCAAGAGATTAATTGGTTTAAAGTACAATGACGAATCTGTTCAAAAAGATTTGAAGCATTTACCATTTGTTGTTGAAAACCAAAAGGGTAAGCCAGTTGTTAAAGTTCAATATGGAGGTGAACAAAAGACCTTTTCTCCAGAAGAAATTTCTGGTATGATTTTGGGTAAGATGAAGAGTATTGCTGAAGAATACCTCGGTAAGAAGGTTACCCATGCCGTTGTTACTGTTCCAGCTTACTTCAATGATGCTCAAAGACAAGCCACTAAGGATGCCGGTACTATTGCTGGTTTGAATGTTTTAAGAATTGTCAATGAACCTACTGCCGCTGCTATTGCCTATGGATTAGACAAGGGTGACAAGGAAAAGCAAATTATTGTTTATGATTTGGGTGGAGGAACCTTTGATGTCTCCTTGTTGTCTATTGAAGGTGGTGTTTTCGAAGTTATGGCTACTGCTGGTGATACTCACTTGGGTGGTGAAGATTTCGATTTCAAGGTTGTTAGATACTTGGCTAAGCAATTTAAGAAGAAGCATGGTATTGATATCACTTCTAACCAAAAGGCTATTGCTAAGTTAAAGAGAGAAGCTGAAAAGGCCAAGAGAACCCTTTCTGCTCAAATGTCCACTAGAGTTGAAATTGATTCATTTGTTGATGGTATTGATTTCTCTGAAACTTTATCCCGTGCTAAATTTGAAGAATTGAACCTTGCTGCTTTCAAGAAGACCTTGAAGCCAGTTGAACAAGTTTTAAAGGATGCTGGTGTCAAGAAGTCTGAAATCCATGACATTGTTCTTGTTGGTGGTTCTACTAGAATTCCAAAGGTTCAAGAATTGTTAGAAGCATTCTTTGACGGTAAGAAGGCATCCAAGGGTATTAACCCAGATGAAGCTGTTGCTTATGGTGCTGCTGTCCAAGCCGGTGTCTTGAGTGGAGAAGAAGGTGTTGATGACATTGTGTTGTTGGATGTTAACCCATTGACCTTAGGTATTGAAACTTCTGGTGGTGTTATGACTACTTTGATTAAGAGAAACACTGCTATTCCAACCAAGAAGTCTCAAATCTTCTCTACTGCTGCTGATAACCAACCAACTGTCTTGATTCAAGTTTATGAAGGTGAAAGAACAATGGCCAAGGATAACAATAGATTAGGTAAGTTCGAATTGACTGGTATTCCACCAGCACCAAGAGGTGTTCCACAAATTGAAGTTACTTTCTCCTTGGATGCCAATGGTATCTTGAAGGTTGAAGCCATGGATAAGGGAACTGGTAAGTCCGAATCTATCACTATTACCAACGATAAGGGTAGATTATCCAAGGATGATATCGACAGAATGGTTGAAGAAGCTGAAAAGTACGCCAAGCAAGATCAAGAATTGAAGGAAAAGATTGAAGCTAGAAACTCATTAGAAAACTATGCTCATGTCTTGAGAGGTCAAGTCAATGACAAGTCTGAAACTGGATTAGGTTCTAAGTTATCTGAAGAAGACAAGGAAACTTTGGATGATGCTATTAAGGAAACCTTGGAATTCATTGAAGACAACTTTGACTCAGCTACTGCTGAAGAATTTGAAGAACAAAAGCAAAAGTTAATGGACGTTGCCAACCCAATCACTGCCAAGTTATACGGTGGTGCTGAAGGTGGTGCTGGAGGTGCTGGTGCTAAATTCGGTGACGATGAATCTGATGATGAATTTGATCATGACGAATTGTAAGTGTCTCGGTATTATTAAATTATTGTTTTTATATTATTTACGTAGATAGCTATATAATTTGATATTATTAATTAGAAACATAGCAATAATTGAACAAGGAGAAGAGCAACATGTAAGGGTTATTTACAAGCCATAAAGCAATAAGCATAATTATCAAGATAAACACGTGACCAGAATAAAACCGATTATTTGTATGGTTAAGAAATGAAGGTTTCAGCTTTCGTAATTTGTTCCTGAAAAAAAAAAAAGATCGAGCTAAGCAAAAAAAAAAAAATTTTAATTTGATTATTGGGTTACGTGAAACAGACTATACCGACCTACTATTAGCATGGCGAATAGGAAGCTACAGAAGTATGTAATATCAGTTAGAATTTTAAATGTGCGTGGCAGTATAATAAAGATGATACCATGAGATTGGACAATTTAATGCTTGAAACATTGTTGTATTAATTAAGCTTCGGTCATTTGCTGTTACCTATTTTTTTTAATGGAATAACTTACTAACAGTTCACTAGGGATATTGAAATTATATTCAAAAAGATCCAGGAGGGATTGCATGAATTCCACTACCATTATGACCGTTACGAGAGCATAAACACCGACGAGGACTCTGATAATCAACGAGAAAAGGAAAAGTTGGAAGGTGATCTTAAAAAGGAAATTAAACGATTGCAGAAATTCCGGGAACAGATCAAAAATTGGCAACTGAATGACGTAATCAAAACTCTCGGACTACCGGGGAATGCCCTTGGGGTAAAACTAAACGACAACAAGAAACTCATCGAGGAAGCCATGGAGATTTACAAAGATGTCGAAAGGCTGTCTAAGTTGAAGACATTCTCCAACCAGTCGATCATGATGGCATTCATGGATAGTCAACATGGTGATGACGATGACGATGATGACGAAGATACTGATGAGGAATTTTTGGAGCATATCGATAGCAGTGACGAAGATGAGGAAGAAGATTATGCTGACCTACCCTCGGATGCTATTGAAGCCATACAATATCTCAAGGACACCATAATACAAATTAGAGACCTGACTCAGAAATTGAATCATGAGTATGAAAAACTAGCGCAAAAGAAGTTGCGAAAGAACAACTTAACTACTATTGAAGCCAAGAAGGAAAAAATTCAAGCCACCATTGAAAATAACAAGTTCCATTGTAAGAAGATTTTGAAATTGATCAGACTATTGAAAGCTAATCGAGTGAATGAATTTGGATTAATATGGCTACTAAAGGATGATTTGGATGAATATGTTAGTTCTAATGGTGATTCCAACTTTTCAAGTGAAACAACATTGTATGAAGATATATTCAACCTGATTGTAGCTGCAGATCAAGATTATTCTGAAATTTATGAAGAAAAAGATGACGATTCTCAAACTCTCGACAGTACTACCAATGGATCTATTCTTTCTGAAACCAACAGCCATCCACAAAAACTCAATGGTCATGCCGACGCGCCCCAACCTAGGCAACAATCTCAGCAGCTGGCGCACCCCCTTCAGCAACCTCCTCAACCACAACTCCAACAGCAACCCAACAGTCCCGATCTTTCCAGTCCTGGTATTGTAAGAACGTTGAAACCAGCGGCAACTCCTTCCAAACCTGTTGGTAATTTGAAATGGGCCGCTGCAGCCGCAGTTGGAATACCAGAAACGTCCACAACAAAATCAAGATCGCAAGAACCAGAGTCAAATGGAAGTCATCAACCTGACTCATCTCCTACCCACAGGAGTAGTGTCACATCATCGTCTTCACCAGAACAAGCCAAGGTTCAAGCAGCAGCACAACAACAACAACAACAACAACATCAACAACATCAACAACATCAACAACAACAACGACCTTTGGTTGTTGAAAACATCAATCTTGACAAATACAAAGCAATTGTTCAAAACTCATCGTTACCTAAGACTGAAGTTAATTTATTTTCTGATATGAATTTGATTCGAGTCCCACCAGGTATTCAAGATTTGGTTATTTCATTTGCATCCAAGAGAAATCACGATGAATGTAAATTATTAGTGAACTCGACCGAGTTTAATCAATTTACTACCCCGATTCGTAAAAAGTACCTTCCGAGTGTTGTTCAACCCTTGAACTTATCGTTCACTCCGGGATTCAGACACCCAACTCAATTAATGAAATTTCAATCAATTTGGAATCAAATTAGAGCCACCTATGGATTTGAGAAATTAGTCAATGAAATAAAATCCTTGGCTAGCCAGGATAAACCTGACAATGCAGCCCTTGTAGCCGAATTGACCTATGTGCTTTTCTATGGGTTTTATTATGGATTGACACCAGCTGAAAATTTGATTGCTGAATCATATTTGTTTGACTTGGGTTGGAAACCTTATAAGGCTCAATTAGATAACAATTCTTCATCACCACTTCATATTTCATCACCTACTGTGAAGGATGATTCCAAATCAGCTGCCCCAACCGGTAGTTATTGGTTTAAGAGAATTAAATTGATATCTGAAGGTACCACAGCTAATCCTGGTTTTGAATTTGGTGATTATCAAGTATTTGATTTGAACTTTTGGGAAATATTTGTTAGGTATGGGTTTAAGTTTGATTATACTCTTTGTCAATTTAACCCATCAACTAGTATTTTCTAGTAGTGTTGTTTTGTTTTGTTGGATGTTTTTTGTATATGCTTAAATAAAATCGTAAATGGTGTCTGACTGTAAGATTGGATCACTTGAAGTTAAAATATGCTGAGTTGTCTCATATGTTGAATTGGCAACTCCGTCGTCTGAGAATATGATGTTGTTATCGTTGCTCCCTAGAATTTCGGACTGCATACTCGACGACAGTAACATGTCTGATTCTTCCTCTAACTCCTTCTGTACAACATATGTGTATGTTTTACCGTTTCTGGCAACCAATTTAGGCATGTTGCCTTTAAAAATCAGACAGTTTGGAATAGAAGGTACGTCAATGTATTGTTCTATATCAGGCAAGTAGATATCGAATTCTTTCAACTTTGAAGGTTTCAATCTTTCTTCAGCAATTATCTGTTTAAGACTCTTCATTTTTTGCAACAACCTTTCTTAAATAAACTGAACAAGTAAAACAGAACAGCGAAAACAAACCTGAGATTCAAATTGGTATACCAAAAGGTATGAAAAGCCCATATAATGTCCAGATTCAAATCTTACCTAGTTACGTCTAATGCAATTTAAGGCTAAGATGTTTGATACACTCCAGACAGTATTTGGTTGTAAATACCTCGGTAATTGTGATTATTTTTCTCAGCAAATTTCTTCCTACCCCCGCTTGTTATTCTATCAAGTGACAAAAAAAAAAAGTTAACCCAAATGATTCACGTTCAATACTTCATACAATAACTATAGAGCACCATGGAATATTATTCTTCACTTGATGCATCCCAGTTGGATTCTGAAAGACCAACTTTATTTGAAATAATATCTTCAAACCAATTAGAAGCTTTACTTTCACCTTCATTACGGTATATATTAGTACACTATGCGAGCAAATACCCCAGATATTTATTGAAAATCAACAACAGATTTGATGAAATAAATTTGTTCTTTAGGGGTTTTATTGAATGGTATTTCCTCAAGTATTGGCAAGGATCGTTCACAGAGAATTTCTATGGATTGAAGCGAGTCAACCAGACTCCATTGTCACAAGGGGACTATAATAGCAATAAATTGACCCTGGTTGTTCCTTCGATGGTTGAAGAGAGAAGACAATTGACTACGTTACAAATTCTAGTATCAATATTTGAAGTTACAGGTGTTGCATACTTATCTGAAAAAATGAACTACAGTTACGAAGTTTGGTATACTAAATACGTCACCAATCAATTGAATACTCATGAGTCTAATACCCGAGAGGAGAACTTTAAGATTCAATTGAAGAGGAAATTTGTGCAAATTTATCCATACCTACAAAGTGCATACAGATTAGGTAATTTCGTAACGATATTGTTATATTTAAGTGGTTCTACTAAATCTCCAACCTTGTTGACGTACTTATTTAGAATGAACTATTCTCGATTAAACCAGTACGATTACTCAAAGAATGATTCTTCGGTGGCCGAATTAAATCCCAAGACGCCATTAAACGAAATAGCACCACCTACCGGTTTCGAATGGTTATTACGTTTCGCCAATACTAATATATGGGGTCCAGCATTGAATTTGATAAAGTTTATATTGGGAACATTTTTCCCGGGCGCTATATTCACTTTAAAATTCCTTGAATGGTGGAATAACTCAGATTTCTCATCAAAGCTTGCCAAGAACCAAGGTAATGTTCTTGATTTCACCTTGCCTCCACCATCCACATTAACAGCAGCACTTTCTGCCTCGAGAAAAGTTGTCCAGGAAAAGAAAAAGAAGGGAAGGAAACCATATGTTTCAGGTAAAGAATGTCCCTTGTGTAAGAAAGAACTTTCCAACCCAGCAATTATTGAGACAGGGTATGTGTTTGATTATTCTTGTATTTATAATTACCTCGAAAAATCACATATAATTGTATCAAAAAAGGCAGAATCGAAGAAGAAGGAACTAAATGAAAAAGATTATTCAGATGATGATGAGGAAGAACAACAAGACGAGGAAGCTGAAGAAGTCACCAAAATTGACATTAATAAAGGTGGTAGATGTCCTATAACAGGAAAGAAATTATTAGGATGTAGATGGAATGCCATAAGAGAAGAATGGGATATTGAAGGAATCAGACGACTCATTTTTTAGTTAGCAAAAATAGTGTATCTGTGCAGCAGCCACACCAAACTCCTCCTCCCCCCCCCCCGTGTGTGCGAAATCACTTTCGACCGCACTGCAACAATAAATTTTTCATCCAGGATAACTTCAGTGTAGACGAATCTTACTTCTTTATAGACTAATAGATATGACTTCTACTACTAAGACTCTTGAGGCAATCAAATTTGATAGAAAGGAAATCAAGTTGGAGATCCTTGACCAATTACTTCTTCCATATTCCACAACCTACATCCCCATCAAATCGATTGAAGATGGGTTCCAAGCCATTAAGTTGATGCAAGTTAGAGGTGCACCAGCAATTGCTATAGTTGGAGCATTCGCTGTTGTTGTAGACACATACATTTATTTACAAGCAGCAACATCAAATAGACCAATCGGTGAATTAATCAAATCCATAGACTACTTGATTACCTCGCGTCCAACAGCCGTCAATCTTGCCAATGCATTGAATGATATGAAAACATTAATTGTAGAAACTGAATGTGAAAATGTTAATGAAAAAGTATACAGGGCTTTGTTGCACTATGCCACCGCTTTATACGACGACGATTTAGCCAACAACATCAAGATCGGATACCATGGTTACAAATACATCAGTGACACTTTGAAGCAACAAAATTTCAAAGGTCCATTCTCAATAATCACCATTTGTAACACTGGATCATTGGCAACTTCTGGTCATGGTACTGCATTGGGTATAATCCGTTCAACATATCAAAGCTTGAGCAAAGAAAATTCCAATGAAGAATTTTATTTGCAACATGTTTACCCTTGTGAAACTAGACCTTATAACCAAGGTGCAAAGTTAACCACATATGAATTAGATTACGAGCAAATTCCATTTACGTTGATTTGTGATAATATGGTTTCCTCTTTAATCAACTCCTTGAACAGCAAGCAAGTCAAGGACCAATCTGCTCCAATTAAGTTCATAATTGTTGGTGCTGATAGAATTGTCAAGAATGGTGACACTGCCAACAAGATTGGTACTTTCCAATTATCCACAATTGCTAAATACTTCAATTCCAAGTTCACAAAAGAAGAGCAGAAGATCAAATTTATTGTGGCAGCTCCAAAAACTACAATTGATTTACAAACTCAACACGGAGATGATATTGTGATTGAAGAAAGACCTTCTAATGAATTGACTACCCTTACAGGTCCAGTGTTGAAACAACTGGGTGATGTTGGAGAAAAATTAACTGTGGGAATTGCTACACCAGGTATCTCTGTATGGAATCCAGCATTTGATGTTACTCCTCATGAATTAATTGATTCTATTGTTACTGAAGATGAACAAGTCTATACAAAAGATGCCAATGGAGAATTCCATTTGACTAAATAGAATTATAAATATATACTACTTCTTTTTATTTTTCTTTTTCTTCTTCTTTGATTGGTTTTTCTTACTAGAAGGTTTATTAGTAGCTTCCATCACAACACCATTAGTTTTAGCCAGTTCCTCTTCCACTAGTTCATTCTCCACAGCATCCAACTCGGAAGTCTCTTCTAGGGATGTCCTCTCATCACCTGCTTCATTTTCTATGACTTTTGTGCTCTCCTCTGTGCTTTCTTTGATGTTTTGTTGTTCTTCTAGAACTGTCTCTTCGACAACCTTCTCTTTGATTTCTTGTTTCTCGGCTGTGTTAGGTTCATTTGAACTTTGCTCTATTGGTTGTCCAGATTCCTTTGAATTATTAATGTCACTCTCAACAGGAACTTCAAGTCTAGTATCAGATTGATCTTTAAGCTCTTGTGTTTTTATCTCATCAGTATTAACAGCAGCATCCTCAACATTAATTACTTTAGCATCAGAAACAATTTCTTCCGGTTCAACATCTTCAGATACCTTTATAACACCAAGGTTTGATTCATCCACCTTAGCAGGTTCTTCTGAAACGCCGTCAATCACTTCACTTTGGTTCTTTTCTTTTGCTTCTTCTTTCGATTCTTCGATTGAATCATACTGTACAACCTTTTCAACTATTTCATTTTCAGGAAGTAAATTTGTTGGTTGATCTAATTCCATCGAGCTTTCGTTTTTCAAATCCTCTGAAATTTCTGTATCAAGAACTTTGTTTTCCTGTTCATCAACCTTTTCTGATTCGATAGGAAGATTCTTGTCAGGGTTAAGCAATATATCTTGCTCTTCAGTTGGTTCTTCTGCAGCGGAAACAACCTTTTCAATTTCAATCTCCTCATTTTCGTCTTGTATTTCAGGAAGTTCTTTTTCAGCTTCTACCTTGTCTTGAATTTCAGGAAGTTCTTTCTCGATTTCAACATTGGATTCATCTTGAATTTCTGGAAGTTTTTTGTCAGCTTCTGCGTCGGCATTTTCTTGATCTTGAACTTCAGAAACTTCTTGCTCAGCAGGAGTATCCTTCTCAGAAGTATTTTTTTCACCAGCTTGCTTTTCCAATTCATCCTGTTTTTCCTCTTCAACCTGTTTAGAAGCATCTTCTGGAGAAGTCTCTTGAACATCTATCAGGGGTTGGACTGGTTCTGGTTCCACACTTGTCTCAGTAACATCAAAGATTACCTCACCTTCTTCTTCGGCTTTCAGCTCCTCAGGCACCATCTCTGATGCTTCAAGATTAGCTGTTGCCGACTGTGATCTTGGTTCCAAAGCTTCTTCCTTTCTGTGACGGTCAAAGGAACTTCTAGCTGAAGACACTAATCTATCGAATGAGAAACGTCTAGCTGGAGCTTCGGGTCTTAATGGAGGTGACTTTTGTTTCTGTTCATCTTGAATATTATGTCTCATTATTTCTTCCATTTTGGCCTCTTCTTCAGTCGTCATTGAGTTAACATTCTCCCAAATGACTTGTCCGGAATTACCATATCCTCCCACATCAAACAACTTGACTCTAAAATAATCAATATCTTTTAATACATTTTGCTTTTCATTGATATCTTTGAATGGTGGTAATTGAGTACAGTAGCTTTCAACAAATAATCTCTTGTAATTATCAAATATTTGCAGGAGGATCAATGATGATTTTAACTCCGGTAAATACTTGGTCAACACTTTTGCAACAGTGATTGTATCTTTTACCAAATCCTCCATATACGAATGACATTGTTGTGGGTGTTTGATTGGCTCGGACCAATTGATTTTGGGTAAGCCAGCACATCTCATCACCGTACGATCATGCATCATGGTAACAACCTTGGAGAAAAGTTCAGTTTCGTGATCTTTATAATTGCTTAAAATTCGTGAATATGTGATTTCTTCGGGATTTTCTTGATGAGTATCCTGAGGGAAGAAGTTCTTTGTAGCTTCCAATAATCCAATATTGAATTCAACAAATTGTATACATAGCGCCAAATGCTTTGTGGTTATATGTTTCAAACCCGCCGTTCTTGTTGCTCCGGCATTTAAAACTGCTTGTGATGTCTTCGAATTCAAAACCTTGAAATAGTTTAGTAAATTGTTAGTTATGGTAGATGCAAAGCTAGGAAATGCTTTGGCAATAACAATATAATCTCGAATATGATAAACATTTTTAAGTGCCAAACTAGGAACCAAGAATACATCAGTAGAAATAGAAAGCTTTCTAACTGTTTCGTCAACTAGCTGTTCTTGAGGTTCTTTCTCATTATCTTCGTAAAAATCAAAATATTCATTCAATTTGTCTCCAGATTCTCCAGTTGCATAACCTATCAACTCATCAATGGCAAGTTGAGCAGCGGCCAACTCCTTGGGATCAACGACTTCTCTCCAAATTTCCTTAGTACACTCAGTTGACATCTCCCTGATGGAATTGATATGAAATCTATGCACAAAATAAGTTAAATGATTGCTAAACCATTCACCAAGGGCATTACCGGCGCCACCAAATGCAAAACCAGGGTTTATCATTTCACATTCTTGTAGATAGGACGAAGTTATGGAATATAACCTTAGATAGAACTGGACGGGTAAATCTGCAGTTTGTTCTGACCTAACACTTATAACTTTCATTAATCGAATTTGTGTCAATTCTATGGCTTTATGAATGGCAGTGGTAATATCTAATGACATGATATCAATGTCGTTTGTAGAAGATATACTAGTTAATGCTACATCTAGCAACAATTTCTGATGCGCGGTTAATCTTCGTAAACATTCTGATAATTCAGCACATGTCTTGGAAAACATATTCTCAAACTCACGAGGGGTTAACGTTTTAATGTTTGTACTTAATGCGTTAGGTTTACCTGTATCGGGAGGAGCAGGTGAGGCTCTTGATGAGGTTCGTGACATTTCCTGCAGTTGGGAAGATGGAAGGTTCTGCTTGATAATATCTTTAATCTCGGTAATGAATCGATGTTGATATGTAGAATAAGCTTCTGATAAATTGCCTGCTTTTTCTAAATCTCTCACGTATTCCTTCAACTTTGACTTTTTCTCTTCCTCAATATTCAAATAAGAGGCAATGACTGGTCGAGAGGCATACTTTTTAGTCTTGTCCTTATTAACATATAATCTATTAAGGGTATCTTTGGTGGCAACGTTTCTATAATGGTCTCTTAAGTCGGTTGTTAATAATTCAACAAAATCATCAGTGTATCCCTTAGAACATTCATGTTTGAGACTTTGTAAATCATTTCGTAAATGAATAAATGCAGGTAATTGAGTTAATTCAACCAAATTGGGCAAGTCTGGGTATAAGTTCTTTAAATCTGGATCCGTGACATCTTGATAACGTACGCCGTGCAATAACTTTTCAACCACAACTATCTCATTAAGACATTTTGCATAATTTCCATCAGTGAAAGACTTATTAGAAAGGTTGAAAAATGATGTGATGTACTGAATTTGTATCAATGTAGATTCAAAAGTCTCGACATTTTTCTTTTCTATTAATTTGTGCATGATTTTTAACCCTCGTTTGGATTGGGCTTGCTCTAATTCTTCGAGTTCTTTCGTAATATTATTAAAGATATCAACACAGCTCTTAGATTGAATTTGAATCTTTTCAATATCCCCAATTGCATTAAAGAACGAATCTGAAGATTTCCCAATTTCTTGAATCAAATTCATTTCCACAATATCCAAATAATTTGATAATTTGTCTTGTAAATCGGTATTATTCACCAATGATGACTCTCCCAAGATCGAAGTATCTTCTATAACTTGTTTAAATATTCTTGGATCATCCAATCTGAAATTTGAATCAAGAAATACTTTTGGAATATCTGAAATCAGGTCAATAATTTGAATATCCTCAACAGAACTTGATGCAGAGATTCGCTGCTGCTGCTGCTGTTGTTGCTGAAATTTCTGTAACGTATCTTCAGTCAAGAGTTTATAACTCGATTCAAATTGCTTGTATTCGCGCTCTGCATTCTTGACATACTTTTCATAGAGGTCAGCGTCAGTGACTTTACTCTTCAATTTCAGCAATTGAATTTGCGGTATGTCTCTAGTGGAAGGAGTGCTTAAGTTGTAAACAGTGTTTACACCTCCATTGATAGTTACTGAAGATTTAGGTGGTCGATTCCTTCTTATTCTTGCAAGATCTGATCCTATAGTCAATTCATATATGGAGTTTGGACCTAACGGAGAATAAATATCATCCTTGGTTTCATCAGGATTGAATGCACTGACATGAGCACTGGACAGAAAGATGCTTTCGTTGTCGATACTAGTTCGAGGCATGGTGCTAGTAGACACAATTCTATTATGATTGTTCGTTTTGTTTGGTGGATTATATACAACTGAAGTTGAGGATTGGTCGGATGTAGACACTACCAAATCATCATTGAGGTTTATGCTGCTATCATCTAGCGATGCACGAGGTAGATTCAATGATTCCTCAGCCATATTGGAAGCGATATCCGGGGGAAGAGAGAAGAATTCGTATGTGCGTGTCTATTAACAAGTTCTAAGTTGGTGGTAAAAAACTACATTGACAACAAATCTCAAAGTCGCACATTTAAGTCCAGGTACGACGTGGTGCTACCATGTGAAGGTTCTAACCTGGTGCTTAAATCAGACAGGCTACAAGAGCTTACAAGCTTGTAAGTGGCAGAAAACGTGTAAAGCGATTGCATAAGAAATAAGCCAAGAATTACAGTCTGTTGTGTGTGGCGACTATTTCCCTGCGGACTTTCAAAATCACGACAATCTCCGTGGCGCTTTCCGAACAAACAAAATTTTCCCACTATTTATTCCTACATATTCCGCACTTTAAAATTTCCAACTTACTAATCATCTTCATCTTCATCCACCCCCCGTAACTATTCAAAGCCATGTCCACTGAAGAACAAAAATCAAGACCAAAGCCATGTTGTGTTTGCTTAGATGAACGTAAATTACGTGATGAGTGTCTTTTATACAAAGGATTGGAAAGTGGGAAATGTGCCGATGTCATCAAGCAATATACCGATTGTATGATTGGTTATGGATTCAAGCCAAATGAAATTCCAAAAGCTTAAGAAGACTTAGACAGGATTTGTTTACAAGTCGAACCTTATGCATGTATATATTATAGACTTTGTAAATAGACTATATGTGTTTTCTATAAAATATTAATTTATCGTACCATAAGTTTTTGGTGATGTTCGAGATTCTCTACCTATAGGTGTAGTTTCACCTTGCAGCTCCCTTCTTGCTTCTTCCTGCAATATTTCGGCAATCTCTTGTCGCAATACACTTTCGGTATCGTCCCTGAAATTTGGATACTCAAGCTTTATCCTTTTATTTGTAGTTATCCATAGTTGGTTTCTTATAAAGTTATCAATCAATATCAACTGCAAACAGTTCATGAATATAGGAACAACAAACATCACTATGAAGATTTCAAATTCATCAGGATATTCATCCAACCAAACTAGTAAGATATGACTTGTTATCCAAAGTAGCTGTTTTTCAAAGCATTCGACTATTCCATATAGAATAAATTTCGTAATCATTAGACTTGTAAAATAGACTCCTAATTGTTTAAAAAATGCTCTTGTAGAAGGATTATTTGGATCAGGTCCGTATTCACCTGATTCAATTTGGGTTATCCTGAAGTATTTCTTACATATACGATTCATCAATTTGAACACAAGATAAAGAATATACACCCCAATAGTACAATCAAATACAATATTCAAGAAATACCAATCACAAGGATCCTGCGTTTCTTCATCGTCTGTCTGTAGTATTCTCCTAAAATCTTCTTCGTCGCTAGTCTTGGCCATAGACAAGATCACATTAAACATGTGGACTCCAAATGCACCAATTAATTGTTTGGCAACATCGAAAACCCACACGGGCCAGGTTCTTCTAATGGGATACTCATAAAACCTCTTAACCATCAAAGAAGAAATACAAAGTAGTCCCAAGAATGCTTGTGTGAAAAGTGAAAATGTCCCTATCAATTCACATTTGCCGTCGTCGTCAGTGTTGCCGGTGTTGCCCCCTGTCCTACCAGTACTATTGAACGACAAAGGTAATATTAGGGATAACAAAGCCATAGGAATAATCGATCGTATCTCGGAACATCCTAGCATTATCTATAGTAGTATCTGATGTATTAAATGTGTGTTTATTATATAAAAGTGTATGAACTGATAAGAGAAAGCACACCATTGCCTATCCTCTCCTCTCCAGTAGCAAGCAGAAAAAAACAAAGCAATGACGGTTAAGGCGGCTTTCCTGGGGACCCAACAAAAAAATGAAACGTTACAGTTTCTTTTTTAGCCACGGGTTTTGCAAAGAAAATTGCGAAAACCCGAGGCCGCACAACCTTGTTTAATGAGTATCTATAGTTAGATTTGAAGAATGTATCAGCTGTCCAATGTTGAAGGTGACAATATATATATATATATATATCCAACAGTTTTACGCGAGATATTCCAACAATATAAATAGTTACACAAAATCTAGACAATGTAAAGAACCAACAAACCTTGCTTCTTCCCCCCGTATTAGCCGGCACGCTAGCACAACTCTCTACTAATTCTTTAAATCCCACTAAGGGTATATATTTTTCAACACTACTACTTATACGTATATATATAAACCTTAAACGACACGTACCAAATTAAACAAGATTAACAAATTAACAACAAAAAAGTAAATATAGATTATGAGTTTTTTTTTTCAATTTTATCCGAAGAAATGCTTGGCTAACCCTTTAGCCTGTCCCATCAAATTCTTATTTTCATCCATAGGTGAAGGACTTCGTATTCCGCTTTTATCTGCAACTTGACTCAATGAGTTGTAAGTCTTTCCGATAAACAAATCACTTCCATCGTGCTCTTCATCATGCTCGTCATTTTCTTCGTCGGTATCATCATCATCAAATGAAAACATACCTTTTGTCTGGGAAGTTCCCGATGATGATGATTTAAATAATGCAGTTTCGGATGTGGTTTGTGGAGGTAATGGTGAAGATTTATTGGATAATGTACGAGTCAATGAGTTGGATGTTGTATCAGGAGTCAGCGACAATACAACAGGTGAAGGAGTCCTCTTTTCAAAAAACGAGTGGGATAACGCTTCAGTTTCAGCTGTAGTTGTAGACATCGCTGTTGGTGCTCCTCCTGCTCCAAAAAACAGTTGTGAAAGTGAATGTGAACTTGTGGGTTGCTTGGAAATCGAAGTCGATGAATGACGTGGGTTGATGGTGGTTATAGGAGCTTCTACGGGCTCAGGATCTTTCAAGAATTTTTCGGGGAAATGCTGTGGATTGCTTGGTGTTGTGTGGAAAATCAGCTCAGCTAATGCTTGACTCGACCTTCTAGTTCCAATAGATAACCCATCATCAGAATCACTGTCTTCATCATCACTCATATGGAACGGAGCTTTTGTAGCCAACAATACTGGCGATGGTGCAACCTGTGGAATTGATGGAGCATTAGCAACTGCCAATGGAGAATTTGGTTGACTAGCATACATGACTGGACTAGTCATATTAATAACCATTGGTGGCATTTCATCATTTTCAATGATATCATAATCGAAATTCGATCCAACACCTAAATTATCAGGAACATCAACAACATCGGGAGTTTTACCATAAATTGCATGATTTGGATCCACTGTATACACAGTATTATAATCATAATAATAATCATACCCTCTACTAATTTCATTATTAACATTATGAGAAAGACTTGAAGTGTATGGATTTTCGTCATCACTTTCTTCATCAGATGAACCATAATTTAATGACGTAGAAGGTAATAAATGGATGGTTTTATACACCTTACTATTACTGGTAGATATTGATTCACTATCTTCAGTATTTTCATTAGTGGCATTTCTTGCCAAAATTAAAGGTGCATTGGAATTGGATTTAACCTTTATGAAAAATCCTCCTTCATCATCGTCATCGTCATCTTCAACATCACTATAATCTTCGGGATCATATAAATGACTCTTGCTACCATCATAGTAATAATTAGCAACATTATCATAATAACCATCATTGCCTATTTCTTCATCTTCATAATCATTATAATCATAATAGTCTTCATCATCATCTTCCTCATCCTCTTCTTCTTCGGCAATTGCATCATTATCAGAATATGGATTAACAGCAATACATTGTTGCACTTCTTCATTAAAATGAATATGTCTGTCTTCTTTAACAGGAACCTCTTCCTCTTCTTCTTCTACTTCTTCTTCTTGGGGCACAACCTCAGGTGACTTTTCAAATGATGCTAAAGTTAATTTGGACATTGGTTCAACCACATTTTCCGAAGCCTGAACAACATTTGCTGATTCTGCAAGCTTTGTTTTGGAATTGCTTCTGCTATTTAATAAATCTTGCAATTTAATAACATTACAATTCTCAGGTATGGCAGTATTCTCGTATTGCTTATTCAATTTTGCCAGAAGTGTATCATAATCAAAGAATTTTTCTTCAGGTGCAGCTGGCACTTTCTTTTGTTGTTCCTCTTGTTGTTTAATTTCTTGCTGTTGCTTTAATAACTGTTCTCGTTGCTTTTGGTATACCTTGTTGGTGGCCAATTGCAACTTCAATAAATCAGAATGACTAATCATTGATTCTTGAACCGTTCTCTTTTTAAGAATTGGTTTTGGAGCAGATGGTTTTTTCTTGTTAGCTATGGAAATATCTCCAGCTACAGCACTGGTTGCAGTAGTTTCTCGTTTAATATTACAAGTTTCATCGTCACTAGCGTGGTCATCATTTAATATTGGACCATATAACCAAGTAACATCACTATCCTTAGACCAATTGACAACTTCCGGACTGATGGTTTTCAAATTTTGTCGACGTTGAGCCCAAGTTCTCCAACTTGCATTTTCCAATCGCTTTGAATTAGCAACATTGTGTTTCTTGGATATAACATACCTCCATGATTTGGAAATGTCATTGACATCCCATTGATAGGACAAATAATCAACATGACGTGATGGTTCAATCATAAGATCAGTATCATCGTGTGGCAACAACTCCGGAGATTGCAACAACGGAAGCGGAGAAGGCGAATGTGATACGGGAGAAGAAACAGACACAGAGCCATTGGCTGCGTTGGAAGCAACTGATGTATCAATGGCAGGAGGCTGCTCAGGAACAGCAACATTGTTGGAAATGGTAGTTGCAGTTGGGGCAGTGTTTATGGAATCTTCTTCAAATGGTGATGATGTTGATGATGATGACAGAGAAGTAGAAGATGCATTTGACAGAGGTCTTGAATTTATATTATTCAAAACGGGTGGACTGAGTTGGGTTGGTGGTGGAGGCTCATTGTTTTGGTTACCATCGGCAAGTTTGTCGGGGATGAATTCATCCAATACCCCTATGGATCGTGTCCTTTTCAATTTAAAGGTTGTATTTTGGAAATGTTCTTCATCTTCAGCTTCAATATGTTGTGAAGTGGTGGCACCGCCGGAATATACTTCTCCAGATATAGACATTCTAACCTATTACTATGTATACTGTGGGTAGAAAAAAAAATATGGTCAGTGAGCGATGAATCAAACGAATAACTTGATTATATGGGTATATTTGTGGTAGAATAAGTGAGTTGATATGCTTTATTGGATTGTTGTGAATGTGGAGGGGGGCGAGGAACTGGACCAGGAGGGGGAAACTAAACAGTTTATAGGAGGGGGAGTGTATATTGGAAAAAATCCCAATCAGATGTAAACGTTGTGGATAAAAGGATGCTTGTAGTTTGTCTGCCTGTGTAATTATACAGGTGGAATAAACGGGGAGGATGGTCGTGTATAGTGAAATAAGGGTGGCGATAGGTGATTGATTTTATAACGTAATGAAAGATGTAAAGTCAATTTCTCTTTCAGTTTTTTAGTGTGTGAATTGATGGGACATATTTTTTTTTCCTCTGTTTCTTTCGCTTTCTTCAATTTATTTTGTTTCACTCTGGAGAGAATGACATGTTAGCCAAAAAAAAAAAAAATATAAAACTGAGAGCGAGTCAAAAATTGCAGTTAGGGTTTTTTATGCTTGCCATTGAAGCTGTCGGAATTCTCAATGTTAAATTTACTGCCAATATGCAACCGTCACAACTAGCCAATCTGACAGATGTATGAGTGTACATTATCAGCACACTTGTAATATGTTCTCTACATAAACGACTTGTTTGATATTCGTCGGAGTTTAAGTTCCTATCGTGTAATAAAGGAATGTTAGAGGCTTTACATGCAGGATCTTGGTTCGGTTTGGATGGTTGTTCCCCATTAAATTGTGTACAAACTGAACAAAGCAAAAGAGATATTATTAACAGCCGCCTGAAAATGTAATCAAACAAGCAACTGTAATTATGACTCCATACACGTTGTGTAGGTTGTTTCGGCTTTATTTTGATTTCCAGCATTTCATTGTAGTTTTATTATTTGTTTTTTTTTTTTTACTGGCTCGGTCCCGGAATAATCAGATGCGCTATTATTTTCTTATTTTCGTATTCTATGGAGAAAACCGGAACATTGAAACTGCCTACTGAAATCTCTCAAATCATGTAAACATTCACTAGTTCGTGCCACATGCTGCGTACCTGAAATAGCAATTTAACTCGCATATTTAACTTTTTGAAATCTACTTATGGCTTCGGCTTCGGAAAAACAAATCCCCGAGAATTCCACGTTTTACAACCTATTATTTTCTATTAAACGAATTGTAAAAAAATATATATATATACACCGTCGAGTCTCGGACAAACAGTTGACAAGTCCATTTAGAACCACACAGCCTTTTTTCAACATAAAATGATGAATTTCACCACCAAGTGGAAACATGCAAACCGGCGTTCTATCAACTCAGCCCAGATGACTCCCAGCCATGATTGTAAAATTCACAAGGCTGGCCCACAGTACAAATACGTAGCAAGCGGTCATGCAAAAGCCAAAAAAAAACCTTGTAGTAAAAATTGTGGAGAAAAAAAAAACGATTTGATATTTTTGCGGGGGTAGAGGGGTGAATGGAAAACTTAAGTACAAGCCAAACAAAAAGATTTAAAAGAGTTTCTTTTTTTTATTAATTTGTCCAAATTGTCCATTTTGCTTCCATTTAGGGGTAATTAAGAGATAAGTTGCAAATTTTTTGACTACGAACGCTATCCTGTTGCTTGCAAGTTTAGTAAGAAGAATTAACAGGACGTGGATCACCTATTCGCAATAACCTCGGACTTAAGGAACAATTATTAATATTGTTTAAATTGTAATACTAAGGAAAGTTGGAGTACAAACCTGCTAAACTAACTGTATAGCAGATATAACATACTTACGATTTCTTATCTAACCAAACTATTAACTTTTAACACCTCCACATGCATCGGTAAGAGAATTAATGCAATTTGGAGACATGTAACTTGTTCTCTTGTAATTACCAGGTCACACATTAGGTAATGGCTTCTTAAATAAACTGACTAAATTTTACTCTTGATTACTAGAAAAGACTCGCATGCTGATACTTTCCTTCTAAGTTTAACAATTTAACCTACTTGAGGTAATGTTAGCCTTTAAAGTTTTGCACTAGTTAATTCAACAATACCCAATAATGAGTGAAGTAATGAGTTAATTATCCTCATATTTCTGTAATTGGTTTCCACGCCAAGGTACTCGGCAACGATCACGAAAATGCATCGTGTTGTAAGAATATACTAATCGCTACTCATAAGGTCATCTCGGTATTTTAAAATTTTCGGAATATTTATAACTACCTTTTAACTTGCCATATAGATCAATAATATATTAATTGGAAATGTATAAAATTAATCTACTAAAATATTAACTGACATAATAAAAACTAGATATATACAAGGTAATGATGTTTCCAGATTGAATAATTAATCCTTTGAAGTGAAACTTGGCATAAAATTACGGGCATTGGAAAATGTTCTATGGTCGAGGACCTCCTAATAGTTTCTCACAGGTTGTGCCTTCCAGATTTTGAAGCTTTCAATAAAAGCCAACACTAGAAGAAGATTGGTCAACCTCACTTGCAACTAGCGTGTCACATGGGATTGAACTGCTATTGTTCAAATTATTTGCTAATCGTACGATAATAGAAATCTAGGAGTGTTGCATTTTGCAACAAAAGAAAAAAAAAGAAACTTCACGCAAAAGTGCAGAGACAAGAAAATGAATAATTCGAAGGAGAAATATTAAGAAAATATTCATTGGGATATCTTGAACCGTTTTCTTCTTATTATAAATGGTTAGAAAGTCAACACTTTTATCTAACTGTAAATGAAAATAAGCTCTGATCCAAACATAAAAACAATTCTAGTATTTCCCGATTTTCTACTGTGCAGTTTCGCAGCCCCTGGTTTGGGATAAGAAGGATTTCAAGGATGTCGAATTGTATTACAGTATAGGCAACTTAAATACAACAAAATTTAATAAAATTGTAAATTTTACTGATAATAAAGTCAATGTGCATGAATATATATTTTTTTTCAGTAGAATAACAAGATGACTTCAAGAAACTGACAAAGAACAACTTTACCCCAAATGCGCTTTACAGAACCTCACTCCAGAACATGATTTTGGAAAACTTCTACAGAAATCTAAAAGATCAATTCATATTCTATATTGAAGTTGGGTCATAATTTACCCTACAATTCTGCTACTGCAAACAGCTGGATTTTCGCAGCTCGTAACATACACGGAAATGAAGTGATCAAAAAATACTACTTGAGCAAAGAATTTCAACTCTCTCGGCCATATTTGCATTTCTATTATATGTCAGAACTGGCAAAACTCTTTCTTGACTAAATAATAGCTCTGATTGAAATTACTATTGCAGAAGATCATCTCGTGGAATTATATGAGGAACCTATTTCAGATGGTGGTGCTTGGACTTTTGTTACCGATTTGATAGTGAAATATGGATTATTTTCTAACTAAACATATCCTAGCAGTTACCATGTAAAACACACAGATCAATTTATGGATTTGCTAGCACAAAAGCGTCGAGAATTTGGTGTATAAACTGCAAGCAGTCATGTTTGCAACAAATTTATAATAGTTTTAGCACTACAGTAATTAAATTCTATCAAAAACATGTGAACTATGATGTTGAAGAATATTTCACAGTAATAGAAAACCCTATGGTTGGCTATAATTAATTGTATTTTATAAATGGATTTACATTAGTAACTGATACAGGACTTTCGTTTATCAATGTTAGAAAAGGTGATGTAAAAGAGATTGCCAGCAATATTTTGAAAGTTGCTACTGTGTTTAATTTTGATTTATCCAAGGACAAAAAGCTAAGGTAAGTTACTAATTCTATTGCCAATTACATATTTGCTATTTCTGATATTCATATTGATCCAACAACTGATAAACCAATTGGTTGGAATGTCCGAATTTCATGGGAGTGGGAGAGAGACTTCAGAAACTAAAAGTTGGTATTTGATGACGGATGAGTGTTTCGATGAGCTGATTCTGAATATTGTCACCAAGAACAAATATGTTACTAATACTATTTACGAGGTTTGGGCAAAGCAGAAATGTATTAAATACTAAAGATCTTCTACGTAAAAGTAACAATGATCCATTTATCTTTCTGCAACCGTAAAGTAGGACTAGCTCGAGCAGATTATGGCCATGGAGCAACCCTCTATCGGCGTGGCATTACTATATCACGCTTTTGATCTTTCTCTACCATTTAATTTTCGTATTTTCTATTATTATAAATATTAATATTATGTCTATATGCATATGCTCATAAATCTGTTAAGCAAACTTCAGGGAATTCAATTTCTTCCCCATGACGACCACCAGCAAAATTTACTCTAGCTGACCATTGTTTAACTGGGAACCACCAATATCCAAGTGCTAAAATAACATATATAACAAATACAACTGCGAAATAATTCATATCTCCTGCAGTAACTGGCATTGTGGCTGGGAAACTGAAAAATACAAAGGCAAAAATACCATACAATATAACCACAATATTACAGAAATAACCAAACTTACCTAACCAAAATGGACCATGTTTGATATTGTTTCTTCCACGGTAAAGTAAACAGAAACAGAAAACCATGTAGGAACCTAAAATCAAGGTGATTGTACCAACTATCATAGCATTGAAACCAGCAGTTGTAACCAAGAAAATAATCCCACAAATCATAACCCAGAAGGTTGAGAAAATATGAGCATTGATTGGAACACCTAATTTTGGATCAACTCTAGCTAAATATTTTGAAAATGGTAACCCATTATCTCTGGCAAAACTCCAACAAATTCTGGTTTGCCAAGTATGACATGCAACGGTACATCCAAAAGCAGTTAAGAACACAAGGAATCCAAGGCAGACAGCACCTTGTCTATTTTTCAATGCCTGGTAGAAAATATCCAAAATTGGCATACCAGTTTGGGAGTTTGTAAGTTCCTCTAAGTTAGTAACACAGAAAAACATAGCAATTGAGTAAGTAAATGCTGTGACAAAACCAATAGTGACAGTTGAAAGAACGGCTTTTGGAATATCAGTTCTTGGTTTAGAGGTCTCTTCAGATAAATGTGTAACACTATCTAAACACGAGAAGGACCATGCAGGATTAATCAACCCAACAATAAATGCAATACCAGAAGATTTCCAACCAGTTCCGTTATTGAATTGGACAAAAACAAAATGAGGACTTTGATAATTTCCTCTAGAACAAACTAAAACAGTAATCAAAATGACAGTATATGAAAAAAGTGAAACATACAATGCACCGTTCCCTAAAATAGGCAAGATTTTTCCCCAACTGTTAAAGAAGAACAAGATAATTGTGACAATTTCGTAGATGACAAAATATGTCCATTGATCAAAACGTGCTCTGTCGGGATTTAATAAATTCCAGAATCCCAAAACTTGATAAGCTAAAGCTGCGGACATTGAAGCTGATGTGAAAATAGCACCAGCCCATGACATAGATCCACAAATATAAGCCAAAAATGATGAATATTTCTTTGGAGCCAAGACTCTAGTCCAGACATATTGACCCCCTGCCGATGGAATAGCAGAAGACATTTCACCCAAAGTAACAGCAACACAGTAAGAAATCATGGCAACGATTAAAATACCATAAATAGTTAACATTGGGCCCCCTGAACTAATACCAGTAACCAAAGAAGAGGAGATACCTAACCAGGAATTTGTCAAACCAAAACCAATACATATAATGGAATAAGTAGAAAATCTACGTTTCAATTTCCCACCTTCATGATGCACACGATCAAGAGAAGAAGAATCTTCATGATCAGAATATTTTTCATTGGTTTCTTGGAAGTCCTTAGCTTCGAAAGAGGCATTATCTGCTAGCACTTTGTCACTATCCATAGTTAATATATTTGAAAGGAAGTCGTGATGAACAAAGTGAAAAATATCAGGCTAAGTATAAGCAGGACTAGCAAAAAAAATTCTACGGGGAAATTGTTGTTACTTTATATTGAATCTGGAGAGTAAAATAAATAAATATCTAAAATAAAAGTAATATTTTTTTAAAAAAAAATTTTTTTTTGCACTTTATCTTTCTTGACTCCTCAGGTTGATGCCATGCAATTATTTGAAGATGATTTTTTTTTATTTCTGTTTCGTTCATGCGGCAATACGAGACCGTTGTAATTAACGTCGAAGGCTGATGCATGAATATGTCGGGGTTCATACCGAAATACAATACATCGGTGCTCCCACTCTTTGTTGATTGTGTATGCAACGGATATATCATTACCAATTTTTTTCGGGTTCTGTACATAAGAACTTTAATTTTTTAAAGTTTTTTCTTTTTTGTTGGATTCATTCTTTTTCTTCTTTGACATTTCTTTTTTTTTTGACACCAGAAATGATTCACTTTTACTAGTCATACGACAAGGGTTTTTTCTTTTTCTTTTTTAGCATGTATTATACATCATTCCACGGATATCTATCAAACTAGATCTGTCTTAAAATTAAAGATTAAATCAGTTAGATGGTTTATGACTTGAGGATATTATTGTCTCGTTTGATGTAAAGTGACGGCCTTTCTCACACGACATACGAATATTAAACAATAATAGACTTAAAATTTGCATGTGATATTTTTGATAGCATTTGCAGATATACGATTGGTGAAGCTGCACACAAAATAATTATTTGAATTTTGTGTTGTGCGATAAACATCTGGTAACTATTTATTTTATTGTTAATATTTTTTTAGGGTTGCCATTTCGCCGGAAGGTTGTTCCATTTTTCCCCGTTGGACAAATCGAATCATACAGCCGTTAGATGCCAAGGTAGAGATGAGCGTACCACAAACTTATTGTTTATATAAAGTGTACAATACCTTTTTGTTGGGTTTTAAAGTTAGGAAATGGTACGAGCTTTAGCATACAAGAGAGGTGGGGTCTTCTATGTAAGAACTTAAAATGACTTTACTTTCAACTGAATTTAATAACTTGTACTTGATTATCAAATTTTCTTTTGCGGTACCCCCCCTTGCAATTAATTAACAATTAACGGCCGAAGGAAAATAAATGAAAATCTGAATTATTTCCTATTCCAGATCGAATCCGTTTATGGTGTGAAGAGATTTTGAGATTTCAGATCAAGCAAACCTTAACTAAGTTTTTCTTTTTTTCAAAGTTCCCTCTGGTTAGTATATTTACTCCAAATTTTCCTATGGAACATTTATCCCCACCTTTATATATTAGTGCTTTTGCATCTAGGTATCGCATGACAATGGTGGAAATTGCCTAGAATTTAACTCAAATAATTGTAGTTTATGGGGTAGAATCTTTGTGACACACCATTTAGGGCAGCTAGAATATGTAATTTACGAATTCCTCTTATTTTGGATAATTTTAGCTATTTTTTAAAAGTAAAACTAGTAAAAGTTAAAAATTTTTTTTACAAACAATTCACTTTCATGCAAATAAATCGACAATGCCACAAACTAGCCGCTAAATAAGAATCATATTGTGCAGTTAATTCCAATATAAAATCACAATATTTGTTATCGCAAAAAAGAATAGTATAGAGGTCAAAATATAACAATGGTATCCATTGCAACGCAAACTACTTGTATAGATTATAAAAAATATATGGATCCTCTGACACCTCCCTTTCATCATAATTTCCAGACAGGTTCTTAAAGATACAATAAGTACATTTATTCTCTCCATCAACACATCGCATTTGATATTGATTGACATAACCACCACTGATTCAAAACCACAACAAACACAAACACGCCAAGAACTGGAATGCAGCAGTGCCGTCATGGAATGATTCATGTGAAGTTCATTACAATGCACTGTCTAAGTGATGGATAACTTTTGGACAAAGTTAATGAAGAGAAAACTGACATAATTTTTTTTTGTTCTTCAGATGAGCTGGGTTTTTATAGTAAAGTCTTGGGCGGGTAACACGCTGTAAAAAATATTGCTAACTTTTCGATCTGCCCTGCTCAAGTTCCAGTTGGGTGAGATGAATTTTTTCTGTTGTCAAAATGGTTTGTTTACCTTTACTTGCTTACCACTTCAACCCATGTTTGGTATTCAATCGAAACCATCAAGTGCAGGGATTACTGGATTTGGGTCCGGACAAGCTAGTCAACCTAACCAGGCTGCTCCCGCCTTTGGTAGTACTATTGCATCAGCAGTAAATACTACTTCGACCCCTGCGGCTGCTACAACCAATGCTGCCACTGGTAACAATTCTACCTTTGCATTACCTACATCAATCAATACAACTAATAGTTCTAAACTATTAAAGGAATTATTGGAATCTGCTAACAATTTACCTAAAAAAACCGACAATATTGAACTTGGTTCAATCCATTTGACCTTGAATGAATTGCAACGTAAATCTCAACAATTGAGAAAGCAAGATGATACTAAGAAGGACGTAAGTTATACTAAAGCTCATTATTTATTAGCTGGGAGTGGTATTAGTGCCGAAGATATTGAGAATGATTTAAATGCAATCCATGTTCCCCAAACAGCTCCTGGCGCTATTGCTACTGATGTTATAGCCCCGGTTACCACTGTTACATCAGCTAATATTGAAAACTATTTAAATGCCAAAAAGGACGAGAATATTTTAAATACTATTGAACAGTCATTGCATTTGGCATCTAAGGATTTTGATAAATTTATAAACTCTAATATTTCAATTGATTGGAAACTTAGAAGAGAAGAATTGAGAAAAGCTGTTGGGTTGAAATATAATGAAGCAAATAACAATGATTCTTCTGCCAAGAACTCATTAATATGGAAGACAAAGTCATCCTCAGGAAACATTTTAGGTCCTTTAAGTGCCAAGACTGCTGCTCCAGTGAGACAGATGACTAGAGATAAGTTTGAGAATCACGCTAAAATTATCCATGCTTTAAATCAAGCACGCTTAACCAAAAGCAACTTCCCATTGTGTTTAAATTTCAATGAATTAAATAAATTACTGAGTGATTTAAAATCTAAGCAAATCTCAGAAATTTGGAAGATTTTGATTGAATTAACCGATGAAAAGTTTGCCAAAACCAGTCAAGAACAGAAATTTTCTAATGTTCCTAAACGCGATTTAAATGAATCAATTGTGAATAACAGTAAGACTTATTTGGAGCAAGAGTTTTATAATTATGTGGATGAGCTTTACTTGAAGGATACCGATAAACCAGCTAAATTCCAACCTGCTTCTAATTTAAATAAGATTGGTTATTTCATTCATCAAATTGTATTGAAAAATGATCCTGATTTAGTTAACAAAACTTTATTAGTTAACGGAACTCCTATTTGGGCATTAATCTTCTATCTTATTAGAGCTGGTTTATATTTTGATGCTGTGGAACTTGCCACTCGTAATCGTGAATTGTTCCATAAATTTGACAAGAATTTCCCGGTTTATATTAAGAAGTATGTTGATAATCATACATTGCCGTCAGAATTAATGGAAAAGTTACATCTGGAATTCAATCAACAATTTCAATTTATTATTAATGATGTTGATACAAGTATTAATTATGATCCATATAAATATTCCGTTTATAAGATTATTGGGAAATGTGACTTAAGCAAAAAAGCATTACCGCAATCTATAAATTTAAGTATTGAAGATTGGTTATGGTTCCATTTATCCATCATCAACGAGAATGAATCTTCATTGATCTTTGAAAATTACAGTTTATTGAATTTACAAAACAAGATTATCCAATTAGGACCAAAGAATTTGGGATCTTCAAATAATCCTCTTTATCTCAAGAGTTTGATTTTGGTGGGACTTTATGAATTGGCGGTCCAATACACTTATGATCATGTTAATGAATGTGATGCTGTTCATTTAGCTATTGGATTAACATATTATGGCTTGTTGAGATGTTCAAGCTTTAACAAAGATGTATTACTTTCAGTTCACAATAATGAATATGAAATTAACTTTAGCAGGTTAGTAGGGTCATACACTAGAAGTTTCAAAATAAGTGATCCAAAAGTTGCATGTCAATATTTAATATTGATAAGCTTGGTTGAACCAGAAGTTTCGCACGAAGCATTACGTGAATTGATTTTAGTATCTCGAGAATTTGGAATTTTACTTGGTGAATTAAATCAAGAAAATGGTACCAAGACCCCAGGAATCTTGGAAAAACAACGAAGCTTAATAAAATTAGACAATTTAGAAGATTACTATCGTGAAATCATTGAAGTTTCTGCTACCAAGTGCGAAGAAGAAGGAAGAATTTTCGATGCATTATTATTATACCAATTATGTTGTGAATACGATACCGTAGTATCATTGATCAATAAATTATTAGCGGAAATTTTTGCAACTACCGATTTAAGTAAGCCAATTATCAAATTCGGTAATTATCAAGTTATTTCCAGCGGATATACTACTGATGGTAGTGAATACAAAGACACCATCGACAATAATATCATATTACTTTCACAACATATAATGAAAATGTTCAACAATAACAGTTTCATATTGAGTAAGATAGCTCCACAAAAGAAGCAAACCTGTGATTTATTATTACCTATAATTACCATTCGAGAATTATTCTTGCAAAAAAATTGGAGGGAAGTGATAACTCAAATTGGCAAGCTAGGACTTATTCCAGTAGATCCAAGCGATGATCTTATCAAGATTAGAACTAGTAGTGAATTGATCCAAAATAGTGATATGGATGACAATTTAATCAAGGTTATTCCGTCATTATTGATTATGGTTATGACAAGTGTGTCTCATTTGAATTATGAGATTTTAACCAAGAAATATCAATGTTTGGGCAATGAAAGAGAAGAATTGATTCAATGGAAGAAGGTGGCCAAGAATTGTATGATTTACGCTGGTATGGTTCAATACAAAATGCCAAGAGAGACCTATAGTTTATTAATCAATTTAGAGTCACAGTTGTAAAAAAACAAATAGTTTAAATAACACTAGATAAAATAGACTGTAATCAATCATGTATTTTTGTCTTTATTTATCATAAACTACTATATAGGAGAAGAGCATTAAACCATCTTTTCAGCCTTTTGTTCAGGCTGTAATACAATCTCATCAACCTTTCCGGTGTCATATACTAACTTGCCTCTACTGTTAATATAGTTAATTTCATGAACGTTAGAATGATCAGGAACAAGCTTGTCACAGTTTCTCAACTTGTACCAAGGTAAAGTAAATACTTCTTCAACCGATTCCAAACTACGTCCTTGCAATTCTGGCAACAAGAATGCAAATACTAACCCAAGAACCATAACACCAACAAAGAAGTAAAATGCTCCATATGGTTGCAATGCCAACATAAGCTTGGGAAGTGCCTTCGAGTTACCGTATTGGTTGGCAAAATGCAACACCATAACTAAAGATTGAGCAAATGAACGGATATGTAATGGGAAAATTTCTGACCCAAGCAAATATTGAACTGAATTGAAACCAATTGTCCATCCTGTACCGGACAAGAAGATGGCAGCAAGTGCACCCTTGGATGCTCTGGTTTGTGAAGGTGTCAATACCGTACCATTTTGTGAAGCCTGTGGAACAATGGTGAGGAAAATAGCATAATATAGAATAGAAACCATTTGTAATGAAATACCGGAATATAAAGCACGCTTTCTGCCAAAAACATCAATAATGAAAAAGGCACCTAAGTAAGCAGATATAACTTTAACAACCCCCAAAATAGCAGACATTTTTAACTTACCAACTGGACCCTTGATACCAGCAAGGGAAAATAATTCAGAAGCATAGATGGTGACAGCATTAGCACCACTCCATTGACCAAGGACTTGAGCAGCACCAGCAATACAAAAGAAACGATATGCGATACTTTTGTTAGTAACAAGATCTCTAAGATTTCCCAAGATACTTGAGTTGGCAATAGCGTCCTTTTCAGCCAAGACTTGTTCGTTAATATCACTAATTTCAGCAACAATATATGCATGATCTTCGGGCATGTGTCTTAACTTTGACAAATTTTTAACAGCTTGATCAACTTTATTGACTTTTAATAACCATCTGGGAGATTCAACGCAAAGAATAGTTGACATAATGAAAATCAAACTAGCTAACAATATCTTTGGAATAAGAGTGTATCTCCATTGGTTATCATTAATGTGACCATTAACAGTATCAGCAACATTTAACACACAGCCAAGGTTAGCCAAATAACCGATCAACACCCCAATATAAACCGCACCAGCAAAAATACAACTTGCTAATCCTCGAATGGGACTAGGGGAAACTTCAGCCAAGTAACTAGAGATAATTTGTTAGTAAAAAGTTATTTTGTAACCAAAGAATAAATGTTTTACATACACAGGGCCAATAGATGTTGTATGACCAATAGCTATTCCTTCAATAATCCTACCTGCATAGAGCTGTCCCAAGTTACTTGATGTGATTTGAATTATAGATCCAACTATCCAAAGCAAACAGATAATTTGGAGGGAACGTACTCGACCAAAAAAATCGACAGTCTATAAACAATGTTAGTATACGGGTTTAAGGGCACCACGACAAGAATATTGACATACCTTCATTGCTATAAAAGCACCACCAATAGATCCCAATTGTACCATTGATGTGATATTAGATGTAAGATTGGCTAAATAATCAGCAGATTTTGTGGGGTCGTTTATTCCAAACCTAGCGATAAACGCAGGAAGGGTGATATTTCCGGAGACTAGTAAAGTTAGTTTTAGTTTCAAGAAATAAATCATAGATATTACGTACTATTTCCTTCATCATAACCTCTTGCTGCACCAAGAATACCAAAGACGAAAATAGATAAGTATAATGTTGAGTTAAAAACTTGCTTCGGGTGATCTCTTTTATCAATGCTCCATCTAAACTTCTTCTTTGGTGGTGGAGAGCTTATTGGTTCTAATTCCACTTGTTGTTTCAATTCTTTATCTTCAATCGAGTTGATACTCTGGATCATTTTTAGTTGATTAATAGCAAAAGTAATAAGGAAAGGAAGCGATGCAGATAGTTCCGAGACATTTATATATTTTTAAACCAAAGAACAGTAAAACAAGGCGTTCCATGTCTAAGCAATGGCCGTTAGCCAAACGTATGGAAAAACCCGGAGAATATTTAGTGGGGTAGATATCCTGATAGATTGCAAACTACTAATATGTTGGGATAAGGTGGGGATATGCACGACAAAAAAGCAATCGTTTTACTCCGTAATCCATGCTAAGCCTCTTCAAATAAAAAGAAGTGGGAACCTGACTAAAATTTGGGGGTAAATAAATTTTGCCTATAGTTTCCCTTTATGACATGTCGAATAAAATTTTATGAGAAAACTTGCAACTTAACGTCCTTAGGTAATCAAACTCACAATCGCTTATTTTAAAAAATTGCCTCCGTTTAGGATGTATTGACCTTGTCTAGAGTTCATCTAAATTCAAACATCCTATACTTGAAGAAATTTTAAGCGAATACTACCGGTCAGAAATGCACAACCCCACTAATTTGTTCATTGTCCACAAAAAATATATAGGCTCACAACCAGGATGAAATTTGTCTTGAGCTGAGGTTATAATTTCATTACTTGCTTATCCTGGGGTATTTTTATCTAAACGAAAACCATTGGCTACTATCCGTGCGAAAGCTCGGTGTAACTCGAGGATGTATGTAAAATTGTGGAATAATGGTGGAAATGAGAACAATGGAGGTGGAGGAAACGCCTTACTATTTTGAAAATGTTACATTTCCTAGTTTTTGCGATTGATTTTTCAGAATTAACTACCAAAGACTATTCTGCAAGAATTACCTCATCTTCCAGTATTGTATCTAGTTGAACCAAATATTCCTTATTGCAGGATAAGTTGACATAAAAAATACTTCATTTTTTTTTATTTCTTGGCTATCTAGATAGTATCACCTAAAATTTTAGTGTGCTTAAAGTAACAGACATTCTATACAGCAAATAACAGAATACAACTTCCTAAGTTGGTATGTCCTAGCGCAAAAAAAAAAAAATTATAATAACTCTTGATTGTTATCCCCCACTTACACCCCACTTGAAAAAAAAGATGGAAATTGTTCAAAGACAGTTCTTTAGATGAGGAGACTTATTCCATTTCGGACTCATAATTTAACATTATAATACAATGGGAAAGAATTGCTTTTGAAGACTCGCTTAAGTTGGCTTTTGTTTCTAATCCCCGCTGCCAAACCCCGGCTGCTCAACAGGATACAGTCCCGATCATTTCCATAAGATAACAATAGTGGGTCAGAAATGTGGAATAACTATCCCCTCTTATTATCCCCTCCGTGTCTGTAAACCCATTGTTTAGATGTAATCTTCAATATTTCTTCCGGGGAACGGACCCGATTTCGGTAGGTGTATGTTCAATAGACTACTCAAATATGACTGACAATCAGCCTATCGAAGTGGGGAGATTGTAAATATGAAAGTAATTAGTTAAATTGACCCCTCTTGATACATAATAGCTCATTCAACAGTTATAAGCAGCCAATCACATGGGTACTAATGTCCCTCTTTGACTAAACATTCAGATCTGCTTTTCTCGTTCGCAGACATCTTTTTGCAACTTGCACGTTGTTTGTTTTTAGTAACTTACCTTTTTGGTTTTGATCTGCATTTTAAAGTTATTGAAAACATTATACATTCTCCTTTTATATTCACCAATGCTGCTTCGATGACTAGAACTTTAAATCGGCGCATAGAGAACCCTAATATGATAGAAAATTGAATCAAAAACTTGAAATTCGATCGTTCAAACAAAGCAGATGAAGTAAATAGGTACTTCATTTACTATCCAGAAATCTGGATACTCAATATTGCATAATCAGTAAATTAGTAGGAATGATGATTACCCATAAATAGGTTACTGGATATTATCTAAGAAAGGGTAGCGCATCAGCAATAGCGTGTACAAACCAATTTGCAACGAAAACAGTACAAACTACAGGAATAGAACCAGAAATCCTTCTGGGTGGTAACAGAAGAACTACCAGATGGCACCTAAGAAGAATAAGAGCAGCAAACCTGTAGCGAAGAACTACACATTTCCTCAAGGGTTTAATGATTTATCTAATGCCAAATCATTTTATATACCGACCCCAGAGTCAATAGTTTCCGACCAAATAATAACCATAAACAACTTCTTTTCAAAAGAACTTTGTAATGAATTAATCAAGTCCTTTGAACAAGAAATATCGTTAGAGACAACTCCACTTATAAAAAGCAAAGAATATGCAGCTAGATTTAATGATCGTGCTTCATTAACAGATTTAAAATCAGCTGATACATTATGGAAATATCTTCGAAAGATTCTTCTTCAAGAGGAAGACGAATACATAGACGATGAAGGTCGAGAAATCAGAGAAATCTTTGCAAATGCCCGTGGATTAAACCCGCAATTACGTGTTTATAGATATAAAAAAGGACATCATTTTAATAAGCATTATGATGAATCTGTTGTTTGTGATATACCACCCAACGGAACCAAGCGAGGAAAAACGAAATGGACACTTTTAATCTACTTGACTGGTGGAGAGGAGTTCAAAGGTGGAGGAACAATCTTTTATCCTGAATTAAGAGGAGTCGAACCATTAAACATCCATCCAAGTAAAGGAATGGCTCTTTTGCATAAACATGGAGATGATTGTTTAAAACACGAAGCTGAAATAGTGCATGAAGGGGAAAAATGGGTATTGCGGAGTGATGTAATATATTAATGGACAGTGATGCAAGCAATACAATTCATCATTCTCTGAGCTGGAATATTACAAATAGAAAATAAACTTTCAAAGTTAACTTCGTGTCTCGGATTATAGACCTATAGAATAACTACACATTTAAATATACCCAACATTACTTATACGTCTGTCGTTACCAGCTTATTAAGAAAAAATTCCTCAGTTTGGTTGAAAATTTGACTGGTATTATTAGTAGCTTGTAATCTATCTCTAACCCATTTACTCAACTTTATTTGAATTCTGGGATATTTAAATCTAGAATCGATCAAATAAATAATCGAGTAGTCTTTAATGTGTCGAATACTTCTCCCGATACTTTGATTCACTGCCCTCATGCATAGGTTTTCATAGTAATTCATTGACTTTTCCTTAGCTTCATTATTAGTACCACCTTTTGAAATAACATTCTTTTCGATAAAATTCCGCTTGGCTACCATTTCACCTGAAAACGCATTAGGGTAAGGTAATCCAACCATTAAGACAGCTCTTGCTAAATTATCAGAAAAGTTAATACCTTCAGACATTTTCCCCCCAACTACTGAGAAAAGAATTGCACCTTTTGCCTGTGCAGCTGTTGAATATTCAGACAAGGTTTGTTCAACTTTGGTTGCATCAGATGGCTCTTGGAACACAGATTTAAGTTGACTAATTGAGTTCAAAAGGTTTGATTTCTTCCATTCCATCAACACCTGGTTTAAATATTTATAGCTTGGGAAGAAAATTACAATACCATAGGGAACTCTCTTACACACTTCAATAATAAACAGGCCCAATGCATTCAATTGAACAGCATTGTTCCGTTTATTAAACGAAAACTCAAAATCTATTCCGTTCATTTCAGTAACAGTAAAAACGTCAAGATTCTCTTTAGGAATTACATGACCACAAGTGAATTTATTCACTTTTTCAGGAAGTACAGAAGGAAACAAATAATCGGCATAATCAGACATTGGTTCCATTGTACCACCACATAATAAGATACATTTGGCTTGATTTAAAATATCCTTGAATACTCCACTTGGGTCAAGAAGCATGTAATTTATGGTAGTTGTGTTGTTTGTAACATCCCAGAAGAATTTTCCTTCAGTTGAAGGGTGAGTTAAACTTTTAAGGAAACTGACCACAGAAAACAAGAGAGGAGTAGAACTACTACTTCTGATTGTGGTATTGGTCTCATTTTCTATCTCAATTTTCTCGAGATAATTCTCAATCTTGTATGCAATTTTCGTCTTGGATAAGAATTTCTCTAACTTATGGATATTAACTAAGTCTGCAGTTGAATCTTGAAAGATGTCATCTACATTGATCTCATCACCTGGTTTTACCTTGCCTGACTTGTCATTTATAAAGTTTCTCAATGACTGACAAATCTTAATCAATTTTTGTAAATTTATTCTATTGCCCGAATTCAATTTCTTGATAAATTTACCCAAATAAAACTTTAAAGACTTAATAACTCGGTCAAGGTTATCAGCAGTTATGCTAACTGAATACAACGACGTTATAACATCCATTATATTATGAGCTTCATCAATAATAACAATAGAATCTTTTACATCCAATTTCATTATATCTCTAGTTGAATCTTGGAAAATCATCTGATAAGGTAAAGATATGATTTCAGTTAGTTCAATACCACCTCGTACTGAATAATACGGACATACATTTAAATCAGTTCCTAATATACCCAAATCTTCAATATCTCTAATTTTCGCAACACTTAATTCAGAAAATTCTTTGACTAAGTCAGAATCAACATAATTCTTGGGAAGGAATTTGCAACCCTCTTTCAGTTTTTGTAAATCAATACATGCATCATTCATACTTTGTACAGTAACCTGAGATCTCACCTTGTCATTTATACAAAGTTGTTTTCTTGACCCTAAGGGTAAATATTTGGTTCGTTCTTGTAAATCATCAAAAGAAGATTCAAACTTAGTTAATCTCAATTGACCCGCGAATTGATTTAACTGAGAATGCGTTCTTGAACAATAGAATATCTTTGTAGGACAGTCATTCGCATAATCCACGTCTTTTTTTGGAGCTAATTTCTTTTTAAGCTCCTCAATTTGACGAGCTAACTCGGTGCTTTCGTCTGTCGTTGTTTCAGAATCGCTATGATAATCAACTGGCAAGAACATCGATTCATCCGAGTCAGCCGGTTTAAACTTCTTTTTAGGTCTCAGTTTCAATTCAGCTTCTCGTCGTTTATTTTGATCATAATCCTTTTCAAGCTTATCCAAATGCTCTTCAAACTCTCTGATCTTACCTTTAGATCGGCTTACAATTGATTCTCGATAAGCGGTCTTAACCCACTCTGGTTCATCATCACTATCTTCCAGATTATTATCAACTACTTCCAGAAAAATATGGTTACGTTTATAGTGGCGTAACCAAGTCATGGATGAACAGATCAAGGAAAGAGTTTTCCCTGTACCTGTTGGACTTTCAAATATACCTATTTTATAATCATTGCTAATGGTATCATACACCGCATTCATTAACTGGATTTGAATAGTATATGGATCATATGGATGGTTATATTTCCTTGGTGATAGACGTCCTGTCATGTTGCAAAGACAGCATTCTCTTCCTGTTATCAATTTTGATGTAAATTTTTCTTGCGCTACCACAGACGCGTATGATCTTGATAAAACCATTTGGGTGGAAATTACCTTAACTGAAGGGACAGAGTAAGAAAGAAACAATAGCTGCTTTCTAAGAAATTAATAAAAGAGATTAAGTCATTAGTTCTGGACTACCGTTTTTCTTAGAGAGCGGGGGGGGGGGGGGATCTTGGAACTGGCAGCATGTATATAGACAACACTCCATGCTACCAAATGGAAACGACAATGCAGTTTCTAGCTATTTCACCACATACAAAAGTTGTTTCTAAAGGCACCCTGATCCCCTTAAATATATTTATATACTTTGAATCACAGATATTTTCCTCTTTGATACCTAACCTATCGCTTCAGGGTTCCTAACATGTAAAGAAATGAGCCATGAAATCACGTGACCTGTATCTTTCAATCTTTTTTTTTGTCGTTTTTGTTGCAAGTAAAAGAATGAAAACAACACTCCTTATTTTGGTCATCTTTATCTCGGGATTGTCATGTCTTTGATTAAACCATTACGTCTCATTCGTGTGGATGCATCATTGAGTCAGAATGATCCACTCCAATGGTCTGAAAACTCCCAATTGGCTTTAAATGGGTATAATCAAATTACTTTACTTGAACCAAAATTACCTTCTTTACATCAAGCAATCAGAAAAGTAAACGACGTTACTGTTTTGGATCCCAAGCATCTTTTCCAATTGACCACCATTTTGGATAGGGATTCCATTAAGAGTATGCCATTGGGTAATTTCAATGATATCGTTGTCCTAACTGGTGATGAACCGGTTAATATAAGTAATGTTGTAGACTATATTATTGTGAGTCATCAGTGGACACCAACCTCAGACACTTCACGAGACAATTTATTAGGTGTTTTATTTAATTCAGGAGAATTGCTTATAATTGGAAGAAAGAATACCCAGAGCAACAAGTATTTTGTTCTAGTCGAAATGTTTGATGTGTTGGCTGACCAGGTTGGGATTACTGACGATGGCAAGAAACATCATGTTGATTCAAACCAATTATTTTCTTTAAAAGTTAAAAGTTTCCACTTTAGTAGTATTGGGCCGTTGTTATTATTATCAATTGTCAATGGCAATAATACTTTGTTTGTTTATAAGGTCGACAGGGATACTTATGGCCTTGAGTTGTTGGCCAGTATTGACAACGGGTTCAAAATTATTAAACAAAAATGGTCTAATTGGAAGGGTAACGCTAGTTACATTACTGTTATTTCTCCTGAAAACTCATTACGCACTTTTAAGCTTACTTACGAAGATGATAAGTTGCAGATCTTCGAGCCAACTCTCGTGTTCCAACCTACAAGATTCAGAATCAGTCAACTTGAATATATATACTATCAGGATGACCAACTATTAGTAACCACATTGACAGGTAAATTGGTCATTATTGATTCGAACCACCAAGCTTATACACATCTGTTTGATAATTATACAACCTGTGTTTCAGTAACCACTGGAATTATTGGAACAGTCTTAACTTTAATATTGGCATTTGAAAATTCAGCATTTGTCACTGTTAAATTTGATCTTGACAAACATGTATTTGAATCAATTCCAACCGATAAATCGCTTACTTCATTTGTAGAGACTGTTCTTTCAACCTATCAACTTGAAAACATGGCCGAAGAAGATGAAGAAGGCGAGGGAGGATCGGGCAGTGAAGGGTTATTAGTTGTTCAAGGAGTAAAACTATTTCATAACAACATTCTATCAGTACAGTATAAAACCAACCCTAAAAATTCATTGATTTATCGACAGCAGGCTCAATTAGAAAGCCACCTCCAGTTTATTCAGTTGGAAACACCTATACAAGAACCGGTGCAAGCATCCACCAACCAGACTTCCATTGCTAAAGTTGTTGAATATTGGTTTGAGAACTTCGCCAAAATTCCTGAGTTTCATGATGATATTGATCAAGAGAGGACTGAACGAATTGAAAAATTTGTTGAAAAGCTTGAAGAATTCAAGAAAGCAAACATTGTGGATATTGACTTGGAACTTGATCTGGAAAAGTTTGCAGACTTCTCATTATTGTTACTTACCAAATTCAATAAGAATGTACAAGTGAATCAATTGCAATATCAACACACATTATCTAGACTTTTGATTAATTCATTGATTATATTTAAAGAGGGCAATTCCAAACTCACTGCTTTCTTAGAGCAACTCAAAAATGATATAAAAGATATTGAAAACAAACTTCTGAGTTATTTAAAAAAATTGATTTTTAAATATATTGATGATAACAATATTGAACCTAGCAATGAATTTGATAAATATCTACTAATTTCAAACTTGCAACAATTACGTGAATTGGGGATAGAAGTCACAACGAAAGTTCCGGAAAATTGTAACATTACCATGGGCACTAAATTTTATTCAGAAACATTTGAAGTACATGTTAAAGACGTTATCCCTCATGACAGGCTAGTGTGTTCTACAACTGATCATGGATGGTCAGTATGTGCTCTATCCAATCTACCACTTTTACAGATGAATAACAGAAGAGACGAATTAGCCCAATTCCACTACATAATACCGGAGGAGGAATTTGGAGGATTAATTAATGATTTATTGCAAACTGTCAATTATTGTTATATAAGTGGTAATAAGACTTATCAATTAAAATAAACTTCCAACAACCCATACACTTTCACCAGTACACCAAGATTGCAATTTCCCTAAATGGCTAGGTGGACATGAAGTTATACTTGGTATTATATAACCCATAGTCATGATTGCAAATAAATAAATTGTCATTGATAATATTGGACATTGATGTAATAACCAAAAGTAAACTAATGATATTCCGAATAAAACACCTTGCCTTGTTTTCAACCATTGTTGTTGTTCTGAATATGTGAAGTCTATTTCATTGAAATATGGAATCACTAAGTCTTGTGCAAGATTATTTACTCCGTAATACGTCGTTAATATTAACGTAGTATAATAATAGTCACAAAAGTTTAGTATGGCAACAACAACAGCGGATTCAAATGGTCCTAGTTTATCTAAGAATGTCAAGAATGAAATCAAACCTAACACAAAAGTGGATATCCTACTGGGGAAAAAGGTTGTGATGAATATAATACAATTTAAAAGGTAAAACCCAGTATATCTTCTTAAAAATAATTTGAACTGTCTGGAATGCTTGAATAAGTATTGAAGTTTGTCATGCCAGGAACCGTCATATTGGATATGATGTCGAGCACTCGAAACAAGTAGGATGCTCTTGTAATACTCCATGTTGTTATATTTTAAGCTGGAAAGAAATAACCCTTGCGAACTTGGTCCCAAATAATTGCACAATGTTAACATGAACAAATTAACGGAGTAAGGGCACAAAGCAAGCCATTCTCCAGGAAGCATACTTTTTATAAAGTAGTATGGGATATTTAGGATAATGTACAACACTATTGAAACTTTTAGGGACTGCAAAAATAGTATAACATTTGGTTTAGTATACAATTCTGCATTTTGTAATGACTTGAAAAACGATGTTAATGTTAGTTCAATGCTTTTTAGTACAACCCAAGTGGAGATTGAATGCACTGGTTTAGATATAAGTATTGGAGAAGCCATATCCTTTTGTTTAGCCAAAGTATGTGTTTCTTTGGATTACATAGTCAAGATAACATAAATAACTTTAACAATTGCAAGTATTATTCGCACAACGTGGTTGCAATTTATACTCGTCTGGAAAAATTTCGTGCAAAACTCAATTATAATTGCGTGGTTTCTTTTTTTTTCTAGAAGGAAGAAAAAAATTTCCTCCGTACCTCCCGATGATGTCGCAAAAGGCAATAGTTTTCTGGCCTAGTCTTTCTTTTTTTTTTTTTACTGCTTTCGGGATCTTCAGAAATATGCGATAGTAGCAACTAAATAAGCGGAGCAACAGTTTGGGGAGGTGTCATAGGTAGCATCTTCTTGTTCTGTTAATCGCGTGACAGTTTTCATCCTTGTAATTCCTCTAAGCTATCTCGTTTAATACTTAAATTTCCTAACCGTTTAAAGCTCGTGAGTGTGATAATCGAGAGTTCAAATTATCTATTGAAACATTTGTGAATAAGACTAGATATCATCACCATGACAATCCCAACCTATAATATTACATTTATCCCTAGAAATATATCAAACAGCTGATCCGTTTATATTTAATAACAAATTGATATATTTGTTTTTAGCAACTTCTATTTCAGTTTTCTGAGGAGCCGGGGTTTAAACACCGAGAAATTTCTCCTCTCCCTAAGGCAAAAAAAACCGTTAGGCACACAGTTCAAGAGAAGTCAAGTCCGCAGAGTCAGGAAAAAAAGGGGGGGGGCAGTGGCACAATGCTCACAAACTTCCTAGTTAAGCTAGCGGTTGTGGACACCCGAAAAACTGACACTGTTTTTTGGCTTAGTGAACATTGTGTGGGAGAGAAGTCAAAAAAGGAAGGTCTCAGGGATGTATGCCTTAGAATACCGTTAGTTGCCGTGTTTAAAAAAGAAAGAAATGAGCTCAAGGAGAGCCGTGTTGGGCTAATGGGTGTGGTGTTTCCCCATTTCCTCTTTGTAATCATTTAAGATGACATGTTTTTAGTAGAAATATAAATATCTATTACTCTTTCCTTGCTTCATTTTGAAGCATAGCAATTCTGCAACTACTTCACATTATTTTTTTTTGTCATCTTTCTGCAACATGGAAACTTTAGATTTGCAACCAACCGCCTTACGTAGTCCACACGTTAAAACTTCATTGATTGAAGTGACACATAAATTACCTACAAGACCACCATGTCGTGTTTTCTTTAAGAATGAATTAGAGCAACCAAGTGGCAGTTTCAAATTAAGAGGAATCGGAAATTTAGTACGCACATCGATTGAAAAAGCACATAGAGAACATCCTAATAAAACAATTCATGTATTTGCATCAAGTGGTGGTAATGCCGGTTTAGCTGCCGGGTACCTGGCTTATTTTTACAAGGTCAAATGTACCGTCGTATTGCCTGTTATTTCTAAGAAGTCGGTCCAAGACAAATTAAGATCTTATGGTGCTGAAATTGTCTTATTTGGTAATACAATTAATGAAGCTGATCAACATTTAAAGAACTTGTTGAACTCAATAGATTTGGAACAGATTTATCCTATCTACTGTCATCCTTTTAATAACCCATTAATTTGGGAAGGACACTCAACTTTGGTAGATGAAGTAACATCTCAATTAGGAACAAAAAACATAAAAGGTATGGTCTGCTCATTTGGAGGTGGAGGTTTATACAATGGAATTTATCAAGGAATGGAAAGAAACAACATAAATGGAGAAATGTTATTAATTGAAACTTTACAAGCCCCAACTTTAACTGAAACATTACAGGCTGATAAAATTATCACCTTAAGTTCAGTCAAATCATTAGCCACATCCTTAGCATGCTCTTATACCACCGAAAAGTCATTAGAATACTTCAAGAATAAATCACAAATCCACTCTAAATTAGAGACTATAGATGACATTGATTCTTTAAGAGCTTGTGTTGCTTACAATAAAAACTGCAAGAAGGTAGTGGAACCTGCATGTGGTGCTGCTTTGACAGTCGCTTACAATAGAATGGATTTATTATATAAATCATTCAGTAATTTGAAACAAGACGATGTTGTCGTTATTGTTGTTTGTGGAGGTTCATGTACAACAGACAAAGATCTTGATGAGTTTCAAAGGATCATCAGAAGATCTGAAATTAAGTTGTAGGTGGGTTATAGTTATTTATGTATTGAGTAAAAGCATATTATGCATTGAATGACAAAGTTGTAGCAACTCCATATTCCTGACATCCGACTCCAATTGAAAACTACATGAAATACATTTTACCAAATAATCAAAATAATTTCTTTAATATACACTATAACTATTTCTGTTGCAAAAATTGAATATGCTCATTGATTTCTTCACATATTTTATCCCTTTTATCGGCATCATCACCCTTGGTTATAATAAGATAAGGTTTAGTACAGAATGTACTATAAATACTTTTGGTAATAAGCAATTCAAAATCATACCCTGACAATTCCTTGACCAATTCAGTACCATATAATCTTCTTCTTTCTCCATCTTTGGAAATTGGACCTCTATGGTCTTGAAAATCTTCCAAGAATGCAGTAAGATACAATTTTGGCCAATTTGCATGCAAGAAAGCTAATGACGAAGATTTGAATAAATGGAAATCATGATTTGACATACTAGTGTCCTTCATATGTTTAGGGTATTTCAAAGTTGATTCACTGTAGTAATCAACCACTTGTTGCTTAGAACCTTGTGCGTGATTTTCAACACTTGGATCTTCACCAGTTTGAATATAATCAATTATTGGATCAAATTGACCCATAGCATAAATGTCGTGTTTGTTGGTTTTTGGATCTACAGGTCCAAATTCACGACAAAATTCTTGAACTTGATAATAAGGTAAGTTCAATTTGTGAGCAGCGGCAATAAATGTCTCCTTATCACCTTCACCGGCAGCACCTTGGGAAAGTAATGGATAGAAGAAATCAGGACCATAATAGTTATAGTACATTGCTAAGACTAAGGTTTGGAAATGGACCTTCTTGTTAATTAAAATTTGACCGGTTTCCGAACTTGCTTCTGGAATAGCACCTTTAAGATCATGATAGGAAATTTTGCTGGTATCTTCATTGATTCCACGAGGATCACCTTTTGCATATGAATTACGAGCTTGGAAATTATCATCAACCGGGATACCTGCAATATCATAGAAAGTTGGTGAAGTTGATCTTCTCCACAAATCTGGCCACATAACCAAATGCTTATTTGTGAATGGCTTATTTACAAATAAAACATCAGGATTTTTGACTGGGATATTATCAGCATCAAGGTAAAGAATTCTTTCAAATGAAGAAACTAAAAGAGCGATATTCTTTAATTGGAAACCACCAACTTTTTCCATGAAATCCTTAGGCAAATAGTGTGTCATAATCTTACATTTAGCGTTCAAAGTTGGTAAAATATGGTGACAGAATTCTTGATCGTAATCTTTTTCATAAGGAATAATAACTTCAACAGGCAATCTAGAATTATTTTCACGAAGAACTCTAAGAGAAACCAAGACCAAATGGTTATATTTACCCCCACCTAAATAAACGATACCATCACCTTTCATAAAATCATTGAACTTATTAAATTTCAATAACTCTTCAGAATATTCAGTCATCATATCATGAACAAATGCATTATGAGAATTTCTCAAACTTCCTTTTTCTTGTTCACTTAAAGTAATGAATAAAGATAAGTATTCTTTAGTTCTAACAACTTCTTCGGAATATTGTTCTCTAAGATGACCACCATAAACAGGTAAATGACCATATTTATGCAATAAGTCTTGAGTATCGATCTTTGCAAGTTCATCATCAGACACTTGCTTTTGCTTTTGGTAGTATTCTTCGATCTTTCTACCATTTGGGAAATGTTCATTATTGTTGATTCCCCCAATATCTGGTTTACACATATGAATGGATTGCATTAATTTTGTAAAGAAATCTCTTGAAGCATGTATAAACTTTTGTTCGGTTTCAAATTGTTCAATGACTGAACTGTTCAAGGTTAATTCATTCTGAGAATTAATACGTTCAATCATTTCCTTGTAATTATACCCGCTAATTAATTTCAAATCGAAATCAACATTATGGTCAATATCAGATTTAAGGAAATTCCATACTTGCTGAGAAGAAGTTGAATCTAACTCGTTTAAATAGCTCTTTTGTAAAACAATTAAGTTTGTTTGGGAATCTTGGTGATAACCGACAAGTTTATATTCTTCTTTATTTTGCAGTGAAATGAATACACCATTAGTGAGCGATTTCAATAGGCCAAACCTTCCTGATCTTGAAGATAAGGATGACAAGGCCGATGATCCTGAAGCACCATGGATTGAATAAATCAAATGTAACACAGTTGCCGTAAAAAGACCAATTAATATCGACTTAAGTGCTTTAGGTGATATCATCATTATGAATATTGGTCTTTAACAAAGGATGAGCTAATTAACAACGATGAATTGATATACTGAAAAATAAAAATCTATAGGATTGAAGCGAATGTGTTTGCTTTTGAGAAATGTGGGTATTCTGAATGCTGCAAAACAAAAACTCTAGCTAGTGATGAGGTAAAAGGTAAAGATTCCAGATCTTAGGTGAAAATAATGTTATCCGATGATTGTGAAGCTGTAGATGTGTCAACGAATGTGTAATGAGCAATGCAGAAGGATTTAAAGTTTGAAAAAGATATGCAGTGGGCTTTAAATTTTATTTATAGCAATTTCACCCTTTATCGATTTGAGGTCGAAAAAAAAGAAAAAAAAATTAAGCAACCACACATGCATCTAAAAACTTTTGGTGTCAATTTATTTTTTCAACCTTGGATTATTAGATATAGAACGTGTAATACATCCACACTCATTCAATTAAAAAAAAAAAATATTATTTTTAGTCCAAGTGCAGAGATTTTTAGTCAATATGAAGACAAAAACGCAACAAAATTTAAAAATGTCTGGATTATTTTTTTCTTTATCTGAATTCTATTGTTATAAATTGTTCATCAAGCAACTTTTGACTGGGTCTTGATTACATCGGATCAATTTAGCGGATTTGTTTCATCTTGTCGTTTGATGTGAACTCAGGAGCTCCACTAAAACTAACTACTCATATATTAAAGAGAAATTAAAGTTACTGTGAGGTAATTGCTAAATGGTTACCATTTGAAATATTACTCTTTGAAGGTTTAAGATTTTTGGTCTAGTTTTTTTTTTTTGTGTCTAAAACTACTCACGTGAACACTATTTTTTTTTGCAGTTGATGAACACACGTGTGTGATAATATAGCTTTCAAATTTGGACACAATCCCCCCGTTGGTATTGTTCTTGATTTCTCAAAAATATCAGACATAAAAGTGAATCCTCGTAGCACAAGACGAAAACAACGCAAGAATCGGTAAAGCAATGTGGTGTTTCAGGAAATAGAAATGAATTTATTTGATACAATAACCATAATTCCAAACCTTAATTCGCATTTCGTATTGATCCGATATCTTTTCAAAAGTCGTCCATTTTCTAAAAATGGCAATATAAACAAGCATTTTGAAACCATTTAGTTTTGGTTTCCGCAAACCAATAATATTTATTTAATTATAAAATATCAAGAAGAACTTGTTCTATAATTAGGTCTTTTCTGAGAAACGATGTAAATTCTTAGTAAAGATTGAAAAGAATCTATAAAAACTAAAACATGTTTTCAGCAGATTGATCCATTTTTATAGACAGGGCTGTTAATCTCAGAAACCAAGAAATTAGAGTGGTTCAGCAAATAATAACTTAGACGAACATTGCAGTCGATACTTTAGGTTAAAGTTGCAGTCAATATCTTATTAACTGCGTTTTCTGGGCATTCAGGCTAACACCATGCTAACTTATTAGGCGCCCTGTCTTGGCCATACTGTAATCAGTGTATGCCAAGACCGAATCTGTCGACAGCCAAGGACTAACTGAGACCACAATATGGTTCTAACGGTAATGTCACCTTGAGGCTCGAACAGACCATAATAATACATACCAACAAGTACTAAACGAACTAATTCTATACAGGCCAAAGGTCTGATATAGAACAGTTCCGAACAATGGAATTCATAACCGTCTGGTAAAGTATACGCGTCGAAACATCAATAATGATTATTTTTTAAGACGTTCTATGTATTGAACGCGAATCAGATTTATTTTCGTAAAATAATGTTCTTTAAGGCTTAACCTGGAGTCTGGCGTAGAATATAAGCTTAATTAATTGATCGTGTCGCAATTTTCTTTCTCCTATTTGTGTGGACACCGACAGAAAGATGGATCGAAGGAATATTTTCCAGATGAACCTTTATCTGTGGGAATTTGATTTCATAACAAATTGGATACGAAATTGCAAAAATCCTTAAAATTTTTACCCAAAATTTCACATAAATTGAAAACAAGTTACCATACATTTAAACTCTAATTAAATATGAAAATTAACAAGTATAACTGCAAATAAAATAAAATAAAAACAAACAACTTCACCTAACATTAAAGCAATCCTCTCTTACCTTCTTTAAGCCTTTCATCTTTAGAATTTTTCTTACGTTCTCTGTTACCCTTAGGAACTCTAGCCAACCAATACAAGAAAATAGCAAGAATGACATTAAATCCAATGAATGCAACAAAAACACCATAATTTCTCCATCTTTGACTAAAGTGGGCTCCAACAGATGCTAAAAACTCATTTGTGCTATCAATTTCACAAAATTGACATTGTCCAGTAGCATCATCAGTAAGCACATACCCACCAGCTTTCTGAATATATTCAGCCATAAAATCATCACAAGAAGTACCATCGGGTGGATTTATAGAAACATACTCTTGTGGAGCACAAACAACCTTATTATTAGCTAACCCAACTGCCAATATTCCTTGGGTAAGATAAGTGATTGGATTAAACCTGTACATAAAAATCCAAAACCCTGGCAATTGACTAGGACCAGCTAGGACACCACAAAATAATAAACACAATTGGAATAATAAATGTCCTGTACTAGCACCATTTTCTTGTCGTTCTAAAAATGAAATACAGAAATGAGCCATGGTAGAAGTATAACAATAGAAACTGACCACCAATAACCACATCAATACCCCACGGGATGCTTCTTCATCAGCAGCTTGGGCGTTCTTATAAAGGCCAGATGGGTAGTACCAACAGAAGAATGCCAAAGTTCCAACCATAATTTGATAAGGAATTTCTGAAGTCAATTGACCAAATATAAAAGCAAACCAACTAAATGTTCTACTGGGTCTTTCTCTGACTTCATAGACATCTCTTTGAGCAAGGTAATAAGGTAAAGTTTGTTCGTGCATAGTATTGAATGGAACATAGAACATGAATATGGCAAACATTTGATTTTGTAAACCTCTTACTGAAAGATGACCACCAAAGAATGAAAACCCATTAAACAAGGAAGTAGCCAAACATAAAAACAATTTAGAATAGATATAACTGGGTGTTCTCCAATCCTGGACAATTGCTCTTGCAGTGACCATCCAATATTGTTTCCACCAAGGAGCAGCATATTTCAAATGTGATTCAGGATCGGTATTTCTTGGTAACTTGGCCAACTTGACTTCCATGGTATCTAATTCTTGTTGAATTTCTTGATACTCTTCCGAATTTCTCCATACTTGAAAATAATCTTCTTTAGCATGGGAACCAGGGGCAGCACCAACAACTTGTAACATCCATTCGGCAGGATTTGCATCCTTAGAACATGGATCTGCACCATACTTTTGAAAATAGTTAATCAAAGTCTGACAATTTTCACCCAAGTCACCAAAGTAAACAGTTTGACCACCAGCTTGTAAAAATAATAATCTATCAAAGCCAGTCAAAAGTAAAGCAGAAGGTTGATGAATAGTACATAAAATAGCTTGACCATGATCTGCCAATTTTCTCATTAGCTTACAAATAGACCAAGCAGTTTGAGAATCCAACCCAGAAGTAGGTTCATCAAGAAATAATAATAACTTGGGTTTGGCAACTAATTCGACACCAATGGTCAATCTTTTCCTTTGCTCAACATTTAATCCTGAACCAGCAACACCAACCATGGCATCTGCATATTCTTCCATTTCTAATAAACTAATGATATAATCAACATAAGCGTCTTTTTCTTTGTCGGGAGTGGTGTTAGATTGCCTTAAATAAGCAGAAAACTTTAAAGCTTCTCTGACAGTTGAAGTAGGTAAATGTAAATCTTGTTGTTGAACATAACCAATTGATCTTTGGAATGAAGAGTCAAGAGAGTGACCATTAACCATTCTAACTCCATCGGTGATAACACCAACCGTAAGTCTTTCAGACAAACAATTCAACAAAGTTGTTTTACCAGCACCAGTAGCACCCATTAAGGCAGTAATTTCACCAGGTTTGACCCAACCATCAACATGGTCCAAGATAGTTCTTTCTTCCTTTTTGATTTTAATTCCATACGTCAAGTTTCTCCAGAAGAATATCTCCTTTTCAGTAGTTAAACTATTATCGCTTGATGAACCATTGTCCTTTTTTTCCGAAGCTAAAAGATCACCTAAAGGGACTTTTTCGTTGGTATAATTCTCAATATCTTGATTTTTGGCTGCCAATTCTTTTCTGTTTTTCAATTGTTTTAATGATGATCGAAGGAATAAAGCAATTTCACCCTTTTGCATGGCACCTTTATTGAATTCAGTCACAATGATATAAGTTAGCAAAAAGAAAATAATGTATCCAATACAGATTCCAAAATTTCTCCATTTATGAGCATTTTGATAATCATAAGCCATTTTCAAATATGTAGTTCCACTAACCATTAACTGTCCAGGCTGAGCACCAATAGCAGTACAGACTCTATTAGCAGCTGAAATAGTATCATAAGATCCACCAGATGGAACAAAGTTTGAACATTCAAAATATCTACCATGAAATTCATTAACCATAAGAGATTCAAAGACATACCCCACTGGATTAATATAGTTAATCCAACGAGCCCAACCTAGCATCTCTCTTGTGGTAATAACAAACCCAGTATAGATAACCATAGCCAATAATAAAACAGCCGCCGGAGTCATTGCTTGAGCAAACGAGGTTGCCATAGCACCAATAGTTCTGAATAAATGTGACATAACCAACGTACAAGTAATTGCCATCAACCAATAATAAAAGAAATGACCAGGGTCTCGTCTAAGATTTATCATGAAATAGAATGTGAAATTAAATGCCATTGACATGAAAAGCTTTGTTGGAAGTTCAGTAACAATACCTGCCAAGGCATCAGCAGATGGTCGGTAAAGGGCATACTTCTTGTGTTTCTCAACAATATTTCTTGCTTCAAAAAGTGACATGATTTCTAAAATGGAAGCAAAAGCATTGAATAAAACAGCAAAGAACAAAGCAATACCACGAAAGTTAATTGATTTAGTTGTTTGATCTAAATTGAAAAAGATCGAGGACAAAATCAATCCCATAATAACTTGACCAACAACCATAAATATTGGAATAGAAGGATCACCTTTCATTCTAAGGAAGTTTCTACTCATGATATATTTGACTTGCATGGGAAAGGAAACAGTATATGGAGATCTTGGTGAAATATGATTGGATTGCCTAGCAACATGTGATTCATGATGAGCTTTCTTGGTATTCAACTTTTCACAGTCAAGGAAATATTGATCAATATCAGCAACTAGTTTTTGGTATTCAGGTGATTTCTTCCAATATGTTTCAAATTCTTGGGCTGTTCTAGGAAGCTTTCCTTCGTAACCTGGTGCAGCAATTCTCTCTGCCGGATTGGTTAAAGAAGTTAAAAAGTCAGCAGTGGTTTGTCTTGCAGGACAATGCCAACCCATGTTTATAAAGAACTCTTTAGCTTTGCTAGCCTTACCGAAAAAGATTTGGTAACCATCGTATAATACAGATACATTATCAAATAAATCATAAGCATCTTGAGAACATTGATAAATAGCAATAACCGGAGTCACATCTAAAATGGATGAAGAAGTCTTTAAAGCTCTAATAAATTCTAAAGCAGTAGCAGCATCCAAACCTCTAGTGGCATTATCCCAACATTGTATATTAGCACCACTTAAGGAGACTTCAGCGATAGAAACTCTTTTACGTTCACCACCAGAACAACCTCTAACAAACTCATTACCAACAGGGGTATTTCTTTGTCTTAAAATACCATAAGTTGCCATGTACACACTTGCCATGTGTTTAGCATAAGTTTCACGATCAACACCTAAACCTCTATTCTGAGGAGTTCTAAGCCTGGCTGCAAATTCCAAAGTATCACCGACAGTTAATTGAGGAAAATGTTCATCAGTTTCTGCAGAATAAATTACATCACCGCGGTAATGCTTTTCAATATCGTTAGGACTTAAACCATCATAGGAAATCTTGGACTCTTTATCAATATTGAAACCATAAGTGTTAACAGCTAATGTTTTCAACAAGGTGGAACAACCAGCACCAGGTCTACCAAGGACAACAGTAAGTTCACCAGGTAATAATAAACCATCCATAGGCTTCAAAATATCGAAATATCTCGATTCGTCCTCTTTTCTAAAGTGTCTTAACCCATCAACAACAAATTTGAGGAAACCAGTAGCAACGGTAGTTTGATAATCAACATCATTAGCAATACCATAAGCTCTTAAGTTTCTAAAAGCTATTCCTAGCTTGTTAGGTTTAAAGTAATCTGGATCTGATTGGTACAAAGCCTTCATATTCTTGATCCAGTATTTTGCATTAAATTCAGGTGATTCTGGGTCCAACTTTGGGTCAGCTATTTCTTGTTCATAAGGGTTAATTCCTGGTACTTCATCCATGTTTGATAAATACCTAATTAATGCAGCCGAAGAAGATTGAGATTCTTGAGTAATTGTTTTAGCTAATTGTTTAACATCTTTACTGGCTTCTTCATCAAAGCCAACGTACGACTCGTACGGCTTATCAAAAGAACCAGAATCAGGTAAATCGATTTGGTTCGACATTTCCAATTATTCAGAATGCTATAACTATACTTTAACAAGATCAAGAATTTAAAATTGCATATAAGGAGAGTTGGCAACATTTTTATATAAAATTACAAACTGAAGAAGCATGGTTCTCATCAAAGTCACCGACTCGGAATTGCAACTTCAGTAACAGCCGTGAGAAAAACGACAGATTTTTAATGCAGGTAACAATAGAATTAGCGATATTTTTTAAAGTGAATCGTAGAATTGTGCATAATCCGATTTAAATCAGAAAACAAATTTGGTAACTCCTGAACCTTGGGTTTTTTTCTCCGGTGACAAATTGAGAATGTATAAGGAATTCGGATTTCGCCATACAAAATAGTTTGTCCTAACTCCTGCGACACCAAATTTGATGCGAAAATCTCCGAGCTAAGCCCGAAAAATTAGACATATAACCCCAGAGCCATCTTGATGTTCTCCGAGATCAATTATTTTAATACCCTTTACATCAAACTACTAATTGCTAAGTTTGAGTGCAATTAGAGATCAAGAATTACTATCAGGATATCTTCCGATACAAATTCAGGTTAAGCACTGCTTGCATATGCTATTTTATTTATTCTGACGAGCCAACTTCGGATTTAGAGAAAAGTATGGTTTTCTTGTTATATATCACACTCAGATGTTTTTTTTATGGTTGTTAGACTTCATATTTGACAATAAAAATAGCTCAGAAGATCATTGTATATACCAGTTATAATAAAAGGTTCAAAAGATTAGTTATATGGCACAGGGTTTGTTTTTTGTCAATCGTGCCTCTCTCACTAAATCCGTTAATTTTATCTGCGGATTTTGTACAGAGAAAGCCATTCTTAAATGAATAGCATTTTTTTTTCTTCTATCCAAATATATGATAATCCCAATCTTGAACCCGATACTACGTCCATATTTACTCGAAGTATTCATGTTGATAGATTATTGTGGTATGTGTATTCGACAGCACCACAAATATTGCCTGTTGCTAGCTTAACACTTTTACAAATATTGAGATATCTTCTGTCCTATTGGCATTATAGTGATTACTGTTATATTCGAATAAGTAAAATCAAATAGGAATGCTAAACCTTGGATTAAAATATCTGACCGTTTTAATTAATTCTAAACAACAATTGATCGAGCGGTACACCTCCATTTTACCAGCAAAAAGGTCTTAAGGAGTGTACTGGTAATTAAGTAAATAAAGGATACCCAATAGATCATTTTAAATAAAAGAGTAGTATTACAGATATAGCAAAAAGATACAATTAGTGTATTGATTTTGGGCAACCAGTCACGTGCGCATTAAGTATGGCTGTGTTATCAGTTACCCCCTCTTACTTTTCCCATTTCGGAATTGATGTACAACAAAACAAAGAGAAAAAAAAACTAAGGCAACTATAAATATACGCCATTAGGTAAATTATAATCAGTCACATATTTGTGTCTTTCAGCATAATTAGATACGATAAAGGTATCATCATGTCACATGAGAATCTATTTGCTGATATTGAACAAGATAATAATCCTTCCTTCTATGGGAACCCTTCAATAATACAAGATCCTTACACTACCCACACCAATGCACAACAATTACGCAATGAGCAAAATTCAAATGGACACCCTCAGAGTAATGGTCAAGTGGGTGGATTGAACAACGATGCTTTTCCCAATGAGTTAGTCAACAGTACACTCGGAATCTCACAAAAGATCAGCGAATTGCTTGATGCTGAGGATTTACAAATTGAGATCGTGAACTCCGAACGCCTTGTGAACTCAAATGTCATTGTATACACCATTCAATTATCATCTAAAAACAGCAAAATCATTGTCAAGAGGAGATACAGCGAATTTAAATCTTTGAGAGATAATTTACTTAGATTGTTTCCCACCTTGATTATTCCACCTATACCGGAAAAACATTCAATATTGAGTTACCTTTTGAATTCAATAAATAATGCAAACGAAATCAATATTATAGAAATGAGAAGAAGATATTTCAAAATGTTCTTAGATGATTTGATATTTGACTCGCATGAAAATTTAAAGGATTGTGTGTTGTTGCATAAATTTTTAGATCCAAATTATGAATTATCTTGGTATAATGCCTTGAATGAACCACCGGTCAATAGAATTCCTGATAATTTGTTAATGGCTAATCCTGTTGATCCATCAGATCAAAATGGATTATACAGTTTGTTGCCTATTGTTAATGGATTTGATTTTAACTCGAATATAGATAACTTACCAAACCTAAAGAAAATGAATGACGACTTGTTAAAGTTGAATGATCAAGTTAAGCTATACGAATTACGAGGATTTGAACAAGATTTTGAATTTTTAATTCCCGAAGAGTTAGTCATGTTTGAAGTCAAGTTTCATCAAATAATTAAGATATTATCCGATTTGAATAAACTTGATATTAGAACTTCAAAAAATTTCAAGGGTTTAATTAGTATCCTAATTGATTTAGGAAGTAATTTAAACAATTTCAGTTTGCAAATTTACCACCAAAAGACCAATTCGAACCAATTATCTGAATCTATCGAGAAATTTGGATCCACTATAGACCAATCGTTTTTGAATTTTGAGAGTTTCATCACAAACCATTTGATCCCAGAATGGCAAGAACCAATCAACCAGTTAGTTCAATATTACTACACCGCATTAAATTTGATTAAATTTTATAAATATAAAATCATTCAATACAAGATTTTGTATAAATTAAAATTTAACAAATTTCAACAATTGGTTAATTTGTCAAATCTTGGGGTTACTCCACATACCACAAATACAGAATCCAACCTGGCCCCAACCAGCCAAGGAGAAATAGAAGTGAATATTGAGCACTTGCAGGAATTGAATAGTCCTACTTTGAATAATGCATTGAAGAACTTATCGAAGAAGAAACTTACCAAGAAAAATTCATGGTATGGCTTATTTGGCGGGAATAATCAACCTAAAAAGTTTAATTTTAAACTTCCAGAAGAAACACAGCCGCAGCAGCAACAACAACAACAACTGGCACCCCCTTCAAGCAGTTCTTCTTCGGGTTCTCTCAAGTTTAAATTAAATCAAATTGAAAAGGAACTTAACAAATTAAACCAATTAATAGAACTTTGCAATAATGATATGGGTATATTAACTAAAGCATTAGTTACTACCTTTGAAGAGTTCCTTGTTAAGTTAGAAAGAAAATGGTTGAATTTGATGATAAATTATATTAAGAATGCTAAGCATTTATTTATAGAAAATTTACTCAATTGGCAAGACTTTAAAGAGTCTTTAGAGTCGGGAAGTCAAGAGATAACTTAGGGTGTATAGATTTTAATATTTACGTGCATGTATTGCTGTTTTAGGAAGTCTAGATTTTATTTTTTTTTCCTCGCCTTGCGCTGAAAATTTACAGTGGCAACAAAACTTGAGAATTCTTTTTTGGTTGTCAGTAGTCGATTCATATAAACATTCATATTCACACACACACACACACACACACACACACACACACACACAATGGACTTAGATAACGACGTATCCACAATCTTGGCTATATTAAGGCTGGAAACCGAGTCTCCAGAACTCATCAATGTCCTTTATCAATTGGAAGATTTCTATGAACGTAAATTATGGCATCAATTGACTCAAGTATTGGATGAATTTTACTACCAATTTGACAAATCTTTGGTTACTCCTACATTGAAGTTCAAGATCTACTCCTTGTTCATCACTCAATTTCAATCAAAATTGAATCCTATAAAAGTTGTCGATTTCTTATTAGAAAGTTTCAGTAAACCAGAAGAAACTAGTGACAAGTTACTTGAATTAAAGCAAGAATTCTTGACTCAAATCAAGAAAGAAAACAACTTTAAAGATGACGATGAAGAATTCAAGAAAGTTGTCGATGAAGATGAATCAATCATTTATGTCGATTTACAAATTGCTCGTTATTACTTGATTTTAAGCAGATTAAACGATAGCGAGGATATCCTTTCTAGGTTGTCACCAAAATTCGAATCTACAACTAACGACTTAAACAGTAAGATCAATGCTGCTTATTATTTAACCAAGTGTGAATACTGTCAAATTACTGAAAATTATAATGATTATTACAAGAATGGCTTGTTATACCTTTCCTCAGTACCAAACTTGACTGAAGAAGATAAAGTTAAGATATGCTACCAATTATGTATTGCTGCCTTATTAGGTGATAGAATTTACAATTTTGGTGAATTAATTTTACATGACATCTTATCTACTATTGAAAGTGAATCATCACAATATAACTGGTTATACCACTTGATCCAGGATTTGAATTCGGGTAATTTACAAGAATTTAACAAATGGTTAAGTGTTGGATTCCAAAGATCACCAATGTTGGTCAAGTTTGAATTATTCTTGAAACAGAAAATTATCATTATGGCATTATTAGAGTTGATTTCTCAAACTCCAACCACTAATAAACAGTTGACATTCCAAGAAATCTCCGATTTTACAAGCACTCCATTGAATGATGTCGAGCATTTAATTATAAAATGTTTCTCATTAAATTTAATTCAAGGTTATATTAACCAAATTGACCAAGTATTGAATATAACCTGGTTACAACCAAGAATCTTGAACTTGACTCAAGTTAAAACTTTATATAACCATTTGGTTGATTGGGACAACAAGGTGGATAACTTGGCCAAGACAGTGTATCAAAATGGTGGCACTGTTTGGGCTGGATTGTAATATCTTATATAGAGAATATACACGCAAATTTTTAAAACCGAGAATTCTGTGGTGCTACGTAGCACAAAAAAAAACCACTCACCGAAAATAGATTCGCTCGGGGGGCGGACAATGGAGAACCACCCGAAAATTCCAAGACAGTTAACCCACACAAATTGACTGTCATCACGTTAAATACAACAGCATATTTACTCACCAAATGAAGTATACACTAACAGTATTTATATGGTTTGCAAGTATAGTCTTGGCAAATCTTGCTAAATTTGACGATGGAAGGTATTCGCAGATTTGTGCGGGAGTGTATTCTAAACATGACTGGGGTGGATCACTTAAACCTCACATTGGATTAACGTTGAATGAATTCAACAAAAACAAGTACGATCCAAAACGTAAAGACAAGAAGCCAGATGGTGATGTAACTGTTAGTTATATTATCTTTGAATATAAGGATTTACCAAATATTGGGGCTGATCTCGGTAATGGTAATTACCAATATATTTGTACCGATGCCGCAGTTCAGCAAAAGATTTGTGACGAAAGTCAAAAGGGAAAGTTTATTGTAAATGCCAAGACAGCAAACAGTACAATTTTAGCATCTCAGTTGAAAGGTTTGGGTCCAGCAAACATCAACTATCCAATTAATAGAACCGGTTACTATTGTGTGTCAACTTTCTCTCCCGATAAAAATGCAAAATATAAGGGGGTTATAAATTTCCAAAATGCTTATGGTCAATTAAGTGCCAGTGAAATCCCCAAATTAACTGGTTACGGTATTTTAACCTTGTGTTATGCAATTGCCTTGGCATTATTTGGTTTCCAATTCTTTAAGAAACGGAAAGAGAATCAGATCTTGCCTTTGCAAAGGTACTTGTTAGAAATGTTGGGTTTTTTAACTTTTGATACAATGGTTGTTTGGTCTTATTATGATTTAGTCAACCGTATTCAAAGCCCAAGTTCTGCATTTGCAAGATTCTACATGTTTTTCCTTGCTTTGCTTAATTCGATCAAAATCACATTTTCATTCTTTTTGTTGTTGTGTATTGCCCTTGGTTATGGTGTTGTTGTATTAAAATTGGATAAAAAGACAATGTTAAAATGTAAGATTTTAGCTGGTTGCAACTTTGTCGCATCTTTTGTCTATTTGGTTTTCAGTTACTATGATGGATCATCGGCCTCACTTGTTGCTTCAGAGAACATTGATAATGTTGATAGTGGGAACATGTTGGGATTATTACCATTGATTCCAATTTCTATCACATTGTGTGTTTACTATGTGACTATTTTAACTTCCATTAGAACAACAACGCAAAATTTGCACCAACAGAGACAAATTATCAAGTTGAAGTTATACCAAAACTTATTCAGAATTATTTTCGGATCAGTTATATTAACATTTGCCGGATTGACATTGTCATCCTTTGTTTATTTGAGTATGTCCACTACGGAAATGTTTGAACAACATTGGAAGGGCTCTTTCTTCATTTTCGATTTCTGGCCTAGTGTTGTATTTTTCTTGGTTTTCATGGCTATTGCTTACTTATGGAGACCTACAGAAACAAGTTACATGTTGGCAATTTCTCAACAATTATCGACTGGTGAAGATATTAATGATGATGAGGAGGGCCAACCAAACTATAATCAAGGACATGAGTTTGAATTGGATGACTTATCATTGATGAGCCATAGCGATGATGAAGGAGATGCTAGAAGAAACGTAGAAAGAGATAGTTTTGAATTATCAGGTGAACAACATCCAGTTCCTCCTCAACCATCGCATGTGAAAGATTTCGAGGCTTCTCCACCATCATATGAAAAAGTAAGTAGTGAGATCAGTAATCCTTTTGCCGATGACGCCCAAGAAGAAGGTGGTAGTACCTTGTTTGAATTAGGCGATGAAGACGAAAATGAAAGTGATCATGAAGGGGATAGAAGATTGGTAAAAGATGACAGGCATAAAGAGTAAGCTTATGCCGTATTGACATATATTTTAAGTGTATAGGTTTAATAGACAACGCATTTTGAAAGTGGCCGCAGGCATGCATTACATGATAAAAGTTAATTGTATCAACAGATCACTATGGAATATGAAGTTTCAAAGATTAGGTGAAATGAATTCGATGTCTTTGATGTTTCCCTTATTTATTGGACCTGTCATATTTATGTAGAATCGGACTACGGGGCTAATTTGACATGGCAATTTGGTTACAAAAGAGAATGGGTGCGAAAAAGCAACGTAGTTAACCAATCATGATAATTTCTTTTTACTTAATAACAGTAGAGTTGTTATTCAGGACACATTTGTCCTTCCTTGATTACGTTGATATTATAGTGCAATTCCTAATCACTATCCAAACTAACGCCTACGTAATAAATCATTTGCTTAGATAGCTTTGTCAGACATTTGCGTAAAATAAATTAGCACCTTACAAGATCCCAGAAGATTAAAAGACAAGAAAGAGCTTCTGGCGACCCCACCGCCAAAAGAAGGGGATATCAATTCCAAGATTCTAAGTTATGAGCAAATTTCGTCCACATTTGGTATTTTAATTTTAATTCTAAAGATTTGGCTCCTTTTAATATTCCTAATTTCATTCCTCTCTTAAATATCGTATGATATCACTGCAAGATCCATTTATAAAGGATAGGAAAGAAAATTTCAACATATTTTTAAAGTATACTTGCCTGCATTGTGTTTAAAGCAAAAATCAGGTGGTAATAAAATTCAGCTTTGCTACGCGCAGAGTCTTGAACAAAATCAATTTGCCAGATTCGTCTAAGTGACGTCAGAATTAATGCATTAAATATCGGTGGAAATTGAACTTCTGAGAGCTCTAGTTAGATGCCATCTCATTTTGTCCACATGACCTTCCAAAGGTTCTAGTGATCTTGTAAAGAAAAGATGATTACGATCAAGATATGTCAATTAAAACCTGACCAATCAAATCGCTCCATTTTACAGATGTAACATTAGGGCTATTAACTCTTGAATTAAATATAATAACCATATTATTACACCATATACCGTGTTGTGAAGTTAGATTCAAGAGTATATATGACAAATATTTAGTTGTTTATAGTCATGTCTGCTATGCCAGATATATGACTCGCGCTATTTAGGGCTGCGTTGTAAACTTCTGGCGCGCGTGGTAAAAAAAAAAAACTATGTGGTACCCTCAAGTGCGTGGCCCAATTTCCCGCTGCCTGGATTGCTCGGGTGCCTAGCGAGAAAGACATGCCAGATCCTCAAGAAAAAAAAAAAAAGAAACGAAAAAAAAACAATCTCTTTTTTGTTTGTGTATTCAAGGCTAAAAGATCAAGTTCAGCACGCCTCTGGTACCTGGATTCGCACAGAAAATACATATTATAGCCTGAAACGTATTGCTCGCAACTGAGGCATTCATTTGAGATTTTCAGCGACATCAAAACAACATTTTTTAGCTATTAAATCTTACAAATACGCGAAACACTAGGCGACGCTAACGCATCGTATTCGCACTTTTCTGATAAGGTTGTTTGCCCCCGTTTGATTTAGTCGAACCCTTTACTCATACCATGAATAGTTTTCAAGCACAGACATTCGGTACAACTCCTTTCGCAAGCGTCCGCAGCATGGATTTTGCTACCCCTGGATCCATAACAAAAGATTTAACCAACTCATCGATTCAAGAAAATTATTTGCAAACACAATTGAACGCCTCGATTCATAACTACACTACAGAATCGCATCATATTAATGTATCGAGTGCTTCGTCTACACCCGCACCTACCACTTCCTCCCCCCAACCAATTGCGCAAGATACATTGCCAGTTAGAGCATTTACTCCAGGAACAACAGATGAAAGATATACATCTAGCGGTGATTCTAGCGATACTGACTATTCTGTTGCTGGGGTCCCGCCAGTATTTTCTACCAAGGAAGATACATCGTTCACTGATCTTGCATTGCTTCAGCCCAATAAACAATTAGAGCACGATTACCGCACATACATAAAAGAAAAGGGGCTAATGGCATTCCTCAATAAATATATCCCTGAATCAATGACCAAGAGGGAAATTTGTACGATGATTGTTGATTTTGGTTACTCCAAAGAAAATATACAACACTATCAAATATTAACCATAAGAGAAACATTATCAATATTGGTTGACTTGATAATGAATGACGATACCATTAACGCTAAAGATCAAGAGTATTTTGAGATCCTGGACATTGAAGAGCAATACTATACCGTTGACGACTTGCGTCACGACCTTACCAAAAGCTCAAAAGTACTAGTCATAACTGGAGCCGGGATTTCTACTTCATTGGGAATACCTGATTTCCGTTCATTCCAAGGGGTTTATTCACAATTATCAGCGGCATTGTCAGAACCCCAGAAAGTATTTGATAAATCCACATTCATGAAAGATCCTACTTTATTTTATTCCAACGCTCATTTAGTTTTACCGCCTGAAGGGAAATACTCCGTATTGCATGCATTCATAAAATTATTACAAGATAAAAATAAATTATTGAGAAATTATACCCAAAATATAGATAATCTTGAAACCAAGGCTGGCATATTACCAAACAAATTGATTCAATGCCATGGATCTTTTGCTGAAGCTACATGTATAACTTGCAAAAACAAATTTTTGGGTGCAAAAATATTCGATCATATACGGCATCAACAAGTCCCCAGATGTTCTACTTGTTGGGCAAGTATAAGAGAAGCGCAGATGAGTCATGGGGTAATCAAACCGGATATTGTATTCTTTGGTGAAGATTTGCCAAAGAAATTCCATCGAAACCTTCACAGTGATGTTAAATCTTGTGATTTGGTTTTAGTTATTGGTACATCATTAAAAGTGGAGCCAGTGGCCAGTATCATTGATAAAGTTCCCCGTCGTGTTCCTAGAGTATTAATTAATAAGGATCCAATTCCTGATCGGGATTTCGATTTAAGTTTAATTGGCTATTGTGATGATATCGTTTCATATCTCGTACAAGGGTTAGGAAGTGCTTGGGATATACCTCATGAGTTGTATAACAATGAGGAACAGTTTGAGGTATCCTTTGCTGCGGATCTCACAAATACAATTAGGATTTCAAGAGCTTTATAAATTCATGCATAAAATTATACAAGATAAACTTAATTTCAAATCAAAATCTTGTGAAAGGTATTTATATTTATATAACACATTAATTTAATTCATCCAATCTTTTTAATAATTTCATTTCGGCATCTCCCCATTTATCTATTAAACCTTTATAGAAATTGATTTGTTCGTCACATAAACCAATCATCGAATGCTTTAACTCGTTCTTATTAAATTTATCCCAATTAGGGTACTCTTCTGTTATGATCTTGTTTGTCAAATTATTAACCAACTTTGTTTGCATAGCAATTTCATTTTCCAATTGAATCACTTTATTTTCCAATTTTTGCACCTTGTTATCGGTGGCATTTGATCCTATATGTGGAGTCGCTGATGTTGACAAAGTATCCTTAATTAATTGAGCAGTATTATTAACAATGCCTCCAGTTTGATAAGAATTTATCACAGGATTAGGGGGAGGATGTGCACCAACACTGCCTCCCAAGCTGGCCAACTCATTTCGGGTTTTCGCCAAGTATTCTTGCAATACCTGTAAGTCAATCTTCTTATTATGTTGTAATTCGATTAAATTGGTCAAGCTCACAATGTATTTAGAACAGTCCTTTAACGAAACAAGAAACGATTCATCAACATACTTGTATAATTTACCCCATGACGTCAGAAAATAGCTTAATGATTCGGCAAAAATCTTAAAATTGGCCGCAATTGAAGTTTCTTCCTTGAACGAACTATTTACTTCTCCAATTTCTCCATTCGCTGCAGGTTTCTGTTGAACTGAAGTTAATTTTATAATTTGGTTCAGAAATTGTTCATAATCCACACTAAGTTCATGATTCTTTCTATTAAGTTTGACAAAGATTTTGTCCAACTTGATTAAATTCTCATACAATTTCTTCAATTTATCATTGATTTCCAAAATATCTCTGTTTGTTTCGCGTTTATGTTTCGAGGGAGTCAAGAAATTCATCACTTTCTCGGTTATCAAATCTTCATTCACAACCTTATTGACAAATCCACTATCTTCCAGATTAATATCTTTGATACGAAGCGAGGTGGTAAATGTGGCCCAATCGTTGGAATTGGTGATGAATAAGTGGAAGATTGGCAGTTGAGACAAGGTTCTGTGTTGTAAAATAAATCGAATAAACCTATCTAGTGAATGCAAACGCTTATTAACAAATTCAGTTCCAAATGTGTCCCCAGTCAAATACTTGAAATTCAGCTTGGAAGGTAACGGTGGTATCATAACTGTTGGATAATCATTACTCAAACTTTCATACAAGTATCTGAAATCGCCATATCTTCTTCTAACACTGATGCTCAAATATTGTTCGCCTTCCTTTAGCTTCTTTTCAACACTTAATTTCAAAATAGAGGGATGGTCTGTTGTAGTAGTTACCAAATATGATATGAATGGTTTGGATGCGGTGTCTAAATCTCTTGTTGGATTGGTAACTGTGGTTTTTATTGTATACTTCTCAAACAGCAAGTCTTCTTCAGCGGGGACATCGATTTGTTCGTGGGTAACCACCGGTTCAGTTTCAGGAACCAGAGTTTTACGAATGCTGTGGGCAGGAGTAGTAAGATTCTCGTCCGACTTTGGTGGGGTAACTGTGGATGTGGGGTTACTGATATGCTCTTCTTGTGAAATCAACAAGGAATTACTCGGGTCATCAGAGCTTCCTTCACTTTTAATTTCTGGTTTATCTTCGTGGATGCCTTTGATTGAGCTTCTTGAACCCGAAAGGTCAGAGGTGGAGTGTTCTGCTGTAGATTCTAAGGGACCAGATATAGACGGTTGTTGTTCTGTCTCCTCTTCAATTGGCAGGAATGTATTATCAGTATGACTATTATTTGTATGATCCATTTCGTCTCTATCCCATTGTATTGATGTGAATTGGTCTTCTGAGCTCATAGTGGTTGGAGTCTAGAAGGGGTGGCGTACTAAGTTTGTGAAGGTATAGCAAAACAGAAGCAGAAAAAAAAAATGTTATCTATCTTAAACGCTAAACCAAAGAAAGGGGAGGACCAAGAACAATCTGGTTGGTATTTGCACGACCTAACACTTTCTTCAAGAAGTACTAGGGTTTGGTATGATATTGAATGTTTTGATATGTTGAAAGGCGTCAGGAACCACCAGGAAGGGAGTTCTTGAATTAAATTTAAGTTTTATTGTGTATTCTATTATCATGTTGCTTTCTATAGAACAAGTACAAAAAGTGTCTCTCCAGAATTCAATGACTGGGCCGTAATCATTGTCAGCATTAAGAAACAAATAACTAATTAGCATCGTATGTACAAAGACTCTGTCACCAAGTATGTATGAATACAGATCAAATGATGAAGATTGTAGACGCCACAAACACTTCAGCATTATGGTCACGTGATAGTCGATTAGTCGCTGATTTAGTTACTGACTATTGGAATATGACTGAGATTGACTAAAAAGTTTAGCTTCTTTCCTATTATTTGTCTTATAAAACTTTCAAAAGACTGGAGCTGAATAATTACCGTGTTGGTCAAATATCAAGGGAAATGTCCTGCAATATTTGTTCCAGTTAAAAATTCCTGATGATTTTGCGTCAAGTTTAGATAAAACATCGGACAATGCTACTAACGCCTACTCGTCAATTTCTTTCTGAAACATTACAATGAACATAAAATATATTTCTATAAATATCATCATTTACAACCTTCCCTGTTAGAAATATCGTGTTTACAAAATCAACCAAACACACGTTCCTATTAAAGATACTCCAACAATAGCAGTAATTATACCAGCACCGGCTTTATCACCAGGTCCAAGGTGTAATGGTGAAGTATTGGTAATCGAGGTACCATAACCAGCTGCAGGGTTAGAAAGTGACGAGCCACCATTGGAAGCAGTGTAAGGAGCAGGACGTTTATGTGCCATTAAGTTTTGCATAACTTCTAAGGCCGACATTTGTTCCCCTAATCCGTACATTCCATCCCAACCTCGGGTCCAGTTAGTCCAGTCCAAACCACATGTATGACCATCAGTACCACCTGAACAGGAACCTGCTGCAGAATTGGCAGAATCAACCAACCATTTAGTGATTATTGGTTCGGTGTCAGGTACCAACACTGATGTCAATCCCAAGAATCTGGAAAAGTATGCCTTGAAAGATCTTTGATCATTATTACATGTTCCTGATGGTTGACATGCGGCTTCATACATAACCATACTTCCTGAAATGTTCTTGAAGAAGACTCGGGATCCATCCAACAACCTGTGGGTATAGTTGTACCATTTTTTATCTTGAGTATAACTATACAAGTATGCACAACCGGCCAACATTAAACCCTGGTTATAGGTCCATTGATACTTGGTGATATTGGAACAGTTATTAGCAACCTTGGCACCGTCATAAACAAACCACCAGTCTCCCTCAGTTAACAAACCAACTCCGTACATCCAATCCCAAACACGTTCGGCCCACTCAACATAAGTATCGTTACTAGTATATCTTGCTAGTCTGGCAGCAATATGGAAAAGACACCCGTTAGAAACCGAGTTTTTGTAATCATAACCTGAATTCCATTGGAAAATTTGCCATCTCAACCCACCATTACACTCATTTTCATCCCATCTGGCAGTCATAGTGTTAAACACAGATTGTGCCAAAGTTAACCAAGCCTTGTCAGGATCTTCTGGGTTACTGAAATTTCTTTCGGCTGCACCCATAACGGCAATACCCCAGAACCCTTGATCATCATTACCTTCAGTGGTGGATTGATTTAAAGGCACGTAGTTGTTGTCATCACCGGTTTGGTATTCCAATGCAGCTTTAATTAACGGAACTAAGGTGTCGTTTTCAAAGAAAAAAGTATAGTCAATAAGCCCACCCCAGGCACCACCGGCTTCCCACCAATAGTATGGAGGAGTGAACATACCAATGGTTCCACCATACTTGGTACCTTCGTAATAATCTAAAAGACCCTTGGCAATTAAATTACAATCTTCTCGAATTGTTGTGTCGTTGTTTGTGTCCAACCAAATCGCGTGCACTACATTGGTAATACATAGCGTTGTTAAAACTAGTGTTTGATACAACCTCATATTATAATGCTATATGACCTTATAAAGGAGTTGAACGATATAAATCCAAAAGGGTGTATGTGAAAAGAAAGTAGGTTGGGCTAAATCAGAATTTCAAATTTTCTCTCGTGGGTGCGGCCCATTGTCCTGTCACCCCTTTTGCGCAAAATGTCGCGCTGCTAATTTTAACCTACGTCATGCATGATTTGTACTACACATGTTATTTTTATTATACATAACTATCTCTTCTCTGGTTTGAGTACAGGGTCCAAGAGCTCTACAGTAGATTCTTTGGTCATGGGTGTATGGTTCTCTGGAACAATGGTGGAATCATTCACTACTTCTTCCAAATCGTCCTCGCTTGGAAGTTCCCCATCCTCGTCTTCTTCGGGAATTGGCGTTTCTCCTTCTTGTTGTTCCTCATCGGATATCTTTAATACTTCATCATAATTTATGAAATCAGCGATAAAGTCTTCTTTTAATAGTCTCTTGACAAAAGCTTGCATTTCTTCCGAAAATAAGTCCATTAGGGAAAACAATTTGTCATATATCAAATTGGCAGTAGTCACATTGAAATCTATTCTCAAATTGGCTAAATGAGAATTTGGAATTGTCTTTTCAAATTGTAGTTTCTTGAAAATATCGGCAATCTTATTCCTGAACTCGGAAGAATAGTGATTCTTGCTTGGTCTATAAATTTCATGATTGACTTTGATAATTAACAAGTTATATCTCTTGTTATAGTTAAGCGAGATCTCGGAACTCTTTATCTTCTTGTACTCGGATAAGGGAGTAGGTTTGTCATTGGCAATAAAATTATGATAGCTTCGTATGCAATTAGTGGATTTGAAATCATTAATATTTGAAGATTCCTGATTATATGGAATACCCATAATGGCAATGATTGGGTCAATATACAGCACTCTCAAGTTACTAATTAAATGTGACCTTATTTGCCTCTCGTTAAGTCTAGCGTTGGAGTAAATTTCCAGACGGTCTTTACTATGAGCATCATATTTAGACATGTCTGTGGTGAATTCATCATTGAATTCTTTCAAGAATACTAAATTGTCAACATCTTCACCATGTCTTCTTTTATTAAGAAGGGTTAGTAAATACTTTTGGAAATCGTCAAATACGTTCCCATATGCATAAGGATCTATGATGGAATTGGTGTACTTGAAACCCTTATCCAATTCCTCTTCATTCCCCAACTCCGCCAATTCCACGAAAATGTCTTCATCTTTGATTTCTTCTACATAGGTAACATCATGCTTCTTGACCTTGTGCTGGAGAATTGGTTCTTCTGGAATCGTCAACTTCTGAACTTGTTTGACTGGCTTTACTTGATATTTCAATGGCGGTGTTGTGTCTGCCGGAATTCCTAATGGCGCAGCCAGATTAGGCTTTTGGATTATAGGTGGAACATAGTCGGGATTACTCAATACTCGGTTGATTTCAGCTTCATAGTTGAAGGGTTTATTGTGGAAACGAATGAAATACTCTTCATTCAACAATCCTTCTTCCTCCATGAAATTATCATTTTGACTTTGTTCTCTAAACTGCTTTAATCCATAAAGCATTGTTTCTTCAGCCAAGGGTTTTCTCAGATTCTTCTTTGTTCTTTCTATAATACGACACTTGGCACATGTCTTGTATTGCATCACTTCTGCGGGTTCATCGTCAAATCTCTTCCTCTTACAACGACGACATCTTCTAACTTCGGCTCTCATTTTGCGGTCGATTTGATTTCTTTTTTTTTTTTTTCAAATGTGGTGGAAATATGCTATTCTTTTTTTGGAAAATATGATGAAATAACTGGAAATATTACAATAATTACTAAACCAATTGCCTTCTTTCTTTGCGTTTTTTTGAAATATCACTCCACTTTGTTTCTAAAGTCTATTCGTTGAATTTGCTTGATTCTCTTCTAGCGCGGTTATTGCACTGTGTTGAACCAATTATTTTTTCTTTGCTCACCGCGGGATCTCGTTACCGCTGAAGTTTGTGAGAAGCAAAAAAAACCTTTGGATCAGAAATCTGAGAATATGGAAAACTCAACCAGTGATTGATTAACTCTTTTGAAGTAGCTTGAAAAAGGTGTACTTCTATAGCAAGAATAAACTTGTGGTCAGTAAAATTCCAGTCGACGATGTTTTTTTTTCTTCGACGGAAAAAATTTCCCCGTTCTTCAAAAATAAAAAAAAGCTTTTGTTATTGCGTCACGTGCAAAGTAATCGGGGTTAAAATACGACAAAATGACTTCATCCTTGCATAAGATGAAAGCATTGGTTTCTATTTAGAAACACCATGATATAATTGGTCTCTGTAGGATATCTGGTTCTTGTGAACTGATCAGTTGTATCTTTTTTACGACAAGTTTAATTTTTCAAATTGCGAATGAGAAACTCTGCAAGCCAATTTCCGAAAAGAGAGAAACAGCGAGCATGAATAAAATGAAAGTAACGTGCCAGCATGAGATAGCTTGTCAGTATGTAAAATCTCAAATGGATGGCTTATCCCAGAGAGTCAAACTTTTAAAGCAAGAGAAAGAGATTGCTTAAAAAGAATATCTCTTGATCCAGTAAATAATGGATAAAGGGATGGGAACTTTTAATTGTACAATGGGGACAGCAACCCAGAGCAAACAGTGGTTATTTTTATGAGTTTCAATATTCACATTGGGATGATTCATGTTCTTCTAAAGCATAATGAAAAACAAAGCTCAGTTCATTGGTGTAGTGTACAATTTGTTGGGCTAAAATCGCTTCATTGTCGCATGACTGGGTACGAATATTTTTAATCAAAACCCAACTTGCACTTAACTTGTACTCCATCGGGACTACAAAGAAAGGAGAAAGTTTAAAAACAGACACTTGCACAAGTAAATCTATTTCGGGGTCTTCCGGGGACTCCAATATCATAAACAAATCGCTTAAAACAATTCTCCACATCAAATCCCCCATTGTACGAACAAAAAGAAAAACTTCCTAATCAGGAATTTAGTTGCAACAATAAATCGTTGCTAAGGCTCTTTTTCTACTTTCAACTTCCCTTCTCCACTTACTATAAAATAGAGTCGTAAGACCACTAGAAGTTGGGTTTTATTATGTACTAACAACTACTATCATGTTTACACACTTTCTAACTTTCGTTTTGATAATATCATACGTTTTAGGGAAGTCCCCCACTGGTGGGTACGCCCCAGGGCAAGTGCAATGTCCGGCAAATTCGAGCTCCTTTATACGAGAAGCAAACTCAATTTCTAAACAAGAACAAGCTTGGATCAAGCAAAGAAAGACTAAAACCAAAGCAGCTATGATTAAATTTCTTGAAAGCGCCAACTTGACCAATTTTAATGCCGCTAATTTTCTCGATGATTCCGACACTGGTGTCAATCTCGGGTTGGCATTTTCAGGAGGTGGATACAGAGCTATGTTGACGGGAGCTGGCTCCTTGTTAGCTTTGGATGACCGTAATAATGCTGAGGATGGTTTGGGTGGTATATTACAAAGTGCAAACTATATCGGGGGGTTGTCTGGTGCATCTTGGTTTTTGGGTTCTTTGGTATTACAAGATTGGCCCAGCGTTGACGAAGTTGTATTCCAAAACCCCAATGATTTATGGAATTTTACTAGCACTAGACAATTAGTCAATCAGAACAATTTGTGGACGATTATCTTTCCCGTACTCTTTAACAGCTTGAATGGTGCATTGTCTCATATAAACTTCTGGAGTAATAATAAGCAAGGGATTAAATACGACATTCAAGCAAAAGAGAAGGCAGGGTTTGAAACTTCAGTTGTAGATGCTTGGGGACGTGGATTAGCTCATCAGTTATTTCCTCCAGGCAATGATAACTATGGCTCTGATCTTGTATGGAGTGACATACGTGGTATCACCACATTTGCTAATCATGACATGCCATTTCCATTTGTGACTTCGTTGGGAAGAAGACCAGGGACAGTTGTCTACAATTTGAATTCGACGGTTATTGAAATGAACCCCTTTGAATTTGGATCGTTTGATCCTTCTTTGAATAGTTTTACTGACATAAAGTATTTGGGAACCAGTGTTAACAACGGTGTCCCAAATGGGACTTGTATCAATGGTTTTGACAATGGTGCATTTATTATGGGGTCTTCCTCGTCATTGTTTAACCAATTCTTGAATACTCTCGTGTGTGATGATTGCAACTCATTAAACTTTATCGTGAAGTACATTTTGAAATGGTTCCTTACCCACTTGTCAAGAAACTATGAAGATGTGGCATTATATAAACCAAATCCATTTTATCAAAGTCAGTATTCCAAATCCGACAATATCACTCATAGCGATACGCTTTACTTAATCGATGGTGGTATTGGAGGTGAAATTATTCCTCTTTCTACATTAATGACTACCCAGAGGAAATTGGATGTCGTGTTTGCGTTTGATAATTCTAATGACAATCTAGTTAACTTCCCCAATGGACAAGCATTAATCAATAGCTACGAACGTCAGTTTTCCAATCAAGGAAAGTCAACGCTTTGCCCCTATGTTCCTGATATTAATACCTTTTTAGAAGGGAACTTGACTGCAAAACCTACTTTTTTCGGTTGTGATGCAAAGAACTTGACGGCGTTGGAAAAAGATGGTGTTATCCCTCCGATTGTGGTTTACTTTGCAAACAGACCATATGAATTCTATTCAAATGTGAGTACTTTCCAATTATCATTTACTGATGACGAGAAAAAGCTGCTTATTAGAAATGGGTTTGATGTAGCTAGCAGATTAAACGGTACAATTGATCCAAATTTCAAGACCTGTATTGCTTGTGCTTTGATTAGAAGAGAGGAAGAGAGAAGAGATATTGAACAATCTGAACAATGTAAACAATGCTTTCAGGATTATTGCTGGGATGGTACTTATTACCCAGGGTCTGCTGGAAGCTCGTTGGTTAACTTTACTGCTAGTGGATTAACCAATGATGCCATGGTCTATTATGGAACAGAACCTCCTACTGCACCACCTGGGTTTTCCATTTTCAAGAGAGAAAACTCGGCATCAAATGCTGATATTCATTTCCTTTTAAAGATAGTACTCTATCTAGTCGTTCCTTTCTTGCTTTAGAATTTTTATTTAGATATTTTGGTATAGCCGATATTTAGAATATTTTTGCCTTTTCTTTTTCTTCGGCATTAACGGGTCGGCACCAGTTTATGTCTTAACTAAAAACAAATCAGAAATTAACTTGCTCCATAGGTGATGGACATAATCAATCATAATTCATGTTGTATACAGCATTTGCTAATCCATGTTCAAATGTACTATAAGTGGTAGTGGTCCTATGTTTTTTGCACCCAGCAAAAGTACAATGGAAATGTGTAATTTTTAATAATGAGAAGGTCGTGCCCGAATCAATGAAACTCTCAAGTTTGATTTTTACTTCGCCTGATTGAAAAAAGAAACACTACCTTCCTTGGCCTAACGTTTTTGTCGTTCCCCTGATTTACCCGATATTCCAATTCCCCAAATCAATCAACTCTTTGTGTTCTATAACATCAGTGTCTCAGAATCGTAGTGTGCATAACTTAACTGCATCCATCAATTAAAAAAAAAGTATATACTGCTACATATAACAACTTGGAAACCACCACCAGCAGCCCCCACACACATTGGACAAAGTCAAAACCTACCTTTTTTTTGTACTATAACACATCATTGCCTCCCTGATAGATAGACAAACAAATCGATCATGTCTAAAATAGTTCGTTCCATTAAGAACGTAGCCAATGGTTACTCATCAGCTCAAATTCTCGTTAGAAAAGCCACTGCCAATGATGCCAGTGGACCCACCATATATGATATGGAAGAAATTGCATCATATACTTATCAATCCCAAACCGAATTCTTGGAAGTCATGGATATGTTAGACCGTCGTCTTAATGATAAAGGTAAATACTGGAGACATGTTGCCAAGTCACTTACCGTGTTGGACTACTTGGTTAGATATGGTTCTGACAAATGTGTTCTTTGGGCTAAAGATAATCTTTATATTGTCAAGACTTTACGTGAATTTATCCATTTAGACGAGCAAGGTGTAGATCAAGGTGCAATTATCAGAGTCAAGGCCAAGGAATTGGTTTCTCTATTACGTGATGACGAGAGATTAAGACAAGAACGTGCTCTTGCTGCTAATAAAGGTAGAAATGGAAATGAGGACTTCGATGAAGATAGAAGAGAAAGAAGAAGACCAAGAAGAGATACTAATCGTTCCAGAAGAGGTGATGAACCATACGATGCTGATTTGCAAAGAGCCCTTGAGTTATCTAAAATAACTGCTGAAGAGGAACAAAATCGTCCAAACCCAGATGAAAGTGATGCTGACTTACAGGCAGCTCTTAAATTATCCTTGGAGGAAGAAGAAATGAGAAAACAAAAGCAAGGTAATAATTTATTGGATTTAACTGATGATACTCCATATCAACCTCAATATTACGTGGCTACTGGATATTACCAACCACAACAATTCTATGGTCAACCACAACAGCAACAACAATATGATATGTTTGGTAATCCAATCCAAAATGCAATGGATACTGGATTATACCAACAACAGCAACAACAACAACAATTCCTTCAACAGCAGCAACAACAATTCCAACCTAACCAATTTACTGGTTTCAACTATGGTCAACCCCAACAACAAGAACAAATTCAACCTTTAAAGACTGGTTCTAACAACCCATTCGCTTTGTCTGGTTCTCGCCCAGAACCTGCATCCCCAGTTAGAAATCAAACTTTAGATGCATTGGCCCAACAACAACAGCAACAACAACAACAACAACCTCAATTCTTTACTCAACCAGCCCAATCTGCACCACAATCTGCAGCTACCTCATCCAAATACAATGAAACTCATTCTGAATTGAATAACTTGTTGGCTCAAGGTACTGGTATTGATACCTTTGGTAATACTGGTGCCAACAGAATTCCACATCAACATACCAAGACTCAAACATTTATAAACTCAAGTGGTACTGGATACAAGCCACAAAATGATGAACAAAGATTGAGTTCTAATGCTACTGGTAATCCATTCCTTAATACTGGAATTGGGTATCAACAACAACAACAGCAACCACCACAGGGCCAACAAGCAATCAATGCTGCTTATACTGGATATGGATTTGGAAATGCCCAACCACAACAGCGCAGAGCCAATGATGGTCCTAGTTTGATAGATATTTGAGTCCGCTCGTATTTTATATAGTTCCCTGTTTGGTGAGAGTTTTTTTTTATAGGAGATTTTGTATATTAAGAAAATTATTGAAGTAAAGTACTTGGTTACACCTTTATAATTTAAAATCGTCAAGGTTCTGCAATTGCATTTTGAAGATTGACTTAACGCACCAGTCCCATTCAAGGGCAATCCCATTCTTGATTTGCTTTTTGAATGCCGCAATTAATTTTGTGTCTTTAGTCTTGTTAGCTAGGAGAATCACTTGATCAGTGGATTCAATGTGTGTGTCAATGACGGTTTTAGCTAATTTTGTAGCCAGTTTGATCTCATGGAAATCCTTCATTCCGTGCTCGTGTAAAATTCTAGCAATCACATCAACACCACCATTCAAATTAGATGACATATTAAAACTCAAATCTTGGAATAACTTGCCCTTGTTTGGTGAAGTTAACAAATTGTTCAATCCATTCTTCCCCAATTCTTGATCGAGTTTTGTTACTTTATCTAACCTATAATCTTCAATATTGAACTCAGTCAACACCGTTTGCTTGTCAACATTCTTAAGCACATCAATGAGGTACTTTGGGTGAACTATATGATCGACTTTAGCAAGACTGCGCAAGAACTTCTCTGTACGCAATATCTTTGGTGCTATCAATGTGTTTGGTTGGGTTGACAAGTCCAGTATTATTTCTACACCCACATTCTGCAAATTTGCAATGTCATCCGCTGAAAGATCAATGATTGATTCACAACCAGTCATGACGGCAATGATTTCACATTTCTTGTTGGGTTTGTGTTTCTTGACAGGTGGTGAACTGAGTAGTTTATTTGGCGATGAGCTTAAATGTTCTAATTCTGTCATGTACTCTTTCATCTTCCGTGAACTCTTGGTCATCTGTTGATACTGATTCAAATCTGACATATCTTCGTGAAGTTTTGCTGCTGCTCTTTTAGCAGCTGATCTACGTGATCCAACTGGTGTATGGTGTGGTTCGGCAATTACTTGTGGACTAGAACTTTTTGCGCTTGTTTGGGTTGTACTTGGGGAAGCCGGTTCAGAGTTATCCATAAGCTCTTCCTTTGAATCGGTGGAAGCATTGGCATCAGGAACTTGCTCGGTTTCTTTGGTCTTTCTTTTTGTGCTTTGATCTTCACTCATACTGTCATCTACGTTTCCTTCGTTGTCTTTAGATTCTTCGTCGTCGTCATCATCATCTGCATACCACAGCTTTAAAACTTCCAGGTTAAGCTTGGTATTTCCGACTGAAGCCTCCATAAGACTATCTTTGGGGAAATGATTATACTTTTCCTGGTTCAGATCTTGTAATTCCCACTGTGCAAAACATTCCTCGACCCACAAGTGATTCACAATCTTAACAATAGGTTTCCCAGTCTCATCGACCCATTTTTCCTTGGCAGTCAAGTATTTCTTTCCCTCTGGTTTCGAACAGACAAGGTAATCATTCTCTCTCGTAAGTGTCTTGGTAAACGTTCCTCCCATGATACTAATTAATCGTGCGAGATAAGCTCGTGAATCTCCGGAATAGTTTGAGATTGAGATTTTCAAGTTTGTGAATTGGGGTATTGGGTTCATAGGTAGAGGATAGTGGAGTAACTGTGAGCTAGTTGGAAGTATCCACTTGTTGGTGATTATCAAGTTGTACAAATACGCAAGGGTACCTACTACAATATTTGGATTCTTGCAACTTTGAATGTAATGTTCCCCATGACGGTATTTTCCCAAGTATATGTCGATATCTGGGTTGAATTTCTCACATATAATGGCTTCATGAGATTCGAGATACTTGCAAATGGCCGTGTTTTGTCTTTTGGATAGGTTATAGTCTTGACTGAGATATATCTTTTTCCCTTTCAAAAACGTAGATTTGTGTTCTAGTCCATTGGTGGCTGGGTCATTTGAAGAGACAGTTGTCGCAGTAGGGAACACTGCATCCAGTTGTAATATCTTTGGGTTTGGCAATAAATAATCATTTTCATCAACCTTTCTTCCGAGTGTTATACAATGGTCAATCCATTCAGGAACTACAATCTTAATCTTGGAATTTATGACACTATTGGCCACAATACTCTTTTCATTAGTTAAATCAACAGCAATTAAATGGGTGGTATACTTAGTCAACACATCTAAATAGCCCGCACCAAAGGCACTGGCTGTGCCATAGATGATTTCCTTATCACCTTCAGGCAAATTATCAGCGCAGCATATGAAGCAATCGTGAAAGAAGTACTTTGGATCGGGGTTGTAAGATTTAATATTTTGAATCTTCAGCTGTGCCAAGGAATCATGGACCCATTGCGAGGTAGTTATGGGGATCATTGATTGGATTGCTTGTTCATATTCGACAAAATCAACGGATTCGGTGATTATGTGGGTGATTTGTGGGTTTGGACTGAGGTAATTTACCTTGTTGTCAAAGTCGTCCTTGATGAACACGGCGGATGCATTGTTTTCATTGAGGATTTTGGAAATACCTTCTGCATCAGCTAGCTTCTCAGATTTAACGATAAGAAATGACGATTCGGAGAACATCTTGGTGTATTAGATCTACTATTGCATTCACTCTTATTACTGTTTGCTTTGTTTTTGTCGTAACATCAAAATAAAAATAACGCGGTCGCGCAACACGAAATCTAAATATAATGCAAAAACACAAAGTGGTGAATTTGAGAAGCCCTTTGGATAAAACTACTTCGACAGTAAATGCTATACGTTGAATTGAATAATAAAATGCTAAAAAATACATAAAAAAGAACATTACATGGTCATTTCTCCAGGCACCACCTCTCCTAAGTAAGAGCCAAACGATGGGTTGAAGTTTTCTCATCCAATAAAGTCTTTCCCTCTTGATGAAACTTCTTAGCCCAACTCCTACACAATAAACTTGCCTTCATGAACTTCCTGGCACTGTACTTTTTGTAAAACTCGTCATGTTCAATTGGACTTATCAAATATTGGAAGATTAAGTCAACACATGTTTTCATGTCACTTAATCTGTATCCTCCACTGTAATGAATCAAGTTCCCGTTCCACACTGGTGATTTACCTAGTATGAGTCTGGCAAGGTACATGGCTGATGCACAGCATAACGAGGGTCTCATACCGATAAATTTATAATCTATAACGGTGATCTCCAAAAGATACTTTCCTAACGTTCTTGACTGAACATCGTAATCATCAGCTTTGGATATTCTTCTCAAGAAGTTCATAGGGTTTGGATAGTTTAAATCAAAGTTTAAGATTGTGAGGATATATTTTTCCGCTTGTAAGATTTCTTCTTCGGTATATGATCCATCGGTGAAATATGCATAGTTTTTAACCAGGGGTGAGAAAACTTCTTCGTATTTTGCAGCTATGAACAATGATCCTGTAGCCAACAATTGCAATTTGTCAATTTGCACTACTTCAATAGACATGAATCTATCCATGATATTTATCGCCAAGTAAAGACTTTCAGGCAAGAGTCTAAACTTGAGATGCATTTCTACTAGCCAATCCACCAAAATCGACCTCATTTTGGGTTTTAAATGCTTTTGTTGAAATAAATACTGGGGATCAGGTAACATTCTTTGTTCCAATTCGTAAAAATAGCTGAATATATCATTGACATATTCACTGGCCATGAGCGGGTCATCCAAATCTTCTTCGTCCAAATCTTGCCATTCATAATCAATTAATCGCGTCTTTTTATTAACATTGTTAGTATTAGTAGCAACTGCTTCTGATTGAGGAGGGACTTTTAATTGTTCTACGAGGTTGGTGGAAGATTCTGTCGCTTGTCTCTTTTGTGGAAGTCTTGATGGTACTGCCAAATAACTAGTGCTAGCATTTGCGGAATCTGATGCAATAGAAATATCTTTGGAGGGTTTAGGTTGTTCGTGTAATGGTACTAATGGTTTCCTCTTTTTTACAAGTGGTTGTGATTTAGATTGTTGTTGTGTAGTTGTAGTTATAAGCGTTGTTGTGGATTGTTTGGTGGTGATATATTGATTCGAAACGTCGCCCAAGTACTGGCGAGTAGGAGCTAACTCCTGTGTTGATGATTCCAGAGATGGTTTAGATGCACCGTCTGGTTGAGACGAGGCGAAAACTGATTGATGTTGTGCTTCATTTTCTTGCTGCTGCTGCTGCTGTTGTTGTTGTTGTTGTTGCTGTAGAAGTAGTTTAGATCTTGTTAGTCTGAATTCATTCTCGTTATTGACCGTGGTTTGTACCATTATAGTGTGCGAATTGTAGTTGAACGGATGGTAGTGGTACGGATATATTCAAGGGGGGGAAAGAGAGGGAGGATGAATTGGCACAAGCAAGTGGATGTTTTTCTAAAATATGCAAAGGAAGGAAATGTGTTATTGCTGTGTCTGTTGTAACTTGTGGCGACAGTGTCTGAACATAAAACAAAGGACAAGGAGGGTATAAAGAAACAAAACAAAAAGAAGGAAAAGAAGCGGGTAATGAAAATTTGAAAGGTAGTTTAGTTCAGATGAATTTGAAGTTTGTGATATATTAAGCAGAAACGTACCGCACCACACAGAAGGGTTAAGATCTGAGACAAAAGACTTAACTAGGCAAATCGTAGTAAAACAAAAACAAAATAATAAAATAAAATAAAATAAATTCCAAAGGGTGAAAGTACGAACAAAGTCGAACAACCAAAACACAACAACAACATTGTGTTTGGTCCTGCATATTTTTTGTTCCCTTTTTAATTTGTCCATTTTAAGCCCGTGTAAAATGGTCAATATGTAAATGGACCATGCCCATATCGTAGATTTCAATTGCGGTTTTTTTACATGTTAGTTATTGTCTTTGATCTATAAATAGCAAATATTTTATTTTTGACGTATCTGGCAATTTCCTAATGCAAACATTGTGAAATTTACACGCCCTACATTCAACGCTGATCTCCCGGGAGATGCCCGTTCGCTCCCCTTTACCCTATAGTTTATAACGATCTAAAGACGAGTAAACCGTGATGGGTTCTCTCCCTTCACTTCCCCCCCCCCCCCGGTTATGATCATCAACAAATTAGTTTTTGTGTTTTCTTTGCTAGTGTTTGCATACCTAATTAGGTCACTTGGAAACTTCGACAATGTGCAACCATAAATAATATCGAGTAACATCGACTAGATACAAATAATATTAAGACGTGTGCTTAATTGCACTTGTTACCTGCCGTTTGCGATGTGTTTGTGACAGCTGGCACCCAGCTTTTTGCTGGTTCTCTATGGCGTATCGAAGCACAGACACAATTAACAAAGAAAATAGAATAAGCTTCTGGGTATGATTTATTTTTGTGGTGTCTTCGCTAAGTTTTCTGTTTTACGCGCGTAGTCCGCAATATTTTTTTTTTTTTTAATTTTGGTGGCCCTCCACGGAAATATGTTACAATTGAGTACTTTCCTAATTAGGCCAATTCGTAAATAGAAACTATCATGCTATTTAGAACTTGAAATCCTACTTCACCACGGGACCTAGGAAAATAATTCAGCTGCTACTCTTTGTATCTGAAACCATATAAATTTCATCTGATTCTTTGGTAACCTTTGTCTGAACTTTAGTCAAACTTCTTTGTTACACTGATGTTTTTGTTTACCATTCTGATCTATTTCACTCGGGTTGGCAGTTGACTTAGCCTGTAAAAAACCGTTAGACCACGTTAACACACCATGCATGGAACTCGGTTCTCCGTTTAACCCCCGTACCTACACTAAACTCTTAACCTAGATCGGTAACTTGCAATTGGAGGGTGGCTTCACTTGATTTGACAGGATAGTGATACTGTTGCGGAAATAAGAAAATATGCGCGGCGTTCGTCTCATTTGCCTGGCTCTTTCGTAATTTATCAAATGTTCACTGCAACACCACTAAAACCAGGTTGGATTCGTGTAAGCGTATTTTCAATGGCTAAATTCCTGGTTGGGAAATGCTTATCCTTCGCATGCTGACCAATTAGATTGCTATTGACCAATGTGGTAAGAATAACAATCAGATCTGGCATCTCGAATCTTGTTCGTTGAATTTGCAACCAATGGCTTGTTTCGTAATGCACGTGAAACGTGTGCATGCTCAATTGAAATTGTGCCAATTGCATTGTTCCTATTAGAGATATGATCTTCATTACTCCTGAACCTTGCATGGATTTACTCTCCCCCAGACTCTACATGTAATCTCGATTAATTTTACAATATATCCCGATATCTCGCAAATTCATTAAAAAGCTATACAAAAATATTTACTGAGGTAGCCAACCACCACCTAATTTATTCAACGTAGTATCACAAGACATGACTTCTTTAGTGCATCTCTTGCAAATTCCATCCTTGATATTAGACTTATCCTTAGCATTGAAACAAAGGCGGCAATCAACGTAAATATGAGGATCCTTTTCGTCTACTGGATCTGCTAATTTTTGGTTAGTTAATGCATTTATGAGCTCTTTAAGTTGGGCATGGGTTATGGGTGGCTCTTCAGGAGTAGATTTGGGAGCTTCGGCATCAGGTTGCGTGGATTGTACTGGGGCATGTGTAGATACAGGCGCAGGTGAAGGCGAAGATGAAGGTGCAGGTGCAGGCACGGGGACGTTTGTAGTTGGAGGAGGTGGAGCTGCTGCTGCTGTAGAAGGAGTGGTAGCAGCAGGAGCAACAAATGGTTCAGGAATAGGAGCATATGGAACATAGGTAGTACTAGGAGGGTTAGTTGGTGGAGGATTTGGAACTTGTGTGGAAGTAAACGCTGGTCTTGGCTGTGTTGAGAAATATTGCACTGGTGGTTCAGGATCTGTGGGTGTTGCGTCTAATCCATGTTTCACTTTGCGTACAAGTTCTTCACAAATATCGTGTATAATCTTCTCATCAACTGTGGGTTTTGGTTCAGTGTTATCTTTGTTTATAAGTTTCTCGATGGAACCATTCAAGTTTTCTAAAAGAGACTTCACTTCGTCTAGTGGTACACCAACAGACTCTTTGGTTCGGGATGATGGACGTTCCTGTTGTGGCTGGGATGGTATATTCACTTTCTCGACAACTTCTTCGGTTCTTTCTTGGTCAACTTCATCAAGCTTCTTTTTAGCTTTGAGGTAAAGTTGCTTATATTTCTTGGTTTTTTCTTGTAAGCTAGTAACCCAGTTCTGCAACTCAGCAATGGTTTGATTATTCTTTCTTTCAATATCCCTTAACCTTGCATTTTCCTTTTCTAATCCAGCACTCTTGACAACCAACTGTGTAGAAAGTTTATGTGCGTCATTGTATAAATCACGATAGTTTACATCTTGATCTGGTTTCCTGCTAGATAACCCATCAATTGCAGCCTTGATTTTCTTTGCTCCTATATCCCCAACTTCAGCATGAGTGCCAGCAAATTCAAAGTTTTCTGTGGGTTCGTTGAGATCTTCATAAAACAAGTTTCTCCTGTTGGGAGTCTTCTTGTGCTTGATTGGACTGCTTGGATTGGACCTCATTCTATACATGTGGTCTTGATAATCATTACTTACTCGTTTAGGAGGGGATCCATAGTTCCTCATGTTGGATTTTTTAGGTGAATTGTTTCTGGTGTTGGAGTCAAGGATCCCTGACAGGTTCAAGCCAAGATCCTTATCGAAATCAATATCTTCATCGGACAATGAAGCTAGGGTGAGGTCGGGAAAGGTTGATTTTCGGTTGTTGAGATTGGGTATGCCAAACCGGCGATTTATCTCTTCTGTTGATTCGTCAAGATTCGCCATTGGAGTTGTTGTTGTTATTGTTGTTGTTGTTCTTCAAGAGAAGTATGTCAGATCTTTTGTTTAGGTTTTTGTTTGGCGCTTAAATTTGGTGTGTTGTCGCGAAAATAGTTTTTTTTTTTTGTTTGGAGGCACGCGTAACTTAGCGCTTTTTCCTTTTACTGCGACAATTCAAGGCAGGCAATCAGTAGACCATCGTTAAGTAATTGATTGAATCAATCAAAGGCATGCTCACCATGTTGTTCCTGATCTATTTGCTTGAACTTCTAAGTCATTTTGGTGCTATTTGGTCCCTAGAGTGACAGTTACAGGATGTGAAACCAAAGTCTGTTGGTGAGTATAAACGAAGATCTAAAGGAGAATAGGTTTATTCTACATATCGAATATTAGTGAATATTCGTACAATCCATATACAGTAAGAACGTACGGACTTTGAAATGCCTTTCCATCTCAAGACCATTTGTGCCACACAACTTGCGGTAAAAAACACCTCATCGAATCTGCGGCTTTGTGGCATTTTAACAATCTTAGATAAAGCGAAGAGAGCGAGGGAAAAAAAAAAAAAAAGAAATCAACTTTTTTTGACAGACTTGGTATCTTTTTACTCGTTTATCTTACAACATGTCCAGCACTCACAACGAAATCGTCGAATTGGCCGCTGAATTAAAGGCTAACTTAAAGCAATTCCCAAACTTCCCTCAAGAAGGTATTCTTTTTGAAGATTTCCTTCCAATTTTCACAAAGCCTGATCTTTTCAAGAAGTTGGTTCGTGCTTTCCAATTACACGTGGGTGAAGACGCCAAAGTCGACTATGTTATCGGTTTAGAAAGTCGTGGGTTCTTATTCGGTCCTGCCTTGGCTCTTGCTCTTAATGCCGGTTTTGTTCCTGTTAGAAAGCCAGGTAAGTTGCCAGGTCCAACTTACAACGTTGAATTCAAGAAGGAATACGGTTCCGATGCTTTTGAAATCCAAAAGGATGTTATCCCAGCCGGTTCCAGAGTCTTGATTGTTGACGATATCTTGGCTACTGGTGGTAGTGCCTTTGGTGCTGGTGAATTAGCCAAATTGACCGGTGCCAAGATTGTCGAATACTTGTTCGTTATGGAATTAGATTTCTTGAAGGGTAGAGATAGATTGGATGCCCCTGTCTTTACTTTATTCGGAGGTCAAACTGAAAAGTTGCAATAGATGTACAAACTAGATTTATTTCTTCTTTTATGTGTGTGTATTAGAAATTAATAGAATACGAAACTATATATATAAATAATTATCAACCACTTTTGAATATCAAGAATGCCAAGTCACCGATGTAAAAATAGATGAAATATCCTTGTTCATGAGTGACATAACTTCCAAAGCTCCTTCCTACAATTACATGCCACGTAGGGCCATAGATCTGGTCCAACTCCTTCTTCAAGAATGTCGCAATGTCTTTTTCAATCTTGCAAGTGACTATAGATTGTTGGGCCAATTCAAATATCTTGGTTTGGATCTCTTCAGACAAATCTGATGCTTTTAACGTTGCTGTAGCTATGCCTCGGTTCCGTTCGTTGTCAAACGAACAAGAGCAAGACGATTTTGTTAGTACGACAGTTCATTGGAGTGAGTAGATGGGTTTACATCATCTATGACTTCCTACATACGAGTATGTTCAGGTTCTTGCATGGTCATATGCCTATATTGTTGTAGGTTATTTATATCGTTGTCGTCCCCCGATGTGATCTGACATTATTCAATTCGCAAATGTGTTTACTTTTTTCCTCTACAGATAAATTTGCTGGAATGGTAGCGCTTGCTCTATGCGGGGACAACATTGTTGCTAGACTGCAAATTGTGTATTAGCTATTTAGATTCTACAATTTGACGTATTTGACCTTGTTGGCCTGGACGTCATCTCTAAACTTGTCTACTCCCAAAGCACTGGTGTGGCCCCATGGCTTTAATTCATTTTCTCTGTCGATGGCGGCACTAAAACAATCCAACCAGCCATCACGAGAAAACTGTTTGTTGACGGCATTCAAGGTGTCTTCATGGATCAAATGGGTGTTCAAGCCAACATTATCCAAAATGGTAGAAATTTGCAAGATTAAACCCAAAGTGGTAATATACCCGGATTCGCCTAAATCTTGATGTCTAATAATTGCTTCACACACGGCATCAGCATAGTCCTTATTGCCGTTGGCGGACAACACTAATTCTCTGGAGATTATACCACCATATGATTCAAATGACAATTTTGTGGCATGCATATTTTCATCGGTGGTTCCAATATCGTGCAAAAGACTAGTTACGTAAATGACCTCTGGATCTAAATCCCATTCAGGAAATTGATCCTTGATAATTGCAAGGGAATAAAAGTACACCCTGAGAGAATGGTTGAACACCTTGGGTGGAAGCTTTTCCTTGGCATAATTATACACAAATTCAGCAAATTTAGTTTGTGGGAGATCAACGTTGGTTTGAGGAGTTGGTGGTTTAGGATTAGGGATGGCTTGGGCGACATCACGAGAAATCTTGACAAATCCGTAAGAAGACATGGTGAATAGTTGTTAGCGTATGCGATTGATTGATAAATTGATTGAAAATCTGATTGATTACATGAGAGGGAACTGTCACTATATATATAGTAACTGGACAGGGGAAAATCTATGGGGTATGGCTCATTGTTAAATCTCGGAGAAAACTCACGGAAGCAAATTTCCGCGCTCTCCTCTTTTAACAAAAATATTTTACGCCCATTTCTAGAACAGCCGCCACACACCAAGGGGTTTGTAAGCTTTGTTGGTTAGGTCCGATGGGTCTATGTACCCGTACTAATCAGAATATTTGTTTGACTTTATTACTAAGAATTATAATATACTTCTTTTGCAGCTGAAAGATATGCCCCTCTGGTTTCTAGACCTTCCCCCCACCCTCTCCCCAAGGGACTTACTCATCTACACTATTCGCTTATTCTTTCCTTCGATTGTCTCTTCATCAGAACCAGCTGTCGGCTAAACAATAAGGTATTGAGTATATCATTCTAATACATACGATTGTGAAACGTTTGACAGTTTTGTACTTTATCCCGAAATGTTAGCAAATTTTGCTAAAAATAAAACACAGACATACCTTTGAATCAGATGGTGGTCATCGGGCGTATTCATGCCAAAGTCAAAGTATACATAATGAACTAAGCCAAATAACGTGGAAGCTCTACACAACATCGAAGCAAATGCTGTCTCTGCAGAGATCTCATATGTCAAAATACGCTACCAATCACAGCACATGAACATGCAGGAGAACTAAGTTTGACAAATGTGCCCCTGCACGACCTGGCGCTGTCTGTCGTAGGTGCCTGTCTCCATATTCAACCAATTTGCACTCATACACTTTACAACCATACAAATTCCAATTCACTTTACCTACTAAACTTGTAACATTATGACCTTGGAAGTGAATGCGTCTAATATATTGACGCATTACTATAAGATCGCCCATTTGGGATCGATTAACTACACTATATTCACTTCAGTTACTGACAACCATCAACAATTACTTGAATTGGAGTTACAAATTAGACACGAAAACCCGAAAATCTTAATAACGTATTATAATAAGTGTTTGCATTATTTCACATTCGGCCATAACAAAACCACCGGTGATATCGACCCGGTGGAGTTGGTACGACAATACCCTAATATCCAATTGAAATATTCAAATAGCATAACCATGGATCAATTGCAGAACCCTCATAAACCTCCTGCGACTAATACTGGCAGTTCGGAAGAGTACATCCCATTTGAAAACTTGAGTTTCTTGAAAGCAGCCAAGAAAATGGTGCTTTATACCTTGTCCTTGAATGGAATTGTGAAACTATTTGGAAACTATTGTGTCACTAGCCAAGACGAAAAGACCTACACTATACTATACATTGACCCTATATTGTTCCCCAATGGAGACTTGATGATTTCATGTGTCCAACGGGCACAAACCAAGCTCTTTAATTACCCTTCCACGGATGTGTTAGACGAGATACTGGAATATGTGATTTATATTGTCCCTAGTGGTATTCGATGCCATTTATACGATCCGTCGGAGTTCAAGAATAATATTGTGGAAGCTGGTGACGTTGAAAATCTGAAGCTTTTGCAGTTGCTCACACTAAGTACTGGAGTGGACTTTACCAAGGATGAGGAGACTATAACATGGGTTAAATTGATACCTAACTTGAAGCACTTGAATAACCAAACATCGCCAATTTCAAAGTTTATTCATTCCGTAGAGAATAAAAAGTTCATACTTTGGCCCTGGAAATTATGTTTGTTGCAATTGGGTAAATTTCAGGAATTACCAGAAGCACCTGAACCCACAACATCATCATTTAAGAATCCCATAAATTTAATCTCGGACTATCTTGATTTTAACATCTCGAATAACTTGAAAGAACTTCAACTTCAAGAAGAGAAGCTTCAGAAGGAGCAGCAAAAACAACCATTGACAAATGCTGCGTATCCTTCCAGCGTACCTTCTTCAAATGGAGATGTTGGTTCAGCGGTAAATATAGAAGCAGTTAAAGATATTGGATCGATAGATATGAGTATGACTACCCCTATGGGTGAAGATTTATTTAATCTTCCACCATCAGATGCATTTTTCACAAAGACCGAAAATGGGGACACAGTTAAGGAGGAAGAGAAGTCTCAGGAAGAAGAGAAGCCAACAGATGATATGGAACTTGATGATTTGTTTGGTGAGGACGTCTCAAGTGATGATGATAATAATAATAATATCCAGAGTGAAACAATTGAACCAGAAACTAACAATAAACATTCCTCAGAGGAAGATAAATTGGATGAATTGCTTGATGTCGAGGTTAATGACATGATTGACAAACAAGAACAAGAGCGAAAACCAGAAGAACTTGAACCAGCTTATTTGGATATACCGAAGGATCAAATGATTACCAAGTTAACCAGTCCAGATTATAATGACCCCGGTGCCCCATTACCATTAATACCGACTCCCTTTATGCAATCCACTGCACCATTGTCTTCCACAAATCCTCCATCAACTGGTCCAAATATCGAATCAGGATATTATCCTGAAGAAGTTCCTGGAAATACCAACACCAGCACGGTGACTCAATCGGCACCATCACTGCAAATGCCACCACAAAAGTCGATCTTCTCACCCATTTTATTCAATCCTATAATTAAAAGTAATATAGACACGAAGTATGGAAAAGGTGGGAAATTTTATGTTGACCGAGAATCTTCAATTGATCCTGATTTTGAAAAACATAAACGGTCAATAAGAGCAACTAGTGTTAGTGGATTTCATTTCAATTCCGGTAAAGAAGAGTTGAAAAAGAGGCGACCTTCTTTAGATAAAGTTCAAGATTCGGTTTCTTCAAGTGAGGAGAGTGATGAGGACGAAGATATGTCTGACGATATGGCCATATCTCCACCGCTTAAATTAAACACTGAAGATGAAGGTTCACAATATTTCCCACCCGTAACTAATACAATGAGTGGCAATGGAACGAACATAAGAGCTAATTCAGTACTGGAACTCCATAGCACGAATGTAGTACTAGACAAGCCGGGTTTTAATCCCTCGGGGCTAAATACAGGCGGGTTTGGTTCTCCATTTGCTAGTCTGATTGCTAAGTTCTCTACATTCAAAGCAGAATCCCCGTTGTCCAATCATGAATTACAACCAACTATGTCACCTATGGATTTCGAAACTGCGCAACTTCAACAGACGCCAAGACTCCTACCACAAACTAACCCAATTGAAAATGCTTCAAAAGAAGCCATAACAGAATCAGCATCACCTAGTAAGATCTTGGGAGAATCTTCAAATTATTTACCGCTTATTTTACGTAGTATTAATGTTTCCACGATTCCCAACTTGTATCTTATGAATAATTTGACTACTAATAAGTTTTTGCCAAACTTTTCCATTAATGACGACGATGATATGGAGAATGATCTTGAGATAACAAAGAGCAACGAAATGATAATTAAGCTAGAGAACCTTCAAGAATTCCTTAGTTTCTTGTCTCCTAATCTCGTGTATGATCTTGGATTCAGCGGGTTTCAAAGTAAATTGGATTATTATTTAACTCGTGAGCGAAAACATCAAAAACCAGCGGATTTCATCAAGTATCAATTACCACCAGATCATTTTACTGGCAGGTTCACCCTGATTTTCCCATATTCTTATAAGGTCAACTTGATTGAGTTTCTTCGTGATTATCGAGAATTAGAAAGTGAGATTCCCTTAGATAACCAATTGAGTTTCTTGGATGATATAACTAATGACGATGACTTTGCTGATCCTCGATCACAGTATAAGAGATTGAAGCTGTTGGAATGGGACTCGTTGACTTTGAACGATATTAACAAAACTACCTTTGACAGCTTTAAGGAATTGAGTTATCAGATGCAGGACAATGTTAATGTCAGTGAGGAATCATATTTTAAACTTCCAGTAGTAAAGACTAGGATCATGAAGAATGACAATATTGTCAATTTAAACAGTGTGGGGTTGGAATATTGGAAATACTTAAATTTCAGTCCGGTACAAGAACCAAAGAACTTTCAAATATTGTTGTTTAGTGAAACTTTTGGAACTCGTGATCCTACTTGCGCAAATGAATTTTTAGACTTGCTTTCAAATAACTATACCGAATGTAACTTTGGGAATATATCTCGAGTTAACTTATCCACCGTGGAAACAAGATCTGATCTCGAATCAATATCAAATGGAGTTTTGTTGGTCAACAAAGATCCTAGCATGGGTTATAACGACTTTTACATACAAGCCAATAAGAAGTTGATATCATTAGTGGAACTAATAAAATTGGATCTAATTAATAAAACCAATAATTTTGAATTTGATAGACCTTTGTTGCTTTTATTTGTTAATTTTAACGACAGTTTGAATTCAATGTTGCAAATATGTAAAATATTCCGGAACTTTAAAGTGGCATTGGCACATCATCAATTACCGTTAGTACAGATATTCACCAAGATCATCCCCGGAAACTTAATTGTCAAAAGAATGCATGAGCAAACATATTTGAAGGTATTTAGTAATACCAAATTGACCAAGATCTCCATGAATCTTTATAATCAATGTCCAAATAATTTAGTGCATTCCGACACAAGTCCAAATACAATTTATACGTCAATTGTTAAGGAGCCACCTACCAAGATTCAATTCAAGTTTATGAGTTCAGGATTTAAAGATAATAATTTCAACGATGATATATTCTTGCATGTTGCCTACGAGAGATCTATTGATAAGAATTGGTTTTCGGCTGCATGGTCGGATCCTCATGGGACTGTCACCCATACTAAATCGTGGTATTGCAGTTCACTGTCACAGAATGGGAATTCACATTATCGCGGACAAGCATCGGATATAATCAGTATTACGGATGATATTTGGAATGTCTCTACTGATTTTTTCAAGCATTTGAATGATGTAATGAATAATAAGGTTACAACGCTGGGCGGAAAGAAATTCCTTGTTTTAACAAGAATTAATAGTGTTATCCCTGATGATGAATTAGTGCAATGGAAGAGATTGAGTGTCAAGAATAAAGAAATTTCCTTGATTGTGTTGTCGGTCAGTCAATCACCCAAGTTATTGTTTTCCTCGGATGTGTTTGGGGCCAAAGATGTTAATGGGAATGAACCAATGCCATTCGCGCTTAATTCGCATATATCCCAAGATCAAACCCCCGGATCGTCACTGGAGAAAGAGTCTATATTCAGACAATTCTCGGCGTCGGCTAATTCATCACCGACTACCTCCAGTGGAGCACTTGTTACTTCTCCAAGTGGATTAAGTTTTCATTCACCACAACAGTTCCTCAATGCTGCAAATTTCTTATCGCCACAAGACCACACTAGTGGTATGGCTACATCTAGTGCTATGGCTGGTGGTGTTGGGCCAGATACTGTGCTCCATGAACCTGAATCTGACATCATTGGTATTGTACCCAAGGTTCCGTTACCTTCGTTCAACTCCCCTACAAGATTAGGAATGAAGATTGGATACTTGATTAAAGACTGGAATGACTTAAAAAGCTCAGAGAATCCGCAATATATGGTATTTGAAGTTAACCTACTCAGTTGTTCGAATTATTGGGATTTGGATGTGTTAATGAAGCTCATCTTGAATCAATATAAGAAGCTAATCGTCTTGAATGATATACTTGGAATGAGGTTGATTAATGGTAAAATGATGACATCACAGAAGGATAACCCACAAGTCATAAACTACAAGCTTAACGGGATGGTCCCTTGGCATATTGCTGCTGTTGGTAAGTCTTTGGACTATTTAGTTCATGTTTATGTAGAAGAGTAATAGTATGTACTGCGAGCTACCAGATGACGGATTGTTGTTCACGTGACCTCTTTTTTTTTCTTTTTCTTTTTTCCATGATCGTTTGGAATTGAGACAGCCTCAATTTTTTTAAAGGCTTGTCCATTTTAGTTACAACCAACCAGATATACCGCAAGTAATGTCTGATCAAACATCATCAGGTGTTGTGAAACACGAGTCTTCAGAGAAGTTGGATGAAACCCTTTCCAACGATCAAGATTTGACGTTTGATGAAGAATTTAGAAGGGCTGATGCTGAGGAAGAAGAAGATCAAGCTACTTTGAAGCGTCCTCGTCCAGAGCAACCGGAAGAGGAAGAAGGGGGAAATCAAGAAGAGGAGGAGGATGACGATGAAGATGACGAGGATGACGAAGAAGATGAAGAAGTAACTGGTCGTAAAAGAAAGCGGAGAAGAGGTGCCAACCAGTTCATTGATATCGAAGCCGAAGTCGACGACGAAGAAGAAGACGAATTGGACGAAGACGACGAAGAAGCAGAATTGTTGCGTGAACAATTCATCACTGAGGATCATGCTGTAGATGAAATCTCCAAAGAACACGTCGATGACAGATTACATAGACAATATGACCGTCGTAGACAAGAAGCCGAAGACCAAGATGCAGAACAATTGGCAGAAACTTTAAAGCAGAGATATAGAAAGACCCATACTGTGTACAGAGGAGAAACTGCCACAAGTGGAACTGTTTCTCAGAAGTTGCTTATGCCTTCCATTAATGATCCTTCTATTTACGCCATTAGATGTACCTCAGGTAGAGAAAAGGACTTGGTTCGAAAGTTGTATGAAAAGAAGAGAACTTTGGATAGACTGAAGAACCCATTGGATATCTTGACTGTTTTCCAAAGAGACGCATTCAGAGGATATATTTATATTGAAGCTAAAAGACCTGATGCCATTGACAAGGCCCTTTCTGGGATGGTTAATGTTTACATTAGAGACAAGTTGTTGGTTCCTGTCAAGGAATACCCCGATTTATTGAAACAAGTTAAGTCTACTGATGTGGAATTGGTTCCTGGTATCTATGTTAGAATCACCAGAGGTAAATACAAGGGAGATCTTGCCATTGTTGATAACTTATCTGAAAATGGGTTAGATGTACGTTGTAAGTTGGTTCCTAGATTAGATTATGGAAGAAATGATGAATTTGATCAAAATGGTAAGAGAATCAGACTGAAGGTTAGGCCAATGCCAAGATTATTCAGCGAGCAAGAAGCCAAGATGTATGATAATGAAGGGTTAGTGCACAGAAGTTCCAGAAACTATTTGTACAGAAATGACGAATATATTGATGGTTTCTTGTACAAGGATTTCAAATTACAATTTGTCCAAACTAAAGATGTTCATCCAACTTTGGAAGAATTAGACCGATTCCAAACCGGTAATGAAGAAGATGGATTGGATTTAGCTGCTATTGCTGCTTCCTTAAAGAACAAGAATCAAGCTGACGGGAAACAATCAACTGCATTCCAACCAGGCGATAAAGTTGAAATTAGACGAGGTGAACAAGCCAAGACCGTGGGTATTGTTCTTGAAGCTTCTTTAAATGAAATTGTGATTACCGTGACTGATAGTGGTGATCCAAAATTCGTCAACCAAAGATTGACTGTTCCTCCTAATGATTTAAGAAAGATTTTCAACGAAGGTGACCATGTCAGAATTGTTGAAGGTAAGCATTTTGATGAGACTGGGTTGGTTATCAAGATTGACGGGGATTCCGTTGTTCTTGTCAGTGATCAAACTAGAGAGGATGTTCGTGTGTTTGCCAACTATTTAGTTAAAGCTACTGATGCTTCTACTAATGCTGATCTGGCTAATAGCATGTATGATATCAAGGATTTGGTTGAATTGAATGCATCTACTGTCGGGGTTATTGTCAAGGCTGAAAAAAATATCTTTGAAATTCTTACCTCCGATGGTCGTCTTTTGAATGTTAGACCTTCAGGTATTGCGTCCAAATTAAAATTATCTCGTCGTGAACAAGTTGCCACTGATAGAAATGGATTGACTATAAAAGTGGGTGATACAGTAAGAGAGTCGCTTGGTGATAAAAAGAGAGAGGGTGTCATTTTACATATTTACAAAAACTCCTTGTTCATTAAGCTGAATGAAATAATAGAAAATTTGGGTATATTCGTTACCAACAGAATGAATGTCAACACAATCACTACTAAGGATTCAATCATGTCCAAGAACTTGGGTCCTGATTTAAGTAGTATGAATCCAAATTTGAAGTTACCAAACCCAGCTGCTTCCGTCACAGGATTCAAAACCCATGTTGGTGGTAGAGATAAATTGTTGTACAAGGATGTTGCAGTTACTAGTGGTAGTTACAAGGGTTTGAAGGGTAAGGTCACTGAAACTGACGATATTTACGCCAGAATTGAGTTGCACACCAAGAGTAAAAAGATTAAGGTTCCAAAGAATAATTTGAATGTTTTGATCCGTGGTGAAGCAGTTCCATACTTGAGATTCATTGGTGCTTCTCCAGCACAACAACAGCAACAACAGCCGGGTGGATACAACAAGCCAAAAGCTCCTGCCTTCAGTTCTGGTTCTGCTTGGAATGGAGGCGGTGCTGCTACTGGTGCTGGATCCACTTGGGGTGGAGGTGCTTCTTCATGGCAAGGAGGTAAGACTCCTTCTTATGGAAGTGCTTCAACTTGGGGTGGTGCTCCTGGTGGTGGTAGTGGTGGTGGTGCCAGTGCTTGGTCTGGTGGAAAAACTCCGGGAAGTAATTCTGCATGGGGTGCATCTACTGGAGCTGGTGACAATTCTACCTGGGGTGGTTCTGGAGGTAGCAACTCAACTTGGGGTGGTGCTAGAAAGGGCAACAACTCTACATGGGGTGCAGGTGCTGATAAAGGAAACGGATCTAAATGGGGTGGTAATGGAGGCAACTCTACTTGGGGATCTGGGGGAGGCAATTCCACCTGGGGTGGTAATTAATGATCGTTTTGTTTTGTATGTACTATTAATAATTATAAAATAACAATATTGTATAGTAATAATAAATTAAAATTACACTTGTCTATTATTTACTATTTTCACAGCCAGGACAATTATGCAATACTTCATGGACGAAAACATCACAATTTATACAGAAATCCTTGGAGCATTTCATACATCTATATCTTGAACTAGTCATTGATTCAAGTTTCCCTTTGGATTTACTTGTCGTTCGTACACCTTTGGGGAATTGTAATTGACATCCAAAACAAAATTGTGATTCATACGTAGAACTGATTGGTACTTCCTTGTATGGACGTAATGGAACCAAATGGTGGTATGATCTTGCCAAATGGGTAGATAAAATTAACATTAATCCACATACTGGGCAGATTGTTGGTAAATTACATACCTTACTCTTACATTGAGGACATTGATAACCTACGGCTACTCCTGTAGTTGTAGCTCCCATATTATGGTTGATCTGTACCACATCGGACGAATCATCTGAACCAGCAGTTGGAAACGATGCATTGAGCTGGGGGAATTCTATGGTGAAATCGGTGTTTCCTATACTGGAATTACCAGTAGGTTGGATCTTGGTAGGGAATCCCATTTTTATTACTGGTACACCATGGTTGCTTTCTTCAAATTCTTTTTCTTGTTCTGTCAACGGCAATGGAGTAACACAATCCATGAGTAGCTCCTTGAAGTGAGATTCGTTCATTATAACTCCGTAGTTCTTGGAGCTTGTGTTTTTCTCTTCCCTATTTGTTCTATTAACCAATTCTTGACAAATGGCCACCTGTGCTGATAATCCAATAACCTTTACTTTAATGTCATCTTTGACTAGGTTTCCTATTGTCTTGTGGATATCACCTGGATCACTTGTGAACAATGCACCAAATATGACTAATATTTCTTTAGAGTTCTTTGTGTTGTTTGCGTTGGATCCAAAGTTATACTTTAGTAAAGATCTTGCCATTTCTAATGAGTTTTGCAATGATGGATCACCTTTAGGTTCGAACTTGTTATGTTGTCTTGCCTTTAACTGCCTGATTTTGTCAAGATGATATTGTGGCAGTCCACTGACTTCACTTACCAAATTCGCAACCCCATTTCTCATTAATATTATACCCAATTGAGATATCGGATTCTGATCAAAAAACTCCACAATGAATTCTTGTAAATATGTTAAAGTCATTGATAATCTCGTGGGTCTTAAATCCTTCTCTGCCATAGCTAAGGATCCGTCTATTATAACAATCATTGTTCGTATAATCCCTCTTTGGAACGGAGTGCTTGGATTCTTCATGATTTTCTTCTTTCGATTCTCAATTATGGACTGGACCATAGCTTCAAAGGACCCACTTCCCTTCTCGTCGTCTTTCACTATATCCCATGACCTTTGGTACTCGTCTTCCCAGGCATACCCATTAGCTCGTTTCAAATCACTAATTTGACCTCTGGGTTGTTTCCGACCTGAACTTCTTGTTCTGGTAGAGACACCATCAACATCTTCAGATTCAGGTACTGCTGATGAAGGTCTTGATGCAGGCGACTGGGTGTCTAATGCACCAGACATGTATTCTTCATCTGAGTCGTCCATTGGAGTTTACTGATGGTTGTCTGGGATTTCTACAAGGTGAATTTTGATTTTTTTTTTTTAGTTGTTTAGTTTTTTTTTTTGTCTGTCTGATTTTTCTATGTCTATAAAATGCTACAGTTACCAAGTGCTACTCTTCTAAATGTCTTTTCTTTGCATTGTATTTTCTGATTGGTTTGTCATAGTTGATTTCACCATTGTCGTGAATGTTAAAGAAAAGATCGCAGAACTCGTTAAGTTGATCTTGGGTTATTTCACCTAACTCTTGTTCCAAATACGGAAGTGCTTTTACTGATGAGATGTCGATGAGATCATGAACAGAATAACCTTTTCCAAACACCGGAGTCAACTCTTTCACGCCGTCATTGTATAACGGTATTCTTTCTTTTCCGTAATTTTCTATGAATTGATCTTCCAGAAACTTAAACTCATTGCGTGGGAACTCCTTTGTTTCAATTTCTTTATTCTTTTTAATCTTGGGTTGTGGAGCCGATTCATTCTCTTGAATGTAAAAGTTTCGTAACAACTGGATACCTTCAGTTCTCATTATCCCACCAATACTCTCATACCTCCCCTCTCCTAAATTAGGATCATCATGCACCGACAAAACAGTGCCCGTTCCACCAAACCTATCATTCCCACACCCATAATATACTTTACCTATGCCTAATTGTCGCAAGAATGACGCACACATAATACACGGCTCAACGGTAACATACACCACTAAATCTTTATAATTCACATCTTGATCTTTAAACCGTTGCATGGCTATGAATTCGGCATGTTGGGTTCCATTAAGTGATGTATTGGTATAGTTATACCCTATGCTTGTAACTTCTCCAGTTTTGGTGTTTTTCACAATACACGCTACGGGCGTTTCATTAAATAGCAAGGCTTTATATGCTACAAACATACTTAGAGCCATATCATGGAAATGCCCACTAAGATCTGACGACATTTTGTGGTGACGCTATTCTTGATGAAAGTTGGTTGTGAAAAAACTTGAAATGATATTTTAGTTTTCTTTTTTAGTCAACCTTGACCACACCAATGTCAGATCTACACAAATCGTTTCTTAAACGAATCAAAAAAAAGGAATTGGAGTTTGGATTGACTCTGTTGTCTGAAGATTCGAATGATCAGCCAGAATCCATAGATCAAAATATACCGGAGGTTAATGTATCGGCCGACGAGGGTAACATACTAGCCAGATTCAAATCATTCAAAGAGACCTACTTTACCGAGAGTGAAGTATACCAAGACAAAGAGAGGAATCTATCATTTCAAACGTACTATCGTGCACCTTCTTCAGATAATACCACGGTTATATTCTGTGCTCATGGTGCTGGCTCTTCTTCAATGACATTTGCAACACTAGCGAAGCAAATAACACAAGAGGAGTCATTTGGAATATTCACATACGATTTCAGAGGCCATGGTGCATCTTCGCCATCTACCGAGTATTCCCTTCCAAGTTTAGTCGAAGATGCCCGCTTTGTTATTACTACATTCTTGAAGCTACATCCAGGCAACACATTATATTTACTAGGTCATTCATTAGGAGGTGCGGTACTATCCAAACTTGTCAATGTATCCCAACCAGAATCAGTACATGGACTCATCCTATTGGACATCGTGGAAGAAACAGCGGTCAAGTCATTAACAGTAATGCCACAATTCATAGAAAGACTACCTAAAAGATTCCCGTCACTTGTGCACGCCATAGACTGGCATATGAAATTCTTGCTACATAACAAGGAATCTGCCGAATTAAGTGTTCCTGACTTACTACACCTTGATAAATTAACTTGGAAAGCAGACCTACTGTTGACTACGCCATATTGGGATACGTGGTTTGACGGCTTATCAGACAATTTCATAAATTTTCTGGGCCCAAAGCTCCTCCTATTATCCGCTCATGAAACTTTGGATAAAAAGTTAATGATTGGTCAAATGCAGGGCAAGTATCAATTAGTTGTATTTAATAATAATCAAAACTCGGGCCATTTCATCCATGAAGATTTACCCAACCAGACAAGCATATGTGTATCTGACTTTATAAAACGATCAACTAATCCGCAAAAGTTTCTAAAACAAGAAGGAGTTGTGCCTAAATGGGGTGGGAAAATACATCAATAGATTATATATTACTTTTTATGAATACGCAAATTATAACACTAATCGACACTCTTGTTACTAGCGTCAATCTCTGCTTGTCTCTCATTTATAAGCTCCACAAGTTCATCAATTTTCTTACTGGCAAATGGGAATCTTGGGTTGATCAAGAAAGGTCTTAAATCGAATCTATTATCATCAGGAGAATACTGTTCAGCATGATAAGCTGGAGTCATGGTAGTCATCTTGTGACGATTGATAGCATAGAAGAACCAGAATCGTTTAACCTTTTCCGCCACTTGCTCTGCAGTTAAATTATGAGGTGGTTGTGACCATTCATGATAAAGCTTGATAAACATAGCCAATGGTCCACATTTTCCAACCTTTCTCAATGTACCAAATCTTGACAATTCGTCATATGACATTCCCATATCCACTTCATCACTTTGGACATAGTCTGCGGTAATTGGTTCCAATTCAGCTGTAGGGGTAGCTGTTATGAAATCATTCAAGATCGGTAATTTGAAATTAATTTCCGCCCAGGCGATAAATCTCTTCAAGTCAGTCTTGGAAATACCACCAATTGGGTTGATATCGGCTGATGAACAGTCATATTTAGTCAAATATCCTCGAAGACATTCATCAACATTAGCACTACCTAAAACTAATAAACCAGGAGTGGTTTTCCCTCTGGTCCATGGTAACAATTGTGCAAACAAATAACTCAACACCATTCTTAACCTTGCTTGAATGTTCTGTAATGCCAAGTTTTCTGTTGAACTACCCCCAAAAATCTTGAAAATTGGACGTTTACCGGTTGCAACTTCAAATAATGAAACAACAGCTGAGACCAAGTTGTCCATATTTAAATCAACGTGAAATGAACCAATAGCTTGAGATAAAGCCTTTGCTCTTGCCCTTGTTTCAGCTGAAGAGTTTTCAGTGCCCATGAACGAAGTATAGAATAATCTTTGAGCAATTTCTTGAGGAGTTTTAGGAATGAAGGTCTCGTCTTTGACTAACATTTGCAAATCGGCCAACACTTGCTTATCATCAATTGACTCCACGACTAATCGACACATCAGATGAACAATAACGGCAGTGGCACAGGAATCAATACCTCCACTTAATGGTAAAAAGAACCCACCAGTTTTAGATCTTCTCAAATAATCCCATAACCAACATGCTGGACCTAATGCTATTTCCTCTTCTGGTAAGTGATACTTGACTTGTTGTGGTAAGGAAGGGTATACGGTTGGATCAAAGATATTTTCACTTGGAGATAATTCAACATCACTCTTGATGACATTATAGTGGGTTTTTTGATTCACAGCTTGATTGCTGGCCGATTTTTGGTTTCTGTAAGATCTAACATCATCCAAATCAATTGTAGCGGAAACAACTTCAACATCCTTTAATGAGAATTGAGAGGCTTGAGCCAAGACATTTCCGTTGACGATAATTGAAGCACAGCCATCATAGTATAATCTATCACCATCACACCCCTTTTGATTGGCATAGAGGTAAACACCACCGCATTTCTTGGTAGCTTCGGTGATTAATTTAAACCTGGTGTCTAATTTTCTTAATTCGTGATGCGATCCACTCGAATTGGTGAATATTTCCACCCCGTCTAAACTCATAGCGATATGGGGAGATTGCGGAGTGAACAACTCTTCACAAGTTTCACAACCTAATCTGGTCTCCAAAGTTTCCACGATACAATCCCCAAAAGTAACTCTTGATTGACCAGTGGATTTTGCAATATGTTTAGGCAATTGGTATTCTTCATAATACTGGGGTCTATTCCATGGAGTGAAGTATCTCATTTCACGATAATTACCATCATTAGCCAAGAACAATTTCGGTCTAATCAACAAGATCTTCCCATTATATGAGATGATTCGACAATTGTACTTGATAGACTTGTGAATGATAGGCATACCGATATCCAACAAGATATCAAATGTGTCAGGGTTGCTTAATATCTGTCCATAGATCTCCCAACTGTGATCATACAAGTCATTTTCAGCAAAATGGTCTAGACAACCATATCCACAAACCTCCAATTCTGGACCCACACGGAGTCTAGCTCCTTGACGTTTGGCCTCGCGGATACTTTCAATGATACGGTCTCTGTTTCCTTCAAAGTCTAGAGCCCATTGATTAAGGTTACAAGTGGCAATTGTAATATACTGTCCCATTGTCGTTGCAGTAGTGCTGCTGCCAGAAGTGTTGTAAAAAAAGGGAAAAAAAGGGCCTGGCTTTTTCGCTGCTTTTTTTTGAAGCCTTTTTGGTTGAGGCAACTAAAACCCGTTCACGTGATTACATTTTGACAGGTTGAGTCATACAACAGCAGACGAAAGTGACATCATTGGGATAGCCATTGGACTAACTGATGAGCAAGTTTATCAAATACTCTTGGGAAATGTGGTATTTTTTCCAATTGCGGTATTACGGCGGAATGACCGAATTGGAAATTAAAAGGAGAGGGGTGTATAGTTATATTGCTTGCGGAGAGGATTGCGTTACCCTTCCGCGGAGTCTCCGTCGGCCTTTCCATATGCAGGATAATTGATAAGGAAAATCCAAACATTTGCAATCTTTGTTTGCAACATAAATATCCAAGATAATCTCCAAGTTTGCGCGATAAGGCTAGTTTTGTCCATCAATACACACAGCATGCATAAAGATTCTTTAGAAATTCATCCTTTGGACTTCCATTTCGGATGTTCAATTACATTACCTCCATATGCCAAGAATGATCCCGCCAACCTAAACGAACAAGATTTCAAGAAGTTGTATGAAGCAGTTCACCAATACTTGGTAGTTGTTATTCCTGGACAAGAGAAACTTAGTCCTAAATCACAATATCTTCTTACTAAACGATTCGACCCTTCTATTCCTGAACCAAAGGACACAGCAGGCGCTAATTATGGACATGGTAAAGAATTTAGACATACACAATCAGTATTGAGAAAAGACGGTACTTCGGTGAAATCACAACCACAAGTACAAATCTTGGGTCAAGGTGTATTCGACAAAGATGAACCGGGCAATGAAAATGGCGAGGCTATAAAATTGACTCATCCTTCACACACTACCTTCCATCATACTCCGTTAACTCCAGATCAAATTAAGAATGAATCAAAGACTAGGTTTTACAGGTGGCACATTGATAGTGCATTATATGATTTATCTCCCCCTATGGTTACTACTTTGTTGGGAATTAAAGTCCCACCAACTACACAATACCAAACTATTTCCTATGACGACGGAACAGGAGACGAACTAAAGTTAACTCAAGGTGCAACTTGCTTTGTAAGCGGCGCACAAGCATTCAAGAATCTAAGTGATGAAGATCAGGAATTCGCCTTGAATACTACAGTTGAATATGCTCCTCATCCATATATCTTCATATCTCCTGCAAGGGCTACTTCTGATGGATTAACTATGGTTTCTGAAGGTAAGGAAATGAACTTTGAAGAATTGCCTGAATGGGAAGCTTCCAAAGTTAAGAAGCTTCCTATGGTTTGGACAAACCCTGTCACAAAAGAACACCATTTGCAAGTCCATGGGTGTTGCTTATACAAGCTTCACACAAAGGTAGGTGAAACCATTGAAACTTTAGCTTTAGAGGACGCAAGAGAAAAAGTACACAAATTAATGCGCCCAAATATTTCCCCCAACCAAATATTGGCCCATGGCTGGAAACAAGGAGATTTGGTTATTTTCTATAATCGTGGTGTTTGGCATAGTGTTACTGGTGAATTTAAAGGGGTTGGATCTAATGGAGAAGATGAAAGAAGATTAATGCACCAATGTAACATTGCCAGTGGTATTGATCCGGTAACTATTTTTTAACTAGTTTTCATCTGCCAAGGTAATTGTGTTTCGTCTATAGTTGTAGTTTGAAGTTTGTTTAATAAATTTTGTTGGTGAATTTCGTCACATGCCGCCGATCAACTTTGCGCTTTTTCGTTCAACTTTTTTTTTTTGTTCCTTCCCTCACTATTTTTAGTCCTCGCTACATTGTTTGGTTACATTCTGAATCAGCTGCCGATTTCTCCATCTGTTGCCACTTTACCACCACGACTTCGCATACATCCAAATCACACCCCGACTCACCCCTCCCCCTGCACACCTTCATAAATTCACATACACTACAGTCCAACTATGCAGTACGTCGGTAAAGTAGGAGACTATGTTTACAATCAATGGAATTCCTTAAACCCCGCGACATTATCGGGAGCAATCGATGTAATTGTGATTGAACAACCAGATGGCACATTCCATACATCACCATGGCATATTCGGTTTGGGAAGTTCCAGATGTTGAAACCATCACAAAAGAAAGTGGACCTTTATGTCAATGACAAGAAAACCAATTTACCTATGAAATTAGGTGATGGTGGTGAAGCATTCTTTGTATTTGAAGTGGATAGAGAGAATAAGGACATGTTGAGTAAGAGTGTCTTGACTTCTCCTGTTATATCCCCCGTTTCTTCGCGTGGTTCTTCACCTACCGGCTCTCCAGTCACATCACCGGCTTCCCAAGCAGCTGTTCCCGATGATTTGGACTTGAACGCCAACAATATAGAAGACAAGATAAAACTTACTGATCTTGCACCAGGTCAAGACCGGTCTAAATCTCCAACACCAGCTCCCTCGATACGATCCAAGATTGCCATTGAAAGCGCTAAAAAAGTTACTGAAAAATTAAATATTCCTTGCAAGATTGACATAAATGGTGATATGGTTATTGATATGGATGGGTATAAACCCAGTTCACAAAGAAACATTGAAAATTCTGAAGAATTATTCAAAAAAGTGTTTATGGAAGAAATTGAAGCTGCTCAGGATCAACACCCTTTTGACCAGCAGATTAAAGCTTGGGACCAAATTATTACCAAGGATGAAAATGGACATATAAGAATATCTAACGTTCCTGAACTATATAATGGAGACAATATTGATGATGAAATATCTCTTAGCACTACTATGTCTCCAAGTGCTTCTACCACTACAACAACAACAGAATCTGATAAAATCTTTTTCAAAACGCTTAGATTAACTTCTGAACAATTACAAAGTATGGATTTAAAATATGGAGAAAATTCGTTAAAGTTTAAATCAACTGAGAGTACTGCACAAATCACGGCGTGTTTATATCTTTGGAAATCAAGCACTCCAATTGTGATATCTGATATTGATGGAACCATCACTAAATCAGATGCTTTGGGACATGTCTTGAACTTAATTGGACGTGATTGGACACACCCGGGTGTCGCCAAGCTTTTCCAAGATATCTACTCCAATGGGTACAATATCATATATTTAACCGCAAGATCAGTCGGGCAAGCTGACGGAACTAGACAATATCTTCAAGGGGTGGTTCAAGAAGGTATAAAACTTCCTCCTGGTCCCGTGATTCTTAGTCCTGATAGAACCTTTGCTGCATTACGACGTGAAGTTGTATTGAAGAAACCCGAAGTTTTCAAAATGGCCTGTTTATCAGATATCAAAAACTTATTCTTTCATCATATTGGCGAAGAAGATGAAGATTCAGATCAAACCCCATTCTATGCTGGGTTTGGGAATAGAATCACTGATGCTATAAGTTATCGATCTGTGCATATTCCCAGTCATCGTATTTTCACAATCAATCCCGATGGTGAAGTTCATATGGAATTATTAGAATTGGCTGGGTATAAATCTTCATATTTACATATTCGAGAGTTAGTTGACCATTTCTTCCCGCCAGTTAAGGAGGATTCTTCGTGGAACACATGTTGGGATGATAATCAATTGAATGACTACATGAAGAAACACGGTGAAGCAGCAGACTTACCAAGTCCTAGGTGTCCTGGATCACCTAGAAGTATTAATGAGGAATATTTCCGCACGGATGAAAGATATACTGACGTAAATTTCTGGCGTGAACCTATAAATCTTGATGATTTGCCAAACCTGGACAGTGAAACTGATGTGAAGCAACTGACTCCAAGTTCGCCTAAGTTAACCAATGATAAGAAATTTGACTCTCCGAGAGTAGCCAATGCAGTGACTCCGGACTCCATCACTAGAAGCAGGGCATCTACGATTGAAAATAACATTTCTAGTTCGTTTACTTCACCATTAAAGAATTTCATGACCCTTGGTAAAAGTAAATCTGAACCACCTCAAGCTAAAGAGTCCGATGGTGAAAATGCTGATGATAACACGCATGACAGTGATTACACGGATGAAGAAGTAGAAGAGGATGAAGAAGATGACTACACTGATGATGATTATGAAGATGACTACGATGACGATGAAGAAGATGAGGAAGAAGAAGAAGAAGACGATTATGAGGACGACTACGAAGAAGACGACGATGAGTTATATGAAGATGAAGATGAAGACTTGGAAGAATTAAAAGAAAGGCTTAAAGAGAGTCAACTAGGAGACGAGCTAAATGAAAAACATTCAGCCGAATTCGTCAAGGCTAGTCAAATAGAAAAAAATGAAATAAGCTAAGTCAACAAAAGTTATGGTCTGTGAAAAGTTACTTAAAATGTCACTATGTAACATAGTATATTAATTGATAAATATCTTTAAAAACTTTTCAAAGCATTTTTAACCATTTAATAGACGCAATAATTAACTCCATAGTGTTGTAGATTAGGTGATGGTTTGGTCAAAACATTGACCGTATTATTTATAACATCTTTTTGCATACGTTCTGGTTATTGCTGACGTATTAACCAACTTCTAGTTTGCGCATGTTAGTAAGTAATTTTTATATGTGTATTATTTTCAATCTTTGCCTAGTTAAGGTTTGTTACAAATAAGGTTCCATGTTGACATGTTATCTCTGTGGGCTCTGTAATTTGATACATAACCTGTTAAAAACATGTAAACTGTATAACAAACCAAAGACGTTTTGCTATTATGAGGCGTCACCTATGTTGCAATGATTGTTCGCTAATATTACGGATATGTACTACCTCATCCTTTTTTTTTGAGTCACTTGATTGTCAAATGTACTGTTATGAACGTCAAAATCTCGCATACCAGGGCTACAAAACCATTGCGAAAAACTCTAGTCAAAATGAAAATTATTTGATATCATGCGCACGGATATAGGATGATGGGTCAAATGTGGAGTGCCCAGATTTATTTTTGATGACCCAAGTTTTCACTCCATAATCGATATATCTCTTCTAGTAAGTTACTGATATGCATTTAATATATGATTATAATATTACAAATATTATCTGAACCGAAATGTGGATCGAATATTATTACAAATGTTGAAAAATAACGTATTATCAGACACACTCCTTGAAGTTAAAAAGTTAAATCATAACCCAAAAGAAGAATTTTTGGAGATTTTATAGTATTTCTTAGCAGTCATCGATTTTATTAATTTATTTGCCAATCAAACTTTGAAGTGTAAACGTAACAACATGGTTCTAGCGGTGAAAACCCCAATGATGTTATCCCATTATAGAAGGAAGAAAATAGCGAAGTTGCTACTCCTGGCAATTTTAATCTTCATACTATATATTAAATTCTTTACAGTGATCACAATTTATCCCCAACAATATTGGTATTCGTATTTTTCAAACACTGCACCTATAAGCTCGTATAATACCGTTGATGAACCTCAGAAACTAATTTTATTTCCACGATATTTCCCAAGTCAATTCGATTCAGAGCTACAAGAGTACTACTCTAAGGTCCTTGGTTTGGCTTTACCACAAACAGAGTACAAAATACTTCGGTATGAGAATAGCTTGCTCCATGCGCACGAACAATCCCTAAAATCTGCAATAGAAGCCAACTACACATTACAAGAAACAAACTTATTTAACTCTTTGCTGCAAATAAATGAACCTCATTGTTCTAGTTTGAATGATACCATCTCATTTGAAGTTTCTGAACCTTTTAATTTTGACACAGATTTATACAAGATTGTTAACAAAGTTTTAAACTCGGAACACCTAAAGGAAAATCGAGGGTTCAACAATATACGAAACCAAATTAAAGCAAAAACTATAAACAAGCATTGGTTTAGATTTGTTGGTAATTCGGTATATTTGGAAGATTACGGGGTTCATCTAATGGTTTCACGAGTGTCTTATACACCTTCGGGAAGGAAAGAGAGGGCTTTTTTCTCATTCCTGTATGCTCAAATATTTGATGAAGCTTGGAATGAAATAACTGATATCGAATTAATTGTACCTACTAACAATCTCAATTCTGATGACACATCTCAAGCATATATGTCAATCAAATATCCTTCAATTGTTCCTATCCCTACATACAAATCAAGAACATTATATAAAGGACCAGAAGATCCAAGGGTCATATTGGTAAAATCACGAAATGGATATATGGAACCCGTGATCATATTCAATGCTTATGGTCAGGTTCTTAACCCAGACACTGAGAAAATTGAATATAAGTTAAAACGTTATATGTTCTTATCTTGGCTTTGGCAAACTCAACAAGGTAAACTAATACCTAGCGAATCTCGAGATTCAGCAAAATTAGTTTATTGTAAAACTGTTTCTTTAAAGCACCTCGAGAAATTTGCAATGGAAAAGAACTGGACGCCTATGCTCAGTTTTATTGAACGTCAAGAAGCAGGACATGATATCAATATTTACATCGTCTACAGATGGTCTAAACTTGAAATATTGAAATGTTCTCTTGAAGATATCCAAGATGGTAACATCCAATGTAATTCAGTTTTCCAGGTAGGTAAAACATCTCCAGTTGGTAGATTCAGAGGTGGAACCTCCATGGTTAATATAAATATGTTATTAGATTCGCAGCGAAAGCAAGTTCCTCAATTAAACTCCATTATTGATCATATTCCTAAAGGAAGGGAAATATGGTTTGGGTTTGCTCGTGCACATCTAGAGGAATGTGGGTGTGGTGAATCGATGTATAGGCCGAATATTGTTGTGCTAGTTAAGGACCAGGGAAAGTTTAAGATTACCCATGTTTCCCCCTTTGTGTCATTAAATATTCCTATGCTACCCTGGGATACTACTAAACCAAACACGTTATGTTTGGGTAGGAGTGTCGTGATACCTAATGGAATATCTCAATGGATGATTGCTCAAGATCAATATGGAAAATTAGACGATTATTTAACCTTAGCTATATCAAGAGCTGACGTAACTGTTGATCTTATTCATATTCGTGGTTTGTTTTCTCAGGTGTTAAACTTAGAGCATAGTGTGTTTAAAGATTCAAATATCAGTAGGAATAAAGGTATAGATATCGTTGAATGTGCCTTGGATGGTTCAAAGGAGTTTTGCAAAGCGTTCGGAGAAGAAAGAGAAATGATTGAAAGTTCAATGTTGAAAGGTGTTGATACTGAGATTCTAGAGTTTTAGGTAAATATTTATGACTTTTCATTTATTGAAAAACTATGTTAGGGATTACTTTGTATAATCCTTGGTTAATATATGCATTTTTTAAGTAATTTTATTTTGGGTGCAAATAATAACTCAAAACAGTAATTTCGGGTGCAGCCAACTGCGCGATGGGTTATCTAGATAAATTATACTTATGTTTCTCTTCATGGACTTTAGTCTCAGATATTATGTGAGGGAATTTTTAGCCATTGTTTCTATTTTAGGTTATGTTAGGATGACGTTTTAATGCACTGATTTTGTAATCACTTGGATTTAAAGTATAACAAGTTTTAAATTGCGAAAAAAAATCCAAATTTTTTGTAAACATAGTTGCAACTTCTCCTCTCCGAACATGGTTCAATGCAAGTGTTTGACTCTGTTTGTATTTCTACTACTGTTATCCTGTCCTGTTGTCTCACTACCAGTTGTCAGTCCACCAAGTGAAAAAATTAGAAATGTTAGTTTTAATTACAGTCGCAACGAATATCTAAGATGGGAAGAACAAGCCGCCCACTTATTAAATTACTCATATTCCAAAATCGAAAAGAAGAATACTACCACAGATTCAAGTGGCTCGTATTATAATATAACTGAAGAATCCAACAATGCTGATGTTGAGTTTGTGGCACAAGGTGGACGTGGTCCCAGATGGACTATAGGTTCAGGAGTTTATCTACATAAAGAGGTAGATTATGGAGACTGCTCTGATGATGATTGGTCTGATTGGGGCCGTGGTGGCTGGGGTCGCCGTGGTGGTCGAGGTCGTGGTGGTTGGGGTCGTGGTGGTTGGGGTCGTGGTGGTTGGTCCGATGATTGGTCAGATGATTGGTCCGATTGGTCAGATAGTGATTGGGATGGCAGAAAGTTTTGGTTTTTGAAGGTTAGAGACAATGACCAGTCTCTGGGAGATATTGCTTCTACTGCCAATGAGGAACCAGTTAGCGAATCATTGGGAAATAAGTCTAATGAAGTAATGGTTGGAAACAACACAAAACAAAAGTGAGATCTGTGTTCTTGACAACTACAGAAATCATTACAGGTTTTTACACATGGTTTGTTTTGACAATTATTGGACGTTTGAAGGCAGTTTTTTGTTCTTATGGCGATATTCTCTTTATATATGGATGTACAATATTATATATTTAACTAGTTTAGAAGTAATCCAATGTTTGTTCTCTGTGGCGGTGCTATGCATGGGTTGGCAAATCGTCAGATTCTAAAATGATCCGATCTTAGTGGTTCACACTATGTTAGTAATATCTGACTGCTTGTATGTATGTGTTTCCTTTGTAAATGTTGTTTTTATGTTCAAATCTTGGACATGTGTGAGTATCCTGTGAGTTTAACACTGACTTGAGCAGTCTACATAACGTTTTCTTGGCTGTTACCTTCAGCTCCGGGTGCAATCCCACATATCAACAATAATGTCAAGGGGAAAAAAAAATATATTTTAGACCACGAAATAAAAATACACAACTCAGTATTCTCTTTTTGGCAACACACCAAAGTTTTAAACTTTACTCCGATCCACATTCTCACTCGATACATCTCTTTTGCAAGAAAGCGGTTTTGACGACTTGCATGAAAATATATTGACATCTCACCACAAAGGAAGTGTGCTATATATATATATAACATATCATCATGATAAGACGAATCAAACAGAAACTAGCGTACTGGCTACTTGCATTCCTATTTGCCCTCACTTTCATACAACTACTATCCTATAGCAGGATAGGTATACGAAACCAGTTTAAATTTGCATATGGTGGACAGATGCTGAAAAACCAAATAGTCAAGAATCAAGTGGTGTTTCCCAGAAGTCTAACGGTGGCCGACAATGACATCAATGCATTTGTCAACAAAAATCCCCAGTTTTTTAATAAGGCATTGTTGAACTATCCAAAGTTTGTACAAGCAACTCAAGTTAATGAATCTACTTCCCAAGTACATTCCAACTACCATCCATATAACTTTACAATTTTCAATTCATTGCAAGACATAAGTTTGGATTTGAAACAATGTGAAGCATTACAGTCAACACCACGTGTAAAGATAGACAAGGCTGCCAATTTACAAGTGTCATTACCGGAAATCTTGGGCGAAGTATATCGAGAAATGGAATCAGGAAAGAATCCCTATTATAACGAGTTAGCGCCATTTGTTCTCCCAGAATTGAAAATACAATTGGATTTGGATGTGGTAGATAGATTTTGGTATAGATTAGCTGGGAGTTCTGCTTGGCTTGAACAATATGGAGTTCATTTTATGATTTCGAGAATCCTTTATAGTCCATCAGGAAGCAGAAATCAACCAATTATATCATTGACATATGCACAACTATTTGATGAAAATTGGAATGAATTAATAAATACAAAGTTATTAGTGCCTACCAATAATTTGAAGGAAAAGAAAGATGCTAAATACCAACAACAGAAATTTAAGATTTTGAACTTTCCATGTTTCTTGCCTATCCCATTCTGGCATGATTATGATAATATATCAGGGAAGTATTATGGTCCTGAGGATCCAAGATTGATTGTGGTCAAGAACAAAAATGGTTATGAAGAACCGCTCATTGTTTTTAATGCATATCGCAGAAAATTAGCTACTTTTGACGATGATGATGACATACATCTTCTTAAAAAAACCGATTTCTACCGTTCCATGTTTATATGTTGGCCCTGGCAGTTCCAAAAGGGGAAAGAAAATGTAGAAGGTGTCAAGAATCCCGCATATGATAATAATTTGTACAATCGAATAGCTGAATTAAGAATCAAGAATTTACAAGAGGTTAAGATTCAGAAAAATTGGACTCCTCTTTTAAGCTATGAAGATCAAATCAAGAACGGGTATGATACACATATTCAATTCATTTATCGATGGGCAAATATCGATATTCTTAAATGTGATTTAGAAGGGGATGATATTGGAGAGTGTAAGTTCACTTATAGAATAAGTGATTCCTTAGCCACTAAGAATCAGGTCGGGCCACTTCGTGGAGGTACTCAATTGGTAAATATAAATAATATGCTTACATCAGGTGGCTTTCCTGTAACCCGATTGATACCGCCAAATCGAGAAATATGGGTTGGTTTTGCCCGTGCACACCTTGATGATTGTGGGTGTGGTAAAGTAATGTATAGACCAAATTTGGCTGTAATTGTTAAGGATACGGTCAAGGTGGGTGTAACTGGTACGTCATTTTTTGGATCAAATGAACGAGCTAAAGTGTTATATCGTGACTTGTACAGAGTCACACATATTTCTTCATCCCTTTCATTAGACATTGATGTGGTGGGATGGGACTTGCATAATCCTACTGACTTATGTCTGAATGCAAATATATTGATACCCAATGGTGTGTCGTCATGGACGGTCACGTCATTAACAGCCAAGAATAACAAGTGGAGGTCTAATGACTACTTGACATTATCATTGTCCATAAGTGATTTTACGGTTCATAAAATTAATATTCAAGGTTTATTGCAAGTTTTACTTAATTTACCAGATAAGTCGTTATTCTTGCAACCTGGTGATACCAATCTCGAAACCAAAAAACGAATTCCACAAGAATTGAAGAAAAAACTAATGATTCCAGATGTCACCGATGAAATCGAGGACTATGAAAAATTGCCAGGTTTTAACAATGACAATATAGTATGTGCTCTTCAAGACTCGGTTCAATTCTGTGATCAGTATGGTCAGGAACACTTTGCCCGAAAACAAGCTAGTGCAAAAGTATTTGAGAGTATTTCATGGGATGATGACGAACTTGAGGAGGATCAATTCTTGGACATTAACAAGTCAAGGTATTTACGAATTATCGATAGATTGAAGAAAGAAATTCGGTTGAACAAATTGCGATTGAGGAAATCATTAAAAGCAAGGAAACAACAGAGTAAATAGCCAGGAGTACTGATGGTTTGAAATAGTATATAGATTAATAGAACTAAGGGATACTGAATTGTGAAATTTTCACCACTACCTTCTACTCAACTTTTGAACTTAAAATAACATTATCTTAGATGGATATCGTCTCATTAAAAGTTTAGCATAGTTTATCTTTCCAATACAAAAAAATAATATAACGGATTTAATTTGCAAAAAGAAACTCCGACACCGGGAATCGAACCCGGATCATGGCATGGAGAGTGCCATGTGATAGCCATTACACTATGTCGGAATATTTTTTTCAGAATTTTATTAAGACACTTTTGGAAGATGTTGTTATCACGTGATTTTAGATATTTAACAATCTGGAAAGTTTAGCCATTATAGGTCAGATATTGACTTTAAAATGAAGTATTATAGTATGCATCATTTAAAAACTTTATAATATATCGTTAAATTGCTTTATGCTCCCAAAAAAATATGAGAAATTGAGGCATTGAAATTTTCAAACATTTCAAAGATTTTTCGCAAAAATTTGCAGCAATTACATTTGTTTTACTTTTTATAAATGCCATTCCTTTTCTTTCATATATAAACAACTTTGTTTAACCTGATTAATTTTGGTTTCTATTACCCAAGATCTATCAATCTATTAAGTTTTAGCTATCTTTAATTATTCACAATGCCTATTGAGTTAATTGTTTCTCCAATCATGAAACCCGTTGTCCGTGCCAAATCTATCCTTTTCAGCCCGCATAGAAGAAGTTCCCGCTATGTTCCCATAATTAAAGAGCTACCCGAAGATAATATTTCCCAATATGCTGTATTAAAAAGATTTGGTTCTGGATCCAAGACGTTTGATGTTTATGATACAAATAAAGGTGAAAACCCCACTGGACCAGAGAACCCCGGCTCAAGTGTATTTTGGTTTACACGTTCCAGAGCAGTTAAAGGTGCTTACAGGATGTATTCCCGTTCGATTCGAGGAACTGGACCCAATGAAGAAGACGAACCCGTTGCTGCTGTTAAGGCTGGTCTTCGAGGAAATGTGTTGTTAATTAGGGCTCCAGAAGGTGCTGCTGCCGAATTGGGGTGGCATGTTATTAATCATCGTGTTGATGCTATTGATAGTTACAGAATATTTACTTTAGCCAATGGTAATACGTACCAATGGACTTTTCGTGGTCAATGGTTAGAACAGGTTCATAACTTGGGTGAAAAGGAGAGCGAAGTAAGAGAACGAATTGGACAAGTCACTAGTAATGGGACCAGTGGGTTTACGCTCAAGGTTGACGAGTCAAAGATTCCCAGAGAAATGGCGTTAAGTACTGCCTTGTGTTCCGTCATTGACCAATGGAATACAAACCTTGAGGTGGGTGGAATTTATTATCCGAGACAAAAGGGAAATGTACGTTGGAAGAGGGATTAAGTTTTCTAAGTAGGTAATTAAGTTATGCTGATTATGATTATTGGTATTGTAGAACTACGAAATTATATTTGCGCGTTTTATGAGGCTTTTTGGTTGGGAGCGGAAACCGAATTCCCAAATTGGTGTGGCCATATCTTTTTTTCGCGCTAAGGTATGGTGGGGTAATCTCACTAAATTAAAGATAAAGGTGATCGATTGCCGCGAAGACTTCGGTATTTAAGTTAACTCCTTTCACTTCAAACCAGATTCAATTCAACGACATTTTTTTTATATCTAATTCTCATCAATTCTTACATCATTATGTATAGAGCTGTTAAAAGTAACCCATTAAAGAGAATTGCAACCCAATCAAAGAGGTTCGTTTGTTCCAAGTATTTCCCCGAGGAGCCAATTGTTCCAACTATTTTGTCATCCCATATACCTGGCCCAGTTTCCACAAAATTAAACAATGAATTAGGAGAAGTTTACAGTAATAGTGCCACTTATTTCGTTGCTGATTACTTTTGTTCCATTGGTAACTACATCAGTGATGCTGATGGCAACAAATTGTTGGATGTTTATTGTCAAATTTCATCCATCCCCCTTGGTTACAATAACCCTGAATTGATCAAAGCAGCCCAATCCGAGGAAATGATTAGCGCAATTGTAAATCGTCCTGCATTGGCTTGTTTTCCATCGACAAATTACAAGCAGATTCTTGAAGACGGTATATTAGCCGCTGCCCCAGCTGGATTAGACAAAGTTTGGACAGGATTGAGTGGTTCAGATGCAAATGAAATGGCTTACAAAGCTGCTTTCATGTATGCTCATCTGAAGAAGAGAGGAGAAAATGGATTCACAGCCGAGGAATTGAAATCAGTTATGGAAAACAAAACCCCTGGTGCTTCTGACATGGTTATTCTTTCCTTTAATAAGGCTTTCCATGGTAGGTTATTTGGTTCTTTATCTACTACCAGATCAAAAGAAATTCACAAGTTGGATATTCCAGCATTCCCATGGCCAAAAACTCCATTCCCTCAATTGAAATATCCATTGAATGAATACGAAGCTGAAAATAAAGCCGAAGAAGACAGATGTTTACAAGAGTTGGAATCCACAATTAAGAACTCTTCAAAGAAGATTGCTGCTTTAATCGTTGAACCTGTTCAAGCTGAAGGTGGTGATAACCATGCCACACCATACTTTTTCCAAGGAGTCAGAGACTTAACCAAGAAACATGATATCATTTTCATTGTTGATGAAGTTCAAACCGGGGTTGGTGCATCAGGTAAATTCTGGGCTCACGAGCATTGGAATTTGACTAGTCCCCCTGATATTGTTACTTTCTCTAAGAAATTTCAAGCTGCTGGGTTCTACTTTGGCAACCCTGATTTGCAACCAAAACAACCATATAGACAATTCAACACTTGGTGTGGTGATCCATCAAAGGCTATTCTCGCCAAGGCTATTTATCAAGAAATTGTTAAATCAGATTTGGTAAACCATACTGCCCAAGTCGGGGACTACTTGTATGCTCAACTTAAGGCTCTTCTTGGTAAGTTCCCAGATAAGGTGTCCAATTTAAGAGGTGAAAACTATGGTACATTTATTGCCTGGGATTGTGCTACTCTTGAAATTAGGAATCAAGTATTGTTAAGTTGTCGTGCCAAGGGAGTTAACATTGGTGGTTGTGGTGATGCTTCTATCCGATTAAGACCAACATTATTGTTTGAAAAGAGACATGCTGATATTTTACTTTCAGTTTTGGAAGATGTTCATAAAGCATTGTAAGTAGTTTGTATAGACGTAAAGAAAAATAATAATATGACTGTAATTCCTGAAATTTGTAAAATAGGAGAACCCAGTATATAAGTAAGCATGAATAAGTGCCTCTCCTAATTTTAAGATACAGAAGAAAGTACCTTTCTGCAACGTAATGCTTCAAGAAAGTAGGAATATAAAATTTTGCAACCCCCTCTTTGATAGAGTATACAAAGAAAAAAGAACACTTTTTGGAGGTTCCATTGTTGCAAAATCGCAGCGCAATGCATCAAGCAAACAGCACCAATCTGCGAAAGATGCAAGTGAGAGAAGCCAATAGGTGTACTAGAAGGATGCAAGAGAGGCAAAAAAAATAAAAAAGAAAAGTATCACGTTAAACCATCTCTGGTTGAAGTTTCATCTTCACGATCATTTCAACCTCTGGCACACAATGCCAAGGCAACGGCCGAAACATGCATCGAGAACTCCATCTCCTGATAGTATCAGACTCAGAATTAGTATTATCCCTTTCAAGTAATTCGTGTAAGCTAAACTCTGTAGCGTAGGAGAAGGAAAGCTTCTATTTTTTTTTTCTTCAATTATTTTTGTGTTTCTAATTAACATTAAGATTTAGATTACTGTTAAATCCGCAGATTCTAGGCCTTGTTCTTTTTTCTGCAGGTTTAAGCAGAGTAAACTTACAACTAATTTGGGGAGACGATAGCGCTAACTTTGTTCATTACAACAGGAGAATATCGTGATTACCCCTTAGATGAGTTCATGGTGCCTGAGATTTTATTGTTTTAAAACTGGATGAAGTATTATCGTCCAGACAGACGAATTGATTCCTCGTAAAGAACTTCCCAACTAGGGTAAGTGTTGCGCTTCCTTAGCGGTATTGATGTTGGGATGTTTTCTTTTCCGCAAAAGTAAATAAAGAGCGACCAATTCAGAAATTATTTTTTTTTTTGACTTAGCCCGCCTTTGACGGACTTTATTAATCCATCAAATAAGAATGCAGTATTATCTATACCATCTTTATTGTACGACGACGACGACGACGACAACAAAGCAGCCAGTTAGAAGGTCGAGGCCCATTTAATTCTGGCCCCTGTGAATCTCTTACCCACGTTACAACGCTAGTTCTGTCGCCAAGTACTCGAAATTAGATCAATTTTCCTCAACTGGAGATATATTTATTTTTCTTCTGTATTAGTTGTTAAGGCCCTCGCAGTTGATTTCCTTGGCTAGTCGGCGCCTAATTCGCACCAAATTTTTTTTTTTTGAAGAAAAAGAAATTACTGCTGTACCAATCACTTATTCGTTGCCCCCCCCTCGCATCGCCCCACGCAATATTTTTGGTTGTAGCTAATATTATTGTTTCTGCCATTCTGGCTATTTGAATTTCACTTGGCTTGGTTGTAACAGAGTCATTCCCATTTTGCCTTCACGATTCCTACTTTAGTCTTTTTAAAAATACTTTCCAGTTCCCTTCCCAGTCGTTATATTCCGGAATGTCCTGTGTATTGTTCTAGACAATAGCAGCACCAAGTAGCAAAAAGAAGACGCAGAAGCAGCAACCACAACGTTCAAGTGACTCTGGAGCAAACGGAACACGCAAAGAGAGAAAACGATCGAATAATATTAAGGAAGTATTTCCGACTACTCTCCTTTTGATTTTATTCTCTTTGAAATCATATCATTTTTGAGCATGTTGGGCAGACTATTTAAACAGAACACAACTGGCAACACCCAAAACTCCCACCATTCACATCACCACCACCATCACAGTCACCATCCTCAGTTGGGAAACACAGCCAACCCTTTAAACCCCCAAATTCCCGATTCGACCCTCCTATCACCTTCGGCAAATTACGAAGATTCCTATTCACGAGAAATTTTGTATGGAACCCATAATGCCAACCAATTAAAGCCATACCAATTTAATAATAAACTATTCAGAATCATAATATCCCAAGATGGAGGTAACCTCCGGTCGAAACAAGTACTATATGATTCAGCAGTTGAACCACAATCACCAACAGCATCCACACCTACACAACCAACCACCATGTCCTCCTCATGTTCAAATGCAACTTTGGTATCAACTACAAAATCAAAACCTTTAAATACCAGGAATATCACCACCTCCAAAGTTCACCATAATGTATCTGATTTAAATGACTATATGTTTGGATGCGGATTACCCTCAAACGAAACCCACTGTAATACAAAGATTCATGTTTTGCCTCAAATTAACAATTCAGCCTCCGCTCCTTACAATGCAGTCTTGATAACGCGGTTATTTTCCATCAGTGATTTGGAAGTCTCAGAATGGTCCCCTTTGTCGTCATTATCTTCGCAAAATAATAATTGGATACCGACACCGGCTTTACCAATAAAAGAATCAAATATAAAGAAATATCCATTCAAGAATGGCAAGGACAATAGTACTTCAAAGACAAATAATTTTATTAATAGTAGGTTTTCTATTGGGTTAGTGGTACCATTGGAATCAGTCAACAGTATCACTGATGTAATTTTCAATAATTGGCATGAAATATCGCACTATTTGATTATACTACAGAAATTGGTATACCGGAAACTAATGATACATCTTAATCTGGGATTTAACTATGACAATGAGAGCAATATTACTGGCTGTCAATTTTTGGTTAATAAGCGAATCCAATTCCCAAATTACATTTTACATGGTGACTTTGATATCAATTCCCAATTGTACAAACTCATCAAGTCAATTCATTACAACTTTAATATTCCCAAATTAATAAATTCCAATTATTTAATGAAAACATCAGTTTTGAATGAGTCTCACCAATATAATCCAATGTTGATTAACTGGGTATTGGAGATTCTCAACTGGTTAGAATTTAAAGAAGGTAAACCAACCACACCAAACTACAATTACAATTCATCGTTTCTTCATCTGAATTCATTATTGGAATATGGGTTACAATCCTCCACCCAAAATGTCAACACAAACACCTTCCTTGCTAGTTTGTTGGCCTTGTTGATTCCCTACCGGAAACTGTTGAGTATCAAGCCGTACTACAATGTAGCCAGAAATGTTCGTGAAGTTACAAGGGTTGTTGTAATGACTGAAAACCCAGTTGTGGCAAAGAAATTAGTGTTCATATTGAATGGAATGATACCCAACAATCAAAGGATTGAAGAAGTTCCTCGTTGCACCCAGATGTATGATAGTACTTTTGAAGAAGAAGAGGTAAAATCCGACAAAGATCAAACATTTTCTGTTTCTACATCACCAGAAAAGTCATTATCTCCTATAATGACCAGCACCACCCATGGAATTTTACCAATTCCTATAAAGCAGACTAGTACAAGTGGAATCAACAACGTTTTTTCTGGATCAGGAGACTCATCATCGGATAATTCATTGTCTGTGAAGTGGGAAATACCAAACAAATCCACTGCATCCATTCCAACCACCAACACGAGTAGGGTTGAGACCACAGCGGTGGGAATACCAATCGTTACAACCAGCAGCACAAATTCCACTATTGCACACCCACATTCGGTTCATTCCAAGTCATCGATATCTTATTTATCTTCATCCTTGAACTCATCCTATTCGTCATCACAGTCTCTTTATTCATTGTCAAAGCTAGGAGGTTCATTCATGGACAAGTGGAAGAATTCCTTTGGAAGTGCGAATTCACATAGTAATCCCTTGACTCCAACTCATGCTCCTAGTAATGCACAAGGATATTTTGAAACTGGCGACCAACAATATGGAAGTTTATCAAAGAGAAATTCCATCCAATCACTTAGAACACCTTCGCCAGCGTTAGAAATTGACGAGTTCAACTGGAACCAACATTCAAAGCCAATAAATATTAACACTGGCGTTCTTTCAAGTAACTTGACCCACGTTATTGGTTCACATAAGTTGTCAAGGACACAATCCATGTATGACTTGTATAATATGAACAACTTGATGAATGTCATGAGTGAAGAAACTGACTCTCTCGACTCGTTGAGTGAATCAAATCAAGAATCGACAGCTACTTTGCCACCAACTACAGCACCAATGTCGCCAACACCAGTGACTTCCACCCCAGCTCCTGCTACAAATACATTGGAGATTAAGCGGTCAAAGACTAGTGTATTCACGCCATTGATAAATGACAATTTGATCAAGAATGTTGATGAACATAACAAGAGTACCATTAGACTGAAGTGTCGCTCAATTATGTTGATGAGTAAATACCGGGTCAAAAAAGCGACCGATGATGAAGGAACATTGGAGATTGACAATATTAATTATGACAACAACGAAAATGATGAAGATGTAGTGTTTAAACATAAAGCGTTGTTATCTTCGGTTGCCTTTTCTGATGAATTCCGACCAGAGTTTAGTGTTCAATCTTGTCCTATCAACCCAAAATTAGAACAACAAGTTATGAATGCCATGAAGAATGATTTATTATTTTATCAAAACAATTGCAATTACGATGCCATAACCACAAGAACAATATTCATTAGCTTGCGAGCACGTGAGATCAAGTTGATTGAAATGAATCTCCAGAACCCGCCTTCTACAACCTTGTCCTCAGGCGGTGACAGTGCCATGACTGGATCCTCACCAGTGGCTTCTTACATCAGTGAACAAAGCAATAAAGCCAATGCTAGTAGGAGAAATTCATCTACTAGTAACAGTTACAGAACGAGAATTAAGAAGGTGTACACGCCAACTAAGAACTTGGGAAACCGCGAGTTGATTAATAAAATTGAACAAGTGTTGGATGAAATGAATCAGTTGTTTACTATACAATTGCAATTATTTCAAGACAAAAAGAACAAATCCAGTGGGATTGACTTTCACAATAGGTTATCGAAATTGGTTTTGAGCTTGTTGGAATGAGGCTGTGGTATTATTTATTTAATTATTTTCACTATTGTATTTTTAATTCTTATTTATTATATATTTTTTTAGGTTTAAGTCCATATACATAAGGCGAACAGGCACTTTTTGTGAATTATAATAATTACAATAATTCAGACTCCTATTTTAGGTGAAATTCACTAAAGTGAAATGTAGTGAAATTACACTAAAATTTCAAACACAAATCTCTTGTGATATTTTTTTTTTGCAGCCGAAGCAGCCGAAATGAAAACCGCCTTAGCGATTTTGGCAGCCACGGCCGAGAATGACAATCTAGCCCTTCTAAGGCGGCCACCGGCAATGAAATCATCCGGCTACACTCCAAATTCCTCTCAAACACTTCAAACCCCACTAGTTACACTTCAACCATCATCTACACTTCATGTATCATCAAAACATTATTTATAAAATACATATACACACCTATTTACCAAACATATAGTTTCTGATTTTACATATGAAAGCGAGCGGAAAAACACGTAGCAACTATTAAATACAAACCATTTCCAATACAACTAGTTGGTAATAAAACATTAAAGTATAAATAAGCTGGTTTGAAAACCGTAAACCTTTTCTATAATCTATAATCCAATATTGGTTGACAACATTTGGGGGTTGTACTTTTGATCATTTGAGAAAATGTCTTCAGTAGTACTATACCCAAGGTTTTCAGGCGCACTCAAGGTCCCCACCATAGCGTTGCTGGCGAGGTCACTTGGGCCAATTTCAAAAGTAACATTAGCGTGACTTGGACCTAAGCTTCTCGACAACTCTGGATAGATCTCACGGCTCAAGTCGTACTCAGGGGCAATGGGATCAAAACCTTGTTGATGGGTCACTTGAGGATCAAGTAAACTTTGCTGAGCTGCAGCAACACCAACATTCAAGTCAGCAGGAAAAGTGTTACTCAAAAGGGCCGATGTTCCTGATCTGGATAATTCTGGTAATGAAAATGCCCGGGAAGGAAAAATATCGTCGGCAGATGTGGCTGGAAGGTCTCCATAGGCTGTAGTGCTAGAGCTAGTCTGTGTCATTGGATTTAATTGTCTTTGCAACTCGGCAGAAATATTGAGATTGGGAATACTTGTAGCTGAGCCTTGAGAATCAAGTGCTTGAGTAGGTGAAAGTGTTGTATATTGGATTGATTCATTGGGTGGAGTTATCATAACACTGGGATTGGTATAAGTTTGTTGAGATAACTGTTGAGTAGGACTGAAGAAGTCAGTCTTGAATAACATTGGAGTATTTTCCAACTTTACCATCCTGTAGGGGGAATTTTGTTGTAAAGGTGAAGCACCTAGGCTACTCTCACCGTCTTTGATGGAAGACACAGGACGTGATTGGCTGTTAGAACTCATAGGAGGAGAGTTATATACTGGAGCTTCTTGGAATGTGGTATATTCGCCACTCTTTTCAACCTTCTTGAGGAAATCAAAACATTTATCTCCATAGGTCTTTGGGGTTAAACCAGTAACTGATTTAAACACTCTATGAAAGTGCCAAGCACTCAACTTAGACTTGGCAGCCAATTCTTTAAAACCAAGTACACCGCCTCTTCTCCGTCTTCTACGCTTCTTCTTGCTACCACCAGTGGAGGGATTTCTATCTTCAACCTCGGGAGAGGTGACAATCCTTGAATGTGGTTGGAAAACACTGACGGCCGCAGCTAGCGCCAAGTGACGACACGCCAAATCAACTAATCTATAATGGTCGGAATCATTCTTCGACAAGGGAGTAGATTCCAAATCCTTGGAAAGTTTTCCCAGGGTGTTGAAAATAGGCACCGAGTACCTATGTTGGTAGCTGCCCTCATTACTGATAACGTTATTGAACGTCTTAAGAATCTGTTCTTCGTTGGCTCGCTTAGTTTCCAAGATATTCTCTTTAATTTTCTGGGTATTATACTCTTCATCTTCATCCAATAAAGGAGGCATAAAGCCAATTTGGTGATTAATAGTTGAGACACACTTGATTAACAAGTCAACATCAACAATAGAACTATGACATGGGTCACAGAAATCACAAGCAATATAGCCCAACTTGAGGGCGTCTGAAGCAGTATCAGTAAACTTAATTTCTTGTCTTAAATTTGTAATAGGGTAGGCATCACAATCCGGTCTGCAAAAGACTTTTTGAACTTTGTGGCATACATAAAAGGACCCTACTGCAAAGGGGTCACTGAACTGATAAGCTTTCCACTTGTTTGCATCTAATGAGTAAGCCATTTTTATTTTCTATAAAGGAGTTAAAGTCTATCAAGTTGTTGCTTTGGTCGAATAAGGAAAAGGAACAAAATAAAAGGGTGGTATGAAATCAAGTTTTATAACTTTGGTGAAATAAAGGGGAATTTAAATTAGGGATTGAAAATAATGGAAAAAAAAGGTTCGAATCTTACAACTAATGTATATCAGCGTAAGAAAAAATATTATTAATAATTTATTAATAATTGACAGGATGTGCAAATATGTGTGGGTAACAAACTGGAAGTAACGGACCTAAGATAAAAGGGGGATGTGACAGGAAGGATCTGGTATTCTTTTATACCCTGCGCCAACGCTTATATTCCTAATTCGTTCTGTGAAGGAATTATTTTTTTCCATTGTATTAGTTATGATGTAATTTTTTGAGGGGGGAGGCGGCGCTTTGCTAAAACGCTAATTATTTTTTTAACCTAATTCATCCAACAATTATTTTTTAACAATTTTAAATATTATTTTTAATTTTCCTTAAAAATAGAATTTTGTCACAGGATAGGCGGGTTTTACACCCCCCCTAGCCTCTGAGTTGTGATGGCAAATGAGTGCGTACCTGAATATTTGTGAAATTCCACAGGTTACACATAGATACCGGTTATTGTTGATTTAGGTACATTACTTAATGGAACAAATTTAAATTTTGCATATTATTAATTGGAGCTTAAATTTACAATAGAGTTTGATAAATAGAGTGAGGGGGTTCACCAACGTTTTATGCACTATGCACAATTTTGCAATTCCATTTTTTCTAAAACTTGTAAAGGCGAAACTAATCACGGCTCCGATTAAATTAAAAATAATAAATCTGTAATTTTAATTAATTGGCTAATAAATCTTGAGAGGGGACAGCCTGATGATACCCAGATTCGATGTCACTAGGTGCCAGTTACAAATGTGGTAGACGTCATTTTCTTGGTAAAAGGTTCATAACCGGGCAAACAAAAACTGTTTCCCGAGTATCTTCTTCCCGTCCGGAAAGTCTTGGGGAAATGGCCTGTATCTTGTCCCAGGTTCTTATGCAGAAAAATGCATTGTGTGTGACACAAAAAGGGAAACAATCGAAATATTTTTTTGAATGTGCGTTCAAAATTAGTACCGTGCACCCACTAATTTGACAAAGTGATATGCACCAGCGATGATTCAGGGATCAATTAAAAATATATTCTGTTGTTCGGGCCATTCTTTTCTTCTTACCACACAAAAAATAATTCTTACATGCAGTACAAAACTGCCAATCGGTAGAATTATTTTCACCCCTCATTCCTTTCCCAAACCAGAACACCCAAGTCACACGTCAATTTATTCCTAATTAACGTCGCGATCGTATCAGATAAAATCAGCTGACACAAGGAAGGGAACGATTGAATGCGATGGCTGCACGCCATAATGTTCTTCGTTTTCCTCGTCTAATGGTAAATTCATTCTTCAATCCAACTAGTTAATGCAGCGAACGGAGTTGAAAAAAAAAGAAAAGGAACATGGGAAGATTCATGACAATGAACTGGATGCATGGTGACGGTCATCGAAAGAATTATTTCTCGGTAATTTGGCGTATTACATCACTGATCCTGCAGCAACCCTGGTTCATCATTCGGCTGATAAATCGTTATACCCGGACAGCGCAAATATAATCAGATACATGACTTCTCGGGTCTAGCGTTCATGCACTGTCAATTTCGGCAAAACTTGCCAGAGAAGAAGACGTCACGGTTGGAATTCTTGACGCACCCAAGAAAAGTCGGAACAAGGTTGCATGAATTGCAAAAAAATGTGAACCCGACGATGCCAAGTACCGAGTGTTCTATATCCTTTCTAACTAGTGCAAACTAACGACAACGATCTCATATTAGCCTGCATACACAATGATTGATATTTGCTATCTAGCAGCCTATGGGGAGGGGTGAGCATACACAGATTCCGGGTAAAAAAAAACAAAAAAAAAGTTCATAACCATGTTCATAACGAGAAAGAAAATATTCTTCTGCATAGCGCCAATCTAGAACTTGCAACTTCCACACGAAACCCCAAGCAAGCAAGTTCAATAAGATAGATACAAGAAGAAGACTTTTCTTAGAAAATACTATTCAGCCTTAGTTGCTTGTTGACGTCAACAGTGCAAGGCATTCAATAATCCATTCAAGGCAATCAATGAGAATTTCGCAACAAAAACAAACTGAGAGTGAAATATTTGAAATTTAACTTTCGACAATATATGCAAACTTTATCAGTATTTATCGAAGTAGATGATACAGAACAATAGAGAGAACGATGTATGTAATTTTACACGTGGTTATGGGTAATTGAGTAATTATATAAACTGTTGGAACCTATTATTTCTGTTTTCTTGCAATTATCTCTAAATTTATTTTAAAGATGGTTATGAGCCAAAGATTGCATCCGAAAAAAGATTTTTACCCCCAATACCCCCAGTTTCTTTGTCCCCCCTTCTTTAACCCACTCCCAAATTAGTATATGTGCCATTGATGATATCACGAATATTTCCTTGCAATGCACAATGTCTAAAAGGGGAGGGGATTCTTTTGAAATTTTCAAGCCAGCCGTTCTCTTATACGAATTTGGAGAAGGTTGCCAGTACTGCGCCGAGGAACACACACACACACACACTTTTACACTGTATATCCGGTATTCCAATTTGGGATGTGTTTGACTCACCTGCAGCTACTTTAGGATTGTGGCTTTGAAAGTTGAGATCATACGATTTGCATAAAACAATTATACAAGAGTTTTTTTTAAAATTGCACCAATACCATTATTAGATATCCAGTTCTTCCGAGAGATATTCCAGCTGAGGCAGGCAACACATTATATGGACAATAAAATCACACATTCACTGGAATTCTCGAGTACATCGGCTCTGTTAAAGCAGAAATTTCCGTAGGATTCTTAGAATTGTAAAAAAAAACTTTTCAAATATTTCAAAAAAGATAAGCCAATATTTTCTTGTGCTATCATTTTTTGAAAGATAACCGCATAAGCAATCGAGGATGTGCCCAAAATCTCAACGTACATAACTAAACGTCGTAATACGTCATTAGTCTCGCTAAATTTAATTGAGATAAAAGAGATGGAGATGGTTCATTGCGTCATACCAAAATCGGGTTACAAAATTTTAACCGTGGAAAACAAAGCAAGGTCGGAGCAAAAAAAAAAAAATACGTATCAACTTACAACCGATTTTGTCAACCAATAATCTACACAGCCGCCATGTCTTTATTGGAATCTAACGATATCGACTTACACCCGAGACATGGAGATCATCATTTTGTCAATGTCAAATATGGCTACGTGATTCTTGCCTTTTCACTCGTTCATATAATATGTCGGCTTGGTTCAAAGAATGTTTATTTGAGACAATGGTCCAGTACCGGGAGCCACAGTAGACTCTTGAGAATGTATAGCTCAATACCCACTTGGGTAGTGATAGCACTTTGGGTATTGTGTATTTTCTTTGTGGGTGGACACCATATTGAAGATCTTAGCGAAGAGTATGTTGTCGTGGCGAAAAGGTATGGGCGTATTGCATATTGTCTAATCCCCTTGAACATATTTTTGATTTTACGTCCTACCAATATTTATTTTTGGAAGATTGGATATTACCTTGAAAACTTGAACTTACATAAATGGTTATCTAGATTGATTGCCTTGTGTGCTACGGTACACGCCGTGACTTACACTGTTAAATGGCTTAAAGAAGGTGCCACTGCAGAAAAATCATTTAAAATATTAAATCTTTTAGGAGTAATTACATTTTACCTTTTCGTGGTTTTGGTGGTTATATCAGTCCGAATCCTTAGAAGGCGCTTTTACAACTTCTTTTATATCTTCCACAATATTACGGCCTGGTCAATGGTATTACTAATAGCACTTCATGCACGTCCTGGTGTCAGCATTATTGCATTATTGAATTTGGCATTATTGATGTATCAACTATATCTCCGATACATTTCAGTGTACAAAGTAGACAATATTAAAGTCATAGATAGCCCTGGATCAACATTACAGTTAATCAATATTAATGTCCCCGGGAAGTTCCCAAGCTGGTTACCTGCATCTCACATTAGACTTAATTACTCACGCCGGAATATAAGTTCCTGGGTCTTACCTACTCATCCATTTACAATAGCAACAATAACTGAAGATAATACACCAAATATTTCTCTTATAGTGAAGAAAAATAACTTTCAATTTAATACCAATCAGGATTATCTTCTTACTGGGCCATATCCTTCATTGCCACCACCCTTTTTCAATTCAGCTAAACTGGTTAATATAATATGTGGTGGTTCAGGTATTTCCTTTGGACTTCCAGTTTTCAATTATGTCAAAACCTGTAATACTTTCATTCCCATTAAAATGATATGGTGTGTTAGAAATCAGTCAGATACCTTTATAACAAAGCATTTGGATATGACAGGTGTGCAAGTGTACATTACTTCTATTCTTGATTCTGCACCAGGTGAATCTTCTGGTTCTTCGAAAACAACTCCAGATAGCTCCACTGCATCTTTGCAGCAGCTTCCTGTCTTTGTTATTGAAGATGAAGAACAAACGCACGGATTATTGGATGATGATATCGAATTGCAAACTTTGAACCCAGGAAAGGAAGGCAGTGAACGCCTCCCTGAAAAATCAGCAAATACATTCAACTTAGGAAGACCTAAATTAGATGAGGTTTTTGCTATTGATGACCCTACTACAGTTGAAGATAAGAAAAATTGCTGGGTAATTGCTTGCGGTCCAGATGAATTAATTAAGGATGCAAAAACCTGGGCCAAGGACCGCGAATATGAATTCTTTTTTGAGAAATATGAGATGTAAATATGTATATGCAGATTAATAAATATTGCTATAGAATCAACCATTCAAGTAGACTTTACATGATAGAGGGAGATCTGAGTAGGTATACTTATTTTTTTTTTTTTTTTACTTCTAGTATTAAGGAAAAACTATCCATTTATATGTTGAAGTTTATGTGAATCGATTGCAAATCGTTTCTTTTTAATGCTAGTTAAAAATTAGGGTCGAGCTTGAAAAGTTGCCAGAACTTAGATACAAGTGTAACCACCATCAATTACAAGATCAGAGCCAGTAACATACGAAGCAGCATCGGAAGCTAAATATAAGTATGCACTAGCAATTTCATAAGGCAAAGCCTCTCTGCCCAACGGAACCAAAGACCACATTTTTCCACGTGCTTCTCTGGATAAATGATCATTGAGCCCAGTATCACAATACCCCGGAGAGATAGAATTTACTCTAGCAAAACCAGCCCATTCAACAGCCAAGGATTTAGCAAGGTGCTTAACTGCAGCTTTACTAACGTTATACGGAGTTAAGTTCATAGGAACATTGGCAATAGAACCAGACATGGAAGCAGTTATGATGAATGATCCTTTACCTTTTCTTTTAAAGATTTTACCAACGTGTTGGGCACAATAGTAAACTCCATTCAAATTTACATCCATAAGATTGTGCCAAGTGGTACCATCTTTGTTAGCCTCATCAGTGATATTTCCTGTTTTCCAAACAATCCCAGCATTAGCAACGAAGATATCAATGGTACCAAATTCTAGTTCAATAGCAAGAATGGTAGCTTCAACATTTTCAACTTTCAGCACATCACATTGGAAAGATTTAGTAACTACTTTGTGTTGTGCCCCTAATACCAAAGCCTGTTTGGAACAGTCCACATAATCAACGAGAATAACAGTAGCTCCTGCTTCAGCATATGTTTCAGCAACGGCATACCCTATACCCCTACAAGCACCGGTTACAACAGCAACTTTGCCTTTTAATGATAACAAGTCCATGATATGACGCTTTGGTGGAGATGGTCTAGGAAGCTCATCGGTGAACTCATCGGAAATGTAGGATACAATTGGCACTTGTTGGCCATTTGGTAGAGTCATGTTGATTAATTACTGATAACTAAATTCTCCAAAAAACTACTGATTAAGTTTATAGAAAGAAATATATAAAGGATAGGTTGCTTCATTTATTGGAATCATTCTGCATCTACGAAACCTCCACATTAATCATGGAAAATAAATGGGTGGAGGTGGTTATTGATTCAACCTCCACCAAGTCCACCAAATCCACCGGATCCACCACATCCCGCACTTCCGCGCTTAATTCGCTTAATTCATTTGTCATCAGGAGTACTCGCAGAAATAGGAAAAATTAGTAGGAGTTTGGGCATATAGTTTTGTGCTCCCCGCAAAAATAGCCCTGAGGGTTTAGACGTGATCAATTGTACGGCCATAATTTCATGTGTTATTCCGAAAATTAATACCCATTGAATGTCATATGTAACAATCGAGGTTGAGAAGATTATTTTTTTTTGGTGGACAAAGAGGTGGAGGCACTTTGACTTTTTCCGGTGGGGGAATAATGGTGGAGGTGGGGTATATTTTCCTAGTTAATTCGTCGTTGTATTTCGCCGCATAATTTTTGCAACTATAATGGTGGACAGAAGTACTTACAATATACACATTTTTCTACTAGCCATTATGGTGGAGGTACAAAAAAATTGTGACAGATTTTTATCAAATCTCAGGTTATTGTTAGTGTATCGTAGAAAGACAAACCCCACATTTGTTCCATTGTATAAACTATCGGGAAAAAGAAAAGTGCCTGATACGGCAAACAAATGAACAATACAACCCTTGACACAGACTTTGACTCATTCAGTATATATATCACGGCTATTCTTCCCGATTTACTGAATTTGCCACACCAGAAATCATAAAACGTTAACTATGACTTCCTATAATAAAGATAACTCATCGTTACTGCAAGAAAGTGTTACTTCAAGCGGTAATAATCACTTAGACTCCAGTGATGATTCTAATACATACACTTACTTAGGAATGAAAGGGCAAAGGTTACATCATGCCATTTCTTTTCTTGCTGGTATGGGGTTTTTGCTTTTTGGTTATGATCAAGGTGTCATGGGTTCTTTGTTAACCTTGCCAACATTTAGAAACACTTTCGAATCGATTGATACCACTAGATATCCAGACCGTGCAACTTTCCAAGGTTTTGTTATTGCTATTTATGAAATTGGTTGTTTAGCTGGTGCCCTCTCTACCATGTACATCGGTGATAAAATTGGAAGAAGAAAGACAATTTTCATTGGTTGTATTATTATGATTATCGGTGCCATTATTCAAGCTTCTTCCTTTTCTGTTGGTCAGCTAATTGTTGGTAGAATTGTTACTGGTCTTGGTAATGGTATGAACACAGCTACTGTTCCTATGTGGCAATCTGAATGTGCCAAGAGTAAAGACAGAGGTAGATTGGTTATGGTCCAAGGTGCTTTAATCACTGGTGGTATTTGCATCTCCTATTGGATCGATTTTGGTTTCTTCTTTATTAAAAATAGTTCAGTTTCTTGGCGTTTTCCAATTGCTTTCCAAATTTTCTTTCCATTATTCATTTTACCTTTCATTTTAAGATTACCAGAATCTCCAAGATGGTTGTTAAAAACAGGTGATATGCAAGAAGCTGCCAGAGTTTTCTCTTCCCTTGATGATGTTCCAGTTAATCATCCAACTATTGTTTACGAAGTTAATGAAATTGCCGAATCTTTAGAGAAAGAAAGAAGTGACGCTACCAACAAATCCAAATTCCGTCTTTTATTTATTCAAGGTGAAACCAAGAACTTCCATAGAACATGCTTAGCTGTTTGGTCTCAAATTATGCAACAGATTACTGGTATTAACTTGATCACTTATTATGCCGGTACTATCTTTGAAAATTATATCGGTATGAGTCCCTTAAATTCCAGAATTTTAGCTGCTGCCAATGGTACCGAATATTTCCTTGCTTCTTGGATTGCCTTCTACACCATTGAAAGATTTGGTAGAAGAAAGTTAATGTTGTTTGGTGCTGCTGGTCAAGCTGCCTCTATGGCTATTTTGACAGGTACCACCTGGGCTGCAAGTCCTAAGAATGAAAACAATAGTTCTGCCGGTGTTGCTGCTGCTGTTTTCCTTTTTATCTTTAATACCTTCTTTGCTGTTGGATGGTTAGGTATGACTTGGTTATATCCTGCCGAAATCACACCATTGAATATTAGAGCTGCATCTAATGGTTTGAGTACTGCTGCCAACTGGTCATTCAACTTTATGGTGGTTATGATTACTCCAATTGCTTTTGAAAATATTGATTACTACACTTATACTATTTTTGCTGTCATCAACTTGTTAATGGTTCCAACTGTGTACTATTTCTATCCAGAAACGGCTGGTCGTTCTTTGGAAGAAATGGACAAGATTTTTGAATTATCAAATACTTCAACTCCATGGGACGTTGTTAAGATTGCTCGTGAATTACCTTACGAAAGCCAAACCCGTGAAGGTGACATTGAAAAGGTTGCCATTGAACACATCGAGTAGATGAGTAGTTTATATAGTTTGTAATTTATAATTATTCGATCTTCAATATAGTATTAATTAAATAATAATAAAATGATATAATGTTATGTATCTGATTAACCCACATTTAGGAATCATTGAACTATAGTTAGCTATCCGAATATTTAGTTTTTTTTTATATATATGGTATGATAGCTGTGGCTATAGCTACATAATTTCAAGTTACTTATTCTCTGATTTGTTATTTTATTCTATTACTATTTGACTATAAATCAAACATATGTCTACTTCAACATTATAAAGCAAGAGCTGAAATCACTTCATAAATACCATAAGCACCAGGATCAGGAGGGAAGTCAGTGAAATCTTCCAAGCCACCAACATAGGTAGCCCTACCAAGCTTTGGTTTCAACTTCCTAGTTCCTTCAGCTGCTTCGAAGGCAACTTCCACTGCATTTGATATATTCCTGGTGTTACTAAAACAATCAACAAAAGGGATTAACACATCCATGACAGTTCTATGACCTTGTCTTGCTTTAGTATAATTGTATAAATTTTCAAGGCCAAAACTTAATGCAGCTGCAAAAATATCCAGAACCTCTTGGGAGGGGTTCTTTCTCAATTCCTCTTCAACCTTATTAACTACTGATTTCATAAAAATGGAAATGATTGCACCTAATGTTCCACCCATATCGTCCTTTATAATACCCAAAACAACATGTAAAACTCTCAAGATGGAGCCAGAAGCAGCGATATTATCCTCATTCAATTTCTTCAACACTAATTCAGCACCAGTTCTTAAACCATAACCACAATCACCATCACCTAATTTTGTGTCCCATTCAGTTAAATCTGGTTCCTTAGCTATAACTCTTTCCGAAGCAGTACGGACAATAGCTTCCAACTTCTTAGGATCAATATGAAATACATCAGGTGTACCTGTATGGGTAGACATTTCGTCATCATAATGAATAAAGTTTTGAATGATTCTGTTATTTTGAATAGGTTTATTAGTAGCGAATTTAGAATTTGGCCAACAAATAGCATTTGTATTTGCATCAAGTAACTTAAATATCTCTTCAGTTGAAAATGTTTTGGTTGCAGCAGTGGTAGCGTTGAAAAGGGTGATGGTAAAAATCTGAGCATTGAATGAACCAACAAAGTTTCCAGTATATACTCTAGATGGAACAATATACAACTCTTTCAATGCTTCCAACGTGGCAAACAAGATATTTTTCTCTTCAATTACAGGAACACCACCAAGATTATTTACCAATAAAACGATTTGATCACCTTCAGAATGCTTGAAAAAACCACGACTTTCATCGTTCAAAATCATATCCAATAAAGCAGAAACCAATTCTTCATTTGTTGGAATGTAATCTAATTTTTGAACTCCTGGTTCATTATGGATACCCAACCCAATTTCTAACTGGTTTTGTCCAAGTTTACCAAAATCAACATTCATGTCATAACCTGGAATATGGACATGGTCTAACCCAGCATTGATAGAGGCAGTGCAGTCATTTACTGATTTTCCAAGTTCATAAACATCATCAATGTTATAGCCAGCTTTAGAAGCTGCACCCATCAACTTAGATACAATGGAAATACCAGCCAAAGTACGTCTTCCAACTAAAGAATTCGAGCTCTGTTTCACGCTGACATCATCAGTTACTCTAAGAACACGGATTTTCTCGGGACCATACCTTGCAATCAAGTCCTGAGCTGCCATGCCAAAATAAAGGTTATCACCCGTATAATTGGTCAAGATGAAAATACAACCCGCCCATTCTTGGTCAGAACTACCAAGTTCATGACAAATCTTCTCAGCTGCTTTAACGTTCTTGTAATTTGGAGAAGCAAATACATTTCCTTGTGCCACTGCAGAAAGCATCCCATCACCAACCAATCCATAAAACCCAGGTTCATGTCCAGATCCACCTCCACTAATCAAGGCAACCTTGGAACGATCAAATTTGTTGTTGTAAATAACCTGTTCCTTTTCTAAAAGAGAAAGAAATTCATATTGATAGGTAATAGCCTTTAAACAATTAGGTACAAGTTGTCCCACATCTTTGGGTAAGAAATGCTTATTTGACATGTTTTAATTGAATACTTGATGAAGAGCAAACTAGTTCAAAAACTAAGATCTAAAACTAGGGCTATTTTCAGATTTATGTACCCCACCAACCATACTCATTGTATATACCACTTTTCCAACCTTTTTCAAATCTATAATTGTCAGCAATAAACTAATTCTCCCGAGTAAATGCCCAAGAATGGTTCCTTCACCTCCACCCTTTGGTGGATCCACCTATTTTTAGTTTCCACCATTTATTGTTTTTTTTTAGTAAGCTTTCCCCACATTTTCACTACTTCGGAACAATTATTTTCGGTGGAGGTTGCGGTGGAGGATTGGTTTTTCAGTGACAAGTTTTGGTGGAGGTGTTGGGTGGATACTATCCAGCAGGCAAGAATAATGGGGGGTCTAGTACATACATTAGACGGTGGGGTAAAGCTCCTAGAAGTATTTTACCCTATTAGTTACCCACAATCTTGAAATCATGCTTGAATTTTTGATTTTCTTAACTTTTTTTTTTGAATACTCTAAAATGACTACCCAAAAATTCAGAATTGTTATCGGATGTGATCAAGCTGGTTACGAATATAAAGAACAGATTAAGAAGGACTTAACACACAACCCTAATGTTATCGAAATTGTTGATGTCGGTGTAGATTCCAATTGCAATTCTACTGCTTATCCCTTGGTTGCAACTACGGCAGCTGAAAAAGTTGCAAATCGAGAAGCTGATCGTGGAATAATTATTTGTGGAACTGGATTAGGTGTTGCCATTTCTGCAAACAAAGTTAAGGGAATAAGAGCAGCAACTGCACATGACTCATTTAGTGTTGAAAGAAGTATATTATCTAATAATTGTCAAATTTTATGTATGGGACAAAGGGTGATTGGGTTGGAACTAGCTAGAAGATTAGCACAAGAATGGCTATCATACGTGTTTGATGATTCAAGTTCTTCTGCTGCAAAAGTTGCACAAATAGAAAAGTATGAGTATGCACATTAGATTAGCTATATAGGATATGTACTTACAACATGCTCCATTTGTTCAACCAATTCAACACAATAACTCCATTTACAATTACGTAATAGATGTAAAACGTAGCACACAACACTTAAAGTGCTCATTTGACCTTCAGATTGGTTATCCTCTTTCCTCATTTCCTTATTCAAAATGCTGGAAATATATTCAGCCGCATCTCGTCTGGATAATTCATAGTCAATATCTCCATTAGGAAGAAAATAATTGCAATTTTCACTGGTATAGGCTCTTTCTCTCTTCATTTCACGACACCAAATAATAAGTGCTGCCATATGAGCTGTCAGAGGAACATGAGAGAATGTGTTTATAGTTTCTTCATTATTATGGACCAATCTGAGAAACATACAAGCTTCTACCAATGCAACTCTTCCATATATGGATTTGGCCCATTGATCAATCATCACATCATTTCTATCATGTTCAATTTCTTTGAGACCCTGAACTTTATCTGAAGTAAAACTTTTATATTCCAACGCAAACTTTTTAATCGCAGGAATATCTCCATAAAGACAAAATAGACCCGTGTAATAAAAACTAACATTGGCCCAGGATGCATTGGTTGGACCATAGTCATTTAATGTTAAAATTAAATTACTAGAATTTGTTTGACCCTCTCCCTTAGATTTAACTTGTTCTTCGTATAATTTAACATGTAAATCAAAATAATCCTTCCACTTTAAAAATCCCTTCTCTAATCTACTGAAATATTCCGAAAGCTTTTGATTAGAAACAATTCCTAAATCGAACAAATTTTGACCTCGCATATCATAACATATTCTTACGAGTCCATGCAAGATAATATATCTTGAAAATAATGAATAACAATCAAGCAGATATTCCATGTCTTGTTTAGAATGCATCATTGATTTCAAGCTCCAAAGAAACGTGGGCCATGTGCTGACATGAACAGTTTGGTCCGAGTGGAGAGATTCAATGTGCTCACCTTCTGGTATGGGCTTACCATTAGAAGCACCATTACTTTCATGAGGAATTCTTGGATGGGATAACAAACCCTTAGGTTGTTTTTGATATTCGTTTATAAATTTGAAAGGATCTGTACAATTCCACACTTCATCGGTACAAGGCAATTCTAACTTGATGTCAAATGCAGTCAATAGCTCTAACTTACTAAAGATTGCATGTTGAGTATCACAAATAAATTCAAAAAAGACTGCTCTTTTGCAAGACTCATAGTGTATCCATTCACGCCACTGGTTTGAAAGGGCGTCACCAGTAGCATCTTTATTCACTACTGGTTCAGTCAAATTTTCAAATAAACCGCTAAATTTCATGTACATGATATTAGCCCCATGGTCAATTTGGGCAATTTTACATAGTTGGGAGTCAGCAAAATTTTTAGCACAAAAGTTATGTAAAAGTAAGGCCTGAATTAATGGCAAAGGAAGTTCTGTTCGTTCTTCAATCACATCATAAATAACTCTTCGAAATTTCTTGTTAAGAGCAATGGATGTTTCATACTCGATTTTATCCAATGAATGGGCCATTCCAATGACTATTATGCTGACTAATAAATAGATATTTATTGTGTTGGGATCGAACGTGGCTTGATGAATGATGGGGAAAGTTTGGGCGAAATTAAACCAATAAAGATCCAAATATTCTTCGAATCTTTTCAATGAAGTTTGTTGTAAAGGATCCAATGGAAACAATAAAATAATTTTCAGTCGAGTTTCTTCAGTCATTGATATCTTATTGTTATTAAATGCACTATTGGTATCTTCGTTGTATAAATTCTGGTACATTGAGGTCGGTATATCATTTGGAATACCTGCAGGGGAGCGAAATAATTCTTCATTATTCAGCGCTAGATCGCTGAAGAGCCAGTACATATTGTCCATTGGAGAAACATCGTTGAAGAACCAGTATAAATTCTTGTCGTCCGAAGATTGAGAAGGAGCAGGTCTTGCTTGTATGAATTCACGAGATATTCTCTCGTTAACACCAACAGGCACCAATCTATACTCTTCTCTCTTTGCAAAAACTCCATTGATCAGCGGTAAAATAATTGATGGTTGACGCGGCGGTGCAGGAAGACTGTGTATATCGCTGAGTGATCTTGATATCCCTAGTCTGCTGGCGGGTCGAACTATCAGATGATCATGCATAGGAGGGGGAGTATTAGTAGTAGCAGAAGGACCTGCAATTAAAGGTATTATCGCTTTAGGTTGTGTATATTGTGGATTCTCCTCAGGACTGCTATTCGCCGGATTGATATGCTCTATCCATCTTCTTCGGTGAGATTTTGACTTGCAATGTTTTGAAAACAAGTCACTTCTGGTAAACGTCAAATTACATTCCTTGCATACAAACGGTCTAATGTTCTGGTGGTTCTTTTCATGGCGATACAAGTATTCCTTTCTTGTAAAGCCTTTATAACAAGTTGAACATATAAACGCAGACATGCTGTTTCGCCTGGCGTCGACTCGACTTGTTGAATGTAAAAAAATTGTGTGTAATTAATTAGTCAAATTTAACTCTTAAATAATTGAAAAAAGAGCCTTAAAAAATACATTGTGGGGAAAACTTGCGGGGACTTCAAACACACACACAAATATTGCAAACAGCTTTCACTGGTATACGTTGAAACGTTCATATATGGAGTGACAATTGATTGCAGTCTCAGTTTGTTTCAAAATATCTCATTAAAGATATAAAACTCTTGGCTGAGTCTCTCATATAGTTGCCTAAAGCAAAGGAAAAAGCTTAACCAAAAAAAAATATTTTTCTTCTCAAAATATTCACAATAAAAATATCCCGTTGAGTTAAAGAAATTTCAAGCGAGTTTTAAAAGCAAAAGAGCAAACCTGTTCAACGAAGCCAGGACAGTAAAAAAAATCAGCTCGCACTCAGGATCGAACTAAGGACCAACAGATTTGCAATCTGCTGCGCTACCACTGCGCCATACGAGCCGAATTATGAATCAGAAAAATTCTTGCATTTCCCAGTGTAGGAGTAATCACATGCATTTCATCACGTGAGAACAACAACAACAACCAGAGGGAGGCCCGATACCACTAAATTTGATCTGAGTAGAATGGTTGTAAATCTTTTTGGCATCACATTACTAATGAAAAGTGACAGAAGTGAACCAACTACATGAAAAGAATATAGTAAAACAGAAAGATAATGTCCGTGAAACCAACAAAAGACGCGTCACCTCCAGAATCCGATCTTTTAACAGCACCCAAACCATCACAATTCACGTATCAAGATTTCTGGGATTTGAATGACCCGGCAAAGGCATATCTCCTGCCGCTTTCTACCATTGGATTAGTGGATCAAAATGCATTTTTTGCCCAAGTGGAGCAGATACGTTTAGGTTTGTCCGACCAAGATCCTGTCGTATGTGCTCAATGGCAATCATTGATCGCGGTAAGTTACGCGGCTCGTAAATTCGGAATTGGGAGAATGGACAGTATTAAATCTGCAAAAGAAAAATGTCCCAAATTGATAGTAGCTCATGCTGCTGTGTACAAGCGAGGAGAATCTCATTGGTCCTATATAGATGGCCTTCCAGATGCTGCAAATCACAAGGTTTCTCTTGATACATACCGTCGAGAAAGCAGAAAAATCGTGCGTTTGATTCAGCAACGGTTTGATTTAGTTGAAAAGGCCAGTGTGGATGAGAGTTATATTGATTTTGGAAGGAAAATATATGAGAAAATGTTGAAGCTATTCCCCGAATTATCCAGGCAACCTGGCGACCCCAGCGAATATCTTCCAACAATACCAGACAAGCTACCGATAGAAATACAGTGGGAAGGAGTGGTTATACCGAGCGATTCAGAAATACAAAGAGATGATAACGCACAAGAGCAAATAGGTAAACCTAAAATCGAAGATTGGGATGACATATGTCTAATTGTTGCCTCGAAAGAAATGTTGAACCTACGCAAGGTAATTCATGACGAGCTAGGATATACAACATCTGCGGGACTAGCCCGAAATAAATTAATGGCAAAATTAGCTGGTGGGTTTAAGAAACCAGATAATCAAACAATAATCCGAAACTGTGCTCTTAATAGATTCCTTACCAATTTTGAATTGACTGATATTACAGGAATGGGAGGTAAGTTGGGTGAAAATTTGATGTACCGCTTGGAGGTTCCAGCAGATAAGAACTCAATTACATACATTAGAGATAATTATACTCTTGAAATGCTACAAGAAGAGATTAAAGAAGATCCAGAATTGGCCTTGAAAATTTACCAGATTGTTCGAGGATTGCGATCCACGGAGTTAACAAGTTGGATAGAATTAAAATCAATGACGTCTACGAAAAACTACCTCCCACAGAAGCCATTGCAAAATTTAGGAGAGGCGTATGGTTGGCTTAAGGTGTTTGCAGGGGATTTATATAATAGATTGATAGACCTAGACTATGAGAACCTAGACTTGCTGAAATCAAAGTTGTCCAAGAAGGAAAAAGGAATCATCAAGAGACCAAAAACTCTTACAATTGGAATTCACTCTACCACAGGTATAAGACAGACAATGCAAATGTCGATTCCATGCTTCAGGGATCTTGACCGATTAAAGGAAATCATAGAGGATGGTGGATATAGTCTATTGAGAGGTTTTTTGGAATCCGCAACAAACATAAGTGCCATGAATGGTCAGATCACAATGAAAGCACTTTATGAAGGAGATCCTTATAAAGTTAAAATCCTTCCATTGAGAAACATGTCATTATCGGTTTCCAACTTTACAACACTAAGTGAAAATGCCCTAATAGAATCATATGCCACCAAGAACAATACCAATACCGCTTCCAGTGAACTAAAACAAATCAATGAATCCATTAGATCAAAGAGAGAATCGACACCACCAGAAGTTACTGCTAAAAACTTATCCAAATCGGATAAGGAGCATATTTCCAAAATGTTTGAAGCTTTCCAGGTAGAACAGTCTGTATCATTACACGAACGAGAACGAGAACTGACCGCAAAGCCCAAGGTTAATCCTGATAATATTTATAAACTATTTAATGACTTTCATGAACTGACTCAAAATGCACGGCTCCCAGATACTGCCATAAAAAATAACCAGAAGAGGAAGCATAACAGCATTGATATCCTACGTAAACTACAGAAGAAGCCCAAACGAAGCTTGCTTGAAGAGTTAATCGAGTCAAAATTTTGTCCCAAATGTAAGATAGCAGTTGACGATGCTTTGGATCATAATGACTTTCACATAGCAATGGAGCTTTCAGAAAAGCTTAATGGTAGCAGCAATTAATAGAATTTAATTTTAATTATCCATTTGTAAAACCAAGTTCATAATTTTCTGCCTATCCTGTCTTTGATGCTCCTTCTCTTTTAATATAGATTCAGCAAATTTGTTATCGCTAGGAAGGTTCAATTGCTTTACATTTGTCTTTTTACCACTTCTTGTTAATAGTCCAAACGAGACCTTGGAAGAATCGTTTCCATTGTTTTTAATTTCATTGGCAACAAGAACTTGCCGTGGCACTGGCATGTTTAGTTTACCTCTAGCACCACCTTGTTGCGGCCTTGCAGAAATGTTGTATGATTCAATCATAATTTTCTGGAACTCTTTATCAATGTCATCCGAGAACTTCTTAGCCTCCTCTATCCTTACTCTTTCAGGTTCGGGCACTTCATTTTCCACGTCACTGTCTTCGTCCTCATCTTCATCTTCATCGTCGCCTTCATCATCTGAAGAGTCATCATCATCCTCCTCCTCTTCATCATCATCGTCACCATCACTATCATCCTCATCTTCTGGATCGATGTATTCATCATAATCTAATTCTTCATCAGCAATATTGTCGTCATCATCTTCATCATCCATAAGTTGAGACTCAACCTCCTTCTTGGTTTGAATCAGCTCTTGAAGCTTCTGGACCACTTCTCTGATAGTTTCGTAGCGTTTGACAGTAGACACATCCTCATATTTTGCAAACAAATCTGTTAATTTGAACTGAAGTTCCACAGGAAGTGGAGTTTGCTTACAAAATATGTAATATTGCAAAAAGGTAGTAAAAACACCTAATAATTCTTTGTTGATTTCGTTTTTCTTTTTAAGATCAGATGCTTGCTTAGCAGGCGATTTCTTCTTTGGGGAAATATCAGAATCAACAATTATCGATTTTATAGAAAGAAGCAATAAGCAACACAACTGAATTCTGAAGTAATTGTCAGGCAAGTCAATCTCGACTTCCCAATTATTTGGTAATGGTTGATTGTTAGGATGACCAGAACAAAGAATTCGATACAATAAATCATTAAGCAACTTAAACTGGACTATTTTCTTGTTATATAATTCAGCAACAAGTTTAATCTGGGACATTCTGACTCTATTCATCCTATAGTCATTCAATTCCAATCCACGAATAATATTTTCAATCAAAGTATCAATGGTATAAACCACAATTTTCTTGTGGTTTTTAGAATACATTTGCAACACTTCTGCCAATGCTGGAAGATTGTCATAATTTACCAATTCAGGATGAGCAAAACAGTCCAAAACAGTATCACAGCTTTCTTCATCTGTTTGGATATGCAATTTGTTAAGTAATCGAATGATAACGGGAACAGATTTTGCATCTAATTCTACCCGAATTAAACGTTGAATGAATTGTTGCTTTAATGAAAGGGTAGATTTTTCTCTTTGAACTTTGGTATTTGCAGGAGGGTTGACAATTAAAAGTAAATTGTTGATGGCTAATTTGTCATTGATTTTCAAATTTGATTTCTTCAGCTTTTCTTTTAACAATTCAATCATTTCAACCATCAAATCCTTATATTCAGGTTCATTCATTAAAAATCTACCTACGTTTTCATAGAACACCGCCAATATATCAATGTTATTGGTGGCAGATATATTAAGTGTTAATGTTCTAATCTTGTGAAAAATTAAATGAATAGGAACCATTTTAAATTTAATCAATTCAACAAAGAATAAAATATTCTTGAAGTTCAACTTGTTTTGGTAAAGTTGATGTCTGAAACCCTTGTCTAAATAGGTAATCAATTCTTCAATCAAGTCAGACAAGTTGATTTCGTTTATTTTCAAAAATCGAGCATAATATTTCAAATTGCTAACATTGGAAGTTTCAATAAAGAACCTCATAATTCTATTCTTGGTTGCTTTGTTATTCAAATTCAAATTATTAAACTCAACCACTAACTGCTCCAAGTCATTAGCCCCAACATCTTCAAGTCGATTCAAAAAATCTTGAATTCTTTCACCATCTTTTGAAGAAACCGATTTAGAATTTTCCATAGAAGTAGAATCCATAATTTCACCCAACAGCGGTATTACAGTATAGAATGTCTTTTCTTTGATATCTTCCCATACACCATTAAGATCGTCTTCGTTCAAAGACTTTGATTTGACTAGTTCTACCACGGAATCAGGTTCCTGCTTGGTGTCTTCTTCATCTAAATTCCAATTCAACGGAGGAATATCCAATGTATCTGATAAAAATTCTGCAGTCAGTTTGAATTTTTCATATCTCGATTTTACATCATCCAATTCTACTTGAATTTCTTCTAAAATTCTTCCTGTTCTGATTGATGCTTTGTTGTTTCTTTCAGTGAGTTGTTTTACTCGCTTCTTTAAATCCACAGTTATATCAAATACAGCTTTAGAATAAATTGAAAATATCTGCACTAAAACGTTACGAACTTCAAACAGAAGAAGAACGTTGTCATCGTTACATATAATGTTCTGAAATCTCTTTAAAAATGACTGGATTACACTCAAAGAATTACCCAGTTTTAATTCAAAATTCATCAAATCCTTAATGACGACAATTAATATTGGTTCTGATGCTTGCTTGCCAAACTTAAGTAACAATTCATGAGGAATCAGATCTTTATTACAATCTTTCAAAACACGAAAGACACCAATGATATAGAACTCTCCAACCAATCTAAGTAAATTTCTTTGACGTACAATTCTAGATTGCTCTTCCTTTTCATCTATGTCACTCTGATGGGATCTTACAGGGTTGGATATACCAACCAAAACATGGATCAACAATTGTGGCGTGAATAGAGTGGTGAATCTTTGGTGAAAAGCTGACACGATCTCAATGGCCGCCAATATATCATCACTTTTGGAGACTTTATACAACGCTTCCACTAAATTGACAATAACTTCGGACAAGTACTTTTCGATGGAAACAGTTTCTATGTCCTTGAGCACAGACTTGTATTGATCTGAGTTGACACCAGTCTTGATCTTTTTAATAAAGGCGGTATTCTTTTTCAAGGAAGAGTCCAATTTGGCTGCCACTTTGTAGACATGCTCGCCATTCCAGGCTTTTGTATTTAAATCAAGTAATTCTTTCCTTCTGTTATCTAATTCAGAGCTCATTATACATGGTTAGATCGAAGGATTATGTATGTGTAACCTGGTATCTTGTTGGTGTTGTCGCCAGAGAAGGGTTGTAAATATAGGCCAGTTTGAAAGAAAGAGCAAATTTCCTTTTTCTGTTGTTCGCACGACATTTTGGGTCAAAAAGTTTTAAACGACATTTTTACCAGATGGCTGCAACTACCAATTCTACATCAACTTGGATGCTAAACGAATCATTTATTTACAAGGTTTATATACATTAAACAAGACTCTTTTATTGGGGTAATGGTTCAATACCTCTGACTCTGTGGAAAACTCTTCCCTTGCCCAAACCATACATTTCTCTAACTTGATTGACACTTCTATCAAAGCCTTGTCTCCAAACATGAGCACCAACGGGTATCAATCCTTGTTCTTGGACAAATGTTCTGATGTCAAAATGTTTTCTAGCAACTGGTTTAATGTCCAATGGCTTGGTTTGTCTGAATACCCAGAGACAAGCTCTTTGGGTTGGGGTGTTCTTTTCAGGAACCAATGGCTCGAAATCGGCAAGAGTATATTCTTCACCCTTAGTTAGTAATTTTGAAGGGTCAATAGTGTTGTCAACATTGTCTAAAGGAACATTGGCTAATGCGTAATGGAGAGTAGTTGAAAATGAGTTGGCTGGTAAATCTGGAGTATCTGGGTTAACCAATAATACAGAATATAAGTTTTTACCATCAACACGTTCAAATTCTTGAATCTTGATAGTAGGAGGTTGCGATACAGCAATTGTGGGTAACATTTCACCTGGAACAATCCAGTGAGAAAATTCCGAGTCAGAGTTGTGGCCAAATCTAATTTTGACATCACATTTTGGTTCGAGGGTTGGTAATGTGTCTGGAATCACATGCAATTGTTCTAATCTTTGCATGGTAACCATTAAATCATATTTTTTCCATTTTTGTTCCAAGGCTTTTCTGTAGACTGGTTGGGTTTTATCAAGCGAATCTGGATCATTGAAACTGCTATTGTACATAACTTCAGGGTTTTGAATTTCGGCTCTAATAAGTAAGGTGTCAATTTGATCCTTCAATTGTTTGATCGACTCTTCATCTTTGGTTTGAGCCAACTGTTGCTCCAATTTTTCAACTTGATTATATAAGTCTTCAGCCTTTTGCTCTAAGATTTCGTAAGCCATAGCAAAGGTTGAATCAATTTCATTAGGAGAGTGGTAAGCTGCTCTTCTTGAATGACTTATCATAGATCCAGGTCCATCCGTAGATTTTCCAAATAAATTGTTGTTGATTGCTTCATTACTAAGTTTTAAACTTGGAGATCTTTTGGAAAAGTTGGACCAAACTTTTTGAGAAGATGTACTGTTACTTCTTCTGAATTCTTTGGAACCACGGGCGACAACTCTTCTTAACATCTTTTATGGATTCTAGTCAACTTTTTCAGTCACACGCCAGCTTGTTTCGTTATACAAGAAAGTTTTTCAAAACTTTTTTTTCACCTCACCTAACTAAAGAGGACTGAAAATTACACGCACTAAATATGTTTGTTAGGTCTGACATTTACGCATATAAGTCTACTATTTGGCAGCAAATTCCATTTCTCTAATCTATTAAATATATATACATATACGGGAGTACTTAATAAAGATGTGATGACTGTGACCTGCACAACATCACATAATCATTGACAAATATAAGAAGGAGTCAAAGGTAAAGAATCAGTCTTCATAAATTGGCTATCATCATCAATATTCATTGTTGGGAATAAACCAGGCACAACTGGGTTTTCTGAATCACTATAATCGTCTGAATCTATAGTGGTTTGCTGGCTCAAGCTCGGAGAAGAGTCTGAACTCAGCCATTGTATTTGCACAGGTTCGTCATTTTTTATTTGTTCTTGCATATGTTGAGGCTCGTGGTTAAAACTCAATGCATCATAATTAGTACTAGCATTAGGAAATAAACCTTGCTGGTCGGACTTTTCTAGAAGTTGTTCGGGACAGCTTCTTTCTAGCATCTCCCCATAATAGTTGGATTCATGAAAAGGTTGATCTAAGAAAAGGGATTGAAACTCAGGAGTATTTTGTGGTGACTTTGATTCCACCGGAAATAGTATTTGGTTGCAAGGTTTATGGAGCGGTTGTGGGTCTTCAACTTGTAATATATCAGGCGAGCATGATTGCATCAGAGTAAAAAATGCATTATACAGCTGAACTGGAAGGAACTGATCCATGAGAAATGAACAAAACCCACATAAATTTGTGGAGGCAAGGCTATTAAATATATAGAAGAGCAAGCAAACACAATAAAAATTCTTGGGCAAAGAAAATTGAAACAATCAAATTGTGTTATATTTTGCAATTTGTTCGCATCATTGTGCATATCCGTTCTTCATAAATGGCTTTATTACCAATTTGACTCTCGCCATAGACGGAAGCCAAGAACAATAAAAGAAAATGCAAGAAAGCCGAGTAATTTTTGTAAGGCAAATCATGACTCAAATTTCGCAAGGCGTATTAGCGAAAAACAAAGAGCAAAAAATTAATCTAAACCGATCCAATTAGGTTTGTGCTTCCAACGGCTTTTTGAGAGGAGCACTGTAAATTATTACCTTATGCCTATATGCCCATGTTGTAGGACCTAGAACAAAATTTTTTTTTATTTCGGTACGATATTTACGACTTGGCGAGAAATATGTTGGGGTATTTTACTTCAGAGGTTTGTGATTCTGTTAGACAGGTGGCTTTTGTTTTTCGAATCCTTTTGTCCTCTCGACATGCAAGATTTAGTTGAAAATTGCCGTATAATAAGATGTGTGCCCGCTAATTAACTGGCCGCTCAAAAAATCGGGGGAAAACCCACTTCATGCTATACTTAATATCCCATTTATTTCTCATTACACATAATTTATACAATACTCTATATATTAAACATTAAAACTCTCAAAATTAATTATTAACCATCTCTCTCTCCTCCCCCCCCCCACAGTATTCTGTAGAACGCTCCAACTATTATAAATATAATGCCCGTTATCACCTATCATTTTGATACTGCAGTTTGCTAAACATGACAGGAGGCATAACTGGATTATTATGATCTACTATAGGCGGAATTATAGCTGTTCCTGGATTATTGACTTGGTGTTGTGATGGTTGTGATAGTTCAATCAACCTGCTTTGTAATGCAATTGTATAGTCACGCAACTGCAGATTTTCATTTCGCAATTCCTCTATAGTTTGACGAAGTTGATCAACCTCGGCAGCCTTGGCTTCCAAATCTTTAATGTATAGATCTTTGCGTTCTCTAAATGCACGTTGGGCGTTCCTATTTTGAGCAGCACGTTTTGTTGTTGATACTATTCTATTGTTCTTGGCGGGAGTGGGTCTTGAAGGCATACTGCCAGCACTTCTACTTGGTTGCATTGTGAATGAATGTTGGTGCGAATCTAAGGTTGCTAGCTCTACTGAATTTGACTGACGATGTGTCTGCGTTTGTCCGTTCATCCCAACAACAGACAGAGAAATATCATCACCAAAGCCAGTACTATCGGTTCTATAATTATTGTTATATTTGTCGTCTGAGCTGTCTTTGACTTGATCCCAGGAGGCGAATGTGGAGTTCATTTTTACTATCTATGGAATTAATTAGTTGCGGAATTTTTTTTTATTTGCTTGGCGATGATTAGCTGTCAATTTGAAAACTTGAAATGAGGGGGGTTTTGAAGGTATTAATAATGTTGCAAAAATATTGGCCACTGGTCTAGTAGGATGATCGATTACAAAATAGTGAATAATAAGCCGTAGCAGATTAATTCAATTTTTAGAATATATTAAGTAAGCGCTGACAAACAATCATGGTGTCTAGACAAGGAAAAAAAAGTCGCGCAATCGATAATAATATCCCGTTCGGTCCGGAAATAAGCAAGATTTACGTCAAGATTTAACTCTATTTTATAGCTATTTTCATTTTAAAAATTGTAATCATGTTCATGTAAGCATTCTATTCAATGCGGAAGAATGTTGTCTGTCTAAAATCTGGATTAGAATCATATAATATCGACTAAAATAGGTTTACGGACGTACATATGATGATTACTATTTGGAGTAAGTCCGAAAATCAGCGTAAAGAAACAAAGATAAAAAAGAAAAGAAAAACAAAATTGAATTTGTGCTCTGGAGTTACGTAATCGGCCGAAACCCTCTTTTGTCTATGTGTTTTGGAACTAATCAGGCAGGCGAGACCCACAATTGACAAAGTACCTGACAAATTGATTATTATTTGTAATCTAAGCCAAAACATTAGATCTTCACTATTCCGTTATAGCCCGTAAATCCGAGCTTCTGGAAGAGGGCTGTGCATTTAGACAAAAATAATTGTTTTAGTCACACACACGCGGATAGGTTGGGGGAGATATGATGCTGCTGCTGCTGCCCAATCTAGATCATTACATCATGCTATCACCATCGCAGGGTTCTATGCCTGCAAATAATAATCGGAATAGTACCCGACGGACATCAAACTTTTTCCCCTCGGGTACTGCCGAACATACTAATAACACAACTACGCCTAGTCTAATATCAACACCGAATTTACCGACGCCACGAGAGCATTTCCCATACAGAACTACCTCATTAGATTCATCTCCATTTTTAACTAATTCACGGTATCACGAAATGGAGACAATGAACCCAGGTGGTTATAACGGTCAATTTACAAGCATGTCAGAATCAACAACGGCAGTTCATTCCCCAGTGATGCTAGCGACAACGAATCATACGCTTGGAAGAAGCCTCACAATGGATTATAAATTCTCTTCACAGATGACCAATCTTTCAATCTCGGGTCCTCCGCAATTACCCAACAATGTATCAGGCTTTACCGGGTCTCGGAGTTCATTCCTGGCAGGTTCGGCGATATCCACAGGTTCGGTTTCGTCTATCGGGTCGTCATCCATATGGAATGACAGCCATCATTCTTCTACTACCATTCTTGGGAACAGCCTCCTTGATGAATTAGAGAATGACTATTTGTTTTCTCCTTTCTGGAAAGAGGAGGAGGCGGAGCAAGAGCTCGAACAGAAGAATCAAGAAGAAAAGTTGGTTATGCAGCAAGAAAATCTTCAATTAAAGAGTAATATCTACGCGAACAAGGTCAATAATCCTACGTTTATACCAAGCTCAGGACTCTTAGAGGAAAATTCCAAGCTGGCAATTAAAATTTCCGACAAAGCTATCAAAAAATCGAAAGCGAAGAAAGATGCTTCCGGTGTGCGACTAAACTATAAGATAGAAGCTAAGTATGAAGAGGAAGAGCAGAGTCTATCCCAGAAAAACATCAAGATAAAGCTTCCTAATATATTCAGGGATACCCCGGAAAGTGATTATTTCTTAAAGGATATGATATCGTCACAAGAAGCGAATAGATACGGCGAAGACTACTGTTCTACATTCTACAAACGAAATATCCACGGATACATGTTCATCAAGGAGCCTAGTAATTCGCTTAAAGTGAACGCTTCAGGAGGTAAATCCTCTGTTAGTTTAAAGATTAGTTTACCTGCTGGGAACAATAGACTATTGGCTAAGAAATTGAAGGTAGATGTGAAAGAATTGCCGATTTGGAAGCCAATAAGCTCTGGAAATGGAGGTACGGCTAGTTTCACGGCAAGAAGAAGGCCCAATGTAAATAGTAATAACACCAGCAATGGAACCAAGGAAACGAAAGGTATCCAAGCTACACAAGATCCCCCAAAGTTAAAAAATGGTAACCTATCAAAAAGGTTTGGAAGAAGGAATACACCAAAGCAAACACCTTAGATGATTCAAATCCCGTTATATATAAATCACGTGACACTAAATACCCCGGTCAAAACTACTACGATTTAACGCAAGAAAAAGACGAAGTTATTATACGCATAATAGTATAGTGAAACATTGACAACGGCTATAGATCTATGCACATTTACTTAATGAGAATACAGTGGCTGGTGGTATAACACCATGTACATGAAAAAAGCAGCCGATTATTTACGTTCGATTTTTGCACACCTGCATATAACTCGTGCTATTTTCATTTTATTTTTTTTTTTTTCGCACCTATTGGAAAAAAAATTGAACCAATCAATTTTGGCTGAGATAATTTTTTTTCCCTCTCTCTTCACAGTTTTCAATCTCTGGCGTGTAAGGACCAAACAGACAAAGATAAATTTTATTTATACCTACTCCCAACGCACTTTATCAGAAGAGCAAACTCCCTGGTTTCAATTGTCAATTCATTGTTCAAGCAACTCAGAAGTTCTACTACCAAAAGCATCACTAATTCTCCGCTAGTACCGCACTGATATAAACTCATAATACAATGTTGTCTGCTACCATTCGTTCCACTTTAAGATCAAGAGCTATTGTCCAAGCTCCAAGACTCAGTGTCTTCAGAGCTGCTCCTATTGTCAGAGCCATGCCACAACAAGTCAGAGCTTACTCTGCTGACCACCACGATGAAACTTTCGAAGAATTCACCGCTAGGTATGTGAAAAATTTCAGCTACGTACTATATAAAGGTATATCTTACTAACTGTGTCTTTTAGATATGAAAAGGAATTTGAAAACGCTTACGATTTGTTCGAAGTCCAAAGAATCTTGAACAACTGTTTCTCATACGATTTGGTTCCAGCCCCAGCTGTTATTGAAAAGGCTTTACAAGCTTGTAGAAGAGTCAACGACTACCCAACTGCTGTCAGAACCTTCGAAGCCTTAAAACACAAGGTTGAAAACAAGGAACAATACGCCGCCTACTTGGAAGAATTAAAGGACATCAGAAAGGAATTGGGTATTGATTTGAAAGAAGAATTATATGCTGAAGGAGCTTAAGCACTTCCCCAAATTATAGTCATTTTTCACCATAAACAATTAATACAGTTTTTTTTAAAGTAAAACGAAAATTTTACTCACCACATGAAGAAGGAGAAAGTTTATTAACTTGACAAAGAATAAAATTGTTGTCCCAGGTGATCAATTGATTTGTTCTCTTGTTATAACGATTGTCTATGAATTTGTTTATGTTTTGCTTACTCTTTCTATTTAGTTTCTATATGGTTTTATTATTACATGAAAATTATTATGAACTTTGTAGATGGATTAAGGTGTGTGTGTGTGTGTGTGTGTGTAGCTAGTAGTCCTAGCCTCTTTTCATGGTAACAATTTCCTACCCGCACCCATTATTGTTAGTTATTGTATGGCGATATTTCCAGCAAATGAGACACTACCATTTTCAAACAGAAATTTCGGTCACATGACGTGGATTTTTAATTTGGTAGCATCTCGTACCTAAATGCGCCTCTAAAGTAAGTCAGTATTTTTTTGGTAAACGCAACTACATATACGTTGAGCCTTTAAGAGAGCAGACATTACTAATATCAAACATGGGTGTCTATGTACCACCACCTGATGATAATGATCCTAAAAAGAATCAGAACCAAAAGAATAGTAATTCCTCACCTGCATCAGGCTCCAATTCCTCATCATCTCCATCGGGGTCAACTACGATCATAATACCCAACCCAGTTGCATTAATACCTCGTAATCCCAGCGTTGGTCTAATATGGGGACCGTTGATGCCTGCGTCGGATAACCGTCCTGCGCTATATGCATCCATCGGTGCCCAATTCTTGCTTGGACTCGCCATGTTTAGGCATGCGCGGGGATTATTCCGTCTTCAACCTATTGCCACTGGCTTGAACACACCTCCAGTCATGGGGAGACGTGGCCCATTGTGGAGAGTACTATTGTCTGTTGTCACGGGGTCTGGATTAGTGTTTGGAAGCGGATTGGAATTGAGTCGTATGACATTGCCGTACGACCCGTGGTACGAAGAGGCGCAACACTATCGCAAAGTTGCAACTAAACAAGGTGATAAACCAAGCGCTTGGTTTGGTGCATACAAGTATTACCGTCCTATGGACTTGAACACCTGGATTAACAAAGTCGGGGACTGGATCAAGAATGTCGAGAAGGAGATTGAGGATCCAAATCACATGTCAAATGTGACGCTTGAATTGGGGAAAAATAGTAATGTAATTGTCAATAAACCAGTAGCTGGTGGAATATTGAGTAAGTTGAATAATAAGGGCAAATATCAAGAGATTTATAATAAATTGCAAGAGTCAAATGTTAATCGAAGGAAACAATTGCTTGAACTGGAGTTAAAGGATGTTGTTGAGTTGAATAAGGCTGATAGATTGGATGCGATATTAGAAGGAACTTCCGATTTGAACGACCCAGACTATTCCAAGCCTAGCATTCAATTGGGTAATCATAGTTTGGAAACCGATGACGATTTGGAAATGGTTTGGTTAAACTTTGAACCTTGGGACGAGTTGAAATTGGAAACAGACTATGATATTAGATTAATACCAAGGTGTCTGGTAGCAGGCAAGCATTCCGAATTAGTAGAGGCCACAGCTACAACTAGAGGTGTACCGTCTTCCGGTGACGAAGAAAATACTCTTACTTCCAGTTGATTGTAGATAAACATTCTATATACAGTATTTAAATATAATTTATTTGAGTTCTTTCTCATCACTTGATTTTTCAATTAATTCATCTGCCCATTTTAAAGCACCAGCATTATTGCCACCACCTTGCAATTGAGGTTTATGATATTGTTGGATATGATCCTTCCATGCGATTTCAGCTGGATCTTGATCAGGTTCCACCCATTCAAATCCATCACCACCGCTCATCCAGTATGCTTGGAATGTAAGATCTTCCAAGTTATCCTTAGCCTCAAGCAATCTAATCTTGTTCCCTTCTCTGTCATAACCTGGACTCAACAGGTGAGTAACTCCATGGGCACCGATAGGAGCTGGCCGACACAATTCCTCGACAATTTCCGGATTATTCTGTCCACCATTCAAGTCACGGTCAGCCTCCAAGATTTTAGCGCCAAACAACATTTCGTCAGCATGCTTGAACCAATGGGTGTAGAATGTTCCCTTTTGCCATGTAAGATAATCTCCACCGGCACTAGTCATTTGTCTTCCGAATTTCACAATACTTACCAAAAAAGTCGAGTTTACTAAGTAGGTCAATAGCACCGAATTTAATGCTACTATATGTTGCCAAGCTGGGGACACCATTCCCGTTTCAATCGCGGTGTTTATTCCGAGTTTTGTAAGAATGGTGATACCGGCTGCGGATCCAACCAATTTAAAGAAACCCTTCTTCAAGATATCTTGATTCTTTTTTATATAGTTTGGATGGCCAACTGTGACATCGGATACTTTGATGGCGCGGAAGAAATCTCCATTGAAAAGAGCGTTTCTTAATGCAACCAAAGCGGTTTCCTTGTCAATTACGGCATCTGGGTTAAGGCGGTAGTAGTGGTTGATCAATTTGAGGTTGAGTTCAGTAGGCAAATTCAAAAGTAAAATTTCTTTCAATAATTCACTGGAGAATTGCACGTCCTTGGAGAAGACTTCATCAATTATTTGAAGACAATCTTTGGTGAGTTTTGATTTGGAATCGAGTTGGTCTTGTAAGGGATAACTGTGCTGCAACATTTTAAATGCTTTTAATGCGCTTATAATTGTTTCATTGGTGGATGATGAGGTTATTGTTTCATTTACCTTTTGGGATAATTGGTTGAAATCTTGGACATATGCAAATGGAGATGCTGTGGAGTTCCATCTCAAAAGTGATACTGGCTTTACTATTTGACAACGGAATAATGTCCTGTTCCTGGGTATTATTCGTATCATATTGTTAATGCTGTAGTCTATTTACTATGGTACTGCTTTGGATAGTTTAGAAAAAAAAAGGAGTGAAAAATTATGTAGTGGAAAAGATCTAAAAATATTTCATGAATTATGCAGGAATAGCAAACAGCATATATTATTTCTCCAAACGTAACGACATATACGAACTAAACTACTTTAACGTCCAAGTATCCATTTAAACTTATAACCCAAAAGATCCACCGAGAATACTAGCAAATATGGCAACAAAAAGTAATAAAGAATTGGCAGAATTCAAGTAGCCACCATTCTTGGTAGTAGAAGAATTCGACGAATCTCCTGAATCTGATTCTGAGGGATCAGCACTTGCATCTGCTTCTGCTTGAGTTACAGCAGCCGCAGTGGATCTAAGCACTCTTGAAGTAACAAAAGTAAGACCCTTGGTGGTATCATCATTAAGGGTATCAGCTGAGTTTTGAGCTTGAGGAGTAGCACCTGGAGCCACACGTGCACCAGCAGCACCAGGACCACCACCAGGTAAGGTGGTAGTGGTTTGTGGTTCGGTATGGGTTGCTCTAAATGCAGCTAACTGATCGGCATTCATGGTTACCGTTAATGAGTATTGTGAAAGTTGGGAAACATCCATGGTGGCTGGATTTTCTGGCAACTCGGTAGTAGGGGTGGTTGTTGGCGTGGTAGCTTTACCTGGAGCAGGAGTAGTTGTTGGAGTTGTGGCCTTACCTGTGGTAGTTGGTGTTGTCTTTGCCCCTGGAGTAGGTGTGGTTGGGGTGGTGGCACCAGCAGGTGGTGTTGTTGTTGGTGTAGTGGCTCCACCGGCAGCAGGCGTTGTAGGAGTAGTAACTGCACCAGCAGCGGCAGCACCTGCAGGAGTGGTGGGGGTAGTGGCAGCACCAGCGGCGGCGGCAGCTGGTGTTGTTGTTGGTGTGGTAACCGCACCTGCGGCAGCTGGATCAGCGGGTGCAGCGGGTGCAGCAGGTGCTGCTGCTGCTGCTGGAGCGGGATCGGCAGCGTGACAAATCTGGAGGAGAAGAGCCAATAAAAGAACGGAATATTTCATGTCAAAAATTTTAAGCGAACGACTTGACAACTGTAGAAAGGAAAATAGCAACTATCACAGGTTTTAACGTGTTACTTATCGGTATGTGTATGTGTTTGTGTATTTTTATTTCACCCCTAAAATTTTTTTTTCGAGGAAAATTGCTGCAACGCGCGTGCTCAAAATACCGCTCAGCATAATGACATATGGAGAGAAAGGATTATGCTTACAGAAAGCTTACATCTGTGACATGCCCTGGAAATCTGAGTCTCATTTATGACATTTCACCCTCTAATAATATTTACTAATAGGGGAACTTATGCCGACTTGTTGAACTAGGGAAATTCTGTTTGAAAAATATTTTCCAGTTATATTTGTTTATTTTTTTGCAATGTTTTAACAAATACAAAATCACTACCAAATTAGCTGTCACTTATGTACTTTAAAATATAGATAGTTTATATGTTCAATGTCAGCCGTATAAACTATGCCATATGGTCATATTATCAATCCATCAACTGTATAAGGTTTCAAATTTTATATGCTCTAGAAGTGAACTTGCACACCTATGTGGGCGTGTATTGACATCTGCGACGTAGCCTTGGCAACATTTACCCTAATGACGTAACAATATTTTCAATAAATTATAGATCTGACTACACTAGTTTTACGTTCTGGACAATAGAAACTAAAACAAGTCACCTTGTAAGATCATAAGGCTGTAAGAATAGCATTTTTATTTTTTTTGGTCATACGGAACCAGATGATTTCAACGAAAAGGCATAAAGCTGTACACATACTTTCTATCATAACGTTCATTACAATATATACCAATGCACAGTCTCTAGTTAATTTTTCTCTTTTTCTTTCTCTTTTCCATTTTTGGTGCACAGTCAGGACAATACCACACCTCGTCGGCTTTAGGAGGAGACGTTATACCCACACAGCTCCAGTGGAACCACTCATACTTACAATCATCATTATCACAACCAATCATTTCGCCAAACGATACACGTTGACAGAAACAATACAAGTTATTATCGGCATCTTCACCATTCCCATTAGGTCCTTCACCGTGACCGCCTGGTCCAACACTGACATGACCATTCAATGCCAATGACCCTGTTGGAGTGAACGACATTGTCTCTTCCATTTCTTCCGATTTGAGTCGTTTAACTGGTCTGGTTGATATCGACGAGGAACCTAAATTATTACCACTGGTTGTACCTCTGACAGCTGTTGTTTTCCTCTTGTGGCCCTTCTTTATGTCAGCCATGGCCATTGATACTGGTGTGCTTGTACCGTTTCTTGGAGTTGGCGTGACCGAATAACTATCGGACAAACTCAAACTAGCATCCTCTCGTCCTAGTTCCAAGTCAAGTCCATTTTCCAACGGTGGCAAGAGCTCATCCCTTTCCAACTTGGCAATATCAGTTTCAAAGTTGAACAAATGCTTGGATATTAAAAATAATGCCGTATTAGCAAGGAGAATTTTCTCCTTCTGCAACTTCTGAGCTACTTTCATATCTTCTTCTATTTTACTATAGAGTTGCTGCTCCTTGGGATGCTTAGTTAACGTTCCATTTGCTCTGATGAATTTGTGGATCTGATTGTCCTTGGCCTGATATCGTTTTCGGGCATCTTGAAGCTGTATGTCTTTGTTTTTGATCTCCTCCAAAAGATGTCGTATCTCTAATGGGAGATTAGATAAGTCTTGGGTGTATTTCTCAAGTACTGTTGATGTATCCATTGTTGCCGTTGGCTGTTGATGGTTGCTTACAGTTTGGTTTTAACTGTTCAAATTTTTTGACGGAAAAGGGCGTGCGCTTGAGACCAAATTTTGTCAGCACTCAAATATAATTTGCAACGACTTGGCAAAGTGTTATACCCTTATTTCTCCATTATTACCAACATTATGTCGCAGGAACTATCGGACAAAGTCAGCGACTTGTCAATCTCCGACAATGACACATTGAACCAATTTGAATCAATTACTCCATTGACAGAACAGGAACAAGTGGACTTACATGACAAAGTAACCAAGCTTTCCCAAAACCCACAAACCAGCAAAGCAATATACGAGCTAATCATAAATGATAGCAGCAAATTCTTGCATTCGCTCAAGAGAATTCACGATACTTCGGGTGTAATAGTCACTCATACAATTCAATCCACCACCGGATCAGACAAGATAGTCGACAATTTACTTAGTTGCATACGAGCAATTCTCAAGAATGACACGGATCCAGAATCAAGATCTTATTATCTAGGAGTTTACAGTTCATTAGTGAATCACTTTCAGATCTCTAACCCGCAGCATTTGAACTTATTCTTGACTTTTGCAAATTCAGATGCTGCACTCCATAGATCCATACTAGTATTGGTCATTCAAAATTTAAAATTGGAAAAGGAAAAGACCAGTGAAATCATCAAGGAATATTTAGAAGTTGTTTGTGACGAAAAGTATCTTGATAAAGAATCCTTTTTGAACTTTTTAATTGTTCTCGAAATGTGTTTTCCCTTATTACCCGAAGTTTGTGCTGGGGTATATGGTGACGACAAAACCAAACAGCATATTATGAGCAAGATGGAATTAGCACCTGATTTGGAACTGATGAGATATATACTCAAACTAATTGACTCCTCATGTATAGTTGAAACTTGCAGAAACGTTAATGTAACGAATTATTTCCAATTTCTCGTTCAAGGATGTCTGTTCAAAAACGATCAAATCAAAGTATTATCCAGTCTTAATCTTGTCAAATTGTGGAAGTTCATCGATGCCAAAAAGAAATCTAATGACTTGATAACCACCAAATATTTGGCTGATATACTAATCTCATATCTCAAATCACATACTGATGAGTACACCGAATATGCAATTGAGGGATTGATGTACCTCACGCTTTATTGGGAAGTACGACAATTACTAAGAATGGACGTGGAATTGATTGAACAACTACTTGAGAAACTCCAACAATCGTCAACCGAAACTAAAGACCATCATGTTCAGGCATTCAATTTCCCAGTTCAATACAGCATTCTTTCTATATTTGCCAACTTGACTAAAATGAAAGATATAAATGACACAACACAACAAAACACTGCAAATTTACTTAAAAACGTGGCAACACCAACGTCCAGATCAGAAAATGCAAAGGAAGACCAGAACGAAATCAAGCTCTTCAACGAAGAATTATTAACTAAATACAAGATTCTTGATAAGATCACCAAACTAAAAACAATCAAGGGTGCATCATCACATAATGCACTCAATCAAGTCATGAAAATAATCTACCATTTCTCACCCCAGGACAAATTGATGAGGGTAGAACTTGTCAAACAAGGTGCAATCAACATCGTCATCAGTTTCTTACTTAACCTGACCACTGTGGATCACAAGGGATCAATAGTATCTTCCCTTCCTAACCTGGACAATCCTGAATTGATAGAGACCCGGGTGTTTGCATTACGCAGTTTAGCACGCATGTTGATTGCCGTGGATCCACACTTGTCATTCAAGAAATACGACATCAAAACAACCATACCACTTTTAAAAGAGCTTCTCGGTCCGGATATTTCAAAGTATACTGGCAATGTATTGACTAATGAGTCATACCTCCATGACATGACTGCATTAGATAAGTTTGAATCATTACTAGCATTGACCAACATTGCATCAAACGCTTCTCCTGAGTTGAAAAAGTATATAATTGCCCAGACATTCGACTCTTTTCTTGTCAATTTCATAGTTGAGTTTGATGACGTGCGTATTCAACAAGCATCCTGGGAGTTGATTGCAAACATGATAACTGAGCCAATTCTCCTTGCCAAGTTCTTCAATATTCAGCAGACCGAGAATAAGAAACGATTGGATCTCGTGGTGACATTGTTGAATTCCAAGAATGTGAAATTGCAATGCATTCTCGCAGGATTGTTGGTCAATGCCACTGAGTTTGACATGATATGTGAGGTGCTTGTAACTAGCGAGTTTGACCATCTTATAGGTATCATCACCGAAATTCTAGGTGGTCAAACCAACGAAGACGACTTGATATTACCCATTGCATACTTACTAGTTAACCTAGTATATGGAGCAGCCAACACCAGTGAAACTTTATTAACTAATCTCGCATCAAATACCAAACTAAAAGAATCAATTGCCCAAGTATTGAAAGTGGTGAAAAATAGGGAAATTTTACAACCTATACTCGAAGTAATGAAAATGATTAAGTTTAAATAAATACACTTTTATAGAATATATTCAAAAATGAAGAAGCCTTTGCGCAAGGGTATCCTCCTTATGCTCGACATTCGATATCGACTGTCTTACCGTCTGTGCGGCCTTATCTGTCTCCAATTGCACTTTGATTGCCTTATGTAAATTAGTCAAGTACTCAGCAAAACTAGGCCCACTAGTAGCTTTAATAGCACCACCGAGTGCGTCTTCCATCAATAACTCTCTAAATGCAAACTCAGCCCCATCGATTGTTCTACGGACAATTTGAATTCCGGCACTTCCCAAGCTATTCAAGCCAACGATATGTGTTTGGAAATAGTTGACCAAAGTACGGGCTTGGTTGGAAATCTCAGTGTTCAAGTGTGGAAGTTCATCCATGAGTGGATCAATCTCTTTAACTGATTCGATATTCTGGCCAAACAAATCTTTAAGAAGCATGATGTTTGCTTCCGGATCAACCCAGACATATACCTTGACTCCATCACAAAGCAAATACACACCACGATCCAAATTCTTGCTACTCAAGTCCTTATACACGGGTAACGAAATGAATCCGGTTTGTTGGTCAATAATCCCTTCATGTGGTTCTAATGAATGAAGTTCAACCAATGCTGGGTACAAATGGTACATTAATTTCTCTACAGGCATATTCAACATTTGGTAGATGTCAGCTAATCTTGCATCAGCACTAACACCAGTAGAGGCTCTCAAAGCACTTGTCTTGAGCAAGGAAAGAATGTACATGGGAAGATGTCTAAGCGAATCAGGGAAAAGCAACGAGTTGGACATTGTTCGGGCTGAATTGTGGTCGAATTCATTCATGGCTCGGTACTGGGTGAATACCTGGACTAATTTGGTATTAAGCGATTCTCTTAATTCATTCATGGGTTGTTTCCCAATAAATGATAATGTGTCCCTGACAAGAGTAGTAACCACGGCATTTTCATCACAAAAGTGGAATGCATCCTCTAGTCTTTCAGTGACTGCCAATACCAAGTTCATAACTCTTACTTTACGAACCCCAGTAGCATCAGTATATAACAAAGCAGCCTGAAAATGACAATCAAGCTTAGTGCTTAATTTACCATCGTACTCAAACAAAACAGTAAAGGTTTGGTCCTTAGTAAGAATAGGAATGAGTGGATCTTGAACATTACCAAGCACAGCATTGGTTTCAGCAATTGAGGAACTGGTACCATAATATTGAGATACTTGAAGACCGTTAGAACAACGCACCTTTAATTGTCCTTGATAACCCTTTGTGCTCTTGTAAGAATTAACTATGTGCGCAGTTAAGGCTCTTGCATCTCGTTCCATGCTGAAATTGGGCCATCTACTTATGTTCCCACCAGTTATGTTGGCCAACCATCCTACATTGGATAAGTCAACAGGGGTATGCGAAATAACATGCACGTCCAATCCCACATTCTTTTCCACAAATTCCTTACCCATACTTCTATAGTAAGCGTTATCAGCAAGGTACATTTTCTTTTCCAGCTCAAGTGTTCCGGAAGCAGCACGACCCACGGCTTGATTATCTTTAAACTTTAATCCTCCTGGGCCCCATGATGGGATATTACACAATGTAGAAATAATCTTACCACCTCCATATGGTTCCAAACACATAGCAACAGTGCGGCACGCGGCAGCAAAACAAGGTTCTGGATCAGCCACACGTTCAAACGACGACAATCTTTCAATATAGTTTAATGCATCTTCAATAACGGCTCGACTCTCTTGGGGATCGACAAAGAGCCCTTCACTAAATGGAACAAAGGGGTCTTCTAAATCCGAGCTTATGGTGACTTGAGCGGATTCCAATTGTGGTGATAAATTGAAGAAGTGAAGTCTCTTGTCATATGCAATCAATGCAATTTTGGTGTTGGGTTCCAACGAGATTCCCATGCCCAGGTATCCGTTCTCATCTTGTGGCTCGTCTAATCCGTATAGAGATACTCGGATAGAATCAGCTAATACAAGGGGCAAACTTTGTCTAATACTGTTTTCAGTGATATCAATCAAGAATGCAACATGTAGTGGATGAGATTTCTTTTCGGCACCACCAAAGTTGTATTCTTTAGGAACAATGATATCATAAACACTGCGGTGCAATTCAGGACGAATGAACTTGTCTGCACGATAGCCACGAGTATCTAATAGTGCCGAGTACTCTTCAGGAACATGATTGTTGGGGAATTGACAAATATTACAGGCAAATCTTTGGTTGGCAGTGAATTGCATGGATGGGTTGATATAAGCACGACAACGACGACATCTCAATGGTCCAATACTGAGGGGATCGAGTTCACCTTCCTTCTTGGGAGCTGGTGGAGCCAATTGATCTTCTTGTGAAAAGTCAACCACAGGAACAGGGTCTTCAGTTGGGAGTAGTGGAGCAAATGGTCTGATGGTAACTGAAATCGGCAATTTTGTAGCTTGACGAATCAGGTCTGATTCGGGGACAAAGTACATGGTTGATCTCATAAATTTCGACAGACTTGATCCCTGGTCGACAGCATGGAATTGGGTTCCTGCGTCAGGTGGTATGGTTTGTAAAAAGGTCATAAATGATTTGGGGTTGCCTTGTTCATCAGGAGTGTCGTATTCCTTTTGGTTCTCGTATCTATGTTGTTGTAGCGAGAGATTATGCGATTGGCTGATATTATTCATGTCTTGCAAATGGAATTGGTCTGCAGCAATAGTTGTCTGTGGTGGTGGGTGGCCTTGTTGCACACCTGGAGTGAACTGTTGTTGCTGCTGCTGCTGGTGAATAGCAGGGGAGAACTGCTGTGCTGTGGGAGTATAAGGTTGGGCCAAGCCGGGACTAGCACCACCACCCATGGGAGCGAATCCTCCATATGGGTTGCTGGAAGGTGTTGAAGGAGGTATGGCTGGGAATGCATGTGCGGGAACGGGACTGGCATTGACTGAGCCCATTGGACTGTTAAACTCAGTATGGTATGCTCTGACGGCCCGTTTTGATTTTTTTTTGGAGAATGCCGGTCTGGGTGATTCAAGTCCCATTGCTTGAAACTGAGCGCCTAAATCAGGTGTGCTGCCGTGACGAGACAACGGAGGTTCTGATTGTCGTTGATTTGGCTGAGAGTATCCGCCATTCCCAGTGAAAATTCCACTTGGCGGAGGTTGGAATGACATTGTGCTTGGATTGATCGCCGACCTGATTGTTTTACAACCAAGTTTGTTGGAAAAGTACTGAGCAAAAAAAAAAAACAAATGAAAACACACGCCTAACCCGTTGACGTTAAGGCTGGGTGCGACCGGTGGGTGCCACCAGTGGGTACGAGGGCTGTGTCACATGATGAGACATCACGTGGACCAAATCAGCTTGAGCATTCCGCACGACCATGTGATCTAACGAAAAAGCTTATGGCACCGCACCGCCCTCCACTTTACAGAAAGTGCAACCAAGAAAAAGAAAGCACATATACAAAGTCAAGAAAAAAAAAAGAATTAAGGTTGCTTGTAGTTACATATTTAACCTCTTTTACATATGATTCACAACAGATCTGCTCCCCAGAGATCATACAACTAATCAGGAAAAGCTGTGACGGACACGACAACAGTTCATACATGAGATTACAGGCCCTGGCACATATAAATTAAGAGACTTTTGTTTTTTCTTGCCTGTTTGCTTTTTCAAAATGATGGGCGATTTCTCAAACATGGGAAATAAGTCACTACTGTATTTGGAAGGGAATGACATACCGATAAACTGCTCGGTGTACTCCCTTACCAGTGGTATGCTACGACTACAAATATTTGGTCACGACAACACAACTTGGACCAACGCTTCGCACGATTTCTTACCCGCATATTACATTACTAATTGTTCAATACCGCACTTGATTACACTAGTCACGGAGCTGAACATAGAGTCCGACCCAGGTAATTCTGATTATAATCGATCACCATATAATCAGAAGGACAACGGTGACACATTTGTAGCATTATTATTTATCATCTGTGGTTCATGTGTATCCTGCTGGATGCTTTCATTACTATTGTATTTATCCCCAAAACATAAACGGAAACCCCTACTAGCCCAGTTGGCCACCGTGTTCTACTCCGTGGTTACTACTATATTGTTGAATCGTTTAACCCAAATCGCCAAAGAGGAGTATTACGAAGATATGTTGGATATCATACGGCTATATCTGTTTATCTACGATTATACTGTATACAAAGTCATGGTTGTACTCTCGCGACTATTTACCGCGATTGCGTGGTTTCAGATTGCCTTGAAAATATCCCGGCAGAAGTATAAATGGCTTACAATGACGATCGGGGGCGTGCTAATTACCGCCCACATTGTCGCCCAAATCTATTACCAGATTGTGTTTGACAATCTGGCTGCAATTTTCGGCGATAATTTAGTCGGTGCATTTCAACATTGGAAAATCGCCCGCGCATGTTTGCAGTTGGTCATTTTAATTTGGTTTGCGGCAAATATTCTTTGTTACACAACTGTAATTAAGAGCCCGAGAAAAGTGTGCTATTCACGTCGATTACTTCCGTTGGCAATATTCAATTGGTGCCTAATTGTGTTGAATGCGACATTGACTATACTTTATGTCAGTCTATTCCGTTACAACTGGCTAGTTAAAACTTGGCTTGGATTATTGCCATATCTACTTGATGTGATTTTAATCACCACGGTATGGGAATGGATATACAAGATTTGGGTATTGGAGAAACGGTTTGAGTTAATGGGGGTGTTGGGAAGAAAAATGAGCGCCGACGAAGGCATGAGTATAAACCTGGATGATATTGGAAGAAACAAGATGGTTCTACAATCGAAAAACAAGGTATTATCCATGCTAGATGGAATATTACATATAGGAAATAACAAGATTGTTGAGGATGTCGGGTCAGTAAAATCCATAGAGTTGGAAGATTTGTCCACCAAAGACTCATCCATGCCATCCGACCAAACGCCGCAAAGCAATGAACATAGTCACCAACACCTCCACCATCGAGTCAACTTTTTCGTTGATGATGAAACTCCAGGGACTTCTCCAAGCAATGCAAATGTGTCGCCCAATACGAATCCTGACGGATCAGACGCAGATTATGACGATGAAATTGTAGACAATTACGAAATATGGGGTCGAGAAGAAGACGACACCGATGAAATTGGCAATCACGAAATAGGAGACGATTTACACGAAGTAATTGTTGGTTCTAGCAACCAATTTGACTCAGGAAGTAATGACTCTACTGAACCACCACCGTTCCAACCGCTTCCCGGGTTTAGCGAAGAGGATTATTGGAATGATGAAAAGAGATAGAATATTGTATTTTTACTTTTTAATTGTATTTAGCTTTGTATAATAATAATTAATAATGGGATTGGTGAAGAAAGCAACATACGATTTTTGCATCCGCTACTACCGCTGATTGCGAATCGGACTTTTAAATTTTTTTTCTATTTGGTTCCAGAATTTTCTGGCGGCCTCTGGTGCGCAAATTTCCCCATCTTTTTTTTTTCCATTTATATAATAAGGTCCGCTCCGTATCTGTATCATATCCACTGGTTTCTTTATCCACAATCATGATTAGATATTCCAAATTGATTCCTAAAAGAGGATTATCTTTGTTATCAGAAGCTTCTAATGTCCGAGTAGGGACCTTAGGAGCTCTCGCTGCCGTAAGATCCCTCCCTGCAACAACATCAGGTAGACCCGCTCCACTCGTGCTTGCAAGTCCACTCTTGAAACCTTTACAACCAGCACGATTCTTCAGTCTGTCTATCCCCAGAAACATGCAAATGCAAATGAGCAAAGAAGACCAAGACAACCGTCCCGCATTAGAGAAATATGGAACTGATTTGACCCAGCTTGCCAAAGACGGTGTGCTTGACCCAGTGATTGGCCGAGATGAAGAAATCAGAAGGACAATCCAGATCCTTAGTCGTAGAACCAAGAACAACCCCGTACTTATTGGGAATGCCGGGACTGGTAAGACAGCCGTGATGGAGGGACTTGCCCAACGAATCGTCAAAGGTGAAGTACCAGATTCCATGAAAGACAAACAAATTATTACTATTGATTTAGCAGGGTTAATCTCAGGGTCGAAGTTCCGAGGTGATTTTGAAGGTAAATTAAAGGAGATTTTGAAAGAAGTGGATGAAAAGGCAGGAAAGGTCATTTTATTTGTTGATGAGTTCCACTTGCTTATGGGATTAGGAAAAGCAGAAGGGTCAATTGATGCATCAAACCTTTTGAAACCTGCTTTGGCAAGAGGAAAATTAGCCATGTGTGGGGCAACCACAACCGACGAGTACCGTAAATACGTTGAAAAAGATGCTGCTTTAGCTAGGCGGTTCTCACCGGTAATGATCAATGAACCTAGTGTAGAAGACACCATTTCGATTTTACGTGGATTGAAGGAGAGATACGAAGTGCATCACGGGGTCCGTATTGCTGACGCTGCGTTAGTCACCGCTGCTTTATATTCCAACAGATATATTACTGATAGGTTCCTTCCCGACAAGGCAATTGATTTGGTTGATGAAGCCTGTTCAACATTGCGACTCCAACATGAATCAAGACCAGACGCAATTGCGTCTCTTGATCGTCAAATCATGACTATTGAAATTGAACTTGAATCACTTAGGAAGGAAGAGGATCAATTATCAGTGGATAGGAGAAAGAAACTTGAAGCTGATCTCACCATGAAACGTGATGAACTGAAGAAATTGACTGATCAATGGGAATCTGAAAAGCGAGTCATTGATGAAATCAAAGATGCCAAATCTCGCTTGGAACAAGCCAAGTATGAATTAGAACAATCTCAGCGTGAAGGAAACTACGGCCGTGCTTCGGAGTTACAATACGCAACCATCCCTGAACTTCAATCGAAACTTATCGAATTGACCGAGAGTGAAAAGGCAACTCAAGCACAGGCCTTGATCCACGACTCGGTGACAAGTGAAGATATAGCTGCTGTTGTTTCAAAAATGACTGGTATCCCACTTAACAACTTAATGAAGGGTGAAAAAGACAAGCTTTTGGATATGGAAATAATCTTGAAACAGAAAGTGGTGGGTCAAGACGAAGCTATCCATTCCGTGGCTGATGCAGTCAGACTTCAACGAGCCGGATTGACTAGTGACAGACGTCCAATTGCATCATTCATGTTTATGGGACCCACAGGTACTGGTAAGACTGAACTCACCAAAGCTCTTGCCGAGTTCTTGTTCAATGATAAGTCATCAGTTATTCGGTTCGATATGTCGGAGTTCCAAGAACGACACACGGTATCGCGATTAATCGGATCACCACCAGGGTATGTTGGATATGAAGACAGCGGAGAATTAACTGAGGCTGTTCGTCGTAAACCCTACTCAGTGGTTCTTTTCGATGAATTTGAAAAAGCCCATGCTGATGTATCCAAATTGCTTCTTCAGGTGCTTGATGAAGGTAAACTCACAGACTCGCATGGAAAGCATGTCGATTTCAGAAACACCATTATTGTAATGACATCAAATATTGGCCAAGAGATCCTTTTGAACGATCCAAATACATACGAAGATGGCCATATCAACCCCGATACCAAGAAACTCGTTCTTGAAACTTTGAAACATCACTACGCACCAGAATTCTTGAATCGTTTGGACGATGTGCTAGTTTTCAACAGATTATCTAAAGCTGCGCTCAAGGACATTTTGGATATTAGATTGAGAGAAATCAGTGATAGGTTAATTGACAAGAGAATTATACTTGAATTGAGTCAGGAAGCCAAGGACTTGTTGTGTGATTTAGGATATGAACCAACATATGGTGCCAGACCTTTGAATAGAGTGCTACAAAAGAAGCTATTAAATCCATTGGCTATGCTTATGATTAAAGGACAAATAAGAGAAAGGGAAACAGTTCATGTAGTGGCAAAAGATCGTGAGATTATTGTTCTGCCAAACCACACTGAAGAAGCGGCAGAAAGAGAAATTGAAGAATCAAACGAATAATTGTATATAGTCAACTATTATATTTTTGTATATAAATGTATAAACATAACTTCTAACAACGTTTTATAAAACTCTTCCGACTACTGCACCACTAGCTTCTTTGGTTTCAACTCTACGTAAGGACTTACCTCCGGTAATTTGACCCAATAACGCGGAAATGTTTGGCGCACCACCTGCTGCAGCTGCGTCACCAGCAGCAGGAGGAGGTGGAGGTGGCGGTGGAGGGGGAGCAGCTGGAGCATTGAATCCATTTGGAATTGGTGGTGGGGGTGGAGCAAACAGCGCCGGTGGAGGAGGCGGAGGTGGAGGTGGAATTCCATCCAAAGTTGGAGGAGGAGGAGGAGGAGGTGGTGGAGGTGCATCAAAAGCTGGAGGAGGAGGGGGTGGAGGAGGAGGAGGAATATCAGCCACAGAAGGAGGGGCTGGTACATCAACAGCCACTGGTGGTGGTGGTGGAGCACTGAAGACTGGTGGAGGTGGAGGTGGTGGTGTAGCAGTAGGAGTTCCAAATTGAGATGAACCAGCAGATACATTATCTTCTGGTGGTCTGAGTATTTGTGGTTCTTCCTTCTTGATTGCTTCTGGTGAAGGCAATTTAGAACCTGAATCTGATTTACCAAGGTTTGAGTCAGATCTTGATGGTTGAGACATACCACCAAACAAAAGACTAGCCAATTGGGCTGCACCAGCTCTATTTGGAGACTCATCCTCACTGGCAGCTTCATCTTCAGAATCGCTCCATCCATCATTGTTGGAAATGCCTCGTTGGGAAGCACGTTGGGCGGCAGCCTTTTTAGTGTCTACCACTACTTCCTTGTTGGCAGGCTTAAAAAATGGATTGGTCTTGGCTTCTTCTGCACCACCTGCCATCTTCTTGGCAAATGGATTACTTTCATGTGGTTGGTGAGCAACTGGTGCAGCTTCAACTGGTTTAACCGGTTCAGCTGGTTCCACCTTGCCAGGTTTGGGTTCTTCTTTTGGTTTAGAAACATAGGTTGGAACAGAGGTAACGTTTTCGTTTTCATCCTCGTCACTATCTTCAGCCTCTCTTTTCTTCATCTCTTCCATTTCCCTCTTGAGCTTGGCCAATCTTTCTTCCTTTTGTTGCTTCTTCTTTAATTTTCTTTCACGCTCACGGGCTTCCATTTCCTGCTTCTGCTTCAACATAGCCTTGTATTCCTCGTCATCATCGTCATCAGAAGATTCTTCTTGTGGAGCTGGTACAGCCTTTGCTGGAACTATTTTCTGAGCAGGGGGAATTGATTTTGGTTCAGCTTTTGGTTCGATCTTTGGTGGTTCAACTTTTGGTTCAGCTTTTGGAACTACTGGTGTTGAGACTTCCTTAGGTTCTGGATGAGATTCCACTGGTGGATTTACGTCAGCAGCAGAAGTCTTACGTCTGGTAATACCAAGCTTGGCCAATCTTTCATTCATCTTCTTTTCAGCTTGAGCCTTAATATAAGCAGCTCTTTCTTCAGGAGTACTATACTTGTCAATGGTGATTGAACCAGTAGAACTGGTAGTTACCAAAGGCAGCGAAGACTTGGAACTTGAATATTCCACCGGAGATTGTTGTTTAGCTTTGGCGATATTACGTCTTTGACTGTTTGAAAAGGCATCCAATTCCTTAACAAATTTGGCAACTTCTTCAGAAACACCCAATCCTCTTTCCCATTTATCTGAACCAGCATCTTCCTTAACTGAGACTTTCAATTTAGAAGCACATTCATCTTCCATTTCTTTAATTCCGGATTCAATGTCACCCACCATATCTGATTGTCTCTTGCATTCTTCACGTGCTTGCTCTGAACCTTCCTTCAATTTGAAATCCAAATCGGCATTACCACCAGAAGAAGAACCTCTACCGGTAAGAGCAGCCATCTTTTGTTTAAATTGTTGCTTGGAATGGAACTTTCTTCTATCACGATCAGTGACTTCTCCATTGGGACCAGTACCGACAATTTCCGATTCATAATCGTCAGGATTCCAAGATGGGTTTTCCCTTTGCAACTTCAACTTAATTAATTCAATCTTTTTACGAGCAATTTCTTGATTCATTTGTTGAATGCTAGAAATTAATGAAGGAACTCTATCTCTAGTGAGATTGTCTAATTTGGCAAGCAATTGTTTACGATCATCAATTGAAGATCCTCCTTCATATTCATCTAATTTAGATTGAACATCCATGATTCTGCGCTTGTAATTTTCAATTTCAGCTGTGTCTCTGGAAACCTTGGGCTTATCTTGATCCTCAACATCCATGGCATCCAATAAGATTCTCTTTTCTCTAATCAACTTCTTCATTTCATCAATGGTCAAACCAGAATCAGAAGATGTTTTTAATGCACTAGGTTTGCTTTCTAATTCTGGAGTAGTTCCTCTTCTCTTATGACGAGCATTGGATACGTATGAGAAATTGTTGTCATCATTCTTGAATCTGGTTCCATCAGGCTTAGTTTGTGGTTTTGGAGGAACGGCAGGTTTGGAAGCACCACCTTTCAATGAATTCTTCAAGGTGTTCATGGAATCTTGCAAGTACTTATTTGAAGGAGGCACCAATTCAGGAGGCAATCTCAAAGGTAAATCAAACCCATTCAATCTACGATAAACCAAATGCATAGCCACAGCAAATTCATCCTTGTTCAATTTCCCACTGTCATTAGTATCAGCCAAAGTCCAGATTGATTCCAAGTCAGGTCTGGCTAATCCTGATTTACTAAATACATTCAAAGCAACATCACCATCAATATATCCTCTTCTCTTGGTATCCCAAGCTTCAAAAAGTCCATCATAAATTTGTTTTTCTTGCTTGGTGATTGCCCAAGTAACATTGGAGCTCAACGAAGTGTCCATGGCGCTTTGCAAGTTGGTGGAAGGTAACTGTGCATTAGGCAAGAAATGTTGCTGCATAGCATTCAAACCTGGGATACCACCAGTGGGCATAGAGACAAACCCCCATTCCCCTGGTCTTCCGGTTGGTTGAGCAACTAACCCACCGGTCATTTGAGCTTGTAATGAACCAGTTCTTTGGACTTGTAATGGACCAGTTCTTTGTGGTTGCATTGGACCAGTTCTTTGTGAACTAAGTTGAGGTTGTGGTTGGAATCCTGTACCTTGAGGTGGGATGAATGATTGAGTTGGGGCTTGTTGCAATTGTCCTGGGAGTGGACCGGTCTTTTGAGCGGGAATTAATCCCGCAGTTTGTTGTGGTTGCAAGGGAATTAAAGTACCTCCGCCTGTTCTCTGAGCAGTTAACGCAGCACCAAATGAAGTAGTTGGTGGTGCAGCAATTGGGCCGGTTCTTTGTGCTGCCAAAGGAGCAGCTCCAAATCCCGTCATTTGTGGTTGGAATGAAGTAGGTGCAGGCTTACTCATCCAGTCAGTATCAGGAGGTGGTGGAGCAAACAGGGCGAAGGGAGTGTTGGCCAAGATCTTACTTGGATCATCAGGAACGGTGAAGTTAATAGCATCGCTGAAACTCTTGACTTCATTTAACCACTTTTCAGGAAGTACACCTGGTAAACTTTCACCTCTTTTAGCCTTGCTACATAAATGCAAACTCAATGCAAATTCAGGAAACAAAAGTGATCCTGTGTTGCCAATATCTGACAAGGACCAAATTTCCGCCAAGGTGACTGGAGGTAACCCTGATCTCAACAAGATGTTGCTGGCTGCATCTCCACCAATTGCTTGCTCGCCTTTAGGAACCGCAGTTCTGAACAAATGCTCAAACTTCTTTTGGTCTTCGGCAGTGATAAACGACAAGCGAATGGCAGGAATCTTCAATTCGCTGTTTTCAACCACAGTAGGGGCTGATTGTCCAAACCCAGTAGGCTGAGTTTGAATATACCCAGTAGCTTGAGGCTGCAAAGATGGTGGTTGTTGTTGTTGTTGTTGCTGAAAGCTAGTTTGGGGTTGAGCTGGGAATCCGCTGGAATACAAATTGGGTTGTTGTGGGATGAATCCCGTCATTTGGCCTTGTAACGAAGGTTGTTGGTACATTTGTTGTGGGGGTTGTTGGGGCTGTTGTTGGTAATTGAAACCACCCACATAGCCTGTCTGTTGGGGATTGAACCCATACCCTTGCTGTTGCTGCTGCTGATACGGGTTATACATCTGATTTTAGTGTGGGGGGACGTACTACAGATCAGATAACAGTTAAGGTGGTAGACAGCATTTACGTTTGGAAAGTGGCGGTTCTGGAAAATGCGGTGGTGAAATTTTGGTCACTCGCGCACGACCTCTGGATCGTCGGCTTGTAACACAATCTGCAAAATATTTGGTAGTGCAATTTACGAGATTTACAGGTTAGCTCTAGGCGTATATCTATTACTGTATAAGAACAGTCTATAATTCTAAAACTTCATCCCAAAAGTTAACTTCTAATAAAGTGACGTCGTTGAAAATGTCCACTAATTCTTGGATTCTCTTTGGGTTTAATTGGGTTGTTTGCACCAATTGGTCTAACGCTTGTTTTCCTTCGTTATAAGCATTGGTATACCAGTCAGAAGTGTAATCATCCAACCAAGACAGATAGATGTCTGATTGTTCCCTATCGTCTAAAACACCCAAACCAGTAGTGTCTTCTCTAATGCGTTGGCCATAATCTGCTGCTTCTCCGTATCCAAGTAAACAAGGAGCCAATGCAACTTTAATTCCCAAGAAATCCTCCTTCTTACCAACATCTAAAAGGTAGTTGCAGTAATCAACACAGGCTTTTCCTGGATTCAATCCCAAATCCAAATCCATGTCTCTTTCATAATCAATGTTGTACTTTTTGCACAATTTTTCCTTGTGTTTTTCAATTTCCGTAACAATCTCACCGATTATGGTAGCTTGAGCATGGGTTTGTTGATACGTTGGGGCTGTGGAGGCAGCCAACCCGTGCATTTGTGCGTAATTGATCAAGTAGTGATAATCTTGTTTTAGATAGTAAAGGAACTTGTCAAATGGGAGATTGTTCTCGGCCAATACCTTCACAAATGGATGTTCAACATATTTCTTCCAATTGTCCTTGACTTTAGGATGAGTTTCGCAATATTCAAGGAATGACCCTGAACCATTGATGATGTTAATAGCATCAACATGCGATCCATGAACAATTGCACTAGTGGAGTTAGCTGGGACAACTATATGGTTGAGAGGTCCATTTCCAAACCCAAGCTTTTTTCCCATACTTACCATACCCTTGTGGATATAATCAATCGAGATTGGAATAGCTTCGTCCAAGTCCTTATCCTTGGCAATGTTGGCAGCAATAGCCGAGGCCAATGTACATCCAGTCCCATGGCTGTCTTTAGTAATAATGTAATGAGATTCAAACACGCTGATGCTGTCACTAGCGCTCTCATACAAGACATCCAATACTTTTAAGTCGTCAGTATGCGAGTAATCGGTAGCACGTTTATGGTCGGCTGTGAATGGAATATGGCCACCTTTGACTAACAAATTGGTACATTGCAATGACTTTTGAAGGGCAACCACAAATTCCATCAAATCGTCCAAGCTTTGAATGTCTTTGGTGTAGTCATTTCCCGTAGCCAACTTGTATAATACCTCAGCCTCGGGGAAATTAGGGGTAATTAAGTAAGTTTCTTTCATTAACCCCTTAACACACAATTTCATACTTTCATCATCAAACAATTTAGACCCAGAGGTGCTGACCATAACTGGATCCATGACAATCTTGACCCCGTATTCTTTCAATCTTGGCAAATGTTGTTCAAGTTCAACAATTGCTTCATAAGTCAACATCCCCGTTTTTATTGCTTTGAGGGGGGCATCGCCGTCCTTCCCATATCCATACAACATGTCTTCCAACACCATATCCAAAATCTGTTTAACAAATGGCTGTGGGGTCTTTTCGAACGACTTGACTCCGGTGGTGTTCTGAGCCGTAAGAGCCGCCATACATGTCATTCCGTAGACTTGGAACGCAGTAAACGTTTTCAAATCAGCTTCAATTCCTGCCCCACCGGAACTATCTGATCCCGCAATGGTCAACACGGCGGGCAACACCGTTTTAGGAATCCCATCGACTTTTTTCAACTTGTATACCGTTGCCTTCATATTTGAATGATAAAGAGCAACGTAACTGAACGAACGAATTTATTTCTACTTGAAATCTACATAAGTTAAAGCAATCTTCAAAAAATTTTCAATTGAATTTATGTTCCCGTGTAAACGCATACAACCTAATGCGCTTATCAAGAAAAAGCAAAAAAAAAAAAATATTAAACAATAAAGCCAACTTATTCTCGAGCCGTTGTCATCCCATTGTATTTCTCAATTAGTTGCAATTCACTCTTGAGTGTTTCCTCACGGTACTTCATTCTAATGTCAGGAACATTGGTCTTTTCAATATCATTACCAGCAACACCTCCATCCATGTAACTCTTACCTAACCAGTGTTTCTTAATGTTAGCTTCCCATCCTGACTGCAAACACGAATTCTTGGCCAATTCACACAAATCAACCCCGGATAATTTATAAATCTGCGCTGCCACCGAGAACTCTTCAATCAATGGCTCCTTGGTGTACGAAAATTGCAAGGGATCATCAGTGGATAACGAAACATTCAACCCCTTTTTGAAGAAATTATGGAATGGGTTCTTGTCGTACGTCAAGAATAATGCATTGTTGGAAAGTGGCGACATGGCAATACCAATCTGATCCAAATAGTACAAGTATTGGATAAATGGCAACTTTCTCAATAAAATACCATGGGAAATACCATAACTGGTAAGGAAAGCACTGATTAAATGCTCAGGATCACCCGCTTCCCCACAATGTGGTCGCAACACAAATGTGTTCAAGTTGTTCTTGAGTCTAAGATGATTCAAGGTAGTCATGTTAGAATAAAGGTAGTACAAGTAATACGAATATGGCGGGTTGGTGATACTATCCCATTCTCCAGCACTTGGATATTTTTTGGAATGGAATGGTCTTTCCGTCTTGGACTCGTCATCAACTGAATCAAACCCAATGACTCTTTGTAAGAATGCGTGTAATTTAGGGTGGGATTTTGGATTCAACGAAACTTCAAATAATGGTTCAAACAAGTTCTTCATGACACAGAGGAATGACTTAATATTACCATTCTTCTTGTACAAATCGTACAATCTTGGCACTTGAATTAACCATCTGACATTGTGACTGTATAACTTGTTGTCTATGATCCAGGCAGCTAATTTGTCCCATTCGTGGATGGAACGACCGTAAATTGAAATTCTCAATTCCACCATTTGATACTTGGAACTTTCCAAATCGTCAAACACTTGTTTGGTCAATTCAGCCAAGTATCTCCCATCAATGAAATTATCAGTCTTTAAAAATATTTCTCTCAATCTCGATTCTCCAATTGGATTATATTTCAAATTAAACTTGTCAAATCTATGGAAAGAATCGGTGTGAGCGTGCATATCCAATGTATCAATAGACAAGTCATACGCAGTCAACTTTAACGATTCAAATACTTGGGCCAAGGTTAAAATCTTGCCATCTCTGAAGATAACTTGCTCGTCCGGTTTAGTCTTTAATTTATACTTGATATATCTCAATAAATGTTTCTGGTTCATACAAGCAGAATGATGGATGTGGGTATCCACTTTACGAACATTGTAGAAATCACGATGAGGGTTTCTTTTTGATTGCTTGCTTTCTTCAAACTCATTCATGAGATAGTACATATTCCATTTTGCGTCCAAGTATTGAAGTCTATTAAATGCAAATGACTTGGTAGGTCCATCGGACGAAATCTTGGTGATTTTGTTCAAGTCGGAGTAAAACTCATGTAAAGTTGGAATCTTCACCAATGGCTTATCGGACTTTTTGTCATACACTTGAAAAACATCCTCGTCGTTGAGGGTGAAATAGTAAGGGCTGTCTTTAACTTCAGGAATTTCCACTTTGGAAAAATCGAATTCTTCTTCTGGTTCATCATCGTATTCATTTGGAATTTGATTGAACTTGTTCTTGGATTTGTAGAATGGTTTAGGTGGTGGGGGGTAAATCTTCCAGTCGGGTTGGTTCTTTGGGTTGCTGATCTCATCCTTTTGAATAGAAAAATCCAAATACTTGTGTCTAAGTTCTAAGCACTCTTTAACATGTTGATAGAATTCAATCAATTCATCCGATGGGTATTCTTCAGGGATGGCATTGGCGAGCGGTCCAGATAAGGGGTGAAAGTGAATACTTTTATGAGGCAAGTCAATCATTGAAGGTCTTCTCTTAGCTTTTGGCAGCAGACCAGGCATGAATGGATTGGCATTGTCTTGTCCAGGGCTAGTACCGGTAGTACCTCCCATGGTCTTCAATGCTTCAAAAGTTCTCACTTTCAAGTCATGGTCCCTCATGAATCTATCTTCAGTAGTGGAGAAATTGAGCGAGTTGACAGAATGAGACAAGTCTTCGTCACTGTCGTAAGCGTCAAGATGTTGGTCATGATAAGACATGTTATCGTGGCTGTTGTTATTGTTGTTGTTATTGCCCAGGGTGCTATCTCTTATGGCTAGGCCAACAAAGTTTTCTTTAGGAATCGACATTTTTGGTTAGCGTATATGCAGGTAAGCTGAGATGGGGGAGGGAAGAGAGGCAGTGAGTGTATAATAAGACGTCACACTGATATACACTTGACACCAATATCAAATAGTAAAAGAAAAACCGTCCAAATCAAGATAAGGATCAGAAGAGATCAGAAAACAAGAAAAAAGGCTGTACCAGAACGAGCAGAGCAGAGGAGGGGAGTGGAATGACGACCCATGCGGCTCCAGTTGACACATTGCCTTGTTTCGGTTACACAAAACAAAACAACAGATTTCATCTTAGTAATGAAAGCTTTCTCTAGAAAATATTTATTCCCAAGCTGTAACAAAGGCAATACTATTAAATGACCGAAAAATATATAGACATATATAAACCGAAGAAATGTGAACGAGGGGGGGGGGGGATATTATTTTAACCACTCGACTAGGAGGGTTGTTTAACAAGTAGGGACGTATTTAAATAATCATAACCATACCAATTGCGGCGAAAAGTGATGCGATGGTGTTACCAGCTCGACTGGCAGCACCCTCATATTCAGCAGACACGGTTGGAGCAGCTGGGGCGTTACTAACAGATTCTTGAACTGTAACTTGAGGAGCAGCGGCAACTGATTCAGTTGGAAGAGCATAGATGTCGTCAGTTCCAACAGAGGCAAGAGCTTCACCGTCTGCAGTGGCAGCAGCAACAAAAAGGTCAGTGGTAGTAGCAGCTTTAGTTTTAGCACCGCCGAAAAGATCATCAAATAAACCACCACCAGTAGTAGTAGCAGTAGCGGCGGCCTTGGTAGTAGCTGCTTTGGTAGCACCACCGAAAAGATCATCGAAAAAGCCACCACCAGTAGTAGTAGCTCTAGCAGCAGCAGCAGTTGAAGTAGTAGTATTACTACTTCCACCAAATAAGTCACTTAAAAGACTACCACTGGCCCCACCAAGAAGGGCTTTGAGGAGAGTTCCGGTGTTTGGGTAGGTGGCATCACTTGAAGTGGTAGCAGATGTGGTGAAATTACTGTAGGAACGACCACCAATCAAAGAAGAGAAATCATCTTCCAAGGCTTGGATTAAAGCTGGGTCGTTGAAAGCCTTGCTTAAAATATCAGTCAACAAACCAGAACTAAGCAATTCTTCACCAACCTTGAGAAGCTTAGGAATATCAAGGGATAATGAAAATAATGAACCAACGAGACTACCCAAGTTCTTCAAGAGGCCACTTATAATGTCAACAACTTCTTGTTCAAATTTGGCACTGGTGAATAAGTAATTGAAGGTATCATTGAGTAAGGTGGATTTGGCGAGGGCACTCATGATGGTGGTAGCCAAGTTAGAAATGTTGCTTCTCTTGACAATACCAGAAATTCTATCCTTGAGACTTTCTTCTCTCTTGAACAAAGATTCAACGAAACTGAAGGCAGTACTAGCAAAACTGGAAGAACCTGAAGAACTAGACGATTGCGAATCAGCCAGTGCAACTGTAGTGGTACCAGTAACAACAACAGCAGCAGCAGTGGTGGTGGTGGTAGCTGCAACAGCGGCAGTAGTAGCAGCAGCAGCACTTGAACCATCACCACGACCAGTAATGATTGATAAAAGGGAGTCAAAACTCAAAGCACCAGACAGAATCAAGTCACTAACGACACTTTCAATAAATGGTAAGGTATTTTTATTCTTGATCATATCTGCAACAAATGTGTATGCCAAGTTGGAGTCTTTCAAAGCCACAAACACAGGGGTCAAGTCATAGTTCAAAGCAATTTGCAATCCTTCTGACAACACTTCATTGGCAATCTTTCTAATAACAGGGTTACCCAAGCCAAAAATCAATGAAATTGGAACTAAATCAGTTGAACCGACCAAGTTGAACCCACTGACCACGTATTGGTTATATTCACTGAGAAGATTGTTAATCCAACCAGCGGCTTCGTCAGCAGTACCATAAATAGAAGAAAAGTTGAACAGACCAAGAAGACTGGTGGCAAAGTCAAGCACACCTCTTTCATCCAATTGAATGTTTCTCTTTGATAAATCGGAAAAGAAATCAGACTTTGAGAAATCAGCAAGTAAATTTTCTATATCACTCTTAATATCTCTTTGGGACAATTCAGAAAGCATACTGTCAAATTCGCTTTCCAAGTCCCTTTTAGACAATTCATGGAGCAAACTGTCCAAAGTGATTTGTTGTGCCAAAACGAAAGAACAAAATGTAACAATTGTGATTATAGCAGCGAACTTCATGGTGATTTTGTTTTGTTCACTAGGATATAAAAAAAAGAGCGACTTCTTTAAAGGAAGAGGAAAATGATCCGACTAAATTTGCTTTAGACGCTTGGCGATTATCGCCATCTATATATACTCTACAAGAATCTAGGTTGGTGTACCGTCTATAAATGTTTTACTAAGTTTAGAAATTTAATTAACAATAGATTTTTTCTAAGATTTTTTTGCGGCCAAAATTCACATTGCCTAATCAGGAAATTTAGTTGCCCCAATTTACCAAATCGCACCGAATATCGCCAAGTTTGGAAATTACTTTAAGTCTATAATCGACCAGGCGACCCACTGCTGCTAATCAAACATTCTTTGTTGTTAACGGGTTATTTACTGTTATGGTAAAAGATAAATAGGCACTTTGAACTTGTGCCCTGACCCTACACCATCAAACTTGTATTGTCTATTAATAGCAAACAACTCTTCAGATAATATTGGTTTCACATTCGAATTTCCATTGATCAATCTCTCACCCGCACCATCGTCAGGCGGCTGAGATCCGTTCGTGTGTTGCTCCTCACTATTCCCTTGTTCAGTCTCCTCGGTCATAGTGGCTAGATTAAAGTGGAACACCAAATAATATTTCAAATCCATAAACGAGCTACTTTGAAATTGCCCTGTTAATGATCTCGCAATGTGGATATGTCCATTGATCAAGCTTGGAGTGTGATTTTCAATCGAGGCATCAATCATTGCCGATGCAAATGTATTCAATTTCACATTCCCACTGACTTTGTACATGTTTGTGAACACGCGGTTGCTATCACCAATATGGTAATTTTCATGGGCTTCGAGATAAGCCACAATTCCAATTACTTTTGGTAGTGATTGTTTGCCTCTGTTGATATCAATGATGTAATTAATATCGTCCCCGATATGGAAATAAGGCCGGGATAAGCTAATTAAACACAATTCCTGGTTGTTGACTCGCAATTGGTATTGTGTTTTCAAATGCTCGGGTAGTTGTGGGATCGCCTTGTTATTCTCGACAATCTCCAACTGTTTAAACTCGTCAAGCTTGTCAAACGGAATACTCTTTCTCCGCTCAATAGTAGAGACTTTAGGCATGTTGTATAGATCCGATTCGATCAATTTGCTCAAATCTTGCAAGAATACCTCACGGGCATCTCCGGATTCGGTCACACTGTGAATATCGGACTTTGTCTCCTGGGAAACCAACTCAATTTGCCAATTCGGGTCAAGTGTGAATGCGGTCTCATCAGAAAGATAATCATGTTGCAAGTGACGGAAACTTATTCCTACTCTTTGTGCTTCCACATTGACAGGGAAATATATTGATCGTGGTTTCAATTTTTCCCCGGGCTTGTTTGGTTCAGATACACTGACGATTAATGAGTACCTTATGCTCAGCCATCCTTGATCACATGCAAGACCCGTCAGTCGAGCATTATACGTAGGTGGCAACGTATCTTTTACTGGGAACCTAAAATGGAAAGTCTTGGATGAGTTGGGTTCAATGGCTAAATCGGTGAATAAAAGTGACTGGCGAGTGGAGTATATAGGAACAATAGAGTCCGTCAATTCATTAAGTGAAATTGTAGATGCACCAGCAGCCACGCTAGAAGTTGGTATTTGTTGTGAATTGAATGGAGTGATCAAATCATGCAAGAAATATGCTTGGGTGGAATCAATAACAAGATCCGTGTTGTGATCCACAAACAAATCATTCACCCCACCTAATTTCCCTTCTATTGTTAGCTTTGACTTCTTGGCAATCAAAGGAACTTGATTCAATGCTTTTATTTGTAGATCTTCATCTTTCCAATCTTGATTATTGAAATATTGATCGAGATATTCTGCGTTGTTCCACCATTGTGAGCTCTTGGTCATTTCAAGTGCTGATGTATCAATGTTAAAATTGTAATTGAGGACGACGTAACCAAACAACTGTACATGTCCTAAGAACAACTTCAAGTGTGGGTCAGGTTGTGGATCAGCAGTTGCTTCTGGCGTTTCTTTCTGCCCGCGGCCAAATATACTTCCGAGCCATCCAGGGTTTGCAGCTGGTTCTGATTGCTTCTCTTGCGGATTTATAACAATTGATTGGTCATTGGTGTTGTGGAACGTAAGTAGGCATTCGTACTCAGTGGTAGTCCCTGAAGGTAGATATGTCAATGATATAGATAGATGGTCATTGACTACTTTAGAATATGATTTGGAAAAGTCCAACGTCGGCAGATGAGCTTCAGTAGTAGTTTTCATTGAAGGTAAATGTTTATATTTCTATTAGATTTCTATTGGAATGGGGTGATAACGTGTTGAACAGTTTGGGTTATTTCGGCTGTGGGTATAAACTTCGTAATTTTTCGTCGTACCCGCAATTTGATAATCAGAAGCAAAATCTACAAATTGTATACTTATAATTAAAAAAAAAAATTTACATTTATACTATATGACTAATCATACTTCAACTCAACCTGTTGGTCTTGGTGTTGAGGAACATTGACAATATCTTGAGATAATTGTTGCAGGTCTTGATTTTGCAACTCAATACCTCCATGGTTTTGGTGGAAATCCAAGATTTCACTGTACATCATGACTCTCCAAGTATCAACTGGCAATTCGGCATCATTGAAACTCCAATCAAACTTGGTTTCACAAATTGGCTCATCAGTTGGATCATGGTATGGTTCCATGTATGGATGAGTCAAGGCTTGTGCGGCGCTTATTCTCTTTTTAGGATCAAACACCAACATCTTGGCTAATAAATCAATGGCCTCGGGCTCGACATGAGTACAGGAAGCAAAACGTTCACCAAATGGAATTGGTTCTCTGTGAGGTAATGACCTGACGAACCTCAAGGTGTTTTCTGAAGCAATTGTGTCAATGACATCCTGTGGAGGAGATCCTAATAATTCGGTAATGATGGAAAATTGATGAACGTGGTCCTTTCCTGGGAATAATGGTTTGCCTTCAATCATTTCTGATAAGATACATCCAACTGACCATAAATCAACTTCAGTGTCGTATTTCTGCCAAGTCAACATGATTTCAGGGGCACGGTAATATCGAGTAGATACATATCCTGTCATTTGCGGGTCTTGAATTCTGGCCAACCCAAAATCACAGATCTTCAAATCACAATTCTCGTTAATCAAGATATTTGAAGGTTTCAAATCACGGTGAATCACTCCAGCCGAATGGATATACTTTAACCCACGCAAGATTTGGTATGTGAAGTATTGAATAAACTGCTTCTCCAAAGGTCTGGAAGTCAACAATCTGTGTAAATCGGTACCTTGCAATTCATTGACGAAATAAATATCTTCTAAAGGAGATATGAAGATATCATCCAATGTAATCAAATTTTCATGTTTCAAATGCTTTAACAATTTCAATTCTCTATAAGTTCTCTTGGCAAGTACAGCAGTCAGAAACGGCTTCATGATTTTCTTAACAGCGACATTTTGTCCTGTTAATTTGTCCACGGCAGAACAAACCAACCCAAACGCCCCCATCCCCACTGGGTTCAAGTCGGTGTATCGGTTGGTTATTTCAAATACTGTTCCGAATATTTGAGTTCTTGTAAATTCGCCGTCAGAAGACATTTGTAGTAATTAGTAATATAGAAGAGGCTGGGTCTGTAAACGAGGCGCTAAAAAATAGAATGTTTTGAGAATGTATTATTGGTTAATCAGTTGTAATTGGAGTAGAGCCTGGTTGTGGTTACTTTGTAATTGATCAGATAAGGGAGTAGTCAGATTGATGTGTGGTACCTGAAACGTATAGCGTTTTCGTTGAAACCAAATGAAACTTTTTTTTTTTCAGAGGTGCCCTGTGTTGTTTACCCCCTCGAAAAACCTTGTTGATTTTTTTGTGTTTGGATTTTTCAGGTCTCTAGTTGCTAAAACGAGTAATACTGACAAGGACTACTGGGGCTTTCAAGGGAGGGATTAGTACCTGCATTAATACTCACATCCAAGCTCATAACTGTTTTGACTTGTTGTCATGGGCACACGCGGCGCCAACTTTACGAAGGAATCTAACTGATTCATCTTATAATAGAATTACAGATGTAAAAATGCACAACCCGGTCGCATACAATTGGGTGTGCACAATTGATTTGCTAAATATAGGTAGTGCGCAATTGTCAAAATAGGCTGATGATTGTATAACGTCATAGGTGGTACAGCCATGTTGTTTTGTGTATGTTGGTTATTGTGTCGATAAATTCCGCGGTAGTGTATTTGGGATTATTTTATTTTCCTCCGCGTTGTGGGGCATAGCATAACCATGGATATTACACCAGCATGTGCTGAACCTTGTTTGACTTTTCGGAGCTTAATTCCATCTGAAAAGGGTTTCGTATTTGCAGTCCATTTGTTGTATCATGTTGGTATTAATAACAGTAATTTGAACAAATTTGGTTGCAAAACAGAATGAAAGGGCGGTACAGTACAGCACCGTACCGTACTGTACAAAAAAAAACTTAGAACAAAACAATACCCTACCAACTAAAAAAACGACTTCATACAATCGTAGAAAAGTAGCGAATAGATCTATCTCCCCCTCTCTCAATTAGCAACCACAGTTGCTAAGTTCGACAAAGAATACAAGACGTGGCTCCGTTGGTCATGTGACTTGTCTAATTTCATTTCTTTTTTCTTTGTTTTCCCTATGCCGCAGTGACAATGTTTGCTTTTTCGTTTAAAACGTATTACATTTTCTTGTATATGACTAATTGAAAGTTGACCTTACACCACATCAAACAATAAACTATCCATGCCAACTATCGAAGAAGGTGCTTCTACCTTGTCATCCTCTATCAGTTTGGTGAAAACCATCCTAGGAGCAGGTTTGCTTTCTATGCCATTAGCTTATTCCACTGATGGGATAGTTTTTGGTACCTTTATTATTCTCCTTGCAGCAGCCACTTCAGGTTATGGTCTATTCTTGCAATGTTACGTATCCAAATATGTTCCTGTTGGACATGCTACATTCTTCAATGTCTGTTCCATCACATATCCGCAGTTATCTGTGGTGTTTGACGTTGCTATTGCAATTCAATGCTTTGGGTGCGCGATTTCTTACCTTGTTTTAATTGGAGATTTAATGCCAACTATTGTCACATACATCCCCCATATCGCTCCTGAAAATCATAGATTGTTTTGGTTATTGGTATCTACAGTAATCACGGTTCCATTGTCGTTTTTAAAGAATTTGGACTCGTTGAAATACACTTCTATTTTGGCCCTTGTCGCCATTTTTTATATGCTGGGGTTAGTGGTTAGCCATTATTTTGTCAATGACATTCCAAGTGATTTGAAGGGAGAAATTATTTTGGGTCCACTAAGTCTCACTGGGGTGTGCAGTACATTTTCCATTATTGTGTTTGCTTTCACAGGTCATCAAAATATGTTTTCCATCATTAACGAAGCTAAAGATCGCAGTTTGTCCAGTTTGACCCTGTTGGTTAATTTTGCAGTTTTGATTTCAGCTGCGTTGTTCATTGTTGTTGGATTAGCGGGGTACTTGACTTTTGGTGATTTGGTTAATGGTAATGTTATTTTACTGTACCCTTCAGGACCAAGTACTACTTTGGGTAGATTCTGTATTGTCTTTATGGTGGTTTTCTCATTCCCATTGATGTTACATCCAGCAAGAATTTCTTGCAATAACATATACTATTGGCTCAAGGTCAACTTATGGCATCAAGAACAAAAGGAACTTACTGAAGATAGTCCATTATTGGGTGAACCAATTGAAGTGGAAGTCGATGTGCGTGATGATGGAAGTTTACATAGCAAGCCAACACACATTGTTCCATTCTCCCACACCACATTTGTAATTATCACAACAGTTTTATTAATTGTCGGTTACATCTTGGCGATTTCACTTAAATCATTTGCATTCGTATTGGCAGTGGTCGGAGCTACCGGGTCCACCTCAATTTCATTTATTTTACCCGGGTTATTTGGATATAAATTAATTGGTTCTGAACTGGACGATCCTACACCTTTGGAAGTTATTTTCAAGTGGCTTTCTTTAGCATTGACTGTATGGGGTTTTGCCGTTATGGTATTGTGTTTATATAGTAGTTTAGCATTGTAAATTTTTAATCGAGTTATTTACATTTTCATGTATCACTCACACAATATAAATAGGCGAGATTTTAGTCTAGACCCTGGAGCAAAAAAAAAAAAAAAAACATAAGCTAATCTCCTTTAAACGTGCTACGATATTCTACAGTAACAATGTCTTGCGAAGACGAACACTACCACGGAAATGGCCATCATAACCACAATCACGACCATGGACATGACCATGGTGATCACATAGCACCTATACCCACGTCGTCATCACAATCTTTGAATTCAAAGATTGATACATCAAAACTAACCGCCTTAAACATGGCCAATCCAACTGATGATCTTGCCAAATTGTTTAAAACTTCAGAAACTAAATATCACATTAAACCAATCATCAAATCTGATTGTGATTGTCAATTGATTATTAATATTCCATTTTTGAATGGGAATGTCAAACTTTATTCCATTATCTTTCGTACCAATGGAGACAAATATTGTCCGAGAACTATCAAATTTTTTAAAAATGACAAAACTATTGACTTTGATAACGTAGATACGAAAACTCCAACACAGAAAGTGAAACATCCACAAGTTGGTCTATCAGTTGACGAGGATGATGAGGAAAATATCCCCGAAGTAGTGGAAGAAGAAGGCGATTTTGTAGAACATTTCTTGTCCAGAAGCAAATTCACAGGGGTGCACCACTTGACTGTGTTCATTGAAGATATATACGATGACGAAGACGAAGATGAGTGCTGGTTACACTCAATTGAACTAAGAGGAGAGTTTACGGAATTGAATAAAGAAGCTGTGGTGACGCTATATGAACTGGCGGCCAATCCAGCTGACCACAAAAAATTGGGAGTTTCTGATTACAATGGAGTATCATATGGTGCTTAATAATAGTACTATTTGTATATAATAATTTATTAAAGCACAAAATTGGGTGGAGTTTTTCTTTTTTTTTCTAATACCATACAAATACATATTTTATATATATATAAATCTTTTAATTAATCTATGGCTCGCTGGCTTCGTCTGCGGCGATAAGCTTATTGAGCAATAGCAGTGGCAGTAGTATGAGCAGTGGTTACTGCAGTGGGGTATTCTGAATCCTTGTCCCATTCGTAGTAACCATCATGAATGTGTTCTATGGATTCACCCTTACAGGTGTATCTGTTGTAATAGACCATCTTAACTGGGAAGCCATCAGTAGGAACAATAATGGCGTCAAGGTATGGAAGATCTCCCTTATCAACGTCTTTATAATAAACGGAAAGAATGTTGTTACTACAGGTGACAGACTTTGAAAGATGTTGATCAGACTCAGCAAACATCCAACTGTTGAACTTCTTAGATTCAGCTCTCTTTGCTTCCCAATGACCACAATCAAGTCTGGCGGTAGTGGTCTTCATTTCGAATCCCATGTAACCCTTGGAATAACCCTTTGGACAGTTACCGGCAACCAAGTAAGGTTGTAATCTGTTTGCCTTTGGATGGTAACGAATGTGGAAAACACCATTGTCTGGGTTGTATGGTAAACCAGGAGCAAAGTTAACAGTGTACTTGAAGGCTTTACCACCAGAGAAGGCAATGACGTTGGAACCAGCATCGTACTTTTCAGCACAATCTTTGTCGAGTGTATGGTGAGAACCACCAGCATTGAAAGTTAATGGGATGTGAATTTGACCTTTGACATTGGTGGTCTTGACAACATTGTTCAGGATAACACAATCTAATTTGGAGTATGACACGGATAATTCCCCTGGATTGTAGAAACATTGACCATATTCAACATTATCAGTACCAATCAAAGGAACATAATCCTTGTCGGTGTTGAACTTGTAAACACATGGCAAGGTTAAGTAGAAATGGTTATTTGGAAAGATTTCAGTACCCTTAATAGCCCATGACAAGGCAGCAAACCAGTGTGGTTTGTATGGTTTGGGAAGATCATTAGGATCTTGTTTAACATAGTAAACTTGATCAAGACTGGTAAAAAGTTCGCAACTGGTTGCTAACGAAACCAAAGAAATAACTGACAATAAAACTGAAAGCATGGAAATTGATTGATGTCTCTATTCAAGTTCATCCAAGTGGTGAAGGAAAATCCACATCTCTTATATAGACAGACCTGGTTTTCTCGTCTAGTAGTAGCTTTATTGTAGCTTGTTGGGATAAAGGTCAAGCCACAAGTTAAACGAAAACTTGAAGTAGGTACTTGCATAAAAAATAAATTGTTGCACGAGTTCTAAACTATCGCTTATATTATATTGGTGGCTTTGTTTTGTATATTGTTTACATATTTTGTGTAACTAGTAGTTGTCAAGATTTGTTCAGGTACATTTATGACTCGCCCATTCTCAATTTTGAAAGAACCAAGTTATGGTTACCTGATTTGATTAATTCGTCTAGTTAGTTGCTATTCAGAATATGAATTATTATCACGTCAATTGTCTCAGAGGAGTATTACGATCGTCATGTAATATTCCTTCAAAAGAAACCGCCAATATTTACTCGTATCTTTGACAGGCGAAGCCAAGATTTCAAAATTAGTACTCTACAAATCTGGGTGATTTTCGTGTAATTGCAGATAACACAGTAGCCAATACGACCTTGCTTTTTACTCTTCAAACGGTATTAGGATCATAGAAAATAAAAATCCCTGTTTACAAGGTAAAAACATCTGTCTTAACCAATCTATACAATTGTCGATACGAATATGTGCATAAAAATAAAAATAAAATAAAATAAAATATTATTTTTTTTATTGTACACCGAAAGCCTCGAATAATCGAGCAATTAAACACTAAATACACGAGAAAAAAAAACCCTCTTCTGTATCTTTTATCTCGTTGCAAATAATGCATTATAATACGGATCAATGATTGCCAAATAGATTTGGTTATTCTTCTAATACAAAGCATTTTTTTGTGGTCCATTGATCACCATGTTGACCAAACCATAAATAGAAAGATGTAGGCATACAGAATCTTGTTAATAACTAAAATATATATTGCTCCTTAGTTAAGTCAGAAGTCATGAAGTTAATGAGGTACAACGGTAGCAGTTGGAAGAGTAGTTGTTACTACATTTGTAGGATCGCAAGATTCAGGAGTCCATTCGTAGTAACCATCGTTGCGATGTTCTGTTGGATCGCCCTTACACATCCATCTGTTGTAATAATATATTTTCACAGGATGGCCAACAGTAGGAACCAAAAGAGCGTCAAGATATGGTCTGTAATCCTTGCAAATATCTTTGTAAGTAACTTCAAGTCTATTGTTACCACAAGAGGCCTTCTTTGAAATCAGATGCTCAGTCTTGGCAAACATCCAACTATTGAATTCGTTATATTTAGATTTTTTAGCATGATAACTACAACAATCAATTTTGGTCATGCTATCTCTAATTTCAAAACCAAAATACCCTGCCGAATAACCTTGAGGACAATTTCCAGCAACCAAGTAAGGTTGAACTTTGTTTTTCGAAGGAACACCACGAATATGGAAAACACCTTTGTCAGTGTTGTAGGGTAATCCAGGAGTAAAATTAACAGTGTATCTAAACTTTTTTCCTCCAGAAAATTCAATAACATTGGAACCACCTTTAAACAATTTGGCACATTCTCTGTCTGTGCACAAAGCAGAACCACCAGCATTGAAAACCAATGGAACACGAATTTGACCCTTAACATTGGTAGTCTTTATAACATTGTTCAGAATAACACACTCCAACTTTGAATATTTGTCAAAGATTTCTCCGGACTTGAAGTAACATTGTCCATATTCAACGTGATTCGCAATTAAAGGAATATAAGACTTGTCAGTACAGAACTTGTAGACACATGGCATCTTCATTGTGAAACGCTTCAGAGGCTTAATTTCCTTTCCATTAATAGCCCATGATAAGGTTGCATCCCAACGTGGCTTGTATGGAATTGCAGGGTCATGCATCAGAGGAGTAATAAAAACCACTTCGTCAAGACTAGTGAAAAGTTCGCAACCATTCACAAACGAAACCAAAAAAATAATCGACAAAAAAACTGGAATCATAGCTGTTGTTTGAAAGTCTGGTTTTGAAGTGATCCGAATTTTGAAGGGAAGATGCTATATCTTTTATAGACCACTGGAGGGTCAATGACACTATTTTTTTTGTTTGCAATCAGTTGGAAAGTTTCTTGGAAATTGGTAAAGATAAACGTAAAATGCAAACTCCACTGAAACCAGGAGGACATCTACATAAAAAAAAATAAAATTCTGCAGAAGGCCTAAAAGCTTCTATTGTACCTGATCAATGGTTTTCTATTGTTCAAGAAATTAGTTGTTGCAATAGTGAGAATCCACGTTTCTGAACTACATTTACAGAGAGTAATTGTTTGCTCAACTGACCACCTCGGTAAACCAGTAACTGTATATTGCAGCTAGTATAAGTGATCGATCGGTATTATTTCTTTTACTATCTGATACAGGAACTCTTAGGAATAAAGTCTGTAAAATTTTCTCTTAAACTGGAAGCAATTTATCATTATCTCATTCTGAGGACCTGCATAGCTCGTCTATTTTTCGACTTTTCCAAGAATATTAAGATCATGACATTTGTTTGTAGCAGACCCCCTGATTTAGTTGTGATAGTTTCCCCAATAGTGGAACTGGCAACAATAATGCCAAGATTGAAGATTATTATTTTAGAAATTTGAGTGCACCTCCGTCTAACCAGTGCTAGAACAGTAACCTTTCAGGTTCCGATCTCAATTCCCACTTCTTAATTTACAATTGGAAATCAAAGAAAATACCTGCTCTTTTTCCAAACTAGAATCTCTGTTTTAGCTTAATACAATTTCCAAGACAACCCATGATAAATCATAAAATTCCTTCATTTTATATTGTTCACGGAAATGGACCGGTATAGTCCGATCGAAATTAGATAATACACTTGGTTCTTTTACTAGTGCAAAGTTACCAGCAGTGCATTAAGCGCTTTCAATACAATGCGGCGCCTTTTGGCATCTATTATTTTTTTGAAAACAAGTTAGGATTTTTAGAAAGTTCTGAAATATTTTTTTCACCTAAAAAATAAGGCACGAATTAAATTCATTACTTTCGTTTAATACCATATTTAGTTACTATTATCACCAATGTGGAATATCAAGACAATGAAATCAGATATGCCCCCTTGGATTTATTTGGTTTAGTAAAAAAAAAATAGGTCGAGATGCATATATTCTATTCAATGACGAACAACGTACATGTCACGCATACTTAAGTAGTAAACAAAGAAACTAATTTATTTGCCAAGATTCTTTCATCGCATCAAAGCTATACAAAACTGCAAAGAATTGCCTGGACTATTTCAGATACCATATGAGAAATTTTAAGAAAGAGTAAATGAATTACTCGTCTAACGTGACCGCAGCTAATGACCAATAAGTCTCAACCAAAATAATTTTTTATGAAGACGACTGCAAAAAAATCATTTCCGGCTATTTGTCGTGTGGAAGTTTGGTATGTTTGTGTAATAATAGGCTTTAGTGGTTCAATTTGGCGACTTAAAAGACTCCAAGAAAGTTTTCAGAGGCAATGCTATCGTGTGTAAATACCACACCACATAATTTGATTCCACTGAAGTTGAATTAGAAAATTTGTCTTCTATTAACATGGTTATTCTTCGATGCTTGAGATTTAAGATTCTTCTCTATACTAAGCAATTTCTTGCTAATAAATTTCTAATATTTCCTCAATAGTATTTGTATAATCAAAAGCCAAAAAAAAAATATAAATTAAAGGTTAGTTTGTTCAAATTTCTGCCAGCTATGACTATGGTTAGGAACAGGGGATATATGTAATCTTTGGATTAAAGGAACAAAATTAACTCTTTTAAATGAAAAAGAGTGTCTGAGAAATTAGCACTATTTGTTGTTACCTTGAGTTGGAACTAGGGACTGTCTGATGAATTATACTACTCGATCGGATTCTACAAAAACTATAGCTTTATACCATTGATTAACTTTCCCAAAATAATCCCCATCATACATAATCTCCTTTGAATATATGTTCTTGTTTTCTTAACGAGCAATATTAATTTGTTTTTGTTCTGTAATATTTCCTTCCTAATTGATGATTTCTTAACAAGTACATAATGGTTAAAAAAATATGGTACTAAATCTCATACTAATTGGAATGGGGGGGGGGGGCACCATTACTTCAGTTAGTTCATCAGTTCTCAAGTTGAACATGATATTAATTTAGGAGCCCGAAACACAAAATTTATCAGCAACTACTTATGCTACTACGTTTAATTCAGAGAAAGATATAGTTACTGCTATGGGGGAAGCTCCCATGAAAACCAGCCATTAATACCAGTAATGATGCTATAAGATTTCCTAAAATTCAAGGAATTTTAAATATGTCTATTGATCAGAAAATGACGTGTAATGCTTTGAAAGTTGATGGATACTTCCAGTAGAGATTATTGATTTTGAACTGGCTGTTTCTAAAGTGTAGCAGAAATTTAATTTTCTGTTCTGAACCTCGGGAAAAGTAGAGTTTCTGACAACAATTGTCATAGATTGAACATATCTACTTCTGAATGATATCATTATCGAGTTTTTTTAAGTACAAATATGTAGTATAGCGTTTACACATGGTAAATAATATATCAAACAACCAATCCCGAAACCTAAATGGTAGTGGGGTTGTTTTTCCAAGGTGCATACAACCATTACTTGAGAGAGAAGCAATAGTCTTTGTTGCCGCGAGAAAATGGCCAAGATTGTTCGTGCCGAAATAACATTATTGAACTGTCGGCGAATCCTCCGGAACATCAAAAAGAGTATCGAAATACAATGGTTTATTATATGATGTATTTTCTACTGTTCGATATAGACGTAGAATTCATATATAAATAAACTGGTTGGAACGTCAAAACGTGTGCGAACTTAAATAGTTCGCAGTGAATACCCAGGTCAGATTAGGTATCCTGATAAGTTCATGTGAATGTGTATGTTCAAAATTGTAACTACAAATATGTATATGTCGCTTTTAGCTTCTTTAGTTTGTTTCTTCAGTCAATGTCTTACCAAGTAGGTCCGTTCTTGATTATAAACGTGCACATGGTGTGAGGGTGTAACTTTGTGTGGAATTCTGCTACATCACGTGATAGTGCGGTTAAAAAAATTTTATGGCGGAGAGAAGTCCGAAGTGTAATCAGTTGACCTTCTCCCGTTCTACCGTTGCAGGATTCAGCTCCGGGACAGTGAGCGAGGGGTGGATGGAAATTTCTCACACAACAATATAAATAATTTCCAAATTTTCCATAACCCAATTGTTTTTTTTTATAGTTTCTTCTTTTTCTTTAATTATCAATTGATACTTTAAAATCATAATGCCAAAGTTAGTTTTAGTCAGACACGGTCAATCCGAATGGAACGAATTGAACTTATTCACCGGTTGGGTTGATTGTCGTTTATCTGCCACTGGTGAAAAGGAGGCCAAGAGAGCCGGTGAATTGATCAAGGAAGCTGGTATCCAAGCTGATATCTTGTACACTTCTAAGTTATCCCGTGCTATCCAAACCGCCAACATTGCTTTGGATGCTGCTGATCAATTGTACATTCCAGTCAAGAGATCTTGGAGATTGAACGAAAGACACTACGGTGATTTACAAGGTAAGGACAAGGCTGAATCCTTAAAGCAATTCGGTAAGGAAAAGTTCCAAATTTACAGAAGATCTTTCGATGTTCCACCTCCAGTTATTTCTGAAGATTCTAAATGGACCCAAGTTGGTGACATTAGATACAGCGACATTGACCCAGCTTGTGTCCCAAGAACCGAATCCTTGAAGTTGGTCATTGACAGATTATTACCATACTGGCAAGATGAAATCGCCGGTGACTTGTTGCAAGGTAAGACTGTCCTTATTGCTGCTCACGGTAACTCCTTGAGAGCCTTAGTCAAGCACTTGGATGGTATTTCTGATGAAGAAATTGCCGGTTTAAACATTCCAACTGGTATTCCATTGGTTTACGAATTGGATGAAAACTTGAAGCCAACCAAGCCAGCTTACTACTTGGACCCAGAAGCTGCTGCCGCTGGTGCCGCTGCTGTTGCCGCCCAAGGTACTAAGTAAATTACATATTTATAGTTTTATATGTTGAATAAACCTGTGTCTTAGACGTTGAGAATAATGCACACACACAAGTATACTAATCGTCTTTTTTGTCAGAATAATTTGTACGTGAAACTCAGTTGCAAGTATATGATCCTTTGAATTTTCTCTGCTCATTGTTTTTACGAAAGAAAAAAAAAAACAGGCACACATCAACAAACATCTCAGGTAAGACAGTGCAAAGGTTCTTTTGTATATTCTAGAAACTGCTAATCTTCAATTAATATCGAACATATTTATACTTGGTTGATTCAAGAAAAGCAAGGTTTCTGTTTATTGAAAATACAACACAATGTTTGGACAGCAACAAAACACAGGTGGTTCATCTGGACAACAATCAAACACCTTTAACTTCCAAACTGGGACTTCCACATCATCTGGATTCAATTTGTCGAATCCATCAAACGCAAATACTGGTGCTACTGGGTTTGGTGCATCTAAACCAGGTGTATTTGGATCCGGCACTGGAACTACACCAGCCTTTGGAACAACAGGTTCGACGCCAGCATTTGGATCCAACCAACCTTCAAAACCAGCGTCTCCATTTGGTGCAGCAGCAGCACAATCCACAAGCACAACAACGCAAAATCCAATGTTTGGATCGCTGAATAATTCTGGGTTGTTTGGAAATGCCAGTGGTTCTACTAAACCTGCAGCCACCTTTGGTGCCCCTGCAGCTACATCAGGAACTCCGCCAGCTTTCTCATTTGGAGCAGCCAAACCTGCTAACACAACCACTACTACTGCTGCTGCTGCTGCTGCATCAGGTACAGCATCTCCAACACCAGGATTTGGAGCTGGGAAGAGTTTCACCTTTGGTTCCAACAAGGATGCTGGTTCTGGGTCCATAACTCCATCTGCCTCATTTGGATCTACCGCAAATGATGCATCCAAGCCACAGCTTGGTGGTGGATTATTTGGTGGTGCTAAAACTGATGATAAGTCCGGAGGAATCACACCTGCTGGAGGAAGTGGATTGTTTGGTGCCAAGACAACCACTTCGGCTCCAGGTTTTTCATTTGGTGAAAAAAAGGAAGCATCACCTGCACCAGCTGGTGGTTTATTTGGTGCCAAGAAGGATGAGATTAAAGCACCTACTCCTCTCTCTGGTGGTGGGTTCACATTAGGCGCTAATAAGGATGCTAGCAGTTCACCCGCTCCTACTGGTGGTTTATTTAGTGCCACAAAGAATGATGGTAACTCGCCTGCTCCAACAGGTGGATTGTTTGGCGCTAAAACTGATGGCAACTCATCTGCTCCTACCGGTGGTTTATTTGGTGCTAAAGCTGGTGATAAAGCACCTACTCCACTCTCTGGTGGTTTATTTGGTGCTAAGAAGGATGATCTGAAGACTCCAACTCCCGTTGCTGGTGGATTATTTGGTGCTAAGAAGGATGACGATAAACCTGCTGCTGCAACTGGTGGTTTGTTCGGTGCAAAGAAAGACGATGCCAAACCGACATCTGGATTTACGTTTGGAGCAAAGAAAGACGATGATAAGCCAGCTTCTTCAGGGTTATTTGGAGCTAAGAAAGATGATGATAAGCCAGCTTCTTCAGGGTTATTTGGAGCTAAGAAAGATGATGACAAACCTGCTGCGACTACTGGTGGTTTCTCATTCGGTGCAAAGAAAGATGATGACAAACCTGCTGCAACTACTGGTGGTTTCTCATTCGGTGCAAAGAAAGATGATGACAAACCTGCTGCAACTACTGGTGGTTTCTCATTTGGTGCCAAAAAGGATGATGATAAGCCAGCTTCTTCAGGGTTATTTGGAGCTAAGAAAGATGAGGATAAGCCAGCTGCTTCAGGTACAACTCCAAGTTTAACGTTTGGCACTAAACCTGATGAAAAGAAAGACGATAGTAAACCTGCCACGGCTGGTTCTATTGCACCCACTGCTACTACTGCTACAACGTCAGTTCAACCAAACTTGAAGCCAACAAAGATTGAACCTATTCCAGTATCCATTGATAATAAGACATTAGATGATTTGATTATAAAATGGTCCAAGCAATTATCCACAACTAGTAAAATATTTAATTCCTATACTGAAAAAGTTAAAGAATGGGATCAACAACTAGTTCAAAGTGGAGACGAAATTGCTAAATTGAATCAGGACTCACTTGAAGCAGAAGCTACACAATCTAAGATCGATCAACACTTGTTATTTGTCGAAAACCAACAAGATGAATTAGAGAAGTTGTTGGATAACTATGAACAACAGGCTGATATTTTGTTGAATAACATTGAATTGAATAATAATTCAGCTGCTGCTAATGCTACTGCAGTAATGCAATCCGCTGATGCAGCAGCTGCTGCTGCATCTACTAATGGTGCTTCCGCGGCTGCGGCTGCCGCGGCTGCTGCTGCTGCTGCAAATTCAAATAATAGTTCTTTAAGTGTTACTGATAAATTACGAGAAAAGGCTTATCATAATGCTGAATTGTTGGATGAAAGATTGGATAATTTGGGTGAGAATTTGAGCACATTGATCAATGAAATCAATTCAGTTAGCGATGTATTTAACAAGAATTTGATAAATGATTTGGCAGAAGGTAATTCTGGTGCCACTACTGGATCATCCGATGAAAAATCATTGCAAAAGACTTCAAAGGGAGGGGAAAATCCAGTTGAAGAAATTGTCAAATTGTTGAATTTACATTTAGAAAATTTGAAGTACATTGAATCAACTGAAGAAGATTTGAAGAAGAAATTAGACAAGCTTTCCAAGACCAAAAAATCACACTATTAGTTTAGCTAACTAGCTCTGTATAATATCATTAAAATTCAAAAGTTGTTAGTAGCACTTACTTGTAGGTTGGCACGTCCACTAGAAACCTGTCGATTTTGCACATGGTTCGACTTACCCAATTAGGAAATTTTGAGAGCATTTTTCACAAGATAAGCTTTTTAGTATGACAATATCAACCATTGTAAAATTGACCTCGGACTTTCTCATAACACGCGAATTGTTGGGGTACATCACTAGCAACATTATCAAACTTTCTTGGCTATATCAATTGAATAGTTTCACCTGAATATTTTTTTTTTCTAACAATTAAATCTTTGAAACCACAACATTATTCAAGCAATACAAAGATGTCTTCACCAATTATAGTATTGATCAAAGCTGTCTACAGCGATGATATCTCCAACAAAGTTCTCATACAAATGGCATTCAGCCAGGCCAAGGCGATTGGGTATGGACGTATACTTGCAGCCGTGTTGGGATCAGCAACAGTTGCAGTTTCTTCATTCATTAGAATCCCTCAGATAAGAAAGCTTCTTATTAAATCTGAAAAATCCCGCATTTCCGTAGCTGAAGGATTATCCTTGGACGGATTGGGACTTGAAACTGTCAATTATTTAATCCATGCTGTATTCAATGCACAGAACAAAGTTCCGTTCATCAATTATGGTGAGAGTTTATTACTAGGCATACAAAATGCCATTATTATCCTATTGGCCAAGTTTTACCGGTTGAGAGCTTATGGAGAAATTGACGATTTCTCGAATTTGGACTGTAAACAAAAGGTACAAGCAGTCGCCAAGTCAAAGGTTGCTAATACTTTGGCTATTATGGTTGCAGCCACTGTGTTCTTCACCAAAATTGCTCCACCGCAATTAATCTCCGCCTTGCAGATTTTGAATATTCCATTCTCCGTCATTGCTAAACTTCCTCAAATCCGTCAGAATTATAAATTGAAAACTGCTAGTCATTTGTCGGAAACTGTTTTGACTGCGAATGTCATTGGTTCTTTGATTAGAGTTTATACTTCATTCACTGACTACTCCCTTAAGTCGAAGAGAAGAAAGGATACTTCTAATGAAAAGATTCTAGTTGCAGGTTATACTGCTTCTTTGGTGATGAATTCTACATTATTCGGACAAGCTATTGTCTATGACAAACTTAACAAAGACACCGAACCTACAGAGGATAAGGATAAGAAGAAGAATGAATAAATATGAAACTGCAGCTCTAATGCAGAATGATTTTTGTAACACTTAGTCGGGATATTTCGCACTAAATTAGGAAATAAATAGCGCGCGCATCAAAACCCGATCCTATGATCTAGTTCTATACTGTGAATTAGTAAGCAATTGCAATCTTAAACCCGTCAGCTACATAGTTAAATATAAGTATAAAAGGTATGATATCTACCCTTTAGTGTAACTCTTTTAATATTCAGCATAAAAAAGGATCTGACTCAGTATTCCAGAGTGAAAAATCTTTATTATTTAGCCGTGGCCGTATCTGTAATTCCCGATTCGCAGCTCGGAAAAGAAATTTTTCATAAACGAAGCAATTACAGCAATACCTCTCTTTTGCAAGACACCACTAAACATATACGTTATGGTTCATACCGCTGAATTCTTACCCTCTTCTGGGTCACTGATATCATCCATCTTGCAAGGTGGTTACCACCATCCATTAGCTCGTGAATGGCAGCAAGAAAGACAGCTTACTAAGAACATGTTTATTTTCCCATTATTTGTCACCGATAGACCAGATGAAGAGAGCGATATTCCTTCGTTACCTAATATCAAACGTCGAGGAGTCAACAAGTTGATTCCTTATGTCAAATCATTAGTAGAAAAGGGTTTGAGATCGGTGATTTTGTTTGGTGTTCCATTGAAGGAAGGCGTCAAGGACCAGGTTGGAACTGCTGCAGATGATCCAGAAGGTCCAGTTATCCAGTCTATTAAATTGTTACGCAAAAACTTTCCAGATTTGTTCATCATGTGTGACGTGTGTTTATGTGAATATACTGACCATGGTCACTGTGGTCTTCTTAACGAAGATGGAACTTTAAATAGAGAACCATCAGTTCAAAGAATCGCCGCCGTTGCTGTGAACTATGCCAAGGCAGGCGCACACTCAGTTGCTCCTTCAGATATGATGGATGGTAGAATTAAAGATATTAAGCTTGGTTTAATTAATGCTGGTCTTGGTAATAAGTGTTTTGTTATGTCCTATGCTGCAAAATTTTCTGGTAACTTGTATGGTCCATTCAGAGATGCTGCTGGTAGTACTCCTGGTCAAGGTGACCGTAAGGCTTACCAATTACCTCCAGGGGGTGCTGGTTTAGCTCGTAGAGCATTAGTTAGAGATATGGAAGAAGGTGCTGATGCTGTGATTATCAAGCCATCAACCTTTTATTTGGATATTGTTAGTGATGCTTCTAGATTATGTCGTGACTACCCAATCTGTACTTATCAAGTGAGTGGTGAATATGCTATGTTGCATGCTGCTGCCGAAAAGGGAGTCTTTGATCTCAAGGCTATTGCATTTGAAAGTCACCAAGGGTACTTAAGAGCTGGGGCAAGATTAATTATCAGTTACTTCACCCCAGAATTCTTGGAATGGTTAGATTTGTAAAAAAAAAAAATATTAATGAATCTTCTTGTATTTAGATTGAAATATTAATGAATTAAAGATTAAAGAATGAATTTTTAGTCTATGCAGCCAAGGGCTCGTTTGCTTGTTGGCCAACTTTATCTGCTTCTTCCTTTACTTCCTCCACCTTATCTTCTATCTTGTTTGTAGGAGCCTTAGGTAATATTTGAGTGTTTGGGGTATCAGGTAATTTAACAACTTCAGGGCCGTTGATTTCTTCGTTTAGTTTGGCAAGCTCTTCATCAACTTCGGTTTCTTCTAATTTGTTCAATCCACTTCCCATACCTAATGCATCTGAAATTTCATCCACTTTGATTCTTTCATCCTCCAATTGATCTAAAACTTTATCGATTCTTTCTACGCTCATTTCATTATTTAATTTCGTCAATACTTTATTACCTTCTTGCAAACCATAAATCACGTCTTTTTCAATCAATTTGAATTCTATAGTGCCAATCAAGTTTTCTAGGTTATCTAATTGATCAAACGTTTTAGCTATGACTGATTCTTGTTGTTTTTTGGATCTGAGGTAAAATTTGGCTCTGTCCGGTTGCTTATTCTTTACAGCTTGTCGAGCAAGTTCCGATTGTCGGTCAACTACTCGACTCAACTTTCGCTGATACTGTTTGATGCTATCTCTTTGTTCTTTTAATTTGAAAATCGCTCTATCCTGAGCGGTTATCTTGGGGGCAGATGTCAGTTGTCCCATGTTAACACATCCGATACTAGGAAATACAAACGCATCACTAACAACCAAAGATTCTTATCGGATTTTAAAATTTCGTGTGTGAGCAAAATCTTGGGTTTCTGTACTGCATATAGTACGAGGCAAAGCCACTCTTGTGGATGGTTGCCAAAAATGGCATGGAATTGACTTATCTTTCTGACACAGTGATCTAATCTTAACCAAGAACTACTATGGAAGTCTGATAGACCAATCAGAAGATCATTTATTGGAATAGATTGGTAAGTTCAACCTTATTTTAAGGACCTATTTCAAAATTGATGTACCGTTTCTGTCGTAAGACTTTCAGCTAAAGTTTCATATATCACGATTTACAAGGATCTTGGTAACTCTTAAAAATCTTTACCTAATCAATCAATCAATCGATCGATCAATCTACCGATGATTCAATCAATTAATTGTAAACAGAGATGTGAATTGAAACTGTTTTAATTTACTGTTTGGGGGCTTGCATTCAAGAGGAACGAGTAAAGGGGGCCAAAAACAGTACTTTCGGTCCACTTAACATGGTGTCTGGTCTACAATAACCACCCACGGCAATACTCACCAACCTCCGTTCATCAATGCTGTTTCTGGCTGCCGTGCAAGAAATTAAAATAATTGTATTATCCTGACGTCATCACATGTCCTCACTAGCCTGTTTTAAACATTTTTTAGTGGTACTGCTTCACAAACGTTAGATTTGGTTCGTCATGAATGATTGCAGCAAATGAGCCATGTGAAAGTAGTCACATTCCATTTGGGCCCGTTCATGAAACAAATAGATCCTAACCAAACACCTATTGTTGACATAGCGGTTCTTGCCATTTCTAGACAAATTGAAAAATTGCAAATTAATACAAATCTACTAGAGGATTGCCGATTTAGGTTTATACCGGTTTTGCCATTCATGCATATCAGATTAAGTCAATCGACAACGTACATGCGCCCCTCTGGAAGGAGTCATGTATGGATTACCAAGTTTTCACCTGCATCTAATTGGCTCAGGCCATCGCTTAAAGCCAATGACAAGAATCTACGGGTTTTGCATGCACAAGTTTCACCTTCTTCGGTCTTAGCGGGGCGCATTTCCAGTGGAAACAAAGCGGTTTTTTTTTAAAAAAGCCGTCTTGTCTCTTTTTTTTCGGCTTTAGTGAAATTACAAAGTTACTAATAATATACCTCACCAAAAGGAAATATTAACTGAAAAAGTTGGAAATTGTCCACAAGATTGATAATTACGTAAGCTTACAAATAAAGATCCTGTGCCTCAATTTGAAGGAAACTATTGTTGTGAATTGTTCAGACTGACTTGTCTCCAAGTTTCCATAGAAATTTTTTTCTTTGTGGTCTGAATTGCCTTTTTTTGTTTTATTTGCTGTGGTTTCGTATTCGTTTTCGGTTTTTTTTTTTCCAGTTCCTGGTAAAACTCACCCTCGCTCATTTCTTAGCTTGTCAACACTAACAATCTTCCATCATTCAAGAAATCAATTAGTTGCAACTAATTAAGGACGTGAAATCCAACAGGCATCCGATTCTCTCTTTTTGTATCAGTTTCTTGTGTGTGTGTTTTTTTTGAAACAGCAACTATTTATTTTGGTTGTTTCTCACATTTGAGTTCTTTTTATGGATGTCATCCAATCATTATATACCACCAGACCAACAATCACTGCATTCAAATAGTTCCATGACTCAACCCCAGGGATTACCTGCTCACTTATTGCCTCTGGCATTTATGAATCAACCCGAGCAGCAAAACTACCCTCCTCAGCTGCAGCAACAGCCCCAGCAACCTCCAAACCAGGCTCCTATGCCGGCACAACCGCCATACCCCTCGAATGTTGCCAACAAACCACCATATCCTGTAGCCAATCCAAACAATCAAGTATTAGGAAACCAACAACAGCATGCAAATAGACCACCACCACCTAGCAGCAGAAGATCTCTAGATCCTTATTCGCCGTATCAACAAAATGCTGCGCCGAATTATCAACAAGGATATAACTCCCCGGGCCAACATAATGGAGGTTATGCAAATGCATATGGACAACTGCCTCAGCAAGCACGTCATGGTTCATTGCCACAGCAGCGCACTACTCGCCAAGGTTCCATACCAGGACCGCAAACTCCTCCCTTTCAACCGCGTCATGCGTCATTGCCAGAACAACAGTCCCATCATATTCCTGCTTCACAAGGGGCCCCTCATCATGTGGGTATGCCTCAACAACACTATTCTCAACAACAACAACAACAGCAACAATATATGCAGCAGCATCCACAATATCAACCTCAACCTCCTCTACCTCCACAACAACAACAACAACAATCACAGCACTATCAACAGCAATTCTCGCCGATTGAACAAGATGATTTAACTGGTTTAGATCAAAGGGGTTTCCCACAGAAGAATAGGTCGGCACTGTCCCTTTCCACCGCTCCCGGAAATAGTAGGCGCATTATTTCTAGTGTTTCAGTTGCATCTGCGGAAGCTTACCCTCCTATTAATGCTCCTTATCCTATTGATGCGCCACTACAGTATCCACCAGGAAATGCACAACCACCTCCACCTTTACCATACCCAACACAGCACCAACCGCAATTAACATCATCATCATCATCATCATCGTCACAGCTGCAACAACAACAACGAAGACCCCCTCATCGTAAACCTGCTCCTGGTAATTTACCACCAATTCAAACCAACCAAGTGTACAATGAAGGATATGGAAGGAGAACTGTTTCAACGCCAACAGGTCCTGCTCTGCCATCATATAACAATGAACCAAAGGCTAAGTCTTTGTCATCTACTTCGTTGAAACAAAGAGCATATGAACAACCACAACCTACTACTACACATCGACATCTGTCAAGTTCAGGAGGTTCTAATACATCACTTCCTAGAAACTACTCATTGAATAAATCACGATCATTCTCTTCTATGACCAAGCTTTCTTCCTTATCAACAAAGAAAGGATCATCGACCTCGATTGCCAATCAAAAATTAGAAAAACATCAATCAATTTCGTCTACGAAAACATTGGTTCATCCATCTCATGGTCCAACAGTTTATCCTGCATTGTTATCTGAAGTGGCTAAAGTATTTAAAGAGCAAATGCCTCGTGATACCAGATTCACCAAGGATGGATTGGATTATTATGGCTCCTTCACAGGTAATATGGCGGTTGACGTGATTGCCAGAATTATTAGAACCAATGATCGAAATTTAGCCTTGTTGTTAGGAAGATCGTTGGATGCGCAGAAGTTTTTCCATGATGTTTCCTATGATCATCGATTGAGAGATTCTGCTAATGAATTGTACGAATTCAGTCATGTCTACAATGGCGTTGATTACTTTCAAGAAGAAAATGGTGGGTCCTCAAGCAATGGTAATAATAGTGCCGACAATTCCAAACATGGATCATTTGTAGATGGTGCTCAATTGCAGCAATTAATGTCTGAAGAGCATATCCAAAGTTCTCCAGAACTTCAAAAACCTAAGGAGTTGACTGCAAGTCAAGAAACTGGTGTTAATGGTGTGTTCACAATTTTGACGGATTGTTATTCTCCTACCTGTACAAGAAACCATTTGTGTTATAGTATTGCATGTCCAAGAAGATTGGAACAGCAAGCAAGATTAAATTTGAAACCTCAAGGTGGATTAAAGAGAGCTGTATCTCGTCTATCATTACATGAACAAGAAGAAAGTGAAACTTTATGGCATAAGACTGTTCCTCAATCGGTTTTGGATAAGTTAGATAAACAAGAAAAGACAAGACAAGAATTGATTTACGAATTTGTCTATACTGAACGTGATTATGTCAAAGATTTGGAATTCATGGAAGATTTCTATATCAGAAAATTATCTGTCCTTCCCATCATTGCTGAGAATCAACGAGAGGCATTTTTACGTACTGTATTTGGAGGTGTACATGAATTGTTAGCATTGGGAAGATCGTTTAGTGAAGCTCTTACGAGGAGACAACAACAACAGAAACCAGTTGTTGAAACTATTGCTGATGTGTTTTTGGATTATGTGGGCAAATTTGATCCATTTGTTATTTATTCTGGTAATAAAGTGTTTGCTACATTTGAACATGAAAGACAACAACAAGTCAATCCTAGATATTCAGCTTTTTTAGATAAGGTTGAAAGACAAGCTGAATCTAGAAGACAAGATTTGTCATCATTCTTGATCAAAGGTGTGCAAAGACCAGCAAGGTACCAGTTGTTATTAGCAGGGATTTTGAAGAACACCAAACCAGACTCTCCTGATTATAAGAATTTGGTCAAGGCAAAGGAAGAAATTGAAAAGGTTTTAGCCAAGATTAATGTGCAAACTGGTATAAGTACTGATAGACATAAAGTTATGGTATTGCATAGATTATTGGGAAGACAAACATTGGAGAATAGGTTTAACTTTAGATTGAAGTATAGTGATCGAATCATTTACCAGGCTACCCTTAGTCGGAAGAGAGATAACGAAAAGATTGACTTGTATATTTTTGAACATGCATTATTATTGGTGAAGCACAAGATTCAAAATAAACGAGAGCAACACAAAGTTCTTGAACGTCCATTCTTGTTACCATTATTGTTTGTTAATAGTGGATATGAAATTCCTACCATGAGAACAATCATGAATACCAGATATCATAATTCATTACTTTCTGATGTCTCATTAAAAAGTCAAAGAGCTGAAACTAATTACATTGGAAACACCTTGAATTCATCATCCAACGCCAAATTCCAATTGAACTTCTATGCATTGGGTAGTAATCCAGTTCATCTTTCTTTGTATGCCGAGGATGCAGCAATTCAAAATCAAATTTTACAACAAGTTAGTCAACAGCAAAAGAAATTGATTGATAATAGTGATTTGTTTTCCTTGACTAAATACGAAACTAGAAAGTTTCAAGGTAATAATAGAATCAATTGTGCTGTACCTTGTTACGGTGGCAAGAAGTTGTTGTATGGAACAGATTCTGGGGTGTGGGTTAGTACTGTTCGTTCTATTAGCACAACCTCTAATGAAAAGATTTGTTCTGATCCGACCTTGGTGATTTCAAAAGTATACGTCACTCAAATTGAAGTTTTGGTTGAATTTAACAAATTGTTGGTGTTGAGTGACAAGAGTTTGTATGAATTTGATTTGAACTGTACTGACTCCTTAGATCATGTCAAGAACACTAAACTGGGTAAATTATTAATGACCCATATTTCATTCTTCAAGATTGGTATTTGTGATGGAAGATTAATTGTATGTGGTGCCAGAACCGGTGGACAACATTCCATTTGTATGTTTGAACCAGCAAGTCCTCATGATAAGAATCAAAGAAACAAGAGTAAGAAGTTGGAGGTTCAAGAAATTTCATTTAGCTCTGATCCAATTTCAATTTCATTCTTGAAATCGAAATTATGTATTGGGTGTGCTAAAGGATTTGAAATTGTTACTCCAGATGGTAAGACCAAAGAATCTATTTTGGATGAAGCTGATCCTTCGTTGGATTTTGCTACCCAAAGAGAAAGTGTCACACCATTGGCCATCTACAGAGTAGGTAAGGACTTTTTATTATGTTACGCGGAATTTGCGTTCTTGATCAATAGAAATGGATGGAGAACTACTCACGACTGGGAGATATTCTGGCAAGGTAACCCACAAAATATTGCCCTTTTCTTCCCCCACATTCTTGCGTTTGAACCAGGATTCATCGAAATTAGAGATTTGACTACTCAAACCTTGTTACGAGCCTTGGCAGGGGAGAATATCCGATTTTTACATTCCAATGAGCATGAGGCTATGTTTGCATGTGAAGAGAATGGGTATGATATTATTGTATCTATAGATTTCTTGAATTTGAAGCCCAAATCTCCAAATTGAAGATTGTCTACGTGTGTTTTTTTATATATATTATAGTTAAATAAGTTTTATAAGAACGTTTTATAATGAACAATTAGTAAAAACGCAGCCCAGTGTAAGTTGATGCAACCATGAATTTCAAGACGCGTTACAATTTGCCGAGGATCGTTGGACTCAACGGCGACTCAAAACAACACACATGGAAAAAAAAAATTTTTTTTTTTTTTTGTTGACAGGTACTTCGTTGGCTTAAAACCTGAAGAGAATCATCTCCATATTAACCACAATAATTCATACTTTGAAAATGGTTGTTGAAATAACTTACCCTAGTATTGAACGTCCATTTGGTCTTTACTTATGGCCAATTTTCAACAAGGTATTTGAAGGCGTTATCGGATACCCTGCTGATGATTTTGAATTTATTCATCATCAAACATTTTTGGCAAACGGTTGGCATGCCATCGGGATCATAATCGCCTATTACATCGTCATCTTTGGCGGAAGATATGTGATGACCACTTTCAAGGTCCCAGCATTGAAATTAAACTTTTTGTTTCAATTACACAATATTGTCTTAACTTTGTTATCCTTAAGTTTGTTGTTATTATGTATTGAACAATTAGTTCCTATCTTGTATCACCATGGTTTATTTTATGCTATTTGTCACAAGAACGCATTTGCTCCTAAATTGGTTACCTTGTACTACTTGAACTACTTAACTAAGTATCTTGAATTGATCGACACTGTTTTCCTTGTCTTGAAGAAGAAGAAGTTATTGTTTTTGCACACCTACCACCACGGTGCCACCGCTTTGTTATGTTACACCCAATTAACTGGATCCACCTCTGTTGAATGGGTTCCAATCACTCTTAACTTGGCTGTGCACGTTGTCATGTACTGGTACTATTTCTTGAGTGCCAGAGGAATCAGAGTTTGGTGGAAGGAATGGGTCACCAGATTCCAAATCATTCAATTCTTGATTGATTTGGTTTTCGTTTATTTCGCCACCTACACTCACTACGTTTACAAGTACTTCCCAAGCTTACCTCACATGGGAGACTGTTATGGTAGTGAAGTGGCTGCTGCTTACGGTTACTTGATCTTAACCAGTTACTTGGCCTTATTTATTAGCTTCTACATTAAAGTTTACAAGTCAGCTGGTAAGAAGAAGGCTGCTGTTGCTGCTTCTGAAGAAAAGGCTGCCTCTGCAACCACCACTTCTGCCGCTACCGCTGGTGAATCCAAGGTTAGAGCCAGAAAAGCTTAAAAATAGGAGTAAAAATTGAGCATAATCAATGTGGTCTTGGCGCGCATTGAATGTTCCCGCTAATGATAAAATAGTATATAAGCATTAATACATAATAATTTCATAATAATTTCACCAAGAAAAGTTGCATGTGATTTTGTGGCATAGTTTACGATCGGAACGTTTTGGAAGACCAAACGGCACGATAGCTGATACTAGTAAGAAGAATACAACGGGTATTGGCGAGAGTCGGTCGGGCTTTCAGTTGCTTTCTAACAATAAACGAGTAAATTCTTGCTACAAACATGTGCATCACGAGTAATTTCTGCGTTTTTTCGCAGCAGCAATAAAAAAAAATTTATTGGCAGCTTGCGGTGGAATTCTGTACGATGTGAAAAAAAGATCTGCCAACATTTGTTAGATCTCAGCAACTATAACCTTTATCTGTATACAAAATCATTCACTAGCATAATAATTAAATGAATTAATTTCAAAATTGTAATCATAAAATATCGCGGCCCTAAAATTAGCTCATACTTCCCCCACCTGTTACTAACAATTAGGTAATAATTTCTCAGCATCGGTGTTAATCACTACTGCCGTGCACAACAAACATTCGGCTGAAAGCCAACAAAAAAATAAAATCATGCCAAAAAAAAAAAAAGAATAAAAAATAGAGAGAAAAATATCTCAATATTTCCTGCATGAATTAATGTTATTGTTCCGATTTTTCCGGCCCGTCCGTATTTTTCGGAAGAACCTATGCGGAGTTAAGTCACGTGGTTTTGTTTAAATCAATCTCCGAAAATAGCTATTTGCAATATTGAATGGATATCACTTAGTGGAGTAACAAAGGTTGAGATGTGCTATTGACTAGAGTTGAATACAAGAGAATTAGTTGATGTGAAGTGATAAATTTGCTGGATAGTGTTGCTTGAGTTAGACATTTGAATGCTAAATTTGCAAAAAATTATACGAAAACCAACAAATATCTACATTCTCTGCAAATTCCTATTTACTTCTTTCCTCTTTCTCAATAACCGGTAAAGTTAAACTTGCTACTTGATACTGGCCACGGGTTTATCCTATTATGTAAATATAGAAACATTAAACAATAATAGAGGCGATGTTTAAAAGCTTGTAGTTAATACCCGATAATATTTTTAGGTTACAGTTAATAATGTTAACGCATATCAACGACCAGCTATTTTTGAACGGCACGGCGATCCAACATATGATGGAGAAAGAGGCTGAATAGAGTTGAGTTTGCGATTGCGGCCGCGGTGTTTTTTTTGTTCTCTAACTTCGGGGTTAACTGGGATTTATGACGTGGTGCTACAACTTGTTACAAGCGTACGGCTCCTATTTTTAGGTGAATGTTTTGATATTTACGTTGAAATTTTCACTGCATTGATATTTTTTGGGGGGTAACGTAAAATTTATTTGGAGAATTGAAACAAGGGTAACAAATATGTGGGGCAATGTACGTCCACTAGAATGGAGTGAGGGGCACACACACATACACACACACACACACACACTGCTTGACTGTAACACATAAGATCAGAGCTAGATCTGGTAAACTCGGCTGTGACAAATAAAAAAAATCGCACACAAAATAAAAACAACCGTTCGAAAAAAAATGCACTCAGATTAACAAGCTACCCCTATTCCTATTAAGGGAGGTTTTTTTTCATTTTGCGACAGCAACTAATTTTTTGGGTTTCTTGAAATTAAGTGGATTGATCTAATCGTAGAGTAACATGTTATGATGTAACTATTACCATTTTGTGTAGTTCAGCAAAAGCAATTAATTTGCGTCGTCGTCATGATTTTAATGTGATTATCTACTGACGTAAGTCACGAACAGTGACGATTTTATTTTGGTAGGGCGCAAAATAGGAGATGCGGGTTGAGATAATAAGCAAAAAAAGAAATTATGGTTGTAGAATGACGTTTGCCTGCGCGGATTCGCCGAGTTTGCCATGCTGATTAGGTATAGGGGTAGAAAAAATAAATTATTAATAATGCAATACGGCTGAATAAATGGTGCGGATTAGCCTTTTTTTTTCCTTAGCTCGATGAATTTTTGGTTTCTGCCGTGGGGTCCGGAGAAGCATTGTTTCAAAAATTAAAACCGATAATAATAGGAGTAGTCCAATAATAGGGGGGGGGGGATGTATTGTTTATATTTGCAAGCGCGCTGTATACATGAATACAGCCGATCGAGAGCAACCGCATTTGCAACTATACCAAGTTGACTATGAGACTTAAGGTACATTTTCACCTATTTTGACTCATTGATGTCAAGGGTATTGCTTATACGAAGATCCAGATGATGATCACTCAACAGGTATGACAGAAGTGCACGCCTCACCAAAACGCAAAAGGTTAAAAATAAATCGATCCGGTGCTATCGAAACGGTCATCGATAACCTGCATTTGAATTCTATCCTATCGGATAAAATGCTTACTATTTCGTCACCCCATTGACATAACCCCGTGAATTACAATACACAACACCGGCGATAAACCTCGAATAGGAGTTATCTTCGTTCTCCAGATTAATAATCAGCTCGAGTCGTATCCGTGTCTTCCTTTTCTTTGACACATATTATTAATGACCTACTAATTTAAGTCCTAATCCCGATTACAAAGGTTTTTTATCAGCCGTATTTTTTTATGTATGGATGCAGGTAGTAAAGTTTCTTTTTTATTTTTTAGGGGCTCCAAAAAAAAAAAAAGAATGAAGACCCGACGAAATTCTGGTTTGGCCCCAAAATATGCTTTTTTATATAATATAGAAAGGTTTACCATATTTTTTTTTTCTTTTTCTTGGACTTATAGACTTACTTAGTTGTATGAAACTTATATAACAAGATGTTATCAATCATGCACAATAACGCCAACACAAATGCCAATAACTCTGGTCAAGTACCAGATCAACATCAACCGCAACCACAATACAAAAACAGTTTATTACCATACTCCGTAGTATCACAACCTCCACAACAGTATTATCCTACCAATAGATATAACTCACCATCTCCAACCATAGTAAACCAAACACAGTCACCACCACAAGGAAATGGGTTCAAATTACCTTCCATTCATTCATTAGACATCCCAGCATTTCCAACCACAGCCACAAACAGTACTTCACAACCAATGTTCCAACAAAAGTCTGGGTTCCATCACTTACCTCCATTCCAATATGGTAACAAATCACCAACCTTGTTGATCCCAAAACAAGAACAACCACAAAGACAATTGATGAGCCCAGTTGCATCACCATATTCCAATAGTTCAGACATATTATCCAGATCTAGAAGTAGTTCTGATCCTATCATGAAACCAGAGGTTATCATGTCATCTCCTTCTCCATTAAATCAAAGTTATTTACAACAAGCACAACCACCAGTCATCATGATGAATAACAGTAACGGTACAACTCCATTCACCATGAGTTACAACAACAGTGTTAATTTAAGTGAACCTGAATCTTCATCTTCCCATGATGAAATGTCTGGTTCCAACACCCCTATTACTACTGCATCTTCTTCACCTACACAGGCCAAGCGTAATTGGAAACCAAGAAAAAAGAGACAATGTCCAGAATGCAAATTATTCTTTTCCAATTTGGCAACACATAAGTCCACTCACTTGAAACCAACCAGCCGTCCTCACATTTGTAAATACTGTCAACGAGGATTTGCTAGGCCAAATGATTTGTTCAGACATGTGAAGTGTCACTGGAAAGAGATTGGATCAGACAAGGGACAATTCAAGTGTCCGTTCAAGTATGTTTCGGATGGTAGTGCTACAAATGATCAACAGCCTATTCAACCAGATCATTGTTGTCATAATACCGGGATTTTTTCCCGTTGCGATACCTTTAAGAATCATTTAAAGGCTATCCATTTCCAATATCCAAATGGAACTAAGAAGGATCAAAGAATGAAAGTTAATGGTAAATGCAGAATGTGCCAACAAGAGTTTTCTAATGTTGACGATTGGATGTCTAATCATATTGAGAAGAATCAATGTCCATTTACTATAAATATGATTAAAAAGGTTTAGAAACGTTTTATGAAAAAATTGCGGGAGTTTTATTTTTTGGTTTTATTTCATGAGTTTTTTTTTGGGAGTTTTCTATAGAAAGTTGTTATTAGTTTAAAAAAGTTTAGAAACAGTTTATTATTATAGGAACATTTGTAAATTTCAATATAAATAGTATTTAGGTAAAAATTCAATCTGTAGAGGGGGGGGTTACTGAAAAGACTTTGTGAGATAATTATTTACACTAGTTCCACTGGCGGCACAGGTGGAATAAGTTCCGGCAGCCGATAGTAAGAAAATAAAAAAAAGCTTATTAACTCCGGTGAGAGATTTTCGCAAGTGGCGAAGCCTGTTGCGAAAATTTTCTGGTTTGTTGGGTCTCGCGCGCGCGGAATAAGTGTCAATACAACCGAATGCTCCGAGGCAATCAAATGCCTATCGCTATCAGCAGTGCTGGACTAAAATCTCTTCTTGGCATTTAAAGATATTTGTAATATAGTATAATACTGGCCAGCCAATGAATTTTACAACTGCCATGTACTCTAGTGCAAGACCCTGGCTAGCCAAGACTTCTACGACAATGTTCTACATGATTTAGAGACTAATTTGCCTGAATCATCCGATGTTAACTCCGTTCTAGCCACAGCCACCTCCAACAGCTACATGCAGGGGAGGAAGAGGAGAAGGGGGGGGGGGGGACTAAACTAGACATGGTAAGATTAGTTAGCCAATGGAGAATCGTCCTCTAATCGACTAACAATAGCCTATCAATTGGATTCTACCCGTGACATGGAACAATACATATCTTCAGTTTGCTAGTTTGCCCAGAGCTGCCAAATTTCTCTCTCTTTAAAAAGGGTATAACCGACCCTGAAAAAAAAAAAAATTCTTTTCTTTTTATCTACATCAATAGATAGACCCCTACCTTAGATTCCAGCCAATGATTGCCAAAGTCTTGAAACTAGGGTTTCTATTCCTATTGGTAACTTCCCACAAGACACTTCCATTCGCATATGTGGTGAGATTCTACTATCATGCCATCCAAGGATTCTTCCTTTCGCGCCTCAAATATCTCGCTACTAAATCAAATTCGTTCGGATATAACTCCCCCAAAGATCTCTTCACTTGGGTGACTTTGCGCTCCCATGCATCGCCTTTGGAAATCGATATGTACATGCATAAGCTGAATTCAACATATTTCCTCGACTTGGATATCGCTAGAACAAAGTTGTTGACGAGATTACTCCAAAAGTTTTGGTGGGCGTGCTACGATAATGACCAAGGGAAATTTAAATCGAAACACACATTAAGTAACATTCCTTATACGCCCGTTGCTACCGTACAATGTAGATTCATCAAAGAATTAAAACCATTTCAAAAGTACGACATAAGCTCAAGAATTTTGGCTTGGGATGACAAGTGGTTATTCGTCTTGTCTAAATTTGTAACCAAAAAGAAGGGCGAAGAAGTCATCAATGCTATTGCATTGACCAAGTATGTATTAAAGAATGGCAGAATCACGGTGGCTCCAAAAGAATATCTTGAAATTTGTGGGTTCTTGAGTGAAGAAAACGACAAGATCAACCAAAAGAACTACCAATTGGTTACTTCTTTAGTAGATGTACAAGATTTAGAGAACGTTGCCAAGGTAATGGCATAGTGTGCTACATAGACAATCTTAATATAAATAATGTATTTAAAACAATCTAATACTTTACATACTCTAAGCTAATCCAAATCCTTCATGACCTTCAGTTATAGCCATCAACAAAGAACCTCTCAAAGTTTCATAACTTTCATAAGCAGGTAAATCAACTTGGTTGAAACATGTATGCGATGAAGGTAATCTATCAGTTGAACCATAATCACGATGGATACTAAATTTACAAGTACCACTAGCCCCACTCAACTCTTTAAATCCATTTAATGGCACCTTAGAAGTACCAGTTGCAAATTGCAACAATCTTGCTCGTTCTTCATTATCAAACGATTTAACAGCTCTCCAGAACCATTGAATTTGAATACTTGATGGAGAATAGTTATTATAAATAGTGTTGCTTTGCCAATCACTAACATTGATATCAGGTAAACCACTAATCAACAATTCCAATTCTTGCTCATCAAAAATGGCAATCAAATCCTTGGGAATAATTTCATGGAATCCAATCAAAAAATTATCCATTTGTTCTTCAACAGAAGTTTGTAGTCTATATTCAACAACCTTCTTGACATATTCCTGTTTGTTCTCTTCAGTTACAGGAATGTTCCTACCGTTAGGAATCAAATCAATAATCTTGTGTTCACCATAGTCATCAGTCTCAACCGAGAAATCTTCTGTGATAACGTCAGTAATATCATTCTCCAACATCCACATTAACGATTTAGTATATTCTAAATCTAACGATTCCATATCCTTTAATGATTGTTTCTTACCCAAGATTTGCTTGTAAACAGCTCTTGAGAAATGACAATCCAAGTAACAGTTATCATAAATTGCTTTACCAATAATTCTTCCAATAAATTTAAAGAATGACAAATGCTCTGGATTGATGTATGAAGTTCTATTAGGATGGAATGTGGTTCTATCAGCAACAACTGGAGTGAACAATGCATAATCAGGGTTAAACATCTGTCTACTCAAAACTTGATACCATTCTCTAGTAACACCACCAGCATCGATACCTTGTTCTCCCTTGAAATTAATTTCCAACTTGGAATTTCTAAACTCGTCCCGAGATTTAAAGAATAAAGAACGATAAGAGTCCAAAAACACTTGGTCACGACGAACATTGACTGATAACTTGGAATTTTCCTTCTTATCTTGATGCAATTTCCTGTCAAAATAATTCTTTTTATTATCAAATTCCAATACTCGTGGATTTCTAACCAACATTCCAAAAGGCCCACTCATTAAATTAGGATTAACTCTAACCATTTGATTGAGGATTTTCTTGTGTTCATCAGTAAAGGAGAAAAATAACGACTCAATTGGCTCCTTAGTAAAATCAATCTTTTTAGCTTCGTACTTCAAAATTTCCTTCAATGGCAATTCCCTCACTTTACTATGTTTACAAACAACCATCAATGCTTCAATAAGCGGCAACAAAGCATTGGCAACATTATGTAATTGTGGATTTTCTTCTAAAACCCGTAAACATTCACTCAAGGCATCCCAAAGAGTACCTAAGGCCAATTTCTTGTATAATCCCGTCAATTCTTCAATTTCATCCAAAGGTTCACTAGTAAAACTCTTGTCTTGTTGTTTTCTTTCTCGTTCTTTAGTTTCAAACATATAATCCAATGCAGTTAATATTCTCAATAATTTAGCTTGATCAGATGAATGAGCACTGAATTTAGAAAATGATTTACTTTCAGAGCTATAATTGGTTCCACGCAACTCCTTGGTCAAATTATTCAAGTCAGTTATAATCTTAAACCCTAAAGTCGAAGCTTGGTCAGATAATTCCATAGAGAATGCCTTCTGTGCATTGGGCAACACAGATAAATTTTGCATGGCACTGATAGTTCTTCTAAATGTTGTATTGGAGCAATCATTACCAGTCAATATCTTAATTATTTGTCGATAGTTTTCTTGACGAATAACCGGAAGTTGCAATGGCAGAGATTCATTTTCATGTTCTTTCAAAACTTGTAATGGACGAGTAGATACTTGAAGCACTCTGGCAAGAAGGTCCAAAAAGGTTTGATCTTCGCGAACAAGAACATTATCAAGCAATCTCAACAAATGGTTCAATGCAAACTTACCCTCTTTCGTGGAATCGCCTAATTTAACAAATGTCTTATTGGCCTTTTTCGTGAGGAATACATTTTCGTGTTCCGTCAACAAATAATATCTCAAATGACTATTGCGTTCCAATAAATAATCAATAGCTTCAATGATCTGAATACCAACGGATATTTGAGTAGCACCAACGGGAATTCCATGCTTGGATTTAATATCCTTAGATCCATTTGCTCGACTGCAGACTTGAGTATAAATCTTTTCAATAGGACGTTGATTTGTAAAACAATCATAAACAATAGCAATTAGCAAACTCATAATTTCAATTCTACTTTGCTTATTATGACACAAATAATGCAATGAATGATAAACATGTTCCCTTTGATTAATTGACAATGGTGAAAACAAAAGTCGAATCAACGCAGAAATACCAGGACGATCAACCAAAGGAGTGAAAAATACCTTCTTCGATGGTTTCTTTGCACTAGCAGCAGTACTTGCACGACGTGATGACGACAGTCCACCAACTTCAAAATCCATAAATTCATCTTCATCTTCACCTTCTTGATCTCCAGTTTCTTCATCATCGTTCAAACCTTCTTCAAATGAAGCATATCTTCTCGTCATGGCTTCTTGCTGAAGAATTTCGTCTCTAATATGTCCTGGTAAAGCTTCCAAAAAGTCAGGATCAATTTCACGAGTTTCTTCACCAGTACTGGTAGCATTTGCTCTTCTTTCTCTAACATATTGAGTGAAAACTTCTTCACGCATATCTTCTGGTAATGCTTCAATGAAATTACGATCGATTTCAGTACCTCCAATATCAACATCACGATCTCCAATACGAACCATGACTGGTTCATGAGGAGGTGCATTAGCAGCATTCAATTCGCGTTGTTTGGCTTCCTCTAGTTTCTTTTTGGCTTCTTCTTCAATCTTCTTCTTCAACTTCTCTTCGCGTTCCTTGCGGATTTTCTCAAGCTCAGATTGCTTCTGTTTATATAATGCAATACTATCTTCTTCAATTCTATTGACAATATCAGGAATAACCCTTAACACCAAATCATTCTTGTCCTTCTTCTCCTTTGGATAAAACATCTTGAAAGCATCTTGCCAACGTTCTCTAGTTGATTTGATATGCATGCTCTCACCGGTTTCATTTCCTCTACGTGGTCTCAAATGTAACATATTATCAAAGATACGGCCAATTGGATTGGTTGCAAACAGATCTTCTTGATCAGAAACTTCGAAAGTGCCTCTAAACCCACCTTCACGGAATAATCTGTCAAATAATTGTGCCAATGCAGGTGAAGTTCTATCTAACTGGGACAACCCAGCTTGATCCAACAATCTTCTGACTCGACCACCTTGTGCAGCATCCAACGTGACTTCAATTTCCAGGATTCCCTCATTACTAGAATAACCATCTGATTCATCATCAGCATCTAGATCAACGGATCTCTCCACTCTTCCCATGGTAGTAACAGCAGATTGTTCATCAGCAATATCTTCATCACTAGAATAATGGTCACCATCCTCAAGCTGTTCAATCCAGCCATCCAACTCATCTTCATCATATTCACTTAAATCACCCTCATCTTCGTATTCATACAATCCTGATTCAGAAGAGCTTCCCTCTTCACCTTCGCCATCTGAATGAGAACCCAAATCCAATTCATCAATAATCTCAATATCATCAATGCTACTATCTGAAACATCTCCATCAATAGTACCATAATATTCGTCATCCGAAGCATGCTCGTCATCCATACTAATTTCAACATCGTCTTGATCTGAATCAATTGCAGAAAGTTCCGAAGATTCATCGTCCGATTCAATTTCTTCTCCAGATAATACTTCCAAAGGACCTTCTTCATCATAGTACATATCTGAATCCTCATCTTCACTATTGAAATCAACATCATACATTCCCAAAGTAGAATTACGGAACAAATCAGGGGTTTCTTCTCTATCATCAACATCTTCAGGCATTATATCATCGTCATCATTCTCACCTTGATTATCACCAGCAAAAAGCTCTTGAAAATCAACCTTACTCTTTCCCAACAATGAAAGCGGTTTGAGACCAGCCTTGACGACTCTCTCAATATCAGGAAAGTTCAAATCCAAATCAGCAAGCAAGGAAGTTAATAAATTGGGAACTTGTTTCTCAATGTAAACCTTGGAAATGTAAAATTGATCAAATTTAATAGCCCTATTATTCAATAAAGGACCGGCTGCATCCCGGAACTTAGTAGATACTAAAAGCCCAGTTAATTCAAACAAGTCAAACAATTTTCCATAACGAACTTGGGCCAAGTTATTCAGCTGAATAGTGTCTTTAAGAATTTTGGTGAGCACTTCAACCACATATCTTCTAATAAAGCCCAAATCAGGATCTTCCTTCTTGGCATCTGGATTATTGTCTTCATCAAGGATTGGAGTGGATGTCAATGCAAGAAGTGTCATCTTGGCAATTGAAGAAATAGCACAGCGTCTTTCATATTCGACTCCTGAAGACTTTTCCAACAGATGGGTAGGAACTAATTGATGGAAGAAGAAGTTCAAGGAAGATGACCGTGGTTTCAATGGATCATTTGGTTTCATCTTTTTTGAAAAAGTCAAAAATTCAAATTTGGCCAACTTATAAGATCCCAAAAGTTCAGTTATGGTTTGAATAAGGAAACAACCATATCCAAATAATTCATTAGAAAATAAATCTTCCTTCTTTACTTCTTTGGTTTCTGGAGCTTCAACGGGATCAGCAAGCCAGTCACTCTTGACAATGCTCATTAATTCATTGAGAAGGATATTCATGACAGTAGGTGTTTCAATTCGTTTAGGTTGACTTTCTCCAGTAGTTGCATCGGTCATTTTCACATCTTCTGTATCCTCTTCAGTCTTTTTAATTTTCTTGATTGGAATTTTATTCAAAAAGAATTCAGATCCACTGTAACCCTCCAACCTAACATCCTTGCACAAAATATCCTCAAAAGCTTCCGCATCTCTCCAGATCAAATCTGATTGATCCTTTAAGCATAAATAAAGATCTTTGACACGGGTAGAAGTAATGTTAAAATAGTTTGCCACATCAAAATTTATTAAGTTTCTCTTGACTTCAGGTGTTTCAAAAGCATATCTTAAAATTAATACAATGGATGTTTTCAATGATTCCAGAATTGGCTTCTCTTTAATTGGTGTTCTTAAAGTTTTGATCAAGTATTTAACAACTTCACTTTCCCTAAGTAATTGGGAATATTCTTGATTCTTGGCGTACATTGCAAGCACACGGGCCAAACTATTTGCAGAATTTGAGTTTCTAATTTCCTTAATTTCAATGAGCTGCTTGAATATCTTCAATTGTATATCATCATCCAAACGGTAATAAGTGTTAGATTTTGAATATCTTATGCTCTCATGTTTGGTTTCACTAGGTTCAGGATCATCTTTATACACCAACAATGCTTCCAAAATAGACATCAAGAATGGGAAAAATGATTCATTTACATATTCGTCATGCAATATTCCCGAATGCAATACAGTTGTCATATTTTCAAAAATACCCCGAAAACTGTTGAAATCTGCATTAGCCAGGAACAAAAGTGAGATCAAATGCAAATAAACCCCAAATGCACTGGAATTTTCTTCCTTTCTCCATTTCAGTATGCTAACCAAAAATCCTAATCTAGTCACCACCTTATCAGTTGAGAATGTCGCAAATAATTCAGAAATTGGTGCAACAACTTTTGGAAACTGGGTAGCAATGTTTAACCACTCATCCACAAACATGTCTGAATGTCTTTTCTTTTCGTCAATAATCTCCTTAGATTTTCTATAGGTGGGGAAATCAACACTAAAGTCATGATCATCGCTTTGTATTTCTTCACTAAACTTGTCCCATTCTTCCACAGTCAAATGCATTTGTGGACAATCAGTATAGGTCTTATTAACAATATCCTTCAAAACAAGCCCATGTTTGAAGAAATGGTTAGCTTGTGATTCCGACATACCAAGGGAAATCAAATAGGCTACTTGATCAGATGGTGGAAAGACGTTTCTAACATCAAATGGGATAAATTCAACTTCAGAAGACTCATTTTTACCACTGTAGACATGTTTAGCAATATAAACCATTTGCTCAACTAATGGTGATGGAATATTGGCAGCAGTAACTCCACTACCATTGTCAGAAATCTTTGAATTTAAACCAATGGTTTCTTCCAACAATTTAAATGCAATTCCCCTAATTTGGGTAACTAAACTTGAGATTATTTTGCTTTCAACATCACTCTCATAACCACTTGCAAAATACAATTTGGGAAAAGGTAAGAATGTAATAATTTCCGAGTTTACCGACTTGGCAAAGATCATAAGGACTTGACTTAATGCATTTTTGACAATACTACTTTCGTGTGTACTGATGTATTTGAGTTCAGCAGTTTCCTTGGCTACAAGTGGATCCATAAGTAACAACTCATTCCATAATTCAACCGCAATCTCTTGTAAGCTTTCAAAATACCCGTTTTGAAATAAAGAAATAGCAAAAGAAACAAGAACGGTGTCTCTAGCTCTTTCCTTCTGGGATAATATATATAGCACCGAATTGGAAAGATTCAAAATATAGCAATACTTGACATACTTGTTGGTGAATGGTCTTGAAATTGCCGAAGCAAACACTTTTCCCAATTCTATGATAATCTCCACACCATCTCTCCTCATTTCGATGTCAGCAAAATCTTGTCGCTTAGGTGTACATGCCCGAGCAATGCATGCTAGTATTAATGATATGTAACTTTGGAAATAGTAACTGAAGAATCTAATTTGTAATGTATTCTTGAATTTGGCACTTGTTCCACTGGATTCAGGTGTGTCCTTAGAAGGTTCAGTTGCATGTATCAATAATGGTGGACTATCGGTAGACACAATCGAAGTAAGTTTCAGTACTTCATCGGGGATGGATGAACGTATAATGGTTTCTTCGAGTATACTTCGTTCCAAAAGCAATGCCAAATCAGAAATAGTCTTGAGTCCATAACCACCAAAATGCTCAATAATTTGAAGGAATCTTTCTTGAAACATTAATCCCAAGTTTATGTAAATTTCTGCAATCGCATACAAGATTGTATTAATTGAATTCAAATGTTGGAAAAGCAAGGTAGCTGATTTCTCATCCAATGTTGCAAAATATGATTGTTCCGTGCTGCTATATTGAATATAATTCTGAACTTCGTCAAGATCAAGCAATTCTTTCAATTTATCCAAAACGACCGGCAATCCATAATCTCTCTTCTCATCATCAAAATACTTCAATATTCCCATCAACGACGAGATTCCATTGGATAATAAATAATCATAAGGAGCATTTTTCAACGTTAAAAATTTAACCCAGGTTTTAAACTCAATCTTTTGAATAGCTTCAGGTCCCCATTGTCCACTATCTTGAAGTAAACCACCAAGGAAGAAGTAGACATTGTCAAGCAAATATGCATAATCAGAAGTGTCCCAGCTTTCAATTTCCTTTTCACCATCTTCATTTATTTGAGATGGCTCATCTTTGCTCTTGTATAATGAACCAATTTTGGACGAATAAAACTTGACACCACTCAAACGGTCATCGACGTACGAACTAACATTTTCAATCAAAGATTTGGTCTCAGCAAGTATTACAGGTTTCAAGGATGGGAAATGTCTTCCCAATTCATCAAAGGAACAACCCAAATTGGTTGACATGTCAGAATTCACCAATTCCTTGGCATTAGGTAAGTTGTAGAAAGTTTTGAAATAGGTGGATATGATCTTCTTTTCCTTAATCTTTCTCAACCCTTCATTATTCAAACAGATTGCTCCCAACACTTCAGGTAAACTCATTAATAACTCACTAGATGGCAAAAACAAACTTTCATAATTGTCTAAAATAGTATCTATTACTTTGGCCTCATTAAGGATTGAGAATGCAGTTGGTTCATTATGGATGATGTAAAACACTGAGTCAACAGTGGATGATAGAATCAATGGTCCAAACACATGGGGATGAGTCAAGATCTTGTTGAAACTTTCCAATAATGGTGAATCAAATAAGTTTCTTAATCTATCACCAACGTCAGATTGGATTATATCAGCAACTAACTTCATCAAATTTCTTATATAATTTGCCTGTCTAAATGAAATCGTATAATGTACAATCGCATTCTTTGGCGGTCCACCTCCATATTCAGGATTCTCCAATGCAAAATCAACTTCATATCCAATTGCTTCAATCAAAAGATTGAAACCATTATTGGCCACAAAATCATCCAATGAACTTGGAGACCCAGTCAAATATATCGCGATTAAATGTGAAGCGGCAGAACAAGACCATCTGTATTTTGTATGCAAATTCATAAATGCCATTAAATCATTTAAAATACCACCTGCTGTAAGTTTTTGTATCAAGCTCTTGGTATTGATCATGTTTCCTAGCATATTGAAGAAATGAATATAACCTTCTTCAAAATAGTCATCATCCTGTTCCTTGACCATCTTGCAAATATGCCTTATCAATTGAAACAAGACTCCATGACTGACATTACCACCCATGCAACGTATAATATCTCCACCCCATACTCGCTTCAAAGAAATGCATTCAAGGATTCTGATTGCAGTAAAATGAACATCTTTAGGAACTCGATCGATATTCTCTGGCAGGACGGCATCCACCAAAAAACTGAAAATATATGGTTCAGCCTCAAATAACTTCGAAGATGTGTTTTGCACATTGAACATATTACAAGTAAAACCAACAGCAAGACATTTGATTTGTAATAACTTTTCTCTGAGCTTCATTGATTCATATGATTTGGTATTGAATGATTTAGCAACAGCAGCATGCATGCCAAAGTTGAACCAAAATTCCTTGGGAATAACCTCGGCAGCTTTATCATAAATTTGCTCCAATGTGAGTTTTCTTACAACATCTTCACCCATGGTAAACGTATTCAATCCTTCAGAAACCACCAACTTTTGCGGCTTTTTCTTGCTCTCCTTTTTCTTACTAGCTTCTGTCGTAGTGGATGCATGACTTTCTGGCTTTAGAGGAAGTAATGATGATTTGTAATACTGGAAATTTATATACTTCCACTTACTAGGGTATTTCTTCTTGGACGTTAAAGTATCCACGAAATTAAAATGATCACCGATAATACTAGACTTTTCATCCTTCTTTTGTATGTTTGCTTTATGCTGTTGTTTCACGGCGCTGTCCACAGGAACCATAGGAGGGTAAGACCTGGCAAGTTCCAACACTTTTTGTTTGGTTGATTTGGGGGCGGAGTACTTGGCATTGTTATTCTGAGCAAACTTTTCAGCAATCAAAACGGCAACTTCCAACGCTTTCAATCTAACATCCACGGTGGGGGTGTTTATTAAATCAAAGACTCTCTCGCTGCTTGCATATATCAGTCTGTCAGAACAATGCTCCAAGAGGGTATGTGTGAATTGTAGACACGCAATGATGAGTGATTGATCTTGAAGGGATATGATTTGTAGCTTCACAAACTCGTCATTCAAACCATACTTCTTGATCATCTCTTCAAATATCAGATCCATTCTGTTCAACACGGGGATCCAATGCAATAGATCACCGCGTGGTCTCTCCCATTTCAAATTAGCATTGAGTCTGACTGGCAAATCGCGTAATTCACAATTGGCCAAATCATCAATCAAAGATTTCAATGGCTTTGCCATCTGCATCAGCTCAATGTGTTCTCTTTTCTGAATAATCATGGTGGGGTGGTTGGATTAGACTGAAAAAGAGCAAGCGTAATAAAATTTCTTTGATTGATGTTGTTGCCAGAAAATGTTTCTATTAAATATGTGGCAAAATGTAAAACTTTTCCAATGCTCCAGCTAGCGATCGTTCAATGTGATTGATGAAAAAAAAAACGTGTTGTCTGCTTCTTGTTCACTGAAAAGAAACAACTTTAGTTCAGGAAAGAAAAAGAAGGAAGCAAACAAAAGGAAGGTGAATGGGAACAGCTGTTTGAAATTATATTCGCAGGTGAGTAAGAGAAAAAAGTGCCACTAGAGAAAATAGAAGAAGCTCATGGTAAAACAAGCTCCTACAATATACAGGAATACATTTTTTAAACTTATACCAATCAATCCACAACAACAATGTCACGAGGGGCAAAGAGGTCTACATCCGAGGCTGAGCTCAAGGAGGAGTCTCAGGATAAGAGGGTAAATGCAGCCCGAGAAAGAATCAAGCTATTACAAAGAAGCAAGGGCAGAGAAACAGAAACAGAAACAGAAAAGAAAGATGAGACCAAGAGTGGACTTGACATTGAAATCCACCCCTTATTGAGAAATATCGGTCCAACACCAGTCATACCGAAAAACCACAACCCTCTTAAACAAAATGTCCGAAAATGGTTTGATCCAAGTGCCATCAATCCATATCTAGACCAATCTAATCTGTCAAGTGGATTAACATCGAAGCAGCAACATAAACCACGATCATTGTTGTTCAACCCCAAGGGCAAGTACATTGCACAGGGAGAGCACTTACGACAGAAATTAAAAGAGGAAGCAGCGGAGAAACAAGAACAAGAGAAGATCAAAGCTCAGGGCTTACTTCCAGATGAAAATCTCGGTGAACAATTCTATAAACCCGAATTTCCTCCTTCGGTTGAATGGTGGGATAGACCTTATTTACGGGATCCCAATTATGATCATATAGGAGATGAATCTAGAAAAATATTAGACAGCGAGGTACAGCCAGTTACTTCTTATGTCCAGCATCCTGTTCTTGTTCAGCCGCTTTGGGAGGCAAGAGAAGAGATCAAGCCAATGCATTTAACCAAAGCAGAAAGAAAACGGATGAGAAAAAACGCCAGAATGGAAAGACATAGAGAGAAACAAGATAGAATACGTCTTGGATTGGATCCACCTCCACCACCAAAAGTCAAGTTATCCAATTTGATGAATGTTCTCACAAATGAAGCCATTAGAGATCCAACTGCGGTTGAAAATAGAGTGAGAAAAGAAGTAGAAGAGAGACTACAGAAACACTTGCAAGAAAACCAAGCGAGAAAGCTAACCAAACAGCAGCGTCATGACAAAATCTTCCAACAACAAGACAAAGACCTTCTGAAAGGGTTATACAGTGCCGTCTTCAAAGTTGATTCCCTTGCCAACAAACAGAATTCATTCAAAGTGGACATAAATGCCAAGCAGCATAATCTTGTTGGAATATGTCTTAAAAATCCAAAATTCAATTTGATAGTCGTTGAAGGAGGCCATAAAGCCATTGAACGATACCAAAAGCTTCTTTTAAATAGAATTGATTGGACTAAGAATGCTTCTGAAGATAATACAGATTTGTCTAACAATAAATGTTCGATGATATGGGAAGGTCGTATAAAAGAATTGAGTTTTCAAAAATGGAGCATCATGTATTCTCGAGATGATGAAGAAGCATTCACGGTACTTAATAAGTTTGGGATAGAAAACTACTGGAGATTAGCCTCTACTACGTAGATTGTGAGTTAATATCTATGGTCGTGTATATTTACCAATATTGTAGGTCGAAAAAGTACTGACAAACCAGGAACCAGTCATGTCTGCGATTCAACGAAAAAAAAGCCCTAAGGGGAGAACTACTTAGAAACATTACTCGTTTCTTTTACTCAATTGAGACACTTATAATATACACAAGACTGTTACAATGGGTGCCGCTTACACTATTTTAGGAAAACAAGTTCCAGCTCATATTGTATGTTGTAATGCGATAGAGATTCCTGAATAATACAACCCGCTCCGTACTAACAAACATTAGCTTTCAATTGCTACTTTATCAGCAGTTGCTGCAGGTACTACATGGTCACTCATGGGTCCAAAGACTGAAGCCAAGGCTGCTCCTGTTGCTCCAGTTTCTCAATCCAAGGAAGAAGACTTTGATTTTGAAAAGATTTTCAAGTATGTAAAACCAAGTTTATACTTCAAACACGAGAACAATACTAACCAATTACTTATAGTGACTTAACCAAGGAAGAAGCCAAGTAATTTCATCAAAGTGAAATACACTTTTAATAGATATTTATAAAATAAATATAAATATAAATATTTTGATTTGCAGTGTCTCTTGGGTTCATATCTGTAGATGCTTTGTTTGCCAAAAAAAAAAGAAGACATGACCGAGACTCGGGAACAGTACTGAAAATTTGCAGCACTTTTCTTTTTCTTTTCTATGCTGGGCAGCTCGAGATTAAACAAAAGCTTGGCAGGTTGCCAGTCTGTATATTTCAGAGCAAGTTGCATGATGTTCTCTTATAGCCCTGGTTCGCAAGTGGGGCCATTTGATGTTGACAAAACACTGATATGGCTAAACGACGAGTTGCAAAGAAGTCGGCCAAGGAACGAACCAAGCGTGAAAGTTTAAGGTTTTGTTTGGTTGGAAAAGGAGATATCGAATCATATTAATATCACCAAGAAAGAAACTTTTGCAGCTGTAATACTCTCGAGTGCAAGGCGGCTATTAAAACCGCCTCCACCCCTCCTTTCAGGTGAGCTTTCACTTTCTCGTACCCAACTTTATACCGTAAATGTGTAGCGTTGACTCGGATCTCCACCTGTCTCGTAGTACTAAGCAACACATTTGGTTAGACACACCAGGTGGAGAGGTACATCTAAGCGAACACGTTCCAGGTCTTGGAAATTCCTGATCACTCAACAGTTTGATCAATATTATGGAATTACTTAAACAAGATGTATAAATAAAGATAACGGAATTTCCGAATTCGGGGTAAGGCAACAGAGACAATTGTTTGGTAAAACAAAGCTTATCCATTATAAAATATGTAAAAAATATGTGGACATGGACAATTGCCATTTTTGTAAATTGTCGTTTTGATCATCACACACAGTAAACATTGTCCCAAGTTAGGAATTGCAATACACAAATGCGGGAATCATCCTGTATATACTTGTGCCATTAGTAATCTTCTTGGATATGTGCACGCCAATATTTTGAAATTAATGGTGGCTGCGCGTTGCCACGCGAGGGCACGTCCATACTTGTTCAACAGTTACGCATCAAATACTCTACGTTTTTACAGCAATTATTTACCCTCCTATGACTACAACTGTTCAGTAAAATCGTAATAGGATGATATACTTAGGGAAATCCCCATAAAAACAGACACCCAGAACGATGCAACGCGGTACAATAGCAAAATAAATTCACGCGGTGCGTCTGTCATGGTTGGATCTCGCTGTTTCATGCGGTTTGTTTACTTTTCACAAAATCAAAACAAAGGATTTTTTTTTCTGTGTCTTTTCCAACTGCGAAAAATTTTGTACCAACGCCGTCACGTACGCGCTAATTAATATAAAAACACGTCTGGTTCCTCTTCTTTTTGACACCTCTTTTTTTTCCTATTCCCTTTCTTTTATTCTTTCTTTTCTTCATCAAGTACCTGCTTTTAATCAATCATGTACGTTTACAAGAGAGATGGCCGTAAGGAGCCAGTACGTTTTGATAAAATCACCGCCAGAGTTCAAAGACTTTGTTACGGTTTAGACCCTCAACACGTCGATGCTGTCGCTATCACCCAAAGAGTTATTTCTGGTGTGTACCAAGGTGTCACCACCATCGAATTAGACAACTTGGCTGCCGAAACTGCTGCTTATATGACCACTATTCACCCAGACTACGCCATCTTGGCTGCTAGAATTGCTGTTTCCAACTTACACAAGCAAACTATCAAGCAATACTCCCAAGTCAGTAAGGAATTATACGAATATATTAACCCAAAGACCGGGTTACATTCTCCTATGATCTCCAAGGAAACTTACGATATCATTGTCAAGAACGCCGACGAATTGAATTCTGCTATTGTTTACGACCGTGATTTCAGTTACAACTACTTTGGTTTCAAGACTTTAGAAAGATCTTACTTGTTGCGTATCAACGGTAAGGTTGCTGAAAGACCACAACATTTACTCATGAGAGTCGCTATTGGTATTCATGGTGATGATATCCCAAGAGTTATCGAATCATACAACATGATGTCCCAAAAGTACTTCACCCATGGTTCTCCAACGTTGTTCAATGCCGGTACCCCAAGTCCACAAATGTCTTCTTGTTTCTTGGTTGCCATGAAGGAAGATTCCATCGACGGTATTTACGATACTTTAAAGACTTGTGCTTTGATTTCCAAGAGTGCTGGTGGTATTGGTTTGCATATCCACAACATTCGTGCCACTGGTTCTTATATTGCTGGTACCAACGGTACTTCCAACGGTATCATTCCTATGGTTCGTGTTTTCAACAACACCGCTCGTTATGTTGACCAAGGTGGTAACAAGAGACCAGGTGCCTTTGCACTTTACTTGGAACCATGGCACGCTGATATTTTCGATTTCATCGATATCAGAAAGAACTCTGGTAAGGAAGAAATCAGAGCTAGAGATTTGTTCCCAGCCTTATGGATTCCTGATTTATTCATGAAGCGTGTTGAACAAAATGGTGAGTGGACCTTGTTCTCTCCTAACGAAGCTCCAGGATTACCTGATGTCTACGGTGATGAATTTGAAGAATTGTATGAAAGATACGAAAGAGAAGGTCGCGGTGTCAAGACTGTCAAGGCCCAAAAGTTGTGGTACTCTATTTTGGAAGCTCAAACCGAAACCGGTACCCCATTCATGTTGTATAAGGATGCTTGTAACAAGAAGTCCAACCAAAAGAACTTGGGTATCATCAAGTCTTCTAACTTGTGTTGTGAAATTGTTGAATACTCTGCTCCTGATGAAGTTGCTGTTTGTAACTTGGCCTCTATTGCTTTGCCATCTTTTGTTGAAAAGGACGAAAACCATTCTTGGTACAACTTTGAAAAGTTGCACGAAGTCACCAAGGTTGTTACTCGTAACTTGAACAGAGTCATTGACCGTAACTACTACCCAGTTCCTGAAGCTAGAAACTCCAACATGAGAAACAGACCGGTCGCCTTGGGTGTTCAAGGGTTAGCTGATGCTTTCATGGCTTTAAGATTGCCATTTGATTCTCAAGAAGCTAGAGAATTGAATATCCAAATCTTTGAAACCATTTACCACGCTGCTGTTGAATCTTCTGTTGAATTGGCTCAAGAAGAAGGTCCATACCCAACCTATGAAGGTTCTCCAGCTTCCAAGGGTTTATTACAATTTGACTTGTGGGAAAGAAAGCCAACTGAATTATGGGATTGGGATACTTTGAAGCAAAAGATAGCCAAGCATGGTTTAAGAAACTCCTTGTTGGTTGCTCCTATGCCAACTGCTTCCACTTCCCAAATTTTGGGTAACAATGAATGTTTCGAACCATACACTTCCAACATCTACTCAAGAAGAGTTTTAGCTGGTGAATTCCAAATTGTCAATCCATTCTTGTTGAGAGATTTGGTTGATTTGGGTATTTGGAACGAAGCCATGAAGAGTAACATTATTGCCAACAATGGTTCCATTCAATCCTTGCCTAATGTTCCAGATGAACTTAAAGAATTGTACAAGACCGTGTGGGAAATTTCTCAAAAGCACATCATTGATATGGCTGCTGATAGAGCTGCATACATTGATCAATCTCAATCATTGAACATTCACATTAAGGAACCAACCATGGGTAAGTTGACTTCGATGCACTTCTATGGTTGGAAGAAGGGATTAAAGACTGGTATGTACTACTTGAGAACCCAAGCTGCTTCTGCTGCCATTCAATTCACCATTGATAAGAAGGTTGCTGACCAAGCTGGTAAGACTGTTGCCACTTTAGAAAAGTTGAACAAGAGAAAGTATGTTTCTAAGATTACTTCCGGAAGTGAAAGTGAATTCAGTTCCAGAGCCACTTCTACCGAACCAAGTTCCTTGGACAACTCCATGTCTCAATTACAACTCGACGAAGTCAAAGAAAAAACCGACAAGCCAGTTGAAGAAAAGACAATTGAAGAACTTGAAGCTGACATCTACAGTGCCAAGTTCATTGCTTGTGCTATTGACAATCCTGAATCCTGTACCATGTGTTCTGGTTAGAACGTTTTGGTAAAGGGGGGAGTTTGTGGTTTTAAAATCTTCAGTTCTTTTTTTTGGGTGGTAATCTCTTAATCTGACTCTTTATAAGTTTTATCGCGTTTACATATTGTTTAATTAAATAAAAAGTAGCATTTGAATGTGAGACCTGTAGAGGTATGTAGGGTGTTCCCCTCATGTCAACTCCGAGAGAGAATGTTTATGCAATTTGTCCTAAAAAAATAGCCGACATACGTTTAAGGAAAATCCGAGCGGTGCCGAGCCCCCCATTTTGATGTGATGGAAAAATAAGATTAGGAACTTTTTAACCCGGTGACATATTTTCCCCCAAAACAAATTCTGGAAGATGGAGATACAACTGGACTTGCCTGGTGAGGAAGGGATTCCGTTGTTTAACTTGAACAAACCGATGGAGTCCAGTGATAGTATAGACGAAGAAAATCCTGGCGAACCCATCATGGTAGCGAAGAGACAGCGAGGGATCGGTGCCAAGATTTCCCGGTTCTTCAGGGCTCTCTGGCAGGGACCGTGGGAACCACGGGACGATCCTGCGCCACAAATTGCGTGTTTACAACGGTTGGAAGAAATACCTGAAGTGTTGAACAAACGATACCCTGCAAATATACGGATTGCCGGGCTAGTGTTTTATTTGATGTTTTGGTTTGGGCTTTTCTATAGTATCGTGATGCCGTATTTGAGCGTGCCACCCCATTTGAGCAATGATCCTGAGGTACACATCATTCCACTTTCATGCACGTCCCTGTCTCAGTTCTGGAAGGGCAAAAATGGAGCCTGTGGGACTGATGGGGAGTTTTGTCCTGAATTTAAGAGTGACGAGGTCATATTCCGATGTCCGGCATTGTGTGACCGAGCATGGACGTATTCGTTGATTCCGATCGGGGACCAGAGAATAAAGTATAGAGGATATTTCATCGGCGGTGGAGATCAAGTGACCGAGAAGGTGGAGGATGATGACGACCAGTTGACTAACCCATATCGAGCAGATTCATACCCCTGTGGGTCGGGTGTACATGCTGGGGTTATATCGCCATTTTTCGGTGGATGTGCTCGGATTTCATACAAGAGTAAAGAACGAGAGTTTTTCAAATCGGAAAAGGGCCATTACGGTGTTGATGACTCTATTGAGTTTTTATCGTTCTTCAAATATTCATATTATTTCAAACAACTAATGAGTGGAGTTTTGCCAGGCGGTTCGTTCCAACAATGCTACGATCCAAGGTTACTAGTACTAGTTATGAACTTTGTGTTGGGGATCCCCGTGGTTTATCTTTCCTCAGGTGCCGTATCCTACTGGATAACTAGTATTGTTGGATTTTGGACGCATACATTAGCAACTGACCCCCCAGTCCATGTTGATCCATATGATCCCGATACTCTTTCTGATTTGATTTCGGTATCATTGGAAAGATTCTTGCCAACCTGTTTTATATTATATGTACTCTGGCACTTTTCGTCGCGGAGAACATTATTTGATTCGACTGAACCAGACGAGAAATCGTCGCCGTTGACCAAGGTGTTTTTATGGTATCCGTTATTCTGGCTTGGTTTACTTAACAACATGACATTTGACAGGTTGCCCGTGGATAGACTTACATTAAGTGACTTGAAAGAGCAGCCGGGTTCCATACTTGCATTGGCATTTATTATTTCGTGTATCGGAACCGGAGTTGTTATTCAAGCATACAAGATTTGGCTCTCAGGTAGATTCAGAAAGTACTTGCTAGTGTATGCGTTGTTTATATTTGGATTGGTGGTGCTTGCACAGTTACCTGGGTTGACTCTACGGGTACATCATTATATACTTGCGATGTTATTGATACCTGGTTGTTCCACGAGAGGAAGAACGGCATTTATGTTCCAGGGTATACTCTTGGGGTTGTTTTTATCGGGTGCGGCCAGATGGGGGTTGGCTGCTATTGCGGAAACTGTCACCTCGCTTAAACGAGATGATCCTCGAGGCATACTCGTGCCACCAGAATTCCTTGGGTATAATAACGAGACTGGAATTTTAAACTGGAAGGGAGTTCCGGAGGAGCTTTTGTCACCCATTACCCTGCGTTTGTATGAAAAGTATAGTGCGATTTCGTTATTGGTTAATGATATTGAGCAGTATGTGGGTGAAAAGACCCAGTCGGTTAACATAACAGAATTATTTACCAATTCAACTAGTTTATCTCGACCAATTGCGAAAAGTTTACGAGATGGGATTAAAGATGATAATGGTAACATCGAGATATACCTTCGTATAGGAAGGAAGATCCCCAATACACAAGTATATAGTGATTTCTCCAATGCTGGGATATTGAAATGGCCCAGTGGAGACTTTACACTACCGGTAAAGGGGTCAACTTAGTTGGATAGATGTATATAAAGCTTTGCTAGAAGTAAATTAGAGTGGTAGAGTGGTAGAGTGGTAGAGTTGTAGAGTGGTAGAGTGGTAGAGTGGTAGAGTGGTAGAGTGGTAGAGTGGTAGAGTGGTAGAGTGCTAGACTGATAGTGTGCTAGACTGCTCGTGTGCTAGACTACTAGACTACTAGACCACTAGACCACTAGAGTTATTGTTAATTTTTTTTAATTTTTTTTGCAGACTATTTTTTTTGCCAGAGCAAAATTTCAGAAGCGAATTAAGCCTGGTTGCATCTGACAGTTGCTACAACCCCAAACAACCACATTGTCTATCCAACAATCGCCGAAATTGACACGTTGCACTTCTATAGTATTCACAGGAAGTTCCCAATAGTATTAACCTCCCAACTCGAGTAACTGCACCATGTTATATCCTCGAAAACTCAACTGTTTTGTCTCGTGTTCCGGCAGTCATGTGAAGATAAATTATAGTTTTAAATGCAGAATCTACCCACCATTTCGAAAACTTTCCACCAACAAACCAATTGACTCACCACCCAAGGCGAAAATGAGGTGGTTCTACGCAGTCGATGTGCCCAACTCCAAACCCGGGTGGAACAAATACACCAAAACCAAGGAACCCGAGAAATTCATCCCGTTCTCGGAGTGGGACTCATTCAATTTGGAAGTCAACTTCAGAAAGAAGCTGACCGTCCCAGTTGAAGTCAACGAAGACCGATTGTTTGAAGTGGATTTGCAGAAGTTGGAGTTGGCCCCAGTTTATTGGGAAGGCCCCATCTATGAGGTACGAAGAGGGGTTTGGTTTGACCTGAATGGAATTCCGTTTTCCAAGAAACAAACCGAGGAACTCGAACAAGGCTATAAGAAAGTAAAGCCGTACACGTTTAATCATGAAAAGCCAGACACCGAAAGTAAAGAAAACAAGGAAATCATCTCCAAGTTTAACAAGTATATCAAAGAAGTCGAGGATAGCACGCAGAAGGTTGACTTGAGTCAAGAAAAAGATATTCTTAAATTAGAAAGTGGGAATTATGTCATGTATCTAGATGGCAAGAATGCGGTTACCTTCCCTGCTGATTACGATACAAACTTTCAAATCGACGTTATTAGACAGTTTAGCTCGACCTCTACTGTTCCCTTGATCGGGGTCAATTCTATCCAGCGGGGCTACTCTGACGACATGGGCGAGTCCATTTTCGACAAGTTGTCGACAAACGCCATTCCAACCATTGCTGATTCATTCCAAGACGAATTTGGTTCAATACTCGGATTTGATCAAACTATAACAAGAGAAAATGACGAAACTGAAACTAAAACTGAAACTGAAAATGAAATAGATGATCATCACATGCAACAGTATCTCGAAGGCGATTACGACCATTCAGTTTCTAAAAACGAATCAAACCGTGAGATTGACCATTTGATCTTTTGTATTCACGGAATTGGACAAGTGTTGGGCAAAAAGTACGAGTCAATCAACTTCACCCACAACATCAATGTTCTTCGAAACACCATGAAGAAAGTATATACGGAGAATGACCAATATAAGAAACTTGCATATCCCATTGCTGACAAAAAGGATGAGACATACAACACTAACAATCGAATTCAAGTATTGCCCATTACCTGGAGACACAAGATTGGATTCAACCCCGAGGAAACAGTGAAAGAGCATGATCCAAGATTGCCTACCTTGTCACAAATCAACGTTGATGGAATAAGAGCATTGAGAAATGTGGTGGGTGATGTGGTTCTTGATGTGTTGTTATACTACGAACCTAAGTATTTGAAGGAAATCTTGATGGCCACATCAACGGAATTAAACCGGGTGTACAAATTATACAAGGAACGCAATCCCAATTTCAATGGAAGAATTCACGTGTTGGGACATTCATTAGGATCAGCAATCGCCTTTGATTTGCTCAGCGGACAAACGGGAACAGCCCATGGCGACATTGAACTACCAAACAAGCTCGATTTTCAAGTGGATTCCTTATTCCTTGCTGGCTCGCCAGTAGGTTTATTCAAATTGCTCGAGGGAAAGAACATAACTGCAGCATTTGATGATAAAGTAGTCAACAACAATGGAAAGGATCTTGACAAGGTTGCCGCGCCAAACTGTCGCAACTTGTACAACATATTCCATCCGTGTGATCCAGTAGCTTATCGAATTGAACCATTGATTAACCCACAATTTGGGAATTTCAAAGCTGAGCAGATTGCCTTCGCCCTGAGGGGAATATCCACCCATATTCAAGAACTCTATAGTTATGGAGATGGAATTACTGGCAAGATATCACAAGCAACAAAGTGGTTGCGAGGGGCAACAAAGTCTGAACCTTCTCCCCAGAGCAAATCTATTGAAGAGCTGGCAAGTGAAGAGAATGCCTTGGGTGATATCATAACTAGCATAATTGTGGATGAAAAGAAACAGGAGTCCAATAAAGTCACCAAACGGAATATGACTGATGATGAACTAATTGAGTTACTTGCTTTGAACAATACAGGAAGAGTAGACTACTGTTTACCCATGGGGGTCTTGGACTTTTCATTAGTGTCTGCTGTCAGTGCACACATCTCCTACTTTGAAAACCAGGATACTTCTGGGTTTATCATGAAGGAATTATTAGAAGGTAGAGATGACCCAGTCCGCAAAAAGTTTGTATCTTTATATTAGCACATAGAATTATACACACTATTCAATAAGTAAATCGTCAATGCTCTGTTCAGCATCATGTTTGATCAATTCCAACATTCCCTCGGGTAAAATAGGTTCACCCTTGTTGTCAACAATATACCTAAATGGCATCTCAGTGGACTCATACTTGTTGTATTTGATTTCCGGGTAGTCCAAAAATTTGATGTCTTCAAACTTGACACCATTCTCTATAATTCGTTGGGTGGTTCTAATAGCAGTATCGGTAGTCATTTGTAACGCTCCCAATCTTCTCCCGGCAAAACCGTACTTCTTTCTCAAGATCCCAGTTCTATCAATCTTGGGGTGTTGACCCAAGATACCCCCAAACACAAAATAGTCGAATTTCGATTTGTCTTCAGGAGTCAAGTCAACAGTGGCGCCAGGGTCTAATAAACATACTCGGGTCTTGTCTATGCCTCCATCAATGTCGACACATTCTTCCGTGGTCCATTGTAAACCCAAGTCAAGGAGTTGTTGGGGGATGTCCTTTTCGATGGTGGATGGTGGTAACGATGTGAGAACAAGGTTTTCCTTGCCAATGTCCCTTATGATTTGACTGTATTCTAAAACAACCCACTCGGAGAACCCTTCCTCCATATGCTCAATTATATACTTCATGGTGTGTGTGTGTGTGTGCTGTTGTAATACCGTTAGGCAGCGGTAATAGCAACGGTTGGTTGAAAATTTAAAATGGGTCGTGCGAAATTCGAAACTTACGATGAGGCTGCAAAATTACCAATCATATTAAACAGCTATATAAATCTAATTACAAACTTACTTCTTAGAACAGCAGCTCTTCGACTCAAAAGCCAATCTAGATGTCTTGTCAACATTGAGAGAACATGAATCATACCCCTTAGCATTAGCCTTAACTTCACTAGTGGTCTTGGCATATGAAGGCTTAACATCAAGAACTGGGTTTTCCAAATGGATATTTCTAGCTCTCAATTGCAAATCAAAGATTTCAGTAGGCATGACTGGGAAATCTTCAGGAGCTGGGAAGTGAGTGATACCAAAAGTGTGGAACATAACAATATCGGTATTATCCACATTATCCTTACCATCACCAATCCACTTTCTCATACCTCTTAAACCATCACCACTCCATTGGGCAACGTGGTCACCGGATGGGTATAAACGACCATAACCGTGGTCTTCATCTTGATATGGAACAACCTCAACATGGTGTTCGGCCCATGGGGCTCTCTTTCTTACCAAGGAGCCTGGTTGGGCCAACAATGGAGAACAGAAGGTGGACACCAATTTATAACTAGCTGGTTTGCCAGAGTATGGATGGACGGAACTTGGATTAAACAAGTCCCAGGTTCTGGCAGTACTGGCATCAAGATCAGTCAAGGAGTCCTTGACAGTCTTGAAAGTGGTCTTTTCACAGTAGAAACCATTACCATACATGTTTTCTTGAGACCCAGTTGGGTAAGGAGATGGCTTGGCATCACTAGTAGCAGCAGAGTTATTGTCACCGTCAATTCTTGGATGCAATCTCAACGAAAACAAATGTTGATGGTTATGAGCATTGACATTTGGATAAACAATAGTTCCCCAAGGACCGATCTTTTCATCATCAGCACAAATATAAGTGTTCAATATACCAGTCAATCTAATTTCTAACTTGATGGTACCATCTTGTCTCAAGATCCAATAAACACAGTACTCGTAATTGGCAGCAGTGAAGATTTGACTAATAATCAATTTCTTACCTCTGGTAGTAACAGTAGTTTGGAAATCATCTCTGAAATCAGAGTGCTTGAACAAAAGACCATCATCTTCTTCATGGATACAAATGGCATTTCTGACAGTAGATGCATCACCCTTGGCCGAAACAAAATGAGCGTCCATATAATGAATAACACCCTTACAATCACAACCCAAGGAAAGTGGATTGGTACAGTTACCAGCACCATACTCACCAATATCAAGAGCGTGTTTTCTTTGATGGGGGAAATCTGGACAACCATAAGGAACAATCATTTCACAAAGAGAAATTCTGTGGAAAAGTGATCTAACTTGACCATGAGAATTGTAAGTCATGTCACTCAAGACAATACCTTCACGATAGTTGAACCCAATATGGAAACTGAAATTGGACCAGTTCATAACATTACCTTGCATGTTGAAAGACACACCTTCTGGTTGGGTGATGTTAATTGGGAAATTGTCTTGTCTGAATCCAGTTGGGTTTTCCTTAGTACCAAACTTTTCAGCGACATGCTTTGGGTGGAATGAAGAATGCTTGTGCTTAGACACTTTTCTTCTCCTTTGCGGGATATCGATCGAAATAACCTTACCAGCATTCATATCAACAATAGGACAGAAATCTAAAGGATGAGAATATTGAGAATCGTCTTCGTCGGATCTCCAATACATCAAAGCCTGTTGTAATCTTCTCAGAGCACCCCATCTTTCATCGTACCCAATAGTCCAAGCATCACAGTAGATTTGGTGCATGCAGTCACGAGGAACACCGCTGATTTCACATTGTCTTTGCACTTCAGGGTCATTTCTAATGATATCTTCAGTTTGTTGTAAATCAGCAGGAGTCAAAATTGGTTGAACCCCGTCAACATGTTTGAATTCAATTAATGCTTGGGCGCCAATGTCGACAATACCTTCATGGACACCAGAGTCACCTTCAACAACAATGGTATAGTAGGCCAAACGTGGTGGCATAGGACCGTGTTTTTCCTTCCATTCATAGTAAGCTCTCTTGATTGGTTCTCTTAAAGTAACGGTGTTAAAACTGATTCCCTTACCTTTGTACTTGTTCTTAACAACGCCGGAAACGGATTCAATTTCCAAAGGAGATAATGGATCCAAAGGATGGGCTGGCGCTGGTGGTGCATTCACGGCGGCAGTGGAATGCAAAGCTAATTGGGCTAATCTTTCCATAGTAATTTCAATAACGTAATGAAAAATATTAAATCTAAACTGAAACTAGAAAGAAGAGAATTTTCCAGATCTTTATATAGCAAGGATCAACTTAGGTTTTAGTGAAGAGATGGGGAATTATGATTAAGATTGCAGCGGAATTAGGCGGAATTGGCAACGGTGCAGATCTTATCGGGGCCTTCTCACCAAATAGGAAATAATTTCCCGCCCATTGTTCGTGATAAAAATACAAAATTAAAATTAAAGCTGATAAAAATTTTGTCTGATTAAGGATAAACAATCCTGCATTATTCTTATTGGTTCCTCATTATCTGGCAATCCCATCGGTTAACAATGATAGGTAAGGTACCACTTAATTGAGTCATATTGACCAGGCTTAATTGATTGATTGAATTCTTGGGGTGAAGGAAGAAAAAATAACCCGTCCCCACGTTCAGAACGCCTTAAAGTCCAAATGTTTGGTGCGAGATAAGGGGAAATTATCGGATACTTTACAATTCTGTGGTCAATGTAAGATTAGGCAAATTAGGCAAATTAAAAACGAATTTATGAATGAAGTTTTGGTCTTCGGGCTTATGATCCGCGCTTCTTTTTTTAACTGATCTTATACTGAGAATCATGCTATTGGTTGTCATATACCTTGGCATAATAGTAAATCTTGCGTTAGATACAACTGGGAAATTAATCACAATACTCGTTCTTGGAAGTTCGTGTATGATAAACAATCTCAATTAATCCTCTTGGCAAATGTGTAGGTTTCTTGTGCTACTCCGAGAATTTTCAAACAAATTAGGTTTTAAATTGCAAAAAACTTTTTAAATAACGGGCATATTAACACGCACCGACTTACTTAAATAGTATAATGTAACATTTAGCTTTTGATAATGCAACAAATCGTAAACTAAAATGTATTTATTATGTAATAAGCAAGAAAAAGCCCGTCCTGCATCTCTTAGGACCAATATGACTTTTGTGGTGTTACCTGTGATCAAGATATTGCAAAACTATCGGCCGATCCAGGGACTTACTTATGATTGGAATAACTAGTCGGAGCTTTCCCTAGCATCCAAGTAATTATTACAACTTACCATAGATGTTTACAATCATGTTTTTAACCCTTTCAGTACGTTGACAATACCAAGGATTGCAATATGCCAAGGAATATAGTACTAGTTCATAGACAATTCAATTTGGAAAAAAATATGGTAGATCTGAAAATGACTTAAATATTCACAGAATTTGTTCATCCCTAGTTCTGACTATGTTATTACCCTACTGTAAGTTAGTGCTTTTGGTTATTCTAAAATATTTTTTATCAATAATGAAACTATCATCTTCTGGGACTGCTCTAGCTACTTTAGTATTAGCTTAGACATTGAAATTTAAATTGTTTAATGACGAGACAGGAACCTATTTAACTTCTCAAGACCAAGAATTGTCCGACAATACAGTTACAGTTTCTTGGTATGTATGTTTTCGGGCTCAAAGAAAGGCTTTTCACAGTTGATGAGGACAAATTGGTTGATGAATGATGCCATCAAAATAGTAGATTATCGCACAGGATTTATCAGGAGAAAGATTCACGCCTAGGTGATCCAATAAATACACCCTACCACTGCCTGGGATAGTACATATCATATGCTTGGACTTACGTGAAAAATGGCCACGTTTTAACAAACTGGAGAGAAATAATATATAAGAGTATTGTACTTAGTAATACTGCAAAATTTGATAGTTGTGAAATTTAATTTTTTCTGTACAAACTCTTTTTTGCAACTCCATCTACATTTGCTGGACTATAGTTTTAAACTACAATTTGAACACAAATATAATTATATATAAGTAAAATAAATAATCTACATCGTAAATATATATATATATATATATATATATGATACCATTCAACGTCTAAACAGATATAGTCTCTCGTTTTCTTTCCATCCTCAGTAATATAATTAACAAACTAGGAACAACAACAAAACAAAACAAGTTAAAGACACTGAAACAATTCAAGAAAGCATAGTACAATGAATCTAATGCTTCCACTAAATTAGTTAATTCCTTTTGCTGTAAACATTTCTCAAGGTTTACTCCTTCAAGTTTGCAGTCTTGCCAATCCTTTTTAGTTACACTCTGGAAAAAGTAACTAATGAACACAGACGTTATTATAGAATATTGTTCAAGAGTGTTGCTAGGTGATGAATTACTCTGGTTTAACAAGTTGATTAGAATATCGCGACTTATTATCAAAACCAGAAACGATATCACCAATGCCATGCAATCATAGCACCAAAAGAATTGGGCCAATAGTTGTCGGAATGGCTTCATTGACATGCCATGAAGGAATTTGATAAGTGCTTCAAGTACAAACGATAAGGTCAATGCAAAATAAACATTATCAAAAGTAACTTTTCCTCGAATAGTTTCAAAAATAACTGCAGAAGTATTTGTAATGAGACTTTCAGGGATAGCCATTAACGACAATATAAACAATAGCACAAATGATAATATGAATCCGGGAACGCTAAACTTATGTAGTTGTATTGAATTAGTAGTTTTATTTGTGGGTTTGTCAGGTGCTTGACTTTTTTGAGGACTTGCTAATCTCGAGAACAAGTATATTATAGCCATGGACATCATCATTAGTAACACGATCAAAATGCCAGTATGAACGTATTGAGAGTTCAAGGAAGTACCTTTAATGGGATTGATAAGTATATCCTTCGTTGCTAATGACTTCATTAACACGTCTTTCCGCACTACCACAAAGTATGCTGAAGTAAGTATGACATTCCATATTAACAGTGACACTATTAGATAATAGCACTTGCACTTCAGTCTCAAATGCTTGATTGTGAAGACGGCTAAGCACAGAAGCGATATAACTATATTGACATAGTAGTATATGTACCGTGAATTATTGACCAGCATTATTGACGCCATGTAGTTATGCACAAACTGTGATTTTTGCTGACACATATTTCGGGCCCGAGTCAGGATTATGGTATGAAGAAGGTATTTGCAGTAATAAGAAACAACTTTTTCTTCTGTAGGAGATATGAGCTGGTGTATTAAACGTGAATGATTCTAGATGAGTGCCAATCCGTTGATAAAATATAGGTTTGGAAAAGTTCTTGATTCCTTAAGTTGTCATGTAAAAGTGATGATGTTCCTGAATGATTTGTAAGAGGCAAAAATATTTTTTGGAGAATTTATTTCCGATCCTTTGTTTCAGTTTCTGGGGCTACTAATTTCAATCCGTACGAAACGAAACAAAGTTAATTAATAAAACCAAGAAAATTCAATAAAGCAAACAAGGGATACGTCGGATGGGATTTTTCCTTGTATGGTTATGTAGACATGCACTTAGAAATCGAGGGGGGTTGCTCTTGGGTTTAAGTTGTTACAGAGACCGAAAAAGAAATACCCTAAACCGCGCATTTTGAAGCAAATTATTACATTCAAGTTGCAGGAACATCAGCCGTTGTGACCGATTTTATTTTTTTTTTTTACATTACCATTGTAATTACTAATTTTTTCCTAATTCAAAATTGAGATGATTTTGTAAGGACGGAAACTTCGGGAAAACTACAAAACTCCATTTAAGAGCCATTTTCTCCATATTTCAGAGAGCCATGTGGCTTTTGGTTAGTAACTTCCTGGTTAGCTCTCTCGTTCCACGGTTATGAACAAAATAGCCGCGTGAAACCAACTAAAAACTACAAACTCATCTAGATTTAGTTCACCCTCAAATTTATCACGGGATTTGAATCAAATCATAGTGGCCGGCACTTAATGAAGCTATTCCAAAAAAAACCACAAAGATTTAAAGTGCAAAGCCAATAAATTACTAAAATTTATCCCTGATCACGGATTTCTGGGCAAGTCATACTTCCTCGTACGACCATTGAAAAAAAAATATATATATATATATATGTCAGCTTATGGCCGAGCACGTACGCCGCATATTTCCCCTTTCGGAACTGTAATGGGCATCGTTCGTTACCAAGTTGGAAAATTCAAAACACTTCATATTCCTCTAGGTGCATTAGGTTGCATTATTGTTGGTTGAGCGCCGTGTAGGTTCACAACTCATAGATATCATAACCTGTCACCTTGAGACAGATCGCAAACATATGATAAATTGTTGGATCATTGGAAAATTAATACATTCTATTTGTAAACCCAGCAAGCTCGTTAACTTCGAAACAGGACTAGTTCACGCAGGACACTAAGTACAATTTGTAACATGTGTACGACGTACGATGGTTCGTCTATACGATAGAAGCTTCGTTGACGACAAACGCTCTTCGCCAGCAACTTAAAAGTTAATTCTAGCCAAGTTTGACCAGGGCTGATTTTCATTCGTTTATTTTGTTTGGACGAGACCTACTTTCCCACCAATGCTACACTACAACATTATTTGATAAGAAGAATTTATATTTAAAGATTAGCTAAACACTAAATAAAAAAATGAAAAAAACAAAACAATTGATAATTATAGAACTTTATCAACCAGCTTATAATTTATCATAGTATTCTTCGTAACCTGGAACTTCTGGTTTCAAACCTTGTCTTTCTCTCTTTTCCTTGACAATGGCACCTGGCTTAGTGCTTGGGTCCTTAACGTCACCACTCAAGACACCCCAGTGATCAAAGATCATTTGTGGGAAAGCTTGACCACCAGTAGCTTGTCTCAATTCACCAGTGAAACCGAAGGATTCATTGACTGGTAAGTAAGCCTTAACAGTGAACAATGGAGTACCTGGTCTTTGTTCTTCAGAGATAACTTGACCTCTCTTCTTGTTCAAGACAGAGTAAATACCACCAATAGCGTTTTCTGGACATTGGATTTCAACCAAGAAGATTGGTTCTTGGATAGCTGGTTCAGCCAACAACATAGCAGCGTAGGTAACTCTTCTCATGGTTGGGATGATTTGACCACCACCTCTGTGGATAGCATCAGCATGCAAGGTAACATCCAAAATGTTAACTCTAACAGATCTAACATTTTCACCGAAAACTGGACCTTCCTTGGTAGCCCATTGGAAAGCAGCAACAACGGAATCCTTGATTTCGTTCAAGTATTGGACAGCCTTAGTTTGGTCAACAACCAAGTTAGGACCGTTACCATCTGGACCGAAACACCAGATCTTTCTAGCATCTCCGACATCCCATCCGTGCTTGTCAGCAAGGATTCTAGCTCTAACCTTGAAATCATCTCTTGGGTTAATAACACCAGCTTCAATGTCAAGGGAAACTTCTTCGTCAATTGGTTGAGCCTTAACGTAGATTCTGTTATGCTTGTTTGGAGACTTGGATAAAGCAATCATGGAAGATTCAGCTTCAACAGTTTCTCTGTAAGAGACAACTGGTGGGGAGATTCTCAATGGAACACCAGCGTGGTCGTTTTCCAAATCTTGTAAACAAATTTCCAAGTGCAATTCACCGGTACCGGCAACAATATGTTCACCAGATTCGTTCATGTAAGTCAAGACACATGGATCAGACTTGGACAATCTCTTTAAACCTTCAACCAACTTTGGTAAATCGTTAGCATTCTTAACTTCAACAGCAACTTCAACAACTGGAGAGACAGAGAACTTCATAACCTTCATGTTGTGAGCGGCTTCGTTGGTGGTAATGGTACCAGACTTCAACAAGAATTGATCAATACCAACTAAACCAACAATGTTACCAGCTGGACAGTCGTCAATTTGTTCAACGAATCTTCCCATCATTAAAACGGTTCTTTGAATAGACTTCAAGAATAAATCTTCCTTCTTACCAACTTGGTAGTTTGGACCTTGAATTCTAACCTTTTGACCAGATCTAACGGTACCAGCGAAAACTCTACCGAAAGCGTAGAATCTACCCTTATCAGAGGTTGGGACCATCTTGGAGACGTACAACATCAAGTCAGCCTTAGGGTCACAGTTTCTGATAGCAGCACAGAATTCATCATCAGATGGACCTTCGTACAAGGTTTCAGCTCTGTAAGCTTGAGCAGTAACTGGAGATGGCAAGTGCAAAACAATCATTTCCAATAAAGCATCGGCAGCTGGCAAGAACTTTCTCATAACAACCTTTAATAAGGCCTTACCTTCCAAGTCCTTTTCTTCACCCTTAAGGACAATTTCCAACTTTTCTAATAAAGCTGGAATTTCATCCTTCTTGAAGTTCATGATGGCAGCGAATAATCTGAAGATTGGGTCCAAAACGAACATGTTGAAGGCTCTTTCTAATGGCTTACCATCAGCATCCTTGTCCTTGTTAGACCACTTTCTGGTCTTTGGGTTGAAGTAAGAGTCACCCCATAATCTTTCCATCATCTTTTGTCTGTCGACACCGAACTTCTTGGAGTATCTGGTGGCGAATTGTCTAACAGTGAAAGCCCAACCGTGTAAACCAGAACCGAAAGCAACGGTACCTCTTTCTGGGTAAACTTGGACATCACCTAAGTTTTCATCGTTATAGGTAGAGATGATAACGTTAACGGATTCAACAGTTCTAGCGAAAGATTGATATAAATCTTCCTTGGTAACTTGCAATTCCAATAAAGCTCTGTCAACCTTGTTAATGATAACAACAGGCTTGATTCTTTCACCCAAAGCTTGTCTTAAGACGGTTTCAGTTTGGACACAGACACCTTCAACGGTATCAACGACAACTAAAGCACCATCGGTAACACGCAAAGCAGCAGTGACTTCAGAAGAGAAATCAACGTGACCTGGGGAATCAATCAAGTTAATCAAGAAAGAGTTACCTTCAGTCTTTTGCTTGATTTCCTTGACATCATCGTCAGTCATGGAAGCATATAAAGAAATAGCGGTAGACTTGATAGTAATACCTCTTTCTTGTTCATCCTTTCTGGTATCAGTGAATCTAGCTTCACCAGCCTTGGCAGCAGAAATAATACCAGCTCTTTGGACCAAGGAATCGGTTAAAGTGGATTTACCGTGATCGACGTGAGCAATGACGGACATGTTACGAACATTGGTAACCTTGTCCATCAATTCACGGATTTGTTCAATAGTGAAAGCAACTAAAGCAATGTTAGTAATGAGAACATAGCTAATTGTAGAAACTTCTCGTCAATTGGTAAAAAAAAATCAAAAAATCAAGAGTAAGCCAAGTGGCCATATAGCCAGTAAAATTGATTGATCAATCGTAAAGTCTGACCCCTAGATCAGTGGGTGAATTTGCATGATATATTTGGGAGGGTGGGTGGTCATGGAAAAAAAATTTTCATGAAATTGACAAATTGGCCAAAAAAAAAACTTGCCTTCCCATAGATTTCCTCATAGATGAACTGCAGTTTTTAAAGTAATTGAATGAATTGGTAACGATCAATGAAATCCATCCATTGACAAGAGTTATAATTGAACCGCATAAAACATACCCATCTTGAATTGTTAGTTTATTGGTTTGAGACCAAAAAAAGGAAGAAGAGAAGAAAAGGGAAGAAGAAAATTTTTTTCTTTGTAATAGAAATGGGTTTGGTGGGTTTCACCCTTTTGGTTTTGTATCATCATGGGCAAAATGTATGATGGTAAAAATGAAAAATTTTCGCAGGTTAGCTGGCACGAGGGGAGACAATACGTTGATGTTTGGATGTAGAGTGGGATTGTGCGGCACCAACCTGTAAATTAATCACACGGATCATCGCATGGCTTAACCAGATTTACAGGTTGGGTGCGGTAAAAATGAGTATGGTACGAGATTTACTCAGAGCTTGTAATTACCCGGATTATTGCACAAGTGAAAGAATAAACCATATTTGCAACAACCAGTACGTCAATTGGTTAGTATGATGGAAAATAAGAGCAATTGAGTGGTATATGATCGAAGGCTAAGTTGGAAAGCAGTTTTATTGATTTTAACTGGTGTTCAACCTCCAAAGTGTTACTTTTCCCCTCATAACTTCGTCTGGAATGTTGTGAATTATTTTCAAGTAGCGCCCCCCCTCCTCCCCCAAGGGGGTATTGCTCGCACTAACTAAAAAAAGTCACTCCATTAAAATTGTTAGTGTTGCTGGAGATGAAATTTGTATCACATGACCGCGTACCACGTGATGTATTTCCGGAGTCAATATGGAGAAAATTAAAGGAAAATTTTATATGGATGAGTCTAGGGAAAAGTCATTTGCAACAGTGATACATCCAATTGATTCTAGAACTAGTACAAAACAATGACATTGAATATAACGGTTTTGATATCCGGGTCAGGTACCAATTTGCAAGCACTCATCGATGCTGAAAAGAATGGCAAGTTGAAAGGTAAGATAACACAAGTTATATCATCTAGTGATACTGCGTTTGGTTTAACTCGGGCTGAAAGGGCATCAATTCCTACCAAGACTCATATTTTGAAAGAATATTACAAGGGAACTACTAAAGAACAAAAAGACGAACGTAAAGCCAAAAGAGAACTTTTCAATTCTGATTTGGCCAACTTGTTAATCTATGGTAATATTAAAGGTGAAAAGGAAGATGACTATATAAAACCAAATCTTATCGTATGTGCTGGATGGATGTTAATTTTATCTCCTATTGTTTTGGAACCTTTGGCCAAAGCAGGTATAACTATTATCAACTTACATCCAGCATTACCTGGTGCATTTGAAGGTACTCATGCCATTGATAGATGTTGGAAAGCTGGTCAAGATGGCGAAATTACTAAAGGTGGAGTTATGATTCATAGAGTTATTGCTGAAGTTGATAGAGGTGAACCTATTTTGGTCAAGGAAATTGACTTGAAGAAGGAAGAAACTTTGGAAGAGTATGAAGACAGAGTCCACAAGGTTGAACATGTTGCAATCGTAGAAGGAACAAATATTATCTTGGATGAGTTGAGTGTTGATGAAGCTAGTGAAGCTTTGGATAAGTTGAAAGTTAAGAATTAGATATGGCCGGAATTTCAGATCAAGCATTTTACTGTAAATTCGTAGAGACGTTGCACATTGCTTGGCAAGTACGTTTTCAATATACATATCAGGTTAAATCTCAAGTGTATTTATTGACATCATCAAAATTATATATGTATATAAAATTCTTCTACTTACAAGTTGTTAATAACTTGTTCAGTAAAGTGAGAGGTGGAAGCAGTACCCTTCAAGTCACCAGTTCTGTTTTCTGGACCAGAAGCAATGGTCTTTAAGACAGCGTTTTCAATCTTGTCGGCATCAGCGTTCAAAGACATGTGTCTCAACATCATACAAGAAGATAACAATAAAGCGGTTGGGTTAGCTAAACCTTTACCGGCGATATCTGGGGCAGAACCATGGACGGCTTCGAAAATAGAAACCTTGTTACCCATGTTACCGGATGGGGTTAAACCTAAACCACCGATTAAACCAGAAGATAAATCAGACATGATATCACCGTACAAGTTTGGCATAACCATGACGACGTTCTTATATTCAGATGGGTCAGAGGTTAACTTCAAGGAAGTGTTATCTAACAATTCGAAATCCAAGGTAACATCTGGGTATTCCTTAGCAACTTCCTTGGCGGTGTTGACGAATAAACCATCGGACAACTTCATGATGGAAGCCTTGTGGACAACAAGAACGTGTGGCTTGTTGATAGATTTGGCGTATTCAAAAGCGTATCTGATAACCTTTTCAGAAGCTGGCTTGGTGATCAACTTGATGGATTGGACAACACCTGGAACAATGGTGTGTTCAATACCAGAATATTCACCTTCGGTGTTTTCTCTAATTAAAACGGTATCAACGTTTTCGTATGGAGTGTCGTAACCAACAATAGATTTACATGGACGGACATTGGCGAACAAGTTGAAAGTTCTTCTTAAAGTCAAGTTCATGGAAGTGTGACCCTTACCAACTGGGGTAGCCAATGGACCCTTCAAGGCAACCAAGTTCTTGTTGACGGAGTCAACAGCTGGTTGAGGTAAAGTAGTCTTACCATCAATCAATAATGGAGTGACATCAACTGGTTCCCATTCAATTGGAACATTGGCAGCAGCATAGATGTCTTTGACGGATTGGGAGATTTCTGGACCAATACCATCACCTTCAATTAAAGTAACAGTGTATTTACCGTTTGGACCTTTGGCACCAGTGAATTGACCAGCGATGTAGGTTCTGGCGAATCTTGGAGCAATTGGGACAGACTTGGTGATTTGCTTGAACATTGTGTGGAGGGTATATGTGGGAATGCAGAAAAGGAAAAGGAACCTATGCTGAAGAAATACAGAAAAAGGAGGAGAACGGAAATATCTTTAGAAGAGAAAAAAAATTTCAGGTGGTGGTTGGATCGAAGAGGTGTAATTGGAACGGGAAAACAGATGAGACAAAAAAAATGTTCGCTAGCAAAATGACGTTCCCTCCGTGGGCGTAAAGTTTTGTGTGTGTGTGCATAGCGGGAGAAAAAAAAAAAAAGAAAATAATAAGCTGCGAGATTTTTAACTATGTGAAACTGAAACTCCGACAGCCAATTAAATTTCAGGTAAACTGCGCGGCCGATCACCGTTCGGTTCCGAATTTTTGCAATCAGACACCGGATTAATTTTGAAGTGTCAAACTTCATTGTGCAGTAACATGAATCTCACCAATAAGTTCTTTGTTTGATTTTGTGTTTTCCGAACTGGTCTCCTGGGTTCACGCAGTGATCTGATTAGACCGACAACACTCAGTTCATTGTAAATGTGAGTGTAGATGAGCAGTTACTGGGATATAGCTATTACAAAAGCGACACCGGTGGTATACAATAATTTCACTCGAAAACGAAAAAGTACCTATAGATGCGATGCATAGTAAGGTTATGCAACATCGGTCTCGGTACGTGGATCTTCACTTTGGCTTGTCAAAAAAAAAAAATTATATAGGGCTTCGAAGTACGTCTCTTTTTTTTAGGCTTAAATTTCTGAGCCGCAGCAAAACTGCTCCCTACCACGCGTTACAGATCAATGTCGGTATTAAAAATTTTATATGTAGTAAGTTTAACATACTCCGATTAGCTACGCCATTTACGTCAAAAATTTTTGAATGTCGTAAATATGATCAAGGCAAATATCAATTGGAGAACATTTTACTTATGTACAATAATATTTCGATTTGTGTTAGCATTATCTGATTCATATATCCATCCTGATGAACATTTCCAAAGTTTTGAAGTGTTAACTAGTAGGATATTGGGGTATGCCACTAATATACCCTGGGAATTCCAACTGAGCTCCCCAGCAAGAAGCTTTGGTCCTTTATACTTGATATATGGTCCTTTATTATATATCATCAAGCTCTTGAACCTTCAATTGACACCAATTCAAATTTGGTATTTGGCTAGACTCCAAATTACCGTGTTAAGTTGGGTAATCACTGATTCATGTTTGTATTGGATGTTGCCTACAAAACCAGAAAGAATAAAGGCGATATTTTTTACTCTGACTTCATACATTACCTTAGTCTATCAATCCCACTTATTTTCAAACAGTATCGAAACTGTGCTTGTTATATTGGCTATTTTAATCATTGATGATTTAAGATATGTACACGAGTCTAAAGAACGGGAAATTCAACAGTTGAACAAGTCAAGCAGTTTGTTTTGGTTTGGAGTGATTGTTTCTATTGGAATATTCAATAGAATTACATTCCCGGCATTTTTGATATTGCCAAGTTGGTTCCTTTTAAACTATTTACTAGCTCATCCTGCAAGGATGGTATTTCCAGTTATTGGATTTGCTATTCCTACCATCTTGTTCATTGCAATTGACTCAATATGTTTTGGAAAAGCAACCGTTGCCCAAATATTAGACTCTCCTTTGGAATGGTCCCACTACCTGATTACCCCACTTAACAATTTGCTTTACAACAGCAAATATGAAAACTTGGTCCAACATGGAATCCATCCTTATTATACACACATATTAGTCAATCTCCCCCAGATACTCGGTCCAGGATTAATATACTTATTTTCAAAAACATATATAAGAACCATCCCATTCTTAAGTCTACTCAGTGCAGTTGTCTTCTTATCATTTGTTCCTCATCAAGAATTACGATTCTTAGTACCTATGGTTCCCTTAGCATGTTGTTGCTTTGATTTGACTTCAAAGATAGTGAGACCATGGATGATGAAAGTATGGTATTTGTTTAATATAGCAATGGCAATACTCATGGGAGTATTGCACCAAGGAGGAGTTGTACCTGCATTGACGTATTTCCAACAACATCAACAAAGTTCTGTTCAGATATGGTGGAGAACTTATTCACCTCCTTCTTGGTTGTTAGCAAGCAATTCTACTGAGACTATTTCACTTACAGATCAAGCTGACTTTCTGAAGACAATCAATATTATTGATGCTATGGGAGACGATATCGAGAAAGTGAACGACAAATTTATTTCCCTTCCTCGAGACAAACCAATATACCTTATTACTCCAATTGCTTCATTCAGACATTTCAACTCATCACAATTCCAGCCTATTTGGAATCACACATTACATTTAGACATGGATCATTTAGACTTTACAAATTGGGAGTCATTACAACCGGGATTGGGAATTTATCAATTACTTTAAATAATATATTAATATACAATTACTTATAGAAGTCAAATTTGTCATGTTCTGTACCAGTTTTAACTTGAGAAGTATAAGCTTCTTCCAAATCACTTTGTAAAATCATATATCTATTCTTTCTCACGGCTCTTAACCCGGCTTCTTGCATGATAGCAGCAATAACTGCACCTGACAATGGATCATTTCTGATAATCAAAGAGTCCAAATCAACTTCAGGAGCCAAGGACATCTTGGAAGCAATGGTAGAAAAGATCAATCTTCTTTCTCTTCTGTCTTTCAATGAAGGGAATTCAATCTTTCTATCCAATCTACCTGGTCTCAACAATGCTGGATCTAAAGTATCATGTCTATTAGTAGCCATTATAACCTTGACAGTAGATGTTTGGTCGAACCCATCCATTTGGTTCAATAATTCCAACAAGATTCTTTGAACTTCTCTATCGGCACCAGTTTGAGCATCAAAACGCTTGGTGGCAATGGCATCAATTTCATCAATGAAAATAATGGCGGGGGAGTTCTCACGAGCTAACCTGAAAACATCTCGAACCATTCTAGGACCTTCACCAAGATACTTTTGCACAAACTCAGACCCATTTATTCTAATGAAGGATGCTGTTGTCGAATTGGCCACGGCTTTAACCAACATTGTTTTACCGGTACCTGGGGGGCCATACAACAAGACCCCTCTTGGAGGATCAATACCAATTTGTGCATATAAATCTCCTTGAGTCAATGGTAATTCTACTGCTTCTCTAATTTCTTGTTTTTGCATGTCTAACCCACCAACATCAGCATAAGTGACGTCGGGCTTCTGATCTTCACCGACAATGGAGATGGAAGAATCGGCTTCTGGAGGTAAGATATCAACCAATGCGTTGGAATGACGATGTAATGCCACTGATGAAGAAGGTTTCAACAATTCACGATCTAAAGTAGACAAGATTCTCACAACATAGTTGGATCCGGTAGTGGAGGAAACAATCCCGGTGTTTTCGTCGATTGGTTCCAAGAACTGTCCTATGACTAATGGGACAGACTTGATACGCTTGACTTCTTCTTGTGCTCTTACCAATTCTCGTTTCAAATGACGTTGTTCATCCTTGATGTATTCTTCTTGCAATAATAACAATTCAAGTTCCTTTTCCAATTTCTTCAACTTGAGGTAAACATCAGCTTCTTCTTGTTTGTGGTTTATTTTGTTCAACGCATTGTTTATCGAAGAGTCTAAAACAATAGGGTCTTCCATGGTGTATGATTTGTGATGATGGTTGTTGGTTGTTGGGTTGATGATTCAGTGGCAATTTGGTGTTCTCATAGTTCACCAATTTTTCCACCGCAAAAATGCAAATAAGAAAAGTAGTGCACCTACCAATAAATATTGTCTATTATATCTAAGACTATATACAGAGAACTACTACCTTAACCATAAAGTTAATAAGCTTCCTAAAGAACATGCTAGGAGTGTCAATCCCAAGGTAAACATCTCAAATTCAAACTTGTTAAACTGTAGTTTTGTAATGTCTGCGTTTGTTAATGCATAATAGTTGGAAAGTACCAATTGTTTGAAACTATTCCAACTGTATTCAATGAATGAGAAAGTATATATCTTTTCTGTAACTTTGGCAACGTTCTCTTGCTCTAGCTTTGGCTTTTCAACTGTAGTTACCACTTCATTAGTTGCTTCTGGAACTACCAATTTGGTTGAATCTGGCGAATGTTCAGAGTGACCATTGGTAAGCAACTCTTTAACCTTCTCTTCAAACGCACGAACCAACTTCCTTCTTTTCCAAGGCTCGACAAAGAACGTGGCCACCATAAAAAGCATAACGTTAATCCCCATCAAAATCCACGTACCCCAAGTACTCGACCTTCTAATCTTATCCGACCAAATTTGTTCTTCGTGATACCTAGTCAATATCAGTTGCGTTAACTTCAATTGAATAGCGTCCACTTTCAGTTCCGCTTCTTCTAACTTCGCTTCGGATTCACTTTCTAAATGCTCATTGGCATGGTCGTTTCTGTAAAGTTCAGTAAACCTTTCTAAATCATCAGGAGTCCAATTATGTTTTCTTGTAAGTAATTCATTGATTTCTCGTTGTGAAGTAGCACGCTGTTGAATGGCTTCACTATATGCTGTCTTTCGTGTCTTAACGTGCTCTTTAGACTCTCTCAATTCTTGCTCTAAAACTTCTATAGATTTTTTCAACTTTTCAATGGCCGAATACCCGGTAACGTCATTCAAGGTCCTTGTTGCTGTCAAGATTGTATCCTGGGCTGAATCAAGAAACATTTCGAGTCGTTCAGCCATTTTACTCCGAGATTTCTCCATTTGGGAAGGCAAATTTCCAATCTCTTTTTGAATAGTGTCGTTGATTTCTTGAAGTAGCGACGAGTCTTGAGCATTCTCTGTTGGCTTTACAGATGACTGTATACTATCAGCATCTGACCTATCGTGTTCTTTACGTACTCTCACCTCCTCGTCTATCTTCTTTTGTAGCTCAATTTGATCTTGTTTCTTTCGTATTTCATCCTGTTGTTGCTTCTTCAAAGCTTCAGTACCGAAATTTGTACTCTCAATTATCTCCCGTAACTTCGATTCTTGATTGGTCAGATCGGGAAGTTTTGAAATGAATCTAACAAATTGGCATGCTGGTCTCGCTATAAGTCTCGATCGAGCGATATATCTCGCTATTGGTACGGTTCTACTGATCATATACTGAACATATGGAGGGGAGGGAGTTGTTGTGTTGAAAAATCCGGATTTCGGACAGTGCGAAGTTTTAATAGTAGCAAAACATAATTACATACAGCTAACAATAGAAATATACAAAAACATAATACAAAGCCTAAAAGTTGGAGTCAACTAATTGCTTTGGTAACTTCCAATTATCAGTTTCAGCATAATCCAAAACAATAATACCAACACCTTTTTTAAAAGTATCTTGGATATCCCCCTTAACCATAGCTAAAGCAACAGGTTCAGGCCAACAATCTTTGTCAAAAAAGTTAGAAGCAGAAGTGAAGTTAACAAATAACTTGTCATCATTACTGTTGATGTAATCTTGGGCACGCTTAGCAAATTCCTTGACATAATCGACCTTCTTTGGTAAATCTTGACCAGTCTTGACTTCACAGAAATCTTGAACTGCAAAAGAGCCACGGTCTTCATCAGTGGTGTTGTAACTCCAGTAAGAAGCTTCGAATCCAAATTGTTGTTCTCTTTCTTGATTCTTGACACCAAATCTTCTAAACAAAAGGGCCTTACCTCTGGCATCGCCAAGTCTTGGGATATCAGTGTTCAAGTACCACTTATCCTTGTTTGGCTGGATATAGTTGTCCCAAATCAAGTTACCAAATTCATCATTATCGTTATCCCAATCGTCACTACCTTCTTGTTTGATACTGACAATAACAACTTCAGATTTGTTGTCGTTCAAAAAGTCATAAACTTCCTTCAAGGCGTCAGTCAATTTCAATGGAAATGGGATCTTGACTGGGAACTTACCGTGAATGACTTGTAAATCCTTGACATCCTTTCCAACAAACAATTTCCCAACTCTAATATCCAAGAATCTTACACCGTGTTTCAATTGTTCAGTAATTGACTCTCCTTGACATTGCACGGAAGGTAATGCCGTATGGCAGGCTGCGGAATTGTGAGTTCCTGGAATGGATAATTTGGAAAGTTTGGTGTTGTCGTCGATTTCACTTAACCAAGATTGATAATTGACCATATTAGATAATAATCAGTAAAGCTGTGTTGTACGATGGAAGAAAAGAGGGATTACGTGTTTTTACTAGAGCTGGAAATTCAAATTGACGTGAATTTCACCAGTTTCTCCCCCCCCCCCCCCCGCCAAAATATTGACGAGATGGGTCAGGGCCATTATGCAGGAACATCTTTGTTAAGGGAGAAAAGCCACTTCCAGCGCCTTAGCCCCCTGGATCAACAAGTTTCATTGGTTAGGGGAGGGTGGTGAAACAGTTAAATTTCATGGCTTATGTTTTTGTGATATCTGGTGATGTGGGTCGCATGAGTTAAAAATGCATGTTTGAAACATTACCCGGGCATATTAATAAAATCTGACTAAAAAAGATGTTTGACGTTTTGGGACAATTGTTTATGCCCCACTGTTTAGTTTACCTGACAACGCTCTCTTGCAGCTTCCTTGAATTGGTTCGCCTATAGTTTTACATTGCATATACTGATCAAACATTTATATAAAAATCTAACCATATTTAATCATAATCTCTCCACACTTCAACAACATGATGGATTCCCTTAGTTTCAGGAATCTTGAACCAGAAAGCCACGAAATAAACCAAACAAATGACAGAAAATATATAGAAAACCACCCCGCCAATCAAATTCTGTAATAACGGGAACATGAACGCAATAATCATATTTGAAGTCCAATTTGTAACCGTACCGAATGATTGCGCTAATGATACAACTTCATGCCCGGTCAATTCGGAAATCATCAAGAATGGAATTGGTCCTAATCCAATTGCAAATCCAATTATAAACCCGTAACATGCTGTTATCACAGCAATGTCATACTTATTAGGAATTCCAATGGCCAACACTAATGAGCATATACCACATGTAGCTACTGAGGCTAAAAGCAATGGCTTTCTTCCTATTCTATCAATTAATGGTGCAACAACCGTAGAACTAATCATATTCACTACTGAGAATGCACATGTTAACACGAGAACTCGATTACCACCTCCAGAACCATGATGATTAAACACTGTATTCAATATCTTAACTCCGTAGTATGTAATTGCATTCATTCCCAGTAATTGTTGACCAGTCATGATCAAAACAACGGCAATAAACTGATGTCTATACTTTCTTGTAAATATAAAATCGTAAATCGTAACTGCGGGTGGTTCCAATGATTGTCTGGAAGACACTGATGAACATACAGACACAGTGCTATTATGACGTTGTAACAAGGGACTGACTTCACTAGTCTCCTTGATAGGACCAAAAGTCAAATGTTTCCAATGTTCAATTTCATGCTCAATGGTGGAATGATCCGTACGCAACTCTGTCAAAATTTCTGTCGCAGTAACAACATCAGCATTATTAAGAATTAACCACTTTGGTGATTCTGGAATAGTAAACAATCCCACTAATTGAACCAAGGCGATCCCGAATGCAAATACAAACACAATTCTCCATTGTTGATCATTGGAGAAGAAGTACGACACTAATTGTGCCAAGAAAATTCCCACAGACACAGCAATTTGCATAATTGCACCCATCAATCCTCGATGGTTTATTGGGGTCAATTCATTAATTAATATTGGCGATATAGTCAAGGCACTTCCACAACCAATCCCATTGAACAATCTCCCTAAATTCATGATCCAGATATTATTAGCTAATATCATCAACAATGAACCAAGGACAAAGAACAGAGATGACCCAAGCAACAAAGGTTTCCTGCCATAATCCATTGATATCGAAGTTGATCCTAATAAGACAGACACAAGTAATCCACCTACCGTAAACAGAGTAGTGATGTAAGCAACACCTTGCTCTGACATTGGAATGCATTGGTTACGTCCAAACTGATACCATATAGTGTCATTGTAACTATCTGCCGGTCCTGGTTTATGAAAATGGCAAGATAATACGTCTCCTGGTGCGTTCAACTCTGCCAAATGATATCCAAATTGTAAGGCACAAAGACATATTATAAATGTCGACCATGCGAGTTTGAACGTTATCAGATGACGCTTCTCTATAAAATTATGTATAGTGGTAGGGGGATGCATGGTTGGATAACGATAAGAGATAATACTACAAGAGATCAATCCACCTCCCCATCCCGAGAAAGAAAGAAGTTGTGAAAAAATTTTTTGTGTGGATCATGAAATTATTTATACACTGGAATTTTGTCGCATCTGTTATCTTTTCTTTTTCTGGGGTGGGAGTTTCTTTTGATAAGGTCTAGACTGAACAACATATAAACTAGTTAAAGCAATTAAATCCAACACCAGCTATGGTTCTCCTCTGTAATATTTGTACCTTGGAGTAGAAATCTTATGTATTATCAGAAAACTTTGCATACAATACTTTTATCTTATAGCTCAACCTACATCAGAATAGGGGGGAGGGGATATAAATTGGAGCTTTTATTGTAGACATTGCTTAGCAACATATATTAAACTTGCTAATTCAACAGATTTTAACAATTGTCAAGTCTGAAATATTTTCACCTTGGAAGAATAATCCTATAAGTATGCCTGCTTTACATATAGTATTATTCTTCCATAGATCAACCTCTTCAGAATTGGATGATTGTTTTTGTCAATTCCTGAATATATGTCGTTGCTTGATTTAAATTATGGTAGTAATTCTCGCCAGTTATGGTCTTTGAAATACCTTATTAAACCATTGGTAGTTGAATTAATTAAGTAAAAGAAGTGTTTCATTTTTTTGAATTCATTCAGGGGAATTTTTGACACATTTATAGTTTTCATTTGACAGGGTATCCTTTGCATCCCGTGCGGGTTAAGTGGGGCTGAATTCATGTACCAATATCCTAATTTGTTATTTAACACCGATGTGGTAGTTTTGTTTTCCTTTGCCATTGTCTACATTCCGTTGGGGACTATAACGCCAGAAAATCAATCCATTAGCTATTTACTGAGTTAAAATGAAATTACACATCTAGAAGCTCATTGCATAAATTTCCATAGAGAATCTGATATAAGTTTGGTAGAGTGGAAATTTAATTGATTGCAAAACTTTTCTTCAGAAAAGAAATCTGCTTTTGGTAGTACTTATAATCTTCAGGATCAACAATACAATTCTCTTTTATACACTGATCAATAAACTTTTCAGTTACAATGAATGGGATCCTCGTGAATGACCCTTCATCAAATAGTAAACCTTCACTGATTTTAGAAGAGATTTTATTGACAGCATCCAAAGTCTCTATTCTATTCTTCTCATCGTCATATATTGGCACAACAATATAGGAACAACCGTTGATGTCCTTGGTGATTTCTCCTGTATACCTCATAATTCGCTGCCCCAAGAACTTTGCACTCATGGTATCACCTACAACAAAGAAGTTGGTATCAAGAAACAAGTACAATTTGGGTCTTTGATCTCCCCATTCATGCATGTGTAATTTTCTTGCTCCTCTTAATTCACTGTCACTCAACCTAGGGATAGATAATTCAGTGATCAGATTATATATAATATACGAATCGCCAAATTGATCTACTTTCCCAACGGTATACTTATCCCAGTTAGAAGTACTGAATATAAAGAATGGCTCTAACTGTAGTATAGTTCCCCGATTAATACACTCGAATATCCAATTTGGTTTTATTAAATCGATTCCTCGATTGATAAATGATTCACAAAGTGGAAGCATCTTCTCAGTGATAACGAGCATCCTATCTGCAGTCAACACATCAACTGCATTGATCAAATTACCCCCATACTTCTTAACCAACTTCATCAACTCCTCTCGCGAAGTTCGTTCACCAGTTATAGGATCCAACTTATCACTGACAATCATGAAATTAAACCTAGCAAACAAATTTGATTCTACTCTTTGCTTTTTGATAGTTGATTCGTTAAATAAATCCAAGTTATGCAACTGCTTCCGTTTCAATGCAGCACTTTGAGATTTTAATACATCAGTCAGAAACTTTTCCTTCAACTGGAAGTATTCCTGCATTGAGATACATTCATCTATATTCTTGTCAGTTCTTATTCTTCTACAATACATGTTGTGCAAAGTTGATCCCACCGCGAATGTCTTTTCACTTTGGGCATCAATGGATCTTGCTTTAATTTCCAATACTAGTGAATCTCGAGGATTGATCCACCAAGGTGGTTGTTTGGTTCCAAACTGTATAACCAGTTTAGAAGGTATTTGATCTTTAGTCTTGATCCATTTTCCATGAGTTATACGTTCAATCTTGTCGAATTCTTCATTGGTAAAACCATTGGCACACATGCAGAAACTATAATATGATCCATCAGTTTCATTCCGGAGTCCGGTCATGTATGAATTCTTGACCCCAGGCACTTTGCCAATGACAACAAGATCTAGATTCTCTCCGAATTTCTCTAAATATTCTGGTTTCAATTTTATCCATTTGAGATTACGGTACCCAATATGATACTTCAGCTGTGTATGTTTCAATACCAACCCCTCACTTCTACTGCCGACAATTTCTCGAATTGCTCGTTTTATGTCTTCTATACTGGAACTAATTCTTGAATCGTGGATTTCAAACCGATTAGGAATAGGTCGGATAACCTTATTCAAGATGTTCTTCCTAAAGAACAAGGGATAGTTGGTTAGATTGCGTCCATTCAAGTAAAGTATATCAAACACGAGGAAGTAAGGGTATGAAGATTGTTGTTCATATTGATCAATAATGGTGTACTGTCGCACACTTTCTTGAATAGCCAGAGATTTTAATGTACCAAATGGAAGAATTGCTTTCCTAACATAATCATAAGCCACCATTTCTCCATCTAAAATCACCGAGTCTACATTACCAGGAAATGCTTCAGTTAGATACTTTGTCAATGAACCAAATTCATAGTTTTCTCCATACAAGAATGAATAATCTTTTAATCGACGGGAATAAAATTTGAAATGGGGTCCTTCTTTATGCAATACCATTCTATCGCCATCCATTTTTTCCTCAATGTAAAATTTATCTTTTAGATCTAATTTATCGAATAATGTTTGCATCTGTGGTTCCATATCGGTTATTTTCTGGAAGTCTTTGATTAATTTGGCATATGAACTACTCAACTTTTGCGCCAACTGTGGCTTGAATGGATAGAATGGATGGACAGTTAATAAATTGGGATCTACTCTTGTATTCGGATCAACCAAGTAATTTACTGTTTTTTGCAAATTATTACAAATAGAATATAATCGGCTTGCATCAGGATGCCAGCTATTTAAGAAATAATTTTCAAAAAATCCAAGTATGGTCTTTTTAAGAATAATATGAATCAACCAGCGTAATTCGGGAATGGTCAATGTATCAAATAATGGCTTCAATATCTCAATTTGTTCGGCTGACTTCTTGGCCAAATTTAACGCGTCAAGTTTTGCGTTGATATCGGCAACACTGAATTCATGAGTTTCATTCATGTAATTCCTCCTGTTGGAAATAATTCTTGCCGCTTGCAATGGTAAATCGCGAAGTTTATGTTGGTCAACGGTAAACCTTTTTGTCTTTTGGTATTGTAGCTTCCAATTGTATAACATGCTGTAATCGTCTGAATCCTTAGGAATGCTGTACATTTTAATAATTAATCGCGCTAATACTATATCTTTAATATAGTATAATCTTCCTGCCTTGTCGGGAAATATTAATCTCGCACTGGGGTATATGTCATTCCCAATGTGTAGTTTGAACTGCTGGATGAAAGAGTTAATAATATACGCTTTCTTATCAGATATGTTTTTGAACTCACCAAGTGTTTGTTTGTTTACGGCATCTAGCTTGATAAACAATTCATCATTGAGAAACCGGTATGATGGTTCGAGATTGTTCTTGGGTGTGGGTACATTGTCTAGAAAGAATGGCATATTAGAGCATGTTCGCTTGAATTATATTGTGATATTTTTTCAGGCTGTTTTTCTTCTGTGTTTGTGGGGGATTTTATGGTGCAATTTTCGTCCTGCAAAAAAAAAAATGGACTAAATGTAAACTTGGTTGCAAATTCAACGTAGAAGAACATTCATTTAGTTTAGTAGTTTTTGAATTTATAATGATGTATAATGGCCAGGTTTGAAAAAGAGGCTTAAATAAAACTGAAGTTGATTCTAGTAATATATTGTGCAGATTTCATCAGAAAATTCAATAATATAGCTTAAATCTAGGTTGAATTAGTTACACTATAGTCAAAGCATAGCGCCAATTAACGTTGTGATGGCGTCATCAGAATCTACGTCATAATACACACAACTACGAAATAAGGCAATATATGGCATATTTGATTCTGTCACCATTGGCGGGTGTCAATTTCAACATATCCTTCTCCATAAAAGGCACAGCCTTGCAGGTTAATCTCACAACATGCAAAAACATGCCTCGTTCTTGGCACGATTCTATACGAGGCGATCTCATGGAGTGCGATTGATTTGGTACGACAAAAGCTTAAATATAGACACGTTTATGCAGACTGCTGTAATATTGCCAAGGGAACTAATTTGGCATGACGTCCTATTTTTAGTGACTGAGCCAAATTAAATTTTGGGATTATCTTGTATTCACAAAAAGAGCGAGGGGGGGGGGGGGTATTTTCTGGAGAACAAAAATACTTCAACTCAAAATCCGCCAATCTAAACTTGCTTTTGAAAAGTGGCGTTAAGAGTTCCCCTATGTCTTATCGCGCAACGCAATCACAATGGAGCACGGGAAAGCCACGCAAGCACAAAAGTTATAGCTAGTTGTAGACAAACGAAGAACTAAAAAAAAGCAGCAAGGCTAAACTTAATTTGCTTTCTACTCCGCCACTTTGAAAGGGGAAGTCCAAATTTTCTGGGTATTGGTTATCTCGCATAGCTTTAGCAAACCAAAAAAAGAGCTTAGTTCAAAAAAATCCCTTAAAACTCACCTCCTCAAGTTACCGAACGTAGGGGGCTACCGTTCAAGACAAACTAAACCTTAAAATACGCGCGTAGTGTATCCATAACCATATTGTATAAACAATCGTCGTATAATATAAATAGATTTTGTGCCTTTGTCGGTTTAGTCTTGTGCTAATTATCTAAAAAAAGATGATATGATGTCATAGCATTTATTTTATTTTTAGCAATTTCTTTTCCCTTTTTTTCCTTCGCTGTCACTGTGGAAATCTCGGAACCTGTCCTATTAAGGTAAGCGCCATACTCAAAACATCCATAAATTCAATTCCTTTTTTTTTTTCCGGTCCACCAAAAAAAATATTTTGCCGACAAGATATATTGATTGTGGGTATATAGTCCCCCACGAAAAGGGTTTACATCAACTTACATAAGCAAGCAGAACTTACATGATGCAAAATTCATCCGAGCAAACAATTAGTGAACCAAGCACTAAATAAGTTATATTTTTGCGATGAGAGCTATTGAAATTTCAATGACTTTCCAATTTAAACCTAGCAGCAAAACAATCAAGAAATTTAATTGAAAGCCAAAAAGGAAAAATAATTTATTATTTTTAATTTAAATTTTAATCTGCCAAAAAAAAAAAGAAAGAAAAAAAAAAAAGTCCACACAACCACAACCATCGGGCTTATCCTCCCACACAAAATCTTTCACAAAAAATTGAAATTTATTTATTAGTGTTCAAAACCACTTTAGTTTAAACGGTCACACCTTTCGTTTAAAATTTTTGTCAAAAAGGCAAACGTTGTTCTTTTCAGTTCACATACTTCACATAGCTTTACTTATTTAGCTTAATTAGCAATGCCCTTTTCCCTATCTCCCAAGCAGTTTTTGAAGCACCATCGCAGACAGTCAAACGGCGGCAGCAGCAGTAACAACAGCACCCACGAAGAATCATCCGATAATTCTCCAGTCTCCCCACAATCAAGCAACTACAATGGCCATATTGCATCACCGGGGTTTGTTCATCCCCCTTCCCCATTAGTCAATGCAACTCCGAAAACGGAGGTTGTTAGAAGCAGACCCTCTTCCCCATTGGCTCAGCCCCCTACCACTTCGGTTGACGAGGAATTAACATTTATCCAACCAGGCCCAAATCGTTACTCCACCACATCCAGAACTCCTTCAATTAACTCATTATCTTCTCCGATCCGTTATGCTGACCAGGAGCTGCTCAGCTTAAGTTCCGGCTCGCCCAAGCCTCATGTTCCGGGTATCCGGGATAGCGGTGACAACACCCCCATGATTAAGATTCTTAATCTGAATGGCACTACTCCTTCCGGTGCATCCAAACGGACAGTGTCGGATAAGGTCAAGGCTAGTCCTTCATTTGTTCGGTCAAGTAGAATTTTCGAAGATGGGTTGAATTCTAGCTCACCTTCACTTTCCGGTAAAACCTTGCTTTTAGAAAACAAAGCCCAAATTGAAGCATTACCAAAGGAATTCCATCCTGTGTTGTATCTTATAAATGCCCAGAAGTTGCGTACCTATTCCACTGGTACTTTGGAAGTGTTGGCTGAAGGATCATGGGTTGATGTTGATGCAAGATTAATTGGAAATGAATTGACCATGTGGAGAAACACCGAATCGGAAGAATTCAAATACATTAACCTCATCGACTATCAACTTGAAGTTGTCAACAAGTTGCAAATCAAGTTGTATCAAGACTTTGTGGAAGATTCCCAAGTTTACATTAGATTTGAATCGCAAGTTGAATTCAACCAATGGTTGAGTGCCATCATTCTCAGTAAATTTGAATATGTTAAATTAAATGAAGCATTCACTGCTGTCGTATTATCATCAAAGGCTTCTAAATTACTGGACACTCATATTCTTATGTCCAAGAAGAGATATTCCAAGTCTGAATTTTGTAACATTAGATTACCCCAAATTTCTTCTAAATGGTTGAAGGTGTACATGGTTATCGTCCCCAGTGATAACAAACATTTAGGTAGAATTGAAATCTATCAAGACGACAAGAAAGTAAACAAGAAACACTTGATTGCATATATTGCCAATGCAAACCACGTGTTTAACGTTTATCCTGAGTTACCAGCCATGGTTGATTTCAACTCAATTATGAATCTCAAAGGTGAAATCCACATAAATAAGCATTTCGAACATTTGTTTGCTCATAACAACAGTATTCCAATTCCAAAATCCGATTCTTCAAGCTCATTATTAGCTTCGCCCAAGATGTCCCATTCAAGATCAACTTCGGTCAATTCTACATCATCATTCTTTGGATCGCCAGGAACATCACCAAAACCAAGCAGTATGATGACGTTTGCCAATAGAGATAGATCGCTGTCGAATGAATCTAAACAGAGTTCCAAAGCCAGCGAAATAGTTGTGGAAAAGGAACTTAAGGAACCAAAGAGAACTCCATCTACTTTCTTGAAGAAACATTCCAATGACTTCATCATGACTGATTCCATCTACATTATGCCAATTTCCCACCCCGGTGTGTCACCTATTGAAACCATGATTCGTAACTTCATCCCCATTATTGATTCATTCAAACTTTACGGACGTCCACAGATGTTGATTAGTGATCGTAAAGACGCGAATTGTTTATTATTTGGATTACCTTCATTGCCAAGATATGAATATTTATCCAGAGAACATGTCGAGGAAGCAGTTGCTGCCCATGCAGGACAAGAGTTTGATTATGAGAAAATTATCAGTGACAAGATTCAACAATTGCAAGCCAAGGGATATAGAGGAGACGGTGACATTTCCAATTTATACAATAGTTTGAACTCAACGTCTTATGACTTGGCAGCGGGATTAGGTGATCCAATTGACTTTGTTACCCTGTCTTCACCAGGTGCATTAAGTGTTGAAATTTCATGAACTGGATATTTTTGTAAAGTTTGATTTTTTAAGGCGTAAAAATGGGAGTTGTATATTTTTCTTTTTAGTTTATTATGTTGTTTTTTTATAGAATTATATGATTACTAAGATGTTACTATCGAGTTTGAGTCATGAATGATTCTTTGTAAAGCGAGGGGTAGAAGTAGATTGATGTAAGGTGAATAAAAAAAAATAATAATGGCGATATTGCCACTGCAAGTTAAGCCTAGTGAATGCGACAGAATAATTTGATCGATCGAAGTAGTTGGGTAGTTCTATAGTCATGTGTGAGTTGAGCCTTACTATGCCAATACACTCATCGGCGGGGGATCACCCTTTCCAAGGAGGTTGTAAGTTCAAACTTGGCATGGAATTGCTTAATCTGTAGTAGCTTAAAGTGCAAGGGGGGTAAAGTTTATATATTTTGTATACGGCTGAGAAAAGTAGGGGGCAATTATGCATCTGAAAGAGTCGAATCTAAGTCATGATTTCTGAATCGCTTGCATATTCTTGCACTCATAGAGCTGAATTATGGTTAATTGCGAGGTAGCTTCCCAGTTGGGAGCTAGGGGCAGTGATCACCTTCTCCACAATTTGTACAATTGGATATACCGTGCTTGAAAACGCAGCAAATCAAGTACTAGCAAGCAAGACACCCGGTAAAACACTACTCCGATAAACTATAGACATTGGAAGAGCAATTGTAACTGGAATCAGCCCATCATTGAGCTGGCTACTTTATAGGGGCAAGGGGGGGAGAGGTGTCATCCTAAAAGGTAAACTTCCGATGATCGGTGATCAACAATCAAGAGATATGTTTATGTTTATATATCTGTCTTGTCACTAGAATAGGCAATTCCGTAACCCTAATCAGAACGCAACAATGACCTGACTTTGTGTTGTGGAATTTCTCATCGTATTTATAAATTGCTTAAATCGGACGTGTAACGTGTAGCGTGTAGCGTGTGTGGGCGATCCGGGTGCGACGTGCATGAAAAAACAAAAAAAAATTCGAAAAAAACACCCGCCCGACGTGTAACGTGTTCAAATAATATCGAGTACCGCGTATGCATCTTTGGTTACAATGGGAATGTCAGGACACAAAGAGAATAATGATCCTTTTTTATCATACGTGCGAGCTTTACTTCATTAAGTAATTAGTAAACAGTGTACATGGGGTGAGGAGCCAGGTCTGGTTCGTTCTTTTGGTAACATTTTTTTTTGCAATTGACGAGAAGAGGTGAGAAATGTCTTGGAAAGTTAATTGGGTTACATGAGATCAGACATGTTGCCATTGCAATCACAGTCTTAAGCAAATGTCTAAAAAGCAAATCGTTCCACCACCTAGATTAGCGTGAACAGGATAAAATTCTTAAACAACACAAAATCTTGATCAAACAATGCACTAAACGCGAAAAGTGACAAACCTGTAAATACCACCACAACCTGCAAATCGTCACGGAAATTTTTCCACGTCTCTTCACCAAAATGTAAACTTATGTAACAATTACAAAGCCTGATTTAGCAAAAGCCAAGCGTTCCATCAAAACAAACCACAATAATATCCGTCTTTCGGAAAACTCATCCCACGTCGCAAATATCCGTGTATATATAAACCTTGTTCTCCCCCCCCCTTGAAAAGTTTTTAACTATAAACCCTTCTTTTCTAACAAGTTATTTTTTTTTAATCATCACTAATCAATTGATACACACATACTCACACAATGTCTGCTAAAGAAACACCAACCCAAGGATTGACCGGTAAGATCTCCAACTTGGATGTATCCACCATGCAAGGAAAGTCATTGACTGACAAATTGGCCGAACAGGCCAAGGCTAAGGACGACTCCCAAACCACCACCGCCACTAAAGACGCGATTGTTGCTGCTTCTACTACTACTACTGCCACCCCTACTGCTGAAGATGATGAAAGATCTGAACACAGAAAGTTTTTGGAAAAGCACAAGGCCAACAGACATAAGTTGAGAGAACAAGAATCCGAAGAACCTTTATTGAAGGAAAACTCCCGTAGATTCGTTATGTTCCCAATCAGATACCACGAAATATGGCAAATGTACAAGAAGGCTGAAGCTTCTTTCTGGACTGCTGAAGAAATTGATTTAAGTAAGGATTTACACGACTGGAACAACAGATTGAATGACAATGAACGTTACTTCATCTCCAGAGTGTTGGCCTTCTTTGCTGCTTCTGATGGTTTAGTCAATGAAAACTTGGTTGAAAACTTTTCTGCTGAAGTTCAAATCCCAGAAGCCAAGGCTTTCTATGGTTTCCAAATCATGATTGAAATGATCCACTCTGAAGTCTACTCCCTTTTGATTGACACCTATGTCAAGGACCCTCAAGAAGCTGAATTCTTGTTTGATGCCATCCACACTATTCCATGTATTGCCAAGAAGGCTGACTGGGCCTTGAAGTGGATTGCTGACACTGACGCCTTGTATGCTGAACGTTTAGTTGCCTTTGCTGCCATTGAAGGTATCTTCTTCAGTGGTTCTTTTGCTTCTATCTTCTGGTTGAAGAAGAGAGGTTTGATGCCAGGTTTAACTTTCTCCAACGAATTGATTTCCAGAGATGAAGGTTTACATACTGATTTTGCTTGTTTGTTGTTTGCTCACTTGAAGAACAGACCAGACCCAGAAATTGTTGAAAGAATTATTGTTGAAGCCGTTGCCATTGAAAAGGAATACTTCACAGACGCTTTGCCAGTCAGTTTATTAGGTATGAACTGTGCCTTGATGTGTCAATACGTTGAATTTGTTGCTGACAGATTATTGGTTGCCTTTGGTAACAAGAAGGTTTACAATGTCGTTAACCCATTCGATTTCATGGAAAACATTTCCTTGGCTGGTAAGACTAACTTCTTTGAAAAGAGAGTTTCCGACTACCAAAGAGCTGGTGTTATGGCCAAGACCAATGAACCAACCTCATCTAGTCATGAATTCAAGTTTGATGAAGATTTCTAAGGGGTGTAGTGGATTAATCATATTTTAAAAATTGGTTCGTATTATATTTTTTTTTGTTTGGGGTTTTTTTGTTTTAATGTCTTTGTATTTAATTCGTTTTTAATCATTCTATACATATGTTAGCATGTTATTGTCATGAATATATTTTAAAATTGTGTGAAGTTGTACATTGTAATGGTCTATTGATATTTCGCAACATACAATGCAAAAACCAAAAAAAAAAAAATTAAACAAATCTCATCTCTAAGCAAAGGTATTACCCAACACAACAGACTCAAACATGGCCAAAGGGAAAAACAAGTCATCTGAAGAAAGAGCAAACAAGACCCGTACTTCAAACGGTCACAAGTCTAAACAACATCATATCCGTAAGGGGAGACAGGAGCAAGGTGCAGCAGGTGGGTCCACGGCCGAATCAAAGTTCCCAACCAAACTAGCAATGTGGGATTTCGACCACTGCGATCCTAAGCGATGCAGCGGGAAGAAGCTTGAACGATTGGGACTCATCAAGAACCTACGAGTTGGACAGAAATTCGCCGGTGTTATTGTGTCACCTAACGGAAAATCTATCGTTTGTCCTAATGATCGTGAACTCGTAGAGGAAAACGGAGCTGCCGTGGTGGAATGTTCATGGGCTAGATTAGATGAGATTCCATTCAATAAGATTGGAGGTAAACACGAAAGATTATTGCCCTATCTTGTTGCTGCAAACCCGGTGAATTATGGACGTCCCTGGAGATTAAACTGCGTGGAAGCACTCGCGGCTTGTTTTGCTATTGTGGGACATTTAGATTGGGCAGAAATGTTATTAGAAAACTTTTCCTGGGGTTTGACCTTCTTGAAGATTAATGAAGAGTTGATTGAACTTTATCAAAAGTGTACTGATACCGAGTCTATCCAAAAGGCGCAAGACGAGTGGTTAGCCAAGATCGAGAATGAAGCCAAGGAAAGAAAGGAGAAGGCGCATACTGAAGATGTATGGATGATGGGGAATGTGAATAGAAAGGGAGCACAAGAAGGAGATAGTGAAGAAGAAGAAGAAGAAGGAGAATTCGAGGACGGGGAAGAAGAAGAAGAAGAAGTTGAGTATGACCATTTAGGTAATGTCATCGAGAAGAAGAAATATGATGCCTTAGGAAATTTGATCGAGGACGAACATGAGGAGGACGATGATGACGAAGAAGAAGAAGAAGACGTTGAATACGATAATTTGGGCAATGCCATACAAAAGAAAAAGTACGACTCCTTGGGTAACTTAATCGAAGAAGATGACGACCAAAATGAGGACTCTGAACAAGACTCAGGCGAAATTCAATATGATTCACTAGGAAATGTCATGGACCTGTCGGCGGTATATGACAAATTGGGCAACATAATAGAAAAGGACGAAATATCGGACAAACTAAACACTCTCACCGTATAGATTTTAATAAATTGTGCATACTTCCGTTGTTTGCGGAGACGTGCTTCCGTTTCCGATTTCCGGGGTCTGGAAAAAATTTGTAATCCGTCCGTCGCAACTGGAACTCCCATATATGTATTTAGTGCCACAGTTTGTTAAACAATTGTCCACTTATCTTATTCATTATAGACCATGTCGGGTATTCAAATAGCAATTGATCGAGGTGGGACATTTTGTGATGTCATTGCCAAAATCCCCAATCAACCAGACTACTATTTCAAGCTTTTATCAGTAGACCCCGCCAATTACAAAGATGCACCCACTGAAGGTATTAGAAGGGTATTGGAGAAAGCCACCGGTACCTCCATCCCCAAGAGTGAAAAGTTAAACTTGGACTTGATTCAAAGCATAAGAATGGGAACCACCGTTGCCACCAATGCCTTATTGGAGCGTAAAGGTGCCCACGTATTATTAGTCACCACCAAAGGGTTCAAAGACGTGTTGGTCATTGGAAACCAAACCAGACCCCATATTTTTGATTTGACCGCTAAAAAGTTGGGACAATTGTATGATCAAGTTTTGGAAATCGACGAAAGAGTAACCATTGCCGGATTCAGTGAGGGCGGTGGTGACAAATTGAAAATTGACATCAATTCAGATCCAGAATTACGCGAAAGTGTAACTGGTGATGCCGTCCGTGTTGTCAAGGAACCAGACTACGACCGCGTTGAGCAAGATTTACGCAATATTTACCGCCAGGGAAGAATTAAAACAATTGCATTGTCCTTGTTGCATTCTTATGCATACCCACAACACGAGGCCAAGATTGCCGAAATCGCCAACAAGATTGGGTTCAACGTTTCCGTGTCCCATATTTTACAACCCATGCTCGGGTTTGTTAACCGTACTTCGTCAACCGTTGCTGATGCTTACTTGTCTCCTATCATCAACGAATATATTCAAAATTTCGGTGATGGTTTTGAAGGTGGTTTGAATGCTTTTGGTAACAAGTTGTTGTTTATGCAATCAAATGGTGGACTTTGTCCTTGGTACAAGTTCACTGGGTTGAAAGCAATCTTGTCTGGTCCTGCTGGAGGTATGGTTGGTTTCGGAGAAACCTGTTATGACAGCAAGTCTGGAAAAGCCACTCTTGGTTTTGACGCCGGTGGTACTTCTACCGATGTCTCAAGATACTCCGGTAATCTTGAACATATTTATGATACTGTTGTCAGCGAAGTTAGTTTACAAACACCCCAATTGGACATTTCTACTGTGGCTGCAGGTGGTGGATCCATGTTATTCTGGAAAAATGGTATGTTTGTCACGGGGCCAGAATCAGCTGGATCCGACCCAGGACCGGTATGCTATAGAAAGGGAGGACCTTTGACTATTACCGATGCCAATTTATTCCTTGGTAGGTTGTTGCCTGATTTCTTCCCCCACATCTTTGGCCCTAACCACGATCAACCATTAGATTATGAATTGACTGCCAAGAAGTTCCAGGAATTAACCGAAGAAATCAACAAGGATAAGCTTTCTCAAGTCAAATTAAGTCCTGAGGAAGTTGCCACTGGGTTTTTGAAAGTTGCGGTTGAATCAATGGCCCGTCCAATTAGAACCTTGACTGAAGCTAAAGGATTTGATACTAGTGATCACAATTTAGCCTGTTTTGGAGGTTCAGGCGGTCAATTTGCCGTTGAATTAGCCAAGAATTTAGGTATTACTCATGTTGCCATTCACAAATATTCTTCATTGTTATCGGCATATGGAATTCAATTAGCCGATATTGTTATTGAAAAACAATCTCCCGCTTCATTTACCTATAATGAACTGTACTTTGCTGATATTTCTTCCAAGATTGAAGGTTTAGTCGAAGCAGCTTATCAAGATTATAAGGAGCAAAACTTGACCGATTTCAATACTAGATTGGAAGTTTACTTGAATATGAGATATGTTGGGTCTGATACTCATTTATTAATTCCGGTAAACAAAGGTGAACATGATGCTGATACCAAGTTTATCACTCGACACAAAAATGAGTTTGGATTCAATTTAGATAGAAATGTTTTGGTGGATGATGTTCAGGTTTTGTTACATGTTGAATCTTATGATAAAGAAGATATCAATCCCTACGAAGAGTACAATAATTTAAGTGATCGTCAAGTCATCACCAAGTCGGAAACTCAACGTAATATTTACTTTGAGTCTGATGGTTGGTTACAATCTTCAGTTTATCAGTTACCTCAATTGACTGCAGGTAGTATCGTCCAAGGACCAGCAATCATTATCGATGATACTCAGACTATTCTTGTTGATCCTAAATCCAAAGCTGCTATTCTTAAAAGTCACATTTTGATTATTGTTGAGCAAGAATCCAAACGTCAATTATCGACCCACACAGTCGATCCAATTCAATTATCAGTTTTTGGCCACAGATTTATGTCAATTGCCGAACAAATGGGAAGAACATTGCAACAAACGGCAATCTCCACCAACATCAAGGAAAGATTGGATTTCTCATGTGCCATCTTTGACAATCAAGGTGATTTAGTAGCTAATGCACCTCATGTGCCTATCCACTTGGGTGCAATGTCATTTGCAGTTAAATCGCAGATTGAAATATGGAAGGGCAAGTTGGAACAAGGTGACGTATTGGTTTCGAATCATCCAAAAGCTGGGGGAAGTCATTTACCAGATATAACCGTAATTACTCCTGTGTTGGATAAGAATAACAATCCTATTTTTTGGACCGCTTCTCGTGGCCATCATGCTGATATTGGATCTATTTCTGCTGGATCGATGCCACCAAATTCGAAAACTATTTATGATGAGGGTGCTTCCATAGTTTCTCACAAGTTGTGCTCCAAGGGTGTTTTCGACGAGGCTGGCATAACGAGAATATTGTATGATGAACCAAGTAAGTATCCCGGTGGATCAGGAACAAGAACTCTCAGTGATAACATCTCAGATTTGAAAGCTCAGGTATCAGCAAATTACAAAGGTATTACATTGTTGGAGAGATTAGTTGATGAATTTAGTTATGACGTGATTAATCTTTACATGGGAGGTATTCAATCTACTGCAGAAGTTGCCGTGAGAAACTTGCTTCGTATCGCATACAAGAAATTTGGTGGTAATCATTTGAAAGGTGTTGATTACTTGGATGACGGGACTGCCATTGCGTTGGAAGTTACTATTGATTATGAATCCGGTGATGCTATTTTTGATTTCACGGAATCGGGTGATGAAATCTATGGTAATTTGAATGCACCAACAGCAATCTTGTACTCGGCTGTATTATATGTGTTGCGTTGTTTGATAAGTACTGATATTCCATTGAATAATGGTTGCTTAAAACCAATCAAGTTCAAAACTAGACAAGGATCCGTGGTGAATCCATCGTTTGAAGCTGCTGTTGTGGGAGGTAATGTTGAAACCAGTCAACGTATAGTTGATGTTATTCTCAAGACATTTGAAGCTGCAGCAGCATCACAGGGTACCTGTAACAACTTTACCTTTGGTATAAGCGACAAGCAGGTATCATTTGGATATTATGAAACCATATGTGGTGGTTCAGGCGCTGGACCGGGATGGAACGGTCAATCGGTAGTGCAATGTCACACCACAAATACCAGAATCACCGATACTGAGTTATTTGAAAAGAGGTATCCTGTGTTAGTACACGAATACTCAGTGAGAACTGGTTCTGGTGGTGATGGATTGTATAAGGGAGGCAATGGTGTCATCAGAGATATCGAATTCTTGTATCCTAATTTAGAAGTTTCTTGTCTCATGGAAAGAAGATCATTGCCACCATTTGGAATATGTGGAGGTAAGGATGGTTTACGAGGTGAGAACCACTGGTTTATCAAAGGTGAAGATGGTCAATATAGAAAGAAGTATCTTGGTGGGAAATGTACCGTTAGAATTGGTAAGGGGGATAGAATTGTTATCAAGACTCCTGGAGGGGGTGGGTTTGGTGAACAAACTGGTGAAGATGCAGCTAGCTATCCCATACAGAGTACCAAACCAAGTGTATTGACGGGGTCAGTGGGGATGAGAACTCATATTCAAGAAACCAACTAGATAATTAGAATACACTGAGCAGTTTGTCTGTATAATTTGTCTATGTAATTTGTCTATGTAGTTTGTCTGTGTATCCGTGGTAGCAAGAGCACGTTTAGCTGCCAAGTGTTTGCACAACACTGGCAATAGCGCAGTACCTCCAAGAAGTAACAATACACCCACTAGAGCATCCAAGAGATCACAGCTATTGGGAAATGGTCCATCCATTTGCTCGTGTGTGTGATTTTACGTTGGTACAAAAACAGGCGTCGTTACTATAAATTGCAACTGGTGGGAAAAATGAACTCCACAAATAAATCACTTAGTCAAGCAAATGACACCACCAATGAAACATCTACCGACCATATACAATCCATTTCTCAATTGCATATTTAACAACCCACATCACTCCAAATCACCATTCAAGAGCATAATCCAAGAACTCAACCTTAGTCATATCGAGTATACTTTGTTAGTGCCCTCAGCGTATGTCTTGAATGAATACTATGACACTGATAACAACCCACTTAAAGAGTTGTGTTACTCCAATGAAGAGTTTTTAAAGTCCCACATCATAAAATCCTCTGTACCTTTGAGTTCCACCATAACGCCAATATCCAAAGAAACTTCTGTTATTTACAACACCATCAATGGTAAACAAGTGTTGATCAAAAACAGAATGATCTACACAGGTAAAGGGTTCAGACGAAGTTTAAAGTTGAGAATTACTGGAATCCTGTATTTCAATTCATTTTGTGATTATTTACCTAAAGGAGCCAAGTTCATGTTGATTTACATCGAGAGTAGTCTAATTGGAGGTGTACCTAGGAGTAAGCCAATACCGAGACAGTTAACACCAGTCCCTACACCTCCAACTAGCGGAAGTTCATCTAGTTCACAAGGAACCATACGAAGATCCAAATCACCAAATATTGATTCAATCACGTTTGAAACTTTGTTACGCAACTTCCCATTACTTTCCAAGGCAGTATCCAACAAATTCTACCGGTTATTTCATCATAATAATAAACAGTATCGTATTCTTCGAACAAACGAAAGAAAGAAATTGAGTGAAATCAAGTCTGAGTTTCATAAAATCACGGAAGAGGCATATACTATAATTCTGGATAGTATCCACATTGATAATCCCGACAGCGAAACCACATATAATTTGATTAACCATATTATAAGCATATTTCCAGGCATTGATTTGAACAGATTAGTTTACGAATATGTCGAATTGAACTTGTATGATGTATTATGGGGCCAGCTCATATTCCAATTCAATCAACAAAATGATGACTATGACAAAGATGCAGTTAAGGTATTGACACCAGAGAGGTTTGAAAAGCTTTCCTGTCTTTCCCTTAACCAATTGGATTTACCTATTGACAAACCATGGGAAATGAATGACCTTTATAAGAGAATTTCATTAGCAATTGAACAGTTCAAGAAATTATCAGATTCGGTGACTCTGACAAATAAGATCAAAATCATATTTGAAACAGTCAAGATCTTGACCGAGGGAAGTATACTTATCAATGCAGACACATTGATCGGATTATTAATTATGGTTATTATTCATTCGAAGGTGGATAACCTAGAAGCACACTTATACTACATCAAGAATTTCAATCCTAGTGATCGTGATGGGCATTTTAACTATATCATGAGTAATTTAGATGCAGTATTGTATCATTTACAATCGGATGAATCAAGTGGATTGTTTGAGCATTCGAGTAAGAATTATGAATTATGGCATGCAATTTACACAAAAGACGTAGAACAGGTGGGCAAGATAGTCGATTCTATCGAGTATTCGGATGAATTACCCGAACAACATTTTCTCAAAAGTAAGAATATAAATGGTGAAAGTTGTCTCACATTTGCGATAAGATCAAACAGTATAGAGATTTTCGATATCTTAATCAACACCAATCCTGCTTGGCTTACTATTGATTCATTATTGTTTGATATTAATGTGCTTACAAATCAAAATTTATTAATGTATGCATTAATAGAAGAGTGTGACCCAGAAATCATGGATATAATGGTTTCAATCATATTGGAAAATTGTACCCTTGAAGAACAATTGAGTTATTTCAATTATCAGGATAACCTAGGGAGATCAGTTGGCCATTACTTGTTTCATAACTACAAATTGATCGATACCATTGGCCATTTAATAGATTGGGAACTCAAAGATAACAGTTATAGATCCCCCTTGTTTAACCTTTGTCGATGTTATGATCACGCGGAGTATGTCAATCTTGTGACTACTGCATTCAACTGTGTTTACGAAAAGTATGGAAGAAATAAGCTAAACTTTGACAACCACGTGGATAAGTCTGGCAATACTTTATTGCATGTTATCCTCAAAGGAATAGCAGAAACCAAACTATTATCCAGCGATTTTGAATTGTTAGATATTAACCAGATAAACCTTAAGAATTTGACTCCATTAATGGTTTACGTGAAATATAACAGGCTTGAAAACTTACAGCAGTTGCTTTCAGACGAGAGACTCAGATTTCTATATGAGGATAGTAAGAACCATTATAATGTTTTTGATTATTTAAGTTTTCTGGCTATAAAGTCGAGTACAAGTGAATCATTCAAGAAGATCGAAGCGTGCATTTTTCAATATTATTTACAGACTTGCTTTCCTAATGATAATAAATATAACCTTCTTGGCATGAATGGGAAATATGACTCAAACAATAAGGATTGGTTAGTGTTCCTAAAGAACAATGATGGGTACAGTAATTACAAATCAATCACAAGTATACGGAAACTATTATTTCTTACCAAGTTAAAATCTCCCTTAAGCACATTTCCTGATCAAGATCTATTTTGGAGTAATTTCAATTTGAATGTACCTACAACCACCATGTTTAACAAGTTCCGGATCAATCGATTGATCGATAATTTGAATGTGTTGTTTACAAGTTTGGTATATCAAGATAACATTGATCGAAAGTATTTCTATAAGCTGTTCCTCACAGTTGAATCCAAACAAGATCTGATTTTAGAACAGAAGCAGAAAATAATCGATTCAATTGAACGGAAAAAGAATAGTATTTCTGAAGTCAAATTTTCAAGAAATAAGATCGAAGAAATTGAATACTTTTTACAGTTTTCAACGAATGATTTAGTAAACTACAGGAGAATAATGGATAAATTAATCAAACTAATTTCTATTGGAGACGTGAAAATTGCCGATGTTACCAAAGTAACTGATAATGCTTTAAATTTGTTTGTTAGTGATACGATTAACTGCGAGGAGCACAGTAGTTGGACTAACTTGTTTGATCGTATACTCTGGATTTATACAGTTTGCCAGGAATTAATGAAGAATATCGACAGGATATTATTAGAAATTAAAGCCTGGAAAGACCTATACCATGCTATTTGTGTGATTAACCTGGAACTAAGAAAGTTGGAACAAAGTCACACTGTTGCTGTGAATAATGAAAGTACCGAGACAAATGGAACAACCAGTAGAAGAAATAGTGCAAGTACATTGGAACTTACTGACACTATCCCAGAGAACATTCAACAAGAGGAAGAGTCATTCTTTACAGTTACATTTGGTGAAACTAAAAAAGCCCGTTATAGAAAGCTCCTACTTTCGAAATCAGATAAAGTTAAACAAATCATGAAAGTTAATATTGAAATCAAGTATAGTTATGAAATTATTGCATTTGAAATTTCAAATTTTATGAAATTTAAAACTGAATTCCTAAGATTTTCCATCGGGCAATTTGTTATAGGTGAAGCTATCAGGTTGAAGCACTTCAATGTGGAATTAGCTAAAGTATTAACTAGATTAAAGTAGTTTACTCTTTTTTTTTTTTGCAGTAATTTAATTTTAGAAGGTTCCAGAAGATGACACGTGACTTCAAAAAAAACTGTCAACGTTGTCTCCAGTGCCCCCAACAAAAATTTTAGAGGGTTGATTTCTCCAGTTTCTTCAAATCAAGTAATCTGACAAGTATACCACATCATGAGCACTATTAGTAATAAAGACATCGCATTGTCTATAATCGACTTTTTAAAGCAATCTATCACCAACAAGGAAATTTCAGAAGATTATGTTGAATCAATGGATGTTGCTATTGACTGTATTGCTGATGCATATGAAGTTAACAAGGATGATTCCAGCAATATCTCCGCAAAGTTCAACGGTAAGTCTTTATCTGAGTTGATTCAAGCCGGTTCCGCTTCCACTGGTGCTACTGAAGCTTCTACCAAGGAAGAACCAAAGGTTGTTAACGAAGAAACCAAAGCTAAGGCAAATGAATTGAAGGTTGAAGGTAACAAAGCCATGGCTGCTCGTGATTTCCAAACCGCCATTGACAAATACACCAAAGCCATTGAATTAGATCCAAAGAACGAAATTTTCCTTTCCAACAGAGCCGCAGCTTATTCCTCCAATTTACAACACGCCAAGGCTGTAGCTGATGCTGAAAAGGCCATTGAAATCAACCCAAAGTTCTCCAAGGCTTATTCTAGATTAGGTTTAGCTAGATATGCTCTTGGTGATGCCAAGGGATCCATGGAAGCTTATGAAAAGGGATTAGCTATTGAAGGCGATGACAAATCTGCTGCTATGACCAAGGGTTACGAAACTGCCAAGAAGAGATACCAAGAAGAACAAAGCTCAGTTGAATCAACCAGAGAAACTTCCACTGATGCTGGTTCTAGTGCTGGTGCCGGTGCTGGTGCCGGTGGATTGCCAGATTTCGGATCCATGTTTGGTGGAGCCGGTGCTGGTGGTATGCCATCATTAGGTGATATGATGAACAATCCACAAATTATGCAAGCAGCTCAAGAAATGATGTCCAATCCTGATGCTATGAGAAATTTGTTTAATAACCCTGCTGTTAGATCAATGGCTGAATCAATGGGTTTAGGTGGTGAAAATGGTCCTGATTTATCTAATATCATGAACAATCCAATGCTTAATCAATTCATGGGTGGTAATAGAAATAATGACGAATCAGGTAATTAATAGTTAGATTTTAATATATTGTAATTAGGTTCTAGATAATTGTTAGCTAAAGAAATTGGATACCAACCATGTTAATTCTACAGAATGTTTATTCGATACGTCTTTGGTGTTTGCTTGTAGTTGTTTGGTTGCGAAAAATTGGTCTCGGGGTTTTTTTTGTTTATTCACAAATGCTTACTATTAATTTAAGGAATGTCAAAAAGAATTGGATACAGAAGAATCTTCATCTTTTTGAAATAATCTTTCATATAATAGTTGGTTTGAAATATTTTGTTATGTCCTACTCACAGCTACAAACTTGATTGGCTATAATGGGGGTCTTATATCTCTAGACTAAATACTACTTGCAATGAACTTCCGGTTAAGGCATGTAGAATATGTAACTCTTTACTTTCAAGCCGCTTTCTATTAGTTACTATAAAAGTTCAACGTAATGTAGTTACATCAAGGGATTCTGATAAACTTGATTTATATAGCCTGCCTATCGCCGTACTTGAAAAGTATCGAGAATTTAAGCTTGATAGTGATCACGAAGAAGCTAAGAATGATGAAGAACAAGCTACAAGTACAACTATCCTCCTACGTCCAAATAAAATCCTAAGTGTGATAGCAAACTATCTTAACCATTTCATTGCTATAAACCTAAATCTTACACACAAGAGCCTTTATCAACTCGGAACTATGCAATTATTAAAACACAGTGGTTGTCAATTTAATTGATTTATCTGCCAAAGACAAAACTGAGGCTTTATATATAAAAACAGAAAAGCACATTCGCAAGAAAAGATACATATATCCACATTCAAATACCGTTTCAGTCAATGACATAGTACACTTCAAAACAAAAGTGGTTGGCTGCAAAACAGAAAAACTCATTTTTCAGCATAACTTAATCCATATTGCCAATTCTTTCCTAAAACTTAGTGTGACAATGAAAGTGCCCTTTATTCCTTTAAACTTAAAGATAACAAATCACTTTGTGATATACCCACTCATAAACTTGATCCAGTGCGCTATGGATATCTCTTGTTCTTTTTTAAAGGTTTAAATATCAACACAGGGCCAAAATGTAATTCTCTAGGTTCAAGTATGGAACAATATATTCATAAGAATTCAAAGTATCAGCTCGTTGTTGTAAAAACTGAAACTGAGTGTTTCGCAGAAGGAACGTTCAATAATCCAATCGAGATTGACGACGAGCCAATTAATGACAATGATACAATTAAAACTGATATTCTTCGTCTTCCAGAAGAAGTAATTTTAGAAATATTTGGACATGTCAACCAAATAGATGCTACAAATATTAGATTGGTTAACAGACAGCTTTATAAGTTAGGTACAATGAAATTATTCAATTCAATACTTGTTGCCTTCCCAGAAGACACCGGTCTTAATATCAAAGGCAAATGTCACGTTGCAGCTAAGTTATATCTGGAATATCTAATCAACTATACCGTCATTAATGGATTCCAAAAGATTGCCAGAGTTCTTGGAATGGCGGAGTTAAGTATGGTTAAAAATATTTTACTCTATACTGCAAAGGTAAATAACTATTCAGATCATTGTTATTATTACTTGGTCAACAAATGTCCCTGGATAACGGTCAACGTTATCCTGCATAGCCCAGTAATGTTTGGGAAACAGTTTATGAGACTTGACAAGATTTCCATGCTTAGAGTTTCCAATGCATATCAATTCATTTCCGATATACCGGATAATTTCTCAATCAAGAAATTATACCTTATCGGGACACAGAGAGTGGGATCAGACTCTTTGGCTCTTATCCCCCATTTAAAAGCATTGAAATTTCTCTATATGGAAGATAACCGTGAACTCAACATTTTCAATCAATTGAAACAGAGAAACATAGCTAATTTGAAACTTAAGCATTTAGCATTAAGGTTCCCACTGTTTGTGATCCGACAAATGGAGGAATGCTTTGTAATGAGTGAAATTGTCACATTTGAACTTCAATTTTTCAATCAAGGTACCCCATATGATGATTTGAACTGGTTATCCACACGCATGACAAAACTTAGAAATATTGAAATTACTTTGTGGAAAATGTCTTTCACAATGGTTATGAAGCAGTTTCAGGGACATATTTTACACAGAATTAAACTTCACAGTTATGCAACTGATAAGGAAGTTCCTTCACTGCAGGTTGCAACTATGTTGAAGGGTCGAGAATCAGAGATTACTGAGGTGTGGGCAACTTCTGGCACTAATCAATACTCGGGGATGCTTAGTTCCACTTTATTTTTCAGAACAACAAAACGAAGCAATTCTTCAACTAAACAAAGCATCCTGAAACAATTTAGTAAAACTAAGTATCCCAACCTAAATACAATTCTTATCAACGAGGGTCTTGTGTTGTATTGCAACATTCCACCTTAACCTGATTTGGATACACACCTGTTTATATTCTCCTAAGAAATATTCTTTTATAGTTATGGGAAACCTTTTTAAAAGATTAGATATTGTACAGGGTATATTTCTCCAAACAAATCTACTATTTGTTCTTTTATTTTAATATATATATCGAATAAATTTCCTAGACATTACGGTACGGAATTAAGAAAGACTCTATTGTCAGTACAACCTGCTCATTTCTTTATTAAAACGAAAGTAGTGAAATAGAGGTAATGCATCAGGGTGATTACTAAAATCATAAAAGGGTCTATACTATAGGATGGTATTGTTAGCCCTTGATAATATTTGATGACTGCGCTTCTTTTCGTAGTTTATTTGCTACTTGTAAAGGAAGCGATATAGATACACATTTTATTTATGTTTTTTTTTTTAAAAAAAAAAGGCAAAACTTAATTGCTGAGTAATTTTCTAACATCATATAAGCTAGTTTTAGAACGCATAATATTAATACTGTAGCTTTCTATGGTTTTCGGTTATTTCAAATGTTTCCGGTGGGGTAAATCGCAAATCTAACCGTTTTACATCATGCCCTTTTTTTTTCTCTCTCTTTTTCTTTTTTCTTTTGGTTGTCAAAATTTGAAAGCTTGCTTTGTAATTACTGGGGTACGAAGCTTAACAACATGATAGCCACAAGAAGGTTTTATAATTCTGTGCATTTGTCACGATTTATATGTACCAGGACTCGATTATACACCACAGCTGCTAACACAATCGAAGCGCAATTTCCTCCACGGCAATTACTCATTAAAGTAGAGGAAATTCCAGATTTACCATTTGTTGAACATATAACTTTACCATTTAAACATTTTAAACCAGCTGCATCTCCACCCGATTATACCAAGACTCCTGTATTATTCATACATGGGTTATTCGGCTGGAAGAACAATTATCGATCTGTAGGTCAATTGATCCTGGAAAGAACCAAACATCCAGTCTATGCATTAGATCTTAGAAATCATGGTGATGCTCCACATGTATTACCACACACTTACCTGGCAATGGCAGAAGATGTTCAAGAATTCTTACATGACCGTGGCTGGGAGAAAGTGATTTTGGTAGGTCATTCAATGGGAGCCAAAGTTGCTATGATCGTATCTTTGTTGTATCCTGAGTTGGTTGAGAAATTAGTTGTTATTGATAATACTCCACATTATCAGCCTTTGGGTGAGCAATATCAACGAGATTTATTAGCCATGTGTATTATTGAAAGCCAGAGAATCGGGTTTAAAGAAGTCGATGGGAAACGTATTATAGAAAAGAAAAAGATTGATGAGGTTTTGTCTCATTATGAGCCTAACCACACGGTCAGAGAGTTTTTAATGAGTAACTTAATTACAACATCTGACCAAAGAAGACGTAAGACTATATACCCTAACAAAGAAGGATTTAGACCACCGGTAATGAATTTCTACAAACATGGAATTATAAATAATTTAGGAGGCTGGCCCCATATCTTACTGGATAATAAGTTTGTCAAGCCAGTACTTGTATTGAAGGCGAGGAACTCAGACTTTATAAAGATTCCTGATTATTTGTTTGAATTTGACAAGTATTTTGAAGATTATGAAGTGGTGGAAATTGATAGTGGACATTGGATTACCAGTGAGAACCCCATGGCGTTTGTTGATGTGACTGCAAAGTTTATTGGGGAACAAGACTAATCCACATAGTCCTATAAACATCCAAACATTAACGTTTACGTAAATTTTACAGTTTACATCATCCGTAAAAAAAAATTGAAACAAAAAAAAATTATATAAAGAGGCGACAAAAACTTCAGTTTTTTTTTTTAGTTTTGCTTGTTTTAGTTTTTTTTCGCAGTAGTAAACAACCTCATCACAAGCTACAGCAATACACAGCAGTATATACAAAGACAATGTCGGAATATTCGGGTTCATCATCGGAAGACTTGTCTCTACCAAAGGCGACAGTCCAAAAAATTATAAGCGAAATATTGCCCAAAGATATCGCAATTTCAAAAGATGCAAGAGAAGCGATAACTGAGTGCAGTATTGAATTCATAATGATATTGTCAACTCAATCGAATGATATTGCAGAAAAGGAAGCAAAGAAAACCATCGCACATGAACACGTAGTAAAAGCGTTGGAGGAATTAGATTTCCACAATTATCTCGAAATTATCAATAAGATTATCAGTGAACATAAAGAATTATTAAAAGGTAAAGAAAAGAAGAACAATAAGTTTCAAAACTCTGGATTATCAGAAGAAGAATTGTTAAGACAACAAGAAGAATTATTTAAGAAATCAAGAGACCGTTTGAACAGTCAAGTTAAGACTGAATAAATAAAAAACCTAATGACGTAATGATTGGCTTTTCTACTGGCGTTTCACTGGATACTTTTATTTCTTCGTGTGTGTGTTTTATAGATGTATTCTTTTGTATATTAACTGATGTATACTACCACTACCCCAATATTAATTCATATAATATAATGAAAATATTTAACACAATTAAAGGTATTCTCATCAATGTTCTCGTAGCATTTATCAAATTAATGATTTTATTCTTTATTGAACCTTCGTCGTTCACAGCTATGCCAGTGTTGAACTGATTGAATTGTATATTGGCTTGCTGGTCATATCGTCTTGATCCCCATCCAATTCTATTTAGAAATCTTTCTTCACTCAATACAGCAATCCCGTTGATTGTCAATACAACAACATAAAGTAATTTACCTAATCCAAACATGGTTAGCTTCTATAAGTAGGGGGGGTTCTAAGTAATGCAGTAGTTTGTAACACGGTTAAAAGTAACAGCTTTGTTGCCTTTGATTTTTTTTTCTTTTGCTTTGGTGTGTGGGTTGTTCAAAGTGTAATTCTTTTGATTGACCTCAACATGCAATTGCTTGCTTTACAGTTTACGCACCAACTGTTGTTTTGTTTTTAGTTCACTTCTGTTTACCTTTTTCAAATAATATTTACAACCACGCCTCATAGAACCTAATGCTTAGCCAGGACCAACAGATACAGCAAATACCAGCAGGTAAAGCCAGGAAGAAGGATTCGATAGAACAGTTTATTGAATCCACACAACCTTTTCTTGAAAATGGTTTATCACAGCTACGTTACATGATACTTATTGAAGGGTTGTCAGTTCCACCAGGATATGACCAGTGTCCTTATCGAGCTTACGTATGGTCAATACTCTCGCGAGCACAGTTATACCCTGTGGAGAACTATATTAACCTTTTAGCACATGCTGAAGAAACACTATCTCCTGAGCTATATGGCAAGATCAAAAACGACACGTTTCGCACATTAATGAATGATACAAAGTTCCATCTGAAAGTAAGTGAAGATACGTTGGTACGTGTGTTGTCATGTTTGGCTATTACTATGGAGAATAAGGTTGGGTACGTTCAAGGATTGAATGTTTTGTTGGCACCAATAGCATACGTATGTCATAGAAGTGAGCCACAAGCATTTTCCATTCTACATCAATTAATTACGTTTCATATTCCATTATACATTACACCCAATTTAGACGGCGTTCATACTGGATTAGCGTTGATTGATATTGTCCTTAAGATAATTGATCCTGTTTTAAGTGATTATCTCGATTCCAAATTTTTGAAACCAGAAATCTATGCGTTCCCTTCAGTGTTGACTTTATGTGCTTGCACTCCGCCATTAAACTCGGTATTGAAACTTTGGGATTTCTTATTTGCTTATGGAACACATATGAACATTCTATTCATAGTGGCACAGCTAATTATCAATAGAACTGCATTGTTAAATTCATCGCAACCCATGAAACTTTTACGAAACTTTCCAAATCTAGAACCAAATGAAATTATAAAATTAAGTTTAAGTTTTATTCCTGAATTACCTAAAAAGTTATACGACTTAATTTCAAGACATGGATATGATCCAAACGTGCCACACGAACTAAAGCAATTTAAGCAATTATAATAAACCGTGTTTATAATCTTCGTAATCATAGAATGATCCTAGCACAGTTCGGTCATTATACAGTCTACCAGCCAACCCCAAGATTGCCTTTAATGCAACATCATAGTCTTCAAATTCGATGAACACCTTACCTAACCCACGACGCGTTTCAACAAAAAAATCACCTCCGTGTTCTGGACGCGGTATTTTAATGGACACAACATTACCGAACTTCGATGCTTCTTGCTTGATATCTTGTTGAATGAATTTATAACTGGTGTCGTCATTTAGCTCTTGTAATGTTACACAATTCAATAATTGGATGACTTTCAGCTTGGAATGTGATTGAACAAATTCATTACGAACTAAAGGTTTTAATGTATCATACTCAACCAGACAAGTTTGAATATCGGTTTGATTTGGAATAATACAGGAGAAGAATGCGTTTTGAACAAATGATATGTGGCTGACTTGCTTTAAGTATGTTTGTAATTGAGGTACTTGTTTTTCGAGGGAATCCTTTTCGTCCACGGAAAACTCGACAAATACTAATCCAAGAGAATCATTTGTTCCTCGTTGAGTTAAAAACTGCATTGCTTTAAGCGGATGAACCTTTTCCAATTCCTCGCGAATTTCCTCGGATGAAATATTAGGAGATACAATTAAGGACATTTTCCTAGGGCTGTCTTTTACTGTTTCCTCTATTTTTTCACTTTGAGGTACTGGGGCATTTTGAACTAAATATTCCCTTGGTCTTGAAATTAAAAGTTTGAATTTTTCACCTTCGGGTTTCCGTTCAAGGGATTCTTGTTTATATGCATTAAATAACAACTCCATTTCATTCAAGGAATAGATAATTGTAGCGCATTCACTATTATTAAACTCAATAATAAGCACCTTGTCATCTTTTGTCTTTCTCTTTGTGTGTATATTATTATCACCTGTCAGATCAAGGTCAATAACCTTCAAATAATCATTGAAAAATTCCACGATTTTCAAATAGTCAATCTGGGTTAAGTCATTTTTGATTATTAAAGTTTTGGAATCTCTCGAATCAATAGGATCAATTTTCGAATGTTCAACTAAAATATCATCACCCGAGCTCAACCTATCTTTAATTAAACCTTCTAATTTTGTGAAATCAACAGGACGAGGGAATCCAGGAAGGGGGAATAGTCCTGAAAGTTTGGCCCTTTGTGCCGACACCTGCTCAAATCCCTTGGGTTTAACACCCCATCTAGAATCAATAACTTTAATTTCAGAAAGTGATGCGACGGATTCTAGCTCCTTTAATCTGGAGTTTACTTTCTCAAGCTCAACTTCAGGAGCTAGTTCGGTTTGTTTAGGTTGGTAATGATCTTTACCCGGCTCTCTTCTAGGTTCGTACTTTTCATATCTATCATTACTACGGGGTTGAGTGTGTCTTTGAAACCTATCCCTGTCATCGCGTTCTTGGTATTCTCGTTGGAATCTGGGTTGTTTAGGTCGATAAGATTCTCGCTGTTCATAACCTCCTTCTCTCTTGGTGCCTCTTGGAGAATCTCGGCGCTCATATCCTTGGTCTCTGCCTCGTGGTGCATCTCGATGTCTTGGGTCATACCTTGGACCATCGTGTCTTGAAAAACCATCATTCCTTACAGGAGTGTCATGCCTGTTTGTATCATACCTTGTGTCATTGCTATCACCAACAGTTCGTTCACGGCCTCTATCTCTATACTCATCTTGGCTTCTTCTCGAATATGGATTATTGGACCTAATGTCACCAGGATTGCTTCTTCTATCGGTTGACCGTCTCAGGTATTCACTCAATTGATTATTGTTAGTACTTGAACTATGGTCATCTCTTCTTCTTGAGTATGGTGTATTCGACGACGACATACTGAATGTTGTCTGATGAGTGGGCTCGCTGATTGTAAATAGAGAAAGTTGTTTTTAAGATGCGCCAGAAAATCTAAATTCTTTTTTTTTTCCTATTATTTTATACTGAGTAAATATCTAATTAATTATTTCTACTTACAATTCATCATGGTCAACATCTGGTTGGGAAGTGGATGTCGTTTCACTAGATTCTTGCGAACTAGTTGAAGATTCTCCAGATTCTTGTGAAGATTCAGTGGTGGAACTGGATTCTTCTGAAGCACTAGATCCAGACTCAGTCTTCGTCTTTGCTTCCTCTTCAGCAGATTTCGAATATTCCTTTAATAAACTTCTATATTGACGTTGTTTTTCTCTTTCAACAAGTTTGGTGAATCTGTCTTCAAGATATTCCAATCTTTCCTTATTCATATCTTCAAGATACTTGATATCTTCCTTCATTTGCTCCACACCTTTACTCAACTTATCATACAATTCAAACAAGACATTTTTACTATACTTTGCAATGTCTGAATTCAACACATTGCCAAATTCAGTAATGACTTCACGATAGGTGGCCATGTCCTTGTCGAAATTCATGATTCTATCCAGCAGCTTAAAGAACTTGTTTTTGAGTCTATCGTTTTCCTTATCAAAATCAAACGCCTTTTCTTGATACTTTTGACGAAGCTCGTTGATTTGTTGACCAAATTCCATCATGTTGGATTGAATAGACATGACGAATTTACTTCCGTCTTCGTATAATTTTTCAAGGCTAGATTTGGATAAATCGGTAGTTACCAATCTAACATAATCGACAATTTCACTGTGTTTGCCCGCAATTTCCTTGGCTTTGGCAAGGATATCATCAATGGTTGAATCGTCACTTTCAAAATCTAACCATTCGATCACTTCTCCAACGAAATCGTTATACTCGGAAATCTTGGAGTCGGTGATTTCCTTAAGTAACACTTCTTCCTTATCCTCAATGTATGATCTTAAATTATAACACTGTCCTTCTAATTCATTCTTGGCATTTTCAAATTCAGCTCGAGCCTTGTCTTGTTTGTTCAAGGAGTCAATACGTTTTAATGATTCAAACATCGAGACACGAGAAATTGAAGAAACACCGGCAATTTCAGGTTCAGGGACAACGATAGGTTGTGGGGATCTCTTTCTGGCTTTTGTTGGTTTGGTTGCAGTTGTATTTGTGACATTACCCGTCTTGATTTCAATTTCGTCATCGTCTTCCTCGGTGGTGGATTTCTTCTTATGTAATAATTTATCAAAGAAAGAATCCTTGTGTTGGGAAGCAGGGTCACGACAAACCAACGAAGCAGTATCCAAGGTAACAATCTTATTATTATCAATGTTAAATCTGGCAACCAATTCCTTAGTTTGGTCTTCGGTACACTTCAACTTGTAAGAGCCCAAATCCTTCAACTTGTAAGTCTTGATTAAGTTACCATCTTCAAAAAGCTCTACAACAGATGAGTTACCAACTTCACCCAACTTAACTTTCCTACGCCCGAGTTTAGAACCTCTTGGGAAAACACTGATAAGTTCGCCATCATCCACTTTGGCTTCATAATTGTGATAATTCTTCTCCACAAGAGTGTAACCCTTGATACCTTTTCCTTCAGTCTTGAGATCCAATCCTCGGAAAGTAGTTCCCAAAACTGAACTTTCATCGGTGTTGACCGACTTAGAAATCTTGGCTTCACCGATAATTTCAGCAATTCTCTTTTGAATAAATGGAACTCTACTTGACCCACCATTCAACACGACAGTTTGGATATTATCAACGGTTAAGTTTGTAGCTGCTAGGGCTTGTTCGATAGGCTTGCTAATTTCCTCAGCTCTTACTTCATTGGCTTCTTCAAATTCTTCTCTGGTGACATGAACTTTGAAATCCTTGTCATCGTATATCGACTCAATCATGGTTTGGTATTCCATGTTGGCAGACAACACATTCTTGGCCTTTTCGGCAACTTCAAATAATCTAGCTTGAATCTTTGGTGTCAAGTCGGAAGATCTGATGTTGAAATGAGACAATAATTTGTCAACGATGATGTCATACACTGATTCAGTCAAGAGTCTACCTCCAAATAATGGATCATATCCAAAACTTTCCATTTCCACAAGTAAAGCAGTGTCATTTCTAGATAACGAAAACACAGTGGCGGTAGTGTACCCGGCACCTACGTCATAAATCAAATGATATTTCTTCTCCTTAGGGGTATCATCATTGGCAAGTTTCTTGGTGACGTAATCTAAAGCTACCGAAGTACCTTCATCGACTAATCCCAATACGTTGGGAATGTTAGCAATGTACAAGGAATCAAGGTATGCTTGTCTAGTAGCTTGCGATGCAAATGGAGGGATAGCCACGACAATGCCATCAATCACAGGCGAGTTTTGGCCTGGGGTAGATTCAATGAGTTTGATTGCTCGTTTTTTAAATTCTTGCAAGGTCATGGCCAACAATTCTTCAACTGAAAATTGATTCTTTTCGCCCAAACCCAAATCGAATTTAATTGATCCGTTTCTTTTGGAATCGCCAATTAATTTGACTCCGGGATGGGTCTTTATATATTGTTGTGCGGTAGGATCGCTGATGTTCTTTCCTAATAATTGCTTCAAGTCTAACGCGCAGGATTGAGGGAATCTGGTGACCAAAGATCCCATTTGGGATCCGTATATACGTTCAATTCCCTGAGTGGCATTCCTTAAACAGATTCCGGAAAGATCTTTCCTTTTGCCTTCGTCAGTCAAGACAATTTCAAAATAAATATTGGGAGCAAGTATTGCAGCTTTGGAAAATTGTTGTCCATAGTCCAATCCCAAGATAGCAGCAGATATGGACGCCACCAAATATGCGAGTAAAAGAAACTTCATAGCTAGAAACAGTAACCAATGAGGAGTCTATGGGCGGGGGGTTGATGGCTGATATTGAAAAAGTACACAATTGAGTGGGAAACAGTGGTGTAGTTTGAAAAAGAAGATGGATACCACGTAAATTATTCATATGGAAGTCACTGGAAAGTTCTGTTCACGTGACTGCGCCCATTACCGCATTAGGAATTGAGTTATGGTGGCCAACTTAACACTCTGTTCTTTTTCATTGCCCAATTAGGAAGTAGAGCGACATGTGATCTCGGCCATGTGATTGCTGTCACATGCGCCGTGTCACCTGATTAGGTTCAGCCGCAAGATGTCGGATCTTTCAAACATTTTTTTTTTTTTGTTTTTGGGTCTGAGATTTCCTTCAGAATTTCAGAATGGTCCGACATGATTTAACAGATTGAGCGATGACGTTTTCTTCTTGTGTAATATTTCCCGGGACTTCCTGTCCGAGGAAACTAACTCTGCATGCCCCATGCCCCTAACTTTGACTAGTTATATCCAAGTTTTAGCCAAGTATGTCACTTGCAAGGTGCACTCTACGTCACGTGTACTTCTATTGTTTCTTATCTCTACTTTACTGTCTTTATCGCCGGATTGTAAACTATTCCAGACATAGCTAATTTCTGTCGAAAATGTCTGACCGAACCTGATTCGGACCCACGCCATTTGATGCCGTAACTAAAAAAAAAATGTCTCTTCCCATTAATTTTTTTTTTTTAATTTTAAAACAAAAGCCTTGATATCTCTTCTTTCATTACAAGTGTCAACTCCCCTGTATAACTGCTACATTCAACATGTCCGACGAAGAAGTCAATAAGATGTACATCTCGTACAACAACATCCATCAATTATGTCAAGAACAAGCTGACAAGATAAAACAATTCAAACCAGACTTAATCATCGCCATTGGTGGTGGTGGGTTCATCCCAGCCAGAATGTTGCGTTCTTTCTTGAAGGAACCAGGACAGCCAAACGTCAGAATCATGGCCATCATCTTGTCCTTGTATGAAGAAGTCTCCGCCGAAGACGGTGGTGTTGACGTCATTGGCCATCAAGTCGTTAGAACCCAATGGATTGACTACAATCAATCTAAGGTCGATTTAGTCGGCAAGAACGTGTTGATTATAGATGAAGTCGACGATACCAGAACTACTTTACACTATGCCGTCTCGGAATTGAAGAAGGATGTTGCTGAACAAGCCAAGGCTAAAGGTGCTGATCCAAATGCTACCAAGTTTGGTATCTTTGTATTACATGACAAGCAAAAACCAAAAAAGGCAGATTTACCGGATGAAATCATGAAGACTGGTAACTATTTCGCCGCTAGAACTGTTCCCGATGCTTGGATTGCTTATCCGTGGGAATCCACCGATATTGTTTATCACCAAAAGAGAGCTGAAGAACAAGGTAATGATGTGTTTTTGCCATCTACTACCGAGTAAGAGCTGTATTTATTTAAATAGATAGTAGTGTATACATTGGCATATCTATACAGTCTGTTAAGGGGTTAATCAATTTCAATAATTTCCGGGGGACTTCTTGAATGGTTCTTCAAGGGTGGGAATGTGGTTGATTTATCTTTGCGTTTCTTGCTTTGTCTCAATGATTGACCAGCGCCCGAAAAGGCACCCCCTTTGTTGGGTTCTTCCTGTGTGCTATTGACAACTTCTTCCTTGGGCAATACCACGGGGAACCCAAAGAATAATTGATTGTCAGGCAAGTGTAATGGGGCTGGCGGGGCATTAGGATCTAAATCTTCCACATTCAAAGATTTGGGTTCTTCTATAGCCTTGCCCGATAACTTTTGTCCTCCAGTTTTAAACCCATTGGAAGCTTCTGCCACGATGTTAGCATAATTGATAGATTTGGCCATAGTGGCGGCACCTGCACCCCTGCTTACACTAGCAGGATCAAGAGGTGTGCTTGGTTTATTGACTGCCTTTGGCTTGTATTCTGGTTCCACGTATCCTACTGGAGGCGCAAAGTCGGTTTCCAAATCTGTTTCAACCACACATATACCCTGACTATCGGTGTCGGGCTTTACTTCTAGGACCTTAATCCCGTATATAGAGTCATTATAATTGATTTCAATGATGTCATTCACCGTCAAGGTCGAGAACTTTCTCAAGACATTCTCCAACACGGCTCTGGGGTCGGATATATCCAAGAAATCCACCGATTGCGGCTCAATCTTGACGAATTTCCCCAATTGCAAATCACAATTGGAGATCTTGATAAGCGAACCCGGGTTCAACTTCAATGTAGCCATCATCCATTGTGGAATGTAGCACCTTCCTTCTTCCGCCACAAACTCCAACACCCCACTATGAGTAGTCACTCCAGCGGACTCGTTGCGCAATTCGAACAACATGGGGTATCTGATGTGCAACATGGTCAATTTGTTCAATGCAGAAGGGGGTAAGAAGATTTTGCCTCCATAATTTGCGTCATCTTTTCGAATCAAGTCAGGCATCATTGCTATAGGATAACATCTAAAGAACTCTTCAAATTTGTTATTGCCGTAAGACCCACCACCGAAGATGTTACTTCCGAATCCTGAAAACATGGTGAATTACTTTCTTTCTCTCTCTTTGTATGATCAATTGCCTCCAGGACTGATGTTTGCTGTAGTAACAACTCTTTTGGATATTCGCCATCAAACCTTTTCCTGTTGTCCCAACAAAAAAAAAAAAAAAAATTACAAACCTAGCCAGTATACGCAAATTGGTAGCGTGTTTTCCGCTATTTACCCTATATACTTTTAGTTATGTTCCCTGGTGATATTAATCAAATGCTCAATCAACTCCTTCTTGCTATCTTCAATACCGCCAAACAACACTTGATGCTTGCGTGAATCGTGCTGTTGCATAGACAAGAACGCAGAAGTAAACTCTTGGAACACATTGACTTCATCGATCGGAGTTTGTTTCATGGCTTCCAATTCCGCTTCGTCAGCTTCTAAATCGTCTTCGTAATCTACCCCTTCATAGTCGTCTTCCTCGTCGTCTTCCCCAGTAGCTCCCAATTGTGGCTGTTTGCTGCTTGATTCTTGCGCAAGGATCAAGTTCTTGGCCTTGATGGCATTAGGCAACGCGGCAATGTTGCCCAAGAGTAAATCGACAGTTTCGCCAACCAAATCCTCAGGGATCATCGTGATGGCTTGGCTATTGACTAATGACAAGCTGGCCAATATTTGCAATTTGCATCCGTAGACACTTTGGAAATCATCACTGTGTCTCAACCATAATTTGTAAAAACTAGCGAGGAATTGCTTCGAGGTGAGGAATTGCACCGTGGTGACTGGATCAATGTAGATGGATGCAAACAACACACGAAGGATAGATAAATGATGCAACATGTATCCGTCAAACATGTTTTCCGATTCAAGTTTACTGAAAATATCAAAGATCTCCGGCAAGAATGCTTGTAAGAAAGGAACAAACCTTGGGCCCATAGCCAAGATGGTCAATTCGATATCTTCAAATGCAGAATGGGCAAACAATGGATCCAAATCGTCAGACTTGAGCATGTTGAAACAGACATTCAAGAATGATTGCACGTATGGACTGTCCATGGTGGCTTTGGTGAACCCATAATTTATAATTCCTTCAAAGAATGGTTGGAAGAAACTGAAATATTCAAAGGCATAAGTTTCAAATGATTCAATCACCACTTGGAAAATCAGCCACATGGTTGGTGAAACATCATGAGAACTAAACAACAATGATTCTAAGATTTCAATGGTTTCTGTCAAGAAATTCACCATGGCATTTTCCAACACGACTTTGATCATATTTTCAAGTACTGGTTCAAGAGAAACACCAACTTTAGGAGAATGAATCATGGCAATGATCAAGGTAGTCAATGTACTTAAAATACTAGCAGCTTGATACTCCTTATCTTCAATGTCGCCACCCGTGTTTTCCAAAATCTCGGCTGCTAATCTCATAAATTGGTCCACTAATTGAGTAGCCAATTCCACAGCATATGGTTCCAAGTCCTTGGCAAACTTTTGCACAAATGTATCCATAACATTAGTCAAGATGTCGCTTTCAAACTTCTTGGACTTTTCCAACAAGTTACCCATTAATTGTGGTGCTTGCTTAGAGACATGTTCAGCAACAAGATCTTCTTCGACCAAAGTACACAAGGCGTCGGCAGCAGTCAATTGAATTGGGAATTGGTCGTCGTTAGAGAAACATGAAACAACACCTTGGAAAATGTCTTGCAAGATGGCCATATCGGTATACTTGTGAGTATTGAAAATAGCCAAAGTATCACAAGCTCTAGCAGTCAACCATGGAGTTTTGGCTGATGATTCTGGCAATAATTCCGGATAGACAAACGTGTGCAAGACTTTGTCAACTTGTCCGCAAATGGGCGACAACTTAACATCTAATTTGTATGAAACGGTAGATAAGATTCTGAATGCACCTTCGGTCTTCATGGCGATTTCCAAATTGTTTCTGTCGTTACCTCTCAAACTCAATATTTCGTTAATGATATTTAAAACTAAGTTAATCGTCAGTCTAAACTTCTTGGAAGCAATTCTGTAAATAAAGTTGATCGAAGCAACATCGGCAGTGTTGCTTTCTCTATTGATGTCAAAGAATCGTCTAATGTATTCTTCCGGTTCGTCTTCGTATAACTCTATGGTTTCCTCATTGGCAGAAAGAGTAGGCATGAGGACATGTCTTATAATGGCATCCAATTTATCACTGATTAAATCCCAGGCAGGAGTTTCTATCAATTGTTCCAAGAATGAAATCAAATGAAACAAGGAGGCTTCGCTCAACCACACGGTTTTAGTTGACCAGTTCTCGATAACTTTCCAATAAACTGATAATATTTCGGGCACGAAATTCGACAAGAAATTTTGGGCAAACTGACTGGTCTTCTTTTCCTTGGTGATTACACCACCTCCGTGTCTGCTCAATAATCTGTGGAAGTTTCCAAAGCACCACTTGATGGTCTTGATTCTTGGATGCAAGGTTCTTTGGTCGGCGTCTTCATCCAATATTTCCTGCGGTAATGGCTTATTGATGATCACAATGTGGATCTGACACCATTGTCCCAACTTATTCATGTCTTGGAAGTAAGTGGGCATGGCGGAATATGTAGTAAACTTGAATGTCTTGATGATAAGATAAAGCATTTCATCGGCGATTCTGTCATCGCTTTGGAGTAACTTATTAGTCAACGATTCGAGCAAGGGGAATATCTCGTTGGTGATTTCCTCCAATACCGGGTTTGAACCGGTTTCCAAACCGGCCCATCTATAATTCTTGGTGTACTCGTACACACAAATCAAGGCGGTGTACACACGGTCGACATCGTGGACATCCTTCAACAAGTCCTTGATTATCAAAGTCAACTCCTCCCACTTCTCGGAACTCAAGATTGAATTCAACGCCGTGGCTAACTGTATTCTAATTTGTGTGTTTTTGTAGCTCTTGAACAAGGTAGTAATCAACTTCTCCTTGATATCCCCCTTTTCATTGTCACGAATGCAAATGGGGGAAGGTGCTTTGTTTTCCGGCTGCAACCAGTAGTTAACCACACGGTTTTTGAAGAAAATAGCAGCAGAGATCTTGATGCCTAGCGGAATGTCGGCTTCCACGATCAAATCAAGCAAGTAGGCGGTGAACCCCGGCTGTTGTTCAAAGGTGTGCAATTCCGCCTCACTTTGTTTTCTAACCTGCGGATTGGCATCCAATGTGCCGCCAAGGGCTTTAAGTAACGTTCCTTTGTCCATATTGGAATTAATGTCTATAGAGAGAATCGTAATTCTCTTTAACGTGTGTGTGAGTTTCGCTAAGTGAGAGATGGTAAGGGCATTGGCCTAAAAAAATTTTTTTCGGAATTTTAACACGAAAAATCGATTAAGGCGAGTCACGTGATTGGTGCCACTCGAGGCGCGGCGCAGGTCCCACCCCCCACCCCCTCTACCATACCAACGGAATCTTTTTGCAGCAACTACACTGGCAGTTCTAAGCAAAGTACTACATTCGTGTTCTATATAAAATCGTTAATCGTTAACCCCTAAACCTTATGTCTATGTTTCCACATTAATACACTAGTAACAATCAATGCAATGCCCGATAACACCATCCCCAACTCAAATGAACCCTGGTAACATCCGTTCCCCTTGTAGCAATGGCCAGTATTTGGATCCGAATTGCCATCGTAAATCCACCCGAAATACTTGTTGAGTATAAATAACGTCACGACACTTCCCGTGCATATTAATCCCCAGTTGGTAGAAAATGTCTTTGTTCCAAACAGATCAGCCACTATGGCCGGGTATGTTCCGAATATCAAGCCATAGCAAGATCCCATCACCCCCAGGGAGATAGTTATCCATACGTGACTTGACACATTGAGTACTAGTATGAGCTGACCCAAGCACTGGAATATGATGGTGACAAACACAATCCAGAGACGTTGGAACTTGTGCTTGTGGATGAAATCACTGAGGAATCCCGCAACTAGTCTCCCAGAGAAACTGGCGATGGATATAATTGACACTTGAATTGCTTGAAGCTTGGCAGCGTCAGGGTGAATTGGCGCATAATCACCTCCCCGTTTATCTTCGTGTCTGTTGTAATAGTATTGGGCAGTTACTATGAATCCCACACTGTAAATGTACATTTGTCCGATCCCACTTGTGATTGCGGCAATGAAATAAAGCGTGAGGAATTCTTTGTCGACAATACGTTGCTTAATGGCTTCCCATTGACCCGATGACTTCTTTTTAGTGGAAGGTCTCAAGTTTGCTTGACTTGGCTTTCTCGATGACGATTGAATGGAATTAGGCAACATTGCTTGTTGTTGCTGTTGCTGTTGTTGTTCATAGATTGAGTTTGACCTTGACAGTTCTGCAAAGCTGGAAGCTTCTGAATCCTTGGGTGTACGTTCACCAATCCCCCAGAATGAGAATGACCCAGCTAAGGAATTGGTTCTAGCCATTGGTGGAGGTTCGATTGATTGGTCAGTGAGCAATGTCAATTCACCGTCAACGGGAATATACCCGTTTGAAGCAACCGCTTCCTCTTCTTCTTCATCTTCCTCATCATGGTAAACATGAATGAAGAACGAACCAACAAAAGTAACTACCCCGCAAAAGAATGCCAAAAACTCAATCAATCCACCAGTGTTGCCATTATAAAACTTGACCGATATAACTGAAAACACAGTAGCGGCAAACCCATAAGCACTCACGGGAATAGCACCAGCGGTCCCTCTATTCTTGGGAAAATTAGCTTGCGATGCCTTTAGCGTCGCAAAATAACAAGTGATTGATCCAAATCCAGCCAAGCCCATACACAAACAAATCAACAACAAACTGTGATAGCGATTGAGGTAAATATTGTAAATCAGGAAATAGCTGACAAATATGAATAAGGACCCCATGCAGATTGACACTTGTGGGCCATACTTGTCAATGATTAACCCAGCGGGGAACCCACCAATCCCAGATCCCAAAGTCATGCAAAGCGCGATAGTAGCGGAGTCGGACGTGGTGAGTCCTACTCGTTTGACTAGTTGTGGGGAATAGGCACCATAAAAGTATAATGTTCCTGATGCAAGTGCCACTAATATTGACACAAATAACGCAATTAACCGTGGTACGCGGTGTGGATTGTGTTTGTGAGTGGATAAGGATTCATCCACATCAATGGGTATAACTTCTGGTGGATCGTCGTTCATTGATTGGTATGTCATGTACTGTAAGTGAATGCAGGTGTGAATCTGGGCTAAAAGTTGGTTGTTGTCGTTTGCTTATCTTTGAAATTACGTCAAGAGTGAGGGAGTGACGTCAAAAAAGGTTGATAAGCAAAAGTTGTTTCTTTTTTTTTTTTTTCTGGTTTGTTCTTTAGTGGTGGTGCAGAAATCGAACTAAGTGAGATCTTGCCCACGTGACAGGTGGTATCCAGTGCACTATTTACTTGGTGCTAGCCTAGAGCAAGTACAAGATGGTGTAGGTGGTATAGCATAGGTGTAGTCTGCCGTACCTGGATATTCTGGAAGTTTTTGTTTGTTCAACTGTTGTGTAAATCAGCTACTAATTTGTCTCCTTTTGAGGAAATTTTCTTGAAATTTCCACCAAATTTGTATCACTAGTAAGGAAACAACTCACTGACGTAACAAAGTCTAAAATTAGGAGCATTTAAATTAGATCTATTACATACATTACGTATGAGGTCTAAAATAATCGACTCATATCGTGCAACTTTTTTATGAATGACGGTGTATTGTGAAATAATAATTTTTGTCGACATGTTAGCACACATCTCGTATTCCTTTACATTTCTATGTGCGACACCTAACTTGATTGACACACAACGTGATACATCACCAATATACCCATCCTGAAACCACAGCCTTCCACCATTATATACGGGTATTGGCGGAGGTGTATTCAATTTGCATCCAAATAAATTGGTGACTTGCACGACCATAAAAATAAATTTCTTCTCTTCTCGAATATAATCATCGTTTTTCTTTTTAAAAAAAATTAACTAGTAACTTTGCATGCTGTAGCCGACAACAATATGACCACCATCACTGAAATAAAAGGGTATCACATATTACCTATAACCCTTCCAAACGCCCACTCTACCCACTACATATATTTCAAAAAACACGATGCCAAACAAGCCACCAGTAATAGATCCCTCTTCATATTCAATTTACCAATATCCACCAATATAACCACCTTGAAGAAATACTTTCAAGATGTCGCTATTGGAGCCACTATTGAATCATTCACTCCTTCGTTATTGACTGACCATCCGGAAGACATCTGGATAAGTCTAACCAAATTAACCTCGGATTTAGAGTTGGCTAACGGCGATAGCGAAGAGGCCAGCGCCAAGCTTCCAAAGAACTGTGGAATTGTTACATTCATCGACAAAGCTGCATTCCAACTTGCATTCAACGCATTAAAGAAGTTGTCCAGTAATTCCACTGCTTCCAACTGGCCATTAATCACATTTAACTCGAACTATTACTTGCAAAAATACCAGAATCAAGTGTTGGACATTGAAGAATTGTCCGAATATGTGTCGCAATCATTAGTTGAGTTTGACAGAGCCGAAAAAGAATCCATGGAACAATTACAACAACAAACACAACTCGTGGACGAAGATGGGTTCACCTTGGTCGTGGGCAGTCATAGAAAGACAAAGGCCGGTATAATGGGTAAACAGAAACTCGCAGCTACTGTAGAAGTAGAAAAGGCCAAGGCCAAGATGAAGAAGAAGGAAAAGGAAGATTTCTATAGATTCCAATTGAGACAAAAGAAGAAGGAAGAGATGAATGAATTGTTACAGAAGTTCAAGTTAGACCAAGAAAGAGTAAGAGTTATGAGAGAAAAGAAGAGATTTAGACCGTATTAGTTATACTTGTATATTTATTTATTAATAGAATATTCCTGTCATAGTCGTACCTTACCGTACCCAACATCCACTGTACCTCACAGATTTTCCACCCCCTCCCCCCCTCCTCCTGCGATGCGGCTCATAAAATTCAATATCAAAACTGTTCCATTCTTCTCCAACCCACAGTAGGAGACGCACACACAATGTCACCACTGTTCGGCAATGGCAAGCTAATCAATCAGATTCATAAACATTACATAGAAACAAACTTTCCCGCAGAAAACCCTCATAGTTTTCAAATACTTTCCACAATAAGATATGATCCAAAGTTAACAGAACACCCACCACAAACATATCAAGACGTCAGTCCAGACAACTTCTTCTTGCTTCCTGAACACGTCGAAAGATTAAAATTCACATTGAACTATTTCCATCTTCAATTTAAAACAACAATTCATTTTGAAATTACCAAAGAGCACCTCGTCCAAAACATAGTCCAAGTTATGAAAAATGACGCCAAATCAGTCAACAAACCTTACAAGATTCGAGGATTGTTTGATCTTGATGGAAAGGCAACCATCGAAGTTCATGATACTCCAGCACGCGAGAATCTATTGGATGGATTGACACAAGAACAACCGAGCTACGACGTGTACCTTGACACTCAAGCTACTTTGATATCTCCATTCACGTCATTCAAAACTACAAAGAGAGAAGTTTACAGCCAAGCCAGAAACAGACGTTTACCAGGTTTGAATCCAGGCAAGGAAGAGGTTTTATTGTACAACACACAGAATCATGTCATGGAAGGCTCTATAACCAACGTTGCCATCAAGCGAGTCTCCGATGGGAAGTGGATAACACCTTTGTTAAGTTCAGGCTGTCTCTGTGGAGTCACTCGACACTTTCTATTACGTAAGGGCTTCATTGAAGAAGATGTTATTAATCTTGAAATGCTAGTGCCAGGGATGGAAATTTTGTTATTCAATGGAATAATGGGTGTAGTAAAAGGGGTTATTCTAGGATAATCTATATACACACTATTTAAGCAACTGGTTAATTTCCTCATCGGTATAGCCCAATATATACAAAACATCTTGTAAGCTATCAGTATTCAAACAAGCAGGAGCTTCCAATTGAACCTTTGGTTTGGCGTTCCAGGCAATTCCAAACCCACCAGTTCTCATCATTTTCAAATCGTTAGCACCATCACCGACAGCAACAGCATCCTTGGGGTCAATACCATGTTTACCGGCGATTTCCAAGAGTAATTCGGCTTTCCTGTCTCCATTGACAATAGTGCCGATTGTAGTACCATCCAATCTTTTGTGCTCGTCCACACCCAAAGTGTTAGCATAGGCGTAATCCAATCCTAATTCTCCTTTGACGTACTCGGCCAATGGAATAAATCCACCAGACAAGACAGCCATGGTGACTCCTAACCTTTTCAATGCCTTGGTCAATTCACGCACACCTTTAGTAATGACAATCTTTTCCTTCAACTCCTCCCAGAGGTTAGTAGCATCAATGCCCTTCAACAATGCCACACGTTCAGCCAAACTCTGATTAAAGTCCAACTCCCCGTTCATAGCCCTAGTGGTGATTTCGGCAACCTTATCTTCGATATCGGCGTACGCTGCGATTAACTCAATGACTTCTTGGTAAATCAAGGTTGAATCCATGTCAAACACAAAGAGTTTCTTGTTTTGACGAGTGGCACTAGGTTGGATGATTATATCGTATGGTCGGCCTGTGCTTGATGAAAACGTCTTAATGGTAGATCTAGCTTTGTTGAGGTCAGATATGTCAAAGTAGAAATCATGGGCACGTGGTGAAAGTCTCTTATCGGTGTATGATTCAATTGACAATTGGTCAATTAACAATGTATGGGTAATTTCATCAAGAACAACTTGAGAAAGGGTATGGAAATGCGATATTACCGTGAGTGTAGTAGACATGGTGTTTGAATAGTGGACTAACAAGAGTCAAATTTAGAGTTTTGAAAATTTTCTAAATTGAGTCACACCAGTCAGAAAAGATACGAGAAGGAAAAAAGAAAAAAAAAAAAGAAACTTTTATGACTGCAAAAAATTTCATATCCTATTTGAAACCTATAAACCCTAATTCCTACCAAAAATGCAAGTAATAAAGCTATACCATAGACTCTTCCATCCTTAAATCATACTCGCTTAATCCAATCTTTGATCCTAACTTCTTGAAATTCTTCATGTAATTCTCATGCTTCTTGTCCCCGATTTCATTCATCTTGGGCCAATAGACATCATGAATATATTCAAAGTCTAAAATCCCATTAAACTCCTTAGATAACTGTTCCTTAGGAACAAAGTTTTCAAAAGGTTGATCGTAGATGGTTTTCAGTCTGGTGTATGGATCAATAAATGGACCGACAACTTTGAAAAACGTATATCCAATCCAAGGAATATTAGTGAATAATCCACGACCTAATCTTTCCGGATAGTGATTTTGTAAAATATGCAAAACTTGTTTGGAAATAGACAACGAAGGGAACTTGGAAGAAAGATTCATATGTGCTGGTGCTGCTTGGAAATCAATCAATAATGCTAAGCCATCTTGTCCCGGTGGCATATATTGAATAACACGTTCCAACATAAACACTAAATGCTGGACCTGTTTCATGCTTGCAGATGTGTTTTGATACCCATTCCTCAAATATAAACATGGTCTGTTATCATTATCATACCCGACAATTAATTGCTTACCGGTTTCATTTTCGTGGGCTACTTTGTCAGCGGTAATGAGTTTAGCGGGATCGGTGTGGTCTGGTATATTCACGACACCAAAGGTTCTTCTCCATACCATGGTTTCTTCTATTCTCTTTATAGCGGCATCCACTTTCCACTTGGTGGCTCTCAAGTACCGAAGGAAACATTCTTTGGTCAACCAGGCTAATTCTTCGTCTAAAATAGGGTGGGTTTTTGCGTCGTGCAGGTCGTCAACTGGGATCTCCTTGGTTATATATTCTTCAAAGTGTGACAATACCTGATTGTATTTATCCCATTGCTCATCAGTGAGATCGAAAACGGGAGGTTTTACTGGGTTGACTGGTTTTTCAAATGGGGTGTGACATTTAATGTAACCTTTTTTAGTAGTGGTACTACTGGTAGTTTGTGTAGTAACAGAAGTGGCATTTGAAGCTATGGACACCGAGTCAGTGAAACATTGGCTACTGTCACTCAGCTCTTCAGTTTCTCTTCTTTTTAAGAAGTTCATTACCATTGTTTCTATATGTGTTTGTTCTTAAAATTGAAAGAAACGGTTACTTTTTTAATTTTTTTTTACCCGCTGGTAGAGTCCACCGTTCTTAAATCGTTTTTCTTTTTTTCGTTTTTTTTTTCTTCTTCTTCTTCTCCGTGCTGTGTTTTTTTCTCTTGGCCCGAAAACGCAATTTGAACGCGTAGGCAATATCTACCACATTTCAGCAATACCACCCCATTTGGAAATCTACTACCAAGATGTCGGTGCAGATCACTAATAAATCTTCATTCCAAGAAGCTCCGTTTACAGAGGACTACATAACAACGTTGATTACCGACAATGTTGCCCTCCCTTCCAAACAACTAATTGCCAAAATCGGAGAAGTATTGTCTCACAAATCATCAAAACATAAATTCATAGTGCAATACACAAATGTTTCAAATGTCAATTCGGATTTAAGCATCGAGTCCAATTTTGCCTCGGTGTGGGACTTAACTAAAGATGGATGCATTACTGCGAAAGTCACTAACGAAGACTCGGATATTATAATATTAGTTACTATATACTGGTTATATGTATGAAATTCTAAGACAACATATTCAAAAGCATTTCTAATTCCTCGTTAAATACCAACATCGGTTCAGTGTTTGCGCTGATAGTTTCAAGATGTTTCTGTAATGACTCAAGAATTGGCTTGATTTCTTCATCTTTGTCAGGATTGAACAGAGATGAGGATGTACCGGATGTTGCTAAATTTAGATCAACATCAGGTTTAATTTCTTCATCCAATCCCAATTCTTCCCGTTGTGTATACATTTGATGTCGCAATTTAGCCTCTTTTCCGTTGGTAGCTCTTGTCAACTCGGACAAGTATTTCTTATCCAGTTCATATATCATCTTAGTTTCATGGTAATACTTTTCCAAATCCTGTAATTGTTTGAGTTCAGCCAGCAAACACGTTTCCAAGAATTGTTTCCTTTCCAACACCTTATCATAGTTAAACACATCCTTGATTGTGCCTTTATTATTGGGGAACATGGTGCTAGGTAAAGGAACTTTGGTTACTCGTAATCTAGATTTAAACGATTCGAGATTACTAGGATTGAGCCATGCGTTGGTAAGGATTTTGTTAGCTAGCTTCATCTTCTCGTTCATATTCCCTTCGGAATCAAGACTTCCTAATCTTTCTAATGTTTTGGAAAGGGCTAGGTTCAAGATGTTGTCAAAAGATTTGGCATTGACATCATCCAAGGGTTGCCAGAACTTGTCGATAAATTTCCCAGTTATTCGTTTGGTATTGTTTGACATTTTGAATTCCGATGGATCTATGATGGTTAACTTGTCAACATCTATATTACGTTTCTTTCTTGGTGGTTCATTGGGTGACTCTTGATCTGACTCTTGTTGTTTGTTTGCTTCCCCGGTTTTATCCAGCTGCCGATTATGCGGTGGAGCTTCTGGTTGCTCTGTTGGTCTATTCTCTTTTCCTTCTGTCGGTTGCTCTCTACTTTCTTCTTCTATTGGAGTATCCTCCAAATCCATTTTTTGGTTTTGTTGTATTTCTAGTTCAGTTGCCCCAGGAATGTTTTCTGTATCCAGTTCTTGTAATTGCTTTGCGTCTTGTTCTAAGTCAGCTTGTTTTATTTTGGATATGTCATCAGTAACTTCGACAACTTCGGTAGTTGCAACTCCTAGTTCTTTCCGGATAGTCTCGCTTTCTTCGGTCGGTATTTCTGACAGGACTACTTCTGGATCGTTTATGTTTGGGGTTTCAGTTGAAGGGTCCTGTTGTGAAGTAGGTATTTCTGAGGAATCATCCACATTTGACGGTATATACTCACTAGTTTCAATTTGTAACCCCTCTGACACAGATTCACTTGTCACCGTATTTGTATTACTTTCGTCAATGCTACTCATGTTGTTAGCTAATTGGCAACAAAGAAATAAATTTACAACTGTTTATATTTTTTTTGTATTTATTTGCGCGCGTTTTGGTTTTGGAATTTGGTTGCTAAACTTTACTACCCTTGTTGCCAAACTGTGTCATGAACTCTATTGTTTGTTGGAAACTTGAGTAATTATTTGCTGGCGATGTCCATTACATAAGTGTGGGGTTGTTTGAGATAGTATTATCGTTGAAAAGAAGGGTTGAGATGGTGTTTCTTCTTCTTCTTCCAATTTTCCTAAAAATTGGCAGGAAAACTAGAAACTTAATAAACTTCTAAGAAACATCACTAACTATTGCAAATAACATAAAATAAAACATATTAATCTAATATACAATCAAATGAACTTTTCTCCTAAGCATACAATGTTGTTTTAGCCATTATTGTCCATCAGTGCTACCTATCTCCTTTAGATCTCCTCCACTTATATCTGCATACCAAATCCATCGCTAAAAAAAAAAAAAAGTTTAAATATGATCTTACTCCAGTCACAATAAAAACCACCACCCACACACAATGGCCAAATCCGCCTGGTTTCGTGGTCCAGTATGTGGTACCGACAACTGTCGATCACGACTATATAGATCCACTGATGGGTTAACCATCTGTCAGTTTGGGCATGTTCTTGAAGGTGCAGTGGAATTCAACGATGATCAAGACCAAGCTATCGTGTCCACCCGAAGAATAAATGCTGCTGTGACCATGGATTCCCGTGGTTCATATGCTAGTAGTCAACCTTTGGGAATGTCACAGTCTCAAATTTCGACTCAACGTGAAAGTGAACGATTATTTGGAAATGAAGCTGTGGTGTTGTATTATCGATGTTTGCAATTGTTACTAAAACATGAATTGAATGTTTTTGTCGGGTTGTTTTGCTCGGAAAGTACAATGAAAGATTTGACTTGTTTGGTTAAAAAGAACTGGATAGATGTGTTGGAGAGTGTTCATCATCATGAAAAGGAAAATGATCACAAGGAAGAGGATGTTCACGATGAAGAAACCGAGTTAAAAGATATGCATATTGACACACTAGATATAATAGTGATAATTTACGTATCTGCACTACAATTACGAGCGTATCTGATATACACCACTGATATTTTAGAGAATATTTTCACTAATCAAATACCGTATGCCCGTACTTTACATTTAATTCCTAAGGAAATGTTGGATAAATTACCTACCGTATTTCATAACAGATTACAACCATATGCCCTCCCAACAAGAAATCAAATCTACAAGAAAATTAAGAATACATTAAATCGAATTATGAGCAAATCGGAGTTTGTCATGCCCATAAGTTTCTATTTCCCATTGATATTCAGAACATACTCGGAAACGTTATTACTACCCAATGCACCAGATCTATTCTTGATCATGTATAAATTACTCCAAAAACTCGACATCACCCAATTGGAAATCAAGTACAAGTCGAAAACACAGACATATATGCAAAGCATTCCCGAGGTATACCTTTCGATGCTAATGATATTTATCACAAAACTTTCATTTTATAACAAGACAAACAACTTCCTGTTGAGGGATTGGTTAACACAGTTAAATAATCATCCAGCGGGAAGTGATACTAATTTTGTTCAAGATTCCAATGTATTAGACTGGTCTGATTCGAAAGTTGAAAATTATTGTGATTGGATTTATGATTGTGTCATTCCCAAGAAACATAAATTGAATGAAGCAAATCAACAGAAATTAACCACTTTAGAGAAGAGGTTGTTTCTGATTTTCAAGTTGGATAATGATGATCTAAGTAATAGTCAGCAAAATGGAAGTAAACCGTCTGAAGCCAATGCAGACTTGCATGACATCGTAACTAAACTTGCCTCGACTGCCTCGGAAAACTTGTCAAACGAAGACTTTACTCAACTTGACGAAACATTATTCCTGATATTTTCCCATTTTTTGGGCTTAGATAAAGACGATTTAATCAGGTGTTACGATACGATTACTAATGATTTAAGAAAAAAAACAAAATAAGTATTATTTAGCAATATGCTTCTCGGGATTATGAATTGCCGTTGATAACCGGCGTTAAAGCCTCCAGGCTGCCCCCAACATTTCAAAATGTGACACAAAAATATTTTTTTTCTATAATCCGGACTTTAGAACTACAAGGCACATTTTTTAAGCAGTTCTGCTTTCGAAGATAATTAATCTTGCATCGGCGGTAATGAGACAACTTTTAGCATATCCAAGGGGGGAGGGAGGGTGTTCGCCTCATGGGTATAACTTGGAATCTGGTACAAAAGTACTAAAGAGGCAGTGCTAAACCTGATATGATACCCGTGAAAACCGCGATCTGAAAAAAAAAGATCATGTAGAGAGCCTTACGCAATCGGTGGGGCATTTGCGTGGGGCAAAATCATGCACGAACAAACGATCACCACTCGGTATTTAGTAATTGTAAATCTAGAATTAATACACGATTTGATGGACATTATGTTAATTAACGGCTAGTATGCGAGACTCTGTAAGCGAGACTACGAAGGGGGGTTACGACCCGGAGTTTGCCTATGCGGATATATGAACAATTATTCCGCCATTATGAACAATACACATGAATTAGACCGATTTTAAACGTGGTAGAAAAAAAAACAATTCCGGATATTGGAACCATCTATAATGCTGAGTAATTTTTTTTTAGGGAGTTTCTTTTTCAATTTCTGAGGGGGGTGACCTCATGACAATGGAAAAAATTTAGATTTTTCCCCACAGAATTACAGTATTTTCGAGGCCTGAGCAACCAATTGCCGTAAAGAAACATGGCCGAATTTTTATTATTTAATGTGTGATTATTGATATGCTTGTTGGGTAAAAAGTGGAGTAAAAACTATATTAACCCCCTTTTCCAATTAGTATATAAACCCTTGGAATTTCCCCAGAAATTGATTTTCAGATTTCCCATTTTATTACTATCAATTCATATCTCTACAACATGAGCAAATCTCAATTACCTTTAACTGTTAAGCTTACTTTACCAACCGGTGTCACTTACGAACAACCAGTCGGGTTATTCATCAATAACGAATTCGTCTACCCAAAGCAAAAGAAGACATTTGAAGTTGTGTCTCCATCCACCGAAGAAGTGATTACTGAAGTTTACGAAGCTCTCCAAGAAGATGTTGAAACTGCTGTTGTTGCTGCTGAAGAAGCATACAAGTCCAGCTGGTCCACTGGTCCTCCAACCGTCAGAATGAGTGTCTTATTGAAATTGGCTGATTTGATTGAAGCTGATGCTGAAATTATTGCTGCCATTGAATCATACGACAATGGTAAGTCTTTGCAAAATGCCCGTGGAGATGTCGCTTTGACTGCTGCTTACTTCAGATCTTGTGCTGGTTGGGCTGACAAGTTTATGGGTACTGTTATCGAAACTGGTGACACCCATTTCAACTACACTAGAAGAGAACCAATTGGTGTCTGTGGGCAAATTATTCCATGGAACTTCCCATTATTGATGGCTTCTTGGAAGTTGGGTCCAGTTATCGCTACTGGTTGTACTACTGTTTTGAAGACTGCTGAATCTACCCCATTATCTGCTTTATATTTGGCTACTTTGTTGGTTAAGGCTGGTTTACCAAAGGGTGCCGTCAACATTATCAGTGGTTTCGGTCCAACTGCCGGTTCTGCCATTGCTTCTCATCCAAGAATTAATAAGGTTGCCTTCACTGGTTCCACCGCTACTGGTAGAATTATCATGAAGGCTGCTGCTGATTCCAACTTGAAGAAGGTCACTTTGGAATTAGGTGGTAAGTCTCCAAATATCGTTTTCAATGATGCTGACTTGGATCAAACTATTGGTCATTTGATTACTGCTATTTTCTACAATTCTGGTGAAGTTTGTTGTGCAGGATCTCGTGTTTTGATCCAATCTGGTATCTACGACGAAGTTGTTAAGAAGTTCAAGGTTGCTGCTGAATCTGTCAAAACTGGTAATCCATTTGAAGAATCTACATTTATGGGTGCCCAAGCTTCTGAAATTCAATTATCTAAGATTTTAAAGTATATTGAATTGGGTAAGAAGCAAGGTGCCACTGTTGTTACTGGTGGTGAAAGATGTGCCGGTAAGGGTTACTTTGTCAAGCCAACCATTTTTGCTGATGTTCACAGAGATATGGATATTGTTAAGGATGAAATTTTCGGTCCTGTTGTTACATTGATCAAGTTTGACACTGTTGATGAAGCCGTTGCCTTGGCTAACGATACCGAATATGGTTTAGCTGCTGGTATTCATTCCACTGATGTCAATAAGGTATTAAGTGTTTCTTCTAGAATTAAGGCTGGTACTATCTGGGTTAACACTTATAACGATTTCCACCCAATGGTTCCATTTGGAGGTTACGGTGCCTCTGGTATTGGTAGAGAAATGGGTGAAGAAGTTTTCCACGAATACACTCAAGTCAAGGCTGTCAGACTTCACATTAACAAGCCAACTGTTTAGTTATTATTTTCCATATATATATATATTTGAATGAAAGTTTTCTAGAAAGAAGATTTTGCAGTCGTAAGCAACAAAAAAAAAGTAAGTTCCGATTCGGAAAATGGTTCCATTTTGTGCGCAAGGACCTTCGATCATGATAACACTAAGTTTGTCTTGGATGCATAGATTGACTTGAGATCATATGACGTACAGAGATTTACGGAGTTCCAGCTTCCCCTAGATTTCAAATAGTCTAACCGATTTCTTTAAATAGAATACTTTTTCTCACACGTTCCAACGCAATGTTTTCATTTTGATTAATGTAAACACACAATTGAATGCATCTAAAAGCAGTTACACACCATGTGTGCATATTTCAATGCAGAAAAACACCTCACTTGCTTCACATTTAAACTCTAATCTTATGGAGAAATCTCCCCATTTGTTATCTAAAACCAGAATTAGGCGGGTGATTCGTAACTTTATAGAATTTAAACATCAGCCCGAGATCATGTGACGAAAAGAAAACCTTCGCGTCGTTAAAAAAAAAGAAACGAAAAAAAAAGAAAATAGAGTCACCAAAAACTATCACCTGGTGATCTTCCCCTATTAATCTCCGACTATATAGTGATACTTTAGTACAAGACTCCCTTGAATTCTGCCAAAACGTATAATATCACAGTGATAGGTAATACTATAAAGAGGTTCCAACTCCAGTCCACTTTCACTTGAATTAAGTTATTTTCTACCACACCCTCGTTTAAGCCAATTTATAAGCCAACAACAATCATGAGTTTGAGTCCACCAGCAAATTTCTCTAGCATTCTTTCACAACCTAGCTTTCCCAAAAGCAGCTATAATGTAATTCTCCAACCCAGTCTAATTGAGGGAATACCAGATGGGATAGTTGCCTTGATAGCACCTATAGTTGCTTACTGGGTTTATGCATCATTCTTCCATATTATCGACGTTTATGAGTTAGCAGAGAAGTATCGTATTCATCCTAGTGAAGAAGAAGTAGCAAGAAACAAAGTGACATTGCATGAAGTTGTTAGAGATGTGATATTTCAACATTTCATACAAACTATTGTGGGTTACGTGGTGTATAAATTTGATCCACCAAGAACTACTGGTCATGAATTGTTTGCCATGTGGGAAATCAAACAAAAGTATGAGTTTTTACCTAATATCTTGATCTACTACGGATACATGTACGGAACATCGTTGCTCCGTCTAGTTATTGCCATTACTATAATCGACTCGTGGCAATATTGGTTGCATCGTATTATGCACATCAACAAGACTTTATACAGAAGATTCCATTCAAGACATCACAGATTATACGTTCCATATGCATATGGTGCTTTGTATAATGACCCAATAGAAGGATTTTTGTTGGATACTTTAGGAACAGGTATTGCTGCATTAACTACTGGGTTATCACCACGGGAATGCATAGTGTTGTATACTTTTGCAACCATGAAGACTGTGGATGATCATTGTGGATACAGATTGCCCTATGATATTTTCCAAATGATTTTCCCTAATAATTCCGTGTATCATGATATTCATCACCAAATGTGGGGAATCAAGAACAATTTTTCACAACCATTCTTCACATTCTGGGATACCCTTAACAATACCCAATATAAGTTTGTCAATGAATACAAAGAATTGCAAAATCATATAACTTTGACTAAATACAAGGAATTCTTGGAAAAGAAGACCAAGTCAAAGCAAAGCGAAGAAACCAAGAAAGAGGAATAGGCAGATTTGCTTTATTTTTGTATTTTTTTTTAATTTAACCTGTTGGATATACGGAACACTGTAAGGTAGTGGTCCCCCCCCTTAATTTAATCTTAATAATGTGTTTAATTTATAGTGTTTATAAAAAATTAATAGTTAAAGTATTAGACATGGTCAGTATAAAAACGCGAGCAAAACACAAGAATTTTTCTGTTGATTTTTGAATGTACTCTTAACCCACTACAATCCGCCACAAACATAGCAAAGATGTCTAGAAAAGCCGTAGGAGACGACATATGGAAGAACAATGTTGAGAAAATAGTAAGTTGATTCGTTTAGTTTGAATATTTCTTTCTTTGAACTATACTAACACCATACAGAACTCAGAACTATTCACTTTAACATACGGATCCGTGGTTGCCCAACTATGTCGAGATTTCAACAACAACTATCACGAAGTCAACAATCAATTAGACAAAATGGGTTATAATATAGGATTAAGATTGATTGAAGAGTTTCTTGCCAAGACTGGAGTAAGACGATGTCAAACATTTAAAGAAACAAGTGAAGTTATAAGTAAATTAGGATTCAAAATCTTTTTGAACATTCAGCCTACTATTGAAAACTGGTCTGCAGACGGGAAATCATGCTCTTTAATTCTTCCTGAACCTAATCCATTAACTGAGTTCGTTGAATTGCCAATCACAGCTGATGACAAGATTGCCAAGGAATTGTGGTATTCACAAATATTGTGTGGAGTATTGAGAGGAGCATTGCAAATGGTTCAGTTAGATTGTGATGTTCAATTTGTGAAGGATGTTTTAAGAGGTGATGATAGAACAGAACTTAGATTGAAATTAAACAAGATTTTGAAAGACGAAGTTCCTGCTGGGGAAGATTAAGTTATTGCATATACATATTTAAATACTAAGTCTAAGCTAATGCAACACCAAATCTTTGTTTTTCCACTTCTTCCTTGACTGGAGTAGAATCTCCATGATGAGGATAAGTGTTGTAACCAAAGTTGGTTGGAGTATAGAAAGTATCTCTGTCATATTCGTTTAATGGTAAGCCCTTCTTGATTCTTTCTGGCAAGTCAGGGTTGGCAATAAAGTTTCTGCCGAATCCAACCAAAGTTCTGTCGTCTTCAGTGTCCTTTTGGATAGCATTCCAACCTTCTCTGTCGTAGGTGTAGTTACCACCACGGAGAAGAACACCCTTCCAGAGCTTGTGAATGTAATCAAGTTCAATGGCAGTGGTGTGGTCAGCATCAACAAAACGACCATCAACAACACTAATGTATGCTAATCCCTTACCTTGGTCAGCTCTCTTTTGTAATTCACTAACAATATAAGAGTAATCAGCTTCAGAAGTTTCATTAACTCCAGGAACTTGGAAAGTGTTGACTGGAGAAAGACGAACAGCCAATTTACTTGGATCAACAATAGTGGATAAGTGGTCAATAACTTCCAAAAGTAATCTAGCTCTGTTTTCAATGCTACCACCGTATTTATCAGTTCTCTTGTTGACACCTGGGTGAATGAATTGTTCAAACAAGTAACCGTTAGCACCGTGTAATTCTAAGAAGTCAAACCCGGCCTCGTCAGCTAATTTAGCAGCATTGGCAAATTGGTTGTAAACAAGATCCTTGATATCTTCTTCAGTCAAGGCTTTAATTGGATTACCAGCTTCAATAGCATCCTTTTCAGCTTGTTCATGTTCATAGTTTTCACTTGGACCAGTCAATGGCAATCCATGAGCTTTCAAGAGTTGAGCACTACCAACTCTACCTAAAGCCCACATTTGCAAAGAAATAGCACCTCCTTGTTCATGAACAGAATCGGTGATTTGTTTCCAAGCTTTAGATTGGGTTTCATTCCAAATACCTGGAACAAGAGGGTAAATACCCTGGTTAAGAGAAACCAAAGTAGCTTCAGTGACAAGTAGCCCTCCTGTGGCTGCTCTTTCAGTGTAGTATTGCTTCATCAAGTCAGTTGGAACATGATTGGCAGCTCTGTTTCTTGTGGTTGGCAAGTGTGCAATTCTGTGCTTTAAAGTGGTTTGGCCGACTTTAATAGATTTGAACACTTTAGATGCTTGTAAGATTCCAGAAGACATTTGGTGATTGATTGATTTGTATGTGATGCTAAACAAGAATTGAATAACAACATCACGGGCTCATCAGGTGGTATTTATAGGGCCTCGTTGCGATCGGAACGGTAAGTTTGCCTCAACGGATCTTCTAGAAAATAAAACAATGAAAAAATATTTTATCGCATGCACCTTGCTTACAAATTATTTACTAATTCCAAACTTCGCTTGCAATGCATAGTAGCATCTAGAAGGTAGAGTAGATGTCTTTTCGCGGCTGATCTAAAAACACAGTCGGCCGAAACTAACACAATGTCCGAAACTAGTATTCATGAGGTTTACGGATTGATCTGCTTGTTTTCCGACCCGCTGGTGTTGACATCATACCCGCGGTGCTATTTCCTAAAGAGGTATTAAACCCCGAAAATCCAATGATTACTTAATATACGGAGTACATATAATACGCCACGCAGCAATCATCCACAGTCATCCAAACTTAGTCATCTGATGCTGGCTTAGTTAATTTTTCTAATCAATAACAGATCCAGTTTTGAGAAGGTTATATTTTATGTTGACATACCAACCGTGGCTTGCATGTTCTTGCCGCAGAAATGAGTCAGATTTAGAAACTAAAGACGCGAAGGAAGGTCCCAAAGTTTTATACTTGTGCATCTAAAACAGAGCTTTGTTAATGCAATGCAATAAGAAGTCGTGCATTTACATTCACAAGATTTGTTTCATCATTTCTTGGACCCAGCTAGAACTAAGCTTGTTGCTGACGAGCAGAACATGCACCCCCCTCATTGACAATTCTTTGTTTAGTTCTTGTTTGATAAATAAAGATACCAAACCAAAACTACTAAAACAAAAAGTTATCACAAACAAGAACTAGTTAACTTATACAATCAATCATGTTTAAATTAATCTGGCTATTAGATATCTTGTGATTACTCTTGGTTATATGTAGCTATACACTTACACCATTCTTGGAGGTGGATTCTGACTTTTCCATAATAACAATCCATGATATGGTAGGTTTTGGTATTTACCCACAATATGTTATAGGTGATTCTTATTATCATACAATGCACTCTATAGAACTCCTGAGAAGTTTTATAGGACCTTTGATACTTGCTAGTTTATGCAAATGTATTTTGTCATTGACTTCGTCTATTCCAATTATCAATGATAACCCATGGGATGAAAATGAACTATCATTTTTAGTACTGCTATTACTTGGGGCTGGTAATGTATTACTGTGGACATATCTTAGAAATACATTGATTCGAGTTACTGGCAAGAGAAAAACCGGAGTTTGGTTTTCGATTTTAATAATTTCTCAACATATAATATTTAAATGCACACGAACACTTCCTTTATCTTTTGCTTCGCCATTTGTGAATTATTCATACGCCAAGATTATTATGGGTGATTTATCAGGACTAGTTTGGTTGGCATTTGCAGCAACTGTTTTTCGTTACAAGTTAATGATGCTTGCTTTAATCATAGCTGTGCTACCACCATACCTCCTAAAAGATAGAAGTGTAATTAAAAAATTGAAATATGTGGTATCAGACACAGTTATTGGAGGCTTAACTTCATATATTATTGATTCTTATTTCTGGCTCACGCCAGCCTTGCCTCAACTTGAATCGTTTTGGTTTGATTTAAACTCTATCAACATAAAGAAACTTTCCTCTGGATTTATTATCAAGTTGATTGGTCTTATTCTAGTATGCCTACTGGTCCATTATTGTTTTCTAGATCTTTCCAACTGCGAAAATACAAGAAAAGATAAATACTTATCAATTCTATTAGTATGTGCTTGGTGCTACCTGTTTCTATTAATATTTCAAACCAGTAAATCACTGGATTTTGATTATACTTTGTTGATCGAGATGGCACAAATTGCAAATCGCATAAGCAACCGAACGTTTACCAAACTATCAGGAATTATCTGGCTGGTTTACTTTCTGCTCCAATACGCATTGACAATATTTTCATTACAAAATGTTTACTTTGCCAGTTTTTTTCCCTCTCCAAATTCAGTGTTGGGTTTAAAGGAGTACAACCTAAAAGTTAAATTAAAGAATTTGATTGAATTTGTATGTCAGTACCTAATTCCAATAACACCATATTTATTCTATTCCTTGCATACTAGATATGTTTTAACTAGTTATATTTCCAAGTATAGACCTATCCAGCAAAGGGTATATACCTTGCTAGATATAATATTGACGGTAGTTGAGAAAATATCCGGAAGAGGGACCCTTTGACTTGGTTTGCTTTAAAAGAGCATACTTATATGGGCTTTGTTTATAAAACTTAATTCTTTATAATGTTGAACTACTTCTACACACTTTTACTACCAACTACTTCATATTTAAATAAAAATTTTTTTGCAGAATATAATTATACGACAAAAATATTGTGTAACCCCCACTAGCATACGAGTTGTAAAAGTTCCAAGAATTCTTAGCAATCTTTTATATTTCTGATTTTTCTTGTATACAGATCTTTTACCAAGAGATTTTTCACTACAATGATTATTATTTAAATAATATTTACATATGCTTATAGGCGCTTTGATGCATGATTGAACTTCAACAATAATAAAAAATAGAAAAAAAAATAGTTCCTGGAACAATCCCCAAGAAAGATAGTAACCAAGCAGTATCCAGAACTTGGGTGCAAAATTCTTCTTAATTTATCTGATTAGGTACCCCTGATCTAGAAAGATAAAACTTAAATTAAGACTAGTTAGCTTTTATCACCCTATCTTGTCACTCATAAATTATTAAGTTGCATCAGTAAACGCAAAAAAACACTTTGGAAATTGTGCATGGAGATCTTCGATTGGTGGGGTGATAAAGTCCGCATCCAAAATGAAAAAAATGGTACACTAGATATAGAGTTAGGATATCAATATCAAGAAAAACTAATGCTCAATGGTCTTACGATTTTCTTATCGATAAACTTCAATAAACTTTCCGTTGGATTTTTGTATTATAAGCCCTGGAGATTAAACTTGTATATGGTGTTATAAAAAGTATTCCCACTTTTTCACTAAGACAACTTCTTTATTTCGCACCTAATTTTTTTTTTTTATTTCTCAATTTGGGTAATTCTGTTCTCCGCAATTCCATAACAAGTGGAGTAGTTCCTTTTTAATGATAAGCTTTTTTGTTGGCTAATTTCTTTGGCAATATCATTGCATGCCCCGCGACAACCAGGTTTCTTATTGTTGTTGTTAATCGGTTAAATTAAAATTATTTAAGTGACTTACATGCCAGAGCCCAACAAATTGTTCTTTGCTTTTTCTACATCTCAACAGTCTTTTACATATTAAAATGACCTCAATAATAGAAAGTATTAATGAATCATTCCGGTACTTAATATATGACCTTGTGCTTCAATTCTTTAATTTATTGGTACATACATTTTTCAGAGATGTTAAGACAAGAGGAACATTCCACATCCCACCGCATGGGCCTGTCATTTTCGTAATTGCCCCTCATCACAATCAATATATCGATGGACTTTTAGTAATGTCACAAGTAAAAGCCCATTCCGGAAGACATATTGCATTTTTAATTGCTGGAAAATCCTACAGGATGAATATTGTGGGACACGGTGCCAGATTGGTAAGTGCAATTCCAGTGGAAAGGGCTCAGGATCTATTGAAAAAGGGAACGGGTAAGATATATTTGGATACATCGGATAAGACCGGTCATTCATTGATTGGAGAGGATACGAAATTTTCAAGTGAATGTGAGCCTCGTGGGTTAATTGGATTATACAATTCTCTTGGCAATTGTCAAATAGACAAGGTTATTGATGATACCCATTTAGTACTTAAAGACCCATTCTTTTCTTCCAGAAATGAAATTCAGACCAAGATTGATATTGCTTTGAAGCAGGGTACTCCATATAAAATCGCCCCACACATAGATAATCATCATGTATTTAATCATGTTTTCCATCATTTAGCCCAGGGTAAAGTTTTAGGGATTTTCCCTGAAGGTGGTTCTCATGATCGTCCAGACTTGTTACCTTTAAAACCCGGTGTGGCTATTATGGCATTAGGTGCAGTTTCTGAACAAATCAAATCAAACAAGCAAGTTACTCCTATCAATGTAATTCCAGTTGGATTGAACTATTTCCATGCTCATAGATTTAGATCTAGAGTTGTGATTGAATTTGGAAGACCGATTGTTGTAGATGAGAAAATGGGTCATGAATATGATACTGATAGGTTTCAGGCCGTGGACAAACTTCTTGAGACGATTACAGCCAAGTTGAAAGAAGTAACCACTACTTCAGAAGACTATGATACGCTTATGGTTCTTCAAGCAATTAGAAGATTACATACTTCCTCAAATAGGGAATACATTCCCCTTCCAATGGTTGTGGAAATGAATCGAAGATTAAGTCGAAGTTATGAGAAATATAAGGATGAACCAGATGTAATCGAGCTTCGTGATCTGGTGACTGATTATAATAATCTTCTTATGAGATATGGATTACATGATCATCACATTGAAACATTACATCAATCTAATTTCTTCAGAACCTTCATAATATTCTTAAGAAGATTCTCCACATTCTGTATTTATATGGGGTTAAGTTTACCCGGGATGGTTTTGTTCAGTCCAGTATTTATTACTGCCATTAGAATATCTCGCGAGAAACAAAAACAAGCCCTTGCTGCTTCACTGGTGAAGATCAGGGCTCGTGATGTTATAAGTACTTGGAAATGTTTAGTTGCAATGGTTCTTGCTCCAGCCTTATACATTTTTTATTCAATTATTGGTACTGTTTACATCGTTAGGAATAACATTCTTCCTCATATTAGTGTGGGATGGATTTTCTTTAGCTGTTACTGTTTAGCATTGATGACTACCTACGCATCACTCAGGGTTGGTGAAATTGGTGTTGATTACTATAAATCTCTTCGTCCATTACTTGTATCCATGATCTCACGAAAGAAGGATCGAATTCAAATTGCTGAATTGAAATTACAAAGAGAAAGGTTAGCCATTAAGGTTAATGATTTTTGTATGAAATATAATCCTCTGATTTTTGCTGATTACAACCGATTATATGGACCAGATGGATTTGAAGACCATTACCAGTATCAAAGTGACAGTGAAATTGAGGAAAAGAGAAAATTGATCAGACGCAATTCAAGTATAAGTTTAGATTTCGATAATATGGGAAGTATTCCAATTTTCTCACTGGAAGATTTAGAAAGAATCTATGATGATGATAAAAAGAACTACCTGACTGAGAGTTCAATGGATGAAGCTGACACTGTCAGTGATGATTTAAATATGGCGACCGGTATTGCTAATGGCGATAGTAATGTTAGATTAAGGAAAACATTGTTTCACGAGGATGGCTAGGTTTGATGTCTTTTATTTTTTTTTTTTTAATATATATCAAAACAAAATGTGTTCGTAATTCGGGAGAATATCACATGTCGGGTTCTCTTGTTTACGTGTCGTAGTTATCCATGAAAAACAAGAAGGATCGGGCGGGATGTTGTTTGTGTAAGTTCGCGATTGTTTGTTTGTTTTTACATAAACAAAGTGCCACCCCCCGCAGTGCGCTTAAATTGGACATCAAGAACAATCAAAATTTAAATTCGAGTTAATAGATGCAAAAAAAGCGAGAACAATGTATTTTTTAGCAATTGAAGCCAATTCCCGCAACAGGAAAAGACTATTAGCATAAACCTGCTTTGTTTCCTTTTTCAGTAAAGCAAGACCCAGTTTGGGCGTTTGAAGTAAGAGCCTATAAAAATTGACAACTATCCCCACATAAAATATCATGATTTTTTTTAAAAATTTTCCTCGAACAACACTTTTACTTAACAATGTTGTGGGTGGTGTTCTTGTTTATAACCATGGTGTTGGGAACGCCAGTACCTGCTAATATCAAACTCAAAGCAACGCTAACTTCTCAAGGAACACAATCTACTAAAACTTTTTCCGTTATTCTCCCCACGTATACCCCAAGAGCACCGATTGTCGTTAAGAAAAAGGACATGGATCCAATTTTAATTTCGTTTAACAATAAACAAGAGATTTTAGATGCCCAAAACATTATGAAGGAAACCAAATGGGTTCACGGTCATAAAGTTAATCATAAATCCCATGCTAACGAGGGTTTGTAATGGTGAAAAAAAAAATATTCCGTTGGTTTTTATTTATTATCTAATTTATGATGAGTTTTTTATGAAGATGTTGTACTATTTAATATGTGGTTTTTTTTTTTTGTATAAAAATTAGCTGGGCTAATATACGCTTGATGTTTACGTAACATAACCGTATGTTGTAGAAATACTTTTAGAAATAGTGCTGGTAATACCACTATAGAACAAAAAGTGCATTCTTATCACATCACCCCTATAAGCTCTAGTACAAAATTCCTTTCATATATATATATATATATGCGTATAAGGCTAGTAACATCCCTGTTTTGAGTTAGTTAGTTGACACGGATTTGTATGAGTGAAGGGTGAAATTGAGTACCTGTATATAACAAATCCGTGAATCATTTTATAGTTTCTTTTTTTTTGTGGTTTGCCACTTTCCAAGATAGTGGAGTCATAGTGTGCGCTTTTTGTTCCATACCACATTTTCTTATACAACATCTTACAAATACTTGTTCTTTTTCTCAACTATTTCTTGTTTTAACTTAATATTACTATTCCAACTTATAGATTATCACGCACGATGAAGGTCACTATCAGATTATCTACAGAAATATCGTATACCATTACTATACCCGATAATGCCACTGTGGAAGACCTCAAGAATTCAGCCAAAGTCGGATGTCCCGTAACATCCACCTTACCACCAGATTTTAAACTTATTTACAACGGAGAAAAATTACAACCACATTACCAACCATTACTGGCATTTGGGATAACAACCAATGATGTCACTGTTATTCTTATGAGTAATGTGAGCGATACCCCACCAGTGTTATCTCCCCTGAGCTCACAAACCGAAAAGATAACAACTTCACCAACAATCAAAAAGACAAAAAAGAAGAATAAATGTTCATTCAAGTCATGTTCCAATGCTCCTTTGAGAATGGTTGGGACTTGTAGTCATTGTCAAGGTAAATTTTGTGCTAAACACCGGTTATTGGAAGATCATTTGTGCACCGGTTTGCAATTTTGTAAAGACGACGCCCATCAAAAGAATGCTATGAAGTTGCAAAGTGAGAGTACCATTGCTAGTAGAGTCTAAGCTAGATAACCCTTGTGCCATGTGTTGACAAGTAGGGATTGGCAATTTTGTGTGCGCCTGCTTACGCGAACAATCAGCGGTTGTGATCCACCGGCCCTCGCCAGCACTTGCCATCACATTTTTTTTTTATTTGACCTTCAGGAACTGATTATGCATCAGCTTGAATTTTATTATGTTGTTACTGTTTGAGCTTGCACCGGTGCCTTTTTTTAATTTGATGTCTTCCTTTTTTTTATAGTTAAGTTTAGTTTAGTTTTATTTTGATAGAGATGATAATATATAATGTATGTGTGGAGTTTATTGTAATAAATTGTCTAAAACGTCCTTATATTTACCGTTAGTGACATTGTTAGCCTTGTTTAAGATTGCTTCAGCATCTTTGTATAAAGATTCTTGTTCTTCACTGTCGACATCGTACAAGTTACCCAATGAGATCATGGCTTCGGCAATATCAACCCAGGTTTCAGGTTCTTCTTTATCTTCAGCTTGAGTCAAATACTTTAATGCCCTGGCAATAAGTTCTTGTGCTGCAACTTGAGCTTCTTCTTGGGTCAACCCGTGTAATTCTTCTTCGTCTTTATAATCGTCATCATAGGATAAACTAGTAAATACGGAAGAAGGAATTTCTGCTTCTTGTAAATAGGATTGTCCTAATCTTCTACAAATTTCCCTCCTCAAATGAGCAAGTTCATCTTTCTTGTCAGGCTTTGCTTCCAAATGTTTATCAACATTTTCAAGGAATGTATGAGTATGGTCTCTCCACCATTGGTTGTACATATCATCATCACGAATAGCAAATAAGGGATGTTCAAATGGTAATTCAACTTCATCAATCTCATCCTCTTCTTGGTCTTCATCTAACCCTTCAAGAGTATCTTTACCGAAGTTGTCTACGATATCTAAGAAATCATCCAAGGCAGTCAACATATCTAAGTTATCTTCATCAAACAATTCGTACTGCTTCAATTCTTCTGCTTTCTCTTCTGCCTTTTCATAAACTTTTAAGGCATCATCTAAGATTTTACTCAATTTTTCATCGCCTTTCTTTTCTTTAGATTCAAGAGTCAAAGGAGCAACTCTAACCAAAGTCAATTCGTTCAACAAGATTCTACTCTTGGCAAGCAATAACCCAATACTGTCTTTATGCTTTTCCAATCCATCTTCTACTCTTTCCAAGGCAGCTTTAAAATATTCATCCAACTTGTCATTATCTTCGGTATGGAACTTGGCCAATTCATTTAAACTTAATCCATAAATGACATAAAAGTAATCAGGGATCACATCATTAGGTTCGGCATTTCTTAAAATACGATCACATTCATGAATGACTCCATTGATGACCAATTCTGAGTCTTTGGCCGAAGAAGCGAATGTCTTGTATAATGCTCGCAATTGGGCGAAATCATCGTTGGGATCAACTTCTTCGTTTAATTGGATTGTTAACTCATTGTCAAGTTGTGGTGATTCCGATTTGGCAGGAGCCTCTACAACTGCTTCAACTTTCTGCTTCTTTGCCTTTGCAGCCTTTCCAAGTCCTAATGTTCTTTTGGCCATTGTTTGGGATTATGTGTACTTGATGTAGGTGATGAGGATGAGCTTAGACTGGGCTGAAAAAAAAATGAGCTGATATGAAAATCTGGAGGTAAACAAAAGCTAGTACAGAACTTTGAAAAAAGTCACAAATTTATTTCAATCGCAAGAACACGGACAGAAGAAGGGATCCAGACATATAAATACCAGAGTGTACTTAATATGTAGACCACGGGGCATACGATAGGGGGGTGAAATCAAGGGATGTTCCTACATACGATATAACTGGGGTCGTGCGGAACCTGAAAAAAAAATAATTAAGGACCAACTGGTGGAAATGCATTGTGCGGCTAAGAATTGAAGCTTGCCCCGCTGGAACGTACAAATTAAATATTACATCAACATGGTAAAAGTATAATAAAATACATCTACCGAATCTCTCCAATATTCTTTATGATTTTAGGAATTCATAAACCAACATTTTTCTACGGTTATTTTTTTTTTATTTTATTTTGTTTTCAAGACCACCTTCTTGAGATAGTATTTCATCTCTTGGAAATCAAGATAATCTTATTCATATTTGGTATTCAAGATATGAAGCAAGATATTCAACTTCATCAAACCTACACATAGTAGAAGCACCGTTGAGCATGACTATTCAAACCCCGGAAACGGGACATTGATAATAAAGCACAATCGTTCTCTGTTACACAAAATCGACAAAAATCTCATTTTGATAAATTCACGTGACATGTGGTAATCAGAAATTTTTCAATTTGCTAATAGATTTAATTTTACATATAAATGCAAGATTTGCAATCAAGTGGATCTAGTTTATTTCTTCACTATAGCTATTAAGTACCATGCCTAGTTTACTTGCATCATTGATCTCCACTGGAGAAACTCATCTCGTTATAGGTTACTCCAATGTCGCCAGTATAAGAATAACATCCATCATAGAATCTGGAGCATCTCCAATATTAATCACAAACAAAGGAACTATATTCACACCATCAGTACAACAATACCAAGAAGATGGCAAACTAGAAATAATATATGATGATTTGAAGATAGATAACATAAGAAACTCCTTGAAGACATTAGGTCGTGAAGAAGTTGACGGTATCGTGGATCGTGTTTTCGTTTCATTGCCTTCTGGATGTCACTTGCTCAAAAAACAAATATTTGAAACATGTAAGAAGTTAAGAATACCCATTAACACCTCGGATTCTCCTGAATTTTGCACATTCACATTATTGGCAAGTTATACATCGGGGGATTTCCAAATGGGTGTTACTACCTCGGGTAAAGGATGCAGACTTGCCTCGAGAATCAAGAGAGAATTAGCCAATTCCCTTCCTCCAGATATCGGGGCCATATGTAACAAGATTGGGGAATTAAGAAAGGCAATCCAAAAGGAGGACCAATTACAATTGGAAAGTATTGGTGAACATGACGACGATGCTGTTAATTCACACAAGTTCAACACGTTTGTACCAGAATTCAATGCTAGTGAAGAACATTTGAAATTACAAAGAACAAGATGGTTAGCCCAAATCGTAGAATATTACCCCTTGAAGAAATTAGCTACATTGTCAATCACCGATTTAACCAATGCTTATCATGATCACAAGGAAAACCCAACTCCAACTAAGAAGCAAAAGCTTTCTAGAAAGGGTCAACTTACATTAGTTGGTTCTGGACCTGGTTCTGTTTCCTTACTCACATTAGGAGCACTCCAAGCCATTCATACTGCTGATTTAGTACTTGCTGATAAATTAGTCCCACAGCAAGTTCTTGACATTATTCCAAGAAAGACTGAGCTTTTCATTGCCAGAAAATTCCCCGGGAATGCCGAGAAAGCACAAGAAGAATTATTATCGTTAGGTATAACTGCATTAAATGAAGGAAAGAACGTCATCAGATTGAAACAAGGAGATCCATATATTTTCGGCCGTGGAGGTGAAGAATTCAACTATTTCAAAGACCAAGGGTTCACACCAACTGTTATTCCAGGCATCACTTCTGCCCTTGCTGCTCCCGTGTTATCTAACATCCCAGCTACACATCGTGACGTCGCTGATCAAGTGTTGATTTGTACTGGTACCGGAAGACGTGGTGCTATTCCTACATTGCCAGAATTTATAAAATCGAGAACTACTGTATTTTTAATGACCTTGCATAGAGTTGTGGAGTTTATTCCAAAGTTGATAGAACAGAAGGGATGGGATCCTAAATTGCCCGTGGCTATCATTGAACGCGCATCTTGTCCTGACCAACGAGTCATTAGAACTACGTTGAGTAAAGTAGCTGATGCTGTAGAAGCTTGTGGTTCCAGACCTCCTGGGTTATTAGTCACTGGTTATGCCTGTGAAGTCATCTTCAAGAATGAAGATGCCAAAGAATGGACTGTGGAAGAAGGATGTAATGTTGATTTTGATGAAACTTTTGATTCAATTGTCAAATTAGTTGGTAGCTCAGCTAGTCCTGAACCCGTTGCTCCTGTTCATGTGACACCACAGATAACTGTATAATTAATAGACCTTTATAGAATTATAGACTAATTTGCAATTATTTTAGACACGGCTAATTTTGCAATTGTTTAAATTCACGTGACCCCTCAAATCCCGCACAAATTAATTGTCTTTGGACCCTATTGATAAAGCCACAATCACAAAACACCGATGAATAATACACGTTTTTCTTCATGAGTAAAAGACTTATTCAATTCATTAGACGATACCACAGAATGTCCGACCCAGTAGCACTCCACAATCCATACTTCTACCAGAAACCAGGTCAAAAAGATATCTGGTCGCTTATCAACGAAACCGCTGCCCAAGCCCAACAAGAATCGGGGAAGCCAATCGTCAATTTGGGCCAGGGGTTTTTCTCGTACAATCCACCCGAATTCGTGATTGATGCCATGGGTGATGCTTTAAGTAAGCCGCAATACAATCAGTACGCTTCTGCTAGAGGAAATCCCAACTTGTTGAAGCAAGTTGCTGATCATTATTCCAAAGCGTATGGACGACCAGTTGACATTAGTGAGGTTCAAATCACTACCGGGGCCAACGAAGGTATGTTTTCGGTTTTCTTTGGGTTCTTGACTCCTGGTGATGAAGTTATTGTGTTTGAACCATTCTTTGACCAATACATTCCAAATATTGAAATGACGGGTGCTAAGATCAAGTATGTTCAAATCAAGTATCCTAAGAAGTTTGACAACGAGACTGTTTCCGGGGAAGATTGGGAAATCGACTGGGAAGGGTTGGAGAGTGCAATCACTGACAAGACCAAGCTTATTGTTATAAACACACCACATAACCCAATTGGAAAAATCCTTACTGAAGATGAATTGGTCAAGATTGGTAAGATCGCCATTGATCATAACTTGATCTTGGTTAGTGATGAAGTTTACGAAAACTTATATTTCCAAGACAAGTTCCCAAGACCAGCAGCATTGAAACAATTACCAGAATTGGCTGAGAGAACTTTAACCGTGGGGTCAGCTGGTAAGTCATTTGCCGCCACAGGCTGGAGAGTGGGATACATTCAAGGTCCAGCTCCTTTGATCAAATTTGTCACTGCTGCCCATACCAGAATTTGTTTTTCGGTGCCAGCTCCATTACAACAAGCTGTTGCTACTGGGTTTGAACAAGCTGATAAGTTGAACTATTTCGAAAAGACCAGACAGGAATACACCAAGAAATACGAATTGTTTACTAAAGTGTTTGATGATTTGGGATTACCATATACTACTGCACAAGGTGGGTACTTCCTTCTTGTTAACTTACTGAAACTTAAGATTCCAAAGGATTATGAATTCCCTGCTCCTATTGCCGATAGAGGTACCTTAGATTTCAAATTGGCATACTGGTTAATTAAGGAGATTGGAGTTGTGGGTATCCCACCAACTGAGTTTCTTACTGAAGGCAATAGAAAGGGCAACGGATTGGAAAATTGTATCAGATTTGCCGTTTGTAAAGATGATTCCATTTTACAAGATGCTATTGACAGATTAAAGAAATTAAAGGATTATTTGTAATAATACATAATTATTTATCTAGAATAGAGTTTAAAGCAGAATTTCATTTCTCCGAAATCATCAAATCCATCTTCGATTTCGTGTTGTAGTTGTGTGAAGTTGGAAGACTCGAGCAAATCCCATAATGTCTGTCTTTCCTGTTCATACTGAGCGCGTAATGGTATTTGAATGACTACCCTGGCATCAGGACTAGCTGAAAGAAATTGATTGATCATATTAACCACCCAGTAAGGATGTTGTGGTGAATAAATAGGATCACTAACAACAATCGTATCAAACTTGGTATTTCCATACTTTTCTATAAACGAACTAGGGTCGGTCCAATCTAAAGCACATGCATCCAGCTTTATCTCATTCAATTGGATATTTTCTTGTAAATTGGGAACAATCTCGGGTAAATCCGTCAACAAAGTCTCATAACCAAGCAAGGAACAAATCATGCCTACTAATCCTGTACCTGCGCCTAATTCCAAAACCTTATTTGTCAAGTATCCATCATTATTATTTAAGAGTCGATTGGCTAATACTAGCGATGATCCCCACGTTTTCAATCCTAAGTTGTCACTAGTCAATGAAGGTTCTTTTAATAAGATGTATCCGTTGTTTACATTACCGAGAAGTTTGTCGAGGTTGGGTAGGCGTATCTTTCGGATAATTTCAGGCTGTGCAGTCCGTCCACAATTTTCACTTATACGTAATGCGGCAAGTTTGTGAATTTGAGATGGATCTGTTATCCACAATAACGGAGATGATATTAGTCTAGTGAAGTATGCATTGAATTCGTTGGAGTATGTTTTTTTGAATGAGTCAGCTAATGTTGGTATATATGCTAGTTTCTTTATCGTGTTAAATCTGGGAGTATAAGTTGCCAACCATGATAAAGCGATGGATATTGTAGACTCATCTATTGATTTCTCGGTAAAGACCGTGTTTGGATCTATGAATTCTATATCACTTGGCTCTTCCACATTAAAGTTGAATACTTCATTAGGCGCAAATAGTTTAAGAATGGTAATCAACACTTCAAATGGTGGTTGAAGTTTTAATAACGGCAAATCAAGTGGATGAAGTGGAAGTGAATAATCATCATCATCATCATCGTCATGTGGTATTGAGTCTGGTGATATTGGTTTGGCATCTGGTCCGACACTTGCTTTTGAAGTTAAGGAAACTTGCTCATGTTCCTCTTCTACCGCAGGTGGAGGCGTGAATAAAGACAACGGATCAAAGTCCATCTAAATGTGGTTGTGAGTGTGGACTTTGTTAGTGATGGTTAAAAAATCTTTTTTGGCATCATTGTTTTAAGTTTGACATAAACCGTTTGGTTGCAAGGCTATCTCTACATTACCAGTACAAGGTATATAGCTATATTTATATTAACACATAGATCATATATACTACTCATACTTCTTATTATGCAGTGATCATCCTGGCACATACATATGAAATTTTCTATAAAACAGTGCTGAGCAGTGGTACTGTTTGTGTGCAGATTAAAAATCAATGACTCTCCCATTATAACTCCACTCATCACCATGCTTCAAAGGATCTTGTTTGGGTCCTCCAATCTCACCCGTCTTGGGATTAACTTCCCCTTCAAATTCAGGAATGGTCTTCAAATAAGCAATACTGCCAATGTCTGATTGTAAAGTAGGTGGCTTGAAATCCACAGGTTGTTCCCCAACGGGTTCACCAGCTTTCAAACTGTCATTATATTCTTCTATAGCGATTTGGGAGTTGGCTATATTTTGTAACTTTTCAAATTCTTCTTGCTGTTCTTTGGGGAGTCTTGGTGGACCTGGAGTCATTTCGAATTTAGGGACCGAGTAGAAACGGGTAAATGTGGGTATACTCTTGATGTAACTTGAACGAACAACGTTCTTGAATGAAACTCTAAGCATATTGTGAGATATATACCGTGTATGGGACTGTAAGTTGCGTGTGTGTTTAAAACAAGTGATAAAAATGTGCAAACCACCACCCCCCGGTGATATTTTTTTCTGATCTGATTTGCGATCTCGGATTCTCAAAACTACACGATAATCTATTAATATTCTGTAAATTAAAAATACTACATACACCGATTATTAAATAAAAAGGGGAGGGGTATCTGCCCAAATCTATAACCCATAAATGCATAAACAAAAAAAGACAAACATAAAACGAAGAAACTGCATGAAAATAATAATTTTTTTTTGATAGTGAGTTTATGCCCACTTACCCAATAATGCCATGAGTCCAGCACCCCAGCACATAATGAAATAAGCAATCAACATTTTCCTGAACCCGTTAGGACCCTTGAACTCACCGGAATATAAGAATTCATGTGCCATCAATTCGACAACACCAGTGTATACTAAAATACCAGCAGAAATAGAATCAAACACACCGTTTGTGATTAATGAAATTCTTGATCCTGGAGGATACGAAGATCTTACACCTAATCCAATAGCAATAGCAATAGGAGTACATAAAGTATAAGCAACGCACAACAACCATGGTGTCATTCTATGTCTGTTCCAGTTGGCGGTCGCAATTCTAGTACCTAACCCCAACCCTTCAAACATTTGATGGAATACAAGCACAATATAAAGTGATTTGAATTCTTCCCCAGCGACTGCTAATGAAAGACCGACAAACACAGAATGGAAGATCACCCCGAATTCCAAAACAAACACATTTAATAATTGACCATAGTACTGTTCTTTACCTTGGTCATTGACAGGAGTACCGAGATTTTCTGGATCTTGGTGCTCATGAGCATGGGAGAAATGGTCAGGATATGGATTTGGCTCAACTGCTTGCTTCAGCTTGTGATCTTCATCTTCTGATTCAATGTCTTTTTTAATGTAAAGAGATTCATCACCGAAATGAGAATGTGATTGTTGATGACCATCGCCGTTGATCTTCGAATCAATCATTTGATAAGCAACCAATTCGAAAAAGAACAATACAAACAATGTCATTAAACAGATACCAAATGCCCAGGGGTATTCGGTGATAACTCCAGTAAGACAGTCGTCACTTAATGCATCAGAAGCTGGTTCTAACAAGTGGATAAATGCTGTGGCAACAATAACACCGGACCCAAAATATTTAGCAATGACAAAACACCATGGTGGCAACCTCAAAAATGAGTATCTTGACGATAATAAGGGGAATAAACACCCAAAGGCACTGGTAGCAAGAATGACAAAGATTGAGGATATACGGGCACCAAAGTTTGCTCCGTCATAATCGTTATCGGTGGGGCACTCATCTCTTTTAATAAGCAACTCAAATGTTTCAAATACTGACATTTTGTGTGTATGTGTGTCGTGCTATGTGGTAATTTATGGAAAGTTTAACCAAGTTTCTTGGCAGATTGACAGGTTTAAATAGACTTGAAACGGCTGAGACAAAAGCAAACGGATTAGTAATGGAATAAAATTCAATCGAGTGACTTTTGACTTGCTCACTTAATAATACAATGGGAAAATATATTATAACCTCTGTAGTTACTACTTTACAACCTTGATGGTATTGGCAAAAAAACAAAGGATGGAAAACAAACTGGGAACTAAAAACAAAAGAAACAATTGGAGGTACGACTTGACTAGTATGTGGATGAATGGTAGCAGTTAGCCTGTGGTTATTAGCGAGATTAACTAGGATTTGTTCTTGGTACTGACGTTATCTTTTTCTTGGTATTTTAACTCTTTTGCTTTATCTCATTCCTTGCTTCGAGGAGAGAAAAAATTACAAATCCCAAAACCACCAGGGTACTTTTTTTTTCTATTGCTTGTTAAAAATTATTGCAAAAAAATATTTTTCCTGTCAATAATAGATTTTACGACATGCAACGGCACAAGTTAACCTTAATGGTTATGCAATATTTGTGTCACTATATTAAATTAGACCCACATGTTGCTAGTTTATATCACAAAGACAACTGTAGATTTTGTCTTACGAGTTGTATCTTAGTTTGGTTCAATTTTCGTAAAAGTTGCCAATTGCACGAGTAGTTGCAATATCTACAGAAACACATTGGTAGCGCATTACTCATAAACTCATACATTAAAACTTACACAATTGCCAACCAACATTGGAATACCTGGCAGCTATCCAAAAGAAAATACTAGCTGCAGACAACCCTCCTTCAAACAATACAAAATTCCGATATGAAGAAGTGTCACCTTTTCCTATAACCAAGGATGCAAAAAACATTCCTAATATAGTCAAGAATCCAAGAAAGAAATATAACGTACCATAAACTTTACCGAATTTATCCAGAGAACATATTTGGCCGGTACATGCTGGAATTAGCGATATCACTGCTGAAGTAGAGATTCCAAACAATATCCCAAAGGCATATAGTATGGAGATGTTTCCCTTGGCAGGGAACCATATGGCAAATATCGTTATGGTGGTCAACATCGATGTGAATACCATGACGTTGAATCTGCCGTACTTGTCTGCTAATATTCCTGAAAGTAACCTCGAGGGAATACCGCACACATTAACAATAGTTAAAAGCAAGTATGACCTGGTATCACTGATATGATAGGCCAATGCATATGACGACAAGTAAGTTAACGTTGTCATGGATACTATTTCAGCTAAAGCAACCCCAAATGTAAGCAAGATAAATCGAGAGTCCTTCACCATAGAAAAGTCCAATGCTTGTTTAAAGAAGTTTTTCCCCGTTTCAAACAAGTTTTGCTTCTCAACGTCAGATGGTATCTCTTGGTCGGGAACATTCTGTCGTCTTTCCCTCACTAGTACAATCGCTACTGACATGCATGCTAAACAAATAAATGCCTGAATACGTATAGCCCATCTAAACCCCACCAGTTCATACAACTTCTGTAACATGATTGCAAAACATGAGGCACCCACTAATCCGCCAATAGTCGCAATCGAGCATGCCATGGCTCTCTTTTTCAAAAACCAATGACTCAAGGCACCAATTAACGGTGACATGGCAATGGAAGTACCAATTGCTGTAACTATAGAAAAGCTCAACATAAACTGATACAAAGTATGCGATTCAGCAGTACAAAACAATCCGAGGCACATGAAAAACGTGCCTGCTATAAGTGGCCTTTTGGCGCCAAACCGATCAAACAACTCGCCAAAAAACACCCCACCGAAATACATCACACCCAAATGCAAAGAAAACACCCACCCAACATCAGTCTTGGAAATATTGCTCAACTGATGGTATGACACATACGATTCGATCGCACCTAGTGCATTGGCAACCCCAAAATCTGCAATTAACCCAATGAATGAACCAACAAGAACTAAATTTGCCTCAAGTCCTCCATCGGGGAATGCATTAGGGTCTACCTCGGATCCATACATTAACGCACGAGATTCATCCGAGGACACAGTGTTGCCCCGTCTTCGTCTCATCGAAGTGTCCTGATTGGGAGGATTTGCTTCATAGTTGCATACAGAAATATCATTATCTTTGAGATTGTTAGTTAGTTCAATCACATGAACTCTTTCAGGGATAGAAATGGTGGTTATAGAAGATCCACTCATGTTATAATGCCAATAATGACAAGTTGTAAGCCTCTGGATAGTTACTCACCTGGTGGTTTTATAATGGGCTGAAATTTTTTTTGCGGATTTTGTGGCTTGAATTGTTGCAAGGCGGGACGGAGTACCCGCTATGCTTCTAACGAGTTCTATGCATTCGATGACTAATTCATTGGGGGTAAACTTACTAAATCTGACTCAACATGAGCGATGCGAGGGGAAATGGACTATGGAAGAATCTTCGGGATTACATCTGGCATATGATTAGTGAAAGAGCAGCCAATGAGGTGCACGTTCGGGTGGTGGTTCCCGCAGTGGGGTATATTGTATCTGCAAGGTTAAATTTGCACAATTGAACTAGAACAGTTTAGAAGGTTTAGATAGATTAATTCAATACTTTTTATAAATTGCCAAGAGAATTGAATTATTTTACTGATTACTTTGCATTTTTTACTTGGGGAATATGTAGATTTGCTGGTAGTAGTTTAATTAAAGAGGAATTCCTTTGATTTTTGTATAATTTTTCAATTATTGATGTGGTGTAATGCTCGATCCTACACTGATAGATCTTTTCTATGTATGTGGATTGATTATTTTATGTGCTTCTTAGTTCTTGATCATTTCCGTATGCCAACTAAATAGTTGCGGAGGTAAATTCAAGAAAAAAATAATTTGGCCACACAGTCCACTTCCCTCCTTCTCCATCAATCAATCAACACAATGGCTGAACCACAACAAAACCTCAATGATCTAGGTGATGAAGAGATTGAATTTACCGAAGAAGAAAGATTAGAATTCGCAAGAAAGAAATTCGAACAGTTGAAAAAGAAGAGAAAAGCCAAGGAAGCAAAAAGTTCACAACCGCCAGCTACTACTAGTACTACTACTACTGCTGCTGCTACTACTACTTCTTCTTCTGCTATTGCTGCTGCTACTACTAGTAGTATACTTGAAGATGCTGCTGCTGATGTTCATGTAGAACCTTCTCAGGCCACTGAAACTTTACAACCTGATTTTGATTTTGATCCTTATGCTTCACGAACCAGTTATGAAATCAGTGCCACACCTGAACCCGAACATCGCCAATCAACCACAAACGCAGAGCCTGCTGTTAACAAATATGAACCTGTCCCAGCAGCTACTCCCACTCAAGAATCTAAGCCTACACCAGTGCAATTGTCTACCTTCCAGCCATATGATCCTACTCAAGGACTCACAAGTAATGAGTCGCATCCTCTACTGAAGTATTCTCCCAATGTTCCAGAAGCTTATCTGGCTCCTTCGAAGTATGCACCGGCAACTACTACAGCTCCTCCAGCACCACTTTCAACTTTCCACCCATATGATCCTGCTCAAGGAGTTAGCAGTGAGGCTATTCCACCACCACCTTTGAAGTATGCCCCTGCTCCAGCTGCAAGTGATGCATCTCCTGCTCCAGCTTTAAGTGATGCATCTCCTGCTCCAGCTTTAAGTGATGCATCTCCTGCTCCAGCTGTAAGTAATGCATCTCCTGCTCCAGCAGCTGCTCCCAGTATACCGCTTTCAACTTTTCAGCCATATGATCCAAGTCAAGGAATCCAAAGTGAACTTGTCCCATCAGCTCCTATCACAAAGTATTCTCCTGCTCCTGTCGCTGCAGAGACATCTTCAGTTCCACAAGTTCCTGTGAATAAGTATACTCCTGCTTCTACTGATGAGCAATCTGCTGATAAGCCTGCACCAGTTTCACTTACTGCTTTCCTGCCATATGATCCTGCTACTCCTGAACCAATGGAAACAGAAGCAGAAACTGTTTCTGCGCCACCTATTCTGAAATATGCTCCTCCTCCTACTACTACTACTACTACTACAACAGTGGTTCCAGCTCCAGCTCCTTCGCACGCATATGATCCTAAACCTACTAGTACAGATATTTTTACCGTGCCTGCACCAATTACTACCACTGAACATGATCCTGTTCCGATCCAAACTGCTGCTCCAGTGCCCACTCCTTCATTCCCTGGGTCTTTCGATGTTCCAGTCACAGTACAGCCTACAGTTGCCCCTGAAACACCAGCTCAAGATAATTCAGCTCTTCAACAAGAACTTGAGGAATTGAAAAAGACAATTGAAACTCAGAAGAATACAATTAATAAATTACGTGATGAAAATACTGATTTGAAATTATCGCAAATGGATTTGAAAGACAAGATTACTAGATTAGAATCTGAAAACAGATCGCTAAAGGGGTCCAATGCATCCCCTACTGCAGCCATCAATTCACCTTCGGTATACAATCCCAAGATGACTCCAATCAAACCTACAATTACCAGAAATGATTACGCATCAATTTCCCAACAAAGTTTCAGTAAGTTCCCACAATCGGAAAACTTCAGAGATAAATTGATGATTTGGAAAGGATGGCAAGTAGATATGACCAGTTGGACTATAGGTGCATCGCCCAAGGTTGCAATTTAACTATATGTACATTAAAATGAAAACTATTTACAGTATTTTCCCTTACTTAACTCTAAACAAGGCTTGACCGCTTAAATTTCTTTGAGCTGCTTCGTGAACTTCGTAAATTTCATTGTCGGCCTTGATGAAAATAGCCTCGGCAGGTTGTAACGGTGTGATTTTTCTCACTGGCAAACCAGAGGCCAATGCCTTAACGTCTTCTTGACTCAAATTGACACGTTTTCCCGGCTTGGAAATAAGTTGGATGTCCCTAATCACCGATCTATTGTTTCTATATTTCAAGTCTATCCATAGTCTTCTGCTGGAGATATTGTCGGGTGTTACTTCGGTGGGTTCCACATCTGGGCCATTAAGCGATCCTCGTTTAATTCCGGATATGAACCCTTGTTTGTGTAAGCCAAGCACGGTTTGCAAGTGCATTCTGGTGTAGGGGATGGATGTGGTTGCTACACGAACATTATTACAGTTCTTTAAGTGTGCACACAAGTTAGCAAGGTGGACTAATGACATGATGTGTAGTTCCTCTGCGTTGTACTTAGTGTAAACTGTATTGGTGAAAATTTTAATTAAAAAAAAAATCAACCAGTGAAAAAGTTTATCACGTGACTGTGTTTTTTTCTGATCTTCGAATCATCAGGCTATAACCGGAGTTTGAAAAATTGAGCACAAGTGGTTTTCCTCTTTTCTTGATTATCACGCCAGAATATGTTTTCTACAAGGTTAATGCCCAGAGTTGGGTTAATGAGATCTCCATTGGTGAGCAGATCTCCAATTGGTTCATTGAGAAACTACGCTATTCAACATTCAAACATCAAGAGAAAGAGACCAGCTGTGCGTTACATGGTTGGGATGTTTTTATTCTCGACTATCTTCTTATTCTTTGTCTCTGGCCGAGTCGATAAGAAGAAGCGAGTTCAGACCAGTTTTTCAGAGAAGGAATTCGACGAGTATGAAGAAATCACTGGTTTAAAGAGAAGACATAAGTTGATCACTCATGAAATGAATGACAAGTATCAATTTTATGTCATTCCTTATGTTAAACATGAAGAAAGCGTTGAGAGATTGTCTCAAAGATTGGCTCAATTGGATGATAGTAAGAATGTTAAAGTTATTGATCCTACTGAATTGCTTGAACAGGAAAAGGCGGATGAACTGAAAAAGTATAGTTATCTCTTGCAGGATTTGGATGCTGCCAATAGACCATATCCACCAGGATTAATCACTGCTGTGATTAAACAACATCTTACTTTCTTGTTGAACACCAGAGAAGGCACGTTAGACACTACTTATATTATCAAGAACTATCCAAAAACTACTCATGAAGCCATCAAGTTTGAAAATGAAGTTTCTGATATTAAGAAATGTATAGTTTTACAAAACGATGTTGCTAATGAACTTCCTAAAGTCAGCAATGATGAAGAAATAAGAGCCATTAATAACGTCGGTGGATACTTCAATTCCGTTGGAAAATCAACTACGGTTGCCAATGACAAACAACTCAAGTCAATTACCTTAGAAGAATTATAAGTCTCATGTATATAGTCGATTATGTAAATATATCTTCAGGAGTTTTAAATTGTAACCCAGCACCATCAGCGAACTTTTTATCACTATCCAGAAAGTCCTTTTTTCTTCCTGCTGCATCACCGACAAAGAAACTGTTTTCGACGTCAACTTCAAAGCCGAATGAGTTCAAATACTCAACGAGCGCTTCCCACATTCCAATTTCTGGTTTACGTGTATGATTGTGTTGTTCTTCAGTACTACGTCCATAACCTTTTGTAGGCCGTTTAGGTGAGGCAAATACAAGTAAATGCTTCCCAGTCTTGCTTTCTACCACGGCATTGATGTAATTGAGTTTACTAGTAAAATTTGTGTATGATTTACTGGTTTTTTCAGGAATGACCCCACCTTGGTTAGTGAATACCACAAGCAAATACCCTTCCAGTATCAATTCCTGTAGTTTAGCCATGATATTCTTATCCTGCCACCATTTCCAATCAGTAGGCCCTCGCGAGAATTTATATCCTGACTTTGTCTCAATTAATGTTCCATCAAGATCAAATGCTGCAACTTTCACCTGCTTGGACGCAAAGTCGATTGAAGAGGGAACATTCTTTATCAAGTGAGTTCCGATTGTTTTCCAACGCGTTGCAAATAAAGTTATAGATTGGTTGAGTTTAGTTTCTGTTTGTGGTAGACGTGATGTTGATGCTGACGATGATGGTAATTTAGGCTTTGATACTTTTGCAATTGATTTTGGTTTTGTTAGTAACGCAGTGATGTCAACAGGCATGATTAAAAAGTTTTAGTGATGTTTGGTTAAACCTCACTTTTTTGTGCATCTGAAAAAGGGTAATTAAATACTGTGTGCTGCATCAAAATGTCGGAGAAACAATCAACCGATCAATACGGAAGACGAAAATGGAATGTTGAGCTATACGAAGAGGAAGCGAAAACCAAGAAAGAGACAACATCATCATCAGTTCAACTTTCTAAGCAATCAATAATCCAGAGTGAGACATCGTCATCGGAGTACATCAAACATCGAAACAAACTATTACAAGATCTGATCAATGCCGTTAAGCAATTCAACTTGATTAATCCAGAGGTGGATGTGTCAAAGCTGTTTGGTGCTAATAAGCGATTCGGGTTCTTTTGTCCAATTTGTGATTTATCATTCAGGGATAATTTGGCATTGGTTGATCACTTGAATTCACCTCAACATGTACGTAAGGCTAATGAAGCCAGTAGGAAACTAAGAAAAGAAGGTGATCAAGAAGAAAGTGGTGAATTGGAAGGAGGAATACAAAGGGCTAATTTACTGGAGGTTATTTCAACTATAGAACAACTTGTTGCTAGAAGTCTCCGAGATAAGAGTGAATCACTGAGTGGAGGATTAACATTTATGGAGCGAGTAGAAAAGAGAAGGAAATTTGAACAGGATAAACTAGTACAACGGCAACAGAAGCGACAAAGGAAAAGACAAAGGTTACAACAGGACAAACAAGAACCAAATGAAGACCCAATTGCTTCACTCATGGGATTCTCTGGCTTTAGTTCATCCAAGAAGTAGTTGTATAGTAATAATGTATCAATTTACAGGTTATACCTGATGTTTACACTTTTCACACCCCCAACCTGCAAACTTTTTCATCTCTGGTAAATTTTCAGTGATTTTTTTTTCCATCCAATAAAATTAATCTCAAAGAAGTTTACTCAATACAAAACACTAGTGTCCAGTTGAGAGAGAATAGTTGACAATACACACCATGAAATTCACATTCAAGTTCCCCTTGGCTCAAGCGTTAAAGTTCAAGCCAGGAAAGTTTAACTTCCAATTAGAACAAGAAATCAGAACCAAATTGGATTCATTACCATCCGTCACCAAAATCTACACCAACCCTGATGGAACACCAAGAGTTCCAACCGATGAAGAATTCAAGACTATTGCTGAATTACAAAACTTGTACTATAAGAGAAACCACTCCGAATGGAATTTCATATTAGGTACCGTTCCTAAGGATCAATTAGCCATTTACAAAGATAACTCGCAAGATTTGACCAATTTTCAATTTGTCACTAAGGACGCTGGTAAGATCATCGACAAGATCCCATATAAAGACGATACCACTGGTGAATTGAAATGGAAGGTTATTCGTGAAACTGAAAAGGCCGAAGGGTGGGAATTTCCATACTTTTACATTGTATTGCCAATCTTCGCTTACATTCTTTACGTGAAATACCAAAACCAGATGATAGTAAGAGAACAAGATGGTCCAGAATGGGCTGAAAGAGAATTGAGATTAAGAGCTATGGAAGACTACTTCCATGGTGACACCGAAAAGGCCAAGAAGTTCTTGAGCAACGAAGGTAAATCAGCCAGAGAAATTAGAGATAGAGATGACTTGGTGGTTGCTAGAATCTTGGCTGGTGACTATGACAAGTTGGCTCAATTGAAGAAGAACATGCCAAAGGATTTCCGTAGGTTTGAAGAAGATCCTGTTCTTAAGATCTAATCACCTCATATTTATTCATTCACCTTCACCCCCTTAACGATATCTGATCAGATTGAAAAAATGTAACCTTAGCTAATCATGGTTTTTGTATTTACATAGCTTTTATATCAGTCAAATGCATTGCATCTATATATTTACAAAAAAATACTACACGTAGTTTTAGCTTATAATTCACCAGATTCTTCGATGACAATCTTGGACTTAGTGGCACCAGATTGGGAGCCTTCAGCTTCGATCTTTTTAACAACATCGTAACCTTCGACAACTTCACCGAAAACAACGTGCTTACCGTCTAACCAAGGACATGGGACAGTGGTGATGAAAAATTGAGAACCGTTGGTGTTTGGACCAGCATTGGCCATGGATAATAAACCAGGTCTGGTATGACGCTTGCTAAAGTTTTCATCTGGGAACTTGTCACCGTAGATGGAATAACCACCGTAACCTTTACCATATTGGAAATCACCACCTTGTAACATAAAGTTAGGAATAACTCTGTGGAAGATAGAGTTGGCATAACCGAATCCCTTTTCACCGGTACATAAAGCTCTGAAGTTTTCAGTGGTCTTTGGAACAACATCGTCATATAATTCAAAGACAATCTTCTCTTGTGGGACACCACCAATTGAAGTCTTGAAAAAAACCTTGGTACCTAAAACACTAGAAGAAGAAGCAAAGGTTCTGGCGGAGTTTAAGTTTAATTGGAAAGTCTTGGCTAAAGTGGTCTTGAACATTGTTGGAGTTTTTATGATGAAACAGTAACTGTTGCTGAATCAAATTTTTTTCATGGGGAGGGATTTTTCAACCAACCCCCTCGTTTTTCTGCGGGTTTCCATCAAAATCCGGAACTTAGAATAATATACAGGAGATTTCTGAGACTATTTTATTTCACGTATATTGTAGTTTATAAAGAAGTAATAAAGAGGAGGAGAACTATATAGGAAAATACTGTAAGAATAAATGCTTTTACACACAAACTAAAAGCTTAACAAGTCAATTTCTCCATCGTTCTTAGCACTAGTATTGTTGGTTTGATTAGTGTTGTTGTTATTGTTTGAATTGAACCCACCAAAGAAATCATCATCATTCTTGGCAATTGGAGTGGCAGTGTGTGATGGAATGGTAGATGATGGTTGGGATGTTGTCTTGGTTTTGGTCTTTGCGGATGAGAATAACGACGAGAATGCATCGACATTGGCTGCTGGTTTAGCTGGACCAGTGGATGTGCTGACATTGTAATTAGCACCAGATCCAAATGACGCAACTCTTTGCTGTTGTGGAGGTTGACCGAAAAGTGGCTGTTGATGTTGTTGTTGTTGTTGTTGTTGTTGGGCAAAAATTGGTTGTTGAGGCTGTTGTTGAGGCTGTTGATGGTATAAGTTAGACAAGTTGTTGGAGAGGGTTGGTTGTTGTTGCTGTTGTGGTTGTGAAGGAGCAGCTTGGAAATCATCAAAGTCATCATCATCATCTTCATCAGCAGGAGCAGCATGTTGGGCTGGTGCACTAGAACCTGATCCGTCAAATGAAAGTAAATCACCTAACAAATCTTCTTCTGGTTTCTTTGGTTGTGGCTTGGATTTAGAGGCTTTAGCAGCAGCATGGGCAGTAACTCTGGATGAACTTGTGGTTGGTTTTGAAGATCCCGAAGATGGAGTTGAACTTCCAACATCATATTCTTCAAAATTGTCTTTCCCTGTTTGTCCATTGCTATAAGCCGCAGCAGGATCATCATATCTTTCACCATATACACCACCATCTCCATATACTCTATTAGTAAAATCATCATCGTAAGTAGGGCCAGTAGTAATTGACGAGGCACCACCAAATGCAGCCGAAGAAACACCACCAAACTTCTTCGAATTAGCTCTAGCCTTCTTTCTTTCGGATCTAATCAAGCTGTCATCATTCAACAATGCAATCAAAGTCTTGGCTCTATTTCTAACATTGATTCCCTGATCTCTTCCTTTGGAATCTATATAATGGAAAGATTTCAACATTTGAATCAAGGACAAATTGGCTCTGACATCGTCAATGATTCTCTCAGACCCGTTTTTGATTAAATAATCCAACAATTGTAATGATTTATAAATTTGTCTCCATTCATTGGCTGCCTTCTCAGTAAATCTTCGGAAAATAAACCCAATGATTTCCTCACGCTCACGATAATTATATGTTCCAGCAGCGATTTGTGTCATCAATGTGGAAGGAGCACCCCATGGTTCATTGTTGGTGGCTTCACGTACTTTTGCCTCCATTTCAGTCAAGTTCATAGCCACATTTTGGGCTTTACGAACATAGGCCTTAACTTCATAAAGATTAAGGTTCTTGGCAGCATCCTTTAGAAGATCCATCTTGTAAACAATCAATTTATCAATCTATGTACTTTTATGCGATGTATAATGTATATCTGACAACGATATATTGAGTTGGTTATGGGGGGGCGTTGGATTGTATTGATTTGAACAATTGATTGAGGTGTTTTCTTGTTCTTTCTTTTTTTAGGTCGACTCCTCCGGCCTTTCGGCAAAGAAATGAACATTTGGCAAAATCTGGAAATTCTGTCTGTATGCAGGATGAGGTATTTTCCCTCAATTGGCTGCTAATTTTATAACTATATACTATTTACTGTATATCTTCTCTATATTTATTAGGTCAACCCCACATGTGTGCTTCTAATTGTTTGTGGAGAATGGTTGTTCGATTGGGAAATTAAAATTAGTAATATCCGTTTGGCTGATTTCCACCAATTTTCTTTTTATGAAAATTTCGGCCAGAATTTGACCGAATAAATACAATGTTTAGATAAAGTTAAAATGACTATATTTTACATAGCTTTACACTACTTATGACTATACTTTCTCTTAATACCAGCAGTTAACTCTTTCAATTGACTCAAACTAGTCAGCAATGACGCCTTACTATTCCTCTTGGGTGATCCACTAGGTGTACTTTCCCCAATAACCCCCTGGCCAAACCCGCGCAATATCGAAGTATCATTATTCCCAATAGTACTGATAGTGCTATTAAAAAACGTCGAATTGTTAACACTGCTCCTGTTTCTTATTAATGCCGGCAAGAGAGACCTATTTTGCACACTGGCCACCATGCTTGTACTATTGAACGAATTGTTGGTTGTGTTATACCGAGGATGTCCTGTTGAATTAATGTGATTTTGCAAGTAATCGTACTTGCGTAAGTTTTTCACCAGGCTCAACATTTTCGTTTCAATTTTTTGGATTTTGGCTGGTGGTTCGTATGTAGTTGCTTGTTTTTGTTGCTTTTCCCTGTCCAACAAGATCTTCCTTTTGTTTCCACGACTTGTCAATGTTCCATCAAAATCTTGACTAATCTTGAAAAATGCTTGGGAAAGGATATGGTTAATATCTGAACTTGTCATATCGCACAATATCAAATTGGACAAGTTCGAACATGCATTGAAACTGGCTAAATTCAACAATTCAGAAACTTTTTCCGTGGTGATTCCCGACTGAGTTGCATCCCAAAACACAACCAATACATGGACTTTATAATAACTGTACTTGTCAATCAATGAAATAATCTTACGAAGCACTCGGAAATCACGCTGTAACTTTTCTTCAATTGACCCATTCGGCTTGGTCAATCCACATTCAAACAACACAAATGAGGTATTTGAAAAGAACTCTTTCGTCAAATATTCTTGACTAGGCAAACTAGTAAACTTAACTGTGATATCATCGTCATTTATCAAGTTCTCATAGACCATATTCTTAGAATCTGGTTTTAATTGTAGTTTAGAATTGAGCCATTTGGAATACAGAGTGGACCAGTTCTCAACCACCAACAAAAACTTCAATTGCACCTCACTACTAAGTTTATATTTGATATTCTTCACAATTAAATTCATAAACGAATCAAGATCAATCGGAGCCCACAACGCCTGGACTTCCCTCTGGCGATTTGTGATATCCACATTCAGATATTGTAATCTCTTGTCCGTTTCTGACCTGTCACGTGAAGTATGTTTCAAATGCTGCCTGAATGAAACCGATTCCAACTCTTGAGCTCTCCGTTTCCGTTCTTGATATTGAACCAACAATTTACTACTCTTGTCTGCCAATTGATGAATTACACGTTTTGTTAAACAACGCTGGTAATATCCGTCCGCCTTGGCTTCAGCTGCAGTTTCATAAATCACCTCAGACAAGAAAGCTTCATATAAGTCATCACTTAATTTTTCAATAACACGAGCCCGCTCAGTTTGAATAGCGTGGGCACGCATACATTGTGTAATAACATTGACCAATTCAGCATCAACACAATTTCGGACAATATCATTCATAGTTTCCCGCGCTGCTTGGGAAAAGTGAGGTGAGTCAACTAGACGTTTAGGAGGTATTATTTCTGGAGTAGGTGGCTTTACAACAACATTCGACTGAGAACGTGGTGGAATAGGCGCTACTGGTGAGGATTCAATCTTGATTGGAGATTGCTTTGTGCCTTGATTGACAGGTGGTATGAATACAGGTTTTGGTTCTGGTGCAGTTGATGGTCTAACAGTGTTGAAATCAAATGTAGGTTTGGTTGGTGGTGCATCCTTGGGCTTATTCATTCCGAAAAGGCCACTGGAAATATTTGTCTTTGGTTTGATGTTGGAAAACAAATCAGGAACCGTCTTTGGTCCAATTTCATCATCATTCATTTCAATATCAGGTTTAGCCATTCGTGGTGGTACTGGCGCTGCTGGTGCTGGTGCTGGTGCTGTTGCTGGTGCTGCTAGCGCAGGAGGCTTATCGAATCTAATTTCAGTCGGAGCAATATTTCCTCCTACATTAGTAAATGGTTGAAACAAGCCTGTATTGACAGAAGGCTGTTGCATGACCTCAACTTTTTTAATTGTATCTTGACTAATTATCTTTGGTTGTGTTGCAAGATGTAAATTCTGATTGGGTTTCCCCCGATTTATAAAGTACTTCCAATTAAGTCCCTGGATTTTAGAATTCAATCTATGTGAATAATATGGTGAAGGTTTTGGCTTTGCATGGAAAGAATGTAATTTATACTTTGTTTCTAGCTTTTCCTTATTAAATAAATCAACCACAAAATGTCCACTACTTTCTTGGATTACATCAATATCGTAGTAACTCACAAATTTAATCACCTGTTCTACATTATCAAATCCAAGAATATCACATAATCCTTCAGTCAGGTATGGTTTCCCCTTACTATGATAACTTCTAGCCATAGCTTTCAAAACATAGAACCGAATTTCGTTAAAGTGTGTTTCCAAAAGACATGTCATTAAGAATGGAACCTGATCACTGTAGACCATGCGGAAAAACTTGACAAATAAATTCAACCCTCCGACAGTATTCGTGACTCCTCTTTCCACAATATTATTTTGAGAAATTATGTTTCGTAAAGTCAATGCTATTTGAACTTGGGAATCGTTATATATTTCATTAGGCAAATTCTGAATCTCTCGTTCCAATTCAGGGTCTCGGATATGACTTAGCAAATGGTATGCTCTAAATTCAGCTTCATTGGGTGAACTTCCACCATTGTTGCGCACATCGGTATAGATTTCCATCAACGTTTGAAGAGCTTTATTAAACTGTTCCAATTCTTGTTGTTGTGAATATTCAACATCACTACCAGCCATAATATGCAAGGAAAGCAAATGAATACGAACAATACGTTCATTACAATCAATAGCCTCAGGACCAAAACTATTCTGATAGGTGAAATCTTGTCTAATGGATCTAGTCCTATCCCATATAAATGAATGTGCTTCAGGCAAATGGTCTATAACATTGTCAATAAGATAATCCAATGTTTGGACAAGGATATGGGGAGGTCGTACTTCTGAAGGGAGTGGAGGTGGTTGTCCTGCAGCTGGTCTCGAGAATGCCTTGACTGCTTTCTGAGGTGAGATTTTCTTGGTTATAGGATCTTTTTCAAGATCCTTAACGTTGTTTTCCAATTGACGTCGCACTCTTTCGAATACTGGACACATGTCTAGACATGAACCTTGGAATGAAATTGCATCGTTAAGATCCTTGGCAATGTTTTCAGCATCCACTAATCCCAATTCTTCCATCTTCTTTCTTTCTACTTCACGTAACTTTTGAAATGACTCGTAAAGGCCCTGATAATCACCTTTGCTCAAGTTTTCCGTCTCCATTTTCACCATAAGGGCTTGATTTTCTTTATCCCATTGATTTTGAACGAATGGGGGAGTATGCAAGAGTCTAGCTTGTGGGAGAAGGTACTTCGGTACTGGACGGGGAGGGATCGACTTGTTCGAATATCGTTGAAATCCCAATTGCTCAGGGTTGGAAAACAAACCTCCTATTGACGCGATCTCTTGCTGTGAATATGACTGGATTTTTCCTGGGTTTTGCCGTGGGATGACTTTGGTTGGCCTGTCCAAGGGATCAGGCAGGTATGTTGATTCCTTCGCTACTTCCTCGAATCGACTTTTAGAATTCTTATTTCGTTTCTGGTCATTGTTTATTTTGTTGGATTTTGTATTGCCATTGATATTAGGGAACTTCTTTCGGTTCCCACTCCTTCGTGGGTCATTGTAGTTGTTGTCGAATATCTTCTGGTTATTTGCTGATCCATTGATATTCATGGTCGCACTTCCAAATGCCGACATGTTTCAAGTTATTCTGATTAACAGAATTGTGTAATGTGATGAATGAATGAATCAGTCTTACCGGACCGTTCGAAATAATGCAAGTAGTAGAATGTATTGATTGGAAACAAAATGTAGTGGTGATAATTTATGCTCACTTCAAATTTTGTTTTTCCTTTTACGTACGACATTTGATGGTCGCAAATTATCGCCATGACATTTAATTGACATTGATGTTACATGAAGCCTATATCTATATTCTATCATAAAAAGACCGCATCAGGTCAGTAGTTGTATCATACGAACGAATGTGATTGGTAATGGTTACAGGTTTGCATTGCAGTTCAAAGAATATGGGTTAATCCTTCAAGGTGATTATATAAACTCCATAACCAGATCTCAATTGTCCACTTAACATATGCGATGAAACTGTAGACATTCGCAAACCGGCATCTATTATAACATAACGTATAAAGCTCTCTATAGTGATTGAATCTCGTAATTGCAAAGCGACAATAGCAATGGACTCAGCTCCTAACAACATCTTCATAGTATTGACGAAATGCGGGATGAGATACTCATTATAGATTGTATCACACGCGAGAATGATATCCGGAGGCCCACTATTAGATGTGAGCTCATGATAATTGTGCATTCCCTGCTCTAACTCTTCCCAGTCAAACTCAAGCACATCAACTATAGGTAGAGTATCTTTTTTATCTTTCTTCAGTTTGGAAGAGCTGCCGTTAGTCAACGTAGAGCTAACGTATGGTGTCGTTATATTCGATTCTATATTCTCCTTAAGCAACTTCAATATATGTTTCTGGTCAGTGGCGGTATATCTTTTAACTTTTCCTGCTAACACAGATGCACAAATCCCACCTACTCCCGCACCCAACTCGATAACAGTACTCAGTTTCAGCAACAACTTAGTCACATTGCTAGTCAGTAACCAGTCAACTAAAAAAACTGAAGACCACCAACACAAGAACCCGGTAGTTGAACTTGTCTTTTTCGTAGAAGATAATTCTGTTAATGACTGTTTGATTTTCAAATCAATACCTGTTTGAGGTAATGAGATCTCGATAGTGTTGGAACTCCGATCAACATATCCCAAATTTGATGGAGGAGCTCCCTCCGAATAAAGTTCAAAGATATGATCGTCTATATCATTTCGGTCAATTTCATCAAACTGCAGAACTATATTATTTATACTCATCGATACCTTCGATTCATCTCTCTGGTTTCAGCCCACTTCCCCCACGAGGTGTTTTTTTTTCTTCTGCCTGTCTTACTAAATATATAGCTTACGCGATTCAATCTAAAATACTTCTGATTATATTAAATTTTCTATACCTAATTAACTATCTTTTTCTATTGACTTAGATAAGACCCTTAGCATTAAGGATTTCACCAATTAAAATACCAGCACCAGCAGCACCAATGATAGTGTTGTGGGACAAGACAACCATCTTGAAATCCAAGACGGGATCTTCTCTAACTCTACCTACAGAAACACCATACCCATTGTCTCTATCTCTGTCCAAACGGGGTTGTGGTCTGTCTTGTTGTTCTAAAACGTGGATGGTTTGCTTAGGAGCAGAATGACATCCTAATTTCTTAGCGTCACATTCATATTCAGCTAAAGCCTTCTTGACTTGTTCTACGGATGGTGGTGGTCTTTTGGCAAATCTAAAAGAGATACATTCAGTATGACCGTCAATAACTGGAACTCTGTTACATTGAGCACTAACCTTCATGTCAGAATCTGGAATTGGAGTGAATTCAGTACCTTCAGCATTAACACCACCTAAAATCTTTTTGGTTTCCCATTCTAATTTATCTTCTTCTCCACTAATGAATGGAACAATGTTGTCCAAGATATCCATACCGGAAACACCTGGTGAGAACCCAGCACCAGAAATAGCTTGTAAAGTAGTAGCAGTCAAAGCATCAATAGGACCAAAGGCATCAACCAAAGGTTTCAATGGTGCGACTAAACCAGCGGTGGAACAGTTTGAGATACAGATGATAAACCCAGGTCTCTTTTCACCCTTGGCCTTGGCGGCATTCACACGGTTAGCAACAACATCAATGTGTTCGGGATTGATAATTGGAACCACGAGTGGAACAGTAGGTTCTCTTCTATAATTCTTAGCGTTGGAAACAACTGCGAGGCCAGCTTCAACAAATGCCTGTTCGATATCACCAGCGTATTTGGCATCTAAACCAGAGAAGACAATGTCACAATCGGCAAATGCTTCTGGCTTACATTCTTGAACGACAATGTTTCCTACGGATTCAGGTAATAATTCTGTTTGTCTCCATGCGGTGGCTTGACTATATGGTTTACCAGCAGAACGAGGAGAAGCACCAAGGGCATGGATTTCAAATTCTGGATGTTGAGTCAACAACAAGATGAATCTTTGACCGACGGAACCAGTGGCACCTAAAACACCAGCTTTCTTAATTGACATGGTTGATTATATGTTTGTTGTAGAAAACAAAAAGTAATTGAAAAAGAATTTCAACAAAGTGACTAATTTTTTTTGTATCATCTGATTGATTATGATTCATAGTTTACACATGACCTGAAAAAAAAAAAAAATTTCCTGTGCCGGCGAATAAGTCCCCCGGGATCGCAATGTCACAAATGAGTATTTACAGAAATACACCTTTGCTTGTGGGAACTTCCATGAAAACAGATATAAAACCACCAAATTAAACATACCTATGAAATGTTGAAACGATCCATAATAGTTTTACATTTGTTTTTCTTTCAAAAGCTGCAATTTCGTTAGTCGGCAGTCAGATGGATTCTTTTTCTTTACTAAAGATGTATACTAATCTCAGAACCCAATAACTTAAGGATACACTACTCAGATCTGAAGAAAATTTCAATTGTTTAACATCTATTATCTCGCCCAAAGAAGCTAGAGGTACAGCCATAAGTCATGGGCAATGAGCTAAGATATATAAGAACTCTCTTTGAAAACCTATACTTAAGATAGAACTCCGCTACCAGATGAATGAGCAGCCATTGCACTTTTTCATAATTGGGTTAGAATATCTTGATAGGTACCTGTAATACAGATTTGTGACACTCTGAGCTGATTTCTATACTTTCTTTATTTGTAAAAATTATTGCTGGTCATTATGATTAGACGTGGATTTTGGCCATCAAATTTCGAACGCGCTTTTTTTCAACATTGTTAGAAAAAAGCAAACCCACAAACTATTTCATCCATCACTATTGATACAACTCTACCTACAAGCTCCACCCCACATCATGGTCAATACTGATTTTGAAAAGATATACCTAAATCAATCAAAGCTCCCGGGAAGGATGCGTATTGCTGACTCTGGTCTTGGTTGGAAAGCCATCAATCCACCAGCAGGATCAAGCGCAGCTCCATCAGTTCCCTTTCTCTTGCCTCTGGAAGAATTACTTACAGCCCAATGGTCTCGTGGATCTCGTGGGTATGAATTGAGAGTGCAGACCAAGAATAAAGGTGTTGTAATGCTTGATGGATTCGATGTTGATGACTTTGCCCAATTGAAACAAGAACTCGCAAGAAACTTTTCTGTTACATTGGAACATAAGGAACATTCCCTTAGAGGTTGGAACTGGGGAAAGACTGATTTGGCTAGAAATGAATTGGTTTTCCAAGTTAGTAACAAACCAGCTTTTGAAATTACTTATGATTCCATTAACAATTCTAATTTAACTGGTAAGAATGAAGTTGCCATTGAATTCAATTTAGATGGTGGTGCCAATAAAGCCGGTGATGAAGTTGTCGAAATGAGATTTTATGTTCCTGGGACCGTTGAAAACGAGAAAAAGACTCCTCCAAAGAAGGAAGAAGGCGAAGAAAAAGTTGATGAAGAACCAGAAGTGAATGAAATCAGTGCCGCTCAAGTATTTTATGAACAATTGAGAGATAAAGCTTCTATTGGCCAAGTTGCCGGTGAAGCAATTGTTTCATTCGGTGATGTGTTATTCTTGACTCCAAGAGGTCGTTATGATATCGATATGTACCCTACCTCCCTCAGATTACGTGGTAAGACTTACGATTACAAGATTCAATATGATCAAATCGATAGAATATTTTCCTTGCCTAAACCAGATGAAACCCATCATTTGATTATCTTACAAATTGACCCACCCTTGAGACAAGGTCAAACAAGATATCCATTCCTTGTTCTTCAATTCGCTCGGGAAGAAGAAACCGAATTAGAATTGAATTTGAGTGACGAAGAATTCAATGCCAAGTACCAAGACAGATTAAAAAAGAGTTACGATGCCCCAACTCATGTAGTTGCTTCTCATTGTTTCCGTGGACTTACGGAACGTAAATTGGTTACTCCTGGTTCATTCCAACTGAGATTCTTACAACCTGGTGTTTCATGTTCCTTAAAGGCATCAGAAGGGTATTTATTCCCATTGGACAGATGTTTCTTATTTGTCACCAAACCTACTATCTATATTCCATTTACTGAAATTAGTGATGTTACCATGTCACGTACTGGTGGATCGCGTACCTTTGATTTAGAAATCAATGTTCGTGGTTCTAACCAATCTCACGTTTTCGGAAGTATAGACAAGGAAGAACAAGAAACCATTGAAAGATTCTGTGCTGAAAAGGGAATTAGAGTCAAAAATGAAGAAAAGATTGCTAAAGCCATGTTGGCCAAGGCTATTAAGGAAGGTGCTGCTGATGAAAGTGATGATGAAGATGTTGATATGGGAAGTGCTGGAGAAGACGATGAAGAAAGTGCTGATGATGATTTCCAATCTGGTTCCGAATCAGATGTAGCTGAAGAATTTGATTCTGAAGCTTCTGCATCTGATTCAGAAATGAGTGATGCTGAAAAGGACGATAGACCACCAAAGAAGAAGGCTAAGAATTAAACTGTGTTTTATAGTTTGTTAAAGTAATTGTACAAATTTAGTATGAAAGAGTACCACCTCTAGTTTCGTTAATCAAGCTATGGAAGAATATCCGTCAAGCAGACTAAAACAAGGGAATGTGATAATTGATACACTAAAGTTGCTCTATATTATTCTCTTGCATATGTGATACTTGCCCATCCATTTCTATTTGCTTGACCAAGAGGCTACTCAGTTGATACATTGCCTCCTTTGAATATACCACTTCATTAGCAACCGTTAGATTATCCGAATCTCCCCCTACCAAACCGCCTGATTTTTCTAGTTGCAACCAAAATGTTAAATTAAGTTGTATGTTAATTTTCTCACGGTAAACAACAACAAATTTCAACCTTAACCATAAAAAACAAACAACCGCCCAAAAAAGAAAATTTTACTGGCTGTCAATAAATAACCAAACCTTTCCAGAAACAAATCAATCAATCAAGTTAACGGGGTAATCAGACTAAACTACAAGTTGAATATTACCCAATTATAACAATTTGCGAGGATAGTTTGGAATAAAACAAAATACTACAAGTAAATTCCCGACAACAGTTTATTGAAAAAAAAAAGCACAATGTCTGAGGTATGTTGGATTCTAGTTACCTCCTGGTTTCTTGAGAAGCCCTATTTGGGGGTATTTCTTGTATGAAGGCAATAATCATGAATATTTAGGTATTCTGAAGGTTGAGATGAGCCAATTGGGGGCGCTATTACAACTTTTCTGTTGTTGGAATATCGTGTGTATGGGCCCGTTCAAACGCAATCAACTGAGTTTCCACTGATTTTGTGATTATGTTATATTACCAAGGATCAATTAGAAATCCTTACTAACACTTTTTTTTTAGGTGAAAAGAACAATTAGAATAACCACGGAACAACATATCTTGAAAGATGTGCCTCCTGTAGAAAACTACCCAATGAGACAATGGAACATTCAGATTAGTATGTTGGATGCCTCTGGTCAAGAAATACCTGCTAATATCTTGGACAAGGTGACATACACTTTACATCCAACTTTTGCCAACCCAATAAGAACAATAAAACAATCACCATTCAGAGTCGAAGAACAAGGGTGGGGTGAGTTTGATATTCCTATCTCGGTCCACATTCTAGGTTTGGCTGGTAAGGCAGGTGAACGTAAATTCCAACATGATTTGAACTTCTATCAAGAAAAATATGTTAATGACCATGTCATATCGATTCCAGTCTCCAGCACCAAGAATCCAGCTTTGAATAAGCTCTTATTGGAAAGTGGCTCTTTGCCTTTTGATGATGGCTCTGCAGCTGGCGCCAAGAGGAAATTAGAAGGAAATGGCTCTTCCTCTGACTTGTCTAAGGTAAAGAAACTGAAGAGTGGAACTACTGCAGGTGCTGCTGTAAAAGGAAGTGTTGATCTCGAGAAATTGGCCAACGGCTTGACTAAATTGAATGAAGATGATTTAATTGTCATTGTCCAAATGGTAACTGACAATAGAACCAATGAAATGAATATCAAGAATGATGTTGAAAGTGGTGAATTTACAATGGATTTGTACACATTACCTGAATCCTTGTTGAAAAGTTTATGGGAGTATGTCAAGAAGCATACCACTGAAGCATAAGTTGTTTGGTAATGCTTTTTTTTTTTAAGTTTAAAAATGTAGTTTGTTGAAGTTGTAGTGTATTAGGTTTTGTTTATTCATATTCAAAATAAATCTAGATAATAATCAAGTAAAAAGAAAATTATGGTTACACGGACCAAACCTTAATGGTTGTGTCCCAAGATCCGGTAGCTAGAGCGACGCCATCTGGACTTACACTGACTTGGTTAATCTTATTATTGTGATCATTACCGACTGAATCTACGATTTCATTCTTTAATGTATCCCACACGATACAGCCTTGCTCCAGGTAGCAAGCATATATAAATCTTCCACTTTTCCCGAAATCGAGGGAATAAATACCTTGGTTTTCAATTGCAGAATTAATACTAGTATTGGAGTTCATCCATTCTGAATCATCAAGTCTAGTGAGAAATGTTTGGCTTATCTTTCCTTTACTGTAGTCCGTTTGAGGTATTGTCTGTTCTGTTAGTTGTGGAATCCCCGCACCACCAGCACCACCTGGTGTTTGTAACTGAGCTAATAAATTATATGTCGATAGTTCACAATCTGATCTCATATCGAATAATCTAACCAATCCATCATCTGATCCTGTGATAAATGCACCACCACCTGGGAACGCCTTGACAGAATTAACATCACTATTTGAAATAAAGAAGTTTTGACTAGGTGTTGGTGATCTTAAATCCCAAATTTTAGCATATCCATCAGCAGAACCTGAGATGAACACATTAGCATTGAAAATACTCTGAGGGAATATTGCTAACGACAATATATCGCTTACATGATCAATGAAATCGCGTACTTTTCTTCCTTTGGTGACATCCCACAATATACATGTCATATCTCCGCTGGCTGTAACAATAGAACTATTATCAATAAACTCACATTCAGAAATGTAAGCTGTATGACCTTTAAAAACAGACTCAACTTTTTGATAAATTCCCTGATTTGGTTGATTGCCACCTCTATAGGATATCGGATTGGTTATGGTATCGGGTTTGATCTTGTATATAGTACATACATTATCCAACCCACCCAGTGCTGCCAATTTCTCATCGGCAGAATAGCTACAAGTTAATACCCAGGTATTTTCAAGTTGAATTACATGCTTTTTAAATCCGGTAATTGGGTCCCAGATAAACATGTATCCATCTTGTGAAGCTGACAATATCTTGGAACTATCTGCACTCCATACTAACTTGGCAACTTTGTTCTGGTGTCCCTTGAGAGTATTGTAAAGTTTGAGAGTGCATGAGTTTCTCGGGATGGGGGCAATTACTCTGGCTGCAGATTGCATGGTAATATTTTGAGTATGAGTTTTAAGTCTGAGGATATCATTGTAGAGTGTTCGTGCTTGGTATTGGGCTGCCTTTATCTGATCAGCTAGTGAAGTATTTCGATCCATTAAAGATTGATTGACGTAGAAATGACAAAACTTGGGGTTTAATTTAAAGAATTTATAAGTTTAAAATAAGAAATTTTATGGAGTCATTGATACAGTCAGAGGGAGAATGAATTTAAGAAATAAACTATTAGGGTTTTACTTCAGAAGCATGTTCAACTATTATGAATTCGTATTGGCTGCAAATGCAATTAAATTACGAGACAAACACGTTTGTTTCCTATTTGCATTCTACTTTATACAACTATCTACCACTTTAGTGCTAAGAGAATCACTATAATGATATGATTTGCTTTAGTTCCAAGAGTTATACCAATATTTTAAATTATGAGCCATGTAACAAATCAACTTTATTTCTGTGTTTGGCACTTTCTGCATGAGAGTTCCTTGTTTTCTAACCTCAGTTTCTTCGAACAAAATTGTAGCCTTGTTACATTTTCATCTGAATCTATTCATTCTTGTTGGCACTAATCGTAAATCTACATATATTAATACATAAATAAAAATCTATTATATGAAGCATTCTATGTGCACTTAAGCTTCTTTCTGGCTGGTTTGCACTGATGGGACAGGAGCTGCGGCTGTCTTCTTGCTTCTAGGACCTTTGGTTCTTGGTTTCAGTTCTCTATCGAGGTCACCTGTAACTCTCAGTAAATATCCAGGCACAGGAAGTCCACTCTTCAAGAAAAACATCTTCCAATTTCTTGCCTTATCTTTCAATTGCACTTGCGTTCTATTTTTAAGTGCTTCTGAAATTTTACCACCATTTCCAAACAATTCAAGAATAGTTGCCCATTGTGGTCCCTTGAGCTCAAGGGCATGACGTAAAGCCTTTTCTTCGTCCCTTGTCCATGGACGTCTGTGTCCGGTACGCAGGGTGGTTCCTGGGTTTATACGGAGATGAATTTGACGCTCGACAATTTCGGATGGGAGCAAAGTACTAGTTAGGTTTTGATAATCTTCTGACAGTTCTATGGCTGTTGAGTCATTCGTAGGTTCTGTTGATGGTGCATTCGTAATCAGATTTTGAACTGGTACCCTTGGTTGGGCTTCTGGTGTTTCACGTTGTAAGATTTCGTCACTGTGTGGAGTTGCCGATGTATCTTCTTTATGCACTCTTTCTCGCCTACCTCGTTTACCCCAGATTAAAAACCCGACATTCTTACCCACATAGTCAAACAACTCTTTTAAAAATGTAAACCATTCGTATTCTTCACTCAAGTTTCCTTCATAATTCAAAAGGATTTCCTTTCTGGTATTACACCTATCTACGAAATCCAATTCCATAGGCGAAAGTGCCTTGGTACCACGACGGGATAAAAGGATCTCATCCAAGTTATTTGGCAAAATATCTTCCAAGATCTCCTCTCGTGATCTTTCTCCTGCTTCAATTGCAGATATGTAAGCTTGGGTTTTCAAATCTAAATATAAAGTAGCTTGTGGTTTCAAAAGTTTACCTACTTTTTCGCCAATAGAGAAATTTCCACTTTGTAAACTTTGATTGTTAATACCCATATTTGATAAAGCATTCTCTAACTCGAGATTATTTGCAGGACAAAATACATCCAAGAACGATTCGTTCAAGTAGAAGAACCCGACTTCAATAGTACCTAATGTAGCAGCGAGAAATGTAGCCAAATTCACTTTACGCAAAGTCGATTCAATACTTTGTTCTCGGTTTCTAAACATAGTTGGAGTCATGTCTCCCTCCTTCCACATTCCTGGAGCAATGTGCTCAACAGTTAAGAATGGATCTTCTTCTGAGTATAATCGTTTCGTGAATTCAAACAAGGATGTAAGATCTCTGTATGTAGCACCAGCAGGAGTATCTGGGTTAGAAGCTAAGTCGATAATCTTTTGATAGGGTCCGCTGGCCACGATTCTTAGTAGTTGAGTAGCCAAGTTATCCAAGGTTGGAAGTGTGTTGATTAATAATTGGATACGTGGTGGAAGATAATCAGGTGCAACAATTGGAAGAGGTAAACCGTGTAAATTAGCACTTGCTAATGCTGCCACTGGAGGAAGTTCACTTGCGAGGGCGTTATATGCAGCTAATGCGGTATTGGTGTTTAGAAGTTCGGAGTTGGCCGGGATTGTTATACCATCAATAGTAGTAGTTTCAGGTTCCTTCTCTTTGTTGGCTTCTGTGGCTGTTTCTAATTGGTTCGCTATCATTTCAAGATCGTTTTTCTCATTAACGGGTTCATTTTCTTCTGCAATATCTTCAGATTGTGTTTGTTGTTGTTGTTGTTCTTCGTTAGGGTGAGATGAGTCAGTTTGGATTTGTTGTTCTGACTCTGTCTGTTCTTGTGTAGCTTCATCTGATGTGTGCTCGTTCTCGGCCCCATTGAGTTTAGTGCGTTTAATATCGTTATTACTTGTGCTTTCTTCTTCCAAGTTTCTCTTGTTGTGTTGATTGTGTTCTTGTCCTGCTTCTTCTCGCTCCTGCTTGGCATCTTCTACAGAAGTATGAAACAAAGTATCGATGTCGTTAAGTTCGTCTTCATGCTGTTGTTCCAGTTGGGCATTTACTTCTTCATTTTGTGTCTCTCCATCTTCTGTACTTGGTTGTATCGTTTTATTTTGTTCCTCTCCTGTTTGCACGGTTGAAGACGGTTGATTGACTAATTCTTCCTGTTCTTTATTAATCTCCTCAGATATATTTCCACTAATCTCGTGTGAATCGGACATATTTCAGTTAGGTTTAAACTTATACTTTATCTATAGCATCGTAGTATTTGTTTTGGTTTTTTCTGGCTTGTTTTTTTTTTTGCCTAGATGCCTTGTCTTACATGCAGGACTGGTAATATGCTAGATTGCATGGTAATAATAAGAGTAAGACTTCGAACAAAAACAAGATAATAACACTTTTCACAGCTTAAGTCATTAGATGATTACACGTTTGGAATCAGATTTCCAAGTACTGATATGGATCAAAACTAAAGAGACGGCACTTACGGCAAAGATTCACCACATGTCCCCACATTCATCACCTCTCATTCAAAAGCGAAACGAGAGATAAAGGTTCTTCTAATTAGGTAAATTCTTGCGGTGGGGCTTGTTTTCATTAGCACAAAACCTTGTTTCGGGTAGGATGCCTTATGAGCTGTATAGTGCAACGTTGCCGCTAGAAGGTGCAAGATCAAAGAACAAAAAAAAAAGCGACTTAGTTTTTCCTAATTGGGATTAAGGCGACAAAGTTGTCAAAATGATGATGCTCTGTGAACCCCAGCGCGCATGTCCAAATTGGGTAATATCCGCTAATCAAAAAGTTATCGCAAAACATCAATGTCATTTCCCGATATCACGGATACATAAATAGCAAGGTTAATTTCCTTCTCTTTCAAAATATTTCTTCTTCTTCTTCTTTTTCTTCATTAGTACTATTTGCTAATTCAAATGTCCATTTGTTCACAATACTTCCCAGAAGAGCCAAAGGCTCCAGTTGTTGCTACTCAAGAACATCCAAGTGTTAAATCAAAGGTTGGTATCGCTTCCTTAGGTAAAGTTTTTGACTCCCGTGGTGTCTACTTTGTTGCCGATTACCAAAAGTCTAACGGTAACTACATTGCAGATGTTGATGGAAACGTTTACTTGGATGTTTATGCTCAAATCGCATCAATCCCATTAGGTTACAACAACCCTGTGTTGCACGAAGTTGCTCAATCTGATAAGATGATTAGAGCTATCATTGATAGACCAGCTTTGGGTAATTTCCCAGGAAAGGATGCTGAAGAAATCATCTCCGAAATTTTAAAGGTTGCTCCAAAGGGTCAAGACAAAGTATGGTCCGCTTTGTCCGGTGCTGATGCCAATGAATTAGCATTCAAGGCTACCTTTTTCTGGTACCAAGCACAAAAGAGAGGTTACAATACCGAATTCTCTTCTGAAGAAGTTTCCTCAGTTATGCACAATCAAGCTCCAGGTTCTCCAGAATTAGCTATTTTATCTTTTGAACGTGCTTTCCATGGTAGATTATTTGCTTCTGGTTCAACTACCTGTTCTAAGCCAATTCATAAGTTAGATATGCCTGCTTTCAAATGGCCAAAGGCTCAATTCCCATCATACAAATACCCATTGGATGCCAATGTCGAAGCTAACAAGAAGGAAGACGCTAGATGTTTAGCTATAGTTGAAGAATTATTCAAGACCTGGTCTGTTCCAATTGCTGGTGTTCTTGTTGAACCAATCCAATCCGAAGGTGGTGACAATCATGCATCTGCTGAATTCTTTCAAGGTTTACGTGACATTACCTTAAAGCATGGAGCCTTATTGATTATGGATGAAGTTCAAACTGGTGTCGGTGCCACTGGTAAGATGTGGGGCCATGAACATTTCAACCTTTCTCCTCCACCTGACTTGGTTACCTTCTCCAAGAAGTTCCAATCTGCTGGTTACTTCTTCCACGACCCAGAAATCGTTCCTAACTTTGCATACCGTCAATTCAACACCTGGTGTGGTGATCCAGCTAGAATGATCTTAGCTGGTGCTATCGGTCAAGAAATTGTCAAGCATGACTTGTCATCTCAAGCCGCTAGAGTTGGTGCATATTTGTTTAAGAAATTGGAAGCAGTTCAATCCAAGTACCCTGAATATATGCGTGATCTCAGAGGTAAAGACAGAGCTACTTTCATTGCATGGTCCTTGAAGGATGCTGCTGCAAGAAATAAGTTTTTAGTAGACATGAAGTCCGTTGGTGTTAACATTGGTGGATGTGCTGATGATTCTGTTAGATTGAGACCTACTTTAGTGTTTGAAGAAAAACACGCTGATATTTTGGTTGCAGCAATTGAAAAGGTATTGTCCGGTTACTAGGTAATATATATATAGAATAACATAAATAATTTAAACGCAATATATGTACATTATGACTGAAAAATGCATTACCAGATGTTAAAGAAGAAACACCTCCCCCAATTAGAGTGTACGTGATATGGTAGCACCAATAAATACCCCGGGTCCGCTTTCGGTTCAATCTCGAGTGAGATAATATGAGAAAAAAAAATTTTACACGAATATTTTGATCAGTTTGTAGCTTATCGAGTGGCCCCTTATCTAGTCATACCCTCTCGCTTTTGCATAAACAATGGAAGATTATAAAGTGGCAACTGCTATGTCCCCCACCCATTATCTTGACCATGCCAAACTGTTTCTTAAGCAGGATTCCACATCGTCATTAATTTCTGGTGGAATAGCGGGTGCGGTATCCCGTACCGTAGTATCACCTTTTGAACGAGCCAAAATCCTTCTCCAACTACAAGGACCAGGTTCTAATCACGCTTATAATGGGATGTTTAGAAGTATAGCGCGGATGTATACCGAAGAAGGGTGGCGTGGGTTGTTTCGTGGGAACACCTTGAATTGTATTAGGATATTTCCATACAGTGCCGTTCAATATTCGGTATTTGAAAAATGTAAACAGTTGATGGTTCAATGGAGCCCTAGAGAATCAAACATGTGCACTGATGGGGAGAGGTTGATTGCTGGGAGTATTGGTGGGATTGCTTCTGTTGCAGTGACTTATCCGCTCGACCTAGTTCGTGCGCGTATCACTATTCAAACTGCCAGTCTCAATAAATTAAACAAGGGGAAACTAGCCAAACCTCCATCAGTCATTCAAACACTTCGGGATGTGTATACTCATGAAGGTGGATTCGTTGCCCTTTACCGGGGTATTGTCCCTACTACATTAGGAGTAGCCCCTTATGTGGGGATTAACTTTGCATTATACGAAAAAATCAGAAACTATATGGATGCCTCTGAACACGACTTCTCGAACCCAGTATGGAAATTATCAGCAGGTGCATTCAGTTCTTTTGTTGGTGGTGTCATAATTTATCCGCTTGATGTGTTGAGAAAACGTTATCAAGTTGCAAGTATGGCCGGCGGAGAGTTGGGGTTTCAATATAGATCTGTGGCCCATGCATTAGTATCGATCTTTAAGACCGAAGGTTTTTTTGGTGCATACAAAGGATTGTCTGCCAATTTATATAAGATCGTACCATCAATGGCAGTAAGCTGGCTCTGCTATGACTCATTAAAGAAGGCATTTAGTGAGTGGTGAGTGAAGAAATGAATGGGGGACATTTAGTATTTATTAGAAATATTCATAGATATATAAAAAAAATAGTGATAGATGGTTTTAATATATTCAATAATTTACTTACTATTATGATAGTATAAAATTATTCAAGTTTTTACTGCAAATGCATGAGCACAAGCTTTTTTTTTTTGCAATATTTTGCATAAATTTTACAAAAAAACAAAACACCTCCTCATAGTCCATACAACTGCTACACAAAAATAGGTATATCATTGAAACATTGTACACCTTTATTTAATAGTAATTTAACTTTTACGTGGCACGTACATTTGACATGACATGTCTTACGTGTTCACTCAATTTCTTGGCACGAATTAAGCCACAACTGGAACAGGTTCTGACCTGTCTTTATACCATATACAAAGATGTACCTTATTACAAGTTCATTTCTATGTTCAATGTTAAATCCTCTATCGTAATGGATATATAGAACAGCAGTGAAACTGTTATTGACGATTGCAAAAGTGTCCCTAGTTTGCATCCTTTTGTCACGTGATAAAATGGATACAAAAATTCTCCAGCCAACCAAAATTGATATAACTACAAAGATCCTGCATCTACGAATAGAAAAAAATCCCAGAGATTTCGAATTACAGTAAAAAAGTAAAGCGGAGAGGCTAAAACCACTACTCTTTTTTAAAACACAGCCAATAATTACGCATATATATCACAATGAGACCTACTCCTGCTTTATTAAACGCCGCTAAGAAGAGTTCCGGATTCAACCTTCCTGTCGAATTGACTCCTTTGTTTGCTGCCGTTGGTGTTGCTATTGCTTCCGCTGGTTTCTTCACTTACAGACACTTTGCTCATGATAAGGAATTGAGATTATGGAAGAACCCAGATTTGTCTACTTTAGATGAAGTTTTGGACAAGAACACCAAGAAATAAACCATTTCAGAATTTTTATCATTATAAAAGAGAATAACCCAGCATGAAATCACATTTAACCTGGACTTTTAATTCTATTTCAATTTTTTTTTTTGCTGATGAACTATTGAATTATACAATGGGGGCCCCCGGTAGATAACCATGATTGGGTGAAATTATGTAGTTCTCTATATAGTTTATTTCAGTTTTAAATACCTTGATTAATATGTACAAGAAATAATTATGATATGTAATCTATGAATCCAATCTGTGAAGATGTTCGTCTTCTATATTTGTATAATAATCTACCACATCACGAACATCATCCAATGCATCAATTGCCTTGTCGAATCCCTTGTTGTTTTCTGGGTATGGAACTCTGCTGTCCGAGTTGGCAATGTATCTAATTGAACTGTTTTGAATTTGATATCCTCGACTACCAAGCTCCTTGACTATGTTGTTGATTTCAGTTTGATCACAAAGTAAACGATAAACCAATGGCATCTTAATATTGTCAATTTCAACTTCTTCTACATCCTCAGCACCGATATCCAATGCTACTTCAAACACATCATCAAACAGTTCGTTTGCATCTGCTTTTGGCAAAAACACAACCTCCCCCTTTTTTTCGAACATATACATACAAGGGCTAGCAGTTGCCAGGAACTCCGCAAGGGCATTTCTAACCTGTGAAACTGTACGAGACTTGTTATCAGTAGATGCTTGAACAACAAAGGCAACCCCACCTGGACCCATCAATTCGTATACCACGTCACTCAAGGCTGGTCCATCCAGAACCATTTCCCCAGCACCACGTTTGATTGCCTTTTCGATAACTGCTTTTGAAACATTCAACTTTTTTGCCTTTTCAACAAACATGTCAAGTGTGGGGTTGTTTTCTTTACCTCCTTGGCGTACAGCAGATTCGATTCTATGGGAGAGATGGTAGGCTTCTTTTGACTTTTTGGCGTCGTTCTTGGCTTTATCATGCTTGATATTTGCCCATTTTGAGTGTCCAGCCCATCTTACTTGTCTAAGAGGTAAACATAACGTTCTGCATGTCTGTATAGGGGTTAATGCACGGAACATCTTAAGTTTGAGCTATTGTAACCTTTGTCTACCTTTTTTTACAACCATTTGTTGGAACTACGACAAGATTTTTCAATAGTGTTTGGAGGGTAAATCGCAGTGGTCGGAAATGATTTGATCACGTGGTAAAAAAAGTCGTAGTTCACATCAGAAATCTGAAATGCGTTTTCGTTAAAGTGTTTTTCTAGTCTAGTACCTCTTGACTACTACTACATTTTCACGTTTGACCACACAATTCAATTAAAAATAATTCATTAAATATGAGTAGCGCTAGTGAATCAATGGCTAAGCGTAAGTTGTTGGCGACAATAGCTGATGAAGATAGTGTTACTGGGTTACTTCTTGCTGGAGTAGGACAAATCTCCAACGAAGTTGGCAAAGAATCCAACTTTTTGACCGTTATTCCTGGTAAGACCACCGTGGACCAAATTGAAGACGCATTCGATAATTTTACAACTGGTAGAGATGATATTGCTATATTATTGATCAATCAACATTTGGCAGATTTAATTAGATACAAAGTAGATAGTTATACCAATGCATTCCCAGCCATTTTGGAGATTCCTTCCAAGGATCATCCTTATGACCCTGAAAAGGATTCCATTCTTAAGAAAGTCAGAAGATTATTTGGCGAGTAAGTCTTTTGAGAAATATTTGAGGTTCAGTTCGGTTTTTTAAGAGTATAGCATGTTTTAGCTAGTTTATACATAGACTTTGTATGTTTTTTTTTCAATTGGATTCTATACAGACTACCTATACAAGTACTTAATTTTTCTTATTCTTCTTTTTCTTTTTCTTCTTTTTATCTTTAGCAGTGGCGGCTGGTGTAGCAGTTGTATCATTGCCAGCATCACCTTCACCTTCACCTTCTTCAGGCTCATCAGCATTATCTTCATCTTCTTCATCTTGACCTACCTCTTCATTATCTTTGCCTGCGACTTCGTCATTTTCTGGAGAAGTAATGTCTTGAACAACTGATTCATCAACAACAGATTCTTCTGTTTCCACCTTGGGTTCCGCAGAAACAGCTACGGGCTCGACCAAAGATACTTCTTGAAGCTCTTCCTTAGCAGGCTCTTCTGAAGTTGTAGCGTCGTGACTTTCGGCAGTTTCAGCAGCAACTTTTGGTTCGTCCAATGCTACCTCTTCAACTTGTGGTTCTTCGTTCGCAACTTCATTTGTAGAAGCTTGAACTTCTTCAACAGGAGTTGACTCAGCTACTATTTCGGGCTGTTCAATAGCAATTTCTTCTAAAACAACCTCTTTTTCCGCCTCAGCAACAGGTTCTGATTCACTTACTTCAACAGATTCAACAGGTTTATCCTTCTTTACTTCCTCTTCTGTTGGTTCTCCAAATGCATCATCTATATTTTGTTGGGTGTTTTCTATATCTTCAGCCAATTTTTCATCGGACTGAGTGATTTCAATTTCAGGTACTGATTCAATAGGAACTTCAGCTATTTCAGCAGCTTCTTCAGCAGGAGGCACCTCGTCGTCTGCCTTTGTCGTCTCTTGCACTTCTTCTACCGCTGGAATTGTAGGTAACTCTGGTTCGGCCTTCTCCTCTTGTGGTGAAACTTGCTTACTGGTGTTCTTCCAATAGTTCTTGGCAAATATATCCGGCAATACACAATCTTTCACATAGAAATCTCTAACCCCAACAATCCTTCTTTCTCGTTCACACGCTTTCAACCATTCCGGTCTTATTATTGGAATATTCATTTCATTTGCCTTGACGTACTCAGGGTTCTGCTTGTTTTCCCTGGTACACAAGAAATGAGTGGTGTCTACCTTGACTTGTTCTTGAGGAGGGAACTTTGCTCCCATGGTTTTCAACGCCTCTTCAATATCCTCCTTAGTAAATGGATCATTGGCACTAAAGTCTCCAAGACAGACAGTTATACCAGATAAATCAGTCATTTTGTGGGTGTTTACCTCAATCTCATCAGAAAGGTATGTGCCTGCAGTAGTGTCAAGTCTCAATTGGAACTTGAAAGATTTATCAATAGGCAACCCTGACAATTTGGAAGTCTTGTTAGTCAATGGAGAAGGAATTGATCCTAACTTCTTGCCATCTTTGAACAAGATCAAATTCTTCAAACTGGAAGTTCCTAAATCTAATTGATCCCATTCCAAGACACAGCTTGTTTGAGTGACGTTCTTGACCCGTAATACTGGCTTCTTGGGCAAATTAGTGGCAAAAGTACTCAAAATCTCGTCTTGGATACTCTGAAAATGAACTTCTTCTTCTTGTTCACTTTTCAAATCTTGATCGCATCTAATCTTGACTATAGACCCAGCTTTGACGCCATTGGGCAACAATATCGTGGGGAATTCGATCAAATGGTGGTCCTTGGTTAAAAGCAATGCCAATGATGCATCTAATTTTCCGATGGTTAATGAAACTTCAACCATCTTCTTCTACTTGGTTTGGATCTATTGGATGGTATTTATGTCAATTGGCAAAGATTAAGTAAAGTAGTATGTGTAAGGTGTGTCGTGTCAAACTTCAAAAATTCATGTTTACTTTTTCCGACGTTGGCTTAGATGTGCGATGGTTGGTAGCGCACAATCTTTGCCTTCTAACTACACTAGGTATAAAATGTAACAATATTAACATACGTACATACATAATAATACACACAACGTTTTATCTAAAACGGAATCAAAAAAAAAAGATTACATTGCTTTCTATGTAGAAATCCCCATTGCTTTCAAATCATCATTAATCTCGTTGTCAGTAGCTCGTTTCAACAACAACTCCTCGGGATATGTCTTGGGGTTGCTCTCTTGTTCAGATAATGTTGAATTAACAGCCACAGGAAATCCATGGAATTGAATTAAACCATTTAATACCCCTAATTGTTCATTAATGCTGTTCCTCTGGTGAACCAATTCAACTAATGTGTTTTGTTTAACTGCCCGTTTGGAAATAGGGATGAGAGCCTCATCATGATATACACTGCCATTATATTGGGCCGCATTGGCCGCCACGAAGCTGCCACTGCCACCATCATACTCTATAGGTGCTGATGCTTGTGATACATCTGGCATAGCAGCGAAATTGAATGCAGGAACTAACTGATCAAGTTGATTTCGTTCTTTGTTGATCTTGTACCATAAGGAGGTTGTGTCGGTTATCATTTGGTTCTTAGTATCCATTAAATTCTTTAGGAAGTTTTGGTGGATTGATGTTCGGGTAGCGATGGTTTCTTTATCAATGCATTTCAATTTATAAGCTAAGTTTGAGTTTGCCAACTTTAAGCTATCTTGATAAAAGCCATTGATTTTATAGTAAACCTTGGACAATTCCGGATGGGATCCTTCAAGACATAAAGTTAATTCTCGTTCAAGTAAATTGAGTTTATCTTGGTATAGTTTATCTCGTAATTCAGCAAAGCGAGATTCGATAGATATTAACTCTTCTATGGCTAGCTTGCGTTGTTCATTCAAGTCAACCTGATCCTCGAGTTGTTCCTGCTCATTGGTGTTAGAATTGTTATTATCATCATCATCATCGTCGTCGTCAGCTTCATCGGCTTCAAGCTCATCATCTCCTTCTTTATGCAGTGTTTCATCCTCTTGATTGTCTTCATTTTTAGAGCTGGCTTCATCATCTTCATCCTCTGCTTCATTAGCCTCATCTCCAGCATCAGCGTTGCTGGTAATGTCATCGTTTTCTATTACTGCATCAACCAGCACCTGTTCATCGTCTGGAATGACAATTTCGTTAGTAATTGTAGGCTCGTCTTTAATCTTTCCATCTTCAGTTTCATCATTGAGTTCAAGGGCTTGTTGTTTCCTGTCCTTTTTGCCGGTAGCTTTTTCCACCTTTGACTTTTTGTTATTATTCGAGGTTTCTTCGTCCTCCAACTCTCTCTTGCGTTCAATGTTATTGGAGTTTGAATTTTCGTCTTGAGTTTCTTCTTCTTGATTACCCTCATCCACTTCATCTTTAATACTGGTTTCCTTCTCGCTCTCATCCGAAGAATCAACATCTTTCAACCGTGCCAATTCAGTCAATTTACTTAATCTCCTTAAATCCGACACGTCAACTTCGCCTTGGCTTCGATCCTTAGCTTCATCATCGTCATCAAGAAAGTCCATCTTGTCAGTTTCGGCTTCAGATTGATCATCGTCTAAATCGCTCAATTCCGAACTCTCATAACTGTCTTTCCTTCTCCTTATCCCTCCAAACCCGTATCCGCGTCCATCGGTCGCGTCATGGACTATATCGTCATTCACATCGTTCCTGTTATTGTCCAAGTTACTAGATCTGGAATCATCAGACCCGAAATCAGCCTGATTGAGATTCAAATCAAAAGGAGGTGGGGAGGTAGCAATATCAGTGAGGGGAGATTCCTTCCCCATGGTGATATTGCCAGCTATTTCCCCAGCATTAGAATTGGAGTCCGACTCAGCACCTCTGGAAATGAGAGCTGAGAGTTCGTGTTCGTCGGGTGATCTAGGAGTAGGTGGAGTGGGGTCTTGTTCTGACATGTGTGGTTAAGATGTGTTTGAAGAGTATGTCAAAATATATGGGTCAACAAAATAGGGAAATTTTTTATTTGCTTTGTTTAAAGTTGGTGGTTCTATCTTTGATTTGTTGATGGGAAGCTGCTATATGCGGTACTTGTCGCGTATCTTTTGAGTTTGGTGTGGTTTGATGGGTGACGATTAAAAGTATGAATATCAAAACTGAAATTCAAAGGGAAATCGAGAAGTTGGAGAGAGCGCTAACAAGCTCAAAAAAAAAACAATCCGATGCACGTGACTGTGAATGTGCAGGTCAGTCACATGACCAGAACATTTCCCAAATCATCGCATCTCATATCGGATAATTTTTCATACTTACTTTAAAACAAGGAAGAATAGATAGAAGTAGACGACTTTAGATATCGCAATGTCCTCTTTTGCTTCGTTGTTTGAGAACTCCAACGTGGATAAGTCCGTGGATGACTTGTTTAGCAGTAAAGCTGATGGACCTGTTTCTAGAGAACAATTGGCCAAGGGAAGAACCGTTGTAGTTGTTCCTAAACGTAAGAAGGAAGAAAAACCAGATGATGACAAAAAGCAAGAAGATCAAGAAGACAATGATGAATCAGAAGACGATGAAGAGGCTGAGTCGGATGACGACGAAGAGGCCGAATCAGAAGACGAAGAGTTAGAGGATTCAGAAGAAGAACAGCCTAAGAAGAAATCTAAAAAGTCTGATGCCAATGACGACTTGGAAGCAAGATATTTTGACAAGTTATTGCAAGATGAGTCAAAACCAGACCAAAAAGAAAAAGAAGAAGAATCCTCTTCTTCTGAAGAGGCTGATAAAGCTGTCTCCGAATCTAAATCATCAAAACCAGCCAAGACCGTCGACTTGAAAGAAACAGAATTAGAAAAAGCCGAAAGAACAGTCTTTGTAGGAAACGTTCCTGCTTCCGTCATAACTTCTAAACTCATTGCTAAACAATTCAAGAACTTGTTTAAAGCATATGGTAAAGTCGATTCTATGAGATTCAGATCCATTTCATTTGAGGAGAACTTGCCTAGAAAAATATCTTTTGCAAAGAAGAATTTACACAAATCTCGAGATTCGGTTAATGCTTATGTTGTTTTCAAAGAAAAGGGTGCATCTATGGATTCTAGAAAACTTAATGGAACCGTATTTGAAGACCATCATTTGAGAGTCGATCACGTTGCTCATCCTGCTGCTAAGGATACCAAGAGATCTATCTTTGTTGGTAATTTAGACTTTGAAGAAAAAGAAGATAACTTGTGGAAGTATTTCAACAAGAAATTAGATAATGATGTTGAATCGGTGAGAATTATCCGTGATTCCAAAACTAATTTGGGTAAGGGGTTTGCATTGGTTCAATTCAAGGACTCATTATCAGTAAATAAAGCATTGTTGTTGAATGACAAGCCCATAAATGTTGATGGTAAGAATGGACGTAAGTTGCGTATTTCTAGAGCCAAGTCACATGCTAAACCATCATTGATGTCCCCAAACCACATTGATAACTTAAAGAAGAAACACGCATCAAACAAGTCCAAGCAATTAAATGACACCCAGAAAACCAAATTGGGTAGAGCAAAGACCATCTTGGGTAAAGCTGATAGATCTACTGTTGGTAAATCAAAGAAGATTATCATGGAAGGGGAAAGAGCTACCAAGGGAACTCGTGTTGCTGGTATTAAGGGTTTAAAGGGTAAAGCAGGTAAAGTTAAGAAACCAAGGATAAGAGATAGATCAACTAAATTTAAGCAAGAGAGAGAAGCATTGAGCAAGAGTACTAAATAGAGAGATTGTTGTATAGAACGCTGGAGTGTATATAATAAAGCATTCCTAATTCGTGTTCAATTGTATTTAAACCTATACTAATCTTTTGGTTGATTATATTTAAAACATGTATCTTCTTTAATACTGCGATCAGATCTATCTGTAGTAATGACGTACCCATTTCACTGTTGTATTTTCTTGCTGTATTGTACTTGGTTGCAAAAAAAAAAAGAACAACCAGGAATATATTCTCGTTAGTATCAAAGCACAGAAAGCTAAAAATAGCACTGTGTTTGCAGCTATTTGGGTAATTACAGGCATTCTCCCTTATAAAGAATGCTATATCTATTTATACAAGTATTTTTGGTGTAATGGTATAAAACTGTAAGGTTTAACCTTCTTTTTCAGAACACGCTGGAAGGGAGAAAAAAATATTGGCCATGTTTTCAACACCGCATAAAAATCAACACAAAACTTTTACCACCATAGCCAACGTAGGTTACCACTGCTCACTAAAGATGAATGAAACAGAGCTAGATAAAACGGTTGCCAACCTACACAGCTCATATCAACATGCGGCTACACCCAATGATTTATACGCGGTAATCGACAACATAGACGCCGCTATTGCCCACATTGACAATGACCTTGAAACATATACCCAGTTAAAACAACCTAAATTCCAACAAGATATCACTAATATAGAATTGATGAGAACAACTAGGTTATCAAACACTATCTCTCATTCCTCAGAACTTACCAACTTATTCCAAATCGCTAATGATTTGGGCCATTCGTTGACATTCAAGATTAAATCCTTAGATCAAGAAATTGGTAATGTTAACAAGACATTGGCTTATGTCAAGAATGTCCAATTACTTAAAAATAACATTGACCAGGCCAGTTACGCTATCGAGCACAATAATTGGGAGTTAGCAGCGCAATGTATTCACACAATTACGTCATTACCGCCAGATTTAACCAATGGAAAGTTTGCCTCGGTGGTTGTTCCATCAAAGGAAATTCCTGAGCTCCCTCAAGCTACAATAAGTAAATGGATTGATGATTTGACTCTTGTATTCAAAGATAAGTTCAATACCGCTGCAGAAGCTAAGGATGTTGAACAATTGACCAAATATTTCCAATTATTCCCACTAATTGGACAAGAAGAAATCGGATTGAATTGTTATTCCAAGTTTATATGTGAAATTATCAAGGAAACTCTGAGGTCATTGATATCCCAATCCACTAGTGGGAAGCCAGGTATATTTGCTGAAGTCACTATACAATTATTTGAAAGCATATCGATGATGTTGTCTCAGCATGGGCCTTTAATCAAACGTTATTACAGTGAATACCCTAATGCATTGACATATGTGATCACCAAGATTCAACGAGAAATTGATGTCCAAATTGGGATAATTGCTGACACTTTTTACGATACGAGACGATTGGATAAATTATTCCAAGATATTGGGTTGTATAACTTCCCAAGGTTAGAAATCACGGATGAAGAGGATACAGTTGTGCCAATAGATGATGATCTTATTCCAATTAGACAAGTTGGTGATATAATTCTGGAAATGGCGTCAATTTTCCATCATTGGTCATTATACTGCAAGTTCATAACTGCAAAGTATTTCCCTACCCCTCAACCTCCGCTCAAGTTATCTGAACTCATTGTCAAATCAAATTTCACCCGCAAGATCAACGATAAACTATTGCCCGCGTTCGAAATCTTGTATAAATTCTATTTCCGCCGATCCTTAGAAAAGGCAATCACAATTGAAGAGCTTCCGTCGCTCGAACCATATTTGAAATCATCTCCATCCGCAACCCTGCCTGATCAAGTCCCTTGTTCCCTGGTTATTGAAGACTTGACCTTGATTCTCAATACTACCCTTCGCAATATGATTGAATCGGGGATGCCAACTTCTGTAAAGACATTCATCAATGAAAGTTTTAGAGTAGTGCAAATCGATTTAATCAATGGGTTCTTTATCAAACGATTAAACGACAATGCTCCTAGATACAACCAAATGTTATCGTTGATTACACCAGAAATGACTGCTGCAGCCGGGGTTGTTGCTAGTCCTGGTGCCGGTACTCCACGTAGCAGTACTCCTGAACCTTCGTCTATGGGATTCTTGAAAGGTGCCTCTTCAGCATTGGGAAGTGTGGTTGCAGGTTCAGTCGGTAATACCGTCAATAATCCCAAGTTGCTCAATTTTATTATTTATTTGAATACTGTAGCCATGGCTCAAGGATACTTCTCCAAGGTGTTTTCTAATGTTAAAGTCGAGAGTAATTTCCCCTTTGGCAAGGACAAAGAAAAGATTGAATTGATTTTATCCAATGATTTCTTGGAACCATTCACGAATATCACCAACAAGATCATATCTGAAAGTTTACTCAACCTTTACAATCAGTCCATCAAGAGTAAATTAATCAGTTTGGTTAATGATTTCCTTGTTGAGACTAACGAAACAAACTATATCATCCATTCCACATCTGATCTTAATGATTCTAGTAATTTATTGAAGTTCACCAATAATTGGCTGGGGTTGATTAAGCCATATTTCCAGACATTGCATAATCTGTTACTTTTCCCTAAGTTGTTAAGACTTCTAGTTGTCAATCTTTCAAATTTATTGGAAAAGAAGTTGATGATTGTATTAAAGAAATTCAAGATTAACGAATTCGGCTCAATTAAATTAGAACGTGATTTGTCTTACTTGATTAATCAAGTTTGTGAAGATAATTACCAATTAAGAGAAAAGTTTGTTAGAATTACCCAGATTGTATTGTTGGTGGGTATGGATGATGATGAGTATTACGAGAGTAATCAGCCTGTCGTTGGTGGTGGCGGCGCTGATGATGAAGATTCTATGGGAATCAACTGGGTCTTGACTCCACTGGAGAGAAATCAAATCAGAAAGTATAGAATTTAGTATATAAGTATGTAGATTTATTCTATATATGCAACTATTTAATCTGTTTGCGGTGTATATGCACTGTCATCGTCATCGTTATTTTCATTAGCATTTCCTTCAGGAGTTTCTCCTGTAGATGCTTCCCCGTCTGTGTCCTTGGCAGTATCTGTCTGTATCAACCTTACAGTGTCTGGTTTTATTCGTAATCTTCCTACTATACCTTCGAATTTGGGATGAGTGTATTCACATTCAAATCCCTTTGGACAAAACCCAGCAAGAAATAACGGGCATAATATTCTCCTCACGTGTCTATTCTTACAGTTGGGGCCATCCGGGCAGAACCCTTTATTATAGTTTAAACATTCCGGTATCTTCAGCAGCGGGTCAATGTGCAAATACAAGCATTCTGGAGTTTGGGTACAGAATCCATTTTTAGAAAAGAATAGACACTCGGGCATTTTCCGTAGGTTATATTCATGGAGAAACTCACAATGATCTGATTTCTTACAGAGACCACGAAGCCAATGCTTACACACTATTTTATTGGAATACATAGATGACACATGTTTGTTTGGGCATAGGTTGCCATTGGGGCACGAGTCGTTGGGTTTCTGGGGATTGTAAAATTGACAAACAGGTCTATCGGGATCAAGCCCGAGATTATATTCTTGATGAAGAAACGGCTCGAATTTGAAATGTAGATTCTTTGGATCGGGGTTTATTATTGAATGTAGCATGTTTAGTCAAGTGTATATTGATTATTAATGTTTGAATGTAAAATAAATTGTGAAATGTATTTTGTATGAGCTTCATTTTTATTGGTAAAGGAACGACCTGTTTTTGATATTTTAGTCCCTTCCCTTACATTTGCAACAATCGTATGATCCCTTTATGCTTTTAAGTAAAGCATGACCTTATGAGTGGTTTTATTACAGGCAATGTTTAGGTCTTGGCTTGAGAAGTGATATTATATGGTATCCCTCTCAGAAAATTTGGTTGACAATACCACCATTGCACAAAATAGAAAGAAGAAATAAGGTTAAAATATCCACCGTTTATTTTCCGCCTTTCACAAAGGAATCTTTTATTTCCGCTTTCCATAAAGGAACGACATATATGAAATTGTCAATCACTCCGCATGTTGTTAGGAAAGATTGCATAGAAGAGTTTTACCCTAGTGACGTGGTCTGATTTGAAATGTCGCGGCGCGATTACATTGAGAAATTATTCATTAATTTTCGTTGTTTACACATGCGACATTGCTCTTCCATTCTTCCCCCAAAGATAAACCTTAACTACTACCCCCCCCCCCCCCTTCATTCACATAAGGTGCATCTCCTGACAGATTTCGCTCTGCTAAAGTCCGCCTATCTTGATTTCCGTGCACACCGCCCCACACCCCTTGTGCACCTCCTTACAACAAAGTTTTCACAATTCGAATCCCATTTACCTTTAAAAGATACTTTGTGCTAGCAGGTATCTTTCTTTTCCTTTACTTGACTTCCACAATCATTTCGACTATTGTTGGTTCGATATATACAGCTATTCTACATATGCCTAATCGAACAGGTCCTTCTACAATCATCGTTGGTAGTGGTCTTGCTGGCCTCACTACTGCCGTGGAACTACTCGCTAAAAGTTCGGGTAAAGTTACCATACTTGAAAAGACTGACAAATTAGGTGGGAACTCAATCAAGGCCAGTTCCGGTATGAATGGTGTTCCCACTAGATTCCATGTCAAAGACAGTTTAGACTCACCTGATGCCTTTTACAGCGATACTATTAAATCAGGTAAGGGTCTTTCTGATGAAAAATTGGTAAGATTACTTGTCGACAATAGTGGTGATGCCATTCACTGGCTTGCCGATGAACACGCTGTCATTCTTAACACCTTGCTGCAATTGGGAGGACACAGTTTCCCTCGTACCCATCGTGGTGGTGGTAAGTTACCTCCTGGGTTTGAAATTATTACTGCCTTAACTAAAAAATTGGAAGAAATCATGGTTGCAAAACCTGACCGATTATCTATCTTGACTAACTCAAGAGTTACCAAATTAATTGCTGACGCAAAGAATCCAAACCAAGTTAAAGGAATTCAATACTTGTCACCAGACGGTGAGTTGAAGACTTTGCTTGGTGATAATGTTGTGTTGGCTACTGGTGGGTACTCGGCCGATACGGATGAAGAGGAAGGTTCCCTTCTCAAACGTTTCCGTCCCGATTTACTTGAATATCCTCTGTCCAATGGTGAACAAACTACCGGTGACGGTGCAAAGTTGGCTGAAAGAGATGTTAATGCTGAATTGATTCATATGGACAAAGTTCAAGTTCATCCAACTGGGTTCATCAAGCTCAGCAATCCTAACAGCAATTGGAAGTTCTTGTGTGGAGAGGTGATTAGAGGTATTGGTGGTATCTTGTTATCACCAAACACTGGATTCCGGTTTGTGAATGAATTAACCACTAGAGATGGGGTCACTGACGCTATCATTAAAAATTGTAAGGTTAAAGGCGATAATGACATGAACTTGAAACGTGAAACAGCAATTGCAGCAATTGCCATTAACTTGGTTGATTACCATAAAGCCAAAACTCATATCGATTTCTATGGGTTCCAAAAGTTGTTACACAAGGGTAACATTGATGATTTGATTTTGTTTATGCAGAGATTGAATCCAGATTTAAATATCTCTCATGATGAGCTCGTGGAATCTTTTGAAGATTATAATACATTTATCAGAAACGGAAAAGATCCACAATATGGAAGAACTAGCTTTGGTGCTGAATTCAATGTCGAACATGGGTTATTCTATTTTGGGTTAGTCACGCCTGTGGTACATTTCTCCATGGGTGGAATCAAGATTGATGAAAATGGAAGAGTCTTAACCAAGGATAAAACCACCATGACCAACCTCTATGCTGTTGGCGAAGCTAGTGGTGGTGTTCATGGAGCCAACCGTTTGGGAGGTTCTTCTTTATTGGAATGTGTTGTTTTCGGAAAACAAGTCAGCAAGGATATCATTGCAAACGCTTAAAAAAGAGATAATCACAAACTATATAGTTTTGTTCTACAATCTTAATATATGTTTTTCAACTGTTTTAATTATATGTATTCAAAACCTTCTTTATATACTTCGAAAGTTCTAAACCCTAATGCTTTAGAAGTTTTTTAAATGGTTCAAAGCAACATAAACACCATCTTTGTAAATATTTTTTTTAAAAATCATTCTCATATATATATAAATTACATCCCTTCCTCGTTATTATTAAAAATTAAACAAACTTAGATGTTGGATGGGTATAACATGATTCTGACGGAAGCACCAAAGGTCTTAGCTGGCAAGTTCTTCTTGAAGTTAGCTCTGACTAAACCGTTGTTACCGTGGGTTCTGGTGACCTTACCCCAAATAACTCTAATCTTGGAACCTCTAACTTCCTTGGAAGCTCTGTAAACGTAGGCAATTCTCTTACCCAAGTAGAACTTGGCGTCTTGTGGGTTAGCAACACCTTCAATTTGAATCAATGATACGTTTGGGTTGGTGACATTCTTAGAACGTTGGTAAGAAATATGTTTACCTTTAACGTATACTATAAAAATATGTTAGTATTAAATTCAGATTTAAAAAAATAAAATCTTGATGAAACAACTAGTAGATATAGAACTTGGATACTTTGGAAGTTTCAGTTTTTTTCATTTTGTTTAAAATTCCACTGGGTTAATTGGATGTGGTAGTAAACTTGTCAGATTCAATATCCAATATCTAGTTCTTTGAATATAGTGAGATATATTCTTTTCTCTTCTTATTCTAATAGTTCTTGTTTTTTTCATTCTGAAGTTGGTAGTTGTTAAAAATTTCTTTCAACTATAGATTCACTATCATATCCCACAACTAGTTCATTCACAACACATTTCCAGCTCTATTCTTGTTTAGTTCGTTTCTATTCAGTAACATTTCAACATACATCTGTGAGATTCAGCCATCTTGTTTATTGTAACTTGGTTGGAATATATACAATCAAAAAGAAAGAGAAAGAAATTTTGTAGCTTAGTTTAATGTTAAAAAAAATGAAAATTAATTTTTTCCGCTGGTTACACTATGAGTGATACACACTACAGTGAGAATAGCGTGTGGGCAGAAGTTTTTTTGTGTTGCGGATATTTAGCGCGAGAAAAGAAAACTTTTAATGCGTTGGTGTATGGATGTTTAGTTTGTTTGTATTGACTCACAAAACTAGTTCAGTGTATGCGTACTGTATATAGTTTTAGAAGCCCTAAATGTTTGCACGTGACAAACCCTAACTCTTGGTGACGTCAAAGTCGTTGTGGGAACTAACAGACAGCCAACATAGTCATTTTAATTGGCTCTCATGTGTAAGATATATACAATAATATTATGCCATTTCGTTTATTAGAATATATAAATTGCTTGTTTGTCATATTGAGTTGCTGCTAACTTGAATTGCTTTAAATATTTATTAATGCTATAATAATTAACGTATTTTTAGTAAATTTTCTTTACAATTCTTGCAAAATGTTACAAGAATATCTTAGCATAAAGAGAAATAATCAAAAACTAATTGTTAGATTGAATATTAAAACCTAATATCACCTTTCTATTCTATATATACATATGCATAGCTCACCTATTAGGAAGTGGGAACCCTAGAAATGATATAGGATCCCCCCCCCTTATACTAATACTAAGGTTGCGAAAATAGAAATGGCAACTGCGGCTCGTTTGAACAAATAGTAACTAGATTTACAAGTGCAAGTAGAAATATACCAGGGAGTTTAACATAGTTAGCGAGTTAAAACTGTCTCAAATTAGAGAGCATACTTTACTAGAATCAAAACGTGTATTAATATATAAAATTGACAAGTGTAATAAATCAATCATAACTTTGACATGGGTGCATTAGAGGAAAACCGCCCCATTCAAATAACAATATCCTTTTCTGCTTGCCATTTCTTCAAACTGAATCTCCAATGTTTGGCAGCACCAGTATCATATTTAGATTTCTTCAAACTTCCCGAAGGGGCATTTTTAATCGACAAGTTGGCCAAATTTGTCAAGTTAATAAAACTATCATGAATCTTATCATCATTATGTTCGTCCTTGAGTTCATCATAATCCACCAATTCAAACCATCTATTTTCCCAACTAATTCCAGCTTCACGTTCTTGCTTCCTCAATTCTCTTTGCTTGTTCTCAATCTTTGATTTTTCTTGATGGATCAAATTATAATCAGCCAATCTAATTGCCTCGGCAACTTTTTGCCATGCCCTACGTGATTCTAATTCATGTTGTTCTTCGATAGGTTTAACTGTTAAGTGTTGAGCGTTTGATGCTGCTGCATCGTAAAACAATTCGTCCTTGGAACCTGGGTTACCATTTCCCTTAATGATATAGGATTTACCAGACCATTGTCCGCCGATGGTGACCAAAGCATTGTCCTTGTTGCTGCTAGCAAATTGGTCACGGAAGATTCTTGACTTGAAGGTGTTTTTCTTTCCGGTAATCCATCCTCTACCAGTATATTCGACAACTGCAAAAAATCCATTGGAACTTTGAATATAAGACTTCCCTTCCAATTCGACAAATGGAGCTGCCGTGATTAAACCTTCAATATGTAATGGTGGCAAGGTGATTAAATAGGATTCATTCTTGTCTTGGAATTCCAATATAGCATGACCATATTGTTTAATATTGATAGATGTAGTGGAGATGGAAGATGTGATTCCATTGTACCCTTGCAATGTAACGTTATGTTTCTTATTCTTGATTGCATATGCAGTGACTGGAGGATGATGGCTCACTTGTTCACTCAAACACACGGCTTCCCCGTGAGTATCATCAGATTCCCACTTACCAACAAATAATTCACCCAAAAATGGGTTCAATGGTTTCTTTTCAGAACCCATAGTTTCATTACGAGAACAATATTGAGACTTCAAGGTGGAAATAAACCATCTAGTGACGGAAATCATTCGTTTCAAAGCCATAGCTTCGCTTTCTTCCTTGGTGGGATTAGGGGATGTGGTTAACAAATCGGCATCGACAAATAAATCAGGGTGTTCGGCCCAATATTGGGAATATTCAGTTAATGAAGTAGGTGATAAGATGAATGGGGGAGCAGTAAGTGAAGACAAGTCACCATTAAATGACGCAATTGACTTCAAGAATGAAGTCCATGAGTAATCATTTGAGGGGGTTCCGGATGCTGAGGATACTGAAGATGAGTCAGTTGATGTCATTGTCGCGAGTTAATTACAATTGTTGCCTTTCTATAAGTGTGTATATATGTGTACAATTAGCAAAATAGAATTAACTAGACAACAAATGTGGTATCTCCTTATATAACTAGTGTGGATTATGTGTTGAAAAAATAAGAGAGTCTATATTTTTTCTTGTTACGGGAACGAAGGGTACGAGACTTGCTGTTATCTTTTGCTCGTGGTGCCAAAGTTTTGTTTGTGTGGCAAACTAACTAGGACCGACCGCGGGCTATGTTTTTCTGGCCGAAGTTACAATAACAAGACTCAATAACCGAGCGAAAGATACTAACAGGCAAGCAAAAAAAAAAAAGATACTTCGTGTTTATTGTTTTACAACTTAATATACACCTTATGATTATGTAAGACAGCTGCAATTGCAGTGAAAACTAGGGTATAGATTAACAAGATGGCAAATGACATCATTCGATCCATGGCCAAAGTATTTACTGACATGTTGACCAATCCAGTTAATAAATTTGCAACCAAAAACAATAATAATCCATTATTGTTGACTGCTTCTAACAAGTATGACGAGTGAGTGTTATTCTTGGTAACTAACTTATCAATCAAGTTATAACCCAATAACATTGTAGAATTATAGGATACAACCCATAGCACATATGCACAGTTGGCCAATCGTCTCGAAACAGACGTAAATAACCATGAATTGTTAACCAAATAGAATAACAGGTGATAAAATATGGTTGATATAAATAACCCATTGGTTGTATTTACAGTAAACCAATTAGGTTTATTTGGTTTGGTGGCACCACCTATTCTTACTAAATTATTAGCAGTTTTAGAACCAGTCAACACAAAAGAACCAAATGATTGCCCAAATACAAATATCGCAAAGTAACCAAGAAAGGAAAAGATACCTTCTTTGTTCATGGTGATGATATTGTTGAATCGGTTTTCACTGGTTAATATAAATGCCAACAAATCTGTGTTGCTCAACAAAATTTCGTACCCAAAAGTTATCGCCAAGGCTGTAACCATACGTGCAGGTACCAACTGAAACAATGGATCTAATACTGCCAATGCTATAGGTAACATTCCTAAAGTGATAAAGAAATTCCAATGGATGCCATATTCAGTCATGTGCTCTTGATACTCTAATTTCTTAACACTGACTAATCTAATCAATCCCAAAACTAAAAGTGGCGTTGTTTTAATAACACTATGCTTGATTTCATTCAAATACAAACTCAACTGGAAACTCTTACTGGCAGTTTGATTTCTAATGAGTGATCTTGAATTGACCAACCCCATTGAAAATACAAATGACCCAACACCAAGATCCATTAATGATGTACCCCAAGTTTCTACTTTGGCAAATCTTCTTGGAAAGATTTTGAAATCAACAGCAAGAATGGCTATGCTGGTCAAGATCAACATTTGTGCTCTATATGCTGTTATGAATGCCTTACGAGGAAGTAGTTCTTGTGAATCTTTAGACCGAGTACGTTCTTGTTTTCTTGGAACATTGGGTGCTGAACTTCTAGATGTAAATTCACTAGCATAAAGAGCTAGACCTGGTAGTACAATCATATAATGTAGAGTTGTAGCATTGTCACTGTATAAAGTTACGGAAGCCAACAATGCCAACACATTCAAGATGTAGTCGTAAATTATTGGGATATTTCTTTGTTGTTGGGTACGTGTATTGGTGAAGTTTTGAATAATATTATAAGCCAAATATGACGTTAATGCAATGCATGTAACATTGTAAATCTCCAGAATGGATCCACCGAGTAGATCCGATACGAATTGTTCTTTCTGTTGTTTCAAGGACATTGCCAAGTTATTGATTGTTTTAGAAAACTAAACGTGTTTTAATTTCACCACCACCAAAAAAATAATACCACTGTTGTCACAAGCGAACCTTGTCTGACGACTACCCAACTATTTTTTTTTTACGTTTTTTTCTTTGAGTTTCTGCCGCTTGTAATTAAAACCTCAGATAGTTGTGGATGTTTTAGGTAGATTCTTTTAACATCAACAATCCTAAAATTACCTTTTTTTTGCATTAAACATTTCCTCCCCCGCTTCCCTGTTTGTTTATGCAAGCATATTTCCCCTTTTCTTTCAATTTCCACAAACCTATATCCCTTAAAGGTGACAATTTATTTATTCATAACATATAGTTACAACCATGGATCACACGGCTCAGGATCAATCAATACAGGATCCTCAACCATCAGGTTCAACTAATGAAAACACCTATGATGACGTACAAAATACCAGCAGAGACACTCTCATTCATTTACCAGCAGATACTCCTCCATCAAGCAGCCCATCGTCACCCTGTGAAGACCGCGATCAACTTATATTTACACCTCCAAGGTCGCCCTATCTTCGATCATCAGATAGAATGAATATAACGCCAGATTCACCTACTGACAGTCCCCGATTAGACGAATTTGTCATGTATAGTGATTCTGATGTTGCGTCTCAAAGTTCTTTAGATTTAGGGACCACCCCAAAGGCAACCAGACGTAAATTAGTCAAGGTCAGCTCCGATGAAGAAGAATACGACGAAGAGGAAATAGCGGATCGTGTTCGGTATTATGATGAACAAGGTCGAGGAGTGACTTTAGAACCACCGTCAGAAAAACCACGTCGAAGAAAGCGATCATCAGTTGGACGGAAAAAGACCGTTCAAACAGAATCTACAAACAATCCTAAATCCTCGAAGAAGAAAATACGAAGACAATCAAGGTCAAAAGAACCGAGTGAACGATCAAGGTCAGACTTTATTCCAGGAACAGGATATACTTCCGTACCAGCGACGGGAAAAGTTTTCCGTAATTTACTTATCCTTGAAGAAAGTTTACGAGAACAAGTTATTCAACAACGAGCAATGAGAAGAAAATACCTTACGTTTTTAGCATTGCTTTGTTCCATTATTGCTTCACTTATACATCATTTGTTTATCCTTGATCCATCAGTTTCGTCAACTGGTACCACAAGAGTCATACTTCAGTTTCTTCTCCTTGCTAGCATAATCACCCTTATACTTTACCATTTATCAGGAGAATACCAGAAAACCATCGTTTTACCACGTAAATTCCTTTCATCTACCAATAAAGGATTACGTCAATTAAATGTTCGACTTGTGAAAATAAAAACACCATTAATTGACAAAATAACAGATTTAATTCGAGAAGTTCTGCTTAGTATCGTGGCCCTGACACTTGACATGTTTCATAAAATATCACCTTCATCGATTCAGAATCCAACTTCGAAGATTGAAGTGTTTTTAGTGTCTTGTCAATCGCAATGTCAACCACGAATTGGTGTCACAGATGTCAAGCTTGTTCTCAATGCTCGTGTGTTTAATGTTGATATTAGAGAAGGCTGGGAATTATACCGTAGTGAATTTTGGATAAATGAAGGGGTAAGGAGACGTAATAACATGATGGCATTCACCAAGCTGCCTTCAGAAAGAAAATCCATAAGTACAGCCCCGGTGGCCGTAAGAAGGAAAAAGAGAAAATCTTCAAGTGTGGTTATAAGTGGCGGTTCTGGAGATTCAAGTATTCTGAATGTGCCTCAAACATTGAGTGAAGAGAATTTAAAGAATTTGACAAAAAGGCTCGAAAAAAGCGCTATGAGTTGATATCAATGATTATTTCAGCATTTAATATGTTTATATAGATTATATTTCGTTTCTATTAATATTCCTTAAATCCGTTTCCTAATTTAGTGACATTGATTTTTCAACTCTTCAACGAGTTGTATTGATAAACTCTTATTTACTTGATAAACCAGGTGTGTTGATAGCAGTAATTTAAGTATGATGTCGACAATTCAATAATTATGTATTATGTTCAATTTAGCTCTATATTTTACTTAACCAAGGTTCCAGATGAAGTGCATTGAAGATTTCTAGAAAATTATTTTTTTTGCAGTCACTTTAACCCATATCAAGGTTTTACAACAGGACTATATAAACCCGCCTTTAGTGAAACTTAAGTTTATAATCATACTCAAATACAGTATCAAATATGACTAGGTAAAAAAAAGGAACGTCATAATCGCAGAACACTACTATTACTCGTGCTTAGATTCTCAGAAGATTCGCCCAGTACCCAGACGTCTTATGGCATTAGAAATAAGATTATCAAAGTATGGAAAGAATGCTTCAATACTAGGAGGTTTGTGTGACTGTTTTGAATTTTATTTCCATGAAATTAAGGATAGTCACTATGAAAGTGATCTTTGAGCTCTTTTGGGTGCACCTATCGTTAAAAGATCATTTGATTAATAACCAATATGAGTTTATAATTCCTATTATTGAATTGTTGTCAAGTGTTAAGAAAGCATGGAATTTTATACAGAAAAGAGCAGATCATGAACCGATTCCAATGCCATTCCAATCCCCTCCTGTTTATAAGTCTTAGCTTTATCGCTCTACTTGTATATAGCAATATCAAACATACAAATAATATTACCACAGGTGACTCAGAGTGGTATATAATGTGGGTAAAACAAAGCTGTTGTTCCTCCTGTACCTTTTAAGAAATTATTTTGCAACATGCCATTTAGAATGCAAAAAGAAGTGGTTTGTCTCAATTTTGGTTATTCTTCCCAAACGAAAGCACAATTTGCAACACTACTTACAACTACATATAAACTCTTGATATATATAGCTACAGGGCTTACCATATCGGAATAATTTGGTGATGTATTCCTGACATAGAAACCGTACTGCGTTATCATTATTAGTGTTAATACTTCAACAAAACCAGTACTAAACCAATATAGTTAGAATAAGAAAAATTATACTCTTAAAAAATATACATAGAAAAATAATAGTACTTTCTATAAAATCAACTTCGTAAATACATAAAATTCAATAAATATTACAGCTTAATCACAATACCTCTTTCCTTAATTACTTATTAGGTGATAATATATCATGAGGATATCTTCCAACATTCAGTTGTTGTCGTGAATGGCCGAGAGCTGACAGTGGTGGATTAACATCCTCAGGTATTATTTTTAGTTCACTTTCCTCATTAACAGTCGTATCCATGGACAGATCAGGGTCAATATCATCCCCAAGCCTTGACTTTGTAGTTTGTGTGGTAGTGGTGGATGAACCAGAAACAGTTTGTTCTGGTATGCTTGAAATTGTGTTTGTGGTGGTTGATTGTTCGATATCTGGAGCTGGCAATAATGGCTCACGTTCTTCATTTCCACTCGACATGGATTTGTGTCTTTTATGCAATCCTTGGGTATTAGAATTAATCCCCTTGGTTAATCCTGAATTTGAAGCTTGAGGCCCTTGAGGTTTCCAATGATGGAATTGGATAATGTGCTGAAATGAAGTCATAGATTCTTGCAGAGGTGGTAGAGCCAGTCTACTTTGCTTATGTAATGGCTGTGCAGGAATTGGTTTAACCTGTAGTGTTGAAGCTCCACTCATGGGTGATTGATTATTTTGAGAACCACTATGTTTTCTAGTATGAGACTCAATGGCGCCTAAATCAATACTCGACTGCGAACCTCTCCTGGCTTGGGTTGGCTGTAATGATGGGGGTTCACCTGGACCTAGACTAGGCGATTCTGCGGGCATTGAATAATGACGTTGGTGGCCGTACCCACGAAATTGGGATCTTCGAGAAGCTGCAGCCGCAGATGCCGTTGATGTTGATTGGAAAGGGTTTGATGGATAACCACGATACGGTGAAGTTGGGGTTGCAAGATTAGCAACTGCTGCAGCTCCGATTTTGGCCGGAGATAATGGTCTTCTGGTGTATGAAGTAGGCGGGGCTGTTGTACCTGAACCAAAACGATAATTCATGGGTGGAATGGGGCTAGCATTGTATGAATCTGATTGGATTACACCGCTAGCACTACTGCTTCTTTGAGGTCGGCTGTATTGCGTGGGTGTGGTTGCCTGACTTTGTTCTGAGTATCCTGTTTGCAGCAAACTCCGCTTTTGACCTAGTTGTAATTGTGGCTGTGGAGGTTGTTCCTGGGGGTAACCATATGGTAGGGATTGTTTCTGGGCTCCTAAATTGGGGAAAGCTTGTGCAATTATTTGTGCTTGTTCTTCTGGTAAATCTGGCATTTGCCCAATGCACATGAGGGGTATTAGATGGGTTGGTATTTGTGCTTTCAATGCAGTTTGAACAATGGCAAGATTTTTGTTTGCAGTTTCAACACGGTAATAGTCTTGTTTTGTACGTTCTTGCTCCGCTCGTAATTTCATAGCTTCTATGAATGCTTGTTCTGAATAAGGGAATGACGATATGTTGGGTCCAAGAAGGGCCAATATTGGGTTCGTTGATGATGTGGAAGGTGTTGTGGTAGTAGCTTCTTGTGATTGACTACTAGTTGCTGCAGGAGCTGCAGGAACAGTAGAAGAAGTGGAGGTGGTTGAGCTTTGTTGCATTCCTGAAGATGCAGCGGATAATAAGGATAAAGTTGCGGTTTGTGAGGGCATTTGCTGTAGCGCGCTCATAGAAGAAGAATATCGTACTGGCTGCGGTAGTGGGGGTAGTCGGGACGTGTATCCTATATTCGGAGCAGGCGGTAGTGGTTGTGAAGGCTGTAGTGGTTGTAATGGCTGATCACTGTTCTGCCCTTGGGGTTTTGTTTGTTGTTGTTGTTGTTGTTGTTGATTGTCTTGCCTTTTTTTTGTTTGCCCTGGCAGTTTTTCTATGAGTGAGTTAACGCTCACGGAGGACATGGTTTATGAGGGTATCAAGAAATAGATACCAACCAGGTAAACAGTAAGAGGACGCGTTGTTGTTGATTTTATGGCAGCTACAGCTACTGTGTCTGGAAGGATAAAGCAGGAATGAAGATGAAAGCAAATTAAAAGAAAAGTAGAACAATCTTGCATGGAATTTCACTACCATCATTGAGATGACAAAATAGAAAAAAAAATCAAAATCACACAGTATATAATAATGTGGGTGATTAAAATTGATTGCTGTTTTCTTAAAAATATTGATCACTTTCTTGATCAAATTGTAAAAAATAAAAAATTAAGATATATACTCAATAGATGGGGTTAATTAGCAACAGTGACTCCATATGGAGAACGAAATGCGGTCTCTTAATTTTCTTACCTGTCCAGGCTTAAGTATATGTTTAAGTTTGGTCTGACTTTTTCTTGTTTGGTATTTTAATCAGCCAAGAATATTTTTTACGTAGTGGGGGGCCAAAGTGTAAGGGGCGGGAAGGCAGAGGGGGCACAGGTGAGGGGCGGGGGGGAGGGAGAGAGAAGAGAATCAATTGCGATGTAGTTGAAAATTTTAACTGGGAAAGTAACAATAACTATCCAGATGCGATCTGCTGTAGCAATTAACTATAGAGTTCCAGCTTAGATCAAGCTACTTCTATAAATGGAACTGATTGTAAATTTTTAACTTTTGTTTAGCATTTATTACTTTTTTTCACGCCTTTGGGAACACATTTTCTATTTTGGGCTATTTTTTCGATCAATCGGTGGACAAGGAAATTATCCGCCAACAATGAAAGAACTGAGACAGTCATTGTCTATGCATGTAATTTACCACGGGATCCCTAATAGGGCCAATTATTATCTATTTAAGAAGTATGTGTGTGATATAAAAAAACTATCATTGTTTCAAAAAGAACTTGATCCAGAATCTTTTGAAGCTAGGGGTGTGTTTAGTGAGGAAATATATCCCTAGCCCAGATTGGGGTGTTCTTTTATGTTTACCCTCATCCTACTTAGCATTCACCGTCAATGACAAACTCTTCATTTTGTTCATTCCAGTTGTTTTTCTTTTGAACTGGGAGAAAGAAATGTCTTTGTAACAATGTTCAGGTCATATACTGTAGGGAATACAATGGAACTTCAGCACGAGACTTTTATGACAGTAGGTGCAGTTTTTTGTGGGATATAATTTGTGCGAAAAGAGCCAACTAGTAAAGTTTTGCCGTTTGTATCCGAAAAATTACCGAGTTTACCCAGAAAGGAGCAACCGGATTACCTTTCCAAAATATAATACTGATATAGAGATATCCTTATACAAGCGCGTCTTCCACTTTTAGAACGTGTCACGAGTGGATAGCTATGTGATAAATACCCTGAACTTTACAGCTATTTGTTTAGTCTGTTCCCGTATTGCTTCTTGAAACTCTTGATAATACTGATCCATTTATACTACCGAAATACCGTGATCACTTCATAAGACCATATTTTTCGGGCAATGCAAACATAATATCTCGTTTACTTCGTGGTTGCAAATTACGACTATACATCCTCACGTGCCAGAAAAGCTCGCCCAAAATTTTATCTCCATGCTTTAAAAATAGTAGCAGAAAAAAAAACACCTAAACAAAATGAGCAATATCGACGGAAACTAAAAAAACTAACACGCGAGCTTGAACTGTTTACTCAATCATTCGAATTATTAGTTTCCAACAGTTAAATTAGGAGAATGATACCTAGGAACGGTAGCCAATCTGTGCCAGCATACCAGGAAGGTGTTGATTCACCAGTAGCTCTTGAGCAAAAAGGACATATGTATCTGCACGTTGTGGGAGTAAGTGGTGATCTTGATCATGAAGAAGACGAACCTGACATGTGGGGTGACATGGACGAGGATTTAGCATTTGAGGATGACGAAAAAGATGAACCAGATAAGGTACCTGAAAATCAATCAAAAGTCCCAGGTGAAGATCTCCACGAGTTGGAAGCTGAATCACAAGTTAAACCACAAGTTGAATCACATACTGAACCAGAAGCTGAACTAGAAATTGAACCAGAAACTGAACCACAAGCTGAACCAGAAGCTGAGCCCGAATTCCAACCAGAAGCTAAAGCAGAAGTCAAACAACAAGAAATAGTAAAAGAAGTATCTAGTCATAATATGAGCTCTCAACCACATACAGTTGAAGATGATTTTGATGATTTGGATGATTTTGATGATGAAATTGCCAAGGGTATGTCAGTTGCTGCCAAATCATTAGAAGCTAGTGCAAGCGAAGCAGAGCCAGAAGCAGAGCCAGAAGCAGAGCCAGAAGCAGGGCCAGAAGCAGGGCCAGAAGCAGGGCCAGAAGCAGAGCCAGAAGCAGAGCCAGAAGCAGAAGCAGAAGCAGAAGCAGAAGCAGAGGTTCAAGATTCAAAACAAGACGAATCTAACGAAAGAGATTTGAATCCAACTGAATCAGCAATGGATGTTGCACCTGAGGCTCAACCAGAAATACCTATTAAAGACGAATTAAGCAAGCCAGCTGATTCAATAGAACAACCCAAAGAAGACAGTATCCATGAAAGGATCAACTCTCACAAGGATCTTGAGGAAGTAGAACAGCCACAAAATTCTATTTCAAAAGAGCTTGACCAAGAAAAACAACACTCTGTCGCGGCAGCTGAACCTGCAAATGGCAATAATTTAGCACAATTCACTCAACTCACCCTGACCATCTCCACCCTTACAAGTCAGCTTGCACAAGCTACTCAGGAACGTGACGAGATCCAGCAGTCATATGACACTTTATTAAGCAAACTTTCTTCGATGAAGACTATATTCAGTAAGATGAAAGAGTCCGAAATTGAATTAGAGGAAAAGACTGAATTAGTGGAAACACTTACTAAACAAAATCAAGAATTGAAATCAAAACTTGAGAAAGTCAGTCACGATAAATCTCAAGAAGATGAATTAGTTTCTCAATTACGCGAAAGCAACAATGATTTGAATAATGAGTGTGAGAGATTAAGTGATACTTTAACCAAATCAAGACGTGAATATCAGGCGACTATTGATGAATTACTGGACGAAAAGTATAATTTTGAAAATCAGAATAGCAAATTATCTAAAAAGGTAAATGAGTTGAAAACGGAATTGAATGAATTAAACATTTTACAAAATGAACTTGAATTGGACAATAAGAACCAAGCTGCAACAATTGAAGAATTGAAGCTGGTTAATGCTCAAAAGGATCATGAATTGGAAGAGAGGAATAAAATTATAGAAGATTTAAGATTAGTCATTTTAGAAAACCAGCAAGCCACAGAAAAGATTACTTCAGATTTAAAACAAGAAATTGAATCTTTGAAGGAAAAAGTTTCTAAAGTTGATCATGATAATGAAACATTATCAACTGAGATTAACAGTAAGAAGCAAGAAATAGACAATTTGAACAATCAACTTAAGGAAATTGACGAATTAAAGACAGATATTAATACGAAGCAGCTATTGATTGGAAAATTACGTCATGAAGCAATTATTCTTAATGAGCATTTAACCAAGGCTTTAACCATGATAAAACAAGGCTCGGGTGATGGGTCTAACAAGACAATTGACCGAGAATTGATTTCAAATGTTATTCTCAGTTTCTTGCAATTTCCTCGTGGGGACACTAAAAAGTTTGAAGCTCTACAATTAATAAGTGCATTATTGCAGTGGGATCCTGAGCAGAAAGTAGCTGCTGGATTACAATCAAAAGGGAGTGGAAGTGGTAAAGTAGATAAAACTGGACCTGATGGTCAACAGCAGAGACAAAGTTTTGTATCGTTATGGACTGATTTCTTGGAGAAAGAGTCGATGGGAGGTTGAAGTTAGCATTAGTGTTTACTTTTTTGTTTAATATTAGGGTGAACAAAAAAAAAAAAATGTAGTTAAAAATTTACGCGTTTCAATTCTCTTAGTTGATCAAGCAACCCTTTTGATAAGCTGTAATCTGAAGATGGTGAATATTACTGATTTCTTCAGTGGGAAGGCTAAGCCCTCTCAAGTAAGTACCAACATCCAATGTCTGATATTGAAATGATGTGCTAACGATTGATTTCTTTCTAGAAACGAAAAGCATCTGCTTCACCTGAACCAGAAACCAAAAAACCAAAAGCGTCTACAAATAAACGCGCTCCCAAGCAAGAGCCAGAAGTAATTGATCTTGACGACGACGACGATTTCCTGTTTAGTGACGAAGGTGATGATAGTTTAGTGGAAATCAAACCAGCTACCCCTAAGCGAAAGCCAGCCGCCCCCAAAGTAGCCACTCCCAAAAAGGCCACCCCTAAAAAGGCCACTCCCCAAAAGGCCACCCCTAAAAAAGAACCTGCATCAAAGAAACCAAGTAGTCCCAAGAAGGCAATGGCAAAACCAGCTGCCTCATCAGCATCTACTGTGACACTTTCGGCTGAGGAGGTCCTTGCTACTATTCCAGATGCGGTTCTTCCAGAAATTGATGACTCCAAAAAGGTCAACTTCTTTGCATTAAACGCCGCCAAACAAGCCAATGCCAATGCTGCTGGTTCTGGAACAATTGATATTCCTGAAGCCCAACCTAATTGTTTATCTGGATTAACGATAGTTTTCACGGGTCAATTGCCCAATTTAGACCGTGATAGTGCTGAACTGCTCGCTAAACGCTACGGTGCTAAGGTAACTAAATCCATTCTGGGAAAGACTAGTTTGGTTGTATTAGGTGATGATGCTGGTCCTTCTAAAGTCAAGAAGATCAAGCAATTGCATATCAAAACTATTGACGAGGATGGGTTTGTTGAATTGTTAAAGAGAATGCCCTTAGAAGGTGGATCTGGTGAAGCTGCTCAAAAGGCAAAGTTGAAACGAGAAGAAGAAGAACGTAAAGTTATTGAGCAAGCTGAACATGACGCAAGAGTGGAAGCAGAACAAGAAGAAAAACAGCGCAAGAAATTGGCGGCAGCACAAGCAACTGCCTCTAAATCTAGTCAGGGATCTTCTATTTCAGCACCACCTCTTCAACCTATCATACCCGCTAAAGATAAGTTATGGACTGATAAACATGCACCAACATCTACCAGCCAATTATGTGGGAACAAAGGTCAAATAGCAAAATTACGCAATTGGTTAGACAATTGGTTTGAGAATCAAAAACATGGTTTTACAAAAGCGGGAAAAGATGGTTCTGGAGTATATCGTGCTGTATTAATCAGTGGTCCCCCAGGAATTGGGAAAACTACTGCTGCCCATTTGGTAGCTAATGAATTAGGGTATGATGTATTGGAAAAGAATGCATCTGATGTGAGATCCAAATCTCTTTTGAATGCTACTGTAAAATCAATTTTAGATAATACTTCAGTGGTCGGGTTTTTCAAGCAGCGTGAAGATAAACAATTGGGTGATAATTCGAAAAAGATTTGTCTTATTATGGATGAAGTTGATGGTATGTCTAGTGGGGATCATGGGGGTGCTGGTGCATTATCACAGTTTTGTCGTATTACCCATATGCCAATGATTTTAATTTGTAATGATAAATCATTACCCAAGATGAGAACCTTTGATCGAGTTTGTTTTGATTTGCCATTCAGAAGACCCAGTGAGCAGGAAGTGAAGAGTAGATTAATGACTATTGCCTTGAGAGAAGGTGTGAAATTAGATCCAAATATTATTGGCCAGTTAGTTCAGGCTACATCTAATGATATTCGTCAAATGATTAATCTTATGTCCCAAGTTTCCAAGACACAAAAGGCAATTGGGAATGCCACCTTAGAAGAAATCAATCAAGGTTGGAAGAAGCAAGTTATATTAAAACCGTTTGATATTGCTGGCAGATTATTATCTCTGGGAATTTGGACATCACCGCGTCAAAATTTAAATGAGAAGTTGGATCTTTATTTCAATGATATTGATTTTGCTCCTTTAATGATTCAAGAAAATTATTTATTAACTAGACCACGATTACCTGGCAAGCATTTGGATCATATTGCCCGCGCTGCGGATGATATCAGTCAGTCTGATTTAATTAATTCTTTAATCAGATCAAGTGAACAGCAGTGGAGTTTGTTACCATTCCATGGATTAATGTCAAGTGTAAGACCCTCATATGAAGTCGCTGGTATGGTTCAAGGTAGATTGGCATTTTCAAGCTGGTTAGGACAAAATTCTAAACAAATGAAGTATCAACGTATTTTACAAGAGTTGCAATATCATACTAGAATAAAGACATCCACCACCAAGCAAGAATTGAGATTAGATTATTTAAATCCACTTTGGAATAAATTAGTGGAACATATTCATGACGAAGATGGAATCACGAAAACTATGAAGGTAATGGATGAGTACTTTTTAACCAAAGAAGATTTTGATAATATTGCTGAAATCTTGAAAAAGGATGCGGGAATATCACCCAAAATGAAAACCTCATTTACCAAAGCTTATAATAAAGCTATTCATCCTACTGTTATTTACAAGACTGGTAATTCTGTATTGAATGGTGGTAAACGAGGAGCAGCTAGTAAGGTTGATTACGAAGATGTTGTTGATGATGATATGGAAGATGTACCTGATGAAGAGCCTGAAAACAGTGATACGATTGATAATAAAAGGGACAAGTTAATCAAAGTAGAGAAACCTAAAGCTAGAGGAAAGGCTAAAACAAAAGCAGCTAAAGACGAACCAGCAAAGAAGAAACAGAAACGATAAACTAAAAAGAAAAAAAAAGAAACCAAATATTCCATGCATAGAAGCAACTGATGTCGTGATTTAACTTAAGATTTAGACAATCGCCGTATGAGTTGTTATCAAAGTGGGGAACGAGGAACCTTCTTTATCCAATTACATGTATATCTAAGTATTTTCTGATAAAAATATTATTACTATTCAAAAGTTTAAATGACGTAAAACAAAACTTGTCTGGGCTTTTTTTTTCTTTGTTTCTATTGTGTTTCAGATATCCTGACAGACACATAAAGAAAAAAAAAATTGTCTGAGGTGAGTGTGCAAAATACAACCTCAATTTACTTCGTTCCCTTTCTGAGCCTCGATTGTAACCATTATTGTCTTAGTCATCCAGCTTTGTTTAAATTTTCTCATCTCAATTGAGCCATTTACCTCACGCCAACAAAATCGCTCAATCTTGTTACTGGTCGTGTAAACCTGTGGTGGCCCGTTATATGCAGAATCTCTGCCCCCTTTCCGCCGTAAATCAAAACTATCACGTTAAATCAAGAGAAAAAAAATAGAGCCCGTCAGTACAATACAATAATATATAAACAGCAGCATTTCATTTGGGAATCATTTGCCATATCTTTATATATTCCTTTCCATCTGGTAATAGTTAAGAAACGCTAATGTCGGGCATTCCTTTATTTAATATACCCAATACTAAGCGCCCTGCCAATAGTAAAATCTTGCCTAATCTACATATCCCCCTTCAGGAGCCAGCACCAACAAATGTGAATCAGTATAATTCCCACCATATACACCAACTGGTTCACACGCAATATCACCTGCAGCAGCCACAGCTCCATCTTCAACCTATTCCCCTGCATTATTCCAATTCCTCGTCATCTTTATCGTCAAATACCCCCACCAATTCTCAATCGTCAGTGACTTCATTGAGAAGAAAGCCCCCACCTCCTATAGATACCAATGGAAGTACTAGTAATTATACCACAACCCCGATAGATGCAGACAAAAATGCTATGGTGATTGACCAGCAAGAAGGTGATCTCGGGCAACATGATGGCAATCAAGAAGAAGATACACTCTTGCAGAAACATCATTTGGAACAGTTAACACCATATGATTGGCACTTGTTTGCAAATGCCAATCAAATTATTGAAATTAATAAATTGGGCGAGGGAAATGGAGGATCAGTCACCAAGTGTCGAATTAATCAAATACCCAACCAAATATTTGCACTCAAATTAATAATAACTGATCCCAACCCCGACATTCAAAAACAAATATATCGAGAATTGGAAATTGCTAGAAAATGCCAACATCCCAATATTGTGACATATTATGGAACGTTTATACTTGAAAAACAAAGCATGATTGGTATAACCATGGAATATATGGATGGCCAATCTCTTGATTCAATATATAAAGAAGTATTGAAACGCGATTGCACAAATAGAATCAACGAAAAAGTATTGCGAAAAATAGCCAATGGGGTTTTATCAGGGTTGGACTATCTTCACCTGAAGAGTATTATTCACCGAGATATAAAACCATCTAATATTCTTTTGGATACTCAAGGTAATGTCAAACTTTGCGACTTTGGTGTTAGTGGAATAGCAGTTAATTCGTTGGCATCTACATTTGTGGGAACTCAATATTATATGGCACCAGAAAGAATCACCGGTGGATCCTATTCTATAACTAGTGATATATGGTCATTAGGAATGTCATTGCTAGAAGTTGCCAATGGGAAATTTCCAATAGATTTAGAATTATATGGCCCTATAGAGGTTGTTGACATGATTCTGAAGTCAGAATTAGAATTACACGATCTGCCTGATGAAAATATTTATTGGACTCAAGAATTTAAACTATTTATTGCAAAGTGTCTAATTAAGGATCCAGCAAAAAGACCAATTCCAAGACAGCTATTGCGTGACGATGAATGGTGTTTGGCTCAGCAAAAGGAAATGGTTAAAATGGACAAGTTTGTTAAAGTTGTTTGGCAATTGAACCATTAAATAGTGTATATACACCCTTGCCTGATTACTCTAATTTTATAGATATTAGCTATTAGTTGCAAAATTGTATCACGTGGATGACATCACATGATGATTTTTTCACCCAATAAAATTTGGGTAAAATTTTTTTACCAATCCTCATAGTGTGAATGTACAGAAAAAAACAGCAACAAGTTAGCCATTATATAGTTAACAGGAAAGAGCTATATACCTACCAATATACAAATATGCCAGTTCCATTTGAAGGTTTAATGCCATATGCCATTATGGCTGCATTCTTTGGTCTTGCAGGTCATGGTGTCCAATTCATTAGATATTGGGACAACGGTTGGAAGAATGACAGATGGAATTTAGATGCATGGGACAAAAGAATGATGAAGCGTGATTTCTTATTGACAGGAATTAAACGTGGTCAATCACAAGAGCCAGTCGCCCCTGAACATTTCAAGACCGCCGACACTATCGAACAACAATACTACTCTGCCAACAGAGGACAATCTTTCGTACTCAGAGACAGATTATGGAGAGGTTACGTTTTTGGTGATTGGGATTGGTCGTAAGCTTCTTAGCATAGCAATAGCATTTGATTGGTGGCACTTGTCATCATTCTGGGAGTTTGAATTGGAGTGGTATTCATGTAATATTTATTTCGTTTTAACCTTTTTTATTATATATCTATATTATACGCAGAAAAAGAATAGTATCTATTTAAAATCCTTGTAGGTCCATTTTTCAGTAATCTTTGGTGTGTATTTCTTCTTCTTGGCAACTGGAACTCTGGCTTCGATCTTACCAGTTGATTGTAACTTCAACATTTGATCATAAAACAAATTACCTTCTGGTTTGACATTCTTTAAATTGTTGGTTAATTCGTTGGATAATTTAACTTCTAATGGGGCTTGAATTGGATTATATTTGAAAAGCTTTTGGCTCTTTCTTTGTTTCTTAGTGGCTGGTTGTTCCTGCTGTTCTTCTTCCTCTTGTTGTTTTTTTAACAATTCGTCCAAATTAGAAAGATCCTTTAATTGCTTCTTCAAATCTTTCAATTGCTGTTCTAATTCTACTCTCTTCTTATGTTTAGCTTCCTTATTTCGCTTGGTCTTGGTTTTGATCTTAACTTGAGTTGGCTTGTTTATCGACAATCTATAAGCATCTTCTTCGTTGGCTTGTTCTTCTTCCTTCACTTGCTCTTTCTCTTCTTCCTCTTCTTCGTCATCACTTTCTGACAAGTTATCATCCTTCAAAGTTTCCATCAACACCTTAATCTTTTCTCTGTGCTCGGCAATTTGTTGTCTAGCTAGTTCTCGTTTATATTCAAGATCATATTCTTGATTTATTAAATCCTTCCAAGATTCCAATGATGGGTTGTATGATTTACCAGCATGAATAGTCTTTGAAGTTAACTCGTTATCAACTACTTGAATTGGAGCATGAGATAAAGTTTTGGGAATAACGGAAGCACGGGTCACTTCAGCAGTTGAAGAAAATCCGTCAACTGGAGTAGCTTCCTTTTCATCTTCTCCCCAAAGATCATCATTAGACACATTCATTAACCCATCCTTTTCAATACGGTTGAGCATGGTACTTTCACTCTTGTATCTACCACCAGTCAATTTAACCAACTTTAAAACATCAGTACGTTTGACACCTTGGATAGTTTTTGGTTTCTTAGATTCCTTAGGGTGAGCCAAAGCAGGGACTTTGGACTTATTAGTTAAAATTTCATGCGTTTTCAATTTCTTAACTTCAACATTAGGTTTGATTTGTGGAGTTTCATCGATTATGAAGTCTTCTTCATCTTCATTAGATTTACCTAAGATGACTTCTGAATCCCTTGACGCTTGAAGACCAGATTCGACTTCTTGGATGTCGATGTTCTTACGCCAGGCTCTCTTCCCCTTTCTTGATGACTGTGGTTTGGATTTGGTCTTGGTTTCTCCCATTATGTATGATTTTTAGTATGAAGTTACTGCTAGTTCAATGGATCAAGATAAAAGAAATTGAAAAAAAAAAAAAATTATTTTGATAACTATGAGATGAGTATGGCCGAGCGCGACACTTCTGTTTGCGACATTACATTTTACGACAAAGTATTTTCGCGGGTAGGATGGTACGGAACTGATTTCCAGTTCCTTCTACATCACATTCAAAGGGGTCCTCAAGATCTCTCATTCAAATATTTGGAATTAAATACATTTCTAAACCAAATATATATATATATATATATTTAGTGCCAAGAAGTACGCAGAGGTATAATTCTTTAGCCGAGTGATATATGATAATATTAGATTATTACTAACTACACCATAACTAACTAGGATTCAATAGCTAAGACGTCTGGGTACTGGGCGAATCTTCTGAGAATCTAAACATAAGTAATATTAGTGTTCTGTGATCATGATATTTCTGTTTTAGTGCTCTGTCGAACAAAGATTGTAAAGCATCTGAATAATACTTCTAATAACTCCCAATCCAAATCGTTAATATCAGCTTCTCTAAAAATGATCAAATCCAAGTTAGCAACCTGGAACAACTGTACGCTTGAATAGAATTGTAACTATAACGGAGAACTTTTCCTTATGCCTTATTATTGTAAATCAAAGAGTGATACAACAGTTACTCGTAATATCAGGAATGGTCTAAACTGCCTATGGAAATTTTGCAACATAACACTATTTTCGAGGATCACTTTGTTATCAATTTTTATGTAACAACGCATTCTAAGCTCAATAAAGACACGGTCTCTAGTCAGGAAACATTTAATAGATTGCTAGTTTGTGTCTGATAGAGAACTCAACTTTCATTGCTCCAGTGTAGATTGGTTGCTAAATGCTAGAAAAATTTAGAACCATTTAAAGAGCAAAACTGATTTAAACTTTATAATATTGAGGAACATCGCATTAGAACCTCTTCCACCCTATAAGCCGGATAAACTTACCAAAGTACCCAGTCTTGTATTTAGATTCTGGTCATTTGTCAACTGATCTAATTTGATTCTAGAAATCCTTTTAAATCGACTTATTGGCAATTAATGGTACATTGTTATGGAAACTGGAATCACACGAAAAACTCACAATATCCAAACATAGATATTTTGAGTAACTTTGCATGGAGGTACCTTTTCTCATCCTTATATTTAGTTAAATGAATTTCTTACATGTTAATGTTAAGAATCTATCACTGGTTAAGACATTAGGTGTTCACAAAAAGCACCAGTTTTTGAATGATCAACTCTAGGAATACATGCAACGATTCTATCTCAAGAAACTATTTAGATCCATATATTCCAAATTTGGATTTATCCTAAGAAGCATCACAAGGTTATATTTTGAATAGCAAAGAATATCTGGACCCCTTTTCTTGCATCCTAAATATTTTGCTGCAACATAATTTCCTAAAAAGGAAAGTGGGGGAAAAGAAGTGTCGTACTAATCCTATTTGGGTATTATGGCATGATCGGTCACATTGTCACAAGATCAGTTACAACAAAGAGCTATACTTTAAACAATGCCATCCAGAAAGAGTTAACAATTTCGATTGCGTTTCATTAAGCAAGCATGAAAATTTCAACCCTCAAGGGAGCCACCTCATTGTATCGAAACGCCGCTAATCTACCTAATGAAGATATCATACAAATTACAAACCTAACTAGCAAGTTATTACGTACTATTACAGCTATAGTGATAAGATATATTAGGTTATCCATAAAGAATATTTTCTTTCTGAGATCAACCCTTGCTTCGTTTGCTTTTGCCTATCTCTTTGATGTTGTGCCTCGACTAACAAATCGTATATTCTATCTCGTCACTCATTTCGAATTCCGAGAGATACCAAAAGAAGTTACCAGGATTTTAATAGCGCCCTTTGATGCTACTCATTTCCCAGTTTTTGTTGCTAGGTTAATTGCAACTTTGAACACATTTGCACCACTTTGCAAACAATTTATACTGAATTTTGTGGAACAAGATGATTCCGAAGTTGGATTCGCTGGTATTTTCATGGCTGGTTTTCTATCAGCAATGTTAAACTTCCCTAGATTTCAAAAAGAAAAGTTGAAACATGACAGGTATTATACTTTAGATTGGACTTTGATTTTGCTAACAAGAATGATAGAAACTTTGGTGGTAACAGGCACGCACCTGAGCAAAAGATTCAACATTTGGAAGCCTATAGCCGAACATGGAGACGTATGGCTTTTCATCATTGCAAACTATATTGTTATGGACACCTGGGTATTTAAACCTTGGAAATTAACTCCAGAATATCGACAGTGGATATCTAAAGCATCTAATTTGGATGAAGACATCACAGAAGGATTGAGATATATACAACAGGACAAGATTGACTATTCAACTGGAAAGCAACAAGTTGATTCTACAAATGAGCATTTTATGAAATTGTGTGTGAAATACAAACGTGATATTGAACTAGGGGATATTTCCAAACAGCCAAAGCTACCATGTACCATTTTCCATCAGTTTAGAACAGATAGCTGTTTAATGAACTCCCTCGTTCAATTTAAGTACGAATTTAAGTTTGCCTTTCGAATATATACATTCTTAAATTTATTCGCTTACGTATTTATCCGTCGATTTCGAGGAAGCATTAAACGACTAGTATGGAATTCAATCAGATCCTCAATGTTTTTGGGGACAGCATCCCTAATACGATGGTGGACATTTTGTTTCATCCGCAACTATCATCCTCCTATTCAATCACAAAGGTTTTGGGACTTAGCTGCTATTAAGTTGTCCAACCTTTTGAGTGGTTTATCTATATTAGTTGAAAGTCATCATAGACGGAAAGAATTGTCAATGTTTGTTATTCCCAAGGCTCTAGGTACATTTGTGGACCCAACTGTCAATGATTTCAATATCAAGATAGAGATTGTGGCTTTCAGCTTAAGTTTTGCCACATTAATAGCATTTGCAAGGACTAATCCTTCCAGATTAAGAGGTTTGGTGGGACGAGCATTGAGTTATGCAATTAAGAATTAGTCTGTTGTCTATAGACTTGATACAGCTCCTCGGCAATTAATTCAATTTCCTGTAGATTCAAAGCAATAATTTCTGCATCTTCTTCAATGTCTTCACCATCCTGCTTATCAAGCCCCATCTTCTCAAAAGTTATGTCTGTCTTTGACACCTTACAATATTCTTTCTTTAAATCGTATGCCAATTTACGGATCACAGACTCACTAATGTTGTCACTAATCAAGTAAGCCACCAAATCTTCTAACCAGATTTTATCATAAACGTAATAAACATCGTGGAATCTAAACAACTCCTTCAAATCTAATAATGCCTTCAAAATTAAACGCTTACCACCTCTTAAGTTATAATATACATCTTCCCACACTTTCATCACTAGCTTGAAACTTCGATGGAAAGGGTATGCAAGTGCACGCCTTATGCATGTAATTACTGCAGCCCGAAGGACATTGTCGGAGTTATCTGGATTCAGAACTAGTTTTGAATCAAGGAAAGCAAATTGAGGGACCAACTTACCTATCGTCCATGCACTTTCTATGTTGTGATCACCTTCTGTTTCACGCAATTCAAAATGATAAGCAAACAACAAACAAATTACCAAGATAAGAATCTCTTGGTTATATGAGGCGTCAATAAGATAAGATCTTCGAGGCAAGTTTTGCATTTTCTCTTGCTCGTCTTTGGTAAACTCGACATCCATTACATTGGTTCGTTCAGATTCAGGAATTGAACCTTGTGTTTTGTACCATTTTAAGAATTGTCTAATAAGAGGATTCTTCCACTCGAGCAAATCTTGGAACAGCTTGTCATCATCAGCAGTCGGATACTTTTCCATAATATAATCAGCTGCATAAATCTCTGCATCAAACTTTATATTCTCCTTAATTAACCTTTCAATGACTCTATCTGATGCGGTGGTAGTTTCAGGATCTCCAACTTCATTGATATCATTCCCATTAGTTACAGAAATGCCGACCAATTTATCATACTGATTATTAAATCCATATTTGACTCCAGATAGTTCCTGGTTGTTAGGAATTTCCTGCTTGATTTCCCAATCGAAAGCTTCACCTTCTTGAACCACGTCCCTGGGTTTACCATCCATAGTATTGTCAATATCCAATTCCTCAATTAATGGACCCGAAACTTCAGCTTTCAGACTAGTATTTTCATTCAACCGTGCAAGCAACTTTGAAGTCAAGTCTAAATCTGGAAACACTCTTCCTCGTTCTTCCTTGGGAATTCGTATTCTAACCACTTCTTCTTTTGAATCATATTCTGCCTTCGACCTTTCGTCATCGACGCAGGGGAAAGGTAAACGAATACGTAAATAGTATGGAGGGAGGGAAAAGATGAATAGCTCATTATCTACTATCATTTCTATTTGAGTAGCCGAGAATCGGATATGTGATATCTTGACGTTTATATAAATGAACTCATCATCTTGAGTAACTTCGAAAAAGGGGGTAATCATTTCCTGTATATTATGGAATATTTTAAAGCAATTGTAGCTGGAATCGTGTAGTTTTAACAATTGAGATGAAGAAGAAATTAGCGATGAGCTAAAGAACTTTTACGGTTGCGCTCGCTTGATGATTCATAACCGTTAACTATTCCCAATTAGGAAACATGTGTGTGCCGCACGATGTGCGGTGGGTTGTAACAAAATTTTCTTAGGAAATTATGAACACTATTCCGAACTTGTATACAAGTACCTAGCCCATTCTAGATACTTGTTTAATATTGAGAATAATAATATATATATAATGTCCAACGAAGACACTATCAAATCAACCAGACCAAGGCGGAGATTTATTGGTCGTAAACCTGTGGACTCAACGTCTTCCTCGGAAGCAACGGAGTCTCCATTAGTAAGGAAAGCAAATCCCAATCGTCACATTGGTCGAGTTCATAATGCCATTCCATCAGATATTCTCGAGGACAAAGATCTTAACTCGGCCATTAAACTTCTTCCTTCAAATTACAACTTCGAAATCCACAAGACAGTATGGAACATTCGCAAGGCAAATGCGTCCAGAGTTGCCCTTCAGATGCCTGAGGGATTACTCATATACTCCCTTATCATTAGCGATATTCTCGAACAATTTTGTCAGGTGGAGGTAATAGTCATGGGAGATGTTAGTTATGGAGCCTGCTGTATCGACGACTATACCGCCCGTTCACTCGATTGTGATTTTATTGTTCATTATGCCCATTCCTGTCTTGTTCCTATTGATATAACTGCCATTAAGGTGCTTTACGTATTCGTGACCATTAATATTGATGAAACACATTTGATCAATACGCTCAAGCTTAATTTTGAAAGAGGAACCCAGTTGGCAGTGTTTGGTACTATTCAATTCAATCCCACCATTCACAGTGTGAAACAAGTTCTTGAAAATGATCTCGAGAAACCACTTTATTTGATACCACCACAAACAAGGCCATTAAGTAAAGGGGAAGTGTTAGGATGCACTTCAGCAAGATTGGATAAGGAGCACATAAAAGCAATGATATATATCGGTGATGGTCGATTCCATTTGGAAAGTTCCATGATTCATAATCCGGAAATTCCAGCTTATAGGTATGACCCATATTCCCGTAAATTTACCCGAGAATATTATGACCAAAAGCAAATGATCACCGTACGTCAAGACGCAATAAACTCGGCTAAGAATGGTAAAAAGGTTGGATTGATCCTCGGTGCTTTAGGAAGACAAGGGAACCCACAAATTTTAGATAAATTGGAAGTGGAATTAAGCCGCCAGAATATTCAAGCGGTGAAGATTGTCCTTAGTGAGATATTCCCTCAGAAATTGGCCATGTTCAATGATGTTGATTTCTTTGTTCAAGTGGCCTGTCCTCGATTGTCTATTGACTGGGGCTATGCGTTTAATAAACCTTTATTGACTCCTTATGAGACAATGGTGATGTTGAACAAAGACGTTATGATGAATGAAGTATATTATCCTATGGACTACTATTCTAAAGATGGTTATGGAAGAGGAAATATCCCTGATCATACTAACGTTATATAGACCTTATTTGTCAAGTCCCAATAAAGTGTTTAGTTCATATTCTGTCCATGTGAATGAGTATTGTAAAAATTCATTATTAATGTCATTGAACCTTTTATAGAAGTGAACAAATTCTGTGAATGAAGTATTTATTACTTCTTCCACTGTAATTGGCGAATTCAATTTCATCAAGTTCAGCTGGATTTCTATTAATGCATTTGGTACAACCAGTTGAACTAAATCGTTTACTTTGGCCATTTCTTCAGAAGTATATAACTGGTTTTCTTTTATTGGTTCGTATACGACAACATCGAACATTTCATCGTTGTTTTGTTCCAAGGGACATATCATATTAGTGATGTTATAATAGTTGTATAAATTGCATTGTTTTAACAATTCTTCCAATTCGTATTGTTTTAGTTCTATAGTTAATTCATGGATCATATCATTCACTTCCAATACTTTTTCTGATAATAAACTAATGGGCATGATTTTACCTAGGATTAAATCAAGAAAATTAAGTCTTATGATTAATAAATCCTCTTTCTGGTCATGGAACAAATGGTTAGTGGATAAATGAAGATTGAAAATTTCAATGGGCTCATTAATAATTGACTTCATAAACTTGATATTGTCTTCCTCGGAAAAATTCATGATTGTTGGTGTGGTAATTTGATCGATGATTGGCAAGATATCAGAATAGAAATCAATGATCCATTCAGGGGGCTGTAAATCAAGGTTCAACTCCAATCGAGCAACATTACTAGTACGGACCGTTGCCAAACGATTAGTAATAATAATCATGATTCGCTCCCGGGACATGGTCACTAATTCTTGAATTGTATCCAAGAAATTACCCGTATTGCCTAATTGCTTCGAAAACATAAACGAATACAATTCCACAAGGTTGAATATTTGGTAAATTGTTGAAAGTTTAGTTTCACTGGATATGAGTGATTCGATTCTGGTCTTAATCGGTCTTGACAATGACTTGAGAATCCGATCGGTAATTTCAGCTATTATAGATTCAAATTCTTGTCTTACGTGCTCTTCATGCTCTTCCTCAAATGTAAATATATTCTTGATGGTTTCCGATTCATTGACTGCAACTGAATGAACATACGCAAGTAAGTCTCCCACAAATCGAACTGGATCATGGGCATTTATAAAAATAGGACGACTCAGATCTGCATTTGAAATGGACCTTTGCTTTTGGGAATTTACTTCCAGTTGCTGCTGCTGTTGCTGCCTCTGTTGTTGCTGTTGCTGGTCTAAATCACCTTGGATTTGGTTGTAAAACTCTTCAATCAATAGTTTGGAACGGGACTCACTGAAAGTGTTTATAATTTCATCAAAATAGTTCATCTGTCGTTTCAAATATTGGAAACATTTATGTAAAGTGATCAAACGAGACTTTAAATTCAAAGAATATAAGTTGTTTAGTGTCTTATTGGTGTAACTTACTATACGTTCCCTTGACTTGTTAATAATATGGTTGATTTTTGTCATTATTTTAACTCCCAATTGAGGATTGTCAATCGCTAATAAGATAGAACAATTTTCATTAATCAGCTCTGCCTTTTTAAGTGTTACAAAGAATTCCTCGTTCAATTCACCTTGACTCAATACAAACTCTTCATACTCATTCAAAGTAAACTTTTCTTTAAACACAATAAGTAAATTTTTTTGTAAACCCACTAATTGTTTCTCTTGATTGAGTTCAGACACCTTTGAATTAAACTCGGTAGAGAACTCGTAATTCTTGACAATTTTTTCATTAGTGGTTCTATTTAATTCATTCAACTGGTTCAATCGAGTTTCTATTGCTTTCAACTGTCTTACTAAAGGGGCATACTCTTTTAAAACATAACTCAGATTACGGATCAACTCACTCTCCACTTTTCCTCTCAATTTCTTTCTATTCATACTACCAATCAATCCAGGTTCTATCAATTCCAGGTCATTCTCACCAATAACTTTCTCCTGCAAATAGGTGAAAATCTCTCTGATACTGGCATCACTTAATGATTCATTCAATACACGGGCTAATCTGACATTTAAGTTTGTGTGTTGTTCACTCGTAGTGCTGACACCACTGCTACTCCCTTCCATGGCAGTTGGATCATCCTTTGATTCAAGAATAGAAAGTGACATCTTGGCATACTTCTCTGCCAAAGCATTTTCATTATTTGCTTCATCCCCTTCTCTAGTTCCGGATGCTTGAGAATCTCCTTTGAGAATTCGGGTTAAGTTATTAAGGTTGGAAAATCGTTTGCTGAGATTCTCAATGTTGGCAGGAATTGGGAGTGAAAGTGAAAGCGCTGGTTGTGGTGGAAGTGGAATTATATCATTGCTACCATCATTGGTTGTGTCTGATGACTTATTAAACGTTGTAAAGTCTATGTAGTCCATTTCAACGCGCCAATTGTATTGTTGTATTACGTGGCTAATGTGGCACCAACGTTCAATTGTTTAAATTTGGTTGTCAAAAATATCCAAACAAAAAAAACAAAAAAAAGAAAGCGAGTACGCGCTACCAATAAATAGTACAAATTAGCAACCAGATCACAACACAGCTATTCTTAAGATAACACCCTACTTGTAGTCTACAAAATTCAGTTGCAATTAATAATTATAACATTAAACAGAAAAAATACAAACTCGAAAAGAGAGCCTAATATTAAAACACCAGCCCATTCCAATATATAGCCTTAAATACCTCTATAGCAAATCATGATAGCAAATCATTAATCTTCATGCTTCCTCTTCGGAACACTGTTGGACTTTTCCTGATATCTGTCCTTAGCGAACTCACCATCAGATCTCGCTTCCCGTTTGGTAATACACCAGCAGCAACTAATAACAGCGAAGCAATCCCGGCATTAGTAATATCAAGGTTGGGGGTCGCTATTGGCTTAATTGTATAATTTGGTGTTTCTTCGTCAGAGCTGCTGTCATCAGATTTCACGTCACACATACCACGATAAGGCTGGGCCTGTGCTATTGATTGAAGGCATTTAGACGCATTGACTATATCTAGCATATCGGTATATGACATATTTGGTGAGCTGGAACTAGTGCGGTGGGTATTCGAAAAGATGGATGCAATGGTGGATGAAGAATTACTGGCATCACTATTGGGACTAAAGTGCTGTTTAGGAGATGAATCGGGGGTTTCCATTGGGAGTGGAAGAGGGCGAGGTCTTGGAAGGAATTGGTGGTCAAGAATCTCGGTTGTTTTGATTGGTGTGGATATGTGATTGACTATATTGACTGGCAATGGATTTTGCTTGGGCAAGTCCAATACTTGCTCATCAGTGATCTCATCTAATTTCAATTCACCAAACCCTCTTTCTCCTGGCTTCAAACAATAATCTGGGAAATCTTTTCCAAAAAGTGGAATCAATTCAAAGCGAATAAAATAACAGAACCGTCTGGCCAAGATGCGGCACAACTTGTATGGCAACCATGTTCCTTGGATTTTTAGAAATCCACCTCTGATTCTCTTTATGTATGGTTGGTACTGTTTTGGAGTTGATTCTAATAATTTCACAATGTCTGCCTTTTGGTGGGTAGACGCGTTTAAACTTGCTTTCCATATACCAGTAAGATGAACAAACCCTGTTTCATAATCCCAAATGATCCAATTATCATTAACCGAATACTCGTATACAGTGAGATATGGTCTAAATGGATCTATAGCTGCGGTAGAATACTTTTTGATTTCAATAGAAGCATATATTGAATTGAGGTGGTCATTAATATCAACTTTAGTGATTGGGTAATTAATAGTATTCAGGGGAATTGAAGATGACTGTTTCAGTTTAGGTTTAGGTTTATTAACTTTATGAGGCTTGTGCTTTTGTTTCTTGACGATGTTGGTTGTAGGAAATCTAGAAATCATGGCACCGCCGGACTTGTCCTTCTTCAGATACTTGAACACGGATTGGTAATACGAATGCTTAGATTTTGGAGAAGAACCAGTGCTCTTTTGGTGGTTGAACAACGAATGAACAGAAACGAGAGCGGAACTTCTGGGTGCAGCTTGGCTAGGACTAAGATAGTGCGAATTGATGGGGGCCAACACAAACGAGCTTACACCAACCGAACTGTTGCGTTGCGGAGATGGGGGAGTTATTGGATATGTTATTGGCTTAGTGGGAGGGGTAATTGGATCCTGGGTGTGGTAGGCCAATTTAAATCGAGGTAATTGAAACGAACTTGCAGCAGCCACAGCACTGGAAGAATTGCTAATTGGTGGTAAAGGAGATAACAAATGTGTCTGTTGATTAGGAATTGCAGCAGGATGGTGAATATTAAATGGTGAACCTAATGCGATGGTAGCTGAAGGCAATGGCAAGGGTAAAGAAGGTCTTCTTTGGTGGTGGTAATTGTAATAATCAGTTGACGGAATCATGATTAAATTTAAGGTTTAGTCGTAATTTTATTTTTCTGGTGCGCGAGATGGGGACGGGGGGGGGGGAGTGACCAGGGCTGAAAGTAGACTTCAGTCCGAGATGAGCAAGGCGTGAAATTTAGGTGCGAATGATTTTCCAAGGGGCAGTGAAACTTTGGAAAATCAAAATCGAGCGCAAAGGCAGTGGTATTATAAGCCAATAGATTGTGGATGGAAATGTCACACTAAATTGAAGTAACAAAACAATGGCACGGAAGAGGAGGGGGGTGTAGGCAGTAGCGGGAAAAATATTTTCTTCTCGTAGTGGTGGTGGTGGTGGTGGCAGTGATTAAAAATTCAAATATTTTTGTTGCTGCTATTCTCGGAGCGCTGGAGGGGAACGAAATTTGGGGGTAATCTTATCGTGGTGAGATAAAAAGTGTGAGCTCTCAAAAAGTAGTTAAATACTTGAGATTCTCAAAATTATAGCAACGTAACGGTGTGAATTGCAAATGAGGACGAGTTGAATCTTGGCCCCTTTAAATCAAACCCAACACTGAGGGGATATGTCGATGTAATGTACGTTAAAAGTTTCGATGCAACTGAAACGAAGTGAGCAAAGTGTGATCTGTTTTTTTTTATTTTTCTTCTCTTACGCCTTGGAACAACTACTATGAAATATTAAATTTTCAACAAATCAAAGCTTGAACAAAGGGGGGAATACCAAAGGGGAAAACAGAATAATGGGAAACAATGAACGTCTTCGATCGAGGATCTTTTTCTTTATATAAAATATTGATCCTTCAAAAAAAAAAAAAGAACTGGTACGATCAATTAAACAATCAAAAAAAATACTGGAAATATGATGACCTTTTTTTTCACCCCCTGAAATACCTAAACTTTGATAAGGGACAAGTGATAACTAGTAACAGGGAAAAGGTATACGAGCAATCTGATGACTTGGGTTAACTGAGTTTGATTTGATTGGTTCAAAGTCGGGAGTTAAATGGAATTTATTAGTGGGTAAGCAACTGTTGATAAACTTGTGACTTTGGTTATGAACTTTCTTTGCGTCACACTTGATTGCAAAAATCTGGAAAATTCGGAAATTTATGACAGTCCGAAAATTTAATTCTTTGAATCGAAATCGAAAGACTGATCTGCAAATTCAAGCAATATGTAATATGAACCGATAAATGGATGTTCTAAAATTTTCGGGTTATTCGGCCTATTTATATACAAGGCTATGATTAAGCTTGATGTAGGCGTACCAGTAACTATCTGACAATGATGTAATTTATAGTTTCTGGCTTATTATTTTTCTCTTTGTTCTTTTATTCTCTGCGTCTGGAACCTTTTTTTTTTCCAAGCGGCACAAAGATCGACTCTATTGTTTCGAAAATGGGGCGTACTAAATGTTTTCAACTAGATGGTATTAATACGGGAAGCGCTAACAACCAAACCTGATGTAAAACTGATTCTAAAAACAAGAAATGTTGAGGATAATTTGACTTAAATTTATACTTTTCTTTTGTGGTAAATTTTGATTGTATTTTTTTCAAATACGTTTACATAATTTAATAAAAAGTATACAAGAGTAATACAATTCAATTGTCGCAATAATCTCTCTATCTCTAACCATTGGAAGGTGATGACAAATTTTGGAGCTGCAAGACAATGGAACAATTAGATAAGGGGCAGTAATGTCAACAAAAACAATGCTTTATTGATTACTTAAGCAGAGCTTTTGACTTATTGTTATTATTAATATTAGACCCTTCCATTGGCTAAGTCTAGTCAAATGGAAGGTTCTAAGACTTGATATTGAACCGAGTTGAAAAATATCCCCTCATTATTCTCCTCTTCTGCCCCCACCCCTCCGTTACGTAAATGAAAAATCTATTTTAATTATTTTTGAGAGATATTTTTGAAAACTTCAACTCAAAATTTCATGTTACCTTAGCTCGATTCCAAAGTTTAAACGTAAATACATTCTACTTGTTCGTTTGTAATTACTTTATTTTAAACTTTTCATTTGGACAGTTAGTAAAACGCAAAGTTACTCATAGATTGATAACCATGTTGTCTTGGCGTTCGATTATACTTGTCGGTTGCTAGTTTCCTTGAGCACTTGCTGTTATTCTTAACAATCAAAAAAAAGGAAGCAAATACGGGAGGGGTAAGTAGAATAAGCAGGTACGACGGTCAAAATGCCGCGTCTTTGTCATCTTAGCCAATAACAAAGAGATGATTGAGCCAAAGTGGCTCACTTCCGGAGTGATTTCCAGAAGGGTAGTCTCGGAGTGCAAGTTTCTTTTTTTAAACTTTGATTTATTTTTTTCAAATAAACTGGTTCTATACATAATCACAACGTCATTTCTCCAACCCTTGATTATAAATTGAATTATGTAAGTGGCTTGGACTGTTTTATCTTCTGTTCTATACGTAATTATCTAATTATAGCAATTGTTTAAAATTACGCAACAATAAACATATGTGGCTGATTACCCTTGAGTAACTTCAAAACAAGCATGAATACAATATGACATATTACATATTCAATTTCAGCTCTATTACGTAAATCGATACCACAATAGTGAAAAAGAAATATTGTAGAAATATTGTTCCACGGTTGTATTTCAAATCTCGTCTCCTATAGATCATCTCCCGTCATATCCATTGTTTGGACGTTCTAGAATTAAGTAACCTCGAACCGTTGATTTCTAATAACATAACTGCGCAAAAAATTTTGTTTGCGCTTTCTCCCCCTCTCCTATTATGATGTCCAGCCTTTGATTACCTCATCATTACAACATAGCTTACCTCATCTCCTGATGTTGCCACATTGAATAATGGCTTACGTATGCTACAATTACTTGATGAAACATCAGCCCTGTTATCTTTCAGTAGGAAGTCGGTTCCCGCGCCTCTACAAATAAAAAATTCATCTTATCAAAGTAACCACCTTCCAAGTAGACCCTAAAAGCTTTGCTAACCATCCCAACAACCATGTAAGCTCTTTGTAAGCAATTGTCAAATGTAATCCCTATTATTTTTTTGTCTTTTGTTTGGCTGTAAAACGTTTAAGAATCTGGCTGCGCAAAAATTAACAAGCTGGAAGGGGGGACGAGGCCAGTGCTCGCTCTCCCACCTTTTTTTGTCATTTTTCTATTCGAAATTATTCGAAAATATGCGCTAGTAAATACATATTCAACTTGAACACCATAATGACAGGAATAAGGTTGAGGAGGATGAACAATATTGCTCTCCAGATGAGGTTTAACTCGACTGGTCAGAAGCCAATTAGTCCTCATGTACGTATATTTTGTCAACTGATCAAATTTGAAAACCAGCAATCTAACAAACCTAGTCTGTCTTCTATAGACAGTTTTCGAAACCCTTCCTTAAGATATGTGGTATTAGCTTGGTCTCATATTATTCATTGATGTATCTTTGGGAGTATCTCGAACTGGAAACTAAATCACAACAAGAAGTGGCTTGAATTTCGGATGGTCTAATTTAAAAATCCCAATTACAGAAAGTATTTATTTATGTATATCTAGAAAGTATAAACAGTCTATACAACAACCTTTGTCTTTAATTTATCAGCAACAGCATCCAAGAATTCAGTGGTTGTAACATAGGAAGCTCTATCGGTTCTACCAGTAGCTAAAGCTAAATCCTTGGTCATGATACCGTCTTCTTGAACAGTGTCAATAGTAGCCTTTTCAAGAGTGTTGGCGAAATCAACCACATCTGGAGTGTTATCTAATCTACCTCTTTGAGCAATACCTCTGGACCAAGCAAAGATAGAAGCAATTGAGTTGGTAGAAGTTTCTTTACCTTGTTGATGTTGTCTATAATGTCTAGTGACAGTACCGTGAGCAGCTTCGGATTCGAAGGCCTTTCCATCAGGGGTCATCAATACGGAGGTCATTAACCCGAGAGATCCAAAACCTTGGGCAACAATATCAGATTGAACATCACCGTCGTAATTCTTTAATGCCATGACAAATCCACCCTTGGATTTGATCATTTGGGCAACCATATCGTCGATTAATCTATGTTCATACCATAAACCCTTGGCTTCGAATTCCTTAGCATAGTCAGATTCGTAAATTTCTTGGAAAATATCCTTGAATCTACCATCGTATTTCTTCAAGATGGTATTCTTGGTAGACATGTACAATGGCAATCCCTTGGTCAAAGCCATCTTGAATGAGGAATGGGCAAAACCTCGAATAGATTCATCGGTATTGTACATAGCTAAACCGACACCAGTACCCTTATAATCGTAAACAGTTCTGGTTTCTGGAGCTCCACCGTTGGCTGGAGTGAAGGTTAATTCCAACTTTCCTGGTTCAGTGATAACCAAATCAGTAGCCTTATATTGATCACCATGAGCGTGTCTTCCAATGACAATAGGTTCCTTCCATCCAGGGATTAATCTAGGAACTCTTGGAATGATGATACTTTCTCTGAAAACAGTACCTCCCAAAATGTTACGAATGGTACCGTTAGGAGAGAGCCACATTTTCTTTAATCCGAATTCTTCAACTCTGGCTTCGTCAGGGGTAATGGTAGCACATTTAACACCAACACCATATTCCTTAATAGCATTAGCAGCATCAATGGTAATTTGATCATTGGTGGCATCACGAGATTGAATACCTAAATCGTAGTATTTCAAGTTAACATCTAAGTATGGAGTAACTAATTGTTCACGGATACGGTGCCAGATAATTCTGGTCATTTCATCCCCATCAAGTTCAACGATTGGGTTGGTGACTTTAATCTTAGCAAGAGTCTTGGTGGTGCTTGAGAATGAACGTGCTGCTCTAATCATAGTGGCGAATTGGATATTTCTGATCTGAGGAAAAGGGGATCTTATTGAAAAGAGATCGGAGATGAAAAATTTCATTGGTAGTTTTTTAACCTCTTATTAATTAGCGCGGTTAGTAATCTTTTTTTTTTTCCCACTGTGAGTCAACACAAGATACACCGGTGTAAAATGCCGGAATCGGACCTGAATCCGAAAATGATTGATTTATAAATTGAAAGCTAAATTCAGAACAGATGGCACCCGTAACTAATAGCAAGTAGGTGTAAACATGGTATAGTTTATCCAAGTTCCAAGAGTACCGATTTTATATGCAAAAGATTACATGCTCAACTTATCCTCACATTCACTAATAACCATTGTTCGACATTAGGAAAAGGCAAGCTCCTGATATCCTTTGACATTCAAGATTAGAACTATAAACGATAGAACTGTATCCCAAAAATAAATCTGAAGTAGTCAGAAAGTTTCCGTTAAACCTTCTCCGGCTCAACTAAGACAGTTATCTCTATGAAGGTGTTGATCTTCCAATATACGTCAGACATTTCTTGAGCACGTCTAATTATTTGGTAAACATTTACCATTGGAGTCTCTCATGATATGTCACCTAACACACGTACATTTCTGTTGTTTGCCTACCATATTACCGTGGTTCAAAAGGGGAGTTTACAATTATTGGGTTGTGCATTTTTTTTTTACAACCAATTTATATATTTTGTTCCAAGCTCAATAATCAACAGACAATATCAACAAATGAACTTGGAATTACCTTATATTTTCTGTGGCATGTGTTTCGAAAATGAGAGAAAGAGAAAGAGATAAGTATAACAGACTTGAAGAAGCTCTATTTGACATTTTGTTGCACGTTTAACGTGTAAACATCAAATACAATGCATGTTCCACCCTAAACCTTATTCTCGTATATATTTCTAACCTTAAAACTAAACTTGTTTGGCAATACAGTGATTTTTTTCATATTCCAAACCCGAAATGTTTCTATTGTACCAATGGATGAATGCCCCCAAGTCCGATTAATGCAGCACTTTGTTCCTAGTCCATAGCAGGTAAAAGGATTGGTTACCTGTGTCAAATTTCTGTACTGCAGTTTATTTGAAATAGTGGAGCATCCACAAAAAAAAAGAACAAGTCCAAGAATGGTTCAATAACATTAGCTATAGTGTTCTGCTTGCTGCTAGTTCTCCTATACCACAAGGAATCCCCCCCCCCCCCCCAGAACAACTGCGTTCTTTTGCAGAACCAATTAAAATAATCAACGTGCCAGTTCAAAGTTCAGGTTTAGTTACATATCCAACACAAGTAGAAGTGGTAGTGGAGATTCTAGAAGTAATTTTCTAAACAATTAAGGTAAACGAAAGAACCATTTTGGCAAAAACCTCAAGATAGTTAACAAATTAATTGGCTTCTCCAATTACTGCAAATATGAGAATCGGTAGTAGTGCATTGGTAGCAAGTTTAGATTCCAATGAAAATCAAGTGGTTGGTTCTATGTTGCATTCAACCAAAAAAGTATTCTACTGAGAACATTCACAAACAGCCAGCTTCAACTTTGAATCCAAGCTTGCAAAACGATGCTTCACCATACTTTAGAAATTAGGAACCGTTTTGAAGTTTACAGGTTATTAGTGATGATTTACAGGTTTGAGTTGACAAAATTACACACGAAAAAGAAAAATGTTTGGATTCAAATCATTGCCGTTTTCATTTTGCTTCAGCTCAAACTGTTGGAATAAGGAGTAAGTTGAATATAGTTGATTGTAATCATCAGAGCAATCAACGTACAAATACACCCAAGGCGTTTACATTTACTTATTTCAAACTCCACCCTTTTTTTTCTTTCTTCTAACTCTGTATTATCATCACCAGGATTTCACATTTGAGGAAATCATATTAAAGTGAACAAGGAAAGAGAGGGAGATTATACATATATCAAGATATACCAATACCAGAGAAAGGCTGGATCGGATCTGTATATGTCTAATTTCACATCATTTCTACACCTGTACAATTAGCACGTCTATTCTTAATACAAAGCATACACGCATACAAAACAAACAAACGAACAAACACAAACAAAAATGGCTGGGGATGAATTCGATGCCGAATACTACAAGAGTCTCCTAAATTCCCTAACGATCAATTCTAGGGCAGTGATCACTGAACTAACCTCATTGGCTGAAGAACATATCGATAATTCCATGGAGATTACAAAAATGATCGAAGATCGAATTAAGAGGTGTGTTCCTAAACAGAAACTATTTGCATTTTACTTGATGGATTCAATAGTGAAGAATATTGGTAATCCATATAACATTATTTTCAGTCAGAATCTATTTAAAACTTTTGTGGAGACATATAGTTTGGTTACGGATACTCCGACGCGACAAAGTTTGATTAACTTGTTTAGAACATGGATGCTGGGGAAGAATAGTGGTGGAGGCGAGATATTTCCCGCAGCAGTATTGGCTAAAATTGAAAAGTTTATAATCCAGGCTACGACTATCCAAGGTGGTGGATCGAGCATTATCAATCAAACAACTATCAGTGATGGTATTCCCACATCGAAGTTAACTCCAGATATGTTGCTTAGAGAAGGCAGAAGTTTATTGCATTACGTTATTACTTTGGACAAGGCATTGGATAAGAAGATTGACGAGAATAAACAATATTTAGATAAGAAAGATGAAGATTTCAAATTCGTGCATGAAATCGAAATACGAAGGAATTTACTTGTGCTGATTATAAACGAAACAATGGATTCAGTCTACTTTGATGTTCAAGGTAGCAATGACGATACTAAGTCATTGGGTGCATTCACGGTTCAAAATAATAAGTTTGAGGATCATGTTGCGAAATATCAAACAGATTTGAAGTCGGTAAGGAAAGAATTGGATGAACATTCATATCAGCAAGATCAGTTCTTGAAGAAATTTGACGTTAAAATAAAGGAGTTAATAAGTAAAGAAAAACTCAAAGAGGAGAAATTGAAGGCAAAGCAAAAGATCTTTCAATATTTGGAAGATAATAAAGTTGTGATTGATTATCAACCTGACATTGATTATTTCTCAAATATAACCCGCGATATTCACAAAGATCCTAAATTTGTATCTTTAATTAATAGATGGGGTAAAACTCCAGTGTATCGTCAAGAGAATAAACTGGGACAGAATAAAAGAGATGAAAAGCAAAATGAAAGAGACAATGGAAATAAATCGGAAGGGAACAGTTTAGGTTTTAATTTCGGATCGATAGACTTTAATGAACTTTCCCTGAATGATCTGGAACCGCTGTCGACATTATTAAGCTCGAGTTTAGGATCAAGTTTCCTTTTGGGTAGTAACAGTAATGATAATGACGACGACGACGAAGACCAAGAAGAACAAGAAGAAGAAAATGCGCACGATAATCCACTTTTCACAAGGATACGACCACCGACCCCTCCACCAAGATCTCTAACCATAGGTTCGTCGGTGGAGGAATCACCTAAAAAACTCAGCTTTAACGATTACAAACAGCATAAATCGGTATTGGCGTCTGCGCCGATTGAGTCGATGGCTACACCACCCCCACGTCCCCCATTACAACATGAAATAACAGTCGAGAGAAAATCTAGTTTGAAAAAGAGGTCAATTGGAGGAGATTTTAATCGGGTGGTTAAAAAGGTTAGATTTGATATCTAATAGAGAGGTAGTAGTAGCATCAGTAGCAGTAGTAGGAGCAGTAGAAGCATCAACAATAAACAAAAATAATCATAAACTTGAATATATATTGGGTTTGGGATTATACACTATATGAATATATCAATATTCCGTCTGGTAGTGGTGGTAAATCTTTCTGTATTTGATGCAAGGAAATCATAAAGTTGAACTGAAAATTAAAGTAGTGTAAACAAAACTTCCTATCTAGTCAGACTTGGCTAAAGAACCAGACTTCTTCAAGTGCCACCAGGTGGTGATGAATGGGAAGGCAAAGAAAGTACCCATGATACCGAAGAAGAAAACGGAGAATGGGATAACCTTTCTACCAACAACCTTGAATGGAATATTGGAGTATGGACCTTCAGCTGGAGTACCGTAAATTTCGTTCATGGCTCTGGCAGAAGATTGGAAGTTTCTTCTAGCGGTGGTTCTGGCGGTGGATGGTAATCCTCTTAATCCTAATCTGGTCAACATTGTCAATTGTGTGTGTAGGTATATATGAATAAATCAGTTACTAGTACAGGCTTTTGAAATGTTTTAAACCTAACAGGAAGCAGGGAAAGGAAAAAAAAAACTTTGGCCCATACATTTGGGTGGGTCGTGCGCTTTGTCCAATTATATAATCCAATAAAATCTCATTGGTTTAGAATCTTTTTTTTTCTGCATCGTACTATCAAACACAGCCAGACAGACAGACAAATAAAAAAACCAACTGATTTTCAAACTCCGTGTTATATTTATTCTAATAGATAAACATATACATATTACACATACAATGGCTATCGCTCCTATCACCGGTACTTTAAAGAGAAAGATTTTGACCGATATCACTATTGGGTTTGCTTGTGGTTTTGGATTGGCTACCCTCTACTGGCAATTGGAACATGTCCCTGTTGTTAAAAAGAGAGAAGCTTACTATGCCAAGTTGAAACAACAAAAGGAAGCAGAAGAATCTATCTAGAAGAACCACATGCATCATCCCCAGAACGATTGATTCGTTGATTCATTATGAGAAAAAAATATAAATATATATTTAATATACATTCCAATTTATGAAGATTCTACTCATTGATAAACTTGAAGAGTTTGCTGTTGTTGACAATTCCGTTGGACATGACAATAATTTTCTTGTTTTTGTCCGATCTTGTAAGTCGTTCTTGTAAGTACTTGAAACAGGTTATTTCACTTCTAGTTATCCCCCCAATGATGGCAATGATTATGTATTCTGGATTGGCTACCAAGTTCCCCTTTTGGGGGTTGTTCTTATCGTCCAGATGGTCGTCGATATTAACGTCTATGGTTTTACCACTGAACATTGTTCCCAATCCAAGATTGTCCCAATTGGGGCGTTTCTTGATGTTGTTTATGGGCTTGTACTTTAAAAAGTCCCGAAAATAAAGTGATTCTACTATTCTATAGGTTAATGGGACGGTGTTTCCTGGTAATGTGAATGAAGGGTTGGAATACATTTCTAACAAGTTGGTCAGATCTTGGTTCGTTTCTGGCGCATCTTCTTCTTCCAAAGGATGCAAATTCCAAAATTTGTTAATCAAGGTGTAGTTGCTCTTGAAAATATCTTGTCCCCCAGTTATACCTACTTGATAGTCTTCTTCGCTATGGGAATGTACTGGAGTCTGTTTCTTCTGAGTTAACCCTAAATTACTAAGGAAATCCGATGAAGAGTCATGGTTTATTCGAATAAGTTTGTACTTGATCAATTGCTCTAATGAAATGATTGCACCCAATCCATAATTATCTTGCAATTCCTGGGAAATCCAATCAAGATCCTTGGAAGATATCCCATCGTTGATGTACCCAACAAGAAGTAACCCACTCCAAATGAAGTTTATAGGGAAATTACAATTGAAAAAGTACTTCAATTTCAGCAATTGTAGCTTGTAATCCATTTCAAATAAATCATTTTGAAATTCAAGAAATTCCTGATACTCATTATTCATCTTGTCAAGTACACTTTCCCCAATAATTGTATGTTTCTTAATAAGATCTTGTTGTAATGTAAGGTTTCCCAAATTTGAAACAAGTTGCTTCATATCTTTTAAATTGTCGTCGGTGGCATTGGACAGTTTATACTGTTGCTGAATGAACTTGGCTAATTTGTTTAACCTGGCACCAATGCTGGAAAAGTTCAAATCCTTTAAATCTTGCTGATACAATTCATCTCCCACCAAGGTCTTTGACACGTCTTCTTCTAAATTTTCAATAGTGTCAAACCTAATATCAAACAAATCGTCAATTATACCATGATAGTTCAATTGGTTGAAAAGCAAAGGCATGAAATCGAGATTTCGTTCTAAAACTATTAAATTGGTATTTGAATGTAATTGACTTTCATAAAACTCAACTTCTAACTTGGACAAATTTTCACTGAGATATTCGGGAATCTTAACATTGGTCAATTCTTTGATCAATAAGTCCAGATGGTTTCCTTTACCGTAGATATTCTTCAATTTCAACAATTTCCCAATAGACTTGTTATGAAACAACAATTGGATTAAGGATTTAGTCAATTGGTTAACTTGAAACAAGGGACTCTTGAAATAGTTGTCTATGCCGGAGTATTCGTTGATTTCCGTGATTAATATTCCATCAGTGTGTATAGGACCGGTCAACCAGTTAAACACCTTTATACCGGTGGTTATAGTGATAGGCTTATCAAACTTGGTGTCATCTTGTAAGATTGAGTCAAACTTAAGAATACCATCAAACAAGTTATTAATTTGATACAACAACAGTCTCGATAAGTCTTTAACTATAAGGTTCATCTTCAATCCATGAACGTGGTTAAGAATGTTGGGAATGAATTTATGAAGCAATTCAAGGTTTTCCAGAGTGCCAGGAATGATAATTATTAATGAAGTGTATTTAGAAAACACTTGGTGCTGTATTGACGTGATTTCATTGTTTAACCATACGATGTTTTGGAACTTGCCTGCTTCTTTTAACCGATTGAATGGTGTAAGATTGTTAAGTAGTGGCGATAGTATTGGGTCTAGGATGAGTAAGTTGTTGGATGAATAGATCTTGGACAATTGTGTCAACAAATTGTTTAGTATTGATTCATTGAACTGATTAAGGTTTAGAGATTCCTGTGTCATGATTGATCCGTAAGACAACCCGTTTGTTGTATGTAGAAAGCTTACAAAAAGTGTGTTGCAAGTTCGAATTAAATTTCTACAAAAAGCTGCGCAACCAAATGTTGAGTAAAAGTACTACTAGTAAATTGAAGGGGGGAGGGTTTATATACTGCAAACTTTACTATATCGGAACATATTACTACAATTTAGCTCCCTTTTCAGCACCATTGAACATTACTAACCCTTCTTGGACGATGGTAGCAATGTGAATTCCACGATCATTATACATTTCCCCTTCAATCACTACTCGGTTATGAGCAAATCTTACGACTTTGTACGAAAATCCCATCCAAGTAGTAACGTCAAAATCGTCATCATGAAAGTAAATTGAATGGTCTAAACTTACTGAAAAGTATTCATGATGTTTCGTCAAGTCTAAGTCTTTAATTCTGAGAACTCGAAGTAATGTATCCAAATACATTGAATCGGAAAGATTGGCTAATCCGACAAACTGAAACTGTGCATCAACATTAATTAAAGGTTGATTAAACCCTTGTTCATTATCTATCCCCCATTTGATCAAGAAACTGAGCCTTCTATCAGTCACGCTAACTTGTTCTTCCTCTGGTGTTAAGTTCAAACTGGTAAATTCAGGTAAAATCTTGTGATAGATTAACAAATTTGCTTCGTGGTTGGATACTGGTAATTCTTCAACATGATACTTTTTAAGCCAATCATGATACGGAGTTTGGAATACAAATGGTTTAGGTGGCGCAGGTTCCTCGTCCACGTCATCGTCGTCTTCTTCGTCTTCATCAGCATCACTTTCCTTGGCTTTCTGCTCAATTTTGGCGTAATAGTCATCATATTTCTGTTTGGCTTCTTTATGGGAGTTCCTCTTTGTCAAAGAAATATTGGCAATATAAACCATGACTCCTTGTTGGAATCCTCTGACTGAACGATTAACAAAATTCTTACCATTGCTAACTTCTTCAACTTCCCAATCAACAACAAGCCTATCGCTGGCAGCCCTTACAAAAAAGGAATGGAGAGAATGAGGTTTAAATCCTTTAGGTGACGACTTGATTGCCACCAATATAGCTTGACCGGCTAAGTTCCCGCCAAACACACCTCTAGCATTGGGTGCTGGTTTGACCAATGGCTTGACACCACGATATCTATCTTTGGCCACATAAGTGACGCCAAACTCTTTATGTACATCTATAGTTTGCCCACGTTGGTAGTTAAAGTTGTCCATGTTTGTATGTTGTTGTATGTTTAGATAAAGTTTTAGGGCCACTTGAAGATATATTTATATGGTTCCCGAGGGAGAGCAAAAAAAAAAAATAGTGTGGGGTAATTGGTGAGATTTTAAATCCGTCGCTGATTTTGCAATCAAGTGCAACATTGAACTATCATAACTTTCTATTTCGTATAAACTATTTAATAAATAACATCTACAACTTAGGTCTTGCTTTTCTCCCACCAACCAAAAACAATCTTTCTTGCGTAATACTTGCAATGTGTAAACCTTTGTCACTATAAACTTCACCTCGAACCAATGCCCGATCATGACTGATTCTCGTCAACCCTAAAGTATACCCTATCCAGTTAGTAACATCGAAATCGTCATCATGGAAATATATGCAATGATCTAGTGAAACAGTATGTCTTGGTACTTCGTTACTATCGATCCCAATATGCTTCATGACATTTATAAGCCAGATCCAATCGGTAAGTGCCGCAAGGCCCATGTACTGCGATTCACGACTTAATGGAGCTATTGGTTGATGCAACCCTTGCTCATTTTCAATTCCCAATCTGAGCACGTATGAGAGTTTTCGTTCGGGATCGTATGCTAGGTTTTTCTTGGTTGGGAATGTCTTTAAGTAAATGTATAGATTTGGGTTTGCTTCGTAAATGTGTAAGTTGTCTGACTTAAATTTTTCAAAGTTTTCATCACGGGGAGTTTGGAAAGAAAATTCCTCTTCTTTGGAACCCAGCTTCGAATTCTTTAATGTAAGTGAGATATTTGCGGTATAAACCAATTTGTCATATTGAATAGCACTAATCATCCGATTAACGAAATTGCGACCATTGCTGATCTCCTGTACTTCCCAAACAACCGGAGTATCTTCGTCAACTGATTTCACAAAGTATGAATGGAGCGAATGTGGGCGAAATCCCGGTGGTGACGATTTCATAGCTACGAGTATAGCTTGGGCACAAAGTGATCCACCATAAACACCACGATTCCTAGCATCTGGTTTACGGAGCGGCTTTTTGCCGATGTATCTGTTGGGTCCTATCTCATCAACACCAAGCTCAGAAGGAATGTCTACGGGGACGATATCGTCAGATGCAGTTGCTTGTTCCATGTAGTTGGTGTAGGTTATATGATTGTAACGAGTTGCGGAATTCAACTTGATTTTAAATACTGGAGATGGAATTTGGAACTGGACCGAGGTAAAATGTGGCACATGAGCGATCGTTTATTTTTTTATTGTTGTATGGATAATTGCAACCAATATCCGTTTGACATTTAGGACAATCGTCTGTTGTCACTAGGCAAGGACTTTGTAGTTATGTACTACGATGCATATGACAAATGGTTAGATTGACAACTAACTACGAACATGCTTATGATTTAGCTTTTAGGGGAGGAGGAGTATGATGGTTTTACGGTAAATTTTCTGACAATAACAAAATGCGTGAATTAAATATCTATTCTAAATTATAACTTAGCTCCTTGTTCTCTACCGTTAAATTGAACCAACCCTTCTTGGACAATAGTAGCCACATGTTTACCTTTATCGTTAAACATCTCCCCTTCAATCAACACTCTATTGTGAGTACATTTGGCAGCTCTAAAACTAAATCCCATCCATTTGGTGACATCAAAATCATCATCATGGAAGTAAATACTATGGTCTAAACTTACTGAGAAGTAATGGATAAGATTAGTATGATCGGCATCTTCAATTCTCAACAATCTTAATAATCTAGTCAAGAAAATCGAATCTGAAAGTGAAGTTAATCCAACATATTGGTAATCAGGATCAATATTAGTCAATGGCTGATTGTACCCATCTTTATTTTCAATCCCCCATTTTATATAATATGAAAGTTTCCTTTCGGCAACCGGAACTTGTTCTTCAGATTTGGTCAAATCAAGAGAAACAAGTTCAGGGAAAATCTTGTGACAGAATAATAAACGGGAATTAGCAGCTCCCTCGGGGATGTTTTCAAGCTTGTGTTTTTGAAACCAGTCATGTTGTGGTGTGCCCCATTCAAATGGTCTATCTGATTCCTTCCTGGTTTGCTCGTATTTTTTCCATGCATCCTTGTGTGAGTTGTTCTTGGTGAGTGAAACTGTGGCGGTATACACAATCTGGCCATTTTGAAGGGCTTTGATTGACCGGTTAACGAAATTTCTTCCATTGGAAACATGTTCGACTTCCCATTCCACCACATCTTCGTCATTCACAGCCTTGATAAAGAAGGAGTGAAGAGCGTGAGGGCGGAACCCCTGGGGAGAAGATTTGATCGCGACAACAACTGCTTGGGCAGCTACATTACCACCATATGCACCACGAGCAGCACCTATTGGTTTTTGAAGTGGGTAAATCCCACGATATCTATTTGGTCCAATTTCAGTAACTCCATACACTTGCTGAACATCTACAGGTGTGTTTTGGGGAAATGGACCATCGGTTACGAAATCTTGAATCATGATGAGTGTGAGTTGTTCAGAAAGAAAACGTGTGCTAGGAATTATGAAATGGACCGGTCTAAATACATTTGCTGTGGTCTTAACCGAGGAATTATTGATCGAGAATTTCCACGGCGGTGATAAGACAAAAAATATTTTTCTGTGGGGTAATGCCTGTTGCAATATAATTTCCTTTGGGACAATATTATGAAACATTTTAATGTATAATTGATGATGATTATCTAATATAAAAGTTTAGAGAAAGGTGAATAAACCGGGAGCTATTTATAGGCAACTTTCCATCCCTCGTGTAAAAGCAAAAGTCATATCATAATATGTTGTGTGTGTAACTATATTATCCCCTTAAGTTCTCATCACAACAGTGGTGTGTTAATAACATCGCCGCAATACCTTACAACTACAGGGGAGACGGGAGTCTGTAACAAATTAAATATTCTATTGATATACTATAACTTTGCATCCAACCTTGAACTCTGTTCTGCCCTAATAAACTTATCATGTAATTCCTTGGAAGCATTGATCATTCTCTCTGGTAAGAACCCGTATGCTTCTTGCACCGCGGTAGCAATGGGTTTGCCGTCAATACTGAAAAAGTTAATCACAGTCAAGATACGATTATTTCCCATATTGACAAATCTATAGTCCAAGAAAATCCAATCACTAGAATCGAAATCGAAATCATGGAAATATAAAGAATGGTCAAGACTGACTCTAAAGAAATCTGCCTCGTCTGCAGTGAGTGGCAAACCAATAGCTTTAATTATAGTAGCCAACCATAACGAGTCGGAAGCAAATGCGAGTCCCAAATGTGATTGATGGGCGTAATCTTTACCCAACTTGTAATTGTCAAGCACTTTAACAAACAACCCAAATTCTTTATTCCCGACACTATTCAAATCAATATGTTTACTAGGACGGAAAAATTCCTTCGGTACCGCATGAGCAAGGTTTTCATTAGTATGTTCAAAATATATCATATCTTCCATATCATGTAACTTCTCCTTCATTTGGAAAAACCGTTCATTGGGGCTCTTCTTGAATGTGAATGGGATAGACTTGACTGGTTCTCCCGCAGCTTTACTTTCCTTATACTCCAAATCACGTTTAGCTTGATCATTATCCTTGGCAAATGAGCATTGCAAGGTGAATATAAGCTTGTTGGTGTGCGACTGGTATCCCATCAACATCCGGTTAGCGAAATTACGGGAATCGCTAATGTGTACCACTTCCCACCGTATTGGTGATTGAGTAGATCCTGGTTTAACGAAGTAACAGTGGAGTGAATGTGGATGGAAGTTATCATGGGGCACAGTTTCCCAAGCGGCGTTTATTCCTTGGGCTATTAATTCACCACCATATGTTCCTCTGGCATTCTCTCTAAATGATTCAAGTGGGTAGTTGCCCATGAGAGTGGTGGTGTTACCAGTAGATGACACTTTTGTGAGAGCATACTTTGTCTCGAGTTTAGCGACTGGGTTTTCTTCGGAATAGACGTCTTTCTTGAGTTGTTCCATTGTGTGTGTGTGTGTGTTTGTAGTACGTAGTGGTTGCAATAAACAGGGAAAACAATGTGCAATTTATAATTGTTTTATCTCTGTCGGGAAATTTTCTTCATGTGCGCGGATCTGCAACCACAAAACCGTTAGCCTCCCACGGAAAAACCTCGGCATGTTGTCACATGCAATGCCACTGTGGAGAAATCCATCATCATCATGAAATTATAATTATATACAACTTACTGTTGGGTGAAATCTGTTATTTTTTTACCGAGGTAACCTAAAGGGTATATCTATTTTTATTACATAATATGTAAGAAGTACTATAATTTTGAGTGGTCTACAGTGTCACCTACTCCAGGATACACTAATGCCAATCCCTCTTGTATCACAGTAGCCACGCATTTCTCATGTTTGTTAAAGAAGTAACCCCGGCATAACAATCTACTGTTCAGCAATCTCTTCATTTGATATGTGAATGTTAGCCATTCCTTACATACATCAAACGTACTTTCGTCATCGGGTTCGTAATCATCATTATGAAAATAAATGTGATGGTCTAAGCTCATGGCATTATAGTGGAAAATATGCAACACATTTAAAGATGCCCTCATTAACAAAAGGGCATCGCGCGAACTGTCGTATGTACCCGTTCTCTCAATCGTTGGATCCCAAGGTAGATGCAAGATTCGAGGCATAGTAGTAATAAATGCCGAATCACTAAGATTGGCCAATCCAACATAGTTGAACATGGGGTCTCGGAACGATTGTGTATCGTGAGGACGGAGAATGGATTTTTCTACGGCGTCAATCTCGTTATTGGAATTGGGTAAATGTTCCACGATAAATACATGGTCGGCTCCGGGTTCAGGATGGTTTTTAAGACCAGAGAACACCGTGAGCCATCTGTCGGCGGCATACTGGTTGTTTTCTTCGGGACATTCTCGATAATCAATAAATTCTTTGGAATAGGCATTCCTCACGAAATCAGTATGTTGGATTTGATGGAGCTTATCGGGGTCTGGGTACTTCTTTTGAATCTTTGAAACAGGAACACTGATATCAATATCGTGTAAAACCCTGGTGCCGGGTTTCCGCAACGTCACAAGACAATTCAACTTGTTTTTATGGTTTTGATGGGCAAGGACATATCTTCTACTTATAAACTCGTCGTCATATATCTTAGTGACGGTATAACTCACAGGATACTTGTCGTTACCAGCACCGATAAAGAAACAATGGTATGAGTCAGGAATAAACACTTTGTTGGTGCTAGGATCTCGGGTAGATTCAATCGCAACTAGGAGTGATTGTGATATCATATGACCACCATAGACACCACGACCAGCGCGGACGGGGAGACGAAGCGGATGTGCTCCCTTGTAATGAGTATCATCGATTTTAATTACTCGAAAAGCCTCTTCAAAGTCAGGAATAGGATTTGGAGCTGATGTTAACAGGTTGTATGCCATGGTTTTAGCCGAGGATATTCAAAAAAGAAAAAAAACACAACCTAAAAGTTAATAAACCTTTTTGTTCTTTTTGAAAGAAAAAAAAATAAGCTAATGGGATTCCTTGACGTTTGGTTGGATATGACTGAAATATATTACTTTAGTTGTTAGCGAAATCTTAATGACACCTGATTACGAACGGACTGTGACTTTTTTCGTTTTGTGGGGTTGTCTGAACGGTACTGGTATTTTTTTTCCGCGGTACAAACGTGAAAATTGTCCCACCAAAGTCGCGAGAATTCTCCTCATCGGTGGTGGGGCGATCTTTGATGGGTAACAGAAGTCGTATGACATGTGCTATATCCGATATATCCACCACCAGATTCTCATCTCACATAGATGTATGTGATATTATAACAGTGCTACTGTTTTTCGCAAAATAGACATATTTTTGATAACTTTGCTTTTCCTGCAAAGAGTTTCTATTTTGTCTAGTAAGATAACTATTGGGAGTATAAGCTCATTTGCATCCTCTAACCTTACATCTAACTCTGTGAACTTGGCAAGATAGTTTGTATCTTGTTTAACGTGACATGTCTATCAGTACTGTAGTTTTTAATATAAGGCTGTCAATTTACAACACTTTCAGATTTGACTGAAAAAAAAAAAATAAGAAATTTTCAAATTGCAACAATAAGTCCTTGTTCTAGCCAAAACAACTCAGTACTATGAATCAAAACCCAGTCATCGTGGCGTATAAGTCCGTGGATGACCTCAAAACTGTCAAAGATTGGTTCTACAATTTTACCCCTGAAAAGGACAACCGACAGCGAGCTATTGACAAAGTTAAAGCATGGTCGTCCCGAGCAAGGCTTCCACATGGTCTAGAAGCTACCTCGCTATTGACATCTATTCATCTTAGCGACAATGGCTCCAGTGACTCTTCTGTTATCCAGCTATCGTATTCAATGGCGTTGATTCGATTTGTCAATGGATTATTGGATCCATTTCAACAGTCCAACTATGCCATCCCTTTACATCATTTGGCAAAACTGGTGAATTTACCAAGCTTTTTCGTGGAGTTACGACATATGGCTACTCACGAGGGGTTACCTAGTTTACCCATGTTACGAATTGCATGTACCCTGGCATTGAACTGGTTGTATGACCATTATTGGTGTCTTATTGAAGAAGATGTTACTGACAATGGAGATGAGCTTGAAGAAGATATAATTGCAAAGAAAAGTTTGACTGATTCGGAATTACTCTATGTCAACGAAACAGTGGGTCAAGTGAAAGCAGACTTGGATAGGTTTCAAGTGGTTAATAACTTGAAAATATACAAGAAACTACGGAAACAAAACTTGGATGTGGTGAATAGATTGGGTGATAATAGTAATGAAACAGCTACAAAATACAGTAAATGTGTGTCAAAGTTAAAGATATTTGTTAATACCAAGCGACAGGGTTTGAATCTAGTGGGATTGGTGTATCCTGTAGTGCTAGCAAGGGTTCTCGTACACCAATACTTTATCATATACAGCCATGACCGTGTTCAGGATAAGAAACTCAAGTTCAACCCATTAATTATAAAACTATACCGTCCGTTGTTTGACGAGTTGGGATTTTTGTTCAAGGTTAGATTTATGATTGCAATTATGGATATCCTAGTTGGAGACAGGAAACAACGAAACGTGGATAGTTTAATTTTTCAAAAATTACACTATGGCGAGATAACTCAATGCGATGAGGTTATCCAATTGATGGAATGGTTGAATTATTTTGTCGAAGAAGCACTAATTTCTCCACATACCCAGGATTACACCATTGAAGAACTAAATGTAACCAATAGAGCTTCCTTGTTGAAGTTGATAATAGAAAAACTACATGTGATATATGAGAACTTACCCTCGGAAATAGCATGCTCGTCTATGATTAAGGTGGTATCGGCCATTATTAGTGTGCTAACGAATAAAAAGTACAAGAATTTCTATAAAGATGACAAACGACAACAATTAGAAACATGGAAAAAGCATTTGGTGCATTTACAAGATACCAAAACTTCATACGAGCTACCACCTTCATTGGATGATATTTTAGGAACAGATGTTCCTTTATCTGTATCGCCTACTCCGGTGCCTTTATCAGCAAGCTCCTCGGTATCCACGGTTAAACGTAGCTTAGAAGATGACAATGGACCGCCAAAACGGCAAAAGAAAGAAGAGCCAAAGTTATACTTTTTTGAACTACACGACAACTGGAAACCAACTCCCTTTGGGACTTCTGTATAGAAGTGTACTAGTAATGTTACAGTTGTATAGTAATGATAGCATAGAGAATGAAAAATGGTGGGGTGTGTTTATATGCAGGAGATAAGTGCAAACTGCGCCAGAAAAAGAAAGATTAAAGAAAAGCAAGACAAACCTGCCGCCTACGTTGCACAAAGACTGATCAACGGCAAATCACGTCTATTACTATCAGTCTTCTAGCTTTAATAAATCGATCTATTGCTTTATAACCACCTGCATAACTTAATAAAAGCATAGCATTTATAGATTTAGCAAGAATACACGTCCTGTACAGAGCTGTCTCATTTCAAACTCCAGACAACCACCTGACAATTACAAATCACAAACATAAAATCATCTGCCCCCTCACCACAATATATCATACACTATTAGTTTTGCATGACCAATGAGTCCCCAATGGATACCTCAGAATATCCAAAAACGTCTCCTTCTATATCTTCTCCAGCAAATATCACTTTTTTCTGAGATTGATCTACCCAACCTTGAAGAAGTTTCCTTAAACACAGTGGTCCTAAGGGATATATCCATAGATCCTGAAAAAGTAGGTAAGTTGCCCGGCTGCAATTTACGACATGGTCTAGTGGGCACACTTGAATTAAGCGCGCTGACAGCTGGAGGAGGCGTTGGAGGGTTGGGTGGTGGTGTCACTTTAGATGCCAAAGATGTGGAGATTGTAGTATCGCCTGATTTTGATATTGAGGAAGATATAGCGAGTCATGTCCAGTTCCTGTTGGCACAAAGCACTGCGGATTTAGCCAACACGATTATGTTGGATGAACTAGAACATGAAGAGGACAAGCAAGAAAGTGACCAGGAAAATAAGGATAACAGTGATGCGAAAAGCAGGTCTAATTCAATATCATCTGGTTCTAACAAGCAATCAACATTGGGTGGAGTTGTCCAACGGGCGGTTGAGATTGCACTCCTGAGAATTTCTGTCAAAGTTACCAATATGCATATAAAGATTGTTTCGGAGTTGACCGACTTATTACTTGAAGTAGATCAAGTATCGTTCAGCACTATCAATGGAATTAGGAATGTACAAGTTTCAGGCGTACGATTGAAAGTCTTGAAACCACATGTGAACCCTGGAGAACTGGCAACCGCTAATCAGTCTGTTCCAAACCAAGAAGAAAAGGAAGATGAAGTTGAAAATGAAAATGATAATGATAACGATTATGGTGAAGAATCATTGATGGATAGTATGGTTTTCACGCACGAAGATGCTAGTACCATGTATATGAGTGCTACTTCCAAATCATTTGAAAAATCAAATATGTCAACCAATCCAGAGGAAATAGATAATAAAGCTGAAGCTGAAGCTGCCAATGACTCCCCACCAATTGTATTTCACATGGACCATTTCACGGCTGAATTTGAGGGGTTGTCAGTTATTTCTAACTTGGAAGTATTGGTGGGCAGTATGACTTTGGCTTTTACTCCATTGACCCCAACCATAATATCAATATTCCAAGGCATAACTAGAAGTTTAAAGATCAAGCATTACCAGAACAGAAGAAAGAATAAGATGAAATCTACTCCCAAGTATGATGATGATGATGAAGATAGCGATGACGAGGAAGACACTGACAAGCAATCTAGTGAGAAAATGACCGATGAACCATTCTTTAGAAGACTTAAGATTAATGACTTTGTAATAAGCACTTCTTCGGCATTACGAGAAGATGGCGAATTTGAAAGTCCTAATGGAATAAATATTGTCCTTCATAATATCAATATCAAACAAAAGAACGAGCTTTTATTGTACGGAGGCGTGGAAGTATTCAAGATTATCAGAAAGAGTAATGGAGAAATCTTTGATGTATTTTATTTTGAATCTCCAGTTAAGTTGGAAACTAGTTCTACCAACATAGCTCGACCTGGGACACCAGTAAGTATATCATCAAATGCTTCCACAAATACCTCCAACCCACCACCAAAGGCTGATATTAGGTTTGAAGTTTTCAAAAAAGCTGATGAAAAGCTGATTAGTCTCGAGACAACCTTCCTTTGTGCAAAAACAGGCCATTTCCAATTTGACCTTCAAAGTTTACTAATCCTTTCAAACTTTGCAGTGGCTCTAACTACCATACATGATGAGTTTAATATATTAAAGACCACAATTGATAATATCAATCTTCAGAATAAGAGTACAGCATCTAGAGAATCCAGAAATGCTGAACCAAAGTCCAAAGATCAGTTGATTATTCAAACAGCGTCAATATTTATAACCACTACTATTGATGCAGAGTTGAAATTACAATTGATTATATTTCCAATAAAGTACAATCTATTACAAGATCAATTAACAATTTCCAAAATTTTGTTGAATACTATTAGTGAAGATAATACATTCAAAGAAGCCATTGTTACCTTGAATGAAATATCATTAATCACGAAAATCCATGAGTTTAAAGCCTATCTCCACCCAAGCTCCTCTCCTAGTAACAGCAATGCCTTGCCTAGATCGGCTTCTATGAGTTCGAATCTAACACTCTTGATTCAAAAGGTTAGTTGTACGATTCCATTGAAAGATTTAAAATTCATTGGAGAAAGAGTTTCTAGTTTTATTACAAGATTTGGAGAATTATCATCAGTTCAATCGAACTCCTTGCAGAATTCTGTTTTAGATGAGAAACCGACAGGTAGTAATGAGAATGGAAAATTGGAAAATTCACTTTTCATGGGTGCTTCATTGTACTCTAAAAGGGGGATTTCTAAACGAATCGGGCCAGGTTTTGGAAATTCCGGTGCTAATGGGATGAGCCCTGCATTTTTGCACACGAACCGAATCAACCTTGCCAAGTTCTGCGTGACCATTAAAGAAATAGATGTGAACTTAACTCAGATTCTTCCAAAGTTTGGAGATTTGAATGTAAAGATAATTGATGTTTCGTTATATCAGTTTAAACATGACCTACTTGGCTATATCTATTATTTAAAAGTGATAAGGAAGGATGACAAGGGTGGATATGATAATTTTGTTTATCAATACATGGATAACCCCATTGATCAATTTGAATTTCCTGTGATTCTATTACGAGCCAAGAAGTCAGGAGAAAAGTCCAGCACAATTGAAATTACCATTCGTAATCTCCTCGTTGAATATTACACAAAGTGGTTAACTCTTTTGAATGATGAATCGTTTATTGATACAGTTGAAGAAGAAATTATTGAAAAGGTAACTCCCAACACGAAATCATCCACACTGATGAAGTTTGATATTAGGTATACCTTGTATGATTGTGTGGTTGGTCTTTCCCCTGGAAGATTGAATTGTAAAGCCTATATATTTGTGGAGAAAGGCAATTCTGATTTTGCAGTGGGAGTTAACCAGTTCTATATCAAATGCTCGTTCCGGAATATTTCGGGGTTTTTGATTGATGATATCAAGAATGAGGCTAAAGCTGAACCTAAAAAAGAGAAGGGATTGAAATTTCCACTATCATATGTATCTCCCGTAGATCATTATTTATCCCTTGGGTATATCCAGTTTGGGAGAGTTAATTTAGCACATGTGGGTATTACATTTAATACTGACATTGAAGAAATTAAGACTCGCAATGAACGACTTGGAATTCATGACAATGTATCCCTTGTGGATGTCAAGATCAATTCGGATGAGCACCAAGTTGACTTGTGTGCTGACTCCACCAATGTCATACTTCAGTTGATTAACGATTTGAAACTCCCGCTTGATTTCACTGATAAAGATAGAATGAAGGTTGAACTTGGAAAAGAGGTTAACTTGACTGAGGGGTTAGATAATACATATTTCTCGGATTTGGATGGTTCTTTGTCTAAGTTGAGTATTCATGATGAAATCAATGACGAAGACTCACAAGCAACTTCAAGCTTGGTTTTTGAAGAAGATCATTTTGAAAAGAACACGGCAGGCTCATTGTCAGGCTATATTGTGAATCCTGTGAAGGTCAATGTAAATCTTTCAAAGACAAGGATATTTCTTCATGATGGATATGATTGGAAGGATACAAGGAAAGCAATCCGGGCAAGCTTAAAACGTTTTGAAACTCGGGTTAAGGAGGGTAACAAGAAGACGAAAAAAAATGATAGTCCAGATGTAAAGGGTTCTAAATCACCACCCGTTGTTAAATTCGATGTTAAGGATAGCATTTCCGAAGAAGATGAAAGTGTGTATGAAGAAACCTTATTTCAGTCCATACATGTTGCATATCCGCGTCGAGCCAAACCTTCTGATGTGGCCGAGGCAATAAATAGTACCATTATGCCCCAAGAGGAAATCGGTCCTGAAGAACAAAAGAAAGTTGAAGCTAATTCGGTTGGGAAAAATTACAAGAATTTGAGATTAAGAAGATCTACTGCCCACAAGGTTTATGTTGATTTAAAGAATATTGAGGTAAATGTTGATGTTTTCTCTACCAGGGATCCCAGACTAGACAAAACTGATCCAAATATGACCCATGAAATGTTGAGTTCTATAGAAGTTAGATTGGGAACTGTGGATGTCTATGACAATGTTCCTTCTTCCACCTGGAATAAATTCTTGACTTATATGAATAGTCTTGGGGAAAGAGAGATAGGTACTAGTATGGTACGTATCTCAATTCTGAATGTTAGACCAGATCCATATATGGTCTCTAGTGAAATGATTATGCATATTTCAGCACTTCCATTAAGGTTACATGTTGATCAAGACACGCTTGATTTCTTGGTCCGTTTCCTTGAATTTAAAGACAAGAGGTTTGATTTACCTGTGGATGAGATTCCATATATTCAACGTTTTCTGATAAATCCTCTCAAAGTGAAGCTTGATTATAAACCCAAGAAAGTAGATTATGTTGGTCTTCGTTCAGGAAAACATGCTGAATTGGCTAATTTTTTCATATTAGATGGGTCATCAATTACTTTATCTAAGGTGAAATTGTATGGACTACTTGGAATGCCAAAGGTTGGATTAGGGTTAGCTAAAGCTTATCAACCTGTATTTCAACTGAGTCAGGTTCTAGGAATAATCTCCGGGTTAGCACCCTTAAGATCAGCGGTTAACATCGGTTCTGGATTTAAGGATTTGATTGCTATACCCATAGCTGAATATAAGAAGGATGGAAGGGTGTGGAGAAGTCTCCAAAAAGGAACCCAATCCTTTGCCAAGACTACTGGTTATGAGTTGTTAAATTTGGGTGTAAAATTAGCTCTGGGAACGCAAGTTTTGTTGGAACAAGGGGAAGAAATGTTAGGTGGGGAAGGAAATGCGGCAAGAATACCAACTAGAAGAAGAAAGAGTAGTGTTTCAGAGGATGAATCTTTTGGGGATTATGATCATGTGGAAGAGTACAAGGCTGCGCCTAAGAATCTACTTCTTAGTTCAGAAATTTTGAGTCATCGTGCTAATCGCGTGAATAAGGATCATCATCTCGACAGTAGAAAGCTTTATTCATATCTTGATTTAGATGAAGAAGATGAAGAACATGGAATTGATAAGGAACTATTAAGTAAATCGATCTTTTTATTGGCTCCTTCAGAAAACCCAAAGAAGAAGAAATCTAAATCCAAGAAGAAATTTGAAGACGATTTAATACTGGAATATGATGAGCTTAACTGTGAACCAGATGAAGAAGAGGAAGCTGAAGAATATGATGTATATGCTTATGATGACGCAGATGAAGAGGATTTAGAAGAGAAATTGGTTAGTTTGTATTCAAATCAGCCAGAAAACATTCAGCAAGGGCTTAAATTGGCGTATAAATCGATCGGGCGCAATTTGAAAGTCACTAGAAATCAATTGATAACTTTGAAGAACCAATTGAATGAATCTGACTCATTTCAGGAGTCGGTTGCTTCTGTAATTCGGAACTCGCCTATTATTTTGATAAGACCAATGATTGGTACAACAGAAGCATTATCAAAGGCTTTGATGGGGATTAGTAACAAGATTGATTCCAAGCATATTATCGAAAATAAGGATAAGTATAGGTCGAGTCAGGACCATGGTGATGATGATTATAGCTTAAACGAGTGATGGCCCAAAATGTATTTTAGTTACAGAGTAGTCAAGTTATAGAATATAGTTTAATGTTAATAACGATTTAATAATCCTCGTTAAGACCTATAAGTAGAGATCCTGCAGCTCTGTTCCTAGCACAATTTCTCTTATCATCGATACCTGTGGTTTCGTTAAAATTCGATATTGCGCGTTGATTATAGTATGCGGTTAAAATTCAAATCAAGTTTTTTTGAAAAGTCATCACTATTTCTAAATCAACTTTCCTAACATATCACACCTGATGTCAGAGAATGAGCTAGCTGCAAGTAAACCAATTGTGCTCCCACTAATAGATTCAGCTAATCCCGAAGTTCTAATTTTCAACACTACCGCTATAAGACGATTACGAGATGAGTATGGTATTCTAGGAGTCTTAATAGGAACACTTGCCCAGTATCCCCAGCAAAATGTGTTCCTCTCTGTTCCTTTGAAGTTGATGGTTTGGGAAGTCATATGGCTATTTGAACAAGATGTATGTGTGCTTGTGGACTGGCTCAAATATTGTAATTTAAAGAAAGATGCGATGAATGGAGACTACAAGAATAAGAACTTGATTTCCCTCGATAAGAAAAAGGCCGATACTAAACCTGACTTTTTGATCACCACGAATGACTATGGAGAGGAGGATGATTGGGAATTAATCGACCAATGCAAGGTGACCTTGCAATCTTATATTGATAAATATTTGAGTTCTCCAAACTGCAAAACTACTATTCCACAACTTATATCCAATTATCACAAGTTCAAGCACTTGAAAAATGAGGGATACTTTATAAGTCCTGGTTTAAAGTTTGGAGGAGACTTGGTTATATATCCTGGCGACCCATTGCGCTATCATTCATATTCCATCATCAAGTTTGATTTCGTAGATATTAATGAAATCATTGTGGGTGGCCGGTTGGCAACTGGTGTCAAAAAGAATATGATTATTATGGAGTCCAGTCATGCCAAAGAGCAATCCTCTGTCGGTTTAGACGTTGCTAATGAATTGTTTTCCGATCCTACAATCACTGCTTACTCTATTGAATGGGCAGGCTTCGGTTAAAAAAAAATTCCTTTCACTTTAAAACATATGTACTATACACAAACAGAAATAATAAAATTAGAAATGCGTTTAACTAATCACGACAGCGCATTGCGCTGAAATTGTGCTTAATCCTCTTTTCTTGAACTTTGAAACTATGGTCCACTTTGACTCCCTTGACATAACGATCCAATTTAAACAAGGTCTTACTTATCCATTTTCTCACCCCCAGTTTTGCACGACATCCACGGTGTTTAAATGGCCAATCTGGAATATTTTCTCTGAGACAACGTAAGATGTTTCTAATCAAATGTCTCTGGTGTTCAACTTCTTCCAAAAGCACATTCATAATTTTTTGTTCAACACTAACTTCTTGATCATCTAAGCTCTTGTCGATAAAATTTTCTGTTTCATCTGAAACAATGGTACCATTTGCGGTATCAACTACTCTCTTGTAATTGTGAGCAAACTTTTGAGGACCATAAGTAGCTTGCAACGTAGTTCTCAAACTACCAAATCCATGGTTACCCTTAGAGCTTAATACATATGTCGAGGTACCATTTTGTCCAATTGTGGCATTGAGAACTTTGTGTCCATGGAATGCAACATCAACTGCCTTGGCTTGCACAATCTTAACGTCAAATTCCAACTCAAATGAATTGTCTGGCTGACTTTCACGTTTCTTTTCATTCAATGAAAGAACGAGAGGGTAGAGTTGGGTGACATTAACTGAATGAATAGTATTTGAAGGCAACTTATGTTTATGCCCGTGCTTACTGTCATCATCAACATCATTCACATCAGAAAGTGGAATATCATCGTTTTGAATAAGCACGGACTTTTGAGAAGCACCCGAGTGAACCAAACGCTGAGTATTTCCATAATGCAAATAACTTTGGACATTATCGACTTTAGCCTGAGTGTATGAACTAATGGTAGTATTCAATGATGTACCATTCTTCAAGATGAAGCTCAACTTACTAATCAACTGCGCTTTAAATGTAGAAGAAATAATCTGTTGATAAGAATGGGTGAATGGAATAGATGCAGCAACCACATGAGCCCTGCTGGAATGGTCAATATTTTGCACTTCACCATTGGCATCAACAACATGTTTACTTTGGAATCCCAACAAATTAGCAGTGGTAATCCAATTTGTGTTAACATTAGCTGAATCATCGTGACCAGTTTCACCTAAACCATTACTAATCTCAATCTCCAAAAATTTCTCCTTGTCACTTTCCCACAACAATGGTAACAAACCAGTAACATCTACATCAATAGAAGGTACGTCGAATGCATCGATTGAAACCACCGGTGACCACAAAGCAGGTGATATTCCACCAGTGAAAATAACAGGTTGTGGAGTCTGGACAGCAATCTTCTCACCATTAAAAAAGACATTCACAACACGAATTGGTCCACGACCAATGAATTGATTACCATGGTCTTGGAATTTATCACGGTACTTATCTAAAACATTTGTATACCAAAATTCTTCAGCGGCATTTCCAGAAGTGAAAATGGAGAGAACAAGACGAGTGGTATTCTTAGGTACACTTGGCAAGTTTACACGGAGCTTATCATTAGGAATGTAAAGTACTGGTGGGACTTTGGAGTCTTCATTGACGGTCAATGGGTAGATGGCATCAGCTGGCTTTTTGATAGAGAATAAATGACGTTCTTTTGCGAACTTTCTCCACTTTTTATCTCCGTGGTGTGGTTTATCCTTAAAAGCAAGCATTTCATTTGTAGCATGCATTGCGCGCATACCAGACATTGCGTGCATACCATACATTCCGTGTTTCTTGAATTCTTGGAGCTCATCTCCTTCATGCTTGCCGTGTTTGCCGTGTTTGCCGTGTTTGCCGTGCTTTCCATGCTTATAGTGTCTCTTTTGTTTATCATGCTCATTAACGTTTTTGCCTTCTGTAATTTCTACATGTTTAGGTTTATCTTCATCACTGTCATGGTCGTGGTCATGATCATGGTCATGGTCGTGGTCATGGTCGTGGTCGTGGTCATGGTCATGATCATGGTCATGATCTCCTCTGTGTCTTCTCTTCCATTTTTTACTCTTGTACAAATCAACAGTGAACAAAATCTTGAATTCACCAGTCAATCCAGGAGTTAAAATGTTATCCAATTGGAACATGACATCTGCTTCAGACTTAAATAAGTTCAAGTAGGTGGAGACGTCCTTCTTGAAATCACTTTCAACTTTTCTTCCACCGGGTTCAATAGTAGATGTACGCCATATTTGTACGCCATTAACAAACAAATTAGCAAGTCTATCATATTGTACCCCTTCGACTTCAGTGTGAAGGGTAAGAACAACGCGATCGTAATCAACATCCGGAGGAGTAAACTTTTGAATAGCAGGTGAGCCCCATGAATGCCCAAAAGTATGTTCAATCAACACTGCAGAATGAACTGACGATCCATAGTGTTTTGGAGGGATATTAGGATTGGAAACTTCAATTATATGTTTAGGACCAGAGTATGAGCCTGTGTCAGCAATACTGAATACGTTTTTGTTTGCTTGGCTAATAAATTGATGGGGAAAGATTATCTCGGTTTGTTTTTCATGTAACCACTGATTTACAGCTAGGCCAAAATTAGCACCAGACTTGACCAACCAGCTACCAACAAAGAGCAAAAGCAACACAATCAAAATCTGACCACGCTTTTCCTGTGTAGGTGTGTTTCTAGGTTTGGATGGTTCGCCCTTTTCCAAATCTTGGACAGCAGAAGTATATCCTGATTTTTCATCTTTGTATTCATTTAATAATCCTTCTTTTTCCTCGATATATTGTGGTGGTATATCTTCTTTGTCTTCGCTATAGCGAATTGTGGTTGTTGTGGATGTCTCTGGTTGCGTTTCCGATTCGAGCTCCGCATCGGGTGCTCTGCCATAGTGTAGCATATTCCAGATAGAATAATCTCTAGCACGATGACTCATGATGATAAACACCAACCTTTATTATAAAGAAAAATGCAATATTGAAAAGAAAACAGGTGGGTCTTTTATATAACTTTCAGGGGGGTGGCTGTAAAATAAAAGAGGGATTTTTTTTTGGGCTGCGTTATTTGGAATGATACAAAACAAGGTCGTGTGGAGACCAAGGAACGTTATTATTGATTATTGTGGCGATTGTCGGATTTCGGCCCTAGACTATTTTCGCAAAAGGACAATAAGCGTTTCGCTGTAAGAGAAACGTGGAGAGTAACTAGTAGCTAGAACTTGACGACAAACTATATCCCTCTTTACAAAGATTATTTTCTTATGAGGATTTCTCATTTCTATTATGACAGGATTATTGACAGAAAATTCTAAATAAGCTTTTATGGTTAGTTTTCCTTGTCCTCTTGCTATAAGAGGATAATACGTCAACGTTTGTTTATTTTTTTTTAATAGAAAACACAGCTCTACTTAAACAATAATTCTATTATATACGACCATTATATAAATTTCATACAATAATCCCTTCAAATCTTCCTTCTGTCTCTTGCTGTTCAGAAATGTAGTTTAAGGTGCGTTCAAATACTTTCTGGCTCTGTTTAAACAATACGGCTTCCTTTTCTTCTTCCTCCTCTTCATCATCCTCTTTGGTGTCCTTATCTTCTTGTTCTTCTTCTTCTTCTTCTTCTCCTCCTCCTTCTTGCTCATCATCTTTCAAGTTCTCGATGTTGGTCTTGATTAAATCAATCAATCCATTAATATACCGGGCATCGACATAACCATTACCATAGATATTAAAAATAAGGCAACGTCCAAGAATCTCAATAAAAAGTTTGAGTGAAAGGTATGGATCCATACATGAATCAGCAACTCGAAGTGACTTTTGAAGACATTCTAATACTCGTTTACCATCACGATAGAGCAAAACTTCTTCATCGTCTTCATGAGCAGCTTTCTCTGGATCTGAGTGCTCTTGCTTGTCTTCTGTTTCCTCCTTTTCTTGTTTCCTATCCTTACTGGAGGATTCAATGGTAGCTGTTTTCTCGCCTGGTGGCAACAATGTTTCACTCCACCACCATAAATGAGCACAATAATATACACTACGACATTGATCCTGCTTTTTTAACAACTTCGAACCGTACAATGTTACTTTTGTAATCAAATTCTCATAGTTCTCCTTGGTGAAGAATCGGGTCTTGGTGAGTACATTAGCAATTGCAACCACTGATTGGTATGCCAATGATCCTCCAAGTACATCATGAGGACTCATATGTGTATAGTATTTATATTGATGGGAATTAAGGATAAGATTCTCCTCATACACCACAAAACATTGAGTGAATAATTCGTAACAAATTGACTCCTGACGAAGTTGATCAGCCACGGTAGCCACATTCAAGTAAATGTTAAGAATGACATCTGCTGAGTATTCTTGATGGTGTTGGTATAATTCATCAATTATTACTGATAAATTTTTGAAGTTAGACGTGATCAATAAGTCCAATGAATCATCATTTTGGCCCCGTTTCTTTTGTTCAAGATTTACATATCCAACCAACTTTAGCTTAAAAAGAATTCTTGAAATCAATGTAGGGTAGGTAAATATGAGATTTCCCACTTCTTTGTTCAAATACTTCTTACGAATGTACATCAACTGCGAAATTGTTTTTAACGGATCATCTGGGATTTCCACCAAATGTATAATCTTACAAATCTTCTCCTGAGTTTCGATAAATTCTGGGGTAATTTGTTTTTCCCCGTTATTAATCTTGATGGTTTTCATGACACCCAAATCAGTTGCAGTATTTACTTTCACAGGTTTGTCCTTGATCAAAACCAAAAGGTACTTGAAAATACCATCGATTTCTGGCGTGTTTGAGAGATATTCAGGTTCTCTAATATTTCCTTCGTTTTCAACGGATAATGTCTTGTCTACAATCGCCAAGGAAATCTTTCTTTGGAATTCTTTGTTCAATTTCAAATAAAATTCGTGAAAGAATTCAAGTTTGAACAATGTTTTTATGGAGGTGAAATGACGAATTGGAGTGGATAACAATTGTACCCACATCTCCTCCTGTTCTTGGCTTGTATTCTCTTGATTAGTCAATTCGTTAGTGGCATATTTATAAACCACATCTAAGTTTTCAAAATTATCTGGATCAAATGTAAGTGAAAGGCTAATGAATGATTGTAGAAGCATGGAATGCTCTTCGGCTGGTAATTCTGGTTCTTGCTTATTCAACTTAAGATAAAATGCCCAAAATCTTCCAAACAATTTTTCAACATCGTTGGAAGTATTTGCTTTTCCTTTATCTTCTGATAAATCAACAACATAGTTCTTGTATGAAATAAATCTTTCAATCAAGGTTGCCACTAACTCACTTTTCTTCATTGTTGCATTAAGATTAAGGAATACGTCATTTAATAATTCATCCAAGGTGGCAAAGTGGAAATCATCAGGAAATATCTGGATCAATACATCAATCAAGTAACTTTGGGCCAAATGGTCACGACATTGAATAATTTGCTCGGTGATGGTTGGGAACACCTTGTCGTGATAAAACTGAGTGCTGGAATAATGCTCATCTTCATCACCTTTATAATCATCAATGATTTGGGATAATCTGACCAAATTGGAACCTACAAGAATCTTCAATTCTTTCCGTTCCTGGTATCGTAATTCTCGTTCCAGGGAATGTCCTTGGTGTTGCAATCTTACCCAAAGTTTGTTCATTTCTATGAAATTAGCAATCAAAAACTCTACTGTATCATGAAAATCAGCAGCTGTAGAAAATGGTAATAAGTTCTTGATTCTTTGTGATAAATAATACCGAAGAAACAACCCACGGATAGGATGTTGAACCCCATGACACATCTCGATCATATCCTTCATAAGTTCCTTACTTGGAGCTCCCTTTGTTGACATGTATGTTGTGCCTATAACAATCATCAAGTATAATCGGGGGATAATGTTTCCAGAATACTGAACAATTTCATATAAATCCGCTAAAAATGGAGTCTGGGTTTCTTCGGAAGTTTTAGCTTTCATCAATTTGTTCTGTTTAGAATTGTGACTATTCAACAAGTACGTTGATAAAATCTCTAATGAATCAAATATTAACATGTATATCTCGTAGTATTGTTTAGGAGATAACGAATTGGTCCGTAATTCATTGAGAAAGTTTGAACAGTGTTTTAACGCAGGAAGGAGTTTGTGGTCATTGAGGCTTTGCTTCATGAGGTTTGATTCATGATTGATGCTGGATATACAGCTTTGAAGGATTGCCTTCTGGTCACTTGCAGATAATGCCATCTGGAACTATGTTTCAACTAATTGGATTGGTTATCTAAACTTTGTCTCTTTTCCCTGATTAACCTGTCCTTTTTATATGGTCGCCGCTGTGCGCGCGCACAGTGTAGGGCGGAGATTAAAATGTGGGAGAGACAACGGAAATCCAGGCTAAACTTACATCCTTGCTGCAATAGACAATTTTTGATATATTAGTCAATAATAAAACCAAAAAGTTTATAAACTCTATATAAAATCAACAATTGTAAACAAATTCAACATGAATTGAAAAGAAGCACCGAGTGCTTGGGTGTTTTTTAAATAAGTAAAACAAATGACAACATCAAAAAAAGGCGTAATATAAAAATTAACCAGTAAATAAAACGACCAAAACTTATTGTTTTTTTTTGTTTAGTTATTTGGTGGTAAAAAAAATTTGGCAACCAAACTAATCACCAGCTAAATTACATTAAGAGGGTAGATATTAATACAACATGGTAAGTAAAAGTCAATCAATTGTCCATATAACACCAACACATCCATACTAATCAAGCAACGAAGAAACAGACATCTTGATTTTCGCTCTAGGGGCAGAAAGTGTTTCTTCATCTTGATCCATTTGAGTATCTTTGTCAGTCAGGTCTTGCTGCTTAATTTCGTCTCTAGGGAGCATCTCTTCTTCATCTTCCTTTACAGTTTCATTAATTGATGTGTTGCTATTGGAACGGTCTTCGGACCTGACATTTGAAGAAATCAGTGATCTTGTGAGTGGAGCCATTGATGGAGAATTGAACAAGGAATTCTGTGACAAGTTTCTCTTGTGGTTTGTAGAGTCCTTGTTTAACGGGTTAGGGAAGAAATCAGGGGCAATTGAACTTGATCTTCTGGAGGAGCTGCAAGTGGAATTATTCAACAATTCAAAATGTGAAATGGAATTATTTCGTGAAGCATTATTACTTAGTAATAATGGTGACCCGTAATATGATGGTGAAACATTTCCATTCGGATTAGTAGTGTAGGAACTTAACAAGTTCGGATGGGATGAATTAGGGTAGACGGTTCCTGATGGTGTTGGGAGGGGTAAAAGTGGATTTGCTAATGAATGTCTTCTATTGAATTGATCTTCAATTAATCTACGCTTGTTACTTTGATTTATGGGAGGTAATGTGGTTGAATTCATATCAAAACTGGCAGATCTCAATCCTGGTCCTTGAATATGTGGTGGTGGTGACGTTCTTGAGCCATTCTTATCTAAAGATGGTTTACCAAACATTGATGTATTGAAGGAAATTTGTGGAAGTTGTGTATGTCTATTTGAATCGGCAGAAGTTGATCCTGAAGTATTGGTGGTGGTGGTGGTAATAGTAGTTGCTGCTGTAACAGCTGACAACGTTGCTTCTGACGAAGAAGGACTAACACCAGTGGTGGAACCAGCAGAAGTTGGTGCAGTGCTGTTAGCAGTGCTTGTAGACGTGGTTGAAGAAGTAACTGGTGCAGTTGGAGGTGGTGGCAACATAGCAGCTCCGGGCTTAACTTCAGAATACCCATTTGGTGCTGCACTTATAGAATTATTCCTCTTTGCACTAGGGTCATTAGAAACATTGTCATTAGAAGAGACTGTGGCCAAACTGGCTCTTCTTCTACGGTTTGCACCTCCATTCCACCAATTCTTGATGGCATTATCAGATCTTCCATTCAAATGACGGGAAATTTCTGCCCATTTCTTACCATACTTGGCAACTAAGCTTTCAATCAATTCTCCTTCTTCTACAGTTATAGGAGATCTATTCAATGAAGGTTTCAAATTTTGATGATAACGTTCACGACATTGTTTAGGAGTACGAGTTAATAAATTGTTGGAAATCCTAACCCAATTTGTTGGACCAAATATAGTAATTAGTTCCAATAATTTCTTATCTTCCATAGGTGACCAAGGTCCTCTTCGAGATGGCACTGTTCCTGAAACATTACCGTTGGAAGAAACTATTCCATTCATGTGTAACTGAACTTGAGCATGATGTGGGTGTGGGTGTGGTTGCTGTTGTTGCTGCTGATACTGAGGATGCATGCCAGGGTTTGCCGTCATTATTGGTTTTCCTGGTATTCCAGCAGGCATCACTTGCATTTGTCTCTGTATTCCTAAAGGAGGCAACGTATGTATTTGAGAAGGATGAGGGTAATGATGTACGTCAGGTTGCTGTTGTTGGAATTGAGGAGGACCTGTCACAGAGATCGGTGGAGCTCCCTGTGGTTGGGGTTGTTGATGTACCTCCGGACCTCCAGGGTAATGGTACTGTTCTGGCTTCTTAAACATGGTTACTGATCTTGACAACTTTGAGTAGTATTACGTGTGTTTGGATTATCCAAAAGGGAGTAAAAGAAAGAGTTATCCAGCTCTTTAAATTTTTGCAAAAGGATAGACCAGCCAACTATGCTTGGTAAAATTTCTATAAAGTGGTGTCGTGGTTATGTAAACTTGGGCGGGCAACTGTCTTTGAGGAGGGGGGTGTTGCAAAAGTTAGTGTTGCTTAGTCCGTGCAGTGGCTATCGGATTCGGAAAGTTGGATGTATGCCCTGTCTGTGATGGAGTCTAGGGGATGAATAGTGTGTTTTGGTCGATGGAAAACTGTGTGTATTTTAAATATGAATGCCTTTTTTTATTTTCTCAAACTTAACTCAGTTTCAACTCAAGAAAAAAAAAAGATTGTGCACAACGGGTTTTCTTTTTGGTGTTGTTTTCAAGCGCCTAGATTTAATTAGGATTATTTTTTGGGGTAGACAGCAGTTTTTTGTTGTTGCTAAACGGAAGTTCAGTGACGGTACTAGATAAATATATGAATAGTATGCACGTTGAGTATATGGAAAGAAACAGCCTAAGATTTATCACAGTTGTCGAGTGAAGCAGGGGAGGAACTTCGGTATGTATGCGTTGGTTTTGAAAAAGAAAGTAAAGTTTTTTGATAGTTTTTCGTTGGAACGGGATTCTGAGGGGATTTATCCGTTTGGGTTTTATTATTTGTGGTAATTCTTCTTTATGTTTGTTGTGTGTGTGTGTGGGTGTGTGTTGAAACTCTTTTTTTTTTTTTTGCGAGAAGTGCATATAGGAAATTTAATTAAAAGAAAAAAAAACTAAATGCCAAAATAAATAAAAAAATCATATAATATATTAAAAAATAATTACAAAAAAGCTAAAAGAAACAAAGAATAAACTGTAATAAAATACAACCTTAGTTTACTCATGTCGGCAATATTTTCCGGCAACTTTTCTGTTATGTGGCAGGTTCAATTGAGTTTGTTGCAGAGAAAACTTATTTAATTAAAATTGTTCGAAAAGGCGGAGGGTAGCGGGATTGGCATTGGCAGTGGCGGTGGTATTAGGGGGAGCGGCTTGGCTGAGGAATAACACATGATTCCAAGGGGAACAAAAAGATAATAAAAAAACCGATCTCGCTCTAGATTAAGATTCGTAACCGACAATCAACTAGTTACGAACCACGGCACAATGCCAAAACAAATCATTGCAAGCCCCTTGGTGTCCGCCGTGGTACCCAGCTTAACAAAGCCATCCCTGTTTCGTTAAAGGGTTGTTCTTGTAACATATGTAATTGTTAGGGGAGGTTATCGGGGATGGAAGTTGGCGGATTCGTTCTTCCTGGGCATTCGAACGAATTTATTATTTAACCCACACATCATTTGTTGGCTTATTTATTTTTTTGTGTTGCGGTTAATTAAACTTTCCTTTAAGCAAGCATGCATAAATCTTACGGTTGTAGCCAAGCACTGACACAGTTTTTAATGCATCCAACATGATACAATGTAATTTTTAGCCTAGTCGGCCCAAGCGGATCTTATTCCGTTGTGGGTTCTCTCGTGTTCTTTCCTTGAAAAGATATTATGGTTCATGCTTGATCATTTGACAGCAACAATAAAAACGGAAATGCAACTATTAAGTACACATCTGGTATTGTGTAATTGTGTAACCCTGTTTTCCCCAGCCTATATTAAAATTTGTGTCATTTTCTATTTTTGGCAGGGGTGGGTATCTTATTTCTAGGATTCTTTTTCTATGACAATCATCAGATGTATAGATGTAGTTGCCCTTTAGCTTTTTATTTTGTTGTTGCATGGGACATATATGTGTCTTGTGGATGTTTGCACAGAATAAATTTGGATGTGTACTAGTAATTTTTGCGTTAATTTAATATTTGCTTTAATGCAGATCACAAAATAAACAATGGAAACGACCCAAGGGAGAAAGTAATAGAACGCACGTTTACTAATAATGAGATTTAAACGTCTTCATGCAGGTAAAAACAATCTTTTCTATTTGCTGTTGCGGGTTTGTGTTTCAAGGTTGCACATTTTCTCGGTTTTTTATGTGTCAAAGATATGTTGATTACAACAATCAGCTCTATTTCTACAATAAGAAATCTGGCGTCATATTTAACCCCCTGACTAAACTCTCCTGCAAGTACCAGCCCTAATGGCAAAGTCGGTGTTTCTGTTTTATTTTTAGGTGACTTGAAGGTTATAAAATTATCATCCCCATAAGCTAACAAAACCAAAAAAAAAAATAAGCTTTCTTGAACCAGCTAATTTAGAAGGAAGGTGCACCATCGCCACTCAGATCTCGCGACATAAATATCCATAGGATACGGCTCTGTTTGACATTTTGTGTTCCCGGGAATAGTTCTTTCCACGGATGTTTTAGCTAGCCGAATTATGGTTTTCCGCAAGCCATTTTCTTGGTAGAGTTAAATTGGTCTGGGTTCGTTCCGTTGTGTTTCTTATTTTTTATCATTCTACGGACGGTAGTTCGGTTTTATTTTATTTTTGTTTTATTTTTATTCTAGCTCTCCTAATTCCGCGAATTTAAAAAGTACCCCTCCATCTTTCGTTGCATAGTTACACAATTAACCCTGTGCAGTTTTTTAATGCATATTCTAAGCGGCTCGTTCAAAATTCCTGTGATCCTGTACCTTTTTTTATTGTAATTCGATGGATTGATTTTATGTCAACTTTACCCGAGTTCAAATCGTTCAAATGCCGTGGGCAGGCATTTCTAGTCCTGAGTAGCTACGTGTGGGTGGCATTAAAACTAAATAATAAGATCTTATAAAATTAGTGCATTCATTGTTCAATTATTGGGGGCGGGGTAGTTGTCTTTCGAACAATCAAATGAATATTATTAAAAAAGTGGGGCAGGTGTATCCTTTTGCATTGTTTTAGTTCTATTGTGGGGACATGTACCTCCGAAAAAAAAAAACGTTTATTACATAATGCATGTCGGTTGAATGCAGGATTCATGGAGTTTGTTTTTTTTTTTTGCAACCAATAGTAATATTTGTTAAATAACGTTATATTTACTCTTCCAGTCCAGAGACTTTGTGATAATATAGATACCTGTCAGAAGTCACTAATGGAATGTAGCTCATTGTTTGGTTTTTGCGCTCTACTTTTGTTCCCGTATTTCGGCCCATATAAGTTTTTAATTTCGTTCATGCTTACTTAAGTAAATTTGATAATTCTCACATAAAAATTGATCATAATCGACCTGAAAGTGGTAACTGTTTAAGTCTGGGATGTTGTTTCATAGTAGTATTTACAAATTTACTTTTTAAAAATATTTTGCGATATTTCTTCACAAATGTTTAAAACAGAACAACTTTTAGCACACCGAAAATTGCAACTCCTATAAACGGGAAGAATCTGACATTTCTCTGTTATTCACCATATTACCTTTACAATGATCATATTTTTTAATAGTTTCAAACTTGTTCTTTAAAGAGAAAAATTGGATTAACATGTGATGCAGGAATATCGACCATCAACGAACTCAGTCGCCCAATCTATTACAATCAACTATCTAATACATATATAATTGTGATTGGGAATTACAAAAAGAAATATGCATCCAGTTCCACATACTTTCGACTTGATCTGGGAAGTCTATGCTAATCAAAAGATCGTAGTAGTTCAAAAAGTGTATATTCAAAAACTTTAGCTCAAAATAAATAACGGTTTCTTCCACATCAGAAACCCCCTTGCAGTACCGGAGAACAAGAGTAGCATAATTTCAATCTATACTGCTGCACTATTTAACAGAGCTCCTACATTATTATTTTCCCGAGACAACTCTGCTTTGGATAAAGGGTGTTTTACTTCACTTTAGTTCTGTGTAATATTTTATCATAGCATATGTTTCTGTAATTACGAAAGTGACACTAAACCATAAGACATATTAACTTATTTTCTAAAATTCCTAAACCAAGTATCTTATCAAATTCAATTTACAGCTATACTTGATAATTGTCAAACTTTATAGCATTTCGAATTTTTGATTTTGCCAATCTGTTGAAACTGTCAGAATTAAGCCCTCATAAATTGGCAACTTGTCCGAGTGGTTAAGGAGAAAGATTAGAAATCTTTTGGGCTTTGCCCGCGCAGGTTCGAGTCCTGCAGTTGTCGTTATTTTTAATTTTTTTGCATCAGCTAGAATCTACATTGTGTTAGATGGTATTCCTTCTAGTATTTTCAGTCTAAAAGTATAATGTTCAGATGGCGGGGAATTTTTTGTATGGTTCATTTTTTCTGGCTGTCAAATTTGCGGCTACAATTCACAACGTCTCGCTTATCAATCTATATCGAACTAAAAATTCTAAAAGATCAATTAAAGAACCTATATATAATATAATAGATATATAACAAAAGTGTTATTAATTAGCTCATTTTACCTGATGCGAGCTCCCATTTTTAAATTTTCCATTTTAATTTTGCAGAAATGCTGTCTGCCAAATCCCCAATATACCAATCGACTTTATAGGGGGGATGGCCTGGCTTAGCCTGGCCTGGATCTTTACAAGAAGATAGGATCGTATTATTCTTTGTACATCACATTTATGAATAATTGGCAGTTTGTCTTCGTTATTTCCTGGTGAATACTTTAATGACGAATGTACGTTGGTGACAATTCTGAAACACCTGTGCAATTTTTCACACTAATCTAACTCTGTTCGTTGAATTAATGTTTTGCAATGAAATGATTTACCTATTTTAGTTGTTCTCTGAATTCTTCCAAGTCTTCAGGCTCGAATATAACTCGAACCATAAGTGAACAAGAAGGACACACGGCAATGTCTTCTCCGTCTTCTAAATCGTCCAATGCAACAGCAAATCTATCACCACAAGGACATGGATATTGGAACAATTGTGTTACTGGATCAAATGTGAAATCCTCTATTTCTATTTCGTCGTAGATTGTTTCTGACATGGTTATTAATTATTAGGTGAATGTGATGTGATTAACAAGTATGACAGTTGAAACGAACTTAAAAAAAAAAAATAGCCGATGAACGGAACTGAAATGAAATGAAATTAAATGCTATTAGTTATTAATGCGTGTATATAGACGCTGTATGTAAGGACTCTCTAGACGAAGTTGATCTGAAGTACTCTGTAACAAACTTCACAATATAAAAGAAATCTAAGATGGCAAGGAAAAAGAAATTAAAGAAAATCACATGATATTAGGTCTACAACCCTAATTCCAATGATTGCACCTGACAAAAGAATATATAAGTATGCAGGAGAAAACTGCACCTAGAAATTTTCCCATAGTAAATTTTTCTTAGCGCGCACACTAACAATTTTAACTATGGGCGCTACAGAGAAAATTTCAGAGCGCACCCAAAAACTCGCACTAACAATCGCAGTTGCACGCATTTTCGCTACACAAAAAAAATTTCACTTACCATCAATCTCGTTTTGGGTCTGAATAAAAAAATTTTCTTTTTTCTAAAGTACTTTTTCATTCTTTTAACTAGTTAACAGTGATATTCTTAAGTGTATGTGTGATACCATATAAGCATCAAAGGTCATTAGGGTCAATAATATTCATCAGTGATACAAGAGCAAAGAGTTTGTAAATGATTTTGTTAAGGAATTCAGATGAGAGACAATCGAGAGATGTATGAAATCGTTCAATGAATCAGTTTCCTAAAATACTCGAATGAAAAAAAACTTTGTATATATCTTGAAAGCAATATGGCAATGAATAAGAATCAAATTTTATAACCACCTTACTACTGTGGAAGCCTACCTACTTACTGAAAAATCTTCATTCAACCCACTATTCAAATTCAACTACTATTCTCAAAGTGCTGATAGTTTATATCAGTAACATAATTACCTCCATACTCTCTGAATTCATCAGAACAGTTTATTGCCCAACCTAATATCAAACCAAACATTTATACTAACATTTTATTATAGTAAGGAAAAATGGGTATTTCTAGAGATTCACGTCACAAGAGATCTGCTACTGGTGCCAAGAGAGCCCAATTCAGAAAAAAGAGAAAGTTTGAATTAGGTAGACAACCAGCCAACACCAAGATTGGTCCAAAGAGAATCCACTCTGTCAGAACCAGAGGTGGTAACCAAAAGTTCAGAGCTTTAAGAATTGAAACCGGTAACTTCTCCTGGGCTTCTGAAGGTGTTTCCAGAAAGACCAGAATTGCCGGTGTCGTTTACCATCCATCTAACAACGAATTGGTTAGAACTAACACTTTAACCAAGTCTGCTGTTGTTCAAATTGATGCCACTCCATTCAGACAATGGTACGAAAACCACTACGGTGCTACCTTAGGTAAGAAGAAGAACCAACCAGCTGAAACTGAAGAAGTCAAGAGATCCAGAAAGGTTGAAAGAAAGTTGGCTGCTAGATCCGGTTCTGCTGCCATTGAATCAGCTGTTGACTCTCAATTCGGTGCTGGTAGATTATACGCTGTTATCTCTTCTAGACCAGGTCAATCTGGTAGATGTGATGGTTACATCTTGGAAGGTGAAGAATTAGCTTTCTACTTAAGAAGATTAACTGCTAAGAAATAAATGATTCTATAAATAACATATTTATTACTTACAGCATCTTTTTAAATCTTAACCATACAACAAAAACCAATATACAAATTCGGATTATAGTAACCTAACTATTTGTATTTTAATAATGTATAGTTTAATGTAAAACATCGATAAAATATTTACAGAGCTTGATTACTCAGGCTTTGTCTTTTGCGTTTCCATGTTTTTCTGAAGAGTATACATTTTCAGAGTCTACAATTTTTCTACAGCAAAATTTATTCATGTTCAGTTTGTTTATTTATTTGGAGTCTATAGACACTATTAACTAGCTATGGATTACAAGTTAGTATTTCAATACATTAAAATTTCACAATTATGAAAAAGTAAAAGTCAGCTAGAGGCATGTCGTTGTCCTTCAAAGCACCCAAAAGGCACTCAGTACAGGTCTGTGTAAACATTTGATTCATCATTTTGAACTTTCATAACAACTTCGTTCGACGAAGCAATTCTTTTGAATAAAACATACCAGTCGATTCCAATAACTGATTAACCAAGTGCAAGCTTCATTTAAGAAGTTGCAACTTGTGCACTTTAGAAAGTGTAGTAAAAAGAAAGTGAAGCTCTGTTGAGGAAGAAGAAAAAAAAGTAGCTCTTCTAAAGCTTCGAAAAAAAAACTCTGCCAAAATGTCCGGGTAAGTTTATTAGCTGCTTTCACTAGGGTTGATTTGCCTGCTTTGGATATCAAAAAAGATTAAAAAAAGTCCTTTGCTATCCATGCAGCTTTAGAAAGTCAGACATCTATTGTTATATAGTTCAAATCAAATCAATCTACTTTGAAGCTGCTCAAAGTGATATAGGTCAATTTACGCCCCTCTCCCCGGAATACCTTGATATATTGTTGCGTTGATCACGTGCGCACACCCGTAACTGGCTTGTTTTCTTTTCTTCTGCTTTCTGTTTTACTAAGGCCTGCTTCAAGTTGCTGTCTAGATATTACCAATCAAGCAAGAGGGGTCTTGTACAGCCATGGCTACTAGAAATATAGATGATGCAAATAATGCAAACACCAACACATATGGATCACGATATGTTTCCAAATACTCCGATTATCTAGGTGCTTCATCTAAGCAAGCGCTTGTTCTGTCATCATTAAAGAAATTACCTGACAATTCCATGTCCAGTATAGACTTCCACACCAGTATACCGACAGGTTCATTTGTTGAAGAAGCACATGAACGGGATATCTACCGACCAACAATTTCCACTACGAACGATTCATCCACTGATGTGAATGTGACGCCATTGAAAGAAGCTCAGTTTAAGATTCTTCAAACTAAACTTTCGATGAAGGCTAAATTGGCCGAGAATGAAGCATTGGATAAGGAGATTAGAAACTTGGACCAGCCTATATATTATAAACCTCCTCCTGCCAATTACGAGGACAGTTACTACGGAATAAAACTGTTACTTCCGCCCAATATTAAACTTGGAAATAAGCAAAATAAAGAAAACAAGATTCCTATTATTGTCAGTAAGCCAGACGAAGCATACGATACAAGCGATTTGCTTAAAAGTATCAGAGATCAACAACAGGAAAATGATGATATTGATGATGATTTCCATGCCGATAACCCCGCTGGTGATTGGGCCAGCCCAGTAGTAAAAGAAGCATTGGCGAGACAAGTTGATTTAGAAGGGTGTGTTGTTAGAATATTCAAGAATGTTATATTCCTAGTGGCGTTTCTTTTGATCAAGTCCTTGGCTAAGAAGTTGATGTACTTGTATGACTTACGAGTCAAGTCCCAGCCATATTATGTATACTGGAACAACAAGTATGAAAGTTTGTCAGATAATATTTACTTGATAGTAGCAAGTAAGATTCTAGTTGGTATATTTGTGCTCAATATTATCATCCCTTTAATTAGAATTATCAAGGGACAGGATCAATGCTATGATTTACCATTGAGCGAAAAGCAAAGGCAATTGATCGGGTTAAAAGTACGTGACAGACCCAGTGATCAAAGAGGTAAATGGGAAGGCATAGATGAAGTTGACGAGTCTGCGGAGTTAACTTTAAAACAAAGAAGGTATAATTTGATTCACAAGGTTCCATATAAGAAGGTTCCCAAGTATAGAAAGTTGAATGATTATTCCATTTACAAAGCGAAGCCCGTTGAAGTAAGTAAACTGGATGAGGCTAGCATACAGGGCCCATCGATTTACCCCTCGAGAACTCTTAGCAATGCTACTCAGTTGACCAATACTAAGCCTACTGGGTTACATTTTTTGGCTGATATCCCCAAGCCAATTGCCAAATCCAAGTATTCTCAAGAAAAGATTGTAAAAGAAAAGGCTAAATTTGCAAAGAATTTCAATATTGACTTTAATATAGCTGATGACGAGTAATAAATAGTTTTTAATATATACATTTATAGAAGTTATAAATCTTTCAATTGGTTCAAGCTTTCAATCAAGTCATCAATCTCGGGGAAATCTTGTTTAAAAAAGCTTGCCTTGTCTTGAATTGACTTCGGGTTTGGATTATCGACAGTATTTTCGTCAGTCATGTAAAACATCAAGAATTCAATGATTTTAAAGTTTAACTTCTGCTGATTCGATTCTTTTGAATCGGAGTTCATTTGAGTAGGATCAAAAGAAGATAACTTGAATCTTCTAATCAAGATTGAACAGCCTTTATTTTCTTCAAAAACGCGATAGTTTGTGAAATCCTTCAACAAGATATGAATCATGGTGGTGATTACTGATATGGTCAACTCTATACTGATACTCTCGCTTGCTTGTAACAAATCTAGAATAGTCTTCATGTTTCGAGATCTGTGAAAAAGTTTTCGTGAGTTTGGATGGATCAAGACTAATCCTTGAAGGAGGTTATTGCATTGGAGCAAATTATCTTCTCCGATTGAAGGTAACTTGTATGCATTCACGAGATGTTCACATATATTGTACTGGAAACTGTCCTGCAAAGCAACAAACTTTTGAAGCTCGGTAGGTGTGTGCTGCAAATTATGCTGGTGATGAGATGTTCTATTGTTGTAGTATGTGGTGATGTAGGGTAATAGATTGTGTAATAGTTGTTGCAAAGACGCTAGTCCGACAGATATATCTTTTACATTTTGTGAATCAAGCAAATCAATGATGTCACATATTCTCAGTTCCATGTCTGAAACCCTAGTTGCCATTGTAGCTAGCTAATATATATATGTATGTATGTATCTTACTCTGTAGGGCAACGGTTGTCTACTGAGCGGGTGAATTTTTGATATGTTACTTATTTCGCCTGATTAGGAAATAGTGAGGCGTGTCGCACAGTGACAGCAAATCTAGATTCACACTATCGTAAATGGAACTAAACTGATACAAGGTTTGCAATAACTATTGGAAACCATAGTGGCAATGTAGAAACATGTAGATTTACCTGATAAACCACGATGTAGCCAGATGTGTATAGTATTGAAATAGGGGCTGATAAGGGATTAAATCGCCCCCCCCCCCCTCGACAATATCGTGGGTACGACCACAAACCTGGTACGCCCAACCAAAAAAAAAATAAAAGAAACGGGCTTAATTTAGGCTGATAGGGCTGACTTGGTATTAACTTTTCTCTTTACCTATAAATAGCAAACTACCACACTACCTTTTTTTAAGCAGTCGTACTGGATTGAACAAGTGTCGTTTTTTTTAGTATTCTTGACATAAGTGCAGCTTTTCATTGTGTTTTCCCTAGTTACTTCCATTTTACAGGGTAATCAAACTTATGGCATAGGATTCTATTGGCGACATTTCACTGACAACTACATTCGCACTACGCCACCTTCAACTGGTTGAATCTTACAGCATACTCCTCATAATGATTCAATCTTCAGCATCTTCAATCTTACTAGGATGCTCGGTGGCTGTAATATCTTCAGCTATACAATCGTTGGGAATAACATTGCAAAGAAAATCACATTTACTATACACCCATGAACAACGACATACCCATTTAAATCACCAACAGATGAAATATAGAAGAAACATGTGGCTATTTGGGTTCTTATTATTCATCATAGCCAATGTATTGGGTTCATTGATACAAATAACCACCCTACCCTTGATTATATTGTCCCCCTTACAGAGTATTGGATTGATATTTAATTCCATATTAAGTTGTTTGATGTTACCAGGAGAAAACTTTACAACCAAGCTCTGGACTGGGACATTTATCATAGCTATAGGAGCATTCCTTATAGCATATAATGGTAACGTACCTCCTTTACCACCGCCGGTCCCTCCGCCAAGTGCAGATGAACGATTCCAAAATATTCTCCATAAATTGTTAGCACCTTCATTTATGTATTGGTTTATCTTCACATTTGTCATGATGGGCATACTATTATTGGTGAATCGACTTTACCTAAACTCCAAAATAGCTCGAAACAAAGCAACTAAAGTTAAGGGAAATTTGGTCATCCGATGCAACAAATTTCAGTTCATCAAGGGTATCAACTATGGAATCATTAGTGGAACTCTTACTGCGCATACTTTTTTATTTGCAAAGTCAATTATCGACGTTATAGTGGAAATCATCCTCAGTGACCGGTCTCGGTTATTGCCCGTGAGTAATTCATTACCGGTGTTGTTATTAGTCACCATGCTTATTATCATTGGACTTCAATTAACTGCATTCAACTTGGGGTTGGCCCAGATTTCAACGGCGATCTTGTACCCGCTTTGCTTTTTGGTGTATAATTTGATCAATTTGATCAATGATTTGGTTTTCAATTCTTTATTAGTGAGTCATCGGATGACGGTGTCGCAATTTTGGTGGATTTTATTTGGGTTATTTGCAGTTTTATGTGGGGTGGTTACATTAAGTTGGGATAGTGCGTTTGGACACCACGAGGAGCACGTTGAAGAAATGGGTGAACATATGGAGGATGATTTGGTTTGTTTGAAGTTCCCCTGTACTACCAGGGTTGATCATGTTGATGAAGTTACAGGATTATTGACGGAATCTTTGTCGGACAATGCCATGCACGTGAAGAAGTGTTATTCCAGTATTGGCTCCGATAGTACTGCAACTGGTGAAACATTGTTCCATGTGGGGTCATCACAGTCTAACGAAGAACATATGCATTCACATATTCTGGAGCAAGAGGAAGACGAGTCTATAGCCATCACCCGAAATTCCACTGTTTCGTTGGAACGAAGCACGCGAATCTTGAGTTTTGAACAGAATGAACTTCGAAAATCAATGGGATATAGAGATATATAGCTTTGCATCAAATGTACAAATGTATTATGCATATATATATGTATATATACACATATATACACATATATATACACACATATATACATATATTAAACTCTGACGAACTACGTTATGCGTCAAAATCAGAGTACGACACTACCAAATGTCGTGTCCTGCATACAACCCAGTCCCACTCCAATGTACAAAAAAGTAAAAATAAAACACCATTAAATTTATCAAAGGACACCAATTGTGATCTCATTCAAACACAGGTCTCTTTCATTCAGACAACCATCCTCTATCACCATCATACTAGAACCATCAACAAGATAGCCCATCGAAAGATTTCTGTATAGTGGTAGCTTTTTTTTTTCCAGTTTGATTTCTCCATATTATTTTCCCCCATAGACAACCATTAAGTTTCCATGACAATGAGTGCGTCTTCACTATATAAACGAACAGAAGTCATTGGTCGAGGAAAGTTCGGGATTGTGTACAAGGGCTATAACAAGCAGACCAAGCAAGTAGTTGCAATCAAGGTGCTTAACTTGGATACTGAAGAGGACGAAGTTATTGACGTTCAGCAAGAAATTCAGTTTTTGACCGAATTGAAAAATGTCCCTAACGTTACCCATTACTATGGCTCAATACTTAACGACACCAAACTTTGGATCATCATGGACTATTGTGCTGGTGGATCGTTGCGTACTTTGCTCAAGGCTGGTGTTTTGGAAGAACGATACATTGGGGTGATCGTTCGAGAATTGTTGATTGCATTGAGCGGTGTTCATAAAATGTCAGTTATTCATCGAGATCTTAAAGCAGCAAATGTCTTGATCACTAAGGAAGGGAATGTCCAGTTGTGTGATTTCGGGGTGGCCGCGAAAATGACATCTAATGCATTGAAGAGAACAACCATGGCCGGAACCCCATACTGGATGGCTCCTGAAGTTATAAGAACTGGCGAAACATACAATAGCAAAGCTGATATTTGGTCATTGGGGATCACAATTTACGAAATTGCTACTGGGAATCCCCCCTATTGTGACAAGGATGCCCTGTGGGCAATGCAATTGATCTCCAAGCTGAAACCACCAAGGTTGGAAGGTAGAGAATTCTCGCCCGCTTTGAAAGAGTGCATCGCGCTATGTTTGGATGAGAATCCAGAGGAAAGACCCTCGGCTGATGATTTATTCAAATGTAAATTGGTCAAAATATACAAGAATCACCCCAAGCTGATACTACGAGAGGTTATTTCAAGATATTTATTATGGAGAGATCGGAATTCCTCGCGCAATTCGGTATTTATTAATTTGGAAGATGAACAAACAACCGAAGCGCCGGCTACCGACGATGCTCAATCTGAGGTGGATGTAGGAAATGGCCATAATCATCAAATTCAAGTCAAGTGGGATTTTGATTCATTGAGTAGCCGAGAATACATCATTGAAAACGATATAGACATCGACCATGTGCAAGACAACTATATGAACTATGATACTCAAGGTGATTATCAAACTTTACCAACATTAAAGGCTGGTACTACTGTTGGTAGAAACCAAAGCATAATTGGATTAAGTAATATGCAAAATTCTTCAGCAACATTGAACACCAATGGTAAAACTATAACAACTTCAGATATTCCCAAATCGTTACAAATGTTATTTGAAGATCTACCCGATCAATCTGAAAACTCGCCAGTTTTGCCTGCTCCTTCTATGCCATCTACGGAAAGAATGGAATCGCCTACTATTGAAATCCCCGATATGGAAAACTTGGTCAAATTCCCTCCTTCTTCAGCATCCACGGTATCCAGTGCTACTTCGTCTCATCCTCCATTAAATAAACCACCATCATTATACCATTCACAATCTGCTTCTTCCGGGTTGGAATCGAGATTCACAAATCCAAACACATCGCCAATAGAAACCAGACCAAGAAAGAAAACCATTTCCAATACTATGGTCAGTACTGCCGGTGTTCAACAACTAAATCAAGCTGCTCCACATACACCACCATATACTGCACCAAACAATTTACGTACGCCATCGCCTAAACCACCATCCGCTGCAGGACTTGTCAGTTCAACCTCAATATCTTCCAAATCCAATTCTCCATCCAAGATGAAGGCATTGCAAGCCCCATCCAATCCACTTTTACAGCCAATAAATTTCAAACTTTCTAGCGAAAGTGCTGCCAAGCTTGAAAGTATAAATCCCCAACTGCATCCACCAACACAGCAACCACCTCAATTGGTCAACCAACATTCTATGCCGGCACTCCCAGTTTCTGCAACTGCTGCGTCTCAAACCAAGCCTAAGCGAAACAGACCTGGATTCCACATTCAAATGCCAACTCCTTCCAACACCATCCAAAGCTTGGCTGCGTTAACTAACGAACCAGATAATGAAAATGTCAACCAGTTTGGAATAAACCCTGCCCAGGCTGCAACTATGCCTGTTTCCATGACACCAGTCACCGAAAAGGAAATTCCTAACTTAACGCCACTTAGTTCCGATGATGGTGAAGACGGCAACAAGTCGCAACAACAGCAACAGCAACAGCAGCAGCAACAACAACAACAACAACAACAACAACAACAACAATCTACTCAGAGAACTGCTGAAGCGGCCACCATTCAAAGGCATAGTCTGGTTCATGAAAAGACTGGACATCCAACTACGACAACTCCAGTAGCAGTTCCTGTAGCTTCATCTGCAAGTGTGGTCGCCAACCCATCAGGACCAAACGTGTTCCTTCCTCGAGGAAACTCGTTTAGTGGAACTATCCCTACTCCAACAACGACGACTGCTGCTGCATCAACAAATTCAGCAAGTGTTAGTACCCCATCTGCTACTGCTGCTGCTACCACCACTACTGTCACTACTACCGCTACTACTACTACACCCAAATTCCCAGTTATTCCTTCAATTAATGGAGACTTTTTCATAGATTCCACCAGTAAACAGCGTTTGGTTAGCGAATTAGAGTCGATGATTAAACTCTTTAATCAAGGTTTAGAAGCACTTGAAGAGAATCTTTAAGTTTTATATAATGGTAAATATGTATATATGAAAATGTGCATTAAAATGCGAGTGCAAAAGAAAAACCCAACACGCTTAAAAAATTGTAAGCTTTCACTATTTACCCAGATGAATCCTCCACCTCCACCATGCCTCCAAGAATAAGAAGACGTATCACCTCGCTGAAACGAGAAGAGATTGAAAAGGAGCAGGAGCAATTGTCCCGGACGATCGTCAGACCATTTGATGTGTTGAATGGCTTGCCAGTGTCGTTCAACCCGCCTCCCAATGGCCACTATGAAGACGTCCTCAAACAACCACTCACTATCAAGGACACCGGTGTCCTTTATAGATCATTGATGAAATCGAGATACTACTACGTTCACGTATGTCCCATGTTTCAACTATATTGGGTCAAACAAAGCTCATATGCCAAGAAGTTGGCAGAACAGGATAAACCATTGCCCAAGTCACTCAAGGAAGACATTTTGATCAACAGAAAAACCATATTGGGAAATGAAGTCAGTGCAAGAGATGTTATGGTGAAGTTGTGTGATGCAGCCATCAGTCTAGGCCCTCATACTTTTGAAATTAGGCTCTTTATAGCCAAGGATGGACGTCCAGAAAAGATGTCGAAAAAGGAAGAGAAGAGATTGAAGGCATTAAAGGAAGCCGAGGAGAAGCAAAAGCTTCTCGAAGGCGGAACTCCAGAAGCGAAGGATCAAGAGAAACAACCTAATAGTGGACAAGCAGAATTACAGACTTCCAAAGATGAACTAGGAATTGAGCAAAAACAAGATAATGAAACTAAGATAACTGAACCAGAAGGTAAGGATAAACCAGAAGAAAATAAACGAGAAGAAAACAAATCAGAAGAAAACAAATCAGAAGAAAACAAATCAGAAGGAAATAAATCAGAAGAAATCAAACCAGAAGAGCCTGAATCCCTGCCGCTGAAGGAACAGCAAAACGAAGAAAGCGAACACAGAGAGATAATAAAAGAAAGGAGCAAAGAAATTGAAAAAGACGGAAAGGAGGAAATAACAGATAAACACGAGGAGGATATCGAACGAGAGCAAGAGTCAGGGTTTAAAGAAAAGGGCGATGCCGACAAATCAAAATCTGCTGAGGAACAAACAGCCGAAATCAAGAAATCCGTAACTGACATGAAAATACCTGAGAAGCTGGCAAGTGAAGCAGATGTCACAACTATCGCTGGAAGTGGAACCTCTAGTTCCAGCTTATCACCAATACCTTCTCGTGAACCATCACCACCACGAACATCTTCATCCACATCCACATCCACATCCAAAAATGACCCCAATAATATGAGTTCGATTGAAAATCAAATCATGATTGCCAATTTGAACTTTATTGCCAGAAAAGACGAGTCTTTGAACCTGTTGATGAAGATTGTTGCCCTGGGTAAAGCCACTGCAGAACAGATTTCCACTTTCCAAGCTTATATTAAAAGGGCAAGGGAAATGGGCCCACCTCCACATGATAAGGAAAAGAAAGGCAAGAAAGTTCCCAAAGAGAAGAAGCCGCCTAAGGAAAAGAAGGAAAAGAAACCCAAGGAACCAAAAGCACCAAAAGAACCAAAACCGCCAAAAGAACCAAAAGTTCCAAAACAACCAAAAGAAAAGAAGCCTAAGAAGTTATTAAAATCACAAATTCCAAAAGATCAAAGATTGACTGCTTTTCAAGAACGGTATATCATGGATGCCATTTTATTATTTGAATTTGTTGAAAACCCAAATGTCAGATTTATGATCCCCAAGAATGCTATTTGTGAAGTTTTGCCTCCTAGTACCATGACAAATGCTGAAGGTGAAGATAATTCAGACAATAGAGATATTTTGGTGAGTTTCTTATGGATACATAACCAGAATGAAGTAGATGAATATGAGAGTAAACTTGCTGAGTATAACAAGAAAGTCAAGGAAGAGGAAGAAGTAAAGAAAGCTGAAGAGGAAAAGAAGAGACTCGAAGAAGAAAAATTAAATGGTAAACAAAAGGAGGCAGAAGCAAGCGGAGTCGGTAAAGAGACGAATGAAAATCCAGATACTGAAGCAACTAACGAACCTGAAAGTATAGAAGCAAAACTGGGAGAGACCACTCAAGTTAAAGAAGAAGAAGAAGAAGAAGAAGAAAATGAGGACGAGGATGATGAACCAGAAATTAAGGAAGAGCGACCTTATCAGGCTCAATCTGTTCCCGCAAAGAGAAGAGCACCACCTAGAAGATCATCGAGAAAGAAAAGAAAAGCCCCGGCAAGAAAAGCCAAACCTGTTGTTCCTAGAAAACTTGAACCTCCTGTTGAACCCGAGTACAAGTTTACTGCATTTTCATTTACTATCCATGGCATTCCATCAAGATTTGTTCCAATTTTTACAAATAGTGTTAAACCTTTAGTCGAAGTGCAAGAAAGAATATCGAGAATTCTTACCGTCGGTACACGAATTTCCACTTTTTACTTGTGGTATCAAATGGATGGGAAACTTGATGAGCCACTTGCTGAGGATATCAGAATGCAATTGAATCAAGAAGAGAAGAAGTTTACTGGTATACCAACAATACATGTTGAGAAGACTCCATCACAACCTAAAAAGAGAAAGCCAAAAGATAAAGATGGCGAAGGAAAGAAGAAGGCTAAGAAAGAATCGGATATAAATAACGAAGATCTCGTTAAGGTTAAGAAAGAAGGTGATCAGGCAGAAGGAAATTCAGCAGATACTGAAGATGGCAAGCTGGTTGAAGGAACTGCAAATCCCTCTGAGAATAAGTCTGAGGAGGTCAGCACCCCTTCAAATACAGTTGAAACTGCAGTAGTGGAGGAAAACACTGCCATGGAGGTGGATATTAGTGAATATAATCATAATGCTAATAGCCCCGTCGTAGAAGAGATTAAAGATGAAGCGAAAAACGCTACACAAGCAAATGTATAATAGATGTGTATTATTCTTACTTTATAAATATATGTACAGGTACTTAATTTGGAAGAATTAAGTTTAATAAGCTTTGTAAACTTTCAGTGTCAGTCTTGTGTCTTTCAGCAGTAGATTGGAAGTTTGGATTCGAAGGGGCATAACTGTGAGTTTGCTTCCTCATCCAGTCACCAACCTTGACACCTTCTGCTGTTACTCTGACGGCACCGTCATCGGTAACCACAGCTTCACTCACCTTGAATGGCATAGAGAATTGGAGTATGTGCTTACCTGGGTAACTTCTAGCATAGTTGTACTGTAATGAGATAGAACGGTCATGAGCATGGGAAACAAAACCACCAATTGCTGCATCCTTGGTAGAAAGAAGTCTACCTGGAGCAATAACGTCATGTTTGATACCATTAGGGGTGTTTGTCAATCTTCCCTTCTGGTTATAACTGAACCCACCATTACCAAGGACTCGGATTTGAGCATCTTCCTTACCAAAATCAAGTAAATTCCACTCCTTCTTGTGGACAGCTTTAGATTCATGTAAGAAAGATTTCAACAAATCAGCCATAGCAGCGGGCAGAGGTTGGGCAACAAATGCTTGTGGATGGTTCTTAGCCAACCATTTCTTGAATTCCCTGTGGATACCCGGGTTCTTTTGCAAGACCTTTTGAACTTCACTGGTATAGACTCGCTTATTCATGTTTAAGTAGTTGACCAAAGTCTCTTCTCTGTTGGTAGGTTCTGACTTTGTGGATTGTCCTGGGAATAATGGATTTGATTCAGAGTACAAATTCTTGGTAGCGAGTCCCATTTCTTGAAAGTTCTTTATCTTGTAGTATTTACCCGAGTTCTTTTCAACATCTGGCATTCCGGTATAGTTGTCGATATCATTGAAGGAAATGAAGGAACTTCCGACTTGTTTAGGTAAAGCAGTCTTGATACCGTAAATGGATCTTTGGGCACTGTTTTTTGGTGTATAGATGATTTGGTGGGTAGGAATTGTGGAATCCCCACGTATGTTTTTCAGGAGAGGAGTTGCAACTTGGGCAAACTTGGAATTTCTCACTAACTTGAGAAACTCATGATTGGCAGACATCTTATGAATCTACAGTGGTGGGTTCTAGTAGTTGGTTGTCTCTGAATAGGTTCAAAATTTTCATATTTTTTTTTCTCGTTGGTAAAATCGCAAAAACTGCTTACCCGGACAAATAATTCAATAAGTAATACAGATCTAACAATTTCTATAAATCTACAGAAGTACTCTTAACATGCATATGAGAAGGATATTCCTAGTTTGTTGAACTCAGGAATGTTTGTGGTTGGATTTAATGCAACCTTTACACCTGTACTTACAAGGAAATCTTTAACTCTACCTTCCCAAAGTAATTTAACCATTCTGTCATTTAAACTTGTGGAAAACTTTAATACACTTGAAAAATCACTTTCATTGACAAGATTCTGGAATGCAGCTGTTACAGTTTCATTCTTGTGTTGTATCTGTGTTTTATTTCTGAATTTTTCACTGGAATTAGGACTGTTTGGTAGTAATGTGGGATTGATATGAAACACATTGTCTTGATTCTCTATTGGATTAATAATGACACCATTATGGTGTTTGTAGCCTAGTGGTACTTCTTTAGGTCGCTGATTTCTTGCATGTTTTCGTAAGTAACTATTTTCTTGTGAGGACATATTGACCTCGTGATTCTTGAATGTAGGGAAGTTGTTTGACTTGCCATAGCTGTACAATTCAAATCCTAATGAAAGGTTGCTGGCATATGAATATAAATTAAAGTCATATTTGGAACAGAATGTTGATGCCACTGATGTTTTCACGGTATATGTTGAGGATATATGACCAATTATTGGATTTATGGCCAAGGTCATGGTTAAAGGTTTCCCTGTTGATGTGGATCTGGTGGAATATCTAAATGCAGTAGACATGCCTGGACTCATGGTTCTTGCAGCATACCATATCTCGGTGCCTACTGAGACCACTGAGTTGTCAAACTTGGGTATGAGAGCCTGACTTAAGTTCTGGGATGCCCCAAAATTATATAAACATCTAAATCCAAGCAAGGACTCGTTGGTCGAATATATGAACTCTCTCAGGTATTTTGGAGTGTTATTCTGCAAGTAAATAATCATAGTTCCATTCTTGTCTAGATGTGGACTACTTATAGTCTTTATGAGAAGTTGAGTATACGGAGTTATTCGTTTTATAATCATAGCTTCTAATGCGGAACCAGGGAAATACATTCTTCCATAGAGCAAGGAACTTTTAGCTGTGGCGGCGGCTGTCTTGCTTTTAATGATAGAATTCCTGACTGACGGCTCGATGATTCTGAAGCCGGCGATTGCGTCTTGAAGGGAGATTTCTTTGGTGCCCATGGTATTGGACAATGGAATTGACGAGTATAAATATGCAAGGGACCCATTTATGGTGTGAAAGTTGGATAATGTGAACGACGATGCCAGATATTCGGTTGATTTTGAAGATGTGTCGACTTTTATACCATTGGGCAAGGGGAACTCAAGTAGAGCCTGAGAAGTGGCTGTTATATTGGAGAAGATGTTATCTTCGTTCCAATTGGTGGATTTGTAAAAGCATTTCTGAAGATATTCCATATACGTATACATTTATGCATGAATGATGATGGAATGACGCTATACGAGTAAAACTTAATTGCTATGGTTTTGAACTTTTTACTAGTCTCCCTCCCCTTTGTTTGTGGCAACAGTTTTGTTTTTGGTTCGATTTTCTGATTGTTTCACTTTTCTTGTTTGGCTGCTACCATGTGCTGCGATTTTCTAGTGGAATTTCTTTTTAATTCTCTCGGTAAAAATTAGGGCGATAGCGCGCTGTGACTCAGGCCAGAAATTTTTCTAATTTCGCCCCGACTCTGGGCCAGTCAAATTTATTCGATTTCAAACCAGGGTTAATCTTCCTTCACTTTTAGTCAACAGCACCAACAACCATGTCTGCCAGATCATACACTATTAAGAGAATAACGAACGAAACAAAGATTCAAATTGCCGTCAGTCTTGATGGTGGTCATATCGCTCTTGAAGAATCAATTTTTGATAAGAAATTAGAAGACGACGAGCATGCCAAACAAGTTTCTGGATCTCAAGTTATCAACGTGCAAACAGGTATTGGATTCTTAGACCACATGTTACACGCATTGGCCAAGCACTCTGGCTGGTCTTTGATCGTTGAATGTATAGGTGATTTACACATTGACGACCATCACACTGCAGAAGATGTGGGTATAGCCTTAGGTATGGCATTCAACAAGGCGCTTGGTCCAATCAAAGGTGTCAAGAGATTTGGGAGTGGGTTTGCTCCGTTGGATGAAGCCTTGAGCAGAGCTGTTGTTGATTTATCCAACAGACCATATGCCGTGATAGACTTGGGATTAAAGAGAGAAAAGATCGGAGATTTGTCGACTGAAATGATCCCACATGTTTTGGAAAGTTTTGCTCAATCAGCTGCCATCACCATGCACGTTGATTGTTTGAGAGGTACAAACGACCACCACAGATCAGAAAGTGCCTTTAAGGCTTTAGCTATTGCCATTAAGGAAGCAATCTCAAAGACTGGAAGCAACGATGTTCCAAGTACCAAGGGTGTTTTATCATAGACAGCGTGTTGTTGTTAAATTTATAGACTTTATTTCGTATTAATTAATGTCAAGACAAATGGCTTTTGTAGTTGTAGTTGTGTTGTCTCGTATAATTCTCCATTCCCTCCTCCCCGCCATAGTTAAGGCCTCTCATCGAAGTACAGAAAAAATTAATTCAAACACAGTTCTTGCAGCAAGAATCAACCAGAAAGTCTGCACACTTTAAGAATGAATTTGAATGTTGGATGTCAAAAGAGGTCGTTCACTATAGCCTCGTCCGTATTTAGGAAACATTCAAGTGATATAAAACCAGTATTCAAACCTCACTTTCTGAATCCAAACGATGTTAGATCATTTGAAAAAAACCTACCATTGACCAAGAAAGTAGGAAGACCTTGGGAAAACATGAATATTTCCAAAGATGAGTTCTTCCAGAGAAAATACGGCAATATCAGCCCTGAGGAAAGAGAAAGGTTAAATGAAAAAGTTTCCAGACAAAGAAGAATGAGAGAAGCCAGGGTTTCCAAGGAGTTGGCTGCTAGAGAAGCAAAAAGGCAAGAGATGTTTGAAGAAAAAAGGAACCAAAGAAAAGAAGCGAGGGGATACACTGGTAACCTGAGTTATTCTGTATCTCGGGCTAAATATGATTCCGTGTATGAATACATCTATGGAACTCATTCTGTGAAATCGGCCCTTCTTGCTAATAAGCGTGGGTTGAACACTTTATATGTTCACAACTGTCAAGATCCTACCATAGTAAAGTTAGCCAAAGATGCATACAACTTGAGAATTGTTGAAAGAGAAAGTAAAGGTGATTTGAATTTGTTAACAAAGAATGGTGTTCATAATGGTGTGGTGTTGGAAGCAAATAGTTTAGTTATACCCTATATTGAATCTGTTGGCGGTTCTGAAGATGGTCAATACAAACTCAGTTTAATTGATGATGCTACTAATAGACCTACTGAAGAAACCAGGCCCGTGGCAAGAGCAAATGACAAAGAAGAAAGTCTTCATCCTTTAGCATTATACTTGGATGAGATTACTGATCCTCAAAATATGGGTTCAGTGTTGAGAACTGCATTTTTCTATGGGGTGGATTTTGTGGTTCTTCCTGACCATACTACAGCTAGATTAGGACCGGTTGCCAATAAGGCATCTGCCGGCGCTATGGACCAAATGAACATCTATCAAACCGATAGCAGTTTGAAATTCTTACAAAGTGTTCGTGACAATGGTTGGTCTCTTGTTAGTACAAGCGGTAAACCGGATGAAGCCCAGATGGCTGACTTAAAGGGAAAAGACGGCAAGATTGTTGAAAATCTCAAATCCAAGTTTATAGAATTATCGGAATTGAGACTGCTTTTACATGATGGTCCTGTGATGTTAGTTATCGGAAGTGAAGGTGCTGGTGTGCGGACAAACATCAAGATAAAATCCAATTATCTTGTTGGTATTCCTAAGTTAAGACAAAATGATACCTTGGTTGATTCATTAAATGTAGGCGTGGCTACTGGTATCATCATCGGCAGCTGTGTTTAAAAAATGTTGAGTAGAACAACATTGCATGTAAATAGATTTCTAAATGCGGAGATAAACGGATATTTTTTTTTCATATGATTTTACGGTTCGTATCCATCGATGTATTATGCATTTAAAGTTTAGTTGTACAGATTTTCGCTACGGTTTGAATGAGAATTCTGTTGGTTACCCAACAAAGTAACTTCCTCAGCTAATTGTACTTCAAAACCCTCGGTAAATTTCTGTATGTTTCTTTTCACACAAATATTCAAGGATATTAGGATTTCCATCTTATTCATATACCTAGAGCTTTAATCAAAGGTTTTTGTGCAAATTCTAATCTGGAAAAAGTAAAATATCAATGACAAACTTTCATTTAGTAATTTTGGTTCACGGGTATGTTTTTATTTTCGTTAAAAATTGCTTAATTGTAAGTTTTACATACTAATTAGGTTTAGCCTTTGGGGGAACCCACATCAACTTTCATACATAGAACGTCAGCTTAAGGAAAACATTGGCACAAACGGTGAAACAGAAGAACTTTGGGTTTATAAAACCGGTTCTCACCAGGGATATTTAACTTATGACGGAATAGACATTAACGGCAAAAGGATTTCGGATGAAATTAGGGAAATAACCACGTCAATCCAGATTCTGGGTGATAACGTGGTTAAGTTTTCAATAATTGGATATCTGTTGGGTGGATTAATTGCCCGATACGCTCTTGGGATATTGTATGCTAATGATTATTTCGAGGATATTACTCCTGTCAATTTTGTAACCTTTTGTTCACCCCATGTTGGAGTGCTTAACCCCTTGCCAAATAGTAGGTCCGCAAAGTTATATAATAGCTATGCACCACTTTTCTTGGCTATCACGGGTGGACAATTGTTCCTTAAGGACCAAATTAGAGAAATCGGTAAACCCTTGTTGGTATGGATGGCAGATCCGAAATCAATCTTTTACAAAAGTTTGACACTATTTAAGTATAGATCACTATATTCTAATGTCGTCAATGATAGAAGAACTTCTTGGTTCACTTCGGCGATTTCCTTTACTGACCCAGTTAATTCCTTGGTAAACCATCTGGCATCGAAAATCCACGCGTCGTACATAAAAGGATATGCCCCAACTGTTATTGATATCGCTAAACCATTCTACTATCATGATATGCGCGAGGAGAATACTGGAGGTCGGAGCTTTTGGTTTATCATACGTTGGTTTAAAGTTTTTTTGGACGTTGTTTTATTCACCCCAATATGGACAATTTCTTTCTTTGTAACTTCAATCCAGCAGAGAATTAAGTTAAATAGACGAGTGAGAGAATTCTTTAATGATGCTTCTAACAACTTATTCCTTTTGTATGAAAGTATCGATGATGAAGGTGATGCTGACAACGATTGTGGTGATAACGAATCAACCTTAAGTGACATGGGACATGAAATCATGGAGAAAATTCAAGATACTAGAGATACATTTCTTGAAGATGTCTATACTGCCAGTAATGATGATATCAATTCTCATGCTCTAGCATTGAATGAGGATCAAAAGTTTATTATTGACAAATTGAATAAGGTTGGCTGGGATAAATTTCCAATTATTTTAAGACAAACGAAAGCAACACATGCTGCGCTGATTGTAAGACAAGACGATCCAAAGTTTGCCGAAGGTAAGGTTGTGATTAGTCATTTTATAAACGAAATATTTCAAGTTGATTGATGGTGTGTGTATTTATGTTTGTATTTGATAGAATTTAAATTAGTTTATCTGGTTGCAAAACTTTTTTTGTTTTCTATGCGGCGGCTATATAGTATATCCTTTTCTTTTTGTTTTGGTTTTTATTCTATACCTACAAGCCTAATAGAAAACTACCTTCTTTGACAAACTCACACAAGTTCCACTATCATATGAAAAAGATTGAAATGGGCATCATCAAAAGTCAATCAATAAGGTCATTCTTGGGATTAAAGGATAAAAACCTGACAAAACAAGAAGTAACTAAGGTTGATGTGTTTTGCAACAAATCTTTGACAACCGCCACCACACAATCAATCACTCCTGCGTCAACAATTAACCAGAGTCTCCGTAGTGCTGAATTCAGTATTGCATCAGTTACAGTCAGGATTCCTCTTCAAGATATATTATTGGATCCAAAGTTCAACAAGATTAGGACATGTCGATGGAAATTAAAATTGTTGAATCAATGGTCTGACTACGTCTTAATATTTGTAAAATTACAATATAACCAGGAAGTTTTGAGCTCAATTTATTCAGATATCCGTGATCATATCGATTATGTACAACATTTACAAGGTGGGGGGTTACTTGTTCATTGTAAAACCCCACAATTTTACTTTAAGTTGTTAAGTTTGGTTGGGCCAATATATTCAATCTACATGGTTATTTCCGATGGGGCAGGATCTATTATTACCATTAAGAATAACGTGATCTTACAAGCAATTAGAGACATGAATCTACAAGTAATCAAGTACAAGCCGGTTTTATTCCCAAGAATTACCTTTACCGTATGGGGAATTAACAGCAGTGTTCCCCAACACCAATTGATTTTCTATTTCAGACTGATTGGTAAACTAGTTTCATGGAAATTTGCACCTATTGGCCAACATACAAAGTATCATGTAATTTACTTACAGTATTCAAGGTTCATGAATACCTCGGAAGTATTGAAAAAAATTAAAGGTTTTCATTCAGCTAAAGTAATTCAAAATCTAGAAAGTAAATAAAAGAATAGCTAAAATAAATAGCCATATAGAATTAATGGAAAACTAATTTTTAAATCAATTCAACATAATTGGCAGGGAAAATACCGGTAACCCCGTTGTTTCTACCAGTCCACCAATCATCAGCTGTCTGTGACTTTTTGATAATTTCAATTACATCACCTTTTTTGAATGGTAAATCTCCTGCTTGCTCTCCCTTAAATGTATACAAGGCAACTGCTTGGTTAGTATTGGTCTTTGGAGCACCACCAAAGTTTGGTTTGGAAGAAGCAGGAGGACGTGAAGGTCCAGAATTAGATATTCTGGTATTTTCCATTCTAGAGCCTAACCGATCGACATCCCTATCTCTTGATCTATAGTTTGAATCATATAGATCGTCCTCCCAGTTGGATGCTTTTCGCGTACCTGTATTGGTTCCACGAGAAGTTGGTCTTGTAGAATTCTTACTTCGGGAAGCGTAGCGGTCATCTTCATCTGAATAATAATCATCGTCTTCATCAGAGTATGTACTCCTTCTTCTTGAAGTGGTACGAGATCCACGACGAGGAGAGGATGTGCTGTCGGAAAACTCATCCGGAATATCATCATAATAATCTGAATCATAATCATCATCAAATCTATTACTGAAAACTCTTGATGCCAACACGTTCATAAGCGTATCACAAGCTGGAGGGGCTTCAATTTGGCCGGACAAGATATTTCTGGCCTTACAATTGCTACCATAGAACTTTCTATTGGCTTCTCTTCTTTCAACAATTGCTGACCCTTCCAACGAGACACCTGCAAACAAACCCTTGGTTTTAGAATACGCAAATACTGCAGACACTGATTTTAATGATGCAGTACCAGCAGCTTCAGCATTTCTACCTAAAGGTCCCACTGCCACAGACACATTAGTACCTAAAGTAACAGACCCTGCTTGGGCAAAACTATCCACTGCAGCCTTTGTATTCAAGACAAAAACGAAATCAGTCAATTCAGCACCAATTTGACCCCCTACACCGGCACCTGCGGTGACGATTGCTGATGGTGGAGACCAAGACCCATCTGGTAAACGAGCAACGATGACCCCAGATCCAGCCCTACCGGAAAACAAAAATCCAGCCTTTAAAACCGTTATGATTGCCAATCCCTTTGCATTCTGTAAGATTCTTGGTGGAATGACTTGATCTGGTCCGGCTAATTGGTTGGGCTTGACGAATGATGCCAATATCTTTGCCGCTTTTCTAAAAGGGGGTATATGTCAGTAATCATTTCAAACTGGGGTAAGATCTGCAAAAGTACACATACTTTGATTCACTTCTCAAACTTCTTGGAATAGGATTGTTAATACCCATAATGTATTTCTTTTGTTGGTTAAGATTGATAATAAGTTAGACTTTGTAAAGTTAAAGTATTTAAAGGGTGAGTATAAGTTAATTTGCCAAAATCGGCTTCTTGATTTTTTTCCGTTCGGGGAAAGCGGCGGCGTTATAAACGTGAAATTGTGTGAGTGAACGATTTGATGCTCGCTGTTTCCTCACCCAATTGCTCACTTTCTTCCATTGCCCAACTGAAAAATAAAATATTACAACAAGACAAGAATGCCATGCCATGGCTAAATGTATGACTGGAATTGGTCTACAAGTGTGATCATATATCATCAAGCCTTTGTGAGTGTGGAATTTCGTCTAGGAATTGACGGAGATCCGGGTCCGCAGCAAAGAAGTATTAAATGCCGCACATGACCCTTTTTTTTCTGTGGTATGGCTTACCTCGGCCTTAGTCAGCCATGCGTTCTATTGATATCTTCAACTAACCACACTAATATGGTTACTGTATCTTTTGTTAACAACAATGTAAAAGGTCTATATTTTTATAAATCAAGCAGATGGATCATGGCTCATAGTACCGGGATTTGATTTAGCGGTCGCGCGCGCAGAAATCAAACCTTCATACTGCCTATTTTGTGTCTACTCCGCTAATTTGTTTCTTGGTCCTTCGTATAAACAAACAGAGCTTTAAATCGTATGTGATTTGTGAAGGTTCAATCACTATCACACTCTGTTATTCACTTCTTGAGTAATTCATAGGCGATGAGATTTATTTGCAATAAAATTGGGCAAAATAATTCTTTTTTTTTGCAATCAATGTTGAAAAAAGAAACACCCATAATATTGACTTAAAAAGAATCCCTGTGTGCCATCAGAATTGCCAGATAACTATCAAAACTAGAACTATATTGGTCCTTTGATAGTTCTATATGAAATTTTTCCAAAAAAAAAATTATTTCATGGTGCAAAAAAAGAGCTTCCCCACCAGGAGTCGAACCTGGAATCTTCTGGTTCCAGAAGTGGTTACAAAATCGTAGCCAGACGCCTTGACCATTGGGCCATGAGGAACGAAGCTTCGCATTATTTTTTCTCTTGGTTTAACTAGTGAAGTAATATATTGTCCATGTGACCAAGATATAAATACTCAATTATAATAGTTATATATCAGTTCCCCTCTCTAGAAATTGATTTGGGATATAGTATTACAAGTTTAGGACATTTAATGAGTCCTTTTATGATGTTGTGTTGACACATTCACTGAAAATTTTTAGCTCATAATTTTTCAAATTTTTGTAACAAGCATTGAAAACAAAGACCAAGAATATTAAACAACTCTATTATATGTGTGCTCAATTATCTTGAGAGGTCTTTTTTGTTCTAATTAGAATATATTTATGGTTGAAAACATATGAACAGTTAAATGTTCTGGTTTAAATACTCGCATATAGCATTTCCCTCAGATACAATACAGATGTTTTTTAGTTTGGTCAGATTAGCTTGCAATTATGTCCCAAAACCTTAAGTTCATTGTAGAAAAGCGTCTTTGTGTATCTATTTCAATTTATTAACCAAAAACCCACTGTTAGATAACAGTCCCGGTTTGTTATGTGGCTAGAATTTGGTACTTGCAATTTTTTTTTGCCACTTTTTAAATTAAAGGGGTTTTTGGGGGGAGGGCTTTAAATTTTCAAGAAAAAAAAGTCTCTGTTTTCTTTTTCATTTCGCGTACTCATCTTAGTTGAAAGATATTACTATGATTATCCAAGAATCCTCCACCACATAGCAAATGAGTGAACTAGATACGGTATCTCTATCGTCCCGAACGTCATCTTCTGGAGGGTCTCGGCCCAAGAAGTTTTTGTGCACTTTTGAAAACTGCGACAAAGCTTATAGCAAGCCATCTCTTCTTGAACAGCATATGAGATCACATACCAATGAACGACCGTTTAAATGTTCCCATGAAGATTGTGACAAGTCGTTTTTGAGAAAATCACATCTCGATGCTCATATGGTATCACATGCAACTGACAAACCATTCCACTGTTCTGTTTGTGGTAAGGGAGTCAATTCTCAACAACATTTAAGAAGACATGAAATCACCCACTCAAAATCGTTTACATGTACATATGAAGGGTGTTCAGAGGCATTTTACAAACATCAATCTTTGCGTCATCACATATTATCTGTCCATGAAAAAACCCTAACGTGTACTCATTGTAATAAATCTTTCCAGAGGCCCTACAAACTCGCTCAACATAATCTCAAGCACCATGGTGACTCTCCGGCATATCAATGTGATCATGCGGGCTGTTTTTCCAACTTTAAGACTTGGTCAGCATTGCAGTTTCATGTCAAGCAGGAACATCCCAAATTGAAATGTTCTATATGTGGAAAGGGATGTGTTGGGAGGAAAGGGCTTAGATCGCACATGCTAAGTCATGACGAACAGAAAATGCTTAAACTTTGGCAGTGTACATATTGTGATATAGGTAAATTCCCTCGAAAAGCTGAATTGGTTAATCATTATAATGATTTTCATGATGGTAATATTCCAGAAAATCTCTTGAAACGGAGTGAATTGATGCGACTTGAACAGTTATTGAATAGCAGTGATCCACTTTCTGCAAATTCAAAAGATCTCAAAAATTATAAAATAGTTTCTTCTGATGAAGATAGCGATGAAGATAACGATGTTGCTGTTGACGCCCGGTCGGACACAACTATGTCGCAACGTTCTATGAACTCGTTGAGTAAAGATTTAAGTAAAGGAAGATCTTCAATAATTGGTCTTATTCTGAATAATTTTGTCTCAAAGAAGATTAAATGTCCCAAGGGTAACTGTGGACGTATGTTTTCAAGAGAATATGATCTTGACCGACACTTGAAGTGGCATGAAGAAAATTTGAGTAAAATTGAAGCTTTCTTGGATAACCTAAATAATGAAACGGCAGACTTGGATGAGCAACCTCCTTTGAAAAAGACCAAACCAAACCAGGGTATTAACCTAATAGATGACCACAGCGATGATGATTTAGATACATTAAGCCACCAGGAACTTCAACTAGTGGCTGAATTTACGGAAGATTAAATTGATAAATAATTTTAGGTACTTTAATAGAATTTATACTTATAAAAAAAATTATTTAATATCTAGATTTCTTATCGTATCCTCTACCCCCATAACCATCTTGCTTTCTTTTATTGTCGTATCTACCTCCTTGTCTGGAGTCTTTGCCGTCATGGTTCCTGTTATTATAGCTATCGCTTCTGCCATACGATTCTCTTCCGTTCCTGAATTGACCAGAATTGTAAGTTTCATTACGTTTGGTACTAACAGGGGGTGGAGGAGGAGGAGGAGGTGGTGGTGGTGGTGGTGGAAGTGGGGTTGTTGCAGCAGTTAGTCCACTTGCAGAAGAAGCTGCGGCATTTGATCCTGTTGAAGAAGATCCTGATGCTCTGTTATAGTTTGATTGCGGTTGACGTTGGTTGTTGTAGGTATGATGGTGTCTAGGTGTACCTCTTCCACCCCTTGAATCGCTAAATCGACTCACTGGTGCAGATGGTGCTGCTGATCTAGTCTTTAAAGTATCTTGAGGAGGCAATGGAACACGCGAATGTGTATGAGATTCCTGTTGTGGAGCACTCGATTGCAAACGAATTGATTGTTGTGGAGGCAATGGTGCCCGCTTCTTGGTTTGAGATTCTTCTTGATCAGTATATCCTTCAGTTTTGACTGTGGATGCGGTCTGTGGTTGAGACTTGTCTTGTTGTTCACTCGTGCTCTCCTTGGATGTCCTTTGTTGAAATTCTCGTTTAACTTGGGATAACCTTGATTTCAAATCTCCACCAGTTGCCCGGGTTTCATCTTGGGATTTCTCAGGTGGGTTCACCGAATCAGACTGTTGGCTTGATGGTCCTGTTGGGGCAGATCCACGTTGGAAGTCCCTGCTTTTAGCTCTTCCGCTATCTTTCCTGGGTATAATAAGATCATCTTCTTGAGGATTCTTCTTGGTAGATTGGGAATCTTTGCTCTCTTCTTCTTTTTCAATCTTGGAAATTTCTGGTTGTGCATCTTTATGGTCACCTGAACTCTTCCTATCCTCACTTTCATTCTTATTAACCTTGGATTCAACATCGGATTCCTTTTCAGCAGCTTCGACACTCATTTCTTTTGGTGTTGGTGCGTACCTAGAATAATTATCATAACGGCCTCTTGACGAACTTGCAGCACCCCTTGTATCAGGTCTAGATGATGATTTTTGGGAGTCATAATTAATTGCTGAGGTCCGTTTCTTTAATTCTTCTTCTTTGGCCAATTTCTCCTCTTCTTTCTTCAATTCAAGCAACCTTCTCTTTTCTTCCAACTTCTTTTCTATTTCTTTCCTTTGAGCTTCTTGTTTTTCCTTAATCAATTTCTCCTTTTCTTCTTCCGACATTGGAATGAATTCCCAAATCTTTAACCATGTCTTAGCTCGGGATTTAACATGACCAACTAAAGCACCAGATGATAACTTCAAATCTTCTCTTTCTTCAGTCAAAGAAATCTTTTCAATTATACGTACAACTCTTTCACAATGATCCTCAACTGTTGGATAGACTCCCAATAAGTTCTTCAAGAATGTAATGGCATTTCTACGTGACATATATTCAGTAACACCCAAAGATGCCTCAATTTCTTCTAAAATGGTAGTATGATATCCATAAAGAAGTACTCTGAAATCGTCAAATGAAATAACGTCACCAGCGGCATCCAAAAGATCTTCATTTTCTTGAAATCTATTTTCTTTAGTCCATCCTTGCAAAGTTCTTAAAACGTCAGCAAAGAACAACCCCAAGTTTTCAGCCTCTGTTGGTGTCAATGTGAACAAAGTACCAAACAATATCTTATTTTTGGTAAGTTGATCCAATAATGCAATCAAAGAATAATTTTCCGTTTTCAATTCATGTAACTTGAATATGAATCTTGCTACAAAGACGGCGTCAAAGGATGAGTGAATACATCTCGGTAATACACAACATTGAAGGAATTGTTCAATTTGAATTGCCGTCTTTCCAGGATCATCCGATAAAAACCAACTAGCACATTCAGCTTGTAATTTTGCTGTGATTAACTTATCGTGCTCATAATGCGCGTTCATTTCTGATGGAAGGACTTTAATGTATTGTTCATTCTCATATAATTCTTTTCTTTGTCTATCAATCGTAGCTCTGGCGACATCTTTATCTCTAGAATTCATAGCAATTGACTCTCTCAAGCTCCTGATATTAGATTCTAACTTCGAAGTTTCAGTTTCATAGAGGGATCTTGAATAGTTCACATCCTTCAACGATAATTGCCAGAAACAAACCACTAATCCGGGAGACAAATATTCAAGAGAATTTTTAGGAATTAAATCAGCAATTTGATCCTTGATTGTTTCTAATGATGAAGAAAAAGTCTCATCATCATTCGACAATGTCTTTGATATGGTTGGGCGCCATAGTTCAAAAGCCCATTCCATAGGAACTCCATATTTAGTGTATAATTCATCTAAAGGTAACAATTTGTCTTTTATTTCTTCAGAGTCTCCAAAGAATCCCACAAGAGTATTAAACAACCTTATTACCGTGGTTAAATCGTCACTTCTGCTTGCCAAAACCTTTAAATGGATCTTATCACTTTCATAAATCACTTCATTGGTAATGTGAACAAGTAATACTAAAAGCTCATTAATAGCATCTAATTCCAAGAAGCACCTGACAAGATGTTTTCCTGATGCAAAACGTTCATATCTCAAGTCATCGATTGTACGATAGACAATCTTCTGTAATGATTCACCACAGTTGATCATATCAATTTGGTGTAAAGTTAAATTTGTAATCAACTGAATACCACCCATAGATATAAACATTTCTTTCAAAACCAACAACCCGATTGTGTCACCAGAATGAAATGATTTCAATAAGAATGACAATATAGTTTTTATATCAATGGCTCTTGGATATCTCTGACAGATTTTACCAATGAATGATGCTAATGATTGGATCCATTGACGTTCAACCATACCATCGTCGTGGGTAGTGTTTCTGCCGGCGGCAGTTAATCTCATCAAAATAGCAACAGTCAAGTTATCCCAACCATAACTACTGAAATATCTTGCAGTTTCCACAACTAATGTATTCAAATTATCATAACTTTCAATTTGTTGTAAAATGGTTAATAAGCATGGCAATGGGTTGGAAAAACTGATTTTAGCTAATCTTCTCATCATTGGACGGACATTTTCCTTGGACAACCTCTTTAAAACGTCTTTAGTTGACTTTTCAGCTTTGTTATACGCCATTTTAATCAATGGGTTGTTCTTGGCTAACACCAGGTATAACTCACCATATACACTGAACCTATCTTCTATAGGATACAACGACAATATAGCATAGGCTTTATCAATTGCAATTGAGTTTTCTTCAATTACACACATGGCCGGAAAGATGAAGTTTCTGAAATAATGAAACCATTCCACTTTTCGTGCTTCATCAGAAATGTTGTTCTTTAAATCCCAGAGCACAATCTCACAAACTTTTATAAATGCCTGGGTGTTTTGTGCAAGATTCACTCCGTTAAACTTAAGAAATTCCTTAGAAACGGTAATAAACGATTCAATATCATTAATTATTGGAAGTTTTGTATTCCATGCTTCATAGAAATAGTGAAATTTCTTGTGATAATAACTTTTTAAAGTTGGTTTGAATGTAAGTAAATTTGTGGTGGTAGCTGCTTCATAATAAACGCCATTATGTGGTCTAACAAAAGCAATCTGTTTGGGTTCTTGTAAACCTTGTAAATCTTCGGAGGAAAAGACACGAACTTGCTCATACAAAGGTTGAATCAAAGCATCAAACAATCTATTCAATAAAACTGGTATTTCTGGATCAATTTGGGCCAAAAAGGGATATTTTGTGAGGAGGAATAAAGATGGCATATAAAGACCATTACTTAAGAATGTTTTCAAAAATTGAAATTTATAATTCGTAACTAACTTCTCTTCAATTGACTTTTTTGGTTTAGTTTCAGATTTTGTAGATTTTTGGTCTCCCTTTCCACCGTTTTGGTCTCGACCTTCATCTTCATCGTCAGCTAATGGTGCAGCTAGGGCAAGAGCATTTGCTCCTGCTTTTGACACTTCTTCCTCGAGTCTCTTTTGGTAATCCTTTTCTAACTCATTCATTGCTTCTTCATTAGGAGACATGTATTTATACATGCTACCAAAACTGATGAACCCTTCTTTTATTAAGCAAGTTATCAAAATCTTGAACCCTTCGGGTAATTCGTGTCCAGCTGGTAGTTTCATTAATCTTAAACCTAAAACTTTGGCTCCATTCTCATTTCCTCCCTTGGATAAGGTCAGAATTGATGTGTTGTCGCTTTCTACTGAAGGCCACCATCGTGATTTTCTTATCAACTGTAATGCCTCTGATACCTTGGGAACAAATACCGAATCAAATATATGGAGTAATAAGTCAAGGCATCTATTTGGATCCAAACTGTAATGACCAATTAATTTTTCTATAATTTGAAGAGCATAATCTATTTTGAACTCAGTGCCATCATTCCTAAATATTGTATATATTTCCACAAAAAATTTGGCATATCCTTCAGTTTCTTCGTGTAACAAATTGAACTTCTTTTGGGTGTAAAACTCATCCCTGATTCTACTATTCAATGCCTTGGTGTAAACGGCTTTTGGAACTATTTCCAGTTCCTTGAGGAAATCTGAGCCTATATGTAAAGCAAGTGTTTCTGGTTTAATCACGTTCTCTTTTCTACTAATCAAGACCAATAGTTTTTGGAGGTTTTCAGTAGCAGGAAATGCATTCAAAACTTGACAGAATATTCTTGCGAGCTCATCATTAGTGATTGATTGCAGTAAAAACTGGACAATATGCTCTAATTCCAATTTATTGTCTTCAAATGAAAGAATCAATTCGGTAAATAACAATGCAACTGCATCTTCACTATCTTGGTTGGATTCTTCATACGATTCCAATACTTCCATCAAAGGTTCTATGCCACCTTCTTGGAATTCATTGATTGTTTCATCAGTGAAGTATGTAGACAATTCGCCACTCATCAGTACCCGTTTTAGTATTAAGGGTTGGTGGTTTAGATTTGATTCACTAGCAACCACTTCCTATCGAATGTTCATTTCTTTGGCTGTTGGAAAAAACCATTGACTGACAACATTTAAAGAAAAAGAGGTCACGTGATTTTGTGGTTGCAATTATTGATCAACACATTAACCACGTTCATTTGAAACCTTAAACGTCATGAGTAAGATATTATACAGTGGCTAGAATTATAAAATAACTAACATTGGGCTAAATTTCAATATGGGTAGCAACAATTGAATGCCATTAATTAATTCACCTGGATAAATTAGCCGTATATATGTATATATACAGCTGGTGAGAAGACAGTTATGAATTAGCAACTTAGGTCAGCTCAAATTCAAAACAATAGACTTATCTGATAAATAAATGGTGACACCTGTTTGTAATGTTTTGTTTACGAATTTCAAGATGTTCCAGTTTGATCAAACTTCTCCCAGAGACTAGGGTAATTTTGTTGCAAAATTATGGAGAATCTCAAAAAGAATAAATTCCTTCTTATGAACCCAAAACAAATAAATCAACTTACTTTCAAAATGGAATCATAGATAAGTACTATATAAATATATTTTCCTTATTGACTAACCACTGTATTGCAACAATATTGAATCATTCACAAATATCAGTTGTGAGTGATCTAGTGCTAGGCCTCTTTAAACACATAATTTTCCTTGAAAAAAAGCGTCCGAGATAGTTTAGTGGCTAGAATTACCGTTTGTCGCATGGTAGACCGGGGTTCAATTCCCCGTCTCGGAGCATTTCCCTAAGCGCAAATGGTTTAGTGGTAAAATCCAACGTTGCCATCGTTGGGCCCCCGGTTCGATTCCGGGTTTGCGCATTCTTTTTTGGATATTAAAACTACCTTATATCTAGTAAGCAAAGGTTGTTAAATCTTTTAGGAGGGTAGGTTTGATTATAGTTTTGCCGTTATTTCATTTCACTGTTCGATGTGCGGATTAATTTTTCTGTTGCTAATAGCCGAGCCAAGTTTTGTTGATGTCGATACAAGTACTAGTTTGCCAAGGAATCAGTAACCTGGGCAATATTACGTAGATTAAAGTTTGCCAGGTTTTTAAGGGGGGGGGCATCCCTACTCCCCTTAGATGTAGTTCAATGCTAAAGAAAGCACCAGCGCTAATATCTTACTGCGGCAAATTGTTCCGCACTTGATCATTTGCGACCAGACATCGAAAAAAAAATCTAAAATCGGAGTTTGTGGGCATTGAACTAAAAATCAAGAACCCATCAATCACGATGGATACGTTCAAAGACAAACCTACACAGAGACCAGTATCACCATGGTGGAAGCTGTTTAAACGCAATTGGGAATATAAAGTTGCATTTTTCATAGGGATATATTTTCTTATTTCTCATGTCATACTAGAAACTACCGATCATACTCGAGAACGTGGTTTGAATAACCACCTTCGTGTGCTCCCACAAGAAGTCATTGAACATTACGATGCAACCAGAGAATTTGATAATGCTGATTTCAATGTTGAGAAGTTTGCATATGTACAATATGCTACAAATTATGATTATTTAAACTTGGCAATTCTTAATTTCATTCACTTAAGAAAATCAGGAACCAAGATCCCTAACTTGGTGATTATATACGACCAAATCCTTCAATTTGTGGCTTCAGATAAATGGAGTGATTTGTACCAAATTGCAAATTATTACAAGATTAAAGTCAAGTCAGCGCGATTGCTAGTGGCAAGTTATAGTGACACTTCAAGCTGGGCAGCTTCGTTTACAAAATTTCATATTTTCAATCTTGAAGAATATGAGAGAATTGTCTATTTTGATTCTGATTCCATGTTTGTTAATGTTCCTAAGTCTGGTGATATCGACTTTAACACACTTAATAACACATATTCCAATATCGATGAGTTATTTAAATTGCCCCGGGAAATATCGTTTGCCTTGCCCCAGGCATATTGGTTAAACAATGTGGTTGAAGGAAAAGGACAATTGAAAGCTAAGAAGAAAATAGAAATCCCTGATAAGAGAAGACATAATCTTCGAATGAAGAAACTCGTCAACGATATAAAGAGATGCGGTGATCCTAGTCGAGAATTTGAATTGTTACCTCAGTTGTTGTATGAACAACATAAGTTTGACAATTTTGACAATTTCTTTGCTAATCATGTTATGGTGATCACACCATCGAAGGCAACATTTAAAAGGTTAATGAAATACGTGCATAATCCTTGGTATTGGAGTTTCACTAATAGAGCCAATGTCAAGAAAGGCAGTGATTACGACATGGAAATCCTCAATAAGTTTATTGATAACGAATTGAGAAAAAACAAGCACGATTATAAGTTTGCGATTTTACCACATCGTGTTTATGGAGTTTTAACCGGTGAATTCAGAGAAGAATGGCATGAACGATTTGTTGTAGAGCCTCAATATCTTCCATTTATTAAAAAGAAGTCTAATAAAGGATGGGAACCCATGGAAATATTCAGAAGTCTTAAGATGATACATTTTTCCGATAGTCCGATCCCTAAACCTTGGGAAGATGAAAATAACTACGACCCATACAATACTAAAAAGATATTCTGTAAGGATGGAGATATGGAACAATACAATGAACAGTTTCCCTCGGAATTCAAGCCACGATTAGTAGAAGATTGTGCTAGTGTTGACATTTGGAACTGGTTTAGAAAAGAGTACTTTAAACAAAGACAAGGGTTTTGGTTTTCCGATTAAATAGCATTTAGTAGTTAAGAATAAACTTTTGAAACCGGTCATAACGGACGTTAGATGTGCAATTATGCCTCGCTGCAATGCGACGCGCCTTAAGTTTCTAAATTTAGGTTGCTGCCTAGTAAAGGAAAAAAAAATTAAAAAATATGAAACACCGAGAAAAAAAAAATCCTTCCTAAAGCAAAAAATTAGTTACCACATTACATTGGTAGTATCAACAGAATACCACTGATATACATTCCACTCTATTCGAAACAAGTCGCTTTTTCCACTACATCCATCAACTAAAGTGCCAGAAAGCTTAAAAAGATCACATCTATTTGGATATACCCTGACCGCTATTCGGATTATTGACACCACGCACAACCGCCTAAGGAGATCAACAATTGACCATTTTGAAAAAGTTTGTTTCATCGCTCATTTTAAGTGTACATTTGCATAAAAAAGTTTGATTATATCACTAGAAACCATGTCTGAACCTACTGTAACCGTTTGGGAGGCCGTTGCCACTGGGCTCGTACAACGAGATGATATGCCTAAAGTGCAGGATATGCCATCCTTGGTAAATCAAAACAGTTTCACAACCCCAGCAATCTCTATTCCATTAAGCAGTAATAATCCTTTCATAATAAGACAGAACAATCCTACAGGTACCGTGTTTATTGCAGTGGGGGCTATTGTTGGTGCTATCTTGTTGGGTTTTATGTTGTACCATTTGATTGTTTCTATTACCGCATCTAGATTAGCCAAGAGAACCAGGGCTTCTGATAGACAAATGTACGAAAAATACGAAAGCAATAATAACCAAGCTTACGGTGTTACTCCTACATCTACCCTTAACAACTTCAACACTGAATACCTGAACTCGGTATCCAAATTACCATTGTTGTCCAATACTAATAGAGCCATGTCTTCGTTTATCAACATTAATGGATCACAAGCTGGTGACGCTTCTACTATTTCTGAAGCCCAACATCAAGCAACTTCCAAACATGATTTGACTAAGATGTTTATTTCTCCAACAGCCGAAGTTATGCAACATAAGAGGGTAAGATCGTCGTTCAATCCTTCATTAACTCATTTACCATTCGGAGCTTCCAATACCAATTTGACCAACACTAGACACTCACAAATTCCTAGCTTATACATAAACAATAACAACAGTGACTACTCTGTTAGTCAACAGGATTCTGAAGCAAATGCTTCTAGCCAAACTGCTGCTGCTTTGACTCAACAAACTGGAAGAGCTAACAGAAGAGCACTTCCTTCTATGTACCTTGAGGATTTGATTGACAAAGAATAGATTATTTTTTATAGTTAGATTGTTCCATAGTGTTTGAACATAGAGAATTGTTTTTTTTTGGTATATATTGTCTGTAGTGTGTTGCAAACACGATTAAGTAATCAGTATGAACTAGTACAGTCGTCATAGTGTCAATTGTGTGGAAATCAGTATACTTCAATACGTACGTACTTACCTCATAAGCAGCATAGCCACCTCGCTAATCATACAGATTGCTGATAAAAGCGCCACTAAATCAAGGTTGAAAAAACAACAAACAAGAAATTTCTATTGTTCGTCTACCGCCGTATTTCCTTAGTTGGGCAACAGCTTTTTTTTTTGTCCCTCTCCACCGCGACCTCGCCCAAATTTCCGCGATCTGGCTAAAAGTCCACACTACGAGAGTAGGAAAAAAAAACGATTGTCTCAGCACAGACCGAAACGAACAAGAAAAAAAAAAAGAAATCTGTAAACAACAGAAATCAACTTCGTCACTGACAATCGTCTTATCAGGTACTTTTTATTTCCTTGCAACGATTTATCCAATCCTTCCAACTTATACAACCATCGCATCTTGGAAGATATACTTGATTCGTTTTTTTGTTCTTTCCACTTTAGACTAATACATTTGTGATAGATCCAAAACACCACCAAGCCTTGGGTAAATTATTCAAATTTACAACCGACTGAACTATACCCCAAAAAAGACAATAGAAAACTATAGATCCTCTAGACGACTATTGCTATCAGTTTTATATTTGTGACTTTGACTTTATAACGGAATAACTGCCGAAATCCAAACGATCTAATTATAAAATCTACCACATATACACATACTACGCCCTTTTTTCGTTGCGATTACCTAAATTATAAAAACAATCAATATGGGACTTTGCGGTGGTTCACAAAAGACAAGTAAGTAATTATTTTCATGAGAATCTTATCATTGGTAACAATTGTACTAACTCATTTCTAGTTCAACGTAAAATTGTCATTCTAGGAGATGGTGCCTGTGGTAAGACATCACTTTTGAATGTCTTCACTAGAGGTTACTTTCCACAAGTTTACGAACCTACAGTTTTTGAAAATTATGTGCATGATATCTTTATCGATGGACAGTCGGTGCAATTATCATTATGGGATACTGCTGGACAAGAAGAATTTGACAGATTACGATCTCTTTCTTACTCAGACACCCATTGTATAATGTTGTGTTTTTCTGTGGATTCACCTGATTCTCTTGAAAACGTACAATCCAAGTGGGTAGGAGAAATCGCTGATCATTGTGAAGGTGTCAAGTTAGTCTTGGTTGCCTTGAAGTGTGATTTAAGGAATAACGAAGACTCGGAGGATTTCCGTGCCAGTACTGCTTATAATACCCATTCATCCAACCCATATGGAAACAATTCAAACATATATCAACAACAAAAAAGATCAATTTCTTATGACGAAGGGTTGGCTGTTGCAAAAAGAATTGGAGCATTAAGATATTTGGAATGTTCGGCGAAAAAGAATCGAGGTGTTAATGAAGCATTTTCTGAAGCAGCCAGATGTGCCCTTAATGCAAAACCAAAGGGAGCCAATGATAATGAACCTGACAAGAAAGGCTGTGTTGTTATGTAGAGCCATATAAATATGAATTAGACTTATATCCTTTACTTTAACTTTTTGGTTGTAGATAACTTTCGTATATTACTCTATGTACAAATGATTACTTTCTAAACGGATTGCTTAATAATTCCTTACGTTGATCCCAAATATCCTCGGAACTACCGGCGGCCTTGTCTTCAAGGACCCTCTTTCTGAAAAACTCTTGGATTTTAAGTCTAGTGTTCAACTCCTTTTCAGTCAACTGATCGTCTGGTTTATTATTATCAGTGAAGCCACCATGCTTCACAGCAAACCAAAACTTTTCACGCTGTCGTTCACACACATCATAAGTTCCATATCTGTAATAATGTCTTAATTGACCACCAAGCGCGAAACATTCCAATACCTCATCTAATGCCGTGGTGACTTTAACGGTGCTGGGATAATCAAGGGTCTTGTCATCGTGAATGGCCTTGGTTAATGTCTTACGTCTTTGTTGTATTTCTTCTGGAGAGTCTTGGAACAACTTCCATACTTCTTCAAGCTCCTTGTCGTTATTATCGCTCATTTTATTTGATAAAAAGATATAAGTTTAACACTCTTCTTCTCTCAAATTAATTTTTAAAAAAAAATTAGACTAATCAATCTATCAATTGAAAAAAAAATAAGTGGAATGAAATTGAATGCCTTCAGCCAGATTCGAACTGACGATCTCCTCATTACTAGTGAGGTGCCTTACCAACTTGGCCATAAAGGCTTTTCTTGCTTCAAAAGTTTTTCAAATTGAGTGCGGATAATATTTAATCACGTGCATTTCGTATTTTCGGTTCTATCATATACTTACTAAATTTTAAATGCACGTGATTGGGCTCTCGGATTTGTTCACGTGATATAAGATTAAAGGATCTGGTTCTGGTTTCTATATTTATAAAAATGGTCTATATTAACAGTATACTAACTACAATATATCTAAATTAGCTTTTGGCTTTTTTAAAATCTTTTTTTGACTTTTGGTTGAGAGACCAGGTTGTTCCCATTTATGTGAATTTTTAACCAAATATTAGTAAAAATTTCCCTATTTTCAATGAAATTTGAAAATGTAGCTTAAAAGTAAATCTTTACAAAACACATCACCCAAGTAATTTTTATATATGGGACAAATCCCATAATCCATTTCAAATCCAATGAGATATATATATGGGTATCTCTTCAAGTTTGAAAGAACTCCAGTTTGGCTGCTAAATTCTCTACTGAAAAAAAAATCGCCCATTCACACGACCAAAGTTCTGAAAAAATCGAAGAAATTTTTTTCAATATAGATTGGACTCTCTGTAACACCATTACAAACATAGCAAACCAAATACAGAATGTTCAGCATAGGACAAAGCTCGATGCTGAAAGCAGCTTTCTTCAATGGAGCTAAATTTACCAATTTTGTTCGTGGAATAGCAAATTTGGGATTCTTACAACCAGCCGAAGGATCCACTGCTTATGTCAGACGTGTGGGTCGTGGTGCCTCGTCTGGAAGAGGTAAGACTTCCGGTAGAGGTCACAAGGGTCAGAAGGCCAGAGGTAGTGTTCCTGTATGGATGGAAGGTGGTCAAACTCCATATTTCAAGAGATTCCCAATGACTGGGTTCAACAGAGCACATAGAAAAATATATCATGAATTGAATTTGGAAAGAATTCAAACTTTCTGGGATAATGGAAGAATTCCATTGAAGGAAGGTGAAACTTTGACTATTAAGGTCATGAGAGATAGTGGATTAATTACCGGTAACTTAAAGGATGGTGTCAAGATTTTAGCCAACGGTAAGAATGATTACAATGTTCCTTTAAGTGTCGAGGCTTCTAAAGCATCTGATTCTGCTATCAAGATCATTGAAGGATTAAACCAAACCTTTACTTCTAGATACTTCACCAAGTTATCATTGAAGGCTCATGTTGACCCAGATTACTTTTTATTGAGAAAAGGATATGTTCCAATACCTGCTAGACCAACTCACAAAAGAGACATTAAATATTATTCCAATCCAGATAAAAGAGGTTATTTATTAAATGACAGATCATTGTTATTAGATCACATGGGTCGCCCCACTCATGCTAGAGTTGTTAAAAAGTCCAAGACCACATTCAAAGATCTCTTAGATGCTGCTTCTACATCCAGAATAGAATCCACCCAAAAGAGAGTTCGTCTTGCTGACCTTTAAATAGTTTTACTTGTAAATAAATATAAATACACATTCAAATAACAATGCTATATAACCGGGACTTCCACATCTACAAATAATTCTAAAAGGTTTTCCACAATAACTTGGATGTCGTTCAACCTTATGGGAGTCTTTTTCTGTGCACTCAGTTTGTTAAAATTGTAGTTGTATTTTCGAAGGGCAAACAACGCCGCCTTGTAGGTCATTTGATGTATTTCCTTGATAGTCAACTTGTCATTAAAGGATTCAACCATATTAGCTGAGAGTCCTCGCATTCTTAATCCAGAAAGAATAATTTTGTTAATGGCAGTATTGATTTGTTCTTGGGTAGTAAGGGTCAGTGAACTTGAACTTACATGCAGAGACTGACTAGTACTTACCAAGAAAGGGTTTGGTTTCAATTTCTTCTTTTCTAGTACTTTGTCAAAGATGATGGAAGACAGTGTACGTTTTGCTTTTGTTATTACATTTGAAGTTGTAGTCTCACTAATCAAGCTATCAAGTTTAGATATATTCCCGAGATTTAGTATCAATGCTTTAATTTGTTCCGATTGTCGTTCAAAGTAGAAAGCAAGGTAAATGTCGTGGGCTGCATGAACCAACAAACCCAATGTATCATTGTTGTCAAGTAGCGAAAACCTTAGTAAATGCTGCTTAAAATAGGTGTTAGTATTTAGATCATTTGAAAAGACAGCCAACGACTTTCCAAATAACAAATACAACGGTATGCGAGTAACTTTAATATAGTGTGGTGATTGAAATAATTGTGCAGTAGGAATCAACTTTGGTAACTCTTTTGCCACGGTAACATCGTCAGTCCATAGCTGAATATCGTCGATAGTGTGGCCAGATTGGCTTTGAAATCGGATAGTAGTAACTTGATTCATTCAAATACGCTATAAACCTTTGATAGAGACCATATTCTAGTGGTGAATCAGGTTGTTTTGACGTGTCATGAAAAACAGCTGTTGTTTGTGTCGCAAAAAAAAGCCAAGTGTCGCAACAAAACTGTGGAAGTGCAGCATCAAATTTTTGGACAGCAAAAAAAATTTGAAGTTTCTTTTTTTTCGTTGGTGCTGGATTCCCATGAAATGGGCTTACAGAAAAAAATGGCAGGTTAAAGTTATCTCTTATCGATAACACTACACAAGCGTTTTCAAGACAAGTGGGTAGTTCTTTTGGAGTAACCGACACTTCCTTAAGTAACTAGATATAGGATTCATAGTCTCACCTGTGATTAAAAACTCAACGTCCTGTGGTTTGACCATACTCCCGCACTCCCACCAGATAAGACCAACATTTATTTTACGCCTTGTCATCTTAGAGAATAATATCGACAAAAACAAATAATTACTTGTTCAAATCCAAATAGTTCGTTGGATACTCATTGTTATAGCTAGATATAAAAACAAGTTCCAGTTTTCTTTTTTTGCATCATGATTAGTACCCGTGTATATTCTACGGCCAGAGTTTATGCCGATGTCAATGCCAACAAGCCACAAGAATATTGGGATTATGAAAACCACAAAATACATTGGGGGGATATTAGAAATTATGAAATCATCAGTAAAATAGGCAGAGGAAAGTATTCTGAAGTGTTTCAAGGTGTTAATGTTTTGAATGACGAGCCATGTGTTATCAAGGTATTAAAACCAGTCAAGTTGAAAAAGATTTATCGTGAAGTTAAAATATTACAAAATTTAACCGGAGGTCCTAATGTCATAGGTCTTCTTGATATTGTGAGAGATGAACAGTCCAAGATTCCTGCATTAATCTTTGAAAGAATTAGCAATGTTGACTTTAGAGTGTTGTATCCTAAGTTCACCATCAAAGACATTCAATATTACTTTACCCAATTATTAATTGCATTAGACTATTCTCATTCAATGGGGATAATTCACAGAGATGTTAAACCTCAAAATATTATGATTGACCCTCTATCCAAAAAGTTGAGATTAATTGATTGGGGATTGGCTGAATTTTACCATTCTGGTATGGATTATAACGTTAGAGTAGCATCAAGATACCACAAGGGACCAGAATTATTAATTAATTTACAACAATATGATTATTCACTTGATTTGTGGTCCGTCGGGTGTATGCTTGGAGCAATTATTTTCAAAAAGGAACCTTTATTTAGAGGAGACTCGAATAATGATCAATTGGTTCAAATTGCAAAAGTTTTAGGAACAGAAAATCTTATGAAATATGTACAAAAGTATGGATTAAAATTAAGCCTGGATTACGACGACATTTTGGGCAATTACCCTAGGAAACCTTGGAAATCGTTTATTAACAACGAGAATAGGCACTTGATTAGTGAAGAGGTGCTTGATTTAATTGATAAGTTGTTAACTTATGACCATCAATTGAGACCTACCGCTAAAGAAGCAATGGACCATCCATTCTTTAAGATATAGATACTTAATATACATTCTTAATGAGTAAACTTAAACCTAAGTTTGTAACAAACAAGACAGTGCTCAGTTGCTGCCTTGTTGTCCTCTCCCCTCTCCTTGCAAACTTTAATTCAAAGCGTAGCTTATGGCTAGTAGAAATGAATCCGCGCTACCATACGTATCTTCAATTTTAACCGCTGTATAAAGTCCAGAAAATTGAATCCTCGAAGTAATTCCGATGACCATAAAGCACAGATCACCACCATGTCTAGTGAATTAAAAATTGATGACCCATTAACGTCAAATGTGCGGCCAGCAACCGATTCATTAATCACAATTCGTATCATCAAATCATTCCCATATAGAAATGTCAAGAACTATATTATTAAAGACATTGATTTGAAATCAACTACCCCCAAGCAATTATTGGAAAATATCAAGAACGTGATAAATACCACTGGAGCATTAAGACCATACAGGAATATCGAATATGATTCTCTCAAAATTTATACCAAAGCCCACGGCACTAAATCTATGCATTTGGTTATCAATTTTGAAAATGATGAGGAATGGGTGTTGGTGAATAACGAAGTTAAGGGTGATTCTACATCTTTATGGGATTTAGGAATTCAAAATGAAACTGAGGTTAGCTTGTTCAATTGGAATGACTATGTTGCTTACAAAGCTAACCCTGAAGAAAAGTGGTAAGATGTGAAGTACAAAACATTTAGTGTAAATATTAAATCTATAGTAATATTTATAAAGCTACAAAAAAGTGAAAAATCACAGTTGAATGGTTTCTTCAAAGTAGAATTTATGTTGTTAAAGATATCTACCAACTAGCAAATACAAATTACTCCTTGTTATAGCCATGTTCTTTACTATGTACCTTCAGGCAAAGTTTCATTCACAAGCTGAAAATTATAAGCTGGAGGTCGTTCTATTAATATAGGGATTAAACCAAGATATGCTTTGTTTTCAACATAATTCCATGAAATCTTAGCATTAGACAACCAGTCTTGCATTGGTATTCTAATACCACACTGGTTATAAGTCAAGTGTTCATTTATCATTAGGCGTTGTTGAAGATTTGCAACATCTCTACTGTAATGATTATATCTAACTCCATGAAAATCAAATTGAAAGTGACCTTTAAACCTCTTAGTTCGTGAACACTCCTATCAAACTTCAAGAATTGTATTTCTGATTTCATAGCTGATAACTCCAGGGCACAGAAAGACAAACTACTATTGTTGCTTGTGGGTCATGGTAATGATGCCGTCTACCCCCTCCATTACCAAACACAGATAGTGTGCATCTGAATAGAATTTTTAACTATAGAATTATGTATTAACTGCTGCAGATTGTCAGCTGGTCTGGTATGTACAAGTTGTTGGACTTACAGCTTATATCATTTGTCATGCATCAAACCAAAAAGGGAGTAAAATGTTGATTAATTATAAAATACAACTGTAAACAAAAAAAGGAGGATTTAAACCTTTTTACACCCATTAATATAACCAGCCAATTCACATAAACTTACAGGTAATCCACCAGATATTTATGTTCCCAGCTTATTTAAACATGCACATATTGTGTGCAATATATCGCTTTGAAAAGAACGCTCAAATATCAAATTCGCCAAAGTGACTATAAGAATTGAAAATTGCCCAATTATACTTACTGCACAGTAGATTTTTCTTGTACAAGCTTCAGGTGATGGTTGAAGGTTTTGAAACTTCTCGCAATAAGGTATTAACTGGTAAGTAGCCTGCTTTAAATCGAATTGGCGAATACCGTTTCAAGCTGTATTCAATGTATATATTATAGAATTATTCAAGAAGAGAAACCAACTATATAGCATGGATATCCATCTGATCGTATGAAGCAACACAAAATTGGGTATTGGATTGGAAAGAACAATCATCTTGACGGGATCCGTTTTTTCTTGGTTGCAAATATTGTTAGCTGCAAATATGACACACAAAGGAAAAAAAAACAAGGCGTGTCTTACTATCATTGGCTAATTATAAACATATTAAACCACAACTAATAGTTAGCCTAAGAGTGTACTAATATATAATCAAAGCAGACGTGAAGCTCTCAATTCTTTTAGCGAAGAATTCCTCCATCCAGTTCAACTTTTAATGTTTTGAGAGATGAATGCTTGATATAAAAAGGTAACCGCCCTATACAAACATCAAGATATGGGTTTTTTGCTAAATTAACCTATGAGAACAATATGGTTTCGTTTAAAAATTCGCTTACACTTGAGTTATTAATTGTTTTCCACTTTAGTGAGATTATTCTGGCTTGGGGAACAAAAAATTGCTCTAGTTCTTTCTCCGGAAAAATATATTGCTCATTCTTGGCATAATATGGAAGCCGCCTTTTTTTTTACAGTCAATCCTACCAATCAAGCACATAGCGCATTAAAACTTGCAATAAAACAAAGATCATGGATATGGTCTTATTTTTATTACACCAAGTATAAATAACTCTAATTATTCCCATAGAAGTTGAAAAAGTGATTCCTTAGCAACTACATTCACTACAGTCCCAATGAGAGTTTTTTTGTTTCTGTCTATTTTCGCAGCCATAGTTGCTGCTCATGATATGGCTGCTATGTCTGGAGAACATGCTGGTCACGATATGGGCAACATGGCAACATCTAGCACTACAGATGCTGTATCCAGCGCTACTTCTAGTACGCACGATATGGCTGCTATGTCGCATGATCATGCTGGTCACAATATGGAATCCATAGCTACAACTAGTGATCATCATCACCATACCATAGAATCAACTGTGTCATCTTCAGCTGGAAATGAGACAGCAACTATTACCAGTCAATTTGAAAATGGTGCTGGATTGATCCTGATTGGAAGCACCGCTCTTTTCCTTTTGGCGTGGTCATTGGTTTAAGTGCACAGGATACTCCTAGTTTGGCTTTAGCCTATTTTGTTAACAGTATATAAAAAAATATGCCTAATAAAAAATTCTTTTAAAAACTATTGAACCTTTGTATACACAATTTTCTACACTCATCCAATTTGTGAACTTAAGGGACAGCTAGTTGTATCAAACTTCAACTGTCCCATCTAAAGCAGAGAGATTAGACAAATTATAACAAGCTATTGCATTTTCTATTGTTTTGGTGTATAATATATTAAGTTATCTATAAAGAAAGTTTTATTTGGCTATTCAATGAAACACGTTTGTTACTAGGCTCATTTACTTATTGCAGCTTTTTCACAGGAACAGGTAATTGCCTTGGTACCCAATATGTATTTTGAGGATTGGACATAAGAAGAAAAGTTTCATACCACCCAGAAATCCCATTAATCATACCAATTATACCGCCAGCACGGAACAATGGAGCACTATTAGTGAAATATGCAATTGAAAGTACAGTCACCGTTAAATCTAAGGTGAAAATAAAGAAAATAAATGTGTATGTAGTCTTGAATGTGAAACTTAATAATCCAGTGGTCAATATAGCATACCCAAGTAATAGAAACCCCACTCCTTGATACAATTGCTCGGGATGATCTTTATATGCTTCCAAAATACCAAATCCAGGGGTGTAAATTGCCCCAAAGGTTAACCAAAACGCACCAAAACTGCAAAATGCAGTATATCCAAATGTATTACCAGTTACAAAACACCAACACCCCGATAAAAATTGCAATAACCCGCCAATAAAATAGTACCCACATACAGCCAAATTCGTAAAACTCATTTCACAAGCCAAATACGTTCCCAATATTAGGACGTTAAAGGATGTACTGAATAAACCCAAACATTCAGCTTGTCCATATTTTGTAGTTTTAGTGGGCACTGGTGCTAACCCACTCAATGCATGCATTAATTCATGTCTGTAGTATTTTTGATTTCCCAATATGACGAATTCATTACCATCACCGGTGATTAAACATTTGCTGGCAGAATTGGCAGTTAAAGTATGGCAAATTTCAGTTGTATATTCTTCTTTGTCGGACATATTTCTTTGGCTATAAACAATAGATATTGTTGTAAACAGATATGACCAGCTTATTCTATTAGAATTTTAGGTAAACTGGAGAATCATTCTTATATATTTCAAGCGGTAAACACATGATGTTACACTTTCTACAAAAAAATTTTAGCAGCTAAAAAAAAACAACAGCACTGCCTTGGCTGATTTAAAAGAAAGTGCAAATCCGGTTTACGGAGGGGGTAAACTTTAAAAAAATTAAGATAAATGAAAAATTCCAGCCGGACTCAGTCGATGAACGTAAAATTACCATTGTTTATTCCCGAGTTAGCTCAGATGATTGTTGTAATTAGACTTGGTTGCAATTTTCCAGTGATCACCACACGCGCAAAAAAAAGTAGGTTACATTTCTTGGTTGATCTTGTTGTGAGGTTTCATCAAGGCGTTTCCGCATACATCAAAAGAAAAAACGTTCTTTTCCTAATATCTTTTAGCGGATAACCAGTATATTATTCTGATATGAATAGAGAACGCACCAGAACGCACCCTTGGCAACTGTGATGAAGCTGCTGGGTAATAGTTGCTTTCATTTTCATGTCTATGATGCTATAACACCACGCTACCAAGTGTCAATACAAGGAGATATCGGCAAACTGAAAAGAATAAGGTGCTTGTGCCTACCAAGTCTATGGTTACGTATACAGACCAGAGCGACGCTTTTCCTAGCTCCACGACGGGAGAGCGTCAAATTCTATTTGTGGACGGCTGGGAAGTGGTATGAACAGCAACACAAACAAGCATGGCGACTCAGCCTGGTCAGCGCAATGAGCATCCGTCAACTTTGTCTTTCATTAGTTCACACCATTAAAGGAACCAGCACAAACCATTTAGACGTGCTACCCATAGGTATTTGCAACCATTACTTGCAGTAAAGCTGGCGGGCCGCATCACGTGACCAAATCAACCACGACCAGAAAACCAGCCAATGATATCGAGGATGTTTATAACTAGTGGGGATTACATGCAGGATGCGCACAATGATTTCTCGAATTTTTTTTTCAGTGGTTTGCAATCCAATAGAAAAAAAGCCCATACAAACCAACAGAGCCCAAGCCAATACAGTGAGGTTGGTTTTTACTGGTGGGAAAAAAAAACTTCAAACCTTTGAAAATTCACAAACCTTCTTTAAGAACAATCTAGTTTTCCCAATCGTGAACAGACAATCGACTTCCCCAGTGTTGTAAAGTCATTCATAACATCGTTGAAGAACTCGTTTCACTTTTACTTATTTCAATTTTCAATTTTATTTCATTGTGTGTTTATACTCAATCAGTGAAATATACAAATCCCAAATTATAGATATAATTTATATACAATCTACCACCACTACAGGTTTACCTTTTGTATATATTTATACCCATTCACAAGTTCAATTGAGATAAGCGTTTGTTTTTCGTTTTTTTAACTATTCATATAAAGATATATCTCAGAAAATGTTCAGACTTGCATTCAACTCAGGAATGACCCAAAAGATCATTGCCGGTGGTGTTGGTGTTACTGGTTTAACTGCATCCTACTTGTTATACCAAGACTCCATGACCGCCAATGCCATGACCGCTGCCGAACACGGGTTACATCCTCCAGCTTACGGTTGGTCCCACAATGGTATGTTTGACACATTTGACCATGCCTCTATCAGAAGAGGGTTCCAAGTTTATAAAGAAGTTTGTGCTGCTTGTCACTCCTTGGACAGAATCGCCTGGAGAAACTTGGTTGGTGTTTGTCACAACACCTCTGAAGCCAAGGCCATGGCTGAAGAATTGGAATACGACGACGAACCAGATGACGAAGGTAATCCAAGAAAGAGACCAGGTAAGTTGGCCGACTACTTGCCAGCTCCTTATGAAAACGAACAAGCTGCTAGAGCTGCCAACCAAGGGGCCTTACCACCTGATTTATCTTTGATTGTCAAGGCCAGACACGGTGGTTGTGATTACATCTTCTCCTTGTTGACCGGTTACCCAGAAGAGCCACCAGCCGGTGTTGTATTACCAGTTGGTACCAACTATAACCCTTACTTCCCAGGTGGTGCTATTGCTATGGGTAGAGTTTTGTTTGATGACTTGGTTGAATACGAAGATGGTACTCCAGCCACTACTTCCCAAATGGCCAAGGATGTTACCACTTTCTTGAACTGGGCTTCTGAACCAGAACACGACGAAAGAAAGAAGTGGGGTTTGAAGGCTATCATTGTTGTTTCCTCCTTATACTTACTTTCCCTCTACGTCAAGAGATTCAAATGGTCTCCAATCAAGAACAGAAAGTTCAGATTCGACCCACCAAAGAAATAAGCCAAAGGCGAACCCTTGGAAAAAGACAACAATATCAAGAGTAAAACATAAAGTCATTTAATTCATATGTTCTTTTTCTTTGTAAATATAAAAGTTATATGAATTAGCTCATTCTTTCTGTTTGTCTTTTTCTTTAGACTGTCATTTTGTTGTCATCATGATAACATTGGTTGTTTTTTTATATAATATGCAGAAAAATACATATAATAATTGTTATTAGAAGATGTGTAGTAGCTGAATTCTCTAGTTATTTACGTAGAACTTTTTGATTAGCTGTATACATTTGTGAGTATTAACTGTTATTGTATTTCAGTCCAGGGCCCTGACAAGTCTATTTGCAACTATTTCATGGGGGGAGGAGATGCGTATAATTTTTTGTCAGACAGCATCATTAGCTCTATCTACTAGGGATGAGACACGACACGACACGATTTGAGAGTGACAGAGTATGTCTCGTCTGACTGTATTGTTGGCCAGGTATAATTGCTAACTAAGCCTCATTCTTGTCATAATTAGATCTTCCCTACATATATAATTTCAGGCACTTTCTGTAGGTCATATTTGTGTGGGTTACACCCTTTACCTGGATATACCCCTCCTCCCCTCTCCCTCCCCACAAACTCCAGATTTAGACTCGTATTAGTCTGTCAATAACTCGGGGCACCCAGGTGAAAACAAATACGGGTAGGCCCTGACAAGCATAAGGCACAATTTTCGGTGACACAATACGGAGAATAATAGAATGTCTCAACTGACACGGCGGAAAAATTACATAATCCGGCGCAGCCCACTAGCAAAGTTTTGCCATGAAACACAAAGTTCGCCGAAATTAATTTCATAAAACACGGCATTTCCAGACATTTATAAAATTAGACACTTTTCATACCACTTTTTTCTTGTTGTTTCAACCATAAACAATCATTTGATACGAATATTTGCAAATGGTGCAGCAGAATATACAAAATAAAGATACCAAGCAGAACGGTAGGGATACCCCTCTGGTAATGGACTATGTTGTGAAAAGCTCCGCGTCGTCCATCAAGTCCGGCACCTCTGAAGAGATGCTATTGGTGGGCCCTTCCTCAGTTGTTGACGCTACTTCGTTTGACATTTCCGACGACGATGTCAAACCTACAAAGACTGTGTTGATTTTGACCTTGGCATCGTCCATCTCAGGGTTCATGTTTGGTTACGACACTGGATACATCTCCTCAGCATTAATCCAAGTCGGAACTGACTTGTCTAACAAGATCTTGACGTCAGGAGAAAAAGAACTTATTACATCCGCAACTTCGTTGGGTGCACTTTTAGGCGCTATAGTCGGTGGGATCTTGGCTAACTTAATTGGAAGAAGAATGGTGTTGTTGGGATCCAATGTTATTTTTGTCGTGGGTACAATCATCCAGTTGGTTGCTCATACGGTATGGACCATGATTGCCGGAAGATTTGTGTTAGGTTGGGGTGTTGGTATCGGTTCGTTTATTGCTCCATTAATGCTTTCTGAATTGGCTCCTGCTAAATACAGAGGGAGATTAATCGTTACAAACGTCATGTTTATTACTGGTGGTCAACTTATTGCTTACTTAATCAACTGGGGGTTGACCCGGGTAGAACACGGCTGGAGGGTTTCCGTGGGGTTATGTATGATTCCACCAGTGTTCCAATTTGTCTTGTTCTGGTTCTTACCTGATACCCCAAGATTCTACGTTATGAACGGTGAAGTTGAAAAGGCCACGGATATTCTCAAGAAAATTCACAGGGACCCCTCCGATGAATTCATACAAGCCACCATTGAAGAAATGGTTTCATCAAACTCAAATGTTCCAGGAAGGGGCCCATTACAAAAGTCATGGGAATCCATCAAGATCATCCATAAAACCCCAGGAAATCTTCGAGCATTGATTCTTGCATGTGGATTACAAGGTATTCAACAGTTCACTGGTTTCAACTCGTTGATGTACTTTAGTGCTACTATTTTCGAAACTATTGGATTCAACAATCCTACCGCCGTGTCTATTATTGTTGCCGCTACAAACTTTGTTTTCACCGGTATTGCCATTTGTATTATCGACATAGTTGGAAGAAGAAGAATCTTATTGTTCGGTATCCCCTGTATGTGTATCTCGTTGGTGGTTTGTGCTATTGCCTTCCATTTCTTAAACGTGGACTTTTCCTCAGGGTCCGGTGTCATTGAATCCAGTGGCATCAGTGGATGGGGAATTGTCGTTATTGTCAGTATGGTGGCGTTTGTGGCTTCATATGCCATTGGGATCGGTAACTCAGCCTGGGTCGGGGTTGAGTTGTTTTCCGATGTTAATGTCCGTTCGGTAGGAGCTATGTACGCTGCAGGTACCAACTGGGCAGGATCCATGGTTATTGCAGCTACATTCTTGACAATGTTACAAAATATAACTCCAACCGGTACATTCTCCTTCTTTGCTGGATTATGTTTTGTCTCGTTCCTTTTCGTGTACTTTTTGTTACCAGAAACTGCTGGGTTGGAATTGGAAGAGACTACTAGTTTCTTGAGTGATGGGTTCAATGTCAAACAGGCATCGAGAATGGCTAGGGAAAGAAGACTACACTCAAAGTTTGCCAATAAAACCAGAACAGCATAGAGTAACTTAATAGACGTAACTAATTCTTAATATATAATACCATCATAGTAGCGTAATCCATGCCAGGTCGTGTGTGGTTTATTTTTCTGTCTGTCTGTTTGTTTGTTTGTCTGCCTCTGTCTGCGCAGTCCGCAGATGCTTTGTTGGTGAAATAAAATTTCTGTTCTGTTTTTGCGGACAGAAACTACAATAGACCGTTGAATCACTTTTACCACATCAAATACTAAAGCTTCTTGGCTAATTCATTTAGATTTTTGTACATTATCTTACCTCCTGTATTTATTTATATGCGCAAATGTCAGACATACGATTGCCGCGAGGAGAACCAGACCCTAAGAAGCGGAAGCTCAATATGCCACCACCGCCACCACCACCGCAGTCCAAAGGCCACATCAAGGAAATGGGGAGGTTGAAAGAGTACGAAGTGATAAGAAAGTTAGGTCAGGGGACGTTTGGAGTGGTGCAAAAGGCCAAGAGCAAGAAGACTGGCGATTTAGTTGCGTTGAAACAACTCATTAACCATTCGGCTAAGGAAGGCTTCCCCGTTACTGCCATGCGAGAAATCACGATTTTGAAACGGTTGGACCATAAGAATGTAGTAAAAATTGTTGAAATGATTTATGAAGAGCCCAAAGTGAATAACCCCGCCGATTTGATCACGCAGCGAGGGGCATTCTATACCGTGTCGCCATACATGTCAAGTGACTTGGTGGGGCTTTTAGAAAACCCCAACGTGGAGTTAGAACTCAACCAGATAAAGTGCTTTATGAAGCAACTCCTTGAGGGAATACAGTATATTCACGAACAAGGGTTCTTGCATCGAGACATAAAAGCAGCTAACATCTTGATTGATTTCAATGGGGTGTTGAAAATTGCCGATTTCGGGTTGGCGAGAACGTACCATGGGAAAATCCCCAAGCTTGGACAGGGACCAGGTGGTGGAGAGAGGGCATATACTGGATTGGTTGTCACTCGATGGTATCGACCTCCTGAACTTTTACTAGGTGAACGGAAATACACTACTGCTGTAGATCTTTGGGGGATCGGATGCGTGTTTGCAGAGTTGTTCACCCATAAGCCGATCTTGGTGGGGAAATCAGACGCACACCAGGCACAATTGGTGTTTGATTTGGTGGGACCACCATTGAACTGGCCCGAAGCGGCCAAGTTACCAAACAAAACAGATTTCAATATTGGACTCACATGCAAGCGAAGTCTAGAATCTCGATTCGAGAAGATCTTGCCTCCTACTGGGGTAGAACTCTTGAGTGGGTTACTAACTCTCGACCCTTACAAACGATTTAATGCGTTAGATGCATTAGAGCATGATTTCTTCAAGACAGATCCATTGCCAGCCAAGCCTGAAGATTTGCCCAAATTCGAAGAGTGCCATGAAATAGATAAGGAAAGATTTAAGAAGTTGCGAGAAACTAGCACCAATGCTGTATCAAATTTTGAGCTGAGGCGCACTTCAAATGAAGGAAAATACGTGAGTTATTTCTCCGATAGTGGTAAATTACCCCGGAACAATTCTCAGAATGACAGAGCTACAGATACGTACATTCCCAAGCAAAGGTCCAGCACTAATTTACCTGCTGGTGCTAAAGATTATCAGTCAAGACATTCTAACTATAGAGGCATTTCTGATCTGAACCATAGCCCACCTAAATCTAGTCCTACAAAAGCACTCCCACTGAAGCCAAGTTTTTCCGGTCCAACAACCCAGCCATTGAGTTCCGAATTACCCAAGAAACCCAGTTCGTATCCGGATTATTCGGAGCGAACCAGAAGTGGTGCCCCGCCAGTAGTACGAGGAGTGGGGACAGTGGCAAATATAAGGAACCAAACCAGCTCTTTAGTGAAAAAACAAGAAGAGTCGACACCTGTTGTGCCCAAGAAACCTGCGATTAATATCTTTATGAAGAAACCCAATCGGCAACTAAGCGGAGGATCACCCATTATTAATCACCTAATCAAGAAAAAGAAGACGATCCTGGATCCTGATCCGGATAGTGACTTGAGTGAGGTGGAGAATGACATATCCAAGAAGGATGAAGCTTCATTAGATGGGTTTTTAGATGTGCCTAGCTTCAAGATGGACATTGAATATCGAAAGTTGAGTAATGAGAAAATCAAGTACTTGAAGTCAGAAAAGAAGACATAAGTTATATAGAGCATGCTACATAGTGAATGTTACATCAACCGGCGTAATTATTAGCTCACTCGCCACCACTTTTTTGTGCCGCGCGCATCCGACACCGACACGGAGGACCCCTCCGGAAATTGACATTTCCGCGCTGCTTACTGATCTTTTAGATAATCGTTGGCGCTCCATATTTTCCCACGCTGAAAATTTTGATCCCAACCGTTTTCTTTACAGTGCTACCTTTATTACCTCCAACATAGGGTATTTTATTAGTTTTAATTGTTAGTTTGACCTAGCACAATGATCAGTATCGAAGAATATTTTTCCGTGCAAGCATTCCTTATAATCTTGCGAGAGACCCTCGAGTCGGCAATTATCATTTCAGTGTTGCTCGCCTTTCTCCACCAGACCTTCATCGGGAAAGCCAAAGTCACCACAGAATCAACCGATATCATGTACCAAAGCACTGAGGCAGTGGAGATTGTCAACCCAGATGAGACCGAGGTCGAAGTGCCTGATCTCGCCTTGTACAAGTCGCTAAAGGTACAAGTTTGGATTGGTGGGTTGCTCGGGATCGCGTGTTGCTTGGTCATTGGTGCGGTTATATTAGCTGTGTTTTATATTTTGGGGAACGACTTGTGGGCCATTGCAGAACATTATTGGGAAGGCACGTTTTCGATCTTTGCCAGTGTAATTATTTCGGTTATGGGGATCAAGATCCTTCGTGTCAATAAAATGCAGGAAAAGTGGAAGTATAAATTGGGTAAGATCTTCAATAGATCGGGGTATTTGAACGTTAATAGAGGCAGTATACTCAATAGGAATGAGAGTTGGGTAAGCAAACTTGAAGCTTTAGCTGAAAAGTATAATATGTTTATTCTTCCATTTGTTACTACTTTAAGAGAAGGTATGGAGGCAATTGTATTCCTTGGTGGTATTGGAATCAATGAAAACACATCTGTACTCGCCCTTGTGAATTCGGCTATAGCTGCACTCGTTATTGGGTCTAGTATTGGGGTGGTATTGTACAGATCAGGAAACACGCTTTCCTTACAGTGGTTCTTGGTCAGTTCTACATGTTTCTTGTACTTGGTTGCTGCTGGATTATTCTCCAAAGGTGTTTGGAATTTTGAATTGCAAAGTTTTATTAATTCGTGTGGTGGATTAGATGTTAGTGAAACCGGCCATGGACCAGGTTCTTATGATATAAACAGAAGTGTATGGCATGTAAATTGCTGTAATGGAGAAATGCAAGAGGATGGAGCATTCTGGATGATTTTCACTGCAATTTTCGGATGGACCAATTCCGCCACTTATGGAAGTGTGATTGCTTATAACATTTACTGGGCGGTAGTGATTACTGTGTTTAGTGCGTTGATCTACGAAGAAAAACATGGGTATTTGCCATTGATTCCAGTTTCATGGCAAGCAAGAAGAGCTCGTAAGAGAAATTACCAAGCACTTGAATCTGATGCAGAACCTAGAGTAAGTACATCCTCTATCAACTCGGAAACTCCATTGAAATGATTCATTAAAAAGTATATAGCTATATTGTGTAAGGAAAAGACATCTTTTGGTTGAACACATGTCTCAGTAAACCTTTACCAACTACAAGCTGAGCCGAAGGCTATGGACACTGTTCTAACTAGTTTCAACTTTTGTATGAAAAAAAGTATATCATATGTATTGGCATAAGCACCAGCACCAGCACTAGCACCAGCACTAGCACCAGTACCAGCACCAGAACGAGCACGGTAAGTGCAAAACAGCTGCTTAGTCTTCAAACATTTCATCTACAGAAGCACCCAAATATACCTTTAAAGTCTTTCTTGTGGCAGGCATAATTCCGCATTTCACCAAAGTTGGTTCTTTTGATTCTCCATCGATACGATCATAAGCTTGGAAACGATGACATCCACCAAAGGCAAAGTAATAGTTTTTTCCTGACTCCCTTACTTTAAATACATCAATAGGTGGCAATTCTCCCGAAGTTATGTCTTCAACTTTACAAGTTGCTGAGGCCATGGGTTTCCCGTTTAGGGTAGAGACCATAGCATCGATCTTCTGATAGTCCAACACTGGAGGGATGGGTCTTCTGATTTGGTCCAAGGGTACGTATTCTATTTTAAGTTGTCTGTTCATAGCAGTATTGATGTAGAAGACAACAAATATATCTTAGGGAGAGCTCATGTGGGATCTGGTTGAATTTATACTCGCGATAGTTGCTTCGATGTCCTCTATGTCAGCAAGCAATTGTTCCAGAATTCGCATTAGTAATTTTTTTGTGGTCACAGCACTAAATAATATGTCATCACAAACAAATACGACACTTTTGCCTAGGACAGAATATGCAAGGGCTTTGTTTCGGGGTCTGCAGTTATTGAAGAAACTATTCTTAGAGGAATATCTACAGCTTTACCTGGTTGTATCGGGCTGTGGCTGGCGGTTAAAAGTTTAAGGTTGCGGCTGGTGCCCCATCACGTGCATTAAGCATCAAAAATATTTTATCAATTTGATCAGTTTTTCCGCCTCTAGAAAAAGCCGAATCTCGCATTTCAACGGCCGAGTAAATCTCAAAATCCGCTCGAAGCGGAAATGCAGGACCAGAGATCATATGGTCAAGGGGTGAGCTTCAAGTTTGGATAATTTGTAATCACCTTTCTTTATCTTGATCTGCAAACTCCGATATCGTTTCAGTCTAGCGAACCCCCTAACAAGTGGAACCACCAACTGAATTAGCGACACAAACTCAACCGTCAAAAAAAAAAAAGCGCCGTGGAAATTTCCAACATTTCCGTAGATCAAAAAGATAATTTTTACCAATTCAACACATCAAAACAAACAATTAGATCTGGTTCCTTTGTTGATCCTATTTGCATCTAGCATGTTCCCTTTAGCTATCTACACATCAATAGTGCTATTGATCCTTCTACTACCGTTTCAACTCACCAGATCAAAAGGAATATTACACAACAAGATCAAATCCATACTAAAAATATGCTTATTAATTTCCATCCTAATATCGTTCACACCACAAGCTGCCCGTACAGGCGCACCTTTTCACAAGTACGGTAAACCCAAGATTGCATATTTAGGATGCAACTACCAAATAGAGTTAACCACTCGCTTTTGCGAAGATTCAGAAACCACCGAGTCATGTTATTGCAATAACTTGAATGCATTTGCTACCATGTCACATTGCTACACTCTAGGACATCCTGCTGAGATACCCTCCCTCCTAAGCATGTGCCACAGGGAATTCAACAAGACGATATCCATGGATCAATTCACACAAGCCCATGAATATTATTTAAACCAAGCCAAATCAATAGACGAGATACCCGACTACACCCCTGCAAAACTAGTGGATTTTCCTGTGAGATTGAACGATTCAGATGTTTTGTTGTTCAAAGGAGCTTATGAACAGTTTTTGGGAAATTATGATGTGTCTGTGGACTATGGTGGATTTGTCGTATTGTACTGGGTTGCAGTGTTTGCATTGGCCGCGATTGGAAACTGGTCGAAGTTTATGTTTCCTGGTTTGTACAAGAAAAGGTTAACTGGCCCTATTACAAATTGGTTTAGAAAGACGATTACTTTACCTGGGACATGGGGCAAGTACAAGACCGAAGAAAAGAAACTTGGAAAGATCTTTGATATGCTTGTTCCAGCAAGGGTAGAAACAATTATTTTTGTGGGGTTGCTTATACTATGCTACGTTCTTACCACTATTAATATTACTTACTATGAAGGTGACCCTCTTTTTCGACACAAGGGCCAAGCGCTCTTGCGATACCATGCTGTAAGATTGAGTTTCTTGAGCAGTCTGTTGATGCCGCTTTTGATCCTCTTTGGAGGAAGGAACAATTTCTTACAATGGGTTACCAAATGGGAATACTCCACATTCATAACTTTACATCGTTGGATATCACGAATAGTTGTCCTTATGGTCATGCTCCATTCAATCTTGTACTCGCTCTACTTTGGATCAAACTACCGCACGAAGATCATGGAAGGATATGTGCTATGGGGTGTTGTTGGAACCGTCAGCGGTGCTGTTATCATGATTCAAGGATTATTGGTCCTTCGGAGAAAATGGTACGAGGTATTTTTATTACTTCATATTGCATTAGCATTGGTTTTCATCATTGCCGCTTGGCTTCACGTGCGTGATTTATATTGCACGTGGTTTTACTTTAGTTCAACCTTGATATGGGTATTTGATAGAATTATTAGAATCGGCCGTATATGGGAGTTTGGGTTTCCTTATGCTAAGTTGTCAATAGCTGGCGATGATACCCTTAAGATAGTGGTTCCTAAACCTCATGATTGGGAAGCCATTCCTGGCGGACATGCATTTATTCACTTTCTTTTACCCACCAGTTTTTGGCAGTCTCATCCATTCACATACACAACCACCTCTGGTGATGAAATTGTGTTGTATGTTAAAGTCAAACAGGGAGTAACATTGTCATTATACCAGCATTTGCTTCAACATGATGGCCACAGCCAGGTTAGGGTGGCGATTGAAGGTTCATATGGAGAAAAAGCACCAGCTAGCAGATATGACAATGCTGTGTTTGTAGCTGGTGGCAGTGGAATCCCTGGAATTTTTGCCGAAGCATACGACTTAGCTCAACGCCGTGATTCAAAGGAGATGATCAAATTGATCTGGGTGGTGCGTGACTATGGCTCGATTGTGTGGTTTTACAACGAGTTACTCCTGTTGAAAGAAACCAACGTTGAAACAACAGTGTATGTTTCCCGACCTGATGCTCCATTCACCACACTGACAGAGTGGAGCGCGGTCACATCACAAGATACACATTTGGAAGAGCTACAACCACTTGCGGCTTCTGCCAAGAATAATAATTACAACTCCACAACGGAAGTGGCACAAAATGCACCACCACCTAGGGACAGGGCCCAGCTTGTGGGTACACTTTCCCATATAGCTTTCTTACACGGAAAACCAGACATTGACGCATTGGTTAGGGCGAATGTCGAGGAGTCGTTAGGATCCACTTGTTTTATTACGTGTGGTCATCCCGCCATGGTTGATGATATACGTGCTGCTGTAATTAGGAATATAGACAATAAGGAAAGGAAGAGGGTAGATTACTATGAGAAACTCCAGGTATGGGCATAATTAGGATAGGAATATATAAACGTATTGGTACAGGTGTTTCTCTCATAAGCGCATTTTTTTTTTTGCAGTAATGACATCAATGTGTACGGCTGAGATGTGGAAGAGTTTAACCGAAATGAAACCACACTCCTCGTTTGATTTCCCGTGTAGATCACCACACGGACTGTGCATCAAGTGATAGTTTCACATATTTTCTAAATCTAGCTGAAATGAGAGAATCGATGCAAATTTATTTGCGCAAAAAAAAAAAAATAGAAAAAAGAAATTACTAAAACAGCCGTCGTGCATGCTCATGCAGCTGGATCTTTTTTTTTCGGTGCAACCACAAAACCAAAAATGCAACCGAATTAGAATCGACAAATAGAATTCACGCATGACTTAAGATTTAAATTATGGTCGCATTAGCAAATCACAAACCTAACATGTCATCTCTATTGTTTCCAGATCTGACATCATGCTAATTTGTTATTTACTTTAATTTAGTCATTAAATCTTGGATCAGTATCGTGATGAACATGAATCTATAATTGAGAATATTTTATTTCCTGTGTGGATCTGCTCACCGTAAAAATGTAACATCTTGTCACAGCAATACAAGCTTTCTCGAAGAAGAATAATAATAATAACAATAATAATAATAATAACATGTGGAAGGAAATGCTTGGTACGATAATTCTCACTGTTGCACGACACCACTTCGGAAAAACTTTTTTAATCATTTAATTGTCTTTTCTTTTGTAAACCGTCTCTGGCTCAAAACGCAAAATCAAAGGAGGCTTCCAACTGCGGCAATGTCCCAAATCTGCGGCGAACCGTTGGCGGACAGCAATTGAATAAGTGCCGCAGTGCATATAAATCCTGTTCGGAAAAACATCCGATCCGGTCAATATGGTAACAATAAACAATGATCCCACATCGCAAGGTTATTTCCACCTCCATGGGGCAGCAACTGTACCTGTTGGGGTAAAATGTGGAACTTACTTTCGAAGTGTTCCATATATTCATGGGTTGCATTCCAAGCCTCGTAACGCCGCCCAATGAAGAAAAAAATTTCACCTGCATTATTTTCTTCGTTTAAGCTTAAGGTTTTTCCGAAGGTGAAAAAATAACTGATACTTAGTCTTATTGTCGTTACACAAAATAATATTTTTGCTCAGTGTATGTGACACAAAAGAAGCCAAGGGGCCAATTATAACATCATGCTACGGCGTGTCACAACCCGGTTAAACATAACTTCGATCCAACTTATTTTTTTGAGGGCCACTTATAGTTAAAGTTTTCTTGGTCTAAAAAAAAGAAATAACAAAAGGGTCAAAAAATAATTGCAAAAAAAAAAACACAAAATTTCATACTGGTGGTAACACTTTCCTAATACTGCAACATGTTATGCTCTCCAATCTGGATGTCTTCTACAAAATTAAAAATGTCCACTTGAGATTTGTCCTCCACATTATAAATATGGGGAATAATATCCATTATTTCATCCAGATCTTATAATATTTCTACATCACACAAGTAAAAAAAACCAAACCCCACTTACTTACTTAATTATGGCTCGCTCAGAAACTTTACCTGCTGGTGAACAAACACCAGAAGTTACTTCCATCTCGGAAAAGGATATCAAGGTTGACTTTAACGAGACTGCCCAGCAACTTGAAAACAAGACATTTAAAGACTACATTTTAATCTCATGTTTGTGTTTTATGGTTGCCTTTGGTGGGTTTGTCTTTGGTTACGATACCGGTACCATTTCCGGGTTTGTTAATATGACTGATTTCATTGACCGTTTTGGTGAAGTTGGCCCTGACGGTGAAAAGTTTATGTCTTCCATTAGAGTTGGTTTAATGATTGGTCTTTTCAACGTTGCATGTGCCATTGGTGGTATCGTCTTATCTAAAATTGGTGATATCAAGGGTAGAAGAATTGGTTTGATGTTTGCCATGGCTATTTATGTTGCTGGTATTGCTGTTCAAATTTCTGCTCAAGACAAATGGTACCAAATCACCATTGGTCGTATTATTACTGGTTTCTCCGTTGGTACTGTTTCCGTCATTTCCCCAATGTTTATTGGTGAATCTTCTCCAAAGGCCGTCAGAGGTACTTTGGTTTGTTGTTTCCAATTGTGTATTACCTTGGGTATCTTTATTGGTTACTGTTGTACTTATGGTACCAAGCAATTGAACAACTCTCTTCAATGGAGAATCCCATTAGCTTTATGTTTCCTTTGGGCTGGTTTCCTTGTTGTTGGTATGATGTTTATGCCAGAATCCCCAAGATTCTTGGTTGAAAAGAAGAGAATTGAAGATGCTAAGAAGTCCATTGCTAGATCCAACAAGATGAGTCCAGAAGATCCATTTGTCTATGCTGAATTGCAATTGATCCAAGCTGGTATTGACAGAGAACAAATGGCTGGTAGTGCCACTTGGGGTGAATTAATCACCGGTAAGCCAGCTGTCTTCAGAAGAGTTATCATGGGTATCTGTTTAGCTTCCTTGCAACAATTGACCGGTAACAACTACTTCTTTTACTTTGCTACCACTATTTTCAAGGCTGTCGGTTTACAAGATTCTTTCCAAACCTCGATGATTTTAGGTTGTGTTAACTTCCTTTCCACTTTTGTCAACATTTGGGCTATTGAAAGATTTGGTAGAAGATTATGTTTATTGGTTGGTGCTGCTGGTATGTTTGTCTGTTTTATCATCTACTCCACCTTAGGTTCCGTTGCTTTGTACCAATATGATGGTGAATCCAACCTTCCAGCCGGTAGAGCCATGATTTTCGTCACTTGTTTGTACATTTTCTTCTTTGCATCCACTTGGGCCGGTGGTGTCTACTGTGTCCTTTCTGAATCATACCCATTACGTGTCAGATCCAAGGCCATGGCTCTTGCTCTTGGTTCCAACTGGTTGTGGGGATTCTTGATTTCCTTCACTTCCTCATTCATTATCAACGCCATTAACTTTTACTACGGATACGTCTTTACTGGATGTATTGCCGTTGCCTTTGTGTTTACCTACTTTTTCATTATGGAAACCAAGGGTTTGAGTTTGGAAGAAGTTGATGAATTGTATGCCCAAAAGATTCTTCCTTGGAAGTCTGGCTCTTGGGTCCCACCAACTGCCGAAGAAATGGCCACTTCTACTGGATACGCCAAGCCAAGCCAAGAACACGTATAAATTGACGAAACATTAATTATCCCAGAATGAATTCTTAACGAGGATATGGTTTATTTCTTTTCTTTTACTGTTGAAGGTATTTGTTAATTTACTTTAATAGATTCTTATTAAATTTATATTATTTTATTCTATAATAATACAAAAGTTATTTCTTGACGAACCAGTGTAGAGGTTCTTCTTTGGAAACTTTGCGTTTAGCAATGGTTTACCATTCCATTCAAAAAGCCAGTATGCAACTTTCTTTGCCTCGTAGTAGTGTGTTTGGGTAAACCCTAAATGGGTCATGATTTCAAGTAATCTTTTGTTGTCAAAGTACCTTGAGTTGGTTATACAGGGAAGTGGAAGCACTAGAAACAACACGCTGATAGACGTTTCCGTTGGTTTCTTTAAGAATTTCGTCATTCTGACCAACATTTCTCCTCGTTCCTGTGGCGAGGGCACAAAGTTAATAACCAACGAACAAGATATAAGATTGAATTTCTCGTCGGTATTCTTAGGCAATGGCCTTTCCATGAAATTCTGTTCAAGAATCAAAGGATCTTGGGAATTCAAGTCTATTCTAGTTATATCTTTGAATATCCCACAGGTGGATATAACATTGTACGGACTCAAACATCCAATCTCAAGGGCGGTGACGTCGCCTATTCGTCTTTGGTACTTCTCCTCGCGCAACCACTCTACGAGTCTTTTGGACGAATCTCCACCTCTTTTAGTAGTTTGTCCCTCAGTGGAAGCTCTTTGGTACGCTTCTATCCCGCCTCGTTGTTCAATCTCCGCGTCTATCTTGGCAAGAATTTCTACAGTTTGGTTGTGAGACAACGAGTCGTCAATCTTGTAGACTTGACTATCGGTGTATTTTTCAGGAACAACAAAAGCATTAAATGCCGATTGGTAGATTTTGTTATTCTTGAACAACTCCTTGTAATTGTCGATGGTGATGTTGTTTTTCTTGTCTAGTCTCTTGATGATAGCATACCTATTCTTTTGCAATATGTGGAATCGTCGTATTATTTGTCGCGTATGTTGAGGTTTTATGCTTTTGGGTATACCTTGGGTCTTACCGGTGATGGTCTTTGGTCTTTTCAAGAGACCGACTCTCGTTTTCTTCTTGGCCATGCCTTTGTCTGGTTTGTTTACCCTGTTTTAGTTGCACGCTTTATTTTTCCATAATCGATGAGCATCGATAATTTTTTCTAGTCTAAATAAATCATTCTACTACGTTTTAACTACAATCAAGATGGCTCCTCAAAAGAATAAAGGAAAGCCAGGAAAGAGTAATGGCAAAGGCAAGGCCAACCAGAAGAAAGGAAACAAGAAAGTCACCAAGCCAAAGAAACCACCCACTTTGAAGCAGAAGTTGCAGCGTGAATCCAAGATTGTCAGAATCGATGATTTGAAGTGGAAAACCGTAGAGATTCCTGACAACTTGGGTGATTACGAAGGGTTTTTTGGATTAGAAGAGATAGATGGTGTTGATGTTGAGATTGTTGATGGTAGAGCTCAGTTCATCGTCAAGGATGACAGCAAGCTTAAACTGAACCAAGAAGAACAGAAAGAGGAAGAAGGCGAGCAAGAACAGCAAGAAGAAGAACAAGAAGAAGAAGAAGAAGAAGAAGAAGAAGAATTTACTGGATTTGGTGATGACTCAGATCAAGACCAAGACGAAGCAGCTGACGTTGAAGAAACAGAAGAAATCGACGAAAAGCCCGACGAATTAGAAAAAGAACTCAGTGCAAACGCCTTTGCTAATCTTGACTTACCATTACCCGACGATGAAATAGACTTGCCAGAATGGCAAAGTGAAGATCTCAGTTCCTTAAGTCCCTACACTTTGAACGGGTTATCGGTGTTAAACTTCTCCAAACCAACTCCCATCCAAAAGAAAGCCATCCCATTAGCATTGGAAGGGAAGGATGTCATCGGTAAGGCAACGACTGGTTCCGGTAAGACATTGGCATACGGTATCCCAATCTTAGAAAAGTACTTACTGTCATTATCCACAATTAAGCAAAACGTCAAGGACAAGATAGTCAACAATCCTACCGGTATTGTTTTCGCTCCTACTAGAGAATTGGCTCATCAAGTGGTTAGCCATTTGAATGAACTTGCCAAGTATTCACCATTGTCAACCAGAGGTATTGTGAGTATAACCGGTGGTCTTTCCATTCAAAAGCAAGAAAGATTATTGGCGCATGGTCCAGGAATAATTGTTGCTACTCCCGGTCGTTTCTTGGAATTGCTCCAAAATGACGAACAACTCACCAAGAGAATGGCAAGCACAGATATTTTAGTGTTGGATGAAGCCGATAGATTATTGCAAGACGGCCATTTTGAAGAATTTGAAAAGATTTTAGAGTTGTTTGGCAAGAGTAGACCCAAGAACAAATCCATGCAATGGAAATGGCAAACCTTGGTCTTTAGTGCCACTTTTTCCAGAGACTTGTTTGGGAAGTTGGACAAACACCAGAAGAACAAAGCCAAGGGAAACTCATTAATGGATAATGACGAAATCGTCACTTTGTTGAACGAGAAATTGAAGTTTAAAGACTCTAAACCAGCTTTAATTGATGCTAATCCTAAGGAAATCGTGTCTGGACAAATCACCGAAGCATTAGTCGAATGTGGTCCTACCGAACGTGATTTATATTTGTATTATTTCCTCCTCATGTATAAAGGATCTACTTTGGTATTTGCCAACTCCATCGATTCGGTCAAAAGATTAGTGCCATTCTTAAACAATTTGAACATTCCCGCATTTTCAATCCACTCATCTATGATCCAAAAACAAAGATTGAGAGCATTGGAAAGGTTTAAAGCCGCCAGTGAAAAGAATGAGGTTTCTGTGTTGGTTGCTTCCGATGTGGCCGCCAGAGGATTGGATATCCCAAACATTGACCATGTGGTGCATTACCATTTACCTCGATCTGCCGATGTGTACATTCATAGATCAGGTAGAACTGCCAGAGCAGGCAGAGAGGGTGTTTCAGTGATGTTTTGTTCTCCACAAGAAGCTTCGGGGCCACTTAGAAAATTGAGAAGATTAGTGGCTAGCAACAGCACACAAGGATCTCGTCTTAACATGCATACCGACGTCAAGTTGCTTCCAATTGAAATGGATTTGGTTTCGCAGTTGAGAGAGCGAGTGACGGTCTCATCGAAGCTTGCAGATGCTTCCATCTCCAAGACTTCTACCAGAAAGGAAGATTCTTGGATCAAGCAAGCTGCGGAAGAATTGGGTGTTGAAGACTTATCCGACATTGAAAACTTTGAAGATGACATTATCAAGAAACAGCGAAAGAGAAAAGAAAGTAAGATGCTAGGCAAGGATGAAATGAAGGGTCTTCGATATGAATTGAAACAATTGTTGGCTACACCTATAAGGAAGAATGCCAGAAGATCGTACATTACTAGTGGATTACAAAACTTGGCTCATCAAATGGTTACTGGAACTCACCATGACGACGTTTTAGGTCATGAAAAAGTCGACGCTTTAACCGATTTAAAAGACGGTAAATCGAAAAAGCTCAAAAAGAAAGCCAACAAGGTTACAAAGAAGCCTAAATCAAACAAAGATAAAAAATAAGGTGTGTATTTAATAGACCAAAGAATAGAAAACTCGATTAATGTGTGGCACTAAGCCACTTTGTATGTGTATATGTAAATTCTCTAGATAAAGTCGTCATCATCGTCGTCATAATATTCATCTTCATCGGATTCATCAGCCAATTGTTCGAAATTGACCTTGTATCTCAACATGGCACCAATACCACCAAACCCTTGGCAGAATTGGGCACCTTCAGAAGATCTATCAGTGACGAATTCTAATTCAGCACCGTAATTCTTGTAGTTTTCAGCCAACCATTCCAAGAAGGATTCTTCCTTGATGATTTCCATTTCAGTACCGGTCTTTTTGTCCAATTGCCATGACTTGTCTGGCAATTCTGGGTTGACATTGGCGACTACTTCTTCTCCTTCGATATCCTTCATGGTGTATCTGACTGTGTTTAAGTTTTCGTAAACAATGACGGTTTCACAAGCACCCAAATCAAGGGCCTTCAAGGTGTCTTCAATACCATAACAGAACTTACCGGTGTCTTGGGAAATTTCGTCGAAATATTGGTTCAACAATTTCTTTTCTTGGACGAATTTAACATTGGCTAAGGTTTCTGCGGACAATTCAATGGCTTGGTTGAACCCGTTTTCACCACCGTAGGATATATCGACAATCTTGATGATTTTAGCTTGTAATCTGTTATCGAACAAGTCAGACTTGGACAATTCAGTCTTGAAATCTGCAGAACCAGCCAAGATCAACCCCTTGACGTTAACTTTATCAGCGGTGATGAAGTTTTGTACCGCCACTTCAGCAACTTTTCTGACGTAATTGTGTCTCTTTTCTTCTCTTAAACGGGAGAAACGAACGGCGGATTGACCACCTCTACCGTGCTTCTTTGGCAAGTCGACGGTGAATTTATGCAAGACTTCTCTGGTGTTACCACTGACGGCACCAAACAAGGCCCCGTTACCGTCCATGATAATGAACCCGAATCTATCGTCATTTTCCAACAATTCGTTCAATGCTTCCACGTGGAATTTGTTGTCACACAAGTAAAGAGAGGTGTTGATTGGTTTGAATGGTTCGAAATCGATATTCAATTTCTTTTCCTTACCTTCGTCAGTTATAACGTCACCACAGTAAACAACCAAACCATTCTTGGGAACACTGTTGTACAATTTCAACTTTTGTTGGGTGGAAGTGATGGCAGACAACACGGACAATCTGTTGACACGGGACTTGATGTTGGAAGCAGTTCCGTATTCATCGGTTAACATCTTTTGGGTCAATGAAATTTGGGCTTTTGGAGGAAGCACCAATGAAATCATTGAGGTACCGTTTCCTCTAGCCATTTCCAAGGACTTGATCAATTTCTTGATCTTCCAGATCTCAATATTCTTTTCAGCGTCAGTTTCTTGAGAGGACATTGTGAGATAATCTATAGCAATGTACTTTGGATCTATTAAACAAGTAATGGAAAGAAAGCAAAGACAGCAACTTTCTTATGCGAATATCGGGTTGAAATTTTTTTTGGTTAATAAAAAAAAAAAACACTTGAAAATTTTCTTGCGTGAGATGCAGCGGGTCATGTGCGTAAAGTCATGTGTCTGCCGTCATGTGAACGCGGTCACATGTACACATCCCACCTGACACACCGCACATGACGACACGCACATGACTCCGCGCACATGATCTACAGCACGATCCAGGGGAGGATCGGATCTAAAATTAACTGAACAAAAATACCTCAGCCATTACCAATTCTTCTCCTTGTACAACCCCTGTCTGCTAGCACACGCATCGCAAGGAATAATTAATTAGTATTCACTTCCCATCATGTCGGCCCAAATTCATCCAGATGAGATACAGGCACAACAAAGACAACAGCCTTCCTATACTCAGGAAGGTGTAGTCCCAGAATCAAACTATGACGAGGAATCAGATTCGGCTTCGGATGATATGCCCTTGGATGAAGACAAAAAGGAAAAATCAAGAAAACCAAGCAGCCACCCTTTCAGGCAACAAAGATTGAAAGCATACAACCCCGTGTTGACCGCCAAGACAGTCATCCCCCTCCTTGTTGCCATTGCTATCATATTCGTCCCCTTGGGAGCTGCCATGTGGTATGCATCCGACCAGATTGAAGACTTTTCCATTGATTATAGTCAATGTGAAAACTTGGCATCTTCTGATTTCTTCTCCGAGATACCCCTGAACTTCACCACCTACCATTTCAAATCTGCCACCCTCACCAATGTTCCCAAGTTTAGCTGGAAATTGGCCAATGACAATAGCCAGGAGTTCGAAGATGAAAGAAAAGTCTGCGTTGTTCAATTCGAAGTGTTGAACAACATGAAGGGCCCAATCTACTTCTTTTACCGCTTGCACAACTTCTATGCCAACCATCGTAGATTTGTCAAATCATTCAGCGAAGACCAATTGAACGGTAAAGCAGCCTCCTTGAATGATATCAAGAACACCGTGGGTCAAAACTGTCAACCATTGTCTACTGACAGCCAGGGAAGAAAAATCTACCCATGTGGTTTAATTGCCAACAGTTTGTTCAACGACACATACAGTAGCACCTTCCAAGGTGTCAATGGCACTTCCCATGATTATTCATTAACCAACAAGGGAATTGCATGGGCTACCGACAAGGACAGATTTAAAAAGACAAAGTACAACCATACTGAAGTTGTCCCACCTCCAAACTGGTTCAAGATGTTCCCTAACGGATACAACGAGACCAACCTTCCCGATATTTCCACCTGGTACGAGTTCCAAAACTGGATGCATCCTTCTGGTTTACCAACATTCAACAAGTTAGCATTGCGTAATGACAATGACGAATTACAAGCTGGTATCTACGAGATTAATATCGGGTTACATTTCCCAGTATTGCCATACAATGGTCAGAAGTTTATTTACGTGTCGCAGAGATCGGTTATTGGAGGAAAGAATAACTTCTTGGGCATCAGTTGGATGGTTGGTGGTGGTGTTTGTTTTATCTTGGGGTTAGCATTATTAGTGATCAACTTTATCAAGCCCAGAAAGACAGGTGATGTTAATTTGTTAAGTTGGAACCAAGAAAGAATGCAACGTGATGAGCAAAGCGCTGCACTTGCCGACGGTACCACTAGTGGTTTTGAGAAGAGGAATAGCACATGAGGCTGTTAATTTGTTCATAGTTGTAAGATTATTTTTATAGTAAATCAATTGCTATAGACATTGCAAGTGATTTGTAAGCCAAGCAATGCCCCCCATCCCGTTTAGTTCGGGGATATTGTTTCGGGTGTAACGGTTTAACATCCTCGGTTGTACGATCCATGAACATTATTCAATCGGACTATGCATGGAATCTTACTAATCAAGGCTAACGCAAACGCGGATTTATTATTTTCTTCGAGAAATTTCTACCTCATCTTGAACTGTAAAACCGGATTTATTTTTATAGTTCCGTTTGTGCACTATTTCACCTTACAAACAATGGCGGACTTAACTCGAGCACCAGTGCCCCGCGAGGCACTTTTTTTTGACATCCCGCCCTAAGCCCAACCCTTGCTCTATAAATACCGACAAATCTTTCCCCGTTCAATTGCTCTTCATTCTTAGAATTATCTTTCTTTATAACTAAGTATGTCTGTTCCTGAAACAACCACCAAGATTTTCCTCAAAAACACCCCCGGTGAAGCAATCAACTTTGAATTCGGCCAAGATGATTCCACCTTTGAAGTCAAGCAAGTCGCACTTGATTCAAACTTGAAAGAAGGCGAGCTCTTGGTCCAAACCTTGTACTTGTCCAATGACCCCACCCAAAGAGGCTGGATTGCCAAAAACAAAGATTCGGACCGTATGTACGTCAGACCAGTAGCACCAGGAGAACCAATGGGATCCATGGGTATCGTCAAGGTCTTGAAGTCCAATTCCACCAAATACCAAGTCGGTGATCTCGCCACTGGGAAAATCGAATGGGCAACTTACACAACTGTGCACGAGCAAGCCTTGTTCACCAAGATTGACACCAGTGCCGGTTTACCATTAGAGCTCTTCCTTTCCATCTTGGGTGTTACTGGTTTGACTGCATTCTTTGGTTTAGTCGAAGCCGGTCAACTCAGAAGACTCCTCGACAACCCACTCAAGGAAGGCGACAAGGCTCCTATTGTGTGTGTTTCAGCTGCTTCCGGGGCTACTGGTTCTGTAGTTGTCCAAATTGCCAAGAATATCTTGGGAGCTAAAGTCGTTGGTATTACCGGATCCGACGAAAAGTGCAAGTTTGTTGAAGGTCTTGGTGCTGACTTGTGTGTCAATTATAACAATCCAAAATATAAAGACCAAATTACTGAATTTGTTGGTAAGGACTTTATCGACGTCTACTTTGACAACGTTGGTGGTGAAATCTTGAGTTTTGTTTTAACCAGAATGAAGAAGTTTGGTCGTGTTGTTGCTTGTGGTGCTATTTCCGGTTACAATACTCCAGTCAATGTTACTACTTGGAATGAAATCATTACTATGAGTTTAACTGTGGAAGGATTCATTGTTCTCAACTACAGTGACAAGTTCCCTGAAGCTGTCGGTGTGCTTGCCAGTGCTTTGAAGCTGGGTAAGATCAAGCTTGGTGATGCATACCATGTTAAGGAATTGACCGGATCCGACGTTGAAAAGTTGCAACAAGTCCCTAAAATTTGGAACTTGTTGTTCACTGACAAACCAGTTGGTAAGTTGCTTACTAAGGTGGTGTAAGTATATAGTCTTAATGTAAATAAGTATGGTGTATTAAATATACTAAAACCAGGTACAACTTCTATTGTAATAGCTTGTTTAGTCCCTAAAGTGGATTCTCTTGTAATTTTTGTCAAGGTATTGAATAGTTTGACATTCACAACATTTTCATTAGGAAAATCAAGGGGTGGACGTTAGTTGCAGCCTATTGGAACCAAGTAATTATTGGCGCTAAATGTTATTGTGATTCAGCACTTACAGTCAACAAGTTAGAATATAGAATAAGTTATGCATCTTAAGCAAAGGGGGGGGGGGGGCTACATCAAAAGAACAATAGCTGCAAAAAAAAAGAGCAATATTTTTGCAACGGTCACATGGCAGTTATTGAACAAATACTACTTTGTTTTGCCATCTAGAATTTCTTATTATGTGTAATACTGCAAGCAAATTTTTATCAATTCAGGAAAGGTTTTTGAGGATCCATGGTAACATTTAGAACTCTCTTCAAAGCTTCTGAATTCCAGGATTCAACGTCGCTTGTTAAATAATCCAAATTTTGTATTACATCCCAAACTCCATTTAATTATGATTATTTGCCAGTTGGTGTAACTATACTCTGTATCACTGGGAGTAAAATTGGTACTATTCTAGGGAATATATGGCTTTTGGGTATTCATGACTTAAACTTGTTTTGCAACAGCAATCATGACGTATTAAAATACATAAATGACGTTATTAGTTGGCCATTGGGATTGACTTGGAATCATTGTACATGGATGATTGCAATATCTCCAATTGCAATATTTTTGATTTCCGTCATCACTCATACATTTAGCAATATCTCAAACTAGAATTGAAGATATATTTTCATATTGTGGCTGGAGCAAGCTTACTGATTCGAACGGTTTATACACAGGGGGAACTCCATCAAAAGCTTGGGATAGTTAGATCATCCTCTCCCCCAAATCTAGTGAGTTCAAATTTACAGCATAATCCAATCAATGAATTAACTCTGAAATTTCCTTTGTTGCACGAGTACTACAGCTTCAAGCTTGAATTGTTGAATATATCAGGATTTTCAATAAGCAAAGTTGAGATAAATTTTGTTTCTGTAAGTTTAAAAAGGTTTACTCTGGAAAAGAATAGATTGCTAGGACCAGTTGTTTTTCCTACAAGTTGTTGGCACTTTGAGAAGTTGTGCGTGTCGACCGAGGTGAGAACTGTCATCAGATCCCGGAAAGAAAATCCAATAAAGTAAACAGATGGTCTTTTTTTGTTTGTCGCTGTTGTCGATTCATTGTCCTAAGTTAAAGTAGGGGTCATCATACTGTATAGTTTAGTAGAATTGATCTGCAAAATATTTGCAACATTTGACGATATAAAAACAATGTGCGTGTACTGCACATATGCAACCACCTTTCCCTAAAAAAACAACAATTACAAAAAGGGATAGCGGGTGGTACAACATAAAGGTAAACAAGGCTTACAGCTGACACTACTCTCCTTTTCACAGTTTTTGAAAACCTCAATCCCTAATAGAAATGAGTATATAACAAATGCAACCAGTTCCATTTAATCAAATTTCTCAACTACATAATATGGGAGAAATAACAACACATGTGCTGCCTAACGTTACAACCAATGATAAGAAGGAATCAACATTAGCAAAATACAGAGAAACCGATGATGATGACTTGGATGCCGGTGACTTTGATTTAAATTTGTCCTTTTCTAAGTTTTCTCAAGTGTCACAAGGCTCGGTCATTGTCAAGAGTTCGTCAAAAACAGAAGAATCGGAATCAGGCAGCAGTGATTCCCCGTTTGTTCAAAGAATCCTGAACAAGGTTGAGGTCCAGTTTGATAATGGGTTTGTATCTACATATGATAAGATACAAAATGGACGCGTTGTGTATCCTGTGCAGGAGGTCAGCGGAAGCAATGACGAGAATCAAGAATCCCCTTTCTTGGACTCAGAAGCAAACAAGCTTGACGCGTTCGACAACAACATTAAGCAAATTAGACCCCAGAAACTCAGAAACAAACTTTTCCTGAATGTCGTAGCCCCCAAAACAAACATTGGCACTCCCAAGCATCAACGTACATCTTCTGTGAAGGTCTCGTTAACGCCGGCTCAAAAATTTGAAAAGAAGACAACTACACATCTGGATAATGCTCTTGATAATTTTGAATTTGGGACCTTGGTTGGTAATGGTGCATTTGCAAGTGTATATAAAGGAACTAATTTAAAAACCAACCAAGTTGTTGCCATCAAACAAATAAGACTTGAAAAGGATCAAGATGTGGCGGTTTTAATGGGAGAAATAGATTTGTTGAAGATATTGAAACATCCCAATATAGTTAAATATCATGGATTTGTGAAAACATCGACTTCTTTGAATGTGTTATTGGAGTATTGTGCTGGCGGTTCTTTACGGCAATTATACAAGAAAATGAAACGAGGACTTCCGGAATCTCAGATAATAAACTATGTAAGGCAAATTTTACATGGTTTGACCTATTTACATGACCAAGGTGTGGTGCATCGAGATGTAAAAGCTGCCAATGTACTTTTGACAGATACAGGTGATGTCAAATTAGCTGATTTTGGTGTGGCTACAAGAGTTAATGCCCTGCATTACACTGTGGTTGGAACCCCGAACTGGATGGCTCCAGAAACTGTCATTGGTGGTGATGGTCTTTGTACCGCGTCCGATATCTGGTCCTTAGGAGCAACCATAATCGAATTATTCACGATGAATCCTCCTTATCATGATCTTAATCCAATGGCAACATTACATGCAATTGGAACTGATGAACACCCGCCTTTACCCAAGGGATTATCGTCACTTGCCAAGAATTTCTTATTAGAATGTTTCCAGAAACAACCCAATTTACGAATAAGCGCAAAGCTTTTATTGAAGCATAAGTGGTTGAATGAAGGCATTACAACAAAGTCGTCTCTAATGAATCTACAAGCGAAGAGACAACCAAGTATGGAATTAAAATCAATCCTATCCTATCAAGAACAGAATGATGATGAAAATTGGGACAATGATTTTAGCGAAATGAAGGTTTTAAAAGTTAAAGGTATGAGTCCCGATGTAATCCACCTTGAAGATATTGAATCTGAATTTGAAACAGAGTTTGAAGAACCTGTGAAATACACCAAGGCAGAATTATTAACCAAGTTTGCCGAAGATAATTCTGACTTTAGCGATTTGGATCATATAGATAGTAAGAAACTTGTGAATCATGAAGCTGACGAAGCTGATATTGGGGATTCGGATCCGTTCTCGAATATGGAGATTGACAGCTTTGATACTAATGATTTGGAAGTTCAGAGTAAGATGGAATATTTGGTTTCGAGATATTCTCGTAAGTTAGACCAAGCAAGAATGGAAAATGACGAAGCTATTGCTTCTCTTGTGAAAATTACAGGTAGAATGTTACATCTTATTAAGAAATATCCGGTTCTGCATGTCACCTTTATTCGTGAGCATGGTGTATTATCAATCTTGGATCTATTGGATAGTTATCAAGAGATTCCACGACAACAACAATTGTGGTATCATGCGCTTTCTATTTTAAACTATATGTTTGAAAGCAATGTTAGTCTGTTTGAAAACTTTTGTTTCCTTGGTGGTATTCCCGCTATTGCCCATTTCCGGAATGTTTCCTATGATATCCAAGTTAGATTACAAGTTGTTAGGTTTGTGAGGCTTTTAAATACTTCAGATAAGGCATTATCGATGTTTGTTTCTTGTGGTGGGTTCCGTTTGGTGGCTAAATTTGTTGAAGAAGATTTTGATACAACACCTACATTTCCTCTTGTTGCGATTGAATGTATTCATAATGTATTGTCCAAGGATTTGATTCGATCAAAATCAGATATGTGCCGTATATTATCTAAACACGGTCTTGTATTTTGGTTTATGGTACTATTAAACAGATTGTTGAAATTAGACCGCGACCAAACCCATAAGAGCGTGTCATCTGAAGAAATTCGCATTACAATTGATAGAATAGTTGATATCATCAAGCATTTTGGTCAATCTGAAATAAGAGTCCGAATTACAATAGCCAACACTGATGTATTTAAATTGATGATTAAAGTATATGATCAATTGAATCATGACCATAAAATCGCAATCCTTAAATTTATCAAATCCATGTCATGTGTTTCAGAAGTATTGAAATATTTGTACCGAGCTGATATTTTAGAGTTCATGTTACGATTATTGCAAACTAATACCCCAAGCAATAGGAATTACAAAGAGTATATAAATGTTGTGGCACCAATCTTGTACAACTGTCTTTCATTGAATTATATCAGAGAGTCGGAGTTTGTTGAATTGGGAGCATTGCCATATTTGAAGAATTTGTCAATAATCAATCTTCCATTCAAACAGTTTATATTACCTATAGTATGTGAGCTTGCATATTGTGAAGAAAAGGTTCGGAATGAAATGAAAAAGTACGACATTTTAAGTGTTTACTATAATCTTTTGTTCGATCCATATTGGCAACCAAATGCATTAGAATCGATTTACAATTGGTATAGAAGTGATCCTGCGTATGTCAACCTTGAAGCGCCCAGGGCCATGGATTGTCTTGTTGCTGGGTTCTTACTTCCCAAAGTGTCCAATCTTGAATCAGCATTGGATATCTATTTGCAATTGATTTCGATCAACGCAGAAATTACTAAACTCATGCTGAATTCTAACGTTATTAATAATATCCTTATGAAACTAAATGTGCATAAGAAGAATCCAGTTATCCAGTTACTCCTCCTCAAGATTTTGAAATGGTTATTGCAAAGTTGTGACACTTTACTGGTGAATGTTTCAACTTCAGTAGCCAATAGTTTGCATGCAATTACTAGATCAAGTTCTTCGGTATTGATTGAGGAGCTTGTAATAGAGATCTTAGAGTTGATTTAGTTTTTGCTATTATTTATATGTCTATAGTTTTATCTAATAAATAGTTATGGTATTTTGATCCTCGGTATAAATGATTGCAAATTTGGTGGTCGTGTTTTTTGCTACAAAAAAATTGTGTGGGGAGGGAGGGAGAGAGTCGTTCATATTCACAGGTTGTTATCATACGAAGTTACATCCACTAGTTAGTGATTAGATAACAATGACGCCAATAAGCTACCCGTCTCCTAGAGTGTCCCAGTTGGATGCGCATATCTTGGATTCGGAATTGTTCAGCCTTTTAAAGGAACAGCTTTCCTCAATCTTCCATTTACACAACAACAGCAAATTTTCCTACAACCAACACCCAGAACTATACTCCTTGCTTCTTAATCTTGTCGTGTTCAAACTAACAGTGTGGAAAACAGGATCTTCTTATGGTTTGTCCTTGCAAAATCTAAAGCTTACTGATGTTAGAGATGCCAAGATAATTGGTTTATCGAAGAGATGGTTATTGTTGGGCGTACTTGTGGGTGGGTACGCTTATGAGAAATTACAAAGCTATTTGTATGGAATAGAGGACGACAATAATGGATATGGGTCCGATGGTGTCTTGACCAGACTTAAAGAGTTCATAATACGAAACAGAACAACCATGCTCACCAAAATCGACAATTGTTTGAAAGTTGCCAACTTGCTTAATTTCACCGTGTTTTTAGTCAACGGCAAGTATCCTTCAGTGATCCACAGAATCTTGGGAATAAGTCTTACACCTTTGGTTTCTGATTTGTTAAAGAATACTGGTGACAATGTGAATTACGAGTTCCAGAACCGTCAATTGGTATGGAACGTCATGACTGAATTTTTAGTCTTTATATTGCCATTATTGCAATTACGGAAGTTGGGTAAGACAGCTAAGAAATTGCTCGGAAAAAGCCACGATGAGAACGAGGTACAGGTTGGAAAACAGGGCCCCGTGGTTACTAAATACAGCAACTTGCCCGTTTCGGAGTGTGCCATTTGTTATGAGCAAAACAGTCAGGCTGCTGCTAGTGGGGAAAAGATATTTGTTTCCACCGGCCATGTCACAAACCCATATATCACTAACTGCGGCCATGTTTATTGTTATGTTTGCGTCGCTACTAAATTTAATGTCATAAAGACCACGGGTGAAGACATACCTTGTCTTCGCTGTGGACAAAGATTGGAGTGGTTTAATGAATTTGGGACTGACCAAGATGCAGTCGATGAAGATGCTATTATAGTGAGTGGCGATGAAGAAGAAAGCGAAGATGACGATGACGGCGACGAGGACGATAGTGCAAGTGTTGCCAGTGAAGATGTGGAAGATGTTGAGCCATATGAGCCATTGAAGGTAACTAGAACAACCACAAGAATTGATAGAAGAATGAGTTCAGTTTCGGCTATATTCACCGAGGATGGTCATGATTCTCAAACAAGTGAAGCTGAGTTTAGTGAAGAAGAGGATTTCGATGAGGAAGAGGCATTTATGTAGACCTTAGATATTTCTATTTATTAGGTAATGTACACTGGTATGAACTATGCTTAAAGAAGATTCAATAAGAGTTTAGCACCTTTATCTTCTTTAGATAATTGTTTCTTGTTTTTCTTTAATTGCTTTTGCAATTCCTTGAACTTGGAAGCGTCAGCTAATTGTAATACTTCAAGGACAGAAATCAATACGAAAGCAGCTTGACCCTTGGTCCAATTAACCAAGACATCATTACTTGATATGTGTTCGGCAATAGTTTCAGCGAATTCAGAACCAACACCTGGAATCTTGTCACCATCATTGTGAACTAATTTCTTGGCTTCGCTGTCCCATTTGAACTCATTTCCTTGAATCAATGCCTTCAAGGATCTTGAAATGAATGGAGATTTGTTAAGCAAGTGGAAATCTTCAAGGACGTCTCCCTTTACAGCTACTTCGAAAACAGCCTCGACTAATTGTAGACGCAAGGTTTCATTGACATTTTCAACGTTAGTGGTAGTAAGAATCAATTCGGTAATGAACTGAGCAGCCATATTAACAGACATCAATTTACTGAATGACTTTTCTGGGTCATCAGCTTTGGTGGTCGATAAAATGCTTTTGTACATCAATTCGATAGCTCTGCTTAACAATTCACCTCTTCTGGTTTCTTGTTCCTTCTTGGAAGTCTTCTTATAAGCTAATTGTTCGTATTGGGTTAAGGAATTCTTCACTAAAGGTGAGAAATACTTTCCATCCAATCCCTTTAACAAGTATAAGAATGGTCTTCTTGAGAATTTGTCTTGAATCAATTCAGGCATCAATTCATTGGTAACAACTTCAACAATAAAGGACTTGTGAAGTAAAACAGTATCATCAACAGTCATAAACAAAGTAATCAATACCAAGTTACCATATTCATTCTTGATCAACTCATTAATGTGTGATTTCAAACTTCTGATGATAATCTTACGTTCCTTGGCATTGGCCACGGCGATTAATTTACATGCAACTTCAGAACCTTCTTGTGTATGGACTAATTCTGCAAATTGTTCAGCCAACAAGTCTATGAATTCTCTAATTTGGGAGTCATTGGCTTCAATATCATCAACTAATATTGAAACGTATTCTTTCATGGCTGCATGTAAGATTTGGAACCCAGTAGAACCCTTTTCAACAGATGCCTTGATTGTACCGTATAAGTTTGCCATTATCAATTGTTTCTTTTCAGACAGTTCCTTAACCACTTCCAAAACGGTCTTACCTTTTCCTGAGTCTCTGAAAACAGCATATTCAGAACCCCAGAATTCTCTAATCATTTGTTGCTTTTGTTCAGCAGTGGAATACAAGACAAACAAATCTTCAACCACATAAGCACCTTCTCTGTGTCTCATTAATTTACGTAATTTACCGTGCAATTCATCAACAATTAATGCCTTTGATTCTTTAGATCCATAATGCAAGAGTTTAATCAATAAATATTTCCCGTATGCAGAAGTTGCTAAAACGTAGAAGTTTCCCTTTAATGCTTGAACAATCTTATCTCTTCTTTCCTTGCTGGAATATTTGACCAAAGTTTGAACAATACGAGAAGCATCGTGTTTCATGACTAAATCAGTAATGACATCTTTAGATAATTCCCAAACTTCATTACATAATTTATCACGGACTTCCTTGGGAGGAGTAGGTTTTGTGACTCTCAACTTTTCCCACAAGTTCTTAATTTGTTGAACTTCGGCACCTGACTTTCTTTGTAATTTACGTTCGGCTAACAACTTTCTTTGTTCGGCATGTTGTTCTTTAGATGACTTCTTGTTTGGATCAACTTCCTTTGGTTCTTTAGTTTCTGAATCGTCTTCGTTGTCTTCATCTTCACCTTCATCTAATTCGTCTAATTCGTCGTCCTCATCTTCGTCTTCATCGTCATCACTTTCTTCTTCTTCACCGTTTTGTTCTTCGACATCATCTAATTCATCTAATTCGTCTTCTTCAGAAGAAATAGAAATATCACTTTCAGAACCAGATTCTTCTTCTGGTTCGGATTCAGATGGAGGGGAAGGAAGCTTTTTAGCGACTTTTGATTTCTTGCCCGACTTTTCGAAAGACTCAGCGGCTCTCTTGATTCCTTTAGATTTGACAGCCATTTTGATCTATTAAACAATATAAGAAAGTATAGCTGGTTTCAAGTACAAAATTGGCTCCAAAATTTAAAAGCTATTGAAAAAAAAAATCAAATGAGCATCGCATAGATCACGTGGTTTTGGGTCAGATGACTTTGGTTTTTGGTGAGCGGTACACGACCTCCAACCTCCACATCTTTTTCGTAAACCTGATCCTTTTGAAGATAATATCTGGCCAAGCATAACTACGAGACCAATGCTGTTTAGAGGGTTCGTGTGCAAGACAATCCCAATCGTTGCATTTGGAGTGGGAATCGCTTCATTTCCAAGAAGTTGGAGAAAAGAGTACAAAGGAGACCCAAAACTTCTTCGCATAAATGAGTCAGTGTTGAACCAAATACAAGATACTGAGTTATACAAGACCTTACAAACAAACAACAACTTCAAACAATACAATTCCAGCCATGCATTTCCTGGACAACATCATTCCAATTATATCGGCACTGGATTACTCTTTGGGCCAGATTTATTTGAAATCGATCCAATTGTTTTTCTCAATGAAGAAAAGGGGGAATTGGTTAGTTTCTATCATTTAGGCGAGAGTTTAATTAGTCAAGATGGTCAGATCCATAATGGAGTGACGTCAACTATATTAGATGAAGGTTTGTGTTCTGCGGGTTTCCCCTTGTTACCAGCAAAAAAGGGTGTAACAGCAAGTTTACTGATTGATTTTAAAAATCAAGCGCCCCCACGAAGCACCGTAATCTTACGGGCGAAAGTTAAGGAAGCTAAGGGGAGAAAAGTGGTCATTGAGGGGTATTTGGAAACTCTTTCTTTTGACTTGTCGGTCAAACCTACTCGAGTTGCCGACGCTAAATGTGTCCTCGTACAACCGAAATGGTTCAAGTATTTACAATGGCTCCAAATTTAGAAAGCACTGTGCCTCCTCTTTAGTTGGCCGCCTTTTATTTAGGAATGAAACGTATATTGTAAGTTAAATAATTTTCGTGACGTAACTCATTTTTGTATGCACGCAACATGACACGAGTAGCAACTCAAAGACAATAGCAATCATGTGGAAAAAAAATTAATTTTGGGTGCAAATTTGCTTGCTTTTGAAACCGGTGATAATTTCCATTGTTCCTCTCTGACGTATATCGGGTAAATGCTTGTAAACAATGGTTGCGATCGGGGATAGAAGGCCATGGAAGTTTAACTTCCGCTCCTTGAAGGCAATGGCAAACACAACTATATAAGGATCCAATTTCCGCCAGTGAATAAGAAGTTAAATAATCCATCACAACAAACAAAAACAAAAACAAAAACATTTAACATCATGAACCAATTCGAAGTACTTCAAGACGACAGAAGCTCCGACCGTCTGAGAGACATTGTTGAAGACAAAGCTTCTCACTCTCACAGTAGAGTGAATGACACTGCCAAGGATACTAAGGACAAGGCATGGGATATCTCTCAAAATGCTGCTCAACAAACTAAGGATTCTGCCAACGCCGCTGGATCCAAGGTTCAAGAGCAAACTGAGAATGCCAAGGACCAAGCTGCTGACGCTTATGACAATGCTAAGCAAACGGCCCAAAAACACTCTCAAAATGCCTATGATGCCGCTGCTGATACTTATGACAGTGCCAAGCAAAAGGCTCAAGAAACTACTGAGAATGCTCAATCCAAGGCCCAAGACACCTACGACAGTGCCAAACAAAAGGCCCTGGACACCTATGACAATGCTGCCGAATCTTATGAAAACAATAAACAAGCAGCTCTGGAATCTGCTCTGAGTGCTTATGATAAGGCTGCTGAATCTGCTCTGAACGCTTATGACAACGCTGCCGAAACTGCCCTGAATGCATATGACAAGACTGCCGAAACTTCCCAGAATCTTACTGAAGGAATCAAGAATGTTGCTCAATCCGTGTATGATAGCGGAAGAGAGGCTTTGAAGAATGCTGGTGATTACCTTTATGACACTGCTGGTCAAGCCAGAGATACTTCTGACAAGGCTTACGACAATGCTTATGATAAAACTGCTGGTTTCGCGGAAGATGCTCAGAAAAAGACTCAAGATGCTAGTGATACCGTGAAAGGTTCTGTTAACGGAGCCAGAGATGCTGTGTATGAACATACAGACTACAAGAAGCCTGATAATGCTTGTTAGATATGAGTCTTTAGTTGTTGCCTCTTTTTTTTTTTTTTTAATTCTATTTGAATTTTAATGAAAACAAAAAAAAATCTACTCTACTCTATGAATAGTTAGAAATATGAATATATGATGGCCATCAAAATATATGAATATGTAGTTGCTTGCTATAAGCAATTGGTAATTTTGCCACATTTATTTTGTTAAATGTTGTTTCATCATTTGGTAGTGCTGTGTGAAAAAAAGCGCGAAATATGAGGACGCGTTTTCTGATTGATGATCACATTTCCAGTATCTTTAACTTCTTTTCTAAAGGTAAACACCTATATATACAATGACAGTATCACCAAACGCTGCCGAGCAAGCTTATCTTGACTTGTGTTTCAAGATCATTAACGAAGGAGAACATCGTCCTGACAGAACCGGTACCGGTACTAAATCTCTTTTTGCTCCACCACAATTACGTTTTGACTTATCTAATGATACTTTCCCGCTTTTAACCACCAAGAGAGTTTTCTCCAAGGGTATCATACATGAACTTTTGTGGTTCATTTCCGGTTCTACTGATGCCAAATTATTAAGTGAAAAGGGTGTTAAGATCTGGGAAGGAAACGGATCGCGTGAATTTTTGGATAAATTAGGATTGACTCATCGTCGTGAAGGTGACTTGGGACCTGTTTATGGGTTCCAATGGAGACATTTTGGAGCTGAATACCAGGATTGTGATACTGATTATACTGGTCAAGGATTTGACCAACTTCAAGATGTTATCAAGAAATTGAAGACCAATCCTTATGACAGAAGAATCATTATGTCTGCCTGGAATCCACCTGATTTCAAGAAGATGGCACTTCCACCATGTCATGTTTTCTGTCAATTCTACGTGAACTTCCCTGAAAACAACGATGGTTCAGCTAAACCAAAATTATCCTGTTTGTTATACCAAAGATCTTGTGACATGGGGTTGGGTGTCCCTTTCAACATTGCTTCATATGCCTTATTGACCAAAATGATTGCTCATATAGTGGATATGGACTGTGGTGAATTCATTCATACCTTGGGTGATGCTCATGTCTATTTGGATCACATCGAAGCTTTACAAGAACAATTTACTCGAACTCCAAGAGATTTCCCTAAATTGGTCATTAAGGAAGAAAGAAAGAGTGAAATCAAATCTATCGATGATTTTAAGTTCGAAGATTTCGAAATAATTGGATACAATCCACACCCTTCAATCAAGATGAATATGAGTGTATAAGGCAATAGCAAGTTACTATTTCTTTATTTCTCTGTGTACTATATATCTATACAACTTTCCTTTATTTAGCTCCTAATGCGATTCTTTACGTTAATTTTGTCATATACGGGTGTTTCCTTCTTATCTTCCGGTTCAAAATCATAAACTGACAAATCATAGTCAGTAGTATCTTTCACCTTGCTGGACCCCCCTTTGTGAACATTTGTATTTACTGTAGCTAATGGTTTTCTCTTCTTTCTTTCAACTTCTGGCGTTTCTGACTTGCGCTTAGATGAGGCCAGGCCTGAACTACTTCCACGACTTGAGGGTTTCTGTGTATAGTTAATTAATACATCTGGCCCCACGGCATCCAACATTGCGACTGATTCTCTTCTCATTTTATCCCTCATTGATAAAGGCTTGTAATCGATTGGTTTTCTAACCCGGAAGGATCTTCTAGTTGAGCATTCTTCTTCTTGTTTCACCTCTACAAGTGGTTCGGAATCTTCTTTTGGGGGTTTCTTCCTGGTGGTCTTTGCTACTTTCTTTTCATTAGGTGTTTCCTCGTTGTGTTTGGGTTCTTGTTGTTTCAGGTCCTCCTGGATCTTTTCCTTCGTTGTCTTGGTTTTCTTTGACTTCCTTTTCCCTTTGAGACAAGTCACTTCAGTCTGAGAAGGGGTTTTATATTCATGTTTTTCCTTAGGAGATTCATAGATCTCGATTTCAGTCGTCTTCAGACTTGACTCGATGGGTGTTTTGATTATAGCTACCTTTGAAGGCTCCAATTGCTTCTCTTTCTCGTTTGGTAATATATGTTCTGAATGGTTCAAGTCTGTACTTTCGCTTCCCATTTCAATCAGTTCATTATCCTCAAAAATAATGGAGATATCCTTATTCTTAGCAGTATTATCTGTACCTGCTTCATAATCTTCCTTAGTAGGTTTGAAATAATTAAGTAATGGATCATGATGAGAGGTGATATCAAATGCAGGAAACACGCTGCTATTTCTACCAACCTCAACTGGGGTTGAGGTAACTGGTCTTGAGATTACATCTGAAAGTATTCCCAACTGATCATTAGCAGGCAATCCTTCATCTGATCTAATTTTCTTGAAACACTGTAATATTTGATCCAAGCTAGTGAATGTTTTGTTTTCAATAAGCAATAAGGCTTCCTGTAGTGCTTGTTTATAATCGGTTGTAGGAGGAGTTGTAGTTCGTTTCAATAGATTGATTTCTTTGGATAATTCAATGTTTTTCAACTCTAATTCTTTGAGTTTAGACATGATCATTGCATTACGTTGTGCTAATAATCTATTCTGGTGTCTTAATGTTTCCACCACTTCGGGCAGGGATTCTGTGTTTGTTAGTGGTTGCAGTGCACTGGCTGGTGAACGAGCCAGTCTGGTGTTGTTGGAAAATTCAAATCCTCCAGTGGAGTATCTTGATCTGGAGGATACCACTTGTGGCCTCTCTGGTATTAGTGACGATCTGGCCATTGCTTGGTGTGTTGTTATCGTAGTCAGTAGATTTGGCAACACAAATCAAAACAAAAACAAAAACATAAACAAAAAAAAATGAAGAACCAAAAATGCGTAAACAAGATCTAGACCAGGATCTCACAAACTTAAATACACAAATCTAACAGGCATAATGACAAACAAAGAAGTATATAGAAAGCTTATTGAAGCAAAGAAACAGAAACTAGCACAGTACCGTGAGTTTGAGAGTTTGGTAACTCATTTGGCAAATTATACCACGAACATTGGAGAACAGTTGGATCAAATGACAACTGGTGCCCAGGGTGTTAAAGAAATCGTCGAAAACTGGGAACTTGTTTTACAGTCGATATCGCTTGCTTCTCTGGGGCTAACAAAGTACGGAATTCAAGATATAGAGCAAGGAAAAGCTGCTCCTGAACCTTTGGTTCGTGTACGATTATTGACTGATGAGGAGATCCAGGAAGGTCAAAATAATGACCAAAAAGAAGAGCAAGAGGAAGGAGAGTTGGACAAGGAAGATCAAGTAAACGATTCAGGCGAAGAGAACGCTTAAAACAGATATATTTCTAAGCTTTTATTACTATACAATGGTGTAAGGTTTATGGTTATTGTAAGGAAAGTCTTGCTTCTCCCTTCGCTGATTCAATCCAAGCCTTGAAATTATCTTTGGTGAGATTCTTCCGAAGGGTGGTCAACAATTGTTGGTTGAGCTTTTGAACAAAAATATTATCCTCGTCATCGTCGTTTATAACTGGATTTTCCAACAATGAATCGAGTTTGGCAATAATATTTGGATTCAATTTGGTTGCTTTCAAAGTCTTGTATAATGTTGAATCTTGGACGTTTTTCCTAATCACATCATCATTGAAATTCTTTGAGTTAAATTGAGAAATTACTTTATCGTCTTCTCCAAGAACTAATAAACGTAACCAGACTAGTTTGGTATAATAATCAACCAAGCTTTCGTTATATCCTGCTTGAGCAACATCCAAGGCATACGCGAACCCAAGCTTATCAACCAAAGTAGGCTTTATACTAGTTAATAAGTTAATTAATTCAGTAGATGATAATTGAATATTTTCAACCAATCTTGAGTAGTAGCCATCAACCAACGGCTCAATGATGTCTTTGTCGATGGCTCTGTTGGAGAAGTTCTTGATGAAAAATGAAGTAGACAACAGTTCCATTCTTTGTCCAGATAATTTAGTGATAGCATCAACACATTTACTTTGATATCTAATCATTACCAATTGAGTTTCAATTTCTTCTAATCTTTCGTTAGTTAATTCCGGATTTTGCTTAGCAGCAATGGTGGATAACTTGGCAAGTGAATATTTGACAGATTTATTATGTAGACTATCAACAGATTTATCTTGAGCCGATTGTAAAAGTGAATCAGAAGCTTGTCCAAATTGTCCATCTATCAAATACCTTATCCATGATACTTTAGCTGCTTGTTTAGGGTTGTTTTGGAAGTACTCAATAAGATAATGTTTATAATCAGGGAAATTCAAGATAAGTGATTGGATCTTATCATTCTTTAAGTAGTAATAATACAAGCTTGCAGCAAATTCATATCCAAACATTTCGAAATATTTGTTAAACTGGATGTCAGATTGTTCAATTTCATATAAATTATCACCTCTTTGAGCATCAAGAATTCTTGCTAATGAGGCAAAATCATGATACTTCTCCGTAATTGCGATGGCTTCATTGTTCAAATCCAATACTAAGAGAGCACCAATCCAATCTTGTTTCCTTGCCTTGTACCAACTCTTGTATTGCTTAAGTGCATCTTTAGTGTCTGGGGTGATTTCCATGTACTTGATAGCACTATTGACAAAATAATACAAAACTTCAACTAAATGGTGAACATTATCTTTATGGTATTGATCAACCACTTCTACCTTTCTTGCCACAAATTCATGATTGAAAATCTCTTCCACTCTAACAATTAAACTAGTATCGAAAATCCAGGATTTATAAGAAGGAATTTCAGGGTGATTTATGATATATTCCACTTCATTCAAATAAACTCCCTTGTATAAGGTATTCACAAGAATCGAGACGAGTAACGATGACATGTTTTTCTGGGTAATTTGTTCAATAAAAGCAGTAAGAACCGGGTTTATGGACCCAAGACCATGGATGTAAAATTCTCGTAAAATATCATGAGAGCCAGTCTTGGTTTCTTTGACAATTATACTTTCTAATGCTTGTTTCAAATCAGAGCTATTAGAATCTTGCTCGATAGAAATCCAAAGATTCATGGCGACATTTGCTTTTTCTAAATTTTCAACAATACGTGGAATAATCTTGGCAGAAATCTCAGGAAAGTTTCTCCAAGTATATTTAATTAACTCTTGATACAATTTAACTTTTTCCTTGGTTGAATCACTAATTGAAGGTAATTTGAGAATATATGGTGAACTTGAATTAAGAATTTCATCAATAATTAATTCAATAGCTGATATTAGAGTTGAGTTATCAAACTTTTGGTTAACATCAAAGTCAATTTCGGAAGAGTTGGAATAGAATATCCCTTGCTCAATATGAGATTTGACAATTAACAATGGATCACTCTTAGATTCATCGTTATCAATATCCATACCATCATCCTGGGCTTCATCTTCTTCAGAAAACCTTTCTACTCGTAACACTCCGTGTTTTTCCGTGATTATAATCACAGCTCTGTTTGAAGTTGGAGATTGGTCCTCATACCCAGTTCCAATAATCTCAACTGATGATTTTAAGCGGATTATATCTTCCCATCTTGGTTTGTAATATGAAGTAAAGGTAGATTTCGAATCAATATATGAAGTGTTCAAGTCGGTAATAATAATTGAATTTTCAACAATGACAAAAGCTGTTTTCCCCGGTTGAGGTAAATATAATTTTGGTTTTGTAGATAATTCTTTTTCGTCATTAAACTTTAGTTTATGGGAACCAACTAGCAATCCTCCTGAATGGTTAATTTTCAATGTCATTAACATCAAAGTCTTTTGTGATTCATTGTAAATTTCATCAACATAACAAAGAGCCAAATATACGTCGTCATGAGTTAATAATGGCCACATGTCTAAGAATTGAATGTTTAATTGAGATCCTGGTAAATATCCATCAATAGAATTTTCGATATATGGAATCAAATTTTGTCTAAATGATTTCCTGGTATCAATATAAGGAGAAGCAGTAGCCGAAAGCAAATTGTAAACAACCAAGTTGAAATTTCCGATCGAATCCTGAATGATGATCTCTTGAGTATTTCCGTGATTAGTAATTCTTCCTGATCTAATTGAAACAATCTCGTTATCACCTTCAGCAGAAGCAAATCTATTTCCAAGAAACTTTGAAAGAAACGAGCTTCCACCATTTGTACCTAATTCAATAGTTGATAACTGAGGCTTGCTCTTGTAATCTCTCAACTGAATCAAGATACATCTTTTGGAAGATGTAGCTACAACAATCCCTGATGGTTCAACGTTCTCAGCTAAAGTTATATACTCGTTTTTGTTCAAAGGGATGGTCAATTGTAAAGATCTATCATTGATCAAGCCCAAAGTAGGAGCATGTTGCACACTTTCATAGAACTTAACTAATCCAGAAATAGAATCAATGGTAACTAATCCTGGATCTTGACTTGAAGTGTTGGCAGGTCTCGTTAAGATTGCCAAAGGAAGCGATGTATTGTTTTCAAGTGGGAACTGAATCGACAATGGAGTAGAATCTGCAGACTTGTAACCCCAAACATGGATTGAATCTTCATTAACAACAAGCGAGTAGTTTGATTCATGGTCACTGTATGCGTTCAAAAAAGTTGGACCTGATTTGGTCTTGTTCTTGGTGAACACTGAAGGAAGAGCAGGCAACCTAGAAACACAATAGTGTTTGTTCTTGGTTAATTCATGCCCAGATTTGGCCTTTTCCTGTGGTTTTTCAGATGGTAGCCTTGATTGGGTCGGAGAGGGTACAACCGACGCAGCTGTACGCGGTCTGAATAGAGAACCTGCCGTCAATGACATGATAACTAAAGATAAACAAAGGCGATGGTTGTAAGTTTTTTGTTTTTACAACACTTTTTTCTCTACGGTTCTTTGCTTAGACAGCAAAAAAAAAAAAGAGTGAGCGTAAATGGAACGAACTAAAATTACATTTATATGCTATAGAACTAACAACTACATAGTCTAGACCTTTTGCTTCTTAGCTCTTGGTTCATCTTCAACTTCATCTTCAGATTCAATCTCGTCAGCAAATTCTTCGTATTCACCTTCTTCTTCATCTTCATCTTCACTTAATTGGTCGTATTTGGACTTCAAACCCTTCATTTTTCTGGTTTGTAATTTACCTAAATCTTGCTTACCAACATGAATTTGGGCCACCTTATCACCCATGAAATCAGTGGAAACATTCTTCTTAACTTTAGCTTCCAATTGTTTTGGTTTTCTGTTAGCTTCTTTTTCAACTTCTGGAGCAGGGGTTATTCTTCTACCAATCTTGAAATCAAATCTTGGTCCAATCTCATCAAGCTCTATTCTAGGCAACTTTTGTCCTGATCTATATGACTTTAATTTGTAAACTCTGAAGTGTAACAAAGGTAAGTTTTTGTCGCTGGCATTCAAATCTTCAATCTCGCCTACAGATAATGCAATAACATATTGTAACCCAGCAACATCTTGTAAATCGGTTTCTTCTCCACGGTAGAAATCCAAGAATAAAGATTTAAGATGTTGGAAAACTGGATGGGAATCAAATGCAGGACCGTTAAATACAAACATTGGTTTTAATCCGATCGTGAATGTTGTCTTCTTGAAATCTTGTAATAACTTGTAATTTTGTTGTATAGATAATTCAATCATATCATATACCTTGTGGTTGAAAAATCTAGTAAATATTAATGTGTTTGGACGTTTCTTGTTATTTGAAGAGAAAACCATTAATGAAGAATCATTCTTTTCAGAAAAGAATTCTAATTCAGCTGCGTCCTCAAAAGGTCTGATTTCATTCTTACGACTGAACTTCTTGGCATGTGGTTTCTTTAATGCCATCAAATCACACATGGCATCGTGTAACATCTTATTTCCAGTAGAACCTGGGACAAATAATGCACTCTTGGTGTTTTCCACTAACTTGGCTTCTTTCTTTGCAAGAGCTCTTTTAGAACGAGCATTCTTAGGTTTGCTATAATTATGTTAGTATGACACTCTCGATGAAACGATATCTCCTTCTGATTATACATACATTGTTCTGATCATTATGTCTAGCCTTAAAGCACAAGATTAAATCACTGATTAAAAAAATTAATTTTTTATTACGATGAGCATTGGAAATTTTGGAAATTTTTTTTTCCCAGCCAAATTTGCGACTGGAAGCAAATAACGAAGTGCCTTTATTTAAACGAGGTCTACTATACACACAAAAAAGTAAAGTCATAACTCTAAGATGCTCAAAGGCAGCTGTATCAAATGTAGTTTATATTAGCACTATCTAATATTGGACATTTTGACGAGAATATGCAAAAAAAGGAATTAGTAAAAAAATAGGTCGTACCCGGATTCGAACCGGGGTTGTTCGGATCAAAACCGAAAGTGATAACCACTACACTATACAACCGAATTGTACAACTCAAAATTTCTATTTTTCAAAATCTCATCTAAAATGATGACTCACGTGATCAAAGATATATGGATGGTTTATTGTCAAATCATGAGTCTCATCACCTTTCAGCTTGGGCCAGCTACCAGTAATACAGATGATGTTGATTTATCTGGTACTTGCTTTTGAAAAGAACATACTCTTTTTGCTTGCTAACTACCTCAGTAAATTTGTTCAAAATTTGGCTTGAAAATGTCAGAATTTGGTTGCAAAAAGTAGAAAACCTGTTTCCTGTGTAACACCTTATTGAAATTAAAGAATCTGTATACTGAGTGTATTTGTCAATTAAATATGAATAGAGAATTATGTCGCAGTTATGACCGAGCCAATACGTCGTCTTTGACCTTAGTTTGTATTTTGTGATCGTTATGGGAACTATAAAAGCAGAAAAATTCTACTCCATGAATTTGAATTGAAGGAAGGACACCCTTCTACGTTAGATTCAACAAGACAGTTCTTTATATTTTATTTGGTTTGGAAATAATTACAAGGCCGTATGAAAATCTATGCCTGGGTTTAGTTGGACGGGTCTACTTAGCTGAGGACACTTGAAAGACCATTCAAAACCCCCACCTTTGTTTGATCTTATTACAATTATTCCAAAGTTTGCAAATTCCCCTTTGCAAAATATCTGTCCCGTTTGGAACATTCTACAAGTTCGCTTTGAACGTTATAATAAGAACTGTATTGCATTTAGACTGGGCAGTTTCTGAAAGGGATTTCACACTACAGATCATATGAAAGGTCACCATAATATTTTTAAAAGTATGGACCTAAGTTAGGCGACTTTCTCAAAAGATCTTACGATCCCTTTCACAGGTTTACAATTTATTCCAGCTACCAGGATTGCGAAATTGCGATACATTTTTAGGCAAGACTAATTGCGTGTCAAATTTTTTTTTCTGGCTCAAACCCCTCGGTTTTTGGAACAAAATGCGAATCGGTGAATTTAGCGTTAGGCTTCCAAGTTGGGAAATGCTAAAGCATCGGATAATTACGGAATAAATATCATAAAGCCGAACAGAACTACTGTGGTGCCCCCCCTCTTTTGTGTTCTTTTCATCACAATAATTTGGATGTTTGTCGTAGTAATGTGCCGAGCACGGAAACTGAAGAATCATGTGATAAAAATATTTTCTACAGTGAGTCACCTCTCTGCCACCTCTCTGCCACCACTCCGCGAGCATTTTGAAATCGAATGAAAAATTGACTAATTCAATACTAGCATAAAACGAATAATTAGTAACCCAGGCAACACCAATTTGTCCTCGGTTGGACATTTTCACTATTTCTGGTGTTATGACTAAGCGGTTAAGCCCATGTAAAAAGAAATTTCACTTCCAATTGTACGTAATTCACCCCACTTCGGTATGAATCAAACAAAACAAAGAAATCGATTGTTTTTTTTGACTCTCCTCCTCACCTCCTCCACCTAACTTAACCAATAAAAAATTATTTGGTCGACTGAAAAATTTTGTTTCTTCCTTTCGTCCCCTCCAAAAAAAAAAAAAACCTCGCAATTTACTGCCCATATAAATCACAAATAAACCCCCCCCCTCAAAAAGTTTAAACTTTTCCATCCCCCTTTTCTCTCTTCTCTTTAAACCAGTTATCAACCATGTACAGAACTCAATTAGCTAAACAAGTCTCTACCAAGAGAATCTTACTCAAACAATTCTCTACCACTTCTCAATTGTCATCTTGGAATGATATTCCATTAGCTCCACCTGATAAGATTTTGGGTATTACCGAAGCTTTCAAGGAAGACAAAAATACCAAGAAAATTAACTTGGGTGTTGGTGCTTACAGAGACAACCAAGGTAAGCCAATTATTTTCCCAAGTGTCAAGCAAGCTGAAACCAAGCTCTTGCAAACTGAAACTGAAAAGGAATATACTCCAATTAACGGTTCCAAGACTTTCCAAAACATTGTCAAGAACTTCATTTTCAACAACTCTAACAAGGATGCTAACGGTAAGCAATTGATTGAAGATGGCAGAATTGTCACTGCTCAAACTATCTCCGGTACCGGTTCTCTTCGTGTTATTGCTGATTTCTTGAACAGATTCTACTCTTCCAAGAAGATTCTCGTTCCTCAACCAACTTGGGCTAACCACGTTGCTGTTTTCGCTGATGCTGGTTTAACCCCAGAATACTATGCCTACTATGACAAGTCCAAGAATGACTTGGATTACGCCAACTTGAAGAAGTCTTTGGCTGAACAACCAGAAGGCTCCATTGTTCTTTTACATGCTTGTTGTCACAACCCAACTGGTATGGATTTGACTCCAGAACAACAAGACGAAGTGTTACAAATCGTCCAAGACAAGAAATTCTTCCCATTGGTTGATATGGCTTACCAAGGTTTCGGTAGTGGTATTCCATATGAAGATATTGGATTCATTAGAAAGTTGACTGCTTTAGCCAACTCCAACAAGATTCCATCCTTTGCATTATGTCAATCCTTTGCCAAGAACATGGGTCTTTACGGTGAACGTACTGGTTCTATTTCCATCATTACTTCTTCTGGTGAAGCTTCCAAGGCTGTTGAATCCCAATTGAAGAAGTTGATTAGACCAATGTACTCTTCTCCACCAATCCACGGTTCCAAGATTGTTGAAACCATTTTCCAAGATGAAGCCTTGTTGCAATCTTGGTTAAGCGACTTGAACCAAGTTGTTGGTAGATTAAACACTATCCGTCAAACCTTGTATGATAGATTAGACAAGACTAACTACAACTGGGACCACTTGTTGAAGCAAAAGGGTATGTTTGTTTACACTGGTTTATCAAGTGAACAAGTTATCAGATTGAGAAATGAATTCTCTGTCTATGCTACTGAAGATGGTAGATTCAGTATTTCTGGTATTAACGACAACAACGTTGAATACTTGGCCAATGCTATTAACGAAGTTATTAAGAAGTAATAAAAAAAAGTTTTATATATAGTTAATAAATGAAAGTATGAGTATTATAATTATAACCAATAAGGTAAAGAAGCAAATTTACTGGAGGTATTGCAAAAAATTGGCTGCAAAGTATCAAGTTAGCTTCACATGTGAAAGCACTGGCTCGACCTACTGAAAAAAAAAAACTTGTCACTGTCCAATAGACAATATGACAAGCCAGTACTATCCACAAATAACAGAGTTTAGAATTGGAATTTTTGAAAGAATCCTCTTGACAACCAAGAAAAGTTCCGCCTAGAAACAAGCAGAAGTGCAGAGCCGAGAAGCTTCATCCATGCCCGGGCACGTTTACAACTGCCACCTCACGTCAGATATGAACTCTCAAGGAGTCGAGCTGCGTTTGGCGGGTGGGAGGTTTTTTTTTAGTAGATCATGATGTTTTGGACAGCCTCAATAGCGGGGCTGGCAATTGATGGTTTCGCAGTGGAACAATGGGATACCAGCGCGATGAAACTATGAAAACAATCGAAAAAAAAACACGCTAGAGATTCCAAGAAAAACCACACAAGTTAATGGTGACTTCTTGGCTAGATCACTGATGAGAAGTACACAGACCAACCGTGCACGGGATGGCAAAGTTTAACATATTAGTCATACTGTTGGCATAGTTTAATGATGTAATAGTTGAGCATTCCTACACAAAATCAAAAAGACGCGAACTTTTCAAAAATAATTTTTTTTGTTTGAAAGAAAATCAGCACAAGAAAAAAAAAAACTTTAGTTTTGTCTCGTCCCCCTTAAAGAAAAAATGGATCTATTTTTAATCTATGCAGTCTTCAACAAATCTTACTCTAACTACTTTCTTTCTACAAGGTTCTATCCAGGTGATACCACTTTAATACATCGCCATACACCACCACTCCATCCATAATATACGTCATACAATGGAGAGTGAAAGCAATCCGCACACTCCAGTCGCGATAACACCTCCTGACGGTGAGTCTAGGCCTGAAACTGCACAAACCACCAATCACGTTAGTTCAACAGCCTCGTTGCCATTACCCGATGACAGCGACGACGATGACCAGGATTTAATTGAACACAACAATACGCTTGAATCAACTAATAAACTTTTGCATGATTTAGAACGGAAATTAGCCCCATTCTCCCCCACTGCATCAGTATCATCCTCACAATACACACAAACCGATTCCGTAGTACACAATCCCAATCACGCTGGATTAGGAAAACTGACAATCTCAAGCTCAGTATTACAATATATTATCAATAATGACGACGACGACGAAGAAGATGCAACCAAAAGAATTCATAACAACATCTTTGACCCAAACGAATTGTTCAATGAACGAAATAATAAATTTATGACCAAGTTTGGAAAAGGATATAACGACGATAAAGTACATCAACAGCGAAAATTAACTCGAAAGAATTCTTTAAAGGTGAATCAAGATAGATTAGTCAAGAAATCAAGTGATGCTTCATTGAATGGACATATTGTGAATGATAATACTTCTGTACGGTCAATGGAAGCTATACACGTAGACAACATTGATGACGACGAAGATGAAGATGAAGACTATATATCGGAATCTAATAATGATGATGATGATGATGATTATGATGACTCTGATTTGGATAGTCGAAATGACGAAGATACAGAAGATTTCGAACCATCAACACCCGAACTAAATATAGAGAAGCTCATCGATGAAGATATCGAAACAGAGCAAGGAGACGAAGAAGAAAACCTAGAAGATTTATACTTGCCACCTTCACCACCAAGATCACCACCTCGAGAGATTGACCCCAATAAATTGTATGGTCTTTATGATTTTTCTGGTCCAGACCCTTCCCACTGTACTCTTCAGCGTGATGAACCAGTACATCTAATAAACGACGAAGATAATTATTGGTGGTTGATTCGAAAATTAACCAAGCAAGAGCGCATTGAACGGGGATTGCAGGAAAAAGGAGAAGACCAGGAAGTGGTCACTGACGAAGAAGATGGTAAGGTTGGATTTGTTCCTGCAGAATGTTTGGAAACATATGGGGAAAGATTAGCAAGATTAAATTGTTTCAAGAATGAAGAATTAGAGAAAAAGGAATTGCCATTGGAATCAGTAGAAGGTGGAGAGACAGAAGAGGGTGACAATTCAGTTGATAGTTTGTCATCACGTCAAAATAAAAAATGTAACAAATCAGTTACTTTTGAAAGTTTAGGAGAAATCACCGATGATGATGATGATGAAGAAAACGAAGAAGACACTTTACGTCGACCACCAGGATTTGGATATTTTATCCATGACAAAATAACCCAAGATGAAGATAAACTGGATGAAAAACAACTGGAAATTCTTAGTGATATATTCCCAGAGACTCCCCTCAATCTTCCCAAACACAAGCGATCTTCAGATAAGAAACCAGATAAGTTGAATATTGCAGATGATGCATTTGAAGAATTGTTTATTCAGCCAAAACGTGCTAGTTTAAATACATTGGATGAGATATCCATCGGGTCATATTCCCCAGACACTCCAAGTAAGAAGGAAGAACCAGAAGAGGACGACAACTCTAGCTTAACAAGATCGATTATCTTGGACCGTTTGAGGAAGGTTACTTCAGATATACAAGAGCAGATGGATCAAACCGACACCAGGAGCAAAGAACATATTCCAGAAGTTGAACCGCGTAAAGAGCCTATCTATAGCGAAAACCCATATCAGAGAACAGCACGACAATATTCCGGTACTAGTCCTGAGTATACACAACCTGATTCCGACAACAACACCCTGATTCTCGAAGAGCCGCATGATGGTGGTGACGAGCAACTATCACCCAATTTACAATCTTTGCCAACACCAGAAAATTCGCTGTCTCATTTATCGCTTCATAAATCAAAAAAGGAAAGCATAGATGCAACTACAAGTAGTAGCTTGGAGGATTTAATAATAACGCCTTCAACAAGCGTGAACTCTTCGAGCAACGACATCAAGAATGAACGAAGGAAACTGAAACCAGTGCATGAGATGTTTATGCCGATTTTAGGAAAGTTTGATGAATTAGCCGAGAAGTTGGCTGAATTAGATGATATTTTGAATTCTTAAAATAGATATTTACGATTTAATGATAGCTAGAGACAAACCAGTATGGTATTGCTTAATATACAACTTAATATTCTGTATTTATCTTGATACAACCACCGAATACCACTTATAAAGATAGTTTGTAAACCACCTGCTCTAAACTGGAATACATATTGACAGGTCGTGTCCTCGGATCAAATAAGATCTCTATACAAAACTGGCTCATCAAAATCTCTAAATTTTTTTTTTTAGTAGTCCAAAAAGTTTTGACAACCAAAAACTTTACAACCACATAGTGATTTCTACATATACTGTATAGTCATACACTAACATTCAAACATGTCTTCGTGGACGGCTGATCCTCAGGCGTTGGAGCAATTAAAACATATATTCAGAGGGTCGTTATCCATAAATAACCAAGAGCGTAAGTTGGCCAATGATGCCCTCGATCAAGCTAAACAGGAACCAGAGTTTGAAAACTACTTGTTTGAATTATTAGTCAAGGACACTTCTGCCAAATCCGATGTTCGTGCCGCTGCTGGGATAAATTTGAAAAACAGCATTTTGAAAAGAAGACAGCTGAACCGACAGTACTTGTTGGACAACATCTTGACTGGGTTAACTAGCGATGATTCTATGGTGAGAAATATCACCGGGAATGTCATAACCTCGTTATTCTCAATATATGGATTGGAAGGATGGCCCACTATTTTACCAAATTTGCTAGCATTAGCAAAAACCAGCACTGGAACCGGATTCGTTCCTCAAGAAGCTGCCATGAGCGCTTTGAGTAAAATTTGTGAAGATTCTTATTCCCAATTAGATGTTGAATTTCAAGGCGAGAGACCGCTAAATTTCCTTTTGGCCCTGTTTTTAGAATTGTTGAGCCATCCAAGCGACAAAATCAAAGCCAGTGCTATCCATTGCGTTAACCAGTTTGTTCCATTAAACACTCAATCATTCCTCGTGATTATTGATGCTTATTTGACAAAATTATTTTCATTGGCTCAAGATGGTGGATCTAACGAAGTCCGTAAGAACATCTGTTCTTCATTCTTGTTAATTCTTGAACTGAGACCGGATAAATTGATGCCTCACTTGGATGGTGTTATAAACTACTGTTTGCATTTAATGCAAGAAAATACCAGCGAGGAAGTTTCGCTTGAAGCATGCGAGTTTTTATTGGCATTGTCAACAGCAAGCGAACAAGATAAGGAATTATTCAAACCAAAATTGAGTTTGATTTTACCTATTTTATTGGATAAAATGGTTTATTCCGAAGAAGAAATTTTCTTGATGGAAATAGCCGATACCAGAGATAATGCTGATGTTGCTGATAAGGACGAAGATATCAAGCCACAAAATGCCAAGGGGAAGGATGCACGTACAAGCAATAATAATAGTGTTAATGGATCAGCTAACGGCACCAAGAATCCAAGTCCGGACTACGATTCTGATGTAGAAGATGACGAAGATGACGAAGAACTGGAAATTGATCAATGGAGTTTAAGAAAATGTTCAGCAGCTACTTTGGATGTACTTTCGGAAAATTTCCCTGGTGAAGTTCTCATGGTTACTTTACCTATATTACAGGAAAAAATTGTATCACCCGAATGGCCAGTGCGTGAAGCTGCCATCTTAGCATTTGGTGCTATCAGTGCAAGTTGCATTGAGCTTGCTCGAGATAAATTACCATCCTTGGTTCCATTTTTGGTTGATAGACTACAAGATGAACAACCTAGAGTAAGACAAATAACATGTTGGACCTTATCAAGATATGTTAGTTGGGTAAGTGAGGAAGCTCATGACGGAGGTGAATATGCCAATTACTTCCAGCCAACTTTCCAATCCATTGTTACTTGTGCCTTGGATAAAAAGAAAGTCGTTCAAGAAGCAGCATGCTCTGCATTATCTGCATTCATCGAAGAAAGTGATTCAAGCTTAATTGAATTTTATTTGGAGCCACTTTTAGCTCATTTTGCCAAGTGTTTTGAAACTTATCAACGTAAGAACTTGATTATTTTGTATGATTGTATTCAAACCTTTGTTGAGAAAATGGGATATGAAAACTTATCTTCAAATCCAGAATATATGAATACTTTATTACCTCCATTATTAAGAAAATGGGAAATTTTGGATGATAATGATACCGGATTATGGCCACTTTTGGAGTGTATGGCATCAATTGCCGCTACATTAAGAGAATTATTTGCTCCATTTGCTGTGCCAGTGTATGAACGTGCCATCAAGATTTTATCTAATTGTATTCAATTAGATCAGCAATGTCAAACTGATCCAAGTATCGAAGCTCCTGAGAAGGATTTCATGGTTACTTCGTTGGATTTAATTGATGGTTTAATCCAAGGATTTGAACAACATTCGGTTGATTTAATTCAACAACAACCAGCTCATAACTTAATGGAATTGCTTATGTTGTGTTTTGAAGATTATAATGCCGACGTCAGACAGTCTGCATACGCGTTATTGGGAGATTTAGCCATATTTGTCTTGGATCCTATTGTTAAACCATATTTACATTCAATTTTGTTATCTATTGGCAATGAGATTAATAATCGATCTTATAGCAGTTACCCCGTTTATAATAATGCCATATGGGCCTTGGGAGAAATTGTGATTAGAACCACATTTGAAGAAGTCAAGCCATATTTAAGTAATTTGGTTGATTTGTTGATTCCAGTATTGAACAGTACTGATACTCAATCTACAGTGTTAGAAAATGCTGCTATTTGCTTAGGTAGAATGGGATTGACACCAGGTGGTGCCGCTACTGTTGCTCCTAGATTAGCTGAATTTATTGTTCTGTGGTGTTCACATTTCTTATATCTTGTTGATAATAACGAGAAGGAAACTGGTTTCCATGGAATGATAAACATAATTGGGGTCAATCCCGACCAAGGATTTGGAGGATTAAGCAATCAACAAGGAAAGAAGAATTTGGCAATTTTAATAACATGCATCGGTAACTATCAAAGTCCAACTCAGGAATTACAACATTTATTTACCGATTTAATCAGTAACTATCGTGTCCTATTAGGAGAAGAAGTTTGGCAAAGTCAAGTTTTGACGCATATTGATCCAGAAGTTAGAAATCATTTACAAGTTGTTTATGGGGCATAGAATTCCCCTAATTATATAGATGTAAAGTTACCCTGGTGTAAATTTACCAATTTGTAAACAGTATATAGACTAAATTAATTGAAACTAAAAGCTGTTAATTGGCGAAGTTTATCTTATTATCCGTTCCTATATCAAATTAGACTCCCAAAATTCTGCGTATTATTTCAGGATTACGTGTTGCCAATCCATTGTCAACTTAATCATTAATCGAGGGATTCAGCGGTAAAAGTCATATTTCTCTATCATCGTCATTATTGTAAAGCACTTCATTGACAAGAGTTATTGGTAAATCCCAAACACCACTTGGGGCGTCATGCACGTAATCACACGCCAAGTCCATCAATTGTTTCCTTGTCAATTTCTCATCTGATTGTCCTGGGAAATGAGAATGTTCATCAACAATCGTTCTTATATCATTCAACGGTATTGTTAATACTTCAGTGTTATACAATGCCAACACCCAATATATGAATGCCATAAGCACGAGGGAATACGATGGTATTGCTAAAGCCCAATATCTATCGGGATAATAATATATTGAAAGCTTATGAAGTGTCAGCTCAGGAAGGAGTGTCCAACTTATCCATACGAGTAAACTTATGGTAGCTATCACATAAACTGCAAATCCTTTATATTCAGCATTTTGAGTTACGTTAGTGGAGACTGTAACATCGGATTCTCTCGCGAGAGTATCTTCTTGGTTAGGTCGTGGTGAATTGGATCTTGATAGCATAGATTACAAGGTACTTTATTTTTCGTCCACCCAACTACACTGTCAAATATACTCATACTTGACGTCTAGCAGTAAATATTCAGTTAGTCAGTCTTTTTTTTTTTTCTTTCCCCTTCGTCGTTTTACACTGTTAACTACCTTTAAATTGTACAATAAACTATGTATTTTTTTTAATAGAAAACCTAAACTAATTGTTTTCTTGAACCTTTGAAAAACAATTGAACAATTGTGATTTGTAAAAATGCCATTCCAACCATTAAGGCAACTTCAAATATTGAGAAATAATAAATTCTTGATTCAGTTGATCTAACAGTGGCTTGATTTCTGTTATTTCTAGTCTTGTAATATTGTAAAGTCTTGTATAAACCATCCAATTGTTGTTCAATTTTGTTAACAGTAGATTGCATGTTTTCTACATGAGCTAAAGGCTTTTCATTTGGTTGTTCTGGCATATTGGCCTTGAATCCATTGGCATCATCTTCATTATCAAAAGTAATTTCAAAATCAACCACTTTTTCAGCAAATGTTGACATTTCATTCGAGAAACAAAATTCGTATTCACCAACCTTGTGGGCGGTAAATACGTAATCTCCTTGTCTTTGTTTTTGGTCACTGAGAATAACGTTTCCATCTGGATCAGTAATCACGTAATCAACATCAAATGATCCTCCACTTTGTACGGCAAAGTAGTATCGAATACTGGTTGATTCCCTTTTGGTGAATACATAATAACATGACTTTTCTTGGGCACCCAAGATGAAAGTGAATGCCGAACCAGCAATTAATTGAGATAATCCCAATAATGTCAATATAAATCCAACGAGCATTACTATGTGTATACCGTGATCGGTTTGTGGATAAAGCAAGGTTAAGTTTCCAAAAAAAACTTCAGCGAAAAACTCGTAACTTCAGACGTGTCGATTTGTGTAGACGCTCACGTGACCACAATAAAATTTCAGTCTTAGTATAATTAATGTCATGAACTATAACAGTTTTAATTATGATTATGTGTCTAGTACAAGTACTAATGCTAAATATATACAAGTTTAAGGAGTTTATACAAGGTAAACCATTTTACCGGAACGATCAAACCCAATCCTTCTATCCTTCTTTCTATCTCTTCTAGCAGCACCATAACGGAACCCAGTGTCTTCACTTTCTTTAAGAATAAATTTAAATACAGTTGAATCATCTTTTCTTTCCTTACCATAAATAACAGTTTCTTTCTTACTAGAAACTTCTTTTTCACGTTCTTCTTTAGATTTGACCTTACTTAATTCCTTTAATGTGTCAACAGCAGGTTCTAAATCTAATACCTTAGCTGCATCCAATGGACCAAATGGTTGTGATTCAGCAATAGTCAAGAATCTTTGTTGCAACATCTTCTTTGGAGTTGGAATTTCAGTCAAATTATCACCGTTATTACCACCTTGATAAAGTGGGAACATTCTCTTCATTACATCAGCAAAATGTTGCAAATCCTTCTTTTCTTGGGCATCTAACCCAGACTAAATGAATGTTAGTATAAAGTTAACTTTACTCCTCATTTCTCTGGAATGGGTTGCCTTCAGCGCATAACGTCTAACCATATAAAGTGTCTTAAAGACTAATCGAAAATTTTGTTAAAAGCAATCTCATCATATTGACAACCCATTCTTGAACATTAAAAAAAAAAATACATACAGTTTCGTTAAAACTTTCTTCCACAGCTCTTAATTTTAAAACAGCCTCTACTCTTAATTGGTTGATACCATATTTATGTGATACTTCTTGAATGTGTAATCCATTTTCTCTTACATCTCTCACTATTTCATCTTTTAAGAAATCTGACAACATTAAATTTGTCTTGGTATTGACATTATGAGGGAATGGATGGATTGATGGATTTCTACTTCTCACTGATCTGGAGGTGTTTTCAAAAGTGCCACGCTGACCTACAACAGGGTTTGTTTGAGGATCAATATAATTTGGTCTATTACTTTGGTTTGGATAGTAGTATATGTTCTTATGGTATTCACCCACGATATTCTTAGGACCAAAGAACTTGACCATATTCTTATGGTGGGAAACGTCCTTACGAAAGGACTTCCTAGCATGTGCAATTGAAGAAGTCGAGAATTCTCTAACAAGAGAGCTTGACTCTGTTGTTAGTTGCCTAGCTAACATGGTTGTGTTGAGTTCTAGAAGTTGGTCTATATAAAATGGTTGTCAAAATGAAAATTTTTTCACTGAGCTTTCAATTGGAAGCAAAATTTTTTTCTTCTGGAGAAAGTGAGAGAGTGAGTGGAATCGGTGGTACAGACGAGCTCTGGCTACCAAACATCCAATACATACAAGAATAGCTCATTAATTTATTTGATTTAGTTAGTTAGAAACAACTCATTTGAGTTATGACATATTTCTAAAGAGTAATTTTGATATGATGAGCAATTAATGTTAGTTGCAAGCTCGTTAGGGAGGGCAACTTACTCAATATTGTAAAAAGGCATGAATTCTACTTCCGTCATCCAGAGCCGAGCAATAATATCAGCTCCCAAAACATTCCCAACCTCTGATTTCTATGGTAGTAACCTCATGAATGGAATTCATTGGTAGTTGCAACCAACGCGACTTTCCAACAAACTTTCTCACGACTTTCTCACGACTTTCTAACGACATTGTAAAAACGCCAAGGGGGAATTTTTTAGGCGTCTTTTTTTTGTTGCATTGTTTACAAATCAATTTCTGGATCAAACAACCGGAAACCTAAGAGCAAAAAGCCACCATGCCACAAGTTCTTTCCTCTTCATCGCATGAGATCAGCATGTCTTCCTCGTCTCAGTTTAGGAAAAGACTACCAAGTGATAGAGATGACCCATTCACGGACAAGAAACCGAAATACGAATTAAAAGAATCTCCGTTTAATGTACAACGAAGAAAAAGTGATACAAGTACAAGTATATTTTTACGTACTAACAACTTGATTAAATCTCTCAAGAATGAAGAGTCAGATTCACATATAGCTAATAGAACCACTATAGTCGAAGACGAACTGGAACTGGGTAGAACAGAACAGCAGGAGGAAAATGTTGATGGTGGTGAGGAAGAAGAAGAGGAAGACGAAGTAAGTTTGGAGGTTTTAGAAGAAATGCATAAACTTGAAGAATGTTTCCCCGTGTTGTCCACTGATTATAGATTGATCGACAAAATCGGGGAAGGCACATTTTCAAGTGTATATAAAGCAGAGGCCTTAAATGGCAAGATACGCCTAGGATGTGATATTTGGAGATCTCCCCCCCTCAAAAAGAAATCAAATCATCACACTAAGAAGAGGAGCCCCATTGTTGCCATTAAACAAATTTATGTTACTTCATCTCCCAATAGAATCCATAATGAATTAAGTTTGCTTTATACGTTAACAGGAAGTACTTATGTTGCACCATTACTTGACGCGTTACGATACCAAGACCAAATCTTGGCCATATTGCCATATTATCAACATGCCGATTTCCGAGATTTCTATCGTGATTTACCGGTAAAAGGAATCAAGAAGTATCTTTGGGAAATGTTTCATGCGTTAGATTATATTCATGACAAAGGTGTAATTCATCGAGATTTAAAACCTACTAATTTCTTGTACGATCCATTTAAAGGTAAAGGTGTACTTGTTGATTTTGGTCTTGCTGAAAAATTAACTACTAGCACAGGTACTAAAAATCAGTGTCCTTGTATATCCAAGGAAAAACCAATAAATCGTTCTCATTCTAAGCGACTTAATATTAAAGGTGCATACCCCAAAACCGATTCTAGGCCACCCAGAAGGGCAAACAGAGCAGGAACAAGAGGGTTTAGAGCACCCGAAGTTTTATTAAAATGCACTAACCAAACCACCAAGATTGATATTTGGTCAGCTGGTATAATTGGATTGTCATTATTGACGAGAAAATTCCCCTTATTTAACTCGCCAGATGATACCGACGCATTAGTTGAACTTGTTTTGTTGTTTGGGTTGGAGAAATTACAAAAGTGTGCTGAATTACATGGATGTGGATTAGAAATTACCTTGCCTAATGTAAATCAAGCCCATGGGAACTTGATTAAGCTAGTTCACGATTTCTTGAAACATGAAGATGACAATGGTTGTTTCCCTCATGATAGTGTTATTTACGACACCCTTGGTTTGTTTAACGAAGAAGGGGATAGATTCATCAAGCCACAATATACCAATTTAGAGCTGTTAAGTCAAGAAGAACGGGATTTAGAATATGAGCGAGTTAGAAGAAGCAATGAAGATTACAAAGATCACAAACATTTAATGGAGTTACTTTATGGATGTTTCAAAATGGATCCTACCAAGAGATTAGATAGTAAACAGATTTTGAAATTACCCTTCTTTGCTGAATTATCGCAAACGGAAGATGATGTTATATTATAGTTGCTATACAAAGGTTATTCGTCATATATATCATAATAATCGTCATAGCTTTCATATCCACCTGTAGTTGTACCACTACTTTCATCTTCAAACAGGATCCTCCTTGATCTTTTTCGTGAATTAACAACAACGTCTTTTTTATTATTACTGTCGTTTGTATTAGTGTCTTTAGGGTTAATTATGGCCTTGTTCCAACGTCTATTTAATTTCTTGATTAATTCATTTTGTTCCGATAATGCCTGCATTATAGGTTGTTGAATCTTATGTGCATTGAAAATCTTTGAGTCTAATAAATCATTAGGTGGTGGTGTTGGCAGTGCTTGTGGGAGTGTTGTCATTGGGGAAATACTATTTAGTAATTCCAATTGTAAGTCTTTGGAGATTGCCAATTTTCGTTTAATTAGCATTGATTGCTGAATAAGCGTGTTTGGTTTACTTTTCTTTTTGTGACTTGGCGGTGGGAGTTCCAATGAAGAATCTAGCTGAATAGGATTGGCATCTATATTAGGGCTTGCGATTAGGTGAGGAACGGTAGTTGAAGGAGATGTAGGTAATAAGCTTGTTGGTGAGGACGACGCTTGTGTTGTTGTTGATATTAATTCATCGAATTTAAGCTTAAAATCTCGTTTCAATTGCAAAAACTGACTATGCTGATCTGATGTTTCTCGACTTTTCCTTCTTAATTTGAATATTGGTCGGATTATTGACCTTGTGGGAGTGTGCGTTATTTCCAGTTCTGATTCTTCATCGGAAAGTAATACTATACCTGATTTTAACCGTTTTGACATGACATATTCGTTAGTTATGGGTGTGGTCATTCCAGTACCTGTTCCCGCCACGGTGGTCGTATCTGCAGTTGCTGCACCAGCCGCATTGCTAGTCAACGACACCAAACTTGTAGAACTGTTATTTCTGGTATGGGGTCGAATAACTTCATCAAAGGAAATGATTGAGTTCCTAGGACTTTCCAAACTAACAATCGACATACTTCTGGCTGTGTTGGGGGTTGGGGCAATATTATGTCCCTGAATAGGATGCGGAGGAAAAATTGGACTATGCATTGTTGTGGGTGTAGATATCGCCGAGCCACCTCCATGCGAAAGTGGTTGCAGTGGTAATATAGGTGGTGGAGGTGGTGGTTGCGGTGGGAGGACGGATGGGGTCGTTGAACTATACATTGAATGATTTGAACTTATGGAAGTGACTGATGATGAGCGTTGTCTTGATGACATATTTTTCTCGCCTTACCTCAGGGATGGGAAGGTAAAATAGAGGAAAAACCGTCTGATTAAGAAGAAGAGGTAGTAAAGTGGTTAAGGATACGGTAGTGTATGAATCAATTAGTTACAAACTGTCTAACTTGAACTGTGGGGATTGGTTTATTTGTTATGGTTGGTTTGTTGTAAAAAAAGACTGGCGGGTCTAAATCGGATAAATCACTTTTGAAAGAATGTCTTAAACAAAAGAAAAAAGAAATGCGGTGAAGAAAAAAAAAAACAAAAAAAAAAAAAAGAAAAAAAGAAAAAAAAGAACGTTAAAGGGCTGTGGATTGTTTGAGGGGTATTTTCTTTGTTTGAGCAATTTTCTCTTAAAACCAATACACGTTCGCTGAAAGTATATATGGATCTACAATTAGTAATAGGGGTATACCATGGGTGTATACCCAAAAACCACTCGCTCTTGTCGGAGATCCCTCTAGGAAACGATCCTTACTAAAATTTATCTAAAAATTGCAACGGACAGGGACCTGCACGACAAAAGCGCGTGAGGAAGCAACAAATTTATTCAACTCTAACCGAAAAGAATCATACTGGACATGCTGCATCGTCATATTCTTTTTCTAGCACTGACACAAACTAGGTCACAAAAGGACCTTGGCAGACATATGCATTTAACTGGGTAAGTTTCTTGCCAAATTGATGCAAAATTGCAAGACAAGAAAAAAAAATGATTGACGTTGCTGCACTAACCAGCCCTGTTTATGATATTAAGTTTATCGGCAAAGTCACATGGGCATATAAGATGCTGTGTATAGTATCAAATAGAGCAAAACAGCTTCAACCAAGGTGAACGAAAGTATCTCCAATTTAACCAAACCGTCACGTGGTAGCACCAGTAATTTCTACTATTACTTCCGCTAACATTATATGATCTGTTTACAAATAGCTCTACAAAAATGTTCTTTTGATTTGGATTATTCCATTTTATTTATACAACTGATGGCATGCTATCTAACTATACAAATTATTGACCAATTGGACAATTTCTTAAATATTCAACCTTATTCTTCAAAACTCTAACCGATTTAAAGAAAATTTCTTCAGGAGACATTGCCCCGGTGGATTCAACATTGAATATAAAATGATCTCTTTTTCTACCTAATTTAACCTTACCATCAAATTCTTCATGTCTTAAAACTTCACGAGAAACTGTATCCTTTCTAGCGTCCTGTACGTAAGCCTCACCTTGATCATTAATACCAATGACACCTGGAGGGAAACATTTTTGGAAATTAACGGCTAATGCGCCGGTAATTGGTTCACGTATGTCGATAACTGGCATTAATCTATATGAGGCAGTGGCAACTGGGGAAAACTTTGCGTGGTCGCTTCCAATACCTAAAATACAATGAGCTCTAAGGGAGATTTCCTGTCCTGGTCTTAATTTAGCCAATAAGATGTTTGGATCAGCTGGAACAACAGGATTATTCTTGAATTTCTCTAATTGAGATCCATGAGGTTCGAATTTTAAATCAGAAGCATAAACATGACTGTTTCTGTATAATTCTTTAGCATTGGTGGAATTCTTTGGTGCATTAGGGTTCTTGGTACAAACAACATCCAAAGATAATACTATTGTGTTGTCTTCAGTGTATCTATTATTTTCGTCTTGAGTTTTGTCGACCCAGGACAATAAATCAGGATCAACCTTTAATGGAATCAACCCAATTCTATGAGCCAACACTTCGTCTTGGATAACAGAAGTGTTCATAAACATGTATACTGCTTCAGCAGCAACTGAAGGTACTTCAGCAATCATGATACGACGGAATGCATTGGCAATAGATGTATCAATGTGAACTAAATCGAAATTTGCAGTACGTTCAGTCAAGTATTTAATATCAATGTCAAAATTTTGCTTGAATTTTTCAATATCCCATGAAAAATCCCCGGAAGCTTGATGTCCTGGGAAATCAGTAGACGAGGTGTTTGTCACTCTATTATATTCTATACCAACAATATTATCACTCATGGCTTGATGTTAGTAATCAACCTCTTCTTGTATCTGAAATTTTTTTTCCTATTAAAAAATGTTTATTATTCGAGGGGTCATCGCACCAACCGAACAGAAATGATCACGTGACCACAAATGCCTATGTATATTCTATAATTATCTATACAAATACACTTCGGCTATGGAATGCACCTGGGATATCTTGTGCTTGTACATTCGGAGTATCTATTCGTTGAATGTATATATCATGCCTCAATACTCGTTTTATATTACCAATTAAATCCATCGAAAGCAAGAATACATTTCCGTCATATCCATCACCCTCAATATGAGCCCTATCCAACGAACCAGATTCTACTAGCTCGGTAGCCTGTTGTGGTGACTCCAATATTTCAGAATCATTAAGTACACCAACTATGTTGTGAAATACCAACTGTATGAAAAATACAAATAAATCCAATAGTATTAATTCAAACCGATTGTATGGAACTCTTTCGCCGATAAATTCAATAGATATGCCGCCGTACAATGTACCTCCTTCTTGAACACCGAAAAGTAAATGTAATAATATACATATTATATTCCCTGATATTACATTCAACAAGGCAATCTTAATCATTGATTTCTTATGTGCTTCACTTACTTCAATGGAAATTCCCGCGGGTGGATGGATATTAACTATTCCGAAATGAATCATAACCCTTATAAACAATCGTAGCAACAGAATATCACGAAGGTATATTATCGCTATGAGCACAATTTCAATTGTTCTAATTGATTCCCGCAAATCTCGAAGAAAGAACTTTTTCCGCTTATAGAGAATCTGTTTGTTGTTTGTGATGGTTTGCTCTTGGGTAGGGTACTGTCGCGTAGTGAATTCTCGAACATATTGTTCTAGATTGATGTTCATGATGTGGTTGTGAATAGATTGGTGGTTAGGTGGACAGTTTTGTGGGCCAGAACTTGAACTTCGTTTTTTTCGATTCCGTCACCCGCATTTTGGTCACGCTACCATACGGATAACTTTGAAACTAACATTCAGGAGACATTGACTTTGAAAGGGTGTCTTCAACAAAGTGTGATTACGAAAATGATTACTTCTGAAACATGCCACAGAGAATAGCTAATTACTATAATCTAGTACGAAATCAAACTTTGATAGGTAATTTCAAAGAATCTCCAAGGTTTGTTTAAGATGTGGGATTTTAGTAGCAATTACTTCAAACGTATATGTGGGGTTAAGCGATTAGCATATCCGGAGATATTCAACTACTTGAGTGTCAATATAACTAATTGAATGGCTTGCTTCATACTGGTTGCTCGATCAGAGGATTAGGTATTGCCGGTTAGATACCATAAAGTTTTTTTTTTTCAGAGTATGCCAATAGCCTTGTATCAATATTGGAATTATAAATGTTTCAGTGGCAAACACTGTTGCAATTTGACAGCCACAAATATCGTCTTGAGAGAGGTGTATTTGCCTGGAGAATATGAGTAAATTTTGCCATTCGCGTAAGCACAAGGTTTGTATTATTAATACGCTCATTAGTAATCCTAGAATATTACATCATCTCTCCCCCCCCACCATCTACTTTAACCTTCGATGAATGGTTATACGCGGTGGAGATTACAATCTAAAAACTATCTCCGGATGGTTTCTATGATAATGTACGGTTTGCTAAATAATAATTTGACAATTACAAATCGAATATTTCGGACTTTCCATTTTTGGTAATACCCGCACCATAATTGCTCTGATTGATAATCAGGACGATTACAAATCAATTTCTTTTTAGCAACCACTACACTTTTGCAACCGTACAGTTAGAAACAAAACCTCTAAAACGAAAACTATAAATATGACAAAATATTTCCACTCTTTGTGCAGATTTTTTTTGTATTCATCAGATAATTCTGTCTTATATTCATACTAATAATAATAATAACAAAAAAACATACTACCAATGACTTCTTCTACCGTTTTCGTTTCTGGTGCTAATGGTTACATTGCTCAACACATCGTTAAACAATTGTTAGCTAAGAACTACAAGGTTATTGGTTCAGTCAGATCCCAATCCAAGGGTGAAGATTTAGCTAGTTTAGTCAACAATTCTAACTTCTCCTATGTTGTAATCCCATCAATTAGTGACAAAGATGCTTTCTACGAAGTTCTTCAAAAGCACCCCGAAATCACTGTGTTCTTGCACACTGCTTCTCCAGTTACGTTTGAAGTGGACGATGTTGAACGTGATTTATTAAGACCAGCTATTGATGGTACTGTTAATGCCTTGGCTGCTATAAAGAAATATGGACCTCAAATTGAAAGAGTTGTGATTACTTCTTCTGGTGGTGCTGTCCTCGGATTCGACAATTATTTCGAAAGCGACAAGATTTATGACGAAGAAAGTTGGAACCCTATCACCTATGAAGAAAGTAAGTCATCAGGTCCAGTTAATGGTTATTTCGGATCTAAGAAATTCGCTGAATTAGCAGCTATTGAATTTGTTGAAACTGAAAAGCCAAACTTTGATGTTACATTCGTTACTCCAGTATATAACTTTGGCCCTCAAGCTTACGAAGTTAAGGACAAGTCTAAGTTGAACGTTTCTGCCGAAGTTGTCAATACTGTTCTTAAATTCAAAAAAGGTGATGCTATTCCTGAATTTGGTAATATCTTTGCTGACGTAAGAGATGTTGCTCGTGCTCATATTGTTGCTTTTGAAAGTGAGAATTCCAAGGGCAAGAGATTGTTAGTTGGTACCGATAACTTCACTTATGATACTATTGCTTATATTATCAATAAACATTTCCCAGAGGTTGAGATTCCTCAAGGTGATTTATCGAAAAATGAAGCTATTTATAAGCTGATGGTTCAAAAGTATGATAATTCAAAAACCAATGCGATTCTTGGGTTTGATTTGATTGGTCTTGAACAATCCATTGTTGATACAGTTAAGCAGCTTTTAGTTTAAATAGTTTATAGAGTAATTGGATACGGATTTCTTTTATTTACACTTGTAGACAGACTATTAGTTATCTGAATATACAGATTTTATCTATTAATACATGAATTAATACATAGACTACTTCTTTATATCAATACTTTTAATCAAATCACCACCCATAATCTTGATTTGATCATAAATAGCATCCTTATTTATAATAACCAGTTCATCTTCGGTTGGTTTAACATTATAGCCCAAATTAACTCTAAATTTCTTTTTGGAAAGATGATCTGGCATAAATAACCCACAAATGACATTGTCATTACATGGGAACTTCCTGATCGAGAATATGATAGAATTACCAAATTTATCATTTAATTCGGAGAAATATGCTTGCGTTAAATCGTATTTTGTGGTGATATCTTCAGGGAAACTAGTCAATGGTTGGATTAAGTTCTTGAATGTGTTTGGTGGGAGAATACCCGATGAGACAGTCAAATCAGAAGATTTTAAATGAATGACGAAATCATAGTCGTGCAATGCAGGAGTGAAGATTAAATCAAGATTAGATTCAGTGATTCCTTGAGTCTTGATTAAGTTGATAGCTGCTCGTGATAATGCAGTGAGTCTGGTAGCTATAGGCAAAGTGATTTCATTTGACCAAAGGATACCGGATGGATCATCTTTAGATCCAATAAATAATTGAGTTTTCAAACCTAATGGATCAGACTTTCTAATCTTATCAAAGTTAGATTGGATTACTCTATAAGCTTGGATTGTTAATTTATCAGAAAGTTTGTCATCAGCAGTACTTTTAACCAAATCAAGAATCAATGGATCTTGTTTCCAATTCCAAGTAGCTAAAAAGTTCAAGATTTGCAAGAACCCAGATTCAACCGAATGAGGAATGGAATATGGTGCTGGATCAACAAATGGTTTAATAGCAATTAGTTCAATTAATTCATTGCTGAAGTGACTTAATAGCAATTGTGAGTCTAACCATTGTTTGAATAAACGGACGGTGGCAGAATATCCATGAAAATGCTGAGCCAATACACTGATTGTTCTGGTATGTTTAACAACCCCAAGGTATTTAGCATTGAATTTAAGGTAGACATCTTGTAAAAGCGCCTTGTTCTTACCAGAATTATCAACTGCACGCAAATATAATACTTCATCACGTTCAGTTAACACCCTAAATTTAAATCCATATCCTTCTGGAGTCAAGACGTTCAATAAAGAAATGTTCTCATTGTATGGAATTGAATCATCCTTGGTTATAAAAGATGTATAATTGGTCTTCTTCAACACTTCGTTAATCTTTAATAAAAATGCAGTCTTGGTCTTTTCGAGGGTGCTCAATTCATCCGGCCATCTGGTAGAAGATTCGAATTGTAAAATACACTCATTCCAGAAGTCAGGGTTGGAAACAGCAAATGGAACTGGTTGCAATAATGAAGTGTATCTTACTCCAGCCGAAGCAGGTAAGACGGATTTAATGTTCAATGGCAAATCTAATCCAACCATCACTTTATTCAATTGTTCAAATGAATTTCTTAATGCGGTGAAATTAGCCAACGAAGTACTAGTACCAGATAATGGAACCGGCAATTTATTATTAAAGTGAGTAATTTCACTGGTTAAATTCATAGAAATATCCTGGTATAAATGAACATCAAGAACATATTTCATAATGGTCAATACAATTGGTTCATTGGTTGCTGTCCATACAACACAATGTTGGATAGTACCATCTTTAAATCTTCTCAATTGTGCTTTAGAACCCCAGAAAGATCTGAATTTCAATCCTGCTTCTTTATCTTCATTATTTGGACCTTTAGTCACGAGTTTGTCCGATTCTTCAGCATTAAGAGTTAATCCAATTATGTAAGAAGAGTTGTTAGTGTTAGGTTTTCTCTTGTTGATTGGAAAAGTGGTGGTGGTTTCTTCACTTTCGATATGCACTAAGCTAATTCTATCACCCAAGGCAGTTTTCAATATAATAGACAATTTGTTTTTGATGTAATTTTCAAATGTAATGAAGGAAATCTTTTCCAATGGATTGAACGATTCAATGAGCTTATCAGGTATAGTCAAGTTAAGAACCAAATCATATTTCAATTGGTTAAAGTTTGAATTTTGCAACAAGATTGAGTCGAAACGGTCAGTGACAACATCATTAAGTAATAACAAAGTTTCCTTGGCCTTGGTTTGTAATTCTTGATATGAAGATCTGGTCATTTTCCATAATAAATTCAATTTAATATTCTTGTCGAAAACAGTAGGAACTTGAAAACCTTCAGATTTATATACTGAAGTAGTCTTTTCACCAATTAAACTACTAAATGACAAATATCCATTAGTTAAATCCATGGTGGCCAAATACTTAACCACACCCTTGAATAATTGATATGATGAAAAACCATGCAACAAAATCTTATTACCTTCAACACCACCACCATTTAATAATATACTCATTAACATTGCAAATTCAAAATGTCCGAATCCACCTTTATTAATGTCAGAAGTAAAACCTCGTTGTTGTAACCATAATCTACCTAATATACAAGCGTCCTTAAAGCCATCAGTGGTTTTCTTTATGGTGTACAAATACTTCAAATAGTAGTCATATGAAGTTTGGGACAAAATACTTGAGTTATAGATTGGAGTAGGAGGTAATGCGGTATCTTCATTTTCGGTTTGAACTCGAATACAATTCTTATCGGGTAATAACTTCTTACATTCAAAGTTGCCGAATGGTAGCGCAGCAATCAAGTTTATAGTGAATTTTGTCTTATTAAAATGTAAATCTTCGGGGTTGTCGGTTTCAATACTTTGTAAGCTTAGCACAGGGTTTAAAACATCTCCATTAAGGTAATGATAAGATATCTTTATAGGTAAGTTGTTTTTCTTTGACAATGGAATTAATTGTTGCGACAAATATGTCAAATAAAAGGCTCGTTTGTATAAAGCACGGTAGTTCAAGTAGTCCTTTGGTTGGAATAGCAGTTTTGGCATAGTTAAAGCAACGTCAATTGAGCGTGAGCTGGTGGTACAAGTCTTTAATCCAAACGAGCCAACAAGGGCAACATCTTCAGGACGTAAGTATGAAAATTTGTAATTAAGTTTTGTAGGTTTTGGATCTGGGAATGGAATGACTATTTTCTTGGAATTAAACATTGCTTCCACTTGCTGTAATGACAAATCGTTAACTTCAGGTACTTGAGAAATCAAATCATATAATCGATGCAAAACCTTTTCAAGTTTAACAACATGTGTGTCTTTAATCTTAATTTCTTTAAGTAATTCATCAATCTGCAATTTGAAGATATTTGACTTGAAGAGTTCGGCAGTTTCTCTGGCAACTTGAACATCTTGAGCGGAAAGCTGTTTCTTTGGTTTCTTAGTGGGTCTAGATTCTTCTTCTTCTTCTTCTTCTTCGTCACTTTCTTCTTCGTCGCTATTTTCTTGCTCATCTTCGTGTCCTTCACCATTCAATTTCTCCTCTTCTCGATCGGAGAAAGAGGTAAATTCAGTCTCGTCCTTGGCTAAATCAGAAGAAGCTTCATTAGTGTCCTCCAACTTTCTCTTTGCCATGATGAGATGTATGCTATGGTTGTTTCAACTATATATGTTGATATAAAGGAATAATAAACAAAAAATAGCCCAGTAGAACCTTTAAGAAGCTCTTCGTCTTCCTTTCTTGTGGTGCGAAGGAAAAAGATTTTTTCATGCCAAGGGCACGACCTTTTTTTTTCTCCCTTCTATTTTTTTCTGAAAATTTTCCACACATCGATTGGAATCGGCGCACGACCTCAAAAAGCAAATCACATGGTTGCTGGCCACGTGATACAGCGCTGAAAAAAAATGTAACACAGACCAGGTTACACCCTGGGGCGTATACGAGAGAATTATTTAAACGAAGGGAGAGAAATAATATCAGTCTTTTTCCTGCAACTGTCAACATAAAACGGCGATAATGTACTATTCAGAAGAAATTGGTCTTCCCAAGACGGATCCTACTCGATGGAGATTACGCTCATCACCACTAGGTAGTGAAACCTGGCACTATATCACTGATGATGAAGAATTGGCCAAGGAACCGCAATCAACATTTGTTCAATGGTTATTGGAATCACCAGACTTTCCTGCTCCAGAACCAAGTGATATCAAAACACCAGGAGAAGCCATGGAAAAAGGAGCAGATTTTCTTAGACTACTTCAGTTGGATAACGGGATATTACCTTGCCAATACAAAGGTCCAATGTTTATGACCATTGGATACCTTGCTGCAAATTACTTTAGTGGAACGCCTATCCCCGATCCATACAGACATGAAATGATTCGATATATCGTAAACACAGCTCATCCAGTCGATGGTGGCTGGGGGTTACATTCAATCGACAAAAGTACTTGTTTTGGTACAACCATGAATTATGTATGTCTCAGATTATTAGGTATGGATCCAGACCATATTGTCATGCAAAGAGCCAGAAGGACATTACATAAATTAGGCGGTGCCTTGGGTAATCCACATTGGGGGAAATGTTGGTTAGCTGTGTTGAATTTGTATGAATGGGATGGTGTTAATCCTGCCCCTCCTGAATTATGGACATTGCCTTACAGCTTAATCATACATCCTGGAAGATGGTGGGTCCATACAAGAGCGATCTACTTACCCTTGGGTTATGTTGTTGCAAACAGAGTGAAGTGCACTCTTGATCCATTGTTGGAACAAATCAGAAATGAAATTTATTTACCCAAACAGTTACCTTATGAATCTATAAAGTTTAGCAAGTACAGAAATAATGTTTGTGGGGTTGACTTATACTATCCAACCACAAAATTACTTGATTTTGCAAACACAGTATTGTGTCAATGGGAAAAACTTAGACCCAACTGGATTCTCAACTTGGTGAACAACAGGGTTTATGATTTAATTTTGAAGGAATACTACAATACCGAATATTTATGTATTGCTCCTGTGAGTTTTGCATTCAACATGGTTGTGACATGCCATAGAGAAGGTAACGAATCGGCCAATTTTAAAAAATTAACCGATAAAATGAATGATGTCTTGTTTCATGGTCCACAGGGTATGACAGTTATGGGAACAAATGGGGTTCAGGTTTGGGACGTTGCTTTTATGGTTCAATATTTTTTTGTTAGTGGATTGGTAGACAACCCTAGATACCACGACATGATTAGAAAAGGGTATATGTTCTTGGTTAGATCTCAATTTACTGAAGATTGTGTTGAGGGAAGCTTCAGAGATAAACGTAAAGGTGCATGGCCGTTTAGTACCAAGGAGCAAGGATACACTGTCAGCGATTGTACTGCAGAAGCAATGAAGGCTATTATTATGGTTAAGAATCATTCTGCTTTCTCAGATATTCATGATGAAATTACCGATGAAAAGTTATACGATGCAGTCGAAGTGTTGTTAAACATTCAAAATACCGAGAGCTATGAATTTGGATCGTTCTCGGCTTACGAAAAGATTAGATCAACTTTACTTTTGGAAAAACTTAACCCTGCCCAAGTTTTCAATAATATAATGGTTGAATATCCTTATGTTGAATGTACAGATTCCTCTGTCCTCGGCTTAACCTATTTCCACAAATATTATCCCAACTATAAATCTAGTCTTATTGAATCAACAATTGAAAATGCTATAAATTACATTAAGAAAGCCCAAGACACTGATGGTTCATGGTATGGATCTTGGGGAATTTGTTATACTTATGCAGCCATGTTTGCTTTGGAGGCATTCAACGCTGTAGGACTCGATTACGAGACATCTCGCAATGTACAGAAAGGGTGTGATTTCCTCGTGTCTAAACAACTATCCGATGGCGGTTGGTCAGAGTCAATGAAAGCTTGCGAAACCCATACTTATGTGAACGGACCCAAGTCGCTTGTTGTACAAACTGCATGGGCAGTGATTGGACTATTATTAGCCAATTATCCTGATGAAAGACCGATAAAGAAAGGTATTAAATTTTTGATGGATAGACAAAAACCAACGGGTGAATGGGAGTTTGAAGATATTGAAGGTGTGTTCAATCACAGTTGTGCAATTGAATACCCTTCTTATAGATTCTTATTCCCTATAAAGGCTTTGGGATTATATAAGAAGAATTATGGTGATATAATTTAGATGTACAGGACATATAGTTGTTTTAGATTTTATACGTATTATGACAATTTTAGTATAAATTGCCCAATTTTTTGCAACACTTTGTAAGTTATTTTGAATGTGAATATGAGAGCTAATTTTAAATCATCGATTTGATTATTAAGGGTATCATAGAATATAGTGAGTAAATATTTGGTTCTCTTTGACGGATTCTCGAATAAAAAATTATATTGCACCGCCGATATTCATTCTGCGTTTTCCTTCTTCAAACGAGTCCTTGGAAATGTATCTTCTTTAGAAATTTGGCAGGCTTGGGTTGTATAACAGAATACAACCACCCCCCTATAAACAATGAAGAGCCCACCAATATCTGTTCATCTAATCTACTAGATCTCTTAAGGGTCTGCTTTTGGGTAAAAGGGAATCTCATATCTACATTCTAGCTCTCTGAACAGGTTTACCTATGGCAATCTCTAAGTTTATTAGAATTAATATTTGCAGGAATTTTCTAGCCAATCTTATTTGTTAGTTTGTTAATCAGAACCAAGATTGTATTTTTGGTGAAATTACTATGAAATTTCAAGATACAAATTGCGAGTGACTCTACCTACTAACACTATCACTTTGCTTGCATCCTCTAACGAGGCTTAGATTACAGCTCTATCAAGATCGTGCAGCAACGTGCATAGTCGCAAAATTACTGCAAAAAAAGAAATCAAAAGTCAAGACGTGTTAAATCTGTGTATTAAATAGTAGTTGTTGTAGTAGTAATAGTAGTAGTAATAAAATAATAATAAAAGAAGAAAACAAAGTAGAAGTAGTAATAATAAATACCGGTCCCCAAATATCTAAAAAAAAGTTATTGTGAAATGAATAAAAAATAGATTAATCATTAGTTCTTTGTCAAGTGGATAACTTTAGCACCAAAGTAAGAGTTTTGTGGAGTTGCAGTACCAGCAAAAGCGTTATAGAAACCTAAAATTGCTGTAACAACACCAACACAACCACCAGCTCTAGTTATACCAACAGTTCTTGTGAAGTCACCAATACATAACAAAAGGAAAGTTATAAACAAACACGAGAACAAGGCACAGAAGAACACAGTGGACTTAAGAGTCAACAAAGTCATCATGAATGTAAAGATGGTCCAACCAAGTAAGAAGAATGAAACTGCATCAGCCTTCATTTCAGGTTCTTCTTCATAAGCAGCACCAACACCGAAGGAAGGAATTAAAATAGCAGCATAGGACAACCAAAAAGCACCATATGAAGTCAAAGCAGTAGCACCAAAAGTGTTACCAACAACCATTTCCCAGATACCAGCAAGGAATTGGACGGCACCACCATAGAAGGCAGCCAACCCCAACACGGCATGAGGGATTTTAATACCCATGGCTTGTGCGTTCACCATACTCAAGACAAAAGTAGTTAAACCGAAAGCACACAACCCTAATGGGGCAGGATTGGCAAATTTATGTACTGGTGGAGGTGCTAAACCTGGGTTTAAAGAACCACCGAAAGCTTCCATCAATTCGTGTCTATAGTATTTCTTGTTTCCAATAATAACAAATTCATTACCGGCACCAGCGGTTTGAATTTGATGAACTGGATCATTATCTGTGTCTAACGAATGATCTTTAGACTGCATAGAAGAGTTGGACATATTTTAAAGATTATTTGAGGATAGAGAAAAATTGTACAATTGCTCCCAAAGAGATTCCGTGCATGGCTATGTTTATATACTTCTTTAATTGTGGGTGTAAAATTAAAATTTGCAGATATAAGAAAAAAAAGTCTGTCCGATTGCCAAGATTTACAAAATAAAGTTAAGAAAAAGAAAAAAAAATTTAAAAAATTCTTAAAAGAAACATTGTTCAATCTGGTGATTTTATTTTCATGTAGGTTAACTCGGAGGAATTTTCACGGCTTCGGAGTTGCCACCTGGCTATTAAGTATGTGAAACGAGATGTTGACTTAGCTTTTTTAGGAGGGGGAGGGGTAATCTTGAGGGGTATTCTCCAGAATTAGTACATTTTCTTGAACAACTTCAAAAATTTCTGGTCTAGGAATATTTGCTTGAAGTAGTCGTGCCAACAGGAGATTTATTTAAACATGACGTGAAGCTTGCGATCTCCCCACAACTTTAAAATCAATTATGAAACTATTAGACAACGCTTCTCTTAGAAATTCTAGTAATGAAACAGGACTGGTAAAATTTCGTAATGACACATAAGCCGTATGATCTTGAAATTTATTTTTGCTATTTTGTGTTTAGTAACATAAAAAGCCCTCTTTTCTTTTCGTAAATGGTGCACGGTTCTGTGGGTACTCCCCGCGATTTTGCCCCACTCCCCGCAACTTAGGATAATCAAAGCGAACTCCGAACTCCCACTAAGAAAAAAAAAAAGAAGGTTGAATCATAGTTTGTGGGGCTTTGGATATCTTAGAATGAAAGTGTGGGGGTGATCCACAGCTAGATAAGTGATACGAAAGTTTCACCTATTAATATTGCTGGTGAAAAGTATAAGTTCCGCAATCTCAGTCAAGGGAATGTATTTATAAACGCAACTGACGTATTACTTTAGATCTAGTATGATATAGGAAGTCATTGTTAGGGGTTATACCGGATCTAGACCCCTTTTTTGGAGCCAGATTTTGAGTACGAGCAATTGCATACATTAGACTGACCTTGAGGAAAATTGTTATTTCTCCGCACAATTATTTATGCAATTGAAATTATTATCAACTAGTACACATTATATTACAGCTACTGCTAATTAGTAAAAGTTGAACGGGGGGTTTGTCCTACAGACGAACCAATTTTGCCAATGAAATTTTACCTAAACGAATACAGAGCAATTAAATTTAAGCACATATTACCGAATATAGAAATCTAGCCCTCGAAAGCGGCGTTTTATGTTTATTTTCTTCCTCGTGTAGTCACTCCGAAGGTGGGGCTGGTCTTTGACAATACCTTGTGTTTGTATTGGCCAAAATAGCAAAACTCGATTTTTGTGTCACCATGATTTTTATTCTTGGCGGTTTTTCTCCAGTTTTGGATGCTTAAATTTCAAACATTCTCTTAGCACAACAAATGCCTAGCATGAATGATATTGGTTGCTGCTCTAACTCCCGGGGAGTAACTCTCAGTACAATGTAAATAAACAAGAAAGTCAAATATGGTGATCAATTTAAAGTTTTTGAAAAGTTTAAAAATAATAATATATATTTTTCATCGAACTTTAAGTTTGCCCAGATAAGATTAGAAGTTAATTTTTTCAGGAATGACTATTGTTTTCTTCAAATTGTGAATGTAAATTAATGTTGATTCATGTAGATAACCAAAGACAATGGTCATTATACCATACAAGTATCATCTGAAATGAAATATGTCTGTTTTGACCCCGCAAAATCAACCATCTAAACCCCTTACAGGGTTTCATCATTTTAGGAATGTAAATCTTGCAAAAAGCCCGCCTCGAATAACGCCTCTTCAATGAAACACAATTACGACATTAAATTCAACAGGGTCAAAACCATTCCCCGGCCAACCTCGGAAACCTCGGACGAGGTAGATATTTTTGCACCCAATGTAAGGTCTTTTATTAAAGCAATCTATATCTTATACAATCTCAATTTGACTAAACTCTTTATTCAAATTCTTAAACAATTTTTTACTCTTGCCAATCTTCAGTCTTTGGAATACTCGCTTATACCCCATAGCTACTTTCTTAAACCAGTTGTGTTCACCAATCATCATCACTCCAAAATTAACCACCGAGAATAAGACAATATAGCAGTAAAATGCTGTACTTAAATTAGTCAATTGCATGAAATCACCAAGTCCAGAGTTACCATCGATGGAAAACATCCACATTGAAATTAAGACCGCAAATACTAAATTGATCATGAATGGGTAATTCTTGAGCATTGATTCACGATATGGTGGTCCTTGACTTAATACAACGGCTATGATGATATACTGAAAGTTCGAGAACAAGAATAATACCGTATTATCCAGAGATTTCACAGAGTCATCACCTCCAGGGACTGGTTTTACGTACCATGGTTCAGTCTTAACCCATAACCAAAGAATAACTTGGAATATGAGAATGACTATGATTTGGCAAATGAGTGGAATCAAGATCTTGGGGGAAACCAAATTTGCCGTGGGTCTTTTGGCAATTAACTCATTATATGGCTTGGACCATGACATAAAAATAGCTAATGGGAGAATAAGGAACAAGTCAATGTATAAAAATTGGAAATCACCAAGATTAGTACCTGTTTTGTATAATATAGTCACAGTAATAAACTGGATAGCCGAATACAAGGACATATACTTGAAACACGAAAAACTGGTGACTAAGCTTGATCTACCTTGTTTGATAACATCTAACACACATGAAATTTCAAACACTCGAGAAGTGAATGGAGCAGCTACTGATGCTTCGGCTTCACTTAACGATATACCAACATCGGCTGCTTTTAATGCACCACAATCATTTGCTCCATCACCACAGAACCCAACAGTATAATCAATCTTTTGTAACTGTTCCACTAATTCATGCTTTTCATCTGGAGACATTCTAGCAAAAACGTCACAATTCATAAGCACATTTTGAATAAGGTCCTTGTTTTTAATTTCAGTAAGGAGAATACGGAATATGTCACCTGTTATAGCAAGTTTGTATGCATCTTGTCTAATATTATTTGGTTTAACGGTATCTGGATTAAGAGTATTTGTTGGATCATTGACTTCTTCCCATGTGATGAGATATTCACCATCTTGTTTGTAGTCGACTGAAGGAACGTAAATCTGTTCGATTTTATCTGGGATCAATTGACATTCACGAGCAACACTAATAGCAGTAAGAATGTTATCACCAGTACACATAATAGTTCTAATTTGAGCATCTCCTTGAAGCTTCTGCAACGTTTCCTTTGTTGATGCTTTTAATTTATTTTCAAACACAATGAAACCAGTGAAGATAAGTTCAGATTCGGCATGTTGTCTATTCGTAACTTCCTTAATTTGCTTATACCCACATGCAATGACTCTATATCCAGAATGAGTATAATGATGAAGGATCTCTTCGTAATTACTAGGTAAAGTATCAACTTGACATATTTCCTGCATGACTTCAGGAGCACCTTTGGTAAACACTAACAGACCTTTATCGGATTTAACAATTACCGACATTCTTCTTAACGAAGCCATGAATTCAAACTCATGAATGATTTCATATTGTGAGTTACCTTGAAATACAATAGGTACATGGGATTCCCCGTTATATTCCCAGTTGGTAAATTCAAACATTTTCACATCCAAGGGGTCACCTAATAACTCATTGTCTATGTGTCTTAACGAATGACAAGAAGTCATACAACCAAGCAAATACTTTCCATTATTAGTCGAGTGTTCGGATGCCTTGCTCACACCTAAAGCGTTAACATCCTCAAGTAAATCTCCAAATATAATTTCTTTTCTACCTTTGGCATTATTAGCTAAATGAACACCCAATACATCCAATCCATCTTCAGTCAATGTCCCAGTCTTGTCAAAACATAATACGTCTAATTTACCAGCAACATTAACTCTCGTGGGTGATATACAGAAGATTTGCAATTTCTTTAATCTGGATACGGCGAATGTAGTTCCAATAGTTAAAGTAGCTGGTAATGCAGGGGGCACTACAATGGTGATGATATCCAATGCACGTAATATCATAATCTTTTTGCTGATTCCCAATTGAATGAAATTATACGTAGAATAAGTGAACCCCAAGGCGGCAATAATAGTCATGAATCCAATATATTTGAAAGAATCACGATAAAATTTAAATCCAGTTGGCTTAGGGAAAAGCATGGAACGGATTAAGGATCCTTTAGTGGTGTTGAAACCGGTACGTATTGCCATGGCGGTAACTGGTTGGTCATTTCCTTTAATCTTGAGAAGTTTAGTTCCGTTGAATAAAAATGATTTCGAAAGTGTAGCATCAATGAAATTGGAAGTTAATAAACGGACAGTATCTTTGGTAGCCATGAATTTAGTAACTGGAACACTTTCACCAGTTAACATAGATTCATTAATAACCGATTCACCATTAATCAATAAACAATCACAAGGAATCATAGTCAAAGAAGGATCTAATTCAAATACATCACCTGGAACCAACTCAGTCGAGTTAATTTGTTTCCAAAATTCATTACGCCATACTCTTACGTCACACGAGAATTGTGACATTTGTTGAAGTCTCTTCATGGTCGTTTTCGTTTCAATTAAAGAATTTATGATGGAAATCATGGAAATAATGAAAATACACGACGCGTAATAGTAATAATCATCAGCAAGCCAAAGAAAGATGGAAAACACTTGGAAGATATAGAATGGATGTAAGACCTCATCAACTAAAAGTTGACCAACTGACTTATCAACAATTTCAATTTTGTTTTCTCCAAAGATTTCCACTCTTTGCTGATGAGTTTGGTGAGATATACCATCTTTAGTAGTTTTGAAATTCAACCAACGATTATCAAACCAGTTGGAGTTAGTCTTGAAGATATCTTCTAATGGATTGTAGAAAAATTTGATGTATCTATATGTAAACGAATGAATATACGGAACAACCGGATTAGCTTCTCCTTCATTAGTCATGAAGTTGGAGAGTACATCTTCAAACCTTTGACGATTGATGCTAACAATTTGCAATTCCCCAAATTCATTTTCGACGACACACCATTGGGCAACGCCTAAAGGACACCTGGTACCCATAAGGTTAACTCTGTATTTTGGAAGCCATCTTAGAACCAAATATCCCATGCCTAGAGTGAACAAGCATACAATATAGTATATAACCAGTTTCCACCAACAATTACGATATCCGGCAATACCAATGACTAAATCTTCTTCGGCAAGATAATATCTTTGATACTGTAACTTGGCAGGATACTGTTTGAAAAAAGTTGACTCATCAACAGTCTCAGTAGTTTCATCGAGAAGGACTGACTTGGAGCTCTCATCCGAATCTCTTCTTCTTCTATCATAATCTAATGAACCATAATCGGGAGTTTCTTCAGGCGAATAGCGTTCACTTTCAAACACCTGATTAAAGTCATCTTCTTCTTGGAACTTATCCACATTATAATCCCAATTTGTGTTGTAATCGACTGGGTCCTCCTTATTCTCTAAGGTAGACCCACCTTGAGCTTGTTCAATTTCATCTGCAGAGAAGAACTTGAAATTAGCAGCGATGTCAATCGAGGGAGCTTGCGATACTCTACTAGTAACATGATCTAGCATAACTTCTTCATCGGGGCTTAATAAAGGTGATGTCTCTCTTGAAACTCTTGAAGATCTTCGTAAAAAGTTATGTGGGTAATGTAAGGATGTAATTGAACTGGGAATAATTTCTGAGGTGGCACCCGAGAACATTTCATAATTGTTGTCGTCTACAAGTATACTTGCTGATGAGGATGTCTGAGATTGTATGGAATTGGCCCGGGACCGGGACCTAGTACGGGAAAGTGAACGACGACGCTTATCGAAGGAAGAACTTCTTCGAACTACCTGTTCTTGCCTCATATTGAATTGGTAAACTGTTAAACTGAAAGCAATTAACGATGAGGTTTAATGACTGGTGGTGAAATTACGAAAAAATCGAGATAACTGAAAATTTTGTGACCCGTTGAAGATAACAGTGATCATACAAAATTTGAGTTTGGCAGGTGCAATTTTCAATGTCACATCAATTGAAACTAAATTCTCGTAATAACTACGTTTGAACTCATTCAGCTACTAATTTCGTATAATAGGGTTGATGAGTGGGTTATGTAAGCTGATGCATACTATTTCCGCATCTTGGTTAGTAGTGAAGGCTGTACTGATCCTGTATATTAGACAAGCCTATAAGAAAGCAGCAACCATCATCAAATCGCCAGGGTAGACAAATGACTCGTTAAATACCCAGTTAGTCTCATCAAATTTAAGAAGCATATTAAGAATTGATACTGTTTGATAACCCACTTTGGTTTCTTGTTTTTGTCTGGAGACAACCTCTTTATTTTGGCAGCTATTATTGAAACAAAAAGTATAACAATATCGGAATATCAGATTAACGATGTACTTGATGACAGTTAACTCATACTAATTGGATTATAACTTACCTTTCAGGTTGATATTTAGAAGTAGAACGTGTTGTAAAAAGCTTCATAAAAATTGGTTGTAAAAAAATTCGTATTTGTACTATACACTCCTGCATATTATTAGTAACATCAAAAATTGATAGAAAAATCCAAACAAGTTAATTAGAATTAACACCAAGTTAACTAGCAACTATGGCACTTAAACTTAAATTGAAGGTGCCTTCGGCATCAGCATCAAATTCAGCCTCACTGGCAGCATCACCAAAGGAAACACCTCCATTGCCTAAACTTAAAATAAAACCACCGTCCGTTAAACGACCCAGCACTGATGACACAGCAGCTCCACCAATCAAGAAAATAAAAATCAATCTTGGAACAGGAACAGTTAAATCAAGCGAAGCACCAAGATCTGTTCCCAGAGTTAGAATAAAACCTACTAGAGTTCCTGGTGAAGGATACGACTCTGAAGCGCCTGATTTAGAGGATGATCCTTTGATTGAACAAGGTATTATTATTCGGTTTTTGAATGATGCCAATTTGGATTTTGTTAGTAATGCCGTGGATTCTGGTGATTTGACAGGGATAAATATAAAGTGGATCACTAGAGATAAAGCAGTGATAAACATCAATGGAACTTTGTATTCTGCAAGACTAATTGATTTACCTACAGTTACTGAATTATACAAGACCATTGATCGAAAGAATATTTTCAAAACATTTGATATCTGTCAGATATTATTAGTATTACATGAGATAAATCCAGCCCAATTGAAACATGATAAAGATTTCGAAGTTCCTCCAGAATACATCTTCCAACATCCATTCTACAATCATGTCAAAAACAACGAAATAAAACAAAAGAAGTTAGTATTCAAGCATGGTTTATTAAGTCCGTTTGAAGATATTTACCGAAGATTTAGACCAACTAAAGCCGACCATCGAGTCATGGAAGATATAGAATCACGAGTGAATGAATTGATAAAGCTCGATAATGATGCCGAAGAAAGTCATTTTGAATTGATAGATAAGAAAGAGCAACAACTTAGGTTTACATCGAGTGCAACTCCATCTGCAGTATCCACTCCTGTGCCTCTCAAATCAGAATCTGAACCTGTGGACGAAGTTGATGATATTGAATTACATCTTGAAGAAGAATTGAATAAGGTATTAGATGAAGATGAAAATATGTTTGAACCAAGTGGCGAGCAAGAAGAAGAGCAAGAGGAAGCCGAAGAGGAAAGCGAAGCCGAAGAAGAAGAAGAAGAGGAAGAGGAAGAACAGGAATCAGAAGAGGAAGAGGATGAGGAAGACGAAGAAGGTAAATCTGGCAAACAACATGTTAAACTTCTCGAGGAAGAAATCACAGAACTTGAAAAAGCAGTTGAGCACCATAAAAAGAATTTGGCAACGGCCTCAAGTAAGATGCTAAGAATGAAGTTCCAAAACACTTACTCTTCATTGAAATCCAGCCTTGATCAAAAGAAGCGTTTGTTGGCCAAGTATATGGAAGAGCAAGAACAGTTGCAATTAAAGCTGGAACCAAATAAAGCTATAGTGCATCATGATGACCATGACGAGGATGAGGAAGAAGAAGACGAGGAAGAAGATGAAGATAAGCAAGATGAAAATCTTGACGACATAGATGATTTGTTCTAAGTCGTCAACACAATCTAAGAAAACAGTATTGTGAAATCGTACGATGTAAATTTACGACATAATCTTGACACAAAATTTTATTGAACAATGGAGGTTGATTAGCCAATGGTATCTCGTTGGTATGTGCTATAAAGATATACCCCACAAAGTAATGATATATTAATTGTAATATACTTTAGTTTAATAGTAAACGAATATTTTGCCGAGTCTTAGTTACAGACAGAAAGACATGACAAAAAGAGAGTCCTACAGTAAAGAGATAGTCAATAAGTAGACAATAAGTAGTCCAATCGGGGGGCGGTGATGCTTATTTAATTCCATGAAATCCTTATAATCACTTCTTGTTCGTCAAGGACCTTGTCTACCAGATCTGATATTCGTTAAAACGTTCCCGAGTAACATATGCAGTTTACACCCCCACGCACAGTAAAATTTGCGATGGGGCAAATAAGCAGGTGAGAAAAAAAAAAATTGAATTGTATGAAATTTACAATAGCAGGGTCTTGCTCTTCAGTACTTTCACTCAACCGTTTGCTTCAACATGTCCACCAACTCCATCAAGTTACTAGCCAGTGATGTCCACAGAAGTTTAGCCGAGCTTGTGGCTAAGCGATTAGGGCTTCGTATTTCCCCCAGTGAGTTGAAACGAGAATCCACTGGAGAAGTTCAATTTTCTATTGGCGAATCCGTGAGAGATGAAGATATATTTATAATTTGTCAAATTGGATCAGGGATCGTGAACGATAGAGTCTTAGAGCTCCTCATTATGATTAATGCATGTAAGACCGCCAGTGCTAGAAGAATTACTGTGATTTTACCTAATTTCCCCTACGCCAGACAAGATAGAAAGGATAAATCCAGAGCACCAATCACGGCGAAATTAATGGCAGATATGTTGACTACTGCCGGCTGTAACCATGTGATAACTATGGATTTACATGCGTCTCAAATTCAAGGGTTTTTCGATGTTCCAGTGGATAACTTGTATGCCGAACCTAGTGTTGTTAGATATATTAAGGAAAAGATTGATTACTCCAAGGCTATTATAATTTCTCCTGATGCCGGTGGTGCCAAGCGTGCTGCCGGATTGGCTGATAGATTAGATTTAAACTTTGCATTGATCCACAAGGAAAGAGCAAGAGCAAACGAAGTTTCAAGAATGGTCTTAGTTGGGGATGTCAGCGACAAGATTTGTATCATTGTTGATGATATGGCTGATACTTGTGGAACATTAGCAAAGGCCGCAGAAGTGTTGTTGGACAACAACGCCAAGGAAGTTATTGCCATTGTTACCCATGGTATCTTATCTGGTAATGCTATCAAGAATATCAACAACTCTAAGCTTACCCGAGTTGTTTGTACTAATACTGTTCCATTTGAAGAAAAGCTCGAACTTTGTCCTAAATTAGATACCATTGATATTTCTGCTGTGCTTGCCGAAGCTATTAGAAGATTACACAATGGTGAAAGTATTTCTTATTTGTTTAAAAATGCTCCTTTATAAATTTGTTTTATTTATATATATATATAATCAACTGTATTAACTTATTAGATTACTCTAGCTAATGCTGTAGTTTCCTTGATACCAGATACCAGATACAGTTGTTAGTATACACGTGTTTCTCAACTAGCGTAAGACATGGGTTGCTTTTTCGGAGCAATCTTTTTTTTTTCATCAAACCAAGGTCTTCTTAGTCACAGTGATTACCAGTATCATGACTCAGAAACAGTATGTATCAAAAGGTAAAATCTTAATTTTGATGTTATAACTAACATGTACCAGCCATAGAAAAATCAGAGCATGTCTTTTTGGTAAGTAAAGATCTTTTAGTTCTGTATCCTATTCAGTATACTAACAATATAGACATGGATGGAACTCTTCTTAATACAGAAGATCTTTATACCGAAGCAACAAATGAATTGTTAAAACTTTACAACAAGGGTCCACTCACCTGGGATGTCAAGATAAAACTTCAAGGAAGACCCCTGTTTGAATCTATGACTATTATGATTGAGGAATACGACTTACCATTAACTATTGAAGAATTTCAAAAGATCTCCATGGAAATCCAAAGTAAATTATGGCACAAGTCAAGATTTCTACCTGGTGCTGTTGAATTAGTTGAGCATCTTTACAATAATGATGTGCCCATAGCTTTGGGAACCAGTTCTAACACGATAAACTACCATAGAAAGACCGACCATTTAAAGAGCGAGTTTAACTATTTCGGCAAACATATAGTTACTGGAGACGATGAGCGTATTCCCAAAGGCAAAGGTAAGCCACATCCTGATATTTGGTTTGCTTGTTTGGCAAGCATCAACGAAGATAGAATAAGTCAAGGCTTGGACGAAATCAAACCGGAGGAATGTCTTGTTTTTGAGGATGGCATTCCCGGTGTTATATCCGGAATTGCTGCCAATGCCCATGTTATTTGGATTCCTGATGTAAATGCATTGAAAGTTCTCAATGGGGAAGAACATAATATTATTGGTACTAGTGGTGAAATACTTACAAGCCTTACTGAATTCAACAAAGATAAATATTTCTTATAGATATAAATAGACATACAACCAACTAATAGCGGTTCAACTGTACACGATGGAGTACAACTACAACTTCAGAAAAAAACAAAAGCCACAGCTATAATGCCAAGGTTTGGAATATCACAGGAGAAAACAGTGCGTTGCTGATTGACATAACCTTTGTTTGCTATAACAATATTCTTCCAACTGGATTGCAATTACCCAACACCAAATGTGTTTGTACTCCATGAAGGGTTGTGTCAGCCACTAGTTGTCTGTATTCCAATACAAAGCAAGATTGATATACGTCAACCTTGCACATGATTGGCTAGTCATACCGTTATGAAACTTTAGAAAGAATGAAAAGAAAACATCAACAAACAATTTGGTTGTAAAAAAAAAATACCCCTTTAAATACACTCGTATAAAAAAAACTAAAATATCTCTCAACAATAACTTTGATATTCGTTTGCACTTGCCACCCCCAGGTGAATAATGATAGGTACAGACTGCTACCATATTGTTATTGACTTGAATAGACCTGACACATACGATTATAGATACTCCCCATTACATATCACAGAAATTGACATTACCAATACCTCACAACCCATGAATATTAACTCGATTGAACCTATAAAGGCAAAACTGATAAATCAAGGTGGTATCATACGCTTATATCGTGAATTCGAAGAGGAACATGACAATTTTACCATTGCTGGTGATGACACCATGGTTTCTATACTAGCAGTACCTACTTATTTCACTGCCACTGATTTATTAGGATTTATTGGTGACTCCTATCTACAAGATATCTCTCATATTCGGATATTAAAAAGTGAGAAACAGAACCGGTTCTTAGTGTTGATCAAGTTTAGAAGTATAACTACTACTGCGGAATTTCAGTTTAATTTCAATGGCAAACCGTTTAATTCCATGGAGCCTGAAACTTGTCATGTTGTTTACGTCACATCAGTTGAAATTAACTACGCGGATAATAGTGATAGCAATCCTGTCGATTCACTAATTCCATTTCTCCTTCAGGATCCATTTACGTCAAAACACATAGAATCTACATCTACGGAACTAGAGCAACTGTCTTCGCATGCTCAGACACAACTGCACGCCAATGCTACCGTTGTGGAATTGCCCACTTGTCCCGTGTGCTTGGAAAGAATGGACTCGACAGTAACTGGATTGCTTACTATTCCATGTCAGCATACATTCCATTGTCAGTGCCTTTCCAAATGGAAAGATGATACCTGCCCTATTTGCAGATATTCACATGTGCGTTCCCTCCCAAGAATTCGAAGATCTTCAAGCAGTGCCCAGGCCGCTGCATCTGTAAGCACATTATTGCACGGGGATGAGGAAGATCAAGTATGTATGGAATGTAATGAATCTTCAAATCTCTGGATTTGTCTTGTTTGTGGTAATGTTGGTTGCAGCAGATACTCCCCTGACCAGCATTCATTAAAACATTTTGTTAATACTGGTCATTGTTTTTCCATGGAAATTGCCACTTCCCGTGTGTGGGATTATGCGGGTGATAATTATGTTCATCGATTAGTTACCAATGAATCGGATGGGAAATTGGTCGAATTACCGGATAAAGAGAAACCGGAATGTAACACTACCGTGGATAAGGTTGATGAGGTTGGGTTTGAATACTCTCAATTATTAATTAGCCAATTGGCAAGTCAACGAGAATATTATGAAAGTTTATTAGATAGAAGACGGGGGTCCACTAGTAGTAATGACAAACTTACGCAATTACAATTTAAAGTTGAGGACTTGACCTCGAAATTATCCGATTTAACCGCAAATCTAATTCCTTCCCTCAAGGAAAAGATTCAACTCAAGGATGAAAAATTAAACACGGTGATACGAGAATTAAATATTTCCAACTCTCTTAACGACGCATTATCGAAGAAGATCGAATTTTACATGAAAGATACGGAGGAATATAAAAAGCAGATTGACGACTTGACCCAAGACAACAAAGAATTACACGAACAAGTTAAAGATTTGATGTTCTTTTTAGACAGTCAAGAAAAATTTAAGGATGAATCAGATGAAATTAAGAATGGAACAATTGTTGTTCAACCATCTGCGAGAACAGGTGCCAAAAAGACGAAGAAGAAATGTAAATAACCTTCTTTGCATGACACGCCTGTGGTGTAATATTATGGGATTAATAATGGCAATATTTTATGCAAGTTTAAGTAAACAAGATCATACTAATAATTTCCTAGAAATTTTTCTTTTTGGGCCACACTAAATTGCTAAGGGCATAACAATAGGGGTTTTCTAAGATTTAAAATAAAACTCAAGATTGAGAGACCAATTATGAAAAATTAAGATCTAAGGCATATCATAGAAAACTCGGTTTTCATATTTAAATAAACCTAAATCTTCCTATTCAAACAATCTTAATTTTGACATTAATTTGTTAGCATTATGAATGGTTATAGCAAAGATTCGGGTGTGACTACAAGGTTACCATCATTCCAACAATTAATGAAGGGGTTTCAAGATTCGGAATCACCCAATAATACTACCACGATTATAACCCAGCACCTTCAACCCCAGCCGGTTCAAGCGCAACGATTAATTCAGTATTCTCCAGGCAAACTTACTCCTACTGCAACTACGTTTGGCAACTATACTTTAAATCCAGAATATCCTTATCATCATCATCAACATCATTATGATAATAGCTATCCCCAGTACCCATATCCTCCAGGTCCCAGTAGTGTCAAGTCTGCTCGCGCATCTCCCATGAATAGAGGTCGTTCCTTGAGCTTTTCATACCCTCAGGGAACATCACCAATACAAGATATACTTGAGCTGGGAATTATTTGCAATGAGTATCAATTTATTTCAAATTTGATTCAGTTTTTGATTGAATTTGAAAAGAAGTGCCATGACTTCAAGTTGAACTATACGAATAATCCTAATGACTTATCGCTTATTTCAGAGAAGATTTTGACTGATTTTGACGACTTGGATGATGCATTACATAATTGCAACCGGGTAGTTAAGATGCTTGAAAATATAAAAATATTGAATGAGAAAACGAGAGTTAAGCGAAGCAACACCTCTAAACGTATTGACAAGAGAAAGCTTAAGAAGAAGTCTAAAACAGGTTCAGATGGTGGCAGCGATCTTGGGCTTGAGATTAATGTTGCTGCCACGGCTAATCATGACCAAGTTAATATAGGAGGCTTGAATCCCGAGCTTAGTATAAAACCTGAAATTACTTGTCAACACTGTTGTTCCCAAGAGACACCCGAATGGCGCCGTGGTCCAGAAGGGAGTAGAACTTTGTGTAATGCTTGTGGATTATTTTATTCCAAATTGATTAAAAAATACGGATTACAAGAGGCGGATAAGGTTATGTATCAACGTAAACAAACCGGCACGGTTAACGATAGAAGAATTTTTTAACTCAAAGTAGTAGCAGTAGTATATATTCATTGTATAAGTTTATTGTATTTTCCTGGCTGTAATTGCAAGTCGGTCGTGGTATAATAATAATAATAAATTGTAGGACGATCTTTAGGAGATTTGCCATTGGATCAAGGTTACGTTTAGCAGGTTAAGCGGCGGAGATTTGCCGCATCGACAAACTAACGTGTTGGTGTTGTCATGATGATTCTGATGATTCTTGCGTAAATGCGCCAACAGACATAACCCGATGCTGTGCACTATTGTTCTTTTAGCAGGCCGAGAAAAAGTTAGTCTTTTTTTTTCTGGAAGCATGCGGGTTGGAAGACACAGTGGGCTTGTAGTTGCACTGGTACTTTTTGGTTCAGTATATAAAAAAGGTGAATGCCGGCTGGTATCATTCAATATTACCAGATCATTCCTTTTTGTAGCACAAAATAGATACGTTTAGTCTATTTCACGGTTGTTGAGGAGATCATGATGAGTGAAATTTTAGCAAGAAAATAATATTTTTTTTTCTAGAACAAAATTGCAATCGGTGAAACCATCAATCTCCGCTACGATGTTGCGTTCACAACGGGGGTTGTTCGTAAAGCTGATATTTCTTTAACGGGACGAGAGGAAATTTACGATGGGCGCACGTTAGACGTCGCCAAAAACAAAAGCTGAAATTACACAAAATACACGATGGAACAATGATATACCATGCAAGTCTAAATCAAAAAAAACGGACGGTTCGCAAAGGGGTGTTTATAATTGCACAGTATTTCTTTTGATAATCAGGTCACATTTCTGCCCCTTGTTTAGACCCTGCAGATTGCTGATCACATATCTGCAATGCAGTTGAGACTATCTTGCGTGGTTGTTTTGCGTGGTGATACTTGACCTTTCAAAAGGAATTTGACAAGCGAGGCGGAGGGGTAAAACCGAGGTTTAAATCTGACGATTCGACTTTACTACACGATTCGAATTGTCTACTTCAAAATCGAGGTATCAACTCTAAAACCCCTGTCATGGAATTCGTATCGATCCACATTTAACGAGGTTTGACTTTCCTTTTCTGGGACATAGAAAGTGTGCCCTTATTTTAGTTTTGTCCTGGAAATGGAGATTTTGGTTTAGTATATCTTGTCAGATTTCCCCTCATCAAAGATGAAACTTGGCGAGAGATCAGCACAGATCACTAGAGATCAGAACATCACAAGATTCGACTCCGTGTGTTAATTTCTGGTTGTTACAATGACAACAACTTTTTGCGATTTACCTCCTTTTTACTAACTTGTAAATTGATAACGAAAGTTGCAAAATGTCAAAAAATAAAAATTGCTGCTTTTTGGTCACATGATAAACGTGGTGCGGCTCACCGTTTTTTTTTTTTTCTCACGATGAGCAGAAGCCCAGGGCATCGATCTTAAGAAAAAAATTTGACTACCATAAGTCTGTGCTGTCTGAACCCATCATCACTATACAAAACCATGGGTGAATCTACTACTTCCAAGTCTATAATAAGTGGCAGTAGTGAATTTGCATTTCCAAGAGGTGGTGCCACTGCATTAACTCCATTAGAAGTCAAGGAGATCTCTAATGAAGCTACTAAGGACGTGCTTTTTGAACAATCAACAAAAAGAAGTTCATCTTCTGCTGAACCACAACCTAAAAGACAAAAGAAGACTAAAAAGAAGTCAACCAAGAGCACTGAAGCAGAAGACGAAGAAAAGGTTGAAACCGTTGAGATTTTCACTTTCAAGAACTTGATTCCTGGTACTTTGGTGTTGGGCCAAATACAAAAGATTGGCAAGTTTGACATCACTTTGGCCTTAGGTGACAATTTGGTTGGGTATGTTCCTATAACTTCCATAAGTCCTTTGATTACCAAGACTATTGAAGAATTAGAAAAGGAAGACCAATCTGATGAGTCCGACGACGAACAGGAAGAAGAAGAAAAATCCAAGGAATTCCCAGAATTGTCCGCCATATTCAAGGTTGGATCCTGGTTAAAGGCTAAAGTTGCCACTCAGAAGGATGAAAGAAAGAAGAGAATTGAATTCACAATTGAACCTGAAGTAGTAAACGAATTAATCGAAGATGAAGACTTTGTATCAGGTAACTTATTACAATGTTCAGTTGTTTCCGTCGAAGATCATGGTATAATTGTTGATACTGGTAAACCAAAAATATCAGGGTTCATATCAAACAAAGAATTAACTAATGGTAAGATTGAAATTGGTTCTGTAAAGCCAGGATTGGTTATCTTGGCTTCGATTGTTTCTCAACCAAAGGGAAGAACTGTCACTTTAAGACCAGCTAATGTCACTACCAAGAAACCAATCAGTGTCACTACCATCTCGTCAGTTGATGCCATTCAACCAGGTATGATTGTTGATGCTTTGATTGGAGAAGTCACCAAAAACGGGTTAATTGTTAAAGTATTTGGTTTGGTCGACGGGTCCATAAGTTTAGCACACTTGAGAGAATTTAGTCTCGACAAGTTGAAGCATAACTATTCAGTGGGAAGCAAAGTCAAAGCAAGAGTATTGGCCGTTCTTTTGAAGAATGGTGTCAAGAGACTCATATTATCCTTGGCTCATCATGTCTTGAAGCTCGAACCAGAAGAAACCGATGCCTTGGAAGCTTTCCCAGTTGGTCACAAGCTCGATGAAGTAGAAATTGTCGGTAAAGATGACAACTACATGTATGTTAAATTGTCTACTTTCTACGGACAAATCCACAATTCTAAGATTGACAGCGATAAGAATTTAGAAATTGATTATACTATTGGTAGCAAGCACAAATCAAGGGTTATTGGATATAATTCCGTTGATGACTTGTTGATCATGACTTTTGAATCAAGCTTGATCAATTCTGAATACTTGAATGCCAGTGATATACCATTAGGTACATACATTCCATCCTGTGAAATCTTGAAGGTATTGCCAGAATCCGGTGGTATCCAAGTTAAATTCTTTGACAAATTTGAAGGATTTGTTCCAACGAACCAAATGTCGGATATTAAACTTGTCTACCCCGAAAGAAAGTTCAGAGTTGGTACTAAAGTCAAGGGTAGGGTTATTGGCCAACAAGGAAAGACTGTTTTAATCACATTAAGAAAAGCATTGGTTAACCTTGAAAATGATGAAATCTTATCCAAGTTTGAAGATGCCAAGATTGGATTCAAAACTAATGCCATTGTGGAAAAGTTTGTTCATAACGGTGCTATAGTTTCGTTCTTTGGTAAATTAAAGGCATTCTTGCCAAAGAATGAAATCTCAGAAACATTCGTGGAAAGAGCCCAAGATCACTTAAAACTTGGTCAAATTGTCAGCACTAGAATCTTGGACATTAATACAGAAACTGAAAGATTATTAGTTACCTTAAAACAAGCCACTGATCTTTTTCAAGCTCAAAAGGCAACTATCGCTGAATTAGTCCCAGGAAAATCCATTGCCAACGCCTTTGTTGTTGAAAAAGCCAAGAACTCAATCTTAATTGAATTAGAAAACGAAAATTTAAGAGGAGTCATATATGATGGTCAATTAACCGATGGTAATTATGAACAAAATAGAGCTGCTGTGAAACAGCTTGAAATTGGTTCTAAATTGGAAGTTTTGATCTTGGACAAGGATTTGAGAGCACGTACTGTTATTGCAACTGGTAAGAGATCATTAATTGAAGCTGTCAGATCGAACCAATTCCCAACTACATTTGAAGAAGTCTCTGAAGGAAAGCTCGTTAAGGGTTATATTAAATCAGTCACCAACTTTGGTTTATTTGTTTCTTTTGCTGGCAAGTTGACTGGGTTAGTGTTGGCTAAATATGCTGGCGATGTTTCTGATTTGTCTAAGAAGTTCTATAAGCATCAATCTGTTTCCTGTCGTGTTATTCGTCTTGATCAAGAAAATAAAAGATTCTTATTATCTTTGAACACTAACGGTGAAGTTGACTCCGATGAAGTGATTAACCCAGTTGATACTTCTAAGAAGCTCCTTACTGAATATGTTCCAGGTATTCTCACTAAGGCTATTATTAAGTCAGTTAAGGGTACCCAATTGAATGTTCAATTAGCTGACAATTTACAAGGTAGAGTAGACATTACCCAATGCTTCAACTCCTGGGATGAAATCAAAGACAAGCATCAACCATTATCCCAATTTCACAAGGGTGACATTCTCGATGTTAAGATCATCGGCTACCATGACGCAAAAAACCACAAGTTCTTGCCAGTTACTCACCGTACTTATGGAAAATCCACCATTTTGGAATTATCCATCAAGGATACCACCGAAACTCCATTCACTGACTTGAAGCTTTCAGATGTTAAGACAGGTACTGAAATTTTTGGATTTGTTAACAATATTCACAATGGTCTTGTTTGGGTTTCTATCACTCCCTCAGTCAAAGGTCATGTTTCATTCATGCATTTGACGGATGATGTCACTGTATTTTCTGACATTGATAACAAGTTACCTATTGGCTGTGCGCTTGAATTGAAGGTTGATGAAGTTGACAATGAGCATCATGTCTTAGTTATGTCCGGTAAAAACTCTCAAGGTGTCAAAACATTCAATGATATTACCGTTGGTAAAAAGTACCCAGTCAGAGTCATCAAGGTTAAGGATGCTTACGTTTTAGTTGAAATTGGTCCTAACATTATCGCTTCTGCATACATTACCGATGCTTTGAACAACTATTCGGACAAATTGGAAGATGTTTTCCACCCTAGCGACTATGTCATTGCTTCTGTTGTTGACATTGACACTGATGCCAAAAAAGTAGCTGTTTCCTTGAGAAACGACGATGCTGTTGACAAGACCATCAACTCAATTGCTGATTTGTCTCGTGGTGACATTGTCAAGGGTTTCGTCAAGAATATTGCTAATAACGGTGTTTACGTTGCCTTGGGTAGATCAGTTTATGCATTAGTTAGAATCACTGATTTGTCTGATTCTTACTTGAAGGATTGGAAGAAATTCTTCAAACCAGGTCAATTAGTCTTGGGTAAGGTTTCTGCATGCAAGGAAGAAGGTAGAGTCTTGTTAACTTTGAAAGAAAGTGAAGTCAATGGTGAATTGAACTACTTGAAGAAGTTTGAAGATTTGGAAGTTGGTGATGTTTTCGAAGGTTCTGTTAAGCGTGTTACTGATTTCGGGGTTTTTGTTAAGTTAGATGGTACTGTTAACATTAGTGGGTTGTGTCATCAACTGGAAATTGCTGAGAACAAGGTTGAAAATATTGCTGGATTGTTTGGTGAAGGTGATAGAGTCAAGGTTAAGATTTTAAAGGTTAACCAAGAAAAGAAACAATTGTCTTTGGGTATGAAGGCTTCTTACTTTACTACTGCTTCTGATGTCAATGAAGATGATGATGAAGATATTGAAATGAAGGAATCTGAAGATGATGAAGAAGAATCCGAAGAAGAAGAAGAAGAATCTGAAGATGAAGTAATGGATATTGCTGAAGGTGAAGAAAGTGACGAAGAAGCTTCCGACGAGGAAGAAGACAAGGAAGAACAAGACTCCACTTCTCTTGGCTTATCAACTGGTTTCGATTGGACTGCTTCCATCTTGGACCAAGCTGAAGATGAATCATCCGATGAAGACGAAGAAGATTTCACTCAAGAAAAGAAAAAGAAGAAGAGATCTAAACAAACTGTAGAAGATAAGACTGGTGATTTGAACACTAGGGCTCCTCAATCTGTTGGTGATTTCGAACGTTTGTTAATTGGTAATCCTAACTCATCAATCATGTGGATGAACTATATGTCGTTCCAATTACAATTGAGTGAAGTTGAAAAGGCCAGAGAAATTGGTGAACGTGCCTTAAACACCATCAACTACCGTGAAGAACAAGAAAAGATGAATATCTGGATCGCTTTACTTAACTTGGAAAACACTTTTGGTAGTGATGAAACCTTGGAATCTACCTTCAAGAGAGCATGCCAATACATGGATTCATTCACCATGCATCAAAAGTTAGTCGCCATCTACACCATGTCTGAAAAGTATGACCAAGCTGATGAATTGTACAAGGTCATGACCAAGAAATTTGGAAAGAACATTTCCACTTGGGTTCATTATGGATCTTACTTATTGGATCGTGATTTACATGACCAAACTCGTGAAGTCTTAGCCAAGGCATTACAAGTGTTACCTAAGCGAGATCATATTGAAGTTGTGAGAAAGTTTGCCCAATTGGAATTCGTCAAGGGTGATCCTGAACAAGGTAGATCATTGTTTGAAGGTTTAATTTCAGATGCTCCAAAGAGAATTGATTTATGGAATGTGTACATTGATCAAGAAATCAAACAAGATGATTCCAAGGATAAGGTTGAGGATTTGTTTGAGAGAGTAGTAACCAAGAAATTATCTCGTAAACAAGCTAAATTCTTCTTTAAGAAATGGCTTGAATTTGAAGAGGATAAGGGCGATGAAAAGATGGTGGCTCGTGTTAAATCCAAGGCTGCTGAATATGTTCAAAATTCCAACAAGGATTAGTTTATAGATGTGGTTGTCCTGTGTATATTATTAAAATTTACAAAGAGTAGTTTATACTTGACTATGCGTAGAACACATGTGATAACAGGGTCATCTCGGGTTTCACATGACATAGCATAATCTTGCTTAAAGATGCCGGGCATTCTTCGCCTGGGTCAGCGGATATTCATATCTATGACACCTTGATGTCACAGTATGTTGGTAAAAAAAAAAATAGTGACAAGGATCTCTCCATTTATCACAAGAAATAAGCCAGGAATTGACCACTGGCAGGGAGATTGCCGAGTTACGAGCGACTTCCTTTTCCGATCGACACTTGGTGTAAACAACCACATTTTATCACTTTTGTGGTGACTAGTGGAATTAAATTACCACAAAACAATGGAAGAAATCTGTCTGACATCTCGGAGTAAAAAGGTGGGGAGATTCTGTTGGGTAAAATCACGTGCACGGGTTTATTCGCTTGAAATTGGCATCTCGGGATAAGACAATGACAATGTGCAAAGTGACTAATTTCAACACACCCATTTTTCAACCGAAGGAATACCCGCCGTACTTTGATTTGTATTATTCTTTCACATGCAAGTCATTAGTGACCGAAAAACAAAAAAAGTTGAGCCAAAAAATTTAATTTCTTTTTTTTCTGTCTGCAAGTGTGAATTTTTTTTGATTGATTCCTGGCCATACAAAAATATCAGAAGACAAATCAAATCGAATAAATGTCACAAGCAAATGGCCATCCCAGTCACAAGCAATATAAACTATTAGGTAAAATAATTAACTTGTTTGATAATAATTATTATCAAGTTTCAGACATTTTTCTTAAACAATAGACTAATTTAAACCAAGTGTCTCGTCCTCCCTCTCTTTCCCCCCCCTTCCTTTAGTTACTCTTTTTCCTCCACCGCTTTGTTTTATTTTTTTTCCTTGCTTTAGGAGACTTGTGATTAATAGCTTTTACGAAATATAACCTTGAAACCTTCCTCAACATACACTTTAAACCTGGGCTGATCCACTTACAAGACCAAAAAAAAACTACTTTTCCTAAGATCTAAATATACTTAGGTCATCCCCACTTGAAATTTTGTTGGAAGTTTTTGCACGGATTTTCAACCCATGTCTTCTAATAATACCACATCTGCCACTGTCACTGCCACATCTAATCTGAGCAGGTTCAACGCAATGTCATCTCCCGATTCACTTTCAGATTCTGCCAGTGAGCATGAAGCTTTAGTTTCTGCGGCTGAAGCCTTGACTCGTTTGACAAGAAGTGCCACCCCTTCCTCTGATGCCGATACCATTGTCTCAGAGAGTTTGCCTTCACCTACACCACAACCACCACAACTTCAACATCCACTTGTGTCTACAGTGTCGATGGTTGCTCAGCATCCCTTAGTTAAAGGAGCAGTGAAATACTACGAAACTTCAAAGAGAAATTGCCCACCCTTAAATTATGCTGCCGGGATTTTTGAAAAGGCTGCCATTCCCATGGTCAACAAAATTGAAGTTAACTTAAATAATAGACATCAAACTAAACAAGCGTTACATTCGGCTTCTTCTTCCGCTGACATCACCCCTTCAATCTCCATTGATACTTTTGACAATAAACAAAAGAAGAGAAGATTAACCAACGACGATAAACCACCACAAGTTTCAGACAATAAGAAAAGATTACAGTTCTGCTTGCACGTTTTAAGATTAGCAAACGATACCATCAATTCAAAGGTTAATTATTTACAAGAAAAAGTTGTAGAAACAGAAATGGCAGTTAAGGAAGAACGAGAAAAGATTCAACAAAATGAAAATGACGAAGATGTAGATACAAAGACTCAAAAAACTAAAACAGAAATCGTCACAACAGTAAAGAAAATAATCCGTTTGATTTCAAACTTCCGTCCTTCCACATTATCCACTGATTCCTTGACTCCGGTCTCCAGTAACACATCTACATCGTCGTCGGTTCAACTTCAGAATTATGAATTGAAAACTGCCATTCGTGATATAATATTAAGTCTACCAACTTCATTACAACAACCAGGCACAACCACGCCCGGAGGTACCACTCAACAATCTAATGACAGAATAATAGTATTCGCCAAGGAATCATTAGAAATGATTTCAAAATTAACCAATGTCTTCAATGATCAATTATCTAAAGCTGAAAGTTGGGTTAATGGTGAAGAAGAACTAGACCAGAATATGGAAGATGTTACTGTCACAAGTGAAGTGCCATCTAGAGCTTCCAGTGCAGATCCAGAAGAGTTAACAACGGCAACAAAGAGAATGAAAATTAAACAGTAGGTAAATCTCTCTCTTTCTCTTTTTTTTTATAGGTGTATTATATATATAATTGACGTACTGAAATTTCTATTAGATACTAAAAGTATACTTCAGTAAAGCCTTTTGCAGTAAACTTTTTCATACATTTTGTTTCGGGACATTTCGAAGGGGCAAATATACTTGGATTTAATATTGTTAAACCCAGACGAGTAGCCTTAGTGCGTCGAGGTCTATTACCAATATTCTTGACGCATCTTCCACAAAATGTATGTCCGCATTTAGCTACAAATATTCTCTTTGACAACTCCTTGTCCACTTGAGTCATGGGGTATATGCAGAACCAAGGAGCTTGAACCTGGTATTGTCCAGTATACTTATCAAAATGCTCATTATAGGCTGGGTCAGCCGCAAAATCTTCAGGTATACCTTCACCCAATACAATCCCACACAATTCACATACGAGATTCTCATCTGATTTAATAGTAGTAACATGACGGGTTTGTTCGTTGTGGTTAGCAGCCAATTTTTTCTTCTCTTGTAATGCCTTATTATTATACAGGGTTTCTCGTTGTAATCGTTCATTTAAGTCACGTTCATTATCACGTTCTATCCTTCGTAATATTGATTCTTCCACCGCATTAGATTCAAATCCACCACTTCCAATGCCTTCCATAGCGTCCATCATATTCTGAAAGTATGCTATTTCTTCGGGGTCTGGATGGTTCCGAAACGGAAGTATGTGAAAAGGACGACCAAAATTAAGGATTCGCAGTATAAGTGGTGGTCCCGGTGGTCGTGCCTGTATATGTCGTCTGCTGTCTCTAGCTAAGCGTGATTGTTGCATTCGTTGCTGTGCTGCTCGTCTCAGTGACTCCAACGGTTGATGTGCTAATCGTCGCAAGGTAGCCCGTTGGGGCGGATGCACCACTATAGGTTCATGCTGCTGTACGGGTCTTCTATCAGGCATAAACACTCGAAATTGTCCAAATGGAGTGTGTACTGTGTGATGATTGTGGTGATTATTTCCTATTCGTCGCACATTTGTGATTTCTACATCATCTTGCAAATCTGCGTCACCCGTTTCCTCAGGAACAAACAATGAATTTACACTTGAGATATTCTCTGTTATAGGCGTGGGGTTTTCTGTATTGACACTGACAATCTCCACTTCATTGTTGAAACTGGAATCTGGCTCTGGTTCGTTATCTAGATCTATTATTTCTGGTTCTTCATCGGATACGATTTCTACTATGGAGTTGTGGCGAGGAGGATTACTGGATGTTGATTCATGAGGCGGTAGTGAATGTTTCCGAGGTCGTGAAGGCACCGAGATATTAGGTATATTGTTGGTTGGGTCCATTTATTGTTTTGTCATATAAGAAGGGGTGTCTAAGGGGGTTAAGATTGTGGGTTTGTAATCTGTTTCAAAGGCAAGCAAAACAAAAGCAATGAAAGGGAAAAAAAAATTAGTGCGCGCAAACAAACAGGTATGAGCTACCAATTTGACTAAAAGTGAAAGGCGATGTTGTATGAAACCTCTAGAGAAGATTCTCAGACAAGATAAGAACATAAAAATGAATATAATACAACTGAAATAAGATATTAGGTCAGATTTGGCTAATCAAACAGGCTTTACGATATTCTTTGACAAAGCTTACGTCATAGTGAAAACAAAGTATCATTATTCACGTGACATAAATTAGTATTTTAGCGGGCGTGACAGCATCACAGTCTGTCATACAGTCTGTCAAGAAAAGGGGGTTGAACCGCGTAAGGTCGTTAGGTATCCTACTACGCTAAAGTAAAGAAAGCGTGTATATTTAAAATAAACAAAAAAAGTTTGATTAGTTCGTGTTCATCGGGTTTAAGAAAAAAAAATATTAACTAATGAAGTCTCTTTGATGCTCAAATAACCAGAGAAACTATGGCAACAAAGTTAATGATGAACTAACGATCAATATAATTTTCCTGTATCTTCCTATAACAGTACCTAGGTTTGCCATAACAACTCCCCATAGCGCTGTCTTACAGCAGTCACAAATACGAATCGATCTGACTACTAACAAGCACGTTCAGTCAAACACGATTTCATTTTTATTCTAAGATCGGCACGTCGGTTAAATCTGGTTTCCACCGATCAAGAGCAATCAATAGAGATACAGGTTGACCCCACAAAGACCTGAAATTGAAACTTATTGTGTGAAGTAAAATCACGCAAAATACCCTCTTAGATTTGACATGCTTAATCTTTGTTCAAACAAACTATACTACTAATTATAACTTTATACCTAATTTATTGCCCAAATCGGAAATGTTCTTATCGCAAGTCGATCCTGTACACCATAGTCTAAAAAGTCGGGGAAACTCCAATGGTTACATTCTAAATTCAGATACATTTCCGTAACGGGTAACTCGATTTTTACAATCGTTTCCCAAATCGCCAAATCGTGAGGACAAAAAATAATCGCATGTTTTCCTGATTAGGAAATATAATTGCAAAAAAAAACCATTGTCGCCATAGTAAACATTCTTAGAAACCGCAACCACGACTATTGAAACTAACTCGATTTGATACCCCGAATTGGTTTGCCGCAGAGTTGTATTTGCCTAATTAAGTTGTAAGTGCCTTCTGGTACATACTCAACATAGTAAATTGTGCTTCAGTATGGTTTTCTATATATATGTCTACGGACGCACATAAATTTAAATTTTAACACACCTGGTTCTGCAATTTTCTCAATTACTAATTGATAAAACACAACAGCTATGGATTTATATTTGTCACAAGTGGAGCTCGAGAGAATTCAAACCTCTTGGAGCGACATACCCTCGAAGAGACGGTTTTGCAATATGTTGTATTCCAACTTGATTATTCAAAACCCACATATTAACCAAGTGTTTAATAATGATGATGATTTAATTGACGAACATGCCGATACATTTAAAGAATTGTTTGACTATGTCATTATTCATCTCAGAAATATGGCCTTGGTTGAAGAATTTATAACCAAGTTTGTCAATGAACATTCTTCGTTCTGTTCCTTAGCTGACAAATACTTGGACACTATGGGTAATTGCTTATTGGATACCCATAAGCAAATATTAGGTGACGGTTTTGATAAAGATATGGAGTTGGCTTGGATTAGGGTATATGTATTTATTGCAAATTATATTTTGAAGTTAACTGAAGAACCATCTGATGCTGAATCTGCTTCTTCACTTACCGACATTGAGCCTTTGAAAATTGGCAAGAGTCCAATGACACCAAACACTCCACTCACACCAATAATGGATGAAGATGCCGCTTTTGAAGAAAACACTCAAGATTCTGAAAATGCTGAGACCATCAATACAATTAAGTTCTTGTTGAGTTCCAACTCAAAGTATAGAGGGTTTAGAAGATCTTCCAATATCCCCAAGGATGAACCAATTACAGTCAGTGTTCCACCATCAAGAAGGTCGACGTTATCTCCAGGTTTGAGAAATAGTCTTTCCAAGAAGGTCGAGACTGTGTGTGAAGTGGACGAAAACTTTGATCCAAGAAATAGAAGAAGATTGTCAAATGCTACTTCGTTTGTGACGGTCAAGTCCCAGCTGCCACCTTCTTCCATTGGAGATGACAAGGATGAAACGTTTGATGTTGTTGACTCATTATCAGGTGATTCATCGGATGAATATGAAGAAAGAAATGAACGTGAAGATGAATTTTCTACTCCTAAACCATCGTTCACGCTGGATAGATTTAGATCTCCTTTATTACAAAGATTAAGAGAAAAGCAACAATGGAATGCCATTGACGAAGATGAATCCGATGAGGAACGTGAACAAGAAGAACATCAACGTAAAGTACATCAACAACGTGAAGAACAAAAGCAACGTCAATGGGAACATGAGCGTCAACAAATGGAACTTGCTCGTCAAATGGAACGTTTACATCCAGTTGAAGAAGAAAAGCCCAGATTAAATCTCAGAGAATCATTTCCAACAATTGAACAAGATGACGAACCATTTGACCCAAGAAGAAGAATAAGATCAAGATTCAACCAACCTGTGAAGTTATCATTGAGAGAATTAACCAGTAGCGAGGAAGATTTGTCAACTCCATTCCAGCAACCAGGTGTTCCACAAAGATCCCCTGCCAGATTAATGAAACACGCTGCTTCTACTGAATGTTTTGGTCTTAAAGGGTTGGCTCCAATTGTTGAACATGAAGATAAATTTATCAAGAGTGATACTTCTAGCTCTAGAACATCTTCATTGTCCTTGGGTGCTTCTCATTCTCATTCGGGTTCCTCCATGTCTTCCACGACTGAAGATAATTCCTACAGCAAACCGGTTGCGCAATCGAGAAATCAACAAAGTTCATTGTGCAACCTTCGTTATGCATCTTCCACCCCTTCATTAATCCTGGAACCAAATACCCCTAACCGTGCCTCGTTGGGATTCATGAGATCATCATTTGTCTTGAAGAAGGAAATGGATCAACTTGGATACAACATACCCGAGAATGTCAGTGGAAACAGTGGTGATATCTTGATGGCGCCAGTTAAATTGGAAGCTCCAAGACCACAAGTTCACTTGTTGGCTAATGATAGTATGTATCTGTTTGAACCACCAGTGAAGCCAGATAACAGTGATGATGTAAGCAGCATCAATCCATTTGAAATCGCCACTGCCAACACCCTGATGTCTTCTGAAAAATCTTCCAGAACATCGTTGAGAAAGAAGCTTGGTTCATTATTTTCTAGCAAGTCTTCGTCACAGCCAGCCAAGAGACTGACTAGTAAAACCACTGTTAAATCCTCAGGAGCCAGTGTAATCACAGTTGATCCAAAGCATTATTCATCAAGAAATACCTCAGGTCAAACTTCAATGTTCACCGCCAGACAAATGCCTGAACCTCCACGTAATCCATTTACACCATCCGTAACCTCGAGAAGTGATTGTCGATCAGTCGCATCTACCGAAACCAGAAGTTCAACTATTTCTGGATTTTCGTTATTGAAGAAGAGTGACAAACGTGGTGTCAAGTATACTTTACCAGAAGCTAGACACACTAGTAGAGGAAACAGATATGTGGTTACTAAGGTGCCTTATAATATATTTACTTAATTTTGGTTTTTTTTTTTTAATTTTTAAGTGGTTTGGTTTTGACTTTTGTCGATGGTTGCAAAATGTTTCGGTTATTTTCTCAGACTTGATTTTCTTTAATTTTGCTTTGGCCCTCTTCCCCCTCCCTATTTAATGGATTTTCGGATTGTTTTATTTCTTGGTTTTTATTATGAACAATCATACGTTATTTCTCTAGAAGTTCTGAGAATTAATTGTTTATAAATTTTGTTTATTTTTCGTGTATATTTTAGCTTTTTATTAAAATAAATATTATGGATATCTATTGAAACAACATTAATTAAATTTATCTAGAAAACATAAAAAAAACATAGCTATAAATCAAGCACAACTTTGCGTATCACAGTTGGTATATTCATCAACCAAACAATTGCTCTTAGTGGTGCCTCCGTAAACATTATGATCTTGTCCAGTGAGCGAAGCCATCAGTTCACGACGACGATGGATAATTTCTCGCAATTTGGGGAATTCCGGCTGGATAGTAACGGAATGAATACCAAATTTATGCAACACATCTCTCACTTGAGCAACAACAGTGAGGAATAATTTTCTGTCGATTGGGTCGGCGATTGCTTCTTCATCGGATTCTCCCAGTACTGATGAATCAGTAGGGGATACTGAGAACACGGCATTATTGGTTGGTGGTGTTGGGGTGGTGTGTTTTGCCTGGACTGGAGTTGCACAGTTTTCCACAAGTTCAACATGTAATGATGCAATCAAGATATCTTCATTAAGATTCCATACATGGAAGTCATGCACGTTTTTAACGAGGGGTAATCTAAGGATTTGTTCCACAATAAGTTCAGAGTTGATGTAGGGCGGGGTAGCTTGCAATAAAATCTTGGACGATTTACGACATAACGGGAGGGCACTATTGAAGATAATAAGGGTGATTAAAAGGGAAGTGACTGGATCTGCAAGATGCTTCCATGAGTATTCTGTCTTCCAGATGATCAAGGCGGTTATGATAACCCCGATGTTACCCAATGCATCACCTAACACATGCAAGAAAACCCCTTCCATATTCAATGATTTCCTCTTACGTGGTTTTGTTTCTGGTTCAGTGTGGGAGTGTGAATGTGAGTGTTGTTGTTCAGACAGATGATCATGTGGTTGTTGCTTTGGCAGCTCTTGTTGGATAACCTGAGACAATGGGGAATGCGGGTGTCCAGGTGGTGGGGAAGAATATCTTTCCACAACGGTATCGGGCAAATAATCAAATACTTGAGAGCCACTAGTTGGAATATCAGCTTTAATCAAAGGAGTTGTTTCGGTAACGAAGGAAGAACGACGAGGTGAACGAACCACCACATCTCCCACTTGTTGTTCTTCATCACCATGACTGTGAGAATGGCCATGCGAATGACCGTGTTCATGAAACAAAACCAAGCCAATACCATTACTGCACAATCCAGCAATACCCACAACCAAGATCAATTTTGGATTGGTGACTTCAGTAGGCTCAAAGAATCTTTGAATGGCGTCCATAATAATGGTGAAACATAACGCCAAGAGGAAAACGGCATTGATGAGCGCCCCTAAAATCTCAGCTCGTTGCCACCCATAGGTATATTTCCCATCAGCTCTCTTGGTGTTTTTGACTTTGACTGCCCATAACGCTATTATAAGGGATATGATATCATTAAGCATGTGGAACGAGTCGGCAATGAGGGCAAGTGAATGCACGGAATAACCAATCACGGCTTCCAACAAGAAGAAGACTGTGTCTAGTCCTAGCAAGGACCAAATTCTAATTTCCTTATTCTGCATATGAGTGAGATGGATAACTTGTGCCAGGAAGAAGTTAGCCAGAAATGGGTGCTTTTGTAGAAGTTATTTGAAATGATGAGTTGTTTTGGGGTCACAGAATGAAAGATCCTGATTTTTTTTTATTTTATTTTTCCACAGTTTTGTGGTGAGAAAAATAAGGTTGCGGGATTAGGAAAATTTTTAAACTCGCCGTCTGGGCTTAGATATGCAGATGAGTTAAATTGGGCAGTTCGTGAGGAGTGTGCCTTTGGTAGAATGAAATAGTTGCATATCCACAGCGTAGCAACTGACATGTTCTAGAGCAATCTATCAGTTACAATGCAATGGCGCAATTTATCTTCCTAGTGCGAACATGTTATACGAGAGAGTTAACCTGCGAAAAAGATCTCATGTGCCACAAAATCGTTGTCTTATAATTAAGCATATGCTAAATTAACTTTGAAGACAGACCAAAAACGATGGTTAGTGGCACAATCACATAATACTTGATATGGGTATATTATTTATTTATTTATTTTTTCCATTTCCTTTGCATGCAATGTGTTTTACATGTAACAATTTGCTATGTTTGCCAAGTGTTGTCGCTTGTTCCGCCATTGGCCGGATCTATATTCCGCATTTCGGTAAAAGCTGCAAAATCAGATTTGACATTTGGTTGTTTCTACTAAATGTATGCTATCTACAACATCAACGTAGATCTCTTCCAACTCTTCATTCCTTGATACAGAAACAACTCTATCTGTCTAATTTTTAGTAATACCACAATGTCAAAATTGTAAATTAGTTGAACAATAAGATAACCTACAAGGTTATGAAAAAAACTATTATTAACCAGAGCCAATTAATTGAAGTGGGGGTGTAGCTCTACAGTCATGCCTTGCCATTAGATGTAAAAAATAACAGACTCTACAATAAACATCAACTCTAAAGTCTTCTATTGTTAATTATACATAAGTATACACAGCCAGAAAACAGCAAAAAGAAGAAGAAAAAAAAAACGGTACAATCACAGTGCCATCAACACTTGTGTGCCTAAAAATAGGTGAAAAAAACAAAGACCAACCATGATATTTCACAACTGACCTAAAAAAACACCAATGGATAAGGCGTTATCATAAGACAACCATTCAAACAAAAATAAAAACAAGCAAAACTTAAAAACAACCAAAATATTGGTAATAAAACCCAAAGGAATTGAATGTTGTAAAAAACAAAAGATGCAATGCGTTCTGCATCGATCAATAATAACCCTCAAAATCTCAAGTATAATAGCAAATAATAACATGTCGTAACATCATTGAAAAATGATAAAAAAAATAATTAAACCCAAAATATACTCAAATTTATCAGATACCGTAATAAAACCAGTTAAAAATAAATCATATAATACAAACCGATCAAAAGAACACCAGCCAATATAAAAAAAATGGAGACAACTAGTCATAGGGCAAAAATCAAATAGTAATATAAAAAATAATGGAATAAAAGAATTGAGTTATATCAATTCTTGCTTAGATCTCTAATCTAACTTTGTAAATGTCCCAATTTAGGTTTGTATACATAATCACACATTCAGTTCTTGGATGAACTTAATAATTCATTAAATGTAATCTTGTGTCCTCCAGCTGGTTGTTGTGGTTGTTGTTGTTGTTGTTGACTTGCTGGAGGAATACCCTGCGGTGCAGCATGTGGAGGTGGTGGGGTTTGGTAATGAGGATAAATAGGGTGTTGTGGCATTTGTTGAGGGTGATGTTGTCCATATGGGGGGTATTGGTATTGGATATATCCCTGTGGGGTCACTTGGTATGAAAACCCCGGTTGAACAAATTGAGGATAGTATGGATATTGTTGTTGAGGAGTTGGGTGTTGATAAATATGCGGAGGTGGAATACTTCCTGGAGGGTAGGCAGTAACCGGGTTGGTTAATGGGGCTGCATTGGCAGGTGGTGGAACCCCTGGACCAGCAGCAATGCCATGTGTACTGACTGGCGAATTTGAAGATGCAACTGAAGAATTGGAAGAACTTGGGAGTTCATCATCAGCACCTCCTTGCTTAGGTGAAGCTTTAAATGAAGGTTTAGGCAAGTTTAATGCCAATGGAGATGAATGGAACGAAGAACCAGCATAAGTATCCTCTACTTTCTTGTCCTTGACGTTCTTGCTACTATTCTTCTTGGAAGTTGGTTTTTCATTAAAGAAATTTGGCTTTTCTCCACTTGGTAATGATTGCTCTTGAGGGAAGTTTGACTTGGAACCACTCTTCAGGTGTTGGAAGTTTGATTTCTCGCCACTAGGAAAGGATTGTTCTTTGTGACTTGACTTTTTCGATTTTGAAGGTTGGAAATTTGGCTTTTCACCATTTGGCAACAGTTGTTCAGGAACGATGTTCTTCTTATTAGGCCTTGAACCTTGAAAGTTTGGCTTTTCGCCATTTGGTAAACTAGCTTCATTCAGAGGAGTACCACTCTTCTTCTTTCTCGACTCCTTCTTTGGTTTCTCATTCATGAAATCTGGTTTTTCACCACTAGGTAATGATAGAGAAGCAGCTAATTTCATCTCGACATCTTTGTTTGTCTTTTTACTCTTTGATTTGGAACCGGTACCAAAATCAACCTTTTCTCCACTTGGAAGAGTTCTTGTTTCTTCATCCTTGGACTTTTTATTTTTTGGCTTAGGATGGTGTTGAAGTTGAGTATTGGTAAAGTTCTTCTTCGAATTAGGGTGTAGTTGAATTGGAAGTTCGTGGGCCATCATATTCAATTTTCTTCTGTGGCCAGTATTATTTAGTATGTATAACTTCGTAACAGTATCATATAATATATAAACGACAGCCTTATTCAACGAGGGGGTAAAGGGAGGGTTAAGCTGGGCAGTGAAAATAAGAACGTCTGTTTGCTAGTACTTAGAACTAATACTTTCTAACTTTGATAATATGTTATCTTGGAAAAAGGTAAATATAAAAGTTGTTTTTAGTAAAGAAATATCGATAGATTGGAATCTGTTGATAATGTGGGTGTGTGTGTGGGTGTGTGGCCAACAAATTTCTTAGAGCTTGCCTCTCCTGCGTACAGGCTGGTCATTTCTTTTTTTGTGATTAGTCAGGCCCAATTAAGCTAAAGTGGGATGGAATATTCTACTGCATTGCGTATATTACAGAATGGGTGCAACTACTTCTACTACTACACCTATAACTTGTTTTATATGTTTATTAAAATGCCCTTGACTTGTAAATGCCGTATAAACATCTATGTGAGTGCCGAAGATATACCAATGAGACATATCCCCACAAGACACCATAACATCACAAAATTCAGTGATCCCCCAAACGACACCGCCGATCCATACATCGACAAAGCAATTACAGTCAAAAAGCCACTAGTTATCGACAATGTGATCCCGAAGATATAGTCCAACTTCCTAACGTCTATCCCATCATCACCCCCTAATCTATCATGATTGAAATTCAAAAAGAGGAATCCCAAGAATGCACCCACTGGTTGTGACAACCCACCCAAGAGTCCACTGATACTAACTGCTTTCAATTTGGCATGCTTGGTGTTAGATCCAGAAGAAAACGAGTAATATAATGGTAAACACATGGAGAAACCTTCGGTGAAATTATGGAATAATAAACTTATGAATATGGCAAGACCTAATTCTGGATCAGTTTCTGATGTGATGTAAGTGATAAACCCCTCAGGTAATTTGTGTAAGGTTATTGCCAATACGGTTTCAATCCCAATTAACAACAACCGAGATAATGGTGACACCACATGATGGTGATGGTCTACATTGTGCAGCTGATGACTTTCTCTTGTAGGGTGACGGCGCATACTGGTTGATCTATGACTGGTAGATCTTCCTCGATCATCTTGGTCTGCCTCAACTTCTTCTTCCGAAAGAATTTGGCCTCCAAATTCTTCATAAATTGGCAATTCTGGAATTTCACAATAATGTAATTTGTTACAATTGGGACTGCCATGACAGTTATTATACGTGCACAATTCAGCCGAAGAGTATCCTTTACATTCACCATCGGTACCATCTTCTTCTGATCGATAGATATACTTCATGATGAGTTGTTTTGTGCTGGCACGTTTAATCAAGGGTGCTCTTTCATTCATTTCCTGTTGAACAACCGTGACATCTTGTTGGACCTGCTGAACCTGTTGTACTCGCTGTTCCTGCTGGGCCTGTGGAGAACAGGTATGTACTTTATCAAGATCATTAATCTTGCAACTACTGCCATTACTCTTTGGAGGACTAGATGAACTTGCACATTCAACAAGTTCATGCTCTTCCTCTTCATCATTGTCATCGTCATCGTCATGATAATATCCATGGTCATGATGGGTGCCACTAACACTCACATCACCACCATGATTACAGTGGACCACTGATTCACTAGTAAGCATATGTAATACACTATTAAACAACAAACATATCAAGATCCCTGCGACATACGATCCAATCAATTCAAGCTTGAATCCTACTGCTTTGTTTGCTGTACTTGTTTCTTCTTCTTCTTCAACGGAATCTTTAAGGTATTCTAATGCTTCCGGCAATAATCGGTACAACGAAGTGAATATCAAACAACCAGAGCTGAATGCCAAACAGCCGTTCATAAACTTATAATTCTTATTGAGATTAAACGGGAATTTGCTAGTGAGTGATTTGGGAGCTAGGAAATAGTATATGTCATCAAAGAATATCACCAAGGTTCCCAGGATGCATATTACTGAGGATAGGGTGGTCAAAGTCCATCCTTGGTTAGCTATTATTTCCAACATGATTATTTCTGGTTCTATAAATATAAATATTAGTAATTAGTTGTAGAGAACTGGTGTTGAAATACAATTGATAAGGTTGAAATTGCTCAATGAGAACCGCCTTTGATTTTTCTTGTGATGAATTTATATTGTGTGACACAAGCAGCAACGCCAACAACTGTGCCCCAGAAAAAAAAATTATTGAGGGGGGAGGGTCTTGGAACGTCAGGAGAGACTTAGGAGGGTAACAAACGCTTTTTAAATAGTGGCAAGCTTTAATGAGCAATGTCGTACTGTTGCCTGTTGTTGTCGATGGTTAGAATATGATTATTGCGCCTCAAAGAAAAATAACAACTACATTGTGTAAAACTACAATTATATTAAGATCAAAAATACAAACAAAAATATAAACAACCGTTGTGGTTATGACAAAATGCAAATTATGTTTTTCCAATGTGTAAATAGTAACCATGTGCCAAGCGCTATTGTTTTTAACACGTGATGCATCTAATCATGCTTAACGTTATCAAGTTCAGTATTGTATTGTGGCAACGAGGTGTAATCTTTGTTCTTATGCTTGAATGGAATTTTTTTATGAGTGGTTCTTTCACGAGCAAACTTTCTCTTTCTAACATTACTCAAATCAACACGGTTCCAGGTGACAAAAAGGTACATTCCAAATGCAGCAATGATAACACAAGTAGGCATGGTGATCATAATCATATACTTTTCATAATCGATACCTTCTTCAATTTCAACATCGCCTAAATATGCTTGGGCATGTTTTTCTTCCAACTTCTTCAAATCTTGCAAATGCTCCTTGGAAACTTTTGCACCTTTCCAAATTTCAACCACAAGGGAGTTTTTCTTATGATCGAAATCTTCATCTGCGACATTGTCTGGTTGGATGGAAAGCAAGACTTTTCTCCAGTATTCGTCACCGAACCATTTCTCGTCGATATATAATGGGAAGAAGCCTTGTTCGTTCAGGACCCAATCGGAGGTGTAAAAGGACAATTCAGTGACTTTTCCTCCATGTTCTAGCACAGCCGATCTCTTACTAAGCACAATCTCGTCAGTGACTTCTTCCTTGACTTCCTCCTCTGCAGCTTCATCGTCTCTCTTCTTTAATCCCTTTTGTCTTAAACTTTCCTTGATATGGGATAAGTGAATCTTGACATTTTTCACTTCTTTATTGAAGAATCTAGAATACCAAGTGACAAAGTAGGTCTTGTCCTTTATTAATCTAACATCGTCCTTGGGAGTACAGAATGGTTCGGTAGACTTATCCCTGGCAATGCCCTTCTTCTTGTATCTGTCAGGAGTACATCTAATAAGTGGACTCAACTTGTGATTGGTTTGGTCTTCATCAAGATAGACCACTTCTTCAAAGACTTCATCGTCGGCCATATTGTGTGCCCCTAAATCTTCTTTACTATGATACATGGTAGTAGCAGTTTGGAAGTAAGTACCATAGGTAGGTTGGGCGTTCTTGGTACGACCACCTTTGATTTCAGGTCTCATGGTCTTTGGTGACCCGTCGTCTTTCAATGACACCCAAGGTTCTAATCCATCAGTGGTTTTTGGAGGTTTAGCACTAAAGGTAACACCTGCAATCACTGTAGGAAAAACAATTTCTACTTTGCCATCGCTCAAAGTTCTCACCCATTTAGGTGGCAATTCTGTGGTGGATGAAGCTGTCTTGGCCGCTTGATTCTTGGCATACTCTTTATTTACAATAACATCCCTCATTCTCTTTTCTAGTCTGGCGGGTGTAGCTATAGGAGTAGGAGCTGGAGTTTCTTCAGCGACATGAGGTAACCTCACGGCTTCAGCACAAAGGGCTAATGCTGCTATCAAAGACAAAACTTTCATTGTTGACTTTTGAATGTTAAACCAAAGCTAAAGAAGAAATCTAATTGTAATTATATAATAAATTTCGAGTGATTTGTTTTTTTTTTTGATTTTAATGTCCGACGTGTGTGATGTCACACATCGCGGGATTTTTTCGTTTTCTAACCGTTGAACATATGACCGTTCACACCGAAGGTCATTGCAAATTTATAAAAGTGGACAGATGAAATGTTTACAGTGTAAGTTTCAATCAATTAAGTAGTAAACTCTAATGTCCATTGATCTAGACGTATAGATACTTAATCGAGGTAAACTAGGTTGTTCTATGGCAAGAAAATTCCATCATTTAATACACAGTGCTAAAGTATAAATGAAACTATGCTGAGATTGCCAAAACTACTGTTCTACATATCTAATTAATACCACGCGTATATTTATTTGTATATATGGTAGTTTCTATTTACAATGTAAAGAAAGAATGTGTCAAATCTGGGTTGAAAATACCTTGGAAAATTTTCAGTGTTTTTCGATCGGAGATTTTTCACAGCCGGGTAATCTAGTATTTGATTGACCCAAGCAAGTACCCTACTTCGTTAAACAAACTAGGAATTTCCGCCCCTTGTGGTGGTCTGAAGCTGCTGTTGGATAAACTCTTTTGTAAATTGTTAATTTGCTCCTTAGAAAATGAAACCAACTTTTCATGTTTCAAGTCCAAATAACTCAGTACAAATCGATCAGGTAATTTTTCACTACTTAAACTGTGAAGGTAGGCATACAACAAGAGTTCACAAGCAGACGGAGAACCACCAAACAAGTATCCAAATGCATTCTCATTTTCATTTTGTAAAAGCTTAAATGTCTTGATAAACTCTTGTAAATAATGATTCAACAATACCAAACATCTTAAAGAATTCTTGGATTCAAGTAATGCAGCTTTTGTCTTTGATTTCGCTATCAATTGTTTTTCATGTAACGAGCTCAATGCAACTTCCTTCTCCTCTTCATCCTCATCATCACTCAATTCACTATTGAAGTATTCAGTTTCCGCAACTTCCTCTTGGAACGTGGTGGTAAAGTCAAAGAATGATGTTTTGTTCTTGCTCAACCCAAGTAATTTAACTTGAGCCACGGCATTATTATGAAACTTTAATGGTTGATTGTACATCATTGGGAAAGGAAAGTAATTTTGAAAAAGCTTTCTCGTGTATTTCTCGTAGTTTTTTGTGTTTGAATATAAATTATACTGATTGATAACGTCAACCCTTGTTTCAACAAGGTTTAGTAAACAGCTATGAATCAACTTCTCCCTGGGTGAACTAGCCCTACTAGACCAATATCCCAGCTCATTCGCAAATTTATTTCCATCAATAAAATCAACTATTTCACTAAACCCATTCAATTTCTTGTCGTCGGTGATTAAAACAGGTAATTTATTTATATCGGATATGTTGGTATTAGAGGAAGTTACAATTTCAAAGTCGTTTTTAGGAAACACTAAACTTAATAGCCATGCTGATGCAAGACATTCTGGTGATATTAATGATATCTCACCATCCACTCCCCATACATGAAGTTGTAACATTTTCGTATCAGTCAATCACGTCGTACAAGAGCTGCCAAAATCGTTCAATTGTTGTAATAAAAATGTCGGTTACATTTTGGAAAAATAGCAATGCGACATTTTCTAAATATCGCTCATCATTTTTCTGCTGGAAGAAATCATACCGCCCACAAAAAAATGCATAATACTCTTCTTTTCTAGACATTAGATACTTATAGAACAATACATCAGCTCAAGCTATCATTTATATCTTCATTAGTTGTAACAACCCATCAAATAGCATTTAATCCCTTGTTAGCTCGCAGTTGCAAATGCCTTCCAATATGTTCATTCAGCAAACCAAGAAACGATTGACATTGGACAAAATCGGACAATTGGAAGAAGACTTAGAATCCGATCCATTGAACTATATCAAATGGAACAAACTCATTGAACAAGTCATTGCTAAGGACAATCAAGAACAAGTACGGGCGGTATACACCAAATACCTATCCATTTTTAAATTTGATGTATGTTGAATTATGAGATTATGCGAGAATTGAAAAGTTTGTTGTGTGTATTTATATAATTTGCTGCTTGATTCAGGCTGGTCCGAATCGTTATTTAATTCTTTTTGTATATAGATTGCTTTTTGCTTTTTACTTGTCAGTTTTATTTTAATTTTTTTTTGGCAACTTAATGCATATGATAGACTTTTCATGTTCGATAGATAAGAACTATATACTAACATCTTTATCTAGGGTCCAAGTTGGTGTAAATACATAAGATATGAATTGAATCGTGGTGAGAAACAAAAAGTGGAGAGCCTTTTTCAACAATGTTTTGCCATTACCGACAGCGTTGAGCTTTGTCGATTATACGTCGATTACGTCCGCAGTGCTGCTGATTTCATCACTGGTGGGGAGCAAGCTCGTGGAACTGTGATTCAGGCGTTTGAATTCGCCATTGGCAAAGTTGGCATTGATATCAACAGTGATGGTCTTTGGAATGACTATTTGGGGTTCCTAAAATCATGGACACCAAGTGCCAACTGGGAACAACAGCAAAAGGTTGATTTGGTTAGAAAAGTATACAAGAAATACTTGGTTATTCCTACAGAAAATATCGAAACGTCGTGGTCACAATATACCAAATGGGAGAATGAGTTAAACCCAGCCACGGCTCAAAAGTTCATTTCTGAAAAATCGGCCGAATTTATGTTGGCCCGATCATGGCATACGGAATGGAACAACCTCACTGAAAAGAAATTGAAACGAACTGTATCCCCCTACTCTGTGGTTGGTGAACACCAAGAAACAATTCACCATCAATTAAACCTCTGGTTGAAATGGATTGAATTAGAGAAAAAGAACACTCTTGAAATCAAGGACGAAACTTTGATTGAAAAGAGAATAAGTTATGTCTACAAACAAGCAACTTATGCCCTCCCATTTGTCCCGCAATTATGGTTTACGTATAGTAAGTACTTACTTTTTAATAACGAAGAAGCGAATCTCGGCGCATGTATTGCCCTTTTGAAGGATGGTGCTTCCCTTAATCCAAAAAGTATGCTTCTCTCTTTCCAATTGGCAGAATTGTACGAAAAGGATGGCTCGTTTGATAATGCCAAGGAAACATTCAATGACTTGATCAACGCATTGACGAATGAATTCAATGGGGTCAAGTCGCAAATTAATGAACTTAATGAACAATTGAAACAGAAAACTGAAGATGATAACGAGGAGAATAGTGAGACTACCGAAAAGAAGGAGTTTAAAATCTCATTGGCGGACTCGAAACGACTTGTCAAACTTGAAGAAATTCAACAACGTCTAGCTGACTCAATTACGCTCGCTTATATTAAATTGATGGTAGCTAGTAAACGAGCTCGAGATATCAAGGAAGCTCGTAATGTGTTTAAAACTGCTAGGAAATTCGAAAATATCGGGTATGAAATATTTGTTGAAAGTGCTCTCTTGGAACATTATACGGGCAATCCCAAGACTGCCTTGAAAATTTTCGATTTAGGAAAGAAGTTCTTCTCCACCAATGGGAAATTCTTGCTTGCATACTTGGACTATTTGATTATGATTAATGATGCTGAAGCTATGAGAAGCACGTTACAAACTTCAGATACTAGTATATCTAAAGAAATTTCCTCGATTTCGGAATCTCTCGCGCTTGGAGACCTTGATCCGATAACCAAGGAAAGAAAAGAAAAAGAATTGAAAATTAAAAAGGAATATCTTAGGAAATTATTCAAGAAATATATTTCCTTTGCTGCTGACTATTTACAAATGGATGTCACAAACAGTTTTGTGAAAAAGTATGAACAATTGTTACCTGAAGATGACCCCATAGATTTGTTCACGGACAGATATAAACTAGGGCAGTCAAATCTTATTAAAAAGACGGAAATAGGAGGAGATGAATATTCTGATAATGAAGACGAAGAACCTCGAACCAAAAAGAGAAGAGTATCTAGGAAAGCACAAGAAGAAGTAAATACCGTAGTCCAAAATATCCAGGAGTCAACCACACAAATTACCGAACAAGAAACAAAACCTCAAGATTCGTTTGTTGGGCCCTCTATTATTGCCTTAATGGGTGCACTTCCCAACGCTTCCTATTTCGGATTACCTTCAGAAAGTGTGTTTGATAGTGAGAAACTTGTAACTTTATTTGCCAATCTCCTGAATATTCCTCAATAATAAAGCATTTTATAATTACATGTATTTTATATAGTAATTTAAATATAATCTCAAAAAATTTTTTTTGTGAACTTTTGTTTTTGCAACATCATGGGTGCAAACAACTAATCTGAAATGGCAGTACCAAAACTATTCACCAAGGACAGTTCACTTCTAAGCACTCGTTGGTTAACTACTCCGTTCCAGAACAGGAGTTTTCCTCTTGGAATAATACACAAGTTGCGAAATTTCTTGCTTTGGCTCTTACTTTTCAATTACTTGAATTACCAAATGCAAACCATGTCAGTACAATTACTGGAAGTTGACGTCATTAGTTTATTGTCTCATCCACATTTTCAGAATGACACTATCCCTTTGAAGGTTGAGAATATTCTCCATGGAATATACCTCCGCAATGAACAGGAGTATATTGACAATATTAATCATTCTACCATTGTTACTAGACCAGTCGTTGCCTGGAGTTCAAGTGATGTTAAAGTTAGACTTAGTGAACATGTATTTCATGAGAATTTTACCATGAATATGTTAAAGTCATCTCAGGTTGATTCTAGTCTTGTGGAGATGTTTTCCCATTCTAGTTTTGCAGTGTGGACTTATAAAGATTCCATTACCAAGTCACAAAGTTTCTTGAAGACGGTGTTGGATAGTTTGTATGGTGAGATCAATTCAAATGTGCTACTTGTCCATCACATTACTGAAAATGTGTTTTTAACTTGGATTGGTGTATATTCGGTATTTGTTGGTTCGATAGTTTCATTCTTGTTGTATGTTGTGTTATTGTGTTTTGAAAAGAGGTTGGGGTTCCATTACTTGAACTTGGTCCCGTTGTTTGCATTTCAGACTGCAAATATTGGATCTGTTATCATGATAATTATTGCTAGATCAAGGTTAAGAGTTCGGCTACTATCAGATGGTCATGTGTTACCGATATTGATTCTTGAATTGATTATGTTTGTGATTTACATTGGAATCTTTTATTACTCACACCGATCAATATTATACCTCCATAGCATCCAGCAAGGTACCGTCACCCCTCTGTCTTCGGTTTACTCTGATTTAAATCACGCCATTGAATTGCAACCTGTTTCTACTCAAGAAAGCAAATCGATGCAGCCTACTAGACGAGTGAGTATCATTGAACCACCCAGGAGAAATTCAATTCTTAGGTCGGAGCCAGGTTTGGAACAGAGTAGAAGGTGTAATACAGCTCCACCTGTGCCATTAAGATTGCAAACTCCCAAGAATGTGCAAACTACACAAAGTAAATTTACATCAATATTTAGAAATAAACATTAAATATACATGATTACTATTTACATTTTAAAATTGTGATTCATCTATTTCGTCCAACTGAATAGTGTCTACATAGTCGGGCTTGAATGGCCATTTATCGTAGGCATGGGCAATTGCCAATATGTCCTCAGTCGTGAATTCTCGTGGTGAGCGGTCTAACAAGTCATGAGGCAAAGACTCAGCCATTCCTTCACCACCGGATACTATCTTAGGGAGGATCTGACGTAATGGTGTCAGGCGGTTCATATACATGGGCAGGAGAAGATATTCCATTTCGGCAATGGCATCCGTTGTCATTCCGCTAGGGTAGAATTCAAATATTCCCATCTCGGTTGACTTGGGTATTGAATTGTCATACGCAGCTACGGGCTGATCACGAATGAGCACCCTGGGGTCGTATCCTTCTCCAGGAAGATTAGCCAGATTTGCAATAATGGCAAGCAACTTTGAATCGGTAAATAGTTCTCGTTTCATGGCTGTTCGGTTCCGCTTACCAAACCCTGGTTCAGAGAGGAACTTCAGAACCGTCTTTGATGGAGCCATACAGATGACTCGGACTTTGCCGTATTTCTGAAGCCAATTCCGATCTCCACAACATCCAATCCATTGTGCAACTATTTTTTCACCTCGATCGTAACACCAATTGGCAATCAAAAGTAACTCGTCATGCACTTGATCATACGATTTGGTCACTGGTTGGATAATTTTATCTTTATCCGTCAAGTCGAGATATGTTTGCCAATCATACGGATCACGGGGATATAATGTAAAATTTTCTTTGTTACCAGTAATTCCCTGTAACGCCTGGAGATCTTTCTTCCAGTGTTGTTGTAATTTAGTTCTTGATTCTATCAAGATATGATTTCTGGGTTTAAGGTCATAATTCACCATGGATGAAAACACCCCATTACCTGGATTGCACTCTATAATGTCTAATTTGGACCCATCGGGGTAAAGTTTCTTGAGTCGCATCCCATCGAGAACTTGCTGGACAGTATGAGGATTTAGCATTTCATGAATGTGTAGCCGCATCGGCTTCCTGTCTGCAAATAATTGCTTAAACGCAGGATTGAACGAACGTAGTGACATTGGTTGTGGTCTGTGATCTCTATAAATGCTAGTAATCTCAGATGAGCTGTGGATAAATGGTATTTTTTTGGCAGTGCGAGACCAGAGCAAAATGCTACGTAACTATACAAGAACAATAACACAACAGCAAATATAGACAATGTCGATTAACAACATTGTTTTGAAGAACAACTATGCTAGCCTATTAGGTTCAAGTGCGTATGAAACTCCATTTGAACTTAGTGGCGATGGCTTGGAGATATTAAAGTATCATACGTCTACTCCAAGACAAACACTCACAATTACACAAAAGGATCAATCAGAGAATCACCACTTGAAGGTCACAGCCAAGGATGGATTTGTATACTTGACAAACAAAAGATTGGTGTTTATAACTTCTACACAAGGCGATATGGACACATTTCTGATCGATCTTAATTTGGCACCAGTGTTACAATTGTCTCATAAATTACAAGCACCGTGGTTTGGCCCCAACTACTGGGAATTCATGTTTTATAGTGCTGCAGAACCCCAGTTTGCTAGTGATGGGTTTCCCAAGAACCAATACTTTAAGGGAGAAATCAGGTTTCATGACGGTGGGTTATTCACATTTGTGGATCTACTAAATAAAGTGGTTCATGATTGTGTCAATAATCGAGAGATTGACGAGGAATTACCGCAATACTCAGCTTAAGTTTATAACGTGTATTAATACAAAATGACAATAAATATATATAATATATAATAATAATAAAAAAAAGAAAGTTCGTAAATTTAAAATGTTCAATCAAATGTGGCTGGTGTTGACTCTTCTGTTTCCAATGCAGTCGATATTCCGATTATTGGACTATCAATTGATTCGCCATTATCAAGTCTTTCCAATTTGGCATCAATAGGATGTTTCATGGCTGATGGGACAACCAAAGGCTTTAAATTGAAGGTTTCGTCAAATTCAGTAAAGTCTAAGATCTTGTCAAGTTGATCTTCAGGAATATCCGAGTTGAGTTCTCTAAACTTTTCAGTGGCTAATTTCTCCAAGAATGAAGCATCTTGGAATACAATCGATCCTTCTTCATTATAGATTCTAGCATTACTAAACATCAAATGAACATCCTCCAACATCTCTCTAGCTTGGGTGTAACTCTTGGTAAATATTCTCTTTTTAATCACATCAAGGGCTATTGGATGTTTGATCAACACATAATAATCAGGGTACAACTTTCTTGATGGTTTAACCAAAAACAAATCACTCAATCTTCTATCATGCTCATTCTTATAATTCAAGATCAATCCCAAGATATTTTCAAGGACATTCTGAAGTCTGGCCCTTTCATCAGGAGTCAATGGGTCAACTGTTGGTGTTGGTCTATTTAATAATGATCCCTTACCACGACCTCTACCTCTTCCACGGCCTCTTCCTCTTACTGGTGGAAGTTTTGGTGTTGCTGACTTTTGTCTCTTTACAGGAACAAAATCATCAGAGTCATCCAAGAATCGTTTCAGAGTAGCTTCTGATTCAGTTTGACTTTGTTCAGGTGATTCATCTTTACTTTCGGCATCAGGACCCTTAGATCTTGGCCTACCGCGTGGTCTACCTCTGGCTCTCTTTGGTTTAACTTCAACTTCAGTATCACTTTCATCAGAAACAACCCCGTCAATTTGCCTCAACCATTGTTCTTCAGTCAAATGGTCGTCATAATTAGTGGTCTTTCTTTCTCTTGCACCACGACCATACTCTTCCATAATTTCCTCCGCTCTCTTGAATAATTCTTCAGGATCTTTCTTGTAAATTTCTGGCAATTCTTCGTCAGAAAACAATCTCGTCTTATACGATGCATTCTTGGTAGTAAGGATTCTTTCTTCATCAATCTGCTTGAAAGTAACCAACTCACCTTCATTTCTGGCGATAATTTCATTCATTTCATCATCATCCAATTCATCCTCTTCGTCATCACTACCCTTTTGTCTACGTTCTTCATCCTTTTCAATCAAAGCTCTCAACATGGCTTCTTGTTCTTCGGCAGTAGATTTATTATCAAACTTACCAGCTTGAATAACCTTACCATCAATTTCCAATTTCGCATGGGCTCTTTCCAAAATCATTTCTTCCACCGAGTCTTCTGTGATAAGTCTCAAAATCTTGACTTCATTCTTTTGACCAATACGATGGGCTCTATCTTGAGCTTGTAAATCTTGATGAGGATTCCAGTCGGTATCGAAAATAATAACTGTATCGGCAGTTTGCAAATTAAGACCCAACCCACCAGCTCTTGTGGACAACAAGAAACAGAAATAATCGGACCCAGGTGCATTGAAAAGCTTCAATAACGAAGTTCTATCGTCGGCTTTGGTACCACCATCCAATCTCATGTATTTCATGTTACGAAAGCGCAAGAAATCTTCCATAATATCCATAATCTGCGTCATTTGGAAGAAAATCAAAACCTTGTGTCCAGTCTTCTTGAACTTGGGTAAAATCTTGTCTAATAATTCAAACTTACCAGCAACTCTCCATATTTGGTCATTGGTTTCTGCTTTGGGGTTGATCATATTTTCAACTTCTTCGTAAACAAATGGATGATTACAAATCTTTCTCAATTGCATGATTTGATTATTGGCATTCTTGATAGTAACGGCAGTATTTTCATCAGCAGGATCAGCAGCGTATAAGATGTTAAGACGTAACATTTGTTGGTATAATTTAGATTGTAATGACGACATTTTACATTTAATAACCTTTTCAACTTTGTTAGGCAAATCCTTTTCGACATCCTTCTTCAATCTTCTCAACAAGAAGGGTCTCAACACTTTATGTAATCTTCTAATAACCAACAACGTTTCTTCTTCGCTCAACTCAATCTTATCTTGACCACCAGTGTTAGCGAACGGAGTATTGAACCATTCATCAAAAGATTTAACCGAATTGAAAATCTTGGGCAACACGAAATTCAACAAGGCCCATAATTCAGGTAAGTTGTTTTGCAATGGAGTACCAGTCAAAATTAAACGATAATCACTATGATAACTATGGCTCAAAGTTTCCGATAATTTCGAACTGGCATTCTTCATACGATGACCTTCATCAATAATCATATGAACCCATCTAATTCGCGACAACAATGCTTTATCCTTGATGATATATTCATAAGTAGTCAACAAGATTTGGAAATTACCTGTTCTAATATCTTGTTGCAACACTTTACGTTGATTAGGAGTACCTTTATATGTAATCTTCTTCACTGAAGGAGCCCATTTTTCAAATTCCAAATTCCAATTAGTAACAGTGGACAAGGGAACAATAACCAAAAATGGACCATTAATCTTCTTTACTTCCACAAGGTAAGTAATCAACGAGATTGTTTGAATAGTCTTACCAAGACCCATCTCATCGGCCAAGATACCATTTAAATGATTGTTGAATAACGAAACCATCCATTGTAACCCCTTCAATTGATATTCCTTCAAAGTACCTCCAACCAAGTTACTAGGTTGCTTGGTGATTTCTTCCTTGATACGATGGGCAACATTGTAGTATTCGATTTTCTCTCTCTTTTCATCATCCATAGGCTCAGCTGGCTCTTCAGGTTTGGCAATACGTCCACTGCTAACAAGATTCTCTTCAGCTTCCTTTTGCTGCGATTGCACAGCTTGTGCCAAGGAATCTAAGAACTGATTGGTTTGCTTTAACAAATGAGTGATTCTGGTATCCTTGGTATGATCCAACAATTTCAAATATGCTTCTTCATCATTCAGCTTTAATGCTTGCAAACGCTGCTTGGCCATTCTTTCGATTCTCTTTTGTTCTTCCTTGGCAGTTTGATTATGGAAACTGGCAACTTTATTGCCCAATCGGTTCAATTTGTCTCTTCTTCTCATAACCTGGTTGCTGCTTCTCTCACTATAAAGAAGAATCTCGTCAATGGTCTTTTTGTGCTGTTGGTTTTGGGCTTGCATTAATGTTTCCAATTGATGTCGATATAAATCCTCGGTGATGATAACATGATCTAATGACAAAGTATTAAATCTGGCCAAAAAGTTTGGATGGGAATTTGGAAGTAATGATTTGCTGAACCAAGTTTGGATGAGTAGCTTCCCGCGCAATTCCTTTTGATAAGGTAACAACTCCAATTGAGCCAACTCGGTTTCCAATTGCGTCTTCTTGTCTTCATCGGCATCGGACAATTCCAATAATTGTCTTCGTAACCGATCCTTTTCCTTTTCAATCAGTAACAACAAATGAACTTCTTTGTTAGCAACGATATCATCCATATTGATACCATCAGGAAGTAAACCCGGGAATTGAAGTCTGCTTTGAGGAGTGTAGAATGCACTAAGAGAAATATCCTTAACGTAATCACCAACTAAATCTGGAACTTCAAAAGTATCAACCTGCATATTAGGCTTGTTAACTGGAATAATGATCTTATCACTCTTGGATCGATCAGGTATTAATTTCTTGATATTAACCGGAGGACTAGGATCAGCACCAACAGGTTGCAGTGGTTTGGGGCTAATCGATGCCTTCATTTCCTTTGGAGGAGGTTGAGTAGACATTTGCAGCATTTGTTGCTGTAATGATGGTGGTGGTGGTGGTTGTTGTTGTTGTTGAGGTGGTTGATCTTGCTGTTGCAGTTGTTCGATTCCTCTTTGCAAGTCAATAGATTCTCTAGCTTGTCTTTCTTCCTCGATCCTCCTTTCTTCTTCCACCTTTTGAAGTTGCTTCTTGGTAAGTTTCTTAGGTTGGCCATTATTCTTGGGCTTTGGACCTCTCTTTCCCTTCTTTTTCTCAATTGGCGGAGTCCCCGGAGGCATGTTTGGAGAAGGAGTGACACTTGGACCACTCATCATACCCGGTTGTTGCTGTTGTTGGCCCCCTATTGGGATTTGATTAGGAGGTGGGACTATTCCATTGTTGATGTTTTGCTTAGGAGGGGGAGCAGCAATCTTATTTGGATTACCAGCAGGCAAGTAATCTCCATTGGGGTAAGCAGATGCTTCATTGGTAACAAACGCGGTCAAGTTTTGCGGGATTGGAGGATATCCAGAGTTTGGAGACTTAAGCAAGTACTTCAACGCTTGGAATTGTGATTTAAGTAACTGGAATTGTTGAGTTGTGAATGCAGATTCTCCACCCATAACATTTGGGCTCTGCATCATACCTGGATCTAACGGTTGTGGCTGTTGCTGGTTAGTTGGATATGGTTGTTGCTGGCCAGCAGACATTTGATTCCCTGTGAATTGGTTTGCTGATTGCATGGGCATGTTATTCCTAGCTTGTGACATTAAGTTGGCATTTTGGACAAGCGGGGTCGCGTTGTTAGATTGGCCCATAACTCCACCGGCCATAGGAGATTGTCCTTGGAGTTGGGGTGGGTATTGTTGTTGTGGCTGTTGTTGTTGGTTATTAAAATTGCCCATATTTTGATTTGGGTACGATTGCATATTTGGAGTGCCCGTATGCAGTTGTTGTTGTTGAAGTTGTTGGGGTTGTGGTTGAGGCTTTTGTTGTTGTGGGATATGCAGATTGACCTTGGCATACTGTTGTTGTTGCTGCTGCTGTTGCTGTTGCTGCTGTTGTTGCATCCTTTGGACTTGATGATTCTTGTACATGTTTATCACTTTGTTCAACCTAGCAAACTCAGGGACGTTTATGGCCTGATCACCAAATTGCTCCCGCAATTGATGCCAACGCTGGATAATCTTCTGAAAGTCTTCCTTATTCATCTGTTGGTTCATTTCTAGTATAATACAACACAAATCCGATAAGAAATGATGCAACTAAGCCAAAACTTCAAATGGATTGACTGGCTGTGGTTAAACGTTTGATTGTTTGGATTAGGTCAAAGTGAGTGGTTTTTTTTTGCTGGATTAGAAAAAAAAATAATGTCGTGTATAATGGTCTAAATTTTGGTACTGCATATATATCCAAGACGGTATATCAGTTACTAATTCAATTACTACTTAGTAATAACTTCAACTTCTCTCTATATAACATGTTTAAGAATAAATAATCCAGTTAAAGACATATGGGTGATTAATTTATATCTAATCCCTTTGGTTTTTGGGACTTGTAAAACATCTTCACTGATAGCATAGATCTGCTTGATTAAGCAAACAAAAATCCGCCTCTGATTCCATGCGGTATGATGACTCAAAATAAACCTTAATTCAGCATGTGTATCGAGTCATGGGGAAAATCTATTCTTGCTATAATTCCAAAATAACCTAAGGCTCCCATAAATCACCAGAACCTCTTGGTGCATAATTAATAGCTTGGAATTTCTCTCTCTTTATAAAGGATCCATCAGGGGTTTGTCTGGCACTTTGAACGGCAAGAGTAGTAGGTATAGCACTCTGTCTACCCTTCTTGCCTCTTCTATTGCCACGGTTATTATGAGATCTGCCTCTGGAGTTCTTGTTGTTTGGAGCATCTTCATGTACGGTGGTGTACGAGTACAATGTTGTATCAATGGTATTTTGTAAGATATTACTAGATGGATCAAACTCTTCTTCAACTGAAAAATTGTTATGAGGATTGTAGATTCTGAACAGATTAACATCATAACTCTTGAAAATCAACAATTCTGCTTCATTGACATTAACACAATCAATGCCAAAGCTCTTTGCCCAAATCTTGGCAATGGAGTCTTCGGTGACTAACTTCCACTCCTGAGTATCATTATGTGACTCGTGTTTCTCAAGAAATCTCTTGTAGATACACGTTCTAATCAAATACTTTAATCTTGCCGGCATCTCCGCGTACTGGTTAGAGTCAGGCAAATCGTTTGAATTCTCGCTCAGAACCAGATTACTTCTTTCTTTGAACAGTAATGAGCTATCAAAAGTTTCCGTGAAGTTTATGTCGAAATCGTTTTCGTCATTCCCTCCTTTTGAAGATCTTCTTTCCCCAGAAGCACCCAGTTGTCCAATCAAATTAGAATCAAACTTAGTTTTGTAGTTTGGAAATTCTTTCACTTTCGGAGAATGAGTCTTATAACGCAAGCAACTATTCCAAGACGGGATTGTATCTGTGGAAGACTCCAACGAAAGATCGTACTCAATAACACTGTTTTTTCTGTCTTCGTTGTCCTCGTTTTCAAAGTAATTATCAATGAATCTGATAGCTTCTCGGGCATTGGTGGCACTGATTGAAGTGCCTCGCTTGACAAACTCAAACTCGTGCAAGGTATATGAAGGAATGAATATACTTAGATGGATAACCTCGTTTGAACGGGTGGCATTAGCTTTGACGTATTCGTCATTGAACCATCTCTTGACGTTTCCGATCCCTCTAACAAAGGCTGAATGGTCCAAGATTAATCGCACTTGACGGATCGCTGGTTTGTTCACTTGAGACTCGGTAGTCTCGGGAGAATTAATTAAATCATCCTGGTTAATATCAACATTATCGCTCTCGCCTTCGTTGAGACCAAGTGCCATATCCTAACTATGTTGGTTTGGTTAATGGTGTTGTATCTTTGGTGCAGTCAATGGCAACCAACGCTTTTGCTAAATTGAGAAAGAAAAAAAAAATACCAGGTAGCGCAGCACGAGACTCGGAATTAATATAAGATATGAAAAGCAGACCGTTTCAACCAAACGAATACAACACCAGTCATTATAGTAGGCTATTAGAAAGCAAGAGCGTGGTTTTACATTACAGGTATCAATTTAGGCAACAAAGTTTTGTTTATTTCTATGAAAAAGTATTACTATTACTATGCAAGAACTAGACTAAATCTTTAGATAATGTTAGTATTAACCTTCTTGAACCTACTGGTCCCACAATCAATAAGTTTCCAATTGGAATTAAAGTATCAGATTATAGTCAATTGTTGTATTCATTGAGCTGAAAAGCTCTAACATTAGAGATGCCAGAAAAACATACTTAGATATAAAAATTCATCCTGTTAATTCCTTATGGTGACTGATCATGGACAGCTAACTTGTGATGCTAAAACATACCTTTGTTATATTGCCATTATTATGTGTCTGTTGATTTTGGAGTGGTCGATACTAAAGAAAGAGAAAGAAAAGAAAGTGAAAAAGTATAAAGAAAATTTCCCTCTTTAAATCCTGATGAGGAAAAAAACTTTTCAATTAGGGTTAATATAATTGATCCCAAGTACACGACTGAAATTTATTACTACACAAAGCTAATGCTTGTGCTACGTTAGCTACAATTCAAATTATTATTCTTTATATTAATAAATAGCAACACGTACAACTACCTAAGCATTTTCACAATTGGCTCCTTCTACTATATTGACGCTACTCTGACTTGAAGCGATATCACTATTGACCAAAACACTTGATTCACTAATATTGGATTTTGATTCAGCTGCTTCAATAAGAGCAAGAAGCTCTTTCTTCTTGAGATTGGTCTTGTGGAGATCTGCACGAAACTCTTCTTGCTTTTTAACCAACTTTTGTTTCTTCATTTTAATAACTTCATCCTCTTCAGTATACAACTTGTCCATAAGTTGCCTTAATTCTTGTGCTTTCTTTTCAAACATTTCATCAAAGTCAATGCGTTGTTGTTGCAGTTCTTCTTGCAGGGACTTTCGCTTTTCTAGAGCTTTCACATTGTAGTAAGCTTTCAATTGTTGAAATCCTTCCAATTTTGTGACATCTCTATTTTCATTGGGACTGAGAACACTTTCAATTTTATTAGCCAAGTAGGAACTTCTAAATTTTTCATAAAATGTATCCGTTGATAAAACAAAATCAAGCATATTTTCAGTTATTAATATATTTTTGAGTAATAAAAAGTCGCAATGCTTTGAGTTTTCAATTTCAACTAACCCCCAATGGTAGTTTCTTCCCTTTACAAACTCTCCGTGATCATTTTTATACCTGTCAATTGAACCAACAATAGAAAATGGAACCAGAAAATTAATTGCATGAATCAAATCAAGGTCAGTAAAATATTGACATATTTGAATTTCATTATCATGCAAAGCTTGCTTGACTACTGCTTTAAACTTGACTAGTTCATCAGGGGTAAGAATATCGCTTTTGGAAATCACAGGAATCAAGTTAACTCTGGTAGAAAGGTTTTTCATAGTTTCAATATCTAAATCACATAATGAACATTTTGATGGATTAAGAAAATATAAACAGCAATGGACTCTGGAATCAACTAAATCTTTTCGGCAAGGTTGTTGAGATTGTTGCAAATATTTCAAGAATTGATCATCAATGAACTTACATATTGTTTTCCAAGCATTCAGATTATCTAAACTATTCCCATAATCTTTGGTTTCAATAACTTGTAAGTTTAATTTAAATTTCAGTTCTTGTAATTCAAACCTATCAACTGAAATGCCATCAACTCTGGTGACTGATCTTTCCTCTTCAAGTGACAACAATTCAGTTCCAAATAATGTGTTAAAAAAAGTGGTCTTACCTGTTCCTCTAGATCCTGCCAACATTATTGAAAATACTGCCCCTTTTCTGCAAGCTAATGTTTCTCTTTGTTGCAGTAGACATTTTAGTCCGGCGGCGCGTTTGCTAAGATCGGGTTTTTGTGTATTTGGCTTTTGAATCTCTGGTAATTTAAGTTTAATATCTTCAATATCTGATACTTTTGCATCAGTAGAAACACCCATTGAGTTTGATTTGGAACTTTCCTGAAGTGGATGGTTATTAGTAGAACTTTCAGTAGGTTTGATTTTGACAGTTTCTTCTAATTTTTGGAGATTTTTTGGATTAATTGTTGTAGAATTACTAACAACAGAAACACCACTTTTAGTATCAGGCTTTGAACCAGCACTAACAGTACTGCTTTCATTCCTCTTCAACTCACCTATTTTCATTTAAAAACTCCAAACTTTTTATATGGTATGTAAAAGTAATTACTATGGCGGTTAACTAAAAGTTGTTGCAAAAAATTCAAGCAGTAAACAAGCGCCAGAACGTAAACAAAGAAACAACAAAAAAAAAGGTGGCTAAGCAATTCCTGCATATTAAAATAGTATAATGCAGCCGCATCTAGAATGAAATTTTATTCTCCACTTGTCAAATGTCACTTTAAACCCGCAAATCAATAATTCTTACAATGGTGTAAATGCACTTTAACCGCTGGTCAAGTTGTGAAGATTGTGTGTGGCACGTGCTTCAAATCTACGCTGGACAAAGTTAATAATTTCCACTATTTTGCTAGTGTACTAGATTGTTTAAAGCTATGGCAGAAAAAAAAAATTATAAAACCATTCCAATAGTCAGCTTAGCAAGCTATTGTAAGAACCCGTAATGTTAAATACAACTTACCTTGCTGTTTTAATACGCCGTACTTGCACTGGTTTCACAATTGAAACACTCCTGTACGAAAGCTTTCTTTGTCTCGTAAATACCTGTGCAGTTTCTTTCTGTCAACATCCAATTTCCTAATTAGGAAAAATTATAAACAAGATGGATCACAACCATCAGAATTCGTAAAAGGCTAGATACAATATATATTATTTCTTGTTAAATTTCCAGATTTGACTGAGTGTTAACTTTTATATCAATCGCACTTCCGATTTGAAGGGTTTCATAGTGACATTGACACATTTGGTTTACCACCACTAGCCATTTTACCTAATATTGACCATATTAATAGCAGTAGACAACACTCGTTAAGCTAATACATACGTCTGCATACACATACATTCCACGGCATCGAGTGAACCAGCAATAATGGCCAATTTATCAAATCAGGGTGTATCTGTCGATGATAATGACATCCCTTCGGCACCTAAAACCCCACCATCAAATTACGTCGAAAGAAGGGCCCGTTCTAGTTCTCCCGTCAAGAATAGAAACTTTATACTTCCCGTCAACTATGGGAATAGGTCATCGTCTACGTTAATGTCACACCAGGAAGAAGACCTAAGATCTATCATTGCATCTCCAACACTAACTCCGTCTCAGTTGAAACGAATTTCCAAATCTCCTATTACCAAAAAATTGCATGTTGCAGCAATGAGTGAAAAAAGTAAATACATTATCCCAGTTCCATTCACCCTTAATTTACCTCCTAGATTGACAACTCCTATTACAGATAACAATTCCAGTTGTTCGTCTTTAACTAATAGCACCAGTCCCAGCAGAGCCGAGTCTTCAGTAACCCAAGAGTCTCCTAGAGGACGTAAACAAAAGCAAGGGAAGTTGGTTTTCACCATGCATGGATATGAGAAGGTAGAATCGCTGTCGTCAGACGAAGAAGAGGAATTGAATGGCAAGCAAGATATGATGGGCCACTATTTAGAAGACTTGAAATCTTCAAGACTGCCACTCTCAGGTCTGCCCAGATCAAGAGGAATGTACGCAAAGTACACTAGCAACCTGGATGCCTTAAGTATAATTGAAGAAGTCTCAAATTTCGGATCGAGACAAAATACCATAAACAACAAATTGCAACAAGTTTCCAACGATGAAAAGCAATTACCGCCTACACCGAGACCATTACTGGAACCGAAATTCCCCGAAGTTGAAATCAAGCCCAAGCTTCCAACCAAGAAATTAACAAGGAAACCACCACCACCACCAATTGAATCCGAAGAGAAATGCAACAAAACCTTACCCATTCTACCATCTGAAGTCGCTCATAAACACCCCTTGAAAGCTACTACTATCATTCAACCTAAACCTTCATTACCCCTGATAACAAGCACATTAGTGAATGATTCTCATGCATTAAAAATACACAAGAGAAGTTTTAGCGATGAGTCACAAGTTTCTTCAATTAGCTCCTTGAGTAGCATTGGTGATTTTTTAACCCAGTCTGCGGTACACACTAGATCCCCGCCCTTGATTGCATCATTTGTGCCCATCGCAAGTTCTAATCGCGTAACCAAGGTGCCTGTTAACAACAAATTCTCTCATGAAACAAATGCCAGCGCTACCAAAACTCCCACTAATAAAAAACAACAAACTACCATACACAAACAAAAGGCAACCAATGTTGACACGCCAAAGCAACAGCAATCACCTTCTAAGCAACAGGTGGAACGATCAATTCCCAAGACTGCTAACACAAAAGCGGCAACCAAAGCACAACTAACAACAGCTGCAGTTCACTCGGCAAACTTGTCCATTCCAAAACCACAATTCCTTCAGACCAAGAGAAACATATCTGACTCGTCAACAGGTTCAAATGACTCTGTAGACTCAACAAGCACCTGGAACTCCATTCAAGAATCCATTGATATCAGTCCTTCAGAAAAACAACAACCTAAGAAAGAATTTAGAAAGTCATTTCCTCTTCTCTTTGATAGAAAAGACGTCATGCCGCCACAAAAGCATACCAGAGCCATGTCTGAAAGCTCTTGGGTTGATGTGAGTGAAGATGATACCGAAGAGATCAAGCCATTATGCATTCACAAGAAAGATAGTGATGCGTCATCCAAACAAGTAATAGCTCCTGTTGCCGAACAGTTGAAAATGGACTTTCATTTCCCAAATACTTCCCTGAATATCACCAACAACCAAGAAATAAAACAAAGACAAATCAGCGGTGACCAACTGAACCACAAGTCAAGATACAGTTTCTATTCCAGCACAGGTCAAATAGAAATCCCCGATCTTGATGACAAGAGAGTTATGGATGAATATTCGTCAAAGGCACCTTCATCGTATGACGGAACCACATTCTCCGATATCAGAACACAGACCACTGCCTCTGACATTCATGACGATGATAATAATAATATATTTTTGGGTGTTCCTGGAAAGCAAGCCATAAACCACTTGAGACAACAATTTAACATGCTTGGTGATGATTCTGACTCAGATGTCTTTTCAGCAGGATTATATACCGCTCCCAAATTATCGAAAACAGTACCGACAATGCTATCCCAACAAGCTGAGCCCAAACCATCTTCAAAATCGCCAATAAGGCACGCGCGTCACCGATCCATGTTCAATATTGATTTCAATCCTAGTAAAGACATCCAGGCAAACGTTCTGCACGTGAGAGCCCAATCCATGAATCCAGCAACCATAGTCGCACCTAAGGATGCTGTTGCTGAACTTATGAATATCAAAGTGGCTGCCCCGCCATCTAAAGTGAACTATGCTGTCGATTTTAAAGAGTCTGAATCCGTAGCAGACGATGATTTCATGTCACCTCTGCCTGAAACTTTGAGAAGAAACAGTAAGATTCATGCCAGTCTTAAATCTGCCACAAAAACCAAGTCTAAAAAGTCCAAAAAAAATAATAATAATAATGTTGGTTCTGATACTGAAAGTGTCGTCATTGATTTGACCGAAGATGAATATGATTTATGCTTGATCAATAGAAGAGACTCAGTTCTTTCTTACAAGTCAGTAACTGAAAAGTTGAAAGACGGTAAAGAAGTGGAGGTTGTATTAGTTGACGAAGATATTGATGAAGACGCTATAAAGGAACCAGCTACAGAAGAAGAAAAGAAAGAACCCATAAGAGCGAAGGAAGAGATCCAAGAAGAGGAAGAATTCTCTGGTGATGACACAGAGGATGAATTACTGAGTATCTACTCAAAATATAGACATAATTGGATGTTTAGATCCAACACAGCATCATCATCAACACTGTCAACAAACAGCTATGCATCCGTGACCGAATCCATGTCGCAACTACAAATCAAACAGGCTCGCAAAGTGGAAATGAAAAGTGTTAGTGCATTAACTACATCTGGTCGCGTACTACGTGAACTAAACTTGAAGAGGTCCAATGGCTCAGTTTCATCATCATCATCAAGTTATGTATCTAGTAGAATTCTTCATCCAACCGAGAGACAGCCTAGCGTTCGTACCAAGCCTGCAGTAAACCAAAGAAAGAGTATGCCTATCTTGGAATCCAATTATTTTGACTATAGAACTAGCGATAGCTATGATTTTAATACGTTCATGAAACAGCGAACTGATTCGGGTGTTTCATACAAGCCCTAAATTATTTATATAAGTATATAATTCCTCCATAATAATTATTTTCACCTTAAAAATGGACTTTCACCTTCCGAAATCGTTTTCAAGTTGTTTTGTCTTGAAAATGAATCATTGCTATGCAAATCATTAATCATGAATTGAGAATAAAATCTCATCTTGGGCCCATCATAAACATCTTCTTCATCTGAGTTTTCCTCTTCTCTAACTGAAGTACATGAGTTGTATGATCGTGCTGACGGTGTCCTGCTTATACTATCGGCTTTCTTGATTTCCAATGAAGGAGCAGAATAACTATTTCTGTAGAAAGTGACTGTTTTGTTGGTAGTTTCTATCTTGTTAGACTGATACTGATTTGACATTACTGATTTGGATGGTTTCTTATTGTATGAATTGGACCTAAAGAAAGCTGGTGACGACAGTGGTCGTTTCAGTTCATGGTCTTCAAATTCGAAGTCTTCGGGAAGTTGATTGATTTCGTCAAGTAAATCCTGGTCCATCAGGGTGTCTTTATCAGTCCAATACTCTTTTATAACTGGTGTGGTATTGCAATGGAGAGGGGTTTTAGAAGAAGTTTTGATTTCATGTTCTTCAGGTACTGGTTCTTTCTTATTCTCTTTGATAAAACTGTTACCATTAAGCAAATCCAAATTGGCCAATGTATTCATCATGTCATTAATTGAATTCCTTCTTACAATCTCTTGGACCTGTCCATTGTTATTAGTTACAGTTTCAATTTGGGACAAAGTAGCCATCATGTCAACTATAGATTGTCGATTTTGTTTTGCCTTTTCTTGAACTTCTTCTTTAACGCTTTCCTTCTCTATTTCACCTTGTTTCTTCTCAAGCGAGGACAAAATATCCATCATGCCTAGAACCGAGTTTCTCATTTGTTTGGCAGGTTCTGAGGAGGTTTTCGGCTTTTCATTGACGTTTTCTAAATTATTCAAGAGTTCCATTACACCATGAACGATTGTTTCATTTTCTTCAGTGGTAATACCAAGTCCGATGGTGCTCGTTTCTGGGACAGTTTCTGGGACCGTTTTATCCACTTCTTGAGATTGTTTCAATGATTCAGAAAAATCCTCAAAAACTTTAACTTTCTTGCCTATCTCAAGGTGTAAATTTTCATCTAGGGATGAATGGAAACTATGCCAATATCTGTTTCCAATTACATCACTCACACTGCCTCCAGAAACAAGCTCCGAAGAACTGATAACCTGGTTGACAGCAATTGGATGGCGGTGGATACACAATCTGTTTGTATTTACGTCATTATTTCTTCTCCTGTTAGGCCTCAAGCGATATCCCACTGTTAACCCGGTTATCATTGGACTATGAAGATCAAACAATTCCAAGTTCTCATCGGACCTTATTTCAGGTGGTGGTGTTCGTACATTCATAGGTTCTGGAGTAACTTTTGCTTCAAGGTAGTTTTCTAAAAGATCCTCCTCATCATGTTCGTACTCTTTGCTAAAATCCTCATCTTCGTCATGATACGATAATTCCGAAATAGCCCCTTCAATTGGTCCTTGTATAGATAAATGGTACGATTCATTAAATAAACGATGGACTTCTTCCTTTGAATCAAGATGCAAGTTGTCAATGGAGGAATCAATGTGTATTGGTGTAAGACTATCATTCTTTGGTTCGAATATTGGAACCACTCCACTAGAATATCCCGAACTGGTACTGCGGGAGTAGCTCACTGCATCTATAACTTTATTATGCACATATGGCTCAGGGTAATTAGTTTGTTTCTCTTCATCATCAGCAAAGAGTTTATTATATTGAACATCGTCGTCTCCCTCCTCGTCATCCATACCATTATTTTCAAAATCATAATCTGAATATTCATCTACCTCATAACCCAAATCGTGTTCATCAAATGTATTCAGTTGAACATTGTCATTTGTAGCAGCTACCTTGTTCTTATAATACTTGACAGATGTATTTCGACCCCCTTTCATATCCTGAACAAAGGAAAACTGAGAAGATGAACTGTCATCTTCATCCTCTTCTTCGTCTTCTTCTACCCCATTGGACTCAGAGTATGTTCTTGGGTCATCGGTTTCAGTTTCGTCATGCTTGATTTCAAGTACCAGCTCATCAAATACAACTTTTTTGGTCTGGAAATTATCATGACTTTCTGCCATTGAAGTATCACTGGTATTAAACGAACCACTCTTGGATAATGAAATAGGTGGGCCTAGGCCAAGTTCATGGCCATCGTTGATATCATCATTGTCATGCGGTATATCCGGTAAATACGGACTATTTATGGATAATCCCTCGTATTGGGGAACTCTATTCTGGGAGCGTATAATCTTGGGAGGGGGTCGGGTATTTGGAGGATAGAATATATGCAAGGATGGAGATGAAGTGACTTTTCTAAACGAGGGCTTAAATGGTTGTTCTAAATCCAGCGCTTCATCAGAATAAGGAGGATCTAAAAGTTGATTCGGACTCTGTTTCTTGCTTAGTTTCTTGGACCCCCTAAATCGATGTTTTGAGTCGGTGTATTTTGGTGTACTTCCATTTATTATACTCTGTAAACTGTCATTAGCAGATGGTGTATTTGTAAGTGATTTGGAGTGGTGATGTGATGAAAACAAGTTTTTGATTGGTGTTAATAGCTTCTTGGGAGAGCTCAAACTGGATCCATTAGTGATTGAGATCGGAGGTGGCGTGTATTCAGGTATGTTTGCAATCTTGGGAGACGGTATAGGTGTAGTATTGCTGTTGTTTCTATTTAGTAATGTCTGCGGTTGCGGGTATTCTAGAGACGGACTAGGGTGTTCTATTAGATCGGAAGTGCTAGATCCGCTCTTCCTATGTGATTTGATGAAGGATCTCATGATTTAGGTTTGTTGAGAAAATACCGCTTGAGATGATGCTAGATACGGCAAAAGCAGTTGTAGATTGGACGCTTTTAAAGTTAAGACTGTAAAATATAGCAATGTGGTGGTAAAAATAAAGTTTTTGATAAGATTAAGGGGAATGGTGTATAATTTTTTTTTTTTTTGGTTGCCAGTATTATTGTTAAAAATAGAAATAGTTACGATTGCCGCTTTTTTTGTGTGTTTTGTGGAGGAAACAACAAAGTCAACGTGGCGAGGGCAGTCAGATCATGTACGAAATGAAGCAAGTGTAGTAGAAAAAAAAGATCAACTAAACAGTGGCGCTGTTACCAAGTGGCGTTGGCGTTGGCGTTGACCCGTCAAAGGGGTCATACACACAAAAAACTTGCAACCAAACAAACAAAGGAAAAAAAAAGTATTTAGTCTAGACTAATAGGTTTGTATTTGCATGAACTAGATTGTATAAACAGTGTTACTATAAAGATCTTCTGGTTTTGACAGCTTGTGCCAATACATCCAATACTTCTATAGTTGAATCCCAACCAATACAAGCATCAGTAATGGAACATCCGTATTTCAAGGCAGCCTTACCTCCTTGTTCAGCAGGTGGCACATCTTGTCTACCTTCGTTGATATTTGATTCAATCATCAACCCACAGATTGACTTGTCACCCTTGGCGATTTGTCTGGCAACCTCGGCTGCTACCTTAGGTTGATTTCTGTGATCCTTGTTGGAGTTACCATGAGAACAATCAACCATTATTCTTGGTCCTGGCTTTTCATCAGTAACTACTTTAGCCTTGAGCAATTGTTCTTGAGTTTCCTTGACAGATGCTTCATCGTAATTAGTACCCTTTTTACCACCTCTCAAAATGACAAAACAGTCTTGGTTTCCGTCAGTTCCCACAATTGCAACAACACCAGGTTTAGTGACTGAAAGGAAATGATGTGGATGGGAAGCAGCTCTCAAGGCATCAATAGCAACACCCAAAGTACCATCAGTACCGTTCTTGAAACCGACAGGGAAGGATAAACCGGAGGCCAATTCACGGTGTAATTGAGATTCGGTGGTTCTGGCACCAATGGCACCAACCGAGAATAAATCAGACAAGAATTGTGGGGAAATAGTATCCAACATCTCACCAGCAATTGGCAATTTAGAAGTCAAATCAACAAATAACTTTCGGGCGATTCTCAACCCTTTATTTATTTGGAAAGACCCATCAATTTCTGGATCGTTGATTAAACCCTTCCAGCCAACAGTAGTTCTTGGCTTTTCCAAGTATGCTCTCATAACAATCAATAATTCTCCCTTGTGTTTTTCAGATTCCTTGTATAAACGTTCGGCATAATCCAAGGCAGCAGCTGGGTCGTGAATGGAACAAGGACCAATGACAATAATTAATCTGTCGTCCTTTCCATTCAAGATATTGACAGCGTCGTCTCTCCCTTTTAAAATTGTTTTTTGTGATTCCGGAGTCAATGGGTACTCATGCTGTAACAAGTCAGGAGGGGTCAAAGGATCGTAACCACGAACTAGGTGAAAAAGTTCTGTTAGTAATTTAACTTGCAAGTTGGTGACCATGTGTGAATGAATTTAGTGCTTAAGCCGTACATTTCTTACACAAACATGGTGGAAAAATAACACATACTTCTCCAATCTTCCATACGGGTTCTGTCCCCGACGTGTTCGTTAGTGATGAACATTTTGTATATACTCTATATGTTTGATATATGAACTAGAAGAAGAAGAAGAAACTTGAAACTTCAAGAAATGAAAAATTAAAAAAAAGAAAAAGACTAACATGAAAACCGGCATGCATCGAAGATTTAGTCATAATTATTTTTTCGACCAGCAAGTTTGCAGGTTGCCAACTCTATTGTACAATACTTACAGGTTAGCCTCGAGTTAGCTAACATGTAATTCGCTTACCGTTATCAGTAACTTTATTGGGTGGATTTTTGTTATCTACTAGTTTATACTTGTTCAAACACATAAATGTAAGCTTTATCCTTGATATCATTCAAACTTTCTTCGTCACAAATAACAACTTTCTCATCGTTGAACAACACCCATTCTTCTTTACCTAAAACCTCTTTTCTAATGAACACAACATAATGTCCAGAGTGAACCGAGCCACCCTTGTGACAAATAGCCGATTGTAATTTATATCTGGGACTACCTCGTGGGCCTTGTTTTAATCGAGACAATAATTCATTCTTTTCGTCTTCAATATTAACTGCTGGTTTGTTTGTTTCTTCAATGACGCCATCGTCATCGGGGTTTGTGAACAACCATTCAGCGGCAGCATTCGCATCACCATTGTTTAAAATTAATGCCTTTCTGGCCAACTGGTGCGTGAATCCCATTGAGGTCAACATCACAATTGAATCTTCTGAAGGTTCACTACTCTTGCTAGTTTCTGGTTCAACAAATGGCGCATCGATATCAGCATCATCCATATGGCCAAAGATCCAATTCATGGCATCTTCAGCATTCTTATTACCGGTATGATACAAACCCTTAACACATCTTGACTCAGGGAACCCCATGCCCAATAATGTAGACATGGCTTCTTGATCTGGAGTAAATGTGCTAGATTTGTTCTGCTCAATGACAATTTCAGTCTCACCTTCTCCAAACTCAGGAGCTGGGAAATCTTCCAAGTTTAATTCATAGGGGATCTTAATAGGTACTTCAACCTTGACAGGAACCCAATTCTCTAACTGGATTCTCTTGACATTGACAACCAAGTGCTTTGGGTATGTTTGGAACCCGCATGCCTTGACAGCGACACTCTTGCTATGACAATGGTCGCATTCATATCCTTCAATAGCCTCATCTTCAGTATAACTTCTGAAACAATCTTCTAAAGTGACTGGTTTATAAATCTTTGTCCCATCTTCTTTAACCAGTTCAACGGTGTCTTCGACCGGGACGGATATATTGTCAACCAATTCCTCAGTCAAAGTCCCATGGGAACAATTCATGCAAATTAACTTATTAGCCAACAAAAATTTCAAATCTTGGTTTAGTTTCAACCCAAATTCACTATCTACTTTATCGAAAAAGTAAAGCAAGAATTCGAATGCATCTTGTTGCTTTTGGGTGGAAAACTCAACATGCTTATCACCAATAAGGGTTTTGAAAGCTGATGGTTTTATACCAAGTTGATAATCGTCTCCCTTAAGCGAACCTGGTTTGGAATATCTTCCACTCAATAACCCATCATAGATCTTAATCAATTGTGATTGCAAATCGTCAGCGGGGTTTACATTGTCAGGGAATTTCAACGATTTAAAGAAGTTTTGATAACTTGGCAAGGTAAACAATGCTTGAAGTACTGAATTGATATAACACGAGTTACCCAAGTTTTGAAAACCAGTTAACCCACTTCCATACACTGGAACTAACTTTGTCCCATCCTTTCCTTCTAATCTGAAATCGTAATTCAAATTCTGATCAATGTTTAACTCGACTAAACTCTTTTCTGTCTTGGTTACTTTGTTCAAGTCAATACCAAATTTAACCAACTTGTCAGCCAAATTAGGCACTTTAACCTCATCATTACATTGATAACAGTATACATCACAACTATCAGCTTCAGCCGACAAAGAACCCAACTTGATTGCCACTGGATGTTGCGAAAGTTCAAAATGGGCCAAGGCATGTCCGTTACCCTTTAATGCAGATCCGTATTGTTGTCTTCCGCAACCAAGCACACCACAATGAAGACAAATCCAAAGATTCTCGCCAAGTTCACATTCGCCACATTTGGTTAAATCCAATTGGTCACCAATCTCAAATTGTTGTACATCAATTGAATGTTCACAGGGTAAGATTTCCTGTTCCCATTGTTTGATTTCATCCTGCCTGTTGCTTGAATTGGCAGTTAGGATTTCGTCAATTAACCGATTGAATTCGGGGGATAATGATTCACGAGGGTGCAATTTATCCTCCTTGATATCGTAGACAGATATAGTAGTGTTGTAGTAATCTTCATCACTCACATCTTTAACTTCCAACTTCTGGATCTTAGGGCTGCTTCTTCCATTATGATCATAAAGCAACCTGTCTCTTTGCTCTTGAGGCTTTAACGTTTTTTTGATATTCAAATAGAGGTAGTTTCCAGTACGCAAAAAGTTCTCCTTGGTATAGTTGTGACTTGGTGTACGTGAGTAAGCACGATAGGTCTTGAGGTCGATATCCAATCCTAGGTCATTGTTTTCTGCAGTGTCAAACGAGTACATGCAGTCATCTTTGTATATCTTGGACCCAGATGGGATGGTGCTAGGGATATCTGAAGGGAGTTGGATTGTCATTGTTGCTGTTGTATGCGTATTGTTGTTGAAGTTGCCAATTTGTTTTGCCTTCAGCATAACGTAAATAAAAAACGGGAGGGTCAAATGGAAATTTTCTGTTGCAAAACTTCTGACAACCAACTCAGCCTACTTCGTCAACTTGGTTCACAACATCTAAAGGGGGATACTACATGCCATCACAATGCTATTTCATAACCATCAACAACCATTGAAAGCTCCTAATGGATACAAAACTGAAGTTTACTTTTCCAATTGGTCAGTCTATCAACGATCTCACTTTGCTATTGATATTCCCATCAAGTACTACACCCACATATTCTACGCCTTCATCCTCGTGGATCAACAGACTGGCAGATTGAAGTTCTCTGATGAATGGTGTGATTTACAAATGCCACTCAAATCAGCAACCGGCGCTCCAGTAGTGGGCAACTTGCAACAGTTATTCCTGATGAAGCTTGCAAATCGTCATTTGAAGGTGATTATGTCAATTGGTGGATGGGGAACTTGTCACTTGTTTGAAGCCGTCATGTCTGATAAACAGAAGTTGGCAAACTTTATCGACTCAGCTGTGGAGTTTGTCCATGAGTACGGGTTTGACGGAGTGGATATTGACTGGGAATACCCCAAGAACGACAAAGATGCACGAAACTATGTTGAATTATTACGAGGATTAAGACTGAAATTACCCAATCAATTCTCATTGTCCATTGCTGCCCCTGCAGGTGCTGAAAACGTCATGGTCTTGCGGATTAAAGAAATGGACCAATACTTGTCGTTTTGGAATTTGATGTGCTACGACTTTGCTGGCGAGGGTTGGAGCAAACGCACCGGGTTTCATTCAAACTTGTTTGGCAATAATGGAGACAATGAGTTGAATGCGGATAATGTGGTTGAACACTACAAGAGAATGGGAGTTGACTCGTCCAAGTTGATTCTTGGAATGCCAATGTATGGCCGGGTCTTTCATGGAGTCGCCAAGCCTGAAATAGGTCATCTGTTTTCTTCCAGTGTCAGAAAGGGTCCCGATGTAATTGATACTGAAATTGTGGATTATAAACGAATTCCACTAGACACAGAAGTGTTTGATCCTCGAAAAGTGTCGGCTTGCAACTACACGGGTAGCTCGCAACAGTTTATTGTTTATGACAATGCTCAATCAGCAAGGATTAAAGCTGGCTATACACGTTCCAAACAATTGGGTGGGGGTATGTGGTGGGATTCCTGTGGAGATTCACCAGACCCTGCTAAGTCATTGGTTATCAACTATGTTGACCAATTGGGAGGAATTGACGTATTGGATAAATCAGATAATGTAGTATCTTATCCTACCAGCAAGTATCTCAAGGATTTGTTAAAGTAAAAGGTTTATATATTGGAATATGAAAAAATAGAACAAAAAGACTTAGTATACAAAATTGGATTCTTTCAATATCCATGTAAGATACAAAAACTATTCTAACTACGCTTGTAAAAGCACTACTTATTACACTAAAGAATTGAATCCATTCTTGCAAATACACTCAAAACAGCTGCGATCAATTCCAATTGTAACTCAGAAGCTGATGACTTTTCAATCTCGTCATTGACTTCTTGTCCCAAGTTCAAACCTACTCCTAATGGGCTTTGGTTTTGTCTTAGGTTGAATGGATATTCGCTGAAGTCATTAAGTAACTCATCAGCCCTGGCAAATGCTTGGTCTCTCTTATCGTAATTCAAAGACAATAACACATTTTCCAACACATTAGCAGCATATGCCCCACATACCAAGGAAATTGATCTCAAGTATCTGTATGAAGTATCCTTAGGGAATTGGTCGTTGGCAACAGCATCTAAATCAACGGATCTTTGTACCAACAAGTTCAAAATTCTATTTTTGATAAATTCCTTGGATAACTTATCAGCAACTGGATGGGTGGCCATGTCAAACAAAAAGAAGTTTTTACGTTCAGTTCTGAGAATCCCCTTGTCTACAAGGCCCTTGGCTAATCTCTCTCTAACTTGTTTCAATTGATAGTTGATCTTCATTAAGTTCCAAGTTTCACCACTTAACAAATCAATCCAGTTAGTAACCGACAAATTGGATTCGTCTCCCTTCATTATTTTCAAGGCTTCGTCAAGCAAAACTTCACCGGTGGGCTCACTGTCAATGACTTCAACCAAACGGTCGCTCAATTCAAACCTACGTCTAGCTGGATCGTTAACCAAAGTAATCTTATTACGGAAAGCCAATTCCAATAAAATACAACCCCTTAAAGTGTATGAGATATTGTCATTCCAAAACGACAAGTATCCTTCCTTATCCTTTAAGCCAATCAACAATACTTCTTCCATCAAGGTCAAAAGAGGTATTTTTAAATTGGTATCGCGATCTTCTATATCACGGGAATCGTAGCCAATTTTGTGGTGATTTTCCGAGGAGGCAGGGCCCACACCGGAATTAGCAGTTCTATCTTCATCAAACGAGTCTGATGTTCTTGGTTTTGGAGTGGATGACTTACCAGCTCCACGACGTCTCTGCAAACCTGATGATGACATTATTCTGTAGCTGTTGTAGGTGTTGTAGGTGCGTGTGGTTACGTGTTGTTATCTGTCAAACAAAAAAAAAGGGAATGAAAGATCGAGATATGATTATGCTTTCGACTGGGGCAATTGGTGGTGGTAGAAATCAGGATTGGTCTAATTAAGATGGATACACGCTATCTATTATATTATTTCCGTTCCTCCAGTGCAAGTTCTTTCAGAGTATTTCCTTTTGGGAGTCGAAACTACGTTACTTTTTAATTGGGTGTTTGCTGTGATTTCCAACAATCAATTTTTTTCCCGTGGTCGTTTTTTTTTCTTTGTCGATTTAAATGTGTGTGTCATTTTTGAGTGTGTCGCGACACAAACGTGAGACATTGCTTTTTTGTGTACTAAACATGCTAAGGTTTACAGTAATTACACGAGAACCCAGCTTAAAATAATTGCTAAAAACATAAACATCGCCATCAGCAATATTGATTATATCATTGACACAATCACGTGATCGGGCAATTACATCATTTTTCAGGAACACATTCCAATTGTACCCAAAGGATCACTCCTGTTTTATTACCCGTGCTGCAGTTTGTCTATCCCCAGATCAGGCAATCTTCATTTGTTGCTAGCTCAACAACCATCAATCAATCATAATTACGATTATAATTTGGATAGATGGATCATATTCAGCGCAGCATGACAGATAAAGTGGAAGAACAGGAAGCGTCTCGATATCCTGGCTTTACTAACAACAGCGATGAAGAGGATGACCGTGACGAACAGCAACAACAGGAAGATCAGGAGAATCAACAATTACAACCAACCAAGTCCAACAGGGAAACAAATAAATTGGATTTCGTCTCATTTCCAACTATTCCTGATCCTGAGCTAGTTGACAAATCATTATTGTCGGGAATCTTAACCAAAACATTAAGAAAAGTTACAAATGCATCCAACTTGGTTCTGAGTTACCATGCAAATAAGTCACCAGGTTATGCCGAACATTTGAACCCATCTACTCCACCAAGAGAACACAATTCTCAGCAAGAATTACTTCCATCACTAGACCCTAAAAAAGATACACTACCTAAGCCTAAGGATGTATCATTATACCTAACGTCGTCACAAAACCTGACGTTGCCACCCCTGCTCCCAACATCAAAAATACAATCCCCAGCATCTGAAATAAAAAGCTTTATACAACCACCACCACCGCCAGCAGCAGCAGCACCACCACCAGCACCATCACTACCACTACCACCTATAGACAGCTTGACTAAAGATAAATCATCATTGGATAAACTTGTCAATTCAACTACAATTCCATCACGATACAACTCAGCAACTCCTCCTATGTCAACCACAGCCAGTGATGTTGAATCAGACACAACAACAGCACGTCGCATACAACCATCAGGTGCCTTGAGTAGTGCAATCCGTCCTAACCATTTAATTGATGATACTCCCCGCGTCACATCAGATAATAAAACACTTCGGATTTCAACCATACATCACCCTCGTCTACAAACTATTAATAACAGCACCACTAGTTCAGTAATTAATGTTAATGCATTGGCCGGAGAGGGAGATGCCACTGCAAGTATAAACGATAAAGTCGCATCTGCGGAGGTTGCAGGAATTACATCTGCTACAGCTTCTATTAATGAACTAACAGCAACTACCAGTGCTGCCAGAAAGGATTCAATATCTGCCGAACTACCACCAGTATTTCAAACTAAGCTGGCCCCAAATTTCAATAACTTACCTAATGACATTGAGTTCTCAGATGATTCCGCGTCAGATAATGAAAGTTCCCACTCCATATTGTCACATATTACGTCATCAGAAACTCCATCAGGACTGAACTTGAATCTAGGCTCCAGATCTAGTCATTTACCGTATGATTTGACCTCCTTGTACAGTGAATCGATAGCAAAGTCATCGCCCATCAAGGCAGAACGTAAAAATATCACTTCCCTGGGAACCATTGGGAGATCTCCTACAATTTCATCATTCCATGCCCTTCAAAACATGGACAGACAAGCAAAACAGGCGAATGTTAATTTGTCTTCGGTTTTAATAGACAATGCCAGATCATTGCTTAATACCAATATAGGAGCAGTAGCATCTTCAGCATCATCAATAGTGACCTCAAGATCTCCAGCCAAGAAGAAAAAGAAGAAACCCAAGAAACCGTCAGATAATCCCTTGAAAAGTGGAGGTATACCCAAGAAATACTGGATGAATGATGCATTTGTGTCTGATTGTCTCAATTGTCTCCGTCCATTTACTGCATTTAGAAGAAAGCATCATTGTCGATTCTGTGGGCAGATTTTTTGCTCTGATTGTTGTTTATTCATATCTTACAACCAACACAAAGACGAAAGAAATAATAATTCAAGGACGCGAAAGAGACCATATAATGATAAGTTGCGTGTCTGCAAGCCATGTTATGATGATGTTATTATTTACCTAAGTGATGATTCTTCAACTTCTGAAAGTGAGGATGAAAAGGATGAAGAAGCAATACTTGACGAAGATCTGATTTCAGAAAAGAAGAACGAAGACGAATTTTTGGTCCCCAACCATCCACTTTCGCGGTTAAGATCATTGTCTACTACTTCATACCGTGAGAGCATTAATGAATCCTCTTCAAATAAGGGCGTGCAAACTCCCAATATAACTTTGGATAACAATCACAGTCCAACTTCTGCAACCAGAAACTACAATAATAGCACCACTCATAGCCAATACGTCTATCCTGATGAATCGATTAAAGTACATCCAAAGCAGGCACCTCGGATGGCTATCCCAACCACAAGAACCGGAGAATCTGTAGAAATCCCACTACTAAGAAGCTCATATACCAGTTCTAACATGCACGCATCACCTGGGTATGGTTCAAGCTTTAAAGTAAGTGCATTAACTCCAGGAATTCATCATCTGCATTATCCTCAACAAAAATCACCAACTCACTCGCATAGTCATACTCTGTCGACCCAAGAAGGTGCCGCCGGAGGCAAAAGTTGGAGAAAAAATTATCAGCACTTGTCGCCGAATTTGGCACATGCAGAATTAATTACTAGTAGAAGTTTGGATAATATTAGTGGTGCTTATACCAATTTTATTGGTCGTAAATCGTCGTTTCAGAAATTCAGAGTACAGTCTGGTTCGGATAAAGATTTGGTTAGACATATCTCGCGAAGAGAGGCATCGGCAGAACCGGGTGATTTGCCAATTCCCACCAGTCATTTTGATACTGATGTTGTACCTCGTGACGATGAAGGGTATTCTGAAGATGATGAAGACGAAGAAATTGAACGAGAGAATGAAGATGAAGATGAAGAAGACGAGGATGAACGAGCCATGTCGCTTTATGCTGCGTTGAATTACCCGGGACATGGAGGATATCCTTCAACGCCAATGAGCCATAAACCACCAATTCTTCCTAATAACCTTAATGTGGCCGTACCTACTTTGGGTGAATTTCCGTCTATGATGGTGGGATATCCCAGACATAAATTGTTTATGCCACCGGCAAACACATCCAATCAGAAAACACCATTCAGTGGGAATACAACAACTAGCACGACTAATCAAACACATGGCCCTACTGTTGCATTTGTGGAAGACGAATACCCGAAAAAGGACAGTTACAGATCTCGTGAACGAGCCCATGCATCCCTTCAACGTATCCGATCTAGACGACAAAGTAGAGCAACGAGAAATGTCCTGATTTTGACTCAAAATAGTTTGCGATTACCCAGTGTAGAAGTATCTCCCAGGAGTCATACAATGGTAACTACATCATCCTCGCCACCAATATCCTATACAAATAGTCCAGCCATGCCAAACAACAATATTCTGACTCGTAGTCTAGTAAATGAAGCTTCAGATATGATTAGTTCATCGTCAATGTTGGATAGTGAGTTGTCTCCACTTGGACCAAGAATATCATCAGTAAGCACGGGCCAGATCGAACCATTGGATTATTTATCGGTAGATGAACATCTGGATGCAGTAGGCGAGACTATTCCTAAAGTTGATCATGAAAAGGTGTATAAGGATCATCTTAACGTTATACTCCGACAATCATTACTTGACTGTGATATTAAAGAAAACGTTGATCGTTGGGTCTCTGTTCTTCAATCTCTGTTGGATTATATCAACCTGATTAAGTTGACTGATACCCTTGATATACGTCAGTACGTGAAAATCAAGAAAGTTTTAGGTGGAAAGATTGAAGATACTCATGTCATTGATGGAATGTTTATGACAAAGAATGTCGACTCGAAACGCATGTCATCCGAGATTAAGAATCCTCGTATCGCTTTGCTTATGTTCCCGGTGGAATATCTCAAACAGAAACAACAATTTATAAGTTTACGAATCATCCATGCGCAACAATCAGTATACATAACCAACTTGGTATCGCGATTGGTGTCACTTGAACCGGATATTATTGTAGTGGGTGATTCGGTTTGTGGATTGGCACATCAATTATTGGAAGAAGCAGGAATCACCGTGATGTCTAATGTGAAACCACAAGTAATTGAGAGAATTTCAAGATATACTAAGGCGGACATTTTCCAATCAGTTAATGATTTGTTTTTCAAAAAGGGAAAATTGGGCCACTGTGATCAGTTCACCATTAAGAGGTTTAAATATGGCAACATGGTTAAGACCTATGCTTGTTTCTTGGGCTGTGGAATTCCTCTGGGTTTCACCATTTCGTTAAGAGGTGGTGATGAGGACTTGTTGAATAGTGTGAAGTATGCTGCTGAGACATTATTGCCAGGCTACCTTAATTCTCGATTTGAAAAGAGTTTGTTCGATAATTTGTTGATTACTTACAAGGATGGTATTACTAATGGATGTCTTAATCGTATAAATGATATGTTGTTGGAGATTGATGATGAGAATAACAAGGAAGAAGAATCAAAGAGTTTGGAATTTAGTTTGGATAGTACTGAAGTTGTCAACTATGTGAAGTTGTTTAATGAAAGGAAACTATCATTGTCACCTTCTATTATTTATTCACTTCCCACACCATTGGTCAATGTGATTGAAACATACCATAATTACCACGATTATTACATAAAAAACAAACTTATTCAATCAATTGACTCAGCTGAAGATATTCAAGATGTCTGGTTGTCTGACTTGAGACTAAGCATTGATATGGAAACATTACCTCACAAGGAAGATATCCTTTCAATATTGAAATACGCCAGCGATTGCCATTTGAAAGCAAAGATGATGGAGTATCATCATCGTGCCAGAATATGGTTTAATTGCATGAGGTATTCATGTTATCAACTCTACCCGATATTCCATAAAAACATACATGTTTTGCATTCCACAGTATCAATTAAACATGCAACTCCATGTGCTGGACCTGGTATAGTTGTGGTTGATTACTATACTGATAATGATAAATGTTTGGGTATGTTCCTTGATCAAGTATGGCTGGAAAGTGCCAACTCATGTAATGAATGTGGTGAGAGCCTCCTTAACCACTACAAGACTTATGTTCATGGAAATGCCAAGATTGATTTAATCTTGGAACGATTTGATCATTTGGTTCAAGGAGATAATTATCAAGGTAAAGATCGTCGAGTTATGTGGAGTTATTGCCGCATTTGTAATTATGCTACCCCGATTGTGGCAATGAGCGATGAAACCTATTATTTGTCGATTGGGAAGTTCTTTGAGTTGAACTTTTACGGTACTGGTGTTGGTGTAGGGGATGCAACTTCTGGTTGTGATCACGAATACTTTCAGAATTACGTTAAGTGTTTTGCATACAATGAATTGGTTATCAGAATGGAGTATTCAAATATTGATAATTATGAGATCATGGTTCCTAAGAAAAGGTTGGAATTCATTCCTGACATTGATGTCAAATTGAAATTGAATGCATATAACTCGATTAATAGTAAATCAAAGAAGTTCTTTGAGTCGATATCCACAAGATTGAACAGAGTGAAATTGGATACTTTTGATAAAGCAGAAGACGGAACCAAGAAGCTTGAACAAATGAAGGAGGAATTAGGACAGCATATTGAAACAATCAATGAAAAGTTTGAAAAGATTTATCTGTCAACTCCAGTGACTAATTATCTTGGTTTGAATGTTGTATTACAGGATTTACAAAAATTAGGTGGATTTTGGGATAATGAGTTTAATGAATTTGAAAAGAAATATTTGCCTAGTGAAAATGAAATTACCAGAATTACACAATTTCATTTGAGAAATTTCTTGATGGATAAGTACGATGAGGGTCCTAAAGAAGAAGTTGAAGAACTGTCTAAGAAGCAAGAAAAGAATGAGAAGAAAGATGAAGAAGAAAATAAAAATAACCAATCGGAAGATAATGTTGAACAAAGGGACTCGCAGGAGCATTCAGAGAATATAAATGAGGAAACAAAGGGCCAACAAATACAGCAAGAAGTCGTAGCAAGGTCTGAATCTGAAATTGGGATTGAAACTGAACAAATAGAGAATGAACAACAGGTTGATAGTGACAATGAAACGGATACTGAACAGCAGATTAATACTAAGCCAAGGCGAGTCAGTGAAGATCACCAAAGTTCAATCCCCGAGCGTCCCAGTATTTCTCCCAAACCTCGTAGTACTAGTGATTCAATGTTTGATTCAAAAATGTTTCCTACTCCAAGGTCCTTATATCATCTGACCTCAAACATTTCTGAAAGGATAAATAAATGGGAACAAGCAAATAATGGTCCTACTTCAATATCTAGTTCGGAAATACCTGTATTGCAAAACCGAGGATCAAGTGGCTCATTGTCTTCAATTAATATTATTCCTTCCCAGAATAAAGTACATCATTTAGCTAATTATTTTGATAAGATGTACTATGATCAAATTTCGCTTGAATTTTCTAAACACAGAGAACGTGAATTAAAGAGGAAACCAAAAGTCAAGGCACAGCCTATTTTTGAAAGCAAGCCAATTGTTGAGATTTATAATAAAATTGAAGATGTTGTTGGTGATGATAATAAGAAGGGTGATGTTCTGAAGGTTAACGTAGAGGTAAAGGCATCTGATAGTCAGGATAAGGAACTGAAAAAGGAAGAAATTACTGATCAAAGTCAACCACTACAGAGTCAAGTCCAACAACAACAACAACAACAACAACAACAACCAGCTCTAGAAATGCCCGAAAAGCAATCATTATTGAAATCGTTAACTAATTTCTGGGCAGATAGATCTGCTACATTATGGGATCCGTTGGCATATCCCTTGGAAGAACACGAGCATACATTTGCTGACTCTGATGTTATTGTAAGAGAAGATGAGCCAAGTTCGCTTGTAGCATTTTGTTTATCGCTGAATGATTACAAACAGAAAATCCAGACCGCAATGGAGTTGAATGATATGGCTATGGCCGGTGTAGTTCTGGAAATGACTACCAGTTCTAGACAGGGTACACCTAATGACAGTGAGAATGATCCAGAAAAACATGAGATTGAGAATAATGAAATTAATAATGCTAATAAGAAGAAAAAGATGGCACAATTTGCAAAGATTGAAAAGAAATTTAAAAAGAGTAAAGCTGAATCCACAAAGACCAATTTAATTGAGACCATTTTGACAAAGAAGAAAACCAATCATTTAAAATATCAGTTTATTGATGGAAACACTAATCTTTCATGTAAAATTTTCTACAGTGAGCAATTTGAAGCACTACGGAAAGCATGTGGAGCCAATGACAATTTCATTCAAAGTTTGAGTAGGTGTGTTAAATGGCAATCCAGTGGTGGTAAGAGTGGATCTAATTTCTTAAAGACTCTAGACAATAGATATATTGTGAAGGAATTATCAAAATCAGAATTAGATTCGTTTGTTTCCATTGCTCCGTTTTATTTCAAGTATATTAGTCAATCCATGTTTAATACCTTGACTACTGCAATTGCGAAAATCTTTGGATTCTACCAAGTTGAAATTAAGAACAATAATACTGGTAAAACTTTCAAAATGGATTTTTTGATTATGGAGAATTTATTTTACAATCATAAAACCACGAGAATCTTTGATTTGAAGGGATCCATGAGAAACCGTCATGTACAGCAAACAGGTAAGGAAAATGAAGTTTTATTAGATGAGAATATGATTGAGTTTATATATGAATCGCCGGTATTTGTCAAGGAACAACTGAAGAAGCTTTTGAGAGGTTGTTTGTTCAACGATACCAGTTTCTTATCCGCTATGGATGTTATGGACTATAGTTTGGTTATTGGTATTGATGACCAATCCAAGAAGTTATACATTGGGATAATTGATTGGTTAAGAACATTTACTTGGGATAAGAAGGTTGAAAATTGGGTCAAGGGAAGTAATCTCATTGGAGGTAATAAGAAAGGTAAGAACCCAACAATTATTACGCCTAAGCAATATAGAACTAGATTTAGAGAAGCTATGGAGCGGTATATTTTGGAGGTTCCTGACATTTGGTATGAAGGATCAAAGTAATGACAACGGTGCCATTTTCTATGTTATACCATAAAAAATTATTTTGGGGGAAGAGATTAATAAATATTTATTTGTGTACGTGTAATTTTTCAGATTTTTCTTAACAATACAGACTGTAGTCATGGCAAAAGTGCGTACCTTGCCTCTCGATGGCAGTAATAATCCTAACGTCAAAGCGCCTAATTATGCAGCATGTTTAGAGTTGACTTGTTACATTAACGTTTACTATTTACCAAAATAGGAGGGGGTGTGAATAGGGGTAATCATAGTGCAGGGGATTAAAAGATAGCGCGGGGGGGCGCTGTAAAAAAAACAATGAAAAAGTCGTAATCGGTGCATTGTTTGTGCGCATATTTGGTTTATTGTTTGAATCAATTTAAGTAGTGGAGCCGTGGCAGCGTGGCGTGTATTTTTCAAAAGCTTATTCTTGATAAAATTTCAGGCAGTCATTAGGGGAGTAGCAGCAATCTAAAATTAGAAATGGAATTTCGATGTCTGAAAGCTTGATTAATACATCCCTGTCAAGTAAGAAAATAAGGGAGGGGAATCTGTTGATGGTTGACCCTTGGAGTCCCATTACGATGCATCAACTCTAATCGAAAAAAAAATTATTTTCTGCAAAAGATTTGCATTCGCTTTACCTGCATAACTTTACACAGTAAACAACCTAAAACGGTCTCTTTGTTTAATGCAATAGGCATCAGGAGACCCCCTATAAACCTTCAAATGTTGGTCATTGGTTCATTACAATGAATTGGCTTAGTTTCACTACAATATAATGGATACCATTCTCTGGCTTTAAATGCTGGTCGTCGAAAATATTGAGCCCTATACTATCTTAGGAAACAATACGCGTAATATAAAAAAATAATTCCTGGGCAATCAACAAGACTAACACTAATTTTTGATTTATGTTTTTTTTTTTGGTAACCACAGTTATGTGGGTAAACTTTACTCTCCTTTTCTCATAACCCCCAAAAAAGGATTTTACACTTGCAACACTTCTTTTTGTTTTTCCTTTAAAAGTACACATATTAACCTAATACCACTATCGTTTATATACAGTATAGTTCGCTATCTTATTCCTAGTTATCGACACGTACAGTGATTTAAATTCCATATCGTGTTAAACCAAAATAAAACAATCATTTTTGCCAGGAGATATTAGCTGAATCTCCTTCCTAATATACACACAAACAGACAGCCAAAAATGTATAGTACTAGGATCAACTTCATAGTAGCCTTTATACTCGTGTTGGTTGCATTCGTGTTCCTATTATTAGCTACTATAAGTGCTCCAGTCGTGAAGACGTTTGAATTAGCTAAAACAACTACACATTCGTTTGGTGTATTTGGCTATTGTACCCTCAAGGACGGAACATGTCTGTCTGCAACCTATCCTTTGAATTTGTCTGATATAGATGGAAAAGCCAATTGGTTACTCAGTTCATCTACTAGAGATACTTTGGCTAAGATCTTTATATTAACTCCTATTGCCCTTGGCTTCAATTTTATCACCATGATTTTATTACTTGCCTGTAACTTTGTTGCTGGCGGAGAATCAAGATCAATAGTTTTGATTACAATTGTGGTTAATTTTATTACGTTGTTGGTTACTATTATTTCCGCGATAATTACAGTATTGGTTTATCATCCATTTTTGCAATGGACTGGCTGGATTTTGATCGGGTCAGCTGCTGCTTGTTTACTTTCCTTGATTATCATTACTGTGTCTTTAACTAAACTTCTGTCCGATGACGATCTTGATGAACTTGTGCTTGAAGTCAACGAAAGATCTAGTGCTGAAAAGGAAAGATTTGATCGTTTATTTGGCGGAAAGCCTCCAATAAACACATCATATAATGATCACAGTTCCAGTACCATGGATAATGAATTTGATTATAAAACATTTAAGGTTTCTACTACTTCATCTGGTAATGGAGGAATGGGAGCTGGCTCCGGAACTACTGCTGTCACTGCTGCTTCTGCAGTTACCCTTGGTCAGAATAGATATAACCCATATAACAAATTCACCAATAGCACTGATGATTATCAACAGCCTCCTCAAGTAAGTTCATTCTCGGAACAATATGCCAAGTCAAATCCATCTATTGGATATACCACACCCCAACAGGATTCTACCAATGCAATTCCATATCCTACATCAGCTGGATCATATCCTACTGACTCGTCTGCGTTTTCTATCAACCATAAATCAGTATTTGAACATCATCCAGAGGTCGAAGGTCATAAGCCATTTACTGAATTAGATGATGATTTTGATGATGAAGAATTACCAAAGACAACTGGAGGTCATATCCCAGAAGATTCTGATGCTGAATCTGATTTCACCAGTGTTTCCCAGCGAGCACCAAACCCAGAGTATCACCAATACAGCCAAGGCGGTGGTTATTATCAACAGCATTATAATAATGTTCACAACTTCCAATCTGACACCGGTTCTCAATTACAACCACAACAACCTCTTATCAGCCCACAACAGCAACAATATCCAGTTGGATACAATAGATCAGGTAATTATCAACCTGTACCAACCACACCACCTAGTGCAGGATATTTTCCACCAGCTCCAGCCCCAGTACAACATGTTCCTCCTCCTCAGCCAAGGCCAACAATTTCCGATAATGTATTGAATAATAATCCTGATTTTGCAGTGGGAAGAATGCCTAATAAAAGAAAAGTGGCTCCTGGGTTTGTTCCTGTAGCTGCTAGATATGCAGGAGGCGCACCACGAGGAGGAGGGTATGGTAGAGCACCTGGTCCAACACCACATATTAATAGAGGTGATGGCCCATACGGTATGAGATAAGCTGACGGTTGTTTTTATTTTCTTCGTATATTTTGCTTGTGATTTACTTTCAATTCTTGTATTAATTGGTCTTCTATAAACTAATTAATCTGTAACTCTTTATAGAGTTCTTTTCACTAGAATATTGTAGAAAGTTTATATATTCAATGAATCTATCATATTTTTGGATTAGCATTACCTGAGTCTGGGTTATTTATAACAGGCCTTTCCGGTACCAGTTCTGGAGTTTCTGGTTTTGGTTCTGGTTCTGGTTTTGGTTCTGGAGCTGGAGCTGGTTTTTCGATTATCTTTGTGGTTGAATGTGGGCGAACAAGTACAATCATTAACAATGCAAATACACAAAGACTTAACAAAAAGATGATTTTACACTTTGTTGTTCGTTTCTGATAATGTCGAGCTTTTATCAACTCCTTATCTGCATCTTGCAAATTAGCCACTGTATTTTGTAAATTATAATCAATTCTATCCAAAATTGTACCTTGATGCACCACGATTGTTTCCATCTCTTTGAAAATTGTCAGCACTTCCAAAATCCCCATGGCCAATTTAGAAATTTCTCGTTCTCGCTGCTCAAGATAACTATTACTTTGTAGCTGTTGCTGTTCTTGTTCAAGTACTTGTTTAGAATAATTTTCAATTGACTCGGTAGTTTCTTCTGCTTTTGCATCTAGAACTAATTGATCCTCGTCGTCATCTCGAAGAAATTTCATATAGTTGTTTTGCAAATTTCTAAATACAACTGAAGCTTCACTTATTTGAGTTGCGTAGTTTTGTTGAAAGTTTGCCAAAATTTCTAAATCCTGTTTAGCATAATTCAACCCCAATTTTTCATGATTCTTACTTAAATAAATGAATTTCTTAATGGCAACATAACATTTCTCAAATCTGGATAAGATTGAATAGTTCAACAGTTCGATCTGGGATTCCAATTCTGTCTTGTTTGCCAGGGATATGATAATCAACTTCTTATACAAGGAATTCAATTGGCCCGTTTCAGTTTTAATCAGGGCCAAATGTATATCCAAGTCCTTTGCTATATCAAAAAGTGATGGAATAATAGGCTTCAACTCAATGGAGTGTTGCTCACCACCGCCGATTAACTCTTGCCTTTGTTCTTCTTCATATTCAAGATCGTTGAAACGCGAATTGCGTCCAGAGCTGATGATAGGAGTTCCAGTACCTCCAGGTGGGAGTGAAACATCACGAGTAATCGTTCGCCTGTATGAGAGGAAGAGGTTTGTTCTGTCTCGAAACATCTTGTTGGTTGTAAAAAGTGTTGGCGGTTCGGCTTTACATGTTTTCTTTTTTTTGGTTTGCTGTTTATCTGCCTCATATTTGTGTAAATCTTTGGTTGTAAGTTTTGTGCTGCCAAAATGTTATCCTTTCACAGAGGGAAACACATTCTATATAATGGCATCTATCAAAAAGGCGTGTTTAAGCGTTTGAGTATGTATCTACCAATATAACAATGTTGCTTACATTAATTTTCCATCTATATTAATTCCCTATAAACAATGCAAATAAATAAACTCAAGAATGTTACTTTTTATCTTTCTTTCTAAAACTCATATTATGAAAGTTAACAAGAGTTGCACGATCAGCCATACCACTATTGGACATTTTACTTCCCACATTATCACTTCTAGTATGTTCATTCAAACTTGCCAAGTTAGTGGAACTACCACCATTGCTCCTGGCATGAGAAAAGTATCCAGCAAGATTAACCAAACTCGAACCTCGTGATTGAGAAGGTGAGGGTGATGTCCCAGCAGATGATCTTCCACTGGCTCTTAAACTTGACAGGGTGGGTGTCATTGATATTGGAGTTCGTTTGTGTAAATCCTCAAATCTTTTGTTGGCCAGAGCTAAATCAATGTTCGAGCCAGGTAATGGTGGCTCGTAGGCTGGAGCTAAATCGTCAGTAATATCACCCTTGATGGCTTGTGTATAGCTTGGAATTTGTAATAAATCTTCTGCACTAACGTTGGTAGACATATTAGCTTCTGATGGAACTCGGGACAAATGTACTGGAGGGGACATAATAGGACTTGGGTGGTCGTTTATATACGATTGGTGCAATGGAGACCTAGCTGGTGGACGTCTAGCAAAATAATCATCCCCATCAAGGTTGAATGTAGCACGGTCTCGAGTATGTGTAGGAGCAGGTATACGTAATGGGGAAGAACTAGCGTTATTTGGTGGAGATGATGGTCCGTTAAATGTATTATCTTCTTGTGATTGTCTTTGAAGACTCAAAAGACGTAAATTCTCGGTAAGAAGGTTAGAATCAAGTGGTGACATCAGAAATTGATGTAAGTCTGAACCTCCACTACTGGATCCACTGCTGGCTGCAGGACGAATAGCTCGTGGAGTTGTTGCTCCAGAAGTAACGGGTGTTTCAATAGGTGAGACATCCGACCATAATCTATCATATATATGTTGTTCATAAAGCGGAGGGGCAACTAATCCAGTTAATGATGTATGTGAACTGCTATTGGAATGTAAGGAAGCCAATGAAAGCTGTGATTCGCTATTGGCGAACAAAACTTCTTGAGATTCGTCTTCTGAACTGGTTTCTTCGTCTGGAATTGAGCGGATTGAAACAAATGGTGAAATAAATAGCTGAACAGGCAATGAAGCTCTTAATTCAGAAGTGTGACCATCAGGATTGATTAATGCAATATTGAACTTTAACTTATGTTTAACTTTGACATGGGTCAATAAATCCACATCTTGAGTACATTTGCTAAGACTAGCAGGAACCTTCAAAAATGTTTCTACCTCCCACTTATCTAAATCCAAAGCATCTGGATTAGGTTTAGGTACTTTCTTCTGACACACTATTCTTTCACCCAGGTGCACCGGTGGGAAGTACCCAACGTAGGAATACATTTCCACCAACTGGATCTTGATATCACCCAATTGTAAACCTTTTAATAATGGAACGATCATTACACTAACAGGAGTTCCTGATCCAATAGCAATAGCTTTCATGGGGCAACTTAAAGAATATTCCACTTTCTGGGGCCATGTATTGTCAACAGCCATGGTTTCCGATAATTCCACAGCATCGGTAGTCAACGTTCTGATGACCCTGACTCGTTTCTTGGCAACTATACTGCTGTGAAACTTACCTCTATCTATGGTAGCTTCTAGTCTGTATATAGAAGAACATCCAGGAAGCCCTTCGATGGATTCTGGAATATTCCCGGGTAATATGGCACTGAATGGAATTTCGTAATTCCCTGGAGTCAACATATGATTTCCCAGCTTTATTAAACTGTTGGTAGAAGATGATGTGGCCATTTGATGTAAACTGGTTGTTGAACTTGATGCACTTAAAGATCCAAGGGTTGATAAATTGGTAGCTGATAGGGTCTTAGTTCTAAGTGAGCCTAATCCTTTCAACGATGTACTTGATGAATTTCTGGATAAGAGTCCACTAGTCGATACTGCCATGGACATTGAAGTAGGGGCATTGCTGAAATATCTGGTAAACTCGGCACTATCCCAAGCATGCTCATATACGATTCTTTGAAAGTTCATGGGCTTACCACTTCGTGGATTAATCGTATCACTTTTAAGACTAAGGGTGGAATATAATTTGAGGGAAAGTTTCTTAACTGCGATGGGTTCAGTTACAGCAAGGACAATTGTACCAGAGAGAAATGCAGAAGCAGCATCTTGTTCATTGCCTTTGAGAACTAGAACATCGTGGTCGAGGTTTTTTAAGCGAATTTCAAAGAGCGTGGCAGCCTTTGATGATGTTGTTGCTTTCTTGGCCATGGGTATGAATGTTTGATGATGGGAATTGGTTGTATATTAATTATTAAATGTTTATTTCTTGTTAATAGATTCCTATGGGTAAAAGGGGAATTGATGGATATCTAAACTAGATTTATCCCAAAATAAATCATCGATTTCATTAAGTCACTCAGGAAAAAGAAACGATGGTGCATTTTTCGGATAGTCGCATATCGGAGCATCAGATGCAGAAAATAAAAAAAATAACGCATCAATCACGGTGGAATTCCTGCCGGATTAGGCAGGTGGGCAGTAATGAAGGAACAAATCACGGAAAAACTCTGTATTTTGTAACCTCTTAGTAATGCAACATCGAAATAATTAGCAAACTAATAGATAAGGGCTAAACAAAGTAAGCTGGAGGCTAACGTGGCTTCATAATCGTGGTATACGGATATGTAATCGGCTATGATGGCAATATTTTCTACACTTCTAGAATTTCTCAAATTTTACGTTACTTGCTCTGTTTACATCTCTCCTTATCATTTTTCCAAATTTAGCATAAAAAAAAAAAAGAACACGTAAAATATTTTTCAAAATTCACACAAGCGGACGTTTACTTCCATCACCTCTCGCTAACGAATTTTTAAAAGTGTGAACAGATATATGTAGTAATGTGTCTTTATACAAGTACAACCGAATATTGTGCATGAAACTGCTTGGCATTTTCTAATGACCAATAGCTCTAAAAACAAGGGAGCAATCCTCTAACTTCCTCTCGTTTTCACAACAAGGGGGGCTTATATCCCTTTTGTCTATACGATACCTATGCTATAAATGCTTGCGATGGAAGGGGCTGTTGTCCAGTTTTGACAACACGATATCCCTTACCCAACCCCTTGTTGGTGTGATATGGACTAATATGGTTGGGAGCAAATTACCTTCTTTGAAATCTCAAATCTAGATTCGCCCAGTGCAGGAGCCACATTAATTTTATATTGTTGCACCGCCTTCGCAACCAAAATAAATTCTCGCAATTTTTCTAGAACTCATTGCCGATCAACCAAATTATCTACAGCGAATGGTATAAAGAGTTTACTTATAATATTTTTCTTCTTGGTGGTGTGTGATTTTCCATGCTTTTAGGATGGTTTAAATTTTTGATTACGAATTTACAAGTGTTGACAAGCAATACGAGCATTATATATTTAGTCGACCTACATTTTGATCGTTCTAGTTCAGGGGTTGGGCTTTGACCAGCAGGAATCATGTAGTACAAAATTACGAAAAAAAAAGTTTGTTTGTTGAATGTGTGTGTGTTCCATGTGGCTGGCAATTGTTGCGAAAGAACTGAGCCGCATGTTTATTTTCTTAGCGACGCGTAAGACAAAGAAATTTTTAACAGTCAAGCAAAGCTTCTCTAGATAAGATGGCTTGGTACATTCTACTTGACATTCCCTCTGTGTACCTGACATTTCTAGATAAAGCAAGAAGTTCCTATCATAATACAATAACTCTTTAGATAACTAAAAATGAATTTTGATAGTATGTGTTAAAAGTTGCAATTTACTTAATTTTTCAGCGAAATATTGTCCAAATTTGGAACAAAGCTAGCTCTTACGTGATAACTATACTGTAGACTTTTAGAATGGGTGCTTAAACGGACTTAGTGTACAAGACTCTCCACTTTGCAGGTATAATAGTGTACAATAACTTTAAGTGAAGAGTCTGAATAGTACTATTTGTTATACCTTATTGATTTCTGTCTTTTCTTTTTCTCTCAATCAAAATAAGGGCATTGCGAAATTCTAACTTAATTACGAGTGCAACCACAACACTACTACGCCAAACTATTTCGTAATCTGGATTAAGCCTGTGATTAGTCACCACATTGAATAAGCACACCAGCACTCTTTTATTGGGCAATTCGTAATTACAAACTAGATTAAGAACACCAGCACTGATAATGTGTCAAAAGGGTCTTTTGTGTAGAAACGGAATCTCCTCGAATATGTACAATGCCTCCTTCTAAACAGTTCGTATTACGAAATGCGGGCTGGGAGTGACATCACTTTGTTCCACATTTCTGGTGCTGTCACAGTGTTGAAAAAAAATAAAACTAAAAAAAAACCAAAACCCCTTGCAAAAAAAAAATATTTTGCGACAAAGCTTATTTTTTTTCGGTCGTTAAACCAGCCATCTTATTATGGAATTCGCTCCTTTCAACCTACGAGGCGTAAAAAAATGGAGAGAAGAATGCCATCGGTTCTCGGGTTGTTCCTGGTTAAAATGTTTTAGTAAAATTTTCTTGACAACCTGCGACAATAAGCATTCTGCTGGTTAGTTGCCCAGCACGAGCAGTCCTCCTTTGTAATGGAAGTTTCGACTGGCTTATTTGACACTATTGTAAACAGGTACCTTTTTTTAATATATAACCGACCAACTTTCTCTTTGAATTGTAAATCCGATTCATCCAATTTTGATTAATTGAACTTTTCTCGCAAGTGCGACCATTCACTCACCCTAGTCTATCCTTCCACCACTCAGGGCCCCGCAAGCTCTACCTTTGCATATCATAGAAACTTAATACATAATCACCTAATATGAAATTTAATTCAACTTCCCCATTACCATATGATGCAATAATTGACAATAGAATCTACACCTATACACCAGCAAGACACGATGATGATATCATTAGAAGTCCTACACGCAAACGGGCAAAATCAATTTCCCCTCGTTCACTCACAGCTATTTTCAAACGAAGCAGCAGTGGCACAGCTCCTGCTACAAGCAGTAGCGGTCTTAACACTAATAATAGAAGAATGAAACTCAAGTTTATTTGTACAACCCCAAACACACCACCCATGAGCAGGTCTCCGTCAATGAAATTCCCTGAAGAGGAAGAATTTTCATTTAATTCATCATTTGAGTCAGATTCAGATAGTCTTCCTGACTTGACTGCTGATGATAGTGATTTTGATCTTGATATAACTTTGGACACTCCTATCAAGCCTAAAAATGATATGATGATACTATCTCCCGACTTTGGTTTGTTAGGTGCTGCCAAATATACAAGACAACCACTAACTGCAAATCGTGGTCCTTCAATCTTTGAAATCCCCGAGATTGTTCATAAGATTCTTAGTTATGTGGATATACAAAATACGGTTATTCCTCAGGAGGAAACCCCAATTCGGAGACAACCACTTAATTACAAACATGCATTATTAATTCATGGTGATTCCAAAAAAGCAGAACAATCATTAGAAACTACTGATTTAGATTCATCTAAGAATTTCACCACTTCAAAAAACCCCCTATTCAATTGCTTATTGGTAAATAAGCTCTTCTACAAAGCTGCTAGTGAAATTATTTCTCAGAACTTTTACTTTAGTAAGCAGGAAAGTTTTGGGAAATACTTACATACCATAGACCGTGCACATACAGTTCAATTCCAGCCAAAGTCCTTTGTTTTACATAAATTGTTCCATGCTAAGCAACCATGTTTAGATAGAATCCAGATGACAAGAATGAATTTCCAAAAGTTGAAATGGCTTGAACTTTACATGTGCCCTAAACTTTTACCTCCTATCAGATTCATTTTTGAGAGTTCGCAAACGTTGGAGAAATTAGTCATAACTGGGTCCAAAGTACTTGATAACGACTTCCTCGTCACTTTAGGAAGAAACTGTCGTAATTTGCAACATTTAGATATTCGTGCTTGTGAACAAATTTCAGATTTTGGAATCTACCAACTATCAATGTATTGCCATAAACTTCGTCTCATAAACCTTGGTCGAAAAAATAAAGGCAACTCCATAACTGATGCTTCTATAATTCCCCTTGTGAAAAGAAATCCCCGATTGAGCACCATTGGGCTAGCTGGTTGTCACATTAGTGATGCTCTGATTTTTGAAATGGCAAGACATTGCAGGAGGTTAGAAAGATTGTCATTAAACAATTGCCCAAATATTTCCGATAGCTCCATATCTACGGTTTTCAACTCGCATGCTTCATATTTTCCATTATTATCTGTACTCGAACTAAGATTCAACTATCAATTGACTGATTGGAAAGGAGTAATTGAGTTCAAGAGAAGGCAAGAGCTGAAAAATATGATTATGTTAGTTGAAGTATGTGAACAGTTGATGTCTCGCATGCGACAACAAGAAATGGCTATGGACCAGATGGTATCACAAAGGATATTTAGTGATATTCTGGTGTGGGTAAATTCTCATAGTGAAGATGAAGAGCAAGAACTGAGCTATTTAGAGTTGGTTAGAAGGAAAAGAGCCCTGGATGTGTAGTAACTTATGTATATGTATGTATTATATTTAACCAATGTGACATAATGCTCGGAAGAAAAAGGTCGGCAACAAAGATCTTGACGTAAGATTCTGTTCGATAGCATGTGAATAAGAGTTGTAGCTACCATCACGATGGACTAGTGTGGGCAATGTGTTACACAAAATCAAAAGAAACAATACAAATCTTGGGGGGTGTTGCAATTTAGTGCACCCGAGAATAAAATCGTGTGTGGAGTGTCACTTATCTTACACGTCGGTATTAAACACGAGGGGCTTCTCGTAAGTTTTCAAGCTACAGATATCGACAGCATTATCGCTGCACACATTATTTCCTACATGACGCGTAATCTTGCAAATTGGTTGCCAAGTAGTCTTGTCGTATTCCAAATTTTGACGAACCAGACGTAATTTGGCGAAACGAGGCCAGGGAAATCATTCACTTTGCCTGATCTTACGTTGACATGAGTAAACAGGAATATAATATTTACGTACCACTTTTTGTTATGAATCCCCTGCATAAATGAAACGCACGAGATGTGAACAAGTGGTAAAAATGTCGACAGGTGCTAACCAGTGCATAAAAAAAGATTCCTAAAGAACTAAAAGAATAAACAAAAACCATTTGACACAAAAACGGAACCATAATAAGGTCGTGTCTCGGTTACCAATTCACATAGCAAAACAACAAAATTAGAAAACCCCAAATCCAAAACATTGAGCCCAGAACGAGAGCGGCAGCACTTGACAAAAAAATAATTAAGATTTCTTACATTTCCCTTTTGCAGAAACAAAGGCGGGAGAAAAGAGCAACACGTAACAAAACTCACACCCCCCAAAACTATAAATCACCCATAGTATGGCAATTACTCTCTGATATAACGTTTTAAGATTCCACAATACCTTTAACACAATAGAAAACACCAATATAAGAAACATTGCATATGAAGCGATCTATAAATGAGCTAGCATCTGCTTCAACCTTGCCAGGTGAAATTAGCAAACGCCATATATTACAACCACATAGGTCAAAAATAGACCTTATGGATGATACAAGATTAACATCTTTGCCACTACCGCCTCCACCTCCAAAACGTGCTGGTTCTTCACTGGCATCCAGTACTGAGCTACAATTAGAGAAGAGGAGACGAGATGGGCAACTAGGTGAAGACTTTGAAGCGAAAGATGATATCAAAGGCGCAGATGAAGACGACGAGGATGAGTATGATGAATATGAAGATGAAAGTCAAGACCCAATTGTCCTTGTTGAAGACTATATGCACAAATCCTCGTCCTTGTTACCACATATGCTGCGACAGAAATCGTTGGCTCATTTCAAACTGAGGATATTCGTTGACTATTCGAGTGAGCTGGCATCATATATAGAACATCAGGAACACTATGAGCATACACCGCAGGTGAAACATATTTCAAGTGAAGTAAGTTATGATCAAGAGGTACTGGACACTTCATTTTCAACCTTGCCTCGCAACAGTGTTTCCGAAGAAACTGTACGATACATACGTAACAGCAAAGAAGAGAAGGAGGATTTGGAGGCAATCTTTGGAAGAATTCCTGGTAGTGATCTTCTCAAGTACTGTGATTTGTGTGACAAACCACTTTATGAAATTTCTTCAATTATAAATAATAACAACAGTAAGCAACGGACCATAAAGAGAAACCATTATGAATTTATTTGCGGGGACTGTATCGAAAATTACGAAACTTTTATTAATGAGTTCTATGATAACGAAGAAGAAGAGGAGGAAAATTTGGAAAAATCTCGTACCAGATTACTTCGTATCTTCCATTCGATTCAATACAAATATAAATTGACAGATGAATGTGCTGCGAAAAAGCTGAAACTTTCCACGAGTTTAATCGACCGTTTACATTTAATCCAAGCAGGTAATATTGCGAAATAGATAATTTGAAAATAGACGAATGTATATATATATATATATATACATATTTATTACTACAGGATTTTGTGTTTATACCTGTTTAGGAATTTGCATTCCATACTCACCAAAACCTCCGAATACGACATGATCCCTTGTGTCATATCTAAACGCACTCAATTCTCCCATACTCATCCCCAATAAATCCTCCAACCTTTCACCCAGAAATTCGCCTGCGAAATCTGATTGAAAGTTTAAAATCTCTTCAAGACCTTTGTTTTCATTAGCCCAATTAATCATCTCATTATTAAACTGTTCAACTTCCGAGGAGAGTGAATAGGTCGATACATGATCGGGGAAATCAGCATCCAATGCCAGAAGCATATTAGTGAGATGTTCTGTCCAGCGTTTACAAGTACAATTAAATGAGGAATATGTTGCCAATGTATCACGGCCGTCTTTTATAGCGTCCCTTAATACTCTCATGTAATGTGGGTCTGGGTTGTTCGATTTCTTTTGCTCTAGCAATACAAATCCAAGGATAATCGTTGCGAAAAAGCATGCTGATTGAATTGTGAAAACTTCTTTATGATTGGGGTTATGTGTAGAATAAAACCGCAAGAGCTTGATCACAAGCACTGATGCCTTAATACATGCTTTACAAAATGACATTAATGATTCTTCACCCGCAATTTGTGATTCAGTTTCAGGTTTGACTTTCCTAGTTACAACATAAACCAAGAATGGACGGGTTAGAGCCATTATACCATAAAGTTGCCCCAAATGAACAAATACAAGGAGATAATTATTAGAATTTGTTCCTTGTTCAAGTTGTTTTTCAAGAGCTGAATTGAGTTGAAGTTGTTGGGGTAATTGCATTGACCATATTTTCAATTCCATAGATAATAGATGTGCTCTCTTTATATTGATGCGACCGTCTTTAAAAATGTTCTCCACAATACGACCATTGATAACTGCTGAATCACTGGTTGCCTTCTGGCACATAATTCGAAGCTTTTCTTCAGGTGTAGCATTATCATCTTGAATTATATAATCCAGATCATCATAATCATATCCACTTACGAGTAATGGACGTCCCAAGTTAACACTACTAACACAATCACACACATATAAACTGCGCCAAAGTCTTCGTCTATGGATTTGTATTTCTTTATCTGCAAATCGGGAGTTGATTACCTTCCGATGCAATCCTAGAGCTTGTGCCAATCTGATGGCTGTTCCCAAGTTTATCCATGAACTTGAACGATTGCAACACGCTTGATAATAGAAATATTTCAAAAAGTTGGCTTCAACCATCCATAATTTCCCATCATAGATGTTGCTTCTCATTAAAGCTTGTGCACTTTCTAGGAACATAGTTGATTCAGGTAAGTTTAAATTCATATTTGGGGTGTATTCTGCAAATAGAGCCCCAATCGCAAATACCAAATGTAAAAGACATAGCCTACGGGTCGTGGCACCTACCGGGTTATTGTAAGTTTCTTGGAATACTTTTTTGTTGAAATGATTCATATTGAACACATAGAATGTATTGTTGATATTCTTTTTGAAAAGGTCTATAAGAATCACCGCTGTATCCTTAGGCGGTAATTGCACTGGGATGGTTGGTTTTGTAAAGTCAGTGCTCTCATCTATGATATATTCTTGACCAGGGTCATCCGTGAAGACCAGTGGGCCTAAAGTGTCTTTGAATAACAGACGGCATTCACTAAGTAGAGAAAGAGCACTGCTCTCACCAAAGAACCTCATATCTCCTGTCTGTGTGTATAATAACCTTGTATGGCGACCGTTCAAATTAGGCAACCCTTCGTTTGATTCGTGGTTACTATTTAACACATTGAGAATTGTGGTGTTGTCATTATCATTAGCCAACGCTTTTTGAAGGCTTTGTCCAATCACAGTCAACAGCGCTTTCGATTGTGGTGATGGTTCTCTAGATGACAACTTTGTGATCTTCTCTGGGGACGGCGATATTACATTAGGTGGAGGTATACTTATCGGACTAGGAGGTGTAACATCATCCAGGTTCCCACTCGAGCTAGAACTGATACTGGTTTTCATATCAGTCGATCTAGTTTTCCCCTTAGTAGTAGCAGGCTTGTGCTTTAGCGTACGGCCATCAATTTTAAAGTACAGACAAGAAAGGGATTTACCACGACAGTAGTGACATGGTTGTTCACCATTACATTTCATCTTACGTTGCTTGCATGTATCACAGGCACGGGAAACCTTTTTGCGCTGTGGAATCGGGAGGATCCTAGGACGGCCCTTGGGACGTGGTGCAGGTGCCACTGGCGGTGTACTTTCAATATCTGTCATTGCGGGTGGCTTAGACGAACTTTGAACGTAGACTACAAGGCAAGTAGTTACTATAAGAGAATTTGCTATTGGTTATATTTACGAAAGATCATAAACTAAACTAATGAGATTGTTAATTATTCACCACGCCAAAAGTGCTATAGAGACTGAAAAAATATTAACAATGTATGAGCAAAATGTGAAACTCTGCCCAGAATGGAAACTCCGGAAAGTGTTGAAATGAGGGGAACGAAGCAAGAGAAAAGAATATTCTGAACAATGGAGTGAGGGAAATTGGTAGCTTGTGGGGAAAAACACGTATTTCCGTAAAATTTATAGTTAGTGTCAATCCTGTTCATGCAAGGGTTTGAAATCTGGTCTGATCTCGACAACCAACTCAACTGATGTAACAAATTAATAAGCTACGAATTATGCATAAATTAAAAGGATGCAAAGGAGGGAGGCAAAAAAAAGGGGAGCTAAAAAATTATCATTTATACGGCGATCTGTTTCCTATTTTGATTTAACGCAAAGGCATCATATTATTACAAGCTCAATTGTTTGCCAAATCGAGCAGGCGATAGCAAACTTTATTATTGAAAATCGTACAAAATCAACACGTTAGTCACACGGAGTTTGGCCAAGATTCATCATCTGAAATGCAGATACCCAGGATATTAACTTTTAGATTAGACTATTCTATGTGTTCCAATAATAGAACCGCAACTTATCTAGCGAAACAATAACTCGCATAAAAGGGAGAATGATAGAGGCAAAAAGTTCGGCCCCGGACCTGCGGTCTTCAACGAGAGTGGAGTACATGCATCTTATAGCAGTTAGACTGAGCCATCATTGTTTGAACGCTTGAAAATATTACCGGTCTAAGAATCTGGTTTATCTCCGTCCGGGTAAATATGCCTTGCAGCATTTCACTGTTGACCGACCGCCGATACTGGTGCCTTTTCTTTTTTTTTCCAGATCGATCTGTATAGTCACATGGACATTTAAGAAATTGCACCTAATAAATTAGTTTAATTATTAGTAGGTCATTTTTGGAATCTTAGATATGTAAAAATTTGCTTTGTGTTGTGGTCATCTAACACATTGGAAAACAAATCTTCCTTTTATCCTCGGGTTCATCCCCCACCTCTGTTGTTTCCAGGGGAATAAATAAGCGGGACAATAATATTCTTTCAGTGTGTGTACATATTAAATCTAGAAAATATTTTTCTGCTTGCATTGTTCTATTTTTCATAATAAATTTAATTCTTTTTTAGGACGGTTACGATTCCGGGCATGACCGAATTAGCTCAATTAATTGGGGTATTCTTCTTAACAAAGCGTCTCCCCTCCACCCCACTTACTCCCCCTGCGCGTGCTTTCAAAATTTTCGTTTTCCCCCACTATTGTATTCAATCATATTTTCTTTCTTTCTTTCTTTTTTCTTCTTCTTCTTCTTTTATACCCACTGGATCGTCAAGTGATAAAAAGTGTCAGAAGCCAAATTAACAAAAAAAAAAAATACAATTACACACAACTTTTTTTATTTACAACCAGCTAGAACTTTTTTATGGTAGTTGTAACATAAAGTTGCTTTTGAATATTCCACCATGAAACAAGACGACGAGCAAACAGAAATCAAACAACCATCATCTGTATCCTCTCCTTCCAATGGAGATTCCGCAAAGACGAATGGAGGTGGCAGCAACAGTGGCAATGGAGAAGCTAAACCCAAAGCATTCACAATTAGATATAAGCGTCCCCGTGGTTCACGTGCATGTACCGTTTGCCGACTGCGTAAAGTGCGTTGTGATGCTGAAATTCATATCCCTTGCACCAATTGTATAACGTTTGGTTGTGACTGTATATTGCCTGAAGCCAAGAAGAGAGGGAACGCAGCAGGTGCAACCACCACCAAGTCCGTCAAAAATAAAAAAAAGAAGGACGATAACGTCAAGACCCAACAAAATAAAAAGAAGAAGCAAAAGCATCTGGAAGACGAAGACGACAGCGAGAATCAAGAAGGAGACGACGACCACGACTACGACGAGGAACACAAAGCAAAGAAAATTAAGCATGATTCGCATACTTCCATTAACCATAGCGCTAATTCATCAGGCACAAACGGTGTAACGTCCTCCACCAACCAAGCAATTTTAAATATCTCACAAATAAGTGTCCCTCCTAGTTTACATTCAGACTACAAGAATAGACCATCCATACACAAAAAGGAAATCCTTCTGAATAAACACCCACAAAAGCCAGCATTAACATTCTTGGGTTCATCATCAAATGTTGTTGTTCCCCACGCCATTGGCGAAAACCACGTTAGACTTACAGAGGACATTTTTGAAGTTAATGAAAATTCTCTTGATTCGGTTGAATTGGAAATTCTAAAACTTAGAGGCGCTTTCTTACTTCCACCACGAGAATTGGCGCTTGATTTGATTGAAGCATACTTTGAACATGTTCACCCACTTATGCCAGTTATAAACCGAACTATGTTTATGAAAAAGTTTAACGATCCAAATGATAGTCCAAGTTTGATGCTTTTACACGCAGTATTACTCTGTGGGTGTCGAGTGCTGAAGAATCCACTTTTGTTAGACTCTTCTGGTCTGAATTCACTTGCCGCCTTGACATTTTTCAGAAGAGCCAAAGCATTATATGAAACAAATTATGAAAGTGATCCGGTGTCCATTATCCAAACAATAATCTTAATTGGAAGTTATTGGGACGGTCCTGAGGATGTCACTAAGAATTCATTCTATTGGACAAGGGTTGCTGTGGGCTTAGCTCAGGGATTTGGATTTCAACGAGATGTAAGCAATTCCAGAAACTTAACTTGTTCAGAAAAGAAATTGTGGAGAAGAATTTGGTGGTGCTTGTTTGAAAAAGATCGTAATGTGGCCATTGCATTTGGGAGACCAATAGTTATTGATTTAAATGATTGTGATGTTCCAATGTTAACTCTTGATGACTTTAATGAAGATGACCCAGAATTGGGTATTGTTTCCCCCTACCCTGTCAATGAAACCCAAGCTCTTTACTTTATTCATTTGGTGAAATTAGCTGAAATCACTGGTATAATCATTAAACACCAATACAGTGTCAAATCAGAATCAATGAAACTCAAGAATGTATTCTCCATTATTGAGCATTGTGATATGTTGATGGGTATTTGGTTCACTAATCTTCCTCCGCAATTGGTGTTTTCATTAACTGATAATGCTACTCAAAACTTTTACCTGTGTCTTCTTAATGCGCAGTATTATAACCGACTTTATCTTATCCACAGATCCAATTTAATCAGAATGGCAAAATCATCTTCAACGAACCCTAATAATTATAAGTATCCTTCATGGGGTATCTCTTTCCAATCGGCCAGAATGATTAGTATTATCTCCAAGATTCTCCTTGATCGTGACCAAATCAAATATGTTCCTTCAATGTATGTTTATATCACATTTTCCGCTTTGGTTATGTTAATCTATCATGTTGATTCTGCAAATACTGTTATTGCCAGTACTGCCAGTGACTCCCTTTATGTTTCCAGATCTGTTCTTAAGGAATTGTCAAAGTATTGGCCAATTGCTGGTGTTTTGATGAAGTTGTTTGACAAGTATGCCAATGATAAATGGAAGCGAGCAAAAGTTATCGAACACCGTAGTCAACATGCAGAATATACCGAGAACAAAAAAGGTGGATATATGGGTTTGTACAGCCAAGTACCAGTGCAACCTCTGCAACAGCAAGTACAACAACAAGCTCAAGAACTTCTGCCACACAATGATGGTAGCAGTATCTACTCCGGAGCTTCTGGCATCTCCCCTGGTGGTAATGTGTATGATTATCCAGCTTTCTCAAGCCAAGCTCAATTAAATAATCAATCCAATTCAGTGCGTCAAGTTGCCACACCTACTGTTACTACTCCTCAACAACAACAACAACAACAACAACAGCAACAATCTAACGACATTCAAACTCAAGCAGCAGCACCCAATATCGAAGACCTTATTCAACAGTACAAAATTCCAATGAAACGTGCAGCTGAATCCGAACAATCTACATCCACCAGTGATACTTCCCCTACATCTTCAACCAAATCATTCCCTGAGATCAACTTGGTCACTGATTCACAAATTGCTACTCAGCAAAACTTTTTCGAAAATTTCGAGCCAACTCAATTATTTCCTAACTTCAGTCAACCCCCCACCAGAAGCCAGAGTCCTCATCCTGATCATCAAGTAGGGAGCAATGTTTATCAAAGCTTAGAACATTTAAGTGGAATTGAAGAAAGAAGAGACAGCGAAGATCGTGAAAATGAACCAAAACAACAATCTCAACCACAACTGCAAGTGGTGCAACCCCTGCCACATGTAGCTATGATTCCCGATGAAAACTACACACCCGGCTTTAATCCAAATACTCCAGGATTCCAAACCAATTTTGTTGATTCCTCTTACATTAATATGAATTTACAAAGTGGAGTTGAGATGCAAGATGATTTTACCGGGTTGTTTAATTTTGTAAAGTAAAAGAACTATTGTATTATTAATAATATAATCTACATTGTAATTACTACTTCCAGAACTTCTTCTTTGTCAGGGTATGTTTAACTTTCTTCAAATTCTCTTCCAAGATCTCTTGTCGTCTTAACTTTTGACTGTACCCGATGAAACTTTGAACGACACCTTCATAAATCTCGAAATCCAGGTGTAATTCAGCCATACGGTGCTGCCAACAACTACTCAATTTTATCAATTCGTCATAGTGCAGTTCCAATTGGTGTAATTTCTCATCAACGGCTTCAATACTGGCAGCTTCGAGATAGCCCAGACTGCAATTGGCCAAATTGTCATATTCAATCATTGCTAGCGTATCAAAAGTGGATTCCAAAAGTCGAGATTCTTGCTCAGAGCTAATATCTAATTTGTCAAACTCGGGTATATCAAATACAGTCCAGTCAATATCGGAAGCGGAGGTGATTGATTTCCGACGGGTTAAGTTGGAAAGTGTTGACGAAGCACTGTGGATTAGTCGAGGTGGTGGTTGCTGCTGCGAGGTTAATTGACTGGATGCAGACTGGGGCGGTTGGGCAAGTTCATCTAAATTTATAGGTATTCCTAGTTGTACAAGTAAGCTGTGCCTTATATTCAGTTTTGTCCAACTGGTAGGGTGAAGATAAGGTAATGTTGACACTTGTTGGAATATAGTGGCGGCTCGTTCATTAAGAAGGGGCAGAGATGTGTTGTTATTTTCATCCGCATTCGGTGTTGGTCTGGGTTCAGAGTCGGAAGATGGGAATATGCTATCCATTAATTTGTTCAAATTCTCTATGAATTGTTGACTGTCATTTAGCACGTCCTCAGGGAAGCTTGGATGCGTTGATTGTACATAGCTCGTATTGTCGAAATCACCAAAGTCGTCATCGTCGTTGTCGTTGCCTGCTTCATTGAAATCATCAAAATCGTCATCATCATCGTTATCAATACCAGAATTATCCTCTTGAACATCTACTACCACTTCAGTAGCTGGTTCGTGTATTTCAGCATGTTGCGGCTGTTCTTCTTCGCTCATAGTTACTTTGTTTATGTTGCCAGGTGTGTTAAATTCCCCACTGAAAAATAAAACTAGATTTGCTCTTTTTTTTTTTCAACTGCTACTCAAGTATTCCACTCTTACAAATACACTGTATACTTGCCACTACCAAATGTTGATTGTTCTTTCTATAGGAAACCCTGGGTCTATTACACGACATTCAGTGGGTCATTTCCTCTATGCTCACCTTGTCTCCACATATGGACTTCCTCAACCTACAAAGAATTCTACATACTCCGCTACCACCAATGGAGAACTTACTCTAGTAAAGTCAAACACCTACATGAATGAGTCTAGTAAGGCATGGCTCAAGTTCGTGGACAAGAACCGCATTCCTGCTGATGCGATTGTGCTTATTCTTTATGACGACTTCGAATCTGACTTGGGCGTGGTGAGAATCAGCAAGTTCAAGAAAAACGAGAGTCATAATGGTGTTCGCAATTTAATGACATGCTTGTCTACCAGAGACAACGTCTATAAATTAGGGGTTGGCATTGGACCAAAACCTGTAGGTTCAAATAAGGATAGTATGGCTAGTTGGGTATTGAGCGAGTTTAAACAAAACGAGAAGGAGAAATTGGGTAACATAAGTTTGCCTAAGGTGATTGCATACTTGGATGAAATTATTGAAACTGAAACAGTGATGGATGTTAACAAGTTTAATTCCAAAATGACTAAACAATGGAAAGAAACCGAGGCGGTATAGAGATTCAGTTAAATTCCAAGTGGAAATAACTTTACGGTTGCTCCGTACAACTGAAAAGTGTAAAGTATCGTACGAGATTAGTCATACGGATATATGAAAGAGTAATGTCAGGAAAAGACATCGCCTGAGCATAAAAAATATATTGACTCCAATTTGAGTGTAATTTCACATTTCAAACAAACATTGCACAGAATTGCTCATTGTAATTAATTGGAGATCAGGCGTATCTGCAGCACAATCTTCATTGTGAAGATTCTATGAAATTTATTTATTTTTTTGCTCCTCCATGCAAGAATCTCGTATTTTGAAACTCTACTTTATTTGCAATTGTTTACGATTCCATTATTTTTAGATCTATACTTGGCAACGCTTTGGATTGCCTCGTTTTGTAATTAGCTATTTAGATAGAATGCCTGGCATAATTTGCCAAATCAATAAGAAATATGCGTGACCAGCAATCAATTGCGAAAAAGATATCGATTAAGCAGCTTGACTTTGGCTAAAATAAACACCAATAGTCAATACGCCTTACTTCAGCCAACGTGGAAGACCGATCCGCCTCTATATTAAGCAAAAGAACGTCACAAAGCTCAATCAAGAACAATGACGCCTCATCCACAAAACTGATCATGCACTTGAACACAATAAAAAGCTAAGTTACTTTACGATTTTTTCGTAAAGGTAAAAGTGTAATTATCGTCGATATCAATAATAACACCTCAGAATACTAGTATAAAAAGCACGTAGATTACTTAGAAAATGAAAATAAAAAAACAAGTTAGATCATAGACACTATGGTATCATTATTAGCACTTGTTACCGCTGCTCTATTCGTTACAGGCAGTACAGCCCTTGACATTACCCAAACTACTACGGTAAATGATTCCGATGTTCCACCAGGCGACGCTCTTACTGTTGAAGGAGGAGGGGCAATAACTGTAAACGGTGAAGGTGATTTTAACCTTAATTCCTTAACAGTTCATAATGGTGGCCAGTTTTACTACACCACTTCCAACTGGAATGCAGTGGTCAATTTGGGATCCATTGACAACGATGGATTTGTTTCTTTTGACACTCTGTCGGTTATTGTTGATCTCCCTGTGGGACCAGTCACAAATACTGGAGAAATGGTATTTACCGGACAATATATCATTGTAGAACTTGACATTAATGTCAATTCGGGCCAGTTGACGTTCTGGGGCGAGGCAGGGATTGTAACACTTAATGATGGTACAAACACTGGAAATATTTGCTACTATGAACAAACTGTATCATACTCTCAAGCAGGTGGGAGTGGTTGCATTGTTCTTTCTGATTCTCAAGTATATTACGATTCTCCAGCATCTACTTTCAGTCCAACTATTGTATTCGAAGGTAGTTCCAGCGACTTCTACATGTCTACTGGAGGATGGGGTATGCATTACAAGTTGGTTCAATTTGGAGGAGGTCATGGAATTAGTATAGTAGATGAAGGCTTTAGTGGTTACACTTACGATAGTAACAGTGGTATTCTTACCATTAAACAAAGTGCATACCAAGTGACTTTCGATCTTGGTAAGGGTTACGATCCAAGTGTATTCGACATTGAGACCGATGGATCAAATGTTGCTATCTTATATTTGAGCCAACCACCCGTTGGTGCCAATACTGGAGGATGTTCGTGCTTTTTAGATACTGCACCACCACCATCTGAAGTTTCCACCACTGCTGAAAATGAAACCAGTACCGAAGAGCAATCAACTGAAGCTGAATCCACTAGTCCATCAACGGAAGTTAATTCATCTGAAACGTCCATTGTTGAAACTACCGTACCAGAAACCAGTAATGAAGAAAGCACAATTGTTGAGTCTACTATAGATGAATCTTCTCAATCCACTGAAATTGAATCTACATCCGAGGAAGTATCCACCGAAATAGTTGATTCCACTTCGGAAACTAGCGAATCCGAAGCTAGTTCGACTGAAGAAGTGCTGGAATCAACTGATAATGAATTCTCATCAACTGGACAATCTTCCCTGTCAATTGGGAATGAATCTTCATCCGTTCAATCCTCATCAACCGAGCAATCATCACTGTCGAGTGATATCCAATCCTCATCGGTGCAATCCTCCCTGTCATCATCATCTACAATAAGTTCAACTCAAGTATCAACCCTGCAATCAGTTCAATCATCTTCTACAATTACGTCAACTAGTCAATCTTCGGTTCATTCAACTACTTCATCTTGTACAACTTCCACTAAAACTAAACCACATCATCCCGAACCTACTTTCTGTAAGCATCCTGCTAATGACAAAATCAAAAAGTTTTGCGATAAGTACAAAAAGGGGTATGGAGCATGGAATTGGTTACACAATATCAATCACAATGGAGGTGAAAAAGGAAATGACCATGGTCATGGACATAGCCCTGGAAATGGAAACGGTCATGATAGCGGTCGTGGAAACGGTATTGGTAATGGTAATAGTAACAACAACAATGGTAAAGGCAGTAACCAAGGCTCTGGTAACAACAAAAACGATAATGGCAAAGGCAATAATCAAGCTCCTGGTAATAATAACAACAGTGGTAAAAGTAATAGTCAAGCTCCTAGCAAAGGAAATACTCAAAGTTCTGGAAATAATCACAATAACAGTAATAAACCATCAAATGACAACACTAACAATAACTCCAATAATGGAAAAGGCAGCAACTCAGCTCCTGGAAATAGCAATGGAAATAATAACTCCAATAATGGGAACACCAACAAACCTGGGAAGACTTCTAATGGAAATGGTAATAACAACTCCAATAACGGTAAAGGGAATAACCAACCACCTTCAAATGGTAATGGCAAAGGAAACGGACACAAACGTGATATTGTTTCTGAAAATTCCTCTTCTTCCATTACCATGCCAGCATATTTCATGCTTGCAACTTTGGTAATGTCTTTAATATGGATGTGATACCAATACTATTTTCCCTCTTCAAATTACCTTGCACCTTCTTTCAAAGTTATTGGCTATTGATAGTCATACTTCTTGCATTAACTTGTGATATTTCGGTATGTATTCTTTATAGTTTCAACAATAATGAAATACATCACATTTTAAGTCAGTGATTCTCTTGTACGATGCATGGATGGAAAAGCACACTTTTAACCGGCAATTTCATTGATCGGTATTATATCGCCATTTACTTGATTACTTGTCATACTGCACTTTTCACATATTAATGACCCGATAATGTAAAACTTATTCCACCAAATCGAGAACCTCTAATTTACTAAATCATAACTCAAATCCATGAACAAGTACTGTGTACCCGTTGATATGATTTTTTTTTTAGAAAAGAGGAGTGATATTTGCATTTGCAATTTAAAGACGTACTTTTCTAACATTGACGGTCTGTAAATGAGGTAGTAAACAACATAAAGTGACTGATCTTAATGACGCTAATGCTACGGCTACTAAATCATGTGATGATACAATAGTTGCATATGTTAAGTGAGAATCATCTGGGATTTCCAGTCGAAAAAGACAAAGTGTCTTATGCTTTCATGTATGTTTAAGACGGAGTTATAACAGAACAAAACCGGATCGATAACGGAAAACGGAGAACCGCCCATTGTTTCTCTGAAAAATTTATATAGCTTAATTATCCAATAGTAGCTTGATGCACAGGATGGTTACTGCATATACGAAAAAGCTTTACAATGTATTTTCTATCAATTATTTGAAAAGTATGACCAGATTACTAGTTGTGTGAATTTTTTTTAACCGTAAATGCAAACTAAGCATAACTGCCAAGAAAAAAAAAAAGAATTGAAGGGTTGCAAAATAATTCAACTAATTACCAATCAAAGTTCACTATAATTCGTAATTCTAAGGACCACATCCTACTAAATTTCACCCAAGATAAAAAAAATATTCCTATCTTTCTCAGGGTAGCATAATTGTATACAAACATATCATGTTATTGCAAAAATATAAAAAGCCTCTTCTGTTCCATTAATCAATCTTTTAAAAGTCTCTTGTTGTAATTTGTAATTGAAATTACATTGTGACAATGAAATTAATTACACTTCTACAAGCTTTCTTTTTAACAGGATCAATTGCACTCGATGTTACAGGAACAGCTACGTATTCTGATACTTCATTCAATGGAGATGACATTCTTGTTGAAGCAGGTGGGATATTGAATGTTTTAGATGCAGCTTTATTTATCATATCTTCTTTAACTGTTGCAACTTATGCTCAATTTTTCTTGAGCACTGAAGTTCAATCGGTTTTGGATGTGGGAAGTATTGATAACAGTGGCTATGCACTATTTTATATGCTGAATAACATTTATCTTCCTTTTCGAGGTAGTAATCGCAATAGTGGTCAACTAGTTGTGTATACCCCTACCGTAAATGTTGATATATTTGGATTAGAAAACACCGGTTCCATCACATTCTGGGGGTCTTCTGGGTTCATTTACATTTACCAAGGGAACAGTAGTGGAAATATGTGCTTTTCTCATACTACTGTACAATTGAGTCTGCCATCTGGAAATGGCTGCTTTGCTCTACTACAGGGGTTTATTTATGTTACTTCTGCCCAGCCTGATTTCGCTCCGACGGTTGTGTTTCTGGGGGATAACAGTGTGTTTGGAGTACAATCGGGTCCTCTAGTTCCATATATCAAGTTCGTTAACTTTGGAATTAATGATGTATTTAATGTCCCAGTAAATGGTTATGATCATTTTGAATATTCCGATGGCAGTGTAATTCTCTATTTTGCAACTTCTCAAGTTGTTTTGGATATAGGTACTGGTTATGACCCAACAATGTTTTATGTTTATACCACTACTGTTTTGGTTTATGTAAGATACTTGCTTGAACCTCCCAGTGGTTCCAACCAAGGTGCTTGTTCTTGTGTGCTTAATACTAACCCACCACCCCCAGTGGTGCCTAGTGAACCAGCTGAAGGGGAGACTACTGTGCCCGAGTCCACTGAACCAGAAACTACAGAATTAGAAATCAAAACTACCACTGAACCAGAAACAACCACCGAACAAGAAGAAGAGACGACTTCTGTTATAATTTCCACACCAAACACTAGTTCCCACACTCCAAAACCTAGTGATTGTGGCCACGACCGTAAATGGAAACCATGGTGTCAAGATGATGGGCATATCAGCGGGCATGGGAGTGGTCATAACAATGATCATAACAATGATCACAACCCTGGTCATGGCAAAGGAAAAGACCACAGCGATGATCATGGAAAGGACAATAATAAGGGTCATGGAAATGATAAGAATAATAATGAGCATGGGAATAAAAATAACAATGGTCATGGAAAAGGCAATGACAAAGACGATGGAAAGGGCAACAATAAAGGCAAAAATGATAACAACCATGGAAATGACAAAGGTCACATTAACGCTCCTGGAAACGGCAATGGAAAGGATAATGGAAACAAAGGAAAAGGGCACAAACGTTAAGTTGTTTTGGGTAATTCCGCTTCTTTAATTTACGGACCTGGTGCTTTGGTGACTGTTCTTGTCTGGTTAAGTATTATTATTTGAAAGGGAATACAAGTTAAACTCCCTTCTAACCTCTCTATTTCTTGTCTAATAACCTCAGAAAAAGACTATTCTCCTTGTGTTTTACGAATTAAATACAGTAGATCTGTATATCAATATGCTCATAGTTTAACTTACTGCTAAACTTTTTATTAAATCATAAACGTCTACATACTTAACAGTCTAGGTAGTGAACCGTCTTTCTCTCATTTCGTCAACTTCATCCATATCCTCATACCCACCTTCATCTCCATCATAACCTTCTATCTCGCCATCATCGTCTAATGTATCACTACCAAGGGCCTGTCTAAAACTATCATAATCGTAATCACTACCACTACTAGTTTCTTCTTGATCATCAGTTGTGGTTCCATTCAAGTCAGACATCATTTGCGCACGAACCAACTTCATTTGGGCCAGAATAATCTTCTTCCCCTTCTCAATAGCTCTTTCTATACTCATCCTATGCTTAACAAACAATATACGGGGAAACATAGATCTTTCACCCTTTAGCAAAATCTCTTTGAATCTCTGTTCAGTAGGATCACTAAGAATGTACCAGAAATCCTTTAAACGATTGCGGGGCCAAATTGTGATACTACCAGTGAAATTCTGAAGCCATATATTAGACCAATCTTGTGACATGATATTTGGCAATAAATCAAGAGTTTTGATAATTTGGAGCCATTTCTTTATCTCAAGACGAATCAATTGTTCTAAAGCAGTAGCTATGAATCCACCACGAAGACTGGCGTACTTTTCACGCTTGGTCTTATGGGTAGGAGAACTCACGGGTCTTCCAACCGTTCCCTTAGGAGCAAAGAAGAAAAGTGAGATGTGGGGGTTGACTTGGGATACCACGGTGAAATTGACGTTATAGTAGTTGTTTAATGCGTCAATGGGTATATCAGTACGAAGCGATCCATCACGCCATTTTGAACCTAATGAAAATGGTTCAACTTCTCCTGTACTTGGGTTCTTCATCATAAGCACAACGGGGTTGAGAATACCTGGAACAGCCAGTGATGCAAGTAAGGTTGACCAGATTATACAGTGGGGTGAGGTTATGTCATTGCAAAGAATAACAGGCGAGTGAGGGTCAGAAGGAACGGTTGAAATGTTTAATTTTCTACCGGTTCTGGCATAGGCTTCTTCAAAAGTTGTTGATCCTCTGGTAAAGAAATTGGATTTCCTGGCCCATGAAATGGCATCAAATCTGGCCCCAGTACGCCAGAATCTTGGGAACCACACATACCATGGATCTTCACACGCGGTAATCTTGCGGGCTAATTCTGGTACAAGCAACTGTTTCAATTCTTCATTGGTACGAGTACATAAAATTGCCGCTATTAATCCACCCCCGGATGTTCCTGAAATGATTTTTGGAAGCAAATCGACATCTATTAATGCTTTAGCAAGTCCAAAATGGGTATAGGCAAAACAAGCACCCCCTGATAAGCACAAGGCAGTTTTCCCATAGTTTTTCTCAACAATCTTGAAAAACTTTCTCTTTTTGTATAGATCGATATTGTGAGAATCTATGATTTTATCAATGGACTTGACCACTTCTTCGTAATACTCATGAACCAAGTTCTTTGTGCCATAATATCTATGACTGTATAATTGACGGTTCTCAATCCCAGCAAAATTCCGCTTGAGGCATGCTTGTAAAAGTATCATTAAATCATAGTCCTTATCATGCTTTCTGAAACTTCTCAACTTGTTTATCGTCAACTTTACTGTTTTGTAGTCATAATAAGAAAACTTGGGGTTCTTCAGCCATTGATCTAAGTTCAAAAACTTGTCAAGGTTTAGCGCGTTGGTTACCCATTCATCATAAGTGGTTGATTTTCGTAATTTATCCCGTAATCGCCTCCGCTCTCCGGTCCATGTGAACATATACTCCAGTAAAGCAACATAAACTCTGACCAGGAAGTATGCGAGTCCAAGAATAGTAATCCAGGAGAATACGAGAATAAGTAACGGCCAGCGGAGGAGCATATAACCTGAACTATTTCTGAACTCGTTCCTTAACATCGAGATTGTCGATGATTCCTTCTTTAGTGTTTTATCCTTGGTCTTGCCACTCTTATCGGTGTGCACGTCTTGAGACTCTTCATTGACTGGGAACCAATCATTCTTGGAGGTAATTAAATCCGGCTTTTTATCAAGCAGAAATTCTTCGACATCGTCATCAAACTCCGATTTGGCAGAGTATACGCTGAATACGCCACTCCCCGGCGATCCTGGGGTAGGTGGTGCAGTATCAAGTATGTAGTTGTGACTGTCCCAAACAAGGGCTTTGGCAAAAGCCAGGATGTGACTTTCGTCGATGTAGTCCTTGTCTTCTTCAAATAATTTCGGTCGGTCAGGAAGCATGTGAATAATAATGGAGAAAATTGGGATGGGTAATTTCAAATTGTATACTGGGTCTGATGACCATGTTTATATAATCAACTGTAATTTTTGTTGGGTCAAGAATGTCACGTGAACAACGCTACAAACTCCGTTGTAGGGGAAGCATGGCGGGTGCATATGAAACATGGTGACTTTAAGTTTGCTGAATGATGTCATTGGCAAGTAGTAAAGTGTAGATCTGGAAACGAGTGGATTTTAGCTGATCCGAGGTCTTTCTTCCTGGATGTTTAAGTGGAGGTACGTGATGAATCGTTAGCAACCAAATGAAGAAATAAAATAAACTAGACAGATGGTTTGTAACCCAGACCCACAATCCTCATGTACCGTTTGAGTATTGGGCATTACCATATTACCGATTCTTTCTGCCTGGTTACAAAAGACCATTTAAAAGAGAACCTGGTTTGCTTCATTAAATGCCTGCTGCTACCATGTGTTTGTTTGGAAGTCAACCCAACATTCTTTCTAGTACAATAGCCTTTGATAAGATGAAAGATCACGCTACTGCAACCTCGTTCATGTGTTGATAGGCTGTTGTTGGGGTCTTGGCCTGGTCTGGCCATACGTGGTTTCCTTGGCGTAAGCCGTACAACCTATACGAAGGAAAAAATTTAAAGTGTTTATTTTTCACAACACGTTTTATAGGTATACCTTGACAATCACAAGATAAATATGACAATTACAACGGTAATCCTCGACATCGAAGGTACTGTCTGCCCAATAACATTTGTTAAGACGACATTGTTTCCTTACTTTCTTGACAAACTTCCGGAAACCCTTTCTCAAGTCACATTTCCTATTACGTCACCAACAACCAGCATCGAAAAGATCCTTGCCTCCCTGTCCTTCACCTCGAGTCAATCAGCATTCGCACACTTCAAACAGCTCGTAGATAATGATGTCAAAGATCCTGTTTTGAAGTCACTCCAGGGAGAAGTTTGGCAATTGGGATATTCCAGTGGGGAAATTAAAGCTCCTGTGTATCGCGACTCAATCGAGTTTATACGAAGATTTCCAAGTTTGTTTATTTACTCTTCTGGTAGTATTGGTGCCCAGAAATTGTTGTTTGGTCACGTATTGGACGAGGATAAAAGTGTTGACTTGAACGGTTTCATTAATGGATATTTTGATATTCCTGCTGTCGGATACAAATTCGAACTGAGTTCATACACCAAGATTTTAAACGAGATCGGCAAGGCTGGCGAAGAAGTATTGTTCCTCAGCGATAATATTGCAGAAGTTGATGCTGCAATTAAAGCAGGCATGAATAGTTATGTTGTTGTACGTGAAGGCAACGCACCACTATCCGAGTCAGACATTGCTTCCCATACTATAATCCATTCACTTGATGAACTCAAAATATAGTAATTATTTTACATTCAGATTTCAATATATAACATATTACATATCTCTAAATAGAATATCGGCAGCGACTTCTTCGTTCTTGTCGCAAGCCAAATATACTTGAATAACTAAATCCCTTTCAAACCCAAGTTCACATAATCTATTGATAGCATTTTGGTCAGCTTCAGTTAATGCGATTCTAATTGTTTCTCCTTGACCTTCTTGTCCTCCTTGTGTGGCGTCTTCGCCTTCTCCTTCGATTTCAAATCCAAAATCGTCACTTCCTCCACCTAAGAACGTACGAATAAAAGCCTCGGGATCTTGTTGGATCAAGCTTGCAATTTGAGGGTTTGTAGCAGCCAATTGTTCAAGTAATGGCTGAATAAGTTCAGGGTTGGTTTGAAGCGCAGTACGAAGAAGTTGCATTTGTTGGTCATCGTCCTCTAAGCTGGCACCGGCAGCACCAGCTCCTGCACTATGTTCACCTGCTGTACGACCTTGTTGTCCGGCGGCAGCAGCGGCGGCAGCAGCTTCAAAAAGATTTTCACCGTGAGTTTCATGGTCCTCTTCTTCTTCCTCTTCTTCACCTTCTCCGGTTGTTGCTGGGGCTGGTGCAGCTGGTGCAGCTACTGGAACCTGTAAGCTTTCAGGGATACCAGTAATCAAGTATTCCACGGCTCTGTGGGGATTGTTAAATGCAGCCCTTAATGCGTTCTCAACTTGTGGTCTATCGTATCCCATTTCCATAATGTTTTGGATGGTAGCTTCACGTTCTGATCCAACGGCAAATGTGCTAGCTGGTGCTTCAGTAACAGCTTCATCGGAAGCAGGCGCAGCGGCTGCAGCTGCCGATGTAGCTGCTGCGTTGCCCAACTGGCTTGTTTCTTGTTTTGGCTGTGACTCACTGGCAGGTTTCTGTTCTGGCGTAGCAGCCGCTTGTGGTTGTGGAGTAGATGATTGGCTTGACTTCGCCTTGGAAATCATGAAAATTATCGAAACACCTTCCTTGATCTTATACTCTTCCAATGTCTTGTCATCGACGAGAACTTTACCGGAATATACCAATTTGATTTGGGATGCTTCACAAGATTTAGCCTGGCCCAATTTTTCCTTGGTTGAAAGAACCTTTTTGATTTGGTTAGTACATATGAGTAATAGCGATATAAACCAGAATAAAACTTACAGTATCGGTCAATTCAACTTCAATTGGGACCGTCTGCTTCTTGAAGTCCTTAAAAATGATTTGCATGTTAGTCTTAACCCCCTTAGTTGATGCTTTGTTTGGGTCTTCCAACTCTCTGTGGCGACTTTTTTTAAGTTGATTTTTTTTAAGGACAAAAAAAAAACATTGTTGCGAGGTCGTGTACTTTGGCAGATGCCAAATTGGGTGGGGGCTACTGATCTGGGATGCGCCAACTATAGTAGACGTGTGGATGTTGCTCTCAAGACATTACTAAACGAGATAACCATCAAAGCTTATTATACTTGATATGTCAAATAGAGAAAGAAGAGGTGTCCGGGGCCCTAATTCTGCCCTTACTGAGTTCCTCAGAAATGAAGGTATTACTGATGCATTCAGACGAAGACGCGAGTTGCAACAAGACGATGATGAGGTTGAAGCTGAACCAGAAGCTGAACAAGTACAACAAGAAGAATCTGAAGATGACGAGGAAGTTCGAGAAATGAAACGCGCTGCTGCCCTCAAGCGTGGCCGTGATTCTGACTCCGAAGACGAGGACGAACACGTCCCATTCAAGAAGTTTGGTGAAATTGACCATTGCGTAGATTGTGGATCTGAATTCCACCTTTCGGTATATTCGCGTTTCATCAACTCCAAATCAGGCTACTTGTGTGAAAACTGTAACTCTCAACTACTTCAACGTGAACGGCAAGCGCGTATCAACCAACTTCAGGCTAGAAAGCAAAGGAAACGTATAGCACAAGCTTTGCTTAATAGAACTACAGTGTCCAAGATCCCCAAGCTACAAGACGTGTGCATACGCGAGATTATTCAACACATCAACGAGGTTGAGGTTCTTGGAGATATTGGTAATCTCAATCGTGCTAAAATCTCCCAGATCTTATCCAAGAATCGTCAACTTACTTCGAAAACCGTTGATTTGTTTCTTACCCCTGATTTAACCAGTTTGGAATTATGGGATTGTTCAAATATAGATAGCGCAGGATTAGACAGGATCGCGTCTTATTGTCCTAATTTACAAAAGTTGACTTTGTTCATGTGTGGACAACTTCACAATGATAATTTGAAATATTATGCTGAGAAATTAAAAAAGTTGACCAGTTTAAAACTCAATGGACCTTTTCTTATTTCTGAGCTGGCATGGCTGGAATTCTTTGATATAATGGCACCCCAACTCGAAGAGTTTGAAGTAAGAAACACCCATCGATTCAGCAGTGACTCGTTGATCTCCTTGATCACTCAAGCTCCAAAGTTGTCCAGTTTGAAACTATCTCGATTAGATGGGATTACTACCAGTGAAGCATATGGACTCATTCCCCATTGTGTGTCCGATCTTGCTGAATTTGAAGTGTCATATACCCCCCACATGAATGATGAGTCTATATCCAATCTACTCGCAATTACGGGACCTACATTAGTATCATTGAACTTAGATGGATGTACGAGCTTAACAGATACATTCCTTCCATCTTTACAAAACTGCACAAATTTAACCACACTTTCGCTTAGACAAGTACCAATCACAGACACTGAATTTGCAAAAACATTAAAGCAGTGGAATGGCACAAGTCTTCAGAATGTCGATTTATACAAATGTATCGACCTTGGTGATGCAGCAATATATGCTCTTCTCAATCATTCACACTCGACCCTTATTGAGCTCAATCTAAATTCTATCCCACTCACACGAGATTTGTTAACTCAAGTGTTAACAGAAGATGACCATCCAATCAAGAAGCATCTACGCACAGAAGAGAAACAATGGTATAAAAAAGTGAACTTGCCCTTGCTTACGTATTTGGACTTGGGTTTTGTTCGACTGGTGGATGATGAAGTAGTGGCTATGGTGGGAGACGAATGTAAGTCACTTCATATATTGGAAGTGTACGGCGATAATCGCTGTACCATTAGAGGGAAAGTAAGGTCAGGGTTGATTGTAATTGGTAGATTGTCTTAAATATTACATAGATCTATTTATAATTTATGCCTCTGGATAATTTACAGGTAACGCAGCTTTTTCTACATTCCTAAAAGTAGGGAAGGCTGAAACTTCAACCGCATCACTTGACAAATCAACTGTTGTCAAATTAGTGATTTGAGGTGTAGCATCCATCATAATTGTAGGATGGCCAATCTGTCTAACCAACTGCTCCGATCCTTTCACACCTCCATAATAAGCAGAATTTGATTTCCTCAAGTCTCGCTTTATAATTTCTGTATTTGACTTTCCATGATTGGTGTGTAACTCACTAAGTATGTTTGCTGTTGATAATTCGTATGCCATATCTGTAAATTGATCAAGGACAATCTTGGGAAAGGATAGACTGGTTCTAATATAGTTAAGGATAAAATTAACATTGGTGAGGTTGTGCTTTAGTGACTCGTATTCGAAAAAGAACTTCCAAAATCCAATAGCACTAGATCTGGTAAATAGCTTATGTTTGTAGTTGGATGCAAAGAATGGTCTAGGATCGGATAAAGTAGGTAAATATGCCGTTATTATTAGACACATGGCGTCATCGGTAAAATATGGTTGGAAAATGGATAGTATGAAATTATTGTCGGCTTGGCGCTGTTTCTTTTTGCTTCCCAAATATTCATTAATTAGTTGGTCGACATTAAACCTGTTGGTGGATTGCAAATAAGCTATTAATTCATTAATGGTTTGTAAGTATCCTGATTTGTAACTATTGAATAGTTTCAACAAATCGATAAAGTATTGGAATATAATATCCTGTGTCTGACTATACTTGATTAGCAAGTAGATATATGCAAATCGTAAGTTATTCTGAGTTAATGGGATAAACTTGTTAGATAACTGATGTACTTGACTAAGTTTATCAAAGTTTGACTTGTTATTAATAAACTTTAAATACTTGACCCATATAGATTCGTCATGACAATTAGGTATAAGACAACGTTGGAATAGGTTGGCTATGAGTTTAAATTCGTCTTCATTGGAATCCTTGTTGTAAACCTCGATCTCACTAGTGATATACTCCATCCATACTTTTTGTTCCTTTTTAACTACAGCGATGTCCAGGGTATACTTTTGATTTAGCAACTCACTTTCATATTTCCATATAGCATTGACTTTCTCTTGGGTCTTGATGAAACAGTTATAAGACCAATCATCAACAATCTGATGCTTCTCAACCAATGACAATTCGTCCACATTAGATTTGTCAAACCTACTCAAATACCCGCTCAATTCATCTTTACTTATCACTAACCGTATATCATAAGATTTACTAATTTTGATAAATTGATTATAATACTTGGCATACGCATAGCAAGGCACTTTAATCACTCGCAAGTATAACTTCAATATAGTCTCTGGATCTTTCTCGTATTCGAAGATCTTATCCCAGAGCAATTCACCGTTAAAATCAAACTCGTTGTTCTCCAATGCTTGCATATACACTTGCTTGACATCTTCACTGCCATTTTGAATCAATGCTGCAAGATAATCAACATAAAGGTCAACACAAGGATATAACTCGACACTCAATCGCATCACCTTAAGAGACAGTTCGATTCCATTCATTTTATATTCTAATGCGGTCCAGTTCTTCCAGTGGCTAACATAGTATGGGTAGGTCTGGACGAAATGGTTGTAGCTGTCGAATACTGCTGTTTTCAATTGAGGGTCGTAAGAAGATGTGCTGTTGGTATAGGTGGTGTATTCACTGAAGAGTGATTCCCAATTCGTTAAAGTTGGTGATTGCTGGAGAGTAGTATATGCTTTTGTTATATTAGCATACTGAAGATCATCAGGGATACTTATTTTAGGAATTGGAGTATTCATTGTTGCAACTACCCTTCTGAATGGTGGTAAAAGGCTGGATGAGGATTTTTCTAGTACAAAAAATTTACAACCAACTTTACAATTCCCATTGAACTGAAACACACCACACACTCACACTCACACACACCAGATGACAAGGGGAATCATTACCGTTCTGCCATATTCGATTGACCAACGCAGTAATATTCTCAGCTTGTTAAAGAATCCGCCACCAGCTGCGGTCAATCCCAAGCTAGCACTTACTGTCCCTACCTTGTCAAGTTTGGATACCAGTAGTCTTATTAACCTTAATACAACTAGAATTCATGCTCAAGATGCACACAGATCAGGAGCATCCCTCAATGCTACTAACACTGATGTAGCATCATCTACTATAGACCAAACATCCCTTAGTGAAGAAAAACTTGCACACTACGTACCAATCTCCAGCTTGCAACTAGCATCTCTCAAGGACCAACTCAACACCATCATAATTAAGAACATCGCCAACCTTCCCTCAAGTTCCCTTTCCAAAAGGCTTTCTGCCATTGAAAGAGTTCTCAATATGTGCATGAGAATAAAACTGGTTGAATACACTTGGTCAATTATCAACCACGAATATTTGCTCGATTTGAATTTGGTGTATGTACGGTTTGCCCATACCCGTGATGTATCTTGGTTTCTTACTAGTTTCGATGTTTCAGCATTGTTTGGTGGAGAAGTTATAACTAATGAACAGTTTGTTCTAGATGAGAGCGCAGCAAAGAGTGAAGTTCCGGATCTGATAAAGACTGAGTTTCAATTACAAACTAACAACACCACCAAGAAATCGGGTGCTGTTGACGAGAGTCAGGAGATTTTAAATTACTACAAGTCGCAATATAAAGTCGACAAGTCTGAATTGGTAGATATCCCAAACTCCATGAAAGAAGCCACCATATTGAATATTTTGAAATTTAGAAGTCGAGTATTAATCATGGAGAAAGAAAACAGGAAACGAGAGTTGGAAAAGGAACGAGTGAAAACCAGAGAAAAATTAAAGAGTTTATTTGAAGAAAAGCAGATAGATACGACAGCTATTGCTAATGAAGAACACAAGAAGGAAGCTGTTGATCGTGACGAGTTTGAAGATATGGATGAAGATGAGTACAAGGAGTATCTAGAATTTAAAGCAGATGAACAACTAACCAAGCAATACCAAGATGCAATAGCCAAAATCTCCATAAAAGAATCTCAAAGATCTCAATTACTTTCCCAATTGGAACAACTAACCAATTATGAAGATAATTTAATCGATAATAAATTAAAACATATTGATGATATCAAGAATCAAGATAATCATCTTGTCAACTTGTACAATTCCAATTACAGTCATTACCTTAAGCTTCGAAGTCACAAGCGAACATTGGAGCAAGCCAATGATGACAATGATCGAGATGAAGAACTTGAAGAATTAAAGAGACAAAAGCCACCACAAGAAGAAGCAGTTGTTGAGCCGCCACTGGTTGAACAAGAAGGTGGCATTCAAGTCAATGTTTCCCAACTTCAACCCAAGGTCATTGAGTTGGTCAAGGAATACCTTGGAATCAATGATGATTTCTTAATTGAAGTAATCAATGAACATTTATCAACTCATGGTCTTAGCAACAAGACCAACTTGGTTGAAGAATTGACTCAAGTACTAGACGAGGATGCTATTAGTTTAGTCGATGATTTATGGGAGTATGTGAAAACTACAAATCAAAAGGATTAAAGATGTAATTCTATTGTATACATAGTTATATATAACATTTTGATAAAAATCTACGAAATGATATCTACTGATACCAACCTAACGAATTAGAAGCTTTGACCGGAACGGATATCTTTCCTCTCGCACTCAGATCACTGCCACTATGAGAACCGTTTTCTCGATCACTAAATCTACCAAACATTCCCGAAAATGTAGGACTTCCACTACTAGTTCCTCTGGAATCAACTTCACTCATGCCTAATCTGCTTTCACTATCAGTCAGTTCTAATTCAATATTACCTGAATTATTCTTGTATCTCTTGAATAAGAACAACATTAAACTTAAGTAAATACCACATCCACTAGCAGCACCCACAGCAATAGCAGCGACTCTTCCACTGCTGACATTATCAGAGCTTTCCGCAGCAGCATTAGCTTCCGAATCCATAGAACCGTGATACTTGAGAAGAGGATTGGATTCAGCATCATCACCAGCACCATTACCGGATCCAGAGCCACTACTAGTAGCTAATCCAACAAGGGCCACACGAGCATCAATCAATGACGCTAATGTATTTTGAGTACTGTCAGGATTCCTATAAATCAACGATCCTGGCGAAATGATCAAATCACTCAATGCAGCAATTGCAGAACTAGGGAAATAAACTTCAGCAACAGTGATTGTGTATGAAACTTGAGAACTGGTAAATGGAATTAATCTGTTTACACTGACATCCTTGTAGATACTAGAATCATGGTGGGTGCTGATGAATGGGAATTTCAAAACTTCGGGCAAGAATTGGAAAATTTGAGCTGATGAAATACTGTTCTTGACCACAAATGGATAATTCAATGGTGCCTTAAATCCAATGGTAATCACTTGATAATCTGGAGCAGGTTTAATTGGATCTGCTGGGGTAATTGCACGTGGTAATCCTGAAGTAGCAGCAGTACCAGTGGCTTGCACAATATCTGAATTGGTTAAAGTACCTTCATCAGTAGCAGTAGCAGCAGTGACCAAAACAGTAGGTAACCAATTGGAAGTGGCTGGTGTTTGGGTAGGGGGGTGCGGTACAACAGTGGTAGTAGTTGTTGGTTGTTGTTGTGGTTGCTCAGCAGGTTGACTGGTTTCAATTAATGTAGTTGGAGCTGTAACTCCTGGTTCTGTCCCATTAAGGAACGAAGATGTAGCCGATACAAAAGATGATTCACCTTCAGATGTGTTAACACCAGATTCAGTTGGTCTAACTGCCGATTCTACTCCACTAGATCCAGTACTTGGAGCTGAAGTTTCACTCGATAAGCTACCAGAAACAGTGACAGATTGACCGATAGTGTCACTTGGACTTTCCGAACCAGTTGCAGTAGCATCAGCACTAGAATCAGCACTAGTCAAACTAGTTATTGATCCAGTTTGCATACTATCACTTCCCAGAGTAGCTGTGTAAATATCAGATGACCCTGGTTCAATAATTCCTGTTTCAGTATTACCGCCTGAAGATATTATACTTGCACTGCTTAAACTAGTGTAAGAACCAATTGATGAAATGACAGTGGAGTCTGAACCAGTACCAGTTGGTGATAATAAGGTAGTTGAATCAGATCCAGGAGCAATTGATGATTCATCCAATGAGGTAACAACTCCAGTATCCAAGGGAATAGATGATCCATCAATAGGGGTAGAAGTAATTTCTCCACTATAACCATCAGTAGATGAACTTACTATGATTGTACTTGATCCAATATAATCTGTATTTGAGCCGATAATAGTCGAATCAGTAGAACCAGTAGAGCCAGTAGGAATAACTGAAGGTGTTGTGCCATCTGTAGTAGAACCATCACTAGGAGAAGCAGTACTATCAATGTTTGTATTAGTAGGGGAAACCAAACTTGAACTGTCACTTAAAGTGACATCGACTGTATATGATGAGGATGAATCCGTAGTATCAATGGCGGTTTCACCAGGAACACCTGAACTTGGAGCCTCGGGAGTTAAAGTGACACCAACGGAATATGAGGAGCTCGAAGAAGAAGCCAAAAGTGACGAAAGGAAATCACTAGCACTTGAGGCAATAGCCGAATCAGTAGAAGAAGCTAAAAATGAAGTATCAAGATTTCCAGTTGCAACAGGAATTGAAGTTGAGCCAGTGGAGTCAGTAGTGGTAACAGAAGCTGAATCAGAACTACTAGATGATAAGGTAGGTGTAGTTTCAGTGGTATCATCAATTGCTGATTCAGAAGGTGAAACTAATGAAGGATCAGCTGTACCGACAGATTGTGATGAGCTTGAATCTGTGGTTGCTTTAGTTGAATCTGTAGAGTCAGTAGTGGCTGGAGTTGTTGCTGCATTAGTAGTAGTCGACCCAACAATTTCAGTATCTTGGCCAGCGGGGGAACTGCTAATTACTGAGCTTGAAGCAGGAACAAACGAAGAGCCAGTAGTTGAATCAGTGGTATTAGGAGTTCCATCAGTAGCTGTACCAGTTGTTTGAGCATTGGAAGTGCTGTCAGTAGTTGTACCAGTTGCTTGAGCATTGGAAGTACTATCAGTAGTTGGGAAAACACCAGCATCAGATGATTCACTATCGGTAGTTGGTGGAGCAACCACAGGAGAATCAGATGATGTCGATGGTTCAATTATCTGTGGTGTATCGGTATCTTGACTTGATGAAGAAGATGTGGTTGGTGTGTTGTTGTCAGCGGTATTTGGAGCTTTAGTAGGTGTATCACTTGGAGTAGTAGCTGGTGTATCACTAGGTGTAGTAGCTGGTGTGTTACTTGGTGTGGTAGCTGGTGTATTTGTTGGAGTATTGGCTGGCGTGTCACTAGGAGTGTTGGATGGTGTATCAGTTGGCGTATTGACTTGGGTATCACTTGGTGTGTTGTTTGCCTGTGTGGTTGGTGTATCCGTTGGTGTATCACTTGGAGTGGGTGAAGTTGGATTTGGTGATTGTGCAGGGGTACTACTGGAACTTTGGACCACTGGACTTGATGAACCAGGAGTTTGTTGAGTAGCCGTGGTTGCAATATCAGTAGCAGATGATGATGATGATTGTTGGAAAAAGAAGTCTACTGCTGAAGATTCTGGAGAATCTGTATCTGTTGGAGAAGCAAAAAATGGGTCAACGTTGTCTTCAGTGGAATCCTGCTTAGTTGGAGTGCTCGAGTTATTGTCAAAGAAGTCATTTTGTGAATCACTTGAATTTTCCGGAACTTTGGAATCATTACCTTGATCGTCACTGTTATCAAGCTGACCGTTATTGTTCATCTGTTGTTGTAATTGAGAAACACTCAGATTAAGCCTATCCATCCACGATTGCTGATTGGAAATGTCTCTATTCTGAGCATCATTTTGTTGTGTGCCGTCATCTGCATTAATCAAGTTTATATATGATAATACGAATATGGCTGATACTAAATTTAATTTAATATTGGGCAACATATTGTTTTATGTGCAAGTATATATGAATAAATCAAGTGAATGACTTTGAAAATGAACGAATTTTAGTTGGTAGACTATTTATTTGAGGAATAACGAATGTTTGCCTGAATATTATTAAGAGTTTCAAAGAACCTTTTTAGATATTCAAAAGCAGTTGTATGTAGATTTTTTGGTTGTAAAGTAACTTTCTTTTCTTTAATCCTTCTTTTGGGAATTTGTTTACAGGCTGTAATCTCTAGCAGAAATTATAGCAAACCTTCCACTTTGTTGGTTTTCTTCGAAATATGGTTGGTTCAAAAGTGGGTATAGGGATGATGGTTGGTAGGAAGACGAAAAGTCAGAAAAAGGCAAAATGTTTGAATATATAAAAAAAGGGTGAAGTTAACTGCTGTTTATTTTTATTTGGAAAAATAGCCCTCCTTACATTAGATTTTTTTTTGACTTTTTATTTGTTTTCATTGTCTCAGATCTATCAAATAAAATTTTCTTGATTTTGCAGGTTACTCAGATATTTTTTACTATTTTTGGAAAATGCATTCCGTCTAAACTATAATAACTCGTTACAGTTTGCAACCAATGTGATTACATCCACACATCAACATATTTTTTCGCAGGAGGCTAGAACGTGAAAAAATATTACCCGTCGCGTCTTTCAACATTCCCGTTCAAAACATGAAAATTTTGCCATTTTCACCTAATTAGGTTTACGACTCTCGTTGACGGGACATCAACCCATGACATGCCTATAAGAGATATGGTTACCATGGTGCTGGTCCAATCAATGCCTATTGTCAATCACATGATTTCTTCACGGGCGTTGGCAGGCGTAATGAGGGGCTACTCCTTTAAATGGACCCTCACCGGATCAGGGCACACAATTGAACAACAAACTCAATTCAACCCTTCTTTGTATCTCTCCCTACAGAAGTCGTTTTGATATTCGTCTGGGAGGGCGGTCGTCTTATTTGGGGCCGGGATTGGAAAATCTGCTGAGGTGAAAATGAATCTCGTGATTTCGTCAAGGGAGCAATTTGTTTACGGCTGCATTGTTTCCCAATTAGGAAGATTACTATTAATCGACAATATAAGCAAATTGAACCGCCCTTTTAAAATGTAAATAATACACAATAGTGTGAATTTTATTTTACAACTTAAATTTTACGTTTTACATGTTATAAAGCCCCCTTCTCTCCACCACCAAGAAAATAGAAACATGTAAACTTATTTTTTGTTTATTGTATCCCTCGCCACATTTTAGATTTCTCGTCTATCAATTTATTTATAGCTTGCCTCGTCTAGAAGTTTGCAGACGATCTGGCAAAATGCCAGAACTTGGACCATTTGACTCAACAGCATTGGTAACGCATGAAAATATATCAGTGCGCGATCTATTATAATTTTTTAAGTTTACTTCTCCCTTTGTTGTGGGTTTCTCCATTTTAAAATTAGCAGCAAAAGAAACAACGAGGAGAAATCTGAATGTGGCACGTGCATAAAAAATCTCCTTCAAAAAAATTTTGTTTTTTTTTGCAGGTTAGTTCCACTAAAACTTTATCTTCCATACATGACAGAAATACGTAAACTGGGCTAGATTCGTCTATGAAACGGAAACACGAAAAAACTGCGACATATATTGCTGCGAAAAAGATGAAACAAGTTACAAACCTATGGACATTAGTCAAACATTTATTAACTGGGATATGTTCTTCGCTAAAACATGAATTAGTTCAAGCAGACAATAGAGAAATGACATCTTGATCATGCAACCTTTGTGATCAATTTTCCATTTGGTTTATAGTCAGTAAATAACAACTTCCAAATATTGGGTATTTGTTTCATTCTCTCAATTGGATCGTCTCCTGTTAATGTCTCGACATGAAACGCTTCAGAAGCCTTGATTTTTCCGGATTTCACTGCTTCAACAAGAACAGTAGCTCCTTCAAGAAATCTGTCCTGGTAATCAAAGATAAGAAAACCTTGCAACGTAATCGTATTGGTAATCACTTCATTCCAATTGCTGATTTTCCCAGTACTCCTGTCATTAAACCCTGTAATTGAGCCGCATGCAGCAACTCTTCCTCCTTTCTTAATCTTGGTTAAAAGGAACCCTAAAATATCCCCTCCAACACAATCAAAAAACACATCAACAAACTGGTCACCTAGATATTGGCCAAACTTTAATTTCCAATCATCATCATGATAATTGAAACAAATATCGGCACCAAGTTCTTCTACAAATTTACATTTTGAATCTGACCCTGAAATTCCGATTACTTTGGATGCACCAAGTACATTTTTTGCAATTTGAATTGCCATCGAACCTGTTGCCCCAGATGCAGCAGAAACACAAACAACAGAATCTCTGCCAACTTTCCCCACATCGACTAAACCAAAATAAGCTGACAACCCAGTGATACCAAATATTGACAAGTAGTATTCCAATGGGTATTCAAACGGTACGTTAATTGACTGATGGAGGTCGCAGTCCGATAAAACCGCATAATCGGCCCAACGAGTTAATCCAAGAACAACTTGACCTGAAGAATATTTTGCTGAATTGGACTTAACAATTTCAACAATTCCCAATGATGTCATGATATCTCCAGGCACTAGTGGAGCAGCAAAGCTACGAGAAGCATCCTGGTTCTTATGAATCAGAAGACGCTGATGTGGATCGTTTGATAACAATAAGGTTTTAACAAGGCATGTATTTTGTGGTAATTCATCAGGGATTGGAAATTGTTTGATATCAAATGTGGAGTCAGTTTGATCGAAATCACAATTTGCATCTGTGTGAGGACAATTTTTGATTATGATTGAAGTTGCAACTGACGGAACCGACATATCTATTATTTGGCTTTTAATCTCTTGGTTGGTGTTATTGCTAAAAGAACTGGGGGAAGAAAGGTCAAAAAGTTCTGTATTTATATTGCTTTCGGATATTATATAGTATGGCAGCAAGGCACTATAACTCCGAACGTTTACTTCAAACCAAACAATAATCCTTTACTTGTAATTTGCTCATATCGGATAATCTCGGATCTGGGACTTATAAGTAAACTACATCTATATCACCCAATTTGGTTTTCGATGAAAGAGCACACGTTTTAGTCATGATGGGTTAGAGAAGTACATCGTTAGTGGATCTCAGATATCTGAGATGGACTTTTTTTTTAACAGCAATCAAGCAAAAAATGTGACGTAATGTCACCTATGCCATACAATTAATGTTGGTTGTTTCAATGTTGGAATGTTTACTCCTACTATTCATTGAAAGGCAACCAACCTGATTGATGGATATCATGTAAAAAAAAAAAACTCCCCAACAAAATTGTACTGCGCAAAGTAACAGGGCGCAGCTCGCTTAATAGGGATTGTTCGGAACATCACTCGGAATTGAAACCCCGTTTCAGCGTATTCACAATATCATGAGTGTGCCAGGAAGTTTTAGTAGGAGGACGAGCAATATGTCAATGAGGCTTTAACTCCATGATAATGAAACTGTGTTTATACTGTTTGACTAAAGATCGAGCCGTCCATACCACAATTGTTGTAATTATAACTCTTTACATTAGATTTAACTAGAATAGCAATCTAATGTCTTATGGCCTATCATTGACCGCTAGAAGATATTGTACTTTGGTATTATCAATGGTTAGTACATTTTTATTTCTCTTGTTTAAATTTTGAGTAAAAATAGTAAGAATTTTCCAGTTTTCATGACAAATTATTACAAAAAAAAACACACTTCATGATTCGTGCCTATATAGCCCTCCAATTTTTTTTTTCATTCCGATTAGATCTGAAAAGACGATAACAAAACTTATCATTAACATATGGTGCATATGAGAGCTACAGATATCGTAGTATTCTAGCACTGCAATTATCTAAATGAACATTGTTGCAACATTTTTGAGGTTACCCGGATATTTCGCGCACCTTTCTAAAGCAATCAACAATAAAGCATCACCGGATATTGAAATACGTATAAAACAAGACTTCGATGAGCCGATTACGGAAACTAGACAAATCCATTCTTGATCAATCAGCTGAAAACGTGTTACTTGATACAGATGATCAAACCCAGCTAATAGACACGTTATCAGTTCTTCATCAACAAACTTATAAACTCTACAGCAAGTACTTGTCAGGTTTATTTATTTTGCAAACTGCATTGATAATAGCACTCCAGTTCATAATTCGTTCACGTAATCTAACAAACTTGTTAATATTGGCATCAATTGCATTATCAATCATTCAATTAAACTTCCCAAATCAATACCAACGCATTATTCAAGTGATAAATGTGGTAATTTGTGCTCAATTGTGTATATTTTGGTATTGGAAAAATCAAGGATGGTCGCAAATCTATATTGTTCTTCCCTTATTTAATAATTTAAGTTTGTTTTGTTTCAGGTTATGGTTTGAAGATATGAGTAGACTGGTTGGTCAATTGGACAAATTAAAATACAAGTATAAGAATGTATGAAGAGTTTGTTTTCTTTTACGACATACCATCCAAATTAGAAACTTATTTTTCTTACAAGCGGGCATTGAGCAAAATATTTAACTACTTTAGTAGTTTCTCGATTGAAATATACTGGAAACAACCAACTCAGCCTCGTATTTTTTTAAGGTCGAATATACGCGTAAAATAGGGCTTGATTCTTTTTTGGTACATCTCTATACTAGCTAGGAAGTTCCCTTCCACTTCATATAGTGAAAGCCTGCATTTCCAAGGTATACTTTAAGGAAGCATATATGTCCAACAAATCCTTGTGGCAGAGAAGATTTCTTGAAAATTGACCACATTTCTAGTGAAAAAAAATTAAGATTTAAACAATTCTCAGTTAGCTAAGTTACCGTCTTATAATTATATCCTCAAATAAACTATCATCTTTTGAGTCTACAGCGTGTGTTATTTCTTTCCTTACAACTTGGTATTTGCTCATATTTCTTGTAGTAACTTCATATAAATTGTATTCGTGTTCTGATTTAATAAAGCTTTAATTGTTTCTCCTTAGTAGAATAGTCTTTTTCAAAGGAATTCGAAAACATTTTTCTGGTCATCAGAGCAAATGACATCATTCTACTATTCGAGGAACATAATGCTTTGTTTGTGGTACATTGGAAAATGTATGCAAATTGTCACACGATGTAATACTTAATCTGGCAGCGCAATCTTTTTTTGTACAAATTTTTTTTTATATTCGCCCCAATTAATCTTATCTATGAGCCACATTTACAAATTGATAAGAGATAACGTTACAACAGATATAGATATGATATCAACTGATAAAAAAAGAATTACCATTTTGAGAATAGCTGTATTTGTGGAGGCAATCGTCTTCACTATTTTGATTAGATCCTCGCAATCAATTGGATAGATTTAATCCTAGTAAGAGAGGGGACTTGTTTTCAACGAGTTCTTATGCTTGCCTTTTTGATAGGTGAATGAACAAGAAATTGGTTTACAAGAGAATATTGGCCCTATTGTTAGTACATGAGATTCTGCTGGTTCGTAATAACCTGACAACAGCCCTGTTATATCTTACATTGCACGTCGGGGCACAAAGGACAAACAATCAAGAGAGATTTGGTGGATGAAAGCGTCGCGGGGTTTGCTATAGTTATTCTACTCAGTGCTTAGAAGAGCCCCAACATGGAAGAGGGTTCCGCATTTAACCCACACTCTCCCGCTTTCTCCACAGTTTGCTCCGTTAGCGGTATTATTTTTAAATTTTGATGTGTTAAAAAACTGATTTATTCGTTTTTTTCCAATTTTATTGTTCTCGTTATTGTGTCAATAATCCCCTCTTCCAACCCCACGACCCCCACTCTCCCAATAAATTTTCAATTTGGGTAAAGAAGGTTTTTCACTCACGGAGTCACCTTCACAACTACTTCGTTCCATACTTAAATATAACTCCGAACAACTTAACCACTTTTATTTTCCCGAAGAATTTTTGAGTGAGGTTACAAAGGCTCAAATGTGTTAGTTGCAAATATAAAATTTTTTTTGCTAATTAAAACAAGCGAGAATGAGTGAAAAATTTTCTAGTCAAACTCGTACACAACCCTCTCCCTAAAGGTATCATAACTATACTCTGTCACTGCTTATTCCCATAATGGGAATGTCAAGGTGCAGAAAAACAAAGAGTGGGCTCATTAGAACAAACTAACTACATCACAATCAGAGTAAAATATTAGTGTAATTGCGACCAAAAATGTCTAATTAATTAACAAATTGGCCGTCACAAGAAAACCGAACTCGTAAAAATATTATAAAAACATCGTTGATGATGTGGTAAATGCGGTGTTGCTAGGGGAAGTTGGTTGCCTGCGAAACCGTGTGCGCAAAGAAAACAAAGCAACTAGCGCAAAATGGAGAAAAAAAAATTGCATCTCCACTCGAACTTAAGCGAGTTAGTGAAAAATTGCATACACCCACATTAATTCTAGACTTTTAGTTTGAACGTAAAGCAACCTTTTACGAGCCCTGGTCAAATTATATTTAAGCCTGTTACGTCTTTTTATTCAATAACTGGTTCATTATATCCCTATTTGGGAATAGTATTGATATGCTTGCTTTCCGAGCTTCTTAGGGTTAGATCCATTGAAACCGAACTCCGCCTAGTGCGGGCTTTCTATCAAAAAAAAAAAAAAAAAATTGAAGCATGCAGGACGAGCATTAAACCAAAAAAATCCTTCTCTTTATTTTTCGGAGATGCAAAATAGAACAAAAACTATATTTCCAGATTAGACAGGTGCAGAAAGGGTTAAAAAACGAGGGGAGAAAGGCAGACAACGAGGTGAAAATTTTTTTCTTTCTTATCTATTTGATATATTAGGAAACACGTCCAAACAATAACAGATATTTGCAGGAGTAGCAGTATCACTTCTCTACGTGTTTAAATGGCCTCTGTTGTAATGATTAGGCGGCGTATGGAAGCAGCAACCACGTAGCAAACAAAACTGCTTTAATGATGTACTAAAGATGACGCAACTGTACAATTTTTGTTTGTTTTTAATAAATTTGCGGTCTCGGAAAAGCCTGAAAAATACTTTATGAGGCAAGAAAAATGCAAAAAAGCATGACATCCGATGCACAACTCTGCCAGGTACTAAAAAAACTTTTCGCTAAAAATAAATAGCAACAGAATTCGAAAGGCTCTCGAGGAATTACCGGTGATTTGTTGTAATGGTTCACGGCAATAGCGGTTTTTCTGACTCATTCACAATGTACGTCACCGTCTTCGGAATCTTTACGGGAATTACGCGAGTATTTATTGGAATTTTTTTTATACAACTAATACTAGACGCTACCATTTCCGGTATTTCCAAAACTTGCTTATGTACTACTTAACGATGCTTATGGTCGTCACCTCTATAATCCGAAAATGTTCTATACATAGACGTGGCAACTCATCTCATCGTAAGTTTTAGGTGATCTGTTTGTGTCGTGTTTTGAAAATTTGCGTCACGCATGGAAATACACGACAGAACTTAATAAATTAGAAACAGGGCCTAGGCTTACTAACGGCCCAAAAACGTGCTAGACCCCTGTTTGACTACAGAATGATGAGACAGTAACCTGTCACATTTGTGTTAACATACGAATACCATAAATAAATGTAAAGGCCACATCAGATGGCGTACAGAAATAAAAAGCGATGTTCTGTAGGAATAACCGGAATCGGTTTCTAGAACAATCTGCTTGAGCAAAATATAATATTCAAACAAGCAACTTGCTGCTTTTGTGTTTATGCGTTTCCAAGGCTATTTGGGTATACTCGGATATAATAATCAGAATGTATTGAAGAGAGCTTGAAAAAGTAAAGCTAAGTAACCCCAGTAGTTATAGAAGTGAAGGAGTCACAAATCACGAGAAAAGAGTACATTTTTCCCTTGGTGATACCTCCTATTCCGGAAATTACTACACGATTTCTACTATATGAGTTATTTAAAGGTGGCAAAATGGGAGCAAAATTTTTTTTGCAGAGATGAGCTGCGAGGCGGTGTTGCAAAACTCTGCAACGTTTTTGGATCGAAAGGCTTTCTTCAGGGAGAAAAATAGATACAATTAGATATGCCCCTTTACGGAACGACTCGGAACTATATTTGTTTCAACGACAAAAGCAACAATAAGATCAGGTCTAACAGAGGTCCGGTTCAAATAAAATATACCTCAGGAACTGTGGGCCCTCCCACGGTTTTCCCACCATGTGCGCGCAGCCCACGCACACTCTAAACTAAAATAACGGCGATCAGATAGTTGGAAAATAAAATCCCATACAGCAGAAAAAAAAAAAGAAACTGAACTGAAATTCTTACCACGTTTCATATTAGCGTGTTTCTGAAACTCTAGGCTCGATTTTTTCTAGAAACGGATAATTTGGATACAAGTAGTTAAACAAAGGGACTAAATGCAAGGTCTAGTCTATTTTCACGTTTCAATTGACCCTGACCGCGTAATTTAGATTTACACGCAGGGCCAGATTCCACTCATATAGTACAAACTAGGTTATGACATGTGTTGAAGGATATGTGTAAATAGCGATATGTAACATCAAGATAGATTCAATTCGTGTACCCGGGGAATACGGACCCCATGTTCAAGTAATTCTATCATCTTTCTAACGCGGGACAAGTTTTAACGAGTCCACCGCAATAATGGCCTGAGCTAGAACTGTGGCTAAATTTAGTACCAGGTTACGTTCAGCTCAATACCGTGGTAAGATAAACATATACTAAGTGAATTACAGTTGGAAGTGCCGCAGATTGTTCTTGCAACCATATTGCAACCAGTGTACTTTCTTTTTTTTTTTTCCTTTTAACCAAGGGCTCGGATAATACATAGGTTCTGCCCATGGGTCGAGTCATAGGGTAAGAAAAAAAATGTGTGGGTGGCGGTGGTAAATTAAAAAATAAAAAGTGGTGGCAGTTAAGAACCGCCACGCAGTTATGCAGCGAGACGATAACCGTGGTGGTGGTGGTGGTGGTAGCGGGAGAGAGGGGTCACGGTGGTGCTCAGTAACAGAAAAATAAAAGTATGGCTGTTGCTGTGGTAAGAGTTTCCAGGATTTTCTAGGAAAATGCGAATAATGCGTATTCGGTTTTCAATATGTGGGGTTAGCGCGGTGGAAAAAATTCCCCGAATAGTGTCACTGCACGTGTATACAGAAAATTTTTCTCTTTTTTATTTTTAATTTTTTTTTTAACTGTGGTGAATTTTAAACTTGCGTTGACAACAATTTAAAACGGAAACCTTTTTGAAATCGGGATATTCTTGCTGTAAATTTGTGTGGTGGAAAATAAGAAAATATTTTTTATGCAATTCTTATTAGGTCAATTTTTATTTTTCTCTCGAAATTTCTTTATTCTTCTTTTTGTTCTATTACTCATAGAATACACCTGTTGAAACCAGGACGCCCCAAAACTTTCCCAGTTAGTCACACATACCCACAGTTTGAAAACTTTTACTAATATAAGTAGCAAAGGAAATTCTCTTGTTTCAACTTAGTTTTGTTTTTCACTTTTTTCATTATTTGTAATCATCATCATATATTTATTTATATTCTCTAACATTAGGAGATATTAACAACTACGTCGTCATATAATCAACGGAACGTGTTCTCTTTCATTTAAAACAGGTTTCTAATTATAACAACAACTACATTTAGAGGAAACTCAAATTAATAATTGCATAGCTTTTTACAGCACATTTACATATTTCACAGCATCTACAAACACATACATAATACAATGTCAGACTTTGCCTTCAACAACTATTGTATAAACTGTGACAAATTGTGTCCGCAAAACTCAGTTTACTGTTCAGATGAATGTAAGTCAATAGAGTATCAATCATCTATGGAATATCAATCATCAATAAGTTCCGAACATACCCACCAAGTTAACGATGCATTAGTCAGTCCTTTGTTAACTCCTGCCCTTTATCAACAATACTTACAACAAGATGTTTGCCAATCTCCGTTGGTTTTAACTACTTCCAACACAAACAATGAAAGTACTAAAGACTTGGATTACTTTGATTTAAACTACTCAGTACAATCAAATACCAACTACAGTTCAAATGCTACTGAATTATTAGATTCAACTTCGCATAACTATCGTAAATGGTTGACTGCGTTATAGCAACCGAAGAAAAAGCATTAGTTGGTGTTTGATATACTTCTAAAGCTATACAAATCATTTATGGTTTTGCCGTTATTTTTTTTATATAAATATTCATTATTAAGGTTGGGAAATTTAAAGGGTTACAAAAAACGAAAAAAAAGGTGGAGATTTTGAAGGTTGTTATGATAAATGTTGGTTATATCAGGTATTGCTAATAGTTTAACTAATTTATCATAATATATATATACATAGTTAAAAGATGAATAAGAGTTTTTCTCTTTATAACTTTTTTATAGGCTTAAAAACTTACACAATGCATATCATAATATTATATCTTCAAGAAGATTTACTAAATGTAGAAATGGTTATTTATACTGCCATGTAAGGTTTTACAGTACCTTAATTGTGCCTTTCATGGGGGGAGTGTCGAGATTTAACCGCAGTTACTTGATTAAGGTTTAGCTAACACGTAAAACCTTTTAGTTGCGAAAAAAAGCAATTACGGTAGAAATAATTTTTAGGGCAAGCTTAATTAGCTTTTTGAGAGGTGCGGAAACGCATTCGCACCACATGTTCTACTCAACAAAAATAATAAAAACAGGGCAAAACCTTAGAAACCCCCTCTTTTTTTTTTTAATTGCATAGTTAATAACTATAGAGGGGTCACAGTTATATTGTATCAAACCTTTCTCCGGTACAGGATCGTAAAAAAAAGAAATTTATTCGAGTGTCCTCGTAACCAGTATCTTGTTGTTCAGTTGTGCTACTGTGTAACCACGTCAGTATTGAATAGACGGGGGGGATAGGGCCATACCTTGGCCTGATCACACAGACATCCCTGGAGCAAAGCTCGTCAGTGGCTAGACAGATTTTGTGCGCAATAGAATCGATCGATTTAAAATAAACTACATTGTAGTGGGAAATTTTGTCAGGCCACTCGCATGAAAATTTATCCCATGGTCTTTTTTTCACTATTGTTTGTGCGACAAAAAAAAAAATTAATGGCTGGGAATTATAAAAATAAAAACACTCCTAAATTAAACAAGGGAATATATTCATCATATCATAAGATTCTCGTTTAACGACACCTCTGATATTCAAAATATGGCCAGTTTGCTAGGTTAACCCCGAACTGTCTCCACAAAAGCAGAAAAAAAAGTGACAACCATTCTTGTGAAGAATAGGAGAGCAATACCCCACAAAAATATCCCAATGGGGAAGTCTAAAATACCTTTTTTTTTGTTCGGTTTGGTTCTATTTTTTCCGCCGGGAGTAGCATAGCCAACACGGTCATTCGGTTTGCGCGAATAAAGGCAGTAAATCCGAGAAATTGCTTTTCTCTGGTATTTTGATCATGTATCATTGTATAATTTATTTCTTTAATGCTGCAAGTGAAATTAATTCTGCGTAAGTTTAGTAAGACTTTTCTTCCGTTAGTCCTCCCCTCCTTTCTCCGCTTATAGTAACCACATTGTAGAATTGCTTGGGGGAGTATCTCCGCTGCAACTGCCGTTTCTCCGATCTGCACTGAAGTAAAACGGAGAAAAGAGTGGAATGTGGATTGCCTTAAATTAGAGTATAATTTTTGATTATAAATTTTCATCCATTACAAAGGCTATATCCGAGGAAGAATAATCTTGTAGCCAACTGAGGAATTCTGAATCACTAGAGAATTTTGTATAATTTGTTGAAATCAGCAACAGATTTGTCATGACTACTTTCACTACCCGCGGATCTTGGCATGAATCTGTAGCAATCTGTTTGGTTTGATGAATCGTAATCCTCAATTATTTGACCTGATTACCCCCATTAGCCCGGTCGAACATGAAGCCATTACCCAAGGGACGTAAATCGTGCCCATTTCAGTATTCCTAAAATAAATTGTTAGGTTTATTAGAATTTGTTCGTCTAGACAACAGAAGTATTATCAGTTTTAACCGATAATTTTATTTTTCTCGGTGTTATCCCCCCCACCCAAACAGCGGTTGACAACCCGACAAGCGATTGTCCACTACAAAACCAACAATGTATAGTCATTGAACAAAACACGTCATAACTTGACAAATCTTTCTGTACTGACAAGCAACCTAACTATCAAATAATAAATCTAAACCTTCGTCATCGGGATAAATGATCCATTGTTCGAAGTCGCAATAATTAGAGATCCTCAACCCAACTGAAGATGAAAAAGATCAGACAACATCCCAACCTTAAAAAAAAATGAGCAAATTTAAGATTGTTGGGTTGGCTACCAGTTTGTACGATAAGTTAATTGTTTGTAATTTGCTCAATCAGTTTTGTTGCAAAATTGGTTTTGCTGGTTGACCCCTATTAATTTGAGACTTGGCCACAAAGTGGTTTCCATTTTAAAAAGCAGGGGTTGACAATACTTCACTGTAATTCGATCATCATACATACTTCACTCGTGCCTTGTTAGTGGCCTGATTAGTTCTTGGTAGTTTTGTATCTCCCGGATCCATCCAAATAATAGATATACTGCAAAAAAAAAAACAAAAAAAAACTACACCTTCTTAATCAGGACTACAAAGACTAGATGGTAAGATCTCACATCTATGTTCAATTCTAACAATACCTAGCATACCATCGTTTATAACATGAAATCCACCAGTAATTGTGTGGAGGCTTAATCCACTTGTTGTTGCAAATATATTTGCGACACTTCAATATGCCGCGACATTCAACTTTTTTTTTTCCTCGCCTCTACCAATACATTTTTGATAAAAAAAATTTTTCCAAATATCAGTGAGGTACATAGGTTACAACACTACACAGCATGTTTGGCGCATTCCAAGGTTCATTAGTAAGGTGTGGAGGATATCTTTGGAAGAAAGCTCCTAGATTATCCCCACCCCAAAAATACAGATTAAGAAAGAGAATGTCACTTGTCGATGAAAATGCTGATGCCATATATAGAGGATTAATCCAAGCGCAAGGGAAAGCTATCGGAGAACCTAGTGGATTTAGAAAAGTTGATTATTTGAAGTTTGAAATGCCAAAGGAAAATGAGATGTTACCTAAGGATAAATACACTGCTTTTAATAAACATGCGAAGAATTATAGAAAGAAACTTCACTTGTTCCCTAAATGGACCAAGACTTCTTTCAGAGAGAATCCAGAACATTTTTAGGTGTATATGTGTTGTAATAGTTTGTAAATAGAATAATATAATTAGAAAGGTTAATTTCAATTGTAAAGTAATTTCGATGTACGAAGAGGAAGTTGTAGCTATTAAATTAGCAACCTATATAACATAATAAAATACTTAATCAGCCAAGTGAGACCAAATCTGGTTAGTGATAAAGAAATCATTATAATCAGGATCAATCTTCAACATATTGACATGGTCACCTTTCTGTATAACAATAGTGTCGGGTTCTTCATCTTTGTTTCCATTCGAATTTTCTAGTTTAATACCAAGGTTTCGATATAGAGCAAGCTTAGTTACGTTTGCATCTTGAGCTGTTACTTCTCGATTACGATTTTCTTCATATACTTGATTCATTTTTATCAATAGATCATCATTCTCCTTTTCAAGTCTGTTTCTTTCTGAAGCATACAGTATTATTATCTGTTCCAAGTCTGTCAATTCTTTACTTATGGATATATTCAAATCTGTTAGTTTATTGAAGATTGATTTCAACACGCGAGGTATTTCATCATTTTTGGTGAACCCGAATCGGTCGTTTAATCCGTCAACCGTGGCGATATTTTGCACCTGTTCAAATGTAGAATCATTGAATTCATACAAGAGGGATATCTTTCGTTGTAATTGTTCAATTTCTTCTTTTAGTTGGGTGTTGTGATTGGTGATTGTCGCAATATCTTCTTCTCTGTCTCGCTTGAGGTTGTCTATTGACACGAGGATCGAATCTATGAGTTGTTGCTCATTCTGGGCATTGAGTCGATTGATTATATCATCTAGTATCCCATTTCCTGACTTATCTGTGGACATATTTATCTGTGGTTTCTATAGCTGATCTGTTTGTTTACGTTTGGTTTGCACACAAAAAAATCAAAGTCCTCGCAGCGACTCAAGGGAAAAGAAAAAAAAATGAGGTGAGATATTTGAAAAACTGCTGATCTTAATCAATAGTCATAGCACAAATGAGTAAGAAATCATTCGAAGGTATAGAATTACCAAGTGATCCTAATCTTCCACCATGGATAATTACACCCAAAGAAGAAAAATTAATCTTTGACAGATGGAGAACCAAAACATTTGCCAGATGTGATGAATTAATCAAAGCATATGTTGAATGTTCAAATAAGTATGGGAATCCCGTAGAAGGTATGAAACATTGCAAGGAGGCCAATGATGCCAGCATGGGATGTGTTGCAAAGTATCAAAAGCAAAAGTATTTGGATATTGAACGCGATATTCTTATTGAAGAAAAGAAGGAGAAGAGACAGATTTATGAAATGTATAGGGAGAAGAAGAGACGAGAAGCCGAACAAGCAAAAGCTGCAGCCAAATCAGAGTAGGTGGATGTACTCTATCGTGTACATAGTTATATACTTATACCTTTAATATAAAAGTTTTATACGGATTGACGACGTGTCATATTCTTTGTACCACCAGCACGCAAGAACAACCCAGTTTCTCTGGTATTCCGCAGAATCGTTATAGCACAGAAATACAGCAATACAGTAGCCCTGGAGTACCTTATTAGCAATAAAGACACCACGTCTTCTCTAAGTACCTTTTTGGTTCCAAAATGGTCAGAAAAATTATGGCATACACTGTCCGTAAGCGAGGTTGAATAATCCTTTTTAATCGAGACAGTAATAAATATCTGTTATAAAATCAATAGTTTAATCTTTGAAGTTTGCCAACTCTATTTCGCATATATTAGTAGAAATAAGAATAACGGTCAACTTACCCACACACACTCAGCTTAAACATAGGGAGTATTTCCACCAGTTTCAGCATCAGCATCAACATCATCTCTCGAGTTTTCCTCTTCAAAATACAGATTAGCGGCTAATAAGAAATGTGCCTGCATTTTCCCCAATTTCTCAATCATTTCATATTGACTTGCGGTAGTAGTTAGTAATTCATGAAAATCAGCAATGTTAGCATGTAGTTGCCCCACTTGGGAGTTTAGATGACTTAGTTGTCTTTCTGCTTGTTTTTCCACCTCTTGCGACTTGTTAGACATTATTGACAGGTGTAGTTTGCGTGTGCGTTTGTATTAGATTGTATTGTTTTGGTTTAAGAGTTGGTTGTAAATAATTGTGTAAGCGCGAAGAAAAAAGTGTAAAGAAAATCGGTTCCGAGATTTAACGGAGCAGAGAAATGTTGGTGGTAATGGGCGGTGGTGTGAGTGCTTGAGTTGACAAACCAAGCTGCCTATCCACATAGCTCATAACCGGACTTCAATCACCGTATTGCTAACTGTAGTAACTTGTTATTATAGACCTTACAACAGGTGTGTGTGGAAGTAACGGACTGTCAAAAACAACAACTAAAAAATAATCACAGTTGTCATCCCGTAATCAAACGGAAGGTATATATCCGCATGGCTATTTCCCAATTACAATTACAATATAATCGTTAATAGACATTATATACTCACATGAAACAATTTGACCTACACTTCCGCGCTCCTTCCCCCCCTGCGACTTTCTATCTCCTTTTCCAACATCATCTTATAAAACTTGCTGTAGTACTCGCCTTCGACTGTTCCTTCCACCCTCTTTTTCTTTTTTTTCTTTTTTTTTTCTTGCGGACAAGAGAAACATTTTCGGATGGACATTCAAGTTAAATGAAACCATTTGATTTCAAAGGTTTAAATATTCATTTCAAATTATTCATATAAATATCTTTGTTGCTAATCGATCATGTCGCTACAAGAAGCAACCAACATAAAACAGGAACCACCGGAGGGTGGTCCATCACTCATGCCGAAACAGTCACATCACCAACCCCTTAAAAGTATATCTCCACAACCACTGCCAAGTAGTATTAAATCACAAGCAATGAAGCCATGTGAACTGACAGGAATGGCATCTACGCATAGCACAAGCACGTTGAACACTAATTCTACAGCAACCATCCACCATCGTGAGACCGAACTGAAATTAACCAACTTTTTGCCGAATACCCAGAGACAACACAATATACAACCTAATCCAAATCAGCCTAATACAAACGCAAATCCCACCAGATCAATACAAAATCGACCTATATCACAACATTCAAATGTTCAACAGCAACGATCTACTGCTCCTGCAGCTCAGCAAGCACAACAGGGCCACCACCCCCACCCCCACCCTATTGCTCCTAAGTACATCAAAATCCAACCAGCTATCGCCCCTAAACCAATATCCGTCTTCCCCAAACAATCCACATTCTCTCCGATCCCAACAGGTAAAACATCAATACAATTTCGCCAGTCACTTACAGATTCCCTAACCCCGAACACCTCTACTAAAAACCCATCACTCAATATAAACACTTCCAAGCGATGGGTGTTACCACCTAGGCCACGTCCTGGACGTAAACCAACTGCCAACGAAACTAACGACGATAAGAAAAATACAAAGACTAGTCCGAAACGAAGAACCAAGATTAAGAAGGAACCGGAGACCAAACCCCATGACGGGCGGACCATTGCTGCTGTCCCACCGTCCCATATTTCCCACATTGATACAAACCAAGAAAAGTCTTCTGGAACACCTACACCAAACACATCAAACTCATCAGTATCGCCATCACTGAGTTCTCCAAGTGGTGCAGGTACAACCACGCCTTTAGTCTCAACCGACTCGCTGACTTGTGTATCGCCCTTGCCTACACTTAATAACCGCACGCCATCACCCAAGAAGATATTAGTCACTCCAAATGCACCACCGGTGACTGTGAAACGAGAAGAAGATATGCAAGCAAGAACTATATCTAGTCTCACATCGGAATCCACCCCCATTATTAGTGCAACCACTACAGCTGTTCCCTCGACCTCCTCAGCTCCGCCACTTCCCCCGATCAAATCAGCCGATCCTAATGCCCAATTATACGATATGAAAATGACATATGTCGCCAAACTCAAAGAGCAAGAACTTATCCGCAACTATATCGAAATACTCACTAATCAAATCAAGGAATTAAGTTTTGTCCAGAATGGAGTTATTACGTTTGATGCGTTGAAGACTAATGCTAAGCCAAGTAAAAAGAATCCTACACCGACAATCACACCCAGCACTAAATATGATCAGTTGGAGCAGATCAATAATTTGAATGATTTAAACAAGTTTTTAAATTATTTGAACAAATCCTCGAATATTATCCAAAGTGCTAAAAAGAAAAAGAACCAGCCGGAGATGAGCAACGACGAAGTATTGAATAAGCAAATTCAGGATTATATGGAAGTAAGGGGTAAGTTCAAGGCTATGAGGAGTGAAGAAAGCAAGCTGACTCAGAGAGTTAGCACCGATAGTTCATATGGTAACATTGGTATTGATAATAAGCTGAAGAAACTGATTATTGGGAATAGCACCACTACTTCGATATTTTCTGGAGCGGCAACAACAACATTGCCTGGTACAGATATGCAGAAATCCCAGCTGATAAACACGACATTCACTCCTGATTTGCTAAGACCTATGAAAGCTTCTAATTTGTTTGGTATTGGTAACAATGGATTTACCAGTCCTCACACACTTAGTCCTGCTGCTGATTTGCAGGATGATATAATTGTCGATGAATTACAAACCGAAACCATTGAAAGTTCACCAAGCGCAATATTGTCAAACACGACCGAAAGTATGGACTTGTTTATGGATGAACATGATTTTCTCAATCGGTTGATTTTGAAAGATGTCGATGAGGAAACACCAACTGTTGCTGCTGCTGCCGCTGCTACTGCAGCTCCATTTGAACCAAAAAGTGAAGAAGAACTATTGGGTAAAGTGCAAATACACCTGAAAAATAGTCCCCAGCCCATCCCACCACCGGCATCAATGGTGCACCATCTGCTGCTGGCGCCACAATTGCAATTGCTGCCCCAGCTGATTTTGCAGCAGCTGCAACTGCAAATGAAGATAATGATGAATCGTGACACTGTTCTTAAGAAGAAACTGAAGTTCAATTGTGGGTTTTGTACAAATGATACTCCATGCTTATGTTTTGATGCTGAGATGGAAATTAGTGATTTGAGACGAGGACCTTAGTTATTTATTATTTATTTCTTGTAAATATTATACATTACTTATCATTTACTTGTGCGGTGACTTCCTATCCTGTAATGTCAATAATTCTAGTTCGAAGAGTTACCTGTATATATATGCTTATCCGAGAGTATACGAGAACTAGTTACACGACTAGAGAAAATCCAGTTAATGACGATTTTTGCATAAAATAAATAAATAAAATAAAAACACTATATGCTAATTTACCACAAGAAAGCCAAATAGGAACCGATGATGGCGGTAGCTCCCAAAACAGCATAACCAGTCTTGTAAACCCCATCGTTAGTCAAAGCCTTACCGAAATCCCAGACTAAATGTCTCAACCCATTACCAACATGGTAAACAAATGGATAAGCACAAATGGCTTTGATACCGACCTTAAGCACAACAGGCAATGAAGCAAAAGCACCAACTAAAACTGAAGAATCAAATGGTAAGCCCAAGATGGAAGTAGCACCATAGGTGCAGGTCAAAAGGTAGAAACCACCAGCCATAAAGACACCGGTGATTCTGTGGAAGGAGGACATGATCCAGGTTATTTGTGGTTGGTAGATGGTCAAATGTGGAGATCCTGGTCTATTCTTTCTTTGAGCAATCAAGATTTCTTGGGCTTCATCATGGGTGGTCTTGACGGTGGAGATTCTTCTTAATAAAGTTAAGGAGGATAATCTGGCAGCATTGGCACAGGCTTGGAAAGCTGGTCTTTGTACGGAAGCTAAACCTACACGAGCAAGCATTGTGAATTGTTGTCTGTTGTGTAAATGAAGGAATTAATCAAAGGGGGATTAAATGTGTGTTGATAACTTTTTTTTTCCATACATCATTCGGATTTCAAATGGTAATTTTTTTGTCTGTCACCCCGGAGGTGAAGGGAGACAAAAACATAAGGGATTTTTTTTCAGCCAATGGTAACATTTTGAATTACGCGGGTGCGGGAGTAAATCGGACACAAGAAATCCCAGATTTCCGCATCACGTGATTGTGTTTGTGACGTGGAATAGAACTGCAGTGTGTCGCGACACAACCCAATATGTACGTCACGCAACCAAATGGAGAACAAAGAAAAATAAAAAGAAACAAGATCGTTACAGGAGCTTAGCCTCTGGTTCTTCGTATGCCAGCAGAAAAAGTAACAACCACTACACATTCGGCTGGCGATGCCCTGAAACTGGACTATCATTTTGCTTATTTCTTCTTTCTTTTGTAGTCATCATTTCAATTTACCTTCTTTCTTTGCTACAACTGCATGTCCAGTTTACGAAGATCCAAACTTGCCCGTTAGTTTTGTGCTATAGAAATTATCCATTTTTTATTTTTTTGCCTTTGCCTGAATTTGGATTTTTTTTTTTTGCTTTGCTTGGCCAAATCAAAGCGTTATTTTTTTGTATGGATTACAAATTTATAATCCCAACTTTAAAACTTACAACCAACTACACATGGCAGATATTGGCCACCCTTCTCAAACAATCAAACCAGAATCACATCAGACTCCGACAATAGTAACTGCCCCTGCCCTTGTCACCATGATAGAAACTTTGAACCCCCTGGTTCACACCAAGTTTACTAGTCAGCAACAGCATTTCTCAAATAATGCCGTCCCTCCTGAGCATGCGAACTCCGAATCGGCCCCTGATAATGGTAATCACCCTGAACCTCAACAACAACAACAACAGCAACATCTAAACCATCGTCTAGACAAGCAACGAGAGGATAACCAAATACCCGTCACTTCGTCATCATCATTGTCATTATCCAACCCCTCCCCCACTAAACCGAACGCTTCCTCACAAGAATCAATTGAACATAATAAACTAGAATCGTCGTCCGAGTTATCCTTCACCAAAAAAGACATTAGTAAATCTCGCACCCAATCTTTCCAATCCGTTCTTTCCACTGCATCATTAATCTCACTAAAACAACAAGCATTATCCAGTAATAACCCACCGGCAAATGATATCACCTCCAGTGGCACGTTGCATCGACAAAATAGTATAATCAACGGGAATAACAACACACTAATCAGAAGCAACTCTACTGTCAATAATTCCAAAAACTTTCAGTCATTTATTCAAGCCCCTGTGTTTTCCAGTTTTACCAATTTGAAATCCCAAGACGATGATATCCAGATTGGACAACAATTACCATTTGAGAATAAATCGACTACAAATGACAAGAAAGCTGCAAGTGCTACTTCCACCATAACTGACACTCATAAGGATGAAACCGAGGAAGAATCAGCGGTCCTGCCGGAAAAATTAACCTTGAAAGCATTAAAGAAGTTGAGTTTGTCTCCACGACCAATAACCCACCCCGATGATATAGTTCCATTGACTTCATCAAAACCAAAATCTCCCAATGATACTGTATCTCCAAATACCACCACCTATACCTACAAAACCAAAACCCAGCAACCTTATCAACCGGCAGAAGTAGACTTGTCTTCATTTGCAAGTTTGACAAGACAACCGAAAGTAAACCCCGATAAGATTCCATCACCAGTTAGCAATTTCAAAATTATTAAAAAGAATTCGTTGCCTAGGTTGCCTGAGGTCCAGCATTTAAAAGATAGTTCCAATCAACAGCCCCAACCAGAAAAATTCCAGACATTTCCACAATACGGACAACTGCAACAACAACAACCACCACAACAACAACAGCAAGAAAACCAACCGATTAACACAAATCAAACTCAACAAAGAATTCCCGCAGCAGTGATTCCACCTCATGATATGAATACCCGAAGAATCCCTCTGAACCCCGTTCAGGTTAACAACTCTACCAACTCATCTCCACCAAGGGAACCAACTCAACATCATCCCCAACCACAATACCTGCTTAATCATCCTCGAGTAACTAGACAATTGCAACAAATTAAAGGGTTAAGAAGTCCCATGTACGTTCCATGTGTTTTAAGAATGACCAATAACGGAGTAATTCACAGCCCTACCCAAATGAGATCATATTCCAATTCACCGGAATTAATCGTGGGCGGCGGTAGAAACAATAATTCATCACCTTCTCCTAAAGTACCACACCATATTGATAGTACCATGGAACCAAGTTATATTACGCAATTGCAAATGTTTGGCCAGGGAGATACCTCGTCATCACGGGCATCCATAAAATCCATTGACTCAAATATGTCCATCGAATCAGGAAATAGTTCTATGTCTGGTCATCAACATCCACAATACTTGTCCTCGGGCAACAAAGGTTATGATCACCTATTAAAGGCCCCACCTACAAGAAGACATTGGGTCAAGGATGATACCGTATTGAAATGCTCGATTCCTACTTGTCCTAAAGTTTTTAATTTCTTTGAAAGAAGACATCATTGTCGTAAATGCGGTGGGATTTTTTGTAAAGAACATACTTCACATTTGCTTTACATTAACCATTTGGCGCAATTCACCACGGGTGGAAGAGGAACTTTATCTAAGGTTTGTGATAATTGTATTGAAGAATATAATGAATTTATCAAGAAGGAGTTTGGAGTTAATGTCAGTACCCATCCTCCATCAGTGAGTCCCATGGCCGCAGAAACATACACTGAAACACAGCCATCACAACCGCCTAATCAATTCATTCCGTTGGCCAGCGCAAACAAATATGTGCCTCAACCTTACACTGGTCCTGTTTCACCAGAGCAGCAAGCACAACAACAACAACAATATCAACAACTGCAATTGCAACTGCAACAACGTCAGCCTTCCCTAAGTGAACAAGTGGTGGGCAGTGTTCCTGCCAACTGGAGTTGGAGTTCATTCTAAATAATACCCCTTAATGTCGTTTTCAATTCTTTTCACTTCAGCTTATCCTTTTGTAATTTGTTTTTGATTTGTTGATATATTGATATATTTATTATTATATAGGCGATACACTTTTGATTTGTGAAAGCTTAGTTATAGAATATGCTACCATATTAACAGTCGGATCAATGTCGGGTTTTTCTTTTCCTGCAGATACCGCCAGCAAAAAAACCCTGGCAGAAATAAACACCGTGTAAGTGCGATTTTTCAAAACTTACAACCAACTTAACTCAAACTCAACACCACAATCAATCATGGGAAAGAGTCAATTGAAAGTATTGGGGGTTCCTATTGAGACAATTCGAGTGCTCTTGCGTGTGATCATCTTTATTTCGATTGCCGGAGCAGCCATCTCCTCCAGATTGTTTTCCGTCATTCGATTTGAAAGTATCATTCACGAATTCGATCCTTGGTTTAATTTCCGAGCTACCAAATATTTAGTCAGTCATTCCTTCTACGAGTTCTTGAACTGGTTCGATGACAGAACGTGGTACCCCTTGGGTAGAGTCACCGGTGGTACTTTGTACCCTGGGTTGATGGTTACCTCCGGTGCCATTTGGCATATTTTGAGAGACTGGTTCAGCATGCCCGTCGACATTAGAAACATTTGTGTCATGTTGGCGCCAGCCTTCTCCGGGTTGACGGCCATTGCTACTTATTTCTTCACTAAGGAAATGAAGGATTCTAATGCGGGATTGTTGGCTGCTATCTTCATGGGTATTGCGCCTGGGTACATCTCCAGATCGGTGGCTGGATCCTATGATAACGAAGCTATTGCTATCACTTTATTGATGGCTACTTTCTACTTCTGGATTAAAGCCATGAAGTTGGGATCGGTCTTTTATGCCACCTGGACTGCTTTGTTCTACTTTTATATGGTTAGTGCATGGGGTGGATACGTTTTCATCACTAACTTGATTCCATTACATGTGTTTGTCTTGATTTTAATGGGAAGATACAACAAGAAGTTATATACTGCTTATACTACCTGGTATGCCTTGGGTACGTTAGCCTCAATGCAAATTCCATTTGTTGGTTTCCTTCCAATCAGATCAAATGACCATATGGCCGCCTTGGGTGTATTCGGATTGTTACAATTAGTCGGGGTTGGAAACTACGTCAAGGCCCAAGTTCCATCTCGTCAATTCAAATCATTCTTGGTTGTTTCTTTGACTTTAGTGTTCTTGTTGGGTATTGGTGGGTTATTCGGATTGACCGCCATGGGATGGATTGCCCCTTGGACAGGTAGATTCTATTCCTTGTGGGATACAAGTTACGCCAAGATTCACATTCCTATTATTGCCTCCGTCTCTGAACATCAACCTACCGCATGGCCAGCATTTTTCTTTGACACAAGTATGCTTATTTGGTTATTCCCAGCCGGTATCTACATGTGTTTCCAAGAATTGCGTGATGAACATGTTTTTGTGATTATTTACGGTGTGTTGTGTTCTTACTTTGCCGGTGTCATGGTTAGATTGATGTTGACTTTAACACCAATTGTGTGTGTTTCCGCAGCCATTGCCTTGTCCAAGTTGTTTGACGTTTATTTAAACATTGTTGACCTTTTCACTACTACCGAAGAAGAAAAGGGCAAGAAACCAAAAGCATTCCCTGCCGCTGCTTTGATTTCTAGAGTGGTTGTCTTGTTATCATTTGCATTCTACCTTTTCTACTTTGTCTTGCATTGTACTTGGGTCACTTCCAATGCTTACTCGTCACCTTCAGTTGTGTTGGCCACAAACAATCCAGACGGGTCTCAGCATATCATTGATGATTATAGAGAAGCTTACTACTGGTTGAGAATGAACACTCCTGAGGATGCCAAGGTCATGGCCTGGTGGGATTATGGGTATCAAATTGGTGGTATGGCTGATAGAACCACTTTGGTCGATAACAACACCTGGAACAACACCCATATCGCCACTGTTGGTAAGGCTATGGCTTCTCCTGAAGAAGTATCCTACAAGATTTTTAGACAACATGATGTCGACTATGTCTTGATTATATTTGGGGGATTATTGGGATACTCTGGTGATGATATAAATAAGTTTTTGTGGATGGTAAGAATCGCCGAAGGTATTTGGCCCGACGAAATCCATGAACGAGATTACTTCACTGAGCGTGGTGAGTACAAGGTCGATAAGGACGCTTCCAAGGCCATGAAGGAATCTTTGATGTATAAATTGTCGTACTATAGATTTGCTGAATTGTATGGAGGCAGAGATGGGGCCGATAGAGTTAGAAACCAACAAATTCCAGCCAATGACCCACCACAATTGAGTACCGTTGAAGAAGTATTCACTTCTGAAAACTGGATTGTGAGAATTTATAAAGTCAAGGATTTAGATAACGTGGGAAGGGATTTGAAGCAAGCTACTGCGTTTGAACAACCTGGTGCTTCCAAGAAGAATAGATCGATTAAGAAGCCAAAGTTGGATATTAGAATATAAGCAATGAAGCACTTTGGTATAACCTCATTTTTTTTTGAAAATAGTTCAATAAAAACAGATATAACGTAACTCAACAATTGTAGTATCTCCTCATGCCATTTTAAACTTTTTTGGCATTGTTACCAGAGCTCGATACCAAGTGTGGGAATTATTGCGGATATATTTCATATTCCTTTTTTCCAATTTGCTCGGGCTATAAAATGCGGAGAAAATGTACCGCCCCTCAGTATTTATAACCCCGAACCTTATCCTTTCTTTTCCTTTTCCCTTTTCCAATTGAGCTAGTTTGTTACATCCAACCATGGCTAACTTGTTTGATATCGAGCAACATTTGGTATTCTACAGATCGTACCACTACAACAACGTCAATGTCGCCATCCACTTGGTGTGCATCCCCATAATTCTCCTTTCAGCAATCACATTCCTCGTGCCCCAAAACATCCTCGGGTCAGCCCACCCATATATCAACTTGGGATCTGCCTTGGCCTGGGGGTATGGAATCTTTTATACCCTTTTGGACTTGAAACTTGGGCTTCCCTCGTTTGGATTGTTGGTTACATATGCCCATTTGATTAAAGGACACTATTTGTCATTATCGAGCACCACTCCGGTTACCCCTGGTGACTTTGTCAAGTATGCTATTGCCGCGCATGTTGCTGCATGGTTGGCTCAGTTCTACGGTCATGGAGTGCATGAAAAAAGGGCCCCTGCGTTGTTGGACAACCTTTTGCAGGCATTGGTGTTGGCGCCATTCTTTGTTGTGTTTGAAATTGCATTCTTCTTGGGATTCAGAAGCGATTTGAAGAAGTCAATGGATGCCAAGGCTAGTGTGAATATTGCAAAATTTAAAAAGGAGAGCGCTGCTGCAAAGGAAAAGAAGTCAAAGTAGATGCAATCTATTTTTGCCTATTCTATTTATGTTTAGTTACTTTTGTTTGTACTTTGGATGTATGATTCATATTTCCGTTTCACTTCTGGTTCACATAATGAAACCCCTTGTAATTGATTACCAATAGTTAGCCAACCAGGTCTGGTATTATGATCTCTGCCAAATATTTCAAGTTTTCTGGAATGAACTCCGACTAATCTTTCCACGATATCGTAGAACTCATCTGGTTTTCTCAGAGTTTCTCTGGTTCCGCTTACCACGACATCAGTATCGATTTTCCGGTTAAGCCAGATTGGGTTCCCCTTTAATCCAACGAGCAAATGCTCCTTGGAATGGTTTAACCAATGACCTGTCCTACCAGTGACAATAGTCCGCTTTAACTGGTTAAGTTTCACCCATATCATCTCATCACTAATGCGGTATCCCCATTTCAAAAGCGCCCGGCGTCCAATCTCAATCGACCGACCTGTAACCCAAAGCATAATGATACCCTCATCTTGCAATTCTGACATGGGTAATGATAACAATTCGTCGTCTTTACAAGTTCCATAGGGCAACGACATGTGGATGTCCCATGCAGGGTCGGAAATTATGGCTGCGAATTTTCCAAGGATTGAAAAGGGCAAGTATCTAATGTCACAGTTTATCCATTGAGGTGCAAGGATTTCTCGGAAGGATTCAGAGAAACAGTCACCTATGGTGTATTCTGAATATTCTTCTGGCTCGCTCCCACCTTTGGGTTTACTGTTTGGGTTGAGTGTGAAATAGTGTAAGTAGCGACAAGTTTTCATTTTGTGACAAGTATCTAAATAAGAACAATCACCCAAATTCAAATCTGTGTGATTGTTAATGATAGGTAAAAAGTGGATCTTTTCAAATGAACACTTGTAAATCTCTTCTGAAAGCATGCCCTTGGAATTGGCGATGCGTTGATGAACAATAGACTCGGGAATAGTTTGCTTGTCAAAAGAATTATCACCGTACTGACCATACTCCTTCTTGTTTAAACCAACAGAAGCCAAAATGTGATTATGATTGGAATCATTACATACTGTAAAAAATGGGATTTTCTTGGTCTTTACCTGGGCTCGTTGTTTACTTAATACCGTTCTAGCAGTTGGTCTTCTAATAAGTGCGTCTAATAAGCCTGGTTGAATGCCAAAATTGCGTTCAAGTAGGATTTCATGCGAGTATAACTGTTTCATATTAATTTTTGGCCTCTCAAGTAGCTCAAACAAGTCTTGTTTTGGTTTGTTTGTAGAAAGTTTAGGGAATGGTGATCCGCCTTCAAATCTGTGTTGTAACAATAACAAACCACCAATGTTAATCCAGACCAATTTGGGAAAATTAAGATTTGGTAATTGAAAATCAAAATTATGAAGATCATGACTGAATTTCAACAGATTCCCACTGATGCCATTGAATTGTTGAAGAAAGTCAAGAAAATCACTCATGGTCTCCAAATAAGGGATCGTCGTTTTCTCGTCCCGATAATGCTCAACAAACAAAGCTTTGACAACCCATAACTCTCCATTAATAGGAGACAATACTAAGCTGGTATCATATTCCAACAAGAACGACACAAACTTCTTGAACTTATCTAACGTGTACATGGTGTTGGGTTAGTATTAGAAGTAAAGATGTCAATTTGCAGCATTTAATTTTTTTTTGGCTGTCTGGATTAAATGTGGCGAATGAATTGACACATACTAAATCTGTACAACCGCTTTATCCTTACAAGTAGACAGCTCTAAATTTAGCTTTCAGATAGTAGAAAGAAATCTGTATATTGTAATGCGGGCTAATCTTCTATAGAATAGCTCTTTTCTTGCTACACCTCTAAAGTTGATAATCTAAATTACTATTCAATGATACAAACAAACTAAATAAAAGAAAAAGAAATGACAAGATATCATCATCATCATCATCAGAATCCAAATGGATTATCAGGAGTAGCAGCTTGAATGTTTGCTCTTCTACCAGTCTGTTGACTTTGTAAAGGAGCGTTACCAAATCCCATCCCAGTAGGTTGTGATTGCAAAGTCCCAAACCCTTCAAACTGAGGAGCTTGTCCAAACGACGTGGTTGGCATTTGGCCGGCATTTATTGATGCCGGGGCGGAGATCGAGGTGTTTTGGAACATGTTGGTCATTTGTGACATGTCCTGTTGTTGTGGTTGGCCAAACATGTTGAACTGTTGGGTTGGTTGTTGTGATGGGAACTGGTTGAATGTCTGTTGTGGTTGTCCAAATTGTCCCATTGGTTGTTGCTGTTGTGGGAATGGATTAGCTGTAGCTTGTTGAGCAAATTGGTTGAACCCTTGTGACACTCCTCCAAATGTAGGTTGTTGTTGTTGTTGTTGCTGTTGTGGAGGTTGCGGGAATGGGTTCACCGGTGCTTGGCCAAAACTAGTTGCAGGTAATCCACCAGTGATTTGATTTCCAAAACTAGTTGGAGGTAATCCACCAGTAATCTGAGTTCCGAATGAAGTTTGAGGAAATCCAGCAGGAGCAGGTTGTTGACCAAAAGAAGTTTGAGGAACAACATTAGTACCCATAAACCCACCAGTAATTTGCTTTCCAAATGCAGACTGTGGAACAAACCCACCGCTGATTTGACCGCCAGTTCTTTGCGCAGGAACAATTGGCTGTTGGTTGAATGTAGTTGGTGGTAATCCACCAGTAACTTGAGTACCGAATGTAGTTTGTGGCAATCCACCAGTAACTTGAGTACCAAATGTAGTTTGTGGTAATCCACCAGTAATTTGAGTACCGAATGTAGTTTGAGGCATGGTTACATTACCTGGCATAATTACCGGCTGACCGAAACTAGTTGCTGGTGGAGCACTACCAGATCTTGTAATTCCAGTGTTGAATGTAGTAGATCCTGTTTGTAAAGGAATAATACCAAACGTTAATTGTGGTTGAATAATACCAGTAGCTTGAATTGGAATGAATCCAGTAGGTTGAGCAGTAATTGGAACAAATCCAGTTGGTTGAGCAGCCAAAATACCCCCAGTTCTTTGCACTGGAACAAGGGTACCGGTACGTTGAGCAGGAACTGGGATCATGTTTGAAACTCCAGTTTGTTGCACGGCAAATTGTTGTCCTGGTTGGATCAAAGTGTTGCTTGTCTTTACTGGTTGAAGTGCTGGTGCCGAAGGTGCTTGTGCAGGCTGCTGTGGTTGTGGTGCAGGAGGTTCATTCTTGGTTTCCACTGGTTTGATATTCACGAGATCTGATAAAGATCCAGTGTATTGAGCTGCTTCAGGTTGAACTGGTTTAAGAAGATCTTCAGTTGATCTAGCAGCAGGTTTGACAGCCCATGCATCATCTTCAATCTTTTGTGGTTGTTTAGGTGGCTCGGTGACAGTAGGAGGCGTTGCCTTGACTGGAGATGGTAATGCAGCAGCATTAACCTTAGAATCAGCTTGGACAGAAGTGTTATTCTTGAGTTCACCATTGGTATTGACAAATAATGGTGCTGGTTCTTCACTAGTAGTCTTCTTTCTGTCAAATTTGTTATCCAAAAACTTCATAACTCTAATAATATCACCTTCTCTTAATCCCAAAGTTCTCAATAATGAAGGAGAAATATCTTCCAAAATGTTTTCATCCATTTGTTCACGACTAAAGCTAAGAGAATAACGTTGACAATTACCAATATCAACCCCACACTGAAGGAAGAACTCAAACCAATCGTAATCTGGTTCACCAACAGTAAGCTTTGTAGTGGCTTTTGCGCGCGATGGTTGTGGTTTCAGGACATCATTAATAACAGCAGTTGCTGAAGGTGTCTTTTTCATCTCTTCAGGGGCCTTTGGTTTAGCTTTAGCTTGAGTATGTTTCAAAATTTCTTCCTTGTAATGTTCTAATGATGTTCCGGTGATCTTTTCAACATATTCTAAATCTTCAATCGACAATTTGACACAAGAAACTGCAATTTTAACCCCATTAGTTTTATGCAAGTGAATTTTCCCCTCATAACATCCCAAAAATTCTGCTTCAACTTTGAATGTACCTGTACTATCAATCCAAGTTCTAACTCGGTGGAAATTAGGCATGGACTTGTCTTGTTGTTCTTCATGCTTGGTAACTTGTTTTTCACGTTGTTGCTTATCCTTTTCTCTGATTTTATCACGTTCTTCTCTTGATCTATGATGATGTTGACTACTTTTCTCCTTCTTGGTGGATCTAGTTCTTGCTGGTCTATCAGTTAACTTATCTAAGTTTGAAGTACTAATAATTTCAAGGTATGATGAAGGAACAACCCCTTGTCTTCCGGTTTCAATATTCTCAACCATCCACCAGTCTTTTGATTTGGTTTCATTGATAATATAAACTTCATCGCCTTCTCGGCCCAGTAATTCATCATCACCTTGAGAGTCAAAGTCATATAATAATCTAGCAATCTTTCTATTTCCGGCTCCAGTCTTGGCCTTGGAGGCTCTAGCAACTTCCTTCAATCCCTTGGCGGATTCTGCACCTTTCAAATCTCCCAAAATGGACATGATTGCTTCGGCCACGTCTTTTGAACCGGCATGCAATTCAATAGAAGCAGTAGGATGCTTGAATTCCAAGAAAACATGTTTCTTCTCATTGCTAAAACTAATCAAATCTCTGATTCTCCATTGATTTTCGAGCGATGAAGCTTGTCTCAATAACTTAGACCCTTGTTTGTTGGGCTTGAATATAATGAACCCATGACCAATACTGAAAACTACTGCTAATTTCTTACGACCGTCGATTTCGTCAATGTACCATGTGAAATATTCACCATCAAATTCATGGTCCTTCTTGCCAACATCAGATACTTGCTCGTAGTTGTTAGATGGGGCAGACGTTGCTGCAGCAGATGAGCTTTCCCTTGGCCTGGTAGGCATTGGAGGTGGCGCGTCGTCTTCTTCATCTTCACGATCATAGTATGACGATCTTAAAGGTTCTGTTTCACGAGGGAAATCCTTGACAGGTGGTGTTGGAGCTGTCTCGGGGGTTGCTTCTACTGAACGTTGAGGTGGTGGTGGGAAGTTCAGAACTGGGATCATTGGAGCTGGCTGTGGAATCTGCTGTTGTACTGGTGCTTGCTGGGCTGGCTCTGGTTGCACTGTCTGTGGTTGTTGTGGTTGAGAAGCAGTAGCAGTTCCAAGTTCAATGTAATTCGAAGGCACAAACCCAAACTCGGTCTTGGTTGAATTACTCACCAAGATCCAATCTGGATCATTCAAATCATAAACGTTAAATTTTTCACCTTCCTTAAATGAAAGCTCTTCTTCAGTTTGCTTGTCATAGTCATACAATGCACTAGCTTGTTGAATAACAGGAGCCTAAACAATAGTTAGTAAATGAATTCCACACTAAAGCAGGAGACATAATACATACTTCCTCGATATAGTTCGAAGGGACAATTCCAAACGGTTCTTCGACTTCTTCATCGCCTTGAGCTAACACTCTCTTTTTAACCTTCCACCAGTCATCTACATCGGATTTTTCCAACAAGTATAAAATATCATCGGTTTGTATGGTCAACTCCTCCTCGGCTTGAGCAGCATAATCATACAATGCCTTGTATACACCAATATATATATTCAGCATCTTGGTTAGGATTGGTTTTATGGTGATGGATGCTGCGGATTGATGCAGGTTGCGTTGTTTGTGGATTGATTGATAGTTGAATCAATCTATTCTCTACACAATTAAAACCTGAAATCGACATAGTTGGCCACAGTACACGACTTGTGGATTTTTCTATTCCCCCCCCCCCAAAAAAATGGCGGGAAAAAAAAAGGAGGAGCCGTAATCGGGAAGTTGGACCCGACTTTGCGCTACCTTTTTGTTTTCTATTAGCCGGTTGTATACCAATTAGTTTAATACGTCTATTGGTTTCGTATATATGATTCATAGTCTAATAAAGCCCACCCTACTGCTAAAGCTATTACAGGTACCACAAACTTAATAAAATTTTAAAGTGTGAACCTATGGTTAAGATTTCGTTCTATTTTTGCAATTATTTCTCGTAACTGATTGCAAAACTCTACATATAAATTATTAAAACAAAACTTAAAACTTCTATCCAGTCTATATACCAATAAATAAATCACACCACACCAGTCAACTTATACCCCGACAAGACAGTTTCGATATTATTCAAACAAGTCTTGGCAGTATACCTATCATTTTCAGTAACCGAAGACCCGATATGGGGTGTCAACACCACATCTTGTCGATTAAGCAAATCTGGATGCACGGTAGGCTCAGCTTCAAAAACGTCCAAACCAGCAAATAAGACTTTCCCCAGTCTTAATCCTTCAACTAAAGCATGCTCATCAATAATGAATCCTCTTCCAATATTGATTATTCTGAATTGCTTATTCATGTTTCTGATGAATGTTGCATCAATCATATGTCTAGTTGATGGCGTACCTGGACATGCAATGACTATCAAATCAGCGATATCCTTAGTTGAGTCTAACGTTTCATGGTATGTTACTTTATAGCCTAAGCTGTTTTCTTCTTGTTCAGACAATTTATTTCTCTTGACATAATGAATGTTCATTCCGATGCATGATAATCTTTCTGCAATCAATTTCCCAATATGTCCAAACCCAACAATAACGGCATTGTTACCCCTAGGAGAAACCAATTCTCTCCCACAGCAAGAATCAGCATATACGTTACCAACAGTAGGTCTGATATCAGCCTTACCGGTATGTTGATTGAATTTACCATGCACCAACGAGGTTCTTAACATACCGGTATGTTCGGAAAACTTTCCATCGAAATTCTTTTCAAAAATTTTGAAGTTTCTAAAACTGGCAATGGCATTGTACAATACCAAATCAGCCACGGCTTCAAATGCAATGGTTGATGGGACATTGGTTAATATTATCCCCCTTTCCTTCATAGCTTCTACATCGTAATGGTCGTAGCCTATGCTACAAGTAGTTATGATTTTTAAATGTTTGGGAGCAAACGCGACCAACTTACCTCGGAATCCACCCAATTGGGCGAATCCGACCCAACCTCCATATATAGCAACAACGTCTTTGAATTTAGTCTCGAAGTCGATGATAGTTTGTTCTAAAGTAGTCAACTGATAATAAACCAAGTCAAACTTCTTTTCAAATTCAGAAATGTAGTCCTTCTTTGGCTTTTCAAGTAATAACACCTTTTGTCTAACAGTCATTATCAAAAACTCTATAATAATATACTACAAATACAAAATTCCAAAACATTATGATAAACTAAATGCGGGCATTCACGGTAATTTATATGTCTCACATTCACATGGACTGATTAATGCGGTTGTAGATATAACTGCAAAATTTTTTTTATTGTAGCCATAGTTCTGGTCTTTTTCCACCGATTGCCGTGCGGCTCAACGACAACCACATTGTGAAATTTGAACTGTATTACCGAATGAAACCACATTAACCGAGTCTCACCACACCCCTTGAAATCAGTCAATGGATTAAGGATTGCCGTACCCGCATATTACTAATAGGGGGCTATTGTGCAAGACATTTAGAGGATCCACACATGCCTGTTGTGGCTATATTTATCTCGTCTGAAACTTGCATTTTGTAGATAAGGTGCGGAGTTTACACGTTTTCGTTTCTACGTTTTACTAATCAATGACATCATAGACCAAGAGGTATAGGGGTATATTCTTAACACCGTTCAGTCTAACGCGTTGTTATCTTCAATCTAACCGTGTATTGTTCTTTGTTATCTTCAGCTTAAACTTTTTTCTTATTTTCACTGTTTTATTTTGTTTATATATATAAAAAAAAATGAATGTACAAAATATCAAGCAGAAATAAAACTAACTCAATGAATCATAATATGAATATTTATCGGGATGGAGTATATATAAAATACACTATCAAAATGTAAAAAATGTAACTAATTATAACCTTCATGAAGGGCATAAATTGATGAAGAGAGGGAATAGTGGCTGTCTTGTTTAGTGGTGGGCCATGGCTGGTTCACCCAAGTATTTGGCGGTCAAGACAGTACCACATTGCCAACATCTACTCTTCTTACCATCTTCAACCTTCATCCAGTATGGTTTGTGGTCGTGTTGGTGAGTACCTTTACATCCAACATATCTGTATCCGAAGTAGGTTGGGACCAAGAATGGTTCTTCAAAAGTACCCTTACCTTCGTAGATTGGGTTTTCCATATCGAAAACATCAACACCTTCTCTCTTACCTAATAATTCAAATCTTTGTATACCGGTAGATTGATCTAAATCAGTTGGGATAGTTCCTGGCTTGGCACCATGACCGAATAAGGAATCGGAACCAGTAACTTCAGATAAACTGTAGGCAGTCTTCTTGTCGGTGACTTGAGCTTGCTCAGTTGGGGCTGGAGCCTTGGAAGCTAATAATCTGGAGGAGGACAATAATCTGGTTTGTTGTCTAGCAACTCTGAAGGAACGAGAAAGCATTACTAGAAATATAGTTAGTATTAATTCGATCCTGTGTACACAATTGGGGATAGCTCCATATGAATGTCGTTCTAACCAGTCTTGACTCGATTTATATGGTTGTGGCTGTTTTAAAGTCCATGTGGTTGTGTCTTTTATGTTGTTGTGAATAATTTTAATCTAGTTTGAAATTCGATGCGTAGTATTGGTGCAAATCCCGTTCAAACAAAATTTTCAATTGGGAACGATCAACAATTGTGTAGAAGAACAGGTTGTAAAACCCATGTCTGTTTGAACATACTGTATTAATTATTTGTGTAAGAAAAACTTCGGATGCGATGATACCTTACTTGATAAGAGTTATATGTTAGTTGGTTTTTATTTTCAATTCCCGTAACATTACAGGCAATTTTTTTCTGTTGGTATTAATTCGATTTTATTGGTTTGAATTTTTAATTAGCACGAAAAATAATCAGCTGGTTTTCGGTCAGGTGATCCGTATCACATGAATTCTTCACGTGATAAATCGATCATGTGAATTGTGTCACATGATCAGAAGAAAATTTGTGATTAGGGATACAGCCCTAATTTGCACGTGCACCTAAATTGTGCTAAACCACACGACAAAAATGCTAACCCAAGAAAAAAACTTTCTATGCGTTATACACAAGCACCATACAAAACATTCGCACTATAGTGCATTTTATATACAGTCTCCATAGTTAACGAAAATTTGTACCACAAAAAAACATAAACTAGCTTTGTTAACTATGGACGATTTTTTTTGTATGTGCAGCCCAAACTATGCGCACTTGCCCGCGCTCACACAGTAACGAATTTTTCACTCTACTAAAAAAATTTTCTTTCTCTATTGAAATCTTTTTCTTCTTTCTTTTCTCTTACATCAGTAAATAATAGGTATGTTATAGACCTATACATTTGATTTGGAGATATATTATTTCAATGAAACGGACGGGAGTTACCATGAATAGTGAATATAACATGATGTATTGACACAACTACTTGATTGACGACTATTAAAATGAGAAATATTAGCTAGGAATTTAACAAGATTTTCAACGAGAATTGGTAATAAGAGAATCAACCAAATAATCCTAATCAGAATAAACAGTATATCGGACCCAATCTATTCAACTTGCATTACTTTTCAACAACATTTAAGATGAAAGTTTCCCAAATGTTTACTACTACTTGTATCCTACCCGAACTAATGAAAATATCCCAGTCAAAGCAAAAGGATTGTATGACAAAATACTAACAACTTATTCTAGCAACATGCCAAAAAAGAGAGCTTCCAACGGTAGAAACAAGAAGGGTAGAGGTCACGTTAAGCCAGTTAGATGTTTAAACTGTGCTAGATGTGTTCCAAAGGATAAGGCCATCAAGAGAGTCACTATCAGAAACATGGTTGAAGCCGCTGCTGTTAGAGATTTATCTGAAGCTTCTGTTTACGCTGAATACGCTTTACCAAAATTATACAACAAATTGCACTACTGTGTCTCTTGTGCTATTCACGCCAGAATTGTCAGAGTTAGATCCAGAACTGACAGAAGAATCAGAACCCCACCACAAAGAAAGAGATTCACTTCTGACAGAAAGGTTTCTCCTCAAGATGCTGCTAAGAAGGCTAACTAATTTTCTTAACTTTAAATAACTGTATTTAATAAAGAAATCTCATAAGTATAAATGATATGCATGTAGCAAGAAATTTAAAAGATGGCAGTAATAACTTTTAGCTATAAAGGCTAATCAAAAGTTCATTAGGGGGGGTGAATTTGTGAGAGTATGGGAAATGGCAAGATCTTATTGTTTGATAATATTAGCCGAGACAACGAATAAATCTGTCAAAAATTACCTGTAAGATCCTTTAAAGGGGAAATGTATCCTACGCATTAATAAATACTTTATTTTGGTCATTCGCTTGTCATTCCCTCTTTCATGAAACCATAACATCGATTGTTTCACTATTTACAACTAAGTTGAAGAGGGGAATGCTGCAACTAATAAATATGTCAAGCATACAATTTACTATGCGGTCTCGGCTATTACAAAAAGAGAGAGAGAGAGTCAGCAGAAATTAGATATTTCACTAATAATAGAAGTATTACCTAGTAATTAGAGGTTAGTAGCAGTGGCACTTACTAGCAATATTGGCTCACTTATGTGAGGGTTGCAAATAATCGTGTGGTTTTTAAAATGGTGTACCTTTTTTTGGGGGTTAGTAGAAGGGGCAAACTGAGCTTACGTAAATTTGGGCGGTAAATTTGATCACATTTTTTTTTTGACAACACCATCATCAGAAATTCAAGTTCATTTTTTTTCTCTCACCCTTTTAACCACAAACTTTAACTTATCTCACTAAATTCTACCTATAACACACATCCATTGTTTGCCCAATCTCGACAATTCCCGCTTACGCAGACTTAACCAGATTGAATATACCTGCAGACACATCACATAACTTTTATCCAATTAGCAAACCCTACGACGATTAAAGCGTATAGATATCCCCATCCTTCCCATATCAACGTCGTTTTCGGAGTCACTCGCACTAACAAATTGTTCAATTGATAGCCATTCGTCAACAATAATTTAAGCACTAGTTCTATCAATCAGTCAAATATATTTATACTGTGTTTACTAACCATATCTACTTACTTTACCAATTGAATTTCCCCCGTTTTATTCATTTTTCAAAAGTTTTTAGACGCTGTCGATTTTCTTCCCCGTTGCCACAAGTTTTTTCTGAAATTCAACAAATCAGCAACCACACTTTTTAACCCGCAATGACCCAAGACGAAGTTTGGAAATTCTCCCAATGTTTTGGCGACAAAGGTGACATTGAGAATATAACTGAAGCCGATATAATCTCTACCGTGGAATTCGACCATACCGGTGATTTCTTAGGTACTGGAGACAAGGGAGGACGAGTTGTCTTGTTTGAAAGAAACCAATCCAAGAAGAAGTCCAGCTGTGAATATAAGTTCTTTACTGAATTCCAAAGTCATGATGCTGAATTTGATTACTTGAAATCGTTGGAAATTGAAGAAAAGATTAACAAAATTAAATGGTTAAGAAGTTCCAACAATTCCCTTTATTTATTAAGTACAAACGACAAAACCATCAAGTTATGGAAGATTGTAGAAAGACAAATTAAATTAGTTGCCGAGAATAACTTGAATGGTCTGAGTCATTTACCTAATTCCAATTTCAATATTTCATCATTAAAATTGCCCCAATTACAAGTGCATGATAAATTAATCACGGCCCAACCTAAAAAGATTTATTCCAATGCTCATGCTTATCATATAAACTCCATTTCCATCAATTCTGATCAAGAAACATACTTGAGTTCTGACGATTTAAGAATCAATTTGTGGAACTTGAACATTGCTGATCAATCGTTCAATATTGTTGATATTAAACCTACCAATATGGAAGAATTGACTGAAGTTATCACCAGTGCTGAATTCCATCCATTACACTGTAATTTATTCATGTATAGTTCCTCCAAGGGGACCATTAAATTATCGGATATGAGAACCAATTCTCTTTGTGATAGTCACGTCAAGATCTTTGAAGAATACTTGGACCCATCAAGTCATAATTTCTTTACAGAAATTACCAGTTCAATTTCTGATGTTAAGTTTAGTCATGATGGAAGATACATTGTGTCTAGAGATTACATGACGGTTAAAATATGGGATTTGGCCATGGAAAACAAACCTATAAAGACCATCAATGTCCAAGAACACTTACGAGAAAGATTATGTGACACGTATGAAAATGATGCTATATTTGATAAATTTGAAGTCCAATTTGGGGGCGATAACAAATCAGTAATGACTGGATCATACAATAACAATTTCATGATTTATCCGAACGCCGTCAGTGGCAATAGTGGATCCCCTACTAGTTCTTCCACGATGTCCACGGGAAAGCCACTTTTCAAGACTAATTCGTTCAAGAAGAAAAAGAAGAAGCCAGAATACGAAGATGACGATGACGATGACAGTGACGACGAAGACCAATCCGACGCTCAAGTACCACCAAACAAGAACTCACCTAATTCGCAATTGGATGATGAAGAAGACCAAGAAGAAATTGTTTTGCAAGCCGACAAATCTGCATTCAAGTCAAAGAAGTCCGGCCACCATCCAATGAGACGAAGAATGATGAGTGGTGTGGGTAACAGTTTGACTGGAGGAGACTTTGATGATATAGATTTCAAGAAAAGTATATTACATTTATCATGGCATCCTAGAGAAAATTCAGTTGCAATTGCTGCTACGAATAATTTATACATTTTTTCCACATTATAAGGGCTTTTTCCTTACATGGCTCTTTTTATTATACGTACTACAACAACAACAACAACAACAACCGGGGTGATATTTGACGTTTTATATAGTAATATTTAGTTTTGGTTTATTCATTATATGTTTGTTCTTCTTCAGGTTAGCGCTACAAATCAACAGATAATAATTCTTAAAATGTATAATTCATATATAACAAATATGTAAGCTACTTATTCAATAAGTTCAAATGCAGTATAAAAAGAGAAAAGCAAATCTGTTTATTCTTGAACGTGTCTGTTGACATCGGAGTTCCAGAACATGGTCTTGTCACCGTCACCCCAGAAGTAAGGCTTTGTTCTCAAGTTTTGGTAAGCATATTGGACAGGCCATTCTTCATCAGACATGTGACGTTGATGCTTTCTGTGTTCAGCGTGTTCCAATTCGACCTTGGTGACAGGAATAGCAGTCAATAAAATGGCTGGAATGGCAACAAAGAAAGTTAATTTCTTCCACAAGTCAGAGATACCCTTGGAGTGGGCAACCTTGGCTTCATGCTCTTTGACAAAGGCTTCACCGGCAGCCTTGTTTACCTTGGCAGCTGGGAAAGCAGATTCGTTAAGGTATTTGGAAGGAGCGTAGTGGTGGGCGTTTCTTCTGATGGTACGTTGGGCTGCTCTGTACATTTTCAATGGAGTATAAGAAGTTAACTATAAGTGTATATGGTTTTGGCTAGCTTAGCTTTTCCGTTTGACCTATGAAAATGAAATGACATGGTTTTTTTTTTCTGGTGTAATTTTATTTACCAATTTCTATTGGTTTTGAGCAAGTCATGTGATCACGCTCACGTGCAACGAAGGATGCAATTATAATAGCAATCCGGGGTTTGGCTGTAACTTATTCATCCCTCCCCCCCTCTCAAACTAGGCGAACAGAACATCCATATAGTACGAGAAAGAACGTTATATACTACACCCAGATGTAGCTACTGCATATTCATAAGTAAAGGTTTCTATATTGAGCCAAGTATATGTTACTTACTGGCTGCAAAATCTAAACGACTGTTCTTTTAAATGTTTATATGCTAATTTACACGAGAAAGATGCATCAACTATAACATATCCCGTTCTATTGGGGCTTGAGCTTGTTGTAGAAGCTTCGGTTGGTTTGGCTCTTCATTTACATCTTGGTTTGGTTGAGGTTCTGGTTCTTGAACTTGATTAGCTAGCTGTGCTTGTTTTACGGGTTGCACATGTTGTGCTTGCTGCTTTGGTGGTGCTTGGTTTGAAATTGCTTGTGCTGGTTGTGGTGGTGCTTGTTGCGCAGTTTCTTTCTTTACATCTTCTACAGCTTTCTCAATAATCTTCTCCTTTGCTTTAGCCAGTTTCTCCATTTCATTGGAAGTCTTTTTCAATTGTTCTGCTCCTTCCTTGATACTCAAAATCTTATCTGAATCCTGGCATTTTTCATTAAATTCCGCCATAGCTTGTTCATAATTATATTCCTTCTGGATTGTCTCCCAAGTGAATACATCTGGACGAATGGTAGATCTCAAATCAAGCAATGAATTGGTTTCATCGTCAAAGAAAAGCAGTGATGGTGAAATACCACTAAGAATAGCATTAAGTTCGTTGGCATGGATTTCTGTTAATTCCTTGGTTGTAAGGTACTCCTGCAAAACTGGTTCATTATCCATAAGTAATTGAACGGAATCTGGAATGTTTAAATCAGGCGTGACTTTGATTTTCGCTAAACGTTTCTTTCTATCGCTGTCCTTATGACTTGCCAAGTCTAATACTTTGTCTCTATCGACCCAATTACGTAAATTCAGCATGAATGCCATCTGACGGTAATCACGCACCGAAAGTGACTTAGTCTGGTACTCATCCACTAAAATAGTCGTGAATTGTTCCGGAACATAGGCGAATTCCCCTTCAACCAATGTCAACTTCAATGGTGAAAGTTCATCTAATCTGGTAAAATGTTTGTTTCTACAATTGTACACTTTCAAATGAGCGTTCCTTTGTGCTTCCGTCACATCCTTTCTTGATCTTTCCAATTTGGAATTCCTTAATCCACCATCATACCTATCTGGAGCTTTTGTCTCTGAAATGGCCAATCCGGTAATGTCTACATATAACCCGCTATCCATGTCGATAAATCTAGCATCGATATTATTTCTCCCGTTCCCCTTGTCACGATGGGAGATGGAACTGGTAACGTCAACAAAGAACCTTCCGTATCTGAGATTGTCCATGTCATTACCAAAATCAACCACCACGGATTGATTAAATAATTGAGCAAGTTTGTGTAAATCGGCAATTGGCATTTGCACATCCACATCTCCATCCCAGGGGAATTGCATTCCGTTCCAGTACCACCCGAGTAATGATCCGTGGGCAACCCAGGTGTTTAAATTATATGTGTTTGTAAACTTCAACCAGGCGTGCAAAAGGGAATGGATTGTCATGGCGAGCTTAGGAGTCTTGTTGATTGGTTCATTCATGAATCTCCAATCGTAGTGGGCACCTTGGGAGAAACCTGGTGTGTTCTTAAGAAGATATCCTTCTGAGAAGTATTTGGCGGGATTTTTCAGAGCAAGCGAGAATTTCAAACTGTTGAGGTAATGTTGGTCTGAAAACAGAAGCGCGGTAGCCTTTTCTAGGTTTTTGATACTTTCCTCAGTATTATCGACGAATTGGTTATGGTTGAGGTGCTTTTCAGCAGGTAATTCTGGTGAGGTTCCTTCGAGTTTGTTCATGAGAGTGACTATTTGTTCCTTGACATTGAGAGGTCCGGAGGGGATAGAAATTGTTTGGGCGAGTCTTTGTCTTGGTAATTGTCTCGAAATGTCAAACGCAACGGACTTGTCTTCTGGGAACATCATCACCATTCTATGAGGTGCAGGCATGAAATCATGAAGGTACGACTTAGAAACAAACGGACGTAAACTGGGTTTTGTTCTCCCGACAATAGTATACACATGAATCCCTGTACTGAACCTCAGTTTCTGGATTTGCTTTAAATTGTCAATAAATGTCTGGTCCTTTGACTCAGCGATGCGTCTGGCGATATCCTTGTCTTCAATACAATACGATGTATGTTTGAAAATATAATTGTTTGCGTTATATTTCGCATCGGCTTTGGTCTGATCCAACCATTTACACTGTTTCTTCTTGGGGTTAAGCAAATGGTCGTTTATTGGTGCCATGTCGACGTAATCTGCCCAATGGAATGCTGGGATCGTAGTGCTGTCGTGTTCTAGATTATTTAAATAGTGTAAGAGCACACCAAACGTGAATCTGGGATCGTGAGGCTGGATCTCAGGAATCGACTCTGGGATCGTGATGGTGTTGAACGAGCCTGGCACCTCAGTGTTGATTAATTGCGGTCGGTCCTCTTCTGCTAATCGGCTAAACAATAGATTGTCAAATTTATTGGTGGATTCAGGAACAACTATAGGAGGGGGTTGTTGTGGGAAGATATCCACTTTGGAGAAGACCACCACGTTGAAAATGATGATCATAAGAAGAAGGATGATCGTCCTTGTTCGGGTTCTTGATCTGATCATATGGGTATGTGATTTGAGTTTATATTTGGGAGATAACTTATTGATGGACGTCATGGTTGTCATTGTATCTCTTTCTCTCTTGGGGGGTGTTTTTTCCCTCTATCGTAGACTAACTGGGACTGGTGCGGTGTCCTCGTAAGGGGTAGTTTGAAACTTGGGCAAAATTTTTTTTACAGAGAAGCGATGGTATATTTATTCCCGTAAACCCTTCTGACTGAAATAATCTAACTGGTATTGTGAAATCCTTTTCGACAATTTAGTACAAAAGGGCCAAACGATGTAAATAATATTTATACAACAATGGGATGACAATTGTAAAAATTATTTTTTTTCATAAGGTAATTATGTTGTCACTAAATTGTATTTGTTTTTTTTTTTTTTCTTTGCTCATGACCATGAGACGAAAATACGGATGAATTTTTTTGGGGAGAGTCACTCACCTCTAACAGCATCAGGAAATATGTCGTCTGAGGATTCTTTAATTACGCACCTTTTGCAAAATTAGTTTGCATTTTGTATTACGAAGTGAAACTAGAACTTTCGATCCACAGAACAAAAAAAATAACCATTTCTTGCCCATGTCAGGTATTGAGTGAAGCTTCTCATATAAGCCTTGGCATATTTTTAATTTCTCGGATTCACTACGCAAGTACTGATTTGGTGTCGCAGAGGCTTTTACAAAACTACATTGACACGTAATCCGGACCGTCAGTGTGGCTAAAAGTCATTGTGTGCGTGTGTGTTTTTTTTTACTCGAAACAGATAAAATTAGACTAGCTTGTATAAAAATATTTTTATAGAATTCAAGCTTCTTGTTAGCCTTTTCTAGATAAGGGGTAAAGAACATTTATGGACGGAAAACCTTAATGTCACGACAACGGTACTAAAAACCCAGATTTTATATTAGTCCTGCACAGTGCAAGGTATAATTATTGACAACAGAAAGTGAAAATCCCGTAAAGTATGATTCGATTCGTGTACGTAGAAGGTGACGTGTTAAAAAAAATTAAAACTATCACTCGAATGTTAAACGGAAAAGTTTCATAAGATAGTGTCAGAACTATCAGATCTTGATTCTGGACATTGATTCACTAATGGGTTCGTTTTATGTCATTTGTGCAGTCATAAAATAAGCCCTTGTTTGTAAGTTTCTGGGCGTATGGTAATCAATGCCATCACATCACCAACCAGGCGGGACTATACATCGTTCCTTTCGTTGATATTTACAATTTTAAGCGAACCCCCCCATTACCTATTCTAGATGCTCGCAAAAGAAAAGTGGAGACGGAACTCCCCGTTACTATTTGTAATGACAAAACTGTCAAATCATATGACAAAATGACCAGAACAGAACAAAAAAAAAAATAAAATAAAATAATCAAGGCAAAACCCCGTAATCGTACATCGCAACTATACTATGAAATTAACAGTTGCACTTGTCCAATATAACCCAATAATAGGGCGGACTCAACAGAACATCACAAAAGTGAATCAACTACTTAAATCAATTACCACTCCAATTGATTTACTTGTTCTTCCTGAACTCGCCATCACCGGATACAATTTCTCATCACCAGCAGCCATCTCTCCGTACTTGGAATCACTAAACAAATATGGCCCCTCCTTGAACTTTGCTAGTGAGCTAAGCAAAACACATAATTGTTTTACGGTGATTGGATACCCTGAAACCAATGCCGACACTACGTTCAACAGTTGTGCTATGTTTAACCGCAACGGAGAGTTGATTCACAATTATCAAAAGACGTTTCTTTTTGAAACCGATGAAGTATGGGGCGCCAACGAAAACAAGAATAAAGGGTTTAAGGGAATAGAAGTAGATTTCGGCAACAATCCAGTCAAGGTAAATTTCGGAATATGCATGGATTTAAATCCATACCAATTCAAAGCTCCATTCAACTTGTTGGAATTCAGCACCAGTTGTTATAACCAACATTCACAATTGATTATATGTCCTATGGCTTGGTTACTGCCTAAATCTCCATCAATAAACAAGGAAGTAAAGTTAGACCAACGCATAGAATTGGCAAAGAAGTTGCAACTTCCTAGTTTGCCTAATCAAGAGACAATAAATTATTGGATATTAAGATTCTTTCCTTATTTATCGCACAAGTATAGCTATATGCCTAAATGGTTTAGCAAGCCCGTTAATATATTATGTTGTAATCGTGTGGGGGTAGAAGATGATATTGTGTATGGCGGAAGCAGTAGTATCATTGAATTTAATAACAATGGAGAATATAATGATGAATATAACCCGATTAATAAGAGTGTTAGAGTGTTGCGATCATTGGGTGAAGCTGAAGAGGGTGTTTTAATAAAAGAGATCGAATTGTAGAGTAGCGTAGGAGGGGGGTGTTGAATCCTCATGATCACTCTGGCCAAATTCCGATGTCGTGTGATTAAACTAATAGTAGACAATTTACAATTAGTTAGATTAGTTTTAATGCATAATTAGATATCTCCGAAAAAGTAGCACTAAATCCGAAAGATATCATATATGTCGGATTTGCCTTTTGCCTAAATCTATTTGCTTTGCATAAATGAATTTTTTAGTGCCGAAAATTTTTCTTATTGTTGAAAAATAAAATATAGTTACCGCGTTTCGGATATTTGGCCGGTTGCTACCCTGTAATTGGGTCATTTTTTTTTTGTTGCCTAACTAAGTAAATTAAATCGTTCCAGAAGAGTGGAATCATTATTGGCCAAACAATGGAGGTTTTGGTAATATTAATTTCATATTTCTGTTGGTGAATGCAGAATTCTGTCCCTCCCCCCCCCGCACGGTTGAACTTGAAAAGATTGTGGCCGTTTAAGGATTTCTATACTTAATTTAAGGTTTAGGTTGATGATTCACGTTGCTAACCTTATTTGTTTCGTAGTTGTATGCTACCAGTTAGTGTCAGATCTGGATTAAACTATTGTCGAGGTACTACTAAAATTCCCCACTTGCTCCGCCACCTCCTTATTATTGTAAGCCATCAAAAGAGAGGGTGCACCCGCACAGAAGGTCAGAGTCAGGCCAGGTCGATTGTGAGACCCGCGCTCGGGTTTAATACAAATGCTTGGTAAAAAAATAATTAATTTCTTTTTCCCATTTTTACTCTACACGAAATGTTTTATTTTTGTGAATTGTTTTAAATATTTTTTCGATGTACAAAATACTTCAGGCTTATTTTTTTTTTTATTGCGATTTTATTTTTTGCGAATGGTATTTGATCCCTCTCGCTTATAATCTTGCGAACAGCTGTTTCAAAGATATTAACTCATTCCAGACTTTTTTTTTTGTAACATCATCTCTTTTTTAAGAAAAGCAACCTTAAATTCAATTTTTATAAACCATATTTATCCTAGCGAGTTTATAAAGTTTGCGCTAAGACTTTTTGTATTGCCAGTCTGTTTTTTTTTTAATTCTCGGGTTTTCCGATTCATCCATTTAGCATAATTGTATGGTTCGACCAATAACCAAACTACAGACGCAGACGCCGACACAGACACAGACACAGACACAGGCATAGACACAGGTATAGACGCAGACATAAACTGATATTGATTATCCAGACATACATTAGACGCATACACTTTCACGTTTTCATTTTCATTTACATTTACATTTATATCTACATTCCTTCATTCGTTTTAAACTTACACCTCCACAAACACAATGGTCAAACTACTAAACCGAAAGTTCTTATTGAAGCTTTCCATACTAATCCTCCTTACATACACCATCAGTATCTCAATACAAAGTCTCACATCAAAACCATCGATGATAGAGTACAGAAACAGCATTAACCGACAAATCAAATATAAATTCAAATCATGGTACTTCAACATATTATGTTCCAATTTGAATTTGGACAATAACAAAAAATTCATTAAAGAATTGGCAGCCATCAAAGAGGAAAAGTTGCAAAACGACTATGCGGATGAACTCTGGGACATCAATGACAATTTGCTTGCCAAATTACCCTTGCTGGTTACAATACCTAAATACTATTACAAGGGTGAAGGTAGACAAAAAAAGCCAAAGAAACAACCATTCGACCCAAGATTTACCCTAGCTGTCTATTTCAAGTACTTGGAACTACAAGGAACAGACAGCGCAGTCCCATTCCATTGGTCAGATTGGGTTGATTTGTCCCGCTTGGACAAATACATTCTTCCCGATATCCAAGACAACTTATGTGCCAAGCTATTTGACATTTCTAAAAAGAAATCAATCATTGAAAACTCAAACATTGTTGACATCAATCAATATTGTAAGTACTTGCCAAAGACAAACTTGGGGTATAAAATAACACAATTTACAGGAGCTCAAACTGTTGATAATCGGGAATTATTAGGGAAATCGTATTTGTACACTACCGCTCCATCACCTAGAAAGCTTGTATTCTTGACTACTCAAGGTTCGTACCAGGTTTCTGTCAAGCACTACAAGAAGAACAACGTCACTCACTCCATTCTTGAAAACAACATGGTGCCCAAGGTAATCAAGGCTAATCCCTCCGTGAAAAAATTGAATGTCGTGGACACTTACAAGTCCATGCTTGACAAACATGGCGATCCCAAATCCACAAGAATCCTCCAGGATCCCACCATCCACATTCCAGAAAATTCATTCAATGTCAACCCCTTTGACATAATCAACGAATTGCAAAACGCTCCATATTTAACCAAAATGGACAAACATTATCTTGATCTGATAAAGTATAGTGTCACCTGCATGGATCCGCCCAAATATTTTGACGAGGCCAAACTCCTTGAGAAACACCTGGAACCTTGGTTGGGCTCGCATTACGATTGGCGATTCTTTAATGGATTAACCATAGGTAAAGACCAACAATTAATTGTCTTGCACCGATTATTGAAAAACTACTTAAACTTCACTAGAATCCACGGAATCATCACCTGGATTGCTCATGGTTCTTTACTCTCGTGGTACTGGAATGGTGTAAGTTTCCCCTATGATACAGACATTGATGTGCAAGTGCCCATTAGTGAATTGCATAAATTAGCCCGCTATTTCAACCAATCTATGGTTGTAGAAAATATTGTTGACTCTGAAGGAAAATTTGATGGAATGGGGAGATATTTCATCGATGTGGGATCTACTATCACCCACAGAAAGAAGGGTAATGGACAAAATAATATAGATGCTAGGTTTATTGATGTTGATACTGGGTTGTATATTGATATTACGGCATTGGCATTGACTGACACTCCTGCACCTTCAAGATACGATAATTATATTGCTATGGATAGACAAAAATCGGCAATTGTGAAACATTTCTCTAAGCCAGGACAGTTGAACCATCAAGTTAAAAACGAACAATTGAAAGTTTACAACTGTCGTAACGAGCATTTCAGCATGTATGAAGAATTGTCGCCTTTGATACTAACCGTGGTGGAAAATCAATTGAGCTACATTCCCTCTAATTTCTTCATGACTTTGAACAATGAATACCAGATCAACGGGTTAACGGAAAAGAATTATCGTGATTATATCTACTTGAATAATTTCCGCATGTGGTTAAAGACCCAAACAATATTGGACTACATAAATTCACCCCAGCTATGGATTGATGAGCACAACTCTACATTAAACAACCAAGAATCGCTCATATCTCGATCCCCATCCTCGGGTCTTACAAAGAGAGTGGTGGGGAACATAGAACTACTCCAATTGAACAAGTTAACTGTCGAGGATCATATAAATCTCCTTCAATCAAATCAGATATTCAAAGAATTTCATAAGACTATGAATTTTACTAAATTTCATGAGATGGAATTGCAACTCATTCTCAAGAATCAATTTGAGGATGCAATTGAATTGTTGAAACAATATCAAGCCAATAATAATTTGGGTAAGGCTTTGAGACCAGATTTATTTATGGATTCCTTGTTTGTTGATACTAAAAACCGAGACTTTATTAATAGAGTTAATAATGTTTTGGAAGTTCAACTGATGTATGAAGACAAATTATAATGTTAACTTTAATGAAGCTTATTTATTTAGAATACATATACATTTTGTACACGTCTGTAGAACGAAGTTTTGGCTGCAAAATTTTTAAGCAGCTATGCATGGGTTCGTCTCTACTTGCATAATCCTATTAGCGATACACCTCTTATCTGGCTTCACGTGAGCTACAAACCTTCTTTTCACCACAGTCCTCTGTTTGCATTATAGACGCAAGATCATAGTGTAAACACCGTTTCATTACACAGGTACGCGGCATCAAAATCAAAATAACAACAAAAAAATATCTGTAGTCCTATGCATATGGGCACACGATACCTTGCATTTCTCCACAAAAAAAATTTATGTCTTGGGAATATCGACTTCAGAACAATCTTTGTCGGATAAATCGCGGAGCTATCAATGTTTATAATTACACAAACGTCTTGTTATGTAAATACGCTTTCTACCGACCTGGAATTCGAGCGTGTATTGTGGCAGACACAAAAAAAAAGGCGATCGCGCATATTGTTAGACGTTAACAATCAATTTGTTTTCGATCCGCCTTTGTGGAATCATTCGCCTATAGAGCAGGATCAAATTCAGGAACCGCCTTAGTTTTAAGGCTTGAGTTGCAAACAATTCAAGTTGTTCTGCAACTGTATTCCAGATGGCTATTCTCTGCGCAATGGCCCCGCACGGTGCAAAACAATACCGTGTGCAGCTTCTACATACATAATCGAGCATTATTTACTAATATAGCTGTACTAGTTTGCAAACATAGCATTTCTTTTTTGTCGCGCGTCTTTATAATTGCAAGATCCATACTAATCAGCATGTGATTACACACTATGTTTACATTGCAGACTTCTAGTGCGTTTGGTAGCAGTTGAGTATATTCTATACACTCTATTCTATATACTCTATTCTATATACTCTATTCTATATTGCAAACTAGGTCCCTTAATTCCTTCAATGCTAGTCACATAACTTGCCAGATTGGGTATGGTAATATTAGCAAATTGGAAATAACTATGATGTTTGGTTGAAATCTGAGCAAAGGCATCATAGAATCCAATTGTGGCCATTAATAACACTGAATACCCCAGCCACAACAAAGTATCGTTGATTATACCCTGTGAAATGTCCTGTAACATTGAAAAAAACATGGCTATGGCAAAAGTTAGTGGATTCAACATGCCAGTAACTGACCCCCTTAATGATAAAGAGGTCATCATCAATTCAAAAAACCCAAACGCTAAAAAAATCAACCCCATGGCATTATAAAACATCTCATCGTTGTCTCCACAAGCGGCCCCGGTTCCAAACGGAGGTATATTAATCGTTCCCAATTGAATCCAAAACGCACCAATGCTGGTGAAACTGGTAGTATTCATTGTATAACCACGATACATTTCCCAAACACCACATAAGAAATGGATAATTCTACTATGGAATAGCGTTAAGCTCACAGCAATATTCATTGGGATTTGTAATATTAAACATAATCCAATTACTATCCCGTTAAACCCCATGGATAAGAGACCAAGTAGTTCGGCACTGCCTACTTTGTTGAGTTGGTCTACAATATCTACACAGACTAAACAAAGGGGAATCTGTGATTCGGAGTCATCTTCTGCGGAAATCACTTCGAGTTCATTGATGATTATATTATCTTTGCTTTTGGAGCACTTGCATCGGCGATAGGGTATGACAGTTGAAATATCAGTGTCTGACATGGTGAGCTTAACTTGGAAATAGATAATGGAGAAACAATCCAACCGGAAATCATCCACGTTATATAGTAAAAAACATTTTCAGCCATTTTTTTTTGCTATACTTATTATTCATCTAGCCAAGCAATGATCACTTTTTCTGTGAACTAGGGGAAACGTTTTAAAAATCAATTTTCCTGGGATTTTACTGTTCTACTTAGGTCAATACTGCTGTATATATTTCATTGTTATTTGTTTGGGGAATCCATCAAAAGTCAATTTGATAACTTGCATTGAATCATCGCTTAGTAATCAAATATTTTTTTTGTGTACTTGACTCAGATAAGGCTACCCAATGTGAAAAGAAAAATCATAGATTAAAGGTAAATTTATGTTGACTTCATATCAGATGTGCCTTTAATTTATTTCCTCTTTTTGTTATTGCTCGATACACGTACAATGAACAATCAAAACTCTTCAGAACAATATAAATGCTCCACACAGTTTTTTTGCAACAAAAAAAATTTTTTTCTAGTGATTTATAGGATATGGTGATACCAGTTGTTTCTTTAAGAGATCAACCTTCTAGTGAGGTTTCTCTCTCTTTTCCCACCTACTTCGGCATCTTTTTATCTGCCAGATCAATAATCTTAATGCAATATATCTTAAATTATTAAATACAATCTATAAATTAAAAGTTGTTGAGGGTTTAAATACTTCTTGCAATATAGACACTCTATAATATGCTGTGGGCTTCCTGATCCCTCGAATCACGTAAAGTGGCCACCTGTTAGTCTTGTTTCTCATATATATATAAAAAAAAGACAAAACCTGGTGTTTAATACTCGGCACATTTACCATGTCCTGGAACTCTCTCGTGGCCATGTAACACCGGAATAGGAAAAGTTGGAAGTAGAACATAACTATTGGATCTGTTATAAAGAGCTCCAAATGCATCATACCAACCAGCAAAACAATTAATAATACTCATTATCCCTGCTGCTTTAAATATGTGTGGATTGGCACCACATAAAAATCCTGCCAGGGTCAATATTAACGTCAAAGCCAATGTTAAAATTGCAAATGATAATGAAAAATTTGCTTTCAAAGTAAGCGAAAACATCATGAATGCAAACATTCCCCATCCTAAAATCAACAACCCCATGGCATTATTAAACATTTCCTCATCATCACCATAAGCAGCCCTGATTCCAAATGAGGGCACAAAGGTCGCCCCAAGTTGAATCCACCAACATCCAAAGCTTGTAAACATAGTAGCCGCGAATGTATTACCCAAGAACATCTCCCATATCCCACTTAGAAATTGCACCAATCCTCCATAAAAGAACATAAGTCCCACGGCGGCATTAAGAAATGTCGCACCCCTGGTTCCAGCGAGATAGAACCCAGTAACAAGTCCATTGAAGGATGTAGCTATAAGCGCGACGGCTCCGGCATTTCCGTATATTGGTGCTGGTGGAAGGGGTTGTTTTTCTATCTCTTCTTTATAGTGACGTTCGTTCCCAACCACGACAAAATCACCTTCATGGGTTAAGGAACATGTCCGATAGGGAACGCTTGATGTGGATGACGTTGCAGTTACGGGTTTATCGTTGCTCATGGTTAAGGGTTGAAAACCATCATGGAACAGAAAATTTCAAATTGCGGAGGGGATCAACGATTTATTTTATACAGGCTTTTCGTGACATTACTAATGAAGTAGTAAACCCGCGCAAATTAGTAATTTTTAGTTTTTCCGACCAACGTTTTTTGCAACACTTCCATTGTCGGGATTGTACGATAACTATATCTTATTGAAGACTTAAATATTGAAGTATATACTCAGATATATACTGTGTTCCTGATTCAAGGTTCTCGATCTAGATATTTGCCTTATATTAAAGGTAAGATAATATAGCAACTGAATTTTTCCATGCATGGAACAAGCGGGACGGATTTTGTGTCATGGAACAAAACATACATAGTTCCTAAGCCTATAATTGCTGCATTATTCTGTATTTGTGTGGTTGCAGAAACTCTTTGCGATAGAAAGTTTTGCTAATTTCAAATGCTGTATATATTGCAAACTATCAAAAAATTCCGGTTTATATGGTTTGGAAAAAGGGACTGCTGGAACTACTGTTTTCTAGTGATGTAAACCTAAGATTGCAATTACCTCAATGCTTTTCTTTCTCCATTATTAACTATGCCCTGTGTTACCGAAGAATTAACCTGGCCAGCAACTGTAGAGTATGAAAAAGACCAACACTCTAATGTGTGCTTATTCTTGGTCATCGTTATTTTGAGTGAAAAACTAGGTCTCGCTACCAGCTCCTTTATTCCAACTTTTGTACACATCTTAAGCTTGATAATGTTATCCTGTCTGGGAATCTTAATTCTAAATAAATCCTACAGCATTCTGTATCCAATGAGAAAAGGAATGCACGATCATTTAAAACAATCATTGTTAGATTTGTTTTCAATCACTGCTTCTCTATCAAAATAGTACTTCAAAACAAGGAGTTATCGCTTATAATTTACAACCTATCAAATGAAAGATTGGTTCTTGCATTGAGTAAGTACTATGTTTGAGTAGGGAGGGCGGGGGGGGGGGGGGGGCGTTAATTGGGCTAAGGCTCCCGTCAATTCCATATTCAATCGCCTCTAATTCCGTTTATTTTATATATAGTTGTTATGCAACTGGAGAGAATTAATTAAATAATATCAAAATGAATCTTACAATTGAATAGACGACATTCCTTTTAGAAGCGTTAGACGTAGTGGTCTTGTGCTGGTATTTCTTTGATGGATCCCTTCATTTTTAAGGGGTAATTTTTTTTTTTTAATCAAAAGAAATAATGGTTCTTGTTGTTTATAAATAGAAACATTGGGAAATTTAAGAATGATTCATATATTTTTCCGAGTCATGGATCCATTTCTAACGAATTATTTTCTTACCGTTAGATGTTTTGGATTGCGCCGCTGAATCCGTGATCTGGTAGACATCGGCAAATCTTACCTGGCACTCGGAATTATTGTAGTGTGATGGTATAACTAAAGGTAACCAGAGCCATTTCTTCCATCTACTACAGTGTCAGCGCGGCTAGAGTTGTTTTATGGCTGGCTCCTTGACTGTGTGTTCACATTGTTAAACCAATTTGAATGCGAAAAAACAATGCGGGAAAATAAATCACAATAAAGGGGCAATTTCAAACTCACATTAATTTCATCCCGCACAGTGAAATATCTGGCTAAGAAATGGGTAGCCCCTATTCGGCCGGGACCCGCCTTAAAGAAAATTTTGATCTAAGGGTTGCGAATCCGATAGATTCAAATGGAAAAATTTTCTTCGGTGAAATTGAATAAAAAAGTAAAATAGTTTCTATTTTTGGAATGTTTTAGGCAAGAATTGGATCTTCTTTCCAATTGTAGTGTAAAACAGGGTATTGTTCTAACTAGGGGGAGGAAACATTCTCTATCGTTACCGGCTGTTGCCACAACTGGCGGTTACATTTCAACATCAGACACCGCCTCTTGTTTTAAGCGTTTCTACACACACTTTTATGTGATGTTTATGATGCAATCTTGTTGTATAAAATTTGATTCCCGCCTGGCACATGCATGATGGTCATTTAATCGGGTTTTGTCGGCAAACAGTGAAATGTGTGTGTTGGTGAATCACATGATAGACATTTCCGCGGGTGGCTTGCCACTTTGTTTTTGTGTTTTCCTTTTAGATAGCAATTCTGTCCCAATTTAGCAGGATGTTCTTGGGTATATGCAGGAATTGTACTAAAAACTGTGTTATGTCCTATTACTTACATAAAAAATATTTATTTTTCATTGTTTTTTTTTCAAGTTTTATTTTGCCTTTTAAATCTTTGCAATAAAGTGGGAAATGGTATATATTGGAAACAATCCCACTTGCGTTTTTAAAATTCACAGTTTTCTTATTCTTCTTACTTTCTTTTGCTTCAGAAACTTATAAGACAAAATGCAATTCAAGACCGTCATTATCGCTTTAACTGCCATCACTGCTGCTTCTGCTGCTACCAACGCTACCAACAAGAGCAACGAAACCACCACCACCGAAGCCGGTGCCGCTGCTTTAGCCAACGTTAACGTTGTTGGTGCCGCTGCCGCTGCCGCTGCTGGTCTCGCTTTATTATTCTAAATTTAACTGATAGAAGAAACTGAGTAACACAGGTTGGGTTCAATGAAACGGTAATGCTACTACAATGTAACAGTGGACCCCGATAGCCTGGTGATTACCTTAATTATTTGTTTTTTTTAGGAGAAATGGGCCTTTTTAATTTATATGTATTTTGGCTGATAATAATATTAATGTATTTTGCTTGTTTTTATTTGCTTAATTTATCGGAAGCTGCTAGCAATACACTAAGATTGCGCAGTTGAATCTTGCTGCAGCTGGTTTATTGTGGCACCTCCATTAGTTTAGTTCTTTTTGTTTTAGGAAAATGTTTAAATATACATTATACATAAACATAATATTCTTGTGTAGTGGTTTGCAACGGTTAGTAGCTCGTTGAGTGTTTTACCTCATTGAAGATGTTATTTGATAAGAAGCTTTGCCATCTTCATAAAAATAGGTTTAGTTACAAACACGTTCACGGTTCACAATTACACGGTTTAAACTTCACGAAAGTATTGGCTCACAGTAAATCCAATCTTGATGATCTCGACGTAAGAGCACTTAAATTGATTAGTATCAATCGTGCATCTATTTTAAGTTTAGAGAAATAAGCTTTAAGGCGGTTGTGTTTCTATTTTTTTTGTTTCTGGAATCAAAACATTGCACGAGTTTGAAATGTACACACAGAGAGTATGGTCCAGTGACTGTTTTTTACATTGCTTACATTATAGAACATTCCGATCTACATTCCAGAATAACTCAATGAATATCAATAACATCTAAACATTACTCTGGGAAATTGGAAGAAAAAAAAATATGCATATTTTAGTTAAATTTTGTACAAAATTAATCTAAAATTAAAAATAAGTTTAGCGCTAAGCGAGATAAAATTTCTCTAGTTATAATTTTTATAAATTTACCAAATTTTTTCTCCCTACTTGATTCAAGTTACTTCTTCCTCTTCCTAATCTCTCTGCTTTTATCATTGGAATCAATAATTAAAAGTCCATACGATATATGCATTATGTCACTTTATAGGATCATGTAATTAGGATAATTAGTCATTTGTGACAAAAAATAAAAGCAAGAAGCTGCAAGTCTAACCCATTTTTAAGTTTTAAACTACAGGAAAATTGCAAAACAATTTCATATAGGACTAACTGGGTCTATTATAAGAATAATAATTCAAAAAAATATACCAGAAGTATAGCCTTTAGAACCCACGCCGGGAGTCGAACCCGGAATCTTTTGATTAGAAGTCAAACGCGTTAACCATTACGCTACGCAGGCACTTGCTTGTGACAAAATTTTTATAAAATTTTCCGCACGATGTTGGATGCAAAAGTTTTTCATATTCTTTTCCAAGATCCTGACTCTAATTGGAAGTGAAGGTGTGGAATATTCTATACTATTTTACCGTTAACACGAGAAAGTAAACATCAGCTGCATATCCAATGGAATTATTTTAATTTGTGCCTCTGTGTGTGTGGGAGGAGAAGAAGGTGCCGTAATTTTGATACATCAGAAAATTTCCACATAAAGAACGCTCAGGTATGATTAATGGAATAGAATATCTAAATATGAACAAATATCATCAAATAAATTAGTATTATGTCAGGGCTTTACACCATCTCTGATCATTATTTCTTTACAGCAAGTAATTTACTGTAGAAGAATAGTTTGCACAGAATTATGCATTGAAAAAGAAACAATGAGCAATGGTGCAATCTATTGTAGCACCCCTATTTAAATATATTCTTTTCTACTGGAAGTATAATACTAATATAGTGTTGAGCTTTTCTCAAACACTTTCATTCAGTACTATGTTGCCTTGATTTCCACGTTAAGTAAAATTTACAAATTTCAGATACAAAGAGCTAATAGGAGAGGATGCAGGATTGATCTGCATCATTTATTGTGTGAACTATTTATACTACAATATTTAATTTTTGTCTTCTGAAATGTTGACGGTAATTCAATGAGACACTTAGCCGTCCTACATTTTATTTGTTGAGCTGTTAGATAATGTGTAAAATATATCAGCTTTGAAATCTACCTGCATTCTACCAAGTACACGTAAATGAAATAAACAACAAACAAAACAGTAACATTTACATTCTGCAATGCATTTAAATGAGTTGTACTATAACCAGGCCAGCAGTTTACAAGTTAAAGGATCTTAGCATCAACTGGTGACTTCTAAGAAAAGATCACTCTTGTAGCTAATTTAAAGTTTTTTAAAACTTTCTCATCACGCAACTGAGATCGAAATCGTGCTAGTGACAATGTCATCAAAGCGAGGATTTACCTTCATATTGATTACACGAACACCCCCTTGCGGTTGCAAAAAAAAGGCAACTTACATTGTATTAGATAATCCGCAGAGGAAAAGTTTTTTTTTTTTTGGGAAGCACAGAAGCACCGTTATGTTTCAATAGTCAGGTTCAAAAAAAAGATTTCCCGAAATAGGAAATTCCCACTGGGTACATTTTTGCTCATATGACAATTCAAAAATCATTCAAGTTTTACCACATCACACTTTCTTTCTTCAAACCATAGACAATGTCAGAGAATAGCTCAGAATCACCATCCCCCTCCAGGAAGAACGGGAAGAAAGCAAAAACTAGCAAATCCTCGGTGTTATCCGAAGAGCAAAAAAAAGTATGTACTCGAAACATACCAACATCGTGAGCTGTTACTAACTAAAATGTCCAGGCACACCATATAGCATCTGAACAAAAGAGAAGAGAGAACATCCGGTCTGAATTCGACAAAATAGTGTCACTTACTCCTACATTGACAGAACTGGAGAATAGGTCCGAGTTGAACATATTGACCAAGAGTGCTGACTACATAGACGAGTTACGAGAGGAAAATGTCAAGTTGGTAGAGCTTTGTCGAATGAAGGGAATAAATGTTCCACAAGAATTAATTTATAATGGACCGCAGAATGACGGAAGTGATATCGGAACCTAATAGTCATCAGGAGTCATGATGTATAATATATGTAGTAATATCAATTATTTTTCAATCTTCCATATAATACCATATGCAAACTGCTGACCTTCATTATTGAAGACGCTCTTAACTGGGATGAACTCACAATTTGGTTTCTCCAACTTTGAAGACAACACCTGGATGAAATTCTTACCATTGTTTATATCAATAGCTTTTTCCACCAAATTGATATCTGAAGTGAAGAGAGTGGCAACTAAGACATTATTCTTTCCAATAGCACAAACACTGTGATGTTCAAATTCATCAAAGAGAGAATCATATGGAGATTCTTCATTATCTTCATCGTCGGAGTCATCATACATCCCAACAACGTTTTCATAACTGTAGCCACCCCATTCGACATCTGCTCCTCTTGGTAATGCACTAACTTGTACTATAACCAAACCCTTCTTATTTGCTGGCGCTTGTTCAACCGAATCAATAAACTCGTTCCAGGACGAGCTAGCATCAGGAACATTTCGTTTATCAGTAACAAAACATATAACCAGGGCAAGATTCTTAACATTAACCAAGTTCTTGACTCGAAATAAATGCTGTAATGACAAGGCTGAATTGAATTTTATACCTTTGGAAGATAACTCCATCGAGGAAGGAATCAACGGTATTTGCCCCGACAAACTTGCCAATTTGTAATGCTCTTGGTTATCCACGATGCTTTGAGAATAAGGTCCTATATTCTGTGGTCCCCAATATGATCTGGAGCGAATATGAATCCCAGTCTTTGGTTCTATTTTCTTCAATGCAACACACGACAATTGTACATCACTTGATATTGTAGTTTCTATGCAAATTCTAGAAGGTGGAAGATAGATACCGATGAAGCTTTCCCCATATATTTTATTAATTTCCCCAAATTTTGACATATCCGACAATAATAATGTTATCAGTTGAACGTCATTCAATGTTAACTCATGCTTTGAGAGGATTGTTTTCAATTGAAAGAAAATATCAGATGCTTGTGCTTGCAAATCTTTCTCAGTGGAGACAATATTTGAAACGTACAACTTAGTTCGAGCGTTGACGACACTGATTTGAGGTATTGTCAGAAGTTGTTGGGTATCCAACGAAAGAGCACTAATGTCAACGGTTGGTTCTGATAACAGTTCCAACACCTCCTCAAATTGATCTTCTAAAATAGGCGGAGCCTCAAGAAGATCAAAACTTTCTTCCTGCTTATCCACTAGTTCAACTTTCATCTTCAAATAAAATACATCATCACTTGAATTACCCACAATCTCGTGCTCAATAACCTCAAGCTTCTTTGATTTGAAGAATGGACAATCCAACACAATGGTTTCAAACTCTCCACCTTCCCCACAAATATTCACGTCATACATCTGATTCAATTTATACAATGTTGGATACAATTCAGTAATGCTTTTACCGAGATGATTTTGGTTCAAACCAATTGCTGCAACTTTGATGATTCTAGCGTCCATTTGGGCAACGCACATTTCTCTCATCAATTCATCTTGTCCTCTTTGCCAGAGATAGGTCAAAGAAGTCAATCCCAATCGTTCACATACGTTTTCCACTCTTGTCCTTTGATAATGGGAGAGAATCGCCCCACAACTAACGCCTTCGATTTCAGGATGCTGTTGTTTTATGTTTGACAATAATAAGAACAAATCCTCAATCTCGTCATTGTCAGTAGGGGAATATTCCAAGTTTTGATTGGCAGAATTCCCAGTGATTGCTTGTCTGTACAACGGAACATCCAAACACTGACTATAGTACTCTATAATATCATGTCCCACGGTTTGGAACATAAATGAATCGATCTCATGTTGATCTGGTTTTACCGGATGGAGATTACCCAAGGCAACTAGTTCATGTCCTTGAGATAAGCAATGGTATATATTAAAGAAGGAATCCTTCCCACCGGATATCAATGCCACGAACTTCATTCAATGGTTGTCAAGAACAAAACATCAGGTAAGGAAAGGGTTCCTAGGTGTAGTTTGAAACTGCAAATAGATTAAACTGCAAAGTACACAATTTACGCGAGTGATGGCTCTGTTCAGTAATTATCAGACTATGAAGAAATTTGTTTTTCTATACAGGCTCAGTTTTTTTTTTTTTTTTTTTCATTTCGCAGACTTTGCAAGGAGGCATATTTAACAAAAAAATTTTTCACAACATTTAATTTCCTACTTCTTCTTCTTTTCTTTTCTTTCTTCACCAAAGTATCAAGTCAACATGCCTCGTATGTGATAATTTCTAATAATACTAATGCTTAAACAGTGAAAAAAACAACTTCAATATAAACGATTTCAGAACCATGGAATTTATCCATGGTGCTCACTGGTCGTTGAGGTTCGGGTCCTCCTTTCTTTGAAAGAATTATCTTTCGAGAATGCGTTTTCAAGATTTAAAACGCCTTTGTAACTGAATTCCCGACACTTCAGTTACAAGCATTGCGATTCAGCAGTGTTCATTATTGCATGTTCATGCGTGGTCTATTTGATCATCCGTTTGAACATATGAATGATTAGAGTATTATGTACTTCGCTAAGCGTTGTCATTCTATGTCATCTCATTCATCAATATTTTTGAACCTGAAGTTTTGTAATGAGTTTTGAATTTTGTAATGCATCTCTTGATATCTTTTAGAAGGTCTACCCGTAGTTTTTAAGCGATTTAATACTGAACTATATTCTAACAAACTTTTTTAGGTGCTCCAAGAACCTACTCCAAGACTTACACTGTCCCAAAGAGACCTTACGAATCTGCTCGTTTGGATGCTGAATTAAAGTTAGCCGGTGAATACGGTTTAAAGAACAAGAGAGAAATCTACAGAATTGGTTACCAATTATCTAAGATTAGAAGAGCTGCTCGTGATTTATTAACCAGAGATGAAAAGGACCCAAAGAGATTGTTCGAAGGTAACGCTTTGATTAGAAGATTGGTCAGAGTCGGTGTCTTATCCGAAGACAAGATGAAGTTGGATTATGTCTTGGCTTTAAGAATTGAAGATTTCTTGGAAAGAAGATTACAAACCCAAGTTTTCAAGTTAGGTTTAGCCAGATCTATCCACCACGCTAGAGTCTTGATTTCTCAAAGACACATTGCTGTTGGTAAGCAAATCGTCAACATCCCATCTTTCATGGTTAGATTAGACTCTCAAAAGCACATTGACTTTGCCCACAACTCTCCATACGGTGGTGGTAGAGCCGGTAGAGTTAAGAGAAAGAACCAAGGTAAGGGTGAAGAAGCTGCTGAAGACGAAGAATAAATGCATTAAGCGTTCTCTAGTTAGCATCTTAATTAATTCTATAATAAATTGGTTTATTATTTCCAAAGTTTAGTTCTTTATGTAGTGTAATTTAATGGTTTTTATTCGGATACTGTTGTATGCTTCTGTAGTGGTAACCAATTATAGTGACTTGCTATCACAGTGCTAAACGCGCGCTAAAGTTGCAAAAAAGTTCCTGTGAGAGATGTATGTCACGTGAATAAAATGCGATTAGGGCTCACACCCTAAAGAGTGCATATTGATGGTGGTTTTTTTTTGTGCACAAACAAAAAAAACTACTGAAAATTTTGGCCAAGCGTCAGTTTCGCACCAATGCGATTACTATGGTAGAAAAAATATATTAACAAAATTTTCTTTCTTTAAACGACTTGTAATAGTTTAGCAATATAATTAAAAATGGGTAAATCGTATGTGACACCATGACCCAAGGAATATATGTGATATGAATGGATACATGTGATGTGATGGAGGAGAATGAATAAACCACCATAAAGGAAATAGTGAATGTTTATGGAAGTGTTATGAAATAAATGGAAACAGTGAAAATTTATTTGACATAAGAAGGAAGGACAACTAGCACCAACTATCTACTACAACTATAAGTAAAAGACCAGCCTTATTTTCAAGAGTTATCAATATTTATTCAAATGTATTAAGTTGAATTAAACAGCCCAACCACAAGCCATTATAAAGAGGATCAAGGAAAAGCTAGCTAGTCCTAATATTAAAAGCATCCCCTCCCTATGTGAAAACCCACACATCACTGTATATTATTTAAATTTCGCAAATCGCACCTGGAACATTATACTAACATTTTATATTAGTCGTGGTTACAGATCTGGTACTCGTTACGCTTTCCAACGTGACTTCAAGAAGCACGGTGCTATTGCTTTATCCACCTACTTGAAGATCTACAAGGTCGGAGATATTGTTGATATCAAGGCCAACGGTTCTATCCAAAAGGGTATGCCACACAAGTACTACCACGGTAAGACTGGTATTGTTTACAACGTCACCAAGTCTTCTGTCGGTGTTATAATCAACAAGGTTGTTGGTAACAGATACCTTGAAAAGAGAGTTAACTTGAGAGTTGAACACGTTAAGCACTCTGCTTGTCGTCAAGAATTCTTGAACAGAGTTAAGTCTAACGCTGCTGCTAAGGCTGAAGCCAAGGCCAAGGGTGAACAAGTCAACTTGAAGAGACAACCAGCTAAGCCAAGAGGTGCTAGAGTTATCTCTACCGAAGGTAACGTTCCTCAAACCTTAGCCCCAGTTCCTTACGAAACTTTCATTTAATCGGTTTTACCACTTACTTCATTTATATCTTTTTTTAAAAGAAAATTATATAAATTAATGCACATATAAAAAGATAACTTATTGTACAATGTAGCTAATTTGTATTGATAATGTATAGTGTAATTGATTGCTGTTGCCATCGCTAGAGTATATTATGTAGTGTGTAAGAAATTAGTTAGCATAGCTATAGTTTGGCAGCAATCACGTGCGCACCAAAATGTGTGCACTTGTAAGGACAACATTCAGAAAAAACGCCAGTTGTCTAAATATAGGATAATACTCCGCAGATAATCAACAAATATAGTAGACCTATTGGGTAAGACATGTCGTCACAAGAGTCTACTTCAGTAGACGATACAGTAGCAGTCACACCAAGCAAACCATCGAATGTGTTTGGAAATGCCTTACAATCTTGGGTTGAGATCGATTTACCTTCACTACAAAAGAAATTGGATGATCAAGGATTACATTTAAAAGAGGAACAAAAGAGTTCGTTGATAAGCAGAAAGAACTTAGCCGCTAAGACTAAGGAATTCAGGAAATTAGACGACGGCGATAAGTTACAAGAATGGAAGGGGTTGTTGAAGTTGTATCAAAATGAAATTGATAACTTGACTAACAAAAATAAGACCGTAGAGAATTATTTCTTTGGAATATATAGATTGTTGGCCGAGGCACCTGATCCTCGTCCTTTATTGGAGATGTCATTGGACTCAGTGTTAGAATCAAAGGAGGCTTCTACTCTTCGCGAGCAAGTGGATAAATTGAATAATGAATTAGCAAGAAAGGCTGATTATGACCAGTTAAAGCAAAGACTATTGCAAAACGAGCAAAAGGCTGCGGAAACACTCAGTGCGAGATTGCAAGCTAAAGAAGACGAGTTCAAATCTTTGATTGACGAAAAGCAATCGAACTGGTTGGAAAAGGAGAAGCAGTTGCAAAACCAAATCAAGAGAGCCCAGAAACAAATCGAGGAATTAAGAACATCAAACGAAGTCACCGAAAGACAGTTGGATAACAAAAATAAACATGACCCAACATCATCAGCTTCAATCTTAGCAGAATTGGACATTGTTTCTAGAGATGCAAATTCTTCTAAACAAAGAATTTTCGAATTAGAAAAGCGAAATGAGGAATTACGAAGAGAATTGTCTAAATCTAAGAACGATGTGGAAATAAATAGCATCAAAAATGAGTTCCAAACAAAAGTTTCTGAACTTGAAGGAGAAAACGCATTGTTACTTGCCAATCTCGATCAAACAAGACGAAAGTTGGCTGACATATCCAAGGAGCACACTGCTAAAGTTGATGCTAATAACCGAGAGATTTCTCGAATGAACCAAGAAATCAAGAGTTTGAAAACTCGATTAGACCAATCGTCAGATTACGAAGAAATCAAGAACGAATTACAATTGTTAAAGCAAATTGAGTTTGGCTATGAAGAAGTGCTGAAGGACGCATCTGAATCTCATATTGATTCAATTCTTGTAGAAAGAAACAAGGCACTTACACAAGAGTTGGCCGAACATAGATCACAACATAATGACTTACTTTCAAGAATCCAGGAATTGGAGACTAATTTGCAAGCATCCACCCAAGAGTTGAATCAAGCGCAAATGTTGAATGAAAAGTTAGAAAACGATTTGGCTGCTTTCCAAGACGTGGCAAGTTCAGCCAAGTTTAACGATAATGCTAGTTTGATTTCGGGGTTCTCTCGAGTTACTAGACCCATCGGAGGTAGAAATGGAAGTTCGGTTTCCACCACCGCCGGTGGAAGCTTGCGTCCAGAAGATGCTTCTATTTTACCTATAATCACCAAACAAAGAGATAGGTTTAGGGAAAAGAACAATGAGTTGGAAGAAGAACTCAAAAAGCAGTTGAACTTGGTTAATGATTTAAAAAGACAAGTAAACAGTTTGAAGAAAGACAATGAAGAATTATACGAACGAACAAGGTACTTGGCATCTTTCAACCAAAACCAACAAGCGCAAAAGTCTAGTCTGGCTGCAAGAAAGTATTTCAACCCCAAACCAAATGTGGATTTGGAAAACAATCAATACCAACAGTTGTACGAATCTAAATTGCACCCAATTGAAAGGTTTAGAATGCGAGAGCAGGAACGAATCAGTTCCAGATTATCTCCTTTAGAACGATTATTTGTATCATTAACGCGAGCAATTTTAGCTACGAGGACAACTCGTATGTTATTTATGGCATACTGCGTCGGGTTGCATGTTGTGGTTATGTGTATTACGGTATATGCCATGAATTTGAATGCGGCGATGATTCCCGAAGTTGGGATGAATGCAAGTACTGGAGGAATGGCAACCAACCAGGCGGGCTCACCAGATGAGATTCGACACGCACTTCAACAACTGTAGTATCGTCTATTTAATAGTTTAATTATAAATACAACAAAGGTTTTTAAGTGTAACTAGTTACTCATTTGCTCGTACCGATGTAAAGCAACTCACGTGGTTTTTTTTTCTTGGAGGGGGAGGGGGAGGAGCAGGAGGAGCTATTATAAAATGGGTCCTTTGTTCCGTTTTTGCCATCAGTAGCAATCCCTTTTTTTGGGCCTTGGAAATTAAATTAAATTAAATTAAATTAAATGTATCCGTTTTTCTTTAAGCTACTAGTTCTCATTGGTCTTTATTTCCTCTACAAGTACTCTTTCTCCACCGAATCAGCTACTACTGACATGTCAAATAAAGACGCCAAACAAGACGACAAAAGCAACTACGATCCTGAAAATTTAATCATTAATATGGGAGGAAAACAAGTTCCATTCAGCGAGATCAACAAACCTCATAATGTTGTTCTTGAACCAAAACAGCACAAACCAGTTGTGTCTGCTGATGCATTCCCAGACATTGAACCTGAAGCTAAGCAAAGAGAAGAAGAACTTGCTGCCAAACGTAACATCTTGGATCCAAACATTCACAAAGAACAGGTGAACCCAGACACTTTTCCTGACGTTGAGCCCGAAGCTAAGTTGAGAGAAGAGCAATTGGAAGCTGAGCGCAAGAAGAACGATTGAGTTTTGAATTTAGCGATTATATATGTTGAATGTATACTTTATTTTTTATTGTACGGAACATGTGACTGTAAATTAAAGTTTTCGGGTGGGGGGGGGGGAGGATCAGAAAAAGGTTGGTCGTAAAAACGCAAACGCGAGTGATTTGTATATACACCCACAGAGATATAAGCCGATGCAACGGAGATGATTGGACTACCAAAGAGATTACTAAGAGCGCTAACATACCTAGTGTTCTTCTTGGTGTTTGCATGTACGCTTTTGTTGTTTGCCAACAAGCACGAGTTTATTGAATTACAGAAGTACATCCCATTTGCCAGTGAGGCACCCGCATACTTCCAGCCACCGTCAGATCTGTTCATTATCGACATCGCTATCAGGAACTGCTACTTGTATAACAAAAACAATGAGAATTGTGGATTGCCGGAACCGCTGGCTGGTGCATTAGGAGCTCTTGGTGACATGGGTGGATGGAGAAAAGTGAACAAAGATATTGGACTTGGCAAGTCGTGGGTCAAACAGCAGTTTTTTTCATACAAAGAGTTGAAGCATCGTTCATTACGTCAGTTTTTGAAGGATACCGATGGCAAGGATGAAGTGATTATTGATATTGCCGTTTTTAACCTAGCCGATTCTAAGATCAAGGGGAATGAAAAATTAAAGTTGCCCAGATATATTATTGAAAATTATCACAAGGCGGTTGTATACGACGATTCAACCCATGCCAATTTGGTTAAAGACGGAGATAAGGTCGCCACCGAGCAAACTATCAAGGAAAATGAAAAATTAGAACAAGAAAGAAAAGGCAACAAGGAAGTACCCTCCGAGGAAGATAGAAAGGAGAAAGAAGCAGAAGCCAAGGAACAAGAGAAGGAAACAATGGAAAATGAAAACGAAGAGGCTGAACAATTGAAAAAATCTGCCAAGGAGAAGGAAGCAGAATCGAACAAGAAACAAGAAGATGAAATAACCGAGAAAGAACAAGAGGCTGAACGATTAAAAGATAACCCACCAAAACAGTTTGAAGAAGATATCCAACCCCAAAATCCAGAAAATGAAAAAGAAAAGGAAGATCCTGCTGATGTAGATGCTCCAAAGAAGGAGTCTGACGAAAAGAATGAAGAATCGAAAAACTCCAAAAGAGAAGTCGTAGATGACAGGATGCAACTTGAACGAATGCTCTATATACCTACTGACGAAGATTTAGAAACTAGCGGATGGAGATATAAATCCAACGGAATCTGGCTCAAATATGCATCGCATGAGGAAAAAGGTGCCATTACTGGGATTGATCTCTTGTTTGGTCCAGAAGCTGTTGATCCCAGACCTAATTGGAATCTTATAACCAGCCCACTTTCTGGAATGGCCAATCCTTCTGATTTGCCGGTATTTTTAACCTATCGTAGAGGACCAAAGCTTGACTACAAAAAAGAATACAAGGTTCCTATCAAGATGAACTCCGATGATAAGTTCAAGATTCTTCAAGTTGCTGATTTGCATTTTGCTACCGGATATGGAAAATGCCGTGATCCCGTGCCAGCACTGTCACTGAAGGGTTGTAAAGCCGACGAAAGAACATTGCAATTCTTGGAAAAAGTTCTTGATATTGAACAACCTGATTTTGTGGTTTTAACTGGTGACCAGGTGTTTGGAGATGAAGCGCCTGACGCGGAGTCGGCCGTTTTCAAAGCCTTGAATCCATTCATTAAACGAAAGATTCCATTCGCAGTAACAATGGGAAATCATGATGATGAAGGGTCATTATCAAGAAAGGAAATGATGAGTGTAAGTGTAGATTTGCCATACTCGCAAGCTGCTGTTGGGCCCGTTGAAGTTGACGGCATTGGAAACTATGTGGTTACCATAGCTGGTGGAGCTTCAAAAAGTACTACTGCGTTGTCATTGTACTTTTTAGATACCCATAAATATTCCACCAACCCCAAGGTTACTCCTGGTTATGACTGGCTTAAGGAGACTCAGCTAAATTTCCTTAAGCAAGAATATGCCAGTTTGAAATCGTCGATTGAGACATACCCCAAGACGCACATGGCGATGGCATTTTTCCATATTCCATTACCAGAATACAGAAACTTGAATCAGCCATTTATTGGCCAGAATCTTGAAGCTGTTACTGCCCCTCGGTACAATTCTGGAGCTCGGAATGTTTTAGCGGATTTGGATATCAAGGTGGTTAGTGTGGGACACGACCACTGTAATGACTACTGTTTATTGGATGTTCAAAAGAAGGACGAGCAGCTGCAGGAGAATAAGATGTGGTTATGTTATGGTGGCGGATCAGGAGAAGGTGGGTATGGAGGTTATGGAGGTTATATTCGACGTTTGAGAGTCTATGATGTGGATACGTCCAAGGGGGAGATCAAGAGTTGGAAGCGGGCCGAGAATGATCCTAATACGAAGTTTGATGAGCAGATCTTGGTAACTGGTGGTGATGTAGTTAATTGGTAAAGCTGTGTAACTTCTAAAATAAATTATTTGCAATCAATTGTCTTTGTGGGTTTCTGCCTATTGTAGTAATTTAGTAATGTTTGAGAAGACTGTACCTTTTGATTGTCTTGTTCACGACTGGTTGTTCAGGATTGTTACCAACACACTTACTGTGAGAACACCGAATACTGTACCTGCCTTACAACGTCTCAGTTGAACAGTAAACACATCGCATGTTGCAATTAATAATTAAAGTTTCACGCGAGATTTTAGATCGTTTGGCTGCGACAAACAAAGTTTTATTTTTTTTTTTTTTAGGCTTAAGCGGAAATTACAATCGGCGCGTGCGCCAGTGAAACTTCGCCATGTAAGTTGAGTTGTTAGCTCTACATATACATACTCTTTATTCAACACATATCACATCTACACCATGTCAGACACTACTGAGATAGTGGAAATCACACAGGCTGACCCGCGCAACGATGTTAAGGAATTAAAACAGTGGTTGACCAATTCTGACTGCCAGCAGTACTTTCCCAAGTTCGTTGACAACGGGATCACTCTTGATCTAGTGCCTGAACTCGACACCGAAGCGTTGAAAGAGTTGGGGATTACAAAATTGGGGGATCGATTAAGATTAGAGTTGGCTATTTCGAGCATGAAACAAGAGCAGTTGCAACAGCGAGTGGGCATTGAAGAGATACTAGAGATGGTTAACAATAAGCCTGCCGTGGTTACGCCTGGAACTGTAGCAGAGGCCAATGAAGCTACATTGACCCAATTAGAAGGCGGTAATACAACGTCAATTACCCCATCTTCAAAAGACTCCAGCAAGAATATCATGTTTATTTTACAAGATGGGTCCATGATCAAAGTGAATGTTGGCGGGTGTTTCAATGCCCAATCCATCAAGAGAAAAGTGTTGAAGAAACTTGGATTCAAGTCACAAGAAGCCCAATTTGACACATATATCCATAGCACGAATTCGGATGGAGTGTCTAATGTAATCATGCTTTTTGATGTTGAATTAGTCACCATATGTTATTCTCCCGAACGATTGGAAAAACACCGGATTATGTTTGTTCCCAAGAATGATTATCCCACCGAAGTCGCCATCGAAACATCCAAGAAAATTATGCACAAGTATGCCTCCAGAAGCAGAGACAGTAGCATGAACTCCAGAAACCAAAGATCGCAAATGAGGAACTTCTTTGGCCAGAGACCACCTAGTGAATTGATCTCTTCCAATTTGGCGGAATATTTCCCAGAAGCCAGAAAGAAGGATTTAGAACAAACAGTTAGAAATTCAGTTAGACATAGTGTGAGATTATCGCGAAGATTCAACATCCCGCCTGGGGCATTCAGCTCTGGTTTCAACAAGAGGAACTCCGTCTGGAGTAATGCTACCGGGTTGGCTTCACACAAGGCAGTGTCTATTTCTTCTGGAGAAACAGGCAATGGCTATAGAAGGTCGCAACGTACCATTGGTGATGTAATGATGAATAACATCTCTGCCATTGATGAGGCAGTCAGCTCCACGGAAACGTTCCACACTCCTCCCACCAATACTATTTTTAACGATACCAAGTCAATTGCATCCTCAAAGAAAAGTCGCAATGCCCTTCATCGTATATCCATGGTTGCTGATTCGTTACCGGCCGCCAATAGACTTTCTACTATCGAGTTGATCAGTTCAGATTCCGAAGAGGAAGATATTGATGGCGACGATGAGTTTGATAAAGTGGATATATTTGCTGATTTTGACGTTCCAAAACATTGGTTGAAAGGTGCTCGAATTGGCTCTGGTAGCTTCGGTACCGTTTATTTAGGGATGAATCCTCACACGGGGGAATTAATGGCTGTTAAACAGATTCCCTTACCCACAGAAAAGAACCGTCACAATACTGACGTCGAGAGATCAATGGCGGAACAACAACGTGAAATGACCTTGTTGAAGGAGTTGGACCATGAGAATATTGTGAGGTATTTTGGGTCAACCACCGACGAGAATTTTTTGAATATATTTTTGGAGTATGTTCCTGGTGGTTCGGTTCAAACCATGTTGAATTCGTATGGACCATTTGAAGAGCCATTGATTAGGAATTTCATCAGACAAGTGTTAATTGGGTTAAATTATTTACATGGAGAAGATATCATTCATCGGGATATCAAGGGAGCAAACATTCTTATTGATATTAAAGGGACAGTAAAGATTGGGGATTTCGGGATTTCGAGAAAGGTTAGCAGCATTGATGAAGAGGACGAAGTGTTTAAAAAGACAGGCAGAAGAGCGTCGTTACAAGGCTCGGTGTTTTGGATGGCTCCTGAAGTGGTTAAACAGACAGTCTACACTAAAAAGGCCGATATTTGGTCGGTGGGGTGTTTGATTGTGGAAATGTTTACAGGTAGACATCCATTCCCCGACTTGAGTCAGATGCAAGCATTGTTTAGGATTGGATCTCATATCCCACCACAGATTCCCGAATGGTGTACTCAAGAGGCTAAGGATTTCTTGACCGAGACGTTTGAGCTTAACTACGAAAAGAGACCTGATGCCATTGAGTTGTTAGCCGAGACATTCTTGAATCCATTGATTATGTCTAAACAATAACTGTCATATGTTTAACATAGCAAAGGAACACCTTTTCTTTTATACCGGAATATAGATCTAAATAGTTTATTTTTTTTTATATACCATCATTGTTTACCATAGAATAAACATTGTAGACGAAAGATGCTTTTGGAGTGAGGGGGCGAAAAAGATCTAAATGGGGGCATGTCCGTATATAGCCGTGTACAGCCGGCATTTCATAAATCTGTTCCTAGTGAAATAGAGAGGTGATGGATGAGTGACCTGTTTCACTACAACTGAATCACTCTACTGCAAAGTATCCCCTGCTAACACAAGAACTGAGACTTACCGGGGTTAGGGGTCATGAGCGTAAATAAAGTTTATATGACGACTTTCATGCACACCACTAAAACTTAATAGGGGGATTCCTCTAGATTATCATTCGATACATACGAGCTCTTGGCATGCACAGATGTCCAATCTTCCCAATTGGGAGTCACAATGTTGGGGTGAAACTAAGCCAAGTTCTAGATTAAAAATTATGACTAAACAAAGCAGACTTAATTTTTTATTTTTATTTATTTTCTTTATTTTTTTTTTTGGTAGTGCTGTGAAATTCAAACCCTCACTTGGTTTGTGTGTGAGAATGAATGACTTTGACTCTGGTTGACTTTGTGTTTGTGCGTGTGTGTATATATATTTGTGTTTTGTTTCTCAAAACCCGTTTGATCATTCACCGGAAACGCTTTTCGAAGCATTTTGCCGTAGTAAAAAAAGATCTCATTTGTAAAACTAACCGGCGTACAATTGATTCAATCATGCTTCCCCCCTCTTCCCCCGCCAGCGCACAAAATTATTATTATGAAATTGGGTTTCCTTTCTTCCTTCTCTTTTTACGACTTTCACTAATACATCACCAATTATCACAAGCAATTAAAGCTTAGTCATTCATAGTATCGTCTGCTGTATCAAGCAGCATTAAACCATTACACTACACTAATTAATAGACGCAAGCAAACTACAGACATTTTATTAGACATACAAGCATATAAAACTTAATCACTTTCTCCCTCCCCACTTCACACACTTGTAAATACATCACTCAACAGGGGTATTTACAGACATATTCACATCCAACACACACATACACACACACACACATGATGGAGATACCCTTGAAATCACAACCAAAAGTGTCAACTGTAAACCTACTAGACGACTCCAAATTCCAAATCACCCCACTGGTATCACCCACTGATGAAGACGTTCACACTCAATTACCGTCCAATCTAAACTACAAAGTGGGCCACAGTGCCAAACCTACCATCAACTACAACCTTGATCATGACTCCCACCCATTGCCATCGCAATTTAGACTAACCAGACGATTCTCAGAAACGGAAAAGAATAACTTTGATCTGGAAACAGGACGGCGTATCTTTGAAGACGGAAAGATCAGACCCCATGTTATCAAACACGACTTTCTTGAACGGCAAAAGACATTTACCCATTTGTATGGATCACGAGCGGACCCTGCTTCCATGACAGCAGACCCCTCCACTACTACCACTAATCTAGTAACACTCACCAATAACGAAAATGCATACCCCTTCGAAGCACTCCCCATGAAGATATATTCCCGTTCCCATGATAGTAACATTGACATTAATGAGAATTACCGTATTGGACTAGAAGATGAATATATCCCTGGGTTAGATTTCTCAGATATGGTCTATCAATGGAATAAGAGCACCTCGGATTTTGAAAAGGGTAAACAATCCGATTCCAACAGCAACAGTGCATATACTAGTCATTCAAATACCCCACATAGTCGAGAAGAGTCATACCTTGATTTGAACAAATTACATGCCCAAGTTGCCCCACAACCCATCAGAACAGCTAACCCCGCAAAGAACTTTTCATTCTCAAAGTTGCACGAGTACATGAAGACGAGACTACCTGAGGGGGAAATCGCTGAACTGCTGACTGCCAAAAGCATAGACACTTTAACTTCGACCTCGTCTGAAAAGCGAGGGGGTGTTCCATGTGACGACATTGTTGAATTACCCATTCGAGCCAAGAAACAAAGGCCGAGTGACAGCGTAATTGATCCAGTCACGGGTGAGATAAACTACGAATTGATTGTTAATTCTCTCCCACCTAATTTCAATGATTTGCCATATTCCCAACGAAAGAAGATCGTCAAGTCATTTTCAGACTCTATTGACTATTCTCAATTTTCGGTATATGCCAAGAACTTTTTGGGATCTTCGCTAGGATCAGGGAAAACACCAAGAAGTGGAGGTAATTCTGCCAATAACAGTTTTGTGAAACGACCACGGGTGGGCAGTGTAGCTAGTCGATTACTTGCCCATGCTTCCACTAATGATTTGAAAAAGTACCATGAACCCAAGCAAAAGTACAATATTGATGAAAAAGGTGCAATTGTAATGGGTCACGAATTGGGTAAAATAATCGGGTTTGGTGCATGGGGGACAATTAGAGAATGCACCGACAATGCAGGAAACATCCGTGCCATTAAGATTGTCAAATCGATTAGAGACTGCGATACCCCGCTGAGTCGACCTAGCTCTCGAATGGATTTCTCAGATAATCGACAGAGACATAACCCCAAAGTATTAGAAGTGTTCAAGAAGGAAATATCTATATGGAAACAATTGCATCATGAAAATATTCTTCCCTTGATTGAGCATTTAGAAACCGAGAATGCGATCTTTTGTATTATGGAACGTATTTATGGGGGTACTTTATTTGAAATGGTTACTGCTATGGGTCAATTTGATTGTGGGTTACATACAACAACTGGACCGCTTGGGTTCCTGATTGAATCCCAACGAGAACGATTATTACGAGTAATTGATTGCACAAGACAAATTGTCAATGCATTACTTTACATGCATGAAGAAAAAGGGATTGTTCATGGTGATTTGAAGTTAGAAAATGTATTACTTGAAAGAAAAGACGATGATTTATATCAAATCAAGCTTTGCGATTTTGGGATGTCTCGAGTATACAGTGCTCGTGTGAGTCGACAAAATTCCGCCAAGCACCTAGCGTCACCAATTGCCAGTTTGGCTGTGGATGAAAATGCGCTAATGATGAGAAGCAGGTCTAGCAATGCTGGAATGAGGAAACCACTTATTGGAGGGGACACTCCCAATTCCCGAAAATTGGAATTGAGCATTCATGATGATTCCCGAGTAGGTATATCCAACTTTTTCAAAACCCATGGTCCCTCAATGCAATCCATTCACCTTACACCAAACACATATCCCGAAATTTACGATTTCACAGCGGGTAAAGCATCTCCTAGCATAAACGAAGGGGTTGATTCCGGATTACCCCATTCCCACATTGGTTCATTGCCTTACGCCGCCCCAGAATTGTTACTACCTTCTCCACCACCATTAGGACCCCTGGCTGATGTATGGGCTTTAGGTGTATTGATGTACGCCATGTGTGTTGGTAAACTACCATTCCAGCATCAGTATGAACCTCGATTACGTGCTATTATAGCTGCTGGAAAATTTAACAAGGCCGATTTAAGAAAGGCGTGTTTGTTAGAATGGGTGCTTAAGAAAGAAGGTTGCGACGAAGAAGAAGAAGCACAAAATGCATTTGCAGCTTCATCGATGGTGGATTTAAGACGACAAGAGGAATGGGAGCATTTGAGATGTTCCTGGAAAAAGATTGAACACAAACGAGAGTTTAAATGGCTTTATGATATAATATGTGGATGTTTGGAATCAAACATCACAAAGAGATGGGACACGCCCAAGATCTATGAGCATCTCAATCGGGCATTAGAGAGTAATGATTTATTTTAATTTTTTACGTACAACAAGGTAGACTAAAAATATATAATTTTAATGATCAATTTCAATAACAACTTTTCCTGAAGGATTCCCCAGTTCTAATCTCTTTAATGCCTGGTTAAATTCATCAAATTTGTAAATATGATCAACAAATACTTTAACATCGCCATTTTCAAGATATTTCTTGGCTTCATCCATGAAATTAAACCCGGGCTCCAATAACATGTAGTTGTAGGTATAGGAAATCAATCCAAGTTTAGAGGCAACCACTCTGGTCATTCCCTTAACTATCGACACGGCTAAATTCAAAACAGAGGATCCAGGTTTATCACCAACAATAGTATTGTACGTCCCACCCTTTTGCAATATGATAGATATATTCCTAAACAACTCATCACCGCCAGTACAATCGATAATATAACTAAATGCCCCAGATGTTTTTACCGATTCCAACACGGAATTAAGAACATTTCCATGATAGTCAATTGTAGAAGTGGCACCAAGTTCTATAACCAACTTTTCCGAACGAGGAGAACAAGTAGCTACAATCTCTTTACTGTTTTCTACTTTCAAAAGTTGAGTGACATATCTCCCCACCGAGGTTGCCCCACCTAATACAAGTACCTTCTTGTTGGCCAACTCGAGTCCATTGAGCATGTACATGGCTGTTCCCAACACTAAGGGCCAACTGGCAGATTCAGCATGGGAAAGGTTCAAAGCAACTGTAGTAAACACCCGTTCTTGCTTCTTGGTAGTGTCAAGCATAAGGTATTGGCCCACTGAACCTTGGGCATAAACAGGGAAATACAAACCCAGGATAAAATCACCCACTTTAACAGTAGTATCGGCTTCAGAACCAACAGCAACTACTTCACCACAGTAATCCTTCCCAAATCCCTTCTTGGAATTGAATAAAGAGGTGATTCCAAATGCCAAATGGTACATTTTGATGTCCACGGGGTTAAGGGCCGCATAGTGGATCTTGACAAGGATGTTGTTTGCAGGAATGGTATAGCCTTGTCCAGTGAAAGATTTGACTAGTTTGATTGACTGGTCAACCAATTCCACAGGATGGTTGGCATTTGAATAGGCATATGTCTTGTAGTTAAGAATTTCTGAATCGAAAACCATCTTCTATTAGTTGAGGAAGAGAACAAATAGGTTTATTTCCGATGGGTAAGCTCTCACAAAAAAATAAAATAAAATGGAGTGGCGATGGCGTTTTGCAACAAGAAATCACATGCCCATCAAAAGCAGGTCTCCCGATATATTGTCTAGTCTAATGTGAATGACAGCTTCATTGTTCAATTCTGTCAATGTTATATGCAATTTAGATTCTTTCAAAACCTTCCTGGTGTACGTTATTTAGAGACCTTGCTTCATTCTATGCATGTGCATCACCACAGAATTCAACAGTTGCTAACAACACACATTAATGTTTCACTCAAGCAGGAGGGGGAGGGGGGAGGAGATTATCAAAAGCGTAACCATTATTCCAGATCAAGTATATTCCAATGAAATATGGATGTGCTTACGAGTTCAATACTCACTTAAAACCAATCACGTGACGACGAAAATTTTGCGACCACTTCACCATTATTGGACATACAGACAGATTATGGGTATAAAAACAAGTTGGCACACATGTGGTGGTGGAGTTGATCTATTACAGACATCGTTACAACGTTTCCATTGATTGCCCCACATCTTGCATTTTCTTGTTTAACGAATAATCGAAGGTTTTCATTTTTGTGGTAAATGAAAGCAGGTTGCAATCGAGTAAAACACCTTGTTTCACCGTGGGGAAATGTAAACAAACGGCTGAATCGATCTTTCGAGTATCTTGAATGTGGGATCTGTTTCTTGGGGTAGACTTTGTGCCCTTGATGTGATTGCAACCTCTAATTTCATTTGAATCTGGTGAATTTTCACTTCAACCTACATATTAACCTAATACTATAGCCTCAACCTGTATATTGCACAAAACGAAACATCCATTCCTACATATTACGGTTCATACGGACAATTAAAGACGCGTTATAAGGCGATTTTAAAATCAAATTTAAGCTACATATTTCATTTGTGACCTTTAGGAGAAAATTCTTATCTTCACATGCTACTTCTGGTTGGTTAATTCTGGCTTACGGGAAAGTTACAAAGTTCATAAGGTGATGTAAATAAAAAACAAAACATCAAGTAAAGCAAAACTACAATAATAATAAGGGGGTCACACATTCATGTAAAAGTTTGCATCAGCCCTGAAAGGTTCACTCTTCGCGTGTGTCTCGGTAAGGTTTACCTTATTGTCTTTGTATTATTTATAATTTATCCAAGAAAGGTAAGTTAATGACAGGAAGAAAAAAAATCGGTGGATTTCCGCCTACAAAAATAAAAAAATAAATAAAAAAAAAAAGCTTTTTGATACACCAGAATTTCTATTGTTTTTTCTTAAAGTTTTTGTTCGACTTTGATCCATGTTCTAAAATTAGAAGATTCACATTATACATTTTGTCGGATTTTGTTCTATGAAATCTAATATAAATATTTATTAATATTTTTGATTCTTTTATTCTTTTACTTTATTCTGATATCGACTGGGATTTCCTATTGCAGACACTCATTTCACTTACAAGCGAGCAATTACAAGACACCTTTTTACACACACACACACATACACACGTCATGACTAACGAAATCAATACTTTGCCTCAAGGGTATACATTCAGAAGATTAAAAGTAACCGATTATTCCAATAACTACTGTGAAACCTTGAGAGGGTTGACTACTGTCGGTAATATCTCATCAGAACAATTTGAAGACTTGTTTAACCACTGGACTTCCTTGCCAGAAATATATCGTCCACATGTTATAACAGACACCAATGGAAAAGTCGTGGCTACCGGGATGCTCTTGGTTGAAAGGAAATTAATCCATGAATGTGGATTAGTTGGCCATATCGAGGATATTTCAGTATATGAAACTGAGCAAGGTAAGAAGTTGGGTATTTATTTAGTTACAAGTTTGGCCAAACTTGCAAAGGAAGCTGGTTGTTACAAAGTTATTTTGGATTGTTCGGAAGAAAACATTGGTTTCTACACCAAATGTCAGTTTAAGGTTTGTGGAGTTGAAATGACCCAACGTTTTTCCAACTGACAATTAACCCTCAAATTATAATAGTGTACACTAATAGGAGCAAGTTCATCAACACGAGAGAAAACATACAAAAATCAAATAAACAAACAACCAAAACACAAACCTGTATAGTATTGTAATTTGATCGTTTTCAAGTAAAGTTAATGAATATATTTAACTAATACATATCTATCATATCTTTTCTAATGCCTAGTAAATGTTAGTAATTATTACTTCTTTCTTGATAAAAAATTAATACATACCTCCAAAGATACAATACAGTTCCCTCTAATGACCTAAATTCTCTGTTAGTATAAGCTGTTTTCACGGTCTCCCTTCACAGATCACACATACCACTTGTCCAATATTAAGTTTTTCACCATTTTGTTGTTCTTCTAAAGCGTCAGCCAAAGTTATGTTTAAAAATACCTAAACACTCTGTTAGTAGTTGCCTACTCATAGTCACACCTATTATTATACATACGTCGTAACCCCTTAAAACACCTATTACTTTTCTCGATCCATTCAATTGTATAGACAATTTCTTATCCATATACTGCAAAATGTTAGTAAATTTCCTTAAATTACTAATGGATTGGACACTCTCAATACATACACTTTTCAATTCGGGTTCTGATACCATCGTGTCTTACTTGTTTGTTGCAAAGACTGGCTTTCTCATCACCATTTTTTATTGACTTTGATTTTTTTCGGTGTTGCTTTGGCTAATCGGAAATCAAAACAAATATGGTTGTAAAAAAAAAAACAAAACGACCAACTTAAGAGAATACCACAATGAGCCACGTCCAAGATTCGACTTCACTTTCTGATTTACTACATACCTCGCCACTAGCATCACTGACCAATGTTCAAGCTGATACGAAGGGTCCCCTGCTTAATCTTGCTGCGCTGAATACACTACAGATAACTGATGCAGAACAACCAGAAGACGCTACAGTGGAACTAATTAAATTGCAAGGATCCAAAATAGAACTAATCGAACAAAGAGACAACTTAGTTAAACAGAGATCAGAGATTAACCTGAAAGTCGAGGATGCACGACTACGTCTACGTTTCTTAAAGGAACGACAAACAAGAAATGCAGCTCGGAAACGCATGGATGAGCTACTCAAAGAAAATACGCATGAGTATCACCGGGCTATAAATACACGGAATCGCGAACAAGAAGATTACGTACTGAAGAGTTTAAATGTATATCCCTCTACAGACTGGGATAAGCGATTGGATCAATTGCGAATGTTTACTCCTCATTTAGAATTGGAAAAGTTGGATACTGCAAATTACTACAATGACGACAATAGGATGATGCGCACAATTCAATATACTGTGGTGTCTCCGTTACTTTTCAAAATACCCCTTCGTGTTGATGTAGATTATGCTGATGACTCAGTGGTCAATATACAGTTTGGAAAGTTGGATACCCCGCCGATGTTAATCATAACGCTGTTGTCACCATCCTTGGCTAAGGCTCTACTTCAAAATTATATACCCAATAAGAAAATCAATTTGGTAATGTACAGTCTTAACTCATTATCGATATTAGTCCATCGACGAATTTCTACTATGTACAAGATTATCAGAAAATACAGGAGTTTAATTAATGACCAGTCGATATTACGGGATCTACTTGCAGAACAAGAATGCGATGATAATTTGACACTATTTGCAATAATGAAACTGCTTGATAGGATCCAGCTTGAGATAAACAACAAGCATAAAGTGACATTGACTTGGTCAATTATACTAAAGGACACCATAACTGGAAATTGCAACTCACAGCTAAACTTGTATGTGACTGATGTGCACAACAAACATCATGAAAACTACCATTCTCTAAATGAAGCATTTCAAAATCTAGTTAAACAATACGGAGTTCAAAAGGCATTGGAAAATCTACTCAAGAATGCATTTGGCTATACGGTATAGGTTATTTTTATTTAGTTATACAACACCTGGTGATTATCTAAATCAAACGAGATTCTACTATTATGTACCACGGGAGCAACCCCGGCCTTTAATTGTTCTTGTAATTTCAGAATGAACCATTCGTTACAAAATGTAGTCAATTGTAATATAAACACGCTCTTTTCGTTGGCTTTGTTATAGTCGTGTATGGGGAGATATGAAAATCCAAGGTCGCCATCCTGTTCGTTTGCTTCTCCATCTTCATCCTCCTTGGTGATATGTAAGAATTTCTCGATGTTCAACGATTTTCCAAATTGCTCATTCATGTATGATTCCACTCCATGGATCAAATCATGACGAATGTCTTCCCATTCTATTCCTAATAATTTATTTCCAATGGACTTTTTATATTTGAAGTATCGATAGATCCAGTTCCCAAGTATGGTGGTTTTCTTGTTAAAAGATGCCGTACTTGCCTTGGAAGAAGTTCGCACTTCCTTCACAATTGGTCGAGTAAAGTTTACAACATCATCCATGTGTGAGACAGATTCAGCTACATCAGGAACAGCATCTATTGTAGTTGGTCCGAAAGACGAAACAATCTTGGAAAGTCCTTCAATTGGGAATTGGATGTTGTCTAAGGTAGAACCGTTCTTGTTTTGTGTTCTGACTTCAGCTTCGTTATCTTCAGATTTATCAACATTGAAATTGATGACATTCTTGGATAGTGGTGACGACACATTAGGCTGGGAAGTTCGTTTAAGTTTTTTCTTCTTCAATTGGGTTCCGTTGGGGGCAATTTTCTTCTTGATAATTGCCAGTTCGTCAGCGGTATCATCAGACTCGCTTGTCTCCGCATCTTCCAAATCTCTCTTCCCGGTCTTTTTCTTGACAGGAGCATTATGTTCTTCATCAGCTAAACATTTCAATCTGGTCTTGTACATGTTTTCCGCATATGCAATTTCATAATCGGTGTCTTTGTCAAATTCAGCAATTTGATCTTCAGGAATTAATTCTATACCTGGAACAGTAGCTCCACCAAATGGATTCTGGGCTAATTCTTCTGAAGTGAAACTAGTTTCTAAATAAGTGTACATCACCCAGAGGAATCGTTGTGCTTTGTTCTTAGGGTGAATCTTGGGATTCATAAAGAATTCCATCAATTGATTGCTAGGTTCGTCGGGACCGAAATAGGGAATTCCATGTAACGAGTTACTCAAGAGGAAAATCAACTGTACGACGTTTGTGTTTGGTTTTTTGGCCGGCGGATTTGAAATCATTTCGTCCAAAAACTTCAAGTTGTTTTCTTCACCTTCGCATACAGCTTTGAGGATTGACTTTAATCTTGGTGTGTCTTGTAATTGTTTGGACTTGCCAGTTTCCGGGTCGGCTTGCAACGAAGGGATTGAATGGTATGTCCGTAAACTTGACCTCATTTCTGGGACAAAGTTTATGGTGGTGTTCATTCTTCCGGCATTGACTAATAGACACACCTTGGCCACCGATTTACCCATTTCTTTATCCTTGATCAATCTCTCTTTAAGTACGCGTGAACATTTTGTCGATTCAACTAATGAGCGAACATACAAGTCCGAAAAAGAAATCTTGGGATCATTGTTGGCGTTAGAGATGTTGCATTCGGGGAATGAGTTAGTGAAGCAAGCAGTTTCGTCATCAAACAAGTACTTGAGAAAGTCATGGGAGATATCCTTTCTCCAAAATGGTTCTCCGTCTGCTTTTTTCAAATGTTTGAACCGATTAGTATTGGGATGTTTTCTTTTGGATTTAGTGGTGCTAGCAGTTATGGTTTCGCTGTCTTCATGGCCGATAATGGATGAATTGACATCGGTGTCTTCATCTTCTTCTTCTTGTTCTTGTTCTTGTTCTTGCTCCTGTTCTTCGTCAGCATCTGACGAGTTGTTCACTATGTTGGAGATGGAAATCACTTTGTTGACTTCATTTTTCACAGGAGTAACAACAGGCACATCTTCAGGTGGGATACTGTCGGTGCTGTTACGACTGACCAAACTTGAGATTGAGATTGGTCCACTTCTATGTGCATCCAGCTCGGTCTGTTGTGGAACTTCGCTGGTTGTTTCTATCGCCAGTTTATTGGGGATATATGTATCGTGTATAGGGTCGTAACTCATTATTCAATAGCGAATTATATATGTATGTACGAGGTATGTGCGAGATGTATTGTCTGTATTAATAAAAAAAATTTTAGTGGAACAGGATTCGTTGAGTTGGTGCAAAGTTTTTGTGAATTTCCTGGCAAAGTTTAAAACGTGATTGTTGGTGGTGGTGGTGGTAGCAAGTCGAGCCGCCCGGTTTGTTTGGTTCCAGTCGATGGTGATGTAAAAAAATGGTCCTACCGCCCGAAAAAAGAATTTGGAATGTACTACGAACGCGTGTTCTTATTCTATACAAAAATCTATAATAGTTTATCCATACCAAACCATCAAGTTTTCTACTACTCGGCCTTGGATTACTACCCGAAGGTCAGAGTTGACTCCAATTAGCCCTTCGTCTTGTTTGGTTATAGGAAATGGTAATGTCCATATGACAGAATTGGACTTGAGGTACACCCCATTGACACGATTAATTCGAAGTATAGTGTCCGACTCAACAGTGTCGTTGCTTTGCAATGACGCTATGAACTCTTTTGTAATTACTGTATTTCTAGAGTCTACTTTCCCCTCTTCCAATTCCTCAATCAAGATTTTCAATCCTTTGATCTCGGGCATCCATAGGTCCCCAGGAACCATGTATGGAAAGTTCTCCCCCTTGGGGTTATAATGCATTTCCGAAATCTCAATCTGGTTGCATTGTTTGATATCTCCCCACATGACTTCATAGCAAATAGTGTTGGCCGGTACAGGGCATTGTAAGTGATACTCTCCCTTCTTTTCGCCCATGGTGAACTTGTCATAAAATGCAAGTGTCAATTCAACGTTACTGCCATCAAATGATCCTTTGTCCACGATGTACTTTGGTTTCATCAACGACCTTCGGAATAGGTAATCTCCATTAAAGAAGCGGTCCCATGTATAGTACCCAGATTCTAGAAATCCTCGCGGCGATTTTGTCCATGGGTTTAATTCACACATGTCAAATCTAGACCCATGTGGATCCCTCTTCAAAATATTATCGTTTATGTTTCCAGGAATGGGAATATCTGCTCTTCTTGCTACAGTCATATTTTTAAGGAATGGAGATTTTGGGAAATGAGCAAGCTCGTTGTTTGATTTGGTGATTTGACTAGCAAATTTAGCCAGGAATGCCTTGCTGGAAACATTTTCGTCTCTATATGCCACCGATCCCTTGCTGATGTTAAACAAGTCAATCTTTCTATTCAACCATAATGGGTGGGCTTCGGTGGAAAATATCCAATTCTTATTCCCCATAACTTTCGTATCATGCAAAAACACCTCGTCCTTAGTATCAAACAACAAGTACAAATATTTTAAAGTCTCACCCATGACAAACGTCTCCATTCGATCTTGTCTCTCGCCAGTTCTTACATCTTGTAATCCACTAAACCCGCATAATGTCTTGTACCGATCTCGAAGAAGAATCATCACTCGCTCACCAATTTGCAAATACATGGGATCGCGCGTTGCTCGGTATAAATAATACGTCGACTCAATAAACTCCGGCCGTAAAGGATACCATTCCAACGCAACCGAATCTTCACTTTTTACTTCCTTTTGTACCTCCTCATTATGATAATACACCCATCGTTCCGGGATCAGATCGAAATAATTCCATATTTTCAAATATACGGCATGGGTCTTGATCGCGTCGGTTAATTGCCCAGCTAATACTTGCAATCCGGGCCAAAAAGCCCCCAACAGATCAATCCAGTCTCCAAAAACGGACCCATCTTCAGTGTTTACATTTGAGAATATCATCAGGCCATCATTAGGTCCGCCGCCTTGTGCCAGATGAGTAAGTAGGGCTTGGTAAGAAGTTTTGAATACTGACCACATGTAGTCATCATTAAACAAAACTGCCGCTTTAACAGTATACTCGTAGAAAGAATCAATAGATGCACCTACGCCTGTGATTGCATCCTTCCAATGGTTGGCCAATGGATCAATTGACATCGGCAACAAATGTAAATTCAGTTTAGAAGACCATAATTTCCAGAATGTAAGTTGGGTATAATATTCAAACTGTAAATCACCCGTTAATCGTGATAATAGAGTGAACTCCAATACGGGTGTGGTTGCTCCCGAAGTGCAGGCATCTCGTTGTAGTGCAGGTGGAACTCTTCTTAACCCCCTGGCTAGATTTATTCTTGGAACAGGTATATTAGTGGTTGTCTTATACGATGGAATCAACCTTAATCCCAAATCATAAGCCATGGATAGCAAGAATCCGTCGTATTCTTGGCAAATCTGATTAAACTTGCTATACCTCGCAGGAAGATTAGTCACGTCAGTCAATAACAAATGTGCCGACAACAATCCACCCAAGGACCTAATAGTCAACTCAAACACCTGAACAACAGTATCTTGCTCAAAGAATGTCGCCTGCTGAGATTTCAAATAGGACAACACATACTCTAATTCTTCCCATTGCTCCATTATAATCAACGTATCCAAATTGTCCAATATCGTCAGTGACACATTTCCCAAGGCATCATTCCTTACGGCATTATTTATATCGTTGAAATCTGGCCCGTATGGCTGACACGATATTGGGGTTACTTCGTCGGCAGGGAATCCGTGTTGCATATATGACTGCCAGGCATGGTTGAATAATGATTTTGTTTCGTTGCGAAGATATGCTAGATGGTCGGGTGTAAATGATGAGTTGTAGTTGACTTGAACTGCCAGTGTGAGATTAGATAGTAGTAAGCATAGTACACCATACAGTAGTAGTTGGTAAAGCATTTAAGTGTTGGTGACTAAGCTTACGGGTCACAAGAAATATTTCCAATTTTTTCCTCGGTGGCAGAAAATAACAAAGTTGCAAAAAAGTAAACATGTCAAAACCAGCTTATAACTGGAACAACCCCATAGATTGCGTTTGCAATCTGGTCAAAATAAAAATGTTTATGACTAATATATACAGACTATACAAACAAAAGTCTAATTACTTTCCGAATATTCTATTAATTTGAGTAAGTATCCTCCCTGTACCAAACCACAAAGTTACCACAATCAAAAAGAGGTTCAACATAATAATCAACAACCCACTCAACATGAATCTGGGTGCAAAGATCTTCCATACCATCAAATGTCTGCGGAAATGAGCTGCAAATAAAAGACTGCTCAATCCGGTAAACAAATGGTAGGTGATTAATGTGGTTACATTAGTGATAATCTGGGACAATACCGTGATTGGTTTGTTGGATGGAACAATTCGCCACAATGTGATTAAAGGTATGGCTAACGACACGATAATAAATGGTCCAAATGTGTTTAATACAATGTTTAAATGGGTAAATGGCATGAAAATTGTCTCGGTGGTCATAAATCCAAGTTCCCATTGGATGGAAGGGATAGTTGCTTGATGACCCGTGCTAAAGAAATGTTGGTACCCTAATAATCCAAATATGATGGGTGAGATAAGGTTCTTTCTGATGGCGAGGATATCACTCAATTCTAACAATGACAAAATTTGAATTATTAACATACTGATGGAGACTGCCCCAATAGGCTTAGTAGTCAACATAATGGCCACGGTAAAGTTGAGCACCAACAAAAAGTATGAAGATCCATAGACGTTCCCATATCCAAGAATAGTGGCTGTTTTCCCAGGAGTTTCTGCTTCATCAGAAACATCGCTCTCATCCGAATTCTCCTCCTTCAACTCCAACTTGACACACAATGGTCCTCTTGACCAACTGAAATTGGCCAACACCAAAGTAATAAAGAGCACTAATCTTGCAATGGCTAATTTCAACGATTTAATCAAGGGTATACCAATGATCAAGTTCATATTATTGAAGTACTCGCTGTTTTGAACATATTCAAAAGTCCAATACACAGCATTCATAAACAACAAGAAGCTTAACCCAGTTCCAATCCACAATGGAGCAGCAGAATGATAAGAATCTGATAATTTGTAAAACGAGGCAATGAACATGGGCAAGATATATGATATAACATGCAAGAGTAAAACCGACCACCACGTAGTCTTGAACGTGGCTTCACAGTACGGTCTTTGTTCTTCACGACATAAGTTAATCATGGAAGCAAGTCTGGTCATGATGGTGAATGTTATAGCATGCAGTAATCCCAAGATTCTTGCAGGTCGCGATAACTCCGTATTCACAGCACAGTTATAAATACTTCCAATACCAAAAGTTAACAAGAAAAATGAAACCATTTTGTCTTCCCAAACAACATATGAATTCGAGGCAAAGATCAAACAATGGGCAATCACAAACACAATCCCCATAAATGACCAACTATTGAAATTGTACATGAAAAAGTCTATAATTTGATTCCACAAGAAATTAATGCTAAATCTGTCCATTATCGGTGCCCAGAATCCAATAACCATACCAAGTGCTGTTCCAATTGCAAGACAATTCCATATGGTGAAATCAGTTGGCTTAAGAACAATGTAGATGGAGAAACTGAGTACGAGCCCGAGCATGGTCATGGCGATAACTGACCCAATGAATTCGAATGACATAGTCAGCACCCTCACTGCCGGTATGGATCTGGAGTAGGTAATCATAAATGTTAATGCAAGGAAAAGTATACCTAATCCAATACCAATGAGACGTAAGTCAAATCGGGCCCACAACAGTTTACATTGTTCAAGCGAAAGATATTGATATTCTTTGGCCATGAGTAAAATATCTTGTTCGGAATATGTTTTATCGTGGTAGTGTTGAATCAAAGTGTCAAATTGCTCTAGTAACGTGTGAGCAAGATTTGGAGTGTTATCTCTGAATGTCTTTAATTGTTTGAGGGTATTGTAAGAAGCAGTTAATATTTCTTCATGACTGGAAAATGCTTCATCAACGGGGAATCCGAGATTGTTATATGGAATAGGTAATCCTAATAATAAGGAAATTGTCGGTACTAAATCAATTTGGTTTACTGATCTATAATTCCTTCCCTCATTGCTAACATCGTATGCCAGTTCATCCTTTTTCAAGAACTTGCCCGATTTAGAATACATAAATAATGTACTTTCAAGTTCATCAGGAGCATCGCCCCCATGATTCCCAGTAGAATCCATTCCATGATCACCAATAACCACTAAAAGTGTATCGTCGTCCAAATTACTAACAACATGTTCCAACACTTCATTCATTTGGTTCAATTTCTCCTTCATGGAGAAATGCCTTGGTCCATATCTATGTCCCACATGATCTACCCCCAAGAAATGCCCCACCAAAAGGTCCCACTGGGTCAGATTCTCTTTCTGGATCAAAGGGTACAAATGCTCAATGACTCCATTGTCAACAGTGTGCAAATCCCAAACATTCAAACTATCATAAGGAAAATTCATCTGCGGATCAATATAATCGTCAAACAACGCAGTCCAAGTATCATCGCCCATGAATGCAATTGTCTTGTTTGCTCTACGCAATTGTAACAACCAATTGTCTTCATCAATGTGGTCACCATTGAAATTCGAACCAGCGTCTATGAAGGTAGGCAATGAACCTGTGGTTAACCCTTTCAATCTTTGTAACGTTGTAGTTGGCGGATCGGCTATGAATTTCAAAAGTAATCCGTTCTCCTTCTGGGCCAAGTCATATAATATAGGAAAGTTATTGTGATAATACTCAGTGGACCCTGCGACCGGAATGGTGAAATCAAACCTAAGTGCATCAATGACTAGGAAAATAGCTTTATCGTACTTTGCTGGTCTCATGCACGAATTGTCAACACATTCAGCAATGTTTGGCAACACATGTCGCGAAAGTAAGAACCCTTTGGTAAAAAAACCCACTCCGATAAACTGGGTAATTGCCAAGAAACATAGCACAATGATGTATCCTATAAATGTATATCGTAACTTCTGTTGTCTTAGCCTTGTTCGTGATTGTTGTTGTATTCTAGCTGACAGTTTGTTCCCGTCAGTGGGAGGATTGGTGTCAATGTCCATGTTATTATTCAAAGTATCCTACCCACCATACAAAAAAAAAAAAAGAGAGAGAGAGACTAACCTGTAAGATTTGACACGCAGTAAACAGATGGCTTTACGTGTCGTCGTATGATGTGATTGTTACCTTGTGTGTTGTGTTTACAACAATTGTCGTTGATCTAGTCGGATTTGTTATGGTGGATAAATCGGCTGCCTTCTTCTCACTACCATAATTTTTTTTTAGTGCGCGACTTTCCACAAACAAAAATTCACGTTGGTTTCCCAAACGTGGTTTAGCCGAGGCAACAAGATAAAGTTTAATATATATTACAGTTCTATGTATATACTTGTGGGCGCAACTCATTCCAAGCTGTGGTCAATCTGGCTCAAGAAATCTTGTTCAAATTCAGATCCTCCCATTAGTCCATTGTCATCACCATCGTTAAAGTACAAATCTCCAATGTCATCATTGACAATAGCTTGATTGGGATCTAAATCGTCGCCGTTATCTTTAAATAAATCACTCATATCATCGTCAACTATGGCGTCTCGCTGATCATTGTCATCATCGACATTTCCTCCGGCCATTGAATCATTTTGATCTCCACTGAGATCAACGTCATCATTGACATCTCCACTGGCTAATCCATTCGATGTAGGCATATCTTCCTCGTTTTCATGACTACTCAACATAGACATGGCGAAGTTGTGGGCCGACATATTGCCATTGAAGTTGGTGGGTCCATTGTCAAATTGATTCATAAACATTCCTTCGACTCCGTTGAACTTTCCCGTATCGATATCTGGCTCTTCTTCCATTCCTGAATCTATTCTCATGGCATTGTCACTCATATTCTCCACCAATGTTCCATTGTTGTTAGCTTCGTGTGGATGGTTATGTAAGTTGATAATCGAAGTGATCAGTTTGGGGTTATAGTTTGATGGGGCTGTGTGCACGGCTACTCCTGGGGTTATTTGGTCTATAGGCACAGAATATTTTTTCACACTTGGAGTAACATAATATTTCCGTTTGTACTTGGTTTGGTACTCACCAAGGATCTGATCAATTTCGTTTTCCAAATTTTGCAACGATTCTTTGTTGTATAGCGATGCCTGAATCTCTACTAGCCTGTCCACCTTCTCTCTTTGGAAATGATACTCTTTGTCATTTAGCAAGTAGTTGGCAAATGGTTGTGCTTCAGCGTCCTTGAGTCTGGTTACATCATCAGCCAACTTCTTCTCGGCTAACTTCATGCTTTCCAAATCGCCAAAATAAGTGTCCTCTGGTCTTAACTTTGCAATCTCTTCTGGTGTTCGTTTAGGCACATTTGGGTATAAACTAGGAGGTATTATCTTGCATGTATGGACCAATTTAGCCATGACATTTTCAATGTACTCGTGGTTGGTGATATACCTGATCAAAGCGTCATTCCTGAATGACACTAAATCAGCTTCGTCGTGAAGTTGACCACCAGGATCCTCCTTAATGTGACTTTGTGCTTGTGCTGCTTGTGCTTGCGCGGCTGCTTGGGCTTGGGCTGCCTGGGCTCTGGCGGCTGCTTGGGCCTGTGCTTGTGCTTGGGCTTGGGCAGCTAGTGCTTGTTGGGTCTTTTTATTTGTGCGACCTCTGGGTCTACCTGGATGTGCCATGACTTGGTATAATTCTCGCTGCTGTAGTAGTATATTTTGTCGTTACAAAGCTGAGGCAGAACGTTCTAGGACAATGCTTGAATGAAATCGCACTGGCGAATGATACAAAAATATGCTAGTTATAACTAAGGTTAGCTATTGCTAACTACCATACACGGATTTGGCAAATAATCGGAAATAACTCAGGGAAAACACGCACAACCCACCACAAACATTTCCTTGTTTTGACATCAACAAAAAAAAAAAGTACAGCTTTGCTTGCAATAAAGTTTTCTTGGTAACTGCACGACTTAACCTAACATGCTCCTCTTTGGCTGCTAACATATTCCAGTCTTGTCATTATGAAGGTTATTAAAACTTAATGTGATATTTAATATATAAGAGTAGTTATGAAATAAAAGTATGTTCTTTGCAAAAAAAAATACAGACAACATGAAATATAAAACAAGACAAAAATAAGTAATAAACAAGGATTAAAGATCAAATCTACCACTAACAAACTCGTATTCCATTTGGTGATCTTCGTCAATTTCCATTTCATCTTCTTCTGCTATCTGATCATCATCAATGGCATCTTCATCCGGTGGCAAGTTTGGATTACCAGGTATGAATGATCCAGGCCCCTTGAAGGGATTTCTATACGATTTGGCAAAATTATCATCCATGGTGGAAGCATCAACATAGGTGAAGCCCTTGAAATTGGCTTGAATCCCTGGCGACAATGGAGTTGATGCCATCTCCATCTGTTTCTTCAACACTGACGTGGACTCGTTGGTGAATTCAGGATCAAAGTTTGAAGTATCGGTTTCTGAGGTTAAGTGTGGCTTGAAAGGTGGTGGTATGCTCTTGGCTTTCAACAAGTTCCAATCGATATCAGCAAAGAATGCATGTGCCCGTAACTCCCGGGCATCATTGGTAGCACCAAGTCTATGTTTAGGGTTTCTATTTAATAACCCCTTAACAAATGATCTACCTTCGGGACTCAACACTTCCTTGGGGAATCTAACTTTCCCAAATGCAATATTCTTGTACATTTGTTGGACATTATCAGCATAGAATGGCGACCATCCACAGCACATTTCAAAGATTAATACACCCAATGACCAGAAATCAACCATCTTAGTATATCCAGATTCGTCCAATAACACTTCTGGAGCTAAATATTCAGTGGTACCACAGAATGTGTTTGTAGTACCGTCATTGTTCAAATTGGCCTTGGACAATCCAAAATCACACAATGCAATGTGTCCATTCGCATCCAACAAGATATTCTCGGGTTTCAAATCACGATAAACAATGTCATTATCATGCAAATGTTCCAATGCCAATACCAATTCAGCAATGTAAAACTTGGCTCGATCTTCAGGAAACCTACCTTCCTTTTGCAAATGCCAAAATAATTCCCCCCCAGACATGTAATCAGTAACTAAATACAAATCAGTTGGTGTTTGAAATGAAAATTTTAATCCAACAATAAATGGCGATGCTGCTGCTGAAGTACGAACAAGAATGTTACGCTCTCCTATGGTATGGGCAATCTCCTTCTTTTTAACAATAACCTTCTTGGACAATACCTTCATAGCATAGATTCTATCGGTATCCCTCTTTTTCACTTGGAAAACTTGTCCAAAAGTACCTTTACCTAATAATCTCAAAACTTCGAAATCATCAGGGCCATAAGATTTCTTGACATCTAATGAAGTGTATTCCCACTTAATGTTAATTGCACCCGAGGTTACACGTTCACCGATAATTCTTGCTTTTAATTGCAACCATTGGTTCGGACTTTTCTTGTTAATAATTGTCGAAGGGGATATTCTGACATGTCCTAAAAATGCATCATCTCTACCGGCATCATACACAGAGATATCTAATTCCGATTTGGACCCAACAACATCAAATATAGCATCATGGTTCCAGATTGGATTGGATGATTCATTGTTTAAATTTAATTGGGGTGTGGATAATTGTCTTTGATATAATGATGGTCTTTGGTTGGAATTTGAATTCTTCATGGGCAAGGCCTTGGCACCATGGTTTGAATTGACAAAATTCTTGGGTCCATTAATTGATGGCGAGTTACCAAATGATTCAGGTGCATTGGTAACAAATTCTGAACTTTCAAACGTGCACACAACATATGGTTGACTTGCGTGAATGTCTCTTGCTTCTATAATAGTAACCTTAAGCTTACCCTTTGGTTGTGAATTCTTGGAACTTGGATTAATAGTTTGACCAGTTTCATCGGTGGTTATAATTATTGGTTGGCTCGTATTGGAATATGCTGGAACGCTTAGCTGTTGATTCTGTTGTTGCTGTTGAAGATATTCCTGTTGCTGTTGTTGTTGTTGTTGCTGTTGAAGCTGTTGCTGCTGTTGTTGCTGTTGAAGCTGTTGTTGTTGCTGGAATTGTTCTTTAGAGACATCTGGGTATGGTTGTGTTGCATTGGGTTGGTTTTGAGCATTTCCCTCACTTGCGCTTCTGAATGTTTGATTAAAATATGAGCCGGTGCTATTCGTTTTCACTGATGTTGTCCCATAAACCATGGAGTTGCTGGTGATTGCAGTTGTGGGAGCTGCACTTTGTAAGCCTCTAGGCATAAATTTGTTACCACCACCACCACCAGCGGCCGCATTGTATTCTTCACCGGTGTTACCCCCTGGGTTTGAAGCCGAGGTTTGACCCGTTGATGCAGTGGGAGGAGGAGTAGGTGATGCTGTATTATCTCTTTTTGAGAAACTTCCGAAACCAAATATCATGATGTTGTTTATACGGTTGTTTGTTTATAATTAGTAATATTGCGTAGTGGGACAACGACGATGCAGGAAAAATAATCTAAAAATATTAAAAAAGTCTATGAGGATATGTTTGTGTTAAATATGGGGTTACCCTTTAGTTGTAGTAGGAATTATAGGGCGTATAATTTAGCGGTAGATGTGGCAAACGATAATAAATAAAAATACAGGTAAAAAAACGTCTAAAAATGAATGATGGCAACCTCTCTCCTTTAAGATCTAATCCAATGAATCTGATGGTCGTTAGTAAAGTTGTAGTTGTTGACTGTTAAACACTGGATGTATTCCTTGTAGATATTTTTAATGTATTGGGTGGTTTCGACAAGGTGTAGTGTGACCAGTAGTAAGGCGTAGTTCAGGGTGAGTCAATTGGGAGATCAAACAAACTGCTGCTGTACCTTTTTTTTATGCTCTCCTTTTTTTTTGTTTATGGGTGTGTAAATCGCCAGCTGTGGTTTGCGCGTGGGTTATAGGTTGTATGATAAGATGGATGACAACCGTAGATCGATATTCTTGGAACTATCACTGGTACAATCGGTAGAGACAAGAAGATGTAACTGGCAAACTCTAAAAAAAATATGGATGGAATTGGACTGATGAGTATTTTTTTTTTTTGCTTTCGTTTCTTTTCTTTTCCCTGGTCGGAAATTGCGAAGATAAGAAAACGACTTTTTAACTACAGAGTGTGAGGTGCTACCAAGTTTTCCTCTAGACAGTAAACAATAGAAAAACTAAGAAAAAAGAAATTTAGCAAATCCCAGTAACCGAAATAACAATACAAAGGTAAAATTGTAAACAATGATAACTATGAGAGTAATGAGGTAAGATTCATTTTAGTTACTAGAAATGGGATGAGAATTACTATGGTAAAGTTAATTTTGCGCATTCGCAAAAATTATTGCGTTAATCATTTCATCTTAGTGGATGAATCCACAATTTTGGTGCTGGTTTGTGAGCATCATTCACAGGTGAAATTGAAATTCATGTGACTCGGGCAAATTCCCATTTGGGATTTAGGCTAAAGGCCAGGGGCTTCACAACCACCACCAGCCGTTGTGACTAAGGTTTTTTTTTTTGTCCTGCCAAAATGCACGACCATGTAGAAGAAGACTATTTGCAATCAAATTTACTTGGCTTATTGAATCTGATTCCTAGAGTTCAGTGGTCTGATCATGAAGTCATCGAATGGATATTTCTTGATCGGTCTTGGTCACGGCTCGAACAGGTAGGAGTTTCCTGTACGAAAGTCTCTTGGTCGATCAATCTGAAACATGCACTATCAATACACATTGGAACTAAACGTTTCACCATTGAAATAAGTCGGTATGTTGACGATAATACATGTGTCATGTGCGAGGCTGGGTAATATCATGACATGATAAAGTATAGTTCTAATCTCAGAAGCAATTCGACCTCTTGTAATTGTAACTCATATTAAACTTTCGCGAGAAATTTGTTGAATAATTAATCAAATTCACAATACCATGCTACCTTCTTAGAGACAAGAAATTTGTAACTAATGATAACAATAACGAACTACTCACTAGATTTACAAATTGCCCCGAATAGTAAGATCTCGTGATCGAAATCTAAATTGACCTTTCAACTCAAGAGTGCTATTTAGCAGCTAAAATTGCGCGGTGCTACATCTAATCCTGCATACAAACCAAACCAACCAGCCAAACGAAAATTTTCCAGTAGTATTCGATTTGATCATTTCGCGCTAGAATAACAGGGTAGTTTGACACGTTGGACACTCCGTTTGAAAGAAATCACATATACAAAGAGATCATTTCAAGATGAACTTCCTTGGGGGACTTAGAACACCATTCTCGTCCGGATTAAATTCCGTACAATCCATTATAAATACCAGACAACTCAGTTCATCATTACCTTCATTGAGTAGACACACTCCAGACAAGTACTGGAAGATTACCAGATATGTAAAACCTATAAACGAAACCGTATACGAAGCCGGCCAAGAAATGCCTTGTGGAGTTAAAGTTCCAAAGGAAAGATCAGCTTACCCTCAATATGAATATGAAACCTTATATTTCAAAAGACAAAACAGAGGGTTATACGGTGGTCTTCAACGTAGAGTTACTGCATCTCGTTCCGAATATCTTAACAAGACCTTGAGAGTTCAATTACCTAATATTAGAAAGACTAAGTTATGGTCGGAAGCATTGCAAAAATCCATCAAGACAAAAGCAAGTACCAAGGTCTTGAAGACTATTACTAGAGAAGGTGGATTAGATAAATACTTGACCAAGGAGAAACCAGCCAGAGTCAAGACTTTAGGATTGAAAGGTTGGCAATTAAGATACGATGTCTTGAAGGCCCTCGAAGACAAAGAGCTTCCAGTAGTACGTAAAGACGACAAGACAATCAGAGTAAAATACATTCACCCAGACGGAAAGCAATTCATTGCTAGTAAGGAAGAATTATTAGCACAATTGCATGCTCATGTTCAAAACGACAGTTATTATCCTATCGAATGGGCTAAATACCAAAAGGAAAATGTGCATTTATCATTTGGAGATATCGTGGAACAGTTAGAAGGGTACAACTTCGACTTTAGCCAAGTTACTGCCAAATAAGTTTAATGATCCTGTAAATAGACATCATGAATATAATAATTTATCAAATAGCATATCGTTAGCAGTTGCAAGTGTAGCATTTAACGTGTTTGGATATTCCTCAAATCGGTTGAAAAATAGCAGTCACAAATTCACGTGATCAAAATTTCCCAAGAAAAAAAGAGTTTGCACGTGACAAGACAACAAAAATTCTCATACATTTTTTTGTGCCTTACTACTACAGTATTGTACATGTTCTATATACAGGAAACCATCAAATTCTTTTTTTTTTCCCTCTTCCATTTTCCTACAGTCTCAATAAAAAAGAAGTTTGAAAATTTTTAAAGAACTCTTTCTTGATTTTATAGTACCATACAATTGCATATAGTTAAAAATGGCTAAGTCAGGTATGTGACATACCCACACAATACAAGTGAAATAACGTATCCCTACATGTTGAACTTTCATTTAAATCATCGAATCCGAATACGCACAAGAGAAGTCCCCAAACAGTAGAATGAAATAAACGACAACCCAATATTTTACACAACCACATACAAGAACAATAATTATAAACTGGCTGTTCAATGAGAAAACTTAAATCAAATAAAGAATTTAAAATTTGAAAACAGGAAGATGTTTGAACTTAATATTACAGATCTAACTTGTAATTAGATATCTCAACAAGCACTACTAATTTTCAATTTTTGATCTGAATCTACCACATTAGACAAATTATAGTCCAAGGGATACCGTTATATTAAATCTATGAATAAATATACTAACATTTAACTAGGTATTGCTGCTGGTTTAAACAAGGGTCACAAGACTACCGCTAAGGAAGTCGCTCCAAAGGTTTCCTACAGAAAGGGTGCTTTAAGTAAGAGAGCTGACTTTGTCAGAAACATCGTCAAGGAAGTTGCTGGTTTAGCCCCATACGAAAGAAGATTGATTGAATTGATCAGAAACGCCGGTGAAAAGAGAGCTAAGAAGTTGGCCAAGAAGAGATTGGGTACCCACAAGAGAGCTTTAAGAAAGGTTGAAGAAATGAACAAGGTCATTGCTGAATCTAGAAGACACTAAATGCATAATGTTTTTCTAGAAACATCAAATATTTAATAAACATAAATGTATAAAAAGCAAAACTTTGAAATGGAAAATCTAATGTTCTCTTAGAGTTGAGGAAATCAGGTTGTCTATGTTTCTTTCTGTATCATTCTTTTACTTTGCTTCGGTATAGAAGCGTGATGGTTAATATATCTTACGTTAAAATTTTATTACTGTAGTTTAACAATTTCCGCCTCTAATGCGAATGCTCTCCAATATTGATCGCCAAAAAAAAAGGGCAACACCTTCGGTCCACCTCTACTTGGAACTGACAATAGCTACAAAATGGTAAGACCGAGTCAAATAATAAGACTCAATCTTTCTAAAAGATTAAGATCAGCAATTCCTCCACCTGCATACTTTGCAAACCCCCAAGACATACCGCATCCTTATCAAGTGGACAATGGCAAATCAAATAAGGACCTTGTAGTGGAAGCTGGATCACAATCGGTACCAGCACAAGCACCATCAGCAATACAATATAACAATTCATCATCTTACAATAATGCTTCCTCGCAGCAATCATATCCACACCTGAATGATGGTCATTTTCGAGAAATTGCTTCATTGTTGGCCATGGTAGTATTATCGTACATTGCCGTAGACAACTACACCGAACGGACAAAGCTTGAAAAACTCCACAACCAAACAACAGCTATCAATTTAAAGGCATTGCAAATCCAGCAAGCTGCTCATAACAACGATAGAAAGACCAGAGACCTCCAAATGCTCCAAGAAAGAAAGGAGATGGCAAAAAGAACATTCAAAATGGGATTACATATTGCTATATTAAGGAAACAATTACTTGAAGCAGGAATTGATCCAATTAACTTGGATGAAGCAGTTCGTGAATTTGAAAAGAGTGTTAGAGCCGATAACTCTAGTAAGAATGTTAGCGACCAATACTTATGGTTAGATGATTCCTCAGGTAAGTATAAAGTTTCGACAATGTAGCATTTCAGTTTACTAACTTTACACTTTAGAACTTAAGAAATACCTTCCTAATCCTTGTGATTATGATAAAATCCGCAAACTGGACTAGCATATTCGGTATATAGAAAGTGATCCCTTATATGATATCATTAAAAAAAAAAAAACAAACATAAAAGATTACCCGCACAATGCATCTGTAGTATAAAAATTTTCGTGAAGTTGACCAAATTTGTCTAAATGTTTTTACCCTTTCTTTCTATAATGTCTTTAATATTGGCGCCCATTAGAGTCACGGATTATGTGATATTTCCTCCACATATAATCTTATTCACTATGTGATGTCTTCGTGCTCGGGTAAGCCATAGATCTAATGTTTTTACCAGCCCAGCTTTGTCGAGTCTTTTGGATTGAATGGAGGACTACGCGGTTCTAAACATACATTGTAAATTACAGCTTAAGCTCTTTATTTTTTTCTTTTGAAAATCAGTGTATTTCTATATACATGTTTTATCTTCTACGTGGTTCTATTAGCTCAGCATCTATTTGTCCCAATGACCTTTGCTTCAATTTGAGTTGAAGTAAGTTGAATTTGGGACAACAAACACTGGATGCTTCAGGACCATTCTCTTGATAGAATTGCTTGCAGCAGAGGTATAATTCGTCTATGTATTTCGTACATTTGGATTCATTGTACCCATTTCGAAGTAGACAATCTTGAATTGCACAGGCATTTGATTTGCATGTTTCGTTGACCTCGGACATGTTCTCTTTGTATGCGAAAGGTTGGTTATTATTCTTTCAAGGAATAAAATTAGTGGATAGCTCTCAAACGTAGCTTAGTTATTCTCTCTGTCTATTATTTTTGAACAGTTGTTAGGAAGAGCAGATATAATTACGCTTGTACTATTGGATTGTAGATCGGCGAGCAAAAAAACAATTGCTACAGAGCACTATCTGATTAAGCTAATAAATATTATTCTTTATTATGTACATGATTAAACAGTGAGAGAATCCAATCATGCATTATAATCATCGCTATCCTCTTCATCTTCATACTCACTAGGCTCATATATCATCAATGGTGCAAAGTCACTTCTTGCTTCCGCCTTGGCGGAATTACTTCTACTGATGTAAAACGTAGTACATGAAGCGAAAATGGAAATCATGATGGTAATGATCCCCCACCGAGAAAGATACCATCTCAAACTTTCAATTTCTGATCTCATTGCTGAATTCAATTCCGTCGTAATCTTATGGTTTGTTTCTTGAATCCGCAAAAACATCCCCTTGGAATTCAAGGTGTTCTCCGACTTTTGATCGTTGATAGCTACTTGAGCATCATTTCTCATTTGAATGAAATCACTATTTAACTCATCGGTTATGGTACTGAAGTCACGCTCCAAGACATTAATCAACTCTATCAATTCATGAATATGCTGCTCTCGAGATCTAGTGATGTCGACCCGTAATTCCTGTTGAGCACTTTCAAACAAATACTGCTCATTTTCAAGTTCGTAATTCTGCGAATACTTGCTTGGTAATTTAGATAATTTAGAGTTCAATTGACATATTAACAAGCTGATCACTTTATCTGCTTGCGTCGGTGTGAACCCCGCGGCAGTTAATTTGGTGTACACCAGATAGGTGTCCATGTAGGGTTCCATACCTTCAAATATGCTACATAAGGTGTCATCTTCGGGAGTGGTAGCAGGTGCTTCAGTTGGTTCTGTAGGTTTGTTTTCTTTATATATCGGATTGTCTGCTTTGATTATTGGTTCTGTATTTTGCAGGATATTAATTGGAGTCTGCTGCAGGGATTGCTGTTGTTGAAGTATGGGATTAAAAGTATAAAAGCACCGTAGTATATACTTTGATCGTATTATTGGAAGTTGGGTATGCGTTGCATACGCTATGTATGGGCTTATTGGTTGATTTAACTTTGCCCTCAATCGAAGGAACGGGGTTTGCCTGATCATCAATGAGAATTTCCCCCTTAGATGCTACTTAATTTTTAAAATAATGGTATATAACACAATATATGTCACCTCAGTTATGATATAATAATTAGATACTGAAATTTTTTAGATTAATAGTGATATCCATCACATAGTAAGAACTTTAAATAGCAAAACCAGTTTTATGCGTGCCACACAACAACACGCAAACAGAGCCAAGGGGAAAGACATCCTGCACATAAAACACTCTGATTTGGGTAACACATAGCGAGACAAACAATTTAAATATTAACAGCCAAAGGACTTGCAACTTGACGTGGTGATACCGGGGAACGTACGTCAACACTAGGTTGAAATTCTAAATTCTTTACTTTTTTGACATAATGAGCAATATTTCTGCTTTGGGCCATTCTTAAAACAGTATTACTGGGAACTTGGGTCCCTTTGGGAGATTCAATTGGTTGATCTAATGCATAATTGTATAGGGATTTGGAAAAGAACGGGAACCCAAATTCCAAATCGGAAAATATCACCATAGACTTTGTTTTATCGTCAATGCTTTGGTCAATGCATGCATATCCCAATAAACTGTTGTTTACCCTGCCACTATTACACGGAGCAACGATCAAATCTGGAGTAGAAGGAAGTTCTTCATTGAATACGTTATCACTTGATTCAAGTGATTCCTGAAGAATTTTCGAAGTTAATTTCTTGAAATTTGTTTCTCGAATTCGAAGATCACATAAGTTTACCACTAATTGCCGTTGTTCCTCATAAGAACTCAACACGTCTTCAATTTCAATATGTTGATCATTTCCAACTATATCATCAGGTTCATTAACAGAAAATCTAGTCTTATTGAACCAGTCAACTAAAGTTATTGAAGGTATACAAGCTTTAAATTCTTGCAATTCATGTTTCTTACATGAACTAGCAAATGATTCCAATTCAACAAGAATGGAATTCTTCATAGCTTCAATCCCATTGTAGTCTTCAGCATCCCATACTATACCCTGTTTCTCATAAATGGTCAACTCGTTAATACTGGGAACCAAACAGCACCAAGTAATAAACCTACTTATATCTCGTAAAAGCCTAACTCGCTCAGCAGCAATATGTGATTTGTACTGGGTGAAATATTCATTCCTAACGGCAATCACAAATTGGACTTCCTTCTTATCTGGAACTTGAATATTTCTGTCTGCATCTAAATATGGTTGAGGAATCTCAGGAGGTGGTAGTAGCACATGAGGAGTCAAGTCTAAAATTAATGTAACACTTGAAGGGGTGTTTGCTTTTGGGATGTATCGTTTACAATTGTCAAGCCCTATCGGAGTATTTATAAATACTTGTTTGGAAACTCGTAGTAATTCTGCTGGAACATTAAGTAATATTCCCCAGTAAAACACAATTGCATTCGCAATCAATACGAATGGATTGGTTGAATCTTGCGGTCTGGAATTCAATGAATTCAATTGTAAATCAAACCAGAATACTTTTAAAAACATCCATGCATTCAGTAAATACAGACGAATTCCAAACATTCTCATATAAACAAACAAGAGAATGGTTAAAAGTACCCGCAGAACATGCACACCAAAGAGATCCAAGGTTGAATACTCCTCTCTAGATGTATCCAATGCATTCAACACCTGTCCAGAAGTCAATCCTAAGCTTGAAGCAGGTAATCCACTAAACTCTTGAATCCCAGTTAACCGTTCGTATAAGGCACGATCATTAACTGATTTAGTAAACATGTTTAAGGCAAGGGGGGGGGGGAACAACATCAACAAATGTGTTGCAAAAAAAAGTTGATCTACTTTTTAAATCCGTGCGGAGTTTTCCAAATGATTAAACTTAAATAAATTAACTAAACAAAGTGAGCGAAACTATAAAATCTATAGACAAATCAATAGTCAAACAAACTAATATACAGAAGAACTGAAAATAATCTCAATAAAATTCTAACTTTATTGTTCCATAGCAACATCTTCTTCAACGGCAGCTTCTATTTCATCAGTGGTGCTACTGTCTTTATCTTCTTCGTATGGAGCAATAGTGATAGCATATCTATTAGCTTCTTCCAAAGGAGTTTCTTCGGTTGGAATAATCAATTCTAATTCGTCATCGCCAACAAATCTAGCTTGAATTTCTTCGAACTTGATCAATTGGTCAAATTCAACATGTTTTTCAAAACAAATTTCTTGGTTCTTGTAGTCTTTAATTAAGGAAAGGGCATCTTCTTGGATTTCTTCATCTTCTTCATCATCTTCTTCAAATCCAGTCCAGTCGTATTCCATGGTGTCATCAACTTCGCTTTCAGCTTCGTAGTCTTCGTCGTCTTCCTCTTCTTCGTCATCTTCTTTTTCGTCTTCATTTTCTTCAGCTGGAGCAGCAGCAGATTCAGATTCTTCCTTTTCTTCATCTTGTTCTTCTTCTTCTTCTTCATCATCTTCTTCATCACTGACTTCTTGAAGAACAACTTCAGCTTCAATATCGTCTTCACTTTCATCTTCTTCTTCATCTTCATCATCTTCTTCAACTTCTAAATCACTTTCAACAATGTCATTGAAGTTCAATTTACCCTTGATGAGCAATTGGTTTTCATTCTTTAAAAACTCAATCTTTAATTCATCCCTAACCAAAGATGGTAATCTCAAGTTCAACTTGTAAGTATGGTCATCCAATTGGACCAATTCACAGTCTTTGCTATCAGCCAATTCATCAGCCAAGTCAATGACGTCATATTCATCATCGCTGTTTTCAGCTTGTAACAAACCATCATCATCATATAATTCATGGTCACTTTCTTCTTCTTCATCGTCATCAGATAAGTTGTCATATAAAACTAATTCATCATCGGTGGAGTCTTCTTCACTTTCACCTTCTGGTAAGTCAAATCTATGTTTGTAGATAGTGATACCTTCTTCATCATCAGAAGAGTCAGAGCTGTCATCTTCGTAGTCGTAATTATCTGGATTACCAGCATCATAATCACTTTCGTCATCTTCTAATTCACTGTCAACTTCAAAGTATTCAGGTTCGGAACCTAATTCAGAATCTTCATCTTCAGATAACGCAATTTCATCATCGCTGACTAATTCTTCTTCGAATGCTTGTCTGACACTTTCAAGAATCAATTGGTCTCTCAATTCTTTAGGATTACTAGAATATTCAATATCGTAGTCATCATCATCTTCTTCTTCGTCGTCTTCTTCTTCGTCATAGTCAGATTCAGAATCGACTTCGCCGTTCAATAATTGTTGAATTGCTTCAGCTTGCAATTGATCGTTCAAGTCAACAATGTCGTAAATGTCAACTGGATCGACATCAGAATCAACGTCATCCGACAGGTCTAATTCGGAATCAGATTCGTCGTCATAGTATCTAACCAACTCGTCATTCAAGTCATAAACTTCACCATCGGCTTCTAATTCATCAACGGCATCGTTTTCTAATTCGTCATTCAAGTCAACAACATCATCTCCGTCGTAGTAGACAACGTCATCGCTTTCTTCGCTATCATAGTCTTCTTCGTAGTCGTCTTCGTCAGCATCTTCATTTTCATTAAGATCGAATTCATATGTTTCACCTTCATCAGATTCTTCATCAGCATATTCAGCGTCAGATTCTGGTTCTTCAACATAAACATATTTCTTCAACGGTCTTTCTTGAAACCTGTGGTGTTTGCCATGTCTGTGGTGACCAGGACGTTCACCAGCAAAATAGTTCTTTCTGGTGTATCTGTTATTATATCTTGGTCTGAAGGAAGTCATTTTTTAATTATTTATATTCTATAGTGTTCTACCGTTGTAATCCAATCGATACTTTCTTTGAACCAAGCTGATAAACTAAAGGAATTACTCCATACTTTATAGAAAATTTTCAATCATGAAAAAAGTTTACACGAAGAGGCCGTGCGGCTCGATGGTTTTCCTAAATAGGACACATACATTTCAATTCACGTGTTTGCCAGCACAAGGAACGTTCGAGAAAATTTCTTTTTATTTAGTGGCACTTTCAAGCGCGCACAAAAATGCACCATAGAAAGTCGAAGAAGATGAGGGAAGGAAAAATCTTTTTTCCCAAGTGTTACCCGCACACAAACTTAGTATAAATACTAGCCATTCCCCTAGTCTCCCTTATTCTGAAAACCAAATCTCTTTGCCTTTTGGCTTAGATCACGTGTAGTATCTGTTCTTTTCAGTGTAACAACTGAAATGTCATCATTGATGACTTCAATAATACGTTACATTTTTATTTTTGGACTTCAGGGTAGAAAGATCTGATGGGCTTGCTCACAACTTTCTACACAGTGTCGTTGCCATTGCACTTACTTCGGCTTCTGACGCAAACTTTCTTTCACATATTTTTAAGTCTTGCATTGTGCTAGTTTGTACAGAAGCTATCATAATGATGATTTAAAGGATGGAAAAGAATAGTGCTTATCAAGAAATTTTATTGTATCAACAAGGTCGCCGTATGGTTGTCTCTCCTATTGTTGTTCCCATTTTGGAAAGATCCGATTTAGAAAAAAAAAAAAGAAAAAGAAAGCTTAACGCTCTTTCTGATAACGTAAGCATAATTAAAGGTACATCCCTATGAAAAAATACCATACACGCCACTTTTCAACATAAGCAGCGTCGTCATTGCACCGTAAAGACATTTAGATTACAAACATGGCTGACCCCGATGGGTCCGAAAGCACACAGAGTTCACTGAATTCTTTACCTCAGCATAATGGTTTGTTCCCCAGTCTAGTGAACAACAACAACAACAACAACAACAATATACAAAACTTTCCCAGGCAGAGCTACGACGGCGACTATTCCGAAGGAAGTGATTCAAGCAACTCTGAATCATTTGTTCATCTACGAAATGTTTTCCTACCACAGCATTCGAATTGTAAACTACAAATGGAAGAAGTGGATTTGTCACAGGACCTGGGCTTTGATCCAGGAGCAGGGCTCTCGCCTGTTGATGAGCAATCTACTGTTTCTAGAATTTCACTAGAATCTTCCGTGGTGGACGATATGGCGGAAAATATAATGAGTAATGGAAACACTGATGTTGACGGAGGTGCATTCAAATTTTTACGACTTTACGAAAGAACATATAAACAAAAGAGAAAGAATGAACGAATACGACAAATTACAGACAATATGAAGAACCAAGAGGAGATTCCTTTACAAACCATGAACTCAAACTCAAGTTCTGTATTTCATTTATCGAATTTGGATGACTTCACTAAATATGTCAAAGAGACTGCTTTAAATGATGAGCTTTATGCTAGAATGGCAAAGAAACTTCCACAAGATGGTACTGGGCTAAATAATCAATTAAATGTTATTCAAGAAACTGATCTTGCCGACAATTTTTATGCTGGAAGTGAGATGGAACACCAAAAGAGGCATGCAAGATCTAGATTAAAAGGATGGATCCATAATAAAACCTTTAATCCCCTTCATGCAACCAATTCTGAAGTAAGCGAGTTGAATTACAACGCCAACAAACCAATCTCTCCAAGCTCATCCGATGAAGGTACTAAACGAAGATTCTTACAAAGAAGTTTGAAGGTCAGGCACTTGCAAATGATTTCTTTAGGGGGTACATTGGGAGTTGGGTTAATTTTAAATTCCGGTAAAGCATTTACCATTGCAGGAGGATTTGGGGCAACATTAGCATTTTTCATTATGGGATTGATAGTATTGGCAACAATGATGTCCTTTTGTGAAATGGTAACTTTTGTATCTGTGGTTGACGGAGTTTCCGGGTTAAGTTCACGATTTGTGGATGATGCATTTGGATTTGCTGCAGGTTGGTTGTATTTCTTTTGTTTTGCATTTGGAGTAGCTGGTGAAATTGTTGCTGGTGTTATCATGTTGTCGTTTTTTCCTAATCTTCAAACTACAAAGAGCCAAGGTTCAGCAGCTGGATTCGTTACGTTCTTCTTTGTTGCAATTTTAGGAAGTAACTTGTTGGATATCAGGATTTTCGGAGAAATTGAATATATGTCCAGTTTGATCAAAGTTCTTTTCATTTCGGTTATGATGATAGTAATGATTATTCTTAATAGAGGTGGTATGGGAGGTGATGTACTTGGGTTCAGGTATTGGACACATCTGAAATCAGATTTCGAAAACAATATAATCTTTGGTTTATTTAGACCAACATTTAATTTGCATGATACTGGGACAAGTTCACCAACAGAGGGAATTGGTGGTGATTTAGGAAGATTTATGTCATTTTTGGTTGCATTATTGGTGGTGGCCTATGCTTATAGTGGGACAGAAATTGTTTGTATTGCAGCATGTGAAGCTAAAAACCCTAGAAAAACCTTGCCTTCAGCCACTAAAAGAGTGTTTTGGAGAATTCTTCTTTTCTATGTATTGGCTACATTCTTGGTTTCGTTGAATATTTATGCCGGTGATCCTAGATTGTTGAGATATATCCGACCAAAAATGGCAGTGGAAGATTTCCAGTCAAACCCTGCTATTAATGCGGTTGGGGGTATTCATTGTAATTTTGATCCAACTTATTTTGCTGGATATCCCAGTGGTGCACAGAGTCCATGGATTGTTGCATTGCAAAGTGTCGGACAGTGTAGGTTTGGATCAGTTGTCAATGCATTTTGGGTTTTCTTCGCCGTTAGCTGTGGGAATGCTCAATTATACGTGAGTTCAAGAACCGTATATTCACTTTCACTTCAAGGTAAGGCACCAAGATTTCTTAGTTATTGTAATAGATATGGTACTCCGTACAATGCGGTGCTATTAGCTGGTAGTTTTGGATTGTTTGCATATTCATGTGTTTCTGAATCGGCCACGGTTGTGTTTCAAAACCTTTCTACAATTACCGCGTCATCGGTTATCTTTATTTGGTTTGCAATGTGTCTTACATATATTCGATTTTATTATGGTCTTAAACGAAGACCGGATATTTTAAGTCGAGATGATGAATCATACCCTTTCAAATCTCCTTTCCAACCATATACTGCATTGGTGGGATTAGTTGGAACTGGGTCTATCATATTTGCCCTGGGTTACACTGTTTTCTTGACGGGTGAATGGAACACATTGTTTTTCTTTTCAAGTTACGGGACATTAATTGCCTTTGCCATATTGTATTTGGCATACCGGTTGATTAAAGGAACGAGTATACCAAGTTTGGATCGTTTAGACTTTGATGCGGGTAGAACTGAAATGGATAGATATATTTGGGATGCTGGTAGAGATTATAACGTTCGGAGCTTCAAAGATGTTGCACAAAAGATTCTTTCATTTCTTGCTTGATATTACTAAAGTTTATAATGTATTAAATATACTTGTTTTCATAAAAGTAATAAGTTTATATAAAGAGTTTTGTGAAGAAATGTTCAATTTTATACCAAATTCATTGTATTTCGTGCTGGTAAAGAAATCTTAAACATATTTTCAGCCAATAGATTGTACTACGATACCTCAGTGTTAATCCAACACCGATTAAAGCGACTGTGCAGCGAAACATCAAACAATTACTTCTCAGCCTAACCGCTAATTAAATTGTGTGGAGCAAGTTAGCCGAATCGTCAAATTGTCCCAAATAGGAAATGCTGCCAAATTTAGCGAGAGAAAAAAAATCAGGCACAAAAATTTATAGAGAAAAAAAAACGGCCGATTTGATTTCGATTTCCTAATTGTTGCCTCTAACAAGTAACTGTATCCAACTCAACCATGACGTGGACACCAACTGATGCCTTTTTGAGAGGTAAGATTGTCAAGGCATTCTTGCCCTTTGATAAACATCCCAATTTAGTTAATGATAACCTTAGAAACTTGTATCCTGGTGACGAAGTTTATATCTTTGAGACAAAAGATAATAAGTGGGCTAGAGGGTATGCTATATCCAAGCCCTTTCCCCATGACTTTGTTATGACCTCCGTTAACTTAGATGACTTGCCTAGTGATAACTGCAACGTTGTTGTTTTCCCTTTGAAATATGTTAAAGTTCAACAAGTTGTTCCATTTCCAGAGGTGAAAATTGAAGCTGTATCTCCCCAGAAGAGCTTACACGTTGTTCCTTCTATTAGTGAAATTGAAAGAGCTGAGAAGGGACCTGAGGAAGAATCTAGAGAAATCCCCAAGTTACCTAATGATTTTGGTTCTAAGAACGTTGGCAATCTTATCGAAGAAATTGGCTATTCTTTGGAATTAATGAATTCTCACCTTTTTGCTTTGTACTCCATTGGGGAATTTAGATTATTCACTAGATTAGTTGCACTTTTCCATGAGTTACACCAAACCAAAATCAAGTTAAGCAACAACTTACTTTCCACCAATGAAGCTATTTATGCCAAAGAACAAGCCACTCATTTATTGAACAAGATTCCCAAAAAATTGGCTTCCAGAGCTGCTCGTTTGAATGAAAAAAGTTATGATTTGGATAACAGAGATACTGATATCTCTGGGTACAAGTCAATCTTAGCTAGAGAAACTCTTTCTGGTGAAATTCTATCATTGGATGGCACCATTCCCGCAAGAATCGCTTTAAACAGTGAGTTAGGTGCTTTGGTTGGGAATTATCCAATCCATGCCCATTTGAACCAAGCTGATTATGACTTGAAATCCCAAGGTAACAAGAAATTACTTCGTGAACCAAACATTTGTTCCCATATTCTTGTTGATTTCCAACAAGTTTCTGGTTCATCAGCTTATCAACCTCCAGGTTTTGCTGGTATGACTGCTTACATGTACCTTCGTAACTCCACCAAGAGATTAACCGAAGCTTTTGCCGTTCAAACCAATACTGTTGACGATTTGGTTGATATTGAAAAACTCAGTGCTGCTCTTTTCCTTAACCTTCCAATTACTGAAATTGATAATAACCGTATTTATCTTGTTGCTGTTTTGACTGAAGAAATTGATATCACCATGAAATTGCCAAGTCATCAACTGCAATACCTTAAGCGTGTTAAAAAGGGTATTGCCGTTGGTGTAGCTGATATCACTAGAGTTTTCTCTTCAAACGAAGGTGCTTTAGCCTCTGGTGAATCTCATAGATTTGCAATTTCTTTGTATGCTTCTTCAATCAAATACAACAATAACAATGAAATTCTTGATGTTGAAGGTAATGATGGTTGGGGTGGGTTAGCCGACCGTATTATTTCCAATTCCAGTATTGGGGTGTTTGTTAATCCTAGAGCTGAAAAATTGATTGTTACCGTTAAGGAATTTAAGAATCAATTAGGTAATGGTTATAACAACCATAGGGAAGTCCATACAGGACCAATCTCGAGAATTAAACCAATTTTCTTTGATCCCTTAGCTGAAAATTATGAACGTATCTATTTGAATATGGGTAAACTTAGTTTGATTCATAATCCAATGAGAGACGATTTATTGACTATTGAAGTTAGTGCTCCAAATAATGAATTGATTGCATTTGCCAAAGGATCCAACCAACAAGAAAAACGTACTTGGCAATTAGTTTCGGTTAATCCTGAAGAAAGTATTGGTGAAATTGTTAAAGTCAATGGGATTTCGTTACAAAACCCATCTAAGAAACTTCCCAAGGAAGATTTCCTTTTGTTGACATTATATGTCAATGGTGCTTTAGCTGGTCAAGGGAAACTTCTTTATAAAGCAGGCAACAAATTGGTTGAATTCCACAAAAGGGCAATTGATATTAAATCGTTAAACAATAAAGTTGTTATTGGTCGTGTTGAAGTTAGTACTGAATATATTGGAAAGATTTATAATTCCGACATTTCAATTGATAATATCTTCCAATATCAAAGTTTGATTAGTCAAGGTCCATCCGGAATTGATGTTCTTTCCCAATCCATGGAAAATTTCTGTAAATTGGGTGTTTCTCAACTTGTCAAGTATTTCCCTGAGTTATTAAGTTCGTTCCATGGTATTGTCGATTGTGTGTTGAATAATGAAAATATGGAAAATAAGGAAACTTTCCTTGATCTTATGTTTAGATCCACCATTCACTTGATGGATGTGCTTTTCGGAAAGAAGGAACAATATTTGCAACTTATTGAGAATTATTCTATCAAGTATAGAAGTCCACCACAAGTTGGGATTTTCTATTTGTCAACCATTGCCAAAGTTTTCCATAAAGTTGATGTTGAATGGAATGCAGTTTCAAGAGCAATGTGTCGTGTGATTTCATATATCATGAGATTGGCTATTGTATCCATGAAGGGAGTTACTGACCAACAAGAAGAGTACTACAAATCTTTAGGTATGTTATTTATGGGAGTGGCTAAATTCTTGGCTGTTCCAACACCTAATTTAGCTGAAGATCAAATTCTTATTATGAATATTGTTGATTATGTCTTATCATTCAGACTGAGTATGGATCCTGTGAGAATTATTATTTCCATTGTTGGATTCTTAGATGCCATTGGAACTCGTGGTTTGGGAGCAAATGAAGAAAGTTATGGACAAACTCAAGTTATCAAGGGTTCAAAAGGACATGAAGTTATTATTGGGAAATTGCTTTTGAACAACCGTTTGCTTCATTCTAAATACATTGATAACCATAAAGAAGTTAGAAGATTACTTGTTAGTAACTCTGTTCGTTGGGCATTTGAAGTATTAACTGGTGCAACAGATATTGATGCCTCAAGACTAGCATGCACTAATCTTAATACTGTTTGTACTATTTTGTGGGAGAAGGTTTTACCAAGTAAAGATCCAGAAGATATTCAAATGTGTTATTCATTAACGAAATTCCTTCCAGTACTTGCCAGTGTGTTCAGTAAGTACAATACCTATTTGAGAACAAATGATCAATTTAAACCAAAGCGTACATTCACCAATCTTTTCCCGACCCAATACCCATTCCGGGAATTCTCTATTGATTCAATTGTTAATGATGAAGTTATGGTGGAATTATTAGTTGAAATAGCAACCTGTTTTTCCTTTATGGGTATGATTGGTAAGAATGCCGCTGGTGAAGAAGGTATACTTAGGTTATTAGAATTTGAAATCAAGGACGATTTCTTTGATGCAGAAAAGTATTTAACAAGCAACTTTGGTAGTAAGGATCTTATTGAGATGATGAAGGGTCTTAGACATATTAGACAAGGGTGGTATTTCCCTGAAGATAAATGGTTGTCACTTTACGCCGTTATTGGTGAAGGTTGTTTATGTGCATTGGAATTAATCAGTCCATTGCTTTTGGCCGAGCATATCCCATTGCAAGATGATATGGATTCATTTGATATTGTTCTTTGGGGAATCTATTTTAGAAACTTACTCAAATTAGGTACAATTGCCCCTGTATCTGTAGAACATTTGTCTGATCTTCCCAGAAGAGCTTGTTCTCAAATCACAGGAACGATGCGTGACAGAATTGCTGGTTTACTTTCGAAGGCATGGGATGCCTTAGGATGGTATGCTTCAAATGAAGATATTGCTAGATTCAACTTCGAAAAATATGGTGGGTATCAAATTGAATTCTTGGATAGTAGTGCTTATGGAATTTTACCCGAATTAATGTTATTTGCCTTACAGAGAAATAAACAATGTCAAGAAGTCTCGGCCAAGATCATTTGGAGTTGCTTGATTACTGAATATAACGTGACCGAAAACATCAATGAACTGACCAGACAAATCTTGTATGGGTTACATGAAATTTACCATAGATTTGCCTACAAGCCAAAACCTAGTGAACAAGAGTCGTTTATTTCTCAATTGAAAGCTACTATTAGGTTGGATGTTGAAGATGAAATGTTTGGTGATGTTTACGATTTTGTTCATAATCTTTCAAGATACATGGATGCTTTGAACTATTTGCTCAGTGTTCCTGTTGGCCCTGAGTTTAACGATGATAGATCATTCCATGAAATCAATTGTCGATCATATTTGAGAGATGCAGGTAAAGAAGAAGTGCTTGGAAATTATGTTAGCAGCATGTATGAAGAATATCTTAACAGCAAGGATTACATTCAAGCTGCATTGAGTTTGGAATTATATTCTACCATTTACACATGGGACCAACAAACCATTGTACCACAAAGTTATAAACCTAAGTTGGCTCAACAAACTTCATTTGAAAGAAAGGAATTGTTGTATACCATGATTGCTAAGAATTATATCAAGGGTAACTCCTTGGAACGTGCAATTGATGCTTATAATGGATTGTTAGACGCTTATCACGAACATACTTTAGATTTGAAGAGTTTTTCATATGTTCACAGTAAATTGGCTAAATTGTATTTGGATTTAGAATCTTCGGATAAGTTGACACCCTCATACTTTAGAGTGGAGTTTATCGGTACTGGATTCCCATTGTATATCAGAGGCCGTGAGCAAATTTATCAAGGGATGCCATTCGAACATATCACTTCGATTTACAAACGATTATTGAATATTTTCCCAGGGGCAAGAATTATCTCTGAAGAGAATGAAGCTAGAAATGCCAAGGAAAAATTTAAGAATGGTAGGTTCTTGTATGTTTCTGTCGTTGAACCAGTTGATGAAATTTCCGACAAGGTGTTCAATACTTCGATTGGGGTTAGACAATATGCTAGAAATAGAGATTTGAGATTCTTCACTACTATGAAGAGACTTCCAGGATACTCTTCAGTGTTTGATTTATGGACTGAAGAAACAACCTATGAAACTCAACTTTCATTCCCAACATTAATGAATAGAAGTTTCATTAAGGAATCCAAGACAGTAAAGCTTTCACCATTGGACAATGCCATTAGAACCTTGATCAACAAGAATAACGATTTGATTCAATTGGAAAGTAAGATCAATCAAGCACTTAAGGAGAAGCACGAAGTTGGTGCATTAACTATGGAAATGACTAGACAACTTTCCGGAACTGTTGATTCACCTGTAAACGGAGGTGTTGGTCAATACCGTGACTTCTTGTCTAAATTAGATCAAGACGAAGATAAATTGAGATTATTAAAGAGAGCTCTTGATGATCTTGTCATGATCTTGAATAGATGTTTACAATTACATGGAAAGATTGTTACTCCAAATTTGAAGGCAACCCATGATAATATGCTTGACCAATATAAGAAGAACTTTAAGGATGAAATTGAAGCATTGACGATTTCCGGTGAACTTAATGGTGTACTGAACTCCAACAAGATCCAAAGAATGTCATTGATTAGAAAGGATAAGGATCCTGGATCTCCTCTTAGACAATCACGTACGAATAGATCTAACGGTTCGTTAGGTACTTCTACAACGACTTCATCCATGAGTGGACGTATGTCAAGAACAAACAGTACAACGACGTTTAACACTGTTCGGTTAGAACGAGTTCAATTGTTTAAACTGGCAATTGAGTAGTGTTTAAGTTTTATACGATTAAATATATGAATCAATTATGGAATTTTCTCGTAGATATATAGTAAAGTACTAGATTTAAAATGCCAGGCATATAGGACCGGCTCATTTGAGCATTACTGGGTTAATGTATCGGCATTTTTACCCATTTAAGTAGAGTATTGCCCGGGATGACTTAACTGCAAATTAACCAGTAAAAATGTCGCAACCTCCCCCTTAACCTGTAAACTGTAAATTTGTGCTTTTTTTTTCGGATTCGTCCAGAGAGAAGTTGACAGAATTAAGTCATTGGAAAAAAAACTCCAAAGGACGACAAACCCCATTTTTCATTTTAACTCACTTGATTTGATATAAAAGAATATTTCCAAGATGTTTAGATTAGCTGCCCGTTCTATTCGTGTTCCAATTGTTAGAGCTTCCATTGTTAAGCCAATTCGTTTCTACGCTGCTCCACCAATCACCAAAGACGAAGTCACCAAAAGAGCATTTGAAGCCTTAAAGACCGTTGCTGCTATACAAGAATCCAAACTTTCATTAGAAGCTTCTTTCCAAAAGGATTTGGGATTAGATTCATTAGACACTGTTGAAGCATTAGTTGCATTAGAAGAAGAATTCGAATTGGAAATCCCTGATAAGATTTCTGACGAAATCAAGACTGTTGGTGAAGCCGTCGAATATATCTTTAAAGAAGAACAAAAGTATTAGTGAAATACGAATTGATATTGAAGATGGGATCAAGATAGGTCCTTGTCTAACTTTTGTACAACTGTAAATATATTATTATTTTTGAGAAAATCAGGTTTATATAGCTGAAAGTAAGAACTTTTTGCATGAATATTGCAGTGTAGTATTCTTTAGCTCTCAGTAGGCACTCTATCATATATTTCACTCATGTGTAGGTGGTGATACTGATCTCCTTGTATCTTCTCTGTAAGCAAACGAAGATCTCTTTTAATTGGTTCGATTTAGGCACATGATCTTGCATCACGTGCGGAGAAAAGGAAGAGGGGCCACCTTATTTTTTAGGGAGTCTGATTTACTAGAAGTGGCAACCAAACTGTTCAATAAACATTTGAAGCTTACAATGCCAGCAGAAATTCCAGATACCCAACGGGAAAGTGCTTCTGGAATCGAATCCAATACTTTAGTTGATGAATCAGTATTATCTCATACTGAAGATGAAGAAGAAGAAGACGACGAACACGAAGGTGATGACCATGGGGAAAATGATGCAGTTCAGTATCCTGGTACTGTACTTCCTGATAACAATGTTGAATCAATTGAAGCTGATCAAGATTTAGCTTCAACTTACGACATCGATACTGACTATATAGATTTGATTCATTTGAAAATCGGATCAATTGAAGATTTGAATTTGTCAAGATTTACCAAATTACAATCGTTATGTTTGAGACAAAATTTAATCACGTCAATTGTCGGCATTAAGGAAATCGCAGATAGTTTAACCGAATTGGATCTTTACGATAATCGAATCAATCATATTTCAAGCTCTATAAAGCATTTAACTAAGCTTAAGAATTTAGATTTCTCATTCAATTTAATCAAGAATATCAAGAATATTGAAACTTTGGTGGAACTTGAAAACTTATATTTTGTTCAGAATAAAATCAAACATATACAAAACCTTGAAAACTTGACAAAATTAAAGAATTTAGAATTGGGAGGAAACAAGATTGAAAAAATCGAAAATCTTGATAATAATGTAAATATTGAACAATTATGGTTAGGTAAGAACAGAATTTACAAATTTGAGAATTTAAACCATATGGTTAATTTAAGGGTTCTTTCAATTCAATCCAACAGAATTACTAAAATTGAAGGATTAGAGAATTTAATAAATCTTGAAGAATTGTATTTATCACATAATGGTATTGAAAAAATTGAAAATCTTGAACATAATGTAAACTTGCAAGTTTTAGATGTCACTTCAAACAAGTTGAAACATATTGAAAATCTCAAACATTTAACTAAATTGACTGATTTCTGGTGCTCGTATAATCAAATTTCAAGTTTTGAAGAGATTGGTAAGGAATTAGGTAAGCTTGAAGAATTGGATACCGTTTATTTCGAGGGTAATCCAGTACAAACCGAAAATCCAAGTGCTTATAGAAGAAAGATGATATTGTATTTGGGTCCATCGTTAGCTAAAATCGATGCTACTTATATTCATAGTTAGGTCTTTCTGCCTTTAATCTATATAGTACAGAAAATTACATGATCGATTATAATTAAATGTAAGACATGACTTCTCCAAACTATATTTAGATTCATTACCGGCGCTACCAAATATGAAATTTACTACAGAGATTTGAAAGTATAGTAGAAAGTCAGTTTAACAAGTACATAAGATTTTGCAAGCTCTAGTAATCAATACTGCCAGTTGTAGCTGCATAGATGAATGTATCTTGATACTAGAAACCACGAATCGTTTCCAATTTCAAATACAGTAGTATTGTAACTCGTCAGTACGAGTCGAGGAACAGTTGAGTAAAGGCTATCAACGTGTTGCATTTGTTTAGATCTGTCTCTTTAATAAGAAACAGCAATATTTGGGGCAAGCTACACAGTATGATCAAGGCTACAAAGAAAACCAATGACGTGCTCGAACTTTGAAATTGTCTTCTTCTAAACCGTTCTCCCCTTTCCCAACAAGGAGCATAAAGATACAAGAGTGAATGTGTCAATGTGTAATTAATCTAGAAAAATCCATGCAATGTTAAAAGTATATAATTTCCAGTGAGTTCTATGAAATCTTTGCCCATAGAGAATATCACAGCAACATGTATCCCCCTCCCCCCCCCTTGGTAGCTTAGAGAATTTTCGAGAAAAAATGAGAATGTTCCAGTAGCGTGATTTTCCTTTTTTTCGCAACCAGCAAAAGGAGGAGATTAAACAGTCATGCTAGGACTCGAAGAATATATAAGGAAGTGTAGTTTCCCTCTTGTCCCTTAGTTCATATTCCTTCTCTTCTTCAATAACAATAAACATCAATTATATTCACAATGTTTTCCCGCTTTTTTGACGACGATTTCGACGACTTTTTCTTTAGACCAAGAAGATACACTACTCAAAAGCCAGCTGATTACAACCCAAGACAAATCACTCAAGGTGATGATATTAGTTTAACTCCTTGGGGAGGCCAATCTACTTTACTGCGTGACTTCAATGATTCCTTCTGGAGAAACTTCAATGCTGGTAAGTACTTTGTTGGATTTGATGAAGATTTGAAAACAACCGAAGAAAAAGACAAGTACTTGGTCACGTTCACTCAACCAGAAGGTAAATTAAACCCAGAAGATGTCAAGATTGATTTCCACAAGAAACAAAATGAATTGGTTATTTCAATTTCCCATGAAGAAAAAGATGAAAACAGATCAACTTCAAGATCTTTTGTCAGTAGCAGAATCTTTGCTAAGCCAATCAATCCTGATGATATCAAGGCTGATATTACTGGTGGTTCAATTAAACTTGTTTTGCCAAAGGTTGAACCTGACAAGGAAGAAAAGCCAAATGTTGTTAGTGTCAAGGTGAACAAATTATAAACAGCGAGTATATGCTGGTCATCAATTGCTTGTTATATATATATATGGTATTGTTTTTTTATATCTAAATAAAAATATGGCTTTCTAAGTTTTATTTGTGCACTGTAGTTTTTGTTTTCTAATTTTTGCAACTACTCTTCCTTCTTACAGGCATTCTTTAACCATGAGAAGGTTCATCTTCTTTACTAGAATTCAGGACTCTTTCAGAAGGCTATTCCAGCCAATTGATCCTCCAACTTATATACCAAATTCCTGGCAAGAAGAAGAATTACTTACAACCGGTTATACCACAGAAAGAACATCGGAAGAATATGAACAAATTTCAATACTAGAGCAATTGACTTCATTAGTGGATCAAGAGATTACTAGATCTGCTGGACTTAACCACGATTCGTCCTTAGATCAAGACAATGACTACCATACAAAACCATTAGTTATAAAGAAAAGATCCAAATCAAACTACAATACCATAAATGCTGCTCCTACAAATCCTGAGAATCAAAGTTTAGTTATTAGCCCCTCTTGCCTTGTAACCAAGAAGAAACCAAAGTTAATTAAAATAGTTAAATCTAATCAAGGTTGAGTCTATTCCAATTTGTTGTCTTCTACTTTATAATTATCCAACACGATTCTATAAATAAATGAAGGAGCGAACCCACCAATGTTGGTTATAAAGATATCAATATGTTCAGGAGGAATATAATCTTCTAATGGGTTAGTAACAACTTCAACATTATCCACCAATTCAAAATCATCATAGTTTAATACATGTCCGGAGTTACCAACTTCAATCAAATCATCACGACTGAATGGATATAATGGTGACAATTTATATAATCCACCAACTGCAAAAACAGGAGTTTTATGTTCTTTAGCGCATTCAACAACATTGGCTACACCAGAATTGGATAAACATCCTCCATTAGCAAATACAGCATTGGTTCCTATTATAACTTTCCCAACTCTTGACATGACGGCATAAGTGGTTGTATCCGGAATCAAAACGGTCTCGATATTGTGTTGGGCCAAGGTTTTGGCAAATTGGTGCGCCTTTTTAATTTCATTAGGATAGTTTTCCATAACCAATACTGTGAAATTACGTTTGGTTCTAGCTTTAATTAAAAAGTTTAATACGGTGTCAGAAGTAGGGGTAGGTGTAAGCAAGACTTCATTATCGTGAATTAAATCAACACACATGGTTTCAAGACCTTCACTAACATTTGTAATTTCATCAACCAAGTCTCTAATTCCTTGGATTATAATTGCTCTCATATCTGACATCTGCTTTTTGGAATGATCTTCTCTAACTTCACACTTAGTAGTAGATAACAACGAAAACATTGAGCTCATCATAGGAGTATTTTCGTGTTCAGTTTCAATTTCATCTCGTATTAAAGCAAGAACACGTCTTACTATGTTTCCAGGTATGATTTTTCTAGGATATGCTTTGTGAATTATGATGCCAACTTGTCTGATAATGCTAATCAAGTCGTAGGTATTGGTCCATCTGGCAGCCGAAATCACCTTCATTAACAACTGGGCAATTGCCAAGGCAATTTCTTGGTCTCCTTCTATTTGGTGACGTTTGAGACTAGATACTACTGGATCTATAAGAGATTTTATCTCTGGTGTTATCAACGACATGTCTTTTGCTTATTGCTTCACTGGTGACTCTACTTTTCATAGGAAAATTTTTTCTTAGTCAGATTTGGTTGTAAGAAAAATGAGAGTTGAGAAATTTGGTTGTAAAAAACAATCAACATTCATAAGGATACATCACCCACAACTAGAACAGTACCATGGTAAGCTTTAATCAATCACTAGACACGTCGCTTCAACTACTCTATGATTACTCGTCCAATTTTCAAATTTCAGTTGAATTAGTTCAAAAATTAGCTCAGCATTTAAAGTTGGAGACGTTTATTGATACCAGTTTCCAATTTGGCAATGTTGAAGGAAACAACCAACAAAGATTAACCATTGCTGCTTCTTCGATTCTATTAGACATTGATTTCGAGAATGATAGGAAGGTGAGTAATATTTCGTTGTCAATTGGTAATGAACTGACCCACACTACCGAGAATAGCAAGGAGTATATAGAGTCAGTTCAGAATAACCATGGAATAACAGTGATAAAACTCAACCCTAACAAGAACCCACTTACTTTTTTGAAAAAAAGCAGTGATGAAAAGTCTATTGCGGAGAAGATATTACTTGCAAATCTTTCTCAACCCAAGCTTAACAAATTTCCCGAGAATTTACAATACTTGGCCATAATTGACAAATATGCCAATTCCAATCAAGATTTATTCACATATATCGAAAGAACAGCCTTATTGCTTCACACTATAAGCCAATTGGAGATCGAAAGAAATCCAAATAACTGGCAAATCGAACAAGGGTTAAATAATGCAATAGGGAATGTAAAAATCCATGACATAACCCAAGGTAAAATAGGATTGTTCCTTGAATTCTGGAAAGATTTCAGGTACATTAATCATGAACTGAATACTGCTATTGGAAACACCTACAATGTCCAATTTAATATTGTTTCTTCATCATATAACCACGAGTATTTGCTTGAAAATAATAAGAAGGAATGGGAGATAGCTAATCAAGGTAATAAAGAACGAGTCAAGTTTGAATTTGAAGATGCAGTTATACCAACCGTTAACAACGATGGAACAAACACTACTATGTTGCCGTGGATGTTTGATCTTGTTTTGAATCATCCAATTTATGTTCCAAAATATATCTTGGAATACCTCGGTTTAGATTACACTGTTGAAGAAAATACTACTGATCCACTTTTTAAAATATTTGATAAAATCAACAACTCGCAAGAAGTCGTGGATTCTATAAACATACTTGGAAGAAATGTTTCATGTTTGATAAATCATGACTTGATATCTAACTTCATACCATTGAAAAGCGTCAAGATCAACCATTTATACGACCTTTCCCTGTTGATTCCAATTTTAAGGAATTTCATTGTATTATCCAACTTGTACCGCACGTTAAGTCAAAACAACTGTATTATACCAAGAAGAAAAAGTAGACGAAGAAGTTCAAGAGTGTCCTTTAAGAATGATAAAGAGTTGACCGAAGAGATTCGGAAGAAATTAAAGGACTCGTTGAAGTTACCTGATGATGTAACTGATGAAGAATTATTAGGATTGAATGCAATTTCCGAGACTGCCACCTACAGTACTATTCAGCCTATTAACGATATGTTTGATCTTGAATCATTTATAAAGAATGATCAAACTACTACATCCAAAGAAAACTACTTTCAAGTAAGTCTTGATGATATTGATGTGACTTCCAATGACTTATATCTTACAGTTGAAGCATATCTGGATATTAAGGAAATATATATCCGTTTCAAAATATCCAATGGACAAATACAACTATTACAAGATGATATTGATGAGAACAACGCCAAGTTCATAAAAACGCTTGATCTCACCGAAGATTTCGTAGTTTCAATTACATCAGTGTATTAATTATGTACAAGAATATATATAAACCTAGAGCTTGACACCAATGTGAATACTGGCGACACCAAAAGTTAAATTTTCATATCCTGGTTCAGGAACATAGAATCCTGCTTTTTGAATCATCCCTTTAAAAGTTTCTTGGTTTGGAAATTTTCTAATACTTTCCACTAAATATTGATAAGAATCTCTATCATTAGCAATCAATTGACCCATTAAAGGTAACAAACTGAAAGAATAAGCTTGGTATGCATAGTCAATTGCTGGATTTTCAACTTGAGAGAATTCCAAACATGCGAAAATACCTCCAGGACGTAAGACTCTGTATGCCGTGTTTAAACCTGCTTGAACATCGGTGAAGTTTCTAATACCAAAGGCAATAGTGTAAACATCTTTAGAGTTGTCTTCGATCTTATCCATGATTTCACCATTTTGAACCAAGAACTTAACTCGATCACTGCCATCATTCCATTTACTCTTTTGAAATCTTAATTCACCCTCATGCAACATATCAGGATTGATATCAGCAACAGTCATGGTCGAACTAACATCACCGAATTTTTTCTCGGCGTGATCAAGCAATCCAAATGCAATGTCACCGGTACCACCAGCAACATCCAAAAAATCAAGGGGTCTAGAGCTTCCTGGTCTCATACCTGCATCCAATCTGTCGATGAAGTGTGATTTCCATAATCTGTGTACACCCATGGACATAGCATCATTCATAACATCATATTTGGAAGCAACCGAGGAGAACACCCCTCCGACAAGTTTCTCCTTGTCTTCCTTTTGCACGGTCTTGAATCCGAAATGGGTTGTTTCTGGTTTAGGTGGAGGTGGAGGTGGTGGTGGGGTAGTGGCAAGTGTTCTTGCAAGGATTGGCCCACCACGTTTGAGTGAACGTGTTAAACTGGTCTTCATTGTTAGGGGATCAGCTTAGTGTAGCAGTGGTGTAATTTTTCATAATCCTTTTTTTTATTCGTGCTCAATTTTTTTTTGTCTGTCTGTCTGTCTGTCTGTCTGTCTGTGTACGACAATTGTACGACATAAAATTTAATGCAACAACTACAGTAAAAACATTCACAAATTATCCTTAATTTTCTATAATTATATATAAACTTAAGCTTGAACAATTCTAACGGTGTTAGAGTGTCCAGAACCCTTGGTCCAACCTTGGACGGTAACAATAGAATCACCCTTGTTAATAATACCCAATTTAACAGCTTCAGTAACAGCCCATCTTAATCTGTGTTCAACATCTTCTTGCCAGTTTTCAGTTTGAGCATCACTGGAAATAAATGGATAAACACCTCTATACAAGTGGGAGAATCTGGCAGCTCTTTCGTTTCTGGTAACCATAAGAATTGGAACATCTGGCTTGTACTTGGAAACTAATCTAGCAGATAAACCAGTGGTGGATAAAACAACGATGGCCTTAGCATCTTGTTCGTAAGCAGCAGAGACAGCGGCAACAGCACAAGTTTCAGTGGTTGGAGTTGGCTTCTTGGCAAGAGATCTCAATTCATTGAATAATTGGTAGTAATCAATGGCCTTTTCGGCAATCAAAGCAGTGTTGTGCATCATGGAGACGGCTTCAAATGGGTAGTCACCCTTGGCGGTTTCACCAGACAACATAACACAATCAGCACCATCTAAGATAGCATTACCAACATCAGAAACTTCAGCTCTGGTTGGTCTTGGGTTGTAAGTCATGGATTCCAACATTTGGGTAGCACAAATAACTGGCTTGGCGGCAATGTTACATTTGGCAATCAATTGCTTTTGAACAACGAAAACTTGTGGAGCTGGGATTTCAATACCTAAATCACCTCTAGCAACCATAACACCATCGGTAACCTTCAAGATTTCATCGAAGTTGTTAACACCTTGTTGGTTTTCAATCTTGGAAATGATTTGAATGTCTTTACCTTCTTCACCTAAAACTTCTCTGATGTCAAGGACATCTTGGGCAGTTCTAATAAAGGAAGCGAAAACCATGTCAACACCGTTCTTGACACCGAATTTCAAATCAGCCTTATCTTTTTCGGACAAAGCTGGTAAATCAACATCGGTACCTGGCAAGTTAACACCCTTGTGGGAACAGATCTTACCAGCATTGATGGATTGAACCTTCAAAGTTTGTTCGTCAACAACTTCCAAAACTTCAAAGGAAAGAACACCATCATCAACGTAAATGATCTTACCAGCTTCGATAACCTTGGTAATGTTCTTGTAATCAACATACATGACCTTGTCGTTACATTGAGTCTTGTACTTGTCATCGGTGGTGAAGATCATTTCGTGGTTTGGAGGAATTGGGTAGTCAACATTGTCAACGGTAGTACCGGTTCTAATTTCTGGACCCTTGGTATCCAAGGCAATGGCCAATGGTCTACCTGGGTAAACTTCGGTAGATTTTCTAGCGTTGTCAACGACAGATTGATGGTATTCATAAGAACCATGGGAGAAGTTCATACGAACAATGTTTAATCCGGCCTTTCTTAAACCAACCAAGACATCAACATTGTTGGTCTTTGGACCAATGGTACCAATGATGGAAGTACGACGTAAGTGCTTGTGAGGAGTATCTTCAACGTTTAATCTGGATAACCAACCTAAGGAAGAGGCAGACATTGTATATGTTTATATGTATTAAAGTAGAGTTTAAGTACAAGGGATCAAAAAGAAGAAGAAATTGGAACTTGAAATTTAAGGAGTAGAATTCAATGGCTATTTATATACAGACACTGAACCCCCCTCGTTGACATCCAAAAAAAAAAATAGACATAATTGAAAAATTGATTAAAAAAAAAAAATAAAAAATAAAGTAAAAATGCTGTTACGGTGTAACCCATCGTTAGATGCGGCTCATTTTTTTCCTTTGTTCTGCGATTCTTCTCTAGTTTCTGGCGGTGTACAGTCGGCCGGAGTTTCCAGATTGGTGTTACAAAAGCGTATTAATGTCTAATCGGTAATTTATTACGTGATTTCTGCCTATCAATAGCGAGCATCAAAGTAAACAATGAGCAGATTTACTAGCTACTCGTCTTTTTTTGTTATCACCAGATGGTACTATTCCCTTGAATCATTTTTTGGTGTTCTTGCGATGGATCTGCAAATTGCTGCGGGCGTGTCAAGTTTCGCGGTAAAAACGGATTAATACCAAATACCACCACATGCTCGCAAATGTAACATTTTTTATTGCTCTCGGCCGTGGTAGTGGTGTGTGTGTGTGCGTGTGTGACAAATGTCGGATCCAACGGTGATAGTTTGTTGTTACTGTTTCATGTGTTTTCTTGTACCTGATCCATCAGGTTATACTTTGTGCATTAGATGTGTTGTGATGATGACTGGTAGACTTATGTTACTATGACGTATTTTATGTAATTAAAAAATTGCTTTTTTTTTCTCTTGCCAAATTGATATATGGGAACGCAATTGATAGAATGCTACACCCAAACATGTTCATACACGTACCGCGTCTGTGATTGCGGTCGGCATTGAGACGTATCTTATATCTTAGCTTTATTGTCCAACTCCGAGGTGTAAATTTCGGAAATATTTTTTAACGGAGTATTTCCAACATCCCGAATATTACTCAAAAATAAAAAAAAAATTATTGTAAGGTCAATCCATGTTATGCGCGAAAGAGGGGTGGATTTCAGTACACAAATTGATACTTGATACATACCAGATCAATTCCACGGGTGGGGTTCGCATAGAGTATGAATATACCAATTGTGATAGGACTAACTAGATGAGCAAGCACCATTTCAAGTGATACTTTCACAATGTTCTGACTATCACATGTCTGTTCCTCATAATGTACACAAGCGATATAATTTCGGTCTAGTTTTTTTTTACGCCTTACACATGCTGTTATAGTTGAAAACGTTACATATAAATTAACGGTTGAAAAGTTTAAACAAAACATTCACATTCCTGGCAAAGATACACGTAATCACAATTAATGGTTTTCCTTGTTGGGATATTTTTTTTATATGAAGTTCTATCAAAAACAACAAACCACTTTCGAAAACCACGTTTTGCAACCACTACAGAGATTATATTTATTAATTCGAAAATATAAAAGCTAACAAAGATTATCTAAGCTAGGACAAGATATAACCCAAAAACTGAACACCCGATCAAAAGTATTCCAACAACCCCACTAGCAGTATAGTCGACATCCCATCCTCTTCTCTTACGCTCATTTTCGTGATATAACTCAACTCTTCTGTTGTAATCGTTTTCGATGGCCCTCATTTCTAATTTAGTAAATGCCAATGTATTCTCATAAGCAATTTCCTTGTTAAAATGGACGAAACGGAGTAAGGACAAACCACGTCCTTTAGCTCGATCGTAATTTGAACAAAGTTCTTTGTCATTTTTGACATTTTCAATCAGATTGTATCTAACTTTAAACGCTTCAAACATATTATGAGTAATGAATTCTTTAGTAAGTCCTTCAATCACTTCGGAAAAGTATAAATAACTCCAGTAATAACCAAAAGGAAAATCATGTTCTCCAAAACATTCAATGGCGATCTCCCTTAAGTGACATTCAACATCGGGCCATTTATCATTGTTGTGTGGATTGTATTTAGAAAGGATCTTCTTTTTGAACTTCAAAACGACAACTTGATCAGGAACTGGACTTTCATTTGTTAATGCTGCATATTCAGCTAATTTTGTTAACCACAACTTCTTCTTTTCTGCTTGCTTGGCGAAATGCAAACTTGACATTGCTGCAAGGTTAGTGTGGAAAACGAGTAGAAGTGTACAGAAACAAATGAGCGGTTATTTGCAACTGCAAAAAGAAATTGTAAATATCTGGTGAAATCAAAGAAGCGAAATTCGAGCCGCGTTTTCTAGTTTGGGAATATCCACCTTCCCGAGGATTGAAGCAGGTTATTGCATTTGAAATGGATTTGTAACATCTACTGCCAACTGGTTCTGAGACTGGTTTAGAGTTACGGCTAAATTTACAATGAAACATGAAGAATAAGCTGTAACCCAGAAGTCAAAGCATTCGACTATCAGGTACTGTTACCTACTCTTTTCTCGGATCCAAAGAAAATTGGCAGATGGTCACTAACATTGATCTCTTTGACAAACTTGATTTTGAAAGCTCCACCATAGCTTGTCCTTAATGATTAACCAAAAGGAAGACAAACACAGTGGCTATTTTTGCAACCGCGAGAAATTCCCTCATTAACAACATTTTCTTAAGCAACATCTACAACCGCGAACAAATAAAAAAACTGATATTTTTATCATAAATAAGCAAACCCCCAGCACATTAACATGCTCCCAATAGTACTAGGTATAGGAGCAACCGTGCTTGCCCTAACTGCCAAATCAACAATAACTGCTTTTTCCCATTATTCGCACCTCACACCATTCATGATTGCCACTCTAAACAACATACGCCTAGTGACACCCAATGTTTCACCAACCACATCCAAACAAGATCCTAGGTATAAGACATATGAATACATTCGACAGAAGTATCCTAATAGAGGATTTGGAGAACCTGTAACTGAATCTGAAGCATTACTTATACTAGGCATTGAAGGGGAAGATATTATGAAGGTGGATAAAAAGATGGTGCGTGATCGATATCGGAAGTTGATGATTTTGAACCATCCAGACAAAAATGGGAGTGAGTATTTAAGTAAACGATTAAATGAAGCTAAGGATGTACTAGACAAGAGTTATATGATTAAGAAATAAGAAGTATTCATGAAATTATGAACTTTATTTATTAAGACAACCACGTTGCCCATTCGAATGCATACGGTATTTCCGCATCGAACTATTTGAAGTGATTTTTACTGGTCCACTAGATCGATCTGGAGTAACCTACATAGATGATCGACTCTATTAATTCTTAGGCTCTGCCTTTGGCATTCTTGGGGAAGCTTGCCCAGAATTATACTGTATATAGAACTACAAGTAATAAATATCCAAGTTCAATTTAATTCAATTTAATTCAATTCAATGGTTCATATAAATAATATAAATAAAATGTGTTACTATATAAAGATTCACTAAAGATATCATCAGTATAACCAACTAGAGTTTCTCCTTGTTCAATTAGACAATGGTACATCTCATTGGAAGAATAGCGTTTCTCTTACGATCGACAAAAAGGTGGTCCTTTTGAGTTTCTTGAGTCTTTTGTTCGTTAGGGTTTTGAGCAGCCATTGGAGTAATAAGAAATTTGTTTGTTTGTTAGTAATGAGAAAAGAAGAAAGTTGGCAATTCATAGGAGCATTTGACTCCCTTTTATATTGATTTTTTTTTTGATTACTATATCATTATGGATCAGGTTTGAACAAATATAGCAAAGTGTTGATCTACTCTTTGAAGTAATAGCTGGAATTGAATTATTACCCAATTTGGCCTTGACAATTGACTGCAAAAAAAACACAAATTTGAAAAACCCTAGTCTTCATGTGATTTGGACTAATTTTCTTGTCTCCAATCGACTTGATTTAGTTCCATTAATTAATTTTTCGTAAATAGACATTATACGTGCATGATATTGATTGAAATTTATCAGTTAAGTTACCTATTCGAGCCATTACAGTACCATTGAAGTCCCATTAGATTTAAAATTTAACATGAAATCTTGAATAATTGACCTCACATCAGCTTATCGAACCACAGCCGTTTCAAATTTGTTGATTAATCACAAGAATCATGTCTCAACTATGATTCAAAGTTTTATCACCTTGATCTGTTTATCCAAATCAAGTATACTCTCTGTCATATTAACTTAAGCTCAAGCTTTTGAACTCAACAAAAAAAATTTTTTGTCTTACTATTTGCAATCTAGAACCCATACTAGCTATCCACAATAGTTTCAACTTTGGCCATGATAAAAATAAGAATCCCTACATGTGGTTTCATTCGCCATTATTCTACTCTTCCAGGAGGGTCTATTCCTAAGACATACGCCCGTACTGATCCCACATACCTTGGTGATGCCCTCGACACAAAATCCATTGAAACCGTGGAATTGAGTTATGACAAACACTCCCCGGAATATGAACCCACTTTGGTGAAATCGCCCTTGATTTTCTTGCATGGGTTGTTTGGAAGTAAATCTAATACACGCACAGTGGCTAAACAATTGGCTTCCAGGTTGGATCGTGATGTTTATTGTCTTGATTTGAGAAATTTCGGAAACAGTCCTCATAACCCTCGATTGGATTACCCAAGTTTGGCCGCAGATGTGGAGAGATTCATCCAGGAGCGTAAATTCCCCGAGTTTGCTAAACCAATCGTGGTTGGACATTCTATGGGGGCTAAAACTGCCATGGCTTTGGCATTGCGCAGTCCTAATTTGCTTAGCATGTTGGTGGCTGTAGATAATGCGCCTGTTACTGTTTTAGCTTCTCAATCACAATTCGGCAAATATGTGAATCAATTAAGATTGGCATTAGAAAAGTATAAGTACACTCATATCAAAGATGTTGATGCTAAGCTTGAAGAAGTTGAGCCAAACAAGTCGATTCGTCAATTCTTGTTGACTAATTTAATCAGAGGTAAGAAACATGAGCATATAAAGTCAAGGATACCCTTGGATATAATAGGTGATACCATAAGCAAGGGGATTATTTCTAGCTGGCCCTATGATTCAAATATTCTGCAATGGACCAAAGGTCCTGTGTTGTTTATTAGAGGAAGTAAATCGGTGTATGTTCATGATGAAATCATTCCTGAGATTGGTAAATACTTTCCTGATTTTGAAGTTAGAGATGTTGATAGTGGCCATTGGGTGATTAGTGAAAAACCCCAAGAGTTTATGGATATCTTGTGTGAATTTATAGATAGAAAGGAGGATGATTAAAATATATCCTTTTAAATTGTATGTTATTTATTAGATCGTCTAAATGCTAATTACCATTCATAACAGCTTGCTCTTGTTTCTTTTTACCACCTTCAAAATTCTCCCTAACTCTCAAGTAGTGTTGTAATTCCTCAGCACTAACCGAAGGAACCAATTCTTGTTGTGCCTTGACGAAATCTTCCATTTTAACCAAAACAGTAATGTCGTCATCCGTGGCAACATTATCAAACCACCATCTTGTATTAACTTTGTCCTCTCCTTGTTCTACCTTCTTTTCATTGTACTTATTAATCTTATCATCAACTTCATTGGCCACTCTGGTCATAGCATTTAACATCGAGTCCGAGCATAATGCATAAAAATCGGCCCCCGTGAACGTAAACGAACAATTCTCAGCCAATTTCTCCAAATCGACATCATCATGTAACTTAAACTTTCTTGTCAATGCTTCTAGAATCTTGGTTTGCTTTTCATTGGTATCGGAAATACCCAAGTATAACAACTTATCAAATCTACCTGGTCTCAAAAGTGCCTCATCTAATAGATCAGGACGATTGGTGGCACCGACCACAAACACACCATCACCACCTTCAGTACCACTCATACCATCAAGTTCAGCTAGCAATTGCGACACAATTCTATCCATTACACCTCCAGAATCACCCTGATTACCACGCTTAGGGGCTACGGAATCTAATTCATCAAAGAAGATAACACATGGTTTGGCATCACGGGCTTTCTGGAATACTCGACGGACATTAGCTTCTGATTCACCAATGTACATGTTTAACAATTCGGGACCCTTCACCGAGAAGAAATTAAGCGAGAAGTTAGTGGCAATCGCTTTTGCAAGCAAGGTTTTACCAGTACCTGGAGGACCATAGAACAAGATCCCACTTCGCTTTTTGAGACCATTGTTGAAAAGCTCAGGATGTTTCAATGGCATGTCGATTGTGTCCAAGATTTCATCCTTGACAAGGTCTAACCCTCCAATATCCTCCCATTTAACATTAGGGATACGAGGAGCCCCAATGGAATCACTGAATTGATTACGGGCTTCGTTAATTGCCGCATTGAAATCTTCAGGAATCCAGTTGATGACACCACCATTACCAATGGCTATCAACTTTGATAATGGGATGTTAGTTTCTTTAGCTAACTTGGTCAATCGTTTAATTGCTAACTTTTTCGATTTTTTGATGATGGAAATTAAATCTCTTGGAGTAAGACCAGCAGATTGTAATGCAAGATTCTTGAAATTGATATCCTTTCGAATTATGAAAGGAGAAGAATTAATATCGTCACCACTACTTCTCTTTTCTTCATTAATTAAATGTTCAAAAATGGCTAATCTCTCATTTTCAGTAGGAACGGTAAAATCAATAGTGAACTTGATCAATGCCTTGACACTATCATTCAACTTATCATAATCATTACAACTTAATACAATCACAAGATTAGGGTAGTTCTCCAAGTAATCTTGTAATGTTTGCACCACTTTCAAACTTAATGACGTGAATATACTGCCATTCTGATCATGTTCATCAGTCAGCGGACATAAGTTCTCAATATGCTTAAGATAAACAACGTGATAAGAATCGCCAGCTGGTACATTTGCAATCAATTTGTCGATTTTACCAGTTAATAATCCGATAGTTTTCAATTCTTGTCCCGGATTCAATAATTCTAAACAATCAAATTCTAACAAATTCAATCCCATTTCAATACAAACATTTCTAACTAACGTAGTCTTTCCGATTCCTCTATTCATAGAATTAAGAAGAACTGTAGTCTTTAATGGGATTTTCGAGTTTGTACATGTTTGCAAAATCTTGATGAACTCGTGAGCATATTTGAACTCGGGCTTGTTGAAATAGTTGAATAGTTTGGGTAATTGCAAGTATTGATACCATTGAGTCTGGTCATTCTTCGGTAATCTAGCACTTTCAATTCCTGAAGAAACAAGAAGGGTTTTCTTTGGGTCGATTAAGAATTGATTGGTTCCAATTGCGTTGTTTCCCTTAACTTCGACGATTTTAAACCAAGCAACTGTATCTGGATCTCCAGTAGGAATCACATCCACAGTATCTGCCAATTCATCGGTTTCTGAAGCATTGCTGGTTTCAGTCATATCAAACATGGTCTTGGCCAATACTGAATCAATCACAACCGGGAAGAAATCACCTTGCTGAACAGCCTTGAACTGAGTGCTTAAACTTGTCTTTAAACTAGAAAAGAAATTTCTTTGGTAGGTTTTATCCATGGTAATTTGAGAACACACTCTTGATATGGTGACTGATTCGGCAATAGGAATAGACGTGGATAATGAGTTACCTTGAAATTGGTCAAATTCGACTTGCGTAGTTTCATCAATTTCAAGGTTGATTAATAACATGGGTGATACGTAAACATTACCTAATCTGAAAGTATTTGGTTCAAGGAATGTGAATACTCTCACTATAACTGTCTTGGTGGAGGTTTTCAACTTGACCAAATCTCCATTGAAAATAGGAAATCTTAACTTGATGAAATCAGAAGTGTTTATAAACACGAACAATTCCAGATCATCCTTGTTCCACAGCTCCGGCAAGTCATCAATGTTGATTTTTTCCGGTAATGGTTTGATTCCGAATTTAACTTGATTGCTGAGTTGTTCCTCCTTGTCGAACTTAAGTGTTGAGGATAAATAACTTGACAAATTTACATCATAATCTTCTTCTTCGTCTTCTTCTTCGTCTTCTTCTTCGTCTTCTTCTTCGTCTTCTTCCGTGATGTTCTCTGGTTCTCTCTTAATAAGAATAACATTAGTGGATAAATCCATTCTTCCTTGAGTTACAGGCTCACACAAATCAACTCTTCCATTAATCAACCTGATAGCGTCCCCTTCGTTAAGAATATTACTATTATTGACCAAATAATTATCCAACAATTGCTGTTTAATCAGGGATGATTTGTCATGCAAAAGATGATATATTTCCGCAGGAACAGAAATAAAGACCTGAGTCAATTTTGGAATCAACTCACCATCAATTGCCTGAATCATGGCTTGATTCAACGTCAAATTATCATTTTCAAATTTGTTCAAATTGGAGTTGTTAATGAATGTAATCAAATTACTTGAGTTTGAATTAACGGAATCAATTTTGAAAATGTTAAACTTGGTAAAGAAGTCAGGAGCACCTAGTAACTTAATAAGAACAAACCGATCAACAGATGTATCGGTTGTCTCTGGGAATAACTTGATGTATAAATCATGCGAGATTTCCACAAGGTCGTATTGATTTAGATTTACATCATTAATTATGGATACTTGGGCAATGCTTGGTGTCGATGGTGTCGTGGACATCACTGCAGAAGGCATTATAGGAGGTATTACTTACTGGTTGTAAGTGGTATGAAAGTTGGTTGCCAAAAAAAAAAAGAGTGGTTAAATATTTCGTTGAATTTGGTTCTTTGATCCTCGGTGGGAAAAACGAAAATTGTGGGGTGTCTCTCCCCCAATTTAGCACAAGATAAGCAAAAGTGTACGGCAAACGGATACACTAGGTAAGTAATTTAGTGAAATAAATGCAGGTGTTGGTGCTCTTATAATGTGATTGTATTGAGGTAATTTACAACTCAATTCAACTTTCATTGATGTCAAAACTTTGTCTTATTCAAGTATTTACTTACCTTTGCACAATATTACTGCGAATTTATAACGAAAACAAAGAAAATTCAAAGATAGACAAGTTAACTTCACTAATTCTTTTCACTAAAAGGTAACACTAAACAACAGTATTCAACCTATGCATAATACTTCTAGTATAATCTTTTGAGAGCTACCCCAAAACACGAATTTACATGGCAGCACATACGATAAGAGTAAGGACTCCATAAGAAGACGTAAGAAGACTAGTACTTGAGTTCCGTCTCGTCTTATTTCTGGATCCTTATAGTATTACCTAAGTTCTGTTGATTTAAGAATTGCAACCAAGCCATTAACACTATAAAGAGTTAAAAGTGCCGCAATCATGCCTTTTTTAGAACTGGTCTTGTTAGTTTAAACTGCTGTATTAGTATGATTAAACCCTCACTATGTGAGGGAAGTTTATTACCCGGATTTACAATTTAGGTTAAGTCTTCACCGAGGGAAAAATATTTCAAAAAATCATCACTCGATTCTTCACCTTCACCTTCAATTACATAGACAACAACAAACACTAATTGTATGTACAAACAACCCTAAGGAAACTCACATGATGATAACTTTTCTTTTCCATACCAATTAAAGAGCTTTTGTTGAAGTTTGTTACCGTTTTGGTAACGTATGGCTTTATTGCAATGATCTGGTATAATTTGTCATAGTTACACTGATTACATTTCCTGGAATTTAGATTCATTCGAGAGAAAGAGAGTACTAACTGAGAATAGAGATCTGTTTCATAGAATCTAATAAACATTTTTTTTTTTCAATCAAATTCATCTTTGTAGAAGCACAACATTCTAAGAACATGCACCTGTTCTGCACTTGTTAGAGCTGAAGCTCAGGAATTGACTAAATGGGTCTGACTTATTCCGCTGTAGGCTATTACATTCAGAAACTGGTTTTTATTTGACTCGTAGTTTTTATTTTCTCTATCCGTGGTTAACGCATATATCAATTTTCCCCTACTTGCACCTGCCCGCTAGGTAATATGCCAGGAAACTACACTGCAACATCTTAGTATTACCGGAAATATATATTATTATACAAACTATGAATATGATAATTGTTTCAATAGACACGTTTAAGCATCATCTTCAACAACGACAGTTTGTAAACCTTTGGTGGTTGGAACAATAACTGGTTCAACGTAAGCAAACAACTTTTCTCTGGCATCTTCTTCGTCGTTTCTCTTTCTGGAGATTCTTAATCTTAATCTGTGTTCAACACCTTGGACACCTCTCTTCCATAATTGGACGTTCAACTTTGGGTCTAATCTGACATCAGTGGTACCCATGTGTAAAGTGGCGAACTTCTTGATTTCCTTGACAGCCTTTGGAGCTCTCTTCTTGAAGTGGACACCGTGTAACTAGAATATTGTTAGTATAAGCATTCTTACCATCTCAATAGTGAAAATACATTGGATGCAGTGTACGATAGACTAGGACTTGAATACTCAATATTTTGTCTAATTCATAACTTCATTTGAAAGTGGTAGTTCAACTCAGTGGTAGTAGTAGACATTCAGAGCTTGTGGTAGCTATATTGTGGTTGTTGTGTTCTTCTTTTAAACATATGTTGGAGTGATATTTTTCATGAATGATGCATCGTCAACATATCCTTCAAATTTTGTATTTTCAATCTATAAGTTCATATTATGATATAAACATACTCTCTTGTGCAAGTTAATGGTGTATTCACGGGTAACAACGTCTTGTAAAGCCATTATGGATATATGATGTTAATAATACAACTATAAACTTAACTATGCAAAAGTATAAAATTTTTTTTTCAAGGTGGAAAATCCTTGACCTGGTCTGGTGCAAAGTTTTGTTAGCGCAACTGTGCGCACTAATGATGCACTCACTGCTGGGCAGAGGTGCGGCTCGCACGAAAACGGAAATGCTCTTCCTGTATATTTCGCAGAAAATTTAAAAATTCGCATCACGTGGAAGTATAATTGACCAGGGCATTAACCCTAATAACAAATCACCTTTCGCAACCACACATACCTCCCCCCGGGTGTTACATTAGAAAAGTAATATCAGGGTTTTCTATTAGTTATATACATGGTTACTATTCTAAAGCATATAGCTTTGTAATATTATCCCCCCAATGTTTGTTCAATTCATCATATGCCAAATCAACTAACCAATCGCTTGATAAATCATCAGGATCCTCTTCCTTTTGTTCTTGTTCTAGCTCTTGATAGCTGAATTCGATAATATTATCGTTGTTTGTTAATTTGAATGGAAAAATATTGGATAGGTCCCATATTGCCAATATTGAATAAATCACTCTATCTGTTATGTCTACTTTTATAAGATCTGTAAGTGTGAATTCTGGCGCTATTTCACTTTGAGATATCTTGGTGCTTGCATGCACTAATGCATTCTTTGTATCTTGATCTATTTCAGAAAACTTGTCGCTATACTCTGCCTCAACAAACGCTTTATTTGTGTATATTCTGGAATCTATAATGATCAATAACAATAGCACTTGTGACTTGTACTTGTTATAGTTCACATCACCCAGTTCACTCAATTGGGAGTGTAGATTAATCAACATAGATTGCAAAGTAAGATAATTCTTTGTAAGTATTAGCACGACAATAACATCAAAACTTAAGTTATTCAACTTCTCACTTAGTTCATTTACACCTTTAATTCTCAATTGATAGTTTAATTTATACAATTCATTAACTAAATTCATATTAGGAATGGATTTTAACCTAAGCAAGAGGACAAGCAACTTAAAGTCAAGAATACTTTTAGGTAACGGGTATATTGGCGTCATAGGACTCAGACTAGTACTCGTCAATGAACTGGTTCTCGATGGGGGATCAGGGTTTGATGTAGTTTCCTGTAAATATAATGCATTGTTCAACTTTATGGCTTCTTTCTTGGCATAGTTCAATTGATTGTTGAATAGATGTAAGGTTAATCTGATCAGCCATAGTTTTATGATTTGGGATTGGGAGAGACTGGGGGATTTGATCAAGTAGTATGTTTTGGTTATCAATGAATCATAATTGTGAGTTGATGATTGGAGATTGGTGTATAGATCAAGCAATGTAGGCTCTTTGGCGAGCTCCGATGTGGGAAGTTTTAAGAATAGTGAATCTTTAGATAGGAATGATGTCATGGTGATTGTGTGTGTGTATTATGTTGGCGTATTTTGTCAGTAGAAAATCCGATAAGATCATGTCAGATTATTTTGTCTGTCGGAACAATACAACTAAATCACTCTAACCATAGGCCTCCCCCCCGACACAACAATGTCACATCAAGATCTACTAACCCAAGCTAAGCAGAATCAAATAAATGACCTTCGGCAATCAACCGCATACTCGAAACAGCTAGCAACAACAATACACACACTTATTAGATCAAATTCAAGCACATCCAACAGCCTAATAGACAAGATCACCACAATACATCAGTTAAATAACGAAATTGATCGACAGTTGAATAATGATTTAGCCAAGAGTTATACAGAATTGATGAAGTATAAGCGAAGATTAAACAAGGTAATTAATGAATGTCATGCTATTATGTATCATAAAGATGTTAGTATCATCAATAAAATACAGTCAAGAGTAGAGTTAATTGACCAGGATTTAAGGATATTAGAACAGACATTAACTTTGGTCAAAAGGTGACAGACAGCCAGCCAGCCAGCCAGATAGATAGTTTACAAAGTAATATATACTATTCAAATTAATTAGAATTAAGTAATTGCCATTGTCTATATAATTAATTAATGTCTATATGCATAATCTGCTCATGGCAAGCCCCGTCCAGCACGTTCCCATTTCTCTTGGGCAATCCACCCAGCATTTATAATCTTGATTAAATCTTTTAAATTTATTCGCTTGCTGTCTTTCAACTGTCGACTCTTGTCGATCAAGTTATTATAAATCTTAACATACGTGTCTTTAGGAATATGATCAATTGAACTGGACTTCAATCTTGCTTCCAATTTTTCAGGATGATTATTGGCCAACCATTTGCTTCTGCGATATTCCCATAACGTAGATCCAATATTTGATTGACTGAATAAGGTATCAGTGTCAGAAGAAATATTTCCATCACTATTTCCCACTATTAATTGTTCAAATTCTTTTCTGAGTTGGTTTAAGTCCAAGTCATGGTATGAAATGTCATATTCAGTGTCATCCTCTTCAAGATCTTCGTCGTCGGACCCTTCACGTAAATCACCATATTGTTGACGAATAATATCTTGTAAAGTAGTTTGAACTTTAGCACTGTCCAGAGGGTTCTCTTTTGGACTGTAAGCTTCTGCCATATTGTCCAAACTCTTGTACTTTTTAAAATCCTTCAAGAACTGTTCCTCAGTGGAGTTATATCCCTTATTAGTTCGTATCATTCTATCTAAAGTTTCTTCCGCGTCACTCTCAACAAACAAGTCTTCAACAAATTCATCCGATTCGAATACTTCTTCAGAAATAGAACGAAGTCGAAAGAGAATGTATTGCCATTCAATGGAAAGACGCTTAAAAAACGATGTCAATCTTTTTTTCTTTTGGGTTTGCACTGGTTTGGCAGCAGGGGGTTTCGGCTTGAGATTATGACTGGTGCTACTCGGACTAGTAGCTGATGTAGGAATGGACTGTGGTGTTCTTGTAGTTAAGTTTGTTGATGTAGATGGTGATAACGAGTTGGCCTTTGGTGAACTGTTATTTAGGGTAGTGGTGCTAAATACTTTTCTAATCATACCAGGTAAACGAAGTTGTGTATTCCCTGGGTAATGTGTATGTGTGTGTGTATATCAGAAGGTATAGTTATAGTATATCTAGCTATACTTTCATATGAGAGTGTGCAGATTGTATATTCTTGGTATGGTTGCCTAGTAATTGTAATTCAAAACTGAGACAAATGGTGGAAATGCAGAGGATTGATTGTGATGTGATTATCTTGTGATTATGTTATGATTATGGACGTAGTATCTAGATGGTTTATTAGCTGTATGGGTGTATTAGTAGTAGTAGTTGATCTATAATGTTTCTGTCTGGTCAAATAAGGTTGAAAAAGAATAAAAGGTTTAATGTGTGACTGACTTAATTGAGGGTTAATCTTTTGTGTCGTTTGGATGATTTTAATTTATTTTTAATTTTTAAATTATTACTTTTTTTTACTAACCAGACAGAAAAAAAAACCAGTAAAAATTTCTTTTTACAGTATAGGAATGAAAAATCATGCGTAGTGATGCAGAAAAAGGTTGGGCCGGAAATGTGGACATTTAGACTAATGAATCACCTGGTGTTGAGAAACTTCCCTTTAGGGTCTCCAAAAGGGCTACAACTGATACCGAATATTACTGTTACACGTGAATAGTACATTATCCAGGGTACATTCATTTTCCCTGTCGTTGCATGGGACGTTCACTAGCAATTATTCTCTCATGCGCCTCCCCCCCCATGAATTTCTTTTCTGATTATGCCAGGATTCATAAACAATACATCGCCTTAGCTCTCAGCTCTCAGTAAATTTTCAAATTATTAATTAATCCAGCGGGGGAGCCCGGTTTTGTGTTTATCACAAGATAGGAGCTGTCTACATGCACTCGCTTACTCCTGTCAAGTCACCTCGAGACAAACAGAGACACCCACTTTTTTAATTTTCTTGGCTTTTCGCACTTCCCGCCATGCATCGTTTATTAAGATTGCAACAACCATCGGACTTGACGGAATACATTATTACATACAATACATACTAATACAAACTAGGAGCTATATTTTTCATTAATCTTCTTGTATAATCCATAATCGAATTTCCAACCAACAGCTTCTTTTCTGGTGAGTTCGCTATCTGCTTTATCTTGACTTATCTCATTTTCATACTTCTTGTACACTGATTTATCTTGTAAATAACCGTTTCGGGTATCCCACTTGACATTATATACCACCATGGATAATCCTGAATGTTGTCCTTTCCAAGAACGAGAATTAATCTTGTTGGCGGTGTATCCGACATACTTGGATAATCCAGGAAGTAACAACACTTGCACAGATAAGTCACCATATATATCTTTATCCACGCCTTCATTATCAGTCGTAGTCAATGGCTTGATAAAATCGTCACTCTTCCAATTTGGATTCCACTTACTTAAATCAATACTCTGATTAAACAATCCCATGTGCACCAAAACTTGTAAAATGTCCGAGTCATCAGTATATATTCCACTGGCTCCACCCCATACATCCCTGACGTAAATCTCATTAATGAAATCATGTTTCAACTGAACTATAAACCTGAATGGGATCTTCACCTCTATGACCGAGTTTATGTATTCAACAGGTAAGGGAGGAATCGTAGGTATGTACTTGACTTTCTCACTCTTCACCCTACTTGCATAGCTTAGTTTAATTTCATTAAATCGTTGATGATGTTCGGGTTTTAACCCATAGAGCAGACTAGTTTGCAATGTCTCCCATGTTGTGGTGGGGTTATAAATTAATGTTCCGAGAAAATGTCGTTTAGGAAACAATTCTTTGAGTGTTTGTACAATAGGTTCAATTGAGAATGATGGTGGTGATTTCTTGATTACTTTCAGAACTACTTGTGGATTCCCAGTTTCTTCTTTGTCCACATGATGGTGATGATGGTGATGGTGGTGGTGATGATGATGTGGGTGAACATGACCGTGATTATGATGATGATGATGATGTTGTTGTTGTGGTGCGTGTGCATGTGCATGTTCTTGATCATGCTTTTCTTCTGGCTCAAGTTTGGCCTCTGGTTGTGTGACTGGTGGTGAATAACTCGATGGTTGAACATTCAGTTGTACACTCGGTTGTAATTGATTAATGTGAGGAAGTTGTTGTGGTGAATATTTCTGTTGTGGAGGAGATGTAGCATAGCTCCCCGGAGGTGATTGAGAATCATACAATTTCATCCGCTTGTTAGCTTGTTCATCAGGTTGTGCTGACGATTGAGGTGGAGTTAAAGTAGGCAACAAGATCGAAGAGCTCGGTGGGGATGATGGGTTATTCAAAAAGTTGGGAATGCCTAGGTTGGAGGTAGGAGGCAACTTACTGGGTCCCCCACCAGACAAGAACAGAATTGGTGGTAATCTGATGCCTTGGTGGGGAAGTTGTGGTGGTTGTTTATCAGATGACATTATTTTGTATAAATGCGATGATGATGAGATGACTATATTTGTGGCTGTACGTTATACGAATTTGATTACGTTACAAAAACACTAAGCTAGATATAGCAATGCAAGGAAACACTTGGTTTATATTGATAACGACAATTGTCCTATTGATTGACACTATGACTGATGTTCAAGTTGTTCTTCCCCAAACAGACAAAATTTTCTGGACATAGTTTTTTCCGTGTGTGTGGGTGTTGCCTCATATGCGCAATTTTACTTCGGCCGACGTTTACAAATTTCTCCCCCGCGAAACGTACATGGTTCACGCACGCACTCTGGCTGCAACATGCATAAGGATCGTCCATTATCTTGTATAACATTATTCCCATCTCACAATTTATATTCCACTTAATATTAAGACTCTTTAATCGAACATTAGTATTTATTCCAGGTATATAATCTAGATTACCCACACAGTACAGCTTCCCTTCCTCCAAACGTATGACAACATTTGTAAGGGAATTTGCATTTCTGCACTCCTTCCGAGCACAATTCCCAAAGATAATCGTCTACTACTTTTATATAATCTTCCAAGTTTAATATAAGGAACATTCAAGTCTGCATGTAATCCTTGAGAAATTCTATTGCTGTTATATTGATACAATATCAAGCTAAACGTTTCACCTATTCGAAATTCAGTGATAACACTGGATCTGCTTCTAATTAATTGCATTCAAGATTTAACCATTGTAAACGGCAAGGGAAATATCTCACCTGCTTATGTTACAGAAACCCTAAATCCAATACCTCGAGGCGGAATTAATACTTGCCATTAAATAATGGGAAACACTTTGTCAATCTATCAATTGGATTACCATACAAACATAGATTGATAAGATTGAGAGGAATCATCTAATCATTCAAAGTTGTAATTTCGTTTCCCAATAGATGCAACGTTTCCAAATCAAGAAGTACTTTCCAACCATATGACACCACGTCTTCTGTACCATTCCTTGCAAATTTCAACTTCTTGAGTGTAGTTGGAAACCTTAAAGCAGTCAATTCATGAGTATTACAGTTTTCTATACATAACTCAGTCAAAGTATTTGGAAATTTAACAGGATGTTCCAATTACAGACCAAATCAAATCAAAGCCCAGCATTTTAAGATTTGGAGACTCAGAGGTAGCATTGAAGTAATATCTGGTAATCGTAAGTAGAAAGCTGTAGAAGTCACAAGCACAACTGTTATGGATGTACTCTCTATTTTTAAAGCTGAACTTGTATTGTTTTTGGTTCTTTTGTATAATTGATGATGTAATTGACCTCTTCTAAAAGAGGCGCAAGTACAGCAATATTCACAATAGAGAGATAATGTAAATATTCAAGCTTATTAATCATATTAACAAGCAGGTTCAAACGTTTGGCAAGACTAGCCGTAGATATCAGGCTATGTCCTAGAATGTTGCATAGATAACTGCAAAATCCGAAAATTACGGAGAAAAGTCCGGAGTTACCTCGTATTTACTGAAGTGACTTGCTTACATGATTCGGAACGGGCTGTCAAATGAGTTTGAATTTTCCGCCAAGTGTAAATAGCATCCCAAAAGGGAAACGCCGAGAGACGTATTTCCGCGCCTTGAGCTTTTTTGATTGCTTGATTATGTTATCATAAGATTTGTCAGCGCGCGGAAATATCCCAAAGTAGAGAAAAATCCGATTACCACCGAGAATGTGGCTAATGTAACATTTGAAAAAGAGCTATGGCTGCAAATTTCAAGCTATGATTCTAATGCTATAAATACTACAATCTCTTTCCTCAAAAGTACCCACTTCTCAATTATAAACATCAATCCTCTATAATCAGAATAATAATAAAAAAAAACTTCCACAATGACTGCCACTACTGTTTTCGTTTCCGGTGCTAACGGTTTCATCGCTAGCCATGTTGTCAAACAATTACTTGAAAAAGGTTACAATGTTGTTGGATCGGTTAGATCCGCCTCCAAGGGTGATAAGTTGAAAGAATTGACTAAATCAGATAACTTTTCCTATGAAGTTGTTCCTACTCTTGATGCCGAAGGTGCCTTTGATGAAGCCCTCAAGAGACATCCTGAAGTCACTGTTTTCTTGCACACTGCCTCCCCAGTTACCTGGGAAGCTACTGATTTCGAAAAGGAAATCATCCAACCAGCCATCAAAGGTACCAAGAATGCTCTTGCTGCTATTAAGAAATACGCACCTCAAATTGAACGAGTAGTTGTTACTTCTTCCATAGCTGCTGTTGCCGATCTCCAAAGCGATCCAAAAAAGATTTATGATGAAGATAGCTGGAATTCTATCACCTACGAACAAGGTTTACAAAATGGTATTTTAGCTTATGTTGCTTCTAAAAAGTTTGCTGAATTGGCTATTTATGACTTCATTAAAGAGGAAAAGCCAACTTTTAAAGTCTCAACAGTTCAACCAGTGTATGTATTTGGTCCTCAAGCTTATGGTATTGATGGTGCATTGAACGTTTCTGCCCAATTTGTTAATTCGATTGCTCAATTAGGTCCTCTGGATAAGATCACAGAACAATCAGGCTCTTTTATTGATGTTAGAGATGTCGCTAAGGCTCATATAGTGGCATTTGAAAAGGATGAAGCTATTGATCAAAGATTGGTTTTGGTCAGTGAACCATTTTCATTTGATGGTATTGCTCGTGTTATCAATGAAAACTTCCCTGACTCCAAGGTTCCTAAAGGTGATTTAGCCAAGGATGAAGAATTAAAGAAGAATGTTCATAATTATAATACCTCCAAAACCCACAAGATCCTTGGATTTGACTTTATTCCTTTTGAACAATCCATTATTGAATCTGTTAAGCAAATTTATGAATCAAAGTAATAATCACTTTCTGGTATATAATATATTAAATATTAAAGTTTTATATTCACGAATATTATAAATGTAACTAGTTGGGTTAAAGAGATCTATACCCTCTATTTGTATTTGTTACGAAGACTAACAGTGAGATTATTTGAATGGAATAATCTATAACCACAAGCTCTTGCATGCAAATATATTTCTATAAACAATCCTGAAGACGATAATATCAAACCCCTAGAATAGTCAACTCATATTGGACGTTCTCCAATATAATAATTCTTCAACAAACAAGTTTAATCAATCAACCAAATCGGTTCCCTTCCTCTAAACGTTTCCAAACATTCTTCGTGGAAAGTATTAGTACTTTTCCTTATCTTTCCCAAACACAATTTCCAGTCATACGAGTAGAATGCTGGAAGATCCAAGGGTTTTCTTCTAGGGCTCGGGGTCGTCAATTGCTTGTCCTCATCACGAAATTCAACTGTTGCTAAACCACACCTACATAAGTTTAAATGTTGCAACAGCTTAAAGCTCAGTGGCAACACAAGATTCAGCCCTAGCAGGTTACCAAGAAGGATCAACATTTTCAAACTAGCAGGAATATACTTTACGCTAATGGATTTTATGTTACAAAAGCGTAAATCCAAGTACTCGAGGTTGAATTTATACTGATCGATAAATAATGGAAAATTCTCAGATAGTTCATTAATGGGGTTAGCAAACAAACATAGATTGATAAGATTTGGAGGGATCATCCAGTCATCCAAACTTGTAATATTATTACCCGATAGATCGAGTGTTTCTAAATTGACAAGTATTTCCCAATCATATGAAGCTACATCCTCAATTTGATTCGTTGTCAATGCCAACTTTTTAAGCGAAGTTGGAAAACTTAAAACATCCAAACCAGGAATCTTACATGCATTCATGTACAATTCCGTCAAGGTCTCAGGAAATTCAATTGGATGCTCCAGTTCCAACCAAGACAATTCAACTTGGTTCATTTCTAAGATTTTTAAATTCAGAGGTAGTCTTGATGCAAAATTTGGCAACCGGATAGGGTTATTGCTAATGTTCAAATCTATCAACCCTGGAGGCCATCTATGCAAATTGTTAATAATTTTCAATGCCGAATCATTTAATCCAGTTTCAGCTAGGGATAGTACCTCGAGGCTCGTTGGCCAATGAATTCTGTTGAAGTCATAGATACCAGTGGTTTCGAGTTTCAATTTACGTAGCCCAGCTGGTAATTGGTCCTCCATTAGATTCTGCGTTGAATCACAAGAGTGCTGATTTTGGAATATCTCTAAACTGTCCAATTTAGAGCCGGAAATTGAAAGGGTTTTAACCGATTTAGGAATGATTAATTTATGGTCGAGCTCGGTTTGTACCAATTCGAGACATTTCAACTTCTCTGGAAACCTAAAACTCAGCCAATCATCAACGCAATCTTGGACTAAGATGATTTCTTCAAGCCTCGGATGGTCTGTCCAGTACGTATTATCAAATATTTTAGTGTTTGACAAATTCATATTTTGGACATATATCTTTGTCAAATTTTTAAATGACAATAGATAGTTTAAATCACAATCACCCAACTGACATCTCTCTAAAGCGATTTCTAACTGTGCAACCTTGCGAATTCGCTCATCATACCTTTCCAAGAACTGTTCTATCGTTGAAAAGCTTTCATTGTCAAAAGTGATAATTAATCGTCGAGGAATGTTCTCGGGAAAGGTATCCATAAACTCAAAAATTTCCTCATTGAAAAACTGGGTAATATCGAGGAAGTATCTGTGATACCAACTTACTTCAGAATGGACAATAAAGGCTACTTCGGAGTAATAATGATGAAGTACTAAATCACGGAGATCATGGTGAGGAAAGTTGGTGAGGAATGTCCACAAGTCAGAACGGTTGAATAGGTCAAAGATTTGCATAAGGATTTCATCCGGTAAACGCGGCAAGTATGTTGTTAGAAACGACGAAAAGAACTCATTGTAGTTATTGTTGGTCATTTTCTAGTATGGTTTCCATTTATGTTTATCCTTTGTAATGTAAACTGAACCAGGTGATTAACAATAGTGTGAGTTCTACGGGCGGTGTTGAATAGAGTTGGTTTGCGCGGCTGATTATTTCCTAAATAGGACTATAAAATACATGTTGCAAATTAACATGTTCTTCATCTATCTATCATACGAATTATCTACATAAATAACTTCATCTCAGCTGTAAACACCCATAATGAACAACTTGGTTGTCCTTAGTCACTCCAAACACCGCATACCCCAACCGTTTATTACACACGGCACATGCTTGCTTGCTGGAGCTAATCTTGTATCCTTCGCTCTGGATCTTCAACACTTTATCCTCCATATTGACAGTACCAACTTTGTATAACTGCGCTTTTATTCTGCTATTATGTAATAACTTATGATTATTGGCAAATGTATGCGTGAGGAATTGGGTTAGTTTTGAGATGGGGAATGTGTCCGGGAGTTGCGTCAATACTTTATGAATCTGCATTTTTGTTCCGTGCAAACTAAGCAATGTCTCGATTTTATCAAAGTTATCATCATAATTTAATAAATCATCAAGAAGTTTATGAAAAAGCCCAGTACCAAGATGAGGTGTGGTACCGTATATGTCAAGTGCATAATCCATGGCCCCTTCCAAATCATTCAACTGGTTAAATAACACGTCGATCGACTTTTGATGTTCTTCTAATCGTTTATACACAAATATCACCAATCTGAGAAACTTGTCTTGTGTCGTTGGGATTTGCTTTAAGGTTTTCCAGGGATCATAATGAGTTCGAACTTTCAAGAAGTTATATAATTTAGTGTAGTACTCCAATGCATAAAAATTCTCATCGTCTCCAGTGAATAATTTAAGACTGTCCAAATACAATGTAGCAAGTTTGGTTTCGAAATTGGTAAGTTGTTTCCCCTTGAGTTCAAAATCACTATCATTCAATAACCACTCCAAGTAAACCACGCCTAAGTTCCTGTCCACCAAATAATTCAACACTTGTTCCGGATCATAACTCTCACATTGATAACTATCATTCATAAATATTAACCTGCACTCACTCACCTTCTCATCACACTCGTCCAATACCCAACCAGCATACTTGAATACAAGGTCTATATGGTCCCCAGTTAGTTTCTGCAAATATTGTATAGTCAATGTTGGACCTTGTACTAGTTCATCAGTTGACTCATGGGCTAGTTTGTGGAGCATGGATAATGCTTCATCGTGTAAATTCCTTCCATAGTAAAAATCAAGTAATTCCTTAATAAAACTAGCTCCGAAATTGCCTCGCAGCAAACACTGATTGACCACTTTTGAATCACAGCGATTGGACGGAAGTCGCAACAATGGGCCGAGTAACATAGGTTTGACGTGGAAGTAACATAAAAACAACGATGTGTCAATTATAGTGGCCACTTCCTCTAATTGTGTTTTTTTAGTGTCATGAGGTGCTGGATAGATCTCCCTGGGAGTTATATCAATCCCTTTCCATTGCATTGTGGGCTTGTCTTGAAATGACGCAAGAATGCGTCGTTGATCAGTCAAGTAAATAATCAAATTATTGACGGCTTTTTGGAAACGGCGAATCATCACAGGTGATTTTTTGAGGGTGGGTGATCGACGAGATGCTGTGTCGGTATCATATTCAGACTCAGTGTTTATGCTTGCTCCGGTTAAATCGTCAACCTTGACACGTTTAATAGCGCCCATTTCCTTCTCTTCGGGTAATGATTCTGGAAAGAGAGATGATTCTCCATTTATAAAGTCAGGAAAGAGACTGAGTATGTCATGGAATGAAACAAGCCATTCAGAACCAATTTCAACTAATGCCTCATGATACTTGGAATATGAGTTAAACAAGAGAATTGCTTTGGAGGTATATAGTTTCCGCAACATCATATGCTTAGCTTTCTCGCCTGTGAATAAACTGTCATGTACTGGGATTTTCGTCACGAGTGATATAGCTTTGGCTAGACCCTTGTGTTTTAAATCATTTTTTGGTTCGTCTGTGACTGGTCCCGATAATGCTAAATACTGATCGATTTGTTGTTGATATGGTGCAATTGTAAATTGGAGAATGTCACTCCCGGAAGATATGGTGATTTGGGCATCATCTCCAGTTATGTATATCTGATTTGAATTGATATAATGCTGGAATCGTTGAATTAGATCTCCAGTTTCCAGATCGATAACTTCTATCTTCTTCAGGTATACAGCAAGTAGGTATAATGGGTATATAGAAACAATCTGCAACGGGACGCTTTGAAATTTTACTGGAGAAACCGCCATTGTTAAGTCTGGTTCTATGGTAACAGCTTGTGTATCCCTTACAAGTAAAGTTGTATCATCTTGATTAATCGTCCATAATCGTGGTACTGGGCTCAATCCAAAGTAACTGAATGAAGTAGGATGTGTGAATGTGTCATCGAGGGGACTAACTTCAAATTGGTCATTAATGATCCAGTAATCAGTACTCAACCCGACAAGAATCTTCCCATTAAACTTGTCAATGGTACGTATCTTATCCTTCATGGTAAGCTCGTGTAATTTGACAAACAGGAACAAATTCCTGGTCTTGTTGGAAATTTGAAACACCACGAGTTTCTTTTTTATACCAACGTACAATAGTCTTTGCTCGTGCTGTTCCAAATACAACACTGCACTGGCAGCTTTTGAGTCCTCAACTTTGTAGATCTGATTGATGTGTGTTCCTATGATTTCAAATATCCGGACGCTGGACTCGGTAGTAACCACGATGACCGACTTGACCGGTTCGCCGCCTAATTTAACCGTCGTTATATTATCAATAGCCGTTCCATCACTAGACACGTTCTTGAAAGTGGCAGTCAATGAAACAAACTTGGATTCGGAGTTATCACTAAACAAGCTCTTGACGTCGTTTAAGGAGCGGATCTTTCCTGATGTGGTTGTTGCAGCACTCCCTGGTTGCTCTTTATTGTCAGGAGTGGGGGATTTCGTGTACACCAATACATCACCATTGGACAATCCAGCGTATATTTTACTGTGATCATTCGCAATTGATGTTATCCTGCTCCCTTCTGGTATTCGTATGCGATTGCATGGTTCTATTATATCTATCATTTGACACTGATTGGTCTGGCAGTTGTCGGCCTACAATAGCTGGTTGTAAAAAACGTAAACGGTTTAATTTTTTTTATATAGGAAGGAATACGTCCTGTATATAAACAGAGGTAACACTAACGACTAATAAAGTTGACAACACCAGTACAGTACTTGACCAATTCATCCAATTGTTGGTTGGTTTCGGTTACGTCAGCATACTGTTCTAATGCTTCATTCAAGGCGTCTTCGTTGTGATTGTGAATTACATCCCCATGAATTTTCAAGAACATGGCGAACAAAGCTTGGTAAATTTCGTAATCCTTGTTAGTCTTGACACCAGTAGTCAATGCATTGACAAAGTTTGTCATTTCATTCAATGGCGGGAACGAGTTGAGTGATCTGATTTCCAAATCGGTGGTTGCTGGCGGAAGGTTGACCAAGTAGTTCAAGAACTCCGTGAAGTCCTCTTGTTCGCTTGCTTCTCTCAACAACCTCGTGAATTCAGATTCGAATACTTGATCAGTGGACTTAAGTTGACGCAATCTACTCGACTCCTCTTCAGTTTGGTCATCACCAGATTTGAGAGCACCCTCAGCCACTGAAGCTCTATCACCAACAACTTCACCAGCCAATTGTAAAAAGAATGGCGCCTTCTCGGATTTCTTTGGTGCTTCAGTAGGTTTACTTCTAGCCTTGATGGTATCTAAATGAAGCAAAGTAGTGAACTTATTTCTTGGACCACTAGAAGATAATGTAACCAAGGAATCAATTTGTTCACTGGTGGTGTATGTTTCGCTGATTTGAACGTCTTCATCCTCTTCCAAAGCACCGTCCAACAATGTTGCACCACCATCACCGGAAACATTAGGCAACAACATGGTGGAAAACTCTTCTTCTTCAACATGTCTAGTAGACACAGGCTTGAATTGGGCACGGTTGGTCCAGAGATTAATACCATTACCTGACACATGAGTAGTGGCTAAGAAATCACCCAAGGGAGAGAACTTAACCAGGGTAGCGACAACTGGTAAAAACACCCCGTCGATGCATCCACCACTTGGCAAATCCCAGGTTCTCAATGTTGAATCAAGAGCAACAGAAACCAACCATCTACCATCGGGAGAGAAGTCTAATCCAGAAATACGGTTTGTGTGGCCATACAAGATTCTCACGACTTTCTGTGTAGTCACATCAATAACGACAATCGATAAGTCATCTAAGGCACAAGCAACTAAATCAGACGACTTGTGGTAGATCATTTGTGTGATTGGCGATTCTAATTGTAATTTACCCAAGTACTTTGATTTCCCAAAGTCGTAGAACCCGACAAGTCCGTCCAATCCACAACTAACAAACTTTCTATTCATACCATCAATAGCCAATCCAGTAACAGACTGCTTATGTAAAACATATCTCTTTCTCAATAACCCAGATTGCAAATTGTACACACCAATACCACCATTGGAACTACCCACCACAGCAAAGTTTCCACATTGTGAAACACAGACGGATTTACATACACCGCCATCAATAGTCTTGAGTTCATAACGACCAACTCTCTTACTACGGGAGTCCCAAGTACGTGCAAATGGTTCGTCTTTGTGGGCCGTCACAATATTTTCCCACTCACCTTCACGAGCTTGACTCGATGCAATGGCAGTAATCTCAGGGAACTTGTCACGTAAAGAACTGACTTGTCCGGCTTGACGTTTACCGGACTTTTGTAATCTCTGGGACATTTCTTGTGCTTGGGCATCCTTACGCAACGAGAAACACCAGAAGGATTTGTCTCGCGAGGCACTATACACCAAATGAGTCTTTTCCTCATTGGGGAACTCGATGGCAACTGGTGGAGCGGAATGGCCCCCTCTCGATCTGAGATGACGTGGAGGAGATACAATTGAAGAATTGGAAGTAGTTAAGTTTGGATCAAATACAAACTCCTTCAAATGGTTATCACCACCATTGGTCAAGACGATAGGCTGACCATTCAAGAACTTGACATTGGCAACACCACCATGCACTTCACGATGGGCGTTTCTAAGAATGTGTACTCTAGCCTTCTTATTCAAGTCGTAAAAGAAAAGATCACCCGAGTTTAATCCGGCTACAAGGTGGGGTGCACCATCAGTACGGAACGACAAGGCGGTGATCTTTTGAGACGATTCTGATCCACTGGTGAAAATTTTGCTACCGAGAACTTTACCCTTGCGCAAATTGTACAAATAAATGGAACCAGTAGAAGTACCTACGGCAACAATGTCCAATACAGGAGCGTATTCAATGCATGACAATGGTTCTTCTCCAAACAGGTCGAGGGCCGACTTGAACAAGAGCTTTCCCGATCTCACATTAATAATAAAGATTCCGCTAGTGGTGGCAACGACAATCTTGTTCAAGTAAGTAGGAGGATGAATCAATCCAACAATATCACCATCTAAAGCAGGGTTAATCAGTCTAATGGTGGTATATAATTCAGTGTGGTACTTTTCAGTAGTCTTTCTAAATACGGAGATAGCGCCATCAGCACTAGTAGCAACGAGATATTCTCCAAACACGCATAAATGAGACACAGCAGCAGAAGTGCTCTCACATGTCAAGGTGTGTTCCAATCTTCCTCGTTTGTAAATGGCAATCTTGTTGGCGTATCCAGCATAAACGTAGTGGTAATGGGCAGCAAGACAATTAATAGTGGATGCAGTTTGTGTTTGGGATACAAATAACAAGTGTAACGTAGCCAAATCATAAATTTGAAATGATTTACCTACGGAGGTTACTCCGTAAAAGGTGGATCCTAATGTACCAATGGCGAAGGGAGTAGCATCGGTGACATTCCCGAGAACTCGGAATGGGCTGAAGATCTTAGATGGACGAGGTGGCACCAGTGTCAGTGCTTCTGACGTAGACTCGGTCCTTCTTCTTTTGTCCTGTTCAACCATGTTGTTTGATGAAGGTGGGTTGTAAATAAGTTGGTTATTTTATTTTTTTTTTTTTTTTGGTATAATTTTTCAGTCAAGCTCATCGTGGGATCGGTACTAGAACTAACTGCACAACACGATAATTGGCAGAGAATTTACATAATTTAGTTAACATGTTGATTGTATAACATTTCTACGGTATATATCACTTATAAGAGTTGTTGGTAATAGTTATATATTAAATAGTATTGCCTATATTTTTGCGGTTGGTTCGATCAGCAGTTTAAACTCATCGCGGTAATTTTTTTTTCAGCAATCACCGCCAACTCTTCTTTATATCACCAAGCAATAACCATGACTACACCAGAAAAGAGACCAATAGAAGAGGATATCTCCTCCTCCTCCGACTCTAAGAAACCCCACACAGAAGTTACACCACAAACCTATATCAAAGGTGTTGCCGCCATCAAGTCGGAATTTCTCATCTCCACTACCCCAGCACCAGCCTATGACGATGATGCCGCTGAAGCCACTGCCGAACGTGACTCCGCTGCTGGCCCCGTACAATCTAAGAAACGCCGTGGACAAAACAAGAAGCGTGACCTCAAGCAGAAAAGTGACAATCTCAGATTATGTTCCAGTTTATTGGACCCCGCCAACCCCAAAGAATGCCGATTTGGAGCTGATAAATGTATAAAGACCCATGATATTGAATTATACCTCAACTCGAAACCTGAGAATATCGAAGGTGTATGTCCAGTTTACAAGGCCATCGGATACTGTCCGGCTGGTGTGAAATGTAGATGGTTACCTTCCCATTACAATTCCGAATCCAAGACTTTACTTCGTGATGAACAAGTGATAGAAGCGGCCAAAATCAACAATTACGAAATCAACAAGATTGACAATGATGCCAAGTACCAACTCAGAAAGAAAACATACAAGTTCACCATCTCCGACCCAGTCATCGCTTACTTGGACTCGCAAGTTCAAAACGACGAAAACTTGGCCAAGATGGAAGAACGCAAGGACAACGCCGCCACCTACGTGGAAGCACCATTCAAGATTGCTGAAAAGAAAAAGCTCAACTTGAACAGGGCCAAGATCGTGTCACCATTGACCACTGTGGGTAACTTGCCATACCGTCGTCTTATGAAGACTCTTGGTGCTGACGTAACATACTCGGAAATGGCACTTGCAGTTCCATTAATCCAAGGTACAAACCCAGAATGGGCATTGCCAAAGGCCCATTGTTCCGAATATCCTGGGTTCGGAGTCCAAATTGCCGCATCAAAACACTGGATGGCTGCAAAAGCTGCCGAAACAATCTACAAAGAAACTTCCAACGTGTCCGAGTTGAACTTGAACTGTGGATGTCCTATTGATTTGTTATACCGTCAAGGTCAAGGGTCAGCCTTGCTTGATCAACCATCGAGATTGATGCGTATCTTGCGTGGTATGAATGCAAGTTCCGGTGATATCCCCGTGACAGTCAAGATTAGAACCGGTACCAAAGATGGAAAGAATACCGCCAAGTCATTAGTGGAACGTGTGTTGAAAGAAGGCGATGTGGCTGCAATTACCTTGCATGGTAGATCAAGACAACAGAGATATACTAGAGAAGCCGATTGGGAGTACATCAGTGAAGTCGGTCAAGTTGTCAAGCAATGGAACGACAAGAAGGAAGAAGACAAGGAATCCAGTGACACCCCACGCACATTTTTTGTTGGTAACGGTGATGTCTTCACTCATTTAGACTGGCATACTGCTGTTGACACCGATGGTATTGATTCCGTTATGGTTGCCAGAGGTGCCCTTATCAAACCATGGATCTTTGAAGAAGTTGAAGCGGGCCAATACTTGGACAAATCCGCTAGTGAAAGATTAGACATTTTGAAAACATATGCCGATTTCGCCATTGAACATTGGGGATCCGACGATTATGGTGTTGGGTTAGCCAGAAGGTTCATGTGTGAGTTCTTGAGTTTCACCCATAGATATATCCCCGTGGGGATCTTAGAACGTCTTCCTCCAAAGATCAACGAACGTCCTCCTAAGTGGATGGGAAGAAACGACATGGAAACCTTGCTTGCCAGTACCGACTATAAGGACTGGATCAAGATCACCGAATTGTTCTTGGGTAAAGCAGGTGAAGACTTTCAATTTATTCCTAAACACAAAAGTAACGCGTATGAACAAGATCGATAGATTTTATACAAAACACAGAACTATACATATATATATTCTTTTCCACCTATCTCTTTTTAGCATCGCCCTTACTAGACAATTCTTCATAATCATTAGATAAACTGTTGGCTTGGCCCTTTAATATGTCCAAATCCTCTTCCTTTCCAGCCAATTCCTTTCTCAACTTCTTGACAGTTTCAGATTCCCCACTGTCCTTCTTGGTAGCCTTTAAATCGTCCAACTTATCCTTGGTAGCAATCAATTCTGCCACTAACGAATAAGTTCTAATCAAAATCAAATGAAGGAACAAAGTGAACCCACAAAGGTACATATTCCTTTGAGCATAGAATCTTCTAGCTTGAACTTCACCACGGTCGTTGACAACGGCAGCACCGCCGTGTTGGCCATGATGACCACCGGCATGTTGTAATTCCATAGTTACAGCATAGACTCTATTTACAGAATCAATAAACAATACGGCTACGAAACCCAAGACACACTTTAACGCAATCTGGAATTGCTCGTTGCGGAAAGGTAACGATACCGTGGTGAGCACTTTTCTCCTAATTGCTCGGGGGTATGGTAACAGGAGTATACCAAAGAACACCATCTCGGTGACTAAAAGACCAAAAACGATACTGTAATATAACGCCATTGCAATTGTTTGAAGAAGACGAGTAACAATTGATTGATGAATTTCAAATGGCAAATTGCTGCCGTTTTTATATTGCTTGATTTTTTTTTTGGTTTGCTGTCACAGCCCGCAAGCAAATGACGAAGCATGGGGGCGGGTCGGGGAATAGTGACAGGTGGTAGCGCTGAAATATATCTTCAATCTTTACTTCTATTAACTATTAGTCTATAAAATCCTATAATCCCAATGATACTTTCAATGTGAACGTAACCAAGAAAGGTAGTGTCACGTACAAGATGGAATACTGGCAAATCAAGCAAATGGCCAAACAATCCATTTGCAAGTGTTCGTCGGACGTTGGATCAGTATAAAATGCCGTGAAATAAACTAATGCCGTGGCATTCGGTAATCCAAACTCCAACACACTGACAAATCGAAGCAACTTGTCATCACCGTACCAGCCACCTTTATAAAACCCGGTGGTTATTCCAACCCCAATGATGGGAATCAAGATGAGTCTGGATGCGGTTATCATCACTGCCGTTTTCCAAAATCCCTTTGGCATTTTATTCACTTGCAACCGGGAAATGGTAGCTCCTAGTAAAATTAACCCTAATGGGACCGAAGCAGCTCCGATATAACTGGTTAAATCTATAACAAACGATAATGGCGGTTGTCCATCTGGCGCAGGTGGAATGTGTACTCTCGCAGGGACAAATAATGCCTTCAAAGGTGGAGCCATGGCAATAGCAATAGACACAACCAATGATACGGAACTTGGCGCAATCAAGTTCTTACCCATTTGTCCTAGATACTTGACAATTTTCGACTTGAACGATGTCTTCACTTCTTCCTCTTCCTCGGAACTAACAGGAACAACCCCGACTTCACTGGTCCCCGCTACTGACCGTCTACTTTCTCCTCTCTTTAACCCTTCAAAATTGGAGTATTCCTGAATGACATCTTCAATCTTTTGTGATTTTTGTTTTCGTAACTCGACAGTTCGTGAAAGTGTAGGTGCAAGTGCGTAAATGCTGTTCAGTGATTGAATCAGCGATGCTCGTCTCGATCTTTGGGATCCTCTTCTTGAACGTAACCCAGCATTTGGTTCCAACAACGGACTCATTGACCGGTTCGTTCTTGGTGTACTTGCATGCGACATTTCTGTAGTCAAATGTCTAGTTTGATATTCGTCGGAGCTGTTTGGCGAGTTTTTATCCATAGCCGCCGAACTAGTCACCATAACTTCACTAGAAATAGACTCTGAATCATCGATTGCAAATTCTGGAGTGTTAATAGACTGCCGAGGAAATGGACCCAAACGATCGGTTGAAATCTCAGTCTCCATCTCAATCATCTCCTTGTCTTTATCCTCCTTTGCCTTTTGTTTTATCTCATCCTGGAAATCCCATTCAATAAGTCGATACAACCCCATCGAGAACTGATAACATACTTGTGTCATGAGGAAAATACAAACATACGCCACACCTTTGTCCCCTTCGGCAGTGCTGAATATCACCCCACCTTTAGCAAACGTCTGCAAATACGCAATGGGTAAATCAGAAATATTGGGAAATAGCCCAACGGAAATCAACCCCCCTAACCATCGTCTTGGTGATTTAGTCGCTATATACGTCAACCAGGCCATAATCGCCCCAAAAATGAACAATAGCGTCCCCGTGAAGAAAATGATTCCAATGTTCTTGATATCGGAACTCTTCAAATTCAGGACAATGTTCTCGAAAATCAAACACGGCATGATCGCCGTGACGATCGTGTCCGAGATATCCCGACATGTCGTGACGGTGAGAATGTTCCTTCGGGCCAAGTAGAACCCCAACGCGATGATGAAGTAGATTTTGAAGATGGGTTTCACTGAGGCGTAGATCACTAGACCCAAATCAAGGTCACCTGTTTCTGTAGACATCGCAAGTTCGTGTAATGTGTGTAATGCAAGACTAAGATTTATTTCATGAAATTTTCATGTAACTTTTAGTATTAATGACTTGTCAAGACAAGTCTATGCAATAAAGGTATGTGGTATTAGTTGAATGAGTCAGCAAGCGGCTTGTATGGGTTTATACTTTTTATTACTGAAAATTTGTTCTCGTCTTTTGTTTTTTTGCGGCTCAAATTTCGGGGTTGGGGTGGTGGGGGCAAGTGGAGGGATTGAAGAGGACGAAGGGGGGGGGTGTAAAGCGCAAAGTGGGGGCACAGACAATGAAGTCGCATCACCTTACCACCACATTCCACGCTTATCATTTAAAGAGATATAGTTTAATATTGTTGAAAGCTTCAATATGAATTAAGTTGTGAATCGTTTCTGTTCAACCCGGCTGTGCCTGCTCGGCTGTGGGGAGGGACGGGGTGGGGGTGGGAGAACGACTCGTATAATTATGCTTGTCTGGTATCTCAATGTTCCGCACTAAAAGATGAAACTACTAAAATAAGTTACGCTATTTACGGTAAATTTGAGCACGTCCTGTCAGTACTATGTTGACGAACATCCAGAGACGACTAAGCCTGGTTATTGCGGATATGTACATCGTTTGGAGGAAGAATGCTTTCCCCTGGGCTATCATTTAATACCCGAACATATGGAAAAAGGGAAAATGGTAGAGATAAGGATTGATCTCAGTTTGCAATATCCCTCCCCCCATAGAAAAAAATAATTACTTCACTTGCTCGCAACAATTTTCGGTAGCGAATTTAGTTTTATTGTATACGCAAGTAATATATCTTGCATCAACGCCTCGCTGCTAGATAAATGATGTGCATATGACTTCCTGGTGCTCTTATTTACAACCAGGGTGATTAAGATTTCACAAACCCACCTCTTGATATGCAACTTACTAATCATGAAATAAAAAAAAAAACTTTAAACTTTTCAAACTATAAAAATTGTGGATGTTATCAACAAGTAAAAGAAAGTGTGTAGATTATTAAAGCTAAAAAATGCGTATATTATCAAAAGTATATAATGACTTAGCTGAAACCAACAGTTCTTCTGTGTGACTAATCATCTTCAAGACGGCTTGTCATGTGCATTTCCAGAAAGAACCATCTGATCGGGTGGTTCAACAAGCCCATGATCTGCAGCAACGTGCATGGTGTTGCATCGAAAAATTAATAAAGTCGAATAATATAGAAAATTAAAATTTGAGGGTTGTAGTGATTACCCCCAGTCAGTCAGCAACTCACTACAAACCATATGATATCCATAACCAAAATGATGATCCAAAAAAACGTCCGTGATCCAGTAAAAATAAATTATCAAGTCTGCCACCTGCTACTACTCTCGTCAAATTTCCACATATGATAGTCTTGTTATATTTCTATTATGTTCAAACTCCGTAGCTGATAAGCAATAAACTCCAACTATCGTTTCTATACCGTCAATAGAATATATCTCTGCATCTGCAATAGCATCCAAAAACTCCGTGTCTTCTTCTTCTTCTTCTTCTTCTTGCTCCTTGTCATTGTCATTGTTATCTAGATCATTTATCTTGTGCAGACTTCGATCAACAGAAAATATCGAACTTGAACCAGAGGGCATCTCAAATGAACTGTCGCTATTCATAGAATCAAATGTCGAAATGGAAGTTATTGACTCTTGTTGTCGATGTTTGTTTTGTATCCTGGCATTAAGCATGTTCATGCCCCATTGGCCGCCATAACACCGATTTTTCAATCGTAAGGGCGACCTAAGGGGAATATCATCAGGAATAGGTGAACCTAGTGAACTCATGAACTGGGTATATAAGGGTCTGTACTTGAAAAGAAAGCTATAATATAAATATAAAAATCAGTTGGTATCTTTTGAATTAATATATATATATATATGTATCTTACAATTGCTATTCCATTGTTTACGGAAATCGCAAGGACATCGGGGTTTTATATAAGGATGCAACAGTTTCTTACTAAAATAAGGAATTGCAAAAAAATAAAAAAGTAAAAAAAAAAAAAAGAACTCTACAAAAAAAAAAATAATACCGTTGCTAAAAATAAAGTTTTGATCCGTAATTGGAAAATAAACCAAAGCTTTCCCCCAAGGCTTTGAGGGAGCACTATAATTCTGTTTAAACATGTCTATCAACCATTACTTCGCAACATCCTGCCGAATACCCTTATTCTTTTTCCAAGCATATATATAGTTGTTCTTTGTCAAGGTTAAACTATAGAGTTGGCGGATATGTGATGAAATTTTCGTAACCAAGAATTTCTCTTGTCCTATTTAGGGAATTAGTGCCAGCGGAATTTCATGACCCCCATTTTTCAATAATACACGCTGCTCCACAAATAATGTGTGACAGTATATCGGTTAACAACACGCGTAGTGCCCTGATTTTCGCCTATTTGAGATTGTCTAGTCAACCACAAGTTTCACCATGTTAGAAAATCACTAACAAAGGATAGTTTCAATAAACGGTCGCTACAGTGGGAAATGATCCGGTCAACCTTTACGCTGTCAATTTTGATGTGAAACATAATCACATACGTCATAAGTAGTTATAACTTGACTTGCAAGATCATCAGAATAAGTACATTATTCGACAAACACAATGGCTAAAAATATTCTTAGACCGGCCAGATTGGATCGAAACTAATTCTTAGTACCAGCATCAAGAATTTTGTTCAAGTATTGGCGATCAAATTTCAGGATAAATTTCTACAATTTGAGATATATTGTACTCTTGTATTAGCTCGTTTTTATAATATTCTTGAGGTTATCCTTTGGCATCTAATACCCAAGTATGAACTTGAAAGGGTATTGTCAAGAACAAGTAAATGATGGCCCAAAACAATCTTGGGGAGAATACCTTTGTGGGAGTGTAACAGTAGTTTCCATTTTAATACCGATTGTTATTAGAAATATTGTATACCACAACTAACTTTTTTAAGAATACTTTGTTATGGAAAGTCTAAGTTTGCAGGTATAAAACTAGGACAAATTTTATTCCATGAAATTATTAAATATTCCTTAACCAAATGTTGCTCTCAATATTATGTGATTGTATTATCGTTCTGCTCTTAATAATTATCATACAGCAAACACGAGTACTATGTAGAAGTAAACAAGAACAGAAGCTGGAGTTGAAGCTGGAGTTGAAGCTGGAGTTGAAGCTGGAGTTGATACAATTGGCTAACGAAGTATGTCAAATTAGACAAGAGATTGAAGAAACCAGAGTGAAGAAGCCCAAGCTGGCTATAGAAAAAACAAAGATCACGATCATGTCACTCCTGGATGATATCATCCTTAATGTACTAAGATATCTCAACCAGATACATGTGTGTCGTATTTGCACGATCAATTCTCGGCTCTATAAGTTGGGAAAGATCAAGTTGTATAGATGCATTTATTTCCACATTCGAAGTTTAAATACTATACATATCTCGGCTAATACTTACACGTCGTTCTATACCAATTTTACTGTTGTTAGCCAATGGAGTACATTCCCTTGGGTTTCGGAAAATTCAAATATCACCCTTGTCAAAAAAATGGTTTTTAGAGTGAGTGGATTACTATTTGATATAGTAAAGACACAGTATCCTTGGATAGAAGTCATAGCAGAAGACGAGAATGGTTATTACCACTCGCAATACCCTTTGCAAGAATACCATTACACTCAACTAATATTATCAAGGAGAGCTGGAATTCCTTTCCTTAATGGATGTCAAGAAATGCCATGGGTGAAGAAACTTACAATATATCTAAACGTTGTGCCAGAACAGAGTTTAAATGAAATTAAATATTTATCTGGGTTGGAAGATCTTGGAATTGATGCTGTAGATATGGATGACTTAGAGGTACTATGTAAAATCGGACTTAGAGATATACCTATCAAAAAATTAAGGATTCTGGTTCCAGAATTGATTGACGTGAAAGGACTCCAAAAAATAACTAAGATGTTTGATTTGGAAAAGATCACCGCATTTCAGTTACATTTATGGAAGGTAGATACATATCCAGAAAACTTCAGCCTGGGTATACAGAAGTTGCTTTCTGCCTTGGTAAATGTCACCAGTCTTTCGATAATATGCCAAAACATTGATTTTGGGAAAGTTCTTGAACTGGTGAAACCGAATTCATTACATACATTGCATTTAAAGATTGTTCAGGTTGGCAATGATATACATACCTTCCAATTAGAAAACATTTTGAACTATCAAGAACATTCATTACAGCAGTTCTACTTGAGTAATAAGAAACCGCAAGGTGGAGGAAGATTTTATGGTCTACAAGAGTTTGAAAGAATTTACAAAAAAGAGACCAACCCCCTCATACCCAACCAACAACCTGTTGGGATTTTTGAAATCAGAAGGATGATAGATGCTGGAAAGTTCCAGAAGTTGAATCGGGTGTTGATTAATGAGAGCTGCTATTTTATTAAAAGACTTTCAAATGGTATGATTCATCTTGTTCCATGTAATTCTCTTATTCCTGATAATCCTTAAGCAGAACTTCGTTGTGTAGGAGAACCTGTTATAAGAAGCTGGATCTGCTTGACTAAAAGGAGAGATATAATACTTGGCATTTTTATATCATTATTACCGTTATAAATTCTGAGAATGCTATTTGAATTCAAAATTGTCGAAAGAAGGTGTTTATTGGAATTATAAACTACTTAATAGCAAAATTGTAATAAGACTAAATTTAATAAAACTTTATTGGCAACTACTACCATTATTATTTATAAGAGCCAATGAACATAGTGGACTGGGACTGGTTAAGTTCTTTTCAAATTAATATTTTACTGACGACAAAAAGATTATCTCGCGGTCTGATGAGTTTGTGCTTTCAGTGCAATCCAACTGGATAAAAGGTATTATTTTAAGATGTAAATGAACATATTTACTATGTTGAAGTGACTCATTTTATTTTGATGATATCAGTATTGATGGTGCCAGTTCTTTTCCAAGTTAGTGAAAGTAATTGGAAGACAAGGTGGTATGACTCGACGATATAAAGTACTCGATTCTATGTCCAGGACAATTCTTTCTTCCACATAACTAGTTTCACGTAGAAGTATTTCATCAAACTAAAATTGGTTGCAAAAACATTTTTTTAAATGTGTATGCAAATCTATCACACGATTTTGTTTTTCTTACAGAACTTATGAAATCTTTTTTGTTTTTTTTTAGTCAAATTATTAACCAATTGTTCCCAATATTATTACACATAATACACAATTTATGGAACATTTGAACTGTATATTCTTACTTTCTTGGCTTAAGATTATCAATGGCTTTAAATGTCCCCAATAAGGTCTATTCCTATTCCTGAGATGCATGATTTTCGGTTTTCTTTTCATGCAACAATGTGACAAAATAGCACTTTCTACATTTTGATGAACAGAATAACACACAGATCATATAAAAATGAATTAAGCTAGGTCGGAAAATATGTATATTGAAATGATTTCAGCTTTTTAGATCAATACTTGCTACGTTCGTAACTATGAAATTCTGTAATGGAAACAGTAGCATTTACGAGCAAAAAATTGTTCTGCGAGGAACGCCGCACAGGAGTTTCAGTCACGATACCCAAGATAACGAAATTTTTCATCCTGATGTCAAACTATACCAACCAAGTAGTTATTGCTTTACAAACATGTTATTACGTACCTTGTTAACAAATTTGCGAGCACGCTCGCTTCCATTGGCCGGCAGTGGTATGTCAATCAGATTTGCATCGACATTAGCCCCACTCGACTCCACCAAACTCACCATTGAGCACACCACCACACCAAAACCCAAACTTGCCAAAGAAGATCTCGTGTTTGGAAAGTATTTCACCGACCACATGCTTGAGATTGAGTGGACAGCAAGTTCTGGGTGGTCCACTCCTAAAATCACGCCATATCATAACCTTAGTCTCGATCCATCAACCATTGTATTTCATTATGCATTTGAATTATTTGAAGGCATGAAGGCATATCGTGACAGCAATGGAGACATCCGTACTTTCCGTGGTGACAAAAACATGATCAGAATGAACAAATCTGCCGAAAGAATCGCTCTTCCTACTTTCGACGGAGAAGAGTTATTGAAGTGTATCGACAAATTCCTTTTGGTTGATCGTGATTTTGTGCCTGAAGGGAATGGATATTCGTTGTACCTTCGTCCCACCATGATTGGAACCACTGCTTCTTTAGGTGTTGGTGTTCCTGACAAGGCATTACTTTATGTTATTGCATCTCCCGTGGGCCCTTATTATAGTAGTGGGTTTAAGCCAGTTAGTTTAGAAGCAACCGATTATGCCGTTCGTGCATGGCCAGGAGGTGTTGGTGATAAGAAGCTTGGTGCTAATTATGCTCCTTGTGTCAAACCACAATTGGAAGCAGCTTCTAGAGGATATGCACAAAACTTGTGGTTGTTTGGCGAAGAAGGTTATATTACTGAAGTGGGTACCATGAATGTATTCTTTGTGTTTAAGAACCAAGATGGCAAACGTGAATTAGTTACCGCTCCTTTAGATGGAACTATTTTGGAGGGTGTCACCAGAGATTCTATTTTGGAATTGGCCAAAGACAGATTGGATAGTGCAGAATGGACTATTTCTGAAAGAAAGTATACTATTGGTGAAGTTGAAGAAAGAGCCAACAAGGGAGAACTCGTGGAAGCATTTGGGGCAGGAACTGCAGCAATTGTTTCTCCAATTAAAAGTATTGGGTTCAGGGATGGAAGAAACATTGAAGTTCCTGTTGCTTTAGGCAATTCTGGAGAATTGACTTCCCAAGTTGCTGAATGGATTAGAAAGATTCAATACGGAGAAGAGTCATATAAGAATTGGTCAAGAGTTGCTAAATAGAGCTTAGATAGACTAGTTTGTTTTTAAATTAATATACACCCTAAGGAATTCTCTCTATATCGGGTAATCCGTGGATATGCTTCAATACAAAATCTCGTTCATCAATCAAGGTATTATCATGAAATTGCAACACATCAAAAGTGTTGAAGAATTCAATGAAATTTTCTTTATTCTTGATTAAGATATCCAGGATCTTTTGACTTCTCTTGGGATTGACCACAAAGAACTTGAATATGTGAAATGCCTCTCGTTGTAAATTCTTCAGCTTATCCGAAAGCATCAACATGATAAACTTCAAATTATTTGTATCATCGAAATATCGATTTATAAATTCTTGATTATGACGTTTTAATAAATCACTCAACAATTTGATGGTTTGTCTCTTTGTAACGTAATTCTTAGACAATAGCAATTGGTTACAATTGAGCATAAATTTTTCATAATTCTTGCTAAGGAATTCCACTGTTAATTTCTTATGAGGAACTAACAAATCGTGCAAGGTGGAAAATGCATCAGTAGCGAGTTCAAACACAGGAATCTCGACATATTTAAAATAATTCCAAAACAACGGATGATTGAGGACAAATTTACAAATTTGTTCATACTTGATGCATTCTCGTAATATTTGTCCACAAATCAACCCATTCTCTCTAGATTCTGGACCTTTGATTAGCATCACCAAAAGTTCGGGATTCCCTCTCGTCAAGTAGTCAAGTATCGCGGTGTTACTACTGGTGCTCACACCAGTACTTGTTGGCTGTCGTCGTAATAAATACAGAAACAATGACAGGACGTCTTTTCTTGAATCAAAATCCAACTTGCTCAAGTTTGAAATCAACTGGAATAAACAGTCGCTTTGAATGATCTGAGTAACCAATAAGCTAATTTGGTCCGACGATTGTGGGATAAGCAATTCAGAATCATCATCGGTGCCATACAAGGTCAATTTGATTTGATTGAGGAATCGAGAACACTCATCTTGATACTTCTTATTGGTGTCTGAGGAACTATCGAGTTTGTTTACCGTTTCAATAAGGGTACGGACCAAGTCCTGGGGTGTTTTTGGGTTCCGTTTGAATAGAAATGCCATGTGTATTTGTTTGTGTTGGTGTGATCCCTCCTTATTGGTTTCCACTTTGCAACAGGTAGCTATCAGCCGCCAGAAAAATGTTGTAAGTTTGAAAGGAAAAGCCAAAATGTGAAAATGGGAAACTTTTCACAAAAATGTCGTGCCGTCCCGCCCCCAGAAGAAATAATTCCGAATGTCGCACTTGTACCTCTTTTACAACACTTTGCTTCTTCTTTACAACCAAGAGGCCATGTCCTATTTGAATATATGGCAATCCCTCTTAATCAACACTAGCAATCGTCCTATTCTTAATCTGAATGAATCAATCGTCTTCTTTCAAGATTCAATTGGAATATATCAAGGACAACTGAAGATTGCCCTCCACCAGAATGGTCGTCTCTATTTAACAAACCAACGGTTGATATACTTTGATAATGATGACGCTCAAGCTAGGAGCATCTGTGTGGATATGTCCAAGTTTGTGGGCGCAGAACTAGTTGATGGATTCTTTAGAAGTTCGCCTAAAGTGAAGTTGTTTATACGTACCGGCGATAATGAATCAACCTTTCAGGCCAAACCACACAAGAGCGAAAGCACCCTTAATTGGCCATGTAAGATTTGTTCATTCAACAATGTAATGAGCTACGATTTTGATATTGAAAATGACGAAATGCCTAAATGTGGATCATGTGGTATCCGAGCCACTGCCAAGTATCTTGAACTGATTATTAAACAATCTCGAGAGAACTCGTTGACACCGACCCCAGAACCTAGAAGAGACGACCAGTGTCCCCAATGCACATTCATCAACCATCCTTCTATGAAATATTGTGAGATTTGCGGAAGTGAATTGAAATCGACTATCCCTGATGCTCTCCAAAGGAAATTATCTACCACTATTAAAACACCACCAACCAAGAAATCAGATCTAAATCCATTAGGACTTGAATTGGAGAATGATGAAAGTTATTCTACTCCTCAACAACCCTATATAAAAATAAGCTTTCGTAAAGGGGGCTCGTCCAAGTTTTACCGTCATGTAACTACAATAATTGACGAAATCAAATGGGACAGACTCAAATCTGCAGGTGGGGTCAACCAAAGTGGAGTTAAACTCAAACTGACCAAGTTAGCTCCGGCTAGTAGTACCGGAGGAGGTATCCATGCATTGGAAATGTTGGATGAGCAGCAACGACGTCAAAATGAAATCATTCTTAGTTCAAGTTTGAATGACTTGGAACAGCTAATGTTTAAATACCAAGACTTGATTAAACTTTCGGGTTCATTTAACCAATTCATAAAACCGAATGAGCACAATAAGCGTGTTCCTACTAGCTCCCAGGCCATCCCCAGCCTAAACCTTAAGCATAGTTCGCCACAAGAATTAAGTCGACATATAAGTGAATATCTTATTAATTATGAACTCACCACTACATCTTCAATGATCACTTCTCAAGATCTATTTGCCAATTATAATAGATTCCTCATAAATACGCAAGGGTTCGGATGTGATTTAATCAAAGCTGCAGATTTCAATAAATCACTTGAATTGTTTGCTCAGTTGAACCTCCCTGTTACTATGCGAAAGTATGAGAAATCAGGATTATTAGTCATTGCTAAAACTAAATTATTACAAGAGAGTTATGGAAAATATATTGTCAACTTTATTAAAGACCAAGAGCATGAATATAAACTCAACAAATGTCGACATGATATGATGCAAGGAGTTATTGTACTCGAACACGAGTCTTGTTTCCGAGGAGTAACTGTCGGGGAAATTTCGCTGACGTTGAATTGGTCTAATAACGTTACGATTGAAGAAGTAGAGATTTGTGTGAATGAAGGAATAATCGTGGTTGATCAGAACATTTCTGGGACATTTTACCATATAAACAAGTTTGAATGGAATAACAAAGACTGGGATGATTCGCAAGAAATGACCCAGATTCATGAATTGATTGTGCAAGAACAGAAATCAATTAGTCTGGAATTACGAAGCGAATATGAAAGAGTGCACGGTGAAGAACAATTGGTTGATTTGATGCCTAGTTTTGCAATCGATGTCGACTTTGAAGAGGAGGAAAGTGAGCTAGAGGAAGTTGCGCCGGGAAATAGCCAATCGCAATCATTAAATGACTTGGCAGGATTAAGATTTTAACTAATCTAAACCCTTTCCAATTGTATTTGCATAGAATTTATAGATGTAACATAGAACACTTCAGAAATGCCATGTGATGGTTATAGTCAAGATCTGACAAGATTCTTTTTTTTTTTTTTTGGTTTTCAACCAGTGCTACCAAATACGTGTTTTTTGAGTGGCCTTAAAATTTAATGCTTGATGTTTGTCACCCAGTAATGCGCAGCAGCGAATTTCCATTAGTTCACCCAATAATAGTATGAACTATAGCTCATCAACATCAACAACCACATATATAAAACCCAACATACCGAGCCAGCCATCAACAAAACGTCACCCACACAAACCATCACATACTACTACAACTGAGGGGAAAATGTCCAACCAAATACCCATGATACCTCAACCAGCGCTTATGGCCCTGAATTCCATCCTTACTCTTGGACCGTTTAAACATCGCAAAGATTTGACGAGGGAGTCCGTGTTAAGCACATACCTGATTTTGGGGTATATTGCCGCGGGGACCTATGGGAAGGTGTACAAGGCAAAATTGAAGGGAACAAAGAATGACCATGATAAAGATGAAGAGATGTTGGACGAGGCCGAGCCAGCTACGCCGCAATTATTTGCCATTAAGAAGTTCAAAAGTGATAATCACAGCAGTAAATCTGCCCATCATAACCATGATATAAACGGGCATGAAATTGTGCATTATACGGGGATATCCCAGAGTGCCATTCGAGAAATGTCACTTTGTCGAGAATTAAACAACAAAAATATCACGAAACTAGTGGATATTATATTAGAGAACAAGAGTATTTATATGATTTTTGAGTTTTGTGAGCATGACCTACTTCAGATTATCCATTATCATTCGCATCCCGAAATTAAACCTATACCCATGACAACTATAAAATCGTTAATATGGCAGATTCTCAATGGTGTCACATTCCTTCACAAAAATTGGATCTTTCATCGAGATTTAAAGCCGGCAAACATCATGGTGACATCACAGGGAGTAGTGAAAATCGGGGATTTAGGTCTTGCTCGAAAATTCAACAATCCACTACAATCGCTATACACGGGAGATAAAGTTGTGGTTACGATCTGGTATCGTGCGCCTGAGCTATTACTAGGAACACGACATTACACACCGGCTGTAGATCTCTGGGCTGTGGGGTGCATCCTTGCTGAATTGCTTCTGCTTCGACCGATATTCAAGGGGGAGGAAGTGAGAATAGATATGAATAATAAGAAATCTGTACCGTTCCAAAAGAACCAATTCCAGAAAATAATTGATATACTAGGCATGCCCAACACCAAAACATGGCCCAGTCTAAACAAGTATCCTGAATTTGCTACATTCAGTTCACAATTAACCCAATCACCCAATTCGGGTCAACTGAATCTAGTTAGTTGGTACAAAATGATAGGAGGTAGTAACAAGCAATGTTTAGAATTGTTGAAGGGGTTATTGGAATACGACCCTGAAATAAGACTCACGGCTGAAAATGCACTAATACACCGCTATTTCATGGAATTACCAAAAGTCAATGACAACGCCTTTGAAGGATTGAATTTCAGGTATCCAAACAGAAGGATATACACTGACGATAATGACATTGTTAGTAATCAACCAGCCGTTAGTGCGGCTGCAGTAGCGGCGGCAGCAGCAGCGGCTAATCAAGGTGGAAATGCCAACGCGGGCAATTCTGGGTATAAGCGTGTTGGTGATGATGTCAATGCATCACATTCACGAAAGAAAAGAGGATAGTCGTGTATAGGGTAAAATAAATAAATAAACCGCATCACCAGGCATAACTTTGTAGACAACCGTATGTTGTAAATAAAAACCAAACACAAAGCGCAAAAAAAAAAACGTCTTGTGAAAGACTTGTTATCACGATGAAACTTACTGATTTGTATATTGACAAAAAACAAATCTATTCTAGTCAAATCTCCGATATCTACCTGGCCAAAGACGTAAAGACAAACACCACCGTATGTCTTAAGATTGTTGATGTTGATTTCAGCATTCCTCCCCATTCAATCAAACGAGAAATCCAACTAGTCAAACGCCTTTCACCACATCCACGGATCATTGACTATGTGGGTGGCTTACAAATAGACGATGACATAATCCTTGTGACAACACTCTACAAACACAATCTTAGTGAACTCGTGAAACTTCCACGATATTGCAAGCGTACGACAAAGTTTGATTTCACAAATGGCACACATGCATACATTGACAGGAATATCATTGACGAGTCCGATATCAAACAATGGCTCAAACAAATGAGTTGTGGGTTGAAGTACATTCACAACCTGGGGATAATCCATCGCGATATCAAACCTAGCAATATCATGTTTGTTAATGATGACATTACCCAGCCAATAATTGGCGATTTTGGCATCAGTTACGATGTAAACAATGATATTAATTCCGGCGAATTGGCAACCGAGAAATATATTGACGTGTGCACGGGGATATTCAAATCCCCCGAGTTGTTACTAGGAATTACTGATTACTTGTATGAAATTGATATATGGTCACTAGCAATAATACTCACTATCCTTTATTCACCTAATTTTGAATCAGTCTTGATCAAACAAGATGAGGAATTGAGTAATGATGAAATCGAATGTGTGATTTCTGATTTGCATTTGTTAAGTAACATATTCAAGACATTTGGTACTCCAAGTGTCACTGATGTAACTTCAGAATTGTATTGGGAAGAATTGACTAGTAAAACATCTCACTTTACCAAATTCAAACTTATAGAGCATAATAGACTTGATGATAGCCAGTTGATACCACGTTGTGAGGATAAATCCATTGGTTTCCTATTTAGGAAAATGACAAAGTACGATCGAACAACAAGAGTCACCAGCGAGGAGATATATTCCGAGTTAACTAATCAGTAAAGAACTCGGGAATTAATTTATATGACTAGAATAAGTATGTTGCTAGCTGCAAAAATAGTAAATTTCCAAGGCGGTTTCAAATGTAATCATGTGTTTCGCTAAGATTTTAGAGTTGGCTAGTACTAAAAACAAAAAAAAAAGGTGAGACTGGTTATAATCTGTGCAGCTTGCGAATCATTACATACATTACAACCCCAATTTGGAAATTCAAGTTACCCCATTTGCGCGCGGGCCGAGCAACGCAACACTCATAATCACAGTTTCTTTTTCATTGAAACTATAAATAATATTTCTTTTATTTTCTTGTTAAAGGTTAAATAAAGTAAGAATTTTTCAATTACACAAAATAACATTTTCTTTTGTTTAAAAAAAATATTAAATATAGATAAAGCTTACAAGAACCGACCGGTCAGACACAGCACAGAAAACTTTTCCACTAACTTTTACTTTCTTCTCTCTTTTGTCATTATTTTAACGCTGTGCTTATATCATGAAGTTAGCTCGAGGAGTCGCCAAATTGTCCCTTCTGTCCATTCAGGCCCTGTTACAATCATCAGATAATGATGAACGGGAAATTATTAAGCATATAGATTATGATATGCTTGAAAGAGCCTATAATATCCACAAATACTATCCGCAGTACATTCACAATTATGATATTCTGACTCCAGTTTTGCGTATGTTAATTGTCGACAAACCAATTTACAATGATGCCAATCAACACTTGAAGAATGGAGAAAGTTATGAAAAGAGGAAATTATTGAATTGCCAGCTTCACGAGAAGCGAGATGCCAGGAAGGCTTCGAGAAAAGAACGAAAGGAACGGAAACGAGAGAAGCAGTTGATGAAACAGGAACAGAAACTCAAGAACAAAGGATATCATGACCAATTCAAGAATGAAGATTCCGATTATTACAGTGACAGTACTGACGTGGACATTGATGAACAAATTATTACAGGAAAGGCAGAATTAGTAAGCATTCCACTTGTGAAAGATTCTACTACCTGGAGTGAAAGTAGCAATACTCGTGCCGAATCGACCCGAACAATGAGCAAGAATAAGTTAATAACCAAGTCCCATACTCATCCTACATCAAAGCACAACTCGTTTGGGTTTAAAATCTTGAATAAGATGTTTCCCAAATCTCCTCCAGGTACAAAGAATAGCGCCGATGCACCAATGTCTAAGATGATTAGTTTACAACCAATTGACAAAAGTTCTAAATCTGAGATAATTATTCCGTTACAAAAAGCCAACACGTTTGAACAAACTAAATCTAACCTAACATTGTCAAGACGATTGGCAAAGAGATTAACGAGGTCTGATCAAGAAAATCCAAATGTGATAGGTATGTATACTTTTTTTTATTTTATTTTATGTCTGTCCGAGGACTGAATTACATCATTGAGTGTCGTAAAAAACTTGCTACATATGCAAAAAAAAAGAGTGGGAAAAAATAATAAATTGTATTGATAGTGGAGAAAAGGTGGGGTAAGTACAATACAGCAATAGAAAGAAAAAAAGGTACCACAAAGGGAAAAAAAAATTTGTTTGGCGTCGGATTGTCTACAAATGTGTCTACGCATTGCGAAAGGAGAATATTAAGGAAAATTACACAAATATGTGATCAATATCATCTATTGGAGCATCTCCCGGTGGTGGAAATCTGCACAAATTTAAGATTTCGTTTTATGAAGAGGTCACGCATTTTATTATTACGAAACAAGAAAAAAAAAGAGAATGCCTGGCTTACGTATAATGAGATCTAAATGTTTTTTTTTTCCTTAAAAAAAAAAGTGTGTATGTTACGACAAATCGGAGTGTCCGCATAAACAATAAAGGGGATTAGCCTGATATTTTCCAAATCTGCGCCTTACGCAGCGAACAATAAATAGGGCTCATAGAATATAACACAAGAGTGGCAGCGATTCCACCACATACGAAGTTGCTACACACACATCAACCTAGCCTAAGTTTTATTTGTTCACCTCTTTTCAGCATAAGCTAAATCTCCTAATTCAATTAAGATCAAAAATTGACACACAGACAATCATCCATAGTTCCACTGGTTCCCCCACAAAAAAAATTAGGTTTTCAAATTCAACAACATTGTCCATTTTTTTTGACTTTGTTTTTTTTTTTTACTTTATTTCCAAATTCCACTTGAGTTCCATCATTTTCTTTTTTTTTTTCTCCCTGCGTCTTGTCTTGCCATTCCAGTCATCAACAAAAAACTCCATTCCCACCTTTCCTGACATTTTACATCAACATCGACAACAACAGAGGATCAACACCACAACAACAAAAAAATACATACACATATACCATTGATCTTAACAGTACATTACTACATCCCTTTTTTTTCAATTGATTCTTTGCTGCACCTTGTCACACACACACTGTACCCCCCACTCACAATTCAGACCTTCATTCGGTTAATATAGACTTTTTTATACTAACAAAAACACCCATGTCCAAAATAGAAATTGTAACTGAAAACGTAACTAATGGCCATCTGGGAGCTATTGAGCGTATTCAATATACTCAATCCCAGATGGTTGGCCACGGATCATTTGGGGTTGTGTTCCAGACCCAGATCTTGCCTACAAATGAAATAGCAGCCATGAAACGAGTCTTGCAAGACAAACGATTCAAGAATCGTGAGTTGCAGATTATGAAGTTGGTTCATCACCGAAATATCGCTGACTTGAAGTACTACTTTTATACTAACAACGACAAGAATGAGTTGTACTTGAATTTGATTTTAGAGTTTGTTCCAGAAACGCTTTACAAAGCCAGTCATTACTATGTGTCTAAGCGCTTGAGTATGCCGCCTTTAGAAGTCAAGTTGTACACATATCAAATGTTTAGAGCGTTAAACTATATTCATTCGCAAGGGATTTGTCATCGAGATATCAAACCTCAAAATTTGTTGATTAATCCAGACACCGGAGAATTGAAATTATGCGACTTTGGATCTGCTAAAATCTTAAACCCAGATGAACCAAATGTTTCATATATCTGTTCTCGTTACTATCGAGCTCCTGAATTGATTTTCGGGGCCACCAATTACACTACCAAGATTGATGTCTGGTCGGCTGGTTGTGTCATGGCGGAACTCATATTAGGCCAACCTTTGTTCCCGGGAGAACTGGGAATTGATCAATTGGTTGAAATTATCAAGATTTTAGGTACGCCTACCAAGGAACAGATCCGAAATATGAATCCAAACTATATGGAACATAAGTTCCCCCAAATTAAACCAATTCCATTGACAAAGATTTTCAAAAAGATTGGTAACGATTGTATTTTATTTTTAATCAAGGTGTTGCAATACTCGCCAGTTGACCGTGTTTCTTCGGTTGAGGCCTTGGTTGATGTTTATTTTGATGAATTACGTAACCCGCAAACCAAGTTGCCAAACTATAGAAAGATCTTCAGTCAACAGTTCCATAACAGTAACATTGCCAATAACCCTGCTATTCATTCCACGGCGGCAAACTACCAATTGTATAACAATCAACCCGATTTAAAGGATTTACCAGCATTGTTTGATTTTAACGAACGAGAATTGCTGGTTGCTCCGGAATTGAATCATAAATTGGTTCCACAGTGGGCCATCCAAGGATTAGCATTACAAAATGGAGGAATTCAAGATTTAAATGAGTTTGTTCCAATGAATCGTGAAGACATGAGAGTTACACTTGAGTAGATTTTAGTATTAATAAACAATCTTTTTTTTGTAAAAATCGTCCCCCACCAGCTTAAAAAGAAAAAAATTGTCATATTTTAAAAGTTTACATTATTCTATTAGATTTATATACAGTTACAACTTCTTTCCCTTGACATTCTTGACCTTGGCCTTTGGATCAACTTGCATCTCAACTAGTTTTACTTGAGGTGTTTTGTACATATCAATCTTTTTGATTCTGAAACGATTGAAAATAGGAACAATAAGTCTAGCACCAAATGGCATCAAGGCAAAACTAGCGAAAAGTCGTAATGGTAAAGTTACTTTAACAATTGTATAAGCATAAGCACCTTCAAGAATGAATTGGACTTTATCACTGAAATTATTGATGGTGACGTAGTTACCTAGCCAATTTTCAATAATAGCAGTGGCTCGGGAAATTGCCCATTCTGGAATTACTTCTGGAATATAATCTGGTTGTTGATGGAATGCCCACCAAATGATAAACAAGGGGACAATGGCGGTGATTTCGTGGAGTATCATAAATGAAATAACATGAGAGTATGGAGCATTGATGAATCCTCCTACGTAGGGACGGAAGAATTTGGGAACTCTTTTAATGATTGGATGGGTAGTATATAAGGCTGGGTTTGGCTTTTCTTGCTGTTGCTGTTGTTTTGCGAGTATTTCTGGTGTGACCTTGAATTCAGGAAGTTCAAAGACTGATTTGGCTCGTGGTACCTTCGGCTTCTCTGGATCTTGTGCTTTGACTTCTTCTGGTTTCTTTAGTGTTTCAGATTTCTTTTTGCCAAATAATTTGTATGCAGCAGGACTGGAGTGGAATTGGCAAGTGAGGATTCTAGTTGGGGCTATGAGTCTTGTAGGAACCAACATCCTGGTTCTGAGTAAACTGAACATCGTATATCGTATATGCTTACTAATGATTGCTTATTAATGATACACGTAGACAATAACGATAATACTTCGTATAGCTCTGGAATGTGCTAGCACAAAGAAAACTTTTTCAAAAGAGTTTATCTCCGGAGAGGAGGACGAGCAAATATAATCAGCTGATCTGGATCACATGACCCACTTCCGAGGGACACTAAAATACATGCAACCCAAATTTACACGCGCTCAACAAAAAAAGAAATTTGTTCTATACGATATGCCGCCGAAGAAAAAAAATCTCAACTGGTTTATACGAGACAGCGGCGGGTGGAAAAAAAAAATATATCTATATAAATAGGTGCGTTTCAAAAATCTATTCTTTTGCTCTATTCAGATAGGATAATATAATATCTACAACTACTACTACTACTAGTATAACTATTCATAATATAATGACTGTTCCTCCAGTATACATTGTTTCTGCTGCTCGTACTCCAGTCGGATCTTTCCAAGGTCAGCTCTCCAGTTTATCATACTCTGATTTGGGTGCTCACGCTGTTAAGGCCGCCTTAGCTAAAGTTCCACAAATCCAACCATCTGAAGTTGATGAAATCGTATTTGGTGGTGTTTTACAAGCCAATGTCGGTCAAGCCCCTGCAAGACAAGTTGCCTTGAAAGCTGGTCTTCCAAACTCAATTGTTGCTTCCACTATCAATAAAGTTTGTGCTTCTGGTATGAAGTCTATCATTATTGGTGCTCAAAACATTATCTGTGGTACTTCTGAAATCGTTGTTGCTGGTGGTGCCGAATCCATGTCCAACACTCCTTACTACTTGCCAGCTGCCAGAACCGGTGCTAGATACGGTGACAGCGTTATGGTTGACGGTGTTCAAAAGGATGGTTTATTGGATGTCTATGAACAAAAATTGATGGGTGTTGCTGCTGAAAAGTGTGCCAAGGACCATGGATTTACCAGAGATGATCAAGATGATTTCGCTGTTGGTTCTTACAAGAAGGCTGCTGAAGCTTATGCTCAAGGTAAGTTTGCCAGTGAAGTTGCTCCAATCACCATCAAGGGTATTAGAGGTAAGCCAGACGTTGTTGTTTCTGAAGATGAAGAAGTTAAGAACTTGAATGAATCTAGATTAAGAAGTGCCCGTACTGTTTTCCAAAAGGAAAATGGTACTGTTACTGCTCCAAATGCTTCTAAATTGAATGACGGTGGTGCTGCTGTTGTTTTAGTTTCTGAAGCTAAGTTAAAACAATTGGGTCTTAAGCCAATTGCCAAGATTGTCGGTTGGGGTGAAGCTGCCACTGAACCATTTGATTTCACCATTGCTCCATCTTTGGCTGTTCCAAAGGCTTTAAAGCATGCTAACGTCTCCTTGGACCAAGTTGACTATTTCGAATTGAACGAAGCCTTCTCCGTTGTTGGGTTAGCCAACACCAAATTATTAAACTTACCTGCTGATAGAGTTAATGTTTACGGTGGTGCTGTTGCCATTGGTCATCCATTGGGTTGTTCTGGTGCTAGAATTGTTGTCACTTTGTTGTCTATCTTGGGCCAAGAAGGTGGTAAGATTGGTGTTGCCGGTATCTGTAACGGTGGTGGTGGTGCATCTTCCATTGTCATTGAAAAGTTGGATCACGATGAAAGTAAGTTGTAAGAGTGTATAGTCTATTGCTAATAAAACAAAATATGTCAGTAGTATAGTCCAGTGTTAATTATATGTGAGTAGTTTAGGAATCAACAGTGTTAACTTTTCTGCAAAAAATAAAATAAAAAAAAAAATAAAGGTCAGATCTACGTCGCTAGATCTTACCCCCCAGAAAGTTATTCCCCCCTATAACATAGCAACACATACCATGGACTTTGTATGGTCAGAACAACCACCAACACATTATGATCTCGCAACCACGTATCCATCACCAATTATATCATTTGTATTGATAACCAATCATGATCCAACTTCTAAAATCCTTGAATTCCTAGACCCCTGGATCAAATACTACCCCTGGCCCACGGCTTCCCCACCTGTCATCACCATGCAAAGCCACTTTTACACTACGGTAACCAACGAACCACAAACTATTCCATACATATACGGGGAATTGACATATGCGAGCTATACCCCAGATGCACATTTATTCATCCACCTACTCATACTTTTCAGCACGTATACCCAGTGCTACATTCATTTCTTTGACTCCAATGTCGTTGATCCCATCTGTGTTCTCTGTCATGATGTAATTGAAGATGAGAGTCTTGACAACATGGTATGGATTCATAACGGTGGTGTGATCACGTTGAATCGCCACTCCAAGACCTGGCTTTGTCTTAGAAGGGCAGTGTGGCAGATATACAATGGCGATTATACTGCTAGCCCCTGGTTGACTAATAAGTTGAAAGAGGGGTTGGGTGAATTGGAGGATTCGCTCAAGGGAGTGTTTGATCTACAGATTAGTTTGCCCGGGCAATTGGCTAGAGCTGTATTTAGTGATCCGCTGCTTGTTACCAAAGCTATGACGGAATTGGAAGAAGGTGGATTACAAGAGGATGCAGTCATTGGTGATCAACTAGAACCGGTTACTGTTTGCATGAATACAGTCACTTATTCGGCCATTGTGGCCATTTCTCACGAGTTGGATGGTGAGTTTACCACCGTTGCTAGTAGACTACTCACGCAAGGATTGTCCCGCTACTTTAACAAACACAGTAGGAATACCATACCCAGTGAGCAGGGAGAGATAATTACAAGGTACACCCTTCAAGATATCCTTATTGGCCAAGGTATACTCCGACAAAGAGTACCTCAACGGGACCATTCCGAAATGGTAAATCAAATGTATAAACCTGACGACGAACAAGCGTTGGCCGACACTCTTCAGAAAATCCTTGATCCAGACTACGTTCACGAATCGCTCAGCGACGAACTCGAAATGTTTCGCTCGAGATACTTTGATGCATCAGGAACATGGCTCGATGAAGATGAAGTCGCTGATAAATATGAACAATTCAAGAACGGCATGCGGGCTGCCACTGATCTCAGTGCGTTTCAAGATTCTGAATTCGATGATTTCCCCGAGTTTCTCGAACGTGAAGTCATGTTAAGTTTAAAGTATAATGATGATAGTGATTATGTCAGTGAAGAAGACGACGATTATGTAGACGATGGTGATGGTGATGTTGATGTGGAAGTGCATGATGACGAGTATGAACCTCCTAAGATCGAAGAGATGCAAGAGTATACCCCGACCGAAAGTGAGTTACGATCTTATGTTAATGGTGATATTGAAGTTGAGAATCTCACGAGAGTGCTACGTGATTTGAAAACTGGAGAACTGGCAACTACTCTTGAACAGATGTTACAAAGGCAGTACAAACAGTGAAAAATTAGCATATGCAATTAAAAAATTAATAAATAGAACTATATAATACACTATCATATGTATGCAAAATTAGTGAGCAGTAAGCTCAATCATTAGTTGGTATAATAAACCCCCTCTCATTCAATTGGTGAATCGTCCAGATCCACGTCCTGGCAGCGTAATCCATATTCCTAGCCACAGAACTAGGCACGGCTTCTTTTCCCTCAACCCCGAAATACTTCCCATTATCATCTTCGGCTCGTAATTGTGGATCCAATGTGCATTTAATCACGGCTCTAGCGCCTTCTTCACTGGTTACTCCAAAGAAATACCCAAATATTTGAAACATGCACCAGAATAACAACCCCACCAAGGGCAATCTTGTGAAATAAGTGAATAAATTTGCATTCATGACCAATCCGGGATGCACGGTCATGCATAAAATCTTGGGATTCCTCAATGCAAGCATCTTCATGAAATGGATTCCGGCGGTCTTGGCCATGCCGTATCTGAGCCAGGTAAACACGAAATTGGGTCTATAATTGAATGTGTTGCTTAGTTTAAAATAGCTGAATGCAAGTTGGTGTCCTACAGAACTGAGATACACAATTCGTGGTGGCCCACTTTTAGGAAACTTGTCGCCGGTCTTTTCAAGCATGGGAAGGAGTTTTGTCGTGAGTAGAAATGGAGAAATGTAGTTTGTTTGAAGGAGGATTTCGAAGTTGTCACAAGTGACGGAATAAGGTAGTGCCATGGCGCCAGCGTTATTCACTAAGATATGCAAATGATCCTCCATGGATTTGAACGTTTCCACTGCCCGAACTACACTGTTCAACACACTCAAGTCAACTTCAAGAAAGTGCAAATCGCCCCGGTAGCGCAGTGACGCTTGTTCGGCACTGTAGCTTGATCGGATAGCCATGGCCTTCTTCTTTAGTTCCTTGATTGATTTCTGACATCGCAGTTTGCTTCGCCCGGCAATGTATACGATGTAGCCATGAAGGTATAGTTGGAGTACTGTGTAAAACCCAACGCCGCTGTTCCCACCGGTGATTATTGCCACACGTCGATCTGTGGCAGGATTAAGGAAGGGGAATTCACTAGAGTCGAAGCTCATGTTGGTATGAATTGTTTCCTTTTATTTTGTATTTTGGTAATGGTTCGATTTATGATCTAATGTGTGCAATAAGTAAAGAGGCAGCACCACCACCACATGTGTGAAAATCTTACAGTGGGAGGAAAAAATAAAAAATAAAAATAAAAAAAAAAAAAAGACAGAGCACATTTTAATTTTTTGTATCTATTGTCTATATCTTGGCACATGCAACAGAACGTTTGCTGCATGCTATCTATCCCCTCATTGTAACCCTACAACGACCTCTTGGAATATCTCCTCCGGTGTTTTACCCGTGGTATCGACGCTTATGCACTCACCACCGTTCTTCACCAACTCTTTTCCCTCAGGGATCTCCATAATGTCGTATTGACTCTTGACCATATCTGACTTCATAAAATGATTCTTTCTTCCTTCAACTCGTTTAAGCAACTCGTTGAACTCGGTGTATAAAAATACAAACCGGAACTTAACATCGTCTTCGCCAGCAGCTGTCTTGGCACATTTCTTGATGTAGTCACGATACACCCGTTTCAACATGGAACATGTGACGACACAAACATTCGCAGTGTCGCCTTTAGCTGTGCTTGCAGATTCGCTCGAAAGTTGCTTCAACCATCCCCATCTATCTTCGTCGGTTAATGGTACTCCGCGGGCCATCTTGTCCACATTGGCTTGTGGATGTAAGTCGTCTCCTTCAATAAAGGCACATTTGAGTTGGGTAGCGAGAAGTTGTGCTTGTGTGGTCTTACCAGTACCTGCTGGTCCACCAACTACTATAACTGTACTAGCCATGATTTGGGGGGTTTTTTAGTACTGTGGTCTAAAAGATGGAGAAGTGTCTTGTTGGAGCAATTTATAGGTGTGGTAAATTTTGGGGGGAAGGTGCGCAAATTGACTTTTTTGGGGGATCGGAAATTTGGGGGATAACACTTTCTGCTTGGGGGTGGGGAGAGAGAGAGAGAGAGATTACCCTATTCTTTCAAGTTATGTATATTCAAGTGCTTACCACTATGATGCAATATCAGAAGAATGATAAAACATAAAATAACCTCTTGAAATGGATGAACAAAAAACCTCATAGCAATTATTATGTCGACATCCGTACCATGCGAATCTTGTTTTTTTACGAAAGCGGAAATCTATCCGGGTTGCAAAAACGGTGCAGTATATTTCTATCTACAGGTATGTTTCTATCTACAAGTTAATTTCTATGTACATAAATCAGTATCCCTTGGTGGACTTGTTGATTCTCTTAACCACTTGCATCTCTTCGCTGATTCTCTTTTCCACTAATGCCTTCAAGTCATACATGCTCTCTTTATCTATAAATAATGTCGAAAATCTTTGACTTAGCCACATAAACACCAAGATCAAATTATGCATGATTTCCAACTGTTGCACTCTCTGCATTGGTTCATCAACATCAAATGAACGAGAAGGTTCCATCTCCAACAATTTGAGATCAATAAAGCTATAATGTAAAAGACCACGACTTTTGTTGGTCGCAACCGACTCCACCATTTCTCGCATGGCATTATAAACGGGTCCGCCATGGTCATCACGAAGTCTAAGTGGGACGTCAGAAAGAGTTATCTGGTCATCGATTTCAATTTTGTCGTGTAATTTACCAGGTTTGAACATCAGAAGAAGTTCGCAACGTTTCTCAATCTCCATGGGACTAATGAAGTAATCCTTGAGTTTCAATTTGGGTACTTTTTTAGCAAAACGATAAAGTGTATCCAAGTATGGTTCATTGGTATCCCAATTTGCCATGTGGTGTTTCCAGACTGCGGGTGTGGGCCACAAGGCAGCTTTCTCGAGTTGCACCACTGGTTTAGCCATAGCATTACGGACATATTTTAAAGTAGGCATGTCCAATGCCGTGACAAATCCTTCTTGCATCCCATCTTTAGCAAAGTATCGTCCGGCACGTCCTGCAATTTGTTTGACCTGCAGATCAGACAATCCTTGTAAATCCTTACCGTTGAATTTCTTGACTGACTGGAATACAATACGTTTAATTTTAAGATTCAATCCCATACCAATGGCATCCGATGCAACTAAAACGTCGTATTCTCCATTATTGAAACTCTGTGCCTCCTTGCTTCTGATTTCCGGTGGAAGTGAACCATAGACGATTCCGACTTTCAATCTGGTATTTTGTTCAATTTGGTTCTTCAAGTCCAAGATTTTCTTTTTCGAAAATGCAACGACACAATCACCCTTTTTCAAGGTGGTGAACGATGTAATACGATTCTGGACCGTCAATTTCCCAAATCTTTTAAATCTTTTGATTTCCAATTCGTCTCCGGTTACAGCCACGATTTTCTTGACTAATTGCACTGCACTTTCTTCACCACATAAATGAATCTCTTTGGCCAATACTCCCAATAATGCATTTGTCCAAGCTGCCCCTCTTTGATGATCACCAATCATTTGAATTTCGTCAATTACACAAATGTCCATTTTCTTATTAAGGGGAATCATCTCGACTGTACCGGCGGAGATTTCACTAATGACTCCGTTGTCATCGTACGAAGGAATGATCTCCTCACCAGTGACAAGATTACAGCTGACACCTCGCTGTTGGAATTTTTCAAAGATTTCACGGGCTAAAAGACGTAATGGTCCAGCATAGTATCCACTGCGTGCCTTTTCGAGTTTCAAAAGTGAGTGATAAGTCTTGCCACTATTGGTTGGACCCACATGCATGACGATTTTCCGTTTCATTTTCCGAGCATTAGGATACCATTCGGATGGATTGCTGAAATCTATAGTTTTCGATTCCAGTCGAGTTGTCCGTATTTTTCGTTCATTGTAGTGTCTGTAAAGGAGTTGTGTAAGTAATTTGGTGATGAGTTGTTGCTTAGTGGTGATTTTGCTATATTCAAGGAAATTAATTGGAACCCTGTCTCCATTCACCATGTAGATGAGTTGGGTAATGGTGTTAATATGTGGGTTTATAAAGTCGACAAGCTGGATCTTTGGGAGTGGGATGAATGATGACTTATCAGTCGTGTATTGTTTGAATTGGTCATGGAGTTGTTTTCTGAACGAGATCATGAGTTTTTGGTTATCTTCGTTCGATTCGGAATTAAAACAGGAAAATGGAAATTCAAAGTTTCGCTTTTGAAGTTGGGAAGATATATCTGTTAAGCATGGCTCAACAGCTTGTTTAAGTTGCTCGAATCTGGTCTGGGGGTCTAGTATCTGGGTTGACTCTGTTGATGTTGCAAATGTTCTGCGGTGTGGTTGGAGGTAAGTAGTAGTAGTAGTAGTACATACTAGCCTTGGCAAACACCTGGCTAAATGGAAACTTCGTATCGTCAGAAGACGCAATGATCGAAGTAGTATACCACTTCTCATTCCGATGTATTGACGCTGCTCTTGTACTAGGCAACAGCCTAAACCCATCTCATTCTGGCAACAAAAATGACAAGGCAAAAAGTCCCAACCCTAATCCAGATCACGTGACCTGTTTTACCAAAATATTTTTTAAACTTTTACGTTTTGGCAAACAACCCACCATCAGCAACATTTAGCGAAGTATTGTCAACTTTCTAAAAAAACTATAACAATAGAGTAATAAAACGCATCAAAAGATTCTAGAATAGACTTAACACACGCATAGAACACATCTCCATTGTATATATACATCTTCCATGCCATATGAACGGAACTAGATTAGTGAATGACCAAAACCAGACGGCTCAGCTAGCGGCCCAATTCAACCAATTCTACCTCAAGACTACCCTGGCCAAGATCAGCCAGATTGGGAACTATCGGATTATACAAGAGATTGGTGAGGGCTCATTTGGGAAGGTATATTTAGCAAGACACATCTTGCTCAACATCAATGTTGTGCTCAAGTGTGGGTTGATCGATGATCCCAATATTGTCAGGGAGATTTACTATCATAAACAATTGAAACATAAGAATATTGTCAGTTTATATGAGGTGATCAAGACGGAGAATCATTTGTGGATTGTCATGGAGTATTGTGAAGGTGGTGAATTGTATTATTACATCTACGAGAAGAAGCGGTTGACTATGGCTGAATGTCGTGTTATCTTCTTCCAAATAGTATTGGGGGTTAAACACGTCCATCTGTTGAATCTAAGTCATCGAGATTTGAAATTGGAGAATATTTTACTAGCAGATAAGAAACGCACGGTGGTGAAACTCACTGATTTCGGATTCATCAGAGAGTTCAATCCCTATAGCCGAAAATTCCTTTCTACAATTTGTGGAACTACGGTATACATGGCACCTGAACTACTCAAGAATGAAAAGTATCTGGGTTTTTCTGTAGATATTTGGTCATTGGGTGTGATCTTATATACCATGCTCTATGGAGTGCTACCGTTTGATGACGATGACGAATTGAAAATCAGAGCCAAAATAATCCAAGGTGAGCCAAGCTACGCCGATTGCGTGCCGGAAGAAGCCAATCAATTAATCAAGAAGATGTTGAGCAAAGATCCAAACAATCGACCTAGTCTTACTGAAATTTTAAACTCGGGATTATTAATGGATTGTCATAACAAGTACCTTGCTGAGAATACAAAACGAACATACACGAGTTCATCGGGTGGAGATACAGAATCAATTATGTCTATCAACCAGCATTATAATGTCATGAGCGAACCTTTCGAATCACGAATAGAACGAGATATTCTCAAGAAGCTCCAAAGATTGAACTTTGATGTCGATGAATTACAAGCAAGTGTCATCAACAATGAAATGAATTCCTTAACTGCATTCTATGAACTTCTTCTCACTCAAGAATACTCCAAAAAGAAAAGAAAGTACATGCGAGATAAGAAAAGAAAGTACTATGAAGCAACATTACGTAAATCACGTAAGCGTGTCAAGAGTGTACTCGCTCTTACTGATCAAGTACCAGCCCAACCACTAGAACGAATCATATCCACATTGAGTCTTGTATCCAATCGAAGCAAAACCAATCTTTCAAAAATAAATGAATCACGAAAGTCGATGGATTTGGATAAGCGAATGGACCCACCATCTCCAAAAACCACCACCACGTCACTTTCCTTGCCTGCCACCCCATTGACAAGCACACCATTGAAATCCCAATACAAGTCAAATGGTCAAGCAACGTTCTCCCTTTCTCAATCTCCCAAGGCCGCAGCAAAGTCACTTTCCACAGATTTAGGAAGTTCGTCGTTAATAGATGCACCATCTATGCATCGCTCGGTATCGTTTGTTCCTGAAGAACGTAGATTATCGAGTGTCTCGTCACATAGGGAATCACTTAATATTATCAAAACTCAGTCCAACCAAAGCAGTCATCATCATAAAGGTGGGAAGATTTTAAACAAATTGCAATTCTGGAAGAAACATAAAGACATAGAAGAAAGTCCGGTCAATGGTAAACACGAGAAAGTTACATCAGAAAAGTCTGAGTACAGCCCAGGGATGTTTAAAAAGAATACAAGCCCGGAACATCATAATCAACAGCATGAAAGAAAGCCATCTATCTCCGTACTTGATACTGCCGATCCCTTGTCACCGCCATTAGTTATTGATCCTAACTTTGAAGATCATCCCCCAGCTAGTCCTTCAGATATTACAGCTCCAAAGACGCCACCTAATGTTGATTCCCGCCCATTAACACGTACAAGACCTTCTTCTATGATATCCCAAGTGCTGCAAATCTCGCGTCTATCACAAATGTCTACCATGCTTTCAGAATCTGAGTTGGATATTTTGGATGAAACCGATACAATTGATGACGATTATGATGATGACGATGAAGCTTATGAATCCAGTTTGAATGATGCAACCCGGATGCTGTCGGTGGGTATGACTCCTACTTCAAGTCTTGTAAATAACAAACCTACCGTTGGTGCCAGTACTAGTTCTGGCCAACACAAGAATCGACCAGGTTATAAAAGAACACCTTCCTCAGATATGTCAGTACAAACTACGTCAACCACCTCAGGAGGGCTTATTACCCCTCCAGCACTACACAAACGACAATCATTTCCTGAATTCCACAACTCGTTGGAAGATCTCAGCACGGAACGATCAAGCAGTCTCGAAGCACCGGCGCCAGTTTCATACACGGATACGCCGATGCATAATCCTGTTCCTAGACCAATCTCACCCGATCCTTCTAAGAAACGACGCATGCGATTGAACCAAGTAATGAATGGAACCAGTAATGATCAGCCATTACAGCATCCAGCATATTTCCGAACTCCTTCGCCGCCATTAGGGTTTAAATTCAATGCAAAGTCTACCCGGGACCAGCTGAAAATTCCCATTGGTAAACGTAATTCAAATCAGCCATTTTTCCAGAATAGCGTAACCCCCAAGGGATATCAGGAAACTAGACAGGTTGAGGATTGGATCCATAGTTCTAATTTCCATGTTGTGGTTAAACAGCCTACTTATGAGCCGGTTATTGATGAAGAAGAAGAAACTGAGGATGTATAGACTTTTTTAAATTAAATAGAAGTAATTCTTTGAATGCTGCAAAAATTCTCGTAAGTTGCAAATATAACTTGGTTTGTACACTACTGTGTGCTTGTACCTGCATATAAGTTCATGTGGAAAATTTTTTTTTTTTCTACACCAAATTTGAAAAACTCTCCTTCAACTTGAGCAGAGAAACAAGAGGTGTTACTATAGAGACAACCGAAAAGAATGGCATCCGTCATAGTAGTAGATAACGAGTTAAAGGACTCTGTTAAGGAATATGGTCAAATCATTGACGGCATACAGAAGAGCACCGAATTCTCCCAAAGTATTGCTCCATTTTTAACCAGTGCAGAGATTACCAACAAGGAAGAATTATTGACCAAAATAAATGCCGTTTCCACTAGTGAAACATTCAAGAAGTTCACTGATAAGGAATTTGAAGCCAATTTCTACTTGTTCATCCACATCGCTTCCGAATTATCCAGTCGCGACCAAGTCTTGGATAATGCTGAATCCCCAGTGATTAAGACGTTATTGGAAGTTAACCCATCCCAGCAACCTTCATTGAGAGATAGAAAATCTATAAAGTCAACCACCGTGTTGAGTATCTTGACCATCATTTTCAACTTGTTACCAGAATCATCAAAGACCAGAATCTACATCATTGACCAAATCTTAAATGTGGCATCTACCTCCGGCATCGAATTCAACTTGATCCAAGACAACATTGGATCCAACTTAATCTCTTGGTTAAAGAAGGCCGGTGCTCAAGAATCAGAAATCAGATCTGTTTTCTGGAGATTCGTCACCTTGGACAGCAAATTCACTAACGAATCTTTACAATTAATCAAGACTTTTACTACTGAATACCAAGTTGGTGCCGAAGAATTGAACCAACTTGTTCACTTTGCATTATCGTCCAAGATTGTTGACGTTTCCTTCTTGGTCAACAACAATGTTGCCCAAGCTTTGAACCAACAAACCCCAGTTGCCTCCCTTTTCAAGAAGTACGTTCATGGAGAAATTGTTACTGCCTCGGAAGTTCCAGCTGAATTACCAGCCGATTTCATCGTTTACAAATCCAAGATCTTGAACTTGGCCAAGTACTTTGCCGACGCTTCATTATCCCCAGACCATGATGCTATTGTCTTCAAATATAGCGAAATACCAAACATTCAATCATCCACTGAATTCGAACAATTGTTACTTGAAGCTATCAAGGCTGGTGTCGTTGAAGGTAAATTGAACCAAGTTGAAGAAGTTTTCTACTTGAGCAGAGTCAACAGACTCATTATTGCCGGTGAAGACAACACCAAAGCCTGGGCTGCCGTCAGAGAAACTTTACAACAATGGAAGAACTCATTGACTAACATCAATGATGTTGTCAAGGCTGCTAGAGAAAACATTGTCAACAGTGGAAACTAAGTGTTGACATTTCTATTTGAAAATGTATCATATTTTTTTTTTGTTTGATATTTCATTTGCTCTACTTTTATAAAGTTTAATATATACAACGAAGGAAATCTAATCTCTATCATTGTCAAGAACGACTAAGAAACCTCCGACAAGATGTAATGAACCGCATACAAACACCTCAAGTTGTTCCTTTTCGCTTTCTGATTTCAAATAGTTGATACTGGTTTCGATATCAGGGAAGACGTGTCTATTGGCCTTATCTCCATCCAACTCTTTCCATTGGTCACTGAAATCGTGTTGAATTTCAAGTTTCTTAACGGCATCTTCAGATGTGTTCTTGGAAAGTAATTCCGCATTGTATTCTCCAGATGCCCAAGTGACATTTGGAGTGAAGATGACATCGGAGAAAACAATTGATGGATCGGATTCGGAAACAACTTGATATAACTTAGCCAATAGTTCCTTGTAATTATCTCTTCCTTGTTGATTAAACAAAAGAACTCTTCTCTTTCCTGTGATGTTCTTTGATTGCTCTTGCTTGAACCAAGTGGAAGAAGCGTTAATGGACTCAATGGTGTGAGCTCCATCAATATACCAAGTGATATTTTCGTATCCCTCTCTGTTTCTAATCACTTGACATCTACCTGGCCAATCAACATTAGCTAACCCTGAAATAAATTTGTCTGATAACTGTTTAATAGAACCATCTTCATTGAATTGTGGTAAATCTTTGTCAATTCCAATGGTTTTTAAATGGGAATTGGCTAATCTGACAGCTAGGGCAGCATTGGCTCTTTGGAAATCACCCGATAATCCTAATTTGATGCCCAGAGGTAAATCAGGACCGACAAATTCTAAACTTGATGCTCTTAATTCCTTGGCTCTTGACTTGATTAATTCATGAGTTTCTGGGTATTCAACTTGCTTGGATACATATGCTGGTGATCCATTTTTGAAAATACCAGTTTTATTTTCAGTAATACTTTCGATGGTGTTACCCAACATAAAAGTATGATCAATTCCTAATGCGGAAATACCAGTAACGGTTGGTTTATCAATGATGTTGGTAGAATCGTAAGTTCCCCCAACACCAACTTCATAAATAGCAGTATCTATACCTTCTTGTAAGAATACATGGAACGATAACACAGTCAAGTACTTGAAGTACATTGGCTTCACTTGATCACTTGGTTGTAAAGTTGGCCACTGGATTGGATCAGAAGTGGTTGAAGATAACTTATCCCACACTTCAAAGAAATACTTGGCAAATTTATCTTCGTTTATAGGTTGACCATTGATTCTAATTCTTTCCCTGACTGATTTCAAATGTGGTGAAGTGTATAATCCTATTTTGGAAATATAATTAGGTTGGTATTGCTTAAGGATTGATTCGGTGAAAGCACAAGTAGAACCCTTTCCCTTAGTTCCTGTGACATGAATGATATTCAATTTGTTGAAATCGCTAGCTTTGTATCCTAATCTTCTTGTGAATTCAAAAACTTCGTTGATTGACAATTCATTTCTATTCACATTAGGTCCTAGTTTCTTCATAGCTTCAATGGAAGCAAAGTTTGATTGAAGTGAGTTTAAGCAATTGATAGCATCTTTGTAAGTACGTGGGGTTCTCATAGCTGATGCTGAGTCTTGTTCATTGGCTTCACTCATGGGATGTTCTTCAAGTTCTTGGTGGAATCAATAATTGTCCAGAATCTTCAAATGTTAAAAATTAGTGAGGCTCAGATCTTTTTCCGCCAAAGAAAATCAAGGGTTAGTATGTAAGGGTCAACTCTTAGCTGAGCATTTATAAAAAAAGCACTATAAACCAATTACTTGTTGGGAATTTAACCAGATCATAGAATAGGTTAATTCTGTTGGATTCGTTTCTTAATTGTAATGTATTATTAATCTTGTTCAGCCTAATTTTAAACATTATATACAATTTCTCCCGAAAAATTTGCAAAATATTAAAAAAAACCTCTAAAAGCTTGAAATTATATTGACAATATTAGGACGACCAAGTTCAAATAACTAACTTGAAAAGATGTATGAAATGAATACCGAAGAGTAGAATAGATGATAGTTTTTAGCTCGGTGTTAATTGTTGCAAATAAAATTTGTGCGAACAAAATGTTTCCCGTAAATTTCCTGGTTTTACAACCACTTCTTTTCTTCCAATTGAGACAGTACCAATTGAAATTTGAAGATCAATGATTACTAAATTGATTATCAAAGACTCTAATTGCAATGTTTAACCATTACCAAAGTAATTGAGTACGATTAACTGGATTTCTAGTTTTAACTTTTGTTCTAACCCGTACTCAATTTTCTTACAACCAAAGTAAAGAATGTTACGTGTCACTTGCTACAAGGACTTGTCATGTGGAAAATACAACACAAGGTAAGAAAAACCATTCAATTACACAATTATAACAAACTCGCTATTTTAAAAGGTATGGAAGTGCCGGGATCAGAGAGGAGTTAGACGTGCATTGTTTACGCGTTGGCAGTATGTACTAACATTATTACAGAATTACATAACCAGGCAATGACTCATTGCCACCCTATAGCGTATTTACAAGTTTACCACTGCATCATGCCAATTAGTCATAGCTTTAAGAGGCAAAGTTTCTTGGTTCAATATTTGGTTATTACGTGATGGCAAATTGTTCAACCATGATTTCGCCACTGTGTTTTTTTTACTAACAAAACATTATTTTCGGAGCACGGAACCTTTTCCGAATGCAAATTTACCCGAAATATTTTTTTTCCTTTATTTTTTTCTTTTTTCTCAATGACTTTTTTTTTGAGAATGAGTCAGAGCCCGATTTACTATGTAAGTTTGGATGTTTGGCTCCAAAAAAAAACCAACCAGAAGGAATAAAAAAAAGAGGGAAAATCGAGTTTCACAGTTTGTAATCCACTTCTACTACAACTATTTGTTTCCACCACACCAGGAGAACTACATATTCCCAGGCTTATCCAAGAGACAAACACATAACAAGCGCTTTCAACAACTGACATATTTACTAATTTTATGAGATTTATTCAACTTAACCTTTAATCTACAACTTTTATATATATATTCTTTTGGCAATTGAACGAAATGTATTGCCAATTATAAATTAATTAAACAAATAACATTTATTTAATCGTGGTTTCCTGGGTATTTTTATTGGAGTTTTTTTATTAACAATTTAACTGATTACGGCGTTTTTATTTCAAACTTACAAAAGACAGTAAAACGGAAGAGATACAACAACAACTCATCCATTGTACTGTACTACTATTTTCATTTAGGTCCTTTTATATTCATTTCCAAGTTGGTTTAAATCAAATTTAAACCGTTACCATCACCCAAGAAGTAGTTTGATTTAGTTTTCATTATATCCTTATTTAGTTCGTGTTGAATATGTTCAATATGATCGATGACAATATTTATAAGAATCCTATTCAGAGTACTTCTAATAACACACAAAGCAAGATGACACCTCAAACTTTCCATATGTTTGTTAAGGAAGAAGAAACAACATCTTCACTTGATATCATGTCTGTCCAAAATAACGAAGATTTAGAAAATGTTTTTGATGAATTTATTGATATTCCTAATTTAGTCAGCGATGATGAATTAAGTGAAGAAGATACTGTTCTGACTAAGACTTTTGGATCCCATTGGAAGAGATCTGGACAATCCACTCCCGCTACTGTTGCAAGTGAACCACGTGTTAGTAGACGTCAAGGTTCACCCCCACAGTATAACAAGAGTGAACAAGTCAAGATCCAACAACCAAAACCAATACAACCACAAGCTGTGCAGCAACAACAACAACAACAACCATTGCACATAAACAAAGCTTATATTCTTCCATCTCAACAACTAGCATCTTCGGTTCAGACAGCAACAAGAAAAATCAAAACTTCTTCTACTACATCCACTGCTATATCCACTACTACCAAAGCTACAACCAAGCTGACCCACCTTTCTCCTGAACAATTCAAATATGAACAAACACAATTGATGACTATAATTGTCAAATATATTGCGACTAAAATTTACAATTCATTCCCACCTGAATCTCCTAGGCTGATTAAACCTAATGAAATGCCTTTGGACAAGTTTTTATTATTGTTAACTAGTAGATTACAATTAACCTTACCTTTATTTATCAAGGGAATAATTTACTTGTTTAGATATATGGATATCATTTATTTATTAAGATATCTTAACCAATCTAACAATTTTATCAATTATAAAGACATGGGATTTGAATTGAAGAAATTAATTGTTGGATGTTTCAAATTGACAATTATTAAAGAAAGAAGAATTCCCAAAAACAAGAACAAGTACAATTATAATTGGCAACATATTACTGGTTTAAGCAACCAAGAAATAAATAATATTGTCAAGCAAATTGTTGGAAGAATGAATGGGAAATTGAGAATCAAGGATGTTGAATTACTTAGAATGAAGTCCGAAATATTTAGATTTGTCAAGATGGTTACTAAGGAGGTGTAGAACATCACTTGCTGTTATTCTGAGGGTCGATGAAGAACCTTCGGGTTATGTGTTATTTTTTTTAAAAAAATACTTCTATGTGTATTCTGTTATCTTTCACATGTGTGTACAAACCCTTTTACTCTGTTATATAGTTTTACGTTTATTTTCGTAACAACTACAATGTCAAATTCGATATTGAATTGGTTTTCGCAGCTGGGTACTTCTGCCGATTGGGTGTATGATTGCAATCGCAGAAGTACCTGGTTTATGCGAAATCGAACATTAAATTAGCTCTAGAGACACTGTGATCCATTGTTTCTAGCAGAATATTATCTATTTCAAAATTTTCGTCTAATTTATGAGGTAAAACAGGTACTATTCGCAGTACTGTCATAATTATCTTGATCGTAAACAATTGTGATTCGATGTTTTGATATTGAGCAAACACAAGCTGCTCGCGATATTGCTACAATGCAGGTAAGAAAAACGGTTCCAGTGAAGTATTCTTCAAGGGTTTTTTGCACAGATTTTCAGTAATATATTTTGCACCAAATTTTGCAGTAATCATGAAACAATTATTAATAGCAATATCTAAACTGTTTTAACAGGATGCAAAAAAAAACAAACAAACTGATGATTGTCATGATTAAACCAGAGAAAAAGCTGATGTAGGTTAATCAATTTATGATTCTAGTAACCTGACTAAGAAACAGCCCCCATAGTCCGCCGAAAAAAATGTAATAAAATCTAACGGAATTAGAAATATTTCTGCAGGAGTTTCCGTACCATTAACTCTCTCTTTCTTCGATAACTGTGGATGATCTATGATGTAGTCGTTCTTCATGAGAGAAGAACACGTCTACCTAAGAAAAATTACTAATCAATATTTGGACAAACTCCATACAGTCATTGTAGTAAAGTATGGGGTTGAAAGGTTTGTCAGCATCAACAACTTCCTGGAGTTAGGCATCGAATTTGTCAGATTGCGACTTTGTGTAATTAGATCTAACTCCATGGTGTTATTTCCGTATGCAGGATAAGTTCCATGATTTTGAATCAAAAGCTTACAAATCAATATTTTTTTTACTGTAGGCTAAAATTTTGATGGTAGTTTTGCAGCAAATTCATCGAACACGAAAATTTGCAGTGAGATGTAGAGTGCAATCCTATAAATATGACCGATTCTACCTTAGTCAAATTTGGTTTATCCATTCATATTATTAATAACAAAGCTTATTAACTACAATAAATACTAAAAATGTCTGCCACTTCTGTTTTCGTTTCCGGTGCTAACGGTTTCATTGCTCAACATATTGTCAAACAATTACTTACCAAGGGTTACAACGTCATTGGTTCGGTCAGATCTAAAGCCAAGGGTGAAGAATTGAAGGCTTTAATCAAGGATGAGAAATTTGCTTATGAAATTGTCCCATCCCTTACTGAAGATGGCGCTTTTGATGATGCCCTTAAGAAACATCCTGAAGTTTCCGTTTTCTTACATACTGCCTCTCCATTTACATTCTCGGTCAACGATGTTGAGAATGATTTAATGAAACCTGCTGTTAATGGTACCCTTAATGCTCTTAGAGCCATCAAGGAGCACGGTCCTCAAATTAAGAGAGTCGTGGTTACTTCTTCTGCTGTCGCTGTCTTCGGTTTTGGCCCACAATTTGATGCCAACAAAGTATACAATGAAGATGATTGGAACCCAGTTACTTACGAACAAGCTTTGTCAAACCCAGTTTTTGGATACTTTGGTTCCAAGAAGTTTGCTGAAAAGGCTGCCCATGATTTTGTTGCTAAGGAAAAAGTCAACTTTGGTATTTCATTCATCAACCCACCATATGTGTTTGGTCCTCAAGCTTATGCCATTAAAGACAAGGCAAATTTGAATACTTCCAATGAAGTTGTTAATAAGCTTATTAAGTTAAGCAAGGGTGAAGAAATTCCTGTTGAAGGTAGTGTTTTTGTTGATGTTAGAGATGTTGCTCGTGCTCATTTAGTCGCTTTTGAAAAGGATGAAGCTATCCTGAAGAGATTATTACTTGTTTCAGGAAGTTACACTCTTGACACAATTGCTAATATTATCAACAAGAAGTTTCCACATACTACTGTTCCAAAGGGCGATGAATCTAGAAACTCAGAAATTACTAAGGCTATCCATAAGTTTGATAATTCTAGAACTCAAAAGATTCTCGGTTTTGAGTTCAAGCCTCTTGAAGAATCTATTGTTGATACCGTTGGCCAAATTTACAATGCTTAGTTTGTATAGTTTTCATAGGTAATTGATTTATTCTTTAACTCCTTCCAATATTATACTTCTCGTTTCAATCACAAAATCGAATAGAAAATTTCGCTGTTTAGATTGTCTATCCGTACGAATACTAGAAGTTATAAATTACAATTATTATACAACAAAATAAAAGAACAATCTATCTTTTGAGTAATAAGCCCATATATCCTAACTATAGAGTGTTTGATCTTATTCAACGAGGTTTCTTTTTTTTTTTTCTAGTTTGTTCGTTACAAGTGGTCTCTGGTTTGTTTCTTTCAGTCAAGTACCCTGGGCTTGCCTTTGCAATAATTAGTTATCAGTCCTGGTCAAATAAAACTCAGGGGGAGTATGAGGGGGGCAAATTCACCCAGCTTACTTTCCTTCTGCGTTAATTGATATATTAACTTGTGGGACAGGAGATTGCCCCCTCCAATTGTCAAAAAGATTATGTATGGGAATTTTCATCAATGAAAAGAACCCTAAAAAAAACCACTTCTCAGAAGTAAAAAGAAGTAAAGTTGGGACAGAGTTCTTGTAGCACAAACATGTCAGACTTTGAAAACACGAACATAAATGAAATAACTCACGCCATAAAACGCTTAATGTAAAAGGGAGTGATATATGAAAAAAAGGAGTTTCTGACGCATGCCAAAGTGGAGCAAACATTTATAACCTTTGCATTTTTTAACCTCATATTCTGCTCATAACATCCAAATTTGATATTTCTTGGCCAATGTTTGCTTATGAACATTACTAGTAAACAGGAAGTTCAGGGTGGGGGGAATAAGCTGTAGTAAGAGCTTACAATTCAAAACTATCTCGATCAAAATTGACCAATTCTGTCTGAACATGGGTTCTGAATACTTCTTGAAACTAGGATTCCCTTGGTCAAAAACTCGTACGATTTGGACATGTAGAATTTCAGTCCTAAATGATAGTTTACAAACTTTATTCATTATTGGACTGGTATGAAAAGGAGTCCATGAATAACTTGAAAATACGTTACTAGAAAATATTGTAGTAATAACGGCTCCCGTCTATCCCTTTGCAATTGCCCCCCACGGACTTTCTTATTCTCTATAAAATAAGAGCAATTCTTGTTAATTAACCATTTTACAAAAAAAGATAAACAACTACAAACAGGATGATTTTACTTCTATTATTGTATACGTTTTTATTGTATAATGTTATGGCCCGACAAATCAGTGGAGTTTTCACTTCATTTGATTCTTTGGTTTGGGAAAAAGCTCAAGGAAATTTCCCAATAGCTTCCCCTTCAGCTCCCAGCTGGATAGCAACCTTGAGTTGGGACATTGACGGTTCCACCATGGAAGCGGGAGACACTTTTACTTTAACCATGCCATGTGTTTTAAGTTTACCACTGAGGACGAGTATATCAATTTGGTAGCAAGAAACCCAACTAGTGGTTCTACTACTGTTTTTGCAACCTGTAATTTTTCTCCAGGTGATGTGATTGTTCCTTCTCAGAATTGCAATGTATTTTACTGAATCAAGTACAAGACCTGACTCGAGCACACGGTACTATCAAAATTCCATCTACATTCAATTATGGATGGTCAGGATTACAGACTGATTTAGAGTGTTCCACACTCTTTCAACTGGGTGTCAACACCATATCTTGGAGAGATGGAGATAAAGTCATTTCAACACAAGCTAATTTTGATGGTGGTTATACAAGTGATGATCCCAATGTCAGGATCCGTTTGGGTCGTACTGCACCTCTAGTAGATAAGGTACAACTTTATTATATGGCTGGTAATTGCCCCAATGGATATCAATCTGGAACCTTGGGATATAAAATTGATACTTCAGGTGTGAAATTGTATTGCGAAATGGCAAATGCATTCATTACCAACTCGTTAAATGCCTGGTATGTACCTACAAGTACAAGTGACCACCCATTCACCTCCTCATGTGATGAAACGACTTACATGGTTAAATACAGCAATATTCCTGCTGGATATAGGCCATTCATTGACCTCTTTGTCAAACCCCCCAAAGGTGTAACATATTATATAACTTACATTGATCAATATACCTGTGTCGGACTGCCAAAGTTAATTAACAATAATTATTCTACTGGACGTGCAGGCTTTGCAAATACCAATCCTTACACCGATGGGCGAGAATTTGTTCTTACCACTAGAACCTATGGTGGACCGGTAACTCAATTAACAACATTATCGTATGATCCCTCCCGCGATAGAACTATGACTATCGTAGTGCAAGTTCCAATCCCAACTATTACTATAACCACTACTTATTCAGGAGAAACTACTTCCTATTCTACAAAGGCCGCACCACCAGGAGGAACAGCTACGATAATTAAATATCTCTCAGTAGATACTGTAACTGAGACTCATACTTGGACAGGCTCGTTTACCCAACTGTCAACGTTTCCCTATGTCCCAGAAACAGTCGAAACGGTAACTGTTCGTGTTGAAGTTCCTATTCCTACAATTACTCTAACTTCTGCTTATGAAGGTATCACTACTTTGTACTCTACCATAACAGCAGAACCTAGTGAAACTGCAACTGTAATTGAATTTCATCCACCTCAAACTGTTACTGAAACACAAACGTGGACTGGCATATATACTGAACTTACAACAATGCCTTATGATCCTGAAAATATTGAGACTGTTAATGTTGTCGAATTAGTTCCTATTCCCACTACTACTGTCACCAGTACTTATGATGGTACAATTGTTTCTTATACCACGGTTAGTGCAGAACCTGGAGAAACTGCTACTGTTATTAAATACCATCCTGGTAATGAAAGTGGAGAGCCTGGCGAGACTGGTGGACCTGCTGAAACTGGAGAACCTGGAGTTCATTCTCTTGATACTGCTACTGCAACGAAAACTTGGACAGGAAGTTTTACCCAGACGACAACATTACCTTATGATTCTGAGATTGATGGAACTGTTTCCGTCGTTGTTGAAGTACCTATCCCTACAGTAACACTGACCACAACTTATGATGGCTCTACCGTTTCGTATACTACTGTGACAGCTGAACCTGGAGAGACAGCTACTATTATTGAGTATCATCCTAGTGTATATACTGGCAAAGCGGAAATATTATCAGGATGGGAACTGCAACTTGAAGCTGAAAATCCAACTTCATCTCACGAATTCTCTGGAAACAAGGAAGAAGTTACCATACAAGAACTACAGGAAACACAAACTGAACAGTCTATTATATCTGAACAGCTACTAGATACTGAAGGGTCTCTTGAAACTGAATATCTCATTGAAACTGAAGAACAAAGTGGAACTGAGGAAGTACTTCCCACAACAATACTCCAAAATTTGCCAACTGAAAAGCCATTTGAAACTGAAGAATCTCCTGAAAGTAAAGCAATAACTTCAACAGAAATGCTTCCAAGAATCCAAGTACATTCGGAGTCTGTAATAGCCCTGGAAATGGAACAACCAGATTATTCAGAAGAATATACTAAAAACCAACCACCACCATCCACAGACTTATCTTTTGACAACGAAATCCCAGCCCAAACTCACGTATCATTCGTGACTGAACAAGCTGCAAAGAGTGGAGCTCTTGGGGTTGACACAGTTACTGAGACAAAAACGTGGACCGGTGAATTTACACAGATATACACTTTACCATTTGATCCTGAGCTTGCAGAGACAATAACTGTAATTGTTGAAATTCCTATTCCTACTGTGACAATTACCAGTACTTATGAAGGGTCTACTATTTCATATACTACATTTACCGCTGATCCAGGTGATACTGCTACTGTGATCGAGTTTCATCCTGATGAAAAGACTGGTGAGGTTGAAATTTCACCAGGATGGGAACAGCCATTTGAAACTGAATCAGTACCTGGGTCAGAAGAACAATTTAGAACTATGGAAGGATCGGCATATGTGCTTCAAGAAACCCAAATTGCCCAACCAGTTGCAACCGAGCAAGTATTGGAGATTGAAGAAACCTTGGAAACTAAGGAGGTAATATTCATAGAAGCCATCCCAGAACCTCAAATGCTTTCAAATACCGAAATATTCTCGGAAACACTACAACCATATAACACAGACGAAGTAGTTGAACCACAAGTACTAACAGCAACAGAAGTACCATTAGATACTGAAATCGTAGACCAATCTGAAGTTTTACCGGTGACTGAAACAGAAGGGGAAACTGGATCATACGCAGTAGACACGGTAACCGAAACCAGAACATGGACTGGTGTGTTTACTCAGCTGTATACTTTGTCATTTATTCCAGAAGTGGATGAGACTATCACAGTAATTGTTGTAGTTCCTATTCCAACTGTCACAATAACGAGCACATATGAAGGTTTAACTACATCATATACTACAATTGTCGCTGAATTAGGACAAACTGCCACGATAGTTGAGTTTGTTCCTGAAAATGGAAGTGTCTTTGAATCAAGTATACCAGCTGAAACCATAAAAGCTGAAACAGCCACAATTCCTGAAAAGCCCGGTGTGCATTCCTTTGATACTGTTACTGAAACAAGAACATGGACTGGGATATATACTCATCTGACAACATTACCTTATAACTCGGAGGTGGATGAAACAGTAAGTGTAATTATCGAAGTTCCAATTCCAACCGTGACCGTGACTACTACATATGATGCATCTGTTACATCATACACTACAGTTCTTGCAGAGCCCGGACTAACAGCCACTGTTATTGAATTTATTCCAGATGGTGAAGAGTCTGTTGGACGAATCATTGACATTGTAACTGTGACTAGGACCTGGACTGGAACATTTACTCAACTTACTACCTTACCATTTGATCCTGACATTGATAAAACTATAAGTGTTATTGTCCAGATTCCAATCCCTACTGTTACTGTAACTAGAGAATACACTGGAACAACTGTTTCATATTCTACAGTTGCTGCCCGACCTCAAGGAACTTCTATAGTAATAGTTCAAGAATCTTCTGGTGAAAAAGGTGTTCCTAGTGAATCTGCCAGCCATATTTCTGAGACTGGAACTATTACTAAAACAAGAGAATGGAGTAGTAATTTTACCAAGACAACCATGTCACCCGTTAGTTTTGATATTGGTAAGTCAGCCACTGCTATTATAGATGTTCCAATTGGTACAGTTACTGTAACGAGCACGTATCAAGGAAATACCAAGTCCTATACTACTGTTTCAGCTGAGGTTGGTGAGATTGCTACAGTTATTGAATTTGTTCCAAGAGGTTCAGGAGGCGCAGGAGATGTTAGTAGAAGACCTGTTGACATGGGAAGCGGTGTTTCTACTAAGGATCCAACTGGCTCAACAGAAACAGGTGTTTATAATGGTATTAGCAACTCAAGAGCATCGGGTAATTCTGGTGCTTTACCTAGACCCGGTGTTCGAATTAGTAGTAGTACTACTACTGCTTCTATTAGAGCTGGAGCTACCACTGGTGCTGGTAGATCAACAAGTATTACTACCAGAGCTGCTACTGAAGCTGATAGATCAACAGGTAGTGCCACCAGAGCTGGTACGAAAACAGGATCTCAACCGAGAGGAAGAAGTAGTACTGGAACTAAAACTGAGGCAGGGAGAAGAAGTACTATTAGCTATGGCACAGGATCAGGTAGTGGAATACAATCAGGAGGTAAGACCAGTATACCTGGAGCAGGATCTGGTACTAGCTCTAGATTAGGAGGGGGTATTGGAGAAAGATCGGATAGTGTTCAAGTGACCAATAGTTCTTGGGGACCAATCCTGACAACAAGTGGTGATATTGGCGTCCATGTTCCAGATATGTTAGTGGATTCTGGAAATGGGTTACTTTCTTCCATGTCGAAATTATGCCTTCTTTTAGCTTGCGTGTTTGACTTAATGGTTGTGATTATTTAGTTGCACTTTGACCACAGAAAGATCTTCTGTATTTGTTTTTTTTTATTATTTATTTACCTTATTTAATGATTTTAGATTATACGTCTTGTTTTTATATTAATTTATCCATTAATGTTTATTATTGTCGTTCTACTAAAACTGTGGAGATTGGCAGCATAAATGTAGTATTGCAAATATTATTATCAAGCCCAGAAACATAGATACACACATGACACCATTGGATATAGCAACTCAATATATATAGCAGTGTTATTTGATGATATTAGCTCACAGCCTATACCTGGGTAAAGAGGTCAGATATTCGGGATGTAGAGAAGTTACTGTGGAAAAGATATATGTTGGAAATCCTACCTTCCCCTTGTAGCACATGATCTATTCCGGATAACGAGTCTCAACCTCAAGGGCCAGAGTGTACAGTGAAAAGTTTTCACTGATAGATTTCTATTTTATATTATTACTCTTATAATTACGTCTTGACCAAATACTTCCGTATTTAGTAAGTCAGAGATAAAAGCTGTAGTCGGGTTTACTCTATTAATTGTTGTAATATTGAAAGTCACCTGGGACACACATTTATCAAAGAAAAAGATGATGTTGATACATTAAGAGAAGGCACAGGAGCCAGGATAGAATCTTGTCAGTATGTTCACTAGACTATCCAAGAATAAAGATACTGTGTTAAGAGAAGCTAATCTAGAGGAAATGTATGTAAGTTTCAATTTACGATCTTAAAAGCCTCAGTAACTTAGTTAAGAGAAAGAGAAAAAAATAATTGATTACCACATTGAAGAAACATCAGATGCGTTATTGAGAATATAACTAAGCGTAGAATGAATGTGCCAATGTAAGTGCCGATGTAAGTGCCGTGGTCTGAGGACATGAATTAGATTTAAACATTACAAGTATGTAATATAACGATAATTAAAGTGTTTATAAAAGCATGGTCAGATGGGAAAAGCTAAACATGAATAGCTAGATTGATTAATTATAAATTTGATTGGATTCTACCTTTGAATAAGTATGAATATACTGAAAAGATGATCACGAAGGATAATCTTTAATTAATCAACTTCTATTATTAAATAGGTTCGTTAGATAAGAGTCTCTCTTAGATGCTCATATTACTAGCGCTCCCACTGCCAGCCACTACATTAACATTTATATTTACCTACATCAGGTATCTTTATAACAGTTGGTACCTGCCACTTTGGTTATATTGATCCTGAAAAAGAATAACTAAGAATGGTCTTTAAGAAACGTTATACTCCCAAAAAGAACTACCAAGGAAACAACAATAACCGGGATTGGTCTAATAACTATATCCGCTCACTCTAAGCTGTAGAGATACAAAGGAAAAAGAATCAAGAAAGTAGTGACTTGTTGATTAGAAATTCAGAAATATTTGATGGCGCGGCTAAAACCCTAAAATAATTCGAGAGTTACAGGCCAAATCAAAAGAAGAAACAACCAGCTTTACTAGATTCTGCTTGTGAAGCTAACTTTATTCATACAGATTTGGTTCCAGATTTAAAAGTTGAAAAATGTAAACTAGTTGCTATATATGCTGCAAATAATATATTTATGGCTACGGTTATTAACTTTGTCCAAACCAAATGGTTTGATACGGATACTGATGTTAAATTTTATGTGGCTGATATTTCAGATTGTTCAATTGTATTAGGTGCTGGATTTTGGTATTCACCAATTACTGTGGGAGATAAATGGGAAACAAAACCAGATTAACAATCTGGAGAAGTTTTACTACTAATTGAGGGAATCTCGGCTACTTCCGCATCATCTTATGCTAATGAAAAACTATGTGAAATGCAAGACACAACCATATACTGAAAGATATTATCGACTTCTTTAATTAATTACAGAGAGATTATTCTAAATTCTTACACGGTAACCTATCAGTGAAACAACCTGAAGAGTTTGCATTTTGTTATTACATTGAATTGTAATCATCTTCAATACTACAAGTGCTCATCTTTGCTCGAGGAATTATGCATTCTTTCAAATATATTGTCTAATTAGCAAACATACAATATGCTCCTGCTTGAACGATACAATAAGAAGTTCTTAACTTCTCACAACATGTTAGAGCGGGGAATATACGCTAACATCAAAATATATCAACGACAACCAGCTTATTCTTTGTTGGTTTCAAAGTTAATACACGAAATACTATTTTATATTCAATACTCAACAAATGGTGATTGTTGATATTTTTGATGCAGGGTATTATTATCAAACATCGACGTTTGTTGATGAATCTTTCTGGTAGGAATTAGTAACTTAATAGTGAACCCACGGACCTTGTTTGTCACATAGATGATAGTTCTGATATAATTGTATATAGGTCAAAGTAGCTATATCATGTCACAACTTACTTATTTACTTAGTAGGAAAACGTAATAACATTAATTCATATAAAATAATACGCAAGGACATAATAACGATAAAGAAAGATCATAAGCAATAAATAAATCATATAAACAGCAACAAATATCAAAGAGAAGAACTTCAAACAACCGAAGTTCAACTAGAAAAGCAAAGCTATCAAGTGAAGAACAGTAACTAAAAGCAAAACCAAATTGGACATGGAAGGGAGTAAAACATTTCCAGAGTCAGCTACAGCTACTGGTACTGGGTCCCCAAAGTCATTGTTTGGTTGAATTAAAACCGGAGTTGGATCTTCAATACCAGCATGTGCTTCTCCAGCAGCAGACCTTCCTCCAACACCAGCGCCTGTTCCGCCACCTGCTCCTGCTCCACTTCCACCACCTGCTCCACTTCCACCACCTGCTCCACTTCCACCACCTGCTCCAGTGCTACCTCTACCACCAACTCCCATACCAGTAGTTGCAGGAATTGCTCCTCCTGGAAGTGTTCCTGTACCAGTAGGACTTCCACTTCCACGCTGGGCATCTGTTCCAGTACCTGATTTACTTGGACCTCCACCACCTGGTGGAGCTCCTGTTGGAGTACCATTTCCTGTAGATGGCTTTCTGGTTGGACTAGGACTTTTACCATCTGGACCTGTTCTTGTTCCAGTAGTACCAGATCTAGCACTAGATCCAGATCTACTAGGACTTCCACCGCCTGGTCGTGTTCCTGCAGGAGTACTAGTGCCAGGACCAGATCTACTTGGGCCTCCACCACCTGGTCGAGCTCCTGTTGGAGTACCATCTCCCGTAGCTGGCTTTCTGGTTGTACTAGGACGTCCTGTACTACTTCCACTTGATTTACTAGGACTAGAAAGTATACCTGTAGCACTAGCACCAGATCCAGATCTAATAGGACTTCCACCGCCTGGTCGTGTTCCTGCCGGAGTTCCAGTACCAGTACCAGTACCAGTACCAGATCTACTTGGTCCTCCACCACTTGGTCGAGCTCCTGTAGGGGTACCATCTCCTGTAGATGGCTTTCTCGTTGTACTAGGACCTCCTATACTACTTCCGCTTCCTTTACTAGTACCAGAAGGTACACCTCTAGAACCTCCTCCTCCTCCAACTTCTTGTCCACTAGTTCTGCTAATTGCACCACTAGTACCTAAACCACTAGGACTAATTGTGTGACTTTGACTACCTGTGCCTGTAGCACTTTTACTAACATCTTTCGTTGGACTTCCAGAACTTACACCTTTACCTGAACTTTCTCTCTTGCCAGAATCCGTAGCAGATTTGGTAGGTCCTGTATTTGGGACAATTGGAGTCCTGCTGTTACTTGCTAAACTCCCTGGAACAAAAACAATTACAGTAGCTGTCTGTCCAGGTTCTGCACTCTTAGTGGTATACGATGTAACCGTGCCCTCATAAGTACTGGTAGTAGTCACAGTAGGAACTGGAATTTCAACAATAACAGTTACAGTCTTATCAATCTCCGGGTCAAAGGGTAATGTAGTGGTCTGGGTGAAAGTTCCGGTCCATGTCCTTGTCTCAACAGCAGTAACAGGAACATTAATACCAGTACTCATGGGCTCACCTGTTTCGACTGGCCACACCAGTACACCTGATGGTACCAATACAATAACCGTAGCAGTTTCTCCAGGTCCTGCACTAACCGTGGTATAAGAAACAATTGTACCATCATAAGTACTGGTGACAGTAGTAGTGGGCACTGGGATCTCCACTATAACAGTTACAGTCTTATCAGTCTCTGGATCATATGGTAATGTGGTCGTCTGTGTAAAGCTTCCTGTCCATGTCCTGGTTTCAGTAGCAGTATCAAGAGAGTGAGCTTCTCCACCTGTTTGGATAGGCTCACCTGTCTCAACACCAGGATGGTACTCAATAACCGTAGCAGTCTCACCAGGTTCAGCTCTCACAGTAGTATACGAAACGGTAGAGCCATCATAAGTTGTGGTCAGTGTTACTGTAGGGATAGGAAGCTCGACAATAATAGTCATAGTTTCGTCAATCTCAGGATCATAAGGTAACGTGGTCGTCTGTGTAAAACTTCCTGTCCAAGTTCTGGTTTCAATAACAGTATCAAGAGAATGACCTCCGGGTTCTCCTGTCTCAACAGGTTCACCTGTACCACCACCAGGATGGTACTCAATAACAGTAGCAGTCTCTCCAGGTTCAGCTGTCACAGTAGTATACGAAACGGTAGAGCCATCATAAGTTGTGGTCAGTGTTACTGTAGGGATAGGTACTTCGACAATGATACTAATAGTTTCGTCAATTTCAGGATCATAAGGTAACGTAGTCGTCTGGGTAAAACTACCTATCCAAGTTCTGGTTTCAGTAACAGTATCAAGAGAATGACCTCCGGGTTCTCCTGTCTCAACAGGTCCACCAGTGTCAACACCAGGATGGAACTCAATAACAGTGGCTGTCTCACCAGGTTCAGCTGTCACAGTAGTATACGAAATTGTGGATCCATCGTAAGTTGTACTCAGTGTTACAGTTGGAATAGGAACTTCTACAACAACTGTGATAGTTTCAATATTTTCAGGATCATATGGTAACGTGGTCGTTTGAGTAAAACTTCCTGTCCATGTTCTGGTTTCAGTAGCAGTATGTGGTGGGTGGAATTCGATTACAGTGGCTGTCTCACCAATGTCTGCAGTTACAGTAGTGTACGAAGTCGTGGTACCATCATAGGTAGTGGTCAGTGTCACAGTTGGAATAGGAATATCAACAAGCACGGTCACAGTTTTATCAATGTCAATATCATATGGTAACGTAGTCAGCTGGGTGAATGTTCCCGTCCAAGTTCTTGTTTCAAAATAAGTTTCTATCGGACGTAATTCAATAACAGTAGCGGTTTCTCCAGGTTCCACTGTCTTTGTAGTTCTTGTGGTGACTTTCCCACCGTATGTCGTAGTAATAGTTGTAGTTGGAATTGGAACTTCAACAACAATAGTTTTGGTTTTGTCAAGGGATGTATCAAAGCTTAGAGTGGTTACTGTGGTATATTTCCCCGTATAAGTTCTAGTAGTGAGAACAATTTCACGACCATCGGACCAAGGATTTTTGTTTATATATGACCCCCAGTATTCAAGATATGTATTGTCAATTAGTTCAGACAGACCGGAACAGTAGTGCGTCTCTATGTAGGTCATGTTCATTTTCTCGGGAGGAGGTGCTCGTACAAGGATGTCAAGGAAGGGCCTGTAACCTGCTGGAATATTTTCATATTCAACAATGAAAGTGCTTTGGTTACAAATTGTTGTAAATGTAAATGGAGCAATAGACTTAGCACAACACCAATCATTTAATTCATTGGTTATAGCAGCTCTCGCATAATTGCAATTAATTGTGTGCTCTTCATACACAAGTTGTATTCCAAGAGTTCCCGAGTCATAACCATCAGGACATTCCGCAGCGAATATAACTAGTTGGCTATTATCGAATAAAAGTGATATCCGATTATGGCGTAACAATGGATTTAGATATTCACACCCCTTTTCAAATTCAACATCAATAGAAAGAATATTATCTCCGTCTCTGAATGAAACCGTGGTGGTTCCAGAATGAAACATAGCTGCACATTCCAAGTCTGTATCACTTGCTCCTCTTCCATTATTAAAAGTAACTGGAATAGTGATAGCGCCATATGCTTTCGTCTCAGAGTCAACCTCATCCAGTAAAACACACAATAATTCAGAGTACGTAACAAGAAGTTCCCCTGGATTGAAATAACAGGTAGCAAAGGTGGTTGTTGCGCCGGTGATTGAGTGCGTTGCGTTCAAATCAACATGTTTAGCATCGGAGGTAAACTTGAATACACATGGCATAGTTAAAGTGAAAGTATCTCCAGCACTCATGGTGGATCCGTCAATTTCCCAACCCATTGTTACCATCCAAGAAGGGGTGGCAGGAGAAGAAAATGCAAAATAAGCTCCCGGCTCCCACACTAAGGACTCGAAAGACGTGAAAACACCAGAAATTTCTTTGGTTAAAACACTTGTCAATAAAATTGAAAAGAAAAAAATAAGCGATATCATCTTTTCTTTAGTTGGTTGTTTCCACAAATGGATATTCTCTGTATGGGAAATTGCTACCGCATTTATAATGTTTGAAATGTTTCAGAAACACCCCCTCCCATTTCCATTTCCATATCTCACTCCTTATCCTGTGCATTTATCCTAGGGCTCATTTGCACCCATGCCAAAAAAAAATTGAACAATTAGCAGCAATAATGTAGGAACAAAATATTTCATAACCATCAAAAAACATGGCTACAAGATCATGCGCCATACTCCAATTCAATACTATTTTTAAAGCTATGAAGGGCAATCTCTTGGTATAATCTTGAACTTTCGGTACACTCCCCCCCACCTAGGACTTGACCAGTTGAAATGGGAGAAAGGCATATTGTTACAAAAACAAAAGCTCACTATTTGGGGAACATACTTTTTGGGGTTAGTACTATCTGGTATATCGGCCCATTCTTGAATTTCTCTGGTTAGTTTTGTTTGACCTTTTTTTATATAATCTACGAGTTATGACCTCATTTCTATATTGCTGTTCCTAACTCTTTAAAATGCAATGTAGCCCTGTTGGGGAATACAAATGAAACGTTAAAAAAGTGGGAATTAACTGTCAAAATAGTTGTTGATGGTTTGCAACACTGCCTCTAAACCTCCCTAAACTCTTGAAAGTTTGGTAAATATGCATTTGCAATATCTGCTTAATTTGGTTTATATGTGTAGGTAATAGTCCATGTGATTATTAAACAATAGTGCTGAACATAAGATTCTACCACCCTCTTCCTTAACAGATACTGCTCAACCTCGAGGGCCAAAGTGTACAGTGAAAAGTTTTCACTGATAGATTTCTATTTTATATTATTACTCTTATAATTACGTCTTGACCAAATACTTCCGTATTTAGTAAGTCAGAGATAAAAGCTGTAGTCAAGGTTACTCTATTAATTGTTGTAATATTGAAAGTCACCTTGGACACACGATATGTCAAATGATATAAACAGTGCAGAAGAAAGAGCGTGCCACAATTCAGGTGACTCTGATCACGTGCAGTGTTCCCATACAATTTTTCGTATGAGTCATTAAAAATTACCGGAGAGCCTTATCAATAGCGGAGTATTATATGCAGTATACCGTTGCTCCGGAAGGTCCTGAAACAGACATAGTAAGTAAGTTAGACATAACATGAGTGAAGCTAGTAATCAGCTGACATATTCACGCATAATGTTAGTCACTTAATATATGACTAATGTGAGAGGTGGATGACGTGTAATAATTTTCTGGAGAAGAAATTAATCAAGGCATTTTCAGGTGGTTATATAGAAAAGTTCGATGAGTCATTTTTCCGCAAAAGTTTAATCTTGTAAGAAAATAAAATTAGCGTGCTTTTGTGTAACAAAATGGTTTTGCCGCGATAAAACTATAAAAGTGAATTACTTGTTAGTCATTTCTTATTTCTTAGTTGGGAAGAAATCTTTGATGGTATACTCTCCATTGTTCAGGATTCAAAATTTTTCACACCAATAATTTTTCCAGTCTCCCGTATAAAAGCCATCTCATTTTTCACTTTCATATTTCAGTTTTTTATTTCCTCTTTTCCATTTCCTCTTTTTCACTATTCAGTTACTTAATCATATAATTTTAAAATGTCAGTACAATCTAATCCATACGGTCCTCACCCTGCTGATTTCTTATCCAACGTAAACAAATTCGAAGTTATCGAATCCACTTTGAGAGAAGGTGAACAATTCGCCAATGCCTTCTTCACCACTGAAAAGAAGATTGAAATTGCCAAGGCTTTGGATGATTTCGGGGTTGATTACATTGAATTGACTTCCCCTGTTGCTTCTGAACAATCCCGTCGTGATTGTGAAGCCATTTGTAAATTAGGTTTAAAGGCTAAGATCTTGACCCACATCAGATGTCACATGGACGATGCTAGAGTCGCGGTAGAGACCGGTGTTGACGGGGTTGATGTTGTTATTGGTACTTCTCAATTCTTGAGAAAATTCTCCCATGGTAAAGATATGAACTATATTGCTCAAAGTGCCATTGAAGTCATTGAATTTGTCAAATCCAAGGGTATTGAAATCAGATTTTCTTCTGAAGACTCCTTTAGATCTGATATTGTTGACTTGTTAAACATTTACAGAACAGTCGACAAGATTGGTGTCAACAGAGTTGGTATTGCTGATACTGTCGGTTGTGCTAACCCAAGACAAGTTTATGAATTAGTCAAGACCTTAAAGTCGGTTGTTTCTTGTGATATCGAATGTCATTTCCATAATGATACTGGTTGTGCCATTGCCAATGCTTATACTGCTTTAGAAGCCGGTGCTAAATTGATTGATGTTTCCGTATTGGGAATTGGTGAACGTAATGGTATCACCCCATTGGGTGCCCTTATGGCCAGAATGATCACTGCTGATCGTGATTATGTCTTGTCTAAATATAAATTACACAAGTTGAGAGATTTGGAAAACTTGGTGGCTGATGCTGTTCAAGTTAACATTCCATTCAACAACCCAATCACTGGGTTCTGTGCTTTTACCCACAAGGCTGGTATTCACGCCAAGGCTATTCTTGCTAACCCATCCACTTATGAAATCTTGAATCCAAGTGATTTCGGTTTAACTAGATATATCCATTTTGCCAACAGGTTGACTGGGTGGAATGCCATTAAATCTAGAGTTGATCAATTGAATTTGCATTTGACTGATGATCAATGTAAGGAAGTCACAGCTAAGATTAAACTTTTGGGTGATGTTAGACAATTGAATATCGATGATGTTGACTCCATAATTAAGGATTTCCATGCTGAACAAACCAATGGTGAGTCAGCTGAAGAACAAGATGCCAAGAGACAAAAGACTGAATAAGTTATTTGTTTGTTGTTCTTTGCTTTATCACTCATATCATAAAAAATATTTCACTTCATGAAAACAATTGTTGAACTGTATAGTTGGATTGTTTGTATCTTTTTATTTAACGTTTTGATGTCTGTTAATTAACTGTAGGCTAACTTTTTATACTTACATAGCTTCCGATAGCTCAGATACTAAGTGAGTCAGGCGCAATCATACATGTCTATTGTTTGCAACCAACTAATTATTCCCTCGGGTTTGACAGAATTCTAGCCCCCCTCTTTAAAAAAAAATTGTTTTTCCATTTCCGCGTACCGACCGACCCCTCCACATTATCCCCCACAAAATTGAAAAATATAAATATCACCGTAGACCTCCCTTTAACGTATCCATCCACGTATCATTTTCAATTAATTATAAAGTACACCCCCCCAAAATGAAAACTCAAACAGCTTACGGATTCCAATTAGGTTCCCACCAACTCCAAAAATTCACCAATCATCCAATCCCTACCCCTAAATCCAATGAAATCCTTCTCAAGATCGAAGCCGCTGGATTATGTCTTTCTGACCCTCACTTATTAATTGCTGGAAAACCAATGGAAAGCAACCAACCTGTTGCCGACAAGTTCGTAATGGGTCATGAAATCGCTGGATCTATCGCTGAAGTCGGCGCGGGCTTAGTTGACCATCCAGTTTATAAGCGCGGTGGTCGATTCGCTATGCAGATCGGAATTGCTTGTGGTGCATGCCATGCTTGTCGTGAAGGACATGATGCAAGTTGTGAAGAAAGTCTGCAAGCCTATGGTTTGAATGAAGATGGTGGATTCCAGCAATACTTGTTGGTTAGGAATTTGAGAACTTTATTGCCAATTCCAGATAATGTCAGTTACGAAGTGGCTGCAGTCACTACCGATTCGGTATTAACTCCTTACCATGCTATCCAAAAGGTGAAACATTTGCTTCAACCTACCACTAAAATCTTGGTTCAAGGTTGTGGTGGTTTAGGTCTTAACGGTATTCAAATCTTGAAAAATTACCCAGGGTACATTGTTGCCACTGATACCAAACCTGCCACTGAGAAAATTGCTAGAGAATTTGGTGCTCATGAGTTCCACCTTGATATCTCCAAATCTCACCATGATCCATATTCATTTGATATTGTGTTTGATTTTGTCGGTGCACAAGTAACATTCAACAATTCCGACAAGTACATCAAGAGAAGAGGGAAGATAGTCATGGTTGGGTTAGGTCAATCCAAATTGTTCATTCCTAACTATTTGTTGGCGCGTCGTGAAATTGAAATTATCTTTAATTTTGGTGGTACTTCTGCCGAACAACTTGAATGCATGGAATGGGTCTCACGCGGATTGATTAAACCTAAAGTTACTGTGGTTGATTTTGAGACTTTACCTCAGGCCATTCTTGATTTGGAACACGGTAAACTTACTGGGAGAGTTGCCTTTAAACCAAATGCTTCAGGTAACAAGTTTTAGTATTTACCCCCTTAGTAGAGCTAGGAGAAGATAAATATACATTTACAGCTCATACCACATGTAGTTGTCTTCTAGTTAGTTTAACTTGTAAGTTTAGTTCTTGAATTACACATCGTGTGGCATTTTAGAATTTGCATCCTTAGTCCGAACAACGGCAAACAAAAAAAAAAATAATAATTGTTCACCCACCCGTTCAACAGCTACACCAGTTTTTGCATACATATATAAACCCACACATCGACAATGGCTAAGAAAGGAGGAGAAAACAGTAAGAAGGCAGCTGGACAAGCCAGAAAAGCCGAACAAGCTAACAAGAAAAAACAAGAAGTGTTTGCTGCCGCTGAAGCAGAGGAAGCAGCATTATGGGATCAAGGTGCCAAGGGAGGCAACAAGAAGCAGCAAGAAGCCCAATTCAAAAAGGAAGAAGCTGCCCGTAAAAAAGCCGAACGTGATGCATTATTACAAGCCGAAGAAGCAAGCATGCCTTCTAAGCCTAAGGGTAAGGATAGAGGTGCTGCCAAGACCGCATCCAAGAGAACTGGTAAGATTGATGATTTCCTTGATTTTAACAAGGATATTCCTGAATTGAGTGCTAGTGGTATTGAAAGTGCCCTTGAAGCTTTGGCATTGACTGGTAGAGAGGGTGGTGTTGCGAATAAGGATATTGACCGTCATCCAGAAAGACGTGTCAAGGCTGCATTTGCTGCGTATGAAGACAAGAGACTTCCAGAGTTGAGAAAAGAAAATCCTGGATTAAGATTACAACAAATTAAACATTTACTATTCAAGGAATTCCAAAAGTCACCAGAGAATCCAATGAACCAAGACACCAATGTTAGTTATAATGCATCAAGAGACGATGTGGATGCAAAGAAGAAGGAAGTTAGATCTTTGAGGGAACTGAAATTCACTTAGTTAGGTTATGTAATATTATAATTGTACTTTGCTAATTAGCTTAAGTTGAAAAGGAGAAAAAAGAAAAAATGAAATTGAACCTTGGACAAAAAAAAAAAATTTGATTTGATAGTATCAAACAGAATGTGTTACCCGGCCATACGTGACAGCATCGAATGATATTGCAGCTATTTAGGTTGACACAAACAGGAGTACACTGATTAGATGTCGATCAATTATCAATACATCAAAGAGTTCCTGTATTTGCAATCTACAAGAGTTAAATTGGTGAATCTGAGATACACGCTGATATCTAGTTGGTAATTACAATTGTAAAGTAGGACGTGTCGGTGAGCTGACGATGAGATGGGGCTTTGTCGCGGTGTGGACCAGGCAACCACTGTCTATTCCATGTCTAAACAATATGCAATGATTGAGCGTTCCTCTGAAATAAGATTAATAGGTTTATTCCAGCTAGACGAGGATAAGCTAACTGACTATCAGTCACTCACTTGCTAAATATGAAATTTAGGTTTCACAAAAAATCGATGTTTTTTTCTGCCACTCACTAATTTTGCAATTGATATAAATAGTGATCCAAATTTCTCTCTGGAATTTTTTTTTTTTTTAATTCCAAATTTAACTTGTTAGAAGTGCACGACTTTTGGCTGTCCCAACTTTTTACAGCCACTTTGACAACATCACTCACAAGCCGTAAACGCCGGATCTATATATACCTTGCATTTACGAGAGAGCGTCATTATCGATTCAATCACGACCAATATTCATTTCAAATCTTGCAATTACGTTGGATTAATTGATTGGATACACTGTGTAAATGAGTACCATCAGCACAGCCCAAAAAATAATAACTTAATCATTTTAATATAGCCACACATCACAATATATGTCTCGATTAGACAGGTTAGTGGTATTACTAGAAACGGGGTCTACTCCGTTTATCAGAAACACCGCCGCTGATCAATTGTCGGACTTAGCCAAGGCTCACCCTGAAGACATTATCAGCTTGCTAGGAAGAGTCTACCCGTATTTGAAATCACCCAAATGGGAGACAAGAATCAGTGCTGCCAGGGCTTTTGGTGGTATTGTAAATAATGCTGGTTTATGGAATCCTAATGCGGAGGTGAAAACGGAAGAAACAGAGAACAACCAGGAAGAAGACGTTCCTATTAAGCAAGAAGAAGCTGTCATAAAAGAGGAAGAGATTCCTGAAATCAAACAGGAAGAGGAAGAAGTCAAGATAAAACTAGAACAAGATGAAGAGTTGAAGAAATTGGAAGACAATCTATCCAACTTGGTCACCTTTAGTGCGTTCAATTTACACGAATTAATCAAAAGCGGCAATCGATTGTTAGCTGCTAAATCAAATGATGATGAACCTGAAGCCACCAACGGAAATGGCACCACTAGTGACGATGACACATCTTTAATGGCCAAAATAAAACGACACAGGCTTAACGTTATCAAACAAGAAGAGCAAGAAATCAAACAAGAAACCAAAGAAGAGCAAGACCAGCAAATTTCATCATCAACCCCTTCAATTGCAAATACACCATCTGGCTCTGCTCAACCTACCCCATCTACAACCCCTGCTCCTTCCAAACCCATTTCTAGCGCAAGATTAAAGGCCATGCAAAAGAGAAGAGCAAAAGTTAATGCTAAATCAAACGCTAATAGAGTTAAAACGGTAGATATTTCTCAAAGTTCATTATCTCGCCAAATGATTGAAAATGGAGAAACCGACATGGATGTGGATTCCCTGGGTAATGAAACCCCACCAGCTTCAACACCACAATTCGATGTTACATCCCAACAAGGTGGCGAAAAACTTGTGGTGGAAACTAAAGCTGCTCCTGAGTTATCACCACTTTTATCATTACACAACAAGGTTGCTGGTTTAATTTGGCAATTCCAAGGTGTATACGAATTATTACTTGCTGATTTGTTCGATGATAGGTGGGAAATAAGACATGGTGCCTGTCTAGGATTAAGAGAATTAGTCAGAAAGCATGGGCAGGGAGCAGGAAGGGTTTCGAAACGTTCAAAAGCTGAGAATGATCACAATAATTCTGCTACTTTGGAAGACCTTGCTGTGAGATTATGTATATTACTTTGTCTTGATAGGTTTGGGGATTACGTTTCCGATACAGTTGTTGCTCCTGTACGAGAATCTGGTGCCCAAACATTAGCCGCTTTATTAATTCACTTGGATGATGAAACGGTAATAAAAACATTTGACTGTTTAAACACATTGGTATTGCAACCAGATTTAGTTCCAAGATGTTGGGAAGCCAAACATGGTGGAATGTTGGGAGTACGTTATCTTGTCAGTGTAAGAACTGATATCCTTGTTAAGAATCCTGGTATTTTGGATAGTGTAGTGAATATGGTTCTTCATGGATTACGGGAAAGTGATGATGACGATGTTCAATCAGTAGCTGCATTAACATTAACACCAATTGCATCGGAGTTTGTCACTACCAGGACAAATTTGGTTTCTACTTTATTGAATGTTATTTGGGACTGTTTGGTTAATTTAAGAGACGATTTATCTGCTTCTATTGGTTCAGTCATGGATTTATTGGCGAAATTATGTAGCCATCATGAAGTTATTGAAATTATGCAACAAGGCGCTGCCGATGATTCATCAAACTCGTTTGAGACGTTGGTTCCTAGATTATTTCCGTTCTTGAGGCATTCCATTACCAATGTTAGAAAAGCTGTGTTAAGAACTATTCTTGAATTTTTATCCCTCGATGATCCAACTACAAAGAGATGGATTGATGCCAAGACGTTGCGATTAATTTTTCAAAATTTATTAGTGGAACAGAATAATGATGTGTTGACTTTATCTGCAGAAGTTTACGACAAGATATTACTCGAAATGAAAAATATGGACTTGGATATCGGAAGTATTTTCTTGAGTCAATCACAACCGCTTTTGACATTAACCATGACACCAATTGGTATTTCGCGTCACAACTATCAAATGAACACGGCCTTAATCAAAAGACCTTCAGGACAACTGCTTGGATCATGGGATGACGAAGATAAACGAGGACGTAAGAGAAAGCCAGAAGAACCAAAGACTGATATACCTATTGAGGATCTTAAGGTTAATATTGATGCTCCTATATATAGAGGTGATGTTATGTTGGTTGGTTACGACAAGTTCATTGCAACAAGATGTGCTGCAGTGCATGCATTTGGAAATACATTATCATACATTGAATCTGAAGAAATTTTACTTGAAATCTTTACTAATGTGTTACATTATGTAAAATCATCCAATCATGCTACTTCGAGATTACTAGGGGCTTTCATTATTGAAGAATACTCCGATAGCGTCAAGGATAGATCTCAGGATGTGAATCCACAAGTGGTGAGTATGTTCCAAGAACTGTTGTTGCATGTATTACAATCTGAATCTACATTACCTCACTTCCGAGAATTGGTACCAACTTTGAAATCAGTGAGAACTTCTTGTTTGCAGTTGTTTGATGTATTCATAAACACAGCTAAACTTGCACCATCTAAAATCCCACAAATGCCCGTGGTTGTTCAAGGAGAATCTGATGCTGGTCCTGGTGCATTTGGGTTAGAGAATGCTGAGAAATTATGCCTGGAAATATTTCCTAAATTGAAGAAGAGTTTGAGTACTAGTTATAGATTGACCGCTAATCAAGCTCTTGATGATGCTAAACACAGGATCACTATTGCTATTGATGAAGCTAAGCTGGCAAGTAATTCACGAGTCACATCAATCATGGCAGCCTTTGCTTCCGCTGTACTTGCATTATCAGGTGTCCCACCAAAGCTTAATCCTGTTATTAAATCATTGATGGAAAGTGTGAAACTGGAAGAAACTTCAGTGTTGCAGAAAAGGTCAGTCAGGGCTATGGCAAGATTGATCAAGGAGTTGAAAGTTGCCGGTAAGCAAGGTGCTGCTGATAAGATTGTCAAGAATTTATGTGCGTTCCTTTGTGTGGACACCTCTGAAGTTCCTGAATTCCATCATAATGTCGTATTTAAAGACAATATTCTTTCATTAAGGAAGGAAGAAGCCAAGACTGACCCCGCTGATATTTCCGCTCATGAAAAAGCAGTACATGAAGCAAGAATCAAACGTACTGGGGCATTATTGACTTTAGAACAGTTATTAAAGATTTATGATGCTGCCTTGTTTGAAAACGTGCCTAAATTGAAAGAAATCATGATTGAACCATTAAACTTGTTGAATCAAGCATCGAATGAGAGTATAGTCAAGGATGAATTAAAGGGACAAAGTATTGTAGATGCATTGGGTATACTTCGTGCCTTGCTTCCAAAGATGAACAAGTCTCTCTATCCTCAAATCACAGACAACTTACCATTATTATTACCCGGGTTGACTTCAGAGTATTCTGTGTTTCGTTATTCTACTGCTAAATGTTTGGCCACTATTTGTTCAGTTGTACCTGCCAAGACTTTTACATTCTTGGTGAAATCAGTTTTGCCAATGTTGAATAATGCCGGGTCGGTCAAGGATAGACAAGGTGCCATCGAAACGATTTACCATATTGCCACTACCATGGGTCCTGAAATCTTGCCTTACATTGTTTTCTTGATTGTTCCAGTGTTGGGAAGAATGAGTGATGCTGATCATGATGTCAGAGTGTTGGCCACAACTACGTTTGCCGGTATTATTAAGTTGGTTCCTTTGGAAGCAGGTATTCCTGATCCTGAAGATATGCCTGAGGATTTATTGGCGGGTAGAGATCGAGAACGTGATTTCATTCAACAAATGATGGATCCAACCAAGATTAAGCCATTTGACTTGCCAGTTACTATCAAGGCTACCTTGCGTAAGTATCAACAAGAGGGTGTTAATTGGCTTGCGTTCTTGAACAAGTACCATTTGCATGGTATTTTGTGTGATGATATGGGGTTAGGTAAAACATTACAGACTATTTGTATTGTATCTTCAGATCATCATTTGCGGGCAGAAAAGTTTGAAAAGACTCAATCTCCTCAATATAGAAGATTGCCATCATTGGTTATTTGTCCTCCTTCATTGACTGGTCATTGGGAACAAGAAATCAATCAATATGCTCCATTTATGAAAGTGTTAATCTATGCTGGTAATCCATCAGTGAGAATCCCCTTGAGGAAAGAAATACCTTTTGCGGATGTCGTGGTCACTTCTTATGATGTATGTCGTAATGATGTGGAGTACATTACTAGCCAAGATTATAATTATTGTGTCTTGGATGAAGGACACATTATCAAGAATGCAGCTTCAAAGTTGACTAAGTCTGTCAAGAAAGTGAGAGCTGAGTATAGGTTGATTTTATCGGGTACTCCTATTCAAAACAACGTTTTGGAATTATGGTCGTTGTTTGATTTCTTGATGCCAGGGTTCTTGGGTACTGAAAAGGTATTCCATGAGAAATTTGCCAAACCTATTGCTGCCAGTAGGAACAGTAAGACTTCATCCAAGGAACAAGAAGCCGGTGCATTGGCGCTTGAATCTTTGCATAAACAAGTGTTACCGTTCATGTTGCGTCGTCTTAAGGAAGATGTATTGTCTGATTTACCACCTAAGATCATCCAGGATTACTATTGTGAATTAAGTGATTTGCAACGGATGTTGTATAAGGATTTTGCCAAATCGCAAAAGGAGAAGGTTAAGGAAGATATTTCATCCCAGGAGAAGGAAGTCAAGACCCATGTGTTTCAAGCATTGCAATATATGAGAAAGTTGTGTAATCACCCTGCCTTGGTTCTTTCACCACAACATCCCAAGTTTAATGAAATAACTCATTGGTTGCAAACCAAGAAATCCGACTTGAGAAGTATTGAACATGCTCCAAAATTGTTATCATTGAGGAATTTGTTATTGGAGTGTGGGATTGGTGTTGGAGATCATGATTATTTCAAAAGTAAGCTGAAACAACAAAATCAATTAATCTCGGCCGAAGGAGTCATTTCCGAACATCGTGCATTAATCTTTTGTCAATTAAAGGATATGTTGGATATTGTCGAAAAGGAATTGTTGAAAAAGTACTTGCCTTCAGCTACCTATATGAGATTGGATGGTAGTACTGATCCAAGAGATCGTCAATCTATAGTCAGGAAATTTAATGAAGATCCTTCGATTGATATTTTGTTGTTGACTACAAAAGTTGGTGGGTTGGGTCTTAATTTAACTGGGGCTGATACGGTTATATTTATCGAGCATGATTGGAACCCCATGAATGATTTGCAAGCTATGGATAGAGCGCATAGATTGGGACAAAAGAAGGTTGTGAATGTGTATCGATTGATTACCAAGGATACGTTAGAAGAGAAGATTATGGGTCTTCAGAAATTCAAGATGAATATCGCGTCTACTATTGTCAATCAACAAAATTCCGGGTTGCAATCCATGGACACTAATCAATTATTGGATCTTTTCGATGTGGATGAGTCTGCAGCTGGTGCTTCTAAGATATCGCTAGATGATGAAAGCAGTAATATGAAGATTGACGATAAGAATGAAAACGCAAATAAGGCGGAAGATCTCGCTGGTGGACTTACAGGTAAGGCAGCTGGTGCCGTTGGTGAATTGGCTGATTTGTGGGATGAATCACAGTACGAAGAGGAATACAATCTTGAAAACTTTATCAAGACACTTAAATAGCATAGTTTAAATAAACGAAAATTTGCATTAAATGTTTATATACATACGCCTAATTCTTTCTTCTTCTGATGTTAGCCGGCACTGGTTGTGGCTTGTCGACGACTTCATCTTCAGTGGACAAGAACTTGCCTTCCAAGTTGTGAACAATTTGTTCATCTTCCTTGGCAGTAGACAAGGCCAAACCAAAAGTGTCTCTGGAAACACCTAACAATTTATGAAGAATTTCCTTTGGCTTATTTAAAGTGTCACTGAATCTATTCAATTCCACATCTTTGGACATGACTCCGAAATTAGTATTGTATAAGCAAGTTTGTAATCTCTTGTCAAATGAGTAAGCATCAGTGGTGATTAAAATAGTTCCTTCTTGCGTCTTGACCTTCTTTTGCTTGGCGTACTCTTCGTACAACTCTCTTGTTCTTAACACGGCCCACTCAATCAACAATTCGTGGAAATCGACGTTTTCAAACACTTTTCTGACATGAAGACCGGTAATTTCGACAATGAAGCTTTCAGGAGTCAGTTGTTCTTCATCAACGACAACGGTGCAGATGGCAATTGGAGACTCACGATACATGATGATCTGGGTGTTTAATCCCTTCTTCAATAACTTGATAGAATCAACGTCGGTTTCATGACCAGTCAACTGAGCGAATTTCTTGATATCGAAACCAAACACTTTATCACAGTATTTCTGAGCCACAAAGGCTGAAGTGATATTACCAATGTCGTCTCCCATGATATAAGTGATTAAGCCAAAAGTAGCGAAAATACCGGCAACCATGGGGAATGCAGCAATTATACCATAGATGAAATCCTTGGGGTTCTTTTTACCAAGCAAGAAGAATTCCCAGGCCGAGTCAGACACTTCGACAAAATCCCACAAGTTGTAGAGCAATGCGGCTGGGATCAACAAGAAGTAGGCGATGATGGCGATTGGATGCCAGAAGATGAACCGGTTAAGCTTAGCTTGTAATTGCTTGTATGTGTCTCCATGTAATATAAGGGCAGCCTTGGCGAATTCGGGTTTCAAGGGTGTTTTCGATAAGGTTGGTGCTTCATGAGCATCAAGAGGTTCGTTCAAGTCAACTTCTTTCTGAATAGCCATTGTTATAGTAATTCTATATAAAATGAACTCCAAAATAAGAGAAGAGGAAGAAGAATGAGATGAGCATTTAAAGCGGAGTTGGAGAGGGGGGGAAATTATGGAAAATGTGCAGGCAGGGCAAAACAAAAATTAATTTTATTTAGCTCGTGTGAGCAAAACCGAAACACGTGGCTGCGCATAAATTACGAGTGATGCAAATTTGAATTATTAAACGTGGGGCACTGCCCAAATGGTCTCTAAACTCGTGCATGCAAGTGCATAGCAAATCTTCTAGAATATTCTTTTTCGATGTACATCTCATTAATGAACATTATCAATATGTCTTGAGCTATCACCATCTGCGTTTGGTGATGTGATTGGCCTTTTCCCTTCGTGACTATTTTCTCGGGTTCATTAGTTTTAATCTCCGACCCTCATCGCGCACAGAAATTGCAACAGAAAAAAAAACTTCACAATCTGCGCTTGCTAGCAGAACCTTCTTTACAATTCAACTACATGGTGTTAACATATAAGCAAAAAAAAAGGATCGAAACATCCCCCATCAATTTGGAATTGTAAAAAAATGTCCAAAATTGGTTAAAAATAGCGCCGCCTGGTTTCGATCCAGGGACATCAGGGTTATGAGCCCTGCGCGCTTCCACTGCGCCACGGCGCTGATTCCGTACAGCTAAATTTTGACTGGTTTTCCGAGCCATGGAAAAGTCATTCCGCATACTGCATACAAGGAATAAAGAGCCCTGAGATGGTTAAAAGGCTTTATTCTTTTACAGAATGAACTTCTGTGCATAACTCTGATACTGTGTTATTTGGTAGTATGCTATCAGGCAACATTGATTACTTGTTGTATGAATAAATTTGCTCCTGCTTTACAAACAACTACGGCTTGGGAATATTTCTCTCTCCTCTCCTCTCCTCTCCTCCCTCCCCAGTCCACATATGGATGACATGATAACTCAAGCTTTCACTTGCTCTTACACAACTTAAAGCAGATTATAAGTTTACTTGTACCATCAATGAACCAATGGTTGGGTGTGTGGGCACTTTGCACCTTTGCTGTGTTTTCTCATTTGGCAACCATTTTCTGTCTCAACTTTTTCTTTATTTACTATTGAAAAAAAGATTTGACTCATAAATGACCATTTTCTTTCTTCTCTTAGGAATCCTAGTAAATGGCTGAAGAAGAAACATTATATATACCCATCCCCCATTACCCGCCATTTAAACTCCGGTCTTCCTTAATTGACAAGGATCCGGTCATTTGGGTCCATCTTCTAGAAGCATACATCCAACTATGCAACTACTTGCTTGATCCCCAATCACCCAAGCTTGACCCCAAGTCACAACAGCAATTGCAATTGTTCCTTAAGGTGTTTCTCAAAGAGACATGTGAGGAGGGAAGCAAGATTTTTTCACTAGGGGCAATCAACCCTGATATTAAGCAAAACACGGCAACATTGCGAGTGTTGGTGTTTCAAGTGATTAAGAGTTATAGTCTCGTAAAATTGAACTTGACTGGAGAAGTAGTGTGGCATTTCATTAGAGTGTACGCGAAGGGCAATACCAGTTTAGTACGGGGATTAGTCGAGGGTTCATACAAATCTAAATTCAATGACAACAAGAAATCATCAAATATTTCCAGTATACCTAGTGTTCAAAAACACATCAAGTCCATGATCTTACAAGGAAAGTTCACTCCGGATGATTTGGAATGTTTGTCAATATTATTGGGCCAGCATACATCCTCGATACGTACCACATTTGCAATGGGCTCTTCGGCCAGCGTCAATAAGAAAATCTCACGTGGTACTTCATTGCCATTTGCAGAAAGTTTTGTTGATCTGACATGGATAGAGGCCTTGGAACAGGATTACTTAGGCGGGGCAAGCCTTTATGCTGATGTTATCAAGCAAGTGATGATCATTTCTGTGATTTCGTTGTCGACTTCGAAATTGGCCAAGTTGGCCATGGAATTGGGGATTACTTCGATAAACTCATTGGAACTCTCGCCGTTGTTTAGTTCGATTATTATTTCTGATGCATACAAGGAATTGGTTCCTAGTTTGGAAGAGAGACTACCGTTTCTCAGATCTATCAAGTTTGAAGAGGACGAGGATGAAGATGAAGATGATGAAGATGATGATGGATTTGAACAGAATATTGAGGGGATTTCTCTCTTGGTTGATTTGTTTCCTCAACTTACTGAAGCCAAGGCAAAGTATATTCTCAAGGAAAACAACGGTGATTCTGAGCATGTGACGAACCTATTATTGGAGAACCCTGATATGATAGATAGCATACCTGAACAAGCACCAAAGAAAAAGATAAAGAAGGAAAAGTCTACTCCTAAAGTAACCGTCAAGAAACCTCAAGGGAAAGCCGCCAAACGTTCTATTTACGATGATGATAAGATTTCCAAGGGTGACTTTTCTGGAACAACAATCATATTTGGCAAGAAAGATCGTGATAAGATCGAGCCTGCAAGTGCAGACTTGAAGAAGAAAACGTTGAGTGCGGCATTGAGACTAATGTATGAGAGTGATGAGGATGAACCTGATGATACATATGAAGACCAGGAAAAGACCACAGGTGCAGCACTTGAAGATACTAAGAAGAAGCCTTCGGGTAAGATGGCTGTTCTTGAGGATGAGTCTAGCGGAGCAATTGGAAGTGGGATAGACGAACGCGAACGATTCTTGTTTAGTGTGTTTAAGAGACAAGGTCCGGAATCATTTGAGAAAACCAAGAGAAAGTCTAGTTCTCGTCAAGAGTTGAAAAAGAGTACCAACTGGTCAGATGAGCAGATTGAAGGGTGGTTACGAATGTTGTTGAAGTCTCCACGTAGGTTTAAGTTGTTGGAAGAGGATTTCTTTTATGGTGGTGGTAATCCTAATAGACGGACTAAGAAGGTGGTTGAGGATGAATCTGCTTCCACGGCTTCGTCTCTCTCTCCATCGCCAGTACCTTCAGCTTCGGGTTCTTCGACCCCGCAGAAAAAGAGTGGTGCTTCGTCCAAGCGTACCCAAGCTAGAAATGAACGTAACAAGGCTAGCAAAGCCAATCACAACCGTAAAGCCGGACATGACAAAAAGGCCAAGGCTGCTGGTGCTGGCATGTAAATATACCAATAGCATGTATATTGTAATTGCATTAATTGTAAGTAATTATTTCCTCTTGGTTGCAAAATTACGCGATCCAATCTGATCGCAGTGTCAACCGACCAAGAAAAAAATGTAATCGCCGAGTAAAACATTAAAGGGTTTATTCACTCACATTCGTTCATTTCACCCTTAAATACTACACTTTGGTCTCTCCATGATAAGTGCTATCTTCCTATATGACAGCAAAGGAGATATATTAATCTCAAAGCTCTTCAAAGACGATGTCAAACGAACTATATCCGACGTGTTCCGGATCCAGGTGATCACCCAGACCCGGTCTCGCGACAGCAGCACGAAATCACCGGTGTTGACACTAGGTTCAACCTCATTCATATACATCAAGTCTGGTCTGGTGTGGATATGTGCCGTGACTCGTTCGAACCAGGACTGTGCTAGTATTTTAGAGTACTTGTACAAATTGGAGTTGTTGTTACGCTCAGTAACTATGGACAAACGAGGAAGCGCCGATGTATTGACCGACGAAGCAATAATCAACAATTTCAACTTGGTGTATGAGATAATTGACGAGTCGTGCGATTTCGGGTTCCCTACGAATTTAGATTTGAGTTATTTAAAGAATTTCATTTCTTGTTTGAATGATTCCGACAAAGTGTTCAAAATGATGCGGAAACCAACCTTGAAAAACCCCGAGTTGTCAAGAACCAGTTCGTCACTCATACCCTCCAATTCCGCCGGCTCACCTCCACCTCTTGCATCAAACATAACTTGGAGATCCCAGGGGTTAAAGTACCGTCGTAATGAAATATACTTGAATGTTACTGAAAAGGTTAATGTGTTGATGAATCAACAATCGGAGATCTTGCGAAGCTATGTGGATGGATCGATTCAAATGAAGACACATTTGTCAGGAATGCCACTGTGTAAGTTCGGGTTCAATGCCAATACCGTATTGGTCAATTACAAACCCAACTCAGGTGACGACTACGGTCAAGACCGAGGATTTGTTGTTCTTGAAGATTCCAAATTCCACCAGTGTGTCGATTTGAGAACGTTTGAAAACGATCGAGTGATTCAATTCACTCCGCCCGATGGGGAATTCCAATTAATGAGTTATAATTGTCATCTGAGTATAAATCTTCCGTTCCGAATATATCCCCAGGTGCAAGAGATTGGAAGAAACAGATTGATGTACAAGATTGTAATCAAGTCGTTCTTCCCGGTAAAGTTGCCTGCCACTAATGTAGTGGTGAAGATTCCTACTCCTAAAACAGTAACGCTGAAACTCATTCAACACTCGACTGGTAAAGCCAAGTATCATCCCGAAGAACATGTAATCTTGTGGAAGTTTAATAAGTTCTTTGGTTCTCAAGAGCAAGTACTCACTGCGGAAGTTGAACTAAGTGGAGAATCTGACGAATTATTGTACTGGGCCAGACCGCCAATTACGTTAGATTTTGTGTTGGATATGTTCTCGTGTTCGGGCTTAACGGTGAAGTTCCTTCGTGTGCAAGAGAAGAGTAATTATAAAACGCTCAAATGGGTCAAGTATACATCCCAAGCTGGTTCGTATGAAGTTAGATATTAGAATGTGACATTATTCATTAATCTCGCTTGTAGTTTTCTGTTTTGCAATCACCAATGGAACGAAGTGGAAAAAGCCCCTCGTGGAGAATCACCCTCATCGAACCATCCGGAGAAGAAGAAAAAAAAATTAATGTAAAAAAAAAAAAAAAGAACCACAAAGTTTGTATCAACAGAAGCAAACACCAATCAATAGAAGTAAATGAGAGACTTGATAGTGTTAGGAGGATCAACCCATCCCAATCTCACCCGTTCCATCTGTCGTAACCTCACATTGCAACAGGGAGAAGCCGAATCTCGGAAATTCGCCAATGGAGAAACCCTGATTGAAATTAAAGACAGTGTTCGTGAAAAAGACGTCTTTATAGTCCAGAGCGGATGCGGCCACGTCAATGACGCCTTTATCGAGTTGCTAATCATGATTTCCGCCTGTAAGACCGCCAGTGCCAAGCGTGTTACTGCAGTATTGCCACTTTTCCCATACTCAAGACAACCAGATGTGCCTCATCAGGCCAGTCACACTGGTGCCCCCAGCATCATTACCAAGAAAGACCATTACACTTTTGAAAGTGCTCCTGGAACCCCCAAACCGCTTTCTAAAAAGGAAGGTGATAGATTCCAATTAGGTGCCCAGAACAACACCAGTGGTATCTTCAGTGCTGTCAAACAACCATTGCCTATTAGAAGCTATTCTCCTAAATCCATAGTCACCAACGCTGCATCGACAAACTTCCAAGTAGATGCTTCTGGAAAGACTGAAAGTGGCTATAAACAATGGGTATCACCAAATGGTACCCTCATTGCTAATTTGTTGCAAACTGCCGGTGCAGACAGAATGATCACCATGGACTTGCACGATCCTCAATTCCAAGGGTTCTTCAACGTCCCCGTGGACAACTTGTACCTGCGTCCCCTTTTACAACACTACATCGTCGATTACATTCCTAATTACCGAGATTGTGTCGTGGTTAGTCCCGACAGTGGTGGTGCCAAACGTGCCACTGCCGTCGCCGATGCCATTGGGTGTTCGTTTGCCTTGATACATAAAGAAAGAAGAGCCAAGATCGGCAAGAACCCGCCGCTGACTACTTCGTCAAACATGCAATCTTCCCTCCTGCAACAAACCACCATGGTAGCCACTACCATGTTGGTTGGGGACGTCAAGGACAAAGTGTGTGTTTTGATTGACGATTTGGTGGATACTTCATACACCATTACCCGTGCTGCCAAGTTATTGAAAGATTCGGGAGCAAAATACGTTTATGCTTTAGTCACCCATGGTGTGTTTAGCGGTGATGCTCTTAATCGTATCAACAAGAGTGCCATTGATAAAGTTATCACCACTAATTCTGTGCCTCAAGGTGAGCATGTAGCTATCTTGGGTGACAAGTTAGAAGTGTTGGATGTTAGTAGAATATTTGCTGAAGCCATTAGAAGAATCAATAATGGGGAGAGTGTAAGTATGCTATTTGATCATGGTTGGTGAGTTTATATAGATAATGAATTGATTTCTACTGTATTTTTATTATAGTACAACTAGCTATTTTTTTTTTACTGCTTAGACTTCTTGGAACTGCTTTCCAATTGGTCCCATAATTCTTCTTCTTCTTCCTCGCTATCTTCTTCGACATCTCTAGTTCTCTTTTTCACTTGCTTGGTTTCTTCGGTGGTAACCTCTTCGATGTCGTCATCTTCAGTGTCCAACACAACTAATGAAGACACTTCAACACCAAGATATACTTTAGCCAAAAGATCTCTCGATGCAAGATCAAACACACGCAAGTATCTGTCTAACCCGGCAGTTGCAAAGATATCCTCGCATGCTTCAGCAGCCAAGATAGCCCCGGTGTTCCCACCTTGAGAATATTTACCTCTCAATTGCAACACCGGCTTGATGATTTCACCAGCTGATGCAGAATTAGATTTGAATGCACGATCATGGACTTGATATAAGGAATGTTTAGCCACAAGTCCATGGGTAGTAGTGACTATTATTTCAGGGTCTTGTTCATCTTCAGTCATGGTCATTGTCACTATTGGTTGGTCACAAAGTTGGTAATCTCCAACTGGTCTTCTGCCGTGTGTAGTATCGTATACTCGCACTTGACCGTATCTCGTGGATGTAATCACCTTGTATCCCTTGTCTAAATCTTGCCAGAATATGATTTGAGTTATCCAAACAGGTACTCGCAAATCCAAATGGTCGTTCTTGACATTCTTGGCTCGGTATATGACGGAAGGAACGAATGCGTTGGCATAATCCTTCTTTTTGAAAATGGTATGGTTGACTCCGGTTTCAAACAACTTTATGATCTGGAGGTCGTTTTCTTCACCACCAAATGCAAAAATGTTTTCCTTGGTTGGATTCATGGCAAATGCGCTGATTGGTTTAGTGCTTGGCAATGCAAGTTGCAAAGGCTCGAAATCGAATTTTTCATTGACGTGGATTAAAAACACTTTGCCTGATTCATAAGCCACAATCACACTTTCAAGGATCTCCACCTTGATTAATGCTACTGGTTTGTCGGTTTCCACATTGGGTAATTTGAATTCATGCACAAGTTTATAGTTATCATCCTCCTCTTCTTCGCCTTCCTTTTTTTCCTTGTTATCCTCTTTGCTCTCTTCCTCTTCGTCCTCGATTTCGTATATGCAAACACTGCCACCAATTCGAACACCGATAGCATATTGGTAGTTGTACTTTTCTAACTTGACAACTCGGGTTTTTCGAGTGGCATTGGGTTCACGGCAGAAATTCTTGATGGATTTGGGTTGTGGTGCGGATTGCTTGGATGTGTCAGTCCCACGTCCACATATGACTTCCTTGACTGCGCCGGTGTCGTCGGCTGATACGAGAAACTTCATTGATTTCTGTAAAGATATAAAGCTGATGTGCAATCTTGTGGAAATTTTATTTGAGAAGAGCACGATGATTTTGGTTGGGGCACGATTTTTTTGGAACAGATGGTGGGAGGTTACTTTTTTTTTGCAACCACCGAAGATGGACAGTTAGAAGGTTTATGAACAGGGTTGGATTGGTGGATTTATTTGGTGTTGGTTGGAGTTTTGATAAGTATGGTTTAGGAATTTGGGGTTGGGCTTTGTAAAACTGTAATATTTGCAAGCTTGAGGGGGTAGCTTTGGAACAAGATTAGAAAAACACCTTTGCGCTAAGTAATGGGCGATACTTCGTGTTTAATCGTCTCTAGGTGTTGCATACTCCTAAAGACTGATCTCCCGGTAGTAGCTTAAAGTTTGAAGGAGTGAAATTGGAAACATTATAGTTTTTGCAAAATTTTCTCCAGAAATTCACACAAAATACATCCAAAGTACATGTATTAATAAGTTGCAGAAATATATTCCTTTGGTAAACTAAAAACTTCAATGCACCCCTGAACATAAACTTAACCATATATAGTCTTGAAACTCCCACATAATGCTTTTAAACATGTCAATTTTAATCCTTCAAAAGGATCTTCTCACTCAGAAGTGATTTCTTGCATCATTTCTCCAAACATATATCCAGATCTCAGTCACACTTCTAACCTCAATATCACATAAAGGTAGGGCATGGTAATCTTCTTGTAACTATAGAACGCCAATTGTTTGTTGATATACCCAATTTCATTCTGAAAAAGTTGATCATGTGACAAGCTTACTAAAAAAAAATTCTTAACTTTGAAAATTGAGAATTTCTGAAACAAAAACAGGTCCCTTGGCCCAGTTGGTTAAGGCGTGGTGCTAATAACGCCAAGATCAGCAGTTCGATCCTGCTAGGGACCAGTTTTCTTCTAGGGCGTGTGGCGTAGTTGGTAGCGCGTTCGCTTAGCATGCGAAAGGTCTCCGGTTCGACTCCGGACTCGTCCATTGAAATATAACAACACATTAATTTTTTTTGTTTATTGAGTGATGTTGAATAGATGCGGGCTACTAATGAGGTGGAGAGTTTTCTATTTTTGGGTAAAGAATTGAAGTGTAACTTTATTTTTCTTTTGTGCTAGATAACGCGCAAACGAGGAGTGAGACTACTAAAGTTACCTAAATTTAAACAAACTGAAAGGTAACCTCCTTTTTCTTTATAATTAGTATTGGATTCAGGGAAAGGGTTGATCAATCAGAATATAAGCATGTCGCTTGTTATTCAACCTGTTACTGGTGATACCAAGCTGGATCAGACGATAGATCCTGAAGAAGTATGTACCACATTTTGCCCCGCGACCTGCACGAAACCAGGTACTAACTTTAATCTATAGGATTGGACCGAGATCAAACAGAGGAAATTGGAAGAGTATATTAAACAGTACGTTAAGAGCTTATCAGAGAGTCACCCTCGTCTGTTTTATAAGCGTATCAATTGGGCAGAGTTGATCAATGTGGTGGGTGTGAATGATCGGGAGTTCCTTCAGTTGAAAGTGGATGAGATCTATGACGACATGTTTGATCAGTGGGATGACGAAGGAGAGTTGGATATTAGTAAGATTATATCTGGTTGGAAGAATAAGGGGAATCCGTTGTATCGTGAGGTTGTGCTGATGATTGAGACCATTGGCCTTGAGCAATTCAAGGTTGATTTGCCAGAGCCAGTGCCAGAGCCAGTGCCAGAGCCAGTGCCACATCCACAGAATGTAGAGGAACAACCAATTGAGCGAATGCCCTCGAATATTGAGTTCAAGAATGTCCAAAGAGATATTAGTGGAGATAATACAGTGTCTGAACCACGACAAACTCTACCCAAGGTTCAATCTAGAGGATCTTTAACGCCACAAGTTGGATTGCCGCAACTTACAAAAAAACAACGGAGACTATCCCTCGATTTAATGCATCCCAAGCCAACATCAATCGATCGAGGAAATGTACTTGACGAATCCATATTGACTGCTCCAGCCGGGCCCGAAACTACGACCGTCAATGTCATAACCAAGGCTGAGGTAGGTCCTAGAGCTCCCATGAAATCAACCAAATCTACCCAAAACAAATCCCATAAAAAGTTTCTGTTACTAGGAACCAAAAAGAAAACGAAATCAAAAACAAACTTAAAACAAATTGAAGACAAGGGATACACGCTTTCTTCTGATAGGCGTCGCATATCGCTTGTTGGAGAGAGCTTACCATTGTACATTCGCAACCAGTTGACATTTGCACAACAAACTGCATCGCATAAACCATCAAAGAGACAAATACTCACCTTGACTGAATCGCCAAAAATGTCACCTGTCGTCCCCGCTGCAAATACTCAGGATACCGATGAACCATCTGCATCCAGTAGTCCCGAAAGCGTAGTTGTTAAACTGGGAAGATTACAAAACCTTCTTGCCAATTCTCAATCCTTATACGCCCACTCAAAAGATAATAGAGAAATGGCCACAGGTATTTCACATTCACATACCCAAACAACAAACACATCAGAAAATACAAGTCAAAGATTGCATTATGATTCCGATGACGAGGACAAGGAGTATATCCTGCCCGATCTGTTGACGCGATATTACGGTCTTCAATTGGAGGGGGACGAAGACGACGAAGAGGAGATTTTGAATGAAATTGACGAAAGCGAAGAAAATGGGTTTGTTAATGTATATGGTAACTTTTCTAACGATGTTCGTGATGAGAATAACAGTATCGATGATATTGATGATGATTATTTATTTAAAATATAGCTAAATACTTTTTTTTTTTCTTTTTTAATCTTCCATGATTTGATTTTTAGTTCTCCTTAATGCAGTAAGAGTGTATTCGTACATGAATAATGATATAGCACTGGTTGGTGCCGTTTTAAGGACACTAATTCCGAACCCCTTGTATAACCCAAACACCCCTTCTCGTGTAATTATGTTTTTGAATATGGTAATGGCACTGGCGCCGTCCTTTCCATAGACAATTGAATGCATTTGACATCTCTTTCTCAAAGTGTCCAACGGAAATGTTATACCCTTGGAAGTAGCCCCAGCAAGGAACCCACAGAACCCCTCTATAAACGGGATATGTTTGTAATCAGTGGCGAAATCTCGGGCTAATTCATATGACCAGAACATTAATGCTGTAGTCGATGCCACTGAAAGCATTGCTGGTTTCGCCCCGGCAAACATCCCCACAATTCCCTCTTCCTTCATAATCTTCTTAATAGTGCCTGTCATAGATAGGAAGTTTCTCTCTGAATTAGCTACCAATCGGGTCCGCAACAAGTCAAACGGGTATGTTGTAAGTGTGCTTGCGATCCCGGCCCCACCACCAACCACCAATGCATGGGTGGCTGAATTGAGATTGCTGTATTGACTTAACCACTTGTTAAGTACCGAGTAAGAAGTGAACTGAACCCCACCGTATATAATGTAGAGGATCTCGGCGGGAACGTTTCCCTTCCATAACGCAGCAAGACCTTCGTTTTGAACAAGGTTCTTGACAATGGTGAACACGGACTTTCGCTGTTTGAAGTTCTTGGGACTGAGTTGTAATCGGATTTTTATGGTGTCTAAAGGTGCAGTGACCGCTCTGTAACAAGTGTTAGTGTGTGTTAGTGTGGCTATATGTCTAGTTAGAATGTACTTACCGTGCAACTGCTCCGGATATGGATCCCGAAACCAATGCTTCGTATGGTGATACCGTAGACCCTTTGTGTAAATGATCTTCTCTTCGTTTGCTCATTAATTCAACAGGGATATACCCTTGTAATCTATCTATAAATATGCTTGAAGACTAAAAAGCAACTAAAGTTGTGAGTGGTAGATTGTTGTAGCATAGAATCAACAAGGGCCATCTCGGAGATATTCTGCCGCGCAAGATTGTTTTTTTATTTTTTTCTTTGAGTGCCATCTCTCGGTTTAAGGCGGACGTTATGCTACTGCATACAATGAATGCCGTACTAAGTGGTTAGTAAGATCTGTTGCTGCTTCTAGTGGCAAGGCACCAAGCGAACACACTCGTAGAAAAACTTACTTCAGAAAGTCTCACATTCTGTGTTACAATGGTGGTACCAAATCCCCCCCATAAAGCAACGCTACCAATTCCGATTTTATGATTTTTTTTTTTATCTTGCGCGCCTATTTTCATTTTCCCACTAGATCAATTTACGCGTCTATCTAACCTCTTCAGTACCAAGCATTAACACACTAATAGACATTAGCATGACGATAGATATACAACGACATCCAATTATACCCAAATGTATGTTTGTCGAAATGATCGCGACATATGCCGCGATAGACACCGTCTTAACCTTGCATTATTCCAATCATACTACCCACACGACATTAGATAAAGTTCTTGAATCAGCCACGTCGTTGCTAAAGAGAAAGATCACTGTAACAGATCTAGAACAGATCTTTTACATCGATCTGAATGCATATCATGTTTTCGTGAATAGTGAGAACTCTGCAACATATATCAAGTTCCCTCATAATGTATCGTTGATCCACACCACACGAAAGCCCAAGTTTATCAGCCAGGTAAATCAATGGATCCGAGATAATCCCAGCCAAGACCTATTGGGAAGCATAGAATTATCAAGCATAATCAAACACGAACCCAGATCGAGGCCAACGCTGCCTAGCAAGATCGTAAAACCCAAATCAACCGGTTCTTCACCTATAAAAATTTCACTCACCGAGTTGAAGAACGATTCATCAAAGTTTAAATTCAAATCAAAGGAAGAACACACAGAAAAACAGAAAAATAACGGCATGTCGCTCCTTGAGAGAATTCGATTGAAGGAGAAGTTGAAACGGGAACAAGAAGCAGACGTGGCAAATTCTTCAGAAGTCAAGTATGAAAAGTATCTCCTCCAAAAAGTCCAAATGGTTTACGATGTGATCTTCCAACTTTACAACTCACATTTAGAATCCTCCACCCAGTGCAAATCATTTTCATTAACTAAATTAACACAAACGATCATTGATAGTTCATCATACCCATTAGATCCCAAGGAAGTAAAGGATGTGGTTAGCTTGATTCACAATAAATTGCAAGCCAATTCAAGTGAATCCAAATTTTCCATAATCGACTCAAAAGGAATTCAAATTGTCAAAGTGTCGAACTTAAATCGAACGCAAGACCTCAAAATATTACACTAACTGTATTACTATATATAGTGTTTACATAAACAACTAAAAGTTTTCGTGAAGGAACAAACTCCCCTCCCTCCCACATCTATTAAAAAAAACTCAACACCTCTATTCTTCATCAATGACCTTCTTGTCATCGAAATAACCTGCATCCTCGTCATCTTCTCTCAAGGCAATATCAGCAGCAGCTGAATTCATAAAGAAATGCTTCAAGGTGACTTCAATAAGGTAAGTTACACCCAAATCAACCAAAATACTTCCAGTCAACTTGACCTTAAACTCTTGACTCATTGGAACAAACTGCATAGCTTCATTCAATTCAGGAATGAATTCAGTGGATCCAGCAATGGCCAATCCAGCAACCCCCAATAATCCATAATACATACCCTTATTGTCCTTGATACTTTCTCTAAATGGTAATCCAATGTAATTGACAGCAAAAGTGGAAACTTGTTGGGCTAATTGCAACAAAAACATACCTGTGTTCAATAAGGAAGGACTGAATTCCTTTTCTAAATCAACTTGAGGTTCTCTTGGTTCCAAAATGTAAATTTCACGAGTGATGTAAACCAAAGTGATGATGTGAATGGCAAATTGACCCAAAATGGATCCCATAATGTAAATGTTGAAAATACCATCTTGAGGTCTTTCCTTCGACAACTTTTCTAATGGTCTACCACGAGAAATAGACAAGAAACAAACACTCAATAAAATACCGGAAATGGTGGCTTGTCCATCACCAAACTTAATACCAGCCAAATACAACACAGAAAGGGAATAAGCAGAAATCAAACAATTCAATGCTAAAATCTTGTACATTTGGATAGTAGAAACCAAAGCACAACGACCTTGACGAATGATATGAGTAACAGCACTAACATTGGACAACTTGGAAGTGAATGGAGCAGCCACCGAGGCATCACCCAACTTCAAAGCAGGAGTTTCATCATCTAATTCAGCATCATTCAAGGCACCCAATAAAGTATCAGCAAATCCACCTTTTTCTTTAGATTCTGCAACAGCAAGATCAGTCTTCTTAGGTGGCTTGTATGGTTGCTTATTGGCAATCTCAACAGCTTTTCTCATTTCAGGAGTGATTTCAACACCCTTCTTTTCCATAGCTTCCAAATACTTTGGATTTAATGGACCTGGAGGATACAAATGGGCAATCAAAGCAGGGACAGGTGGAGGAGGTCTATTCCATTGAGTGAAAAGAGCAACTTGTTTGTCATAAACTCTAGCACTCATTTCCATCTTTCTATTTTCGGCAATCTTCTTCATACCTTCTTCAGTACCGTTCAACAAGGCAACACCAATATGAGCTTGCTTTAAAGCACCAACATCATTAGTACCATCACCACACATTAAAGTGTTGTAACCAGCATCCTTCAATGAAGTAATGATGAATTCCTTTTGGTTTGGTGAAACTCTGGCGTAAACCCAAGTATGCTTCAACAATTCCAAGATTTGGGCATGTTCACTCAAATGCATCAAGGCATGTCCAGTAATACAGATATCATACTTGGCAAACAATTCAACATTTATTGGGTCAGACGACATGTATGGGATAATAACAGATTCGTCAACGTTTCTCCATACTAAATTATCATCTTCACCAATTTCATGATGTTCTTCAGGGGCATCTAAAATCAATACATCCTTAGTAGTAATACGAACTTCCTTGGCAACATGACATGCAGTCAATGGATTGTCACCAGTGATCATGACGGAACGATGGGAAGAAGCATTCAACATTCTGATAGTTTCAATAGCATCGTTCTTTAATGGACAGTGAAACACGATAAAACCAGCAAACTTTAATCCAGATTCGATATCTTCACGCTTAACCTTGTTGACATTAACACTGGTATCCAAATACTTGTAAGCTAATGCCAAAACACGAGAACCGGCTCTAGTGAATGACTTGTAAATATCTTCATAATTTTCTGGAGCATCAACAATCATGGTACGAATAGTTTCCGGGGCACCCTTAGTAGCAACAAAATTCTTTCCTGAGATGGCACTAACTTGAGAAATGGTAGATGATCTCTTAAGTGCCGATGAGAATTGGAATCTACGCAAAATCTTAATCTTTTCACCCTTGGATGCCTTGCTCTTGGCAGCACTATTTTTACCATAGTCTCTTTCAACAGTGTCATTACCACCAACTTTCCAGTTGGCTGCTTTTAAAGTAGCTTGCTCCATTGGATCACCGACAACTTCACCATCATCTAATCTAACTAATGCATGGGCAGAACCTAAAACATAAGAGGTGGTTTCTGGGGCTTCATCACACTTGTATAAATGGTTAATATCATTAACATTGAAACCGGCCAACCCTTCAAAGACCAAATCTTCAGCAGTTAAAGTACCAGTCTTGTCAAAACAACAAACATCAATTCTACCGGCTAAAGGAATTCTGAATGGCTCAGTACAGTAAACAAAGCATTTTTGCAACTTGGTCAAGGAAGAGTTAACAGCCATGGTTAATTCCATAGGCAATTCAGGAGGAACAACCGAGGTAATAACAATAATACAATCTAAAATCAACTTGGATTGGACTCTACCCATTCTAGTACCTTCAACCCAGACGTACCAAGATGCGGCAATAGCAAAGATCAACAAGAACAAAATAAAGAAGAATGCTTCTTTGTTACCAACAGAGACACGTTCACTGGAGAAGATCATCATACGCACTAAAGAACCTTGCGAAGTTTCAAACCCTGTCTTGGTAACAACAGCAAGAGCACCGTTATCTGGGGCAACTGGAATAACCGAATTTTCTGGTTTGGTAACTTGTAAAGCCATAGTACCACCGTGTAAAATAGAATTCTTGTCGAAACCTTCTGGTTGTAAATTATCGTCAGAAGGTCTCAACTTGATGGATTCCTTCAACAATGGAGTAGATTCACCCGACAACATAGCTTCATTAACAATAGCAGAACCGTCAATCAATAACAAATCACATGGCAATGCACTTTCTTCGCTGGTTCTAGTAACAGAAATAACATCACCAGGCAACAATTCGGTGGTTTCAAGTTCAACCCATTTGGCATCTCTGTAAACATAAACCTTGTAAGGCTTGATGGCCATACTTTGGAATTCACTCATGGTAGTTCTTCTTTGGAAAACAGTAGTCATTTCAAAAGAGACCAACATAAACAACGAGAACAAAGAGTAGTACCATTGTTCATCCATGCACCAAAGAGCAACACAGAAAATTTGGAAAACAAAGAAAGGAGCAACAGCATGTTCTTTAAACAATTCCATAAAGGTAGGAATAGGAATATCAAACTTGTTTTGACCGTAATTTCTAACTTGTTTTTCTAAATCACCAGATAAACCCTTGGTATTTTGGAAAACCGATAATTTTGGCAATTCATCAAACACAAATTCAGGTGGAGAAAATTTGCTCAATTCAGTATGAAACAAATATCTTCTCTTTTGATACAAGAAACTGGTTTGCTTTTCGCCATCGTGGAAAGTTTCACGGTGAATCTTACAGATTTCGTCCGTACCAGAATTTGGAGCAGGGGTGACTTTGATGTAACTTGCTTCAGCGACGTTATTAACTTTAGAATAGTTGAATTTGGCATCAATGTCAATATTCCAGTGAGGCATCAACCAAAACAACAAATTCAAAGAAATGATAGCAATGGAGTAAACAAAAGTCCATTCCCTACCCACGATATACGTATCATAATGCTGAAAGTATATTTGGAAACAAATGGGATAGATTATAGTAAAGGGCCAAACATAGGGTCTAAGAAAGAACGACTTAGGAACCAATAGTTCAGCGTCCTGAATGTTTGGAGTCGCCACAAGATTAGACATGATTAACTGTAGACTTTCTCTATAGGTAATTCCAGTGGCAAGCTTGTAGATAACTATAAACGGTGGTAATCGGTTGCTGTAAGAAAATAGTGAATCAAAAATAGCGGCAACATTTTTTTTTTTTCAGCGTTTGACAACGAGCCGTTTTTTCAAGTGGGCGAGTGCGATAAATTAATAGAACACTATGGAAGCACAACGAATTGACATCAATAAGTTGCAAACTATGCCATCAAAAGTTGGATAAAGTAGCCAACTATTGAATTAATAAACTTAATATGACCTTATGACTATCTTCATGGTGTTGTAAAGCGTTCTCATGCTACAACTGGTTTGTCAAGATAAGCCTATTCAACGCGTGTAATAAGTGACACAGAAGCAATCAGAATATGGGGGAGGAGGAGGAGGAGGGGTAGGGGAAGAGACGTATAATGTTTCTGGTAGCTATGGCTTCAGGTTTAAAGCATGAAATGTTACTTGATCTAGATCTCACCGCACCTGCTCGTTAGCAAGACCAAGGCGGAAAGCAAATAACTTTGATAGGTACTTCGAGTTATATTGCTTTATTTTAGTCTGGTATACTCGCTACATACAACCATCTGTTTTTGTCCATACTAACCTAACTTTCCAAGTAGTTAAAGCAAGATTTATTTTTGCAACAAATCATTTTGCTCGTATGTACTTTCCTTTTTCGGAACAAACTTCGCTTACTAATTATAAGATATATTTAAGATGAGTACTCATATCAAATCAAACTAGAGGCGGCGGGCTCTGATACCTCATCGAAAGATCCCCCACCTTACGGCAACCAGGTTACTATATATAAGTTCGGGTATCGACGGATAAAGCCATCAACACGGCTCATACAGCTGGCACTAGCTGCCACAGTCTTGTGTTGCCTTGTGCGGATCCCATAGTTAACATAAATTTTGCCGCCCCACAAAAATTTTTTCAGCTACAAAAAAAAAAATTCAAAAAACTGTGGCTCGCTCAGGTCATGTTAAATTAGGGCATAATCATCGTATTAGCTAAGCACGGCATCCAACTCGTACCATTTTCTTTCATACCCCGAGGTATCTTACTCTTGATTTCTAAGTATATATATATATCTAGATCATTTTCCACTTTATCCAACCGATATTTACCCTTATAGGTAACAGCAAAAATGTCGTTTCAAAATATTCCAATTCTCGACTTAAACTTGGCACTTAATCCCGAAACTAAACCTCAGTTCTTGGAACAGTTACGAGATGCTATGATTAATGTTGGATTTCTCTTGTTGAAAAACTACGAATCTTTGGGCCCAAATGAACAAGAATTACAACAACTTAAAGAACAAACCCTTGAATTCTTTGCTCTTCCTGACGAAATCAAATTAAAGTGTGAAATGATCAATAGTCCACATTTCTTGGGCTACTCAAGATTAGCCAATGAAATCACTGCATCTCATACTGATTGGAGAGAGCAAATCGATTTAGGTACAGAGTTACCACCTCCCAAAGAAGGTGATCCAATCTATAAGAATATCGAGGGCCCTAACCTTTGGCCAGATCAAGAAGCTATACCAAACTTTAGACCTGCAGTGGAAACTTTTCAAAACAAAATGGCTCAATTAAGTTCAATCTTCAGGAGCTTGGTTTTAGAATCCATCGGCCTTGACAAGAGCGCCATGGATGGGTACTTTAAGCCAAACCAACAATGTAAAATGAAACTTATTGCTTACCCAGATGGCAGCGCTTTAACTGATGCAAAATCGGTTGCATTGGACGATACCCCACAAACTCAACAAGGTTGCGGCCCCCACCGTGATTCAGATTTAATCACCTATATTTATCAAGCTACCCCACATCAAGACTCATTACAAGTACAAAACTTCCAGGGCCAATGGGTCACTGTACCAAACCTCCCAGGTCACTTGGTAGTCAATAACGGTCAAACTATGGAAGCAATTACTCAAGGTGTTTGTAAGGCTACCATTCATCGTGTTTTGATACCTAAACCAGGATCGGGCACGAGAATTTCCATTCCATTTTTCCAAACTATTGATTTAGATAGTTCAAAATCCGCCGTGCAAAATATTCCTGAGGAAATAATAAAACAAAGAGATGAAAGAGATAAGAAAATTAAGGATTGGGCTGTTGATGTTGGATTCCAATTTAAACCTGATGTTTCCAAAGAGCCAGTTGGGTACGCCGTATTTAAAAACAGAATTAAGTCCCATCAAGACGTGGCTCAAAGGTGGTATCCTGAAATCTTGACCCAAGTTTTGGCAGAATATGCAAAATAATAAACTTATATTTTTGTTATGAACGGTATATAGGAAAATATGATAAAAACATGAATTAAACCAAAATCAATCTTATATTAAAGCTCTCTTTAGTTCTTCTTGTCATCATCCTTCTTATCGTCGGACTTCTTGTCACCAGAGTGGTTGATCTTGTATTCAGCGTAGGTTTCAGTGGCAAACTTCTTAACGTCACCACCAGAGCTTTCGTAGTTTTGGTAAGCATCCTTAACATCAGCACTAGTGATGTTACCATCCTTAACGAATTGTTCACCCTTTTTAAGAATATCGTCGAAACCCATTGTGTTAAATAAAAAACTTTTCTATATGATTCAGAAAACTTTAAAAAGAAAATTCTACAAGATCAACAGGAAAATCTACCGTATTTATAGTCGACAATCTCGCCTCATTCTTCATTCTCAGGGGGGATATTGTTCACCCCTCTGACATGAAATAATATTTACGTATATGGAATAGTAGTGTACCAGTACAAATCCACGTCTGCGACGCACAAACTGAATCAAAAACAATACGTAAAAAGTGGCGTCGTGAAATTTTGCATATTTCCGGCTATCATCTTGTGAAATATTTACAAACTACTATGACGTGTTCTCTCTCGTGCGTCCAGTTTTGTGTATAATATGTGACATCCCAATTAACTAAGCCATTGAGCACAAGTTCAACAGTTTGCAAATTGAATCCGTCGTAAAATAGGAGAGTGGCACGGTTCTTTTTCTTTTTTTTTTTGGCACTTGAGGTGAAATCATGTATACCATCGCCAACTACAAAGGGTGCAATTCTACATGTCAACAATCACCAACCAGGCGCAGTCACTTAAAATTCTTGTGATATTATATATTTCTACTTACAATTTACTTTTCTAGAAACAGTCCTAAAGCTTCAATTTTTCTAAAATGGAGATGGTTTGTTCATAACTTTCAATTTCAGCAGTAAGATGTTCTAATCTCTTGAAAGCAGCATCCTTAGCTTCAGGCTTGGTCTTTTCAGTAAACTTACTAATGGATTCATTAGCCTTCTTCTTGAAATCATTGGCGGCTTCCAATTTCTTGTTAACCTTAGCAATTTCAGCATCCAAGTCAATTTGACCTTTGACTAAAACATGGACGTTACATTCTGGGCCAACAGAAAGCAAAGCACAACCAGATGGAACTTCTTCTGGAGTCTTGACAACGAAAATCTTTTCAACACCCTTGATCAATGAAACAATAGAATCGTGTTGTTCATTGGCAATCTTATTGATAGATTCGTTGGCAGATTCAACGTAAACTTGTCCATTCTTGGTAATGTTGTATTGAGACAATAAAGATCTGGCACTCTTGGTGATATCTAAGACTAATTCGTAGGCCTTGAAGGATTCAACATCGTCAAGTTGTTCAACATAAGTAGGATACTTAGCCTTCATAATAGTGACAGTGTTGTCACCTTCACGTCTTGGCAATCTTTGCCACATTTCTTCAGTAACAAATGGCATGAATGGATGAATTAATCTTAAAGCACCATCGATACAAGTGTACAAAGTATCTTGAGCAGACTTCTTTTGTTCTGGGGTACCATCTTGGATCAATTGCTTGGAGTTTTCAATGTAAACATCACACAAGTCATACCAGAAGTTGTAAATGTGACCAGTGGCATCACCGAAATTACGGGCTTCCAAACTTTCATTGGTGTTCTTAGCGGCAATTGATAATTTATACAAGATCCACTTTTCAACTAAGGATTCGTTTCCAGACAAAGCGCTGGTCTTTGGAGGAACATAATCGTCACCTAATCTACCCAACACGAATTTAGTAGCTTGGTAAATCTTGTTACAGAACTTACGGTAACCTTCAACTCTTAAGATATCCAAGTTAATATCTCTACCACCAGTACTGTAAGCACAGAGAGCAAATCTAAGAGCATCAGTACCACATTCAGGAATACCCTTTGGATAGGACAACTTTTGTCCTTCAGTTGCTTTCTTTAATTCCTTAGGATCCAAGTTACCACTCAATAATTTAGCATGTAAACCTTCTAATGGAATACCAGCAATAACATCAATTGGATCAATAACATTACCCAAAGACTTGGACATCTTACGACCTTGAGCGTCTCTAACCAAGGAGTGACAGAAAACTTCCTTGAATGGAATCTTACCAGTTAACTTCAAAGTCAACAAGATCATACGAGAAACCCAGAAGAATAAAATATCCCAACCAGTTTCCAACATGGATTGAGGACTGAATAATTCCATATCCTTGGTTGGCTTTGGCCATCCTAAAGTAGTAATAGCCCATAAACCAGAAGAGAACCAAGTATCCAAGACATCTTCATCTTGTTCCAAAGTGAATTTCTTGTTTGGGAACTTCTTTTGAGCCTTCTCCAAAGCTTCAGCTTCAGTTCTACCAGAAACCCAGTATTCATTGTCAAGTCTGTCGTGTTCTTCACCTTCAAGAGTAACAAAGTAAACAGGACATCTGTGTCCCCACCATAATTGACGAGAAATACACCAATCTTGAATGTTTTCCAACCATTGGAAATATTCAGCTTCGGAGGTCTTTGGAGTAATGACAATTTCACCACTCTTTACAGCAGCAATGGCTTCCTTGGCCATTTCTTGTTGGTTAACATACCATTGTGGTTTCAATAATGGTTCAATAACATCACCAGATCTAGAACAGAGAGGAATGGTCATTTCATTGTCCTTTTGTTCAACATACAATCCCTTTTCTTTCAAGGCTTCAATAACCTTGGCTCTGGCATCAAATCTCTTCATACCCTTCCATTCTTCACCACAGTTTTCGTTCAATAAACCATCATCAGTATAGATGTTGATGAATTCTAAATTGTTTCTCTTACCAGTGTTGTAATCGTTTTGGTCATGGGCTGGAGTGATCTTAACAGCACCAGTACCGAATTCCATATCAACAGTTTCGGCATCACAAATGATAGGTAATTTACGGTTAACAAATGGATGGATAACATACTTACCGTGCAAATGAGTGTATCTTGGATCCTTTGGATGAACAGCAACGGCAGTATCCCCAAAAATAGTTTCAGGTCTAGTGGTAGCAACAGTGATCTTTTCATCAGAATCTTCAACAGGATATGAGAAAGAAGTTAAAGTACCGAATTCGATCTTGTTTTCATAACCTGGAACAGGTAACAAAGTTCTACCTGGAATGGTCTTGTTATCAACTTCCAAGTTAGAAATGGCAGTGTTCAACTTAACAGACCAATTGACTAATCTGGAAGCTCTGTAAATAGTACCATCTTCATGCATTCTGACAAAAGCTTCGGTGACAGCTTCAGATAATTCTGGATCCAAGGTAAACTTTTCTCTAGACCAATCGTAAGAAGCACCTAACTTCTTGAATTGGTTCTTAATTCTGTCATGATATTCAGTCTTCCATTCCCAGACTTTTTCAATAAACTTTTCACGACCATAGTCATGTCTGGTCTTCTTTTCCTTAGCCCATATTTGCTTTTCAACAACGGATTGAGTGGCAATACCGGCATGGTCGAATCCTGGAACGAATAAAGTAGTTTTACCTTGCATTCTGTTCCATCTAACCATGGTATCTTGAATAGCAACAGTCAATGCATGTCCAATATGCAAAGCACCAGTAACATTTGGTGGAGGACATGGAATGGTGAAAACACCTTCCTTCTTGACTTCTCCATTGGCATCTAATTCAGGCTTGAAGAATCCTTGTTCTTCCCACCAAGCATACCAAGAGCTTTCGACATTCTTTGGGTTATAAGCTTTGAAAGCTGCATCTTCTAAAGACATCAAGATTTTCTTTTCACCTGGTTTGGTTTGGTCAATGAATTCAGGAACAGGTTCGGCTACCTTCTTTTCCTTCTTTGGCTTCTTTGGTTCAGTATTGTCTTTCTTTTCGGCAGCAGCTGCAGCTTGCTTAGCCTTCTTAGCATTAAATTTGGCCAACTTTTCAGCTTGCTTACGTTCCTTTTCCAATTGCTTGGCGGTTTTAACAACTGGAGCAGCGCCTTCTTGAGCTGGAGCAGCAGCAGTAGCAGCAGCAGGAGTTGCTGGTTGTTCAATCTTTGGATTGGTTGGTTCACTCATTATATTGGAAGAATAACTTCGATAGTTTATGAGATTCCTTCTACTGATTAACAGATTTCTTACAATTCGTATGAAGTGTAATCTACCAGATAGCATACAGTAGAAAAACATTCAAATTTATATATTGAAATTTTTTTTTGTGACTAATTTTCCCATGAAGAGGTTGTGAAAAGTTTTCCTGCAGGTAAGAGCCGGAACCCCGAATTAGTACTAGTAGCACCACTTCTTAGATCTGGGTTGTTACTGGTTTTACATACTTCAAAGCTTTCTTTGCTTATTTCTATCTTTATTTTCATCGTCGCTCGAATCATTTAGTCTTTTCTTGCTTATACCACCAAGCCATTTATTCTTTAGATCTAGTTTAGGCTTTTCTCCTGGTTTGGAAGTCCCGACTTGCTTGTTAGACGAAGGATTGTTCAAGATCAAACTGTCTAAATCATCATCAAACATACTCTGTTTCAACTGTCTAGTATCTTGTTGTTGTTTTTGTAACCTTTGAATCATGGCCTTGGACATTCTGGCATTGGTGTTTGTATTCACTTTAATTTGACCAATTCTTCCAGAACCCCCGCTCTTAGTCATACCTAAACCAATTTCTTCACCAAAACCGTCCATGACAGTATCTTCTTCTTTACCGAATTCCATTTTGTTTTGGGCACTGCGTAATTCCGACATTTGAAATCTTTCCTTCATCTTTCTAAATCGTTTACCACCTCTTTTCTTTGATTTTTGTTCAACTGGCACCGGCAATGCCTTGTCTGGAGTTTGCTCTGGTGGGGTCAACAATTTCTCAATCTTGACATTTATCTCTTCAAGAAATTTCTGCCCTGATTCTCCATTGGGGTTGGATTTTGATAAATCGATTCTAGCAGCAAGAATTACCTTACCACTTACTATTCTCATTACAGATCTAATTATATCTGGTGGTAAGTACCGCACCAAATCACTATGATACAAGTACCCCGTTTGTCGTATATTACGAGGAGCATTCTTTTGAGTAGACGAAAGGTCTCGTACTCCTAGTGATGGTAAATTACACGATGGCGTTTGGGCTAATTGTTTTAAAGAGCCTGTTGCTATCAATAGTTGAGATGTGGCTATTGGTCCAATTATAGCTGAAACATTTGGTGCAAATTTAGACAATTTACCAGAAATAAAGGTGGATAGTTTATGCAAAATATCTTCCAACTCTAACACTAATGTTGCGCAAGACAATATCTTGTTCATGTCGTCTTCCGACAACACAAACTGTTTGCTTACTTGATGTAAAGCAGCCATAATCACCACCAATACTTTCTCATTTGAAATTATATTCTTCATTTGTAGCTCATACAGTTTAATATTCTTTAAGTCTTGTTTGAATATTAGTATTAACCGTACATAATCTATTGGATTCATAATTAACGATTCCAACTCAGGAAATACAATTTTATATTGCATTTTAATCAAGGTGACAAACACTGATATCTCGTTATTAATGATTGTAGATAATTCATTGACAGTAAGGATAAACTTGTATTCGTTTGACTGGTCAAACATTCCAGTACTTAACGAAGACAACAACTCTAGATAATCAGTCTCTTCGTCGTTGGCATATTGCTCTATTTTAGCTGTTAGTTCGGGTATTAAAGGATATATCCTAGAAAGAGACGTCAAGTCATCTATTTCTTCTATATTTGGGTTGTTTAGTATTGATTGGAAGGAGTTGGATACAGAATTGGCAACAATTACATCATGGAGTCTTTGCTCAAATGAGTCTGTGGTACTGCCCTGTTCGTTATTTAAAACGAGATCTTCATCTTTATCTAGCTCCTCCCCATCACTTAAACCTTGAAGATCGGCTAGCAATTCCTTTTCGTAGTCTTCGTCCATTGGTTGTAAGTTTTAGTGTTTGTTGTTGCAGGAAAAAGTGCTGCCAAAAAATTGCAAGCACAGAAAAAAATGAGAACTTCCTTCGATGAGTATCGACCATATCACAGGTAACAAACAGCAAGCATGGCCTTTCAAGTTCAAATGTCCGTGTTGGACAATTCAGACGGTTCGGCAGAGTTAATAATAGGAAATACAAAAGTGATAGCGTCCGTGTCCGGCCCTATTGAACCTAAACAACGTCAAGAATTACCTAATCAAGCAAGTTTAGAAATCATAATTAGACCAGCAAAGGGGTTGTCGACAACTAGGGAAAAGTTATTGGAAGATAAGTTACGAGCTTTGTTACAATCCATTATTATAAGATACAAATACCCTCGTCAATTGATTCTGATTGTTGTGCAATTTTTAGTCACTGATGAAGATCCAAAATTCACTGCCAATGAATTGAATGCTGCTATAAATTGTTGTTATTTTGCCTTGATTGACGCTGATATCGCTTTATATTCTTCATTTGCTTCAGTTGTGTCCTGCATAACTGAAAATAAGTTGATACAGAACCCTACAGGAAAGGAACTTTCCCAAAGTGATTCTCATCATGTTGTATGTTTTAACATTCAAGAAGGTAAAGCTGACAAGATCTTACTTTTGGAAAGTCAGGGTGAATTTGTTCAAGAGGAATTGTTCAATTTATTGTCAGAAAGTGTCAGTAATGCTGAGGAATTGCATACTCTCCAGCGGAAGTACTTGAAAGAGAAGATCGACCAAGATTATATATGGAAGTAAGTATTATTTACTATACAAATACAAGAACGAATGAAAAACCAAACCTAAAATTAACCTTTTTTTTTGTCTTTTTTTTTATATGAAACTAATACAAGGTGGCCAAAGGATCTAATCTTCTGGAGTTATTTCCAGGAGCTCCCGCGCCCATGTTCAAGAGATTAATCTCTCCATTACCAAACTTATTGTTTGGATTCAACTTATGTTTGAATGTAAACCCAATGAAGTTATTTTGTTGGAACTTCTTATTGTCACCACTCTTTTCCAACAATTGTTCATTCTGTTCTTGTCTGGCAAACACGTCTTTATATTTCATCATCATTTCTTCATCTTCAAAATCATCGAAATATCCGGCATCTTCTTCATTGTCCAATTGAGGTGTGAATGGAGGAGTACGTTCTCTTAATTTATCCCAATCTTTAATATCAACAAAATAACTCATTTGTTGAATTTGTTTAAAGTTTCGTATTCTTTGGTTTGGTGCTGCAATCAATTTGGTAATTAAACTCCAAGTACGATCACTAAATACAAATCTACCATCCTTGGTCTGCGGTCTTCTCAAGGCAGTCTTCCAATGTTTCAAATTGTAATAAGTTTCGTCTTGCTTTGAACCAGAAAATGGTGGATATCCGCATAAAGCTTCAAACAACATACATCCTAATGACCAATAATCAATAGTGTAATCATAACTTTTACCTTCTAAAACCTCCAATGCCATATAGTCCGGAGAACCAACTATAGAGTTAGCAAGGTTATGGTGTCCTTGACTTTGTTTGAAAAGCTTTTGACGTTCAAGCATTAATCTTGAAGGTAATTGATATGTTTCTAAGTCCTGCAAATTTTGCAATTTCAATTTCATGGATTCAATTCTATCATTTGAAACAGTACCAGCAGCCAATCCAAAATCAGTCAATTTAATATGACCCTTTGAGTCAATCAAGAAATTTTCGGGCTTTAAATCACGATGGGTGAACCCTAATTCATGCAAGGAATTAACAGCAGCAAACATTTCACTGATATAGAATCTTGCATGAGGAGGTATCAAATATCCGGTATTATTCAATAAAGTTCTGAAATCACCACCAGGTACAAACTCCATAGCGAGGAATACCTTTTCAGGATCTTGGAAAGCGTATAATAATTTAACCAACCATTCACTTCTGGTATTTGTCAAAATATCTCTTTCAGTAAGAACGTGTCTTGTTTCGTCCAACTTTACCAATAACTTCTTATTCAAGATTTTAAGAGCACAAATTTCTCTGGTATCTTTCTTTCTGGCTAAAAACACTTGTCCGTATCCACCTTGACCGACCTGAGTGATCATTTCAAAGTCTTTATGCTTAGGTTTCAATCTTCTTTTCCTCAACAAAGCTCTTTCCCTACCAATATAATTCTTCCATTCTAATTGTTGTTTCTGAGGACTATTGGAATAATTTGCATCAGTAAGTAATTTCTGTTCAACCAAATGTGTACGCTCTCTTCGACTAATAACATAATCAAACATATCACAATAATAATCTAAAAAGTAAATTTGAGCCACTGATGCTAATCTTTTTGTTTTGGGGTTGTTAATACGTTTACGAACTTCTTCATCGGATAATTTGAACCTTTTAGTGTGTGGAGATGGTTGTAATTGACTAATGTTATCTTGAATTGCCCGAATATTAGGATCTTGTTGTTGTTGTTGTTGCTGTTGTTGCTGCTGTTGTGGTGGTTGCTGTTGGACAATTGGAGCATTAGGCTGATTGTAGTTTAGCTTGAAACTCTTGTAAGGAGTGTTGGCTGCAGAGTATCTTCCTCCGTCGGGAGAATTGTGTAAGATTGACTTAGTAGGTGAATTCAAGGGAGTGATATTTTCCTTGTTGAATTGGTTGAACTTATTATTAGGAGTGGCACCAACATTGGATCTATAGCTTGTATCTATATCCATCATGTTATTACTGGAAATTGAAATGTTTTCCATTGACTGAGAGATATCCCCAACATCGTGAGTACGCTGGTGTTTTGGTGATCGACTAAAGAAAGTCATATTGGTTGTAAAGAAGTCAGGTTTAGCTTAATTAGAGTAGTCCGTCCTTGAGGTGAAAATGTCTGAACTTTGTTGTCGATGAGGATCTTGCTTGTAGTTGAACGATTAGCTAAATTTCTTGAAATTCCTTCCTTGCTTCTCTTCTTATTGTATCACTTGTGGCAAGTAAAATTCCACATCTAACCTATTTTGAATTTCTCTAAATTAAGTTTGTTTACAAAAGAGCCAAATCAGGTAAAATTTAAAGAACAGAAAAATTTCTCAAACGTTGTCACGTGATACATACTCTGTCAGCACAACGTCTTTTGCAACCAATTAAACCAATTGCATATGAAGGCATATTAGAGATATTGTCGAGTGCAATCTATTTCAGGATTTATGGGTTCCACTATTTACTATTTAAGGACCTTTTACAAGGTTTGTTTTACACCCAGAGTTATGTCATGCTGCATACCTCTGTAGGACAGCCGGATCTTGGAAGGCAAGATCTTGCATATGACGTATAGATGGCAGGTATTCTATTTCAGGAACAACGCACATTTCATCTCTTGTTCTTTTAATTCAAACATTTTTAAGCCTCGATGATTATTCATCAAAGTTGAGTAGTAAAACTTCCATTCCAAATTTAATCGAATATGTGAGATGTCTCCTTCATTGGACAAACTCTTGAATAATGCTCTTTTGCCTGTTAGGAGTCTGATGAAAATTTAGAGAGCACAAGGCCTCGGATTCCCCTGTGAGAGTTATTTGTATAAAAACGTAATATCCTCTGTATCATAATTTAGGAAGGGCCGTATGAATAATTAGTCAACGCGGTATACCAAAATTGTTGCGATGGAACATTGGATAACCGATGGAACTAACTTGAAAAGTGTCATATTTCTCTTTCTAAGAAGGTTCATTATAGTTAATACTATAAGTGTTGTTGTATAGTACAATGGAAGTCTATTAAATAAGCTTCTTGAAATACAAATTGAAATATCATGACTTGATCAGTATTTATTGTTCTTTAATGAACGTGACTCTGAAGCTTAAAAAAGGTAATATTAGTGTTTTGTGGTAGACTCTGCTTGATCAGAAGCACTTTGTTGATAATTGAAAAAACATGCAATTTTGTAGTCTAGTAAACCCCCCTCCAAATTAGCCAAGTGGTTATAAAAACAAATATGCTTCTTGAAGTTATGATTCTTTGGAATTTGTAGATCTAATTTCGATATTTGTGACATATAAGATTTTATCTAGTAATAATTTCTAGTCTATTATGGTGAATTATAAGACCTGGATAATGGGAAAAGTTGCTGCAACACGAATGACTCAAAACATTCTATATCAAAGCTAATTTGTATTTCGTTGCAACTCCTAATGGTTGTCAATCCAATGAAAACACGAAACTTTAAGCGATAAATCAGAAAATGAAAGCAAACCAGTTACATGCAGTGGTCATTAAAAGTAACAAACAAGAATTTTCAGGGTAATTATAGTGTTCAAAATAGTTACAAATGCGGCATTAGAGTTTTGATTCTGTAAAGTTAATTTCTTAAAACGCGTATTCGCTTATACCGGGGAATATCAGCTCACTACTAGTATTTTAATCTTTCGCTCTCGATCTTCCATATGTCCAATTCAATATTTACTTAATGTTTACACGGCTAAAGTACTTGGCAATATATGCACCATGCTTTTGATTTATTTTGTCTGGACAAAATTTGTTTACTTATTGAACAAATTAAGTCCAAGGTTTTTCTTGGACCTGTGATTTTGCTACCCTTGGTAAACATAAATTTACACAAGTTAAGATCAGATCTCCCAACAAAAGGTAGAAAATGGGGAAATGGGGGGTGAGCCCTCTTACTTGGATATAAGAGCAACATGTTATTGCCTGAATACAAGGAGACTTTTTTCTCTAGCCCCACATCGCGACCCCTCCCCCGCAAACGAAAAATAAAAAATTAAAAAAAAATTGAAAACGAAAATAAAAATTGCGGAAAATGAGTAGGTCCTGCGGAAATTGGAACAGGGTACGAACAATAAGGGTTAAAGCAACTGTTTACGCCTTGGTGTGGACAGCCTTGTTCAAAGGTTCGATTTGAATGGGATCAGCATGAAAATGAGAAGTCTACATGAGGTGGTGGGGATTGTTGTTAACTGCTACTTTAGATCACTTTAAATTTCTTGTTCTTGTTTACGCAATATTATGCAAGTCATATCCCAGTAGATTCTACATGTCTTGAAAGATTTTACACAATTTTGCCAACATACGAAAAATACTGATTTTGTGGGGTAAAAGCAACTGATAAGAACAAAGCAAGGTACGAATCGTGGTCTTTTCAATTCCAATCGGACTCCGAGATAATGCAGAATAAAATAAGAATAAACCTTGTGTGGAGAGATCACTAATTAGACGAAACTAGAAAATAAAAAAAATGTGAAACTGTAAATTTAAGTAGCCTACAAGATAAAACATGTAAAATTCACCATATAAAACTTGAATTTAAATAAAGAGGAATTTGGCAAATTTGAAAATAAAATATATGTAGCCCCACTAGACATCGGCGGGCTCGGAGTTGCTTGGCTATTGCCGGGGGTGCATAAAAAATAAAAAATAGAATTGGCCTTGTTTTTTTTTTTGTTTTTCTTGCCTACAAAGAAAATGAATGAAAAAAACTCCACCATGGAAATACCCATATAATGGGGACAAAAAAAATAAACGGATTTTCAAAATACTAAGCCGAGCCAGAGACGAGGGAACAACACACTTCTCCGTTTAGTAGAAGGAATGGTCTTACTATGACGAAATCTTCAAATAATAGAAATGACCTAGTGGAAAAATGTCCACATGAAAAATCTATTGTTAACAAACTATAATAAACAGGGACTATCATGTTTCTTAAGCTTTTTCATGACTGTCTTTATGATTTCGGAGTTTGGTATGTATCGACTAAAAAATTTGTTGTAAACGGAAATGGGAAAAAAAAAGAGAGCCAGTATAGTGAAAAAGAAAAGACAAAAAAAAATAAGTCGGCAGGTTTTTTGCGTACGAGTGGGGTTACCCTTTTGTTTGAAACTGTCTGACAAAAAAAGTGGTCTAATAGGTCAGTTCACCTAGTCACCCTTCATTTATCAATTACAAATAATAACCGTCGACATTGGTTTTACCGAAAATAGTTACTGGTGATAGTGAGTTACCAACTAGCCATGATAAATGTAGTCTAAGAGGAAACTAAGCTTACCACTACTCATATCGATTCCACCACACCACCCCCTCTTCGCCGACATTTTTTTTTCTAATTTTTTTCTTTATTAAGCTCGCAAAAAAAAAAAAGATTTTATGTCACCCATAATATTTTTTTGTTGCATTAATTTTTTTTCTTTTTTATCCTTTTTTTTTTTACATTTCAGACATTCGCAAGAAAAAAAAACGGACATATAAATAATTCAATAAAATTCCTCCTGTTTTTTCTTTCTCCATTTTTAGTCTCTCACATTTTATCACTAGTAAATTTATATAATATAACGATGTCTGATAATCAACAACTTGAAATTGAAAGCAAGGAAGGACCATCCGGTCTTACTCCAGACCACCCCGACCACCCAGTCACCAAGGTTCAAACTGATGGTGACTACGTTCAATTTGGTAATGAACGTTATTTAAGATCAGAATTGGTTGAAGCCTTCGGTGGTACTTTGAACCCAGGTTTATCTCCTCCACCAAAGCACGACTTTGCCAACCCTGCTCCATTAGGTTTATCTGCTTTTGCTTTAACCACCTTTGTCTTGTCATTAATTAACTGTGAAGCAAGAGGTGTCACTATTCCAAACATTGTTGTTGGGTTAGCTTTCTTCTACGGAGGTGCTGCTCAATTAGTTGCTGGTATGTTCGAAATTGCCGTTGGTAACACTTTCGGTGGTGTCGCTTTATCTTCATACGGTGGTTTCTGGGGTTCTTGGGCTGCTATCCAAGTTGATGCCTTTGGTATCAAAGCCGCTTATGCCGAAGAACCAAAACAATTTGCAAACGCTATAGGTATATTTTTGATTGGTTGGTTTATCTTTACCTTCTTTATGATGTTGATGACCGTTAAATCTACAGTTGCTTTCTTCATGGTGTTCTTCTTGTTGACAATTACATTCTTGTTGTTGGCAATTTCTGAATTTAACGGATCCACCGCTGTTAAGAAGGCTGGTGGTGTTTTCGGATTGCTTACTGCTTTTACTGCTTGGTACAACGCTTACGCCGGTATTGCTAACCCACAAAACAGTTACATTACCATCAAGGGTGTTCAATTACCAGACTTCCAAAATAGAGTTTAAATCAAGTAGTATCCTGGCGATTCAAAATTGGTTTATCTACAAATCCGGTCCCCCCTTAATCATATGAACAAATTTTACTTAATGTGTTAATCTGTCCCCCAAACCCCCCCTCCTTTTTTTATATATTTATTTATCTTTTTAATAGTAGTAATAGTAATGGTTTTTTTTTACTTGATGTTTGTAGCTACTGCAAAGTCTATTTCGCAACGGTGTAATCGTTTACAGCCCTGGTTAAAATTAAAACGTTAGCCGTATCAGATTTGCAAAATCTGTACTATTGTTCGTAGGTGACATTGCAACAAGAAAATACAGAGGATGAAATTATTGTACGACATGGTCCGACACAAAGAAATTGCGAAACTCGGAATATCAGGGAAACTATCATCCGATCTGCGCAATATTTCCTCACAAGCGTGTAGTCTTATAATTTTACAGATCCACTCGTCAGCCAATAATAATATGAATGTCGCTTTAACCTTAGAGGCTTTTACACGTTTGTAAACAGAATTTAGTTTGAAACTAGTTCCAAACTCCAAACATGCAGACATGAATTATCAGAATTAATATTACTGTCGTATAAGATATCGAAGGATTAACCTTGTGATTAACTCAACAGACATCTTCAATGATCGTACCTTGCTCCTGTCGTTTATGCTGATTCAACGGTTTGTTGGGTTTCTCTGTCGGTTGTATACTTGAATTTCTTTACGCCTCACGTCACTTTTCTTCGCCACTTTAGCCATGGAAAGCCGTACGTCTTATGAAAAAAATACAACGGGCGGTTGTCTCGACACATGCTTAATTAAATGGAGTCATTTTCCAAGTTGTTCGTATGCCAAGATTTTACTTCGAAGATTACTCTTCACGCTTCCTTGTGCATACGAGACTCAACAATTCACTCTTTGCATTCGTATGCATGTTGCAAGGAATGTTTCTACCTCATGTAAACGACAAAGCTATCTGTGTTTATATTACTTTATTGAGCAGGTGAAAGACCCCTTGAAATGTAGCCCGGGTTCAAACGTAACAAACCAAACCTCGTAGGATCGTTTGCGTTCACTACCTTCCCACTCCCACTCCCACATGTATGACATTTCTCTAAATTGGCCCATTCTTCAAAATAGATAAATGCTGCCAAATAGAAAGTGCTACAAAATTAAGGTAATGATTGCAGTGGCAGAAGGCTTGAAGTGAACAGCTTGGCACTCCTATTGAGTGAACATTCACCTTTATATACTCTACTGAGTCTCGCCAATTGAAATCTTCTATATTACTAGGTAAACACCAATAAATAGAGAACGAAAAGATGGGCCCCGAATTAAATCACATAGGCAGTAATCCATACCACCTAATACTATATATAATCAATCATCTAACTATTAACCAAAAATTGGTCTCAACTTGCTATAAATATCTTCCTTGTTTTGATCAACATTAACGATTGTTTTGATAAACAACTTCATATCCGAACTTAAATTGGAAATATTAATCCCTAAATCGTCACTACACAAGAATAATAAATCTGGTTTCAAATTCTTTAATACTTGTAAATATCCATCAACATTTGAACATTTCAATAACTTGAAGTTAGGAGGAATCGTAACATTCAAGTCTTCTTCATTTAAATTAGGAGGAATTATAAAAATCATATTCTCCAGATTTATAAGGATTTCATTCAAAGGAATCTTGGATGAAATAAATGTAGATGACAAGGTTATGGCAATTGATTTGTTGGAATACTTGGGCGAGATTATATAGCTCGTGATATCACTATCCTCAATAGATCGCGTTTCTAATTCATCCTCTTCTGACTTGAAGTAGGTTTGATATAACTTATAAGTGAGTGCTAACGCCGAGGTTGCAACTAATGCAGATACCCATACCGTGGGATTTCTTTGAGTCCTTTTGGCCATGTTCATCGTTATATATCAACAACAAAGGTATATATATATATATTTATCAAAAAAAAAATGTGATGATTGATATACCCCAGGTATTAATTGAGAACCCCACTACCCAGATAACTCTGAACATTTAACTCATTTTTATAAAATTTGTTGAACTTTTGGTAGTTTCGAGGGCAATAAAGTCAGGTGATGCGCCTGATCGGATTGGCTTTATCAAGGACTCAACCGAGCATCTCGGCTCAACCCAACAAATCTACTCCCCTCATAAGCAACCAAACCAGAAAAAAAGAAATGTTACTGCAAGGGACATACTATAGTGTGTCACTGATAAGGAAAGAGAAAAGTGAGGAGCCTTCTTAAAATATAAAACAAGTTGAAGAAATAAAACTAGTAAACGGTAGGCCAAATCTTCGAACAGTTTTTTAATTTAGGACATAAACCCGCTTGGAAGCACGAACTTTTCAAGAAAAGGCATTGTTCCTTTATTCTTATCCTATCATTTACGTGCAAACTTCTACTCTTGAATAAGTAGGATGTGTCTGGTAAATCTCTCAACCTTCAATTTCGAGGTTTGGGCAGTATATAGTGTTTAATGTGCTCCCGCTCAAAATCAACAATTTAGTTATAGTACTTAATTTTTGGTAGAAATTATTAAGAAAGAACAAGAAAACAATTTCAGATGGCTTTTTTGATATATCCTTTGTGCACATTTATACATGTCCTGGTTATTATAGCATTTACTTTAAGTTTTGCCTTTATTTATTCCTTCATATAATAGATTATTTGGAGATGAAAACATGAACAATTATAGGTGTTGATCAATGGTTAACAAAGTTTCTAACAACTTACCTTCCAGGTCTCCCCGCAAGATCATTATCCTGATTTTAATTTTACTTCCATGCAAATATGTAATTGGGTTTTTTCTGTCTGCTTTCCTGGTAATATTTGTTCAGTTACTCGTAATTCTTGTTTCGATCGACTTGAGTTTATATTCATGCCAACGTGGATGGACAACCACTCATTTAACTATGATCCTAAAGGTGTGAATTGCATGACTGTAGTTGATAAATTTGTGAATGATTTCACTGATGTCACTCCAAACTTGAATGGATATTATTAGTCATGGAGATCTTTGTTTCCATTAAGTAAAATAGGATTTAGAAAAATACAGTAAAATCGGAAAATTATATGACATAACAGTAAAATTGTATGATTGTATAGTTACTGCTACTTATTTCAATTATTTTCCATCATTTAATAACCTTGATTGTTCTATACTTTGTGCGGGTTAATTTGAAGTTTGTGTAAAGAGTGTTAATTAATAACCCAAGGCCAATAGAATATAACAAAGTTTGTGCTATAGCCTTTAGAGATGACAAGCTAGAGGACTGGCGGGAAATTAGGTTTCTTGAAACTTTAAAAGAAATTGAATTGAGTAGTGTTGAGTGCACTAGCACTTCAATCACCTCCTTTTCTGAAACAGTCGCCCATGTTACCTTAGGACATTATGAGTTAATTGATTCTTCCCTAATTGCGAAGTGAGATAAAGGATTTGAACAGTTTTAAATTGCATTGTATTGAGCAATCTACCCCTGACTTTGCAGTTTTTGCGCATAACAATGTACTCATAGGTATGGGATGATAACCAAGTATGGCTTAAATCTCTCGGAAATGTGAAAATTTTATACATGAATTCTTGCTCTATCAAAAATTTACAATACTGCCATTTACCATTGTCTCTCAAGAATATGAACTTATCGAATAATTGTATTAAATATGTATTAGAATATGAATGAAATAAAATTGTCAATTTGTACATGTTGAATCTCCTGGAAACCCCTGATTGCAAATTTTAGATAATTGGAGGCTCTCTTTTTTACACATCTTTATTTATAGCTTCACTACGATTGTTTGTAATTCTTCTCGCGGACGACATATATTGGTAATTATATTCTTGGGTAGAACAACGAGAAATTCAGAGTGCAAAAAATTAAGAAGTAGGGTTAAGGAACAGGCAATATTAAACTTGCATGTGGGGACTAAACTAGTGGTACTAGTTTCTAATTAAATTGCTGCAAAAAAAAAAATTAAAAAGACAAAGAGTTATAAACTCGGAAATTAGTTTAGGTAAGGTGACTCAAGTAGAGATAATAAGCTTCCTACATATTGTTTGGACCAAGGGTCCACATTTTAGTTCAGTGATACTTGATATAGTTTAAATTTGAGTACTCTCTTTAAGCTAATAACAAAGGACTGATATTTGAGTTTCCAAGATTGCTTATAATTTTTCAGATACCTTTCCTGACTACTAAATAGCTTATTTGATATTCCTTTCAACAAGGAAACTTTGTTTTTTTTATTATTATTTGAAAGGAGGTTAACTGGCAGCAGCTTTCCTCTCTTGACAACCAACCCCAACCCCTCTTCCAAGACGCAAAGGGGTGGTATAAAGTTTCACACAAGAATTGCTTTTTTGTACAACTGTATGTTTATAGGGGGGTCATCTAAATACATCTTTGTGTCAACCCATTCCCCAATGTTTCCGTTGGTTTTAGAAACATGCATATTTGCGAGGTCAAATGTTAAAACTTTAAACTCGCATTTAATGCATAGTTTAATGCGACGTTTGTTTGTTGCAAAAAATTTAGTCAGAAAATCAACAAAAGGATTCAAAAATATGCGACCATAATCAATTAGTTAAAACAAAAACATATTGTTCATAAGTGAACATCCAACTTAATAGAGAATGTGACTAAAATGATGATAGGGATTTGCAGCAATGATTTACGACTTTCTGTTTTATACAGCTCCTTCTGGAAAGTGGCCAGCAAGAATCTTGCAAGAAGAACCCAATCTTCTCCTGATATAGAGGTAATGAGTCAGACAGCGGTTGCAGAGATGGGATGATCGGATGAATAGATTTGAAGATATAATTAATTGGCATGTATCATTGTAAGACTGATAGCATACTCAATAAGAATTGATTCCCCCAGATAACCTATTTCTGATGATCAGTTGACTTGATATCATCAGAACCCTTCCAATCAAAGCCCATTTACATTCGGGATTAAAGTAAATTACATAAACGGCAGTTCTATCCTATCCAAGGGAGGGCCTTATCCATTTCCTCACTAATAGAAACGTTCGCGGAATTTTGTTGCCAAATTTGTTATCAAACTAATTATAATCGCGGAAATTTTGTTTGTGCTCATTTTTTTGTATGTTCGGCGCTTCGCGCCAATTTTTCTCAGTTTCTGAGAATTGCGTGCTTGACTGTTTTTAGTACTAACAATTTGCGACTTGCGCATCCTTCCTATCCAAATGCAGTAATAACTGTGGCGCTTTTCGGAGTCAACGGTGTTTGGAGGTGAAAGAAGATTACTCTGTTAGATTAAGGTTTTAACGTGTTTATTAAGCAGTTAGACATATGCGTGATATTTTGCATCAGCCAATTAGAGGCTTCGCAGATTGACTGGTCTGATAAGATAGAACGTTACCTAATCTGACCTCTACTATCTCTTATCATAAAATGGAAACTCCCCAACGAACAATTTGGCGAAGAAATCAAAAAAAAATTAATTTGAATAAAAAAAAATTGTCATTGTCTTCGAATTGAACTTCCTAATTGGGATACTCCATGCGCTCTTACTACCGAATCGGGCATTTCATTTTACACAGATATAATGGTGAAACACAAATACGACTCCTTCTGATTAACAAGTTTTAATAGATTGATCTGGACAAACTCCGCTAATGGAACGCCCCACGAAGGTCTTCTCCTCCTGGTTTTTATTACTATTTAAACACTTGAAAATTTCCCAGTTGCTAATTTTCATCTTTTTCATCTTTCTCTACAAGAACTCTTAATAACACATACTCGATATCAATATGTCTCCAAGACTTCACCCATTTGAACCTGTTAAGGATTATGAAATCAGATTAGCATCTAAGTTAGTCAAGGATGCATATCCAGCTGCTGCCAATGTCCATTTTGTTCAAATTGACAGATTAGACCCTCCAAAGAAGGATATGAAGAAATATATCCAAGCTGAAAGAGATGGTTCTCCATTACCAAACATCCCAAGAATCTTATACTGTTACTACTATACCAACACTTTAGACTTTAACAAGGCTTTGGTTAATGTTAGTATTGGTCACATCATCACCAAGGTCCAATTACCAAAGGGTGTTGTTGGTCCATTATTACCTGATGACATGATGGAATGGGAAGAACACTGTAACAACCATCCAAAGATTCAAGAAGAAATTGCCAAGTTGAAATTACCACCTGGTTACACTGTCAGAAACGATCCATGGATTTATGCTACTGATGATGCCAATGAAACTAGACCTTTGTGTCAATTCTTCATGTATGTTCTTGCTGGTAATGGACATACTGAATCTAACCATTATTCCCTTCCATTGAAGTTCTCCCCTGTTTTTGAATGTTTCACCAAGAAATTCATCAGAATGGATTACTTACCAGGTGGTTTCGATGCCACCACTGTCCCAACCCAACCTTGGATTCCAGTTCCAGCTGTTGAATACCACCCAGACTTGAATGGCGAAACCACCATGAGAGATGTTAAGCCATTATTGATTTCTCAACCAGAAGGTCCTTCATTCCAAGTTACTGATGGTAACAAGGTTACTTGGCAAGGATGGGAATTCAGAGTTTCCCCAACTTCTAGAGAAGGTTTTGCTGTTTACGACGTTTGGTTCAAGGGAAGACAAGTTTTCTACCGTATTTCTCTCTCTGAAATGACTGTTCCATACGGTGATCCTCGTGCTCCATATCACAGAAAGCAAGCTTTCGATTTAGGTGATTGTGGTTTCGGTACCAACGGTAACCATTTAGCTCTTGGTTGTGACTGTTTGGGTGTTATCAAGTACATGGATGGTATGGGTATCCACGCCACTGGTGAACCATTCATCATTCCAAACACCGTTTGTATGCATGAACAAGATGATGGTTTGTTATATAAGCATGTCAACTACCGTACCAACAATGCTGTTGTTGCCAGAAAGAGAATCTTTGTTGTTCAAACAATTGCTACTGTTGCCAACTACGAATATATCATCAACTTGAAATTCGTCACTGATGGTTCTATTGATATTGAAACCAGAGCTACTGGTATTCTTTCCACCATGCCAATTGATCCAGATGTCAAGGTTCCATGGGGTACTGTTGTCGGTCCAAACGTCATGGCTGCTTACCATCAACATATTCTTTCCTTCAGAATCGATCCAGCCATTGATGGTCACAAGAATACCGTTGTTTACGATGATGCCGTCAAGTTGCCACGTGATGACTTCAACCCATTCGGTATTGGTTTCGTTACTGACAGAAAGTATGTTGAAAAAGCTGGTCACATTGAACAATCTCCATTCACCAACAGAACCTACAAGATCATCAACGAAAACAAGATCAACCCAATTTCTGGTTCCCCTGTTGGTTACAAGGTTAACATGCCAGCCAGACAAATGTTACTTGCTGACAAGGACTCTTTCAACTCCAAGAGAGCCAAGTTTGCCACTGAACAAATCTGGGTCACCAAGTACCGTGATCACGAACTTTTCGCTGCTGGTGAATTCACTAACCAATCTCACAGCGATACTGGTTTAGGTGAATGGGCTAATGGTGTTGACGATGTCAGAAATGACGATATTGTCGTTTGGGCCACTGTTGGTTTCACCCATATTCCAAGAGTTGAAGATTTCCCAGTCATGCCTGTAGATATCCACAACATCCAATTGGCTCCATTCAATTTCTTTGACAAGAACCCAGCTTTAGACTTGCCTCAATCTAACAATGCTTTCAACAAGTCCATTTTGGTTGGTGATGAAAAGACCGAAAAGGCTTGTTGCAAGACTAAGATCTAGATGAGTCTTGTTCATTTTTTTGTATTGCATTTGTTTTGGGTATATATTTAGAGTATGTATAAATTGTTTAATAATAAGTTTATTATGAATTATCAAAAGTTGAAGGTAGTAAAATCTAGTAATTAGCAATTAGCATTTAACTTTATACTAGTTTTTTTTTGCAGCCATCTGTGCTGCATGATCTGCAGCATGGTCTGCAACATGTACAAGATATAAAAATAAATTAGATTAAATAAAATAAACAAAGAACTAAAATATAAAATGCTCACTAAACACTACGAGTCATGCAAAACTTGTAAACAATAATTCATCTCTTCCTCGTCCAAACTTCTAATATAAAGACACTTTGAAAGCAACTCCCTTTGAATCCTGATGTCATAATAACCAGACCATTCTATACATTGTGATAAAGATTTAACCACATGCACTGAAGTTCTAAACTTGGAGAAATTGATTAAATGCTCATGACCTTCATCGTGACGTTTGATTATTCCAGGCCGCTCAGCATTAAATGTCAAATCAGAAAGATAAAGCCCCATAAATGGAATACATCCTCGGGAAGGTTTCATTTGATTGATAGATAATCTAAGGTTCAAGAAGTTCTTGAATGGCAGGGCAATTTCTTCAAGGTTCTTGTGCATTAAAATATCACCCGGTGATAAATTTCTCCATGTTGACTTCAATTTTTGAACTCGCTCAGATGTCAACGCTAATATGATTTGCATCAATGTCGAATAGTTTTGCAAGGCATAACAATTTTGAGCAATATGAATAAATCTGGAAATAATATTAATTCGTTCTTGATGATCTTTAGTAAGGAGAATTTCAGAAATGATCCAATTAACCATAAGGTTAAATCTGGCAATCACCAAGTTAACCCCCTTATTCTGATCATAGTAATTATCATTAACAATGATTTCCAACCAACTATTTACAGGTGTCAATTCTTTATTCCATTTCAACTCAATCAATTCCCTCCAATCAATTTCTTGCAACATATCTCTCTCAATCACAGTGAAATGATCAGCAAGTGATTTCGAATCATACGAAAGAACGAATGAAATATGGGTATTGTTATGCATAATTTCTTCAACTGATAATACCTCTTTAGAAGGTTCATAATTATCCAAAATAGTCTTGGGGGTATCATATCCTAAATTATGGGATGATGGCATCATTGGTTGCGAGAAATTAAAACCATCAATATCGTCGTCGTCGTCGTCATCATCGGCAAAGGTATTGGTATATTCATACTGGGCATTCAGATTGTCTTTTATTGGAGTCGAAGTTGTAGGACCAACAATATCGATATTGTTGTTGTCGTCCTCCTCCTCCTCATTGTCAGTTTGATATGGAGTTGAAACCAAAGGACCCTCAAGAATCGTAGTTGTATTAACTTCATTTTCTGTATTTTGTCTAGTTGCCGTCAATGGGAGCTCTTTTTCAGATATGTCAGGGGAACCAATCGCATCTTCAGTATTGGCATTATGAATAGCATCCAAAATATCTTCAGTTTGATCTACTTGAAGTAATTGATCATCGCTTTGAGGCGCAGGAACATCTATAGCAGCCTTTTCTTCATTTCCTTTTAATACCAGTTTAGAAGATGATTTCCCTTCCAATTTAAGAAATGCAAATTCGATTGGGTTTTCAGTAGATTGAATTGTTTCATCCGGTATAGCTGCCAATTCTTTAAGAACATAATGACTGATTCCAGGAATAGCCACGGAATTCTTGGTAGAACTACTTGAAACTAATGATTCCTTGTGAGTTGTGTTCTTGATTGAATTGCTCTTGTTGCTCTTCATAGCTATTGAAAATATAGAACTTTCAGCCATATCAGTTGACAGTCTTGATCCTCTTCCCCGGAAATTACCTACATGAGATTTACGTTGTATAGCACCCAATGTAGTATCAAGTTCGTTAAATGGTAATTCAGTCAAGGCACAGAGGGTACTAAACCTGGTTCCAACGCTCTTGCGTGAGCTTTTCGATGTTGACCGGGATATTTGGGAAAATACAACACCATTGTTGACAGACAGGATAATCGGATTCGATCTATTGTCATTGTTCAAGTATCGGAGATTATTGAATCCAGTCTTCTTCTTCAAGCCGCAGTCGTTAGGATCATAATTGGCGGAATGTCTTGAATCATTGGTGATGGAAAAAGCAGAATCATAACTGATATACGATTTTACTGAATCTCGTTTCAATGCAGAACCATAAGAGCCTCGAGATAGTATGGAAATTCTCTTATTCTGATTCATTTGCTGTGGACTAAGGGCAATTCCCAAATCAGCAATCTCCACATCGTATTGACTGAAATTACCAGACGATGTATAAACGGTTGAGCTTTCAACACCTTGTTCAAAACTGAACCTTGGTTGTGTTATTCTTTCCGGAGCCAATGTCCTCGTATTTTCATGATGGTTCAGAAACTCAAATTCATCGTCATCTGCGTTATCATTGATACCTTCAATACCGCCCATGTCTTCAAGATCATCGATTGCGTCAATAAAAGAAGCCTTTTCATCGCTGGCAGAGGTGAAACCATTCACATTTACATTAGAGCTTGAATCTAATACCTCTTCACTCTTTGAATGGTCAAAGTTTAAATTTCCTTCATCGTTCCAATTAATACTAGCTGCTTTTCGGAAGGAAGATTGATTTGATTCTAACAAAACAGTATCAAGAATATTCTCATTGGATGGTGTTAGCTTGGCACTAACCATTGACTTTTGGATTGGATCGTTGTCATTGATTAAATTGTCAATTTTGTGAATGTTCAACTCTGATAAATTATTAATATCCATAACACTTATATCTTGAATAGATTGTGACTTTTTACTATCAAGATCAACTTCTTCAAACTCATCTTTGTGCTCGGGTGAATGAATAGTTAAGTTTGGCGCAGACTCATTTCTCATGTAATGATGGATTAAAAATTCCAATTCATCTATAATTCTGGCACTTAATACATCGACACGATTTCCAATTGGGCCACCATCCATGTCATTATTGGCATTTGTGATTAATTTATTGATTCCTTCGTGTTCCAGATGACCGGTTTCGGTGACTTGAGAAGTATTAGATGTGAGTGAGGCTCCGGAATTATGATTGACCAATGTTTTCTTGAACCCTTCCATTAATTTCTTGACGGAATTCTTGCGGACAAATTCTGGTTCAACGACTGGAGGTTTGAAACAACCGGTTGTATTACTATTGTTCCTTTTTCTCTTTGGTGAAGCTACTGGAGAGGTTATGCCCGATCCTACTAATACAAAATCCATTTTCTTGGCCGGTGTTGGTGGGACTATTTTTACAATCTGAGAAGTTGGAAGTTTGATGTTCCCATTGGTGGAGAATCCCGCTTGATCATAAGTTTCTATGCTCTGTGGTGTTGTTGATCGAGAAAATGGATCTGGAGATATTTGTTGTATCATCACATGAGTTGGGTGTTCTTCAACTTCGTCTTCTAATTCTTGGGTTTTATTTTCACTAATGGTGGGAATTGCCTTAAGTGATTGCTGTTTCCTAACCGTTTTTGTCTTTTTCAAGTCCAATGCTGAATCTTTAATATGCAAATGTTTCAGTTTGGAGATTTTCTTTTCACGTTGCTTCTTTCCTCGTACTTGTCTAGGTGGTGTTACAGGTGCTGGTGGACTTAATTGTACAGATGATGAATGTTTGATTTGGTATTGGTTTCTTTCCGCTCGATTCTGGTGTTGTTGCAATTTATTGGTGATTGAAACTCGAGACGAGCGATGTTGTAAAAACAAGTTATTAACTGAATATTGAGGGTTTTCCTTGGGGCTGTCATCAAAAATAGGGATCTTATGCATGGCCTTTTGATTATACAAGGATAACATTGCTGATCTCCGATATGACGGATTGGTATGTAATGACAACTCGGTGTTTGATTTTGATAATTTGTTGTAACGATGGGGGTACAGCGGTAATTCATAATTTATGATGTCATGACTAGCTATGATTGCGTCTAATTCAATTCCAAGGGACCAAAATTGGTTTTGTAGATTCAACCAATGCATTTTCAAATCTCCCAATATCTTGGATATGAAAATAGAATGATCTTCGTCTTCTTCATCTTGATTATGGACCAAATTGGATTCACCGGTTATTTTATTCAAGGTGGTTGAAAACAAATCACACAAGTAACTGTTTTCTTCGAAATCATCAACAAAATAATTTATGATCCAATGCCGCAACACCACGAATGTTCGCAACAAGACCAATTTTCCTAACTTTATATTTGTGTCAGATTCCGAGTTGATATACTGCAATGACCAGATCAATCTTGTTAATAGCAAATCCATTACGTCGCTGCTGGTAGAAAACATTCTATAGGTGAGAAAGAAGTCACACACCAAGTTATAGTCTATAACTTCCGGCGACGTTAATTGAACAATCAATGCTCGCAAAGTTGCACAGTTAATCATGTCGGGATTGTCGTTATCGAACTTCACTAGAACGTCATCGGCACCACCAGCGTTATTGTGCGAGTGGTCATAGGTGACTTCGTCCTTGGCCGTTGTAGATGTCAAACTTGGGAATAGTTTCTCGTCGTCAAAAATGGATTCGTTGTGCTTGTTGTATTGGAAATCGGGGTGGATTTTGAGCTGTTGTTGATGTAAATAGTAGTTGAACGTAGAAAGGGAGTGGGAGGTGGTGTTGTGGATGTGAGTTGTTATAACCTCATGCAAGTTGTGGATGCTGTGGGATTTGCGGATTTCGATGTCTAAGTTCGAAAGATGCGACACGTCCTCCATTGTGTAGTATATTAGAGAAGTGGGAAACTTGGGGGGTGGTTCCAGCCCAGCTTTAAAAAGGTGTTGCTACTTGTGGGAGAACTTTGTTTTAGTGAATGACTGAATCAAGAGGCCACGTATTAAAACACTCAAAAAGGGGAGGGAGGGGGGGTTGTATTAGCACACCGACCTGGATAGACTATTCTAGTCTTTCAATTAGGGATGTATTTGGGAGGTAAAGACAACGAAAGTGTTTTGGTTGTAAAAAAATTTTTGACTAATGTTTTTTAATAACTTCTAAAAAAACTAGAGTGACCGGAAATTGTCTAACCTGTTGTTTTGGTTTTTGAAACTTGCACTTTTTTTTGTTTACATAAAACAAAAAAAAAAAGAAACAAAAACAAAATTTTACGCGATTATTTTTTCCACGTGACGAAAGATACGAATGGAACACAAAAGAGTTTACGTTGTCAAACTGCATGTTGTTTAAACTCTAATTTCGCTAATTCCTACAGGTTAGGAGTGTGTATTAGGCCAGATCTTTTTTCTTACTAAAAGTGGATTGTTCAAACACAGTCAGAAAATAGAAGTGTTGGCAGCCCTGGACCTGGCTTATGTCGCATCTACACACATGACCAACGACGAGGTGGGCGGCGACATGGCACGGGAACATGGCATGGCGAACATGGCATGGCGAACCGGAACGAGCAGGCGGACGTCAAGATTTTCTGTGCAGCACATGGTACACATCGGATATTTCTCGACCTTACAAAAAGCACAAGCTTCCTTGCTCTCCATCACACGATTTTTTTTCTTAGCTCCACAAAAACATATGCAAGCTTTTTACGGAAATACCTATATACGCAATATACGGTAAATGAGGTGACGGAACGCACCACAATCGGAAAACAAAAAAAAATGTCGTCATTGACTCCTATTTAGTTCTATTTCATGTTTTGCTGAATTGCATTTCTTAACGCATCAAACGGAGATGTTCTAAATTGAGGGTTTTTCAACACATTGTTGAAGTTCTTATGCTCATCTTTTAGTATCTGTTTAAACCCACTTGATTTACTGGGGTTGGGCTTATTAAGGTTTGACTTGGAAGACTTAATAAACCCCTCACCAGAAGAGGCTGTGACGATTTTCGTGGTGGTATTGTTGGTTATGTCGGTGTTTGTTGACGTTTCCGGTAAACTCAGAAACAATTCATCCATTTTTGGTTTCAATTGTTCTTTTTCTCGTCTCTTTTTTCTTCGCAAGGCAGACTTGCTGAGGTTATTAGAAGTGTTGAATGTAACTTTGTTCATTAGTTTAGCAGTGAAGTTGTTGGACTTTGTTTGTTGTTTTTCCTTTTTGGAAGTTTTGGCCAACTTTAACATTGGGTTTTCGTGGTACGAATCTGATGACCCCTCGTCATTATTCTCTTGTTTGAATTGGGAGATTTTAGACGCAAGATTGGATTTCTTTGAGGACTTATCTCTCAACGTAGACTTTTTCTTGATCCCAGCCTATAAAACATGTTAGTTTCATCTTCGGATATCTATGCTATGCGCATGTACATACCATTTTAGATAGTTCTCCCGGTATATTGGATTGGTAGATATCTTTACACTGTGAGAGACATTTGAGATGAGTTTTTTTCCTTTGCTCCAACCCGACTACTACAAACTGTAATTTGAAAATTGCGAAAAGCTAACATGTAATTTAACTCCGTATATAAAACACACTAAACGTAGGCTTTACATCATAATATTAAATTGAAAAACTCACTGTTATAAATAAAGCAAAAACCCAGGTGATTCGATTAACTTTCAATCCACTGGAACCGCTTCTGCCTCTTAGGCGATAGCGACCCCAGAATATTCTGGGATGGGGTATAAAAAAGTCTGATCTCCTGCCAGGTCCATCGGCGAGAGAGTTATCATTATCAAAGCCATCGTCGTTAATGTCCATCTTATAAACTTCTTTACTCAAATATAAGGGCTCTGGTAACATCTTTAACTTGTGCAATCTTCTCATATCCCAGTCCAATGACCGTTCAGTTTTATAACACCAAAATATCCATCCACCACCCTTGGTTTCATAGGTGTAAAATTGTTCTCTTAAAAACATCATTGTTTCGTTTTTAAATGTTAAATTATTTGGATCATCTCGACCATAGCACGTTCCACGAGCTTCTAGTAGAAAAGTACCATCCCACCGTGCTCCATTTCCAATTCCATTAAGATAAGGAGCACAATCAGTAAGGGCGCCAGAAAATTCACCAACTATACTTCTGTGTTTTGTCCGGGATAACTTCTCTCCTTGATCTCTAACGTTTTCCAAGTGACCTTTCAAATCAAGTTTTAATTGCCAATCGGTGAAAACTTCATAGAAATGGTGATCCAAGATAAATTTGCCGGGATAGAAGGTTTTCCAAGCTTCCATGTCCAAGAAAGCGTCATGGAAAGCCAATTTTGCGGAGATATTCTTTTCTGTTGCTAACGATAGACATTTTGAATAGAACTCGACCAACTTCAGTTTATCAAGTACTGGACCCAATGGTTCATTGGCAACCTGAATGCTGTGAACATTGGTATTATTACCATATTTTGTAAAAATATAATCAACCACTCGGTGCGTTAAATCAATGTTAGCGTCATCTTCCAACCACTTGGGAGAGGTTGCAGTTAGTCCAGAATTGTCAAATCCATTTTGAGATCCAGGGAGCCCATGCAATCCAATTTGAACCTTCAATCCATACTTTTCTGCCCAGTCAATTGCGGAATCAAGATAACGTTCTTGCCCTTGGCAGTAAGGGTCTTTGGGTAATAATTGAAAAGCCCAATATCCAATGGGGATTCTGACCAAGTTCAAGTCCATTTCGGAAATTTGCTTGAAATCTTCCTCGGTATAGAAACTTTTCCAGTGAGCTTCGAAATATCGTTTGGATAGATCCTTATTTCCAATAAACAAATTCATTGCGTATTCATCCTTGGGCATGGATCCAAATAAATCATTTACTTTTTCATAGAGACTGGGAGTTATCCAAGGTTCTGTTAATAACCAGCCACCGGCATTGACACCGTATATCTTTGAAATTGAATCTTTGTAAGCCGATTGGCCGTGCTTTAACACGGTTTCCAGCTGGATGTGCCATGAAAGAGCCTCTTCCAACGTTTGATTGACTTCGGTAACTCTGGCTGTGGTTGCAAGGAAAAAAATAACCACTAGTGCAAAATATAGTAGCATTAGTACGGATTAAAGCTGTTAAACTTAACGATAGTTTGAATCTCTACTCTCTGTTCTTATATGTGAAACCAGGCTGCAACTGAAACCCTTCAAAGAATAGAGCTGCTACATGAAAGTTCTTATTCTTTCCTTTGTGATTTTGTTTTTGCAACACCTGCCGGCGTTTAATCCAAGGCTACACCACCCGAAAAAAACTGAACAACAACAACGTTTTTCAATCTCATCTCGTATACACACCATACATAGATAGCTATAAACCCCCCGTTATAGACCAGGAAATTCGTCTCAGAAGAAGTTAGTCGGCATCATTTAAGCAATCCAGGAGAAATTTGTATGATAGCTTCCTTAACAGTTCCTGAAAACAACAAAAAATACCAAAAGTTTGTATTATAATTATAAATCACACAAAGCAACCATTGGGGAAAGTATACACATACATCGAATATGAGCAGTATTGGTGATGATTCAATATCTGCTATGGTTAAACCGCACGATAATCATCAGGGGAAGGAGCTAGTGGAACACGAGTCCAAATTTTCACCCAGTGAAGACAGCTCTAGAGTTGTTGGGAGTGTACCTAACATTGGCAGTTTGAATTTGGACGAGGAGATCAACAACCTACTTGATAACCATGACGACGTTTCCGGATCAAACACCAATATCATTTCAACTAGATCAAACACGTTGCACAATTTACTACCTGAGTTGGATTTGGCAAATTTGGATCACGAAAGTGGCAACACCGTAACAGGGGCTCACAATAACAACCACGAGGATGAAGAACCCAGAACGGTTAGCAATTCACAATCACCCAGCCTTCAACCCACCGATGCATCCAAACCCGTTTCTCTAATTCAACAAGCAATTAGACAAAAGTCCAATCTTGTATCCGTAACTTCGGACGGCACTGATGGCTCCCAGAATCACGACGAAGGAAACCACCATTCACGAGTCTCGGCATACGCTCGACTTGACTTTGAAAATTTCACTTTCTTTGTCCAAACCCTTCAAGTTGTCCTTGGGCGTAAATCAAATGATGAATTGTTACAAACCAGTCACCATTCTGTGGATATTCATTTATCTTCTAAAAAGGCCATATCACGAAGACATGCGAAAATATTTTACAATTTTGGTACGCAAAGATTTGAAATTTCAATATTGGGTAGAAACGGGGCATTTGTTGATGAGGTATTTGTGGAGAAAGGGTTGACTATTCCTTTGAAGGACGGAACCAAGATTCAAATCGGCGATATTCCTTTTGAGTTTGTATTACCTTCGATTGAACCAAGTGAGGAAGATGAAACCAAGCTCAATCCAAGTGATGTAATCAACTTGCGTTCAGCAATATTTAACAAAAAATCGCCATCTCCTCAACCACTTCCTCATCCTCCTCCTTCTGAAAAATCAAAATCATCACCAAAGAAAGACGCAAAAATTAAACTCGAAGACGTCAAGAATGATGATCTTTTCAAACAGCCTACCAAACCAGCTGAACGCAAGAATTCAATTTCCAGACGCGATTCCATTCTTAAAATTCGAAGATTGTCAACTACAAGAAGAAAATCACAGGCTGCTAATGATGAAATCAATGAGCTCTTGAAAGATTTAGGAGTCACTTCAATTGATGCACTTGCAGAGGAAAACTCGGATTTATTGGATGCGCAAATTCAAAGCTTGTTGGCCGAAGCCGATGCCGATGTTGATGCCGAAGTCGATACAGATATGAGGGAGTATGATGAATCACCAATAATAGACGATGAGGAGGATGAAATTACGAAATTGGAGAATAATGAAATTAACGATATTGAAATGAACTTGACGGTATTGGATCAAGAAATAGCCAGTTTGGCACCGTTGATCGACGCTCATAATCAAGAATTGATGAAGGAAAAAGAGGAGAAGAAGAAGGTACTAGAGAAGGAAAAAAAGAAGAAGCAACAACAACAACTACAAAGACGAAGAAGTTCAATGGTTAAATCAACGGTTACATCCGGAATTTTGGCAAATTCTGATTCATCACCATCATCAACAACTACTCCTAGATCTGCACCTCTTATGGGGAAACCAGCATCCATACAACCACCTGCTTCAAGATTGTACAATAGAACCATTATTAATGGCATAACATCAACGCTGACAACCGATGGAAAATCTCCTGCATTTGCCGCTACATCACCAACTTACGTTCCTAAGCAAATAATCCCACCTCGACCACCACCGCCAAAGTTGGAAGTTCCAGTATTATTAATCACATCAGAACCTGCAGCTACTAGATCCAGACTTCCACTCCGGGCAATTACCGTTAGTGACTCGTCTTACTTGGCTACTTTTGATGTTCCCAAGACGATCGAAGAACCATCCAAATATCCAAAACAAAAACTTCGTAAAGATATTCCAAGAAAACCAGCAAAGAAGGTGTATTCACAAGATGAAATTCCAGAGCAACACAGATCAAAGCCAAATGTTACATTCATGATGATTATCACAAGTGTCTTGAAGACTGAAGCTGCAAGGAATGGGTTAACCATAAACGAGATCACCGAGGCTATAAAAGAAATTTATCCTTATTACAAGTACTGTCAGGATGGCTGGCAATTCTCCATTTCCCATTGCATCAAATTCAACAAGATTTACAAACGATTAATGAAACGAGGTACGGAATGGTTATTCACCATGGATGATTTGTATATGAATGAGCGAGAAAAGGCGAGAAAGAAGCAACAAGAAATTGCCGCGGCCAGAGCCAAAGCAGAAGCAGCTAGACAAGAAGAGCTTAGACAGAAACAAAAATTGGAAGCGCAACAAGCAATGTCGCAGAATTTAGCAGCGAGAAACTTCAATTCACCTTATGGAATCCCCAATGCAAGATTCTCCCAGAATCAATTTGTTTCACAACTGCCATACAATAAGCAATTGCCAATTAGTGACGGTCAGAAACCAAAGACTATCGCTGAATTGGCCAGTGAGATCAGGCGAGACGGTGTAGGATCCAAAGCGCCTATGTATTTCAAACCAACAACCACCTCTCCACCAATAGCGACTACGCCAGGAGCCAATACAATCAAGGCGCAATTAGCAGCCAACAGGGCATCATCTCCAACTCCATCCATGTCTGATCCAAACACTCAAAAGTCTTTGGAATATTTAAGAAAAGAATTATTTGTATTGTACCGTGGTAGGAAGTTAACATACGATAAACAAACCGCAACCGTGTTGATTACGAAGGCATTAGCAACTACAATTGCTCAGGTCAATAGTATTGGGGCGAAAGCTGGGTGTGGTGAAAATGCATTGGGATTCTTGGTTGAAAGAGCGCCAGAACAAGTTAGCAAGATTTTGGATATTGCATTGACCAAGTCAATAAAGGAACATGAAGGTACTTATACAAATACAAATAGTAGAGCAACAACCCCAGTTCCAACCCCATCGCCATCCAAACCAGAAACTAATACTTCAATAGCAGCCACAACAACGACACAAATACCACCCGCAGTTTCTTCTCCGCTGAAGCCTGTTTCCCCTCCAGTCGCGGTTAAGCTCGAACAACCACAAGCAAAAGCGATCACAACTCCACCAATTATCGGAACTGATAATCCTGTGAAGGCAGTTGTGGATGCAGCCGCTGCTGCTGCAAGAAATGAAACAAAACCAGTACTGCAACAATCTCCTGTCATCTCCAAAGCAAGTGTGGCATCTACACCTACAACTACTCCACAACCATCTTCAGCAACTTCATCACCACCGGTATCTACTTCTCCATCCTTGGCTAAACCGCCCCTGTTTGTTCTGTCTAAACCCAAGGGAGATTCCTTGGGTCGTCCATCAGCTTTGGGAAGACCACAAAGTTTCGGGAAGCCTGGTAGTTCCGGTGCATTGTCTCGACCTCCTACATTCTTGTCCAATAAACCTGCATTTAGATCAAATGAAACTGAACAAGGTGTCAAACGTGAATTGGAAGGTTCTTCTGTAGATGAACAGGCCAAGAAGGTTCAGCGAACAGAGTGAGAGTTTATCCGATTGCTTTTAATTCATAGTTTTGTATCATTAGTGTATATATATTTATCGAGTATGAATTCTCTGTATGTTTATATTTGCAGGTTGTGATAAACTGCAAATTTCCAACGTGCAAATTTATCCAACATGTAAAAGCTCCCATGTTGTGGAAAATGCGCATTATGGGTGGCGACCATTCCTCAAACCAAAGATAGTAGTACTAAGTATTTGTGAATGGTGTTCAATTGCATCAATTGATTGAGTAGTATTAAATTGCATATACATATTAACATAAAGAACCAATAGAGGAACAAAAAGAAGTATCCCATAGTTTAAACAATAATACACCACGATGAATACAATCTCACAAAGATTCACCCATGCCAATACCAATGACGTTGCAAATGAAATCAACACCGTCCACGATTCTCTTTCCCACAAGCAAACCCTTGAATTAGCACCATCAATCTCTGTGCCTCCAATTTCCCAACCAACCGATTTCTTGCGAGCACACACTGACGATGCTTCCAATCCAGATTGTAAAATCAAGATTGCCCACGGTACAACCACATTAGCGTTTAGATTCCAAGGTGGGATTATAGTTGCGGTTGATTCCCGTGCTACTGCCGGTAATTGGATCGCCTCTCAGACGGTTAACAAGGTCATTAGAATCAATCCTTTCTTGTTGGGTACCATGGCTGGTGGTGCTGCCGATTGTCAATATTGGGAAACTTGGTTAGGTACCCAATGCAGATTACACGAATTGAGAGAAAAGGAAAGAATCTCGGTTGCTGCTGCCTCCAAGATCTTGAGTAATTTGGTGTACGAATACAAGGGAATGGGATTAAGTATGGGTACCATGGTTTGTGGTCATACCAAGAAGGAAGGGCCTGCTATATATTATGTTGATTCTGACGGAACCAGACTAAAGGGAGACTTGTTTTGTGTTGGTTCTGGTCAAACATTTGCCTATGGTGTTTTAGATTCAGAATACAAGTGGGATTTAACTGTGGAAGAAGCTTTGTATTTGGGTAAGAGAAGTATATTAGCAGCCACTCACAGAGATGCTTATTCTGGTGGATCCATTAACTTGTACCATATTAATGAACAAGGTTGGACTTATCATGGTAATCATAATGTTGGTGATGTCTTCTGGGATATTAGAGATCAAGAGCAATCCTTTGTGAATGTTGATGGTTAGACATATAAACTAGTTTATAGTCGAAAGTAGCGAAAATGCAAAATAGAATACGATAAGATATTAGTTTGTGTGCCTATTTTATCAATATAATGAGACGTATCACTTCTTAGGTCTGTAACCCTAACGTAATCTTCACACGTGATACATTATCCTGCACAAACTTTTGTTTGGTGCGCGCCCATAGTTAACGCAATGAGCGCACAATAGCACTGAAAAATTTTGTTAACGAAAAGTGCGACCTTAATTAAAATAAGAAAATTTCTTTCATATTTTCTCCTTTTTGCCTGATCATCATATCGAAGTAATACAGCCAAAGATGGTATGTTTAGATCTTAATGGATAGAGGAAGAAATATGTGTGATTAGAGAGGTCATAGCTTTGCAAAGGGCAGGATAAACGAGTCATATTGAATGAATATGAGGACTATATGAAAACATTGAATACTTCATTATGAACAAGAAAGCAAACTTAAAGAAAGTAATTCTTGCATGCATTAACGGAACGATATGTTTAAAATAAACATCGAAAACAACAATGTACGATATAAGGAATAAAAATATACAATAAAACAACTACATACATGATTACAGGCAAGCTGATCCGCTATGCACTTCCTCCGATAAAATGTCCAAACAATATTATAAAAAAAAAAGTAAAACTTACTAACATTATAATAGTCTGCTAAATCTCAAAACGTTATGCGTGAATTACGCATTGAAAAGTTAGTCTTAAACATTTGTGTCGGTGAATCCGGTGATAGATTAACCAGAGCTTCTAAGGTTTTAGAACAATTATCTGGTCAAACCCCAGTCCAATCCAAGGCTAGATACACTGTCAGAACCTTCGGTATCAGAAGAAACGAAAAGATTGCCGTCCACGTCACCATCAGAGGTCCAAAGGCTGAAGAAATCTTGGAAAGAGGTTTAAAGGTCAAGGAATACCAATTAAAGACCAAGAACTTCTCTGCCACCGGTAACTTTGGTTTCGGTATTGATGAACACATTGACTTGGGTATCAAGTACGACCCATCTATTGGTATTTACGGTATGGACTTCTACGTTGTCATGGGTAGAGCCGGTGCCAGAATCGCCAGAAGAAAGAGAACCAGAGGTGTTATTGGTAACTCCCACAAGACCAACAAGGAAGACACTATCCAATGGTTCAAGCAAAGATACGATGCTGAAGTTTTGGAAAAATAAATTAATTAATAAAGTTATTAATTTGTATATTTTAATTTAAGCAAAAAAAAATCATTGTATATTATATCAACTTGAAGTTAGTGTAGTAATGTAAGAGACATTTTCGGAAATGTTTATCATTGGTATCGTTGTAGTATATTTTAATATCCAGAATTGTAAATTTGAAGATGAACTATAACTGGAGTAACACATCTAATTTCCATTAGAACTTCTCACACACCCCTCCTCCCCAATTTCAACTCTACATATACGAATTTGATGAAGGTCTATTGTTCCTAGATGAATCATGAGAAGAACACCGTCACAATTCCAGATTACCTAATATCAGCAATATGATATTAAATGCATGGAACATGGGTTTGTGGCATATAGAATAAGCATCTGGACTTAGTCATCCAGGAGATAGCGAGCTTGGTCAAAGCCGAACGCTCATTATCGCCGGAAATCCCAAAAAGGAAACCCCGACAACGATTTGGCTGTGAAAAAAAAAAAATAAAACAAAAAAAGAAATTTTTTGCTTTTGTCAGCATTGACAAATTATGAAGACTACCCCCATCGCTAATAAACTAAAATAGATTATCGCCGGATGACTAAACATGCTGATGATTTATTTGCAACCATTTGAACTATAAGTATGATGTAGAATCCTCTTTGGATTGATTTAAATTTTCTTTCTCTATACAATAACAATAAGAATAAATACAATAGAAATGGTTCCTAGGTTAATCAGAGACAGTTTTGTAGGAAGATTGGTTTACAATCTTTCTGGCCATAAATACTTTACATACCCTGAAGAACATGTAGACTATATTATACCTGAACAATACTTGAATGAATACAAGACAGAAAACTTTGATAAAGTTGAAGTTGAAACTATTGGTTCTAGCATTTCTGATGCTTCCGATACTACTAAAGTTCAACAAAATGATGATATAATAGTAACTTGGGATGGTGAAGAAGATCCAGAAAATCCCCAAAATTGGTCTGTTGCCAAAAAAGCATTTGTCATTTTCCAAGTTTCGTTTTTAACTACTTCAGTATATATGGGTTCTGCCGTTTATACTCCAGGTATTGAACAAATTATGGAAGAATTTGGTATCGGCTCTGTGGTTGCTACTTTACCATTAACCCTTTTCGTTCTTGGTTACGCTATTGGTCCATTAGTTTTTAGTCCCCTTTCTGAAAATGCCGCCTTTGGAAGAAATTCAATTTATATTTACACATTAGCATTATTTGTCATTTTGCAAATCCCAACTGCATTGGTGGATAACATTGCCGGTTTATGTATTTTGAGATTCTTGGCTGGTGTTTTTGCATCCCCTTGTTTAGCCACTGGTGGTGCTACCGTTGCTGATGTTTTGACTCCTCCATATGTCCCGGTTGGTTTAGCTTCTTGGGCTTTGGGTGCAGTTTGTGGACCTTCATTTGGTCCATTTTTCGGATCTATTTTAGTTGTCAAGGGTGGTTGGAGATGGACATTTGGATTTATGGCTATTGTTTCTGGTTTTGCTTTGATTGTTTTATCATTCACCTTCCCAGAAACTTATGGTAAGACTTTATTATACCGCAAGGCCATGAGATTAAGAGGTATTACTGGTAATCAAAGAATCACCAGTGAAGGAGAAGTTGAAAACAGAAGCAAGACTACTAGTCAAATCGCCGTTGAAACTTTATGGAGACCAATTGAAGTGTTTATTAAAGAACCTGTTGTTCTTATGATCAACATGTACATTGCCTTGGTTTACAGTATCTTTTATCTTTTCTTTGAAGTCTATCCAATCTTCTTCCAAGAAATAAGAGGATTCACCTTGATTGAATTAGGAACTACTTATTTCGCCACTATCATTGGTATTGTCATTGCTGCTGTGATTTACATCCCTATAGTTTATCAAGTTTTTACCAAGAGAATTCTTAACGGTAAGGGCGTTCAGCCTGAAGTATTCATGCCTATTGCCATTGTTGGTGGTGTCTTAATGCCAGTTGGGTTATTTATTTTTGGTTGGTCAGCAACTACTCACACCCATTGGATTGGCCCACTTATTGGGGGTGCCATTTTCGCTGCTGGTGGGTTCTTGATTTTCCAAACTATGTTCTCCTTCATTGCTGGATCATTCATGTACGTTGGATCCATTTTTGCTGGTAACAATTTATTCAGATCAATTACCGCTGGTTGTTTCCCATTGTTTGGTAGACCATTATACAACAACTTGGCCACCAAGGAATTTCCAGTGGCTTGGGGTACTTCTATCTTGGCATTCCTTGCTCTTGCTATGATTGCTATTCCTGTTTTGTTTTATTTGAATGGTCCTAGGTTAAGGGCTAGATCAAAGTTTGCTTTGCAATATTAGTCGGTTTGGGTATTATAATAGAGTTTTAATAGATAATAGACAATTAATTTGATTGAACATTACGTTAAAGTGTAGCAGTTTATAAAGTTTTATACAAGTTTTGGGCCAAATTTTTACGAAATCTAATCATATTTTTGCAGCCACCATAAATAACGTAGATTAATATCCATTTGTGCTCCTCATCTTCTAAGTGAATTTGTTGAATGTCTTCATTGCAAAATATGATGTAAGAAGTCTACAGTGGGTCTGATCTAAGGAGGCACAGGATAATTAGACTGCCACAGTATATACCTTTATCACGTGATTTAAAACCATTAGGAATTTCACTAGTTATGGCTCTTTGATAAGATAAATCATTCAGAATATCTACAAATCATATGCGTGCGGGATATTAGCAGAACAATAAGTGATACCCATACGGTGACAGGGCCCCAGTGGGGAATATAAGGAATTACGTAACATTCTGGGGTTAAATTCAATTCCGGCCCGGTTTGGTGGGGGACGGAGGGAGGGAACAAGAGCGCAATCAAACGATCTAACTATCTAATTTTAACAAATGAAATGTGTCAAACGGCAGGTAAAGTCCTCATAATCATGCAATATAGTTCGGCATCAAATTCCCAAGCCATACACAAATGACTACTTCAAAAACTTGAGCCGATCACCGGCGTGTCAAACAAATCTGTGAAAGTGCCGCATCACCATAATCGCCAACAACAAAAAGAAAAAAAAAAAAAGAAACCCGCTCCCGCTCTGCCAAAATTTCATCTAGACAATAACAATACGAACTTTTTATAATTAAGTATGAGATTTAGTTTGTTCTTTCCGGAAGTCAAATTCCAATTAGTGTAATAAACCTTAATACAAGGTGTTCCTGAAATAAGCATCTCGCTTGTTCTTACTTGCGGATACGCCATCCACTAGGAATAGTTCGATACCATCGAGAAAAAAAAAGCGATCATTGCTTCTACTGAACACTATTTGACCACGAATAAGATGTAGCAATGTGTGGATAGCCAAAGTGATGTTGCAATAATTCTTTTTAATAATTACCCTAATTTTACAGCCTTTGTTGGGGAATTGATATGGGTTGATAACCTGCATGTAAGCAAAAGAAAGAAAAATATTTTTATTGCCTTGCGATACTGGCATGGCTCTAATAATACCGCCTAAAAAAAAACTTCAGTTCGTATACACAGGAGCCTTTTTTTGCCTATGAAGCCGGACCCACATTTTTATAACCATTAAATATATATATTCTAAAAAGAACAACCCATAACCAAATTTTACCCCTGCACGCACATTCCATCATCATTAGTACATTTGCTGCTACTTTTATAACACCCATTTTTTTTAATAGACTGCATTTTTTGGCACTAGTTTATACTCATTACATTAGCATAGTCCCCGCGCGGAGAGAACATTAGTCATCTGCTTACCCCTTCAAATCGTCATAACTACAATGGTTACCATCAATTTTGAGCCATTAGAGCACTTGCCCTACATTGCCGAACATATCAGTCCCGAAGAACGAGCCCATGTCGAGCAATTAATCGCTATGGAATTGTCCAATCAATTTAACAACAATGTCACTAATATGGTGGAACATACCTATACTATTCACCAACAAGATATACATCAACAACAGCTAGAGGCCCAACAATTACAACAGTTACAGCGTCCAACTCATGACGCATCTAATCAACCTTTGCATCCTATGGTGGATCAAATATTGCCCTTGCCTACCAATCAACATATACCCAACAACCTCTTGAACAATATGGAAAGACAACGGTACGAAGAGGAGGACGAGGAAGAAGATATTCATGATGGCGAAGGAATAGATTTATCGAGATATAATGGTTTTATTTCTTCTCCGCTAGAAGGTTCTTCATCCTCTGACTCTCAACACAACTATAACAATTTGTATACCACGTTGGAATACGCTCATTTACAAGGGAGAAACTTGGATTTACTACGGAAGAACCAAGCGGAATTGTCACATCTACAACTGAGACATTTGCAAGAGTTGGAAGGAATCAATCAAGAATTGCAAGACAAATTAAACAACAAGAGACAAATGATCGATGACGTGGAGCTGACGCGTAAAAGACGTCAAGTTTCGGAATACAAGCCAGTCAATGATTATTTTCAACAGAAATGGGAAGAAGGGATTTCTTCAGCTGTTGAATTGAACATCGAAGCGGCTAACATGAAACAACAGGAATAGTAAGACAAACATGCAGTGCATGTTTTTAGTATTTTTTATGATTAACGATTTGAATATACGGGTGTACATTTAGTGCATGTATCTCTATAAAATTATCTATCGTAGTAAACCATTTGTGCTTTTGGTTGCCTCCTTCTTTTTCCGGAATATCATGTCTGATTTAAGACTTCCAATATTAACAATTCTGGGGCATCCCTCGCGATGCTTCTCTTGTCGAACACATTCAAGACAGTAGTACGCTGGTACACCCGATTCACAATTATCACCCAAATAGTTGGAACATGTGATACATTTATTATACAAATGACCTAAGGAACAATCGTGACATATATAGACTTTAGCAGTTGGTTTAACAAAGGAATCACAAATTGGACATTTCCCATCACATTGCGGGCACACTAGTCCTACAGACTTGCCTGGTTGTTTCATACACTGGATCAAGTCATACTGATGTCGCGACATTTTTCTCTATACCAACACTCGTAGTTCCCAGTTAACCTTGTTTTGGTTGTAACAAATAAACTCTTACAACCAAACTTTTTTTTTTCTTTTTATTATTTCCGGATGTTAGCGCCCCCCTGGTTGATCTTGTGCTTTTACAACATACTTGGAACTGTTCAATTATATTTCTAGAGTTTTATATCTACTCAGATGGATTCTGGTAAGATCTCCAATAGCACTCACAACCAACAGGAATGCTCGATATGCCTAGAACCAATACTCTCCAATCACACCGTTGGCAAAATTGCAAACTGTTGTAATATACTGTATCACGACAAATGTCTAATAACCTGGTCCCAAATGTCTAACAGTTGTCCCACATGTCGGAAACGATTCCATAAAATCAACATATCCTCCAAATCAAATGACAAGATCATTCACACGATTCAGGTCAAGGATAAATTACTCCCGAATGGTGCCATCAATGATATACCCAGCCAGTTCATCATACCTCCCACACCAAGCCCGCTGATACAGCTAAATGCACAGTATTTCGATGATAACGAAGATGAAGAAGAGGAGGAGTGGGGGTTGCTTTCTGCTTCGGGTGTTTGTTGCATTTGCAGCTCCCTGATTTATTCCAACAGTTATCGCAACCAGTTAATTACATGCCGATCATGTTTTTCGAAATTCCATTTACATTGCCTTGGAGTCAGCCCAGACCAGTATCTAATTTGGAATTGTCCCATATGTGATTGTCATCAAGAGTGTGTAGTAGCTAGAAACCCATCTCTGGCTGCAGCAGGAAGAAGGCGGATCAATTCGATATTGAATAACTTAATGGGTGGATCACGAAGGTCCAGACTGAACTTGGTGATCCATAATGAAAATGACGAGCTAGATATAGATTTCTTGTATGAGAATAACGATGATGCAGATTTTTCGATACGGCCTTGGCAACAAGTCTCTCCCATGGAACCATCACATACAGTGATAAATGGCGGAGTTATTCGAAGACGAGAGGAGAAACAACGGTTGCAACTTACCGAAGAAGAAAAGAATTCGTGGCTGTTGTTTGAACAGGCCAGAAACCAGGAGGACCAAGAAGCAGGTATTGTTGATCCAGTGGAGTCTTCATTGAGCCAAGTAACAAGTGAAGGTGATAAAAAGAGAAGAAGAAGGAAGAAAATGACACCACTTGAGCATAAGAATCCCGAAGAGGGCTCTTCCAGTGGGAATGGACGTATAACCAGCCTTATTAACCAATTGAAAGCCCCAAATCAAAAGAGTAAGCCATCACGCCCTCCTTTGAGAAACATCGTCTGTGCTCCTACTAGTTCATCTTCTTGTGCATTAAAACCACCAGCTATAACCGCTGAATCACCTGGTTCCAGTTCTCCACAAAGTAACAGCCCGATGGAACTGTCGTCGTATTCAAACGATAGTGATACTCAATATGAACTGGATACCAAATCACGCAAACGACCTAAACCAGCTGGGTTGAACTTAGAACAGAAAGTTGAAATTCAGAATCATATAAAGAATGTGCTAAGACCATTATACAAGCCAGGCAGCGAAGATTCAAAATTTATAAACACTGAAGAAGAATATATTCGAATAAACAAGACAATTTCTCGAAAAATATATTCACATATTCTCACCGAGTCAATCGATGACACCGGGGAAATACTGAGCACGCTAGTTGACAATTACTTTGATGTGAATATTCCTACCAAGTTAAAAGAAGTGGTGGATATGTATATAAACAAAGAGTTGAATGATTTATCTATATAATTTAACGACGACGAGGACCCTTTGGTTTATTGAACTTCAATCCGGTTCTGTTGGAATTTGTAGAAGATACGGAACCAGGCGTAGGAACTTCTGATTCAATGTCCAATTGAGATAATTCCAATTCATCCAAATCACCAACTTCCAAGTTCTTGTCTATCGACAAATTCAGAGGTTTTAATATCTGATTGAGATGACTGATTAAACTTACTTTTGAAGCTGCATATATCATTCTTTCTCTAACTGGTGAACCGGAAGGACATGAATAAATAAATGCAAATTTATTAATGTGGTAGTTGTACACGGCATACAACGGAGTTGGCTTTTCCTTATTTTCAGATTCAGTCAACAGTGGTATCAAATCAACTAATCTGACATCAGTTTCTGCCCTATTCAATACAATTTCATCACCTTGGATATTGAAGGTGACCAATTTAAATGAAGAAGTATTGTCCTTTAAAGAGTCAAAATTCTGTTGCAATTCAGGAGTAAACTTTCCCAAAATATCAGCAGAACTGGAACTACTTGCAGTGTCATGAATAGAGGGCAATTCCTTTTTGAATCCATGATGATCCAAACTGGTTTGACTTGACAAATTCAAGTCCTGAAGATTGTTCAAGGTCTTGATAATTTCTTCGTCTTTGGACAATGGACCAGTACTGATATCTTCCACACTTTTTTTATAATTCGAGTAAGATAATTCATCTAATTCTGTCCACGCAAAAGTCCGATTCTTGGGGAAGTTGTACGAACCAAGGGATGAAACGAGGGTGTTCTTCGTGGAGGCATACAACATTTTTTGCTTAATTGGAGCAACATCTGGAATGAAACTTATAAAAACGTAGTCTTCTTCATTAGAGATGATTATATATGAAGGATGTGGGAATTCTTTCGAGATGTGTTCGTGGACCAGGGTGAATAACGATTCAATGGAACTTTCAGTTGGTGAGGTATAGTTTGGGTCAGGAATCAATTGAGTGGAATCAGAAGATACTTTAATGATCAATGCTTGTGATTTCAAGTTCTTGAACGAGTCAAGCAACTCTGGTGATGCAGTTATACCTGATTGTGTAGACATATTGCACTAGTGCTGTAAAGAAGATGTCGGTTCATTTGAAACTTGCGTTGTTTTTCTGGATTATCGGAACCTGCCCGATTAGGCAAGGGAACATTTTCCATACAAACAAAAATTAAATCTAGCCGAAACTAAATCAATTAGTCAAACAGGAGCAACCAGCGATGGCAACCACACTCTACTCTTTGTTGTCGTCATTGGGTATCACCACGGCGATTCCAACATACAACCAAGAGAACCCCGATCCCATTGATCTTCAGATAAAGTCACTATTGTATTTGTTCAAAAGGTTCAGAATCAACAAATTGGCAGCATTTTTGGACAAAGATGATCTTAGTTTGAAATACGTTGACGATACCGAAGAAATCGAGGAGAATCAAAAACTAGATGAACAATTCAATATCGACCAATTTCTAAAATTGTTGATCAATGACGAATATAGAATATTAGTGGATTTCTTCAAGAATAAGTTCAGATCATATTGCATCCTTACCGAATACCCTAAGGGTATGGAGCCCTCATTCCCCGAGTTTAGAGATTCTAAAGACCAAAGGGTAGGCCAATTCCGATTCTTATTATTTCCTACATCAGGTGTGACTGTTGAATATGTGGCGAGTTTATTATCTGGATCAGACATCTATTGTGAACATTTTTCTTACTTGCCATACAAAGCAAGGGTGCGATTAGCACTTGAGTCAATTAGAGAAGTTACACCATTTGAATATAAAGCAGCCATATTAAACATCACATTATTGCAACGAACCAAAATTATTCGTGGATATTTAACCAAAATGGCATTCACAGTTCAATTACAGCGTATCTATCAAGAACGAATCAAGCTCAATTCACCAAATAAGTCAGACTCCGTAGCAAAACCGAACACTTCATCATCTCCAATCAAGATCAAGCCGAAGAAATTAGCGAAAATGGCATCATTCTCGAACTTAAACACACAAACTTCTCCGTCAAGATTATCCCCACGGAAATCAATGGCGAATTTAAGACCACCAAGTCCTGGAAAACAACTCAAACCAAAACCTTCAATTCCCAGGTTCCAACTTGAAGAATTGTACAATCCAGTGGTATCACCTGTTAAACCGGTAGATCAAATTTCAAACAGTTCCGATTCCGACATTTCTCATCCAATTTTGTATCCTGAGATATACGAAAAGTGCAAGTCTGCAATCATGGAACGATTGAAACGTGAAAGGTTAAAGCTTTAGCACATATGCTTTGGCACCTATATATATATATATTTATTTAGACATATGACATAAACATTTATATTTACGTTTATGCTTAAACTCTTAGACACAATGATAGTAAATGCAAATGGTAGCAACTCTTTCACAAGATTTAAGAAAAAAAAAATATATATATATATTCTAGCAACATTTCATCTCCTCTACAACAGGCTAAGCAACATGTTCAGACAAACTATAATACGTCGTTTCTGTACGACTCCAGCATATCTCAATAAAGGCTTCGGAGCCAAATCACTTAAACCACATGCGAAACAAATTCTTGGGAATCCTGGGAACAAGCAGCCCACATCAAACCCAGCCGATATGTTCAAGAGAAATGATGTCTTGATGTACTCTGACAAACCCATAAACTATATAGAATCAGTGAAACCTGATGGGTTCCACTTCTTCAATACTATGTTGATAACATCTCCTGATAAACAGGGTAAGAATGTTGGTGCAATTTTGCTTGGTACCGAAGTATACGAAGTTAATTTGGATAACCTTGAAATCGATAATGTTCGAGTAAATTTTCCCTCAGAAGTATTAAAGATCTTTAAAAAAGTCTACCCTAAACCGGAAATCGTTGTTATCGGATTGGGTAAACAAAACAGAATATTGATGCCAGAAACCAAGAATGTATTCAGTGAATTAGGGATTCAGACTGAAGTAGGTGATTCTAGCAGTGCTGCTCTGGTTTTTGATTTGTTAGCCACTGAAAGACCCAATGTTATTGGAGCTTTGTTGTTGCCACCAAACTTATAAGCTAGAAGTTTATAACTTGTATATAGTTCTTTTATAGACAATCGCTTACAAAAAGTTAAATATTATTGTACATTATATATAAATGAAACGAATCGAAACATAGTCTAAGCAGACATCAGCATAAGTTCCTAATATTATTCCTTGTCATACTTAGGCTGTTGTGTATAACCAAACAGATAAGGCGATATTTCAGAATATATCCCCGGAGTGTAAACATTCAGATGTTGAGGAGTTGACATCAATATCATCATATTGTTTGTAGGTTGTTGAATTGGATTTGAGGGTCCAGCAGTGGGCGATGGTCCTTGTTGTGGAATATTTTGTTGAACTTGAACATGGGGAGGTGGATGGTTGGGTGGTGGCATGCCATAATTTGGAACAGTAGAATAATACAGTGGAGATTGTTTGTCAAAAACTTTATCCAAGAAAAACTTGTCATTTCCTTCAATTTCAAAGCTAGAATGATCAGTGCTTATGTTTAAATGACTCGAATTCATGCTGTTATGTGATATGATGCTATGTTCCTTGGAAATGTTCACTTCCTTGGGAGGAACAAGCATTTCCAGCTGCACGTTATGGTTTTCCTTTTTTGTTGGTTTCTTGGACTTATTATTCATTAAAGTATGCACATCAGTAAATATGATTTGAAACTTATTCATCCCAGCTTGCATCTTAGCTTTATTAGTTTTGGATTTTTCTTCTTTTGATTTGGTCTTTTGTTTAAGTTTTGGCTGGCCACCAGCTTTTCGTTCAGAAAAGATCCCCATTCGAGGCTCAAGAGTTTTATTCTGGGGTGTGGGTGAAGGTGGCTGTTTAGGTTCGTCTTCATCTTCATCCGTGGTTTCCGGGGTGACTTTGGTAGGACTTACAATTACAATTGTGGATGGACTACTGGGAGCATGTAATTTCTGATTTGCTGGGGTTTGGAATTCAATCTTTGGCTTATTGGTTATATCTCCCAATGGTTTCTTCGGAGTCACAGTAACCGTCACTTTTTGTTGTTGCTGTATATTATCATCATTCTCCTCTTCCTCATCTTCATCGCCATTCTCTGTTCCTTCATCATCTTTTGCTGCTCCAGTAATATTCTGAGCTAAAATTGACAATTTTTGAGGTAGTCTAGGGGGAGTGTCCACAAGAGTGATGCTTCTCTTTGTAGCACTTTTCGTAGTATCCAACAACTTTATCTTTTGAGCACTATTAGGCGCCAGCATTTTGAATTTACTCGGAGTGATTGTTTGTAAATCCTTAATTGGAGTTTGGTTCATTGGTGAATCAATAAAGAAATCGGCTAAATGCAAAGTCTTCTCGTTGAATGGAGTTAAGTTGTTCAATTGATTTTGGATGGAATTAATTGTATGACTGTTTAAACAAGGTGTTAGGGAGAATCCATCAATTAGGTCATTGTTAGAGTAGGAATTACCCATTTGTTGAGCAACTAAAAATTTGTTGCTACTGGGTGTAGCATCAAAGCCTACTATTTGTTCATTGGAGTATGTCTTAGATATTAATGGTGTCCATCCTGTTAAGTTTGTGAATTGGGAATAAAACTTAGATGCCGAGGACGGGAAAGATGGTGGTTGGCTTTGTTGTGGTATTTGTTGAAGTTGTTCAGGTTGTTCAGATTGTTGTTGTGGATTTATTTTGGATTGTGCTCCTACTGATGGTGTCAATGAAAGTCCCAGAGAATGTTGTCTTTGTTTTGATTTTGATTTATGGGACAATTTCTTGGATTCAGGAGTATGAATTGTTGAATGGGAGTTGATTGTTTGGTGGATCGGTAATTTCTTCTTGCTGTCATCAGAATAGCTATAGAGCAAGGGATCTATTCTTGAAGGGGATGATCGAAGGAAATCATCCGACATGGTTTGATGTTATATGGGTAAGTATATAGCTAGGACAAGATGTGTATGGACAAATGTGTAATGTATCCCTTTGTTTACGTTTGTTGCTGTGAACGTAAAATGGTTGTTTGTATAAATGTCTAGTGTAGCTAGGGGGGGTTAAGAAGTACCCATATATTAAATAGCTATGTTTATATCAAGTCTTTAATGTCTTAGCAAGAAAATAGCAGTAACACTGATTAGGTTGTATTTTTATTGCCCAGTAGAAAGTGTAACTGTAGAACAAAGCAAGTAGTTAATAAGAATCAAAATATAAAAAACGCAAAGCTTCTATTTTGTTTTTATTTTTGTTTATTGTTTTGGAGGTGCGAGACTTTCAAAAGGGCGGCGGCGAGATCGATCTATTTTATTGACGTTTCTCTGTTTCATATTCACGCCCCACCTCTACAAAATTCTTTTTGTTACCGTGGTAGCTAGAAAACAAAGTTTATTCAGAACTGCAACGTGACTAAAAAGTTTGTTGAATGGTCATCAACTTTTTACCCAAGTTGTATAGTCATTTGCTTGGTAGGTTACAATTATTGAGACCCCCCAAAGGAGTGCATGCTGTTTTTTTTTGTTTACAATTTCGCGTCGCATGCAGACTCATACATTCTCAATTAACCTGAACAGGTGAACTTTATGATTGCTATACAAACTAAGTCAGTTAGCTAGCAGTATCTAAAATCTTCCCATTCTGCATCAACCGCAATTTTGTCACATTTCCTTCTGAAGCCATAGATTTCATAATTAAATTCCTGCCCCTGTCAACACTAAAAAAAACAATGTTTTATTTTTCTCACTAACAATTCAAAAAATTCGCGTTTTTGTGTAATATTCGGCCCAGAACAAATGTCAGAAAAATGCTTTCGCTTACCAAGACACATTTGGAAAACTGTGACATAAAAATCACAAGCCTGCCCCTGCTTGGCGCATGAATTTCTTGGACGATTTGCTTTATTATAAAGAAGTTTGGCTGCAGTTCGTCTACCGTTGCCAGTTTGCAAACAATCAAATAACGTTAATTTTAAATTAGGCCAACAAGATGACTCGGGTCTTTCCTTATGTACGATAAAGCACGGCGTTTGTTGTAGATTCGTATTGGCCAAGTTAGCACCGTTGAGTTTAGTTAAACCCCTTTTCTTTAACGATAGCCGCTGTAGTAAATGCGGATTTAAAATAGACGAGATCTGAAAGGACTACATTATTTGTTTCAAGTATCGTTTGATTTTATTCTATATACCGTAACAGAAGCACTCTCGCTTTCTAAAAATAACTCTAATCTATAACTCAAGTCTAGATGCCAAATAAATATTAAAATGCTTATAATTCAAGGGATCTATCAGGTGAGTTGATCCCTGTTAAATTTGGAGGAACATCATTTATGAAATCCAGTATTACTCGAGGAAAAACTGGCCAAAACATAACTGCATAAAATGCAACTGTCCAAGTAACAAAACTAACCACCCCTCTTTTATAATTGGTAATCACCTGACTGGCCAGTGTGAATGGCTTGAAACCTTTGATTCCATTATTAATGGTAGTTGCAATATGTCTGGTTGGTGTTGTGGAGAACGAACGTGAGAATGTTTGAACGGGTTTAATTCTAAGCATTGTATATATTATTGTATTATGTTATTGATGGTATGTAATAAATAAATCAAGACATTTTGAAAATCTCGGGATTCCAGAGGTATTTATAATGGAGTTTGAAAGCGACTGTTAATCTTCTTCATCTATGTGTCATCTGTATTGCTTGCAACGGGAATTGATACATTGCGGAAAATAAAAATTCGCAACCAAATTCAAAAAGCAATTTTTTTCTGTGCAAAGCCCGAAGTTGGAACCCCTGACAAATTGACAGCACCGGAATATCTTTCAAGCTTTAACATCTTTACTTGGCAAGATTATGCATAGTTATAAGATGGAATACATTAGAATGAAATAGATGGTAGTTTAATAATTTATTGGCACTATAGAAGCTTTAAGTTCTGAGTAAAAATCGTAAGCTACTAAAAGATATGGAATACAACTAAAAGCAACCAGAGGTTGAGGTTTAGAACATAGAGCAAACACACAAACAAACATACATACATTTATTACTTAGATATAAATTTAGACTAATAACAATTTCAAAATCGGGATTTATAGTTTTTCGGAATAATTATGTGGCTGGTATCAAACCCCATACTTTAAATGCGGAAAATAATTAGAGCTATAAACCGTAATTTCACGGAAGGACTAGATTTCACTTATTAATATATGTAAGATTTCCGATATAATCCCTCTATTTTCCTGTAGTTTCCGAATTAGATATATATACAACGATTTTCTTTTATCGGATCGAATTTGGCCAACCTCATTTAATTGTCAATGCTACCAAATATTCAAGTTTCTTTTTCCAGATTATTATCTTTGCAATAATTTCAAACATTGGGTATACCATAAGAGAGAATCTACCTAGAGAATAATATCTTCCATTTGATCAATACTTACACTCACTTGATATCAATATATTCAAACAGATCGCTATAAAAATGAGCAAACTAATCCAAAAACATATTATCAAATTGATATAACTAATTAAACAATTACAAAAATACGAAAAAAGGCTATCAAGATGACTTTTTAAAACGCTCTCCTCTTCTCATTAATAACGTTTTCATTTTGTTTAAGCAATTTGACCTTCAGCTTCCTTCCATTCTTCTTCAGTGACTCTCAAGTTTTCAGCCTCGTTAGCCAAATCTTCATCTTCGTAACCTTCTTCTTCTTCGTTAGCAGCCAAGGAAAGAGTTGGACGAACAACAGCAGAGTCAAAGGTCCAAGAAGCTAAAGCATTTTCAGCATCAATGATGATTTGCTTAGATGCTTCGTATCCATCATATGCAGGTCTGGTTTCACCTGGAGTAACTGGAGATTCATCCAATAATTCCAAAAGAGCCTTACCGTAACCAGCAATCAAGGCAATCTTTTCAGAATGTTCTCTAATAGAGTCGAATTGGTAGTTGAATGCAGTCTTCAATTTTTCACGAGTAATATTACTCAATTGGGCTTCAGCAACTAAGGATTCAGCTTCAGCTCTAACCAATTCTTGTTCCAAGACGTTAATCTTTGGAGATTGAGGGTCCTTATATTTCAAGTAAGCTATTTGATCAGTGATCTTTTGCTTTCTTTCTCTACTTGGTTGGACACTACCTTCAATATCACGAATACTCTTTAAAGTAATTCTGTATTGGTCGTATCTATCAATGAATTGATCTTCCAATTCCCCAACTTCGTAGATTAAAACACCTAACTTGTCAGTGATATCAGAAATATCGTCATCATTGGTTTCACCCCAAAGGGATAATTGCTTAGCAACATCCTTACGTTCACGAGAAGTGATTTCAATCAGTCTCATCAAGTTCTTTTCCATTTTAATTAAAATGGCCAACTTTCTGGCCAATTCAGGACCAAGGGCACCAGCCGCTTGCTTACGGAAAGAATGAGTGATTGAACCCTTACCGAAGAACTTCGACTTGGTAGAAGAAGGTGGTGGTGGTGGAGATTGCAATTGAGCAGCAGTAGGAGCTCTTTGAGATCTTAAGGAGTAGGTTCTATGCATTGTCGGAATAACAATTGATGATTTAATGTAAAAGAACTAAAGTGGGTTGGTACGAAGTTTTGAAATTAAATTCAACAGAAAAAAGGGGGGACCGCGGAGACAGAACTGAGAGCGATCACAACGTGAATTGAATTTGGTGATTATATTTTTTTTCTTGCCCATAGAAGAAACTTTGGTCGTGCAAAGAGCCTAATTTCAGGTTAGCCGTTATGTTAGATGTTCAATTTATATCTTGTTGGCGATATTTGCATTGTTCCGTATACTGAAACGAGAAGTATTGTGAAATTCATGCCTTAGCACTAGAGATAAAGTTGCGTCTCGATTATGTGTGTCATTTATCATTTCATTTTGTGACTTAAACGCAAAATGGGATATCCCCCTGGTATTAACCATAACTTTATTTTCTTTCTCCAAGGCTAAGCAAGAGGGTCATTTAATTTCAAAACCAAACGTACTATTGCTTTTGGTTGCAAACCATAAAACTTAATTGAATGACATTAACATTTTTTTTTATCTTTGCTAATTTTAAGTTGGCTGTCATATGCATAAATAATATAATTAGTTTTGCTTGCATTTCATCCTAAATAGGCAATAGGCTTCGCCTTTTTTTCTTCCTTCGAGTATCGATAACAATAAGCCCGCTACCAAATTTTAGCCACAGTGGTGAGACTTTTCCTGTGGACACTAAAGCGGTAGCGCTTCCTGATGCAAATTGCTGCAATTACGATTGGGGGATGTGATTAAAGAACATCTGTATATTTATATTTATACAAGTATCAAATAATGATAAACCAAGCTAAAGAGCCGACAATTTTTTTTTTTTTTAGCTCGCCTCCAAAATTCGTTGCACTGAATCAATAGCCGATAGTTTTAATGGTAACAATCAAACTTTCAAGGTTTCAATAGTTTTGGAATTATTAAATTTAAAAGTAGAGCTGCCGTATAAAGTATCCTTTTCGGGCTCTCCAACTGGAGTGTTATTCAATTGAGCAAATTTCTTATGGATTATATTAACAATACCTTGAGAACTTTATGTACCAGAAACGAGGAACAATCTCTTACCCGGGTCGTCCGAGTTTTCAAAAGCCGAAATATGAACAGCTGCAACATCACGAACATCAACAAATAAAAGATGAATATCAGATATTTTATAAGTGGGAGAAATATTTCTCAAATAGGGAATCCCCGAATTATAGTGTCAAGTATTGCTATTTTACTCACAATCTTTGTATTGATTGAAACTACAGCAACAATCAGAAGAGACAGCGTATTGGGTAGTAACATATTTCAATTGCTTCTGCTGTTGTTAAAACATGTTTCTTTGTAATTAATGCATGTTGACTGCTTGCGTTAATGAATGAATTTCTTTAGTGGCTTACATTATAGTATCAATTATTTACAATCTGACTAAATTATCTTCAGCTATATCCTTTTTAAGATTTTGAATTAGTAAATTAAATGAGAAATCACTTTGCAGAGTATATTTGTTGAATAGTATCAAACACCGATTTTTCCAATGAAATGAACTCAAACCCAAGTAATTTCTTGGTTTTTGAGTTGTCATATTTAAGTGCCCTTGACAATTGTTCTTGATCTTTTTCGTAACTACCATTGGGAACTGTAGATTCTGGAAAGTTTTTATTGATAATTAGAACTAGACCTTCGTTTGTAAAGCGATCACTCACTAATAATAACCTTTTGTTGGCTGCTTCTTCTTTTTCAAATGCTGCAATATGAGCTTTAGCTACGTCTCTTACATCAACAAACAACCCAGTGAATTCGGGAATCTTATCAGAAGATCCTAATTTGATAACTTGATTAATTAATTCAGCTGAATAGTTCAACTGTGATTTCTTCGTCACTTCAAAAGCTTGCGGACCTAACACAAATGCTGGGTTGACGGTTGAAAGTTTGAAGCTAGGATTCTTCTCTTTTACAAAATCCCAAGCAGCTATTTCTGAAAACTTCTTGGAACCAAAATATCCAGCTTCTGAGTCTTTCAAGCTTTCTTCCCAAGTGATTGGACTCCAATCATCTTCCGTATAAGTTTTGTTTGGGTCAAATTTTTTAAACCAATTAAAAACAGCAACCACAGAAGAAGTAAGAACCATTCGTTTTATTTGTGGTCCATGAGTTAGAACAGATTGTAGGACATTTTTGGTGCCATTAACTGCAGGCAATAGCAAATTATTTTCTACATCATCGGTAGGAACACTTGCAGAAGATTTAGTATGTAAAAATACAGTAACTTCGGGGTGCCTTTTAAGTACTTCATCCAATGCACCTTCTGCTCCAATGTGAGGTACTACCTCGTAAGAAAAGTTGTCCGAATGGATAACCTCTTTTACTTGTTCCCCTTTAGCCTCTGACCTCACTGTCCCTATGACACTATAGCCTTTGTCAAGCAATAGTTTAATAATATGTTGTGCAATGAAACCGTTAGCACCAGAAATCAAAATCGAAGATCTCATTTTATATATAGTAGTACTTGACTTGAAGAATTTGATTACAAATAGCACTCTGCAGATTCTTCAATATATATATACGCGAGAATCATTATGTTTATAAGTAATTAAAGGGGAAGAAGCAAGCAAAAGTGAACAATTATGTAGGCTTCACTCAAGCTACTGCATATGGGAGTATGACAGATTGCTAAATCTCATAACTTGAATTGCTTGCAAAATTAATTGCATGATTATACACCTCTCTGAAATGAGGCTGTATTATAGTGTTTTACTATTAGATTGGGAATAATTTTTGGTGGATCAATCTACCTAATGCTTAGCCCATGAATATATAACTATCGAATACAAAATAAAAATCGGCCCATTTAGGAAGCAATAATAGTTTGCCAAAGTAGCAGCTTAGACTCATTAAAGTTTGTCTTTCATGATATTCCTTCCATAAAGTTATATAGCAGCCGTATGTTGAACTAAATCATATTAGTTTGGTGTGGCTTCAATAATACGAACCTATCTGGATTGTGGCTACAACGTATTTTTATTGAACATTCCAAAATTTGTTTGCGTGCGCGTTTTCTCCTTCCGTTTTTGGTTTCATTTTCCCCCGATTAATTTACGACAGCCCGGACGCCGAAACTCGCATTATGACTGAAAAAAAAAGAAAAGAAATTTTTAAAAAAAGCCCGGAAGTTTTTCAGAAAAACATCTGTCCCACATAAACTCCTGATTTAACACTAGTTTTCTTTACTTGAACCCCTTGCCAGACGGCTAACAAAGTCACCATGCCTACTATATTCCACAGATATAACGTGCTTCTTAAAAATTATCCATTCCGTACCAATATGATAACCACGGGGATATTGTTTGGTGTCGGTGATGTTATTGCACAATCACTTTTCCCACATAAAACACTGCACACTGAGATCACCGAGCGCGGAGATACTCGTGAAGTTGAAGTGGTGTCTGAGTATACATTTGTACGTACAGCACGAGCTGTTGCTTATGGTTCTTTCTTCTTTGCACCCATCAGTGTATTATGGCACGGGAAAACATTACCCAAGATCAAGAATCCATTTGTCAGCTTAATGAGAAGAAATAGAATGAAGGAACATCCTCAACTCAAGAAAAGATTGCACTTTTACGATACTGTGTTCAGGTTAACTATTGATCAATTGATATTCCCTGCATTTGTGTGGATTCCATTGTATAATACTGTTATGGTAACGCTTGCATTACATGAAAACCCACTTGAGTTGGTGAGACAAAAGTTGGAAAATAATTGGTGGAATGTTCTTAAAGCAAGTTGGACAGTCTGGCCAGGATTCCAATTGTTTAACTTGTATTTCATTCCTGTCCATCTTCGGATTGTTTGTCTGAACATTTGGGCAACTGGTTGGAACGCATTTTTAAGTTTTGTTCATAACACAAAGGGTCACGGTAAGGGAAGTGGTAAGAGAATTGAAGAGTTGCTTGATATTGAAGATGATGAACAAGAAATAACCATGGTTTATGATTAGATTTCCATGGCTTTCTTTTGTGCTGCAAAAAAAATAAAAATTACAGGCGGCCAAATGCGTACGTAAATATTCGTGCGCAACTCAATTCCACCATCACAAAGTCGCAACTATAGTTGTTATCAACTCACCCCCCTTTTAATATTTATTCTACAACAAACAACATAGCAATCACAAATTATTATTTATTAACTGCTAAAACTGACAGGCGGAATTTTAATAGAATTATGGTAGAGGACAATATGCTGTCAGTAACCAAAGGAATGAGCAGTGTAGTTTCACGATACAACCATATGCTTTTGAAGCAGCCACTAGTGACTAATATGATATCCACAGGGTTTTTATTGGGAACTGGAGATGTCATTGCTCAAGTTTTTTTCCCACAAGATCCAGATCAACCATTTGATTTTAAGAGAAATTTGAGAGCAGTGATTTATGGATCAATCATTTTTGCACCTATTGGAGACAAGTGGTACAAATTTCTCAACACGGCAATCAAACTGCCTTGGAAGAGAAAGGTACTTTCTGAGAGAACAATTTCCACAATGATGCGGGTTGCAGTCGATCAATTGGTTTTTGCTCCATTTATAGGTATTCCGTTGTATTATTCAGCAATGACTATAATGGAAAATAAACAACCATACCTTGAGAATATTGCTGCTAAATTCCGTACTAGTTGGTGGGTTACTTTGAAAGGCAATTGGTTAGTGTGGCCGATTTTCCAATGGTTTAACTTTTATTTGATTCCAGTCCAATTTCGTTTGTTGGCTGTGAATATTATCAGTATTGGATGGAATACTTATTTAAGTTATATCATGCATAGTAGGTGATTGTTTATTTATATATTTATTCATTAAACAGTATTAAACTAGACGACAATGTTAGCATGTAGTTTTTTTTTTCTATTTGAATTTACAAATTTTAAGCGGACATGCATGGACGCAGGTTTAAATTAAGGTTTCTAACTAAAACAGGAACTGAATTTAAATCCAACTTACCTAATCCAGTAACATGCAATTTGACCCCTGGGTGAGATTCGTTTATGTTGATTGTTCTAATTTGCTAATCCCTCTAGTTTAAACAGGTTAACATTACAGATGCAACATATTACTGAAAAATGCAGTCAAAAAATGCAGAAAAAAATAATTAAATATGAACTTTGTCAGATCCAGATCCACGAAAAAGTATCCTCAGGCAGAGGAATCGCCTATAACTTCTATTTAAAAATGGAAACATGTCCTCGCGTATTGTTTCAACTCAGACCTACGTCAAAATGACGTCATTTCAAATTTTAGTATTGATACACTTTTTTTTTTTGTCGTGCCAATTGGAGACAAACGGTGGTCTAGAAAGTAACCCATCATTGTATTGACAACAAGTGAAAGTAATACGTGCAGCATATAACTAACGAGATCGTACATGGTTTACTGACACATGCCTGGTAACTCTAAATGTTACATAAGTGTTGCTACTGTTATATACCCTGAGGTCGTGTATTTGTCGACAAAAGTGTAACAGAATCAAATCACCCGAGTGTAAAATTGTTTGGTGGTGGAACAGAAACCGCACGCACACAAAAAAAAAATGTTCGATAGGGCTTTTTGTACGTTCACACAACTAAAGTGGAGAGGGGCACTACTCCCCTGGACAACTAACGATCAAATTGACACCAGATCAAGCTTAACAGCATTTCTGACTCAAATGTGTTTCGTTAATTGTTGGCTATGATCACAATAGCAGTGTATAGTTGTAGCATTAGATCCCATCCGTAAATTCCAGCAAGAAGGCAATCAAACAATGTAATATTTCTGGTTGAAACTGTAGAAAAAGTATTTCACATAGTTAACTCTACTAATTTTTTTTTTTTCCAAATTTGTCCAACCTCCAAAAACGCACAACACAACAACAAAAACCTACGATAGTTTTACAACAACACCACACTCACACCAATCAATTCTTTATTTAGACAGGCAACCACTAGAAACATCAATACCAATACTGTGGGTTTACTGTACGCGTTCTTCACCACCTCCCCTTTTTATAATACCAAAAGACGTTAATTCTTGCCTTACACACTGTGGGAAACGCCGAATTGACCTACACATATTTATTGTACACATACAATTAACAGCAGCACTTTCTTCATAATAGCAAAAACTACCAGCTGTAGTAGCACATACCAAGTTCACCCTTAACACATCGAATCTTACATATATTGGGACCTTGCTGAGTCGATTTCAGTCACCCCTTTCCACATATACTTATCATTTTTACCACATAACCACTCAAAATGATGAAAGGGTTCAAAAACAGACTTACACGAAACAAAAGTCAATCATCCAACAAAAAGTCTGACAAGAAATCTCCTGAAAAGGAGAAAGTGGAAAAGTCGGAGAAAAGACTGTCTTCTCCAAGTTCCATTGGCAGTGGAGGCAGTTCTTCTCAACAAAGTTCCAAGAATCTATTATCGGGGTCTTCTTCCACATTAAACAGAACTTCTTCTCCTAACCAATCTAGAAATAATAGCAGTGCTGGATCTATTAAATCAGCTACCAGTAACGCTAGCATGACATCCTCACCACAAGGACTGCCATTACGTGCTGGTTCACCAAAGAATAACGATGAAAACAATCTTGGAGTTCCACAAAGATCAAATTCCCCAGGATTCTCCATAGGTACATCTGGACCATCTACCCCTGGTAATAGCTCAACAATCCCCGTGATCACCACCACCTCTCCAGGTGTTGTTCCTCCAGCAATCACTCCACCCAGAATAACCACAACCGCGGCCCAAACCTCGTCAAAACCAGCAATCATTAGTGGCAATTCACCATTCAACGGCCAATCACAGGTACAACAACAACAACAGCAGGCACATACTCAACAAAACCTTCCGTTTACCCCAACCCCTACTTCCCCGCTCACATCGTCATCTTCAGTTGTGGCGGCCGGTGCAAGCACCGGCATTCCAAGTACTTTGCATGGCACTGGATCTCCATTTGAAATTGGAAAAGCAAGCCACAGTCAACATGCAGCACAAACTCATTTCCAATTGACTCCAAATATTGCTTCTCCTAATAGAGAACCCATTGATATTGATTTGATTGTTACACCTAAAAGACATTCATCATCCAGATTCGAACCTCCAAATGCTGATAGATATCAAGAAATTACCAAGTTGCCTAACTTTGATGAGGTATTACCTGAAGATCAAATTCAATTATTTATTCAAAAGATCGACCAGTGTAATGTCATGTTTGATTTTAGCGATCCAACTTTTGATATTAGAGGTAAAGAAATAAAAAGAATAACTTTACAAGAGTTAATTGCATTCATTTCAAACAACCGATTCACTTATACTGATGAAATGTACAAGCATGTGGTTACAATGTTTAAGAAGAATCTTTTCCGTCCAATTCCTCCACCAGTTAACCCTGTTGGTGAATTATACGACCCTGATGAAGATGAACCAGTTAGTGAGTTAGCATGGCCGCATATGCAAGCCATATATGAATTCTTTTTAAGATTTATTGAACTGCCTGATTTTCAACACCAAATTGCCAAACAATACATTGACCATGAATTTATTTTGAGGATTTTGGAGTTGTTTGATAGTGAAGATCCTCGCGAACGTGATTGTTTAAAGACAACTTTGCATCGTATCTATGGTAAGTTCCTCAGTTTGAGAAGTTTTATTAGAAAGTCTATCAATAATGTATTTTTACAATTTGTTTATGAAACCGAGAGATTCAATGGTATTGGAGAATTATTGGAAATATTGGGTTCAATTATTAATGGGTTTGCATTGCCTTTAAAGGAAGAACACAAGATATTCCTTGTCAGGATTTTAATGCCATTACATAAAGTAAAGAGTTTATCATTATACCATCCTCAATTGGCTTATTGTATTGTGCAATTTTTAGAAAAAGATCCAACATTAACTGAAGATGTTATCATGGGATTATTGAGATATTGGCCAAAGATAAATAGTCCTAAGGAAGTTATGTTCTTGAATGAAATTGAGGATATTTTTGAAGTTATGGAGCCTAATGAATTTGTCAAGATTCAAATTCCATTATTTGCTCAATTGTCCAAATGTATAAGTTCTCCTCATTTCCAAGTTAGTGAAAAAGTATTGTGCTATTGGTCAAATGAATATTTCTTGACATTGATAACTGAAAATGCTGAAGTTGTTTTACCAATTATCTTTGCGTCATTATATGAATTAACCAACGCTACTCAACCTGGGATTGAAAATGGAATTATGCAGCAAAAATTACAACATTTCCCTAATGCCACCACCGATGCCAATGGCAATTTAATTGATAGTGGATTAGTATTGCAAGATTTACAACTGGGTATAATTCCAAGTTCAAATGATCCAAACCATCCCCATTATAATATCTTTCAGGTTCATGCTTCAGTAAATAACAGTGCAGAACAAAATCCACAAGTATTACAACATCAGCAGCAACAACAGCAACAGCAAAATGAAGGACTTGGACATGGTTCCGGTGAACCAATCCCAGGAAGCACAGATATCAATGGAAATGATATGACTGAAGATGAATATTACGATCTGTTTAGCTCAATGCATAATGCCAGCGCTAATTCTATGGACGAATATGGAGGATTTGATGATAGCAACATGTTACAACATAATTCTGCTACCTCTAATTGGAACCGCAGTATTCATTCATTAGCTTTTGGCGCGTTGAAGGTGTTTATGGATCATAATCCTGTGTTATATGATCATTGTACTGTATTATATCACCAATCGTTAGAGGAACAAAAACAAAGAGAAGTCATGAGAAAGGAAGGATGGAAAAGAATTGAGGAGTATGTTAAGAAGATTAAAGAAAAACAAGACCATGGAGCAGAAGATCATACTAGCGAGAACATAGAAATAGTAAAAAAAAAAAGAAAATAGTTGCTATAGCGATGTTCGATAGTTGAAGATGTCTCATCAGTTACCAGTAGAAGGTCTGCTTTCTTTAGTGTATATCTATGTGGTTTCGTTTTTATATATATATATATAACATTTTTATTTTGTTTACCTTGCCGGAGAATTGCAGTTGTAGAAAGATGAAAACTATTGCAAAATTTACCCTATATTTTAGTGTTACCCGGATAATTGTCCAGTTAACTTTGGCGTCTGCGAAGATTTATCAACAAATTTTTTTTTACCACCGTTTCTTTCTGTTGCAAACGCAACCAAACTATAAAGTGTATGTTTCGAAAGATACAAAGATCAATAGTTTTCGTGATGATAAAACTTTCTCAAATTTGCATTCTTGACCCATTCATAAATTTAGTCGTTTATGAACAATTCATGAAGAGACCAAGAAAGAACCGCTACTCTGATTTTACACATACTATTGATATTACATCTGAGATATGATTTACTAACAAAGATTTATAAAGTCTGTATATATCTTTTAACCGATTGAGTAGTTTTATTCAGTTAAATCAGAATATGATGTTTTATTTGCTGCTATTTTCCATGTTAGTTTTACATAGCATGGAGAAGACAGTATGAAAATATAAGCAACAAGCATTCGATAAGAATAAGTTCAAACGAAAATCAGTCAAAAAAAATCAAAGAGAGTTTTCTTTTGGAATTATCTTTGTCGTATATTTAGTTTTCTTACATTTACATCATGGTCGTAAATATAGGATTATCAGAAACGTTGATAATTCCAAACAGAGCCCAATGATTGATGTTGTATTAGTGGTTCTGTATTATGCATTACTGTCCAATACTACTGGTAAAGTTTTAGATTCAGAATGCATTTGTTGAAAATATGTCAATTAGCAAGTATTGTTACAACTCTTAAGATAAATGTTAACCTCTTCTACTTAACATAAAACCCTTTCACCCCTCACGCATGCTACTGGCATCTTTGCTACTGAATCAAGTATAGCGATTTCTTAAAATGCAAGATTAGTCGGCTTAATTATTTTTGTTTGCAACAAGTTAACTAGTAAACCGCACAGAATCACGAGATACATGTAATTCTAAGGTAAACAAAGCTCAAAAAGTCTCCAAAAAAAGGCCCATGGAAAGTAGGTCAAATGAAGATTGTATTAGTTTGAATTGTCTGACGGTTCTCATTTCACACTTTATATCTGTTTACATACCAATATAGAGCCTGCTTAGTAATATATTGCTAATTTATCATAGTGCGAAAATGGCGATTTGAGTAAGCCCGGTTTGCTGGAGCTACAAGAGGAACTGAACCCTGCTTACTAATATTGATTTTACACGTTATTATGAAATCCAATTTGTACTGTTGTGGAGATCCAGTAACTATTTTCTAGATAAACTATAACACTGCTATCTTGCTTGATAGGTTTTTGTACTATATTACATAGTGGTCCATACAAAACATACGATTATACCCTCGATAATTAAAGCGCAATACGTAATTAATTTGACTCTGTAAACAGTTTTGTGTAATGTGACTGTAAACATTTCTTTTTCTCTAACGAGAATGCGCATCGCAGGGCAAGTCAAAAATTTTTCAAACTTTTTTCTTCTTTTTCTATCCTTTTCTTTTCTTCTTTTTCTTTTTGGCAAAGTTTGCCCCGTTTGAATAGGACTATCTTTTAATTCGACTAACTTAATATATCATCATGGTTTTAGACGCTGCTTCTGCCACTTCATACTTGAAAAACTACAAGGAAAAAGACGGATTATCTGTTAAGCAATTGATTGATTCTACCAACTTTGGTGGTTTGACTTATAATGATTTTTTGGTTCTTCCAGGTTTGATTAACTTCCCATCTTCTGCTGTTAGTTTAGATTCTAAATTAACCAAGAAGATCACTTTGAGATCTCCATTTGTTTCTTCTCCTATGGATACTGTTACCGAAGAAGCCATGGCTATTCACATGGCTTTATTGGGTGGTATTGGTATTCTTCACCACAACTGTACTCCTGAAGAACAAGCTGAAATGGTTAGAAAGGTCAAGAAGTACGAAAATGGGTTCATTAACGACCCAGTTGTTATCAGCCCTGATACCACTGTTGGTGAAGTCAAGCAAATGAAGGTTGAATTAGGATACTCTTCCTTCCCAGTCACTGGTATGTTTTTAATAACTTCAAAAAAGGACTACGTGAATTTGTTATGTCATGTCTTACTTATACTCTTTTTATGATGATCAAACTTTCTATTTAATAACTTTCGTTCTACCGAATTACATCAAACGATGTTGAGGAGAAACTTTTATTCTGATTTTGTTTGACATAGCATTCACTTGTTTATTGATTTATTTTTGGGATCTATTACTAACTGTTTAATTTAGAAACTGGTAAGATTGGTGGTAAATTAGTTGGTATTGTCACCTCCCGTGATGTTCAATTCCACGAACAAGACGATGACAAGGTTTCTGTTATTATGACTACTGATTTAGTCGTTGGTAAGCAAGGTACTACCTTGAATGAAGGTAATGAATTGTTGAGAACCTCCAAGAAGGGTAAATTACCAATTGTTGATTCAAATGGTAACTTGGTTTCTTTGATTTCCAGAACCGATTTACAAAAGAATCAAACTTATCCAAACGCTTCTAAGTCATTCGATTCTAAGCAATTGTTGTGTGGGGCTGCCATTGGTACCATTGAAGCTGATAGAGAAAGATTAGACAAGTTAGTTGAAGCTGGATTAGATGTTGTTGTTTTAGATTCTTCTAACGGTTCTTCTGTTTTCCAATTGGATATGATCAAATGGATCAAGAACAAGTATCCAGATTTACAAGTCATTGCTGGTAATGTTGTCACTAGAGAACAAGCTGCTTTATTGATTGAAGCTGGTGCCGATGGGTTAAGAATTGGTATGGGTTCCGGTTCCATTTGTATTACTCAAGAAGTTATGGCTTGTGGTAGACCTCAAGGTACTGCTGTTTACAATGTCACTGAATTTGCTAACCAATTTGGTGTTCCATGTATTGCTGATGGTGGTATTGGTAACATTGGTCATATCACCAAGGCTCTTGCTTTAGGTGCTTCTTGTGTTATGATGGGTGGTTTGTTAGCCGGTACTACTGAAACTCCAGGTAATTACTTTTACAGAGACGGTAAGAGATTAAAGACTTATAGAGGTATGGGATCTATTGATGCCATGCAACAAACTAAGCAAAATGCCAATGCTTCTACTTCTAGATATTTCTCTGAATCTGATCAAGTTTTGGTTGCACAAGGTGTTTCTGGTGCTGTTGTTGATAAAGGTTCCATCACCAAGTTTGTTCCATATTTGTTTAATGGTTTACAACATTCTTTACAAGATATTGGTATGAAGTCTATTGAAGAATTGAGAGAAAAGACTGATTCTGGTGAAGTTCGTTTTGAATTCAGAACCGCTTCTGCTCAATTCGAAGGTGGTGTCCACGGTTTACACTCTTATGAAAAGAGATTACATAACTAATCTTGTCTATCGTCATTTTGTTTAAAATTTTTTTTGTATATTTAACAATATAAAATTGTATTTGGGTTTAAACTATGGCAAATGTAGGGAGCGTCCGGGTGAGCAACACCAATTTTGATATTGGGAAAAATAAAAATGGAAATAGAAATGGAAATCTACGAGCAAGAGGTCACACACCAAATTGACAACATGAGTAATTACATGAGTTATGATAGATACAACCAGCCAACCAAGTTGGATCAAAATGCAAACACCAATATAGATCAAGACCTTGCCAATTCACGAAGCACCAAATACCAAGAAAGACAATTGGAAGTTAAACAATACTTGTATGATGTAATTACACCTCATTACCCCCAATTGTTCACCAAGAAGTTCAGTACAGACAACACCACTTCATTCATAAAAACCGTTGATTTGATGGATATGTTAAAAGACGGAGAAGTGTTGTGTAAACTAGGTTCATTATTGAGTGACGTACCTGGTAACCCTACGGTCAAATTCAAGAATTCACAAATGGCATTCATTCAAATGGAAAATATCTCGTTCTTTTTGAAATTATGCGAATTGATAAATTTACAACATGATGAAATATTTCAGACTGTTGATTTGTATGAAAAGAAGGATCCTTATCAAGTTATTGTTACGCTTATGTCGTTCTCTCGATTGGCTCATGATATAGATAGTATTAAGTTTCCAAGAGTAATTGGGCCAAAGATTGTCAAGGTTAAACCCCTGGTACCTAATAAGCCATTCAAGTTGAGAGCATAGTTAGAACTTCTACATGATTATATAGTGACAGTCAGACAGTCAGACAGTCAGACAGACAGACAGACAGACAGACAGGCAGACAAACACACACGAAAACAGCATAGCCTTATATACAGGAACATTTAAAACGTCTTAATTTTTATTGTGCCAATTTCTTTTGTGCAGACAGAGAGATGAGGAATAAAAAAAAATTTATGTAAATCAAAACCTACTCTTAGTACACGGTGATTCGTAAATTAGGTACCCTCCATACAAGAGATATATCGGTATACAAGTCTCCTAGGACTGCATAACATAGCACATACTCAATAGTTTAAGCTAGCACACATTTTCACATCCTACATAACATAATAGAACACAGTTGCATTCATATAAGTATATAATTTTTCACGATGTCTGACGAAGTTATTTGGCAAGTTATCAACCAGCAATTCTGTGCTTTCAAATTAAAGACCGACAAGGGTCAAAATTTCTGCCGAAATGAATATAACGTAAGCGGGTTATGTTCAAGACAATCATGTCCTCTTGCCAATGCAAGATATGCCACCGTCAAGAACATAGGCGGGAAGCTATATCTTTATATGAAGACTGCCGAACGTGCACACATGCCTAATAGATGGTGGGAGAGAATTAGATTGTCCAAAAACTATAACAAGGCGTTGAGTCAAATAGATGAGCATTTACAATATTGGCAAAAGTTCTTGATTCATAAATGTAAACAAAGATTGACTAGATTGACTCAAGTTGCTATCACCGAAAGAAGGTTGGCTTTACAGGACGAAGAAAGACATTATGTCGGTGTTAAGCACAAGGTTAAGCGAAGAGAAGAAAACAGAGAAAGAAAGGCTTTGGCCGCCGCTAAGATTGAAAAGGCCATTGAAAAGGAATTGTTAGATAGATTAAAGTCTGGTGCTTATGGTGATAAGCCTTTGAATGTCGACGAAAACATCTGGAAGAAAGTCTTGGGTAAGGTTGACGAAGTTGACCAAGAAGATGAGTTTGACGAAGAAGATGATTTCGAATTGGAATCTGGAGAAGAAGATGAAAGTGACTATGGGGAAGTTGAATATGTTGAAGATGATGGAGATGATGAGTTAGTTGACGTTGAAGATTTAGAAAGATGGTTGGAACAATCTTCTGATGAATCCGAAGAAGAATCTGATGACGAATCAGACGAAGAAGAATCTAAGAAACGTAAGGCTACTTCTGATAACAATAAAAAGAAGAGAAGACCAAGGGTTGAAATTGAATATGAAGAAGAACCTATCCAAACTAACATTGTTGCTTGAGTTCTTTTTCAAACGGTATTTCTGGGATTATAGATTCATGTATAGTAAAATATAGCAATAGCTTTAATTTAGTAATCTTAATAGTTCGACATTCGTAGGCAATTTCTCACAGACTGTATCAGGCCAGTGGCTTAAAATTTATTTCACATTGTAATGGTTGCCTCTGGAGGTATGAATTAGTTGAACTATCTCTATATATATATTCCGGTAAAAAATGTAGAACCACCAGGGTTTAACTAGATGATTTAACGAAAACAAGAATAATGGAAAAGCTGATAGGGTGCGTACGCCAAAATTTGCAGTGTGCCAAGTGGAATGTTTTTTCAATAATGACAGATACACCTGAAGGTGTTCATACTCTCTCAAGTTCTATTCTTGTACTTCAGAAAGTTACCTGTTTTCCTAATATTGTTCAGAGAAATGATACAAATTTGTTCCTTTGTAGCCAGATTTGCGTGTATTTTGGTAAAACATGCAAACTTATCTATTTTTGGCAACCAAATATCAGATCAGTGGAATTGTGTGCATAATACGCCACATTTCAATCGGGAAGAGGAAATCCTAGCCCCCTGTTTCAAATTAACTCCATTTCTCGATTGTAAAATCCGATAAAAAGGAATGTAACACAGCGCGCTTGAATAAATTGCTAGAAATACTACTCAAAATCGAAAGCTGTACACCTTGTGTTTTCTGAACATTTACGCTATAGACAAACAATAGTTTCAACCAACCATGTCAAGACAGTAACTTGTGGATACCAAACGACTATATAAACTATTTCCACTTTGTTTCACTAAATTATAGATCTCACTTAGATATCAGACCCCAATTCACATAGGTAGCTTACTATAGGTTGAGCCCCTCGAACTGTCCCCACCTTACCAAAGTTCGGTTCACGTCGGAGATTAAACAAAAAAAAAGAAAAAGCGAAACAATGACTTTCGCAACCCACAATCAGGAAAATTAACCGTTGCCGGATTTAACACCCTAAAATCCTAAACTGCAGTTTGGTGAATGTTCTAAGATCGATTTGTATTAACACAGTTATAGTCAAAAGTTGCGCTTAAATATATACTTCTTATTGACTGATCTATATTTTTAACTTATAATTGACTTATTTTATAAAGAGTGATTTCACATTTTTTTGAACCTCATATCGGAGATAGTATTTCTCGTAATTCCTAAAAAAAATTTTTTGCGTTATTATTCTGAGATTTTCCACAATCAACCTATTCCTTAGGTTCGTCAAGTGCCAAGTGAAAGAGTCAAAATAATATCCGGGTCGGAATATTATAGAAAGCACAGCCTTCCTATTGCTAATACTTTTAGAATAAAAAAAATTTGATAATCTAAGAAAAATCTGTGCTATTATTTTTACCTTTTCAGACAATATGTTCGGAAGCGGCATCATAATAATTTTATATAAAGAGTTCCGAAATCGCCACAAATTTGCACCTTTATAATTTCTTTTCTCTTGGCTCTCTATATTCCTCCCAAGCCATGTCGTTAACACTTCCAAGTTGGACGCCTACCACAACTGCCACCTCTACTACATTGACAAGCATTGCAACCGACTATGTGCCCGCATTAGAATCAAGTTTAAGCGCAGCAATAAATACGATTACTAAGACAAATTTAAAACGTAAGGATTTTGTCACTGCTTCTAGAGTCATCAGGGGTGCTCAAGCTTCATTGGCTGCTATCCTGGGAGAACAAGTCTTGGCTACTGCCACTGCAGATTCTGTCAAGGCAGAAGCAACCCAGGTCATTTGGGACGCTACTGAGAATTTAAATGCATTGTTCTGGGAAGAAAACGTTTATGATATTGTCAGTTTAAGCAGACCAGCAAACATTATTTTCTTGGTAATTTTTTCAATCACATTCTTATACACTTTACTTATGTTAATAAAATCAAGATATCATTGGTATAACGTCGCTTTCACATGTGGGTTAGCATTAGAATTCCTTGGGTTCTTGGGAAGAGTGTTATCATTCAGTGACATGACCAATGACAATTATTTCTTACTTCAATTGATTTGTTTGACATTGGCTCCTGCATTCTTGATGGGTGGTATTTATTTCCTTTTCGGCCAGTTGGTGGTTATCCACGGTAGACAATACTCTTGGCTTAAACCATTACACTATTCGTATATTTTCATTGGATGTGATGTATTGTCTTTGGTGATTCAAGCTGCCGGTGGTGGCCAAGCAAGTATTGCTTCTCAAAACTATCAAGATGCTGATCCAGGTACATATACCATGATTGCCGGTATTGCATTCCAAGTGTTTGCCATGTCGATCTTTTTAATCTTTTGGTTCACGTTCTGGTTTAAAGTATATTTCAAGATTGACACAACTGGCAACGAAGACAAGAACTTGGGATACGGCAACAAGTATCAAAAGAAGTCATTGTTAAACTACATCAAATTAGCTCTCAATGGTAAGAATGCTGACGAGTACAAGAGAACCGTATTGGATCCAAATTATAATGAAAAATACTCTTCAATTAGACTGAGACCACTTTATAACTACTACATGCTTGCCATTTCAATTGCTGTCATTGCCATTTATATCAGATGTGTGTACAGAGTTGTTGAATTAGCACAAGGGTTCAGTGGATATTTGATTACTCATGAAGCCTTCGTTATGACTTTGGATGCTACCATGATTGCCATTGCTGCTATTATATTTGTTCCATTCCATCCACAAATAGTAATGGGTGCAAGTAATGTGATCAGATTGAAGTCTATTTCCAACAATCACGATGAGAAAGATGTGGGCGATGAAATAACTTATGCTGCAGCTGAAGATAACGCAGATGGTAAAGGCGCATCAGATACTATTCAAAAAGAATTTGAGTATGAATCTGTATAAATGTCACTAGTTACTGTACATATATTCCTTATTTTTTTGGAAATGCAATATATTGTTTAATTTTGCAATCGCAGTTACTTGACCCAACTTGGGCAAGAAGTAACGAAATGCTTTTTTGTACATTTATGCGGTGTATTGTTTGTAGAACAATGGAGAAGCTTAAAATTTACGAAAGGTTGGTCCATGTAGACAAGACCTTGTTTGTGTAGCCCCAAGTTCAAACTGCGCCTCTTGTTGATAAGGAGAGAAAAAATGAAAAATCGGGAATAACTACCAAATGGGGAATTAAGATCGAAACGGTAAGCCAAAGCAAGATCAACGGTCCGAGATATACTGTTACATTCCCGCACGTGTGGGGGATATTATTATGATACTATTCATCTGAACCACATATTTAATGACCTCATTTGAAGAAATTACTATAGAAGAAACTCATTTAATTCCTACAGGAAATTTAATTTGAATCTCGAGACCAGGACGGGGTTTATAACCCGAACGATTTACGAAAGACTAGTAAGATTATTGCAAGGGTCAATCTAACCCAATAGCTCACGATACTAGTCCCTATCTGTATATCAACCTAAATATAGGAGTTAAATTGTCATAATAAGGCGCAGTTTAACCTTCTTCTCGAAATAAACCACACTAACCCGACCGGCTTTATCAACCTTCCGTGTCTTTTTTTTCTTCTTTTTTTTTTTTTATTTTTTTCACCTGGCGGGGAGGAGTGACTAGTTATAAACACCCATCAATTCTTTGTGTGTGTGTTTTTTTTTATTTGGGAGTTAAATTGTCAATGCAAAGCAGGCAGAATGTTTGATATATCGGAAATAACTCAGACTTGGTCACCAAGTACCGTACCAACAAGTACCACCTTATCATCTATCGACCCTACCAATGCTCCTGCACTTGTTCAATCATTTTCATCGGCTTTAGAACGTGCATTCACTGAGACAGGGTATTACAACTTGTTACTGTTATCTCAAGTTGCCAGGGGTGCAGAGGCTTCCATGACCATTATATCAGCTGAAGAAGTGTTGGCGACTGCAACAGACAGTGCAGTGCAAGCTAGTGCTACCCAAGCTATTTTTGAAGCAACTGTTAATTTAAAGGCATTAGAATGGGATCAGAATTTGTTCAATATTGTATTGAATCGACCAGCTAATATAATATACTTGATTATATACTTTATAATCTTTATTTATGTGGCACTTATGATTATCAAATCGAGATATTGGTGGTATAACGTTACATTCTTTTGTGGGTATGGGTTAGAATTCATTGGATTTTTAGGAAGAGTTTTGGCATTTAGTGACGATACCAATATGAAGTTTTACTTAATGCAGATTATTTGCTTGACTATAGCACCTGCGTTTATTATGGCCGGGATATATTTCTTATTTGCACAATTGGTGGTTATTCATGGACGACAATATTCGGTGTTAAAGCCTATGTGGTACTCGTATTTCTTTATCGCTACCGATGTGTTGTCCTTATTGATTCAAGCTGGTGGTGGTGCTTCTGCTTCTGTGGCATCGAGTCATCATGAGAATACTAAGCCAGGAACAAATACCATGATTGCCGGTATTGTGGTTCAAGTTTCTGCCATGACTGTATTCCTTGTATTCTGGTTTGAATTCTTGAATAGAATTTATTTCAAGAATGCCAAAGTTAGCAGTGATTCAGAAAAATCGAACAGGCCATATGCCAAAAGATCTTTTGTCAACGCATTTAGGTTATTACTTAATGTAAAGGCAGTAAGACAATATCGTCATACCCATCTTGAAAGTCACTACAACCAGAAGTTTGTCAGTATCCGTGAACGTAAATTATTTGATTGGATGCCATTGGCTATGACAATTGCAGTTATTGTTATTTACATTCGTTGTGTATATAGAGTTGTGGAATTGGCTCAGGGATTCCAAGGGTTCTTGATCAATCATGAAGTATTCCTTATGGTTTTAGACGCATTAATGATTGCCATTGCTGGGTTGATTTTCATACCATTCCACCCAGTATGGATTTTTGGTAAACAAAATATCGTCAAATTGGCCACAATTAAGAAGAATCAAGATGAAGTGAAAGAAGATAATGAGAGCTTTATTTCTAGTAATCAACTTGAAGTTGTGGCTGAGCAAGGATCTGACTCTCAGGAAGAATCCCCCCGCTTAAAATAGACTATTTTGTAATTATGCTTTTTCTTTTTAGGTTATGATTTAAAGTTTTAAAGTTAAAGTTAGAGTTTGAGTTTGTTGCAAAACATCAACGAAAAAATTTAAAATGCTGCGAAAAATGCATAATAAATTCATTTTTGTAGAAAAGATAAAATTTCTACCCCGTTGATTTTATAGAATCAGAAATAGCTCTTCCTTTTTATCTGCTAATACAAATATATTGCTATGAAAACATTACTAAACCCGCTTCCTACTTTAGCTGAACAACTTAATGATAATGAACCTGTTACAATAGCACCGCATCTATCACCCGAATCAACCATTGACTGCAGTTTGGAGCAGTTGGTATTTGAAGAACTACCCTTTTTCCCAGAACATGATTTCGACCCACTTTTAAATTTGACTACAGAAGAATTACTACGTGATCAATACCCAAGGACTAAAATTCCCTATGATGGCTTTATCAACTTTCATCATTTGAAAATCTGTAGTTCTAATGCTAAGCAAATGTCAAAGTACTTACAATTATCAATGGGGTTTACTGAAATCGCATACAGAGGACTAGAAAATGATTCAAGGTTGGTTGGTTCACATGTGGTTAGAAATGGTGGGGTTATATTTGAAATTGTTAATACCCTAGAGACAGTTGAAGATGATAACGTTTTGAAATTTCCTTATTTCCAACATGACTTGGCTAAGTTTCAAGAGATTAATAAGCAAGATCATTTAGACAAATTTAAGGTGACTACCAGCGATCTAATATTTGACTTTGTCAATAATAGAATTGAAAGTTTTGCAAATTCCTCTCGATCTTTTAAGTTGGGAAGAAATATTTACAACAAGATCAGTGCTTCTCGATCCCTACAAAATACGATGAATGAGTTTATTTTAAACACGATAAACAGTTCTGAAACTATATACAATGATATCATGGAGTGTACATTGATTCAAAAGTTTCTAAAGAAGCATGGCGAGGGAGTGATGGATATTTCTTTTCAAGTCGTTGACGTTGATTACATATTCAACCGAGCAATTCAGGCAGGCGCGGGAATAATACGGTTACCGAAAGTGTTGCATGATAATAATGGTAAGGTTAAATTGGCAACTATTTCAATTCCAAATACTGACATCCAGCATACTTTGGTACAACTCATTGATTATACAGGACCATTTTTACCGGGGTATTTCAATCCAGTTATGGATTTTTCTACAAGCTTTCAGTACCAACTTGGTTTATTACCCCCAGTTAACTTGGAATGTTTGGATCATTGTGTTGAAAATTATGCCCTGAATCAAATGATACCTCAAGTTAAATTTTATGCCGAGATTTTTGGATTCCATAAATTCTGGTCAGTGGATGAGCTGGATATATCCACGGAAAACACCTCACTTCGGTCAACAGTTATGGCATCAAGCAATGGCAGGATTAAAATGCCAATTAATGAACCTGGCCAATCGAAAATGAAGAGTCAGATTCAAGAATTTAATGATTTTAATGGTGGTCCTGGAGTACAACATATAGCATTAAAGACCAATGATATAATTGGCACCGTCAGTGCATTGATAAAACGTGGAATTGAGTTTAATGTTGCGGCAAAAAATTATTATCCTACCCTTGAACGAAGATTGAATAACGATGATATTTCCCTTTATGAAGATTTTCAAGAGCTTAAAAAATATAATATTTTAGTCGATTACGATTACTCAACTAGGAATAACAAATCTAAAAGATGCAATTACCTATTACAGATATTCACAAAGCCATTGCATGATCGTCCAACATTATTTATTGAAATTATTCAGCGTCACCATCACAACGGTTTTGGGAGAGGAACCTTTAAGGGATTATTTGAAAGTATAGAAGAACAACAAAAGATTAGGGGTACTTTTGTTGAGGTGTCGCCAAGAAGTGGGATTTTTAAACCTCCGATTTAACCAAGAAGTTTATTCAAGTTTTTCTTGGTTTTATTATTCAACTGGTTAGTATTCCTTTCTAGTATATCTTTCCCTTTTTTTTTTAGCACATTGCAAATTCATATGCCAATACACCCAATATCAGCTTGCATCTATGTGGTTCTCTCTTTACTACAATTCGCCTCCGCTGTAGACTTACGTAATTCTTCAATCGCCCGTATACACAAATCATGGCTGAAATTCTTTTTCTTTTTTTTTTTCTTGGTGTTTATGGTTCAATTTGGATAATTTTGAATATATCCAAAATTGAATGATAAACAAAGCAGGTTGGGCAAAATAATCTTTAATAATAAGAAATTTAGCGTTCCATTAAATTAATGTAAAAATAATAATACTTTCGTTAACTATAAATAATCTACATACCTGGGTATTAATGTCCGCTTACCGAGGTTTATTCATAGGAGTGTTATTCTGGGCTGTTCCATAGTATGATAATTCTTCTTCCTTTACCGATCGATCGTAATATTCGTCTCTAAACATATTAGGTTTAGCTGTGCTATCTGTCATATGTTCAATTGGATTATCCAGATTCATCAACTTTGAACCTGCTGAAGAATGGCCATCTTCATCTTCATTATCTTCGCTCTTTAATTTATGGCCCTCCTTCATGTAATATGATTTGAGATCCTTCACAAACAATGGATACAATAACCCATCAACTCCTTCATTTCTAGCTATTTCGTAGGCACGATCAAAGGGTATCCATACACCTTTGAGATTCATGGACCCAACTTTGACAACAATCTTTGTCTTTTCTGTTTTAAGTATACCATCACGCTTTCCCCGAGTCATACCAATCACGTTTAATAACTTCGTACCATTAACATAATTGGTATCTTCTCTTCTAGATACCAAAAATCCTCTAGATCTTACTTGATAGCAAATAGTATTTTCAGATTCCCAAAAGGTAGTGGCAATTTTCGGTCTAACCACGTCGGGATATTCACCAGGTTGACCATTATCTTTCGAATTGCTTCTAGAATGCAGACTTCTAGAAGACGCTCTTGTGCCATTTGGTTGTGTTCCAGGTACCAGAATACTATTTCTCACCGGAAGGTTCAATAAAGTATGTGGTCCTTGGAGTGAATATATTTGGTTTCCAGATGACGTATTAGTTGCATTGCCGGCTGGGGAATACGACATTTGCATTTGTGGCTGTTGAGTATACAACATTGGTGCGCTGTTACTATTATATAACGTTGGTCCGGCTGGTGCCACAGGTCCTCCTGGCAACGCTAGCTGTTGATTATTATTATCTGAATTCTGCTGTTGGTTCCCTAGAGTTGAGCAAACGGGGGTGCTTCTATTTCTTGTCCTGCTTAAAAACTGCTTGCCATTGGACATTCCACCATACATTGAATTCAGGTAGGGGTCATGTGGCTGATATGCCTGTTGTTGCTTCTGTTGTTTCTGATATTGTTGTTGTAAAAATCCATTTTGTGATTCGGGTGTTGTTATCGAAGTCATTGGAAAGGATGGACTAATGTTATTTCCCATGCCATTTTGTAATTCGGGGTTTGCGTAATATTCTCCATTTTGAGGTATTGGATGGCCTTGTTGTAATGAATAATAGCCTTGCTCTGTAAATAACGTTTTAGGCTTTGCCGTACGAAGCATGGTGGAATATTGCTGGTAATTCTGTGGAACTTCTGTAGTAGGTTCGTTTGTAGTGGTTGTGTGTTGTAAATGCTGGGTTTGTGGAATAGATCCAACTATTTGTTCGGTTCCACTCGGATTAGTAATTAACTCTGATGTATAAAAGTTGGGGTGACCCGTCTTTGTCATTATATTACTCATTTAAAAAGACGCAAATAAAGCTAGTTGAATACTTTTCTCTTATAATAAAACCAAATCGTTAAAGCTATTAAGTAAGATAGGATTTACCCGGGGGTAAATAATAGCCAAAAGTAAGAGAGCTAGACGAAATCCAATGATTGTTTAGGAAAGTAAAAAGCTCGTAAAAACGCAAGTAGGCTTAAACCAGAAGCTTTTGTTCCATTCAGTGTGCAACGTTAATTTGACAGAATCTCCAAGTATCTATAAATGAAATCACGGAGATTTTAGTGGTTGAAATTTGTAGGTAAATTAAAATATATGAAAGAAATAATAGGTATAATATTTAGTTAAGGGGGAAGGAATAATCAAGTATTTATATTACGTGGACTATTGTAGGATTTAATTTCCCTTCAATTCTATTTTTTATGCTTGGGTTTGCCCTATTTTTTTACTATTATTTTCTTACCTCTAATATAAAATAATCAGAACATAATATTTTTTCAATAAGAAAAAGAAAAAAAACCAAAGCTTATCCACGATTTTAGTAAAATTATCACCAAACAGACCATGAATATTAGAAAGTCGAAATGAAAACCTGGCACTTTCGCCGTTGCTAGTCAAAGAGAAAAAAATAAACCTTAACCTTAAAATATTTAAAAATATTATTTGCGTTATATACAGGTTGCATAAAAATAAAAAATCTGGGGGAAAAATATCATATTTCTGCACCATTTTTTCTTGTTAATCTTAGCCTTTGCAGCAATAAAAAATACTAGTAAAAAATATTAAACCCGAGATCATTTCTTAGGAAAGTCGAGAAAATCGATGATACACGAAAATTAGTCCAAAAAAAAAAACTATCTTGAGCAAATTGAAAGTGGACTATTTCGGGAATTCCCTTTTCCGTGATTTCAAATTATATGAATGATAGTGTTCGAATACTCTCAGTATGCTATTTTGTAAGCAGTTTTCAACCGGATCCATGTATATATTATCACAAAAAATCCCTGATCGGTTAAGGTTTAAAAAGCCTTGAGGCGTCAACTTTAAAATCAGTCAACGGGAATGTTAAAAGAAGCTATAGTCATAATATTAATGTAAAAATAACCTTGTTTTCTTTTTTACCAGTTCCCCACCTTCGTAGATGGTTTTGAGCGAGCGAACTGGCAACATTCAAACAGCAATTTTCAAATTACCGCAAAAAATATTTATTTCCGCTTTCTTTTAGGAAATAACAGTAAATAATTTTTTGATAATGAAAAAACAGAAATGATGATTCGCTTGATGGAGAATCATCTAGGGGTCAACCATATGCAAAAAAAAAATATATCGTATTTCTCCCTGATCAGCTATTTTTTGGAAGGTTCTCCACTTTTATGCAAGGTAACCTTTCGATACCCTGGGATAAACTGATGATAAAGTCCAAGAAATTTTGGATTTTAAACAAGAAGATCATTCATGAATATAATTGCACAATAGCGAATTCCGAGATGCAACTGTCATCAATGACATCCTTTGTGTTTCCAATGTTAGTTTCAGCACCAAGAAATGCACCCAAAATCTCACATTAGGACAAGTCACCTACAAGGTTACAAATATAGAAAGATCAATAAAAAATATCATCTATTGTCTGTACTTGGAAATTTTGTTGGGAAATAGATACCCTTCTTAGTAAAATACTAGAGGAATTCAAGGGTCACATCACGTAAGACTAAACATCAGATGTTAGAATTATAAAAAAAAAAAAATGCGCTGCAGTTTTATTTTTTTCTCGGACTTCCACGGCATTATGAGAACAAGAAGACGTCACCACATGTACATGCATGCGAGATAGCGCATTCTTTTCTAACAATCTAGAACCCGGCACGGGTTATTCTATTAGGGGACCTAATTATTTTCCACCGAACCGCTGTTACACCCTTTTTTTTTGAATTCAAAGTGGAGAAGTTGAATAAACCACTTTTTTCGCAGCTAAATCAATCCACGGAAGTATAGCTGCAACTATGGTGTGGATACTATCCCGCCTCAACTTTGACATAAACTGCAATCTGCAAATTGTCAAATAGACGCATATATCGTTCCATTCCATCTTTTCAAAGAAAATTCACATGGGTTAATAAACAAAAATTTTTATAGGAATCATTGACATGTTAACTTAATTTTCTTTTGAAGGTTGGTTTTCTTTTTCTGGGAAATTGTTTTGAAGGTCGCAAAATATCTCGGGCTATTTCAGCTGTCGTTTTATCCTTTTGATTCCTTGTTTCCCTTTAGTAATTACTTCTTTGTACAATAAGTCAAGTTTCACCTGATATCCGTTGGTTTGATTATTGCAATTGTGTCGCAAACAATCTATTTACACAAAGCCGGTGCCAAATAAGGAAGTGGTCCTTCCGCTTTAAGATTAACATTCCTGCATGTCATACCCAGCTAATGAAATGAACACTCGTATCGCAGGTGCAACAGAGCAGTCCTACACAATATCGACTTAAAATATTACTGCCAAGACTAAAATATAACTTCATCGCTTTCACGTGTGCAATTAGATCTATTTAAACTAATAGCAATTTAATTTTCGATTAAAACGCATTCTCTGGGGGAAAAAAAAAAAAGCAATGTGATTGTTCAGAATGTGTCCCATACGCCTGGGTGAGCTTGTGCCACACTATTAGGCGATAGATATAATCTGACATGCCAAGGCGGTGCATTACGTTAGTTAGACCATGTATGTTGATCAATAGATATGCAGTGAGACTAAAGATAATGATATGTTAAATAAATTTTTGTATATATATACCCCGCTTACTAAAATAAACGGGTTTAAATCCCGGGATGAGGCGCGGTCGGGCCTAAAATTGTTGCTTTTTGAAATATCCAAAATTTGACACAAAACTGACGAAATATATCGAACGAGATTTTTTAAATTGCAAATTTAATATTTATGAAACATTCTTATTTGGTAGTAAGCTTGAAAACTACCAAATTGTCCATAGTTGAATTAATAAAACGAGGCCCAGCTGCTAGGGTTATGCAATAGCAAACAGAAACAAAATGAGGATTTAACTTTTCATAAAAAAGGAATTTCAAAGAAGGAAAAGTGTATGCATGGAAGTACGTTTACGAGCCCTGGACTTGCATTTTCTAGTGTACCCTTTCTTACAAATATTATTGACAAGTCAATTTCAAAATTCGCCATTACTTCTCTCTCTCTGCCTGTACGTTATTTTTTCCTTCCACTGAACCTGAACGAAGCCCGAGTTTACATGTGAGTGCATAAACTGGTGTGATCTGATGATAGGAATATTTTTGACGAAAATAACAGCAGGTAGTTGTTACCACGACGAGGTTATGTATGCATGTGCGCATATTTCTATGCATTGTTCAGAAAATAAATAATTCGTATTAATATTTTTGAATAATAATATTCAGTAGCCTAAGAAAATATTTTTAAAAAAATAAAGGCGGAAGCAATACCTGTGGTGGGACGCCCCTAAGCGACAATTTTTTTTTTTTGCATTGCAAGAATATTAGAAAAATCGAATCCTCGGTAAGGGGTTTCCTCATGAACCCTTCCCAAGCGCAATTTGTTTTGGGGAATTTCTAGCACAGCTATTCCCTCAAATTCTTCAATTTCTTTCCATTCTGATGGTGATGGAACCAAAGTTTTATGTATTCTCTTAAGTCCGGCCTCCTTGCATAAATACGGGAGGATTAAATTCATGTTGAAAGAATCTAAAATTGTGGAAATAATAATGAGATGCTTGTGAAATTGACATTTATTATTGTACTCAAGGTTAAGTGAAAATGCAGGGGTTAACGGAATCTCATCTGTTCATCGATTTGAGAAATGTTATAGAAACAAGTCCTGTTGTTATTGTTTATCCGGCTATTTAGGAATCAAGCCTATTGGTAGTAGGTGACTTCGCCTCTTGGCAGAACTTCAAATATGAGCCAATATTTTCTGTATATGTTGAATGCCCAAAACGCCGTATCCGTCCGTCACTTTTGGTTATCTCCATCAGATTTAATGTCATGTCATGTCATTCTTTGTTCCCATTGTTGTAGCGTTTGAACTCTTTGTGGTGCACTTCTAAGCTAGGAAAAAGCAATTGTTCTTCATATTCCTTCTATTCTAGAAAGCTTGAATGTTTCTTCCATGCGTCCTTTTGAGCGCTACCACCAAAAAAATAAAATGCCATAGTCCTTTTATTTTTTTGGTTCCCAGTGTGGCTCAAAATGTTCTAAGCAAGAAGGAAAAAAAAATTTGGTAAAATGTAATGACCTGATTTTTCTAATATCCAACGGTTACAGGGTGGTTGTCTACTTGCAATATAGCACAAATCAAGTAGAAAATACCAGAGAAACATAGAGGCAGTTTACTACAGATATAATTTTTCTTGATTGCAGAAAGACGTTGTTATTTTTTAGGTGCAATACCGCCATATCATTTGACTGTGACGATCCATCAAATCTTATCTTGCAGAAAAAGATCTGGAAACCAACATTCCCTTACCTAAGGCTTATTATCTAGAAAGATATCCATTTAACAAGTTTGACATATGTCCACGCCAACGGAGGTACGTCCAATTCCTAGGAGAGAAAGGAGAACTTCCATATTAGATATGGGAGGACCCAACTCCATCAACAATTTTGCATCGTCGTACACTAGAGCACAACAATATATCGGATCTACATTAATAGAGCAGGGCGGGAATCTTATAGAGCAATTGTCGCGTCAACCTTCTGTGAGTAACGAAGAAGCAGTTGAATTTGTAACTCCAGACCTGTATGGTCCATTTCGATTCCAAGCCACGAATGAAGTTGATGAAGAATGTGCAGTTGATACTGAGGAGACTCTGTTGTTACCTGAACTATCCAGAATTTCTACAAAGAGAAGTTCATTCACAATAATCACAGGGAACTCGACAGTTCCACAGACCGTGTTCAATTCCGTTAATACACTCGTGGGAATTGCCATGTTAACCTTGCCATTTGGATTTAGGTTGTCTGGGTGGTTGTTTGGAATGTTGTTTATGTTATTTACTGCATTTTGTTCCAACATCACTGCAAAATATTTAGGAAGAATTTTAAGGCAGTATCACCATCTCCTGACCTATGGTGATATTGCACATGAATTCGGTGGTCCATATTTCCTGTATTTCGTCACATTTTTCTTCATCTTTGATTTAACAGGAGCTTCATTAACTTTGATTATCTTGTTTGCTGATTCGTTACTGATAGTATGGCCACATATCCATGCTCTTAAAATTATAATTGTGGGGTTGATCTTTCTTTTGTCATTATTACCTTTGAGTATCTTGTCTTTATTCAGTTTATTAGGAATATTGGGTACTTTGTGCATCATAATAATTATCGTATTATGTGGGTTTTTGCTGGACCAACAGCCTGGATCCTTGATCTTCCCTGAAGCAACTAGCATGTTACCTCCAGCATGGAAAAATTTGTTGTTTAGTTTAGGTATCTTTATGGCACCCTGGGGTGGACATCCTGTATTTCCTGAATTGTATCGCGATATGAGACATCCTGGAAAATACAGTAAAAGTTGTAATATTTCATTTTCAACTACATTTTTCTTGGATTTGGCTATTGGAGCATTGGGATATTTGATGTTTGGGAATACGGTGGATGATTCTATCATCAAAACTATTATGAATAACCCACATTACCCTAAATACATCAACAAGATATTATGTCTTCTCATGGGTTTGCTTCCCTTATCTAAATTGCCCTTGGTTACAAAGCCCATAATTACTAGTTATGAAAACGTATTTGGATTGACTCCGAAATATGTTGTAGTGGATAAGGAAGGGCAATTGGCAGATACCTATGGATTTACCAGAATAGTTGCCAGGGCAATCTTTTTCAGTTTACTATTAGCACTCGGGTTGTTATTCACTTCATTTGGTAAATTAGTTTCATTTTTGGGAAGTGCAATTTGTTTTACTGTTTGTTTAGCATTGCCATTATTGTTCTATATGAAGTTGAATGGGGATAATATTGGAACAATACATAAAGTTTTCCTCAAGATTGGTGTTGTATTATCTTTGTCAGCTGCCGTTATAGGAACATATTCCTCACTTGCAATGAATGTGACCGAATGAATACACTATGTATATAGCATTTCGCATTACCATTTCTACAATTAATATCACAAACCATGATTTATTCTATTTAGATATATAAAAACAGAGCCCGGCTCTGTCGGATGTATACAATTTTTCAATCTATACCTTTTGTCTCCCCTACCTTTTTGTTTTGTTAACTTGTAATTATACAATATTCTCAATGACGAGATCCAGGAATATACGGATTTGTACCGTTATTAAGTCTTAAATTCCCAGATTCTTCGAAAATTTGATCTTGGTCAACCTCGACATCATTTGCTAACCATGTTGGAACATAAAATAAATTCTCATTACGAGCCTTGGCCAAATATTGTGCCATCACTTGGGATCCGGAAAAGAAATAAGGGTTCTTATTAATTTGTGGGGCAGATCCGTCAGCAAACTTCTTTTGATGGGGAAGGGTTGGTGTTGCTACCTGTTGGTAGTAAATTGGAGGTGGTTGAATATGGTAATACTCTGGAACAATCGAAGGGGTATGTGAGTAATATCCCTTTCGAATATTCGAACTTGAAGAATTTCTACTAAGCGGCATAAAATAGCTCGTTTGGTGTGGTTGCAGTTGCCCGTATGGAGTTGTTGCAGTAGTAAAATTTTGAGGAGGATTATAATTCATAAAACTGCTGTTTAACGACAATGTAGATGAACTTGCTGAATTACTTCCCAAAGGCATAGAAATATCGGATTGGTTGAAACGTTTACGATAAACATTTTGGCGGTTTTGCTTGTTACGACGAGATCTTCCTTTATTCTTCTTGATAGGTGCATCCGTTTTCTTAGATTCGTTATTAGAAACTAATTCAGCAACATCATCGGAACCAATAATAATAGAAACCTCTTCGTCATCGTCGTCATCGCTATCTTCTTCCTCTTTCCCATTTTCTATTGCCTCACCGTTGAGCTCACCATTACCTATATTGATTGCTTCAACCTCTCTAGCAAGTTCAAGTTCAGTATGGGCATCGCCGTTGATTTCTGCATCGGATGAATCCTGCTCCTTGTCATCGGTCTTTGCCTTTTCTTGATTGCTGATAATTCCAAATACCATAGCTGCTTCTTCATTGATAGTTTGTTCCATGTAGATATCTGCCTCGTTCATTCTTGTTTTCTCGTCATAATCTTCAGGATTCTTTCTGAGTTTTCTATGGCGCCTCATGTTAGTATCAATGATACCATTTTCACTACCATTGAAACTTTGCAATTGATAAGATGATCCAAAACTTCCAGGAACTTTCTTTTTGTATGAAAATTTAGGAGGATTTCCGCATCTATCCTTGGCGAAACTAATCTTAAATTGTTTATACTTGTTGTAGAATGCAGCTGTATCTTCTTCACTTTCAAAATTCTTAAACATTCTTCGTAATTTCGAAATTGCTAACGATTCCTCACAATCGAATATTTCAACCAATTTAATTGCATCTCTTATATTCAAGAAATTCAAAAATCCACAATCTTTATTATGATAGAAGTTAATTTGTTCCAATAATCCAAACTTGGAGAAATCCATTCGTAATTGGTTTTCATCGGGTAATCTAGGCTTCTCCTTGTCGGCTGGTTGGTTCTTGTTCACTCTGATACCAATATATATATTTCTTGAAGCTCCCGCAGTTACAGCAAGTCCAATTTCATGCGATAATGGGCCACTATGTTGCTTAGCCCATCCCACGGTAACATCATAGCCATGAATGATCAATTGATGCAAAACTTGATGATTAAGATAAAACTTGAATGCAACATTAGCATCAACAAAAGTGATAAAACATACTTTTTTGTCAGGACGGTGATTAATCGACTCAACTAATCCTCCGGCACGAACATTATTGGCAATTTCTTCCACGGTGGTATTTGGATGTAAATTACCAAGATAAATAGTACGGTTGCCTATGTTTAATGGATCAGGTTGAATTGGGTAATGTATTGAGCTAGATGATGATACATTGGATTGTGACATCATATCAGGTGTAACCAAATTGAATTGTGGTGCTTGAATTGGAATCAAATGAGGCATGGAAGCTGAAAATCTTGAATCGGAAGATACAAATGAATAGCTGTCATAATGAGCCATGCCAGGAATCTCACCGTGGTGGTTGTCCTCATATACATCCTCTTGAATGAGTTCTGACTCATGGTGTATAGGAGATTCGACAGATTGTGGACCTTCAATCACGGAGGAATTCGGACTTATTGGTTCAATTATATTCAATCCAGAGGGTTCATGTAATACCGGCGATGTAAGGAAGTTCTCCAATTGGGTACTATTTGCTATTGGATCATTTGTTGTAGTTGCTTCAGTGAATGATTCAGTAGGAGCAGTGGCACTAGATGTATCATCATTGGTTTCAATCTCTTCAGGAATGTTTTGAAATGAAGAAATATGTTTATGGTTTATAGAAGAATTTGATGATTCAGGAGACATATTTCTTGTGTTACCTTCAATAAATGTTTTGTCGCATCTATCCTTATGGAAAGTCACATTGGTAAATTTGATATCGTACTTGACATTGACATCTTTTTCATCTTTAGCAGAGTTATTGCGGGTTTTCTCGGTATTATTGACTACTTGTTCAGTATCGTGCTGAATTCTTCGTAAATAGTTTTCATAAGTTTTAATTGCAGCATCAATAGATGTAAAGTGAACCAAAACCTTACCTTGTACACGTGAATCTTCTTCATCCTCAATTTTGATCTTGAAATCTTCAGCCTCTCCAAACTTGCCACATTGAGTTTTGATGAACGACTCGATTTCTTCATTTCTTGTTTCTTGTTTCACTTCTTCTGGTAATTCTTTGTTTACCGAGAATTTGATCAAAATACTTCTAGAGGCATTATATTCAACAATATAATTTAATGTTTTCAACTTGATAAAATCTTGATTGGGATTACTGGTTCCATTAGTATTAGTATTGTTGGTTTCGTTAAACTTGATTTTCAAGTGTTTGGAGTTCTTCAAAGATTTCTTCAACTCGTTTAAATTGGCTGAATTCTTATATTTTAAATGAAATAATATTGATACTTTAGAATTTATGAATGAAATGTAGCAAACTTTCAAATTGTCACTAATTTCAGGATCTTGATCTTTGATTGCTTTGGCAGTAGGTTTAGAAAACATTTTACAATATTCAATAGGACCAAAATCAATCTCGTTCAACAAATCATTCAATGACACGTCTTCAGATATGTTTTTCAATATAATGGTTCTTGACAAGTTCAATCGATCAATATTGTGATTCAACGAATCATATGCCGAAGAAGAATATGCTCGGGAGGATAAGGTGGAGTTGTTAAGTGGAGCCAAATATGGAGGTGATGTTCGCTTGTATTCACCTTCATCGCTATTAGTCATTGTGGTTGTATGCATATTCAGAGGAGGTCGTGATCTGGATTTTGATGTGGATGATCTTGGAGAAGACACACCTGACGATTGAAATGATTGCGGTGGGAATGAATGTTGGTGATTCACGTAACGAGCACTAGGTGGAGGTGTGAAATAGGGCGACGAAACAAACATGGTAGAAGGTAACATGGCTTGAGGGTATGGTATTTCACCAGGATTCGCTTGGGGTAGTTGGGGAATATTATTGTGTAAATTTGAGTGCTGTAAGTGTAGCGGCGGAGGGACGTGGTTAACCGGCCTGGATTGTTGACCTGGGTAGTATACCGGTTGATACATGGCTTGTATGACTATTTTGGTAAAAATATGGTGGTGCAACTATGTGCCCAAGGCGGAAAAAATTGTAAGGAATATATTACTAAATTTAACCACACACTAAAATGGAGTCGTCAACTTTTTCCTGCAGGAGTACGCCTAAACGGGTTGAGTAACGATTAGCGAGCACCAGACAAGATTCTGCTATAGATAGTTAGTTGAACGACGAAGTTCTTCTGTTGGAAATACCTTTGTTCTGTGTATATCAAACGTGTTTCCTTCACGTGTGTTGGTGTTGCCAAAATGTCAATAAAAAAAAACTGCTAACTTTTCCAGTCTAGGAGATTAGAAAAAAAAGAACTAATACTTATTGATGGTGATGTCGGAGTTTCCTAGGCAGATTAAGCCAAGCTCTTTGCTTTCGGACAGTTGATTTGAAGTATAAATGGTGGTATTAACCTATTTGAGCCAAAATGAAAGAACGTATTTTTTTTTTCCTTTCTTGGTTATATGAGACTTTTGACTCTTGTAGTGATTGATTTTTTTCTTTTCCAGAAGTTATGCTAAAAGGGAATGGGTCTGTAAGTTTAGCCTGCGATACCTCTAACGAATAAGGAAAGGTGGTATTGTGAAAAGAATAAAATTCTATAAGGAAAAGGAAAAGAAAACAAAAACACTCGAAGAAAGGAATGAATATCCGAACTGAAGCATAATATAGCAACCCATGGCAGGTGCGCGCAAATTAAATTGGGTGGACCAGCGAGAAACACAAATAATCGAAGTTTAAAAAAAAAAATCTACGTGTGGAAAAAAAAAACAATTAATTAAGCACAAAGAAAAAATTGGAACTTAAAAAATATATCTGAAAATTTTGGTTCTAAATATAAATAAAACGCATTTCATTTGGTCAGTAATCCCATGTGTTCTACCTTTGATTTGTAATTAAATCGTTCTTTTCAACTGATGGAATGTATGTAAAAGTTAGATGGATTCGTCACACGTAAGATCTTACAATTCCGGTGTTGTAATGTGGGTATAATTGTGTTTTTCGTGTTTTTGCGGATTAGCACACACCACATAGGAATGCAAATTTATTTTTTTTTTTTTTGTTTCATGGTTTGTAAGCTGTTGGAAAACAAAATGCATTTATTAAACAAAGAGATTTCTTTTTTTTATTCAATGGATTTGCAGTTTATGAGCCCTGCTGCGCTATTTCAATTGCTGGTTGCACATTTTTTTTAACTTTAGCTCATGGTGAGTATCAGTTGAAATTGGCTGAATGATTATTCCCTCGCTCACAGCATCTCCGAGATGACAAATGACCCCTGAAATTAATAGACAATTTAGAATCATTTGTCAGGGGGGATTTTTTCGTGCCACGTAAGCTCAGAATGAAAATTTGACTTTATTTTCTAAGAAGGATCACCACCTCGTATATTCCCCTAAGCCAAAATACCGCCTTGATTTGTACTTAATCCACATGACAGCATAGTCACCGGGTATAAAATTATTTCAAAATTAAAATAGAAGCCCTGGGCTAGATCTCCTTGATACTTCTGTAACATGTTTTAATTTTTGAACCAATTGCTAATTCAAGTCAATTGCAAGTACACTTTACATGAGTACACCACTAGTTGCAGGAAGAAGGTTAAATACGAAATTACTGGAGTGAATCACCAGTTGCAATGCAAGCATGAGAGAGCATGACATTGTTTGTATTTGAAAAATAACAGTACCCCATGGAATCCAAAATTAGTTAGTCGGCTTCCTTATCACAACAATTCTCCCATTTGAAAATCTCTTTGTTCTGTCTGGGCCAGAAGGCGGTTATTACTCGATCCAGCTTATCGTGAAAAAAATATGACAATAGAGCAACTCTCACTTTCTCCTCCTCTCCCTCAGAAGACTATTTTCTTTGTAAGGAGTTGCAATATCATGTGGGAAAAATTCAAAGACATGATTTTCGTAAACAATATTTTTTGACTATACATAATTCCGATCAAATATTATTTAACTGTAATTATTAAAACCCCCTAAAAACTATTTTGGAAGACGTGTTCTATTTGACCGTTTGTACATATACGAGGGTGTTATTTGTTGGATTGGTCAGGTAATAACTGTGGGGTTGGATTGTGGATTGCTCTGTGATATACACACTCCAGTATTTTCTCATCTTTCATTCATAATTTTCACAGTTTTTATTCAAAAAAATACACAAATTATTATATTTATTTAGCTCTCGAACAAAAATCCCCTAAACAAACTAATACGATCATTTACAACAAAACTTAAAAATCGTCAAGGGAACATAACGGATACTCAATTGAATATTTGACGTTTGTGTTGCCGAAACCGGGTGTTGATTCAACCAATGTTAAACCTTCAAATAATGGTATTGCTCCTTGTGAAACGGATAATATACTACCAATAAATTCCGCTAATTCTGAAAATAGGAAATGCATTACCTTAAAAGGACCGAACCTGATAATATTTGCACTGTCAATAGTTAAAACAGAAAATTCAGCCGCATGCTAATGCTTACATATTCATTGGAGATCAACACTTTTCTTCCGTTATGAAATCCCCACCATGTTTTTTTTAAGAAAAGAGCAAACATGAGGCCAAAATTCCTAATATCTTGTTGAGTAATAGCGTCAATGTTTGTTTTTGGTACATTGATCCACTAAGAGAAGCTGATCAAGATCAATGTCGCGATGACACGGCAATTTTAGGCTATAGAGAAAATGTCTCTCTTTGATGACGACATTAGAAAATTTTTCAAATCAAAAGCAATGTGGTTTTTTCCATTGGAATCTAAGAAGAAGAAAAAAAAAAAACTCTTCTCCCTTTTTTGTTTGTTGATTTCATAACAACATCTGATCACCTTTTAATACCTTCGGTCAATCAATCAATCAATCAATCCTCGGTTGTGTGATTTTTTTAAATAGCGGACGTAATAGATCAAGACAGAATAGAATAAACAATGGCTGCTGAAGTTCCAACTTTCAAATTAGTTTTAGTCGGTGATGGTGGTACCGGTAAGACCACTTTCGTTAAGAGACATTTAACTGGTGAATTCGAAAAGAAATATATTGCCACCTTAGGTGTCGAAGTCCATCCGTTAGGTTTCCACACCAACTTTGGTGAATTAAAGTTTGATGTCTGGGATACTGCTGGTCAAGAAAAGTTTGGTGGATTAAGAGATGGTTACTATATTAACGGTCAATGTGGTATCATTATGTTCGATGTCACTTCCAGAATCACTTATAAGAATGTTCCAAACTGGCACAGAGATTTAGTCAGAGTCTGTGAAAACATTCCAATTGTCTTGTGTGGTAACAAGGTTGATGTCAAAGAACGTAAGGTTAAGGCTAAGACCATCACTTTCCACAGAAAGAAGAACTTACAATACTACGATATCTCTGCCAAGTCCAACTATAACTTTGAAAAGCCATTCTTGTGGTTGGCTAGAAAGTTGGTAGGTAACGCTCAATTGGAATTCGTTGCTTCTCCAGCTTTGGCTCCACCTGAAGTTCAAGTTGATGCTGACTTGATGCAAAAATACCAACAAGAAATGGAACAAGCTACCGCTTTACCATTACCAGACGAAGACGATGCCGATTTATAAGCATCTTAAAGTATATATCACTTCATAACATATATACCAAAAAAAATCGATAGGTATTTAATCGACTTTTTTTTTATTTTCGTCTTGTTTTGTTGAACCTCTGATGATTCTAAGTGAATGATAACATCAGATAAAGTATATAGATCTATATAGTGTACTACTTGAAAGAATTGTTTTTAAATCTATATTTGCTAACTAATAATACTTGAACGAACTAAAGGATTCTATATGCAGGTGTAATGGTACTAGGTGTGCTTCTGTATAGCTTTTTGGTACTCTCTGGTATTATTAAACACGGCAGGAGGAGGCAATGGGAATCCTGCCAAGTTAGGAGGCGGAGGCAACAAGAACTCATCTTCATCATCATTACTAGCTACATTAGATTCATTGCTGGTGCTTATATCATCCACATTAGATATTGTATTTAGATTTCTGTATTTGTAATTGGCATGATCACTTCCAGGAGCATTATGATTTAGATATGTTAGATTGATTTCATAGGTTAGTTCATTTGGATCCCATTGCCCTGTTTCCTTTGCCTTTAATTCATAATAGTTGCAATAATATTTGATATGGTTCTTTCCCATAAGATGGGACTTACGAACACTCATAGTGTCATGAGTCAAGTATGACTTGCAATAGTCACAATAGTACTTTGGCATGGTCAGTTGTGTTTATGCAGATGATGCTGCCAGGTTGTAAGTATAGCAAAGGGACCTTTTTATTTTTGTAAATGTCTTGATATATCACATGACACACATCATGTGACCGATTTGTATGAGCGACTTTCTCAACCAATCGAAATTGAAGGTTGTTTTGATTTAGTTCGGAATCCACGACCCACATCAGAAAATCCCATACAAAAAATTGTATGGTGAGAACCAACCGAATTCGGTGAACAAAAAAAACTGAAAAAAATCAAAGTCAACGTTTAGACGTACATTTAAATTAGAAGTGCATAGACAAGATGTTTAGACCTGTTGCTGTATGTATAGACTGAGAGAAATGAAATAGAAATGTCGTAAAGAAGGATTGGTCTGTGAGTGATACATCTAAGAATATGTGAGTCAACATTGGGATATGTATCGAATTTGAGCAACATACTGCTGCTACTACAACCACCACCACTACAGTCAGCGCTCATATAAAAAAACAAGAGATACAACCGATTCAGGAAGACCCATTACCGATTTGACTTGAGAATTAGAATTGAAGATATCTCCTATCGATAGCAATTCCCGGATATATATCTATCCAGACTGCCCCATGGCATAGTACTATGACCCGTTCAGCGAAACAAGCATACTAACTCTTTTTAGCGTTTATCTTCCAGAAGATTATTTTCAATCACTCCAAGAAAATGCAATGCCATTTCCGACTTATACATTGCTGAAATCAAACAATTCAAGCCAAAGGTTTTAACTCAAGCTGAAATTGCCAGTGCTGTCCAAGCTTTCCAACTTCCAGCTAAGCCAGTTGTTCCACAACAAGAAGTCTCTGCTGAAGCTGTCAAGCAATACGAAACCTCTGATGTTGAACTTGCCCACGCTGTTGCAACTGAAGGTGGTGAACCTGTTGCTGAAGACTGGTTTGTCTTTGAAGAAGAACCAGAAGAACACCATTAAACGATATAGAACAGGTATTTTGATTTGTGCATATACATATAGGGAGACAACGATGAATGTATGAATATAACCAAGAAAGTGTTGCCAGTTCTTACGCTTTTTCTATGTATATTGTTATACGTTGTTGAAAGAAGGAGATTGAAGTTTCGTAATATATAAAAGATTTTTATTTGGACATACCATTGTAGTTGTAGGACTAATAAGTACAGCTAGCTTTACTCCAGTTGTTCTTTCTACTATTGTGTTGTAATAAAAACAAGCAACACACCCTTTCTATTTTTTTTTTTTTTTTTTTTTGAAATAACTGCGAATATCTTTACCAACCTTTTGTTTACTTTTTCTCCAGACACACTAACACACAGCATCTAAACCTACACTAATAAGAATGTCACAAGATCTTCCTCCTATAGACATCCAACCGATCCGCAATGCAGCAGAACTTCTCAACTCCATGCTTCTTTCACGAGCACTAATCTCCTCCAAGCTAAAGTTCAACACTATTGACTGGCAAGATCTAATCCTGGACCAACTTTCCACCCATCCCCATTTAAAAGATTTAGAAATCACAGAGAGATTATTCGACAATGATAAAGCTGTGATTAATATCATTCATTCCTTATTGACCACTGTTGATCGGAATCGTGCTAGTTCGAGACAGGCGTACGAGACATTAAGACGAAAGAATAACGAGATTGAAAAGTTGACTAGGCACGTACATGATCTTGAGCGGAAATTGGAAGCCCGTGAACGCCAATTGAACAAGGTTACCACTATTGATCAAACTTCCATGCAGGCGAAGATCAAGGAGTTGAATCAAAAGAATAAACTTCAGGCTCATGATTTGAACAAAGTTAAGAATTGGAGTGTGGAAGTAAAGACCAAATATGAAGTCAAGCTCAAGAAACAAGCATTGGAAATAGAGCAATTAAAGAATAAGTTATTGGAGAAAAAGAATTTAAGTTCGGTAGTGGAGTTTGGAATACCTCGACCATTATCAAGTGATAGTGATTTAAGTGATGTTATCCAGAATAATAAGCCTATTATTGAAAATGGTATAAATACCAATAATTTGGTTGATTTTGATCGTCAAGCTGTCATTGAACATGATTACGCTGACTTAACGTCAAATATGATGAACATTGTGGAAAGTTTAGCCAAAGAGAATTACAAGTTTACCCAGTTCATCCAATCCACCAATGACTATTTCTCCCGGTTGAACCAGGTGTTAGTGGATGATACGAATATAGAAAGAGTGATATCCACTGAAGCACAGGCAATAATACCATATCCTGATGAGATCATAAACATTACCAAAATTACAGACGTCAGTTCCATATCAATCAATGATCAATACAACAACGTTGAAGCAGTTGAAGGCATGATTAAACCAATGATGGAAGAACTATATAATATATACGATAATATTTCCAAACTATACGAAATGATAAAAGATGGTAATATAGGGAGCAATAATAAAGCAGCTATAACACAATATGAAAAAGATTTAGAAATAATGACAGCAAATTGGAAAGATGCCTTGAAAACGGCAGAAAATTGGAAAAACCTTCACCTTCAACATTTGAAAGATAACAAGACTTAATTATCTTCATCTTCTTCAAGCATGTTTTTTAATACCGTGGTTTCTAATGATACTATGTTCAAAGGGAAATCTTTAAGTAATTCAGTTTCAGCAAGTTCAGTGTCTTTCTTGACACACAAACTTAAATCATTGGTGTGAATATTGTAATCCAAATAAGTATTAAGTAAAACACCAGTACAATAGATGCTTGCGTGGTTAGAATCGGTATTATCAATACAAATATCTTGTTTGAATCCGTCAATGGTGCCATCGTCAGTAACTTCAGCAGGTTTAGCAACTTCTGAAACTTTAGCAATTTCACCATAAGTAGAACTGGTAGTTGGTAGTAAGTCAACTGCACTTTTAGTCTTGTTAGCAATTTGAATAGATTTAATTGAACCATCATCTTTATTTTCTCGAACGTAAAATTTAATAATCCGGAGCAAATCACCAGTGTGTAATGAAGCAAATTCATAATCATTTGAGCCGTGGAATGGCTTAACAACCACCACAATTCCGCCCACAGAGATGAAACTGTCCAGGAATGGATCTCTAACTTGTCTAATTGAAAGTTCATTTTCATTCATCCTGGTTTGAATCTCCTTTTGTAACTGTAAAGTTCTCGATAATGAATCATACTGCTCACTAATTTGAGATTGTTGACTTTCACTTGGTCTAGCAATTACTGTTTCCACAACGTCACCTTCTCTTTTAATTAAAAGGGTGGACATACGACGTAAGCGTTGTTCAGTAATTTTGGTTGCAGCGATTCTATCAAAATCATCAAGGATACTTTTGAAATCCAGTGATTCGCCTGAAACTTCACATTGTTGAAGATTGCTTGAGCCATCACTTGGAGCTTCGCCTTGTAGATTGTCCAGAGTAGTCCTTTCTTTAGGGGTGGTTTCTGTAGCACCATCAGATTCCATCGGGAAGCTTTTCAAAGCAATGTTGGATACATCATCAGAATGAAGTGGTCTTTTGCTCAGTTGGTTTTCTAAATCAATATTAGTATCCTTGGTATGGTCCCCTTGTAGCAAATTGATTAAACCAGATCTTAACTTGAAAAGCAAGGGGCCCTCAAAAACACAAGGAATGATAAAGACACCTGCTGTAAAGATGATGAATAAAATCAGAGCAAACGTGAGGCAGATAATCACTAAAATGGCGGTGTTTGATAAAGCCATTGTGTTGTACAGTTTATAATAGTGATAGATACAAAGAAAAGGAGAAGTAAATTGGATGTATGCCTTTGAAGGCGTTGTTGTAAGGGAGTGCTTGCTATTTGGTAAACACATATTTTGGTTGCAAACTTTTTTGCCTGGTTATTTGGTGCGCCAATTTTAGGTGTAACATTTACATAGATTAGCGCAGTAGAATTACTACTACGGGCAATTTTTATTTACATGATTTCTATGTACATGATTTCTATTTACATAATTGCCTGTAAGCTGCCGATGTTACAGCTATCGTACCTCTGTAGTTTGGTTACTACTTAGAAAATAAAGCTCTGTAATGTGCCAAGCAAATTTATATATTTTCTTCAGCCTCAGCTTCTTCCTCCGCTTGCTCTTTCTTTTCCTGTTGTATTTTTTCTTCAAGAAGTCTATACTTCCGCTTAGACTTCTTACTTTTGCTCTGTTTGACCTTTTGAGCTCGCTCTTTCAATACCGCATTTCTACAACTCTCGGGATTTTCCAACTCTTCTAACTTCAACGCCAACAATTCTCTTGCACGTTTCCGATTTTGTTCTTGAGACCGAGAATATTGGCACGTGACAACAATACCAGTAGGTAAATGAGTCAATTGCACCTTGCTATTTGTCTTATTGATCTTTTGTCCCCCAGCTCCGGTTCCTCCTTTGATGAATACTTCTTTGATTTCGTCTTCTTTGACTAGCCATAAAGGTCTTGGTGGCATTTTGTTCTTTTTAGGAATTGTTGAAACCACTGCTGTGGATGTGAGTGGTCGAATAAAAGACCAAGCTGGTCGAACATTTTGAATAGCTTTGAACATCACGTTGGTGATTATTCCAACACCTAGTGGATCAAACATTCAAGATTTATTTGTCACCCCCCTCTTCGTACTTCTCTTCTTTTTTACATGTTATTTGTTTTGCAGATTATAGAAATATGCACATTAAGTGTAACCAGCAAAACGCGATGTAATTAATTTTTTTTTTTCGTCAGTTTTTCCTAATTGGGAATAATAATGAGAATATATCTGGCAGCCAAACACGTCCTGGGTTTATAGTTTTCTCCTTTGATAAATATTTTCGTTTTCTTCTTCACCACTTGTTTTCTTTTTGCTTTAAACAGAGTAACATCAACATGTCTTTTGAAAGAACTGATATCTACAGTGCCCAGGTGTTGCCTGGTGAAGAGCCACAAGACAACTCCTTCAATGAAGTCACCAAGGCATTCAGGTCCTTCATCTTGGAGTTCAGATTAGACACCCAATTCATCTATCGTGATCAATTGAGAGAAAACTTATTGATTAACAACTACTTCTTGAAAGTCGATACAGAACATTTGATTGGATTCAACGAAGAATTGAACAAGAAGTTGACCGATGATCCTACGGAAATGATCCCGTTGTTTGAAAACGCCATTACGGACATCGCCAAGCGTATCGCCTATTTATCCCAAGACGAAGTTCCACAGCATTTCCCAAACTGTCAATTGATCTTATACTCCAACGCTAACAAGATCTCATTGAGAAACTTGGACTCGGAACATATTTCCAAAATTGTTAGAGTTAGCGGGATTGTTATTTCGGCCTCGGTGTTGTCTTCTCGTGCTACCCAAGTTCAATTAATCTGTCGTACTTGTAAGCACACCATGAAAATGAATGTTAAGTCCGGATTTGGCCAAATTCAAGTACCTAAATGCCAATCTCCACATAACGCCGATCCTAACTCAACCCAAGAGAAGTGTCCACCTGACTCTTACGTGATTGCCCATGACAAATCTCACTTTGTTGATCAACAAGTGTTGAAATTGCAAGAGTCTCCAGATATGGTTCCTGTAGGAGAAATGCCAAGACACATCTTGCTACAAGCCGATAGATACTTGACTAACCAAGTTGTTCCCGGTACCAGAGTTACCATCATTGGTATTTATTCCATTTACCAATCCAAACAACGTGCTGGTGGTAGCAGTAGCACTGTTGCTATTCGTAATCCTTACTTGAAAGTATTGGGATACCAAACCGACATTGATAATGGTATTCACGGACAAGGCATCACTTTCAGTGAAGAGGAAGAAGAAGAGTTTTTGAAATTGTCAAGATTGCCTAATTTGTATGAAGTGTTTGCCAATTCTATCGCTCCTTCAATTTACGGAAACCAAGATATCAAGAAAGCCATCACTTGTTTGTTGATGGGTGGTTCCAAGAAGATCTTGCCCGATGGAATGAGATTAAGAGGGGATATCAATGTGTTGTTATTGGGGGATCCAGGTACTGCCAAATCTCAATTATTGAAATTCGTGGAAAAGATCGCCCCAATCTCCGTGTATACCTCTGGTAAAGGATCTTCTGCCGCTGGTTTAACCGCCTCGGTTCAAAGAGATCCACAAACGAGAGATTTCTATTTGGAAGGTGGTGCTATGGTGTTGGCTGATGGAGGGGTTGTTTGTATTGATGAATTCGACAAGATGAGAGATGAAGATAGAGTAGCCATCCACGAAGCTATGGAACAACAAACCATTTCTATTGCCAAAGCTGGTATCACTACTATTTTAAACTCGAGAACTTCGGTTTTGGCTGCTGCTAATCCTATTTTCGGGAGATACGACGAGTTCAAAAGTCCTGGTGAAAACATCGATTTCCAATCCACAATTTTATCGAGATTTGATATGATTTTCATTGTCAAGGATGATCATAACGAAAGCAGAGATATTTCCATTGCTCAACATGTGATGAATGTTCATACTGGTGGTAAAACCCAAGAGCAACAACAAGAAGGAGAAATACCTATTGAGACCATGAAGAGATATATTCAATATGTCAAGTTGAGATGTGCACCAAGATTGAGTGCGGAAGCTTCTGAAAGATTAAGTTCTCATTTCGTGTCGATCAGAAGAAAGTTACAACGTAATGAAACTGAAATGAATGAACGTTCTTCTATTCCAATCACTGTCAGACAATTGGAAGCTATTATTCGTATTACCGAATCATTAGCCAAGATAACGTTGTCGCCAGTTGCTACCGAGGAACACGTTGAAGAAGCAATTAGATTGTTTACTGCATCTACCATGGATGCAGTTGATCAAGGTGTTGGTGCTGGAGGATTCGGTGATCCTGCTCTCAACACTGAGATCAAGAAGGTTGAGCAAGAATTACAAAGAAGATTACCCGTAGGATTCTCGGCTTCTTACAACAGATTAAGACGAGAATTTGTTGATTCGGGAAAGACAAGTGTTGCTGCTTTGGATAAGGCACTTTACATCATGCAAAGACATGAGCGGATCAGATTCAGACACCAAGGGCAGAACGTCTTGCGTATTGCCATATAGGGTTGTTTCCAGTCTTCTTGTTTACTTCTTCACTTGTATAATTTTTTAATATAGATATTTGTTTATTAATACTTACGCCTTTACTATAATTATGACCGAGTCGCCCCGCAAGAACATCTTGGACACGAACCGTTCCTTAGGTGTTGACTTTATTTTCTTTCCCTTGTTGTTCTTGACCGTTTCTGTCCACAACTCTTTCACATTCTCCAATACCAAATTGCAATGTCTATCAAATGCCTTCACTTTGGCAATTAGTTTATGGTTATTACGACAGGATATGACTATAGGTGTGTTGTTATTGACGGCGTTCTGCAAGAGGGACATGGGTCCGTGGGTGAATTCAAACTCTTCTAGCTTTTGAAGTTCCAATTCCGTTAATTCCGAACGGGGACGATCTATATATTCACTAGATGTGTTAGTATGAACATTTTCGACATTGATTGGGCCGGTACTTACCTCATGATGCTATGTTTGGGGGTTTGTTGTTGGGGTTGTTGCTGGTCTATTTTACAACCATCACAAAATACAGTTAGAGATAAAAATTGATGTCGCGAGACATTTTGTACATTACACGACTTTTATTAAACTATGTAAATTACACCTTCTGAAACTGACTTAATGGAGCAGTCAAAGTACATCCTCTTCGTATGACACTCTCCACACGGTCCTTTATGACTTTGGAAGGACATTCCACAGTCAAATTCAAGTAATCTATCTTGGCTACGTGTTTGCCGATTGTGATTGTCGCTTTGTCATTGTCTAAATCCTGCAAACAATCACCGAACTGGGCCCGTAAAAGCGTGGATATTCTCTTGATTCGATCGGCAATCTCTGATTTCGCATGTGCAGACTTGGACTCCGTTTCTTGTTTAACATGGGTGTGGGTTGTGCTCGAGAGCTTGACCGAGGCCGGCGATGAGTCGATAGAGTATAAAATGGCAATGACACTGTCTGCTAGGGAGTCTGCCATTAAATTGTCATTGATCCACTCAACACTGATTTGAAGACCAGGTCCAGTCTTGGTTTTGTCCACAAATATGTCAACGACGTCCATGATCACACATTCCCATTCTTCTTCGTCGTCATTGAGGATGTTTATGTATCCAAACATTTGTTCTAAATGGTATATCATCAACGAAATGTCGGCATGGATTCGCAAGTTCATTTTGGATTTGACGAACGAGGTAGACAATTGAGTGAATTCATGGAGATCTTGTAATTGAAGAAGATTCAAGTCGAAATCTTTGGAAACGAGGACACCAGATAAGAATTGTCCAGTGTGAAGTGTATCTACACCGGCTTCATTCTTGTCACCATCATTTGCATCCACTTCCATCTCCTCTTTAATCTCAACAATCTTTTCATTTTCTGTTTCTATCTTGGTTTCAATTTCCTTCTTCAACATCAGCAATTGTTCTTCGGCCAAAGACCCCAATACTTTAGCAACCTTCAACCCTTTGAATCCAATCTTGACTTCTTCGCAATTCTTGGGATTGAACACCTTGACTTCCTGTTCAGTTCCCTTTCTAGAAGAGTACTTACTCAACAAGGCCGACTTTAATCTACCCATAGGAACAGAGTCTCCATGAACCAAGATAATCTTGGATGGTGACACTTTTTCAATAAACTCCGAATTCTGCTGGAAATCGACATGAGCAGCAAACGAGATCTCTTCAATACCAATACGTCTCGGGATCGTCATTTCCGGATTGTTTACTGATTGGATCGTGTGAGGCTCTTTCAAGAGCTCTTTGGCCATGGTACCTTCCACGGAATAACCAGTTAATATAACAAGATTCTTGGGGTCAGGCGCCCACTTTTCCAATAGCTGACGGGATATACCAGCTTGCAACATCCCTGGGGCGGCAATAACCACTGATGGGCCCATGTCTTGGAATTTGCCCAAGTCTCGAATCGACTTTATGTATTTGAAGTCGAACGGGTTGGACTTGTGGCCCGACGAGGAGGCAGAAAGCCGGATTTTGTCATTCATTATACTCGTGTATGTTTCGTACACTGCCATACACTTTTTTGCTAAACTGGATGCATAGTATACGTTTATATTCTGAAGATCTTCGTTGTTGTTCCAATATTCATCAAGAATCAACAAGAGTTCTTGGGTGTTACCAAGGGCAAAGACGGGTAATAGGACTCTCCCCCCTTTGGTCAATGTAGCATGGATATGGTTTGTTAATTTCTTTTCCAAGTCAGCTTTAGATTCAAGCGTACCGGTACCAAAAGTACTTTCGGAGATCAAAATATCTGGTTTGACAGGAGGGATTTCTGCAGCATGCAAATGTCTATTCTCTTCTCTAGAGTAATCACCCGTGAACAATACTTTTAATCCACCAATTTCAATAAAGTACATACATGCCCCAAGGACATGCCCGGCATGGTATGCAGTGAACTTTATCCCCTCGATCTCCATGGTGGAATGGTAATCAATTGTTTCTATTCGATCAAATGATTTCATGATATCGTCGGCGGTATACAAATTACTAGACTGTCCTTCGCCACCTTCCATTTTAGTTGTTCCTATCGAGGTAACCCTGACAAAATCCTGAAGTAACCACCGATAAATGGCCTTAGTGGCCTGGGTCATAAACACACGTCCCTTGAATGTGGTCTGTTGCATCACATATGGTAACGATGCTGCGTGATCTAGATGGAAATGACTTATGAGGAGGATATCGACTTTGGACAAGTCGTATTCGTCGTAGAACGGGAAGGATGAGTGTCCGGTGAGGGCAGGGTGAATCCCGGCATCAAGCATGATTACTTTATTTTTGTATTCAATAATGTGGCAAGAACGGCCTACTTCGTTACACCCGCCTAGACCAAAGAACTTGAAGCTTTCTTCATTGGAGAATTCTTCTACTGTCATGGAGGAGGAGGTAGTGGTGGTGGTGGTGGTGATGATGATGAGTTTGGCTGGTAGTAAATTCTAATTTCAGTCGTTTTTTTTTGTTTGGCAGTGTCGCGCTAGGGCGAAGGTCTTGCTGCCACTAATTTTAACGCGAGGTCAAACGACAACTGCTTTGTATTTACAGCAAGTGAAGAAGAAGAAGAAGAAGAAGAAGAAGAGCAAAGAGAAACGCATGATCCGATGAAACTCAAACTCAAGACAAAAAACACCGAAACTTTAAAAACTACCCTTTCACTTATAAGTCAACTACGCAAGTATGTTGTCCTAAGATTCACACCATCCCAACTATGTGTGATCCTGGTCAATGGCCAATCACCCAGTCTGGAGCCACAAGTATGGTGTAAGTTTGAAACATCGAGTCTATTCGATGAAATGGAAATCCAGAGTTTGAACGACAACTCAATATTACTAGAAATTAATGTCGATTTACTCTTGCAGACGTTACGCAACTTTGATAAGGCCAATAGTGACGGGCTATTTATTCGTTTACAACGAAAGGATGCCACCGGTGCACAGGGAACAAATGTGAGCAATGGCCGGACGGCGTCACTTGCGTTGTTTTACTCCAATATAAACTTCAACGCTAATGTAATCAACCACACGTTCAAGATACCTGTAAAGATATTGAAGAATACTCAGGATATGAGTCGACTTCAAGAGCCCGGACATTCCAATGTGGGTATGATTATGCGACTACCCAATGAGTTTGTGTCGATGTTTAAACGGTTGGAAAAATTTAGAAAAGCGTCGTTTAACGAGACGGTTACTATTAGGGCCAGTAGGAAAGATCGCGGGTTCTTGGGATTTGTGCTTGAAGAAGAGGGTAAATTTAAAGTTACAATTAGTTGGAATGGGAAGTTGGAAGTGATGAGTGCGGCAGCTACAAATACCGATGGTGATTCGTTGAGAGAAGCCATCAATGCACATTCATCACAAGTGGATAGCACAGATATAGACGAGATGGAAATCACAGTAAAGTTGAAAGATTGGCAACAGGCATCCAAGATAGTAGGAACCTGCCATACTGTTATTCTTTTGATATGTGAACGTGATTGTGTATTGCATTGTTTCTTGGATGATTCAGATGATGCAGACATTGTGTACTACATCAATGGTCTTAGAATAAGGAACCCGTTGGACTGATGTTTGGAGTGGCTGTTGGAGTGGCTATTGGAGTGGCTGTTGGAGTGGCTGTTGGGCTGGCTGTTGGGCTGGCTGTTGGACTGATCGTTGAACTAACCATCGTCCAACCATCGTCCAACCATCGTCCAACCATCGGACTAAGCTGGTGCCAATTTGGTGCTAATTTTACAGAGTCAATTGCGCCATAGCCCGCGCGAAAAAAATTAAAATTGAGTCATCGGTGGTAGATTGTCCCCGTCCCGTGCTAGAAAATCGTAATCTGAAATTTTAGATCTTCTTACTATTATTTTACTTTACTACACAACCACAACCACAATGTCTAGAACTTTAGAACGTGAAGAACCAAACTATTTCGGTGCTGGTCCTGCATTGTTACCAACATCAGTGTTACAACAAGCTGCTTACGATTTAATCACTTATGAAGGTGACAATATCGGGATTGGTGAAATCTCTCACCGTTCCAAACCAGCCATTAAAGTCATTGACGACACCAAAGCTAACTTGACCAAATTGTACAATATCCCTGACACCCATGAAGTCTTCTTCATGCAAGGTGGTGGTACCACCGGATTCTCGTCAATCGCCTACAACTTGTTTGCCAACTATGCCCACAAAACTGGCAAGAAAGGAAAGGCTGCATACGCAGTTACCGGGTCATGGTCCAAGAAATCAGCCGAAGAAGCTGAGAGATTGGGATTTGACGTTGATATCGTTGTCAACACAAAGAGTGAAAAGTATGGTACTATCCCACCATACTCTGAATGGAAGCCAATTGACAAGGACACCGCTTATTTGTACGTCTGTGACAATGAAACTGTTCATGGTGTTGAATTCAAGGATATCCCTGGCCCTGATTACTTATCCGAAGGCGTTGAATTAGTTGCCGATATGTCTTCCAACATCTTATCCAAGCAGATTGACGTTGGCAAATATGGGTTAATCATGGCTGGTGCTCAAAAAAACATTGGGTTAGCTGGGTTGACCATTTACATCATCAAGAAGTCGTTATTGGAACAAGCCTCCGATGAAACTTTAAGACAATTAAACATTCCAATTGTCCCAATTGCATTCCATTACCCAACTGTAGTCAAGAACAATTCTGCCTACAACACCATCCCAATCTTCACCTGTCATATTTTGAAGCTTGTCACTGACAAGTTGATTGAACAAGGTGGTGTACCAGCCATTGAGAAGATCAACCAGGAAAAAGCCAAGATCTTGTACGAGGCCTTGCAGGCATATCCTGATCTCTACAGCTTGCCTGTGACTAACCCTAAAGTGAGATCAAACATGAATGTTGTGTTTAGACTTCCAAATGAAGAATTGGAAGCCAAGTTCATTAAGCAAGCGGGTGAAAAGAAGTTGGCTGGGTTGAAGGGACATCGTTCTGTTGGTGGTATGAGAGCTTCTATTTACAATGCTGTTACTCTTGATAGTGTCAAGTTGTTGGTTGAGTTTGTCAATGATTTTGCCAAGGCAAACTCTGCGTAGTTTATATATACTTTTATTCCTAGTTTATTCGTAGTTTATTCACAGTAATACATTTTATATACCTCAGTTTCTGGTTCGCAGTAATTCGCAGTGAAAAATTTTGGCAGACGTTTGATGTTAACAATCAACACCAAAGTAATCAACCCCATGTCCATACTGTTGATCCCGAGGAGAATACCGAGGCTGTTCTCCATACTAAGAGGCTCGTCCCTCCTACGAAACTACTCCTCCGCAGCAATCCCAAAGTCAGTCGAGGAAAAGAAACAAATCCTCAACAAAGAAGCCTACAGAAAATCCATCCAAGATCGCATCGCCAAAATCCCCATTGAAAATTATAGGAACTTTAGCATAGTAGCCCATGTTGACCACGGCAAATCAACCCTCTCTGACCGGCTCTTGGAGCTCACGGGTGTGATCCAGCCTGGTTCTAATGCCCAGGTTCTTGACAAGCTCGATGTGGAGCGGGAACGAGGCATCACCGTCAAGGCCCAGACCGTGTCTATGATCTACAATAGACAAGGACAAGACTACTTGTTGCATTTGGTGGATACGCCAGGCCATGTAGATTTTCGTGCTGAAGTAAGTCGAAGTTATGCCTCGTGCGGTGGGGCACTCTTGCTCGTGGATGCATCCCAAGGAGTGCAGGCGCAAACAGTGGCTAATTTTTATTTGGCGTATAGTATGGGGTTGAAGTTGATTCCTATAATCAATAAGATTGACCTCGACCTGGCGGATATCCCGCGGGCCATGGACCAGGTGGAAGGAACATTTGAGTTACCTCGAGAGGATTGTATTGCCGTGAGCGCCAAGACCGGGTTGAATGTGGAACAAATTATCCCTAGTGTTATCGACAACATTCCTTCTCCTGAGGGTGATGCCAGCAAACCACTCAAGGCTTTGCTTGTTGACTCCTGGCACGACACATACGTGGGTGTAGTCATGCTTGTCTTTGTTGTGGACGGGAAATTGAAAAAGGGAATGAAGATCCTTTCCGCTCACTCCAACAACACATACGAGGTCAAAGAAGTAGGGATAATGTACCCTGACAGAATGCCCATGGATGAAATCAAGGCAGGACAAGTTGCCTATGTTATCCCCGGAATGAAGAACCCCAGGGAGGCACTTGTTGGTGACACATTCTTCCAATCAGGTAAATCGCAAGGACTTGAGCCATTGCCTGGGTTTGAAGAACCAAAACCGATGGTGTTTGTCGGTGCGTTCCCTGCCGAAGGTGTTGAATTCAAAGTTATGGATGACCAAATGCAGAACTTGGTGTTGAATGATAGATCGGTCCATTTGGAAAAGGAAACCTCGAATGCTTTAGGTCTAGGTTGGAGATTAGGATTCCTAGGATCATTGCATGCTTCTGTGTTTAAGGAGAGATTAGAGAAGGAATACGGTGCCAAGATTATCTTAACTGCCCCAACTGTGCCTTACAAAGTAGTGTACAAAGACGCAACGGAAGAGATTGTCAGCAATCCTGACCAATTCCCCGACGTGAACGAACGTGCGAAAGTTGATTGTTTTATGGAACCGTACGTAGAGGCAATCATGACCCTTCCTGGTGAATATCTTGGTAATGTCCTCACATTATGTTTAAACAATCGAGGAATACAAAAGGATTTGGAGTACTTGAATACTGGTCAGGTCCTACTTAAATTTGAGATCCCCACAGCACAACTAGTGGAAGATTTCTTTGGCAGTTTAAAAGGGTGCACTAAAGGGTATGCTTCTCTCGATTATGAAGAAGCTGGGTATAAGAAGTCCGATATTGTCAAGATGGAGCTTTGTGTCAATGGAATTGCTCAAGATGCATTGACCACGATTGTCCATCGTGATCAAGCTCAGTCCAAGGGGAAAGAGTATGTTTCCAAATTCAAAAAGTACTTGAAGATGCAATTGTTTGAAGTTGCCATCCAGGCTAAAGTTGGTGGGAAAGTCGTGGCTCGTGAAACTGTCAAAGCACGCAGAAAGGATGTTACCCAGAAATTGCATGCTGCTGATATATCCCGATACAAGAAGTTATTAGAACGTCAAAAGGAAGGAAAGAAACAAATGAAAGCAGATGGACGAGTCAGCATTGGTAACGATGCATACCAAGCATTCTTGCGAAAAGATTAGATATAATCTTGTACATATATATATTTATTTATTTTCTAATCACTTTTTAAAAACTTCTGGTAGAACACATTGTCAGTTTCTTCCACGTAGACATAGCCCAACTCCTTCAAAAATACTTGGAACTCTTCTTCCGAACCCTCGGGCAACACAAACCCACACAAGACCTTACCAACATCGTGCCCGTGGTTTCTGTAGTTGAACAAACTGATGTCCCAGTCACTCTTTAATGCTTGCAAGAAATTAAACAAGGCGTTGGGCTTCTCAGGGAATTCAAATTGGAAAATCTTTTCTGTCTTGTATCGTTGATCATGAGACTTACCACCAACAAGATATCTTCCATGGGACTTAGCAAGTTCGTTATTGGAAATATCAACGACATTGTATCCGGTAGATTCCATGGCTTCAAGTATAGTTGACTTTTCACGGTCTTGATCAATGACATTGAAGGACACAAAAATGTTGGCCTTGGATTCACCGCTGCATCTGTACGAAAATTCGGTAATGGCTCTTGGATTAATTATCTTTTGCAACCTGGCAAACTCACCTGGCTTTTCTGGAATGGTCACAGCAAATGAAATTTCCTTACCTTCACCAAGAACAGCACGTTCACTGACAAATCTTAATCTGTCGAAATTCATATTGGCACCAGACAAAATAGGAACGTACGTCTTTTCACGATGGTCGATTTCCGGATGGTCTTGAATATAACGCTTGAGACCAGCAACAGACAATGCACCCGATGGTTCGGTAATCAGTCTGGTATCTTCAAAGATATCCTTAATGGCAGCACACAATTCATCAGTGTCTACACGGACAACTTCATCAACCAATCCTTGACATAGTCTCCAAGTTTCATCACCCAAAACCTTGACTGCGGTACCGTCAGCAAATAACCCCACTTTATCCAACACAGTCAGTTTATTATTCTTAAGACTTTGATACAATGCATCAGCGTCATATGTTTCCACCCCGATAATCTTGACATGAGGAGCAATCTTCTTCAAGTACACAGCCACACCGGCAATCAACCCTCCACCACCGACAGGAACAAACAACGCCGACAATTTATCCAAGCGCAACTGTCTCGTGAGCTCAAGGGCAATGGTACCTTGACCAGCAATGACATAGGGGTGGTTAAATGGGGGGATGTCAATCAAGCCATTCAAGCTACTCAATCGGGCACATTCGCCCTTGGCAGAATCAAAATCGTCTCCAAACAACACAACTTGCGAACCTAAACGAGAAACATTGGTGTACTTAATCGAAGGGGTAGGAGTAGGCATGACGATGGTGGCGGGGATATCCAACTTATTGGCCGAATAAGCAACACCTTGAGCGTGGTTACCAGCCGAACAAGCAATGACCCCGGCAATTGGTTGTTTGGAATTGGCGTGCAAATGGGCAATCATATTGTATGCACCACGCAACTTGAAGGAGAATACAGGAAGTAGATCTTCTCGCTTCATGAAAATATTGGCACCACAACGATGCGACAAGTTAATGGCGTGTGTAAGTGGGGTACCGGCCTCATCGACAACGTCATATACTCGCGAAGTCAAGATGAGCTTGAGATAATCTGGTTCACCTTCTGGGGTGAAATCCTGTTTTGGCAATTCAGACCATCGTTGTTGGGCTGGTGTTTCTACACTTGGCGTACTCAACAATCGGCGAGATTGCATATATGCATATCGACTGACATTGCTAGCAGTCAATTGCTTCTTTAAGGCAATTGAAGGAACTGATAGCCTTAACATAATGTGGTTTTGAAGGAGTATCTCCACTTTGAATGAAAAATTTAGTTATAAAAAATGACTCTTATTTCAGAATCATGTTCGCTCAACAAAAAAAAAAAAAAAAAAGCTCACCGTTTCAGGCCGACTCAGGCCCGACCCGCCGCTCTCGACCGACACAAGCTAAAGGTGACCCTCTCAATTGGTCACAACCATTTTACTCCACTTTATGGCCACAGCTATAATCATGTAAAAGTATTATAAAAATAATTGTGTCTTTTCAAAGCTCAAAATTATGTAAAAATCGTCTTTGTCTGATAACAAGTAGTCAAATGTGAGATAACCTTCAAACAAACCGGGAGGAGGGGTAATTAATCCAACCATCAGTTAGTACAGAAGCTGGTGGAGACACTTGCGGATGAGGGGAAGTCGGAGGAGGAGGGACTCTTCTTAGGTTTTCTGTTACATGATGTGAAGTATTTTCAATGCAGCGAAAAGTACTAGCAACTTACACTTGCCGTTGCAGAACCATGCTTATTCTCTCCTTGAGTATTTTCTGTGCGCGCAATACCTGTAGGGGTTTGTCTGTAAACACCAAATAATACAATACATCTTCTATATATAATATGTGTATATATAATATAAATAATATAAATAATACTATCTAGCAGCCCAAGCTAAAGAAGGGTCGGTTGAAATAGTCAGGATGTGCGTGGCGTATCAATAAAATAATGCCAGGTAAAAGCTTTTGGCTGCAAAAAACGTGATCTAGAACAAAGCCAATCCTTCACTTGCCTTAAAAGAAAAGGAACTTCTGCAAGTCCAGAACATTCCACGGCATTTTGACACTGACTATATTGCTTTTTAGTACTTGATGGTATCTTTGAGCCGTATTCCACTCCTATAAGGTTTACTTTTGAATTTCTATCAATTCCCATAACAAAATTTCTTACAGTTCCACTTTTTTGCAAACTCATTTATAAATATATTTGCTCAACAAGGAATTCCTAACTTGCTATTCTTTCTTTGTTTATTTGATATTCCTAAACCAGTCTCACCCAGTTCAAGTATTCCTAATCTGAGTGTCTAGCCAATCTCAACCATAGTCAGCCATTTCTGGTAAGTGATTTCAAGCAGTTTGTTCATCCTCATATAAAACAAAGTACATATCCAAACATCACTTTCCTTAACAGAATAACCAGGAAAGAACTCAAAAAGAGGAGAGTATCACATCTAAGACAGTCAGTTTTTAATAAATTTGGGTCCTGTGTAAAATGGACTTGTCTTATTCACATGAAGAATTTCATCATGATCCTATAGAATACAACGAAGAGCCTAACAAATCCAACGGCGAGGTTGATGCCCTATCCAAGAGTGAATGGGATTATTTGTCGTTTGCCCAGCAGTTGCAAGATTTACCTCATAACAACATTGACATTTCTCCGTCGATTTCCAACCACACCGTGCAAACTGTGCATCTGTTGAGGCCGTCGTTTTCATCAACGGAGTATGAAACAGATAATACTGAGTTTTTAGGTAATTTGGTGGATAAGCCTGTTACCGATGACTACAATTTCAATCAAGATATTGATGCTAGTTTTCGGTTTTTGGACAACGTAATGGATGGAGAACAAATGATGACTACCCCGTTGTTTATGTCTGATGAAACCCATGAAACTCCCGATTTTCTTCAATTGCAAAATGAATTGAATTATGAGTATAATAACAATCTGAAATTCCTCACTGCTGCTCCTGCTCACCCCACTGATGAATTTGTTACGGTTCCAATATATGAGTGGCCCAATGATGAACTGTCGTCGTGTCCCGTGAATCTTTTGAATAACATCCGGATCAAATTATCTAATTTGGAGCCAAAGACTATCTCAGATGCAGTTCGGAAAACAATTCGGGAGGAGTTTCTTATTCAAGATGTATTTCTAGGTGATCCCAACATGCAACATTCGCATAGTCAGGCACATGCGTCTCCCCAGCGATCTATTAGAAAGAGAAGTGATCAGGATGTGGAATGGACTCCATTGAGTGTATACAAGGCTTACACCAATATTAAATCTCCTACAAATGGCAAAGAAGCGTATAATCATTTGGTTCCTTATAGTTCGTGTATTGGTACACTAAATTACCGACCAAAGGATCATGCTGCGTGGAAGAGACTGCCCAATAGAAGAAGATAGTATTCAAAATTGTTCTGAAAAACTGTAATAGATTCGTATGGTCGTTTGTCATTTAATTGAACTGTAAGTTCGCCTTGTTGACACTTGTTTAGTAATTTTCCCCCGGTTTATAGGTTAAAAGTTTTCTACCGTTTAGTTTTGACTTTAATAATGTTGAGATTGTTTTACCAAATGTAGCAAAAAAAAAAAAAAAACACAAATTGGAGAACCAACCCCGAAAAGAAAAGTCCCGAGCTAAATGGCCCCTTTTTCTTATTAGCAAGGCTTGGATGAAATTCTATCCTGGATACACTTTGGTAAAAGGAAAAGAGTATTGCGTATGCCAACATAAATTGGCGCAAAAAAAAACATGGCAATGCTAATTTCCAGCTTGTATTGCGCAACTCGTAAGTGAACCAGCAAGAATGTGGAGAATCAACACAACACATGTGATTTACGGGGTATGGTTTTAGATACTAAACTCCTATCGTGTACCCCGATCGCAAAAATTGCCACATCATACAATGGAAAGTTTTGTTTAATTTTGCAGTAATTGATTGTGAACAGCAAACATTTTCCATTTCAAACCCCGAGATATGGAATTTGTTTAGTCACGTTCCTTCCCCAAAACCACAAAACGAAACTCCTGCCCTTACCGGCGCGGGAAACAATCTCAGAGTCAAGCCGTGGGTTATTAATTCGATTGTTTACGAGATGTCGCACTGCATAGAGGCCAATTAACAATGTTGGCCCAATCAAACAAATTTGGTTCGCGATTATTAGAAATCACGTGCGATGATGAAGATTAGATTTTAAATGAGCTTTCCTGCACACAAGCAACAATAATAAACTTTTTCCCGCTAACAGTCACTATCAGAATTTTCTGCAGTTTCAAAGGCCCCTAACAATTATAAGTTGAAGTGAATCCGGTTCTTTCTTTGGTTTAGTCTCTTTCTAGTACACTTTTGAGTTATCCAGATTTAAATTGACAGTCATGAGTATCAACCAACAACAAGCGAGTATGTGTCACCTTCCCTTTTGACAGCTGATTACGAGTTTTCATTTTCTTGGATTCTCAGATCTGGCAGCACCCCCCCGGTAGCGGCGGCCTATTTTTAGCTTGAACTAATTTTACTAACACTATCTTACAGTTGCTCATACCGTTAATGCTATTGGTGGTACTGTATTTGTCACTCAACCTGCCAAGTCCGTTGAGTCGTCATTTACTTCCGTCTTGCCGCAAGCAACCACTTTAGTCAACTCGAATGATCCATTTACCATCATTCAAGAATACCTTGACCAAGCTCAAGACAACAACGAATTCGTCACTGTTGCCACTGACGGTGTCACCCTTTTCAACAGTTTGCCACACTTGTCATCGTCTGCTTTCAAATCAAACAAGGTTGTTGCCCATGTTGAATTAAACAACTTTGACTTTGCTATTGTTACCTCATTAAGAGATTTGCATTTCCCAGTTTTGGTTTCCCAAACTGCCAACGAAGCTTCCAAGTTTGCTACTGTTGCTTACAACTTGAGTGAAAACTTAAATACTTTTGTGTTCCACTTTTTTGCTCCAACCACTTACTTGGTTAACGAATCAGTCAAATTACCTTCAGAAATATTGCTTGAATCCGTCCAAGATTACTCAGTTGAACACATCATATCGCACTATGAAGTTAAACCATTTGAAATTGTCAACAAGGTTGCCAAACAAAAGGATACTATCTTGTACTTGGGTCAATTAAGTGATGCCTTGGTTGAAGCTGCCACTAAAGCTGATGCATTATTAATCAGTATCAAATTATATCAACCATTCCAATTAGCTCAATTGCTCAAGATTATTCCTTCATCCGTTGAAACCCTCACTATTGTTCAACAAACAACCACCCCATTTGCTTCCTTCTCCCCAGTATTGCTTGACTTTTTCCAACAATATCCAGAATATCAAACTTTAAAGACCTTCACCAAGATCGTCTCTGCTACTTTTGGATACATCAAGTCAGAAGGATATCAACAAGCAATCAACAACTTGTTGGCCAACGTCAGATCAGAATCCACCGTGCAAAACTTGTCCTTCGGTAAGGTCAACACTGAATTGGCTACCAAGTCTTCCAAGAAACAACAAGATGATCTTGCTGGTGCCGTAGCTGAAGCTCACTCCTTGGAACAAGCCTATTTGAAAGTTTTACAACAAGTTAACCCAGATAACTTGAACGTGTTGAATGAATTCCAAGCCGAAAACATTGGTCTCGAAACCAATCCTGAATTCGGGTTCGGTTCTTTCTTGTATGACCAAGAACAAAGAGAAAACTTGATTTCCTTGGTCCAAAATGCTGTCAAGAAGAACCAATTCAAGTCTGGTAATGACACCAAGTTGATTGAATTGTTATCTACTTGGTTAGTTCAAGTTAGAGAAGTTGGTGTTGTTGAAGCCAAATTATCTCAAGAAATTGTTGCCTTATTGGAAACCGACAAGACTTCCACTATTGCTCGTGAGTTATTGGCCTTGAGCCAATATTTCAGCCAAGAAAAGAACTGGTTGATTGGTTCCGATGCCTGGGCTTACGATTTGGGTTCTTCTGGTGTTCACAATGTTATCACTTCCGGCAAGAACATCAACATGTTGATCATTGATTCTGAACCATATGCTGAAAAGAACCAAGAAAAGACCATCAACGGATTCAGAAAGAAAGACGTTGGATTGTATGCCATGAACTATGGTGGATGTTATGTTGCCTCTGTTGCCATTTACTCGTCATACACTCAAGTCTTGCAAGCATTCCTTGAAGCTGAAAAGTTCCAAGGTCCATCTATTGTCTTGGCTTACTTGCCATACAAGAAGGAATCTGATGACGCTTTAGCTGTCTTACAAGAAACCAAGAAGGCTGTTGATAGCGGTTACTGGCCATTATACAGATATGATCCAACCATTGAAAATGAAGCTGATATTTTCAAATTAGATTCTTCCAACTTGAGAAAACAATTGCAAGATTTCTTGGAAAGAGAAAACAGATTGACTTTGTTGGCTACTAAGGATCCACTTTTGTCCAGAAACTTGACTGCTACTGCCAACACTGAAGCTAAGGCACAACAAAAGAAGATTGCTGATGAATCATTTGCTAAGTTGTTACAAGGATTAAGTGGTCCTCCATTGACTGTTGCTTTTGCTTCTGATGGTGGTAATGCCGAAGCTGTCGCCAAGAAGATCAACAGACAAGCCTTAGGTAGAGGATTAAAATCTACTGTTTTACAAATGGATGATATTGCCGTTGAAGACTTGCCTACTGAAACCAACATTGTCTTTGTCACCTCTACTTCTGGTCAAGGTGAATTCCCAACCAATGGTAAACAATTCTGGGATGGTATTAAGAACTCGGTTGATTTAGATTTAGCCAGTGTTAAATTCTCTGTTTTCGGTTTGGGTGATTCTCAATATTGGCCAAGAAAGGAAGACAAGCACTACTATAACAAGCCAGCCAAGGACTTGTGGGCTAAATTAAAACTTTATGGTGGTGTTGAATTAGCTGATATAGGTTTAGGTGACGATCAAGATGCCGATGGATTCTCAACTGGATTCAATGAATGGATTGAAAAGATCTGGGCTGCTTTAGGTGTTGACAATGTTGAAGGTGTTGAAGAACCAAAGCCAATAACCAATGAAGACATGAAGCTCGGTTCTAATTATCTTAGAGGTACTATTGTGGAAGGGTTGAATGATCAATCTACTGGTGCTATTTCTGCTGTAGATCAACAATTGACCAAGTTCCATGGTATTTATATGCAAGATGACCGTGATATCAGAGATGACCGTAAAGCTCAAGGTTTAGAGCCAGCCTATGCGTTCATGGTTCGTGCTAGATTGCCAGGTGGTATTGCCACTCCTAAACAATACTTGAGATTGGATGAATTGTCTGATGTTAGAGGTAATGGTACTTTGAAATTAACTACCAGAGCCACTTTCCAATTACACGGTGTTGTTAAACATAACTTAAAGCCATCCATTAGAGGTATGAATTCCGTTTTGATGGATACTTTGGCTGCTTGTGGTGATGTCAACAGAAACGTTATGGTTTCTGCTTTACCTCACAATGCTAAGATCCATACCCAAGTTTCTCAAGTTGGTGCTTTGATTTCTGAACATTTGTTACCTAGAACCACTGCCTATCACGAAATTTGGTTACAAGGTGAAGATGACGGGGATAAGCCAGGTGACAGTGCCAACTGGGAAAACAGAAAGGAAGGTCCAGCCAAGAAGAAGACTTTGGTCGCTGGTAATGCTTTGGAAGATTTTGAACCAATGTATGGTAAGGTTTACTTGCCAAGAAAGTTCAAGGTTGTCATCACTGTTCCTCCATACAATGATGTAGATGTCTATGCCCATGATATCGGTTTGATTGCCATTGTTGAAGACAACGAAGTTGTTGGTTTCAATGTTTTAGTCGGTGGTGGTATGGGTTCTACTCATAACAACAAGAAGACTTACCCAAGAACTGGTTCTATGTTTGGTTACGTTGCTAAGGACCAAATCCATCTTGTCTGTGAAAAGATTATGTTGGTTCAAAGAGATTTCGGTGACAGAACTAACAGAAAGCACGCTAGATTGAAGTACACCATTGATGATTTAGGTGTTGATGTATACAAGAGTAAGGTTGAAGAATTATTGGGTTGGAAGTTTGCTGAACCTCGTGAATTCAAGATTGAATCCAACGTTGATTACTTTGGATGGTGTAAGGATGAATTAGGGTTCAACCATTTCACTGCATTTATTGAAAATGGTAGAATTGAAGATACTGCTGAATTACCACAAAAGACTGGGTTAAAGAAGATTGCACAATTCTTGGAAACTAAGAAATCTGGTGAATTTAGATTAACTGGTAACCAACATCTTGTTATTTCTAACATTGATGATGCCGACTTGAATGTTGTCAAGTCATTATTAGCTAAATACAAGTTAGACAATACTGATTTCTCCGCTTTGAGATTATCATCTGCTGCTTGTGTCGCTTTCCCAACCTGTGGTTTAGCCATGGCTGAATCTGAAAGATACTTGCCAGTATTGATCTCCAAGTTAGAATTAGCCTTGGAAGAATACGGATTAAGACATGATTCTGTGGTTATGAGAATGACTGGTTGTCCAAATGGTTGTGCTAGACCATGGTTGGCTGAAGTTGCTTTAGTTGGAAAAGCTTATGGTGCATACAACTTGTTATTGGGTGGTGGCCACCATGGTCAAAGATTGAACAAGATTTACAGATATTCCATCAAGGAAGATGAAATCTTGGATATTTTGAAACCATTGTTCAAGAGATGGAGTTTGGAAAGAGAAGATGGAGAACCATTTGGTGATTGGTGTATTAGAGCTGGTATCATTAAGGAAACCACTGAAGGTAAATACTTCCATGATGATATTCCTGAAGATGCTTAGGTTGTTTGCTATTGGACTTGGCGGTTTATAGATAGTTTTACAGCTTATTTTTATTTTGTACTTTATTATTGGATATATTATACACGTAAGTTATTTGAATCATGATACTGTATAGTGATATTATAATTGTTAACCACTTTTGGTGCTTGGTTCCCAAAACACCATCGTAGCATTGCTTCTCCTGTTGATGCGTGACTGTGCCTTCTTGGAGGGGGTGCGGGAGGAGGAGAGGAAGACTAGGCGAATATGCTTGCTAGAAGCTATCTATTTCTCACATCATCATACACCTGAATGGTATCGAACAGGTCAAGACTATCTCATGTCACGAAAGCTTTCTCTCTTCATATCTTGAATATCTCTAAGCAAGGTCTTGGCCACCAATCTCTTCTTTCTCTCTAGTTGTAACACGTCTTTAATCTTAACGTCCCAAAGAGTAACGCTGATTCCGTTCAATCGACGTAGAAGTTTCTGACGAGTGGCATTGGCCTGCTTGTGTATTTTGTCTTCCATTTCCCGGTCCACCTTTTGCATTTGTGCTTGGAGATGTCGTATTAGCAACTCCTTCTCTTTCTTTGTGTATCCCATGGCTGTTCTATGATTGTATTATGGGGGCTATAGTTGTCTGAATGAAATCAAAACATGAATACTGTGACTTAGTTGGTTAGTTAGCACCTGCATATAACAAGGGGCCAAAAAATCCTCAACCCAAAACTCGAAATTTTCAATGCTCACTTTATCGGTGGCAACAACAACGGGCTACAGCAAACTGAAGTACTAACATAAGTTGCCAATTTCCCATATTCACCTGCATCAATTATATACAATAACTGCCCCAAGATGGTTCTCGAAGCTACTATGATTGCCATTGACAACTCCGAGTATATGAGGAACGGAGACTACTTGACGTCCAGGTATGATGCCCAACTTACAGCCACCGAGTTTATTTTCCAGAATAAGATCAATTCCAACCCGGAAAACACAGTAGGGTTGTTGGCATACGGTGGCAGTGGACCACAAGTATTATCCACTTTAACCACTGATTTCGGAAAGATATTGTCGGGGGTACACGAAACGAAAATCTCCGGGGATAACCACTTCTCCAGTGGGATTCAAGTTGCTGCGCTTGCGTTGAAGCATCGTGAGAATAAAGTACAACAACAAAGGATTATTGTGTTTGTAGGTAGCCCCATTCTGGAAACCGATAAGGAATTGGAGAAATTGGCCAAGAAGATGAAGAAGAATAACGTTGCTATTGATATTATAAATTTCGGGGAAGAGTCGGTAAACACGGCCAAGTTGGAAAAGTTCAATTCTATTATAAATAACCATGACAATTCTCATCTCGTCACTATCCCACCCGGCCCTAAATTATTGTACGAAGTCATTGCCACCAGTCCTATTTTGATGGATGAAAGTTTTGCTGGTGCTTCTGAAATGGACTTCTTTGGCGGGGGTGGTGCTGGATCGGGTGACCTTATTGATCCAAATATGGATCCTGATTTGGCATTAGCTTTAAGACTTTCGTTGGAAGAAGAAAAGGCCAGACAAGAAAGAGAAGCTGCTGAAAAAGCCAAGAAGGATGCAGAAGCTACTAGTAACGGTGGTGGTGAATTAGAAAGAATTGACGAAGCCAAAGAAGAAAAGGATGAAGATAAAGATACAGCCATGAAGGATGCTTAGCGTGTGTGTAGTACATAATAGAATAGTATAACAAATTTAGTGGAGCATTGAAAACATTTAGGCTGCGAAAAAAAAAAAATTATCAGCGTTTAACTCTTTGTAAATTCTCATACTTGCAAATATGAAAAGACATAAAGATATAAATAGAGTAAAGGAAGGTTCTGCTGGTTCTGCTTTACTGAGGTTGATTAGAAAACCACCTCGTAGTGGTAGTCCCATTTCAAAAAGGAGTCAAACTATACCAACTTCATTGATTGGTTCACCAAATGAATTCATTTTGATTCCTATTCCACTGACTAAAGCTCACTTTATTGACGCGTATTCCAAGGTATGTCTACTTAAAACACATTTTTTGGGAATATCTACTAACTAGTGTAGGGAAAATGGAACTTATCAAAAGTACCCTGTCCACCATGTTTACAAAGCAGTGGATACATGAAGCCACCTGAATGTTATAGTGAACCATCTCGATTAAACGCTGTTTCCCGCTATAAAGACCTACCACACTGGTCCGAACCTACTCTTTTCAGGAAAACCGTGTCTAAACTAAAGAAGGTGTTTCTGGTTTCAGGGGTGTCCATTTCGTTAGTGGATAATTTCAAATGTTATTTCAAAGTCGAGACTATGTTGGATATGAATGATGTGCCTCGTTGTGTTGCCATTGATTCTCATGCGTTACTTTCTCAAGGGTATTTCTTGTTATTGGATGCTTCTTCTGATTGGAGAACTGCCATGAATCCACTAGTTACCGGTCTGCCATTTATAAAGTTTTATTGTGGAGTACCATTATTAACCCGAAACAATGAAGCTATTGGTATATTGTCAATATTTGATAGTTTTTCCAAGGATGAATTTACCGAAGAGAGTTGCAAAAAGTTGCAACTTGTGAGTAGGGACATTATGATGACGTTGGACAGTTCAATTGAAGATGTGAGATCAAAAATCCAGCAAAGAAACTCCCCTACATTCCCCATAAATAACTTGACTAATGAATTAACAGATCTACGCAAACAACTAGGTAGACCCACGAGTTCTCGATCACTACTAGTGTTTGAAAAAGACGGATCTGGTGGTCCATACACACAAAACCATAATTTTCGATTCTTCAAATATGGCAATGGAACCCATGTCAACGAACCCAAACTGCCTGTGGACGAGAAACATCTTTGGAATTTGTTGTTTTCAGTCGGATCTCTCAAGAGTGCGGCCACGATCCTCGCCAAGGTGTTGGCTACCAATTATACTTTTGACTTTGTGTATATCTTAGAAATCCGAATTGCCGAACCATATCAAATCCCAAGAGAGTACTTCCCACCTAATGAAACCAAAGTGGAAGCCGAGAGTTTCCGTCATGCCAGCCGCATGATCAAATTGAAAGGAACTCATGACGAGTTTATGACGAGAGTGATTGGTGTCCATGGCAAATCCCATGATCTTCAATATTTTGAAAATTCGATCCATTACAAAGCCTTCATGTCTGAATTTGGTGTAGAATATAAGAATCCCAAAAAGAACTCCACTTTGAACCACGGAATATTGATGCCATTCTACAGACACAATTCGAAAATCGTTCGGAAGTCTAGCGAGGACAGGAAAATGGTCGATGTTTATTTGAGAAGTGGCGGGTATATTATTGCCTTGTTTTCAGAAAACTACAATAAGGAAATTAATCCTGATGTGGTGTCAAATATATTTAATCATGCAAGTATGTATAGGAAGATTTATATTACTGCTTAGTTCACATTCCAAATTCTCTCATCAACTCTAGATCGTTTTCATCGTCTTCAAACGGTGGTTCTGGGTGTTCGCTTTCTTGTGGAGCTTGGGTCAATTGAGCAGCAACAAGTTCGAGATCTTCATCGTCACTGAATGGGTCGTCTAATTCATCTGTTTCTTTAGATGTGTCTTTAGAATTATTAGCTTGCTCCACGATCTTATCTCTGGTCTCCACTGGGTGTTCAGGAACCTGATACAAGTCGTCATCGTCGTCGTCATCATCATCACCCACAAATAACCTGTTTCGAGGAGCAGCCACATTCATGAAATCCCAATCATCATCTTCATCACCCACATTGGCTTGCACGCTAGTTTCTCCAGTAGCACTAGCATCAACGGGCTGGTTCACTTCAGACAAAGAAGCATCCACGTCTATATCCTCAGGAACATTATCGATAATGCCCTTTTCGACCCTCAACTTATTCAATTCCGCCTCCATCAACTGTCGTCTATAAAGCTTTAACTGAGGACTCTTGCCTCCTAAACCTCGAATAAGCTGAATACAATCTCTAAAGTTAGCCTTGGGGAATAGACCGTGACACCATAGTTGGTAAAACTGCAACACTGAAACAAGATTGTTATATTCGTGATCCAATTTCTGACTTTTACTCGCTAATGGGTATTTCTTCATGAAATGACGGTCATTGCGCAGGATTGTTCTGCTTAGTTGGGAATGGTTCTTTACAATATAGGGTATTCCATGACTGCTGAAGATCCTTTGATTGTCTATCCGGGCTATCTTTGCCCGTTTCTTGAGTTTAAGTGGTTGATCGAGACCAAGTACGTCTTCTGCATCGTTTGCTGCCGCAACAGCATTCCTATCTTGTTCCATGGTTGTTGTGTTACTCCAGAGGTTGATAGAAATTAAAAACAAACGCGTAAATATTTGGGGAAAATGTAACACGTGAATTTGGTAGCGCGTGTTGGATCATGCACTGACCTCTACAGTTTCAACAACAAGAAGAATGTTGAAGTAATATCCTGACTCGCTAGATGTCCATTTTCAATCTACATATAGGATGATGCCTTGTAGCCATTGAAAGTTTTTACAAATAAAAAAACAAAAAAAATTTCTAAAATGTGACTTGGGTAGAGAATATTTGTCAACTATGAAGTAATCAAGTATTATATCATAGAATGGAGAAATGTCTATATGTCGCTTCAAAGAAAAGTTTAAAACTGCATGAATGACTGCTCATTAGCATTCGAAACAACACTTGTGCAATAAGAAATAAAAGTAACGCAACAAACGCAAAAATATATACGAGAATAGAGTAGGGGAGTCATGTATCTCATCATATCTGACATGTCATCGTTATATGTCACGTCTTGGTATTTCCAGATGCAGATTAGCCGAGTGGGAACAATCCGAGAACTATCTCATTTGGGGATATCCTTTATTTTCCAAGTTTCTGTTCCTTACACGTTTCTTTTGGTTTATCGCAGAGGGGAATAGTCAACTTGTAGTCACAGCTAATCTATACCCACTATTCCCGATATTGCCAAGCATCAAATATTAGCAGATATGAAGTTAGCAGATTTTTCAAATTAGTTAAAGAATGACCAGAATTTATTTACCGTTGGGTCCACATCAGCGCAAAAAGAAACGGACGTCACTGATATTTTTTTTAAGTTAATTTCCAGAAGCACACTGAGGCGAGCAAACACATCAAACATTTGCTGTTATCGATGATTCTTTCGTTTTTGTGGTTTTCGTAATTCAGTTGGCCTATCACGGATAGAGGGAAGATGTTTGTATTTAATAAGGTAATTTTGCTGGAAATACAACTTTCTTTGTAGTCCTCTTTAAACCACATGTCTACAAAATTCGCATCAATACTAACACGATATATCCGTTCGGAAAGCCCAACTATAATAGAGTCCTCCAGGACCATAACATCACCCCGACTGAATGATTTTCTCAAATCATGTCAGGAAGCTCAAGTAGCATTAAATCAATATCCCAAATCCTCTGAACAGAACGCCTTGCGATCTCAAACTCCACTAGCACAAGTTGACACCACGGGGTTGCAAAGATTCAGAAAGTACGCCTCTTCATCTTCACTAGAACCAGTACCTCTTGAACGAGACTCTAGATTCTGGAAACAGCCAAGAGAATCTGTTGTGCAAAAGCAAACCACGGGCTGGAAAAGAGACCCAAGCAGATCTAAAAAGGAAGTCCGCTTCGCAAATGATACACACGTTCATTACTTCAAAAAGAAAGATAAACCAAACATGTTATGCTTACCCAATTCCAACACTTGTTCATACCCTCTTTCTGATCATTCCATTTACGGAAATATGTATATTCTTGAGGAAAAAATTGAACCAAACTATAGAAACATTCAATTGTGTCGGAAATACATGACACAATACCCCAGCAAGTCGCTTCAACAAGTCAGCTTCCAGCTAGAATTGGTCAATATTCCTCCATTCGAATATAGCTATGATTCTGACGCTGAGTTTACTTTAGTAAAACTTTCTATTTCCCCTGATAAGCAAGAATTGGTGGGTCAGGTATCTGCCAATGGTATATCTTTTGATTGCTTGATTATCAGATATTCTGTGAATAATTGGGCCACAGTTTCAGTAATGTCATCGGAACAAGTTGAAATTACGGATGATATATTTTCGTTCAAAATACCTTTAGATCAATTATTTGAAGATGGTGAGGGAACCGCTTCTGATATACGCATCAATTATTATTCGTGCTCGGGAGAGTACGATGAAGTCAATGATTCGAAAATGTACGATATCAACTTGGTCAAGACTTCTAAAATGACTGATCCATGGGAGGAAAAAGAGAATTTGGTCGGCTCTGAATCACTGAACTACGAAATAATCACAAACCAACAATTAGTCTATCTTCCTGAATATTATGAGTCAAATAGAAATGTTCACCGGTGTTCATTTGATAATAAGTTGGAGACAGTCGTAGAGTTATTGGAAGAGGTATCCCTTTTTGAATCTACTTCTGTTGTGAGAGTTTCGTCTTAGATTTTTTTTATCTATATAGATAGATGTATATAATGTTCTTCTGCAATTAACATATGACTAACTAACTGACCGTGCACAGTAGCAGCCATTTCACGCGAAATATTTGCAACACAAAAAAATTACGTTTACTGGACACTCGATGAAAGGATATACCTGAAGTGATATGTACTACACTGAATATCTTCCCCGACTAAATTCCATCTCAGTGGTATTGGATGTTCCTAAAGGCTTCTTCATTGATGTTTCAACCAAAATAATATTAAAAGACCCACACCAATTATCCATCCAATCCAGTCAAACAATACTCGATTTTAAACTACCATTACCCATCACCAAATTCTCAATCACGAACCTAGCCCTACAAAATCAAGTCCTTTCCTTCAAATTAGTCCTTCCATCCATCAAACCTGATGATTCCTCTGTGCTGACATTTATGAATCAACTCGATCAAAAGTGGTCATGCAATGATCTCAAAAAGACACCAAAATCAAACAACAACCACACATTCCAATTCGTCTGTGCAAATTGTGAAACTCCCCTTATACGTTCAGAAATGTATACTTTCAAGGATATGCCTAGTGAGTACTGGTATGAAATGATGGATTTCTGGCATTGTCACAAACCAGAAAGTGACCATGATCATTCGCATGACAAGGACTACAAGGGTGTGCTTGTTCCTCATGATGATCACACTGTTATCATTGGCACTTATTATTTGCTCCAAAAGTCGAATTCTAATATAACTGATAATGTCACTTGTGCAAAATGTGGTTGTATCCTTGGCGAAATGATCCAAGACAATGTTTTGAAGATATTAAAGTGGAAGATTAGCTTAGTATATGCAGATCAACAAGAACGATTCGATTCGAAATTATTCATGTACAATTCAATCATAGACAAGATTAACTCGTCAGCTACAAGAAGATTCAAATTTAAACTAGATAATGCATGGAAGTACCTATGGGTCATGAATTTAGGCGTAAAAGCGACCCTAAACGGAGATACCCTCGTTAATGCATTAAAAGTAGCATTCACAGATAAGATACAAGAGAAAGATGAAGATAGCTATGAACTAGTAGACATACCGTATTCTGAAATTGTGGGTTCCTTTATTAATGATCTAAGTTCTATGCATTCTAAATTACCACAGTCTATAAATTGTCTTACAATGGGTCCTACAAACTTTCAAATAAGTCTCATATCACCTTAATGTTCGAGGATTTCTTTGATTATAGGAACAATTTGCTTTCTGGAAGCTTTGATATTACCTTGATTGTAAATCTGGAAGGTTGAACTGGATGAAGATTGTAAAGATTTAACTGTATCTTTCATCTTCTTCCATCCGTAAATGTCATCATTGAGTTCAAGTTGATCCTTGGCTAATTCTCCTAAATGGTTGAAACGGTCATCATTTCTTTCTTCAAAATAGTACGAAAACTCCCTCGTGTATATGTCAGTGTCTTTTTGAGTATAGGATGAAGTCATAATAAACAAATCGATACCTAATTCTTTTAAAGAGTTAGACATGGTAGATTGAAGTTCTTCCTCTGTGTAATTCTTCATAACCCATTTGAAAGATTTACCCATTGAACTGAACCCAACAGTTGCACTGACTCCACTAGAACTACTCTTGAACGTGAATTGTTTATAATCCTTAAGTAAGATATCAAAAAATGAAAATCCACTAACGTCTTTCTTGGCTTTCTTCAATATGGAATAAAATTGGTCGAGCTCAGTCTCTCCCTTGTGTCTGCCGTCTGAGAAACTATCAATGAATGTTTGCATGTTTCCCTTGTTGACTACTTGTTGATACACTGAAAACGCATCAACATCTGGTTGTTCTACTTTCTGAGTCATATTCGAGGTATCAATCAATAATGGGCCAAGCAAAAGTTCAATGACATCACTATGACTACTCAAATCATCCAATTTCGACAAGTAATTCTCGTAAAAGTAGTTGAAAATTAAACAGGATCCCGAGCCACAACTACGGATAATCCTAGGAGATGCATCCAAAAATGCTTCTTCATCAGCATGGTGATCAATAATACTTACAACTTCAACCAACTTATCAGCATATGCCTTCTGGATCTCCTCCCCTTGGATGTTATTATGGTCCACCAAAGTCAAATGGACTTTACTCTCGGAAACCAATTGATGGAAATCTTCTACAAAGTACAACACATCCTCGGTGATTGAATGAGACTTTAATAACAACTCAATGTCTCTTCTTAATCGGAAATCCTTTCTGGGGATGTTAATCAAGGGGATCACATCTTGCTCTGTTTGTAGTTTCGTGAAGTAGGCAAAGGAAAGGGCACTCACTACAGAATCCATGTCCGCGGATTGATTCCCCGTAACCAAACGGTAGGGTGCACTCAATGATTTAGAGTCTACTTTTTGCTTTAATCCTGTCAAGTACTTCTTGATGTTGGACATTGTGGGGAGGATCTGTTTCAATGAGGGTCGTGTTTAATATGATGCTTGTTTTGAAACTTGAAAAATATTTGCTATTCCCAAAATGGAAATCTCAACTTATTTTGTGAGCCGCACAGGGAGAGATCTCTGTTGGCATTTGTTCAATTTAGTAATAATAACCTTACATTGGGGTAGCTAACTCTTAAAGTAGATATGGTATGACATAACTCGATGGTATTTAGCTTGACCCTGATAGTTTTTAAGCATATTTATATATTGGGACTTTGGATTAGAGTTTTAGCTTTACGGTTGGACGTGGGACCAAGCAATTCTTCGAGTGGGGAATGTGAAGAAGGTGGAAAGTACTAAAAAAATATTACAGGAATATTTCATGACGGTGACTTCCTGTGAAATTTCCAGAGTTGTTCTTTTTTGCAGCAATTCTATTCAAGCTCCGTGACGTATAAACTTAGCAGACGATTAAACATATTAATCAGCAATAATTTGTAAGCTGCCATACGTATGGAAAATTCTATCTTCCAACAGCTTCTATGCAAGTCTTCGGTTATGTTATTACCCAATAGAACCATACCTAAAGAACACATATCATGGAAAAGTGTCTAATAATAACAAAACTTACAAACCCGGGCTTTCTATATTTTTCTTCCCAATGGAGTAAGTGACCTCCATCTGGTTCGGCCGTGACTCAATTGGGAATCCCCCGAAAGATGTTTCTCCGGCGATAATTTTTTACATGCTATATCCTGTGTAAACCACAATTTAGTCACGATTTAGTCATGTCACAATCATCTGAGACATTGGGGTATATAAACTGGAGCTCTGGCTGCTTATAGGTTTCAATATTTGTTTCTTCACCTCATTATTGAATACAACAACTTTCAATACAACCTCAACAATCAAACAAACAATATCTGCCACTACTGTCTTCATTTCCGGTGCTAACGCTTTTGTTGCCCAACACATCATCAAGCAATTGCTCTCTAAGGGTTACAACATTGTTGGCTCAGTCAGATCTGAAGCTAAGTAAGGATTTCGAATTCTTAATAATTGACTCAGGCATAATGAATTAATGACACAAAATCACTTAAAAATATTCCAATACTTCCCATAAAAGTTTACAAGCAAGAGATATTTCGTTGGGTAAGCATGACAGAACTCCTCGGTAATGCTTTTGCTACTCAATCTGTGATTCCTGAAGAAATACATTTGATCTGCTTTTCTGGTGTATCGGAGGATAATGAGTTTAAGAAGATCTATATCCTGATTAGTTTGTACACATAACCTTTAAACTTACTTGGAATGATGCGGGATTACTCAAATAATATTTCATGTCCATTTTTAGAAAACAAATATATTAAATCTACTTACAGAGATAAAAGAATTATAGCAAACAATTAATCAAAATTAAGAAAGTAATTGGGACCCCCCAAGTTGTTGCACCATTGGCTATTTCAACCACTGGGTTCGAAGAGCTAACAGTTAACCATTGAGATATACTCATGGTAGTTCCTATGAACTCATCTCCAGTAGTACCATTGCTTCCATTTTCTTCAGCTGCTCCAACATTACTTTCTGAAGGAATATTAGATGTGGTTGTGGCAGCTCTATTGGATACATCAGAAGATTTATTTTCGTTATTAACAGTGGTATTTTCAATCACAGATGCAATCTCTGTAGTAAAGGTTGTGTCCAAACTAGTAATTGTTGTATGAATCATAGTTGAAGTTTCAGGTTCAACCTTTTCAGTCTCTGTCTGTTTCAAGTCAGGTGAAGGTTTTATAGTTGGCTGTTCTTGAGATGAAAATTGTTGAACAGATGCAACAGATGGTGTAGTTGCTAGGGGTATCAATGGCAATGTTGAAGTAATGAATGTCAGTTGAATGGTTTTAGTAGAAGAACTTGGTGATGTCAGTGATAAATTCTGTTCTGCAGTCAAATCTTCAAACTGACTATTTTCACTAGATGTAACTATTGGTTTGGGAATAGACGGTTCATCAGCGGCAGATACTTCACTGAACCATATGTCTTCACTAACTGATGATTGGTCACTGGATGACAAATATCCCGTAGTTGAGGTAGAGTCCACAAATGATGTGACTATCGAGGACTCTCCAATATAGGTAGATTCAATAGATACTTCACTTTCTAATGAGATTTCAGTAGATGATGATTTCTCGACACGTGTAGTAGGGTAATTGGATTCAGATAATGTTTCTGTTGACTCATATTCAGTAGCTAACGATGAAATAAAGGCTTCAATGGTTGTAGATGGATCCTCTGACAGGAAATTCTCAGTTGTTGCTTTTTCTGTCAATGATGGACTTTCAGTTGAGGATGGACTTTCTGCAGAAGTTAAATCTTCAGAAACTGTTGTTGTTTCACTTGATGAAGGATTTTCGGATGTTGAAATTGAATTATTGGATAAAGGGTCTTCAGAACTGGAAGATACAAAAATGTATGTTGAATCTTGGGTGGTTTCTTCAGTAACTGGATCTGTTTCATTAGGAGATCTTGTTTCTAAGTCTTCAGAAGTTGAGTATGAAGTATGCGATGTTAAATTTTCAATACTCAAAGTAGGGTCAATGGTCAAGGTCTCTTCCGAAATAAAAGTTAACTCTTCAGTGGTTTGACTTGATTCATTAAATGAGGTCTCTTGAGTTGTTGAGACTTCTTCAGAAGTTGATAACTCTTTTGTAACATCGCTGGATGATTGAGAAGTTCGTGATGGATAATTAAATGTTGAATCCGTGGAAGTTGAGAACCAATCGCTAGATGAATGACTTTCAGAGGTAAATGTTGTGTTGCTATATGAAGAATATGCAGTTGAAGGCAACACCTCAACACTAGATGATACCTCGCTAAATATTGTCTCTTCAGTAGCAGTTAACTCATCACTACTTGAGAATGGGTCTTCATATGATGAACTTTCACTAGTCGAAATATTTTCACTAGATGAATAATTCTGAGATTCTGATGATTCTTCTGAGGTCTGTGACTCAGTGTAGGTAAACACTTCAGTGGTTGTAAGTTCTTCCATAGTTATAATCTCTTCTGTGTTGGTTTCATCTTCAGTAGATGAGAAGCTTTCTGTATTGGACGATTCAGTAATTGGTAAGGTTACAATAGATGTAAATTCATCAGATGTAGCATGTTCGACGGTCGAGGATTCTAGGATGTTAGTTGATTCGTTGCTAGAATACAAACTTTGCGTATCGGTAAACTCTTCAGAAGATACAGGATCTTCAGTTGTGGATGGGTCGTTTGTAGTTGATGAAACTTCGGTTAATAAATCTTCACTGAAAGTAGATTCTTCACTGGCTGATGGGCTTGGACAAGGTGTAACAATAGCCTCAGTGACTGTTGCCCAAGTAGATGTGGAATAAGTGGTGGTGAAAGTTGCTTCTTCTCCTACCCAGCAAGTAGTTATAGTGGTTGTAGTATAAACTGGTTCAAATTCAATTACACTTGCAGTTGATCCTGGAGGTGCCGTTATTGTAGTGTAAGATGTGGAAATTCCAACATAGGTGGTTGTGGTGGTCACTGTTGGAATAGGAACATTCACAACAATGGTCATGGTTTTATCTTTTGAAGTTTGAAATGGCATTGTAGATATTTGAGTGGTCAGCCCAGTGTAAGTACTTGTAACAACTTCCACTTCTTCCCCATTACCACCTACAACATTGTTTTCATAAGCACTCCAATTAATCGACTTGCTATTGTCTGTAGTTTTTGTGCTATCAGCACAGATATAATTGTTGACATAGTTAACTGAGACACTGACGCCATTAGCAACATCGAAAAGACTATCAATAAATGGACGGTAGCCAGCAGGAATGTTTTTATATTCAACCATGAAGGAAGTAGAAGTACAGGTGTAGGTGAATTTAAAATCATTATTTGCATTTTTTGGTAAATACCAATCATTTAACGAATTGGTGATGGCCATGTGGATGGAGTCGCAATTAATTTTGGAACCCTGATTCTGGATCTTCATACCTATGGAACCAGATTTATATCGAGCTCGGCAATTTCCAGCAAGAAGGTAATGTTGTTGCTTGTTCAAAGAAGGTACCACTCTGTTTCTATAAACAATCTTGTTTGGATCATCGGTAGCTCCACCAGAGAAGGAAACTTGGGTGGAAAGTTGATTATCCCCATCATAAAATGATACTGTGTTCCTACCATCAACAAAACAAGTAGAACTTTCCAAATCAGTACTTAATGCAGAGCCTCCCACATTAAAAGCAACTGGGAAATTAATAGATCCATGGGCATTAGTCAGGGAAGTAACAGTATCCAAGAGAACACATTCTAACTTGGAAAAAGCTACCACAATATCTCCAGGATTAAAGGCACATGTAGCATAGTTGGTCTTTCCAACATTTAAATTGACTGATGCTTGATTGGTAGTGAACTTGAAAACACATGGTAAATCTAAGGTGAATGTATCACCAGCATTCATATCATTCCCGTTGATTCTCCAAGATAATTTAACGATCCAACTTGGGTAAGAAGGACCTGCAAATGGGTAGTCGGCAGCTTTCTCCCATACTAAGGAGTCAAAGGAAGTAAAAACTCCACTGATTTGTTCAGAAGAGACTGTCGCGATTGTTAATATTATAAAAATGATAAATGATAACATTGTATTTGTTGTTGGGAAAAGTGAAGAATAGATATCTTGGTTTGAATGAGATCATGTCCCATATTTATAGTTGATTCTTATTCATTTGATCTATCCGGATAAATGACAGAGTATCGATCATCAGTTGAACTTTTAACAAAGCTGTTGTGCTAGCGTGATTTCTTTTGCAGTAATTTCGGTAGTTTCAGTAGAAGCATTACAACAATGGAATTCAGTCAGGCGAGTAAATTGTCGCACGCGCAAATTGCAAAAAAATCATCTGTTGCGAAATATTTTTTTCCGGAATTATAGTTTAATAGTTTTTCCGGAGATCTTCGATTTGTTTGTCAAAGTTCCATAGAACAATTCATGATATACTCAGACAATGGATTATTCCGCTTAAGCGAGGATATTTGTTCCTAACTTAAAAATTTTTAACTTCAGGTTTAATTCTCTCGGGTAGACTTTAGCAGATGGTACTAAATTAGATGATAAAACTTTTCGAATCAACTTTTTAGTTTCCTTTTACTCGATTGACAAATGGAAGGAATCTCGAACTTATAACGGCTTCAAATTTATGCTAAACAAATATAGCTTTCACTTGGTCTATGATGCAACTATTTCTCCTTCTTGGTTCATTGGTTTGCAACATAGATACTGATTTTATTATCCACGGAAAATATATTAATTACATTTCCGGAAATCTGGAAAAAGACTTTTCGTAAATTGCCTGGAAAAAAGGTTTTGCTAAATTTAACTTGATGACTGAGAAAAAAGAAAAGAGAACCCTGCAGATACGCACTTGTTGCAAGTTTGTTACAACAGAAAAAAAACTTAGTAACATTTTAGTAAGCGCAAATGGGTGCAAATAGTTTATAGACTACAGATTGTTATGTGATTGCAGTAAATAGTCACACCACTGCTAAAATTAAAGAGCCTATATCTCAATTACGAGAAGTTATTGGTCATGTATTTAATGCAAGCACTCACGCCACTCACGCCACTCGCGAAATTAGATAAATTGAAATATCACATCATAGTAATTCAACGAAATCTATAATAGATGCGGTTAAATAGTTTGAATGGTATTTAAAACAAGATAGCAACAATCTAAATTATACGCATATAAAGATAAACCTAATTATATGAAAATAATACCAGAAATCAACCATAAGCATATCGTGCAGACATTAACCTTGAGATCTGTTGCCATTCCTTCGAGATATTGCTCAAGGTCGGCATTTGTCTCAAGAGTATTCTCAAAGTTACTACCTAATGAAGTAGGAGGTAAAACAATAACTTGAGGGGTACTATTTGGAAGAACAGCAGAATTGACTGGAATATCTGAATTTCCATCAGCGCTCTTGGAATTAGGTAAATTATTTGGGTTGCCACCTGGGTATTGAGCTGGAGGTACGGCTGATTGTTCTTGGCTAACAGGAGAATTATCTGGATTGTTTGAATTAACTGTTGAATTGCTAGGATTCGTATTGTTGGGTCGACTTGGACTACTTGGCTCCCTTGGACCACTATCAGGGTAGTTATTATTGGCTGAATCATTTGGATTATCTCCTGGATTTTCAACTTGAACTTCTTCAGCTTTGTCATTCTGCTCTGATGAAATATCGGTATCATCGGATACAGGTACATTGCTGTCTGGGTTTGTGCCTTTAGTTGCTTGTGATCCTGCAAATGTAGTCACGTATGTAGTATCAGGGTTTATAATTGTAGAAATTAGTGTTGGTGGATTATGTGTGACGGTAAGAGTAGTGATATAGGTGGTATCAACATCTACAACTGTTGTAACAAGAACTGTAGGAGTATATGTTTTGGTAACTGTTGTCGAAAGCGTGGTTACTGTGGAAACAATAACTGGGACATCTAATGGTTCAGTAACTGTTGAAACGTAAGTGGTGTCGGGTCTAGTAACGGTTGATACTGTCACTGGTGAATTTGGAGTATCACTACTTGGATTAGGAGATGGTCCAATAGAAGTAGTTATCACTGTCAGTGCCAATGCTGTGGATACATCAGAATCAGATGGATCAACACCAATGGTTGTAAACGTTTGATTATATGTAATGGTTAAATATGGAGATGATTGTACTGATGAATTGCCAATATAAGTTGCGTCTGCTGCAAGTGATTCTGTTTCACCCTGGATATCTGACACAAGTGGTTTTTCAGTTTTAACACCTATTGAACCTTCGTTATGCAAAATTTTTGGATCTTGTTCTGCTCGATTAATTGAATTTGAAGGTACGTTATTAGTTGGACTAGAAGGTGGTTGAATAACTGGGTCTTCCATGTTTTCTCTTTCTAATTCAGTTGATATAGTAATGGCTAGAATATTTGAATGATTTACACCCATAGTTCTTTCTTCTGGTTCAGAGAAAGGATTAATTTCTCGTTCTGATGACTCAGATCTGGGATTATCAGAATATTTACTTTCATATGTGGTGGTGGAAGGTAGAGGTTGTGGCAGTAGAAATATTTCACTTTCAGGTTCAACTGTTGTCTTGTCCTCAACGGTGGAATAGTCCTTTTCTTTTCCAATAGTTCGTTCCTTTTCAGCTTCCGTTTCAGTTTCTTGATCCAGAACACCAGAAGTATAATCTTCTAATTCAGTTAAGGGATTATCGCTTTCTGCTGTTGGATTAGAATGTTCTTTTTTTGTGGATTCATTGTCTAGTTCAATTGTTGGTTCATTTACCGCTTTAGTTATACTTACCACATTTTCGGTTGTTGAACTTGCTTGTGTTGATTCAATTGCAGGTTGATCTTTATCGGTTCTTGGTTCTTTTAGTATTGTTGACAAAGAATCTTCCAATTGAGTGGATTGCGCAATTTCTTGTTCCGTACTTGGTTCTCCTTGGCCTTTTGTTGTTTTTTCATCTTCTTGACCAGTAGTATATTGGTCCTCTTCTGTTGTATCTCCTTTCTCTTCGGATGTAGATTTATCTTCATTAATTGTGGAAGGTACGTAGTCCATTTCAATCATAGAATAATTTTTCTCTTGAGTTGTATCTTGATCTTCTATTTCAGTAGTTGATTCAATCCCAGAATCTGTCATATATTCATTCTTCAGTTGGGTTGTGGTTTCTTTTTGAAATTCAGAGGTTGGATCATATGGATCTTGTATAGGGTCTGCTTCTAATATTTTACTTTGCATTTCGTCTAATTCAGTACTGAGTTCCACTTCATTCTTACTTGTAGATTGTTCACTGGATTCGGTTACAGTTACTTCTTGTTTATTTGAAATTGCTTCAACTGCTCCCTCTTCTTCTTCAAAAGAACCAGTTGCTGGTCTAGTTGTAGTATTTTGTTCAACTTCAGTGGAAATTTTATATTCTGATTCATTTGCACTTCCTTCATCGGTTTGAGTTATTTCTTTGGGTTCAGAGACTTTCCCAGATTCAGAAGTTTCGTAATGGTCAGTGGTTGTTTCAGGTTGTTTCATGCACACGTTTTCCCAACATTGAAGAGGATAATCACCATTACAATCATGTATGTAGTTGGCTGTTTGAACAACAAGACCAGGAATGGCTCTCTTACTAGATGGTATACTTTGGTATTGCCACAGGTATTGAATCTGGAATGGTGTAGTGCACATCTGATTTCCATCAGATTCAGTCTGCATCACCCATTTAACAAAAAAGTGGTATGGCGATGCAGAAACCGATTCTGAATCTTCCAACCAACTATTAAGGGCAGGTTGGGAATACTGGATATAACCACCGGGTGATAGGATATTGATAAAATATATGCCTATCAAATAACCGAATGGAAGGTTACTTGTGTCAAGTTGAAATTCAAGCATTACTTCATATAAATCGACACTGTCGACAACATGCAGAATATATTTGAACTCGAAGGTTTGCAACTCTGGTTCCCATGTTCCTCTAAAACCAGCATCGCCTATTGAACAGCTGTCTTCCCACCCCAAAAGAATAGGACAGCCATCCGTTTCGTAAGCAAATTCAGGTGACCATGTCAAAGTGGGATAAGTAATTGCAAGGGCACGTTCAGCCTTAGCTGAACTTGCAACAGCAAATACAGAAAGTAATAGTAAATTGAAAAGATACCAAATCAGTAGCATTGGAAAGTTTTATCATATAATTGTAGTAAATTGTAAGATAAGCCTATTGCAAATTTTGGGCGGGTAGGGCCTATTTATATCCAAGATAAAGAGCCTAAGTTATGCTAATAGATTTCGGAAGTTGATCATGCATATTCGATCATAATACGAATCGGAGAACTACTCGACGATTGGTTTTGATACTTTGCTTCATGCATTATGCACTTAGTGATTCGGGCGGGATCGATCTTACAGTTTTTGATTTTGTGTCACATTTTTGCCCAGTGGAAGTAACCCAATCTTTATGCTGCATTAGAACATGCCCTGCCAAGGTACATTAAATATTTTATTAATTTTCTATTATTAATAAACTATCACAAAAAAAGAAATAAAATAATAATCTGGGGATGGTGCAATTTGAGATAATTTCTAGATTTAAAGCATAAATCTAGGGACTTGAAACATGTTGATTTCCTCGGCAGAAGTCAACATTATCTCAGCTGTTTGAGTTATTGCTAAATAGATAGATCAATATTTCCATTCCCACGATTTCTAAATGTTTTTGTAGTAAATTAGTTTTATGCTAGTTAGATTATGTAGGTCAAAAGTAATATAACCGACCTTAAAAACACAAGGTTGACTCTCCCCCCCACTCCTCCTATAATAATTTAAAAAATAAATAAGTTGACAACCATTGCTATGTATATTGTCCTACCTGAAATGACAAGTCTCAATCTGTTATGATTTCACACAAGTGTCGTAAGTAAAGAAATATTTAAAAATCTCCCATAGCTATATACAATACCAATTATCTTCCTAGATGTACACTTTGATTCTGCATATATATATATAACCATGCAATAGTGTTTCTGGATTCAGGGAAATTTGCCTGGTACTTATAGTAACTGGAAATTGTAAAGGGGGGAAGTAAACCCTCCTATAATTAATCAACTTCTTTACAAATTAGGTAAAGGACAACCAGACAACTAGAGATGATTGTTTACTTATTATTCAAAATATCTCTTGTATAAACAGGTCTTCAGTTTACAAATAAAACTATTTAACTAAGTAGAATAGTGTAGCTTTATATCGAACCATTCTCTAGCTTTAACTTCTTGAGGAGTCAAGGTGACATCACCATAAGTAATTGGTCTAAAGTAAAAGAAGAACCAAATGATTGCTAATGAGAACACTGCAACTAAGGCACTAATTTTGTACTTGTTGACTCTTCCATTACCCGTTGGGGAATTATTTGTAGATATGAATTCCACTAATCCACCCGAGAATAATGCGGCAATTAAATGTGCTGGTAAGTAATGATGTAAGAACTTTTGACGAGCCATTAAATAGAATGGGAAATAATGAGCTGCCCATCCGGCAAATAAGAATCCCAAGGTGTTGTATAATCTTGATCTCGCCTTCTTACTCAACAAATGGAAGTTTCTACGAAGAGAAATTTGATCACCCAATAATAATCCAATATAGATGGAAAGCAAACAAACTTCTAACCAGAAACCTGGAATGTTACCCACAAAGAAAATTTGTCTTCTTGTTTTCTTGTCATTGTAAAAGGAGACACCGGAAAGTGCCAATGGCCATTCATTAGGTTGGGAAGCAAATGGATGTTCTGAAGATAATTTGTTGTTGTGTTCAAACATCAAGAATTGTAACTCCCACCATTTCTTCAAGAATGGCATCGTTGTGACTGTCTTTGGAATGTATTTAGAACGAACATCGGTTGGTGCCAAATTAGTGATTGTATCAAAAGTCCATACGTTATCTTTGTCTTGAATCTTTTTGTTACCACAAACTTCTTGTTGTCCGAACCCCCATTCAGGCAATACTTCGTCATTATGTGTCCACATGGCAACAACTGTATCCATATGAACAATCTTTAATGGGGTAGCTCTAGTCATGACTCGTTTACGTTGGTTTTGTTTCTTGGCAGATGAACTTGCATGATACATTCTCAATCTGAATAAAGTTTCGTTGTACTTCTTACTTCCTTCTTCTTCATCAAAGGCTAAAGTGAATTCCTCGTGTGTGGCTTTCAAAGGAGATGCAACATCGTGAGTTAACAAGTAACCACCAGTTCCAACATGTCTAAGTCTAATGATATCGTTGGTGAAAACATCTTGTCCCTTCTTTTTATCACCAATAGGAACAATTTCCCATTGATTGTTGACGTCTTCTTCAGCAGAGTCAATAACAGCATTAACCTGTCTAGTATTCGAAGAGACTCTACCATTTTCATATCTTAATGGGTAATCGTATTCATGAGAATGCAAGAAAGCTTCAGTGTCCTTATGTTTGATGGTAATTTGATCACAATACTTAACTTGTTTGGAGAATTTAGCCATTGGTGATTCAAGCAAAGTTTCTTGAAATTCACTAGACATGAAGTTGTCGCCAGGACCAGATTTGGACAAAACAGCGAAATGAATGTAGAACCAGTATAAATACAAACAAAATGGAACTAAAATCAAGGCAAAGAATCTGGCAAAGAAATGCTGGGCAAATTGACCCAACGTCAACCCACGTCTGTAATCTAACAAGATCCATAATTCATGTAAAACACCAATACCAATAGTAACGTAAGTAAGAACACCAACATATTTTGTGGAAATAACCAATGATAACGAAATACCAGTAGCAAATAACCAAGTCCACCACGATTGAGTAAATGGATGTTTTCTGTAGGTGGAAAATTTGGCATAGCAATAGATTGCCATTGCTACAGTTAAATTTAAGGTAGCATCCAATAAAATCAATCTACTATCAGTAACATGAGCATTATCAAAACAGACAATAATACTGGACATAATACATGCAGCAACAGAAAATCCCAAGGTTTTCATAGTTAAGAACATAATTGGGACAGTGGCAGTTCCTTGAATAGCCAGTAAAGATCTATAGGCAAGATATGGGACGCTATTTTCAATGTAAGATTCACCAATACTTTCAAATTTGAACTTGCCATTATAACCAATTAACCAACCAACAAAGGCAATTAACAATTTGGCAAATGGAGGATGTAAATCAAAGAAATAAGTCCCTTCCAAATAGTAAGAAGCAAACTTACCAAAATGGACTTCATCAAAAACAACTTTATCAGGAGTACCTATCTTGTAAAATCTAGTCCAGGCAGCTAAGGTAGTGACAACAATACAAGCAGCCCAATATTTGAATTCAGGTTCAGGTTCAGGGGTAACAATAGGCAAGTCGACCTTGGATTTGATATCATCCGGTTCAGAGGGTGAACGAACACGTTCACCTTTCTTTGGGCCTCTTTTCTTTAAAGTCAGTGACATCTTGATTCAATTGATGTACTAATTTCAGACAATCTAACAAAGAATGAAGTATTTGTGGAGAGGAGGGGGGGAGAATATGTGATTGTTTATATAGTTGAACAATTGAAAAATTGTTTGGAACACGTCAGTGCGTTTTGCGCTACCAGTTTCAAATTCCTTCTCTGCAGGAGAAAATACAACAAAAAATAATTGAACCTTAAAAATATATTTACGAGAACCTGGGGAATCAAATGTGGTGCAAGATTTCGTAAAACAACTTTAGATTTTCCGGATAGGTAAATATGTGACTATTCTGACTCTCTTAATTCTATCTTTGTTTGTTTTTGTAGTATAATAAAGAATAATAATGTATTTTTTTACACCCTATGAATAGCTCAAAGAAATTCATCAGACTTTCAAGTGCCTATAACACTATACCCAATTGACACTGTCTTGAACCGCAACTTCTCTTACCCAAATACTAAGATATGGTACAATCCCAATAGTTAAACTGGATCATTATAAATAATACATTAAGATTACATAAAATACACTGTCTCTACATAAGTTTTTTAGATCTCTTTTGGTAACCCCCTCTTCCTCTCATAATTGGAACTTGTTGTGAAGAAGAAGAAGCATTCGATATAGTTGAATTGTTTCTAATAGCTTGTGGTTGGGTTTGATAATGAATTGGCGCCGGTGGATGGGGATGGTGGATGGCAATAGGTGCCAGTGTGTGTGGAGGTGATGATGATTCCAGGGAAGAATGTGATCTGTCTGTATGTTGTTCAAAATCATTATATGATGATTTTCTTCCATAGCTTGGAATTGAAATTGGTTTGGAAGAGGAAAGTTGAAGGATTTTGCCGTTCTTTTCCTCGAGTAAATGTTCATATTTTAATATTGTTGTTGTTAATTCTTGGATTTTCCTTTCGTACTGTGATGTGAATGAGTTGAGGTTTTCATTAAGGTTAAGTTTGGAAGATGCTAATTTGTGTTCGTATTTCCTGATTATTGAATCATAAGCTTCGCTTGATCTGGAAAGTTCATTCACTACTTGATTGTGTTTTTCAGTGACTAATGACATTTCAGATTTGAGCTTGTTGATTATTTCATTCTGGTTACCAATCTTCTTTTCAAGCTCTTGCAAATTATTATTAGTGCCTACTCTACCAAGTTTATCTTCTAATTCCCTCAGCATCTGTTCTAAATTCTTGATTTTCATTTGTAAACTAACAATCTCAAAATCTTTCTGGGGAATGATATCATCAACGAGTTCTTTAAGAGTTTGTGACTCTAGTTTATGTTCACGCATAGTTGTTTCATACTTCCGCACAAGCTCTTCTTTGTCGGTTTGCACCTCATTCAATCGGGTAATCAATTGATCACGCTCCTTTTCGTGTTCAGTAATAGCTTGACTCAACAGTTGTTTCGTGCTAGTCAATATACCATTCAATTCCTCAAACGATTCTTTCAAGTCATCTATTTTTTTTTCATTGTTTTCCATCTCAATCGTCTTGGAATCGCCGCTCTTGTTTAATTTTAATTTCATATAATTATACTTGTTTAAATGCTTCATATAACTTGAAAATTCCAACTCATTTTTAAATAATAATAACTCTCGTTGATAGAAATCGATCATATTACCATCGGACTTGGTATGAGGAAGGCTAGTCAAAGTATCATTATTGGACCCATTAGTAGATGCAGATTCTTTGAATACACTTGAAGTTTCCAATGTAGTGGTTGGTGAAGAAGTAGGTCTTGAAAGTCTTAGCTCATGTCTCACATTGATCAAAGATGATGATTTGCGACGGAGCCCATCATTTTCCAAGTTGTGATTCTTATTAATTGGAGCATATAATTTCTCATGAGTGTGGAAAAGTTCCTGCAAGGGATCCCCAGGAGATCTTGAGCTTCCATCTAGTGAATCGATTGAATCTTCAGTGTTTTCAGTTTCATACTTGACTTCTTTGAATTGAACGCCATCCTCCTTCTCCACATCATGAGTGGGTTGCTTGTTATTTATAACCAAATTTGTAGGAATAATTGACATTTTTCGATTGAGATTATGAAACGCTTTCATTTGAAGGTATTTACTCTCTTTCAAACCATCTATTGAAGAACCTCGGGAAATTCTTGAATCTAAGTCACATAATATTTGACTGGATGTTAGACTTCGTTGTAACATGCGCCCATAAATACTGGAGGAATCAAGATTAATCATGACATCGGGGTTTAAACTAAAACATGCCAATGCGATCTCCTCATGGGTTATCTCTCCTTCTATCCATGATGTTGGATGTTCTAGCTCTTGTTCTAATGTACTTGTATCAAAATTAAGGAATTTTGGATGCATCAAGAAGGTTTGCAAAATAGATTTGGTCATTTTGCGTATATGCAAATCTAAAGATGTAGGCAATTCAATGATATCTTCTAGTTTATTCAAATATTTCAAAGTTAATATGCTTGGTTTATTTAATTTCAAGTACGTATATGGTGCTTGGCTTAATTTGCAAAAATTAAACGGGAACAACCCATACAACAACACGTAAAAATGGGGATAGTTGAATGTAAGTGACGTCTCTTCATTGTCCACAAGAATATCCCAATCTATTTTCAATTCATTCAAGTATTCACTTAATAATTGAAATCTGTTTGGTATACTGTTGAATTCCTCCCAAGTGGTTATTCTGATATAAATCATGAATAAATCAGGTAAATAATATGACATTGAGGTGGATACTTGTGGAATTAACATTGTTAGTATAGTGAGTGCAGTATGAATTACGGTTTCGCTAAAATCAAACATGGCACATTTTAACACATTGGGAAACACTGGCATGTTTATTATATCAGGAACAGCTAATGTTTTTGAATTTACAAGTGATGATAACAATAACAAGGTTTCCAATCTTTGTGACGGTATGGTTATATGATCATTGAGTAACTCGCAATATCGTTTAGTCTTGGAAACCCCATAGTTTTGAAGGATATGATTACAGTTTGATTTTATAAATCGTAACCGTTCTTGGTATGATTGACTGTCCTTATCTGCGTCGGAAACTTTTAATTCGAGTGCTTCTTCAAGTATGTCATCCGAGAGATTTATTGATAGTATTTGATCAATTACAACTTTTCCGATGTCATCTCTGACACTTTCTAAATCCGAATCGTCAGTTTCTTCACCATGGCAAACCTTCTTGATGAATTGTCTTGCCTTCTCAACGAACATCGAATCATATCCTGCACTGTCCACAGCAGGCTTCAAGTAACTTTTGACCCACAAACTTATTTCTTTACTGGATAACACTGGCAGTAAGGCGGTTAATACATCAAGAAACATACACTCACGGGGTAGACTCTGCAAGGGCATAATATACTTATCGTAAACTCTGAATAACTCATCATTGACTGATTGTTGTCGTAACGAAGCTAACGTATTGTGCTTGTCTAAATATTGGGAAATCACCAGAAACAACTCAGTGTATGCTGGTTGCTCTGGCGAGCTATTATCATCAGACCATTCAGAAAATATCTGGTCTAGCGACTTCGATAGGTCTCTAGATGATCCTGGCATTGGATTTACTCTCTAGCAATAAATATTTACAGTGATTAGTAGGTCGAATCAGTTGGTGGTAAAATCACCAATAATTTAAAAGTGAGGCTAACCACAAAAGAAAAAAAAATCTGGACTAATTTTTCATTAGAGATAAGGGCGTAATTAATAATGACTGAATCAAATACTACAACCACCACCTTTCTTGACATTATTAACGATGTCGACTCATTCAAGTTGAATAACACTTATTACAAGTTCTTCAGTCATGATGGTGTATTATTAGGATATATAGCTCCCTCAATCGCCCAATATTTCCCTGGACTACCAATTACTACCAAATCATTTGAGATCAACAATGTTGAACAAACTATAAAAATTGGTAGTGAATTCGATACACTTGAAAAAAGAAATGAAATGTTTAACAAAGTGGCACTTGAATGGAGAGATAACATTACTCAACTTGAACATAGATTGAAAAAAGGTTGGAGAAATGAATTGTATACCGTATATAATCCAACCAGTATACCATACGCCAGAATTGAACGCGCATTCTCGGTATTATTAGGTGTGGTGACTTATGGTACCCACATTAACGGGTACATCTCAGAGCAAAACTCTTCCAACGGGAAATTAAAAATGTGGATTCCTAGAAGAGCAGCTAACAAACCAACATACCCTAATATGCTTGACAATATGGTGGGTGGTGGATTAGGGTACCCTTATGGTATTTGGGAAACTGTGGTCAAAGAATGTTACGAAGAAGCAGGATTATCAGAAGATTTTGTTGCTTCACATTCAAAGTGTACTGGAGTGTTACTGTACTTGTATGGAACAGCTGATGGACGTGTCCAACCAGAAGTGGAATACGTTTATGACATTGAATTTGAGAATGAGCATGAAGTTGTTCCCCACCCTGTTGACGGAGAAGTTTCGGAATTTAAACTTTTGGATTTGGATGAAATATTAGAGAAGCTTAGAAACAAAGAATTCAAACCAAATTGTGGATTGGTCATTGTTGATTTCTTAGTTAGACATGGTTATATTACACCTGAAAGTGAACCAAACTATTTTGAAATTGTTACAAGATGTCATACAAAATTTGAATTTCCCACCAGATAAACCTGTATATATCATATATATATATATTCTATATATACTATAGAATTTCTTGAGCATAACTTAACCCTTGGGACATACTGATTGTGGCTCTGAATCCGGTCATATAGTGTTCTTCTATAGTCTGGTCACCTCTTGTTATTTGGTAGCGTACTTTCTGGACCTGCTCTAAGATAAGCATAACATTAGCGCACGAAAACTGGTGCTGTCCTCCCCACTAAAAAAATCAACTACTTGGTTCCCTATTCATTTTGGTTGCCACTTCTATACCATCACCACAATGGCAACTTCTCGCCCTATTCAGGAGACTATTACTGAACTTGAAGGAATGCTTGATAATATCAATCATTTAATTGAAGACAAATTACCAAAAAGTTTGCATCGTCTGCATATAGAGAGTTCCAATGCTGAACAATTTAAGAAACAACTTGATGATTATGACACATTTCTTACGGAAATAAAACAGCTTCTTTCAACAAGTGAAGTGATTGATCACCAATTATTATGGTTGGACAGTCTTGGATATTTGGCTGGGATTTTGCTAAAGTTGAAGTTATTATTTGGCAGGTTTTACTTACACATTCCTTTCTATGAAATAGAACCAATTTTTGAAATGGCATTAGCTCTTAATTCAAGAGTAGTGTATTTCACGGGTGAATTTGGTGAATTATTTTCAAAATGGTTATTGAATGAAGATGCCTCACTTCAATTGTACTCAAACAATAGAATTAATCAAATATTACTGGAATTACTTATTGATTCTATGGAGTTGTTGTTCGTCGATGAAATGGTTGATTCCGTATATCCTTCTACTTCCTACTTGGTTCTGATTCAATATTTCTTGGTTAGGTATTCCAATTGGAGTACCCAGGAAAAGAAAAGCCCAGTAGATTGGTTCCCAATCTTGACTCAATTTACTAGAGTGGCCTATTTATTTGGGGAGTCATATTTACTTGTTCCCTTGCTTGATCTAAATGTGTATGAACCTGAAATTCCTATGAATATAATTTCAAGTAACCAGCCAGTTAATTTGGTTGATGTAATGAATTTTTACCGATTTACTGCTTATAATTTGATCACCATTTCATTACAAGCTGAGCCTCCAAAAATTATCGATAGTTATAATAGATTGGCTGATATACATTTGAAAATATTGTTGAGTTTCCCAAATTTGAATTTAAATGCATATTCTGAAATTAAATTGGAACAACAGGGAGAAACTGGGTATACGGCTCCTCCACCGCATGGTGGAGAACGAGGGTTTGCTCCTCCCGGTGGATTCAGAGACAAACGTGAAGATTTTATTATGAGTATTAGTGAACGACAAGAGCTTTCCTTGATGTATATCTTGAACTCGTTGCTTTCATTACGATCAATAACCAAATTTGTTGATACATCGCCACTTTATAAACTGGAATTATCATTTCTTGCAAAGTCTTTGTCTAGTTCATTATCCAGAGACATTGACGAATTAGCTTCCCAACCAACAAGTACGCATTCAAGTGTGGTTTCCTTCCCGCAATTGAACCAATTAGAAAAGGAGAAGTCATTGGATTTTATGCAAAGAAAAATGATCAACAAGTCTAAATTTAAATCAATTAGTTCAGTCCTTATTCATGGATCCTACAAGGAAAAGTTGGGTAATATCGTCAAATTATGCAACTTTTTGAATGATGGAAATTTAACCATCCCAGCGTTATGTCAAAAGTACCATTCTACAATAAGTGAATCAACTCATGGCACAGAACTGTTACGATTTGCTGTGGAGGCAGTATTGAAATTATTAATTCTTTTATCGCTTGAGAGAATCCTGAATGGAGTAAATTCAATATCAGTGGTTAATTTAAGGAAGTTGTTTTTCATAGATGGACTGATTGAAGATGTGTTTAAGGTTAAGAAGGTGTTGGATTATGAGATACAAGTGCAGAATGGAGACGAAGTTTTAGTTTTATCAAAGAATAAAGGTGTCAAGTCTATGGATCTAATTATTCAGGATCAATTGGAAATTAATAGGCTATCTCAAAAATTAAAGGAGTTGGCAACATAGGAAATAGTATAAAAGCTGTTATAAGTAGTTTAAGGGTTTTTTATCAATAGAATAAAGGATGTATGCTCGTTTAGTATAAGAGTAACCGTTTAATGTAGGGTATTCTATCCGAAAATAGGCTTGCTAGTATCATAACTCTTACAATTTTCACAACATTTCTACAAAAATCTACAAAAATCTACAAAAATCTTCAAAAATCTTTAAAAGTTGAAATAACCATACAAAATAATACTTTCAAGACTAAACAAGCTGCTGCTAGTGTTCAAGCATTAGGTAATACTAATACTATATTGTATAGACAAATGAATATTGAAATTTCAGGAGTTTGTGGTCGTTTTTGTTTCAACAGAAAATTTTTTGACAACAATAGATCGGATGATCTCGGAAAAATATTTGTCCATCTTTCATGCTTCACTAGCTCAGTTGGCAGAGCGTCAGTCTCATAATAAGTTTGTTGTGAAATCTGAAGGTCGACAGTTCGAGCCTGCCGTGGAGCATGTTTTTTTTTAAAAAAATTAATTCTTGCAATTAGATGGTGGTTATAATCAGCGTTAATTTTATATGCCCGGAAAATCATCCCCTGATAGGTTCTAGATCTGATCTTGAAGTTTAAATTCTAGGCAGCTTTTGGTAGCATATACCAACCGAAAAAAAAGGCGTTTACAAGAACCCCGTTCTTGTTACTTTTTTTTGATAAGCGTGTTATCTACATACTATACACCAAGATGCTCTTGTCAGGGTTATTTAACATTCAATACTTAATTTCCAGTCTAGCTGAATCCTTCGTAGATTCTGGATCAAAGATAAACCTTCATCAGAACTTTCATGTGAATGATCATATGCAATTGCCACTTCTCAATACTCCCGATAAGACCGAAGCGCTTCCAGTTGTAATTTGGCACGGTCTTGGTGATAACTACAACTCATCTGGTATAAATGAAGTCAAGGAGATCTTTGACACTATCTACCCTGGAATATTTGTTTATTCAATTTCCCTTGCTGATGATCCTTCAGCAGATCAACAACGTTCATTATTTGGCGATGCCAATATTGATGTTGATCAAATATGTCAGACACTTGCAAACATCACCGAACTTTCTCATGGATTCAATGCAATTGGATTCTCTCAAGGTGGAGTATTGTTACGTGGATTGATTGAAAGATGTTCAAATATAACCGTACATAATTTGATTACATTTGGATCCCCGCATTTGGGAGTGCTGGAATTACCAATGTGCAAACCAAGGGATTGGCTATGTAAGGCAAGAAATAATGTTCTAAAGAGACAAGTTTGGTTAGATAAAGTGCAAAAGAATGTTATACCAGCACAATACTTTAGAGATCCTTTACAATATGAACAGTATTTGAAATATTCTCATTTCTTGGCTGATATTAATAATGAACGGGATGAAAAAAATGCCACCTACAAAGAAAACTTCTCCAAGATTAACAAACTAGTATTGGTAACATTCACTGAAGATACAACTCTTGTCCCTAAAGACCTGGCTTCTTTCAGTGATTTTGACCCCGAGGCAAAGATTTCCATTCCATTCGACAAGACTGAATTATATCAAGATAATTATATTGGCTTAAGAGATTTACATGAACGTAACGCAATTGATTTCTTAAGCATAGAGGCAGATCATATGAGAATTACAGATGATTTCATTAGAAAAATTGCCATTTCTTACTTTATTTGATTTTAGCTATTCATAGAATTCGATATCGACTCCAAGAATTTTACTTAGCTCTTCTATTTTCAACTCCACTTTGTCTTTGGATGAAGTATGTGGTTGTGATTCTTTATCACTGAAAATCAATGGCGGCAGCTCGTTTTCGAGATGGTTTATTTGGAGGTTTAGCCTAAAAGGAGGCGCCTCCTGTGATAATTTGAATATTCCATTGTGAAGAGTTCCAAATTGTAAATTAGGGTCATATTACAGCGAGTTATCAGATCTACCAATACTAACCAGCTTCTGGATTACCATTTGCTTACTGCTTCTGCCTTGTTGCTTGGTATTATTAGCCTGTTGTTTCATGGGGAAATTAGGTAATTTTGTCGAAACATTAAAATAATCGTTTATTGGCAGGCTGCTATTTTGATCATCTTGTATCAGGAATATATTAGCTAACTTGCTTTTATTGGATTCTTTTAGATTCAAGAGAGTCAACTTTGGTTCAATAACCTCTTTCTTTTCAGTATGCAGTTCGAATGATAATAAAATATCTAAATCTGATTCGGAACTGGAACCATTCAAGATTCTTCGTTTTAGAGGCATCGAAGTGTTATCTTGGATAGATGTGGGAAAGTTTCTCTTGGAATGCATCATTTTCTTTTTTGATTTAGCAACACCAGTCTAAGTTTGTTTGGAAGTAAATATTTTCTCTATAGGTTCCTTTGGGCTAAGTTCTTCTTCTTCTTCTTCAAAGTCGCTGAAGTCACTAGGGTTACAATGTACAAAAAAGGTTCTTTGATAGCATGGCTAAAGATGGCTGTCTCAGTATTGGTGTCTTTTCTGTTTTAAGAAGAATGATTTGTGAAATATTTTGATTGTGTAAGGGAGCTTGATTGCTGACTGACATTAAAAGGTATAAATAGGAATGCCAGCTGTGTACCAATTGTAATAAGTATTTAACCAGGAATTCCGTCCTTACAGCAATAATGTCGATAAGTCAGTTTATCTTTACATGTATGGTTGCATTCAAAATTTCCATTATTAGGAACCTTTCTAGTGGGAACAGCATTGCTAGGAGCTTCTTTTGAAGGTTCATGTGAACTCTATATAGATGTTTACTCCATAATATTTCTTTCAATTACTGCAGCTTCAATTATATTTTCATCTTCCAGTTCTGTGAAATTATCATCAGTATCATACTGGCCTAATGGAACAAATTTAGAAATAGTTATATTGGATAATCTCTTTGCAGTTGGAAGTTCTATCGAAACTTGAACACTTGCAATTCCTTCTACTGAAGCTTGACATCGTATGATTTGAGTCAAATTGGAAACAGTAGTCTTTAGTTGAATATTCGATTGGAGAGAATTAGAAGAGGGGAGTTGGTTTAATAGTGGGGTTGAGAAAAATTCTGGCGTATGAAACTTGATAATCTCTTGAATGAGATTGTTTAACGATGATTTGTTGTGGTTGAATCGCGGAATTAGTTGAGTATGAATTTGTATTTGTTCTCTGCAGCCAGCTCAGTTCCTGGGAACTATAACTCATTTGATTGAAGTTAGGCCTCAAAGTAAGTAAAAGTGGCCTGAAATTAGCATGACAATCCAAATTCTGATTATTAGTCAATAGCACCTGGTTCATTGTGGGAATGTGTGGAAATATTAGCTGATTTGAAGTTGCAGCCATGTTTTGATCCTCAGTTAAATCTTCATATGTGCAACATCAGTACAATAATTTTATTATGAAACAAGAGCAGTAATATATATACCTTCACCAGGATCAGTTTCTTCATGAAGAACCGAATCTAATCTATTAAGAAATGACATTGTGTGTTGTATTTGTGGTGAGCAGAGTAGACAAAATTTGGCAGCAGCACAGCAACCAAACAAAACAAAAAATATAAAATATTTGACAGAAACACAGTAAGGTATATCATCATCAAAAAAAAATTATCAGAACAATGGAACCACTGGGAACAGACAGAAAGTCCAGGTTAGCAGAGTTGCGAAGGAAGAGAAATCAAGCACAAGCAGGCATAACTGAACAACACACTGAGCTGAAACCAGATGTCCCTCAGCCCCAATCAATAAGAGTAAAATCTGAGTCTGAGCTCACCATAACAGAAGCTCCAACTTTGCAACTACCGAATGGAGAAACAGTTGAAGCAGTATCACAAAGAATACAGGATGAGATATTCCATCGAGCTCAATACGCTGCATCTGCGATTGTGGATCAAGATGTGGGTGAAGATGGATCTTCACCACCACCTCAAAAAATATCCTATACTCAAGACCTAAAGAAGGATTTGAAGCTGTACTACCATAAAGCTAATATACGGACGGAAAGGGCAATTAATAGAATAATTCTGGATAAGTATCAACAGTAAGTACTATGTAATGACTTAATATAATATGTGTAAATATATTTTCGCACGTCGGCGACACGCACTTCCGCATTGGGAAGTCAAGACATCTGCCAATCAAATTGGATTTTCATCTTTTCCGAGCGGTGAGCACGAAGGTTGAAAAAAAATTAGGTGGAAAAAAAACACCATAGAAAAAGGGTTGACACCATTAAAGCTTTTTGAAGGTTGGAATATATTCAAGAATGTCTATGATTAACAGAATTGCTTTGAGAGCTGCCCGTCCAATGGGTTTGCGTATGGCTCCGTATGTCTTGTCGTGAACTTGAGTCGTGTTGTCCGGATCGTAACTACGCACAACGTCGACCAGTATGTTATAACACAATGAAAATATATACTAACACTTGCAAATAGAATTGGTTTAAGATTCGCCTCTACTCAACCAGTTGAACCAAAGCAAAAGGCCGCCTCCATCATCGATGCCTTACCAGGTAACAATTTATTATCCAAGACTGGTGTTTTAGCCACCTCCACTGCCGCAGCTGTCTACGGTATCTCCAACGGTTTAATTGTTATCCATGATGAAACTATTTTACTTGGTACTTTCAGTGCTTTCGTTTTATTATGTGTTAAATATATTGCTCCATTATACACCGAATGGGCTGATGGTGAAATCAAGAAGGTTGGTGACATATTGAATGCCTCCAGAGTTAAGCACGTTGAAAGTGTCAATGATAGAATTGCTACCGTTTCCCAATTAAAGAATGTTGTTGAAACCACTCAAGACTTATTCGCTCTTTCCAAGGAAACCGCCAAGTTGGAAGCTGATGCTTTTGTCTTGAAGCAACAACTTGCTGTTGCTCATGAAGCCAAATCCGTTTTAGACTCTTGGGTTAGATTCGAAGCACAACAAAGACAATTGGAACAAGAACAATTAGCCAAGTCTGTTATTGAAAAGGTTAACAAGGCCATTGAAGATCCAAAGTTCCAAGACAAGGTCTTGGCTGAATCTTTGGCTGAAGTGGAAAGATTATTTGCCAAGAACTAAATGTAGTTGTTATTTAAGTTATTAATGATCCTTTAGCAAAAGAAAATAGGATAATATATACATATCTATACAAATACAATAAAGAAGAAAAAGATTATATATATATATATTAACGGTGATAAATTATCTCTAAACTCAAGCTGTTTTGAACCTGTCAGTCACAGTATGAGAAGGTTTCCAAACATGTAACGAATTATCATCAGCAACACTAGCAACCATCCAATCATCGGCATATGACCAGTCGAAGTCATTCACACCCAACATATGACCTAAATGAGTAAAGAAACAGGTTTCTTCATTGGAGACATTGTGAAATTTAACCAGGTGATCGCTCGAGGAAGATGCAAGAACATTGGAATACTTTGGATGCCAATATAATTGTGTAATTGAGTCCGTATGAGCGTTCATTTGTTTAACCGGTTGACTTGATTGTTTAAAAGCTCGTAAATCCCATATCTTTATCACACCTTGACTATCACCGGTGGCAATCCCAGAACTGAATCCAGGGTTCATAGATATGCTGTCTACCCCGTGTTCTGAGATTTTTTGGCTGCATATAACTGCATCATTCTGTCTTGTATCGTAAATCTTGACTGTTCCTTTGTCATCAACTGTACTAAACAAGGAGTCATGAGTAGGGAACCATTCTATGTCGTTTATACCAGTATCATTTTCAAAGTAGCGACATTGTTCCAATTCTGGAGTGGAATATTCCTTCAAATCATATAAACTAATAACCCCATTCATATCACCGGCCAAGAGCAATCCTTCCTGGTTCTGATTCCAATCAAGTGCGAATATGTCTGTTTTGGAGGGGAGTATCAGATTTGAAAGTCTGATTTCAGCTTTACTTATATCGGTATCGTCAATAAGAGAATTCTTGAAAGATTTATGTCTTGTTCTTTCGTAAATCACTACATCCCCCAAGTTATTTGCACTGGCTATAATATCTGGTTTTTGAGGCATATATCTTACTTTATTAACATCGCCCAAGTGGTTAATCTTTTGTAACACTTTCAGCTTGTTGTTAGATGAAGGTGAGAATTCCAACTCTTCCTTATCTGGATTGTAGTCAAGTTTGTTTATCTTGATATTCTGGTTAAGGTTCTTGAATGTTGGTATTTGCAATATGGAAATGCTATCTACTGCCTGTCCTAGGGTGAAAGTACCGTGTAATAGCCTCTGAGCGATGATTTCTTCATTTGATTCCTGGGTTTCTTCACTTTCAAGTGATTCCTTGTGGTTGATATGGGTTACATCAGGAAAGAACTGGACCGATAATGACGGCCAAAGTAAAGAGTTTGTAGACAAGTAATCATATATGAACGGTGCATTCTTTTTCCATATTCGATAGCCACGCTGGGTCTGCTCGTCGATTGATGTTGTTACTTCAGGGGAATCTTCCTCCATTTGTACTACTTCTGGTTCTACTTCCATTGGTTCCATGGGCTTGTGGTTGAATGTTCGTGTTTACGTGAATCTCTCAAGATCTGAAAAAAATGTACGCGTTGGTTGGCAATTCAAAATGTGCAGGAATGGAAAAATTTCTATGCAGAGACCATCAAAACCACACCAAGCGATGACTGAAGATATACGATTGAACTCTTCCAAACTTGGAACACAAGAATAGTACGTAGATATGTTTGAAACTATGTGAAAAATGCTATACTAACACTTACACAGCTGGAACAACTTCTATAAGAAGGAGCAATCTAATTTCCAAGATAATGATGAAGATACTGGCGAATGTTGGTTTGATGATTCAGACGCTGAATCCAAAATGATCCAATTCTTGATAGATAAACTAAACGACGGCGAACTTCCGGTGACGGAAACTCCGCACATTCGTATGTTGGACTTAGGTACTGGTAATGGCCATTTGTTATTCCAATTACTGCAAGATTTATCTGAAGAATATGAAGGAGACAGCGAGTTTCAGTTTATTGGGATCGACTACTCTCCTGATTCTGTAGAATTCGCCAAGGATATAGCCGGTAAGAAATACGGCGACGTCAATTTTGAGTTTGAACAGGTTGACTTGTTACAAAAGGAAGCACCTTTTTTAAAGAACAAGTTTGATATTCTTTTAGACAAGGGAACATTGGATGCTATAGCCTTAAACCAAGATCCGTTGCAAGAGTTTGACGGAGAAATAGGAATGGACGTATATGCTCGTCAAGTAGAACAATTAATGAACAAGGGCTCAATCTTACTTATAACGTCATGCAATTTCACCGAGACCGAGTTGGTGAAAATCATAACCACAGGAACCAACTTACAGGTATGGGACAAGATAAACTACCCCAGTTTCCAATTCGGGGGAGTAAAAGGGTCTACAGTTTGTAGTATTGCATTTATCAAAGATTAATGTTACATAACATACACACACAAACACACACACACGCTTTATTCTTGCTTGATTTGACTCTTTAAAGATTCAACCTTCTCTATTAATTCGTCACGTAAACTTTCATTGGAAAATTTCAACATATATTGCACTGGTTTGCCATCCTTTACTGAATTTAAACGAAGATATTTTCCTGGAGACAAACTTGCTTCTAATCCTTTCAAAAGAGTAGTGTCTTTAGTGATTTTGTAATTCAATACTACTCGTAACAAACCCTGAGATCTCATGACTAATCTCGCTTGATTTTGGTCTTTTCTTGACTGGTTCAAGTGTAATGGTCCCACTCCACGTTCTTTCCAACCCTCATTTACGGCAGTCAAATCCAATTCAAAGATCTTGGCTACGGAGTTGAAATGTGATATTTCATCTTCTTCACCAGTGGCTAGGTGCACTGGGGCTAAATCTACTTGTTTGAATTGTTGTTGTGGTGGTGGTGTGGCAGATTTATCGTCTTTTTCAGTATCATTGCTATCAAGAAATGACTTCTTGTGCAATGATTCTTGGAAGGCATTACCAAATTTTGAGTGAGAACCAAATTTGGGTACTTTAGGTGGAGGAGAACTTGTTTTATCATCTTGACTAGAAGAAGAATCTAATTTGGACGCTTCTAATTTTGAAGGTAACGTGTCACATACACTTGGTCTATTCTTTAAGTCGTCGGCAATCGACTTGCCAAACATGGTAGTTGCTCCAAACACAGGCTTGTTAGTTTTAGGCGGGGATACCGGAGTTTCAGAACCAAGTTTTGACGGAGTGAATTTGAATGAACTGGTACCGAATGTAGCTTTCTTGGTTTCTCCGGCTGGCAAAGGCACCGAACCTTCTCTTTTTGGTAATTGAGGAGGGTCAGTAGGGGTTGTTTTGGTTGCTACATCGTTATCGTTATCGTCGTCAGTCAAAGTTTGTCCTTCCTTGTAAGAATCATCGTCTTCGTCATCACTGGCGAACTCCCTTTCTAGTTTGTCAATCCTTGATTCTAATTTGTCAATCCTGGATTCCAATTTCTTGGTGACTTCTTGAATAATTGATTGTCTGAGGTCATCATTGGTTGATTTGGTTCGTTTGGCGTCAAGTGAACTTCCCTCGGATTCAATCTTTCTCTTGGTTGATTCTTCAGACATGCTAATAATAAATAACGGTGGATGAAATGTGTTCCACTTATGACAATACTGGTATACCTAGGGCAAAATCTAGTGAACAGTGTCAGTTTTAGTTTCCCATTTGTGGTTCATGATTCTTTTTTTCTGGTCTGAGAATTTTCTACACGGCAGCAGCGCGTGGTGAGCGTGAGGCTAAAATTTTACTCTATACACAAACTACTCACGATGTCTTATACTTCGAATAGACCTGTCTCCAGAGGTAGACTTGTAGTTAGTAACTCCATTGGCACTAGTTGTGGTTGTAGTAGCACTGGTATATTTGGCATATTTATCCTTAATTGAAGTTGATACGGGCAGTTCTTGTGGCTGCTGTTGCGGTCTATACCCATTACCATACTGAGTTTGCGGAATATAACTTGGTGTGTAGCCTGGATTATTGGCAATATGAACTCTTCTTGCAGTAGCAGCAGCAGATGCTTTTCTTCCGGCAGCAGTATATCCTCTACCACCTTCCCCCCCTCCCAATCTTCTTGGTTTCCAATTACGGATAATTCTTCCTCGTTCAAAATCAACCAAGGCATGTCTATTCTTTAACAATATCCCACTTCGACATAACTCATTAACACAATTCTTAGCATCGTTTGTCCGTTCAAACACTATAAAGCCATATCCTCTCGATTTCCCATTTTTATCTCTTATTATTCGAATCAGCTCAATGACACCATACTTCAGAAATGCCAGGGATATATCCAATTCCGTAACTGAATAGTCCAACCTTGCAATGAATACTGTTCGATAAGGATCCTTCATAAACTCTCGCTCGTTTTTGGCAAACAATTCCGGATCATTCCATTGTGCCAATTGTCGAGTAAATGATTCTTGATGTCGTTGTTTTTTCTGGCGAAATGCTTCTACGGTCAGGATGGTTGTCGATGTAGTTGGTTTTGGTTCAGACTTGTATTGGGTGATGTATGATGATATATGGTCTTTTATGGACAGTATTGGTGCTATGGCGGTGGTGCTTCTTTGTTCAGGTGGATAGTCTGTTGGTGGTATGTACAAGAAAGGTGGTTTAGGACCAAACAATTTTTGGATATTGGGGGGATATTTCTCAGTATCATCCTAGAGTATGCGTTAGTATGAATTATTTCCAACAGTTGAAAGTATTGACTTACCATTGTGCCGATACTACTGTGTTTGTTAATTGCACAGGCAGGTTAAAAAGATTACTCCTGATATTGGAAAAAGCTGCGCATCAAATTAGAGCCAACGAAAAAATAAACAGCCAGACCTCTCTCACACACACTCTCTCCCCCCCACCATAAAACACTACAAAGTAAACTAGTAATAGTAAAAATAATTATGTTCGGGTCTACTGCAAACGGAACTGGGCCAAGTGAAGCTCAAATATACAACAACAATATCGATAGATCAACTCTTCCTAAATACACACGAGCTGAATTATCTAAATACAACGGGTCGGACGATCCCAAGCTTTATGTTGCCATCCGGGGAACCATATACGATGTAACTGCCAATGAAGCCAATTATGGTCAGGGAAAGGCATATCATAAATTAGTCGCCAAAGACGTCAGTAGACTATTGGGATTGAATCGATTGGTGTTGCCAGCTGGTCAGGAGCCGACCCTGGGAGAAGAAGATTTAACCTTGACTACTTGGTATACTGGGGATTTGGATGACAAACAGAATGGAATTATTGATAATTGGATTCAGTTTTTTGAAAAGAGATATCATATAGTTGGTGTAGTCAGTGATGTATAGATATATGTAGATGTTTTTTTGCTGTACCAAAACCAACTTCTACTGTTGCCGAAGTTCTGCCTTCTTTTTCCTCCACCATAGGAAAACCAACCCACCATGTGAATATTTTTGAAGAACTTAATCTGGTAAATTTTCTACATTACACAATCTCTTGGCAGTATATATCTAAATCTATTTTATCTTAGTATAGATTGATTGAATCCTGTAGCTGTGGTTTACTGTATAAGTACTAATAAAGATTTGCAAAATTATTTTCGGTTGTAAATATTATTTTCTCTGAACCGATATTGTGAAACTTTCACGCCCAGACCTGAAAGGATAGTTTTGATGGAACAACAATCTCGCTTGGCACATTCTAGCTTGTGTACACAGAGCTGCAGATGAGCAAACACAACGAATAAGCCGCTAGGCATAGCCATACAAGTCCAGTGTTTAAAATCAGTTCTTTTGTTTCGATTTTGTGTAGGTCTAATGCGTATTGGCTAAAAGAATCTCAGGGCGGGTTTTCACAGTGTTAGATTTCCAGAGTTGAAAATATTTCAAGAGAAAACTTTATAAGTCATAGTTCGTACATGAATTGACTACTCTTTTGCATATAGGAGTATAGTTCTTCCAAGCGAATGAATGAGCTCGTATAGCACTCCCTAACCACACGATATAAGCTGATTTTCGGCTACAAGCACCATTTTGCCGCGATGCGTGATGGTGTTTCAAATGATCTCATTCTCTAGATAACTTTAATAGCATTTTATTTTCTGTCAAGTTTAACAGAAATCAGAATCATCCAAGGGCAATCAGTGTGTTTTCTAGTGGTATTTATCGTATAAAAATATTGGTTCTATACATTTTGTACCACCGGCACATTGTGAAGAATTTTTTTTCTTAGGCGAACTTTTGTCAGTTCAGGGGGGCCGAAGATTTTCCCACCGAAGATCGAAATTGCACCCAAGGCAACCTGTAGTACCATGCGTGGTTCTATTTTCTTTTTTCTTTTTTCTTTCTTTTTTCGCTCATAGTTTATAAATAGAAACAAACCTCATGCCATGTTTTAAGGTTGTCTAGAGGATTTAGCATGCGTGGTATTCAAGGCTATAGAAACCTAAACAGAAACTGCCGTGAAATTCCTAACTCCGTTGTAAATGAAACACCTTCACAAAAGTTATATACACTACTTATAACCGAACAGCATTGTTTTTCTCGCACTGCGCTCTTTTCTAATTTCCCACTTTGCACTGGCCCACTACCAGCGGCTAGTATGAAAATAATATTTTTTTTTCCACAAAATTTTTTTTTTTCCTTCATTGTATTATTTTTTTACATTCACTTGGCTGGTGATTTAAGGGCACTGCCAAAAAAAAAAAATTCTGCTGCCTAAGCTTAACCCAAAAACCTTTTTACAACCTACCCGTCGTAATTTTAAAGCTAGAGGTAAATAGCAGTTGACGAGTTTTTTCCATCAAAGGAAGTTAGTGGAACAATACATCACTGATACACACTGGTCAAAGCGGTATAAATCAGTTTTTAACCTTTCGATCTGACCGGCCGATCCGTATACGAAAGAATACAACCTCAAACTTACCTTCTCCCCCCCCTCCCCCTATAATAAAGATCTCAGACGCATCACTAACCTTTTTACTACCAATCAACCTCACAACAATCACCACATTCCTTTCCCACAATCGTTACGTCATATATCGAGCCTTGAACTTACACATATCGCTACATAAACCGTTCTTGAACAATAGACAGATCCTGTTGCCTCAGAAACAAAAGCACTAGTCACACACATATAAATAGAAACTTACTACGCCACCCCCTACTACATTCACCCAACAACATAAGTTAACCATGGATGCAGGCACAGCAGCGGTCCTATCTTCAAATAGGGCGCGTCAGAGACAACAACTCCTTAGTTCTGAGAATAATATCGAAGCATTAAGTGAAACTATTATGCAACAACCGAACCAACAGCAACAACAGCATCAACCGGTATACCAACCGGCATACATGCAACAGCAGCAACAACAAATGCAACAGCCATACATGGGTCATACTAATCTGTTCAACTCAAATTCTACATATTACGACATGACTCAAGGTAATCCAACGGGTTCATTCACTTCGGTTAGCAGTTACAATAATAATGCTGCTCCACCTCCAACACAACCACCTGCCGGATCTAGGAAATCTTCACTCACGTCACAATCAGGTGTCCATCGTTTGTTCAGAAGAAACAAAAACGACAACACTTTCAATGAAGACGCTGGTGCCGACATATATGACTTAACGAATGGTAATCTGGTTTCTTTTGACGATATTTCTCATATAAGAGGTGACAGAGGAAGATATGGACTTAATGCCGCAAAGTCGTTAGATACTGCCCCAATTATACCTACTTTAAATCTGGCAGGTGCTGGACCAGGTGCTCCTGTCAATGGCGGTGGCCCAAGAATGAACAATATTCAATATAGAAAACAAATGAATTATCAAAAGAAATTAGCATTAATGAACGGAGCAAGAGCTAATTCATTAGCAGGTGGCAATCCAATGCAACAACAGGCTCCTCCTCAACAAGGTTACGACCCTAGATCAATGTCATTAGGTGGGTATGGAAGAACTCAAAGTTTAGGTAATAACCTTCCACCACAAGGTCCAAGGTCTATGTCTATGAGATCTGGTCCATATCCTAATCAACCACATGGAGTTCAACAGTACCCTCCACAAATGATGGGACCAGGACCAGCCTCAGGACCAGCCCCAGGAGCAGTTCCAGGACCAAATCCACAAGGTGGTAGATCAATGTCGTTACGTCCTTATCCTCAACAGCAGCAACAACAACCACCATTTCAACAACATCCAATGGGACCAAGGTCCATGTCTTTAGTAAATAATGGAGCTCCACCTCAACGAATACAACAACAAGGAGGTATGCCTCAACTGTATCCAGCCACACGTTCGTTAACTAGTCAAACAGCAGTACCATCTTCAATGGGATACAATGGCCAACCTTTAAAGAGTCAGAATTTAGTGAGAGGTGATCCAGTACAATTTATACAATCTCAACAACAGCAACAGCAACAACAACAACCTCCACCACCACCACATCAACAACCTATACATCCTCAATACCAACAAGCACCACCACAACAAATACAATATCACCTGCTTCAACCACCACCATTACAATACCAAGATTCACCGCTTGCATCTCCATTAGAGCAAGAATCGCACGATCTTTCGTTTTCTCAACCTGGGGTATTCCAACAACCTTATAATTCCAACGATTCATTAATGAATGTTCCCGAAGAAGAGGAAGAAGACGAAGAACCACTTGAATCAACAATAATTGATGAACCAAACGATGATGTGATTTATAAAGTTGACAAGGAAGAGATTGAACGTGTTCCCTCGAGAAAATCAACAATTAAAGGTCGTAATTCCATGAGAGTTAGAAAGTTGAATTTATTTAATCAAGATGATAAAGCTGACGCAAAGTCTTCTGAACCTGCAAAGACAGACAAACCAAAATCACTTCGTAGGAAACCACCTTCTGCTAGTCCTTTGGAGGAAAAGTTCCCCCAGAGTGAAAAGTATATTGAGACATTACCTCAGGTGCCTCAAGAAGAGGAAAGTATCAAAAGCAATGGTCTTGAAGAGGAAGATTTAAATGAAGTTACACTGAAGGAAGCTACACCTAAAGTGGAGGAAAAGGTAGACGACGAAGCCGATGAAAGTTTCACGCCTACAGATCTGATTGATCAAGATCTCTCGTTCCAGTCAAATACATCCCATGAATATCCCCCCACTCCTGAACTTAATACTTTTGAACGAAAAGTGGAAAATGTTGAACCACACAGTGACAAGCAACAGCAATACCCAATTAAGGAAGAGTATTCTCCTCGTCGAGTAGGGGTTCCTCAACCACGACAAATATCTCATGATTCCATCAGAAAAATCGTAGCCAACACAGCATTTAACAACTTCCGTTCTCCTACTATTTCTGAATCTCCAAAATTTAGTGAAGAAAAATCGTTGCTTGAACCAGAGCTGCTTACTTCTCCAACATCAGTTTATGACGATAATATGACTCAAGGAAATAGTGTTGTTTCCAGTGAAGATAGCTTCCATCAATTGTCAAGTAAGGAGAAATCATGTACTCCACCAAGTGTGATTCCTACCAAGCTGAAAGAAAGTGATGAAGAACTTAAACCTAATCAAACATTATACAACACATTGACTGAACCGATTGAACCAGTTACAGTTGAACCCATTTCAGATTATCAACCAGTCCCAGTTACTCCAAAGGCTAACAAGGAAATTCATTCTCCCAAGGTTAACCTAGACCAAACCCCGAAATTTGACTTGACTGAACAAACTCCAATCAAATCAGCCCTGCGTAGAACTTCTGCCGCTTCATTGACAAGCACAAATTCAATCAAGCTGAAGCATGGATCATTTAATATTTTCAAGAGGCTTTCTAAATCTTCGAGGAAATCAACCATTCAAGAACCGGATTTGCCCCAACTTCCACAGACCATGGTCAAAGAAACTAAGAAACAAAATAATGCTCCATTGAAGTTTACTAAAGAGGAAATGGGCATTATGACATGCAATAATGAATTACTAAGTGAATTGGAATTAGTGACTACTGAGCTTGCATTGTCAATCAAGCGTGAATTGGCATTAGAAACTAAGCTTCGTGGTGGGAATGCTACAACTCAAGATCCTTCATTAGCCCAACTACAAAAGGAATTGCTTAGCAACAGAAAGTTGATTGCTGAATTGCAAGAGAAATTGAGCAAGGAAAGAAGATTGCGTTTCATTAGTGAAGAACATGCATTATTGAGTGAACATGGACAATCTCCATCTCCATTAAAGTTGAATTATGAGAATACGGAATTGTACAAGCAGTTATTGATCAAGAATGACGAAGTTAAACAATTGGAGGACAAGATTGTTGAATACGAAAAAGGACAAAAACTGGATACTGATTTACTTGACAAGTATAATGAATTACTTGCTGAAAATACTGATTTGAAGTTCCATGTTATTCCTAATTTACAGAGACAAATTGAACAACGAGACGATGGTAATTCATCACGAGTTTTCAATATTACAGGCGACCAAAGCTTTGAATTGTCTGATGAGGACGAGCTTAGTACTTTACGCAACCAACGTGATGAATTGCGTAGCACTGTCAATAGACTTACTCGGAACAATGATGTGGAATTGAGATCAGCACAAGAGAAAATCAGATCATTGGAAGTGCAATTACGAGATATGAAACGGATTAATGATAAATTGAGTATCCGAGAAGATACCAAGCCAGCCACTAATGGATTTATAAAGAATGGAGGCGGGAAACTACTGGGATTGGCGATAATTTCACCTACACAGAACTTATTCGATTAAAGGATTAATACACGTTTTATATTTATTTAGTTTTTATTTAAAAATTTGGCGATTATTTCACCAATCTCAGTTCCTTGATTGGGGAAGGTTACGGTTTGGGATTTGTAGTGTTCGTATTCCTGTTTGGTTAAAAGACCATGTTCAAATTTATACTTGAGCAAATCTAATGCTAGTTCAGTAGTGAATTCAGGATGGCCCTGGAAAGTTAATAAGTTGGGTGAAAGCACGCCTTGGATGTTACATTTATCGGTTGATCCAATAGACACACATCCGGGAGGTAATTCATACACGATATCTTGATGAAATTCCACCATATTAAACTTGGACAAGCCAGAGAATGGAGAATTTTTCTTTAGTTCCGGGTTAACTTCGATTGGAGTAGTTCCGGCTTCCCAACCAATTTCATTTCTTCCTATTTTTGCACCAAGGTTCTTACACAAGATTTGATGACCAAAACAAATGCCTGCGGTTTGAACTTTCAGTGGTATAATGACATTTACAATGAACTCATCGAGCAATTTGATCCAAGGTTCTTCTCCGAACGCGTCACTTCTTGACCCAGTGAGCACTAAACCGGTAATATACCCTTGTTTAATTCCTGCTTCTAATTCCTTATACGTGGATTGTAATTGAGTTAAATATTCTTCAGGAGATGTAGAATAAGCAAGGTAGTATTTTTTAATTTTAGTAGTTGTATGTTTGGAAAGGAGATCTTTGGTGTTGTCACCGAAGTCTCCGTACTTTTCGGTTATGTTAGGGATAGGAGTGTCTAACACTAACACAGCGACATGAGAGACATTGTCTTGATTTTCAACAGTCATGGTGAATAAAGTAAAAGAAGAGACGATAGCAAAATTGCTGGAATTTTTTCGCAATTTTATATGCGAGATAGTGTAAGGCAAATGCTTATCTTTTCTGGTAAGCGATGGTACGATGCGGATTAATTTTCGGTGCTCACAAATGAGGGACATGACTACACCACAAGGCAAATACGCGAGAACCATAAGGCATATGACAATTGACTCCACAGTGGAAAATATACAACAACTACAATGCAATGATTGTCAAGGAAGGCAGATATAGACGATCAATAGCGTAAATAATGCTCCTCTTTTGCAGGAATACAAATTTGAAAAGCCGTAAGGCATATGGATCTTGCAAGGCAAATTCATGCACACGAACATCAAGACAATAATTGACTTTTTAGAACACAGAATATAAATACAAACCATAAGGCATACTATGTTTGAATACCCTTTGTGATGACAGAGAAAGAAGAACGCAAAATAGTAAATTACTTGGCTGTACCCCTCTTTCTAGTAATACCAGTAGGCTGGGGAATAGTTAGCTAGAGTTACCCGAATATAGCAAGATTTCTCGATTTTAATAATTTTTTTGGCATACATATATCAGCTCAATGGTTATAACTTCAAGTCCGTTAGATTCCGGGTCTTGATGGGGAAAATGATAAACAATTAGCAAAACTTGTGGAGTCACATCCACTTGTTTAGACCTCAGTCAAAGCACAACTTGAAATTTTGAATTATTCACTCGATGGACATAAGTTCTGGTATCGAATTAACGCCTTGAAAACTGCCTTTCAGATTAATATCTCCTATTATTTCACGTGTCATGGCAATATACAGTTTTTATGATTCTGATTGAAGTAACAAATGCTGACTCCGTCCATCCACATTAGGTTATAAAGCTCATTCATCCCGTACTATGGGCTTGCATATTCGTGTTTCAATGTGCTATGAAGGTGAAAACTGATGATGGCTGCAAAACGGTGACCCCCACGAGGGCTCAAAACCTTCTCTCTCACTTGCGAAGGGAAAAGATCTAAAAGCAAGTGAGAAATACGGTACGCATTAAGCTGAAGTTGTTCTGAATATTCAATAATGTATAAATCAACATTTTCATATGCTCTTCAGAGGTATTGTCATAACAATTGTGGTTGTCACTTCCATAAGTTATAACCACCATTGGTCGTGTACCTAATCAATTTTGTATTACCATTTTTAGTCTATTTTTTTTTTCTCACTCTCCTACTTTTTTTTTTTTTGAAGTTCGCCCAGTTTTCGGTTAGAAGAAAGAAAAAAAATGCTAAAGTTTTCAAGTTAAAGATACACCCAGTGAGTCACGTAATAACTTAAAAGTAAAATAGTGTGTACTTGTATATTATACACTGTGTTATAACATCAAACTATTCTATTGACCGAGAATTCACATATAAGCTTAGGAACTAGGAATAACTGCGTTTTCACTAAAACAACCCCAACCAAACCTTCGAAACGTCAGCTAATATACTATAAACAATATATCACTTATAGACACTTAATTCATCTTATTAATAGCATGTCCGATCAGAATTTAGAGCAACCAACCAACGGAAGCAATACTCATACGATTTCCAATTTATCCGCCGGGTTAAAGTCGGTGACATTGAATGACCAACAACAAAACGAGGTAAATTTAAACTTATTACAACAACAATTACAGAATGAAACCACCAATGCTCAACAACAATCAAGAATAACCAAATTCTTCCAAAACCAACCTACTGAAGGGTACACACTCTTCTCACATAGATCTGCACCCAACGGATTCAAAGTGGCGATAATATTGTCCGAGTTGAATTTGCCGTTTAATACCATATTCTTGGATTTCAACCATGGAGAGCAAAGAGCTCCGGAATTCGTCACCATAAACCCCAATGCCAGAGTTCCAGCATTGATTGACCATTTCAATGAAAACACCTCTATTTGGGAATCGGGAGCAATCATATTATACTTGGTGTCTAAATATCTTAAAGAAAACGGTGAATGTGCATTATGGTCGGATAATTTAGTAGAACAATCACAAATTTCTTCATGGTTGTTCTTCCAGACCTCGGGGCATGCACCTATGATTGGCCAAGCATTACATTTTAGATATTTCCACTCCTGTCCTGTACCAAGTGCCGTGGAGAGATATACCGATGAAGTAAGGAGGGTTTACGGGGTTGTGGAAATGGCATTGGCTGAAAGAAGAGAAGCATTAATTATGGATTTAGACGTCGAGAATGCCGCTGCGTACAGTGCAGGAACAACTCCATTATCACAATCAAGATACTTTGATTACCCAGTATGGTTAGTTGGCGATAGAGCTACCGTGGCAGATTTGTCATTTGTACCATGGAACAATGTTGTTGATAGAATAGGCATTAATTTGAAGGTGGAATTCCCTGAAGTTTATAAATGGACCAAATATATGATGAGAAGACCAGCAGTGATTAGAGCTTTGCGAGGAGATTAAAGTGAACCTTTTTTTTGTTGTTGAATATGTGTATGTACGTGCATATATTATATCTAGATATATGTTTATGATTGTTCATGATAGTGTGTAAATTAAATACAAATTTGAATAGAATTGTTTGTGTGTGTGTGTAGCAAGTATCAATTGGGACTACAGGCTAATGCAAGGTCTGGACCAAAGGTCTCTGTGCGAAGATCAAATTTTTTTTTTTTTACTGGAGTCTACTCATCGAGGGCATAGTCCAAGGCATATCACTTACACTATAGACAAAAAAAACACACAATGTCAGACTTTCTTCTTGGAAAAGATGTATACTCACAGGGAAAGAAATCATTGAAATCGCTTTGTAAACATCAGCAAACCCTTGCCAATCCAATTGTTCCAATTTTCCTCATTATAGATATCAAGATAAATCTCGTTAGAAACAAAGACTACATTCCAAGAATAATCCCACTCACACATAAACTAGATGAACCAGGTAACAAGTCAATCGTATTAATCACAAAGGATCCTTCCACTGCATATAGAAATACCTTGACTGCCAAGGATTGTCCTACTGAAGATACATTCAACCAAATACTTTCCTTAACTAAGCTTAAATCCTTTGCTAAGGATCCCAGAAAGTTGACTAGATTGTTCAAGGAGAATGACATTATAGTGGCCGATAACCGAGTACACAAGTTCTTACCCAACATACTTGGTGCTACGTTCTATGTCAAGAATAAAAAAGTTCCCTTCATGGTTCAAATGGCTAAACCTAGCGCCACGGCCCAACTAGTCAAGCTGAAAAAATCTAACAAGTTAAAGGACGAACGGTGTGATCCAAAATACGTATACAAGCAAATAGAGAGCATTGTTGGAAACACTTCTTATATTCCATCAGACAATGGAACGTGTCTTTCTTTTAAAATTGGGTACACCAATTGGGAGGAGCTGGACTTGTTGGCCAACATCAATGATATTATACTGTACATGACTGATGCTAAATACTTACCGGTTGGTGGTACCTTAAAGAACGTTAGTAATATAGGAAGTGTACATGTAAAGACTGGTGAAAGTGTTAGTTTACCTGTTGTTACTGCTTCTGCAGAGGAAGCTACTGGTGATGATCAAGACGACGATAGTGATTTTTATTTCTAGATAACAACCGCATTGTCCGGATAACTTACTTTTTTTAGGGTGGGCAGTACGTGACTTGCGTATGTGTGTTTCTTTTTCTGGTGTGGTGTGGAATTAAACTTTTGGCGTCTATCAGTGGCTGATTTAATTCGGCAGTGCGCGGTTTGCCCGACTCCCTTTTTGATCTTACGGCCCTGGCACAGCAGAACAACGTTTTTTTTTGTTTCCTGCGTTATTTTTTTATTAGTAGAACAATTGCGATGCTGAACAAACCCCTAACTTAGACGCGAAGTAACATATAATAATAGTAATATAATAATATAATAATAGATATGATAGAGCATCCGCAACCGGTACAGTTTCAACAACTACCGAACCAAGCATCGCCATCTCCTGCTAAGGCAAGCAGTGAAATAGCGCCAGTTCTGATTGAGATGTCAGAGACGGTATCGGAACCACCACCAGCATATTCTTCCCACATCATATCCGACATTGGATCCCTGGCTCCAGTAAGGTTTATCGGCTCATTGATAGACGACGATGATAGTGCTGAACATGTAGAGCATTTCAAGTATAAACAAGATTTAGAGCGGAAGTTAACCGTTACTTCTGTCATTGGTCTAGGATTCTCCGTCATGGGAGTTCCATTCGGGTTGAGTTCTACCTTATGGATAAGTTTAATGGATGGGGCAAATGTTACATTATTATACGGTTGGTTAATCGTGGGGATTTTCTCAATATGTGTAACATTAAGTCTTTCTGAAATCATTTCAAAGTATCCTACAGCTGGTGGTGTCTACCATTTCAGTGCTTTATTGAGCAATGAAAAATATTCCCTGATTAGTTCGTGGTTCACTGGATGGTTTCTTTTGATAGGAAACTGGACATATGCTATAAGTATCATGTTTGCCGGATCGCAATTTATCCTTTCCGTATTTGGATTAAAGGACCTAGTGTACAACGAGAACAGTTTCTTGGTGTTAATGGTATTTATGATAATATTGCTATTCTCAGGATTTATTAACTTCTACTTTGCAAGATATTTGGAAAAGATTAACCGAGCATGCATATATTGGACAATTTACACGGTTCTTGCCATTGACTTTCTTTTAATATTTTATGCCAAACGAACAAACTCAATCAAGAGTATATTGACTACATTTGATAACTCCCGATCAGGATGGCCTGATGGAATCGCATTTATGGTGGGGTTACAATCTTCATCGTTCACATTAACGGGATACGGAATGCTATTTTCAATGACTGATGAAGTCAAGAATCCCGAACGTAATATGCCCAAGGGGGCAATAAGCGCAGTGCTAATGGCCACCATCACTGGATTCATATTCATTATCCCTATCCTTACAATTTTGCCAGAATTAAAACTACTCCTTGATGAGAATCCAAACATCATGCCCATTGATTTAGTGTTCAAGCTTGCTACTGAATCATACCTTATTTCCTTTTTAATGGCCTGTCTTATGATTGGGACCGTGATTTTCCAATCCATTGGGTCCTTAACAACCGCATCAAGAAGCACTTATGCATTAGCTCGTGATGGAGCTTTACCAATGTCACATTTGTTCACCACAGTTAATTCGATTGAAGCCTACACTATCCCACGTAATGCCCTTTTCTTATCTATGGCGGTGTGCGCTGTCATCTCCTTGCTTTCATTAGTGTCCCAATCGGCATTTAACGCATTCATGGGTGCCGCTGTTATCTCATTAACTATCGCCAATGGTATTCCTATTTTGTGTCTTATGTTGAACAAAAGAAAGAAAATTAAAGGTGCTGCATTCAGATTAAGAAGATTAGGATGGATCATTAATGGAATTGCAGTGGCTTGGGTGTGTCTTTGTCTGATTATTCTCTGTTTCCCACCTGTTATCAAAAATTTAACCTGGAGGAAAATGAATTATGCATTGTTAGTTATGATTTTATTCACGGGTATTTCCACATTGGGATTCATTACTTGGGGGAAGAAATCATTCACTGGTCCTCTGATTGACGAAGACTATTTCGAAATTAATAATATGGAAATGGCACGAATTGATACGTCAAAGTTTGTCATTGCCGATGAAGAAGACTTGGAGCAAGATGTCAAGGAACACGAAGAAGAAGATATCGTAGAAAATAAGCTCAAGGAGATGCAGAAAAAAAGCAAGATGAAGGGCAATAAGAAATATCTTCCCTTGGAAGGAAATTCTCGTGAAAGAGCTGATAGTGATTCCGATACTATTGATGTACGATTTCGAAATAGTTTCCAGAACGATAATAATAGTGACGAACAAACGTTATTTGATGATGTGGAACATAAACCCGATGGTTCATAACTGTTTATAGAACGAACTAATACGATAGATATACATATATAGAAATAATAACATTGGTTCAAACATAATGGCTGCTAAAAATATTAGTCCTGTAATCGGAGAAAGAAAAAGAAATAAGTAAATCACGTGACCAGAATAGGTAAAATTTTTCAACCGGCATTTAAGCTTAAAAAAATTTTAATCTGGTTTTGCCTTTGTAAGACTCATACTATAACCTTTGTACATAGTAGAATAAATACAACATGTCAGCCGATCATACTAGAGATCCATGTCCTATTGTCATTTTAAATGATTTTGGTGGTGCATTTGCCATGGGAGCCATTGGTGGGTGTGTATGGCATGGTATTAAAGGGTTTAGAAATTCCCCATATGGAGAAAGAAGTTACGGTGCCCTCAGTGCCATCAAAGCTAGAGCACCAGTAGTTGGTGGTAACTTCGGTGTTTGGGGTGGGTTGTTCTCTACGTTTGATTGTGCCGTTAAAGCTGTGAGAAAGAGAGAAGATCCTTGGAATGCCGTCATCGCCGGGTTTTTTGTTGGGGGTGCTTTGGCCATTAGAGGTGGTTGGAAACATACTAGAAATTCTGCCATTACTTGTGCTTGTTTATTGGGTGTTTTCGAAGGTGTGGGTATGATGATGCAAAGATTACAAGCCCAACCAACCATGGCTCCACAATACCCTGAAGAACCTGTTCAATTAGCAGCTTAAATGAAACCTTCTTGTACATAACTATCACATGACATCAATTTCACCCAGACCACTACCACACAACATTGAAATCGAATTGATAAAAAATTTTGGTAGTGGGAAACAAACGAAACCCACCAGCCCAAAAAACTTATAGAAAAAAAGACCATAATTAAACGGAAATGTTACCATGAGTAAATTGCAACCGCTAAGATTTCTAATCCTGGTCTATTAGGTATTTGTTATTTTCTTTCTTCTTTTTGCTTCTTGTACATTATTTAAATATACGCATAGTTTACAAATTTTAATAGCGGATTTACGTAAGGAGTCATTTTCGGTTATACTTAACCCATTTTACGTCATATAACAATTGTAAAACTGTTGCTGTAGTCTCGCTGGCGTTTAACTCACAATTTAACTTGCTGTTGACAGTAGTAACTGCTGGTTGCTATTATGTAGTAAAACACCTCAAATATGTAACTCCCTCTACGTCAATAGCAAGTTGCCACCTAGTGCTTGTGTGTGTGTGTGTGATTTTCCCTCCCGTAGTTTAAATTGAGGAGAAACCAGACAGCCAGAAAAAAAAAAAGATCAATTGAAATTTTGAGTTTTGATCACACAGACAGACAAAAAAAGTAGGACTCACAAAAAGATTAAAAAAATGTCCACACAAATTTCATGGAATTTTAAATCATTTTAAAAATTGTCTACTTTTTGCTTGTACAATCTAGACTTGCATATTTATAGCAGCAAGACCATTGTTTAATTGGTCAATACATCGCAACTTGGGATAGATTACGTAATTAATAACTCAACAACCCCACTGGCTGTACCCCTGATATAAAAATACCAGAAGATCTACACACGAGTCATTTGTCCCCGCCTTCCCTCAGCTTTTACATATTAGCTGACACACAACTACCACACAAGTTACCAGATTAACTTCTAGACACAAATGTCATATAATAATTTCAATTATAGTAGACACAATTCAATAGGGGGTAATTGGCATGTACTCCCACCCCCGCAGCAGCAGCAGCAACAACAACAACAACAACAGCAGCAACAAACTGGTGGCGTGTTCGCTAACCAAGACTTAAATGATCAACAACAGCAGGCGAATCAACTGCCATTACAACAACAACAACAACATGCCATGCACCAACATCAGAAACCTGGCCAGATGGCGGGATTCCGTAACCCGTGGTTTTCCCAATCGGGTGGGTCAGTCTTGTCCAGTGCCCAGGCCGCGGCCGTGATGTCAATGTCTCAATCACCTACCAAGCAACTGACAAGTGCCATGCCACCTTTATTACAACAACTGCAACAGAACAAGAGACTCTCATTTGCAAATCAGCTTCCTACCACTTATGAGTATGACAATCAGCAGCAAAGATTTAATGCCCCTCCTTATATTCACCCACCTACCAGAGCAGACAACCCTTTCAATCAAGCATTTTCTAATCTGGATGTTGCTATTACCGCACCCAGTGATCGGAAAATGTCTGCTGCAGTTGATGGAACTTATTTCAATTATGGTCCTTACAATGGTCCCTACCCTGCACAATTATACCAATATAATCAACAAGTGCCTGGTGGTGGAATGAACAATCTTAATAGACGATCCTCACTCGCAGTCATGCCTAATAATTATCACGGAGTAGTTCCCCAAGACCATAAAGGACAACAGCAACCATATTATATACCGCCTAGTGGTCGATTAGGAAGATCTGCTCTGATTATCCAATACCAACAATATCAACAAGAATTACAACATCAGAAAGTCAACAAGCATAGGAAACCTGCACCAAAAGCCAGAAAGATTTATAGTAAATTGGACTTAAACCCCAAGGTTCATCAGCAACCAAAATACAGGCGATGCTCTGTTAATTCAATTCATATATCACCGGTTAATGCCCTTTCGGTATATCTTACTGAATCATATAGTATATGCCAGCCAAGAAAGTTTCAATATTCCAAGTCAACCAACCCTAAACGTGTATTAACAAAACCACTGGAACCAAAGTATAATAATGGGTACGACAATGAAGAAAGTGATTATATTTTATATGTTAATGATATATTGGGTGCAGAAGAAGGAAGAAAGTATATGGTTTTGGATCTTCTTGGTTCAGGAACGTTTGGACAAGTTGTCAAGTGTCAGAATTTAACTAATCAAACTGTTTGTGCTGTCAAAGTTATTAAATCCCGACCAGCATATATGAATCAAAGTTTAACTGAGGTACGACTACTTGAATATTTGAATGCCAATAGTGATGGAAGATCATTCATAAGGCTATTAGACACGTTCATGCATAAAGAACATTTATGTCTTGTATTTGAATTATTAGCATCGAATTTATATGAATTGATAAAGCAAAACCAATTCCAAGGATTAAATATGAAATTGGTTAAATTGTTAACTAAACAATTATTAGAAGCTATGGCTCAATTGAAGAATTTCCAAATGATTCACTGTGATCTAAAACCGGAGAATATATTGTTAATTCAACCCGATAAGCCAAATATTAAAGTTATTGATTTTGGTTCGGCATGTTTCACTCGACAGACGATTTACACTTATATTCAATCAAGATTTTACCGATCCCCGGAAGTGATATTGGGGTTACCATATACTGAATCTATTGATATGTGGTCTCTAGGATGTATTGTTGGGGAATTGTTTTTGGGATTGCCCATGTTCCCAGGTACTTCTGAATATAATCAAATTTGGAAAATTGTTGATATGTTGGGCATGCCACCAAGGCATATGATTGAAGTTGGAAGAAATTCATTGAATTTTTTCAAGCGAATAGAACCAAAATCTGCAGATGACAAGCCAAGCTATACCGTAAAGACTTATGATGAATACTTGGAATTTTTGGAAACTTCCAAGGATAATCATCACCATTCTCGGAAAAAGGAACAACCAAACAAGGATTATTTCAAGCATAGATTACTTAAAGACATTATCTTGAATTATAAGTTGCCATCCAAGAAAATGACCAATTCTATGATTGAGAAGGAATGTCAAGAACGGTTATTATTAATTGATTTCCTTACAAAAGTGTTGAATTTAAATCCTTTGGAAAGATTAACTCCTCAAGAAGCTTTGAAACATCCATTTGTAAGCGATGTACCTACTTTGGAAATGCCGTAGTATATACTCTGATAGTGATGTATAGTAACGAAAATATATAATCACAATGAAGACATGTATCTGTTTTGACTGCAAATTATAATTAGCTAAATTGGATTCTGTGGAACAGTCGTGCACAGTTCAATTGTAATTCTTCCATTTTCTCGTGAGCGTGAAAAAAAAAAAAAGCTGAAGAAAAAACTGAAGCTGGTCAACATACAATAACGAACCTACTGTAATATAAATAAACAACATAATTAATCATAATAAAAACATAATATAAAAATCATAGACATAAAAATATGAACGTGAGTACAAGTGCATTAGGAGTAAGAAGAAGAAAGGCCAAAGCCGCTAGTCAAAATATTGACGATGAAGAAAATGCTGCCATTTTAAAATTAGGACCAGAATTTCAATTAACCCAAATAACAAATTCCGGAGAAGAAGAACAATTAATTGCCTTGAACTTATCAGAAGCAAGATTATTGATTAGAGCAGCATTGAAGGAACGAAAAAATAAGAATAAAGGTAAACAACAACAAGCACAACAACTGGCCCTGCAACTGACCCAACTGCCAGATCAAGACGAAGATGATAAGGAAGATGAGATATCCAATATGGAATTAGCTGGTCCAAACTCAAATGAAATTATGCATAAAACTCTTAACTATTTGTCAAACTTTGCCAGATTTAAGAATTCTTCTTCTACAGAAACCGTAGAGAAGTTATTGAATGATTTTAGCTTGCTGGCAATAGAACCATTACATCCATTTGAATTGGCCCAATTGGGTACCTTAGAATGTGAAGATGCTGAAGAAGCCAAGTCATTGATACCAAGTTTAGCAAATAAAGTAAGTGATGTTCAATTGCAAACTTTACTTACTGAATTAAGAAAATATCAAACATTAAGTTGATACACATAAACCCAGGCATGGTATTTTGTATTATAATATAGATTTTATATACACTACGTAATATAGTCTTGTATTAACTGATTGTATAGTTCATTGCTTGCTCTATTTGATGTGGTCCTTGTGCGCAGTCAATTTGAAAATTTGAATTTGATAAACAAAAAAAAGTGCTGCCAAAATTATAAATCTTCAACTTGAATTCTAGCTAGCACACGTACAATCTACAATGGCAGCTGATGACGAATTATACGATGAGTTTGGGAACTTGATAGGAGACGAGTTTGATTCAGATGCTGAAAGTTCAAATGAATCTTTGGCTTCTGTTGAAGAAGAATCAGACCAAGCCAGCGATGAGGAAGAGGAGGAACTACATGCAGACAGCACCAGCTTAATAAAACGTACAGAAGAAGCAGGAGAAACTATCTTTATTCAACCAGATGAACCAATGTCAAATCAGCCAGTTATTAAACCTAAAATTGAGAAAGCTATGAAAATTGACTTCACAGCCAACTTATCCTTCACCGAATTAGAAGAGAAATACAAAGATCTTCCCGAATTGATATACTCCCGCGATTTTATGATTTCCACAATGAATCAACTTCCTGAAAGAATACGGAATATTGCCGTTGTAGGGAATCTTCACAGTGGGAAGTCGAGATTTGTTGATGCATTAATCTTGTATACTCACTCACCTTCTATAAAACTCAAGAATACACTTAAAAACTTTAAACCTTTGAGGTTTATGGACAATCACAAATTAGAAATTGAACGAGAAGTAACTATAAAATCTTCACCAATTACTTTATTGTTGCAAGACTTAAAGGACAAATCATATGTGTTTAATATTATAGATACCCCGGGACATGTTGACTTCCAAGATGAAACAACAGCTGCCATAAGCTGCTCGGATGGAGTAGTACTTGTGATTGACGTAGTTGAAGGATTAACCTACAGAGATAAACTACTCATAAACCAAATCATGCGTGAGAATCTTCCAATTGTACTTGTATTGAATAAATTTGATAGGCTCATTTTAGAGCTTAAATTACCTGCTAAAGACTGCTATCTTAAATTGAAATATATTGTTGATGATATCAGTGAGTACATAAATTCTAATGAGTTAATATCGACATATACGCATGCACCTATTTCGCCTATACGTGATGTTGTTTTTGCATCTTCAACATTTGAATTTTCATTCACATTGAAAAGTTTCTCGAAACTTTATCTTACCAATCAGAAGTCCCAAATGGATATCGAGAAATTTAGTCAGAAATTATGGGGAGATATCTATTATGATGCAGTTAACCACAAGTTCACCTCCAAATCAGATCAACTTCCAAGAACATTCGTATCATTTATTCTTGAACCAATTTATAAGATAATAAACTATACTCTCGTTTCAGAACCGAGTCAACCGAAAATTGCAAAGTTATTATGGGAAAACTTCGGTGTATCATTACACAAATCGGAATATAAACAAGATTCCCAAGTGTTGTTGAAATCTGTGTTTCATGTTGTGTTTAATGCACATTGTGGGTTTGTTGATACGGTATCTAAATCTATTCCGCCACCGGCATTAGAAAAGGATGAAAATTTTGTTGGGAAAGTGGTGAAATTGATTGAATCGCCTGATGGGAAAGCTTTCAGTTCTTTAGTTAGAGTATACAAGGGCATTCTAAAAATAGGTGACAAAGTTAAAGTGTATGGCGATTCATTTTCAGAAAATACTGAGGATTTTAAAATCGAAGTGGTAGAAGGAATTTATATTCCCGGTGGAAGATATAAAGTACCTATTCGCGAAGCAGGAGTGGGTTCACTTGTTATCATTGATGGTATTGAGTCAATTATTAAAAAGGGGGCAACTATATCTGATCCAGCATTGTCTATGCCGGGAGTAACACCTAAGTACACTTCTAACTCGGTATTCAAAATTGCGTTGGAACCAGTTAATCCTTCGGAGTTACCTATACTATTAGATGCCATGAGAAAAATCAACAAATCCTACCTTGCATCAGTTATCACCGTGGAAGAAAGTGGAGAACATGTTATATTAGCACCAGGACAGTTGTACATGGATTGTATATTGCATGATTTGCGAAATTTCTTTACTGATGGATTGGAAATTAGAATAAGTGATCCCATGACTAAATTTTCCGAAACTTGTATTGATACTTCATTTACAAAAATCCCGGTAAACACAGAGTCAAATGAGATTTCTATAATTGCTGAACCTGTGAATGATGACAAATTAAGTCGTGCAATTGAATCCGGCAAAATTTGCTTACAACAACCAACAAAGGTATTATCGAAAACATTAAGGACCGAATTTGGCTGGGATTCACTTGCTGCTAGGTCGGTATGGGCATTTGGACCTGATGATTTGCAACTTCCTAATATTTTACTTGATGATACCTTGGAATCGGAAACCGATAAGTCCAATCTTCTTTCAGTTAAAGATAGTATAGTTCTCGGGTTCAAATGGGGTGTCAATGAGGGTCCATTATGTGATGAACCTATCAGAAATACAAAATTTAGAATTCTAGATGCTGTAATTAATGGATCAGAATTATATAAATCCTCGAGTCAAATCATCCCCTTGGCCAGAAGAGCATGTTACACTGGATTACTAACTGCAACTCCAAAATTAATGGAACCGATTTATCGCCTTGATGCAACCTGTACATACCGTGCTATTTCAGTGGTCAAGGAGTTATTGAAAAGGAGAAGAGGTGAATTTGTACGCGAGGATCCTATTCCTGGAACACAATTGTTTCTGGTTCTAGGGTATGTACCAGTCATCGACTCTGTTGGTCTTGAAGTAGATTTGAAACTTCATTCGCAGGGGCAAGCAACTTGTTATCTTCTGTTTGCTAATTGGGAAGTAGTGCCAGGTGATCCCTTGGATCAAAATTGTGAATTGCCTAGTTTGAAACCAGTACCTCATGAATCACTAGCACGAGACTTTGTCTTAAAAACAAGAAGAAGAAAAGGATTATCGGGTGAACCAAGTCTACAAAAATATATTGATCCTGATTTGTATATTAAATTGAAAGAGAAAGGTCTCGTTCAATAAAAATTAGTTGTGTATATAATTGACATAAAATCTCCCACCTGAGTACTATATCGACAATTTACTTCTTTTGTTTTCTTGTTCTTCTGTATCATCCAGTTTTCGCTTCTTTATTGATTCAAACCCCCCACTTTCTCCGGCAACTTCAACCAAATGATTAAATTTACTGATAAATCTTGTTTTGGTGCGTAAATTAAAATTAAGAGATTTAGGGATCTTATTTTGATCTTCGGTTCCTTCGCATAATCGTACGAATATCTCAATGAAATCACGAATGGTTATATCCTTACAATAAACATTATCTTCAGAAATTTCCAACTTCTCTAATTCGGGAATCTCAAGTAAAATTTCGTCAGCATTAGTCAATTTGAATATCTCACTTAAATCTTCATTACTTCTTAAAAATTGGAAAAATAATTCAATTGATAACTGCTGTATTTGGGCGCTGTCATACAAGGCAACTAAATGTGAGCAATCAATTTTACATTTCTCTTGATTTATAGGAAATAATAAAAATTCAGTGTCTGAAAGATTCAACACCACTGGGATATGTTCGAAGTTTGGTTTGTTAGATTGTTCTGTCTGGGTAGGTGAAGTTTCTTCCAGTGGACTTTCACTTTTTATTGAGATAATTTCTTTGGTATGATCCCCATTTGTTGATGTGCCAGACTCATCATCCAGTTCAGCAGATAATGCAACCTCATTTACCACAACTTCCGCTTTCTTGTTAGATCCTTCACTTTTACCCTCTACTTCCTCTTCCGTCTTCTCCTCCTCCTCCTCCTCTTCTTCTTCTTCTTCCTTCTCTTGATTTTCGTCTTGACCACTTGTATCGTTTCCTTCGTCATTGATAGCATTCACTTCACTGGATTCACCCTGATTCTCGTCGTCTAATCTCTCAACATTGGTTCCCACTAATACATTAGTTATTTTGTAGTCTTCTTTTTCAACAGTGTCTGTAGTCTCATGACCTTTCTGTTGAGGTCCACTCAGAAGAGAAATTTCGCCACTTTCATCAACATCATCTTGCTCACGTACACCTGTATTCTCCTCTGCTACATCGCTCTTATATTCCTGGTCCAAATTTTCAATATCTTCTTCATAATCATCTAACAAATTCACATAGTCATTATTGGTCCGACGGTCAATTGAAGAATTAGTAATGTAATTCAGCGTGTCGCTGGTTTCATCAATGCCCAGAACGGGAGAAGTTATGTCAATCAATCCTTCAGGATCTCCTGTTTGTATTGTCTGATCTGCAGTAGAGCTTCTATTTGAATTCTCGTTAGTATCACCAAACATGTTAGATATACTTATCTTATTCACGACTAAAGAATGTGTACTGGCTGTGATAGAGAATTTGTATCTTTATATTTTTTATTTTTCGTGTTTCGTGTTGTGGTTGCGAGAAATCTTGGTGCGGCTGAATGTTTCACAAATGTTTACAAGTTGAAACTACATAGATTTTTACATGGATTAATTTGATTAAATTCTAGTAGTGATAACTATGAATCAAATTTAAGTATATATAGCACAAACAGGTCAAACCTTTTTAATACATAGCAAGTCATTTCAACAAGATAATAAAATGCAAAAACATGACAACAACAAATAAATAAAACATATATTGAACAAACTTATGGAGCCCAAACTTTAAAATTCTGAGGTGATTTTAATGATAATGGTTTATATTCATCTTCTTGGAAAGGATCTGAACTGATTTCCTCTTTAACTGGTTGATTGCTATCTTCAGTTGTAGTTAAAGTTGAAGAAGCTAAACCTTGTCTTGTAGGCTTATATAACAATGATTTAGCTTCAGCAAGAATATTACCAATATTCAGCTTGTCAAAGGTACTTTCTCCATTGATATTAGCATTTTGCTCAATCAACTGTATAGCGCTATCTAACTTCTTAATGACATTGATTGTAGATTTAGTCAATGCCAATCTATCAAGTAATACTTCTTCTTGTTGCTTTGCCAAGTGCTTTCTTTCTCTTTCATAAATTTTTTCCAATTCCTCAATCTTATTAAGCTTAACATCAACCTTCGATAATGTATGGTTTACAATAGTGGCACCAATTTTATGCATTTCTCTTTCTTCGTAGCTTGAAAACAAGTGACTTCTAGCACCAATAATACCAAATGTAGTAGAAATTGCATCTTTTGCGGTCGGTTCTCTTTCGGACGAGCCATTCTGTTCGGTAGAAATTTGTTGTTCTTCCTCTTGAGATTCAGATTTCACTTCTTGACCCTTGTTATAAACCTCATCCACCTTCTTTTCAATATCTGCTTCGATTGCCTTTCTTGCTGCTTCACTTGCTGCTTTGGCAACATCACTATCAACCAATTTGGTCATAAAAGCCAAGTTAGCCAATACAGGATTGTCAATGGAGCTAACGGGATAATTTGGCGCATACTTCAACAACTTAATACTAGCTTCATCTTTAATTGGATTAAATCTGTCTTCAATTGGTAGTTTTAAAAACTTTAGTATACATTCTTGTACAGTCTTATTAGTACCAACTGCATCGGCAATTTTATACCAATCATTCTTAAAAGTTTTCACGGCATTGATTAATGCATCGTACTCATCATGTGTCCATCCATCATCAACCTTTTGTTTCTTCCTTTGATGATCTGAAAGGCTAGACTCATCAGATTCCAACCCATGTTTGTTACCATTTTGATCAGCTACAGAACCAGCTGAAGCAATTCCATTTGAATTATCAGTTGGTGTTCCCAACAATTTTTTCAAATTATTAACATCTATTCTATCCGGTGGTATTCTTGATGTATCAAAGGGAAAAAGGCCACGAGGGCTATCAAATTTCACATGGTAATCACCCGTGTATGGTAAATCAACCAGCTGACCATTGGGCAACTTTTCTATAGCATAACCAGGTTTGAACTGAGGCAGTACTTGATAATTGATCAATCCCCATTTATTAAGGAAGCGATGTATTCTCATCAACGTACCAACATCACCAACAAGGTTCCGACGACATGAAGTTAATGTCAAAAACTCATTGGGGTTTAATCTATAAGAGTTAATCATGAAATTTCTATAATTAACATAAATTTTAGGTGACTTGGAAGGATGATTAGTATCAAAGAACTCAGGTAAAGAGTCCTTCTCGATCTTATGAATCTTTTTCATACTGAACCAGCTAGCATATGAAGGTATAACAATCAAATGAGTTTGTTTAGTGTATGCTGGTTTTTCTTCTTCTTCTTCTTCTTCCTCCTCCTCTTCTTCTTCTTCCTCCTCCTCTTCTTCTTCTTCCTCCCCTTCTTTCTGTTCCTTCGCTTGCAGTTCAGACTGGGCTTGGACTTGAGCTTCTTGTTTCACCAATGGGTCTACAGTTTCGAGACTTTCTATCGCAGCAGACGCCTTCTCTTCTGTAGTTGTTTCTTTGTTTGACTCAGCTTTGTCGATAGTCTTTGACTCGTCAGGTTGAGAAACTTCTTGCTTCTGTTCACTGGCTACTTTATCAGCATTTATCATTTCAGTATCTTCAACTATGGCTTCTTCCTTTGACTCGTTAGTAGCTTCATTGGCTTCTTCCATTTCAACATCTTTGTCTTCTTGAATGTTGGAAATAACTTCAGTATCTTCAGAAATTTGCTCGTTATTTTTTTCTTCATTTTCATCAACCAAGAAAGACGCGTCAAAGTCATCATTGGACTTATCATACTCATCGACATTGAAGTCTGCATCAAAAGAAGGATCGTCTTGTTGAATGTTTCTCAATTCTTCGTCCTCTTCATCTTGAAAAGATGCATGGGAATCTTCCATATTGAAAGCAGAAATAGCATCTAAATCCATACCTTCTGATTCCTTTGCTTCGTTTTGTTCTTCTCCTGGAATTTCGCTGTTTTGTTTGCTATCTAAATCTGGTATATCAAGCAAGTCGGCTTCTTTATCACTATCAATAGTAGGTGAACCTTCTTCGGGTTCAATCTCACTTCCTTGTGGTTCAGGAACCGATTCTGCTTCTAGCTCAGAGTTCCCAGTATTTTCTGATTCTGAAAGTTGAACAAATTCAGAAGAACCTTTTTCTGGCCCCTGTTCAGATTCTGCATCTTGGTTCTCCATTAAAGATTGCTCTGACACAGGTCTTGATAGTTGCTCAGCTTGCTCAACTGTGGAAGACTCATCTTGATTTTCACCTTCTTGCTCTAATTGTTGCTCGGATCCCTGAGATTCTTCTGTAGAAGGTTGTTCCGTTTGATTATACACAGCATCTGTTGACTCTGATATACTAGGGTCTTCGGTTACTGGTTGTTCGTTTGAAGCATCTTCTTGTGCTTGTTCAATCTCTTGTTCTATTCCAAGTTCAGAATCTTCTTGTTGTTCATCAAGCTCTTCGCTTGGCTGCTCTGATTCTACTGGTCCTTCAATAGGTATTTCGACATCTTCTGATATATGTTCCAGCTCACCAATTTCATCATTTCCTTCTAAATTTGCTTCTACTTCGGAGGTAGGATTGATTGATGAGTCATCTTGATTTTGTTCTGTGGTGTCATTGATCCAGGCGGCAGGCTCTATTGAATTCTCGTTTGTATTTTCAGATGACATACTCAAAATAAAAGTAAACTGACGCGTATGAGGAAGGCAATGATAATTTAGGGGGGGTATGTGTTATATATTTGCAGCAATTGAAGTTTAACTATCGGTTTGAGTAACACTTACCAGGTGGTTGTCAATTCTTGTGGATAAAATCCTGTGGGAATAAATAACTCTTAGTTTGGTTGGATGATAGTAATTGGAATGACTCTATATGTTTATGCTTATGATTTACGCCTCTAAATCAGTACACAGCAAAGATGACCCGTGATTGATTGATGTATTAAGCGTTGCAAGTTTTGTGGATGTAAACAAACGTAAAATACTAAAAATTTTTGGTGGTTTTTTTTTCTTTTGTTGTTTGTCTCAACCTGGTGGAAAAATGTGTGGAAGTAAATTTTCGACCAATATACACGACCTGGCTGTTATTAAATAAGTATAGCCAGCACTGTTAAAATGTTGACTTTCCTGGTGATATGTGCAAATAGAAATGAAATGTTATCCGATTCCAACTATTCACAGATAGTTAGTGTTGAATTATTTTCCGATAGCTCGGTGAATATAGGTAACCACAATTGCTAAATTTAATTCGGAAATAGACAATATCTCCCTGATGAAGAATTATTAGCAACACAAGTAAGGACTAATCTTCTGTCTTTGTAGCGTATCAACTATTAAACTAAGCTTCCTTTGGTAATCTTAAAAACAGAATGACTCAGTTGTTGCAAATTTTTTTGAAACGCCTATCTCCACAATTTAAAACCGAGTTCCAAATTTCCACCTGTTTGACTCCTTATTTTTTTTTCCGTTTTGTAATTTCTTCGTCATCCAAATTGGTTGTTGGCGAATGCGCAATAATTCATATCACGTGATCGTGTAACTTTTTGGTGGCTTCTAGGATTACGGACAAGAAACTTTCTCCTTTGCTACCCGTACACATTGTTTACAATAACTGAAATTATGTGATTTGTATAAAGCTGGGATTAATTGATTGCCTCCACATACTTAATGAATGATTTTCCAACTTTTTTTTTCATCTCCTATGGTATACAACTAACTCGGTATCTCAGTTCAATTATGCACTTGTTGCTAATCTGAAGCTAAAGTTCTATGATTTGCCATCAAATAATTCCGTGAATATGACCTAATTAATTATTAACTTTACAAAATTAGAAAAGAGTTGGAGAGAAAAGATACAAAAAACTCAAAAACGGGGAAGGTGGATATTTATATAGAATTTATTAGTGATGCGAGTAAGTTACTCAGCGGTTTATTTTTAAAAAACCGCAAAAAGGGAGAGGAACAAGAAGAAAATTATTAAAAAAAATCGGACACTGCTGAATTTACATTCAATAAGAGTAAAAATTCTGCATCAAGTAAACAAGAGGAAAGAAGGGGGAGATAAATAATTAATTTTTGTTAACCGATTAATTGCATCGAGTGAACTTGTTTTGTTCAAACTACTATGTGGTCCACACTAAAATTTTAACTTTAAAGTTAATTATTTTTTTATATTTACTATTTTCATTATTTTTTTTTACAATGACACCTATAATAATAATACAATTTCTTTTCCTGTGCCTCAGGTATCTACTGGGTGATTATCAAATTGGAAAGGACAATTATCAAGAAACTAATTATTTCTGGGTTGAAACGATTGTTGGGCCAATCTTGGTTTTCTAGCTAGAACTCTTCGCCTTGTCGAATTTTTTATTGTATCACTTCTTGTTCGGAATCAGTTTACATTAAATATTTTCTGGCATTAAAAAATATTATATTTTTTTCTTATCACATACAGTTATTTTGCATATATTTTTTTTATTCGCTCTGGAGTAGGATGTATTAAAAGTAAGTTTTAATTCAGTAAATAGTTTTAAAGGAGGAGAAAACAAATGAATGGAAATAGAGTTCGAAATATACTAAGATACGTGACAAATCATTAGGAAAAAAAAAAAAAGAAGTCCATGTTGCAAGGGCCATTATTTTATTGAGCGAGATGTAAGTTTGAGGTTCGTTCTTGCTATTTAATATTTTTTTTAATGAATTTATTTGAATCGACATATACTTATCAGGAGGGCATTGTAACATCTAACTATTATAATATTTCTCTCTCCTGCGTTGTAACCTTCCCCTTGGATTTACTAAACTGTCAATCTATTTCCTTCATCCCCTTTTTGCTAAAGCTGGTTACCTAGTTTTGAGCAAAACTCGCTTTTTTGGTGTTTAACCGACGTCACCTGGATATTGATTCAAGGACCAAATACTAGTACAGCGAAAATTTCAGACATTTTTGTTTGTTCTTTCTGTTTGTACACAAACATAGAACTGGGTAAACGCATCAAGCGTATGTGTAACTATTGTGCATAATTGCAAAATAGTCAAAAAAAAAAAGCGAATCATTAGCACTTGGCTGTTTTCTTGCATATTAAACCATGCATTTCTCAAGTTAAACTCTATAGTCGAAATTAAGTCGATTCTTGGCTCTATATCTAAGCAAGATGTTTCATCTGATATTAGAAAGATACTTTGCTTATACGAAAGTATTACTCGAGTAGAAATGTGGGTCAATCCCATTTGGAATACAGAACAATGTATCTACACTTAAAATGATCTTAATTTTTCGTATCATAACAAACTTTAACATCCGTGTAGTTATTTTCGTTCCTTCCTAACCCTTTGGATTTATAATGTTTCTGCGCTTAAATTACCAGTAATGATATCCATAATGGGGCTATTTTTATCAAGTAGTTGGCTTTTTTGTATGATTTTGCAATTTTTTTTGAACAAAATATAACATCCCAAAGTAATAGATTTAGAATATGTTGCCTGTCTTCTATATAGTATGTAGTACTAAAAACAATAATTGTTCAATACCTCAAACATAATTCTAATGCGACTGCAAATGATATGGTATAGTTTAGTATACGATGCACTACAGCTCGTATACTATTTTGCACTGCCAGCCACGTCAATGACGAGTAACCATAATATCTAAACAAAAATATTCTGTACATACTGGTAAATAGCAGCACGTATAACAAGTTCTAAAATACACACTACAGCTTAGACTACATTTTCGACTTAATCCCTAGACAGAAATATGCCTGAATCAAAAAAAATACTCAAACACTATGAATAGGTTATACGTTCAGTGCATCATAACAATCACGTGAAGAGAGTTAGGGCTCGATACCTAAACACTATATGCAGTATACAAAATACACAACATACACATTCTTACTAGTTATTGCGCGCATAAAAGGTACACAACATCCAAACACCAATACATTCAATTATAGCAGCCATCGAATTTTTTTTTTCTCTCTTCTGTTCAATACTACACACACTAACAATCGCATACTCACTGTGAGGGAAAAAAACTTCTAGTAAAAGTTTTAATTTTTCATTGATTTTTTATAAAGTTTCCTCTTTTTGATACTAGTAAATAACTGAATTAAAGGTCAACAATGGTTCGTTACGCTGCTACTCCTGCCAACCCAGCCAAGTCTGCTTCTGCTCGTGGTGCTTACTTAAGAGTTTCATTCAAGAACACCAGAGAAACCGCTCAAGCCATTAACGGTTGGAAATTAGAAAAGGCTCAAAAATACTTGGACCAAGTCTTAGACCACCAAAGAGCCATTCCATTCAGAAGATACAACTCTTCTATTGGTAGAACCGCCCAAGGTAAAGAATTTGGTGTTACCAAGGCTAGATGGCCAGCCAAGTCCGTTAACTTCGTTAAGGACTTATTAAGAAATGCTCAATCTAACGCTGAAGCCAAGGGTTTAGACTCTTCCAAGTTAGTTATTTCTCACATCCAAGTTAACCACGCTCCAAAGCAAAGAAGAAGAACTTACAGAGCTCACGGTAGAATTAACGCTTACCAATCCACTCCATCCCACATTGAATTAACCTTGACTGAAGAAGATGAAGCCGTTGAAAAGGCTGCTGAAACCAAGAAGGTTAGATTAAACACCAGACAAAGAGGTAGATTGGCTTCTCAAAAGCGTTTAACTGCTGCTTAAATTTCTTTTGTCATGTCCAAAATATAATAATGAAAAAATAATATAAGAAGCAAAAACCAACCATCACACCAACCTACTCCCTATGATTTGGAATCAGTGTACAATTCAATCAACATTTCCCAATAATATATAATACATATTATAAATATATATTATCCGTGTTAATATTTATTGTTTTTTTTGTCAGGATGATACATTCAGTTTACAACAGAGGAATATATACTACTAATCGAAGAATGAAGTGTACGATATGATGCTTTGCATCTTCACATATGATCCACTTGAGTAGTAGTTTATATCCTGTTTGACTTGACTTTGTAGAAATTGTAGAAAGTAAGCCCCCCCCCCCCCCAAAAAAAAGTAGTACTACGCTATAAGAGATAAGGAGATATATGGAAGAAGCCAAGGAAACATCAACATTATGAACTACAGGGAAGTACCACAATTGCAGGAAGTATAGTTGTCTCAGATTGCTACGTTATGACGAGAAATATATTATGACTGCAAATAACCTTTGAGTAAACACTCTCGCGGTGATTCTTCTCATTCTAAAAGAAAACCAAACTAACGTAAACTCTCTTTTTCTATGTAGCTAGATTACATTGAAAAGGTTAAACTTGTAAACTTGCGGTCCATGGAAGGTTGTAAAATATTGTGGTATATACTAGAGCAAATCAATATATTTTTAAAGATCACGTAAAAAAAACACAAAAACTAAAGTGCTGTCCAAAGTATTACGTTGTCTTGTCAATGAACTCGCTCGCCAATAAGGCTCCATTGGAAGAAGAAGACCCAGTGATTCCTGGATAACTTCAAGAGCTTCAAAGTAACTCACAGCTTGTTGTATGAGATTAGAATATTCCTAGATCTGCAGAACAGGTAAACCAGAAGAACAATCGGCAATTTTTACTAGATTAAACTTTTACAGCTGTTTTGTTTGATTGCCACATCCCCAAAATAAATAAATCATAGATTCGGTTTACTTACTTTCCGAGCCCAGGTTTTAAAATATATATATATATTTCGCATAATGACCCTATCAAAAAATAGAGGGACAGATACAGATTGGCATGGCTTGGCATTGTCCCATTTCCTGATTGCTCTGGGAATCAGCAGCCAAATTAAAAATCAAGATTTGACAGGAAACAGGGCACCAATACATAATCGAGATACAAATATGTCTTCTGATCCGGAATTAAAATACATTGACAACCGATGGCTTTACTTTCATGGCTTAATGATAGATCAAACGTCTCGACAGATTGTTTTGAACACTCCAAATACAATAGTAGATCAGCTTGGTGATACTCAGATAAGACAACTAGCAAGAAAGCAGCGGGCTCTCAAAAGCAGTAAATTTTTGCATTTCAAGTATCCCAGTTTAATAGAATTTGTCGCTGTTGAACCATTGTATCTCAAATATTGTCAAGACGAATTTCTAGTTAGAAGGAAAGAACAAATCCCAGAATGGGAACTTTTAAAAGGAAAGAAAGTCTTGGGTACTGAAGTTGTCAATGAGAGAATGAAAGTTGTAATTTATATTGATGAAGTTGATGATACACCAATTCCAAAGGAATCAGTAAGATACTGGAAATCAGAAAGAATTCTCGAGGACTGCTACCAGTCGATCCAATTTTCTCAAAGTTACCTGGAATCAATCACAAGATCGTTGAATTCAACTTATAAGAATGAAGGAATATATCTTTATCTGAAAATCACGCATGAAAGGAACAATAAACAAAAATTAAATACTACAATTCAATCATGTTTAGAAAGGAGCATTGACGAACAAAACTCAAACATGCGTGAGATGTCTATATACTATTTTGATTGCTTTTCTTTGTTTTATCAGATACTTGTATGTGTTGACTTGGATCTTATTATGGGAGAGACTAAAACGAAAATAGAGACTCTAAAGACACCACAGTTAGATCTCGATGTCAAACAACAAGCTTTGAAGGATCTATTCGTTGATTTTATGTCAAAGAACATCATTCTTTTTGTTCAAATACTAGTGCCTTATTTAGTCAATCTAGAAGATTCTACATTTCTTGATTGTTTTGATTGTTTGAAGAGATTAGATGTATTGAAAAATTTTGCAATATCATGTATGCTACTAGAACTCGACCAGGGAATATTTATATCCCTTATGTCCAGCGCAAGTACCACCTTGAATGACAAATATGAAGGATGGAGAATACTACAAATAATCTATGAGCAGAAGAAGAAAGAAGTTCTTCAGAACATATTAGAGAATGGAAACAGTAAAAATATTGAATTACCCAGTCTAGCTGAATTAAATGCTACTCACGATATGGCACCCTTTGTTGAACAAACTGCAAATTCTCCTCTTGATGCTGCTGGCAGTAGATATAAGGAGACGTCTATCCTGGCTACCGATAACTCCGCAAGTTTAGAACAAATAGTGATTTTGAGTGACAGTGAAGACGAACAAGATGCAATAACTACAGTTCCAGCCCCAGTATCAACCTCAGTCCCAGAACCAGCCCCAGCAATTGAAAATGATTCATTATTACCTTTGTCATCCGAATCACCAGATAAATATTGTAAGGGGCCAGATTTTTCTGGACTTTACTCATGCAGTTATGATGGTTGTGATTTTCAACTGTATAAGAGATTTGACATGCGCAAACATATTAAGAGGCACCTAGGCACAAGGTATAGGTGTATTCAGTGTTTGAAAAAGTTTGACGATATCCCAAAACTTGAACTGCATGTAGAAAGTCACGAAGTTTTGGTTGAACGCGTTTTACCCCAGCATCCGTTAGACGAATACTGTCACGGTCCTGGACCCAGATGCATTTACACCTGTATCTATGACGATTGCGGAGAACGGATAACTTTTCGAGTAAACATGCATCTTCATATCCAAAGCCATTTACAAGAATCAAATTTACCCATTGAGTGTCTACATTGTTGTAAAAGATTCAAGTCTATTAAACTATTGAGCACCCATCTCAGATTCAACCACCTGGACATTTTGGAACAATTTACACATGTTCAATTCAAAAACTATTACAATGACTACAACAAAGTTAATGGGTACAAATGCACATACAATAATTGTGGGACGTGCTTCACTAGTAAGCTTGTTATGGAGCATCATATTACCAAGCACTTGAACGAAGAGTAAACAAGTGCATCTGCTCTTGCAATGTGTATTAGTCAGTGTATACTACGAATTAGTCAGACAGGTAAGATTAAGGGTTGAATATAACATGTACATATGGGGAAATTTTCTGATTTCCAGCTACGCTTGGAATAGTAAAAGTCTATGTATTGCTTAGTGTGTAATTTTTTTTTGCAGTTATTATTTTTCCTTAGTGTGAATCTAATATCCTGCATAGAGATCCAACCAATAAATGATTAGGAAAAATCGATTTACTAAGATTTTCATTTCCAGTGCGTAGAAAAGTGAGAAACAAAATTGAAAATTGGCAACACTATTAACATAACACTTAGTCTATCAATCAATACAAAATGGGTGGATTACCAGAACCTAGAACTTATTTGGGATGGTGGGGTCATTTAGGATCCCCAAAGCAAAAGTATATTACCCAATATACTATTTCTCCTTATGCTGCTAAGCCATTCAAGGGTGCTGCTTACAATGCTGTTTTCAACACTTTTAGAAGAACCAAGAACCAATTCCTTTATGTCGCCATTCCTGCTGTCATTGTTTGGAACATCTGGACCAATGCCAGAGATTATAATGAATATTTATATACTAAAGCTGGTAGAGAAGAGTTGGAGAGAGTTAATGTTTAGAATGAGACGAAATTTCTCAAATATCATAAAGCATCAACAAAGTAGAGATATTAAGGCTATCTTTATTATACATAGTTAATACGATTTCAAATATATTATTATTAGTTTGTTCAAATTTTATTTTGCATTATGTGTACTAAGACTGAATAATTTAGCTATGGAAGAGGTATATTTACTTGGATCTTTTGTAGACCTTTGCTAAGAAGGCATATAAGACTTCCTTCTTTAATCCTCTGGATTCGTCAATTTGTTCGATTTGTTCCTTCAATTTAGCAACAATTGATTCTTCATATTCGTGGTAGATCTTGGAGATACCCATTTCATTGAACAAATCCTTACATTTTTGTTCGCTAACATCATCCTTCTTACCGTAGTTTTCATCTAATAACTTACGTTGTTCAGGACTAGCGTGCAAAAGAGCTTGGTTGACAACCCAAGAACACTTGTTATCCTTAATATCAGTACCAATCTTACCGATTTGTTCTGGAGTACCGAAACAATCCAAGTAATCATCTTGAATTTGGAAATATTCACCTAATGGAATTAAGATACCTCTAACTTGTTTCAAATCTTCTTCGCTACTAATACCACTCATGTACATGGATAAAGCAACTGGCAAGTAGAATGAGTAGTAAGCAGTCTTGAAGATAACAATGAACGAGTGTTTGGCTAAAGAAAACTTGTCCAAATCAACAACTTCTTCATCAGCAGTAACCAAGTCTAATAATTGACCCAATTCAGTTTGGAAGGTAACTTCATGGAACAAATCTAACAAGTCAACATAATAGGAATCTTGACGGAAATGCTTCTTTAATAAGACGTAAATAGCACCTTCTAACATAAAGGAATCGTTAATAGCGATATTGTTAACACCTTCAACCAAATACCAACATGGTTGACCTCTTCTAGTCTTTGATTGATCCATCATATCATCAGCAACCAAAAAGTATGCTTGTAACAATTCAATTGCCCAACCTAAAATAGCGACCTTCTTGTATTCTTCATCCGACAATTTGTCAGCGGTAGTGTTGTTCAAGATAGCATAGGTATCAACAACAGATAAACCTCTGTTTAACTTACCACCTGGAGTATTGTAATCCAAATTACGAACAAACCAATCGATAGCTTCTTGTGGCATCTTGTAAGAGATCAAGATCTCTTTTAATTCTTCGACTAAACCGTCAAAGACATTAATGAATCGTTGTTTAGCAGCAGCTTTGTCAGACATGGTACTTGGTAACACAGAGAAAGAACGAATCAAATAAAGTATGCAAATTTGCTGAAAATAAACGCTGGAAAAAAAAAAGCGTTAAACGAGCGCGTTGACTATTTTACGAGATTATGCGACAGGAGATTTACAAATGATTTATATCTATTAAACGCCAAGTTATTTAATGTCTTCTACTACGTTTACTTTTACCCGGTCTAGAAGACTTACCTTTCATTTTCTTAGCATTGAATCCACTAATATCAGCTGACGAACTTGCATCGTTTTCTCGACTTAATCTCTTTTTACCTCCAAATCCATATTTGGCATCCTTGGCTAATCGCTTAGAGTTTGGTTTTCTTCTCTTGTTATCACCACCAGCACCACTGGTAGCTTCTTCTAATGCAATTTGGAAATCATCATCATTACTTAATTCGTTAGCACCTCTCTTCTTCTTTATAGACTTAATTTTTTCCAAGGTTTCTCTCTTTTGTTTAGCTCTTTCTTGTAAAGTTGCATTTTGAACTTGCTTACCGAATTTCTTTAAATGTCTTTGCTTCTTTGCTTCTTCGGATGCCTTCTTGTTGGCGGCTTCAGTCAATAATTTGCTCTTTAATTTATCCATATGTTCGTCACTCTTTACCATTTCAGCAAAGTAGTCCATAGGTCTAGAAAATGGCACTTTCAATTTCAAAAGAGTAACTCTTGCTTGTTTAACAGCATCCAATCCTTGTTTATAGAATGCTAATTCTCTTTCAGTATCATCGTAAATATCTTTGATTCCTGCTTCAGACTTTTCGGCACTAACAACAGATTGATGTTCAGTAAATGCATGCTTGTCCCAAGGTAATTCAATACGAGCTAAGGATTCTCTTAATGCAGCCATGTTATTTATGGTTAACTTTGTGTGAGGGACAACATCAGCATCTTCATCGATTTCAACGTCTGATAATGGAACATCTTCTTCTTCTTCTTCAACTTCTTCGTTGTCATCTTCCTCTTCTTGATCTTCATCATCTTCATCATCTTCTTCGTCATCATCTTCACCGTTGATGTCACTTTCACTATCACTTGCAGCCAATCTTTCCAAATCTAATTCTTCTTCATCTTCATCTTCATTTTCGTCATCTTCTTGTTCTTCTTCTTCTTCCTCTTCTTTTTCCTGCTCAGCTTGTAACTTCTTTAATCTTCTTTGCTCCTTCTTGGATAAAACATCACTTTGATATTCATCCTTCTTAACCTTCTTTTCCTTCTTTTGCTTAAGAATAGGTTTTGGAGCTTCAACTTTTTCCTTTACAACAATTTCTTCCTTTTGCTTAATTACAGGCTTGGATCTGGCCTTATCAATAGCATCAACCAATTGTTGGTTCTTTAATTGTTGTTTTAATAATCCTCCTTTAGCCATTTTGTGAGATTATGATGATATAGTACCAAAGAGATGAATCGTAGCAAAATGAAAAATTTATTTTAGGATGCGCGATGGGCAGCACTGGTCATTATGAAACTGATTTTTTTTTTTGTACTAGTGCACATTTATTTTTGTTAGTATATTGTACTATCTAATATAGTCTATTTCGTTAAGGAACCTCTTACCACCTCCGTACTTCCACCATCTTGGAAGACAGCTATAAACATCCACATCAATAGGTTTTTTAATCTTCTCGGATGTTCTTGGTTCGCAAATGCATCTTTTTGAAGCGCGAACTTCACCAGAACCAGGGCAGGATAAATAAGGAGCATGATAATACCCAATATCTTCGAAATGATGGATTTGGTTCTTGTCTAGAAGAATACTTAAACCGATTGTGTGAACAGGAGCATCTCCCCATCTCTCATAGTAAAAGCCCCCGGATTTATCTAAATAATCGAAATATCTCCCATACGCTTCACTACGAAAGAAATTAAGATTGGCTATTTCAAAATTTGACCAAAAGTGACAAAGATTATAGTCTGAACTTGATGGAATCAAGTCAATATAACTGTTTAAAGAATTCTCATGAGTTGTAATAAAATCAAGGGAGTTATTTGGATGAATTAAGTCGGGATTTTCTTTCATAAATGACTCCACGGTTGGCCAAAGAGTAGGAATTGTGTTTTCATATTCAAGGAAAGTTACAATGAACCCATACATTTTATTAGTAGTTCGAAGCAATTCAAATGGATCATATTGGAAATCACACATGTATTCTACATCTGGTTCAACTCTGAAATACCATTCATAATCTAATAATCTTTTCTGACGATAAAAGTAACCCGAATTGAAATGGCACATGTTTCTATATGACCGATAGCTTCCATATATTATATGATGCGACAGGTCCAAACTTTCTTGTAGTTTAGTTTCATTGATAAACTTAGGAGCTTCCCAATCTTCTTCAGGGATCAATTCATGATAAACTTTACCACTGGCCATCAATGTTGTCTTTTCAATAAATTCATCGCTAAACGGGACCTCGTTTAAAAACACCCATGGATATTTGTAATGTCTATTGAACCTGTCTTCAAGCGATCTCATTGACTTGAGAGCACCTTCAAGTTCTGAATTACGACATAACATAACAAGTGTGGCATTTTCTTTGCCTATTTGTTGTCGTGCACCTTTGGGATACTTTACATCCAAATAGGAGTTACTGGCTAGTTTGGGTGCATGTTTCTCAAGTGGGTTATATGATGGAAATTCAATTGATTGTAGGAGTTGAGATTTAGATCTATTCTCAAAGTACTCTACAGAATAATAGTAGTATACTGCTAGTATGATCCCTAGTATAAATGTGTGTCGTATCATGGTTGAAGTTGCTGCCAAAGGTTATTTTTTTTTAGACTGATTCCGATTTCTGTACCTGTACTAAGTCTAACTAAGACAACAATAATTAACCTTTATAAAAACAAGAAAGACCATTCAAGGCTAGTTAGACATGGTAGAGCAAGTTATACCTATTTCTCGTTCAGATTTATTAAACTTCAGGAGGAGATTTTTCTTAAAAACACAAATTGGTTGTAAAGATAATAGCACGTTAGAAGTCGCGTTGCAAAATGTGCCACCACAAGAGATTCAAAGACCATCACATTATACCAATAGGTTTATATCAATGTGACTAGCATTCACACCTCTGAATCAATAGATTGAAAGAATATTATCTCAATCGAGTCAATATTCCTGTTGCAAATCAGACAACTCCAGAATGTTCCAATAATTAAGCAAATCCTTACCAATGGAATATTCAAAAAAAAAGAGTGCTCTTATATAGAATAACTCCCGACAGCATGAATTCAGAATCTATATCAGATTAGAACCAATATAAAGTTGTAACTTTCCATGGTTGCAAGGATTAGGCAACTCTGATTCTGCTGGTACTTAGAAAATGCATAACATTAAGCGAGGAATATCGAGGCTGAGATATACACGTATTTTCATTATGAAAACAGTCAAAATCATGTTCTATCGTACATCTTGCTACAGCAATTTACCGAATCATTTCATTAGTATTGCAAAATCCATATGGCAGCAAACACTGGTGTGCACATAACAACAAGCGAAAAAACTTTCCACCCAATGACATCAAGGGAAATCCAATTACTACTCACCCCTTCTCAATTAGGTAAGCTGCTTGAAAAAAAAACCTCTGTTGTTTTAGTGGGAGAAAATAAAAAAAAACATCAGCAACCAATATTGAAGCATTGGAAACCAACTAAATCAACATGCTTCGTAATTTGAAGATAGAGCAACGTGTTCTTACACGTAGTTTAGCTACCATGGCTGATCCAGCTGCCAATCCCCATCGTATATACGGTGGATTGAAAGATCAAGACCGTATTTTTCAAAACGTTTATGGAACTTATGGACATGACTTGAAATCTGCTCAAAAGATGGGTGATTGGTATAAGACCAAGGAAATCATCTTAAAGGGCCATGATTGGATCATTAATGAGATGAAGAAATCCGGTTTAAGAGGTAGAGGTGGTGCTGGGTTCCCCTCAGGTCTTAAATGGTCATTTATGAATCCTCCAGGATGGGACAAGAACGTCGGACCAAGATACCTTGTTGTTAATGCCGATGAAGGGGAACCAGGTACCTGTAAAGATAGAGAAATTATAAGAAAAGATCCTCATAAATTAGTTGAAGGATGTTTATTAGCAGGTAGAGCCATGAATGCAACTGCAGCATATATTTATATTAGAGGGGAATTTTACAATGAAGCCGTCATTTTACAAAATGCCATTAATGAAGCTTACAAGGCGGGATTAATTGGTAAGAATGCTTGTGGATCCGGTTATGATTTCGATGTTTATATCCATCGTGGTATGGGTGCTTATATTTGTGGTGAAGAAACCGCTTTAATTGAATCTATTGAAGGTAAAGCTGGTAAGCCAAGATTAAAGCCACCTTTCCCAGCCGGTGTTGGTTTATTCGGTAGACCAACCACCGTTGCCAATGTTGAAACCGTTTCCGTTGCCCCAACTATTTTAAGAAGAGGTGGTGATTGGTTTGCTTCCTTTGGTAGAGAAAGAAACCAAGGTACCAAATTATTCTGTATTTCCGGTCATGTTAACGAACCATGTACTGTGGAAGAAGAAATGTCTATTCCATTGAAGGAATTGTTGGAAAAACATTGTGGTGGTATTGTTGGTGGTTGGGATAACTTACTAGGGGTTATTCCAGGAGGAAGTTCTGTTCCTGTCATGACTAAAGAAACTTGTGAAAATGTATTGATGGATTACGATGCATTAAGAGATGTTGGATCAGGTTTGGGTACTGCTGCTGTCATTGTTATGAACAAACAAACCGATATCATTAGAGCTATTCAAAGATTCTCTCATTTCTATAAGCATGAATCATGTGGTCAATGTACTCCATGTCGTGAAGGTACTACTTGGTTACAAAGAATGATGGATAGATTTGTCAAGGGGCAAGCCACTGAAAAGGAAATTGATATGATTTTCGAATTGACTAAAGAAATTGAAGGTCATACAATTTGTGCTTTGGGTGATGCTGCTGCCTGGCCAGTTCAAGGGTTAATTAAATCATTCAGACCTGTTATGGTTGATAGAATTAACCAATTTAAGAAAGAAAATGATTCTGTTGTGCCTGGTGGTTGGGTCACTGGAGGTAAGGTTAAAGATGGTGTAGTTATTGATAACCCAATGCCAGCCAACCATTAAAGAAACGCATACCTTTTTTTGACACATTTTCCTGCATTTATAGCGAAGGGGCAGGAGAGAATAACTCCTTCAAAACCCCCCATAAACGACTGTATTAAACAAAATATACAACAAATAACGAGAAGAAGAAGAAGTAGTAGTAGTAGTTAGAGTCTAGTTGGGTAAGATATAGCTCTCTTGGTTATTACCTTGATTTATTTATAACGTTTCCTTTTTTTTTCCCCCATAAATATATAATTCTTACGTAAAAGTCACTACCTGTTGGCGCTACTGTAAACCCACTTCAAAATGAACTGATGTGTTACGATTACATTGACAAATCCGAGGCTAAAGAAAGCCAATTACGCAATTATGAGCCGCACCGACTGTACCTGTCAAACGAGAAGTAAAAAAAAAAAAAACTTCCCTCATCAAACACCGCCAAGGCAAAGCAAGAAAAAAGAAACAAAACAAAATGATAAATAAAACAAGGCACTGGTTACGGAACCACATTAGATCTCAAATTTCCACAATTGAAATATCATTCTAAAAACGAAAATAAAAAAGTTTATCTTTTTAGAGTACCCTATCTTCCAGATTTTCGTTTCCCATAGAACTACCATTATAGATCCACGTCTATTGTTTCAGTTTGATTCAAGCAAAATAGAAAAAAAAAAAAACTCCGAAGCACTTTTTTTTTGTATACAACTTATTCCAACTTCCCCTCCTTTGCATTAGTTCCCTTTTGACCACAACATAACAGATACACACCCTATGAAAATTTCCAAGTTAATACTAGCATTAGCCTTGACTACTTGTTCCCTTGCGGTAATAGACACACCAGTTGAAGAAGCTGCTGCCTTAGCAGCTCCGGCCGCTGCACCAGCTGCTGCGCCAAGATCAGGAAACAAGATGGTCACCAGTGGAAGTGATTCTTCTGATGATGATGTTGTCGAAAGTGTTAGATATCACGACAGCAAGAATTCCGAAGACGAGAACGCGGTTGAATCCAATTCTAATGCATTCATTATGTCTATTTCTATGATTATTGTTTCCGAAATCGGTGACAAGACATTTTTAATCGCAGCATTGATGGCTATGAGAAATTCACGGTTAGTGGTATTCTCAGCTGCCTTTTCATCTCTTGCTGTTATGACTGTTTTATCTGGTATTGTTGGTCACGCGTTACCTACTTTGATATCTCAAAGATTAACACAATTTTTAGCATCCGTGTTGTTTGTTGTTTTCGGTATAAAATTATTAAAAGAAGGATTAGCAATGTCCAAGGATTTAGGTGTTGAAGAAGAATTGGCAGAAGTGGAAGAAGAAATTGCCACCAGCAAATTAAACCACCAGTTGAATGACATAGAAGGAGGTGGTAATGTATCTTCTGCTACTAAAAACAAGGCTTGGTATGCTGAATTTGGTCAACAAGTTGAAGACTTAGCTTCATTTGTTCTTAGTCCAGTGTTTATTCAAGTGTTTGTCATGACATTCTTGGGTGAATGGGGTGACAGATCACAAATTGCAACCATTGCTATGGCTGCCGGTTCCGAATATTGGCTAGTAATCATGGGTGCTATCATCGGTCATGGTCTTTGTACTGCTGCTGCATGTATTGGTGGTAAATTATTGGCTAAGAAGATTTCCATGAGAAACGTTACTTTAGGAGGAGCTATTGCATTCTTTATTTTCGCCATGTTGTACTTTTATGACGCCTATTATTACATTGAAGAGTAAGCAAATTGTCTTAATAATTCTATACATATATAAATTCTTTTATCTTTTTTTTTATATTTGACCCTGATACATAAATTTTAATACTTGATTTGGATGTAAACCCTTCTTGTTCCCTGCAGTAAGTTTGATCTCAAGTTCTTCACGTTGGTTTTCCAACTCTTTCTTTTCTTGGGCTTCTTTCTTTCCCTCAGTCGTTTCCAAGAAATCTAATTCTTCTACAGTATGGAATCCATAAAATTGAAATTCATCCCGTAATTCTTGCACTTTGGCAAAACACCATTGAGCTAATTCATCATATTTTTGCAAATTCATGGATGTTTGAGCAGATTCGGATTCCGACTTGGCCAATGCAGTAGTAGTCCATTCATCTACTTCAGGTAACGCCTTCTTACGTAATAATGTAGTTAATAATCCTTCTTGAGCACTTGTTGGGAAATTAGGTACAGGATAAACATTTGTATTTCGAAGAAGGTCTTCGTTGCTGTACAAGATCGATGCTATTGAAGTTAATTGTGTAATTAAAACCTGAAATTGATTTTGAAAATGGGAATATGATGGAAGTTTGATCTTGTTTGGATGTCGATTATGTCCATTAATTTGATCGGCTAGTTTACGCAATGACAAGTGGATTTGGTTTAGTCTGTTCCTTATCGATTCTAATGAATCCGTTGGAATTTGAGAAAAGTCAGGCGGAGGATGTTGAGTCACTTGTTGATGTGTTGAGTTTGGTGTGCTGATATTAAATGGAGTTTGAGTTTGACTCATTGTTGATGGTGTAGTTTAGACAGTTGAAGAAATACTGCTAAAAAAAATTGAAATTATGTAGAGCAAAAAAAAACACAAACAAAAAAACAGTTGATTATTATCAAAATTGCTTAACAAACCATGATTCGAGGCAATTGGAGTTTGGCTGGAGAATTGAGAAAAAATGAACGATCCCAGCAAGTGAAGGTCCAGAAGAGACAAAAACATCAACATAAACTTACAAAACTTAAAGACATAGACCCTATAAAGCTATATCATCGCATTAAAAATCTTGAAGATAAATCTGAGAAAACAGAACGTGATGACAACTATTTAAAGTCTCTTAAAGAAGATTGGGCATTCATAGAGAAAAACAAACTTCATGAATCAAAGATTAGAACTTTTCTTGACCAACAAGAAAAAGATGAGAAAAAAAGAAAGAAAGAATCAACAAAACTCTGGGGTCTGAAGTCGGTGTATTTCAATCCAGAATTGAACCCGCTTGGGAAAGTTCCTCAACTGGAAAGCCTTGTTACCAAACTCAAACACCCATTAACTAATATTACAACACCATTGAAGAAAGATCAAACCAAGAAATATGAAATTGATCCTTTGATCAAACAATTGAATATCAAGTGTCCTCCAGAAGATCCGCCAAAATTCTACAAATTTGTACAAAATACCACAAAACCAAAAGTGAAACCTGCCGAAGAGCAACCACATTTAGTTTCGGAAAATACGGAATTAAATCATGAACTGTCAAGTGAAAATAGTGCTAACGATGATTCTTCAGATGACGAAGGAGTTTCCAAACGAATAAAACTAGGTTAACTGAATGTATTATTAAAACTAACTTCCTACTCTATCTACAGGCATATATTACATTTGGAAAATGCTATAAAACACGCAGTTAATCTAAAGCACCATTAATACCCACATCTACCGAAATATCAAATAAAGTAAATCAAAAAATCAAAAAAAAGAAAAAACCAAAATATGTACACGAATCAAAATATTATTGTTCTTTCGTTGTTTGTGAATAAAATGGATGCTGAATGAAAGATACAATCATGACAATAAGCGGACTACTAATTCCCAAGTACCAAACATGATAATGGAGTTTGGAACAGTTCTTAACAAGTGTGGAGTTAATCCACCATACATACTTGCAAACCCTTCCTCCTTCAACACTAATTTGAAAGCTTGGATTAACCCTGTGTATTTTGGTTTACCCGTGGATTCAAGTGGAGCTTGTCTCAATCGAGTTCTAACAACTTCATGTGGATAAGTAATCAAAGATGCTATGAATTTGGCTGCACCAGCAGCTCCTGATCTTGCACACCATTCCATAATGTTATCTTTGGTTGTCTTTGTAGCTCCATTAGCCCCATGTAATTCCAATGACCTCTTATTAATAAACATTCTCATTTGCTCATACAATACCCATTGGATAGTTGATTCAATACCACCTAAATACGAAGCACTTAATCCTCGATAAAGGCTGAAAAATCCCTCATTTTTCAACACATACTTAAGACAATCCCAAGAATTCTTAAAGTGTTTCCCCTTAGTCTGATCCAATTGCAAACGAGTTTTAATTAACCAAATAGGGTTAGTTGCAGTAGATGTAACAAACCCAGCATTAATACCCGACGTTAAATGCATCCAAGTTTCTTCCTTACCTCCAAAATTACGTACAAGAAATTCTTTGGTGGCTCCATATGTGAAAAAATTTATCGATCTTGCAGGTATTACACCCACCAAATTAGGCCCTAACCCTTTGAACAATGCAGATGGTCCTTCATGAACATATAACCCTTTGATTGCACTTCCAGTTTCAGCCAAATGTTGGAATGCCTTAAGTATAGGGTTTCCGGATTTAGGGGTTTTATTATAAATATTATGGAATGAATCTGATTGTAATCTAGTTTTCACCACGTCCAAAGGACAGGTAGCAATAGCACCAGCAGTTCCACCTATACCACCTGCTATGAAATGAACCCAAGGCTTGGTTTTTGGTTCTTGAGTCACAGACAGTTCAGTGTGTCGCACTTCAAACTCTTCTCCCGCAGCTCTGAATGTAGAGGATTTTTCATCAGAACCTAGAAAATGGTATGCTTCCTCTGCATCCTTTTGCAAAACCTTAAGCTTCTCCTCTTTGCTCAAGGCCATATTTTGTGAAATGGTTTTTGATTCTCGTTTAATATGTACAAGGTTGTTACGAGACTGTGGCAAATACAACTACATATACTTAAAAAAAAAGGTTCCAAACAAAATCGAAAATTTTTTATGAGATGCAACATTCTTTGGTGCGGCTCGTGATGTTTACCTTACGGCGATATATTACAATCTAATTAGAAAGATACTAACTTGGAGCAAAATTACTAAGGAATGAAATCAATTGCCGTTTCTTGTTCCAGATGTACTCTATAAAGACTCCTTCAGTTATTTGTTTTGGTTGGAGAACCCCATCTAAAACTAGGACTATAAACAAAGAAGCAGCCATTAACTCAATGGAGCTGGTTTTGAAATCGTCTTCTAGATCGTTTTCATAATAACCAACTCAGAACCATCATTTTGACGGTTACCTTACTCAATCTCTATAATTATCGAGGCAGGTGCTAGATAATCTTGATAAATCCATTTACTTTGTCAATAATTCAATTGTAGTTTTATTGATACATAAACTAAATACCAGTTATACATTATTATACAAATATTATAGTAGAAATCAAGCATAAACATAACATAAATGTGTTTATAGAAATATCAGAGGCTAAACCTTCAAACCCTTCAAGCAATTCTTCTAGATCTGGATTAGCATTCAGTGTGTCATCATAATCTGGTGATGTTGGATTAGCAGTTGCAACTAAAACTTCAGGAATACCATCAGGAATTTCATTTTGTGGAACAGTAGTTGTATAAATTACTGGAATAGATGTTTCATAGGTGGTGCCATGTGATACTATAGTTGTAGAAACAGCGCTTGTGTAACTGAACACCTTTGTGTCTTGTATCAATTCTTCGTCATTTTGTAATGAAGGATCATTTGGATTACCAACAGGAGCATTAGCATTTTCTGTACTGTTTGGATCATCACCAGAAACTGGAGCTTGTAATTCTTCTGTCTGGTTTGAGTTAGTTGTTGGGTCATTTGGATTTTCCGGTCTGCTTACATCCTCAGTTGGATTGAAGTTAGCTGGTACATTTGGAGCACCTTGAGAAGTATTAGAACTAGATGGACTATTTGTATTAGCATCGGGATATTGCACTTGAAGTTCTTCATTCTGTTCTAGATTAGCAGAAGAATCATTTGAGTTTGCTGGAGCATATGAATTACCTCCTGAAGGTGGAGTTTGAAGTTCTTCTCCTTGTTCGAGATTGACATTTCCTGGAGTAGTTCCTCCTGGCTGAGAACCGGTTGGGACTGGTGGGTAAACTGGAGGATAGGAAATTGTGGTAACATAGACAGTGTTAGCACCAGTAACTGTAGTAACAAATGGTGGAGGAACATATGGTCCTGTAACAGTAGCTACTAAAGTAGTGTCAGGATATACAATTGTAGTAACCACAACTGGTGGGTTGTATGGTCCAGTAGTAACATAAGTAGTGTATGGGTTTGTAATGGTAGTAACAACACCTGGTGGAACATATGGAGGAGTAACTGTGACAACATAAGTAGTGTCAGGGTTCACAATTGTAGTGACAGTAGGTGGTGGATAGTATGGATTAGTAACTGTGGTGACATAAGTAGTGTCAGGGTTTGAAACAGTGACTGTGACAGGAGGATTATATGGTTCAGTAATAGTAGTAACATATGAGCTATCAGACTCTGAAACTGTAGTGGTAACTATGACAGGAGGATTATATGGTTCAGTAATAGTAGTAACATAGGTAGTATCTGGTCTTGAAACCGTAGTGGTAACTACTACTTGAGGTACATCAATAGAAGTTGTAATCACAGTCAAAATCAAAGTTTCTGAGACATTTGGGTTGGAAGGGTCGATACTCGTAGTAGTAATAATTTCAGTCAAAGTTATCGTAACTGGAGGAGGATCAGAATTCACAGAAGTAAAACTTTCAGGGAATGTTCTGATAGTAGGATTTATATTAGTTTCGGCATTTGCTTCAGTAACAGTTTCAATTGATGGTGGTGGAGGTTGATCAGAGGATTGAATTACTGTGAAAGTGACTTCACCAAGTATTGGGATAGTTGGATTTTCTGATAGGGTAGGTTCTTCGGTAGGTAAAACAGTTGATGACTCAGAGTGTAGCTCAGGTGGATCTTCAGAGTAAGTCTCACTTAATCCCTTACTAACTAGACTAGTAGGTTCTTCTGTACCAGTTTGGTTTGTATTGTATGTTATGGATGGTTCCTCGGTAGTTTTTGTCTCTGGTTGAGACATGTCTGTAGTGGGTGGAATGGTAGATTCATCAGTTTGTTCTTCAGTGGGTGGATAAGAGTTTTCATCAGTAGATAAAATATTTGTTTCTCCAGTGGATGGATAACTATGTTCATAGGTAGGTGTAACAGTTGATTCTTCGGTAATATATTCAATAGGGTCATCTGCACCTGGATCCATTGGTTCTCTTGTCATTGGGTCAGTTGGTTCGTTCGTATTGGGATCAGTCAAGTCTTCAGAATTCAGTTCGATTGGATTTTCCGGATGCACTATAGGCAGTTCTATTGGGAAGGGTAATTGAGTTGGGATGTTACTGAAAGATATATCAGTACCCGGTTCACTTGAAATGGCTGTAAGCTCACTGGTTGGATATGGTGTTGAGACTTGTTCAAACCATGATTCTGTGATAATTTCAGAAGAAGGATCAGAAAAATCTTCTGAACTGGAACTATCCTGATTAGATTCTGTAAATGTACCTTCTCCTGATTCTGTTGATGATTCAGATTGTAGTTTAGTCGAATAATCTTTCTCTGGTTCGGTAAAAGATTCATCCTCTTCATTTTCTGTGGACGTTTCCTCAGTGGAAGTTTCTTCAGAGGATTCTGTCAATTCGATTTCTATAGGTTCAGTTGACGACTCCTTTTCCGATTCGGTGGTTGTCTCTTGCAAGGGTTTAACACAAGTGTTTTCCCAACATTGAAGTGGTAAATCATAGATTCCATCTAATAATTCTCCACAACTGTGAATATATGTTTTGGAAAACCCTGACCATTGATAATAAATAGAGAAGGGCGTTGCACATACAAAATTACCCATATCTTCAGCTTCCATTACAAAGGTAAAAAACCAGTGGTATGGTGAATCTCCTACTGGATCCATACCATTTCCGTAAAGCTGCAAGTTTGGAAGATAATTACCTGGGGTTGTTAGCTGATCAATAGTAATTTCTTGGAGATCTCTCACAGGATAAAGTGAATCTTTTAGTTGAAACTCAATAGTTACCTCATACAAGAGATCTGAGATATGATGTACTGAAACAAATCTAAATATTTCCAATCCGTCCCCGGAACCTTGATAATTACACATCATTGGCTCATATGAATCAGGGCAATCAGTTGGTTGTGGTAAGTTTGCTAGCGTCAGGGTTATTGTTGATGGTTCTGCATTTACCTTCTTACCACAAATTTGATCCCAGCATTGAATAGGGTATTCACCGTAGCAATCATGAACATATTCTACCACAGCATTAGGTACTGCCAAGGCACGTTTAAAAGATGGAATTTGAGGAGTCCACAGATATTTAATCAGAAACGGAGTAGTACACAACTGATAACCATTATATTCAGCTTGCATTACCCATTTAACAAAAAAGTGGTAAGGTGACGAAGAAACTGACTCGGAAGCATCCAACCAATTAGCAAGGGCCAGCTGGGGATTAGGGATATAATCTTCTGGTGTCCGGAGGTTGTTAAAAGTTATACTTACCAAATCTCCTGCTGGAAGGTTATCTGTGTAAAGTTCAAATTCAATCATTACTTCGTACAAATCCTCTCTATCTTGAACATAATTCAAGTATACGTATTGGAAAGTTTTTATTTTTGGGGCCCAGTCAGGTTTAGGGTAATTGTCACCTTGGGGACACCGGTCTCCCCAATAAAAAGGACAATCTTCTTTCTCGTAAGAAAACGGAGCAGGCCAAGTCAAGGTGGTCGGGTTGTCACTAGAGGCACGTTTAACTTGAAGTGCACTTATAGTGAATGGAAGTTGTAGTATAAAATAGTAAAGGAATAAAGATAGTTGCATTGTAAATAAATTATAGTAGTTTGTTGCAAAGAAAAATATATAGTAATAAATTGGTGAAATATCTACCTCAGGACTTGAAAGTCGGGTATTTATATAGAAAACACCTTCGCAAGAACATCAAGTCAAAATACTACGACTTTGAACCGATCATTGATCATGCATGGTTGATATAATACTAAAAAAAACACTCTCTCATAAGGTTTATTATTTCACACCTCATTTTATTATTTGCGGCAATTTCCCCCAGTATGGTTCCTCGATACCTATACGCTAAAAAAATATTCTAATAGTGGAAATGGTTCGATTTGCGCGATTGACGTATTTAAAGCAACATATTATTTTTTTTCCCACTAAATAAGTTAGATGAAGGAACAAAAAAGAAACCAAAAAATTTATTCCAATGATCAAAGAACTTCCAAAATTTGGGGCTTAAAATTTTGCAATATGGCCAATTCCATTCATGGTAACGCCTCATGGAAGATAATCATTCCTCAGGAATAAAAGCCCTTTTGAATAATGACATCACCTTCCTGAACACATGAAACAAGGTACTCAGGGCAGTTAACCCTCTTGCACCCTTAGCTTTACCACGAAGTGTATCACAGCTTGATAAATATGACAAACAGAGTTAATTTTTTAAGAAAGAAAGTAAGCACCAACGACTTCGAAATTATTTTATTATTTTTTTTATGCAATCCTGGAGAAGGGCTAATTTGTGCTATAAAATTCTTCTAGAAATTTAAATCATAAATTAAAATAATATTTCATATTACAGCCTTGGCAATTATAGTTCTCAATGCTACGCCTTGCAAGGCGGTGAAATAGATTAAATAGCATCTGATCGGCAATAAACAGCTATTTTCCAAATGAATAAGGCATCCATAATAAAATCTCTACTATGCTAACAGTTAACTATTAGGCTTTGGTATAATAAGAAGTATCAGTAGTTAGAATTGAGGAAGTTTAAACAAAAATGGTACCAGTGTGATATTGATAATGTAATCCTGGTCTTTCTTCAAGAATAGTATCGCCGAGAAAGATTATTGAGCAATAATAATCTCATGGGTTTCTGCGTGACCAGCTGTCAATAATTTAACAGCCAAAAAATTAAAACAAAAAGAAAATAAATATCAGAAAATAAATATCAGAAAAATAAAAAAAAAATAATAAAAGCAAGAATTAATAGTGAAGAATTCACGAGGTGGCTCGATTCGAGGTTAACCCTTACATCTTATCCGCAACATTTGGCTACAAAAGTAAAGACTGAAAAATATGAGAGTATCTTAGTCTAGATGATTTTTTTTTATATACTTTTTCTCAACTTCGTTAAGTTCTCACCTAAGAATATAGTTACTCAAGTATCTCGCGTAAAGTTGACCTTCTGTCATATTTCCATAAGGCTACCAGAGTTGGTATGATTTGATTTCTTGCGAAAAAAGAAATATTTCTGATTTTAGATATTCTTGTATGTAATATTAATTTTTTAGTGTATAATTAAGTATTGGCCAACATTTTACATCGAATATTATGTTAACTTAGTATTGGCACGTAACTTCTTTTTTTTTCCTTCCATATTTGATTCTCTATATATAATTGTTATAGATAATACTTTTATTAGATAATAAAACATAAACTCTATTGGTATACACAATTCAATAGAGTACTACCTAAAGAAACATCGTCGTAGAAATCAAACATAAACATAACATAAAGGTATTATAGCTAAGGCCAGTAGCCATACCCTCGAAATCTTCAAGTAATTCTTCAAGATCTGGTGGGTTTGCATCAAGAGTATCATCATAACCACCTTGTGCTGGGTTTCCAGGAGAAACCATTACTTCAGGAACACCATCTTGTGGAACACTAGTAGTATAAACAACTGGTACAGATGATGCATAAGTTCTTCCATCTGATACAAAGGTTGTAGGAACAGCACTTGTGTAAGTGAACAAATTAGGATCTTGAACAAATTCGTCTCCACCTTGTTCCAATGAAGGGTCGTTAGGATTTCCTGGGGCATTTGGATTACCAGAATCATTAGGATTTCCTGGGGCATTTGGATTACTAGAATCATTAGGATTGCCTGGGGCATTTGGATTACTAGAATCATTAGGATTTCCTGGGACATTTGGATTACCAGAATCATTTGGATTTCCTGGGACACTTGGATTACCACCTGGGTATGGCACTTCAAGTTCTTCTTCTTGCTCTGGGTTAGCTGAAGGGTCATTAGGGTTTGCTGGGGCAGGGTTTCCACCTGGATAGTTAGGGTTTGCTGGGGCAGGATTTCCACCTGGATAGTTAGGATTAGATGGATCATTTGGATTACCTCCTGAAGGTGGAACTTGAAGTTCTTCTTCTTGATCTGGTGTAACATTTCCTGGAGAAGTTCCTCCTGGTTGAGAACCAGTTGGGACTGGTGGGTAAACTGTAGGATAAGTAACCGTAGTAACATAGACAGTAGTAACATAGACAGTGTTAACACCAGTAACTGTAGTAACTAATGGTGGGGGTACGTATGGTCCTGTAACAGTAGCTACTAAAGTAGTGTCAGGATATACAATTGTAGTAACCACAACTGGTGGGTTGTATGGTCCAGTAGTAACATAAGTAGTGTATGGGTTTGTAATGGTAGTAACAACACCTGGTGGAACATATGGAGGAGTAACTGTGACAACATAAGTAGTGTCAGGGTTCACAATTGTAGTGACAGTAGGTGGTGGATAGTATGGATTAGTAACTGTGGTGACATAAGTAGTGTCAGGGTTTGAAACAGTAACTGTGACTGGAGGATTGTATGGTTCAGTAATAGTAGTAACATAAGTAGTATCTGGTCTTGAAACCGTAGTGGTAACTATGACAGGAGGATTATATGGTTCAGTAATAGTAGTAACATAAGTAGTATCTGGTCTTGAAACTGTAGTGGTAACTATGACAGGAGGATTATATGGTTCAGTAATAGTAGTAACATAAGTAGTATCTGGTCTTGAAACTGTGGTAGTAATTGTGACAGGTGGTGGGCCAACAGAAGTAGTAGTCACTGTCAAGGTCAAAGTGGTTGAGACGTCTGGGTTAGATGGATCAACGGTAATAGTTGTAATGGTTTCAGTCAAAGTTCTTGTTACTGGTGGAGGATCAACAGTAACATATGTTACAGTCTCAGTAAAAGTTCTCGTGGTAGTAGGATCTACGTTAGTGTTGGTGATAGTTTCAGTTACAGTTCTAGTAGCAGGAGGTGGTGGTATATCTGTTGATTCGGTCACAGTAACCGTAACCTCGCCGGTAGGAGGTCCAGTAGGTTCAGTAGGTTCTCCAGTAGGAGGTCCAGTAGGTTCAGTAGGTTCTCCAGTTGGTTCTCCAGTAGGTTCTCCCGTAGGTTCTCCCGTAGGTTCTCCCGTAGGTTCTTCAGTTCCTGGTTCAGTAGGTTCTCCAGTAGGTTCTCCAGTAGGTTCTCCAGTAGGTTCTCCCGTAGGTTCTCCCGTAGGTTCTCCCGTAGGTTCTTCAGTTCCTGGTTCAGTAGGTTCTTCAGTAGGTTCTTCAGTAGGTTCTCCCGTAGGTTCTCCAGTTCCTGGTTCAGTAGGTTCTTCAGTAGGTTCTTCAGTAGGTTCTTCAGTAGGGTCTCCAGTAGGTTCTTCAGTAGATTCTTCGGTTACGGGTGGATAATCAGTACCTGGGTCCATTGGATCTCTTGATATTGGATCTCTTGTTACTGGATCTGGTTCAGTAGTGGGTTCTGGTTCTGGCTCAGTAGTGGGTTCTGGTTCTGGTTCCGTACTAGGTTCTGGTTCTGGTTCTGTAGTAGGTTCAGGTTCAGGCTCGGTAGTAGGTTCTGGTTCTGGTTCAGTAGTGGGCTCTGGTTCTGGTTCCGTAGTAGGTTCTGGTTCTGGCTCAGTAGTGGGTTCTGGTTCTGGTTCCGTACTAGGTTCTGGTTCAGGTTCTGTAGTAGGTTCAGGTTCAGGCTCGGTAGTAGGTTCTGGTTCTGGTTCCGTACTAGGTTCTGGTTCAGGCTCGGTAGTAGGTTCTGGTTCAGGTTCTGTAGTAGGTTCTGGTTCTGGTTCTGTAGTAGGTTCTGGTTCTGGTTCAGTAGTGGGCTCTGGTTCTGGCTCAGTAGTGGGTTCTGGTTCTGGTTCAGTAGTAGGTTCAGGTTCTGGTTCTGTAGTAGGTTCTGGATCTGGATCTGGATCAGGTGTAGATTCTTCCTCAGTGGTAGATTCTTGCTCAGTGGTAGATTCTTCCTCAGTGGTAGATTCTTCCTCAGTGGTAGATTCTTCCTCAGTGGTAGATTCTTGCTCAGTGGTTGTTTCCGATTCAATACAGACCTCGTCCCAACATTGAAGTGGATAGTCATTAAATTGGCCACCACATGCATGTCCATAATCTGCAACAAAGTCATACCAAGAAAATTCAATATAGAAAGGACTGGTACATGTACCTGTACCAGATTCATTCGGAGTAGCTTGCATCACTAAAACCAAGTAGAAGTGGTATGGTGAATCCCCTACTGGTGGTTCATCTCCCGTATCAAAAAGTTCAATATTAGGACCATCATTAGGTCTCTGGAAATTTTTGACTGTAATTGCTTGAAGGTTACGCATAGGGTAACCTCCTCCATCTATTTCAAATTCAATCATCACTTCGAATAAGTCATCTTGAATCAGATGAATGTAAAGATATTCAAAGGTTACAAGAGGTGGATATTCATTCAAGATAGAATCTTGTCCAAATTCATACTCACAACCATCTGTGTAAACAGTAGGGCATTCAGTAGGTTCAGGTAAATCATCTATAGTACTTATGATAGTGGATGGTTCTCCGGTTGTTTCTTCATAGCATATATCCGACCAGCATTGAAGGGGAGAGTCCAGTCCTTCACCACAAGTGTGGCTATAACTGGCAGTACGTTCACTCCAAACATACATAATTGTGAATGGAGTTGTACATGTATACAGCAGGGAGTACTGTGTTTCCATTATCCATACAAAGTAGAAATGGTATGGTGAATCTCCAGCAAGATTGTCTTCTGCACTTTGTCCTTGGCGATAAATTTCAAGCTCGGAGCCAAGATAATTCTCGGCTGAAGAAAGACCAGAAATATAAACCGATTGCAAATCCCATTTTGGATAATTAGTACTATCAATCTGGAATTCAATAGTCACTTCATACAAGTTTTCATCAACGTACTTAATACTTTGGAAATCAAATACTTCCACCTCTGGATAGTTCTGTTCCTCTGCATGTTCACCAACTTCAACTGAACATACAATATCGGTATACACATCAGTAGGACAATTAGTAGGACTTGGTAAGTCTGGTGTCTCTGGGTCAATAGTAACAGGATCAGGTTCATCACTGCAAACATCCAGCCAGCATTGCATAGGGTAGTCATAAATACCATCGTTATCACCTGGACATCCATGGCCATAAGTAGCAGTCAAAGAGTTGTCCCAACTAAATACCACTTTAAATGGTGTCGTACATGTCAAACTATCCACATTCTGTGTCCGCATCACCCAGTTAACAAAGAAGTGATAAGGCGAATCGCCAACCTGGTCTTCAGCATCTCGTTCGAAAAGAACGAGAGGTCCACTGATATATGAACCAGGTGTAGAAAGCCCTTCAACCAGGATCAGCTCGATTGTACGCATTGGGTAGCTAGGATCAATCTCAAACTCAACCATTACTTCATACAAATCTTCTTGTAATATTTTAATGTATTCAAAGTTAAAGTTTCTCAAAGTAGGGTAATTATTATTTTGTGAACTACTTTCTCCAAAGTCGTAAGTGCAACTCTCAATAGGTGCAATCTCAGTTGGACAGTCAGTAGGTTCACCAGTTCCTTCGGGTAACGTCAGAATGGTTGAAGGTTCACCATCATTACACTCTGGTTCCCAGCATTGAAGTGGATAATCATGAGGATCGTTGCTATCACAATCATGAATGTAAGTAACTTTGAGACTAGAAGATGCTCTACTGTTAGGATTGGATTGCCCATCTCTCCAACTGAATTCAAGCTGGAACGGAGTCGTGCAGACTTGTCCATCAAGAATTTGGGTTTGCATTGCCCAACGGATAAAGAAATGATAAGGTGAGTCAGCAAGAACATTTTCATCTGCAGCCCTATCATAAATTCTGTATGGGTTTGTAAGATAGTTGTGTGGAGTGACAAGATTTTTCAAGTCAATGTATTCCAAGCTTCTAACTGGGAACATAGCCGCATCAAGTTCAATTTCAACAAACACTTCGTAGTAATCATCCATAAGCAGATTGATTTCAATAAAGCTAAATGTTTTCATTGTAGGACTAAATCCAGGTTGAGCTGGAGCAATTGTACATTTATCAGACCAAGTGGTTGGACAAGTACTAGTTGGTGTTGGTAACAGTTCATTTGGTAACTCGATCGTTGCGGGTGGAGCAGTGATAATTGCTGAAGTAGTTTCAATTTCTGAAGCAGATTCCTCTTCAGAAGTCTCCTGTACTTCTGAGGTAGCTTCATCTTCGAAAGTTGTTTCATTGTCATCATCAGATTGAGTATTAGCACAATTAGGAACCCAACACTGAAGTGGAAAATCACCGTTCATACATGCATGCACATAGCCCACAGTAGTCTGTTCATCTCTCTTTTTGTTTGCTTCTTCATCTGAATATGCCAGCCAAACATAAGTAATAGTAAATGGAGTTGTACACATTTGATAGGTATCTTGTTGAGTTCTCATTACCCATTTCACAAAGAAGTGATAAGGTATTTCACCAGAATCATCCATATCTCCAGGAATAGCAAAGTGGGGATCTTGTAGGTAGTCACCTGGAGTTTGGAGTCCCAGGAAACTAAGCTCGTTCACGTAATTGTCTTCCTTACGATCGTCTTCGATTTTAAATTCAATCATTACTTCGTACAAATCTGTAGTCCCAATAAGATGCCGAATGTGCTTGTATTCAAAAATTTGCAATGTAGGAGCATCGGGATTTCCATAGGACATATAACCAAGTGGATACTCACACTTGTTAAACCAGTCAGGTGGAATAGGACATTCTTCAGTTCTATAGGTGAAACTTGGAAGCCAATCCAAAGTAGTTGGATTGTCGTTGTCACCATCATCCCTTTTGTTTGCACCAAATGCACTTACTGGCATTAGTGTCTGGACTAATAGTAATAAATAGCAAATAAGCCAAATCTGTCGCATTATAGTTTGTTAGTAAAGGTTGTTGCGAAAAAAAAAAATTATTATGTAACAAGAATATTATGAATGTTCCAAAAACAAGAAGTGGGAGGGATATGGGATACTTATAGATCGAAAATGATCAACAAGCTATCCATTCCTCTCGAGCGAGGACGCCAATATATTGTACTGGTCATGCATGTTTTCGAACTGATATGAGCATGACAGTCTGCCTGGTAGTTATTATTTCAAGTGTCTAGTATTTTAAGAAGTATAAATGGGGCGATTCATTAATCAAATTTATCAGTGCGTCACTTCTGTGCATATCGATCTTTGAAAATATTCAGTCGTATAAATGACCCCAATTCTATAATAAGCGCTGACCAAACATGTGCGATAATAAATTTGAACCGCTCTTTTGTATGACACTTGGTCCATCGATTTGTAAAAAAAAAAATAAAACAAAAAAAAAAAGAACAATAATTGGAATGACCAAAGGTCAAATTATCCTTTAAGATTGCGATTGATGTAAACCTGACTCCTGATAGTGCCTCATGGAAAAAAAACGCCCTATGTTCCAGAATCATTTTATTTCGTCATAATTATTCATCGCCGTATTTTTAGTGGAGTAACTACTCATAATGAGATGAACCAAAGGATTGAGTTGACAAGTCCACGAACCACTTGATAGTACATGTAGTTGCAATAAGCGAAACCTGAAATCTAACCAAAATACTATGCAGGAGGTCGAAAAAATGAATCCGAGGAAACAGGGGGTATGAATATATTACATTAAAGGAAAAAGCAACACCAGTATTTCCCTGTAAGAAGAGAATCTGTATTTTTTTTTCTTGCATTTGTTGCGATTCGTGGCAAATGTTTCAAAATATTTGGCACTGAAAAAAAAAAATATTTCATAATACCGCCTCGGCACACGAGACACAAATGTCATTCTGTCGCACTTCAAGCTAAGGCGGGCTTTACTTTTAAATGCAATGACAACAAAGAATGAATGATTCGAGTTATCAAAGGCAATTACTATCATTAATTGTAATTGAAGCATTACACTCGAATATAACTAGTAGTTTCTTTCAGCAAAATCTAAAGAAGTTCAGAAACCGCCAGATGCTACAAACGAGAACTATATCAAGCTTATTTTAACTACATCTTCAAATTTAATAATACATTGTTGTATCTCGTTAAACCGGTGCGGGGCAACTTAGCGATCTCTAATACAACAATATCATCGAAATTTTATTTTTGCTAATAATAATCACCAGTGTTCTTGTTTTTCTGCATGACCTAGGGATGATTTAGCAGCCATTAAAAAATAATAGTAATAAAAAAATAAAAATAAAGAAAATAGAAGGAACAGAAAATACATGATCTATATTTTAATCACCCCTCTTAAGTTTATAGCCTTGTAGTAAAATATCAGGATTATGGGGTTTGACTTGAGTTCTTTCATTCGTAGTTTTTAAAGATTGGTATCTAGTTTTAGAAAAATAGTAGTATTTTGTGAAACCGTTATGACATTGTTCTATAGATTAAAGTATTTGTTCGTACTAGAAATTTGTTCCCTATTCGTATATCTTAAATGGAATAGCTGAATCTATTCATTTTAAGTTATGAACAATCGAAATAAAATTTGATCATTCTTTATATGTAATAGTTCCATCTAGATCTTTGAAAAAGATCCAGTGCAGACTTTCAATACAAGAAATAATTTTCTGGATAGCGAATCACGCAAAACAAATTCTTCGAGAAACCAACATTGCATCAACCATGGCTCACTTTTATCTTTGTTTTGGTAAATATCAAAACGCGGAACTATCGGAGAAACCAACATTGCATCAACCATGGCTCACTTTTATCTTTGTTTTGGTAAATATCAAAACGCGGAACTATCGGAGAAACCACCTTTCGATCATAATTGTTTAGTTCAATCAAACATATTATTATCTGTTACCTATAGCTTCTGGTAAAAAAAAATTTAATTTTTGTTTCAGCTAATAGAATTAGATGCATATCCTCATTCTCTTGAAATAAGATCTTTTTTGTGCTAAATTTATTCGTAAATAAAAGAGTTATCTATTATTACATTTTTAAATCCCTCCTATTCCAAAATCCTGTTTTATGGAGGTGTCTTGTAACTTATGGTCTATGGCTGCAATTAATTTCAGTTTTCTTGCAATGGATCACTATACAGGACAAAGGCAGGTGGAAAACAAAGCGTTTCTGCTTCTTTCGTGCTCTTTCTCTCACTTGAAGGATGGTGATTTTCTAGTTAACAACATTGATCGTATATATTTTTGCACCTCATGGAAATTAAATTTTACAAATTTTACTTACGAGACTTGTTAAGAATACCTGAAAATTAGACTTTTATTACCGTTTTGAAATGTGTGTCGTATACATATTTGGTCCTTTATATTGTTGGGAGGTGCTCCAGACATAGAAAACTGTAGATGATGTAAATTTATAACATAAAGGCTGATTACAGGATTCGAACCAAGCCCATGTTCACATTAAGTTTGTGAGAAATTTCATTTGTCTTCAATATTCCTAAATTGGTTCTTTATTTTTTATAATCAACGATTCTGCTGAATGAATCATTGGTATGTGATTAGAGCTCTGCGTAGGGTTCTTTTTATGCAGTTGCTATAGATATAACTTTTATTATACATAAATATAAATACTAATGATATACATATTCAAACATAACAATAACTAGAGAAACATTATAGTAAAAATCAAACATAAACATAACATAAAGACATTCGAGTTAATACCCGAGGCAGAACCTTCATAGTCTTCAAGTAATTCTTCAAGATCTGGTTCAAGATTATTATTGAAACCACTTGGTGATGGGTTATCGTTAGGTGAAACCATAACTTCAGGAACACCACCATCAGGAACAGCAGTAGTGTAAACGACAGGTACCACGGTTTGATAGGTTTGTCCATCAGATACAAATGTGGTTGGAACAGCACTAGTGTATGTGAACACGTTAGGATCTTGGAGGAGTTCTTCTTGTTGTTCCAAGGAAGGGTCGTTGGAATTACCGGAAGAACTGTTTGGATTACCAGCAGGACTATTTGGATTACCACCAGTAGATGGAACTTGGAGTTCTTCTTCTTGATATGGATTGATACCAGGTTGAGTGTTACTATTATCAGATGGATCATTTGGATTAGCTGGGGTGTTTGGACTACCGGCTGGACCATCAGGGTTAGCTGGAGTATTGGAACCTCCACCTGGGTATTGAACTTGAAGCTCTTCTTCTTGTTCTGGAGTAACACCTGGATAATTAGGATCCACAGGAGCATTAGGATTAACTGGATCATTTGGATTGACTGGGGAATTTGGATTGCCACCTGGGTATTGAACTTGGAGTTCTTCTTCTTGTTCTGGAACAACACCTGGGTAGTTAGGGTTGGCTGGAACATTAGAGTTGGATGAATCATTTGGATTGCTACCTGGATAGTTAGGGTTTGCTGGATCATTTGGATTACCTCCTGAAGGTGGAACTTGAAGTTCTTCTTCTTGATCTGGTGTAACATTTCCTGGAGTAGTTCCTCCTGGTTGTGGACTAGTGGGTGCTGGTGGGTAAACTGTAGGATAAGTAACTGTAGTAACATAGACAGTGTTAACACCAGTAACTGTAGTAACAAATGGTGGAGGAACATATGGTCCCATGACAGTAGTTACTAAAGTAGTGTCAGGGTATACAATTGTAGTAACAACACCTGATGGGACGTACAGATTTGTTACAGTGCCAACATACGCGGTATCGGGATTACTAACTGTAACAACAACTGGTGGAGGATTGTATGGTTCCATAACTGTTGTGACATAGGTAGTGTCAGGTCTGGTAATTGTAGTAACTACAACTGATGGGTTATATGGTTCAGTAATAGTAGTAACATAGGTAGTATCTGGTCTCGAGACTGTAGTGGTAGCTATGACTGGTGGGTTAAATGGTTCAGTAATGGTTGTAACATATGTGCTATCAGATTCTGAAACTGTAGTAGTAATTAAAACTGGAGGTGGATCAATATACGTAGTAGTCAATGTCAATGTCAAAATGGCTGTGAAGTTTGGATTAGAAGGATCAATACTTGTGGTAGTAATGATTTCAGTCAAAGTTGTTGCTAATGGTGGAGAATCCGAAACTACGTGCGAATGGCTTTCACTAAATGTTTCAGTAGTAGTAACTTGAGTATTGGCAATAGTTTCAGTTTCAATCCAAAGAGTTTCTTCCAGGGAAATCGCGGTTTGATCTATTGTAGATGGTGTTGCTGAATAAATAGTAGAGTCGGTAGTCGATTCCATTTCACCTGAAATCATTTCATCAGAAGAAGTGAAAATCTGTGAATGTTGCGAGAACAGTTCTTCACTAGACAAGATAATGTCTTCTGGGGCTGAATCTGTGACCAAATTTGTTGTTGCAATTATTGGAGTTTCAATGTATTCACTAGAAATATCATCTGAAATTAAAGTTGTAACTTCTTCATGGGGTATGCTAGCATCATTAGATGTAACTTCTGAACTCTCAAGAGTAGAAAAGGTATTCTCCTCTAAAGACGAAACAATTGTTTCAGGATAAGAGGTGTTTGTCTCTTGCGAATACAGAACATCAGTGGATTGCTCCTTATGAGATTCCACATTTGTAATTTCTTCTTCTTCAATAGGGTCGATTGTTTCAGCTGGAGTTGGTGCTGTTATAGTATCTTCAACTGACGTTGATGTCAAATCTTCATCGTCAAATGGAGCATTCAGTATTATAATTTGGAGAGGTACTGAAGCTGTGGTATATTCTTCTTCTTCTTCTTCAAACGATACACTGAGGGAGGTTGATTCTTCATTCTCTGAATCGGTCATCGAGGATAACTCCAGAATGGTGTTGTCTTCTTCAATGATTCGCCAACAGATAAGACCCAAATCAGCATTTCCATCTTGAGGACAATCATGAATATAAATAGCTGTCTCTTGTTCATCTCTCTTTGTTGGAGGTAAGGAGTTTTGAGATTGTGGTGAAATAGCTCGTTGTTGGGTATCATCAACAGTCCATTTATATTCAACCTGGAAAGGTGTAGTACAAACATAATCTTCATCGTAACTGCCAGCTTCCATAACCCAATGTACCAAAAAGTGGTGAGGTGAATTGTCTAGTTTTCCATTTAATTCACGACTGTAAAGCAATATAGTATCACCAAGATAATTGTTAGCAGTTTGAAGACCAGTGAATTGAATAGAATCTATATTATCGGTTGGCAATTGAGAATTGTCAATCTTAAATTCAACTTCCACTTCATAGTAATCTTCTGATATCTTTTTAATAGAGCGGAATTCAAATATTTCTAAATTTGGGAAATTATGGTTTTCTGAGAATTCTCCAAATGATATTTTACATTGAACATCGTCAAAAACTTCTTCTGGTACATCTTCCTGTGGGGGTGGGAAATCCCCTGGTAAGAAAAGGGTTGGTAGAATAGTTACTGATGGTTGTTCGCTTAGTGAGGTGGTTTCAGTGGTGTCTGTGATTGTTTCAGTGGTATCTGTGATTGTTTCCACAGTCAAATCAAATTCTTCGTGTGTCGATTCACTTGTACCTTCAAGGATATCAGATGTTTCTTCCATTTCTAAAGACGTAGTAGATTCCTCCTCCTCCGTTAATTCCGAGTTTTCTTGTAAAGAAGTAACTATTTCTTCGATTGGTGCTTCTGATTTCGAGCATTGGAGATCCCAACATTGAAGAGGAACATCTCCATTTTTACAATCGTATACATAGTCAGCCACAACTTCAAGATCCGAAGAGGATAATCCATTTTGTTCATCTTGGTCTAAGATGTACATATATTCAACCTTTAATGGGGGTGCACAGACTAGATCTCCTTCTATATTTGCCATCATTTGCCAGCGAATAAAAAAGTGATAAGGTGAGAATCCGAGAAGGTTTATGTTACGGTTATAGTCATAAAGCACACCAGTAGAAAGATAATTGAAAACTGATCCTCCATCTGCAACATGAAATCTTACATACTGTAATTTAGCATTGGATATAGGAGAAATTTCAAACTCTATTATTACTTGATAAAACCAGTCTTGAACCCTTTCAATTTCGACAAACTCAAATGTTTTTAATTGGGGGAAATTCTGGCTTTTGGAATGTTGACCAAATGTAACATCGCACTTATCTTCAAGGATTTGATTGGCGCAACTTGTGTAAGTAGGATGGGCCCAGTTACTAAAACTAGTTTCGATTGTGGAAGGAATTGTAATGATAGGACTAGATTCAATCAGGACAGTGGTGGACACAGCTTCTTCTGAAGAGAAATTTACCTCGTTTGTAGAAATTGTAGTATCATCTTCTGGTTCTTGTGGTTTCATAATTGGTGGTGGATCTGGAAGTTCCTCTTCTTTACAGATTTGAATCCAACATAATTGAGGGGTGTCGCTGGGGAAGTTACTTTCTGGACAAGCATGATAGTATTCAAATATTACTGGTGGTCCTCTTTTATTCATAGAAACTTGACTAGCCCCAGTGTAGACCACTTTAAAAGGTGTGGTACAGACCTTTTCATTATTAAAGACATCAGCATCGATAATCCAATTTACTGAAAAGCGATAAAATTCACCTTCGATCTGGTTAATCCCCTTGTCGAGATCATACAAAATCTCAGTCCGTTGTGGATCATAGAGATCCACTATTTGTATTGATTCCACCTTGGGCATGAACTTAAAAGCTATAACTTCGTCAATTTTAAAAGAAAAATGAAGAAGATAGTTATACTCTGATAATTGTACCGAATCGAGGATTTTAAACTCTTTTAAAATAGGATAGTTGTTTTTCATGGCATTACCACCTTGTTCAATATAACATTTTGGTGTAAACTGGTCATCTCTAAAGCAATTCTCTGCACTTGCTCTTAAAAACATATAACCAAGTAAATAAAAGATAAAAGTAAATTGCAACATTGGGAATTTGTAATGTAATGGTTGCTGCAAAAAAAAATATTAAGATGCTGTTTAGTACATTTGGAGTTCAGAAATGGGAACACGTTAATATATATATACTCTCAACAGGAGGAGATTTTCAGCAATTCGGTAGAAATGTAAGAGGGTAGCTTCCCCAAAAATATCAGTTGATATTAGTTAAGCCATTTTTTTCGAGACATATTACATAGAAATTTGGGATGACCATTGCCCAGCCAAAGAAAAATAATAGGTACGTATGATTCTATCAAAATATTAAAAAAATAATAAATCGTATGTATTCAGGATTGGAAGTATGCCATCAACCGCCTTGCCGGCTGACGTAAGTCAAATCCTGATCATTCTGTCAAATAATTTTTTTTTCTTAAAATAATATTTTTTTTTCCCACTAATTTCGGTATGCGCCGTAGAAATAGAAGCTAACTAATTTATGCAAAAGAACATTCTTTTATTTTTTAATAGATGAATTGGAAAGGCGCAATTAACTAGATTTTAGATTTTTCCAAACCGTTTTTAGTTGGAAAGATGCGTTGTGTTTCTTGAACAGACTGTTTAATTTCCAGAAGGTTTTCAATATAAAATGAAGTAGAATATCTAGTTAAGAACTACACGCTATAATATTTGTTCTGGTTGGAACTAAAACAAATAATTACTAGTTTATGGATCATATTGTAGATACTAGGTGGGGAATAACTAGTCATATTTTATGTAGATGATTGATTTGAATTTTTTTTTTTTGTAAGATCGAGTGACCTAATTTAGAACCCCCCTCAAAAAAAAAAAGAAATTCTTGAACATGACCATTCACATTATTAATTTGTAAATGTCGTAGTGGAAATGAGCTCATACCTTTCTTCATTATTACAATTGCTTTCACTATCTCAGTCTCCTTATTGAAAATAGAAAACATGACTGGTTGGGAAGAGGAATGCTCAATCATTTGGTAGTTCGTATTTAGGAGTCAAACACTAGCATCTCCTATTCTACAATTCTGAATGTTTTTCTCACATTATTAGTAGTCTTTGCCTGTCATTAATCTCTCTCAAATGAATGTGCATACTTAGAAATAATTTCCTAAGCTGGATTTCTTGCTAATTTCAGAGATGAATACAAAGTTTTCGGACGTAGTCTTACATGAACACCTGTAAGTAAATTGTAATAATATGCAGGTGTTAGTTTATCTACCTATTCCAAGGAAGACACCAACTTTCAACATGTTATTAGAAGCTGTTACTTTATTTGCATGTTATTTCTATCTTAATATTCAGACAAGAAGAGATTTACTATTGCTTGCAAGTGATAAAATTTAATATTACTTTCTAGGGTTGATTGTATTAGGTTTCTTAATTAAGCATGAAACTATGGAAGTTTTGATAGCTAATGAATGTTCTTGGATTAAAGGTTGAACTTTTAAATTACTCAGCAATTTTAATAGGAATCACAATCTTTCAATGCAGTGATAATTCTACTCTAAATTAATAAACAATCTTGTCGACTTGTTGAATATTATATATATTCTTGTTATTTTTACTAAATTGCTACCCTAATCAAATGTTAAATATATAAATTACTACCAGTTTTCTTAGATAACTTTTATATCTATACATGTACAAATTTAAACTAGACAAATATCATAATGGAAAACAAACATAAGCAAATAATAAATATATTTGATTTAGAGTTAGAGGATGAGCCTTCAAATTCTCCAATCAGATGGGAGTTTGTTCCCAGGGATCCTTCCGAACTTCCAGAACCAGATTCGGCAGGTAAATTTACAACTTCTGGAATATCATCTGCTGCAGTAGAGGAATGTCCAATTGCACTTGACGTTACAGATGAACCTCTTTCCGATCCTATAGTTGTAGGTGTAGTATGTGTTTTCACGTTAGGATCTTGATATAAAGGAGGACTATTTGGGGTTCCGGAGGTAATAGCTGGATTAAGTGTAAAACTTTCGGTCTTGGTTTCGGTGTTAGGGTTGCCATTAGAAGATGGTACTTTCAATACAGAATTGGCTATTCCTCCAACTGGGAAAGATTCTATGTATCCTGGCTGAGTTTTAGTACCAACTTGTGGGTATTCTTCAGGATCAAGTTGAGCCGTGGGGCCTGTGGTGTCGATGTTGGAGACTCGGTTTTCTGGGTCCAGAGGATAATATACACCAGTATTAGTGTTTTGACTGTTTGCTATTTCACTCTTAGCACCCAAAATAGTTGTTACAAAGGTAGATTCGGGATGTATGACTGTACTAACTATGGCTGATGGATAAGTTGATTGAGTACTTGTTGTATCATATATGGTGCCAGATCTTGACATAGTGGTTACTGTAACTGGTGGATTGAGTACACCAGTTGCAACACTACCTGACTCATTTGTGGTCTTTGTGGTTTTAGTGGATGGACTATTGATATTTGGGTTAGATGTAGTTGCCAGTAATGATATCAATGTCGAGAAAGTATTGATATTGGTAGAATCAACGGTAGGAGTATTAATTGCCTCTGACAAACTTTCGGTTACTGATTCAGGGTTCAAAGTCGCGTGGGAAGTAGATCTAGTGGAACTTTCTGTTGCAGAAGAATCAGTTCTTGAGCTGAAAACATTTTGGGTCTCAGTTTCAGTAACGGGAATTATAGGTTGTTTACTTTTGGTGGTAGAATCTTCTATATATGTTTCAGTTGGTTCATTCATACCTGTTTCATTGGTCCATGTAATTTCCAGAAGAGTTGGATCTTTGATATCAGATTTAGTTCTATCCGTATATGACTCCACTGGACCTTCTGTTACTATCTCAGTCTTTTCTTTGGTATCATAAATATCTGTAGTCTCTGAATCAATAGTTTCTACTGTTTCATAAGTAGAGTTCACTTCTGATTCGCTAGAGAAAATTTCAACAGTACTTTCTTGATCAGAATTTATACTAGATGAATCAGTACTACCTTCTGTTGGCTGAGTACTTGCTTCAGTTGGCTCCATAGTATCTTGACTGGCTTCGGTGCTGTTTGATACATCTGACTCTGTCTCATTGGTAGGATCTGTTGGTATTTCACTGTGATCAGTGGTTTCATAATCGGATTTGGTAGTTGACACTACATCAGATGATTTATCTACTGAATCTGTATTGGTTTCTAGCGAATCTGTAGTGGTGTTAGCTTCAGATGGATCTGGAGTATTATATGTTGTAGGTTCTTTAACTTCTGTAGTTTCTCCGCCTGGGTATGTGGTTTCTTCAACTGAATTTGTTGTATCCTCTGCAACATTTGTTGATATATTTGGTTCTGAAGTTTCCTCTGAATCACTTGTTTCTGTGTTGTCATTGATGGTTTCATTCTCTGATTCTGTAGTATCAATTGGATCTGGTCTGGAAGAAACAATATCGGTTGTCTCTTCAGCTGTTGAAGTGGGTTCTACTGATTCTGATATGGTTACAGATATAGTTTCCGATATTGGTTCTTCTTCTGTTGTTGTTTCTCCTATTGTTGTTTCTCCTATTGTTGTTTCTTCTGATTCTGGAATCAGAGATGTTTCTATTTGAGTATCAGTGTTAGTTTCATCAAGTGGTCTAATACATTCTTCCTGCCAACATTGTAGTGGTAAATCTGAATCACCTTCCCGGTAGTCTTCTGGTGTACATCCATGAACATATGTAGCAGACTCTCCGTTGTTCCAAGAATATATGATCACAAGGGGTGTGGTGCACGTAATATCATCGATACTTTGTGCTTCCATTACAAACGACAAGTAGAAATGGTAGAGAGACCCTTCGCTAAGAGGATATACTGGTAATCCTCGGGAGTAAACCATAATATACGTGAGATAGTTATCTGGTGTATTAATTTCTGGAATATTGATTACATCTACTGCACTTTCTGGAATAACAGAACTGTCAAGTTTGAATTCGATAACTACCTCGTACGAATTGTCTTGAATCCATTTAATAGATTCGAATCGGAATATTTCCACCGGTGGTACTCCACTATCAGTTCTGTCTAAAGTAGCAGTACATACGCTATCTCCGTTCCACAGGCTTGGACAATCTATTGGTTCTGGTAAATCTGTTCTTGGATAATTAACAGTCTCAGGCTCATCATCTGTTTCCGAAACTGTTTCTGTTTCGGTTGCACTAGTTTGTTCAGATGCAATATTACATTCTTCCGACCAACATACATTTGGTAAATATATCCATTCTGAATCACAATCATTTCCATACATCCACGTCAGGCCATCTGACGCTTGATACATTATGTAAAACTGTCCAATACATGTAAGCAGGTCCAGAGTTTGTACTGACAGTGCCCATGATATGTAGAAGTGATAATGCGATCCACCAGAAAATACGATTTGCGTTTGAGTTTCGGTACCGTCACTCATTAATTGGACAAAGTATACATTGTACTCGTGCCTTTCTGGGATTATTTCACTGTTGAGCTTGAACTCAATAATTGCTTCGTATACATCATTTTCTAACCACTTGACAGATACAAATCGAAAGATTTCCACATCTGGAGAACTGAGTTCATTGCCATTTTCCAAACAGTTATCTGGTACAATTTGACTAATCAACAGATCTGGACAATTCACTGGCTCTGGGAAATCCGTGTTTGATATAGTATAAGTGGATACTTGTTCTGTGGTGGTTTGCTCTGTTGTTTCTTCAGCTTCAGTGGTTGTTCCAGGTTCGGAAGTAGTCTCCTCTGGACACACAGGATCCCAACATTGGAGAGGATAATAATAATTCGCATTACCTTCCGGAACACAATAATGAGAATATTGCACTTCAGCCATAGTACTGGGAGTCATCCACCGGAAGAATATAGAAAATGGTGTTGTACATACTTGATCACCATCTAATTGTACTGTCATAGCCCACTTGACAAAGAAATGGTAAGGGGAATCAAACAGTATTCCATCCATGATAGCGTAAATCCAAGCTGGATCACTCGCATAAGGATCAGGTACTTTATGGTGTGTGATCCAGATTTGAAATAAGTTTGAGGGATCGATAGAAGTGTTCACTTTAATCTCAAGTGTTACTTCATATATCTCGTCACTACCAACAACTGGTCTAATAGAGACATATTCAAACTTTTCAAATTCAATACTAGGTAAATTGGCATTCATTGGAACTCCATCCAAAGGATCACACATACTAGTAAACTGCATAAGACAATCTTCAGTTTCATAACTGTATGTAGGAAATAACTCAATAGTTGTAGGATCAGCAGCTAGATCTGAATTAAAGGAATCGGTATCTGACTCCGCTAGAATCGCTAATAATAAGTAGAAAACAAACAATATTTGTTGCATTGTAAAATGGTCAATAATTTTAGTTGCAAATAATAAAATTGCATAGCAAGTTGGAACTTATCCATAAAAAAAAAGAGAGAATCAATGGAGGTATTTATGTTTATAGGAATTGAACGTGGAATGCATGCTTGTCAGGTATACTCGCAAATATTTTGAAGCGGACATTGGGCAGGAGCGCATCATAGAATGCCGCCGGCATATCTCCTGTTTATTATTTAATGGTCATTATATTTTTTACTGGGATAAGGCTGCAAGGCGGCAAATATATTCAAGGTAAATGTCTTTGGCTATCTGTTAAAAAAAATAGGACCCTAGTGAATGTAACCTATAAAACTGGCTTGGATTGTGCAAGAACTCAGCCAAACCTATTCTTGGTTTCGTAATTATAATGTGGCTAGGGTAGAAAGCTTAAATTTGTTTTTTGTTTCTATTGAAGATCCTGTTTGGGATGATGCTTGAGATCAAGAGAAAGTTTTTGTATGCACGAATCTGCACCATTTTTTCAAAATACAAATATTATTTTCGTACCAGTTCCAAAAACAAAAAAAGAAACCCCAGTGTTTGGAGATTTGGAGAGTAATATCCCAAAAATCATGGAGGCTTAAGTTTCCTAATTATGTATATATTGCCCCATATTGAAGTCATTTATAGTTGACAACTATTCCTTTTTTAAAATAAGGGGTGTAGTCCCGTTAGTTCTTTCCTTGTGCAAGTTTTCCCATCATCATTTAAAAGTATTTTGGAAGCGCAACACCACGATGATAATACAAGGGGAGCATTTGCCCAGAAGTATGTTCAAAATAGAATGTAAATCGAGTTCCCTGCTAAGAATAAATAATATTTTTTATTGCAATTTCTTGGCATGCACAAAAAATTCTTTACAAGAAAACTTATTGAAAAGAATGAATAAAAAATATATCATATTAATTGTGAGTTTCAAGTGTTTGGTGTCAAAAGAAAAACTTTGAAAACCGCCCTTGCATGCTAGACTCGGAGCAAACATGAGTTTATTAAAGTTTGTATCTTTGAGGAATAAGATAAAACTAATCTTACTAATGGCTGCAAATACATTATCTTATATCCAGTAGAAATGGATAAATTTCATCCTCAGATGATGGTCTAAAACTTAAAGTTAATTATCATGGTTTTTTTTAACAAGGTGGGACTAACAAAGTTGAAGCCTGATATCAACGGCTATAACTGCTGTAATATCTAAACTCAATAATATTACACATATTTTTTTTTAATGCATGACCCCAATATTCTCACAATTAAAAGAGACGATAAAATACAATGGAAAAGAAAAATATTTTGCGACAACTGTTGGAGTGTGGAATATATTACACATATGCGGGTTCCATGAGGAGTGTAAATCATAAAAAATATAATGTGTGTGCCATAGAGTTAAATCCGTGGAAATTTAATGAGAACATGATACGATAAATATTGATTCTAATTTAAACTGGGGCATATTAGAGCATATAAATAATAAATTGTAAGATCTTCAAGGATTAGGTTAAACAATAACAAACCCATACTTTGATATTTGTTAGCTAGACGATCAGAAACAAATACAGGAATCTGCTTAAATTTACATCTCTTTAATATATAAAAATTTTTGCCTGATGTATCTTCAAAAAAGAAATAATGAAACATTTCTTATCAACCAAAGCTGTGTGTTTTTATTATGTCTTAGTTATATATCAGCTATAAGAAAACAGCTTTGATTCGAAGTTTTATGTTGATAATGATATTGGGAAATTCAAAACTACAACCACAATGCAACTGATGAAGTATGAAATAGTTATTTGATTGAATTCAATCGTAAGCTTTCTGAAGTTAGTAATGTAGACGGCAAGATCTATTTATAAGATCTGGTTGTGGTGGTTCTCATACTACTATTTAGATAATAGATATATGAAGTCAACATAAGTTATAGTTTCATCAAAACTTATCTCAAATGGGTACAATACAGGTTTATCGAATACCTCGGCAGAGACAGGCTAGTGTTGAGACCATAAACAACAGTAAGGAAATCTAGCATTAGAGGCGTAGGGGAAAGAGATCGTTTTGAAAAAAAAGAAAAAAAAATGCGAGATACGACTCTACCGCACTTTGCACCATTTTGCATCAACTTGCATTATACACATGCGCGCATCACTATTGCATTACTAATACATAAAGGAGCTTAAATTTGCCTGTTGTGGATGACACAGAAACACATCTGCGTTGTACTTTATGTAATTGATTGTCAAATTTCTTGGCCCACACTCCACAAGCTTTTTTCCCTTGCATGGTACAAAAAGATGTATTTTTTTTTTCATTTGATCTAGGTCAAAATGTTGATTAGAAAGAAGGATGATGAGTGCTTGTGGCATTTCTTAAAAGAAGTTCCCGCTGGGAATTCCGACGGATAAACCATTGTTCGATCAGGCTGGCAGATTTTTGATCTGCTCGTGTATTCACTAGGTCAACTCTGTATGTATGTTGAAAAGCTTCTTCTCAGAGAGAACTCATGTAAGAGAATTTGCGATAATCTAGATCCAGCTTAAATAAAAGTACGTTGAATTAATGTAACAAAAGAGGAGAAGTCTTCACTTTAGAGTTCCGACGTGTTTGAGCTGATTTTTAGATGTGATACTGGAATACATTATTCATAGGAGCAAACTTTCCCTTCGTTGAAATGACATTGCCTTTTAGTGTGGGAAACTCCAGCCCGTGTTCGGCTTTAAACGATGAATCGTAGCAACATCACGTGGAAACACCCTGTTCAAAACAACAACTACAGCCGGAATAGTTGTCTTATATGAAATTCACACACCATCAGCTGACTGGTTGCACTACCACATTGGTTAACTTGATCTAGTAAAACTGTCAACAAAGAATATCAACACTAGCGAAATCATATGTTTGTGCGCTACCATCTTCAAGCCTTTTGTTCTAGAACAAACGGCGCCGATGATCTGATTAGAAAAAAAAAAAAAGAGGTTACAAAATTTTCTCTTTCATCAGCTGTTTCGTTAACTTTTCCCCTTTTACAACAGATAGAGTTCCTAGATTGTATAGAAATGACTGCTGACATCAATATAGATACTGCTAATTTAGAGCAATTAAGAGATATTCTCGTGAACAAATCAGGAGATGTCAAGTTGGCCAACCGATTCAGAGCCTTATTTAATTTGAAGTCTATAGGTGCTGATCAAACCGAGCAGCCAGAACAGGCGAGGAAGGCAGTTGAATATATTTCTGAGTGTTTCAAGGACAGCTCTGAGTTGTTGAAACATGAAGTTGCCTATGTTTTGGGTCAAACTAAAAATTTAACTGCTGCTCCTTACTTGCGAGATGTTTTAATTGACGATAACCAACAGGTTATGGTTAGACACGAAGCTGCTGAAGCCTTGGGTGCCCTTGGGGATTCTGAGTCATTACCATTATTAAAGAAGTACTTCGTTGAAGACCCTGCTTTGGAAATCAGACAAACCTGTGAGTTGGCTATTGAAAGAATTAACTGGGAAAACTCCGAAAGTGCAAAGACCGAAAAGTTGGAAAAGTCATTATACACTTCTATCGATCCAGCACCACCTTTAGCCACTGACCAATCTTCTTCCAAGATTGAGAAGTTGCAACAAATCTTGAACGACCAAGACAAGCCATTGTTTGAAAGATATAGAGCCATGTTCAGACTACGTGATTTGGGTACTGATGAAGCTTGTTTAGCATTAGCCTCGGGATTTGATGATCCAAGTGCTTTATTCAAGCATGAAATTGCTTATGTTTTCGGACAATTATGTAATCCAGTTACTGTTCCTTCATTGATTAAAGTATTGAAGGATGAAAGTCAAGCAGGAATGGTCAGACATGAAGCTGCTGAAGCTTTAGGTAGTATTGCCACTGATGAATGTTTGCCTGTATTGCAATCATTTCTTGAAGATAAAGAAGATGTTGTTAGAGATTCTGCCATTGTTGCATTAGATATGTATGAATATGAAAACTCTAATGAATTGGAGTATGCCACTGTCAACTAAGCTTTATATATATATATATATATACTTATATATGTTTTATTAATTCTATATGAACACTAATTGTTAGTTCTAAATCTATACCCACAAGAAGTACAAGTGTAAAACACGGTAGCACCTTCATCGGCTGATCTTAGTTGTAAGGTGTGATATGACATTTCTTCGTTACCACATTTTGGACATTTTTCTTTAATGGTGGCACCTTCGTCTAATTCGTCCTTCTTCAACGAGGTTTTCACTACTGATCTTGCCAGTTTTAATGTGGATGGGAATGCATCTTCACTTGAAGTTGTTATGACCTTTAAATTTGCAAATTTTGATTTTGGGTATGATTCATGGCAAACATGACATTGTATGTGAGAGCTTGAGCTGTGGGAGTCTAATAAATTACCACAATATGTGCAGAATATCAATGATCCAACGACGGACATGGTTTATATATATATATATGAGGTGTGTGAGAAGATATGGTGGTGAGTATATGATAAGATGGATGATAGTTCTTGGATAGATTAATCTTTTTTTTTTTCAATGAGATGAAGACAGTATTGCAGGTTAGCCCGAGAACTGCGAGGACTTTTACAGGTTAGGACCATGCGAGTATACAGCAGCAAATCCATCAGTTGCAGCAATAGCATGACACAGATGTCTGACTTCTGGGTGCTGTTGGTAACTGTTCTTGTATATCTGCAGTTTGCACCGTGCAAAGATGGTTACCAAAACTGATTTTCACGATTGTTTCACAGAAAGAAGGAAGCTGCAACGGTGTGGCTACCACCGACGCCGAGCTCTAAGTTTGCAAACTAGCACACTTGTGTTTACCATTCTACTGATATCGATTGCAAACGTCGTATAAACATTGGAACTTGCTGACCATCTAGTTCCGCTTATCACCACAGTATAGCGTCACATGACACACATCACATGCCATACATCACCTGACACCCATCACATGCTACACGTCACATGACTGCGACTTTTTGGGACGCGCACATCCGCGACGGAACGACATAGAAGAAAAAAATTTCTATGTTGGAAAAATACACCCATTAGCCCACTAGCAACTTATATATCAATCAACATGGCTGCACAAGGTATGCCAGATTTATCCAATGCCATAGTGGCACAAGATGAAATGGGTCGTCCTTTCATCATCGTTCGTGACCAAGGTAAAAAACAAAGAAAGCACGGAATAGAAGCCACCAAGTCCCACATATTGGCTGCCAGATCTGTTGCCTCCATTGTCAAAACCTCATTGGGCCCTAGAGGTCTCGATAAGATCTTAATCAGTCAAGACGGTGATATCACCATCACCAATGACGGTGCCACCATCTTAACACAAATGGATTTGGACAACCAAATTGCTAAATTGTTGGTTGAATTGTCTAGATCCCAAGATGACGAAATTGGTGATGGTACCACCGGTGTGGTTGTTTTGGCCAGCGCATTATTGGATCAAGCCTTGGAATTGATCGAAAAGGGGATCCATCCAATTAAAATCGCTAATGGGTTTGACGAAGCTTGTAAGATTGCTATTGACCAATTGGATAAAGTCGCCGATGTTGTTCCTATCGAAGACGAAAGCTACTTGTTGAAGGCCGCCAAGACTTCCCTTGGTTCCAAAATCGTTAGCAAATCTCACGATCATTTCTCACAAATGGCTGTAGATGCAGTTATGGCCGTGGCTGATCTTGAAAGAAAGGATGTTGATTTCGAATTAATCAAGATTGAAAAGAAGGTTGGTGGATCCATAGAAGACTCGTTATTGATTAAAGGTGTGCTATTAGACAAGGATTTCTCCCATCCGCAAATGCCTAAGCAAGTTAAAGACTGTAAGATTGCCATTTTGACTTGTCCATTTGAACCACCAAAGCCAAAGACCAAACATAAGTTGGATATCTCCACCGTGGAAGAATTCAAGTTATTGCAAGAATACGAAACGAAAAAGTTCCAAGAAATGATTGATTTGGTTAAACAATCAGAAGCAAATGTAGTTGCTTGTCAATGGGGGTTTGACGATGAAGCCAATCACTTGTTGTTGTCCAATGGCTTAAATGCCATCAGATGGATTGGAGGTTCCGAATTGGAATTGTTGGCTATCGCCACCAATGGTCGTATTGTTCCTCGTTTTGAAGATTTGTCTCCAGAAAAGTTGGGTTCTGCCGGGATTGTCAGAGAATTGGAATTTGGTACCACCAGAGATCGTATGTTGGTGATTGAAGATTGTTCAAATAGTAAAGCTGTCACTTGTTTCATTAGAGGTTCTAACGAAATGATTACTGCTGAAGGTGTCAGAGCATTGCATGACTCTCTTTGTGTTGTGCGTAACTTGATTAGAGACAACAGAGTTGTTTACGGTGGTGGTGCGGCCGAATTGACCTGTTCTCTTGCTGTTTCTGAAGCTGCCGATAAGCAAAAGGGTATAGATCAATATGCGTTCAGAGCATTTGCATCGGCCTTGGATACCATTCCAATGACTTTAGCTGAAAACTCTGGTTTGGACCCAATCGAAACTTTATCTCATTTGAAATCAAAGCAAGTGAATGAAAACAGTTCAAGATTGGGTGTTGATTGTCTTGGAAAGGGTACTAATGATATGAAGGAATTGTTTGTGATTGATCCATATATCGGTAAGAGACAGCAATTGTTGTTGGCCACTCAATTGACCAGAATGATTTTAAAGATTAATGATGTTATCATTAGTGGAAAAGATGAATATTAGAGAAAGCAGTTTGTAGAGTTACTTTATAAATAGGTTTTAATAAAGGTTTTTAAAGACGTATAACCTGTAATATGATCTGATTTGCGGCATTAACATCTTTAACTACAATTGACAATTGTTTTTAGCAACCGGTATTTCATATTTCTGTGTTTTTCGATCTAATTCAATCGCTATTTCTAACGCCTAAAAAGACAACGAATACGAACAGCAGAGTCAATAAAGTTTGGTTAGAGTGATTGAAGGACGCGACCTAGTGGTGATTTGTTTGAATGTGTCTGACAAAGTGGTTGCTTTCAGCATTTTAGTATAATTTTGCAGAATTTCCAAATAAATAGTTGCAAAAAAACAACAAATACACTACACTGTGCAGAATGGAACAACTCTGGAAAACTGTGCATAGAGTAGCTTTCTTTTGGGAATTAGATCAATCTGATCACCTCTAGATAATGCACATACACAACTGACTGTATTATGTATCGATCTTAGACAATTTCAATCAGATTTGATGGTATCGCAACTGTGCAACCCTTGACCGGAAATGGGTCATTCTATACGGAAAACAATCACGTGAATGTGACGAGAATGGCACGTGACTAAACCCGACCAATTCTCGCGGTCCGAAATCTGGTAGCGCGCCCAGGTCGTGCGCCGGCATTCAAAAAATCGGCAGTGCGTTCAGGTGGCCCAAAAAAGGAGGCCAACTGGGAAATCACCAATTTCATGCTTATATACCATTCTAAACCCTCCTCAACTACATCCAGCATTATCCATAGAGATCAATCAATTTCAATTGGGCACAGCTAGTAGTAACCTTTCCAACATTAATTGAATCATTGTATTAATATAGTTATTAACCCAACTTTTCATTCCATTTCAATTACCCCCCTATCGATATGAGTAGTATTGGAACGCCGGCCGTTGTCATGGACAATGGTACCGGATACACCAAATTAGGATTCGCCGGTAATGACGCACCATCATTTGTGTTCCCCACCGCCATTTCCACCTCAACAGCTTCTTCCAAAACTTCCAAAGGTGGACCAAGATCCACTAACTTGGCCTCCAAACGAGGATTGGAAGATTTAGACTTTTATATCGGAGACGAAGCCCTTGAGGCAGCCAATGGACCAAACTATAGTTTGTCTTATCCTATAAAGCATGGTCAAATCGAAGATTGGGATCAGATGGAAAGATTCTGGGAGAGCTCCATCTTCAAATACTTGAGATGTGAACCGGAAGATCACTACTTCTTGTTGACTGAACCTCCTTTGAACCCACCGGAAAATAGAGAAAGCACAGCGGAAATTATGTTTGAAAGTTTCAATTGTGCCGGGTTGTACATTGCTGTCCAGGCAGTGTTGGCTTTAGCTGCCAGTTGGACCTCTCCAAAGGTTCAAGACAGATCCTTGAGTGGTACCGTTATCGACTCGGGTGACGGTGTCACCCACGTTATCCCTGTTGCTGAAGGTTACGTCATCGGTACCGCTATTAAGAACATCCCATTGGCCGGAAGAGACATCAGTTCATTTATTCAACAATTATTGAGAGACCGTGGAGAAGCCGACACTAGTTTGCAAACTGCCGAAAAGATAAAGGAGCAGTTTTGTTATGTTTGTCCCGATATCGTGCAGGAGTTTTCCAAGTTTGACCATTATCCAAAGGAAAAGTTTGCTCAATACATTGTCGAATATACCGATAGAAACAAGAAGAATATCGTTGATGTTGGTTATGAGCGATTTTTGGCACCGGAAATCTTTTTCAATCCCGAAATTTGCTCTTCCGACTTTTTGACCCCATTGCCAACTGTTGTAGACCAGGTCATCCAAGCTTCTCCTATTGATGTTCGTAAGAAGTTGTACAAGAACATTGTGTTATCCGGTGGTTCAACCATGTTCAAGGACTTTGGTAAGAGATTACAAAGAGATTTGAAGGTGCTTGTCAACGAAAGAATTCACTTGAGTGAACGTTCCAGTGGAGCTCAAAGTACTGGGGTTGAAGTTCAAGTTATTTCTCACAAGAAGCAAAGAAATGCCGTTTGGTTTGGTGGTTCTTTGTTGGCGCAAACTGCTGAATTCAAGAGCTACTGTTACACAAAGAGAGATTATGATGAGCAAGGACCAAATATTGTTAGAAACTTCTCTTTATTTGCTGTACCATAGACTGTAGGGATACACAAATAGCAAAATATACATCTAGATGTCGACATTGTTGACGTAGCCACCCCAAAGGGTTGATGGTGGGCAGGTAATAAAAAAAGGGTCGTGCACTTTGACTGAAATTGAGATAATAAACTGAAGTGACCGCCAACCTGAATTGGATTTATCAAGCCAACCTCTTTTAATCCATTCACTCTCATACTCACAAACACTCGAATCTGTCTCCAATATGTCATCATCAGCTACTGCAGTTGCAACTACAGCACCAGCAGTTCAGGTGGTGGACCCTGTATTGAGCCAGATCTTCAACGGTTTGAAATCGCCCAGGGAAGAAGAACGTTCACGATACGCCCTTGAGCTACGCAATTACTTGACTTCAATGGCCCGTGATTTGCTGTCTGAGCAATTCAACCGTCTTGACGCCGACATCAACCGTAAAATCTTTGATTTATTGCATCTAGAAGAAACGTCACAGATACTTGGTGGTATCGCGGCCTTGAACGCCTTGATTGACTTTGACTCCGGTGTCGGCAAGGAAAACGCCAGTAAGACAGCAAGATTTTCCAACTACTTAGGTTCATTGATTTTATCAAACGAATTGATTATCATGAAACAAGCCACGAAAACTTTGGGTAAGTTGTCAACCTTAGGTGGTAACCTCACGGGAGATTTCGTTGACTATGAAGCTAAACGTGCCATTGAATGGTTGAGCGATAACACCAAGCAACACGAAAACAGGAGACACGCAGCTATCTTGATTGTCACAGCATTGGCAGACAACGCCCCTACATTGTTGTACCCTTTGATTAACGACATACTAAAGCATTTGTGGGTACCCATAAGAGATCAAAAGTTGATTATACGAGAAGATGCAGCATTGGCCCTTGAGAAGTGTATGATCATTATTTATGACCGTGACGTGAACCTACGCAATCATTGGATCAAACGTATGATTGACCAAGCTTCTAAATTGTTGAATGAAAATGATATATCGGACGCCAGCGATGCCAATGGAGGGGCCCCGGGAATTACGGCAGCCACGTATTTAATTCCGTCAGCCTCTAGCTCCCAATCCACGGAAAATATCCATGGTTCATTACTCATATACCGTGAATTACTCAAGTTCTACCGGGATCCATACATCTTTTCCAAGTTTGACCAAATGTACGAGAACACTATCTTGTATAAGCATCACAAACTAGCGATCATAAGACAAGAATTGACAAACATATTCCCATTGCTTTGCAAAGTCAATACCGAGTTATTCGTGGAGAAGTACCTTCATAGAACGCTATATTACTACTTGTCGCAACTTAAAAAGTACAAGGGCCAACACAGCGAGACCGCCAATGGTGACAAAAGTGCAATTTTTAAAAGCATTGGTTTATTGGCATTGGAAGTGGGGAACCAAATGGCAACGTATTTAGATGCAGTGTTGGACAATATAAGAGAAGGTTTGTCATATGCTTTTAATGCTGGTGTTCAACTGATCTTGGCTAATGCAGTATCTTCAAATGAAACTCCCAATATCAACTTAACTCCATCCAGTTCATTAACCTCAGGATCAAAGTACACTGTGAGCAGAAGAGAAACAGAACCAGCTATATTTGATTGTATTGGTAAACTATCAATATCAGTAGGACCGGCATTGACTAAACATCTACAACGAGATATCTTAGACATGATGTTTGCCAATTGTTCATTATCACAACACATGCAAGATGTTTTACAGACACTCATCACAAATATACCCACGTTGACAAACCTTATTAATGAAAAGTTGCTTAATCTTTTAAGTTTAGTACTATCAGGAAAAGGGTTCCAACCTCCTGGGTCGCCATATGGATCAGTCAAGGTCAATGCATCGCTCGCAAGAGATTGCCGTTTGATTATGATTTCTCGTGATACCGGTCTAAGTATAAACAATGTCTTGTTGAACCAAGAACAATATGAACGGTTAGACAGTCAGATTTTAATTCAAGCATTACAGATGTTGGCATTTTTCCAATTTGAAAACTATCAATTGAACGAGTTTGTAAGATATTGCACCATAACGTATCTTGAACATAGCAATCCTCAAGTCCGGTTAACTGCTACTGTGACATCATGTGAGATTTTCGTCAAGGATCCAATCTGTCAGCAAATCAGCGCCAATGCGTTGAATGCCGTTAATGAAGTTTTGGGGAAATTGCTTTCCATTTCAATCACTGATCCGACACCAGAGATCAGACTACAAGGATTGAATTGTTTGGCCAATGCTGGTAACTTTGACCCGCAATTATCCCAGGCTGACAATGTTCGATTATTATTTATTGCATTGAATGATGAAGAGTTTGCGATAAGGCAAGTGGCGGTACGAATCTTGGGAAGGCTATCATCAATAAATCCAGCATACATTGTTCCTTCATTACGTAAAACGTTGATACAATTGTTACAGAGGTTAGAATATTCCACCACAAGCAGAAAGAAGGAGGAGAGTGCAATTTTATTATCGTTGCTTATTGCCAACTCCAAAGAATTAGCAAGACCATATGTTAAACCGATAGTAGAAGCATTGATCACCAAGGCTAAAGATCCAAGTTCATCGGTAGCGTCAAGTGCAATTAATTGTTTAGGAGAATTGGCGGTTGTTGGTGGTGAAGATTTGAAACCATTCATCCCAAGCTTATTACCATTGATATTAGATACATTTCAGGATCAAAGTTCTTCGTATAAAAGAGACGCGGCATTGAAAACATTAGGTCAATTAGCATCATCTTCGGGATATGTTATTCAGCCACTCTTGGATTATCCACAATTGTTGGGAATGCTTGTAGGAATTCTCAAGCTGGAAACCTCGCCTAAAATAAGACGAGAAACAGTAAGGTTATTGGGTATTCTCGGTGCACTTGATCCATACAAACATCGTGAAGTTGAACAGAATTCGCAAAACATCCCTGCAGAACAAAATGCCCCTTCAATCGATGTAGCTTTGTTGATGCAAGGAATGTCACCATCCAATGAGGAATATTACCCTACAGTAGCTATAACGAACTTAATGAAAATCTTGAAGGATCCATCGTTGAACATCCACCATACAAAAGTCATTCAGGCTATTATTTACATATTTCAAACTTTAGGTTTAAGATGTGTGTCATTTTTACCACAGATCATCCCAGGAGTTCTCAATGTCATGCATACTTGTCAACATCCAATGTTGAAGTTCTACTTTCAACAGTTGGGAGCAATGATATTGATTGTGAAGCAACATATCAGACCATTCTTGAATGATATATTTGAGGTTATAAAGGAGTTCTTCCATACCCAGCCTAATACATTACAAGTAGTTATCATAAATGTGATTGAATCCATTTCTAGAGCATTGGAAGGTGAGTTCAAGATGTATTTGCCAGGAATTTTAACATTATTGCTTGAAGTTTTTGAGGAAGACAAATCACCCAAGCGTACACCTTCATCACATGTGTTGAGAAGTTTTGTCGTGTTTGGAAGTAACATTGAGGAGTTTATCGACATCATTGTCCCTAATGTAGTGAAGTTATTTGAAGTTGGTCCTATAGAGTTACGAAAATTGGCAATAGAAACTATTGGTAGATTATCCAAGAATGTCATGTTGAATGAAATGGCTTCGCGAGTAATTCATCCGCTCTTGCGAGTGCTCAGACAAGGCAATGATGAACTTAAGGAATCATGCATTAATACGTTGAGCTATTTATTGATACAATTGGGTTCCGAATTTACAGTGTTTATTCCTGTCATCAAGAAAGAAATCTTGCAACAAAAGATCCATGCACCAAAGTTTGAACTGTTGGTTAGTAAATTGATTAGTGGAGATCCCTTGCCGCTTCATTTGGATATCTATAAGGATTATGATCAAAGTAGTTATGATGTTGCTGATTCAGATATGCCTTCTAAGAAGTTGCCGGTTAATCAGAATGCGTTAAAGAATTCGTGGGACGTCAGTCATAGACGGACCAAAGAGGATTGGCAAGAATGGATTGGAAAATTGAGTAAAGAATTATTATTGCAAAGTCCTTCCCACGCAATCAGAGCCTGTGCCGGTCTAGCGTCAGATTATTACCCATTAGCCAAGGATCTCTTCAATGCCAGTTTTGCCAGTTGTTGGAGTGAATTGTATTCCCAGCACAAGGAAGAATTGGTGCAAGCATTCTGTATTGCCCTTTCATCACCAAGCAATCCTCCAGAAATCCATCAAATCTTGTTGAACCTTGCTGAGTTTATGGAACACGATGATAAGTCATTACCTATTGCAATCACCACCCTTGGACAATATGCACAGAGATGCCATGCATTTGCAAAGGCATTACATTATAAAGAATTGGAATTTTATGAAGAACCCACGACACCAACTATTGAGTCGTTGATTAGTATAAACAATCAACTACAACAATCTGATGCTGCTATTGGTATATTGAAACATGCTCAATTACACCACGATTTACAACTTAAGGAGACTTGGTATGAAAAATTACAAAGATGGGATGATGCATTGAATGCCTATAATGAGAGGGAAAAGACTGAACCAAACAATATGGAAATAACCATGGGGAAAATGAGATGTTTGCATGCACTAGGAGAGTGGGAACAACTTTCTGAGTTGGCTCGGACCAAGTGGGATAGTTCCAGTAGTGATATTAAACGGAACGTTGCCCCTCTTGCCGCTGCATCTGCATGGGGGTTGGGTCAATGGGATAGAATGGATTCATATATCAAGGTTATGAAACCAGAGTCGCCAGATAAAGCTTTCTTCAATGCTATTTTGAGTCTTCATCGTAATAATTTCGAAGATGCTTCTAATCACATCTTAAAGGCGCGTGACTTGTTGGTTACTGAAATTACTGCTTTGGTTAGTGAAAGTTATAATAGAGCTTATGGTGTTGTTGTTAGAGTGCAAATGTTAGCGGAATTGGAAGAAATCATCAAGTATAAGCGCTTGCCACAAGGATCAGAGAAGCGGGCTATTATGCGCAAGACTTGGAACACTAGATTGTTGGGATGTCAAAGAAATGTTGATATTTGGCAAAGAATGTTGAAAGTACGGGCATTGGTAATCAAACCTAAACAGGATATGGATATGTGGATCAAGTTTGCTAATCTTTGTCGAAAGTCAGGAAGATTGAATTTAGCAGAAAAGTCTTTGAATTCGTTATTAGAGGAAGGATCACCAGAAAACCCTTCACGTGCTCCTCCACAAGTGGTTTATGCCCAATTGAAATATATGTGGGCCAAAGGTCAACGACCAGAGGCATTACGTCATTTAGTTGATTTCACCACCAGAATGTCCCAAGATCTTGGCTTGAATCCAAACGATTTGATAACTCAACCATTACCATCTGAAGGTCCAGGAATACCCAAGCATGTTGAAGAATATACCAAGTTGTTAGCTAGATGTTTCTTGAAACAAGGTGAATGGCAAATTGCATTGAATAACAATTGGCGTACCGAAACATCAGAAATTATATTAGGTGCATATCTTTTAGCTACTCATTTTGATAATAAGTGGTATAAAGCATGGCATAACTGGGCACTTGCCAACTTTGAAGTTATTTCATTATACACTAGTCAAAATGCCGGCAACAGTAACAAGATTGAGATTGTTGACCAAAATGAAACCTCAGCCAATGGTGACGATGAGCTGCAAGCAAAACAACCTAACCAACCCAATATCATTCCTATTGAAGCGGTTCAACGACATGTTATTCCTTCAATCAAGGGATTTTTCCATTCTATCGCCTTGTCACATTCTAATTCATTACAAGATATGTTGAGATTACTTACATTGTGGTTTAAATTCGGTGGTATACCAGAAGCTGCCCAAGCCATGACCGAGGGGTTTAATATGGTGAAGATTGATAATTGGTTGGAAGTTATACCTCAATTAATTTCTCGTATCCACCAACCAAACCAAATTGTTAGCAGGTCATTGTTTGGATTATTGACAGATTTAGGTAAAGCACATCCTCAAGCTTTGGTCTACCCATTGGCTGTTGCTATTACATCCGAATCTGTCAGCCGTAAGATTGCTGCACAATCAATTATTGAAAAGATTAGATTACATTCTTCTACCTTGGTAGATCAAGCTGAATTGGTCAGTCGTGAGTTAATTAGAGTTGCAGTTCTTTGGCACGAACAATGGTATGAAGGATTGGAAGATGCTTCTAGACTATTCTTTGGTGAACACAATACTGAAAAGATGTTTGAAGTTTTAGAACCACTTCATAGAATGTTACAAAAGGGACCGGAAACAATGAGAGAACAGGCATTTGCCAACGCATTTGGCAGAGAACTCGCTGATGCATACGAATGGGTTTTGAATTTCAGAAGAACCAAGGATATCACAAACTTGAACCAAGCATGGGATATCTACTACAATGTTTTCAGAAGAATTACCAGACAATTACCACAATTGGTAAGTCTTGAATTACAATTTGTATCACCCAACTTGGAAAGAGCATATGATTTGGAGTTGGCACTTCCAGGTACTTATGAAGCCGGGAAGCCCGTGATTAGAATCATTCGATTTGATCCAACATTCTCAGTGATTTCATCGAAACAAAGACCAAGAAAGCTTTCTTGTAAGGGAAGTGATGGTAAGGACTATCAATATGTTTTGAAGGGACATGAAGATATCAGACAAGATAATTTGGTTATGCAATTGTTTGGATTGGTAAACACATTGTTGGTGAATGATCCAGAATGTTTCAAGAGACATTTGGATATCCAACAGTATCCTGCTATTCCTTTGTCGCCCAAGGTTGGTTTGTTAGGATGGGTGCCAAACAGTGACACTTTCCACGTTTTGATCAAGGGATATAGAGAATCCAGAAGTATTATGTTGAATATTGAACATCGTTTATTACTTCAAATGGCTCCTGATTATGATATTTTGACATTGTTGCAAAAGGTTGAAGTTTTCACTAGTGCTTTAGATAATACCAGAGGTCAAGATTTGTATAAAGTATTATGGCTCAAATCCAAATCATCCGAGGCTTGGTTGGATCGTCGTACCACTTACACTAGATCATTGGCAGTAATGTCTATGGTTGGGTATATACTTGGTCTAGGTGATAGACATCCATCGAATTTAATGTTGGATAGAATCACAGGGAAGGTTATTCATATTGATTTTGGTGATTGTTTTGAAGCCGCTATTCTTCGAGAAAAGTATCCTGAAAAAGTGCCATTTAGATTAACAAGGATGCTTAATTATGCCATGGAAGTAAGTGGTATTGAAGGGTCATTCAGAATCACATGTGAACATGTCATGAGAGTGTTACGAGACAATAAAGAATCATTGATGGCTATTTTGGAAGCATTTGCCTATGATCCATTGATTAATTGGGGGTTCGATTTCCCTACCAAGGCAGTTGCCGAAGCCACTGGTATTAGAGTGCCTCAAGTGAATACAGCAGATTTATTAAGACGAGGACAAATTGATGATCGTGAGGCAGCAAGATTACAAAAGCAGAATGAAATGGAGATTAGAAACGCTCGTGCCGCCTTGGTTTTAAAGAGAATCACTGATAAATTAACCGGTAATGATATCAAGAGACTTAGAGGATTAGATGTTCCTGCCCAAGTGGATAAGTTGATTCAACAAGCTACAAGTGTTGAGAATTTGTGTCAACATTATATTGGATGGTGTTCCTTCTGGTAGTAAGTTATAAATGTGTATTAATAAATTATACTATGCGATCTTTTTAGAAACGTTGGTGAATCCAACACCCTTGATTGAAATGGTCATAAAGTCTTGTTCTTCAAGTTCTTCAGCATCCTTGAGGAATGCTTCGGTGCCAAACACATCTTTAATATCTCTTAACCCATTAATAAGGTTTTCATCGACTTGTTGTTTGTGTATTTTGATTCTTCCCACGTCTTCCTTACCAATTGTCATGTAAACAAGAGACAACAATAATTGATATCTTCCTACAACTCCACTGTTGGTCAATTCTTGTAAAACTTGATAGGCAACAACTTCACCCAAATCTTCAGGTAAGGAAGCAGCCTTCCCCACTCCTTCAGCAATGACTCTCCACCCCTTCTTCGATTCCGCCACCAATGTTATTCCAAAACCAGGAGACTTTCCTGCGTTTTCACCTCTCCATACATCAGCTGTGATGTTTACCTCGACCCCGGTCGGTCTTAATACTTGTCTTGCCGCTTCAATCATTCTGTTGACCGTAGATGGGGATACTCGAGTACAGTAGGCAACACCACGTATAGCTGAGAATTTAGGGACATCCAATGCATGAATAGTCAATGGTTGGGGTATTAATGAATTGCATAGGAGGTGCACTTCACCTCCACCCAATGGTGGTGATCCACGTTTGATAATGTGCAAAGATACTTCTCGGACTCCAAACTTTTCCATAATCGGTAACAACCCCCATTTAATCGCATCAACACCAGTATCGTTGGGGTCTTCTGAAGATGTCAATCCTTTGAAGATGATGGAAAACTTTTTCTTGGAGAAAGGAGCAAGGAACAACATTGGTTCTATGAAATACCCCACTGGTTTAGTAGTTGGACAGTTGTGGGTTAATTCACCTCCCGTTATGATACCGGGTCTATATATGATGGTGGTACCAGTATAAGAAATTTCGATATGGGATCCATTAGTCACTGCCTCAAGCAATCTCAAGAACGATACTTCGTGATCTCTTAACCCTGGGTTCATATCATTGGATCTAATCTTGGTAATCTTGATTGGTTTCCCTGATAAAGTGGAAAGGATCAACCGAAATCTGAAATTCCTGTGGCCTTCAAAGAGGGTTATGTTTGCCTTTACACTTGACATTGTTACAGGAGAATAGGTATGAGTGCGAGAGCGAGATATTGCGTGACTGAGCCTAGAGGATTAACACCAATTCTATACGGAAAGGTCCCCCGAGGAGGGAATTTTTTTCAATGCTCATCCCAAGTACAAAAAAGTCACGTGGACGATCGGATCTCGCCGTGCTACCAAACGCCAGAGAATTGGGCGCCCACACACGACCTTAATCGTTCCTGCGACTAACACGGAAAAAAAACAACCCAGCAAAGGTTGTTGGATCGTTATAGCGTTGTGGGGTTTTACGTTGGTCAAGATCAATCAATACAATATCATGACAAATGGAGAACATTTGAAACGTCCTTCCGATTCACAGGTCACGAATAATGGAATTAAAAAGCAGAAAGCGGATGGAGTTTCAGCAATAGGTGGTGAACATACACAAGTGGATTCGTTCAATGCTCTATTCTCGAGCGACTCTATAACTGGTATCAACGAGAGCAATATTGCTCGCAACAATGGATCCAACAATGGCAGCAGTAGTAATGATCAAATAGTGCCTAGCGAGAGCCAGATGAGAGACATGGATTTGGAAACCTTACCAGTAAGTTTACTACAAAGTGCGTCTCTCCTGAATATAAACCACACTGTCCAATCAGATGCCAACAAGCCACGTCCAACTGCGACTAAATCTAACGATGGTACAATTCCCCAAGCTAAAGAGAATTCTCAGGATATCCTCAATAACCAGCAACAAGCCCCAACCCAGAAAGACTCCAACGAAAAGGAGAAGCTAGACAACACAGACCCTAGCAAATTAAATGATGCCATAGCTGCGGCCGGGGTCGATATCCAGCAGGAAGAAGAATTATTGTTTCAGCAACAAATGAACAGGAGATCAGACGTATCCAAGGATTTAAAACAAATTATAAAAACGTCCCAACCACCGGCATTTTTAAACAACTACCATTTAGCTGCATTTATGAATAAAGTCGCCAAGGAAAATGGCGTGCAACAAAATTTCCTTCAAGATGGAGACATGCTTGAGTTAGTTTCCGGTGCTTGCGAAACTTGGTTATCGCGAATCGCTACAAAAACAATTATGTTATCACGCCATCGGAGAAGAGGAATACCAAATGTGACAGGAAAACGAGGCCAGGGACACCACAGCAGTTCCAGTTCAGGGGCATCTATACCGAGGTCCGAGTTATCAAAAGAATTGAGAAATTTAGCAATCAAACAAAAGGAATTAGAAGAAAAAAGAGTCAGTAAACGAATTCTTTTAGGTCTTGAAAAAAGTTCCAGTGATCCAACAGCAGATGCTGAAGGTGGCGATAAGGCAGGCGTGGAAGAAACCTTACATCGTGCTGCTAACGCCACTGCTGCCATGATGACTATGAACCCGGGAAGAAAAAAATACTCATGGATGACTTCTAGCTCTGGAGCTGGTGGTGCTGATTTTGGAAAAGCTGGTTCTGACAAGGAAGGCAATAAGCAAAGCCCTATTATCTCTGTTCGTGGTGACAATGGACTTCGGTTCCGAGAAATCAGATCTGGGAATTCCATAGTCATGAAAGATATCTTGGGAGCCTTGGAAGATGAAAGAATAGGTACTGACAAGGCAATCATCAAAGGATATGCCAAACTTAAGGATTAGCCTCTATATATAAAACCTGTAATAATAATAAAGTGTACTATTAACCCAAGTGCTACCAAGTGACAACAAAATCAAAACAAAGAAAAAAAAATAAACAAAGTGTAGATCAGAGAAGTGTTGCCAAAAACGCGTTCTTTAAAAGGTTTGTTATATACCCTTAGCAGAGTCTGTCATATCGGAGATGGATTTCACCTTATCGTCATACTTCAACTCCTTTGATGTTGGTAAGGAATATTCCGTTGAATTCTCAGATCTTGAATCCAAACTAGAAACAATTACAGGCTCGTTAGCTGACAACCCCGAATCCCTCAACTTTGATAATGAACTTTTTGATGATGTTGTAGAGCTAGTTCACGGTTTCCTTTCATTGGAAGGAAAACATCAAAAGCAATTAGCTTATTTAATTACATCGTCATTTAATGCCATTGGATTGGCCACTATCGCTACAGTTGAAAGTGGTGATTTTATAGATTCATTGGATAATATCAAATCCACATTGGAAAAGTATGGATACTTGATGTTTGTCATCCTTAAGTTCTTGGGTAAAGAGGATTTCTCACAAGTGGGTGGACGATCCCAGAAATCCGTTCCAAAACCACTATTGGCCAAATGGAAATCCAATTGCTTTGAGGTGGAAAACTGTCTCACTGCTATAACAACAATATTGAAAATTGATCTTGCAAAGATCTTTGTTACTACTCCTGAACGAGATGCATATCTAGAGTTGTTTACAAGACCGCTAGTCAATCTCATGGAAAGTTCTGAAAGAATGAAGTTGGCAGCTATTAGGTCGTTGATGTTCAAGGTTATTGCCATAACCGTGAAAAATCACGGCCATGCCGCTATTATCCAACATTCAGTAATCCAATGTCTTACATATTATGCCCATTTACCTCACTATATGGCAGAACTCTTGCATATTATAGCTGATGAGTATGACTATATCCTATTGACTGAGGAGATTCTACGAGAGATTTCTCAAATCCACTTCAGTGCTAATGATACCAATGGGCCCCGTGCAGTTTCGGAATTTTTGGTCAAACTTTCTGAATTAAGTCCAAGATTGATATTGAAGCAAATGACAAGTATTTCGCAATTATTTGATAATAGTAATCCCACCTTACGGTGCTCGTTGGTTGAATCATGCGGGAACATCGTGGTTGATATTCTTAAAACTACAAGTGGTGATGATGAAGATGGTCATAATGGAAGCCAACAAGTGGAAAAGCTTTTGGATTTATTGGAAGAACGATTACTTGATCAAAATCCATATGTACGTACTAAAGCATTCCAAGCGTTAGCTAAAATTGTTGGGTTAAAAGTTAAACTTACTGAACGGAGACAACGGATGATGATGCTTGCTGTTAGGTCTTTGGATGACAAGAGTACTTTGGTTAGAAGAAACACTATTAAGTTAATGTCTAAATTGGTTCTCAATCATCAATTCCAGAGTCCCCATGGATCTCAGTTGGGTCTTACTTTTTGGAAACAAAAGTTAGAAGAAGCTGAAGCGGATCTTCTACAATATGTTCCTGTATCTCCTCGTAAACAAAAGAAAACATCAACAGCTGAAGATATGGATATTGATAATGAAGAGGAAGAGCACAGCATAGCAATTGAGGATGAAGAACAAGAGGACGAAGAACAAGAAGATGCAGACAAGCAAGCTGATGCAGACATAGCTGAGGATGAAAAAGAAGAAGATGAAGAAGATGATGTTGATCATGAAGAGCTCAACACGTCAATGGTTCAGCAAGAACAGAATCTTCCAGACCGGACAGTTTTATTCCGAGCCAAACTTAAAGTAAACTTTTATCAGGATGCTGTTGATTTTATAGAGGCAGTTCATCATGGAACTGAAGTTATTTCTCGATTATTATTTTCCAAAAACAGAAATGAAGCTATTGATTCTATGGATTTCTTAGTTCTTGCCGATGCATATGGCATTGAAAATGCTAGTGTTGGTATTCGTAAAATGCTTCATTTAGTATGGATGAAAGGATCATCAGATGAAGGAAAATCTGTCCCCTCTCATTTAATCGATTGTTATAAGACCTTGTTTTTAACTGCCCCCGAAGGATCCCGAGTTGAACAAGCTGGTTACATGGCCAAGAATTTGATTGAATTGACCTATGATGCTTCTGTGGCTGATTTGGCTTCTTTGGAAAAACTCTTGGGATTAATGTACAATGAAAAGCTTATTAACAGTGAAGTTATAAGAATTTTATGGCAGATTTATAGTTTTGACCATGAAGAAAACGACAACAGAACTAAGCAAAGACGTGGAGCGATCATCGTATTGGGAATGTTGGCAGTTGAAGATAATGAAATTATAATCAGTGGCATGGAGTCCTTGTTGAGAATTGGGTTAGGTTCAAAGAAATCCGATTTGACTTTGTGTCGTTATACTTGTCTTGCTTTACTGAGGATTGTTCCTACTAGTTACAAAACAAATAATACTGTAAGCACTCGTATTCCTAACGAGGAAGAGGCTATTGCAAAGTTAAAAGCGGTTTTGTTAGATTATAATGATAAACTGGAATGGTATGCAGTAGCTCAAGAAGCAATTGGAGCCATATTTCAAGCATCAACAAAACCTGATTTGGTATGTTCAGATATAATCAGGGCCAAAGGCATTTCCGTGTTTGCCGGCAATGATACAAGTGGAGAATCCAAGACTGTTGGTTTGTCCCAGCTTTTATTCATTGTTGGACAAGTAGCTATTAAAACAATAGTTTACCTTGAGAAGCTTGAAGCTCAATTTAAGAAAAAGAAACATGAAGCAGAATCAAAGAAAAACCATGGTGCTAAGAAAAAGAATGATGATGAAAATGTTGATAATGAATTAGAAATGATTGGCGGGACTTCAGAAGATGACTTCACTGATGCTGTTATCCATGTTAAAGAAAAGGAATTACTTTATGGTGATAATTCATTATTAGCTCGATTTGGACCTTTAGCTAAGGAGATATGTTCCAAGAGTAGAAGATACAATGATACAAATTTACAAAGATCAGCTTTGTTATGTATGGTGAAATTAATGTGTGTATCCTCAATTTATTGTGAAGAAAATTTACCATTATTGCTTACAGTATTGGAGAAATCAGATGATCCAATCATTCGATGCAATTGTATATTAGGATTGGGTGATATGGCTGTTTGTTTCAACAATGTTGTTGATCAAAGTACCGATTTCATTTATGGCCGCTTAACCGATAAGAGTGTTATGGTTCAAAAGACATGTTTGATGACGGTTACATTTTTAATCTTGGCAGGGCAAGTTAAAGTTAAGGGTCAGTTATCATCGATGGCCAAATGTCTTGAAAATCCCGATCAGGGCATAAGTGACATGTGTCGATTATTCTTTGCAGAATTGGCAACAAAAGATAATGCTATTTATAACGGATTTATTGATATTTTTAGTGGATTATCAAATGATCAAACATTATCTAAAGATGCCATGAAGAGAATTACCAAGTTCTTATTGTCGTTTATAGATAAAGAAAGACATCAAAAACAATTGGCTGAGAAGCTATTGGTAAGGTTAACAACTTGTCATTCACAAGAACAATGGAATGACGTGGCGTTTGTTCTTGGTGCTATTCCTTATAAGAATGAAACTATTACTGCTGCATTAGACAAGGGATATTCTTTGGTTCTGGCAAAAGATTGAGAAGTAGTTTAGAGTGTGTAATATCAAAATCAGGATTAACATATGGCTCTATAATATAAATTGTGAAGTAGAATAGGTTTATTTTCCATGTCCAAAAAAAAAAAAACACTACACAGTTGTCACTCTGCACGGTATTGATCCAGGATATCTCAAACCATGTCAGATCAGTTTCTTTTCCCGTATTTATCCGCGGATAAATATGAATAAAGATAAATATATCATTGGCAGGCTTGCCTTCTAGAGCTATGAAGATATTGATAAGATTTAGCCAAGCAAAAAACAACAAAATACTCGAACTTTGCTCGATGCAAGAATTTGATTATGAAATGCAAATTTTATTCTTGGTATTTGTATCTGAAATACCTGCATTTCTGGAGAATTGTTTCCTTGGTATATGGCACCTGGTTCGGAGATTCTCTAAATTTTTATTATAAATAGATACAATTTTAAATTTGTATGATGTTATACAGACTAGTTGAATCAAATTTATTGTCAAACAGAGAATAGACTCTTCCTTCTGACATTACTGGCACCTTTCAGATCCAACTTCAGAATTTCTTTGAAAGCTTGGAATTTAGAGAGTTAATTACTAAAGGTACTTTATGCTATATGTGCTGATATATAATTGGTCAATCTGTGGTGATAGCCAAGTAAAGTATCTATATAAAATAAATCTATTTTTTTTTCTTTTGGCATACCAGTGTCACTCATTTAAGGTTTACAGTTGAAAACGTCATTGTTTTCATTTTCCCAATTATTTTAAAAGACATTATCGCCACAAGTATGTTGTTGGTAGAGGTAGAGGGTAAGAGAACAAAGTTATCACTGGTTTTGTTATATTTTTTTATTTGAAGTGGTGAACACATCTTTGTGGAGCATTTTAAACTGAGAAGGGTAGAACTCCAGGATTCCATTTTTTTGCAAAAACTGTTTAATACTTGCTATTATTTTTGGCATCCTGTAGGAACTTTGGTTTATTATGCAAATTTATGCATGAGCGGACAGTAGATCGAACCAGATATATTGAGATCTTAAAGTATTTTATTTGTCAACATTCCTCAACATGACCTTGCATCTATTTCGCCAAGGATTCAAAACAAAAAATAATGAAGTATAGTATTTTTTAACATCTATAGAAGATTCTAAACTGTTTTGCAAGGGTCGGGGGACCCTTTTCTAATACACCTGTTTATCAAATAATGCCAACCCCAACAACCCACAATTTACAGTAGTCTGCAATTGCAACCTGAAGAAGCTTACCACAACAATATTTTGCAATGGTTATAGTACAACAATGAATCTGTCTCATTGCAAACCCAAAATCTATTAATTGCGTTGTTATTGTTTCGAATTCCGAAACTTTTCCGTGGTCCTTTTATTGGAAGTGATACAAAAACTTTGAAGTGATGTTTTCTTATCTAACTTAGCATGATATGTGGAGTGAAATACATTGGATAGCACGATTTCTTTCTAACTCTTGCCAAGATTGCGCTTACTGGCGCCTCATGTTTGACAAAAAATTGCATTAAAGAAATACTGAACATTGTCTAATACAACCATGCATGAGTTTGCCCAAAAAGCATTTTTTTGCATCCAGCCAAACAAACTTGATTGTCTTGTTTAAGATTGGGGGGTATATAAGAATTGCTTTCCTTCCACTCTTTTGTAGTTAATTTGTTACCCTTTTATAGTAGTTAACTTCCCAATTAAATCTATTAGTTATTGAAAATGCTTCAAATTTGGTGGATTTACTATTTTCTACTACAAATAGTAGTAGGTGCGAATTCTGAACCCACCACTGTGTATTTATTTCCTGCATTTTCTCATGAAACAGAAGATTGTGCTATCCAATGGACTAGTATGTGTGATCCCGTCGAGGTTGATCCGCTGAAGAACACCAATAATCCCACATTGGAAATTTTTGAATACAAATATATTAGGCAGGTTATTGGTAATGATGATTTATATGAAGTGATGCTCGAGGTGAAAATCGAGGATTCCATAGATCTTGATTATTTAAAGCAAATATATTTCACACATAGACAAGTCCCTGATATGGAAAATGATTCCTTGTGGATTTTTGACTCAATGCTGAATATATTGATTGATTCGCCTTATCACATTTTTGTCAAATGGGTGATGGTGGCGCAACAGCATAGCGATCAAATGTGCACAACACCGTTTGAGCTTGTGTATTTTTGGCAGGTACCTAGAGCTGATAATCCAGAATACACAAGTATGGTGCGTCCTAATTATTTCCATGAGTGTCAAGACCTAGGCGGAGGTGCAAATTACTACCCTCTCCAATGTTGGGATCCTGTCTGTGCAGAGGAGACCACTACTAGTGAACCAGAATCGGAATTAACTAGTGGAATCAAGACTTTTGAAGAGGAAAACACCATTGTTGAAACCAAAGAAACCACTCTTGTCACTGTAGTTTTACCAAGATCTGACATGTCAGAGTCAGCAACTACCATAGATGCAAGTTCTACAGAAGAAGTTGCAGATCTTCCAACCGTAACCGCTACGTTACTAAAACCAATATTTATAGAGTTATCTCCACCTGCAATCGAATGTCCCAGTCTGTGGAACAACACCCTTGAGGATGTTCCCTTCGGAGGCAATTCTAGAACACAAGGTTATCCTGAACTAGAAATATTTGAATTTGTATCTATTAAGTGGTCACATAGAGATTTTTATGAGGGAATTTTTGAAATCAAGATTGCTGATATTTACCTGATAAGTGAATTGCGATACATTAAACTTGATATGCCTTACCATCTCGGCGCTAACTCTGTCTATCTTTGGGATGAATCTAATAATGATTGGGGGTCCCCGTACCACTTCTACGTTTCCTTTCTATTTGAGGCACAAACTATTGATCAGATGAAGTGTACCAATACTATGGAGGTACATTACTGGTGGCCCAATGAATATATTTATTATTATCATGGTACCCAGGGATTTTGGCATGAACCAGACCTGTCAATTCTATGTTGGGACGAAGTGTGTGTTAGACCACCTAATGAGAGTTCTACAGAGGAAGACATAGATGTACCAACTGCAACCCTTGAGCTACTAGAGCTGATATCAGATTTACCATCGCCTATAGATTGTCCCAGTCTGTGGAGAAACGGAGTCTGTGACTATCCTCTAGGTTCCGGTTCAATTTGGAATAAAAACGTCAAACTAGAAATATTTGAATTTATTTCTATTAAGTGGATACAAGAAGATTATTATGAGGCAATTTTAGAATTTAAGATTGACGATCTTTACCCTGCAAGTTACTTGGAACGGATAGATATTTATATTGAAGATCCTTATAATTATAACACTCAAATAAGGCTTTACAATGTTTGGGAAGGAGGTAGTGATGTCGATGAGTCACCGTACCACTTCTACCTTTCCTATCTATTTGAGGCACAGACTATTGGTCAGTTGAAGTGTACTAATCTTCTACTGATACACTACTACTGGAGCTTGGTCGATCATTCTTCTTATTATCATGGTTGTGAGGAAAGTCTTGGAGAATATGGTCTGTTTTTAGACTATCCATTGCAATGTTGGGACGAGGTATGTGTCAGACCACTTGAAAGCTCTACAGAAAAAGAATGGGATTCAACTTCAGAATCAGGTGAAACTTCTGATACTCATAAGTCAAATGAATCTAATATAGTATTTGAGACCAGTGATGAAACTGATATATCTAGTGAAGAACCATCATATTCAAATGACTTCGCTGAACCTTTAGACACCAATGAACCATATAATGAGACATCAAACTCAGAAAATGGAACCAACGACCTTGACTCGGCTACTGTAACTTTTGATGAGAGTGAGGGATCAAGCACTATTGGAATTGAGCCAGTGGATAATAATACAACGGTTGATTATTCCACCGAACCTGAAAATGATACTCAAACAGTTACACAAACCGTTGAATCAATGGTCGAAACTACATACCCTTCACATCTCTCGGAACTGACAGAAGAAGAATCCTTTGCAAATGGAGAAACTACTGTGACAGATACTGATGAATCGAATAATGTCAAAGAAACTATTGACATTGATATAACTAGTCAAGTTAAAGCTACAACTCAAGTAGAAGCAACTGATGGAGCACATGGAGATATCACTGAAATTATTGGAGAGACTACCGAATCCTATAACGACGATATAATAAATTCTACAGCAGCACCTGCAGAAGATGTACCTTGGTTAGAATCAGAAACTCGAGATGAAGACAACTCAACTGATCAAGTCACACCAGAATCCTCTAAGCCAATTGCTGAATCTAGTATTTCCTTACCTAATAATGATGCATCAGATCCAGCTACAAACGAATCGTCGAACCCACTCACTAAAGATTCTCATGAATCAGACAGTGGAGTGTTAACTAATTCACCTATTGAAGTCTTAACTGAACCAGTATCAGAATCCCAAGCAACATTTCTCACTGGGGAAACAACTTGGTTTGCATCAGAGAGTCCTACTTACCAGAGAAGTAGTCAACCACCCGTGGAAACGAATAGTGCTAATACTGAGGGTACAACTAGGTCACTATTGGAAACAGATGAATTAAACATAAATTCAACTACAACAATTTTCCTGGACCAGTCAGTATCGGGTACCGGGGTCCCAGTTGGTTTGACTTCTGAAGATTCAAAGGAATCAAGTCTAAACCCGGCTATATCCAGTAAATTGTCAACTGGATCAGGTACACAAATTCCAACCAGCTCACCTAGTAAAGTGCTTTCTGATGTATCTATACTGAACTCATCTAAACTTGGTTCCAGAAACCCAAGCATGTTGTCCACTGGAAAACATACTAATGCAGATCCAAACCCCAATACCACTGATAAGTCAGAAGGGAATTCTTCAAATAGTGCACATGGGAACTTAGTCACTGCTACAATAACAAAGCCGGACACTACATATGTAACAACAATTACCCAACCATATAAGTTACCAGTTATAGTTACTACTATTAGTGGACCTGATACTACATATGTTACTACGATTACTGGATCATATAAGTCTCTAGATGCTGTAACTACAATTGGAAGATCAGATACTGCAAACGTTGTCAACAAATCATCCAATAATGTTGTAGGGGCCACAATAGTGGAGCTTGATACTAACTATGTTACCACAATTACCCACCCTGGTGGATTTTCCAAAGTAACCACTGGAAATCAACAAAGTCTTGTATCAACTACTTCAACCAGTAGTAGTCATGATCCAGCTGTTAAAGTAAGCTCTCTATTCAATGCTCCTGTCGCTATCCAATTCCATCCATCAGGGGAGCAATACCAACAAGAGCAATACCAACAAGAACAAAAGATCCAAGGAACTAATATTCTCACCGGTGCATCTGCAACTATTGGGTCAGATGAAAGAACTTATCAAACACTGATACAAGCTGTCTCCACTGCTTCGAATAGTGATTCTGAAGTTGTACTGTCTATACCTGTCGCAATTACTAGTAGCTCTGAAAATACTGTAGTTGCAAGCTCTGCCCCAGAAGCAACTGAGGAATTTGAAGGTTCTGCTCCAATTCTTAGAGGTGATATTTTTATGGTATGCTTATATTTAGTGTCTATTTTATTAGTTTAGAATTTGTGTATAACAATTAAAGCTTTTGTTTTAGTTAGTAATGGTTTTATTTTTTAATCAATGGGTTGATGTTTCCCGAAGATAAGTAAAGGATATTGTGAGCTATAGAGACTTTTGAAAAGAGAGTTGCCTGACGTGGTTGTGGCTGCAATGTCTCTCCATTTATTGACTCTCTTCCTATTTTTTTTTTTGGGATCGGCCGGAAAAAAAAAATGTTGGGATAGAATGTCGGATCATATATAATACACTGATGTCACTAGATTTCCTTTTTTTGGCTGCTTTTTGTTGCCATTTGCTACCAAACCACCATGATACAACGAATCCAACATGGCATTGCCCAATTACTGGGAATCATTGGTCTAGATGAAGCCAGTTTGAAAGTTTTACTATGCACGTTGTTGTCGTTCCCCTTTAGTATTGTATTCAAGAGACTTCCTGATACCAAATACACGTTGAAGAATTTGTACAATATTGCTGTCTCAGCATTTTACATCTTCGGCATACTTGATTTACAATCGGGATTGGGCACGTTGTTATTCTCATCATTGGGATGTTATGTAATTACCAGATACTTGAGAACTCCAAGTATGCCCTGGGTTAACTTCTTTTTCCTTATGAGTCACTTGGCATACAATCATTTTTACCAACAGTTCTTTCATGAGTATGACCGTAATGTAATTGACATAACTGGTGCCCAAATGGTATTGGTTATGAAATTGTCTGCATTTGGATGGAATATCTATGATGGGAAGCAACCTACAGAGAAATTGTCTAAATATGCACAATCAAGGGCTATCAAGGAACATCCCAATATTATTCCTTACATTGGTTATGTTTTCTTCTATGCATCTTTATTGACTGGTCCTGCATTTGATTATGCCGATTATGATAAATTTATTCACTCGACCTTGTTTGACGATGTTCCTGATTCGAAGAGGTACAAGAAGAGGAGAATTCCAAGAAGTGGCAGACAAGCAATCAAGAAAACCTTGCAAGGGGTATTCTGGGCCGTGTTGTTATTTGAACTTCCAAAGTATGTTTCTGTGGAGTATGTATTGAGCGGGAAGTTTGTTCAGGAAAAGTCGTTTATATATCGAATTTTCTATTTATGGATCTTAAGTTTCTTTTATCGGTTGAAATACTACACAATCTGGTCAATTGCCGAAGGAGCTTGTATTTTATGCGGGATCGGATATAATGGGTACGACGAGAAAACAGACAGTTTTAAATGGGATCGTGTGCAAAACATTGATCCAGTCGCATTTGAAACTGGTCAAAATGTTCATGTTTGTTTAGAAGCTTGGAATCAAAATACTAATAAATGGTTGAAAAACTATATCTATTTACGTGTTACTAAACCTGGTAAAAGGCCGGGATTTAAGAGTACATTGTTTACATTTGCCACTAGTGCATTCTGGCATGGTACTGAACCAGGATATTACTTGACTTTTGTTGGAGGTGCATTATTGCAAACACAAGGAAGAATCTTTAGAAAGTATCTAAGACCAATCTTTATGGAAGCCGATGGTAAGACTGGGAAGCCAACTAAGAAGTTGTATGACTTTTTATGTTGGATCTGTACTCAGCTAGCATTTGGATTCTATACCCAACCATTTATGATTTTGAAATTGGGACCTTCACTTTATGCATGGTCCACCGTTTACTACTACCAAGTTTTTATTACTTTGTTGACTTTATTCTTATTCAAAGGGCCATTTGCTAAACCTGTGATTAAATTCTTCAAGTCATTGCATCCAGCTGAACCAAAGGTTGAAACCAAGCTCAAGTTATCTAGCGAAGAGTCCAAGATTGTTGCCCAAGCAGTTGATTCTAAATTGGGTGTTGATTATGAAAGTCCAACTTTGGGAGTTCCCCCCATTGATGTATTGCAGAATATCAATAAGGAAGAAATCGAACATGATGTTGATGAAATAAAGAGAGCATGGGTGTCATTTAGAGGACGTAGACATTCCATCAAGGAGGATGACTTAGAAGGTTTGAAGGATGCCTATAATAACTTTGTTACTGAAATTAACGAAATTTATACTAGTAAGAAGCAAGAATATTTGAGCAGTCCAAACAAGGAAAAGAAAAATTAGTATAAGAGCCAAATGTATATAATTTCTAGAATTCAAATTAAATTTTCGCTACTCTCTACATGGTTACACTTGACTTTAATCTTCTTTCAAGGTGGTTACACATGACTGTAAAGAGGTAGGCGGAAGTAAGCAAAAGAAAGTAAAACCAAGCAAAAGTTACCAGAATAGGATAAATATTTGGTGAACAAAAGGCAATTTGGCTTCTCGTTTAGAATATAACCCTATACGTCCAATCACATGGCCAAATCTATGGGTGATTCCTTGATGTTTCAAATTTAGTTGTTTTGTACTAAAATTTCTTATCGATTTGATCTCGTAAATTTCACTAAAAACTGCACCTGATTGGACCAAAAAGTGCTTGGATCGCTTGATTTCAAGGGTTTATTTAAGTTAAACTTGGTAAAACAAGAATTGGAAGTAAAGTAGAACCGTACACTATCACCTGATATCCAAACTGGTATAGTTTCAAGACATTTTTACACCAATAACCCCATGACTTCGGTGCAGTCGTGCAGAATCTCAAAGTTGCTCTCTGCAAAAAAATTATATTTTTCAACATTTGTATATAAATCTCTTCTTCTCCACTCGACATTGCAGCAACATGTTCAGAACAGCACTCTTAAGAAGGCTAATGCCGGTTCGATACAATTCTTCATCTTCCTCGACCATCTCAGCTAAGGCATCCCCTACTGGGGTTGTGTTTATGAATATGGGTGGTCCTTCCAAAGTCAGCGAGACCCATGATTTCCTATACAGATTGTTTTCCGACGGAGATTTGATTCCGTTTGGCATATTCCAAAACGTTTTGGCCAAGTTCATTGCCAACAGACGTACCCCTAAAGTAGCAAAACACTATGAAGAAATTGGAGGCGGGTCACCAATCCGTAAATGGTCCGAATTCCAATGTGAACAAGTTTGCCAGATCTTGGACAAGACCAATCCAGATTTCGCTCCTCACAAACCCTATGTCGCGTTCAGATACGCTCACCCATTAACTGAAGAAACCTTGGTGCAAATGAAACAAGACGGGGTAAGACGTGCTGTGGCATTCACCCAGTACCCTCAATTTTCATACCTGACCACTGGTTCTTCCATGAATGAACTTTACAGAAAGACATTACAATTAGATCCCGAAAGATCCATTGAGTGGTCTTTTATAGACAGATGGCCTCAACAACCAGGGTTGGCCCAGGCATTTGCTAATAACATCAAGGAAAAACTTGCCGAATTCCCACCAGAAGTGAGAGATGATGTGGTTATCCTTTTCTCAGCTCACTCGTTGCCTATGGAGATTGTTAACCGTGGTGACTCCTATCCTGCTGAGGTTGCTGCTACTGTATACAAGATCATGGAAGTTCTCAATTTTACCAATCCATATCGTTTGGTATGGCAATCTCAAGTAGGGCCAAAACCTTGGTTGGGTGGGAAAACCGCCCAGATTGTGGAGAGACTCGAACAGAGAGATGATATAAAGGGTATTGTGTTGGTTCCGGTGGCGTTTACTTCTGATCATATTGAAACTTTACATGAATTAGATATTGAGTTAATGGATGAAGTCAAAAATCCTCACAAGATTAAACGTGCTGAGTCTTTAAATGGCAATCAAGTGTTTATTGAAGGGATGGCTGATTTAGTCAAAGACCACTTGAGGTCTGGTCGTAAATATTCTAGACAATTGGAGTTGGATTGTATATTAGGTGGTGAAACTGCTAAAGATACATTCAAGCATCCAAGCGAATTGTTTGGTCACTAAAAACAAAACAAAACAAAAAAATAAAACTCTGTACATATTAGTAAATAGTATAGTCTAATCAGAATATTCATCATCAGGATCAAACAAATCTAAATTAAGATCAGTCTGTTCTTCTTTCTTTTTAGTGGTTGTTCCATATCCAAATGAACCTCTGCGTGGAATAATTTCCTCCTGTTCTTGTTTTGGAATTGTTTCTTCTTTCATAACTTCATCCACAGTTTCTTTCTTTACTTCTTCTTCTTCTTCTTCTCCACCCAACTCCTGTTTTATAATTTCATCCCCTTGTAAAGAACTCATAGCAAGCATACCTCTTCTTAATGCATCTTCTGCAGGCCAAATGTAATTATTTGGATGAATTTGAAATGGCATATTGGCCATGGCTGGAGGTGCCTTCGTGAATTTTGCCAATTTCATGGCATACTTTAAGATTTCCTGTACTTCAACTTCACTTGCTGGGGTGACTTCATTCTTGGGTAATCTTGGTAAACTCTTTAATTCATTTCTATAAAAAATCAATTCCCGAAGTATCCCCTTTGCTCGTTCTTCCAATTGTTTATTCTCGTTACTTAATTGATCAACTTGGTAACTGAAATCACGATGTTTGTTCAAATCTTCAATGTTTGACTTGAGAATGTCATTGACTTCGATAATCCGTTTGACCTTTTCCTGGATTTCAACATCTTTGAACTTGGAGATATCATCAGCAATGCCATTCAATAACGTTTCAAATTCATTTACTTTGGCAACTATGGGTAATTTCTCAAACTTCTGGAGGTCTTCCTTGGTCCGTATCTTGCTCTTGATATTGCCTTGTGTAGTAGGGAGGTTCCTTATGGGGTTCAACGACGACGACACGTATGCTGATGGTGTAGAAGGAGCTTGTTGTGGTGGAGTGCCATTGGGCTGGATAGGTGGTTGGTTAAGTCTCTGAGACGAGCTTATTCGTGGGATTGGCTTGAGTTGATTGTCTTGTTTTCTATAGGGTAACATATCACTGATGTTGATATAAAAGGGAAGATTGATTTCAACAATCTCAAGAAAAAAAAAATTGTAGCATCTGTTTTGAACTTGGATGGATGAATGAATGAATGGAACAACCAAGAGGAAAAACGTTTTTGGTGATGAACAAGAAGAGGAACCTGACAACCAAGAGGTAAAACCAAGAAAAAAGGTGTTCAAGCCTCCAGTGGAGGAATCACCTGATGATGACCGTCTAATTGACGACGGTGTTGACTACATGAATTTTAAACTAGTAGAGCCTACATCCAATAAGCCAGAAATCCCTGATGAACAACATGAAAACAAGATCAATCGGTCATTATTTACAAATCAATCCTCTAAATCTATTGGTCTTTCAATTATGGAGAAAATGGGCTTTAAAGTTGGAGATTCGTTGGGTGTAAACAATAATAATGCCATTAAAGAACCGATACTAATTCAGAAACGTACACACAGAATTGGTCTTGCTGTAGGGCAAAATAAAACTGAACCCATGCCTACATATTCCAAAGAAAAAGTAGATGACTTGAAAAAACGGTTGGTTAATCACTCCAAACAACAAGTCGAGATTAAAGAAGTTCGCAAAATCATGAAACTTTGTTTGGAAATGAGTGGTGAGTATGATAAGTATCTTGAAGATTCTGACATAGATGGAGTGAATGAACTATGGAGACCATACTTGATTGAATCTGAATCAAGTCGACAACGGTATAAATTCACCACTGTCAAAGAAAAGACAAAGCAAATACCAACTACGATAGTAGATCTAGTAGAAGATTTAGAACAACGCTCAAGTCGGCTACTTGACTACTTACGCGATACCCATTCATATTGCTGGTATTGTGGAACCAAATTCAATGATCAAGTGGATCTAGTTACTAATTGTCCCGGCAGATCTCGTGATGTGCATTTAATATAAACTGGAATTAAGAATTTTATCTCTATTAAGCTTTGATTGGATATACAATTGGTTGGTTTGATTGATGCTCTTGATTTCACTGCCATCTAATCTTTGAGCTATGGCTGTTGAAACTTGTTCTTTATCAAGCTTATCCAATCTGATATTATTGTATTCATTAGAATAGAAAATCAATGGAGGTTTGCTAGATTTTTCATAGCTAGTAGTAGTTTCGGACTCGTCGGGTTTCCCCCAGTTAATTGTCAATCGACAATCATTTATAGTACTTCCATGCATGTATAGAATTGCTGATTCAGCTGAAGATCGCAAATAGTATTTAATATAGCCAGTTTGAAAATCTGATGAAAGCTTACAATGTATCAAATCACCAAATCCAATAAAATACATCTCCAATTCCCGTTCTGTAAATTTTGAAGCTAACCCTTTAATCACCAAACTTGTATTATCATAATCGGTATATTGATTTAAATCCGGTTGTGGTTGAGGAACTACTACTCGGCGATAATCTACCGTTCCCTGACTTGAAGTTGGACCCTTTTGAATATCCACTGAGGCACCAGATGCTAATCCTACTCTAATTGCTTTTGACCCAATTTCTACCCCATTCATCTCTTGTAATGCACGATTTAATGCTTCCCCATTTAAAAATCTAACAAATCCAAACCCTTTACTTTTCTTGGTAGTTGGATCAATTATGACTTTTACATGTTTTATTTGATTTGGATACTTGTGATTGAATTTGTTGAATAACAATGCTTCACTTACTTCATGGCCTAAATCCCCCACAAACATAGAAAAGTCATTGCTACTGTCACCACCAGATGCAGCATGTCTACTTTGTCCTCCACCATGTCCGCCACCACTAGCATAATTCAATTTGAAATATTTATTGCTGGAAGGAACGGGCTGGCCATTTCTTTGCATAGCCAAATCAACTGACTTTTGATTGTTAAAAGTAACAAAGCAATATCCGGGCTTGGTTGGATTCAACTTATCTCTGATTATTTTTACCGACACTGGTTTCTCAACTAAGGAAGCCCATATGTAGTCTATAGCTTCCTCGGTCCAATTGCTATCTAGATCTCCCATCCACAATTGAAATTGGTTATCTTGCGTATACCGTGAACTATGTTGTGAGTATACATTCTGTCTGGATTGATATGAGTTATATGTTCCCGTTCGTTTCCTCTGTGTGTATGAAGATGAAGATGACGATGAAGATGGAGATGACGAATGATGGTGTTGTGATTGGTCTTGATATCTGTTGTTATAGGTGTTTTTGGGGCGTGATGATTGATATCCTTGTCTTGGTCTAGAGTTATAATGGTCTGAACTCCTCGGTCTATAATTGGAGTTATATGACATTTTTCTTAATGAGCGGTGGTGGTTAGTTGCTTATGGGATGTTTAGTTCAGAAGCTCGATTTTTTTTTTGGTCTGACCTTTTTGTATCTAAATTTTTAGCAATTCTTTTCTGATAAAACTTTTCTAAATTTGTTTGATTGATTCTAATCCACTCGTGATTAAAACAATCGTCAATGCTCATGCGCTCATCAGGGTCTACTTTTAGTAGCCTCTGTATGAAACTTTTACACATGGAACTTGAATTCCTAAACTGGTGTCGATTTAAATTAACTCGCCCAGTTCGTGCAGCAGTAATCATGAACTCTTTTTCTCCATTCCCATAGAATGGCGAAATCCCTGAAAGTAATATATGGCAAATGACACCCAATGACCACAAATCACACTTGAAACTGTATTCTCGCTCTTCCTGGAACACTTCCGGAGCACTATATTCAATTGTGCCTACACAAGTATCTGTCTTTTGTTGTTTACAGTTTGATAAACATTTGGCAATTCCAAAATCGCATAAATATATCCTGGTGCGTGGTACAGGGATTTCGAGGAGAATATTGTCTAACTTTAAGTCTCGATGGACAATTTGTAGTTCTTTATGTAAGTAGGAGATAGCTTTTAGTAGCTGATACACTATGGAAATTGTTTCTTGTTCGGGAAGAGCTCGAAGGTACTTTCCTGTTCTCAAGTATGAGAATAAGTCCCCTCCACAAATTAAATCTTCAAAGATATATATATTGGAGTCATAGGTTATGGCATCGTGTACTCTAACAATATTGGGCTGTAATTAGTTAGTATATGCCTTTGTGATATTTGAAAGTGTTACGTACATGATTGATATTTAACAACAATGTTGATTCCTGCTTTATAAGTTTATCAGGTATATATGATGGTTGGGTAGGTATAATCTTAACAGCATATAATCTCCTATCATGTTGTCTGTTGGCGACATATACAGAACCAAATGATCCCGATCCAATCAAATTATTGGTCACTTTCCAATCATCAAAACAGCCTAATTCAAGCAGATAACAAGATTCCAACTGAAAAGACTTGTATTGAAATTTGGCAGCCAATTTGAATTCAATTGTGTCTCCATCTTGTAAAATCACAGTCATTCCTTTGCTTATTTCCACACCATTATGAATGATTCCATTTCGGGAATTGTCATGCATGTAAACTAGCAGAATGGAGTCATTATCGAATTGGATTGACCAAATGGTGGCATGGATCAGGGATATGACATAATTATTGAGTTGGACATCACACGATTGATCCCTGCCTAAAGTTAGGACCTGTTGAACATAAATGGGGATTTCAACAAAGTCTTCATTGTGGGTGATGTCAATAGATGTATTTACCTTGGTTTTGTTTAATTCTGTAATCTCTAATACTCCAGCTAAACTCATTGATGTTGTTGGAAGGTTTTGCAACCAGAAGGAAGTGTGTATTTTTCCCAAATTCTTTTACAGTGAATTTTTTTAAAATGGCTACACTGTCTTTTGTTGCTTTCTTGTATAAGTATTGACACGATATGTGAAAGTTACGTTTACTTGGATAACTAGAAAAGCCCGATTGGAAGTGAGATATTATATGTTGCTTTGTAAAGAATATTTCCAAAATTTCCTTCAATTTGTTGTCAAATTTTATGCAAACTTTTCACTGTCCTAGTTGACGCACTAAATAACAACCCAAGCTTGTATGTAACAATCAGTTAGTCCCGTATATTTCCAATTCCAGATCCGGTTCCAGTGGTAGCTAAGGCGACTGCCTTTGTAAAAACCTTGCTTATACTACCTCCCACCCATAGTAACCAGCCAATTGGTACTGCATAAAGCAAAGGTCGTGTCAAGTTTCCAAAACCTTTCACCTACAAATTCTTCAATAAAAGATTAACAAAAAGACATCAATCAATTCATATTGTTCACCCACAAGATATATATACAGAAAATGTTCACAAGATCTCTGAGAAACATTGTTAGAAGAATAGCATCCAGAAGATTCCAACACACTGCTACTGCTGCTGAATCCGCTGCTAAGGAATCCCCATTCACTAATAAATATAACTTTGACTTGAACCCACCTCGAGTTCATGAATATTGGAATTACCGTAATGCCACTGTTCTTTTAGCATTCATTCCACTTTTCCTTGTTGTTGCCGAATTAGGTAAAACTGCCGGTAATGGTCTTCGTGGATTGTCCCTGTTTATTGAATTTGCTGAAAGTGAAAAATCTCCAATGAAGGAACAGACCTATGGTAAATCACAAAAGTCTATTTACCACAAAGATGAGTAAATTGAGAAGGTGAGAGGTGTTTGAATGGAACTATTCATATGCATATATATTGAGTTGTCTACTCAAGTTGAATACAGTTTTTTATTTATTACAGAGATGTTTACCTAGGAGGTTTTACAAAGAGAAACGACTTTCCAATTGGTTCATTTTTGTATATTTGTATATTTTTATTCGGTTTAATAAAGAATATCAGACTATTGATGCATATACTGTAGGATCTGCATGTTTATAGCAGTTCTAGCACATCCATAGTGCTAGCTGTAATAGTAGTGCACTTTACAATTTTATTCGCATGAAATTTCATTGGCTCCTCTGAAAAAAAAAAAAACTAAGACCAAAGCAACTGCTAACAAATACGACTATAGTTTGTTATCACCACTAGCAGAGTAATATCCAATACATCATAATGCTTTCAAGAGTGGGGTTTAGTTCTGCCAGATTGGCCAGCAGTAGAATTGCTCCAATGGCTTACAGAGCAGCTGGTTTATCCACCACTGCTGCAAGATTGGCATCCAAAGAAAAAGAACCAGTAACAATGTTCGACCCATACACCAACAAGACTATTGTGTTGAGTGATCCAGAACACCCTGAATTGGGTGATTACAAAATCCCAACCCCAATTAACTATCAAAAGAGAGATCCATACGCCAAATATGACGATCAAGGTAATAGAAGAAATAAGAATGAACCAATGCATCCTGAACAAGATTTGTTAGATATGTGGTCTACCGATAAATACGACCACGTTTCATTGGGCACTGCCTTGAAATACAATGGTATATTCTTTGGCTCGCTTTTTGCCCTTGGATTCACCTTATGGTATTTCGAATGGACCCCAGCAAAGCCAGCCATGATTAGATCATATCCTTATAACGGGTTAGCTGCTGCTTTGGGTGCTGGAAGTGACGAGGATGCTCATTTATACCAAGCTAGACCAGATGTCACTGCCGAAGCTGAATGTGGTATCTTACCTGATGATGAAGAAGTGGTTAAACAAAAGGAATCATATTTACAGAACAACGCTAAGTTCATCAAGGTTGAAGCTGCTTAATAGAACTTTTATCATATATACACAAATCATAACGACTTATGTCAGCATAGGGCAAAAATACCCTTGAACAATTCACACTTTACCATTCTATTTACATTGGCATTCTCCTTGTTGTTTCTTTTTCTTTTTTTGAATATTCAACCGCAATGTATATTTATTACTGATTAACACGTCTGTACTCTAACCTCCTCAGCTCTCCTTCTGCGATACTTCTATTGCTTTCAATCGTCGTCAATCCACTTTAGTTGTACTGGATCTCCTGCATATAACACGGTCAGTGAAATCACTACAAAAAAAAAGAGCTCACTATGAAAACTTCGTTGTTGCCATACAAAAGTGCCAAAGTCTTATCAACTTGTTAATAGAACCTTTTGTACAAATACATCCAGGACAGATGCCACCGAAGAAGAGAGGTGCTGCCCAAAGAGCCCTGGCCAGACTACGTCAGAGTTCACAATCTCAAACCACCACCAAACGAACGAGTGACGCCCCACAACAACACGTACCTGTAAATGGCCATAAACGAAGGAAAACGAGTCAACCCAACAATTCAACACCAAAAGAGGAAAAGTTGGCACACGTTTTGGCCAATTTAAACTTGGCTGTAGGCGAATTGTTCTCATTAACTGAGTATAAGTCGATCGTATACTGGAATCCTAAAGATTATTCAAGTGGTTTACCCAAGACACAAGTTCCTGAACTATTTCAGGAGTTTGCTGAAGATTCAAAGTATAAAATAGTATGGGACGAAGAAATTGAGAACGATAAGGAAGTCAAGAACTTACCACTAAGATTTCAGAAGAAGTTGTTGGCTGAACGAGAGCAAAAGCTCTTGGATAAGTTTCCGTTTAAAAACGAAGTCATAGAAAGAAGTCACGTCATAGAGTCTCAATTATTGGATAGTTTGGAAGAGGAAAAGGATTCCCGCCCTCAGTCAAAGGGGAAAGCGCACTCAGTTAAACAGGAAGAAGTAAAGCCAGATCCCAAAAAGAAGGGGAAACCAACAAGACGCTCCAAAGCAGCAGAAGAAGCAGAACAAGTAGACGAGGAGCAAGAGGAAGAAGTAGAAGAAATAGAACAAGACTCAGAGGATGATGAAGGTACCGAAAGGGGAAAATACAAACTAAAAGTAAAGTACACATTACCACCACCCCTCGTCACTCATCCTTCACATATCCCCAAATGGAGACCCACAACTGAGCAAATGGTAGAAGGAAACAATCAGCAAGAAATAATAGACTTTGACCCAGTACCTTTACAAATCATAAAATCAAACAGTGACACCATAGAAGCACCAGAAGTTGCTGACAAATTACGGAATTTCTTGGACAACAACTACAAGAACCCAATTATTGATGAATCCAACATGCCTGATTTCAATAATACAGCCCAAGAATACGAGTCCATTATGAATCAACAATTTCAATTATTAAAAAAGATATCACATAAAATAAATAATGAAAGCAGTTTAGAATTAAATGGAGAAAAGATCGAAAGACGGAAGATTGTGCTACCACAAACATCAAATATAAAACTCACGGATCCATTCCGAAACACGGGTTCAGTAACCCCCAAACTCCAAGGACTTCAAAACAATTTAACCCATCATGACTATTTACTCAATCAAGGTATTGCATTTTCAAAAGTGCACCATCAAATGAGAAGACAACATCAATTGCGGACCAGGAAAGTGACTCTGATGATTGAACAACATTTCAAAAAGAAGAAGGGAGAGAAAGAACGACTTGCTCGTGAACGAGAACAAAACCTTCGGAAAATTAGTCGATTGGCTATTCAAGCAGTTAAAAAGAGATGGAACCAGGCGTATAAAGTATATCAGTTCATTCAACAGGAGAAAGAGGACGAAATTAAACAAAAGAAGGGAAGAGAACATTTATCACAAATGTTGGAACATTCTACTCAGTTATTAGAAGCACAATTGGCATCTTCGAGAGAAGCAACTGCTGATATTGAAAGTGAGACTTTGTTAAGCGATGAAATGAATGAAGGTAGTGATTCAGATACGTTCAGTTCTAGTTCTGAAGAAGAGGAAGAACTTAATGGAAGTGCCAAGGAGGCCGAAAATGATATGAATCTTTCAATTGAAGAATTAAAGAAGAAGTATGCCAATATGGAAAGCTCAGTCGAACCTTCTTCTAATCCAGAACGGGAAACTGAACAAGATTCAGAAGAAGAAGAAGAAGAAGAAGAAGAAGAATCAGATGATGACGGTATTAACGTAAGCCAAGGTCTTGCCTCTTTGTATGGAATAACTGAAGTTGAAAGTCCAGCTCCTGTCACTCCTTCCACGGAATACACCGAGCAAGAAAAAGAAATAATTGATAAACTCAATCAAGAAGAACAAATTGATAATTCACTTTTAGACTCTGATGATGCCAGTCTGATTTCTGATTGGGAATCTTCTGAAAATGAAGCTGATGAAGAAGTAGAACCAGAAGATGACGAAGAGATGGAAGAAGTTGAAGAAACAGAAGAGAAACCGAATGGTCTTGCAAGCTTATTTAATAATGACATCGAGGACGAATCCGATGAAGATGTTGAAATCAACGAAGAAAGCGGTAGTGATGATTACATGTCTACCACAGACGAAGAAGCCGAAGCGGAAGAAAAAGAAACCAGTAACGGTTCCTTAAAATCAGAAGAACCTACAAAACAAGAACAAGAAGATGAAGAAGAAGAAGAAGTCAAAGTTGAAGAAATTAATGGTTCAATGGTTAAAGACGTTCCATTACCTTCTCTTTTACGAGGTACACTTAGACCCTATCAAAAACAAGGTCTTAATTGGTTAGCCAGTTTATACAACAACAACACAAACGGTATTCTTGCCGATGAGATGGGTTTAGGTAAAACCATTCAAACAATTGCATTGATATCTTATTTGGCATGTGAACACCACATTTGGGGCCCACATTTAATTATTGTGCCTACTTCAGTTATGTTGAATTGGGAAATGGAGTTCAAGAAGTTTGCACCGGGTTTCAAAGTGTTGACGTATTATGGATCTCCTCAGCAACGTGCTCAGAAGAGGAAAGGATGGAACAAACCAGATGCATTTCATGTATGTATCACGTCGTACCAATTGGTGGTTCAAGATCAACAATCATTCAAGCGAAGAAGATGGAGATATATGATTCTTGACGAAGCGCATAATATCAAGAACTTTAGATCTACTCGTTGGCGAGCATTGTTGAATTTTAATACTGAAAATAGATTGCTTTTAACCGGTACACCATTACAAAACAACTTGATGGAATTATGGTCGTTGTTATATTTCTTAATGCCTTCATCAAAAGTTAATCAAGCTATGCCGGAGGGATTTGCCAATTTGGATGACTTCCAGCAATGGTTTGGTCGTCCCGTTGATAAAATATTGGAACAGACCACCATGGGCGGTAGTTCTGATTTAATTGATGAAAATGAACGAACCACTCTGAAAATGGATGAAGAAACAAGAAACACCGTGGCGAGATTACATCAAGTGTTGCGTCCATATTTGCTTAGACGATTAAAGAAGGATGTGGAAAAACAAATGCCAGGAAAGTATGAACATATTGTGTATTGCCGTCTTTCTAAAAGACAGCGATTCTTGTATGATGATTTCATGTCGAGGGCTAAGACCAAGGAAACTTTGGCATCGGGGAACTTTCTTTCTATTATTAATTGTTTGATGCAATTGAGAAAAGTTTGTAACCATCCTGATTTGTTTGAAGTTAGACCGATTGTCACTTCGTTCGCAATGCCTAGATCAGTATCTTCGTTTTATCAACCAACGCTTCAGTTGGTTAATAAACAGTTGGACAAATCGAATTACAAGGAAACAATCAATTTCAATGTTCTTAATCTTGATATTACAACCCGAGACAATTTGAATTATTTTGTTTGTCAATCGTGTGATCGATTGCAATCTTCAAAAGAATTAGAAGAACAGATTACTCAATTGAATAAGCTACAGAATGGGGTAGATTCAAGTGATGTGGACGTTACTGATTATTTGAAATATTATCAGCATTTAAAGGCACATGCGCAACTGGAAGTTCAGGAAAAGTTGAAACAGGTATTATATTTGAATTCGTTGAGATGCAGCAGAAAGCCATTGTATGGAGAGTCATTATTACGTTTCCTTACTATTCCAGTTCTAGATTTTACAGATGAACCATTTGACAAGTTTTCTTTGACCATACCCCAACGAGTTGATGCGATGGGTGACACCATTGAAAAGTTCTCCATTATAACACCACCAGTAGTTGCTCTAGATATGAAGGATCAAATTATACCTATATCAACACAGAGGAAAGTTCTGAATGAAATTGCCACTAATAAAATTGATAATCCATTCCACAAGTCTCAAGTTAAGTTATCTATTGCATTTCCTGATAAATCACTCTTGCAGTATGACTGTGGTAAACTACAGAAGCTTGCTACTTTATTACAAACCTTGACGGCGGAGGGACATCGAGCATTGATTTTCACACAAATGACAAAAGTTCTTGATATTCTCGAACAATTTTTGAATATTCACGGATATAGATACATGAGATTAGATGGTGCCACCAAGATTGAAGACCGTCAACTTCTAACTGAGAAGTTCAATCGTGATAACAAGATCCCGGTGTTTATCTTGTCTACTAGATCTGGTGGGTTGGGTATCAACTTAACTGGTGCCGATACAGTCATCTTTTATGATTCCGATTGGAATCCCGCTATGGATAAGCAATGTCAGGATCGTTGTCATAGAATTGGGCAAGTTAGAGATGTGCATATCTATCGATTTGTTTCTGAATACACTATCGAATCGAACATTCTTAAAAAGGCTAACCAGAAGAGACAGTTGGATAATGTGGTTATCCAGGAGGGTGAATTCACCACGGATTATTTCGGTAAATTCTCTGTGCGTGATCTTGTCAGTGATAATATTGTCGGTGATGATGTTGTTGATAGAACCATTGATTTCTCAGGAGATGTTAAAATGGGTAATGTGTTCGCTCAAGCGGAAGATGAAGAGGATAGAGTTGCTGCTGGAGCCGCGTTGAAGGAAGTTGCTGTTGATGAAGAAGATTTCAAAGAAGAGAGTAAATCAGTGGCTGACACTCCTTCACAAACACCTGCTCCACCACTGACGTTGGCCATGAATGGAGGAGTCATGGGGATTGATGATTTGGGTGATCAAGATTTCGAAGAAGGTATTGGTCATATTGATGAGTATATGTTGAGATTTATCTCCGACGGATACTACTAGAGAGGGGAAAACTGTAGCAAAACAGTTTGTATAACGTTAGCATAATATGTAACATTAAATATTAAAATTTACATGTATTAGTAATAGAAGATGTAACTGATAACTAGGGGCGGAGGCGGGAGCAGCAGGGTTTGTGAGTGTGAGTGTGAGTCAATAGCAAGTCAGAGTCAAATGGGTCAGTGTCGGGGTACCTGTACCCGCTGCCATCGATCTTTGTTTGACGTATTTTTCCGTGGAAAAACGAGTGGGGCTAGAGACAAAATGAAACTTTAAATATATTTTTGTATGACAAAAGCACAACGGCTTAACGGCACATAACTTTCACAAGGAAATGCCATTAGTAAGCTTTCGTTACTTTTGACGCATCCAGTAAAAAAGTCGTTTGTGTCATTATTTCTTTTCTCTTTTTTATATAAAGAATCTTGTTCCTTACTTTATCCTTATGTAGGCCCGCGAACTATGCCAATGGATTTCGATGACACTATGAAAATGGTAACTAGTGATAGCGTAAATAGTAATACTAGTTCAGAATCTTCAGAATCTGCAGATTCTGCCATTGTGGGATCCACATTAACCGATAGGTCGGTGTATATAACCACATGGAGGGAGTTCCTAAAGTACGAACTAATTGATCAATTCTCACCAGTTTATTTTGTGGGGTTCTTAGGATGTGGAATCACCGGCAATATACTTTACGAATTCCCCTATCCTGCCAAATGGCTCCAAATTTGTGGGATTATCATGCACTGTCTCACATTAGTGTTGTTTCTTGCAACTACAGCATTATTAGTGCTAAGTTGTTGGCACTACCCTGAGAGAATCACCCGTTATCATTACGACCCCAGTGTATCTATATTCATGGGTGTATATTCCATGGGGTTTACCACGATTGTTAATGGTGTGCACTATTTACTCAATGGTAAATATCCAATTTTTGTGTGGGTACTATGGTGGATAGGTGTATTCATGGCAGTATATAATGCCACTTTCATATTCTACTTTTCGTTCTTGTCCAAGTTGAACGAACACAAGTTGAAAGACATGAATTCTACGATATTCTTGCCGATAGTGTGTCCTTGTGTGGTATCATCTTCAGGGAACTTGGTTGCCATGACGTTAACCAACCCCAATCACAGAGTAGTAACTTCAATTGCATCATTCATGTTACTTTGTGTTTCATTAGTGCTTTACCATGGCCTTGGTGCCATATATATGGCCAGGTTAGTACTTGTCAAGATTCCTGACACGTACCAAATATTTACTATGTTCTTGCCAATTGGGTTCTTGGGTCAAAGCAGTTATAGTATAATGTTATTTGGAACAAACATGTATGACTTCATCCCCGATAAGACTCTCGCTAGTTCGTTGTTTTTTCCATGCGCCTTGTTTGCCATGTGTTTATTGGCAGGTGGGTATATCTTTACATTCCTTGCCATAATCTCTACTTTGTCCAAGATCAAACCATTTGCCAGGAACTTAAACCCCGAGATTACCGGGTATGGTTTGATCAAATGGAACAAAGGATATTGGACAATGACTTTCCCCTTGGGTACTATGTCTTTAGGTAATATAGAAATCTCAAGAAGCATAGGATTGATACCTGGTGGGTTTGAATTGAAGTTCTTTAAGGTGTTTAGTTGTATGTTTAGTGTGGCGGTGGTTATTATTTGTTTGATTAATTTGGTGGGAATGGCTGATCATATTTGGCGAACTGTTAGGAAAACACTCTACCAACAACATCTGAGGGTAGTTATTGAGGTGGATAAAGTATAGTAGTTTTAATAATTAATAGAATCCATAATTGCTGCGAATTTTTGTAGGACACCAGGCTATTCCTGCATGGTATATTTTGTGCATTTTCGCACGACCAAGTCTCATTCGAAATATGAATTTGTTTAAAACGTGAGGCATAGACCGTATCTTTGTTCAACTAGACTGATACATCACAAACACACACAACCAACATGTCATCAGGAATTCAATCATTGTTAAAGACAGAAAAGGAAGCTGCTGAGATTGTCAATGAAGCTAGAAAATACAGAACCAATCGATTAAAGTCCGCCAAGCAAGATGCTCAAGGAGAAATTGATGCTTATAAGAAACAAAAGGAAGCTGAATTGAAGGCATACGAAAAGGAGCACGAAGGATTGAATGAATCAATTGACAAAGAAGCCGATTCTCAAGTCGAAAAGGAATTGGCTGCTATTAATGCCAAGTATTCTGAAAAGAAGGACGTTGTCGTGAAATTGTTGGTTGATGCCACCATTAAACCAACTCCTGAATTACACATCAATGCTGCGTAAATAAATATATATATATACTATTGTGGTCTATGAACATAAGATGTCTATATAGATTAAATGCAATAACTTTCAAGAAGAAGCAAAACACACATACACAAATTCAAACCCTATTTTCCACCTTTCGATAATTTACTAAATGCCTTGATCTTTTGCCAGATACGATTATCATATCCAGCAATATTTAAACTCTCAACAAATGACCAGGCAGCTTTATCATCTTTAATTGGATAATCAATTGGTGGTGGGATACTAGTAGCAATTCCTAGTAATCTTAATAAAGGCTTATCCATAATTACTGATTTAGCATTACATAGCCCAGTAAGGCCCTCTTCACCTCCAAATTTACCATAACCCGACTTTTTGGCACCACCAAATGGCAATTGAGCCACGTAAAATGTAGCAAAATCATTAATGGCAACATTGCCACTTTCAAGCCTATTTGCAAGTTCATTGAGTTGTGTGAAATCACTACCAAATATGGAATTTCCCAACCCATACTCAGTGCTGTTGGCAATGGTAATAGCATCGTCAACATCATTAGCTTTAATCATGGTAAGAACCGGTCCAAATACTTCCTCTTGGAAGATCCTCATTCCTGGAGTTACATCCACGAGTAAAGTGGGTTCAAAATAATGGCCCTGTGGGTAATTTGGATGTTGATATGGTTTACCACCGTGGATCAACCTAGCACCTTTGGCCACGGCATCATTAATCAATTCTTCAATTTGTTCAAACCTATTATTTGAAATCATGGCACCCATATCAATTTCATCCAATTGATCTATATCTGATCCAACCCTAAAGTGGGATATTCTTTCTGTAAAGATTTCTACCAATTGTTCATAACTCTTGGGTAAACAAATGACTCGTTCAATACCAATACAATTTTGACCAGCACTTTGGAAAGTTCCTCTTAATATAACTGATGATAAGGCATTGATATCTTTAACATCATCGAGAACAATCAATGCATCTTTACCTCCCAATTCAATAACATGAGGTGTTAATTGTTTGGAAGCACTTTGCACAACGTAATGTGCCACTGGTTTTGATCCAATAAATGTAATATGTTGCAAACCGGGATGGGAAGTGAAATATTCAGCATCGTCAGGGAAACAATAACACAATTGAACCAAGTTCTCATCAATATCCATCAGTCTTAATGCCGTTCTAACCACATCAATAAACCATTGAGACGACCATACAACCTGTTCGGAACATTTGACAATAATGGCATTACCAGCAAACACAGAAGCAATTATAGGACCCATCAAGTTATGAAATGGGTAATTCCAAGACACGATTGCAGAAACAACCCCAAGTGGTTCATATCTCACTTCAGCATTCTTCATTAATCCCAAGAAGAAGTTGGAAGATCCCGGACGTTGGCTTGGCTTTAATGCACGTTCACCATTGTTGACGATCCAATTCAATTTCTCAAGCGTAACCATGATTTCCCCCATCAGGGCATCCAATTTGGTTTTTCCACTATCACGACAGGCAATCCTGGCGATATTTTCCTGATTCTCCAAAATGAACGTGGCCAATGTCTTCAAAAGTCTACGCCGTACGCTGAAACTTGAGTGTTTCCAAGCTTGTTGTGCTTGCTTGGCACGACTGATCTGCTCGTCCATTTCTTCGCGACTGGTGGTGGTGAATGTGCCTAAATATTGTCCCGTAGCAGGACAATAACTCTGAATCTTGTTGGGCTCATCGGGAACACGAATTGAGAGATTGGGAGGGTACAATCTCTTACCTTTCCAATGAGGCTTGGCTTCATCGGGTATGCTCACTTGTAACTTGATTGGATCCTCTAACTTGTTGTAGTTGTTAGGGTTGGACGTGATATACTTGGCCCAGACGTAATATAACGTGGGGACAATCACACAAATGAAGAATGTGGTGGAGATTTGGTACTGCCATTGCCACTCTTCAAATTTAAGATCAATTGCAATCATTGCTTGAAGCCAGGTGACAAAGTTTATGCTAAAGCTGCTAAGATTGATCGTGTTGTAAATTTTTATACTTTGCTAAACGAGGGGGATCATGTGAAATTTTCCTTGGCGCAACAAATTTGTTGCGCAACTGGTAGCGTCGGTTTTCTTGAACGACGTGTTACGACGTTGGTTGCGAAATCTATACAAGTACTTCTACTTACGCGTTGTGCTCCTCCTGTAGGTCCTGCTGTTGCAATTGTCTCAACATACCTTCGAAGTCATTGTCATCAGCAGTTCTGGTTTGAATAATCGTACCGAGAAGATTCTGATCAACATAATCCAATAAACAATCAGTTATTCTTGGTTTGTCTTGCATGATCCCTGAGAATTCGTTATAATGGACATACTCAGCCTTGGGAGGTAAGATATCATATTCAAATGTGTCATCTTTTAACCAAAACTCTTTAGGCAACTTGGCCATAATCTTGTTCTCGCCGGAAAGAACGGCAAATCTGATTAAATTAAATGGAATATCCTCTTGTTCTTGTTTTTCATTTGAAATGCCGAATAACCCATACAAAGAAGATTTAATACCACTTCCAATACTTTCAGTCTTGAATTTTCTGGTTTTAAATAATTCCTGTAATTCATCATGCAAGAATTGTCTATCGCTGTGCTCCTTCCAAAGCACACCTGCTCTAATCAAATAAGTCTCTGACGAAAGGACGGTTTCATGAGGCAAATTCTTGAATTGGCTTTCTATTTGAGGATCATGGGCTAAGCACACATCTTGGTATAGTCTAAATGCAGCGTATGGATGTGAGTCATACGCCTTTCTCAATGCAAGTTTAGCTTTTTCTCTGTCATCCAATTTCAAGTGTGCCAACACAGTAGAAAAGGCAATACCGGGAGTAAACCACTTCACATATGTAGTACACAAAGGTGATTCTGCAAACTGGATCAAATACTTGTACTCTTCACTCATTATAGCATAGAAGTCCAAAAAGTATCTTACCCCAAGTGGATCTTCGGCTGGTGAGAGTGACAACAAAAATTTACAGAAGGAAAATGCCGTAAAGAAAGTAGAACGTTCACCCAATGCAATAATGTATCGGAATAAACATAAATAAAACTGACGATTCATATAACTTTCATATGGAAGTCTGATTAACCCGGTGTTTCCCTGGGATAATATTTCATGGAAATGCTTGTGGAAAGATCTATCAAATGTGAAAAGAGCCCTCTCGACCAACGCATTACTGGCAGATTTGTTATCTCCTTGTCTCAACAAAACCATGGATACTTGAAGCAAGGTTTCTACATGGTATGGATATTGTTGCAATAATTGCATTAATGATTCGGGATCCGGCGTCATGACAACAGATGCATAAAATCTGGTATTGGCCACTCGTTCTTTTATGTTATTAACCTTTGTAAATTTAAAGTACTTCACGCCTAATTCCTTTTCCTTTCTAATTTTAGCTTCTAAATCTTCCAATTCGATAGAATCTTCCTTGTATTCCAAATAAGCGGTGTATTCCTCGGGTTTGATCTCTTCCATATTCATTGGCTTTAATGTAGTAGGCAACCAATCATCTCTTATTCTCGACAAGAGAAGTTTCCTGCTGGTTCCAGGGATGCTTCGACGATCATTGCCACCCCAACCTCGTGTAAGACGAGCTAATTTTTTAAATTGCTGTAATAATTCCGGGGAAATTGCCAATGATGTGGTTGCGTTGGCATCTTCAATGGTATCCATGGATAAATTACCAAATAAGTTTTTATACTCTTGATCTTGATCCAAGTTGGATATAGATTTTATGGATAGCAAAGGTAATGATTGCTTTAATCTTTTAGTGGTGAAGAATTTAAAGTTTGAATCGTAGACTGCACTAGGAACATTTACTTCATCAAATTCTTCTTCAAAGTCATACATATCTTCAAGTGGAACATCGGAAGATCGTGAAACTTTGCCACTCTGTTGATCCTTTTTCCTTACTTCGGCCAAAATTCTGTCTAATTCTTCATCACTATCGACGTCTGATTCCTCCTTCTTCTTGGCCTTGGACTTCTTTTTCTTTTTCTTGCTCTTGGGTGGTTTTTGTATGATTACAGCCTCTTCTTCTTGCACTTTTTCTGCAATTGGCTTCTCTTCCTCTTCCTCTGACTCATCAACATCATCATCATTCAACAAAGCAAATGCATTAAATTTTGATATTTTCACAGGTACAGGTTCTTCTTCTTCGTCTTCATTGTCCAGCGCAGGTTCAGGACTCTCAGTTACACTTTTCAGACTGGCTTCCTCTAGCCTTTGTCTTTCCAATCTTCTCAAAGTCCGAGAACTCATGGTTGGTCTGTGCGTTTGAGTGTGTATGTGTATGCTAGTTGGTGAATGACTAATTGACCTTTGCTTTGCTTGTTTGATATCGGCCAGAAAAAAAAAATTGGTCGTCTCCTGCATAAGACACAATGAGTGTCAAAAACAAAATGGTGGGTGCAAAAATAACAGCGGCTATCTGTGTTACACATCGTTTCTTCTTCATGTTATCGTTCTCCCAATGAATTCACCATTCCTTTTCTCTGGTTCTGATAAATTGAATAAATGTGATATGATTAGCAGACCAGTTACAAAGAAGTTATTAGAAGATGATCGTCCCATTGTTGGATCAAGCAAATTGCTATATCCACATTTGAATTCCGCCAATACCTTGTCACCAGGATCGGTATCGACCGTTGACATTCGTTCACCCATGCCCACCATGTCCTTCTCCCCTAGAGATCAACCCATGACAATTGCAAAAAAGAAATTACAAATGGCATTAGCAGAATTAGTGCAATCTGAATACATGTATCTTGGATCATTGAAACGATTACGAGATGTGTTCTTCGATACTTGTGTTGATAATACTGAAAGCTCGTACCTGTTGAAAATTGTGAAGTACTGTTTGCTCCATTTGATTGAAATACATACTCTGTTGATTGACGATTTGGCTAGGTTGTTTCCTAGTGATCGAAGTTTGTACCAAATTGCTGAATTGTTTGCCCAACGAGTTTGCGAGTCGGCAATCTGTCGGTTTTGGTATGAGGAATACATAAAACAGTATGAAGATTTCCTTAAGATTGCCAAGTTGAATAATCAAACACTGAATGATAGAGAAGTGAGTATCAGGTGGGCCACTGCCTGGCAGAAATATCTTGAGAAGTCCCAACAGTCAAAGAAACATCTTGATTTTTCCATTGAGTCGCTTTCCCAAGGTCCCATCTCCAGAATATCAAAATATAAGTTGCTAGTAGAGTCTATTCACAAGCAATGCAAGGAAAATCTTGCCAGTTCTCAAAAAGTAAAATGTTGGATGGATCAAATTCATTCTCATTTACTGCTGATCAACGATAATAGTTGGAAACTACATCAACAACAAAGCGAGTTCAATGAACGGGTAGAAAGTATAATCAACTTCAGGAATATCCCATTTGTCCATGAATTGAGCATTGAATTCTTTGGCAACGCTCTTTTAGTTGGTTCAGAAACAATAATTTGGATTGAAGCTGGCGAAAGGGGAAAGATTTCAACGTATCCTATCCTTGTCTTCAAAAGCCATCTCATAATTTGTGATTGCATAAAATCAAAAACTCGACGGTCATACAAGCAAAACATCAAATTCATTATCCCCTTGTCCAAAACATGGTTAGTAACTGAGTTCAAAAGTTGTGGTGGAATATTCTGTGAGTACCCATATGCATTCAAGATTATTTTTGAAATCAATTCTTGCCAATATGAGTTTGCCATGGTATTCTTGACGGAACTGGAGTTTTCCATATGGAGAAATCTACTAGATACATTAATCAATTATGTGAATGGACCCTGTGATTTAAACTTCATCAAGGATGAAATTAAGTATGTTTGTGTATTTCCTCAAGAGATTTGCTCCTATAATATTGACTTGGATGGAGACAACTATAAAAAGAACATCAAAAAGTGTTACTTTAAACATTCGATCAACATAAGAGTGAAGTTTGATTTCCCCATTAGCGAATTGCAAAGTCTGACTTGCCTAACTAATTACTTTGAAAATGATAATCTGTTGATGTATCAACAACTAGTGTTAAAAAAATCAAATGTGGTTGCAAATCAGAAAAATTTGGAAAGTATATGGAGCAAAGAATTACCCATACATTTCAGAACTACAACTACATTCACTGAAGTCGTGAGAAGCTGGTCGTTACGGAGTACAAGTTCTCTTACAAGAAAATGGTCGTTTAGAAAATTAATGGATCAAACGGAAAGCGATTCTCATGATCTATCAGACGAGCACGATGAGACTAAAGAGGGGAATCAAGTTTCACACGATGACATTCCAGAACCGGTAACTGCACGATCGAATTCGTTGAAACGATTTAAAGATTCTGTAAGTTGGTACATACCGTCTTCAAAGTGATACTACATTAGAACGTGAGCTTTGATATAGATGTATATTTTGTGTATACTTTTTTACTTCATAAAAACATACAAACTTTTATGCTTAAAAAAAGAGTAATCAGGTTGTTTAGTTACCACTATCTCTACCACCATGAGAATCATTCTTGCTGGAATATTCAGGATTGAGATGAACATCCTTCTTGTCTTCACCTTCAATCAAGATCTTCTTGATGATATCATCAACGGAAGTTTTCCCAAATTCATTTTCCAAATCTCCCTTGGATGCTTGGTCAAAGATACCACCAGAACCACGATTTCTATTGGAAAATACCTTGTACACAGATACTAAATCAACTAAAGGGATTGTAGTGTCTCCCTTACGATACTTCTTCAACAATTCTATATCATCGACAAATAAAATGAAATCGACTTCTTGACCTTTATAAAGAACTTTATGTGGGTTGGCCATAACTAAGCTGATTGACTAAGAGTAATTGAGTGGATTGAGATGTAATTGCAAATAATTATGAATAAGAATTGACAATTGACAAAGAGAAAAGAAAGAAAGTAAAAAAAAAGGGGGAATTCATGAGAATTTCAAGTAAAAACGGTATTCAGGGTGAGGATCTTCAAGGAGGGACGATGGTGTCATTCCATTGTAAGCAACAAAACAAAAAAAAATGTGGGGTGAAAAAAAGGATCATCCGGGTAACTTTTAACAGATAACTATTTTTAGTGTGCATATAAACAAACTAATATATGACACAAATGCCACAAGATTGCTGTGTCGGAACTAATAACTTGCTGTTTCATGGTCTCAGTAGTGAATCTGTCCGTTTGTTTTTGTTTGTATTATTGCTTCAATATCCTGTTATATGTTGTTCTAGGTAAAGGACAAGGTAAAACAATTTCTGAAGTAGTGTGACTTGCTTGCAAAAAAAAAAAAAAATAATTGCTCCCTTCAAATACCTGTTCCATTGTATTGACCATTCTAGTCAGTTGATGCACACACCATGTGGTTTTCCAGTTGCTGTGGGCTTAACTTATTTGTACCTATTTATACTATATAGTATCCATTCTCTATCATTTTGAACTACAAGTATTATCTATCAATGCGTCAAGTATATTACATTCATCTCATTAACATCATGATAATTTCCAGAAAGACCCAAGTTGAAGTAACGTTGGTCTTTTGAGATATGAACAGGTGATCTGTATATTTTTTTTTTGCAATTCGTATAATTGCATTGTCGAATCTTGCGTTGTTATTTTTTTTTTTGGTTTTTGAATTTACGACTGGTTGCAAAAGGATATTTTGTATGCAATAGACAATAGAGAACTTGACAAGAAAGTCACCAAATACAATTCTTTTAAAGACAAAAAAATTTATTAAAACTAGATTCATAACAATTAAAATAATGTTACTATACAAAAACACCATGGCGTTATTATATAAGAGTAAATCATAGTAATTTAAAAAAACAAGAACATAAAAAGAAGCTAGAAAATTAAGATAGTGCTCGAAAATTCACTAAATGTACCATCTCAAACCTTTGTATAAAGAACGTATAAACACTTTCCTGAAGTATAAATTTATCCAACTCACAAAATTGCAGCAACCAACAAGTACATTATTGATCCGACACCAGCGATAGCAGCACCATTAGGGACTTCTGTAGGTGCAACAGTTGGTTTGGTAGTAGGAGTAGGTTTAGTTGGTTCCTCTGGCTTTGTAGTAGGGCATGGTTTACCCTCACATATAGTCACAGTCTTGGTACATACTTGAGATTCGGTACATGATTCAGTGATAGTAACCACAGATTTTGATTCAGATACAGATGTTTCTTCTGCACATTCGACGGAAGAACATTCCTCAGTGACAGTAGTTGTTTCAGGGGCATCAGTATTGGTGGCAGCACCAGTTTCAGTGGCAGCACCAGTTTCAGTAGCACTTTCAGTAGGCTGCTCTGTTCCTTGTTCTGTTCCTGTTTCAGCTGGTGGTTCTGTTCCTGTTTCAGCTGGTTGTTCTGTTCCTGTTTCAGTTGGTACATCTGTGGGGTCCTCTGGCTTAGGTTCCTCCGAAGATTCTGTTTCAGCATTGGTGGTTGCAGGGGGTTCAACCTCTGGTGCTGTTGTTTCAGCCTCTGTTGCTGTTGTTTCGGGTTGTGGTTCTGGAGGAGCAGCACAAACCTTAGCCTTAGCTTCTGCACCATTTAAATCCAAGTCTGCAGAATATTCAGGACATAAACCAACAACACAAGTCCAAATATTTTCCCAATACTGATGATCTTGGGCACAAATACAAGCATCATATTCTTCTCCGGTGAGCTCACCACAGACAGGTGTGTCAGCTTCTGCTTGAGCCGAACAACTAATCATACAATCAGCTCTCTTCTGAATGACTAATCCTGAGGATAAAATAGCGAAAGACAAAATATAAATATACTTCATTGTTAATTATGATTATATTCCAAAAAAATTATGATATAACCAGGGCGAGGACGAGGTGGGAATTATTGAAACCTTTATATATGTGCTAGAATGAGGCGGATTTGAAATTGGCCTCTATTAAAAATCTGGATAACCCAGTTTCATTGCATGATTCTCGCGTCACTGAAAGTTTATTCCCAATTAGATGAAATCGCGATTCAATTAGGTTGAAATTCAAAGTACCATTGGTTAACTTGCATGAAGGAGGCAATAGATCGTGACCTGGATTAAGGTTACGATCCGGGCTTGTTTCCAGTTCTAATTTTAGCTTATCTTATGTTTTAAGGTTTTTTTTAGACAACCTGTGGGAATTCCAATGTTGATATTGGAAAAACCTTGCTTAATTTGGAAACCAGCACTAGATTTCCATTCAGGAACCGGGGCAGCAGGTATTATTACACCTATAATTAGAAGTTCAAAAGAAAACGGTAATCATAAAGCTCCTTGATGGAAGTATTTTTTTTTTTGTAAATCAATTGATAATGTGACAAGATCGTTCTATATGAAAATTAATCTGATTGACATATAAAGTTTGAGATTCTAAACAACCAATGAAACTCGTGAGAAACTGTTTACACAACAAATCGGCAAAGCGGGTAAAGTAAATCTGTTCAATCTCGAAACTTCCCGAGGAATTATAGAACCCATGAGATCTTCTTCTTCTGTGGGGTTCCTTAGCCCTGGTATATTTTGTTTTTATTTTAGGAAAGGCACTCATTTGGGGCAGCTTAGTCCAGCAAGTTTTATCCACATTCTAGTTTGGGGGAAGTGATTTCTATTTTAAGAAATATGTTTGACTTAAGTAGCTTTGCATAGTACAGGATTCTCCAAGGAGCAGCTGTACATGTCTTAAAGGTACGTGGAATAACTTAAACGGCTTTGGTGGTCTCGAAATTTTTTTTGCTAAGAAAAATCCCCGCTCAACTGATGCAATCCTGCTAAAAAGCTATAAGTCACATGGCACTTTCGCGTGGTTAGCATCTCATAGGGGTTTGAAAGACACTCCAGACGGTTTTGACACCCACGAGTGTACCCAACATACTAACATGATACGGAATATGGAAAGTAATTTAATTGGCTGGTTTTGGAAGGGTAAATTAACTTGAATAGAAAAGAAACTTTAATGCTTGCTTTGGTTGCATTTGAAAAATTGTCAATACCCCCTCTCTCTCCTTATATTTCAATTTTTCAGCTGAAGAACACGTTTCTCTTGACCTTATATTTCTATTAGCACTCTTGTAGAAATATTACTTCACATGAGTGCTAACAATAAACACCCAAATAGATTTCCGTAAAAGAATATTTTTTTGTTATTTTCTGCAACTGTTGCTGCAAAGTTTTTCTAAAAATACAATACGAGCACTGTATTTTATAAAAATAAACATGAAACAACATCAAGAACAAACATGCACTCTATCTAATTACCTACTATACAAAATCAATTTTAGTGCAGCAGTTCCAAGAGAAACATTGTGTATAGAGCTATATTTAGACTTAACTACTACCCCCTTTTCCTCCTTGCACATCCTAACCACAACATTCTTGTCAACTAAGTTTACTGTCTTGTAGAATGTCAACAAAGAACATTGGCTAATAACCCAGCATATGACAAAGAACAACAATAGATGGAAACATCCATTTTGGAATACAACCTGAATTCGACAAATTTTGGTCGGGTTGCACTAGTTTTAGTCACCCCGATATCAGGACTGATTATACACACTGGTTATAGGATCGATTTGAGATAATAATTTATCCTTTTTCCTATTCCTTACTTGTAGTTCTTTGGAGAAACGCATACTTTTCGGTTTATTGGGGCCCTGGTAATAACTAGGAAGAAACACAAAGAAGAAATTTTACTTTGATGGGTTACGAGATAATAACAAATATATGCAACCTAATAACATAGAAAACATTAGAATAAACTTCCTTCCTTCATTCCTTCCTTCATCCTATTAAGTTTTTTTTGTACTATTGGATATGTTTTAATTTGCATTCTACAAAGAATGTTCTAAGAAAGTTTCAGCCACATTTGCTAAATTTCTACGCAATTATTGTAATTATAAACGAGAATTATACTATTAATTTGACCGTTCGGCTCGATAGAACTGTGGCAAACGGCAAATTCTATTTTCATTCACAGATATTTCCAGTGTGAATAAAACTTTACTGCGATTTTGTTAGAGACTCAGTCGTTGTATAACTATAACTACCTCATAAAAATAGTCAATACGTAAACACTAACCAGCCTGAACTAGTAATATTCTCCAAGAAAAAAAGAAAACGTAAAAAAAAATAATTTCTATGCTATCAAAATAAGAGGGGTTTAACTATTTCATGTTACATATACATGCAGTTACCTACAGTGCACCCCAGAATTTACACCAAATCATCTCATTTGAACCACAGTGGAAAACAGTTGTCCCGTATTGCCGAATAATGCCACAAATCTCGGTTGTAGAGGCCCTAAACGTAAAAAATATTTTTTTTTCAGAACCCGTTGATACCCGGTGTTTTCCCCCTCTTTTTTTTCGTTGTAGGCACGAACAAAAACTTAGCGGCATTTTTCTAAAAATAGCCTTACGAAATGCGTACTTGTATATCCGAGTTTTTTCTTTCGGGGAGGCGGGCAAGGCCAAGCTACGACACCAATACCCAACAATAAGCCCGCATGGCCATACTTTCAAGAACCGTGCGGATTATTGCGGTTTCGTCAATATTGGGAAATATTACAAAGTGGGTAAATTATGGTGGCGTAGAACGATGCCTGGTGGTTAAACGGTGGGAATTTCGGAGTCGCCAATTAGTGTGACGCACTGATGAAAAATAATGAGCTTAAAAAAACAAAAAAAAAACGTCAATTTTTTCCCCAGATTTCGCTTCGCATTACCAACCAACAAACTGAGTTTTGCCATCGACACAGTTAATATATGTAGAAGAATTATCCAATGTAAGAGAGGTAGGGTTTTTCTGTAGATGCTACCAAGGATGAAGTATACATTTCTAGCGTGAAGAAAAAAGTTACAAGTTTCTATTGTATATAGCCGTTACATGCCGCTACTACCAACAAGGTCACTTTCGTATAATAGCGGGATGACATCGACTAAAAAAATTACAGACCCCACTTTTATACTCCACTAGTAATGAACGTTATTGTTATATATATACCCCTCAACTTCCAAAACGAGAACTCGTAGTCGTGCCTCGAACGGGCCAACCGGTCATTACATGTCATCGAGAATACGGTCTCCACTTGATTTTTTATGATTTCTTCGTTTTGATCTGTACCAGTTAAACCAGCTGGCGACAGCAATGTAATAGCTATACATGTACATGGATGCAATCACGGCATTGAAACACTGTGGAGATCTAATGCCTCAAAGCAGTTTTGAAAAAGAAATAAAGTATGTGCAGGCGACAAAGAAAGTTTTGCCTTATGGAAATATTTTTTAGAACATTTTATTTTTTTTTATTTTTGTTGGCCATGCCATCGAAGGACAGACATTTTCCAAATCACGTCCTTTCTTGTCCCCCACAATAAAATTGACAACCTGGAATTTCCCAATAGTATAAATATACCCATGAAACTCCTTTTTTTTTACCTTTTCCGTTTCTCTTTCTCTTCCTCTACAAGTTTATTCCATTAGGCTACTCAGTACCACTAGTGGTTATCCCTATTTAAATTCTTAACTATCCCTATCATGGTTGCTTCCACCATTGACACCGCCATGTCGAACTTATCCGTTGGTTCTTCCAAGCAGGACTACATCGACACTCCTTTTGTTGGCAAAAAGGAACAATTCGAACAAGTCTTGGACGTGTTGGATTCCGTTGGTTTCATCCCTGAATCCTTGATTGAATCCGAAACCAAGTGGTTTTACGAAAGTTTGGGGATTGATGACGTGTTTTTCGCCAGATCCCTGCCTGAAGACATCGCCTCCCACATCCACGCCTTGTACTCTTGTAAGGTCCAAGCTTACTCCAGTTCCAACTTGGACGGAAACCAACCTTTGATTAGCTACAAGAGAGAAGCTGAAGACCATGCAGTTTTCTTTGATACTATCGATTCCCACACCTCAAGCCAAAGAAACCAATTTGAAATCGCCATTGACGATAAATATGTCGATCCTTCCGTGGCTTCTGGCACCAGTTACCGTACTGAATATTTCAGTGCCCCACTCAATTACAAGACCGATGCTATTTTACTGGGGGTTTACGAAAAGAACAAGACTTTACACGAACAATTTGTCAGATTGTTTTTCGTCTATGAAAACCGTTATAAACACGCCAACGTGTCAGCTAATGAAACTGATATCGAAAAGATTGGTGATTCTACTTTCTTGAAGATTGCTTCCGAAAGAACCAAGACCTTGTACCAAGAAATTGTCAAGGATGTTATCAAGACCACCGGTCCAGTCATTAGACATTTCCCAATTGAATCTTCTGAAGAGTACAGAGTGGTTATTGGTTACAGACAAAAGACTTCTGCTAGATATAGTTCTGCTTTAAGTGATTTGGCTAATTACTACAAGTTGCAAACCACCAGAAAATACGTGGAGCAATTTGCTAACGGTGTTACTATCATCTCCATGTATGTCAGAGCTAAACTGACCAAATCTCAAGTTGATTTATCCATCTACCAAGTTATCAAGGAAGCTTCTTTGTTGTACTGTATCCCACACAACTTTTTCCACGACAGATTTATCCAAGGTGAATTGTCCTTGCAAGAATCCATCTATGCTCAATCTGCTGTTATCTTTGTGGCACACTTTTTGAATCGTCTTGGCCCAGAATACAGCAAATTATCTTCGTTATTGGACCCATCCAAATCGATTGAACACGCTGAAGTTTTAAACAGTTTAAAGAAGAGATTAAGAGCTGAAACTTATACTCAAGATTTCATCAAGGAAGTGTTTGACGTTAGACGTGAAATTGTCCGTAAGTTGTACCGTCAATTTGCTGATGTCCACTATATTAGATCTTCAATGGAAAAGACTTTGAGTTACCAAAGATTATCGCAAATCACCCCAGTTGGTTCTGAAGCTGATTTTGAACAATTGTTATCAAGAGAATGCTCTCAAAATGAACATCACGCTGTTGTTTTAAGAGCCTTGTACATGTTCAACAAGTCGATTTTAAAGACCAACTTCTACACTTCCACCAAGGTTGCTCTTTCCTTCAGATTGGATCCATCCTTTTTACCAGAATCTGAATACCCAGAACGTCCATACGGTATGTTTTTCGTTGTTGGTTCCGACTTCAGAGGTTTCCACATCAGATTCAGAGATATTGCCCGTGGTGGTATCAGAATTGTCAAATCCAGATCTTATGATGCTTATAATGTCAATGTTCGTAATATGTTTGATGAAAATTACAACTTGGCCAATACTCAACAACGTAAGAATAAGGATATCCCAGAAGGTGGGTCCAAGGGGGTTATCTTGTTGGATCCAGGTGCCGCTCAAGACCGTCCAAAGGCTTGTTTTGAGAAGTATATTGATGCTTTGATTGACTTGTTGTTGAAGCAACACATTCCTGGTGTCAAGGACCAATATGTTGATTTGTACAATAAGCCAGAAATTTTGTTTTTGGGTCCAGATGAAGGTACTGCTCACTATGTTGACTGGGCTACTTTGCATGCCCGTGATCGTGGTGCTCCATGGTGGAAGTCTTTCTTGACTGGTAAGTCACCACAATTGGGTGGTATTCCTCATGATGAATATGGTATGACTACTTTGTCCGTGAGAGCTTATGTTAATAAGATTTACGAAAAGTTGAATATTGATGATTCCAAGATTAGAAAATTCCAAACCGGTGGTCCAGATGGTGATTTAGGATCTAACGAAATCTTGTTATCTCGTGGTGAAAACTATGTTGGTCTTGTTGATGGATCTGGTGTTATTTGTGATCCTCAAGGTTTGGACAAGGAAGAATTGCTCAGATTGGCCAAGGAAAGAAAGATGATTGAACATTACGACAGATCCAAGTTGTCGGCCCAAGGTTATGTTGTATTGGTTGATGACATGGATATCACTTTACCAAGCGGTCAAATTGTCACTAGTGGTGTTGCCTTTAGAAACACCTTCCACTTGAAGTTGAAGGAACAATATGGTGTTGGGGGTGTTGATCTTTTCGTTCCATGTGGTGGTCGTCCTGCTGCTATCGACACTAACAATGTCCATGATTTCATTGACGAAAAGACTGGTAAGTCCGTTGTTCCATACTTTGTTGAAGGTGCCAATTTGTTTATTACCCAATCTGCCAAATTGATTTTGGAAAAGGCTGGTATTATTATCTTTAAGGATGCTTCTACTAACAAGGGTGGTGTTACTTCTTCCTCTTTGGAAGTGTTGGCTGCCTTGGCCTTTGATGACAAGACCTTTTTGGAAAGCATGTGTGTTGATTCTACTGGTGCCAAACCACAATTCTACACTGCCTACGTCAGGGACGTGCAAAAGAAGATTGTCGACAATGCTGAAGCTGAATTTGAATCTCTTTGGAAGTTGCATGAAGATACTGGTAAGCCATTTACCATTTTGTCTGATGAATTGTCTGTTGCTATCAACAAGTTGGGTGATGAGTTGAGTAACTCTCGTGAATTATGGGATGACGATGTTGAATTCCGTAATGCCGTGTTATTGGACTCTTTGCCTCCATTGTTGTTGGAAAAGGTTGGTATTGAAAATGTCTTGAGTAGAGTGCCAGAAGCTTACTTAAAGGCTATTTTCGCTACTTACTTGGCCTCCAAGTTTGTCTATTCTAGAGGAATTGACTCTAACCCAGCCAAGTTTTTGGAATTTATCAGTTCCACCAGAAAGCAATTCATTAAGAAGGGATTGCTCAAGTACTAAATTTAATAGATATTTACTGTTTGATTTTTTTGTTTATAATTTTAAAATATATGATTATTTATTGTTAATACTGTTTTAGTAAATGCTGTTCTTTATTGCAAAAGCAGGCGGTTGCTATTGGTTGGATGTCATGGACATTTCTCTGGTTGTTCATCATCTCAACATTTATTTTTAACATATCCTATTTACATGTAGTACCTAACTCATTCCACTTTAATTCAAGTTGATAACTCCTTTTATTTTTATTTATATGATCATTCATATCGTCTAGTTTTTCTTTTCAGCAGCGACCGCTGGAGCACCCTGTTGTTTTGCCCGTTGTTCTTCAACCCTCTTCAACACTTCAGCACGAGCCTCTTGCTCTTCCCACAACTTAGTGCACAAATAATCACCGGCATATGCAAGGACCATGGTTAATCCAGCGATGGTATAACGACCGTTTGCTGGCAAGGCCATCCATTTCTTGTATATACTCATGTTGTCAGTAGAAAGTACACAACGTAAATGTTAGTTTTAAATTTCGATTTTTTTTTTTTATTCATTCATTCAATTGGTTGCCAAACTGAAAGAGAAGTATACCATGCTGGCCATCCCACATAGCAAACGATATAGTGTGACCAAAACAATCCTCCCGCCATGTTCTCTCCGTATCCATCCCACTAACCCTCGAATTATTGTAATAGGAACATACAAGCTCGAAGACAGTGGGCATCGTCATGGCTCCATCGACCTATACCACTACGTCAATGGTACATTCACGTTAAAACAGACGTATGCCACCGCTGGTGCCATTCTCGACATCAAATTCAACCCGAAACAAGCTAATCATCTTATATCAGTGGATTCAATTGGCCATGTTATGTGTTGGAGAATTACCGACAACATTGAATTGATAAGTGATGTCAAAGTCACCGAGGAAGACGACGTCCTCATCACATCGTGCTTCTTTTCTCCAGATGATAAAGTCTTGTTGACATTCACGGATGGATCACTGGGGATATTCGATGTGGCAACAGAAAAGGTAGAATTCTTGTCTACGTCTCATGAATTGGAATGCTGGACTGGTGCGTTCGGCGAAGGTGAGATGAGCCATGTCGTGTATACCGGAGGAGATGATTCCCAACTCATAGCCCATGATCTACGCACCAATGAGAAAATCTGGTCTAATAGAAGACACCACAGTGCTGGAGTAGTGTCTATATTAGCTCCGGGAAAGGACTTTCGTGCTGATCCGTACAGTTTATGGACTGGGTGTTATGACGACCATCTACGTGTGTTTGACTTACGTGCCGGCATTCCTCGACTCCTTCAAGAAGAAAATCTCGGTGGAGGGGTATGGAGACTTATTCCAAGCCCCACTGAAGACGACAATCGCTTATTGGTCTGTTGCATGTATGACGGTGCTCGTATTGTAGAAACTGACGAGAATAAGTTCACAGTCTCGAGATACTTCAAAGAGGATCATGAGAGTATGTGCTACGGCGGTGATTGGGGGGATAACTACGTTGCTACATGCTCATTCTATGATAATGTTGTACAAACTTGGTCTCCTGATACAACTATGTAAATAAACTTAAATCTAATGGAACAGACGAGCCTCGGCCACTAGGATATAACTTTTTGGCACCATTGTATCGGCGTGGATTAGGAAGCGCAGATGCATTTGTAAATTTAAATCTCTTATCATCGATAACAATCTTCTCCGTGCTGGCGTGTCCACCAATTGTATATTCCCTAGCAGATATTTTCCGTAATGAGGATCCGGCATTTTGTAATTGATCCAAGCCAGATGAAGCTGATGGTGGGGGTGGTGGAGCGGCTTTCTTGTATGGATGACTTACTGCTGGAGGGGTAGGTGCATTTGTTGGTGGAGGAGGTGGTGGTGCCATGTTAGGCAACAGTGGCGGTGGTGGAGGAGGTGCATTAGTCACTGCAGGTGGTGGTGGTGGTGGTACCATATGTGGCAACACTGGAGGAGTTGAAAATCCGGGTGAACTAAGCTCTTCTTCCTCCTCCTCCTCCTCCTCCTCCTCCTCTTCTTCTTCTTCTGATTCTTCTTGAGGTGGGAATTGTGGAACTGGTGGATGTGGGATAGTTGGTGGAACCATGGCTGGAATTGGTGGTGCTTTAGGAGGAATCATTGATGGAATTGGTGGTGCTAGCGGAGCAGATGGTGCGGGTGCTGCCTTATTGGCCACTGGAGGAACCACACTTGGAATAGGTGGTGCAGTTGGCGGAACAGGAGGTGCAGGAGGTGCAGGAGGTACAGAAGGTGCACTCACATTTCGTTTAGGAGGTGCCGCTCCAAAAGGATTAAACTTTTTCTTTTCTTCCCTTGGTTTCTCAGGAACAGGAGTAGACGCTTCTGATGAAGTTGAATATCCTGATTTTGACCCATCAACCACAAATGACTCGTTTCTTTTCGAGTTGATCTCAGCAAGGAATGGCAACCCTCCTGCTGCTGGCGTGGGGGATTTTGCTTTTGATGATGATGGTGGTGGGAGTGATAACGTAGGTGGAGGAGGGCCTGGTGGTGGGGGAGGTGGTGCTCCACCAGTTGGTAACACAGGAACCATAGGTGGTGGAGGTGGAGGTGGAGGAGGTGGTGGAGCCCCGGTAGTTGACAACGGTGGTGCCGGTGGAGGTATAGGGGCAGCAGCAGGTGGTGGTGGAGGTGCCAGAGGAATAGCTGGTGGGAGCATGTTTGGAATAGGTGGTGGTCCCGAAGTAGGTATTGGTGGAGGAGGTGGAGGTCCTGATGCAGGAATAGCTGGTGCTTTTGTACTTGAACTCATTCTATTATTTGTAGGCACTGAATCAACCACATGCTTGTCATCTCGTTTTGCGTTAATTTCACTAAGGAAAGGTAATGGCGATGCCAGTGGTGGAAGAGCCGTAGCAGCAGCTGGAGTACTAGATGCAGGTGGTGGTGGTGGTGGTGGAGGTGGAGGTGCCGATGCAAGTGCAGGTGGTGCCGCTGGGGGTGCTGCCGGAGGAGGAGGTGGTGGTGGTGGTGGTATGCCCATTGGAATTGGCGGAAGTGGAGGTGCAGCCATAGTAGGCAAAGGAGGTGGAGTTTTATCTTCAATCACTGAATTGACAGAGTCTGTTCTAAGATGGGTCGATTTCTTGGGTCTGGTGGGTGGCATCTTCGGAGGACTTGGGGAAACCACGGGTGGCGGTGGTGGTGGGAGTGACCCTGGAATTGGGGGTGCTGCCGTTGGAATCGGGGGCGCTGCTGTTGGAACTGGTGGTGCATGTATAGTTGGTGGTGGTGCTGACAGAATACTCAGAGATTTTTTATGGGCTGGTCTTGAACCAGTGGGGACTGAGGGTATTTCTGGATGTTTGGTAGGTCTCGAACCAGTGGGCACGGAAGGGATCGGCGGATGGGCCGCTGAATTGGTAGGAATTGGGATCTTAGGTGCTGATGGAGGAACCATTCCTGATCTATTATCCACATGTTTCAACTTTGGCATACCGCCGGCGAATATATCACCCAATTGTGGAGGTCCAGCTGAAGGAATAGCCGGTGCATGTGAAGAAGATGTAGATGTGGCATTGGAAGGTTGTGGTGGTGCTGCTGATACTGATACTTTACTGTCTATGATTGGTTTTGATTTATCAACGGTGACTGCCTTTTTCAATTTCATTCCCTTACGAATATCACCAAGAAGAGCGTCTCTTCCTGGCGGCATTGCTGGAGGAGGACCTGCACTGCCTAAACTGGGAGGGGGCGGTGGACCTGGTGGTGGTGGTGGACCCGGAGGAGGTGGTGGCGGTGGTGGTGGAGGAGGAGCTGCCATTGTATGAACAGTGTATATACTTGATGTATTCACTTGAAGGAAACAACAAGAATTACACAAATCAGACTTTGGGATTCGCCCCAAAAATAAAAAGTTGAAATTTGATTGTGCGAATTTACACGACCTATATTATAATGTCTATAGAACCTACTTTACACCCCATGATAAGTTATCATATCCGAATAGCCATGGACCGACTGTATGTCTAACCGTAAGCATCGATACACCGATGACAAATTGTATTCCAAGGATTAAGGTACACAAGTGATCTTCTCGTAATGGACCAAACCACACCAATAAAAGATTTATGATTGTTAAATTAGAAAACCTTGTAATTGCACCCAGTTTATCTCTTTCTAGTTTGACAAGTTTGAACAATTCCAAAAATGAAAGCAATGCATTGGATATCCCCTTCTTACTTTTTAGTTCTCCATAACTAGGATACATTAATCCGTCCTTGACATCAAATTTAGGCAATCTATGTCTAGGACATGGCACGATGTTAAACAATTGTGGCACGGAATAGATAAAGTTTATGATTTGCGGCAAGAGGAAGATTAACAATGTCTTGGAGAAATGACCCAAGATACCCACACTGGCAAATACCATACCACTAAAGTAACAATACGTGTCTCCGACAAACACTCTGGCTGGGAACCAATTGTATTGAAGCAATGCAAGGGATACCCCCACGAACGGTACGATGAAAATCACCGACAATAAGTGCGAATCGTGAGCTGCTTGAGAAATTTTCTCTGACGAAAGATAGCAGAAATCGTTAATAAGGAAAATGACCGCAAGCACCAAGGATTGTCCCACTTCTAACCCGTTAATTCCCGCCAAGATGTTGATGGAATTGGGGGCAAAAATAGAAACAGCCGACATGTAACCATAATAGAATATCCCTAAATCAAGCAATTTAGGAGTAGAGTCCGGCACCACGTAATCTGTTTGTAATGTTCTAAACGATAACCCCGTAACTAAAGTAACCAAGTGGTTTCCATACTTGCTGATCCAATTGATCACGTTAATCAAAAAGTATCCACCAGGGAAGTCACTGACAAACCTAGGGATAACCACACTAGTTACACTGAAATCAACATAGTAGACAATCAACAATGGCAACGAAGTAACTGCGGGAATGAAAAACTTGTGTCTCCATCTAATATCAAACAAGTCATCAAGGAACCCCAAAATCACAGTACTCTGCAAACACAACACTGCACTCAAAAACTCAGCCAATTTGTTATGAGGGAACAACCTGTTGTTGGCGACAGCAAGATATTGCTCGATATAATTGGATGCAACCACTGCATCATCCGACATGGATCCAAAAGATACCAAATACTTGAAGAAGATAAATGGGATAAGGCCAAACATGAGGAACATATAAGTTAATGCAGCCACCAACCCCATTGTCTCTGGTATTTCACTGACTGGTGGTGGTTTAGACATGTCCTTCCCCTTGAGTCCAATCTTGATGAAACTGGCACCAAGGCGAGGGATGATCAGGATGGTCACGACATATCCAATGACAGCGAATGCAATCACGGTTCTGATGGGATTGTTTGGGGTAATCGCAGAGACGGCACCCAACACAAGCGCAAGTCTGAATACCCATGAATTTAGCATTTTACTTAATTGCACTGAGATTACGTGTCTAATTTAACTTGGCAACAATTTATCAACACTCAGAAAAAAAATATCTCCACACAAGGAAAAACATCAACCAACCCTCTACCCAAAAGACAACAGACTACAGAATGAAACCCTTCTTAACCGGACACGAGGAGTTAATTCATGATATAAAATACGACTTCTATGGTAAACACATTGCCACGGTGCTGTCGGACCAACATATAAAAGTGTTTGACTTGGATTCGACGACATCACTGTGGGTCCTCAATGACCTGTGGAAAGCCCACGATTCCCTGATTGTGCGTGTTTCATGGGCCCACCCTGAATTTTCCAGTTCTAAAATCCTCGCATCGTGTTCGTTTGATCGTACGGTTAAGATCTGGCAGGAACAGCCGGATGAATTGCATGGCCTGGGGAGACGATGGACTAAATTGGCAACATTGGCTATTGAGAGTTATGCCCCGATTTACGACGTTGTGTTTGCTCCAAACCACTTGGGATTGAAATTGGGATGTGTTGGGTCCGATGGGATTTTTCGGATTTATGAATCGTTGGAGCCAAGTGATTTGTCACAGTGGGCATTGACTACTGAGATCCCTATTTTGAACCTGCTGTTACCAGCAAAGAGTCTTCAGAGCAGTTTTGCCATAGAATGGTGTCCGTCCAAATTTACCACTACGGAAAAGTTTATTGTGGTGGCATTAGACCAGGGGTTTATCTATGGAACGGCCCCCAATCGAAATAAACTCGATGATTCTGGTGACCTGCCCCTATCACAGTCCCATGAACCTAATAAGGAATCGGAATCAAAGTATATCAAACTAGGAAACTTGCCTGAACACAATGGGTTAATACGATCAGTTAGTTGGGCCCCATCCATGGGTCGTAACTACCATTTAATAGCCACTGGTTGTAAAGACGGATATGTTCGTATCTTCAAAGCCACCGAAACTCCACAAGGGGACTTGAAAATTGAAACCTTGGCGAAATTAAGTGATCATAAACTGGAAGTATGGCGGGTCAATTGGAATATGACTGGTACTATACTTTCTTCTGCTGGTGATGATGGAAAACTACGATTATGGAAGAGTAACTATTTGAGTGAATGGAAATGTATGAGTGTTATTAATACAAGTAATCGTTCAGACAATAGAGGAATAGAAGCTGAACCTAAATAGAGTATATGTTTAATCTAATAACCCAGTGGTTTTTGTTCTTCTCTTTTGTCTTTGCATTCGAATAATAATCCATGCAAACCAAATAAGGACGATGGAGATTAGTCCGTAAATGATAAATTTGATGGCTGACAAGATACGTTTGGTCCATCTTCTCACAAACGTAGCGTCAGGATCACCATATTTTTCCAACCTCATTTGTCTTTCCCTTTCCTTGATCCTCCTTTCCGAATTCTTCAACCTTTGTAAAGATCTTCGCTTTTTCTTATTCAAATCCTTCTTGTCGGTTCTCTTACCCTTGGCAGTTCTGGCTTCTTGTTCTTCGTGAATGACATCAGCAACTTTATCAATATCATCTTCGTATCTTTGTTGGGCTCTGATCAAGTCTTCCAATTCGTCAATGGACTGAACATAACTTCCGTCGGGCTTGAAAAGAGCATACATTCTATTTTCAATAATATCGACATTTTCAAACAATTGACCAGTGTTGGCAGACAATCCGAGGTATTTCACCTTGGGCAAGTGAACATCAGTCAATGTAACACAATTCATCCATTCTTCGTGTCTGCCAAAGTAATTGAAATCAATCGACAAGTACCCGTTCTTAATATACACAAGTCTCATTTTGGTTTCCCCTGCAGCTGGATTCAAGAGATTCTTGGCGACACATCCTGCCAATCTCGTTTCGTACCCATCAGTCTGCTTGTTGTACTTGGTATGACCATCACCCAACATTAAATTGACATAGGGGAACTGTCCACGTTTTCCATTTTTGTACGTATCCATCATAACCCCCAACCCATTAAATTGATTTTCGATCCCAAATACATTCCCGATTTCCGAAGGCTTATCAAGAAACCATACAGCTAACCCATCCCCGACTAACCCACGGGTAGCCTGTTTGTTGTGAATGTGAAATGTTAACTCCATTTCAAATGATTCTGCCGTGATCGGTTTCTGGGCAAACATGTTGCTGGCCAAATGCGGATTGGTAGATGTCAACCTGATGTACTCGTTGTTCTTAACCATGGTGCTTCCCTTTAAGTTCCAGTTCTTAGTCTTGAAATGGGAACTATCGAGGTATGGCTGTTTCAACTCCTGGGCAGTAAGCTCCACCTTTTTCAAACTGACAATATGCGATTCCTTGTTTTGTAAAAGATTATTGATCTCTTCCGGCGTATATGTGTCACTGCCACTCCAAGGGGAGAAGAACATAAGATATACAAGTACCAATGCAAGGAGGGAAAGTAAGGCCTGAAGCGGTCTTGATCGCCTGATTGAACCAAATACCGACATGACTATTCTGCTACTTCTGGTATTAGTGAATTGGTTTTGTTTGTGCAGCCAAGTTTATGCCAGCGGTACAGAAAAAAATGTCAGAGCATCTTTGGCAAATTTGAATGACGTGAAAGAAGAATCGCGCATCGCTCGCTAACCTGCCGAGGTCGGAAAGGGACAACGACTCTCTTCACATGAACAGTACTACTACTACTACTTCTCTTCTATACATCTCTATTCTTTAAATAATACACTGGCTTTGACAAACACTACTTCACATCGAATATTACGTTTATTAAATATATACAAGAATTTATAGTTTTACCCTTACTTCCCAAAAACCACAGTTCTCATGGCAGTCAACAACGTCTCTTTCCCATCTCCCTTGATCTCCTTAAGTAATCTCTCGTAATACTCAGGGTTCCCCTTGGGTCTTAACAACTTATCGTCCAATTTATAATAATTCTTGTATTTATCATTAACCAACTCTCTCAAGGCAACATACTGCAACTTCAAATCATCCTCACTGATTCCTTCTATTACTTTGGCGTCTTGAAATCGCTCAAGTTGGGTTTGTTTAAAGGAGGCATAGTGTGTGAGCCTTTCCTTGGGTAAGGTTTTCAATAATGATACTATCATTCGTTGGAGTTCTGTTTTAGAGGACATCTTATATGTGTATTTTTATGTGAGATTGTCTATTAATGTAGTGCTATATTATCTGGTATCAAAAATCAACCAGTGTGTGTTACTGCTCCCGGTATGGAGTAAATTTTTCGATACTTTGAGATTTGACTAAAAAAAACATCTAGTTTTAATGATTGGTTACCCGGATTAACTCTTGGTGCTACCAGGTGCGGAATTTTGTTGCAACTTTATACATGAGACTTTATATTGAATATGAAACGTTATCTAGGGTTCAGGCAATTATTTAGCTGCTTGTCAACTATGAATGTTGTTCTTGAATCTTCTGATGATTACTATTTGAGTAACTATTTGGATATGCAATCGTACAAAACCAGGACCGCTTGTGGCAGTCTTGTAAACCTTTTATGGTTTCGTTTAGATATGGAATGTATGAACTCTGAACTCTGAAGTAGAGTCTCACAAATTCAATATCCTAGAATGAAGGTGTTTGGTGTAGACGAAGTAGCTCCAGAGATATAAATAGAACCTGTTTTGGTGGCAGAACCCATAATGGCAAAGATTTTATCGGCGAGGGACAAGTCCATTTGAATGGACATGGGAGTCATGCTGCCGGAATAATTGGTTCAAAAAACATATGGTGTTTCCAAGCGTTGTAAACTAATTAATGTCAAAGTTTTGGACAGGAATAATAATGGAGAATTGACCAGAGTGCTTGCTGGAATTGAATTTTGTGCTAAACATTGTCAAAAAAAAAAAGTGGCAAGCTGGTAGTCGCAAATTTATCTTTGGGTGATGATACCAATGCTCTTGTGAACAGAACTGTTAAAATAGCCAAAAAAAATTGATTGGTGATTGTGGCTGCTGCTTGAAACGATAATGTGGATTCATGCACGAAAAGTCCTGCAGGTCCCACCTGATGTCATTACAGTTGGAGCAATCAACCATGTGAATGATGGAATAGTTCCCTTTTCCAATTGGGGTAAATGTGTTGATTTATTTGCAGTCGGTACCGAAGTTGTCAGTGTTGATGTAAGGAGTCCTAAATATCCCACGGTTTTCGAAGGAACTTCAATGGCTGCGCCCGTCGTTGCCGGATTGGTTGCAAATTTACTTAGTGAGGGAGTTCCATCCGACAAGATCAAACAAGTTTTATTAGCCAGATCAACTAAAAACAGAATTTCAATCGATTCGATGTTTTTCAAATACGGTAGTTCTTATAGAATCGTGACACCTCAGGAAGAGCACAAAAAAAAGGAAAGCTGTTTCCATTCTTTGGGCTTTTCTATTAAAACTTAATCTCTATTCTAGTTTATGATATCTCTATATTAATTGTTTAAATAATATACATATATGATCGTAGTTAAATGGATGAGTGGAATAGTAACTTTTACACTGTTGAACGAGCTAATTGCGGGTTCATGATATTGCGATTTTTTTTAATGCCATTGTTACGATATCTAGATCGGTATTGTTCAAGCCGAACTGTTTACTAAATGGGCTTTTTCAAAAATTGCATCTGTGTCCATTTTGATTATTCCGAGCTATTAGTTTATCTGAGACAACCTTTCAACATAGCTGTGTCAGGTCGTTGGCATGTGATCTTCCATTACTTGAAGTAACAACTACTGAATTTCATCTCCACACAAACACGAGTGGATCTGCATACAACAATTTACGTAATACGAACACATTTTAGTAAACCGTGCATATACCAACAGTGTTCCACTTGCTCCGACATTTATAATTATTTTTTCATTATTAACTCATTAGTAAAAAATCAGGTTGCACTTGACTGATTTTCTTGACCTTCTGTTTCATTGTTGGTGTCAAAAATTTCCCATCGTGCATCAGCAGTCAGATTAGATATAAAAAATAAACTTTGCACTTTTCAACGGTTTTCAATCTTTCCCTTCTTCTTCTTCTTCTTCTTCTTCTTCTATTTCTATAAACAGAAACATATATAGTATGACTACAGCAAAACAACCTTGCCCTAGAGTGATCTTTGTCCGTCATGGTCAAACCGAATGGTCCAAATCCGGACAACACACTTCCCGCACTGACATTGACTTGACTGATTTCGGAGTCAAGCAAATGAGAAACACAGGGAAGCACTTAATCGGTGATGTCCACACCAATATGATCAAACCCAAGAGCATTACCCACGTGTTTGTGTCTCCTAGATTAAGAGCCAGACATACTGCTGAATTATTGTTGGAAAGCGTCGATCCTAAGATCAGAGACCAGATTCCAGTGGTCATCGACGAAGATATCCGTGAATGGGAATATGGAGATTACGAAGGATTGAAAACTGCCGAGATTATCGAATTGAGAAAGTCTCGTGGGTTAGACAAGGACTTGGCTCCTGGTGACACCTGGAATATTTGGCGCGATGGCTGTGAAGGAGGAGAAATCCATACTGATGTCAAGGCAAGATTAGACCGTTTCATCTCCAAGATTCAAGCTATTCATGCCAAGTCAATTGAAGACCAGGTGGCTTCCGATGTCATTGTCATTGCTCACGGACACATTCTCAGGTGTTTCTGTGCCAGATGGGTTCAAAGAGAATTGAACCGCAACCCACAATTGATGTTGGATGCCGGTGGGGTTGGTGTTTTGAGTTATCAACATCACAACGTCAATGAACCGGCTATTTACTTGGCTGGTGCATTCACCGTGCCGGTTGAAGAAGAAGGGGCTGACTTTTAGGCTGTGTATTAGACTTCTATATGTACCTCGGCATTTTTAAGTGCAACCAATACACTCTGCCAAAACTTTTTTGTATCCACCTCAGATCCGACGTATACTCCTGGGGTATTTTCCTTGGAAACCACAGTCTCTCCCTGGTGTTCTCCATCGAGAACAACCTTTATTGGTTGCTGTACATACTTGTATCCATACTCCTCAAAGGCATCGTCGACAAATGGTAAGAGACTGTACAATGCCAACGGATCATGTAACGGGGGACCTTCCGTCATTCCGAAATTCTCACGGTAAGCCTGGCCGTAAAACATTAGGATATCATGGAAGAACTTTCTAATCTCCGAACATCTCCGGTTATCTCCCTCCACATCGTTGTAGATCTGTTTTCTAACCCATTCAGTAGCAACGGCGGTATGGGTCAAATTCAATGGTGTCAATATAACTTTGTCGCCAAACTCGGCAATCACGGAACTGGCGGCGTGGGGGTCAGTGTGAATATTAAATTCGGCGAAAGGTGTAACATTTCCGAAATTGAATGCACCCCCCATAATAGCAATATACCTAATCTTATCCTTGACTTCCGGATACTTTGCAATCAACTTGGAGATATTCGTCAACGTACCCGTGCTGACCAAACATATCTCTCCTTGATGTTCGCAAATTGCCGATCTCATAGCTTCAATGTAATACATATCTTTTGCAGGCTTGTTGATAGTCTTCTTGGGTAGAGTAACGCCACCGAGTCCGGTAGTTCCATGGACACCAAATGCATAATGAGGAGGGATCTTCAACGGTCTCTTCAGCCCTTCATATACCTTAACATTATAGACTTGCAACAAGTCCAATAACGCTAATGTGTTATGCGTGGTCATTTCCAAGGGTGCATTGCCATGCACGGTACTGATTCCCAAGAGATTAAACCGGGGGTGGAATAGCACGAGGAGGATTGCAAAGACGTCGTCATTCCCCGGGTCGCAATCTAGCCAAACTGGTATTGGCCTGTTTGTTATTTGAATCATATATATATATATGTGTGTGTGTGTGTTTTGTTATGGCGGTAGCAAAAAAATAAAAAACTTGAGTTTACTTTAAAACCTCTTTTTCTAATGAAACATTCGATTTATAAATGAAAATAGTCTTGTTGTAACGAAGGAACTCTCTAGCTATGAAACCCTGACTTTTTGAATGACGTGGGGTTATATAACAATAATAACAAAAACGGTAAATTTCTCGGAATGCAAAAACCACAAACGAGGCACACTAAAAAATAATTCCTCGAACAGACTAAATCCGTCTATTGCCGTTTAGACCGGAACATCCAATCTGCAATAATATGCTAATGTATACACTGGTCATTCAAAACTGTATCGTGGCGAACAAGATTACAAAATAAAATGACAGTCTTTGTCATTAATACATTAGTATGCATGATATTGGTTATATTAAATATTATTTGTGTTATTTACTAATATACAAGGGTATTATTTGCGTGTTATGCGCTAACAGATACGGGTATGGCCAGTGGCATTTCATCACTGATCAAGTCAGGACGCTCTTTGGCCAACCCAAGTAACTCCTGCTTTTCAACAACTTCGCTTTCAGGAGACACAGACTCGTACATCTTGACTTCTTTCTCTTCGTGTTTAAAACTGGCACCTTGCAATCTCTCGATAATTCTATACCCAATGTGTCCAATCAAATCCTCGGCCCAAATGACATCGAGGTGGTTATACATTGGAACCTCAACATAGTCGATGTTTTCACCAGGCACGTAATCGGGCTCAAAATTCTGCATATGGGTAAACAATCTTCTTCCATCGACCAAAAAGTCAATTTCACCCGTGAAGATAACCATGGGCACTTTGACACTATTATTAGCAAACCAGGGCTGTTTGAAAGGGAAGAACGCTTTCGAGTCGTCTTTTTCGTACTGTGAGTTGACAGCGTGGTTTTCCCCCTTTTCGTAGGATTTCTTGGGTTGTAACGTGGCTGCGAATCCTTTGTCGAAAAATTTCGCACAGTAATATTGCATTAACTTGACCGAGACGTACGTGACATTGAAAAGAAAGCAGAAATGCCATACTTTCTTGTCCTTGCCCCAATTCCGGGCATTCCATCCAAACAAGTATTTGAACATGTAATAAGATAATCTACCAAACAACCATGTTTCTCCTATTTTAATCCTGATATAACATAAATTCCTCAAGAACGCACAAGTTCCAAAAAGCATCAACCACCCAAACTTACTTCGATTCCCAATAAACTTAAGAAATCCCTTGTGGAATTGTACACCGGGGTACACAGCTGGTGCTAATGCAAAGAAACATTCAATCTTGGCATGGACATGCAGCAACTCCTCATTTCTAAACATGATAAACGATTGCAACCCACCTTGCAGGTGCCCTGCCAATGCCAACTTGTCATGGTTCGGTTTATGCAACAACACGTTCTCAATGATGGTGGGTAAGTCGTAATATGCCAAGTCGGTCATTCCCCAATCCCAGTACTGTTCATTATTGTACAAGTTCCCCTCGTAGAACGTGTGCACGGCTTCAAACCACGATCGGTTGTTTCCCAACCAGACATCGTACCCTTGTTCCACTAAATAGTACGCTAATGAGTTACGGCCGCTGGTGATGTATGATCCTGAACAGGAAAGTAATCCGTGCTGTAAGAGAAACGGTTTCCGGGCGTTCCGTTGAACAACACTCTCTTGTGGGTCAATTAATCGGTGCAAGGTAAGGATGTATCCGTCAGGAGTAGTTATCTTGTACTCTTCTAAGTCCAACTTCATGGCAAGGACATAGTACCGCAAGTCCGTGGTTGGTTTCATGGAACTGGTATCTTCATAAGCTGGTCGTGGTTTGTACCCATTGGCCGAGTCGATATCTATGGGTTCGTTAAACCGTTCCTTGCCCGTTATTTTATGGTACCAATGGTAGAATACCGCACCGTTGGTCAACACGCTCACGAACATAAACGAGCCGAACCAACTGAACACGATACACACCCATTTTGTGAATGCGTTATGGTAGGCCCGCTTCTCATCGGGAGTGAACTGATTTGTCATTTCTTTCTCAGTATGTGCAAAAGTGAGATCTCAGATGTCTATTTATCTCTTGTTTATATATAAAAGGGGGGAGGAAGATAATTGCAACGTATCACAAGCTTAATGTTGCATGTGCGTAAATGTTTATTTTAGTTTCTTGGTATTGTTTATTGTTTTTAATCCACGGTTTTAATAATAATGCACAAAACCGGAAAGTACTAGCGTGGCGGTTGTCTTTATCTCTGTGTGATGTCGTATTGATCGATGAACGATATACTCGACAAATACCTTCAAATAGGATGAAACCTGAAATTAAATCTGGTGATTAATCGTCAATGCAAAAGTTTCTGGCCAAATCGTAATCTCGTCCTTCGGATTTAATTTCTAAAAAATAAAATGGTGGGGGCGGTGCTACCAAAAGGAAATTACAAGGAATCGGGAAAGATCCTTCTCTAATCGTAAGCCAATTCTTCGAATGCATTAAACAACATTTGTAATTCAAGGAAGTTATAATCTGGCCATTTGGAGTGTTTTTTCGAATTTGGTTATGAGGTGAAATCTGTCGATGCTGCAGCATGGCCTAAGTTTGATTAGTCTGGGTAATTTGTAGTTGATATAACCACCACGCTATAAATTTTGTTGGACTTGGAACAAGAAAACACATGTACTGAAATCACATGCATGGTGATAGGGGTATGATATATACCCCTATTTAGAAGAAGGAGATCTCCATCTGTGATGTCAAGTGATGGCTAACCACGTTAGGGCATCAACCCTGCTTTGTTTTTCTCACACGTGACCAGGTAGCTCCGCACCATCAACGAGCCGAAAATTTTCAAACTGATTGAAAAACGAACTAGCATAGTGAATAGACTAGTGCTACGTAAATAACATACAAATACAATGGGTAAATCGTATGTAAAATGATATAGGAACAGTGGCACATGTGGATATGATGTTTACTTGCTGTATTTACCAGGGGTAATACAGTGCATGTTCAATGTGAATTGCTGCAAGACCAATAGTTGTTCAATTAAATATACTAACAAGGGAATAGTCGTGGTTACAGATCAGGTACTCGTTACGCTTTCCAACGTGACTTCAAGAAGCATGGTGCTATTGCTTTATCCACCTACTTGAAGATCTACAAGGTCGGAGATATTGTTGATATCAAGGCCAACGGTTCTATCCAAAAGGGTATGCCACACAAGTACTACCACGGTAAGACTGGTATTGTTTACAACGTCACCAAGTCTTCTGTCGGTGTCATCATCAACAAGGTTGTTGGTAACAGATACCTTGAAAAGAGAGTCAACTTGAGAGTTGAACACGTTAAGCACTCTGCTTGTCGTCAAGAATTCTTGAACAGAGTCAAGTCCAACGCTGCCGCCAAGGCTGAAGCCAAGGCCAAGGGTGAACAAGTCAACTTGAAGAGACAACCAGCTAAGCCAAGAGGTGCTAGAGTTATCTCTACCGAAGGTAACGTTCCTCAAACTTTGGCTCCTGTTCCTTATGAAACCTTTATTTAAGTTATTCGTGATCGGATATTGTTATTTAAATGTATTAGTCGGGTTATGATTGTATTTGTATACATGTATAGTATTTTGGGCAAATAAAAGAATATCAAGTGAGGCCTGTGTAGAGGTATGAGAGAGCAGAGTTGAATCGACTTGTATCAAAAGCTCATGTAGATATAGGGTAGTAAATACAGGAAAGCGCTTTACCAGTACAGACAAGAGATATTGTGTGGGCTGTTACCGGGTATCGCCCAGATTCACCTATTCCGGAAAATCAGTACAAGATACAATTAGGCTAAACAGCCAATTGCACGACCTAACCAAATCTCATATGGGGGGGTCAGAAGCTCTCCTCAGCGTCCGTAAATTTAGTAACAAGAATTGTTGCGCCGGACACCGTCACCATTAAAACCCAGCTCCTGGAAAGAAGCATTTTCCAAAGGAATCGTTCCCGAAGGGAACAACTCAACCTCGAAAGGGAATTGTCGAATGATTTAAAACGCGAGATTTCATCATGTAAGTATAAAACTTGGAAGGTCATACAAAGAACAAAAATGGAAACCACGTAAAAATTTGATGTTCTGCGGTTGCTTTTATACAAATGGTGGGTGGCCGGGTAAGTGAGCATTTAAAAAACTGGGTGTGCATACAAGCAAGTCATCACCAGTATAGATTTTTTTTACAACCAAATGTTTTAGTTAGGGCTAGCACATAGATTACAACATACGCAATGGCACCTAAAAGAAAAGCCGCTGGCTCTCCAGCTAGATCTAAAAAGACAAAGAAAGAACAACCGAAGGACGCACTCTTGTCGATAGATGAATTACAAGTGCTTGGAGATGAAATCATCACCTCCACCAAACTTAATAATTTTGTTATCTTGTTAGAACAGCTCGCCAAGATCAAAGAAACACTATCTGATAAAGAAGACACTGACGTGGAAACCACCGGTCGTTCATTATCTGTTGTTTTGTTTAAATGTTTCCAAAAACTTCTCAAAGACGGCCAAATGATTCCTAAAAAGTCCTACGACGACAAGAAGAAAATGGTCGTCAAATGGAGCTTGGACAAGTACGAAACCTTCAAGAAAATAATTTGTGAATACATCAGCACCAAGCTATCATTTGAAACTTCTTTACAATTAGATGTCTTGGAAATCTACTTGAATTTGGTTAAACTCGAAAGTCAATACATGAAATCAAGTGCTTCCGATTTATACTTTCCAAATGTCACCTACAAACAATTGATTGAATCTTTACTCACCAGTGGTGGCATCTCATCAGATGGAAGTTCAAGCAATTTCATTGTTTTGGAATTTGCTGAAACTTTCAAATCTAACTGGGATTTGCAATTTTACTTTTTCAACTCCATAGCTGAATCATTGGAACAATGGAAGACCAGCAAAGATGAGCAGCAGTTAAGAACCATAGTGGCAAACTTCTATTCGCTCATTCGTCACGGCTTATTATACGTCGAAGAAGGCATAGAAGAACAACAAACTTGGATTGGTAAATTACCCTCTGTCGCATACAAGACTACATTCAAAACTCAATATCAAAAATGCATAATCACCATCTTATCCTACCCATTATTGCCTAGTCAATACAAGGCAATCTTGCTTATATTACACAAGCGAATTATTCCGTACATGTCGCAACCACAGGGTCTTATGGATTTCTTGACTGACTCGTACGATGTTGGTGATGATGCTATTGTGCCTATTCTAGCCTTGAATTCCTTGTATGAATTAATGAAAAAGTATAACCTTGAATATCCAGACTTTTATACCAAGTTGTACTCGTTATTGACGCCAGAATTGCTCTACACCAGATACAGATCGAGATTCTTCCGATTGTGTGACCTTTTCCTTTCATCCACCCACTTGTCTGCCAACTTAGTAGCGTCATTCATTAAGAAATTGGCGAGGTTGTCCGTAGCAGCAAGTGCGTCTGGTGTTGTCATTATCATTCCTTTCATTTACAATTTGTTAAAGAGACACCCCACATGTATGATCATGTTGCACAACCCGGATAAAGCCAAATCTGGTGATTATGTGGATCCATTTGATAACAATGAAAAGAATCCTATGAACACGCGAGCCATTGGATCTTCTTTGTGGGAATTAGAGACATTGATGACCCACTACCACCCAAACATTGCTACTTTGGCCAAGATCTTTGGTGAGCCGTTCAGAAAACACAGTTATAACATGGAAGATTTCTTGGACTGGAGTTATATCAGTCTTTTAGAGAGTGAAAGTACGAGAAGATACAAGACTCTTGCTGCGTTAGAGTTTGAAGAGTTTGATATGTTATTTGACGAAGCTGACAAGTCTGAAGAGACCAACAAGAGAGTATTGCTTGAAGGTTGGACTGTATAAACCTGGATAGACATTATTAGTGCAAATATAATTATTCCCAATTAGGAAATCTAATTAACGCGCGCGCGTTTTAATTTTGTATTTTTTTTTTCTTAATTTGCTGCCACTTTCAATTCGGCAGCTTTTTTAATCCCTTCTTTTCTTCTTTACTTTACATCTGTACTTTACATCTGTACTTTACATCATCAGTCTTTCGTTTACACCTAGTTCTACAATGGATGACTTAACCCAAACAGGCGACCAGCCTGTAGATGCTATCTTTGGTGACAGAGTCAGACGATTCCAAGAATTCTTGGATAGAATCGACAGCACCCACGGTATTGACTACCGCGCCCTCATTAGAGACATGTTGGCCAAAAGCAAATACAGATTAAACGTGTCAATTGACGAAATCCGTGATTTTGATAGAGAATTCTGGAACGGTCTTTTAAACACCCCTGCTGATTTCTTACCTGCCTGCGAACGTGCTTTGCGCGATACCGTATTGACCATTTATGATCCTAACGATCCCGCTTTTCCTGACGATTTCGATTTCCAGAACCAGCAATACTACTTGTCTTTCAAGGGGGCTTTTGGAGCCCATCTGGTCAACCCCAGATCCATCGACTCGTCGTACCTTTCCAAAATGGTGTCCATCGAAGGTATCGTTACTCGTGCCTCGTTGGTGCGTCCCAAGATTATTAGATCGGTCCATTTTGCTGACAAAACCGGAAGATTCTACGCCAGAGAATACCGAGACCAAACCACATCGTTCGATCCGATTTCCACCCCCGCGATTTACCCTACTGAAGACATGGACGGAAATAAATTATCTACCGAATACGGGTACTCTACATATAGAGACCATCAAAAGATCTCCGTGCAAGAAATGCCCGAGAGCGCACCAGCTGGTCAGTTACCTCGTTCCGTTGATGTCATTTTAGATGACGATTTGGTTGATTTGGCCAAACCGGGTGACCGTGTTCAAATTGTCGGTGTTTACCGTGCCCTTGGTGGTGCATCCAATAACAGTTCTTCGTTCAGGACCGTCATCTTGTGTAACTCCATCTACCCCTTGCATGCCAGATCCACTGGTGTTGCCCAGCAAGAAAAGTTAACCGATCAGGATATCAGAAACATCAACAAGCTTTCCAAGGATAAGAAGATATTCGATATTCTTTCCTCGTCATTGGCTCCTTCAATTTATGGATTTGAATATATTAAAAAAGCGGTGTTGTTGATGTTGATGGGTGGGGTCGAAAAGAACTTGGACAATGGCACCCATTTAAGAGGTGATATTAATATCTTGATGGTTGGTGATCCATCTACTGCCAAATCCCAAATTTTAAGATTTGTCCTTAATACCGCATCCTTGGCTATTGCCACTACCGGTAGAGGGTCCTCGGGGGTTGGTTTAACAGCCGCCGTCACTACTGATAAGGAAACTGGTGAACGTAGGTTGGAAGCCGGTGCCATGGTGTTGGCTGATCGTGGGATTGTGTGTATTGATGAATTCGACAAGATGTCAGATATCGACAGAGTGGCCATTCACGAAGTCATGGAACAACAGACTGTTACCATTGCCAAGGCCGGTATTCACACATCGTTGAATGCTCGTTGTTCCGTGATTGCTGCTGCTAACCCTGTATTTGGACAATATGACGTTCACAAAGACCCCCATAAGAATATTGCTTTGCCTGATTCGTTATTATCCCGTTTCGATTTATTGTTTGTTGTTACTGATGACGTCCAACCTACCAAAGATAGAATCATCTCCGAACACGTTTTGAGAATGCACAGATTTATCCCACCGGGATTAATGGAAGGTGAACCAATCAGAGAAAAGTCCAGTGTGACATTGGCCGTGGGTGATGATGAAACTAATGAGCAAGAATTACTTGAACAACCAATCTTTGAAAAGTTCAATGCGTTATTGCACACTGGTGCCCAATACTCCGGCGACAGAAAGTCGAAGAAGACACCTACGATTCTTTCCATCCCATTCTTGAAGAAGTACGTACAATATGCTAAACAAAGAATAAAGCCTGTGTTGACTAAAGGTGCATCTGACCATATCGTAAGTACCTATTCTTCATTGAGAAATGACTTGATTGGGAATAATCAAAGAAACACAGCTCCTATTACCGCCAGAACTTTGGAAACTCTTATCCGTTTAGCCACTGCCCATGCCAAGGTTAGATTGTCCAAGACTGTCGACGTTAAGGATGCTAAAGTTGCTGAGGAATTATTGAGATTTGCTTTATTCAAGGAAGTTTCCAAGAAGTCGTCCAAGAAGAGAAAGACCAACACTACTACAGCTACTGAAGAACAAGAAGAAGAGTCTGAATCCGAATCTGACGAAACCGATTCAGAACCTGAAATTATTCCAACTCCTACCAGAAGAAGCTTGAGAACACAAATAAGACAACAAAGAGATTCTAACACTATTGAAGAAGAGAGTGATGATGGCGGTGTCGGTGACGAGCTCGACCATTTCCACATATCGAGAAACCAACCATTGCAAGACAAACATGTGCCTGCCAACACCGGCGCTGGTACCATTAGCAGCGAGCGATTCCACACTTTCCAAAGAATCATGGCGAGAATCTCTCGTTCTGGATTATTTGAGAATGAAGGTGGTGCCGCTGCGTACGACAGTGTCGTGAGTGCAGTCAATGAAGGTTTGGCGCAGGAGGAAGTGTTTGATGAGTTGGAAATCCAGGCTGCGTTCAAGAAGATGGAGGATGACAATAAGTTCTATATTTCTGAAGGAAAGATCTGGAAGATCTAGTTGTATTATATTTGGGAGTTATATATTTTTGTTTAACGTTTTGTAATATAAATTATTAGTTTATTTTGTAATTTTACTTTGGGTGCAAATCTCGAGATGGGGGGGTTGAAAATTTTATGGTTTTTTCCCCTCAGTTCTTCGAGGAGAAAGGGAATACCACCAACAACAACAACCAGCAAATGTCGTTGAAACGAACGAGTGAAGAGGCAGAAGGGATTCCCGATGGTGATGTGTATCAAGAAGATCTAGACTCACCGCCTGAGGAACACCCATTGAAGCTTGCCAACCCCAAGAAAAAGAAAAAGAAGAACAAAAAGAAAAAGAAAGCACAACAGCACATCGATGAGCAAGACTATGACAATTACAACTACGAAGACGACGAATTGCTCATGCATACAAAAGAAACACTTCCTGTGAACCTTCGAAAGTTCTGGAATAGGCGGTATGACCTATTCAGCAAATTCGACGAAGGAATCTACATGAATGAAGAACTTTGGTTCTCGGTGACCCCCGAGTCATTAGCCAAGTACACCGCGCAATTGTTTGCGAAATTACTCCCTGAAGCTACAAAGTGTATTGATATATGTTGTGGTGGAGGTGGTAATACCATCCAATTCGCCCAGTACTTCGATAGTGTGGGTGCCATCGATATCAACAGCACTAATCTTTATTGTACCGAACATAATGCGGGAATATACGGTGTCCGAGACAAGATATGGACATTACAAGGGGATTGGAATGAACTCAGTGCAGAAGTCGGGGGAACTCCGAATATGGACTGGATTCCGATTGATTTGAGGGCTGAACCGCTTAACAAGACATTTGATTTCATATACTCTTCACCGCCATGGGGAGGCACTAATTATAATCGAGATTATTTTGACTTGTACAACATGGAGCATTTCCCCATAGTTCCCTTCTTGCAGCAGATGAAACAATATACTGATAACATTGGTTTGTATTTGCCGAGAAGCCTGGACCTCGATCAATTGAGTCAGGCAACACATGACGTTTTTGGCCCTGGCGAAAAGTGTAGGGTTATCTATATAAATTTAAAGGGACGCTCCGTGGCATTATTGGCATTGTTTGGGTCTGGATTCACCAAGAGATTTGACGAATTGGATGATGAAATTGGGGAAGCAATAGCAGGAGGTAGTAACAGCGGGAAGTAGTAACAGCAAAAGGTAGTAACAGTAGGAAGTTGCAACAGTAGGAAGTAGTAACAGTCAATAGCTAGCGTAAGCATTATGCAGGAAATATTTGATATTCCAATGAGGAGACTTTTTTTTTTTTGACGGTGTTTTTTTTTGTTGTTTACAGTTTTAAGGAGACACGAGGGTGCCGACATTTTAATCGTTTTGCAACACAACGACATAACACATACCCTGCCATGAATACATCGTCAGGTAATACCAACTCAAAGCACAACTCCCATGGTAATATTGTGTCTGGTACAGTGCAGGCAGAAGGTGTAAGACCAGTTGACACCATCGCATATCTTGAAGACAAGATTGATCGCTTAAATGAAGAGATTGGGTTCCTTAAACAAGTGGTTGATTTCCAAGGATCGAAAATTGACAAGTTGGCATCGATAGTGTCGCAAGTGTTTGAAAAGAAGAGCCATCAACACAACCATCAGGACGAAGTATTGACCACGTTGCAAGGCATGCAGGATGACGTGGTGGACCACGATCAAGTTAATGAAGTACAAAGACAGGTCAATCAGTTGCCCCACAACCAAGATATAGGTGCCGGTGCTGGACCTATCGAGAGTAATATGGATCCGGCGTTGCAGCAAGTAGCAGTTGCTGCTGCGGCAGTACAGGCGGCACAATCTGATTACAATGCACCAATACCACAAGAACTGCCAATTGCAATCCAACAGTTGCAACAGCAACAGCAGCAGCAGCAAGTGTCGCAGCAACAACAACAACAACAACAACAGCAGCAGCAGCAGCAGCAGCAACAGCAACAACAAACACAAGAACAACCGCCGCGTAAAAAGAGAAAGTCAAAGAAGAAGGAGGCTAGACAAGGAGCAGTGTTTGATAACAAGCCCGAACCAGTTGATATCGCACCTGCTTCTCTGGTGCCCACGGCTTCGAACTCGTCACATCTGTCTAAAAGACCCAAGATTGTGGTTGACTTTTTGCACAATCCAATGTCAGTCAAGGAAATATATGATGAATTCACCAAGGGGTTCAAAGGTCAAATTCCATTAAACCAAATGGATGAAAAGTACGGTAAACAAGAGTGGAGAGGTGATTCTAGATCCAAAGAGTCCAAGAGATATCAGAGAAGAAAGAAGTTGTGTGATGCCATTGATCGTGGGACTATAAAGTATAACAAGACCGTTGACGAAATCATTGCTTATATTGAAGAGTTTAGAGCGGATAAATCTTTGACGTGGATAATGAACGGGAACCTACCTAGTGATTTAGAAGCCTGACCTATTTTTTTTTTCTAGTTTTCCATTCTGAGATAAACCTGTTTGTATTAATATATGTGAGTTTATGAGCTAGATGTAAACATTGCATTGCCCAAGTAAACTGGGTATGCGATTGCGCTTATTGCAGAGCTCGGTTGCAAAGTATACTTGTGTAATTGACGGCTGATCATGGTCGGACAAGCTTTGTGTAAAGTGATGACCATCGCTTGACAATTGCCGCTCCGGAAATCGCCGGCTGCGAAAGATTACTGGTAGATTTTTCGGTCAACCAACAGTTTTATTCCTGCAATTAGAGACCGGTGCTTCTCTTGCTACGCTATAACAACCTCTCTGGAACACAGCTTGGACATGGATAGAACGATATGGTTGTCTGGACCACGTTATCGTCCCACTTAAACACGCTTGGTCCACGTGACGTTCGGAGACGTTTCGGGAATCCCATCCACAATTTTTTTTTCTCGAATCTTCGGTGCAAGAGGGATTCCGGGTAACCTCGCAGTTTTTGCTCACAAAAAATTTTTTCCACCATTGCTGACCATACATATATAACCTGAAGCAAAAATTTCACCACCCCCATTATTTTTGTTCCATTTCTTTTTTTGCTTTCCTCCCCCCCCGTTTAACCCTTTATTACTTTAATTAGTATTAAATATAATGTTGACTGCTAGAAACTCCGTGAAGACCGCTAGTTTGCGTGCCGCCACCTTTGTCCGTGCTCAATCCACCGCTGCTCCAACTGGGCAAGTCATTGGTATTGATTTGGGTACCACCAACTCAGCCGTCGCTGTCATGGAAGGTAAGATCCCAAAGATTTTGGAAAACTCAGAAGGTGGTAGAACTACCCCATCCATTGTTGCCTTCACCAAGGAAGGTGAAAGATTAGTTGGTATTCCAGCTAAGCGTCAAGCTGTTGTCAACCCAGAAAACACCTTGTTTGCCACCAAGCGTTTAATTGGTCGTCGTTACGAAGATGCTGAAGTCCAAAGAGACATCCACCAAGTCCCATTCAAGATTGTCAAGCACAACAATGGTGATGCTTGGTTGGAAGCCAGAGGCGAACAATACTCTCCCCAACAAATTGGTGGTTTCATCTTGAACAAGATGAAGGAAACCGCTGAAGGTGCCTTGGGTAAGAAGATCAGCTCCGCTGTCGTCACCTGTCCAGCCTATTTCAACGATGCTCAAAGACAAGCCACCAAGGATGCCGGTAAGATTGTTGGTTTAAACGTCTTGAGAGTTGTTAACGAACCAACTGCCGCTGCTTTAGCTTACGGTTTAGAAAAGAACGACGGTCAAGTTGTTGCCGTTTTCGATTTGGGTGGTGGTACTTTCGATATCTCCATTTTGGATATCGGTGCCGGTGTTTTCGAAGTCAAGTCTACCAATGGTGATACTCACTTGGGTGGTGAAGATTTCGATATCGCTTTAGTTAGACACATTGTTGAAGCCTTCAAGAAGGAATCCGGTATTGATTTACAAAAGGACAGAATGGCCATTCAACGTATCAGAGAAGCTGCTGAAAAGGCCAAGATTGAATTGTCCTCTACTGTTTCTACTGAAATCAACTTGCCATTTATTACTGCTGATGCCTCTGGTCCAAAGCACATCAACCAAAAGATTTCTAGAGCTCAATTTGAAGCCTTGGTTGAACCATTGATCAAGAAGACTGTTGACCCATGTAAGAAGGCTCTTAAGGATGCCGGTTTATCCACTTCCGATATTTCCGAAGTTATCCTTGTTGGTGGTATGTCTAGAATGCCAAAGGTTATTGAAACCGTCAAGTCCATTTTCGGTAGAGAACCATCCAAGGCTGTTAACCCAGATGAAGCCGTTGCCATGGGTGCTGCTATCCAAGGTGGTATCTTAGCTGGTGAAGTTAAGGATGTCGTTCTTTTGGATGTTACCCCATTATCTTTAGGTATTGAAACCATGGGTGGTGTTTTCGCCAGATTGATTTCTAGAAACACTACTATCCCAGCCAAGAAGTCCCAAATCTTCTCTACTGCTTCTGCTGGTCAAACCTCTGTTGAAATTAGAGTTTTCCAAGGTGAAAGAGAATTAACCAGAGACAACAAGTTGATTGGTAACTTTACTTTATCTGGTATTCCACCAGCTCCAAAGGGTGTTCCACAAATTGAAGTCACCTTTGACATTGATACTGATGGTATCATCAAGGTCTCTGCCCGTGATAAGGCTACCAACAAGGATGCTTCCATCACCGTTGCTGGTTCTTCTGGTTTGTCTGATGCCGAAATCGAAAAGATGGTCAATGATGCTGAAAAGTATGCTGAAACCGATAAGGCCAGAAGAGAAGCTATTGAATCTGCCAACAGAGCCGATCAATTATGTAACGACACTGAAAACTCCTTGAACGAATTCAAGGACAAGTTATCTGAAGAAGCCACCACCAAGGTTAAGCAATTGATCACCGAATTGAGAGAAGTTGTCCTCAAGGCCCAAGCTGGTGAAGAAGTTTCTCCAGAAGAATTAAAGACCAAGACTGAAGAATTACAAAATGAATCCATGAATGTCTTTAAGGATTTGTATAAGGATGCTGGATCTTCTTCTGAAGAACCAAAGAACTAAGTTTAGTTCTAGATTTATTTTAATTTCTTGTGTTTATATTTTGGAGATGTGAGAAATACCTTACATGTTCATAAAAGATGCCCTGTATATATTTAATGAATGTGTCCTTTTGTGTAAACTATAAACTATATACTTTTTCGTTTGAATCGGTGAGATCACTTAAACTGTGAGAGATCCCGAATGATCGTGTAATTGTTGGTTTTCTTCTGACGATTGTTCCGTATGTTTTGGAGAGTGTTCTTGTTGGCATGCTTGTAGATGACATGGATCGAGATGTTGTATCCAATGGGGACAGTTCCGGTTCGTTGTCGCCGTCGTTGTCGTCGTCGACGTCGTCTTCCTCTTCTTCTGACAGGTATTCCAACATGTCCCCAAGCATTGATCTTCTATTCAACACCTTATTGTTAAATTCTTCTTCGCTTTGCGATTCACTTTCAAGTGAGGAATAGTTGGAAGTGGTGGCCACCGACTGAATCGTGCTGGCATCATCAACGTAAACCAGCAGCTTGGAAGGTTTCATTTCACTACGCATATCGCTAAACTTACTCTCGGTGTCAAAGTAGTCATTGAGGGTCTTGGACAAGTCCTTATCCACGAGGAACTTTTGGAACATGGTGATTTCCTGGCGGAGCTTGACTCTGTTAGCAAGAACTTGCAACAAGTAACTCTTCCATAATTCTGGAATAGTATGAGTTTCCACGAATGAGTTGTCAGTATGGGGTGGTGGTGCTGGTGGTGCGGTTGCAGATACTGATGAGGATACGGATATTGGTGCAGGTGCGGGTGGTTCTGCTTCTGCTTCTGCTTCTGCTTCTATTTCTTCAATAGCAGTAGGGGCCTTCCAAGGATCAAGTGATTTCATTTGAGGATCAGCGTACTTGACAGTTGGTTCGGACCCGCGAATCAGTTCAGCTTTAGCTGGAAGGTTGCTGAGATATGTGTTTTCTTGTTGGTTGATGTATTCGGACAATCTGCTACGTCTCACTTCCGGCAAATGGTTTTCCGTGATTGGCAATGTTGTCCTGTCGATCTTGGCGACTTTGAACACGGGAGTCTTGCCTAGTTGTGGATTGGTGGATGGATTGCCAATCAACAGTTTGAATGATGTGGAATTGGTACGTTTGATCTTCTTGAATGATTTGGTTCGCTTAGAACTAACGGTAAAGCTAAAGAATTTCAACTTGACTAAGAACTTTTTGAGTCGTAATTTAACACGGTAAGCCCAGCTGCCTTCTTTGAACTTGATGGCGTTTTGACGGTGTAAACTAGAAGAGGACGAGTTGACAGTATACAATCTAACGTTACTTGTTCGTTGGGTCTTGTTTCTCTTGAACCATTGTCTGCGTCTTTGTCTGATGGATGAAGTCAACAATTTTTCCGGTTGCTGAATGAATGGCACAAGGTTGTCAATGTCTTGGTGACGCATGGAGAAGATCGTTGCTTGTGATCCCATGGAGTCGGAAATGTCTCGGATGATTCTAGGTGGTGTTTCTAACCTGCTTTCAATGCTTTCTCTCTGGATGGATGGTTTTGATTTGATGGTGCCCTGACGGTATTCGTAATCACTTTTCAAAGATGGGGAATCAATGGAGATACCATCGAGAGGATTCTTTTTCTGATCAAGTACAAACTGGGAGAATCGGTGTGGTACCGGGTTAACTATGCTCTTGACTGATTCTGACGACTTTTTAGTCATACTTGCTGCTTTAGGGGAGGGACTGGTGTTTATATGACTAGTGTTGGGATATTTTGCCGGAAGTGGCTCTTCATGATCACTATAGAGCAAACTGAATGTGTCTAACGAAGTCTGAGGCTCTGAATGTTGGGTTGTTCTTGTGAGTTCTGGCGAGTTTCCGGGATCGTTGGAGTCAAGGGAGTCAGGTTGTGAAGAACAAATGGTCTGCACTTCTAATCTTTCCAAGGTAGACTTTATCGTGCCTCCTCCTGCGGAACTTTCCTTTGTAAATGAGCCCACTGGCGAAGCTAATGCAAATGTACGCCTAAGCGAGGAGTGTGGAGACATGAACTCTTCTTCTATTTCTTGAAGAAGTGGATCGCTTAATGACATGATTGTTAGAGTTTAAATATTTTTTTGAATTGTAAATTGATCCGTGTTTTTGATCTGGGTATGATTCATTTATATATGAAACATATAGCCCCTTCCAGATGAACAACTAGAGAAAGCTAGCTCCCATTGTTACATCACTCATCAAAAGCTTAAATGGCGGGACATGGCTGGTTGCGAGGACAAAAACGAATGCGCACAAAATTTTAGTTTCTTTTGTTTTTGCAACCAGCCATTTCATGCATGCATGAAAATTACTGCATTCAGCGCAAGTGAAAACTACCGTCGTATGACCAGGTAGGTTTTAGTCCGATTCAATTAGCTACACGACCAAACTAATGCAATTAATATAACTACACGACCACGCTAATGCAGTTAATATACACTTAGCCAAGACAATTGCTAAATTTTAGCTTTTTACACAATGCGATGTTTTGATTACAACTTTATTACTTAAAACAATTACCTACTTACTTTTTCAGGCTAACATGACTTTTTTTTATTTTTGTGGTCAATATGTATTCTTGGCCTGTTTAGGCCCTTGCTGGAGCTAAACCAACAGCATCCTTCTTTAAATCATAGATAGAGTAGTATCTTCTTAAAAAGGCATCACCGATAATGGCCAAGTCACCAATTGGCTTAGGGAAATCCATAGGTGTAAACACGGAAATACATGATCCACCAACTTCCAAAACGTAGTCATAAGCAGACAAGGTAAAGTTGTAGCCCGAGAAAGTTAAAGTTAAATCAGGTAACGAGTCTCTCTTTGCACAGTCAATTTGGTATTGGCCGCTCCAAGACTTTTGTGCACCAATCTTGGCATTGATGATTTCAGCCAATGATGATGGCAAAGTAATTAAGGAAGTACCAGTGTCAATAGCAGCACCGGTCTTGCTCAATTCAGCATATTCGTCACCTAATCCAATACCCTCAAATGAAACTTCCCAATAAGCCTTTCTTCGAACTGGCAACCAGGTAATCTTGCCATCAATTAATGACTTGTCGTATCCACCGAATGTAGCTACCCCACCATCATTTTCGTCCTTGCTGGTATCGCCCAAGTAGAACCCAAATTGAGGTTCATCCAATAATCCTTGATTGATAGCATTGTAAACTGGTGGGACAATCTTGTTAACGGAAATGGTATCATAAGCTAATCCTAAAATACCATCAAACTTCCCAAATGCAAACGCTAAACCTGGTTCAGAAGTAGCTTCAGCGAAATCTTGCTTTGGAATTTGCAAACCACCAATGTTCAACACATCTTGCGAGATGTAACCTTCCATAGACCCGGATCCGTACTGAATGGAGAATTCAGTACCATTGGCCTTGTAAGTTGATGAAGCATCGTGGTCATACTTGGAATGCAAGAAACAAGCCAAACTAGTACAGTCCTTGGATGGGATCCACAAGTTGGAGGACCCAGTGTCCAAGATAACCTTAAACGATTGGGCTGGGGTACCGACACTAATTTCAGTAAAGTACTGCGCATTCAAGTAGTTAGTCAATGGAGCTTCAAATCTTCCTTCGACAAATGGAACTTGGGGTGGCTTGTTCGATAACACATGTTGAATGCCATGGGCAACGGGATTGCCGGCACCCAAGTTGAAGCTGGTCATGTACTTGTTGGCCAACGAGTTGGTGTACTCAGCAAACATCTCTGGGTTCAAGGTGTCTTCATTGGAAACCCTGGTCAACTTGGCACTGTGGACTTTGGCATCGACTGGAGCAGTCAAAGCCAATAAAGTAGTGGCAATTGTAGTTAAAACTGATAAGGAGAATTGCATCGTATTGGTAGTATATCAAAAACAAAACAAAAGGAACGACAGACTGGAATCAACTGGTTGAACTGTAGCTTCTCTGCGAGGATATGTCTATATTGATATGCTGGCGTAGATAAAACTTGTGTAAGTTCACTTGTGTAAGTTTTTAAAATGCGGGCAGCAAGAAAGACGAAGGCAAAAAAAAAGGTGGAGGCTTTAGGGGGCAACATAACCAGGCGGCGGTTTATATTTTTTGCTTGGTATGTCGCATAATTGGCAAATCTTATCTAAATTTCCTGTATACGATGCACAAAAGTCGTGCGTATCTCACCAATTGGAATTTCATGTCTGTGAACAGCAAGATTATATCCGAAACAAGCAAGGCCAGAAAAAAAAACCTGTGTAATCTGGACCATTGTCCGACCTTCGCATCTCGGATAAATTAAATTTTAACCGTTGGAATAAATTGCATTTGACTGTATATTAACTAAGAATGCTTGGTCTTTTCACATCTCAAGTGGAGAATTATATTCCCAATACTCCGATTAAATTTACCCCAAGGGCTGAAGGCGAGCCAACCACTACTCTTCCCGACCTCATAAAATCAAAAGTTCCCGAGCTCGCCAAGGGATACTCGTACTTTATAAATCCCGTATTGTCATCAGGCCATGCCCAAACCGCGTACACTGCATTAAACAAATTCGCCAACCTGTTCCATGTTCATTACAAGCGCCGTATCCTAACCGTGGAAAACAAGACGTATACACTTCCCACTGGTGAGAAACTCAAGTACGATCAGTGGGAGGGGGAAACCACAATTGCGTTAGACTACGCCTTGCAAAGCCATCAAAATTCCGACCCGGAACATGTGTGGTACAAGCCAAGTTCTCAGACGAAGGAACTACCACCAAGAACCGAATACATGAATCCAGAATTAGAACCAACCATCATCGACAACAGCGATGATAAGCCTTTGCTTATTGTGTTGCATGGGCTATCCGGTGGTTCCTACGAGGCATATATCCGAGCAGTATTAGACAAGATCATACTTGATCCATTCAATTTCGACGCTATAGTGTTGAACTCGCGTGGATGTGCCAATCATACAATCACCAGTCCGCAATTATACAACGGATTATGGACTAATGATTTGCGATATGTCATGAATGAACATGTGTCTAAATTGTGGCCCAACAAACGTGTTTACCTTATGGGGTTCTCCTTAGGTGGGGCGATCTTAGCTAACTATTTAGGACAAGAAGGTGATGCCGTGTCGAAACAAATCAAGGGGGCATGTGTATTAGGAACCCCCTGGGATTTCCCTGATAGTGCTATTCATTTACGTGAGAGTATCATTGGCCATAATGTCTATTCGCCAACCATGTGTAGCAACTTGCTAAAGCTTTTAGACTCGCATGGTCTTCTCTTGAGTCAAGAACTTGTCAAACACTTTAAGGATAATCCTGATCAATACAATATTAAATTCTTGAAACAATTTGACAACTACTTCACCGCCAAACTATTTGGATTGAACTCGGCCGATGAATATTACAGATTAGCATCCCCAGTGCAAAGATTAATGAAAGTCAGGGTTCCTACTGTAATTATCAGTTCTCGTGATGATCCAATTACAGGATACAGAACCTTGCCTGTGTCAGAAGTAGAATTGAACCCTTATTGTACCTTGGTTACAACTACGGTCGGTGGTCATTTGGGTTGGTTTACCGTGACCGGAGATAGATGGTATACTACACCTGTCTGTCGTTTGTTCACTGAGTTGGATAAGTATAATGTTGATCATGCTAGTGTGACTGAAAAAGATTTACCTCGTGATATCTCCACTAGTTGGAAATATGATCGCTTGGTGAATGAAATGTTGGTTGAGTAAAAATATGGAGAAAAAAAAAAAAAATAAACTCAACTTTATATAACTAGATAGATTCTTTGCATATGAAAAATGACTAATACCCCTAATAATATACTAGAGAGTGCTGGCAGTAGTATATCTACTACTAATACATCTATAACAGTCAGGCCGAATCAGCAATCCACCACAAACAATAGCAGCAACAACAACAACAACAACACCAACAGCAACAACAGCAACACTTCCCTAGCATCGACATACAAATGGGTACGAAAACTACGAACGCTTCCATCAAACCCCAAGTCAAATGATTTCCTCAAATTAGATTACATTGAGGTGAACTTGAACAATTCACGAAAATTGATTGCTAATGTATTGAAGATGTCGCATACCAGTCAAGAATATACCGACTGTTTGGATTTGCAAATTGGTGGCAACCTAGTACAATTGACTCAGGTAAAGAAGGAACTAGATTGGTTGGATGATATTTAACCTGTAGTCATATACTAGTCTTACAACTGTTAATTTGATTAGCTAATATTTGTGTGGTGGAAATAATAATTCTTGCCACTGGAATTCCATTGAAAAATGTGTACCACCCGTAAAACACCCCTACTTGGACATTCCCCAATTCTACAAAACTATCAATGTCTATGTGTATAAGTATATAATAACCTGTTACCCTATCTATTATTTCTATTAACCAGATCATCAGTATCACTGAAATCTGTCATTGCAATAGCAACATCCTCCAATTTATTATATTGTCCATTCCTCTCTATATCCTCAGGACCATCATCACTAGCACTTTGGTTATCCAAAGGCTTGAACTTCATAATGATGATGGCGTTTCCGACAATCAACATCATTCCTAAAAACGATAAAAATTCAGGCAAATGACCCCAAACGGTCAAATCCCAAAATAATGCAAATACCATACCGGAATAGGCCATAATTGCTGCTCGGGAGGCCTTGACTCGTTGAATACCGGCAGTAAGCGAAAACTGCATAAAGAAACCAGAAATCCCAATAACCATAAATAAAAACCATTGATAGCCATCAGCAGGCAATACAAAGGATAATGATGGGATAACCAAAATTGCAAAAAATGTAATTATGCAGCAACATAAGGAAAAATAACTCACAGATAACAATGGATGAATGTCCTTACCTATCTTTCGCAACACTACATAAACACTCAGGACCCCAAAAACACCCAATAGCCCAACAACAGTGGCAATGACTCTCTTTTCGGTAGACCCAGACTCGGTAGCTTCATCCAACTCCGACGTTTCTGCATCAGATATCACCCCAAATATGAACGAAGGTTTTGCAATCAAAATAACCCCACCGAATGAAACAACCGAACATACTGCTTCCAAAATAGAATAACTTTCTCCAAGAACTATAAACGCCAAAAAAGCGGTAACCATAGGAGCTAAAAACGTGATCCCCACCGCATCAGAAACACTCAAATATTGCAAAGAAAAATACAACCCAAACACCCCGAAAAATCCAAGTAACCCCCGCATAATCAATAATGTACGAACCTTTTTCGGTCCAAAGGGAGCTTCTGGGATCGACCTTGTTACTCCCATATATATCAAACATAGCACATACGTAATCAACATACGGATGAACAAGATTTGCAAAGGGTGAATCGGCACATTTGAATCCTTATCAGTAACCAACAATTTACAACTAGCAATCATAATCGAATTGAGGAAATGCGATAATAGTAACAAACATAACCCAGAATTGGGAAGTATATATTGATTGTACTTGGTCCTCATTTTGCCAATGAATGAACTGGGACCAGTGCTTATTATCGACGATGACGTCTCCCAAGCACTTTCATGGAATCGGTCAAACGAGTTTTTCTTTTGTTCGACACCAACATCTTCTCCCCACGTGGGTGCAACTGAGTCTCTTTGTTGCTCTTCTATAGCATCGCCTCTTAGTATAGACCCATTACGACTACCTGTTTCCATTGGAGTAGACATGGTGATGGCAAAAAGATAAGGAACAAATATTTAGGGGTCAACTTTTTTTTTGTCTTGGGTGCGTTGTTTTATTTGACATTTAACTCCTCATACAGTTTCTCTCCGCCACATTAAAAAATAAAAAAGAAACGAGGGGAGGGAAATTGGATCTATCGGAGAAGAATTCCGGACCTCCAGCCGAGACAACAACCGATCTACCGTTCCGATAAGGGCCCGTTATGATCATGCTATTATCCATGGTTAGCATTTAAAATGGAGTAAAACGTACAGTTATGTGCCAAGACCATCGTCTTATCGGAGAGCAAACCCCAAGAAAAATGGTGGCACTGTGGTTACAAAATCAATCGAAAAAACAAGAAACAATGGAGTGGATTACTAATTAACTATTCCGCTATTTGCTGTAGCATGACGCAAGGATTAAGCTGGAGAAATTGCAAATGAGTGATTGCTATATCTATAATAGTTGGATCTGTATTAATTGTATGTTTTTGATGTGATTTCTCCTGGTATGGTTTTTCATCATGTATTTTGCAACATTTTTTGCAATGCTTTTGGAGGAAACATATCTAACAAATCAAATTTCAAATGAGCCTTGTTTCTTGCCTATATATTTAAAAACAAGACCCAAATATAATTTTAGATATTACAAACACAATAGTCAACATTCAACCAACTTAATAAAACTCCAATAAGTTTATTGCAAGGATAGCTCCCATTTTGAATATAGAGGTGCCGAATAATTTACAAGTTTTGGTCACGTGAATAATGCGTGATTACGAGCCCGTGCACTGAACCAGGTAATTTTTTGAGCATGATCACCTGACTTCGTGGCCAAGTTGGTTAAGGCGTGAGACTGTTAATCTCAAGATCGTGAGTTCGACCCTCACCGAGGTCGCTTAATTTTTTTTTTTTTCAATCCTAAACCTGATAGATTGTACATTCCTTGGTATAAATATCTACAGGCAATAGATAACTACATGTAAAACACTGAAAACCCAAATGTAATTATTTTACCTAGATAAGCTATAAACCTTTCTTTTTACCCATTTTGTAACGTCCTAAAGAATAGTACAACATCCACTCTTTGGTTTTTCAGTATATAACAAACTTGTCCTCGTTGCATGTTCAAAAATATCATCAACACCTTCCCCCGTCAATGCTGAACTTTCCAAGTATTTCCTGGCACCAATCTCCTCCGCCACGGCAAGGCCCATGTCATACTGCACGAACCGTTTCCTATCACTTGTATTTGTCCGTAAATCCTTCTTCAACCCACATAAAATATAAGGTATGCCAGGGCAATACTGCTTCACTTCAATGACCCACTTCGTTCTGGCGTTATCTAATGAGTCGGGTGTGTCCAAAGCAAACCCTATCAATATCACATGGGAGTTAGAGTAACTCAATGGTCGCAATCTCTCGTACTCTTCCTGTCCGGCAGTATCCCATAATGCCAACTCTACCAACTTCCCATCAATCCTGCATTTCGTAACGTAGTTCTCGAAAACAGTAGGGTGGTACTCTGTGGGGAACTCGCCAAGTGTAAATACGTACAATAGTGACGTTTTACCACATGCTCCATCACCTACGATCACGACTTTCCTCTTTATTGCATCGGCAGCCATTATTCGTGAGGTATTGTTTGTTTCTATTTTTAGGGGTAGGTGGTCAATAAATTATGTGTTTGTGTTAGAGACAGTGCGTCTTTGGCATGGACTGGTTGTATGACTAGTTGATAGATCGAGTCTATATCTTTTTTTCTCGAGAAATCAACCACACGCGGTAGTAAATATGAACTAGTAAGAACTCTCGTTCACCCTAGCGAATGTGTAATTACAAACTTTCTCTTTCGGACTTTGAAAGTGTGTTTTTGCGCACTCTGAAAAAATACTACCCGAGGCTTAGTATGGATTTACATTTTTCGTTTTCTCTAAATACATAAAATAACTTACTTCATAAACTAATTCCATAACCTTCTACCAAACCCATTATTTGTAGGAGTTGGTGGAACCATGGAGTTACTTCCGGAATTCAACTCTCCTATCGTGCTCAAGATTGAATTATCATTGAATGGAGAAGTCTTGGTCAAGCCCGGTGGAGCGACAATTGGTTGTTGCAACTGTTGTTGTTGTTGTTGTTGTTGCTGTTGCTGCTGAGATGCAACTGGAGGGGGAGAAGTTCTAGCAAATCCAACTAATCCAACTTTTACATGGGTAACATTTCCAAAATCATCATATATGAAATCAAATTGATAAATTGACGATTTCTGCATGATGCAGTTTAAATATTGATTAAGGGTTAATCCAGGATACTTAATCATGGAAACAACATCTTGGAATAATTTAATAATCTGGGCGACCCCATATTCTAATTGGTTGGTATTTTGCAACATTTGAAAACAACTAAATGAAGATGCTTGAATCAATTCAGTGTCATTAGAACTTAATCCAACTTGTGTACTTCCATTACCCCATAATCCAGGTTGCGGATTAGTTGCATTTGCAGGCGCCCCCATGGATACACCACCAGTGGTTGAACTTGCATTGCTTGGTCCCCATATGGAACTATTTCTTGTGGTTGGTCCACTAGCCACTGTAGTTGCAGTAGTAGGATTCCAAATATTGTTACCACTAGTAGGGGCTATAGGAGTTGCAATAAATGATTCTGGCGATAATGTATCGGTAAAGGCATTAAACGGACTGAAGTTGGTAGAAGTGCTTGTAGCAGCTGCAGCTGCAGCATTTTCCACGGTAGCAGAAGCAGGTTGCTGAGCAAATTGTGGGAAAAGTGGTTGTTGTCCAGAATTGGACAATGAATTCAACCTTGATTTGCTTGACCATGGCGAAGCTGAGACTGGTGCAACTGCACTTGTTGGCACAACATTTCCCATCAATGCAGTCGAAGCAATTTGCGGAGAATTGATTAAATTGGTTGTAGGATTGATAGGATAAGCTGTTGTGGACATAAATGGATCAGAAGTAGCAAACGATTGAAGAGAAGGAGGATTAATTGCGGGAGCAACTTGTGGGAGTGGTGCAATAGGTGCAGTACTGGTAACTTGCGGGATTGGAACAGTGTTGGCAATCGAAGTTGAAGAACTTGATTGCGATCCTGGTTTAGCCTGATATAATTGGTTCAATAAATGGTTTGAGGAAATCTTGGCTTCAATATGTTCTTGCTTCTTAAGTGCTTCCTCTTCTTCTTGTATCTTTCTTTCAATTTCTTCTTGTTCTTGTCTGGCAGCTTCTTCTTCGGCAAGTTTCTTCTCTTGTTCAAGTCTTAAACGTTCACGCTCTTCTTCCTTTTGTTTCTTGATAAGTTCACGTTGTTTCTTTTCTTCTTCTTTTTGTTTACGTTCTTGTTCAAGTTTCTTCTTACGTTCTTCCTTTAATCGTTTAGCTTCTTCTTCACGCTTTTGTTGAGCTTCCACTTTCTTCTTGTGTTCCTCTTCCTTCTTCTTCAATTCTTCAATACGTTTCCGCTTTTCTTCTTCACGTTTTAACCTGGCTTCTTCTTTTCTTCTCTTTTGGTCAGCTCTTAATGCTTCTTGTTTCAACTTCAATTCTTCTTGCTTTTGCTTTTCTTCTTCTTCACGTTTGCGTTTCTCCTCTTCTTTGGCCAATTGTTGTAATCGCTTCTTCTCCTTAGCTTTCTCCTTTTGCTTGAGTTTCTTCAATTCCCGTTCTTTCTTGGCCATTTCTTCCGCTTCCAATTCTTCAATCAATTTTTGAGTTCTATCCTGTGAAATTTTCTCCTTGTAAGCATTCTTTAACCGTTCTTGGAATAATTTTATAACTTGAATCAAGAATAATCTTCGAATTTCTTGCATTTTTTCTTCTTCAGAGATTTCCGATTCGGTATCACTAACTTCTTCAAGAATGTCGTCTTCTTCTTCATCATCATCCTCTTCTTCATCTTCATCCTCGTCGTCCTCTTCTTCCTCGTCGTAATCTTCATAATCCAGTTCTGCTTCATGGTGATGGTGAAGGTGATTACACTTGTCATCTTCATCCACCCAAGCCGGTGGCAAGACGGGAGGATTGGTATCATCTTTCAATAATCCTTCACGACCATTTCTGGCTTCAGATAATGCCTCCATCATATTTATGAATGAGTTTCCGTCATTTCTTAATAAATCCTCGGCAAAGTTAGACAATCCTTGGGTTAATTGATCATTCTGGGGAGTTTCAGAAGTGGTTGTGGTACTTGATTTCGGGAATAATTTTCCTATATTTTGTAAAAAAGACATGCCCTTTTCTAAATGAGCTTTATCGGCTTTATGTAAATCTCGAACTATTTGTCTTAGGGAGTTGGCCTTTTCCAACAAATTAACCTGAGATATATTTGAATCCTGTTTCATTTTATCCAAATCCATATTCTCCAATGCTTCATAAAGTTTTGGATCAAGTAACTTGTTGAAAATCTGTTGTTCTGTGGTTGATATATCTTGAGTTATTTTTGATTCGTCAAATCCCTCCTTGAGTTGCAACGGCTGATCCTTATTTATTATCGGATCGGCTTTGCTTGGTTTAGACATCATTTCCAACTTTTGATTAAATCGAAGTTGTCGCTTTTGTAATTTATGTTCTTCTTCCAACATATGGAATCCACCAAAAAGTAATCCCGGTAACGCATTTAAATCATTTATATCTCGGACTTCATGGATGAAATCTATAATGTCATCAAAATGGTTATCATATATGTTCTCCAATTCATCTTCAATTAGATTGTTTTTTCTGCCACAATATTTACAAGCACACGAGTTGGAAGTGGTAGTGTTGGCGGAGGAGGTGGTTGTGGGGGTGTTTGCAGTAGCGCCGTTGTTGGTAGAGGTATTACTTGTGTTTGCATGTGCATGGTTATGCGGTTGCAGCAGTTGCTGTTGTTGCAGTAGTAGTTGTTGTCGTCTGGTCTCATTCTTGAACATTTCCATGATTGATTTCTTATCGATTTTAACCAAATCAAGTTTCAGGTCTTCATCCAAGGATTCCCAAAATTCCTTCAACTTTTCCTGTTCCTCAATGGATGCACTATCCCACAAGTTTGCATGAGTGGATTCTTCATGGTGGTCTTCTTCCAAACTTTCAACAATTACGTCACCGTTTGGCGCCTGTTTTATTACTCTTGACGAAGGATAATCTTCATTAGGATTGGTTAGGTGTGCCGATACGTTGCTTATATTGGCGGTTGTCTTTTTCGTCTTCTTTTTCTTCTTTTTCTTCAGACTGGCATTGGATGTATTAGCGTTGGATTTGGATCCCACGGAGTTTGCTTGGTTATGGCTGTCTCCTGGTTTGTTTGTGGTGTTGTAATCAAAATGAATATCATCCCCTAGCTTGAATCGCGAAGAGTTGGCGTCTACTGTGTCCATTCTTATTCTCGCCTTCTTCTAAGGGTATATATACACAGTTAATTTGATTGTAAAAAAAATGCCTATAGTACTATAGTTGTCTACTCTGGCTAAAAGAATTTTTTCTTTTTCTAATTAGTGGAAGAAAGAAATTCTGATTTACCTTAACAAAAAAAATTCCCACTAGAAGTTTTTTTTTGGTTGTCAAAATTTGGCTATTTTCTATGTATGAATGGATGCAGTTGCCCCAGTGTCACCAACAAGGTACGGAGGTTGCCTAACCATACTCCCCCAACAGCCAGCCAGCTACTACCTGTCTACCAGCTAAGCACCACCTTGTTGAGAAACATATATCAAACCATCAAACGTGACACCTCCGTACTGATTCGGTTAACTTATTGCCCATATTAAACTCAAACTTTGTGTGGTCCTGTATATAAATCGAGCCCCCACATCACCTTAGGATAATGTGAGAGTTAAAAATAGACACATGTAATTGATCCGAGGGTTATTATAAGGTTTGTTCTTCTAATTAGGGTTTGTTTGTGATGCCAGTGTGTTTGCCTTACTTACCATGCCAATTTTAGCCTTTGGATTGACTTGCTTGCTTTTAGGATATTGCTCGTCGTTTGGTAGCGCCTGTTATTTAGAGGGTACAGCCAGCTGTGTGACACTCGCCAAGTGGAAACGGGGGTATCCCAAGTAAGGGTGGTATAACAAAAGAGCATAAAGAAGTAGTCACGCAATATAGTAATATAATATTCATGATATACATATATATAACTTTGTCCATCAAATTTCAGCTTATTTAGTACCTTCTGCATCAGCAACTTTCTTTTTCAATTCTTGGTTTTCAATCACGACAGTTTCAAGTAATTCGGTTAATCTCTCAATCTTTCTATACAATTCATACAAGTCCCAATTAATCCCTGCTTTGAATGCAGCCTCCACTGGTTTAACTACCAGGTTGATCTCAGCTTCAAACTCTTGCAAATTAATTCTAAATTCCGGATCTTGGGTTTCTCCTTCTCTTTGAGTTCTCAATTCTTCTCTAACCTCTTCGGTTCTTTCTCTGATTCCTTCACTTGAAGGCAAGAAAGTGTCATCGTATCCATCAGTCAAGTCCCATTCGGTATCAACTTCATTGGCATCATCAGCTAATCCTCTAAATCTGTTATATTGGATTCTTCTGGCATTTGCTAATTCATCAGCGGTGATGTAGGCAAGCATGGGCGAGTAAATAATTAACATGACATAATAGTTGACCAACTTGAATGCTTCATGAGGCAAAAACCAACCGAGCGGAGTTATTACCATTTCAATAAGATTGAATGGAGGGACATAAAGATCTTGATCTGGAGCTCTGATATATCTCAATGTCTTTTGAGCCACCAAGGCAAAGTATTCATCGGTGGCATTCTCAACAATTGCTGCATATGCAGTGGAATACAAGGCAACCAAGATGTTCATCAAGATGACGGATAAAAGGAATGAATAGATGTAATACAATATTGATGCATATGGTGGGATCAAATTACCCATATCGTCCAATGAAGATTCTCCAATGACAGCCTTGACTAAAGATATCAAGATCTTCAGAGTGACGTCATTGCTACCGTCAGAGATATCTAAACCGATAAAACCTTGCAAGAATCCAACAATAACCACGAATAACAAGACAAAGAACAAAATCGATTCCTTCATCATGGTCTTCAAGACAACAATCATGGCACCAACAAACTTTTGGGCATCCAAGTACAACAATAATCTTGACCACATTAATGGGGCAGCACATGAAAGTACTCTGAATGAAATTTCATCATACTTTTCTCTAGCAGCACCGTGAGAATCCAAGCTGGCAAGTCTAAAGAAGATTGACACTGAAAGAATGGTGTACATGGTATCATTCAAGGCATTCCAAAAACCCAAGTAGTTCCAACCAACATGATAAAACTTAACAATTTCATCGACAATTGAACCCAAGGTGAAGATATAAAACAACACTTCAAAGCCATCAACTTTTCCCGTGCTGATCTTGTGGGTGTTCAAAACAATTGAAAACAATATCAAATAAAAGATGCTAAAGATGATTTCTAATATGTTTTGATAATATGGAGTCTTGATTCTTGCTGGATCAAAGTGAGTTCTAATGGAATTGGAGGCTACTCCCTTATACATAAGATAAGAATGAGGGTCAACATTGGATTGCATAATCCATCCTCGCCATAACCATTTGATACAACGTTGGTAACCCGAAGACCCAATGACAATGGTAGAATGCATATCAACTGCCAATTCCAAGGCGCTAACTGGAGTTGCGTCTACACCATTTAAACAAATGGAATAACGATGACACAACATTCCCAAGAACATGTACTTGTCGTTCTTTTCTTGTTCAATGATAATAGCAGCTAATTTCTGGGCAGCCGTGGCACGTAAGGAATATAACTCATTGTCAGTTAATTCCTGTTCACTTTGTTGCCAATACCAGCCACAAACCTTAAGTAAACAGAAGATCAAAGCAGCACGATATTTGTGTGAAGTTGTGCCTGGCTTACCATCACCTTTACCACCAGCGGCTTTCAAAACCAATTGAACCACATCGTGGTTAAGAATTGGCGAGTTGGCCTTGGTGATCTCGTTGACGTCAAATATGATTGGGATGACTTTATCAATGACCAATTTCAAGTTAAGACATATCCGGAAGGTTTGACGGGAATTGGGACAAAAGCGATCAGAATAGTCGTCTTCAGGTTGATCTGGTGGTGGAAGTAAGAAATTTACTTCTTCAATATCAATTGCCATGGTTGATTAGTTAGTAGCTATCAATTGATTCACAGAGAGAGGTCTGGAGAGGAAGAAAGTGATGGAATCTTAGACGAGTTGATTTACGTTACAAAGTGCAGTCAAATTTTATCTTGCAACAATAGCCAACTGAAACTGCACCCTTATTTTTTTTCGTGAACTAAAAAGTAAATACTTATGGGGTGAGATGCAATGAGGCGCGCGCGTCAGAAGGGGGGGGGAGGGTGGTGCCGTGGAGTTACGAACACAAGGGGAGGGCCCGTAAATGGTGTCTTGTTTACTCCGGGTTATGTCATTTCTGTATTGTCGCGTCTTGCGATTATACAATAGACCGCAGTTTCGTCTTTTGTGATGGATTTGTCGTATAATTATACTTCCCCTTACTCTAACTGTGCCTAACTGTCGCTAACTCGGGCTATTTTTTTTTCTTAGATTAAATCCCTCTTCTGTTTATTAGACTTGCTGCAGTAGCTGAAAATTATGATGGAGAATCAACAATCACCAACCACACCTATAGTGGATGATTGGAGCGATTCCAGTGATGACGACGAAGATCCTTTGGAAATCACTCAAAAGCAGAGAGAGCTGAATCCAAATTTACAACCAATTGTATCACCAACAAAAGTTCCACCCAACAATGACACTGTTCCTACGAGATTGCAAGCAACCAAAAGCATGCGTAGGAAACCACCACCGGAATTGCAGGAGGGCATACCACCAATACAAATACAAACACAAGCTCAGATACAAACACAAGCACAAACACAAACATCACCTAGAGCCACCGTCACTAACAAAGTTAAGGACTCATTCAACAGCATCAAAAGGAAAAGCTTTGACCCATCCAAATACTTCAACGTGGAAAATGCCCCTCAAACACACGCATACTCGGTCCAACCAGCAACCCCAGAAACTCCCAATTCAACTGTCACCATTTCTCAGGATACCCCATTTTGGAAATACCACATTCTTAAATTTGGTAAAGACTTGTATCTTACCACCAACCCAGACTTGAAACATATGTATTGTAGAAATGGACCAGGATACTATGTCGAAATTACCGGAAATACTCCGATAATTACTTCTTCACAGGGGTACACCCTTGAATTCAGACAAGCTTCAGAAGAAGAAACCAGTATAACAATAATTAAACACCCCCAATCCCGAGGTGGGTTTTTCGAATTCCGTGTGCCTAAAGACAAGTACATTAATCCTGATGGAATAATAGAGACGAATGAAGATATGCGTTTATTCAAGGGTTATTCATACGCCAGTTCTATCAAGCAGGAATACTTTCCTTTTATTAATTTACGAACAAAATATGCGAGATTTTTCACAAATTTTGAAGTTGACGATATGAACCATAATAAATGGAGTATTGGATCAATTCCTCGAGTTAGAATAAGTAAAATGAACAAATTTAAATCTAAAGTCAAGCACAGCATAAATGAGGAGGTCGAACAGGATGAAGTTGACGAGTATAAATTGATTGGCAAAAGAAATATCTATTTCCATCGTAATTACTTTACTCATAATCCATTCATTTACTCGCACGAAACAAAATTCCCTCCTGTGTTAAGTATGTTTAGACAATATGAAACCAAATCAGTAAAACGAATTAAGCAATCGGTCAAGAAGAAAAGACAATCTTTGATTAATCATGATAAGTATATTGCCCAGGAGGAGGATTTAGGTACAAAGTATTACAATGGTAGTGATGGATTATATTTTTCGGGTTCAAATCAAGATGATAACCCCGATGACAATAAATTAGGGTGGATTACAATATACGATGATGAAACTTTACTGAATAAGGGAATGTTTGAATTTGTGCTTGGTATGACTTTAGCGGTTGGGTTCGACAGTTGTTTGTCGGACTAAAAAAATTGTCGCAAATTCTCACTTGTGTAACTTTTATAGATATTAATAGACAATGATAATGCTAATACTACTTGTATGGTTGGTAAGACTTATTGTTGCACTTCCAGACCTGAGTCAGTCATGTATTACAAATAAAAACATCCCATTCACAGGATACAAAATCGAATACCAATTAAGACTAAATACTTTCCAATGCGAATATCATATGATTTATTGCAACGACAACAAGCTTATTTATGACATGAATCTAAATGATACAATTCCCTGGACCCATCCTATCCACTTCAGCAAAACCAACAGGTCCAACACATTAATCCTAGCACGAAGGAAATCATTTGCTTTGAGATGTATACCGATTTATTTACCAAATACCTTAGTTGGATCACTTTATTACAATCCTACTTCACAGCCAGTCACAAATAATACAAAATTACAAAGTGTCCCTTTGGTAGCAGCAAACATTCATAGAAGTTGGATTGAAATGAATTACAAACTTGAATTCACTTATCATGTTCCGTTACTAACGACACCAGGTATAGATAGTCGGCGATTTCAAATTGGTATGTTTAAAGAACAGAATAAGAATAATTGGAATGAATATATCTCCATAACAGAAAGTTATGACTTCAAATACGACCTGAGAATCGTTGTTCGGAAAGCCATAGATCGAGTATTGACACAAATTAATTTATTAATCAATACCAGCAAATTTGTGAAGAAAAAAATTGATATGAGTAACATATCAAAAAGAACTTCCAGGGTGTTTTGGAAATTAGTAATGTTATCTAAGGTTTTGAAGCATGAAACTTTTGATATGATTCTTGTTAAGATCGATAAATTTTTGCAGTATTAAAACGGGTGTTTTTTCGCAGCCAAAAAAAAAGCAGCTACAAACTTTTTCTTTTCCAAAATACAAACCACCAGATACAACCATGAGTACAAACACTGCTACTTTAGATGCTCCCACTAAGGCTGCTATTGGAATAAACTATGACAAAAAGGTTTATGCTGAATTGCCTGCTCAAAGTTATCTCGCTCGAGTTTCAAATCGTCCTGCCTTAGCTGCTATTAACGGTTTAGTAAGTTCCTTTCCAGTTATCAAAATATTCAGCTCGAATGCTGTTCCTATGCTCGTCGCTAGAGAACAAGCTCAGCAACAGAAGCAACAAGCCAGTTAATACTTGGACTATGGTATTCATGTTTGGTTATGATGTTTTTGGTTTTTTGGTTTAGCTTATATTGGTTGTATAGCTATATATTTTTACAAATCTACATCAGCAAAGTCTGATTGTGAAGAAAGATCGAATTCATGGGCTTGATTGTAGTTTTCACTTGAAGGTGTGTTCTTGGTGGATGATTTATTCTGTTCTCGCCGTTTAAGCATATCAGCAAATCTAGCATCTTCTTCAAAATCAGATAAATCGTAAATTATATTGGCTTGTTCGACGCTTGTGCCCGAATCAAACACTGGCTCTTGTTTTATTTCCAGGGTAACTTTATTCTTGTTATTTTGGGTTGCATTAGTGCCATCTGATGGCGTGTTTATGTAGGCGAACCATTGTGAAGATTTCGGAGGAATTCTTATGGGAAGTCGTTTTCTAATATTTAGATCAGTATTAGCCAATGCTACTTGCAAGTTCTTTGAAGAGCTTGGTTTTGGAGTTGGTTTTGGTTCTGCTTTTACAACCACTTGTTGCAACCTCGTTATTATTCTATCTTTCTTGTTTACTGGTTCTTGCTTTACCGATACTCTTCGCTTAACACTGATAGTTGCAGGACGCGGTGACCCTTGTTCCTGTTTAACCTGTGACCGTTTCTTAAACGAGATATCCCGTTCAACCACACCCATTTTATCCTGAATCTGAATAATGTACTTGTTGCTGGGGAACGCGAATTCATTATCTTCCACCAACACGTTGGCTAGTATGAAAGAAATGGGTCTATCTCGGATAAAATCAGTGGAGATTAGGTGGTTGTCACTGTTGAATAATTGAAGCTTGCTATTTAGTTCGTAGAATTGTAGTTTGCCATCATTCCATTTCTTATCTTTTTGTCTCACTCTGTTTGAATAAAGGACTTGATATTCGTGTACGATTGAAACTTCCTCTGTCATTGGTACCCCCCCTTGCTGTGTTTTTGGTTATGGGTTGAAAAATTGCGCGTTTGTCGCGTGCTTAAAAATATGCACTACCATGTTGAGCTCAAGGTTCTACGTAATAAGTCTAAATTATATGTTTATTCTATGTACAATATATACAAGGTCAACCTAAGCATTAGTGAAGGGGAACCCATAAGCAGACAATAAAGTTCTAGCTTGCTCATCATTACTGGCAGAAGTTTTTATGGTAATATGTAACCCGTTCATATTTGGGTATAAATCTTGGAAAGCTTCGATTTCTGGAAAGAATTGCATATCCTCATTAGTCAACCCAAAGGTAATATTCCCCTTCTTGTCCCCGGAAGAATTCTTAATCCCCTTGAAAGTTCTGATTCTTGGTAAGACCAATTCAATCAATGTAGACAAGAATTGGGTCATATCACGACCAGTCAATTCAACTTTACCACCGACTGGCTTACCCTTTCTCAATTTAAACTCAACAAGATTTCTCTTGGCAAATAATTGCTTTGGCTTGACGTTGGTCAAGGTAGCCACTTGTAATCTGGTGGTTATATCCAACCAAGGTTCAACTAACGCTTTCTTATTATATGAGTGAACAGTGACCCCGGTGATTTCTGGGATATTTTTAGCAGTGACAGGTTTTATTTGGCCCCGGGTACGAATCAGACCAAGAGGTTTTTTCAAAGGACGATATAATTTGTATGGAGAATCAACTCCCCACGATCTCTTTGGATTGGCAGGGATGGTGTCGGCATCATATTGGTACAAGTTCAACATAAGGTCTGACTTTAATGTGTTTGTATAGTGTTCGGCGATTCTGTCTTGATCAATTTCGTATGGTCGGTACTTGATCGAGGTGATATCATCATGAGGAACTAATAATTCTTTGAGGGATGGTTTCAAGTTGGATTTTTCAACCTTGACTAAATGGTGGACAGGATGGACGGTGGAATACCCTGGTTTCAACAGTATACCAGTCTTGGAAAACTGACGAATAAATACTTTACTCATGTTGGTTCTTATTCAGTTACTTGTGATTATCGAGTGAATCTCAACTGAAAAATTTTTGTCTACTGTACCAACATTAGTGCTGGGATTTACGCTAATTGTTGCAAACCGTGTAATGTTCAGCACGCCCATGTTTATGAAAAATAAACCAACTTGCAAGCTATGGCAATGCCCCTGTTCCATACCAAAACAGTGAAAATAACCATGCGATTTGGTCTACCTGCTGATTTCGAGATATATGTTGATGTACCACCAGCACCACCAGCACCACCATCTTCTGCATCGGGCGCTACCGCGCTTGCTCCAGCGGCATTATCGCGAGCTATACTCAGATTAAAGTCGGAACCAAATGCTGTCTCCCCCATACACAATCAATTCACAGAAGTATTCCAAGCAATCGAGAATCATACAGAAGAGCTTGTGGCAGTTAATCAAATACAGCAAGATAAGGATCAGATATTGCTCCTAGACAAGATCAATCAGCACGACCAGCTTGCCCAAGCTAATGTTACTTGGTTGGCTAACAAAATTGACCAAAGTTTACATATACAGAATCTGAGGGTTCAAGAAATCATCCTAATAGAAAAGGAGAGATTACGCAAGGAAGAAGAGAGGAAGCGTCGTGAAGAAGAAGAAAGAAAACGTCGCGAGGAGGAAGAAAGAAAGCGCCTTGAAGAAGAGCAAAGACGATTAGAAGAAGAACGCAAACGTAAAGAAGAAGAGGAAAGAAAATACAAAGAGGAAGAAGAGCGTAAACTAAAAGAGGAAGAACAACGTAAGAAAGAACTTGAAGAGAAAAAGAAGCAAGAATTGGCCAAGAAGAAAAAAGAACAAGAAGAAGCTAAAAGGCAACAAGAGTTACAAAAAGCAAAACAACAAGCTTCCTTGACTGACTTCCTCAGAATAGAAAAAGACTTTATCAAATATAAACAAGATATCGTTGATATCAAAACAAACATAGTTGAGAAACTAAACTCCAACAAGGACTTGAAGAAAGTGGTCAATGCTCATAAAAGAAAGATCAATCCTAAATTTGGACAACTTTCAAATTCCTTAACTCAATTGCATAAAATAACTCAAGAAGTTGTCCATCTCATAACTCAAACCAAATCAGACGATCTTGCTTTCAACTGGATACTTAACTTTGTAGCCAAAGCTGTTGTCGATCAAGCCGAAACTGAAATTATCGTTCATGCTACACAAGCAATCCCCCTTGCAAAATTAGCATACTCCTTACTCGTCGAATTTCCCGAGTTTGAATACTACTTGTCAGCAAGATTTGTCAAGAAATGTCCGTATATTATAGGATACACATGTGATATATCTACCGAAGAAGGTCGTAAACGAATGGGATGGAAATTTAGAGATGGTAAATGGGAAGATGCGGTGAAATACGATGAAAGAGTCGCCGGTATATGTACCGTATGGTCAGTCATGTCAAGATTAACTGATTTTCCACAACAAATACCGTTCTATTCATTTGAAGCCACCTGGAAATTCCTCGCCAGAATGGGAAATACAGAATTGGACTTGTTAAGCAATACTCATTTTGCAATCCTTTCAAATTGGTGGGAATGTGCTGGGAAGTTTTTCAGTTCCAGATTCGGCAGGCAAAGTCAAAAATTAATGATGGTTTTGGTTGCAGATTTGACTAATGCTGTTGCCGACAGGAAATATCCATCTGCTGTCAGGTTGAGAATCATGGGAGAAGAATGGTTGCAACATGGTAAAATTGAATCAATTAAAGAGATGGAACCTTAAAAATTATACACATTGCATTTAATACATAATTATACACACACACATACTCTAATTTTCATCTTCTGAAGACCCATATTCGGAATCAGAAAGTTGATCCTTGTAATCTACCCTGGTGATTCTAGAACTCTTTCTGGTGGGTTCACTGGGACTTTTAGTTTTGACAGTTTTCTTGACCTTCTGACGCTTAGGAACACTGCTAGAAACCAAGGGCGTATTCTTTCTCTTCGATCCATGTAACTTCTTTCTGATTGAATTCAATACATCTGCTTGGATATCTTCTGGAATAAAGACTCTGCCAACAATACTTCTTGCTTCTTCTGGTGAACTCATTGGGGCATAAATATCACTAGGCAAGTTAATCTTCCCACCAGGCCAAGTAGCCAATGGCCAACTCTTATCATCGCTATATTGTTTAATTATCAACTGAGTCAATTCCGAGATCCTATACAAATGTAAGGCTTGTTCTGGCAAGTTCGACTTCTCATATTCTGCAGTAGCCAACGACCCATCACGGTATTGTTTAACTCTACTCGATAAATAGTATAACAAGGAGATGTTTTCGGATTTCCCAATTAATTTAATGAAATAGGTAAGGAATCGACATGAAAAGTTGTATGCGTTAACCTTACTTTCATTCGAACCATCTTCTATCAAGGTAAGGAATTGATCATGGTGGGCCAATGTATGAATTAACCTGATCAATGATTTTTCAAATTTGATGTTGTTTTTAGACTCCAGTCTTTTCACCATGGAATTGATCCAAATTGTAACACTTTCTTTCAATTCATGGTTTGGTTCAATGGCAATAAAGAAAATTAACGGCAAGAACTTTTCTGATATTTCTTCATTGGCCAATTTTGCCTGTAAACAAGTAACAAACTTGGATCTGACATTATACTCGCTATCATTGATTAAGAAGGTCATTCTTCTTAATGTTGGAGGTAAGAATAATTCATTATATATTGGGAACTTTGCCAATTTCAAAAGGTAAACCCCAGCAGTCAATCTGAGTTTCAGTTTATAAGGTTCCGGCGTAGGATAAGTTTCATTCTTCTTATTGATAATCTCACCATTATTCCCAATGAACGACATTAATAATCTTGTAACTGGCTGTGCCTTGGCCTTGGCTTTATCCTTTTCTTCGGAAGTTAAATTTGAATCATCAATTGATTTTAAATTATTAACAAACAATCTAATCGCAAGTACTTTTTCATACAAGGTTGAATGTAACTTGTTATCATCTAATTCATCTTCATCAATCCATTCAAATTTGTCAATTTGTTCACGATCAAGGTTTCTATTGGTGAGGAACAAATGCTTGATTAACAATTCTGTGATTTCAACTTCTTTATCAATGATTGATAAACGATCAGCCTTGAATAATTCACCAATTGAACTTAAATGAGTGCAAAAGTGTTCACTCTCAAGATCTAATGGATATATTTCATTGACAATCTCGGCAGAATATAATTCTTTGCTGGGTGAAATTCCAATAATCTTCACGGCATACCTGGCTTCTCTTGGTGTACCAACTTGAGCAAGCTTCTTCAAGGATTCCATAAAGGAAATTTCCTTAGGGAACCATTCGGGATATTTCTTAACAAAATGATACACGGTTCTAAGAACATTTGACTTTTTGGTATTTTCTTCAATAATTAAACTTGCTAATGATCTTATATGGGATTTAAAAACATCGGGTACAACCAAGGATATTTGCTCAAGAATTTCATTAGCAGTAGTGGAATCTTTGGTATATTCGATCAATTCTTCAACATTGGACTTGTTATAACATAAAACTGATGATCTCAATAATAAAAGTTTGACATTGTATACCATATCGGAAGTAGAGATTGCAGTTTCCCCTTGTAATTGGATGTTTTTCGAATCTGACAATTTCTTGAATAATTCCTTCATTGAATTCCTTATAGTATTAAAATCAGAATCGGATGAAATACAAAGTTTAATTAAATGAAAAAACCTTGGTCTTGCTAATTTAACCAATCTTTCAAAACAAACAAACGAATTTCTATCATCAGGGAATGAAACACAAATCCAATTCAAAATCTTGTCTAATTTAGCAAACACTGATTTGTCAATATCTTCTACAGAAGTCAGTTTAGCAAAAATATCACCAGTTTCGATTAATGTGTTCAAAACTTTACTAAATTGTGATTGTCTTTTGTTAATAGCAATAAATGATTCTTTACCCTTTTCATCTAATGCGGAATAAAGTTGGACAAGACGTTTCACTCGTCTAGAAGTATCAAGTTCAGTAATCGGTAATAATGCTTCAAAAAGTGACAAGTCAACCATACAATTGATATCCTTATCATTAATATAAACAAGGTTTAAGATTTGGTTAGGAATGTTACCGATCATCTTGGTCAACTCTTCATCAGTTAACAATTCACGGTTGTTCATATGACTGTTGTACAACTTGCCCAAAACATCAATAGTGACATTTCTTATAGTGACATTCTTTTCCCTAATGGTTTGAAACAAATCTTGCACGATATTCTTGGTTATTACTTTATTGAAAAATAATTCAACCGGAATTTCCTTTATAGAATGGCAAGCGCCAACCCTCACTTTATCATCAATATCAACAAGACATTTATGCAAACATGTAGATAATGCCGAGGATATTTCCGAAGTAACATATTTGTTATTGGTGATTATATTGGGTAATTGCTCTACCCATTTTGCTCTCACCGTTGAAGAAACATCACTGGTTTTCTTTAACCAAATAATCCAAGTTTCTTTATGGGTAACAAAGAAATTTGACTTAGATTCTTTACATCCCAACATTTTCCCAATGGTGGCAGTAGCCAACAATCTAATTTGCTCATCTTCAGCATTTAATTCATCATCAAGTAGACTCATTACTGAGGAAAGAATCTCTGGGATGAATTTCCATAGTTGAACTGATAATTTATGAATCTTGGTTAATTTCTCCATAAGTTCAACTAAGTCGGTGGAAGATTTATCAGTGGTGCTGCTTTCGTATAATATTTCGGAAAAGTATTGACCAACCAATCTTGACAATCTATCGACGTTATTCTCACAAATTGTTAATGAGAATGTGAATTCGGGTGATGTGATATTACCGGTGATTAACTTTGAATCATCATGAAGTAAGAACTTATTCAATATTAAGTCGATGACGTTGTGAGGAATAACTTCAGCTTCGGAAATGACTTCTGAAAGTATGTCACTGATCAAAGTTTCTAATTGGCTGGGGAAATCCTGCTTAGTCAAGTTGTAAAAAGTTTGGAAAAGTGATTCGATTAATGCCTCAGAATCAGGAACATCGGTAATAAGGATAGTCGACTTGGCTTCAACCAATCGCTTCAACAAATAGCAATGTTGTTGGAAATAGGTATTGTTGCTATCAGACAATCTTTTGAATTGCTTAATAAAAGCTTTGAATATGTCTGATAATTGGTTGGCCGAATATGGAGCTTCTGGGGCACTTAACCTTAAGATATCAGCTATGCAACAACATACGTAGATTTGAACACCAATACTAGTATGATTAAGTAACTTCTTATTAACTAAATCAACCTCAATTCGTGCTAACGGTTTACTTTTGTCAATGGTATCTAAAATAGAAAGTTCCTCACTCAAGGTTTGTACTCTAGCCAATAATTCCTTAGTTGACAATGGATCTTTAACTGTGGGAACCAACAGCTTATTAAACTTAATGCTAATCTTAGCAGATGTCATAGTAGAACTTACTAGCACTGTGCTTGACTCTGTATTGACGTGTTGTGGTTGTAAAAACAAACTTTTGATCCCCAGACGCGTTTTATGATTACGATTTCTAATTTTGCAGATTATGTCGTTTTGCATGTTATATGTTTTGCATGTTCTAGATTTTACAGTTTAGGGCTGGGTTTATATACCCTGCCCAGGTTTCAAAATTTGGAGCCGTTTGCCTTTCTCTTCATCTCTACAGTCATCAATTGAAACTACAATGTCGTATCAAATCGTTGATTGCTTTCGTAATAAGGAAATAGTCAATCAAAGAGTATCCTTCGACTTGCCTTTGGATTATTCTCAGCCGAAAGGCATGAAAATTAAAGTGGTTGTAAATATAACCCAAAAGGCTGAAGGGGTAGATTTAGCTGCTGGCACTACGCAGCTTTTACTTCCTTCGTCTCCCAAGTTCATTGGTTATCTTCAAGGAGGTCCAGGCTTCCCATGTCAAGTGCCTACTTATTCAGGCATGACTAAAGTGTTGTTGGACAAGGGGTATCAAATTATCTATCTTGATCAAAGAGGTACCGGCTTGAGTACTCCCTTGGAAGGAACTACATTCAAGGATTTGGTTACTCAAAGATTTGGGAATTTTGAAGTTCAGTCTCAACTTGATTTTATTATGAACTTCCGTGCTGATTCAATTGTTGAGGATTTAGAGACTGTTCGCAAACAATTGATTCCTAATGACAAGATTTCCTTGCTTGGTCAGTCATATGGTGGATTTTGTAGTTTTACTTATCTTTCAAAGTACCCTGATTCCCTTAGAGAAGTGTTGATTACTGGTGGTGTTCCTCCTGTTGGATTCGCTGTCGATCAAGTTTATCAAGCAACCTATGAACGTACAACAGAAAGAAATATCCACTATTACAGCAAATATCCTCAAGATAAACAAAAGGTGGTTGATATTTGCAAATATCTTGATGCTAATAAAGTAAAATTACCTAATGGTGGTGATTTATCAGTAGAAAGGTTCCAACAATTGGGTTTAGGATTTGGTGCTACTGGTGGAACAGATAGGATTCATGATATAGTTACCAAATTCGCATACGACTTGCAATTGTTTAACCATCCAACTTATCAAATCTTGCATACAATTGAAACTCAATCCGGGTTTGATACTAATGTAATTTATGCCTTGTTCCAAGAAGCTATTTATTGTGATGGAAATATTAGGTCGAATTGGGGTGCAGATAGAACGAGATATACTAGCGATAATGTGTCAAAGTATACTCTCAACAGTGAACAAGTCTACTTTACTGGTGAAATGGTATATAAATCTATGTTTGATGAATACGCCGAATTACGTCAATTCAAGGAATTAGCTTATGCATTACATGAAAATTCAACTTGGTCCAAACTTTATGATCCAGAAGTATTAAGGACAATTACTTGGGATAAAGTACCTATTGTTGCAGCAACTTATGTTTATGATCAATATGTTGATTTTGAATTAACTAGAAAAGTTAAGCAAAATGTAATCGCTATTGGAAACTTGAAACAATATATCACTAGTGAATACTTCCACAATGGATTAAGAGCTGATCCTGACAAGGTTTTAGGTGTATTATTTTCATTGCTTGAAGGAGGTGAAGTTGATTAGATGCAGATTTGTTGGTTACTAGCTCGATACATTTACATATTTATATACTCTCATATATAAATCCCCTAGGAACCTACTCAAAATAATTATTTGGGACAAAGCCCATTCTATAATTATTTTCAGTTTTAGATATCCCAATTAACCAATTTAAATTATCTTGATTGTATAACGTATCAACACTTTGAAAATCAAATATGATTTCAATCTGGTCACCTTTCTTGAAAGATAAATCACCAGGTTCTTGGCCATGAAAATCATACTTTGCAGTTCGTGTAGTTGATTCTTTGTTGATATCAAGTTTATGAAAGAATTTCTCAAATTTGTCAAGCTTATAAGTGATACTACTGGTATTCTCAATTTGTTCTGGTGGTGTAATATCTTGGGAGTGGTCTGGAATTGGAGCTGCTCTAATATCATTCTTCAGAGAGTTGTAAATCTTACGTAATTGCTTATCAAGTGGATTATCTGTATTGGAGTAAAACATCAGTGGGTGGGTGGAATTTGAACTTAAACTTGACTTTGATGAATTGCTCTCTTCATCTTCATCATCTGTAAGTAATGATTCTAAAGAATCATTGCTGTAATTATTTGTAGTGTTCAGATAAAATCCTGTTGAATAGGGTGAATATGGGGTGCTTGGTAGTGGCTTATCAAAGTTGTATATCGCATGCGCAGTGGTGTTCTCCCGAGGTGGAAGTGGAGGAGGTGGAGCCTTTGGTAACAGCTTTTCATTTTGCAAAACTTGAGGGACTATGACGTCATCAATATCAATTTTCTTATGAGGATGATAAGTTTCATTTATATTCATTTTTGGGTCTTGAAATTTTGCGAATGCATCCAATGGATCAATTTCCAATAAATCGTTGAATACTCCATTTTCGTGGTCTTTACTCTTTACTATATGTTTCTTTTCTTTGATTCGACTAGTCATTTTAGCCCACAAAGTATGTGCCTTCAGAGATTTATCTTCACCATCGATTTCCTGATCAAGCAATTCGGGATTTCTATCATGAATAACAGTTATAAACGATTCAATTTGAAGTCTGGTGGAAGTACTAGCTGTCTCCCATTGGTCAATTATCGTCTGATAAGAATCACCTTCTAACATTCCATAAAATTCAGAAAAGTCATTCAAAACCGCCATTATGTGCTTGTAGGTGGATAATTGTTGACAAAACAACAATTTGGTGATTGTTTCTACAAATTCATCAAGGAATAAAACAACATGGGGTAAAACGCTAAGGGTCCGGTTATTGTAGCCATTAAATACTCGTTCGATTTCCATGTACTTTGTTTCAAGCTTGACCAATTCATTTTGATCTTTCTCATCCAAAGGAATATTCTTTTTGTTCAACTTTTCAATCTTTCTATGTGTAATATCCTGCTCATTCCTCTTTTTGTTTCTCTTCTTGATCAATTTCAAAGCATTCTTCAAGTACTTGCCCATTTCACTTATTCTAAGTTCCATTGATTGATCATGGATATCCCAGTCGGTCGTAATCCTAAACTTTAAGCTCTCAATAGTACTTAAATAATTGTACAATTGCTCATTGATACTTTCAATCAGAATTGCCTTTTCCTTGGGGTGGATTATTGGGATCTCTTCACTGGCATGAGCTATATCAAAATCGTGATAATATTCTTCTATTCCTTTAAAAGAAAGAGAATTTGGACCAATTATTTCAATAAACTGTTTAATAATCATACCGTGTAGCGATAACAACTTGGGGAAATATGCATGAGCTAACTTGTGATTTTGTGATCTGATGTATTTAAGCGCCAGGATAGACTTCTTAATATTGTGTTTATAAATGTCAATCAATTCATCATCCTTGTCATAATCTCTTTGGTGGAAAGTGACTTTATCCTTAATGTTATATGATAAGGATGTTACATTTGCACCAGTTGTGTTGTATACATCCTTAATTGACGATCCAATTGACAGAGTCAAACTGGTTACATTTGATCTAAGCTTTTCAGCAACCATAGTGTCTAGCTGCAGCTTATATGCTGTAGTTTCTTGTTGGCAAACTTTAAAAGAGTTTTGGTGGCAGGAGGAGTAAACAGGGAGGTAATTTTTTTTTCTTGCATATGTGTTACCACGCACGGTCCGGAACTTGTGGAAAATTCGCCGGCGGCGTTCGGTGATAATTTGAGGTAAATATTTTGACCCACGTAAGAAATAAATTATACAACATTCTGGTTCAGTTGTTAATTGACTCGATAGTATATAGAGTCTGATAGGTTCTATTCTAAAGTTTTGGTCTTTGTCAACCTCGATCAAGTGGTCTCGAATCAATAGTGTCGGATCAAGGAGTTGATCCGATCGCACCAAAGGCTAACTAAAAGCCAAAATCTTAGTACATTTAAAACTGCAAATGAATGAACCAAATACTCTACATTTACAATTACCTTCTATTTCTATTAAATCTCAACAACTGACCGAAGAATTTGCTGTTTGGAGCTGAGAACCTTGTTACGCATAAATTATTTTTAAATGCAAACTTAAAAGCTTTCTCTGGTCCTTTTCTTCATAAGCAAAAGCTTGGCAAAAATTGAATATCAGGCAATCTAATTGTCCTTCTCAATGGTCTGGGAACTTTACTGTACAACTTAGAAAAACTAAGGTTGGACAATTACGTGTTTCAAAACAATGAGTTACTTACACTCACATCTTGGGTGCAAGAACTAGAGGTACACCACGTTGAAAATATACAATATTAATTTCCCCTCCCCCGGCATCAGCATCCCACTTCCCTAATTTGAAATCGATTGTTTTGCCAAAAAATAAATGAACTTCCTTTGATTCCTAGAATAATCTAGTTGGAAAGTAACTAATTCAGTATAATATAATTAGTTGATATCATCCAGTTGCAACTATTTGTAATTCAACAATAAAAAAAAATCGCCATAGAGAGATTAAAATTCCCACTACTTTCCCATTCGGAGTATTTCGTGTGTCTAAAGATCAAATAGACTTGATTTCTCAAGCCCAAGTTCAAGCTTTCCAGTTAATGTGACTGATATATGGATTATTGATAATTAACACAATTTTGGTGAAGTTGGTAGCTCTTCTCATTGTTTTCTCTCTGTGCAAACAAAATCAATCCTCGTACAATTTGCAGAATACCTACTGATCCAGTACAACTAGAGAACTGCATAATTTATTGATATAAGCATATATGGTTTTCATCGAATATAAAACAAAACAAAAAGACAGTCTACACACAATTCATAAATTATGAAACAATAGATATAACTTTCAGCATTTAGTAAAGCTTGCGGTGTGCAACTAACTTTGCAGAAGTGGTAGGAAGATGTTCACCTGTTTAATCTTCTTAATAGAATACTCCTCAGACTTTTTTTATAGTTGTCTTTGGCAAATTTTTTCATTTCACTTAAGGCATCACCATCTGCACTGCCACCTTGCAAACTACCCCCAAACCGCGGCTTTATAAACCCCTCCAGCATCTATGGTATAGGTGGTATAGGTGGTAACCTTGGTACAGGTGGCATCTTTGGTATATTTGGAATCTTTGGCAAGTTTGGCATCTTTGGCAAGTTTGGCATCTTTGGCATCTTTGGCATCTTTGGTAACTTTGGCATCTTTAGCCACTTTGGCATCTTTGGTAACTTTGGCATCTTTGGCATCTTTAGCCACTTTGGCCACTTTGAATTTTTAGGAGGTTCCTTAGGGGGTCCCTTAGGAGGTTCCTTAGGGGGCTCGGGTGCTTTAGGAGGTTCTGGTGGTTTAGGAGGTTCGGGTGGTTTAGGGGGTTCTGGTTCCATAGGAGGTTCGGGTGCCTTAGGAGGCTCTGGTGCTTTAGGAGGTTCGGGTGGTTTAGGGGGTTCTGGTTCCATAGGAGGTTCGGGTGCCTTAGGAGGTTCGGGTGGTTTAGGGGGCTCGGGTGCTTTAGGAGGTTCTGGTGGTTTAGGAGGTTCGGGTGGTTTAGGGGGTTCTGGTTCCATAGGAGGTTCGGGTGCCTTAGGAGGCTCTGGTGCTTTAGGAGGTTCGGGTGGTTTAGGGGGTTCTGGTTCCATAGGAGGTTCGGGTGCCTTAGGAGGTTCGGGTGGTTTAGGGGGTTCTGGTTTCATAGGAGGCTCTGGTGCTTTAGGAGGTTCGGGTGGTTTAGGGGGTTCTGGTTCCATAGGAGGTTCGGGTGCCTTAGGAGGCTCGGGTGCTTTGGGAGGCTCGGGTGCCTTAGGTGGTTCCTTAGGAGGCTCTGGTGCTTTGGGAGGCTCTGGTGCCTTAGGTGGCTCCTTAGGAGGCTCGGGTGCTTTGGGAGGTTCCTTAGGAGGCTCGGGTGCTTTAGGAGGATTGGGCTTTTCTGGTTCTTTAGGAGGCTCTGGTGCTTTAGGAGGTTTTGGTGGTTTTGGTGGTTTAGGAGGCTTGGTAGGCTTGGGCTTTTTTGTTTCCTCGGGCTTCTTTGATTCCTCGGGCTTCTTTGATTCCACGGGCTTCTTTGATTCCTCGGGCTTCTTTGATTCCTCGGGCTTCTTTGATTCCACGGGCTTCTTTGATTCCTCGGGCTTCTTTGATTCCTCGGGCTTCTTTGATTCCTCAGGCTTCTTTGACGTTTTTGATTCCTCAGGCTTCTTTGACGTTTTTGATTCCTCAGGCTTCTTTGACGTTTTTGATTCCTCAGGTTCCTCTGTCTTTTCTGGCTCCTCGGGTTTCTTTGACTTGTTTGATTCCTCAGGTTCTTCTGTCATTTGGGGTTTCTTTGTCATTTTTGATATCTCTAACTCATCTGTCTCTTCTGTCTCTTCAGACATATCAGACGTCATAGATGGTGGAGCAGTAGTAGAATTGGTAGCATTTTTTGTGTAATTAGAAAGAATGGAATAAGTGATTGTAGTAGCAGGTGGCATAGTTATTCCATCTTCGATTTCGATATCATATGGCATTTCAGTTATATCCAACGAGGTCGGAATCGTAAGACCACGGGAAAGGTTCAATAGAGCAAGAATTGTGAGATATGAGAATTTCATTTCAGAAGGCTCTCTTTATCAGGACAATCTTTAGGTACCCAGACAAGTCACCTTAATGAAAAGGGAATTTTCATTGCATTTATATATCCAGAAATTGAACTCTAAAGTTATTAAGAACTTAAGAATAGCATAGCAATGTGGAACAAGAGGCTATGAGAACAGCCGAGAGTCTACATTAGTATACGAATATAAGGGGTAGTTTTTAAGTTAATCTTGTACTTATACCACATTCCATTTCATTGAACTAAATATTTGAGACTTATTTTGCTCAAATTAATCTCGTAAATCTCCCGTTTGAATTTACTATTCCTGTATGTGGAACTTATAACTAGTTTTGCTAGTTGCCCCAAAAACCAATTGCAACATTGCAAAATGTTTACAATGTTTTATTCAGCAGGATAAACAATGTGAATTGTGTGGATAATCTATATTTGACGGTTTATTTTTTCCACCATCTCTATTCAAAGGTGTATATATCAATTATATTTGCTCAATTGTTCGTCCTGACAATGTGAGATGAAACTTACGTCTATTTTTTTTTTTTGCAATACTGAACAAAAAGCTCAACATGTAAAGCAACTTAACTGTTTCTTTAACTGGTATGTATACACTGAAAACTACATTTACCAATGGATCAAATTGTTCTAGATTATAATTATCTTCCATTTCTGTTCCAGAACCTTCGTAAACCTAACAGTTTGATTCAGATCAGTATTTGAAAAAAAAATTAAATAATAAAAAAAAAAGATACACCAAAACATATTTTTGGGGATTTCAAATTTTCTTTTGTTCAAGGGTTTTTAAATAAAACGTCACGCTTTTGTCACGTGAATTAGTCTCGGCCGCCTGAAAAATGAGAAAACAAACTACAAGAAATATCCGATATAGTGTAACGGCTAGCACGGTTCGCTTTCACCGAGCAGACCCGGGTTCGACTCCCGGTATCGGAATAGATTTTTTTGCAGCCGTTCAAAATGATATATTAAAGCTTCTACTTCTAATTAGTACACGACAGTCTCAACAGTTTATGAACCTAAGAGTTTAACATTCTTCCTCAGGCCTGAGAAAATATGATACATTATCCATTCCTAAGATCCCATCTGTACCTTCTCCTGAAGGAAATTATCTGGGTTCCTTTGTTTTTTTAGTGATGAGAATACACTTTGCTGAAAGTTATTTTGCAAAAATACTTGTAAGTAGCATATATATCATTGGAAGGAATTAAGATTAAGATATTCGATGGTAAAAAAAAATAGAATTCAAGAAGATTGAAAGTTAAAAAATTATTCCGATACCGGGAGTCGAACCCGGGTCTGCTCGGTGAAAGCGAACCGTGCTAGCCGTTACACTATATCGGATATTTCTTGAAGTTTGTTTTTCGATTTTGAAGGGTGGTTATTTTTAATCACGTGATAAAATTAAATTTTCACTTTTAATCTTCTGACTGAAATGTTTCTATTGTGATGTTCTAACTGAGATATAATGGATAATTAGGGTTTATTCTTTATCCTGATAATGATAATCATGAATCATTGTACTTTTTGTTAAGCTATTGCTTGTTTTTTCAATTTCTTTAAAATTTTGGAAATCTTTTGTCATTAATATACTCCCCCACCAGAAAAATCAATAATTCTACGAGTGAGAATAGGGTATTTTTTTCATATATACACTTACCATTACAACAGATAGGTTATCATGGAATAACTGTTATTTAGACTTTACAGATTGATGATATTGAAACCAGGGCCAATATTTAAAGTATTATTTTTCTTTTTTTTTCGAAGCAAAAAGTATTACACAGGGAGAATAAACAAAAGCAAAGCTACCATGGTTTAGCCGATTAAGAGCAAGTAGGCGATATCATCTGCAAAGATGATTGATCTTTTGGTTCTTTTGAATTGTTGAATCATTGAAATACTATCTTTTGCTGAAGTAAAGATTGATATATAGGGGGGGGGGGTTCTAGTTGTGAAATAGATAAGTCTATTCGAGCTTCTCAATAAGATGAGGTAAAAAGACAAAAGGGTGGAGATAAATCTGAACTTTTATAAGTAATTGGACAATTAGTTCACAGGTTAGCCCGGGACCATACGTATCCTAGTTACAAAAAAAGTGTTCCATGATCTTTCAATTGGGTGCAAAATTATTCTCAACCAAAAAAAATAGCTGATTCTGAATTGTTTAGTTTTTATTTTTTCCAATCGTTTCTGTCTATTTAATTCTTATAAATACTAATATATAAAAGCAAGCTACATATACATTTGTCATCAGAATACTAGAGTACTATTTGATGATCATTTTTAGAGAACTATATAAATGAAAGATGAGCTGGTTGTGTTTCACTTCCATCGAAAAGAGAACAACAGTTAAATGAAAAGACCTTCATTCAGCAGTCCACATAATATTTTTTTGTCTATCCTATGCTAAATTACTTTTAATAAGGCCTAATGTAAGAATGTATTGTTAATTCAATTTGAATGTAACATATTTTCAAATTGCAATAATAGTGTATCATTTGGAAAACCTAACTTAATCCAGAGAACTTGAAGAACAATACAAACCTGAATCCGTATTTATCTTATTTTAACAAGCCTGTTATTGGGTAAATCTACTTCAATAGACTCTTTTTGATTTTGCACCATCAAGGTGTTTACTTTTATAGTACATTAAGAAAATAATAAAAAAAAAGGTAGTGTGTCATACCTTGGGTTCCATGGATGATCCAGGACTACACATTCACATGCTTCACGATTGCAAAACTTTCTTACATTGCTTAAATAAAGTTGAAAGACGGAAAGTAGAACAGAAAAAATATTGAAGCTTTTTAAATACTCTCGGTCTAATGCTTCGAATTTAGAGTCTTCTATGGTGTACTTTAGCAGATTCAAATGTAGCCAAATAAAAAACTCTCTAAACTATTTGTTGAAATTCTTACTTTCCCTTCTCCAAGAACAACTAACATAATCTTTTGAGGCATGTCTACAAGGAAAAAGAATAGTACAATCGTTATGCACAAGTGAAAGCTGGCCAATTTAAGTATAAAACCTTGATTGTTCTTTAAGAGTAATTATTTCTCTAATTGTAGTGGAAAAAAAAATTTTTTTGTTACGCCAAACTAGAGGAAAAAGGGTACTGAACAAGTACTTTTTAAAGAGCAGGAAATACGACTGTTAAGGTATAGAGGTTCCGAAAAATATTTCACTTGTTGAAAATTGAAAAATTTTCAAAAGAAAATCGCCTGGTTAGCTCAATCGGTAGAGCGTTTGACTCTTAAGTTAGTTAGACATCAAAAGGTTGCGGGTTCGACCCCCGCATCGGGCTGATTTTGCGATTGCCTGGTTAGCTCAATCGGTAGAGCGTTTGACTCTTAAACTGGACATCAAAAGGTTGCGGGTTCGACCCCCGCATCGGGCTTTCTTTTTTTGTCAATTTACATTGATGCTAGTTTTGCTTTGGATTTCAAACAGATTTTCACTGGGAACAAGAATTGTGGGTGATAAAGAGCCCTTTATATCTTGTGCATTTTTTAAGAAAAAATTTTTTTTTATTTTTATCAGAACAATATTTTCCACGAGTTCTGTACAGATTGTACATACTATGACAATGGCTGCAAATTGTCCTTCTGTATTAATCTTTCAGCTCCCAGAAAGTAAAAACATTAGTCAAATAATTCAAGATTATTTTGAACCAGAGAAACTTATAAGCTATTATGTCGAGAATGATATTCAAATACGACCTGGCTCTAATAATATCTTTGAAAAAAATACACCGAAAATCCCAGTAAGAATGTAACAATTACAGGAGAATGATATCGAAAACAAACCAAAAGTAAAGATTTAAGTATATCTCAAGCAACACATTATTCTATAAAAATAATTTCTATAGCTATACATCTTAGGTTACAATTAAGTCTATTCCTGGATTGAAGGAGTTGGACCAGTTAAACCATGATTCCCTCTATAGTTTGGTACCTTGGGAGGATTCCAGGCTTTTAAAACCAGTTCAACATCGTCTAATTGATAAACTTCAATAGCCAATGGTCGACAACATTCTACCATATCTTGCTTCTCTTCATTTTCACCCCATCCCCATTGCGACAAATCACCTCCTGGACAAGCACTAATAGCCACCAACAAATCTTGCTCAGCAAAACATTCAAAGTAATCACCAGCAACAGCGGGACAAGTTTCCATAAAATATCTATCCTTTTCATCTAATCCTGTCATTTGAAAAACATTCAATACATCATGAACATCAAACTCGGTCAAACCATAGGGCAAGACGGCACGAGTGAGATTGGAATGACAGTGAAAATCCATGTCTTCACCACTAATCAACTTGTCAACGTAGGGGTCACAACGAGTTCCAAGTGTATCATGTACACGTCCACCCCATTCGTCATGTCTTCCTCCAAGGGTATCACCAGTAATAGTCACCAATGGACGCAAGTAAGGAAGATTTGACCAAAGTCTATCATAAGTAGACACATGTGCCGAGTGGAGTTGTCGTGTTCTAGCGGCCCAGAATCTCTCTCTAGGATTATGCATATTCCAAATGTTCAAATCACACACCTGAGGACCCTCAGGTGTAGTGATACGAAACACGGTTTTAGCTGGAATTTGAATCGCAATTGCTGAACGTGGTTGGCAAATGTGGGTAGAAACAAGAGTTTTGGGAGCATTGTGAATCAGTTGGTAGAGTTCTTTATCAGCATATAAAGGAGAACCTGGATGGGGATAGTATGCTGGCTTAGGCTTGGGGATGCCATACGTAGTCTTTTCTACTACTTGCGAGGATGTACTAGCTTCGGACATTTTGTGGTGAAGGTAATAAAACTAGTATGAGCTAAACAAGTTTGTAGAATGTAAATTTACAGTGTTGGAGATTTGCTGGTGAATTTCCACCCGAAACTGTTTCAGTTTTCGGGATTTGATCCGGGGACAATGCTGCCACCCTTTTTTCGGACTAGCCGCGCGGTACTGCGGGATAATGAATATGAGTTATTGTTTGAGATAACAAATATGTGGACTAACAGATAGGGGTGAGTATCTATTTCGGTAGACAAATCTATAGAGTTTATAAAGAGGAAACTTTTGTAAAATGCATTTAACCAATGTGGTCTTCAAATATTAGCTTTTCGCAATGAGCTTTCTATTTTTTTTTTTTGTTATTTGCAGCCCACTTTCGATTTCGATCGAAATATCACTACTTTCAAGTTAATAGTATTCCATTCTTTATTATATGTACGATATATTAATCTAACCAATTTTAAACTACCAATTGCTGTTCAAAATAACTACCGTCATAGGCAGGGGGTGGAAGATAATCAATACCAGGGGGCAGAATATCAGCATCAAACGGAGGTGGGTTGAAACTAGGATTGCGTAATAGATGAACGGCTCTGAATGGAATGCCAAGTGGAGCCTCAAAAGTGCTCATATATGGTGAGGATATATGAGATTGCAATGTGCTAGACTTTGTGGGGCTGTATAAATTAGCATCCAAATGCGTCGTGCGTTCGAAACCAATACTATCTTCGCTGGTTGTCAAATGGTGGAAGCCAAGAGTCTCCTGTGCTTCTGTATGCACTTGGTTATCTGAAGTTGTTTGTTCAAAAATACTACTCGAGGAGGAACCAGAACGCTCATGAATCCAATGAGGAATATTGTCCATCACAAGGGGAGGAACGAGGTCATTATACGCGGGAAGTAATGTATGTCGGGAAGTTGCGAGGGGAGATAACACATGCACAGGTGCCTCCATACAAGCTTCAAAATATTTCCGTTTCCCAGGATTAATAGGATCAAGTGTGGAAAGCCTAAGGCAAATCCTTAATGTATGCTTCACTTGGATGTTTTCATAAGAAGTGTCTGGATGAATCTTGGAATAAGAAGAGCTTTCAAACTGTTGAGGTACATACATCTGAAATTCCAACTCTCTAGGTAGATAGTTGTAGTCATTACTGGTGTCAGATAATAGAGAATGCCCATGTTTTGCCTTATATTTTAGTAGCATAGTCTTGGTTATTGGATCCAGACGCTTTGCATTCTTAGGCGGATAGCGATATTTCATAGTCTGAGTTAAATACACCCGAATCATATGCACCGCTGGTTTCCCAAAGAGAGGAACAAATCTAAACACCAAGGGCAAATATGAGTCCAACAGAAATGTTTTGGAACCAATAACGATTTCAAATCGAAGCTGGTCTTTCCAGTCGTCAGTAATAACAACGGATTCACTATCTCTAACGTTTTCAACTAACGGCGTTCTCACTATAGTTATCGGAATTTGTCCCGACAAATTTGGATTGAATACTCTATGACGACTTACAACTACTTCCAACCAATAGCTTGTACGACCAAACTCACTATCACATGTTTCGGGTATTGAGGCTGGCAATGGATGCTCAAAATTATAAATATAATCACCAGGATAAAATACTTCAGCAAGATTTGAATTATTGGGGTGCAAGGGTAATTCATGAGCTGTTTCATCTTTAGAATTCAATTCAACAAAACAATCAGCCCCGTTGTCAGAAATACAAGTGCTAGTTTCAGAACGATAAAATGGCCAACTATGTGTAATCAAATCGTTAGATTGCCAATGCAGGTGTCTCAAGGGTGGTATACCATCTGGCCAAAAAGTTTTCTGAATTCCTCTCAAAGTGAGAGTAATTGATTTGATCTTGCATTGTTTCAAAACTCGTAGGTATAGAGATCCACGGAGGAGAGTTGGAGGCTGGGAGGTGTATTCATGCGCATTAAATCCTTGGACAAACAAGTTTTTCTCAGTAGGAATGATATATACTTCAATTGAGGAACTTTTTGCCGTAGGTTGGTCGGGAAGTACAGGTAAGAGGGTTGTTGAAGTTATCAGCTGAGCAAAATTACGGCCACTTCTTTCTGGTGATATAGTTAATCTCGAGCGAGGGAATATAGGTGAGTGTTGTGCTAGCATTGTTACACTGTAATATCACCGAAAATGTCTAACCGTTATAAGCCTCCATGATCTAAAGCTGGGAGAGTGGAAAATATGACTATTTTTATATTTTAGTTACCTCGGAATATTGTTACTACGTGAGTATATTAAACTACTGCAGTCTGACAGCTAAACAAAAGAAATGAATTGTTTGTAAATGCACGTGTTTTTCTACACCCCTTTAATGAACTAGATATATGTTTAAAAAGGAGTAATGGATGACCAAAGTGCATGATTTAATTCGAAATATTTCCGATACGGTTCCATAAAATCCGATAATCGCCGAGATGAGGTTATAAAATTTCAATGAAAGAACAATTACCATTTTTGGCTGTCATGGATTTATGCATGATCTGACAGATGATCACTGTAATTTTTGCAACCGCTCTGCGCGTTTCTTTTTTTTTTTTTTTATTTTTTTTTTTAATCCGAACAAGCCAGTATGCAAGAACAAGCTAACGTTATTCAAACAATTATGACAAAATGTATGTACAAATTGTTGTAATACACGCTAGAAAATATTGCTGGAAGAGCTGAATTATCTATCCGCTATAATATCTTAATAAAAAATGCTTCTGACATCAGTTTTAAATCATTCAGCAAGCTGAAAAGTTGAACCTACGGCAAAGGAGACTTTATATTCTGTCCAACAAAAGCTAACAGAGAACATCCCTATATTGATAATTGTATAAAGTAGATAATATATCTAAATCTATAACACACACGATTCCACTATTGCAACAACTGTTTAACTTCTTCCTTTTCTTCTTCTTTGGAAAAATCGGGTCTTAATTTCTCATAACCTTGGATGGTTCTTCCATAAGTAATTCCACCCAATCTACTTACTGGTTTCAACTTGGAAATATCCAAGTTATTCAAATCCTTGTTTATAACATCTTCTCTCACATGGAAATTGATACCTTCAACAATACAAAGGACCCCAGTGGCTCTGTTTTCGTCAGCCTTTGACTTCCATTCGTGCGAATGAATCAACTTTGCTTCAATTGAAAATGCCGATTCAGCCACATGAGCAGGTTTAACCTTGGAAGATGGTAATGGAGTCAATCCTGATAATTTCCATTCATCGACATCAATTGGAGCATTGATAGAACAGAAGTTAGCAGCTTCTACAAACCATTCACTTATAATATTGATAGTTAATTCCTCGGTATCCAAAATATTTTGACATGTATCTTTTGGGTTACCTCTACCACCACTGAATCCTAATGTGAAGATAGGTGGGTCATGGTTGACGATTGTGAAATACGAGAAAGGTGCCAAGTTACGAACACCATCTTTGCTAATGGTAGAAACGAAACCAATTGGACGTGGGACAACAGCACTAATCAATGTTTTGTAATTGTCAACTGGGAGTCTTCCTTCTCCATAGGGGTCGATTTCGAGTTTCTTATGGGCCTTCCAGGAGTCATCATTGGCACCAGATCCAACCTTCCAGTCCTTATTAGGGATTTGAGTATATTTCCAGGCGGTTTCAGTTTCAAATCCAGGACGGGAGTTTTCAACTTTGTTAAAGTCAGGATGGGGGTTACGTTTGACTTGATCTTCAAGACCAAATCTTTTAGGTTCAGCAGGTGTTGTTGTAGTAGCAACTGGGGCGTTGGTCATTGTATAAGTAGATGTAGTTAGTCTCCTGTGAAGAAGCAATGACAGAATTCTTGGACGTATAAATAACATGTGGCGGGTAAAATCTTAGTCCCCGGAAATATGCAAAATAGAAAAAAAAAAACGAGGGGGACGAATTTCGGAAATGAGTTTATTTGGGGGGAGATGACAAATCAATTGTGGAAAGAATTCGGAATAATTCTTTTCCACCCCGCACCAAACACACAGCCTAGAACATAGGATTATTTTCCTTTAGCCAAAGTGTGGATAGTGCTTGTCGCGTCTATTTTAACATTATAGATACTGTAACACAGTAAATGCGCGCAGTTTGTTTGTTGCGCAAATATTATTAACCGATGTATCCTGTTCATTAGTTCTCCGTCCATGAGCCACCAAATTGAGTCATACCAGCACGAAAAACGAGCACTAGTCTAAAAAAAATTCAAACTGAGCAACTTCAAGCTCATCAACTCCCCAACTCCCAAATTCCCTATACACACAATGGTCAAGAAAGTACTCCTTATTAATGGTCCCAATCTCAATTTACTAGGCACAAGGGAACCTGAGAAATACGGAACGACTTCCCTTAAGGATATTGAAAATGCTGCCATCTCCCAAGCTGCATTGAAAAATGATGGTTCGGAAGTGTTGGTATATCAGAACAACACTGAAGGGTTTATAATCGACCGAATCCATCAAGCCAAGACTGAAGGGGTAGGATTCATAGTGATTAATGCTGGTGCATACACACATACCTCAGTGGGTATAAGGGATGCACTTTTAGGAACAGCAATCCCATTCATTGAAGTCCACATCACTAATGTCCATCAGAGAGAGCCATTTAGACATCAGAGTTATTTAAGTGATAAAGCCGTGGCTGTTATTTGCGGTTTAGGAGTTTACGGTTATACTGCCTCTATTGAATATGCATTGAACTACTGAGCAATACATTAACTTGAGCTTTAGTCTTTTGAGTCCTAAAAACAAGAATTGAAGATGAAATAGACTAAGAACAATAACTGTCCAATTGATTTGGTATTTATTTCAAATTAATATAGATAAATGCAAAAAGTTTATTTAAATGTAATTCCGGGTGGAAATGTAAGAAAATGTATTTCCGAGTTTTTCTAGATCTTTGTGAACGTTAATAAGCACCAAACAATGCAATCGATCTACCCATACCGGACCAAACAATGCATCCGATGGATCCCTTTAGCACCCCACACTTTTGTTATCAACTGGGGTGCAATCGGTTGCAGATACGACTCCTCTGAATTGACAAACGTATTGAAAAAGCAACAATATAAATACCCCGTATGATCGCGTTAGTTCTTTCTGTTCTTCCAGTACCTTCATTCAACCCGCTTCCACTAAACAACAAAAAAAATGACTCCAGCTGCAACAAGACTCGTCGATATGAGTGATGAAACAATCACTGATAACGCAATTGCTGTTAATACCAACACGGTAAACAATCCACGTCTTCAATTTGTGTTATCCAAACTTATACAACATCTTCATGATTTTGCCCGTGACACCAGATTGACCACAGAAGAGTGGATGACGGGTATTCAATTTCTAACCGAGTGTGGTGATATAACTACAGATATCCGCCTGGAGTTCATTCTTCTCTCTGATGTTCTTGGACTTTCGGTATTAGTCGATTCCATTTCCCACCCTAAGCCACCTTCGGCTACTGCCGGTACTCTTCTTGGTCCATTCCATACACATGATGCTGAGGTTAAACAGCAAGGTGAATCCATTTCTTCTTCTGGAAAAGGAGAACCTGTGGTGATTACTGGTTTCCTCACTGATACTGATGGGAATCCAATTCCAGATGCCACGATTGACCTTTGGCATTGCGATGCCCATGGAAAATACGATACGCAGTATTCGGATCGTACCCATCCAGACATGCGTGGAATCGTGCGTACCCGATCAGATGGTTCGTTTTTGATTCGAGCCACTAAACCAGTACCTTATCTGGTTCCTGATGATGGGCCTGTGGGGAAATTGTTACACAATGTCGGGAGACATGCCATGAGACCAGCTCATATCCATTTTATAATTAAGAAACCAGGGTATGAAACTTTGATCACCGCTCTTTATGGGAAAGGCGATCCATATCAATTTTCAGATGCTGTGTTTGGAGTCAAATCTCTGTTGTTGTTTGAATTGGAAAGGTTGGGTTCCAGAGCAAAGGAGTTTGATATGAATGAAGAGGATTGGATATTGAGATGGGACTTCAAGATTATTTCTGAGCAGGAAGGTCAACTGTTGAGGGTTGAAAGGAACAGAACGGCTATTAAAGGAGTTGAGGGAGTGACATTGAACGAAGATGGATTACCAGTTGCGGCTTTAGATTAATCTGTGACATTTAATTCAAGCGTGATAGTTCATGCGGTATAGTTCATGCGTTATAGTTCATGCGGTATAGTTCATGCGTTATAGTTCATGCGGTATAGTTCATGCGTTATAGTTCATGCGTGATAGTTCATGCGTTATATAGTTTTTAATTTGTGTGATTGATATTTTTTAAATGCGAGATATATAAATCAATAATTAAATTAAATTGAGGCGACATATACACTCTTATAGTTCTTGTATATCCGTCTAAATATAATAACCAATTAATTAATTGCAGTAACTCGTGTGAAATGACAGCACTGGGGTGCAGGATCAAAAAAAATAAGTGGGGACCATCCCGAAAACGGTATTTCCGGTATATTTTTTTTTGTTTACCTGTGCACCTTGCGTATTTCCGCACATCGACTTCTAATATAAAATATATTCCCGGGGGATCACAAAGGTTCATTGTATTTCCGCTGAGTTTCACCCACCCACTTTGTATATATATTAATGTGATTTCCCGCTTCTTCGCTCAATTCAATCCTGCTAACGGATATTCAAATACCTCAACGATGTTATCTCGATTCACTCTCAGCAGATCATTTGCTGTTCGTTACCTTTCAACAACTCCTTCCAAGGTTGTGTCTACTACCGATGAAGCTCTTGCAGGTATAAAATCCAATATCACCCTTCTTTCTGGAGGGTTTGGTCTTAGTGGTGTTCCTGACACCATTATCAATGCCCTTGTGAAAAAGCCAGAAATCAACAACATTACTGCCGTATCCAACAATGCTGGTCTTGATGGAAGAGGTCTTTCCCAATTATTGGTCACTGGCCAAATTACCAAGATGATTTCCAGTTATATTGGTGGGAACCGTACTTTTGAAAAGTTGTACCTTACAGGTAAGATTGATTTGGAATTGACCCCACAAGGTAACTTGGCTGAAAGAGTTAGAGCCGGTGGTGCCGGTATCCCTGCATTCTACAGTCCTGCTGGTGTTGGAACCTGGTTAGAAGAGGGTAAATTACCAGTTAGATACGATGAAACCGGAGAAAAGGTGTTAAAGACAAGTGAAGCTAGAGAAGTGAGAGAATTTGGCGGAAGAAAGTTCCTTTTGGAACCTGCTATTTTCGGTGATGTTGCATTAGTCAAGGCTTACAAGGCTGATAAGTTAGGAAACTGTTGGTTTAGAGGTGCCGCCCGTAACTTCAACTCAGCTATGGGAAGAAACGCTAAATTAACCATTGTGGAAGCTGAACATATTGTTGAACCTGGTGAAATTGCTCCTGAAGATGTTCATTTACCAGCTATTTACGTTGATAGAGTCATTCAATCAACTACACCAAAGGATATTGAAATTTTCAAATTCTCGGAAGAAAAATCAGAAGAACCAGTTGAACAATCAGAAGCTGACTTGAAGCGTGCCAAGATAGTAAAGAGGGCTGCTCAAGAATTCACCGATGGATCATTTGCCAATTTGGGAATTGGTATGCCAACTCTTGCACCAAACTATTTACCATCTGATATCCATGTTACCCTTCAATCAGAAAACGGTATTCTTGGATTAGGACCATACCCACAAAAGGGACAGGAAGATCCTGATATGATCAATGCTGGTAAGGAAACCGTTACTCTTGCCCCAGGTGCTTCTCTCTTTGGATCAGAAGAATCATTTGCCATGATTAGAGGTGGTAAGATCGATTTAACTATTCTTGGTGGATTACAAGTATCTGCCAAGGGAGATTTAGCCAACTGGGGATTGCCAGGAAGAGTTAAAGGTATGGGTGGTGCTATGGATTTGGTTTCCAACCCTAAGGCCACTAGAGTTGTTGTTGTCATGGAACATGTTGACAAGAAGGGAAGACCAAAGATCTTGGAAGAATGTAAGTTCCCATTAACTGGTAAGGAATGTGTTTCTAGAATCATCACTGATTTGGCTGTATTTGATATTGTTGACGGAAAACTAGTATTGATTGAAATCGACCCTGCATCTTCAGTTGAAGAAATCACAGAAAAGACCGGGGCTAAGTTTGAAGTATCGCCAAACTTAAAGAAGATTGAAATTTAGAAAAATCTATATAAACGTAATGCATAAAAGTAAATAATTAACTAAAAGTAAATTTGGCAGCTTCGGTTGCATCAGGCCACAGCTTTTCGGAAATGTGGTCTATGCACAATATGTTCGTTGAGATGATTAAATTTTTTTTTTTTTTTTTCATGCATTTCTTGTATAAAAATAATTTAAGGTTTAGCTTCCCCCACCTATCAAAAAAAAAAAACAACCCCAATTCTGACATCATTGATATAACAATTACAAACCCATGAATCCCAAACGACAACGAGTGAAACAAGCATGCGACCATTGTCGGTCAAAGAAAGCCAAATGTGATGGATTGATGCCTACCTGTTCTTCATGCAAATTCAACCATGAAACATGTACGTACGCTGAGTCATCCAAACGTCGTGGATTACCCCCCGGGTATACTCGTGACTTGGAAAAGAAGGTTGCGTTATTACTGGCTTTGATTGGCGAGTTATGTCATGAGGATCATACTGTAAAAGCAAAGATGCGAGAGTTAATCCATGATGAAGATCGAATGTTACGGATAATAGGTGAGCTGAAATGGGAGACTTCGTTGATTACATCCTTATCTGATCAGTTTATAAACAAGTATGGTGGAAAGGTGCCAGAGAGGAAACAATATATAAAGCCAGAACCCAACCTATCAAACCAATTACAACCACCATTAGCAGAGGATATACCTACAATTCAAATACCCGCGGCGCTGCAGCAACCAATACCGGCAGTGCCAGTGTCAGTTCCAGTTCCAGCAGTTCCCCCAGTGCAACACGCAATGCCACCAGTTGCTTCAGTACAACCCACAAGCACACCATTCTTCTACGATCCTATAAGCGACCCATCATTCTTTTTCAATTATGATATATTCCAATTCATTTCAGACGAGGTTGAACCACCTACTAGTGCTGCATGGGAACCTATAGCTTTACAGTACCACGGTCTCTCGCAATTAATATCTGGATTCACCAATAGAGCCATTCAAAAATACAATTTTGCTAGAAACCCGTTTCGAGTAGGATCCATATTCAACGTTTCTTCGTTTGTCAATGCTATAAAACCTCCACCGGAAATCTTTGCTTTCCCCATCAACCTGCAAGCCATAGTGGACGATTATTTCCGCATTTACCATCCTTGGATACCCATGCTTGATCGTGTGAGTATCGTACGTCAAGTACTGCAGTTAACCAAACCACGTCCTCCCATTCCCACTGATGGTGGACAATCGCCTCCTCCTGACCTTAATTTGATTGCACTTGTATGGGCCGTTCTTGCCATTGGCCAACTTGCAGCATCCCCTTTGGAGATCACCAACACCCAAACTTATGCCAAGCATGCGATAGTGGCACTTGAGAACTCAATAACATCTACCATAGAAACTATCCAGGCTCAAGTATTGCTAGGGATGTATTACTACCAGATTGGGTTGTGGGATTTCTCATGGGTTCTAATAAGTTCAGGGTCTCGAATGGCCATTGATGTGCGGTTGATGCGTCCTTCTGCCCCAGGTGGGCCTGAAAACGAAATCGAACAGCTGGCAAATGGTAAAAAATATATTACCACATTGAACAATATCAATCGTGAGAGAACATGGGCTTCGGTATTTATTATAAACACTGTGCTAGCAGCTAGAATGGGGAGATCACCAGTGGTGAGGGCTATGGATTGGCCTATCCCACTGATAAATACTGATGGGTGGGAAGAATGGGAGAGCTGGGAAGGAGACCGGACAAAGATAAAGCTAGACGCGGGAAGATTCTTAAGTACATTCAACGAGGCGATTAAAGTTGTTTCAATTGTAAATTTGGCCATAACCAGTAATATAGACACTTCTAAAGGCATGCTAGACGATGAAATCGGCGGTGTTAAGATTGAACAAGAGCAAGACTTTACAAACTCAAACACATTAACAATTGCAAAGTTTAAAAGTATGCTAAATGACTGGTATGACGACTTGCCTGATTATTGTCGAATAGAGCAGTACACACCAGATGCCATCCCTGCACCTATTGCCTTTCTACATCTTGGACGCGATCTAACTTGGTGTATCCTTGCCATAAGACTATCCTCGCTAAAGGATGTCGATGTCTCCATTAACAATAGGATCCTCAAATCGAGAGATTTCCAATATACACGAGCAATAACTTCCATTCGAGGAATAATAAACGAGCGCACGGTTGCCCATCTCCAATACTATCCCTTTATAGACTATTTCTTAATCATGTGTCTCAACTTCCCTCATATGATAGATCTTCCACCTCACGAACGAGATAAAGTCATCCGTGATTTCAGATCTTGTCTCACATCAGCGTCGGCTACATCCATACCCTGTAAAATATCACTTGATATTTACAAATTGATGAACACAGATATTGATAATTCTGCCAAGGAATCCCCTATGATTGCAAACTTATTAAATTCACCCGAGGAAAGTGTTCCTATTGGTGGAAGACTGAAAAGTTTGGTTAATGGGGTTAATAATACATCGACACCCCCACCTCCGCGGCTTATTCCACTGGCAAGCTTCCCGCCGAATACAGGGGCATCCCCAATGTTACCATTCCCTCCAGCCTCGCACATGTCACACTTGGAGGGGCTCAGGGCATTTCGTAACGATGAAGCTGGTATGTCTACTATGAGACAACTACCAAGGGTCAACAGTGGAGAATATAGTGTTAAGGACAGTCATCAAAGATAATATAGGCATATTTTATAATAATAGCATCTGTATCATGTCAACTACATATGACGGTAGCCCAATCTCTTGCATTACTGTAGCAGCTACGTTCCATCTACAGAAGTGACAGCATCGAAAGATATCTCAAGTAAAGTTTTTTGACCAAAGACCACGGTGGCTCATATATTGATGGCAGAATCATGGCATCTTCTTCGGAAACTAGAATCCAAGGAGGCTGGACCCTATTATACTACCTATATTATCAAACGAAACAGAAACTGAAGCGCCAGGAACTGATAGTACCGATTCAGTTGATGGCCACTCTAGTACTCTTACTACTGATAACACTTCTGGAGTTCCCACAACTGGTGAACCTGGAACTGAAATTGACTATTCAATCCCTTCCAAAGAACTAAGTAATCTAGATTCAACTTGTATAATTAAAGAGTCAACAGATGAGCCCGTGCCAAAGACCGATAGTTCCACTTCTACTCCTGAAACTTCAGCCAAGACGAGCCATGGTGGTGAAACTGATGCTTCAGCTAGAGGACAGTCTAGTAAAGAGAAATCAACTATTTCATCTACCAGCACTGGTGTAGGTGCCACATATACTGGTGACAAGACTGATGGCTAGGCTAACGCCCTTGCTGTTGCATCTGAAACAAGAGGTTCTCCTACAATGGTTTCGATTATCTCAGGAAATGATTCCAGTTCTACATCAAACTTGGTTCTTCTTTTGTTCTCTTTGTTTAAATTGATTACAAATCTCTTAGATTTATACATTTTGTTCTTTTATATGATTTATATTATGATTGTTACGATATGTATTAGATATATTGATGTACACCGTGAAGACAGAAAATACAAGGGAATCCACTACGATTAAACTTTATGATAATGCAACAGATATATGTATTATTTGACAGAATGATCCTAAGCATAAGCAATAAGCTCAGTTTTTTCCATGAGGAGAGAGAAGTTATAATTTACAACCCTTGAACACCTTATTTCTTTTATTATCACCTAAACAAGCTATCCAAATAATCCTTCTTCAACTGCATCAGGAACAGGTTTATCTCCATAAGCACCAAACCAACTTACTGGTCTTGTCCAGCGATCAACTTTTTTCAATCGTAAAACTTCACCCAACTTATCGGCCAATTTTTCAGCATCATAAAAATTGTCTCCTTCATATACAAAACTAACCAAGACCATAAAATCCACGTTAACTTCAACGTTCTTGTCAATACGGGGTAAATTGAATGCCTTCAACAAACTCCTTACGTAATTAGAATGTTTCTGTTGTTCTTGGGCTTCCAATTCTTGCAATTCCTGAGTTTCATGTGATAACTTCAATGACTCGAGGGATTTACTCAATAATACTTCGGTAGTGTACACTTCAATCCCGCCCGCATGAACGTGTTCCACTAATCCCGCATCAGAAGAATCCAACACTACAACTCTGGCAAACTTGAATGCTTTAATGAAGGGTAATATTGTTTCCTTGACAAATACATCCGTATACGATGGGAGGATGGGTGATCGTTGTTGAACTAACGTAAGTTGTAATTCAGGACAATGGTACACTTCGATTGCACGGGATATTCCAGGAACTGGTGTTTTCAGGTAGTCTACGGGCGAGGCAAAGGGGTAAACATATAAATCATCCAAGGAACCAACTTTGGCAAACGAGAAGGTATGAATGAGGAGGTCAATCGCCAATTGGGGTATATTTCCTATTGAAATTGAGGGGATGATGAGCGTGGTTGATGAAAGATCAGGCTGCGTGCCCTCCGCAATAGATATGAATGATGACATGGTGTAATTGTAGATGATTGTTTGAGGTCAGATATGTCAAAAGGCAACAAAGCTAATTTTTTCCAATTAAATTTATTGCCACTAATTGCAAACCGGCGCTACCATACCAGGGACCGGGGGTTATAGTGGTGGTAAATGTAAGTTAACCTAAGTATTATACAATGAAACCTATCAACCAAGGTTAAATGTCCGTTTGCATTGTTCTCGAATAGTTAATAATTAACTCTATAAAAATATCAATAATAAATTTCCCAAGGAAGAACTGAATTCTAAATAACACATAGTAAAAATTAAAACGAAGTAAAAGAAAAGCAAATAAATAAAATAGCAATCACCATCCCGAATCATTAAAGCTGCCGATATTGTTCAAAATCAGGGAACTGATCCCATTAACTGACGCACTGCTAGTTCCACCAGCGTTTGTCCCACTATTGGCTCCAGGATTACCAGAGTTACCGGCAGTGGTATCACGCAGACTACCCAATTGTCCCAATCCGAAGCTAGCTGAGAATGAATTATTAGCAAACTGCTGTGGCGTTGAACTTTGGGTTCCATATTGACTATTTGACAATTTTAACTCATTCAACAAATTATTCCCACTTGAAGTTGTTGTTCCAAAAAGCATGTTGTTCTTGCTGTTACTTGAAGTTTTGAAAAGGTGGGATGGGTTAAGGGTATTGGAGGTGGCCAAGAGAGGCATAAGCGCCGTTCCTGCTGTTGTCCCTGAATTATTGATATTGGCAGTTAACAGAGAAATGTTAAATACGGAATTGACCATAGCGTTGGTATTACTCATGTTTAACATGGTTTGAGTGGTTGGCGGCGATGGAAGTTTGTTTTGAATTGAATTAAACGGTGGTAATTGTTGTGATTGGTTCTGGATCAGTTGTAGTTGCGATCCACTTCCGATTAGATATGAATTTAAATTAGTTGTTGCATTGAGCCCCGGAAGGTGACCAGTTCCACTAGAGAGAGGATTGATGCCGGAGTTTGGCATTTCAGGACCAATTCGAGGTCCTATCAGGACTATATTGCCATTTTCAGACAGCCCAGGCACACCTCCACTGCTATTGTCAGTGGGAGGCGCATTATAATCATTGTCGGAATCTTCATTCAACAAAGGAGAAAGCGGGATCAAATTTGCAGTTTGACTGGCTTGAGCAGAAGTCATTCCTGGAGTAGGTGGATTCAACCATCCACTCAACATGGTCGATGAAGAAGCCTTCTTTGAATTATCCACTACTCCTTCAGCGGCAGCAACCACTCCCGCCACGGCTTCTGCTGCCTCTTCGGCTACTGCTGCTGCTGCTTGAGCCGCTTCGGCGGCAGCCACCACGGCAGCTACACTATCTTGGCTTTGGTCTTCTTGTGGATGTTTCACTCCCACGTCACTCCTCCTTTTTCTCTTCTTTTCAGCCATAGCACGCAACCTATACATGAATCGAGGCCCAAAGTAGCGCCAATGGTCATCAATGACTTGTAGAACAAATGATTCAAGCACATCAGACTTATCAAACAAGGTACTGTTATCGCTCAAGATTCGATTCACCTTATAATTGATATCTTGACGTAATGATTCAAGGACCTCTTGGCGTGTTGGAGAGACACGAAGATTGGTATCGTGAAACAACGGTTGAGGTTCTAATCCAAGTGGCATCAGTCGTCTTCGCTTTTTCAACTCTTCCTTTTTGATATTAGGGACTGATCTTTTACGATGCTGTTTAATATTTGATGATGGGGAGAAGGTAGGCATGTTTAAAGAAGGAGCAGTTTTCGAAGAAGTAAGCTTTGCTGGAGGAGGAGGAGGAGGAGGAGGAGGAGGTGGTGCAACCGGTGCAGGCACGGTGGTTGGAGTTGGCTTGGGTAGTACAAATGGAGCATCAAACAAGATATCACGTTGACCAGGTAATGAGCCGGTGGGACTAACCAATACTGAGAACACATCGTTGGAACTACTTGTCTTGGTAGAAGGAAAGTCATTCACGTATTGATCAAGGAATGCCGCGCGTTTGGCATATTCCGGCAGAGAGCCCGACGCAGTAGGAACTGTAGAAACTGCACTCCCAACGGCTGATGATAGCGAGGAACTTGATGATGAGGACGACGATGGCTTAGAAGACGATTTTGTTGTTTCTTTGTTAGATGCAGTTACTAATGTCTGAGTGATAGTCGGTATTCTCACTGCACTGGTGGACGATTGGTCCTTTGTGTTAGATGACGCTGGTTCCTTCCATGTGTTATCACTTGGTAGTTCTATTGGTATATTTTCGTCATTTTCAGTAACTATATGATCATGCGTGTCATTAACCACCGACAAGGTCCATACTTTGTTACGGAGACTGAAATTAGCTCTAATCTTAAAGGGGCAGCTTGTCAACCTCCTAACCTGAATCTTGGACTTGATGTTCTTGGCTTCTATAATCTTGGTCTTCTTTTCCTTATTCTTGCACTTGAAAATGATCTTACTAGTGTCCGATCGTTCAATCACCACATGGATACCTTTGCGGCGGGCCAAACAGTTAAGCAACCATGGCTTGATGTCTTCTTTATTAGTGAACTTTTGTGCTTCTAGATCCAAATCAGCTAGAGAAACTTTGTAGGATGCCCTATACGGCTGATCTGTGGTCGATGAAGCAGTCGATGTCATTGACATTGTGGATGCCTAGATTTAGATGCCAGAAACACAAGTCTGGATCTATAAGAATGTTGTACGAGTCAAAAGTAGTACTTGCGAACAGTAAAGGGGTTAAACTTTGATTGATTAGCGCTTGTTGGTGACACTTTCACTGTGGTAGTGGTGGTGGTGGTAAAAATTTCCTTAAATTTGATTTAGCAAAGATAACGGAAATCTGGCCTGGGATGGGGGAGGGGGAAATTCAATGATCCCATAAAACCACCACAATTTTTTATGTGCACTACACGACAAATATTTGCTAGCAACTTAATCAACTAAAACACCTTACCTGACCCTCTTATGGCTGACAATTCTCTCGCTGACCAGGTTGAAGACTTGATCAAGATTGTCAAATCAACATTGCATTTAACCAACTATCAAAAGCATGAGTTAACCAAATTACTAACCATGACCATGGAAATGATCCAGGTTAGCCGCAATCAGGACTACGCAAAGCATTCACGTTTGGTGGATTCGTATCGACAGTTGGTGATTCAAACAATCTCTCCGCAGAAGCATCCATCACGACTGAAGAGGCTGTCGATGTTTGAGTTGCATGACGAACATTACATATCCAATTTGTCACCGCCTCCAAGCAGAACCACAACGAACACGTCAATGTACAGATTCCCCCACGAACAGCAAGGACTAAACACACCCACGGATGAGTCGACTATCCACAACGAGACCGGAAGCGATAGCGAGTTTGATGACGAGAGATCAAATACCGTATCGTTGGCCCATCCCCGCACTACTAGACCCACAATTATTAACCGGAAACTAAAACACATTGAACCAGACGCCCATGCAAACCCATTCACAACCAGCAACCTCGCAAGAACATTTAATATGCCGGTTACTCCACATAAACAACAGTCTTCAGCAACAACCACTCCCTTGCATCTGATGAACTCGTATATACGTAGGTATTAAAAATGTGATATGTGTTGCATTTTTTTTTATTTAAAATTAACAATATATATGTATATATGTACAAGAAAACAAAGTTATGTCAAAATTGTCTATTCCAAGGTAATCTTAGCACCTAAGCCTTCTAAGGTGGCCTTCATCTTGTCAGCGTCTTCCTTTGGAACATTTTCCTTCAATACCTTTGGAGCACCTTCAACAAACTTCTTACTTTCAACCAAACTCAATCCGAGCAAAGTCTTGACTTCCTTAATGATCTTTGGCTTGGATTTGGCATCGAATGATTCTAACTTGACGGAGAAGATGGTCTTTTCTTCTGGTTCTTCCTTAGTTTCTTCTTCAGCTGGTGCTGCAGCTTGAGCGGCTGGAGCAGCACCAGCAGCAGGAAGGGCGATATCGGAAATGTTTAACTTTTCCTTCAATTCAGTAACCAATGCGGAAGTTTCTAATAATGTTAATTGGGAGATTTGGTCAACAATAGCGGAGATCTTTGGATCAACTGGAGCGGCAGCAGTAGAATTGTGACGGATGGCTATGCATGCTACTCTTCTGGAAGCAATGGACCTTAAGGCTGGTCTAACGGCTTGACGGATGACGGCGGACATGGTTGTGGTGTATCAGTGGTCTATTTACTCTTGGTATCTGCCTGGTTGTATACGAGCTTGAAAATTTTTTGACCTTTGTTGCCAAATTAGAGAGGGAAAAAAAAATTTCATGGGAATTGCGCCAAAGCACACGACCTGCCACCCTTAACTATGAAAAATTCAAAAAACCTCAAGGCAAATATTTACAGTCAGCATTCAACAAACCAGATACACAACCATGGCCTCGTTTAGATTCTGTGCAGAATGCAATAATATGCTCTATCCCAAGGAGGATAAGGAAGGACAAAGACTTCTCTATGCCTGTCGAAATTGTGGGTACACCGAGTTGGCAGAAAACCCCAAGGTATACCGTCATGAATTGATGACCAATATCGGTGCTACTGCTGGTGTGGTTGAAGATATTGGTAACGACCCTACCTTGCCTAGATCCGACAAGGAATGTCCCAAGTGTGCCAACCGAGAATGCGTGTTTTTCCAATCGCAGCAAAGAAGAAAAGACACCAGTATGATTTTGTTTTATGTTTGCTTGAATTGTAAACATGTGTTCCAGGCGTAAGGTAGATCTTTACTTGTACACTATATTGCATTTTAGAAGGTTGTTGTGTTTGTATTATATTCAGTTCATTTAGGAAGTTATTTATAAACGTTAAATTTTACAATAAAGATGTAGGATAAATATATAAAGAAAAAACAAACATCAAATGACAAAGCTCTTAGAAATCCAAAAAGTATTGTGCATAGGGGTCTTCTCCTTGGATACCATAGTCCAATTGTTCTTCGGGATAATGATCAAACAAGGAAGAATCACCGGTACCGGCAGTGATTGGAGGTTCGTAAGGGGTCTCAATGTCCTTGGCTAACAACTTCTCCCATACAACCTCCAGAAACCAAGGATGGTTTCTAATATCAGCAGGACCATTGCTTAAATTACCCAATCTTCTAGTCAAATCACTAGTAATCAATTTACTCAATAAATCAATCACTTCTGGGGCAAAGAAACTGGGGTAATGGACTTTACCAGCCAAAATCTTTTCATAGGTCTTCATTGGAGTTGTATCATAAAATGGAGTGTAACCAGCCAACATTTCAAAAATTAAAACCCCAAGCGACCACCAATCGATAGATTTATTATAAGGCTTTGTGGTGATTACTTCAGGAGCAATGTAATCCGGAGTTCCACACAAAGTATAAGTAACTGTACTCACTTCTTTGGCAAACCCGAAATCGGTGATTTTTATATGACCATTTCTATCCAATAAGATATTTTCTGGTTTTAAATCACGATATATGATATCGTGACTGTGTAAGTATTCTAATGCCAATGTAACTTCAGCAGCATAAAACTTAGCCACTGGATTAGGGAATCTTTGTGATTTTCGCAACAATGAGAACAATTCACCACCTTCAATATAGTCCATAACCATAAATAAGTTTTTGGCATCTTGGAAAGTCCCCCACATTCTAATCAAAAATGGATGTTCCACCAACTTAAGCATTCTTCTTTCGTCGTTGGTATGTTCGACTTGTTTCATCTTAACCACTTGGTACTTCTTCAATACTTTAATGGCATAGTATCTTCCATTATGCACCGATCTAACCAAATGGACTCTTCCAAACGAACCAGTACCCAAAGTTCTCATGATGTGGAAATCGCCAAGAGAATATTTCCCCTTGGAAATGGTCGATCTCTGAGGAAGTAATGATCGTTTAATGGCGTCATCAGCACTGGTGCCAGCTAACCCCGCAGCGGCGGCACCACTAGCACCAGCACCAGCTACATCGGCGGTGGCCGATGCGGCCTTGAGGGAGCTAATTGCCTGGTCGGGTTTAGTTACTATAGGTGTAGCATTGATGTTGGACGCAGTGATGACTGGCTGCACTAAATGTTGTTGCAGTTGTTGATCACCTGAAATTTTCGCTTGTTGTTGATAGTAGTCCATATTAACGTCTTTGTCAGCTGGTATGGACTGCGGTGCCGGTGAGTTGGATTGGGAGTTAATTGATGCAGAGTTACCTGTGTTCAGTTTGGTAATGTGAAGCTTACGTAAAATGTTAGTCATGGAATTGGATTAAGGGAGGTGTGAGAAGAAGGGAAACAAACAATTGTGGGTGGAAGGAGGGCAATCACGCAAGGCGGGTAAGTTCTGCTCTGTGGGAAAATGATACCAAAAATGCGATTGTAATCTTGGCAAAGAAAGATGCAAATATCTTTCTGGGTTGAGTTTGACAGGTTGGTTTCCAATTGTCGGCGATAGCAAAAGAGCTGATAAATTTTTAATGACTTTTTCAAAAAAAAAGGTACAAGCCAATGGGTTATGAATTATTGAATGTGCCAAATTGACTTTTCGTTGGTGTGAGATATTTTTTTTTTTGTTTTGTTTGAATGGGGCAAAGTGGGGAGGGGCAGACAACAGAAGAGAAATTCAAGTTCAACAGGTCGACTCTATCAAATGTTTACCAAATTGTTTTCAATAATAATAAACCTGTCAAGATAAAGAGAAAAAGAAAAAGAAATAATAACGAAATTTCCAATCGAATTTTCACTAACAGATTCAACTGAAATAGAGTGCAAATGGTATGTTGTTACAATTTAGGGGGGTAACTAATTATTAAGGGTTAAAAAAAAATAGCAAAGAAACTCAACACGGACCAAAACCAGAGGCAATTTGGTGCTAGGGCCAAATAAATCGACGAGAATCGTCCACTAAAAAGAAACAAAGCCCAATTGTGGAATTTTCATACGTTGGAAAATAATCCAGAATCACCAACATGAAATTTCATGTTCTCGTGGCTGCTCCTGCCGAATCTTGCGAAAATTGGGAAAAGTATGGGGAATCACGGAGCACAAAAGAAAAATACCCTGCCACATGAACTAGTGCCGGTTTAGTATTGTGGAATAACCAGTATATCAGAAGTGTAGGTATGTATGATTGTCAAGAAAGCCCATTTGATATTATAGGTGGTAAATAATAGGGCTTGCTGAAAAATAGGGGCACAGATCTGGCATCGGAGATACCGTCTTCAATTGGGTGCAAAAATTGACCAAAAAAACTAGAAAAATCTAAAGTCATAATATAAATATAAAATACAACTAAATAATATAGTGCATCTAAGTACCAGTTAAGCGGGTCGTCATGTCTACTACATATAATTACGTCGCTGTAAGGTTTAAATAATCTCGTAATTCCTACACTACAAACAATTTCCAAATAAATACGTTTATTTTCTATACTCAAATCTACCCAGAGACACCGTTCTTGGCCATTTCGTAAATGGCATAAATATTCAATGTCGACACAAACAACCAAATAATAATAGCTATACCTGAAGTGATCCAATTATTAGTCATATACTTGTATTTACGACCATCTTCAACAACATAATTGTTATCATCATCGCCTGCCTCCTCGGCTTCTTCAATGGAAACCTCAACCCTCATAATCTTTTTCGAACAAGTGAAATAAATCAATGGGGCAGTTAAAGGAGGCAACAAGATGGAAATAACCACTTGAGAAATGTTTAATGCTATACCTAACCCGTTTCTTCCAATACACAACGAAATAATCAAACATGGAATAATGGATAATCCACGAGTTACCAATCTTCTTAACCACGGCTTTAATGTCCAATTGATATGTCCTTCACTGACAATTTGTCCAGCAATAGTACATACAATCCCAGCGCTTTGTCCACTGAATAAAAGGGCAAGCATAAACACAGTACCCACAATAGGGGCGAGATTTCGCAGCAACAAGTCATGAATGGTGTATAAATCAGCATCAATAGCTTCTGGAGTACCATACAAAGTCGAACCGGCCACAATCAAGATTGCCGAGTTGACAAACAAGGCCAAAGTCAACAATGTCACTACTAATTCCGCAATCGAGTATTTCAAACTGTATTTGATAGATTGGTATGATGGCTTATACTCATGGTAAAAGTAATCAGCTTCTTGTTCATAACTTGAATGTTTTTCGTCAGAAGAGTCAATAATTTCATCTAACTTGACGTATCCATTCTTGACATCAAACTCACGCAATCTAGGTTGTACTAACCCGGAACCAAGGAACAAGGAGTGAATCATGACAGTAGACCCAATGATGGACGTAGCTATAGTCATACCGTTTCCATGAAACATTTCCTTTGAAGGAACAAAGCCACGGAAAACTTCTCTTGCATCAGCACTTATATGAGATAATTCAACTGCAAAACAAATAACCACACCAAACACCAATACGGCCACGGCCCATTCGAAATACTTGACAAACTTCATCAGGGAAGTATCAGCACGATATGCCATAAGAACAAACAAAACATCGACAATAGTGATCACCACACCAGCAGGCAATGGTACCTTGATCAAGATGTTCAATGCAATAGCGGACCCAATGACTTCAGCCACGTCAGTAGCAACAATAGCACATTCGGCCAATATCCACAATACCCAATTCAACTTCTTGGGCAAATATTCTCGACAGCATCGAGCAAGATCGTACCCGGTTACTGATCCTAATTTTATGCAAAGGCTTTGTAAGAAGATGGCGATTATGTTGGATAAGAATACAATGAATAAAAGAGAGTATTTGTTGGAGGCCCCTGCCGTTATACCTGTAGCATAATTACCTGGGTCCATGTATGCCACACTGATGAGCATTCCTGGACCTATGAAGGAACCATATTTCTTAAGGATGGATTTGGATGTGGAGACTATGCCGGCGAATCTTTCATTGAATGTAGTTGGAGCTTTGGTTTCGCATTCTTCTGGTGATGTTGTGGTTGTCTGCACCGATGTTATTGTTTTTATTTTGGCCATTTTTTGCATGCGATGTATTATATATGTTCCTGCAACACTTCTGTATGCTTCTTTAACGATTGATTACTCTTTAGCCAAACCAATCTACAGGAAAACAACTGGCTATTTAAAATAAATCTGCTAAAGCCCCTTCCGCTTTTCAAACAATAGAAAACAGAAATTCACTGAACGGAAAAAAAAATCGTGTCACCATAAAAAAAAAAAACTTCTCCCGGGGTTGTTCGGATTAAGGGAGATGCAACCTGGGGTACACAAAGCATGCTGGTTAGTTCAGGAATGGTCGGTTAGTAGCACAGAGTTGTCACCATGACACAGGGTTATGATAGTTACTATTTTCTAAACCAAGATTTAACAAGCTTAAGTATACTTGTCAAATGGCGATGACTGAGTTTCCCGGACTTGCGGTGTCATCATCCGATTCTTTTTTTTTTTTTTTGTTTGAGCCCGCCCTTAACAGTACAAAGACTAAGATTGTTGCAATTGCTTTTTGCCAAGACAGTACCACTAGTTCTAGATCTATAGTGAATAAATAGCGACCACAACTACAACAATACGTAGCCATTGTATTTAGTTAACATCCCTGCATTATATCAGACCACCAGTTTTGACGCATCTACAGTTGCTCCATCGACCATCTACTTTCTATTACAATCTAGGATTTTCTTCTCTAGGTTGCAAGATTTCAGTTGTTATTCACAGCCAAAAACCCTTCATATGACACAAAATATACTACTCTACATTAGATTCTATCTAAGCTCTATTCTATACGTTTCTAACACAAAACCTTCTTAGGCATGGAATTGCTTGATATCACCCCCATCCTTAACAATAACCTTTATCTTGGCCAAGATTTCCATGAAATCACCAAATTCAGTATATGGGATACCTTCAGCAATACAATACTTAATCAAATCCTTACCTCTCTTGGCAAACAACAAATCGGTTTCCTTGGCAGCACTCAAATCACTAACACCATCACCACAGTAGAACAAAGTGGTCCCGGGGGCAACATTGTGAGTCTTGAGGTATTCAGTTATAGATTGGGCCTTATCGTGACCAAATCCAGATTCGGGGTGCTTGTACTTGATGTCCCACTTGGTTGGAGAAGTGACCTCAACGTCGTTACTTATGATTTCAATGTTGGCCATGGCATCTTCACCAACGAGTTTGGTCAAAAGAGCAGCGATGATTGGTTTCATTCCCGAACTAACAATAATAACCGGGATATTTTCAGCGCGACACCATTCGTAAAACACTTTGAATCCCGGGTCAAGTTTGATATTGGCAAGAAGAACATCAATACACTCGTCAAACGAGTTAGGGATAGATTCCAACATCTTGTGGAACCCATCACGGAAGTTGGTTTCACCAGAAAGGATCTGGTCGTTGATCACCTTACGCTTTGGGTATCCCATACCCAAGTTGTCGGTGATGTAATCATTTGAGTCCTGAAGGGTGACGGTTCCATCAAAATCCGTGAAAACGATTGCTGGAGGTTGAGTGGATGTGGTCATTATGTATTCGTAGCTGGTGTAAAAGAAACAGATCGATAGGAAAGATCGGTGGTGGTAAATATTTTATTATGTTCAACGGGCTAAACGGTGGGAAAATATTTTTCACAGCAAGTACAAAAAAAAAAAAACACAACAACAAAAAAAAAAAAGAAATAAGCAATACCATTGCGAAACAATGGGAAGGTGGTAGAGCGTGCTAACACGTACTCCACTAGTGTCATTACGAATCTTTACTATAATAAGGCGGCGCAATTAGACAGGACTTAAATAAGTAATTATACCTACATGTGTCCGATTATAGTTTATTCTTAGTTAGTGATGTCATTCTTAACACCGTCGTAACCCGACGCATAATAACTTACGTCAGTTCTCTTTTGATTAGGCCCAATTATTGACATCACCATCGTTCACAAAATAATATGAATCTGGCCAAGGTACACTACCATATTCGGGGGTAATCCTCCTCCCACCCCCCCTCGGTTCCCCTATAGTGTATAACGTAAGCATTTGCAGAGATCATGTGTTAATATGCACAAGTAGCAACTCGGTGATAATATATACTCAAAGCAAACGACTATAAGTTCGCCTTGCGGTTTCTAAATTTCTGTTTTAGTCAACACCACAATTTTAACCTATTGGTGCAGCAGCAACACCAAAACAACCAAAAAAAAATAGTCACCACCAACTTGACCCTCTCCCCCAAAATTTCATTACGTAATATTTAACCCTTTTTCTTGATTAATCAGACGATATTCTTCACCACACTTTTCTTACACATCATATTCATCACTTATTGCATTATACTTTTATAGATTTACGATATGTTTGAAAACTTGAAGGCATTTATAAGGCACGGAAGGCAGGCCAATGACATAAACAGGAAACACGACAAGTCCAGCGTTCATAACGATGTCGAACAGGGTCCTCCTGTGTTGTTCAGCCAGAACGACGACAGGGAAGCCACCCCTTCGCAGAACGAGAACCCCTATCATGACCATAACTATGTCGTCACTAGCGCCGCCACCGCTCATAATTCCGACACTACCTTGTTTGATGCCCAGCCGTACCAAGGTACCGCTTCCACCACCGTCGAGGGAACCAATGGACATGCAAACGGTCACATACAGAACCAAGCACAAACCCACGAAGATTACAAAGTTCTTGCCCTGAAGCTTGTGGAAGAAGAACGCAAGCAACGAGAAAGATCCATGTCATTTCCTAATTTGGACAAGTACGAGATCCTTAACCATATCGGAGAAGGGGCGTTTCTGGTAGTTTACAAAGCACGTAACACAGAAACTGGAGAATTAGTTGCTATTAAAGTGCTCAGAAAATTTCAAATGGATGCAGCTCAAAAATCAGCCGTTTTGAAGGAAGTTACCATTTTACGACAATTGCATCATCCCAATATTGTTGAATTCATTGAATTCATCGACTCGCCGATTTATTATTACATTGTTCAAGAGCTTGCACCTGGAGGTGAAATCTTTGCTGCAGTAGTGAAGCATACGTATTTCCTGGAAGATTTGGCTAGGTGGGTAATCACCCAAGTCGCCCACGGCATAAGATATCTCCACGAGGAAGTGGGGATTGTTCATAGAGACATTAAGCCCGAAAACTTACTTTACTATCCCATCGATGTCATTCCTCATGCCCGTCCTTGGGAACAGCTACGCAAATCCGATGATCCAAACACCAAACGCGACGAAGGGGTATTCACTCCAGGCGTAGGTGGAGGTGGAATCGGTAGAGTTAAATTGGCAGACTTTGGACTTTCAAAACAGATTTGGGAACATAATACCAAGACTCCTTGTGGTACTGTGGGATACACTGCTCCTGAGATTGTCAGAGACGAAAGATATTCTCGTGAAGTTGATATGTGGGCTATTGGATGTGTATTGTATACTTTACTTTGTGGATTCCCTCCATTTTATGATGAACGAATTGAAGTACTTACTGAAAAGGTGGCTAGGGGCCAGTATACATTCTTACAACCATGGTGGGATGAAATCAGTTATGAAGCCAAGAGATGTGTTAGTCGATTATTAACAGTTGATCCAAAAAAGAGATATACTATTGATGAGTTTTTGAATGATCCATGGATGAAGGCATCTCCATCATCAGCAAAACAACCAATTGCTGCTCCTGTTCCGGTAAGAATGTCTAACCGGGAAACGTCCAAGTCTGCTGGTTCATCAGTTACCCATCCAATCCATGCCAAACCTAATTCAAACCAAGATCTTTATTCACCAGCTGCCGTAGCGTTCCGTGACGCATTTGATATCTCTGCAGCCGTTCATAGAATGGAAGAAGAAGCAGCACTTGCCAAAAAGGAACCTACAATTGCAGATGTTCCTGAAGAAGAAGAAGAAGAAGAGGATGAGGAGGAGGAGGAGGAGGAACAAGGTAATGGACAAAATGACGCAGCAGCAGCAGCTATTGCCCTCCAGAAACAACAACAAGCCCAAGCCCAAGCCCAACAAAGAAGAAGAGAAAGACAAAAAAGAGAATGGGTTAAGGAAAGAAAAGTGTTTGATTTAAATCTTGGAGGTGCATCGATTTTGGAAAGAAGAAAGCAAAAGCAAAGAGTTATGAGTGTCAGTTCATGAGAATAAGTTTTAGCAGTATTTATTGATCTTTTTTTGTGTTTAGTTAATAGAAAACTTGTTTAAGCAATTTATTTATTAAACTAGTTATGTACAATTTCAGCAAAGATATAGCACACGTTATAAGGAAATCTATTTCTTATTCAATGCAGCGAGCCACGTATCATGTGAATGATAGTTTATATAGGATACAAGACCCCCACCAAAAAGTTCATAATTGTCAGATATCTTCTTGCCAAACTTGTCATGTTCACACATTTAGGTTTAGCCCCATGGATATAAAACATAATGGACCACCCTGGTATAATCTGTGTAGGGGATAGATGCCAAGGTGTTAAAAAAGTTTGCCAGCATTACTATTTCTATTTTGGAATAAACTAAGACCTACAACTAAAGCCAAGATCAACGACAGCTAAACCAGGCTTTACAACAGGAACAAAAATCCGTTGGAAACAAAATAGCCTTCTTCCCCATTTTCTTAAGTGAAATCAAAACAACAATTCAAAAAGTCATAAACTAAACTTGGTATGTCTCCAAACAATAGTTCATCTGACTGGTTCAGTCAACTCGTTATCTCCTAATTCCTTCGAGTTACGCCTTGTCCCCTTGAAGGTTATAGCTTAGAACCCGCATTGACAATTGTGAAGAATAGCACCGAGCGAGGAACAACTTTTTTTGAAAACCAATATATTGGTCCCCGTGCAGTAGCAGGTTTGTTAGTTGGTTTTTATTTAGGTGTTTTCTTTGCTGCTTTTGTTGTCGTTTTGATTTCAATCTGGCACAAAAAGCACCAAGTATTGTTATCAGTTGGTTCTATCACTACTACTACTACTCCTCCTCCTCCTGGTGATACAGTAGCAACGTTTGCTGCAGACCCCACCCTAACAGCATATACCAGTGATAGTGATGAGACTGCAATTGAATGTAGTCCTGATGCAGACGATGGTTTCAAAAACCCATTGATTAACGGCAACTTTGCACCTGACACTGATACATCTGAATACGAGTTGTGGTTGCTAGCAGAAGCACCATTTCCCCCGCAAGAAACATCAGAAGGGTTTCTTTACTGAGATGGTCAATACTGGAAGATCAAGAAACAAGCATACCTTCGAAGTGTTGCTATGATATGGGTATATATTGGATTGGAAGACTGGTAAAGATTTGTCTATTTTAATAATATAATTGTATATAAGTTATATAGGTCTATATTAGGTGATGCTTAATTAAAAATATTCCTATTCTTGTCACAAGCGTAGTCAATACTTAACTGCAACGGCCCAACAGTTTCACAGTTTCACAGTTTCACAGTTTCACAGTTTCACAGTTTCACAGTTTCACAGTTTCACAGTTTCACAGTTTCACAGTTCCACAGTTAAATAGCCCAACAGCCCAACAACCCACAACCCAACAGCCCAACAGCCCAACAGTTCCACAGCCCAACATCTCAATTAATGTCTGTTGTTGAGCCATACACAAATTGTCTGGCACGGCTGCAATAACTGCAAAAAAACCGTTTTCCGATCGTAACCGAGCGCTATCTTGCACTTTCCCATTTTTTTAATTACCCACAGAAAAAAAGAAATAAGGGTCTTTAGATCTATCGATTCTTACCACCCCTTAAGATAAAACAACCACCCATGGCTACCTTCATACATTTTGATGCATATGCAATAACTCAGTTCATACACAAGTCATACGATGTCAAGAAACCCAGTACCAAACGACGGAAACTTGATCCTGCATCTGCAGCAACCACTACTACTCCATCTATCACGCTTTGTAAGCAAGTGATAAATTTCGAATCACCGTGTCCTGTGCCGATGTCACCACAACAGTTGCAAGTATTCCCATTTGTAACGTCTGATGTCAAGCTCAGCATTTCCGATGGACTAGTATACGTCAAGAACAAAAGGTTAAACAACTGTAACTCTAAAATCTTGTTTAGTTTCCCCAGAGGCGAGATTTCTGAGCAGGAGATTTACTTGATAAACCTCCACCGGGGGAAACTCACCAGCCATGGGATTAATGTCGACTCTCCCAATATGAAACTAGAGTTCACCGGTGATGTAGTGCATGTGGAGATTCGCTATGGTATCAAGTATAATTGTGATTTGGAAACCTGTGGATCGCGTCCTGAAGTGCTAAACCGCGTAAATTACTTGCTCACGGGTATAATTACCCCATTTTCCACCCTGAATGAAGAGAAGATTGATGTGAGGTATGAGGATGACGAAATAAACCCTCTGTTGTTTTACAGATCGGTGTCCGAACACACCAGTGAGATGTCTCCAGTTAATGAAAGTGAGTTTGACGATATACCTGAATTAGAAACGAAATTGTTCAAGTTCCAAAAGAAATCGGTCAAATGGTTGCTAAATATGGAGAATGTCAAGTTGGTCAACAATAGAATTGAGATGATGGACTTTATAACCAAGGATACAATCGACGTGTTTAACTCAGAAGATGTTGAAGCAATCGACGAACTAATTTATACTTTACTTAATAAACTCAGTTTTGGATGGAAGCGAGTCAAGATTCATTCAGAAGAATACTTTTACAACTACCTTACACTTCAGGTGGTGACGCGACAGCAAGTAATCTACTATCTTGTGGGAAATTTCAATGATAATGTGCTACTACCAGCACAAGGACTTCTTACTGAAGAAATGGGACTTGGAAAAACCGTGGAAATAACAGCATTGGCCCTTCTCAACCCGCGTCCCTTGGATCAGGTCAACACCATCATGTCACTTCCACTAAACTCGTTTGGTGATGTCAAGCCGGTTGTTCGTGCCAAAACAACTCTAGTCATTGCCCCTGATTCAATCTTGAAGCAATGGATGTCAGAAATTGTCCAGTTAGCACCTAGTTTGAGTGTTACCGAATATCGTGGTATTAATGGATATCCCAAGTTACTGAATCGTGCCAATGTTATTGCAGAGTACTTGCGAAAGTTTGATGTTGTAATGACGACATATGCTACTATTTCGAGAGAATTGGATTATGCAAAGTATTCATCGAGAAACAAAATCACTAGAAGTGGTACAAGAAGTTCACGATCCGATTCAAGCGAACAACAGAAAACTGAACTAAACGTCCCCGATGATACCATCAATGACTACAAATCCCTCTTTCAGCTCCTGCTTACGTCGGTGCCACCTCGCATCGCCAATGTCAAGTCTGACCATGGCCAAAGTGAAACCGACTACGAACGGGCACTTCAGGATGAGATTGCCTTGGCAATAGCCCATAATCAACAACCACCGCATTCCCCACAAGCAGATTACGAATCACCACTAATGTTGACGCAATTCTGGCGGGTGGTTTTAGATGAAGTGCAAATGGTGAGCAGCGTCTATTCGCGGGCGTTCCAAAGCGCCAGTCTCATCCCACGGTTTCATGCATGGGGTGTAAGTGGTACTCCCATTAAGAAGAACTGCGATGACCTTCATCTGACATTGCAGTTCTTGAAGTACTCTCCGTTTATTGGCGATTTAGGGCGGTGGAATTGGGACCGGTTGACCAACATCGAGTTTGTCAGATTGTGGAACCGGATTTCACTTCGACACACCAAGGCTATGGTGCACGATGATATTAAATTGCCAACCCAGCACCGAATCTTGCTCACGATTCCATTCACGCCGATCGAGCAGGACTTCTATAATCAGCGGTTTGAGGAGTGTTTGAGTAATATCGGGTTGAACGCGGCTGGTGAGCCCATGTCGTCGGACTGGGAACCGACGCCGTTGATTTTGCAATATATGCGCATATGGCTAATTCGGCTTCGTCAAGTGTGCAGTTCACCACAGATTGGATTGTTAAATATTGGTCTGAAGAAGTATAAGCGGACAAATATCCGAGTTAAACTGAACAATTTCATGGTTCAATTGACGACATTGGAGAACTTACTAGATGATATGTTGTACCGGGCCTATGGAGATATTGCCGAGGGCGAAAAGGGCAATGTGATGGTGTGTTTGGAGCTCGGAGAGTTGTTTGAGTTTGTGTATATGCCCGAAGTTGCCAGAAAGGTGTTGGTTGCCGGTGTAGACGAAACCAAGCGGGTGATACATGGGGTCAAGTTGATTTTGGGCAAGTATATTGAAGAGTATAAACAGAAGCGAGTCAAGACTGAAGGGGAAGAGATTAGCGATGATGATGAAATTGGTATGACTAGTTCTAATGATGACGAGTTGTCGAAATTGGAAGACATAATCCGAGGAACGAGATTGAAACTAAGGAACTGGTATGTTATATTGCACAAGTTTTATTTTCTTATTGCGTGTTCGTATTTCCAAACTTATGATGAAGAGTTTCAAAAACTTATTGAGAAGTATAAAGTTGATTTAGACATTCTGGATGGTTTAGTTAAAGAAATGGTCCATTTTGATAGCGCCAGGTCAAACGAGCTAGCATCGTTAGTTAATGGAGTCGATGAATCGGAATTCAAATTTGAAGATGTTTCAATCGAACCACCACCAGATACCGAGGAAAACCCCATGAAGTACTGCGAATCGAAGTACTACGACCTTGCTGAATCCACCAGAGGAGAAATCCTTGCATCGTCAGGAATCGTCGTATCACGAGCCATAGCACAAAGAATAACCAGTCGTGAACAGTTTATCCCCACTGAAGACAACGGAACTACTCTTCTACCACGAACCACCAAGAAGTTCTTCAAGAACATCCCTTTGATCAGCACTCTGTTCCTGGGATACGCTATGACTTTTACAGTGCAGCTGTATGTCGATAAACTCGCGCGCTTGTGTCAATCGCTCAATAATCAGGCGATGGTGATAAATCAATGGATGGATGAGCTCGTGGAGATTCTTTGTCGACCATTGCTCAGTCAAGACCAGGACCCGCTGGGGAATGAATATGAAGAGACGATCAAGGATCAGGACAAGATTAGCGGGTACCTTCACGTGCTCGGGTCCATGCTTGGCGATCGGAGTAACTGTGTCAATAGTGATGGGGTGAGGGATATCATAGGTGGTGATACCACTGACGATTTGTTTGTTGCTGAGCTTGAAAAGAGACGTCGTGAGGTGAGGCCAGATATCAAGACATCGTTACTGGAGTTGGTCACTGAGATCAACACTTTGGACGACACAAATGACTTGCAAACGGAACTAGTACAACAGTTGAGTGATCGAGTAAGAACAATTTACGACAATCAGAAACTCGCCCTTGTGTTAATCGCCAAAGAACTTAATGTGAATTGTAATGCTATTTTCAATACGAGAATCGACTATTATAAACAACTTCAACAGATTTCCGACACGGTTAAACCTGTGGACTTCCCCATGATGATAAGAACAAACCTTGACGAGACGGTCATATTGGAACAGTTGATTGGGTATGAACGATTAAAGAAGCTGATCTCGATCAAGATGGGCAAAGCCGTGGCCAAGTTTAGATACTTGAGTGGATTAGTCGCGGGACGCACCAACGAAGAAGAGGAACTCATGTGTATAATCTGTCGCAGCGCCATCACCATTGGCTCGCTTACTCAGTGTGGACACAAGTACTGTAAGGAGTGTCTTGAGCATTGGTTGCGCAACAGCCACACTTGTCCCATGTGCAAGACCATGATTAGCAGCTCCACGATTTACAATTTCACCCATTACAAGCCCGACTTGAAAGTTAAACAGGAGGATAATAACCATGCGGCTAATGCTGCTGCTCATGACGAAACGCTCCATTCGATTTATAAACCGCTTGATGCCAAGATCATTGAGGAGATATCGCACATCCAGTTGAAGTCAACGTATAGTTCCAAAGTGGATATGATTGTGCGACAAGTGCTCTATTTGAAATCGCGGGATCCGCATGTACAGATTGTTATATTCAGTCAGTGGCAGGACATGCTCTACATTCTAGGGTGTGCGTTCAAGGCGTGTGACATTTCCTACCTTGGCTCGTACGGGACATTGACTCCTGAGTCTGGAGTTGTAGGTCGTCGTGTGAAGAAGCAAGACTCGGTGGAGTTGTTTAAGAATGACAACAGCATTACATGCTTCTTGTTGAATGCCAAGGCGCAAGCGAGTGGGTTGACGTTGGTCAACGCCACCCATATCTTTCTCTGCGAACCGTTGGTTAATACCAGTTTGGAATTGCAGGCCATTTCGAGAATTCATCGGATTGGCCAGACCAAGATGACAACGGTATGGATGTTTGCTATTGAAGGGACTGTCGAGGAGAGTATTGTGATTATGTCGACCAAGAAGAGATTAAAGTATATGAGTTTGAACCCCAGTCCCACTGACAGTGTGGATATCGAGAATGTTGAGAATGATGAGAATGTTGAAAACACTGGTGATTCAATCAACGGGGTGATTGCTCAGGAGAAGGATCTCAGCAAAGCAGACTCACTTACGTTAATGGAGAGTGGTGGGATGGATACCCTTGTGAACAAGGGCATGACTCAAGGAGAGTCAGTTACGAATCTCGATCTCTGGCTGGCATTTTTCAGTAAAAACTAAATAGGACTATATAAGCTTATAAACAAAGGTAACCCGAATCCTCATACCCGTTAAACACTCTTCCTTGTTCCATCAACTCTTGACAGTACTTGTTGGCTTCTTCTGGGGTGATGTTCAATCTCTGGCCGATATAAGTCACCGGAACACCTTCGGCCATGGCCTGACTGTTTTCCTGCAAGATCTTAAACACCTGGTCAATCATGGAGGCACCGGCATTGCCAGTGGTGTTGGTGTTGTTGTTGTTGTTGTAGTTTTCACCGACAAACAAGCTTTGTTCGTTCTTAGTGGAGGACAGAGGCACGCCTTGCGCTTTCAAATGGGTGTGGATAGCAGCCAAGTGGTGGTACACGACTTGGTTGGAGTCGGTGACTTGGTGTATACCTGAGTATTGGAGCGAGGTCTTGCCATTGAATGCCTTCAAGGACCCGCCCACACACACATACGTGTTTAACCAGCCAGCATACCTTTCTTCTTCAGCGTCCTTGGAGGTTTGGTCGCTATTTATCCATTTCCGGATCTCAGTCAGCCCTGTGCCGTCTTCGATGGTGAACGAGATGGCGGATTCGAAAGCGGTGATCTTGCGGATAATACCAACGAAACTGACCATGTTTAATTCCATGTTGTTGACGTGGAAAGGTCCATCAGGGACTGGTTGCGTGGACTCGTTGATTTGCTTAATTGTCACGGGTGTGAGAGAGGAACGGACTGCGGCGGAGTTGGCGCCGGCAGAAACTGGCTGGGAACCAGTTGTAGTGGTGGAAGTGGAGAATCCACCGTGTTCGTATCCGCCGTAGTAATCAGACATTGTAAACTGTGTTGTAGAAAGAGTAAGTTACTTTTATAAATAAAGAAAGACGCGTTTGGAATTTTTGGGTCGCTGATAAAAAATGGTAATTTTCATGGCAACAACAACCACCACCACCACCACCTCCTCCTCCATCTCCACACACAGCAGCTACACCAATGGACAACGAGACTCACAACGCTGATCCATCAGAGGCAGAAGCAGCTTTGTCCATTCTCAACACCCTCACGTACTCGCCCACCGCCAATTCCACAAACACTCCTCCCCAAGACAACTTAATCGTTCCTTATGATCCCGAACATCCTAGCAAACGGTTGGGTCGACCACGAAAGAACCTCCCCACCAGTGAACCACCCATTGATTCATCGAAAAACGAAAACGAAGCCATCTTGTCCAAGTTCAGGTTGGACAATCAACCGGTCGAGGGCCCCGGTAGCAGAGGCGGCAAGAATAAGGTGAGAAGCCGAGGTAGGATTGACAACCCGAGACAACGGCAACGACAACATCAACACCAAAAGCCAAAACAAAAACTGCAGAAACCGCAGAAACAGATGGTGTTGGATCTAGGTAGTGGCAATGTGGGACTAAAGGAGGTGTCCCCGAAAAAGCCAAAGCTTGTTTTGAAGTTGAAGGCCAAGTCAACTGCCACTCCTACTCCCACTCCTACTGTGTCAGCATGCTCAAGAACTACTGTGCGCAACAGCAGAAACAAACTTACTCGACAGCTCCCAGGTCCATTGGTTGGTCTTTATTACGATTTGTACGATGAAAACTTGGTCGATGAATACGGACAAGGTGAAACTCTTGCATTGGGATATCCCGTAACTGAATCTCCATATGCTGGGGATATCACCTTTTTAATAGCATATTTGTTGAAATTTGGCGATGTCATCAACTGGGAAAAGAATATCGGTCCTATAGATTTCGAGAAGGGATTGTGCCTAGTCGAACAAGAGGAACAAGAGGAACAAGAGGAACCCGTTGTATCGCCCGACATGAACATCCTTTTCATTAAGCTATTAACAGTGCTACTCAACAGAAAGAAGGAAATAATAGCCACCGGCAAAGCAATCGCCGAATTGAAGCCAATGACGGAATCCCGTGGCCTTCCCCACGAATGGACAACCACCACCACAAAAGTCGAGCCACAACAGGACTTTACCATCTCCAGTCCGGAAGACATTGTCGATCCCTCCCATCCGGAGATCCTTATTCCATCCTCACACCAACCCGCCACCACCACCGAAATAACATACAATCCCTTCTACGACAATCCCAACTTTGAATCACAAGGTCTTCAAGCGTTGGACCCACCCGACAGACTTATCCTCCTCCGAACCCTCGCACAATGGTCATTAACCAGTTCTGACGCCATCAAACAAGCAATCTCACACTCGATCCAAGCACAAGACGTTCCTGGCGACCGAGAGACTCAGTACGCGGCAAGGTCAGTATTGTACGGTACCAAGAATTGTCTTGACACGAAACGAGATCTGGAGATTAAGCTTGCCAAGCGGAAACAAGACCAGGATGAACTAAAGTACGTCGATCCCACATCAAATCCACTAACCCACAATCTCAATCTACGCATCAACCAACTCGTTGTCGGTGATTGCGGGTTTCACGTAGGTCGGTTCTATTTAGCGCGGATGTCCCAGGAGTATAATGGTGGTTTGGCCAGTGTTAAGAGAATGAATCAGATCAAGGCTGGACCACCGTTGCTGCCTTTGCCGTCAGAATTCAAGTTGTATGTTGAGGATACGTATCTGATGTTGGTGGGTGCACTCACTATGGATGGAATTGAGTTTGACAATGGCGAGGAAGTGGTTGCTAGTGGTGATGTACCCGTCAAACGTGTCTGGTATGAAGTTGCACACTCCCCTGAGTCACTTGAAAAGTTTACTGATCATTTACAAAGCAAACTAGGAGCAATCCCACCATCAAGTGTGTTGTACAAGCCAGTGGCACAACTCCACGAATACTTAACCCTGTTGTTGCCCTTGCTTAAAAAACAAGAGGATGTGGCCAAGATCACCCCCGATGTGAGAAGTACTCGAAAAATCGTCAATTACAGTGTTGCACCAGCATACGAAGAAGATGAGGACGAGATAATGGAATACGACGAGAATGACGACGCAGGTGATGACGACAATTACGAAGACGTCAGCGAAGAAGATGAAGAGGAATACGTAGAATAATACTTTTATACACACATTTTTTTTTATTAATATATAATACAATTTCAGAATCTTCCACTTCCCAACAATAAATCAATCTTTTCCTTAATCAACTCTTCATTGTCGTGGAAATATTGTGCGCGTCTTACAACTTCTTCATCGTAGCCTTCATCGCTCTTTAATGCCTTCAAGGTCACACTCTGGCTTTCCAACCACTGTTCCACAAATTTCACAGGATCGTCGGATAATTCGCGGTAAAACTGTTGTCTCATGCTTGCGTTATTTAATGCAATGATTCCCAAACTTATTCTGTGGTTCAATTGTTGAATGGTGGCGTCGGCACGGGCGAGAGATTCAAATGTAGATTTGTTCATATCGAGAATTTCTCGTTGAGTAGATGTCGAAGCGTGGGGTAATTCAATAGGAATGTCGATGATACAATCGCCCAAAGTAGTGGACTTGCTGGTGTTGATCACGTAGTCGATGATGATCGGGGTACGTGGTTTGAAATGGGGTTGGATCAAGCGATACAAGTCGATAAACTTGAACAGTTTCACATGGAGCAATTCCATCAAGATATCGTCGCACACGACAAGGGTTAAATCGTCTTCGCCGTCGTCTTGTTGTCCGGCCACAGTAGGCTGACGTAACGAACCAGTTTCCACAGCGGCAACGTTGGTGTAAGCTTCAGTCTTCTTGAATAAATTCTTGTACAAGGCGTATTGCCAGATGAGATACATCAATTCCTGCTGGGTGCACTCAGTCTTGCCGACAAACTGGCACATGGCGTCGGACAATTGGAGCTTGGCTGTGTGCGGAGGTTTGACGAGGATGGCGATCTTGGCGTCGATATTGAACACCCCGTTTCGCTTAATGTCGATGCCATCAAATGTCAGTCCGTCACCGTCTCGCCATTCAACGACGTGCGAGCTTTGGTTAGTCATGGGGTAGTCGTCATTGGCAACTAAATCTATCGAGATACCCGACAACAACTCGCTGAACTTGAGAGTGATTTCGCCCTTGGTGTCACTGAGGTACCTTCCTTCCACGCGCAACGTCCAGTTGGCTTCGCTGCTCAAGGGGTCTGGCATCTCGCTCATCATTTGTTTCTGCCACGGCTGGTTCTCACACGTGTTGTAGACAAACACGCGCAATATTCCTGTTGAGTTTACACTGGAAGCGGCTGTGGCTGTTTTTTGTTGGATTTGTTGGAAATCAAGGGCTTTTCTGGCGAGGACCAAGTCGAGTTGGCGTTCAGCGGCGGTCAAGTTCTTGTATTGGTCAAGATTGGAGATTTTTGAGTAAAGATGGGGTGGGATGGTTATGTCAGTTGGAGAATATGAAATTGTTGGTAGGGCACCAGCGGCACCAGCGGCACCAGCGGCACCAGCGACACCAGCGACGCCAGCACCCACACTGGTGACGCCTGCTCCTGGTGGTGGTGGGGCGCCAGAGGGGCGGGGCTTATTTGATGGAATCTGTGGGTGTTGTTGTTGTTGTTGCAGATGTTGGTGTTGTGGGACTTGATGCATTGGTATTCCTTGAAGGGGTGGTGGTGCCATACTGATTGTTGGGTCAAGCTGGCTGTTGTAGTTGCTGTTGTTGGTATTGTTGTTGTTTATGTTGGGAGTTTTTTTTTGGTTTTTTCCAACAGTGAATTTTTCTGACGGAGGTTGCGACATTATTTAAGATGCGACATATTTGTTACTTGAGAATCATTCCACTATTGCCATACATCACTGTTATCCACCACCGTTATCCACCACCGTTATCTACAATGTCAGACAAACCAGTAAGGATAACGACAAAAGTACAGAAGCGAAAGACCCACAGCAATTCTCCTTCGGCCCAGTCTACTTCTGCAACCACTCACGCCCACCAGACCACAGAACTTATCCGAAAACGACACCTAATCAAACGAGTCAACTACGCGAACACCGTCACCACAGTGGTTCTCCCCTTGATTGCTATCGCCTACATCTTCCACAATCACCAGGGAATCATCCCGAAAAATGTCACTACGTTGTATTTTACCTGTATATACTACAACATAACCATGCTTTGCTTTACATCGGGGTACCACAAGTACTTTGCTCACAACTCGTTCAAAATAAACTACAGTTGGCTCGCCAAATTGTTTTTGATATTCGGGTCTAGTGTAGGCTTGGGATGTGCCAAGTGGTGGGCAGGTTTGCACCGGGCCCACCACCATTTCGTCGATGACGTCGAGAAAGACCCATACCTGATTAAGCGAGGATTCTGGTTTGCCCATTGGGGGTGGGTGTTGTGGAAACCCAAGAATGTTGCGTGGTTTACCGAGTTTATTGAACTGGAGTTCAGCTCGGATGTCGACCACGAAGAGGAAGAGGACGAGAACGGAAACGGAAACGGAAACGGAAACGGGAGCGGGAACGGGAACGGGAGCGGGAACGACAACGAGAATGACAAGGGCAACACTTTTGCTAGTCATGATGACGAACATCGTGATTTGCTTATTTGGCAAGAAAAGACATACCTTGTCTGGTTTGCCATTACTACATTCATCATCCCTGTATTTGTTACCATGTTTGTCTGCAACGACACAGCAATCAACGGGGTAATCTACCCAGGCATTCTCCGGATGTTTCTCTGTCAGCAATCAATGCTCACCCCGGAGTCCATCTGCCATACCAAACGTATCCAGGTGACCATCCCCAGCCAGCCATTCAACGATACAAACTCATCCATAGACAGCCAGAACCCGTTGATCTCGTTCCTCACATACGGTCAATCCCAACACAACTACCATCATGAGTTCCCCCACGACTACCGCACCCACAACTCGCACTTTACTTATGACCCCACCAAATGGTTTCTTGTGGCACTTGACAAACTCAACTTGATCACCAATCTCAGTTGTACCCCGACAAACTTGATCATCCAGTTGCAAATTCAACAACAACAGCGATATTTGAACAGAATCAAATCACAGCTCAACTGGGGCACACCCATTTCCAAACTTCCCAAAATAACTCCGCGCGACTTTAAACGGATTGTCAACTCACCCCAGAATGCCGATAGGATATATATTGTCATTCAAAATATCATCCACGATATCACGCCGTTCATGGATCAACATCCAGGCGGAGTAGCTTTGCTCAAGGCTTCTCATGGCAAGGATGCCACCAAAGCCTTCTATGGTGGTGTGTATGGCCATCTGACGGCTGCCCAGAACTTGTTGGCGACGATGAGGATTGGGGTGTTGGACGATGGCAATGAAGAGGAGGTGTGGAGACGGGTGGCTAGAGAAGAAGGCGAGTCTGGTGAGAGAAGGGCAGCGGCGGCGGCGGTTCTGGGACAATATAGAACAGCAGAGGCTGCGTAAGCCATTACATAATCCACATCTTCTTGTTATACATAATCTAATATGGAATCAGAATCAGCGTAAACGCACACACATACGTAAATGCACACACACACACACACATATAAATACACACATACGTCTCTTTGCATCAGGCGTATGTGATATATCCATAAACAAACACTTACTCTGTAACTGGTCTAGCTATCGACACACGAAGTAGATAGATTCGATAGCTGTTGTAAATGCAGCCAGCCAGCCACACTATTCTAATTTCACAAAGTAAATTTTTGGTCCAACAAAAAAAGATCTGAAGTGACTCCTGCCAATCAGACAACCAACCAATCATCCAACCAACATACACCCATGACCAAATTCGCCAACCGTGATTACCGTGGAGCCACCATCGAAGACCTCAACATCCCACCAGCAGTATCCATCAACCCAAGCACACCCTTGGGCGTCGCCATTGCTATTGCGTACGAAAATGAGTTTACTTACTTACCAGTGATTCACGAAACTAATAAAAGACTCCTTGGTGTTCTCAACGTGGAAGAACTCAAAAAGGACCAGGAGAAATTCAAGAGAAGCTTTCTCAGACCCATAGCTAAGAACTACATGCTTTGGTTCAACCAACACAGCAAACAAAAGTACGAAGCCGAGTTCCACACCAATAAGCAACAAAGCACACCGGTGAGATCGACAATATTGCGTCCTAAAACCGGAAACGGCCAAAAGTACCATGTGTTGACCCCAGACACCCCGTTAGAAGAATTAGCTGAGTTCTTCAACAGTGGCATCTACTTTGCCATCATAACCAACGGCGAAGGCACGTTCGTGTATGGAGTTGCTACCCCTGAAGACTTGCAAAAATACGAAAAAGTAAGACAGTACGATACAATACCCAGAGCTAAGTTATAATAGTGTATACCTTATCTAAATAAAAATAAGAAACAGAACAAGAAAATCTATTGAGGAATCTTTAAGGTTAACTTACCAGTAGTCTTTTGTCCTTCTAAATCCTTGGCTGCTTGAACGTAATCCTTCAAGTCGTAAGTTTTGGAAACGTCAAACTTAACCTTGCCTTGTTCAATGAGTTCAAGCAACTTCTTGGAGTAGAAATCCCATTCTTGTTGGGTTTCGATGTATCCGTTCAACAGTGGTCTCAACAATCTAACATTCTTGGGTGTTAACACACTCAAGGGGAAGGGAGTAACTGGACCAGAACTGTTTCCATAACTGACAAATGTTCCTTTTCTCTTAAGTGCGTTCAACGAGGTTTCAAAAGTGACCTTACCAACAGAATCAAAACTTGCAGCAACACCTTCTCCATTGGTGATTTCCTTGACTCTAGCAACGACATCCTCTTCCTTGTAGTTGATTACATACTTGGCACCCAAATCCTTGGCAATGTCAAGCTTCTCCTTGGTAGAAGCCAAGGCAATGACATTGGCACCAAGATTGCTGATCAATTGCACCAAAAACTTACCGACACCACCAGCTGCAGCCCAAACCAAGATGTATTCGCCGGCTTGAACAGGATAGGCTTCATGGACAAAAGTTAATGCGGTCAATCCCTGCAAGAAGACTGAACCGTAAATCTTTAAATCTTCGTCACTGGCATTAGCTGGCAACTTGATGTGTCTGAAATGACTATCTTCAATCTTGGTGTATTGGGCAAAAGTACCTGGGGAAAGGTAGGCAATCTTGTCACCGACGGACAAATTGTTCACGGCATCACCCACGGCGACAACTTCACCACTGGCTTCTCTACCAAAGATGTAGGGCAATGGGGCCTTGTAGATTCCCTTACGGAAATAAGCTTCGATGAAATTGATACCAGCATAGGCGTTCTTCACAATGATATCGTGAGGAGTAGTGATGGTTGGCGTAGGAACCGAAGTGTATTTGATGACTTCGTATTCTCCATTTTCTTCGTGAAGGACAACGTGATGGGTGGATGGTAAAGACATTGAGTATTTTCTAGTAGATGATAAAGCAGTAGATAAACGTCTAAGCATAAAGGAACCTCCTGATGGTGTATTTATACGGGAATATATATGTAAATATATTTGGAAACATATATTTTGGGGGGTGGAGATTTTTGATTTTTCTCGGGATTACTAATGGGGCACCGGACCGGAAGAATATTCATCCACAATTACGTGAGCTTAGTAATGCCATAGTTCACCTACGTCTTCATCCTCCTCCTCCTCCTCCTCCTCCACAACAACAACCACCACCACAGTTCTCCACAATGTTCACCTCAACTTATCAACTTTCCTCTTCTTTGTCTTCTTCACCACATTGTTCTGTTTGGCGCTTTCAGCTAACAATCTCTCCACTTTATCCCCATGCCTAATTCTCTTCCCACCCAGTTCCAGTTTGAAAGCATAACCAACACTAATCTTGGAGTTCATCAAAATAACCCCATTCATCTTCTCAATGGCCAAATCCGAACTGTTAAAAGAATCGTAATTCAAAAACGCAAACCCTAAACTCTTGCCCTCGTCGTCCCTTTTAACAATGGGTGTTTGAATCAAGGTACCGAACTTGCCAAAGGTATCACTCAAGAACTTTTCATCGACAAGCTCGTTCAAGTTGTTAATAAACAACTTGGCCCCGACATCCACGTACCCTGGCAACACGACACTCTCAGTGACATTCCCCCTACCCTCTCTCCCAATCTGCGTCCTCTTGCTGCTCTCCTTCCCGTCGACTTTCTTCAACTTGACCAATTTTCCATAGAGTCGTACACCGCGCAAGATGTCCAAGACATACTCTGCATCCTTGCTCAGTCGAAACTCGACAAACCCATACCCCTGATGAGTACGGAGAATTCTATCTTTAGGCATGTTGATCAGTCGCACTGGGCCAAACTGGATGAATAGCTCATACATTAACAATTCGGTGGCCCTTGGATCGATATTACCAAAGTATAGAGTGGCATTGGGGTTACGGTCTGAATCTTGGAGTTTCCGAAAGATCGTCGTCATGGTTGGTGTTGCTGTTTGCGTTATCAAGATGTGCATTTATCTATTTATTTTTTTTAAAAATATGAAAAATAAACGCTACCATATCTCGATGACCATTCGAGTTCCCTGCTGCTACTCAAGTACATCTATCCTATTACATGTCTATTAAATTGTTAATCTACATCGTTTAATGCTGTTTCGAGCTGTTCCTGCTGAGTTGGCTCCTCTTGGATGTTCTGAAACGGAGTATATTGGGGTAATCTCAGTGATGATTCCTCGGGAGCACTATCTGAGTCTGAGCCTGAGCCTGACTCCGACTCCGACTCCGACTCCGACTCTTCACTACTATCATTGTCACTGGACAGGCCTTCGCTAGACAGTTCGTCACTAGACGGCTCCTCTGCATCCACATACGCTTCCTTCTCGCTGATTACCTTATCCTGTAGTTGTTCACCCACAGTTATGTAAATAGTTGCAAACTCCAACAATATCTTGTCTTCAAGAACATCCGAAAGAGTTCCATCTGCATTCAATTCAATCACGGTGTCCTTCTTGATCTCGTTCTTCAAGTAAAATCTTAACTCATTCTTGTCGACAGCACCACTGCTATTTATGATATTCATAGGAACGGCATCGCGCAACACGAGTGATTCCTTGAGTCGATAACTTATAAACCTGGCCAATTCCTGGCTGTCATTCAAGTATATCCATTCAATGGTCCATATAAACGAATTCATCTTTTTATCATACCCTGTTTTATTTTGGTTTGATCTCGCCATGCCAGGAGGCAAATGCACCACAAGAGTATTCTTGCGCTTGATACTAGTCTTGGGATCAGGAAACATCTTACCGACTAGCTCTTCCCGTTTATCCCCGCCTTTAAACCGTTTAAACTGTCGTTGTGTAGCAGCACCAGTGCTTCGCTTAAACACGTTCTTGGCACTGCTCAACACATCTCCTTTGCCTAGTTGTATACTTCTATCCACCTTGTTCAAAAAGTTATAATCTCGATTCAAATCCAGCTGGGCGAATTCCGTGCGTGGGATGTACTGGGTCGGGTCATGGACCCCTGTGCATTGCGCCTGGGTTTTATGTCGTTTGACACAGGCTAGTGAGCATGTACGGGTGTTGCAAGCTGGACATGTATATTTCGGTTGGTTGACATGGCATATCGAACAGAGTTGGTCCATAGTTTACCTTATTCAACTAGTAGGGGATATGATATGATATGATATGATGGGACGGGATGGGATGGGATGGTGATATGGATGTATGTACCTATGTTAAGTCTTTTGCTTGTGCTTCAAGTTACTCGGCGATGTGTAAATTTGCGCACCATATAAATTTTTTTTTCACCATCAACAGATTTTTATACAACCGCTTATACATTTCACAAGGATTAACGGCCATGTTCAAGAACACGCTCATTCACATCCGTCATGCGCTGAGGGCAACACCCCGTCGTGCCACTACCCGTATCCCCATCCAACTTTTACAAGACGTGGCCGGGTTAGGAGTCAGGGGCCAAGTGGTCCAAGTCTTGCCCGCCTACATGCGTAACTACTTACACCACCACGACCGCGCATGCTACATAACTGCCGAATCAGGCCCACGTATCCCCGTAGTGAGTCCAGAAGTGCCTGCTCCTGAGGCCGAGAAAAAGCCTGTCGAAGAAGTTTTTGTTCAAGAAGTACAAGAGGAAACCGTGCCTGCATTTACATTATCGGAATTGTCGACCTTAGTGGGATCATTAAGAAGTAAAAAGAGTCAACTGAAGGCCGAACCAGTATTAAATATCGCCGGCCAGGAAAAGGAAGGCGAAGATAACTACTACTCCATTGCTGAATTGCAAGACCAGTTGCCTAAAGTGTATCAAATTAGTGCATCCAATTTACCCTTGACCAAAGGAAAGGTCAGTGATGTCGTATTCAAGATCACTGGGTCCCGTATTCCTTTGGCAAATATTGAATTGTCACCTTATGACAGTCCGTTGAAGTTCATTGACGAGATTAAGGAGTTGGGCAAGTACCAGGTGCTTATCTCTTCTGAAGTGGAAAAGGAAACCCTTACTAAGTTTATTGAGGTTAAATAGACTGTAAATAGCATGTAAATAGATAACAAGACTTACTTAATCTAACTTAATTGCAGTAGTATAAGTTGGCAGCACCAAGACTATTTAAGGTGTTGGCAACAGACTAAAAAAAAAAACTAAATAAAACAAAGAATTATGGCAGCAAATCTAAACTGACTTCTACTATGCCCCTCCATTACACAGCAGCCAAATCCTCTACATTCAAAAAGGGAGTGTCTACATCCCCAATCAAGAAGTTTCAACGAGACATCAAGAAACAACTCCCATCGCAACGTATCTTCTCTCAAAACCTAACCAAGAAAAAGTCAGTTTCGCCTACCCCAGATGATGACAAATTGACCATACTCGACTACAATGTGCAACTAGATTACCATCTCGCCTCTGACGATCTAATGGTTGCTATAGACACGATATTGTCCAACCTATGGAGTGAATCTACCAAGTTACACCAACGATATACTCTGGTGGGAAGCACCACCGAAGAACGAATATTCCTGCTCAAGGGGCTTTCAAGCACAGTCAAGGCGGAAATAGTAAAGTATAGAAACCAAACCCATGACTTAATCACAACAACCCAGCTATATTCCGTATGCAGCCACTTGGGAAACACGTTTGTTGATCGTAAGCTTGAGTTGTTGATCCGTCAGGGCAAAGTGAGAAAGTTTGTCATTTCCAATGCATCACCAGTGATTCTGAGAAACGTGCAAAAGTTCCAACTAGGAAAAGTAAGTTATGGGTTTGAAAACGTGGAAGTTGTTGTCAAGACGGATAACTATTACAAGTTGATTGAGGGTGCTATACAGGCATCTCCAAAGGAAGAAGCCTTGACAAAGTTCTACCAATATGTAAAAGGCAACCCCACGTCACTATTCATAAACATCCTGGAAACATTCACCAATGAAGATCTTTCCGTGCTAGTCAACCATGGCTTGGTAACACTTACCTCCAACCATTTAAACCAGATTGAATCGCATCATTACTCTATTGCATACCCCAACTGTGGCACATTTCTAAAGCTAATAAATCAAGGAAGAGTGTGGCTTGTCAAACTGTTAACTAAAGCCAAACACAAGGAGATGGTAGAGGATCAGTTGTTTAAGAGATGGGAGGGGGTTAACTTACAGGGAGAGTCGAAAATGAACAACTTTAGAAAACCATTCTACGGCTATGATCTCAATTGGATAATTGCCGATGCACTAGGCTCGGGTGTTATTGAAGTGTTTAATACCCCAGTAGGGCGAGGTTATAGATTAACAGGTAAAGTATAATAAGCAGATTTACATTCTAACTTTTTGCTTTCTTTGCAACTTCTTTTGCTTCTTTTCCATCTCCTTCTTTTCCAACTTGATTTGCTCTTCTCTGCTCAAGTTTCTCAATCTGTCACGCTCGGCTCTCTTTTGTTGGGCTTTTTCTTCAGCGACTTTTTCCTGTTGAATTTCCTCTTGGATCTTCTTGAGCTTTTCAATTTCAACTTCTCTGGTCTTGACAACCTTCTTTAATGCTTCTGGACGGAAAGTGATGGACTTGTCAGCAATACGATCAACAAACACAAACAAAGCTTCCAAGACTTGCTGAACAAGAGCTAAGTCGTCCTTCTTGTTGGAAATGTCGACGGAAACAACCAATCTTCTTTGTGGGATCATTTCACGTAAAGATTCTGGACGTTCAACCGGTTGGTCAGTGGCGGCGATAAACTTGACAAAACTGGCACTTTGCAAAGTCAAGGCCTTGTTCAATTCAGGAATGCTGAACTTGTCTTGGAACTCGTTGGCTTCGCTCATGTAAACAAATGATTCTGGTAAATTGGTAGAATCGTTGGTCTTACATAACGATAAGAAATAGTTGAACTTTCTGGCATCGTTCATACCCAACTTGGAAACAATAGCGACAATAAAATTATCATACTGTACGGAGGGAGTGATGGTAATTTCAGCCTTGTCAGTAGGGATCTTGACTGATCCGGTAAAGAAGCCCAACACGTATTCCAAAATCCATACAAACAAGTTTTGTCTAGGTTGTAAACTAATCTTGATGTCAACCTTGGCGATGTTGGTACGACCAGTAGCATAACTGGAGAAGTTCTCAGCACTGTCCTTCACGTAAAGCTTGTCACCCGTGACACCAACTTGATAAAAGTGTTTCTTCAACACTGGTGAGATGCCCTTTAAGAAAGTAGTGGCCTTGGATTGGTTGTACAAATCACCAAGCTTGTAAATGGCAATAAAGGAGAAAATGAAACTAACAGTGACGATTTCCAAGCTCCAATTACGAATAGCAATTCTTTGCCAGATGGACATGGCTGTTAATTCTTCAAGGGTGAATTCTGAATAGTCAGACACACTTACGATGGTTAGTATACACTTTAATTGATGCAATTGATGTAGAATACATACCCTTGTTGCATTCCAGCTGGAAGCAATTTATTTAAAACTTCGAAAATCATGATTAAGACAGCTTGCTTGGGTTACTACTGGCTAGAATAAAGTGTGATTAGTTTTTAATTTTTCAACGACATTTCTCGCCGCAGATCGTTGACTTTGCGCGGAGTTAAAATTACAACAGTTACATCCAATCTGCAATACGAATACAAGTTGTCTATTGGCTATACACCTATTTCCTTCTCTTTGCAGAGTGGTCTTCTTCTTGTTGTTGGTTAAACAGAGTCAATCCTTCGTGAACAGCGTTTCTCACCAATTCACGCAATCCTTCTTCTGGATTTTCACTTTGCAAGATTTCTTGGATCTTCTTTCTTCTCTCTTCCAATTCTGCTGGCGAGAGTGTCTCATCAGTGCTATTATCGTTCTCCATAGTATATCTTATCTGGTGTCCTTCAACATCACCAGGAGCAGGCAATGAAGAAACAAAGTCGTCCTGCACGAGCTGCAGTGGGTCTTGTTTACTTTTCAAGTATTGCGCAACATCCAAAAACTCGCCTTCATCTTCAATATATTCCCCAGCAGTCAAGTTATCCCCGTTCCTGATGGTATAGTCAGCACCACACTCTTCTACTAAGAACTTTGCCGTGGCCAAATCCTCAGCGTGATGTAATGGAGTGTCACCCTCGTTATCTTGGATGTTTACATTACCGCCATTTTCCACCAAGTACTTAATAAGATTAATATGGCCATAGGCAGCGGCTGCATGCATGGGAGTATACCCGTTCGGATCCTTGTCGTTGGCGGTGTTTACCCCGGTACTGATGTACTGCTCTACTATTTGTCGCTGGTTATCTGCAGCTGCTACCCAAATATTAATGGCCATTGTTTAGGTGTGTAGCTGTTGCGCGTATATATATATATGTGTGTGAGTGTGTTACTCTTTTATCACTAGCTGTTAGCTGCTGCGATGGAGTAAATTTTTTAAATTCGACCTGTGCAGATTTTCTCGTTCCCAGGATTCTAAAATTTTCACCATATAGCCAACAACACTAACCAAACAATGTCACAAGATAAACCAGCGGAAACCACTGGAAACAATCTTAAACTCTCGCCACAGGATGCACTCTCAGGATTCAGCTGGTGGACAAGAACACTACAATATGCTACAGGGTTAGGAATCTCCGACCAGGAAAAACTCCAATACGAATACGACTACCAGAATAGAAACCTCGACGAGAAGTGCGTCCAATGTAACGAATACCGTGATTGGATGTTGACGTATTCTCCCTCAGTCACATTCATGATGTCCCACATAAACAAACTCACCAAGGACAATCGTCCTGCGCTTGACAAATCCAATGTTGTCTGTGACGTGTGTGACGACCTAAAAGGAGGGGGATTCCATCCCGACGAAGGAATCTTGCTCTGTGCCAACTGGTTAAGAAGCAGATCACAATTGGAAGACGTTTTGACGCATGAGCTAGTGCATGCCTACGACTATTTACGATTCAATATCGACTTGACTGACTTGAGACACCACGCATGTACCGAGATCAGAGCATCGATGCTTAGTGGAGAGTGTCGAATCATGAATGAGATAAAAAAGACGGGGTTGGGTAATTTCGGCCGAAAATTCCAAGATTGTGTTAGAAGAAGAGCCGTATTGTCAGTTTCGGCTAATCCCAAATGCACCAGTAAGGAAGAGGCGGAGAAGGTTGTTAATACCGTATGGAACTCGTGTTTCAACGATACAAGACCTTTCGAAAGGGTGTATAGGTAGATCGCGTGTATATAGTTATAGTTATAGTTTGTATCCCTGTACAAATCCTTATCACTAGGTGGTTACGCGATATCCGTATTTCACATGGGGCTATTCCCTTCGTTTAGATTGAGATGTACAACTATACGAAGATCTTCTACAATGTTCCATTGCTGGTTTCAGTATCGTATCTCTTGACCTCCACTTGGCAGCTGCCAAGTCGTCACTAAATTTTTTTTTTTTTTCTTATCTTGTACCCAGCCATTCCGAGCTCTGCGGAATCATCGGTGTTAGCACATTATCTAATTCTTTACCTAACCATTACTAATTCGTATGCTTGCTAAGTGCTTAAATAAGCCAGATACAAGATCAGCTGCAATTTCAAGCACAATCCTACAATAAAGTTGTGACGAAGTAGCAAAAAAAAAAAAAAGAAGGCGTAATCTCCTAGCTACCCCTTGCTGAAATTTATTTATAATTGGCAACACCCACATCATATGCAACTTTGATTTATTCCTGTCCGCGATTTCCACCCAACAATTCTTAACATTTTCTTGTCCTTGCCTTGTCTGATTCATCATTGGATTATATAAGTGTTGTAATTGCCCGTTTTACTTCCTCCCTTCCTTCCTCCCTCCCTCCCTCCCTCCCTCCGCACTCCCAATACTCCACATTATTGAGAACTCGGAACTAACAATGTTGCGATCATCCACGCTTAATGAACTAAACCGGATATCAAAGAAAGGATCTCATCGGAAACTTCTTGCTCTCAATAATGACTATACGTCGTCATCTGGAGAAGAAGATAATGTCGTCACTCCCCCAGCTGATGACGACACATCGCCAGTTATTGAAGTGGTTGACAAAGTAGAAGTGGTTGACCAAGTGGAAATGCCCGATCCTGACTCAGCAGTGGAACTCAGATACAGAAGACAAAGTGTAACACTTCCGTCTGTGATTGATTATGTCACCAAGGCAGAAAAGTTGCGATTGAATTACAAAAAGACCGATAAGAGACCACATAAATATGTGTCCAAATTCAGTGATTTCACCTTCAAGTCTACATCGACTACAATTTTCGACGCTGATTACTTCACCAGTGGTGAATTCTTTGGGTTTTATGTCTTATTTTGGCTCGGCACTTTCTTTTTCATGTTTAACAATATCGTGCACACATATTTGGAAGATAATCTGTCGATTCTTGAGTGGCCTGTGGTGAAGGTTCTCCGCAAAGATCTTATAAAGGTTGGGCTTACTGATTTAGCAATGTACTTGTCAACTTACTTTGCATTTTGGGTGCAGTATGCTTGTAGACACTATGGTCTCAGTTGGAGAAGATTTGGATGGTTTATTCAAGGAGTGTACGATGGTGTGTTTATATTCTTTTGGCTTTATGTTGCTCTGGAAAGTGTCATGGGATTCCCATGGGTTGCCCGTGAGTTTTTGGTGTTGCACAGTCTTGTGTTTGTTATGAAGATGCACTCCTACGGGTTTTATAATGGATACCTTTGGCTGATTTACAAGGAAGGGAAATTTTCCGAGAATTATTTGCAACGGTTAGAGGCTGAAAAGGTTAAACTCCCAGATGGGTATAAACACGAAGATACCGTCAAACTACTTAAGGAAAGTCAAGCCTTTTGCAAGTATGAACTTATCTACCAATCCCATGCAACTACAGCTGACAAGGATGAGAAATTAGATCCTGCAATGCTCGACAACAGCATTTCCGATTTACAAAAGCAAGGATTGGTGACATTCCCTCACAATATCACACTCAGAGACTTCTTTAGGTATTCCATGTATCCCACTGTGATTTACACTTTGGATTTCCCCACAACTCCTAGAATCAGATGGTCCTACGTGGGAGCCAAAGTATGTGCTATTTTCGGAATAATTTTTCTTATGGTTTATGTTGCTCATGTAGGGATGTATCCATTGGTACTCAAGGCCAAGGCTGCAAAAACATTACCCACGAGTGAGCGAATTCCCCAATTCTTTTCCATTTTGTTTGATATGATATTGCCGTTCCTAATGTTGTACTTGTTTACCTTCTATCTTATCTGGGACAGTATCCTCAATGCAATTGCTGAGCTTTCCCGCTATGGAGACCGAGAATTCTACGGCCCTTGGTGGAATTGTAGTGATTGGGGAGAGTTTGCCCGATTATGGAACATCCCTGTCCACAAGTTCTTGCTTAGACATGTTTACCACTCTTCCATATCTACATTCAGGGTCAACAAACACGCAGCTTCCTTTTTCACTTTTTTCTTATCCAGTTTGGTCCATGAATTGGTAATGTATGTTATTTTTGGTAATTTGCGAGGCTATTTATTATTTTTCCAGATGTCCCAAATCCCCATGCAAATTATTGCCCAAATGAATTTTTTCAAGAATAAACGGATCCTAGGCAATGTATTTTGTTGGATAGGCTTTATTGCTGGTCCTAGTATTATATGCACTTTGTATTTAGTGTTTTAGTTAATTAGTAAAAGCCGTATGACTTTTCCATTTTAAACTTTTGTATAAAAAAGAAAAAAAATGTCACCACAAGAGAGACACATTAGCAGTTCAGCTTGTGCACATCTGTCATAACCAGGAAAATGTCGTAAGTTTTAAAATAAGATAGTGCCTGGGCAAACAGGTTTTTGCGGGGAGATATATAAATCTTGGGTTACATCTTGCATGTTGAGGGGAACCAAACCCATCATGTATTTTTCTTGTTTTGCAATAACTCACACCACTAGCCGACCATGAACCAAGATCTTCTATAATACCTGACCTTAAATCATCTTATTGCAAAACTATAACTAAGGATCAAAGGACCAAAATAATATTTTTCTTGAATTTCCTAATCAGGAAATAAGTTTGCATTTATACGAGAATTCGTCAATCTGGAAATCTACCGAGGTAAGCCGCACGCGGAAGAAGGCCACCACAAACAAATTATGAATCTTTAAAAAGTGACTTGACAAATTAGACAAATGTTGGGGAAATTTACAGTTCGGAAACCTCGTGCTGTTCATGCAAGATATAGTGGGCCAATGTACGACATATGAAATTGTGACCAAGAAAAAGTTTAAGACATACAAATTAAGCTCGGGTGGGTTGGTTCAAGAAAAAACAGGCAAAAAAAAAGAAGATTTATTTTTTTTTTTCCAGTGGCTTTTTCTGGTATTTCCCAAATAGGCAAATCAGTTGCATTTATTCACATTGGTAACTAACTAAATAGTAATTGTTTGGTTCGAATACACCTGTACCGATAGAATAGTAAAACACCAAACTTTAAAAAAAGTTGTAAGTAAATAAATTTTTCTTTTACGTTTTCTTTTTCTTGAACAGCACACTTTTATCTTGGTTTAAATACATTTTCAATTCCCCCCCCCCAGGTTTCCTATCACTTTTTTTATTCCTTCCTCAGAAATAAATAGCCAACCATGAGTAACAGCACTACAACGGACGGATATACCGGTGCCGAAGGGATATTGAACCTCGCGTTTGCTTTGTACAATAACCCCGACAAAGGTACTGGGATTATGAACCTTGTTAATTTTGCCAAAAATTTATTAGGACCAGAAGTGCCCCCGGCAATTGTTGCACATGGGCTAGGATTACAATTGAACTTGTTTGGAAGTTACCCTGAACCAAAAGACAAGGCTCCCTCCATTGTGTTTGCAGTATTATTCGGGATTGTTTTGGTTATACACACGGTGATATTCTTGATTAACTGCTCTCGAGGACATTATTTCTGGATTTCCATTGCCTGGATTTTCTATAGTGTTTGCAAAGTCATTGGATTTTCCCTTCGGGCATATTGGGCTCCAGATGCCACTAGAATTCAGGCCGGGTTGACTTCTGAAGTGTTTTTAATTGTTCCGGCAGTTATCATCTTATCAGCAAATTTAATCCTTGCCCAAAGATTATTCACATGGAGACATCCAGTCGGTGGGTCTCGTAAATTGTTCTGGGCAGTTATGATGCTTTTGTACGGGTTTGTGCTTGTGTTGGTGGGTATAACAATTGCTGCATCATTTGTTCCATATTTGAACTTTATTACCACAGAAGCATACGTGAAATGGCAACATGTGGTGCAATTTTCCAGTGTCTGTCTTATTGCCTATTCATTCTGCTCCATCTCCTTGATTGCGTTATCGTTTTGGTTCCCCACCAGTAAGGATGAAAATTTGTACACTTACCAACCATGGTGGATTGAAAGTTTTGCTCCTTTCTACTTTGTTAAAAAGAATGCAGCTCAATATGCCGAGGCTTCATTCATGAGACGTAATCACAACCACCGTCATGCCATTAGAGTTATTGCTGCCAGTAGTCATCATTATAAGATGGTCAAGGGATTGACCAACAAAAGAGGTGATTTGAAACATAATTGGTCTATTGTGATTGTTATTACCACCACATTATTGATTCTTATTGGGGTTATTGGTAGATGTATTGTTGTGTTCCAGCCCACTAATTTTGCTCATTCTACCAAAGCAGCCGATCCTTGGTTGATGTATGTATGTTGGGGGATTTTAGAGCTTTTAGTCAATGTGATTTACATTCTTGGAAGGGTTGACTTGAGATTCTACCGTCCTGATATTTTACCCGCAACCGTCAGAGCAATCGTCACCGCAGAACAAACTTACTACCCAAGTTCCGATGAAGAAGATGATGGATTCCACAGAGATCGTCCTGAAACTTATGGAAGATTACAAGAAAAGAGACAACAGCACGTTGGTGGAATCATGTCTGATTCAGTATCGCCAGTCACTGCTAATGGAGAAATCCGTCCCAAGTCTGCTGAAGACGATGTCTCGCAAAAAATATCTAGTGCATCAAGCCATGGTCTTGACCAAATTACTGAACCACCATACCCCGTCATTTCCACTGGCGATGACTTTAAATTTTAATCCAAACCTAATACCTTATCAACCCCTCCCACCCAGATTTTTATTTAATACGTTCTTTATTTGATTTTTCGGTCGTTTTTTTATCCTTTTGTTTTTATTTAATAAATTAAGTGATGTAAGTGCTTCTTTTTTTTTGTGTCTTGGCTTGTACGAAATAGGCAATTAAGTGCGAAAAGAGTCAACAATTATAATTGTACCGTTTAAGTGCATATTTTGATAACCATGAAAAAAAAATTTTTTTCTTCCCTTGCATTCGCCTTGTAAATGGTGCGAAGTAACCCTCGTGGTAAGTCTAGAGAGGAAGTTAATACTGTGCAAGTTATAAGGTTATACCGTTAAATGTTATTATACAATATGTAAATTGCACATGGTTATTCCGTATAGTTTCACAATTGCATTTAATCTTGCCCATACAATGTGAAAAACTTATGGTTGCTGCACAAACTGACTTCTTTTTTTTTTTGCAAACTTTTTAGACTTCCCCCACTAGTCGATCTCGGTGTTGTCCCGCTCCCGCCTTAGCATGAAAAATTTTTCAGTATTTAAACAGATAATTTCCCCTTGTAAAACTTTTTCACAATTGTCTCGTCAATTCTCATTAAACATCCCAATGGCTCAAGAATTATCTCACCCTTCCATCAAGGACGGCTGGTTTGCTGAAATCTCCGAAACTATGTGGCCTGGACAAGCCATGAGTTTACAAGTTGAAAAAGTCTTGCACGTTGAACAATCCAAGTATCAAGATGTCTTGGTGTTCAAGTCCTCCACTTACGGTAACGTCTTGGTCTTGGACGGTTGCATCCAAGTAACTGAACGTGATGAGTTCTCCTACCAAGAAATGATCACTCATTTGGCCTTGAACTCCCACCCAAACCCCAAGAAGGCTCTTGTCATTGGTGGTGGTGATGGTGGTGTTTTGAGAGAAATCTTAAAGCACGAATCCATCGAAGAAGCTTGGTTATGTGACATTGACGAAACTGTTATCGAAGTTTCCAAAAAGTACTTGCCAGAAATGTCCAAGTCTTATAATGATCCAAGAACCAAGGTTCACATTGGTGACGGGTTCAAGTTCCTTGCTGAGTACAAGAACCAATTCGATGTCATTATCACCGACTCTTCTGATCCTGAAGGTCCTGCCGAATCTCTTTTCCAAAAGCCATACTTTGAATTGTTAAGAGATGCCTTGACTGAAAAGGGTGTTATCACTACTCAAGCCGAAAACATGTGGATTCACATGGACATTATTTCCAAGTTGAAGAAGGACTGTCAAGATGTTTTCCCTGTTGCTGAATACGCCTATACTATGATCCCAACTTACCCATCCGGTTCAATTGGGTTCATGGTTTGTTCCAAGGACAAGAACGCTGATGTTACCAAGCCAATCAGATTCGACTGGTCCGACGAATTTGTTTCAAAGAATTTGAAATATTATAACAAGAGAATTCATGAAGCCTCATTTATCTTGCCTACCTGGGCTGATGAAAAATTAAACAAGAACTGACATTACCAAACACAGTACAAATATCGGAATTGATCCATACCCAGTGGGTTGATTCTTTGTAATGACGGTAATGACTTTCAGTTCTAGTATATATTTTATCTAGGTTTTAAATACAAATTCTTTAAACTAATCAAGTTGTAGTATATGCCTGCAGTTTCAACTTCTCTTAATAACCAAGATCAAGTAGCCATACTTCTTGACTGGCTCTAAGGTTACAAGTAGAACCTTGAATCGGGCAAAAAGGTGCTTGGCTCAAACTATGGCAATCAATATAAGATCTTTTCACTGTTATGACAAAGGTTTATGTGGCATTTAATCGTTTCTAATGTAGAAAAGATATCTAATAACATTGGTGAGAATCACACAAACGAAAGAAAACTAAAAATCCCACCCACATTAGAATTCAAGGCTACTAACATTTTCTTCAAACTGCATGTTAGTAATTATTCACAAAACTCGTCTGGTGAGCCTCTGTATAAAAAGATCAAATGCCATAATTGTACGGAAATAAAACAAGACCTTTTGAAAGTGGTGTTTATGTAAAAAAAAAACCTTTTGCCCCTTCCTATTCTGTTCACATATGAGACTTGCCCGTAGACAGCCTGAGCAAAGCTAAAAGATCCAAAAACTTAAATTTGACAACGATGGCCAATGTAGCATTACCAGAAGGCAAATATCATGTACATACCATATCAATAGGGCTTTTTTTTTCCCTAGCCATTAGTGATTTATGGGGAAATCCAGGGTTGGTTCACGCAGAAGTATTCATTTGCAACCAATCCCATCTTTAATGGTTGTGGAAGGTGTCATAAAATTTAGTTCATATTCAATACCTGCCCTTAAGTCTGTTTAAATATGACATTTACCATCATGTTCAAGTTTCACATGTAACATTGAGAATATCATTAACCGATGAACACTTGTGATATGAGAAATCATCATCATTGTAAATTATTTTATCAATCACTAACTGATTCTTTGCCGATACTTAGAAAAGTAAGTCTACATGTCTTTATAAATTTGTTTTTAATTAGAGAAATTAGAGAAAATATTAAGAAAGTAAACAATTAAGAGAAAGAAGATAAATTAAATAAAAAGTTAGATCAAGTAATACCAAGCAACCATGTAACTGTGAAACCGTTAAATAAACTTAACCTTTGTGGAAAATTACAAGCTGACACCCAAAAAACAATACTCAACAACCTTTTGACTTTTCTAATATACTTCTAACAGTTCAATATTGAGTTTAAGGGAACTTACTTTGAATTAATAATTCTTATTAAATTCACCTTGAAGTTAGCCAATTCATCCAAACCTTTATCAAAGGTTTGGTTTGAAGTGGTGCAATAACCTTTTGGAATGGTAACACAGTTAACGGTAACTGATTCAGTAAAGTGGTCTTGTGGTGTTAGGACATATAAGAGCACTGCCAGCACACTTTTGAATGATATCCTTTCTAAACTTTTCCCTGCGTTGTTTGCTCTTGTGTACTAAGTCAGAATAAGTATCAGAACGAGTAACAGGACGAGATCTAATGCGTTCTTTTTCTGAATCTTCTGAATCACTTTGGTTAATATAAAGATCAAGGGAGTTGTAATCTTCACGCTCTCTGAGCAGGTTTTCGTGTTCCATTCTCTTCACTTCCTTTCTCTCTTGCTTTCTTAATATGCGTCTCTTGTCTTCTTCAAGCTCTCTTTGTATTTTAACAATAACTTCCTTGTTTCTTTTGTCCAAGAACTTGGAGGCACTTACATCCTTAAGATGGGGCCAGTTGAAGTTTTCATACTGCCATGGAGCACGCAACAAGATTGTTGACTCAGATTGGTTGCTGAATGAAATTTCAGGATTAGTTTCAGCAGATTCATGAACAATACTTCCAGGAACTAACCCTCCATTATAAGTGATAATATCCTGGTGGATAATTCCAGAAACATTAGCTTCTTGTGAACAAGAAGACATTCTCATAGTGAGTAAGGATCCATACACACTACTCAGTTGAATGCATTTAGGAGCAACATTATGTATATGGGATGAAGCAACTTGTGAGTGAAGACAATGCTTTCCAGTGAGTAAATTGGTTAAGGAATTATAGATGCTACTGGTTTCGATGATTTCTGGAGTGGCATTATGATTTTCGGAATCGGCTTTGAATTTTGGTATTTCTTGATTAAGCATTTGGAAAATGGTCAGGCTGATACTTTCTTGTCTAGACTTGGCTGAGGCTGAATTGATCTTTGATGACAAGGTGGGAGATTCTTTATTCAAGCTTGCCACAAAAGTATCAGTGTTATTAACTAACTTTCCGCAGATGTCACGCGTTGAAACAGCAAACTCATTCATGGAATTTCTAATATCATCTGGAATTCTTTCACCATACTGGTTCTCAGCTTCAAATAATCTAACTTCAAGTACTTGTAACTGTTCTTGAAGCTTTTTGATAGTTGTTTCACGACGAGGGGTTTGACAACATTCAAGGCAATATTTGTCCAATATTTTTCTTTCAGTTGTTTTTAAGTTCTTCCAGGCCAATAAAGCTTTGGTTTTCTTCAAATTACCCGACATTTCGGAAACCAAACCAAATTGAGATTGGATAAATTGGGATGAAGTAACATTTTGATCAGTGGAACTTTGAGGTAAACTTGGGATATATGAGGAATCTTGTTCATTACTGGTAGCAATATCACTAGAATTTTCTCTGCTCCTTTTTCTAAACCAATTGCTTAATTTAGAAAAATGGTGTTTGTGTTTGTGGTCAGAAGGAACGGATTTTAAAGTGGAGGTTTCTTGGGGATCAGGAGTGAAGTTTGATGGAGTGGAAGAAACGTCAGAAGGGTTTTCATTTGGGGAATTTCTTTTAGATTTGGAAAAGAAACTTCTGAGTTTGGATCTGAGGGAAGGAATTTCGGTAGCTTGAATATCAGCGTCAGAACCAGATTCAACAATAGGAACTGGTTCTTCAGCAGGAGTAAAAAGACCCCAGATAGTCTTGAAGATTAAGGATATCAGTGTCATGACACTTATCAAGTGAAATCTAATTGATACTGATAAACAATCAAATTGGAACAAAGAAAGAAAGTTTACAAAAGTTTACTGCTTAAAAATGAGAATTTCTTAAATTTATACCGTCCAAGTTTCGCAGCCGCTGTGTTCTCATGGGTGCAAATATACTAACCAAGCGAAAATTTGAATCATGCGGCATTCCTTAACTGGGAAATAAAAACATTAGCACATATTTTAGTCCTTGTTGGAGATGATTTCTTCGTTAGTTTTATCATAAAATTAGCTTATGAGTGAACCGATGGCAAAGTTAAGTATGGTTGTAAATAGCTTGATCTAAATAGCTTGTTTTGAACTAATCACAAGCAAGTTAACTGAACTTATTTGATTTAAAACTCCCCATTACTTGCATAAAATAGTGCAAATGGTCTCTCATGATGTTCTTACTAAGCATTAACATTCAAAACTCAAATTGCCGATTCTCAGTGTCCTCAAACTGGTAGTACTCAGGGATGATGTATTATAGGTAAACTTCTTGCATTCTTGCTGAGACCCGTTGTTCATGAGAGAGAAACTTTTTCTGGATTGATTTTTCAATTCGGTGATAAACCTATCTTTTTCTTAATAGAACTTACTATTAAAGATGAAAGCAGCTACTGCGCCAGGTAGTTGTTAAAGAAACAGTAATACAACGCCAATTAAAGCCAGCAAAAATATTTGGTTGTAAAAAAAATATATAGATATAGGTCGTGCATTTTGACCAGGCTCTCATTTCTAAGTTGTTTGTAATTTCGTTTGTCTAGTCATATCTCATCCGACTAATACACTATAGAGAACTACCCAATCCTTGCATAAACAATTAATATTTAGTAATAAAACTTACTTAAACACTTCAATCACATATAGTTATAATCCCATAATGTCGCATGCCTCAAGAAAGAAACTTTTACTCATGGGCCGGTCCGGGTCCGGGAAGTCCTCCATGAGGTCTATTATCTTCTCCAACTATTCCGCATTTGATACCCGTAGACTTGGTGCCACTATAGATGTTGAGTTGTCACACTTGAGATTCCTAGGAAATATGACCCTTAATCTCTGGGATTGTGGTGGACAAGATGTATTCATGGACAATTACTTTACTAATCAGAAAGATCACATTTTTAAGATGGTTCAGGTGTTGATTCATGTGTTTGATGTTGAAAGTAAGTCCATAAACAAAGATATTGAAATATTCATTAAGAGTTTAACAAATTTACAAAAGTATAGTCCTGGAGCTAAGATTTTCGTGTTATTGCACAAGATGGACTTGGTTCAAATTGATAAGCGACAAGAGTTGTTTACGATAATGATGGAAAAATTGCAGAAAATTAGTAATCCTTATCAGTTTAAGTTGATTGGGTTTCCCACCAGTATTTGGGATGAGCTGTTATATAAGGCATGGAGTCAAATTGTGTGTTCTTTAATCCCCAATATCAACTTGTTTAATAGTAATTTGATCAAATTTAATTCGATATTGGATGCCGAGGAGATTATCTTGTTTGAAAAAACTACATTCTTGGTGATATCTTCAACTGCATCAATGAATCAAGCTATCGAAGGTGCCGACGAAGAACATGAGGAAACTACAACTAAAGAAGAAGATCTCGATCCCAAGAGGTTTGAAAAGATTTCCAACATAATCAAGACTTATAAACAGTCCATATCGAAATTGAGAACTAACTTTAATAACTTGATAATCCGTGGTAGCAATGGTAACAATTTCTATATTGATATCTTGACTGATAATATGTTTATTATGATTGTGTTAAAAGATACCGTAGAAGAATTGTTAATCTTGGATAATATCAAAGCAGCAAGAAAATGGTTTGAGAAAATTGAGAATGCATAAGCTAATAGTTTAATAAATAATGCATGACTATGTAGTTAGCTAACAGTGTAGGCTTAGAGCGGAACGACCTGTAGGTTATCAATGCAACCTAATTTTCTCCTCCGTCGTATAAAAAAAAAAACGTTGATCCCCTCGCGAAAACTGAAAACAGTTCCACCAAAAATTTTAAAATTTCCATTCCTACACAACCACAATCAAAACCTTGCTAAAGAACACCATAGCTACCAATAACAATGGGTAAATTGTTAGAATTTCTTCTTCATCCAGATGAATTGAAGGCTGTCATTCAGTTATTGAAGTTCAGACAACCATTACATCCTCATGATTTAACCAAGGAATCTCCAGAATTACAAAGATGTTATTACCTCTTGACCAAAACGTCTCGGTCATTTGCTGCTGTAATTGAAGAATTACACCCAGAACTAAGAGACGCCATTATGATTTTCTACTTGGTCTTGAGAGCTTTGGACACAATTGAAGACGACATGTCTATCAAATCAGAAATTAAGGTTCCTTTATTGAGAACGTTTGATGAGAAGTTGAATACCAAAGATTGGACATTTGACGGTAATGGGCCAAACGAAAAAGATAGACTTGTCCTCGTTGAATTCGACAAGATTTTAAGCATATACCATGGGTTAAAACCACAATATCAAGACGTGGTTAAGGATATTACTTACAAAATGGGTAACGGTATGGCTGATTATATCTTGGATGAGAACTTCAACTTGAATGGAGTGGAAACCGTCAAGGACTATGACTTGTATTGTCATTATGTCGCTGGGTTAGTCGGTGAAGGATTGACTAAATTAACCGTTATGGCTGGATTTTCCGATGATCTGTTGGCACAAGACAATTTTGAAAAATCAAACTCAATGGGATTATTCTTACAAAAGACAAATATTATCAGAGATTATCATGAGGATTTACTTGATGGTAGATCCTTCTGGCCTAAGGAAATTTGGTCAAAGTATACTAAAGAATTGCCTTTATTTCACAAGGATGCAAGTTTTGAACAAGCTGGGTTAAGTTGTATTAATGAATTAGTGTTGAACGCATTAAGTCATGCTAAAGATTGTCTCTCGTACTTGTCTATGGTTAAGGATCCTTCTACTTTTAGTTTCTGTGCTATACCTCAAGTTATGGCTATTGCTACCTTGGCTGAAGTATACAACAACCGTAAGGTGTTACATGGTGTGGTTAAGATTAGAAAGGGAACTACATGTAAGTTGATTTTGGAAAGTAGAACATTCCCAGGTGTTGTCGCTATTTTCAGAAGATATATTCAAGTTATAAACCACAAATCGTCGGTTTCAGATCCAAACTATTTGAAGATTGGTATAAAATGTGGTGAAATTGAACAATTTTGTGAAGTCATGTACCCATCGGTTGAACCACCAAAGGGAAGTAAAATTGCTGCTAATCCTATTCATGACGTATTGAAATCAAGACAAGCCATTGATGACGATATGCAAATGAGAATTATTAAGGAGACTATCTTAACCAATAGTGTTTTGGTGGTTATTGCTGTTTTGGCTATTAGTTCAGTCGCTTACTTGTTCTTATAGTGTTTGTGTGTGTATAGAAATCGAATTTACCGCTAAAAATTTACTACTGAAACACCAGGCGATATTGTGTTACTTACTGTATAAAGTGGTGTGCAAGTGTGGTGTTCGACAGTAGGACTGGGGGAGAGGGGGGGGGCGGGTGCTCGAGCAGCTACATACTTACCATTGATTTTGCAGCAAACACAAGATTCATTTTCTCGTGAAACCTTCTGTTTGCATTTCTGGCACTTTTCGTCTAATCAACCTCCCCGTAGTAAATTCAAAAGCTTAACCCGAACAAAAAAAAACCACGCCTCCTTTACAACCATTACTCCTACCCACTAACAACACATGCCTGATCTGGTCAAATTTAATATCAAGCTTGTAAAATGGTCATTAGACTACGATAGTTCTGATTCCAATGATCTAATATCTACTCCTATTGTGTTGCAAGACAAAAATGGACCATGCCCCTTGATTGCTCTTATCAATACCCTTATGTTAAGTAATGATTTGAACTTAAGTCGTCTGGACTATATCCCATCCAATCAAGCCAAGAGTGACGCCATCTTGCATTTCAAACTGGTATTGCTCCAACATGAATCGGTGGCTATCGAATTGGACTTGTTGTTAAAACATCTTGGTGATTTACTTTTGGAGTTCACCCAAGACAATAAGTCGGGGTTGCGCTTTGAAATTGACCAATTGTTAAATAGTTTACCCTTGTTACATACTGGATTAACTGTTAATCCTAATTTGATCAATGGTGAATTTAATCCCGAGGACTTGTCAACTAGCTTGTTTACCGTGTTTGATTTGAAGTTTAGACACGGCTGGGTTATAAACCAAATTGATAATGAAAATATCGAATGGAACGAAGAAGCAGCTCCCCAGGAGGGATCTCTGAGTTCTCATGCCGACAATTACGCCCAAGTTGTAGAATTATTTAATGAGTTGCAAACATTTGATAGAATTCAGGATTATCTTTTATTAGACTCCACCAAAGATCCTAAACTTGCTCATAATCAAACACTTATTCATAAATGGTTAGACTTGAACCGAACTCAACTAACGAGAATTGGATTGGATAAGTTGAATTTATGCTTAGTCAATGAACAGTTTGTGGTCTTGTTTAGGAACAATCATTTCAGTACCATGTTCAAGAAATCAGATAAGGAATTCTACGTGCTTATAACCGACACTTCGTTCCAAACTTCAAAATCATCTTCGAAAATCATTTGGCAGAGTTTGAATTCGATTTCTGGTAATGATGATTTGTTCTTTACCGGTGATTTCTTGCCTGTGTTGAATGTAGATCAGGAACCTCAAGAACAGTACGACACGGACTATTTATTAACCAAACAATTGCAAGAAGAGGAAGATGAAGCATTAGCTAAAAGAATGCAACAATCTTACGACAAAAAATTAGTAAAATCTGAAAACCAGGCAAAAGAACAAAAGACTCCTACGCCTGCCCCCAAACCTATTGCAAAAGATGCCCCCAAGAAAAAGAAGAAAAAGAGTGTATGTGTAATTGTTTAACTTTTTATTAGATACATTTAGAAATATAGTACAATCTATTTAGTCTTCTTCTGCTTCATTGAATTCATCACTAACATCTTTATCAGAATCTTCATCTGACTTGGCATCTTCATCTTCTTCTTCCTCCTCTTCTTCTCCTTCATATTCCATAGGATCAAATTCACTTCTGATATTATCCATTCTCTTTAGTTCATTAGTAGTTGGTTCTCTCAACTTGAAGTTTATACCATCCAAAGTACTATCTCTCAAGAATCTATTAATTTCACTGTTAGTTGAAGCTCTATGTTTCTTTAAGTCAATTTTACCAGCAATTGGATAGAAATAAGCAACTTTTCTCTTCTTGGTACCTTCTTCAGGGATAAACTTTATTCCTAATTCTTCAGTTTCCCTCTTGTTTCTTTGGAACTTCATATCATAATTCTTGACATATTTAAACTTGTATTCTTCTAAAACATCTTCTTCTTCGTCCAACAAGTTGACAGGTCTTTCTCGTTCAGTTGATTTCAATCTCTCATTTAATTCACTAGCTTTCTTTTCATCTTTAACTTGGAATAAAGAAATCCATTCACCGTCATCAGAAGTGATTGGTTTAAGAATACTTGATTCAAGGGAATCACGAACAAACTTCTCATTAAACTTGTTTCCTTGTGTACGCTTCAACATTTCAATTTCTCTGTGAATAGAAGCTGATCCGGTAAACTTAACCATAAGGAATTTATTATCCATCATAGAAGTATCCGGTAATAATGGCCATACATCCACAGCACGTAAATGTTTCTTTTTTGGATGACGAATCTTATCAAAGTTAACCAAAGACTCTTGTGCCTTGTCAAAAGTATCTTCAACGGCCTTCAACTGGCTATCAGCATCCATCATTTCTTCTTCCTCGGCAATCTTCTTAACTCTAGTAGTTTCCTTCTTTTGAAGCTCGTCAACGGCTCCACCTTTACTGCTTGGTCTAGCCTCACTCATATACTCAGTACGTCTAAGGAAACTAACCCCTGGTTCTGATTTAGAAATCTTACCAATCCCAGCATCTCGTAAAAGAGCTCTATCCTTGGGATGTAATTGAATATTTCCCGTCTTACCACTAATAACTGAATCATTGCCTAAATCCAAGAATCCGGAATTGTCGATTAAATTCAATCCCATCCCATAAAAATCATCAACTTGAGCTAACAAACTTTGGAAGTTCTCCTTACGGAACAAACTACTCATTAACTGTTCCCCTTCGACTTTCGAAGAGGTAGTTTCGGTCGTATTGTAAGCAATGAATTTGGGATTTAATGGTGGGGGTGGTAAATTGTTTGTGTATCGTACTTTGGCTATATAATCTTGCCTTGTAGGTTTGGATGATGATGGTTGTGACATGATTGATGATTATATGATGGTTCGTAATAGCTGGATTTGTTGATGGTGAAATTTTTATTGTGCGAAAATTTGGACGGTTCTCAACTTTATGGGCGCTACCATGTACGAGAAAAAGTTCCTACACTAATATCCCGATTCTACGCAGATACAAGTTGTTACAAATAATTGTTCATATTTATATGTTTGTATATATATAGGTGTGTGTGTATATATTTATTGCTTGTTTTTTTCATTTAACCTCATCCACCACATCATCCAAAAGTCCATTGTCAAGTCTCTACCACCACCATTGTATGGTAAGAGGTTAGGACTATCCTTTTCCAACAACTTGATTTTATCTTTGGTACCATATTTAAGAAGTCTCCATCGCAAATCTTCTGGATCAAGCAAACCCGTAGAGAATTCAGACCAAATATCGGGTTGTAATGACAAATAGTAACTCATAATTCCTGTAACATGTGGAGTCGCCATTGAACTTCCACTCATTATCTCAGTACCTGGTGGATAAATGGAGGTTGATGTAATATTTTCACCTGGGGCAAAAATATCAACACATTTTCCATAATTGGTGAACCATGCCATTTCATCTCTGTAATTGATCGCTCCGACTGCAACTACTCCCTCAGCACGTGCAGGAGATTGATTACAGGCATCTTGGTGTTCATTACCAGCGGAAACAACCACGTGTATACCAGCTTTTGCAGCAGTATTAACTGCCTGGTCAAATGCTTGTGAAATGCCACCACCAATGGAAATGTTGAGAACCGATCCTTTGAACCCTTTCTTCTTGGCTTTAACTGCTTTCTTATGATCTTCAATCACCCACTCAACCCCTTTGATCATAGTAGAAAATTCCCCTCCTCCGTTTGAGTTCAAAACACACACAGCAACAAGTTTGGTGTTTTTAGCAACTCCATAAGTTTTGGATCCAATAGTTCCGGCAACGTGAGTTCCATGTCCATCAACATCAAACGTGAAGTTGGGATATACGAGATTCACACCCCAACTTGCCCGGCCTTGAAATTCTTCAAGATCGGTCTTAATACCCGTATCGAGAACGTATGCAGTAACACCAGTACCGCCTTTATCGTCGTACAAGTAGGGTCCTGTAAAGTCAAATTCATTTGTTGCGTTCTGGGTATAGTTAACAGGGTCTCGATGGCTGACTCTGGAAAGTCCCCATGGTGCATCTTTCTCAGTTGTGAACCTATGTAATTTCCACTTGGAATCCCGTTCAACAAAGGCAACATTTGGATGTTCTACAACCTGTTTGATTAGTTCGTCTGGGAAGTTTCCACTATAACCATGGAATGAATCATCAAGTTTGAAAAATTCTAAAGGCTTGCAGCTACCTTTACGTCGGGTGACGTCTGACATTTGGCTATACCATTCTTGAACCCAGCATCTGTGTTTATACAGCTCTTCTTCTGATAAGTCATCCTTAAGTACAACAATATACTGATTTGGGATCACATCCTCAGTATAAGACAAGACCCCATTGGCAGAGTTGTTTAAATGTTTAGGAATGGAAGGTTCCTTCCTTTTCTCTGGTTTTCTGGGTGCAGGACAACCGTTTGCAGCAACAGAATTAGTGTCGCGAATAAGTAACGCATTGATTACCGTAGTAAATACCACGGTAGTAAATAAAGATTTGATAAGCATAAAGAATACAAGAAGAAACAAGCTTTCTAGAAATTACAACCTAGCCTAACCTTGGTCTATAAGTAGTAATGCTGGAGCTTTCGATTTCAGGCAAGAACCAAAACATGCCGTGGTGTATTAGATAATACCAGCTGCGCATACCCGAACGAAACAGGTCGTCAAATTATACAAATAATGTTGCATATGGAGCACGATGATGAATTTCCAACCTTATTTAGCCTATTAACCCTTTTCAGAACTTTATTTGTTTGTTACGATGATACGCATGTGTAACCTGCTACATAGAGGTCCTGATCATTTTGTCAGTATGTTGGTTGCAATAAATTGTTAACAACACTAGATTTAGCAATGTTCAAAGATAATCTTGCAGTGAAACTACCTTCTTTGCATAATTTCGCGTTTTGGAATTGCTTACAATACCTGGAATTTGATGTTTCGATACCATATGTTGATGGTTACACGGTGGAAGTGGGTTTGATGCTTCTAATGTTGAACTCCCAATAAAAAAAAACTTGATACTGGGGGGAGCTACCATTTGCATGGATAAATTCTGTTCAATAGTTCAGCCTGATATAAGTGTCCCAGCTTTACTTACACTCTTTTAAATGCATTTCATTGGTTTTAAAAATTGGTTTTACATTGGAAACTACAATAATGTATAAAATCTAACGCTCATACCACCATATCATCCAAAGGTCAGTTAAATTGCCACCACCACCACCACCACCACCATTAAAAGCTAAAATATTTCGACTTGTATCATCCAAGCCTGTAATTTTGCCTCGAATGCCGTATCTAGTAATTCGTTTCTTCAAATCCTGTGGTTTAATCAATCCTGTAGCAAACTCTGACCAAATCTCCGGCTGCAATGATAGAAAATAACTAACAATTCCAGCAATGCGAGGAGCTGCCATTGATGTACCCGACAGGATTTTCACATCTGGACCAATATATGTCGATTCGATATCTTCACCAGGTGCAAAAATATCAACACATTGGCCAAATTTTGAAAACTTGGACAGTGCATCTGAGGAATTAGTTGCACCTACTGTAATTGGCCCTGCTTCTCTTCCTGGTGATTTCTCGCAAGCGTTGATATTTTCATTTCCTGCTGCTATTACAATATGCAATCCAGCTTCTGTGGCTTTATTAACTGCCCTACCTGCAGCAATGCTAATCCCACTGGAAAGGGATAAATTTACAACCGACCCCTTGAAGCCAGGTTTCTTGTTTTAGGTAGCACTTTTGTGATGCTTAACTGCAAACTCAATCCCTTTCACAATTTTAGATATTTCATCGTTTCCCTCACCATTCAAAGTTCCAATAGCAAAAAGATCAACTTTTTTAGCTACTTCATAAGTTCTAGATCCGATAATACCAGCAAAATGAGTCCCATGACCACCTTCATCCTTTCTTATATTGGGCTTTTCAAGTGAAATGGCCCATTTAGCACGTCCTTCGAATTCTATGTGTTTGGTTTTAATGCCTGTGTCTATAACGTACGTATTAATACCTTTACCACCATCATCATCAAATAAATAAGGACCTTTCTGTGCATTAACATTCTTTAAAAACTTAACATTATCTTGATTACTGATCCTGGTTAATCCCCATGGGGCATCCTATTGGATTGCAAACTTATCTATTGAGCACCGGGAGTCCAGTTCAACAAATTCAACGCAAGGATTGGACACAATTCTTTTAATAAAAGCATTGGGAAAATATCCACTATATCCCGGTAACGAAGTGTCAAAATGGAAAAATTGTAAGGGCCTACAATCACATTGGGCAACTTGCACCATTCTGTTGTAATACTCTTTAACCCAATATCTGTGCTTTTGTGTTTGTTCTTCTGATAAATTATCCTTAAGTACGATAATATATTGATTTGGAATGGCATCTTTGCCTGAGTAACACAAGATTCCATCCGATAAAGAATTTAGACGTGCAGGAATGGGAGGATCCTTTCTTTCCTCTGGAATTTTAGGTTTTGTACAACCAATCTTATTAAGGGAGTCAACATCTCGAATAAGTAATGTGTTTATCACTGTGAGAAATGCTACCACAATGAACAAGATTTTAGAAATAATTGTTTTGGCCTTGAACTAGAAATTTTCTGAAATTAAAATAAGGTCCAGTCATGGGTATATAAGTAGTCAGTAGATTATCACGTAGTAGAATAAAGCCAACTATTAGCTCGGCTGGTAATATCTCCTGCAGTCATAGTTAAAACAGTGAATAGCGTATAGGATTATCTGCGCATACCTAAACAAAACGATAATCAACCTATATTAACTACGATATGGTGGTTGTATCCAAACTATATGTATAGGGGTACAAAACTAAACGGGTTATATCTAGCAATATACTGAGAAAACTTCTCACCTATTGGCCAGTATCTCTTCATCTTGAAACGTCATTTGAATTAGGTTTATTCAAAGTTTTCTATTTTCCTTTTTAATCCAAATGTTGCACAATTTTGGACACTCCTGGTCAACTTTTTCAAAACATTGAGTATGTCATTGACCAATGTATCTGACCACACCCTTGCCCCTTCCCAGGTTTGAGTCTTCACCACTACTGCAAACCATGCCGCTGTGGATTTTGCAACAACTCAACATGTAAGATTTAATCAGGTTAGTTCAATATCCCTATTCAAACATTCTCAATAACATGTAACGTTACTACTTTCTTACAATACTGCTTCATTTAATTCACTTGTATTATTTATTCTAAAATACTATTTCCCATCACAAATTCCAAAATTCCGTCAAATTACCGCCTGCTCCATTATAAGCCAAAATATTTGGACTTGCACCATCCAAATTTGTAAGTCTACCCTTAGTACCATACGTAGTAAGTCTTCGCTTCAAAGTTGCTGGTTCAATCAAGTTGGTATAGAATTCAGAATTAATATCCGGTTGCAAAGATAAATAATAACTTAATAAACCAGCAACGTGAGGAGATGCCATTGATGTACCTGACATGGCAATCAGATCTGACCAAATAAAAGTGGATTCAATATCTTGACCAGGAGCAAAAATATCCACACATTTACCAAAATTTGAGAAACTTGCACGTTCATCCTTAAAGTTGGTGGCACCAACAGTTATTGGACCTTGAGCTCTTGCTGGAGAGTATTCACACGCATCCTTGTTATCATTACCAGCAGCTACGGCGATGTGCAATCCAGCTTTGGTACCTGCATTAACTGCCAAATCAAGAGCTTCAGAAATACCACCACCAATAGACATATTAACGGTGGAGCCCTTGAATCCAGCCTTCTTAGTTTTAATTGCATCTTGGTGCTGTTGGACAACAAATTCAATTCCCTTGATAATATCCGAGGTTGTACCTGAACCTAACAAGTTCATAACACCAACAGCAACAAGTTCAACTTTTTTGGCAATACCGTAAGTCTTTGAACCGATAACACCAGCACAATGAGTTCCATGACCATGACCATCAATTTTTAATTTAGGGAATGCAACAGCGGCACCCCAAGTTGCACGGCCCTCAAAATCTTTATGTTCAACCTTAATACCGGTATCGATAACATAAGCAGTAACACCTTCACCACCTTCATTATCAAACAAATATTCACCAGTTCTCTTATCTTGTTCTTCGGCCCTCTTAAGAATGTTATTTTCACGGTGGCTGACTCTGGAAATACCCCATGGTGCATTCTCTTGCACGTCAAATTCGTCAACAGTAAACACGGAATCACGCTCGACAAACAAGACATGCGGATTATCGACAATTTGTTTAATTAATTCATCAGAGAAAAATCCACTATATCCCAGGAAGAAGTTATCAATATGGAAAAACTCCAAGGGATTAAAATGACCTTGGTGAGTATTAACCTTTAACATTTCTTGGTATTGGTTTTCAACCCAAGATCTATGTTGAAATAATTGAGTTTCAGATAAGTCATCCTTGAGAACAATAATATAGTGATGTGGAACAATCTTGTTGATTGGATTAGACAAAATACCTTCAGAAGTCGAGATCAAGTAATCACTATCAGGTTGTTCCTTATTAATTAATGGGATTTGCACATTTGGTAAATAAGTATTAATATCAAAGAATGAAGCAACGTCAGGAATGACTAAAGCGTGGGTCACTGTAGCATACACTACAGATGTGAAAAGGGTTTTAAGAAGCATACTTTTAACCCTTGATAGTATAAAGAGAAGAAGAAGAGTATTGTTTTTTTGGAAGGCAAAAAAATGCTTGTGCTTATCAGAGAAGGGGAGGGAGGTTGTGGAGCATTGCGCCATACCGAACCGAAAAAAGGTCGTGTGAATTAAACAAAACATTTTGTTATCGGGGTTACATCGGCATTTAGTAAATAATAGTACAAAAGCAAGTTATCTAGATATCTATAAGTTCTATAAAAGCTCTCTAACACTTGTTTATTCGCATAAAGTTGGATCTACTCCACCCCAGGTTAATACCTCCTTGGAATTAGGTTTGTTCAAAGTTTCGATAATTTCCACTTCTAAATCTAATCTACCCAAGGTTGAGTTTCTTCTACCTAATGGGTTTTCAAAAGCATCACCAGGTCCATCGGGCAATGCATCTAAGTTTTCTCTAATTCTTTGTGGGTTTTCAGTCTTGGCTAACACAATGAAACCTTGTAAATATGACCATTTCAACAAAATATCAGCTGGAGAAATCTTATATTTTTGACTCAATTGAACTAATTCTGGATCAGTGAATTTCTCACCTCTAGTCAATGGAGTATATGCCTCGAGTAAAATGTGTAATTTAGCACAATATTCACGTAATTCGATTCTAGGTAACCATGGATGTAATTCTACTTGGTTAACTACTGGTTTAATCAAATATCCATCCCAATTGAATAATTCTTCTAAATGATGGATACCATAATTAGAAACTCCAATAGATTTGATTTGAAGAACAGGGTTAACGCCAACAAATTCTTGAAGTGCCTTATAAGTACCTAATCTCTTTTCCTTGTTGGTTTTAGCAGAATGGATCAAGACTAAATCGACATAGTCAATATACTCCTTAACATCAGCTGCAATTTGCTTTACACTTTCTTTGGTTTCTTCATAACCTTGATCTTGGTTTCTAATCTTGGTAGTAAACCAAATATCTCTTCTGTGTACGTTTGGATGGTCTTTCAAGAACTTTGCAACACCTTGGGCAGCTTCACGTTCGTTGTAATAACCAACAGCACTGTCAATGTGTCTGTAACCTTCAACAAGAGCTTGGTACACTAATTCAGCAGTTTTCTCAGCAGGCATAAGATAAACCCCAAACCCAGCAACAGGAATGTATTGCCCATTGTTAAGCTTATACTTGGAATTTTTGGTCAATTGCATAGAAACAGTTTGAGACATTTTATTTGAGTTGTTTTTTGGTTTATTTGAGTAAGGAATAAACAACAATTGAATTGAAAACGTGGAAATGTTTGAAGTATTTATAGCGGAGCGGGACTAAAACGTTCCATCATTTTCCACCCCCTTTTTAAGTCCGATTTCATTGTTTAACTCAACTAGGAAAATATCTCGGAAAGATTTGCGTTATGGGATTAGTAATGTTTATGATGTAAACAATAGATGAGTAATGCTTGCTAGGCTTCTCTATGCACCTCTTTGTAAGTGCCTCTCTATTAAATAGGATACATTAAACTGTGCAGTAAATGCATGTGTGGCGCCAGTAAATTAACTTCGCGCAATAAACTACAATTTATAGCAAATATATCCCAATTTATATCTCATTCTTTTCGTAGATACTGTTTGGAATATCAGCTAGTGTTTCTAATGACTTGGAATGTGCATAAAACCACTTAACTGGTGTCAACTTTTAAAACATCCTGTATACAGATCTGTTGTCAAGAAAGCTCACCCACACTTGCTCCTCCTTAGAATTCCATCATACTGTTTTTTTTTCCCATTAACCGAAACCGAAAACAAAAACTCAGACTCTTGTTAACTTCAAAAACAACAACAATTTCAACGCACATCACACTTACATTGAGCCATGTCATCAAGAAAAAAGACGTTGTTAAAAGTAATCATCTTAGGCGATTCAGGTGTTGGTAAAACTTCGCTTATGCAACAGTTTGTCAACAACAAATTCTCTCATCAATACAAGGCAACCATTGGGGCTGACTTCCTTACAAAGGAAATTATTATTGATAACAATAAGCCCGTTACATTGCAAATTTGGGATACCGCAGGACAAGAAAGATTCCAAAGTTTAGGTGTAGCATTTTATCGTGGTGCTGATTGTTGCGTTTTATGTTTTGATGTCACGAACGAAAAGTCATTAAATAACTTGACCAGTTGGAAAGACGAATTTTTGGTTCAATCAAACGTTTCTAATCCTCAAGATTTCCCCTTTATTATAATAGGTAATAAGATTGATGTAGATGATTCTAAAAAGATACCTTCATTACAAAAGAAATTACATAATATCACTCATAATCAATTAGGTGGATTAAATTATCCAGTATTTGAAACAAGTGCCAAGGATTCAATTAATGTTGAAGCGGCATTTGAAGTTATTGCTAAAATGGCTTTACAACAAGAAGAATTGAATGCTGCTAGTGGTGGCGATGTCAATGATGATTATAATGATGCCATTAATATTCATTTAGATGGTGAATCAAGTGGTTGTGGATGTTAATAACCTTTTACTTTCTTTTATATCAAAAATAGAGTTACTCTCATTTTGTTTTTAATACATGAAATACGATTAGCTAGGGTGTAGGGTATATGTTGTTACAAAATCTAATCTAGTTCTATTTGCTGTTAATACAAGCACAAACCACCTTGAGAAGCAATCCAAGAATACCACCTTCTTCTTGTGGCTGTTGCTGTTGTTGGTATGGTTGTTGGTAATGTTGTTGTTGTTGATGTTGTTGTTGTTGATGGTATTGAGGTTGTCCAGTACCATGGTATGCCTGTTGTGGAGCTTGTCCATTCCAGTGACTCGGAATTTGACCCGCATCACTACCTTCTAATTCAACCACCAAAACACCGGCATTTTTAGGATCTATATGATGTTTCAATCCCATTTCTTGGCATAAATCATTAACAGCCGGTTTTAACTTAGCAATACCATTAGCTGAATGCAATCCCTTGCCGACGATAACTCGTAAATGGCTCTGGTTTGTCTTTACAGCATATGCGATTCTCTGTTGTAAAAACCAAACAGCTTCTTTCACATACAAACCGTGTAAATCGATTTCGTCAGGTCCACTATCTTCGTTATTTTCACGGAATACATACTCGGCAGCTTGACGGTTAACATTTTCAGCTTGGCTCAAAATCTTTTTACTTTGTTCAGATAATTCATGAGCACGTTGTCCATCGCCAGATTTAAACGCAGCTTGTGATTCTTGACTAAGTTGGTTACGCTTCTTATATAACTGATCGGCTTCAGCACGAAGACGCTTGTATTCAGAATCAGTAGCGTGATTATAATCACGCTCGGTACCTTCGTCAAAGAGCTTGACTCCTCTATCGATATAGTCTGCCATTTGGTCTCGAGAAATAGTCGATGAGAAATGTCAACATGAAATTTGTTGACATATATTGATGTTACAAATACAAATATGCAGGAGAAGATCCATGTCAAATTCTAAACTTATTGTTAAATGCAATTTCGCTTCTACATCTCTACAATGTGTACCTTTTTTTTTTTGAAAAGTTTATATATTATATATTTCAAATATAAATATAATTAAAGAAAAATAACCAAGTAAAATAAGAAATCAATGATCAACTTACTTCTTAGCAGCCTTTTGAGCAGCCTTGGTAACCTTACCAGCCTTGTCGGACTTTTCAACAGACTTGATAACACCGACAGCGACAGTTTGTCTCATATCTCTGACAGCGAATCTACCTAATGGTGGGTAGTCAGTGAAAGCTTCAACACACATTGGCTTGGTTGGGACCATCTTGACGATAGCAGCATCACCGGACTTGACGAACTTAGGGTTAGCTTCTAAACTCTTACCAGTTCTTCTGTCAATCTTTTCAATCAAAGTGTCGAACTTACAAGCAATGTGGGCAGTGTGACAATCCAAGACTGGAGAGTAACCAGAGGAGATTTGACCTGGGTGGTTCAAGACAATAACTTGAGCGTTGAAAGAGTCACAACCCTTTGGTGGATCGTTCTTGGAGTCACCACAGACGTTACCTCTTCTGATTTCCTTAACGGAAACGTTCTTGACGTTGAAACCAACGTTGTCACCTGGGACACCTTCAGTTAATTGTTCGTGGTGCATTTCGACGGACTTAACTTCAGTGGTAACACCAGCTGGGGCAAAGGTAACAACCATACCGGCCTTGATGATACCGGTTTCAACTCTACCGACTGGCACAGTACCAATACCACCGATCTTGTAGACATCTTGCAATGGTAATCTCAATGGCTTGTCAGTTGGTCTGGAAGGTGGTTCAATAGCATCAATAGCTTCTAACAAAGTCTTACCAGTGGACTTACCAGCCTTGGTTTCCTTTTCCCAACCCTTGTACCATGGACAGTTTTCAGATGGTTCAATCATGTTGTCACCATTCCAACCAGAGATTGGAACGAATGGAACGGACTTAGGGTTGTAACCGACCTTCTTGACGAAGTTAGAGGTTTCCTTGATGATTTCTTCGAATCTGTTCTTGTCCCACTTAACAGAGTCCATCTTGTTAACAGCAACAATCAATTGCTTGACACCTAAGGTGTAAGCTAACAAAGCGTGTTCTCTGGTTTGACCATCCTTAGAAATACCAGCTTCGAATTCACCAGTACCACCAGCAATAATCAAAATAGCACAATCAGCTTGAGAAGTACCGGTAATCATGTTCTTGATGAAATCTCTGTGACCTGGAGCATCAATAACGGTAACGTGGTACTTTGGAGTTTCGAACTTCCATAAAGCGATATCAATGGTGATACCTCTTTCTCTTTCAGCCTTAAGTTTATCCAAAACCCAAGCGTACTTGAAGGAACCCTTACCTAATTCAGCGGCTTCCTTTTCGAACTTTTCAATGGTTCTCTTATCAATACCACCACACTTGTAAATCAAGTGACCGGTGGTAGTAGACTTACCAGAATCGACGTGACCAATAACAACGACGTTAACGTGAGTTTTTTCTTTACCCATTTTGATTAATGTTTAAGATGTGTAGTAAAAGAAAGAAAAAGAGAAATCAGAAATGAGAAATTTAACGAGGGATGGCACCAGAATTATATAAAATCCCCCAAAAAAAAATTTTCCTTCTCATCAATTTTGAAATTCCAATTAAACTGTAAAATGTAAATAGATAATAATGAGTAATCTGCAAAATTGTAAACAAAATGTGTGAGTCAATTTATTCGGAAAAAAAAAAATAATGTTAAAATTGGTCAAGTATCCGAAAATAGATTTTTGCCCAGTATTATTTAGGTCATGTGAGTTTTTTATTTTTAGGGCTCCAGACCTAGTTGCATTTTATTTTTTTAATTATTTATTTATTGATTGATTGAGATCTATACTAATTCCTTCTTGTTCTTGTCCTTTTACGAGGCTTTTCTTGGTCTAACATTTCTGTTCCGCTTAACTTTCTCATCAACTGCTCTTCAGTCCGGATAGAATCTGTGTCTTGGTATCTGACTTGATTCAATTCTTCATCGTCTTCCTCAATGTTAGTAATATCAAAGCACGCTTCTTCATTTTGCGTCTGCTGTTCTTCGTCATGTTCAATCACACGTTTTATGCTGTTAGATACCGATTGAGCACCTCCAAGTCTCCCATAGCGTGTTTTACCCTTGGCCTTGCGGGGTGAAGGTAATCTTACTTGGGTATCACTTTGACTCTCCTTCTCTTCGCCCTTCTCCGCTGAACTGCTTGCTTGCTGCAAATTCGTGACATATTCTAATAATGACTTCGGCTTGCTGTAATTGCTGGGTGCAAACAAACACCATTGCAAATTGATCAACTCGGGCATAACTAGGGTTGATTTACCCATTGAAAGTTCCATTATCTCCCAAAGGTATGCGATTGAAACGATCGGGATATTCCAGTTCTTGGCAGCATTGATCTTGTTACGGGATGAGATCTTAGCTACAGATGAGTTGTTGTTCCCACTCTGGTATATTGGACAATTGACAATGTCCTTATACTTATAATTGAACAATTGCGGTGATGTCTTGTTTAAATTGGGTTGGAATAAGCTTATGTTAACAATTAGCAAATCTCGTTTGGAATTCAAGTTTGAACAATATTCAAAGTCCAAATAGCTGATAAGCTTCTCAATATGAAGTTGTTCAATCCCAGTGAACCCGGTTATACAAATCTTGAATTTCTTTTTCGATTTTGCAAGCCCCTTCATTGGCATGCACCATCTATCCGTCATCACTCGTTTATAATACATAGATCTCTCGACAAACCATTCAGTCACAACTTTTAGGTAACCATTCGTGATTTTCAGAAGAAGAGAAGACGGCATGATCTTCAACATGGCATTGGATTGGCCGCCTTTAGATGCAGGAAGTATTATATGGGTTATGGAATTATCAGTGCTGTCATCGGTTACTTCACCCAGAAGGTTTTCAACGGCTTTTGAAAGCAATGTAAATTCATTCGCAGAAAATCCTACTAGCAAGAAATTGAATCCGAGGAACAATTGACTTTCTTTGGATGGTTCGAGATCCTCCTGTTTCAGCTTAGATTCAATTTGTGTATTTTCGTTGTCGCTATCACTGTTGTCGTTATTTTCGTCCCAGATGTCATCTTTCATCTGCTGTCGTTTGCTATTGGTTTTAGTTTTATCCATTATCGAATTCCATATCTCATCATTATGGCTCCGTTTCAATTTATTTATTTTCTTCAGTTCAGTCAATGTAGTTGTACGCACAGGAGTGGTGGATTTTTCCCGTTCGCTTGAAACTGTTGAGTTTAGATCAAGTTGTGACCAAACGCTACATCCACGCTCATACATCTCCAATGGATCATTAGTCAATGCATAATCTTCAAAATCCAAAGCGGCCCCTCTAATCAAACTATCAAATATCCACAATGGATGAACCACGGGCTTATCCCATTCAACAGCCTTGGCGTATCTCTTCCCGCGTAAATCGGTACTTACTACACATGTATTTGTTAGTGATAAGGATTCAGTGGATTTGCCTCCGTTTTGAGAAACTATTGTCGCTAGATTCTTATAGGTAAAGAATGAGGAAGGTGAAAATGAAGTACTCTTGTTCTGTCTGAACTTACAGTTCAATAAACCTGAAATCTGTGATGTTGACAAGTCGATACGTGAAAAGCAAATGTTGATATTGTGGAATATCGGAAGTAAATATTTATCAATGTTCATTTCTTCTGGATTTTCTTCTCCATTGATCCATGCATGGTGTACTTTAAGCACAGATTGAACTGTTACAAACTTGATATCTGCACGGTTTCGGATACAGAACCGATACTTTTCTGTATTCCGGTCACCCACGATAAGATAGTTGACATCAGACATGAGATCACTGTAGTGCTTTCCTCCTAGTGTTTCTATTTTGGTTGCCATTTCTTCTCTTTGGGAGGATGGTATTCCTGTACAACAGAACATTTGTCCTGTGAAAGGTCGAGACAGTCCACTTATAGAAGTCATCAGCTGGTGCATGTAAATATTTTGATTTTGTTATTTGTTGTGGCGACGTGTTTATTAGGTTATTGCGAATGGTAAAGCGAATGACGGTGATAATATGTACAGGTTAATAATTATATGCTAAAATTCCAGAATTGTATAAGTCTGGTTTAATTGGTTGTGTGCTGTGTAGCGTGTTAACTGTTTTGGTGATAGTTTCCTAGCAGTATCGGTTTGACCAAAATTAATTTTCGTGAGAACTATTCATCAGAGTGCTTTTAGTTCCTTTTTTTTTTTGCAACCCACTGTTTCAAAGCAAAAGAAGCACAGAATATTAACAGGTGAGTTTACCAATATGCAGATTGAAAACAATGTGCTGGTTCAGAGAATGTGGGTAGAGTCTGCTAAACCCCATATTCCTTTCAAAAAGACCATTTCAATCCTCTTATCCAAATATCCAAAATTGAAACAACTTAAATCCCAGACAACCAATTCAAGAACCTTGGTAGTTTCTTCGTGGTCGTGCTTTAATTCATCAATTAGTGAAGGCTCAACTAAAAAAGCCAATCTAAATAATAGTTTAAACATAGTAGGTGTGGCGAATCTTCAGCCTTTAGCCACTTCCACTCCAGTAGTCCTGCCTCAACATCAGACCGTATACAAGGCAGACCAAGTAGACAGTAAGTATCCTCAAAGGAAGGAATTAAAATCAGAAAAGCAGAAAGTATACGAGCCAATATTCCTGAGCCCTTTAAAGTCATTTGCGGTTAAAAGAGATAATACAGGTGAGATCACGTCACCTGTTAAGCAACCAAAAATAGTTACGGGTCTTGAAGAAGTGGTTGCCCTTCAGGATCTAAAAATTCGTCTCTTGGAACAATTTGCAACTATACCAGCTAGCGAAAGGGTACAATTGGAGAAATTAAATCATAGGATTACCTTACTAAAACAGTGCCAAGGTATCGAATTTTGAGAGAAACTACTGTGACCCCCCTAAGAAACAGCTTGAAGTAAAACGAATATGACACTACAAAGCAATGCTGATAGCAGCCAGGTAAGTATGTGAGAAATTTTTACTTAGGAACCACAACTTGTTTTCGGCTAAATGTGTCTTTCATTTGGCCTGGGAATTTTTCAATTTACCCCGCGTCGGGAAGCATCCCACAGTTGATTGATTTTGGTACCGAGCTTCAAAAAAAAAAAATTGTTGTTTCTACAGCCCCACACCGGAACAACCACCGATAAGCTAATTATATAAATAGTACCTATGAATTAGACTGGAATTTTCAATTTCTAAGCTATATCCAATTTAAATTACCTCATGTTAAATCCAGAATCCTCCCCTTACTACGAACATACCGTTTGTTTAGCCAATGCTGCCAATCCTCGGGCACCTGGCTCAGTTGTGCTTCCAAAACCATCAAATCTCAGTGAAGATTATCAACTCAAAATAGCCTATAGAAAATATGTCACTAAACGTTGTATTCCATATGGTGCTAAACGGATAAACTTTATTTTTCTTCATGGTAACGGTATGAATAAAGGTATTTGGCACTATCACATCGATCAACTTTACAATATGTATGCACTGATTCCCAACATGTACATCGACACTGTGTTAGCTCCTGATCATATCAACATGTGTGATTCTGCTTATGTTAATGGTGAAAAACTAGGTGCTGTTTGTGATTGGAATGATTTGGCTAAGGACTATGTTCAATTGGTCAAGATTCAAGAGAAGCAACTGTTTTTGCATCCACAGGCATTTAATGTTATTGTGGCACATTCAATGGGTGGATTTATTGCATTACAAGTTGTTGCAAGAGAGCCTCATTTGTTTGATTGTTCTGTATTGGTTAACCCAGTTTGTGTTAGTAATCCTGCGGCCGATCCAGGATTCATTGCCTACCAAAAGGATTGGTATAGACGTGGGTATGTTAAATTAAACTATGATATTAAACAAGGTGAAAGTTGGTATGACAAAGTGTTTGACCATTTTAAGAATAAGTCATTCTATCGTGGATTCCAACCTACAATATTGAAGAATTTGATGGAAGATGAAATACCAGATACTTATAATCGCGACAAGTATTATCAAACTGTTCAATTAAAACATGATGGATATCAAGACTACGTATCTTACTACAGTCAATACGATGCGATTCCTGCCGGTTATCCAGCGTATGAACAAGTTAAGGTACCACTTAGAATCTTATCAGGAAACAAGGATCTTTCATCACAATTAATTGGCAAATTGTGTCAAGAAAAGATCAAACATGCACAACTTCACGAACTAAAGGATCAATACCACAACATGCATGCCCTGTCACCAGACTTGATTTTGTCCCTTCTAAATGACTTTGTAGTTGAAACCTATAACCATAGTCGTAAACGTAATGATTTCGATTACTTGAAAGAACATGGGGAAAACTACAAACAGATTATGTTTGAGTCTAGATTAAAGGAGTTCTTGGGTGATATTAAATTCCAAAGTAAGTTGTAGAGTTAAATAGAATAAATGCTTTTGCTTTTTATTATTATTATTATTATTATTTTTTTTTTTACCTCCCAAACTTATCTCCGAGATTTAACCGAAATTTCACCGAGATGATTCATTATGGATCGCCTCCATTATGACTTTGCTCTAATTACAAAAACACGTCTCTTTTTATTGCAATAGCATCATTAGGTTTGATTAATTTATTTCATAGTGATTCCTTTGAGAAGATTTTGTTCACGTTTAAGTTATACAATGGTTGCTGTTACCCGAGCTAAGTCCACGACCCCAGGGTCTGTTAATAAAATTCTAACCACCAATACGGTCAAGAATGTAATTGTCAAGAAGACTGTTGTCAAAAAGAAAACTGTTATCAAAAAGAAGCCAGCACTTACTAAGACAAGATCTGATTTAGAAGATCTTCTCCAGGATGTTTCAATTCCTGATGATTTGGCCCTTCCTGAGGAATATGTCGCGTATCATACACCTGAGTTCATCTCCGGAATAGAACACATACTTCAGGTAGATCGCTCACTTTATCCTGCCATTGTTCATGCCAACTTCCCTAGGTTTTCCAAGACTGAATCGGATAAGCCAAAAGACGTGATTTGCCATTATTGGTATTCGTTGATCGCGTCGGTGATTTCTCAACAAGTTAGTGGAGCCTCTGCACGTGCTATTGAGGCCCGGTTCAAGGCGTTGTTTAATGGGGAGAAGCCCACTCCCGAGATAACTCTAAAATTCAGTTTTGATCAGTTGAGATCAGCAGGTTTGTCAAATATGAAGGCTAAATATGTCGAAAGTATAAGTCAAGCATTCGCTGATCCTAACTGCAAATTAACCCACCTTGAATTTTACGAAAACAGCTCATTGGAGGAGATTGTTGATGAGTTGGTAAAATTAAAGGGGATTGGAGTATGGAGTGCTAAAATGTTTTCCATATTTACATTGGGAGAAATGGATGTTTTCGCTGAGGATGATTTAGGTATTGCTAGAGGGATGGCAAAATACTTAACAAGAAGACCAGATTTGATGAAAGAGATTAAGCAGGCATGTGCTGATGATGAAGCAATACAAGTGTGGTTGAAAAGAAAAGCAAAATTTGCAAAGAATGATTCTAAACGTAACTGGAATCCAGTTCATGATGCCTATGTGGAGTTTGCTTCTCGGAAATTTGCCCCGCATCGAACTGCTTTGATGATGATCATGTGGAGATTGGGATCTACAAACATTGAAGTACTTGAAAAGCTTGATGAGTAAAAAAAAAAAAACACAAGAGATGTTTATTAAATATATAAAGTTTAACCGAATATCATAACCACAAGAAAAATGACAAAATATGAATGTACTTTGATCTTATTTCCCAAACTTTCTTCCTCTCCTCCGATTTTAATTACTTTCGGATTTCTTTTCTGGTCCTTAACTTTATTCAACTCTTTTTCAATCTCTCCTAATCCATAATCTAGATTCTTGGTTTTTAAGAATTGCAAATCTGCTGGATTGAATCCCTGTTCATTAACCAAATACTTAATAAACTCATCAATGTCAATTTCAATCTCGTTGTTGTTGTTATTAATACCATTGTTATGATTGGAATATTTTTTGGTTATACCATTCAGTTCATCGTCGGACTTATCCAGAGATACCAACTGAACCCACTTTTTTAAATCATAAGGATTACTTTCGGTGCTATCATAGTTTTTGATCCTGGTACGTAGGGAGTTCTTTTCTTGCACAGACATCATGGACATTTTCTTGCTCTGTTTAAATATAAGGAATTCTTTGACCCATGACTTTGGTGAATGGATTGGTTCAATGTTGTTCTTTACTTTGTCTAATGAATCTTCCGGTTCATCTTCTTCGTCACTGTCAACACCAGCTTTTGGATCTTTGGTATCACCATTAACACTCATACTCGTCACTTTATCTTCATGTTTCTCACCTCTAAAAAACAGTCTGATGCCAAATCTCTTAGGTTTAGGTGGTTTATCTGGAATAAATGATTCTCGTATGGTCTTTTGCATGGGATTAATTATAGGAATCTCTAATTTGTCTTGTAATTCAGGTATAGGAATATATTCACGGAATTTGGATTTAACATAGTGTAATGGTTCAGGGATTTCTTGATTGTTGATTTTTAGGTCTAACCCAGTTGCAACTTGTGCAACTATAATGAAGACAAGCTGGAATAGTAATAGGAGAGGTATACGTAATTTCATAGGGAGTTGTTATAGCTTATGTGTTGCAAGGTAATTTTGTAAAAATTTCGCAGCCACAAATCAAAATATATTACAAACTAAAGAACATTCTACAGAAAAATTATCTCATGCACGAGAAGCAAATTAAAATAGAATAAGATATCCAATAACATCCAAATCTGCAAGTTATTGACCAATAGCTTACCTCATTATGTACACCGAATAATATTAAAAAATGTGCAAATATCCATGCGTGCATCCAAACATCAATGCATAGTCGTTTATCATCGTCAAAATTTTCCGTCGCGTTGATCGCACGAAGGCCTAATAAACTCAAAATATGCTATACTCGATTGGGGGTGCATACCAAAGTTAACCCGATCTGCGTCTAAAAAAAATATGACGTGACACATAAAGCTACAGATAGCAACACATGCAAATTAATAATATAGCACGAGAGATCTAAATTAAACCTTCATCCAAGTCTAGTGTATAAATCGGAGGTATTAAAGCGAACGTTTTTTATCGGGAGGTGAAATCAGCGTAATCTGGCAATAAACAATGGAGAAATATTATTAAATCGGTGATCCCCAGGGTGAATCAGAATAGAATGGGTTATGCCACAATAGGTGACAGGACAATGCACGACATTGCTTGTCAACTAACCAAGTGGAAACGCAAGGTACACATAACAAAGTAAAGTTCTATCTGTTTTAGGCAGAAAAATTGACATTTTCAGCGCGCAAGGGACTAAACCGGGATGGTTTGGCTGGAGGGCGGATCCCAAATTAGAAACACGAAATTTCAATTATTTTTTTAGCTTGTTTACTCCCATTGTTGTTAGAAAAAAAGATACAAACAACAATGGGGGAGGTTGGCACGCTGGTATATGGCAACGATGCTTGCCATCTGTCTCCCCGCCGCCCTCCCCTAGGTTTAAATAGTTGCTATCTCTTGCTCATCTCATCAGTTGAATTTCCAATGATCCCATTTGCAAGTAAAGTCTAATTTCGTTGACCCCTTAAAATATACAATTTAAAGTTTTGAAAAAATAAAAACGGGTCTGATTTATTTAATCAAAACTTTCTATTTTTTTTTTTTTTTTGTGGTGTACGGTTTTAAACGAAAATTTATAATTGAGACACCTTTTTTTTTTATTTCCTACCAGGGGAAAAGTTACCACCAAATTAAGACCACAACAATCAACCCTCCAACTAACTGGTTTCGTTTTGGTACTGGATCAATTGCTAATTATCTTGGCAAGTAAGTTTAATTCCAAGTGCGACACGTTAAATTTTGAAAACTTTGCCGATTTATCACACCTTCGCTTAACAAATTTATTGGGTATTTACTCCCACTTGCTTTTAATACATGGTACAGCTTAAACTCTAATTATGATAAAAACATACTCCAGAAGAAATTCGTTAACTTCGATTTCCACAACAACATCCGCAGCACCATCTGCTTCTTCCACAACAATATCAAGACACGATCTTTCTACTGATAACCTTGTATCTTTAGATTCGAAGTTCACAAAGAAGTCTCACAAGAAATCAGTAGTTGGCAGAAATTACCCAAATTCACCACATATACCCCACGGATTCGAAATGTCGTCGTCAAAAAACCTAGCTAGTTCAGCCAATTCTTCTACCAGCAGCAGTACATATTATTTTCCCAATGGTGAGGTATTTCGTCCTCGTGTTACTCCTGCCAAGAGAAAGCGTCCAAGCAAGATTAATGTCCATGATACTGACGAGCATTCGGTGCATAGCGCCGAGAATACCAGTAATGACCAAATAAGTATTGCTAGTGTCAGTACTACTAGTAGTAGTGCCACAGTGCCCCGTGCATCCTCGTACCTGAATGTTAAGAAATTAAATAAGATGCATTTGACCAAAAATATCAGAGGAAGTAGAGATGATACACCAACTAACATTAGTACCGACTCATTCTTTACCATTCCGCTTCTGTCGCCACCATTGCAACAACCACCGGTGATGATACCTTACCAGAATTATCATAGTAATAGCAGTACAAGCTTGAAGAATCAAGGAATACCGAGGTTTCAATCGAATAACCTCCTAAAGGCAGAAAATATGGCACAATATTCTCATACATCCAGTTTATCGTCATCGGCGTCCAAGTCTAGTGGAAGTCTAGTATCAGACACTCCAAGTACCAGTGTTCATACTGATGAAATGGAAGAGGAAGCCACTGACAAACTGCCAGACGAAGAGGAAAAACAGGATGATAGTGGGGATAATACTTTAGAGCTAATTGAGGTACCCGAAGAACTTCTTCAAGCAGAAGCAATAGGGAACAGTCATGAAATTGAAGCAACGGAGCCCAAAAAAGATGTGATCATTGAACTCACACTTGATTCACCAGAAGATGAAACTGAAGTGACATCAGACCAAATTTCTCAACATTCAAATGAACACCATACAACTTACGATACCTCGATTTCCACCACCAATACCGACCCAGCAGATAATCATACTAACGACACCTACAAGAATACATTGGTTTCCTTAGCCACTCACCTGAACCCTGAATTATCTTCTGATGGCACTTCCGAAGAATTCTGCACCGCCAATAACTCACCACGCAATGATCAAACCTATGCTACCACCACTATAGCTAGAGAGAAGGTCAACCACAGATCACCGGGGACTATGAGTATATATAGTGAGATAAGCACTTTACCTGAGCCTGACATTGATGATGATTTTGAATCGTTTGTTGATGTGTATGCCTACCAACATGAGTCTGCAACCGCCAAGTTTTCTCCAGAAACGTTACAAGAAGTAGAAAACGAGTCTGAAGAATCTGATAAGGAGACGCTGCAAGAAGACGAAGTCAATATTACTCCTCAATCTATAACCTCACGTATCATAAACATCGATAACAAACGGGCGATCAGAATTGTTTCCCCTACCATTTCTTCATCTGCTTCCAATAGTGCAATATCATCACCAAATACCCCCAAAAGATCATCACGATACTTTGACAATGTTGATATGCAAGAGTTGGAAAAATTGTTGAATGACACTCAAGAAGAAGTCCCTCCGCGAGGTGATGTAATGATTGTTCAAACTCCTACCGGATTGCTTGATGCTATACCTGAAGTAAATACCAGTGTTGATAATACACCAGCAACGAATCAATCACACCCACTTGATGAAATATCACCATTTAAAGAATCACATACTGAAGAAACGACGCCACCACTTAGAGAATCGTCAACTGACTTATCATCAATTAAAGAATCATCACCAGAAATAACATCAAGTAAGGAGTCGTTAACTGTATCGCCATCCGATGAAGTATCTGTACCTAAAATATCTCCAAAAATAGAATCTAAAACGCTTCGATTTGAGGAAATATCAACACCTAAAACAGCAACCTCAGTTAAAACATCACCACCCCCACCACCCCCAGTTGATAAACCAGCAGACATACGAAGTAAGACAAGAGGTGAGCTCAAGCGATTACATTCGAACCATGCAGTATTATCAATAGGAATAAGGGCACCTCCTGCAGATGCGTTTCAATCAGTTAGAGTTGTTTCAGCTCCCACCATGTCTGATGTCTTTGGAGAACCAAAAATACAAACACCAACATCAGCTAATGCCAAGTATACTTCGTTGTTAAGTTCACCTGGTCACACATTCAAGGCGAAATTCAGTTCATTGACCGATCTTCATGCCCCAACCAAGAAACAAACACTTGAGCCTCCAGCACGCGCAGTTCCAACGTTAAACCTCTCCAAGGACAAATATACCCGTCGTAAACCACCTCCAGTTTCACCACTTATTGAGAAACACCCAGATACTGATTTACCACAACCAAACATAGATATCCAATCCAAGATTCAGGAAATCTCAGATGCAAATACCAAGATACATTCTCAGATAAAATTGCCATTACAACCACGACGCAAAGTTGATCCTCCCCCAGTCCAGGCTAGTCCACGCAAGATCAAGCTGTTCTTGAAGAAATTTGTACCATCCACCAACACTTCTCCTAACTCTTCCGCTGCTTCTGCCGGAATTGCTGCTACAACAACAGCAGCAGCAGCAGCAGCAACAACAACAACCTCACACAAAACCTCCTCATCAGTCAATAGCCATAGTGCTAAGGTGTTCAAGACGCTCCGTAAGAAAGGTGGAATGCCAGAATCAAAACCAGAGGAACTTGCACATAATCGGATGTCGATGTTCAGCATGACATCATTGAAATTGGAAGAATTACCTCGCTTTGAGCATGAAGAGAGTATGTTTGATGATGTTATTGATACCTTTGATAAGAAATTAAAGGAGGATATTGACATTTACGAATTTGTTTTTAAAAAAGAGTTGAATAAAAAGAATGAGAAACTAGAACAAAAAAAGGAAGAAAAAGTTGAGCCGAGTACAAAAGATAAAACTGTTGAACAAATTGCAAAAGAAGCTAATGAGGGTACCCAAGGTAAAGTAGAGGAACCACATGAACATCCAGTTGATGATGAAAGCATAAAATTCTTAAAACAGGAGGTATACTGGACTGCATTCGCCGAAAAGGAATTGACCAATATTGACAAGAACGTTATTAAGGAAATTGAAGAAGAATCATCTGAAGCTGAAAGTAGTAACAAGTCATCACTTCCGGTATCCCCGGAATCAGATTTATGTACTACAAATGAAGAACTGATGGAAGAAGACGAAAACCAGGAAGAAGATATCATGAGTATGGTTATTGACAGTCGAGATTTAAACTACCTTTTCAATGTTCTCAGCGAGCAACAGCGTCGTACCATTCCCTCGCATCTTAGATATGTTCGCCAGTTCAAAGATTTTAAATCTGTTGAAATCAGTATGAAGAAATTTGAAGATTTGACGAACTCTGAGTTGGTTCCTGTTAGTAATACCGCAACAGCTCCCATATTGAAAAAGAAAGATAGCAGTCATTCAGTAACGGCTAAAAAGAAGGTGATCTTTTCCAATAAAATTGCCATTAATGAAACATTCCCAGCTGGACTCTACAAGAGGTTTAATAAAGACATTACTCAATATCTTTTATCGGATTCTAGGTCAGAGATCTCGAAGGTTAAAGAGGAATTGAACAATTATAAATGTAATGAAATGTTGGTTCATGAAAGTTCTCAACAAAACACTCATTTCTTCTATTGATGTTAGTCTATGTATGTATTTACGAATTATAAAGAAACTCGTTAATATTTAGAGCGGCTATATGCCTTATGGAAATTAATTGGGTTGGTTTTTTACTCTTAGCTTCCTCTATATGTAGAGTACCCATAATTTGAAACCAACAAAGGAATATGGATATGTTCATCGGATTCCCCCACACTAAAGGTAACTTCAACATAAGGATAAAAACACGACTGACCAAGCTCTTCAAAATATTCTCGAGTATGAAATCTCAAAATATAAACACTCTTGGGAAATTCAGTAAATGGATGTCCATATTGGTTTGTCCAATATGTAACACGACCATCTTTGGAGGTTAGTTCCACGAATGCCGGAATTGTGTTTTTATACACGGAAATTAGTTCGACAATAACTCCTTCTGCTGGCTTTCCAGTGACGGTGTTAAGGACATGTGTGGTAACGATTGCCATTGAGTTAGTTAGGTATGTTGTAAAGTAGTGAAGTTGTAAAGTCAACTGCCATGTACTATGTCCGGTTCACCCGCGGGATCTTATATCCAATATAATAATGCTGCAAAAACAATAGCAAGTGGTTTACGCACGCTTGAGTTGGTTACATTTTTTTTTATTAGACGCTACTTCCTATGGCTATATAGGTTTTTCAAATCAAAAACGTGAACATGTAATGGTTAGATGTAAGCATTGAGCCCAGAAATTTTCGTCAAGACGCAGTTTTGTTAACTCCCTTTATATGTAGTATACCCATAATTGGAAATCAATAATGGAATATGAAGGTGTTCATCGGACTCCTTAACAGTAAATGTAATCTCAACATAAGGATAAAAGGTCTCTTGATCCAACTTTTCAAAATATTTCTTGGTGTTAAACTTAATTTTGTATTCTCCACTAGGGAATTGATTAGTTGTTGACTTATCTTGGTACTGCCATTCAATTATACGTCCATCTTGATTAGTCGTTGCCGTGAAATGAGGAACTGGATTTGATTCTACCAAGTTTATCTCAACGGCTACGTCGTGTGCTGGTTTACCATTGACAGTGTTGAGAATATGGGTGGTGATTCTTGTCATGGTTGTTTGTTGTTTGGGTATTCTTTTTTTTTTTTCTTCTTCTTCTTATCTTATCTACCTTTTTATTTTCCAAGTTTACTGGATGCTGTTGAAGAATAATTAACTTAATTAAATTTGGATAATTTAAATTTTAACCTTTATCTATACTAAAGTTTTTGTTTTGTCATTATTTGTTTACACATAACCATTACACCAAAGTTTAATTTTACACTTCTCTATAAATCTCCTATATAACTCCATTGAATATTCCGGGGATCGTAATGCCAACTATCCCGGTCATGCAAATCATCGACAATAATATAGTCGATGATTGCATTAACTATTTTATATCCTAGACCATCACCAATAACTTTGCGATGTTTAACCACTGACAAATAGTACACCACATCAAGAACTTCGTTGCTGACTCCTCTTTGTCGTATTCTCAGTAGACATGTCTTTAAATGGGTGTATAGTTTTTGTAAATTATTCAGGTAGACCTTTTGGGACTTTGTCACGGATATTAGATTCATATTTATCTGCAAATCATGTCGTATTCTTTGAAACACGACTTTTCTGGCTTGCTTGAATGTGAGATTTTCATGGTTGGGGATCTCAATCGCGGCTAGTTGGTTCCTAGTGAGGATATCTAAAAGATTGGCGATGTTTTGATCGTAGAATAGCGTGGCTAATTTGAATTCAACAAAATTGTTTGCTATTATCCATTTAATCATTTCAATGGCAAGTTGAAGATTAGTAAAAATTTTAATCTGTGTTTCATTATCCACAATCATCATACAGGTATCTTCATTTTGGTACAAATTCATACTATCAGAAGATGTTTTTCCAGTATTCTCCTGTATTTCATCACTTAATAGAAGCTCAGCTCGAGATTGTCGTTTATTAGTTTCCTGGGTATCAAACCTCACCACAACATCACCCTGCGATGTTGCCTCTGGAATGAAAACCCATCCGGGTTCAAGTATCTCTTTTCTATATTCCATTCGCTCTTTCCAACAGTCTATTTCTGCCGAAATGTCGGTATTCCCTCCAATAATATTCACGGTCTCTGCATGGACTTCTCGCTTGTTAGCCCAAGTAGACACTTTCCCTGTAATTTCGATAAGTTTCCCATAATTCAGGTCAAACCTCAATCCCGAACGCGAATACTCCAATATTGGCACCTTGCACCATATCCCGTCACCCGAACAATCATCTACGCGCAACAAGATGAAATCATAGCTGGGGTCGGCCCTACTTGATCGATACACTTCCCCGATTATCCTCCCTGCTATTCGTAGCTTACTTATGGGGAAGTTGTTTATGATAATCACGTTCAAATAAGAGGCATTCCGGAAGTATATTTGCGATAATGGTGGAGAGGTCGTAATATCATGGATGAAAAGCGGTGGTACCGATATGGAGGTTGGTGCAAGATGGAATACTTCAGGGACGTAGTATGTCTGGGTAGATGTCTGTAGTGCGATATGGTTTTCGCCAGGGGCGAATGTATATTTGTTATTATTTTGAATTGTTGCTGGTGATAGATTGTTTATATTATAAGTTGTGTTTATAAACAATTTTCTTCACTGCATATAAATGACGCGATATTAAAAAAAAAAAAAAGATTAAACTCATCTCAGATAGTACATTTCACAATTAACAACAAAATGACTCTCTTTGAAGTTAAAGGATGGGAATTGAAACAGGAAAAGATCGCCGTAGGTGGTGTTGTATCTAAGAAGAAAGCAAAAAAGGAAAAGAAAGAAAAGAAGAGACAGGCAGAAGCAGAAGCTAACGCTGCTGTCCAAAATGCTGAAACTGCAGCCATTACTGAAGTTGTTGCAAATGACCAAGCTGAAGAAAAACCTCAAGAATCCAAAAAGAGAAAGGCTGATTCAGAGCATACTCAAACTAAGAAACTGAAAACTAAGCAAGTGGAAGCCCCAGCTCCAATAGTAAGCACCACAACCAAGTTGACCCCACTTCAACAAAAAATGATGGCCAAGCTTAGCGGGTCCAGATTCAGATGGATTAACGAGCAGTTATACACAATCAGTTCTGAATCTGCATTAGAACTTATTAAATCTCAACCATCATTATTTGATGAATACCATGCCGGATTCCGCTCTCAAGTTGCATCATGGCCAGAAAACCCTGTAGATGTATTTGTTAAACAGATCAAGACCAGAGCTACTACCAGAAATGTGAATGCTCCTGGTGGATTACCTGGGTTGGCCAATAGAAAGGTTGTTGTTGCTGATATGGGATGTGGAGAAGCTCAACTTTCACTTGATGTTTCCAAGTTCTTAGCTCAACACAATAAGAAGAACAAACGTAAGTTAGATATTCAAGTTCACAGTTTTGATTTAAAGAAACACAACGAAAGAATCACCGTAGCTGATATCAAGAACGTCCCACTTCCAGATGAATCATGTACCATTGTTATATTCTGTCTTGCTATGATGGGAACAAATTTCTTGGATTTTGTCAATGAAGCATATAGAATCTTAGCACCAAACGGAGAATTATGGATTGCAGAAATAAAGTCAAGATTTACCGAGAGTGGGAACAATGCTAACCCCGAAGATGTGGGCCAAGAATTTGTCGATGCGTTAAAACTTTGTGGCTTTTTTCATAAATCCACAGATAATTCCAACAAGATGTTTTCCAGATTCGAATTCTTTAAGCCTTCAAAGGAAATCATCGAACTGAGAAACGCAAAATTACAAAGAAAGAAACGATTTATTGAGCAAGAAACCGATAAAGAAAAGTTGGAAACTAAGAGACAGGAAAAACCCGAGGGTGAATGGTTATTAAAACCATGCATATACAAAAGGAGGTAACCAGTAAATAGAAGCAAATAGCAAACTTTAAATTAACAAATCAGGCTTTGCCGATCGTTCGATCTTCCCTTGGTAAGTTGCAAACTTTAAAAGCTGGCAGTTGGATATTAATGGTAAGTTGGATCCCATTGTTTGACTAGTCACGTGACGTAAATTTCCTTATTAAGTAACTGCTGCCAGCGGTCTTGCAGCCTCTTTCATCCCAGCCAACGCCAAAAAAAATACAATTACCAGCAACTGCGAAATTAGAGAATATATAATTATAAATGGAAATAAATCCACAATTTCTACTTTTTAACATGTTGTTCTTTCTGTAAATGCAATATGACTGATTACTACACTCCTTCTTTATTATTTAGACAAAATGCTATACGGAGATATAGCCCCAGCTTGTCTCCCATATCTAGCCAAACCAGTTTAGCCAGTACCATTGAAAGTCTTCACCCTAATAAAAATAGCTGGCTACTTAATTTAGACAACCCAAAAGATTCCCAAGTTCTTACACAATCATGTTCATTGAATCGGGTGAACATCAAATCAAACTATTGGAAAATTCCCGACACTAATATGAACCTTACTGGTTTAGCTATTGCCCCCAATTCACCAAGTGTCACACCCACATTAGCCATATCACTGGGTAACCGTGATGCTAATTTATTTATATATCAATTAAATCTCGATGAAAATAACTTGACCCACCATTGCACAATCACATTGCCTAATATCCATGCCATGGAATGGGTGAACAACCAGTATATGATTACAGGTAATAACAAAGGGTATGCCCATTTAGTTTCCATTCCTAGTGTGACCGATGCAGAAGAAAACGATGAAGATGCCGAGATTTGCAAACGATTCAACCATAGAAAACATTTAAAGAATCATCCTGACAAATATAAATCTACTGCCATTTCAAAACTCGCCATTCACAACAATGAATTGATCTCCCTTTATAACAACCACTTGTTTCAATGGGATATAAAGGGCGTTGACACCCAAACTAAACCCAGCCCAATTTCCATAACTAACATATCTGGAATATCGGATATGGATACATTGGCCGGGTCAAGTACTTTGGCCATTGCTGGGAAATTTGGGGTATCGCTTTTCGATAGTAGAGATGCTAAGTTTAAAGTCCCTCAATACATTCTACCCGATAGCTATGAACAATTCCGTGAACTCAACGCTAATATAATCAGATGGAATAGTATGGATAGTAATGTATTGGCCAGTGGCCATGGTGATGGTGTGGTTAGACTTTGGGACGTCAGAAAAATCAATAGTTGTGTTGCAAGTTTATGTTCAAGTACAAGTGCAGAACACACTCCAACTATAACCACCCTCGAATGGAATAATGGTGATATATTTACTGGAGCACAAGATGGGAATATAATCCATTGGGATTTAACTAGTACTCCACTCTCAACTAGCCATACTACATGCACACTTAGTGAGGGTTTAAACAGTGTGAAATTTGATGGTCGTAGTAACAAGATTGAAATTGCTCAGCAACGTCAATGTGGTACTATACTTCCTGCTTCCAATACCAATATTGTTAGCATGACTAGTTTGCAACTTGATGATGATACCGTTGTTGTTTCGATCGATGGTTCTTCATTCTTGGGTGTTCACTCGAAAGTCACTGAAATTAAACAATATCATACTAATTTGTTTGACAACACTCTTGTATCTTCAGATACATTGGTGCTGGTGAATGAGGCTACCCAACCATTACAGATCAAAGAGAAACGAGTGACAAGCAGTGAACCAATAATACCGGTAGGTATAAACAATGTGTCAGTAGATACATTGCAAGACGTCATCGTAGTAGAGGACGGAGAAGATTTCCATTTTGGAAGTAATACAGATGTTGATAGTTGTGCTTCATTACAGGTTGATTCACCCAATAGTAGTACACATTCGGTTGAATCGTTGTCAACATTAGCCACCGAGGTGGACCAATATAATAACAAAGGCATAAACTTGATGTTTAATGGTATTTTCGATGCCTTGCTGTGATTTATGGTATGATTTTTCTCTTAGTAATAATTTATAATATGCCCGTAAAAAAAAGTAATAACTTCGGCCCGATTTGTAAGACTGTAGTATTTTGGAGACGCTGACTAAGAGGCGAAGCACGATAGTGAGGGGGGGGACCGCCTGATATTAATATAGTTAGTAATTATTACCAAATAAACTTATACAGTTAGCTATATCAAGCTCATCTCAAATACTTGTACAAACAATAACAAAGAAGTTGCTGAGATTTGCTCTCTGCCCCTTTTTATTTTGCTCATAGTTGACATCCCTACGAGCCGGTGCACCAACCACCACCGCAGTAACCACTAACCACCACCCACCACCAGGGAAAAAAAAAAAAAAGACACACAACAACGTAAATTTCAATTTAAACAATTTCTTTTCGATTCTGATTTGTACTCATTATAACCACAACAAAAGTAATAATAGAACTCTCCACATAATCACAATACATCCATCACACATAAAGTGTTCTCTTCATACACATATATACACAGTCCGTCATATATTATAGATTGATTATTACCCAGCTTGCCACTCCTTTCATCACTGTGTCCTCCCCCCTCCTGTATCTTATATTCATAAATAATATATTAATACAATCATGGTTAGTGGACGTGCAGTACCTATAAATGTCAAAGTAGTTGCGGCAGAATCACTTTATAAACGTGATGTGTTTCGTCAACCGGATCCATTTGCGGTTATAACTGTCGATGGGTCTCAAACTAAAACTACAAAAACCGCTAAAAAGACATTAAATCCTTATTGGAATGAATCGTTTAATTTCCAAGCTTTACAGGATTCGATATTGGTTATTCAAGTATTTGATCAAAAGAAATTCAAAAAGAAAGACCAAGGGTTCTTGGGTGTGGTTAATATAAGAATTGGTGATGTGATTGATTTATCGTTGCCAAATTCAGAAGAAACTATAACTAGAGATTTAAAAAAATCAAATGAAAATTTGGCTGTTAGTGGAAAAATCATTGTCGTGATATCATATTCAAGATCTGGTGGCTCTACTTCTGGTCCAGCATCTGCTCCTTCTGGTCCTTCTCGTGTTTCAAATGGTTCAGCTGCTACTGCTCCACCACCAGCTGCCAGTGCACCTGCTGCTGCTCCTACATCACCTACTCACCATGCTAATGCTGCTTTACTATCTCATGGTGCTACCGGTGATGGGTCACAGTTCCCAAGTACGACCGCATCTAATCGACAATACTCATCGTTTGAAGATCAACAAGGTCGTCTTCCAGCAGGGTGGGAACGCCGTACCGATAATTTCGGAAGAACTTATTATGTCGATCATAATTCAAGAACAACAACTTGGTCAAGACCAACTTTGGACCAATCAGAATCGGAAAGAGGTCAATTGAGACAATCGGAAACTGAAGCCGAAAGAAGACAACACCGTGGCAGAACCTTACCCGGTGAAACTCCAAGTTCTCCATCTCTTATGAATAATGTTAATTCATTAACTAGTGGTAATGTTACTGTTAATGCTACTGGACCAAATACCCCAGTTTCACCAGGTGCTGCGGTATCCATGGCTTCTTCAGGTGCAACTACTAGTGGATTAGGTGAATTACCTTCTGGGTGGGAACAACGTTTCACAAACGAAGGTAGACCTTACTTTGTTGATCATAATACAAGAACAACTACTTGGGTTGATCCAAGAAGACAACAATATATCCGAACCTTTGGTCCAAACACCACCATTCAACAACAGCCAGTTAGTCAATTGGGTCCATTACCTTCTGGTTGGGAAATGAGATTAACAAACACTGCCAGAGTTTATTTTGTTGATCATAATACAAAGACCACGACCTGGGATGATCCAAGATTGCCTTCATCCTTGGATCAAAATGTCCCACAATATAAGCGTGATTTTAGAAGAAAAGTTATTTATTTCAGATCTCAACCTGCATTAAGAATCTTACCAGGACAATGTCATATTAAAGTTAGAAGAGATCATATCTTTGAAGACAGTTACCAAGAAATTATGAGACAAACTCCTGAAGATTTGAAGAAACGTCTTATGATTAAGTTCGATGGTGAAGAAGGGTTAGATTATGGAGGGGTTTCCAGAGAATTCTTTTTCTTACTTTCTCACGATATGTTTAATCCATTCTATTGTCTTTTCGAATATTCTTCGCATGACAATTACACATTGCAAATTAATCCAAATTCAGGTATTAACCCTGAACATCTTAATTATTTCAAATTCATTGGAAGAGTTGTTGGTTTGGGTGTCTTCCACCGTCGTTTCCTTGATGCCTTCTTTGTCGGTGCATTATACAAGATGATGCTTCATAAAAAGGTTGTCTTGCAAGATATGGAAGGGGTTGATGCTGAATTCTACAGGTCTCTTAAATGGATCTTGGATAACGATATTACTGATATTCTTGATTTGACATTTTCTGCTGAAGATGAAAGATTTGGAGAAATTGTCGAAGTTGATTTGAAACCAGGGGGGCGTGATATTGAAGTGACTGAAGAAAATAAACACGAATATGTTGAATTGATTTCTGAATGGAAGATTTCTAAACGTGTTGAAGAACAATTCAAGGCATTTATTGATGGGTTTAATGAATTAATTCCTCAAGAATTGGTCAATGTTTTCGACGAGCGTGAGTTAGAATTATTAATTGGAGGGTTGGCCGAAATTGATGTTGAAGATTGGAAGAAACACACTGACTATAGAGGATATCAAGAATCAGACCAAGTTATTCAATGGTTCTGGAAATGTATTGGCGAATGGGATTCTGAACAAAAGGCCAGATTATTACAATTCACAACAGGTACTTCTAGAATACCTGTCAATGGGTTTAAAGATTTGCAAGGTTCCGATGGGCCAAGAAGATTTACCATTGAAAAAGCGGGTGAATCAAATCAATTACCAAAATCGCATACTTGTTTTAATAGAGTTGATTTACCACCATATGCTGATTATGAAAGTTTAAAACAAAAATTAACGTTGGCAGTGGAGGAAACAGTTGGATTTGGTCAAGAGTAGAGGAGATTTACATATATTGTTGATTGTTGTTGTTGTTGTTGTTGTTGTTATTGCACTTATACATATGTACTTACATATGATTTTATATTTTTGTTAATGTTATAAATTTGTTATTTTTTTTCGATTAAATCTGCTCTAGAATCGTTGTTTCTGTGTAGACGGAGTTAATACGGCTGTAAACTGCTCGTGGGGGTGTACAGCCAGTTTTGAGCCACCTTCGCATTCCCCACTATCTGGATCCTGCATAAATATTATTTCCTGCATATCCGTCTTTATCATAATCTCTCCCCTCATATTTGTTCCATACTTTGTTTTATCAGTGTCATTTATTGTCACATATTACCACTATTGGCAGTCCAAACGGGCTTACCAATATTATTTCCCCTTGGTTATTCACCCCTCGCCCCTCTTTTTGCTTGTTTTTTTTGCAAATTTCACCCTCCCCCACAGGTTTAATCATTGATTACTAAACAAATAATTCCAGTTCTCCTCTTTCTCTATAAATAGCGTTACAATTCTTGTAAAAAAACTGTGCCCAAGTTTATTCTGAAGCTATATATATATATTTGATTCAATAATTAACCAACAATGCCTGACTTATTTGATAACTTGTTTAACAAAATTGGTGCTAAGATTAATGGTGGCAAAACCACCCACTATCACGGCGGTGCTTCTCAAGTAAACACCGGTAGATTCTACAGCTATGTTGCCACCCCAAATAACAACAACTATTGGTTGCCTCGTGAGAAGCAAGCCAGTGCAACTGCTGCTGCTATGTCTGCTGATGATACTACTATTAACATTAAGGAACGTAGTAGCAGTATAGTTTCCATGGAGGAAAGCCAGTCGAGACTGGGTAGTGTTTCTGAATGATTTTGTATACTTTTATAGGATTATCGGTTTTTAGGAATGACATGTTATGGTAAAGATAATTAACTGTTGTAATATCATCTATTGCTATTTGTTCGGCTCATTAATATCAAGCAAATTACAATGATAATATAACGAAAAACTTTAAATTAACTATTAAACACTAAATAACGCGCATTTGAGGTGATCTTCTAAAGTTTACTCGTTTAAGTTCAGGATTGATTTAATTAATCCTACTTTTGTGCTCACAGACAATACTTCAGGTATTGTTTCGGTCTGTCGATCACAAACAGATGCACCCAAGATTTGGCCCTCAATAAATGATAACAATAGGACTATTATTGATCATTCTTATGATCTTCTTTTTACTTTTGTCGACGTGATAAACACATCATCAGTTGATCTAAATTTCACTTGTAAGCACCATGACTTTATCCTACTTCAAGTTAGCAAACATTTAATTATTTTGAGGTACAATGTTAGTAATTGTATTATACATACTTGGATATTTGTAAATTATGTCATATCATTTTCTTGATTAATTGTTAGGTGATTTCAGATTAATTTATGTCAAGCGCTGAAGAAGCGAAATGACCTTAGCTTGACTAAAAGAAGCTATTGATTGTTTTAATAGTTTCCATGTGATATTAAGTCTCTTATCTTCTGTATTGTTAGAATAAATCTTAGAAACAGTACACAGAAAAGAAAAAGAAAGTAATATAAAGGTAAAATTTTGGAACTGCCATTTTCGCAACCTTTTTATATTGCTGTCAGGTAGTTGACACAAATTGATACCAAAAAAATATTTCTAAAAGGCAGGAGAAAAATTAGCTTGGAATCGCCTGATATTTCTAACTATCTGGTGTGAAATCATTGAAGTGGTTCTATTAACCTAAAAAATAGACTATCAAAGATTTAAAATAGATGGGTCTCAGGTTAGTCTGTATCATTATAGTATATATAGAAAAATAGTATACATTAAAACCAAGATAAACTTTCAGAACTGAATTATTAAACATCAAATGTTAATATAAAATGGGACGAAACTATGCGTCAACAGCAACAGCAACAGCAGAATAACCATGAAAGACATCCTTTGCCTTGTTTCCTTCTTTCATTGAAACTAGATGTGTCTGAATGTAACTCTCCATCGTCTCTAACTGGTATCATGCCGTTATAAGGATGTTGCAACTGTTGATGTTGATAATGTTGTGAATATTGCTGTTGTTGTAAAAACTTGGAATTACTTCTTGAAGGATCCTTTTGAATTGATTGATAATTTTGACTATATTTTTTTATTCGAGGAGAATTGGTCGAACTTGATCTAGATAATAATGGAGTGGATGCATCTCGGGCTAAAACTAATTGCTGTTGTGAGGGATGCAATTTTGGTGGGTGTGGGTTACCGTAACCATGTAAGTTTACCTTTTTGTTTAGTGCTGCATCCCAACCTTTACCATTGTTTAAATCCATCCAATCATAATGTCCGTCTTCTTGTTCTCCTATGGAAACTAATGCTTTATCCATAAGTCCAATTAAATATTTATAATCTGGAGTTTCATCAAATCGTAAATTACGAACATAAGTCAAGTATTGAGCAAACTGGATGGGGAACCCATAACATAGTTCATTAATTGAAGTAGTTTTCTTTTTCAATCCAATTTTTTCATACTTTTGTTTATTGGTTGGTGCTTTTAAGCCTTGCCACGGCAATGACCCTCGTAAGAAATACATAAACACATGACCTAAACTTTCTAAATCATCTCGTCTCAGTTGTTCTCTCCCTAAATGAGTGTTTATAGACATGTAACGGGCAGTTCCACTTAATGCTTTCTTTTCTCTATATGGAATGTGAACCTTGCTTTTTGGATCACGATATTGTTTAGCCATTCCAAAATCAACAATGTATATCTGGTTCGCCTCGGGAGTGTTGGGTTTTCCGATTAAGAAATTGTCTGGTTTAATATCCCGATAGATTAAATTATGTTCATGAATAGATTCGACTCGTTCAATCATTTGTTTGGCAACTTGAATCACGGTCTTGACGGAGAATTTTCGATGACACCAATCAAAAAGATCTTCTAAACTGGGGCCCAATAAGTCAATGATTAATATGGAGTGTACTCCTTCTTGTCCAAAGAAATAAGCGGATGGAATTCCCTTGGCTCCATTTAAGATTCTGTATGATCGATACTCATCACGTAATTGCGGTGCTTCACATTTCCGGGGTTCAAATTTTATAGCTACTTGTTGATTGGTTAGGATGTTTATTCCTTCGAAGATAATTCCAAATGAACCTTCCCCGATTTTCTTACCAACTTTGTAATGAACCCCTACTATACTAGATGTGCTTGACTGTGACATTACATGTGGTGGGTGTGTTGTAAAAGTCTATTTCTGTCTATAAAAGTGAATGGATTCGTTCTTAATGATAAGAAAGAAACACTGGGATGTGGGTGGAAGTTTACGCGTGGGGTGGGGATTGATGAATTATGGGATAGTAAAAATTTTAATGGATAGTGGGGACAAATTTAGCCGGATGTGCTTGAAAAGGGGGGGGACTATCTTGATGCTTAAGTGTATTTGTGTGTTGATCAATTGATGTGGGTTTAGTACGTGATTTCATACACTTGTTTCGTTTGATTCTCCCTTTGATTTATCCTGGTTTGTTTGTAAAGAACACCCTTGATGTGGAATTTAAAGTTGGCTGTTGTTATTTGAATTGATGATTTTTTTTTTTGTTTCATTCGTCTTGGCGTAATTTAGCCCTAGCAACTGAACGAAAAAAAAAAAGGTTCAATTTGAAAATTGTTATGACCACTTTCGTGCCACGACAAAATTCTTGTGGGGCGGATCTACCGCGTGAGTGACAAATTTTGCTACTACCATCCGCGTGAACAATTTCTGTCTCTATTTTAAGAAAAAACTGATCAAGCCTATATTAAACATATACAGTTACCACATGTCCGATTTTAAACCAAATCAATCTGTATATGCATATCATGGCCCTCTAATCTACGAAGCTAAAATTATAAAAGTCCGACGTGCGTTAGATACACATATAATAAACCAAGATAATCAAATAGAAACATATGCTATTAATCCAAAGTTTAATGTAAGTAAATGGGAGAAACAAACAGCTTATTTCTTACATTATCAAGGCTGGAACTCCAAATGGGATGAATGGGTTGGTGTTGATAGAATAATGGAATTTACTGAGGAGAACAAGTATAAAAAGCAAGAATTAGATCAACTAATTAAGAAGCGCAAGTCGAAAGCTTCTTCTCCTGATACTGGTACAACCAGCACTGCTAAAACGGTTAATACTTCAAACGAACCTGTAAATAAAAAAGCAAAAACAACGACAACGACAGCGACAGCGACAACTACCAAAAAGAAAAAATCTAGCGTTACAATCAATCTCGAATTCCCTAGAGAGTTGAAGTATGTACTTGTAAATGATTGGGAGTACATTACTAAAGATAGAAAGTTAGTATCCTTGCCAAGTGATCATCCAGTAAGCAATATTCTTCAAGATTATAAAACCTATAGAACTAAACAACTATCAGCAGACCAAATTAGAATTCTTGTGGAAATTCTGGAAGGATTAGAAGTGTACTTTAACAAGTCATTGAGTTTAATTCTACTTTACAAATATGAAAGTTTGCAATATCTTAACTTCTTAAAAACAGATTTAATTAATCAAGAAAACAGTCAAAGTAAAGTGTATGGAGTGGAACATTTGTTGCGTTTGTTAATATCATTCCCAGGGTTGATTGGACAAACCACCATGGATACCATAAGTGTCAGTGTTCTCGTTCTGGAAATTGAAGAATTATTGAAATTCTTGGTGGATAGATTAGAAGTGTACCTGAATAATTACGATTACAGTAGCCCTCAATATGATAGTTTGGCGAGGGCGTAAATAGCTCTACATTGTATATATTTTCAAATTAATGTTGTATTATTCTATATGCCTTTATGCTGTCAAAGTAACATCTTGTCTAGGAGTAAACAAAATCTTAATATGATTTTGTTTATTGTGAATTAATTCCAAAAATCCCTTTTCAACCCCATCTTCCAACTTTATAACTGAAGTAATCAACAATTTTAATTCGTCAACAGATATTAATCCTGATTGAATTGCTGCAATTGAATCTTCAAAATCTTCTTTAACAAAACAAATTGATCCAGTAACAACTTTTTCGGAGAATGTGGTTTCCATTGGGAAATATGATACTGATTTATGGGCCCAAACAGCAACATTGGTGGCGGTTCCTCGTATATTTAAAGTCTTTAAACCAGTTTCAAAAGTTGCTGGGACACCTGAACAATCGTATGAATAGTTAAACCCGTGACCATTTGGTGACATTGCTCTTAATTCAGTGACACATTGTTCAACTGATTTACCAGTTGGGTCAAATACTTCAACACCTAATTTTTCAGCCAATTGTCTTCTAGCCAATGCCGGTTCACTCAAAACAATATGACCCACTTTATGACCTTTCAAGGCAAAGATGGTAGTTAATCCGATAGGACCACCACCTAAAATCAATGCACTTTGACCTTCAACAAATCTTGACACTCTAACTGCATGCCAACTGACAGCAATTGGTTGTACCAATGCAGCAACATCCATTGGAATGATATTTTCATCAAACTTGATGACTTTTGATGCAGCAGTAACTAAATATTCAGAACAACCACCATCAGTGAACCCCAACCCAGTCAATCCAAGGTAGTCACATGCATTGTAATGTCCGACATGACAACTTGGACATTTTGGCTTATCAAATCCTGGAGAATCTGGGAATCTATATCTATCAAAACAAGTTCCCGTGACTTCAACGACAACTTTATCACCAGGAACAACATTGGTAACATCCTTACCCACTTCAATAATTTCACCACTTATTTCATGTCCCATACATTGAGGGTATGGTAAATTAGAAATTTCATTATTAGTACCTTTCTTACTAAAGAAAATTGGTCCATCGGTATATTCTTTCAAGTCAGACCCACAGATCCCACAATAATGGACTTTAATCTTCACGTCATCACCACGTGTTATGTTTGGTTCGGGGAATGCTGGATCATATCGAACATCCCCTCTATCGTGATATACAATTGCTTTCATAGTTGATGCAGTCATTTTAAATTAAAAAAAAAAAATTTCCTTACAGGTAATGAGTTTTTATATCAAAAACAAAAATGCTAAAAAGTTTTGATCTTTGAAAGTATGACCGCTAAAAAAACAATGCTACGGATGTATGACTGTCAAGGGGGCAAGGCGCTGGCTGATTGGCTTCACGTAAATTTTTAAGTTGATTGTCTAAAATGAAATTCGAAAAAAAAATGCAGGGAACAATAACTTAAAAAATAATCACAATCATACATTTATTTACTTCGCCTTTTATTTGCAGCATTAACAACGTCATGTTTTGCGAGATCTTGAAGCACTCTGATAATTGAATAGAGCTAAACCTTCGTAAATAGGGTTTTGAAACTTATAGTCAGGGGTGTATCAGCTGATTTTCGTATTAGCAAATCTACTAGTAGGCTATTGTTGCTTCCTTTTGAAAAAAATCAAGAACAATTTGAGCAGTGTATAAACCGAGGTTCTATTAATTCATCCGAGGAATGACAATTTGGCAATCATGCCTTCATGAATTAACTTGTTAAACAAGTTAACTTTGCTACTGCCACTGGCATCTGTGTTACATGCCCTGCGTCTACGGATAAATTATGGGCAGGGTTTAAAAATATTTCACATATTGAAAAAAAAACTTTATTTTCTGAATCTGAGTTCTGAATGCCAAAAAACTTTGAACGCTTCCCATACTCTCCATAGAATAAGTGGATCTGGAAATTTCTTCTAGTGTATAATGAAGTGCCTTCTATAGAAAACGTGATGTACCAAATATAATACGGAAAAAAATGGAGAAACCTTAACATATTTCCCCTGACAAAAGTATTATATAATCTGCTTGACAAAGTTTATTTCTCCAAAGACAGTTTTTGCTCCCCATTCAATGAAACATGATCATATTTTATTGACCAGTAATCGCAATAGAACTACATTTCAAAATTGATTGTTCCGCCAATAATAGTCTGCAAAACGGATAAATTTACTTCCGGAACAAATTTTCGGAGAAAATTTACAAATTGAGATCTAATTAGTTAGGTCTGTATATATTAGCATAAGATACGAATTAACGAATTACTAAAGTCACAAAAAACATCTGTTAATTGCTTTAACAAGTTATACAATGTATATTCATAGCTGTATAAACTATGGACTGTATATCGTAACTATGCATAACCTAAAAGGGTTCTACCCCACATTTCATAAATTCATTCTCCTCCTTTCTCGTTTGTGATTTCCTCTCCCCCCACTCACCCATCCACCAATCTAGGAAATAACTACTTAAAATCACACAAGATTAATAAAAACACATTTTATTCCAATTTTTCCCTTCGTAAACATCATTAAAAACATATATAAAAAAAAACTCTAAGGTGTACAACACAAGCCAAAATATATAGCAATAATATACAATTCTTGAATTACACTAAAACCCAAAAGCAGCTTATCATTTCATAAAAAACATAACTTCATACAAAATTAAGGGAAAGTAGAAAAGTAATTTAGAACTTCTTATAATGGAATGGCCTTGTAATCAACTTCAACCAATGCGGATTCGCTGTTACAAGAGACATCTAATTCTAAAGTCCAATGTCTATTGTACTTATCTTCTTCCTCTTTAGAGAAACCATGATCAGAATGATCTCTAAACTTCCAAGTAACCTTACCTGGAGCTTCGACAACTTCAGCCTTGTCAAAGTTCAATTCATAACCGCAACATCTTTCTAAATCCTTAACCAAATGGTTCTTAACATGATGTTGCAAGTTACGTCTAAACTTCTTGGAGTTGGAGTTAGTAGTCGTCTTGATCTTCTCTGGATTATTTTGACATTCCTTCATAACAAATGGTGGGTAGTAGTTTAATCTACCATGGAAGTAGTCAAATTCGTTATCCCAAGTTTCATCACGAACAAAGGCTTCAAATTGTTCTAATTCGTCAAATTCACGAATTGGTGGTGGAACCAAAACTTGCTTCATACCAGAAGGTTCATCAGCAGATTCAATCGAGGTGATCGACATAGCTCTTGTCTTTGGCACTGGTTGTAAATGTTCTAATGGTTGGATGTTATCCAAGTCTAAAGGTAATGATTGACTTTTAGACTTCTTCTTTTGGCCCGCCATGATACGTCAATAAAATTTAAAAATTTAAGTTGTTGTTATATGTAAATCAATTTGTGAGTTGGTAGAATATATATATAGTAATAGTAGAATCTATATATATATACTGGGTTATCAATGAATGATAGGTAGAGAAAAGGAAACGAAAAAAAAAGAAGAAAATTAGAACCTTGGAAAATCTCAGGTATTTATATGGTGAAAGTTTGAAAATTTTATCTTTAGGGGGTGGAGTGGGTGAAGTGGGTGAAGTGGGGCCCATTTGGTTAAATTTCATGGGTGATCACTAGTCACTCTTTTCTTTTTTTTAGGTTGCGAAATTTAATATGAGGTGATTACGTGCCTAACTCAAGTTATTTTTTTTTGGTAGGTTTAATTTTTTTCTTGGGTCAGGACGACATTTACCACAATCAATTTTACAGATTAAGTAAGAGTTATGGGGAAAATGGGGGGAAGACCGAACAATCCTCAGGACGATTTTTTTAAACAATCAGGAGACTTTCGTCATTATACGTTTTTTATGATCTTGCCCCTTTTTTACTTTTCTCCTCCTCGGGTGAGTATTTTCCTGTTTCTTGTTTACAAATTAAGTCTTACAAATTTCTTTGAATTTCTTTTTTAAATCAACCATCATCAACATTTCAAGAATCATTCAAACCTTTCTCGTATGTACGGTTCAGGGTGAAATGACGTTTAATTTGATACCAACCAACCCTTTATCCAAACAAAATGCAAGCTAAATTCTCTAAATTTTTTTTTTTTGCCTGATTTCCTATACACCTTTTTTTTTGTTTTTTTTTTTGTCTGCCTTGTTTGGGTCGTACGTAAGATTCCTTCTGTGTCAGTGTGACATATAGTGTGGAGGTATGGGGGGTGCAAATGGAATGTTTTCCTGTGCGCGATTTTTGTGGGAGAACGACATAAGGCTATGGGGTGAATGTATGACCTAAAAAATCATCCCATGTTGCGTACTTTTTTTTTCTTTGTGGTTATTTTTTAAGCGGAATCGGAAATTAGCCCGCGCCAAAATCATGCAGCTAACACTACTTAATTAGATTAGGGCGATGATGTTTATGATTTAACATGCTCCGATGTCACGTCATAAAAGTTTTGTGAAAATTATCCATTTGTAAACGCATGCCATTTAATTGTTCCGGACGACTCATGTAACTGCATATGCAATAAACCCTCTAGTTTGAGCTATTTTTTCTCGATCCAATAGTAACCTACTCCGGGTTTTGAGTTGTAATCATTCCCGTTGTTGATCCCAGATATTTTAACTGTAAGGATGAGACCATGTGTCATGCTGTGCTTTTCCCAATTTACGTTGTTACTTACACTTTTCCTTCCTCTGCATATAAATCTATGTAAGGCATTCACCCTCATTTTACTGTTTATTGATTAAATAAAGACAATAATACATCTTGCCTCGAGATATACTTTCTTAATGGCATTGTTCTTACTTGAATAGCTAGCTTCAAATCATGGACTCTGTTCTGGTAGAATTACCCCGTTCGATTAATGCTCCTACCTATTACTAGAAGTGTGCGACATTTATATATTTCCGACATTTTGTCAACAGCACGACATTTGCAGATATAAATTTTTCTTTTTTTCAAGCGGGCAATATCCAGATACATGATGAACCATCAAAGATCTAGCGATCAATTTTACTATACACAGAGAAATATAACTATACAACATGAGTTTATGGGGAGTTTATAATGGCCCACAGCCACCTAAGAAAACTCTTGCTGAAATGGATCAGCAAGAACAAGCCGAAGAAGGGGCCCGACAAATGATTAATCTTATGCAATCATGTCCTGGTAAAACTGTGATGGCAGGTGTAAGTGGGTTTGCTCTTGGTGGTTTTTTTGGGTTGTTCATGGCATCTATGGCATATGATGCACCAATAGGTACCGATTCAGTGAAGCATATATCAGAATTGCCATTCAAACAACAAATGAAATTACAATTTTCCGATATGGCCAAAAGATCATATTCTAGTGCGAAAAATTTTGGATATATTGGTATGGTTTATTCTGGGGTTGAATGTTGTATTGAAAGTTTGAGAGCTAAACATGATATTTATAACGGTGTTGCTGCTGGTTGTATTACTGGTGCTGGTTTGGCCATAAATGCTGGTCCTCATGCTGCATTCATGGGATGTGCTGGGTTCGCCGCGTTCAGTGTTGCTATTGATATGTATTTAAATAGTGATTCTGCACCACCACCGAAGAATGATTACGATAGTTAAAAGACACACGCAGATTATCTATTAAAGCATGTACATAATAATACAAAAAACAAAACTATAGAAATAATACAGATTGTCTTGGGACAAGGAGAATGGAACTATTAACAAAAGTAATAACAATATTGGTAAGCAAAATCAGCCAATATAAGGGACGTTATTAGGTATAACCCAATGACTACTAGTATGAATATTAGTGGATATTTAAGTCTTTGAGCAACACCAAGTAATTTTTCTTTATATTTGACTCGTTTCTTCAAGTTTGATTTCATTCGTTCTAACTCTTGAAAGATATCATCGCCTTGATCCCCCTGCAATAATGTCAAAAGATCTTCAATTTTATTATTTATAACCACGAGCTGACTTTCATCTTCTATATTATCAAGTTGAGCTATAAGATGTCGTAATTTCAGTTTAACAGTTTCTCTCTGTTGACCAATTGTCTTATTCTCTGTCTGTTTACTAGGGTATCTTGGTCTTGGAGGGTATGTAGGTCGTAGTATATATTCTCCATTACTTGTACTTGTGTCGATTTCTCTGGGGGTGATATTTCTCGATTGATATGGTGGTTTTCTCGATGTTGTTGTAGCGGTAGTGGCTGGATTATTATTAGTTGTAGTGGATGCTGGTGTTAAATAAGGCAATGGCAAGGGATCACCTAAATTCATTTGGTCAGGTTTAAGATGTCGTTTCTTCATATTATCATTGTGGTGTGGATTAATATATTTGTCTCAATAGAGATCTGATTAAGCTTGGTTAAACGTGTAGATTTCTCTATACATTTGTTGTGGTTTTTTTTTTTCTGCATATTTTGCTCACTTTGCATTTTTTGGTTGTTTACCTAATTTTGTATGTATGTTTGGATGTTCGCGCAAAAAATTTATTGGATTCCGGTGGTACATAATTACATCGAGAGCATGGGCTTCGTAAATCACAAGTCACAAGTTGGATAACTTGCATGGTCTATTGGCATGACAAGTCTGTTTATGTGACTATAGTATTTAGTTTAAAGTTGGAATTTACGTAGTATATTATTAATTCCTGGCCTTCTGATGCCAAGGCGATGCTCATAAATCACCCATTTACTCATCTCGATCTATTTTGCAGCATATGTAATTTGCAATCAACTCAAAACTGAAATCGACATTGTGTGATAGATATGAACATGTAAAAAGGTTAATTCTAACGCCTGGTCCTATTGTTTGATAATCCCGTGTTAAAAAATAACTCTATTTTTTTCTGTCGATGATCAATTTACAATTATAAAGCAATTAACACAATAGCTGAAATAGGATGCTTGAAATGATTAAAAGAAAATAAGAAAAATGTGCCAAGCTTAGGAAAACGCCTGATTTTTTATAAGAAATATTTTCCATCTGCATTACAAGAATATGTAGTAATTTGTAATATTTTCTTTCTCGAGTTTTTTTTTTTTCTATTTTCTTATTTTTTCGTTTACTCTCGCGTGCACGTACGAAGAATGGTAGTGCATTCTCGTCAAAATCAGTTTCCCCGGTTTTCTATTAATCATTTCTTGGCTGTAAGCAATTTTAAATTTCACTCTTTTCTCCTTTTTCTTGGTTCCCTAACATTATTTATTCTTATCAGAGCGCAAATATTATCTACTACCAATGTATCACTGTCCACGAAAACTCAAGGTCATTCCATGTTATGATATAGAGAAAGGCATACCTACACCATACTACAAAAAAGAACAACAGCAACACAGAGTCATTTCATTCTTGTGTTTCTTGTTGGTTACCGGATTTTGCATACTTATTCTACTCTTCAATTTACAAACCATGCCATCACAAGCACAGAAGAGTAGCCCATGGCTAGCATTTGGTGAGGATGAACATGCTGAAGACAAGATAGTAAATACGCCAGACTTTGTGCCAGTTGCACCACCACCACCAGTTCAAAATCATAAGCAAGTTATATTACAATCCAAGGATCCTAGTATTGAATCAAATTTAAAAGAAATATTCTCCATAAATCCAATTATTATATTATCTACAAATGAAGTCATGGATGAATTTGAATCAGTGCTTTTAAACTTAAACATACATCCCAAGCCAAAAGTCATAAATTTGTTAAAACATCCAAACTTTGCCAATATAATGGAATATTTGAAGAATATCAATGGCAATAATATTCCAAGGTTGTTTATTGGTGGGTTTCCTATAGGGACCGACACCGAGATATTAGAAATGAATAGGCAGAATCGGTTGGTTTATTACTTGAAAGAGAAAGGTCGGGGATTGATATCCATTGAATAGTTTATAGTTTAGTCTAGCAATGAAATGTATATGATCCCAACAAAACCTCACACGCGCGCTTCCATATAAAAACGTCATCATCGAGCGTTTGAAAAAAAAATGTAAACGGATTTAAGCCCATCATGTGTGGAATTTTGTTACGAACATCCAGTAGTTTGGAAATTCCGAGCTGTATTCCATCAGTAACTACCCAGGGCAACTTTAAAACATGGGAAACTCAAGATGTAACTGAAATTTCAAAGTATCTCGACCATGGCTCACAACTAAATCCATTGACTCCTGGACAACAATATAAACTAGAAAATCTTGATCATTTGCGACAACTTTATGTACAAATAAGCAAACTCAATAATAATGTCAAGTTAGATCCAGACATTAAGAAGAAACAAGTTGATGAAATTCAGTTGGAGATTGATAATAGAACTAAAGATGATCCAACGCTACCAGTTGCCGATGATATCAACCAGTTAATTTACAAGGTGTCTACTCGTGGCCCAAACTACTTGAATTTTACCCAGTATGGCAAGTTTCAAATGTTTAGCTCGATACTATCATTGCGTCAACCGTTTACTAAACAACCTATAATCCGAGATCAGTTTATATTACAATTTAACGGAGAGTTATATAATCAAGAATGTTTGGAACTTAATGATACTCAGTTCATTATAGATACATTGCATGAGAACTTGGGGAATGATAGACGAGATGCCATATTGACTACCTTGAAACAACTTTCAGGAGAATTTGCCATAATTCTTATTGATTTAGTTGAAAATAGGATCTATTTCGGTAGAGACAGTATTGGGAAACGTTCATTATGTTATAACTTATCTGATAGTGAACTTGTTATTAGTTCTGTTTCAACTATTGATTTCATTGAATGTAAGAATGAATTTTATGAGTATGATGTAGAAAGTCATGCTATGAATGTTCACAAGATTCACTCCCTACCTGTGCATATTCATGGTCCATATGAACCTGAGGATATTCTCCTAGGTGAGTTGTACACCAACCTCAAGAAATCTACTGATATTCGTCAAATAACAATTCATCCCTTGGTTCATGAAGTTAATGAAAGTAAATTAGGGGTATTATTCAGTGGTGGATTGGATTGTACAATTATAGCTGGGTTAATATGTGAACTATCATCTCCAACCACAATCGACTTGCTCACTGTCGGGTTTGAAAATCCTAGAACAAACCAATCAAGTGATCAAACCCCTGATAGGAAATTAGCCCTTAAATCGTGGTTCCATTTACAAAAACAATATCCCCACATAACTATTCAATTACTTGAAATCAATGTTGATTATAAATCTTGGTTGGTGCATAAATCTAAAGTTATGGATTTGATATATCCTTGTGATACTGAAATGGATCTTTCCATTGCTATTGCTTTTTATTTTGCTAGTAGTAAGTTACCGCAATTGACTAGAATGACCACGTTGTCCGACCGGAACATTGATTGGACAAGTTTCCTTGAAAATCCAGACAAGTATACCCATAAAACTGAAAATTACAATTCCCAAGCAAAAGTATTGTTTAGTGGATTGGGTGCAGACGAATTATTTGCTGGCTATTCAAGACATGAAGCGCTATTCACTAATATCCAACCAGATACTCCACAAGCAGCCATCGACGAATGTTATAACAAATTAACTTCTGAATTAATATATGACATAAGTATTATTCACAAGAGAAATCTTGGTAGAGATGATCGAGTTATAAGTTATTGGGGTAAAGAATTAAGATATCCATATTTAGATGAAGATTTTATTAATTGGGTAATCCAGTATATCCCACCCCAATACAAATTCAAGTATGCTTTTAAAGCAAATAAGAAAGGGATACTTCGAATGGATAGTACTAGAAAGTACTTACTCCGTGCCCTAGCTGTTAAAATGGGATTGGATTGGGTTTCAACGGAATTGAAACGTGCTATCCAGTTTGGAGCTAAATCGGCTAAACTAGAAATTGGACAAAGTAAAATTAAAGGAACAGACAATGTAGTTTAGTTTCATCTTATTTTATAGAACATTTATAGAAAATATTAACGTCATTCATCAGTTTATTCGGAGTTGCAATCACTTCGGGGTTATCGTATAAGGTGCTAACTCCAGGATCTTGATATACGATTGCAAAAAAAAAGAAAGAAAAAAAAACAGAAACTCCAATGACTGATTAGAATAACTTGTTGGGGGTAAACTACAAATCCTGTTTGGAATAATTTATTGAAAAATACAACTCTATTACACTATACATCTACTCAGATCCATTTTGGATCTTTTCAACCCATTTAGGTTCAATCACCAATACTTCACAACTAGTTAATAAATTTTCACTAGCTTCAATATTGCTATCGTTAATATCAACTTTATAAACATCTCCCTTAACCCAGCATTTTCTACCTTGTTTCTTTATAATTTCACATTTAATCATGACAAAATTATCTGTATAAGTTGGTTGTTTGTAGTTAATATTCAAATTTGCAGTAACACCTCTCTTACTTTTGAAATTTAAAAAAGCCAATCTACAAGTTAATTCATCTAACAAAGTAGCTAATAATCCACCATGGACAATCCCATTATGTCCTGATAATTTGTTACCCAAATGGAAAAAAGTAATTGCAAAATTTTCATTTTTAGAGTCTTCAATATCTTGCTCTTGTTGAAGAAATGAGTCTTGAATGAAATATAATGAAGGTGTTCTTAAGTTAATCTTGTCTGGCCCAACAAGAGTATCGCCAGTCAAGTTTGGAAATAGGCGTTCCTTGATGTCAAGAGTTGATTTATGAGTGCTGGTAAACTCGTTATATCTGTTGAAGTAATGTTGATATGCGATGGAGTTAGTTAATACTTCATCATGCGATAATTCTTTGACTCCTTGGGAGTTAACAAGGGTTGAAACTTCGGACATAATGTGATATAGTACTACCTTGAGATATCCTATGCCCGATGGAATAAAGGGATATTCTTTGTGATATTTATATGCTTGAAAAGTTGATTTTGTGACCCGTCTTGGTCCGAGGATAATGTGACTAATTTGGTATTTCTTTTTTCCACGTCGTATAAAATAATACAAGATCTGTATTTTTTTTGCTGCGCGGCTGAAGATGTTGTTCTTAATCGGTTATTTCGGATCGTGCGGGGGGGGGGGGGGGGACTTCGGTGAATTTCCTTCAAATGAACTCCGAATATCCTATTGTCAAGCCAAGATGAGTCAAGTATAACTACGAGTAAATAAAGGCTTAAAATTAAAATTACTATATTATTCATTAAACAAATATTCTATTAATTAATATACACATGATGCAAATGCTTACAAGAAAACATGTTTGAAAGCATCCTTGGCACCTTTGGTAATAATATTACCATGACACATAACAATAGTGTTGAAATCCCAACTATAAATTGCATTCAAACCTGGGGCACTCTTGGCAGGATTAACAATCTTTCTAAACAAGAATCTACCCACTTTTGAGTAAGGTTGTAAATATCTAGTTGGGAAGGACCATCCACCATGAGGGTTAAATCCTGGTTTAAATCCTAATTCAGGAGAAAATTGTTCCAATACAACCTTACCACTGGTAGTTCCTGGTTCACCCAAGTTAAATAACAAATCAGCTTCAAATACAGTCTTAGTTTGTTTATCAAACAAAACTAATTCTTGATTTTCATGGAATGGTAAATAAACAAATTCAAATTTTTCAACAATAACATCATCTTTAACAATTTGTTTCAATTCTTCACCTTTCAAAACCTTATTACCGTTGGCTTTTGTAAACAAGTAATCTGGCTTAAAACTAGTAATATTTTCCATGGCGATGATCTTGGCAGTAGGGAATTTGTCTTTGTATGACTTAGCAGCTAAATTGTGTTCACGATCAGGAACAATAACATGAGTAATGTTAAACTTGTCACCGGAAAACTCTTTTAATGTGCTAACAACCTGGTCGTTGTATGGCAATGGAGACCAAACAATTAAGTCTTGATTGGTCTTGAATACGGCCATACGAGCACCGAAATTAAATTTGTTGACTCTAGTGAAGGAAGTTGAGGCAAGTAATAAATTGTCGGATAATTGCTTAGTGACAATCTTGAAATTATCTGGATAACCCATTGCAGCTTGTTTGTAGTGTGTGTGTGTGTGTGTTGATGTTGTTGAAGAGAAAACCAGATACAATTGGTAAGGGATTTTCTTTCTATTTATAATTGAAAAATATATGGGAAAAAAAAAAAGACAATTGATTCTAGCCCTTCGAATCGGCTTTGTAAAACTGGGGTGGATTACAAATTTTAGCCTCGTTTGAAATTGACAATTTTATTACAAATTCCTAATTACGCAGTTTAAAGTACCGAGGGAAACATCAAAAATTTTTAAACAAATTACTAATTAAAAAATAACTATCGTAGTAACTAATGTTAAGAAAAGAAATAAAAAAAAAAATAAATAAATAACAAGCAAACAGTGATGTATAACTCCGAATGGTTCGAGAACACTACCACAGCCTCCATCGGTTATAAACTAATGTTTTCTATAACATTCAAAAATATTTAATACTAGATAATTTAATATAATTCCGAGCTTCTCATGTCAACGCCTCCATCAATATCACTCCCTCGGTGTTATGTGTGATATTACTAAATGATTTCAAATTCGTACAATACAAATGGCTCATAGTCAGTATCAACTAATGAGGCATATTCGTGTAAGTTTGAAGTGTTTGAATAACCGGCACCGCCAAGATATCCGAATTTTTCAATCAATTCTTTCTTAGCCTTACTAATATTCTTTAAATTGGCTCCTTGGAACTTTATCAAGTAGTTATCAAATTGTGGTGGTAATCCATATCTTAACACTGATTCAACATAAATTCTAATACATTTAATGTGAACCCATTGGGAAAAGATTTCCAGGTATGCTGTCTTACTTAATCTAATCAAATCATTCTTCAGTTTCAATTCATTTGCTTTAGTTAAATCAAACTCTTTTCTTAAATTGTTAAGTGTTTCTTCACTGTAAATAAAATCGTTTCTTGGATGCCATTTATGTTCACGAGATAAGTTAATAAATTCTTGCTGGAACTTTTTAAATAATGTCACCGTGTATAAAGTATATTCTTGATCCTTGGCAATAACTTCGGCAGATCTAGGGATAACAAATTGGGTTAAAGTTTCATAAGAATTTTTGAAATCAGAAACCAAGTTATTTGGTACTGCGATTAAAATTGTAGTTAAATGTTCTGAATTCAATACAAATTGTTCTGGCTTAACAATTTCATGTAACGATTTAATCGATAAATCACCATTCTTTTTTCTATCAGCAGCCAAGAAGTTAGATTTGGCAGTTTGGTAGTTTTGATAACTGGCCCTAACGTCATTGTCTAAACTTATAGCTTCTGATGCAATCAACTTAACCAAAATATTAATCAGTTTATCTAATCTATACTTGGAAGTATTCCATTGGAAGTTTTCTATGTAATCAAATACAGATCGAGATTGAACAACCCTGGTGCTGCTTCCATCAGTCACAGAATTTAAGATATCAACAACTTTAGAAACTGATGCGCTCAATTGTTGGTCTATTTTAGCCAATTCTTCACTTTCTTGTACTAAAGAATCTAAAGTACCACTTTGGAAGTCAGGAATTTTTAAATTGAATAATGGTTGTTTTCCGGTGTTCAATGATTCAGTCAACCATTTGCGAGCATTGGTCGATTGAGGTAATGAAAGAATCAAATATTCTCCAAGTGGGTCGGATGTGGACATAGTAATTGATTGATTTCTTGCAATTCAATCAAGAAACGTGAACCATGTTGTTCCCAATTTAATTTTCCCTTGGTGAGAATCTCATTGGGCAGTGTAAATATGAGTATGATTTTATATGGTAGTGTGATCTAATTTACGCATATACTGTGGCTGCAAGATACCTTATATTTAAACAAGGATATAACCGAATACTGTTGAAATTATCTACTGTGGTTCTAGAAGCATAGAATTATGATAATTTCTACTATGGACTGACATTTTACTGTTGGCAAATTATTCTCCTATCTTGTCAGTCAATCACCTGAACATCGCAGCATCGCAAAACGAAAAAAAAATTAGACCTCACTATTGTTTAAACAGTAAGTATCTAACATCCCACTGTAGAATAAACCACCTCCATAATGGTTAACAGTTTAGAAGTATGTTAAATATCATAGTATTATGTGTATATTACTATACTAACATCTTTTAGGAACGTCTCAAGACTCATTCATCTGCATTTGACGGATTATTATCATTAATCCCAGCCAAATACTATTATGATGATTCAACCAAAGATCAATGGAAACAAAAGAAAAAGTCCAAGCAAGATTTAAAACAAAATAAACGTGCCAAGTTAAACCCAGAAACTAATGACGATAGTGCTAAAGATGTTAGCGATTCCCGAGCCAATAATGCCAGTGAAATTGAATTACCTAAAAAGCTTCCAAAACCCATTACTGAAGATGAAGATGAAGATGATGTAGAAATACCCGATATGGATGTAAGTGGAGATGAGGATGACGATATCATGAACGACAATCAGTTGATTTTTGATGATGATGGGAATGAAGTTGAAACTGAAACTTACCCCAAGCAGGAAATACAACATGAGAAGAAGTCCAAGACCAAGACATTATCTCCAGAAGAGAAACAAAAAAGGGATGAAAGTTTATCAAAATTAAGAGAAAAGTTGGCCAGTAAGATAAATACATTAAAGGAAAAAAGAAAAGCGCTTGGAACTAAAGTTTCTGGTGCTCCACAATCTCGTGAACAAATCTTGGCTGAACGTAAACGAAAGGAAGAATTGAAAAAGAGAAAGCATCAAGATTTAGAAGAAGAATCTGATGAATCTGATAATGAATTGTCCTCCGACGAAGAAGAACAAGAAGAATCTTCTAAATCGGTTCTTTACGGTAATATCGTATTCCAAGATGGTTCACAAGTTACTTCGGATTTAACTAAATTCCGTAATAGTGCTGAAAAGAAGAAACAAAAGGGACCAGCAAACAACGATCTCAAAGCACACTTATTAAAATTAGAACAAAAGAAGAAAAGATTGGCAACTTTAGCTCCTGAAGAACAAGCAAAGCAACAAGAAAAAGACAAATGGCAACGAGTTCTTGCTCAAGCCGAAGGAATTAAAGTCAAAGACGACGAAAAATTATTAAAAAAAGCAATTAAACGTAAAGAAAAGCAAAAATTAAGAAGTGAAATTGAATGGAAGGACCGTAAGCAAATAGTTAAAGATACTGTGGCTGCAAGAGCAAAGAGAAGAGAAGAAAACTTAAAAGCAAGACGAGAAAATAAAGGTAAGAAAGGTAAAAATCAACCAAGGTTAAAGAAGTTCACTGGGATTGTTAACAAGAATGCTCAAGGTAAAAAGAAGAGAGCAGGCTTTGAAGGAAGTGCAAAATCAAACAAGAAGAAGTAACACCCTTGTGTAAATAGACGATATATTTATTTATTTATTTATATATATATATATAGATAGATAGATGCAAAATTTTTAATAGACCACACTTGAAATTTGGCTGTAAAAAAAAAAATTCCCTCACATGAAACGCGCTTTGCCCGATCCAGTAAAAAATAGAAAAACCTTGAGCAACAGTAAAAAGTTTAATTCCTTTTCCCAGTGTTCAAAGCATTAAAAGCTCCCACTATTCAGACATGTCCGCTTTACCAGAACAATTGAAAAAGTACTTGACTCAAGTCGATGACGTATGTACTATATTTTTGTACACTGCTAAGTTTACAACTCTTACTAACACTTGTTCAAGGCTACCAGTGCATTGCCCCTCTTGCACCATTTTGAATCCAACACCGGATTACCAAGATCTTACTTTGTTATTGGATTCACCTTATTCTATTTCATCATGATCTTTGTTAATGTTGGTGGATTAGGACAACTTTTATCAAACATTGTTGGATTGGTAATTCCAGGTTATTATTCCTTACTTGCTTTACAAACTAAAACCACCAAGGATGATACTCAATTGTTAACTTATTGGGTTGTATTTGCATTTTTAAATGTAATTGAATTTTGGTCAAGTGCCATTTTATACTGGATGCCTTTCTACTTCTTATTCAAGGCTATCTTTTTAGTTTATACTGGTGTTCCAGCTTTTGGTGGTGCTAACGTGGTTTATTTAAATGTAATCAAACCTCTTGCTGATCCATACTTTGCCGCTAACGAAGATAGTGTTGCCAAAAAGATTGATGAAGCTGCTGAAGCTGTCTCTAGCTCTGTTCACCTTTAGATTTAGTTTATATTTGGAATAAATTTAGTGGCAAACTATTAGGTCCTAAAGTAGTATAGTAACACTCGACATCTTCCATCCCTGTCAAGATAAACATTTTAATTCGAGGATGTCGATCAAATTTCTTAAAATTTAAAACAAATTTCTTTAACTTGGAACTAAATTTAACTCGTTTGGTTAATACCGACAATTTCGCGACAAGTGGATAAATTCTTAACCCGACACTTTTGCCAGGTTCGACAGGACAAACCCAATGAGTAGAAATACTACGAGTCGATCTTACTTCAGGGCTAAAACTGGATCCAACTAAAAAATCCAAAATCCAGGGCAAAACACCAGTTACAAAACCTGAACTAGTTATGAAATTTAATTCAACTCCAATGGCTGCAAGATCAGATCGACCTACTGAAATATCCCCCATTGCGTGTGGATCGTCAACAGTTTCATGAATAATTACCGTAAATCCATCACGATATATATCTCTTTCAATATCATCAAGCTGTACTTCTATCCATTCTGGAGGAATCTTGAATTTGTTCTGTTGTGCTAAATATTCTTTTGGGTCTTCATCTGTTGGGGTATAAGGAACTAAGAAACTACCAGAATCTACTAATTCAAACACAAAGGGTTCATTCTCTTGAATATCTCTAAAGTAAACACTTAGGTTATTTTCTAATTCTTTATAATTTGGCACTTGGATTAATCGTGGTTCTTTTTTAGTATCCAGCCCAGTAGTTAGGGAGGTCAATAGATATGTAATAAATATTAAACTTATTAATCTCATTCAATATTATATAACTATTAAACGATATCGAATATAATCACTGGAGATAGGTTTCTAATATATTTCCAGCCATATATATTTTTGTTATGATTTGATAAAAAAAGTTGCAAAATTTTTATAAAATGCTGAATGTATGAATTTCATACTGCAATTTCTTCTATAGATTTTCACCATAGTTTGAACAGAGACTGCACCAATGAGTCATGGACTTAGCTACAAGTAAATCTCAATAAATTGGCTTTAAAATGGATCCCCATGGATCTCACACCGAAGATTCGTTCTTGTAACTAGTTTTAGTAAAATTATTTTACTTCACGACAGAAAACCGTTGCCTAGTGCCTGCACTAAACAATAATATGGTTTCCGATTGGCCGCGCGTCAACAATAAACACTATGCAACGCAAAAAGCTAGAGAACATTACACAAAATGGAAACACGTGAATCGTTGTAAACTGATTAGACTGTTGTAAACTTGCTGTCGTTCCATATTTCGAATTTTTTCCGTTGCTTAGCCTCTTTCTTAATACAAGAAATTATACAACTAACTAGTTTCAAATTAGGATATTAATCAAATTCCATTTCATTATCTGTATTGAACAATGTGGAAGAACTAATGGCTTTTTTTTTTTGCGGCTTGTGATAGAAGAACCACAACCGCAAAGTAAAAAAATTCGTGACCTTTTCTCGTTTAGGCAAGCGCCTGGTAGTGCAATCTGACAAATTTCATGTACCTTAGGACAAAAACGTCATCCTTGCATGGTGGGGGGCCCAGCCTCTCAGTCCCGATGACCTTGTGATTTTTTTAGTCCAATGTTTTGATTTTGTAGCAAGAATGTTTACCCGAAGACAAGATAAAGGAAATTAGACTATGTGGTTTGCTACTCAACTTGCTCCTGTTTATATGAAGTCTCGCAGCAAGGGTATGCAAACCACGTAATTGCTAATTTCAGTAGAGAACAATAACTCTCGAAACACATTAAGCTAGAATCAATATAGTTCTGAGCCACGCTCTTTTTTTTTTTTTTAAAGGCTAATCTCATATGAAATTTATCAAACCATTTTGTTTATTTATAAATACGCGGCTTTTACCAGAGGTATACAAACCACTTCTTTTGCTCTCGTCATATAACAACAAATACCTTTTGAGCTGCTTACTACTCCTCCTTACATATAATCGAATAGGAAAAGATGGCTGACTCAGACGGACCAAGTGCTTCCAATTCATCTGTATCCCAGTTCATATCAACCTTGATACCAACATTGGTGATATCAGCAATTTTTCTCTTGGCGTTCTTAATCCTTCATAAAAAGAGAAAGAGAGTTTATGAACCCCGTTCAGTTGTTAAAACACTTCCTAAAGATTACCGCCTTAATGAAGTGCCATCTGGTCCCTTGGGTTGGATAACCGAGTTATTACGTAAACCAGAGTCATTTATTGTTCAACATGCTGGTGTTGATGGCTACTTCTTTCTTCGATTTTTATTTGAATTCCTTTGCATTTGTATCCTTGGTGTTATAATCACATGGCCAATTTTATTCCCTGTCAATGCCACTAATGGTAACAATAATACCCCAGGATCAAACATCGGTGGGTTTGACATTTTATCATTTGCAAACATTAGAAATAAATGGAGAGCATTAGCTCACGTATTCTTATCATGGATTTTATTTGGTGCGGTTATATTTTTGATCTATCGTGAATTGGTTTATTACACTACATTTAGACATGTTCTTCAAACAACCCCATTGTATGATTCCATGTTGAGCTCAAGAACCCTCTTGTTAACTGAGATTGATAAAAGTTTATTAACTGATGAAAAGTTGAGAAATTATTTCCCCACAGCTTCTAATATTTGGTATTCAAGAAATTATAAGGAATTAGCCAAAGAAGTTAAAGAAAGAACAAAATTGGCTAATAAATACGAGGGAACACTCAATAAAGTACTCACAAAGGCAACTAAATTAAGAAACAAATGCATTAAGAAGAATAAACCAGTACCTGAACCTGAAGATGACATTAATAAGTATTTGAAAGATGGTAAAAAGAGACCAACCCATAAATTGAAATTCTTAATTGGTAAGAAGGTCGATACCTTGGACTATTCTCCAGAAAAGTTGGGTGAATTAAACAAGTCCATTGGTGAAAAGCAGAAGAATTACGCAGATAATGATCTACTTCCTGCTGTGTTTATTGAATTCCCCACTCAATTGGAATTACAACGTGCTTATCAAGCTATTCCATATAATTCTGATTTAAAGAAAGCCAGAAGATTCACAGGACTTGCTCCTGATGATATTATTTGGCTGAACTTGCAATTATCAACAGGTAGAAGAAGAATCCAAAGTATTCTTGCTGCTACAATCTTAACTGCTACAATCATTTTTTGGTGTATTCCTGTAGCTGTTGTTGGTTCTATTTCTAATATAAACATGTTGACTGATAAAGTACATTTCTTGCGATTTATCTTAAACATGCCTAAAGTATTGATGGGTATTATCACAGGTTTACTTCCAGTCGTTGCTTTATCGATATTGATGTCGTTGGTTCCTCCATTTATCAAGTGGATGGGAAGAATTTCCGGTCGTATTACTGTTCAACAAGTCGATAGCTATTGTCAGTCGTGGTATTTCGCTTTTCAAGTGGTTAATGTTTTCCTTGCTGTTGCTTTAGGTTCTTCAGCAGCTTCTGTTGCTACTGAAATTGTCAATTCACCATCAAAGGCATTGGAACAATTATCAAAGAAATTCCCAACTTCAGCTAACTTTTATTTTTCATACTTGTGTCTTCAAGGATTAACAATTAATTCAGGTGTATTGTTGCAAGTTGTCACTTTGATTTTGACTCCTATTTTGGGAAAGTTCCTCGATGGTACCCCAAGAGCAAAATGGAATAGATTTAATAAATTGGGTGAACCAGATTTTTCAACTCTTTATCCCGGTTTCCAATTATTAACCACAATTGCCCTTGCATATTCTGTTTTGGCTCCTTTGATTTTGGGATTTACTTCCATTGCATTCCTTTTATTTTATTTTGCCTATATCTACACCTTGGTTTATGTATTGGTTCCTAAATCCAACGAAGCTAGAGGAACAAATTACATTACTTCATTATTTCAACTTTTCACAGGATTGTTTTTGGCACAGCTTTGGATCACAGCCATTTTTGTGTTTTCAAAGAATTGGGTTTCAGTTGCTTTAGAGGCGGTGATTGTAGTCGTTACAATAGTTGCTCATTTCTGGATGAAATGGCATTTCTTACCATTGATCAATGCCGTTCCTATCTCAGCTATAAAATACGCCGCTGGTGATTCTTCTGCTAGCTACCCTATGCATGATCAAGGGTTTAAGGAAATTAAACAAGTTGGTAAAGACTACTGGAACAGTGAACCATCCACACCAACTGAAAAGGATCAAGTATTGCCAACGAAAAACCTTGACTCTACTGATATTGAAAAGCCTCCTATTGATACTGATATTAGACCTAGTGGGTCAAAGAGTACGGGAGCTGACACTAAAATAGGAGGTTCTGATCTGTCAGATGAAGAGAAGGCTGTTAATCCAGCCAAACAAGTTGTTGAAGCACCCAAGAAGGGTGTTTCTTGGCTCACTAGATTCTTTCAACCAAAGAAACAAAGTTTTGATATGATTAGAAATATTATGCCAGATTTCTTTTTCCATTATGCAGAGTATAATCCCGAATTCCTTGAACATGCATATGATGATCCTAGTGTTTCTGATGAAGAACCTCATATTTGGATAGCAAGGGATGACATGGGCTTATCAGAAATAGAGAAACAGAAAGCAATAGAACAAGGAGTTGATGTTTCTAATGCAGAAGCCGGGTTTGATGACAAGGGAAATATTGAGTATACTGGTCCTCCTCCCAGTTATGAAGAGGCTATAAGGATTTGATTTTTTTTGAATTACGCCAATTGTTCGGTAATTTTTTTTGGTTTTCTTTATGTATAGTTAATTATCTTGTTTTATCCTTAGTAATAATATTAGATTTTTGATATTTCTTCACATTAAATGATAAACTAATCTAATTTCTATTCTACATACTGGCTAAAAATAAACTTATTTGAAATGACGACTTTACTTTTTTATTTAAAGGCATCACTTTTTTCTTTGAACTGAAAGTTAGCATTATTTGATTCAATTGTTCGAATTGTAGACAGTATTTGTTCTATCAGTTTCAGACACAGAATTATTCTCTGTAACTACAGATTGATCCGTAGTTCTTGTAATTTCACCATCAACTGTATTCGTAAGTTCATGTACTTCATTATCTGCAGTTGTTGTGGTCCCTCCAGAAGAAGTAGATGCTCTGCAGTTATTGCCATTATTTCCCACTCGATCAGTAGCTAAGAAACTCACTGGTAAATCATTCATTATAGGAGCAACATCTCCATAGCTTTCAGTTCTATGCCGAGCTGGTGGAGGAAGAGGAATAGGTGTTTTCACATTTGGATTTGGATGGAATTTTCCCGAACCATCATAGTATCCCATATCATGTTCATTAGCCGTAGCAGTATACGCGGGTACATAGGCACTTGGCAAATCAGGGTCTCGAATATGATCTGGTTGTTCATATTGATGCTGTGATTGGCGATATGTTGGAGGTGTGATCCAACGGGTACCATAAATTGGTTGGATACCTCGCTGCTTTCTTCGCTTATTTACCACCCCAACTGCAACTACAGCAAGCATTAAAGCTATTATATTAGCAAGGAAAACATATCCTGCGTTACCGGTCAGCCTTTTCTGCAACGTGTGCGTAAGTAGTTTATCATGAATATACATCACGTTAGATTCTCATTCAGGGGTATTTTTACCCCACAAAAAAATATATATATATATGTTAATTAAGTAGTTAAAGTCTTCAATGTTGGTTTCTCACTTTAGCGACAACGAATCAAGACACAATGGTTCAAAGAAATCAAGAATGAAATAACAAATTGTATGAGTAGCTGTTTGTGAATATCACTGAACTTAAATAAAGGAGTAATACTATTCTAGGATTTTTTAGATATAGAAATGCGCACCCCAAAAAAAGAATTCAAGTCTCGCAACAACTGAAATTTTGTGCTTGCGATAGCATAACCAAGCCTCGAAGTGAATTTCAGTACAAATAATTGTTGAATTATAACTGTGTACACATTAAAGTTTTTCATTTCAAACGTAAAGTAATTAAAATGGTTAATAACAACTAATGCCACCCCTATCTTCTACTGCTGCAAAAAAAAAGGGGGCCAAGAAAAAAAAATAAAGACATTGAATGTACCACGCCTAAAAGCAAGTCTCTGTTACCCGAGGCCAATACAGGCAAGTTTGTTCAGGACTAAATAAATCCCTCCGAAGTGCTGTCTATGTAATTTGTCCAAGAACTCTCAATAAGGCTTTGTAAGCTCAGCTATTGCTGGCACTTATAAACCCCACTTCTTAACCCTTTTGTACTTAACTCGTGTATTTAAAGATATTCAAATTATATAAGTAGCAAAACTGAGTGATAACCCATTAATATTAGCTTCACTTATTTTGGAGTATGTAGATAACAGCAGGCGTGCACCGACCAAGTTCCGGAGAAATTTGGATAGCTTCGCTACCAAATTGCACAGTTTTTCAAACTTTCTGCGCGTTTTGTTTTCTATCAAGAAGTCGTGCCTAGTTTATGCTTGACCACTTTCTTCGGACCGATAATTTCAAATGTCCATTAGATCACTACCATCAAATGATATATTAAAAATCACTTCAAGTCAAGTTATAATTGATTTAAAGTCGATTATAAAAGAATTAGTTGAGAATTCCATTGATGCTAAAAGTTCAAAAATTGAAATAACATTTGTTAATTATGGTATTGATTCCATATCAATTCAAGATAATGGTGTTGGTATACAACAACAAGATTTCCCAACCCTTTGTCTAAGAAATAGTACTTCTAAATTAGTAAATTTTGATGATTTAAATTCATTAAGTACCCTTGGATTCCGTGGTGAAGCTTTAAATTCAATTTGTTCACTATGTAAACAATTAACAATTGTTACCTCCACTGAAGCCGATTATCCCAAAAATTTCAGTTTGAAATACAATGAAGCTGGGGAGCTAAGAGATAATAAGAGCAAGATCGGTGGAATAAGCAATAAGTCTGGAACTTTAGTAACAATTGAACAATTGTTTTCCAACTTACCAGTTAGATTGAAGAATTTTATCAAGAATTCCAAAAGAGAATTTCATAAGGCTATCAATTTTTTAATAAATTACCTACTTATTTACACTGGAATTAAATTTTCAGTTTACCATATTAATAATTCTAAAAAGCAATTAATTTTATCTTCGAGAGGTGGTGAAAAAACTACAATAATTGATAATTTGATTTCAATGTTTGGAAATAATAATAATAAGAATTTACTCGAAATTAATTTACCTATAAATGAATATTTAAAATTAAGTGGACATATTTCATCTTATTCATTTGGGTTAGGCAGATCAACACAAGATCGACAATTCTTGTACATAAATAGACGACCAATTATTATGAAGAATTTATCAAAATTAATTAATGAAGTTTATAAATCATTTAACAATGTTCAATATCCAATTTTTGTTATTAATTTGGAAATCCAACTGGACAAATTTGATATTAATTTGACTCCTGATAAGTCAATGATTTTATTACATAAAGAATCGGAAATTTTACAACTAATTCGGGAAAAATTGATCGAGTTTTATAATACTCAGGATAAGGTAATAATTCCAAGGAGTAATAATGACAGTTTCATAGAACAATCAACATTTGAAGTTAATACTGACGAACAAAAGAGCCCAGATGAATTCACCTTAATAAATAAGGTGAATACCAAACAAAGTGAATATTCGCAGAAGAAACTCCAAAATGAAAGTGAATTAGAAGACGATGATTCAAACGACAAGCTTATAGTAGAGGTTATTTCTTTTGAAGATGAGCAAGTGAAATCTGTGAAGAATGAACTACCACTAAATAAAGAAGAAATGCAAGAGGATTATAGAAGCGAAACCCATCATCAAGAAAATAAAAGTGAAACCGAAATAGAAGTAAAACATCAAAGAGCTGAACTCGCAAATGAGAACGAAGAAGAGGAGGAAGAGGAAGAGGAAGAGGAAGAGGAGGAGGAAGAAGAAGAGGAGGAGGAGGAGGAGGAGGAGGAGGAAGAAGAAGAAGAGAACCAACGGGAGGATTGTGAAGAAGAAATAAATTTAACAAATGTATCCCAGGAGGATAAAGATAATCTGGAATTACAAGACACTCTTTTCGATAAAGTTCATCATAAGGTCGATCATATAGTATCCGAAGATTTCAAAACAGTTTCAAAATCGAAAAATGAGAATTTATTTCTTAGCCTGGATCCAGACTCGTTGTTTAGCTTAGCAGATTCATTTCCTAAAAGTTCCGATCCCCAACTGGTTCTCTTACAAGAACCGCAAGAAATCTCACCAAATCAAGATCTTCATGGGAAGAACTTTTTCCCAATCGATGAAAATTCCAACGATTTATTAGAAATTAAGATAGGAGATAAGAAATTCGAGGAAAGAGCCTCTAAAAGATCGAGAAACAGCTCATCTCATCTCCATAAATTAAAGTCATATTATTCTTCTCAAGAATTCTTGGCAAATTTAAAGATTAAAAGATTTCAAAGTAATACGAATTTGAAATATGACCAAAATATCAAATTTAATAATCTAGATGATAAAGAAAAATTATTTCATATTAAAAAATCTGATTTTTCTGAAATGAGTTTAATAGGACAATTCAATCTTGGATTTATTTTAGTTAATCATCAAGATTCAAATATTTTCATCATTGACCAACATGCTTCCGATGAAAAATATAATTTTGAAAAACTAGTACGAGAATTTCAGATTAAAACTCAACCATTGATAGTCCCTCAACAATTAGAATTGAATATAGTCGACGAAATGTTGATAATTGAACATGAATCGATATTTATTAATAATGGGTTCAGATTGAAAATTAATCACGATTCTCTCCCAGGAACAAGGATTTCAATGTTATCATTACCGACCTATAAAGGAACAATATTTTCACTTGACGACTTTTATGAATTAATTAATTTGATAAATGAGCAACCTGGAAATACTGCAGTTAAATGCAGTAAAATTAGAAAATTATTAGCAATGAAAGCTTGCAGGACAAGTATAATGATTGGCTCATCTTTAACATCTAAAAAAATGACAGAAATTGTTGAAAACTTAAGCACTTTAGATAAACCGTGGAATTGTCCTCATGGTAGACCTACAATGAGACATTTAATTGAATTGTCAGAATGGCAAAATAATTATCATGACTATGAGTTGTAGTGGCTGATGCTGTTCCTTTCGCTAGAATCATAATTATTCAAATAGAACAGTGTCAGGAAGCATGATGCACGCCTTTTAACAATCAGGCTTAGTGATTCCTTTGCAACTATAAAAGCTCCCCGTAAAAAAAATAATGCGCCAAAAAACATTATAGAGTATATAATTAAAAAATAATACCCTTTCAGCCACCATCCCCTCATTGTATTCCTGGCCTGAATTTTTATTTATTTTTCCATTTTATTTTTGCTCGTGCTTATCATGAGGGTCGCCTCAGAGGACTGAGATTCTTCAAAGCACCTTTTCGATGTTTTCACGCAATTCCTATTTAATGTCACATTGACGTGATCACATTGTTTCCGCATGAGATGTTTTTGCTGCAAGAGAATTAATCTAGAAAAGGCTAATACGGATTGAAATACTAAACCTTAAAGTTTAGTGGGGTAAAGAACATCAGATTTATTTTATTATTAATGGTCATCACTTGAATTTGAAATTTTTATTAATAGATCTCCAAAACAAAAACTATAAAATATATTATATAAAAAGAAAATTAAAGAAGAAACCTAATATCGTTCTAGAACAGTTAAATAAGAGAAAATATTTAGTATACGAGAAATATATTCCCCGTTCTTTTTAAATAATTCTATAAATCATTTCAATATCAAATCAAAGATAGAACTCTCTGAAATATATATATTGGCCAAACTATTGCCAACTTTTCCCAATTTTCTTTTGTAGGATCTAACGGGTCTTTCCAGAGTCTAGAATTCTTTTTTTTTAACCCTTATGCATTGTGAGAAACTGTCAAAGTATTTTTTTTAAATTACATGTAATTATTTTTTCACTTTGTTTGTTTTTAATTCAGAAAAAAAAAATACAATGACATTGGAAATAAGAATTAGTTTTACTACCGTTTTCGTATTGTTTTTTTTTTAAATTTGCATATGGTGCTGAAAAATCTCTCTCCTCCAGATCGATTCGTTTAGATCATGTCCATGCCGCCCCAATTAATTATTTAGGTTCCAAGAAATCTCGTAAGGGGGCATACGTATATGTACCTTGAACGTCAAAAATAGCAAAAACAAACATATTTTTTTTGTTTTTGTTTTAGATTCATGCAAGGGAAAGAAGGCTATAACATTACCTATGCCTTGTTTTGAGCCACTTTTGACACAAAAGTGGGCTAGTCTTGATTTCGCGGCAATAATTGTTGAAGGTACGTCATCAATTGCTTTGATTGCTACCGAACAATGTTGTGCCTATCACCGGATGTTTGGAATATTCTGCTAACAAAGGAACTAGTATGCTTCTCACCCAAAATTTATCTGCTGATATACTACATATTTTTTAGATACAAAACCTTCTTTTGTGGTTATTTTCTTGCTTTTTTTTGTTTTATTTTGAATGTGGGGAGATGTTCATGGTTTTCGAATTGTTGAATATTAGCAAAAATTGATAGAAAGACTTAGAGATTCCCGATTTAGGAGATCACAAACAAATTAACCAGCCACATAAAGTCTAAATTTAGGAGTTGGACTTCATTTTGTCAATATTTGTTATCAGGGCGTAGTTGTTTTGATGTAGAGTTCTAAACCCTTTATTCCAAAGTAAAAAATAAATTAAAATTTGCAATATTTTCTAAAACGTTGTGGTTTTTTTTTTTTAGAATCTGAATTCGTATTCTTAGAGAGCAAAGTAAAACCCCAAGAAAAGAAGGAAAAAAACAGCACGAATAGACACAAAAAAAAAATACTACTCCTCCTTAACATTGCACGCCTTTCATAAATATTTTGAACTTCAGAATTCAATCACAATTAAAATTATTCTCATTATAAATATTTAAAACTAATCACTGACTCCTTCTTGATTTTTTTGGTTCAATGTTGTTAGTTTCACAGTAATTGAACGTTATTGATTATCCATAGGTCAGACGATCTCACATTTTCCATATATTTTACAATCCCTTCTGATAATTTTTCAACTAACCATAAAACCTTCATGCCTGTTTACTCAAAATCTTTTCCTCGTGCAAGTGAGAGAAAGAGTAGAAGAACTCATAAGAATTCTCGTGATGGTATGTATATCTATATATATATATATTTATTTGTTCATCGACCTAGTCGGTTACGCCAAAAAAGATGAACTTTTTATGCAAATGAGATTACTAACTGATTGGACCATTAGGCTGTCCCAACTGTAAAAGCAAAAGGATAAAGTGTAGTGAAGAGCTTCCATCATGTCATAATTGTATAAAGAAAAACTATCGCTGTGGATACTTGGATTTCCCAAAAGATAAGTTAGATATGATACGTAAGAAGAACGATAAGAAGGCTCAAGAAATATTTGGTAACAAACAAGAGTCATCGTTGATAAATAATAATGTACTGGTTTCATCTGAAAATCATGTCCAACCACCTCCAGCACCAACAAGTACTCAACCCCCTATGCAATTAGTGTCAGATATTCTTCAAAACAGTTCAACTATTCCTATTAGCCATTTAGTTAGCCCACTAGGTAATATTAATGGTGCCTCAATTGCAAATGGAACTAGTCACAAAGCTCACGTACCATCACCATTTAATTTCCAAGATTCCTCAGGTAATTCTACGCAAACCCCTCCCACAAATTTGACTCCTTTATCTGAAACTCCCAACAATAGCAATCAACTATTCAATGACTACTTACCAATGCCAATCCCCAAAGAAAATGATATGGATTCAACCCCACCTAATATATTTAACAAGGTTCCCCAGGATAGCTTTGATTATTTCAACGTCCCATTTTCTAAGGATGACTTAAGAATGGCAGTTTATACCGATACAATGAAAAAGCTCATGCATGATAATAACAATTTACAATTACCATCTTATACATATGACGTTTTTGAGACATTTGGTGATCCTCCGCAACGACAAGAACTCAATCATTATCCCCTTCATAGTCAGTTAAATAGTGTCTTGGATAATGGGAATTTTAATGACTTAGATCTCGATATTGATACAGACACTGATAGTTTCGAGAATTCCAAAACATTATTTAATCATCATTTTGGTATAAGTGTAAATGATACCCCTAAAGATATTTCCGATAACATTATCTTACCATTTCCACCACCAGAAACTCCCAAAATAGGTACACCTCTTCCAAATGCCATGATCAAAAATGTTTCTCTTACTTCACTCGAATATCCCAAAAGGCTACAGCAATCATTTATGAAAGAGCTTTACCGAAATGAACATGAATTATTAATCGAACGAACAAATACAATGAAGTCACCCATGTGGACCAAGGAGAATGATGAAATACTTTGGTCCACAATTTTCAACAAAGCAGTTACATTTGATGTATACTTTTCATTTTTCATGGATCGCTCTTTGAATGTCATATTGAAGATTTGTAACAAGTCAATTCACTCAGGAACTAGTGTAACTTGCTTTACCTCCAAGATTCTTGAACAATTAACAAAGAAATCCTACACATATTATGGTCTGTTGATTAAAAATTTAAGGGAATCTATAACTCAATCTGATATTGAGCCAGCAATAATATCTTGGTACGCTAGTTGGTGCCAATATTTACACAGTTATGCAACTATTGATACTTTAAGTTTAATGTATGGTGGATCTACTTCATTGCTATGCAACGTGCTTAACGGATGCCAAACCTTGGATCAAATACCTCCTTCTTTATCGGTGATTATGCATATTATTGAAAGTGATATCGTAGCATGCGTGGCACCTGATTATAAGTTTGATGTAATTGAAGAGTTGTACAAAGACTTGGTAGATTTCAAAACATTTATTATTTACAATCAAGAATTAACTACAGAGAATAACGGCTATATATTGAAAGCATTTGTCGAAGTTGAAAACTTTGTAAAGGAGTTAATTGAGGAAATTCACCCTAAGTTATTATATATTAACAAATTTTACAAGTCATTATATAAAGATGACGATGATTCAAATGATTTGAAGTATATTTCCCCATCATTACTTTTTGATTTATTGGTTAAATGGCTCAATGTTATTCCAAGTCATGCCATATCGATAGGAAAAAATATGACTCCCTTGAAGAAAACATTTTATTTGTTCTTCACTGCAATCGGAAAGGCATTATCTAATGTATACTCCGTTATCAGAAGTGTCGCTTTGGTAGATGCTTTAAATATTATCCACCCTCATGCAGACTTCAACAGCAAAACCTACCAATTTGATATTTCCCAGGTCTCAGGTACAGAGCAGTATCAATATCTATATAACTTATCATCTAAATTGATTCGGGTCATTACATTTTTCAATGTTCGTCAGCAATTAATCACACACTATACAGAGAAGAATCGGGAAACAATCACCAAAGAATGTCATGTAAAGATGGTTGAACCAAAACATGATAGGATGCAAGTAGAAATGGGCGATATAATACACGTTATTCCAGAAAAAGTCGACATTAAAGAGGTTATGGTGTCCAATTTTAGTATAAATACCATAATCAACCTTTACAATTACCCCATTTTAAACGACTTTTACACAAACTTGAATGACGAATCAACCGAACTTAAACATGCTATTGAACATGAGAATCATGACCAAAAGATACGAATCAAAGAATTTAGAGCTAAATACCAATCCAAAGGGACCCACGAACCTAAAAGTAACCCAGAATATATCAACAATGACAACCAGCTACATGATTTTGATTATGGAACTGGGTCGTTCATCTTTGACTATCGGATTGGATCCGCTTTGGAATTTTTTCTTAAACATCAGAATCAATGTCGGACTCCAAGAACATTAAAACAGCTTAAAGATACATTCGTCCATTTCGAATCTGCAATTAAGGAGCTAAACAAAAGCATCGAGTCAGATCGCCAATCGCGGAATGCTCAAACAGATTAAGTACAATTATGTAGTATTTCCCTAACAATTTTGTATTCATGTAATATATCAAGCACCATGAATTTCTTCTATGTAATGTAAACATTGAAATACAAATCCTCTCATGAAAAGTCCACTCCAACTTCCCTACGCCAACCTTCCATAACAAGCCAAACAAATTGGGCAACAAGCATGCTGCTTATATCCAACCCTTTCATCCTTAATTAGGACCACCACTTGGCTTTCTGATGTATATGAAAACAACTATGCCATCATATTGTCTTAGTGCCTAGCGTCAATTCTAAGATAAAATCGTCTCAGAACTTGCAAACTTGACCACTCCCGCAACAAATTATACTACATGTTAAAAACTACCAATTCCTCTACAATAGTAACACGCTACGCAAATCTACAATTCATTTTCATCTCATACTCTTCTCATTTAAGCCTTGTACCATTGTGTATAGAGTTCCCTCTACTCTACTATACCTCCCCATTCCACACACGCATCACACTATAAACCAAAAGCCTAAAATCACTTACGAATACTGAACTACAAGAGAGCCTCAAATTAAAGCTGAAATTCGGAGTGCTTTTCACATTCTAATCATATTTAAATGAACGTCTATAAACAGCTCAACAACTACTTAACTGGAACAAAGAGAGATTCTTTCCTAGCAATATAGAATCTCTGACCAAAACGTCTAAACCAAACCAAATCTAATCCCCCACAGCAATGGCGGAACTGAATCTATTTTGGGTCTCTTTCAACTTATCCTTGAGCCATACCTCCCAAATCAATGTGGTTCTACTATCAACTACAAACATATCCAATTTAGCAAAACTAACAAGACAACCTAACCAAACTTATATTCGAGACGCACCAAAACTAACATACTAATATCCTAATCTCATTGCAGCCATTAGTTGAAAAATGACCAGAGCATGACACAGTATACTTTGATTACATTGCAATCTTTCAAAAGCTTGTTATGACTATGCGCAAGTATCTTCCAATCATGGAATAAATTAGTTCTACAACTTGCAATGTGGAAACTATAATTTGTAAATTTGTTCTAAAACAATAACTTGCTCTGCGATACTAGTCCTATTTTCTATTGATTACAAACTAATCTCAAGCGACTGAAAAACTGATCATTGCTTCCAAGGTAAATCTCAAGCATTCATCAACGATCAACTACATAACCAAACAAATTACAAGGCGGTTCTGAAGCTAAGCGACTGCTCATCAGCTTCTATAGCGTCGTAGCTCATGATCAAGCATATGGAAATAAAAACTCAGGGTTGTGAATACTATAGTCAACTACATATATATATTCATAAGCTCCGAAATGAGTACAACACTGTCTGATAATTAAACAAAGCAAAGATATCATCGTAATGAAATTACTCTATTATGATTCACATAATTACATGTTGCAATTGAATCAAAATACCTCTAACTAACTCTACCTTTAAAGATAGTTGGTTGTAAGAATACTGAATATAGTGTAAACAAAATATTTATGTCTCTGATATATAGATGAAGGTGTTGTACTTACATTCAGTAAAGACCAAATTCAAACAAATATTAGGATATAGTTTAATCTACTTTAGAAATCAATGTAAGTATACCTAATAATATCTGACTTTATGATTCTCATTACATTCGGAGTTTAAGATTCCAACACTTAGTTAACAAGGAGCTTGAAATACCAAATACATTTCACTCATTTACCCGTCAATGCTACCAAAGATTATTACTAGGACAAATAGACAATTTTAGTTAGTGCTTATAGTATGGAGACCACCTTACATCAAGAAGAACCCAGAGTGATATAACAATATGTAATGTTCTCTGATTACTAGTGTATAAGTGTAAAATGTAAAGAATACTTGTACAATTGAGCCAGTATTCTGAGAAAGTTATATCCACATTAGATGCTATGCTAAAAAAATCACAATATAGAATGTGTCCATTACTACATCCGTCTAGTTTAAGCTATTGAGGTATTTGAGTAACAGGTACAATTATCTATGCCATACCTGTACAGTGTTATCAATCATCTTTTTAAGATCTTCAATGTTAGTTCGCACTACTGGCTGTTGCCACATTGTATTATGCATGTACTGATAGATAGGAACTCCAAGCAGGTGCTACCGGCTAATTTCGTGCCTTGCTGTTCAAGTATAACTATTGGTAAATTCTTTTTGAAGATATAAGTGCAGGCTCTCTTAGAACGGTAGAAAGCTAGTAAGGTGTTTCTTGCATTCTTGATCTGTAATTAATAAATTTGCACAACTTTACTCAACAGTCGAATTGCTGGCGTAATGCAAAGTAATTTTGATTCCATCTTTCTGTGCCGAAAGAGTACTGCATCTTTTTGTAGCCGAATTGAGAAAGATTATTTGATCCTTGCAAGTGTCTAAAGTAGAAGTTAGACTATAAGTAATATCAATTTTTATGAGAACATTCATCACTTGTATTGGGTTCACTTTTTTCTCCAATGATAGACGCTGAATTCTTGTTTAATAAGTATGAGTTGTATTAGTTATAAATTGAAAATTCGATACGGGTTCCGTTCTTGCTAGATGTAATACAATGAATAGTTTTAGTTTGTGAGTTGAAGTTGTATACCTAACTATTTGAGATGCTGCATTTAAGTCACCTTAGTTGATGTAGGTTGGGTTATGATTTTATGCTAGAAGTGTTGTAAGGTGTATCCCGTAGTGACTTTGAGGATTGTGTAGGATCTGAGGTACCATATATGTATTGGTAGTAGTTTTTGCTAGTTACTGAGAGGAAATACTTTAATATTTATCTTGGTTACATGAACATGAGTCGATACTGGTATTTTTATCCGTTTAGATGGGTCCACTTTTTCTGCCTAGAATTGTATTTCCTAGTCGGATGCAATTGGTATATTATGTTTATTTAGATTACTTAGTGATAGTTTTTTTGTACTGTCTGTTTTAGGCATGAGTGTTTGCTGAACGATTACAGTGTTGCATGCATTACTATATTTTTTAGCTCTAGTTTATTTATAAGAGTGTTACATGTTTTTCATCAGCTTGAAGAGCAATATTCTGACTCTGGTACTGTTGGTACACGGAATAGCATGGTTACTTAGTGGTTTGAGATGATGAGACTGGTATTATAGTATGTCGAGACTATACCCAATGTATTCGTAGTGTGTTCCTGCAATCTTCAAATTATCTTCAGTTTCGATTTTGACAGAGCCATTAGCCATGAAAATTAAGTTCTGATGTTTTTGGCGTTCTTTCCATGATCACTAATATTTTTGACAGTATACTGAGCTCTGAAAGCTGTTCTTTGAAGAATGCGTTCTGATTTTATAAGTTCTTTCTTGAATTCATTAGCAGTAAGATTTATTGCCATTTAAGATTGAGATTTTTTATCTCGTAGCTAAGGATAGAATAGTACTTCTTCCTTGTGAGGTTGCGGTTAAAAATACTCAAAGGGTCTAGTTTACTAAGCTCTTGGTGTCTATGAAACTTGCTCTGTTCGAGTTGGATCTACTTAAAATCAGAGTAGCGGTCAGGTAGAATCTAGAGGTAGCGAATATATACACAATAAAGTTTGTTGTTATGAGCGAGTTCATATTCAAATACTTTAGCACGTGTTCTTGGAATTACCGTACAGGTAATGCTGAGCGAGCTATAAGCAGTAGCTATTGAAGGCGTGAGTGTTTGAGAGTTTCAACAACAGGAGCGCTCCCAGGCACAATATCTTACGTTAGCCTTGTTAATCACATCTCCCATGCTTGCTAGATGGCTACGACTTATCAGGGCTAATTGGCTGAATTAGACTCCTTTATCATCAATATTCGGTGATTGAGCGACTACGTGCTCTTTAGTTAGGCACAAAAACTCCCTGGAGTTATTGTAGATATTGTTAGGTGAATGGATAGTGGTACCAATGCAGAATTTGCCAGCAATAGGCATGAAAGTCAGGTCAAAGCTCGGACAGAGGGAATACCAAGCTGACTATCCTTAATATCAATATTTAGTACTCGTTGTAATGCCCAAATAGGTAACTAATTGAACTAAAATCAATTGCTATACTAATTGTGGCCGAAAAGAATTCTTCTGTATAATAAATAATATTGCACTTTGCTCATATCCGAAAAGGTAGGCATCATAAAGAAGATGTTTTTGTTCTAATTCTTCCAAAAAGCTACAAATTCTCGTTAAGTAATCCAGTGACTTACATATTGCCATATGATCAAAGTTTTGGTAAGCGATAGTGCACGCGTGTCTCACCGATGGTCTTCGCAGGATCAGAAAATGCAAAATGCAAAAAAAAAATATAAAAAAAAAAAGAAACAATTTGTAAGAATTCTAATTTGAATAGATGAGAATAGCAACACAAGCAAACAAATTTAGACAAGCGATACATCGAGGACTAATCTCTAATCATATTAATTCTATTGTCAAGTTCTCTTCACTCAACATATCATCAATTAAAATGGAAAAAGACCAATCCAAAGAGTCGAGATTGACAGGGCGTCAAGCATATGAAGCAATGGGTGAACCCAAGACTATTCTTGCACCCATGGTTGACCACTCTGAACTAGCATGGAGAATATTATCTCGGAGATATGGCGCTCAGTTGTGTTTTACTCCCATGTTCCATGCCAGGTTGTTTGTTACAGATCCAAAATATCGGGCGCGGATGTGGAGCACAATGGATGGTGATTCAAAAGTAGATAGACCATTAGTGGTTCAGTTTTGTGCAAATGATCCAGAATACTTATTGAAAGCAGCAAAATTGGTTGAAGACAAGTGTGATGCGATTGATTTAAACTTAGGGTGCCCCCAGGGGATTGCTAGGAAAGGAAACTATGGAGCATTTCTTATGGAGAAATGGGATTTGATTCATAAGTTGATAAGAACGTTGCACGACAATTTATCTATTCCTGTAACAGCAAAAATAAGAATATATGATGATTGGGAAAAATCTTTAGATTATGCCAAAATGGTCTTGGATGCCGGTGCTCAATTTATCACTATTCACGGTAGGACCAGAGAAATGAAGGGTCAAGCAACGGGATTGGCTAATTGGAAAATATTAAAATATCTTCGGGATAATTTACCATCTGACCAGGTTTTTTTTGCTAATGGTAATATCTTGTATCCTAATGATTTGCAAAGATGTGAACGTGAAACCACATGTGATGCTGTTATGTCGGCTGAAGGAAACTTATATAATCCGGGTGTATTCTGGACTGAGTCCGAAGACAAAGATAAGCAATTTGCTCGTGTTGATGTAATGCTTCGAGAGTATTTTGAAATTGTAAAGCAATGCGAAGGACATGCTTCTCGACTGGCAATGAAGCCTCATTTTTTTAAGTTGCTACATGCATTTTTGAACGTTCACAAGGAACTAAGACCTGAAATTGGAAAAACCAGCGTTCATGCTTCTTTTGATGAGTGGGAAGCAATTGTGAAAAGAGTAGAGTCGCTTGTGGCCCAGATTTATGAACAGCCAGATATAGAAGAATTGGATGTAATTGTGGATGGTCCAATTGAAAGCTGGGGAGGATCTTACAAAAAGGTTCCTTATTGGAGATGTCAGCCATATTTTAGAACTGTTGATGGTGAGAAGCAAAATACTAGGCTACTCAAAGTGGCTGGAGAAAAAGAATTAGTCAAATCATCATCCACTAGCTTAGAAAATGGCAAGCGAACAATTGATGAGGAATCAGCTGATCAAGGGAATGTAAAAAGAAGAGCAGTAATAGAAGAAAATAGAGAAGAACAGTAATGAAACTAATCAGTTATTCAATAGATTTATAGACGTAGATACAAATACAAGTCAATAGAACTAACATTAGTCAAATTCGGTGCTCAAGGTGTCACCCTCCCAATATCTGAATCCTAAGCCATAACCCCACGAATCACAAATATATCTCTTTGGATTTTGCAAACCAACCTGGTCAAGTTTCTTTAAGTCATCTTCAGACAATTGAGGTAATCTGATGATAGTTTTGATTCTTTCAAGATTGGATGAACGTGGAAGTACACCTCTGCCATTCAAAACATGATACGCATTAGTAATTTCGTTAGTGGTAACATCGTATTTTTTGGCCAATTCCTGAATCAATGGCACTTTCAAGACTGGGGCACCATTACTACCAACAGGGGAATAGGCGACTACGACGATTCCTTTGCTTTTGCAGTAATCAACCAACTCTAGTTGTGGCAATTGGGGGTGGAGTTCGATCTGATTCACAACAGGTGCATACTTTCTAACCTTTGGCAATAATTGCTTAAGTTTGGGGATTGAATAGTTTGAAACTCCAATAGACTTCACTTTTGAGGTTTTATCAATGATGTCTTCCATTTTGTGATAGGTTTCAATGAATTTTGTCCCAGTAACAGGATCATCATCGTACCATAAACTGCCATCATCGTGCTTAGGTGCTGGAGGCAACCCATTTTCATCACCATGCAAAGCAACAGGCCAATGCTGCATAAATAAATCCACATAGTCTAAACCTAAATCTTCTAAAGATTTGTCCAATGACTTCTCTGGACTGTGCCAAAATGATGGCCAGACTTTTGTGGTGACAAAAAGATCTTCACGCTTAATAACACCTTCATCAAACAATTCCTTCAAAGCTTGTCCAATATATTTTTCGGTACCATAGTACCAAGCGGTGTCTATATGACGATATCCAGCCTTAATAGCGGTTATAACTTGTTGCTTTAATTCACTGGGATCTTCAGGAGGGACAGTTCCCAATCCCAAAGCTGGAATGGACTTCCCGTTGCTTAATTTGAGATCAACTTTGGTGGCCAATTGCATTATTAGGTTCAGATAGAACAACCTGTAGTTAATTGTGAATAACGATATTATTGATGGAATTTTGGGGGGAGGATTGTCCTGGCTTTTATACTATTTTCACAATAGGTGTGGTTTGTTTGCGAGTTACGGCGGGATCTCCCAAATAGGAAGAATCCCTCCGAATGCGAATTAGTAATGGTGGGGAAGAATTTTCGGAACAAAATTTGAAAATTGGGGGATCTAAATAATTCATATTTAATATACAATTAAACATACATAAAAGTTAGTTAATGTGAATGGTACCACGATAATATCTAGCTGAAATAATACAAAACAGGAAAAATTAATCAGATCTCGAGGTCTCCCACTACATCGGTATTATCATCTTCTTCATCTATTATTGCAACTTCACTACTGTCCATGTACTCATCATTTTCGTCATATTCTTCTTCATCATCTCCGGTGATAATTTTATCATTTTGTGACTTTTTCTTTTGTTCAAACTCCTTATTAGCATTTACATTGGAATAATGAGCCTTATTTATCGCAGTTAAATGGAGAAATGTAACCCTCTTCTTTTTCTTGTTATAAATGAACCAATAGTATGACCACATTGGTTGATAAGGATATGTCAAATCCTCGAATATTGATTCATCAGATGGTTGAAATTGATAGATTTGACAGCCATCTTGAAGGTATTGTTGAGACGGCGATGTACTCCCACCATTCGAATTTCGACGTGCATTGAAGCTATTCTTTCTGCTACCATGACCACCAGCATGATTTACATTCTGCGCTGACAAGTATGGCGATGACGACTTGGAAGGTATTACATCCATATAGGAATTTATAATGTCCCATATCCAATTCAATATATCTTCTTTCTTTCCTAATGAAAGTAGTATGTTGTTAAACCTATGGATTAAATCTTCTGGAGATTCAATTCGATAGAAGTTTTCGGTAGTTGGTTGCAAGTTGGTAAAATCCTGGTCAGGAAAAGAGATGTTAAGTATAGCTATTAAATAAGCAAAAGTTTTCCTGGTAGTAACATTCTTTAAAGGGCCAAATGGAGATTCGTCTACTGCTTCATATTCACAGGTACTGTCTTCTATTAATGATCTCGATAATAATGACTTGCCATCGTTGTGGTCAACTGGCAGTGAACTCCTGGCAAAATTGATATTAGCCAGATTATGACTTGCACGCCTGTCTCTTTCAGTCATACTTCCTCTTCTTGGCTCTCCATGTAGTGGGGGACTCGAGCTATTTCCAAATATTGAAATTATAGAATTCTTTCGCTCCCTTTCCAAAGATCTCGAAAGTTGATTATCTTCTATTATTTGGTCTAGGTGTTTATCAATTGTCTTGAACAACTTACGATCATAACCAATTGGTTTGGTAGTAAATAAGTCACAACCTCCTTGTATCACCAAATTGTTGTCGGGAGAGTGAAAGTTTAGCTCCTGATTCACAAGCTCTAGATCTACTTCATCAATAAACTATAGAAATTTCAGTCAGTATTACCATCTAGGCCATCCCGGCGATCGTGCTTGTCCTGCCGGATTCGTAGTATCTATGTACACATACCTTCATATTTTCTTTGTAGCTGAATTGGGGAGTTCCAATTTTAAATAAACTATATTCGTAACTTCAAAATATATGGGGCAATTTGTGACTTCGTGTTTGCTGGTTGTGTAATTATTTGAATGACCACTTCCACGTGAAGTTTTCTTTTGTGTTTTTTAGAAGGGTTTTTTCCCGGGTGATGTTGTTTTGTGAATTAACGCGAAGATGTACAAATTCGTTTCATGCAGTGCACGACCACGTTTTTTTTTTTGCAGACTGTACAAGTATGATTTCTTTTTTTTTTTCTATAATGGGGTTGGGGGAGGGGGTGCTTCAGATATGTAACAATCGCATACAAAGAGACAACTTTAGATCCAATTGAGGTAATTAAATTTGTATTAATCCGTCATTAACTATACTGAAAGGATATTTATTTAAACCAATTGCATTAGGATTATGTGTTGATGAAACTACTTTGATAAATCTTTGAACTTGCCATCCCTTGATTAACAGTGTAGCTGTCAATTCTTCTGCCTTCCTTTTACCATTTGAATTAAAATCTTGGTTCGCTTGAGTAGAGGTCAAACCTTCTGGATTATTCTGTTCTATCTGACTATTATCCTCTCTTTTATCCTTCACTATTGGTTTATACGATTTCATCAACATAATTCTTGTCCTTATTCTCTTGGACCACGAGTATCCTAATGTAGGTACAAGTTTCTTGGTAGACATTCTCTTGAGTGTATATGATTTAGCTATTAGCTCCTGCTGGTATTGTATTTGATCTTCAAGCCCGTCGGTCAATCCTGTACTATTTGAAGAATTCAGAGAACCAGTATTTGCACTATGTGTTATCCTTCGCTTCTTGTTGGTACTATTATTTCCCAGGGAAGTCAATAATTCATAGTCTAATGCCTCTAATTCACGTTGATCTAGTTCTACTCGATTCGATGGCAAGTAATTATAAATCAATTTTGTATCCCACCCTGCTCCAATTATGGTCTGAAAATCTAGGTTCAATGGGCTTGCTAAATCATCTTCATGTACATCTTGGCTATCCTTTAGTGGATCCAAGGTATGGTCACTGACTTGATTCACAAGAACTACTGCAACATTAAATTGTTTTGCAATTCGAGACAAATGCTGATACAAATGACATAGATACTGCATTTTGGTGGAACGTGTAGCATACTTGGGAGCTTTTTGAACTTTTTTCAACTGGTCAATTTGATCTAACTTAATTTCTTGAAAATCACGGTCCTGACCAATCTCATTCTCTTGGGCTCCGAGTTTTTGCTTTAGATAAAACGAATTAGAAATACAATCTTCTCTTCTAAAATGTTGCGCGATTGAATCAATAATAACTAGTTTTGTTTTGCCCTTTTCTTGAGCCAATAGTATTGGTAATTGGGTATACAATATGTGATCTTGGCTCACTAAATCATGGCAGTAAATATAAGAAATATTTGCCATTTCCACTGGAACTCCTGATCTTTCAAGGCCAGAAGATATATCTGCTATTCTTTTGGTTTCCAAAAATGATTCGGTTGCTATATGAACACTTGTACTCTCTGGAAATGTCTTTTGACACTGTAGTAGTAATTGATACAAAAAGTGAGATTTCCCACAGCCACTGGCACCAAAAACTTCAACGACTTCTCCAACTGGGATACCGCCTCCTAATTCTTCGTCTATGCATGGTAAACCCGTACTTATCATCTGCTCATCAAAGGGAATGCTAGTTGGTGTTGGTAGAAGATCATCTTCAAGAGATTTGTAATAGTCATCTACCTCTCGAAGTGGCCGGTCCACCAACTTTGAAATATCTGAGTGAGTAAACGCATCATGTGAATAAAGTAGATCTGCTATTGATTTTCCTTGCTCGGAGTAAGCTGAAGAAAGTATCGGAAAATTAATGGAACTATCAAGATTATTGGGCCCAAGCTGTTTCCAGTCATCCATGAATGTATGTAATTGTAATCAAGTGTCTAGCAAGTATTTGAGATACAATGAAGAACTCAACTTTTTTTTTCTTTTATGCGGTAACGCGTCAGTATATCAAGAACAACTAGACATACAATCAATTGCGCAAATCTGCTCCGGATTCTTTAAATACATTGTTCTACTCAATCGAGTCACCTCAGTTACTTCTTTTTTGAATTAATTAGAAGGATCATGGGTCAATCTATAAAAATTGTATGTATGTATATATTAGCATAAAGTGGTTAAATCTATATTAATCTTACTGTATTAGGTCAAATTATCTCCAGCTTTAGAGATCATGAAATCCTTTGCTTTCAAAATCGAAACCAAGAAATTAGGAACATTCCAACCAAATGCTAAACCAACACCACCTTCTTTACCAATTGGGACCACCATTGTAGTTGATTTTGGGGCTTCGTAAGATTTTGGTTTAGAAGCGTTACCAAAGACCTCAACTTGTATAGTTGATTCGATAACAGATTTTTGACCATATACCAAATCTACAACTGAACGTTGGCCAATTTCCAAAGCATCACCAACACAGATCACTTCTGGATGTTGCTTAAGTCTCAAGTGGCTGTCTGTGATTACATAACCGGTTTTATTCAACACATTGGCGGGAAGAAATTCGGTGTTTGGAATATGTTTATAAGCTGTAATAACCAAAGAGTATTTGACAATAGAACCATTAGCAAGTTCAACTGAATTTTCCCTGACATTAACTTTGTCATTCACGATGGTGACTCCAAGACGCTCTAACTTAGTAGTAGCTTTCAGGGATTGGTTCTCTGGCAACGTTGGTAATGGACGCAGAGCACCAGTATACAAAACGATCTCTTCCTTTTGTTTTCCATATTTGTAACCCAATTCACCAGCTACTTCTACTCCAGTACTACCACCACCGATAATTGCAATACTCTTGGCATCTTCAATTTGCTTGGAAAGGATTTTAATAGCTTCAATGGAATAAGTTTGATCTTTTTGGTTATCTAATTTGAAACCAGGGAAATCAGTCCTAGTTCCACTGGCAATGATTAAGTTGTCATAATTAAAAGTTCTATCTGAGTTCAAAATAGTCAAACTCTTGTCATCCAAGTCAACCTTTTGCACTGAGCCTTGAACAAATCCAACGGTGTGCTCAGTACCTCTGGATAATTTCTCAATTACATCTTTAATTTTGAAAACAACCTTTGAAGCTAAATTCAATTCTGTCAATAATCTAGGAGATGCGATGTTGAAATAGGTATGATCATTAGGAGCAATAATTGTAATATCTAATGATATATCTTTGGTGTGACATTTCTTAGTGGAAAGGAGGGTTTTGAGTGCCAATATTCCTCCATATGAGGCACCAATGATGATAACTTTCTTTTTGTTTGTAGTCATGTTTGAATTTGAAAATTATCTAAAAAAAATGTTAATAACTTATCATATCTGGGAGAATTTATATGCGGCTGTCTCTAAAACTTTATCCTCGATGTTTGGTCGGATGTTCGATTTTTTGGAAACTCTCCGACCCGGTACCTCTCGGTTATATTCCTGCAGGTAGATACATATCAAGTTTGTTTTTTTTTTTCATACTAATTGACTATAGCCCCTCGTACAGTAGAGGATCTAATCTGGGGAAACCCAATCCAAGGAAGTGCAAGGGTTATGAGCTTCTTGTACCTAATAAACATCATTCCATCTTAAAAACTTTTGGATTAAAAAAAAAATCGTCTGGGTTAAGATCTTCTGGATTAAGATCTTCGGGGTTGGAACCCAATCCATATTAAATGGCCCAATAGTATTCGGAATTAGTTTCACCTTTTCATCCTATCACGCATTCTAAGGTTGTTAAGAATGGCAGATACCATTATGAATATTACTAAAATGGAGAATCAATTGTTAGTTATAACCCAGTTATAATTACTAATGCTTACAAATCATGATTAATCAAATCATTGTTTTTTTCGGAGTTACAAAATTGATAATTATTACAAGCGAATAAAGCCGGATCATGAGAAATCAATGGGAAGCTTGGAATGTTAGCAAGCATGGAGTAATGGAAGATAACTAAATTCTTAAGTGAGAAGCAAACAGGGGGCAGTAGTAGTAGCTATTTTTAGATCGCAATTTACCACATTTGTCATGTGATTACTTTACAAAGAGTCAGGATTTCAAATAGAACTCACGAGTTTATATATTGGTAACACTAGCTACTTAATATTTACCAAGAATTTCTTGTTTGCAACACATATCATGATATATTTAGATACCAGAAAATACTGAAATCGTATGCAATTAGTGAGCACCAGAGATGAAGAACCATTTGTCAATGGATTTGTCAATTGGAGCAGCAGGGGCTGGAGAAGCAGCTGGAATTTCTGAAACGGCAGAAGCAGAAAAGGTAGGTGTGGTTTCTAAAGTAGTGTTGGTTAAATCAATACCCTTAGAGTCAACGGATTCACCCTTGATTAATTTTTCCCAAGCTTCAGCACATTCAACAATAATTTCTTCAGCGTATTTCTTGTTCTTACATTCACCAGAGAAGGCGAATTGGTTTTCTGGCTTACCATCTGGAATCTTGTAAATTCTGAACCATTCATTAGTGGCTCTCAATAAACCTGGCAAGTGAGTTTCAACATCTTCAATATCGTTCAACTTTGGAGCTAATGGGTCATTGACATCAATAACAATAACCTTCCAATCAGTTTCACCTTCATCTAAAAGAGCCATGACACCCAAAACCTTAACTTGTTTAACTTCACCGACAGTAGCGACCTTTTCACCAATTTCACAAACATCTAATGGATCATTGTCACCCTTGGCCTTAGTTTCAGGGTGGATTTGGTTTGGATCTTCCCAGGTTTGAGGGAAAGCACCATAGTTGTGAATGTAACCATGGTGAGGGAAACAGTTACGAACAAATCTCAATTTACCTTTCTTGGTATCTTGAATAATTGGGTTCAATTTCAATTCCTTGGAGATTTCCATCTTAGCGTTGGTCCATCTTGGAACTTCGACAATCATGTTCAAGATAGTCTTTTCTTCATTGGCGTATAATGGAATGTCATGAAATGGAGAGATTGGCTTACCATCCTTTTCCAAATAGACCTTGTGGTCTAAGGTATTAGCAGCAGCAACTTGACGGGTAGTGTAAGACATTGTAGAACTGGCAATTAAGCTTTTGTTAATTAAACAATTGAAAGAAAAGCACGTTAAACGTTGGGAAAGGAAACGGCGAGATTTTTTTTTTTTTCGGGGTTATTTTCTCCAGTGAAATTTTCAAAATGTGTATACTGACTAATTTTTGATCCAATTGTTTTTCAGCATTCAACATTGTTACATAAATGCACGGCACGTGACATCACTAACAAGAAAAAAAAACTTTTATTGTGACTGACGAGATTTTTCATTTATGTAGTAGTTAAGTTCGGTTGCAAATTTCAACACATTCATCTCGGCTTTTCTAAATAGGGTTAATCCTCTTGTTAGTTCCCTTTTATATGTTTCAAAAAGGTTATCTTTTTCTTGGTTACCTTTTTCCGATAATTCATTTAGTAGATTCATCATTAGCTTTATGTCACGCGTAGTAATCGGAAGGTGATTGCGAATATTTGTTTCCAATAAGAATACACCTCCAAATATTAAATTGCTGCCACATTTTTGATATTGCTGACAGATTCTAAGACCATACACATCAGAATCAAAAAAACCTATGGTCAAGCTAGAAAATGATTCTGTAAGCCAAGCTAGAAACCTCATTGTTAATCGGTCGGGGAAACCCTTTCCAGTAATCACAACAAAGTTTTGAAATGTATTGTGTGATTTCAAATACTGGCAAAAAGATTGAAATACTGCATCTTTCTCTATTACTATTATTAGTAACTTTTGGTTATCTGTGATTTCCTTACTAAAAAGGTGTTGGTAATTAACTGGGATTAAAATCGGCTCTGTTGTATGCAAACTATTGTTCCAATCTGCGTACATCATTCCCTTTTGAGAGGGCCGAATATTCAAATCTTTCTCAAGAGACCATTGTAGAGAGTCTTCGACTATAAGTTCAAGCAATCTGGTGCAATTGGTCTGATTTCTACTGAATAGCTCCACGTCATGGTAGTAAATATCTCTTACCGTTGTGTGGTTTCCATTCTTTGCATGCTGATATAGTATTCTAATGGTTTTAACAAGGGCAGCAAATTTCTGTATTTCTGCTATGTTGGAAGAAAATTGGGTATATGTTTGTGTCTTTCTATATTGGGTTTTTGATGATGGATTAGATTGTGTTTTGTAAAGAACTATAGTAACAGGTTGATAGTTACTAATATTTTGATGAATTTGCTGCCAAATTTGTTCCAAAATTTCCAACTTGGTTCTACAAGTTTGTTAATAGGTGAACAATACAATAAACACTCAATTATATCTACATACTTTGTATTGCTATCAATAATATAGATGCAACTCATGGTTGTTTCGACTTTTGTGGTGTGTTTGATGTGATACGATTCACCTTGAAATCATGTTCTCAAAATTTACAACAAAAAAATATCTCACTGTTTACCTAGGGTTCACTAGAAAATATTTCATAAAATGATAAAAGCATTAAAGTTTCGTCATACCTGTAAACATTTACCAATTTGCCTTGTTAAATCAACATTAATTTAAGATTTATTTGTGTGTGTGTGTGTGGTGTGTGACGTAGAATAGAATAAGAAGCGGAACACAGCCCGGATCTTAAATCCGTTATATCCGATCTAAGCCCCATGATGCAATTGAATCAGTACCAGATAACCAAGATCAATGATAATCATTACGTAGTTTTAAACTTTGTTCAATTTCTTCCCTTGCTTCTCGCTTCTCTTTAGTTTCAGTATATAAAGTTCTATGGTTTGAAGATAGAAAGTATGAAATATACCAATAGCCTATAATTACACCAGTTTCATAGTGTATTTGGTTCACGTGATTTTCTTGGAAAAGTTTAGCCATTCATACAAACGAGGCTTCAGAAATACTGAATAAGAAAAAGGAAAAAGAAAGAAAAAAAATAAACTAGAAAAACAGCAGAAATTTCCCAACAACCACATTTTTGTTTATCATTCTTTTCTTGGTAACAGTTTTGATTTCATCAGATTTATCACATTATACTTAATTTAAAAAACAACAAATTGAAGCAAATTGCTAAATGAGTATTGTAAATTATGAAGTAATAGGGGGGTCATTAGTTAAACGTGACAATTTAGACGGGTTGGCTATTACAGGGGCGACTCGGTGGGCCTTTTTCGCAATCTTTATTGTGATTATAGCTATAGTATTGCTTGGAACCATGAGAATAAACAAACGAAGGGCGCGCCAAGGTGCACAACCCATATATGGAACTAGCTGGATGACACCCCCTTCATATAGACAATCTCAGAATCAATATCAACAGCCAGATCATTTAAGAGACCCCGACTTGCCAGGTGCTTATGTTCCCGCATATACAGCCACGGCCAATGAATATGACATGGGATACTATGACAATACTGGTCAATACCATCCTAATCCAAATGCAAAAGCACCTATACCTCATCCACCCGAATCTCATCAAAGAGTGCCTAGCACAGTTGGTGCTGGCGCAGCCACTACTTTACCTACAACTTTACAAGGCTCCAATGACAATGATTCTAATGAAAGTATAGGTGATTTATATAGAGCACCAAATGGTCCACCACCTGGAGTAGTTGCCAATGGTGACACCAACGTTGGAAATGATCAATCAAATGAATTCAACCCTCCTCTTGGGCCACCTCCACAGAGCAGTGACTTAGTTATTGAAGGTTCGTCAACATCTGCTTCCAGTCAAGGAGAGAACCACTTATCATCATCTGAAAACTTCAAGTCATCAAAATCATAAACATAGCACAATTCTAGGTTCAGGTCGACTTTCGGTTTCAAAAAAGTGCTCTTAATTTGTTTTTTTAATTTTTCATTTATTTCATTATTATTACTTTAGTTTTGTTGTTATCTTTCTCGAATTTGGATACAACTTTCAAAGTATCTGTTGAGATCTGAACCAAGTCATAGAAAAACTTACCAAGTTGCTTTATCTGGTTATAGTATAAAATGCACATAGATTACCATTAATTTGCATTTTTTTTTTCCTGGTAAGATCAAATGGTGTTCCGAACTTTTTTTTTAAAAAAAAATAAAACAAATAAAATTAAAGTCAATAAATTATGCATTAGTTCAAAAGCTTGTAATTTAATAAATTGATCGACTAAGAGATTATATTCTGCCCGATACGCAATAATATAAGAAATAAAATAATGTTATTTTATTCTTAATGTCGTAGCGATAGATCTAGGAATGCTTTACTATATAGATCATACGGAATATGTATTCACCATTGTTGTTTAGTCATATGACTGATATTGAGTTTACTTCAGTTTATTCTATAGTGTAACTTTTTTTTTATTTTCTTAATCCTATAGAATGGTGGTTTGACCCCGATTCTTCGTATCGAGATAATATTCGACTAAACTACGAATATAAGGAAAACGACTATAATAAAGGATAGAATTTTGTGACCTGAAAGTCAACTCTAGTAATTTACACTTATAATTGCTTTCTAGTTTAATCTTAAATGTATTTATTTCTCAGGCTAATTTCCATAAGGAAGAATATATAAATTATAAAATTGGGGAGATAATTGACTAGTTTACAGTATTAACTAAGCGAGTTTAATTCGTCAATCAATCCAATTTTAAAGTATAATACCCCATGTTCTCACACATATTATGATTATGAACATTCTTTTTTCATAAGGTTAAATAATCCTTGGTATAATTCCAAATCGGTGTTGTGGGGTATTAGTAAACAAGTTATTTGTCATGACTATATGACAACCTTATTTTTTTCTTTTTGCATCTTGTCTGGGCAGTCAAGATGATTTTAGATACAACAACGAGCAAGGTGGTCTGATTATTTATATCAACCGTTATATAAATGGGGTAGATTTTTCATTCATTTGATGCTTTCGATATGATTTTGAATAGACAACTATAAAAGAAAACTTAAGGAATGCTCAAACTTTTGCTATTACAGTGGGTTTTATGTGGAACAGCATTTGCAGCTGTGTCACCGGGATATTTTAGTTTAGAAATACGTACGAGTCATGTCTCCAAAAATGGGTTTGGAAAAAGAGATGCTGTAGATATTTCCTTAAAAGACGACAAGCAATCCCTGATGTTGACTGAACTTCAAATCGGTTCAAACAGAGATAAAGTTGAAGTAGTTGTTGACACAGGTTCAAGCGTATTATGGGTCATGGATCCTGATGTTGAGTGTAAGACAAGCCCACTTACCGGCAAAGTCACAGATTGTAAGGCTCATGGAACATTTTCATTTCAGGGGTCTGAAACTTTCAATAAAACAGAGGAACCATTTCACATGGAATACGAAGATAAAGAATCTGCAGATGGATTTTATGTTAAAGATGACATTTCTCTTGGTAATGATGTCGATATTAAAGGGTTTGGTTTTGGACTCGCTAATGGAACTTCGCTGGATTTCGGAATCTTAGGGATAAGTTTCCCACAGGAAAATTTGATGGGCGAGTCTCTTCCTGTGGAATTGACAAATCAGGGGATAACCAATAGAAGTGCATATTCAATATTCTTGAATGAAGCTAATAAAAAAGGATCAGTTCTATTTGGAGCAGTTGATCATTCGAAATATTTAGGTGACTTACAAACGGTTCCCATTGTATATGACGAAACTGACCCAGATATTAAAGTAAATGTTTTGGGAATAGACATTAATATGAATGATGCCAAAGTGTCTGGAGGTGTTTCCGAATCAGCATTTGTTTTGGATACAGGAACAGCTGTATCACAATTCCCCAAGCTGTTTTTAGACACATTGTTGGGACAAATAAAAGGATCTGAATATATCGAATCTCAAAGCTTATTTGGTTCTCTTGATTGCTCTCAACTAGAAAATCTAAAGTTTGAGATTAAATTTGATGGTAAGACAATCACAGTTCCGGCAAAAAGCTTAGGTTATGAGGAAGTACATGACAGCACCGATGATGGATGTGTTTTTCTGATCGTTTTTAATGATAATAGCTTAATTTTGGGAATGGATGTATTAAGAAGCATATATTTCGTGGTTGATTTAGGTGACAAGGAAGTATCCTTAGCACAGACAGATTTCAGTCAAGGAAAGCAAGATATTGAGGTATTCCCACCTCCTGGTGTGAACAGAACCTTAGCTTCTAAGGGTAAATCTGAACACCAGGAACCCTCAGCCACACCTGAACACCAGGAACCTTCAGACACACCTGAAGAGAAAGAATCCTCAGCCAACTCGATCGTTTCTTCCATCGACGTTTTACTCTGTTTAGCTATTTTGTTGACTTGGTCACTTTAATGTGATTGTACCCAGGCTGATTTTTTTACATATTTGTTTTATGAATTAGTAATTACTTTAATTTTCGAATGAATTTATTTGTAGAAGTATTGAACAAGTTGGAGCGAAGGACGTTATTGATGGTCGGCCATAATGCAAAACTTGTTGTAGAGATACTTATTCGCCCTTTGATACAGAAATACTGCAAGTATTTCCATGTATTGTTCATTTAGTCAATGTCATAATTATTTGATAAAGGCCAAGATTGGTATTTAATTATATTAACAAGGAATGCATCATGTTCCTGTATCTTGAATTAGATGCTGGGGATGATAAAGAGAAGATCGAGTAAATGACCCAATTACGTCATCACATCAAAGGATATTTTTTTCTGTCAGATCCTAATTGTGGATCGCTTGTATCAACAATACTTAAATGCATCTACATAGCCTGGCATTACCTTCTATGATTTGTATTTCATGATACCTTCTATGTTTAATAAACCCCAACATCAGCCGGGGACAAAGCTCTCAGAGGACAAACAAAAACCTAGTTCATATATGCTGTTTTTCTATTCCATTTTTCGAATTGGTCATATGTTTGCATATTATTTTTTAGCATCCGAAATATTCTTTTGTAACTAAACCATGCAGCCAAGATGACTTTAGATGATCCAAATGACCTGACCATATATATCAGTTGCAATATAAATTGCATAGATTTTCTTTCATTTGATGCTTTCAATAACATGTTGAATATACAACTATAAAAGAAAACTTAAGGAATGCTCAAACTTTTGCTATTACAGTGGGTTTTATGTGGAGCAGTATTTGCAGCTGTGTCACCGGGATATTTTAGTTTAGAAATACAACCTAGTACTGTCTCCAGAGATGTGTTTGGAAAAAGAGATGCTGTAAATATTCCCTTAAAAGACGACAAGCAAACCCAAATGTTGACTGAACTTCGAATCGGATCAAACAGAGATAAAGTTAAAGTAAATGTTGACACAGGTTCGAGCAGATTATGGGTCATGAACTCCGATGTTTATTGTATTGCAAGCACCGTTTCTAATGATGCTCCAAATTGTAAAGCTCAGGGCACATTCTCATCTGAGAAGTCTAATACTTTTACTACTAAAGAACAACACTTTTTCCAGTCTTACTTAGATATGACATACGGCTCAGGTATCTATGGTAACGATGATATTTCTCTTGGTAATGATGTGATAGTTAAACGATTTGAATTTGGAATTGCTAACCTAAGTTCACTGGATATTGGGGTCTTAGGGATAAGTTTCCCAGAGGCAAATTCGACTGGCCAGTCTCTTCCTGTGGAATTGACAAATCAGGGGATAACTAATAGAAGTGCATACTCAATATTCTTGAATAAACCTAATAAAAAAGGATCAGTTCTATTTGGAGCAGTTGATCATTCGAAATATTTAGGTGACTTACAAACGGTTCCCATTGTATATGACGAAACTGAGCCACATATTAAAGTAAATGTTTCGGGAATAGATATCAACATGAATGGTACCAAAGTGTCTGGAGGTATTTCTGAATCAGCATTTCTTTTGGATACAGGAACAGCTATATCACGATTCCCCAAGCTGTTTTCAGATACATTGCTTGAACGAATAGAAGGATCTGAATATGAAGATTCTGTAAGCTTCTTTGGTTCTCTTGATTGCTCTCAAATAGAAAATCTAAAGTTTGAGATTAAGTTTGATGGTAAGACAATCACAGTTCCGGTAAAAGACTTGGTTTATAAGAAAGTACATAATAGCACAGATGAAGGATGTGGTTTTATGATCAAATTTGAGGATGATAACGATGACTTAATTTTGGGAATGGATGTATTAAGAAGCATATATTTCGTGGTTGATTTAGACGACAAGGAAGTATCCTTAGCACAGACAGATTTCAGTAACGGAAAGCAAGATATTGAGGCATTCCCACCTCCTGGTGTGAACAGAACCTTAGCTTCCAGAGGAAGATCTGAAGAGAAAGTATCCTCAGCCAACTCGATCGTTTCTTCCATCGACGTTTTACTCTGTTTAGCTATTTCCTTAACCTGGCTACTTTAATGTGATTGTACCCAATCAAATTTTTACATATTTGTTTTATGAATTAACAATTACTTTAATTTTCTTTGAATCTATTTGTAGAAGTATTGAACAAGTTGGAGCGAAGAACATTATTGATGGTTGGCCAAAATGGAAAACTTATAGAGATATTTATTTGCCCTTTGATGCCGAAATACTTGCAGTATTTCTGTGTATTGTTCATTTAGTCAAAGCCATAATTCTTTTATAAGGGTTAAGATTGGAATTTAGTATTAAATTCGATATACTGCATATTTGAAAACATGATACTATTTAGAAACAACCCAGTATGGTATAATTCTGATCATTCCTTTCTATGAGGTTGAATAATTCTTGGTATAAACCCCCAAACCGGTCGTGTAAAGACATAGTTATTAGGAAATGGTTTGTTTGTCTTTACTATGCCACAATTGTATGCACTATTACAATATCAATGCTTTTAAAAGGTCATTTGTACTACTTTGAATTTTATAGGACTCTATCCAGAATTATACTCATACAAGCTTGTATGTGCTTACCTAAGTTTTCTATCTTTTAATGTTCAAATACTAAAATTGTGAAATAAGATTTCCCTAGAAATTAACCATCAAAAGAATAAACCCAAAAGAATAATAACACTATGAAAGAAAGAAATGTGATTCAATTGGGCTCAACTAATTATGGTTCTCTAATAATTTCATTAAATCGTTAAATGAAGGTTTTATATAAACTGTTTGATATAGTTAATAGTTCAAACAATACAATAATATTCATTACTGCAGATTTAGCCACCAATACAACTAAAAACGTATTTTAGTGGCAAGGAACATGTAACTATCTGCAAGTTTAGGTGAGAATTATAGTAGTTTTCCCCCCGTTGGGTACGCAAAGTTTCAACTAAGAAAAAGCAGTTTGAGGCTTAATCCTCTTTCAACTCTGAACATAAGAAACAGACTATCTAATTCTACAGTGCCGTATTCTAGCATTCAGTATCACGCTACAGATTGCTATCGTCCTATAAAGTATTAAATTCACAATAAAGTGGTGATTTTGCCTTCTTATATATGATTACAGATAATATATTGCAATGGATCCCCGCTATAAAAGTGTATATATTAGACTTAAAAATTACAATGTTTATTTTAATTGTTATTTAAGACGGTATTGCAAAACTATCTTTCAAAACTTGTTGTTTTGAGGGTAAATAATCACGCGTTAATTATCTGGAAAGAGCACACGGGGAGGCTATTGAAATAATTCACATCTAAGCGATGTTTCCAGGATAGGAATTATTTCCCTTACGAAGAACTTTGTGTAATTGAGATGGGGTAGAAGTTTCGCTTTTCTAGATCTGAAATTTCTCTCTCCTCAAATCATAATCCATGAAATCTAACATTTATGGAAAATAGCTCGGTTATGCAAGTTTAAGCAAAAGCATGCAGCTACAATATTCGGCTGTTTATTTGTCAGGTCTATATAATGAGGAACCACAACTAAGTTATGTGAACTTACTTATGAATAAAAAAAAGCGAACTGATGAAGCTCATATGAGATGGTGACAAAGCATATCTGTACATAATTATTTGCCAGCACGTTAACAATCTCACCATTAAATCGTATATATGATAAGTGAGTTTTCTGTGGTTCAGACGATGATCCTGCATCTGCATGCATCTTTATTATGGCAAAGAAAAAAAAAATGTTCTAAAATTATTTAGGAGAGAGAATAAACCCTTGTCCGCCCTGTCAAATTATTGTTCAGAGAATTGCTAATGGACACAAGATTGAGGTCTAATTAAAACTTTAGATGTCGTTAGTGTATGCAAATATAGCTAATTTAGGCACTTTCGCTCAAAATTAAATATATGAATTCGATCAGGACCTTTGTAACATTCTCCAGATCAAGGGATCTTAAAAAGAATATCAACTATTTCATTCAAGGAAGCTCGTCAACAAAAGAGCGATTGTAGTGCAGATCGCTAGACGAATAGATAATTATGAAATATTTTTTTTTCAGTTTCTGCAACAGTTCATCAGTTTATTTTTCTTAAACAATGTTTACCGAAGTTGCAAACGAGCCAAAGTGTTGAGTCTCTGGCAAAGATAAAAAGCCCACCGGTTTCCCATTTATTTGCACCAGATATTTCTTCACCCTATTGAACCCAATGAAAATGATTTTATCGGTGATACTTTTACCAGTATTAATAACATTTGCTTCAGCTCAACAAATAAGTGGGGTCTTTACCTCCTTCAACTCATTGGAGTGGCAAAATGGAGGTGGTTATCCATTTGCTGGTCCTTATTTCCCTAGCTGGAAAGCAAAATTAGGATGGAAAATTGACGGATCATCTATGCATGGAGGTGATACTTTCACCTTAACCATGCCATGTGTATTCAAGTTCACCACAAACGAAGAATCTGTTGAATTAAGTTCAGGATTAACAAATTATGCCACTTGTATTTTTGCACCAGGTAGTATCTTGCTGCTGACTTCTGAATTGAAATGTACCATATTGGATACTATCCAAGATCTGACCTTAACTACCGGAACATTAACCTTACCAGTTACTTTCAATGTAGGAGGTTCAGCATTAGGTTCCGATGTGTACTGTGCTAATTTTTTTGAAGGTGGGTCAAACACGGTTTCCTTTAGTGACGGCGATAATATCCTTTCCACCGAAGCTACATTCGAACCAGATACCCAAACTGATCCTAATGGAACTATGTATGGTGCACGTATCATTCCTAACAAGAATGAAGCGCAGATTTATGTTTTATCTGGTGAATGTGCCCAAGGGTTATCTTCCGGTACAATAGGTATGACAATTACGGACGGTTCAAGTATAATTGATTGCTCGTCTGTCCATGCAGCTATGTCAAACTCATTAAATGATTGGTATTTTCCGGAATCTGCTGATTTGCTTTCTACATCCACGTCTTATTGCAATGATTCATCATTCATGGTAACCTACTCCAACATTCCAAATGGCAATCGTGTATTCATTGATGGACTTATGTCTATCGTCAATGGGGAATCTCCTACTGTGAAATATACGAACCAATACATTTGTGATCAATCGGAAGGTTTGATCGATGGTACAACTGAGGTCAAGTGGCAACCCTCGTATGTCAATATCAATGACTTTGATGTAACTGTTTCTTCAGATAATGATGCAACCACAGCTACAGGAGCTAACACCGATGCTACTACTGCAGCTACTACTGCAGCTAGTACCGACTCTGATACTTCCTCAGCAAGTAACCCAGGTACTGGATCTAACACTGGAGCTAACACTGGATCTAACACTGGAGCCAACACCGACGCTACTACCACCGCCACCGCAGCTAGTTCCGACTCTGCTGCTTCCTCATCAAGTAACCCAGGTACTGGAGCTAACACCGATGCTACTACCACTGCTGCTAGTTCCGACTCTGCTGCTTCTCCATCCAGCGATGCAGGTTCAGGAGCCAACACTGGAGCCAACACTGGTGCTAATACTGGAGCCAATACCGACGCTTCGAATTCTGCTGCTGCTTCTCCATCTAGTGATGCAGGTTCAGGAGCCAACACCGATGCTACCGCCATTTCTAGTTCTAAATCCTTAGATAACGAATCAGGTGCTGCTACTGGTATCAACACAGATACTACAAATTCCGGATCTCCTGCTGCTCCTTCAGAAATCAATGCAGGAACACAAGGAAACCAAGAGAGCAACGTTACTGCTAATTCGGAATCAGTTGAAAACAGACCAACTAACCTTTCCACTTTAGCCACTATAAGTTCGGGTGTTATTGTAAGTGCAGATGATTCTGAAACTACAGACTATTCTGGTGATGATGACAATGAAAACATTTCAAATAGTGATATTGCTGGAAATTACTCCGAAAACCAAGAATCAGATAATGGTTATGGTTATACCGCTAGTGATAACTACTACAGTTCCAGCTCTCAACTGGTCGCTCCAGCTATCACATCAGATTCTGTAGATGGAGTTAACTCGGTAAGAGCAAGTCCAGCCTTGAGTTTACTTTTGACTGTTTTGATGGCTATTTTCTAATAAGTATATTATATCCTATATGTAACAAAAAAAAAAAGATCGCCCTGATTAATAAAGTAAAACAAAATAACTAAACAAATGACAATTTAAAGACACATAACTTCTAATTTAGATCGGTTAAGGATGAAATAAACATCCGATACTCATATTTGCAATTATTTAAGAGTTATGTGTGATATACCATACATTTATACTTTGATCATATGACACTGTATAACTTCCAAAACAGTATACGCGTATAAAATTTAAAAACTAACACTGTCATGTACGATTCCAGCATCTCTTCTATCCACGGAGTTCACTACCATTTGTTCAGGGAAAAAGCATACATTTGTTGCCCCATCACAACTATAGCAAACCAATACCAAAAAATCAGCAGGAGTTTCATTTCATTTTCGCAATTAATTTTACGAGTCGTGCAAAATAGATATCGGATAATCTTACAATGAATATATAAAAAAAAATAACTTCTCCTAACTATATAGCTTTGAACTGTAATTCCCTTTTGGGTATCAAACAAAATAATCACACCTTCAGATTTTTAGTTTCGTGCAACCGACACACGCGCATATGATAAAAAGCATTAAATGCTGCCACCCCCACTAACAATCAACAATTTCTTGTTAACATTTCAAGACTTTTTAATTGTATGGATCAATCAAATTCTCTACTATAATAAAATATACGATGACTTTATCTATGATGAAGTTAATTGCTTTGATTTGATCGTATACAAGAATCGAAATCCCGACTTGATTAAATACCTTGATGATTTTACTACGAATATAATTAACAAACTAATAATCAATAAAAAACAAGAAAATGCATTGAATAAAATACGGTGTGTGATATACGACACCAACGATGATCAAAATTTTGTACGATGTTATAATGTAAATTTTCATGATTTTATTGTAAATTTGAATGATACAATTGTTCAGTTCCCGCAAGAATATGACACTTCTGCCACTATAAGTATTCCTGATATCAATTGGATTGAAGTTAATAACCGATATAAAACAATATTGTTTTTACATATTCAAGAATTGAAGAGATTGCAGCTTAGTGTGAAAGATTTATTCTTTAAGCTATTAATTGACTTGGATGAACTGATGTATGCAGACTCAGATTGGGTTAGACTACCTGCTAATGAACAAGTCAACATAAAACCAGTTCCTGTTGGTCACTTAGAATTGAAGATACTAAATTTTGATTTACATAATGAATATAATTAAATTCTATTATTGACAGGAAAATTATTTTAAAGTGCTATTTAAGTTGAATAAACTTTTCAAATTCTCATACATAAAGTAGGAAATTGAAACCGCAGGAGCAACTTTGGCCAAGTTTGGTACAAGACCTTTGTATAATCCAGGTATACCTTCCCTTGCTACTGTTTTGTTTAAAACATCAAAGAATCCATTATAAGTATATGGATGAGCATAAGTACCTTGTGCTTGTAATCTTGTTCTCAATAAATTTATTGGATAAACTAAAGTTGCTCCAAATGATCCCGATAATGCCCCCAATGTTAACACCATATAATTTGGCAATTTAACATCTTCTTGTCTAATTCCAGTTTTCTTGCTTTGTCTTTTAACCAACCAATTTTTGATGATTGAAAATGTTCCCAAATCCAAGGCAGCATAGGGGAAAATCCCACTGGTACCAACAAAAATACCACGATAAAAGATTCTCAACCCTCCTTCTTGAAACATATCCTTCGCTGTTTGAATTAATAATGCATTTCCCTTGAGTGAACTATCAAGATTTGAACATTGTAATCTGAACTTTAAGGTATCTACGGGGTAAACTGTGAATTGAGCCACCACACCTCCAAATCCACCAGCTAAGTAAGTTGAAACTTTGGAAATCTTACTGGAATCATCAACCCCTTCAATTCCCGCAAAAAATCTCTTTGCAGCTTCAAATGAGCCAAACTTCATGGCTGATTCTGGGAAAACTTTTAATACATTCAACCCATTCCCGACATAAAATGCCTTAAACCCACCTTGTTTCCATATAGTTCTTGCCGCTTGGACAATGGGAGATCTAATGGTTTTTTCTCGTAGACTCGAAGCTGCTTCAGCAGCAGCCTTCTCTTGAGCAACTTGCAATTCGGCATGTGCCAATTTTTTTCTTAATTCATCAATAATATGTCTTTCTGCTCCTGCGGCGATTTGTGTGGCTATTTCTTGTTTGGAATGCAAGACCGTGGATGTTAAATCGGTTCTAGCAATCAAAAACACTTTGATTCTATCAAATGGGGCTGTACAAGTTCTTGAAACCACCCCTGATAACCCCCCCGCTAAGAAATATCCAAATCCATTGAGGAATTGAGTCACCAATGCAACATCACCATCGGAAGTTATATCAAATTCTTCCACAATGAAATGATATGCAGTTTTAATTCTTGAACCATTTAATCTTGGCATTAATAACAAGAATTGTCGAAATTCATCGTATGTAATGTATCCATCATTTTTGTAGTCAATTTTCTTAAATAACAAGTCGATATCGGCAGTTGTTGGATCAAGCTTAAGTGATTCCTTTAAATATCTGACAAAATCAGCCTTGTTTAACTTCCCATCGTGATCTTCGTCAAGGATATTAAACCCTCGTAAGATTTGTTTATCAGTGGTTGATAAATATACTTTGAAATCGTTAAAATCAATCACACGATCTTGATTGGCATCAAACGAGTCAAAAATCTTCTTCATTAGTTCTGGACTTGAACTTATGGGATGGTTTAGTCCCTTTATAGCTCGTTTGAAATCTCGCAATGTGATTTCACCAGTGTCTTCTATATCCAATGTTTTAAACAATGCTTCATAATCATTGAGTTTGGTTGTGTCTGTGGGTATCAGGGAAGATTTCGAAGATTCATTCTTGGGAGAATCACTCGGACTATATCCCGGAGTAGAAGAAGTGGCAAGTCCTGTCATATTTCTATATCACTGTATGTACAAGTAGTGGTAGTAGCAGTTGAGCTGTTGCTATTTTGGAATCTATTAAATGGGAGGAACAAAATTAGGTTATAAATAAGAGTGGACTTCTCTATAGGATACGGTATGTTGAATCAGCACCTTTTTAAAAGATCCACAAGGAATCTATATGTCAAATAGTCGTAAGGTTATTAGATAAGTGAACAAGGCGCAATTTAGGTTTTGCTCGGAGTGGTGATGGATGTCTCAACGCAAATCGATCCCGGGAAAAATTGGAAAAAAAAATTTTTGGGTTAGTGTTAGCGCGCGACGTGGAATGTAAAGCCGAGGCGGATAATTCTTATATAACCAAAGAAGAAACAACAACTGAAAACAACGGAAGAATAGGAAGAAAACAAAGATGTAAAGCTGTCATTCAACTAAAATTCTAAAGTGATTGTATTGGTCAACAACTCTAACATAAAAAAAGAAATTTTAAAATTTCATTATACCGTTAGCGACGTTGGGGGGGATTTAAAAACAAATACGCCGCATGGTTACTTATTTGTCACGTGACAGAAAGTTACAAAAATATTCTGATTAAACTTCTCGATTAATAGGAGTAATAGGTAAGTTCCAGGTCTAAATTTGAGTAACTAATAGTAGTTTTGTCATTGATAAGGTATATAGATATTGCTAACAATTAAATGGGTTGCAAAATAGGTTTTATGCATTTGTTAACAAGAAATACTAAGAAAAAAAACTTCTACCAATCAATTTCGATCTGTTGATAATATAAATCGACCCATATGATGCATATGAAATTGCTTGACTATTTCAAAGCATCTTTATTAAAAAAAATTGCGCTCAAGACTTTTAGGCTACATTATAACTTTAGCAAGTTTATTGTGCTGCATTATAACGTGGCAGTACATATAGATGTTGATGTGCATATGTATATGCGGGACAGCAATTGCATAGGAGGGCTTGATAAGTTGCAGTAGGAATGCTTCAATACCAGAAGTACTCTCCTATGGTTGTCTCAAATGGAAATTCGCATATTAGATCACCAATCAAAGCTGGTATAGGTTGTAGGTTGATGGCTAGCAACTTAGGTTGACAATACAGAAGAGCAAAATTTTTTATTGCAAATATACTACTGGAGTCTACTAGATTCATAATTTAGCTATGGGTGAACAATCTGGAAGCAATATATTTATAATATAGCTAAGATTTTCATTGACCAAACTTTGCACCCAGTCCCCAGCATACTTATCGTGAATGTTCTAAAAAAATCTCCAAAATAGCTAAATGTATATAATCTAGCTAAATCACCCCTTAAATACACTTCAATATCTCTAATTAGTTACTTTTTCATCTAACTAGTATGAACAGCAATGGCTGCAAACCATTTTGCACTTGGTAATTTTTCACCTTCGCACGACTTCCGCTTCTGATGGAAAAATGAAGAACGAAAAAAAAAAAAAATATTGAAAAGAATGGCAACACGTCCAAATACTTTTTACCAACTACTGTCAATACCCAACTCCAAACATGTCAGTGCAAATATTTAATGAGCAGGCGACAGAAGAAAGAGCTGAAAATGCCCGTATGTCGGCTTTTGTAGGTGCCATTGCTGTTGGTGACCTTGTCAAATCCACATTGGGACCTAAGGGGATGGATAAATTATTACAAAGTTCCACTAATCCTGATGCTGCCCTTGTTACCAATGACGGAGCTACCATTTTAAAGTCTATTCCATTTGATAATCCAGCTGCCAAAGTCTTGGTCAATATTTCCAAAGTTCAAGACGATGAAGTTGGTGATGGTACAACTTCTGTTACTGTTTTAAGTGCCGAATTATTAAGAGAAGCTGAAAAGTTAATTGAGAAAAAGATTCATCCACAAACTATCATTGAAGGGTATAGAATTGCTAGAACCGTATCTATAGAAGCTTTAGAAAAGCATGCTGTTAACAATGGTGACAATCCAGCTTTGTTTAGAAATGATTTATTAAACATTGCTAGAACCACCCTTTCCTCCAAGATTTTATCTCAAGATAAAGAATTATTTTCAAATTTGGCCGTCGATGCTATCTTGAGATTGAAAGGTTCCACCAACTTGAATAATATTCAAATCATCAAGAAAGTCGGTGGTAAGCTTTCTGATTCATATTTAGATGAAGGTTTTATTTTAGAAAAGAAGTTTGGTATTAGTCAACCTAAAAGAATTGAAAATGCCAAGATTTTAATTGCCAATACTTCAATGGATACCGACAAAGTTAAAATCTTTGGTGCTAAATTCAAGGTCGATTCTACTTCTAAATTAGCTGAATTAGAAAAAGCCGAAAAGGTTAAGATGAAAAACAAGGTTGAAAAAATTAAAAAGTTTGGTATTAATGTTTTCATCAATAGACAATTAATTTACGATTACCCAGAACAATTATTTACCGACGCCAAGATAAATTCTATTGAACATGCCGATTTTGATGGTATTGAAAGATTAGCTTTGGTTACAGGAGGTGAAGTTGTCTCTACATTTGACAAACCTGAAAATGCCAAGTTAGGTTACTGTGATGTAATTGAAGAAATCTTGATTGGTGAAGACTCTTTCCTCAAGTTCTCCGGAGTAGCTGCCGGTGAAGCATGTACTGTTGTTTTAAGAGGTGCCACTGACCAAGTTCTTGACGAAGCGGAAAGATCTTTGCATGATGCATTATCTGTGTTATCACAAACCACTAGAGAAACCAAAACTGTGTTGGGTGGTGGATGCGCTGAAATGTTGATGGCTAAAGCGGTTGACCAAGCTGCTGCCAATGAAACCGGTAAGAGAGCCTTGGCCGTGGAAGCATTCAGCAGAGCCTTGAGACAATTACCAACAATATTAGCAGACAATGCTGGTTATGACTCCAGTGAATTGGTGACTAAATTAAGATCGTCCATCTATAACGGGATTTACACTTCAGGGTTAGATTTAAATAACGGTACCATTGGTGATATGAGAGAATTGGGAATAGTTGAGTCTTTTAAATTAAAGAGAGCTGTTGTTTCTTCGGCTGCTGAAGCTGCTGAGGTCTTGTTACGTGTTGACAACATCATTCGTGCTAAACCTCGTACTGCTGATAGAAACCACTAATTGTATATATATACACCAGTAATTTATAGATCATGGAAATATATAACATCGGTAGAATTGTGAATGGGGAATTTTGTAAATACTGGAGGTTTTTTTTTTTTTCACCTAGCAACGGAGTCATCACGTCCATACACCGGGGGTTATGTTTTTTTTCCGGTTCAAGAAATAATGGCTCCATAAAAGATATTCCGTAACCGCTTCTGGAGAACACTGCCACAGTAGCTCATCCCTCGAAGCGTGCAACCCCCTGTTTATTCACACCCCCTATAAACGCACGTGAATACGATAGTTGTGGAGAGAGAGAGCGAGAAAGAAAGACCGATTGGCTACACACGACCAAGGGTGAACCGTGTACTATACAGGAACAAACCAGGGACAACAAACCCAAAGCATGACAATGAAAAAAAATTTCCCCGATTTTCTGGCTTAGTTTGATTTTGTACGTTCACTTTGGAATTTACTATGGCTCACAATTGCCGCTAATTTCATGTTTCTAATAAGCAATATTGCACTCAATTGAAAGGTGTCACACTGGTATGTGAACTTTAACCGACGCGATCAATTGAAATGACGGCATTGTTTCAGTACAACAAAAACAAGCAAATGTTGCTTTGTCCTGCAAAAAAAAAATTCGATGGAGATATTTTTTTTGCAATTTCAGACAGGATCTAAAAAAGAAAAGGTGGCATGGGTATGCGGCAGTAATAGTCCGCTTTGTTGTGGAAGTTATCTGTGTAGTTATTGCTTTATTTCAGGTAATTTTGATTTCGGAGGTTTCCTCACACAAAATGCAACAAACCTATCTTTCAATGTCAATATGCAGGGGGTGTGGGCATAGACAAAGTATTATGGCTAGGATAGATGGAATCCATGTAACAGGGATTTGCCCCTAATAGGTACTCCTTTTATTGATTCAATTCAGCCTTGGTTTGTCAGGGCAACGTGTTCAACGTGCAATATCAATTGCCCCACAAAAATAGCGAGTTTCACACAGTCATTGTTTGATAGTGCACTATGAACTTTGAGAGTGGCGAAGCTCAGTAGAAACAACAGATATTTCCCAAAAAGAAAGGTCTGCGATGTGGTTATGAGGGGGGAGGCTTGACACCTATGGTTGAAACATGCAGTTGCAAACACAAATTACTAGCAATATTATTATTTGCAGGATTGATGAACATTACTGACAGCAATATGGCAAGCCACACCCCCCCTCCCCCCCCTGAATTTCCAATTGTACTCTAGAAACTGAAAAATTTTGGGGTATAAAAGGGCGTATATTCCCAAGCCCAATTCTACTCTTGTCATTTGTTCTATAGACTCAATTAGTATAGCAGTTAACAAAAAATGGTTTTCGATTTCGGTAAAGACGACGACGACAAGAACAAGGATTACTCTTCTTCCGGAAGAAGAAATGACTTAGACGACTCCAACATTGACTCTTTTGGTTCTTCCAATGATGACTCCTATGGTTCTTCCAGAAAGGGCGATTCATATGGTTCTTCCAACAGAGATGATTCCTACGGTTCTTCCAACAGAGACGACTCTTATGGTTCCTCCAACAGAGATGACTCTTATGGTTCTTCCAACTTGGGTTCCAACTTAGGTTCCAAATTGGACTCCTCCATTGACTCTGCAAGAGACACGTTTGGTTCTTCTAGAGGTAAGGATTCCTACGGTGATGACAATGACTTCTCCGGTTCTAGACAACAAGGTGGAAACCAAGACTACGGTAACAATGACGACTCTTGGCAATCTTCCGGTAACAGAAGAAGAGATGATGACAACTACTAGTTAGTTTGTATCTTTTTCTCTATTCAATTCGGTTATCTTATGCTTTTAATTTAGTAGTTTTTATATCTGTTTAGTGCTACTGAATATAACGTATTGTATGCAAAAAAAAAAGTTGTAGTGGTTGCAAGTGTGCAATGTTTTCGATTTACTTTTGCATCACCACTTTATTTGAAACCATTAAAACTGTAAGTCGCCTAAGCAAAAAAAAAAAAAAGGTACACTACAATGATCTCAACAATTACTTTTTATATATTGACAAAAGAGGTCATTATGTAGGAAATACATTCTAGAATATTACTGAGGTCTTGGCTCAGGGGGTTGCAATGACTGTTGTAAAGGGGAAAATAATACTTGGGTGACATATTTTCTTTTATATCTGACAATGGAAGCAACAGCCAAGGTATTATGCTTGATACTTGTAGTAGCCAAGTGATTTAAAACAACATGGTTTGGAATAGGTAAAGCACCACTATTATTCTCCCCCGAACTATTATTGAAGTTATTTAAAATCACATTTTCTAAATGAGGTGGTAATTGTGGAGGATGTAACCACGCTTGCTGTTGGCCATTTGAACTTCTTGATTGTTTATCAATGGCAACATAGTATTGTTCCATTACTTTAGGATCAGTGAATATAGGAGGAATGTCGTTGATGTACTGATATTCCTTATTTAGAGGCGTGCCATCTTCATCATGATATCTTGAATAACCGTTACCCATATCATCATCATCATTAATTAATCCCCACATAGAGTCTGTTCTATTCCTTGACAATGAAGATTTACGACTTCTTGATTCTTCTGGCTGTGGTTGTTGTAGCTGCTGCTGTTGTTGTTGTTGCTGTTGTTGTTGTTGCTGCTGCTGCTGCTGTTGCTTGGCTTCATTTTCTTCAAGTTGTGCCAAATGTTGTTCGATGTTTTCTTGGGTTATTTCAATATAATTGACAAAATTACCCATTTGATCAGTAGCAGTAGGAAGGAAATCTGAAAATCTCAACTCATTGTCAACAACAAATCTAAATCGGTGAGTTCCGAGAGGTAATCCTAAAGTTATCAAGAATGAATTATCCGGCTGTCTTACTAAACCAATCATTTTTCTCCACCCGGTAAAGGAACCAGTAACATAAACTTTTTCACCACCTTGAACCCATTGAATATCAACAGGAACCGTGACATTTGGATCGGGTTGTTGGGCCGGTTGTGGTGGTGCCTGGTCTTCTTGGCGGGTTTGTTGCTGCTGTTGTTGTTGGTTTTGTTGTTCTTGCAGTTGTTGTTGTTGTTGCTGCTGCTGCTGTTGTTGATTATGTTGGGTTAAATTGGCTGATGAGCTGTCAATATTCATGCGATCATCTTCATTGGAATTGTTTTGTTTGTCAGCATTTGGTTGATCCAAATCAATATCATCGGTCAATATTAAAGTCGATTTTCTCCTTGCTGGTGCTCCATTACCTTCTTCGTCAGCCTTACTGACATCTACCATAGAAACATCTTTTGTTTCGGAACTTGCAGTGCTGTACATTATTCTATAAGATTGTATGCTGGTTGTAAATTTGTACAGGCAGAACGAAATGAAAATAAAATGAAATCAATCAATTAAAACCTTGTTATAGTCTTTTTAACAGGTCAGGAATAGTTTCTAGTTTGAATACCTTTGATACAAGTGGAAAATCACAGTGGGTGGGAGGAAAGGGGGGTTTACGCGAATGATACTAATTATGGAAATCAACTGAAACCTCCTTAAATATTTAAATAGTTGATCTTTGCGTATACTGAAACGTTTGATTTTGACTCTGGTGGGGTCTATTGTCCTTGACCGTATACGGGAGCTGTAGTGTGGGGGGAGATTGTTTGAGTTGGGGTTGGTTTGACGATTAGTGCTCTGTTTTTTTTCTTTGTTGTTGACTTACAAATTTGATGGCTTGCACTTTTTTCTTTTTTTGGGCGATCTCTTGTGGCTTGGTCAAGAGTTTGATAGGGTTCACTTTTTATACTGCAAAGTTAAACCTGATGGTCAAAGGGAACTATCGGTTGCAATGGAAATAGAAAATCTCTTGCGTATAGATCTGCTATAAATGTAAACAGTTTGAAGCACGCATAGAGTGAGTGAGTGAGTGTGTGTGTGTGTGTGGTGCCGAGCTAAACCAATCCCGAAGTCCCCTTCTGAATCTGTCGCGAATGATCAGAAATTCCGGAATTTCAAAAGGAAACTAAAGAGACTAAACATAAGTAAACAGAAAACAAAACGCCTTAATCGCGTCTAATATTCTCTTCTAAAACAGTTATTGTGCTGCAATTGATGCATGGTTTTGATACTAGTAGTTTCAAAGTTGACCATTGTGCATCAACTAGCTACATATGACACGCCATATAGTCCAGTGTGATGTTTTTGTATCAGCAAAACCTAGAACAGTCCCAACTTCATGTTATTGACAAACTAGTGTATTTATTAACCTATTTGAATCTCATAATATACTAAAAATGCAAACCCTAACAGCCAATCATGAGCTACTTACGCTTCAAAATTTAAACCGAATCTAATAACCATCAAACTCTCCTAACAGAACTAGAGTTCAGAAGGAACCCTTATCAAATGTATTCTTCTAAGAAATGAAGTTGACATCATTTATTCCTCAGATTTTAAACTCTTAACATTGGTTGAAATAGCATGGTATACAAGGATCAAGAAAATTGATGCAAACCCAAAAGTCAAAGCAATTGTATTGAGTTGGTTGTCTGTAATCATAGTGATATACTTGCTAATAACAGCGATGTCTTGATTTAAAAGCTTTCAATTACAACAAACGTGATTAGTATTGACGTGGAGTTTATTGATCCTTGTGTAAATAACTCGCACTATTTTCCAGAAAACTCGGTTGAAGCACGACTGTAATCAACAACGCTACCAAATACAAAGCATGGCAATTCCTTTAATTAAAGGTTAGAATCAGTCCATGCTCTCTACATAAGAAAAGCCCCTAACAAATACTTTCCATGTATCTTAGTATTAGTACATGCAGTTTACGTGTTTCCTTTGTAGACTGCAGTGCTCCAAGAGAACACAAACTATAAGAGGTTGCTTTGACTTGGCTACATGCAGGACTGCGATCATGTGATCGCATTACGTACAATTTTTTTTTTTTTTTTTAATTTTGATTTTCTTATAAGTTTGCATCAACTGTAGTTAGCTTGTTTAGTCTTGAAGAGAATGCTTCGGAGGGCCCTCGATCAGAGTAGGTTGCTCGCTTTGATGTATATACGGGTAGGAAGAACTGATATACTGAAATTTGAGAAGATTCAGTTTTCATTTTCACGATGTATCCATAACAGACCTACCAAGGAGGACTTAGTTAAAGACAACAACAATAACATACACCCAGAATCAAATCAACCAAAGCCAAATTCAAGCGAAGTACCAAAAGAGATGCACGAGACGACTAAATTATCATTTGAGGAGTATCAAAAGAAAATTTTACTCAATCACAAGAAACACGCAGAACCCACCGAGTGGCAAAAGCGAGAACTTGCTATAAAGAAGCGATACGGAGAGTGGAAACCAACTAAGCGATTGTCTCGAGAGGAGATGGTTAAAGTTAAGGAATTAAGTGAGCAGTTTCCTCATTACAAGACTGCCGATTTAGCAAATATTTTCCGGGTTTCTCCTGAGGCTATTAGAAGAATATTGAAGTCGAATTGGATTCCTAATGACACAGATTTGGATAAATTGACTGCTAGAAGAGAGAGACAAAGACAAGAGAAGATGGAAGTAGTACAGCAAAGGTATAATAAAAAGTCTTTAAAAGGTCCAAAACAGGATAACAAAAGGAAAAGCCACAAAAAAGTAATAAGCCTGAACTATAATTATATTGGTAGAAGATTTTGATGCTCGCCAATTAAGTAACGACGGAATGACCCAACTCTGTACATAGAACAGTAATAGAAATTTGTAAATAGAATTTACCAGAGCAAAACTGATAGATAGATAGACAGATAGACAGATATATATATCACGTGACTACTTTCTTTGCCGAGGTTGGTTTAAGCTAAGGTTGAACAAACCCCACCAAAATAATTTCCACCACTTTACTCCACAAGATAGATCAGAGTAGCACATCATGCCGGCAGTTCCAGTATTGACAATCCCCGAATCATCGTATGATCCTTCATTATACTCTCTTCAGACAAGAAGGGGAAAATCTCAAATTTTAATATATTTGATTAAATTGACCCATGGATCAGCATTCACATTAGCCCTTGCTTACATCATAGGATTACTCGTTATAAAACCATTATTGGAAACCAAAGCCAGCAGACGATTAGAACTCCTTGAGTCTGCGCGAGTAGGACTCCGTGATTTCTATCTCAAGCTCATTGGGAAAGTCAGTCATATACCTATCGTTGCCATTCGGAAACCTGGTGACAGCAAATTTTATTCCGATGCAGTTGTCCAGACTCATGACTCACATGTGGATAAAACTAGGGTGAGAACGGATAGAGAGAAGTGGGAGGAGTTGATTGAGAACGATAAGCTCGCCCAAGGACGATTGCATGAGAAATTGAAGAAGTTGTCTACGACATTGAATGATGAATGCAGAACCTATAGTAGTCTTGATATGGACCATTACAAGAGTGCAAATTATGCGATAAAGGATTTCCAAAATAAGGCCGATTTAGTTTATTTCAATTCCACGGAGTTGTTTATGCAAGAGAGTGCTCCTACTGATACCAACAAGTCTTTACGTAAGAAGAACCTGGCAGTTGAAGCCAGAAATGAGATTAGGAGTATTAAAGGGTTGTACATGAGCGGTCAAGCTTAGGTTAGCATCATAAATAGGATTTTTTTTTAATGTTGTTAATTTTATAGTTCTTTAATCAACGTTTCTTCCACGCAATTAAAAAAAAAATAACTTATCTCAAAAGAGTGTTGTAAACATTCAACAATAACACAGACCTACCATCATGGCAAAAAACAGTATTGTGATAGACGATAGCGAGGATGATTATTCAGAGATGGATACATCTTCAGTTGCTCCTCAGATTGATGATTTAGAAGAAGAAGAAGAAGAGGAAGGTGAAGAATTGAACAACCTTAAAGCGGGTGGGGATGACGAATCAGATTTATCGGATCTCAGTGATGACAACGGCGCAGAGGTACAAGAGGAGATAGATGATGAATTGGATGATGTTTTAGGCGATGAAGAGGTTGATGAAACTGTCATTGAAGACGATGACGAGCAAAGAGAAGACGAAGACGACGAGGAAGAAGAGGAGGAGGGAAGAGGAGGAGGAGAAGGAGAAGAAGATGATGATGATGAAGAGGGAGAAGACGAAGACGACGAGGAAGATGATGAAGAAGAGGACGATGAAGTTGCTAGTCTAAGTGACGAAGAAGAAAATTACAAGCTTGAAGCTTCTGATATAGATGAAGACTTGGAATTGCGAGAGGAGGAAGACGAAGAAGACGAAGAGGAAAAAGCGCCACCACCCAAGGCCGCTGCACCCACCCGAAAGATAAGCATAACCATCAAGCCACCGACAAGAGTTACCCCTGCTGCCGGGAAGGCTGCACCCCAGGCTTCTTCTTCGAGATTAAGAGAACAAAGAAAACGCCAGGTATCCTACTATGAAGATGACGAAGAGGAAGAGGACGAAGACGACGACGAAGAAGACGAAGAAGATTTTGAACAAGCGCCAAAAAGACCAACGAAGAGAGCAAGAAAGTTGCCTGAACGTCAAGTTCAGCCCCAGGACTTGGATGCCGATCTTATATTGACGGATGAAGAGACAGAGTATAACCCCCATGCCAACCCTGATATATCCAAAATGACAGAAAGACAGAGGGCTAGATACTTGGAAGAAGAGACTGACGATAAGAAGTTTTTTGAATTGGATAACAATGGCAAGAAGGCGAAGGCTAAAAAGACAGAAACCGACGAAGAAATCGCATTAAGAAAGTCGGAAAATGCGAGAAAGAGACAAGATTATAAAAACAAGATTCTTGAAGAAGAGAAAAGAGACACCGTGAACAAGTTATTAAAAAGACGTGCTACAAAGACTCGAGAAATAATACCGGATAAAGAGGGGACTGTCGAAGCATTTAAGCTGGCTGATAAAGTGCGGAGACCTATGATGGCACATCCTGCCTTGATCAGATATGTTTCCAACACCACTAGCTTGAATGGAAATTCGCTTCTTGCGTTTAATGATAGTAAATAGCGTATCTATTATAGCAAATAGCCAAACATAGTGGCATGTCGTAGCATACGTAGTCAAGGCAATAGAAAAAAAAAATAAAAAAAAAAAAAAGAAAAAAAAAAATGTCGTGGAACAGAAAAAAGAAGTTTGTTGAAAAATAGTGAGACGTACAACAAAACCAGCCCAAAAACAAAAAAGGCTAATAATCTATAGGCTTATATACCATACAATAACCTTTCTAATTAAGTCGTTGGAGTCGGGATAAACCATTGTTGCATCTTTCCAAGAGACATATACCACATAGCACACTCATATATGACATGTCGGGGATAAATATGAACATGTCCGGATTGAACAACACCCAGCAGGCCATGGGTGTGGCAGCACTTATGCCCAATCAAAGTTTCCCAAATCCTATCATTCAAGATACATTACCACCACCACCGCCACAACAACAACAGCAACAGCATCAACCACAACCTCCTATGTCGAATACAACGGCAAATGGTCAACAGATGCAACAGCAGATAAACCCCCAGGTTCAGATGTTTAGTCAGACTCCTCAAATACAGTTTCAACCACCACCAGGTAGTGGACAAGATATACCACAACCGCAACCACAACCACGATCACAGCAACCACAGCAGATACCTCCACAGCAAAGGTTTAATATGAATCAACAACATCTCGCCCAGCAACAAATGTTGGCACAACAACAACAACAACAACAACAACAACAGCAGCAGCAGCAGCAGCAACAACAACAACAACAACAACAACAACAACAACAACAGCAACAACGACCCATCAATGGACGAAATCCTTCTTTCCCACAAGTTGGTACCATACCAGTAAACCCCAATCAAGCACTCACACCCAATAGCAGCAAGCAAGCACAATTCAATTCCAATATGGTTCAAGTTCCGGGCCATTTACAACCTCAAAACACCTCTGGTGGTAATTCACAGGGCCATACTCCACAAATGACAAACCAATCGCAACCATTTCTTCCTATGCAACAACAACAACAACAAGGTCAGATACCTACAGGACAAAACAAGCAAAGAACCAATGGATCGGTGAGTCATACACCCATGATGAACATGCAACCACAAAATATGCAACAGCCCTTGCCAAACCAACCACCACTACAAGGTGCAACCAGACCACCAAACCAACCACCTGCTTCTGCTGCAAGTTTTCGATCCCCTCTGCAACAATTCAATGGCCAACAGCCAGGTGGTATCCCTGCTGCTGCTGCTGCCGCTGTTGGTCAATCAAAAATCAACATATCTACAGCTAATTCTCCAATTGTGAAACAAACACTAGTTGGAAATGCTGCAAGTGCTGCTGCACCTGGAGTTGGTCCTACCCATGAACAATTACAGGAGATAAATACAAGAATCATAAAGCGAAACATTGGTAATGCTGGTGCTATGAGGCTACTTGATTTAGTGGAGGTATTATCCAACGAATCTATTGAAAATTTAACAAAGAACGAGTTTTGGTTAGGGAGATTAATGCCTACGTACTTTTCACCATCTTCAGTCATCAAGTTCACGACGGCTCCAACCCAAAATAAGAATGCCCTTCTTGAGAAATCCGGATTGAAACTTCCGTTTTTGGATTTGGGCAATGGCATGAATTCTCCTCAAAATACATCACATCAGTTTGAACTATCATCAATAGTAGCCTCAAGGTTTATGCTTGCATGTATAGCTGCTAACAACGTGGTACGATTTACAATTTCGCTTCCCGGGTTGAAGTCTCAAGTCATGAATAACGGATCGATATTTTTGATGGCACGCATGATGATCCAATACATCTATAGTGATGGGTCCATTTCCAATATTAATGGTAATATCCGAGTATTAATGGGGCGAGATTTGGCGATCGAATGGGTGGATTGTCAATGCTTGAATTATCAAAGTTCGTTAGCATTGAGTGGATTGGAAAGAAAATGGGCCAACTTTTTGGATTCCAAGGCAAAAGATCCAAAGAAGGGAGACAAGGATTTCTTGAATGACATATATGAGAACACAGAGGCGGTAAAACTTTTTGCATCGTCAGGAATTCACCAAGACGCAATGAGGATCATGCAAGTAGGTGACGTCATGTCCAATTTGAAATCGCTCATGGAGTTTGATCAGGTGAACAATATCTCGTCACCCATGAAATCGTTGGAGTTATACGTGTCGAGAAACAGTGGCCAAATTGCCCTCCAATCGCAACTAGCCCAGGCTCAATTTCAAGCTCAAGTACAAGCCCAAGTTCACGCCAAGGCTCAAGCCCAAGCTCAAGCCCAAGCTCAAGCCCATGCGGCCCAGGCTGCTCAGGCTGCTCAGGCACAATTCCAAGCACAAGCATATCAAGTACAAATGGCGGCCCAACAGGCGTCATCGGCACCAGTACCAGTACCACAACAGAGCAGAAACTCAACGATATCGTCGCCTTCTCCACGTACTATCCATGCCGAGGACCCCAAGAAGAAACGAAAAGCCAGCACAACTATAGCGGACAACAAGAGAAGAAAATGATATGTCCCCCTCCTCACACCCCTCCCCCCTTTGTAGCATTATCGTACTGAAAAACATTTATTTCTTAACTATCAAGACGTTTTAGTGGATTAGAACTGTTCTTCGTATTAATTTGTAACTTATAGTGAATAAATATTCCTTACATTGTAACAACAGAAACCGGATGAATAAATTGATAATAGAGATTGTTAGTACAGGCTTTGTGAAAAAACTGAATTAATCTTACGCGCATCTGTTCTACTACGTTTGAAGCATGACAACAATGGATGATTCCCCCGAGGAACATTCAAAACCACAACTCCCTGGATCCTTAGTTGAAGCAGTAAGACCAAAGCTGTTAGCAGAGTATATTGGACAAAACCATTTAGTTAACCCTGAGGATGGTGCAATCACAAATTTCATAAACTTGGGATACCTCCCCTCGATGATCCTCTTTGGACCACCCGGGGTGGGCAAAACCACCTTGGCTTCAATAATAGCCAACACTTGTGGATACGTGTTTGTTGAACTATCAGCTACCGATGCGACAGTGGCCCAATTACGAGATTTGCTGACTTCAATCGCTAACGAAAACGCGAAACGAATAGCTGCTGGTGATGACATGCTACGCATCCTCGTGTTCATTGACGAAATACATAGATTTAGCAAGACCCAGCAGGACTTCTTGTTGCCCTATATCGAAGATGGCAATTTTGTGTTTGTTGGTGCCACCACCGTGAATCCTCAGAAACGAATCCGACCAGCGATAAAATCACGATGTCAGTTGTTTCAATTGACTACATTGTCATCTCAAGAAATGAGACAAGTGTTGGATAGAGCAATAGATTATGAGAATACAAAACGTAGGATAGTTTACGGTCGTGGAAATATAGTCTATAATGACCAGATGCTTGATGTGTTGATCAAACGAGCGGGTGGTGATTCTCGATCAGCTATAAATTTGATTGAGTTGGTTAGCACTAACTGTAGAGGTCCAGAGGATAAACAATTAGAGTTGGCTGAACTTCGGGATATTTTCCAGAATGTCAGGTATTCACAATCGGGAATAGCAGATCCCAAAAATCGACAAATAATGGCGAGGTTGTTAGCTTGCTTGAAAGGGAATCCTGGTCGCAGGAAAGGAAAAGATCACTTGGAGTTCTTTTATGACGACTTTAAGACTCGGAAAATTTCTGGCAATGACCCAAACTATGAATATCTTCTCCAGATGCAAGTGTCTGATGATAGTGATGTTGAACCAGGTGATATATTTACTGATGACGAGGAAGAGTTGGATCTAGCGTACCTTGAACCGGAAGAGGTTGCGAAAGTTTCTGCCAATTTCTATTTACAGTTACTACTAAAGCGAGGAGAATCAACCACTGTCATTATACGAATGTTGATCAAGTTTGCTATATTAAACTTAGAACCAAATACATCCACCATTCCTAAACTCATGTCATTCCTAAAACTAGTGAAGAATACAAATGCACATCAAGATAACATCGACTATATATTTGCTAACTGCATAGAGTGGCTAATTGACCAACCTAAATCGAAGTCAGGACTCCAAAAGAAGTTGAACCAGTTGAAGCAATACTTTTCTTTGCTAAAGAAAGAAGAGGACTCGGGTAACGACGACGACGATGTCCCTGAATTGCTCAACAACATAATTATATCATTCAACCAAGATGAAATTGAAGGCCTAGAACATCGGCCAATATTCGACGAAGACGACATTGACCAAAATCCAGGAATTTCTGTTACATACGTTGAAGAACAGGACTTGGACATTGGTACTCCTGCATAGGTTATAGCGCTTGAAAAAACTGTCGCTAGTTTTATTTTTGCAACCATATATTTCTCCTACTTCATTAGCCGCCGTCTAGCAAAATGGCAGACAACCACACTCAGAAGAAAGCAGATGGATTCCTCAAGGTTACACGAAGAATAGCTGTCGATTTCTGGTTGAATCTCACTACATATTTACTCATTTATGACATCTTGTTTATTTTCCAAGTGAGAAATTCCCTAATCCATGCCCACAAATTCTTACTCAATTTGGCCTTGATTGTACTAGAATTAATTATGGTCCTTCCCTTTGCATTAGTCAGATTGATTTACCAAATAACAGCAACAAAAAATAACACTAAACAAATGGATGTTAGATTCAATTCCAATGGAATAATCAGGACATACACTCTTCATCGAGTTTTCTGGCGGTATGATCTGAATCTCTTATACAATTTGGAAATGCAATCATTTTCTAAACGGGGTGGAATACACATATTCTTAGAAGTTAGCGATCTGGATAGGGACCGAGAACAATTGTACGATCAGGCTATAGAACAAGTTAGACTAGAGGAAATTCTGGATGATGATCATGATCAAATTCAAATATCACGAGAATTGCTTGATTTGCCCGAGCTGGCAAACGACGTTGATCCGTTTAATTTAATATATCAATCCATGGATGTTGGCAATATGCTTCAGAGACTTCGATTTTACAACCCATTTAGAAGACCAAGTCAGACAGAAGTTGCAGAATAGAAGCTCGGGCCAGCTTTTATAAACTATGTATTTCAATAATAGAGTTAATATATTTAAATTTGGATAAAAAAATAGAAGTAATAACCTACTGCTATATTACAGAATTTAAAGATATGCAAAAATTAAATCGTGATTTGGTTCTCACTCAACTTCAATGCTCTCCCTCTCTTAATCTATTCGTTATCATCATCTTCTCCGTCGCCCAATGCAGCAAATCTATTAACATGAGTCGATTCAGATCTCTTGGAGGCTTCTCTTTGGAGGTCTGAGGAGCTTGGCCCACTGGATGGTGACCTTTGGTTAACGTATGAAGGTGATTTCTTTAAATTGTTCAAGAAATTATTGGATGAACCTGATGATGCGTTGTTGTTGTTATTATTATTGTTCCAAGCCGATCCCGATCTGGACGAGTTGGATCTTCCCGAGTCGTATGACTTCTTTTGTCTTCTTTCAATACTTGCTCGTTGTTCTTGTAATCTCTTGATTTCAGCGTCTCTATGGATTTGTTCAATAGTCTTTGGTCCAGCATCACTCTTGGCAGAACTCCAGTTGGCATCTCGTAAATCTTGTAAATCCATCAACATAAACTTGATTCTTGAGGGCAATTTAAGCTCTTCGTTATTCAAAATTTCACCAATTCTTTCAAACACAAGTCTTAATGCGGCTTTAGTACCTGGGTTACCACTAGTGTCAATCTTTGGACCCACAGTCTTGACCAATTGAGCCAAACTTTCCAAGGTTTCTTCCGAGGGGTCAACGACATTTTGAGATTGTTTCATCAAACAAGCACCGATAATTCTATCATTCAACACATTTAAGTTGAACAAGTGACCAATGAACTTGACTAAACCAAGACCTCTTCTCTTGGCAGCAGCCATGGCATAATATTCATCCGACATCATTTCTGGTTCCAATGGAGTTCCATCAGGGTTGGTTGGTAATTTATCACTCCAACCCTTTTCATATTCGGATTGACATGTGTTTAATAATACTCTTCTGGCCAAATCACCACCAGAGACAACTTCACCTCTAACAATCATATTTTCATCTTTAATTTCTGGATTTATATCAGTACATATCTTGGCACAGAAACTAGCATACATTTCTGACCAATATGGTTCATCACAAGCCTTGGCAAATGTCAACTGTATTATTTGCTTAATAGTAGCGGCATCAGGTTCCCATTTGGCTTGGGTAGAAAGTTGCAAGATTTCATCAGTGATTTCTTGAAACATTTCAAGTGTTAATTTATTTAATAAGGATTTAGTCTTTCTTTCAATATCTTCAGTAGACAAGATTTCACTTCCATCAGGAGCCAACTTAACTTCGGCCTTTTGTGCCAATCTAGATTTTGGAATCCATCTATTAGCGGATTTTTCCAATGGTTTGACATCTTCGGCTGGTGGCTTGGCTTCCTTGGCCAATTCTTCTTCAGTCTTTTCGCGCATATCTCTACCACCTCTCTTGGATTGGTTACCCTTTCTGGTAGATTTATCTCTCGAGGAAGCGCCTCTTCTCTTGGAACCGCTTCTTGAGTTTTGTCTACCACCATCAAATCCACCACCTGGTCTATTGCTACCACCAGCAAATCTTGATGGTAATCCATTGTTTTGGTATTTACCCATGTTACGGGCACCACCTGGACCGCCGGCCATGGACACAGAACGTCTGGCAGCGTTTGGATGGATATCAACGGCTTCTAATTGAGCTTTAAATTCTGGATCAATTGGATATTGAATAACCTTTTGGAATTGAATTAAAAATTGGGGGTCATATCTATACTTCTTACCAGGAATCTTCTTGGATGAATCAACTCCAGAGATGTCTTCTGGATATTTGGTGGCAAATATATCGTCGATTCCAGTGGCAGTCTTTAATCTGTCCAAGAATTGAGAAATTGTGAATTCAGGGGCACTTGGTTCGGTTTCCTCTTCCTCCTCGGCTTCTTCGGTTGGTTCATTAGTAGTTTCATCTTCTTCGGTTGCAACAGTTGTGTCTTCGGTAACGTCTTCTTCGTCTTCCTTGGATTCTACAACTGGTTCAGCCTTGACTTCTTCTGCTTCAGCAACTAGTTCCTTTTCAGATTCAACTGAAGCAGGTACAGTTTCTTCAACAGGTTCTTCCTTGACTTCTTCTGGCTTTTCTTCTTCTTCCTCCTTGGCTGGGGCTTCTTCCTTCTTTTCTTCTGGTTTGGCTTCTTCGACAACAGCTTTTGGAGCTTCAACAGGAACTTCCTTTTCAGCTACAGGAGCAGGAGCAGGGGCAGCAGCAGGAGCAGCAGCAGGAGTAGAAGCAACACCTTGTTCTTTAGCCTTGGCAGCTTCTTGTTCGGCCTTCTTGGCGGCAGCGGCAGCAGCAGCCCTTTCCTTGATCTTTCTCTTGAACTCTTCAGCAGCGGCAGCAGCAGCTGAAACAGTATTGTCGGAAGCAGCAGCAGAAGCAGCAGCAGTAGTAGTAGTAGTAGTAGTAGTTGGAGTTGACACAGTGGCAGGCTCTTGAGGACGAGGACTTGCAGATGCAGATGACTTAACCCCGGTGTTTGGAGTAGCAGCGGTGGGATGAGGAGAAGAAACTGGGGTGGATGATGCCGTGGTCTTCTTCTTCTTTTCTTCCAAATCAACTAGTTTGCCGTCCTTGGTGGTCAATTTAACTTTAGTAATTGGCGGAGTAGTAGATACTGGGTGTTGAGGTTGTGGTTGCAATCCTTGAGGAATTGGAGGAACATAAGTTTGAGCTGGCATGGCCCCGTATGGAACATACATTTGTGGGTAACCACTGATATAGTAAGGGTAAGAACCATAGGCGTAACCTGGATAACCTTGTTGCATAGCTTGTTGCTGTTGTTGTTGCTGCTGCTGTTGCTGTTGTTGTTGGTTCAATTTCTGGTTATTGTATGATTTTTTGTTGGAGTTTGAAATATTTGATCCAGTACTTCCAGCACTACCACTAATTTGGGAATTGGCATTGTTGTACCTTTGATTGCCAGTGTTGGTATTGCTGTTGATGCTGTTGTTGTTGTTTGGATTGTAGCTTTGTCTTGCACTATAATTCTTGTTGTAGTTCTTACCACTATAATTTCCAGAATAGCCACCGTAGTTTGGAGTATAGTTTGGGTTATAATTGGCATGCTGTTGGTATGATTGTTGGTAATTCAAGTTAGCATATTGGTTTTGAGGGGTAGAACCGGATGATCCGCTTTGAATCAGGGATGGTTGTTGTTGTTGATGGGCAACACCTGAATCAACGTTGGAGGTTGTACTACCACTGTTACCACCACCATTGTTAGGGGTAGTAGTGGTGTTAGTGTTGTCGGCAGAGGTACTTGCCGAAACTGAACCTGAGGAAGTGTCAGGTTTAGGATTATTATCAGTCATGATTAAATCTTCCTATTGATTAACAGGAAACAAAAAAGGGAAAGAAAGGTGAATGAAATTGAAAATATAAATTTTTCTCACTTTCTTTCACTTGAGAGTTGTTGGTAGGTGAAGACCAAAAAAAAAATTTTTTTTAATTTTAATTTTTTTTTTTGCTTATGGAAAAGAAAAAAATGTGTTACAAAGTCAAACCTTTTTTTTGGTTCAATGTCGCTTAATTTTTTGTTAGTATAGCATGATTTACCGGCGGTGGAACTAAGTGAGTAAGTAGGTAGGCAAGTAAGTAAGTAAGTAAATACTCAACTACAGCACTCTGAAAGCCATTGAATCGAGCTATTATCTCAGAGTCATCTGGTCTGGCGTGTTGGCTGATCGGTTTGTTCAATTCGACTGGCAATTCTATAAAGATCTAGTGGTGCACATTTTCCAGATTGAAAAAGATTCCACTGGTTAACCTAAAATTTGTAAGCATGTACTGTTCGGCCACCTAATGCAACTTCAAAAAAGTTTATCTGGACGAGTGCTCTGCTGCCATGGGGTTCTGTAAGCATCTGCTGCGTCAACCGCCTGTGCCTTTTTCTCTGGCTGTGCTAAGTTGTCCCTCTATCCACAGAGACTCCTCCTCCTCCTCCTCCTCCGCCACCGCCGCCTCCCCCCTCCGCGCCCCGCGCTTGAATGGCAGCGACACTGTGCTTACTCCAATAATTGTGTGACCAATCGTCCCCATCTCCGAAATCAGAAATGGGCAAATTTCAAATTTCACAACCATCAACCTTAATCTAAATCCGAATTCATATAACCATTATATATTTGCTGATTTTAATACAAATTTGCCTAGAAATTTCGTAAATGTATATTTCTTTAAAAAAAAAAAAGCTACAGATTTAACTCGACTGCCGGTACTCTCGCAGGCTACTATATGTCTATTAATTATCGTATATATGTCTTATACCCAGCATAAAGCAAAAGTCCCAATATCGTAAATATAAACGAATAGATAATCATCGAGTCCTTAAATGACTCAACTTGAAAACAACTGATTATAATGTTTTCCTTTTCCTTTTCACTGTTTTCATGTTTGCTATTCTTATTTTCATCGTTGTTGTTCACCGCCACCACACACAAGTTTTCATCCTGACTAAGACAGAACTCTCGCGTGCATAGCCCACATTTTTCAATTTCTTTGATGATTGAATTCTGATTACAGTCACATCGACAATACAACTGGTACCCACAGCATATATTTAGTATAAATGTGAATACTAACAAGGAAGAAACCTTCATTTATATATATATATCTCCCTCTCCCGCTTTTAGCACAACCGGTACCTCCAATGTACCCCGAGCGTTCCACAACGCATTGGTGGCATATTCGTTTTTAACACCCAACGACCCAAGTCACGTGGACGCATGAATGTTGATCACTTTGCACGACCCTTTTTTTTCTTTCCCTTCAAAATTGGAGGGCAAAAAAACAGACAACCAAAACCGATTTACAACCACAGATTGAAATCAGTAATTACTTAGAACATGACCACTGCTTCAATTGATAGACCTTATGTCCACGAGGGCGGTATAAGACCCTACTTTGAACAGCAAATTCAAGACACCGAGATTCGAATTCAGCAAACAACACAAAACTTGCGTCGTTTGGAAGCCCAACGTAATAAGTTAAATAACAAAGTAAGACAATTGAAAGATGAATTGAGATTGTTGCAAGAGCCAGGATCCTTTGTTGGTGAAGTCATCAAGGTCATGGGATTAAAGAAAGTCCTTGTCAAGATTCATCCAGAAGGGAAATATATTGTCAATGTTACCAAGGACATTGACGTTAAGAAATTAACTCCTTCCATTAGAGTTTGTCTCAAAGCTGATTCTCATGATTTATATAAAATATTGCCAAACAAGGTCGACCCTCTTGTCTCATTAATGATGGTTGAAAAAGTCCCAGATTCCACCTACGACATGGTTGGTGGGTTAGACAAGCAAATCAAAGAAATCAAAGAAGTTATAGAATTGCCCGTGAAGCATCCAGAATTGTTTGAATCATTGGGTATTGCTCAACCTAAGGGAGTCATTCTTTATGGCCCCCCTGGTACTGGTAAAACCCTTTTAGCAAGAGCCGTGGCCCATCATACCGAATGTAAATTTATTCGTGTTTCTGGGTCAGAATTGGTGCAAAAGTATATTGGGGAAGGGTCTCGAATGGTTCGTGAATTGTTTATTATGGCCAGAGAACACGCACCCTCCATCATCTTTATGGATGAAATTGATTCCATCGGTTCGTCCAGAGTCGAGGGCTCTTCAGGAGGTGATTCAGAAGTGCAAAGAACAATGTTGGAATTATTGAATCAATTGGACGGGTTTGAAAGTTCCAAAGATATTAAGATCATCATGGCTACCAATAGATTGGATATTTTAGATCCGGCATTATTAAGACCGGGGAGAATCGATAGAAAGATCGAATTCCCGGCCCCAACTGTGGCTGCTAGAACTGATATCTTGAAGATCCACTCAAGATCAATGAACTTGACTAGAGGTATCAATTTACGTAAAATTGCTGAGAAAATGAATGGATGTTCCGGTGCTGATGTTAAAGGTGTTTGTACTGAAGCCGGGATGTATGCATTGAGAGAACGAAGAACCCACATAACCCAAGAAGATTTTGAATTGGCTGTGGCTAAAGTCATGTCCAAGAATGATGAAGGTGCAGTTTCCTTGGCTAAGTTATTTAAGTAGGTAGAGTAACTAAATCGATACTAAAAAGAGTAACGAGTAACGAGTAACGAGTAACTAGCATGTGATTACCCAATTCGGACAGTGCGGCGGAAATCCGTAGAAAAAAAAAGAAATTGAAAAAAGAACACCTCATATAGTCATACGTCATTATGCTTAGTCTATATTCTTTTTTTTTTTTTTTAGTAGCATAATCACTTTCTCTTTTTAACAACTCATCAACAAAACCATGAAGATATTACCTTTGATCGTGTTATTGCAATTGTTAGTGGCGATAAGAGCTAGTTCAGATGTGACATTGGAGAAAATCCAGGAAGTTGACCGGTTGTTCTCCACCAACGGACCAAGCTCAGAGGTGTTGCACCAATTTGAACGTGTTTTGAAAGAGGTATCAGACGTTCCTGAAGCTAAGCCTTACTTGACACAATTATATTTTAAGAAAGCCTTGATCGAACTCAACTTGGGCAAGGAGAACAGCGCTGTCGACGATTTGAAAATGGTGGTGACGTTAGACCCATTACAGCGTACTGCCAAGGATAAACTTGTCGATATTTTAGTATCACGAGGTGATTTCAACGGGTTGCAACCATACTTGGATGCTCGCGAGGATCAAGACATTTACGTTACTATGAACGAGTGGAATCAAAGCATGACTCTTGCCCGGGCCCATTACTCCAACAATGACTACCAATCATGCATTGACGAACTAAACAGGGAAGTGTTGGGTGTCACCCCCAACAACTACGAGAGCGGAGAACTACATTACTTGTCAGCCTTGGAATTGTTCAAGTTGGACCCGCTTAAGGAGTTTTACTATATGGAAGACGCGTTGCCCTTGCACAAGATTATTATTTTGGATCTACAAAAATTGCTTAATATTCGACCTTGGAGCAATTTGAACCTTTATGCTCGGATCTCTCAGTTCATCTTGTTCACCGAGAATCGATTTGAAAATGCCAGAAATGTAATCACAAACTGTGTCAGATTTGATAATGAATTCAAACCATGTACGGAATTGTCAAAGTTCTACACCAAGTATAAAGATTTCCTCAAGTTATTGGAACAGTATTCCATCATAACTGGCCATTACTATGCCAATGAACAAACGAGCATGGATGAAGAAATAACCAACCCCAACATTGACTATAGGTTCATTTATGATTTCTTGTTTGTCCAGGATTTGAAAGTTACCCGTATGGAAAAAAACAAGTTGAACTCCCTGATTAAAACAAACTATGATTATTTGGTTTATCGTGCATCGCAGTTCTTGCAAGATTTAGTTGGCGATGATAATTACTTGCAACAGTTAATTTTTGTTCAAGATTTACAAAAATTGGCATGTGAATCGTATGTTCAAATCGAAGGTAAATCAGGAAACTACTGTAAGCAATTGGACGATTCATTCTTTCCTAAGTCACTCCCTGAAATTGACAAATTATTGAAGCAAAAGAAGTTCAACCAAGCACAAAGGATCTTGAATAAGTTTAATTCTAATGTCAAGAAAACCAAGATGTTCACGGACAGAATGCAGCCGATCGAACAGTACCACCAACAACAGCGTCAACAACAAAGGCAACAGCAACAGCGTCAATACCAACAACATTTTAACAACCAAAGACAACGTCAATTCAGACAGCCACAATCAAAACCCTTGAACGACTATTACAAGGTCTTGGGTGTTTCTCGCGATGCTGATGACCGAGAAATCAAGAAGGCTTATAGGCAATTGACCTTGAAATACCATCCTGACAAATATAAAGGAGATGACTTGACTCCTGAGGAGATTGAAAACAAGATGCAAGATATCAACCAAGCATACGAAGTGTTGTCGACCAAGGAGTTAAGGGAAAGATATGATCGCGGTGACGATCCAAACGATTCTAGCCCAGGAGGTGGTGGTGGCGGTGGATCTCCATTTGGTGGTTTCAACTTTAATGGAGGTGGTGCTGGTGGTGCTGAGCAATTCTTTCAATTCTTTGGTGGCCAAGGTGGTGGAAGCCGAGGATTCAAGTTTGGAAATGGTGGTGGTTTTAAGTTCCATGCTGGTTAAACAACTTGTATTTAAATCAATAGATGTTTGTATTTTGAATGAAAGTTATTATTTATTGGTGTTTTAACTGCTGTAGTTCAATTGGTTATCATTTTCTTTGTAGAGAACACATCTGATAGCACAAGCAAACGTGAGATGACAACACTATAGTAGCCACAAAGGAGATATATTTGGTGTAATGCCCAGCACTCCGGTTCAGTAGTATATAGAGAAACTTCCTTAGACTACGGACCATTCACACCAAGGAATCTAGAACCGAGACCAAGGTCAGTCATGGTATAGTAGGGGAGACAACTGCAGTTTATCTTTATCAATATCACCAAGGGAAGAGCCACAAACGAGCAAACCACCAAGGGAAGAGCCACAAACGAGCAAACCACCAAGGGAAGAGCCAACAATAATTGGGTTTACATACTACAGAAAATGGAGGCAGTTTGGCCTACAATCTTAGATCGACGGACCTATACCCATGGGTACGTTAACCTAAAATTGTGGGTCCACGAACCTGTAAAATAAACCTCTAAAGAATAGTAGGTTTACCGACCTAATAATTAACCACTTGGGAACAGTGCTTTCATCAACCCAATCTACAAAATATAGCAGGAGCTGAAATCAATCAGCTGGTATGCACATATAGAGCTGAAAATTTGCAAGAGAATTGCCGACTCTACTGTTCAAGTACAATCTGGTTGGCCAGCTTCGTTCCGATGACTCACTCGGTGCTGGCTGTACAACCAGTCGCACAACCGGTCGCACAACCAGTCGCACGAGCCGGCCTACACTGTGGCACGAAAAAAAGATAAACCGTGGAGTCGGTTACCCTTATCTTGCGCATTCCCACAGTTTTATTTTTTTACTTTCCCTCTCTCTCCCTCTCTCGCCACTAACATTTCTTTGCTTATCACTGTCTTAGATAACTTCTAAATATACAGTAAAATTATACCAAAATGAAGCTTCACTCGTTATCCTTGGCCACTTGTTTGACCCTTATCTCCTCCATCAATGCCTTACCTAGTCCATGGGGCGCCATTTTAGGAGGTTCCTCCTCATCTCAAGATGACGTCGTGCTTTCTCTAGACAGCAAGTTCCCAAATTTGTTCAGTCACGAAAAAGACGGTAATAAACATCCCAAGAGTAAGCACCATGGTAATCACCATGATCACCATGATATCTTGCTGTCAATTATTGACGAAACTGACTACAATTCTCTCCCAGAAATTGATACCGAGGAATTACAAGCCTTGATTACAAAGCATGCTTTGGAACATAGAGCCAAGAAGTTGTTCCACATTGCTAAATCTTCAGTCGACGAGTATGGCCATCCTACCCGTGTCATTGGCTCTCCTGGCCATTTAAACACCATCAAGTATATCGCTAAGGAATTGAAGAAGTTGGGTGGGTATTATACTGTCAAGACTCAAAAGTTTGATGCAATTGACGGAAAAGTCAAGTCATTTTCTTTGTTAATTGATGGACAAAAGCCAAAGTCTTTGGAAGCTTTGAGTTTATCTCCTCCTACTCCTGATGGAAGACCGGTTCATGGCAACTTGGTTTTGGTTGACAATTTTGGTTGTTCCTTGGGAGATTTCCCTGAATTTGCCAAGGACAATATCGTCTTGATTAAACGTGGTGAATGTGCTTTTGGAGACAAGAGTGTCAATGCAGGTATCTCTGGAGCCAAGGGGGCCATCATTTATGACTCTAATGGTCCATTGCATGGTACTTTGGGTACTCCTACTGGTAAAGAAGTTGCCACTGTTTCCGTTTCAGAGCAAGATGTTCAAGACTACATCAATGCTTTATTAAAGGACCCACAACACCAATTTGAAACTACCTTGTATGTTGATTCCTATATCAAGAACATTTCTACATTGAATGTTATTGCCGATACTGTCTTTGGTGATCATGACAATGTCGTTGCCTTGGGTGCCCATTCTGATTCTGTTGGTGAGGGCCCTGGTATTAATGATGATGGGTCTGGTACCATTTCCTTATTGGAAGTTGCCAAACAATTGACCAAGTTTAAAGTTAATAATGCTGTTAGATTTGCATGGTGGGCTGCTGAAGAAGAAGGATTATTGGGTTCTACTTATTATGCTGATAATTTAGAAGCCAAGGAAAACTCCAAGGTTAGATTGTTTATGGATTATGATATGATGGCATCTCCAAATTACGAGTATGAAGTTTATGATGCTAACAATCAAGATCATCCTAATGGATCAGGAAACTTGAAACAATTGTACATTGATTGGTATGTCAGCCATGGATTAAATTACACTTTGATTCCATTTGATGGTAGATCAGATTATGTTGGTTTTATTGATAATGGTATTCCAGCCGGTGGTATTGCTACTGGTGCTGAAGGAGTCAAGGATGAAAAGTCCAAGGAAAAGTTTGGCGGTAAGACTGGTGAATGGTTTGACCCATGTTATCATCAATTGTGCGATAACTTGGACAATCCAGATTATCAAGCTTGGGAAATTAACACCAAGTTGATTGCTCATTCTGTTGCTGTTTATGCTAAATCCTTTGAAGGGTTCCCAGAACGTGAAGTCAAGGAAGTATCTGCTGATTCCAAGAAGAACAACAGCAACAACTTTATGTACCGTGGTCCTCACTTAATTATCTAGGGAACCTTTCCTTTATTAGATAGTTTATACACGTTATAGAAACTAAAAATGCACTTTTTGTACTTTCTTATTTTTTTTAATTTTGCAACTACACATTTCTTTTGTTCCCCCAAACATTTTTTTTTCAAATCCCCCAAAAAAACGCGCTCCCCCACTCTTACTCCCCCCCTCACCGTTTATGTCCCCCCCACAAACGTACTGTGGGATTTTCGAAACAATAGGATATGATCCCGCCATTTGCACTATAAAAGCCGCCAAATTTCTCCTTGATAAGAAATTAATTTGCTCAGCATTCCTCAATTTATTAACAATAATGACTACTGCTTCCAATAGACCTAAAGTATTACGTATCGGTTCCGTTGAGTTTGCTCAAGAGAAATGGGCCAAGTTAAGTGAAATTGCTGACGTTATCGAATGTACTTCCCGTACCAGAGAAGAGTTCTTCCAAGATTTAGCTGGTAAGTATAATGATATTCGCCACATCACAAGAACATTCGCCAGTGTTGAACAAACCGGGAGATTTGATGAAGAATTGGCCCTGCATATTCCTGCCAGTGTTGTCTCCGTTAGTCACAATGGGGCTGGTTATGATCAAATCGATGTTGATCCATTTACTGCTAGAGGTATCCAGGTGTCTAACGTGACTGAGCCAGTGGAAGGTCCAACCGCTGACACTGCTGTTTTCTTGGTGTTGTCGTGTTTGAGAAACTATCAAGAAGGTCATGATATTTTGGCTAGAGGTGGCTGGGATGAAAAGAAATGTGGCGGGGCTAAGTTAGGTAGAAGTCCTGAAAGCAAGGTTGTCGGAATTTTGGGTATGGGTGGTATTGGTAGAGCTATTAGAGATAGATTGAAGCCATTTGGATTTAAGAAAATTATTTATCACAACAGATCTCAATTGAAACCGGAATTAGAAGCTGGTGTCGAATATGTTTCTTATGACGATTTGTTAAGTCAATCTGATATCATTTGTCTTAGTATTCCACTCAATGCCAAAACTAGACATTCCATCAATAAGGAAGTTATTTCCAAGATGAAGGATGGTGTTATATTGGTTAACACTGCCAGAGGTGCTATCATTGATGAAAAGATATTACCCGAATTGATCAAATCAGGAAAGATTGGATCATTCGGATCGGACGTGTTTGAAAACGAACCACATGTATCTCCTGAGTTATATGAATTACCAAACGTGGTTAGTTTGCCACATATGGGAACTCATACTACTGATGCTATCAGGAATATGGAAGAATGGGTTGTATCCAATGTGGAAACATGTATTCAAACTGGTAAAGTCAAGACCATTGTACCAGAGCAATACAACTTGAAGGTTTAGAACATTCCACTGTATACGATATTTAGAAAGGAAAACAATAAACAGTGCACACACACACACACACACACACACGCATCAGCGTACATAAATTAAGTCACGTCGCACCGAGGTTCCGATTCCGGCTAATTAACTTAAGTAAGCTCATCTGGCGCGACAGCCACGTAATGCCGCGGGGTGTAACCAATTTAGGAGATTGTAAATGACTTATAGATTAATGGAAAAGAAATGAATGTCACCATTTATAGGAATAAGCCCACTCGGACCGTAGATCTATCGTACCTTGCTCCGCAGATAATATCCCACCGTTTGACCTTCTATTTCATTGTATTTCGTATTTTGTGTATCGTTTATTACGGAACACATTCCCCCAGTGACATAACTCCTATATCGGGGTTGTAAATCAATTACAGCCAATCTTGTCCGTTTGCATTGTCACTTTTACCTAGTTAGTAAACTGCCCCGCCGGTTGCTCTAATTTAGCAATTTCCATCGCACAAAAGTTCGGCTTATATAATCTTGGCATTTTGCCAAATAGAGTTTCCCACAAATAAACATTTGTAGATTGCGAGTATCGTATAACAAAGAAAAGTATTGTATATATTTAGATATAGATATATATATATAGATATATTAGGTATTCTTGTTTTGTGAATTGACTATTGTTATAAACACACGCGGAGGGGGGAAAGTTTCACAAGAGTCCAGAACCAGCATCGGATTATTGATCAAATCTTACAGGGAAAGAAAAAAAAAAATTCTCCACTGGACTGTCCATTACAACTAAATTGCAATTATCTGTTTCCGTTGCTTCGGCGTTTTACCGTTTAGTTTCCTATAGATATATCACATTCGGAGTTCATTCAGTTCCATATACGGTCCAGAATAATAGATTTCGTATCCAGGTTGCCCATTTCCACATTCCACCACTTCATCTCCGAGAAACGGGTTTCCACACTTGAACAACAAAATTCACAAACGGTGAAAAATTGCTATCACATTTTACCCATCATGGAACATCAGATACCTTTCATGCCTAAAGATCCCCTTGAGATCGATTACGAAGCATTGCCTGAAGATGCATCCTTGGTGGCTCATTTAAGTGCCGGGGCTCTTGCTGGTATCATGGAACACACAGTCATGTTCCCAATAGACTCGATAAAGACGAGAATGCAAATGTCGATCTCAAAACAAGAATTGTCACGAGGTATAGTTCAATCTATCTCTCGAATCACCTCAAGCGAAGGGTTTTATGCATTATGGAAAGGGGTGTCTTCCGTCGTGATCGGGGCCGGCCCGGCCCATGCTGTGTACTTTTCGGTTTTCGAATCAACAAAGACATTTTTGGTTAATAGGTTAACTAATAACCCCCGTTCCAACAAAATAGTCACCGATGAAAACCATCCAATCTTTGCCCTGGCTGCCGGTATAGCGGCCACCACTGCTTCCGATGCATTAATGACCCCGTTTGATATGTTGAAGCAAAGAATGCAAGCTGGGGTTGCCATCAATGATAGAAAAGCCACTTCAATAAGGTTGATGAGAATAGCGGGAGATATTTATAAGAAAGAAGGAATCACTGCATTTTATATTTCATACCCAACCACCCTTTTCACCAACATTCCATTTGCAGCTTTAAATTTCGGGTTTTACGAATACTCATCGTCAATCTTAAACCCTAATAATTCTTATAATCCTTATTTGCATTGTGTTAGTGGTGGTATTGCTGGTGGTATAGCTGCTGCGCTCACTACTCCTTTGGACTGTATCAAAACTGCATTACAAACTAGAGGTATTTCCCAACATGAACATTTAAGGCACATCGACGGGTTTAAAAGTGCCGCCAGAGCATTATACAAACAAGGTGGTATAGGCGCATTTAGTCGAGGGTTGAAACCAAGAATTATCTTCAATGTTCCTAGTACGGCCATTTCATGGACTGCGTACGAAATGGCCAAAGAAGTCTTAATCAAGGGATAGACTATCAATCAGTTTTTTTTTATTGTATTTTCCTCACAGTTTCACGATACAACTATATACATATACACGTACACGTTAGCTATGTTCTTAATGTGGTATTGAATTATCCAGTTCTGGTTTAGTTTGGTTTAGAGGGTATTTTTGCACAACTGCTAACATTCGTTTACCTGTTTTTTTCTTTCTTTTTTACGTATTGTATATTTTGAACCTTGTAAATAAACATAACTTATTCAGTGTTTACGCTTGAATGGCTTTCAGTAAAGCATATGCTCGTGCTATATGGGCCAACTCACGGGGGTTTCGCGACAATCGTTGAGCAACAAACGAAAACAAAACACAAGATCCAAGGAAACCCAACAAGTTAAAAAAGGCAGTACGAGAGTACAATCTTTCTTCTTCTTCTGTTCTGAATGATGCGAATATTCTTCTTATACTGGCGATGATCATATCATTGGTGTGTTGGGTCAATAGGGGGTGAATGAAGTCATGGTACGTTGATTTCACAAACTTTCTTCCGCGCTGATTAGAAGAAAGAAAAAAAAAGTAGAATAAGCCTCTGAGTTTGCTATGTGGAGGCAAGCTTACCACCTAGTGAATTAGATCTACGATATAAATCAAATTAACGAAAGAAACCGAAGCGAAGGCTTGCAATCGGGCTATGATCACATTTGCAATGCATATACGAACATTCCAAGTAATTTCTAGCACATAATAAGGCTGAAATTCTGTGCTCTATATTTTTCTCGGACATCGGAGATTGTTGAAAATAAGCCAATCGAACAAGTTTGCGTTTAAGCCAAAAAAAAATAACGTTTATGTGAGTGATGCTTCTACATTTCTTTTTCTCACATCGTACTTCTTACTCGATTCAGTTTTATCTAAGCGATCAATGACCCTGGAAATATATATGAAATTTGGCATACTTCCATGGCATACATTTCCGCACCAGATGCAGACTAAAATCAAGCATGGGTGACCTCCTTGTTTCTAGTTTTGTATACCCCCGAGAAACACATTGTTATCAGCTCATAATGTTAAATTTAAACTGCTCAACGTATGTCAAGCTATATTCGGTCGTGGATTCCACTTTTGTACAAACAATCGATACGGCTTTCTGAAAATGTCTCATTTTATTTTTCAGCATTTGCGACAGTTGAGCAAATTATTAAGATCTTAGTAATGATTTGTCGTACAAGAAAATAGGCATTGTAATTATTTTGTGACTTGAAAAACAACTCATTGTTACACTAACTTAAACTTTGAAATTAAAAAGTAAATTATGATACGATGAGCAGTATCAATTTCATCTGATAATGCAGGACGTATGCCCAGATCTGGCAGATACTAACATGAATCTAGTCGTATCTGTGTGGAATGAGAGTTTCCACACGAGCAATTCCATTCATGCCAAGCGAAAACATATTCAAATAATATTGTAATCTTATTATTATAATTCCCATTCTCTATTGACGCCGCTTCGATGTTCGTCTACGCCTTATACATCGGACGTATACTTCCCTTTGGTTATTCGTATATCCATTATCTAATTTCATTTTTAGTTCCTGGTTATATCTTTTGGGACAACCTGATATTTCTATGAACTTTCTAAGAACTAAAGTCAAACTAACATTGACAATAGTTAATAGAAAATGTGAAATTCTATACCAGAGCGATGAGATGTTGTTCTCCCTCCCCCCCTTCCCCATTTCATATTGCGACAAAAATTATCAGATCAAAAGAAAAAATTTGCCAGACAAGAAAAAAAAATATCTCATAACCTTGGCATAAAAAATACTAAGCCACGAGTGATTCTTCTGCATCAAAACGGAACAACTAAAATATTATTTATGCACCTGTATACCCTCTGTATAATTCCAGCAAATGAGCTTGCAATTCACAAATTAAGCATCAAAGCTTTTTTTTTCTTGGTTATGCGCGGACATTGTTCCATAGGTATTGTTGCCTGGGTTTTAGATTGCTGTCTGGAATCGCCATACAATCTGTCACTCCTTTTTTGTAACTGTTCGGTTGCGGTTATACTTGCACAAGGACGTTGTTATCAAACTACATAAACAAGGGAGGCAAAATAACCTAAAAGACAGGCGTTCGACGGGGATATACTATCGTAAACCCCGACCATACTGTAAAACTCATCCTCTTTTGTTTAAATCTGTTTCTTTTTATTTTTATTTTTTTTTTCTTGGCTGCTTCATTATTATTTTGACAGCAGAAAGTGTCACAAAATATTTTTCCGCCCTAGTTTGCAACTTGCTTTGTATTATTTTTGGAGATGCGATCAGATAATCGAGAAGACCAAGTTAACTATAAAAAGGTGGCTGGATCTCCCTGTAGTCCAAAGTAGAAAATTGTAAAATCATTCAAAAAAACACATCAAGCAACAATGAGTGACTCTCTGAGTATCGAACGTGTGTCTGCTGATGACGTGCAAAGAACCCTTGCTACTGAAAAGGACAATGACATTAAGAGAGACATAGAAGACAATGAATCTCACAAGTCACTTTCCGATGCTGAAACCGCCATTGAAGAAAAATCAATCGGGGTTAGAAAAGCTGAAATCTTAGCTGCTCAATGGTCCGACAACGTGTACTTACACATTATCTTGTTGTTCTCGGCTTTCCTTGTTGGTTACGCTTATGGTTTGGACGGTTCTACTCGTTATATTTATACCGCCTACGCCACTGCATCCTACGCTGAACATTCCTTATTGACAACTGTTTCCGTTATCACATCGGTCGCCGGTGCCGCTTGTCAACCAGTCTATGCTAGATTATCTGATGTTTTCGGTCGTTTGGAAATCTTTATTGTTTCCATCTTGTTTTACGTTGTTGGTACCATTATTGAATCTCAAGCTACTGATGTGCAAAAGTATGCTGCTGGTTCCGTCTTATATCAAATCGGTTACACTGGGGTTATTCTTATCGTCATGTGTATCTTGGCCGATTTCTCCACCTTGAAATGGCGTTTGTTCTACTTATTTGTTCCAACCTTCCCATACATTATCAACTCCTGGATTTCTGGTAATGTCACTGATGCCGTTGGTACCAACTGGAAATGGGGTGTTGGTATGTGGGCCTTCATTTTCCCATTAGCTTGTATTCCTTTGGTTGGTTGTATGCTCCATATGAGATGGAAGGCTGGTAAGACTGAAGAATGGAAGGTGTTCAAGCAGAGAGAAACCAAGTTCCAAGAATTGGGATTCTTTGGATTCATGAAGTACTTATTCTGGCAATTAGATATCATTGGTTTATTACTCTTGATTGTTTGTTTAGGTTGTCTCTTAGTTCCATTGACTTTGGCCGGTGGTATTAAGGACACTTGGGAAAAGGCTCATATTATTGTCCCAATTGTTATTGGTGGTGTCTTGTTACCTGTTTTCGTTTTATGGGAATCTTATGGTGCTAGATACCCAGTTGCTCCATTCCACTTATTAAAGGATCGTGGTATCTGGTCCGCTTTAGCCATTTCCTTCTTGTTGAATTTCATTAGTTCCATTGAATCTTCTTATCTTTATACCGTGTTGATGGTTGCCATTAACCAAAGTATGAAGTCTGCTACTAGAATCAGTTCCTTGAGTTCTTTTGTTTCGGTTGTTGCTGGTGTCTTTTTCGGTTTATTCATTGTCAAGTGGAAGAAGTTAAAGGGATTCATTATCTTTGGTTGTTCCATGTGGATGCTTTCCTTGGGTCTTATGTTCCACTTTAGATCAGGTACTTCTTCCTACGGTGGTATTATTGCCGGTGTCTGTTTAATGGGTTTCGGTACTACTTTCTTCTCCTACCCATGTAACGTTTCCTTACAAAGTTGTACCACCCACGAACATATGGCCGTTATTATCTCCTTGGGTTTGACCGTGTACAGAATTGGTTCTGCTGTCGGAGCTTCTATTGCCGGTGCCGTCTGGTCCCAACGTTTATACAGTGCCATCTTGGAAAAGACCGGTAACTCCACTTTAGCTCAACTGGTTTACACTGATCCATATACTTTCATTGCTACTTACACTTGGGAAACTGTCGAAAGACAACAAGTTGTGTTGGCATACCGTGACATTCAAAAGATTTTGATTTTGGTTGCCTTGGTGTTCTGTGCTCCTATGATCATTGCTGGTTTGTTCTTGAGAGATCACACCTTGGGTGACGAACAAAGTTACGAAAATGTTGAAAAGGAAGAAAAGAGTGAATCATTGGGTGCTTATATCAAGGGTTCTTTGGGAAGATTCGGTAAGGGTAAGAACTAATTTACCCACATTTGTATATAATATGTTTAATCTTAATAATAATAATATGGTAATAATAATAATAGTTGCGAAATGTAGAGTTGGAATCCATATATATTAATCTACCTATTTGGGACAAGTTAAGAGCCTGCAAATACTCCTACAAACTAAGGTAATTACATTTTCATTTAGGTATATTTTATTTTGTATGCATCAACCTTCGAACTTATAACTGCCTATTCAACAGACTATTTTGCAACAGACATTACGTTTAGTTGCAATCAGAAAAACATTTTGAAAATTAGCACATTAGGGTTTAGCCCTAACTTCTCACGTGAAATGTTTATTCCTGCATACTTTACATTGTAATATTTCGCACATTTTCTCATACAATTAATTTTGTTAGCAGACAGAAAAAAATTTTATGCGCACAGACAGCGAAATTGCTGCAGCCTCCACTAACAAGCAAATTTCGCACTAACATTGTGGTGATACTAACAGTGGGGCCTGCACCAAACCAGTTGGAAATTTTCAAGAAAAAAAACTAAAAAAACCTCACGTTAAATTTTTTTAAAGGTTTCTTTTGAAGTTGTTAGTACCATAGTCTTAACGAATTAATCATGCTTATTCCAAGAGAAGAAAGAAAGAAGATCCACCAATACCTCTTCCAAGGTATGTACAGATGAAATGAAATGAAGTTAGAAAAGTAGGGAACCCATGGATTTAAAATGTCAGTATTGTACGAAGCGGAAGAACCCAACATGTTTATTTGACAGAAGGGAACAGTGAAACCAGTCTTCAAAATACCATCAATAGAATATATCAGAAAGTCAGAAGTTTCCAGAAGAATTACTTTAAGATCGTTTACTCCAACACTACAGAATATTGCTCCTATACTTGAACCACACACATAATCAAGCAAAAATGTATTGAAAAAATTGTACCAATACTGATTTATATCCTTTTCCTACTTTTTGTTCACCTATAATATGAATTTCTTATACTAACGCATTCTATAGAAGGTGTCGTTGTCGCCAAGAAGGACTTCAACCAACCAAAGCACGAAGAAATTGACACCAAGAACTTGTACGTCATCAAGGCTTTACAATCCTTGACCTCTAAAGGTTTCGTCAAGACCCAATTCTCATGGCAATACTACTACTACACCTTGACTGACGAAGGTGTTGAATTCTTGAGAACTGAATTAAACATTCCAGAAGGTATCTTACCATTAACCAGATTGAAGAATGCCCCAGCTGAAAGACCAAGAGCTGGTCCAAGAAGAGGTTTCAGAAGATCTAGAGATTAAATAAAATAATGGGCATTTGTTTATGATGAAGAAGTAACGGCCTTTGTAATCTGATAGGTTATGCATATGATTATAGAGAATGTTATAAGTTGTATTTTATTTGCCAGGAAAAAGGTTTCTATTATTATTTTATTTTCTTTACTTTTTACTTGTGGTTGTCGTTAGTGATGACTATGTGTATATTTTTACCTTCTATTATTAGTAGAAGAAACTTTTAATATAAAAAGGCTTATTGTATAACTAGCGAACTGTATGTAGAAATGTGTGTCGCCTCGTAACCTAGCTGTCAGCTCATTGTTTCACTGCCTCGTCTACTGTGCCGCCTTAGTGTTTCCCCCCTAAACTACTATTGTCATGTGACCAAGAGTCATGCGTGGAGAAATTCCTTTTTTTGCTGGCAGGTGGAGTGCTGTTGATATTTTTATGGTTGTCAAGCTAAATTTAACCACTCCAGGCTATAGTTACCGCCCCGGTTTCACAGTCAACTTGAAATAATACTCGCCGTTGTCACCATCAGTCAGTTTTTTCACAGCCACGACATACTTAAGAATCACACACTAGAACAAAAATCAGATCGTTTCTGCCCCTGCATTTACCTAAAATCACCCACTTTCAGTTTAGGTTCCCGTATCTGGTAATAAAGTTTAAAGGGCACGATTTTTAACATATTATTTATTTTTGGACAAGCCCTAGTATAATTAGACCACACATTCCCCTGTGTCCCCCCCAATAAATTCAAAGAAGAAATATGAACGACTTGCCGCTGTTTCCCACTCCTGGACAAGCTTCGTATGCACATTCTCATCTGAATCAAGGCCGAAAGACTCAACCCCAACCCTCCTTTAGACCACCACCCGCAAACAGAATGCCATCCAACCCGCAACAGCAACACTATCAACAGGCCCCACCCCCTCAGTTCCGTCCACAACAGAGCCAAGGCTATGGTGCCCCTGCCCCTTCTGATTACTACAGACAACAACAGCAACCACAGCAGTACCCGCCACAACAAGTGTATCAACAGGCGCCACCGCCCCCACAACCTCAACCAATGCCACAACAACTGTACCTGAATCAAGGGTACCAGCAACCTCCGCAGAAGGTCTCGTATCAACAGCAACACCTGCCACACCAGCAACACTCTCAGATGCAACTGCTGTTGCTGCTGCTGCTGCTGCTGCGCCCTCCTCCACCTTCCCATACCTATGGCACCCCGCCACAACAGTCACACATGCAAGCACAGTACCAAGATGGCAATGACTATTCAAACAGAGTACAAAAGAAGGCCCCTCCTCCCTCGTTGCGAACACACAACAAGTCCAAGGAATCATTACCGGAAAGCACCAAGAGTATATCCGCTAAACAGAAGTTGGAAATGGAATTAAGAAGTGTGTTTGAAAAAGTAGATACTAACCGTTCGGGAAGAATTACCCAGACGGAATTGTCCTATGCTTTGTTAAACTTTGACAGAACAAAGTTTCAAGACTCGACCCTCAGATTAATGATGAATTTGTTTGGAGGTGTCAAGGGAGAATACACCAACACCTCACTCACATTTGATCAATTTGTATCATTGTGGAAGTATTTGTCGGCCTATAAAAAGTTGTTTGTACAAGCTGATGCCGATCAATCGGGCGATATATCGTTTGGAGAATTCCAAAAGATTCTTGAACAGATTGGGTATAAATTAGACATTGACTTGGTGTTGCATTTATTCCTGAGATATTGTACAAACACAGGCCGATCCAGCGGTGGTAGTGGCGAAGGAAGGGGTATAGGAAGATTAAAATTTGATTCGTTTATTGAATTGTTGGTTTATTTGAGAAAATTAACCGATGTGTTCAAGAAATACGACAAGGACCTTTCTGGAACCGCCACCATTGGATTCTCTGACTTTTTATTTGAAGTTAGCAACTTAACGTGATGTCGTGGATTTCCTTTCTTGTGCTATATATTATTATTGTATAATTAGAAACTAATATTATGTTACCTGTTACAAAGAAATATGCATAATCTGTATTAATTATACGAAAATATTAAACAATATAAATGTCTATGTGTAACTCTCTTAAATAAAATAACTTTTCCAAAGAACTCCTTCAAGATCTTGGATTTGGTCTTCATTGAAAACAATACTGTCGATATGCCAAGTATCTTGTCTGGTCTTTTTAAACTTACTCAACGTCTCTTTAGCCGTCTTCCCAACTAATCCAGGAATACCAGTACACTTATTCGCCAAGGTCGTCAAAATCCCAGGAACCCATTTAGGAGGAGGAGAAGAAAATGCAAACGCATGCACTAATGCGCCCAACCCTAATGTAGCTCCATGAAGATCAATAACATCTACCTGGTTCATATTCTTATACCCACTCTTTCTGTACTTCTTTCTGATCTTGTCTAATTCACTAGAATAGGCTTGGCTTCGGGTAACTACCAACTGTTCAACCTCCCCTGGAGGTGAAATGTGGATTAAACCCGACAAGGTATTAGCAGCCGCTTCTCGAATTTCCACTTGTTTATGATGCAACATCTTATCAGTCAACACAATAAACCTTTCTCGTTGTAGTTTGGACAAATTGAACAAGTTCTTAAAGAACACTGTTTCAGTAAACTCACCCATGACTAACTTTTGCACGAGATTCAAATCACGGTCAGAATAACTCTCCAACATGTCAATAATACTATCCAAGCACTTTACTGTATACGGGATTTGTGACACTTTCTTTAACACAGTAATAGGATCAATGTTCCCCAATTGACAAACTTCTCTCATATTAATCAATTCTAATAAAAATGGAACTAACTCAGTCGTAACATGGCGTTCAAACAAAATGGCAGCACTGGTACTCAACACTTGTCGTAACCAAGTCAAAACGGTAGTAGCAGTATAAATGTAATTTGACTTCAAGATCTCTTGTGGAGTCAATTGATGAACTTCCAACCTCCACGATTCAATCTGTCTAAATAGATTAGGAACCAAATTCATCAAGCTACCAACATCTTGATCTTGATACAACATCAACTTCGATTGAGTGTTAGCACTAGTCAAGAAATCATCACTGCTTTCGAGACATTCGGCATAATAAGGGAACGACAAAACTGCCATAAGTGAACCAATTTGTGATCTAACAGCAGCATATCTATGATTAATGTTCATAATACACAATTCCAAAAGCTTATCGGGGTCAGGGATACACCAAGAAACCGATGAAGCAATAGACCTAATATAACTTATTCTGGTGGCTTCTCTAAATGCCGAATCGCTATTAGGATCAAGTTTAAACTCAAAGATCTCGTTAATCACTTTAGGGAATCTTCGACAATCAATATGGGCTGGGATCCACCACGAGAAGATATTCCAGATTCCCAGAGTATCGGGTGACAAATCATGATTAAGAATTCGTTTCAAGTAACTCGAAATGAAATCATCTCTCTTGGTAGCATACTTGGGATCCATAAACTTAGATCCAATTAAAATTCCAGCCAATAATTCACAAGTGACAATATGAGCCGACTTATCATCAGGTACATAAACTTCGTCAACAACACTCAACATCTCATCAAATGTGAAATTCTCAGTGTATCCGTTTGAAATCAAAAGAACCAAAGCAGCAGTGATAAACACGTCAGTACCTTGGAATGCAGAATTGGCATCATTATCAGTGACCCATAACTTAACTATTCTCAAAAACCAATTCTTAGTCAACGATATCGAAAATCCCATCATGGCTTGTAAATCCTCGGGATTTAAATCCAACTTAAAAAATGGCTCATTCGACATTGCCAACATTGAATCATTCCAAAAGAGCCAACCAACACTGGCTTTGTAATCGACATAGTAAGTTGGATTCGACGAGTTCTTCATTTCTTCTCTCCATACACTGGTGTATGAGACATCATTCTTTGGTCTGGTATCAATAACCTTTAAATTCTTGGGAATATAATTCAAATCATATGCCTTTTCAAAATCATACTCAAATCCATGCAAGACAGCAAGCTTATTGATAATTCTAGTTATACCTTTCAAAGCAAAACGAGAAATGGTTGGATGTTCGGTTGATGCTTCCTTTTGTAGCAATTGAAGCACATCTGATCTAGTAGCAACTTCTAAATACGATTGGATATTAACCAACAACTCAAGATTCATTAGAGTTGTTTTCCAATGACTGTTGTTACTTTCATCTGATAACACCTTATCTTGTAGCTTAGACAATTTATCAAAATAAACCTTTCTCTTCTTTTCCTTGGCCAATTTAACTGCCCTGATTTCCAAATCTATAAATTGATCAGGTGGTCTAATCGTATCAATTGCCTCATGGTCAATAAGACATGGACGACTCGGTGGTGTGATTCCTTTACTTGTTCCTGAAAATAATTGCTCCGCTAACGAATGAACCTCGGCATTGTCAATTTGCAAACATCGATGAAGCAAGTCAATATACTTGTAAATATTAAAAAAATCGCTCTGTAACTTTGACTTAATCTTTCTGATTGCGAATATACTCAATCCACTTTCAATCTTCTTATGATCATTTGCATCTAATGCCTTTGTAAGATATTTGAATGCAGATCTAATAATCAAAGTATAGGAACCATTCAACCGTTTCATTCCATCAATCAAAATTCCCTGGGCATTTCTGGCAATGTTTGAATAGGTGGACACAGAAAGTTTAACAACATCTTCCAATAATATCTTATCCAAATTAGTTTCCGTTCTGGAAGTTGCATGCAATGCCACTCTAAACAGATGATATGCTTCCAATCTTGCCCCAATCGCCATTCTCGTAAATGGTTTTCTAATTCGGTTTATAGTTTGAATATAGCTGACGTAACCATAACTGATTCTGGCGTGACTAGAGTCAAGAATTCTTTCTCTACCAACATCACTAAACCACATATTGACCACATATAAAAAGTTCTTAAATGCTTTCGTGTTATCTCTAAAGTTTTCCACCAAGAATTTATAAATTATATGTAAACTTCTTCCAATTAAATGTCTAGTTTTGTGAATCTTCAAATATAAATCACGATGTTGACGATTTTCGGTATCATTTCCAAAGAAATAATTCGATGTATATAAACTTCTTTCTCTGAATGTGATAGCTGGGTTCACACTAGACATGTTGATTCCATCAATCTGTGGAGTATCCCTTCCTGAACCTTCATAAGTGGGTGCGGTGGATTGTGGTCGACTAAGTTCATTCAAATGACTCGAGAATCTAAATGCTAAATGGTCAGGGGTTGACGGTTTCGAAGTACGACCGTCGTCCATTTCTTTATCGTGATCAAGATCATGATGATCGGGTTGATGGTCTTCTTGTTCATGCATTATTTCATTCAATTTATCAAAATCAATCATATAGTCAATCAAATCGTCATTAGACAAATCATTCATGATCTTCTCCATATTCTCTTCCATGTTTTCGTAAAATATATCCTTTTGATTAGAAACGCCCTTGATGGCTCTAATTTGCTTCAATAATAATAAACGTTGTTGAATCGATTCTTTGTCAGCACTTAATTTTGGAATATCTTCTTCAAATGAAGGATCTAATAAGTATGATACCCCACTCAATAAGTAAGCCAAATATAGCAAATTTTTTCTTAAATCGTCAGTTAATTTCATAGATAATTTCACATCGTCCTTATTGAATTGCTTGATTAAGCTTGTAATATTTTCCAAAGTTTTAGTAACGTGTCCATTAAAAAATTCAACTGCAAATACAATTTCTCGTTCAGTAGGAATAAACCAATCAAATGTAGTATTCTCCTTGTTGAATCTACGAGAATCATTCCAAAAGCCTCCCCAACATTTCTCATCAACACCAAATTTCTCTTCATACTGTGGTGAAATCAATCGACACTCTGTAATCCTAATCTTGGAAACTGATTGAAGAATTTGATTAACAAGATAAGCACTGGTGAATACAATAGGTCCTTTGATATTTTCCATCAAGTAGTATGATAAATCAGTTAACTCAGTTGACATATCAACAATCTTCTCCCCAGCATTCCCAATACATTCATTCAAGATAGATAATGTCCAATACAACGGTTGATCACGAGGAACGATGTCACTAGCAGCTCCGTCACCTCTTGCAGTTCCACCAGCACCATTTTCTTCGATCTCCTGATGGATCTTCTCAATTAATAACCTGGCAGTTTTCTTAAAACATTTTGGGTATCGTTTAATTATACCACCGCATATTTCACCAACAACATGGGACATGGTATGATAGGTATTATTAAACACAAAGTCAAAGAATTCATTCTTGAAATGGATAAATAAATCGTCAGACATAGCTTCAAATAAAATATAAAAGAACTTGGGCAATGAAGTAGCCAAATCGTGTTCCAATCCACTGGATTTATTAGGATCGGGTAAATTCTCAATCAATAACGTCAATCTTTCCGTCAAGCTCTTGAACAAATCCTTGAATGCTGTAGTGGAAGATTTCAAAGCAGCAACTTCAAGTTCGGGATCAACATGGAATTCTTCTTCGTCAACTTGATACATTTTCCTCTTGAGATATTCAATATGGTCTTGAGTGAACTCCATAGCCAAAGTGGGATCACCTTCAGCTTTGGTTAAATCATAATATGGAGCGTAATTAGCAATGGCAGCAAATGCTTCTAATGTTTGAATAGTCTTTTCTAAATCGTTTGAGTCAATACCTGGTAATGCCAATGATAATAATCTTGTGACATGTACACGATAGATTGGAGTAGAAACCAAGAATCTTGATAACGTGTCAATTGATCTAAGAGCAATCGACACTCTATGGGTTGAAATAACACCTTCCAATGATTCATAAATATCCAACAATGTGCTCTCAAGAACCACTTCTGGATCCAAAAATGCTAAAAGTTGTAATGTTGAAAGATAATCTTCAGTTGCATTTGTCTTTTTCGATTGAATCCCAATCTTAACAATTGGTAAAAATATAGCCACGAATTCCTTAACCACTTTTGACGAAAGCTTAACTTCTTGAGGAATATTATAATAAAATCCATCAGGTTGAGTTTCTGAATTATACCTCTTGTGGAATTGATAAACTAGTGCAATGATTAATTTTGAAATTGGTCTTGTCCAATCACCAGTATTGGAAGGATGAATATAACTTTGAATTGCATTGGTCAAGGTTCTTAAATAGTAAAGAATTCCACCATCTTCCAAAGCTGAATCTCCAATCATTGAAAATATAATCATTGAAGCAAATCCATGGAAATACTTTGATTTCATAGATGAATATTTCTCAACCATGATACTTAAACTGTTAATCAAGGTATTTGTTATAAACTCCATTTGTTCTTCAGTGTAAAGACCAAATTTTCCCAACTTAAGATAATTCATAGATGAAGGATTATCATTCAAATGGGACAATACCGACATGGAAATTACACCTAATCTTGAAGTTACTTGAGCATCAAATCCTTGGATTCTATTAAGTTTTAACCACATGTAAAACAAAGACTGGATGTAATATCGGATATCGTTTTCATTTTCCTTTCCTTGGCTAGTAAAAAATGATGGAAGGATAGACAAAGATGACATAACCATTGATGAATTAGTAACTGAGAATTGACTTGCTAATCGCTTGTAAATAACTGGTAGACAGTCTTTCTCAAAGAAATAGCTTGCTCTGGATGCCAACCGTAATAATTGCTTGTGATCTTTCTTTTCAAATGCAACTAATCCAGAATCAACTGAGGGGAAATGATGTTCCAATTCTTTGCATAAGCCATCCCATGGTAATCTTAATCCTTGATTATACAAGAGGGATTGCTCTTTGGTTAGTAATTCAAAAACACGAACATAAGTCTTGAGGTTTATATGTTGACCACGCGAAAGGCAAATGGCATAGTACACTTTAGCAAGATTGATTCTTATTGTGACAGGCATATTGTATTTCATCTTGAGCCAAACCAACAATTCATGGGTCCAAGTTCTAACACCAACTACAGCAGCAGACTTGGGTGATTTCTTGTGCTGGATGGTTGTTTCCCTGTCACCATCCATATCCTCATCTTCGCCTTCTTCCTCTTCATCATCTTCTTCTCCTTCACTATCAGAAGTCTCCAAATCCATTTCTGAAAAATCTTCCTCCTCACTAGCATCATGAGTGGACATTTCAAACAAATTTGTCTCCAATGCTAAATCAACATCGGAAATACCGGAGACATTTTTCAAAGCAGCCAAGTCTTTAGCACTAACGCTCAACGAACCCTGAAGATCTAAAGTCTTGATGGCAATGTAGAGGTGGGATATAATATGACTCAAAAATTTGGCTTGCTCTTCTGGTTTTTCAATCTTATAAGGTAATAAACTTGGTAAATCTAAAGTCCTTGGTCTTGAACGAGCGAAATAACGGGACTTGGGATCCAATTGCAACTTCAGCAACAACTCTGGGTCATTGGGGTAGTCTAAATTGAAATAATGTTCTCTATCGGAAACAATTGTACCGTATGAAGGTCTTCTTGCTGTCAGCTTGGTAACTTTACTTATTGTAGATGGGGTGAATGACCGCAAGGTTGTTTCACTGTCAAATGCATGCTGACGAATCTGAAACAGTGAAGCTACTCTTGTAGGAGGAGTAATTAATCCTTCAATGTGTTGCTGTAATTGATTGTGATGTTGGTGAAGACTTTTGATTGGAATTGGCGCAGTGACATTCACTTTAGGTACTGAATTTCCCTGTTGTCCATTGCCTACAGCAGGTTGCTTCCCTGGTAGGTTTGTAGATGGCTTATCTGGAGGTGGCATGGAGTATGGGGGGGAGGAGGAGGATACGAGATCAATTTATATTGGAATATTTTACTAACCTTAAACTGGGTATGGTAATATGGTTACAAGTGGTTATAATCTCTGGTTGCCAAATGGAATGTAAAAAACTTGCTAGATTTTCCAGTGGGGGTGGCGGTAAAATGTTGAGTGGCGGGATACAGTAATATATGGTGAACGGGAAAAAAAAAGTGGGTAAAGGGAAAGATGGGGGTGAGAAGAGCGCAATTGGAGATGTGGGTTCTTTTTTGGTGGCAGCAAACTTTTGATGTCCAGTGCCCCCCAAAAAAAGGAGAACAATTTCAGTCATCTGAATAGGGGGGGGAATGATTGGATTGTGAAATGTTACGCAATACCAAAGGGGAGAAGTACAAACTGAAATTGGAGCAAAATACAACAAGATGGCCAAGGCTCAAGAAAATTTCCGCACTTCTTGGTACCGATCTCAGAGTTCTTCGTGATAAGATGTGAAATCACTAATTGAGATACAAATAGAGTCACAAGTACTTCATTTGTGCCCTTGCAAATTATATTCCAGTAGCTATTGTTGGCTACTTATATTAAAGCTTTGTAACCGAAACCTTAAGTGCCAACGGAGTTACAACATTGTTTTCTGATTACAAAATCTTAATCCGTGTCGTAAAAATAATATATTGCATCACGTGAGATTACTTTCTTATCGTCCGGGTACATACCTCCGGGAGTTATAATCGCTTGGTGTTGCCTGGCACGGCACCCCTTTCTTTTTGGTTCTATTCTTCCACTATGAGAAGTTTTACGTAACCTTTCATAGCTAGAGATAATTTCTTTCCATACTTCTTGCAAAGAACAAATGTGACATTATCCTATTGTTCTTGCGAACTCCGCGAAACAAAATTTGCCACCACTTACTACAACTAAATTCCTTAAGCCCGAAAGTTCAAGAGGAACACAAAGATAAATCTTGTAAGTTAATTAATGAAATATTTAGTGATGGTTATTCTAGGATACTGAAGCTATCGTGGTGAAGCCATTTCTAGGTAAAAAAAAAAACAATAGATTTTATTTCTATAAACAAACAAACTCTAATTAAAAAAATAAGGTAACAGGAATCAAATACAAGAATACCAGAATGCTGCTGGCTCTAATACCAGAGGCAGAACCTTCAAAGTCTTGAAGCTCACCTTCGGCATCTGGATTTGAACCAGGAATACCTGAAGCACCAGTAGTGGAAGATGTAGCTTCGGCTGCAACTTGAGCATTCCCAGCAACAGTAGAAGTGTAGGTAACAGTAAAAGATGTCTCATAAGCACCTCCATCTGAATCAACAGTTGTAGGAATAACAGTAGTGTAAGTGTAAACTGAATCTTGACCCAGTTGCTTTCCATTTTCGAGTGACTGAGGTTCTTTGGGATTAGCTGATTCATCTGAAGTACCACTAGAATAGTTAGGGTTAACTGGTGAATCTGAAGTTCCATCTAGATAGTTTGAACTGATTGGGGAGTTTGAATTAGCTAGATCATCTGAAACTACACTTGCAGAATTAGAACTGCTCAGTGAGTTTGGACCACCACTATTTTGTTCATCTTCCAGATTTATACCTTTATCTCCTTCATTTGAAGGTTTATCAGACTGCGATTCAATTGGAACTTGTGGAGTCCCTGAAGGGTTATTAATAGTGACAAATGTGGTGGTTTCTCCTGCAATTGTAGTTGTGTATGTAGTGTCAAGTGTTGTGACAGTACTAACTATGGAAGGATTTGGAGTACCACTGTTTGGACTGTTTGATTCTGGTACACTATGGTTATCAGGAGTTGATCCAGTATTATTAGAATCTGTAGTAGAATTAGCATCATCTTGAGATCTAACACTGGTTTCAGAAGTCTTTGTGAGATCATTAGTTTTGGTAGTTTCTTCTGAAGATGCACTAGTTTCAAATTTAGAAGTTGGTTCAGGTGCAGTACTTTCTCTGACAGATTCAGTATCCTCAGAAGCAGTAACTTTGGCGGTTGTATCGGATTCTGTAGTTGAGTTATCCAACACAGAAGTTTCCTTTGAGCTGACAGTTTCTGCTGGTGCTGTAGTTTCTTCAGTGTTGGTTGTTGATTCAGAATCAAAAGATGAACCGGAGTTAGCAGTAGTATTATCTCCAGTAGATGCTTCAGAATCGGTGGTAATTTCAGCTTGAGAAGTTGTACCGACATCAGTAGTTGAATCAAATGTAGATTCTAAGTTGCTTGGTTGGTAGTCAGTAGTTGATTTACCCTCAACAGTAGTTTCAGCATCTGTGGCTGATTGGATAGAACTTGAACCACAATTAGGAGATCCAGATTTAGTGATGGATTCTGCAGAGGTGGTAGATTCAAAACTGGTAAATGATTCAACGGTGGATAATTCAGTAGTAGAAGATTCACCATCAGTAGATTCAGTGTCGCTAGATCCAGCTTCACTAGTTGATTCAACAGCAGTGTTAGATTCAACATTAGAAACTTCAACAACAGTAGTGAACTGGGACTCGGAAGTAGATTCAGCAGTAGTAGTTGATTCTACATCAGAGAATTCCGAATTAGTAGAAGGCTCATAAATAGTAGTGGATTCAACACTAGCAGATTCTCCATCAGTCAGATCAGATGATCCCACAATAGTGGATGTTTCGATATTAGTAGACACGGCATCAGTAGTTTCACTAGGAGTAGTTTCAACTTCAGTGGGTTCAATATCAGAAGCAGACTCGACAGGAGAAGTTGATTCAACATTGGAAACTTGATCATCGGTGGTAGTTTCAACATTGGATGATTCAACACCAGGGGTGGACTCAGCAGAAGAAGAAGAAGATTCGGAGTATGCAGATGATTCAACAATTGTAGAAGATTCTCCATTAGTAGTTGATACAGTATATTGGTCAGTAGCCGATTCAACATTAGTAGAGTCAGAACCAGTAGATTCAATAACAGTAGACTCGGTATTAGTGGCACTTTCAGCTTCCGTTGTTTCTAAAGTATCAGAAGTTACTCCGATGTCAATGCTGGATCCAGCTTCTGAGGTTACATCATCGGTAGATGGTTCAACATTGGTAGATTCAACTTCTGAAGTTTCTTTTGATTCAGCAATAGTAGATTGGGATTCACCGGTTGATTCAGCACTAGAAGACTCTGAGTTTGTAGTTACTTCGAGTTCTGTAGTTGATTCGAAGGTAGTAGCAGTTTCCATATCAGTAGATTCAAAATCATCGGTGGAGGAATCCAATTCGCTAGTTGATTCAAAGTCGGAAATTGAATCGGCATTAGTAAATTCAGTAGCTGTAGTGGATTCAGATTCATCTTCGGTAGACTCGACACCTGTAGTTGATATGTCTACAGTAGATGATAATTCTTCGGAAGTTGATTCATCAGTGGTGTTAGTCTCAAACTCAGCAGTAGACACCTCTTCGGTAGAAGATTCGGCAATAGTAGTTGATTCTATATCAGTTTTTTCATCAACGGTAGTAGATTGTGCATCAGAATCAGAGTTGGAAGTTGATTCGTCAATAAAAGACTCCTCGGTGGTAGAATACTCTATATCAGTACTGGACTCAGATTTGGTGCTAGTTTCATCATCACTAGTAGTAGATTCAGCATTAACAGTAGTGGATTTATCATCAGTAGACTCCGCTTCACTTGTTGATTCAGATTCAGTAGTAGATTCTAATGTAGAATCAATATTAGTAGACTCAACATTAGTGGACTCGGCATCAGTTGTTTCCACTTCAGTGGTACTTTCATCATTACCTGTAGTAGATTCAACCTCAGCAGTAGTGGACTGAATATCAGTAGTGGACTGAACATCAGTAGTAGACTCAGTTTCAGTTGTTGACTCAGTTTCTTCTTCAGTAGTAGACTCTATATTAGTAGATTCTGTTTCAACGGTGGTAGATTCAGAATCAGCAGTTGTTTCATATTCAGTAGTAGTTTCTGTAGTTTCAACTTCGATTGATTCAGAATCAGTGGTAGCTGCTGACTCTTGTTCAGTAGTAGTTTCATCAGTTGATCTAGTACATGTTTCAGACCAGCACTGAAGTGGTGAGTCAGAATCTCCGTCCCAGAAATCAGAATTACAACCATGTGCATAAGTAACAAATTGTGCTCCTGACTGTTCTCCTGTCCAAGCATATTGAATAATAAAAGGAGTGGTACAAGTTAACAGGTTGATGGATTGTGCTTCCATTACAAACGACAAGTAAAAGTGGTAAACAGAGTCCCCAAGAAGATTGAGTTGAATACCACCAGAATAAAGTTGAATGGAGGTGGGAGAGCCTTCAGGTGTTTGGAGTTGCTGAACATAAATCAGTGAAAGCTCATCTTCAGGATACATGCTACCATCAATACTGAATTCAACAACCACTTCGTAGTAATTATCTTCGACCCATTTGATAGAATCAAATTTGAACACTTCTACTGCAGGAATATCACTTGGGTGTACAGCAACAGCTGTACAAACACTGTCACTGTTCCACAGAGTGGGACAATCTATTGGTTCAGGCAAATCAGTAGTTGATACAGTAACAGTAACAGGAGTTCCAGTTGTTTCAATGGCGGTTTCAGATCCAGTAGAAGATTCAATCTGAGTCGTAAGTTCAGAACTAGTTGATTCTTCTTTAGCTTCGGTACTGGTCTCATCTTCAGAAGTGGTTTCAGATTGTATCTCGGAGGTAGATTCAATGCTATCACAAACTTCTTCCCAACATTGTAATGATAAGTCACCAATACCATCAAATTCATTACAACCATGTGCATAAGTAGCACCAAGTTCTTCCCAAACATAGCTAATCTCAAATGGTGTGGTACATGTATATTGATCGATATGTTGCATTTCCATCACCCAGGAGTAGTAGAAGTGGAAAGGGGAGTTACCCACGAGGTTGATACCATCATCTGGATTATAGATATAAGAACCATAACTATAACCTCCAGGCATATGAAGGTTACCAACATAAATATGTTTCAAATCACTTTCTGGGTATACTGTACCATCAATCTTGAATTCAAAAATAACCTGGTATAAATCACCTTCTAACCATTCAATAGATTTGAACTCGTATGTTTCCACTGTTGGGTACCCAGCTTGTAATGCGTGGGCTCCAACCTCGTAGCTGCATACACTATCACTAGTCCACAGACTTGGACAATCTGTTGGATCTGGTAACTCAGTCAAGTCTGTTCTTGTGGGAGTAACAGTAACAGGTGATGTTTCGACTTCAGAATTAGTTGCTTGGTCATCAGTTGATTCAGGGTTTGAAGATTCTTCGACTTCAGTGGTTTTGGTTTCAACAGTACTTTTTGATTCAGTCGTTGTTTCTTCTGGCCTGCTGCATACCTCTTTCCAACATTGGAATGGTATATCACTGTAATTATCACATCCACTTAAATATGGAACATAAGCTTCTTGCCAATTGTATGTAATTCCGAACGGAGAAGTACATATATAATCGTCAATGTGTTGCATCTCCATGGCCCAAGACAAGTAGAAGTGGAAAGGTGAATCGTCAAGAAGGTTTATACCATCTTGCTGGTTATAAAGGTACATTCCAAAGTTATCTCCATTAGGTGTAAGGAGGTCACTGATGTATACCCAATTCAAATGGTCTTCTGGATACACAGTACTATCAACCTTAAACTCAATAAGTACCTCATACAAATCATCTTGTATCCACTTGATCGATTTGAATTGGTATATTTCCACTGCTGGATAACCAGCCTGCAGAGCATGTGCTCCAACATCAAAGTCACAAATGGCATCACTGGTCCACAGACTAGGGCAATCAATTGGATCTGGTAAGTCTGACAAATCAGTTCTTGGTGGAGTAACAGTGACAGGAGATGGTTCAAGTTCAAAACTGGTGGTTTGCTCAGTAGTGGTTTCATCAGTTGATCTAGTACATGTTTCAGACCAGCACTGAAGTGGTGAGTCAGAATCTCCGTCCCAGAAATCAGAATTACAACCATGTGCATAAGTAACAAATTGTGCTCCTGACTGTTCTCCTGTCCAAGCATATTGAATAATAAAAGGAGTGGTACAAGTTAACAGATTGATGGTTTGTGCTTCCATTACAAACGACAAGTAAAAGTGGTAAACAGAATCCCCAAGAAGGTTGAGTTGAATACCACCAGAATAAAGTTGAATGGAGGTGGGAGAGCCTTCAGGTGTTTGGAGTTGCTGAACATAAATCAGTGAAAGCTCATCTTCAGGATACATGCTACCATCAATACTAAATTCAACAACCACTTCGTAGTAATTATCTTCGACCCATTTGATAGAATCAAATTTGAATACTTCTACTGCAGGAATATCACTTGGGTGTTCAGCAACAGCTGTACAAACACTATCACTGTTCCACAGAGTGGGACAATCTATTGGTTCAGGCAAATCCGTAGTTGATACAGTAACAGTAGTGGGATCGGCTTTAACAGCCACTAGCATTAATAAATAGCAGAAAAACCAAAACTGTCTCATTGTAAATGATAATTTCTTGCTGCGAAAAATTAGTCTATTAGAGTATAAACCAATCAATTTCAAAACACAAGAAAATGGAACATTTATATATCCAAAGTTGTGTACAAGGAAACTATATTTGTACCATAATCATCTCACTAGTTGAGATATTATATTGGTTGTAAAATTCAGTCAAATTTCAGTTTGTTTAAATTAAAATGTTGAGTAGTGCTATAGGGATTTAATTTTGGAATATTTTTTGAACTTGCCTTCTTGTGTCATTTTGATAAAAGAAACGAGGGGATTTAGAGAATATTGATGTTCATGAAGTCAAATATGTATTAGCATGAGACATGCAAGTGAAAGTTTTTCATTGTTGCAAAAAAAAAAAAAGATTGTATTTTGTTTACAGTAAAGCTTGTTTCCAAGTGTGTTTATGTAACCAGAATTGATGTCTATAATGCTACCTCATTCTGTCTCAGGGCACCTTGTTGCAAACATGTTTGGTACAGAAACCATATATTGCAAGATCTAATTTCTAAATTAATAATATTCAACTGAGCGTGGCTAGAAAATAAGATATTACGAAAACTTGGCAAAATAAACTAGTGGAAATTTCATATTAGCTCTATTACGAGAAAAATAAGTTTTGGAAAATACGGCGTTAGGCAAAAATTGACGGCATCTGGTAATTTGGTAGGTAGATCCATTTTCCCTAATAACAACATTTGAAACTGTTTAGACCAGATTTCCGGTCTACTTGCATGTAAAAGAGCTCATAACTGCATTCGCGACATGTCAAATTGTTTAGGTAATGTGCAGCTGCCCAGAAATTAAACTTCGGAAATACTTGAAACAACACATTGATTACTGTAGTGTGGTTTGGAATTTACTCTCTAATTAGATATTTATTGATAAGATTAACTGCAATCAATCACCTTGAATACCTGGAACTGTATACGAACAAAGATATGACGAATTGGAATAACGACATTGTGAGAAAATAGAAATAAAAATCAAGAAAATTTTTTTCGCAATAATTTATTTTTTTATCTAAACAAGAGGCTGTTCTGTTCTGGAACATTCGCCAGGTTTTCTTCGCTAGGATATTGAACAAGCCTTGGTTTAATTTCGCATTTTGTGATTCTTTTCTTTTAGTACATGACCTAACTAATTATGTTTTATTCCACGGCTAATCATAATGAACATTGTTTTGCAGTACAAAATAGAGCAAAAAGTTGGGGATAAAAACTAGTGCTAAATAATAAAAGGTATTTATTTATACTCAACATGGCCAACAAACCACTGAAAGAGAATAACCTGTGAACCTATTGGAATTAGAAGAATGCTTTTGAATTGAAATTTAACAGAAGCATATATTTCCTAATTCTGGCTAACTGTAATCAGACGCCTTGAATCGCTTGAAAGATAGACTAATATGAAATATTATCTTTTTCGGATATCTGAAATGTAAATTTAGTCAAGAAAACAGCTCATAAAACGCAAAATATTTGCAATATTTTATTGTAATCAGACTTTATAAAGATAATATGATAGAAGAAGAAGTGACTTAGCTTGATGTTTTCGTAAATATGGAATTGTAACCCTGCACGACCTTCTTTGTTTTGGAATATTTACTTTATTTATTCAACGACGATGATTAATGGTTAATGCACTGTGGTTAAAATCTAAGGTATATTCGCTGGGTACATTTTTGTAACTCTTTTCGGTTTTCTTAGTTGTATGTATCCAATTTTTGGTTCCATGACTAATATGTAGTAGCCCAAGCTGAGTTTTAAAGTAGTACTAATTGGCAAAACTATACGCTGCCTAGTAACGTTGTTTTACAGTTGCAAACTAAATACTATGAGTTAATCTTTCTTGTGAAATTCATATGCTAAATATTTATCAATTTATACTAAGGATCTTTTAAAATATTCTTATAACTGCTGAATTGTGTAACCATGGATGAGAGCGTGATCCTAATTCCCGTATCAAATGAGTGTATGTTTTATGATTGATAGATTGGATATCGCAAGTAAAACTCAATCTCATAATCCACGATAGCAGACTTTGTACCCAGACCGGATTGGATTCGAGGTTTCCACAACTAATATTGGTTTGGTATAAGAACACCAGTTTCCTATCAAGGGAACACAGTTAAAGTTGTAACTGTATTAACAACCTTCAAAATCTTCATCTATAAAATGACTTTAATTTCTATTCCAAGAATTATGACTGGTTATTGTTATTGAGAACTATACTGTTGACGTATTTATAATTGCTGCTTTCATAATGGCTTCTGCACACCTGAGGGTATATCATGCCTGTACATGATAAAGTGATGACGTCGCTGTACCAAAATCTCTACACAATATTTTATACACTGCCAGACTGATGATCATGAGTGAAGTAGGTTGGCTGCTAGAATTGAAATTACCTTAGTAGAAAATCCCTACCATATTATAAATCACTAAAGATAAAAGGTTTTGAATATTGAAAGAGCATGCCATTATGTCATAATATATATAGAAGAATATTCTAATATGTTTTCGATCTTGATAAAGGCTTAACATGTAAATATCAGAAAAGGACAGGCTACTGGTTAGCTTATGGTTTGAATGTGTGAAACAAAGTTACCAGATAGAATAGCTGTACTTCCTAGTTGATAGTATTACGGTACGCAAAAAAAAAAAAGTTTGGATGGATACAAAAGGTTAAACATTAGCAATAGCTGAATGATGAGTGGATGCATTCAAAAATGCTACGCAACTCTACATGGGGCTGATTATTACTAGATGGAAAAAAAAAGCCACTTCTGCTTATTTTCTTCATGAACTAAGACAAATAATTGTAAATTATCACATATCTAAGTGGAATTGAGTTTCATTAGTTCTCCCTGAAACTTCTGTGTTGGCATTTCTAAGTTGAACATGTCCAACCCAAACCAAGGTGGTGTTGTTTCAAAATCTTGACCGACACGCGCGCAACGTAATGTGTGTGTCACGTGAATGAGATGATCATTGCTAGTTACTTCTAGAACCTTCCTTCAGAATCCTCAATTCAATTTAGGAGTGACATGTCCGTCATTTATTTTGGTACTGTATCTACCGATAGGGAATGGTCACACTTGATGTATTTTGTACCGAACCTGTTCCTTCGTGTTGCACATCCTTATACCTTCTATTGTATTCTGGACAACCGTTGAAAAAAAAAAAAAAAAGAAAAGAAAAAAAATACTCATCGTCTTATACACACAACTACCATACAATAAGGAGTTAAAAAAATTTTTTTTATTTCTGTTCTTTCCTTCTGTTTCATTCTCACAACTCATTGCTTCACATTTTGTACAAGAATAACTAAGTCATCTGTCAAAAATGTCTGTATCCGCATCTAAAGCCAAGAGAGAGCAAAAGCGTTTAGAAAAAGAAGCTAAAAAAGCTGCTGAAGGTAAGACTACCAAGAAGACTAAGAGACAAGCAGCCAAGGATGCTGAAGAAGTTCAAGTTGATGATGCTGCCACTCAAATTGCCAAGTTGAAATTACAAACTGATGAGCATGGTATGTCTGACAGAGTCACCACTGGTGTTTTGGAATCTTTAGCAACTTCTAGAGATATTAAATTATCTTCTGTTTCCTTGTTATTCCATGGTAAAGTTTTGTTACAAGATTCTGTTTTGGAATTGAATTATGGTCGTAGATATGGTTTATTGGGTGAAAACGGTTGTGGTAAATCTACCTTATTGAAATCTATTGCTGCCAGAGAATTTCCAATTCCTGAACATATCGATATCTACTTATTAAATGAACCAGCTGAGCCAACTGAATTCTCTGCTTTGGAATATGTTGTTAGAGAAGCTGAACATGAAATGAAGAGATTGGAAGACTTGGTTGAAGAAATCATTGTCAAGGAAGGTCCTGAAGCCCCAGCTTTAGACGGTATTTACGAACGTATCGACGAAATGGACCCAGCAACTTTTGAATCTAGAGCTGCCGTTATTTTAACCGGTTTGGGTTTCAACTCCACCACTATTAAGAAGATGACCAAGGATATGTCTGGGGGTTGGAGAATGAGAGTTGCCCTTGCCAAGGCTTTATTCGTTAAACCAACTTTACTTTTGTTGGATGACCCAACTGCCCATTTGGATTTATCTGCTTGTGTTTGGTTAGAAGAATATTTGAAGACCTTTGACCGTATTTTGATTTTGGTTTCTCACTCCCAAGATTTCTTAAACGGGGTTTGTACTAATATGATTGATATGAGATTAAAGAAATTGACCCTTTATGGTGGTAACTACGATTCTTATGTCAAGACTAGATCCGAATTGGAAACTAACCAAATGAAACAATATAATAAACAACAAGAAGAAATTGCCCATATTAAGAAATTTATTGCATCTGCTGGTACTTATGCTAATTTAGTTAAACAAGCTAAATCAAGACAAAAGATTTTGGATAAGATGGAAGCCGATGGTTTAATTGAACCTGTTGTTCCTGACAAGGTCTTCACTTTCAGATTCCCAGATGTTGAAAAATTACCTCCTCCAGTTTTAGCCTTTGATGACATGTCATTCTCTTATTCTGGTAACGAGGAAGATAACTTGTATGAACATTTAGATATTGGTATTGATATGGACTCGAGAGTTGCTCTTGTTGGTCCAAATGGGGTTGGTAAGTCCACATTATTAAAATTATTCCAAGGTCAATTATCCCCACAAAAGGGTAGAATTATCAAACATACACATATTAAATTGGGTGTTTACTCCCAACATTCTGCTGATCAATTAGACTTAACCAAATCTCCATTAGAATTTGTTCGTGATAAGTTCTCTAACATTTCTCAAGATTACCAATACTGGAGAGGTCAATTAGGTCGTTATGGTTTAACTGGTGAAGGACAAACCGCCCAAATGGCTACTTTATCCGAAGGTCAAAGATCAAGAGTTGTTTTCGCATTGTTGGCTTTAGAATCTCCAAACTTGATCTTATTGGATGAACCTACTAACGGTTTGGATTTGGCTACCATTGATTCCTTGGCTGAAGCTATCAATGCTTTCAACGGTGGTGTTGTCGTTGTTTCCCACGATTTCAGATTATTGGATAAGGTTGCTAAGGATATTTTCGTTATTGAAAATAAGACAGCTACAAGATGGGAAGGTTCTATTTTGGACTATAAAAAGACTTTGGCCGAAAAGGTTGTCCTTTAAGCTTAATTCTCTGTTTGTATTTGTTTATAGTAAACTAGCGAAATATTATAGATTAAGAGATTTCCAACTGTACACTACTTGTCTTTAGTTTAAAGCTTCCACCTCAATATCAGCTAATTCTTTCCGTTTAATTAAGAAATGTTTCTCATAAAGTACGATATGTTTCATGTTAATGAAACAGCTACCTTCTTCTAGTAAATCCCTAATTATCTGATCATGCAGCCTCTCAAAAAACTTATTAGTATCGTCTATATTGTTGTGTTGTGATCGTGGAGTGTTAATTTGCGTTGCATCGTATATTCTTTCAAATTCTTGCAACCCAGAATGTCTGAGAGCAGATTCAAATGAACTAGTATTAAAGTAGAATCTAGTTATTGAGTCTTCTTGACTTTGAAGAATATCATGGAATTGAGGTATTACATACAGCCTGGTACATGGGTCAAGCACAATATATAAACTCTCAAGGGTATTAGGATTGAACTTCTCAATGACTTTATCGATTGGAAATTTTTGAACAATGATTGAAAAATGTCTAATGTTGGTTAATTGAGGTGCCAACTTTGTTAATTCAGACTCATAGAGGTATGTTTTCTTATCAAAGAAATTAAATTTGAGTTCTAATGAAGTTATTTGGTTCACTTGGAAAGTGTCAGTCATCTCCTTCTCAAGTGTGTCTCTGTATCGAAACCCCAACTCCAACGACAATTTCCTGATTTTTAAATTAGACAAACCGTTATCTCTGAATTGATCAAAAACGATCGAGTTCCCATGACGTATTTCTAATGATTCCAAGTTAAGTAAATGAGGAACTATCTTCAAGTTGACATAGCGCTTGTATGAGAAATCAAACACCAATTTTTTAATGGAATGGTTGTGCACAGGAACATCAACTATATCACGGAAAATGTAGAGCTCTTTGCATTTGTTCAATTCCTCATGCAGATCCAGAAGTGGTGCTTTCTCAGCAATGATTCTAACCGAAGGATTATATCCCTTAATCCATTGAACTAAAGGATCATGGCCATCTGTAAAGAAAGTAACCAGTTCAGTCAACTCTAAATTTTTTCCTATTTTTGACCAAGTCTCTATGTTGTTCATAATTGTGAAGCTGCAGTAAAAGTCGGAATAAAACTTGGAAGATATCACTATAGGCTCACCATTATTGCAATATATGCACCGATATAATTTTTTCATTCCTACATCTTTACATTTTCGGTTGATTAATATAAATGGTAGAACATCAATCTGGTTGAGAAACTCACAAATATTGAGAAGGACTTCATCTGGTAAAGAGTTAAGGGTATTTACTTGAGTTTTCATTCTTATAGAAGTGGATGATGTTTCAAAAAGACAAGAACAATATTAATCTAAGAAATGGACTTTTATTTAACATAATCCTCATGCGAGTCGCCTACAGGTAGGCTTGCCTAAAGATTAAATAAAAAAAAACAGTACCTTCCTAGAATATAACTACTGTCTATACGTACAGGAGCATCCTACTTAAAAAAAAATATTTCTGGTTGTTTGTAGTCGAAAAAAATGGACGAGTCCGGAGTCGAACCGGAGACCTTTCGCATGCTAAGCGAACGCGCTACCAACTACGCCACACGCCCCGTGAAAGAAGTGGTCCCTAGCAGGATCGAACTGCTGATCTTGGCGTTATTAGCACCACGCCTTAACCAACTGGGCCAAGGGACCTGTTTCTTGCTTCAAGATTTTTTCTATGTAATAGCAATAATTTTAGGAAGCACGTGTTATATTTCACGTGATTTCTTATCCTGGTAATCTTAATAAATGCTCTAAATGGTGTCATTGATGAATTATTATGACCTATTTGTGATATTTGAGATGTTTATGATATGATTAGAATAAAACATTTACTAGAAAGAGATTATTTTGATATTTCTGAATTTTTTACCTGCTTCGTTAGTTGGTCGTATTAATAGTTCCAAAGTGGAGTATATTTTGCTAGATAATTGACCAGAAAAGCACAAAATAACGATTACGTAAACTAAAATCGTGTAGAGCTACTTTTTAAATGAATATTTTGGGTTTAATATGATTTATAGATGTTTGATATGCCTTTTCTGAAAAAAAAAGCAACCCTTTATAAACCAATTCTGGGACAAAATTATGTACTAAAGTAGGAGTTAATATTTTTATTTCCCAGTTAAGGAATGCCGCATGATTCAAATTTTCGCTTGGTTAGTATATTTGCACCCATGAGAACACAGCGGCTGCGAAACTTGGACGGTATAAATTTAAGAAATTCTCATTTTTAAGCAGTAAACTTTTGTAAACTTTTGTAAACTTTCTTTCTTTGTTCCAATTTGATTGTTTATCAGTATCAATTAGATTTCACTTGATAAGTGTTATGACACTGATATCCTTAATCTTCAAGACTATCTGGGGTCTTTTCACTCCTGCTGAAGAACCAGTTCCTATTGTTGAATCTGGTTCTGACGCTGATATTCAAACTACCGAAATCCCTTCCCTCAGATCCAAACTCAGAAGTTTCTTTTACAAATCTAAAAGAAATTCCCCAAATGAAAACCCTTCTGACGTTTCTTCCATTCCATCAAACTTCACTCCTGATCTCCAAGAAACCTCCACTTTAAAATCCGTTCCTTCTGACCACAAACACAAACACCATTTTTCTAAATTAAGCAATTGGTTTAGAAAAAGGAGCAGAGAAAATTCTAGTGATATTGCTACCAGTAATGAACAAGATTCCTCATATATCCCAAGTTTACCTCAAAGTTCCACTGATCAAAATGTTACTTCATCCCAATTTATCCAATCTCAATTTGGTTTGGTTTCCGAAATGTCGGGTAATTTGAAGAAAACCAAAGCTTTATTGGCCTGGAAGAACTTAAAAACAACTGAAAGAAAAATATTGGACAAATATTGCCTTGAATGTTGTCAAACCCCTCGTCGTGAAACAACTATCAAAAAGCTTCAAGAACAGTTACAAGTACTTGAAGTTAGATTATTTGAAGCTGAGAACCAGTATGGTGAAAGAATTCCAGATGATATTAGAAATTCCATGAATGAGTTTGCTGTTTCAACGCGTGACATCTGCGGAAAGTTAGTTAATAACACTGATACTTTTGTGGCAAGCTTGAATAAAGAATCTCCCACCTTGTCATCAAAGATCAATTCAGCCTCAGCCAAGTCTAGACAAGAAAGTATCAGCCTGACCATTTTCCAAATGCTTAATCAAGAAATACCAAAATTCAAAGCCGATTCCGAAAATCATAATGCCACTCCAGAAATCATCGAAACCAGTAGCATCTATAATTCCTTAACCAATTTACTCACTGGAAAGCATTGTCTTCACTCACAAGTTGCTTCATCCCATATACATAATGTTGCTCCTAAATGCATTCAACTGAGTAGTGTGTATGGATCCTTACTCACTATGAGAATGTCTTCTTGTTCACAAGAAGCTAATGCTTCTGGAATTATCCACCTGGATATTATCACTTATAATGGAGGGTTAGTTCCTGGAAGTATTGTCCATGAATCTACTAGAACCAATCCTGAAATTTCATTCAGCAACCAATCTGAGTCAACAATCTTGTTGCGTGCTCCATGGCAGTATGAAAACTTCAACTGGCCCCATCTTAAGGATGGAAGTGCCTCCAAGTTCTTGGACAAAAGAAACAAGGAAGTTATTGTTAAAATACAAAGAGAGCTTGAAGAAGACAAGAGACGCATATTAAGAAATCAAGAGAGAAAGGAAATAAAGAGAATGGAACACGAAAACCTGCTCAGAGAGTATGAAGATTACAACTCCCTTGATCTTTATATTAACCAAAGTGATTCAGAAGATTCAGAAAAAGAACGCATTAGATCTCGTCCTGTTACTCGTTCTGATACCTATTCTGACCTAGTACACAAGAGCAAACAACGCAGGGAAAAGTTTAGAAAGGATATCATTCAAAAGTGTGCTGGCAGTGCTCTTATATGTCCTAACACCACAAGACCACTTTACTGAATCAATTACCATTAACTGTGTTACCATTCTATTCCACGTTGAAATGTTTTGTTATCTTAACTTTGTTACTAAACTTCATGTATTTATGAAATGATTATGAAACACTAGATGTGATTAAAGGTTGAGCGAGTTACAACTCCAAAAGGTTATTGCACCACTTCAAACCAAACCTTTATCAAAGGTTTGGATGAATTGGCTAACTTCGAGGTGAATTTAATAAGAATTATTAATTCAAACTAAGTTCCCTTAAACTCAATACTGAACTGTTAGAAGTATATTAGAAAAGTCAGAGGGTTGTTGAGTATTGTTTTTTGGGTGTCAGCTTGTGATTTTCCACAAAGGCTAAGTTTATTTAACTGTTTCACAGTTACATGATTGCTTGGTATTACTTGATCTGACTTTTTATTTAATTTATCATCTTTCTCTTAATTGTTTACTTTCTTAAAATTTTCTCTAATTTCTCTAATTAAAAACAAATTTATAAAGACATGTAGACTTACTTTTCTAAGTATTGGTAAAGAATCAGTCAATCACTGCATTTGTTCATAGTTACAATGGTTTCATATATCACACTTTGTCAATCAGCAGTAATTACTAGCTATTATACTCCGAGGTAAGTTCTATAATAAGATCTTCGAATACAGTTTGAAGATAACCCCAAATGTGTAACTAGTTTTAGATTTTTTTTTTTGGTCAATACTTTTTCTCCGCGTTGTCAAAATTAAATATTACTCTTATTCTTTAGTTAACATAAGATGTCCAATGGAATCAACTGATCCATTACCCTTGATTGGACACGTTAAATCTACAAATGAAGGAGACGAGATTGATTACTCAAAGTTGGAATTTTATGGCCGTTTGATTCTTGGCTTTACTTGGATTACGTTTGTTGTTTCCATAAACTCATTTTTTGAACTATGGAAGTTTGTAATCTACCCTTTCTCAAGCAGCAATGAATCGTTATACAATTACCTACATACTATATTCAAAACTATTGACGATTATGTATTGAAACTTTGGTGCATATATATCGTATTTTGGTGGTGGGCTCTGATATCATGGTGTGGATTAAAATTATTTAGACACTCAAGGGGAATACAGACATAGTTAGCTATTGCCATCCTCACCACGAGATTTGGTCCATGCAGCAGAACCAGTTTGTCTACCCTTTGTAAGTGTGGTAGATGTTGCCGAAGGTTTGTTTGGTTCTTTCATAACATCCAATTCCTGGTTTCTAGGTATTATTATATCGTTATAAACAGATAACAAGGCTTTATGTTCGTTTCCCAACTTCAGAACTTGTTGGTTGTAGTAATTGGCTAGTTTGTTGCTGTTATAGTAGTTAATGAGTTTGTCAACTTTATTCTTGCTTATGACGGATGATTTTTCAATCTGTTTTTCTGGAGTTATATATTTATCACTTAAATCAATAATATAGTTTTGATTAAACCCAATTACATAACTCATTCTTTTCCCCCAATTGTTACAGTATAATAAAGGCTCATCATAGACTGCTTCGCAAGGGTCTAAATGGACCCATCTGTTCAATCCGTAGGAATAATACTCACACCAGACATGGTCTTCTTGATTCCAAACATATCTTATTCTGTCTTTATCCTCGCCAATGAGTGCCTGAAGAATCAACATAAAACAGTTAACCCATTCCCCACATCTTCCTTGTTTGGTTCGAAGTAAAGATACAGGATTATTTATACGGGGAAATTGAATATTGGTCCCACATTGGAAACATTGATAGTGTTCGACAATACTGATTTCATCCGGATTAGGCAAGGTACGATTGAATGGAATGGATCCTTTACTCTCCACATTCTTTTCATCTTGACAATTAGGACACTTTGGCGTGTTGACCCAAGTAAAGAAGTTGTGTTTGAAATATTGAAGTAGTTCAAGCACCACGAAATCGTCATACTTTAAATTTGGATTCTTGTCCGGTTCATTTTCTCGTTTATCAACATTCATATAGATGGTAGCCAAGTCAATTGTATCCAATACTTCATTCAAATAGTTTGGGTTTTTGTAGACATCGACACAATTAGCGTGAACGTGGATTGATTGACAAACGGGGAGGACGAGTGATTCTTGGAGTTCAGCGTGGTTTATCCGGAACTTTTTCCTGTCCAGGACAATTTTCTGTTTCGCGTAGATTGTGATTAATCTATCGGCAAGATTTGAGTAGTCTATTGATGTCATTGGATAATGGTGTTGGGGCAAACAGGGATTGGATGTTAGACGAGCGGAAAGTTACAATCTAATAGTTTTTCCGGAGGAGGGGAAATTGCGAGGGGAACTATAATTGAAAAATTAATTACATCTATAAACAACTACTCGGACAGGGGTGTTTCCAGGTGTTCTTCTTGCTCTTCTTGCTCCCCTTTGTCTTCTTCAGGTTTAGCTTGTCCTTTTACTTTTCTTGGTGGTAAAACCTCATTGAAAGCCTTGCCCCAATCTTTACCATTTTCAAACCATTTACAACATAATTCATAAACATGCGATGTTGCCAATACATGTCTACCATTCATTTCTATAAATTTATCAATTGGCAACTTACCAACTTTCAAACCCAACTCTTGAGCTTTTTTCAAACAAAGTTGCTTATGTCGATTCTTATCCACAATCCCACCAATGATGTAGGTGTGATTTGGTAAAAGTTCTTCAATTACTTCATCAGTATCAGCAGTGAGGTAGACGAACTGCAGCTTGTTTTCTTCGGTGATAAGATCGCTTATATTCTGCTGAGAATTAAACTCAATTCCCTTCCATAATTTATATTGAGATACGTCATCATCAAATCTTTTCTTCAAGTTTTTGTTAAATGAAGTAATTTTCAATTTCAAGTCATATTCACAATGTCTCATAGCAGAATAGGATCTGGAAATTTGATTAGACATAGACACGATTTCCTTTTGGTTCATTAATTCATCGAATTCACAATCAAAAATACAAGTGACACCAGTAGGTATTTGTTTACCCAACATCACCTTAGACTTTTTGATCAGATGATAGTTAGTCTCTTCTTCAGCCTCTGCATTGCGCTTACGTTCTTTCAGCCTTTGCCTTTGGGCCTTCTTCTTGGCTCGTTGAAATTCTCGATACTGTTCTTTTGTCTCTTGCCATTTTTGCAGTTTTAATTGACGTTTCCATTCGCTTTTACTCATGCCTTCAGGAATCACTTCGAGTTGCTTGAGCTTTCTTCGTTCCTCAATCTCTTCGGGCGTTGGTGGGTTTCCCTTTTTCTTCTTTGGGTGTGGTGGTTCTGCTGTAGACATGTTTGTTGTAGTGCGATGACGTCTGCAATAGGTAATAGTGATGGAGATTTTTAGTGATACAGTAAGCCAACGATTATCAGTTGAATATATTGCTCTATTACTGACTAGGGAATGACCGTACTTCAAAGTACAAGAAGCACAAGCTGCTGATGATTAGATAGTGCTCCAGGTTAAGAAAAACGATACTAGTGAAATATTTTCCAGGTGTTACCCGCACAGATCATCATTAATTTTTTTTATTTCTTCTTCCGAATTTTGCAGTAATTGGAAATATAGCAAGGGCAATAACAACTCTAGCATCAGAGGATATCCAAAATAACGAAAATAGCAATACTTAGAGGAAGTTAAAATTGCGTGCTGGATAGGCAATCATTACAATTCCTGTAGCAAGCTATGATTCTAGGACAAGGAGACTAAGTATATACATCCAGCTCTACGGTTCTATAACATCAAGGAGTAGAGGGTAGTAAAGCCTTACGGAACTGGCACTTCAAGAAAAAGTCGATTCTTTTCCATTCCTTTCCATTCTTCTCCATTCCTTTCCATTCTTCTCCATTCCTTTCCATTCTTCTCCATTCCTTTCCATTCTTCTCCATTCCTTTCCATCCTTCTCCATTCTCTAACCGTGACACACCTGCATTGTAGTTCTTCGTGCAACAAGCAAGCCAGAATATATGAAATAGAAATTACTAATCAACACTTAACTAAATCACTATATTCCATAGTTCACTAAAGAGTTTACAATTCTGCCAGCATCACCAGAAATCCTGGAGTTAAGCCTGAAATTTGTCAGAACCTGGGTTTGTGAAAAGATGGTCTAACTCCGTGGTCTTATTTCCGTATGCAGGAAAATTTCATACAGTTTTGAACCAAAGCTTACAAATCGAATATTTTTTTGGCTTAGGCGAAAACTTTGACGTTAGTTTTGCAGCAAAGCCAACAATCACAAAAAATTTGCAATGAGATGCGAACGGCAAAAAGTATAAATATGAAATGATTCACTCTGTTTCAATCTTATTTCATTTCTATCACTAATAACAAACAATAATATCAAACTACAAGTACTAATATGTCCACCACTTCTGTTTTCGTTTCCGGTGCCAACGGTTTCATCGCACAACATATCGTCAAACAATTGCTTTCCAAGGGTTACAATGTCGTCGGGTCAGTGAGATCTGAAGCCAAGGGTGAAGAATTAAAATCTCTAGTCAACAATGACAAGTTTTCCTACGAAATTGTCCCATCCCTTACTGAAGACGGTGCTTTTGATGACGCTCTTAAGAAGCACCCCGAAGTCACTGTTTTCTTACATACTGCCTCCCCATTCTCCTTCTCAGTCAAAGATGTGGAAAATGATTTAATGAAGCCTGCCGTTAGTGGTACCCTCAATGCCCTTAAGGCTATCAAGGAACATGGTCCACAAATCAAAAGAGTCGTGGTTACTTCTTCGGCTGTTGCCGTCTTCGGCTTCGGCCCCCAATTCGATGCCAACAAAGTATACAATGAAGATGATTGGAACCCAGTTACTTACGAGCAAGCTTTGTCAAACCCAATGTTTGGATACTTTGGTTCCAAGAAGTATGCTGAAAAGGCTGCCCATGATTTCGTTGCCAAGGAAACTGTGAACTTTGGTATTTCCTTCATTAACCCACCTTACGTTTTCGGTCCACAAGCTTATGCTATTAAGGATAAGACCACCTTGAATACTTCTAATGAAGTCATTAACAAGGTTGTCAAGTTGACCAAGAACGATGTACTCCCTGCTGAAGGTCACGTTTTCGTTGATGTTAGAGATGTCGCCCGTGCTCACTTGGTTGCTTTTGAAAAGGATGAAGCTGTTCTGAAGAGATTATTGCTTGTTTCTGGAAGTTACACTCTTGACACAATTGCTAATATTATCAACAAGAAATTCCCACAAACAACTGTTCCAAAGGGTGATGAATCTAGAAACCCAGAAACTAGCAAGAGAATCCATAAGTTTGATAATTCTAGAACTCAAAAGATTCTTGGATTTGAATTCAAGCCTCTTGAGGAATCTATTATTGATACCGTTGACCAAATTTACAATGCTTAGTTTGTATATATATATATAGAGGTTTTTTATAGGTAAATTGATTTGGTTTTGAAAAAGCACCTTATACTTCCCGTAGACTAGTTTAGTTTTCAATCACAAAATTGAATAGCAAGTAAAAATTTAGTTGCTACAAATTGTCTTTCGCTGTAGGCACTAGACTACTAGTAAAGTTACATTAAGATTCAATTAATTATTATACATTACAAAAATACCTATTTCAATTGGACGGTGTGCTCAACAACATCTTCCTTACCATCGGTTTCAGAATCTTCTTCACCTTCGAGATCTTCATCATGCTCAGCATCATATTCCTTAATACCAAACTTACCTTCCCAGCCATTATCAATCAAGTAGTTCTTGAACTTGATATCTTGTTCCAATAAATCATCTTCTCTTAAGTGAGGAACAAAGATAAAAGTAACCAAAACACCAGCTAACCCACAAATAGCAGCGATGATAAAGGTCCATTTTTGACCCAAGTTAGTTTGGATTGGGGTGAAAGTTTTGGTACCAACAACAGCACCAACCTTACCAATAGCAGCAGAAAGACCATAAGCAGTACCTCTGATTGGAGTAGCAAAGGATTCAGAACTAATCAAACCCATACCATTACCTGGACCCAAGTTACCCATGGACATCATCAACCCGTAAAAGACAATGAACAATGCGGTGATGCCCTTGATCTTTTCATAAGCACAACCGACAATCAACCCGAAAATAATGTAACCAGAGAACCCAATCATGATGGTGTACTTTCTACCAATGACATCGTTCAAGTAAGCCCCGATGAAGACACCAGGAAGAGCAATGACACCCAATAACAAGTTCCATTCGGCAATTCTTTCAACGTTAGTAGCATCCTTGATAACATTGGAAATAATACCAGCGGAGAAGATACCGTTAGGGAAAGTAACGAAATCATAAAGGAACCAAGCAACAGTGGTACCGATCAATCTTGGCCAGAAATATTTAAGAGCTAACCAGTATGGAACTCTTTGCTTGATGGCACTCTTGGTGTATAATTCAGAAGTAACCATTTTCAATCTAAAGTAGAAAACAGACAATGGCCAGAAAGCACCAATGGCAAACATGGTTCTCCATAACCCATCATAGTGGGTTCCGGTAATTCTATTGACAATCAAGAAAATAATCAAGGCAAATGGACCACCAAAAGATAATGGCAAGTTAGTAGCCAAAATAAATGCACCACCTCTTCTCTTGACAGATTGGTTGGCAGCTTCAGAAGCAGTGACAGAAGAAGATGGATATTCAGCACCAATACCGAAACCAGTAACACCTCTGAAAATGGTCAACATCCAGAACATACCGTTGACGGTATTACCATGAGAAGCAGCACACATGATGGTACCAAAGATCAAAAAACAGGTGGCTAAAACAATAGACCACTTTCTACCAATGTAATCAGAAGTCAACCCAATAGCAACTTGACCTAAAATGGTACCAACAAGAGAAGCATTGGAAACTTGAGTGGACATAGAGGCGGTATATTCCTTTGGATATTCAAGAGCAAAAACTTTATTAAGCATGGACATAACGTTGTTTTGGTAACCATCAGAGATCAAAGCAAAACCAGCACACAAGATCATAAGAGCATCTCTCAACTTAACCCCGCCTTCAAAACGAGCCTTTCTAGCTTCACTATCATATTTGAAATGTTTTTTGTGACCATCATTAGTAGCAACACTAATGGTTTCAACTATCTTGTTAGACTTATCAGAAGACATATTGAGCTTGTTTGGATAGAGAAAAAAAGCTAGGAAATCCTTGTTCAAGGGAGGAATTCTCGATATCTATATATAGTCAGTGATTTTGATTTGGAATTTCTATTGTCTGTACATCGTGTCTAAACAAGAAGCGCAATAGACAATAATGCAAGATCCCAAACAATAGTGAACACGTCTTTGCCCTTTCAATTTGGTACTTTTATTAAAATGGAGACACGTTCGTAAATTATTTAATTTAACACTACATCCTCTTTGTTAATACTCATTTGCCATTTATTAATTCATATGCATAATTGGGTTGCTAGATTTTGTGCCGTCTACTTTAAATTTAAGCCTCATTCGGTAAATGTATTGTTATGTACTGTTTCTGCCACGTGTATACCGCAAGAACAAAGGATGGCCCTATCAATTTTAAACCTACATTTACGTTGGTACCTACTGTTGGCTTTGTTTGCTCATCGTGATGAAAAAAGTGAAACATGTGGGTTGGCTTTCCGGGTGTTTGTTTAACCATGGTGATGGATGCAAAAAACAAAAAATAAAGAATAGAAAAAAAAATAATTTATTAAAAAATATATCAAAATGTATTTGATAGGGCTGGGGAATTTTAGGAAGTGCTTTTTTACACATACTTGGCATAATATACGAGCGGGGGTGTATACGGAATTTGATTCCATGGAATTAAAACATTGCAGTGTTATACCGAGAATTAGTAATACGGTCTCCTTTCCATACCTGTGATGATCCACTGGTGGCAATCATTGCCGACAGAACAAGGAACTAACTCATCAAACAATAAATGAAATAAACAATTTGTGAAAATAATTATGTACCTTAAACAATAACGTGCGGAATTAACGCGGAATATTCCGCATGTTTCTATTTTTCCTCGATCTAGCTAGTAGTCTTGTGGGGTATGTCAGAAATCAGGCTTTCTTGTGATAGACAGCATTATTCAGCGCTAGCCCACATGTTCTCCTGACAGGGAATATTATCATTAAATTACAAACGTGTTCATTGTAAATTATTATGTCAATGAAAGGTAAAAAACAAAAAAGTTGCTTGTTGCGAGACAATCTTTCGGCCGTCTCCGCGAAACGCCTTATTTGGCTTTTGCGAATCAAGCATTGCATAGACGAGATGGTGTAGGAAACCCAAGCAGAAAACTAGCCATCTTCTACGATGTGGTGTATCTCAGAGCAGTAGAGAAACGAGTCAAAATTTGAGGAAATGGTTTGTTACTCGGCCCGATTAAAAGAGGGCTTTTATTATTTTTTCGATGCAAGATCCGGGCGAGTTGCCGACAATTGTAATAATAAGATTGTAACTCCTCCTCTTCTTCAAGTCCTGAGCCCTGGAATGTATTGTTTGGTTGCGAGTTGTATCTCATGATAATTCCCAAGGGTTGTCAAACCCCAAAGTATACGGTTTTACAGTTCAATATTCTTGGATTCAGTATTCGTTAGAGATATGCGTCGATGCATCGCATAACGCAATAATTTAGACAAAGTTACACAAAATCGACCCAAGATAAGGGCATATGAAATAAACAAGTGTGGATTCTCTTAAATTCCACTAGCCTATTCGTTTAAGACTAGTAGCAACGTGGGCATCTTCAACCCTTTCAGAAAAATCAGAAGATGTTTGAAAAGTTCACCATGTATAGATTAGCCTTTATTATGGTCCTTCCACCCCCCCCCCCCCCTTACTTGGGTGATTCCTGTTGACACGTGGAAGCACCCTCCCCCCCTCCTCCCTGGATGGGTTTGAAATGATAGGTCAATCCTATTTTGGTTGTCATTACGAATATTACGAATGTTTAGTGAAAACCTTTAACACATTCTACGAGATCATGCAATCGTTAATTGGAATATATCCGTGCCACACAAACAGAGCCTCAGATAATATAATAGTTTAAAATATTCATCCCTACCAAGAGTAAAATCATGAGACAAGTAGAGATGAGGACAATAAAAAGAAACCAGACACCGAAAAATAAAACGTGGGGAGGTGTAATTGTAAATTGCCAAGATGAGTGCCTAGAAAAGTTAGTCTTTACGATGTAGAGAACGCCGTAGAATATTTCGAAGTTTAATGGTAACTAGAAATAATCCGTAGTGGCCCTGACCTGATATTTGATCATGACGGTTGTAACCTTGATAAGGTTGAGGCAGACATGTAATTTCTTAACCATATCACGGAAAAATGCCTCCGAGGGGCGGAAAGCTTCATAACCATAAAAATAACACACCACCCCAAAAAGGGTATCGACGCCCTTCGCCCCCGGAAGATCCCAGAAAAAGAAAAGTCAAGTTGATGAAGAGTGACAAAAAATGAGTATCTTATCCATCTTGCATTGAGATTAAGTATGATTACATCACACAGCCTGATGGTTCCGAACTCCGTGTGACCAGGGTTGGAATTTTGGAAATTATCATCACCCAATTGATAAACAATAAAGCAGGCTATTTTTAGTGAGTGTGCAATTATCGAATCATGCTACAATACACACTACAGAAAAATAACTGAAATTCATCGAAGATTCGTTTGCCGTTCTATTATACCCCAACTTAAGCTTTTTTTTCTGGGGGAGGAGGATGAGGAGGGGTGGGTGTCACAACATACAATAGCGCAAGTTACAATTTGTTGTTGTTGCTAAAAAAAAAAAGTTTGTTTGTTTCTCCTCATTCACGTTTGAAGCGGGTTTGCCCTACTTGAAACTCCCAACCAACAAAAAAAAAGTATACCTGAAAAGGGGAACGAACGCGGGCAGATAAAAATAAAAAAAAAAAGAATTGAAACGGAAGGTCGTGACGAAAACTGTTGGGGGATCGAGGGGTGAAATGAGGAGTTCGTGGGGATGGATCAAACCATTCGGCGATTTCTACCCTGATTAAAACAAGGTTATAATTTCACTATAATTACCGTAACTTTAAAACTTTATTCTGAGTGCTTCTGTTGGATAATGTATGCAACAGTGTAGTAGTTTAGATGATAAAAAAATGCCGCCTTAGATTTAATACCCGATGCTGGAGCTTGATCAATTATTAGCGGACCGATCTGACCCAATAGAAGCCAATCGAAAAAAAAAATTATTGACAACCATCTCTCATTCCTTTTTTTTTGTCTGCATTTAAGCCAATGGTATGAAGAAAACCAGGGTTAGACAGACAAAAAAAAAGAAACTTGGATTTTGCGATATTATTTGCTCTTTTTTTTATTCCGAAATAAACCCGCAATTATGCAAGATAAACACCTGCAGCAACACAGAGAAAAAAAATGCTATGTCCGAACCACCACCACAGTTTTTTTTTTTTGGGAAGTGTCAATTTTAAATAATTTTATTTTCCTTTTTAAATAAAATTCACAATCCCAATTTTATATATCTCATTGCATTCTATCTCTTTTTGAACTGTAGCGAATAAAACGTCACTGTAGTGAGCCATTTTAAGCGTACCAATATAAGTTAGCCACAATTGTATCATTGTGTTAAACCGAGCCGTTACCATTTACAACTTACCACCACATACCAAAAAAAAAAAGAAATTCTGTGTACATTTCCGATTTGACCCTTTTGCAAAGCAACGATTAGTAATTTGCAATATTTTTGACAACCACAACAAACAACAACAACAATTTCTTGTTAGTTTCAATTAAACGCTTCATCATTCAATGATCTTAGTTCTACGCCCACTATGATCTTGGTTAATAGAAATACTAGTGCTTCTACTAATACCACCACCATGGATGGACCCACCACTAAGATCACCAATTCTAATCCACAAACACCAGTATCATCAGACAACCACAATACTACTACCACTACCACTGCCAATGACCACGACAAGAAACCCAAATTCAACATACTGACATTCTTTAAAAAGATTCCAAACATTAACATTGCATCGTCCATAAACAGTTCTAGCTTAATAAGCAGCAGCTCAAGTACAAGTAGCAGCTCGAGCAACCCCAATAAGTATCAATCGTCCTTATCACCCACCACAGGCACAAGCACCCGCGAGTCGTCCACCATCACCTCCACCACCCATCCGCATAATGTTTTCGCGGGCATTACTATGACCCAAAGCATCGGCGAAGACGACGATGAGCAGCAGCACCACCCGGACTCCGTCTCCCCCATTGCGCCTGAATCCTTGCATGTACCACCCAAGAATAGTTTCTACAACCAGAGTCAATACACTACTTTGGTAAATGATCAAGAGAGGTACACCTCGTTCACGGCCGATTGTATTAGTTTGCAGAATAGTGAAATGACTACCTCGAACATGGGCGACGACGAAGAGTTTGAACATGAACGTCATGGATCGATTATTAATGTTTTGCAAACACCAGGGAATGCCTCGATTGTGTCGGAGTCTTCATCCACTCTGTCGAAGAAGTCAAAGAAGAAGGAAGTTGTTTCGGCCACTCCCCTGAAGAAGAATAATTTCCGCAAGTTGTTGAGATTGGGCTCTTTTTCGTCATCTAAGAGTGAAACTATTGATGAAGAGGAGATCCCCGATCATCACACATGTAAAGTTATAGAAGAGGAAGAAGACGATGAGGTTGCATATTTATCCGAACTGGAGTCCGACTTGAACTTCGATCCAAACACGGAAGAGAGTGAGTATGATTATAAACAAGGAGGGTACCATCCTGTGTCCAAAGGTGAAATCTACTATTCCAAGAACTTGCCCAATCGTGAATACATTATTTTAAGAAAATTAGGATGGGGCCACTTTTCCACTGTTTGGTTAGCCAAGTCTAGATATAACGGACCACACAAGGTGACCCATGAGGACACTTCTGATTATTATGTTGCTATCAAGTTTGTCAAGTCAAGCAAACACTACCTGGAAGCTGCTGAAGATGAAATTCGAATTTTGAAGACGTTAAATGATCCCGCACATCATAACGATCATTTGCCCAACAAGTACAAGAAGTATTTTGATGAACTGGACCCTCTGTCACATCCAGGATATCAACACATCATGAAATTATTGGATGATTTTCAAATTGAAGGTCCACACGGGAATCACATCTGTATGGTTTTTGAAATCTTGGGTGAGAATGTTTTGAATTTGATTTACAAGTATAAGAAGTTTTTTAGAAGTGTCGATGGCGAAATCAAGAAGAAGTTGAAGGAAGAAAAGAATCCTGACTCAGAACTAAAGTTTAGCAAGACAAAGTTGTCCAAGGCTAACACAAAGTCCATGCTTAGTTTGGGACTTAATTTCAAGTCGGGCAAGTCGTCATCTTACTCCCCAGAATCTAGCGTTTCACCAACCGACACTTGTGTTGATGAATTGCAAGATTCGATGTCTTCGTACACTTCTACACAACTGGTTGAACAACAACTTGACTCCATGATGAAACTGATGGATTCGCAATCATTAATGAAGTTGATGAGTAAGTCCAGATACGTTGGAGGAATTCCATTGAATTTAGTAAAGCAGATCGTCAAGCAAATGTTGTTGGCAATGGATTACATGCATCATTGTGGAGTCATTCATACTGATTTAAAGCCGGAGAATATTTTACTTGACATTAAGGATATCAATAACATAATCAAGGCGATTGAAGTGCAGAAATTAGCCCAATATAGAAGAAGATCTAGTGATGGTGTTGCACCTAATGGAAGATCAAGATTGAGTCGGGCAGGAACTGCCATCTTCCGCAAGAATCTGAATGCAGCATTTTCCAAGTCAAGAACGTTTTCATCTTCAAGCATGGCCCACTCTTCGTCATACTATAGACGTCTGAAAAACTCCATTAATGGGAAACACGATTGCCCTATTCGTACATCCAAGCCATTTTCTAGTTCCGTCACTTCCGAAGTTTTGTTCACTGATTTCCAATTTGAGGAAAGTGGCGAAAAACCCTCGTCCTTCCCCATGATTTCCCCAAGAAATGGTTCTGCTAGCTCATTAACTTACCCATCGTCGGTTCAGAGTACTAGTAATATCGATCCTGAGATTCTGATCAAGATTGCCGATTTGGGTAATGCCACTTTTGTCAATCATCATTTCACCAACCAGATTCAAACCCGTCAGTACAGATCGCCCGAAATTATTCTTGGGTACAAGAAGTGGGGGTCCTCCACGGACATGTGGTCGATTGGATGTATTATATTTGAGTTGATCACTGGGGATTTCTTGTTTGATCCGCATGACGGGAAGTACTTTGATCGTGACGAAGACCACTTGGCCCAGATTATTGAATTGGTTGGTGAGTTCCCTAGTGATGAGTACTTGATGGATTGTAAATCGACTTCACGCTTTTTCAAGTTGAAGAATCCAAACGAGATTGTGTTTAAGAATATCGATTCGTTGAAATATTGGGGCTTGCATGATGTCCTTGTGGAAAAGTACAAGTTTGACAAGAATGATGTTCAGGTCAAGTTGATTAGTGATTTCATATTAAAGTGTCTTAAGTTTGATTTAAATGAGCGTTATGATTGCGGATCATTGTTGAAGCATCCTTGGTTGCAGGACAATGTTGATGTTAATGAGTTGGATTTGGCCAATTTGCCAAATGTACATGATGAGTTACCGGGATATACAAGTATCTGTAAATAGAGGGAGCTCTCTATGTTTGTTTTTATTTATATATTGTTTTTAGGGTGGGTATTTAAGGTATTATATAATATTACGAGTTATCATGTAGTGAATGTGTGCTGCTTGAGCATGTGTAATGTTATTGGGTTTTCTGATTCTGAAAGATCAAGGTTGGTGTCGTAGTCGGAGTCTATAGTTGGGTCGCGTACGACTTGAATGTGTATGTGTTTTTGAGAGTTGTCCAGCTCATCTGACAGTGAGTCTTCTTCTTCTTCTTCTCCTCCTCCTTCTTCATCAACCAGGTGGTCCAGTTCTTGCCCATCTTCCTGTTCAACTGCTTCTTTCTGTATCGGTATATCTTCAACTTCCTTCAGGGCGACTTCAGTACTTAAACTCTTATCTTTGAGAACATCATGAGCAGACCTAATCGTAAACTCATCATCGTCATCGTCATCATCGCTCTCATCGTACCTAACCACAACCTTTGATTTCTTGACCGGTCTTTCTACTTCCATTACTTCCTTCTCCTCCTTCTTCAAATCATCAAAATACGAAGTGATAACCTCACTAGAAACAATCAGAACTGGGAAAACAGGAACACCTTCATTGTCCAACTCACCATCGGCGATTGTTTTGATTGTATACAACGACTCAGTCCCAACGACGATTCCAAGGGGCACGTATTGCCCAGTCAACTCCGGTGAATCATTCAAGACGATAAAGAAGCCATCTACCGAGTTATGATTCTTTGAATCGCGTAATGCGGCAAGAGTGCCTCGTTTGAACTTTATCCTGCTATGGAACTCATCGGCGATGTCGTAATTTACCGATGTTGGGGACACCGTGATAGAAGTGGATGATGGTGTGAATTGTAAGCTGGTGTACTTCTGGTTGAGAATATGTGTAAGGAATTGGCGAGCTGTCTGCGGTGTTTCCCTGGCATAGAGATCGATCTCTAGAGGTCCCTTTGTGGTTTGGATTCGTGCTTTCGCCGTGGGGTTAAGGTCTGACATTCTTTGGGGGTGGGTGATGGTGATGTATTGCGAAAATTGCAGCAGACTGACAAATGCTAACTGTGTAGAAGGAAGTCAACCAACGTTTTACATAAAACAACAATTAAATCTCACAAGTGACAACTGATTTACACTCTCCTATACTTGTGATGTTATTATCATTATCGTGATCGTTATGCTTTGTGAGTTCTAATGTTATTACGCCGTCTCCACAGTATCATTGCATCCGGGTAACACCGTCTGAAAAAACCACCAATGATTGAGTGAGAAAATATGATTTTTCATACATTTTTTTTCCGCTATGTAACACAACAAAGCTAATACAAACCAAGGGTATACCCATCACATAACTGCATATACATATATAGACATGTTGAGAATAACCAGAACCTCCCGTTCATTCTTGCGTTTCAATTCCACCACTAGCGTGACCAAACCAGCCGGCGCCAAATTGACTAAAACCGAGCTACAATCCAATGAATTTGCCAAACAAGCCCCCAACAGAGATACAACCTGGTCGGCCACCCAGGAGTCTAGACTGGAAATAATCAGCAAGTACCCATTCCGTTTCATTCAAAAAGATTTGGAACAACAACCTAGACCCTATGCTGCCATTGATTTAATTGCTAAGGAACCAGTGAGATACTTGGGCCACGGTGAAAATATTGCTGTTTGTGATGGTAACAAGGGAAGCACCTTACAAGGACATCCTAAGGTGTTTATCAACTTGGACCAACCTAAACCTGCCACTTGTGGGTACTGTGGATTGAGATATGCCAAGGAGGAATTTAAGGATTTGATTGAGGCTCAAGAAAAGGCATAGGTAAGGTGTGTAACTTGAATTTATAATATATTACGAGAGAACATGTAGAAGGCGTCGCTGTAGTAAACTCGAGCCAGGAGTTTTCGTCAAACCTCCATAAAAGAAGGTCATGTAGAAATTGAGTTGCAAGACGCATTATCCTTCTATTCTGTTTGGGTGATGATTAACTGGCATATAATTCTTGCATGGTCCCCACTGTTTACATGCACCATTCTCTTAACCAGAACAACGCTGGAGTTGTTTCCCACCATGTCAGAAGAAGGAATAACCAAAATACTGCAATTCATAGTAGGAGCAAACTTCACCTGACAGATGGTAGCGTATTAGTTCAAACATCCTTTTATCCATCAGTTATAAACTACGGAACTAGTTGACACGGAACCCGATTTAAAGTTTTCTGGAACAAAATCAGTGAATATAGTTGCTAATTCCGTATAGCCAGTATATATAATATCTTTCAGCAGTGTCGATGTTGGTGGTGTCCTTCAGAAATTCCTCGGATAAATCTCGGAGTGCAAAATTAAAAATAAGGTCCCTCCACTAAGTCCCCCCACAATTTTATCAAAATTTATTTCAACTTCAAAGCAATTGCTGATGCAAGTACAAGGATCATGCCCAGTCATTCAGTTAATGAAGTTCCCCGACAGGGAACCAACCACATACGCAGACTAACCATCTTGAGCGACGTATTCCATGGCTTCTTTTCAGGCATATGGTATTCTAAGACCCATCTATTCAATTCCTATTTCGTGATTCCTATCGGATTGCTAATTATCCTATGCACATTGTACGGACTAAACCAATTGCTTCTTATTATTAATATAAAGTTCCCGTGTTCGGTGTTGGGGCTCTTGCTTAACTTGCTCTTCTTGTGTTTGTTGAGCTGGTTAAGCCATCAAAACACGTTTGCCAAGAACGGGGCTAATTGGATGTTGACAAATTACTTGGGGTTGATTAAACCATCCATGAACTTTACGCTAAAATGGATAAATGTTTTCTTCATTCCGCTGTTTATAGTGCTTCCGTTGTCGTCGCCAATTTCATTCATTGAATGTTTGAAGATCGCTGGTGTTTTTGTTGTAGGTATGATGGTGCTTATTTGTGTCGATGTGTATTTTTTAAAGTTGTTGAAATTAGTATATGCGAAAATGGGACGTACCGATGAGAAGGAACACGAAGAGATCGAGTTGGAGACATTGGAGAGGGATGATATCACCACTATTGATTTGACTAGCTTTGCCAAGGACAATGATGACGATGATGTAGAAGTAGTAACTTCTAGGAGAACTTCTGAAAATCCATTCACAATAGAGGAGGTATCCGGTGTGGACATACCTGAGCCAACTTATCAAAGAGACAGTGATGAAGACCACCAAGTCACACGACAAATGTCGCGGATTTCCTACGTTGATCAAATCCAAGTGGAAGAGTTGAGTAGGAGTGAACGGGTGACGCTATTCACCACCAAGTACATCGACTGGATCTTGTACTTGATTTTGTTTATTGTGTCGTTGCCGATATACTACTCGCTTCATGTGTATTTACCATACCATTTAAGTATCACCATTCTTGCTTACTATGTGGCCTTGTTAATTCCGCAGAAGTTCCCCGTGACGAAAAAGTTTGCCCACCCGATCCTTATCCTGACATTCATCATTCTCTTTGTCTGTTTCATCGGCTCGCTCATCTCGCATGGCAAACCCAGGGGGTTCTTGCTCGATCTACAATACTACAAAACAGGACGCAACTACCTCACCTTATTTACTAACCAGTACGTTGTCTGGCCCGGGTGTGGCGACTTTCTTTCGTCATTAATGGACGTATCGATTGTCTCACTTTCCCTCCCGATGTTCACCCATAGACATGATTTCATCAAGAACTTCTGGGTGTTGATGCCTACGTTAGTCATATCTGTCGTGCTTACGTTTTTCCTCTATCCAATCACCTGTCATGCCATTGGCATCGAACCAGTACGGTCAATTGGGTTCATTGGAAGATCGGTTACGTTGGCCTTGGGAACACCGCTTGTGACGGCGTTGGGAGGGTCCATCTCGTTAATGGCGGTGTGTACGATCTTATCGGGGATAATCGGCGTGTTGATCAACGAACCATTGTTTAGACTATTGCGAGTGGACAAGGGTGATTATGTCACGCGAGGAGTGACGCTCGGGATCAATTCTGGTGCCATTGCCACGGCACATTTGTTGACGGTTGATCCGAGAGCAGCATCGATTTCGCTGTTGAGTTTCAGTGTGTTTGGCACGATTATGGTGGTGTTGGCTTCTGTTGGAGCTGTACGCGATTTGATCAGATCGTGGGTTGGTTTATGAACGCGTAAATAATTTATACTTTTTCTTTTTGTTGTTGTTGTTGTTGCACATCGACTTAATTGACAACTATAGATCTATAGAGTAATGCACATTGATAAAGATAGCAGAGTGATACTCCTCCCGGAGACAGAGTCCCCCGCTGAATTCAAAATACTCGAATTACCCACATCAAACAACCTATCCACGACAAAGTCTTATTTGTTCGATGCAACTACAAACTCCCTCTATGAGCTCAACGAAATAAGAACAAGCGAATCGGCAAAGTTGAAATCAGGCGATGCCGTAAAGTCATACATTCTCGAATCAGACACATCTGGTGCAATAATACAGTCTCCACGAACCATCATCTCGTCCAAATTCAACCTTGTGTATTTACTAATTTCCATATTGTCCAGTCAGAAAGAAGACCGATTCATCACAGTAGACGACTTTATGGATCGAGTTGCATGGAGTCACAACTTGCCAGAAAGTGTCATTAGTAATGCCCTTGTACAGATCTGTGACGAATTAGATCAAGGCGACGCCAAATTCTACAAATTTTCTTTGGACAAGTCGATACAGTTTGTCAATGAAAAAATCACCAAACTAGTTGAGTTCTTTACGAACGAAAAGAATACGGTTATAGAGAAAGTCAGGGCTGAGTTGAATGATCCGACCAGTACCGAAGTCGTTTCACAACAATTAGTCCTGGAATTAACCTTGCAGTACGCCATAGATTATGTGTGTGGCTCATACATTGCTGAACCGACGTTTAAACAAGATTTAATTAAAAAGTACCAGTACAAGTTTGATAATGTGGATGCATACCTTGCCAAGTTAAAAGAAAAACAAAAGAGCCTTGCTGTTGTGGAAGCAAACATGAACGAAGTGATTCATTCTACCGTCAAGAACAGAAAGAAGGAACAAAAGAAAACGATCAAGAAAGTTCAAACTAAAAAGGTCGCCGTGGGTAAAGGTGCCCTTGATGGATTCTTCAAGAAAGCTTAGCTTATACATTTTATTATATACAGAAAAGGCTAACTCTTATTAGCTTGGTTCAAGTTCTTGTAGATACTCAACCCTTGCGCCATAAAACTACTTATATCACCAACATTGGAAGGAATAACCACCGTGTTGGACTCCTTGGCCAACTTACCAAACTCTTTAATGTACTCTTGCGCAACCTGCAAATTGACGGCTGCTTCACCACCAGGTGTTTCCTGGATGGCTTGAGCAATACGTCTTATACCTTCAGCAGTAGCTTCCGCTTTTAACTTGATGGATTCAGCCTCACCCATAGCGTGGTTGATTTGTTCTTGCTTGTCGGCTTCGGATGCCAAAATCATAGATTGCTTTTCCCCCTCACTCACGTTAATCTTGGATTGTCTTTGACCTTCCGATTCAAGAATTTCCGCCCGCTTCGATCTCTCAGCACTAACTTGTCTATGCATGGCCTCCAACACATTCAGAGGGGGATGGATATCTCTAATTTCGTATCTCAAACACTCAACACCCCAATTATCTCTAGCAGCGCCGTTAATCACCTCATTGATATTGACATTCAACAACTGACGCTCCTTCAATACATGATCCAACGTCATGCTCCCGATTTCCGATCTCATGGTCGTCTGGGCCAACTGACTAATGGCGAATTTGAAATCTTCGACTCCATAACTGGCCTTGTATGGGTCAATCACCTTAACGTAAAGCACACCGTCGAGCTCTAAACTGACGTTATCGGAGGTGATGGCGTTCTGACTGGGGATCTCAATTGCCGATTCCTTGAGTGATTGGACATAGGTGATCTTGTCCAAGAGGGGAACGAGGAATGCTAACCCTGGTGGTAGCACGCGGTGGAACTTTCCCATTCGTTCCACGATCCATGCTTGTTGTTGGGGCACGAACCGGATTATGGTGTTGGCGGGGAGGGACTCCCTTTGGAAGAAGTTGAGGGAGGATTGGTAGGGCATGGTGGAGCCGTTGGGTCTGTTGCCGCCTCCAAAGTTGGTAGTAAAGTGTCTGTTCAACACAATCGCATTTCTGACTAATTGCTGGCGAGATGGTACAGTCACTGTTCTTATCATTGTTTAGTGGGTGTGAGTATATCTGTTGAAGGCAAAAGTGGGTGAAAAGAAAACCAAAGACTGAAAAACTCGAATTCGCACTGGCCAAAACTTTCTAGAAAATTTAGTTTGCAAATTTCAATCTCATCACATTACAGTCAAACCTGTGCACAACCATGTCCCGTTCCATAGAAATATCAGAAAATCAGAGGAAGTTCCTCCTCGAATCCCTAAAACACGGATTCAGACTAACTGACCGGCCATTCGACCACGTCCGTGACATATCCCTCTACTTGTCCCCCACGGAGTACGGCTACGTCGAAGTATCATGGGGCAAAACTAAGCTCGCCTGTCGAGTAACGGCTACCGTCACCACTCCGTACGAAGATCGCCCCTTTGAAGGGATATTCACCATCAACAGCGAGATTTCCACTATGGCCCTGATGAGATTCGACACCTCGCGATCCAATGAAGAAATTTTGATTGCGCGAATCATTGAGAAGGCAGTCAGGAGAAGCAATTCGCTTGACTTGGAAAGTCTCTGTATCATCGCCGGCGAGAAAGTATGGGAAATCACCGTCGACTTGAACTACTTAAACTACGATGGGAACTTTATCGATGTGGGGTGTTTTGCCGTAATGTTGGCCTTGCACCATTTTAAAAAACCCGATATTTCAATCAATGGGAACTCCATTGTCGTGCATGACATAAACGAAAGACAGCCAGTACCGTTGTCGATCTTGCATATTCCCATCTGTTTAACCTACTCATTCTATAATCTCACTGATAAAGAACTGAATATTAAAGGCGAGGACGCTGACGAGATTTGCTTGCTTGATGCCGATTTGTTAGAAGAGTTAAATCGAGACGGATCGCTCGTGATAACTTTAAACAAGAACCGTGAATTGATACAATTGAGTAAAAACGGAGGATTACCTATAAGCGCCCAACAGTTCTTGGAACTCACATTCAAATCAATGAAAACCATTGACCAATTGACCGACTTGATCAAAACTAAAATCAAAGAACACGAAGAGTTGCGCTACAAAACAGAAAACTTCAAACTACTCGAAGCAAGTGCCGATAGGTAGGAAATTAATTAAAGTTACTATTAAATATTAATATCGAAATAAAAGCCCGTTCTCTAAACTAAATTATCGTTATTCTTGAAGACATACGTTTCTGTGTCATTACTTTCATTATCAGTGTTAGTGTTGCTGTAGTCGCTGGTGGGTCGAGTTTGAGATTGTCCTGATTCGCCAGCACTATCAACAACGATGGTATCTTTATCGGCGAGTTTCTCCAATACTCCGAGCTCAATAGGTAAATTAGAATCCTTTCTTGATCTACGCTTGATGCTGTGGTTGTAAGACAACAATCCAATTAGATCAACCTTCTTCTTCTTGTTGTTGTTGTTAGCGGTCTCTTCAACAACCGGTTCGTAGCTGGTCCAAGATTCAATAAATTTATCCAATTTCAACACTCGTAATACCGCATTCATGACAAAGCATGCCCCACCGGTAATCTTCCCCATCATCTTCTTAAAAGTAGGAGAAATAACCCAGCAATAAAATAAATACTCCAAGTAGAAAATCAAAAACGCAATCAAGAACCCCCCAACGACAGCAAGAACGAGATGGTTGGCTAATCCCTTGACAAACTTGGCATCATCCATATGCCATGATGAACCAGGCGCAATCGCAAAGAATGAATAAGGGGATGCCTTGTAATCTTGTGGCATAAGAATACGAACTTTCCCCGCTTCAGGCACACCCCAACGTTTATACTGTTTCCACATCACCGACAAAAACAACGGTCCAGTAGAGAACATAATCGTAATGTAAGGCACCAACCAGTTGCGTTGGTATGTCTTTAATGACTCCAAAACTTTCAAGAAAAATGGATGGTTAGGAACCGATCCCATAACATCGTTCGATATACCCGTAGGGACAGTCTTACGAACAAATGCTGGCACGGTTAAGAGTGGATCCAATTTCCGTTCACATCCATCGTCCAAATCAATATAAATCCCACCATAATGAACCAATGCGAAGTATCTAATAGCGTCAGCACGTTGGATAGGATATGGATATGAATCCCAGGTTTTCAAAAACCACGGAAACTCTTCACTAATGAATTGTCGGGCCTTAGCATCAGTCCATAATATGTACTGGTAGTCCTGGTGCAACGAGACACATGCTTGCTGACCTGACTTCCAAATCTCCGGTATATCGCTGGTCTTGTATGTCTGATGGATGATCTTGGGTATTATTGCCGGACGGTCGATCTTGCCGTCAGAGGGGTTGAGTTCAACGTCTAGCAAGGCATCACTGAAGGAATCATCGTGAAGCAAGGTTATCAAATCAAATGATAAGTAGGCTAAGTAAAGTATAAGAGCGACGTGGCCCCATATAATATATTTCAATTCTTTTCTCATGATAATGACCGAGTTGTAAATGGATATTAACTATTAGGTATAACGAATGAACAAGGCTATGGATATATAAAGTTGCTGCTGTATAGCCGAATAAAATTAAAACACCACGAAAAAGTTAGCAATGCAGGAAAAAAAAAAACAATAGTTATAACTGAAAAGGGGAAAACTATGAAGAATGGGCACACCAGCTTCTGAGTGTGTCTGACTTTGTCTTGAGTGGTGAGCAAGTGATAAGCAAATGGTAGGTACAGAGGTCTGCTGTGGATTCAGATCTTACTGCTATTAGTGTTTGCTGCAAAAGGCTTTAAACTTACTTTCATGCAAACAGGAATATCCAAAATGTCAAAGGGGCAATTCTGATATTTATGAACCTTTTTTTTTGTATTATGAAATTCGTGACACGGAACAGAAATTTGGGCTATGGCCAAACAAAAAAAAAAAAAGTCAAGATGATGTTATTCCAAAGTAAACAATGGACAAGACAATAAAATAAATAGACTAATTTCGTGTAGAAATCGATAACTGGCTGGCTGTGGGGTGATAGCAAGTGATTACTTATTCTATAATCCCAAATCTTAACAAACAACTAGGATAAGTTCTCCTCCACTAACCTTCTTAACCTTATTCTAATTGGGATGTGTCTAGACTTTCTTGATCACGTGCGTGCTGTCTATTGTTGATCTTACACAAAACCTAAAGTGTTTACTATATCTAATGTTGTTTACCTCTAATCAATCTCGTGTTCGCGAGATTGTCTGTAGCTATAACCTGACAAGTAACACACAAGTTCTGCTAAGCGACAAACAATGAAAGAACGGCCTGGTTCATCTGGGATCATCAAGATGAGATCAACTACCAGGGCTAAATTCCAACGTTGGTTACGTAAATACGACGTAAACTGCAAAATGATGGAATAGGGGAAAATGCAATTTAGTCGCGTTTCTTTTGTTTTCCCTATTTAAAAAAAATTTTTTTTTTTTTTTGTATGTTTGATTGCCCGTAGTTGGTTTGCTATGGTAATGTATTTTTCCATGGCTATGCTCACTATATTTATTTTTTTTGGACAGCTACGTAATCGAAGATTTGATTAAATTACCGAGGTATGAATGATTAGCTGTTTCTTAGTAATATGTTATGTATATCGGGCAAAGTAGTTGGGAATGCCATGTAAAACTTGGCACCCCCTTTGTATAAGCTTTTAGCGGTCATTCCAAAAAGGGTAGTTTAAGTGAGGGGGTCTAAATTTAGACTAATTTAGGAAAATGGTTGCGAAAAATATACAAAAAGCATACCACTCTTGCCAAACGCCCAGGTTAACTAATTTATATTTTTGTAAAGTCGATCTTTATCAAGATTTACTCTTGATATACACATCGGTAACACAAATCTTACACAATATAGACTTGTAACTTTAAATCTGTATAATTCTCTTGATACAGTTGTTTGTATATTCATTATCGAATTTCATTTGAGATATATATATTTTTTTTGTTAACCTACACGAACGTCAAACTCTGGGAAAAACTTACGACAAAATATAGTCAACTAAAAATCAGGTGTAACTACAGTTTTTACGCATCCTGTGAGCTAACTTACAAAGACTATACGAAGAAACCGTAGTATTTATTGTTGAGACAGACATAGCGAGATATTGATAGATAATGATTCTGTCACAAATGCGAACAGGTGATTCTTATGAGCAATAGTCTAGTTCAGTTAGGCATAATTAATTTTTCCAAGCGTTTACTCAAAGCTTTTCTCACCGGTTCTTACAATTGATACATAATTACTTTTACAAATAATCTACAGGACTCTTTTTTTTTTTTTAAACAAACATATATTTAAAACACATATCTAACGTATTTAAAATATAAACCGAAAATAATAAAACAATCAATGATTCGCAAACCAAAGATTTAAGCAAGAAAGTCAAAAGGGGTAAAATAGTATCCGAGTCAATCGAAAAGAGTCTCAAACTCAATTCAATGTAAAACTGTAAAAATAGTAACCGAAAATTGGTATAAATGAAAACGTAAGGTGGGGGAACAAGGTACCTTCGTGAAGAAATTCAAAGTGAATATAGCAGGAGAGGGGATAAAACACATTTCAGTAAAAAACCATAGGAATAAAACCGGAATTTAAACCTTACCTTCACATAAGCATCATTGAGACTGTAGAAAGCAAAGTAAATAACACAAACTTAGAAGGCTTGGACATAGATGATGAAGAATTTTCAGCTTGTGTAACTGCAGCTGGAGATGGTGAAACACTACCTGTAGCTTCGGCTTGCAAAGATGTAGCGGCAACAGTAGCACCTGGGGCAGCAGCAGAAGCAGTAGTGGCACCTGGAGCAGCGGCAGCAGCAGCAGCGGCGGCGGCGGCGGCAGTAGTCCCAGCAACATTTGAAGGACCAGTAGGGGATGCTGCAGGTTGTTTTGCAACATTAGAACCAGAACCAGAGCCAGCATCATCATCATCATCTTCATCTTCAGCCGCAGAAGCAACACCAGCAACCGCAATAGTACTGGTAGGACCAGAACCAAGAGTTGGGGTTCCTTCAGTACCATACGAACCACCGGCATGATTTTTACCATCAGAACCTGGGCCATCATGAGTGTTAGGGAATCCACCGATAGGACCAGGGTTATTAGATCCCTGGTCCTTATTAGAACCTGGACCATTAGGACTGTTACCATTAGAACCAGCATTATGAGAACCAGGACCATTAGGACTGTTACCATTAGAACTAGAACCATGAGGATTGTTACCATTAGAACCAGAACCATGAGGACTGTTACCATTAGAACCAGAACCATGAGGACTGTTACCATTAGAACCTGGACCATTAGAACCAGCAGAACCATGAGGAGTATCACCAACATTATGGGAACCAGGACCATTAGAACCTGGACCTTGAGGTTGTTTGTCAAAACCAGGACCATCCCAATCATCATGACGGGAACCAGTAGGAATCAAAGGAATGGTAGAATAGGCAGTAACATCACGGACAACAGCAGTTGTAGATTTCTCTTCAACACATCTACCTCTAGCACAATGAGTAACAGTAACAACTTTATCTTCAGTAACATGAGTAATGTATGGTTTAGTAGTATAAGCTTCATGAAGTGGAATTGATCTGGTAATTGGCTTACCTCTGGAATCAGTAGTCACACAAACTGCAACAGTGGTAGTATATACCTTTCCACCTGGGCCTCTAGTTGTATACGCAGTAGTACGTGCAGCAACAGGTTTAATTGGGTTGGTATAGGTATGACGGTGACCATGATTATCAGTGCTGACGACAACAACCCCAGTAACTGTAGAAACCTTGTGATGGTCATGAGTGGTGTAAACAGTAGTACGAATTGTAGTTTCATGAGGTGCTGTAGTATGCTTTGTAGTTGGAACATCATGATTTCCTGTTGGTAGTGTGTGATGAGTAATTGATTTCTGTGTGGTTGTTCCACATCCTTTTTCACCCCTTCTACACAACGAAGTAACACTGGCATGAGTTGTTGACGATGGAAGCAGTGACAAACAGCCCTTTGTTTCACCTCTCTTACACAAACTAGTAATATGTGCTGAGCTGCTAGAACTAACAGATGAAGAAGCAGCACTACTACTTGAAGCAATGGATGAAGAAGAAGCAACCGAACTACTAGAACCAACAGTTGATGATGGAGCCCCACTGGAAGAAACAGTAGATGAGGAAGTAACTGAGGTGCTAGAACCAATTGAGGATGAAGGCACCAAAGTGGAGCTAATACTTGAAGATACACTAGACGATGTCTTTTGGGTGGAACTGGATGTCTTGTGAGTGGAACTAGAAGTCTTGTGAGTGGAACTAGAAGTCTTGTGAGTGGAACTTGAAGTCTTATGGGTGGAACTGGATGTCTTGTGAGTGGAACTTGACGTCTTATGGGTGGAACTAGAAGTCTTATGGGTGGAACTAGAAGTCTTATGGGTGGAACTAGAAGTCTTATGGGTGGAACTTGACGTCTTATGAGTGGAACTTGACGTCTTGTGAGTTGAGCTAGATGTCTTGTGGGTAGAAGAACTTGCAACTGAAGAACTATGACTAGAAGAACTAGTAACAGAGGAACTTGGAAAGGAAGAACTGAAAGCCGAGGAACTATAGCTGGAAGAACTTGGAACAGAAGAACTCGAAGACTTGTGAGTTGGGTGGGAGAAGGTTCTGTGACTTCTGGAGTGGTGAGTTGGAGTCGAGTGGTGGGATGAACTAGAACTGTGAACCGAAGAACTGGAACTGTGAACCGAGGAACTCGAAGACTTGTGAGTTGGGTGGGAGAAGGTTCTGTGACTTCTGGAGTGGTGAGTTGGAGTCGAGTGGTGGGATGAACTAGAACTGTGAACCGAAGAACTCGAAGACTTGTGAGTTGGGTGGGAGAAGGTTCTGTGACTTCTGGAGTGGTGAGTTGGAGTCGAGTGGTGGGATGAACTAGAACTGTGAACCGAAGAACTGGAACTGTGAACAGAAGAACTCGAAGACTTGTGAGTTGGGTGGGAGAAGGTTCTGTGACTTCTGGAGTGGTGAGTTGGAGTCGAGTGGTGGGATGAACTAGAACTGTGGACCGAAGAACTGGAACTGTGAACCGAGGAACTCGAAGACTTGTGAGTTGGGTGGGAGAAGGTTCTGTGACTTCTGGAGTGGTGAGTTGGAGTCGAGTGGTGGGATGAACTAGAACTGTGAACCGAGGAACTTGAAGACTTGTGAGTTGGGTGGGAGAAGGTTCTGTGACTTCTGGAGTGGTGAGTTGGAGTCGAGTGGTGGGATGAACTATAACTGTGGACAGAAGAACTGGAACTGTGAACCGAAGAACTTGAAGACTTGTGAGTTGGGTGGGAGAAGGTTCTGTGACTTCTGGAGTGGTGAGTTGGAGTCGAGTGGTGGGATGAACTAGAACTGTGAACCGAAAAATTGAACTTGTGAACATAAGGAATTCGAAGACTTGTGATTTGGTCGGGAAAAAGGTTCTGGGATTTCTGGGAGTGGTGAGTTTGAATTCCAGTGGAGGGGAATGAACTACAAACTGTTGACCGGAGAAATTCCAACAATTTGTTTTATTGGGTTGAGAGAAAGGTTCTTGTGACTTCCTGGAATGGGGGATTTGGAACTCAAGTG